TGTTGTAATTCTTCAATATTAGGTAATGGATACCTATTCTTTACCGTGTTGTCGTTGGTCTTGCGGAAGTCTACACACATTCGTAGTTTCCCATTCTTTTTATTTACAAAGAGGGTCTCGTGTGCTACTGGCGACTCCGATTCTCGGATATGTCGTTTAGCCAGTCGTTCTTTGATGTAATCTCGTATAGCTGCTAGCTCCGATTCGGATTTCGGGCGCAATGGGTCAATCGGCAGTTTCGATTCATCCTTGAGGATTATTTCGCAATCCCAGGGCTGATGCTTAGGTAATTCAAGCTCAGGTTCTAAGTCCTCGAATAGTGCTTTGTACTTCCGATACTGTACAGGGACTTCAGGAGTTGTGCTGGTCTCCTTAACTCTCTTCTCGTGACCTGGTACCCAACCAGTGTCTAAGGAGTCGACCGCTCTCTCTGGGCGTATCTTAGGCGATGGCGTTGTTGCGTTAACGCTCCTCTCATCTACCACTCGCGGCGCGCGGTGCGTAGGCTTTGAACTGCGTGCACATTTGCAGTTCGCAAACGAAAGTGTCCCTTTGGACCAATCCGTCACTGGATTATGCTTTCGTAACCAGGGGAGTCCTAGTACGACGTCGAAGGTGGCCATCTTCAAAACGTCTAGGATGATCTCTTCCCGGTGTCCACCAATTTCCATAAACGTTGGGTTAGTTTCCTTATCGACCCAAGTTTCATTGGGTAAGCGCTCCCCGGTGACTGCTCGAATACCGTACTGCTCATGTTTTCCTCGAGTAGAAAGTCCCGCTTTCTTAACCACGTGGCTTGACACGAGATTGACTGAAGAACCGGTATCGAGTAGTGCTCTGAAATGGTGTCCGTTAAGCTCAACCGATAGCCTAACTAGTTTCTCTGAGTTCGTTGAACATACGGTTCTGTATGTATTCCTGGTGCTAGGCGTGTCCCTAAAAAAGAATGAACTGGTTTGAATCCGTTGGCGCATTTAGCGTCATAGTGGCGTTCGCAATCATCGCATAAGCAGGTTTGCCATGTGTTATCTCCGATGCATTGTCGGTTTATTGCGATCTGCATATCCACTGTTTGCTTTGGTGTCTTGCCTGGAAAGTTTGAACTAAGTCTCTTATCGAACAGGTGGATGGGACAGAAGTCGTTGTGACACTTCGTCCAATTGTATCCACAGATTTTGTGCAGATTGTTTTTTGGATAATAGGAAGCACCTTTGTCTGACTGGTGTGTCCAGCAAAGGTCGTACATGCAAGCACTGAAATGTAGTCGTCCATGATTCTGGTTTCGTGAGTCAACGTCGTACATAGGTTGACGCATGGATGGCAGTTCAGGTTTCTTGGTTTTCTTGCTGTCCTCCTCGTACTTCCAACAATCTTGCCAGTGTTCTGAGACATGTTGTACGTAGTTGTCTCCCCATAGGTCTAAGACTTCTGTTTTGGTTTGATTCGTTTTCCAATTACCATCTGCTGTTTCGTTCGGCAGATCCAGTTCTTCAATTTGTTTAGCGAGTTCGTCATCATCGTATTCGATGGATCCTCTCGGGCTATCGGGTTCCTCAGGAGATAAGTACTCCTTTTCCGAGTCTGATCCGAATCCCCGTGGATTCTTCGTAATGTACATCTGTTTAGCTTCTGGTGGTGCATAGTTCCTTGACGTAGGATTTTCAGCCCAGAACTGCTGTGTCAGACGTAGACGTCGCTTCTCTCGTCGATCATTCCTGCTTCTTGCAGCAGCTTGTCGGGCGTTCCGTTCCGCTCGACGTTTCTTAGGTGGTGGTGCATCTTCATGATGCTCGGGACCGCTTTCCGAATCTGGGTCATCCACCATGAGTCGTCCTTCACCCGGCGTGGGTTCTAGGATTTCCCATTCCGATTCGCCTTCATCCCCCCCGGGGCATGAAGACTTGGTCGTTACGTTGACAAATCGTGTGACCTTGTTCTTTGATCGACAGTTCCTAGCTATGTGGCCGGTTTTACCACATCCGTAGCAGGTTATCCCCTTAGGGTCCTTGCTCTTCTTGTCATACTTCTTTCTTCCATTGTTATCTCCAGCCTTGGATGGAAACGTTGCATTAACGTCACGTGTCCAGTCCATTTCCTCGGTGTATCTGACCCTGGGTCGAACAGGGACGCTGCGGCCTCTTCCCTGGGGAAAATAGCGAACAGCTTCCTGAGTCCTTCCGTAGGCAGATTTATAACCGTGGATCCCTTTCATTTCTTCGGCTAACTCAAACAAGTCATTGTCAATGCGGATAGTTTCCTCGTAGAGTCGTTCTAGTGTGTCCATAACCACACCAGACCTCATGAGTTCTTCCTTGACCTTGGGTTTGAGTCCTTGGCGATACAGTGCCATGAGTGCGTTGTCATCCCAGTCAGTCTGGACTGCGTAGTGTTGGAACTTCGCAGCATAGTCGGCGGCAGACTTGAACTGTTTGACGCGTTGAATTTCACGCACTGCCTTATTTTTCTCGTTGGATATTCCGAAGACCTGGCGGAGCTTGGTCTTAAACACTCCCCAGTTTTCGAACAGAGTGGTGTTTTCGTCGTCTTCGATATCGTCGTCCAGATATTTGGTGAGCTGAGGCGCGATCCATTTATGGGCATCACCTCGCATAAAAGTCGCAGCGTAGGTGGCCTTGTCGTCGTTCTCGATCTTTTCATTGAACTTGAAAAGCAACTCGAGTTGCAGGATCCATTCCTCAAGCTTGACACGTTCCCCATAGTAGGTGTCAGGTTGTTTGGTCTTGATGCTGACAGGGGTGTCGTTGTCCATATCGGGAGTAAGGGTAGGCTGGTCAGTGGTACTGAAGCTAGACATCTTAAGGGTATTCACAATGTTGAGATCTTGGAGAACTCTGGTTGGGTTTCGCGGATGACTAGCGGGTAACACTGAAGTAACAAAGGTAGAAGTATAAAGTAACAACTAGATTGTATTTCCAAGAAGTGGGTTGTAACTTAGAGTGAATACAAGAACCATAAGGTCTTCTTGTCTACTGACTATATACATATTTTGTCCCATAGTTCCCATATGTCCCATAGGGTTTCATAGATGGGATATCGTGGGATCTCGTAGGACCCTGTGGGACACACGTGACTTGTCCCACAGCAACTTTCCGCCAAGACTCGTGGGACCACGTGACGTGCGGGGTGGCGAAGTCTATTGGTTCATACGTAGTGTCCTGTTTGCTGACCGTGAGTGTTCTTGTAATTACCTTCCTTCATAACCTGTGCATCCCCATTCTTAGGTTCGTAACACTTAGCTAGAGCAGAGCTTGCAAGAGAGCTCTACGTTAGTACTTAGCGCGTTAGATTAGCGCAAAATTAATAGGTTGTTAAAGGTTGTTGTTAATATAGGAGAAAGTAATAGTGCTAAGAAGCTAAGTTGCACTATACACTTAATTTCTATATAAAAGTAACTATTAGAGCACAAGAATTAGGGCCTACAATAGGCTCTTGCTAACAAGAAAAGGCGCTAAACAAAGGGCAAAACTTTCTCTCTTGAGCAACCTAATAAGTAGCATAGAGGAGCTGCGTTCTAGTTACCTGCTTAAGTGCAGAGAGCACGTAACGCTCTAGCCTAATAAGACGCCTAGAAATAATAGGAACTACACTAAAAAAATAAGCAAAGGGATGTCTGTAAGGCAAATTAGCTACTTAAAGCTTAATTACTACAGAAGAAACAAGTTGCGCGCGCACAAGCTCAAGATGCGCAAGCAAAGAAGAAAGCTAATTAGGCTATTGCGCGACGCCTCTATTAACAGGCTCTTAAAGTAGAGAAACAATATAAAAAATGTATACAATTGTTCTAAAAGGGTAATTAACAAGCTTTAAAAGCTACTTAAGAGCGTATTAAGAGAAAAAAACTAGTGCAGGCACCTGCTAAAGAGCCTGTATGTACGCCTACCCTGTTAACCCTCTTGTTGCGCAGGGGCCGGATTATTAAAACGCTAACCTGTTACCTACAAACTAAGTAGCTAGCAATTATTATTAAGCTTAGGAAACCTCTCCACTACAAAATCTTATAATAATAGCTTTTGTATAGAGCTGTAGAGCCTCATTTTTGTGAGGGCGTTGCGCGCGCCAAGGTGCGCATGAGCTGTCAGTGCGCACGAGCTGACAAAGCACGGTACATCTATTTGTTATAGGTTGTCAGAGAATCGTGTTGCTGTCTCCCAGGTGGATACGCTTCCATGCCAGAATGCACAGCATGTCTGATCACCCACGCAAAACCTAAGATCATCATGCCCTATCTGTTAGCCTCCAGCTCCATCTCTTCATTTTCATTCTCAGGCACCCCTTGAAGACGCTACATCTCTTCCAATCTTCTCAGACCACTTCTTTACTTATTCATCTTCACTTTCGTTGACCTTGAGCTCTGAACTGACCTGCAGGAGGGATTGACCCTTTCCTTCGACTTCGAGTAGATGGCTGCTGCGAGGAATGAGCATCGTGGTGACGCAAAGATACGTGATTTCAGACATTTGGAAAATTTTATTGTGGATGAGATGAGGGCGTTGCTGTCTGATTGCGCTCCGCGTGGTGACTATTTAGACTAAATAGAGAGGTACGCCCAATGACCAATCATGGTGCTGCGTGTATTTGAATGTGGATTACAGAGTCACCTAAGGTGAATGAGAAGATTGCAAATATTCTACTAGTGAGTTTTACGTGCTGAGTGAGCACTGCAGTAGAACATGTTCTACAAATTGGCGCTGGGAACCGGCGGCAGTCGTCGCTGCGATGGAGGAGAAGCGCCGAGAAGACGGGCCAACCTAATTACTAACAAATTACAAGTACATGCCACATAAAACAGTTATTGAGCCACGGGTACAGCATCTCAACGTGTCAACATCCCAATCATCTCAACCATCTCCACGGCCCAACAATGGGTGACGATTATACATGGGCTATTAATCTGGACTCTGGGATGCGTATAGCCGCACGTGACATGTGAAGAGCTCGACTTCATTTTTCCAATAATTCATCAGCCCCCTGATCTTCTCATTGCCTGCTTTGACGTTGTGATTAAAAGCTCAGAAACATAAAACCATGAGATCCATCCATTGCAATCTCCCCCCAGAATCCCCTCTTTCATTCCCGACTTGAAGCATGCCGTCTTCAGCTGAAGCGCGAATCATTTCCTCTGGCGCTTGAGCAATGGCTCTTCATCTCCCCTCTCATGGGATTTTCTACCTCCTTCCCATGCCATTTTGAATAAACTTCGTTCCCTCTCGGAGAGCGAATCGAGGAGAGATTCTTTTTCCAGCTTCTTTTGCATCTCTCGGGAGGCCATAGCGACGTCCTTTCTTTGCAAATCCTTTATCTTCTGTGTGGCTTTCTGCACAGCTGCTTGGGCCTTTAGAACAGCCTGTTCGGCGTTCCTTCGCTCCACTTGAGCTTTTTTTAATTTGTACTGGTAGCCATTGCGCAAGGATTTGATGGTTCCTGTTTCATCATCCAATGATTTCCACTGGGATTCAAAAGTTTTCTCCGCGCACTTGTGCAGTGGAGCAGAGTGATTTCTCTGATTCTTGCGCCTTTCTTCACTGGGTGGAGTGCAGAATGGCTTGTATTTCGTAGCTTTGAGGATCTCTTGTTTATACGATCGGCTCTTGATATGCAAATCGTACGGAACAAATACGCCAGACATGAAGAAGTAGTGTTTGATCAAAGCCGACAAAGTCGATCCAGTACATTGCAGGAACTCTGGGTGCAATTTGCTGGTGTCAAGTCCGCCTCTGCTGAGTTTCTTGAACCCAGACATCTTGCACCCGATGAGGTATTGCACCATCGGAAGGCGGTTTTGATGGGAATCGCTTATGAGGAGCGCCCATACAGTGCTTGGGGTCGCTTTGGGCCAAGCGCCCACAATGATCATCATGGTTGGTTGGCCACCTTTTTTGCTGACAATGGTATCGAGTCCCACGCAAATACCGATGAGTTTTTTCGCGTCGCTCGCATCGACGATTTGAGCTTTTTTATCTGGAAGTTGTGCCACAGCGTCTGCATCCTCGTCGCTTAATGGTTTAAGAAGATTATCGGCTAGGCAGAGATCGTTTGCCTTGATGTTGAGCTCGATATCCTTAGTATCCGTATCACCAGGGTCAGGCTTGTAAGCAGCATTCCGCAGGGGATACTCCATAGTGTTTCCTGCGTTGAGATGTATTAGCCTTAGGCAATGACCACCGCTGTTGCTGCTTTGTCATGGCAATCACTGGATAACATACCCATATAGGCAGCCTAAGCTGGTGGCTAAGGCTAGAACTATCTCAGACACGCGTCCGAAATCCTCATAGATTGTGGGAACTCTCTCGACGAAGATCGGGAGTCAATCGCAGGTGTGTCGCGGAGATCGCGCAGAAGAGCAAGGGAGTTGTAAAGGTAGAGGCGAGGGAAAGTCTGGGAAGGAGGAGCTGAAGGTGAGAGCAACTCGTCGACTGTCCAGATAACAAAGTGTCGGGCAATGGTTTCAGTAGAGTGGTGAGGTCACGTTCTTACCCAATTATATGCCTGCTTCCGAAATATGGGGATGTGATTGGATGATCTTGTGACCCCACCCTCACTTCACCTCACCTTCACCTCGCCTATACCCATTCACCACTCTAGATTTTAGGAAGGAGCGGCTTCAGGTAACACAAACAAACAAGAGATTAGATAAGCAAGTAAACATACATGAGGTATAATTGTCACATAGTACATATAATCATATAAGTACATACTCATACTTGGGTTAGTGGTCACCGCCCTCACTACTCATGGGACACATCTCAGACGCCAAATGCTGATGTTCATATGATAGCGCAGTTGATGATAATTATTTTTTCAATGTTTTTATTGTATTTTCTAGAGTCCATTCACTAAGATCATACATCCATAGTCTCTCAGCTACTGTCCTTCACCCGTCACCAGCTCGAACCATAAGTAGAACGCAGCACCACAAGTCCCGAGAACTCACTGACTCATCAACCGACCAATGTTTTGTCTGTCAACAAAAAGAAACACCCACACCCATCTTTTCCTCCTTCGAGAGCTCATGGACGCACAATTCGAAATAAAAGGTGGAAGTACACACAAGATCTCATGTCGACTTGCAGCAGGTAGCGGGCTCATCCGTGGCCACACTTTCCACTTCGCAAGTCATCGGCGACGTTTATCGATCCTATATGACCGTAGGGTCTAGAAAGAGCTCATTCGTGGCTACAGTTCTCGTCGTCTCGAGGTCTTGTGTATTGCGGAAGGAAGTTGGGGGGTTACGCGTTAGGGATCTCTCTTAGGGGGTATTGGGGGTACGATGGGCATTGTTGTTTTGTATCCTGAGTGGGTAGACGTTGGCGTTGACTCGGCTCAGTCGGCGTTCGTGCTGGGTTGGCGTTCCGACTTGGGTGGGTTCGACTTTGGTGCAGATCCTTGGGATAGGGCGCTCGTGTCCTCTTCCTCTTTTGTAGTCCCTTGCAAGTGAGGCTCCAGCCTTTTCTTTTCCGCTTTTATTTTGAATTGAATTCTCATTCTCCCATGCATCCATCCATCTTAATATCTTTTTTTATTTTTGTATTAGTTTTCGAGTTTTTTTTTTATCGTATGGTAATTTTTCCCTTTTTTTTGGGTGTGTTTCAGTATAATTCCTCTTCGCCCCAGTCGATACGGTCCTCATCACGGTAGAGGTCAAACGTGTCGTTCTTGTACCAGACTTCGGTGTACCAACCGTCGTCGTATATGGCACAAGGGGAGGGACAAGCCTTTTTGGCTGGTGGAGGTTCCATATCCTCCTCGGAGCTTCGTTTCCGCTTGGTGCTGGTAGGTGCTGGGCCTGTAATCCTGGGCGGCGGTGCAGCTGCAAGAACTGGAATAGGCTGTTCGTGGGTGATTTTAGCCCTCTTGATGGGGCGTTGCGCATCCGATGTTCGACGAATGTTGACTGCCAAGATCGAGGACTTGTCCGGTTCAGAGGGATCGCTCGGCTTTTCATCCTCGTCTGATTCTTCGTCTTCATCTGGTTCCGAGGGCTTGTCTATCTCCGAATGTTTGCGTTTCGAAGGGGTGACCTTCTGGCCATCCACTTCATCCCCATCTCGAAAGTACCTCCCTGCCTCCAAGCACATATGGAAGACTTTGGGCCATTGAACTCGCCGGGGCAAGATGATGCGGGCGTCATCTACTGCTAAAGCCTCGTACGGGAAGAAACCATATTCCGAAGATCCTGTCAGCTTCCCGAACGCCCAGCTCTGCCTGCATTGCTCCCAAGTCTGCATGCATTCGACAAGGCTGTTCTTGGTGAGCGCAGTGTGCCCCTTGGTTCCGGTATACTTAGGGAGAAGGTTCTCAATGCCCTTGAAAACCACTTCCTCGGCGTATGAAGATCGTGCGTTCATGCGGCGGCACTCCTTAAGTTGCTCCCAAGTCTCCTTCCTGGCTTCCCACGTTGCCTTTTTGGCTTTGTTATTCGAGAGGCGAGTTTCCAACTCTTGAAGTTTTAGCCGGATGTGATTTTTTTCCTCTTCCGGCACCGAGACATTGTTGACCTGGAGCTTCAGTTTTGCGATCTCCTTCTCCAGCCTGGAAATCTCAGCTGCAGTTTGCTTCCAGTCGTACATGACCCCGTGGTATCGCTCGCGCCAGGCTTTATCAGCAGCTTGATTCTTCAATACTGCTGCCTGTTTCTCGGAATCTATCCACATCTCCAACTTGGCACCTTCTTCTTTCATGACGTGGTGCAATGCGACGTAATCATCGTCGTCGTTGGAGGTTCCCCAGTTGGTCTTCACCCGGCGCATCTTGCCCAATATGGTGGACTCATTGGCCCAGCATGGAGCGAATTCTCGGAAGCGCGCTTTCTGAGCATCCGGTACACCTTTCCAGTGGAAGAAATTGTGTACCTCGAGAAGCCCTTGATTCACGGAGACATAAACGGTTCCGTTCTGTATAACGAGTTTTGGTACCTGCAGCAAGCTCGAAAGGTTGTCGGAGTACCCCATTGCATTGGCATGGCACTGCCTCGCGATCTCTTTGGCAAGTGCACCAGTCTCTTCTCGAGATCGCCTCGCAGCATCGTCCTCGTTTTTCGGGATCAGGGCGCATGCATCAGAGATCTTCTCGGCGAACATCGTTGTGTCTTGTAAGACTTGGCTTGTAACGCTATTTACCGATAGCTCATATGGAGGAGCGCTTATGAGGTGTATAACACCAGCATCCTTCATCTTCGGAAGCTGATCTGGAAAAGGGTAAATCTTTGCCTTCACCCTATCAGCCGTGCTCATAGTAGATCCCGCGGCTGGTGTCTCTTTCGAGTCTGGAATTGGCGAAGGATCAGGCATGAGAAAGTCCGGAAAAGAGGGCGGAACCATTGCCATACCGTTGTTGAAGAATGGAGGTGTGAACATGGGATCAACGAACGACTGGTCTATGTACGGCCCGGCCGAGTGTGACTGCCACTGGTTCATCATGGGTGCAGGCGTTTGTGGGAAATGAGGCGTGATAGGCGGAGTGTATAGAGGATATGGCGCATCATAGTGGGCAAAGTCGTTGTGGGAAGTTCCGCTACGCCAGTTGACGTTGCGCCAGTTTTTGCTACGCCAGTCATTGTTGCTGGGAGCACTTCTCCCGCCAAACTGATCATCGCAGCTGTTCTGGTTATATGAATAACCATCGCGATTTTGACGACGCGCAGGCATCGCGGTGGGAATGCTAGAACCCTGAGGTTGCAAAGGCGAACGCCCCGGGCCTGAGGTATATGGTTGATTGACGTGCCTCCAGTCCGGCATCTGTCTTATTTGCTCTGACCTGCTCAGATCCAAATGACGATCAGGATGCTGTCTGTTCGCCGAGGCAGCGCTGCGTCGGCGTGGGCGGTTGCGGCCATGAGGCGGTGCGCGTGCGTTCATTCGTGAGGGCATCTTGATTTGCAAGTAAGTAGGACGCAGGCTAGCGACAGGTGGAATCGGTTTAGAGATGAGCCTGGCGTTGCTTGAAGCAATATAGGAGAGTGGTCGTAGGTTGTGGTTGAGATTGATGATGGTGGCGTTCTGAATTTGAAGTTGGGAACGAGTTGAGGGAAAGCAGCTCAGTGTCAAAGCTGAGGGTATCAGAAGAGGGTAATCGAAGTTGACGACGGGTGTATATTCATTCACTCAGTGGCAGGTATGCTGGTAGTCTCTTGGCGCAGTTTCTTGACAAACGCACAATACAAACGCACAATACAAACACTCTATAGACAGAAGCACGTGGAAGAGCTCGGCCGTTCACTAAAGCGCTGAGGCCATCGCAAATCAAACCGACCCTGACACATATGAGGGGTAACAAGCATCATTATCAATCCCAATCCTGCTTGGCCTTCAGGGAGTCTCATCTGAAGTAACTATAGCACTGCATATAGACAGTCGCGAATATGATTGACATATCATCTTATAGCATGTTGGAGAAAAGTGGCGTATATAATCAGTTATCGAGGAACTGCTGAAATCAGTCTGAGCTCCTATTGTGGCAATATATAGTTTTATAGACTTCTAATTTTTGTGGGCAATCTTCGATGATTTGTGATCACACAATGCTTGCTACATGCTGGACTCAATAGCCCCCAACACTCCTGTCAGCGGTATCCTTTGTAGCTGCTTGGGATACAATATGTAGGGAGGCGATTCCACCAGTCATTCGAGCTGGAGACTTGGATTTAGGGAAAGGTAAATCAATCGAAGAAAACAATGTTATTGAGGAAATAATTTTGGTGCATATTTTTAGAATCCCAAAATAACATTTCCAATGGTATCTGGTCATATTCCGTATCCCATCATACCATTTCCCATGAGCATGAGCCCCTTTTCGACCATTATATCGTCGTAAAAGAGCTTTATCCCTCATCTGAGGGTACTATCAACCTTCTTGCTCTTTTTAACACTCATCTGGACCATCTTGAGCTCATCGATGCTGAGAACCCCTGCCTGAGATGCAATTCCAGACCACTGTCCCCCCTTTTTGGTAGGGGCCTTTGGCGGCTTGGTCTTCTCGCTGCTACCATTACAGGCGGAAGGGATGTTTTCACCTGCCCGTCCCGTCGGCAACTTTTCCCACTCTTCGTCCTCGTTCTTCTCCACAACACCCTTTCCGTGGTTGTTCTTCTCCACAACACCATTTTCGCGGTTGTTATCTGGTGAAGGATCGACTTCAACCCAATCATCAATACGCTCACCCGATGACTGGGGTCTGGTCGTGTGTTTGGTAGTCGTGTTCGGTTTCTCGGGCTTTTCCTTCTTGAATAAGGGTGAAGAGACAATGTTGAGCGTGTTAGACACTGTATTGTAAGAGAAGAAAGGCATGTTGAATGGTTGAAGTCTTGTATTAAACTAAGGTTGATAGTGCAGTTGAGAGATCTGTTCCTTGTTGATTTAGTGTATAAGAACTTAAATCGACTCTGTAGAAAGTTCCCTGGGGACTCGTTCAGCAGAAATGATGCTGTTTACATTGTAACATAGAGAGGCCATTCATAGTTATTGAACAATGTGAGTTTCATCATTTTGGGCAGACTGATACTACAGAAACTAAATAGTTTGATGAATCATTGGAGATTTACAGATACTTCGACGTCATTAGCGATGAGAAGCGTTAAAATCAATAGAAAAAAGGCGACCCTAAACTAAATCAAGGAATAAAGAAGTGAATACCGTCAACACCAATACAGACACTTCCAATCATTGGCTATCAATAGTATTAATATAGTTCAAAAGAAATGAATACCATGGTGACGAATGCGTGCGTAAGAATAATGTCCAGCACAACAGTTTATCTATTTCACCTCCTCCACGACCTTCATCTGCCTCAAATCAAGAACCGCATCCTCAAGGTCCACTTCTACCATCTTTCCGTCCTTCTCAACCACAGATCTACCCCTCTTACTCGGTCCAGCGGATGACACTTTCAAGACCTTGAGTTCCCGAAGATCAGCAACTCCATCCGCAAGGTCAGATTCCTCCCACTTGCCGTCAATCTCATTAAAAGTCTTCTGGGCGTCGCAAACCGTAGGTTCGCGAAGATCAGACACCGCGTCCGCAAGGTCGACTTCTTCCAATTTCCCACTAAGTTCTTGAGGATTCTTATGGACATGGACATGGACATCGTCATCGGAATCGGGTTCGGAATCGTAGATTAGAGAGGTCAGATAATCGAACTCGTCGTCAATATTCTGGTCAGCATCGACAGGTTCCCAAGAGTCTCTACGGTCATAGGTGTTCTCGTTGGCGGGGTTGACCATTTCGGTATAGTAGTGGTATTTGGATGTTTTGTGCTTTTTCTCAGCACGGTCGGGGCAGACTGCTTGTGCGAGTGCTTTTCCAGCGGTGAAGAGGGTTCCTTGGATTGTTTCTAGCATATTGATATCGAAAGTTGAATGAATTTTCTGTTTTTTTTTGCTCTATTATCAAGTTGAGGGTGATGGTGTTTTCTGATTTCGTTGGATCTGAAGTATTCGGGGAGTTCTTGAGGTCTCAGAGTATATGGATATGGGCAGTGGGGTATTGTGCATGCACAATGTTCGAACATGGCACTGATCCCATTGATGAGTAGCATTATGAAATCAACAATGTCACTACATACCTACCTCAGACTTTAAGATAGACATGCGAATCATACTTGCGTCAATCAATTCAATATATCTGATGGCTGAAACTGTTGAACATGACTGCAGATGTCAAGAGTCATCTATCACTGATTTTATCGCTCAAGGTAACATGAGTTTTTTCGTAGATATTATAATAGAGTGTCGCGAAGAATGTGCAAAAGATTTCATGCCGAAGGAATATTGATGATTCATTTCAATCTATATGAGCCGTCCTGACCCGCCGTCCAGGCATTGGAAGATGATTCGTGTCCAGGACTAGTCGTCGTGAGCCCAAGGCTCCATGTAGACAATATCCCTGAGATTCTGAACACCATCCTCAAGCTTGACTTGCTCAAGTCGCCCATTCTTTATGATCATGGGAATAGCCTTCTCTCTCGAAGGATCCACAGACTTGGTGAAGATCTTGAGCTTTTCCATGTCATAGTCTGCGTCGTCAAAGTCTTTGGTGATCTCAACCCATACCCCATCTACCTCGTGCATCGTCTTGGCTCCGGCTGGTACGAGGAGTTCGTTCATCTCGGTTTCGGTTGGGGCTGAGACCAGTGTCCAGGTCTCATCGTCACCGTCGGGGGATTGTTGTGTTTTCGCAGATTGGTCTTCTGTGTTAGCTTTAGGTTTCTCCAATCCGAAGATTCCCTTAACACATCGTATGTGTGTAGACATTTTGGAAGCTGGGTTTTCTTGTGTCATGTTGTTGGTGGTTTTTTTTTTTTATGTTTCTGTCTCAGTGAAGTGAGGAGGAAAAAGAGTTCAGAAGTGGTATTTATATATCAGATACCGCAACACACTGTGCATTGACAACTCGGTTGTTCGTCTATATGAGTACATATGCTATGTGTACTTAAACAATGAATTGCTGAGGCACAGATGAATGCTAGGTATTTTCCAGCCATCTTTAGGTAATTTATCAGGGACGCATTTGATACGGTGCGGGAATGTGTCGGCACAGAATGAATTCGACTTCCATATGTTCGGGTCTCTTTGAGTCGGTTTGTTTGCACGGTTTCGTATCACATGAGCAATTATAGATGGAGGAGAACAGTCATTTTGTCTTCCAGCTGCAATTTGTGCGAGAGAATGCATAAAACTTCGGCAGCATATTTTACTATTTAATCAAAAGAGACACGATCTCGTATCGAAGGAGAAGAAAAAGAGAAGAAGCCTTGAAATCACTGTATGAAAACAGTATCATGTATGAAGCATTGGCTTATTCTATTATTGACGAACCATTCTATCTGCTCGCTTCACACACAAAACGCTCATGAATTAAACTACGTATTTCGAACATGCTTGATATGTACGCTGGATGGAAGAAGATTGAGAAACAGATCTGGAAACTAGTGACAATCCAAACCGGGTATATACAAAACCAGAATGCAGTAAGAAACCCCCAAACTGAAAAGAAGAACTAGCTGATCCCGTTGATGCGCTTCTTCGCAATCCTGATCTTGCCATCGACACGTTCTACATCTTCGCCAAGCCTGTCGAGCATAGCATTCTGCACGATAATCTCTTCATTAATCTGCACGCCCATTTCCTTCATACGCCGCGCCACCACAGTCAGGTCCACCAGATCCTGGTCTTGCTCGGCTACTATTTGCCTCTGCAGTTGCAACACGCCCTCATTGTCTAGCTCTCGAGTACGCTCTGTCTCTTGAACAGGGGCGCCCAGCACGCGTCGGCCTGAGCTGACTTGGTTGGCACGACTGAAGAGACCGGCCTTTTGCTCGCTGGTCACGGCGGCTGAAGACATGGACGGCGCCGAGGAGGAACTGCCAGAAACGGCGGCTTTTACAGCCATGGTATTGAGCACACTTTCCAGCCCATCGCGCTCTTTTCGAGATGTACTGATGAGATCGCGACGACGCCGTATCTCGCCCTCGCCCAACTTCTCCCCGCCCCACTCATCGGCACCAGATCCCCCCAATCTCGAGAGACCCTCTTCCAGAGCGGAAAGCAGCGAGCCGGCTCTAACGAGACCCTTCTTTGCGTTCGCGCCAGCTTCATGTTGTGCTGTAGCTGCCGTAGCCTGTTCCCGCTGGGTGAGCCATCTCCGCGCGTCAGAGAGGTTGCTCTTGACCTCGCTGTATTTGTCTAGCCAGTCGGTGCTGTCCCTCACCCGATCTTTCCCGAACTGCGAGCCGGGAAAGCTCGCCTGCTTCTTGCTCCGATCGCCGAGGTTCAAAAAATCTTTGTACGACTTGCACACCCGCCATCGCCCATCCTCGCTCGCCTCTATTGCCTTTAGGTATTGCTCCAACCCCTCCCTGCGCTTCTCGATCATCTCGGAAGAGCCTGCTGTGCTTCCGAATCCAAGTTTTCCCAGCCCTCCACCGAACCAACTCTTCGCAGGCAGTGACGACGGTGGTGCGGCTCCGGCCTGTGATCTTAGCGCAGAGTCGAGGGCGGCGAATTCAGAGTAGCGTTTTCGCAGGGTCGTAGTGGCGCGGGGAAATGGATGTTCGATGCGTATCTCGTAAGATGTATACTCTTTGCCATTATCTGACTCGGTATGCGCTGTGGGTATGGAGATCCGAAGGGGTGCCATAGTGTTGAAATGGCAAATAGAGGTGCCTAGAGGGAAGTTGTGGTCGCGTGCCGCTGTGTAGTGTGTGTTATACTGAGAGTTTGCAGAGGTGAATAGGGTCCAGCTTCTGATGTGGTGGGAAGTAGTTAGGCAGCCATAAAGATTGCGTTGGGCCAGTAGAAAAATAGGTTTTGTCGATGCTGGAGCTTCCTCCAGGGTCCTGCTTGCTTGACGTCAACCGCAAGTGGCCCATGCGCGCGGCCTCACGTGCAACGTCATATGAGCCAGACTTGAGACCTCCAGTCGAGCACTCAACATCTAATTACTTACATATGTATTCACCCAACTTCGTCTGATCCAAACTGCGCAATGCAAACACCATATTCTCGCCTTCGAGCTCGAGTGCAGTTCGTTATACTGATCACAATGCAGCCGATATATATCGCTCACGATCCTTGTTGTGCACACCGATGATGCATGCGCCCACCAACGTCCAGACATCTGGAGGTAGCAATATGCTCTTCTTGTTTGATCTGGCCCACACACTATTGTTACTCGGGTCTAAGATAGCTCGCGCCTCATATTAAATCCTTTGATGGGTCGATGCGTTTCCAACCGAGGATCTAGATTTGGGTATGAACTTCATCCCGCCTGTTGAATGACGCGGTTCAGAACGGAGGCGCAGGCGCAACAATGTCGCAATTGTGCGACAGCAATAATCGGGTTCATGCAAACAGAGATTGGGTAGCTCGTACAATGTCGCTACCGCCATCCAGTGCACGGCCGAGCAGCTTGTCACTCGCACGCATGTCGACTGGTGGTTCGACTCGTTTTTTGGAAGGGCGAAATTGCATAATCGGATCCTAGGCGGTTGAGCAAACAGGTTACTTGAAATGACTCGCTTCATACTACCTTATCTACTCGTAATCGAGACTTTGTTGACCTTGATGCAGTGGGAACACCGTACATGAGACATGCAAATCCCCGGACTTCGTAATAACCCCTGCCAAAAAGCAAGATTCTGGCCTATCAAACCTCAACGTGGAATCAAGGTCCAAGCATGTCACTGTTTCAACCGCACTCGTATAGTTTGAGCAAGATAGGCGTGTGAGGTCGCCGTTTATATGGCCGCCAGTTCCGTCTTGTTCTCCGCCTCCCCTTCAGCCATGTGACGGATCCTACTATACGCAATCATGCCCTTCTTCACCGCACCACAAGGAACAAATGTAGTGGACTACTCCCATAGTTCTGTATTCACTACTAGCTATCCTACGCCTCCTCCCACATTGAGCAATCTTGCTGTGCCTCTCACGACCATATATACACCGTTAAGCAGTTGCTCGAATCGATGGATGCTGAACATGACCCAAGATGCCATCGATGCGCCCCTCACGATTGCTTTTAGTCGCAGTCTTTCAGATGCTTTGGACGATCCCGAGTATGTCACTTGCCAACCATTTGCTCAAGCTCCAACGTACAGCCCAGGCGTGTGTCCTGACGGGCATACACTTGCTGAGGTCACGGAACATCAAGTGTCAAAGACTGCTGGGGGTATGGATCGATATTGGCAGGCGAGCTGTTGTAAAAGGTTCGTGAACCGTAAGCTAGTGTCGGAGAAAAGCTAACAATTGTCCCATCAGCGGTCTTGGATTCGGTCCAGCTACCAAAGGATTATGCTACAGTAGTGTTACTGCTCCATTACCAGTTCAAGAGGTTATTGGGGGTGTCGAAAAAGAAAACGGACGCAGTGTATCGGCATACGAATTTAACAACGAGGGCTCCACTGTTAAGAATATGGGTATCATGACCACAGGTCTTGCCATTGCGGATCCAGTCATAGTGGGTTGGCAGATCCAAGACCTGCAGTCCTTCCCTTCGGCATATGCTTCATCGCTTGCACAGAGGATAGGCATCTCGACTCCAACCCCGTCACCTGGCTCGGCGTCCACCGTCCCGTCATCCACAAATGAGCCCGCTGCAGCAGAAACGGGCCCTTCGATACCTGCATCTACACCGTCAGGGCTCAGTACAGGCGCAAAGATCGGGATTTCCGTGGGCGTGGTCGCGAATGTAGCAATTCTCGGTGCTATACTTGCCTTTGTTCTTATCAAACGTTCGAAGAAGAAGAAGGAGAGTGGTTCACCACACGGTACGACGCAAGTACATGAAATGCCTGGAGGGGGAGGAGAAAAGACCGACATGACGTTCTATGGCGGTCATTGGTCCTCGCCGACATCGCCAATATCACCGACGCAAGAATTGCAGGCAGACAAAGATGCTCATGAAATAGGGTTGGGTAAGGAAGTACGACGAAAAGGCTCGGAACTAGATTCGAAGGCTGTGCACATCTTGTCGGCAACGCCGATTGAACTGGATGCCTCGAACCACGCCTACATCGCTCGCACAGAGAAGTCGACTATTGGCCGTGCGGAAAAGCAAATAATATGAAACAAATGTAAGACATTCGATGGCGGTTGTACAATGCAGATATTCCGACATCCCACGTAGGGTTCGGCGCGTACTGAATGAATACTCTCTCGGTCTGCCGTTGTCTTCGTGTTGATTTTCCGTAGTGCGCAGAGTCGGCCCCTGCTCACCACAACAAAGATTTTGTATACGATACGTGATATCTACTGAACGAACGATATCTGCAGTGCAATATTGCACATATGAGTGCCGATTCTAGCTAGCCCCAAACCACAGGCAACGGACAAAGTTCTTGTACTACATGTATGTATTGAGAGGCAATAAGTACTGGGTGGAGGCGAATTTCCTTTGGCTGTGCACTGGTACACAGCCAATCACGGGCTAGGATAGCAGTGTTCTTTGAGCAAAAACAGGTTCCTTGCACGGGTGCCAATGTAAAGTTTTAACCTAATCCAGCCCGATCCCCATATAAAGTATGCAGACTTGGGGCCAAAACCCGCTCAGGTCAATCTCCGCCTCGAACATAGATGTACTCGGGAACTCGTTCAAGCCCCCTACCTCTGGCTAAACGGCATTGATTTCAAACCCGACCTTTGCGCAGCAATCGGCCAATAAACGCCAGAGTCTACCTCTTCAGCATAACCCTATTTTGTCCTGCTTCGCACGACTTGGAATCCTGACCCAGCCCATTGCAGTATTGGCGCAATGCCCAGTCCTACCAAGGATGATAGCTGCGCACGGTTGGGGCCATCATAATAGGCAGATGAGTAACGCAAGATTTCACCTACACTTCGTCTCTCCCTCGTATCCGGTACATTTGTCGTCATCACTGGATCTTTCAACATGCCCATCATAGTACCCACCATTCCGCCCGGTGGAAAGAGCCCCGAATGGAACTTGTCCGACTACTCTCACAGTGATGTCTTCACTGTATATCACACAACACCATTTTCGACTCTAGAATACGAAGTTCCTTCCTTGACGACGGCCTTCACTGCTCCAACGGGCTGTGCGGAGCGATGGCTGGTGCGGGGGAAGCCATGGGGACCAGCGACATTTGACGGAACGAAAATCAACACGGTTTGGGACATTTACAGAGGAGGATCTCTTAACCAGGAGGTTCCAGACCCATGGTATGATGCATGTCAACCATACGCTCAAGCATCAGCGATATACAGTCCGGGGATGTGTCCGGATGGGCAGACGGTTGCCGAAATAACAGAACACCAAACCAAAGTATCCACGGGTATTGACAGCTACTGGCAGGCGAGTTGCTGTCCAAGGTGCGTTTGAGCCTTCATTCCCAACCAGGATATGGTCTCCCCACTGCATGAACAACAACTGACCGAGCTTGATATCACAGCGGGATGGGATTCGGCAAGGTAAAGCACGCCCGCTGCCAGAAGACATACGCCACCAGTACAATGGCCTACTACCCGATAACCTCTGAGGTTTCCGGCAAGAGCGGCTCATCCTCTACTTTCTACGAAACCACAATTACCAAGACTGTCGGCTCCCAGAACGATAAACCCGTCATCGAAACTTCCACCCAAACCAGCGTCACAGGACTCGCAGCCGGCTATGCGATCCAGGACCCTGTGGTCGTTGCGTGGCAGAAACAAGACCTCGACTTATTCCCCAGAGACTACGCTTCGTCACTCGCCAGCCAAATCAAGATTCCGTACACAGCAACAGGCACGCAAGCAGCCCCAGCGCCAACATCCGATATCCCAGGCCCAACGAACTCCCCACCTTCTTCCTCGCAAACAGCTACTCCCTCCTCTTCCGAACTCAGCTTCCCAGCCAAAGTTGGTGTAATCGTCGGTAGCGTCGCCGGCCTCCTCGTCCTCAGCACAGTCCTCATCTGCATCCTCCTCCGTCAACGTCAACGCCGCCGTCAAGACCAACAACATCACGACGCCACATCAAGAACAGCTCCATACCCCTCCTACTCTCCTTACGACGATAACCGTGACACAACTGATACCACCTCCGCTGGCTTTCTATCAAAATGGTGGCGCACCCGCGGCACAGACGGTAATGGTGCAGGGATCCTCGGCGCCTCCCATGCACGACGCCAGATGCTGTCCTGCAGCACCGAGAGATTGGAACTGGAAGCTTCGTCTAAGAAACCTGCTGTAGAGCTCGATAGTCCGGCGCCGAGTCCGGGGCTCGTGGGAGAGAAGGGAGGAGGAGCGAACGGACATCATGGTGGTGATGCAGCGGCTGCGGCGTGGGCGCATAGAGTCAGTGTGCAGGAATTGAGCGGCGAGAGCGCTAAGCCTGCTTCGCCGCTTGGTGTCGATGCGAGGAGAAGATGAGACTTGTCGAATAGAGAAAGCATAAGAAGCGCTGTGGGATAATGTTTCATGTTTACGGGATGCATTGGACTTGTTTGGATTTTTTTTTTGATGTTTATGTAGCTGGCTTTATACCCTTTCCTTAAGACTTGAGCTCCGGTTTTAGTGTGATATGGCGAGAAAATACATATAGATCTCGCGATAATGAAAGAAGCACATTAGAATCTACTCACTGCAGTGATTTTTCCCAATGAATGGTGTACCACCTGCCGAGTTATCGAGCAGGATCCTACGAATTCACGAAAACAGTCACGAAGAACGATAACCGCGCCTACAACGACATGATCCATCTTCTCCACCATGCAATAAACGCCCACCCATCCACCGACCACCACGTCATCCAACCACACATGCAGCTTTCTATCCGATCAAGCCTTTTTCAAACAATACACGCGCGCCATCGGGACGGAACGCATACTCTCCCCCGGCGGCGTCCGAGTTCACACCACCCCCCTTCCTCCCTCGGGTCATTGCGTTCCCGTTAGCACGCCTTAAACCTTCCGCTTGAACCTTCCCTCCCATCATGCCAACCCAATTCTATTTTCGGTAAAAAGTAAGCAATAATTTTAGCCCGTGCAGATAGACAATATCAAAAACAATTCTCCGGTCGGGCCGTGCGTCAGTCAGGCGTTCATTTGTCCGTGTTCGCGCCGAACCCCCCGACGGGCTGCCTCATCTCAACCCAGCGAGCCTCAGCTTTTTATTGAACGCGCTCCCCCAGCGCAGGAGAGCGGGTTACAGGAGCAAAAAGACAAAAACATACAACAGCAGGTATTCGCTAGTGGTCACCCACCTAACTACTAATCCGCCGGTACCATGCTTAAGTACAGCTGAGCGGACGGGAAGCTCTGTTTTCATGGTCCTATGGTCGTATGTGGAAGAAGGGGGTAATTTGTCTAAACTTGTATCAAACCAATTCGTCTGAACTTGGGTTTGATGGATAATGTGGTTCAATGCCAATGATGACATGATACTTAGAAGATAGCTTGACCATCAGACACCAACACCAGGCATAGTGAGTAGACGCGTATAGTGATGAATGACGCAGATCGAAATTCAAATTGCATGTGTTCCTTGTACCTCATCAGTGTCACAATAGTTACAGAACATGTGGTCTCCTTAGAGCTTGAAGGCAAATTTATCGTGTTTGATAGTATTGAGTGTTGGTGCTGCATAGAGTAAGCGATGATCAAGTAATAGACTGAATAGCACAAGATATTGCATTGGATGGGGTTTTGAAAAGAAAGAACAAGACCTTCTGAAGCTTGAAAGGGAAATGAATGTGGAGAGTGTCTGTTTGCTGTTAATGAGAGTTTGCGTCCTCGGTCTATTCGTATCTTAACGTTCCGTCCTCCCGTTCTTTTTCTTCTTCTTCTAGAAATAGTGATGATATCTGCTATGTCATGGGAGGTAGCATGGCCTTACAGAGATGAAGGCACTCTATAGTTGAGATACGCAGGATTGGAAGACGTTGAACAGGGGTCATCGGGCATAGCACCGCGGCCCGGCGGCGTAGGTTTGGCTTGCTGTACTGTAACGTAGAGCGGAGCGAACAAACTGCTTCCTACATGTCAGCTGACTGCAGGTAGGCTCATCAGACGTTGAGCCGTTCAAAGAGAGGGAGAACTTTAGCGGTTTCTTTTGTTCAGAACTCTAGAAATACAAGGTGTTCAGGTCTTGAACACTTTCGCTAGGCTGTACTCTCTTATACCAATTCTCATTCATCATCCATCACAACGAATGAAGCGAAGCCAGTATTCACCTTCGCTGACAACAATACTGGCTGTCATGGACACGCTCAACAAGACGCCAGAGCAGGATTCACAATTTCGATACTTCCCAATGCTCGCTGCTGAGCTCAGAAATCAGATATGGGAGCTGAGTCTACCCGTCACAACCAACCCCGGATTATCACCCTACAAGCCTGGATGTTGGATTGCCTCTGGCACAGCTGTGCCTGGCCTGGCGATCGAATTCGCTCATGATAGACTACGCCCTATTCTCTTTCAATTGCCAATGGCTCATGTCAATCACGAGGCTCGTAGTATTGCTTTGACCTTTGCCCGGCAGCAAGGCCTCAAGCTGTACAGACACGGTGAACGCGGCCCCATTTATACAAGACACTTCGATCCAAAGAAGGATGCCATGTTCATAGGAGAGGATCAACTCGTTACCGTCCTAGTAGATTTCGATAACCGCCTTTCGGAGCCTGACCTAATCCGTCGCACAGTGGAGACAGTCTCATTCGTCGAGAAAATTGCTATCCCCAAGTCATGTATCCAGAGCATGCTGCCAAAAATGCCAGCTGTGATGGAGCTATTCTATTATACACGTACTTTGCTTACAGTTGTGGGATCGACGCCCCCGGATCACGCAAACCTGACACAGTGGGAGTTCTTCGGTGTGCCGGGTGCCATTTGTAGATGGTCTCATACTTGGAGGCGCTTCGAGTGGAGCAGTGATGATGGTCGATTGGATTGTGTGATTTCCCGGTGGGAGATCCCCGTAGGCGCTTTGGAAGAGTTCTCTAGTAACAATACTGGTGTGTTGGAGATACGCCCGGTTAGGGCTGTCAGAAACACAGTGTAACCAAGATATTTGGCGTATGTGAGATGACCTTTAGGGAGCTAGAAATCAAGTTAGTAACACGTTGATCATTCTGACGGCTGGGAAGGCTGTAATTGGGTGAATTGTTCTCGCATATCCTTTCCACGCTTTCTTATTGACCCTGAAAGTCTGTAGGTCAAGTGGTAAATGATCAGCAGGGTGAAAGAGTGTCATACCAACCAAAACCGCTAACATATAATGTCAGCCATCAGTATTGAGAAAAAGGAGGCGTGGGAAACATTTTCCTAGAATGGGTAGTGCATCGAACACCCAAAATGCCCATTCGTGAGACATCAAGTAATCCGGCTCGGAGCTGGCGATTTCGAAGGTACAGTAAATAGTGCGGATCTAGGAGGCTCGGGTTAGCGAAGTAAGAGATGTGGGATGATGGCATACAAGAATCAAGAAAGCAGACGTGGTGACGGCCCAGTTCAGGCGTATCCAACTCATCGAAGATGAGATACGCCGGTCGATACATCCATCCCAGTGTCGACTGACGATGATGAATTGAACTGTGACTAACGCAAACAAGGAAAAGCGGATGACTTGAAGGAATAACCCGAATCGGAGTATATTGCGTCCATTATTCCGCTGCTCTTCTCGCTCATTTGGGCTGAGTTTCTGGTTTCGATTAGCTGTTGTCATGAACGAACCACCCAAGAGCTGGATCAAGAACGATGCCAGGTCAAAAGCAACGAAAAAAATCGTGGAGAATCGTGGTGGAAACCTAGATGACGGCTTGGTGTATGAAAGGATTGTCTGAGACCGCACAGTGCTTTTTGGACATACATAACCACTCCAACCTCCCTTTTGCTTCCTCATTATACTCGCTCAAGAAGCTTTTTATAGAATCCCAATTCTTTCATTCTTCAAACAGATTGCAAATTACACAATCAAAGTCTCTCTATATCTTGCTAATTCTCAGTATTTTCAACTAATCTTGAAGATGACCATCCTCCTTCACCACTTTTGCTGACGCAAGACCCATCTACCCCCTCAAATTTCGTTCTAACACCTGCTCGGTGCATCTGACGCCTATATCCTCCCAGTAACCCCCTCGGGCATCGACGCTGATCAAATTGCCTTCCTCCAATAATACCACTGAAAAAAATGGGGACAGATATGCACCGATGTGTCCCAACTGCGAGATATTAGCGGAAAAGATTATTTCGGAGGGGAGACGCTACGGATAAGACGGTCAAGAACTTTAGCGTTTCGAGTTGGGTTGTTTGATCGCAACGCTGAACTCCACCGATCTGACTTTGTAAGAATTGCGTTTTTGTTGGTCTAAAGTAAACACTAACTAATCAATAGGTCTGCCAATAGGCACATCTGGGCTCTATATCAGTTATCTTGTTTTCTCTTTATAATAATTCACTTAGTTGAATCTGTGTTGTTCATATAACTTCATTTTCACTATCGTTTATATGCTACTACCCAACGCTCACTACCTTCTACGAGACTCTACATTTCTCTCGGCGGCATAAGTGAAAGGTGATGCGATGGAGGAAGCGGCGCGAGACAAAAAACAAGATTGGAAGCGCACAACCTCTGCACCCACAGTACCAGATTTGGTTATTTGCCGCAATATAATTGATTTAGAATAACTTGAATCATCCATAACTCAACTACTTCTGGGGTATCGTGCGATCTTGACTATATAACAGCGGAATGTTCAGTCGCAAGCCACTATTCAAGCGGTTCCAGATCGCGATCCTCTAGTGGAGTCACCGTCGTGTCTCTTTGAATGTTCTCATCGGTTCTTTCGACTGTTTTCCTGCAATATATACCCCCACCCATGCATGAAACCCCTCATGACAATAGTAAATAGTGAAAAGCAAGGCATAACACGCTGTCTTCTCTACATCTCGTAACGTACAGGCTCAGTCGCCAGCCTGGGATGGGCTTGAGGTCTAGCACCAAGTTCAATCGGATCATCATACATGTGCGATGGAGCCTCGCTCATGCTTGAAGCGTAGTGATGATAGCTGCCAGGATGGTTGTGATAGTGCTTCTGTAGCTCTTCAATAGGGGGTGCTGCTGTGGTGATGGGCACACTCTCTTGTCTCTTGTTGTCTTTCCTACGCTTAAGCAGAAAAGCGATAAGCCCAGCACTGATGATCACAGCAATTGGAACACTCGCTGCAATCCCAATTTTTGCATCTATAGGGAAACCATCGTTGTTGTTGGTTGTAGGAATCTCTGAGGAAGTTGATGACGGAGAGTTCTTAATAGAATTGACTGTGGTACCGGCATTCGTCGGAGCCCCGGGTTTGGGGTCAATACCATTCGTAGGCTTTGAGGAAGTAATTGGCGTCGTTGAGCTCGGGGTATCATTCGAGGTAGATGATGGCTGGTCTTTATCCTTTTCGGCCTCAATGTTGAATTGGCGACTATTTGCATCTGCATTCGCCTTGCCTTCTTCGAATATACTGAGGTAGAACAAATTGGAAACTTTGAGATTCTTTCTTGTACCAACCAGCCATGCATATCTCGTCACGCCAACTGCGCCTTCTGTTCACATGATGTCTTGGTCAGTGTGACATGATTCTCATGTGTTAGGTACGTAAGCCGATCTCAAACATACGCGTCAGATATTCCATATCATCAAAATACACCTTGGTCGTCTGGTTCAGTTGGTAGAGAACGATAGAGACTCCATTACTGGTGTTATCTGGTGGTGTCCACGATATCTCCAAATTTGAGCCTTGAGGGTAAGATGGTTTTGTACTGTCATCTTCCTTTCCTGAAGAAGGTCCTGGGTTGATGAATGTACTACATGATGCGCCAGCCAACAACCACGACAGGATAATCAAAACTGTCAGGCCAGCCATGAGGCAAACAATGTATATTCTCGATATGATTTGGGGACGCGTGGTGTCGTAGTCAACACAGGATAAGGCGGAACATTGAGTATACAAAAACTAGAGGTGGGCCATGAGTAGATACCCCTTATTGACCTACGTAACTGACAGACGAGTTTTGAGGCAATTACGAGCTCACGGAATGTGCGGCGTAGTTATCTGAGGGCGGCACGACAAAAGCTGGGTCTAGTCATCGAGGTCCAACCAATGGTATGGATAAACCCAACGGCGACGCAGTACCGCCCCAATACTACATACAATGCTTGTATTCCAATATTCTAGCATAAGTAGGCGGCCATGTTCAATTTCTGTGATAGGTAGCCAACATTCATCGTTTTATCCCTGCATTGCTAGCCTTTCCTCACGGATCTCACGGATGCTCCGCTCGTCCTTCTTATTGTCGACCGTGGCAATCATCGTTGGAGTGGACATGCGTGATGATGACGTGGTGAATATGAGAATTATATGTGTTCTACATGTAATTTCATGACAGTTAGAGTGCATATAGCATGGAATCTGCCAAATCTCGAGTTGATACAATGATTTTATTTGCGCGCAACAACTTTTGGTTCCTTCTGGAGAGATGCGCTTCATAGACTTGAACATCATGTTAAGCGCCGGGTCAGCGAATCGGATGATGGTAGGGTACGTGCGGGAGGCCAAGATTTTACCCGCCCACGAATTGTATCTCTGCCAGAGGAGGACTCTGCCTTTTTGGGGTCGAAGTGTTTCAGCTTTCAGTCATATATGCATGTGTCTCCCGAATCCTGAGGTCGTCAGGCGTGCGGCGGTTGTCCTTCCCCTAATAAGACAACTTCCGGTCATGACTGCCGCCCCGCACATCCTGCTCAACTCAACTAGTTATTCCAACACTTCGCATCTCTTCCAAGTGTCATCAATATTTTAAAAACTACCATGCTTTCATCGCAGATTTTCCTTTCTTTCAAAACCCCTCGCCTTTTTATCGTGCCAACTTTCTTCGTATTTATTCTTTTTTATTATCTTCATATCTGTGGTATTACGTCTCCGCGGGCGCCATATATTCAGGCGACACCAAATGGAATACCGAAAAAAATATGGTACAAGTTGGGTCCGAAGGGTCTGAACAGCGACACGCGGAATTGGACAGATAGCTGCATCAGTATCAATCCGCGGTATCAAGTCGTTTTCTTAACAGACGAAGACGCTGATGAATATGTCAAGAAATCGTGGGAGGCACGTCCAGATATTGTGGAAACTTATCTTGGTCTTTCGATACCTATTGTGAAGGCGGATCTGTTGCGATACCTACTACTTTTCGATCAGGGTGGTATTTGGTCTGACCTTGATATATCCTGCGAGGGTTTGCCGATCGACCAATGGATCCCGCAGCAATACAACTCTACTGGACTTGTAGTGGGATGGGAGTTCGATATGGGTTGGGGGACATCATTTATTCGCCAATTTGCAAGCTGGACAATTATGGCTAAGCCAAAATCGCCTCATCTAATGCAACTTATCGAGGATATTATGACGGCCTTTCGCAAGATCAGAGAAGAACAAAACGTGCCAGTCAAGGACATTACGATCACAATGACCGGAGAGATTGTAGATTTCTCTGGGCCCAGACGTTTGACGAATAGCATTATAAAAAGCCTCGGGCAGACTCTGGACAGAACTATCGAGATGGACGAGATATCTCAACTCTTGCAGCCCAAATCAATTGGGGATGTTCTAATACTACCCGGGCATCAATTTTCTGCATCAGCGAATACGTACACCCCAGAAGAATTCGAAAAATTACCCCCAAAACTGGTATCCCATCATTATGCCGGTTCCTGGAAAAACATACAAGGAGGGGAGGTCTGAGGGTTATGATGCGATATAAAAAAACGGCATTTAGACATGTCGATAACGGTCTCTATGAGTGTTGCCAAATTCAATTCCCATTAGTTATATGGCCATCCGACTTCTATTTTCCCTTCTTTTCTTTTGTTTGGGGTATATAGTCTCCTTATTGTATAATACTTGGAATGATAGATTTTTACATATAATAGATGAGCATGACTCAGGAAACGAAACTAACTCTTGAAGTCTGTAGCTTAGTACAAGGCACACTAAGTTTATTGTGTGGTTATCGCATACTCTATGCGACACAAACATTCAATATTATACAACGTAATAAATCGGCCTTTAAGCTACAGGCAGAACACATGTTCTGGTTATTACGAAACTGATAAGTCGCTATTGTGGATAGCTGAGTATTTTGTGGTATGAAATTAAAAAACGAACCTGGTTTCCATCAACAGCAGGCATTTGCAGACATATACAGCAAGAACAGAGAGTGTATAACAAGAAGATCCATCTCACATTAGTACGTAGTTGACAAATTTAAACACAAAGCATTCAGAGTTTCCAGATACAGTTGTATAACTCTGAGAACACGGCTCTTTATATAAGCTATGCTCAAGTGCAGTACCGGTAGATTAGTAGTTAAGTAATGAACTACTAAAATACCCGCGGTCATTTGCTTCTGTTGTTCATCTCCAGTCCGTCGTCTCTATGCCTTCATCTTGTGTCTTGATTTCAATGGTTTGCTTTCTTTTGGTTCGTGAGTGATGCGATACTGCGCTTTTTTCAGGCCGCACATCACGAGTCCCCTCCGCACTAGCAACCTCCACAACACTATCCATTGCAAATTCCTCGTCATTTATACGTCTTTGTACTCGCCCAGCAGTGCTCCAGCTCCCAATGGTACGAGGCCATGGAGCGGCTTCAGTCCTAGATTGCGAAGAGGACGAACGCGCCCCCCTGGTCCACGACTGCACACGCACCATCATGCGTGATAGAATGCTGGATTCAGAGAAGAGTTTCGGTAACACGGGTGCGCAGAAGACGAGAAATGTGCATGTTAATTCCGCGACGCCCAGGAGTTGGATCTGCGAGAAGTGGTACATAGCATCTATCGATTTTCCGAGCGGATCGACGGTTCTATCTCGGTTTATGAGGAAGTAGAGACGTGCTATTGATAGAGCAATTGTCCTAGCTGCATATTAACTCTTGGCAACTTTTACCAATGACACTTTCATTGCGTGGAGGTAGAGTAAAACGTACAAGATTCCCACGGAAAATACGATTGAAAGGCCAATTTTACGACTTTTGTGAAGTTGGAGCCTCCAGATGATCCTCTGGGGAAGGCAGAAGATGAAGACTTCTAGGGCAAGATTGTGTGCACCAATGGATATGTCACGTGATTTGAGGTTCAGACATTGGCCTTGTACCCACGCATGTATGACTTTCTCGACTGGACGGCACGCGAATATGGTGAGAAAGAATGCAGTGATGTATAGGGCTACATTCAGCGTGATAAGGGTGACACTGAGGCGGAAATAGATGCTGCCCGTACGGTTTAGCGCAAAGATGCGCTGCCATTCGAGCAAGACAGCTGTTTTGAGGAATAGTGCGGTACACCCGTATGAAAGGGTAACTATAAAGACGAGCTTGGAGATATTAATAGGATACTATCAGCGTGGGTAACATGGATGTTGCTACTCACAGTATTGAACCTATCGTATACACGACCCTGCAAGTCCCACTGGTGCACATAGAAGCCTACATGGTTGCCGTAGTCGAATGCAGCCCATGTGAATACTACGAATGGTACCTGGATCAGTCAGAATTGATTCCCCGTTGAAGTCAGACATTTATGGACAACACACGAGCGCAAACAGTCCAAAGTCTCCACGACACAGTCAGTAAAGTTTCGATTGGCTAACGCACAAAGTCAACGGAACTCACAGTCCTCAATATGCCATTTTTTTGTCACCAAGACGCGAGAAGATACCCGTGCGATCAGAGTCAGGGTGGCAAGGACTAAGCAGATGGTAACGAAAGCGAAGGCTTCTTTGTTGCGATTTTTGGCGTGGCCAGGTTTCGCGTCAACGCCAGGCGGTGGCGTAGAGAGAGGAGCCGTCAAAAAGTCCTCGAGGGCGTCGCGACCGAAGATTCGAGGAGTATGCTTGGTCATAGCCATTGCAACACAGAACGAGACAACAGAAGCATAGAGCGATGCGTCGTTCTGGTCCGAGGTCTCATAAGTGCACTCGGCCTGATTTTAGGTCGGAGGAAAGGGACTGTTGGGTGAAGATTCGAGACTCTCGGGGGCGAGGCAGGTGATCCGTGTTGAAGTCCGATTCTTGAGCAAGATAGATGAATGTCTCGTATTCGGCAGTAGCGGCCCCGTCTTCTTGAGGCAACACAAAAATCGAGAATGAAAGCGGGCCCAGCCTTGCATACGCGCATGACCAATCATATTTATTCCATGGATCAGATAGAGGGCAAGAAAAAATCGGTCGAAACATAAAGATGGGTTTCCTTGTTGCAGTTCGTGATGGTGTAATGGCCAACCTGGCGCTATAATTCAAGGGATTATAACAGCATCAGCGTTATAGACGAGTAGTGTGGGCGGCACATATTCAGATAATCGCAAAGCAGTAATTAATTCCGGTACTTCGAGTGATGTATCCGCATGAGAGGATTCACTGTATGAGACAGACGATATATCGACCGAGATGTTTAGTACGATGGGCCGACCTGCAAGTGGCTACCGACAAAGACGACTCTAATTATGTCGACACCACGTGCATTACATGTGCAGGTGACGTAACTGGTAGAGGCGACAGACGTTCACGTATTGTTTGTTGCAGTAACGCGGTTCTCCGATATCTTAGTCGTGCATATGCGCGATGAGACTGTTTAGCTGAGAGGCCGTCTCCGCCGTCCCCTCTGTCCCACTCACACGTCAGACATGCATCAGTCCCGCATTCTTTTCAAAGCGACATGCATACACATATATGTACGAGTCTGTTTGTCATGCAGCGTGGTACCACGACAACCGTAATTGAGAAAACGGCTCTCGACAGACGTAAACATGCCAGGTGTCCATCAGCGTGGGATGAGGATCCTGCTCATTGAGGCTACGTTATTGGTCATATGTGGAGCGCCGGCGCTACGGGCGAATGACAGGTCGCCGCGTTCTCATGCATCCTGTCTCTAAGGAACGGTACAGCAGCTAACACAGTGACGGTGGCTAGAAACGAGACGGCGGCAGTGAAGGGCGAGATGCCATGCTGGCGTCGAGTCGAGTCTGCGAACGGGATCGGCCGAAGAAGCGGAAAGCTGGAAACGCAACGGCAGTGACGAGGCCGATTATCAGCCATATGACCAAGTCGTCGAGTACAGACCCTGGGGGGATAGAAAGTAAAACAAAGTGCCGACGGATGTTCCCGTCCAAGCGCGAGCTGGCTCTGCGTGGTGTCTGCTCAACCGTTGGCCCCGGGGGCCGGGGGCTAGGAAGGAAGCGTGGGTCCGAGCTTTCTTTGTTTACACCACCCACCCACCACTCGTGACCGCTTACCAGCCGCTGCCAACGTCCAAAGCGACAATTTCTTGCATCCTTCTCCTATTGCTCTTGCTTTCCATCGTAACCAGTCCAACGACTGGTAATCTTCCTCGCCTGCAGACTTTTCTCGTCCAGAAGTGCTAATTGGCCCTCAGAACAGCAAAAAGAAAACCAAGCAATCTTTCCAAGCACAAAAACAAAAATTGAAAAAAACTTTCCCGTATCCCCGTCGTCGTACAGCCTCCGCGGATGGTTTTTCGGGCTCCACCTTTCTCGCTCGACCCCTCCCTCCCTACTTCCCCCGTGCACGTACAATAGCCCACGGCTCCCATCTCCATCTTGAGAATCCTCGGATTCACCACCCTACACACAGCCCCAAGGGGCATCAGCCGTCATGGACGGCCCTCCTCCCCCTCCACCGCCCCACGGCGCGAATCCAAAGACAACCGGAGGTAGTAGCGGCGGCAGCGGGGGACTTCCAGCAGGCAACTATGATATCTTCATAATACCACCTCATTCTGCGGGTGGCGGCTTTGTCTACTTGCCCAGTCTGCAAGTTCAGCGGAATAGCTTCCTGGCTGGTGTTGGCAGTACCATTGCTGCTATCTCAGTATGGATGATGATCCAACCCACTCTCAAGATCTGGTTCATGCTGGCTACCCAGAGCGTCTCAACAGGTGGGAATGGTGTCGTACTTTTGCTCATCGTCGTAGGAGCTGCTGGTTGGGCTTGGGGGAAGACACAAAATGGCGGTGGATCGTTTGGCGGGGGAAACAGTGGGCCAGGAGGTGGTTCAGGTGCTGGAGCTGGAGCTGGAGCCTCAGGGTACCAACGAGCACCTCCGCCGCCTCCAAATGGTAGCTATCCGGGCAGTGGTGCGCCTCCGCCTCAGGGTGCTCAAGGCGGATGGGGTGGACAGCACCAACAGCGGGGTGCACCACCAAACGGGGAATCATGGTCGGAATCGCAACCAGATCCCGAAGCACAAGCACGCGAAGAGCGAGAGAAGCAACGGAAAGAAGAGGAACAAAAGAAACGAGAAGAGGAACAAAAGAAACGTGAAGAGGAACAAAAGAGACGAGAAGAGGAGCAAAAGAAACGGGAAGAGGAGAGAAAACGAAAGGAGGAAGAGGAGCGGAAAAAACAAGAGGATGAACGGAAAGCTAAAGAGGAGTTAGAAAGGCAAGCTAAGGCAAAAGCAGAGAAAGAGAAGTGGGAGAAGATGCGGGCCCGAGAGCGGGAGCAGCGAGAACGAGACGCCCGAGAACGCATCGCAAAAGAGAGAGCCAGAAAAGAACAAGAAGCTAAAGAGAAAGCAGAACAGGAAAAGAAGGCCCGCGAGGCAGAGGCCCGGGCCCAGATCGAGAAAGAAATACGGGAGAAACTCGAAGCGGAACAGCGAGCCAAAGCTGCCGAGGAGGCCTTGAAGAAGGCTGCAGAAGAGAAAGCTGCCGCTGAAGCCGCCGCCGCAAAAGCCAAAGCCGACGCCGAACGTAACGAGAAGTTGAAGGCCGCCCGAGAAAGAGCTCAAAGGGATCGCGAGGCACGAGTTAAAGCTGCCGCGGAGAAGACCAAAGCCGAACAGCTGAAAGCTGCAGAGTCCACTTCGAACCGACGGTCTACAACATACGGCGGCGGTGGAGGAGAGAAGCTGGATCCGTACGCGGGTGCTAAAAGCCCACCGACAACACCATCCGTCACCTCCACGCAGTCGTCGCCGATAAAAGTGACCATGACACCCAAGAAGAACTACGAGAAGCCGTCCGCAAAGTCTTACGTGGGCACCGAGGACGACCATTCGTTCAGACCCTACGACGGGCCCGGGAGACGGCCTCCAGTTCCCCCATCTCACTCTTCATCCTACACAGCCAGCAGCTATGCGCCGTCGGCATCTACATCGCGGACCACGCCCCCGTCTAGCCAAAGAGGCCCGTACTCCACAAGCGACCCTGACAAGATCCAGATCAAAGCCGTATACCTCTTCAACGACCTGTTCCCCAAGCCCGTGGCGCAACTCGTTGCGAATGTGGGCAAAGTGACCGATGGGCTGATTCTGAAGGTCCAGTCTGAAGGCCTGTTCATCGACGACGACGTCCGCGGCATTCCGCAGCGCGAGTGGGATGTTAAAGCGTGGACGTTGAAGCTTGTCGAAGTAAGTCCCTTATCCCCCTTCCCTGCTTTTTCCTCATGCACATCTAACATTCAACGACAGACCGGTCAACTCCCCTCAAAAGGCCTCCACATTCTGCGCGCGGCGGTCCGCGATACCGACGGCAAGAAATACATTTTCATGGTCGATGAGTCGGAGAGCTGGAAGCTCACGGTTGGCTTACAGCGACTTAGGAAAGGCTCACAGGCGCGGACTACGCAGTATGCGCAGATGCCTCCCGCGGAGATGACGCGGATTCTGAACTCGGTGCCGCCGTTCATGTAGGTTTGCCGAGACGGAGACGAAGAAACGTGTACATCAAGATGTGGTGTGTTTGGAGAATTTGTGTATATGCGTGGTGTGGGGGGATAATAGTAGAATAAGCAAGAGAAAGAGATGGAAAGAAAGAGGAAAGATTCCCCTTTGTGAATATTGTGTGTTTCTGTGTATGGGGAGAGAGAAAGAGGGGGGTATCTGCTGCGTGTTCATTGCTGTTTGTTTATGCTGCTCATTGGAATGCTGTTTTGTTGCCGCGGTCAAGAAGAGATTCCCCCCCCCCCATCCATCCCTCGTTTTACCTTGCTCTGCTTTTTTGTTTCTTAAGACACAATGTTTCTCTCTCCCTTGCCGGAAGACCCCACTCGTTAGTACCTATCCCTCACTGATTCTTTGCATGAAGCGATGGAGTTTGGTTCCAAGTTTGTTTTTCCGAGTAGATATACTAGAATGAATTTATTGGAATTCGATTCTCCTCATTATTTCTGCTACCCATCAAGAACAGAATACAGCGCAGGTCATCCGAACAGATTCAGTTCCCCGCCGCAGGAAGGAAGAAGAAAAAGAAAACCCCTCATTACTCATCTCAATTCAATGGCATGCCACGAGCAGCGACAAAGTACCGCAAGCTCACGCCCTGCACCGACGAATGAATCCTCACTCTCAGTCCATATCCAGCATAATGCTATTGTACGGCTGGATCTGGCTGCATGCACATGCTCCGTCCTCGGTGCCGCAGCGGATCGGTTCCAAAGTCCAGGAGCCAGTGCAGTTGATAGTGTTGTAGACGCGCACTGATAGTAAAGAAACCCCACACATGTTAGCGGCAAAAGCTCTACACGCAGTCTCCCAACCATAGAAATGAAGAGTAAGACGGACCGAACAGTACAACGCGCCACAAAACGGATACAGCAAAGGAAATAGAAAGAAAGAGATCACTTACGAGAATTGTACCCCAACTTCTCATGCGCCCATAGTACCTGCAGCCCATTCCACTTCGCTCCCATCTCCTTATCACTCTCGCCATCATCATCTACGGCAGCGGAAACATCGTCGGTATTGGAGTACAGTTGGACGCACTGCTGTCCCTTTCCAATCTCCATTCGCCCGTCGGACGTCGAGTTCACGACTTCGCCGGGCTCGCGGCACTCAACATCGTTGAAGACGGTGAGGACGACCAGGGGATCTGACACCGGGGCTGCGTCGACGGGAGGAGATGGGATGGACAGCTTGGATGGAGGTACGGCAGCCGTAGAGTCGAGACTTTGCGGTGGAGTTTAGTTTCGAGGTGACATGATGAGCGTGGAATTGCAGAGGGAGACTTACGGAGCGCCGAGAGCGACGAGAGCGAGAGATGCAGTAGAGAGGAGGAGCGTGTAGAGACGCATGATTAGGAGATGTTTGCGTTGTTTCTGTTGTAGGATGTGTAGGTGTTATAGGTGAGGGGAGGAAGAGTAGGAGCTTTTTCGAGTTGAGTTCGAAAGTGGGAGCCGAAGAAGTTATTAGTGTAGGGCACCGTGTTACGTTGAGGTAAAGAATATTTGGGGTAGTGAGGTCAAGGCGGGTATAAATTAGTAGTGTAACAAACATGGAAGGCACCACCAGATGTTCAACTGAGGAAAGAACGAGACGACTAGTCGCTACACCACTACATCACAGGGGAAAGCCCATCCAAGGATAGATAAAGTATTACCTGCTCTTTTTACTTTGATACCCTGTTATATAGCAATTTAACATGGTTTCTAAGGCATGTTAATAGGATCTAGACATAAAGTACAGCCTTGAATGAATGTTGATAGCTGACACTAGGGTGGGCCCGCCCTTGTAATGTGTCCATATCCCATCCAAATTGATTCTCTATTGAAGACGACCATAGAGGCCTCATATATGAATGTTGTCAGAAAATGCACGAATTGACTTGAAAGGCTATTGTTGGGCAACCGGACATTTTGCTCTCTATTGGGTTTGTGCGACTGCAGTTACTATCGACGCGAACTAGGTTATTAAACCGCTAGACGGGCTCATATCGAAAACGACCTGAGCCAAGGCCTTCTTGTAATTACCCGGGACTGTAAAGACCGGCGATCGTTGCTTGTGTCGGAAGCTTAATTGACCACTCATGGGTGAATTTAGAGATCGTCCAACATCCGCGACTCTGCTCGTGCAACGTCGCACGACGCTATGATGTCGATTTTAACATCGGTAATTTCACTGTCAAGCATGAAAGGCTGCGCGCTGAGCGCAGTCAAGTCTACGCCTGGATATCAGCGGTTTTCCTGATGGGCGTTTGGATTGGCGCCTATGACATTGATTAGTTGTGTAGTTGAAAGACGTGGAACGAAATACCATACCAAGAACCCAGCCAATGCCGCTTGCAAGACCTCCCGTGACGGCATTGGCTACGAGATCCCTCTTGCGAACTCTATCTTCTGCACTCATGCTTCCCGAATCACTGAAATCCATGGACATGCGACCGCTGTCCTCGCCAAAGTCCCTGTCCTGAGTACTGGTTGAAGATTGGTTCTCAGCTGCACCCCGGAGCGGAAACGCACTTTTAGAGAACGCTGCAGCGGCTCCTCTAGCAACGTCAAACAGGCCCATGGGAGACTCCTCCACAGCACCTCTACCTACTTCGCGGCGGGGTTGCACAACCAACGTTTCATTACTAAATGCACCAGGTAACCTGCGATCTGCCGCATCGTTGAAGCGTTCTTCGGCTTCATTTTCTTCCGCTAACAAAGCAGTCATCTCATTTTCACATTCCTGCCATACTGCAAGGACTTCTTCCAGGTGGCGTGGGGGTGTAAGAAGCAAAGCTTGGGACAGCAATTCCATACGTTGTTCCAGTTGGCGCAAATCAGGGCGAGATGTGGTATTTTGGCCCCAGCTGAATGATGATGATGGAGAAGTACGATGTCGGCCTGCTTCGAGAGCTGCGCGCCAGGCAATGTCGTCATTATCCTCTTTAACCGGAGACTCTAAAGAGAATGGATTTGAAGAAACGGACGCTTCAGGCGAGACGGAGGGTGATGGTGTACTTGGATTCAGTCTGTTGACCACGTATGAGTAGGCAGTTTCGAAATCGTCTTCTGCAAGAGCTGCTTCCACTGTCATGCCTATCACGCGGCGCTCAGCGACTGCTTTTTTCTTGTCCAAACTAGCTGACTCTATTGGAGCATCTGTCTCATCTCCATCAAGTAGCGTCGACGGTCTTGCCATGACGAGGTTTTGTCCAATTGTTATCATGTCGTCAAGGTGCGTGTAACTGCGACTGTTCTGCGAGAGCAGTTTCTGGATGAGTGACAACGGATCAGAACTCACTCTGATGTTCACAGGTTGGAAGGGAACGCCGTGCTGAAGAGTAAGTGAGTAGAAAGACATTGCATGTGTGGCTGCGAGTAAAGCTTGCAGTCGCTGGAAACGGTCGGAACTCTTGAAATGAGGATTGAAGGCCGACGCAATATCAGAAGCCCGCTTGATACCCCCTCTCGACTTATTTCCATTGCTAGCATTGTCGTAATGATGCATCGCGGCTTCTAGCACAATACGCTCCACACTCGAAGAGGGTAGGGGCAGTGACCCGGTTGGATGTTGAACATAGATCTCGATAGCAAGGGCGTAGTGACTGCTTTCAAGAAGGCCTTTAAGAATCTCCGTCTCGACAACGTCGATATGAAGATTCCCTAACACACCATATCCGTGGCGCCTTGCTGTGTCCTCCACGCTGGAGCCCCATCCCCAAAGCCATAGTATCTTAGCCCTTGTTGCTTTCCATTGCTCACTTTCTATCTTCGCAGTCGTGCTCAAAATATGGATGGCTTTTTTGAGAAGAGTAAGTTGTTCCGACGCATCACTCCGTAGATACATGCGTGCTACTTCACGTATGGACAGATTTTGTTGCAAACTCGAGGATATACAAGAAGAGAACAGCAGTAGCTCGAGAAGACGAACGGTGCTGGGATTAGGCTGCGTCAAGACGTTATCTGAATGTAAGAGCCGATCCTCTTGAAGAATAGACGCAGAAACGTCGTGCAAAATGGACTCCGGAATGTCGTACGTTGGTAGCGCGCTTACAATGGCGTTCAGGTTCGGCGGCGGTTCCAGACTCAGCAGAGACGCTATCCGAGACAATAGCAAGTGTGCTGTCTTCAAAGTTTCTGGTTCGGAATCCTCAATCAGATACAGACAGGCCAACGCCATCTGAGCATATCTGATCTCTAACTTGCTGCGGGTCTCGTCATCGATGTACTCACGCCCTTCGTCGTACCCTCCTAGATCTATATCCTCGGGCCCATCCCATTCTTCCACAGCTCTTGTAACCAACGCAAGGTCTTCTGTTGACGTTCGAAGCAACCAGCCAAACAAAGCTTCCCAATCGTCCATACCCTGCGGAGACGCTTCTGTCAAGGATGCTCTTCGACCTTCTTTTGAGAGTTTCCGTCGCTTGCGTTCGTTGGCTCCGCAAATCCATGGCCCAACCACTCCTTGTAAATCCCGCGCTGCATTGTCATGAGATGATTCCAGAAGAGGAGCCAACTGTACATTCAATGCCCTTGTTCCTTGTAGTCGCGCGAATTCTTCCAACGGAGGTACAGGTATATTCGGATAGTATTCATAACCAAGGCGAAGCAAGGGAAAGACGGTCGATATGAACCACGTGCGGAGGTATTCGGAGTGGCCGAGAAACGGTACGAGGAGTTGTGGTACGAGATCGAGCAGGCCAGTTTCCTCGTCTATTCGATGCGCGCGGTGGATGAGAAAGTGTGTGAGCAAGTCGAGATCGGATTCGGTTTTATACAGCGGATGCACGAGCGGCAACAACTCTATTCGACTTCTCCTTTTGCGTGCTCTAGCAGTGGATAATTCTTTGACGGAGGATAGATCGAAGGCTATGGCGGGGTCATCGATTGGATTCGAGGCACTGTTGGCGAGTTCGTCAAGATATTCAATGTACGTTGAAGGATCAACCGTCTCTGACAGATAGGTGAGAATGATTTGCAAAGTCAGCTCCAGAGGCAAGTCCTGTGCGCGCAGCGTGGTCAAGGCTTGCAGAGCGGTGATGTTGGATTCGGTGGCATAATGAACAGCAAGGAGCACGCAGTGGTGGGCAGAAAGCCGATCGAGCCCCTGGATTTCATGCATGGTAGTTTAAAGAGACTAGTAGACCTTTCATTCCCTACATGCGCAGCCGTGCGTTATATCATGGTGGTGTTTGTGGGGGTTGTTGCATTAGGACAGGCCAGCTCATCCTCGACGTCAGTGTGGTTATGTCAGCACGCACGGTTCCTTGGACTACCTACCGAATCGCCCCCACCCATACCGGAACGTATCTGATTCCTGGCATTGTGAACACGCCAGAAAGAAGAAAGATTTTACTCGGAAGTAATATGCGGGGGCCAGATGGGTATTCTGTCTGTTGAAGATTGTCAAATCGTGATTCATCAATATAAGCAGTTGAATATCGAACCACGCACGAGAGGCCATGGCCTGTAGCGTACGTTCAAGATGAATCCGGACTTGCAGGCAGCATAAATACCGAATATCTGGTGAATCTCCAGGCTTACCGGTCCTATGCAACATTGCAGATGAACGAAGATCAATCCAAGTGTATCCAAATTCATACGCCGAGCGAACATCTCGACAGCTCTCGGAGGGCCAAATGATGCCATTGGTGGGAGACGCGGAACCGAGTCACGCTTTTCCGCTTTTAGCTTGTCCAATCACGATACGTCATTTCCAGTCCGCAAGCCGCAACTGAAGAATAAGCACACATGGTTCTAATCTAAATCCATAGTGGCCAAAGCACGCAAAGGGGTGAGTGAGATCGGAAGAAGCATGCAACTCAGTGCTCAATCTACTGCTGTCCGGCACCGAGTCATGCGACGCGCCAGATCTCTCGTGACACGTCGGCCACAAACCCCCCGGCATCCCCCGACCGAATACCATGCCCGACCATCTCGAGCTTGCCCGGCTAACCTCACCGGCTACGCGTACGGAGAGAACGCCAGTGACGATGCCTGGGGACGAACATCTAGATCATGACCTTCATAGGCGAACACTGCGGAAACTCGACTTGCTGCTCCTTCCCTTTCTCGCCCTGCTATTCCTCTTCAACTCCCTGGATAAAACCAATGTACTTACCTACGCCAGCCAACGAGCGCGATCCCCATCACGTTTCGAGTGTACTGACAAACTCGATAGATTGGAAATGCCGAATCAGCACATTTCACTACCGACATTGGACTTGAGAAGTCTGATCTGAACACGGCTGTAGCCCTCTTCTTTGCCTTCTTCGTCTCCCTGCAGCCTGTAGGCGCAGCTCTAGGCAGAAAATATGGAATGGTTCTCTGGGTGCCAAGCTGCATGCTCCTCTGGGGAATCTCAACCGCTTTACATACGTGGGTCACTGCGAGGTGGCAGCTTTATCTGCTTCGCATCATTATCGGGTGTCTGGAAGCCGGCTTCTATCCCGTCACTGTTTCCTATCTATCTCTCTTCTATACGCGATTTGAATTTGGTAGGCGTCTGTCTTTGTTCTATGGCCAGGCTGCTGTTGGAGGTGCGCTCGGCGGCCTTCTCAGTTACCTAGTTTTTTCCATGTTTCCAGACGAGCACGACGAGAACGGAGAGCACACAAAGTCAAACTGGCAGAACTGGCAAGTTCTGTTCTTACTCGAAGGGAGCTTGACCATCGTCATAGCAATACTGGGCTACTTCTGGCTTCCTCACAACGTGGAAACATCCTGGTTTCTGTCTTCACAGGAAAGGAAGTATGCCTCCTCCCGTATCATCCAGGACCGCGAAGTTCAAGCGAATCCCGACTACGAATCCTCGATAGATCCTGGAGAGGAGCGAGAGCATGACGATGAGTCGCGTGGCTTGCTGAACCCGTCCCAGTCATCTGCCACCTCCACCGGAAAGGAGGTCACATATGAGCGTGGTCTGAGTCCACACGACGTCGTATCTGCGTTTCTTTCACCCAAGATATGGCACATCCTAGGATGCAACATCCTGTCTGCCGTTCCGGTGTATGCTTTCCAGGTGTTTCTACCACTCGTTCTGGCCCCTCTTACAGATTCTCCGAATCCAGCTCTGGTGAACTTGCTTGCTGCTCCGCCCAATATATGTGGTGCCATTATGCTTTACATGTTTGCAAGCTACAGCGACCGACACCGTATTCGGATCTTGCCCATTCTAGTTGGGCTTGTGATCATGGTAGTAGGCTTGGTTCTCGTCGTCGCCTTGCCTACTACCAAAGGGTGGGCGATCCCACGATATCTGGCGTTAAACGTCCTGCTTTCAGGGACCTTCATCGCCTCTCCTCTTACTGTGGCGTGGATATCCGACAATACACCTTCGCCTGGTAAACGTGCGCTTCTACTTGGCATCAACGGCTGGGGAAACCTCGCAGGCGTGCTCTCCGCGCTTCTTTTCAAGCCAAAGTACGCAGAATCTGGCTATATCGTGCCTTTTTGGTGGACACTGGCTTGCGTAGCTGCTGCTGCTGTGGGCTATTTTCTATTGTGGCGGAATCTCAAAACAGAGAATGCTTCGCGAAAGAAAATACTGAGCGGTTGGGAGGAAGAAGAGGTGGCACAGGAAAAGACTGACGGCCAAGGCCCCCTCGAGCAACCTCATGTAGTGATGCGCTTCTTGATCGGTGCTCTGACCAGATTGGGAATGTCTCCTAGGATCTTGAAGGCGTTCAAAGAGGCTACTGAAGGAGGGAGAGAGGGCGACGAGAAGATTACCTTCGTGTACGGACTTTGACATGCATGCTCTCTGCATTTGATCTCTTAGCCTCTAACCCGCTTTTGTCACGTCAGTAGTGAATGGCAACCATCATTGACCGACTGTCGGGCTCCATCGCCACCAAGACAGGCGCAGAGTCTCTTTTTTTCTTCTTATTTCCGACAAGCCTTGAAGATAAGAGTTTGGCTGCACGGCTGCACAGTCCTTTGGAGCGAACGAACCCGACGCTTAGCATGCACGGGCGCCGTTTACGGGCAAGATTAGCCTCGCATGGCCTAGTCTGACGTTGCCCAGCCCCCTTCAAGCATGCCGAGACCTATTGAAAGCTTACTCGTTCCGCACCTCGCTGCTCTTCAGACTCGAGTACTTCAATCAGACACCAATACCACCTGATGGTATTCAACAAAAAATCAATTGATTTCAACAACTAGGAGCACATTGAGTCCGCTTCTCCACGTCCGTCGGTCGCATTCTATCTGTAAAGTGCTGAGCATGATCGCAGATCCAACAATGGCCAAGAACGTCCAAGAAACTCCTAAAACAGCTCGTGTTTCTAGCTCCTGAAACAAATGTGACAGTCACGTCCAAATCTGTACCAATTCCGCCACCCCTCCCTAGTACACCATTAGAATGTTTTGAATATTAAAAGCCTGGGGAACTGTCACGGTCATGCATCGAAAGGCTTCCATTTCCTTTTTTTCTTGACTTTTTCTTTCCCCACTTTCCACCTCTTCTATCTTTACGCTGAGCGTCTTCTCTTCGTAGTCATCCATTATACATTCGATTCACCTACCAATTCTATAACTTTCATTGCTTGAGCTGGCGCCTCCTGCATTTTTTTTTACACATTTCAGGGGCTCTGACTGCAGACCAATCCTAACAGTCTAACACTCCTATCCTATAATCTGCACTTCGGTGGAATACAAAGTCCCATCCCACTGGATTCGTATCACCACTGATTCTAAGAAATGCCGTCTCCTTCCGCGACAAAAATGTTCATCGACACACAAACCGCACAACGGACCCTCGGTCCCAACCTTCAAGTTACGGGAGCTGCGGGTTATTCAGCCAACGAATCGCCTTTACTGGAAACTTTTGTCGGCCAAGATGCTCCCCCACCTAGCTATCTGGAAGCCACAACACCATTGCCCTGGGCAGGCCGCCCAGGAGGAGACGAAGGTGCGAGACTTCTTGAAGATGGAAACAGAGTGCCAGTGACTCCTATGCGGGAAGAGTACAAAGATGGAAAGTACAGAAGAAAAGGATTTGTCGACTGGTTCACCAGGAGAAGGATCACGAGGGGTCTGCTAGTGATTGCTGCAATCATCTTGATTGGAGGGATTTTTGCAGCTTTTGCAGGAAGGGGAAAAACAAACCAAGTACGAACGATTGATCCTTTACTCCTCATTCGTTATGGTGGATGAAGACTAACGTTAACAATCTCAGACTGCAACCATTCCCGCGCAACCCGCCGCCTCAAGTATTCCCATCACCAGTCCTCCAAAGACTGACGGCAAGCAATCTTTCCCCATTCGCTGGCCTTCGCGCTGCGGCAAGAACAACTACAACGTAAATACGCAAGAATTCGACTTTGGAGCCGCGCCCTCCCTTTCCATCGTGGAAGCCATCCACCAACTCGATGGCCCCTATAAGCGTGTCTCAGGCTGGATACACGTTGCACCCGCCCCAGCTGATCAAGCTGCAGGCACAATCCAGGCTAAACTCTCCTATGCAGTATCGAAGACCGTCGACGTAGCCAGCGTCAAGTACGCATACACTGCCGACAGCCTAACAATTGGCGACCCCACATTTCCAGATGGCTTCGACGGCATCCACAAGAAAGGCAGCGCGTGCTTGGGCATCTCTGTAACGCTCTACGTCGCCCCCGGTGCCAGCATCGACAACCTCAATATCCAATCCACCCACCTCGGCATGCAAGTCCACAACGGCGTCAACTTTGCCGTCACGAACACAACCGCAATCTCCCTCACCACCGGCACCCTCGACTCCGTCTCCTTCAACTCGCGCGAAACCCACCTCCGCACCATCTCGGGCTCCATCTCAGGCAAATACTCCCTCTTCGACCTCATCAAAATCGACACAAAATCCGGCTCGGTCAACGTAAACATCGAGCCCAAAGACGCAGTCGAAGGCTCCTCACCATCGGCAGTCTTCTCCGCGAGCTCGCTCTCCGGCACGATCCGCGCAGACTTTATGCGCAAACGCATCCCCGCCCGTGACTACCAAGTCAACATCAGCGCCACAGTCGGATCCGTAGAAGGAACCTTCATCCACGGCTCCACGACCACCCTGCGCACCATCGAAGGCCAGATCAACGCAGACCTCCTCCCGTACAACCCCAACGGCGCAGACGAGTCGTCGACGCTAACAACGTCCACCACAGATGGCCAGACTATGATCAAGCTCCGCGCGCCGTATAAATCGTCGCCAGAGTCTGCCACGTCCATGACGAAGCTCGTCTCGAACCACAAAAGCATCAGCGGCGTGATGGATCTTACGTACCCGCAAGCTTGGCAAGGGAGGCTCGAGGGCCAGAGTTTCAATGGCACCGTGCATTTGCAGGGCGAAGATCTCGAGTTGACCAAGCAGGAGGAGCTGGAGGGGTTCAACCGCGTGGAAGCTAAGAAAGGGGAGGGGGCGAGCACGTTGGTGTTTGGGACTGTTAGTGGGGGTTGTGAGGTTAAAGTCGGGAACTTGGGTTAAGTTCACACAGGTATCAAAGGGATCTGAATGGCAGGTTCTGTTGGAGTTGGTGTGCTGGTGTGTTGTGTTCCGAGGTGGGAGTTTGGGTCGCGAGGCAGGATGCGATGGGGTGGAGGTGTTAACGTTTTTTCCTTTTCGCTGATCTGGCTTTGATCACGTATTATACCATAGAGTCGCTTAAATGATCGACTGAATTCTTGTTCTATTATGCTCAATATCTTTGTGTTTATATAAGTGATGGGAACATTAAATCGTGTTTATACTACTCGTCCAGGGCGAAGTGGGATGGCCATCGATTCCAATTCCTGTAAACATGATGTCTGAGAAAAGAGGACGGCGGGATAGTCCGTGTGCTTTCCCACCCACGACATGATATCATCAATTCACTCCCCTTCGTACATTTGATTTGCACCCAGTGGGCGATTTACCTCGGAGTGTAAAATTCTGACGATTAAAAAGCTGCCCAAACTAACATCTAGCTACCCAGGACATCGCAGGTCTGCTCAATATAATCCCCTATCCGCCCTGATCCGATGACGAAGCACTCGTTCCTAATTGGAAACTAAGATATACCAGCCTATCCCTGCACCACTAACCCCTCGGTGCGACGCGGACGATCGCACAGTCACCATCCAGGCATCTAGCCACGAACGAAGCACCGTTCGCTGGCTGCTGGTGAGGCGTAGGGCTGTGTTTTAATTTTCACGGGTGAATTTCGGTGGAGCTGTTCCCAGGAGGAGGGAAGATTCTCGGGCTTCTTTCGTCCTGGTGGCTGTTTTTGGTAGAATTGAAGTGTCAACCGCGTCACTTTTGGACTGTGTACACGTGGTAAATTCCTTCCCATATTTGTGCGGTTTGCACCAGGTCTATCCTTTCTGGATACCGGGTGAGTCGCTGAGTACCGAAAGGGTGACTAAAAAAGCCGGGACACCGACTTGGGGTTTCTCTCATTCAGGAGGGACCTATCACTGCTATTGCGTGATATAGACCCAGTATACGCAGACAGGGCCTTTGGATCTGGACCTTTAGCCGGGACTCGTGCAACCCACAAACGCGTCATGTGGAAGAACGACATTGATAAGATACCACCTCAATCATTGGAAAATTGATCGGCGGTTGCTTGTGAGGGGAAGGTAGGGTTGACGGAGATCGCCTATCCCCAGGATTCCTCATAGCATAACCCTCCATAGTTCTTGTGTCGAATAGACGATGACAGCTAAGCATGCAGTGCATTCAGGAAGAGTTGAAAGTGGTGACACGGGCTCCCGTTCGAGAAAATTTCCCGAGACTTGATCTGATGATCAAATCAGCTTCAGGAAGGTGGTGGGAGCCAGTCAATCTTCACGAAACTTCGAGGGTGAATGTGAGCTTGACGATAAAGCGGGACGAAATGATGACTTCCCAATGTAGAACGTCCTGCAGGCGCTATTGTTCAAAAAGAGTCTCTGCATGCGATGGGGCACGTGTAATCTCAGGAATGTGAACTAATGTGGGGGAAATCCCAGCCTGATAGGAAGAAGCAAGGGAGCAAAACAATATCTTGCGTCCATCGCAAAGGTCTTTCACAGCAATGATGTTCGGTAGCATGGCGCAATAGACCAGCAGCGGGCCGTGCTAGTTCCGGGTCTGCAGCTTTCCATCTTAGATCTGCAGATTGAACAATTCAGGATAGGGACCCGAGCAAAGTTCAAATTGCGGGAGCGTACGCCTGCCTATAGGGTAGGTACTGAACGAAATCCTTCTAATTAAGCCAAACGTCGCCGTTCTGAGCAGGTGTTCGGCGCTCCCAGATGGAAGTGGTAAGACGTGATTCGGGGAAATATAAAGTCCACTGACAAATATAGGGTTGCAGACATGGGAGGGCTGAGGCACATGAGGCAGTGGAGGGCAATTTCGGCGAGGATGTTGGCCATGCATTGTCTTGGCATGTGGAGAGTATCCAAGACGATGGGTATGTCTGTAAGGTTACAAGGATAGCTGGAAGTGAACGGCACGAGCCTCTTTGTCGTAGATGAGCCTGTCGACTGGTGGGGAGAAGATCAAACAAAGCGGCCGAGGCGGTGAAGACAGCCCTCTCGTGGGTTCTGCTAACGTCGCACGAGATGTCAAGCAGCTATCAAAACGTCAGTCCACGGGCAACGAGAAGCTAACGCGGAAAGGAACGGCCATGTTCCCGCTCAGGCGAATAGTCGTAGAGTCAACCCTGTCGAAGTACCAAGTACGGTCGAGTACTGGACGAGCACAAACCGGTCCACAGTACCATCGAAGTGGGTATCGCGACGATGAGTTACTTAGCTCGGCCCCAAAAGATGGGCGGGCTAGCCGGGCGCCGTTACTCAGACTGTTGCGTGTGGTTGTGGCTTGAAGGCGAGGTTGTAAGCTTGATTGGCGGAAGCCGAAATGGAAGACGAGATGGAAGGAGAGGATAGCCTGCGCCAAGCTTCTGACTAAGCGCATATGCTCCACCTTGCCATGGACGTCAATTGTCACCACCACCACCATCACCATGGGAGCTGTCCAAACTCTGCACCGGCTGAATGGCCTGTCAAAAAACTCTATTTCGCGTGGCTGTTGCTATGACACCGAGTTCTCGCTGGCCATGGTCCTCGTCGGCTGCATCTGATTGTGGCTTCTGTGTTGGGTGGTGGTTGTGAGGCGTTTCATCTCGCGTCTCATCACAGCAGGCATCCTGCGACATCTCGATCCTGCCATCAGCCCCAAACGACCCCCTCACCAGCTTCAATCGAGCCATTGGTTTACTCTCACCACCGAACAGTGCCGTATTTGCGGGGGTAATGCTGAAACCCTCGCTTTGAAGCTGGTCTCGAGTTTGTAAATGGACCTGGGAATCCCGGCTTCATACGCTCCGGGTGGTGGCTCATTGGTTTGAGCACTTGCACTATGCCAAACCTGCCTCAGTTCCTAAGGGAAAACCGCACTGCTCGCCCTCAAGATGTACGCAAGCTGTCCCTTGTCGTTAACCTCAGGCCACCCTGCGGTACAGGAGCTTGTCGAACCCCAGCAGCCTTACGCCTACCCCTCCACTGCTCGCTGTCTCCTTTTGGGCGAACGCCTCTTCTCCAGGCTGTCGCCGTTCCAGGTCTCTGCGGCCAAGGCGTTTCTCGACACTGCTCTCAAACTCTCTACGCAAAAGTGGTTCCTTTGCGTCAACTGTACGCATGTCATTTCCATCACATTCTTCTTCTCGGAAACCTAGAACCCGCGCTTCTCAATCACTCTCATATACACCCATTTGCCCCCCAGCTTCACTTCTTCTTAGTTTGGCCATTGTCGTTCTTTTGAAGCTATCTTCTTAGTATTTTTTCATTCATTTCCTTCTTTTTTAAAAACAGGAGCGGGCTCCTCACCGCGCTGGTTGCGAAGGCGAGACTTGATCTCCGTACATTCTTTTAATCCTTCAGCTCGATTTCGATTTCGATCTTGTCACCACACCCTCAAATACCTTCCAGTGGCACCATAACTATCAAATCCACATTCCTTTCCAGAGCCGCACTCTTTCACTTCTCAATTGTATGTCCCTCGTGCGCTGATGTACTACTCCCTTGCGTAACACACGTCCCTCACCCCCACAGCGTGTTATTGCCATATGCATATCGCCCTTTCAGGTCTCAAACTGACATACACACCGATCTAGTCATTCTACTGGCAATAGACCAATTCTAATAGAGCGGAAACAAGGATGGAATTTAATGCGCAGTAAGCACTCCTCCAACCAGTCATCACAAGCAAATTATTTGGGAGAATGGAGGGCTGACAGGCAAATAGATACCGCCCCTCATCTAATCGATCGTTTGCCATGAATCAATCCACTGGACAGCAGTCACAAATGATGTATCCTTATCACGGCGTTCATCCTCAGCACCAGCAGCAGCAGCAGCAGCAACAGCCTCGACAGCATCCGCAAACAATGCAGCAGGTGTCACGACCGTCGCCACCCAAACCCATGTGGGCAGTGCCACAGCCCCACAACCCTTACTATCAAATGCAAAGGGCCATGGGAATCAACAGAGACGACTCCCAGCGAACTATTAGATCTGATGTTAGCAGTCCGAGTGCCCCGGCTATGAGCGAAGCATCTTACCGACATGGAATGACCGGGCCGCCTACACTGGGCAACACAGACTACTTTCCGGGTGTGATTGATACCAGTATGTTCAATCGTTCCGAGTCTGCCGCCTCGTGTCTAACGTACATAGGTCCCTGGGGTTCGAAGGTCTGCGAAGAGCTCGAGCAGTTCCCATCATTGGATGCAGATATCCATGAATTCAACCAAGGTTTAATGGGCCACGACGAGAACACGCCAATCATTGACTTGAGGCAGTATCATGGTATGGATCACCGTGACAACGAGAATGGGGCCGCCTTCAATCCAGACCCCTCGAGGCGCTTGTCTGAGTCGTCATTTTCGATCTCAAGCACCGGGGGAGTTCTTCCAGAGGTGTCCAACTATGAAGACATGGGCTCATCCGAGGCAGTTTCGTATGCGTCAGATTGTGACGCCTGGAACAACCTTGAGCCTGCTCCTTCCCTGCTCTCTCCACTCGCTTCCCCACGACGTCCGCAACACGACAATGTTGTCCGCAACGGCAGCCGTTCTCGCGCCTCGCCTACACCGCACAACAATTCGCGCGCATCACCTTACACCCTTGATAGCGGCCGATTCAAGAGGTGGTCAACCGGGCAAGCGCCAACTTCGATACCTTCAAACTCGCGCCCACTATCGCAGGTTCACGACCGATTTGCTCCTTATGGGCCCCGCATGAATCCGCACCATAACCCGCACCACTCAATGCCTGCCTATCCGCCAAGTGCTATGCACAACTTCGGTCTGCCCACTCAAAACGTGCTCTATTCGCAAAATCACACGCTTCAATCCAACGGTCCCGCCATGTTCGCATCGCACGACCATCCCTACCAGCTTGAGATCCCAAGGCCACTCCCTTCGCAGGGACTGTTTCGCTTACTCCAAAGCAACGCCGATCGACATGATGGCTGCGCATCGCATTTTGCAGACCTTTCCGATCCACCAGATCTATACTCATCCCTTCACGAAGAGCCATGCGACCCACCAGAATCCGATATGAATCCATCTGACCCTGATCTCGTTCCTCATGAACAGGATCTACGCTTCACCGGTGACTTGTACACCCCACGCTGGGTGCGCGGTCACGGTAACAAGCGAGAGGGCTGGTGCGGACTTTGCAAGCCTGGCCGCTGGCTCGTGCTCAAGAATAGCGCTTTTTGGTACGATAAATCATTCACGCATGGTGTCAGCGCGGCAACTGGAGCTGCTTTCCAGGGACCTCAAGATACTCGACGAACCGAAGGAAACCTTGACGTCTGGGAAGGGTTGTGTGGGAGCTGCGGAGAGTGGATCGCGCTCGTAAGCAGCAAGAAGAAGGGTACGACATGGTTCCGGCACGCGTACAAGGTATGTATTCAACTATCGAAATGGTGGGGGTCCCCGTTGCACAAGCTCGTGCGTGCTAACAACAACGACAGTGCCACACACATCCAAAGGTCAAAGACGGCCCTAAGAGACGCCGTGAAACGCATGCTGTACGCGCTCGTGCCGCTTCAGCTTCCAACACCACGTCTACTTATCCAATTAAATCCGAATTACAAACAGACGTGAAAACGAACCGGCACTCCACACCGATTCCAACATCATCACTTCAAGCCCTCGGCATACCGATATCAGCACCTCATCACACTCCCTTGCCGCCCACATCTACTCCGCAGCCGAGCCACTCAACACCGCATTTGGCTGCTACTTCTTACCCCACACCGACATCTTCTACAACCCACCACCCGCCAGCCAACCCGCTATCGGGAGATTCGGGGACTACCAAATCGCGCTCAGAACCGCCTATTGTTGGGCTTTTCACGTCTCCGTTACAACCCGGTAGCACGTTTAATCCAGCCCACGCCATCAGCGAACCAGAACTGGTTGGAGTGCCGAGGCCGACTGCGCTCAGCTCTCTAGCGAGCATGATATAGGATGTATGGAATGCAGTTGCCTGATTGTCCTTCGGAACTCGTCGTCCTTGGTACTACCTTTTATCTTCTTCACAAGCAATACTTTGGGTGAGCCTGATTGATTGGCGTTTTCGGCTAGATGTGGGGTCATCAAATTCGTTATGGGTTTTCATCGGTGAAGCATCGTAACATACCCATTGAGCGGTGTTGTCTTGGTGCGTTGCGCAGGGCAGTTTTCTGGACCGCCTCTTTTGATCCTGCTTGTCTAGTTTGTGTTCTCTATTTTTGTTTTTGTTCATGTTGCAAAGCGATTCATCTTATTCTGGTTTGGTAAGGATAGGCCCGCACGCCTTGTTGGCCGGTGCGGCCGGAATGAAGTGACGAAGTTCGGAATCGGGACGCTTTCAATACTGTCACAACATCACTCTTTTTTGTTTGGCTTGGGTAAGCCGGGGCGATACCTTTGGACTGGAAGCAAAATCGCACGCCAGTTCTTCACTTCTCGACACGTAGATAGTTCTATTTTCTGATTGTATGTAGACCGTGCTTCTTCGTGAGCAAAACAAAAAATTAGCCAATTGATAACTCTATCAACAGAACTACTGAGCTGCAAAACATGACGTTTTCGATTGGGGGTTGTTTTGGTCACAATAGTGGCGCGTATACGCCCGTCATTCCAGCGGGGAGTTTTGGGGGCGAACTGTCACTCTGTCACCGTCTCTACCCATCAAGCGCCATCTGCTACGCCTCATCCACATCAACCATAGAGATAGATCGACGCAGACAGATTCGATCCATCACTGCAGCCAACTCTTCTTCGCTCACTCTTCCGGCAATTCGCACATCCGAATGAACACAACAGACTGGACGCCGACCACCAAGCGGAAAGTCTCACAAGACGAGAACATCAGACCCGCCCGTCAAGGTCGAGTCTTAGCGCGATACCGATTCTTTTCCCTTCCATCCTTCCCGCGTAGTTGCCTCGATTTGTCGCGTGCTTGCCTAGGGCGCACATCTCAGACAGAGGAGGGTGTGACTTTTGAAACAAGGGGCCATTACATAACATGTATCATGATGGAGCTTGATGTTGCCGCTGTGCCGCGGTTGGGGGAGGGGAGTAACTGGGCGCTACCTTGTCCGCGGATTGGCGGGAATTGTGAGACGGAAGAATTCTCATTGATAGTTCTGGTATCTTTCTCTGTTGTGGGTTTGAGGTTTCTTGGGGGTGGGTGGTGGATAACGCCTTCTTCGCGCGTCTGATGATTGGCGAAAGGTGGTTCGTGCGTTCAATGTCCACGGAAACGGGTTAGCGTGCGGCTCGCTTGCTTACCAGCGACACTGCAAACTCCAACGCGAATGAATCATGGACATCAGCGGGGTGGGAGGAACAACAGTATTCCCGTACGATATTCGCGACAGTCCATTGGTGGCCTCATAACATATGGATGTGATTCGGATAGACCGGACGAAACTAAGGCGCCGCGCACTTACCGCTGAGGCAAAAGGTGGTTATCGTGAAGAGCGGGACGGAGCGGACTCATGACGGCCTGTCACGGGTGTGGTGTGCTGTCATATTCCTTGAAAGATCAATGCCGGTGCCTCAGAAGCGTTTCCATGTCGTCCACATTTACCCCGTCGATCCAGCGCTGTGGACGACATCGTACTAGACGGGCCCTGGTCCTCCGCCCGTGTGGACCAGGTCTCGAACTCTAATTCCTCTTCGTTCTCGCTTTGCGGCCGAAGGAGTGGTTTCGGAGAATCGTGTCGACTATGTCGTGATTTTGCGAGATCGAGAGAAGGAATGCAAGCACTTTTGGGAATCAGAATCATGCAAACGAACAGCACAGCCTCGATAAGTTCTTGCCTCATTGTGGTTAATCAAGATGTCCCAGAGCAAAAGTATACCGATCAACTTGTGAGCTGTCTCAAGACCACACGTACCCCATGTGAAGTCGCCATCCGAGATGCCGTGCATGCAGGACATCATGGGTGAGGAATACGTACAGTACGGCCGGTTAAACGAATCCATCCTCATGCGGCGTCTGAAGACTTATCGCAGCCGTATTAAGTACATCGATGGCAGCGGGAGAAGCGATTTACGTGTGGGGTAGAAGACCACGGCATATGTTTTCGCCATCCTTGCTGCTTTCTCGAAAAGACTTCGCAGTGACTAGAAGCAAACCCAGATTCATGCCGGTAGCTGAGTGCCCATTGACCTTTGCCGACAGCGTGTATATGCGTTGGGTATTTACGAGATAAATTGATAATCGAAGTAGTAAAAGCCATGGATGAATGTCAACGGCTGTGGAGAAGCCGTCATAGATATGTTCATGGCATATCTGACTTTGCCCTTTTGTGGAAGTTTCACCGACGATGTGTTCTTCCCCTCATTCCATGGTGCTAACCATATGACCATGCGTTGTACTCAGGGTCCAGCCCATGAACATTTGCGGGGTCGAGTCATTGTTAACCAGATGCTATATTGCAGGCCATCAACCAAACCCAGGCTTGAGTTCATTCCCTTCCAGACGGTGGTAACGGCCACACCGTTGGGGTGTGACTTGATGATGCAAAGCCTCAGATAAAGTTTGATGACGGGGAAGAGACAAAGGCCCCGGTATCCTGGAATCTTGCGGTATGTGGAAGCTTTCCCCGTGAGTCTTCTCTGGTTCTACAATGGAATAGACGGACGCCACTGTAGATCGATCCTCTCATCCATAGTCGCACTTTCACGGCCCAGGCAACCATGGCATATTCTGCGAGTCATCAGATCAATGGTCTCTTGCCCCAAGAAAAGTGGTGTGTTGGCATTGGGATCTGGACGATCTCCTCTTCGCGCAAAGATGTATCATAAAGTACACTTTACTTGAGAAGCTTTGCAGATCTGGAAAATCATTTCTCGATCCTCGACTAGGAGCCCACACTCTCGTCTGACGTGCTGTGCTGTGCTGCTTCAAAATAGCCATGATTTCACTCGCTGGAGTCGGAACACCAGCGGTGCAGCACACTGCTATTCCATGCCTTCACAATGCGGTATTGCATAGTTAAAAACACCAACTCTTGCCAAGCTTGCAACAGCTAGTGCCCTGGCCCCGATGCCGCTCACTGTAGCACTCTGCCGCGCCGTATCACGATCATCCAATATTCGGAATCAAGGAGTCGGATAACTGACACAATCCCTCGACGAATCGAACATTCGATCTGCTCATTCTGGTTCCGAAGGGTGTTCGATTACTTCTCTGCGCTTGATGGTACCCACCAGTTCATTTTGCACAGCTGCGTTCGACATATCTTGTCATGAGGTGGATCTTGAAACATATGCAGCGATCGTGCAAGTGCCGATCATCGGGTCCTGTACTTCCAAGTCAATTGTGGTGAAAGGATGTCGACAAGTTAGACATCTGATACTCAACCTAATCAGGCGGAACATAGTAATTTAGGTAAGAGGTCTGAGACCACCAGCCGTAGTGACCCTACTATAATGCATGGTATACTTTTGTTCGCAAAACAGCGCATAACTGTTCGGTGGGTTTCTTTTTTTTTTTCATATTTTGTGTGTTGCTGTGAAGGCCGTGGTTCTCGCAGCCCGATTGATTTCGAGCAGGCCCGAATAAAATTTCTCGATACAACTCCATAGGTCAGTTGGCTGCACCGATCAGCTTGGCGCCTCAAAACAGCAGATGGAGGATCCAAGCGATAACGTATGATGTATAATACAGATTAGCTGCAATATGGCAAGTCTTTGTTATTGCGATGATCAGTGGTATTTGTTCACCAGCCGCATATTTACACAAACCGTAACTCGGAACTTATCTCCAAATCAGCGCGGCAAGGCTCAAAGAGCTGATCATCTTCTTCCTACAGACATTCTGCTATGGCAGTAGAATTTATAATGAAGAATAAGTGAGAACCCCGGGATTATCGCATTGGTTCAATATTTGGGTGTGCGAATTGCTCAATGATATAATGTTTGTGGAAAGTGACGATTTGGTTTAAGCAGAACAGCCACAAGTCAAATCGTCGCTTCTCACGAAACATCATGACATTGAACGATCTGTACACTTAAATCTAGAATCAACCGAAATCGAGTGGAGAAGTGGTGTTTCTGGGATTCTGGATAGCGGTTTAAGCAGATGCAGGGCTAAGGGAAAATGGGGAGCAATTGGTAATATAGCGTTCGGTGATGAAATGACTGTTTTGTTACTATTCTGCTTCCTGAATACCTGTTCGTCAAAAGTGCAACGGTTCAGTCGGCTGAAAGAGAACGAGTATCGCGCTTGGTGTTGTTGCTTTCAACACGGGATGCAGATGGTCGGTAAAATGTGAAACAAGTATAGTACACCTATGATCAATTTAGCGACCGAAAGATTCATATTGCAGCTGCAATCAGTAGCTACAGATTGGTGGTGGGTGATGGGTGATGTGTTCTGAACGTCCGATGTGGAATTGAGGGTCGGCGTGCTTAGTCACATATCAGTCATCACAGACGCTATCGCTCGTTTGGGCAATGTCACTTTTCCTCACCTCCGAACAGCTCACAGCTACCCAACACCACCGAACCATCTCCAACCATCGAACCGGGCCTCAAGATCGTCACCTGGTACGCCGAACCCTCGAAGGAAACCCATTCCGCTGCAATTGGCCCCCCGCAAGCCCAACAGCACGCTGACGAGCACCGCTACAGAGCCCATCATGAACACCACACGCTTCTTCCGCCCGCTCGCCAGGGCTGCCTTCCGTCAACCCGCCGCCGTCCGCCCTTCGGCCATGATGGCCCGCCCGGCTATCGCCGCGACTCAGAACAAGGAGACCAAGCGCGAGATGCCCAACAACCAGATGGTGCGCATCAAGGGAGCAATCGCAGTAGAATCTGTGCTAACCGCGGCAATAGGTTATCCTCAAGTCGGCCATGCCTCAACTCATTCCCTTCTTCTTCGTCAATGAGGTCACCGTCGCTTTCATCCTCCTCCCCTCCCTCATCTACGTCATGTCCAAGTACCTCCTTCCCCAGCGCGTTCGCCTTTTCGCGGCCCGCCTTTTCATCAGCAAGCTATAGATTTCGCGAATCAGCATGAGGGGGATTGTGTACAGATAGTCAATATGTGATTGTAGACAATGAGAGAAATCGGTCAATTCGTAAAGATTGTGAGCTGTGATGCAGTGCATAAGGTACCAATGGGGGGCGCATGCCAAACTGGCAGTCAAACATGGGGTGAAGATTGAACCCTCACGAGCCCAAAACAAAGGATACTCAGATTGATTACTTCGAAGTCGCAAAATTGGATGTGATATTGAAGATGTTTATCCTGGTTTTCTTCTCCCATCACTGCCACCTTCTGTTCTTCTTCAACCCTGGAAAAGAACCTGATCTTCCATCTCCATGAATTGGGTCCCTCGCTATACCGCTGCATTTTAACTAACTGGTCGGGTTTCCGGCTTGGAGCAGACGCAGGCTGTATTCTTCGACGAAGATCTGCCTGGTCTGTTCAACATACACGCATATTTGTTTTGGCTGGATTATTCTATCCCGACCACAGTAACGCAAACACGAGACGATAAGCATGATTGAAGTATATCATGATGTGACGACATCTACGCCTAACATGCAGTTGATCGGTGATGCTGTGGGCCACGATAAAACCATATATAAAGCCCAAGACGTTTTTAAGCCCCTCGAGGATATATACAAGAAAGCGAAAGACAAACTGGCTAAGCTCGAAGCCATCAAGGCTCTTCGTGATGTTGTTACCATCATTGAGGACGTGGTTGGCCCTGAGACCGACATACAAGCTGCGTTCAAGCCAGTGGAGAGAAATTCAACGACATGCTGAGAGAACTGTTCGGCATGACAGATGACGTGATTACTTTTCCTGTCCAAGATTGAACGTATGGAAATTACTCAACTCCTACTTCCTCAACGCAAAGGTTCTGACTTTCACTCACGTTACATTGTGCGGAAATCCCCACTGTCAAACTCAGAATGCCTATACTATAAACTGAACACCGATGCGGAGACTCGAATTCTCTTCAAGGATGATGCATTGTGCACCTAAAACTACATCACCATATCCCCTCCGTCATGTCCATACCAGCACAAGCATATCACACGGTGGCGTATGATCTTGCCGTCAGCCACTTAAAGTGAACTCTTTCCATCGGAAAGTGAGTCAGTGACAGTGCCTACTCATCGAATGGTAGCCGATATTGAATAGTGCGATAGAGAAATCAGCGGTGGACTCGACGCTAAGCCAATGGGTCAGCCAAATCAATGGAAAGAGATGATCCCTCAACAGTCTGTAAATCACTCGTGATTATACCATGTCTTCAGATGTTGAAATCATGGAAGCTAAACGCGCTCTATTGAACAGTGTTGAAAAGGGCTAACTATAAGGTCCCCGCTAAATTTATTGACATAACTAAGGTAAACAGTGACATATGAGTGACCTATGGCATCCTGAGTCGCCTTTATATATAAGATTTCAAACCTGGTAAAGACTACTCTTCTTTTGTGCCGAATCTCATTTGATCACGATGGCCTCAAATCAGATTTTTGTCTCTTCTTCAACTATCAATCTTCAAGTGCTTACATGGACTAGTCTCATCGTATTGTATATGTGGATCAAAAGTCAACATCCCAATATACGCAGTACTGTTCAAGTTCATTGGGGTTGTGCCGGTGACGATTGACGAGGAAACAACCAAAGAATAGAGACAAATCCATCAACAACTTGCTCTCGCTACTTACTAAGTTACCGGCTCAGATACTGACAGGCTATTATCCGGATACTCATGCCAGGCAATGGCTAGCCACAATGGATGAAAGAACTGCGTGGCTAGGGTTATCCTAGCCCCTCGAACAGCATTAACTCTATCACAGAGCAAACAATGTCGATGAATAGGTTGGTCCGTGCATACTTGAGGGCTTGCTGAGTACTATATTAACTTTCTCTCACTCCTTAGTACCACTACCCACCCTTTTCACTTAACCTCAACTGTCATACTTAATCTCAACTATCGGTCTCAGACTCCACTCCAACCTCAATTCTAACCTTTGCCGATACTTGAACCGAGTTCATCAACAAACCATATCTCGAACTGTCAGACTAGTCTAGCTTGACCAATATGGCTGAGGCTCAATTAAACGCAAAGAAAGATTGGACCGTCCACCTACCTGATGAGATCCTCATGAAGATCTTAGGATACGCCCTAACTATCCCCGATGGTATACATAAACACCAATGGCCAACGATCGAGCAAGATCATGTCCTCCCGCTATGCCGTAAGGGACTCTCTCATCTTGTCCCCGAGCAACTCTGGAAGGCCAATCCCGTTCACACTGTATTCAAGCTATACAGTAAGCGGGACGGACGATATTACGAGGGAAGCAGCATTAAGCTACCTCCATCCCCCTCGAGGTCCGAGATTCGAGAACTCGTTATACATATCCAGGATCTGAAGCACGGCGACTTCGAGCCTGGAAACCAAGTAAATATCGGCTACCTGGGTCAATGGCTGAAGAAGCTGGGCTCAGGTGAATTCGGCTTCGACAAACTGGAGCGTCTCACCCTTGACTTTAACACGAGCCCGATCCTGATGGCATTTTATATCGCTATAAAAATGACTTGGAAGGACAAGAAGCTGCCGTCGAAGATTCGTGAGGTCAACACCGTAGTAAGTACTAATCCCTCATTGGCCTTTAAACGCGCAAACACTGACTTGTGAATTAGATCGAGAGCCACTATTGTGAGCGAGAGGGGTGTGCATCGAACGCAAAGGATATCAAATGTCTGATTTACCGGGATGGCAGACATCGTTTCGAGCCTACTGACGTGTAGCTCATGATAGCCAGATGTAGCACGCGGAACGGTGGCTATATCGATTCAGTGGAAGCCCGAATGTACAACACTGCTGTACTTTCTCGACTGCACTCATATGCACCTGGACTCAAAGTGTCAGCGCATACGAGCCCGTTATGTTGCATTTTTAGACTGCATTGCGGAGTTAAATGCAACATCCACCCCCCTACCGCTTTCATTTGTATCTGGTAAAAAGAGCTGGAATTTTTACCTGGGTTCAAGGTTCGGAATTGTTAGATGTCCACAAGTGTACCTGATAGCACAAGTGTTTGGTCACGTGTCGCATGAGTCCACCTGGCAACACGTCAACTAGTAATTTGAGATAATGGCATTCTTACAGATTCTTCCACAGACACATGTATCAGTGAATGCAATGGTGTGTTAGCTACTTACCCAAGTGCTTTGCCTGTACCTGCTTTTAGATACCCTCGACAGGATGCCGCCCCCACTCATCCCATCCCACCATCCCAGCAACACCAAAGTATCCACCCACCCGCGCACTTCCAGTACCATGTCACACGTCCTCTCCCGCATATCCAGGCCCCAGTCATCACAGCAGCACATTGCACGCCGTCTTGTACTGTCGCACAGATCACGATTCCCTACCCTTCTTCGGTGCTCGAGAGTACACATCAACGCCAGCGCGATCGTGACATCACCTACTAAAAGAGCTATGAGTACTGAAGCAGCCGAGCGCGAATTGCCCCAACGGCCGCGACGATTCGCGCCATTGAATCCCGCGAAGCGCGCTGGAAGCGATGATGGGGGACGTGAACTCAAGGGGATTGTGTTTGATGTTGACGGGACGTTGTGTGAGTCGTCAACCAATCTCTTATTTCATGTCATGTCTCTTTTTTTCGCCTTCAAATCAACGAGGTGTGCCGACCATACACATGATTCTATCTATGACTTGATTCAACAACGAGCGGGCTTTCACGTTTTCTTCTACATCTACGTCTTTTTTTGATTTTTGATTTTGTATTTTTCCCTGTATCATCTACTTGACTGATTGATTCGAGATGACAGGTCTTCCACAAACCTACATGTTCGGCGAAATGCGCGCAGCGCTAGGAATCACAAAAGCAACGGATATCCTCGACCACATCTACTCGCTCCCGGAACCCGCGCAATCTGAAGCGCAGGAGAAAGTCCGTGCCATCGAGCGAGAAGCCATGACGAAGCAGCAGCCGCAGGAGGGACTGGTCGAGTTGATGCAGTATCTGGATACGCGCCAGGTTCAGAAAGGGATTTGCACAAGGAACTTTGAGTAAGTGTTGATAAACTGCTTTTTCCTTATTTCCCTTTGATCTTCTCCGTTTCTTTGTTTCACTCTCCTTGTGTCTCTCTTTGTTCCTCTGTCTTCCCAATGCTTCAAACCACTCAATCATCCTTTCCTTTTCCTCCTGTTCTCTCTCCTCTAAAAAAACCCCATACATCTCAAAACCCATCCATTTCCCTACCACCTCAATCATTCAACCCCAAACTAATTTCCTCCCCTCCCTTCCCCAAAAACAGCGCACCAGTATCCCACCTCCTCTCAACATTCCTCCCCTCCACCTCCTTCGACCCCGTAATCACGCGCGCCTTCCGCCCTCCCAAACCCTCGCCCGCAGGGATCCTGCACATCGCCGCGACATGGAACCTCGAAGACGGCGGGGACTCGCTGATCATGGTCGGCGACTCCATCGATGATATGCTGGCTGGGCGGAGAGCTGGCGCCGCGACGGTGCTGTTGCTGAATGAGGTGAATCGCGAGTTGGAGGGGCACGAGTGTACGGATTTTGTGGTGGGGAGGTTGGATGAGTTAGTTGGGGTTTTGGAGGGGGGGTTTGTGGGGCGGTGAGTATGGGATCGATGGAATATGCATAGTTGGAAAGGGGGAATGGGTGGCTGGTAATGAGGATTTCTTTCACGTTGTGCTTCTTGCATTGCTCCGGTCTGCATCTCAGGATATACATCTGTATACGTATACTACCCGGCAACGTTCTCGGCGACTCTCTCCCCATCTTCCCCTACTTTCCCCTCAGCTCTTTCGGCTTTTTCTTGCGTCTTGACTTCGAAGATCTTGGAAATCGCTTCAACGGTTGTATTCCCCCCGCTGAAAACAACACCGATATTCCACCCCTCGCTCCCACCCTCCTTCTCCACCATCCTCCGGAAATCCTCGTTGAACAGAATCACAGCCAACCCCACTACAGCAGAAGGTTCCACAAAGCACTTCATCCGCTCCAAAACCAACTTCATAGCATCCCTGATATTCTGCTCCGTCACCGCGTAAAGACCAGCTATATACTTCGGATCCGAGATGATTTTCCAATTCGTGACTCCGAGCGGCGTCCGCAGACCATCGGCAATGGTGAGCGTTTTGACAGAAGTAACGCGCGATCCCGCTTCTACACCTCGTCTCGCGTCGTCGGCGCCCTCGAAACTCGGTTCGGCGCCGAACACGCGGATACCTGTTCCGTGGAGGGCTACTGCGTTACCTGCGAGCATCCCGCCGCCTCCACAGGGCGCGATGAACGCGTCGAGTCCCTTTTTGCTCTCCCCGTGTACTCCCAGCTCCGCATTAGCCGAGAGAAGCTCGGCGACTTGCGATGTAGTTTCTAGCGCCATTGTGCCCTGGCCGAGTATGATATCGACGTGGTCGTACGGCGGGACCAACGTTGCGCCGGTATCTTTGATAACGTCTGCGACGACAGCTTCGCGTTCGTGACTAGTAGATCCGCTGAAATGCACGATTGCGCCTTGGGATTTCGTGCCTGCGATCTTGGAAGGGGTGGAGATGGACGGCATGACGATGTGTGCGGGGATGGAGAAGGTTTTGCCTGCTAGAGCGAGGGCTTGGGCGTGGTTGCCTGTCATGTACGCATATCCATTCAGCATGGGGTCAGGAGGAGGATGTGAATTACTTGTGAGGAAGACTCACCGCTGCTATGCGTAACAATGCCTTTCTTCCTAACCTCCTCCAATCCACCCTCAGTCCGCTCAATCAACCGCTTCACAGCATGAAACGCCCCGCGGACCTTGAACGCGCCGATGCGCTGGAAATTCTCGCATTTGAAGAACAACTTGAAGTTAGGCTTCGCGGGTTCTTGTCCTTCCCACGGTGTGCCTTTGAGCGCGTCGGGGGTCTGCGGCGTGGATGCGAGTGTGGAGAGTGTGGTGTTGGTTTGGACGGGAGTGTAGTGGATGTGCGGTTTCACCAGAGCGTGGGCGGCAATGACGTTTTCGCGCGTCAGCTCGAGAGCTGGGTGGTTGGAATGGGAACCCATTGTGAGGTAGTGAGCGCTGGCACGGTTGGAGCTCGTTGGAATAGATTTGGTGGATGCATGGTGGTTTATGGTTGGGGTGTGGTGGGGTGGAAGGGCGGAGGTGGGGTAGGTAGATGGTTCCTATGCAGGGCTCAGTCTGGGGATAGCTCCGCCCTTTATGAATTGCTACTATCACGCGAAAAAGAAAAATATTGCGTCACATTCGATTAGAGAATCACACACAAACTTCAGATATATGTACAGAATTACATTAAGTCGTCACCTTATCAACAGCTATAACCATCAAATTTACAGCCACATCTTGAGATCTGATGTCGATCTTCCGGAGCTGATGGATGCATACGTTCCGTTGCCGCCATTGCTACCGGGCTTGGTCGTGAAAGGTACTGTGCTTGACAGGCTGTCGATCCGGCCCAGCAAGAATTCCAACTGTCTGTAACCACTGCTTGGCTGGTATTGGGGGACCATGTGTCCACTCAAACTTTGGTACACCCAGGATAGCTTCCTTTCGGTGTGGGCCACGCCCATTATACCGCTTGCGGCCAAGCTTCCATCGCTGTAGCTTTCGTGGTACGGGACGAAGAACTCCTCGGTGGGAGGCGATTGGAAGCCTTGCATGCCACCAAAGGTCATGTTTTGGATGGCGAGGAGAGTACCGTTGGCAAGAAGGATAAAGTCGAGGTCGCCATGGACGATAACAGTGCGATCGAGAGTATCGATGAGGCGGGGGATAACCTCCCAGGACGATTGCGCAGAGGTATCAGTGTCGAGCACGCCATCGGAGCATTCCTCCCACTCTTGAATTGGTGCATTGATGGCCTTCTGCACATCAGTGCGGTTGAAGTATACCATTTCTCCCTCTGGCAAGTAGCCAAAAGACCCGGGGAAGCCAAGAACATCCCAAAGGAGTGGGCAGGTTGTGGCAACTTGGTAGACGTCAAAGCATGGGTTGGTGAGCATGACAGCATCGATAATGTCTTCCCACACTCCACAGCCGGGTGTCTTAGCAGTGCTGTTGGGGGTGGGCAGCTTACTGACGGGAGGGAAAGTAAGGTACTTGTTCATGTAGTCAGTGTATCCGCACTTGTCCGCTCGTTCGTGAAGATCCGCGGTGTAAGAGGCGTTCAAGTTGAAGAGATTGGCCCAGTAGTCCAGGAAGGGAACCGCGGGAACTGTTCAGTGTCAGTCTTTTAGTGTGCCAAACTGAACTATCAAAATCACTTACTGTCTTCCAGCAGGACATCCTCGGCGACACTTGGATCGTAGATCAAAATGCCTTTCACATCATAAAACTCCGGGTCCTCCTTGTTTAACATGGCGTCGGCAATGTAGGGCACGTATTTGCCAGCGTAACTCTCGCCGGCGATGTAAACCTTTCTGTTTTCCAGGCCGAACGTTTGGATGAAGTTCTTCCAGAAGCCGGCAAACTCCTCTGCGATTTCCTCTTCGCTAGTGGCCGCTACAAAGGGGTCAGTGAAAGCTCGAGTGAAATATTTTGATGGGTATCAATGTCTCCTCATCGGACAGTATTTCCGGGGGTCACATACACGAGTTGCCCTTGGAGAAACCGGTGCCTACAGGTTGCCTATATAACATGGTTAGCAGCGGTTATTGTATTCGCTCATAGTGGTGTATACGCACTCAACCCACACCATGTTGGTGAGTGTGGCCCAGTTCCATGGGTTATACACGGGATGAGCTGTGCCATATTGCCAGCTGATGGGGCCATTCTCCTGAAGGAAGCCTTCAAGGGACGAACATCCTGGACCCTAACAAATCTTTAGCATCAATCTGTAAAGAAGTAGCATGCTACGATCTCACTTACACCATTGAGCCAGATAGTAATCTCGTCGCTGGCCTCCTCGTTCTTGCTGGGGAAGAACCAGAAATACAGCTCGCTGGTTTCGTTTGCCTTGTCGCTAATAGGCACCAGTCCTGCATAACTCTCCCCGATGTCGAAGTTGACCTCTGGGATCGCGCCCGCTGTGCCATTGACGACGTATTCTGCACGGCGTTAGCTGAGTGATTGGTACTCGCAATGATGATCCATGACATACTCGCTGTCTTGTCGGTTTGCGGGATTATCGTCTTCTCGTCGCGGCGGATGTGGGCAGAGACTGGTCGCGGCGTGTATCGAGGCTTCTGAGGTTGAATGCCCTTCCTAGCCAATGCAGCACCACGAGAGCTCTTTGCTACAGCCGAGGCAGCAAGGCCACCAATCGCGAGAAGCGAGAGCAATTGCATCCTGTCGAGCGATTTCCAGCTATGCTGAGAAGGCGGAATGCAACCGGGCAAAAGGTTGACGATGACGAGGCAGCAGCAAAGCAACGTCAAGGCCCAGGACAAGATTATCTACTTAAGTATTTAACCAGTCCAAAGAACCGTGCGCTAAGCCCCGGTGGACGCCGCCTGGCAGTACCATGATAAACCTCCCATGTAGTACGATGACGATTTCCAACTAACAACAGACTGGGGTATGGGAAGCTCGATACCAAGTTAGGCAGGCGGCGTAGAACAACGGCGCCACCTGCAATCCGTCATGTTGGACCGCGGCTCCTGGACCAAGCCACTGTGGATATCAAACGGTCCAAACGGGTATGTGAATGCATCTTGGAAACCAACCAAAACCAACAAAAGGCGTAGCAAAGCAAACGGTATCGAGAACCCGGATCGAAGCAGGTAAGGATCGTTTGCATCCCATGTTTGCTAGTTGCATCCGCGCTATTCCCGCCCGACCAGCTATCCATATCCATCCGCCCAAAGACCCGGCGCGAAGCTTCCAACCGAGATGATAGAGGAAGCTCTGCACAAGAGTTGCCAATTGGAGAGATAAGCTTCTGCCGCGTGTGGAGCAGGATGCTTGACCGCAGATAAGAGCGAGTGAGCGGCGTTGGCGTGCTAACGGCAACGGGAAGGTCGCCATGCGAGGTTGTGATTGGGCAATGCCTCAAGGTCATTAGTGGATCAAATTGCAGAGATTTGGAGCAGTATAAGCAGGACTCGAGAGGGAAGAATAGGCAGATGCCATTGCGACGGCAGCTCACTGTTCGATTGGTGAGGATGGTGATGGGGGAATGAGGACGTGGATTCTGGACATTTCGGGGAGGAGCAACCGCGGCGGTTCCTGGTGGCGCTAGTGCCATCGCGTCAACATCACGCCTCATCATCCCACTACGGCACATCCAATATACATTCGACATCAATTCTCTCCTTCTATGCACTACTAAATCATCTGTTTCTATCACAATCCAAGCAGCTTCTACGACCCGTACGAAGAAGACACATTGACAAGCCGAAGAAGCTTCTCAAAATCAGGGGTGCCGTACCCCGTCACCGGATCCCAACCAGCAGTCGCATTCCACGAGGCGTAAGGAACATATGGCGTCTTGAGACCAGAATATATGTCCCTCCCGGTACACCCTCTCGATCCCCCGCGTGTGATGTCGTTGAGTCCCCTGTGGCCTGTGCTGTACAGCCAAGGGTTCAAAAATCCCAAAGCAGGCTTCCCGGAAGAGAGGCGTGCATTGTTCAAAAGACCCACGATGGAAGCAACCACGGGCGCAGATGCACTCGTGCCGCCTATGTGGAATTCGGCGCCCTTGTCGACGATGCGGAACCGCTGCCCTTGTGCTGCAATGTCGGGGAAACCCCGCCCCTGGGAGTTGTAAAGGCCTTCCCATCGCGCTCCGAGTTTGTACAAGTAGCCGTTGACAGCCTCTTGCTGGTACTTCGGGCGCGCCCAAAGATCCGAGAACCCGCCCGAAGAGAAATCAACCGCTGACTCGGGCTCTACGTTGATGGTACCACCGACCGCTGTTACATAGGGGCATGATGCCGGGAAGATAGGCAGGAAACGCGTCGTGTTCTTTCCATCGTTTGTCTGACAAGCGCTTCCGACTCCTGTGTCTCCACTGCTGAAGAGAACGCTCACTCCGCGGGTGCCCAGCTGCCCGATCAGATCACACACCTTCATCTGGTACTCAGCAGGCACGCTCTGTTCGTTTTCTCCGTAAGATGTGGTGATGACCTGTGGCAGCTCTTCATCCGGCAAAGCAAGAGCGTAGGAAAAGAAATCGAGGTAGGGCTCGTTCTGGTTATCTTCCTGGGAAGGCTGGTCCAAATCCGGGATCAAGAACCCGCGGTTGGGGGTGCTGAAAAAGTTGACTTTCAAGCTTGGACCGACGAGACCGAGCGTATATTCGACGTCAAGGTTGGCTTCTACGCTGCTATTCGTTGCGCGCTGGTCGAGAATGCCGCCTGAGTCATTAGCCATCATGTCTTCGGGTCCTCACATACGGGTACATACCATTGACTGAACTCCAGGTGAAATTGCTTTGAGCAGCTTCCGGGGCGTACAAAGCAGCAAACTGTGCCCAGTCCTTGAATCTGGCGTATTGCTCCAAATATCCTGTCACGCCAATAGTGACACTCGCATTTCCCGGTTTGTAGTCCGCAAAGTTGTACAGATCTTTGAGACACGCGGGTGTGATTGTGGTGTTGCAAGTCGCATTGACTGCGCCAGCTACGGAAAGGGCAGGCACAGCTTCCTGGATGCGTACATTGCTGTGCTGCGGACGAATCTCCCCGAATCGAGTCGTGGGGTGAATGAGGTCAATGTGGTCGCGAATCTCCTTCGGGACAGTGTAGTGAAGCGTCCGGATCTTGGTGATGTCTGGGCGCACGGTGGACTGGTAGTTTTTGAAGGTAGCGTTGAGCATGCTCTCCGCCTTGGAGATGGGCGCGACGAAGCTGATCCATTCGCCATCGTCGACAACATCCTCGCTGGGCACTTCGGAGTCACGCAGCCATTGGAGAACGGCAGACGTAGCTTCAGCGTGCGGTTTGATGAGATCTTTGAGCTCCTCTCGCTTCAAGTGCTGTCCGTACCTGGGATGATCGGGAGAGGAGACTGCGAAAAGGGTCTCTTCAAAGATGTCATGGTTGGGCTGGGCATCGTCAGTGAACCGAGGTTTTGGTTGTTGGAATGTTGACAATTTCAACCTACAGAGTGCATGCCAATGCGAAAGTGCAGCTTCTTGTTCTGCGGAGGCGCCTTCTCGAGCTCTTTCCAACCTGCTGGGATACTTCGCAGATGTCCTACTTCATCCCTATCGAAGTGCAAGGTCGATGCGGCGTACACGCCAGTGAAGGCCACAATGCTGGTGAGTAAGGTGCACCTCATTGTCGCTTCGTCCTTTGATACAAGCAGCAAAGGCACTACACTACACTGAGGATAAACTCACTATTCTCAAGTATTTTCTTCGGCGCAGGGCAGACAATAACTGTACGCGTGCGAAAACAAAAAACCCGAACCAACGCGGGTACAGCTATGTAATATACGATATTGCGGTGGCACGCTTGCCGCATTGAGCCGTGGAATAAACAACCCGCTCATATTGAGACAGCGCTCTACAAGCCCGCCACTCATGCTGCACAAGTGACGGAGACAATTAATGGCGATCACAAATGTTTCATTTACTTGGGGGGGGGTTGCACAAGGGTTCACTGTCATATCTGCAGGTCCATCTTGGCTGCATTGTACGCATCGAGCGTCATTGGGCGGCGCTTGGTCGCGCCTAGGATTCAATCTTGATACCCATGTTTCCACTACTCCATCCACCGTATCCGCGGGGTTCTGGTTGACCGAAGGCTGCACTTATTGATATCAAGCCGGCCCGTTTGCGGGAATAACCCATGCTCGTGTTCGTATCCGACTTCGACATCGTTGACGACATCTGTTCAAATGACGAACGGATAACAACTCGTCCTCATTGCTCGACAACGTTCACGCTGGCTAAGCTTTCTTATCGGTCGCGGATTTTCACAGACTGCATTCCACAGGTAACATCCCCATATTATGCCAAGACACGTCTAGCCGAAGAATCCGCTGTTGCTTATTACAATGCTTGATCTTGTATCCCTTCCCCGCCTTGTTACAAGGACTGGGGGGGGGGGGGGGGGGGGTGGGGGGGTCGTTACGGCCAAGACTAACCCAGTTGTATGTATATTTAGGCTGCATATTACACTGTTTCTAAACTATGTAAGACACGGGAATTAGCAATTGTGTCATGGTCTCGTTTCCCCTGTGTTCGGTTATTCTGTTCTCTCTCTCTCTCGAAGTTGCTAGATTGTGGGTTATTCTTGGCGAGTTGTAATGGTTGGCGATATTGTGTAACTCTCATGTTTCGAATTCGAGTTACCTACATACCTACTTAAGTACCTGTATGGATGTAATCTGTTTGTTGTGATTCCACGTGACGACTGCATGCCTGAATTCGCGCGTTTTTTTTTTCTTTCTCGACCTTTTTCCACTGGAGTGTGAAGATTGGTATACTGAATGAAGAAGTGAGGATTTGAGAATCGACATGATGGGAGGGATTTTGGGGTTCATCACCTTCTCAATCCTTGTTAATTACCCAGGTATATATCCACAATGTGAACAAGTAGCCAACTCATGATTTGGACTCCCTTACGAAAATCGATGTGTCATACTGCTTGTTTTTAATAGAAGTTAGCGGTTCCTGTGAAATCATACTGTGAGCGGTTTTTGAAGTCGATCGAGGTTATAGAACTCAAGGATTCACTAGTACCATTTAAAGGTGAATTACGGAACACATTTTGTAATGGAGCGGGAGCACTGGGAATATGCAATGTCAATTTTCGAGTTTTGGTGATAGGACTGATGGATTTGATATGCTGCTGCGGACTGTTGCTGATAACATGGTACGTGTTGGTTTGAGGGATTAGGCACAGGTAATAGTATTTCGAACTTCAATCCATGTTTTAATGAAGCGCAATTCTTCGAAATTCCGGAGCGAAGAGAGGAGAATCCGGGACTCGGGATCACGGTCTTGATACGCTATTGTTTTGGCCCACTAACCCCGCGTTCAAGTATGTTATGCTCCGCTCACTAGACTTGACAGCTATTGATTAATGAATGTGTTTTCGCTACTTCATGAAATTATTGCACGAAAAAACACTTGGTGTAAAATTACACAATAAAGCTTCTTTTGAACTCCAGACAGAACAGATGTTCCGTGGTGTTGAGAAAAGCAATCTCATTCTCCTTTGTAATATACAAAACAGAGCTGGTTGTAGCTAGAAAACGCTAGAAGAAAGGTACTTCCTACAGCTTAATATCAATTGATTCTGAGTTGAAGTTTGGGTGATCATACTCACAGGGAAGGGTTACAACAATAGATAGACTAACAAACCGAGTGATAACCATGAAAAGCTTAATCTTTAGCTGATTCAAATGTGTATTTCAGAAAAAGTCCTGCCTGCAGCTCGAAGGCAGATTCATCGTGTGATTTTTCAATACTAAGTGTTTATGCCGCATGGAAATGCGATGATTCACCACTACGCTCAATATCAGACTAAGTCTTTTATACTTAAAGTGGTAGTAAATCATCAATTTCATAACTTCAAATTCGGAAAACCAGCGTGAATTCAACACGTGGTTATCACAAAGCTGATTAGTCAACATTATTGAGAGTGTGTTTTGGGCATCGACTCTGCTCCCATTATAGTAAGTCCATGGGATTATGTCTCATAAGTTTGTAATATTTCAGATCATGCTTATGAAATTCCATTTTCTATTATCTCGTTATTGGCTGTATAGAACGGCGATGAGGCACTCGGAGTTGAGTTGGTATACTTTCACCGAATATGGAATCTATTGCTCTCAATATGTAATTTCCAAGAAATACTGCACTGAGTAGGTCGCAAATCTCTTCAATGCTGCATCCGTTGATCTTTTTGGGGAGATATGTTCTTGCGTGCAGCATGGTATATATCTGACCTCTGATCTCACAAGTGCGCGACAGCTTGTTTGCCTTTGAGAAAGAGAACTCATTGGGTATTATGAAATCTGGGAGAGAAGCATTCACTTACACTCTGGCTGGGACCCCAATGCTGCTGCCTTCGGCTATCGACCAATCATTAAGAAAAGTGAATATTGTGCCACGTGAGGCAGCGTTTGCCCACCATAGCATGGTATAAATCTGTGCCGCAGCGCAACACCACTCAAGCTCCACCACTGGCCTCGACCCTCGACCACCACGACATTGAATCAAGAATTTTTGGCCGAATAAAATTACCAACGCGAACATGGGTATCCCCAAGCTTCCCTCAGAGATTTTCAACAAAATCATATACCAGCTCGTTGTAGACCTGGGCATGTGCGGCGCCTGGAAACTTCGACTCGTCTCCAGTACGTAAAGTGTCTAGATAGCCTCCCTATTCATTCCCAACACTAACGGAGCTAGGATCTTTCAAAGCTGAGATCCGATATTGTCTTTTTGCACAACAACCATGCGCAAATCTGAACGTTGAGTGCGAGTCTCATGGGGGTGATTTCACGAGATGCGCCGAGATCCTCGAGAAAAATATCGTCGAATACCTTGGCTATCTTTCGAAGAATTCGCGTGATGCGGCCCCTGATCTACCGCGCTACATCTCCGACATGAGCTCCTACATCATACGAGAGCTCGATATCGTTTCGAAGGAGGAAGAATTGGACGTTGTCGACACTATGTGCAAAGGAATGGTCAGGGTTATGGGGGCTGATCGCGTAGTCAGAACCCTCTTCTCTGAACTGCAAGACGATTCCTCAAAGTTCGAGGAATATCGAAGCAGCAGGAGCTTGGAGGTACGGGGACTCTCGGAGGCCCACATCAAAGCAGCCGCCGCCATCTGCATGAACGCCAAACATCTGGTATCAAGGCTTATTAAGCAAGGCACAATGCTCTCCTCGACAGGAGTCCTACGTCCACTCCGCTTTGCAATACATTTGGCCGACCTTAAGATGGTGAAGATGATCGCACCCCGTGTAACTCGATCTGCGATCGGCAGAAATGAGAAGACTGATAGTAACGGAGTCCTCAGCGACATTGACGACGCAGTCACCTTCGCTATTCAGGAAGGCAGTTTTGTCATACTGGACTACCTGGTCAATGTTCGAATCGAGGAACGTGATAACATTCGTTATTCACAGTTCGACAAGTGGTTATACCGAGCCATCAGACGGAAGCGTCCTACGATGTTAAAGACTTTTCTTCGACTTCATCACCTCGTTGAGGAATACCGAGGCAGTATTGGTGGTTCCGGCGAAGTCATTTTCAGGAAAATGTGCATGGACGGCGATGTCGACAACCTATCCACGCTGGTCAGGTTACAAATGAAGGATCCGAAGGCCAGACTTCCATGGAGTTCCGCAGTATTAGACGCAGTCAAAAGCCGAAATCCCGAAATATTGAAATGGGTTCTTGACTCTGGTTTCCATCCCGATGGCCAGCGAAGGTACACCAGGGTGATGGATTCCTCGAATTTCCGACCTCTGGGATGGGCAATTCACAAAGAAGAGGGATACGTGCCTGATTCAGTCGATCGGATAATTCTTCGTCTTCTTTTGAGCTATGGCGCGAACGATTTTGGACGAAACATGAAGCAGTCAGAATATCGTTTTTTCAGCGAGGTGGCAATCTCAATGGGGTTCCGGAACATACCAACGTGGGAAGTGTACAGTGATTACAACATCAAGTCGAGGTGGCCGATGAGATCCACTCTTTCTGATTAGCGCAGGAACCGTGGGTAATTCGGAAGTACCACGTACACTCCTGGTAGCGTGAAAGTCAGATAATAAGCGCCGACCACGCTCAATACAAAAATACTACAACTACGCTTAAAACTAGTAGTTCTATATTACTAGTAGTATTAGTATATTATAAAAAACTATAAAATAGTTATGAAGCTGTAAATTAGCGCAAAATGCTTATAGTAGTAAGGAATCGTATAGTGGACGCACGGGCTTTATTATCCAAATGATTCGTTCCCGTGAGAGCACATACACGAATTATCATTTACACCTCTCGAATGCGCTCTACAAGAACATGAGGAGAATGAGCCTGAAGAAATACGCCAGGAAATGTACCCTCATATACTATAATATCATGACGCAAATGATGTCGGACCCTTGCACGACCAGGGATCACACGATTTATCTCGTGGCGTGGTCTTTTCAATTTACCCCTTTATTTTGCAATTCATTCATGTATATATGTGTATCACCAAGATTACCTAATTACTTCAGTCTGGGTTAGACATCAGAACAGAGACCTGTATCCTGATTTGTCTAATTCTTATTTATGCAAATCAGTCGTCATATTTCCGCTTGTACTAGCGATTGCTACGTGAAATCACACACCCCCTGCCTGTTTGTCGCTTTTCAGATTGTCTGTATGACTTACTTGAATTCTTGATTACACGCTCTAAAATCAAGTTGTCCCTGCTGACTGAATTGTGTCACCTACCAGGGTCTGTCTATCCTGTGGAACAATAGACCCCTGGAGAATTTGCCATTCACGATGTTCGGGCACGCTCACCTGATATATAAACTGTGAACAATCTAGAATACCTCGGTAGTTCTCTAACTATGCTTGCCTAAAGAAAAATAGCCATTCAGGGTATACTAAACCTAATCGCCTGCTTTCTCTGTTTCTCCATATTCACGTTTTCAGGTTACTAGGGGACATGTTGAGTATTGTACTAAGTATTACATAAAAGTACATCAACGAATGAGCTCCTGCGTAATTCTCGACCCAGGTCTATCAAAGCTACAATCTATATCAGTTATTACGCCCTGGCACATGCCTTGTTCATTCGTCATATATGGTATGCCAGCACGGCTGGTAGCTTTGGAGCGCCACAATACGCGGCACGAACGCTAACATCCCGTCATTGCTGTGAATGTGCCTGCGCCCTGACACTGCGCACTGACCATTGCTACGTTTGTGGCGAGGGATAATGCTCAACCTAGCGGCGACCAAGCGAGTACATCTAATCTGCTCTTCCTCCCCCACCTGCTGCTCACCACCGAAATCACCCTCAACCAGGAACCATGAGTCTATCCAAACTCCCTGCTGAGATCTTCAAGATCACAATGTGTGTATATTGTCTTTCAAATGTTCATTCGATTTCGAGCCTGATCGATAGCTAATTCTAGATGCAGTCACCATGTTGTACTCGAAGCCGGTATGAACAGAGCGTGGACTCTACGACAAGTCAATCGTAAGTGTACAAGACTTCAACCGCATTCGATCGACATGCGTTTTTCTCCGTACTGATTATGTTTTTACGCTTTAGGGATCTTCGCTGCCGAGATCAAACACGACATACTCACTCACCAAACCAGGAACGTGATTGAACCGCTTCTACCTGAATTAGTAACCTTCGAGTCGGAAAGTGTGTTTCCCAAAGATATTATTGGCGAGAATATCGAGTACTATCTCCACAGCTGCTTGATTAATCCACTGGATGCCAGTAAGCCATTCATTGCCAAAGTTCGCCAACTCATTGAATTCGTATGCGAGGAGCAGAAAATCGTCGTGGAAGCTGCCCGCCGCGACTGCTCGAGCTTGTTGTGTCAAGGCCTGGTAGCAATGCTAGGCGAGCGCCGAATCATCGACATGTTGTAGGATCGGAGATTACCTTCACGGTGGACATGGGCTTGTTATCCAGCTACGAACATACACAAATATGAACGGAGTACCCAGGACGAGATCATAGCTGCTGTAGCCATGAAAGATCTTGAGATGGTGAAGAAGCTATGCTTCGAGCTCTTCAGTGGCTCCCAAGAAATACTGTGGTCTCGCACCTTTGGAAGTCCTCTCGAAGGCGCCTTGCGGATTGGCAATGAAGGTATTGTGAGGGTAATTCTTTTCTACTGTAAAGCAGAAAAAGTAAAGTTTCCGTCCGTCAGATTTCTTGACCATATAACTTTTCCCGGCATGAGTCACTGAGATGATACAACACTTGAATCGATAATACTCCAACACTTCAATGTCGATCTCTGATCTCAATTGTCGATGGCTTTTGTTGATATCAATCTTTGGTGCTGTTTTCGATCTAACCTTTATCGGTTTAGCGCACCAGCCAGCTAGCGCTTCGAGAACCTGCAGATTTCTGACTCTGACCTTTGACATGAACAAAGTCTCGCACGCCTCAGATCGTCTTGCATGTTTTGACATGTCATGACGAAGCGATCTCACGATGCTTCTGCAGCAAGCTCTCGCTCCGACTCTGCGGCTGTGCCACCCAGTCACGTTACGAACCTCGACGAGGACAGGGAAGATGCAGCCATCAAGAAAGCGCGGACCTTCATGGCCACATTGGTAAGGCGTTCTATTAGTCTACAAAGACGTTCCGCTAAGACTACGGCTAGGCTTGTGACATCTGCCGCGCGAGAAAGACGAGATGTGATGAGGATCGTCCAAAATGCGGATACTGCAGGAGTATGAGCCTGGAGTGTGTATATCAGACACCACGGCCTACCAAGTGAGCTACCTTTTGTTCAATGAGCTCACTGGGTCAAGACTGCTAATCTAGTTGCAGAAAAGACCAGTCTATGTCGGTAGCGATCAATGCTATCAGAAGACTAGAAAACAAAGTGGAAGAACTCACAGCAGCCATTGCTTCTCAGGCTTCCCATAGGTCACCACCTGCAATCTACGACCACAGGTCACCAATGGCGAACATTTCTCAGCCTAGCCCTGGTCTTGTCCAAACTCCGCACGAGTACGCAGCATCACCACAGGCTGCAAGTACTCCTGGCAGGAGTTCGTATCCAATCCCAGAGACGAACGGAGCGGTCAAGCTATCTTTCAGTCAGCATGGGGTCACTTCGTGGCCAGCAGTTCAGCAAATCCTGCCGCCAGAATTCGTTGCAGCCCGGAAGGCTCTGCCAACAGACTACATCATCGACATCGAAACTCACCGGCTGCCTTTGCCCATGCATATCGATTATCCAGCCAGGTCAAACCCTGATCTCTGGCTCACAGAACTGCCAATGTCCGTCGTCAAGGCTCTTGCGGATGCTTACTTTGCTGTATTTCATCGAAACACCCCCGTGCTTGACAAATTTCATTTCTTTTCAAGCACTTTGGGCCTCGCGATGGAAAGCGATTTTGGATACAACATTGAGTCATGTCTAGTTCTCATCGTGCTTGCTTTGGGCTGCTTAGCTGTCAAAGCATACGAGGAGGGTAATTTTGCACTTCCGTCTCGTCACCCGAGCCCCAACGCGGGGTTTGTACACCCGGAATGGTATGAATTGGTCCTAGATGAGCCAGCAGGCCTCAAATTTTTCAACGAAGCTAGGAAACGCATCGGCTTTCTCATGAGTCTGAACAACCTGTCCACCGGTCAATTCTACATGCTGTGCACGCTTTACTACGCGCAGATTCTACGACCTATTGACTCCTGGACTACTGTCAATCGAGCGGCGATGTGCTGCATGAGTATTCTCTCGCGAAAGGAATCCATCGATTTTGAACAATGGGAAGGCGACATGTTCTCCCGATTGTTCTGGAACACATTGATGTACGAAACCATCATCACCCAGGAGCTCGATCTTCCTTTGAGTGGGCTGCTCGACTACGAAGCCGACATGCCGATACCGAAATTCACACTTTGTCCACGACCAAAAACGTCCATTTCGGGTCTGCTGGTTGACGATGATGATTCCTTCTTCAACTTCCACTTTCTTGCACAAGCCGCCCATCGTATCATTTTGACTCGAATCCGTCACAATCTCTACTTGTTCGCGGAGAAAGAAGGTCACCCCAGCCCAACCTTGACCGCAGAGATGCATCACCAGCTCGAACAGTGGCGCACGAACCTCCCGCCGTCACTTCAATTTTCCAACCTCGAGGACACGGACGACGCGCCTAGTCCTGCGCATGTGATTGCGAGAGCCATGCTACGGAGTCGATATCTGGTGGCCAAATTCCATATCGGGCGACCGTTCTTATACAAAGCGCTACATGCCCCTGCACAAACCACGGACAGCGAGTATCGCGAGATTCAGAAGGGGTTACAGGGAGGCATGTATTGGCCGACGACCATGGGTCTGTGCGTGCAGATGAAGACTGCGTTACCGATCAAATTCGGGTGGTGTTCGCAGTGCTTTGGGCAGGTGTTGCTGTTCAACGCGGTTGCACGCAGCTCAGACGCCAAACTGCGGGAAACGCTCCCCAATGGATGGGAGGAATGGGTGGGGATAATGATGGCATTGATTGAAAAGTGTGGAGAGGATAGCCCGGGGATCGCGCAAGATGCCGAACTTTTGCGGCTGATATAGTGCAGCCGAACCATGGTACGTACACAGGTACGTATATGTTCGTCATCCCCCACGTTCCGTGATTGTGGTAGACGCACGTGGACGTATACGTTACTCGAAAATCGAATCTTGACCTCTGTATACCTCGAATGCTAGCTGTATGTGATGAGCAATTGCAATGTGAAGCCTGCGTCACTGCCCGTCCGGAGATAAAATGCATGTTTCCTAGTGCTCTCTCGTTCAAGATGGTGTGGCTTGTTAGGGCTGATGCTAACAAGTCTCGGCCTTGTACCGCCGCATGCGGCGCGGAAGCTTTTCCTATGGGACAGGAGACGTGATGGAACTTGTACATCACCGCTGTGTGTATTAAGGACTTATCAATATCAATAGCGCGCAATAGTGTGCAACGACAGACTCAGTTTGGCTGGCAATATTGTTGGGGCGCATTTCAAGATTGTGGCGCAATCCAACATTCGGAGCTTTAGCTGTACGTACCCTTGCGCCATTCGCGCACCGCAACCCTTCCTTGCGCGCATAATTTCTTCACGTATGCATTGTACATACCCCCAAGTAAGGAGGATCGGAGCAGGCAGAGACAGGAAGCAGGCAGCAGCGCCAGAATGGGAAGACGTTGAGTTAAGGCGTGCGGGCTGCGCGCCCTGCGCCCCCAAGGGAAGCGTCAGCTCTCTTCAACCCCTTGCCCAGTGCGCATACCGACATGTTTCGTTTCTGCTGCCACTCGTCAACCTCGTCCGTCACCCCTCAGCGTGCTTCTTCTTCTCTTCTCACCTCCTCTTCCGTTCCGTTGCAACAATCTCTGCTGTTGCTGCCAACGCTTTCTACGGTACACTTGACGCACACGTACATACGGCAGCCCCTGGCGCCCGCTCCTGCAGATCACTCGGCAGGGCGACCTTACCCTCACTTAGCCTTCAACGTCAGGCGGTCTAGGCCACGTAAAACAATCCTCCGAATTCGCCGCATTCCTCTGTAAACGGCTCGCTTTCGACGCACTCGCTCCTATTCTCCGATTCCACCTCCCGTAAAACTCAAGTCGAAACCGAAAGAAAAGAAAACAAAATCCACGCGCCGCTGGGCTACTTGCCTCGAAGAAAGTCGTCGCTGTTGTTTTGGTAGTTGGTCAGTTGGAGGCCCGGAAGAGAGGAGGAGCCATGGCCCAGTATTCATATACAAGCTTGAACAACATGGCTAGCGGTGGGCGAGGACGTCGCATATTGCTTATCTTGGTCGTGCCGGTATTTATCGTGGGCCTGTACTATACGTATCACCGCAACATGTATTCCAAGCCCGTCGGGGGATCGCAGTAGGACGCAACCCAGCCAAACATAACACCAATCGCGGCTAACCTTCCGTAGGCTCACGTTCCACCACAACGTCAACATCTCCAAGCACGATGAAACCATGAGCACCGTCATCAAAGCCCTCTACGAACCTATCCTACACCCCATCACCCAACACAACTTCACAGACGAGGACGGCGACACCTACCAACTCACAAAAGCACCCCGGTTCCGCGAGAAGCTGGGGAAGAAGGTTTTGGTCCTGGACATTGACAGCCGGCCTCTCACTGGTCCCGGGCAACTCATGAACGAGCAGCTGGAATGGAAGGGCATGCGCCCATTGGCTGCGGGCATGCTTTCCCACTACATGTACGCCCAAATCCACGGGTACGATTATAAATTCATCCGTGCGCCGGATTACGAGAGTCGCTGGGGAACTTGGGTCAAAGTCCCGCTCATGAAGGAAGCGCTCAAAACGCACGACTACATCGTGTTCATGGACAGCGACGTTGTGTTCCACTATCCGCATCTACCGCTCGAATGGCTCATGAACTACTGGAACATGACGGAGGAGACTCTAGTCATGATGTCAATAGACCCAGACGAGCCGCAAAATTACGACAGCAGAGGCAACCGCTATCTCAACACGGGATTCGTCATTGCACAAAGCAGTAAACGCACACAAAACATGTTCAGGGACTGGGCCAACTGTCCCAGCAATACACGCTACAAGGACTGCTCGAGATGGAAATACGAAATGTTCCACGAGCAATCTGCGTTTGGGAACTACATCCGCTACGACTACGACCGGCCCGAGGATATCCGTGTGCTGCCGTGCGTGGAGGCGAATGGGTGTCCGCAGGCCGTTAATAGAGGTGGATGCAAGGGAACGTTTGTGCGCCACTACTGGATCGATAAGGGCGCTGTTACCAACGCGTTAGGTGATCAGGTCATGCAGTATTTCCTCCCGCGGCTCCACCAAATGTACCAAGAACCGGCGAGGGAGAACATCGTGGATGCCAAGGGCTTCCGGTTAGATGGTGCAGAGTTGGTCGAATTGACGCCCGAAGAGCAGGAAGCTCATAAGAACGAGAACGTTAAAAATCAGAAGGATGAAGGGTGGTGAAAAGCTCGAGTATCACCCTACGATGAACAATATTCGGCTGTTTTTTCCTTGTACAATTCGCTGCATCTCTGGCATATCTTGCATCGTCAACGCTGCACTTCTCTTTTTCCCCTGCCATCTGCGGCATCTGGCTTTGTTGTCTCTCGTAGGGGCGCACCGACACACGTCCCTCCTCATCCGAACGAGAGAAAACTCTACATACCCTCCATTACCAGTTGTTCCAGGATCATTCCACGCATAATCTCGTTCTTATTGTCTGTAACGGTAGATTCCCTTGCGCATTTCGACTTCCCTTTAAGCAGGCGTTCGTTGATCAATGGGATCTTTTGGAGGCGCATACAGCGACCGCCCCTTCTCCATGGGGAGGTGTCATTTGGGAGTTTATGGTTAGCTTGGGTTCAAGGCTTTCCCTTTATCTCGCTGTACCTCTTTTCTTTTTGTTTCTTTTGCCTACCTCGTCCATCATCCTATATCCTTATCTCTTACTTTTTATTTTTTTCTCCTTCTTTCCCTTGGGGGTAGGGTTTGGGGTTTGGAGATCGGAATTGTGGGGAATCACAGCGCGGTAACAAATATAGATTGGATAGCCTGTTTGGCTGGTTTGGGATCCGGGTCACGGGCGGTAAAAAGGAAAAGAGGGAGGGGTCGTGCTGAGAGACTGAAGCTGAGAGAGAGAGAGAGAGAGAGAGACAGAGAAAGGGCGAGAGAGAAGTAAGAAGTAAGAAAGAAAAATCTTTGGGGGAGGTTGCACTTTTGCTTCCTCTTCTTCTTCTCCTTGTTTTGTTTGTATGCTTGCTTGTTTGTGCGTTTTCTTACCAGCGTTCTACGTACTCGTACTCGTTTCTTCTTCTCTTCTTTCCTTTCTATGGCTACGCGTTAGAGAGGAGTGACGGATGTCCGTGATGGTGGTAGGTCATCTATATAGGCAGACAAGCCTAGCGAGTAAGCAAAGGAGTGTGAGGTTTTTTTTTTTGGTGCGGTCCACGTCAATCTACGATTAGGATTAGAAGTTCTAGCATGACAATCCCATTGCATAGCATAGCATTGCATTCTATTCATCATACTCGCATCATGAAACGGAAACCCTTTTTTTTCTTTCCACACTCTGCACTCGGCTTTTTATTTCTCACCGCCCCTTCCCCCACCCTTTTTTTTTTCAAAGGAGTCGTGCTCCGCACTGCTTCAAGTAATGCGCAAGGTGATTGGTAAGTCGCGCGATCTCGTTCACTATCGCGTGCTGATATAAACAACTTCGCGAACGAGCTACCGCTATTAATCCAATCGTGGCGGATAGGAAGGATTTGAATGAGTCTGAGATCATCTCGTTGAGTGGATTGATATATGCCTGCCTACTCAGTACATTTATCTCGTTTGAGTTTCTTGTTCTTTTTTGAATTGGAAGTTACAGTGTTTCCTACACTCAAAAAGGCATATAAAAAAAGGTGACAAGAAGCAGGCGAGAACAGAAAGGTTCATCACTTATTACGAGCACTGGATACTTCACATCCGCGAAGCATGTAACATCAATGATCAGAATGCAAGCGTATCGAAGGTAAATAGAAGTGATTTTTGAGGTATTCACATTAATGGAGTTGCCAGGCAGTTTCGTCGCATGAGAAGCAAGAAATACAATTTGTGTCAAAAATAGTTGGGCCCAACGTCGTACGTATACCGAGTCTGGAGCGTTTCGATTCGTTACTGGTGATCTTACGATGTAAAATTCTTTGGAATAATTCAAAGGTCTCTAATCGGGCATTCCCAAATTGTCACTCGTGCGTACGTTGAGAGTAAAGTACACCAAGAGTAGGTGTAGCAAGTAGCACATGAGTAGACCTCAAGGCACGGCAACGTACGAACCCTCAAATCGACCCTAAAAAAACAGTCAATGATGGGACAGTGCTCTAGACCTCTCTCAAAATTCTTTCAAAGATGGAAAAGCAAAATTCCACGCAAAGTGGGACCCGGTTCGGTTCTGAAGCTACCTAAGTGTGCTAGCTTTCCCACCTGCAGCACTAAGTAGTCTCATCTCGTAATACTAATGCAAAAGTCCACTCTACATGCTAGATCAGTTTAAAAAACTATAATGCATCCTCTCTCCTGCAGTGCCTGCTTGCGTTGTATACGGCTGTCAGACTATATAAATTAAATTTGAAAAACATCTTCCATCAAACCAGTTGAACAACACCAAATTCGCATCGGTGGTTTAGTGGTAAAATTAGCCGTTGCCAAGCATTCGATTCATCGAATGAAGCAACATCGGCTAGCCCCGGGTTCGATTCCCGGCCGATGCAATAGATTTAATTATTATTTTTGCTGTTGTGAGGGTCGCAGAGTGGGGGCAGGAGGAAGCATGAGGGCTACTGGTGGGATACTTGCCAATGTGCCGATGTTCATTGCATGAATTTTATTTTTTTGGGTCCGCTTTGGGTAGATTCACTGAACGAGTGCAAATTGAGAAATGGTATTGAGAGCTTGTATTTTGTCAGTGAATGGTGAAGGCTGAGCTATAGGACACTGCACAGTGCATCTATTCACTACTAGAAGAACATCCATTATTATTTTTTTCTTTCGCTCTTGATCTATCGATTGAAGTAACCGGTAATTATGGGCTTTGGAATTATAAGCTTCATATTTTTACAGTGTGATGACAATATTGCTGTAGTTCCCCCACGCTTCGTTGATGTGCGGTGTGAAATGTGACCCGGCCCCGGTGCTAAGCGAGGGGTGGATTGGCTGCTTGCAAAGATAAACCCCTCCTTTCAGCCCCTTTTGATGGTATCATTGCACGCAGATTCTTCTGGTAGTGAAGGAAAGCGTTGAAGATCGCCAGATGAGGCGTGATCCAAGTCTCGAATAACGTTTGCTATATAAAGGCAGAATTCTCAATTTTCTGTACAATCACTGATTCGGAAGTCTCCGATTCACAACGCTGGGTTGGTCTAGTGGTATGACGTCCGCCTCACATCGATAGCTCGCTATTGATGCTTAGATCGCGGCAGGTCGCGAGTTCGATCCTCGCACTCAGTATTTTTGCCGATCCAACGTCTTTGGGTGGGAACATCTTATCTTTTTTATTTGGCGATGTGGAGGGGGTACAGGGGGGCTACGAGACCTCAAGCGGGGTCTCTCATACAGGTAGCGGACGCGTGGGATGAGGTTACCCCATAGATAGCTATTTACTTTTTGCAGCTTTACAACGAACACGATACAGTGATGGAAGAATGTGATACAATTCCGACACTATCACACGTATGGGCGCTATAGACGATCTCAAAGAGCGGATATTCGTGCGCACGACCCATATATGTGCTCTCATTATGAGATCTGAATCACGGTGGAGGTGTTACATCACACTTCTTTAGAATTCTGTCCGAAGGGTCTCACAGCACGTGTGGATAGAATGGTTTCATGTAGAAAGTAACAGTGGGAAACGACTCTTGCTTTTTGTCATGAGCTATAGTCTTTGTAATGACTGACTGTCTTTCTTTCATTAGTAATGGATGGTAGAGTCTTAGAGGGCTGGGTTGTACCGCTGGAGAGATACGGTGAAATGAAGAAGAGGGTCGCAGTCAGTTTCATTGTTTACGTATCTCCTTATAGCGCAGGTAATATGGTAGCGTTCTCTTATAGTCAATTGACATTTGCTGTGGCAGTATTTCCCGGTCGGCAAAGATCGAACTGCTGGTAGGCCTACTGATGCTTGCGTTGCAAGATCATGTTACAATTGACCAGGCCGCGAATGAATACTTGATTAGAACCAAGGTTCCAGTAATGGCAGTATCAAATAACATCCAACAGCAACTGTCTATATCACTCCGGCTCAAACTTCCAACACACGGGGGAAACAGGACGAGGAACCTCCAGTTTGTCCCACTCTCAGGGGCAAAATTGAAAAGGGAAGGAAGCAAGTTGACAGTGGAGTACCCCCGTCCAACGCAAGAAGCATGAAAGACAGCGGGGCTTGCTCCGCCCATAGCAACCCACTTGCCAGCGATGAGTTTTGTGATGAATTCTGATTGGTATGGTCGATTGAGTCGGCGTCTCCAACTCAACAAAAATCTCGGCATAAACCAGAAATAGCGCCAAGATTCCTAGACGGCGAGACTTGCTGTGTGTTAAACCGAGCGACGAGAGTGTTGAGTGTGAATCCTAAAAGGGATGAGGCCGTGGTATGGCAAGTCACAACGACGTAACTCATCCCACGGAATGAAGATATTCCACGACTGGTTGGATTCCAGATTGCTGAGAGGATCAGTGAGCCCGGTGGTTATCCAAACAACCCTAAATTCCTGGTGTGATAGAGAGTCTCATGTGTTTCCGATGACAACAATCCGGTAACCAAGTCCGCTGACTGCCGGTGAAGAAGGAGGAAGGTGGAAACGGCAGCAATGACGACGAGTCTGCGCTCCGCCTGCGTAAGGAAACCGGCTTCTCCACTACCCCATTCTCTTCCGCGATTTCAGATGACGAAAGATTGGATTGTTATGCGTGATGCCAGTGACTACCCCATTGTCCATATCGTCTCAAAGAATGCCCACTCGAGCAGGAGCTTCGCCGGATTCGAAAGGAGCCACCCGCGGAATCCCAACGAGCGTAATTTCCCGGCCATGGCAAAAAGCGTGAGAAAAGACAAGAAAGACAAGCCCCGGTGGAGTTGAGTGTTTGATAGACATAGTATTGTTGACATATAGCTCTGGGGGCTGTTGGGATCGGGGCGCTAGCGCTACAGCCTCGTGTAGACTATCAATAACTTGACATATTCTTAGGGCGATCTAGGGCTGAAGGGTTCAAAACCTTAGACGGTGTCGACATCTTGGACATGTTGCCTGCGATGAAGACGTATGCGCAACACGTTTGACGCGCAGTGGTCTCACCGGGCTCCTCGGGATGTCGATGTCTGTCTGTAACAACAGCAGCTTGACCTAATCGGTAAAGTTACCGTTCCTGGGCCAACACATAAGTGGAGGCGGCGTGGGTTGATCAGAGTAGGGGTCTGTGCAAACGATGAGAGCACAGGCTGTCGTGGTGGAATCTGATGGTCGCAGCTTGCCACGCGAGACAGTTGAAGAAACATGTCAGCCTTTTGCGAGACACCACTTTTGGGCGCAGGAGGAGTTGAAAGGGGGGACGAGCCGACGAATGAGGCTTCCCGACCCGCTTACCATCGAAATGAGTATGATGGATTCCTGTTGCGATTCAGGGGAGGATGAAAAAGAGATTCCCAGACGGCTGGATAGCGGCTCGGCTGGGCCTCGGCCGCTCCCCGGACCCCCTCTGGGCTCTCTCGAGGCGCTCACGGGCGACTTCACTTCCACAACAGGATCACGATACTCCAACGAAGGCTAGTGAAATTGCTGCAGAAACAGTAGGCAAGCCACTGCCGATGGTGGCTCGATCCGCTATTACGAATACCTGGTCCGGTCTGCCAACGCTACGTCGCCTTCTCGTTTTATGCACGTTTGCACGCCTCTTCACATTTCCCTCATCCGTCATTGGATCAGCGATATGAAGACATTCTACAACAAAAAGCTGTATAACACAGGGCGCGGCGATGATTGATCCAGAGCTCCGAGCAGTGTTTCGACTCCCGTTTAATAATTCGCTCTAGCGGCGCTCTCGGACAATTATCAGGGCCAGCCGTTCCTTATTCGTAAGAACAACAGTCGGGACCAGGATCAAGCCAGTCGCGGAAACGGGAACCTTCATCTGTGCAAAACTAGCACCGGTACTCAGCGTGTGCCTTCTTTCCTGCTGCATGAATTCCTGGTAGGTAATTAAACGCAGAGACTCGTCCATGTCGGCGTCTCGTGGGCACATGCAGATTGTCACAAATCGCGGCACGTTGGGAGAGATCATAGAGTGTTTGTCACCTCTCACAACATGTTTGGTGTTGACAACGACATGCCATTTGCACATCGGTTCTCCACTATAGGTGTCGTGCCACCAGCATATGCCAGACGAAGGTGCCACTGACTCTAAACAACGCGTGGAATGGATCGTACAAGATGCACCAGCACGAAACAATGATTCCTTCACAATCCTGCTCGTTTGTCCTTTCCCCACGTGGCGGGTCATTGCATCTCTCCCAACTAGATGGAATCAACCCCTGCTGCCCACATTCGGGGGGGCACCGTTCGCGGTTTGGGAAAACGTCCAGCTAGACGCAATCAAGGCTGCCCCCGACATTGCCGCACGCCCCACACCTTATAGTACTGATCTGCGCCTCGCAAGAAGAGGGCGGGTGTTCCCTTCTTTTGCCATCGCTCACTTTCGTTTCTGACCGAATAGGTGCGATTGAACCATTCATCTTCCGACCGGACCTCTTCCGATCCATGACCATCTTACGTCGTTGATCTCTCATGCTGGAGCGTGAGGGCTGAGCATGTGGAGCTCTCATTATGAAAGAAGACAACAAATACATTGTTTACATCTCCCCGGAGAAGGAGGTTAATGCTGGACTATGGACTCTGTTTGCTGGCGCAACTGTCATGCTGGCTCTACGCCTTTGGGTCAAGATAACTCGTCGGCACGGAGTCTGGTGGGATGATTATATTCTTCTAGCGACTTGGGTAAGTCTTCTTCGTCACCTCTCCGTGTATGACCGGATAGCTAACTGTGGCTTCAGATGGTTCTGGCGGCCAACAACTCCCTTATATCATATGAGTACGCCACTGGCTACGTTCCACCTCCTGGCTACAAATGGGACGACCGGATGCACATCCTCATCAACATCACTTCATGCGGCACCCTCATCGGCCAGGCTTGGTCTAAAAGCGCCTTCGCCGTGACGCTGCTCAAACTGACTACTCGCTGGCAACAGTATTTTCTGTGGTTCTGCATCATCACTATGAACCTGTACATGGCCTCGAAATGCGTGGTCCAATGGGGAAAGGTGTGTGGAGAGAAGAGCTACAACAACTGGTATCGACTGGATTTCTGTTTGGACCCAAAGTTTCGAGATGACTTCAAGGAAGGAGGAAACAGTATGTTGCCGCCACCCCATCTAGACCAACAAACGAGATACTGACCAACACCCTGTAGTCTACAACATCATCATGGATTTCATTTTTGCTGCATTCCCTTGGTTCCTCACCTGGAATCTGCCAATGCGTCGAAGGGAGAAGATTGGATTGTGCCTCGCCATGAGTCTTGGAGTAGTGTGCGTATCTCACAGCATCTTACTTTTCCAAAGCTCTTCCAACTAACACTGTCTCAAGAGTTGCCTCCGTGGCCGCTGCCCGCACCGCATGGAAAGACGAGGGCAACAAGCGCGATCCTTACTACTACTGGCGGAACGGCCTGTCCAACGTCTGGTAAGTCGCATGATTTTTCTTTTTGGTTATCGCATTCCATGTCGTCGCGCCGCCGTACCATTCTACTTTACCCGTTCAACCACCATCCAAACTTTCCACCAATCACGATCCTTGCTAGCCACGACATACAACTCTCGAACAACCCTTCCTAACAAACCATCAGGTATTCATCTGAAGTAGCCGGCACCATTATAGTTCAATGTGTTCCTGTCTTGCGACCATTTCTCCGCGATGTCCACCAATCCCTAACCCCGCGACGCATCCCCTCGAACGCCGACCCCGGCCGTCGTAGCTTCACCTGGGCCGTCACCAATCCGTCCACAGGCAAAGACGGATCTTCAACATCCACCATCAACTATAACAAAGACACGACGTCACTGATATCTGACGCCGCGAGTAGCAGCAACACCGCTGGCGACTTGCGCTTCCACAACTTCAATTTCGGATTCGGCGAGACCAAGATCGCCGGAGGCGCGGGCAACATTGAGCTCAGAACCATCCAAGAAGAGCGGGATATGGAACGGCGGGACTCGGAAAAACAATGGAGGGATGGGATTCTCGGCAAGGTCTGATGACCTTTTTGTTTGTTTTTGTTTATTTGACTTACCCACGCCCATCGGCTTCCTTACCGTCGCATTCGCGTTTGCTTTCTTTTCTCTTTCTTTTTCTTGTGGTAATTGGTTTTTTCTGGAGGGGAGTTTCAGGGCGGATGTCTAATTCACGCTGCGGATCTCGGGCCTGGGATCTAGGTATGCAGCTGTGACACTTGGTGGAAAGGGAGGGGAAGGGAATATCCCCCTCAGTGGGTTGCGTGCTTGAACGTCCTATGACTTACTCTGTTATCAACAATCTTCTCGTTTGTCGCTCTGGGGATGCTATTGGGTCACGTTGCTCATATATATCACGTGGTATATTGAAAACAAATATATTAATACAAATTTAAACTTCGTGTGTGGTGATGTTAAGATCTCATATAGACAGGGGCGATTGAAAGAGGAAAGGCTGATGTGATTTGAGACAAGTCATGCATACCTAGTAGTGGATGGTGTATCATCTACGGGCATACTGATTTTGGCCCTGGAATAAAGTACCAAGACATCCAGTCTTGCGCTATGCGAGGGATACTACATGTTCTGTTAGGGGCACATGATTATTGGCAACAGAGCACAAGATCCAAACGTCACAAGCAGTCAAGACCAATGACAAATTCGAGCACTTTTGTAAGCAATTGTACAAGTTCATAGAATTGTAATAAGGCACGATACCGTGAGTAGACGTGGAGGAAAATCTACATATGCGCCTTTCCCTCGCGAGACCCTTTTTATGCATAGAATCCGAAAAACGCCATGCTAACTATGCTGGGAAGACGATGCCTCGCTGAATCCGATACCAGACGCCGAAATGTATAATGAATGCCCGAAAGGGCGGTACCACGACGAATGATTATCCTAAGCAGAGGGAGAATCCTGTTTTTTTTTCTTGCCTTTGTCCTTATCTCCCGACTCGTTCTGGAAAGATTATTAGTGGGCTGGATATTAGGACTGGATTTGGATTCTAGATCTTACCTTGCGGTCGCCGCCGTTCTTCTTCTTCGGCATGTCAAATCTCGAACTCAGCACCTTACACTGCTCAAGGAACTCGCGGAACTCACTAACATTCGGGATGGCATTGATATTGCGAAACGCCCTAAGATTCGCAACAAGGCAATCGAGAATGGGGTCGTTGCCCGGAACCGCGAACTCATCAACCAAAGCCATGAACTCGTAAGAGTAGAACTTCTTGCTGTTGCGGATGTTCTCGCAGTAGTGGCGGGTGAAGTGGCCAACGTACATGTTGTGCAGTCCCATGACGCGAGCGGCACGGATGACTTCGAAATTGTTGCGGTCGGTTTGGCCGTCGCCGCTGAAGCGGATGCTCCAGACTCGCTGAATGTGGCAGTGTTGGCGCATCCACTCCACGTGGGTTTTGGCGGCTGCTTTGGTCATGCTGCCTTCGGGGAAGTCCATAGCGTCAGGGAGTGGGTTTTTGGTGAAGTAGTCGTTGGCGAGACGAGAGCATTGCATGAACATGGTCATAGGAACAACGCCGACAGGTTCGGAGTCTAGCTTGACAGTGACTTTCCGGCTGTTTCCAAGGCGAAAGCGCTGCTCGACGGTCATGGTCCGCATATCCTTGCTCGGGTCGACAACAATGGGTGCGAACGACTTTGATCCCTGACGGGGAGAAGTTGGCGAGACAGTTGGAATGGGAGCAGGCTTCTTGCCAAACTTCGAAAGGTCGATTCCCATGGTCAGTTTCTTTGGGGGCGGAACCGGGGTGCTTTTCTTGATGGTGTCGCGTGTCACGAACACTGGTCCAAAATTTGTTGTCGTGTTTGGACTCAGTGCTGGGAAGTCAGCGTTGCTGAATGGGCTGGTCGGAGATTGCTCATTGGTGGCTGAAGCATAGTTCTCCTTGGATTCCGCGGATACGACATCTTTTTTGTTGTCTTGAATGCAAATATAATGTTAGTATAATCCATGCAGACATGTTCAAGTACACTATCAGTGCCTCATAATGCAGCACTTCATGGTGTCTGAATATGTGACTATGTGCTTGGGGCATACTGACCTGGTTCCACAGAAGGTGACGAGAGAGTCACTGAGCCTCTCTCCGACTCTTCCTCTGCTTGAGGCTTTTTGTCCTCAGGCAGGACAGCAGACCCGACGTCATCACTGGATTGGTCTTCTGCAGCTGTGGGGACTGCAGAGTCCACTTCAGTGGAATCACCTTGACCTTCTTCCTCATCTATATCGTGATCAAAAAGTCAGCATAATTCAACCAAATAGATTCCAGTATATCGACTGGATTTCAATCCAAGGGATCATGTATTGTCTTGACATCTGACGACTATGGAACAGAAGGGGTAACTCACTGTACTGAGGAATATACTCAACGACCTTCGCTCGGAGGAATTTCACCTCGTTGCGAAGCCGAGAATCCTCTTTCTCCAGGACTTTCACCCTGTCCATACCGACGCTGATGCTGTCGAGAAACTCGTGATGCTTGCGCTGGATGTATGCGACCTCTTCGGCAGCGGCGGACTTCGTCTGATCCAGTTCGTTGCTCAGCTCGGCAATCTCGCCGTCTCGGTCGGCGACGTCGGTTTCGAGCTCCTCCACCCTCTTCTTGAGGGACGCGACGTCATCTAAAGCCCATGGAGGGCTGTTCTCGGCGTCCTCAGCCCAATCAAGCATCCTACGAGATGCACCCAAGGGCGGGAAGGTGGTTTCAGATTCTATGTTAGGAGGGGCAGGGGCGGGAGAGGATCTGCTGGCTTTTGCAGAGGGAGGGGGGTTGGCATTGGTTGATGGTTGCTGCAGAGCAGGAGACCACATTTGGGTATTCTTACCTGAAGACATCGTCGACGTTGTGTGTGGTCGAAGGTTGTCCACGAGGAGCGGCGGGGCAAATATAAACAACTGTCGCGGACGCCAACGCTGGCAAAGCTCGAGCCAACCGTAATAGTACTAGCGGGAGATTGGTCACAGAGCAAACGAGTGAATTAGATACCTAGGTAGTCACTTCAAGTGAGAGATAGGCCGCGGGGTCGAGACCAAATTCGTGAACGATCAGTAAAGCAGCGTGGATTCAGTTTTTTCCTTTATTACACACCCTTAAATCAACCAGAAAATGCGCGGTGCTGTTGTTGTACATTCTAGCCCTTCAGAATCACGTGACCGGGTGAGCCTGTGGGACAGGAACGATGCCACAGCGGCGACTGAACATTCAAAAACTATCGCAAGAGTCAATAGTCGATAACGGCTTCAGATAAAAGATGCTTTAAAGCATCGTTTTGAGACCTTGTCGGCGTGGGAGTACGCACGTGCAGTGCATCTATGTTGCGAGATATCAGGTATCTATATATGGCATCCACAGCAGCTAATCGACGCGTCTTTAAAGAGGTAGTCTGTTTGTCTTGATTCGATGCGTGTTTGGCTTTTCGATTGGGAATCAAATTCATGACGACCACTCTCTCTAATAACCTATTCCTATTGGGATATGAGAACCGGTTGGCTGGTCCACTAAGCATCACCCCATTTCATATGTAACGAATGAGTGCGAGATGCGCGCACAATGAATACGATGCGTATATAGTATTTCTCAACGTGTCGCTTCTGGTCGCACCATCCGCGTTCTTATGCACGATTTCTCGTCAACATGCTCTACACCACTTTGTTTGCAGCAGCCATCTGGATTGGCGATGTGATCGCCCTTCCTCACATCCACAGAGACCATGAATTACAGACATGGACCAGTAAGTCTATCTGCAAAACACGCGGGCCTGCTACGTGACGTGACGCTTTCTAGATCAGTCTAACGCACGGAAGTATCCCTGATCGATTTGGCTGACTTCGCATTCGAGTAGCATGCTCTCACGATGACGAATGTTACTACGTCGCAGAAGATTCCAGCGGACCTCCAGACCTGACCCCCCATGATACCCGCTGCAATCCGAGCAACGCGAGCGAGGTCCAAGCCTTCGACAATGAGCAATGGAAGCATCTTTTCACATGCACGTTTGCGGACGCCTGTCTGGATGTCGACGGTCACGGTGCATGTCGACTAAGTCGTAAGTATACCCCACACTCATGATAAACCCTCTGCATGATCTTGTATCTAACCCGCTGTCTCGCGATTGTAGGTAATTCATTTGAACTTCCGACAACCAACCCTGGTCCCTTAATCGATGGCGAGCCCGATGACGCACTCCGGATATCTACCAAATGCAATCCGCGGAATGATTCAGAAGTTTTGGGGTGGGATGGGAAGAAATGGAGTCCGAGTGGTGTCTGTTTACCACCCCTTGTCTGCAACGGATTTGGGTCTCCTACAGACTTTGCCTTTTGTGCGCGTAAGAGCGACCAGCCCCCCCAAGTATGGCTTCCAGTGGCTGTTACTTAGCGGGGCAATGAGTCGGAGTTTGTTTAGGCAAAGCGATTGCGATCATTGATCTGGTCGTTATTGCTTCGATTCGTGTTGCTCGGAGTCCATACGTTACTTTGATACATTGTGCTCAAATTGGGCTTACGTTTCTGTTCCCACGATTTGAGTGTAACAAAGCGTTGGTGCTTTCTACGACTTGAAGTCTGTCGAAATATTCAAGTTGTTGGATAGTCTGATTATCCATGTAAAGAGACTAATATGGAATCTGATTTATTGCTGCAAGACACACCCTATGAACCACCCGCTTCTAGCGTCCCTGAAGGTATATATGACAAAAGGTGTCTATGTTTTCTTATGCGCTGCTACTTTCAAACTCAATAACCACAGGATTGTTCGTATATTCCCAAATAGTGTTTAGCTGGAATGTCACTTCCACTTCTACTTAACTACAAGCGTGGGAGATGAACGAGGCTGTGCAACACAGCCACACCTAGATCACACACAATCTAGGCAGCAAATAAAAATTTAGAGACCTTATACATATATAAAGAAGTTATGGGAGTGGGAGCTATAGAGATTAGAGCTTGCAGACTATCAGGCTCTGTCCAGAATCACAAACCGCAGATCATGCCTCCTCCCCCATCAAAACCACCCCAACCCTGCCCCCACAAAACTTTACAACTCACACCCTCCCCCTTTGCACCTCTAGCAGGCTATACACAGCCTAGCAGCCCTGAATGCTTAGCAGCCCAACACTACACACCATCTTCCACAGCAGCGCGCAGCCGAAACAAACGCAAGCGAGACCCTACCGCTCAACCACCCCAGAAACCACAATCCAAAATCGAAATCGACAAAGAACCCACAACATTCCCAGCTCCACTGGTACTACCATATGACCAGTTAAACTACGACCCCGACGAAGAACCTCAGAGTTTGACGGAATGGGTTGAAGGCGAGCACAGGAATGTGGTTACGAAGGAGAGGAACGTGGTTTATGTAGTTGGGTATCCAGAAATCGGAGAGGAGTTAAAGGGAATAGGGATGAATGAGTGGGCGAAACCTCAAGTCGCCGGCACGAACAAAGGGGAAGAAGGAAAAGAGGAGGTGGAGCAGCCCGACATCGAAGAGATAGTGGAGTATCTTCAAGCGTTCTACCACGGACTCCGAGTCCAGCGTCTCGACACACAACTCACATACCTTCCCTGGACCACCAACGCCCGCGGGAAGAAAACTCCATCACGCACAAAACCAAAAACTTCTTCATCTTCTTCGTCCTCGACAACGCCCCACACAGTCCCAAAATACATCTCCCTCCACCACCCCCGAACCAAAACCTCAACACGGATCCGCGTCCGCCCCTCCCCCTCTATCCCTCCATCCCCACCCTTCCCCGTCCAACTCAACCTCAACGACCTCCTCGACGGTCTCCTGGCCATCCTCCCATCAGACGCCTACGCGATCCTCCTCCTAGTTAAACAAGACATCTACGAGTCCCCCGAGGACGACTTCTGCTGCGGCCGCGCATACGGCGGGTCCCGCATCGCCGTGGTGCAAACAGCGCGGTACCACCCGTCCCTGCACCCCAGCGGAAACGAACATGTATGGCCGATGAGCCACTGTAAAGCGTTCGTGAACGCTATTTGTGAGGGTGAGGAAAAAGGGCTAGGGAGCAAACCCGCTAGTAAAAAGGAGATGGAGATGTCGAGGGATGAGGGTGGAGGGGTTAGGAGGGCGATTTCGGCGGCGATGGCGGGTGGGGATGGGGGTCAGGAGGATAAGAGAGCCTTGTGGACGTCGAGAGTGGCGCAGACGGCTTCACATGAGTTGGGGCATTGCTTTGGGATGGCGCATTGTGTTTATTTTGCGTGTAATATGATGGGTACGGCGGGGATGGAGGAGGATTTTAGGTGTCCGCCGTATTTTTGTCCTGTGTGTCAGGTCAAGTTGGGGTATGCGGTTGGGGAGGGTACTTTGGATCAACGTGAATACGAGAAGAGGAGGTTGGAAGGTTTACGAGGGTTTTGTAAGGGGAACGGGAGGGAGAAGGCGCTTATGTGGAGGGCGTTGGGTGGGTGGGTTGATGCTAGGCTTGAGAGTCTTTAAGTCGAGTTGAGTACAATAAATCTACAGCATGTCAAAAATATATCCTCTTTATCTTCTCGCCCCTTTCATCATTCTCGAAAGAGAGTCTGTAAATCACTCGGGGTAAACCATCTTTCTCCCAACCCCCCCATCAACAACAACCTCCTGCCCCGTAACAAACCCACACCCAACCAGATACTCCACCGCCTTCGCAACATCCTCAACCTTCCCAACTCTCCCAGCAGGATGCCACTTCTGGTCCTCCTCACCTAACCCATCCTCCCACTTTACCCCCTTTCCATCTGCCTCCTCATTCTCATCCTCAACATGGACCCACCCAGGCAGAATAGCATTAACACGAATCCCATACCTCTCCCCCAACGAAACCGCCATGGCCTGCCCAAGCCCCAAAACCCCAGCTTTTGCAGCAGAGTACGCCTCGTGGTTAACTTCAGCCTGATACGCGCGCGTCGAAGAAATATTGATAATAGTCCCAGGAGATGCCCCATCGGCCGTGGAATTGCCTGCACGGAGCAACGGAACACAAAGCCTACTCAGTAAAAACGGGGCTGTAAGCCCAACCGCGATTTTGGTGTCCCATTCACGCATCACGGCGTCGTCGGCGTCTTCTATGCCGTCCTCCATACCCCGGTCTTCAGACCAGGTATGTGGCGTCGCGAAGGCGTTGTTGATTAGGACGTCGAGTTTTCCGTCAAAGACGTCGCGTACGTCGTGTATGGTTTCAGTGATGCGCTTGCGATCGCTGAGGTCGCATGATGCTGCTTTCCATTTTGGCGTCGATGATGAGGTGGGAGATGGGATCCACGATGGGGCTTGTGTTCTTACATGTGCTAGTTCGGATTCGTTGGAGTCGAGAATGTAGACTGAGTGGCCTGCGCGGAGGAAATGGCGGAAGAGGCCTCGGCCGATTCCCCGGGCGCCACCGGTTATGAGGATTCTCAAGGGGTGGGCGGTGGTTGTTGTTGCCATTGTTCAATGGTGGGATGGATGAAAGGATTGATTTGTGCTTAGGATTAGCTGTGATTCACTTGATCCAGTCATTCAAATTCCCTGGGTAGATGCTGATTGTCAGTCAGGTATGAAGCTTCCTTTGATAGGCATTTTTGAAAGCACTGTACGTTCCCTGTATCTCATATATGACGTCACAGATAGAAAACTTTTATCACGTGAATGATCTATCCAATGTTCAATTTGAGAGTACATGGTATTAAGTATGTGTATCTGAGAGAATAAACTGTCTAGTGGCAGGTATACAACATCGCTGGGGAACGGGGTATCACATATGGAAAAAGGAGAGCAATTACATAGGAGCCTCTATAAAATTAAAGAAAAACAAAGACAAAGGGAAGCAAGTAGAGCAGAAAAGTAGAGCGGAAGGACTCGCCTTTACCGACAATAAATTATAGTCTCACAAAAAAGAGATCACTCAAACTTCTGCAGGGGGCCCTCCTTGACATCGGCTGTTTGACGGACCCCATCGACTTTTCTTCCATGGATAGGTTGTCCGTTTCCCTCAAGACTGGCCTTGAAGACACCAGGCAATGTATGCTTAGGTAGTGCTTGATCTCTAGCATCGGCAACTTCGTACTCCTCAGGGATAATTGGCTGGATAGCTCCGTTACTCAACTTCTTTTCCTTTGACTGCTGAGGAGCGGGGGGTGCGGAAGCTATTCTGCGCACATCTTGCACATCATCCATATCCTTATCATCTTGAGCGATCTGCTCATCCGCGGTGTGCTGGAGACCATTGATTGGCATGGAAGCTGTTTTTTGCACCTTCGGATCACTCGTGGGAGAGCCTTTGGGAGTAGTTGGTCTGGGACCCTTCATGGGAATGCGATTCCCTTCGCTGTGCTTACTGTGACCGAGAAGGGCGGCACGGAATCCTGACCTACTGTCTTTTCTTTCCTGTTTGATTTGCGGTTGCAGGTCTTGCCATTTCTTGCTTACTCGTTCTTCAATGTCCGCTCGTTGTTCGTTTCGAGTGTCAATGTCCTTGTCGGGGTCCGAAGTGGTGCGACGAGGCGCGAGTTGCTCGAGCTCAGTGTGTCCTTGAATGATGCGGGCCCGCCTGAGAAAATTGGTAGGGCGATGCTTCTTCATGTACTCTTCGTCTAGCCCTTTCATGAAGTACGCACCAGGGCCAATGAAAGCTGCAATATCTTTGAGAACGAACCCTCCAATCCCAAATCCAACACCACGGGCAAATCCTAGTACGCCATGGTTCTTCGCTCCGCGGTAAGGCTGCATCCATAACCCACTGACTCCATCCCGGACACCGTATACGAGTTCATCGCGCCCAGCACGAACACCTGAATGAAAGCCTGTGATGCGTGGAGGCCTTCGAACCGTTTCATCGCCATACAAGCGGGGTGCGTTGTGAAAGCCTTGAGCCATGGCCACTGAGAATTTCATGGGAGATTTAAGAATCGCGCCGCCAGTCTTTTTGAAGCCATGTTCCGCTTCGTGGGCAAATTCTTCAGCCAACTCCTCATCAGGCTCGGAGAGCTGAGACAAGGTTGAGGGATCACGCTTCATTTGGCCGGGCCTGGCAGGTTTCCCCTCGGTTTTCGCGTTTTCCTCCTCACTATCCTTTTCTCTCTTGACTCCATTGGTACTCGAGACATTCTTTCCAGCATTTGAAATGCCTTTGTTCGCCCTTTCCAATGTCTCGCGCTTCTTCTTCTGACGTTTCTGAACCCTGTTCTTCTTCTCTCGGTATTGTTCATGTCTTTTCACGCTTTTACCCATTTGCACTGGAATCGATCCAACACCGGTAGCAACATCGGTGACTGTATCCACCAGTGCACCCCAGATTCCCGTCAAAGGCTCACCGGGACCGCCGAAATCATTCCATTCGAAATGTCTAAGCAAGCGAAGTTCGTTCCACTTGATCTTTCGCCACTCCACAAGAAGTTCCGCGGCAAGCGCACTGAGTCTTATTGATGTGTTCTTCATTCGCCATACGGCAGTATGCGTAGGTAGAAGTGAGCAGCGCATTGTGTCGTTGTCGCGTAACGGCAGACTGCGATGGAAAGATCGTACAGCGTTCAATGCACCGTCGCCTTCTTTCGCAATACTGTCGGCAATCTCTTGCACGTTCTTCTTAGCCTCGTCAGTGAGACATTGTTTGATACCTTCCGCCAGGCGCTCTACGGTGAGCTTCTTGTAGGGTATGCAGTCGTGTGCGCCGGCTTTAGCCTTGGACACCATCGCACCCCAAAATGGCTGGTCACCAAAGAAGGGTACGATCATGGTTGGCACACCGCATTTGAGTCCGGCTGCAGTGGTTCCAGCACCTCCATGGTGTACAACCGCAGCTACTTTTGGGAACAGCCAATCGTGAGGGGTGTTCTCGAGCATGAACACATTCTCTGGTGCATTGTCATTACTACCAAAACCACCCCAACCTTTAGATACCAGTGCACGAACACCAGCAAGCTCTACAGCTTTATAAATCATCTGGGTGAAAGCATCCGGATCATCGACGACGATTGAGCCGAAGCCGATGTAGATTGGTGGTGGTCCGGCCTCCAAGAATTTCACAAGCTCGTCGGGAGGCGTGAAAGACGAGGCAAGATCAAGGAAGACGAAGCCAGAGACTTCAATTTCCGAACCCCAATCCGAAGGCTTTGGGACCAATCCCGGACTCCACATGTACGTGTACGGGACTTTGAGTCGATAAAGTTGGCCTGGGGCCCATACTACCAAGGGTTGTAAGCGACATAGACAGCTAATAATCGCGGAGTGCACCTACGCGTTGAGACCTCTTCCAGAAACAGGGTGTGTTGTCGGAATCGGTTAATCAAGTCTCCAAGCCCCTGCCAAGTCATCATTTCGACTAATGGATAACTCATGAAGTTTGTATATTTAGCGTCGACATTGCTCGTCTTTATATTCGCTAGGGGGTGTGGGAAATGCGTAGTTGGGGAGTATGGGAAACTGTGAAGGTCAGCGCGAGCCCAGTGAAATTAGAGCAGCAGGGACATACGTAAACATCATGTGCAATGGCACACCCAAGCGTTCGGCGATGTGTGGCGGAGCGAAACTAGGTGGGTTCGCAATGATAGCATCACATATGAATGGAATCCGCTCTCCCACTACATATCTTGTCAGTGTCTGCAGTTAAAAGGGGTCGGGAATGCTTACTCATTTTCAGATTCGCCTGGTCGGTTTCATCATCTGTAGCATTGATACAGGCCCTCCACATGCCTTCAAACATTTCGAACATGGCTGCTCTTCGTTTGCCCACCTCACCACCTTTGACGGTCTCCAGATTAGGGATCAATCCTGGGTTTTTGACCATAAAGGCCATGAGTTCGGACGGATCGCCTCCGATGGAGAAGAACTCGAGACCGGAATCTTTTTCGACAAATTGTTTGAAGGCAGGGTGTGTGGCTATACGCACACGGTGACCGTAATCTTCTTTCAGGATCTTGCCAATGCGAAGGAAGGGCTGTATGTCACCTCTTGACCCAATGACAATGACAACGATGTTGAGACGCACGCGTCGTTCGGGATCTTCCATTATGTCGTCTTCGTGCGTGATCTTGCCAGCGTCGGAGCGTGGGACAACGTCGAGCTGATCTTCTTCATCCGTGCCCCCAAAATGTTTCCTTATCCCTGCACCCAGGGTCTTTGCGATATAGCCGCTGTTGAGCGTCTCATTGATGGACAAGCGTAGCCTGCCGTCCCGTTTTGACACTTTTCCTGACGTGTTGACGTTCTCATTGCTAATCTTGAGACGGTGGAAAGGTGCAGAACCTCGACGGGTATTCCTTTTACTCTTGGTATCGGCACCTACACCACTGTAGGCTTGTTGATCTTTCCTTGCGTCTTTATCGTCATCATCGTCGTCGGATGAGGAGGCTGAAGAGGAAGAGCTGGAGTCGGACATGTACGGATCAAAAGCCAGTCTGTTTGGGCGCTCGAGGTGAGGCAGACGCTCCCCTACAGATCCGGCTCGCTGAAGATCAGGGTCTCTTTTCACGGTGGCTGCGGCAGGACGTTCGGTCGCAAATTTGTGGGCAAAAGGACGCGGAGGTGGCATCGTTTGACGGTCCTCACCGCCAACAGCAGGCGGCGGCATTACGTTGCTGTGAGCTTGGCCGGATGTGGGGGGATGTGAAGACCAGGTGTGATGGTGCTGGGATGGAGACGGCGTGGCATGGTGGGTGACGGAATGGACAGGTTCGGGAGACGTGGACGGAAACTCTGGCTCGTGGAGAGCGATTGCTGTGAGAATGGGAGGCGAAAGTCCATGGCTGTCGTCAGCCATGGCCCTAGACAAGCATATAGAATGTTCACAGGGAAGATGGGTGTTTCGTCTAGCTGGGTGTCTAAACTAGAAACACAGTGAGCCGATCGATGTGGGGAAGGAAGGAATCAAGACAAAACTAGACAAGGGGGTAGTGAATGAGGCGAGGGAGGGAATAACGGAAAGGCAAGTAAAGCACGAACATGATGTAGTTTTTCTCCCGATGGACGACACATGGGAAAGTGAATTTCCCGTGGCGTCACAACGTCGACGCCCAGGCACGGTTCCCAGTTTCTGGATCGCTCCTAGCTTCCGCCCGCCTTGCCGAGTCTCGATCCCTGCAGCTGATGTCACCACAGACATTTGCATTACATCCAGACTCCCCATCGACAGTGAATGTCGTCTCGATTCGAGTCTCGTGATCGCGTTCATACGTACCTTGGTTGTTGTATATACACTATCCCCGGTGCCGTATGTTCCACACATACTCATTTAGACCCCCAAAAGAGGTACCCGACCGCCCTCACCACATCAAGTGCCCATCCCCCCCAACCACGAGCTGCCTGGACTGCATTCAACGCTTTGGCGATGTTCCGGTTAAAAGCATCTTGTTCGTGCCAATCATCTGCATACGGTTCCCATAGCGCTTTGACTTCGCTGCCCGGAGTCCCGTAATCAACCACTTTCCACTCGCCCTGGTCGTCCTGTTTGAGCGACGCCTTGGGTCCAACCACGAGAGCCCGGCCAAGTATTCGAGAATCAGACACGAATCGCGTTGCCGCTTCGACCACGTCTTCGACTTTGCCCATTCCACCCCCTGCGAGGAAAATTCTTACGGGAAGCTTGAGGATCGGTGTATCGATGAAGTAGGGACACACCATATTAATTCGTATACCGTGCACATGCGTAGTCGCACGCAGAGAACGAAAGAGGCCGAGGACGGCATGCTTGGTGGCTCCGTACTGAGGTGACAGTGAAAGTGGCGCCCTGAATATAATCATCAGTAAATCTGGGGCGCATTTTCGTGCCGCCTTGCTCCAAGGGTATAGCTCACAGGGAAGCTAAAGAACCTATGAGCAATATATGTCTATCGCGAGGTTGTCGCTGGTCCGAATCGATACTGCAAGCCTTCGCGCCTGGGTTTCGCGGCAGCCAGTAGTAAGCCAGATGCACAGAATAAGCCACGCCAACAAAGTTGACGTCTATCGTCTTAACATTCGGTGCCTTTGGTTCTGCGGCGCTCAGATCCTTGGGGTGAAGCAATTCATCCGGCTCGGGGGCGATACCTGCATTCGCTACCACAGTATCAATGCCCCCATGAGGACTCAACCTGACCGCCTCTTTGAACAAATTCACCTGCGACTGCCAGTCTGTGACATCGCAATGAACGAAGTGAACATTGTCTTTGCCAGTCTCTTTTCGAATCTGGCGAGCCAATGCATCGCCTTTCTCGACATTGATATCGCCCATGATGACATTGGCTCCGTTGTTGGCCCATTCTCGCACAAACCCTGCCCCGAACCCACTGGCCCCTCCCGTCACCACAATAGTCTTGCCCTTGACCCTGCTGGCGTCGTATGGAAGAGAAACGTCCAAGGGAGGGGATTGCCGAATAGCAGCTGAAAGCCCATTGGGATCATGCGAGGGCGTCTCCATTGTGAACCTGGGGAACCACGTTGCTGTCCACGACGATGGTGGAAAAGTCAGCCGTACAAAGAAGGCAAGCTAACGTCGGCCGCTTGCTTGCGTCTCCAAGAGATGCACCGTGGCCAGCTCGTATAGCTTCGTATTGCTGACCTCTGGACTGCAGCGAGAGATCAAGGGACCATCTCGCTTAAGCCGCCGATCTCTTTTGTTCCTGCGCCCGACAGACCGACCCCGCCGCCATGACCCCACATACCTTCATTCACCTCGTCTCGATTTTGCGCCTCTGTTCGTACTGACTATGAAGATACCGCGGTAGCCATTCCAACTCAACTCGACTTCCAGCCCAGACGCAATTCCTTCCAGCGACATAGCTACATCCCACCAGTTGACCATCGCGATGCCTCCCACAAACCTCTCCCCATCTACCTATCTAGTCGCAACGCTGTTCTACAAGGTCAATACGCCGCATTACTTCCCCCACCCAGATGCCTCGCCTCGATCTCCTACCGACCCTATCCCCTCCGCATCCCTCGAGCGACTCAAAGATGGCGCCATCCCCACCGACAACCTCTCCTCGTATCCTCTAGAACCCCCAACACCAGGCCCGAACCCCCTAGACCACCTCTACGGCAGCTACATCACACGGAACTGTCTGACCGACTTCTCTTCAACGTTGGCTACCATAATCCCCCACCTCTCCCAAGACGCCATTGAGAACCGAAATCTTCAGCAAGATAAATTCTGCAAGGTCGTCGAGGCTCGCTTCCCGTTTTCCCCATCCGCGGACATAACATTGGAGACAATAAGAAGGCATGAGAATATTTCTCGCTTTGAACGGGAATGGAATGTCGAGGTGGTATTCCAGACGGATAACGTCCACCGTCGCTACAAGCGGCTTGCCGTTTTCGACATGGACAGCACCCTCATCCAGCAGGAAGTCATTGACGAGATCGCCGCCCTCATTGGAGTACAAGATCAAGTCTCAGCCATAACCGCAGCAGCCATGAACGGCGAACTGGACTTTGAAGCAAGTCTCCGCGCTAGATGTAAATTGTTGACGGGCGTCCCAAGCAGTGTCTGGGAAACGCTCAAAGACAGAATCACCATGAACGAAGGCGTTCCAGAACTTCTCAGAGCGTTGAAGAGATTGGGTTTCAAAACTGCCGTGTTGAGCGGTGGTTTCACACCTCTGGCGGAATGGATGGCAGGGAGGTTGGGACTCGACTACGCTTTCGCGAACAATTTGGTCGTCTCATCAGATGGCCAGACTCTCACTGGCGAGCTCACCGGCGAGATCGTACACGCGGAGAAGAAGCGTCAGCATGTCTTGGAGATCGCCGAGAAAGAGGGGATTTTGCTCGAACAGGCTGTGTGTATAGGTGACGGTGCAAACGATCTTCCCATGATGGGCGTCGCTGGGCTCGGTGTAGCGTTTCACGCAAAACCAAAGGTGCAGATGCAGGCACCCGCGCGGTTGAACTCCAAGAGCATGCTGGATGTTTTGTATTTGTTTGGTATCACCCGCGAAGAGCAGGAGGTTTTGATACGGTGACCCCGTATATGTCAGCGCAGCAGCTCGTTCTTCCGCATAGTATCTAATTATATGAAACCAATTTCCTCAATTCCTCCAGATCTGCATCTTCCAATGACTTTACATCCTGGGTGAATAGCATAGGAAGTGACAATGGAACTTTGGATCGATAACACGCATTGCTATTTTCGAGGTGGCAGTTGATAGAGCGCATAGCACAGATGCGGAGCTCATCTGATGGCGACGAGAGACGATCGGTACAGACCTTCTATTAATACTGATATCTGTACTCTTTCATTTCACTGTATGCATCAGATATCTTCTAATATGGCTTTCTGTATAAATTATACTAAATTGGAGTTTGGGTGATCCTACACATAGCAGAGATCGAGGGGTACCCCTTGTGGCTTTCTGTATAGCATTACTTAATTCTAAGGGGTTTTTTTATTGGAAGTTACAGTGTTTCCTACACTCAAAAAGGCTGATAAAAATGATTTGACAAAAAGCAGGCAGTGACAAAAAGGTTCACGAAAGTTTTTGCTTTCGGCACCGGGCCAGGGAGCAACCCAAAAGGCCAAGTCAAAAAGGGACGCTAGCGCCCATTACTTGATTTTACAGGCTGCCCAAATAATGAATGTCTCGATTGCTCGGATTTATTCTCCGTCGTACGTCAGTTTTCGACCTCACTGGTAATTAAATACTCGATACATGTGTGTGAAGTCTGACGAGACGATAGCCGTGTTGTATATGTACATCCTGCGCCTACCTCTCTTGTAACCACACGTGACCATGCTAGTGCTTAATTTAATATTTAATTCACTATTGACGCTGACCAACCTCCGCTGCTATTTATTATCTACCTTAAACCGACAACCCAAATCACTGGTCAAGATCCAGAGCAGTTCTTCCACGCACGACTTACTAAGCGGTCAGTGCGTCAAACTCTGGTGTCACGGGCTTGCAACGACTCGGTACCCCCGAGTATATGTACGAGTATACGTACTATCACATCCACGTCCCACAAACAACAACTTCGGATAAACCTGCCAGTTATGGACGAGAAAGCGGTCAACCGCTGGGGTACGTACCGCTCTACTATCTTAAACTTCAATCAATCCACCTCCCCTCTGACTCGTCACTATCATACAGACGACGGAACCGTCTCGAAACTTGGCTCTCCAGAGCATCCCCTCTTACTTCACACGGCAATGTTCAATGTGTGCCAGACACCCATAACGGTGTCATGCGGAGGGCCTATTAAGATCAAGGACGGGAAGTCGTCGACAATCCGTTCGGCTTTTCCCGTCACACTGGAAATTAAATTTGACGATACATTCGATATCATACCGGCTGTTCCATTGAATTCTTCCTTCAGGGAAGGATGGTACAAATTGCCAGATGAGATAAAGTTGATGATCCTTTCATTCGCCGGTGACACAATCTATGAAACGGATGACAATGAGATGTGGGACGTGTTCAAGTACTCCGATGTCATGGACATTCCCAATTCAGTCTTAGCAAAGTTTCTCAGGTGCCGGGGTGATATTGCACGCCTTGGCAGAGAAGCCTTCTATAGGGTTCACACCTTTCAAGTCTGCCTAGATGAACATAAGTTCTTCTACCCAAAACAGTCGGTCAATCAATTCATTCGCTACTTGGAGATCAAAGTCGGGGTATATCTAGAATACGATCAATGGAGAAAGTTAAAGGATCTCGCTGCAGGTAGCTACGGTTTCGGTAATCTGAAATACATCGAACTCATAGTGGTCTGGGATTGGGATAGTATCGCCAATGCTTATGATGAGTACGATATATTCAAAAACAGTATGGATGGAGGGGTAAGTTCAAACTTTGTTCCCTTGCTGTAATCTTCACTAACAAGTTCATTTAGCACCCTCCCATCTTGCCCCGCGAACCAATCCAGTTTAATTCAAGGGGAACCGTATCAGATGACTACCATGACGTAGCCTTTGATCCCCAGGACGCTGCCAAGTACGAGGTCCCTATAAGGGTGTACATGGAGAAACTGCGAAATTTGGTCCAATTTCGCCAGGAATAAGTCGCTGGATCAGATCAGGTGTTTTGGCCTTCGAGGGTTAGAACAAGGGGACAATCGACTTGAGAATGTCATGTCTTTTGATTGACCTGCTGCTACAAAGATGGATATGCTTTTCGTTGGTCTAGTCTACAACCTCTTCCCGCTTTATTGCGTTATGGTGGTTATTAATCATGCCGAGGTTATGATCCGCCCACCTCATAACACACACAATTGTATGTAGAGAGAGTGGTGGGACATGTAACATGTACTCCTGCAATCGAGAATGATCAGAATGTTATATTGGATTCAAGAATGTTGGAATACTACTTGTTGATTCTTTGTACATCCTAATCCACTTGCTCTCGTGCAAAACTGGAAGTATTGGTACATGGGTGTAGCTGCACAGAACTCTTGAGACAGTTTGCTGTGTTTGGTTGTGATCAACAATATGAACAATGACGAGGGACATGGCCTTGACGCCTCGAGAGATCTATCATATTACAGGTCTGTGATTCATGGGAACTCTTCGCCATCAAAATTTGATGTGATATAAATCTGCTTTTTCTTTTCCCTTCATCCAACTAGGATTGGCAGAAGACCTACCTATAGACGACCGGCGTACACTCGAGCAAAACATAACCGACATCGAGTCTACCCAAGGCACACAACAGCAACAGCAACAGCAACAGCACCATCATATCCAGTCTCACTCGCAAAAAAACCCAATCAAAATTTGAATATCCATCGTATTTCATTTTGCCCACCGAACCCCCCAAGAAGCCATACTAGCATCTACATTCCACCCCCTTCTTACTAACGCCAAGATACTTGACGCCCTTGTACGGCGTAACTCCACTCCCCAACCCAGAACTCCTCTTCATATCCACGCCCAAGCTCTCGACTTTGATCCCACTAGGCAGCCACCCTTTGACGGAGAAACTCACCGTCGCGCACGACGGCATCAGCACCTTCATTTTCTTCCGCTCGGTCTCAACATTCGGCGGTTTCGAAGTAGGTTTACTTCCGCGTGGGTGATTGGAGGAAGAAGAAGATTGGTACGAGCCCGCAGCATCGTCATCGTAATCATACGTATTCGTAGACAGCGCGCCTGCGCCGCCATTCTCAGCATCATGCAAGTCGTCGGCGTCGGCGCCGACGACGGTCCCGCGTAGGGTAGCGTCGAGCGAGGTGCCGCTACCGCGGTCGTTGGCCATGAGGGCGTTGAGCTCGCGGGAGGTGAGGCGCCACTCGATGCCGCGGTCGCCGGGGGCGTAGCCGGCTTCGCCAGCGCTGCGGGAGACGCGGAGGTCGGTTACGTTCTTGACGCTGGCGGGTAGCGGGATGTGAACGGTCATGGACTCGACGGTGGGGGCGGCGGTTGTGCCTTGTGTTGCTGATGATGCGAAACCTGCGCCGCTAAGGCCGCGGCCGCCTCCTCCGCGACTTGATGGTCCGCTGTTGGAAAGGGCGGAGGAGGATTTGGAGCCGGCGAAGCGCGGATTTAAGTGGAGTTTTACTTCGAAGTCGGATGCAGAGGGGCCGAGGGCGGTTTGGACGCTCACGGTTGCTGGTATATTTAGTTTTGGGCTGGATTTTAGGGTGGTGGTGGTCGAGAAGGCTTCTAGAGCTGCTGGGCCTAGTAGATCGACTTCGTATGCTGCGAGGAGAAACCGTCCGTCTGGGGGCACAAAGCTCAAGTCTCCCGGTCTATCTTTCCACCGGTTGAGTCGCACACAGGGGTGAAAGACTGGTAATGCGATGGTGTTTGCCGGACCTCCTGGGCATCCGAGTTGAAGATTCAGATCGGGGACCCCAGATACCTTTGCAGTGAAGGCAATGGAGCCGTTTGCGATAGCGGCCAGTGGTCTTCCTGAAGGAGACAAGGTGACATTGAGCGTCTCCACTATATCCACATACATCTCATTGCTCGTGTGCCGTACGTTCGCTCTTCTCCAGGGTACAGTACTCGCAGCCTGTGAAGCTCCACCAGGTCCTCCGCTGGGACCTAAACGTGGACTGGCGCCTCTCGCGAGAGAAAATGATCCACCACTATTGCCAGCTGTCAAACTACTTGGTGTTGAACTGGGCAAACCGACTCCACCGAGCAGGCTTTTGATGAAGTTGGGCGCCTCGACAACATCTCTCAGCGCATTCGGTTCGGTGCAGCTGATGACGCCGCCATCGACCATCTCATTGAGCAGCTGGGCCACGACATCGTAGTTGGCTTCGATTTTGCTCGCGAGCAGAGGAGCGCCGAGAAAGTCTTCCAGGGCGTCGGCGGTGCGGTGCAGGAACTCGAGGATCTGGAGGGGTTCGGTGTCGGTAGAGCACGGGCACAGGAAGAGAAGTTGGTCTTGTATTATAGAGTACAGAAGCGTCGAGGGGTTCGTGTTTGGAAGATAGATGAGGGAGGGTCGTGGAGAGGGGTGCGCGAGGTAGAGCGGGAGAAGGGTGCTGGATGCTGGGGGTCGGCCGTTATATGTATGATCGAGGAGCGGTGTGCTGTAGCTTTTGTTAGCCCTCGAATCAGGGGAGCATACAGGAAAGGGCGAGGACTTGCTTATGCTCATCGAAGATGTAGAGCGCTTCTATTGTGCTCATATCTCCTCGAGTGCCCAACCTCACGGGGGTGAAAGTAACGTACCGGTAGTGGGGCTGGTTGGTTGAATGTACGGTAGAAGCAGCTTAGGCGGGGTCTACCAAGCTCTCCACAGCTCACTGGCTTGCTACTTTGTGTTGCAGGCGATATTGTTAATGCCAAAATTTATCTCCTCGTCGCGGTCTGATTCCGAAATCCTATGGTTCTCTGAGTTCTCACATTTACAATTTATTTCTGTTGAATCTTCGAATTGAGCGCGCCATCCCATCCAACCCCATATAAATAATCAGGTCACAGCTGGTCTGTGCGAAGTACCCTTCAACACCACTTACCATCCGATCAACGCCTCACCTCACATCCTCACCTCCGCAAGAGTCCGCACACCATCCATAAAACCCGCCATGGGCGACTCCGTACCCACCTTCAAGGAGGCCCTCAAGCGAGACAGAGCCGAATTCGACGACTGCACCCCCTGTCGCGTCGTAGGTGCGCATCTACCCTCCTCTATCACTTACCACACGCCTGAGCAGAGCAGTTGAACTCACCACGACACCGCTGTCGCGAGAATAGGCACTGTTACATTCTTGGGCCTGGGCGCCTTTACCTACGTTTCCGGGCACGCGCAGCTTAGCGCGCAAGAGGAGGTGATCCGCAAGAGCAAGAGCGTGTTCGGCATGGCGAGTCGACGTGCCGGTATAACAGGAATGGCTGCTGCCATGGTGGGCACAGGGCTGTATCGGTGGTTCGTTTAGGTCGTGGTGTCTGTGTGTAGCTTTCGAATCAGGCGTTCCGGGTCTCTAAATTCACACACGCGGAAAGAGTGCATGCGAGATGGTGTAAGAATAACATTGTACAATATTCACTTGCGAAAAATTACAAAAAATTCAGAGGTGAACTATCGATGTAGAACCTCGAGGTCGCACAAATCGGGAGAGAATGATATATGTATCGAGATATCCACCTATCCGCCCATAAGCCTCCTCTCCCTCAATCCTAATTACACATCCTCCTCCTCGTTACTCATGTCCGTGGTATCAGATGAGAAGCTCGAGGAAAAATATACGCCCATGCAAATGCAATCTATCCCTGCGTGCATGATGCCAGCCCCCCTAATAAATGCTGCCAGTGTACCGTCTTGTGGAAAACGCCGTTTCGCTTGGATATGATGCAATATAAAAAATGCCATTATGGTTCGTGTCGAACTCGTGAGTAGTGCGCTCGGTTTGACGCTAAGACATTCGCCCTCTTTTGGGCCCACCACCAGGCCCGTCTCGCCGATCGTTCATGTCAATATTGAAGAAGTCGTGCATGATCTTTCGTTTCTGTCCTGCCCCAGATCCACTCGCTAGGTTGACAATGTTCTGGGCAGCCGATTGTCGCAGACTACGGGACGAGGAGCGGTGGGATGTACGGCGTGGCGTGGGGAAAGCACGGCGTGCCGCGGCAGGGAGGTCGTACGGGGTGTTTTCGGGTGATTGATTGGTCGGGTACGCGTGCGGAGAGCTGAAGTTGAACATGGTGGATAATGGTGTCATATCAGCGTCGTTGGACGGTTCGGTGGCTGCTGGTGGTGGTGCGGAATCCGAGCGATGCGCTGGGTCTAGGGCCGGCTCCACAGATCTTGTTTCTTCCGGGCTGGAATTCCTTTCCATGACAGGGGAAGAGCTACGTGCCCTTTTTTCTTCCTCGTCATCGCTATCGCCGGTCAATTGTACAGGCAAAGATCCGTCCAGGCGCTCTGTGGCCCACTGTCGTATACGCCAACCCTCGCCATCACTCACACCCAAGTTTTCTTTGTCAAGAAACCCAAGAAGATCCTCCAGAGCATCCTGATATCCGTCAGAGCGAGAGCGGTCGATATCCGCAAGAGCGGCTTTGTACAAATTGGTGACTGTGAGGGCGGCGCTTCGGAACGATTGGTGGGTGTCAGGTTGCGGCGTCGGCTGACGTCGCCTCGTCTTAGGAAGCGACGTGTTGAGACTACGCATCGAGTCCATAGTTGAAGAGGGCTGTACGTCCGATTCTTTGAGCAAATGACTCTGGGGGGTAACGTAGCGGAGATTTTATCGGGAAGAGAATGTTCCGAAGAGCTCCCGGCGGGCAGGCTCTGGTGTTGTGGGCTGGGTCAAAGGCGGCGGTGGCCAGGCCAGGTGGAGGGATGTTTGAAGTCTGCGAGCACCAAGCTTGTTAGACTGAGACGTTCGTACACGACCAGTAGGTTAAAGAGTGTGGAGTGGTTGAGTGTAAGAGGTCAGGTGGTTGTGAGATGTGGAGGGTTGACAAGTGCATGTAGTCGGCATGTCGCAGCGGGGTCCGCCCGGGTTAGCAGGTGCTAAAAGCTTCCACGTGGTTGGGCGACTTAGTCAGCGAGTTCCCTGTTCATCTCACCTCCCACCTCCCATGGGGAGATACAAGTGACCACATGTGAATGGAGCCAGAGGCCTATAATGGGGTATGCCTTCTGTCCTGCCACCGATGATCACATGTTCCATGAGAGCTCCTATTGAATGCCTGCCCGTAGAGCTGGTCGACCTTATCGTTACTAATTTCTCTCTGGTACGTCTTCCGGGGTACACGGGGCACTGCAATATACCAAGTTGATAATCGATGTTGCATTCCGGTTGTGCTTTACTGACTTTGCCAACCTGACTGTAGGCAGACTACCAGAATGTTCGTCTTGCCTCAAAACAGCTTATATACCTGACACTGTCATCCTTTCGTGATCGCTACTTTACACGCCGCACTACCACTCTAGCATCCTCGTCGCTGGACCGCTTGATCAGGGTTTCAGCATGTCGTCACCTAGCTGACGCAGTCCTTTATCTGGATGTCAAACTCCTTAATCGCGCCGACTATGAAAATCTGCTGCAAATTAGCCGCGTGGGTATATATCCTCCACCTAAGCGATTTGCACGGGTTCCGCAAGTCAAAGCCGATGAGATTAGCCAGGAAGCCCGATTATTTGAGTACATGCGGCGCGATGAGGACCCGAAAATTGTCATCGACAAGCTCGCACGCGCGCTCCGCCGCCTGCGTCATCTTGAATCTGTCCGTATGAGAGTGAATGGAACTACTGTCGCCAGCGTACCGAGTGAAGTGTATGATGATCACGCTTTCTTGGCTTCGTCCTTCACAGCTATCGTGGGCGCATTGTCAAAAAGCGAGTTAAAGATCAAAGAGCTTTATACTATAAAGGGTACAAGCATTCGTGCGACCACGAAGTCAGCAAACTTGAGCTATAGGGCATTCGCCTTGCCTTCCTACGTCTCTTCATCGTTGACGCAAGCTTTTTGTTCGTTGCGAACACTTGGACTGTCACTCTGCACCGACTATATGGATTCCCGTGTGCCTGGTTGGGAGAAAAGCATATGCAGTTTTATTGGATCCGCCTCCGCCCTGGAAGAGCTGGTGCTTTGCACGCAGTTGAATTATGGGCTACCTCAGTGGAGAGTTGCTGTCATCCACGCGTTGGCACGCTCCGTGCGTCTACGTGCTCTCACAACACTTCAGATACATGGGTTTCATGTTACCATGTCTGACATGAGGGAATTTATACGCGCACACTCATCAACCCTTCGTAAACTTACCATTCGCAAGTGCCATATGCTAGAGGATACATGGAAATCACTATTGGCCTCGTTTCAGGGATTGGACCTAGAGTATATGCGTCTCGTCAAACTTCAGCAGCAATCAATCCCGAAACATATGTATTGGATGCCTCCCACAGGAGAAAAAAAGAATAAAATTGTCTTGGATATCAGGGGAAAATTGCCGACCAAGCGGATGGATGAAATGCTAGCAGATGCCATCGAGACTCTTGTTTCCTCTGTGCCTTTGCACGAAGCTTTGGATTCCTAGGATCCCCAACTACTCAAATTTGTCTATCCGTCCTCTTTGGTGTGTGATTTGGAGAACCCGTCTCGGTAGTGTCAAGGATGCTTCCAGTGTAGATATGATGCGACTTTGGATCTGTGTGGGAACGACGCTGTTCGGATTCTTCCATCAACTCATTTCTTTTTCGAGTCCTGTCCGCGGCTTGGCCCATTCCGAATCATTTTTTTGCATTGAATCGTCATCTTCTTCCAGCTTGTTGAGATACAAACGGAAGCCGACCATAGCGAGAGTAATGACGACTGCAACGACTGGAACGATGGATCCGACACCGGCGGTGAAAGCTGCGGAGGGAGGAGGCGATATATTGGGGCGTTTTGAAGATGAGAACTCCTTCTTTGCGGCAGATTTTGAAGTCGAGTTCGATGATGAAGTTGAGTTGAACGCGTGCTCCATTTTGCCGGCTTTGTGAGATTTAACGTCCGTGTCGCCCCCGACGGAGTCTAAAAGAGCGGAAGCTATCGCAGAAGTCGGGTCATCGTTGATGGTACCAGCGACGACCAAAGAAATACACAGGAACGCTACGAGTAAAAAGAGTGTTGTGGGAGACATTGTGACGAACGCCTAAGGTCTCCAGAATAGCGCGAGGAGCTGCTTCTATATCAAGCGACTATATGGTGCGTGGCTGAGTGGGTGTGCTGGACGCGTTTCGCATTTTCCGTACGGGGTATGACTTTGTCTAGAATATGGTAGCTTGGGTGCTGTTCGAATGTTCGGTACGCATGACAATTGGCACGAGCGTGCACCGGCAAGATGTTCAAACGTTTTAGAATGCGCCATTACCTACGGTTCAATCTATAAGGGGCGCTTATTGCACCGACTTCATGCCTCAGACCCGACAGCTGCCTCAGACCTCCGAACCTCATGTACCTCATCCCACCGTTGGAAAGTCTCGCAAATCCGCCAGGCTTCACTTTCCGCGATTTGACACGTTATCTCGATGTCACAATCAATTTTTTTTCAGCCCGTCGTTATTCACCCGTTGATCTTCGCGCCCTCGTCTGTGTTTACCCTCCCACAATTCACGCCATGGCCCGATGAGTCGATTTGAAGCAGTACACGTCGCAGGCTTTATCCACTTATCAGCATCCCCGTCCGCCTCCCGTCTTCTGGTGGGTAAAATCTAGACCTGTTTATATCTGACGTTCGCATAACAATGCGAAGGTTAATAATATTCTACGTTGTTTATTCTCTAGAATTGTTCTTTCATGCCAAAATAAGGTTTGGTGATTGGTCCGGGATGTGGCCGAATTAGCATGAATTGAGACTGATTATAGCCACCACCGCCACAGCTAGACCTACTTTAGTAAGCCTCATCGCGTGCGATGACGTACAGCATGTCATTCAGGCCCTCCACGATGCTCGCGCGAGGAGAAATTGCCCGACGCAACCTGGAGTGCATGCCTAAACATCACTTCTAGGCGTTGACTGTACTATGTATATATAAGGGACATTATATTCAGGTCTGATGTCCTCTATCCCCAGGAAATCAAATATCTAGGCCATTACGGTAGCTCGTTGTCCTGAAGCTCATCATGCTTCTACATGGACACAGTACAAATCGGAATATTTCAATCGTGCGAGAAGCATTTCTACAACATCCACCGTAGTTGAGCTTTACCGCATTCAGTAATGATAGACACACAAATGAGTTAAAACAGGATGGTGATTCGGCCCCTCGCAGCATGACTACCTAATCCAGTACAAAGTGTCTGTTGGCAGGATCAGTGAATCCTTTACATGCCCCTCTACCTTTGAATTGACGCCTATAGATTAACGGGGCGGGAGAGAATCAGTCCAAACACATTTGTGGTCGCTACATCACAGGAATCATACCAGTGCTACTTCCCACCAACTTCACACAACCATCGATATCCACATCCATTTTTCCAAGCAATACGCTTTCTACCAGCGAACAAGAAGAAGCATGGCGTTACAGCCCGTCGCACAACCCATCGGCATCTTCCTCCAATTCTTCGCGAAGCAGACCGAAACCCTGGTCCTCAAAGAGCGCCTCTTCTCGCTCAGCGGCGATTCCTTCACAGTCCACCTCCTCAACCACACCCCGCTCATTCAAATCGAAGGCGGCAAATGGTCATCGTGGTCCTCGAAGAGGAAAATTCTCGATCTGAAGGGGGTTCATCTCTTCACGCTCAAAAAGCTGAAATGGCATATGCACACCACGTTCACGATTGAGGACCCTAATGAGCAGGAGCTGATGGAAGTCAAAAACAGTTACAAGTGTGAGTGGGCCACGTTAGAGGGGGTTCTCTTTTTGGAGATGTGTGAATATGGAGTGAAATGTTTTACTGATTCAAGTGAGCAGTGACTGGTACGAAAGCGACGGCAAAGTTTGTGGGGCAGAACGGAAAGCAGGAGACGCTGCAGATGACGGGGAACTGGAGGAGCTCGAAAGCCGAGATTACGGATGAGTCGCAAGGTGGTAAGTCATCTGTCTTCTCTTACCACTTAAGAATCGTGGAGATTCTACGGCAGTGGCTACTCGCAACTGTCAATTGTCACGTACAAATAGACGCTAATGGTAGTCTTCATCAGGTGTAGTCATTGCGCGTATCAACCGCAGCAGCAAGGGGATGCTCATTGGTAAACAGACGTACAACGTGGATGTTGCGCCGGGTGTCGACCTAGCGCTGATGACGGCGCTATGCATATGCCTGGATGAGAAGCACAACGAGGGGGCGGCTGGAGCGGCTGCTGGCGGTGCTGCTGCTGGTGGTGCTGGCTGCTAAGGCGGGCTACTAATTGACATCATAGACTGATTGAGTTCCCCCGAGTCGGCGATTGACCTTGGGGTTTTTTTGGTCTCGTTTCCAGCGTTTAGTAGGCAATTCAACATCATTGTTCAAAAGAGCTTCGTTGCCACGGCATAGGAATAGTGTCTTCTGATCAGGCCATGGTTGATCATTAATGTGTTACTATATTGACGTGATCCTCGCACGGAGAGACCGTGATTTTTTAGTAATCACATGGTTGGCCCGCCTTTTTGGAACAACCGTTTTTGGAACAGCAGTTTTTTACTTCAATGCTACTCACTCAGCACGCAAAAATCCATAGCACTGAGAGGCAAGATTTCACCTAGTCCGAGTCGTAGTCATCGCTAAACGCACGCGCTCTTCCCTCGAATTCGAACCATGCATCCGTTACCTCGGAGAGATCCAGGCTTCCATCATGGTAGATACTCGATATTGTCAGAGTCCATTCTGCAAATGGGCTAGGGAATGCGAGTTCCTGTACACCGTTTGGCCCTGCTATTTTCTCCAGTACATCACCATCCATCAGAACTTCTTTTTTCTTCGATGCCGCGTTGTATCTGAACTCAAGATGGATCTTTCCGTGTTCAAATACATGTTCTAGATTCCCCCCATCAACTACGGTAGACGTTCCTCCGTGTGTCATTAGGATTGATAGGTTTTCGACATTTTCTCCCTGTGGAAGCTTGACGCCTTTGATGTAGAATCGTACCTTTGAGATGCGGACATCGAAATAACTGTAGAAAGGATTTTCGTCTTGCCTTGTTTCTTTGTATGCCGGTGGAATGGTTACTTGAATCTGGTACTTCCCGGCTTCCTCATGCAGCACTTTGAGGGAGTCAATGAACTCCGGTGCCAGGTGATATTTCATGGAATGGTTGGCCCCATACGCCTGTGAGACATTGGCTGCATGATTTTCGATAGCATTGGTAAGAGCGACGCTGAGATCGCTGTAAGCAGAGTCCATTGCGGCTTGCACGGGGTCTTTTTCAACGGGCGACGGGAACCCCAATTCTCTTAACGCCGACAAGTGATCTGTGTTGGTATCGAGCGTAAACTGTAACACAATCTTGTCAGTCATCTGGTGTAAACGATTATATGGCTGTCACAAAAAGACCGTCTTACAAATGTTATTGCGCGATTCATTTTGTAGAGTAGTTTCATCAGCGTCGCCGTAACATTGTAATAAGCGTGTTCTACCGCCACCGCAAACGCTGGTATCATCCCATCCATTAGTGCCAATTCCTCGGTCGTGGTGTCCACGATCTTTTGCGAGGATTGTATGGTGGCAAGCGCCTGTTTCCATAACGATATATATGTGTTGTATTGCAGAATCTCGCTGTTTCTTTGTTGTGTTCGCGTGACGAACGTCTGCACCGCTTCTTTCAACTTCTTTGCAGTCGTTTCCCCGATGGCGTCCACATATTTGCTTGTCCATTCCTCGATATCCTTCTGATCGCCGAGAACTTTGGTTCCGTTTGGATCGTTCAAGGAAATGGTCGCTGAATCTGAGCCAGTAGTGATCGTGTTGTCGATATCCTTGATTGATGATTTCATTACCTTGAGCTGGTCTATCACATAGGTCTTGTCTACTTCAAGGCCGGAGGTATCTTGGACCTAAGTATGATCAGTACTGACATTCAGCTATATCGGGTGGTTTTTTCTTTACCGTACGGTGCGCCGTTTCGAGCAGGCCGACCAACTGCACAACACCCATGGCGGCTCCTGGGGCAAACACAAATTGAGATGCTGCCGAGACAAAATTCTTCATATTGAAATTCCACTGAAAGAATGTCAGTGTGTGATAATCACCTGACTCATGCTTTGGAGCTTCCCACTAACCGTCCCCGATACCTCATACCGAGCTTTCTCCATTTCCCTGTTTATGGCCGTGACGTCCGTGGCTAGGGCTTTATGGTATTTCCGAATTTTTTCTTCAGAAACTTTCATCCTTTCTTTCAACTCTTCGATGTCTCCTCGTGCACGGGTTATGGATGACGAAGCGGCCACACGTGCGGACACTCTTTCACTTTCGGTCATGACATGTTCCCTTGCCAATGTCTGAAATTTCGTAAAGATAGGCCCCAAGTTCTGAGAATCCTTCTTTATGTTAGCATATGTGTCGGCATAGAACGTGGGTCCTCCTCGTGGCACCCATGTAGGACTGTGCCCGTAGAAATCACTTGTAATGAGCTGTGTTGAGTATGCTATGAGTTTTTCTTTACTCGACTTCAACGAGTTGATGGAATGAGGAAACTCATTACTGGAGTCAGATGGTACGATGAAAAGGGACCTCTCGTCTTTTCGGTAAGTGGCGCATATCGGTGAATCTTCCTTAACACTGTCTAGCCAGTCTAGGCGAGCCAGAAGCGATGAGACAGCGGCCGACGTCTTTTCTATCTCCCCAACATAGTAGAGATTTTCGATCCTTCTTACGGCCATAGCGACCTGATCCGGATGCATAATAATGAAGTCTGAATCCAAGAAGATATCGTTAACCAAAATAGATCTTGTGTATGAACCGGAAGTTCCTGGATGACCGTTGTTGCCTGCGACTTGACCGGGAGCGCCTTTGCCACCTCGTCCATACGTCCCAGGTCCGGTATCCGCTCCTACGCGAGACATGAACGTCTCGCTACGGTTGCTCAGCTGACTGGCAATTTTTTGGACAAGTTTCCTGATGCTGAGCTCATTGGCAACGTCTATCTCTTTCGGGGCCTCGCCGAGTAATGCTTGCAGAGAATCGATGGTCAAAGCAAGGCTTTTCACCTTCTGGAATTTCTGTTTTACGAAGCTTGCCCAACTCCTCAACGTCGCAAAATCAGTAATTACAGCGTCGAGATCTGTTGTGAATTCCCCGAGGTCGACCAAAGCACAGTCCAATGCAGTGTTGGCTAGGATCTTAACTTGGCCCCCATTCCCCGCTTTTCCTCCATTGCCTCCAGGGACGGCAGTTAGATGCGACTTGTCTAGACCGTTTGCGCCACTACCCCCTCGAGCAAGTATGCGCAATGGCATCTGTGAGTTGAATTTTGCTGGTTTGTCCAAATCAACCGATGGGGGCAAAGTCACGTTCCACTCGCTCGCGGTGATAGTCACGTTGCTTGCATCCGCCCCGTCTATTCGCGATAAGGCGTCGCCGTCATCACCACTGGTCCAAATCGCAGCCCCATCGCTAGAAACGGTAAATCGAGCACAGTGGATTTGCAGGTTCTTGGTTCTCAGGCAACCCTCCTTCTTGGTAGGGTTGGCTGATAGCAGACCCAACCGGCAGTCGTCGCAAAATATGTAGGTGTCGTCGCGTGCATATCCTGTACTCGGGATAGAATACTGGTCGGTCGCAAGAATGACGGTACGAAGTTTTGACTCAATAATGGATGTCATGGCTGTGTGCCGATATCAAAGCCAGTAGTGAATAAATTAAACGTAGAAGCTGAGTTTGTGTTTCGAGTGATGTGTCTATAACATAGAGCTGAGCTTTATAGTACTCGGGAGGTTTGACGAGCTATCAATTGTTACTTGCAATGCTTGAGTATCCCGAGAAAAAATGCATGAATCTGGTAGCACATGCGCATGGGAGGGAATACGACGTCCAGGCGGCTACGCAACGTCTCAGCTACTACTGAACTGTTGGTGGCGCCCACGTTGGACTAAATCATCACGATAGTCGCTTATCTTGGAACAGATCGGGCTGAGATTGAGTAAATTATCTCGGGCCTAGCCATCAGTAGAAGCAACTCCGCTGAGCATCCATTTACAGAACAATCTCGTTCGTATACAGTAACTGTGGCGAGCTGAAACATATGGTGAAATTCGAGCTGGTAGGCTAGGTGCGGAGCGCATGCCTGAACCGTAGGAACGATGGTTTTCCAAGCCAATGTCCTAGACCATCTCAGTTATGCAGCTTTGCCTAAGAATAAGCTGTCATATACAAATGTGGTTAGAGCTAGTGGCCGATGGCTACTTAAAAAAAAACGATGCTTTTGCGGGGTTCGGGCGTTGGCCCTTGATTGGGAAAAGTACATGGGGTCCCTACATCCAGCAACACGAACAAACGGATGGCAGCAGCTTTGAAGCGAGCTGAATATGCAAATGCGACAGCCCAGTCACAGACCAGATGTGTAAATTCCAATACGCAATGATTGTGGGGGATTGGGAGACAGGAACCTTCTAATCGATTGCTGTCTATCTTGTTCTATAAGAACATTTAGCCCCATTAATCTGGTGCATCTCTATCTCCGACAAATTTTGTCCATTGATATTGAATGTTTATCATATCACCAAGCGTTTCGTTTCATCAGTACCTCACTCTATTCTGTTCTCGCATTCGTCAGTATGCCTCGAACAACTTTCCCCTCATTGACGGAGTTTCTGTCCAAGATGGAACCCGGGAAGCCTGGCGATGGAGGCTCGACAGACAATTGGGATGTAGTCGTCAGTTACTCACTCGACAAGCTGAACGAGTTACTTGGGAAGCTATGGAAGACCGACGCTCCTTTCAAGTCCACCATATCGACCCAAACAAATGAATACTATATGATGCTCGGGACAACGTACACAGTCAACTGGGAAATGACGCTTGGAAGCCCTTCGTTATCATTTGATCCTTATGGTGATAATGCGACTGCTGTTCTTACAATGCTTGTCAATGGCTGGTACCAAGTCGCAGACCAACTGGACAGTGAAGGGAAAGTCATAAAAACATTCGATAAAAAACCTTTCCCAGTTGATCAACTCGTCTTGAAAGCTGCAGTTCCACTCGCGATGGTCAAGGCAGACACCCTGACAAGCGACTTGATCATCACGGTAAGTCTCCACCTGAGCCCTAAATCCTCGAAGTACTCATGTTTCTAACCACGGCCATCTAAATAGGGGGGATCCAAAAGTGTAACTTTCATCGACAAACCTGGGCAAAAAGCCTACGTGGTGTTCAACTTCGCGCATGAGGGTATTGGTGCCCAATATAGTGTCGAAGCTATCAACCCAGCCACCGAAACCCCTGATCTGACTAATTTATCCACAAAACTCAGCAAATGGATTAGGGACCAGAACAAGGTCCCCTCAATCAAATGTGCCCTTGCTGAAGTTACGGCGGAGACACAGCCTGCAATTTACTGTCTCACACCACAGTCTTGCGCTTTCAGCATCTACGCGCCCCAAAATGCGGGCGATGGTCATCAGAATGCCGGCTGTCTTAGCGTATACATCAACACCAAAGAGACAGGTAATGAACCAGGGGCTGACATACGATCATTTAAATTTCCTTCCAACGAAGAAGAAACCTACCCGATTCCTTTGAATTACACAGCAAGCATCATAATCCGTCACCGTGTCTTCGCCGAGGCCTTTTTCATCAAGTCGCTCAAAGACCTCCGCAACAGTGACGGAAAACAGTTGCTTTTCCACAAAGTGATACTCAAAGACAGTAACAAAGGCCTTGCTCTGAATTGCTTCATCAATCGCTCTGCAGCTGCTGAATGGTCCGATAAATCCTTGTTTGGACTACTTACTCGTACGTCTTATACTCACAGTCTTATCTATCTGACGTTGAAATATATGAGCTTCACGAAACACATACTTATCAGCAAAATAGAACAAAAACTTGACTTTGGTAGTGATTACTATCCTGTCGAACTGACAATTGAAGGGAACAACGCGCATTGGTACTACAACTTTTACGAAAACTTGAAATGGATTGACCTCCCCACATGGGGTACAGTCACGTACCGCGTGTGGCTCGACAAAAGGCAGCAGGTCTTCACATCCGCAAACGACGAAGGTGTGCAAGCCCACATGCAACTTGAATCCAAAGACTGGACAACATTCCATCACGGAGATGACCCGGAAACGAAAGAGTGGCTTCTAGGGAAAAGGCAAGAGATACCGAAGGATTCCGTCAAGGAACTGGACTCTATCGCCATGCCAACCGTAGATAGCTATGCCGGACTGAGATATTTTTCTACTACTAATGTTTTCGCACCAGGAAGGCACATGTTGAAAGTGGATGATGTAAGTGCAGTCCATTTGCCGTATGACCTAGTCATTTTGGGCAATCTGGTGTCACCAGAGACTGTTTCCCCTTCCCCTCCCCCTGCAGTAGCAGGCGTTGTGCGCGCTATGGCCAATGCCACAAAGCCCATAAATATCAAAAGCAATGACGAATATCGCAAGGATATGTTGCTTGGAAAACCCATTCTTCTCGAAACCATGGATGTGCTCTCTCGATGCGACGAGAAGGAGGTCACTCAGTTCATCCAAGGAGGGTCGGGCTACAACATCGACCCTTCCGACTCTATGAAATTTGCAGAGAAAAATAGCGATACGACGTCAACGGAATTTGACCTTAGTCAATTTGGTGGCATGTACAAGTTTACCGAGCCAGCCAGTCTAGCTACTGCAGTAATGATGATTGACTCGTCCAATTCCAGGTAAAGCATTTCTCCGACTGTTTGCCTCCATTTCGTCTGATCTGAAGCTGATTGCTTGATTCTATCTGCAGGCTCTATGTAGGTGGGAGCTGGGTTCATAACCGCACCACGGACGATGGCAGCATTGCCTTTACCTACGACAACTATAAATACAGCCTTCGGTTTAGTCTTTCCAGGTCGGAAAGTGGCGACGAGCTTATCCTTTCTTTCAATGGCACGAGACAGGAGACTGGGAAGACAGTCTCAGAGACTGTCAAGGGCAAACAAGATGACAAACCACCTTCTGACGAAACAGTACGTACGCCCCTGTCTAGACAATGGTCTCTCTGTCTGCTTTCCATTTTTACTTGGAAGGATTCAATGAGGGCTAACACGCATATTACAATAGATCGCTGAAACTCCTTCGGGTGTCAATGCGGCCTATGTTATCAGCGGCTTTGGCGCTGGCTGGCTCGTTCTCAGTTTTGTCTTGGATAGATTTTACTTCCCATGGAGAAAAGAAAAGGCCGAAAAAGCGAAGGAAAAGATCGCCGAGCAAAAGGAGGGGCTGAAAAAAGCCGTGGATATCTTGGAGAAGAACGTCGCGTATCCGCAGATTTCACCGAAAAAGTTCTCCACGGCTGTGGAGTCGCACGTCAAGTCCAAGCTGCAGGAACTGATGAGAAAAGATCCACCACCGGATCTAGCCGAGCTGCATAAGCTGGCTGCGAGCGAAGCAGTAAAGGAGCTTAGGTCCAAGTTCATCACAGCTGTGGACCCTTATTTTCGCGTGCGGATGCATGCAGTAGAGGGAATTCTGACGCCAGCAGGGATCACGGCGCACTCTCAGACTTTCGCGGCAACGCTCATGAATAGCAATACTCAACTCATGGACAACCTAAAGGAGGGATCAGACTACATCAAATCGCTCACGGCAGTAGAAGTTAGCCGCAAGAAAGTGGAGGAGCATCGTGCGGCAAAGAAGAGTCAAGAAACTCTGAAAGATAAGTACGAAATGGCACGTGCAAACTTGGATGTCCAGTTGAAGGAGGATTACAAGGAGCGAGCAGAACTAGTAGAAAGACTGCGAAAGCAGGGATTGGTGGAGGCAGATATCAAGTCGCACGAAGAAGTCAAGAGCTTAGACACACAGATAAATGACCGCGTCCGGGAGATAAAGAATGAGGCTAATAAGCGCGATGCGGCAGAGACTGGGGAGAAGGCTGAACAGAAAAACATAAAAGACGCTGAGTTGGAAGAGAAAAGAAGAAAGAAAGAACATGACAAGGAGAGGGACCGTGCTTGGGAGATCTAAGCCCAGTTTTCGTGCTTACCTAGATGTACTCAAATCTTCGATTCAATTACCCCCGAGCAAAGTTGTTTGAAGATTTTGTAATCCTAGGTTTGAACTTGGCATTTGTTTCGATCATTGCTAAGCATAGTGTTGCCATGCGGCACGAACAGTTCTATGCTTGAAAGGCGTTATTTAGTTGAAGTAATTTCAGAACCGAGAGTCTGACTGCTTCCTACCTATATCCCTCAATATAATTGATGTTACACGCACGGCTCAAGTGTCTGTTGGGCTCTATGTGGAATTATGATTCAGCCTCAACTGGGTTTATATCGGTGTTGACATGTCGCGTTGAAGTAGTGATGAGTTTTGGGTTTAGTGGATGCTTGGCGGAGGGTCTGATTTGGTGAGTTAACCCATGGGGCGTACAGGCACTCCATTCACTACAACCATCAATTGACGTGCAGTACAGACGTAAACCCATGGTTTTTACCTTATTCGCCAAACAATTTAGTTCTACATCCTGAGTCTGTCCGCCATCCCAATCTATGTAAGCATTAATCACCGTCGGCTGCTACTAAAAAACATTCATCAAACCTATCAAGAGCGATTACAGAACGCGCAAAGCGCGTTCATCTATGTTCAAACTCGCGAAGTCGCTCTTTCGAAGACAACCATGGCCCCAACTCAAACTTCCGACGTCTGGGTTTGAAGTCGTTAGCGACGCAGTATTATTTGAAGAAGAACAGCTTGAGGAGTTCCAGAGGGGCATCTATTATCCGGTCAACATAGGAGATGTCTTCGCGTCGAAGTACCAAGTAGTAGGCAAACTAGGTTTCGGTGTTACGTCCACCGTTTGGTTGGCCCGTGACCTACAATGAGTTAGCATTCAGTAATTGTGCTATCTATACTAAAAGTGAACTAGTCGCCATGCTTATACGACCTTGAAAGTTTTCACGGGAGAGGGAATGGATGAGGATGAGTACAACATGTACAACATCTTAAGCAAAAGCAATGCTTCGCATCTAGGATACAACCATGTCCGGACAGCCCTAGACTTGTTTACTATTTCCCGGTTAAGTGGCGATCATCGATGTCTTGTCCAGAAACCAATGTGGGTTAGTTTCAAGAATCTTTTGAATAGAAACCCCGCGCACCGCTTCACGGAAGAGCTGCTGAAAGCTGGGTTGTCGCAAGTGCTCCTCGCACTCGATTACCTTCACACAGAAGCCAAGATCATACATACAGGTACGGCCTAACACATATCTTTCCGCAACTCTATTGGCAAGAATATAGACATAAAAGCCGACAACATTCTCATAGAAATCGAGGATCAGGGCATCCTGGAAGCCTTTGTTAACGCCGAAATGACATCTCCGTCGCCTCGAAAAGTCGTAGACGGCAAGCCCATCTACGCGACACGCCAGTTTGGATTGCCGAAAGAGTATGGCCGTGTTGTTCTTGGAGACTTCGGCTCTGCAGTTCGTGGCGACAAACCTCAGATCTTTGACGCGCAACCAGATGTCTACCGATGTCCAGAGGTTATGCTGAAGACTGAATGGAGTTACCCAGCTGATATCTGGAACGTTGGAGCGATGGTACGTACCGTCTCAAGCCTGTAGAGAAATCAGACGCTGACCGAGGTGCACAGATTTGGGACCTCTATGAGGATAAACACCTCTTCTACGGCATCGATCCAACTGAAAAGCGATACTTAACCAGGGCTCATCTCGCGGAATTAGTCGCGATGCTCGGTCCACCGCCTATGGATATGCTAGAGAGGGGAGTGCGGAGTAAAGAATTCTTCAATGGCGATGGTGAGAGTGCGCTCCCAAAGTACCGTGTTAAGCTAACGGAAGTTCTATTAGGGAATTGGATAGCTGAGACAAAAATACCGCAAGGGTTGACGCTAGAGGGGTCGGAAGAGAATCTGGATGGAGAAAAGAAAAAAGAGTTCTTGCAGTTTGTGAGGTGCATGTTGCAGTGGAGGCCTGAGGATCGGTGGACTGCAAAGGAGTTGCTTGGGCATCCTTGGCTGAGAGGGAACTTGTAATCAGATTGTACAAGTCTTCAATGGCTCAAAGATGGATGATCTCAAGCTAGAAGCGTGGATCGAAAGGGATTGTTGCCCCACTTTGGTGGGTCCACGAGTCAAGCTTAATCGCTGTATCCTTGCTGCTAGCTGAGCCGACCGGATCAGGGATTTTGACTGAAGAGGCTCGGCTCTGAATCAGTTTTTCATCAATTATGACGCTGGAGACATTCAGGTCACAACCTCCTTTGTCAAGAATTTCCCCCGCTTTTGGGAAGGAGAAATCAACAAACTGGCCATGATGGGATTGGAAACTTCGGACGAGTCGGATAGGACAACTTGTTACCTTGTTCCTACAGTCATATGTAGAGCAATACGTCTTATATTTAGATTATATCCCAATCAGCAACAACCGTGTAAGGTAGCTACAACACGCTTGGGCACCCTCTAGCACGAGGAACCCTCGTACTCTCCATTGTCCGAATGACAATTGTAATCAACGGGGGCCAGACTTCCTACAATTGGCTGGAATGAAAGACCTGTTAACATCAGCACTTAAATTCAACGCTAAGTAACGCCTAACTTGTGTCGCATGAAAATGCTACGACTTGAATGATTATCAAGTACGCCTAACAAATAAAATGATGAATCTTCTGTTCGCAGCCGCTTCTATACAACGTCCTCATCTGATGCGGTCAAGCTTAGCTCTGTTCAGAGCTAACTGATCCTCCACACGATCTGTCTTCTGCATAATCCGCTCAAGATGTATGTTCTGCCGATCTACTTCCTTACTCCCATCACCTGCGATATACTTAAGACTGTCCGCAGCAGCACGACGCGCATTTAAATTAGATCGAATCTCATCTTCCGTTATGTCATCATCAGAGTCAGCCTCAAATTGGTAATTAGCTCGGCTTCGAGATGCATCTCGCTCAGTACGCTCTCGTTGGTGACTTTCTAATATACGAGCTTCGCTGGATTCCTGGCGTGAGCTAGAAGTGAAGGGTTTCTTTATATGCGGGGCGAACTTGGAAAGATTCCTACCTGAGTTAGCAAAGATATAGATACATGAGAGATGGTTAATGAAAATGGCGGTGTTTGGATGACAAAGCCCTGAACAAGCCCACAGGCCTGCTAGGTTCTTTGACATCCCCTGTGGTGCGTTTGAAGGGACGTACACTGTCTTGAGCTCCCGTGTTTTCTCTTCCGCTATTTCATTTTGACTAGCGGCGCTGTCCAGATGGCGTTCAGTATGATGTATACGGTTTCCGTGTTCACCCAAGCGTGAGAGCGTATCTCGACCAGTTTGTTCAGCTTGCTGAGCGAGGCGGGGTGCATTTCTTGTAGATGAAACATCTGATTGCTTCAACATTCGAATCTCAGACGTTGTAGCTTGAATATCCTGTAGGGTTTAGCAAAGGTTGAAGTAAAGTTCGAAGTTCCGGGGCAGCGCACTTCTTCCTCTTCTTCCTCTTTAGTCAGCTGGCGATCGTTGTAGCTGCCATACGCATCCATTCCTGACCCAACACCACTTCTCTCATTCGATTGCTGTCGTTGCTGATATGGCTGTGTTGCTGGCGATGTACGTGTTGCGGAATTTCCAAGAAGCTGTGCACGATCGGCATCGTTGGATAGATGCGATGACATACCAGATCTGCCGTTATCGTTTACCTTGTAGGTGTTCGATGATGCGCAAGGGCTATCAGCAGTCGTAGAGTTTCCATATGAATTGTCAGCTGAATGCGAAGGCGCGGCCGGGCCGTTGTCAGGTTTGGCTGACTTGCGTAATCCAAAATCATTCATGATCGTAACAAGACTGTGGAGCTGGCGATCCTGGTGATAACAAATGGAAATGATGTCGGGTTGAAAAGGTGTTGGATCGAAGGCGATATGGGCACTGCGGACACGAGAATGTTTCAGCTGCGCCTCAACAGCTCCAGCGCTTCGTACATCCATGGATGATGACGCTGGACGGAGGGGGCTTGGCAACCGACCAGACTTGAAGATTCACCGGATTCAACCTCAATATTGAAAGTAAGACACCCAAACGCAGGGTCAAAGTAATACATATACTATGTATATTCCTACACTATAAGTTATTCACATTTCAGGACGTATAGAGCAGCAGGCTGTTATATAAATGCAGTCGAATCACAATCGCAGTATTAACATCAAAATCACAGGCGACGCTTTACCTACATGTAGTTAGGTTAGCGCGAGATCCGTGACCGCATTCGGTATGGTATCCAGGCTTGACGGAAATAAAAGAACTGAGAAGGTCCTGTGGTCAACGGCGATGCAAACATGAGAACTAGTTCTTAAGTTTCTATAGTCGTATAAGAAAGAATGTCTTTCGTTTGAATTTTCAGTTATCGCCTGTTTTTCTTGGTTCCTTTATCGTTGTAACCCTTCGCTGGGTGTAGGATTTAGAAATTACATAATAATGCCGTGGAAGAATGTCGAAAAAGTTGGTCAAAACTCCACCAAATTTAAACGTACAATTTAGCTGTAATACATTGCTAGGCATCCTCTAATACAGGCAGAACTTCTTGTCCTGTAGTGTCCCAAGGAATGCTGTTATCAACGTTGACTAGACCTCTTATAACTTGGATGGAATGAAAGAGTCCTTCACCACCAGAACGGTCTCGACCAAATCAGCAACTTCCGCTGCGATACCCCACGATAACTCGAAACCTCTGCCACCAGCACCATAGGCATGAACTATGGGAGTTCCAATATTCTGCGCATCTCGAGCAGTGTTATTACACTGCTCAATCTCAACTCTCATTCCTCCCTCACGCATCGGCCGACGACCTACGATATCAGCAATCACCTTCGGATTACCGCTAGAGCCCGATAAATCTGTCGCAATCCCAGCAATTTTACTACCTTCACTGAGTAGTGATTCTCTAGTCGAAAGTAATGGCTCAATAGCGTAGTTCCGGGGCTCTTTTGTTCCTCCTATTACAGTGCCCCCGTCGAAGAAGCGTGGGATTATAAAACTCCATGATCCATCTTTTGACTGCTTAGTTACCGTCTTTGTCGCACCAGAGAAGTCTGTCAGGACTGTTTGGCCTATCAGGGTGGAAATATGCGGGATTAGCGCCAAGGAATTGATCGACGGGAAAGCCTGTGAGGAGCTCAAGTCTTACCTCGGATAGGGTAGCATTTCTCATCGCCAAATCCCATTCCTGAAGCATTAATCACCAGGCCAACATTTTGCGCAATGCTGCTCGCCTCGCGCTCGCTCGTTAGATCGCGCTGTATGCATTGACCGCCTTGGACTATGAAAGAGCGCAGGAGGTTGGCGCAATATACTGGCGCGTTGATACAGTACGTGTCGTACTCATACCCCAACTGCACGTCTCCTGAAAGCTCCATACTATCGAATTTCCGATAACTCTTCAGTCCGGATTCCGAGTAGAACGATTCTGCAGTTTGTTGCTCGTACTCCGCAGGTGGCGCCTCGAGGAGCTCGATACCTTTGCATCTGGTTACGCCGATTGACGGAGTGTTGCGTAGTTGCTCTTCGAAGACTTGCGCAGTATATTTCAGCCAACGAGCCTCTCGTGCCAACTGAGGTGTACTCGCGGGGATCGGTCGCACGTGTGCTCCTGCCCACATGGAAGCATAGTTGACGGAGTGTTTGATCGGCGCCCCAGGAATTGACGTTGGCCATTCTCGCGACACTACGAGGATCCTGAATTTGTCTCGGTTCAACGTGGAAAGGAGGCGCAGGCTAGTGGTGAGGCCGATTATACCGGCCCCGATGACTACTATGGTGGTGGGTTCACTCATTCCGAGGATGTGTTTTGTTCTTCGAGGTAGATTGTTCAGGGAGTGTTGTGTTTCCAAGTTCTCCTTAGTCGTATAACTCTCATCGCATTTGCCTTGTATAATGAGAAGACTTCTGTGACCTTGGTGGCAGACATTGAAAGTGTTTAGTCGATGTTCGATTTTAGCGTATGAAGAGCCGAATCAGACGGAAAGGTAGATCCTTCTGACCAATGGGAGGATTCGTATTTTGGCCTACCCGGAAACATATCCGAGAGTTTATCTCGAGAGCGACTGGAGTCTTCGCTTGCCCTCAAAGTATTTATACACGTAGTAGAACACACATACCTACAAGCAACGCGTCCATGTCAGTAGCTGCATCACCTTTTCCTTAATAATATACATACTTTATGATAGCGTAAAGTGTAAGTAAGCGGCATGTACGCATGCAAAAGTCAACAGATTTCTAGCGGAGTGAAAGGCTCTGCTATTCCCGTGTTTCTTATACCACTATCCGATTACTTTGAGAGAAGTTACAAGCTCCAGTATCATTCTTTATCGGGGAAATACGCAATAGCTATTGGTTTGATTGGTGGAAAAGCTTCTCCGGAAATCCCCTACAATTCTATCCACAGTTTCATGCTGATATGCAGTCTACTTTCTCAAATTCCTGGTCGCTTGTGAACCATTGGATAGTGTGGGAGGGTTTGTGTGTTCAAATTTCAAACGGAATGGACTAGAATCAAGAAGAGTGGTCGCGTGTGGAAAAGCTCCATTTGCCGTAATGCAGAGATTGGTTAATAGCCATACTGCCGTGGATGTTCTTTTATTCGTGATTGTACGCCAGTTGTATTCATGTTATGTACAATAAAGTGAAATAGGCAATAAAGGAGTGTCGCCCAGTGTCCAAAATAACCTTTAACGCAGCCAAAAGAAAGAACCATGAAAATATATACATGATGAAGTAGAATTGAAAGGAGGAAGCGAAGTGAAATTATAAAAGGAGGGAAGGAAAAAAAGGTGGCTTGGATGTCTTACTCGATGGCCTTGTCCCAAACCAGGAAGCGGCAGATACCCAGTCGGACTCAGCCGCGTTGACGAACTTCATGCCATCAGTTGTGGTCGCCATATTTGGGGCCATCACCGAATGGCTTTCCAGATTCGTTTTCACCGTTTTTGTTTCCATTGTTTCTGTCGTTGTCATTACCATGCTTTCCCTTGTTTTTGTCGTTGTCGTTGTCGTTGTCATGCTTCCCCTTCTTCCCATCATTGTCGTTGTCATGCTTTCCCTTCTTCATATCCTTGTCTTTGTGCTTGCTATTACGCTTCCATCCAACAGATCCTCCATTGCGACCGTTGTCGTTCGGCCCGTTGTTTCGTACATTGCCGCTGTGTCCATTATCGAATGGTCCGTTACCATTTGGCCCGTTATCGTTTGGTCGACCAAGCCCATTACCGTTGTTGCCATTAGGTCTGCCCTGTCCGCCTTTTCCACCCCACTTGTCATTGCGTTTCCACCCTCCGCCGCCAGAGTGGTCACCACTTTCACCGCCCTTGGGAGAAGCAGGAGGGCCTGGTGGAGGGGGTGCTGGCTTAGGAGCGGGTGGAGGAGGAATCGGCTTAGGCTTCTCTGGTTGAGATTTCGGCGGTGGATTCGCCGGCCTAGGAGCAGGAGGAGGAGGAACAGGCTTCGGCTTCTCTGGTTGGGATTTCGGCGGTGGATTCGCCGGCCTAGGAGCAGGAGGTGGAGGAATAGGCTTGGGTTTGTCTGGCTGAGGCTGCCAGCCATTGCCTGAGCCATCGCCCGGTGCACCACCCTTGCTGGGATTATTGTCCCAAGACTGAGACTCATCGCCCCGTATGACAAGGGCAGTGGCAGCGCCCGTGATGGCGAGGTAGATGAGAGCGTACTTCATTGTTCAAGCCGAGGAAGATTGATTGAGTGATTGAAAGATTGAGATTGTGACTCTGATATCGATGTCTGATGATTCTTTTCCAGAGTGAGCTGTCGCTCATTTATACCTGAGCAACATTCCTTGAAGCATTTTTGAGAAACTACAAAGTTGTTGAATGCACCGTCCTCTACCAAGATGAAGCTATGATTGATGAAGATGAAGATACTCGCTCGTGGAGTCATGAAACAGGCTTATGTGGCATTGTCCGCCAATCGTAAAAGCTGGAGTCTCTTTCCTGCTGTATTTTGAGATGCTCGATAGTTCATCACTGTTTTCCTAGAGGCGCTTCAGTGTGGAGAACTGTATTCATCTCCAAGTCATCATCAAAATCGTCTTCTCTCAACACACTTAGGCTCATCCAAACAGGCGGACTTGCAAGTAGATGCGGGGAAATAGGGAGATTAGCAAACTAGAGTTCAACTAGTGAACGAATGGTCAAGGTACCTGCATTTTGCCTGGGAAGGCGGAGAACCGAATAACGTAATTGGAGCTCGGTGCGCTTCCGAACGGTGTTGGTCCATGGGGGAGGATCTCACGTGGGGAAGTGATGTACCGAGAGAACTAAAAATTCACCGCCAGGTGCAGTGAAATCTGGGGATCTGATTCATCGAGATTTCCAGTTTCCCCATCTGTCACTTGCCGGCGTGTCATCATCCTTTACTTTTACGTAGTCTTGAGGCGCTTACCTATTGACCTACCCGAAAGGCTGGTAAAACCCCTCGACTGTTTCTAATTTAGCGATCGGCTAGAGAGAAGGTTTATTGGCCTGGGATAGATTGAGCGCATCCCGTCCATCTGGGTTTTCCAGATGGAACAACAAACAGTAGACGACAAAACAACAGTCATGCCGGACTTGTCAATAGAATGAGCGATCATCTTTCACGTTATCGGTTCGATCAATATTATACAGAATTCCATATTCCAGGCGAATTTAGAAGGTCTACAGAAACTCGATGTTCCTTGTTCGATTGGACATTGCATGCCAAAGGTCGCACAATCCTGTAACAATAGTAATAGTAGACCAACTAGGGTGCATGGCACTAATATCTTCAGAACACAACGATAACCTCTGAGGTGTGATTCTTTAATCGTGTATTGGGGTGCAGAAGGTACTGGTGTAGCTCAAACTTACCGCGCGGTTTTCAAAAGAGGCACGCGCCACACTCTACCAAATCATTCATGTGATACCGTCGCGCTATACCAACAACGCAGTCTGACGTGCTTCTACAGCAGCCAAGCGGCCGGAATAATCACTTAGGGCTCATGGAACGGCGAGACGGAACTGTCCGTTTGCTATTCATGCTCCTCCATTATGACTGAGCTTATGATGGATTGAATTTCTCGAATGCCTGTCTATAGCAAATAAAGCCATCAGGCCTAATTTGAGGTGATCATGATTTCTACCATACACAGAATACGATCCCGTAGGGTGGGGTCGCTTCGGAAGGCCCATATCGGGCCGCTGGTGTACCGCTAGATCTAACCCAATTGAAGACACCGGGTCGACTTGTGAAATCCCGGCTTCTAAACATAGGTCGTATTATGGTACGCTAGCCTCCCGTTATGCGGCCTCATGCTTAAGCCTTCAACGCAGTTCTTCGGTCGTGGTCCCCTCAACTCCATGCTGAGTCTCTAACAATAGTAACCAATCACGCAATTACTATCAAGTAATCGTCTTCATCAGAGTAGGTTCACTTAGCAAAGGAATTGGAGTGCAGTCGAACCGCTCCGCTTCTACATGGAAAAAGTCAGATCAAACATCTTGTGATCAGTTCTATTATGCAACAGGCGGTGATATAGTTCAGACTCGAGCAATCCAGATTCTTTGAACACATTAGTGTGTTGTACGCAAATTCACTGGCGAAAGTGGCAATATTTTAACCTAATGTTGCGAATGCTCTCAATGACGAATGATTAGTTGTTGGATCCCAACATGATTTTACATCTGATGCGCCGAGTGATTTGAGGCGTTGCCGCTGTGTAAAAACTGTTGCTTTGGATAGACAGGAGTTTGGTCTAACTTGAATCCTCGCTTCGAAGGTTGGCAGTATCTGAGTGGCCGCATAACTTTCACGTGACAAATCGTTGTCAAGAGCTACGCCACGAGAATCGAACTGAACACCGGATTGATGCATATCAAGGGGTTACATTCAGCTTTGTTTCTCAATTTACCAGTCATATAGCCTGTCGCCTATGTTTGATAGTAATTGCATGTGTAGATCCAACTCTTTACGTACGCTAACCTCCTGATATGAGACTCTACTGTGTGTGACCCCTTGATACACTATCCCCAATACTGACTTGGTTCATGACGCTCTGAACTATCACTTACGAGCCCCTCTTAATTTATCAACAGAATTATGTGTTCTCAATTGCAACTGAATTCATTCTGCTACAACACTGTGCCTTTAGAAGCATGATCCTCGGTGTATCACATGTCCTCCCGATCTATCCATACATTTTCATGTGCTCTCATATCCAAAGTATTAGAATAAATAAGAGTTACGACATATTAAGTACGATCGCAGACAAGGCTCACCCTTCTACCTCAAAGAATGCTTGTTCGTCTTAACAATCATTGTGCTTCTCTCTATCCTTTTTACTATCCTTGTTTCCCATCTTTCTCCTGCTTTTCCTTCTCATATTTTCCTTGCTTTTCCTTCTTATCTTTCTTTTCTTTTTCCTTCTTATCTTTCTCTTCTTTTTCCTTCTTATCTTTCTCTTCTTTTTCCTTCTTATTTTTCTCTTCTTTTTCCTTCTTATCCTTCTCTTGCTTTTCCTTCTCATCCTTCTCTTGTTTCTTCTTCTCATCTTTCTCTTTTTTGTTCTTTTCATCTTTCTCATCTTTCTCTTGTTCCTTCTTCTCATCCTTCGGGGGCGGCGGTGGGGGTTGCTCCTTGGGCGGAGGAGGGGGTTTTTCCTTTGGTGGTGGAGATGGCGGTTGATTGTCCGGCAAATCCGGCTACAAATAATGAGATGCATCGTTAGTAGAGAACGAGAGTTGTGTTGGAATGCCACGGCGTAGTGACTGTATGTATCCCGGGAAAACGTACCTCATCACAAGAATGTTCGTTCCAGTCGTCCAACCAATCATACCATTTCTTACTCTGATGTTCCCTCTCATTCTTTCCATTATCTTTGAAGCACCAGTTTGTATCGGGGATCTCTTGGTTAACCTTCAGGCAGTCCTTGTATTGGGCCTCACACAGGTCCTTGGTCTTCTTGTATGCTGAGTGCTCGCGCTCTTCCTTCGCCAAATTGACACACCAGGTATATTGGGTCTTACATGCGTCCTGGCATGCATTCGGGAGGCTCTTCTGGCTATACTTGCGGCATTGAGACCAAGTCTTTTGGTTGAAAAGCTTCCAAGGGTATTCGGGACGTTCACGTTCGTTTTCGTTGCAGCCAACGCATGGACTTGCGAGGATAAGCGATTGTAAAGGCTTATATGAAGAGGACTACTTACAGTGGGATCTCCTTAACGCAATTTTTGCCTGCCCATGGTGCCGGGGTAGCGCATACGCATGAGGGGGTTGGTGCGGGTGGTTGCTTGCTACTCTTCGTGGGCGTACATGGAGGAGGCTTATATGTATTAGATGTGGTACTGGTCAACGTGGAAGAAGTAAATGTGGTGCGCTCCGTGGAAGGAGGCAGAGTTGTCTTAGAGGAAGGGGTAGATGTAAACGGCGGTGGTGATGTACTGGTTCTCGGGACGGAAAATGAAGGCGAGGTACTCTTCTCAAAAGTAGAGCTTGGAGGTTTCGTGCTGCTGACTGGAGTAAATGGTGGTGCTGATGTACTTTGTTCCGGAGTGAAAAATGAAGAAGAGGTGCTTTTTTCGAGAGTAGAGCTTGAGGGTTTCGTGCTGCTGACCGGAGTAAACGGCGGTGTTGATGTACTGGTCTCCGGAATGAAGAATGAAGATGAGGTGCTCTTCTCAGGAATAGAGCTTGAAGGTCTCGTGCTGCTGACAGGAGTAAATGACGAAATCGAAGTGCTACTCGGGGGTACAAAAGAGGAAGTCGTTGCAAAGCTTGTCGGTGGTACCTGACGAGTCGAAGGTGGCGTTGACGAAGGTGTTGAAAAACTTGGTACCGACGATCGGGAAGTACAAGATTCCGGAGAATTTCTATTATCTTAGCAAAATGTACACATATCCTTGACAGAAGACACTTACAAGCCAGGGGCACGATACATATTGAGCCGACCAGTACCGCCGCATGTTTCCGAGCTGTCTCCTTTACAGGGGAAAGAACAATCAGTTGAAGGTGCCCTTCCTCAGGGTTAGTATTGAGAAGTATATTCATCTCTATGGGATCTTACTGGGAAGCGTCGAAGTCAATTTTGGTTCCGCAGTAGCATTCCTAGAAAGTTGATCAGTTTCGGCGCTTGCTAGCTGGAAATGTACTTTCTAACCTGTGACCATTCAGTACCAGCGTAGGCAAAGCCTTGCTCTCCGCAAGCTTCCAAACACTTGTCCGTAGTCAATTCGGAACCGTTGACATTGTTGGCCTGGTTCTCTCCCAAGGCACGACCGCCAGTGCCTATCGCCCGCGATTAGTTCTTCGAAGTCATTCATATCCGTGGCAAACCAACCTTCAGTCCAGCAACCCAGTGACTTATAATCAATAGGCAGGGCAGTATTCTGTTTAACGGTTGAGTCCTTCCAAACAGAAAGGCGGCTGAATCCACCACATGTTTGGTTTTTGTCGCCGTTACACGGGAAAGAGCATTCCGCATCAGACAACCTAGTACTGGAAATGGTTGCACCACAGAAGCACTGGCCTTTTGCAAACAATGCATTAGTATATTTGCTGGTGGATGCTGAGATGTGGCCATACCATAATACTCGAGACCAGCATACTGATAGCCATTAGCCTTGCATGAAGCTGTACATTTCTCCACAGTAAGAGAGCCATAATCAAGATTAGCTCCGAACGGAAGAGCTCTGCCCGGGTTATTATCTTCGTAGCATCCGAAGGGGACATAAGGAGTATAGGAGTCTTGGGGGCATGGTGGTTTGTCTTCTGGGGTGGCCGCAACGAGGCCTGTGAAGCTAAACAGCCCAAACAGAGCTTTTCGAGTAAAGGACATTATGCCAGAAGTGAGAGCATATGAACAAATAATGTAGTTGGATTCATGAACGAATATATATTTGGCTGCAGGCTTCGAATGCCGAACTTGAGCCCCTTCAGCGATTTTGGGTTGTAGGTCGGTTGTCCATGGCTCGACATTTTTCTCCGGGAACTGAGACTCGCCAATAGCCTCAGACGAGTATCAGAATTCTAGACCACATCGTGGGACAATCCCCACCCATTCAGTTCCTGGTTGTTCCCTCGGTATTTGAAGGCCGATTTACATGTGCGATTGATGTTATTGGGGCAAATTCGCAGATTCTGGAACCGTGATCCGTCTTTTACTCTACGTAACCTCCATGCAGTTGCATTTACAACATAATTCAGCCTGTGTGCAGTTCATCTTACGTACGTACGGAATGATCCTCCACTGATCCCGTGAATCGACCTAGACCATCGCTCGTCTCTCGACATATTGCGTGTGAAACCGAAAATCTTCCGATTTTGAACTGAAAAAGTCCGCGTCACTTCTATCATATGCTAGAAAGTTATTAGGCTCATCCGCATTGCAAAAGTATTACTATCGAATGTGGATTGTGCTTTGGGGCTGCCATTTCATGACGGTTGTCACGCAAAGGTTGAAGATAGGCTGATTATGCAAACCCGGGTCTAGAAACCTCGTTACGATTGTTTCTGGTGTTAGACCTATACGTGGAGCTCATGAACATATACCACAATCAAGGACGATTTTGCGCTCTTGGAGGGACAAAGATCCTAAGCGCTAGGCAGGGCATCCGAATGGAACTTTCAACTTTGCATCTTGGGACAAAATGCCAGCGTTGGATGCTGCACAAACCGTCCGGTAGGCAATATCCCGAGGAACACGCTCGCTAGAAGACAGTTGAAAAAGATCGTTTTCAGGCACCCCTATCCATGACACATCGAAGTGCGCACAGCCGTGCCGATGGGGTTCAACGTTCATCCTGCATGCTCGTAGCAGATTGGAAAGCAAATGGCTTCAAGCAGCCTGTACCAGCCGTCTTTTCATCGACATTTCCCCTGGGTGTACCACGAACAACACGCTATTAAGGTGGCAAGATCCTTTGAATCCTGAACGAAATTTGCGTGTATCGAAAAGTAGAACCATGCACGCAGTCATTCCACCCTCTATTGACTGGATTTTGTTGGCTCATTCGCCACAGATGGTTGTTTGCGGTACCACCGGGTTGTACCTAGGGACTGGTATGACATCCACCAGTTTCGATAGGTGTTCATCAGCATCCTGACTAGCCCTCGTCCAGCAAAAGCTTGGCTGACGTAGTTCTACATCTTGAAGTAGTACACAGCCACACAGAGAGAGCGGAGCCCGGAACACGGCAAAGTAGTGGATGGAGAGTTGATCAAACGATTCGCGGGAGTGTTTATACAGCAAATCAGGCAGATGTTTCCAGAAGACATCTTGTGGCTGTGTGTGATCTCAGGTGTAAACCCCGTTTCATTATGGAAGGATGGAATGCACTGCGCTGATGGAATATTAGTTAATTTGATGACCTCTCACCCGTGGCCAGATAGTCGTTAAATCGTAATTCATCTTACAACACACTCACCTATGACCATTCAACCTTCAAGCAAATTGCGCGCATCATGAGCGGACAAAAAAAAGACATCGAGATGTCAGCCCAAAATAGGTCAACAAATCCTGCAACCGATAAATCCGCATCGGAGCCCCCGCCGTACTACAACTCCGAGCCGTCCAGCCAACCGCCGACGTACAAGACGCCAACAACCCAAAAGTCGCAGTCCCAATCCTCACGCCAACATGCCTCGGTAGCGAGTATCAACGCAGTTCTGGCCAGTCCGGAAGTAGTGAGTCCAGATGTGGCCTCCCGGGAAAGAAAAGAAAAGTTACCATGGCGGACGCGTTGGAAAGACTGGTGGAAAAGCTGGGAGATCGTGGACGAGGACCAACGCTGGCAACCGGATTCCGGTTCACAGCCGAAGCTTAACTACTGGGGCGCAAGAGTTGATGGAAAGCAAACCAGAGAGAGGAGATTCAAGTGAAGAGATCCAGTTCGATTTGTGATTGTCGGGGCCTGCTTAGGTTGCTTTCGTGGGGGACTAAGAGGCGGGTTGCGTCATGATCTCACTGCCGGTAGTCAGCTATTCGTCGAATTTTTCGAACGCAGAGCCAAATGACAAATTGAAATAATCGACTCCGACCCAGTCCCAGCGATGAAGAGGCTCGGAAAACAGAACTGCGCCCGCTAGATCTTCTACAGGGGTCCACACTGGAAATGCTCGTGAGCATAGTGTACCACAACTGATCTCTCAAATCAAACACAGCGGACTTAAAAGTGGTGCTAGTCCTCCCGACCCGCCACTTGCCTCGGGTCATTTCCCCGTAGGACGAGTTGAGGATCACGTGAAGCTATACGGTGCTGTATACGCGTATGCATCGTAGTTTTGAGCGATCGAGATCAATATCATGTAGTTTTGGCTGCAGTATCATCAGTAGGCTAATCACAGGGTTACAAGATCAATTCTATATGACTATACTGAGATTTTCAATTCAAATTTGCCAACACCATCGATTGGCAAAGTGAAGAGCTGGGGCCCCCGCACATTGCTGCAACGGAGTCGACGACTTGACCGTGATACTTTCGTACTAAGAGGTGCCCGTAGATATATACATCATACTGACGTGTCAAGAAGATGAAACCTTGTGAGCTTCGAAAACTCACTAACAATCGGGTTCAAGAGGGAATATCTGATTGATACGTTAGTCTTGGATTTCTGGTACGCCGCCATCCCGCAAGCCTCGAGGCGAGCTGTCACCCTTGCATGCGACTGCGTGATCATTAAAAACACACTTGTTGATATGTAGTGGCTAAATGGTAGACGGCATACGTTGGAGTTCTACTGACGATCATTGCGCCGTCGCATCATTCCTCAGCGATGATCGAACGAAAATGATCACTTCATTAGCTCTTCTCAACAACTTCAAATTAATGCATCATTCCAATTTACTCGATATGCTAGGGTGGCTTAATGACTATGAGTAGACTTCTAATGATTGTGGAGGTATCATCATAGAGGAGTCGAAGTGTGCTTCTGCTCGTTATTGAAGAATCGTCTTGCGCGAAGTGTTCGAAGCTACATCAAAGATGAAATCTAGACAGTAATACCACCGTAAAACATGCCTGCGTACCTTCACGATTGCCAATTGATGGGCAGGACTCTACATAATCAGCTTGCTAGAATGGCCTACATTTAATTTGAAGCGATATGATAAGATTGCAAAAAATCTCTTATACTGTGATGGATGACAGCATAAATTTTGATCGAGGTTTGGGCTGTCAATCTTATGGGGTATTCAAGTTCCTTACTCTGTCCTACCTTCTGATTCCGCGACGTATACCAATCCCCATGATCCTAACACTGGCGAAAGATCTATCATGATAACGTAGAGACTGAAACTCAGGAATCGTTCCGTCGAAGTCATTGGAATTTATGACTGGAGACAGATGGTCGGGAAAGCATGTCTCGAATCGTCAAGTGTCAGTCTCTACTGCACTTTTTCCAATGAGTCAATGACACGTCTGCAGATCAGTATCCTCATTTCTAGCAAGCGTGCATCTTATGAAATCCCAAATCAACGGTGTCACTAGGCGATGAGCTTGAGGCCATGGCGATCGATGAGATCTTGCATGCCGCACATATCACTAGGCGACTGATCTGAGCAAGCGACGGAGCACACTGTTGGGCATAAAAGGGGTTCGTGAGGGCGGCTCAATCCCCCGCTCAAAAAGCAATCGATATGGCGCCATTAGGGCTTCCCCATCAATGATCCCGTAGAATCTATAGTTTGGAAGCCTCAGCTGGTCTCGATCAGCTTCCAGCTGTCTAGCTTCAGCCACATTGAAGCACAAGAAGCTAAATTTCAACGTACTTCTATACCAAAACTTAGAGTTGACTACTGACTACTGAGTAGCTTGGCTAATGATCGCGCAATTGATGCCCAGTCGGTGAAAGAAATTTGATGTGACTGAATGAATTGATCTCGCACTTTCCCACACATCTACAGTAGTACACTCGCAGCGACATTCTGTTGAGAAATTTGCCGGCTCTCGGCCACAGAGACGGGATAAGTCCCCACTGCTTGATTATTCATGTTTCCAATGAGCGGCGGTATTACGGCTAGCATTCGGTACTCCACAAAATACCATCTCCCGCAGCTTTCACGTACGACCAAATTAGGGGCCCTAGAGAGGATATTTACATTCCCTGATCGCCAGCATAGCATTATTGACACGGCTCGGCAGGAAGGCCGTATGAGCTGGCACTCAGACATGAGTGACAAGTATAGAAACGTAAGTGTAGGGCAATATTCTGCAAGCGACAGGAACTTATTGTGGGACTAATACACTTAGTCCGTATTGGACGGCTGCTGTCCTCCGCCACACCCGCTTCCGTGGCGGAGCATCAGTCAGCCTCCACATGTTCTAAGATTCAGGATCCAGTCGCTAGAATGTGCGAAGAGTTGCGCTAGGCACATTCTTTCAGCCATTGATCAGGGGAATTGCGAGCCAACTCCCTTTGCGTGCTCAGCCGTCACACTAATCGCCTGCAGACTGTGGGCTACTAATTGCGTGCAACGACGTGCTCGAGCCCCTTTTCTCGATGAAATCTCGATTTGTTCTGTCTGTTATTACACGAATGCCTCATTTGAAAGACAGTCAGTGAAGCAAACAGGGCCCGTCGAAAACACGTCCCCAAACCCATCTTGAACTGGGCAGGGATGACTGGTCTATCGGATTGTGCAATCATGATTTCCATCAATATTGAAATAGTCTATTTTTGCATGTCACAATTGCATTCGGCTTCGGGTAACAGTCTCTTAGTCATTCTATGGCCTGAAAATCGATCGATTCATTCTTGCCACCCCATGCCAGGACTCCAAGCTAGAAAATATGCACATACTCGTTGTTGACTCTCCAGTGATTAAGGATAGCACTCCTACCACAAGATTTTTTCCGTCTCGCCACGTTCCCTGTCTCGCGCAAGGATCTGAAAACCGTCGGATCCATATGCTTTTAGATCGTTTCTCACTGGTTCCTCTATTCGCAATGAACACATATTCATTTTCAAGCAAAGGGGATTTTAACACAAGATGCAATTAAATGAGTCCAGCTGAATAAAAGTCTGGCCCTTCTCGGCTTCATAAAGTGATGCTAGCGTCCATAGGTTTGCCCACGTGGGAATATGAGGCTCAGTTGAACTCATGGAAGGAAACGTTTCACATCGAGTAATGAGGTCTGAGAGCTTACTCGTCCTGCGCCTCTTTGAGGCTCCTGGGGTTTCTTGGATTCCAAGAAAATATTTTCCCTCTATCCTTTCCCTTTTCGATGCCAAGACAGTAGCCCACTCATTACCGGTACCGGCTATACTTTAGAGACTAAGAGTTTTTCCCAACGCCACAGACTGCGCAAAGCCACGGAAACTCCACATGCGCTTTCTTCATATCAGTATGTACTGAGATGATATTCCAACAGCGCCATTCAATGGTTTCTCTCGAACCATTGAATGAGCACTAGTGATGGAGAATGTAGCCACAGATCTAGATGCCGTGGATTATCTTTGGGCTTCCACTACTCTACTTAGGTCAGTGCGCCATTGAGGTCGCGTCGGGATGGCAGCCGGCGGCCGTTTCATCTTCCGGGAATACTTGTCCAAGTTGGGCATATGCAGGTGTTCTCTGTACCAGATTTGAGATGGTACCAGCCACAACACCTTTGACGTTCAGTTGGGATTGAAAATGCAGCCCCAAGTTCTTCACCCTGAGTCTGATCTTCTCGAAGGTTCGCTGTACATAAAGAAATCTATTTACCCCTATCGATGATACATCAATGTATGTGTACACAGTACAAGCACTTCGAAGTCATTGATGAAGACAAACGCTAAAGCGAATGCAGATTCTTTCCAATGCTAATGCAGACATTCTTCAGCTGCTAATGCGCAGATTCTTCACTCGCTTCGCCGTCTTACCGAACAACACTCCTTCGGGACAGTGCTGTTATTTAGAGATTCGCGCCAAATTGTCGCTCGGTCGGCCAGCATTCTCCCCACCTCGGTCAATAACGACCGACCATATGAAGCTAGACAAGTCAACACCAGAGCCACTAGCTGGTATTTAGCACACCAGCTACTCTCCACCTCACAGCATCCGTGAGAAGCTGTTCCACATACATATGTAGTTACTGTGGAACAGTAGTGGTTACCAACGGGCTCCCCGGGGGTTTCTTGAATCGATCGAATCATACAACAAGGTACGCCCGGTGTGAATCTGGATTTGTGGTAGCTGGAAATTTTGCCAAGGGCTCCATATCAAAATTGTGGTCAAGACGTTGCGAGGTGGACTGGACCCCACGAGAGTCTCATGGCGAATAATTCATGATATCAGTCTCCATGGCCTGTGGTGCCAGGAATTATACTGAGCCGGATCGTGATGGGCATGGCCATACTCAATTGGAAAAAATTGGAGATCAATGGTATGTGTAGGGCCTAGTAGGGGTGTTGCATTTTAACAGGGGGCGATGCCTGTCAAAATCGTTCAAGAGAAGTTAATGAAGACCGAGGGTATGGAGACGTACTGACAGCCATGTACAGAGCACCTACTGCATGATGGTCTCGAAAATTCAGACCACGAACTAACCGCCCCTGACCCTGACTCGCCCACGTGCTTAGATGTTGGTTGCCGACATGACGTTTAATTGCTCGTGCTTCACTTTGCTTCTAGCAATGGAAGTAATGGCTCCTCCCGGCGTCATGGCGTCGTGACGGTGTGATGGGTTGGCTGTCTTTTTTTCTTCGCCGCGGCCCAGTTGCGACCAGTGTAGAGACCATGTGCTCGACCTCCAGTCGAATAACTGACGGTACCAGATGGCGTCAAATCTAATGACGGCAAGCTGTACATCCAGGTCCCCGAATCTCCGATGCAGAGACTACTAAGTGACTAACAGACGGTAAGCATTAGGGGAACACAGGCCACCAAGTACCGATTTATGGGTAGTGAGGTAATACTTTGCAGGCAGTAGCTAGTGTGAAGTCGTAACTAAGGTATCCCGCTTTACATTTTTCAATAAGTAGGCCTGTCGATTCTTCCGTGGAGAGAGTTTGGATCAGCATACTTCATACCATATACGCTCACTCCCCTACAATGCCTTCGCAACGGTCCAACCGTGGAGCACCACGGCGCCCTGCACACCATACCACTTTTTCTGATTCATCTTCTGGCAACCCATTCAGCTCCCCAATGGACCACGAGTCTGAGGATATTGCAATTCCTGCACATCTTCTACAAGCTTCTTCTGCTGTAGGAACCAACCGCACCGATGGCCATGTACAAAATTGGCAACCCCAACGACAACTCAGCGTGAGAGATCAGAGGCTTCCTCGCGCAGCACCGAGACGAAATGTTCCCGTGTTGCAACGTCCACCAGCCGTGAAAAGATCGTCGACATTACCTAGCCGGAGTTCCTCACCGGATCCTAAGGAATCTTCACGGTCAGCTACTCTCGATGCTCTCACTAGAGTCGCCACAGAGGGAGCTGTTCAGAACGGCGAGCACAACAGTAATGGCCCGACCGGAAACGCAACTAAGCGTACACGTCGTGTATCATTCTTGGACGAACCCAAGCATGCATTGCATAACGAGACACGCAGAAGTTGGCGCTCCTCTATAATGTCAGATTATTCAGAGCCAGAAAAGGATACAAGCCACAGGAGCTGGCGGTTCTCGCCTCCTGCCGCTGAAGATGGACCATCGGTGACATCGCCAGACCGGAAAAGTTGGCGGCTGTCCTACACACCTGGCGATTCTGAGCGACTAACAACAAGTCCAAAATCGCCAGGAGCTCAGTTCCCGAGATATCGACCAGAGTCCCAAGACTTCCCTGAGAAAACACCATCTTCAGATCCTTTCGCAGACCCGCTAGTCAGTGATGGTCAAAACCCCATATCTCAGCCAGACCGATCTGCATCTAGAGGTAAACGACCTCGCCGAGGAACACTCGATGCTGTAGTCAATGCCATAGTGCCAGAATCACTGCAGAGAAAAATGACCAATCGACAACCCAACGGAGGTTTAGCTCGATCGAGTTCGATGAGAAAGACTTTCGAGAAAGCGAAAGAACGTGGCCAGCAATTGCAACGTAAAAAATGGGTGCAGATTGTCTTTGAGTATGGAATATACCTATTTCTCCTTTGTTTTATCTATTTTGTTCTAATCGGGATTCCACTTTGGAATGGTGCTGTCTGGTGGATGTACTGGGTCGTTGCGAACAAGTTTGTTTTCGCCGGTGGGTTCAGTATTACATTGGGAATCGCGCTCTTGTAAGTCTCCATCAATTACTTGCGCACTTTGTGCCGATTACTGACATGCGGCCTAGTTATGCTTTTGCACCGCTCCTCATCGTGTTCGAGAACGATCCCCCGGCCCAGGAAATGACTACCGAAACGAAGATCCAACCAAACGTTCAGGACACCGCCCTCCTCATACCCTGCTACAAGTCCGCAAATCTGATTGCCGCTACCTTGGAAGCTGCTTTGAAGATCTTCCCGCCATCGCACATTTTCGTGCTAGCGAACGGCAACAGCCCAACTCCATTGGATAACACCGAAGAGATATGTCGCCCCTATGGAGTAACGCATCTCTGGTCTCCCGTTGGCTCTAAAATCGTGGCGCAGTTTGTTGGGTGCTATGCGGCCAAGCGCTTTAAGAATGTGTTATTGATAGACGACGATTGCGCACTGCCGGAGAACTTCCCGGTCGTCACCGACAGGCTGGTGGGTAACGTCAAATGCATCGGGTACACTATCAAGAGTGTAGGACCCAACTCCTCCAAAGGCAACTTCTGTCAACAAGCCCAGGATCTCGAATACAAGCTCAGTGGACTTCAACGCGAGTTCGCAGGCAAAATCGGCTCGGCAACATTTCCGCACGGTGCAATCGCACTTTGGGATCGGGAGCTTCTCGTGAAAACTTTCTACCAGCATCCTGGCTTCAGTGTTTCCGAAGATTGGTTTTTCGGACATGCGGCTCGTCAGCTTGGTTGCCGAATTACCATGTGCTCCCAGGTTTTCGTAGAGACGGAGACACCCACCGCAGTATTCATCTCTGGTGGTGGTTCCAGAGGTGGTTTTGGTGAGATGACAATCTTTAGCCAAAGATTCAAGAGATGGAACTTCTTTTTCGTCAATGGCATGTGGTATAACATGGCGTACATTTTCTGCAACTGGAAGCTGGGATGGTGGGAAATCGGTGCCAAATTATTCGTTTTCCAAGAGGTCAGTTCGCAATCTTCTTCCGGGCAAGGCGCAAAACACTGACTCAATGCAGGTTTACGAGACACTCCTTTATCTTTTAACTCCCTTCATTTTGCCTATTTCTTTCTATGTTCGGCCATCGTTTTGCGGTATTCTACTTGGTGCTACGGTGGTCATGTACCTTGTCAACACCATCATCTTCAACGAAGTGCACCTCCGCCGCAAGAACGAGCGCATCGGATGGACAGTGGTGCTGGTTTACTACTTGCCATACAAAATCGTGTTGACTTTCATCAACGTTGCGAGCTGCTACTGGTGAGTCTCCTCCCCAATGCTATCCGTGCAATCAGCTAATTGATAAAAGGTCCTTGTACAAATACGCTCGCTACTTCGCAAAGCGCCATCCCAAAGTCATCGAGGACGAGAAGGCAGTCGAAGTCGTTGTTCGCTTAGAAGAGGGTGAATCGGGTCCTGGTTGCGGTCTTGGCCGGAAACTCACCGTGAAAACGGTCGCAGCAACCTCCGACTCGGACAAGGATTCAGAGATGCAGGACATGTCACCCCCACCAACGGTTGGCCTTGCCTTTGAGCCTGAACCTGTGAACTCTGGTATGAGCACACCCACGAGGCAGGCAGAAGGCATCTCAGCATACGAATTCAACGACCCACGACACCTACAGGTCAACAAGCCATTGCGACATGGAAACAGTACGCAAAGCAGCACAGATAGTCTGGTTTCAAGCAACGAGATGAGCGCTCGGCCGTTACTATAATGATTAATACGCTGATTATATAGTCTTAATATTATACTTAATATCTGCACTACTCATGATCACGATCGGTGCACACAACATTCGAGCGTTAACCCAAGGATAGCTTTCCACCAATCTGGTTGATTCCAGATGAACAAAACCTAGTTTCGGACCCCAACGTCATTGAACCTCTCCTCTTGTTGATCTTGCCGCTGTACCTTACAGCTACTTCATGCAAAGCAGGGGAGTGCTTAGGTTTCGGTACCAAACACACGGTGTACTCGGTGCAGCTACGTGGCGGAAAGTCCCAAAATGATAATCTGATACTCCCCCCATCCTTCACACGGCAACTTCTACCGTATCGAGTCTCACCATATCCAGATTGAGCCGATTTCGAGGTTCATTGCCCAGTGCAAGCCGATCTCGTAAGTAAATGCATAGTTGCGACCCCCGTATACTGCATTCATTTTAACCGCAAAACATTGTAGGTTTCGATACTTTCGTAGGTTTTCCTAGCGCTTCGAAATCGGGGCTCGAGTGAACGATTCCATGCATTTCCAACTTCACCGCCGTACGGCATCGGGCCATTATTCACATACGAGCATAGGAAGGAGGTTGCGTGTAATGGTGGCGGCCTTAATATTCGCACGATCTGACCCAAGAACCCGCGCTAATTTACACGCGTTCGTGGCAAATAGCGGCGTGGTTTTGATGGATGGGCCCCATGAATACTCCGCACGCGGTGTTAAGACATGCATGTTTTGCTTTACATTTGTGCGTGTCGAAGTATTTGCAGCGTGCCTCTATCGTGTAACGCGGAGTCAACAGGGAAATCCTTGTCAAACCGTAAGCGAACGGTGTTCGGGTCAACTCTGACATCTGAAACCACAAACGAGGACTAATGTACCAATTGGGCTTCTCACGGTGGCTGTGTCGCCTATGGTAAAGCTACAAGCTCTGACGGATCTCGTCTGACGAGTACAGATCTTGGTCATACATGCCATGTGCTTTATCTAGGGTATCCAATGTGGTATAGGCTACGCGCCGAGTTTCGAGAATGAGTTGCTTGAATTTTGCGAACGATTCAAACCACCCCAAACGTGGTGGCGTGCGCCATACTGTTAACTAATGGATCGAAAGTCCGTTCATCCAATGTCACCAACGTTGTCATTCGTGCGACGCCTGGGGTGTTTACCGGGCGTTGGCGAGGCGTGAAGCAACGGAAATTATGGGATGATACCTTACATCCTTTTGAGGTCAACCACACGAAATGCAAGCTGAAAATATGCACGCCTGCACGGCCGTTTACTTGCTTAGAACCTATACCTCTTCTTCTCCTCTTTCCCCAGGTTATTCCTCTCTGCTGTTGCTCATCATGCCCACAAGCGTTTTTTGATCGGCATATGCAAGGGAATGTTGTCAACACCACCAATCTAAACCAGCACTGTTGGCTCCGACCACAAAATGACGATTCTTTCACCCGTGTCTCCGCTGGCATCCTATGATATGCGAACATTCAGCTCTCCTAACAACAATGGGACGACAAGATATGAACGACGTTACCCAAAACCCAGCTCAGAACAGCAATACAAAGGCCCGGAAAGTAAAAAAGATGGGCTCGAGATACAGATGAAAGAGTTCAGATCACCGACTTCACCCGAAAACGTATACAATCCTCGCGCACTACCGCCGATCGACTCTAACCAGCCACGGCCATCATTGGCTCGCAGTACATCCACTCCCTCTTCTTCATATTCCCACAAGAAAACCGACTCCATCACCGAGAGGCTCATTTTACAACGATCCACAAAAGCTGCGCAGTGGACAATACACTGGCGGGCACCACTTACTACCGTTTCGGCTTTCGTCGTTGGACTGATCCTCGCAATTGGTCAGCATATGCTTTATTCTAAGCTTCATCATGAATCGCTTGGGGGAGAAGACAACAAAACGAAGAAAGTCCTGTATGGACGAGCACTAGCTTACTTCTCCAAGATCGCATTTGGTGGATGCGTGACCATGGTCTATCGCCAGCGACTCTGGACTACCCTCCGCCACCACGCTCTCTCCATCTGGTCAATTGATCAACTCTTCCTAGGAACCGAAGATCCTACACTGTTTTTCAACTGGGAAACCCTCACTAAAGCGCTTTTACCCACCATCCTGGCATTGATAATTTGGCTTGTCCCCCTCGCGACCATCATCTTCTCCCCCGGCGCGTTGACATTTGGAGAATTTCGCGAAATTGATGTCACCTCTCTCGCCGTACCGACTCTCAACTTTACTGCAGGTGAGTAAATTTTCTGGGGCATAGATCCGAAACGAGTCGCTTCCCACGCGATGGGGCGATTGGAGACAACGACACCACCGCAACACGCCTCCTTCCAGCTTGCTGACATTTGATTTAGAGTCCACTACAGACTGGCGCATTCCCATCAAACTGGATGACAACTCACACAAAAAATCAGTAATGTTCTACAATACAACGGATCGTTTGGGTAAAAAGGACGGATGGTTCGACTACTATGATCAACCATCTTCTGATCTTACTCGCATCTCTGTCCTCAACGCTTGGAGTGTCGGAAACCAATCTACAATGCGAACAGACGCGCGCCAAAAGTCGTGCGGGGGCGAACAGTTCAACTGCACATACACCAACAGCTTCATCGCCCCTCAGTACAAATGTGAGGAGGTTGCGACGGGCCCCCAGGACGATCAAAAGCTTTTCGAGATGGGAGCTCCTTTCAACACGAGTGAACTAGTTCCCTACGGCAAACACGTGTATCTCTCAAACGTCGATGTGGGAGAATACAGCAGACCACAGGCGCCTAATATCTCCAACGACGGCGGTGTACCCTTGGGTAGAATCCCAGATGAGCTAGGAACGTTCATGATAGAGCCGCATTTGTGGATCGGATACTCGACCAACTCCACGGAGCCATGGCCACCAAATTCGCCATTTGCACAGAACTGGACTAGCAGACTGGATGCGCACATTGTGCGATGCATTCATTATGAAGCACAGTATACCGTCTCGTGGAACTATACAGAGCCTTATTACACAATTGATAGTTCTTGGACATTTCTGGAGCCCATAATAGACACCAACTTCAGTAAGCTGGAAAACGGAAAACCAGATTACCTGACCATCAAACCGGCTTCGAACTTTGTTAGCCCTCGAACAGACGTCGGTAAATACAAAAAAATCGCCGCATACCATGCAGTCGGCGAATCGATGCGCGACTTCTTGAGGGGCAACATCGAACTGGAACCCGAATTCCCCGGAAACAGTTACCCGCGCGTCAATTCCAAAATCACCCAGACACGGCTGGTCAGCAAAACGAACAGCACACCGTACGATCACTTTGAGAAACATCTTCAAGACTTTTACTCCGACACCGTGCTCTCTCTTTTCTCGGCGCCGGGGATGCTCGTCATCGCGCAAGAAAACACCACCGTGACCCGCTCACGCTTTCGCGCCACATTCATTTACGAGCCCGAAACACTATGGGCGTGCTACGCCCCCGTAATAATAGTAACCTTTCTAATCCTACTTCTCTACGCCTTTACCCTTTGGCAGGACGGAACAACCTGGTCCATTGGATTCTCGCGCATCCTGGTCACCACGCGGAACCAAACACTCGACGAAATCAGCCGCGGAGCGTGCCTGGGCAACAACCCGTTCCCCTCGGAACTGCTGCGCACAAAGCTGCAGTTTGGTGTTTTGAACGAACCCACCGACTTCGAGGTCGTGGGCTTGGACGGCTTCACGGAAGTCGGACACTGCTCTTTCGGCGTACCGTCTGAGCTATCGCCTATTATCAAGGGCGCGCCGTACGCAGGGCTGACACGTCGCCGTACGTATGGTGGGGCTGGGTTGAGACCTTCAATGGCCCCCTTACAAGAGAAGGAAAAGACTGATTGAGTGAAGCTCGAACCAATCAGTAACGAATTAACGACAGCGATTCTGTATCATACTTTTAAAAATCAACATTGGAATACTCTTTGGGAGATCTGCGCCTTTCATTTTCTCAAGGCACGCAGCAGAAATTCTTGGCTGAGGACATATTTGATACTTCAGGGTTGTATATACTACTATAGAAGCAGGTTTCTTTTGTATAATCTATCATATCTACCCCTTCATACAGATCTCCGTGCTGTTCAACAGATGCCTATGACTCCGTTGACGGGGATATCAATACTTGTGGTGTAGCTCGCAGCGTCGCTGAGAAGATACACATAAGCACCTCCCAGCTCTTCAACTTCGGCTAGTCGAGGCATTCCGCCGTAATACTTGAGCTGCTGTTCCCAGTCGGGCTGCTGCGGAACCCAGTATGTCATGGCAGTCTTGACTAGACCAGGAGAGACGGAGTTGACGCGAATGTTGTATTGAGCCCATTCCATGGCAAGGGTGTGCTGAAAGTGTGGGTGTAGGGTTAGTCAAAGATTTGTTAGGGGCGAGGGGTCAAGGATCGAATGCCACGCCACATTCTGCATAGGGAAGTACATACGACCATGTTACGGATGCCGGCTTTAGAGGCGCCATAAGGTGCTGAAGGAACGCGCTGTTACTGTTAGCGATAACGAGGTTGGATCACCTAAGTTTTATTGGGCGAACCTTGTCTAGGTGTCGTAGATATCAAGTCAGCAAATTTCAAGCAGGTATCACACAATGAGCTGTTGAACAACCCACAGCCATTTTAAAATTCGGAGTTTAGGGTATGCGTACTGGGTCGATACGAAGCCATTGACGCCGTAAAAACAATGGATCCTTTGATACCGAGCTTGATGAAAGCCCTAGCAGCGACTCGCGCGGAGTAAAATGATCCGTACAACTACACTTCATCAGCACGCTCGCACTATTATCCCAAATAAGCTACTTACATTGACACCCCATAACTGATCAATCTCCTCTGTCGTGAACTCCAATGCAGGCTTGTGTTTGGTCCTACCGGCATTGCACACCATCCCGTTAAGTGCACCCGCTTCTCCGACAATCTTATCTACGGCTGCTTGGATACTTTCTTCTTTGGTGACATCGGCTTGGAGAGCAAAAATCCGGCCGGGGTACCGTTTGGATACTGCTTCGAACTCGTCGCCTGGGTCGCCGATGTCTATGGAGTAGATTTTTGCGGCGCCGTTGGCGAGACAGCAATCTGCGATTCCGAGACCTATACCTGGGAGGAGTTAGTATATAGGAATATCTCGGAGATGAAGCTAGTATGGAAAAGCAGGCGGAGCAAAGAGTTTTTAGAATCTTCTCTTTCGGTTATCCGGTTGTGTGTTTGGGAGATACGTCAGTGTGTACAGAACCCCGATTTCAAGACACGAGGATTTCAGAGGTCTATGACATATTCCCAGTCAGATCAAAGCTTCGTGTGCGTACCTCTGTTTGCACCCGTAATCGCAATTACTTTGCCCTCCAACTGCACCTTCTTCTCCGGAATCACGTCCGCTTTGCTTTCTGATGAAGCCATGACTATGGTACAATTGATGTAAGCTGGAATTGAAAAATTCAAGATGGAAACGTGTGACTTAGAGTCGACGAATCCTGATCTGCGAGTATGCGTTGTCTTATGTATCTTTACTTCTCCGCATTCTCCAGCGTCTCCCCAGACGAATCCCTGCATCTCATGCGCTAGCTCTCGAGACGAGGCACAAGACGCACCTCGAGACGATGTTAGTATGCATTCAAGCTTCACGGGTACCTTGGAGTCTGAGGGGTAGTGGGGTTGAAACGTTCCCCGAAACACTCTTACAATCTGTTTCTTTGGAGTGACTGAGTGCACTTGAGTCTGGAATATTTCTTGTTCGACGTCGTCATGGAGAAGAGCCATGGAAAACACGCTAGTATGTTTTGGAAGACATGCATTCCTACAAAGGAACCTCTATCTCGACAACATCACAGGTCACTCAGACTTTTGATTCCATCCAGCATAACCCTACACCTACATATATGACTCTTATCTCTGTATTGTCTAGCGTTTCCCATAGCTGATTTCCGCATTGGAACCATATGGTACACTATTTATACAACGAGCTAGTGAAATTCAGTTCCGGGTGAGCGTGGTGATGATCAGATCTATATAAAGAAATTGAGGACACTGAGACCTGGTCACTTTTTTATCGCTTTCATACCATCTGCACAATAGAAAACACGTCAACTTGTGGCGACTACATGCTTTCTTCACCATGTCGCGAACAATGCTAAACACTGTGGTTCCGGCCGGCATCGGCACCCACTTTTAGCCCTTTTAACAATTTCGAACCAGCAATCGAGAGCACTTTCGAATCCCACCCCGAAAAGAAAGCAATGTCGACAGTCGCATCGCCCGTCAGGTTATGCCGACTCCATAGTAGCCGTTTCATCCGGCAATCTACCGTGCACAAAGCCACATTGCCCTCAATAAGTCCTCGCATTAGATCGGTGTTGAACAGAGACGCTTTCCGAAAAAAGCAAACTACTACTTTCACCAGCGTTGAATTTTTTCGTGGGCTCCACGTGATGAGTCAACAGCACCAGACATCAACCAAAATCACAACTACTACATCCAACACCAACAAGAGAACCATCAGCGCAAGCCACACCCCGAATTCCGAACGCGAAGAACTCCAGCTCAAGAGAATGGCGGCCGCAAAACCTGGAGATGACCACTTCCTCACGCTCTCGTGCCCCGACAAACCAGGCATCGTGCACGCCGTGACGGCAATCCTCGCCGCCCAAAACCTCACCATCCTCGACCTCCAGCAATTCTCAGACCGAGACTCAAACACCTTCTTCATGCGCGTGCACTTTGGCCACACGTCCGATCTCTCCGCGTTCCACGCGCCCATGGCCTCACTCGCAAAGGACATGCAAATGGACTACGACGTGCGCGCCGTCGTCTCCAAGCCAAAAGTCCTCATCATGGTCTCCAAGATCGGCCACTGCTTAAACGACCTTTTATTCCGCGTTAAGAGCGGCCAGCTCAAAATCGAGATCCCCGCCATCGTCAGCAACCACCCGGAATTCGCAGATCTGGCAAAGAGCTACGGGATCCCTTTTTACCACCTCCCCGTGACCAAGGACACCAAGGCCGAGCAGGAATCCCGCATCCTCGAACTCATCAGCGAGTACAATATCGATCTCGTCGTCCTGGCCAGATACATGCAAGTCCTCTCCCCACGCCTCTGCTCGGAAATGTCCGGCAAGATCATCAACATCCATCATTCTTTCTTGCCGAGTTTCAAGGGCGCGAAGCCCTATCACCAGGCGTACGAGAGGGGTGTCAAGATTATCGGAGCCACGGCGCATTTCGTGACCAAGGATTTGGACGAGGGGCCGATTATTGAGCAGCGGGTTGCTAGGGTCGACCATGCGCTTTCGCCAAAGGAGTTGGTCGAGGAAGGAAGTAATGTTGAGAGCCAGGTGCTGGCTGCGGCCGTCAAGTGGTGGAGTGAGAAGAAGGTGTTTTTGAATGGTGCGAAGACTGTTGTGTTCAATTAAAAAGAGAGTATGGAGTGTGCATGATGACGATGACGACGAGCATATATTAATAGATGGAATGGTATTTTGCTTTTGCTTATGCTTCGATTCGTGTTATCTTGTCTCTTGATTAGTCTTTGGTGGTTTAGTACGAGTGGATGTTGAGCTTCTGCATATGTATATACTCGCTATTTAGTGTTTTTGGGACGGTACCGACACGAATGGGATCCGGAATATCGTTGTCAATTCTTGCACAGGAAGCGAATCTGCACATTGCATTGTGTACCATAATCACGACGTAAAGAAGTAAACAGCACGTACAGCCTAAACTCAATAGCTTCTTCTACCTGAGAATCTTTATTTTGATCCGGATGACACGGATGGACATGAAATAGGCAATTTTTCAGCAGCACGAGCAGTCTAGGATACCCGCAGGATAAAGATATTCAAGTTGTCATGATTACAATGTACTAATGCTAGATAAAAGTATAGACAACCCCACTGGGAGGAACCAGAGGAAAGTGAACAGAGAATGGCTTGCAACAAATGATCTACATTTGCTCCCCCAGTGCTCGCTCGCTATGCATATGCAAAAATACCCAAATGCTAGAATGCTGGTGAAAAGCCCGAAACACAGGCCCCTGGACGCCATAACCATGAATACAGAACAAGAACTAGAACAATAACAGTGGAATCATACACTGAATCACATAGCAACACCCAGCGAAACCAATTTCCCTTTGACGTCCACAGGCCTCATCGTTTGATTGATGACCACGCTATTGATTGCACCCATTCGTACAATCCCTACGTAGCCCGGTGTAACTTCTGCCGCCAAAACCTCTACGCACTTGAGCGCTTCCTCGCGAGAGATTGGCGAGCGGATTGATTGCTGAAGCGCTTGAAGAAGAGTGTTCATTGAGAAAGAAACGCGCAAGCCGGGGCCCTTGGTAGCACACAGCAGCGATAGCACGCTCAAAACTTCCTCGGAACGCTGTAGGGCGGAGTTTCGCGCCAGCTCGGCAGGGCTCAGGGGCTTAGGACCGGATGCAGCAAGGGCTTGCTTCGCCATGATGCGGTCGAGAAGGGCAGTCTTGCGGACAGAGGCGAAGTCTGTCATTTTGGTCTGTGATTCTTCCACCTTGATCTGTGCGTTCTCGTTTTTAGGGAGCGGCGCGTTTTCTTTGTCGGGGAACACAGTAGTAGAAGCATCTCGTGCCTTTTTAGTTGAGCGCCCTTGCTGCACACTGTCTTTAAATTCCCGCAGCCTCTTGCGGCCTTTTTCTTGCAGTGGAGCGATTGCGGCTAAGGATGAACAGGTCGTGATATCGGCATGTGGAAGTTGTGCGATGAACTTTGTGATGTTGTGCTCGGAGACGAAAGGTTGAATGCTGGGTTGCTTGGTATCCGCTTTTCTTGGTCGTCCGCGCTTCTTGGGGGTCGCAATGACGCGCGAGGGCGATGGTGAAGTCCATTGTGACCACAGTGTATCCAGGCTAACCATGAACATGTTCTTGAGTGTCTCCTCGCTCACGCTCAATCCACCTCTACTCATCGTGTGTTCTTCCCTAACTTCAAGACAGATCTTTCCGCGGCCGTAGTCTGAGAGGTAGAAAGGATTCCGGTTGCCTGTAGGCCCCGCCTCGAGGACCCCGATGCAGAGACGGATATCATCGTAGGTGACTTTTCGGAGGCGCCAGACTTTGGAGACAGACTCAGTTAGGGGGGAAAGATCGACTGGGGTGGCGATGCCATTGTGCGCGTAGTGCAGAGAAAGCGCGGTCAGGAATGAGGAGTGGAGGGCGAGGAGGTTAAGGAGTTCGGCGGGTAAAGCAGTAGTTGAGTCCACGGGTGCCATGGTGGCTCGGATTGTATTGATAGACGGCGTTTATGTGATTCGGCTGAAGAATGCTTGAGTATGGCCGGAAGAGAGGAATAGTGAAGTTGAGATAGTGGTTTGCATAGTCGAGCGAGGGCAGCAGAAAGGTTTGTTTATGAGGGCAGGCCATGGTCCGTGGCTGGATGGATTAGTGCGACAGGGGTTCGCGATCGTCGCGACCTCGCGACGCGTACGCGTTTTACGCCAAGACACTTAATGGGCTGTCGTAGCCAATCGTTCCTTTCAATCGTTTCTCTCCTCCAACGTCGTTCACGAGCACGATCGCGTGTGCAAAGACTGTGTCATTTCTAGTTGGTCCTATTGCATCTGCATATCCTTTTGTTGACTGAATTGCGTACCGTGGATTACCATCGCGTCATTATGTCATTATGATGCACGACAAGCGGCTGGGCTCATAGCCGAGGCAGTGTCACTCAGAGGCAGGAGAGTGGGACTGGTATGCCAATACGAGCCGATGGTAGGGGTATTATGCTTCAATTATTATATCCAGGTTAAGAGGAGAGGGAAAAGAACCCATATCAAGCCAGACTCCTAAACTAATCGCCAATATGCATGGTTGAAGTAGACCGCGTACAACTCATGAAAATGCTAAGGCTTTATGCCACTGAAGAAGAATTCGGAAACCGCCATCCTGAACTAACTCTCGGTCTCTCTACTTTGAGCCGAACCAGGAGCCAAGCCAGCTCTGTGACTTGGATGCGCCCTCGCTGACCTTCTTGTCGAATGTGTCTACGGCAGCGCTGAGGTCCTTGCCGGTAGTCTGTCGCACTTCTTCAAACTTCTTCGATGCGTCCTGGCGGTATTGATCCACCTTCTGGTCGATTTGCTGTCCCGTCTTGTTCGCTTGCGCTTTGGCATCGTTGGCCTTGAGAGGTACTGGTCAGCGTGTACCCACATGCACGAGGTGTAGCAGAGATTTCAGGCTATCATGAGGTGGGTGTTGACTTACAAGATCCTCTGCCCTGGCACGAAGTGCTTCGTAGCTCTCCTCTCCGGCCTTCTTTGCCTCCTTCTCGTGGCCAGGTAGGTTGCCGCGGACTTTGGCAGATGCGGCAGCGGCGTCATCTGCGCAAAACCAATTAGCAATGGACAAACACAGGGCAGGAATTCGACGTACGCTCAAACTTCTTCTCTGCAAGCTTTGGGTCTCCACCAGCATTGTAAAGGTAGTAGGCACCGCCACCGAGAGCTGCGAAACCACCGACTTTGAACAATCGTCCGGCCATTTTAGATGTGTGCTGAAAGTTTGGGGTTGTGGAAAAAGTGATGAGCTTGGATTTTGTTTGGTTCTGGGATGTACAGATGTCACTTCTGACAAGGTGTGGCAGGGAATGCAGCTATTTATTGAAGAGAGAGGGGATGCGGAGCAATCGTCCAAGGCACAGAACTATGACGTAGGCCAGCATGCTGCGCGGCAGCTGCAGCACGCACAGACCAGCCAACCAGCCAACCAGTCGAGCGCAAGTCCGTGAACTGGATCGCCGGCCCAGACCTGGTCTCTCCAATTCATCCTTCGTTCCCTATTCTATTCGTTTGTTGATCCCAGTCCTTTCTTCTATCATCGTCGCTCTGTACCAAGTGCTGGGAATGGGCCTCTAATTCTTCCTGCTCCACTGCAATGTTGCTATTGTTGATCGCCATCGCATCCCGTCGATAGTAGTAGCCGCCGTTGCATTCTAACCCCCCTACTAAAAGGATATCTGCGCTCTCGCTTTCCCCGCAACGCTCCTATCGACCGTCGACTACTACCACGTACATACCTACCTAGATACCTATAATTCTGCGAATTGCTCGACTTCAGTATTCTATGTCCACATAATTTCTCCCGCAGACCGTTGCGTTATTCCACCGCTTCTTGCGTCGAATCGACATGACCGACCAGATGAACATAACCTTGTTAGACCAAACCGATACCGACCCCGAACAACAACCTGAGCATAATGGGCAACAAAACCAAACCAATGCGCAGTCACGCGGGAACGAGACCTCACACATCGACGTTCTATACGAAAACCAACGCGGCTGGTTTCTAATTGGCATTCCCTTCTTTTCGTCCAAAGCCCTATGGAACCTACGCATAGATCACTCTCCGTGGGTCGACGAACGCTTCAAACCCTCTCCCGTGAACATTACGAATGCACAGGTGCCCGATCCGAGCTGGGTGTGGGATTGGAAGTCGTGGTACGTGGATATGAGCCACGATGTGGATGAAGAAGGCTGGCAATACAGCTTTTGGTTCCGCGGAGCCGCTTGGCATGGCAATCACCCCTGGTTTCACAGCTTTGTGCGCAGGAGACGGTGGTTGAGGAGAAGGATCAAACACAAGCTGCCGCCCAAGACAGCAGACAACAAGGAAAGGCTGTTTGGTGAAACTTTCAGCATCGGGACCACGTTGATGCGCACGGGCACGACTATGACGCGGTCAAATAGTTTATCAGGAAGTGCAGAAAGATCCATCAATGATGAGGTTAGAGACGTGCCGACCCTGATGCTGAGATTGAAGAAAGCGGCCATCGATCGAGAGAAAATTGTCTACATCAACAGATTCATCGAACAGGGCGGTGAAGAGCTGTACTATCTTGCGGAACAGGCAGGTCTTGGTTTCATTTTATGGCATACATGTTTTTCTAACACAAAGCAGATTCCTCCAATAATGTCCATGCTCGTCTTTCAAAACTCGCGACGCCAGCTTCTTTCCACGCTCACCGCAACGATCGACGCCGCACAGTCGCACCGCGAACAGCACGAGGAAACGGGCGAACGCGAAAGCGAAGTAGAGAAGCGAAGGATAGATAACCTGCTGAAGGCAGTCGAGGCAGCAGATGCCGAGTGCAAGAAGTTGGAGTACTGGAGCGACATCAAACGTTTGGCAGAAGTTGGCGAGGCTGGCACAGCGGCAGACGATGAGAGATGGGGGAAGCATTGGCAGGGCATTGACAACAGTGCGCCACAACACCCTGGTCACGATGATGCATGAGGAGTCGAGCAAGACCAGTGTTTTCTTAGATTTTTTGTTTGTTCACCGTTGGCATTACAGAAGGCAATAGCCTGCGTACACATTGATACCCATACATAAGTAATTGATATATATTCACCGAATCTGAACGCATTCCTACGCTACTCTGATCACTATCTCCCAATAGTTTCTGCTCTTTCTCTCACTCTCCATCCTCAATGATCCTCCACTATGATCTCTCAATCAATTTTCGTCCGCACCCGAATGGGTCCCTTCACCTGCTCCAACTCCGTCTCCTCCTCAAGTACCTCTCCTTTCTGGAGCACTTCGACCTCGCCTCTCGCTCGCATTTCCCACACCAAAGCGCGCACATCATCCATGGCGTCGCGCCATGTCACATAGTCAAGTGTGGAGAGGTCACTGCTAGACAGCGCGCGAGCGACTTCTGAGGGGCAGATGGTTTTGGGGTGGTCTCGGGAGTCAAGGAGGCGAGTGGTGTATGGAAAAAGAATCCGTTGTTTTTGTTCTGGGAGAGTGTGTGCTGTGCTGGAGGAGGGGGGCATGTTTGGAGGTGGCGTGGGGGTGCTGATTGCGGGGGTTTGGTGAATTAGGTGAGGTTACTGATTCGAGCCAGTCGACTGAAGTTGCTTGAGTCTTGGACTAAAGCCCAATTGATTCGATCGGAAGTTTGAGTCGCGAATCATGGAGTGAAGCTTGCTTGTCTTGTATTGGAGTTTACGTGACGGTGACGGAAGGCTACGTGCAAGATGGTTGACAACTGATAGCTGATATGCAGTTACGCGACCCGGTGTGTAAGTAGCCGTTTCCCCCCATACATAGCTAGATATAAGTTATATATGAGTACTTGGTATTCAGTCTTGGTCTTGTTATTCAATACTCGGCCGCTCCTTTGTAACCATCATCATTCATCAGTGCAATCAACCTCCATCTATCTACCCGCCGATCTCTTGGCATCTGCAGGCGAGATCGGCGCAGGGTGCACGCGGAATCTTTTTGGGCGTCGGGTCCAATAGCAGCGGTACAAAGCCCCCAACCTCAACACATCTCTCGGAGAAACAAACGGAAAGCGATGCGGCTGAGCTTGGGCTTCGGGATCAAGTGGGATGCCGCCGTGGGAGGAGGGGTAAAGCCGTTTAAAGCCAGTGGGACCCTCGCACGCTCGTTTTCCCAAGCTGCCAGCTCCCCACAGCCCTTCACTGCTTCCTTTGCCCGCAAGCAGCGTCTTTCGCCACTTTCGCACAATTTCGCATCGTCCCGATTACAACCAAGGAGGCCTTACTCCAGCAGAATCATGTCTACCGAGGAACTCGACAAGCAGCCCCCGCAGGAGGTCAAGAAGTACCTCCAGCAGAGCCATGACCGCATTTTCGAGAGCAACAAGAAGTGGGCCGCCGAGCAAAAGGCTAAGAATCCGGATTTCTTCAGTCATCTGAATGCAGGACAGAGCCCCGAATATCTATGGATTGGTGAGTCGGTACAACAACGTCATAGGCATCCAATCAGTCACTGACATTAGTTTCACAGGCTGCTCTGATTCCCGTATCCCTGCCGAAGCCATCACTGGCCTCGGGCCTGGCGAGATGTTTATCCACCGCAACATTGCCAACCTCGTCTGCTCCACCGATCTCAACGTCATGTCCGTCGTCAACTATGCCGTTCGTCATTTGCACGTCAAACACATTGTCGTCTGCGGACACTACGGCTGCGGTGGCGTCAAAGCCGCCATGACTCCTCAAGACCTTGGTCTGCTGAATCCCTGGCTTCGCAACATCCGCGATGTGTACCGACTGCACGAGGCTGAACTGGACGGCATCAAGGATGAGGAGGCCAAGTACAACAGATTGGTGGAGCTCAACGTGGTGGAACAGGCCAGGAACGTCATCAAGACCGCCGCTATTCAGCAAAGCTATGCCAAGAGTGGATACCCCATTGTACATGGATGGGTTTTTGGGTTCAAAGATGGACTTTTGAAAGATTTGGAAATTGATTTTGAAGGCCAGCTGAAGGACATCCAGAAGATTTACAACTTGACTTCGTAGCCGGCAGTAGACCAACGCGCAACGCGAATCGAGTACGAACGTATTATATTCATTCATTGTTGTCTTTTTCGGCAGACATTGCCTACGTCAAACACGGTCACTAGTGATTCCTATCCGAATACAACATCGTTATGGTCTGCTTTGGAGATGTCCAAATTCGGGCCAATGAAGTTCAGGATGAGTCAGCGTTCCTACGTCTTCTGCCTAACCCCAACCTTCGTTGATACTATCTTTTACTCTCTACAACTACTGCGACTACTGCGATTATTGCAAAATCCTCCCCATTCTGTGCTATTATCTTACTATTCGTACTGAATCGCAGAACTGGGCCAAGACTCTTGTCCTTGCGACCTACGTGTCTTGCCAAACCATCAACATTTTTGATATCGCAAAGGCATCTTTCATTTGAGAAGCCTCTTTGAATAATCGCGCAAATTCGGAGCCATGGACGAAAGTGTCAATTTGAAGTTGATCACACACCTTTTGAATGTACCGCCTAGTCGACGTGTTCTCTCTGAAGTTGCTGTTAGCGCGTCATCAAGACAAATACATTTCTTACTGGCCTGTCCGAGGAGTGGATCGACTCTTCTGATGCGGGTTCTTGCACAAGCACCTAACTGCGATCTGGCTAGTCGCGTTGCTCTCAAAGGCAACGGTTTGACTGACACAGACCTGATTCTAGCCTATCCAGACACAGTGATCGCCTATCAACGAACGACGGAGGAGGAGTCGAGAAACGTAACAGCACGAGATACCCCAACATTCACAGCTTTGCCTCTACCGATCGACTTTACGGTCGCAAGGCCTGCCTTCTTGATCCGCGACCCCGTTCGAGTCTTTGACAGTTGGAAACAGCAGGGCTGGACAGACTTCCAGACTTTCCTCAACTGCTTTCAGCATCTCTTCAGTTCGTTAGATGAGCATCTTTCCCTGCCCCATGTTCTAGTTTATGAAAAGCTTGTTCAAAATCCGGCTGCCGAAGTCTCTCGACTGTGCGACTACTGGGGACTTGAATACACGGCGAACATGACTACCATCAGCAAGGCTTTTCCAGACTTCTCAATCAATGCTGAGCGTGAAAATGGGCTTAATGCCATAGATCCTCCGACCAAACTGTTCGACACAGTGTTATCAAGTTCTCAGGTGGACTCCAGCATCACCTCGCACGGCACTCTTTCCAACCAAGAAATGTACGATATCGAACAACAACTCGGTCATCTCTACCTCAGATGCTGGAAGTCTGAGATCAAAACCATTCGCACTAAGTTATTGCAAGCCAAGTGGTTCGCCTTTGACCTTGACGACACCCTCCACGAATTCAGGCGCGCCTCAACCACGGCAATCGACGCCGTACTTTCTGCCATTCTCTCCGAAATACCTGAAACCCCTCAAATCAGTTTTGACAATCTGAAATCAGCATATTCCAAAGTCCTCGCCTCCAAAACGTCCTCCGCCTTCATCGACGGCAAAACTTCGCACGAGTACCGCGAGGACCGCATCCGCTCCACTCTCGTCGCCTTCTCTATAGACTTCAACTCCGAGCAGATGTCAAAATGGGTCTCGCTCTACGAAACGTCTCTGATAGCAAATCTCGAGCTAAAGTGCGGCGTTGTCGATCTATTCACATCTCTGAAATCCCTCGGCAAGAACATCGCCATCATCACGGAAGGCCCACAGGATTCCCAAGAACGCACGATTGCTCGGCTCGGTTTAACGGGGTTTGTGGATTTTTTGGCAACGACTGGCGCGTTTGGGGTATCGAAGACTGAGGGATTGTTCACAAAGGTTGTGGAGAAACTCGGACCTGGTAGTGGTAGTGACTTTGTCATGGTTGGGGATAATTTCGAGAGAGATGTTAGACCTGCGCGTGAAGTGGGTATGTATGGTGTGCATTATACTGAGAAGATGAATTTTGGGGCTGGGGATGAGGTTCTGAGAATTAATACGCTGAAGAAGTTGGAGTTTATGCTGGTGCAGGTGTAAGAGCGTTTATCTAGGGGGGAGGAGAGTTTTCGCTCGTACATAACGCAATGAAGGCCGTGCTTTGCATGTAATACATCAATTTCACAATTTCTGGGTTTCTCATATCTTCCAAGGTTGTTATCATGCATGCTGTCAATCGTCGCGAAAAGTGAAGGTCATACGTTTCTCATTATATAAGTCAGTGCACTGAATTGCCCGAAACCCAAATAGCCGAGAACACCGACGAAATCGAATAAACCGAGCATCCTTTTTCCCTCCCGCCAAAACTCGGAAATCTCCAATCCATCTCCATATCTTTCTATTCATTTAGCCATTGGAATAAAATCTGCCCTAACACAATGCCACCAGGGAACGAACGACCAGCACTCCAGCAAGCAGAAACAGATGGCGCAGGGCCAGTGAAGAGACGAAGACCCGCTCTTTCCTGCGTAGAATGCCGAAAGCGAAAAGTAAAATGCGACAGAGAGAAACCTTGCGGAGAATGTTCCAAAACGAAATCACCGACATGCACGTATCGTTCTCAGCCGAAAGGGCGACATATGCGATCGCCTGTCGCGCATGGGAACTCGACGGCCGCATACGGGTATACTCAACCCGCGGTTCCTGTGAACCCTGGATCTTCGATCTTGGATGCTCACAATGGCACGGGATCTTCTTTGTCAAATAGCACGGACACTGTGTCGGAGCTTTCGGATAGACTTCGACATCTAGAGGGGCAGCTTGCTGCTATCAACACAAGCGACACTCGATCTAACTCCAGTGCAACTCTTTCTTCGAAGGATCCCTCTACCCGCCAGCCAAGCACGTACTTTGTCAAATCCAAGTTTTTCGGTGAAAGCCATTGGCTGAACTGTCTTGAGCCCGTACGTCTTCCCCAGGCTTGACTTCTCTCTGTCTTTGGGCTAATTTGTCGCAGTATGAATCTCTTGGTCGTACGAATATTTTTGTTGATCCCGCTACGAATAGAACGGAAGTGGATGCGAGCTCCGATTTGTTTACGACAGTTGCTGAATGTAAGCGTATGGCTCGTACTATTAAAGGTACGAGAATGCCTCGGCCCAGTATCGATGAGGAGGTGAAGGGAACGATGCCTGGGAAAGATGTAGGCGATCAGTTAGTATGCCCCATTTACACTGAGACGGTTGTTCAAAACTTTGCAACAGCCATATTATTGTAGCTTAAGATGTACTGACATGAGTTCTGCGGCCTTAGACTCGTTCAGTGTTATCTACGAACTTTCGAAGGTGCTTTCCGCGTCCTCCATATCCCAACTTTCTTCCGCGATTACGAAAGCTACTGGAGTAACGTAGAAGCCGCCAAACCTTCTGTGATAATCAAAATGCTTCTCGTATTCGCCATTGGTGTCCCGTTTTACACCGGTCCCGAACAACCCCGTCTCCGTGCTTCGAGCGCCAAATGGATCCAAGCTGCAGAGGCATGGCTGAGCGCACCCTATCAGAAATCGCGCCTCAACATGGCAGGCTTGCAGATCCACATTCTGTTACTACTTGCACGACAGGTCTGCAGTGTTGATGGCGACCTGGTTTGGATCTCTGCTGGCTCGCTTTTAAGAAGTGTCATGCATCTTGGTCTCCATCGTGATCCAAAACACTTTCAGAATATCTCTCAGTTTCATGTGGAAATGAGAAGAAGGCTTTGGGCTACGGTGATGGAGGTGACAGTTCAGATGAGTCTGGATATGGGTACGTGACAGAAGGCATCATTTACCTGTTGATTATCTCCGCTCGCATCCCACTGACCTTTTACCTCTCGCTTTTAGGTATGCCACCGATGATTTCCCTGGATGACTACGATACTCAGCCACCAAGCAACTTCAATGATGATGATATTGGTAGCCTTGACGGATCTTCCTTTTCACCGAGACCTATAAGTGAGATTGTATGTATACCCCGCCACTCAAGTCTTTGGTGTCGAAACACTACGTGGTGTAAAAGTTTGGCGCACCGTCTATGCAGTGGGATGAGCTTTAATGTATTGTACTGACTTCGAACCCGCGAAATTAGACTCAGTCATCGATGCAAAGATCCCTCTATGAGACCCTTCCTTTACGTCTAGAAATAACGAGACGACTGAACAGCATTCGTTCTCCTCCTTCATACAAGGAGACGCTCGGTCTCGCAAAGGATCTTCTCTCACAGTGTCACGGGCACTCCAAATTCTTCCACGAGGCTGTCAACTCTGGATTCGAAACGGTTCCGAACCCATTCCAAGTCAAGCTTTTTGACGTTTCAATTCGCCGTTTCGCCCTGTGTCTGCACCGTCCGTTCTTCAACAAAGCAAAGGATAGTCCGGAGTACTACTACTCTCGCAAAATCTGTCTTGATTTGTCCGTTATGATCGCTACGCCGGTAGCAGATCTGAGTCAAGGCGAACAAGACGACTGGCTTCGTCTTAGCCACCACAGCGTGGGGTTCTTCAAATCTATATTCCTGCACAGTATCTCCACGGTATATCTGGAGCTTATCTTACAGTTGGAAGACCAGGAGAACTCGATGACTTTCTACCCTGCAAGGAGCAGTATTTCTGCCGAACCCGGGACCTCGCATCCAGTGCTCTCGCCACAACTAGAAATCTACCGAAACATTATTATCAACGCAAAAAAAAGTGCGAGAGAACGAATCCGCAGCGGCGAGACGAACGCCAAGGGCTTTACATGGCTGTGTGCTGCCGTTGCGCGTATCGATGCTTTGGCGAGTAACTCGGACCCCGAAGCCGCCGTTCTATTAGCAGCAAAACATGCGATTGTCGAGACCGAGGAGCTCATGCGTGCGGCTTATCTCGCGGAAAACAATAAGCCCATTGATCTTTCGCAACGTCGGGATGGGATTTCGGGACGAGAACACGGGAGGGGTGAGGGCGCCGACGATATCACGGGCGAACCGGGAGTGGAGTTAGGGAATAGCTGGGATATGGGGTCAGCAGATTTCGATGTGGCACCGGAGAACATGGACTGGGAGAATTTGATGAGGGATGAGTCGTTGGAGATGGGGTGGGGATTTGAGAATAGCCCGGAAAGCTGGTTCGGGATGGGAGTGGATTTTGATATGGGGTTTTGAGATTCCAAAGAGAATCGATCTAATGCGACGACTACAAATCACTGCTTTCATCTGTTCCTTGTCATCTGTAACTAGTCTCCTTCAGGGGTGTGGTACAATCACTTCATTTCAATTAATGCGACGAGTAACCAGGTAGTGAAGGACGCGCTACTGAGTTACGAACATGGAATGAAGTGGAGTGACCAAATTCCGAGGCACTACGAGTACCATGCCTACACAAATCTCCGTCCTCCATCAATCCGTTGACGAAGGATCGTGTAAGTCCTCCAAACCTTCCGCTCGAGTATCCATCTCAAGCAAACAACCCAGACTCCATCTACCCCATACCCATCTAATTCTCCCTATCCCACCTAGCCACAAACTCCCTCATCCCCCTTCTAACTTTCATCTCCTCCCCCCTATCTACAAGCTCAGCCCATCTCAACACCCCCCTACCTTTCCCCTTACGCTTCTTCTTCTTCTCACCCCTTAGAAACTCCGCCAACATCCGCGCCAAGTTTTCCTCGATAAGAAAAAGAGGTACAGTCGCAACGAGCAGTTGATACCGTAGACGGGTGCGCAGAAGAGCTAAGGACGGTAGTGAATCATCGCATTTCTATGCGGCACAAACACTTGGAATTGAGAAATCACACGATGAATAGATACGTGACAGGTGCTGTTCTTTGAGCACATCGATGAGCTTGCTGTATCGTCCGGAATTTATTTCCAAGCCTGGTTTGTTTCCACTCGACACTATCCCGCAATGCCATGAAGAAAGGACTGCATCTAGTGCTAGGAGGGCAGGAAGGGCACACTCAAGATATCGCCAACTATCTCGAGAGTGAGCCGTGCAGCATGTATATCTATTCCATCAACCGATGAAAGTCCTGCAACTTCGATTTCATGGATGTCGGATGAGCTTTCCTGTTTAATATTTGTCAAGTCAAGCTATTGATAGTCTCTCGCAGAATGGCTTTGCTCATGCATCAATGATACGTGCATTATTCAAAACTCTCGGACACCGTGACCCTGCCCGAATCTCAATGCGACATCAGCCACCAAGCTAGTGGTGGTCTTTATAGTTAGTAGAGATCCTGCATCTCTACACCGCACCGGGCTCGCATAACTGTGCCTCAACTTCACAGAAATTCCGTATAGTGTACTCGCCCTGCAGCAGCTCATCTTTGCCTGCTTTGTGGTTAGCTTTAGAATTGTGGGGAAGGAAGAGAGGACGCACCGACCAGTGTCAAAACAGCTTCCCCATGCGGCCATACCTTGCTCTGCCTCGCTGGCTATGTACAGATCGCTATGAATAGTAGCATATGGGCATCCAGAAGATTGAAGTAACCAAAAACAATCCTTTGTAGACTGTCGTTTCTTCCACCTGAAAGCGGGCTTACACATAGTCGACTAGAAAGAAAAAGTCGCAGGTCACCCTATGATTTTATTCAGGGTTTCACAACTATGCATACCGATACATACGTCAGAGTCGACTCTAGAGGGTTACGGTAGGACAAGGCGTTTTCGAAATACTGTGAGGGCCCAATCAAATCTCATGATGATTCACTGCGGAATTTCAGGCCGATTAGCCACAAGTTCCCTCGTAATTCAGATGCAACGCTAGCCTAAATCGAGAAACATTCAGTCCCTCAGGTACCGTTGGCCATCAAATCGTCCAATCATCGCCACCGAATCTCAAAAAACTAGTAGAGAACATGGGTGGGAAGAAATGAGCCGCCCGGACAATTATTTTGAAATGCGACTTAGCGCCCATGGCCTACATGAAAGAGTCCTCCAAGTTACTTCGGATACGGAGTTCACTTGGTGGAGAGATAACGCCTCGCGAAGAAACATCTAGTATTATGATCCTGCCTCAATGCTCCGATGTCGTGTGGGCCCTGCAACAATCAAGCAACAGCTAGAAGAAATGTACTATATGAGTGATTGCTTTACAATAAATTGGATCGACATGTTCCAGTGAGCAGGGCTCAAACTGGATCAAGACTCACCCTCGGTATATCTACGGAGAATAACCGAAGTATTCCAGGGGTTTACTTAAGGTGTTTAAACCTTTGCTTACGCCACATGGGAGGACGCGCTAATTTGTGTATATGCACGCTGGGCCAAGATGTGTAGTTCCTGAATCCTGCGGTCCGTAGGCGGCACAGTTAATATTCGACACGAAAATCGACAAACTCCGAACCAATGATGCATCTGGGTAAAGAACTCAGAATGCTCATGAGGTCTTTCTTTATATAAATATCGTAGATTTGTCTAGCAGATACAACAGCATACTTTCCATTCAACTACTGTTTTCACAGCTGTCTTTTCTTCCACTCGTTTATCCAACCACACATTCGTTTCTTGCGCTATTCTTGATCTTGCATTCTTTCGCATACCACACATTCATTACAAGAGCAGGTCTTGTACAACATGCTTTTGTCTTCCATCAAATTGGCCTTGCTGGCCTCTCTGGCTGCCTTGGGCAGCGCAGAAGACAGTAAATGGTGTGATTTTTACAAGGGCGCCGATGGGGGAGAACCTCCTTTTGCTCCTTCAATGAACGTCGGTTACGGTGGTAAAGACAACAAATGGGGGGATTATGACTGTGCTTCCAGGTGGCAAGAAGGAGACCCTATCATTGGAGTAGAGGCATGGACATCGCGTGCCTCAGTCGAAGCAATCCAGTTTTTCTTTGCCAGTGGTGAAACTACAAGGTTGTACGGTAAAATTCCAACTCCGGGTGGGGAACATGAAGGGTGGCATGAGAAGAAGATTTGGGATGCTGGTTCAAGTGTTGGTTCGTATTACCTATGTCCTTGAACCTTGATAGTTTGTCTTTAGGATGCTAACTGTGTAAACAGAGGTTAGAGTCTTTGGCAACAAAAATCAACTTGGAAGGAAAGGGGACGATGCATTCAAGTCAAACGCCATTGGAAAACTTGAGATATTCCAGAACAACAAAGCTATTTTCAGTATTGAGGCGAAACATTCTCCCGATATGCAACCGGATTACGCTCACTTCAACCAAGGCGCTGGCATCATTATGGGCGTGAGGATTCGCGACAAGGATTGGATCACCAACCTAGATTTCCAAATGCTCAGGTCAAAGGTTCCCAAAAACGGCCTGAAAGTAATCAAGATCGACCCCAAGACGACAATTGAGGAAGCGAACGCGAAGCAAATGGGTGTTGATCAAAAAAGTCTGGCTTCAGTCTACTACGTAAACAACAATAAACCGGGAGGTGCAAACGTCACGTGGAAATTCGGGAATTCAAAAGGGCTGAAGACGTCGCAGGTAGAAACATGGGCGAGGGGGCATACCTTCGGTTTCGGTTTAGAAATGATGGTGGGCGGGGAAGCCGGAATCCCGCTCGTCACCAAGGGCAAGGTCGAAATCACAGCAAAGGCCAATTATGAATATCAGACGACAAAGACTACTTCGACTAATCATGAGGACACTGACACTCTCAGTTGGGACATCAGTAGTGGCACCACGAGCAATATGCTCGAGCCTCAAAAGGTGAGTAGAAATTCCCCGCTTCACTAAGCAAACGCATTATCACATGACAGAGCTTTCACTAACTCGCAAAAGGCTATGCATTGCACTTCGTGGTGCCTGGCCGGAAGATTCGACAGCGATTTCGATAGCGTTATTGAGGCATCAATGGACGACGGCGGCAAATTCCAGTACAGAATGCGCGGCAATATTGTCACTGTGTCCTATACAGAAGCCGTGGCCTCTTGCCGGGAGGTGGACATTAAGTCAGTTCCCAATAATGCTGAGATGGGAGATGTGGAGAATGTCAAGAAGCGCCGCAGTATATCTTACCAAGCCTAAAGATCAGGTTTAGCCGGTATAGGTCTGGCAGCACGGGTGTCTGTTGCCCAGCAATTTCCTTTTTCAGTGCTACTCGGTCAAATTGTATATACATAGTTTCCTTTCCTTCGTTTAGTTCGAAATCCAACTTCTGCCAATCGTTTTAATACATTCTCTCCCAATGACATTTGTATAGCATAGTTTCCGCACTGCGAACATTACTAGCTTGAAAAACTCAAGCTAAAGTCACCTGGTGAATTGCTCCTCTCTCCACGCACAGAATCTTTTGCAAGTCTGGTCAAAGTATCTACGACACAGTATTGCTAAAATAAGAAAAAGTAGAGATCTGAGGTTAACGTTTCATAATAGCCTTGATATGCTTTAGGCAAGGATAGACAAGTTTTTCTTCGTGCACGATTGTTAGTTTTCTACTTCTTATGACTCCAGTCTTTTTTGTAGGAACCTGTGACACTTACACATATATGCGCACAAACCTAGGGTTACGACTTGAGTCACGGTCGAGAACCCACGCTCAAGCCTCTGTTTGTGATTTTAGTGTGCGGTTCTCCAAGCAACCATTCACTTTGTTTGCTCTCTAATTCTCCACAATGCGCTCGAGCTCCTTCACAAATACTTCAGTATATAGTTCTCCTTGTCTAAGAACGTATATTCTCACACTATACTTACGCAATCGTCGCATATTCTTCATTAACCACCCAAGCTTTCAACCTTGCAAGTTGCAACGTAACCTCTTCCACCCTCCTACGAAAAAAAAAGTTTATTCAACTCAGCATGGTCAACCTGTTCCGCTACTTCTCCCGTAGGAAGGAGCGTAAACTCCTACACCTCCGAGCTGTCGCAAACCACATCGGTGGCATGCGCAAGCCTGGCAACTCCAACCCTGATGAGGACATCACCCTCGCCGACGGATGGATCAAGGAGCTCCGCAAGAGCCGCAAGCAGAAGTGTCGCGACACCGAACTTCTCAACATCATGGCTTCACACACTGCCCAGATCGCCGCTCGAGTTCAATCTCGCAAGGACGACTGGGCTACTCCCATCGACTATCATTTCACTCGTATCTGGATCGAGGAATACCTCGGGTCTGATATCAAAGCGTAATCCCTTGCTAAGATGCCTTCGGAACTTGCATAGCTAGGACTCAAAGGATTCGGTCTGGGGATGCTTTGTCGTTTTGTCTTTCTTGACTTTTAGTCCGTTATGGCTCATGGGGGAGCAACGTGTCTTGTGAGTTGGGGATTTCTGGGTGATATGTGTGAATAGAGTCACGTAGCACTGAATGTGTATGAAATTCAACGGATAAAATTAAATTTCGGTATAAACAATGCATTGATACGAGTACTATGTGAAGATTCCAGAAATTCGTATCGTGGACTTCAATTTATACTAATGTTTCTGCAATAAAAATACAAGATGAAAGGTGTGCCTATATCGTCCCCGGAAACGCCCCCGGAAAGATTCTCCGCTTCTCCTGATGTGCATAATAAACGCGAATACCCGATAATCATAGAGACAACGTCAGAGCAGTCCAACCCAGGGTGCACCAATATCTGATCAGGGTTCCAGTAACCGTCATCCTGATGTGTCGACAATATGCACACGCGAGCGACTCATAGTTCATTTCCATACCAGTGACCCTAAATTGCGAGCCCAAACATAAACCTAGCGGCATTGGAATCGTGTGTCCAGAACCACATGCTAGCCATCTTTGCTTGACCGGATAGGAATTGTGCTATTGTATTATCTCCCGTGGTGCGCACCTCTTTCGTGACCTTGAGAATCCATCCGAACCTCTCCAACCTCATCTTTAGTTCCTCATCATCAATCGTATCAGACATCTCGATGGTCACAGCTAGCGGTGTATCATCGCCCTTCATGACTCTGAAACGCGTCTCTCGCGTGTAAGATATCTCTTTAAACATTGAAGAGATCAACCCCAACGTATAGAGTTCGAGGGTACGTCGGTCTGTACCTACACCCACCTGTGGGCGCTGTATCTTGCATCTAACAATGATCAGCCCGATGTCTCATATCCCTCAAAGTTGAACGTACCTTGCTGTTGTAATCGTCTTCAGATTTCGGCAACAATACATGATTTTGTACAATATGCGCGCGTCGGTATCGCAAATGGAAACAGCAGACAGATGAGGTGGTAGATCATCAAGTTTCACCTCAACCAATATTGGGAATCGAATGCGCACATGCCTTATGTAGCTTGCATTAACCATACCAATCTCATCTAGAAATGAAAGGACGGCATCAACGTCGGCTGCGGAGAAGTCGAATGTGTTCTTCGAGTAGAAGAATTCTGCGGCTTCATTATAGGCAAGGCGACTAAACTGAAAAGACAACAGGGGGAGATCGTGCGATACTCGACTCGGAATCTGGATAAATTCGTTTTTGATCAGGGTATGTGTGTAGACATGATCGCGGACCTCTTTGGGGTACCTGGAGAAGTTGGTGGCTTCGGAGGGTGCGTTGATGTCGTTCATTGTAGTAGTTGGCTACAAGAGAATTTGCGCGTGGTACAGAATCAAGAATGCACTAGAATGTAGGGCAAAATGCGTCCCGTCTTCCTCTTCAAACAGCAACAATTTAGAAGCAAAGGTGCTTTACTTTCAATATATAGTAAGCTTGGGGAGAAATTCCTCGTTCTAGCTTACTGACAGCAAACAAATCTTGGATCGGTTTCACCAGGATTTGTAGGCAAATTCGAGACAAAGGGGGCACCGGATGCTAGTTAGAAGCTCAACCTCGCTAGTTTACATGTAGTAACAAAACACTTTTGCGGGATTATGGCTTTTCTCGCACAAGGTTTCGCATTGTTTCAGATAGTTTATTGGAGATGTGTACAATGACCCCCGATGTTCATTCTTTGTCTCCTGTTATCACTTTTTAGTCTATGTCGGAGGAACATACACACTGACTGAGAACCAGCAATTGCCTTCGTTTATCAACCCACCTGAAATATTCATCCTCTGGACACGAGGCTACTTGCCATTACACTTAGCTTGGCGGTTTGAAACCAATCGCGTACTTTGGCATGTCTCACACACGCTTGTTGCACAAACATAGCAATATGCAAGTGTATCGGTATTTTCAAGCAACCCACGGCATTCTCTAGTTTAATATGAATTGACTCTTTCAGGTCCATTCCTATCGTTCTCACCTTCTTCTGGGTTTAAGATATGCTACTTCATCAAATACTGTGATAGCAATATAAGGGATTGAGTAGACCGTTGTTACACAACATTCCAGAAGCATTTTGAATCAAATGCCAATGCCAGAATGAACTATAAATTTATCATTAATGAAATTAGAAGACAGTACGCCAATTAGTACTTTATTGCTGCGATATTACAGTCGTGGCGTAGTACTGACGGCTTTGGCGGGCAACAAAGTCTTGTAATTGTCTATCTAACACTGGCTATCCAGACAGACGTTTATTCACAAACACCGCGAAATCACTAGGCCCAAATATGAAACGCGGTAGCTTTTGCCAATTCCGTATATTTTTCATCGCCCATTGATATACTATTAGCCGACTTTCATGTCCCAGGTCTCACTATCTTGATCTATCGGGTGGGTTGATCATGTTCGCTTTGCCGTGTACGTGGTAACTGTTCAACAATGTTTGTAAAGAAAAATGATATTTTTGATAGCGTACAAATGAAGTGTTTATCGACTCTTAAAGGCACCTGAGCCTTCTTCCCTCCCATCAACTGATGTCATTCATATCCCGTTTCCACTGGCGCTTTACCTCGTCAAGAAGCCTGGGCTCACTGATCACATCTACAGCTGTTCCTGCAAGAGCCTTCGCCACTCTCAGTGACCTTTCAAAAGCATCCTTGGTACCCGATATTTTCTCGAATTCCGGGCTATGCGGCGGTCCTCTGTTCGGGCCTGGAGGTATAGCAAAACTCGCGTTTACACTGGGCAGAGCGTAGCTGATATTCCCCTGGTCTGTACTTGCTTTGACCCAAGTTACCTGACCTTCAGGCGGAATAGGGGGGTCTGGTACACCCGGCATAAGCTTCCAGTACTTTGTATATGATCGGGCTAGAACACGATTTGGCACGTGATCAGCATAACCCTTTATAACTTTGACCTTCTCTTCGGCACCTGTAGCTACAGCTCCTGCTTGAACACACGATAGAACTTTTTCTTGCAGTTCTTGGAGTCGATGAGTACTTGCTGCTCGTATAACGATAGCCCCAGCAGCAAATGCATGTATGATGTTGGGGGCTGCTCCTCCGTTGGTGATGTTCATTCCAATCACATCGCTGGGCATTGTCTGCTGGCGCAGGGCTGAAATCGCATTGTAACATATGACAAGAGCATCGAGTGCGTTGATGCCGAGCCACGGGCTATTTGCAGCATGCGCAGCACGTCCGTGGTACTCAACTTCCAGACGGACGAATGCTGTTGTCCTCACAAAAGGACTGTTGTTGAAGATCCCGGGATGCGAAATCAATGAGATGTCTACACCTTCGAAAGCACCAGCCTCAAGGAGCCGAATTTTCCCACCTCCGGTACCTTCCTCTCCCGGTGTGCCAAAGACGATAACTTTTCCGGTGAGATTACGGCGTTTCATCACTCTAGCTGTTGCCAGGCTAGCAGCAACTGAAGCTATCGCAATGAGGTTATGACCGCATGCGTGACCAAGATTAGGAAGCGCATCTGCAAGCGTCAGCGGTTTTTTGTTCCACATTGGTGCAACTGCCGAAGTACCCATCTCTGCGTTAAAGGAAACGACTGGTCCGGCCTGGCCACTATCGTATGTTGCCACCCAAGCTGTTTCCATTCCATATGCTGAAGATGTGACTTTCCATCCTTCTTGTTTTCGCATAAACTCCGTCAAAGAGTCATGTGCCTTGTACTCCTTAAAAGCAAGCTCGGGGTTCTTGTGAATAAATCGGTTCAGCGGCCACAGAGTTTCGCGGAGCTCTTCTATAAGCATGTCAATGTCCGTTAAAATATTGTCAGCCATGTTCCGATAGTCTAAGTCGGTGAGGTCTTCCTCGCTAGAAACAATGATAAAGTCGTCCACTTCCATGCTGCTGCTGTGCACCGGGGAAGCGTCGATACGTTCGAACTGCCTCAATCACCTAATCACTTTAAATGCAACTATAACTTGACCTCGGGTCATTGGCAAAGTGTATGGGGCATATGGTGCGACAAGACGTCGTCTCTGCATATGCATGCAAGTTTATGTAGATCGCATACTGCCTGTGACCAATTTAATTTGCCGACGGAATACGAGGTCCATGTTCCGGCAGTTGTAAATCCTCCACCTATCCATCTCCACTGCGTTCATCCATCTTATTCAAGAAAACAAAATGGAAAAACATCATGTACAGACAGTTTTCAACTACTGGGACGACCCTGGGGATGGCTCACCTCCGACGCCTATCTATATTGGAAAGGGTAGAATCACGAACGAAAGACCTCACCGCGGCCATGAATTCTTAGTCAACGACATCACTGGCGCAGAAGACACTTATACTCTGGATAGACACGGATTTCAATACTATGTACACCAAAGTCAGGAGAAACTTTTCACCGACGACCAAGCAATTCGCACAGCCTACTACAAGGAATGCGAAGACCTCTTGAAAAATGCCACTGGAGCTTCCCGCGTCCGCATCTTCAATCACAAAGTGCGCAGAGGACCTACACAATGGCATCATCTTGGCTTAAAGAACCTCGCGAACCGCGGCCCGGTAACGAAAACGCACGTCGACCAATCGTATCGTGGAGGAGAACTGAGGATGAGGTGGGAGTTTCCCGAGGAGGCAGATGAAATAGTGAAGAGAAGGTATCAGATCATAAACGTATGGCGACCCATCGAAACGATTCTCAAAGACCCCATCGGAGTGGCAGATGCAGGATCAGTACCGGACAGAGACTTGGTCAGCGCCGTGATGGTCGAAGATGACTTTCACGGGGAGCAATGGGTCGTCCGACATAACCCAGATCATCAGTGGCACTACAAGTATCGCATGACGCCGCAAGACGTGCTTCTGATCAAATGCTTTGATTCCAATGAATCTGTGGCGCGCAGAGCATTGCACTCGGCTTTTGAAGATCCGGCCCACCGCGACAAGGACTCTCGCCAGAGCATCGAGGTCAGGTGTCTCGTCTGTTACGATGATTAGAGATTCCTCCGAACATGCATGGCAAGTGCATTATCATTTTCTTATACATTCCTCAAATGGACGCGCCAAGATGCGGAGGACCAACCAAGCCACTATGTTGTTCCTGTCTTGCAGAATATCGAAGCGGGTGTAGATAGCGAGCAAAGCCAAGATGTGGGGAGCTGTTTGATTGGAGGGGTACAAGTTACAGAATGCTGCGACGCGTCTCAGGTATGCAATGTAGATACCGAGTGGAGGGGTAGAAGCTGATTTTTGCCGTATTGATCGTTTGATATAGTACATATTGAGCGCTTGACCATTTGCTGAACTAGCGCGCTGTTGTATTGCCACGCGGAACTTTTGTATTGTCCACTCAACAACAGGGAAGTCCGGAGCGCATGTGGAAGTAGATTATCACACTTCTCGGGACGATTAGCACGATGTCAGGTGAAGTGGAGACCCCACTTTGGGAGAATGTGAATGCACATCCATTATATACGAGGCATCAAGAGCGGGGAAAGAGATAAACCAGTAAACGCGTAGATAGCAGAAGACAAACAAGTATATAAGATCTTGCTCGTGAAGTATGTCCAAGTAAAAGAAGAGCAAGGGAAACTCAAGTCTCCTCTACAGTCAATTTCCACAGAAACATTTAAATCTCCAAGCAGCATGGCTCCTTCCATCGACATCCCACAGACAGTGGAATGGCAGGGCAAGCAAGTCCCAGTGTGGTCTATGCAGACCATCGATTATGGTCTTATACTCTCACAAGATCCCTCTGAAATCGACAAGGTCACAAAAGCCTGCCTTGAAGATGGATACTTCTATCTCAACCTTCAAAGCATTGATGGCCGCCGAATGCTCAGTGACCAGAAAGACACGCTTTCGCTCATGAAGCGCTTCTTCGATGCCCCCATTGAGGCCAAGAACGAGTACGGACTCATCTCTTCTCACCTCGGGTACGAGCCAGTCGGAAGCCGGACTGGCGCCTTTGGCGCTGGCAGCAAAGACGGCTACGAGATGCTCAAGGTGTCTCGTGATGAGATCCAGCGCGGCAGCCCCAAGGTCCCATCGCCTATCAAGAACAACGGTGACCTTGGCCTCCTTGAGAACGCCATCGGCAGCGCAAACACTATCACAAAGGTCATCCTCTCTGCGCTTTCTACGGGCATGAATCTGACTGGAGCATCTCGGTACGAGAACTCGCACCGCAACGACCGACCCTCCACCACTACGGTATGTCCAAACCCCCTCTCGTTATCTTTTTGCGCAATCAATAGCTGATTGTCACCAACCAGCTCTCCATGATGCATTATCTTCCTTCCTCGGTAACTGGCAACGATAAAGTCGGACACCAAAAACACACAGACATCAGCTCTCTTACGCTCCTCTTTAGCGAGCAATGGGGCCTCCAGATCCGGCCACCAGGGACCTGCGGTGCACGGGAGATGGGTTTCGTGGCGCCGCGAGCCGGCCACGCCTTCGTCCACGTAGGCGACTCGCTTCGTTTTGCGAGCGGCATGAAGTTCCAGTCGTGCATTCACCGTGTAGTGCCCTTTGATCCGTCCGAGCACCGCTACTCTATCGCGTACTTCCTACGCGCTGAGGATGACACCATGTTTGTGGATTCCGAGGGTAGGTACATCACTGCGGGCCAATGGCACGATGAGAAATTCAAGGCGTTCACCGATCCCTGGCAGTGGCAGGCCATGGCACCCGGGTCAATGATCCTGGGCGGCATGAAGGAGGCGGGTGAGGATGACCCTGAGGGTGAACCCGTTGCATTCCAGGTGGAGAAGACTAAGGAGGTTGCTGTTGAGGCCTGAGTGGTGTTATGTCGTTATGATTGTTAGTAGCATCTCATTGATTGACCTTCTGTATATATGCCGAATAGCATTCCTCTCGTTCAAGCGCTTTTCATTTCCTCGTTACACTTCACATACAGCTGTGACGTACAGACGCCGAGAAAGCTGAATCTTCACTTTCCCTGTAGACATCAGACATGAGCCAAAGTTAGCGTCAAAGGCAAATTGAAGTACTGGACATACCAAAGACACGATGATAATAACTGTTCTTCGTCGCACGCAGTTAACACGTAGCAAGAAACCCAAGTAGAGTATGACTTCATAGAACTGCAATCGCTAAAACCGAACACATGGGGGTATCTAGTACATACTGAGTGACAAATAGGATAAGAAGATAATACGTAAAAAAATGAAGAAGGGTATCATTCACACAACGGTAAGCCACCATAAATCCACCTTGGATTCTCATCGTTAATCATCACTGGAAGCTGAGCTCATCTTCGCTCTCGCCTTCTGGCGTAGCATCTTCAACTCTCCACCACTCTCTCGGCGTCTGTGATTTCCTCCCACTACGCCTCCTTTGCACTTTAGAAGAAGGACGACTGTTCGCCCCATCGCTCTCTTCGTCCGAGTCGACTTCAGGTACCTTAATGATCTTTCTCCCCGTTCGAACTGCGAGAAGCGTGGACGTACATAAGCCAAGGTCGATATATGAAGAAGGATAGGGGGCAGATCGTTTTCGAACCCGCGTAGAACAGCGTCCGTCGAGAACAGCATCCAGGTCATGCACTTCTTTATATGATTTACGTTCCTGTACCCGCAGACCCTTTTCGAGAGACGTTCGTGAACGACGAGAGTGTGACTTGGCGGGCTCGGTCGTTGAGGTACGGGCTTCAGTTCTGATTCTGCGCGACCTGCGCACCCCATTATCATCCTCACTCGCGCTGTCAGGTAGCTCGGGATAGAAGGTGCACGGGCTGTCTGGTGGCGTAAGCATTGAGCGTTTGCTCGAGATGAGAACAACGGGCGAAGTGGCGCGTTTTCGCTTGCCTAAGGATGGAGCTGAAACATCGCAACGCCTATTAACTGGGGACGACTGAGGAAATGTGAAGTCTTCATCCTCGTCATACATGATCTCTTGGTTGCCAGTAGCTATCGGCAACCCCTCCGGGTCTGTGTCGTTATCTTGCGACCAGTCGGGTGACGGAAGAAGTTCAAGAGAGCGGATTGGCTTTCGCGGTACAGGCTTGATGTCTTGCTTCGCGAAAGGTGTGCATACTACCCATTCCCCAATGCCCTCCTCCCAGCGAAATCCACCTCGGGAGGTTGGGGAATCATCTTTTTGTGGAGACTGAGAGATGACAACGTGACCTTTTGTGCGCATCGTGTTCTCAATCTTGAGTGCATATGCCATATGCCGGCCGTCACTGGTGCTATGTGCGAATTCCAGAGCCGACTCCAGAGCCAAACGTTTGAAAGTCCATAGTTTGTGTGGCAAACGAATACCAGAAATAGAAAGCATTCGGTGTACCGTCCGTTGGATCTGATCGAAACCATCGTCCTTCCAAATCTTACCCGTGGCTCTCGCCGTGGAAGAAGTGAATTCAGGGAGAGTAGAGAGTGCAGACGAGATGTCCACCGAGTAGGAAGCATATTGTGAAACGATCCAGCACATTGCTTTGGCGATGACCGGAATATCTAGCATTACCAAGGAAGAATTGATCTGGCGGTCTTCTAGATGCATGAGAAAAGAAGAGAAGACGGCCCATATTGCTCTTTCAGCAAACGTTTGCGTGTAATTCATTACAGAGCTTAGCAAATTCATGTCCCGGTGAAAATCGCTGCGTTTGAGCAGCCCGACCACAAGTGAATCGAGCACCCAGATAACTCGTCGGGAAATAGCATCGCCTGCACCTTCATCGCGATTTTGATTGACCAGAGCAATGCTGCAGAAGATTGTGAATATACTCAAGTAGGTGGTGTCTAAAGCTTTGCGAAACTCATGGCGCGTGGAGAGCTTGAACTGTCTTGGGAGATTCTCAAGTTCTCTATCAACCTGATTATCATCACCGAGGCCGACGCCGGCGGAGACTACTACTTCTAGTAGTCGGAAAGCATTATCGACCGAACGTGAATCGCCATCGCTCAGAGTACGCACTAAGCGATCCCACACCGGTCGCATGCACTCGGTTGCGAGCCATTCCAGTGGTAGAAGTTCCTGTGAGATCATGTAGGTCATGAGATCGTAAAGAAACCTGTGTCGACCAGTGCGACCCACGAAGTTCTTGCACATCCAAAAGTATAATTTGTCGTCACTGAAAAGATTGGCAGAAAGCGTGTTCGGCATCGGGATGGTATTTAAATTCGGCAGGTAGGACCAGAGGAGCTGTTCAGCCTCGTTCCAGGCTGAAGAATTCAAGCAGTGGGTGACAAGTATTTGCAAGGTTTCCAGGTTGAGCATCTGGTCCGTAACCGCATCGCACACCAAAGAAGTCCCGTGAGCGCGCACCACTTGCTTGAAAGCTCGCCAGCCTTGTCCGGATACTGATTCAAATTGCTCCTCGAGATACGTGAAAGTCTCGTGAGCGTGGTCGCGATCCTCGTCGTCGTCGTCTTCTTCCTTGTCAAGTTCCGCAAAATGCTCTTCAAGCTCAATGTAATCAGGAATTTTTCGAAGACAAGAGCTGAACAGAGACCTTGTGCCCTTCCATCTCTTCTCTCCCTCCATTTCTGTAGCCATGAGTAGATTCGCATACGCTTCTGAAAGACCATTCACCAGATTTCCAATGTTTATAGGCAGTCGTTTCTTGAGCTCCTGTATCTGCTCCAACTTCGCGTTGAGTGGGCCTTTTATTTTTGAGTGTTTTCTAGCAGGCGAAGGCTCCGCTTGCGGGCTATCCTCAACACCGCGTACTACGCGAGTGATCAAGGGTGTGAACGAGAGCTCGCCGGGACGTGAGTTGCGACCATTTTCACCCCCTCTCCGCGCAATGTTTGTCTTCTTTGCTCCGCGAGCACCATAAGTTTTCCTAGTCGCACCAGAGGATCCCGCGACCGGCATCCAGTCTGGATCCTTGCGTTTCTCGAATACGTGGGGCTTATAAGTCGTCGACGAAGATTGCGAGAAAAGCAAGGCTTTTCGCGGGGATGCTTTTAGGGCGAATGCATTTGCGGAAGTTCGGCGATCACCGTTTGAGCTCCGTGGTCGTTCGAGTTCTTTACGAAGTTTGCGGAGTTTGGATGAAAGCGGTCGGAGAAGGCGGTTGCAACGCGTGGTATTCCATGGTAGGTCATCGTTGATGGACATTTTGAGGTATTTATATTGACTTAAAACATGAGTAATACGGATGAGCAGCTCTGAGGAGAGTCGAAAAATGTGGTGCTGAGAGTTGAGTAAGATGGGTGTCAATGTTTATCGAATTGATGAAGAGCCGGACCTCTTGTTTATCAACATCGGCAAGTCGGAGTTACAGGGGCAAGGTTGTTCTAGCCGCTTTCGGGTGAATATCACATGATTCATCTCAACCATCAATCAATTGATTGATGTACATGCACATGTGGGCAAGTGTCGAGGCGCAATACTACATCGACGCCAAATATGTTTCGCTGTTGGAATCTACAACTCACATATTACATGGAGTCTAGATTGAGAGAGATATTTCTTTTCATGGTTTATCGCTATATGCACTGTCTTGTGATTAATGACACACAAGTTCCACCTCTAAATAACTGGCGAATCCATTGATAACCTCAGAAATACCTAGGTACAATTATATGGCAGTGCACATGCACGTAAGCACACGGTCGTCGAAAAAAGCCTCTAGTCGCCGTCAGAATGTTTGAGTTACTGTGCACGTCCAGCACTTAAAAATCAAAGGATAGCTGGAGCGAAAACTGTAAGCGTTAAGGAGTTGCTTCGTAAGAGCAAACCAAAATACAACAACCCATAAAACCTAGGCCACACCAAACCAAAGGAAAATTCGACATTTGACGAGGGAAATGAGCAGATCTCGTGTATAGCTCTTGCGCGTAGAACGACACACACCCACATATATGTGTATTCAAATCAACCATGTATTGTAAAGAATTCCAAGTGCTACATCGGGTATTGCATCCCTGGCCTCTGGTGCTGAAAGCAAAACTCCTTTTTTTGAACATTATTGTACTCGCCTACTTTTTGTCAAATCATTTTTATTATCATTTTTAAGTGTAGGATTCACTGTAACTTCCAATCAAAAAAAACCCCCCCAAGTGCTACATGTCAGTGCAGCAAAATACATTCACTCCTACGTAAACCAGTGACTCGATGACATGTGCACAAGATGGATGAGATCTTAATTGCCATGAGTAAGTTGGATTGGGTAAGCGAAGCTCGTAGTACGCTTAGCTTCCCACGATCTTGAAATTTTATCAGATGAACAAGCGGTGAAGCAGAGGAATATGCAGAGCACACAAAATTGGAATATAAGTTATTAAATTCATTTTCGTCTCAACTACAGTCAAAGAAGTACAAAGACTTGACAAGGGGATGTGGTTTAGTGGTATAATACTCCCTTAGCAATCAATCCAATTGGTTCTAAGTTTGGGAGTGGTCCAGGGTTCGATTCCCTGCATCTCCATCTTTTTTTTTGCCAGGGTGTCATGATCCTCTTGCCCTTGACGTACTTTTTTGGTGGTGTCGGGAGGTTGTTGAACTACGCGGTCAATTGGAGATCGCATTTGACGATGTGTGGTGGGCAAGAGTAAACCCTGCAGTCTCCACTATTTTCTGCCAGAAAAAGATTATCCTTGAAATTTGTCTGCTTTTTATCGTTGAAGATAAGTGCATTATCTGCTTTAAGAGCAGTAATGTAGCTGTAGATCCTTATTGTAGTCAATTAATAAAATAGCTTGTAGATGCTAAGGGGGTGTGGTGCCAGCGTATAATGCTCCCGTAGCTTATTCCTCGGCATTTTCTGCAACATTGCTCTAACCGCTATGTTTTTACATTTTCCAGGCTTTCTCTCTCTTTGCCCGCTCTGAAATAGTGAGGATAGTCTTAGGGGTCTATCAGGTGTTATTTACTTGAATGCGAATCGCTAGAAGGGTTGGCCTAAATTGAATGAGAAACGGCAACAACTACATGTTTATAGACAGTAAAATCTTTTGTCTCAAAAGCTTGAGTGAAGGCAAAATTCGTTTGTTCTTTTGGTAATCGCTCGTTATTTTGAATATTCCTTGTTGTAACCCATCGCTGTGTGTAGGATCACCTAAACTCCCACTCAAAAAATAGAAAATAGACAGAAATATGCATGCACACTAGAACTGCTGACACTATACTAAATACGATGATTAAATTGATGGTAGCTCTCATACTTCTGTGGCAATAAGCAAGAGAAAATTGATATTATTGTATGAGGCCTTCATCCACTCTGCTCGCCAAACATACCTTTAAAACTTCGCCGTCAGGGTACTTACGGATTCAGAGGTGATATATAGATGAATATTGAGCACATGCTGATAGGATGAAAAGAGAAGGGCACGGTATCATCATTAGCTTTAAAAATTTGGTACAACAGCGAGTGAAAATACCGGGATCGAAAGAGACGCAGTGATGTGAACTGTAAAAGGTATACTTGGACGGCGAGTACCATTTGCCAAAGAGGAAAGAGCGTTATGGAGACAGACACGTGGTAAATGTGACCAAGTAAGGCAGGCACAACAACAAGCGTTGTTGATAAAAGGCAGGCAACAGACCCCACCAGCGTCCACCACACCAACAACAACAAGGCATCAGCTGCAAACAGCTTCATACACCATCTCCTGGATCCCGTCTCATTATATCCGTCGATCGCCTCGGCACCCAACTACCACAATGGCTACTGGCGAGACAGCCACGGCCAAGAGGAGGAACCGCCGAAAGAAAAAAAAATCAGCGAGAAGAACTCGACAGACTAGAGGCAGAGGGTACTCCCGAACTCTACTCAGACCGACTGATCAAACGAGCCGCAATTCCCGAGCTCTACCCAGACCGACTGACGGAGCGAACCGCGACCCTGGATGATCGGCCAAAACGAGACTACTGGCCTGAAGTCAGGGCCGCAAGGGATCACTACTCGCCCGATCGCCATCTTGACAGCCGCAGAACAACGCGAAAAACACCTCACATTGCCGTGAATTAGCCTGAGCAGTCGGGTCGATCGATCTCGTCGGGCAATGCTGGAGTTAAGCGGCGTCGCGACTCCTCTAGATCCCTATCACCTGTCTCTGATGTCTCTTTGAATGTTGGCCAGGATAGACCGATTCCGACTAAACGTGTACGAGAGGTTTCCAACAATATGGTGGAGCACGTTCGAAGCTCCGGGATCCCACCATCACTAAAGGTTCAAAGTGACCGCTCGAACAAGAAGCTGATCTCAAGTCCTTCTTCTGCAAATGACCGCTCAAGCAAGACGCTCGCAACAAGTTCTTCTGTGAGGCAAGAGAGCAGAGATGAGGAAGGCGGTTCGGATGAACAACACAGCAATCAGCAAAGTCCTGAGTAATAGATACCCGGACAACCTGCTTGTCACCCCGCCCACTTGGAAGATGCTGACTATGTCACCGCAATATAGATACCACGAAGGTTGGCTCGCCGGGTATACGGTCGGCTACAAAAACGGCCTGGCTCAGAAGCAGGCCGTTCCTGATAGAACTGGTGTCTGAACAATAGAAGACACCCTCGATATCGTAGGGATAAGCGCCACACGGTATGCATTCATCAAGGACACGAATATCAAGGGATAAGTGGTATATTACCACCTACATATCGATACTCTACCCTACACTGGAAGGACCATTTCCGACTCGCCAGCACTGGGAAAACGCCCCTTTTACCGCCAGACAAGCCCAGAAAGATGAATTTTTGATAGGTAAAGCTTTTATGCCCTTCCCTTTTACCCAGAATTTTCCTCCCATTGAAACATTTGATTTAGGCGAACCCCGCAGCCGAGTAGGAGAAAAGGGAGAGGGAAATTGCGCATGTGGAAAGGAAAGGGGGAGAAAAGCTCTCTGTGAAGGATAACTCTTCACTGCTGTCAGTTTGCTCTTCAGCTAGAGCAGTGAAAAAAGGAGAAGCAACCCGGTATTGGGAGTAGAGAGAATGTTTCAAAGCATCAAAATCATTTCATCATTTTACACTTGCTTCTCGTTTGCTTGCATGGAACAGTGAAGCCAAGAACCGTGACGCCTATTTTACACAGGTCGTGCTGGGTGCTCGCTCATGTCTGTTGATGCCCATTGGGATCTCGAGAGGGCTCTCATGCGCCGATGTCCTCAGCTCGTGGTTTATACATGATGGTTGTGAGAAACTGCGGTTCTGTTAGATGATCCCTGTGTCACAAATGCTTTGGAGAGGTGAAGTCTACCTTTTGTTTGTACCGTGTGGTCGCGCTGGTAGCAAGAATGTTATCCTTGATACTGCTCGTCGCCAAATGGTTCAAGACCGTGTGATTCGGCATGATCAAAACACTGCTGTCGTCCTTCATGGGCGTGACACCATTCAAGATGCTCTTGTTGAGAAACATGGGAAGGGATGGCGGATTGGGCAGCACGCCAGCGGCCGCATTAGCCCGTGCAAATTTCCGCGATTCTTCAGCGGCATCGAGGTCGATCAAATAGCGCGGAATCTCCGAGTGGTACTTTTTGGGCGATGGAGGCAGCACTTTTGGCTTGGGTTCTGGGAGAGGTGCTTGCTGCGGCGGGACATCGGTGGGCGTTGATTGTGCCACCTGAGACGGGCGGTAGCCGTCGGAAGGGCGCGGCTGTTGGGCGGGAATGGGCTCAGTCTTCTTTTCTGACGCATCTTCCGCTTCCCGAGTTTTCACATCCTCCCGCACGACTTCGATGTAGTTGACGAGGATGTTGGTGTAATCTACGGCGGTTGGGAGTTTGTCGGACGTTCGCATATCGTTGTCAACGATGAACATGAGATGGTGGGTGCCGGGCGTGATATGGACGTGGGCGGATAAAGCATTTTTCTTTTTGCTCGGGCCACTATGCAGAAAGTAAAAGTCAGTTATTGTCGGTGTGCAGTGTAACATTCAACATCAGGCAGAAGAGCAATGTGGAGTTTGAAAGCTGCAAGGCCGAGTCGATCAGGCTGAAATGATTGATCGGGTTTCGGACGGGTTGGTTGCATGAAACAACAGCCACACGGATAGGCGCAGCAGCATGGATCAAGGATGGTGGACATAGCAAACTTTTTGAACTTACTCTGCATGCAGCCTGTACTTGCGATCCCAGCCTGCAAATGTGCCCGTGACGTAGACGCGCTCGCCGGGGCCTTCCCATTCGATGATGGTGGGCACGGTTTCCTTGCCCTGGGAGCCTCTGAATTCGTCAAGCGGCTCATCATCATCGATGGTGGTACTGCTGAGCATGGAAGAACGACGTGGAAGGGCGCCTTCAATCTCGCCATGATCGATGGGGCTCGTGAGATCTATAGGAGCGATGATGGGAGAGCCTGGCGTGTGCGTCTCCTCTTCAATTGGCAGTGGCAGGCGGGGAGGGCGACTGTAGTGGGACGAAGGCACAATGAAACCTTCCTGCGAGGCGTCGGCGGGTTCCAGCGAAGATGCAGCATCGGTGCGGCTGGCAGTGACTTCTTCACGGGGAGCTGCAGGTACGTCGACAGGCCGAGTCTGGGGGGACGGGGCACGAATGTCTCTCTCTTCGGCCGGCTTTGGCTTCGGCGGGGTGAGGGAGGTGGGGTGTGGCTGCGACGACTGAGGGTGGGCGTGGGATTTGTCGGCGGTCGAGGGGTGTGCCTTTTGGCGGCTCTGCTCGTTGCCCATTTTGTCTTCAAAGGAGGGCGACTTGAGGGAATCGTGGGCGGCAGCGCGCAGGTGGTGTGCGACGACGGCGGTGGTGCTGGATGTAGTATGGGAGCGAGCGCGGCTGCGCGGACGCAGTGATGATGCGCTCTCGAGAGAAGCCGACGGTGGGGCCGCACTGGCTTTGGAGCTCAGGGCCTGTATCGACTCACGGCGGCGCGGGTTGGGATGGGCGAACGGGCGGTGGTCATGATGGCTGCTGATGCTGCTGCTATTGCTTGGTCCCGACGATGTCACGTTGGCCGGTGACTGCGGGCTGCTGCTGTTGGTGGGGGTGGACGGATGAGAGCGGGACGGTTGATTGCCCATTTGTCCAAGTGCCTGCGGCTTTCGGGATATGTGGAAGACGGGGTTTCTGAGTCCATGAAAGAGAGACGGCAACAATCCCCGGCGACAGATAGGTAGGAGGACGATGTCTCGACAAGAGTTGGGCTGGCGGGACACGAACGAAACGAGCGAGCGACAGCCTGCAGATGGATGGGTGAATGGGTTGTTCCCCAGACCACACTAATTCTCCATGCTTGAGCACGGGCCACTCTGGTGAATGCATGCATCGTATCGTGCTCATCCATCTCTATCGAGCCCGGCAGGGACAACCACTGCACACAGGCTAGCACGTACTTTTTCTTGTTTGCTTGTTTGTTTCAATCGAGTATTGTCGGTCGAGTCCTCCGGTCCCGCCATGGCCGACTACCGCACCGTCCTATCCAACATCGTATACGTCCTCTGGTGGCCCACCGATAGGATCATTCGCGCCATCAAATACACCCTTTCACCGTTCTGGACTCTCATCACATTCGTCTTCCTCCCTGTCACCTATCTCGTGCAGACCGTCCTCAGCATAGTCTTGTTTCCTTTCCGGGTAGATGTGTTGGAGCGCGTCGAGGTACTATTCCCCTCCCCGAATCCTTGCATCCATCCGATTTGCACTCGCCTGACAAGATTACTCGCTCCACCCAACCCCCTAGCAAGGAAAAAAAAAAATTTAAGACCACAAAGACTATGTGCAGAACATGCTGACGGGAACGAACAGACAATCTACATCTGGCTGGGCGTGGCCGCTCTTGTGGGTTGCATCACGGGGGGAGTACTTTATTTGATCTACCGCGGCCTCACATCTGCGCTCAATATTGATGCCTCTGCTGCAGCGGAACCAAAGAAGGCAGCACCCAGGGGGAAGACGATAGAACAGTTTCGGGCAGCCAGGCGCGAGAAGCGTGGAGCGGAGTTTGATGGATCTTCCAGCTCGACAACCTTGAGATCCAAGCCAGCGCGCCGGCGAGGTATATCGTCATCGTCGTATGCCATCATGGAAGAAGAGTCTGAATTTTGACGTGATGACTGTACATTATACATACCCATCATTGAGAGAGCTTGAATGGCGTAAGCTCGCACACGCATGCGTCGGTCGCAGCCTCGTACAACGGCACGTACAATCATCAGTGATAGGATCAGATGGGCGATAGCGTAGTCGGAGCCGACGTCATCATGGGAAGGTTGGCAAATGGCAAGGCGGCAGACAGCAAAGCGGGATATAGCGAAGGCTGGGCTTACAGCGATAGAAGTAAGAAGAGGGCGAAGCGAACTGCAAGTCATCGTCACGGGCGACCTAAAATATAGCTAGGTGGGCGCAGCAGTGATGGCCATGACCAGATACATAGCTAGATACGCGGCGATGGCTGACTAGATAGTACATGGGAACGATGCAGCCCTTTCTTAGAGCTTGAAGGCCAGACAGACATGATTGCAAAGAATGTGGTCGGAGAGAAGACAATGTCGATGCATCGTGAAGCGGGCGGCAAGTAGGGACCATGAATCGACGGGCCTGTCAGAATTCCGTGGGCGGCGGGCCCTCGGACGGTACACTATTTGTCTAGCAGGCGCAAAATGGGGCCAAGCTTTGCAAAAGGGCCAGGGGCCAGGGTCCACGCGCGCACCTCCCGCACTGATCCCAATCTCCTTTGCGGCTGTCAGTGCACAGCCGCCCAGCAAAAGCACCAAGCTTAGGCCTTCTCTGTGCCGTCCGTCGTCGTCCACAGTACTTGACTGTCTCTCCTTCTCGGCCTTTTTCTTCTCTCCCGCGTGCCTCCAATACCTCCGACGCTTCCGCTGCCGTTGCATATACCGCTCGAGTCGCCCGGTACGCCTTTCAGTCTCTCACCACCTGCTTGATTGCGCCTGCCTCGCCCGCACCTACGCCCGCCAGCCTCGCACCCGCCTCGCCCCCCTTCTCCTTGCTGGAGAAAGAAAAAGACTTGCGGAGGTGTAGAGAGCCCGCAAGACACACGCCAACATGCGCCGAAGCGTCACCATATTTCTCGTCTTCACCGTCTTCCTCCTCGGCTTCGCCCTACACAATGTTTGGACCCTCCTCAGCCTGCTAGTTGTCACTGGCCGTGAGGATCAGATCTCGCGCGCCGAGCTGCCTGCCCCGAATTCCGACTCCATCAGTGAAAAACCCCAGTTGATTCCCAAGATCATACACCAGACCTATATCAACGAGAGTATTCCTGCCCACTGGAAAGGCCCCCAGCAGACCTGTCTGGACCTGCATCCCGACTACGAGTACAAGCTCTGGACCGACAAGAAATCCCGCGAGTTCATTGCCGCTGAGTGAGTGTCCACACTTTTTGTTTATCAGTCACCCATCTCTAACGGACACTAGGTATCCTTGGTTTCTGGAAACATTCGACGGCTATCCGTACCCCATCCAGCGTGCCGATGCCATACGCTACTTTGTGCTCCACCACTTTGGTGGTATCTATATCGACCTGGACGATGTACGTAGTTCCAACTTCTTCCCACAAACATAGCGCTGACTGTCAACTAGGGATGCAACCGCAGCCTCGACCCACTTCTAGCCTACCCAGCCTGGGTGCGTCGCACTAACCCAACCGGTATCTCCAACGACGCCATGGGCTCAGTTCCTCGCCACCCGTTCTTCCTCAAGGCTATTGATTCATTGCCGGAATATAACCGCCGCTGGGTGCTACCCTACATCACCGTCATGGGCTCGACCGGTCCTCTTTTCCTCAGTTTGATCTGGCGACACTACAACAACGCAGGGCCCCAGGACATGGACCGCGTGCGCATCCTATTCCCGGACGAATACAACAACCACACTTGGAGTTTCTTCACCCACCACCTTGGAAATAGCTGGCACAACAACGATGTCAAGTTCATATTCTGGTTGGAACGCCACTGGGTTCTCATCACGATCGTCGGCTTCGTCGTCGGCCTCACGTTACTATGGTGTATTTACTCCAACTTCATCCTGCCAAGGCAATCGAGTCCAGGGCCAAGGATACGTTTCCCCTACGCCAGAAGGTTACCCTTTTACCGCCGTATAAGCAGCAAGGATATCCCGCTGGATGACAGGCATGAGGTGTAATCGCTTCTCATTTGCTCTTTCTTCTCGGTCGATCTTGTTTAATGAACCACGTCTTGTAATATCATCGTTGCTTGCATTTCCGGGCGCCGTCACGTTCGCTATCATTACTATTCTTTATTCCCCGGCTTTTGCTCAATTTTTAGATATACATTTCGGAGGCGGGGTGGGGCAGGCGGGCTTGAAGTCTATAGTCTACCTCCCTTGCACTGATCTTTTAATTCTTTTCATATCTTTATATACGTGGAGAGTATAGTGCACGGCGGTAGAGCATTTTCTGGAGTAAGTTTAGTTGCTTTTTTGGAGGATTGAGAAAGGAAATAAGTCAGTGCCCTGGAGGGGGGCCAGACAGCAAATAGGGTAGCAAGATGACAGCTGTTGTGAGACAAAGCGACGCCTTCATGTCGGTCTCCTACAAGCAGCTGTTATGTAATAAATCAGTCGAAGACAGTTCCGCCTCTTGCTTCTGTAACTGTGATTGACACATTATTATTGAGAGAAGTGGGCGAGCTGAACGTGACTCTGATGACACACCTTCTGGCCGGTTCTGCTGCGCACTGGATTTTCTCATATTGGTTCTCCACGTGCGTATATGTACATGCACATGTGTACATGTACAAGTATGTATGCGTGTGGAGCAAGCATACAGTCAACTGGTGGTACCTGCGTCTATCCATATGGTGTTTCCGAAATCTTGGTACACGCCGCGCGGCAAGTGATGTATCCGTTGACATCCGATCAAAAACAGAACAGAACAGGTAAGAACGTTACCCCAACTACCAAAAGCTGTGCAGGTCACCCCCGGGGCCCTTGACCATAGGCACGTGCATGGAGTCAGCCACCTCTTTCTCCAAATCAGAGCCAAGTCCCATCAAAGAAGGAATCGATATTTACCAATTCGGGGGGTATCAAAAACATGTTTTCTCGCTAGAAGGAAGGGAAACAGAGAGAAACAAAATGGAAAAAAAGGTCTCTCCTTTCTTTTGGTGTGATTTCCCCCCCCCTTTTCAGTCATCTCTCCATCCAACATAGACCTCGTCAGTGCGAAACCGCTGCGTACACCAGCTATCCTCCAATTCCGTCACCACCCCGGTCCCCCACTCCAACAACCCCGCATGCGCAATCATGATGCCATTATCGATGCAGAACCGCTCGTCGGTCGCGAACACGCTGCCTCCTCGATCCCGTGCCATCAATCCCATCATCTCCTGCAATCTCGCATTCGAGCCCACTCCTCCCACAACCAGAACCTGCTTCGCGCCAACATGCGCCATGGCGCGTTCCGTGATTTCAACGAGCATCGCATAGATCGTTTCCTGCAGCGAAAAGCACAAATCCTCTCGACTCACCACCTCGCCGCTCTCAGTCTTCAACCTCTTCTCAACCGGCAGTTTCTCGTCGACACCTTTGGCCAGCAGCTCCGCGGCAGCGAGGATACCGGAGAAGCTAACGTCCATGCCTTTGACCGCGTACGGGATATCGACGAGATGTTTGCCGCGCTTCGCGAGCTGCTCGACGTTGTAGCCGGGGAATGGGTCGTTTGGGATCATGAGGGCGCGGGCGAAGCGGTCGATGCAGTTGCCGATGGCCATGTCGAGGGTTTCGCCGAAGATGCGGTAGCGGTTCGACGAGTAGGCTATCACTTGCGTGTTCCCGCCTGAGACGTAGAGGACTACGGGGTTGGATGCGCCGGTTATCGCGCGGCCCATTTCGATGTCTGTCTCCCATCGCTTATGTTTAGTATATTGATCCAAAAAGAGAATTAAATATATGTATATATTTTGGGCGTACGCGAGGGAGAGAGGGAAGACACTTACGTCCAACACAGTGATTGACACCAACAAGTGGTTTCCCCCACAGCAACGCGACTGTTCTTGCTGCCAGCGCCACACTCTGCAGCGGTGCAAACATGCCCGGCCCTTTGGTGTAACATATGCAGTCGACATCTTCAATCTTGATCCCAGCCTGCTTGACAGCTTGCTTGATGAGTCGAACGACCCATGCGCGGTGATGGATCGCCGTTTCTTTGGGGAGAAAGCCCTCGCCCGGCGGGGAGTTGTATGTGTGACGCAGGTTTGCGAGGACGAGGGGGGGTTTGGAGGGGTGCGGGTGCGATATTATGCCTATGCCTATCTTGTTGGCGCTGCCTTCTAATCCTATTGCCAGCATTGTTGTGGTTCTGGTCGTCTAGTGATTAACTATATGGGAGGTTTGGAGGAATTGGAGGGCCGGTTTGGTTGGTATGATGGGTGGACTGCTTTTTGTGGGTGTGTTTGGTTAGGGTTTGGAGGGGTGAGGTTGATGGTGGCTATCGATAAGGAAATTTCCCTGAGTCTTCCTGTAGGGCTGATGGTCGATGAAGATGAGATTGGAACTGAGTTCGGATATGTAACATGTGATGCGATGCTCTCTTCTTGATACCATAGGTTGAATCTGATTTCTTACGCCTGTCAAATCTTTTTCGGCTACTCGACAGTCAAGTGCTCGGTCATACTCAAAGAGTGAAGCATTGCTGAATTCTCCGTATGACCTACAGTCCCACCGGTGCGGTCCACTTCAACTGGCCAATCAGTGCCGCTCGGCTCTCTACTTGACCGCCAAAGATCCTCCACGACCAGAATTCCAACATCAAAGCCGTCATTTTCTGTTCAATCGGTTTTTCGTCCTCCCAAACGTTGCTCAAATGGATCCCTTTGACGAGGCCAGCCATGCCTTTTTGGCGTGGCTTCGGAATACTGGTGCTGAAGTCAGCAACAAGATCGAGCTCAAAGATTTGCGCAACATGCAAGCTGGGCGCGGCGTCGGTACGTCTGCGTTTGTCATCTCCCCTTCTCCTCTTTCTGGGATTTTAGATGGACCAGTACTCTTACCCCTCAAACCAAACACCTTCACATACTCATCACAATCTCCAACGCTCGGCCCCACGACAATCTTCATACGCTATATGGAAGAAAGTAAATACTGATATAATCCTCAGTTGCAACCCAGGATATCCATGAGGATGAAGTCCTTTTCCGCATTCCCCGCTCCGCCCTCCTCACCGTCGACAACTCGATCCTCGCCTCTGAAATCCCGAAAGCTACTTTCGATCACCTCGGTCCATGGCTCTCTCTGATCTTGGTCATGCTCTACGAGCATGTCAACGGCAACACCTCCAACTGGGCTCCCTACTTCAACATCCTCCCCTCAGAACTCAACACGCTCATGTTCTGGGAGGCCGACGAGCTCGCCGAGCTCCAGGGAAGCATGGTCCTGCAGAAGATTGGCCGAGCAAGCGCAGACGAGCAATTCACGAGGGAGCTTGTTCCGGTGATTCGCGAGTTCGCGGGGGTATTCTTTTCCGGGGACGAGAGGGCTCAGGAGAAAGCCGAGCAGATGGGCGATGCCCAGCATCTGATGCTCATGCACAAAATGGCCTCGCTCATCATGGCGTACGCTTTCGACGTCGAGCCTGCAAACTCTAGCAAAATCGCAGACGAAGACGGATATGTTTCCGAGGACGAGGACGCTGCGCTGCCGAAAGGCATGGTACCTATGGCCGACATGCTGAATGCAGATGCGGATCGTAATAATGTGCGAATTCCCCTCCTCTCTCTCTTCACACAGTCTTTCCAAAAATTGACAAACAATCAAAACAGGCTCTCCTTTTCTACGAAGAAGACTTCCTCAGCATGAAGGCAACCGTCCCCATTAAAGCCGGCAACGAGATCTTCAACGATTACGGGCCCCTCCCCCGCAGCGACCTCCTCCGTCGATACGGCTACGTCACAGACAACTACGCGCAATACGACGTCGTGGAACTCTCCTTCGACCTCGTCTCCGCCCTCGCTACACAGCACAACATCTTCGAGCAAGCTCGCTTAGAATATCTCGATGAGCAGGGCGTCGTAGACACGGGCTACGACATCTGCGCCAGCGACCCTTACACGATCCAGGAAAGCATGTCCCCCGAGCTCATCGTGCTCCTCGAGACACTGTTGCTACCCGCCGACGAGTTCGAGCATCTCGCGCGCAAGGGGAAATTGCCCAAGCCGGAGAAGATGGGTGCTAAAGCTGCGGAGATGTTGCTGCAGTTGGTCAAGGCGAGGACGGCACAGTATGCGACTACTCTGGAAGAAGACGTGGGTTCCGCCTCCGATGTGAACATGGAGGGTGAAGAGTCGTTGAAGGAGAGGCGATTCGCTATGGCTAGGGCAGTGCGGATTGGTGAGAAAGAGTTGTTGAGGAAAGCGGAACTTGCGCTGGAGCAATTCATTCGAGATAAGAATACTGACAGCGGTGCGAACAAGAGACAGGCGTTTGAAGAGGAGGATAGACCGGGTAAGAAGCAAAGGTCGTGATGCCGACAGTTGCATGAGAATTCTTCAGCTGGCATACACTCCAGGTATACTATTGTTGAGAGTGCAGACTCATTTTCTGGGGTATGTTCAATTTTTTTTTCTATTCGTTTTGCCTTTCCTATCTAACTGGACAGCGTACCTGATGATCGGATATTGCTGAACGCCTCCGAAGACTACCCGCTGATTCCTCCCTATCCAGACCGCGCTCCGTTCTCACCGTTCACAAGCTTAGGGCTATTGTACATATTGAAAAACCCCGGAAAAATTCAAATCCCTCCCTTCACGCCTCGCTGAACACGCAATTGAGAAATAAAAACAAACATTGGGGGTATAATCTTCCACTTTCCTGAACCCAGAGGTTCGTCTCTTCCGTTAAAAGAAAGCCAGTTACCCGGCTTTTGGGGTGCCGCCGGGGGGCAGCAAATGCCCTGACACGGACCGATTATGGTTCTCGATCGACTTTCGACTCTGCGAAGCGGCGGCAGCAGCGGCTGCTTGTTGGACGTTTCTGTTCTCGCCTTGTCGCTCAATCATGATTCGGTAGCGGATGTGCAGGTTGTCAGTCCAATCAACCGGATGGACTTGCTCGTCCTCGCTACTCTCGCCCGCATAGTTGTATCGGTCAGCAACCCGCTCATCGAAGTCTTCGATCTTCTGACGCTTGACGCCACGGCGATCCACCATGATGCGACCACCGCGACCTGTTCGACGCCGGAACCGAGATTGATCCTGGTATGGCACATCATCAGGGGGCGTTGCAAACCGTATCCGCGCATTTCTGCGCGGTTCGTTCGACTTTTTCGACTTTTCTACAGCACTGGCATTGTTGTTTTCCATTGAAGACGATGATGTGGGAGGCGTCAGCAGTTGCGAATCAGTATAGACTCGCCGGAAATCTGATTTGGACGAGACTTGTTCCAAAGGTGGTGTGATTGGACGCCATGTTGCATCGACCCACCCTTGGTTCCATTTCTGGTGCTTGTGGAGATTTTCTTCGATGAAGTTATCGATCAGCTCGGTCTTCTTGGCTAGCTGGTCTTCGAGATAGACAAGATCCGAATCAACTAAGCGGCCATCAGGACGCGTGGCTTGTGATTTGGGTCCCATGCCAGGGATATTCCGATGTACGACTTGTGTATCGACTCTTGGTGCCTTTGGTTTGGCAACAGGCTGTGAAAAAAAAGTCAGCATCTGGTACCGAGTCCCGGCACTTTGGTTGCTGGAATGACTCACCCTTTGGTTGATGAGAAGGTCTTCGTCATCAGTCTTGATACTCAGCCTTCGTTTGATCTCTTTGACATCACTGCGCTGTTGGAAAATCTGTTTGTCCAATGCTAGTTGTTCACGCATGAGCAGCTCGCGCCGCTTTACCTGGGCCATGAGGAAACGGCCGTCTTCCAGCTCCTTTCTGAGCTTCTTGAGCTTCTCCGTGACCTGTGCATCACGACCACGAGTTTTTCTAGCCAATCGCACTTCGCGACGGCGGAAACACACATACGGGTCAGCATCGTCGGTTTCGAGGTTGGTTTCGAACTTGAGGGCGGGCATTAATGGACGACCGCTTCTACGCAGTCGTTCTTGCTTCCAATGCTCATAGATGTCCTTTGCGAATTTCCTCGCCGATTCGCCAATGGTTTCGTCAAACTCGAGCTCCAGGTCATCATACGCAAGAACAGGAGAATTGTCTACAGAGGCATACGGCTGCTTTGTCTGAGTCGTCTCTTCGAAGAAATTGATGGCTTGTTCAAGGTCATCTTCGGTACACTGGACGCCCTTTTTGTTTTTGTTATATTGCTTCAACCATGCAGCATCTTCGCCGTTCATGCAGTACGGACACCCTATGGTATCTTCTACAGTGGAAGAGAAGCGGATGTACGTTGCAGGCTGCGTGAACTTCTTTGGGTAGACGTCTTCATATTGCAGTTTGCTAGCGACAGCATCTGGGGTGGGGATATACAGCTGGGCAATCTTCCCGCCGCCTTGAGCTGCTGCCTGTGCAGCGGATATGACGGCCTGCAAATGGTGCTCCTGCAAGAGGGTCAGAACCAGATGTGTAGTGCAATCGATGTTTATTTATTTGGGCGGGAGGGTGATGCAACACCGAAAGGGGACGACGGGCAACGAAAGCGGCTTAGCGCCAAAGGGGCCAGGACTTACGATTTCCTCTCCTTTTTCCACGCCCGTCTCGACTTTGGGAATGTGCCGCGTCGCATCATCATCGGCCAGCTGCTCGATGTCCTTTTCGCGTAGGACAGGGAGGTTCTGCTTGGTAGATAGCTTGCGTTGACGAAAGCGCTGGCCGGTAACTCGTTGCGTCATGATGGGATGCGCGGGAACAAAGAATTTTCAAGGGCACGTGACCACAGGCGGATGTTTGGGGGAGAGTGTTGGGAGTAGGCAGCGGTGCAGGCGGCCCTTGCCACAGGAGCGGGCGGTGGGCAGCGCTCAGCAGCCTGCGCACCGGCGGTTAAGACCAAAACCGAGCCCGAATATTCACAATATGGGTGTCAAACGAATGCGCGTGCAGCCGACATGCGAAATATCGGGTTTGGAGGAATTGTTTGATGGCGGTGGGGGAGAAACCTGATGAAAGGTGTTGGGCGGCCGACGTTGGTTTGTTGGGGTGAGGAAGCTGGAGGCCACTTGAGTGCACGCAAGCGTCACTTCACCCTGGTCCCGCGATCGCTTAATGCCGATGGGTGCCTTTTGGCGTACGAGGAATGCACAAAGTCAAATCTTGCGCAGGTCTTGTTCGCCCGCCAGGCTGATGAAAACTGGCCTCGGGGCGACGAAGGCGGTGATTTGGCTGGATGTTTTTGTTTCTGGGGCTATGTGAATCTACTTTTGTGGTTTTCGCCCAGCAACAGTGGTTGCCGGCGCTGCACGGCTGGTATGCCATTGTAATAGGTCCGCCCGAGGGAATGGTCCTGATTGGCTGGCACCGCCCGGATTCAACTGTGAAGACGCCTTCTGGAATGGATACGTAAATGTTCATCATGGCTGTATTCCGACCATCATCTTTGGCAAACACTATACCGCTCTTCCTCGCATGCGCCCGCTGAAGACCTTGGCGATGACTGCACTGCGCATCTCGCCCGCTTCGTACATATACTGCCATGTTGAGTCATCTTTCAGGGCGTTGGCGTCGTCGTATCAACTCATCTCGACTCAACATCTCCGAGTTTCTTACTCCGAAAAGCAGCAGCTTATCCAAGACTTTATAGCCAAGATCCGAACCTGCCCATCTCACATCCAAATGAGACGAGAAAAAAAATAGTGGGTGCAGCAATAAGAACGCCCACGCCCTACTACTCAACTATTACTACAAACAGATAGCGCTCACCGCGATCGCTTCTATACAGCCAATCGGCAGCCCAGAAAGAAATACAAATCATTCTGGCCCAGATAAGATTATACACGGACAATTCTCCTACTAGACTGACTCCACTGTACAAATGATTTGTTTTAGTAGAAGACGGTAGACGCATAAACAGCCCTGCGCCTCAGCTGACGCGACTTGCATACTTGAAATAATTGTCATTCGCGCAGCTGCCCGACAGCTGAATGTTCGACACACCGTTTATATGACTGGCCATCTACCGCCGATGCTCGCTGGCTTTGTTGTTTATTAATTGCAGATCTCAGCCTCACGTACCCGAAGTGCAAAATCCGAGGCGGGGAATCAAGAGCCGATATTCTAATACCGTGCTATCGCCGACTGGACGATTCAATCATTCACACCGTTATCCCCTACGCCTACACCTACACACGCACTTGAAAAAAGCAATCAATTTAGAAAACATGACAGTAGAACCACAAGTCAAAGGTACGTTTGGATTTCCAGTATCGATCAAACAATCAATCAATCACACATAATGGCAAGTTCTAATAGACAAATCACAATCTAGCTTATCACAAACGCCCTCATCGCAAAGTTCGAAGCGGGTGCATAATATGCAAACGGCGGAAAATCAAATGCGACGAGATCAAACCTCAATGCTCCAATTGCCAACGACACGGCTCTGACTGCTCATACGCCAGACCTTCTAGCGACAGTGAACTTTCGAAATCAAGAGAGTGGTCACGAGGTCGGACGTCCGAGAGCCCCGACAATAGTCAGGGAAACAGTCCAGTGGAGACATCTCATAAAGAGACATTCGCCGCCCACGATGTAGCCCTCATGCACCAGTGGAGCGTGGCGACGTGCTATGGATTTGGTGACGAGTTCCCAGGCGAAGTCGAGCCATGGCGAGACGACCTTCCCCGACTCGCACAGCAGCACTCGTTTCTCATGCGCGCGATACTGGCCGTCAGTGCTTTACATCTAGCCCGTACCAGTCAGTGTCCCGAAGAAAAATCAAAGTATCTGCGCATCTCTGCACATCATCAAGACGTTGCTTTTCCAGAGTACAGGGATGCACTCGACAAAGTGAACAAGGACAATGCACCGGCTATCCTCGCCTTCTCCGCCATGCTCGTCGTGTACCAGTTTGCTACACCCCAAAACGGAAAAGCATTTGCTACAGGGCGGCCGGAGTGGTTTTTCTTGCATCGGGGTCTGGGAGAGGTGCCTGCACATTGGCATTGGTGGATCGAAGACAGTTTTCTGTCGAGGCAGCTCGAGCGACGCAGGCTGCATCCCGTGGATGCATCGCTCAACTCGGACGACTTCCGGCTCGTCGCGCTGCAGGATATGTTGTACGAGAAATATGGACACGGCAAGGAAAGTGAGCTGGCGGTGTGCATGGATGCTTTGTACTGGCTGCGGCAGGCTTTTGCGCATACCTTCAACGCCAGCAGCCGGCTGGGCCCGAAATATGCCGTTCTTTTCTGTGAGTTGGATATCCGCCCTCTGTTTATCCGTGCCCCCTTGTTTTATTTGATTCTATTTTTCTCTCTGTGATAAGCGAGCTTACTGTGCCCCTGCTAATCTGAGCCCTGTAGGGATAGAGCGTGTACCGCAAGGCTTCGTGGATCTTCTAGCACAACACGAACCGGCTGCCATGATTCTAGTAGCATACTGCTCTGTGCTGATAAAAAGAGCCTCGCATTTTTGGTTCTACGAGGGCTTCGCAGAGCACGTCCTCACGGAATTATGGCCGCTTATTGGAGAAGATAATCTACAGTGGATCGAGTGGCCGCTGGCTGTGGTTCTCACATGACATAGGTGACATACATGACATAGATGGATGGCATGGCATGGATGGAAGTGGTCAAGCTTCGTCACATTCGGCAAATTGGAGAATGCAGCACTCGGTACGATGGCAATGCGACATTGATACAAGCGTAGATGCAACATACGCCGTCTGCGTGCGCGTTGCAGGGCAAATCGAGGTCGAAGTCTCATAGAAGCAGCGATCGATTGGACGGGATTTGCGGCTCGGGCCGCTGGTGTTGGTTGGGGCTGGCGGGAGCTGGTGCGGTGCAACGGCGCCCGCACATCGTCCATCACGATGAATGGCCATGTATGTAGCAATGCGTGTCTTGGGGATGTACATTGATCAGTATATATCCGCATCGCATCTGCACTGGAGTGCATGCACGCATGCATGTATGTATGTATGTATGCATTGCAAGATGGGTCTAGCCATCTGTCGGTGGATTGGTCCAGTGGCGGTGTACTCCCAGAGAGGTGGCATCTCGTAGACGACCCTTGCGGGTTTTGGCAGCGCACAAAGAGACGGCCCGCGCGGTCGCCTGGTAAATCAATCAAATACAGATTGGCAACGCGGGGGTGCACCTTGCACCCGTCTCCGCTGTCTGCCTCTCTCTCTCTCTCTCTCCATGTGTGTGTGTGTGCGCCTGTATTTTACCTACCTTGCCTACCTGCCTATCTATCTATCCATCTTCCTTCCGTCTTTCTGCCTGCCTGTTTCCCTCTAACCCGTCTTTTTCTCCCTCCTCATCCTTTCCTTCCATCCCTTCTCCTCCACTCTCTCTCTCTCTCTCTCTCTATCTTGTTCTCTCTCACCTTTTCTCCTATCGCCTGCCTTCTGACTTCGCCCGTCCACCCCATCCCCCACCGGATGCCATGCCCGCCTTCTCTGCCACCCACCTCAGCAATGGCATCGTGGTTGCCGGTTGAGTTCGGCCTGGTTCGCTACTCGCCCATCGAAGGGACCCACTATTTCTACGATCCCGTCCACCCCACCGCCATCCAGTTCCTCTTGAACGGACACTGGGAATCTTGGGATGTGAGCTACGTGAAATTGTACGCCTGTCGCCTTCTACCCTCGCCTGCCCGCTGCTAATCTCTTTGCCCTTTAATTCTGTTCAACAGCAAAGCAAGGGATCCAGATGTGAAAAGAATCGCTGAAGAAGCCGAGGCGCACATTGTCGCCAACCACATTCCCGGCTATCGACAATGGCCATCCGAGCCTCCAATGGTATCGCCTCCAAACGTCGTACCACCAGCTCTACCTTCTCCCAGCAGCGACAACTTCTTTGGTTCTGCTTCACGTGGTCAGCCGCATGCATATGCTCAACACCACTCGCAACCGACTCCTCTAGCCTCTCCTATGGACGAACATGCGCCTCACATCTCGCCGCTACTTGATCCTCCGTACCAACATGAAACTTACACTCCAGAGAGCCAAACATTTGATGGCTCGGCACTACCATCATTACAAACTGCAACTGCGCATACGGCGGCAAATACTGTTTCAGTACAGCTTCCCGGTAGCCTTGACGACCGTTTATCGCAGTCGGATACCCGATCAACATCACGATCGCACCCTGAGACATCCACCCCAATACTGCTCTCCAGGAATCGAGAAACCAAGGTATTGCTTTCTCTTGATGGAGATGGTGTGCGCGGTCTATCGCAGGTGCTTCTTGTGGAATCGCTGGTGAATGCCATTTGTACCAAGCTAGGAGTCCAGGTCGAGCCGTACCAGATATTCGACCTGATCGGTGGCTGCTCGATGGGAGGCGTGTTCGGTCTTATGCTAGCTCGTCTCCGAATGCCAGCTCAGAGGGCTAGAGAAGCATACAAAATGGTCGCCAAAGAGGTGTTTCCCAACAAGAGGGATTTTTTTACTTCCATTGATCCGAATGCGCCACCACTCACTCACGATGGACAATCCGTGGAGAATTCAGTGAGGGGCATCGTTGCTCAAGAGCTCGGCGACCCTGATGCGCCGCTTTATGACAGCAGAGAGGATGCAACCGATGTGTATGTGCTATGGTGTGTTATCATATATCATGGAGAATTTGCACTAACCAATATGCCGAACAGCTTTGTAATTGCCACGCGAATCGATATAGGGACCAACAAAGCCGCTCTTATGCGCTCGTTTCAGACACGCCGGATCACTGGCCCGGAAATTGATGCTAACATGACCGTGAGCGAGGCCATGCGATCCAGTTGCATCTCCCCTCGCTACTTGCAATCGAGAGATAGCGCAGCTTGGAGACCTGTTATTGAGCCTGGAATCGTGGACCACGGCACGGCAAAGAACAATCCAATTCGCGACATACTATACGAATGCCGCAAGTTGTATCGATATACAAACGACATGATGGTCATCGTGTCCATCGGCAGCGGTCAAGGATTCGATCCGACTCGCGAACTTCCCGAAATGACCAAAAGTGTTCATGAGAGGTCACTCGAAGGAGGTGTCTGGGGCGAAAAATTCGAAGCCGATCATTCGGCGCTCATGGAAAGGGGTTGGATGAAATACTTTCGGTTTGACGTTCCCGATTTGCACGACGTGCCACTCGAGGAGTGGTGTCATGAAGACAGGATCAAGGAGAAGACACTGTCCTATCTGAGCCGGCCAGATGTCGGAGCGATGTTTTATGCGTGTGTGGATGCCATCACAGCGGCGTTGTCTGGAGTTCAGCATCGATGAAGTGCTAGCTACAACTGATTACCTTCAGCTGATCAAGGTGTCCATTCTGCCACTTGCTGGACATATTTCTGAACGTTTTGAAAGCATCTTTGTTTTTTCGGGCTCTCTAGTCTTGGATCCAGAAACATGCAATATCGAACCTTGCAACATGTCTGGCATCGCGCCAGGGTATAGCACAGGCCGTTACAACGATCAAAGAAGTCTGTGCTAGCTATCGCGAAGCGGCAGCTGCACCGGAGAGGGAATCAAATATGAAGTAACACTTCACAAAATGCCACATAGGTGGGCATTACAGGATGAAGAGGAAAACTTGCGATACCCTGAGTTATCAAACAAACATGGTTCATGGGAATTTGGCGTAACATGCATGTGCGGGGGGGGGCATGTAAGCAGCAATTCAATTGTCAAAAATGTACTGGACACACGACCATAATCTCAATCCGTTTGCAAAATACAAGCGCCCAGCAATTCTTTTATTGACTTAGCGCAGCTACCAAGGTCGTCTTGCTACAGTGTTAAGCTTCTAGCACAAAAAGCCTGCTGCCAAGCGCGCCTTGACCGACTCCATTCAATAAAGAACGACGCCGAATTGCCTAAATCCCATGACACAGTCCAAACAATCCCATAAGCAATGACGTAGCTCGTATTGAGCGCGCGCCGCACGCGAGCTCGTCCAACGTTCTCTGCCCACCCAATATGACCAAACCCGCGAAGATCATGACGCAACAGCGGACCTTGGCGCTCGCCCACCCGCCTTCCTTTTCCCTCCCCTCTCCTCTACCTCCCGCCAACAAAAGCTCTAGGGTAACAAAGCATCCCCAGGCTTACTCCGCAAGAAGCCTCCTGGCACGCCTTGTTATCTAAAAGGCTTGGAACCCTCGTCTTGGCTGTTGGCATCTGAGGTCGTCGTGCAAAGGGATTGGTTGGGCTTTCGCGTGCGATGTGGAGGCGCCCGCCCAGGCAGGCAGGCAGGCAAGACCTTACCTCTCTTTTCTTTCCCGGGGACCGGTTAGATGATGGATGCTGGGATTTGTAGGATTGTGCCAGATACCCGGTGTGAGGCGTTGATGTCAGTGTGCAGTTTCACGTCATTGTGTTGTTCCTGGGGGGACCTGGGGATTGAAAGAGAAGGGAAGGGGAGAGGTTTGTTTTGTATTTATGTGTTTGTTTTCCGTGGAAGTAGGTGGGGAGGAGAGTATGTATGTATGTAAGATATGCAATGGGATGGATGAGGGGGTTGGTTGCCTGTTCCTGATGCTGATCAGGATGCAATCGATGATGAGATCGATACATGTCATGTATGCATGTATGTATGGTGTGAGTGCGGGAACGGCAAAGCAGGCAAAGCAGAGAGTCCTTGAAATACAAACACTCGCGTCGGACCTTTTTGTGCTGGTACTTCTTTCTTTTACTTCCTACTCTCTTCCTCTTCTATTCGTATCTTTCACCCCCCTCCCTCGTATCCCTCCCCTCCCCTACTTCTCTCCCCTCCTCTTTGACAAACAGATTCCCACACCCACGTTTCATCATGGAGTCTGTCCCAGAAACCAAACGCGATCCCACAGGCGGCGAGCCGCCCCAGGGCGCCGAAGACGAAAAACAAGACCGCATCGTGACCTCGGACAACAAAGTCGAGCTCCAAGACACAGACGCCTGGCATATACTGGGCTACTCGTTCCCGACGTGGCGGAAATGGCAGATTCTCATGGTTGTGTTTTTGATCCAGATTAGTATGTCTTTCTCTCTCTCTCTCGCATATCTTCCACCCTTTTTTTTTCCATCCCCTTGTCTAGTATGTGAAGCTTCACTTTTACGTCGAGAGAGGGGAGGGGGGCTGGTGTTGTTTATACGACGCAAGTGTCAGAAGGCTAATCGATTCTTTTCTTTTTTTTGTTCGGAGGAAAGCTTGATAAATGGTTTCGAAGAGGAGTGTTTGAAACTGACGCGTGAGCGATTCGTCATCTCGCAGGTATCAATATGAATGCGTCCATGTACTCGCACGGCGTGAGTCGGATCAGCGAAGACCACGGCGTTAGCGAGCAAGTCGCGCGGATCCCTCAGATGCTGTTCCTGGTTGCGTATGGGTTTGGCTGCGAGCTGTGGGCGCCCTGGAGCGAAGAGTGTACGTCTATCCAACCAAACCCAATCTACCCTGAATCATTTCGTTCCACCATTCCTCTCAATCTTTCCATCATCCCCCTCGCATCTTGCTGATTCTTGGAAACTCGTAGACGGACGGTGGCCTATTCAACAGCTCAGTCTTTTCCTCGTCAACATCTGGCAGATCCCCTGCGGTCTGAGCAAGAACTACGCCACATATGCCGTGTTCCGCACACTTGGTGGCCTTTCGACAGCGGGCGGGTCCGTCACGCTGGGTGTGCTTGCCGATATGTGGGAGCCTGATGAGCAGGAGTACGCTGTTGCTTTTCTGGTCTTGTCGTCGGTTGGTGGGTCGGTTGTCGGTACGTCTTCCCCCACCCCTCTTTGAAATACTCAAAAAAGACTTGTGATCATTCTGGACCACTGCTTTATCTTTCCAATTTTTTTTTGAGGGGCCAGCTTGGAAACATGAACGACTGACCGATGTCTGTGTTATCTGTTCGTACAGGTGCCATCGTAGGCGGGTTCGTGGAAGAATATCTCCCGCTCCCCTGGATCTTCTGGGTCCAGCTTATCGTCGGTGGAGCCGTCCAACTCGTGCATCTCGTCTGCAACCCAGAAACCCGCGCCACCATCCTCCTCGACCGCGAAGCAAAACGCATGCGGAAAACGGGCGAGGCTCCCAATGTCTACGGACCCAACGAGATCCGCAGCGAGAAACGCGTTACGTTCAAGAGCTTTTGGAGCATTGTTGGAAGGTATGTCGACGTCGATCTATCGATCCCTATTCCTGACCTATTCTGAAAGAGGGCGTTGGGGATGGAAAGAGATGGAGGGGAAAGAAGTTGACTAATATATGGCGTATTTGCAGACCGTTCTACATGTTCTTCACCGAACCAATTGTCCTGTGGCTCTCCCTGCTCAGCGGTTTCAGCGACGCTCTTATTTTCAGTTTCCTCGAGTCTTTTAAACCAGTCTACGAGCAATGGGGGTTCGGCACCGTCGGTATCAGTCTGGCTTTCCTCCCGTAAGCTCCCCTCTCCCCCTTCTTCACCAAAAAAAACCCCCCTCTTTACCCATCCCCCCCTTTCCCCACCCACTTTAAACTTCTTACTAACGGAACACGAAAACGAATCTGCAGGCTGCTGATCGGTTATGTATTGTCATATCTATCCTACCTCCCCTCGATCCACCACTTCCGCGGTAAACGCAGAAAAGGCACCCCCCTGGACCCAGAAGTCCGTCTCTGGTGGCTCCTCTTCCTCGCGCCGCTCGAAACCATCGGGCTATTCGGGTTCGCATGGACGTCGTTGGGGCCCGACTACGGTATCCCTTGGATCGCGCCTATGATTTTCTCCTCACTGATAGGAATCGCAAACGTAAGTTCTCTTGACTCCACACTCTGCCCTTTTCCCTCGCCCCACCCCCCTCGTCGATTAAACCAAAGACGTGATGATGACTGATTGGAAAATGGAAATACAGTACGCAATCTATCAATCCTCAATCGACTACCAAACCGCCGCCTACGGACCTTACGCGGCCTCGGCGACCGGCGGCAACGATCTCGCCCGCGACTTCCTAGCCGGCATCGCAGCGTTGTACTCTGCGCCCATGTACGAGAACATCCCTGGAAGACCGCTGGAATATGCGTCCACGATCCTGGCGTGTCTGGCTCTGCTCGTTACCATTCCCATTTATATCGTGTATAAGAAGGGGCCTGAGATTCGCGCCAAGAGCTCGTTTGCGCAGAGTCTGGATAAGAGTCGCGAAGAGGGTAAGGAGAAGAGGAGGAAGGCTAGTATGGTGGAGATGGAGGGGCGGGTATGAGTGTGCGTTTGAGGGGGGCGAGGGGGGAGCTGTGGAACTTTCTCCCCCTTTTCTACATTTTTTCTAGTCGGGTTAAGGACGTCTCTTCTTTTTCTCTTTTCTCCTCATGAGTCTTTCCATTTGGGATTTTTTGTTGTTTTAGGGTGGCAGGCGGTGTATTGACTTTGGCCTCGAGAAAGTTGTAGAGACTCTACTGGCGTATGTGCGCATGTGCGCCCGATGGCTTTACGATAATTATGAATAAGTAATTAATCAACATGTATCCTATACTGGGATCATGTAGCAAGTGACAATTGTCATGCCATTCAATAGCGGCTCACCAACCATATTCTCAGTATATGAGCATGAGAACTGACAGCACAATGATCTTGATTGCTCTAGGAAAAGGGTATCATCTTATTGGAAGCACCAAACGCCGGGATTTGCTGATTACTAAAAACGCACATGCTGCCCACCATCTATCGTCCATATCCAGGTGCTCCTGAATTGAAGCCGGGTGGAGGGGGATTTGCAAAGTTCGCGGGCGGTGGGTAATAGTTAGGGTTAGCAGGGGCACCACTTGGGGGCCGCGCTGGCAATCCTGAAGGCGGCGGGGGTAAAGACGGGGGCATCTGGGACATTGGAGGACCGCGAGGCGGAGGGGGGTTGGCATATCCTCCAGATGGGCCGTTTGGAGCACCAGGAACACCACGTCCCATTGGAGGAGCGGCAGCGGGTGCTGCTTGGAACAGATGTGCTGGTAAGGATTGGACTGCTGGAGCCACACCATGGTGCTTCGCCTGACTAGCAAGGAGACGTTCTGCCTCATCACCATGGCGCTCGCCTTTGCCATCCTTCTTGTATGCGTATTGTACCGAGATTTGTTTGCTTGCCACCATCTGGTTGTGCATATTGGCGATAGCGTTGTCGGAAGCATCAAAGTCGGCGTATGATATGAATCCGTAGCCTTTGGACATGTTGAGCTCGTCCCGAGCCACTTTGGGTACACTTGTCAGGGTTCCGAAGCTGCTGAAGATGTCGTACAATGTTTTCTCGTCGACCATGGAATCCAGGTTGCCAACGAAAAGTTCGGCACCAACTTCGATTGTCTTTTGCTTGTCCGCAGATGCTTTGTTCATGCGAATGGAGGTACCGTAAAGACGCTGACCGTTGAGTATGTTGATGGCATATTCAGCATCCGCTTCCGACACGAATTCGACGAAACCAAAGCCTTGATGTTTCCCGTTCACGCGATCGACGGGCATATTGATGGTGCGCACGCGGCCGTGGTGGTTCATCAATTCGGTAAGGAGCTGCTGAGTGACATCTTCATGGATGTTACCAACGTAGACGGTAGCTTCCTTGTTTTGTTCCCTGGGTAGCATTAGTGACTGTCTTATATTACGCATTGACACGACATCGAAGTATGGGTACTTACCAGTGACGGGCGCCTGGAGTAGCCATTATGTGCAAGACGGGATACGAAATCCGAGCTGATCAGAAACTGCAATGCAATGGAGGTGAGGAGTGGCCAGTGTTGCAGCGGTCGACAGAGAAGACAGAGAGCGCAATGCGGCGTGGACAGCTGGAGATGCTACAGTCGAGTTGAGGTTCGAAAAATGATGGAAGGGACGAAGCTCTCCGCTATTAGCGTTACTTGGCGCGCGCGCGGAGGCACGTGCCAAGTCGTTCCCGAAATTTCGGTGCATCTTGCGGCAACGACATAATAGCTCCTCGACAAAGCTCTAACATCACCTCCAACGCCATTCTCAAGCTATCGACATCCCACATTCCCCATTTCATCCACGAGGCAGCATGTTTCAACTCTCAGAAGAGTCCAAGGTACGCAAGCTCGCCGATGCAACACTGACAATCAGCTCTAATGCTTCCCCTAGGAGCGCATTACGCGCATCATCGACGTCTCCCGCGTTGCGATCCACTATGGTTACCTGCCATTGATTCTCTACCTCGGATACTCTCGCAGCGAGCCCAAGCCGTCTCTCATCCGGTAAGGCACAATGTTCGGCATGTACAGAGCGAAAGACCGGTGAATGCTGACCGCCTCAGACTCTTCTCCCCTCTTGCGTAACCATCCATAGTATTACTATACAACACACGAAGTTCGAAGGGGCGACGATGAAGCCCGCTGTACAACACACACCTTTATAATCAGGCGCACTGGATAGTTTGGGACATGTATAGAAAAAGGGGCAGACTGACATTGGGTCGTGTATTCTAAACAGCTCCGCTCTCTGAGGGGGTCGCTCATTGCTGGCTGGCTTGCAGCAGCAGCAGCAGCAGCAGCAGCTGGACACGGACGGGACGTAAAGGAGCCGCGAATATGTATATCTACTACCACGGATGAGTTTAATGGAACCGAATTCAGACGGCCGGTAGGCTTGCGCGCCGAGCCGATGCCGATTGAAGCCCAAGTCCGAATCATGATGAGCAAGTGTTGCACATGCACGATACCATTTGCTCTCGGTGATGGCCCAAGATCCCAAGGTGTGGCCAAAGCCTTGAGGTGGCCGCTGGGTATATTGGCGTTGATATGTTGATGCGTACCAATCCCGGAGCGCAAGCAATCCCAACCGCGAATACGGGGGCAGAGGGCGCGGGTGCGGCTGTCGTAGAAGCCAATGGCGTGCGACTGCCGCGCCCACGTGTCGGCCCCAACCGCATTCAGTGTCTTTTAATACAACACCAAGCTGTCAACCGTCGCTCAACCCCAAGCATGGGCTGGCCAGGGCCTGGTCAGCCAGGTAGCCAACTCTATGGCATCGGTGAGAGACACCCATGCATGATGCCCCGGATCCTGTAGTCCAGCTCCAGCTCCACCCCCACGCCGCTCTTACTGTGCACTCCCCGCCTTGACCGCATCACAACGCGATATAGGTAGCGTGTGCTTTGCGACCATGCTCTCCTCTTTGATCATGGTTGTGTAGTTTTGTTTCCAGTGTGGCAGACAGTTCGAACAACATCCTCTCCCAATCTGCTTCACTCGCTCTTCTAATCGACTACCATTTCTTGCATGTTCGAGTACAGAATCGCCATCCTATCATCAAATCGCCCCGTCTCGTTTTTAGTGTGTATCCGCAATGGCGACCCCTACTACTGGAGATATCCTGTTGCTGTCTCAAACAGCCTGGAAAATCGGACGAGCATTCATAGCTGGTGGAGCGAATGCTCCGGCTGAATTCCATGAGGTCGAGACCCAGATAAATGCTTTGGCCAGAGCATTGAAGCTTTTGGCCGAAACCATGTTCTCCGAGGAAGCTGATATCCTGAGAGTCGCCCACCAACATGTTCAGAAAGATTTCAGTGCCATTGTCCATTCTTGCCAACAGCCGATCGAAGATTTGGATTCCTTAATGGATCAGTATCAAGTCATCAAGAAGACTAGAACCACTGGCGGCTTCGCCATCGAGAGATCATGGAGCGATCTAGTTGTGGCGCAATATCAGACCATGATGTGGACAACCGAAGGCGGCAACATTTTCCATCTCATGGGTTTGCTGAAGATGCGGACTCACATGATTTCCCTTGTGAGACAAGCACTGCTAAGGCAAGACCCGCGCCATGACTTTATGATCATCGCTAATGCCATCGTAGTCGGTCTCTGTCGCATCTGGAAAGCATCGTCACGCCCATGGCTGAGCAGGTCGACAACATTCACCACAGGACTGGTACTCTCAGCCAAGAGATTGACAAGGCAAATAGCATTGTGCAAGACATTGCGAACCAAGCCTCTCGTTCCTTGACCAACGATTCTCCACTGCCAAGCGTAGATGCGTCCACAGCCCGGGAATCTTTCTCGGCTCAACAATTTCTCCCACAGCGACATAGCTCGAAGTCATCCCGCTCATCTCCTCCAATGTCATCAAGATCAGCACAATCTTCTCAATCTACCATGCTGACCCCAAGCATGAGAGCATCCCCTCCAAAGTCTCCTAACCGTACACCGACTCATTTGAACTTAAGTGACAGGCGACCACCTAGTATATATACAGATTCAGAGGAAGACTCCGATCCCGAATCAGGCAATGAAACGATACGGTTTGGATATCTAGCTTCACATGAAACCTCCACGAGCCTTTTGTCTTCCAAGACCGACTCTCATCAAAAAGACCCACGCTCAAGGCCGGATTCCTGTACCCTCTCGCCAAGATTAGCGCCTCCTATGGCAGCAATGGAGTTCCCGCCGCCATTGGAGGTCGAGGAAGGCATGTCGCACCTCGAAATTCACCCAGTGATACGGCACGAGGTCTCACATCGTCACCGAAGTGCGACTACCTCAAGCCAACGACACCGATTCGAGAAAGCTGCCTTTGCCAACTCAGCCATATTATGCGATGTGTACGTTTTCCAACTCTATCATATGCCTTCATGACTAAGATCCGTGAAAACAGGTCAGGAATAGCAGTCGAGTATGCGCAAAAGGTCTCTTCTGAAGCTGACGCTCACGACGTCGAGATGATCGAAGCATGCCAAAACTGCCGCATCTGTGTCGTCCGCAAGCGCGAGGCTTCATCCGAGGCGAGAGACGACATACGGCTTATGACATCGATCTGGGTCTTCAGTGACGACGATACCTTGCGACTAGAACTCAAAATGGCGGATGGAGAAATGTACGTGCCTTATGCAAGTTACTTCAGCCCGGAGAAGGTCAGCTTGACGGTACCATGCGAGCTGAAATTCCACGACGTTCAGTATGGGCAGCGCGTGCTGAAAACGGCAAAAACAACGTGGATCAACTATGTCTTTGATTCAATTCATGGTACGTACTGGTCCCTTGACCAATCCTCCCTTTTTTTTTTCCGGCCTCGTGCTAAGTTACATACAGCTGCTACATTATTCCAAAACGAGCTCATGGGCCGCAGCTTGCTAGCCACATTCCGCACCTCGCAAACCCTCCGCATCCACCAAGGTCTCAGCGGCGCCTTCTCCTACGCCGAGCAAATGTGCGGCATGGAAAACCTACGGATCTGGGAAGACGAGGATACGCTCGCTGTCATTGCCCTTATCCACTTCTCCCCACAATTCCGGAAAGGTTATCTAGCTTTCTACCTCAACTCTTCCAACACGCCCATCAAGGTCAAGGACGAGGGAGGGAGGGAAGTCAAGGTCAAAGGACTGCGTGTGCCGTTAGACAAAGCCGCGTTGCGGAAAGATAGTATTGTAGCCGGTGACGCCGACGACAAGAAGAGTAAAGGGAAGAAATGGGATGCGTCTGAGAGGAAGAAGTTTGTTACTGGAGCTAGGATCGAGTTTGCTAGTGAGGCGGAGAAGAGGGACTTTATTCGGCTGGTGTGGGATGTGCAGGAGAATATGAGAGAGTTGCCATCGTTGTCGGGTGTTAATTAGATATATCAATACTGGAAATGTCTTCAGCAACACGTCACCGTCACTGTATTCGAGTCTCTTCGTCGTGTATACTGTGACTGCAGGTGTTTGTAGAGCTCAAGAAACCAATCTTTCTGTGACGTGGAATCACATACATGTGCGTGAAACTGATTGAGGTGTGAGTTCAGACCGATTAGCAAAGAACCCTGCAGTGAATTCAACCACAGGGCAAAAACGGTATATATAGAAAAAAAGAAAACGGAGAATAGAAGAGAACATAGGAAAACGAAATCGCGAGAAAAAAGAAAAGGGGACATAGGAAACTAGTAGGCTGTGAGCAACAGGAGATGTCAAAACGAAACACGTCTGCAAGCAAGCAACAAACAACCCAAAAAACGCCATGGCCAAGGTATCGCAACTCTCCCCTACCCTCTAAATCCCAAGTCCAACAAACGAAAAAATGTAAGAAAAAAAAAGAAGTGCGCTCAGGCACACTTGTCCATCCCTCCCATCCCTCCCATCCCTCCCATCCAAGTAATCCCCCCTGTCCCTGTCCCTGTCCCATTCCTCTTCCCTCAAATCTATTACCATCCCTTATGGCCGTCGTAACAACGCCTACGAAAAGCTCACAAACTTTGGATCCCGCGGTATACCGTCAGGACCGATGTTATTGTTCTTGAAACGGTTCTGCATGTAAATGCGCCTGGCCTCGTCGAAGTCGACGCCCCGCCGTTTCATAATGGTCTGCACTTCGCGCTTCCCCGCATCGTCGAGACCCTGGCGCGAATCGCCGGATTCGACGTTTGCGCTGAGGTCGAAGGCCGAGGAGGTGAGACCGGCTTCAATGTCGTCGCGGAAGGAGGTGGGGAGGCGGGTGTAGATGGGCTCAGGGATGGGGAGGAGGTGGAGCCAGCGTTGGCGGGTGAAGTACAGGGCTATGAAGATGGTGGGTTAGTGTTGGGCGCGACTGAGATAGCGACTTGACCAATACATACCAGTTGCGAAGACGAGGGCACAGAAACTGAGGGAGTAGAGGAGGTAGCCCATGATTACGGTAGATGAGGGAGGCGCAGGAGATGTTGAGGTTTCCGGTTCGAAGAGTACAGAGGAGAAAAAAAGGTGTCACGGTGGAAAGAAAAGAGCTGGATAGTAAAAAAGGAATGATTAAAACAGTGGCATCGGACGAAAATAGCTGCCAGCTTTTACCCTGGCGATGAGCGCAAAGTTGTCGACGATAGCAGGAATGGTGGAGAGTGAGGACACCCAAGGTTAGCACCGCCGGGACAAGCCACTGGACCCCCGTCTCACCCGGAATCGCGGAACACCCGGGGCGCAGGCGCTCATCGTCGTCAGTCAGCCGGTAAAACTGATTTTCCGCGCCCCGGGGCACTCCCATCCCGCCAATCCGCATACGGCAATGCAGGCGAATTTTGGAAACTGCACACCAAAGTTCCCGCAGCATCTTGAACGTCGACCCGTCGGTAGATACACAGCACATACCGCAGAAATGGCCACCTTCTCGTCCGATTTGATTTGGGAAATCACCCGTGAGTGCGACCGCGATTCCCAACACCGGGATTTGGAGGATTCTGGAATGATGGGGGAGTCTGCAGAGTCGGGCGACCTTGGAGACTTGGAATAAGGGCTGATGAATGTGTTTACGTATAGGCGGCAACAGTGCCACCCTCGTTAAGAGGGCTCAGTCCGGCGGTGTGTCGTTCTCGCGCGACCAGTTCAACTTGAGGAACAAGTACTCTCGCAAGGTATATCCAACCGCCGAGACCAGTATCACGAACAATGGCTAATGTAAAACAGTACGAGGGTCTCGTTGCCGACAAGGTACGCATACACTCCGGATATCCGTGGATCTAGTTGAAGAGGAGGACATGCTATCGAAGAGGGAATCAGGAGAAATGCCATGAGGGAACGAGCTGACTCGAAGAAAACAGGCCATCGGTGTCCAGCCCGGCCAGGAGGGTGGTGTTGTTGTCCTCACCAAGAAGACCGACAAGGCTCACCAGCCCGCTGCTCAAATCCAGACCGCCACCATCCCCGCCAAGCGATCCACCCGCAAGTACGTGTGACCCTCGAAACCCCATCCATCCTACGACGAAACTCGATCCATTGCGATCTTCACTCGATCAGCGCAAAATCCCGCACTGAAACAGCCCGACTAACGTTCCTGTAGGACCTACGCCGGTATCATCAACTCCACCGCTGGCCGCAACTACCGCTCCGATCTCCGCACCGACGCCGTTGCCCGCGCATCCGCCATCCGCAAGTCCCAGAAGCCCGTCAAGGCCGACAAGCCCGCCAAGGTTCGGGGCAGCAAGAAGGCGAAGCAGACCGAGGCTTAGGTCGATTGAAAATGATCATGAACGGGGCGAAATGGCATTTGTGAAAGCATGAGGATCAGGCAAATGGAGTTCTTTCTCATGGGTGTTCCTTCCTCTATAAGGCGGCTATGAATGGAATTGAAATGGCATGCATATATCCAAGCCGACAAAAAACAAACGACTTTCTGCAAAGAAATGAAAGATGATTACTGAACAACAACACCAACCGCACCCGGCATCATCAATTGATCGAAGTCATGTCATGTGAAAGAATCTGTACTCGACATGCTTTGACTGCCGTCGACAATTCCCAATCCGCACCCATATTGCACTTGACTCCGTCTGTTCCAGCAAATGACACCTCGTCTCCAAATATGCAAAACCGACCTCACTCCCAAGCCCGCCCTTAAATTATCCCCTTCTTCCATCACAACCTGATCAACCACCCCAAAGATGCACAACCCACTCTCCCCTCCCACGTATCCGCCCCAAAATCATGTCACCCCCAAATCAAACCAAAACAAACCCAATTTCTCGTCGTACTGACAAGACAGACCGAAATACGCTTACTGGTTGATAGTAGTTCAATGTAGTACGCAACCCTCTTTCAATGTGAGCGCTTTTTCAAGAACTCTCCCCACCAGATATCAAACGCTTTCCGTAATAGAAATTGGAATCCTCAGCCCCCATTTTCATCGCGCTTTTGGTGACTCTAATCTCCGTACATCATCACATATAGTGTAGAATATACCACATGTCACGTTAATCTGCAGTTAACATCTTGCTTGCTTTCCATGTTCCCTTCTTCAACAAAGAAACGGTCAGAGACTCTCGAGCAAAAAAGTCTCACCACTAAGCAGTGTAGAAAAAAAAAACCCCTCCCCAGCACATAAAACCCCCTCCCTCACCCTCACCCCTCCCACCGAATATTCGGATAATTCCACACACAGAAAAAAATGTTTGAGTCAATCAGTCAAAACTAACACAGAGATTTTGATAAGGGAAGAAAAACAAAAAAGAAATTACATACAACAGCAGGTATTCGCTAGTAGTCACCCACCTAACTACTAATCTGCCAGTAACTTGCTTAAATATGGCTGAGCGGACGGGAAGCCTTGTTCTCAAGTTCCTATGGTCGTATGTGAAAGTTGACGACGAGTTCTGAGTCCATGTGTGTGTGTGTGTGTGTGTGAGTTTTTAATTGTATTGAGTCTTTTTCCCTTTTCCACTCTCCCCCCCCCTACCTCTCGGTACGTTTGATAACTCTCTTCCCCTGTTATGCTATCAATGTAAGGAATCTTTACTTCAATTCACTGGATGGATCATACAAGGCCCAGATAACAAGATTTTTTGCTGTTAATTTAAATCTTTTGATTTTTTTCGCTCTCTAAACTTTGTCGCACGCACGCACGCATGCACACACTCGCTCGCTCAAAGACAGGAGATGGCTATCTCCGTCTCCATCACCGTCTCTGTCTCTCTCTTTTTGTCTCGGGGGGGGAGGTGGGGAGGGGGAGTTATTAACACACAGGGAATAACGAAGAATCTGTCTTCATACAGGGAAGAGAGGGGTGAAAAGTTGAAAACGCAAGCGGCAGGGAAAAAAAAACAGACCAGAAAAGCATCGGGGAATAACGACAGCAAAACAAAAAAAGGCAGGAGAAAAAGCAATCAGGAAGAAAAGACAGATAGAAAATTCCCGCCACCATGCTTATGATACACAAGAATAAAAAACAGTCCAATCGTACTCCGTCTGCACTCCTCCCATCATGACACATATATATAATGGCGACCCATCATCGCCGTTTCGCCAGAACATGAGAATGCTTGTCCGGAATGAAGAACAAGAAGGAAAGGGCAAAAGACAAGGAGAATGGATGCCGCTCAGTAAACCAAGGCTCCCTCGATATGTCCGCGTAGCGAATCTGGTGGGTGACACCTCTTCCAAGCCCCACATACAGCAGTGCCCAGATCCCCAAGAAGAAAATGCGCGCCAACGAGAGGAAAATATGATTACAGTGCCGCCCCAACCCGTCCAGACAAAATAGGCTCTAAAACCCTTTTTTGCGAGAAAACGGCGGAAACGAGGAAATGAATCAAATCATTGGTCAGCGACCCCAGCGCGGATCCTGCTGTTGCTGATGGGGAGGGGGATGTCTAGCCCACTCCATCGGCTGAGCAGGTGGGCCACCTCTTTGATCGTGACCCTGCGGAGGGGCTCCTGGTCGCCTCATCATGTTTTGGTATTGTGCTTCTTGCATTTCTCGGTCTCGCATTTCTCGATCGCGCATCTCTCGGTCGCGCATTTCCCGCTCTCTCATGTCACGTTCCCGGGCGTATGGGTCGTCGCGACTAGCCGGATGTTGCTGCGCCTGTTCTTCGCGCATGCGTTCACTCACTCGAGGATCTATGGGATATGCGTCTCTGAATCGGGGAAGAGACTCCTCCTGACGTTGCCCATAAAGAGCATGGTTACTATCTCCTAGAGACGAGTGAGGTGGATGTTGGAGGGGTAGAGGGGGCCCATGCTCTGATCTGGAAATCGGAGTTTGCGTGCGTTGGGGTGCAAATCCGCGATCTTGCGGCGCCTGGTATCGAGAGTCGATGTGCGATTGAGGAGGCCCTGTGGAACGTGATAGATACGTCTCCCGCAGGGCGTCGCCTCGGTGAGCAAGCTCACGGCTCATGTCTCTCTCCGGATTACGCGCGTCAAAGTCGTGAACATCACGGGGATCGCGGGGATCGCGACCTCTAAATTGATCTGCCATGCTAGGTGCGCGCATATGCTGAGGCATTGGGTGATGCTCGTTTGGTGTTGGAGAATTAGAGTAGCCCATTGCCGCATTGTGATTGCGAGAATGTTCGTTGCGACTGTGAAGTTCTCTTTGCGACGCAGCGTGGCTCATATGTAGGTGCGGGCTTGGTTGCATGCCCACCGGACCAGAAGGCTGTACGCCAGGTCCAGGGGGGTCTACTTGCGCATATGGATTTGGCTTTAGGATCTGCGAAGTAGCTCCCTGTGCATGTGGAGCGGATGTTGAGGCGGTCATAGTGTGACGAGGCGGCTGGGTAGGCGCCCCACTAAGGCTGGGGGTCCTTGAATGTAGATGTGGAGAGTTGTTGTATGTGGCCAGTGGTGGAGGGGAAGGGTTGTATCGTGAGTTATTGTGCTGAGCAAAGACGGACCGATGGTTCGCAAGTTGAGCAAGACCTGCGTGAGGTGAGTTGTGGGCTGGTACCTGCTGGTGTTGGCTTTGTGCAGAAAGTGATTGCCGCCACGACTCTCTCGGAAGACCCCTGCTGGCCGATGCTTGTTCATTTGTAAGGTCCACCACTTGACGTCCGGAAGACATCTGAGGTAGTGCGGATTGCGGTGCATACGAACTGCGACCAAAAGGCGGTTGAGAACTAGAGGGGTCACGATACTGATCTCTTTGAGGAGCCAAAGCCTGCGATACAGGAGGAGGTACAATAGGAACTTGCTGCTGGGGTGTAGGAGTATGAGACGGCAAATTCTGCTCGACGGGCTTTTTCCGTTTAGGCTCCTCAGGTTCAGGATCATTAAGCAGAGAGAGCAGATTGGACTTTCTAGGCTCCGCAGCCGGTTTTGGAGCTGGCGGAGGTGGAGGCGGGGCTGCTTGGGTTGGGGGCTGTCCAAGCGGTGCGTAGCCTTGGGCGGGCGTAGGCGGCGGTAAGGGCTGCTGGTTCTGAGAACCATGCGGCACTGGATAAGAACGGGGTTCTTCCTTTAGAGGCGGGGTTGCTACTGCAGACCGTGATTGCATGTACTGTGCCGGAGGCATCGAGATCGACGGCTGGACGGAAGCTTCTGATTGTTGCTGAGGGATCGCACGATGTTGCAATGGAACGGGACGATGCTCCGGAGAGCTAGCCATTTGGGGTGTTTGCATTTGCGAAACAGCCGATGTGGGTGGATGCCGGCCATGCACAGTTGAAACTTCCCCAGAAATGCGCCGAGCATGTTGACCGTGATACCTCATACGTGCTTCATTCTCTTGCTGCTGCTGTTGATGGTGTTGTTGTTGCTGCTGCTGCTGCTGCTGTGGTGTAAGCTGAGGTTGCAGTTGAGATTGCTGTTGCTGTTCTGCTCTAGACGCGCTATCCCGTTCTTGCAGTGTTGCTGGCCTGAAGAATGGGGTTTGAGATGGCTCGTGTGCTCGCAACTGAGACTGGATCTGAGGTTGTAAAGGCCGAACATTCTGTGTTGCATTCGAAGATTGGGATGTGGGTCTAGGGTCTCGGCGAGGTGGGAAATCTTGTGAGAAATACCCCACTGGTGGAGGGGCACGGCGCGTCTCAGGCTGGGATACATGCTGAAACTGGTGTTGTGGTCCACGGGCAGGCTGCGCTTGGGGTGACTGCTGAGAGTGTGGCGATGGTTGTGGCTGTTCCAATATTTGATGTTGCTGCTGAGTAAGGGATGGTCTTCCTTGCTGCTGTGGGGGAGGCACAGAAGGCAAAGACGGAGTGCCTGGCTCTGGATTTGTGTATCCAGTAGCCGCAACAGCCGGTTTTACTTCTTGTGGAGCCTGAGCGATAGTCGAATATCTGGAAGAGGCTGAGCCAGGGGGCGATGCTTTCGGAAGAGCCATTGTTGGAGGTATCGTCGCCTCTGGCGTAGGAGCCAATGTTCGAGGAGCAGCTGCTTGGGTGCTCTCGTAGCGTCTCTTTGGGGCTTGACTTGGAGTCGGTGGTGGTCCAAGATCTTCTCCTCGTGCACGTCTAGCGTCCGCTTCGTTGGCAAGGCGTTCTAGTTCCGGCACTTGTCTACTCTCTACGAGGCGCAAGTATTGATTCTTGACCATGGTTTGAGTCTTCGTACCCATGTGTAGTGCAATCGCTGCCCAATCAGTTCCGAAATGCGCTACATTCTGTCGGAAGTCATTTTGTTCGGTGACAGACCAATAACTCGAAGGCCCAGGCCTTGAGCTTGCTTGTACTCTTGGTCTTTCCGAGATGCTGACAGTCTGCCCTGAATGGAATTGTGGCTCATTAACGAGATTCATAGCCGCGTCTTCGAGAGCGGGCTGCATTGGAAGCGGCATCTCGCCTAACGGGTGTCTCTGGAGCTCATCCTCCATCTTGACATCCATCAGCTTTCGATCAATCTTGACAGGAGACCCGACTGGCGCAGGAACAAGTGGTTGGGCTTTTGGCTTCCGGCCTGCTTTCTCTTTTGAGCCTTTTTTGCGACCAACTTTTTCATGGGTGCCTTCACCGTCGTTAGCACGGCGACGTCCCGACGTCGGCGTGGAGGTTGTGGTATCTAGATCCGTCTCTGTACCGCCAAACGTAGGCGCTGCTGAGCGGCGGGGCCGTCCTGTTTCTGTCAAAGCCGGAGGCAGTCCGTCGTCACCTGAGGGATCGGGTCGGTCTCCCATATTAGAAATGGCCCCTCGCCGACCTGCACCACCACCTCCTCGTTTTTTCCCTCTTCCTCTCTTTAATTTCCCCTTATACTCTCGGCCCCATTTGGTGGCGTAATAATGATTGATGCAATCCTTATACGTCCGACTGGTTCCCGCCTCCTTGTAGAGCATCTCTGCCAGCTTACCCCATTTCTTAGAATATTGGTCTCTATACTGGTGCACCATGATTCTATGCTCTTCCTCAGTAAAGTCGTCCTCTGGTGGCTCGTAATGGTAAACGAACAGCCCTTGCCCAGGCTCTCGTTGGAAATTGGTGTCGATGAACCTGCGTCTTTGTACTTCGTAAGTAGTCAGTTGAGTCGGCAGCGTAGCCTCTTTCTCCGGATCAGCCATTGATTTTGTGGGCTCCCTTTCTTTCTTGCCCATACGTTCTTCTTCTGCAGTCTTTAAAGACTCTTTGATTGCCGTTTCAAGATCAAGCTCGGTCGCCCATCGACTACTGTGTCCTCGTCGGCCACCTGTGGTGGTAGGAGGGAGATCCAGCAACGGGCCCATGGCCGCACTGGTTACATCTGGAGTGGTGACGCGCACACTCGGTTCGGCTGATGGCGGTCTCTCCGGGTCATCGAGGTCTCTAGCATCGTCCAGATCGCGAATCTTCAGTCGCCATTCTCGATAAACATTTGCATATTGTTGAAGGGTTTCTTCAGGACTTAGCTCCGGTTCGATAGTCTTTTTTAATCTATCACGAATAGCGAGCATCAATGATTCATTCACTCGAGGACCCTCCAGCTCAGATATAGGGGTTGGCGGCCCTGAACCGAGATAGGGGAGCGAACTGAAATCAGGCTCCTCCTCCGTGTCATCGCTGTCACCGTGGCGCAGGCGGAGGGCCCTTGTCGCTGGTGCTAGCTGTTTTGTCTCTTTATCTTCCATGACGACGTCAACATTGTCGTCTTCAGCTTTGGGAGTTGGGAGTTCAGCTGTGATGCTTTCTGCTGATCGGTCGGCAGGGGGTATAGAAGCTGTGTCCCCATCAACTGACTTGGTCTCTTGGCGTGGCAGATGCTCTATAGACAAACTCGCCAAAAGCATAATCTCGGATAGAGGGGTTGTAGCTCGCAGATGAGCGACGTTGAGATTGATTCGTTTCGCTTCGAGAAGTGCTTTCTCGCGATTGTACTTGGCTTCTGATTCGGCGAAATCAGCATCGTCCAGATCAAGGTCATCGTCTGAATCTTGAAGCGCCTCCGGGGCGGACGATGCTGCTGACATCGGCGGCTTTTCAGTTCGCGGCGAAGCATCAGTCATCATTACGTCCGATTTGTGTCGAACATGTAATGGTCCCAGGTTTGACGGCGCCTCTTTGCGATTTTCGATTGGTGAAGCTTTCTCGCCGTTGAACTCTCCTTCCGCTGTTTGTCGTACAGAAGACGGGGAAGTCGATTTGCTAGCGTCGTGACGGGGTGGATCTGCCACCAAGGCACCATTATCGAGTTTTGGCGCTTTAGGCGCATTACCGAATGAACGGTCACGATCCTCACTTGGATATTCTCGCTTGGCCGGAATGCTCGGCCGATTGTTCATGGTAAGCCCAGGTCGCACCCATTGCATGCTTTTGGGTGCACTGCCGATGGGTATCCTTGGAGGCGCGAAGCCCTGTCGATCAGATGGCGGATACATCGATGAAGGGCGTGCTGACATTGGACCGGCTCGAGCAGCTTTGGGTCCGGTGGGGATGTTGGCAGGCAAAGCCCTCGGCGAGGTGTTGGCTGACGACGCGTTGCTACCGGTGTTGCCATTACGCGGACCCAATTGTGGAGGTATTGCGCTCGGAGAGGAATCTCGCGAAGCATCTCTCGATGCAAAAGGCAGGTGTGCCGGTCGGGGAAACGAAGGCGATACGTTGGCTCTGAGTGTTGCTTGAGGGCCCGTCGGTGGAGGCCTGTTTCTGGCGACTGAATTTGGATGTGGAGAGTTTGTCGGTGGCAAGGAAGGGTTGTTTGGACCGGGGAGAGCAGGTTTAGGCTCTTGACGCTCGTGACCTTCAGCAGCTGGCGGATGATGGGCCTGGACAGATTGAGGGATTTGAGGACGAGACTCGGAACGTGTCTGCTCCGAGGGTATAGGCCTACTCTCCTGGGCAGAGTGTTGATTGTGCGCATCTCCTTGAGGTCGTTCCAGTACTCGATCAGCTTTGGGGCCAGTGGGAGGTGCTGTGGAGAGGCCGGGTGGGATGCTCGTCTTCGGACCTGCAGACACTGTGGGGTTCGGGGGAACTGGGGCTGTCGAAGCTGGTGCGGAAGATGCAGTAGTTGAGCTTGATGCAGGTTTGGGGATTGGCGGGGCGGAGGGCTTGGCATCGAGCGCGGGATTTCTCCAAACATTAGAAGAAAAGCCAAAAGCCGGAACAGCAGCGGGAGGTGAAGAGGCACGTGGAGCATAACGTTCCTTGGAGGCTTCGGCACGGCTCGCGAGCAGGGAGTCATCTTTTGTTGGTTCTCGCTTCGTAGCCAGAGACTCACTTGCCATAGAAGCCCGGCGAACAAATGAGTCAAGCGAACCCAACCGATCCGCCGGTGAATGAGTAGTATGCGGTGTGGCACTCGTAGGTGTACCTGGCAAATGACGAGGTTCCAAAGCCACACTCCCTCGGTGAGTGTCAAGTCCACGTGGCCCCGGTTTCCCGCCGCCAGCCGGTCCTATATAGGAGTCGTATTCTCGTGGTACAAATCGGCGTTCTTGGCGGTCTTCCCGGTCCCGTCGATCAAAGTCTCGGTCGTCCCTGTTATCTCTCACATCTCTGACGTCCCTGATATCCCTCGCATCTCTGGGATCTCTGGTATCTCTCGCATCTCTGGGATCTCTGGCGTCTCTGACATCTCTCACATCGCGTTCTCTTCGCACGGGATCTCGCGAGCGACTCCGAGGACGGTAAGAACGGTCTTGCATGCGATCGGGTACGCGATCGCGCACATCATGATGGCGATCGTCGGCATGGAAATTTCTCCCTCGCCCGCGCATGTCGGTATGAAAATCACGACCACCCCGTCCTCGACCAATCCCACTGCCCCTGTATGAGGAGCCATTCCCCAAGGGGGGATCAGAATAGGTGGATCCAGCTGAAGGAGGACCTTCGCGGGAATTGCGCCGGGCACGGTTGATATCAAGATCGCGAGGGGGGAAGTCCCGTGGGTCCCGGTTGTCACGATTGTCACGTGTATCTCTCAGCGGTGACCGCCGTGGTGGAGATGGTCGCCGTTCACGTTCCCGACGATCGCGCTCAAAGTCTCGATCGCGGTCTCTGTCCGCACGCCATGAATTGTGTGAATGGGAAACGCTGGAGAGCGGAGGAGCATCGCGAAGAGAAGGGGCTTCACCGCGACCAGCGAAGCCTCCTCTTCCTCGGGCGTCTCGTGGAGCTGAGGGTGCACCCTGGGGACCTCCAGCAACGGGACCTCGAGGAGGATCTGCATGGGATTTGGGCCCTCGAGGGGGGTCGCGGGGCGGGAAATTGCCTTGATCGCCATTAGGACGAGGGGGAGGGTCATTCAAGCGTGGCGGGTATCCGTTTCCATAGGTCGAAGGCCGTCTGTCACGATATGGTGACCTGTCGCGCGCATACCTGTTATCCGGGTAGCGCGAGGAGGACATGGTGTCTTTCTGGGAGGCTGAGCGTTCTCGCTAATCCGCACATGGGGCGCGTGAGACGCGGTGTATGCCCAAATGCACGTTATGCACGAAGACGTGGGTGCCGAGGGAGATGTCTCTGGTGTGGCAGAATATTTTTGGACGGTGGTGTTGAATCCGCAATGACGTGGGGTAGCGAGGCCCTGTTCCGTGGAGGTGGAAAGTGTTGTAAATGTCGTCGTGAGGATACGATGGGAGATTTTCCGGTTGACAGTACGTTGGCAGTTATGGAGGCGTTTGGGATTGACACTAACTAACAAAGCGAAGAAAGTGCGGTCTGTGCGCAACAGCCCTGGAAGGAACGGAAACACGGGCGCTGACGAGGAGGAAGGGGCGTGTTGCAACTTGCAGGGACGGTCAGTCGGCCAGTCAGTCAGATTGTCGAACTCGAGCGACCGGCGTCCAGTTCAATGGCAAAGGCTGCAACGGCTGCAACAGCTGCAGAGGGCAGTGATGAATGCGGAACGGCGATTGAGAAGCGGGAAATGATGTGGTTCTGGTGTTGTTGCTGCTGTTGCTTGTTGGAAGGTGGGTTCGGGAAGGGGCGCTTCTCTCTGGGCACGTGAAGGATGAATACTAGGGAGAGGACTGGCGAGAGGAAAGCGTGGCCAGGCAGCACAGAGGGTGGAGGGTTACGGAATGGAAGATTTAGCCCGGGCGAGGTGTTGCGACCATGGCAGGGAGTGTACAAAGAAGTCGCCGCAGACAGGCTGGTGATGGTGGAGGAGACATGGCTGACGATGGGGAGAGAGAGGCACGAAAGCGAAGCTTGCGCAGGCCTGCACCGACTGGCCCCGGGCTGGGCTGGGTGGGAAAGCCTTGAGCGCAGAACACAGTAGCCCGAGCGAGTCTGCAGGGTGTGCTCCGGAGAGATTGGCTGCGGCACACGTGATTGGCTGCTGCATTCAATGTGGACAGGGTTGAGGGGAAGATGGACATTGCAGGCTGGGTTGCCCGCATACAAAGGAGCTTTAGGACGGGGAACAAAACTTGGATCCGTTATATACCGATTAGCTAAGCCCGGCCCATGGCTGGCGCGCAGCCTCCCGAGGCGCTGCGTGGGCTGTAAGTGGTCGCCCAGCAAATTCGAAACGCAGGTATCCCCCCTCGAAGACGCCAGTGTCCGTCCCGGCGGATGTTGTAATCGTCTTTTCTGGCCTGGCGCTGCGTCGTGTCGTGTCGTGTCGTGTCGCATGCATCTGATGCATCTGATATGCGACCCCCACCCAGCGACGCTCCCACTTCCACGCTCCCCTCGACTCAATGATCCATCATCAAACCATCATCATCACCAAGATCATCGTCCAGGAGAACGTGCATACATGCATGTCCATAGGTGCCTGCCTCCTTGTGTGCATGTACGTCGCCATGTATGTAGGTCAACCCACGTAATTATGCCTGTGCCTGTGCGTGCGTGTGTGCGTGTCTCCTCCTTTGTTCGTCAAGAGGCGCGATCTGCGAAAATGTCCATGCACCCGCTTGAGATGCGCGCCAACTAAAATAGCTCGTCATGATTCATGTGGGGTACCTGTGAGCCACCGCCCGCGGGAAAATTTCATCTCGAACTCCAGATGTGCACACCAACAAATCCATCGCCAGTCATCCACACAACAGTGACCGCGCACACGTCCCGAGCTCTTGCATACAACACTCCTCGGGCACTCCTTCTTCCCTGCGCGTCCAGCTTGCAGCCGCGCTTCTCGACGACAGACGTCAACTCCGCCGTGGATAGCCAGCCAGCGGGCTTCCTTGGGAACCGCCAACACACCCGGTCATGACGTCGACCAATCGCGAGCCAACCTTGGGGGCTCCTTCGGACGCCACGAATGCCGTTCTGAAGCCCTCCGATCCCGTGCCCGAGGGCTCCCAGGAAGTGCGCGGCGTCGACTTCAACAACTATGCGCAGCGACCCATCTCCGTCGAGGAGCTCATGGGAGCCTACGCCGGCATGGGCTTCCAGGCAACAGCCGTTGGTGAGGCTGTGCGAATCATTAACGGCATGGTGAGTCTCTAGTGAATGCAATTGTTAGTCCGTCAGCACCAAAGAAAAATGCCCATTCGTCCATCCCTGCAACCTTATCCGCAATCGGCCAGGCCCTTGCCGCCCGCCCTTCAGCGTCGTCATTTCGCCCTAGCGCCTCCCCGCTAATCCAATGACAGCGCACGTGGAAGCACCCTGAAACGGGTGAAGGAACCACCATCTTCTTGGGATACACATCCAACCTCATCTCCTCGGGCTTGCGCGAGATTCTCCGCTACCTGGTGCAGCACAAGCTGGTCTCTGCCATTGTCACCACGGCTGGCGGCGTCGAGGAGGACTTTATCAAATGCCTTGCCCCCACGTACCTGGGCGCCTTCTCCACACCCGGCGCAGGGTTGCGTGCAAAGGGCATGAACCGGATCGGCAATCTGGTGGTGCCCAACAGCAACTACTGCGCGTTTGAAGATTGGGTGGTACCTATTCTGGATGCAATGCTGGAAGAGCAAGAAGCGAGCAAGAAGACGGATGAGCCGCTGCATTGGACCCCCAGCAAGGTGATACAGCGGCTGGGCAAAGAAATCAACGACGAGCGGTCAGTCTACTATTGGGCCTGGAAGAACGATATTCCCGTCTTCTGTCCTGCCTTGACGGATGGTAGTCTGGGAGATATGCTGTTTTTCCACACGTTCAAGTCTTCGCCGGAGCAGATCCGGGTAGATATCGTCGAGGATATCCGCAAGATCAACTCCATGGCGATGAAGGCGAAGAGGGCAGGCATGATCATCCTCGGAGGAGGGTTAGTCAAGCATCATATTGCAAACGCGTGCCTGATGCGCAACGGGGCCGAGAGCGCAGTGTACATCAACACGGCGAACGAGTTTGATGGCAGCGATGCGGGAGCGCGGCCAGACGAGGCGGTCAGTTGGGGCAAGATCAAGGTCGACGGCGACAGTGTCAAGGTGCACGCCGAGGCAACCGTGGTGTTCCCCTTGATTGTGGCGGCGACGTTTGCCAGCGTACAAGGCAAGACTGGAGGAGAAGCGTGGTCTGGAAATCCATAAATGAAACAGACACTTGACCACGGTGAGCTAATAGGCATAGTCACGGCCGAACCTTGTGCGATGGGATGCGGTGTGATGAAGAAGGTGGTGGGTGAGGTGAGGTTGGCTGAAGCGATGGGGGAGCAGAGCAGGGTGGGTCGCTAATAGCTGCCTGCCTGCACTGGGTGCTGGCGGATGGGGGCCGCTAATCTCGATTGGGAGGACCCAGGAGCCAACGAGTGACAGGCCTCCAGGCAGACCAGCAGCTTGCCCTACACCAAATACATACTATAGTACATCTACACATGTCTCTGCTCGGTATATACGTGACTGAAGCGCTGCGATGTCAGCGCCGCCCTTCTTGCAGCCTAGAAAATCACAAAGAGTCATCATCTACGGCGCGTGCTGTCCCAGGCATCCACCCCTACCGTGATGAATCCACTTATGCACTAGGTCGTGGCCAGGTACCCGCTCTGGGGAAAGCGAGCTAGGTATTGAACAGCCTCACTCGTACCCTCCTCTCTTGTACTGTACACTTCATGCCAGGCGTAGGCAGCCTCGATGACTGTCCCATGCATGCATGCATAACTTAAGTATCTAGCCCATCAGCCACCATCGCTGCCACCACACAAATCTCATCTCCATCTCCATCTCTCTCTCCTCTGCTTGCTCACCATATTGTTCGTTTGTTCTGTTGAGACCCCCATCCGCCATCTACCCTTCGAGCTCCGATAAAGCTCCCGCGATAAGCACGTCAGAGCTCCAACAGCCCATCCACCCACCCATCCATTACATACCTACCTACATAGTTCCTTCGACCCATCCTTTCGTTTGTTTGCTTGTTACTTTCTCTCACTTTCATTCTCACACATTTCTTCCCTGTTGATTACACGGCCTGACCGCTTGTCCCACCATCAAAATCCCCAGCCGCTGTCTGCCTCAGTTGGTGCGAACGCATTGACAGTCAGCCAGCCCGTCTTGACCTCGTACGCTGTGAGAGAATCACCTTTTATGTGCACTTGCACACTACATCGGCAGCTATGAGCGTCGCAAACGTCGAACAACCCCATTCACTTCACTTCCAGCAACCGCCCTCCTCGCCGCCCTTCTCTGCTCCCCAGTCTCCGCATGACCCTCCGCTCTCTCACCCATCTTTTTCTTCGCCGCCCCCTCCATCCGCCGCACAGGACATCGACATGTCTAGTACTATACTACCACCTGCTGGTCAACCCCACGATCGAGACGATGCCGTCATGGCCGACGGTCTGACGGATGGCCTCCCACCACCTACCAATATCACTCCTCCAAACAATGTCGCTGTGGAGATTGCTTCTGTGCCTGCAGAGGAAGATGCAATGGACACTGCAGCGGACGAGCAGGCAAATATCCCTCCGAACATCTCCGACGGTGTCCAGGGCACAGATGGCAGTGCACAGAGCGAGGAGGCTCCAAATGGCGTGACCCAAACAGATTCAGGCAACAGTGGTGTGCCCCAGCCGCCTCCGCCTACAAATAACGAGGTATGAACAAGTCGCCTCAATACAAAGCTATAGCATTCCACTGACAATGGCTAGCCTTCCCCGGAGGGTGATCCTCTGGTACAACCTCCTCCTCCAATGGATCCCTCGTTGGAGCCGCCACCACCACCGCCTCCGATGGAGCCCGTTCGATCAGATTCGGAGTCTTCAGACGATGACGATGACGATGGCCATCCCTGGCAACCTATCCACGAGGATACCTCGTCGCCTGATGAGAACGAGCTTAAGGAGATCGAATCGACTACAGAATACAGCGCCCTTGACCATGAGCATTGGGAAAAGAAGGCGTTTGTGCCTCTGGAAGAACCAGAATATACTGTAGAAACAAGTGGACGCATTGAGTGGAACGTTGAAGCCTACAACGGGACTCGCGAGAACCCCAACCGTGACTTAGTCATGAAGTCAAAACCTGTTAAAATCGGTGGTTATGACTGGCAGATCAAGTTCTACCCCAAAGGAAACGATACAGACTATCTGAGTGTCTACGTTGAATGTCTCGGTCTTGAGGAGGAGGTTGGTTCGCAGGAGAGTGGGGAACAGGAGAACGATAAAAGCGCCCCTGAAGATGCAATGGTGACGGGCGACGGGCCTGCATTGGGCGATGAAGTCCCGTCTACACCTTCAGCGGCTGAGCCTCGTGAGCTGCAACACACTCCAATCCCACTCTTGGGAGCAGAGAAGATCATGAAACGGAAGAGCGTAGCTGCCCAGGTCTCCGTTGTTCTGTACAATCCTGGTGAGCCTCGAGTCAATGTAGCGCGCACCTGTCTCCACCGGTTTTGCTCAGCATCCCCGGATTGGGGGTGGACGAGGTTTCATGGGCCTTGCTACGAGATTCCCGTCCGCGCGCCAGGTCAACGACAAGCTTTGCTCCGCAATGATAAGCTTGCATTCACGGGCTACATTCGTATCGTCAATGATGAGACCAATTGTCTCTGGGAGCATCCTAGCGCGGACAACCCTTGGAACAGCTTAGCTATGACCGGTCTGCACGGTTTGACATTCAGAACCTCGAGCTTCAGTTCCACTTCTCTTTCTGGGGGCAACATCATTTCTGCGATTGCTCCTTGGATGCTATTGAAACCTATACGGCAGCTCCTGTACAAGTTCAAGCCTGACACTGAAGATCCCTCTGTGCGGCCTAGACCATTGATCGCTGCACTCCAGAAGGTATTGTACATGCTTCGGACACAAGTGCGACCTAGCTCAGATTCGGTATCTCTAGACCCAATCATAGATGCTCTTGGGTGGTATGGCATTCACACCGATCTGGCCAAACTCGATGTCATTGCCGTGTGGGAGCACCTGCGCGGCAAATTGGAAGATGAAATGTGCGATACCACATTCTCAAATGCCTTTCAAGATCTATATGGTCCGAGGAAAGACTACAAAACGGGTACTCCGAATCACCGCGTGAGCGTGTTGGGTGTCGAGAGTATGCAACAAGCTGTCAACCAAAACCCAGAGCTAACCGCTACCACCTTTCCTCCACCAAAGCTACTGACAATCGAGTTGGATCGCCAATACTTTGATGCTGGATCGCGCTCTTATGTGAAGCTGTTGAACAAGGTCTCCTTGGATGACCACATCGAAGTGAGGAGCACTGGTTACACACTATTTGGCTTCATTACGCATAAACAGACATTGCAATCGTATCTATATCAGCCAATCCTACGACCTGAAGGGCCTGGCTCTAAATGGTACAGTTACTCGGATAGCCGCGATGACAACATGGTCAAGTGCCTGACCCAGCGCCAAGCTGTCACAATGCACGAAGGTAAAGAAGGCTCAGGACGCGTTACTGGCAGTGACTCCATTGCATATATTGCAATGTATATCCGAGACGACATATCGGCATCTGCATTCCCCCCAGAGCCAGAGGGCTGGGACCTGCCTAACCACATAGTTAGAGAGTTTGGCCAACGATCCGCTGCAGAGGAATCAAAGGAAACATCGGGAGAGGACCAAGAGTCCTCGGAACAATCTGAAAAGATCGGTAATGGGCCTAAAGATTCTCCGCCTCCAGAAGAGCGTCAATTCCAAGTGATCAATTCGAAAGCTTTTCTGAATCACGAAGGTCCTGGGACCGTCGATGTACATGGCTCAGATTGGGCATCAAAGCAATCGGGTCTTGTGCATTATGTACAAATAAGAGCTACTGATGGATACAAGGACATTCGAGACAAGATTGCTGCAATTTTGAGCGATGTGCAGGACCCACGCCAAGTCAAATTTTGGTTTCTTGATACGAGCAGCGGCTCATACGGGCAACCACAACTGCTCAGCACTGGGAAGATCGAATTTTCTAGCGGATTATATGACCGAGATGTTGAGCAGATTCAAGACGAAAAGCTTGAGGAGCATTCTCCATATTGGAATTCTCGTAGGATATGGTTCCACGTCGTAGACTTTGCGGACCTCCCTGAATTACCTACGGAATTACCTACGGAATTACCTACGGAATTACCTACGGAATTACCTACGGAATTACCTACGGAATTACCTACGGAATTACCTACGGAAGAGCCAAATGTGGCACCTGATCCTCCTGCCGCTCCTACGGCCACAGAAACTGCCGATGTTGCGCCAGCTGTGCCCAACGAAAACCAGCCTGTTGCAGAGGCCCAGCAGTCGGAAGATACTCCTATGAGCGAGCCTGACGACTCGGAACCTCAGCACCCACAGCCCACCGCGTTGGAAATTCCGCAACCCGTGCTTCCTAACGTTGGCGACACTGCTATGGTCGAAGCCGATGCGCCAGCCCCTCCTGAACCCCCTGTCAACGAAACCGTCCCTCCACCTGAAGGTGGCGCTGATACAGAAATGGGTGGTACCCAAGAGAATGATGCCCAACCGCCAAACCCGGTTGATTCATCCTCTGAACCAGCTCCAGTGCCTGTCGAAGAGCACCCACAGAGCCCGGAGCCTCCGATCGAAAGGCCTCAGACACCTCCCCCACCCCCTGATGAGCTATACTTCTTTGTCAAGTTTTTCGATGCGGAAAAGCAGATCTTGGTACCGAAGGGTTCCTTCATCGCCCAAAGGTCTGCAAGGCTAGAAGCGACCATTGCGAAGTCATTGGATATTCCGTCCGATCAGAAATTGGAACTATATGAAGAGAGCAAGTTGACACTCGCCAGCCCACTCAAGGGTCGCAAGACATTCAGCTCAAATGATTTGCGGAGTGCTGCCATCATTGTGTATACGTATCCATTGAGTACAGAACAGCGCGAGGCTCTTTCTGACCGCGCTGCCTTCGCCGATCTGCAGTCATACCTCGCCTTCCGCGCTCAAGCACGCAACTTCCCCACCACCCTCAATGGGCACTTTACTCACAGCTACTTCTCCTCGCAATATTATAAAGGCGAGTTTAAGAACGGGTATCGGCACGGAAAGGGCCACCGCATCTATCATAGCGGCGCGACCTACGAAGGAACATTCCGGCTTTCCCAGCGTCACGGCGATCATGGTCGATACACGTACCAAAATGGAGATATTTACGACGGGCAGTGGGTCGCCAACCAACAACATGGTACAGGTACCTTCACCGAAGCCGCAACGGGCAACACGTACATGGGCGGTTGGAAAAACGATAAAAAGTTCGGAGAGGGCGTCACGCACTGGAAGAATGCGCAAGAGACGGAGCGACTATGCAGGATCTGCTGGGAGGAGAGCGCCGATGCGGCGTTCTACGACTGCGGGCACGTGGTGGCTTGTCTACCTTGCGCGAGACAGGTGGAGAACTGCCCTGTTTGCAGGCGGAGGGTTCTGAGCGCCATGAAACTCTATTATGTGGCGTAAACCCGGCAACAGAATCGTCGAGGAGCAAATCAAACCAACCAAATGCAGCAATGCACCGACAGAATTGGCCAATCTCTCCTGGACATCCTTCCCGCGGGAAAGCGACAAACGACAATAAAGACCAAACAGCAGAGCCATCACTGAACGAACGAATGAATGGACGGATCCAAAGGCGCAAAAGAATCGGAAAATCAAACTTACTTTCGTTTCTTCATTTTCTTGTTTTTGGGTATACAGGTATAAAGTAAGGCGAAACAAGGCGGGCATGGGAAACTCCGGCGAAGACAGAATGGTGTTTTATTTGAGGGTTTTAGGACAATCCAAACCACATTATATGAAAGATACACTTTTTCTTCTTCTTTTCGGGGGAGGCAAGCAAGGCGATCCGGGGTGTGCGGTCCTTTTCTTCTTTTCTTCTTCTCATCTGTTCGATTTAGCGGCTTTGGATTACTGCCTTCGCTTTATATTTCCCCTTATCTAAATTCTCCCAGTCGTTTAATGCAAATGGAGAAGGAGAAGATAATCTCTTTCTTCTGCTCCTGTCCTTTTTTCTTTGTGTCTACTGGTTTGAAATGGCTTAAATCGTAGATAGAATCTATAAACCACCACCACTCAACAACTACAACTACAACAAACTGACAACGCTGGGATAATTCAGATCATTATCATTATCATTATCAATATCTTGCTTACTCATTTAGACTGATGAATTATAAAGTCCCGTGATTTATTAAATTTCCACCAGATACATTGAATTTCGATACTGTTCAGATCAGAGACGAGAAAGTAATGTAATCCTTCTATTCACACACACCGAGGTAATTCAAACGAGGTAATAACAATTAAAAAACAGGCAGCAACAGAAAAGAAAGCCGAGGGAGATAAGTCAAGACATGATTGTAGATAGTTATATACATAAATCATAATATATAAGAGACGTCGCACGAGGACGTGTCCACAGCAAGCACCCGCTCAAGCACAATGAATCGCAAACCAACGACTAATTGTAGCAAGATGATTAATCATATCGGCATTGTTCGAGAGACAGAGAGAGAGGAAACAAGAAAAGAAAAGAAACAAAAACATAGCGAAGAGCAAAACGAGGACGAAGAGCAACCCTCCACACTGCAGCGCAAGCCCACTTTCTCAAAACCAAAGTAAAGGAGAAAACACAAAAAATCAAGAAAAAGGGTATAAATGATTCGTTTCGAGCCGGCAAATAACCGCTTGCCTTGTACATAACAGAGAGAAACGCTGTTGCTACATGACAATACACTTGTCCCGATCCTCGTGAGAGCCCACAGGCCCGCCACTATGCCTACCATGACGTCCTGGAGGCCCGTGCGGTCGACCATGCGGCATCTGGTTCGGAGGTGCCTGTTGAGGACTGTTTTGATACGTGTTCCCTTGTGGTCGGAGGGGCGCATTTTGGCTTGCTGGGTGGCCTGCAGGAGGATGGTACTGAGGTGCTGTAGAGGCTTCTTCGTACGTAGGTGGGGGTGCTGGCTCATTGCCAGGTCTATGTACGGGCGCGTTGCGGCGTGGCGGGATGACTGGCGGTGTCTCTCCGGAGCGAGATGTGCGTCGGTTACCGGGCCGTGCTTGGGATTGCGTGGAGATGGCGTTTTCAGATAATCTGTTTTCCTGGCGTCGACGCTCTTCTTGCGCTCTTCGATGCTGGTCTTCCTCTTCTTCTTGCAATTGGAGTGCCAATGCCAAGTCGTGATCCTCTTGTTCGGTCCTGCTCAGACCCGATGAAGGTGATGCTGGAGGCTGATTGGCCAACGGACTCAGACCTGCGGAGGGGCGCTGCTGATTGCCATTATGATGCACAGTTGTCCATCCTTCATTGTCGTCAGCGTCGAGTAGACTCTGTACAGGTGGTTGGTCTCGAGATTGAGTGGGCTGGCTGTTGACAGAGCTATCACCGCCGACAGGGCGGAAATCGCCAGAAAATAATTCGCTTCCTTGTCCATTGACATCGACTAGGGACTCCCAGACGATCTCTTCATGGCTAGAGTAACCTTGATCGGTGACCAAGGTGACCAACTTCTCCGTTCTTGGGTCTTTGTAAAGGGTTGTGAAGTGATCATTTCGGAAGAGAATTGCCACTTGCCCAGATGCTAGATTATCCCTCATAGTCCTAAGGCCATGATTTGTCAACTGTGTGGGCCAGAGACTGAGGAATTCCTTGATAGCGTGAATATCAGTGAACATTTGTTGTTCGTCTGGGGACAACGCATCGCCAGTTTGTAACTTAGCGTCCAGTTCTTCCTCTTGAAATTGCACATATTGAGAGGTATCGTAGGACTTCGCAATGCGTTCGAACGCGAGATACGCATCAGAACCTGGGTCTGGAAGCCAGCCATGCATCAATGGAATATTGAATGTTCTGTAGAGCTTCATTTCCCGGGTGTTCTCAAATCCACCGGCATTCTGAGCGAGACCGGGTACTAACGTCGATGTGCCGTCCGTAGTGTCTGCATCTTTGACAAACATTGGATTCACATTCAATCCAGTATGAAGCCGAAGGAGGAAATTGTACAACTCGCTGACGTCTGGTAGCTCTTGAGCAGCACCTCCTCTTCGTCCTGACATCAGTTCATCGAAAACGGCATCGAGAAGTAGACCAAGAGTGACTTGTTCCCGTGTCCGGAGGGTCTCTACCAACGCAGTTTCGGTGTGAGCAGGAGTTGAAAGTACGAGAGCATTCACGAGAGCCAAGAGTGGACATGGTCCATTGAGATTCTGCGTCAAGATGGGAGATGTCCTAATTCCTGATTTTTTGACGTCATGCCAACGGATTTGTTTGATTTGATATGTTTCCTTGCGTTGTCGATCCATTGTGCTGTTTGGTGACTCTGGCCCTGCACCTCCCGCACTTATCACCCCACCGTCGTGCGAAGGTCTTGGAGGGATGGCAGAAGCTTGTGTCTCCTGAGTGCTTGCTGGTAGAGTAGAAGCAGGCTGCTCTGGAGATTGTGGAATGACCGGGGTATCGAATATAGATGGGTTTCCATTGGGTTGTTGAAACGCAGGCTCATTCACAGGATTGCTCTGTACCTGATGCGATCGCGAAATCTCATTGTGGTATGGCTGTGCATGTTGATTGTTCCAGTTATTCTGGTCATGTGTACTTTCCGTACCACCATAGCTCTTGGCAAAAGCGTCCAAGGACGAGGCGTCCATGCCGGGCTCGTGGTTGTTCGGAGAGCTCGCACTATGCACTGAGGCCGACGGGGGTGCTGTTGCTGATTCTACGGCAATGATTGGGGGGTGGGGAGGATAGTCGGAGTTCTGGGTAGGGAGAGGGTGGTCGTTGAGGCTGAGATCCTGCATAGACTTTGTAGGAGCGGTAGGCGTCTGATTTGAGGGCAATTCGGCAGGGCCAGTATACGTCGGCGCCTGCGCTGGACTATCTCCCCAGACTTGCTGGCTATCCTCACCCCCAAAAGCAGACTGGCCAGTATGTTGCATCTTCAGATATGGGTTGTTGGTCTGCAATGGTACTGAGCCGGCCGAAATGTTGCTGACGGCGCCATAGGACGACGAGGTAGCGCCTGTAGCATCGGGGGTGATGTATTCATTTGATCTTTTGGGGGCTACTCCTGGAGGCGGGCCAGGGCGTAGGATGTCGGGTAAAGCAGTATCTTTGCTGCTTCCGGGAATCGGGACTGGTTTCCCACCACCAATTTTCAAGGTATCGGGCAAATCTGGTGTTTCTTCGTCTGACTGATCCCACTCATTGTCACTATAATCAGATGCATCGTCGTCATCTTCTTTTTTTGGGTTCTGGGCTTGTGCAGCGGTTTGAGGATTGGATGCGGGGGGCTCGGAAGGCTCTTGGGAGTGAACAGGCTGGCTGCTGGGCGAGGAGAAAGGAAAGGAAGGCGGATGCTCGTCTGATGGAGTCGTGGGATAAGGAGGGCGATTGATGGCTTGTGATAGAGGGGCGGGGACAAGACTGTCGGCGGGGAGGGGTTTGCGCAGCACCATGGTAGATGACGGAGTCGATGTGGGGATGCAAGGCAGCTCTCGCGGAGCTCGAGGAGGATGATTGAGCTCGAGGAAGGATGGACTTTCGGGTGGAGAACGGGTTCTTGGATGCACTGGGAAGAGTTACAAGGTGGCCAGCTGGCAGGTCGAGCTAGTGGTAGTTGTAATGTATAGAAAGAGTGAAGCAGGAAGAGTGAGTGGGTTTTGTGGAGGTGGATTGCTCTCCGGACCATGGAAACGCTCGGTCCAGCAATGACGAACGACGCGGCGGCGGGAAAGCCCCAGCCACACTCGCACAGCCACACCCGTGGCGAAATAAAATTGATGTTCCGAGGTGATCGACTACGGATTTTTTCCCTTCCGTATAGCAGTGATATATACAAACATCTATCCAACTTTTTACTTCGTCACCGCTCAGGGCTGTAATTGATCGACAATTCACTGCTGAGATAGTAAGAGGGGACGGTAGTTACTCGATCTCTGCATAAGCACAGCGCCCAGCGCACTCACATGGTCCTGATATCCGTGTCATTCTGTGCATTGTAATCTATCTATATCATCAGCACAGGTCACTACACAGGTCAACACTGGACCGCGCAATGCATTCATTCATTCGGCCGAACACGCACGTTGCTTTGCGACTACCTTCTGGTCTTTTGAAGATTGTCGAAGTCATTCCTAATACGTACGTGACCTGGTCGTACTACTATAAACCCCCCAACCGGCCTAGGCTACACGGTGCCTACACCCATTCGTGCCTATACTTCGGTGCTATATATATTCTTATTTGGATGCAAATGCTAACCAGTACCATGTAGCAACGTCAATCTGGGCAAGTACGGCACATTTTCTACAAACCAGATCCTCGGCCGACCCTATCATCTCACATTCGAGCTTCTTGACTCCGAAAAAGAGAACTCAAAATCAGCTGCTCAGTTGCGTGTCGTACCTGCCTCTGAACTACACGCTGAAGCTTTGGGGAGCGACCAAGTTTTACCTCCTGCGACGGGAGGAGACAGCACCCCCATCGAGGCCGACGGCGATGCTGCGGCCAATGGGAGCGTGGGATTTGATATCGTCAATGAGGATGGAGATGTCATCATGAGGAATAATCGCCTGACTGTCGATGACCCCTCCCGCCAAACCTTAACCATGGAAGAGATCGAAGAGCTCAAGAAAGCCGGCGTAGGCTCTGGAAAGGACATCATAGCCAGAATCATGGCATCGCATCTGGCCATTGACGAAAAGACTTCCTTTTCCCTCGCCAAATACACACTTCGAAAATCTCGCAAATATCTCAAGAGATTTACCGTATTGCCCCTGGATCTGGGTACGCTCACCGAGTATGTTACCGAAAAGGAAGCTTACAAGATCATGGAACTCCGAGAGGAGACACTGGGACTGATATGCAGCTGGGCCAACGTCCACAGTGCTTCCGGTGCCCGCGTGCAGACAGCTGAAGATGGTGTCAGCCAACTAGGAGGAGGGAGGTGGTTAGTAGTTGATGATACTGGAGGTCTAGTAACGGCGGCATTGGCAGAGAAGATGGGAATCCTTTATCCAACTGTAGAAGAAGAAGAAGAAGAAGAAGAAGGCGACGAGGAGAAGGAGCAAGATGCAAAAAAGGTCCATGAGAACGGTTCGGAATCTGTGGCAATTGTAGTGTCGAAACAGAACAGTGTCGACCACGTGGCAACAGCAGGAGCAGGTGATAATGAGGCCTCGTCAAGCCACACACCTCACAAGCCCCCGAAATTCACGAACGGCAACCATGAGGGACCTCGCCCTCCAAGAAAACCCCGACAGCACGTAGCTCAGATGTCCGCTCAAACAAATACCCTTACAGTCTTGCACTCAAACAACCAACCCAACATATCGCACCTCAAGTATTTTGGTTTCGATACAGGTGCCCCTGTTGCCTCGCATCCTTTATATACACACCTTAAATCCGTCTCTTGGCTTCAGCTGCTGCATCCCATGGAAGATCCATCATACGTAGAGCCAGAGAGAGTAACGGATGATGTGTTAGCAACTATGAAGAGCTCGAAGCGAGGAAACTACTACAAAAAGAGAAGGCGATGGGAAAAGACCAAGCGAGTAGTAGATGAAGCTCGAGCAGGTGGATTCGATGGCTTAGTTGTGGCAAGCAGTATGGAGGCAAAGTCCATTCTTAAAGAGTTGGTACCTCTGGTCCGGGGTGGCGGTAGAGTGGTGGTCTACAGTCCTAACGCGGAGCCTCTTGTTGAGCTTTGCGATTATTACAGCAAAGATAGGCGCGCGGCGTACGTTGCTCGCGAATTTGGAGCCGAACAAGATGGCAAAGTAAAAACAGACCCAGATGATAATGGACCCGACGAAACCGAGGACGAGGATGAAGACTTTCCAGTGAATCCCACTCTGCTGCTAGCGCCATCCTTACAAACTGCAAGAGCGAGACATTGGCAAGTATTGCCGCAGCGAACACATCCTTTTATGACCAGCAAAGGTGGCGCTGAAGGGTACCTGTTTACAGGCACAAGAGTGCTCCCTATTGAAGGCAGAGTAGAAGCCAGAGGGCACGGAAGATCGAAAAAGCGGAAGATAGCAGAATCTTAGGCAGGCCGATTTGAATGCTCGCATCACAAAACATCTGCCCGACCAGTAGCTACTATATAATACACCACATCGTATCGAAGTAGCTCTGCAAACGGATGTGCCAGACACAATCTACCAATGGCGGTGTTGCAAGTCGTGAGGAGCTACGGCGCTAGCTTATTCACATCTATACATTCTTTTCTGGAGTCGACTTCACCTTCGATTTTCCTATTAGCATTCCCTCTCACTCTCCTCATCGTTACAGCATGTGGTCCAAGCGCCCTTTATCTCTACCTACACCCTTTCGTCGAGGCCCACGCACAGTCACAGACTGTGTCGTACCCGCCTACTGCCTGCTCTGTTTATCTGACTTTCTGCTGTCGCCGTCACAGCTGTCACATTCTCGTTCGTCTGCTCCCAGATCCCCCCTGTCAAACCGCGACCATCACCACCATTGCGGCCTTGCTCGTCGAGCTTGCTACAAGTCTCTCTGCGCTGGACCGAGCATAGACAGCTAGAGTGACTTAGCCATTTGCGAGCTGTAAAAGCCTCGATGATACGATCAACGCAAGCCAAAAATTCAAGGTACGAGTGAATACGCCTGACACCGCTTGTGTGTGGGCGCGCGTGTGTGTGAAGGCCTTGCCAGCCAGCCTCCCCTTCAATCAATTCTCCCGTGCGTGTGTTTTAACTTTAGGACATATCAGCCATTCCATTGCAAGATGTCCCCTCTCAAATCCAAACCATCCTTCGGAAGGTTGAGGACGAAGAGCTTGTCTGAGGCTGACGTCCCTTCGCCGACAACCCCCACTTCACCATTGAGTCCGGTGTCTCTAAAGTCTTCAAAATCATATGGGAAGTTGAGAAAGAAGAAAATTCCTACTGAGATCGTTCCACCTCTCCCCCCTCTTCCAAGCAGCCCTACCACCCCGACCACACCCAAAACCCCGTTCCTCAAAGCCAAATCATCACTCGGGAAACTGAGAGGAAAAGCCGCGTCCCAAGAGGATGTGCCTCCACTCCCCCCAATGCCCGCAGAATTTGCGACAGGGATGAGCCCAACATACATATCCCAGTGGGTAAGTAACGTGAACCGCCTCTCTAAAAAAGAGCGGGACAGAGCTGTTCTCACTGCTTCCGCTGTGGACCACAACCTTTCCGCTGGAGACAACTACGACTTGTATGATACTCTTAAGGCTTTCAAAGAACAGGATAGTCTACGGAGTGATATTACAGAGATGGCAGCTACATCTGCACGTGCTGCCGATTATTACTGCCCAGTAGTCGAAGACCCACGGGTCGACGACACCAAGGTTGAAGATCCAAGGATGGAAGAAATTAGGGCTCGAGCTAAGAAGTCTGGAGAGGAGTTGCCCAAGGGGCTTAATATTGTTCCATGGCCCGCAGGAGATTCCCCTCCTAATACACCTGGAAGTGATACTTCGAGAATACCAACAGCTCCTAAGAGTCCGATAACGCCCACTCCGGCATCAATCACACAAGCTGAATCTTCAGCAGCAAAGAATCCCCGCAAGAACGAACGGCGCTTCTCTGCACCAGTCCGACCATCCTCACCACGAAGCAGAGCCTTGTACGAAGAACTTCTGGAAATGGTTGATGATCTTACCGTGGAAATTCAAAAAGAGGAACTCGTACCTAAGCTTGAAGCGGCCGTCGAAGCTGCCTCTCGTGTGCTCGACATGGCAAATGAAGAGTTTGAGAGATTCTACTCTCTCTCTCAACCAGCAAATACACACGAGCGTATGGAGCCTTTCCGGAATAGTGGGACATATCCTCAACGGGAGAGCGTTGATCTTCCAGCGTCCGGAAAAGCCATCATGTGGGCAACTAAGATCCTAGAAGACAAGCAAGCAGACCGTAAACTTGCAGCTTCTAGATTTAACGAAACAACTATATCTAATTCACCACCAAAACAATCCGCATTAGCAGTAAATCTAGATGCTGCCACAAAAGCTGCATTCACGTTAGAAAGAAAAGCAACATTGAGGCGGTTATCTACGAAGCCCGTCCCTAAGCCCGCGGTAGAGTCATCTTACACTTCCTTCGGGGGTTATCCCTTGCATAGCCCAGTTGAGGAAGGTTCTGAAGAAAAGGCTTCCGTGGAGTCACGATTGGCGACACTTACACCAACAGAAAATCCCGACGACGTGACAACCCGCCAGAAAAGAAAGGCTCGTGTTGAATTCAGGAAGTCATCGCCCACTTTGGGAGAAGATTTCGCTTTGCGAAGGGCACGGGAGGGGAAAGCTCCTGTGGAGTTCAGAGAGTCACCGCCCATTTTGGGGGAAGATTCCGATTTGCTAAGGGCACGGAAGGGAAAAGCTCCTGTGGAATTGAAAGAGATGTCGCCTACTAGGATGAAAGATCTTCCCGTGACAAAGCGGCGGGAGAGGAAAGCCCGTGGAAAGTTGGAAACCGCATTATCCGCCCTGGACAAGCTCGATCTCACGAACCCACGAGGAGAAGCGGAGTCTACGGCATCGAGAGAGTCGTCATCCACGTTGATGGAGAACCCTGACGTGGTCAAGTTGCTGGAAAGGAGAGCATCGACGGAATCGGTGAAATCGACTGCTACTATGAGAAGAGTACCTGTCGTGGAGACACCACGAGGGCAGATCGATGTGGAGAAGCGGAGACGCAAAGGCCACGCCCCGGAGATGACGGAGTTGAGGAATTGGAGCGACAGCCTCAGAGAGATGGGCTTGGACATCGAGGCAAAAGATGATGAAAAGGAGGACGAGCAGGAGGAACCAGAAGAAGAGGAGGGCGGGTTTTTTTGATTGATCCTGCAGCGTTCCACAGACAACGCATCAAACAAGAGTTCGCAAAAAAGTGAATCATGAGCACACATCTGCCGCCTTATGCAGTAGTGCCGAGATAAAGAATTACCGAGGAGAAAAGCATAGCGCATGGAGTTGGCATTTTCTGGGGCAATACTGGATCTTAGGGTTCGCGTATTGGATGCGGGTCTTTTCTGCTATGGAATGATCAGGTTCCTTCGTACATCGTCCTTCGTGGAAACGGTATGAAGTCTCCCATTGGAGCTTTTACTTCTGAAGTGTAATACCACAATGAATCATCTTGAAATCCGAACTGTATATATACGAAGTGAACTTCTTTTCAAAAGCTTGCATCAAATTTTAACCCCGTCTGCCTGACGAATGGTAGTGGTGTAGCGAGTATGGACCCTTCCATGCTTGGTCAGCACAACATGGTTCACATGCACATCCGTATTCCGATGTATCCTAACGTACAACTTTGCAGCACGCCGTTCACATTGTTTCGTGATCGCAAACAAGATGTTGAAATCTCGCGTCAAAAATAGATTCAAGACGAATTAAGAAGTCATTGACGTCACTTAGCCAGTGCGCTAACCAATTCCAGCAAGCAATGTACCGCAATAAACAACTCCACTCCATCGCGAAAAGGTTTGGATGTCACGATACTAGCTGCCAGATCTCCCCCAATCGCATCCTCTCCTCTTGTGCTACGAATTCCTACGTGCCCATCCTTGTTTTTCTTTCTGAACAAACATCGGCGAATAATACAACATGAACTCAATAACAGGTACATACCCCCCCCCACAGATCTCAACTCCAGATATCACCACACAAACAGACCAATTGATCCCCCCCTCCCCCCAGAATACCTCTTCTCCGATGCCACAATCAACCCCCTCCTCGACAAAGGCTATCTCCCGCACTCGGTAATTCGCCTCGGCATCCGACGCCAACTAGCGCAGCGCCTCCAGGAAATCAGCACCACATCCCTAACCGCCGCCTATGAATCCAAAATGCGATATGTAGAGCTTCTTAGAAGCCGCCCGATTGCCATTGAGACCAAGACGGCGAACGAGCAGCATTATGAGGTCGGAACGGGGGTGTTGGAGGGGATGTTGGGTCCTAGGATGAAGTATTCGAGTTGTCTTTATGAGAAGGGTGAGGAGACGTTGGAGCAGGCTGAGTTGGCTATGCTGGGGTTATATGTGGAGAGGGCTGGGTTGGTGGATGGTATGAGTGTGCTTGATTTGGGGTATGGATGAGTTCCCTTTTCCTTCAAATGCCTTTACGAGTTGGCTGTTGGTCACGTGTTTTGGGAGATTTGCGGCATCGAGGTGCTTAATTGGATATGGCGGAGCCATCGAGGACTCTCATGCTAACAATCGGTCACAGTTGCGGTTGGGGCTCTGCATCGCTCTACTTCGCCGAGAAATTCCCCAACTCCAAAATCACCGCCTTCTCCAACTCGCGTACGCAAAAGGAACACATCGACGGTGTGGCCAAATCAAAAGGCTTCAGCAATCTGACGGTCATTACGGGAGACATCGTCGACTATGAATTCGAACCAGAAATCTTCGACAGAGTCGTGTCAATCGAGCTTTTCGAGCACATGAAGAACTATGAGCTGCTCATGAGCAAAGTAGCCAAAGCGCTGAAGCCCAACGGGAAGCTGTTTGTGCATATCTTCTGCCATCGGAGCACGCCGTATGATTTCGAAGGGGGGTGGATGGGCGAGTATTTCTTCACTGGAGGTGGGTCTTTTCTCTTCCCTGAACCCCTGGCTCATGGATACGAACATTGAGCATGGGTCTTCTTCTGCATTGTCATCACTGATCACATAAACAGGAACGATGCCCAGCGCCGACCTCCTTCTCTTCTTCCAGGATCACCTCGCCATTCAGTCACAGTGGTGGGTGAATGGCCAGCATTATGCGCAAACGTGCGAAGATTGGCTGTCGAGGATGCTGGCGTCCAAGGATGCCATTTGGCCGCATTTGCTGAAGACGTATGGCGAAGAAGGTAAGTTCTTACATATATCATTTTTCTTTCCCGGGATACCACGTTGTGTGGTGTTCCGATGACCTAGTATCCCATCGAAATATCCCAGCTTGTACTTTGCTAACATCGCTTTTCTTTCTCTTTTAGGTGTGGTGACATGGTGGAACAGGTGGCAAATATTCTACATGGCATGTGCGGAGCTGTTCAAGTGGGAGGGCGGTGATACGTGGGGTGTCACGCATCTTTTATTTGAGAAGCGGAGCGGTTCTGTAAAGAAGTAGGAGTTCAGAGCTTCCTGGTAGATCAATCAAGATTCTGAAACACAGTTCCCACTGAAATTTGATGCCAATTGGATTAAAATTTCATCACTTTGAAGAGATTCAGCCAGTCAATAGATCGAATGAGGAGCAATATGGACGGGATGCAAACCTTGGAATTGCTACCAATACTCTATGTAAAAATACATTAGGCCAAAGACCCCATTTCCCTGCACTCCAAACAATATCGCTTGACTAAATGGAATAAGATGACAATGGTCAAACCCTAGAAAGCGCCGCCACTTTGTTCTATCCAACAAACGGCAGCACCAGACCATTTCAAACATCCTTTTTCAGACAGGCAAAACCGTCTAATTGCCAATCCTGTGCTCCCCGATGCTGTCCTCCCAGCTCGGTTTGCATTGGCATCCCAGCACTTTTAAATGCAGAACACCCTTCTCGGCAGCCTCGACGAACCAGTTCGCCCACTCCACCTCGTGCTCCAACCAGCCCCGCGCTTCACCCAATTCCACACGCTCATCCAGATGCGCCTCGAGCCAGTCGCGCAATTTCTTCGCAGACTCAATCACGACCTTCTCGACATCTACGCTCCCTTCTTTGGCCTGAGCCTGCGCTTTCCTCACGGCCGCCTTTTTGACCTTCCGAGCCTTTACTTTCGCAGCTCGGTTCTGGGTAGGGTTGGCGCTAGAATCCGACCGGGAGACAGATATGGAGGTAGAGGTGGAGGCGGAAGTGGACGAGGAGGTAGAACCGGATCTAGCGCCGGATGGTAGACGGTCGCTAACCATGCGCTCAATTCTATTACCGAGCGCATCGAACACTGCCTCGCTCTCATCATACTCAGACAACTTTTCAGCCTGGCGTCGGAGCTGCATGGTGTCGCCGATGGAGGCACGGGTGCACGGGAGGAGTGTCTTGGAGGGTGCGTGAAAGGAGTAACCCGCCATTTGGCGAAGGACAAGTATGTCCTTGAAAGAAGTGTTGGTGTTGATGAGTTGTGGGTTCTGTTGGAAAGATGGCTGTGGGGTGAAGTATGGGTTTTGGGAGGTGCTGGGGTTGTTCAGCTGTGAATGTTGTTGAAAGGATGATTGGGGGGTAGAAGCGTTTGCTGGGGCGTCGCTCCCGAATGAGGTGGTGTATGAGAACCCATAGGTGATGCGTTCTTGCGGATTCCCAGATGGGTGTAGACCTGAGACGTTCTGGGGATTTGCATGGTCATGCGTATTCGTGTCTGATCCCGACGTAGTACGTGCTAGTTCGGCATCGTACATCTCTTCATCTACCACTGTCGCAGTGTCCTCGTCATCGTTTGAATGATCGGTCCATGAACCAGTCGGAAGAGGAGTCTGCTGTGCAAGCTGAAAATTTGTCTTGCAAGAGTTACGTACAAGCCTAGAATTGTACAGATTGTCATCTGCAAATGTCGATGCATCGTCGGGACTCGGTTCAAAGCTGTTCCAAGCACCAGGTACGGCTGCAACTTGTTGATTGTGGCGAGCACCAAGAAACGAAGACTCCGTTGGTTTTGTGCGGAACGTCCGAGAGTAAAGTGATGGCGTCTCGGTTGCTGTCTGAGTACTCCGAAAGGGAAAGATCGGGGGGATGTCATTTTTGTCCGACGCAGCCAGTGATGGTAACGACTCCTTCACAGTCTCGGATACGTGAGAACCTGAAGTTAATTGTGCCTCAGGCTTCTGTTCCTTTTGCGACTTTTTCAGGACCTTCGGCTTTGGTACGCGATCTTTCGTGATTTGTTCATTGTCTGAGGAACTTGTCTCCGGAATCTCATCCGAGAACTTTCCAGCCTGACTTTTGTTAGATCGTGTCCAAATGCGTTGACAGTGAAATTTTGTTCATTACAAAAAACATATCGCGAGAGGAGGTACTTACGGGGAAAACATCCCTTCGAATCTTTTGGTATTCCGACAATCGGTACTTGGGAGGCATTGTTTATGGTCAAGTGGAAAGTATCGTAGACCAATACAATTCCGCGGAGGAAGAAATTGTCTTAAGAAGGATGTTAATTGGTTGATTCGTGAGATATAAGGGTTGAAGGTTGAGTGAATAAGTGTGGAAGAATATAAGAATGGACGCGTCGAAGCAAGTGAATTGGGAGTGTTATTATATAGATTGGAACAAACACAATACGCGCAGGCCGCAGCAGCGCTACAAACGCCTATAGAGAGTGAGCGACTAACCACAAACATGGCGCTAACTCGCGTCAAAAGTGGAGCCAATCAATTCTCAAATCGCTGTCAGTATACATATATATGCACTTACTTACACATACACGGTATTTCGCTGCGGTAATTGATATATATACTTCAGTGTTCGACTTTCACTATACGCCAATGGGTAGTTTTCTTAGCTCCTATGGCTCTATCTTCATTTTCCGTTCCCAAGCAACTCCACGCCCGTACGCACCACTCCGATTGTGGCGCCGGTTTGTATAGCCTCGTTTCCACCTCCGCTCAGTCGATATTCAATATCTGCAAGCCCAGACATCCACGTTACCATTGTCTGTGAGGGGACCTCGTTCTTCACCAGTTCTTCGCTCAAGGCTGTCAGAATATCCGCCAGCGCAAGACCTTTCAGCGCTTTGATGTTGTTGATAGTCTTCAAGCACTGTGTGATGTCGCCGGTTTCTAGTAACATGTTCAAGATGTATTGTATATCAGCTGGGTGGGGTGCAGCTATACAGTCGTAGATTGTCGTTTGTGTGATCTCGTCACGCACCACCGTCTTCGGGTCAGGTACTGGTTGCCCTGGGGCAGCAAGCGGCGTGCTTGATGCATGACAAGCTTGCAGCACGTTCAAGGCTCGCCTCATGTCGCCCTTGCTCAGCGTAACCAATGACTCCGTAGCGTCTTGTGTTATGTTCACACGTTCCTCCTCGACGACCTTGTCCACCAGATTCCTTATGTCGACTTCTTTCAGCGGCGAAAACCGGAATCTCGTGCATCGCGATAAAAGAGCCGGCGAAAGTTTGTGTGTATAGTTGGCAATAATGCAGAACCGTGTGTTTGCTGTATATTTCTCCATAATTCTTCGTAGAGCCATCTGTGCTGTTGATGTCATTGCATCTGCCTCGTCCAGTATGATCAACTTGAATGTTGCTAGTGATGAACTGTCGCCGGGCTTTGGTGCTGCCGCAAAAATTTGTCTTGTGCTACTGAACGTCTTGATCTGTTCCCGGACAACATCGATTCCTCTATCGTCTGAGGCGTTGAGCTCCAGTACCATTTGCCTCATGTTCTTGGTTCCGTAGATGCGGCGAGCGAGTGCTAGGACGGTCGACGTTTTTCCTGTTCCGGGAGGGCCATAGAGCAAAAGATGTGGGAGTCGCTGACAGCGTAAGCTTCGTATCGCAACCCTCCAAAACCATTACATACGTTTGTATCCACGAATCTATTGATTGTCGCTATTATATCTCTGTGACCCTCAACATCGTCGAGTGAGTTGGGTCGGTATTTCTCGACCCTTGACATAGTCAGCCATGATTCAAAATTTGAATCCACATTGTCTTACCAAGGTAATGAATCTTCTGCTTCCACTGGTAGATTCGCCGCACTCCTTTTGCCTTTCTTCGAATCTCCGCCGAATGTTACTGCAGTATCAGCAACAGGCGCATCGATCTCCATCTCATCCTCCATGTCAGACATTGTGGCGGACGATTCGACTCAAAATTCTCGTGCTCGGTTGCAATGTCGAAGGAGACGGTTCTTAAATGTAAATTGAAGGGTGTAGATTCCTTGATATATCCGCAGTGGCTTCCTCAAAATTGTGGGATGGGGAAGACGCGTCGCGCGCGGGACGTGTTAATTGGATTGCCAGGGTTGCTCCGAGAAGCTGACTAAGACAGAATGGGGACCGACCGACGACATCCCACTTCTAACCCGGGGAAGCTACGCTGGGCTGCTGCGCCATTACCTGCACCGGAGCGCTGCAAGCTGTACAACAACATTTCTTCTGAGCAGGTTTGAATTTTCAAAATGCCTGTAAGTTCCACATATGCTCACAGCTCCATGTATTTTGCAAGCTGTGTAAATCGTGTAATTGCGTCGTTCTGACCTCCGCAGGCCTACCACTCCGTCTTCCTCGATGAGCCTAACCAGCAACTAATCGGTAGGCAACATACCCTACACTTAATCCTCAGTTCACAAGGGACTGCCCCTCGATCGATCTCTCGTGCATAGCTCATATATTGTACACTAGGCAACTTCGCCCTCCTGCCGCTCCGCACACGCACCCGTGGCCCCGCCATCCAGCTCCCCGCCCTCCCCTCAGATGTCACCGACCTCACCATTGATTCCTCACACGAGTCCTACGACCCGCTAGACGAAGTCCTCTCCCTATTCCGCGCCAACACTTTCTTCCGCAACTTCGAAATCAAGGGTCCTGCCGACCGCGTGCTGATCTATGGCATTTTGTTCGTGAGCGAGGTTCTGGGGAAGATCAAGCCTGGCGCGAGTCGGAGAGACGCAGAGAAGGTAAGCTATTTCGGAACACTCGAATTGAGGGCGAAGCAGTAGAATGTGGGAGATTGATGAGCGACTACGTGGAAATATGAGATGGAAACATTTCAGAGCGCGGATGTATTGCTGACCACAATTGCCACAGGCTGTAACAAACGTCGCACTCGACACAAACTTCGCAATCCCGGGCGATGCAGGATTCCCCCTCAACCAGGCCTTCGAGGCGCCCGCAGACAGGAACCAGGCAGAGGTGCTGAGACAGTACATTATGCAGATGAGGCAGGAGCTGGCGACGAGGTTACTCAACAGGGTGTATGCGGACGGCACCAACACACCTAGCAAATGGTGGCTCAGCTTTACGAAGAGAAAATTCATGGGCAAGGCTTTGTAGTTTTTTCTTGATAGCGGAATGAAAACATGGACAGCTTAGATGTATTTGAGGTGTTTTTTCTTGACAAAATACAGATGATACGGCCGTTTTTTTTTCTGTACTTGCAGTTGTGGATCAGTGTTTCATTTTACGCACATGCATTGCAAGTCACCATTCTTCATGATCTCATGCGTAACATTGGCAAAACAGGCGCTGAAGATTGCAGTTTGTTTTTCGTCTAGACGAATGTCACAACTATGATAGATGACCCAGTGCAAGATGACTCAAATTACTCTATCTTCTTTTTTGTTAAAGGTTAATCGATATATGACAGTCGCACAATGCTAATGCCGCATGAGAACGAAAATGTCAAAATGGAAACGCCACCATAATATGCAGTAAATCATGCCTCTTCATTCCAAAAATGTAAAGAGATTCGTGTGGACGACGTTGAGTGCGCGATTGGCCTCGCGCTCCTCGATAACGCACGAAATGTTGATCTCACTGGCACCTACATACATATAATCAGTAAGACTGTCTCCTTGTTGCATACTTGGGGGGATTGGCTATAGTCACGTACCTTGAGAGATCATCTCGATGTTGATGTTGTTCTCGCCCAGCACGCTGAAGAATCGGCCGGAGATACCAATCATGTTCTTCAGCTGCCTACCAACCAGACTCACGATGGCCATATCGGGCACGATGTCGATGGCTCCAAGGGCACCCAAATCATTGACGGCGCCCTTGAGATCGTGGTCGTGGATCTTGTACTCATCCTCGCCGCCGCCGCTGAGCAGAGCAGATTCAGAGTGCAGGGCCATAGAGACGTGAACTTCCGAAGACGAAATGAGGTCGACGGAAAGGTGCCAGCGGTCGAGGATGCTGAAGATGCTCATGAGAAAGCCGTGTGCGCGTGTACGCTTGTTGCTGTGAACGTTGAGCACGATGACGTTGTGCTTGATGGTGACAGCGGTAGGGCGCTTGGGACGCTGGTGTCGCATGAGCTGGCTGGAAGAGCGCGTGCGGAAGAGCTTGGAATCCTTGAGAGGCGTCGTGGATTTGAGCTCGTCGAGCTTGTCGGGGAAGATGACGGTGCCGTTATTTCGCGGGTTCATTACATTCTTGATGCGGATTGGGATGCGAGCGCGGATCACTTGCTCCATGGTAAAGGGGTGGATGACTTCGGAGCCATAAAAGGTAAGTTCGGCGGCTTCGGAGGGCGTTACGGTGGGTAGGAGGCGTGCCGTAGGGACCTTGCGAGGATCTGCAGTGAAAATACCATCGACTTCCTTCCAGATCTGAAGTTCTTCTGCATGGATACCAACCGCGACAAGCGCTGCACAGAGGTCGGTGTAACCGCGGCCGACAGTACTGAGAATTCCTCCGGGCACATTTCCAAAGTATCCGGTGATTACAGGGACTTTTTCTCCACAAGCTTCAACTTCTTTGGCCAATGATCTGGCGAGATCCGTATAGAACGATTCGTTCAGAGCGCCATCGGAACGCGTCTCAGGCTTGATGACAACGTCTGATGCGTCCACAAATTGCGCCGGGGTCCCGCGATCATTCAGCAACGCGGCCATATAACGACAGCTCAACTTTTCACCAATGCTGATAATCTTATTCTCAGCGCGGCTCGTCACTTCCTCAAGGTGCTGCGCGGACTCGAGAATCTTGACCAGACTCTCGCACTCGGCGTTGACGTCTGCGGTGAAGGCAGCAAGTATATCATCCTTCTTCAAGATATCCTTCGCGGCCTGTATGTGGTCCAGACGAATGGCTTCGACAATCTCATCATATCCTCGATCTCCCGATCTCTCGGCAGCGCGAGCGGCGCGGAGGAGGCGGTTCGTAGTGCCTTCAAGTTTGGTGTTGTTGCTACGAGCAGAACACACGATAGCGGTGCGGTGATGAACGAGGCCGCTCCTGAACACATTGCAACATTAGTATCTGACTCCATGACTCGCAATTGCTCTTCTCCTCCGGGATCGCAAGGGACTCCAACAGGATAAGGAACTCAATTCGTACTTGACAATATCCGCTATGTTTCCAGCAAACTTGCCGACAGACGTGCCACCAAACTTGAGAACCTGCCATCCACCCGGGAGGTGCTTTTCTTCCGTGTGCGCTATCCGCTGTGACTCATGTTTGTATCCGTTGATAGTGGTAGACATGACTGGTTCTTTGTTCTGAAAATTCCGTTCCAAATTTCTAGCTCTTTTAACAATGTTTGGTTTGGGTGTTGGTTATGCAATATATGTATCCAAGAGAGGAGTAATCAATTGTAAGTGATTCGAAGATAGCGTTAGAATGTGTGGAGGAAAAGTTGGGAAGTGTGAATCGCGGGCGGAATCAATGGACACCACTTTTGGTGGGGCTAGCCACTTAGCCCCGATCACCCAATTTCGGCACTGCTGGCAAAAGTCATTGGAGTCAGAGAACAATGGAGACATGTGATTGGCTGCATCTCTTGCACTCCACCTCTTCCATCCCGAACTCGGCTGCAAGTCTTATTTTCTCGCTGGCATTTTCGACAACAGGCATAACTCGAGTGACTTGCACCAGATGCTGTGGGGAAGAGAATAGAAAGAGCATGGGTGGTGTCATACATGCGTCACCGGCATCGGCTCTATTTTCGTTGCAGCGAAGTGTGAAGTTCAGCTTTGGTTTGGTCATTCTTACTTGTATTGACATGTGCATTCCAAGGTTGTTAGTACAACATATGCCAGAAAACAATCTTACCAAACGGTACATACTTGGGTAGGTACGCAAATCTTGAGAAAAAATGCAGACGGTTCTCAAAACACATCCAAGCAGGCTGTCTGTCAGATTTGGCACCATGCTGGCAGCATTCGTGGTTTTCGTTTGCATCAATGGACACCAACGGACATCAATGAAGCATCACATCCGCATCATGCAACACGAAAACCAGAGGAAACTTTCGCAGATGATTGTTGCAGTTGTAGCCTACTTGGTATATAAGGCCCTTGCTCGATAACAAAAGGACGCCATCAAAAGTGACGCCACGATAATGCACCAGGAGAACTCCGTGTCTGTTTGCTAGTTTCGACCAGTCCCAACGCCATGCATGAACATAGAGACCAGTCTAATTCCCCCATGCGCCATGCCCCCAGAAAAGTGCCCATGATAACCTCCTTCGTCCTGGTATTTGTAGAATTATGTGTGGCAGGGGAAACCCCCGCCCCAGAAGTCGTGCTGTTGAAGGTGCTAGCGAAAATCTAGCGTCTGTAGATGTCTCTATCTCGGTCGCGATCGCGTGGCCGCTCCCTTCGATCTGGGCTTCGCGAACGGCCGTCACGTCTATCTCGGCCGTAATTGCGCGGTCCATCTCGCGAGTGGCCAGAGTCTCTGGAGCCTCGTCGGCCGTCTCTTGGTCGCTCATCGGGATCTCGCGACCTCCTAGGTCCTTCATTGTCGTAGCTGGGTATATAAGTATCACCAGGGGGTGCACGTCTGTCGCCTGCGCCATTACCGCCATAACGAGGTGGGTGAGGAAGGGGGTGTCGGCCTTCACCTGGAGGTGGTGGAAGGTTGCTGTGGCGCTCGGCACCGTTACCCCAGTTGGGTCTCCGCTCTGGAGGTGGTGGAGGAGGCGGGCGGTGATCATAAGGCGCGGGTCGTCGGTCATAGCCGCCTCGAGATCGCTCTGCGCCCGGTGGGCCTCGATCTTGCGGGCCTCCGTATCGTCGGTCGCCATTGCCCCACTGTCCACCGTTGGGATGCTGGCCAGATCCATTCCATTCTCCGTTGGGACCTCCACCAACGGTGCCTCCAGCGGGAGCGGGGGGAAGAGCCTGCTTCTGACCTCGGGCGTTGCGCCTGTCGAGCTCGTGAGAGTCGGCGAATCGCGGAATGTCCTCTTCACGCATCGGTCTGGGGTTGGTTTTGAAGTAAGGATGGTCGATGGCATCGATGGCATTGAGGCGTTTCCGCCAGTCGAGCAACATGAGCTTGCTTATGAGATCAAGGCCCTCGCGGTTGAGCTCGCGAAACCTCTGAGCCAAATTGCCAGTGCTAGATGGGAAAGATTTGATAGGTTCTGCGCCAGGTAGGTGGTTCCATCCCGGCATAGTCTGATCATTGGGGGATCCAACCAGGTCGAATATAATCTGAGCTTGGTGTAAATCGCTCTGGCCAGCGAGAATGGGCTTTCGTTTAAACATCTCACCAAATACACAGCCAGCACCCCACATGTCGATTGCAGGTGTGTATCGTCGGAGTTGGAGCAATAGCTCAGGCGGCCGATACCAGCGTGTCACGACCAAGGTTGTGTAGTCGCGTCGTGCCTCGCCGTTGCCTTTGCCTCGCTGAGGAACCGGCTCATCATAATGCCGGGCCAGTCCGAAATCCGCAATCTGCAAGCGGCCACGATTGTTGATCAACAGGTTTGCGGCTTTCATGTCGCGGTGGAGAATGTGGTTTTCGTGGAGGTAGCGGAGACCCTTGAAGAGCTGGAGCATGTAGCATTTGATCTGCGGCTCCGAGAAATGGACATCTGGATTGTCGAGGAGTCCCGAGAGGTCGTGATCCATGTATGGCGTCACCATGTAGAGAATAGCGCGCTTTCTGCCTTCGGTTTTGGGTCGTTCCACGGCCATCTCCTCCAGTTTCAATACGTTGTCGTGCGATAGCATTTTGAGCAGTTTGATCTCACGCAGCGCAGTGATGGGGAACCCGTCCTTTTCATTGTGCATCAAGATCTTCTTGAGCGCGTAGACCTTGTTCGTTTTCTGTTGGCGTGCCTTGTGTACCTCGCCGAAAGTGCCCTCTCCCAACTTCTGCATCATTTCGTATTCGCCGATCTTGGAGCATCCTTGGAACCGGCGCTGAATACCCGCAGCGGGGGAGACAGCGGCCGCCATGGTGAGGTGAGGCCGGTCGTTGGCGTCGTCGATGTAGTGGTGAAGTGGTGATAGAATAGATAGATGGATCGATGGTGCGGTGATGGTGCCTCAAGGAGTCGTGATAGAGAAGTCGCAATGCTGCGCGCAAGCAGTGTAGCGCAGAATTGAGGTGGACAGGTTGGTGGTGGTGGTGTCGAGATCAGGCGCTGCCATGGGAAGCGATACTGGCACCTCGCAGGTTTTATTGTCGTTGGCAGACAATAGACGGCAGTTTCCTCTCTTTTGGCCTTCACCTGGGCTTGTCGATCGCAGTCGGAAGAATACCAAGATCAATGGGGCAAAGCGCGATGAATGGGCTCCATGTTGCCAAGCTTCTGACACGTTGCAGGGATTGGCTGATCGGACCTCACCTCGTCCTCGTCAAAGCAGCACCGAGCAGACACCAGACACTGTTCGAGCCATTGTAATCCACACGCTTCAGGTACATGATTCCTGTCCTCTTTCTGCACACTTCTCCCGTCTTGCTAATTGATTGCACAGGCTCTAACCATCATCATGGGACCTCCACGCTTCCGCGAGCCGGCCAAACACCCCATCCACGTCCACCCGGTTCGCCCACTCTACCGCTTCGCGGCAACGGGCCTCGGCGCGTCCATGTGGTTCTTTGTGCGTATATCCAATCAGTAGAAGGAACTTCAACTGATTACTCTAGTTGATGTACCGAGCGAAGAAAGACGGCCCTGTGCTCCTCGGCTGGAAACACCCATGGGATCATTGAGCGGTTCGTCGACATTTGGAGAAAGGCCGACTAGTACGACAACTCACCACACCGAGGAATTCCTGTATTGTACAAATGCGTTTAGAGATATTCAAAGCATACTTACCAGAGTTCATTGCGATGACGCTGTGAATTGGAAGAGTAATTGCCAAGGTCTCTAATTGAGGTTAATGAGCATAGATGTCGAAAGAACAAGGAAAGATAAAACTACGAATGCAATCTGTTCTATACTTTATTCTCCTCTCCCTATTTTCTTCTTTTGCTCCATATATCTCTTTTCCTACTTCTTAAACCATCCAGTATTTTCCCCGACAAGGATGCACCTCATCTCAATTCATGCACCTCCACCATCGTGGGCACTGTTACTTCTTCGGCTCTTTTCAGCACGTTTGCTTTCCGTAGCATACATTTCGTGTCATTATTCATCGTATCTTCTGTCTTTCAATTCTACGCGAACCCAAGCATTTCGTTGTATGCCTCTGATGTCGTTTCCATTTTTTTTTCTCCAGGTGAATCGCTGCATTCACCTATCTCTATACCCGATATCGCTATATGCTTCTCTACTCGCTGGCATATTTCCAATGACGTGGTTAGCTCTGTTAGTCGAGCGTGACAGCGATAGGCAACAGCCTCAAGCAAACACTGTGGCTGTTATACAAAAGCCAACGCCTGTGCTAGCGCCAGAGACAATAGCCCCCCCCCTCCCCCCAAGATCCTTCGTTCTATCACTATGGCTTCCCGCCGGTGGCTCGACTACGTCAATGGACGCATTCAGCCTGCACAAAAAGGCACATCTGCAGGTGAAACCCCCGACACTGGACACCCGTCGAATATGTCCAGCTCCGTCCACAACGAGAACTCTCAAGAGGGAGAAGCTCGCGAGCCTGCTCACTCCAAGCATAGTACGAATTCCAAAACTGCCTCTTCTTAGGATCTGCGAGTTGATGAAAAAAGTGCCTCCCCTCCTCAATAAGGATCTTCCGCCATGCGCGCCCGCTCTACAGGTCGCCTATGAGAATGTCAACAACAAATTGCGCGCTTTATGGCTCCAGTATGAAGGAAAGAAATCTTTGGAAGAGCTCTGTCGCATGGTTCATCAGAACTTTGTCAGCGAAAAATCGGCACATGATGCGTCCAAGCACACTGTCCCGCTGGTCCCATGGCGCCGCTATCTCGTCTTCCAGTATGAAATTCGTTGGGCTAAATACTTCGTCCGCGAATCTCAGATCACCGAGCCGCTGACCGAATCTGAGCTCGACGAACGACACGCAGAACTGACACTTGTTCCAAAGGAGCTTGCTTTGTTCTGCTACAGGTGTGATACAATGGCAAAGTGGGAGGCATGGCACCAGAAAAAACGCGCATTCACTACTATTGTCGGTAGGAGATTCTCGTGAAGGTAATACCACTGATTATTTATGTTCAAGTGGACCAGCTGATGTGAAGGGTACAGGTTCCATCGCCTCCGTCAATTCCACGGATTGAACCATGGAATCTGAGATTTCATTTGAGAGGATTCGGCAACATGATTGTTTCACCTCAAGTCGGGCTTTGCGCAAATTTGCAGCCAGCAGTCCTCTGCCTATACCTCCTCTTCTGTACCTTCTTTTGGCCGTAGACGCTGGAGTTGAAGGTTGGATCAGTCACAAGATCTCTTTGCGGTTTCGCTGGATGGAAATGGTTCAGATTTTTGAGGATGAGAAACGGCTCGTGAATAGTCTGTGTATGAAATGTTTTTGGTGGCTTGGTGGATCGTTGATATGCGGCTTTCTGGATGATCGATGACACTCCACTTGGTTCATTATGAACATTAGATAGACAGATAAGTTTCCTTAAGCCACTTTGAAGATCAAGGAAACCTTAATGTAAATACACTTTTTCTACAACTTTATTATTAGTTTAGAGTGTGACGTGTTGGTCCATCTGCTAGAAATTATAGAATAGTAGATAAACAATCTTGTAGTTTGCATCTCTTAAAGCTGTGCAATAAAGTTATACATCTTTATACTATATTTATCTGCCTTACATCTATTAATTTCCTCTTATCTCTCTTGCCTAATTAAATGAGCTCATATAGGTTACGTCATCTTTAGACCTAGAGGCCTCTTCACCTTTACCTTTACCCTCACCTTGTTGCGCTCTTGGCAGCGACACACACGCCAAGCGGGGTATAAAATCATCGCTCCCCATCTCCTTGGACTTCTTTCTTCTCCCCTCACCACTCCATTGCCTACTTCAGAAGCATCTCCAGCTTTCTTTGCAATAGGCCTCTCTCCACTTTACTTCCTTCTAGGCGTCTACAACTACACAACCTCTACACACAGCACATAACGATCTAACACCACTCATCAATTCACAATGGTTCAGTGGACAGCTGAGAAAGATCAGTTGGTAGGTCTCACCCGAACCTGGTCGAAGAACACATTAATAACTTGATCCCTCTTATCAGCTGCTCAAGGGAGTGTTCCAGTTCAACAACATCACGTTCAGCAAGCCGCTCCTCGAGCATCTAGCTTCAATGGTCGGCGAAGGTAACGCTCTCCCGGCTCCAACTTTCGTGGTGGCGGGCTACTTTTGGTCGCTCTTTGGACCTATATTCATACTTCTTACTAACTTGGAACGCACATAGATTGTACGCCTAAAGCTGTCTCCCATAGACTCAACAATATAAAGAACAGCGGCAAGCCCACCAAGGCTCCTGGTTCGGCTTCTTCTTCTCCGGTCAAGGGTGCTGGTGTCAAGAAGACCCAAGCTGGTCGGGGCAAGAAGGCCAAGGCCACCGACAGCGGCGCGAGCGACGAAGGTCAAGACAATGGTCCGTACATGCCCCTACAAAATTTTCGCCTCTCCCACTACAAATGGTGTTTTTTCGGGTATTGAAAGACCCTTTGCAATATATCCGGCATGAGCGTACTAACTTCCGACCCGCAACCTCAGACACGCCCACTCCTGCGGCTGCGCCAGCCCCCCGCAAGCGCGGTCGCCCAAAGAAGTCCGCAGTCAACGTTGCAACCGACGATCAAGGCGATGAAGAGCAGATGCAGCCCAAGCAAAAGAAGGTCAAGTCTGAGCAGACTGAGGATGTCATGCCCGAGTCGGAAAACGAAGATGTTTAATCACGCATTTTGGTTGGCAGTTGGTCGGGTCGCATAGCGACGGATTTACTGGAATACAGAGAAGTGGCGTTTATCCACGACTTTTTAGGACTCCTCTGGGATTGAAACGGCGTCATGGTCTATTGATTGATGGGGTCTCTTTGGGAATGATACCAGTCCCATGATTATTCTAGCTTATAGGATAATGAACATTTGCTTCTTTGGTCAGATTTGATATATCGTTGGTGCTAAGTTTCAGTGTGAAATGAAGTAGATTGATGCTTCAACACTCGTGTACATATACATTGAGGGGAACAGAAAAATAAGTTTTGACGGTGTGGCAGTTCAGGCAATGTGAGATCTACCATTCCGCATCAGCTTTCGAGATTTCTCGTGCTTATGATCAATTACAAAAAAGCATTTTGATCTACGTGAATCGCCGAATGCGCTTGTCGGTACGAGAGAAATTCGCTTCTGCAGGTGACATGTTTAGGTGTACCACACTATTTCATCACCATATTCGAGCATAGAAAATGATACCATATATAACGTCTTCTATAAGCTCCATATCATAGACCAAAAGCAAATCTAAATCAAGAAGAAGGCAAACAAAATAGAAAACATCGAAACTAAACGCATCATTCCCAAGCTATATCCGCCATTTTCTGCTTCTTATACTGTTGCGAGCGCATATCCTAAGACTATAAGCTCATTCTGTATGCAAACGATTGGAGAGAATAAGTGGCTGCTCACCTGCTCAACTGTTCCATCGACTACATATCGATTAATCTGGACCACGTTTTCCTGCCCCAGGCGGAGGGCGCGCGCTATAGCCTGGTTTTCGACACTCGGGTTCCATTGCGGTTCGACGATGAAAACGCGGTTCGCTGTTGCGAGGTTCAATCTACGTGGTATAAGTGTTGTATTCAATGGAATAAGGGTAACATTATTTGCAAATAATGAGACGAATGGGTTCCTCTACGTACCCTACGGCGCCAGTGCCAGTCGTCATTATAAGCACGCGCAAGTGAGGCTGGCATGCAAATTCATCGAGAATGCTTTCACGTTTGGCAGTCGGGCATTCTCCGTCGATGCGCCGGAATGTTATTTGAGCGCGGTTCAAGTACGTAGAGATGAGATCCAGAGTGTGAGTCCAGCACGAGAAGATGATACTGTAATATGCATACTTAATATACTACTAAGGCCGATTGAACGAGGGGATTCCGTACCTTTTGGTGGTATTCACATCCATCTGTACATCTCTCATTAGAGCTTCCATCTTCGAAGATTTTCCCTCTGGCCGAAAGTACATATCGTCTCTCGAAGCATGATGTGATTGCGGGTTGCTAGAAGAGTATTTCCACAGCGTGTCGCATAACGGACAGTTCGAAAGCTCATCTTCTTGAGCACCAGGCATACTTTCTTCCAAACACTCAGAGCATAGTACGTGTCGGCAGTCATCAGTGTATCGTCGGTATGAGGTGCCTGGCTCTAATATGGGCATAGTCTGTTTGCATGCTGAGCAAGTCACCTAGAATACGAATTTCCAATCAGTAAAATTGAAGTAGGTTGCTTTGAAATCCATAATTCCTCGGGCGTAGTATAACTTACTTCTCCATCTCCCCCCATTGAAGCCTCTATATCCTCTCTTGCGTCCATAAGGTGCAGCTTGCGTCGATTCCATGAAAACGGCTGCTGGTAGGTACCGTGGTTGCATAGAATTCGAAGTTGCAGTTGTACTTGGAACAATCCGAGCGTACTCCTCTGATCTAGACCGCCTACTTGATTCTTCGCAGCCCGCAACATCATACCTGCACTACGAGTAAGAATCCAGTTCTGAATATCTAGGCAGAATCACCCGGGACTTACTCTTGGTCTGTTCGTATTGCATACGTTCTGCTGGTGAGAAACCAATCTTATGGAGACGTTGTTGAGCATTCGGGAGCTTCAGTAGATCCTTTGATCTTCGCAGACACATTGAATCTAAGAGTTTTGTAAAACTTCTAATCGCCTGGTCACGTCGGGTGTCACCTTCTTCAAATGGCGATGCAATGTACTTGCGAAAGACTGATAGAGTATTGAATGGGACGATTCTCATGAAGGCGAACAAGGAACCAATATCCTCGAGCCGATTTTGTATTGGTGTGCCTGTAAGACACCACCGCGAACGAGCTTTGATACCTGATACCGTGCGATATAGTTCCGAAGATTGTCGCCGTACGATATGAGCTATATATCATGATTAAGCCAAGCATCAAGACAATATAACTCATCATACCTTCGTCAAGAACCAGTCTATACCACTCGATATCATGCAAAGGGCTGTCCTTCTTTGCACAGTCTGATTGCAACGTATGGTAGGTGGTAATTATGATGTCGGCATCACATGTTTTGTCAAAGTTGACCTTTCGGTTGCTACCATGATATTTCACTTTCGTAAACACGTCGCATACGCGTGGATCGAAATGCCTATGGGAATGCACTTGTCAGATAGTATCTATTGAGGGCCGTGGAGTGCCTGACTTGTCCATTTCTTGAAACCATTCGTTGATCATTACTACAGGTAAACTATCAGCACGTTCTTAGCCGTGTGAATTTTTTTTTTGGACATACAGTCTGATGAGGCGATGACCAGCGTAGCTTTAGATCGACGTCGCACCGTGTGTCCGCGGTTAGTTTCGAACGTTAGATCGGGTGTTGCTTTTGTCCAGTCAAGCGCCTCTGCGAGAGTTCGTAAGATGAGTGCGAGAATACTCAATGTTTTTCCCATCCCCATTTCGTCTGCGAGAATACCACCACCAGTTTCATCGTGATTAAGCTGTGCTGGTATGCATTAGAGAAACCAAATAAAAGGATCAGGTGTCAAAATTACATGTATAATTAGTTATCACATGCCGAAAACTACGCTACTGTGTTAGACAATCTGCCAACATGAGTGATGGATTATGGATTTACCAGGGCCTGCCTTCCGCCTCGCTCAGTCGCCACAGGCGGAATTTCTCGGGGATTGGTCCGGACTCGCGTTGGATCATGAAAGTGAGGGCTTTCTTCTGATGACTTTGTGTTTGGAATGGTCAGGTTACAAATTTTCAAATCAAGAGATTTTCGTAAAAGTGTGTATCATTCCAGCATCACGAGGGAGAGTGCTTACGGCAGTAGTTCTGTCTTCAAGCGGCCATCGCCTTCTGAGCCTGAAAGAGAGTCTTCACGCTCCAGGGATGAATATATCGTGGCGATGGTGTGTTTGAAATCTTCTGCTTTTTGTATCTCAGTTTGAGCCTGACCTTCTTCTCTCACCTCGATCGGTTGCTCATATGCAGGAGGTTGGAAGTTGTGTATCCTGAGAATATGAGGATTCTCGTAAGCCAAACCAAATCGAACGTGGTCTGGCTTCTGCAAATAGACTTTGTTAGTCGAGAGTTCCTGTCCTACCCCAGGAGCCATGGTTCGAGGACCATAAACGTTGATATGGATTCGAACGACCGCCTCCTTTCCTTTATTTGCCCTGCTTATGGTGTCTCGAATGGGCCGTATTGGAGCAAAGGCTTCTAACTCCACTTGATACTGTTGCTCGTATATTCCTGATAGTGCCCGTTCTAGTTGGGCATTTGCGTCACCGAGGATGGTTCCGTCAGGGAAAGTAACAGAGAATTGCTCGTCATGTTTGGACACAATCATTTGATGATGCCCTGGGAGTGGGGAGCTATCTTGAGAGGCTAATTTTGCATCTAATGTCGCCATATCCCCCTGTAGCTTAATGGAAGCTCTATATATCTGCAAACTCTCAGAATCTATCTTCTAGTGGGAAGTATAATGCTCACCATTCCATAACATATCTGCTCATCGCATTTGGCTGGTGCTGCCTCACTGGTTGCCGTGAAAGAGACATCGTCGCAAGCCCAACTTTCAATCTGGTGTTGTGTATACAGCAGGGGCTCGAATTCGCTGCCCTGGAAGCTCTCGGCTCCTAATAGTTCAGTAGCGTAACTGGGCAAAGACGCGTACTGTAAGACGGGTGTAGCTCTGAGGCTATGTTTAGCTTGATTCCAGAAAAAAACAGGGACACTTTGCCTACTCTACGGGAGCTCCAAAATCATTCCAACCGAGAGTTGGAGAATGCTCTGGCTCATGGTAGTCAGAGTTTAGCATGCGCTTGAGGGACATCGTGAAGGCTTGTTCAGGCTAGCGTTGCGCTAGCGGCTTAGCGATATATCTCAAGACGAGTTCATCCGTCTCAACACCAAGACATGAATCGGACTGCTGATGGACGATCGGGGCGGCCGGTAGTTATAAGTTATACCACGCCTCATGCAGATCAGTGTGACCTTGTGTATGCTTCAGCGCTTAGCGCTGCGCGTTGTCATTGCATCCACCAATACACAACAGCGAGGCTGAGTTAATTCAGGCATGCGCCACATTTGGGTGACCGGAAATTCTTGCATGATCGGTCCCGGCTCATTGTCTTAAGAGCAGGCGTCGCCGTCTGGACTGACTTCGACTCGTGAGCTCACATTGACACACCGATGGTTGATGTGTACGATGACTTCCCCGATCCCCAGTCCTTCACCAGCGCGCAGCCAGAGCAATCTTTCGGGCACAGCCCCGTCTGTGATCAACAGCCAGAACAATCCGGCTTCTACAGTATCAAGTTCGCAACAATCTACTCTAGTAGGAGTTAGAACTGCTAGGGGAAGCGATGCATTTCACGCGGCTATACAGAAGTTTAAAGCACGATTGTCAGGCCCACACTTGACAGAATTCAAAAACATGACGTACGACGACCTTTGTAGCACAATTTTACAAATCCAGCAAGAGCAGGAAGAGAACAAGAAGATCATGAACCTATCACGTATACAATCATGTTTAGAAGCCATGCAACAATTTGGCAAGACTGTCGAAGTCTTTTTGAATACAGCCGATATGCTAGCCTTCATATGGGGTCCCATCAAGTTCCTTCTTTTGGTGAGTACCTCTATTGTTTTCTGGGCGGTGAATCATGTAGGGTTTATATGTTTGGTTGCGCTAGGGGCCTTCAAAGCCTAGTTGATGCAACTTCACTGGAGTTTCCGCGTCTCCTTCACATATTTTTTGACTACTACAATATATCACTTGACACTACTTCGACCACTAACAAGTCAAAGACTGCGAGCAATTTCGCGGACTCCTTTGAGACACTTCTTGACGCTTATGAACACATCGGAGAACAATTGCCGCTGCTGCAGGACTACGAGGATCTTTTTCATGGGAGCCCATATATGTTGCACGTACTTGAGTTGATGTACCTGGATATTCTCGGATTTCACCAACATGCCTTGAAATTCTTCTCGGGAAAGTGTAAGCTCTGACTGATCTGCGTCTTGGATAAGGCTAAAATCGCGGTGTGCAGTATGGCATAGGTTTTTCCGCTCGATGTGGAAAGATTTTGGTACAAGATTTGACGGTATTCTCAAAAGTCTTCGCCGTCACAAGGAACTTGTAGAAAGCCGTGCCACAATTGCGCAATATCGAAGATACAAGGAAGATGTTACAGAGCTTAAAAAGAAAATAGAAGAGTTGATTCTGCAAGAGCGAATGAAGAAAATGAAGGCAGTGAAAGAGTGGCTTGCTGTTGGTTCGAGACCGCAGCAAGATCATGCAGGATTCCAAAGGATCCGAGCTGAGTTTCCTAGTACTGGGCGATGGATTAGCAAGCATGAATATTTTAAAGAATGGCTAGGCATGGATGTACCCCCTACGCCAATCATTTGGTTATTCGGTATACCTGGAGCTGGAAAAACCGTTCTCACCTCGAATATTATCGAAGATTGCAAGAACAAGACCGGGTTTCGAACTAGCTACTTTTACTGCCATCATGAGGATCAATCGGCAAATACTGCCGTGGGCGTTCTCAGAGGGCTGGTAGATCAGTTGTTGGATGAGTATCCCTCCCTTCTTCCACAGTGTTACACCAGACAGACCACCAGCGGCGAGCCTTCGCTACGATCTTTGCCGCTTGCGAAAAAGCTCATGGAAGATTTCTGCGCCACGGTCCCCAAAATGTTCCTAATCATCGACGGCATAGATGAATGCGAGCAGATGGAGCGAAAACAACTGTTGGAGTTCCTGATGGGTATTGTTAGTCAAGCCGATAACGATGAGCCAGGAAAGCTCCGCGTGCTTTTTGTCAGCCAGGAGTACGCAGACATCAAAAGGGTACTTCATAGCTCATCTGCAACACGAGTTGTCCCGAAATCTGTATCCTTGTTACAGCAGAAAGACAACGAGGGTGATATCCAGACGTATGTCAAAGGCTGGGTTGACCGTATTGCGAACCAGCACGCTCCTTTCGAAGCAGAATTGGTTGACTACCTTCGTAATCTGACTATTTCGCGGGCAAAAGGTAAGCAACAATGAACATATCAGAACCACACTCACATGGGGACCAGGCATGTTCCTGTACGCCAAACTGGTAATGGAAAATCTGTATCACCAACCTACAAGAGGTGACCTTATGAACGCCATTAAACATGAGAATTTCCCCGATGGGTTGAAAGGTGCCTACGAGAGAATCGTGACACGTATCAGAGCAAGCTCGCATCCAGAGGAGTGGCAAAAAGCTAAAAAGCTACTGGGTTGGATGGTTTGCTGTAAACGCCAGTTGACTTGGAAGGAGATACAAGTCGCGCTCTCTATCGACGGCGAAGAGCAATGTATTGATTGGGATGATCGCAGACTTCGAAAACACATACACGATATATGTGGCTCTCTGGTCAAGGTGTACGTATATCCCAGGTCAACAGTAACACGAGACTATGCGACTAGGTGTTTGGGGTTCCCCAACTGCGAACTTACTGGTGTAATCTGCTTGGAAACAACTAACTGTGGGGCCGCGAAAATAGTGATGACGATCGTGTATCTCTGGTGCACAGTACCGCGAAATAGTAAGGTCTTCAAATAAGCGACCGACTTCCGTATTCTAACAACGCAGTTATATCACGCAATGCACTCAGGACATACACCGACCTTCAGTAGAGTGCGAGCTGGCTACTCTCTGTCTCCAATATTTAGTATTCCCGTGTTTCAGCGTTGAAAACAACGTCGACGAAAACACACTTCGCCAGTCGATGATCGAAGGCTACTTCGCATTCCAAGATTATGCCATTGCCAAATGGTTCTATCACATCAACGCCTTTGTCGAAAGCGGAAAAGACTTCCTGGAGTGTGGAATAGCTGTAGAAGACCACCTCGACGCGATATCCGCTGCAATCGACACATTCCTCGACCAATACCACACAGAAAACTTCCACGACAACATTGTCGACGAATGCCGCACAAAATGCCAAATTTTCCAGGACCAAGACTTCTACGAAGACCTGGTGGCGCTAACCAGCCATATATTCCAGAAAAGCCGCTTCGACGCCAAACACAAAATCAGCATCGGACAGTTGGAGAAGGCTCTCGTGCGCAACCGAAAGCTCGTCGAAGACCTCCCGCCCAAACTGAATCCCGCCGATCTCGACAAGTTCCACCAGTTTTACGATGGCGAGAGGCGGTACAAGTGCACGCGCATCACTTGCATGTACTTCTCTGAGGGCTTCAAAGACGCAAAATCCCGCAAACGCCACGTCAACATCCACGATCGGCCGTTCCAGTGCGAGGTCCCAGACTGTCTTGGCGCTGAAGGCTTCGCAAACAGCAAAGACCTTGAAAAGTAAATACCATAACCATATATCCCGCTTTGCAGTGCGCTTACCTGCTAACCACACCGCAGGCATACAAGAGGGTTTCACCCTGAGATCAGCGACCTGGCTGATCGCTTCAACACCGTGACCGCCAAAAAGGGGAAAGCAGATCATACATGCACCATTTGTGGTAAATCGTTTACGCGGAATCAGATCAAGCAGGATCACATGAAGAGCCATAGAGGCGAGAGGCCACATGAGTGTCCGGAATGTGGGAAGGCGTTTACGCGTAAGAACGACTTGACGCGACATCAGAAGTTGCATAACAAACATTGATTTGATTTTCAAATCACCACGTCGGATCTTACTTCTTGAAGTATTCGGCTCGTGTAGCGGATGGTGTGTGATTTTAATAACTTGCCATTATCTTTCGTATCAAGGTCTGTTACGCCGGGAAAATTGATTTTTTGTTACAAAGTCACTTTTCTGGTACACAGGATATCAAAATGCTTTGGATTTATGAGTGACAGAGGCGGAAGACAGAAATAGATCAAACCAAGAAGTGGGCCATGGCATGCTTTATGAGACCACTTTCTAGTGTAGCAGAAGCTTTGTCAGTACATATATCAATAAGCCATTGCATGTAATAAATCATCAGAACAGCCGTCTTGTTGCCGTATAACCCGGAAATGAGTAGGCTCACGAATTTCATCATTGCTTTCGCAAAGGTACAAAAACACACGCATCCGACCCTCCCCTACGCTCTACCTAGGTCCTCCTGTGACCATTGGAGGAAGAGAAAGACTTGAAGACGGACGAAAAGATATAGATATAGATTGAATTCCAAATCCCGTAAAACGCTCAAGCTGATGCAAACAACAAGAAAGCAAAAATCAGAACAGAACCAAGAAAAACAGAGAACAAAATGAGCCCTCCACGAGATCGACCTCTGAAATCCCCCAAACCTGAAAATGTACACAAGAAGCGAACTTGAACGCCAGCAGCAACAGCAAAAGCAATAACAGATTATAACTCCCGAAAGTGTATCAAAAAGAATAATCCATAGTCGAAGTGACCTGTGGCTGACTCTAAAACCAAAACTTGTTTCCCACAACAGTTGACATCGAAAAGAAGAGGACGTGAATCCAAGAACGCCACACAATGACGGCCAAGAAACCTACTTCGAGTTTGTTTACACAAACACGAACCACGTACTAAAACACCGTAGAAAGCAAATCCAGATGAAGGCAAGGTCGCACAGACACGACTATGACCTTGAGACAATCCACATGATAATGTGTCGTCGGGTGAACGCAATTAGCAGGGTATTAGGAAAGCGTTACAGAAATAAAGAGCCGTTTTGAGGCATGAGTCGTAATATCGGAAACGTCATGGCGCGTGAACGAACAGAGAGATGAAGAGATTTTAGCCTCCGAGAGAACCGAGGGGTATATGAACCGGAAACCGTAACCACTCCCGAAGGAAAATGTGTGAAGCAATCTGAGACTTCTATGCGCCATTGAGGGACATGGAAGGCGTGCCAGCAAGATGTGATTGGAGAGCTTGCATCTGAAGTTTATCGTCTAATACATCAGTATCGATGAATCCGCTGTCGTCGTTTGGTTCGTGTTGCGACTGATCTTGCTGGGAAGTAGCGAATTCTAGGTCCAGATCGAAAGACATGGCTGTCTCTTGACGAAAAGTATCTAGAGGGCCGGTATTAGTGGCAGACCAAGAAAATAGACTTAAAACACCGACTCACCTCCATGACCCGTGTGGCCGGTACTTTGGGTAGACCCAGCAAATCCATTGCCATCGCCAGTTTGAGTGTTATCTGCACCCATGCTGCTTAGCCGGCTATCATTGTTGCTACTGCCACCACTACCCCCATTGGGTAGATTGAGATCAAGGTTTGTTGACTCTTCTGCATCCGGGGAGAAGCTTGGCAATCCAGGAACGACAGGAGTATGCGATAGGAAACCACCAAAAGTAGCGAGCCAGTGTGCCATCTCATCAACGAAGACCTTTGTCAACCACCAACCTTGAAAACTGGGGCCATTTTCTACAGTGATCTCCCGCAAAGCTGCTGACCCGACTGCATTGATACATAGTATCAAGTTTCGAGCGTTCGCATCCGGAAAACGGGCTGGCAGGTTCATGAGAAATGCTGCGATTCGGTCTATGACTGTTTCTTGCAGTGGATCGGTGAAGTCGTTTCCTAACCAGGTGGGTTTAGAGGGGATGAGGATTTCGCGGATTTCGTTTGACAAGATGTGGTAAACTTCTTCAGGGGCGCATGATTGTGGCAGGACATTTTCCAAAACACGTTTGACTTTGACATGAGTTTCCCAGTCGCTCCACATCAGCTCGCGTTGATTATCAACTGTGAGCATTACAGCGGCGGCATGAGCCGTGGAGTTCACGCGAACCATCTGGCGCATTAGATGAGCGAAGAGCGTTGCAGGCTCCAATTTCGCCTCGAGAACGTGTAGTGGATGTGAGGCGAAGGTTGTCGATATGTGGCTGTGCAGAGTCTTGCCAATATTGTCGAAGAATTTGAGTACAGAAGCTGGCGCGGCTTGCAAGGTCAGTTGTGAAACATTGCGGATCATCTTCTGGTACATTAACCAGTCACATTCCCTAATCCATGGAGCCAATTCACTCATGGCGAACAACTTCTGAACGGGGACAGTAAGAGTACCGTGGAAGGAAGTGAACAATTTCCAAAACTGCTTCTCTTTGCAAAATCGTACTGAATCGACCACCGAGGTACAATGCGTTCGATACAAGGCAACAAGGGCATTGGCCGAGTCGTCGTCATACTTTGCTGGAAGGTACGGATGGATATCAGGTAGATTGATGGTCAGATCGTCTGGTATAGCGAGAAGCTCAGGCTTGGGAAATTTGAGTTCGTATATATAATCGGAAGCGGTGCGTGTTTGCGTCGGATGGTAGCCTTGTGAAAATGGCTCGGTAAAGACTCTACCCTGTGAGGGGTTGTTGGGGAAGCTGTTCAAATCTGGGGCTGGAAACGAAGCTGTGTCAGCGGCGGGAGCCGGGTTATTGTTGAAATTTGCCACTGTAGCCACAGAATCTTGACGTCGCAGAGGACGACGAGCAGCCGCAGCGGATGTATCTCCCGTGGCAGGTCGAGTTGCCGTCTCAAGCTCTTCGTTCAAGGCCAGATCGACATAGTGGTATTTCGATTCACCTCGGACACCGAGACGCCTGGTATTGATACCAGGGAAGATGACGCGAACCAATTTACCAAAGGAAGCTGGGTTTAGTGTAGTTACGCGTTGGTCACCACATATCTCAGCGTACTTGGAGTATACTCGATTACGAGGAACGGATGCATCCTTGACTGTGGAGCATGCTTTTCGTAGCCTTGTTCTGTTAGCAAAACTGTAAATAATATAAGAGGAGAGCTACTGACCATATCATGGCGAAAAGCTGCTTCATTTTTTCTGCTTTGGAAGAGCGATCTAAGATCAGGATATCACTGGCCACTTCAAGAAGTGTGCGATGCGAGTTAGCTGTAATCAATTCGCGCAGCTCTTTGTCATCTCGGGCACCTCCAGTGCCACTTGACTTCTTCCCCTTCTTTTTCATGCCGTCATCACCATTTACACTAACAGAGGCGCGATGGTTGGCATGCGCCATTTGGTAGGCGTGCGGCGTGGCTTGTATGTTTTGGTCCAAAACCTGTAAAGGTACACCCTCATTGCTAAAGGCCATGAGCTGTTGTTGATGTGCCGGATCCATAACATTCTCCTGCTGTGGCATGTGGTGCACGTTGTGCATAAGCGAGTTGGGAGCACCGTAATGCATCTCGGTCATGTGAGGGTTTCCGTACATATACGCATGCGACTGCTGGTGTTGATGCATTTGGTGTTGAGGGCCGGCATGGGTGACTGGAGGCTGGGAAAATTGGTGAGGTTGGTGAGCTTCGTGTTGACCAAAAGAACGAACGCTAGCAGTAGAGGCGCGTGATAGCGGGCGACTATGACTTGCGACTTGTTGGGCCATATGGGGAGTGTTCGGGCGTGACCGCCGGTGTTGTGCAGCCATGTGTAGGGCTGGTAGTCGAGTTAACGAGGTCGTGTTTACAGGCCAAAACAAAGGCGGATGCGCCCCAATCAGGACAACAAAGGGGCAAACGCGACAAAGTTGGGACGTGGAATAATTTGGCGGAAGACAGTATGCATATACAGATGATACACAGAGTAGGTAGGTGAGTGTGCAGGTGCTTTGCTTGGGCGGCTTCTCGTCTGATGTGATGTTGTTTGTTTGGATTCGACTGCTGGGTTGGAAGGAGCGGAAGCCGAGGGGAGGAGGACGGGTCGAATATAAAAGTCAGCTGATAAATTCGAGTAGATGGCGTCTCTGGAATACGGATGGACCAAGACACTACGCGCGCCGGCGTGGGTGGAGAGACACGAGAGGGTTGAGTTGCGGATGATGAATTCAATGTTTACGCTGGGTTTTGCTGGGTGGGCAACGAGAGAGCTCTCTCGTTTGGATGTTTGCGCTAGCGGGTCACGTGGTAGCCATTACTAACGCTCGCGCGCAGCGCACGCACATTCAAAGAGATTGCAGTAGATGTGATGGCAAGCAGGAGGCGGCATGCTAATATTTTAGATTTATGCACCTTAGCCCTGCATGCTCGGACAGACAAAAACAATAATGCCATGCCATCCTTATGAACGAGATGATACAAGTCCGTTGCGTTGGTTGTGAATAATCAATAATACCACTGGAGCGCCGTTGGATTGGCTTGTGAAAAGGCCACCACTGACGTAAATAGCCGATATGACGCTCCTGCCTGCGCCCGCCCACAAACCAACTCGCACCCAATCTCCCACTGCTTGCTTATCACTCTACCACAAATCAATCGTCACGACCCATCTCGCACCTCGTCTCTCTGTCCACCACGACAAACCACATTACTACACTCAATAAGCTTCAGCTTCACCACATCTCCCCTACCCCACCATGTCTTTGCAAGAGCGAGCCCAGGCGCAGCTGTCGCAGCTTGAGAAAGAGGTAAGCCCCGCCGTCTACATGCCTATCCGCCTTTCTCTATTGTTCTCGCAGCATGCGATAATTGCTGTGGACACGTAAAGACTACCGTGACCCTGAAACCCATCTATCGCTACACTCGAGAGCTCATTCTGATGCTGTCGCGTGTTGTTATCTAGCTGTCCAAATACCCCGCCCTCAACAACTTCGAGAAGCAGACCTCAGTCCCCAAGACCTATGCCATCCTAGGTGTTGCCGGTCTATACTTCTTCTTGGTCTTCTTCAACATTGCCGGTGCCTTCCTCGTCAACATCGCCGGCTTTGCTATCCCTGGTTACTACTCGCTTGCTGCTTTGTTCAGCTCTAGCAAGGTGGATGACACCCAGGTGCGTTTGCTCGGGCTGCGGTCTCAAAGAATCCCTTTATTAGAAACCCTGTACTAACGCCTAGCCAGTGGTTGACTGTAAGTCCGACGCGACCCGCAAGCCGTCTGAAGCTTGAGTAGCAGACACCCTCGATGAACATATGCTAATCTACGATACAGTACTGGGTTGTCTTTGCTTTCCTGACGTAGGTGACCCCAAGTAATCTCAAGAGCTTCGACATCAATACTGACTCTTTTAGCGTTTTTGAGAGTGCTGTAAACGCCGTTTACTGGTTCCGTAGGTTTACCCAACCATGAGCAAATCCAATTCAAGCCTAACATGAGCAGCATTCTACTACACATTCAAGTTCGTTCTCGTTCTCTGGATGGCCCTTCCCCAGACTGGGTAAAATATGTCCCCAAAAGCACACTCTTGGTACCAGTTCTAATCAACTACAGTGGCGCTCAAATCATCTTCCGCTCCTTCCTCCAGCCCGTCTTTTCGCGCTACTTCTCCGAGTCCGGCTCCACCGCAGCCAACCTCCGCGCGCAAGCTGACTCGGCCGGCAAGTCGCACGCTTCCTAGATAAGTGTGTGGCTATAAGGCGAGTCTGACAGTCGCAGCCCCGGCATCCCCTGCAGATGATGCGGCATCTCTCTATGCCAAGTGCGTAGTCTCTGCGGCTGTCACGGCTTGGTCACGATGTTCTGATGGTTCACAACGATCAGACGCTACGAATGAAAAATGTCAGGAAAAGAATAGTGCGAAAGAGAATATCCCGTGTACCATGGAGTTCTCGGTCAAGTTGAGGGGGAGGACGTTCTAATAGATGCGGGCTGGTCGGCATCTTGGTTTCTTTATTCCTTTTTGGGTTTGATGGCCGATGGTTTCCTTTGGGATTACACCCTTCGGTTAGCACAGTTAGTCGTCTTGTGATGTCGTCTCTAGAATTATGTGGTTGTTTCTCCTCCAACTTTTGGTATTTGTTGTCATCTATTGTGAGTGTCCCGTTCGAGCTTCACGAGAAAGCACAGTGCAGAGCTTGACATAAGATATTCTGATGAAGTGGCTTATGTTCATAACGCCGTATTGATTACAATCTCGACAGCGTATTGCCGCACAAGATGAAAGATGCCTAATCTGATTCCTCGTCCGTATCCTGCCCGAAAACAAGAGGCACAACATCCTCATCATCGTCATCACTCTTAACGATCTCCTGTTCCACCGCCGCTGGCGCAATCGATGACTGTGGCATTGTAGCCGGTACCACTACAGCTTCCACTGACGTAGAATCCCCAACATCCGAAGACACAGTCTGCGTATTCAAAGCAACCTGCGTGGGCGCAACAGCTTCACTCTGATCGATCCTCGGCCGCTTCACCGGCGACGGCGGAGCGATGCCTTCTTGCGACCTCTTGTTGCCCGCGGAGGCTTCGGCATCGAAACGCGAGGTGTTGAAAGACGGTATGGGACCGGTAAGAGCGGCGGGTCGTTCAGTGATTTCCATCATAGCCACATCCACGTTGTTGGTGCTGTGACGTCCTGCTTCGTTTGCGGTTTCCAGCAATGAATCTAGTTCGTGGCCGACGAATTTCTCGTGTTCCTCTTCCTCTTCCTCTTCTTCGTCTTGCGGCTCCTCCTCTTCTTCTTCATCTTCTTCGTCTTCCAACTCGACATCTTCGTCGTCCGCGCTCTGCTTGCCAAGTCGTATCACGGGCATCCTGGGCTTGATCAAAGCTTCCACCTCTTGATCATTGAAGTTCGTCCGCGCCAAAAGCGGCAGTATGCTCGAGACCGGCTTTCCGAATTTCTTGCTCGGGGGCGGGTTCAAGACGCTAGACACGAGTGCCTTTTTGTGGCCCGAGAGGATGGCCGTACGGTCCAAACGGGTTCTCAACGAGTCCGACAGGTGATGCGGGATATTCGTTATCAACACGGTGACAAGAGCATAGGCGGCTTCTTGAAGACCTGCAAGGTTCGCTGCAGGATTTTGGTACTCGTTCGAGGAATTCAGGAACGAGTCGGCGTTCATAGACGCTTGCTTTTGTTTCCCGTTAGTTTTGTCTTGTTGAGGGGTCTGTTTGGAGGGCGCGTTGAGCTTTTCCACGGGAAGGATGTCGTCGCAGCACGAACGGATAAGTGTGGCCAATGGATCGATCGAGGATTTTGGCAGCGTGGTGCCTGATCGTTCTAGTATCTGGGCTATAGCCAGATAGCAAGCGGTGCGAACTTCTGGTATGGTTTTCTCTGCCGAAAACACCACTGCCAGCTGGTCCAGTACGATCCCGTCGGTGCAAGCGTTAGTATCATTGATCCGGCAACTTAAAGCGAGCAGCACTTCGACCACTGCTACATGAAGTTTCGGGAGAATCAACCAAAGATTTTCTCGCTCTTCCTTGCTGACTTGATTGTTGAACCTTATGTAGTTCTGGAGGTCCTTATTGGTAGACGTATAAGGCACTGTGACAGAGAGCAGGCGCATCGAGAGATCGAAAATAGTTCCGACGTTGAGATTGATCGGTCCCGCAGTTGCACATTCTAAATGGATTGTGATTAACTTGAGGAGATTAACGAGTCGTTCTCCGCCAGCGAAGATGCCAGACCAGGGTGATAAGCCCATGATAGTATCCTCGAGCTCTTGCACTTCGTCATCAACGGTAGCGCTATTCGTCAGCTGGCTCTCATTTCGGGAGGATTTCCAATCTTCTACCACAGCTCGGAGTACTCGGTCGGCAACTCGGTGTACACTGTCTACACTCTTCTTGAACGAGGCCTGCCACTCTTCACCAGACATTCCTTTAGGTGCACTGTACGATAGTTGCGTGTATAGCTCTCGGGCGGCGTCGGAGACTGGTGATGTAATCTGGTATCGCGGACCTGAAATCTGTTCGCGTCCGAGTCTGCTGGAAGGAGTGGGCGCCATCGTGTGCCCCAGCAGTTGATTCAGTTGCTTTAGGTAAGACCGGAAGATGGTAGGGTGGCGTGGAAGTAGTTGATTGAAGCTCTCCAAGACGATTTGCAAAAGACCAACTGGAACAGCTGGGGAGGAGGTGATTTGAAGACATGTTTGCACAAATGTTGGCAGAGAAGGCGTGGTAATCTCACGGATCAACGTGGGATACTCGCGAGTAAGGATGAAGATGCGGACCAATGTGATGATGCACAGCTTTTTGGAAGTTGGTGGATCCGGCTTCGTCAGGATTCCAAGGAGGCCGCGTACCCAAGGAAGACTCTTGTGAAGAGTTTCCCAGCCACCGATCTCAATGGTAGATTTGATAAGTACTATGGCAGCCCATCTTCCTTGGATAGACCGATCTTGGAGCAGCGTCGATAGTAATGTCCGGTACTTATGGGCAGCTACGGAAGCTTCAGAAGCCGTCTTGGATCCCGATGCCTGAGCCGTAGATAGCAGTGTTCGGCAATTCGTCAAAGATGCAGCTATCGCAGGCACATGCTGAGGCAGCTGTGCAGTGGGTGTCGAGGAAATGCGAAATGTAAGCGCGCGAAGAGTAGCCAATTCTGTCGAAATAGGTGCCATTATGCTCAAGTTGATATGCCTTGTATATTGGTACCAAATATGAACAACCACTTCTACCTGAATTCACGATGTGATCTGAAGGTGCTGCTCGATGGAAAAGAAAGAGAGAAAAAAACATTTCGCATTGCAGGGTTCAGCTCCACAAGCGGCTAGCGGCCGTCGGGAATCGCCAAGGGACCGGGGTGACCGTAAAGCGCACGAAGGCGGGACATTGATGAACTACTGGTACATCTACTTGGAGTGTGTACGGACACAGTCTTCCAGTTCTTGACTGGCTTGTTCACTGCATTGTCCTCGAACATGTGCCCATGTCCTTAGCTGGCTGAAGTTGTTCGGCTGTTACCACTACTCCTAAACTGGTCACGGATGATGTGTTTACACCCTAGTTATTTACATGGTTACCGGCCGACATCCTAGCTCCCAGCATCTTCCAAACACCTTCTGCCCTTTTTCCATACCTTCCAACTCACCTGCGGCTTTTCGAGCAAGCGTTTCGGCCGATTCAACTGGCCTGCCTACTTCGTCATGGGGGTATGTACCCCACTACACTTCCCGCTACACTTCTCTCCCCTCTTATACGACGTCATCTTCAGCGTCCTGCCACCAGCTCACGCCGCAATAGATCGCCGAAAGCGACAAAGCCTTGCGCTACATATCTCAATTGGACGACGCACGATGTGCCGGACGCTGGCAAGATGTGCCCGAGCTGTGCCGGAAGATTGAGAAGCATGCTCCCCACCGACGATGTCAGTCCTTGCACATGCCTCTGTATCTATCCTGATCCCACGGCTGACCAGCACAAGGCCTTACTTTGACTGCCCGATCCGAAGCGCAAATAGCTGCCCATAGCACGCAAAGACCCTCTACCGCGTCCTCCACAGCATCCTCCGCTCTCGCCAAACTGATACCTTCCTTACAATCGGCCCAGGAAGAAGAATCGGACTGGGTTCAGGATGCTTTTCAAGCCACAGTATGTTTGGGGTGGCTACACTATGTGCTGGAAGAGCCAGGCCTTGCCATCGCAAGCTTGCCAGGTGATCTGAAAACAGTCTTCAGTCAGTTACAGGAAACATCAGCCAGCAGTTGGACACGAGTGTGCATGGTGAAGGGTGCTTTCCTCAAAGGTTCTTCACAAGAGAAGACTGGCTTGACCGAAAATGCGATACAATCCTACCGCTCTGTACTGTCGCTACTCTCTTCGACCCAGCCCACTGCTGGAACACCTCAGTTCAAATTATGGACGGAACACCTCTTGGTCCGGTTATGTCACCTTTCTGACCAGACCGCTGACACACGTGAATATATTGGCCCTTCGGAAGCGTTGCAAGCCTTTCGTCTCTGGGCTACATATTGGGATAACACGGCAAAAACACATAGCACTGAGGGCGCAAACGCGGCCAGGCAACGGAGATTCGCATGGAAAGCCTATTACGACACTTTATCTGATATCCTTCGTCGAGGACTGCCCTACGAGCCAGAACCTACTATTTCTAATGAATACAGCGAGAAATCTTCGGGTCACACCAACACTAGGCTACGTCAACGTGCAGAGTTAAAGAAAGTGGAGACCATATATGAGAGTTTACTCCTGAAAGAGACAGAGTTTCCAAAAGCAAGTGATACGAATCACGAGATCGTGTCTTGGGCAGATTCGGTCATGGACAATTGGCGATTTCTGTGTGGAGCAGCGTGGTCCAATGCAGACTTGGGCGCGGGCGGCAAGGAGGCTGTTGGGAGAGGTGTACTGGATATCTTATATCGTGCAGCGACCAAGACATTCCACTCGACACAGCTGCTACGCAATCTTTTTACTGTTCATGCGTCGCTAGCTGACTTCGACCTTGCATTTAAAGCCTACGACGCATACGTGGAAATCATCACAAGAGGCAAGGATCGCGCCGAGAAAACCGGGGAGGAAGACGTGGCAGTCGATGACGACAATACGGTTTTGATGATCTCAGCGGAAGCTATAAGGTTACTTTGTCGGTACGGATCAATGAAAGAGGCAGAAAAGGCTGTCCAGATAGGACATCAGATTGAAAAGTGGCTCGAGCAGAGCGAACATATCGTATCCTCGACATCAGAAGCAGGTTCAGCTCGTTCGACTAAAATACCTGTGGAACCCAGGGCTTTGGCTATGGCTTATGCTGCGATAGGCATCAGTCAAGCACAGTGGGCACGATTTACGTATGAGGCCGATGCGCGTGCCGGCATCCAAGCCAAAGCTGAACTTTATCTCCGTCGATCACTTGATCCAAATCTCAAAGAATCTAACAATATCGAGGTTTTATATGCACTGGCTCTGGTGCTTGCAGAGAAACGAGAGATCCAGGCCGCTATCAAGGTTGTCAAACACACTCTATCCGACGAGACCAAGCAAAAGACGTCAGAAACCATCGATGGGGCAATCCTTGTTGGACAAGCAGTCGATTTTGGTCGGGAAAGGAAGCTCATCCCCGTTTGGCATCTGTTGGCATTGCTACTCTCCGCAAGGGAGGGCGATTTTGGAGCAGCTCAGAAGTCCTGTGAAGCAGCTTTTGAGCAGTTTGGGGATCCATCTGTTCTATTCGGCAAAGATGACGACAGCTCATATCGCAGCGAACATCTCAAAGATATCGACGGTAACAACCATACCAATTCCGGTATCATTGATCAGATGGAGAGTTTTGAGAAAATCGGAGTTCTTCAGGTAAAAATGACTCAATTGTCGTTGCTGGAAGAGATCGATGGTGTTTCGACGGCGGTAGATGGCTGTGACGAACTTCTAGCTCTGCACGCTAGATTGTTTGGAGATACAAGCGCTGAGACAGTTGTTCCTCCACCTGCTGAAACCCTGATGCCCCCGAAAACCGCCGGAGGAGGGATACGCAACAGCATATTTCGAGGCAGAGGGTCTGTGAGGGGAGCGCCGAACGCAAATCAAGCCGGCAGCTCTACAGCAGGCAACTCGCGCAGTTCCATCGTTGCCCCACAGCCAACAGCTGCACCAGCCATACAAATTACCGACGAGGATTCGAACAACCATCATCTTCACCTACTTCACCATCACAAGAACTCGGATAGCCAGTCTGGCGTGCAACGAAGTCCTAGTAAGCTTCGAAAGCGAAGCGCCAACAGCTTGAGGAAGAAATCACCAGTGGACTCGGAACCAGCGCCTGAGGTACCGCAGTTACCAGAAGGCATCAGCAATGGTACTGCCGCTCAGAATAGTGGAGTCGCTCAAGACCACGCTCGCCAACGGTCTGCATCAGGCTCGGTGCATAGATCGCTGGACAACTCTGATCGTCCGTTGCGATCCATACCTCACAATATGTCCCCCAATTCACAACCACCTCCGTCCGGATACACCCAGCACCCTCTCAAGCAAGACACTCGTCTGCCTATGCCTTTCTGGAATGCAGAGCACATTCTCTCAGATCCTTACTTCTCCAGAATCCAGAGCCGCCGGCAAAAAATAACCCTGCTAGTCTCCATATGGATCTTCATCTCAGGGCTCTACTCGAGAGCAGGAATGCTTGGGGAGGCGCAAGATGCTACCAAGGAAGCTTTCAAACTCGTAGAAACCTTTGAGTCTGAGGTCGCACAAGAGTCTTCCACCAGTAAGGCATTTGCTGAACAGGGTTGGGGAGGAGGGAAAAGCGTGGAGGAGCTTTGGGGCGATGTCTATGCTGCAGTAAGTTTTAGCGGGCTTGAGAAATGCAGGCTGCTGTTAACCAATGTTTAGCGAGGTCAGTTGCTACTGTCCCAGGAGTCCAAGCACGAAGCGCGCGTCGAATTTGAGCGTGCTGTTCTTCATTTTCCGAGCCATGCGGGGGCTATAGTCGGATTGTCGGATATCTTGCTGGACATGTATTGTGAGATGATCCCTCTGGATTCGAGCAAAATTGCGCGACAAACAAACAAAAGTGGCGCGGAAGACCAGCTCTCGCCACCAGTTCTCAGTCGGCTTGCAGCGCGAGATCGGGCATACGGGCTGCTTTCCTCATTGACCAAGCTCAGTACCGGGTGGGACTATTCGGAAGCGTGGTACGCTTTGGCACGAGCATACGAGGAGAGCGAGGAGATGGAGAAAGCGAAGAAGGCGCTCTGGTGGGTTGTGGAACTCGAAGACGCGCATCCGATCCGAGACTGGGACAATGTCACGTTGGGTGGATTCGCCATGTAGAGGTCTTTGGGTAGTTGGTTCCAAGTTATATATCCCAGTATGCGAACAAGACATATTTCCAAAGCCGACAGAGAACAGCTCTTGGGGGAGAAGGTTTGCTTATCAGATGCAGCAGCCCGATAAGGAAAGCCGTTTAAGGGACGTCGATCCTTGGCCGTTGGGACAGACAAGTGGAGAAGTGATGCCAAAGATAGAGCGGCGAGGGACGGCGCGCCGCAAGTTGGATAGGCGCAAAGATGAAACAAGCACACGAGCAAGCGCAGAGGACTATTCCAGTCATGCAGCCTTTTTACGCAGATGGTTTGGATGAGCAATAAAACAAAATGATAAAGACGTCTCCGTTGCACCGACGGGCAATACGCCTTTGCGGCGTAGCGCGCGGCAGGCATGCTGCATCTATCTTCATAGGGCGGCCAGCATCAGGGGGGATTACGTTGCTGCAGCACGAGGCGGGCCTATCACACGCGCAAATGGGACAGGTTCGTTCCATGGAGGAATGCATAACAAGTTTAACAACAGGAGCCAGGACGGTCCAGATGGACGCGCAGTGGGCCGAAATGCGCTCTAGTCGACCGTCTGGGTGATGCGCGTCCCTTGGCTCTATGAAACCCAACACCCCACATCGCCGTCACCTCCGCACGCACCATCCAGTCCACTCACTCCCCTCTGACTATACATACGTGTGCCAAACATTGACTGCACGCTACACACACTTACACACCACTACCAGCTGGCCTTTCCACTGCCCTTCCGCTTCACTTCTTTTTCCCAAGCCCTTTTCCCCAATTCCTCCCTCTCTCTACCTTCCCTCTTGCTCACACTACTCCCTCGCCCACTTCCGCTCACGCCAGGTAGCATTGGCCCAGGACAGGTAGCATCTCGTCTGATTGCTTACCTCGGACGGACCCGTTGTATTATTATTTATTGACCCGCAGACGCCGCCGCCACCACCACCAATACACTCTCGCCCCGCCGCCCGCCTGCCCATCGACACCTACCTACTTTGTCCGCTCCTCCTTATTGCTTCCCTGGCAAACAACCTGTACTCCCACAACCTCTGTCGCCCGCAAATATGAACGTCAACAAAAAACTCGGTCGCTTCAAGCAATGGGCTGGTGAAAAGATGGGGAACGAGTCCCAAACGGGTCTCTCGGATGACTTCAAGGCCCTGGAGATGGAGATGAACTTGCGCCATGAAGGTAACGAGCCCTTTCTCTGTGCCATTGTTTCTTGCTGTTTTGCTAATATACTCCAGGAATGGACAAGATGCAGAAATCTATGACCGCCTACGTCAAATCTCTATCAAAGCGAGCAGAGGGTCACGATCGCGAGAAAACCCTCCCCGGCGGCCACTTGGGCTCGTCCATGGTCACTCACAGCGAAGACTTTGAACCCGATTCGGAATTCGGCAACTGTTTGTCTTGTGAGTATTGCTTGGCCGCAGGTGTATAGCTTTTAGTCTGACAAGAAACAGCTTTGGGTCGCGCGAACGAACGTCTAGCTCGCGTGCAGGAAACTTATGTACAGGATGCCACATCAACTTGGCTAGAAGGCTTGGACCGCTCAGTCGCTCAAATGAAGGAATACCAGGTGCGTCGACTCATGTTCTGGAATATAGTTTACAAAATACTAATCTGGGTGCTTTCAGGGTGCACGAAAGAAGCTCGAACAACGCCGCTTGGCTTACGACACTTCGCTCGCCAAGATGCAGAAAGCAAAGAAAGAGGACTTCAGAGTCGAGGAGGAACTGCGGGCCCAGAAGGCAAAATACGAGGAAACTAGCGAGGACGTCTATCGGAGGATGCAGGACATCAAGGAATCCGAAGTGGACATGATCCAGGATCTGACCCAGTTCCTCGAGGCGGAGTTGTCCTACTATGACCGCTGTCGCGAGGTTCTTTTGAACGTCAAGCGGGACTGGCCAGCACAGTAAGTATTGAACGTCATACAGACAGTAAGCGCTTTCTGACAACAGCCGCAGAGATTCCTCCATCAACCGGTCACGCTCACGATCCAATGCTGCCGCTCATGGGTACGCCGAGCGTTTCAACCCACCCGAAGAAGAGCCCGCTCCAGAACCTGCCCGTATCACAATTCCAAAGCTACCTTCGCGTAATCTTTCTCCTTCGAGGGCCACCTCTTCACCTTCCGGATACAGCGGTGGGCGTCCTAACTTCTCCCGCCAAAATACCTTTGATAGCCCGTCTCGTTCCCAGCGGGAAGAGTCTCCACGAAGACTTTCGCGCATACCGACCGAACCGACAGCCGTTCTTGCTGGCCGAAATAGTCTTCGTCCAGTCCGAACCACCAACACGTTTTCCGATGAATACAGTGAAGATTATGCGGACGGCAACGGTTACCGACGTGATAGATCACCCAGCCCTGCAGCTAGTAGCCAAGGGAGTGTACTCTCACGAGCGACCAGCTGGACTGGCGCCGACATGCCCTCGCATGGAAAGAAAGCACCCCCGCCTCCACCGCCTTCCCGGGCAAAGAAACCCCCACCTCCGCCACCGCCCATGAAGCGAAGTGGGTTGAGTTCATCAGAAGTTTCGCATTATTAGCTTGATATATACTTATCATTCTTGATATATGCGCTGACCTCGATGACGTGTTTAGAACCCCAGAGAATCTATTCCCTTTGATTCACAACCGATCTTTGCCTCTGTACTCGACCTTTTCCGAACTTTGGGAGCCGGAATGTTTCGTGTGGCCGGTGTCGAGGAGCGGTTGGTGTTAACACTGTCAGATGTCATGGGAGGCTTGCCGGTTTCGCGCATCATCTCAAACTACTTCCCTTCTCCTTTTGGTTTCTTTATGTCTAGTAAAGACTCTTCCCCTAGGGCCATAGGCGTTTCTTGGCATATTTTATTGGATGGGGCGGAGCATGTGTGTAAACTTCGACACGAAGGGGCACTTTGAAAGTCGGCACGGTTTTGGGATTTCACATTTTCTGGGAAAGGGGCGAAAAACAACGAGCGGCCCCCTTTTGGAAGCAAAGCGAAGGGGCAGTCTTTTTTTTTTTGTTACAGTTGTCACTAGTTCTCTGGATAGGATATGAGATTTTATGCTTTCCTGCAATACTTTTTTTCTTCTTCTCTTATTCACAATAAAGCTTTCCAAGTTGTTCCCTCGTATAGTATATAATATGTGCGCTTTTTCTCACCTAGTACATGATCACTTCTTCTTTGAACGTCTCCGAAAATAAAACCTAGTACATATATATATCGAACCCAAGTTCCTTCCCCCCTTTCCCATTCTCTCCCTGGCATACCCTGGAAACCAATAATACGATCGATCCGCCTATGAACAAAGTAAAAAGAAACCCTCCCCCCGCCCCCCCCCCTCCAAGTCTAAAGAAATAAATGGCATAGAATCAAGGTCGCTTAATCTAGACTCCTTCCCCCCCCCCCCCCCCCCAGGTCTGCAAAACCCCCCAATAAATATCGTGTCCCAAATACTGCAAAACACGGTACCAATGTGTGATATAAATTTACCCATTTCCCCCCTTTTGGTTTGTTGTTCTTTTCTTTTTTTTTTCTCCTTTCCCGCATTTCCCAGCCAATGTTGCGTATGTGTTTTTGCGGGGATTTTGTACCGTGTTACGCGAGCTTGCATAAAGAGAAGATGGATAAGGGGGATGAATAGAGATACACGGGAGATTGAATTGAGGGGCGGAGTGGTGGGGGGGTTTGTTTTGTCTTGCAAAGAAGAATAATAGAGCGAAACCACCGATGAACCGAGCTGAATAGGAAAGAGTGAATGAAGAGTAAGATAGCTGTTTTATCGCTCAAACTTTTGCTGCTGCTGTTGCTGTTGCTGTTGTTGTTGCTGCTGCTGTGGGGTCGGAAAACTCCAGTTGTCCTATTGAAACAAGAATGATCAAGTCAGTGAGTGAGTAGAAAATAAAAGACGAAAAGAGGACACATACCCATTGCTGCAAGCCCGCAGACCCAGGCGTGGTTCCATCCCCCCACTCAGAAGGCCGGACACCGTTCGCGTTATCCACGGGTACAAAGATGGCCCCGGGGCTCCCTTGCATGCCCGAGAGCAGCGTGTCAAAGTCATCGCTGTTGGTAGTAGCACCGCCCCCTGCGAACCCATTAAGTAGCGATTCGAAGTCTACATTCAGGTTATCCAGTGGAGTCGTGAGCCCTGCCATACCGCCCATCTGAGATGCAATGTTGATGTCTTGCTGCTGCCGGTGCTGCGGTAGTGGTAATTGCTGTTGTTGCTGTGGCTGTTGTTGCTGCTGCTGCGATATCGAGGATTGGTTGGTTTGTTGGCGGTGCAGCGAAGGGGGGAGGGGCTGGAGGGTGGGGTGCTGTTGCATGCCTGCGACTGTGTTCTTTTTGGGAAGGCCTTTCATGACGTAGAAGGCCTCGAGATTCTCTTTGACTGTCCACAGGAGATCGGAGCAACGCTCGCGGACACCGACGCCGTAACAGTGGCCGAAGATGTGATCGATGATGGTGGCCATGCGCTCTTTACGCGGTAGCGTTGGCGTACGGTACAGCTCCGTAAGTAGGAGTAGCACTGCGTGGTATTGTTGATACGTCGTGCTATACCAAGCCCATGATGAGAGGCTGGGGAGCGTATCCAGCGTGGCGCCAATCTCGAGTGTAGTGAGCGCTGCGGTGAGGAGTACATCACGAAGGCGATTTTCCGACTCGGAACGGGGGTGTAGTGATGCTTGCGGTAGGTGACGATACAGAAGCATGGAGTCGCAGCGTGACATCAAAAGTGTTGCTACCAGACCGGCATAACGTTGGATTGGGGACGAAGCATCGAGGTATTGCAGATACGTGGTTTGGATATGTCGTTTACGTGATTCCACCGTCGCGCGAAGATCGTGCAGTGTACACGTCTTGCGGTCGATCTCGATTCTTCCACGGAATATGAGACGATGGATCTCATTGCATTCGTACCGAATCAAAGACAGTGTAGCGTCGGTGAAACCGCTGATAGAAGAGGGTTCATGTTGCCATTTTGGTGTGCCAAACTCATACACGTCATCGTCAACGTTTAGTGGAAGCGGGATATCGAAGTCATCGGATCGGATGGATGGATGTGGTCCTTGGGCTTCGGCAGTTTTGAAATCCAGAAAACAGATCTGATACCACAAGAGAGACCGTACATGGCGTTGAAGGGGGGTGAGGACATGGTGAGAAAGACGATGGATACCGATGCATTGCGCGAGGCGTACCAAGGATCCAACAACAACTGATGTTGCACGAGAGATTTGTGCTCTGCAAAGCGGTATGAGGTAAATGGTGAGCGCCTGGAGTGTCCGGATGTTTGATGTCTTCGCCCAGTTCGCGCGAAGTAGGGCTCTTTCCGTCGCTTTCTGCAGTCTCAGAAATAAGTCTTCCTTGGTGATACCGAACTGTGACTTTGCTTGAAGTGGCGAAACAGATGCGGCCGCAGCCATGCACACTGCAAGAATAAGTGCTGTGCAAGAATTTTGGTTCGGATTGCCCATTTCCAGATTCATCCAGAATCTATCAAATAGCCGCTTGAACGATGGAATGTGGAGGACATGGGCAAGTGGATTGACCGCCTCCAGATACCGCTGGAACAGGGCTTCTGCTTCAATCCGTGTCGGAAGCTGGGGAGGTTCAATATCAGTGTGTTTTGGTGTAGTAGGAATTGAACCACCCAAAAGCAAGTTCAAAGATGGCGAGAGCGATGGCATATGCTCCGCTGACAGAAGGCCAGATGACTGTGGCGCTCTCTGGCCCGCTACTGATGATGTAGAAGATGGCGAATGGTCTGCGAGAAGCTTTCCAAGCTGCGGTTTGCTCAGCATATCGTCTCATTCATTTGGGATCGCAAAACTAATGACGACTTGTAAAAGTGTGGAATTACCTCTTCAGCGTATTGCGGCCTGAAAAATCCAGTAATGTTTTCGCAAATGATCATTCTACCGATTCGGATTGTCAGATCTGTCGCAATCTCGTCTTCGTCATCATTCTCGTCCTCGTACACATCATCGGGCGTCTCTTCAGGCTCTGCGGGCAATTTCTCCCACGCATCTTTCCCACCATCAACCTGGACGTGCTGCTGATAGGCCTCCCATTCGTAATCACGTGGTGGTGTTCCTGGAGTGGTTGTACTGGCGTTCCCGTTTTCACGATCGAAAACCTCGAATTTAGTTCCTATACCATCTCCTCCCTGGACTCCAGAGTTGGACTGAGTGCGCACAGGAATCGGTTGGGTCCAGTCCGCACTGGATCTAGACGCTTGCTCTCTTTCTCTTTGCTTCTTGCGCGCCGCACTTTCAGGCACAGTAATAAAAACGCATTCTCTACCGAAGGCTGTGCAGTTTTGACAAGGGTGAGTTTTGGAGCAACGACTCTTTCTTGTGCGGCATTCAACGCAGGAATTAATGGGCCGTGGGTTTCTGCGACGAACCACTCGACTTTGCGGCAGCGTTTGTTCTGACATATTCCGGAATCATTTTGGCTGCGCCATTGCTTCTTCTCTTTCTGTAATGCAATCGGTTCCTGTTCAAAGTGTAGAGGTGCCTGGCCGGAAAATGGTGGGGAGGAAAGTCGGATCGACAGCCGATAACCGCCCCAGCATGTTTTAGCTGATCAGAGGTCACGTGTCGTCTCAGCCCTGCCTAAATTGAACACCCGCTTTAGCGATCGAATGAGGACATGGAACTCAAAATTGCCTCGATGCGCTTGCAACAGTAGATCCCGGCGTGCATGCGCTATTTATCTGGACCGATACTCTAGAGCAAACAGATCATTCCTTTCGGAGTCTGACGTGCATGTGTTCGTGTGATTCAAACATCCCAATGGTCGCATATTAAGCTAGGCCGCGATAAAGTGCAAAATTATACATTGAGCGTACAGATGTGTCACCAACGGATTATCAGCCGCATGAACCCTGGCAGATCCCCTGTCTAAACTGAACGCCTGAACTCAACAAGCAAGCAAGCAGCAGCAGCAGGCCAGGGGCACTGCGGCGAGATCAAAGGGTAGCCTTTCACCCACACCCTGCCACAACTATAGCCCTTCTTTACCTTGACCGACCTGCAGCCGCGGAACCACGTTCAGGCCAGGACCCGACGGCATCCTCTACTTCCTCTAAGAATGATGTGCTGTTATGAACCGTTGTGCCTCCCAGAGCAACCCGCACACCTGGAGAGCTTGCGTTCACCTGAGCCACCATTTTGGCTTCCTCATATGTAGTACCACCGACCATGAAAATCACAACATCCTGAGGTTTGTCTTTGGTTGAGCCGCCACCCTCCACGAACGGATACGCTTGTTGGTTCAATCTGCCTTTGATCAAGTCCTGCAAGGTCGCCTCCAGCCGTGGGGAGTGTTGTGTGTATACGTTCTCTACGCCTTTCAAGCCCTTTATTCTGTCACGGGCCCCGCCAAAGAAGGATCCTGGCTGGAACAGATCGGGCATTCCGCCGGCGACGTTTGAAGCCTGGAGCGAAGTGTGATATGTTAGAAGTTTGGGGATGAGATTGATGCGATTCCGTGGCACACCACCACTAACACTCAAAAGATCGAGCAGCATGGGTGTAGAGTTTGATGAGTTCTTCGAATACCGTAAAGCATAAATTGCAGTGAGTCGCAGCTTGTTATCGGCGGGTATCCTTGGATCTTGAATGATCCTTTGTAACGATTTAACGTCATTGGAGTGGTTGTCAGTGCAAGCCAAACTTTGCTCCAGCTCACTGCAATCCAGCAGACTCTCCTCTCCAACTCTGCGGCTGAGTTCGCCTACAAGAGTGACATGCTTGGTGACATTGCCAGAGAGTTTCCGGAACTCAGGAAAGTCTTCGATGAATCGCTTCATGTCCGCTATTGAGTCGAGTTTCTGCGAACCCTGCTGCTTGGATGCAAATTGCTCCACGTATTCCTTCGCATTCTGACCCAGATCTCCAAAATTCAAATACATGTTCTTCTTGAAAAACGGGTCCTGGTCTGGCGACAGTGTGATTTCCTACGAACAATAAGAATCGATATGGTGACAAAGCGGACTGGGAATACTTACTTTAAGCTCAGGTCTGATATCTGGAACATCGCGCAGATCCACCCTACCATTGTTGATCCCGAGTAATTCGTGTACCATAGCCTGATATGTCCATTGTGTAAGAAGAGGGGTAACAGGATCATCTCGCCTATCAACAATGAGTAGTATTGGAGGCGTATCCACCTTCCTGAAATCGAAAAGCTGATCTTCCTGCGTTATATGATAGCGCACTTCAGTAGCCAACTTCTTGGCCAACAGACTGTTCTTCTGATACCGAATCAGTGGTTTCTTCTTCAGCGCAAGTAGTAATGCCATAACCCCCTCCGTTGATCTTTGCAGCGAGTCTTGATTCCACGCATCCGGACCTGTGCTCCATAACCTGTGCACTGGAAAGCTGAGATTTAGGGCCATGAGGTCAGGGTTTATGACTTGAAAGTCAGCAAAATATTCCTGAACGGCGCGCACCACCTCGTGGTCGTCTGCCTCGGCAAGCCTTTCCAGCGATGATTTCTTGATGATGTTGCTGAAGTCTGTGTGAAATCAGCTTTGTGCCCTCATCTGTCCTCACTCCAAAAAGCCTCACATATGTGATATTCCCCATACTTCGGCTCCCGTAACTCCTCAATGAGACCTTGTATCGATTCGGGGGACGGCCGTACGAAGCACAAGCATCGAAGATGTCGCATCTTTTCTCGTTTCGCGTTGTCTAATCGGCTAAGCACCAGTATTAGACATGCTCTTAGAGAAGGGATTGGAGGAAATGTACTCGGTCAGGTAGACCTCATGGCTGAGGAGAGCGGATTGTGTCGTCGCTGTTGATACTATTGTGACCTGCATAGTCGTCAGCCATTTATGCCAGAGACTGCACGTCGGGGTACAAACCTACAGTCTCGTTGTCCAACAAGAGTATCTTCATCTTAGCAGCAGAGGTGCCTGCGGCAGCGCTGTCTCCCACCGACACCATCTTAGTGATGTAGCCGGAGACGGCCTGTGCGATATCCATGGCTGCGAATGGGGTGCGAATGGAAACCGAGAGGCTTTTGAATACTGGAGGAATCGAGCAAGATTATTTGAGACTGTCGAGTATTGTCATCATCTTCATACCGAGTAGATAGCTTGACGTAAGGTGTAGTGTACAGCGACTCGCGAAATGTGGCCCGGGCTTGCGCTCACTAGGATCACTACCCCAAACATCTCCAGGTCTATAGCGCACATGTGCTTACATAATATGCCTCCTTAATTTGAGGCTTAAGGTCTGAAAAGGAGCTCTACATCACAATATACTCTCCGAAAAATGTCCGGCATATCTTCAACTCACTATACCAGTCTACGATCCCTCACCGCATACAGATGAATGTGCAGTGTCTCAATGTGGTATCAGTGTACTATGCTTACGTGCATTCTAGACGAAGTGACCTATCGCACGAGACTGCGCACAGCTTACTGTAGAAGGCATCCCGAAATTTCATTCGCAATGACACAGCTTACGCCGACGACATCGCTATAGCTTAGTCGCTATGATTATTTAACTGCTAGGCTGCAACATTTTCAAAGTATCGATAGATAGCGACAGACCACATCCACCACCACCTTTTCTGAGTACTTTGCTACAGCGTGTGCTATCAGACAGCGCCACCACTATAAAACAAAATCCCTTTACTACTTTTTCGTTCTTCCAGCAATCAACTGGTCGCTATTTCTATCTTGGATATTTGTTCGCAATAATGAGTTTGGAGTCTGATCCTGATCCTAAACCAACGCCAACATTACACTGTGTTTTTCTCACTGGTGTGACCGGATTCGTCGGCGGCACTATCCTCTCTCGTCTCCTAAATGCACATCCTAATGTTCACGTCAAAGCTTTGATCCGTAAAGAAAGTGTTGCTCAAGAACTCCAATCGGTCTATCCAAATCTCACACCCATCATTGGTGAACTTTCTTCGCTTTCTCTTCTCGAATCCACGGCAGCGGAGGCCGACTTCGTCATCCACGCTGGAGGTGACAATGTCTCCGCCGTTTGCGCGATGATAGATGGGTTGGCATCCCGTACCACCACTGGCCCGCCTATGCCACGGCTCATCAGTCTAACCGGTCCGCGTAGTCTTATCGACCTCACGAATCCCATCACAGGGAATCTTAGGGCGGATAGCCGTCCCTGGAGCGATATCACAGATGCGCATACAATACTGAACGTTCCTGAGGACAGGATCCACGCTGGTGCTGATCAAGCCATCATCGCTCACAGTACTGCTAAAGGGGTGGGCACAATACTGGTCTCGCCTGGTCAATTGTGGGGTCGGGGTAAGGGTCATCTGAAGAAGGAGAGCAATTCCGCGTTTTATTATGCAACGGTCAAGAACCGTGGACGGGCCTTTATGATCGGAGAGGGCACCGCAACATGGTCATGGACTTCCATTGGTGATCTGGGAGATGCGGTCGTGTTCCTGATGGAACAGGCACTGAAGAGTGGGAGCGAGAATCACGGACAAATAGGAGTGAATCGAGACGGCTACTACTTTGTGCGTACCGGAGACCTGAGTATGATAGAAAGGGCCACAGCTGTCAGTGATCGGTTAGGTCTTGGAAATGTAGAAAGCGTGTCGGTTGATGCCGCAAGGGAAATCCATCCTTTCGGCCCCATCATGTGGGGTTGTGGTGAAAGAACGAGATCTGACAAGCTACTCGAATTGGGTTGGAGGCCGAAAGAGACTGATTGGAAGGCGTTGATGGAAGAAGAAGGGGGAGAGAGGGCATGAGGGTAGCAGTAAAACAGAAATACTGGTGACTACCTCTAATTCACTACATATATTCGACGGGACCACATGTGGTCTGACCTACAAAGAGGGATGACACTCAATAAATCATAGAATCAAGTATAGTCTGCTTTCGCACCTCGTTTTGCTGACAAATTACATGGATGGATCAAGAAGACATTGCTTACAATTGTAGGATCGGAGTGGCAGTCGGAGTGATAACATTTGAATGTATCGAGTGACGGCGACTTTAGGATGACGAACACAAATCCGGTCCGCAGGGGTCCAAAGCTGCAGGTAGTGCACTAGCCGCAGTTTGCAATAGCATACAGCCATCTACGCTCACATTTAAATAGATCGTACATCCCCGTCCCTTCCTGATAATACACAACATCTCAGGCATCAATTCGAACTCATCAATCAACTTCTTGAATCATCACGATGCCCAAAGTTTTCATGTAAGTTGCCCCTCGGTACATTGCGTCATATGTACCTACATGTAAGCAAGCAGCAAATGCATATGCAAACCGCACCGCTTCAAAGTATGCTATATGAATCACGGAACATTTACTAACAATAATACAGCACGGGAGCAACAGGCTACATTGGCGGTGATGCTCTTTACACTATCGCCAACACCTACCCTGACTTGGAATTTACAGCCTTAGTTAGGAACAGCGACAAGGGAGCTAAAGTTGCATCTCAATACCCCAAAATCAAGCTGGTCTACGGCGAGCTCGATAGATTTGATCTTCTCACGACAGAAGCGGCAAAAGCGGACATCGTTCTTCACACAGCAAATGCCGGAAATCTCGAGGCCGTGAACGCTCTGATCGCAGGTCTCGCTCAGAAGAAGACACCCGGTTATCTCATCCACACATCAGGAACTGGTACCCTTGGTACCCCCGACTTCTTGAACAACACTCTTGGCTCCCACTCTGATAAAATGTATGATGACTGGGATGGTATTGGAGAGGTCGCGTCTACGCCCGAGAGTTGGGGGGCTCGTAAAGTCGAGAAAGCCATCCTCACCGCATCCTCAAAGAACCCTGGAAACATTTTCACTGCCATTGTGGCACCTCCGTTGTGAGTAAACATGCATGTTGTTCGAGTTTGGAGCAGGGGCTTACTTCCTCGCGCGTGATAGAATCTATGGCGAAGGCCGTGGTCCCGATAATCAGCGCAGCATCCAAGTTCCGAACATGGTCAAAGCAACGCTTGAACGTGGCAAGGGCTTTTATCTTGGTGAAGGCAAGAACGTTTGGCACGTCGTTCACGTACAGGACCTTAGTGACGTATTTCTCCGGCTTGTAACCTCTGCGCTACAAGCCGGAGGTGGAAAAGCAACTTGGAACGAAACGGGATACTATTTTACCGAAACAGGTGATGTTGTCTGGGGTGAAATAAGCAATGCGATCGCGAAAGCTGCGGTGGAGCGTAATCTCATTGCCAATACGGAGCTTGATAGTTTGACAGGGGATGAGGCGAACGAGATTCTGCCACCATACGGGGCATACATCTGGGGCACAAATTCGAAGGCCAAAGGAATTAGAGCAAGTAGGTTGTTGAACTGGAAGCCTGAGAAGGAAGGTCTCTTTGATACGATCGATGACGCTGTCATTATTGAGGCCAGAGCGTTGGGACTAGCAAAATCACACCAGGAAGTAGCAGCTGGACAGGTTTAGAAGCAGCAAATGCGGCGATGAATAGATTGAATTCACTAATAAAGCTCCCTCTTAACCATTTGAAATGTGCGGCGAGTGGTTGATTATTCCGCCCATATTTCTGTCAAAATACCGGGCGACTCCATCCATAGTTTCCACACTTAGCTTGCAAAGCTTTGTATACGAAGGGCCAGAGCAAGCATCAACCATTCCGCGAAAATGTTCCCAAACGATGGCTTGAACGTGAACGTCCCCCCTCTTTCACAGCCTCACCATCAAATCATGGAACGTGTGCATATGTCGGTTCATCGACTCATCGTATCATCTCAGCACCTCCATCTCCACAAACGACAACCTGCCTTTTCCCTCGCCCGGATGCCCCTTCAGCTCCCATTTGTGATCTGCCTTGCTGTCCATAAGGCTCGGATATACCCAGTTTCTTCGGTCTTCCTTCGCTTTCCAGACATCCAATAACTGTGTTTGCAGTGCTACTTTCTTGGCCCAACCGTTTTCCGTCTCCCCATCCTGGAAAAGCAGGACAGGTGTACGGCAAAAGTTTCTGTCTCTCGAAAGCATCTCATCTGCCGTGCGACGTCGCTGTAGAAGACACGACTCGGCTGTGTCATTCCGATTGCAGCGTTGGCATGATGGAGTTGTGCGGCTGCAAGGCAGATCTTTCATTGCACATTGAAGGCAGCTGAGCACACAGACACGGTTCAACGTAGACGGCACTGTTCGGGTAGTCTCGAGCCTGTCATTGGGTTGTTGAATGTTCTTTCTGGCACTAATGACGGTAGATGTTGGTTGATGTGAGGTTGAGTCCACGTCGTTGATCTCATCATGGCCGTCTTTAAAACTGCTGTTGTCTGTTTCGTCGACGGATGACGCATCGGTTTCTGCGTACTTGTTGTGGCGCGCTGAACCAACTGAATAGATCTCTCGTATAGACTGGGGTGAGTCGAATATGGCGTTCTTGTTTTCCGAGAAAGTGGTATCAGTCGGTGATACCTCAACGAATCGGTTTATGAGCGCCGAATCTCGGGGTGGTGTGACAGGCTGAATTGGGAGTGTGACGAAAGACGGTAAGGCATCTCTCAAACTGACTGTATGCACTCCTTCAGCATGCTCTCCATCTTCAGGATCTCCCAAATGCAACTGATCCAGCCAGTGTGCGATGTTGTTCGCGGTCCCAGCTTGGTCCTCCATTTCTGTATCGCGCATAAGAGAACGCGATGGCCTGTCGTCCGGAAACGATTTCCGTAAATTTGAATGGCTAGAGTTTCCGAGTAAAGAGTATTACATCTGCAACAACGCTCCTGGGTGGTGAAAGTCTGCTGGTAAGTGAGAGTGAACGCCATGAAATGGTCACGCTCCCTCGAGGTGAAGCCGGATTACCAACGTCAAGCCAGGCTGCCCGAGAATGAGTAAAATTGAGATATAAATAGGATAGGTTATTCTTTTGATAGCGTAGCCGATATCTGCCTTCGAAGCTCAGCCGCCGCAACAGTCATCTTGCTGCAATTTGTATGGCGCGAATGTGGTACCGAGAGAACAGGAAATGGTGATGATTACAAACCGCACATAAATTGTTAGGAGGCAAGTTTCAAGCAGCTTCATATTAGACAAACGGGCGCAGAGTAGATTACTCTACATACGACATTTATCGATAGCTGTAGGTAGGTAGCTACCTAGGTACGCATCTCATGAAGCTGTTGAGAGGAGAAACCGACCGAGTTATTTGACTTTACGTACTGATACAACCAAATAATCTCACACTATTATAAATCGAGTTTTATAGCAAATGTCTGCGATACTCTTTTGTGTTGCGAATATACATTGATCTTCACTTGCGTAATACCATGGTTCTGACTGGATCATCTGCCTCACCACTAGAATCACTACATTTACGGATAGCTGCAACTCCTCAACCGATACGGTCTTTCCCAAACCTCTCCTTGGCGACGACAATTCGAGGCGAAGGAAAGACAAACACTGATTCAAGGAATAAAAGAGCACCAAGAGAGACACGATGGAGACGTTGCAAGTGGCACACTAGAGCGTTCGTTTTGGGACTAGTGGATATCTTAATCTAGTCCTCATCACACCTCCGGCCATCCTCATCGCGTCTCACAGCACCCAACACCATCGCATTCTTCCCTATCAGTATCGTCCTTCGAACATAACAGTGAGCTGCGTGGTCAGAAAACCTAACTTCACTACAGTAGAATCGTTGCAGCTAGCAGCCCGTCTGGTTCACCCCTCCTCTATCAATCAACGTAATGACGACGATTCGAATCATTTTAATAAACTGCACCGACGACTGTGAATAGATACGAGTTTCAATGATTCCAGTGCGAGCGGCAGAACGTAGCTGGTAAAGCCACGGCGATTGGTGCTGGTTACCTGACCGACATCGCAACATCGAGTCACGCACACTGGTCAGTTTCCGCGGTTTTACCCAGCGTCGATGAGATCCCAACAGGACCCCAAGATTTGTGTCCACGTGTCTCCAGCATCAAGTGCCATCGCGTCACTTCTTACGCTCTGATATCTGGTATTTTTCGGTAGAAAGAGCTGGATGTACTTGCTTCACGCAACTGCTTCACCGAGGACGTGTCCTGAGGATAGCAACGGCCTAAGACTCGCGCTCCGGACACTTTTCAACACGCAGATCTGATACCCCCACAACACAGAGACCGTTCTCATTAATCTGCCTCAAGGAGTCGGCATCACTTCGAAGCGAAGTGTTGACAGCCATCTTGTGGAAACAGCGAGATACGGGAGATATGTAATGAGCTAATGTTTACGGGGCGATTATGCATGTGCCTGGGGGCGTCGCCAGTCAGCCGGTGAGCGATTGCAGGTGCAGTCAATAGCAGATATAACCGTGAAACACTTATGAAGAGCGCGGTTGGTCAGTGGAATCCCACGCACTCTCAGGACGTCATTGCATCCTGAAAGCAAAAGATATTTGCGCGTGGACGAATTTGCCGTTCGGATGACTGCAGAAAGGGACAGCGGTGAAAGCATTACTTGGCGTACATCCGCGTTGGTCGCGTTGCGATGGTCATGAAATGCTGGCTGGGGACATATATTTTGAGTAGATACATAGGTATATGCCATTGAGATATCACGTATATTGTCGCGGTACGTGAAGTGTAGGAATCTATGACCTGGCTTTCTCATTTGCGCCTGAAAATAAACGACTGTTCCCTGCAGCAATTGGCTTACCGCGTCGGCACCCTACTAGCCCAGCAATTGTTTAAAGTAGTTTGTGCTAGCGAGATAGGGATTACCTCATGCCCGGCGGACGTGCAACCACGATCAACTTTACGCGGCAGGCTCGACCACTTGACAACCTGCCACCACAACACACCACCATGTCTGACTCCGACTCTGCACTCTCCTCACCACCCGCGACGGACGACGAAATGCCCGTCGCGATGCCTCCCGCAAAGGCCAAAAAGCCCATGCCTCAATCCCAGAGCAAGAAATCCAAGAAGAACGGCACTATCCTGTCCTTCCTTGAGAAACGGGCTCCCTCGCCGCCGCGCAAGAAACGCGACCCGTCGCCACCACACGAGCCTGCGTTTGAAGACAACTTTGACATACCGGTAGGTGTTTGTCGCGTCTGTCACGTCGCGCCGCGCTGCCATCGCGTTTCTATAATCACCGCTGCTCGTCGTCGCTTCCTGCTGATATTTTGTTACTACAGTTCATTGTCATGTTTAGGTCGCGATTCTCCGATGCCTTTCCTGCAAAATGCCCTCATCTGGGCCCCCAGGACCTCGAACGTGGCGTTACCGAAGACATTCCGTCGTCCCAAATCGAGAGCCTGCTTTGCGCCCTCCTCGGCTTAGTGCTGAATCGCAAGAAACCTGTAGAGTCCGTCCGCCCTTCGCCTCTTGCCTCGTCCTAGCACTAGAGTCGCCTCATCACAGAGAGCATGCTGTTGGAAACACAAGCTGATTTGGTTCCCGTTTACAGGAAAGGTCATTATGGCCGCGCGCTGGAAGAAGCTGTACAGACTCAAAAATCACAATGGCCAGCGTCATGGAATTCTACAAACCCATTGCATGGGGGTCGCTCGTTCAATACAATGACCGCTACTGAGCGTGTAAGTGCTACCCAATTCTACTTGGAAGCATTCCAACTACTGACTTGCTCGTAGCTTGCCTTGCTCAAGACCCTCATCCTATGGAGCCTTAACCAATCCGAAGTAATCTCTACTATGATCAAGGAAGGTTACAAGTCGCGATCGACAAAGGACAAGGCCGATGCAAACATCCCGCTTTCCGTGCAGCCATGGGGTCGCGACGGCGACAAGCGACAATTCTGGCTTATTGAAGGGCAGGATGATACAGCGTTTCGAATCTATAGGGAGAGCGATCGAAAAAAGAAGAAGATCACATGGTGGAGCGTTGCAGGTTCTATTGAAGAGCTGCGCACTCTGGCCGACAAGCTGGTGGAGGAAGACGGCACCCGCGACGCGAAATCGCTGAGCGAACGTATGCTCCACGCAATTCCTCGTTTCGAGGCTACAGAAGAGGTAACGTACATTGAGTCCATGTTCTTCAGCTCATGTTGCTAACAGCGCCGCAGAAGCGTAAGCGTCGCGAGTACCGTAATGCTCGCAAAGCAGCTTTTACTCGACCCGAGCCCGGTTACTCCCTTTACGAAGGTCGCACCCGCGGCAAGCGCATGCGCTACAATTTTTCCGATGAAGAGGTTGATGTAGACTCCGATGCACTATCTGTTCGGCGATCTACGCGCAATTCTGGTCGCGAAACACCTGCTGCTCCTGCCGCTGCGACTGTTACCGCTAGTGGCCGCCAGGTCCGTTCTCGCGCAACCGGTGCCTACGGCGAATCTCTGGTCAGCGGCCAAACAACGGAACGTGCCTCTCCCGCCACAGGAGATTACGCTCGATCTGATGTCTCAGAAGAACCACGAAATTCTCACGGCCGATCCACCCGTGCTGCTGCCACCAAGGCTGCCGATGGTTTTACAAAAAAGCGCAAACATTCCGAAAAGTACGACGATGAAGACGAGATGGATGACGATGAAGACGATGCGACATCTTGGGACGGAGGCGATGAAGACGAAGAGGCTGATAGAATGGAACTCGATGATGAGGATCAGTCTGATGACGACGCATCTGATGAGGAGCAAGAGCCCAAGAGCCTTCTCGTAAGTTTGAAGTACACCAAGCAGACCTTCAATTCGTCTGAAGATGCTCCTATACCAACAGAAGAGCAACCGACCAACGCGGAGCTACCCAAAAGCCCACCGCCTGTGGTGGCTGGCGATGCTGTCCCTGTACAGCCTGTCGACCCTAGCGAACAACCCCAGCCCGCGAAAGACATCGCCTCGAACGGAATCTCAATTCCGATCGTCGCAGATAAACCTATTACGGCAGAACAAGTACCTTCAAAAGTGGAATTGCCGCTCGGAGCGCCGACCCCACCATATACTGCACAGGAAGAGTCCAAGCCAGTGACCCAATACCCTGCCGCCATTCCTAACGGTGAAACTGCGCCCACACATCACGCATTAGACGCAAATCTGCCAACTACAAAGTCTGTCACGGGCTAGTAGTAGTAGAGCTAGATCATAAGAGCGACCGACAGGATTCGGATTTTTAGAATAGCAATACCGTCCACCCGGCTGTTGTTCTTTACAAGAAAATACGGTAAGCATAATTCCCCACTTGCCACACTCTTCCTATGTTTGCATTCCTGCATGTTGCCTAAAGGGGTGGGATACGGTTCTTCGGGGAAAGGCGTTTTTCAGACCATGCCATAGGAAGAAATGGCGTGATCATGGGCTAGGGAAAGGAGATTCCCTTGTTGGTGTCGGTGTTTATCGCTCTTCAGCATGCTTTGACATGATTCAAAGCCAGATGGGTCGACTGGGAATAAGACGGGTGTTTTCTTTCTTCTGAAAATGGGATCCATGCGTCTTACTGTACATTACTAGATAATGAGATTTGAAAGTCTTTCTGACCCTGCCTTTTCTCTCTAACTTTGGATGTATCTTTCCTTCTCTACGTGGCCGAACTTTTTGGAAAGACCTTCCATCTTCTTTTGTTTCGTAGCAAGCAGTCCATATCCGAGATTCTCATCTCCGAGGACCGCGGTTTGCCATTCCTCTATCTCCCTCCCAAGCGCCTCCGAACCTATTTGCGGACCTGCTTGGTCCTCTCCCATCATGCATGTCACTTCTGTGTTCCCTCCGCCAACGCATACCACTTGTATCATCGCGGTCTCGACTAGGGCTTCGTTCTCCAGCTCTGATCTCCGCTTCCCTTAGTTTTGCACCTTCCGCTTCTATCTGAGCCTCCAGGGACATTGCGGGCAGAAACGACGATGGTCGATTCCGCGCTGCAACTCCGGAAGCAGTTGTGTCAGAAGGCTCTGGCAATACAGAGGCTTCCTGCGGTGGCGACGTAACGTCGATACCCTCATCTGCCTCGTCGTCTTGGTCTTCATCTTCCTCCTGTACTCCTCTCGTGTTCTTCTTGCGTGGCCAAAGCGAGGGAAGTACGATTTGTTGGAATCGTGGTTCTACGGCACGTTCGTCGAACCAGGCGTGGATACGTGACTCGATGAGCTGTGCAATCTTCGGAACATCTTGTAATCGAGAGCGAGAGCCGACTAGAGACCGGACGGAGAGGTCGAGGCGGTAGTCGTCGAGGAATGTGAAGGCTAGAGTGGTTGGGCGGCGTGGAGGGCCACTAGACGATGACGGGCGAGGTTTGTCCGATGGCGAGGCAGAGGGGGACTGCGAGGGCGTCGGAGTAGACGTTGACGGGGGTGTAGATGAGGGGATGAATGATAGAGCGAGGGTTCCGGAGAAACGCACCACGCTTACAGCAAGTGCGACTGGGAGGACAGCGACGAGTGGTTTGGGATAGTTGAGGTTCAGCGTTGTTTCGATCCCTAATGTGATGACATCGCTCAAGTCAACATCCATGCGCGCTTGCAATCGACCTTCTTCCTGTCCTGCAATACCGGCGCTTCCTCCTAGAAATCCGTCTTCCGCAGGCATCACTCGGCAGTTACTGAAGATGGGGAATTCATCTCCCAATGCTATCTCTGTGACTTTGATCTCGCCGATCCAGTCAGGCTTGCTCCCAGAATTGAGGAGTTCGTTTAATGAAGTCAAGACAGCACCATCGTGTCGAGCATCGGCGCGCAACTGTGCTATCGTTTGTGCGATCAGCACATTGAACCAGTCCAAACTCTCCGGCTGGTGCCCTTTGACATTGTAATACGTCTTCGCTAGGATAGTGGCTATGCTAGGACCTCCCGTATTCGCCGGATTTCTAATTACATTTATCGAGCTCTTGGTGTTCAAGGGGTTGGTGTTGGTACTGTTAGACCGCGTCCGCTGGTGTAATTGTTGTAGAGAGTTTTGATGGGCGAGAGTGCGGGCGCGGCGGAGAGACGAGAGATGTAACGCACGATCGTCGGCACTGGGAGGTTCTCCAAAAATGAAGAATTTTATGAAGAAGAAAATCAGGAGAGCAATAGAGAGTTGACCAAGGAGAAAGCCCTGCGTGAAGGATAAACTATGGCACTGTCAATAAGAGAATCCATGGTGGGGTAAGAGAACTGCGTACGATGACACTTGGGAAGCAGGTTGAGGCAGCGATGTTACCACCGCTTGCTGTGCCATATTAACTGGTTCTGGAGACTGTTTCAATCGTCCATGGTGTGTATAATTCCGTGGTCGGTATGTCGAATTGCTGTTGTTGCAGTATGAGCGAAGCCAAGACCAACGCAGGGGTTGACGAAGCAGGTGGAGCCGATATCGATAAGAATGTTCCTAGGAAACCCTCGAACAATCATTTCAGTGTTGTTTGTTCAAATGCACCTGCTTTCTACACCAATCTGAAAGGATTGAACCCCCCAATTTCCTCCCTATCCAGCTGCTACGCATTCCTTCCCTAGAGGTTCGCCCGTCATCGGCGGCAATATGATGACTCGACGTGATCCAGCAGCAGCAGTCCTACGGGGTATCAGGTTTAGATATCGTGTGCAGGCCTACTTGATACTAGGCCATCATTTCTTTCTCCCGTCGCCACTATTACTGGACATTTTTATCATACTGTTCATTCTGGTCAGCAAATCCATGAACAGGCAGTATGCTATCCCCAGTCAACTGTCTTCTCGTGGAATCCAGGTTCTGATGGAACATCGAATACCTTTCGGCGCTTGAACAATTCACCAACAGCGGGTATTCTCGAGGTCCTGATACCAGTATTTCCTCTCCAAAAACAATTTGGAGGTGATTTGGAGGATCGACTTTATCCAAAAACACAGTATATTGTCTCGGCCATTTACGAAGCGTTCTCTGCTGTCCTTGGGAACGCGGCGAAATCCGCAGCTCCGATTGGCTCCCCACATCCCCACCTTCAGAAACCACATGCGGATTATACTGGCAGCTTCAACGAGCGCATTGCGCCAGCATCCCTCATCCATCTTCATGGACTTCGATACCGCGAGCCAAAGCCTGTCGCCTGCTGCTGCTTCGCATCAACCCACTCTCAAGCTGCCAGCGACCTGCGATCCCCCATCCGAGCACAACCCACCCAAGCAGGCGTCATGGATAGTGGGTCCAGCCATTCGGCCATTCAAAGGTAGCGCAAATGCTTATGCTACGAGTCTTTAGATATTTGGAGCCACTGGACATATGGGACGGTCGCTCGTGCGAGCTGTGTTATCGCATGGTGATCAGTGTACGGCAGTAGGATGGTCGCAGGAAAACACCATGGAGCAGCTGGGCAGATGGCATGACGGGAATTGTCTAGGCTTGCTGTGCGATGTCAGGGTGAGGGAAACAGTAGACCATGTAATGAGAAGAAGTGTCGAGCATTGGGGACGTGTAGATATCATTGCAAAGTGAGCCACCTCCCTTTCATCCCGTCGCTCACAAGAACCCAACCATTAACAATTGAACCACCAACAGCTGCACAGGCTACGGTATCACACCCACCACCCACCTCCCTCCCTTCATGCGCCCGAAATTTGACAGGATACTGAAACCATAACCCTCCTCCCTTAGGCGTAATAGGCGCATGTGAAGACCAAGACGACTACGACCTCCGCAACCAATTCAACACAAACTTCATGGGCACCCTGCACATCCTACAACTCTCGCTCCCCTACTTCCGCGAACAAAACCACGGCCGCTACCTCATCTTCTCCTCCACGGCCGGCGCCCTGGGCGTCCCCGGTCTGGGCCCTTACTGCGCTACCAAATACGCAGTCGAGGGCCTCATCGAATCCATGCTCTACGAAATTGACATCTTCAACATAAAAGCCACGTTGGTCGAACCAGGTCATGTCCGCCTCGACGAGCCAGACGACCAGGCCATCCTCAGCGCCGCGGCGTCCATATCCGCGAACTTATCTGCTGCGGGTGGACCTGCTGCTGCTGCTACCACCGCCGCCGCCGCCGCAGCAGCGGCAGGAGGAGGAGGAGCAGGGACGAGCGGTGCGCCTATACCGCGACGGTACGGACATTTCTTCGTCAAGCCCACGCCTAGCGAGCCGTATTCTACGCCCACGAGTCCCGCCGGCCACGCGAAGCGCATGATTCAGTGGTTGAATGATCGCCAGCCTGTCAGTGCGGTTAAGAGCGCTGAGTTGGTGTGGCAGCTGGGGCATTGTAGGTATCCGCCTCTGCGGCTGCTGCTAGGGAGCTATGCCGTCGAGAGTATACGGGATCGGCTGAGGAGTGTTATTGAAGAGGTATGCATATATTCTCTTTTGTTTGTCTCTTCGAGTCATGCTCCTGTATTCATTCCCCACCCCCCGCCCCCCTCCCATTTTTTTTTGCGCTGTGAGCGCGGGATGGTGGGGATGTTCTGTTATAATGAGTTTATGCTAATTCATGTGTGTGTTTGTATAGATTGAAGATTGGAAACATCTCTCTTTCCCAGCGTCCATGCCTCCCGAGGACGAAACGATGGGTGAGGCCGTGGTCAAAGAGGAGCAAGAAGACCAGGAGGATCAAGATAATGACTGATTGAATGCAATCAACAAGAAACTCCCTCTCTCCCCTTCCTCCTCCCGAATGTTAGTTCTGTGTGAGGATTTTGCGTGACTTTAAGATCCGATGTGACCAGGCGAATTCGGAAATCACGGTCCTTGCTACTGCTGTTATTCGTATACTTGATTCATGCTTGTTCTTTCTCATCACATCTTTTTCTGTTTTCCTCCCTTTTTTCGTTGTTTCCCACGGAGATCGGAGAGGGAAAAGGAGAGGGAAAAAAGCGATCACATATACAAATAACAACGCATCCAGGACATGAAAAGACATCAACGAACTCACACATTAATAACCCCTTTTTCTTATTTAAAAAGAACCATATTTCCCCCCATCACCCCCGTATGTCCCTCAAGGCCGAGTAAAAAGATAGAAAGAAAGAAGACAAGGATTAGAAAGCGGGAATCGGTGAATCAGGGAATCGAATTACCACATAAAACCAGGCCTCGCGGCCAAAAAACGATATAGAGCGTAAACTAAGTACATACATGAGTGAGTAAGCCGAGTTCTAATCTAACCACCATGCCTGAAAGAGAAAGAGAAACAAAAAAGCAGAGACGACATAGTCATTCCCTCTCCAACATAACATTGAATCTTCTCTTCTTCCACCTCCTCTTTCCGTAGCTAGAATCCGTCCTCCACGCGAAGGGAGAGGGGGGACAACAGAGCAAGGTGATTATATATATATAAAAGAAAAAAACAAGGACAGCCCTCTCTTTCCCAGTGTTGACGCCGGACGACCGCTGCTAAATAAGACGGGAACAGGGGAAAAAAAAGAAAGAAAAAAATGGAAAACGGAGGTATCAACAATGGTTTGGATATTACAGAGACAGATGCATGAGAAAGGGGATGGGAAGCGGATGTTCTTTTATATATCTACGCTTGGGCTCCCAGTGCGAGGGGGGACGAAGGATTGACCTGGAGAGTAGGGGTGAAGGGATAAGGGAGCTGGCCAATTTGCTGTGATTGCTGCTGTTGTTGCTGTTTCTGTGCCGCAGGGTCTGGTTGGGACTCTTCTTCGTTTGTGTTGGGGCGTGTGGTTCCTGTGACGGGGCCGAGGTGGGGATCTGGGATTTGTATGTCGAGCTGTTTCGTAGTTAGTTTTCCGCTTCTTCTTTGAAAGTAGGGATATATAAAAAGAAGAGAGAGGGAGATGTAGCACATACAGTCAAATAGCCAGTCCGCCTGAGCGGGATAATCCTCACGCCTTCCTGCTCGCCCGTCTCTTTATTCCATGCCTCAAGCCACGCCTCCAGCTCCGCAAGCTTCCTCTTGATATTCGTCAACCCGGCATCGTCCCACAGCCAAAACGTAGCGACGCCCATCAGCGAATCCATCCACGCCTTGAAACTAAACGGATCGAAAGCATCCACCAGTGTATTGTTGATTTTCTGGACAATGGTGCGGAATTGGTCTTCGGTGATGATGGGGTCGAGGATCTCGGGGTACATGTTTGTGAAGGTGGGCGCCAGGTCGCCCTTGAGCATCCAGTCTCGTTTTACGCGGATGATGCGCGTGTTTTCGTAGAGCTCCGTGTCAAGTGGTACGTGGGGGTTCGGGTGCGGGTAGCAAGGGTGCGAGGGCCCCCAGGTGAACTCGGACTCGTCGTCGTCGCCATCGCCATCGTGGGCAGCTTCGCCGGAATGCAGAGAGTTCGGGCGGGAGGGGAGAGAGACACGGGTGAGGGAGGGACGCAGGGACAGGCCGACTTCCGGGTCGTTGGAGCGGCGGGCTGCGGGTTCGTCTGCAGCGGCGTGTTCCACGGCCATTGGGCTGTGCGGGTGTGACGGTGGATGCAGGCTCCTACGATCACGCGGAAGAGCGATGCTCGTGCGACCGGATGGGGTGTCGCCGGTGGAGCGTTCGACAAACAGGGACGACGGGGCTGGGCTCTGGCTTGTGTGGTGCAGAGGCGGCAGATTCAATAGCGGATACTCGTCGCGGGTGTCTGGACGTTGCACGGGAACGACGTTGGGGGTGTAGGCGTCGCGGGTGAGGGTGGTGTCGAGGTGCGGCGGCGGTGGGTGGTGTTGGACGGCGAGGGTGCGCGGGGACGAGTTGACGGGGTTCCAGAGTCGCGAAGCTTTGGGGCGGGGCGGGGAGTTGTTGTAGAGGGCAAACGGGTTGAAGTTGAAGAGGCGATTCGTTATGGACCAGCGGGCGGGCAATTCGGTGGATTGCTGGGACAGCGCCAGGTCGGTTGGTGGGACGGGGGAAGGAATGTGAGGTGGTGGGTGGTTGGTGAGGCAAAGGGGGGAATGTCGGCGCAAGCTGCTGCTTCGGGATGGGTGGGCACAGACGACATGGAGCAGCAGAGCAAAGCTATCTAAGTATCAACGTATGTGTCGGTGGACAGACGGACGGGCAGCGAGTCGACAGCGGGCCGGTTAGTCTCTAATGGTGAACAGAGCAGAAAAAGCAAGCGGAGAAGAAGAGTCCCAGCAGAAAAAGAGAAGAAGAAGAGAAAAAAAGGAAACGGGAATAATGAACAGACTCTACGTCAGCAGGAAGAGGAATGTTGGGTGTTGTGAAAATATGTGCAACCTGCTAGGTAGCGAAGCGTGCCGCATCAGACACAAGTCGTCGTTAGTCGATGCATTGCCCAACTTATACCTGGGGCCTACGCAGTCAATGCCACCGTCATGCCGGCTTGTTTTTCTTGCGCAGCAGGCCATTTGCCTTTCCGCTCGCCTTGGTCGTCGCCCTCCGCCAAACCCTGGTTGGTGGTGGTTGATCTCGACTCGTCCAGAAGAAAACCCATAGTCACCCCTGCGTCTGCCCTCCCGCCTCGTGCCTGACTTGCATAGTGTTCCAAAGTTGGCAAGATATATGACAAACCTCTGCCTTCGCGGGCGCCCGTTTTTGCCCACATGGTCAATACACGGTGGTTTCAAGCAAGCCCCCAACATCCACGCCTGGCACCCACCAACAGCCAAAGCAAAGATAAGAATGGAGAAATAAAACTCCGTCCGTCCAAAAAAGAAAGAGAATCCTTCAGTTCGCCGACCCAATTTGAGTTGAACGGGGAATTGGGGGGAGGAGAAAAAAAAATAGACAGAATAAACGAGACAGCCTCATTCATTCATCCAATTCTCGCTTAGGCCGGGCGCCGGGGGCGCGGCAAAGCAGCAGCCCGCCTGGATCCCATCCCAGCATCCATCTACTCGGAAGAGCCCCCGGCCGCCTCCACCTCCCTTCCCATTCCTTCGTCCACCTTTGTCTGAGGCCAAAATCCATCCTCCTCCATGCCAATTAACTCTACCGCGCTCATCATTCATGCGAACCTGCAAGTCCCAATCCCAACGCAATCCAATCCAATCCTTCCTTCTTTCGTCCTCCTCCCCCCTTGATCCCCATGCCTCTCCCTTAGACTACGTTGGAACTAACCATACCGCCGTTGAAACCCATGACAAAGCCTCGGCATCCGACATCTTTTTTTCCAGCCCTCCGACATCTTTATCCCCTCTCTATGTCTTTCTCGTACCCAGCACGCTCCAACGAAAAGAAGAAACCAAGAAAAAAGTCCCACTAAATCTCCTTTCCTGGCTTGGTCTACCTGCGAATTGATTAGGGCGGAGCCAGCTAGTCAGTTCACACACACACTTTCTCTCCAAAACAAAACGGTCCCTCGGCCTTGCTCTTGATGCCTGTTACAAGTCTGTCTAGCTGTCTGTGTGTCGTCGGGGGCTGACCTTGTTGTCGTCATCGATGGCGTCTTTCGGCCTGCAGATTGGAATTTGGGATTTGGGATTTAGTATTGGTATTGGTATTGACGCAGAAAGGAAAGGGGTGTTTGTTTGAAGGATCATAGGTATTGAGTAATACGGTATACAGTCCCGCGTAACACACGTATTTTAGACGCCCGTGTTTCTTTCTTTATACGAGCCCGCCAAAGGACGAGGGATTGGCTGGTTTCTGTTGCGCGTCGTTGGTATACAACGCTCTCTCCTCCTTTTACAAAATCCAGGCGAGAGTGATATCTGCCAATGTTGATGGGAACAAGATTCTACAACACTTGCATTCGTCCCCCTCCCCCCTTTTCCAGGATCGAAGAGTATCCAACGCTGGCCGCATGGATGCATGATCTGAGCACGATAACAATTCCGCCGCTGAAACGCTGCGCTGGGTAGATACAGTAGAGTTGGTCCCGGGATGACCGTTGGAAGAAGGTATGATTGAATAATTATTGCTCTTATTATATCGTCCAGGATCCTATTAACTAGGACGAGCTCTTTCTCCCCAAAAGAAGAAGAGAGAAAGAAGAAGAAAACTAAGGTATAGTGCTTGCAAAAGAAGTAAAACATAAAACGTGTGCTAGAATAAAGCTGGATGCCCGAGGTGAAGGAATAAGGTAATTTCTCCCGAGGAATTTCTCCCTTGGCATGTTCTCTTTTCTCTTCTCTTCTCTTCTTTGGTGATGATGATGTTGTTTGTTGATGATGACGTAGATTTCCAATTCCTGCCCATTTTTGATGTGTGTAATCCTCCCATATGCGATGCGTGAGCGTAGTCTCTGTGACGATATGCTGTCCAATCCCGAACCAAAGCCATACCCCCCATCCATTCCTAAACCGTGCCCGTATTCTTGAAAGGGTAGAATGTCGTCCCAAGTTGTAATGAAATGAAATAAAGAAAAGAAAAAACGGGTCCTTACACAACGACCCCTTTCAACAGCCTAGAGATGCGCTAGCGATGCTCATTCCAGAAATCTAGCTGCCTGGCTGAAAAGGAGGGAAGAGGCCATATGCTGCCCAACGTAACCACCAGCGTGACCTATGTATTCGGCCCTACTCCCATGCGCATACGCTTTCCCCCTTTTCTTCTTCTTCTTGATTGCAACCACATATATCTATTGCTGTAGTGGTGTGTTTAAACGCGCTTGCTCGCAGAAGACTGCATGCGCCTCATCGCCTCTCGGTGCGCATCCAACATCTCGTTGCTGCGCATCATGTTGTGCATCATCGACTCGCGTTGCTGCGCCGCAGCAGCTTGTTGCTGCTTCTCCATTTCCTTCTGACGTTTGGCATGGAGGAGTGCTGCACGTCGTTGCTCGTCACTGCTGCCGTTCCCTGCGCCTGACGCTGCTTGATGATGGGGATGGGATTGCTGGCTTTCTTGTCGAATCGACTCCCGCCAACCGGCAAGTAGACTTTCGCGTTTCTGGTCGCTGGCTGAATTCCTGTTGCGCTGCGGTGGGTGAGAATCGAAGCCCGTTACCTGCATTTGCGTAGCAGGGATACGGCTGCTCCTCTGCCATTTTTGGGCTGCAGAAGGCGGTTTCTGGTGGTGTTTGAGTGCGCGTTTGCGCTCGGCAAGCGTCATGTCTTCTTCGTTGACAGGGGCATTGTTGGGGGATCCGGATAGTGGTATGAAAGATTGAGAAGACACTCGGTTCTTCATGAGGGCTTCGCGCTGGCCCATGAGTGTGTTGGAGGGTAGAGGTGAGATAGGAGCAGCCGGTACTGAAGTGCTCGTTGGTTCAACAAGTGGTTCCAGATGTGACGAAGAGTTGCGTGAAGGCCGAATGAAGATCTGCGATCCAGACCTAGACATGCCTCCGGCAGGAAGTATACCAGAGGATCTGAATACAGACGCAGGCTTTGCTTGCGAATATTGCGAAGCATTCGAGTTGGAGCGAATAAACACGTTGGGATGTGGCACTGCTTCCGCGCTTGACATTCCATTCGAATTTCTTTTCTTGACTGCTAGCGGCCGAGCCAGTTCTTCACTAACGGGAGCGGGACGTTCGTGATCCATGTGGATGCCAGGCGATATGGGCTCCTCGATCTCTTCAATCTCTGGCTTCTCAGCCGCCTCGAGGTGTTTTGACCACTCGTTTACTCTAAAGGTGTGTGCAACTTTAGAAAATTCCGTGGGGAGAAGGTTGTCGAAACTGCCTGTTGCTGAATCGATTTGCTCACCGCGTACGCTCGCGGGCGCTGTGGCGGAATCGTGATCATTCTCGTTCTTATCTTGCTGGGAGGCAGCATCTGTACGCTTCGATCGTTGTTCGTTGCTCTTTGGATCAGTACTGACTGTCAAGGACCGGGGTGACGATGTCATATTTGAGGATAAAACTTTCTTCGTAGAGTTGTCACTGTTACCTGGTGTTGGCCCTTCGGGTTGATCCGAAGAAGCGACGTTTTGAGACACCGCATGTGCATCTTCACCTTCGTCCAAGAATTCGTTCGGGACTGGTGAAGCAGGGGGTGACAACTCTCTCACAGAGAGATCCTCGTCCAGAGTAGCAGCTACTGAAGAAGCTCTGTCGGATTGGGCCTGGAAATCGCACACTGCTTCTTCTGACTCAAATCGATTTGATGCCACCCTGGTTGTTGAGTGTTGTTTCATTTCTGACATATCTGAGATGCGTTTCGAGACCGACATTCGATTTGGTGGGCCGTCATCCTCTATGTCTGGCACCGCGGAAATTGATGCATTGTCGGATGTCTGTGATTTTGCGTCATCATTCTGTGGAACTTTGAAAGGTAGTGGGACCACGAATGGAGGTGGCGGCGCAGAAGGTCGTAAAGAATCCGTCATAGACAAGTTTCGAGATAGCTGACCAGGTCCGCTAGGGTCAGGGGGCGTATGTTCACTCCCGGTATTGCTGACTTCTTCGCTGCTCCGATGAACTGGGTCAGGCGTTTGAGTGAGAGGGTTACCGGTGGCATCGATCTGGTCGATAACGTCGTCTTGAACTACAGTCACAGTGACCGGAGCCCCTTTATCCAGAGGCTGTTCCGTTTTATCATCTGGGGATGCTTGGACTTCTACGTTCTTGACTGCCAGGCTTTTCTCATCCCTCACGCTATCCTCGGAGCCAGAATCTTGCGAGTTTTTATGATCATAAGTCGCTTCCCATTGTGCTCGTTCTTCCTGGAACTTGTCTTCGATTTTGCGCCCGCGCTCCTCCTCTTCCAACTCTTGGTCGCGAGCGCGTTCAAGACGCTGCGTGGTGCTTTTCGCTCGATGTTCTTTAACGAGCTTCCACACTCGAAGCTGAGATATGATGCCGAATATGGCAAATATCACCACACCAGCGAGCTCGGCTTTGAGTCCCCGTGTCATCGGATATGTGTCAGTGTACAAGGGAAATATATCCGGGTTCAAGTTCCAGAGGTAGATCCAGAACTCCTTGAGACCAGCGCGGCTGAAGCAGTCGATTCCGAGCATAACGATAGTCGCGCCGGAAAATGAAGTGCAGGCAATTAAACCATACTCTCTTGTATAACGGCTCCAAGACAATCCATACCCTGCGACACTCATGCAGCCGATCAGTATGACCCGCCCTGCAGTCGACTCTATCAAACTACCTTCTTTCAATGTAAGTAGCCACATGCTAAGACAGAAACCGCCTAGCAGACATCCAAGACCTTCTGTGATGTCTGCGAAGACCAGTGACAGGGCTCCAAACATAAGTCCAGACACGCAGGCCGCAACGAAGAAGGCCCCCTGTACCGCATTCGAGACTGGAGGGCTCATGAGATATACTATAAGGACGGTGACAGCTAAGCTGGTCAAATACGCCGCGGATGTGAAAACGTATAGCCTGAGGATGTAAGTGATTTGTCAAGAGGAAACGCAAACGAAGCCAACGGACCATTTATTCTTGATACCAATAACTGTGTATACAGCACCGGATAAGATGAATATCACACCGGCCAAGCCCAATGCTGGGGTAATCTTTGGTTGGATTGGGAGCTCAGTTGATGAACGAGTCTCTGCTTCAATTCCTTGTCAGGGCATCATCCCTCATCATGAGATATTCGAAACTTACCAGTTGAACTCGAAGCTGTCGCTGAAGGCGCATTTACGGTTGTTGAGACCATGACGCTGGTTGGGGCTGAAGTTGCAGAAGCATCGGATCCTTTTTCCTTGGGCTTCGATGGCGACGGGGTTCGTGATGTCGACGAGTCTTCTCGAATGGTAGTGGAAGTGGCTTCAATCGATTCCGATGCGGTATTAGCAGGTCTGCTGGTGGTGTCATCCTGTCGACGGTCCAGTTGCAACTGCGGAGCAGCTGCAGCACTGTAGAGACAGAGGGCAAGTGCGCAGAATAGGACAATTAGTCGATTATATTGCATGGTGGTGACTATCCCAGGGAGTCTTCAATGCAAAGGAAAGCGACCGGCCATAGGATGAGTATTAAGGACGTTATTAGCTTCCAATTTGCGTGTTATATGATGTACGACGAATGTGGGAGAGAATGAGTGACTGTCGACAAAGCAGGGAAGTTGAATAAAGAGGCAGGCAAACAGCCAAACAGAAATACAGCAACAAAATTAGTAATGGTAGAATGGTAAAAGAAAAGTTGTTGGGACAGCGACCCGTCGGTGAAGAACGAGAGGACTGGAGAGAAATGCAAGAGCCAAGGGCGGCATAGCATCAGGAATATCTGACAGCTCCACCCGTAGCATGATGATCGAAGGCTGCGATCATGCAAGAAGCATGGACCAGACGTGGTTCACACTTCACAAGCGACCACATCCCGGGTGTCTTATGAACTCGAAGGTATAGGGGCGTCAAGTAGTCCTCTTTCGGACTGGACCTTTACTCTGTGCAGTATCCTTCGAAACCCGGGAGATTGCACCAAGCCACCATATCTCACGTTTCTGCGCCGAATGGGATAAAAAGTGCCGACTCTGCCTAATTAGGAGGAGATGGAAATGCAACTTTTACTGGAGCTCCATTCGCGCCGAGTCAGAAGGGACGAAAAACACGATGGATCGGGGCAGGTCCTCGGGCGATGCGCTGCGCTCCGAATGGGCACATGCAGCTTCCACTCCATGGCAACTGCCGGGTGCTGTGGAATTGGCAGAGACGAATGGGACTCGGGATTGCGTGGATGTGGTGTTTCTCTCGGAACAGTGTGCATAAGGAGCTGAAGCTGGCGAGTTCAGATTGGAGGTGCATGAAACGGACGCGTCGAGGTTGGGTACGCGCTCGCTGCCAATCAGCACGGCAAGCGACCCACCCTACTTTGCATCCGGCCCGGGCGTGGGCGCTAGCCAGGGGGGATGCTCGTGGTTCTAAGATTGGAAGCCCTGCATTGAGAGGCACCCTTGAAGGCCATTGCAGCATGTTGATTTTGGCATGCTGTAACACTCCAGCGCTTCATTCGTCATTGCCTCGTAATCGACCTCGGCGCCAGCTTCATTCCCTGTAATTGCAGCCTTCGTCTGACGGAGATCGCTTCTGTTCAAAATGTTTGTTTGGAGCACTTCAAGATTGATGCGTAGACATCGCAACAAACACAACTGCACACGGGCACACGGCTAAGGCGTCATCCACTGCTGGTACACTGATCCGATCTGCCCTGGCGCTGAAGATCCAGCTCTGTGCCCAAGCTTTCCTATCGATTCGCACGTCCTCCCACCAAAGGGCCTCCACCCGGGTATCCTCGCTCGGTTCGCCATCTTAATTACGTGTCTCGGACGTCTCAGAGATTTTCTCGCCTTGCATCGTGGTGGGACCAAAAGCAAAACCTGGTTATGAAACATGAGCAAGCAGCGGTAGCAGCCATGTTTATTCGACATCATATGCCCTCTCCCCCTCTGACACAGTTCCATCTTGCTGCATCAATCCCATCTTCACACTCATATAACAAGTAAATTCATGTAGCGAAAAGGATATTCCGGCTGTCATTGCCTGGACCGTGGTTTCGAGCTGTTGACATCTGACGTCCGTTCCATGTGTACGTGTATATGGGAAAGTGTTTTCATCTGTCTATCAAGCAGCAACTGTCAACGGCCCCGAACCCAGCGGCTACACCGCCTTCCTCGCTTTGATCACCTTTGGTCCGGAGTAGGTACCCCGCTTCCAGATTCTCCAATATCTCGCCGTTGTCCTTCCACAAACACACCCCGTAGACTCCAAGTTCTACAATGACTCCACCTCGTTGAATTTCTCCATTGCGAAGGATGGCGTTCTTGAGCGGAGGCGGCTCGATCATCTCCATCAGAATGTACGCTGGCCAGTGTGTCTCTGGAAGTTTCTGAAGGAAAGGGGGTATCGATTTTCGATAAATATTGTTTCCACCCCCCTCACGCTGTGGCTTGAGCACATACCGAGAAGCAGAGTCGGGGCTCTGCGCCAACTTCCGCGCCTCCTTCCCCGCTTCGCTCTGGTCCAGTGGATAGATCGGAGCGAATGTAGCCAACACTTTTGACGCCACCTGGTCATCTGGCAGGAAGCGCTTCAGATGAGGAGAATTGGGCGTTGCCAGCACTTGCTGTACTTTCTTACACCCAGCAAGATGCGTGAGTAAGCTAGGACACTTTATCGCTTTGCTTTTCTCCAAGTGCAACCTGGCACTCCAATCCTGTGGGCCATGGTAGTCATCGGGGGAATAACCGGCTCGATAATAGATGGTAGTGACTTCATAGGAGATCGAGGGCGAATTAGGGGGGGTGTAGAGCAAGGTTCGATCGCTGTCTAATTTGGTATGTGTCATCGTTTCTTGGAAAACAACACGGAAAGATCGGACGCCGTTTTGCTCCAACAATGCGTACTCGAGATGTCTTTGGTCAAACACATTCCTCTCCGGATCCTGTACGATGAACAGTACGCACAGAGGACGCCCAGCTTGGGAAGAGCCATACGCTTTATGCGCAAGAGCTAAACCTTGAGCGAGAGATGACACGGACTGACTTTGACGAAGAGCTTCAGCCTTGATAATAGACGCCGTCGATGGTGGGTATGCATCAGTAGCGAGAAGATGCTTGTGTAAGGCAGATACTTGCGTCGACAAGCCACCAAACGAAGAAGCAATGGTGTTGAACTCAACCTGCCTCAGTCCAGTCTTAGATGAACCATCTGATGAATCCGTATGAACCATATAGTCTGAGCGGAACAAGCCAAGTGATAACTCCTAAGTCGATTCAGCTCCTGTTGTGTATGCGTCAGATACAATCACAAACCTGTACATAACCCTCTTTTTTGACGGCAAGATGTGTCTCCCACAGTTTGGCTACAAAATCATCGATATCAATAAGTCTATAAGCTCAGTTAAACCAGGTTCAAGAAACGCGCAAGCAACACTCTGTTCTGGAACTTACTCTTCCACGATACTCTTCAACCATTCCTCATCTCGGGCTATTGCCGAGTACAGCTCATTATAGGCTTTTTGGATGGCGAGACCCTCCTCGAAGCAGCTACGAGGAAACAAGCTGGGGAAAAGAGTGACTGGCGCTGTCGTAGCAAGCACCCCAGATGGGTCATTGGATGGTTCCACGAAGGATGGGGCTGGTCGCACTGCGAGTCCGTGGGCGATGGACCAATCCTTCACGTTTTCCAGTAGATATTTCTCTTCCTCTGTAGAAAGCTCCGGCGGATAACTTCCATGCTCCGTAATAGTCATTTTTGCAACTCTATGTCACTCTGGTAGTGAAGGTGAGTACTTTGGCTGTCTCACGCCTACCGCCCATGATTGGATGTCCCGCGCTAGGCAAGCGATTTCTTCAATTTGTAATGCTCAACATGCCGAGTTTCGGCAGCCGCACCCGTTGATACACTACATTATGCATGTATACAATGGATGTGTTGACAAGGTCACCATACAGTTGTTACTTCAGCACGGCCTAAGTTCATGATCATCTTCATTCCTCCATTACACACTGGTATACTAGAGAGGTACAGCCGCTGGGCATATCACGTGATTACGTGAGCGCGACTTCCCGCGACGAAAATACGCTAGCCGTTTAAATATCTACATATGTAGGTGGGGTATACACAAACACCCACATCAACAACGCTTTACTAGCACCCGCGCATCTCTGTGTGCCCATTAGGCCATTTACTTCCTTCTGGGGCATACAGCATATACCTGGCAGCTCAAATCATACAAACCCACCTGCGATCGACAAAGTGAAATCCATTAAGCAGCACAATCTTGAAGCCGGCGTCTTTGCACGGGGCGATCTCACATAGTGAAGTGGAGTTTCTTGAGCATAGGAGACACAATGGCGTCCGACCCAAATTCTTGGTCGACAGACGATCTAGTTGAGCAGTTATGCAGCTCGACCAGCCTTTACGAGACTGTAAATTGCGCGATACCAGACAATTCCACTCGCCATTCGCTAGAAACAGCCATAAGACGGAAAGGCATCGATGGAGCAACGCTCTTTCAGGCAGTCAATACGGAGGTACAAGATTTGTTGGGTGATGATACATATGTGTTCATTGTTCGGCACCTCAAATCCTTGTCAACTACTCTGGGGCATCAAATTACAACGGAGAGTATACAAGCATTGGAAACCAAGCAACTACTAATGCATGCCCCATATACTACGAACGTGAGTAGTCCTGAGGGATATGGACGTCGAAGACAGAGGATTAGTACGGAAACTGTTGATACACTCACACAAGCCCAGTATCAACTAATTAGAGCTGACACAGAGACAACGACAACATGGGATCATCTCCAACATTGGTCTCACGCGGAAGACGCATATGAACTTTGTGTACTCGATGAGTCAGAAGATACCATAGATGATGATGAACAGACCGAATATGATGACGACCCCGACGATGAGCGACCTATTCCTGATGTGAAACCTCGCACGGGTCGATTGAGCGATGAGGAAGTCCGAGGTATCATCAACGAGTGTATTGAAATATTCACTGCAAACTGGCCACCAGAAAGAGACCAGGAAACAACAGAAGACTACGATACTGAAGCTTTCAATCTTGTACGTACCCGTTGTTACAGAGCACTTGTGGTACCAATATCATAACTAATTTCGAACCGCGCTTCTAGTGGACCGATGCAGAAGATACGGACCGCCGGTCAGCTTTAGTTACTCGATACAACGATACAGTGGGCTGGCTTGAGTCTCGGATAGACTCTCTCGCTGACAGAATCCGTGATGAGAAATGGAAGTCTGCAGACGAAGTACGTCGTCAGTGCCATGTACTGGAAGAAAGTGTTCAGCAACTGGAACAAGCCAAATGGCTGCTAAGTATATATGAGCTGGAACCAGAGGATGAAGAACCAGAGGATGAAGAATCGAATGACATCCAAGCCGGCATACATCCCGAAGTTATCGACCTGGGTTCGGACCTCTCAGATGATCGAGAAGAAACGGTTGATGTACATTCTCTCGAATCAGCAACCCATACTTTCCCCAAGCAGAACTTTCCCGCACTAGCCTCAATACAATCTGTAGCAGAGTGGGATTGGGCCTCTCTAGTTCGAAAGAAAGACAGAAAGAGGATTGTCATGAAAGTCATATACGAAATGTCAGACCAAGATCGCGAGATGGTTCGAGAGAGGGTCAACAGCATTAAATAATCTGATCTGCTTGCGGAGATACCAAAATGTATCGAGATGTTTCAGCAGACAAAGGGCAGAAACATGAGATTGCCAGGTGTATTCAGCAGAGACCTTCGCAGAATCATCGCGTTCCCCAGACTGTTCCTCACATGGTGGTTCATGAGAGACTTTTTCCATGGAGAAGTGGCGGATCTGACGTTTGAACGGTTGCCGGAAGCTATGGATGCTAGCAGTGTAGACCGCGACATACTCTTTGATTGGGTATATTGCCTCTTCGAAAACACCTTTAGCTTGGAGGCGATATCGAAACCCCGCGCACCTGTACGTATATTGACTGCAATGAGTCGCAAAACAGAAATTTATTCGGATTTCGCTGACATTCATTCTCATTGCGCTAGTCACAGCACGAATGCATCGTGATTTCAGACGACGAGAATTCAGATGAATAACTATGCGATCCGCGGATCGATCCGGATCATGAACCAATAGTGCCGCGGATGCTTTTACCACCCCATATCGATTGCATCATGAACAGAGATTGGTGAACAGTTTTGAACAACGCGGGGCTGAATTTTAATATGCGTACAACATTCTGTATTCTCAGCTGTTCAGCCCGATGATGTTTTTGTTGCACTGAACGAAAATACTTGGGGTTCTTTGAACGCGCGACGGTTCGGCAAGCGGGGTGGCATCAAGTTCCCCTCGCATGGCTTTGTTCAATGCACATGAATGGCTCGGGGAACTCGTATAAGAGATCTGGACTGCTGACTCCCAATGTCCGTGGAGAAGATATGCGGCGTATATGTATAATACCTGCACACCAATCTGTACAGTGGCCGAACCGCGGTGTAAAATCTAGCCAATAGGAGTTCGCTTATTTGTCGCCCGATTTGCCGGAGTGTTATTAGCCTCTCCGAGAGTGAATGATTTCTGTCCATCTTGTCTGCGAATCTTCTTCCCCTCCTTCCCCTCCGAATTCGAACCCCAATTTTGTCTTTATTCAGTCCTCAGCAGTTGCCTGCAAAAAAGCTCACGATGGAGGCAGTATTGCGACAGTCCAAGTCCATGTGCCCATTCCTCTCCAAAACCTCGCCCGCCACACTTCGATCCCTCTCGACCACCGCCGCCAATCACCATGTTTCCCCCGTAGCTGGGAAAATGTCGAACCTGCAAGTTCTGGCTAAAAGATGTCCCATTATGGGCAAGGCCCTCTCCGTCCAGAGCGCTTGCTTGGGCAATAATGCTTTTGCGGGAACTTTTGGCGGGACCAGAGCCTACCACACACGTGTGAACCGCGCCAAACTTCACACATCGTCTTCTAAAGAAGCACAGGCTGTGGAGCTTGAGAACAGACGCTCCAAGCAAGGTATGCGTACACCCTGTCAAGTCCCGCTTGGTTTCTTTGCACAAGGCGTCACCGCTTGATCACGACTTTGTAACTAATCACACACCATTCAGCTCCTTATATTCACGCCCCGAACCAATCGAATGCTGCTCAGAACGCACATACTGGTGTTCCTCCTGTGCCTCGATCCGCGAAATTTGACTACGACTCCTTCTATCAAAACGAGCTGGACAAGAAACACAAAGACAAGTCTTACCGCATCTTCAACAATGTCAACCGCTTGGCAAAAGACTTTCCGCGCGCCCATAGAGATGTCGAGACCGACAAAGTCACTGTTTGGTGCTCCAACGATTACCTTGGCATGGGCCGCAATCAGCAGGTGCTTGACAAGATGCACCAGACCCTTGACACCTATGGTGCGGGTGCCGGAGGTACGAGGAATATCTCGGGTCACAATCAACACGCTATATCGCTTGAGAAGACTATTGCAGATCTTCATCAGAAAGAGGCAGCACTCGTCTTTTCATCTTGCTATGTCGCAAACGATGCGACTTTGGCAACTTTGGGCTCCAAACTTCCCAACTGCGTCTTCTTGTCTGACAGCTTGAACCACGCCTCTATGATCCAAGGAATCCGCCATTCAGGTGCTCAGAAGATGGTATTCAAGCACAACGATCTGGCCGACCTGGAAGCGAAATTGGCTTCGATACCTCCAGAGTATCCTAAAATCATTGCATTCGAGAGCGTATACAGCATGTGCGGCTCAATCGGCCCAATCGAGGAGATCTGTGATCTTGCTGAGAAGTACGGCGCAATCACCTTCCTGGATGAAGTTCATGCCGTCGGCATGTATGGACCACGTGGTGCCGGAGTTGCTGAGCACCTTGACTACGATGCCCACCAGGCAGGCAAACCACGCGGCACCATCATGGATCGAATCGATATCATTACCGGAACTCTTGGCAAGGCCTATGGTTGCGTTGGTGGATACATTGCTGGATCAGCTAAGTTCGTGGACACCATTCGATCTTTGGCCCCAGGATTCATTTTCACTACATCCCTACCGCCCCATACTATGGCTGGTGCAAAAGCAGCTATCGAGTACCAGGCCAACTACCAAGGCGACAGGCGCCTTCAGCAATTACATACGCGTTTAGTCAAGAGCGCTCTGGAAGATCGTGGAATTCCGGTCATCCCCAACCCAAGCCACATCGTACCAGTTCTCGTGGGTAATGCGGAATTGGCAAAAGATGCTAGCGACATGCTTTTGCAAAACTGGAACATCTACGTTCAACCCATCAATTATCCCACTGTTCCAGTAGGTCAGGAGCGTCTTAGGATCACGCCCACTCCTGGCCATGGTCGTGAGTATCGTGAAGAGCTGGTTGAAGCATTTGACAGTGTATGGACGAAGCTCGGAATCAAGCGCACGAATGAGTGGGCTGCTGAAGGAGGATTCATTGGAGTCGGCGAGGCCGGCAAAACTGAGGACACCCCTCTTTGGACCGATGAACAACTAAACATCGACGCAGTCTCTAAGGAGATGCAATCTGGTAGCCCGACCGGAGTATTGGAAGCGGTCTTGGAGAAGGAACGTCTCGCTACCGCTCAGGCTGTGAGCGCCGCTGCTTAGTACATGTCCGTTCGTAGATGTGCTGCTTAGCCTATTCGCTCTTTTGATATAGATCTATGATATATATGATCCAAACCTCTCCAATTACACAAATCGCTTTCCATATCTCAGTCCTATCTTCTTTCATTGTGGGTACGATCCTCAGCTTTGATAAACTCAACAGCTGCAGCCCTGCCACGCCACACACCAAACCACATATTCAAATTCTCTCTGTGCAGCCCTGTCAAATGAATATATTAGTTCAGAGATTGCCATAAGTGTGCTCACCACTTTCGGAATAACTGCTGAGTCTCAAAATCAGGTATCATCCTGGAATTCATCACAAACGATGCATGTAAACGAGCAGCGTATTCTCTTGTGATCCATGCTGGTAGACGTGGCAGAGTGGCTGTGAGGCGCCACCATAGCACCACCCATCAGGCAAAAGCATCATCCAGGCTTCAAGTCGCGCTTCATATAATCTACTTTCACCACCTGTGCGTCCATTCTACAGCTTTATACCTATCTTTTCGAGGCGAAATAAGTCAATAACTACCCAGAAAAACAATTATGGGAACTATTTATCAGCAAGTTCCGCTCGATCGCAGAGGGAAAGAGATTCGTCTCCTTAGTGTAGAGCCTCGCGCGCGAGGGAGACCGATATCCTGTCGGCTCTCTACAATTATGTTGAACGACACGACGAAATACGCAGCAGTTTCATACACATGGGGCAGTGGGCATGATAGCATACGCAGGATTCTACTAAATGGAAGTATCATTTGCGTGCGCAAGAATATCTGGAACTTTCTGTCTAGAATAGCAGATGAAGGGGAGCGACAGCTCCTGTGGATTGATGCTTTGTGCATCGACCAGCAAAATCTATTTGAAAGAAATCATCAGGTGGCTATTATGGGCGATATCTATTCAAGAGCCTCCAAAGTATTGATATGGCTAGGCTTCGGGACGCAGAAGATGCACGAACAACTGATGAAGCTGTCTGACCTTGCCAAACCCTCGGAACGGATCCGTATCTCTGAGTGGGATCAAGCTTTTGCAGACTGCATTCTATGCTTGTGCTGGGCACCATACTGGACACGCGTTTGGATCGTCCAAGAAGTAGTGCTCGCCTCAGAACTCGAAATACTTTGCGGAACCCAATCGAGAATTGACGGCACAGAATTAGCCTGGCTCTACAAGACTGCGGAACACGAACTGGTGTACAACAGCGGCAATAGGAATAGCCTCGTGGCAGAAATTTTGATCACCTCACCAGCAATGCATATCATTCGACACCGGATAGATCGACTGCAGACTCTTCCACAACAGCGAGGCTTACCTGTTATCTCACTCCAGAGTACCTTTGCAGGACTCCAGTGCAAAGACCCACGGGATCGTGTTTATGGAATGCTCGCACTTGCCAATCCCGACGACCTCGCTCTCATCGATATCAAACCAGACTACGCGAAACCGGTAGACCAGGTTCTATTCGAGTGGCGGACTAAACTGTTCAAATATCGATGGATGCTGTCTTACCCACTCTACATACCGCCTCCGCGTGTAGAGGGCCTTCTAAAATGCGGACTGCACGAGACTGCATGGACTCCTTTGTTGGCTTGGGAATAATTCTAAGGAATAGCCAGGATGGGCTGTTTTATTGCAATACACTGCCTTGATTTTCAGGGGTTTTAATGTTTATCGATGTATCATTTTCTTGAATGTAGTTCTTGGTCTTATATCATCAGTACGTACCAGCTGAGATTGATTCATTCGACTCACTCATAACCATGTTCCCGTGCCTAGACGTTATAGAAAGTAACTTTATGTAATCCAACATACTGTTAGATCCATATATCACAATATTATGTCACAGCCGATAATACCTTCTAATACGACGAGAGACATTGAGAGCCTCTTTTGTTCTAGGATTGATCAATGATATTGTTCGGTGAATTGTCGGCTCTTTCCATGTAGCCGCCAAGACCGTTCAGCACTAACCAGGCAGGCAGCTTGCTTGAGCATCAACCTTTCCGCTCTGACACGCTTCACTGGCCTTTCGTGCGTACAACACCGCCGACCGACCCTTGGACTATATTCATCACCCGTCCTCTGGCTGCGGCTTTGTTCTCGCTGACGCATCGCGAGTGTCGTGCGACGGAAAGCATCATCCCCTCAACGTCACTTATTCCACCTCCGACCTCCGCCGGTGTATGCTCCCCGCGACTGCAATTGAGCTTCAACCCGCTTCAGCCTCTTGTTGCTAAGAGCGCGCCGTTATGGCCAACGGCCCCAAGCGAAAGCGTGGCGATGGTCGCAGCTACCCTCAAGACGATGATACCCCGAATCGACCGTCGCCGCATCGCCCGCAAAACCTCGCTCATGGAGGTCATTCGCAGAACAACAGCCCCCGTAACAACTACAACAATGCCAGACGCGGAAATCGCAATGGAGGTCGTGGTAACTATAACGGTCCTCAAAGTCCCAGCGTACCACATCAGTCACCCACAGCCGTCTCTGCTCCCCCCGTTCCCTTTCAAGCAAACCGTTCTGCGCCAGCGCCCCCGGTAGCTCAAATACAGCAACAACAAGGCCAAGCTGCAGTCAAGCCTAAGCCAGACATGGATGTGATCATTACCTATGAATATCTTACGCCGGAACGCGTGCAAAATTGGAGCGCCGAGGAACACAATGCCGTGGTGCAGGCCGCTGCGACTGCGCAGGCTGAAGGCAACATACTCACAGCTGCTCTGGTGTTCCATGAAATTGTCGAATCGTCAGTTGGGAATTATATGGATCAGACTATACTGGGTACCTTGGTGCGCGACATTGTCGGTTCGCCCTCTGTCGATTATATCGATCCTCCAGCCTTATTTCTGGACACCGTTTCGACCTTGACCGAGAACTATTTCGATACGAAAGGAAAGTTTCTCGGCGACCACGCTAAGAAATTCGAGTACTTGCGCCATATGCTCATGTATACGGAGATCAGCCTTGACAGAATGCGAGCTTTGCTAGAGAGCGCTCCTCTTCGTGGTCTTGGCCTAGTAGGAGAATACTTCCCCAAGGTCTCAGTGCGCAAAGCAACAGATGCGCTGTATCGCCAGGCAAACTACAATCTACTCCGGGAAGACAGTGAAGGGTTCTCTAAACTCATCACTGAATACTTCACAACTGTTAACAACGAACCTCCGACCAGTGTTGCTGTGAGCCAGACATACCAGCGAGTCAACGCATTTATCGGGACATTTGATCTTGACGTCGGCAGAGTTCTCGATGTAACCTTGGACGTTCTTGCTAATCTCCTTGTTAAGCACGGAAAGTTTTTCGTCAAACTTTTGCGGGTGAGTGCGTGGTGGCCCAAATTACAAGGGACCGAAGGGGTGGAATGGGAAGAGCCAGAGGTTCAGACACTTCCTGGTTGGGCTCTACCGGACCACAACGATTGGCGTTATACGGAAGAAGAGAAAGAAGATCAGTTTGAACGCCGAGAGAGCCGCGACAAGAAGTTTTGGTCACGTGTGGCAGATTTGGAGAGGCAGCGGAGTGGGTTGGGTCTCAAAGTCTTTTTCGAGCTTGGAGCTCGTCGCATCACGCAGAACCATCGGTCTGGCGATAAGCCCAACGCGAGCTCACCCGGGTCTGCCCCCAAATCTGAAGCACAACAGTGGACGGACGAATGGATTGACGCCACTGGAACCCTCCCCCCGCTGGGAAACGATATCGCTGCTCAGCTTCTTGGATTCAAGTTTCAATTCTACGCCTCTGAAACCCGGGATGCTGGCGATGTCCTTCCAGATAATCTCATTTATCTGGCAGCGCTGCTTATCAAGATTGGGTTTATATCGATCACGGATCTCTACCCTCACTTGTACCCCGCAGACGAAGCCATGCCGGAACTGAAGCAAAAGCTGGAAAAAGAACAGAAAGAGAAGGAAATGAACCTTCGTGGTAAAAGCAATGCTCTCGCAATGGCTGGTGCGCTCACAGATGATACTGTACCTCCTGCTATTACTCGATTGAGGGAGGCAGAAAGCAAGCCCTCTTCAAAGACAGAATCAGAGAGAAGCACGCCGAAGTCGGATGATGATACCAGCAACAGCTTACCTGAGCCAATCAACCAGAAGGTCGCGCTCGTTAGAAGCCTTCTGTGCATTGGTGCTATACCAGAAGCTCTGTTTATCATTGGCCGGTTCCCGTGGCTCCTCGATCTATACCCCGACCTTCACACTTACATTTTCCGTCTGGCACATCATTCTCTGAGCAAGGTATACGATGCATCTCGACCAATTCCACTCGACAAAATTCCCTCCGCCTCCAAGGGGACTGACAGCAATACTCTGGCTCGCCCAGGCGATTACGTGCCCCGAAAAACGCTGCGGTGGGCGAAGCCTGATCAAAAGGATGCAGGTGACAGTGTTGACTACAGGTTTTACTGGGAAGAATGGGTCGACAACGTGCCTATCTGCCAGACAGTGGATGATGTCTTCTTGCTGTGCTCAACTCTACTCGGCTTAATAGGCCCGGAATGCGGAAGAGATACTGTACTCATGACGAAGCTAGTGCGGATCGGAAAGAAGAGTGTGACCGAGGATCCTTCTGTCGAGAACACGAAGCGATGGACGGAACTTTCAGCTACACTGCTAGCACCGGCTCTGACATTCACGGGGCAGAACCCCGGTGTTGTCAACGAGACCTGGGAGCTTCTTAGGCGATTCGAGACTGCGACCCGATACACTATATATTCGAGTTGGTTCCGGTCTACAAAACCCGCCATGCGAAACGCATTCAAGAAGGTTACCGACGAAACTAAACGGCTTCTGGGTCGTGTTGCAGCCACAAATACGCGACCCATGGGTCGTGCCATGGCTAAGTTGGCCTACGCATGTCCAGGAACTGTCTTCGAGCATACATTGAAGCAAGGTCAGAGTTACATAAACATGATCGATGCTCTTGTGGAATGTAGCCGATACTTGACTCAACTTGGGTACGATTGTTTGACCTGGACCCTTGTGGACAGTCTGATCAAAGACGACCGGGCCACATTACAAGGCGATGGTATGCTCATCAAAGGCTGGCTTAAGAACACTTCCATTTTCATTGGAAAAGTGTATAAACGTTACAGTCTCATGGATCCGACTCCTGTTCTTCAACTTGTGAAGCACCAAGTTTTCCGACCAGAAGGAGAATTATTCATGCTCTTCGTTCTGGAACAACTGCTTACAATGATGGGTGGTATTGGACTCACTGGTGCCCTCACCGAAGCACGTGTCCTAGCTCTGTCTGCGGGACCACGGTTACGAGCATACACCCTTGAATACCACCTTGGGGACAAACGCCACGAGGGCAAGCTTGCCTCTAAACGATTACTCAGATGTCTCAAGGAATCAGGTCTAGCACCCCAAATACTTGTTGCCCTTGCACGCCAGGTCGATTCGTATCTGTTCCGGAAAGAGCTGGAAGATGTACCGGACAAGGTGGTCTTCACAAACTATGATAAGTTGCGATCCAATCTCGCACAATTCATTGACTTCCTCCGTGAGAATATCCCCATAGAGGAGTTCGACGAGCAGGTCCCGGATGTTGTTGAGTTGATGGCCGATTATGGCTTGGAACCCAGCCTCGCTTTCCAAATCTGTCGTGCAAGCATAGGCGCGAAGCTAAATATGCATGCTACCAAAGATGGTCTCTCCTCCGACGGATCTACAGCGAACGGAGACGTTGTCATGGGTGACGCCGACCAGACAGACCAGCCCAACGACTCTTCCCCAGACGCGGCAACTAACATTCCAGATGGGAATGATCCAACCAATCCTCACATTGATGCCATCGCCGACCAGCTGAAGAGTTCGATTCCTGATAACTATGGGGAACATCCGTTTCTCAAATTCCTCGTCACCTTCTGGAGCCTCGATATGAATAGCATTCATTCACTCGAGCAGAACGAACTCAAGAAACAATACGAAGACGCTAAAACACAATTGACGAAGCGCAACTCTGGAGGATACAGTCATCGACAGGCTAGAGAAGAATGCAACAGACTCGACGCCGAGTACGATACTCTGGTGAAGACGATACGGTTCACTCAGTCGCGTCTATCTCAGGAAATGCAGCAGTGGTTTGAGGGAGTACCCATGCTTGGCCAGGCCGCAGAAAATTTGCATGACAGGCTTCTCCAAGATTGTTTCTTTCCTCGTCTCCGAATGTCATTGCAAGATTCGCATTACTCGTCCGCTATGCTGTTCTTCATGCATAGGACTGGTGTGCCAACCTTCCGTCTTTCAAAAATCTTGGATAAACTTTTCAAGCCCAACATGCTATCCAACATGATCCTCATGATGAGCGAAGAAGAGGTCAAGTATTTCGGTCGCTTCTTGAATGACATTCTTAGAGAGCTGCAGCGGTGGCACGGGGACAAGAGCACGTACGAAAAGAATGCGTTTGGGGAAAAACAACAACTTTCCGGCTTTGGGCGTTTGTTCAACTCGGATAAAACTCCTTCGAGCTTCCTCGACTACGACCAGTTCCGCATCCTTCACTGCAAGTGGCACACAGCTCTCTTCAACGCGCTGAAAACCTGCTTGAAGGAAGGACAATACACTGAACTTTACAATTCGTTCAACGTACTCAAAGCTGTTTCTCCCGCCTTTCCAAAGGTTGATCATATGGCAACGGAACTTCGTCAAATTGTAGAAAACTACGCCAAGAACGATGAAAGGGACGATGTGAAAGTGGCAGCAAACTCTTTGCTGTTTGAGTTCAAGCGAAGCGCGAAGCTACTCAAATCAGAAAGCTTCTTCCGCACGGTACGTGTAGATCAATATTGAATGACCTGGTATCTCGATGACCTAACGTATCGCAGGGCGTGGAACCAGTGGTCAACAAAACTGCTGCTCCTTCCAGGACAACTTCGGAGCAACCAAAGACGCCGCAATCAACAGAGACTGCAGCCAAGAAACTCAACGCTACCGTTGCCCCATTCAGACCTCATACGCCGGACACGTAAGTTATTCCACGCCTCGACGGACGAGCATCCGTCTAATAAGCTCTCATAGGAACAGCCAACCGAAAGCCAACACAGAAAAGGCTTCATCCGACGATCAGAAGCCTTCCACGACATCTACCACTACAGCTACCACTACAGCTCCTCGTGTAAACGGACGAGAAGCGACCCAGGTGGCTCCAAGCCCAAGTGAAGCAAATGCCACGAGACTCGGCTCAGGTAGACCCGCACCCAGGCCACCTTTGATGAATCAACCAACAGCCCCCAACAATGCTGGGCCGATGAGACCGGATAGTCGAAGTGCCAACCAGACTCCGATTGGCAATAATAGAGCTACGCATGCTCTACCTACGCGACCTGATACGCAACCATCAAGGGTACGACAGCCTGAGCGTCCAAACGATCGTCCAGGAGAGTACAATCCCATTCACGGTCGACACGAGACCCGCCCGAATCCTACTGGTGATTATGGAAGGCTCGATCGCGGCAACGAGCCTGTTAGAGAGCACGAAGTGTCTCCAAGACACCACCAGTCTCGCTCCCCTCATAGAGGTCCTGGTGGCTCGGATCGCCGTGAATGGGCTTCTCGAGAGGCACGGGAATATGAAGAGCGTCCTCTACGACCTCCTCCCCGAGATGCGATTCGTGGACCACCGAACAGAGTGCCATCTTATGGAGAGGGCCATCGAGACCCTCGTGATACTCGCGATCCGCATTATAGGGACCGCAGCGACTCCATGCGCGATCGACCTGACCCTCGCGGCTTGCCACAAACCCCACATAATATGTCTTCGGATGGGCGCGGCCGTTTACACGCAAGCCCTATAGTAACGAATGACGGACCCCCACCTCGTCGCGAGGTTCCCCCCAATGCTCATTCTGGGGATCGTAACAGTGGTCCAGCTCCACCACGGTCTTCCGTTAATACGACGCCGGTGACCGATAGGAGTCTTATCAACCCGGAGCGTGCTGCATTGATGGGCGATGACAGGGCAAGGCATGAGCCTTTACGGCACGATCGAGAGCCTCGTAGAGAGGATCGCGATAGTCGTCGGGACCGCAGCTCACGGCCTCAATCACCTCGTCGGGATGAACGTTCCCACGACCGTCCTCCTGTGCCCTACCATAGCGGTGATACACGTCGAGACTATCGAGATGAGCGCCCTCAATCTCACCCGCATGGAACGAGCAGAGAACGCCGAGATGAAGCAGCTGGTATTCCACCTACCGGTCCACGTGGCAGCGGACATGGTGCTCCGGCACCTCCCTCAATTTCTCGAGATGCATTCCAGCCGACTCAATCATCTCGACCGAGGGCACACCCAACCCAAGATCCCAATTACGGTAGATTGAACCAGCCTGCAGACGCTCCACCGCCATCGGGACCACGGCGTAAGCATGACCTCCAAGCACAACCTACTACGCCAGCTAACCAGCGATCAGACCCCGCTGCTGACAGGCGCGACGGTCAGCACCATGCACCTAGCAATGCTCCCCCTGCTTCTGCCGGTATTCATCCTAGTCGGATGAATATAATCAACACTGCTCGAGGACCACCCATCCAGACCGACGTGCCACCTAACCCACCCATGGGGCCACGCAGCGCAGGACGAGCACAGCCTCCACCTATGCCTTCACCTACGTCGCGCAATCCGCCTACAGGGCCTCTGAACGAACGAGGTCCAAGACATAGCGATAGCAGGAACCCGTTGAGAGCTATTAACAATGTCTTGTCCAGCGGTGTTCAAAATCCTCAAGCTGTGCCTTCGACTACAACGGATCGTTCAGCCGAACGCTCAAGCAGACGAAGTGATCAATCTCGTAGAGAGCGTAGCAGGTCTCAGGAGCGCCGTGGTGAAGAACGTTCCCGCGGAGAAAAACGTGAAAGTAGTCGGCGTGAACCTCGCGAACCACGAGAGTCTCGAGAGTCGCGTGAATCACGAGATGGACGAGAACGAAGCGAACGCGATCACAATCGTGATAGGAGGGGTGAGGAGAGAGACAGAAGAAGCCGCGGAGGGGATGAGATGAGGGACCGCAGTGAGAAAAAGCGAGGACGAGAAGGTCCTGAACCTCAACATGGCGAATCGAAACGCTCTCGGCGCTAGTCGAAATGCCGCCTTCGGATGTGTATTCGAGCGTACACACTCCTGATATGCCATGCTGGGGAAACATCTGAGCAATTACCTAGCGCTCTATACCACCATACTCGAGCAATCGATATGTGCTCGGATTTGCATTTCTTTCAACATGATCATTGTTCCATGCTTAGACAGCTTGGTCTTCACACACCCATTTGTTTTTCCTTGTCGTTTGTTTGTATTTGTTATGCATAGCATTGGCGCATAGCATGGAAAGGATGGATTTCGGATTCCTTTTTATCATCTTTTGCTGGAGGAAAAGAGATACCCAGTTTTGGAGGCATGCTCTGGCGTTATGAAGCCTTCGCCCTTCAACTTCTGCTTCAAGAGACGGACAACAAAATTCAAACTTTGAATATCTCAATGATATTCGTCTATTTTGTCTTGATAGAATGATATTTCTCTCGAGGAGAGATCATGGGAGGGATTGTGTATTGTATAAACATGACTAGCCACATGTGTATTGGGCTTGGAGATGAGATCAAAATTGAATTTGGTCAATCTGATCAGCTGTTTGGCCATGGTATTACAGCAGTCTACATCTTTGTCTTTCAATGACCAACGGTCAGTCCTGTACGTCATGTAGGTGACGGCTCTTGGGACTGGACATTATGTAATTGTTTGGACGCTGATATCTATTACCGTGCCACCGACCTCCTTTCTGCAGACTCGTTCTACTCTCCCCACAGACCAACACCACGTATTCATTCAGCACAAAGTTGAGATCAAACAGTTAACATCACCCAAACGCCTACACTCACCCCAATATCCTCTCTCTCGTAGCCAATTCCACAAAAGATGGAAGGGAATAACAAATCCCCCCAGAACTGCCTCACATCACACACACTCCTCATCCCTTCACCCACCCATCCCATTAACCCCTTCATCCTCCCTCACTACGTTACCCCAAGTGGATCCCATCCCATCCAAACGTTACAAACCCCTGGCTCCCCCAATTCCCCAGCCCTCAAACACACACACAGATTCACAGTCCTCCCATCCACGCCCCTTATGCTGTGCAACATCGCGTGCGACGGGACAAAGAACGTGAGGAGAGAAAGACTGCGCTCGGAACACCTTGGCTTGGCTAGTTACCGCGCGTGCATACATCCATACATGCGTGTGCGTTTATGCATTTGTACGTGCGTAACGCTGATTGAGCATCCGGGTAAAGAAGGGTAGCTTGTATAACGAAGTCTGTTGGGGGTTATGGATCGGGAGGGGCGCGCATGGGAGGGTCATGTTTGGGGGTGTTGTACGCGAGATGCAGGGCGTGGAGGAAGGATAGTGTCGGATACATGTGTATGTGTGTATGTGTGGCTGTTCGGCGATGGGGGTTGGAAGGAGCGGGCGTTCGATTTGGCGCTGAGACAGGAGGTCGAGACACACTTTGTGGACGCTGCGGTTGGGATGCAAGTCACGGGTAGACGACGAAGATCAGATTTGGACGTCACGAGGAGAAGATCAAGGAAAGAGAGGTTTTGGGTTGTTCTGTCGCTTGGTACGATTAAATGCGATATATGACTACATGACAAGGGGATTTCAATGCCGTTCTTCTCCTTATGGCAGGTAACACTTGGACTATACAGCACTCGCTCGCTCGCTCGAGCTGTCAGCTCCATGCTGACCACCCTTCTCCTGCCCTTCTCTTCCACATTCTGTCTGGATGTCCGTCTGACAGACAGCCTGGCTGACGCGTGGGGACCCAAAGTCACAGCGATTCAAATTGGGTACTTTTCCCACGAGACGATGTACCACGTCAAACAGACACGCATCCATGTAACAGAATCCCAAGACAGTCCTCTCCACCTCATGCAAGTACCGGGCTAGCGGATATTCCGTCAATGACATGTGCAAGACGAAGAAGACGAGGAGAGCGAGGGAAGGTGGGACTAATGGGATACAAGGGAGCCAGGGTACGTACTCTCGAGCGATTCAATGTGACTGTATGTGTCAGTATCAGAAATGAGTGAATTGTATGAATAGGTGCGGCGTCTGCAGCGTGTGTGCGTGGCACCGAGGTTCCACACCACTTCTTTCATCGCTCGTACTCCGACCTCGACTCATCCATCTACATACTGTAAAGGAATCAACCCTGGTTTGTGACAAAAATCCTGGCTTGCACCTCTTCTGCATGAACTGCCCGGGAAGAAAATCGGTACATTGGCAGGCCAGATTTTATCCCCCCCGACTAACCAGTGCTGTTTTCGGTGGATTTTATGCATTCTCATCTAGATTCATGGGAGGAGACATGGTTGGATCGGGATCCGTCGTGCTGGGTCGGTCTTCTGCGATTGCCGGATTTCTTTGGATGGAGGGGGTGTGAAGGGGAAGGGCGGGTTACCGAAGCAGTGGTTGATGAGAGGACAGAGAGCATGGGAATGGATAGTGAAGTGGTACGATGGCGTTCAAGATGCGACTTGTGTGACTGTGATAGAGGCGGGGAATACTGGGGTATGCATGTGGATAGACGGCTGTTTAGGGACTGTTGAGGTGATATAGGACGGGGGATCAAGTATATCGTGCGTGGTTCATTACGTGTAGTTATGTAGATAAGTGAATATACTGAATGAGTACAATGATCATGGCTTGCTCTGAGCTTCCGCAACTTAGCAATGAGTTTGATCGCGATCGATAGGAATAGCGAATAGTAAATCCGATCTCTCATAGTAGCGGTGCCGATAAGTATGTGGATGTGGTGGCTGATTGTGTCGACACTCGTGATACCATGGGAATGGTCGAGTGTGGTAGCACCTAATACGAGGTTTACTCTTGGGGCTTCAGATGGAAGATGAACTCTGGCTCACACAAATTAGTCACGTCTCGCCTGAGCCCACTTTAACACATACGATGTATCCAGTTTTCCGGAGATGATAATGGAATTCCTCGCGTGATATGAATCTCGCGGACAGGGAAAAGAGCTAGGATGGTTCGGGTCGAGTATGTCCGACGCTTGCCAGATTCCCGTGAAGTGGTGTGGTGATACAAGGCTTCAGGTCGGGCATGTGGGCATATGCCGAGTGGGCGATGTCAAATACGAGGAGGGGAACTACGGAAACCGGATCTCTGGAATCACGTCGTACAGGGCGTTTATTCGTTCAACTATGTATATGCAATTCGAGACAGAACAGTGTGCTTGAGTCACGGAATCCTTCCATTCGCGTGCCTTGATAGGGTACAACACGTATACTCACATGGTTATCGCCATAACACCCCCAAATGACACTACCCACCTTGTGTGTCTCGGACGGGCTGGGGTGAACACCAGCGTGGCGTTCATGGAAAGAATTGGGACAGGGGTATCTTCAAGGATTTGAGATGGGAGAGCGAGTTGGTGTGTACCGGGGTCGATTTGACATGTCTAGGCGGATTGAAGCGGCGAAAGAGTGACAAGACGAACGAACGATGAATGGCTCCAACATAGGTTCCAGCAAGCATTTTGAAACGCACCGCATAGTTCTGCATATCGCAACGGCCCAAACAGAAGATGTATTTCGATTTACGTACGCATGGCCACTGGCAACAACCAACTTCCCCATCGAGAGAGAGAAACAGCATTTACCTTAGTGCGCAGACGGTGTACCGTCTCCACCCGTCGATAGCTTCCTATGGAACAAGAATCCGAATGGCGCTTGTACCTAGTGGTCAAAGCGGAATGTCACTCTTCCTCCACTTAAAATAGATGGTCGAATAGTAGAAGAATACTGCCTCTCGGGATCATTGATCCAGCCTGTGTCCTTTGCACCTTTTCACCGTTGTTGTTCTGGGGGCGGGTCTATTCGGCCCTACGTTGAAGATCTATTCCGGTGACCTGGTAGCTTTGCTCGGATCTATCCTACCCATTGTCCAAGGGCCTTTGGCGAATACGTGAGAGATTGCGACCGAATCTAGGGCCTAGATTGGCTCACCCGACGCCTTCTCTATTCCCAATGTGCACACCGTATCCTGTGATTGATGCTTCAAAGGAGACGAGATGGTACGGTGTCAGCTGAGCCCACCCAGGCTGTCGCGATGGGGACGATGCCTCATTAGGTCTAGAACGCTACGCCGCAGCGGAAAGGGGAGGGTCTTGGCTGTTAGCGCGAGGCTAGTGTGTAGTTAATTAGTAATGTGTAAGCTTGTGCGGCGGGGGCCGCGTGGGGTTCCTACACAATTGACTTATCTTAGTCGGTGGTCAACCTGTAACCCAGCATCGATTGAAACAGGTCTACGCAAGGTCACAACCCCGGACGCGATTTACGCCTTGACAGCGCTCGAATGACTAGGACCAGCGCTGTATCTCATTTCCTGCTCTCCCAGAGATGCTCTACCTTGTATCTTCGTAAAGCATCACATGCCATGGGCACACTCCACTCAAGTGCTCGGATCCTCCCTTCGACAATATATACCGCAAAAGTTGAAAGAGGTATAGCGTACGCGGCGCTTGGAGTATCCTGCGGCCTACGGATCGAGCGATTTTTTTCCTCTCAACTCGATCAACTGAAGGGCATGAAGCTAGTCTGATTGCTCAACCTGGAAACCTTTTGACAGCTCTGTTTCATGTTTTGGATCCCGCGCGTGCAAACGGTGTGCACAGTCAGAAACAGTAACCGTTATAGGAGGCACTAAGAGGGAGGGGGAAGGGAGGAGAAGAGGTTTCTCATCGAAATGACAGCCTGCCTGCCGGAGAAGGGGGAGTGACCTGGATATTCGCGCAATAGCACATGGTTCCAAGATGACAATCTTAGTCTGACATGCTCCTCCTGATGCACTGAATACTCCGATAAGCATTACTTGTACACCCCTGCCAGTCGGCGCCCACGCCTCACCCACCCGATTGACACTGCGCTATTCTCTATACGCCTGGCCACGTTTTGAAAGTCTCCCCACGCTATCAGCCATCCAAATCCACGCCATCTCCAGTTCTCCGCTCAGTTCTGATAGAAAGATAACCCCGTCGCCCGTTGGTCAGAACGATGTTGTAAATACGAGATATCATACGTCATTCGCAAAACAGCTAGAACAAGCGGAAAGGCGAGTAGCCTTGCTGCAACTATAAGCGGGTGCAGTACGCAGATGGGAGAAACCCTCCGTATAAGCCATTAGGGGTCTGATCTGCGTACAGGCTACGTACACAGCTAAGATCTGTCGATCCATGTACACCGCATCCTACGCTGCGCGTGTACGTCGATTGAGCATGGCATGTTTTCGACTTCCGTTCACGTTCTCTCACACTCGCCTCACTACCACCGCCACCGAGAAGTGAGGCTCAAACCCATGTATATCAACACATCAATTCCCGTTTCTGTCCATTGCGTATATGAGAGCCCAGAATGATACTCGTCTCATTTTTTCTTGCACCTCACCCCCCATGAGTCTTCCTTTCGTATTCCCAAACATGCCCAAGGAATGCGAATGAGGCAACGTGGAATCCGCCGACAATCAGCAAAAGAGGGAGAGAAAAAAAAATCGTACGTTGCGTACGAACCGTGACCAGCACGTCCCAGTTCAACACGCAGCACGCGCGGACCACCCCATTGGCCGCCGTCGCGCTTGTTGCAGCGCAGCCCAACACCGCGGGATCTCCTCCTTACCCTCGGTCCCCTTCCTTCACTGACTCTTGCCTGCTCGGATCATGTCGATTTGCGCGCGTGCCCGATCCAGGCCCCTGTTCTTCGTCTTCTTCTTCTTCTTCTCCGTCAGTCACCAACAGCGGCCTCGGCCGTCACCGTCACCGTCGTCACCCCTCACTGACCACCGTCCCGTCATCATCATTAGGATGGCGCACCGACCGACTGCGACGTTGCCCACCGGATTAGAGGGATTTCAAAAATGCAACATCAACCACCAACACCGAGTTCGCGAAGGATGGGCAAGGTAATATGACGCTGGGGAATCCTATTGGATTCACTCACCTTTTTCTTTACGATGATTATGTCCGAATGTCCCTCGTGTTCATCCTTGAACTAATCTCGTACGCAAAACAACGGGCAAGGAAGAATTTTTCTTCGCATCAAAGTTGTCTTCTTCATTCTCTGTTGGAAAATTTGAACCCCCTTCAGAAATGCTCGTATCAGGCGTGATAATGATGGATGAAGATGCGAGACGGACCGATAGCAACGAATCATCCATGATTTCGGGATATATAAATTAACCAGCACAGAGCAGGCAGGCAAAGAAGGAGGGAAGGTCCTGCATCCGGAGAACAATCAAGAGAATTGGTGGAAAGAGCGGTGTCGACACACACACACACACAGACATGCATGATCCATACATGAGGGAGGGTCCCATCCATCCATCCATCGCAGATAATTGCGAAGCCCATATTAGATGGGCTGGGGACACGCCAACATCATAGATAGATAATTCTCGAGTGTAGGATTTTTTTTCTTTCAGGTTAGTTGTATATACATGTACGTACATGTGTCATAGATGCGTGTGTTGTTTGAACCCACATGGACAAACGCTCCCGAGCGACCAACCGGAGACGGCCGGACAGCAGATGCATGACATAGGACACCGGAGGCGGGGGGAGAGGGGAGGGACAAAAAGCTGCAGCGAGGCTGGCAGTTTGAATTCAAGAAGCGGTGAAAGAAGAAATCAGTATAGAATTCGGTAAAAAAAAAAAGACGCTCGAATGTTGTTCGACAGGCGCGCTGTCGACTTGATTGATCGTATTACACACAATGTATATAAATGAAATACGAGCGAACACTTGAACCTCCAACCCAGAAGTAGAAGGTCAGAATTGCGAAGAAGAAGCTTTCATCGCCGTTAGCCCAACCACGAACCGTTAAAAAGAAGGGAAAAAAACACTGATTCTGCCGTTTAGTTTTCTCTCCATCCACCGGAAATTTCCATGGTTCTTGCTCTCAATTTAATAAAAAAATCCGCAATCGGGCTATTTTAACAAGGGTAGATCCCGCTTTGCGCCTTTTTTTTTTGTGGTTGCTCTTACTTCTCCGTTCCGTGAGGGAAGAGTTGAATGGAAATAGAAATCAGATCAGATCAGATCATACAGTAAGTATATGGCATGATGTCTTTTTTCTAAAAACTTCAGGGAGTGTTGACATCGAACCATATCCTGTACGTCCGGTAAATAAATTCGGCAACAGAGAGAGAGAAAGAGAGAGGGATCCTGCCTGTTTGCGCTGCTGTGCTGGTGCTGGTGCTGTGCTTGCGCCTGGAAGGGGGGGGGGCGATAATGTTACGTGACTGGTTCGATCCGTCTGATGAGAGGGACATCGGGTTGCAAGGTAGAGCCTTGTCTGCCCTACATACATGTACTTACCCTCCGTGCGAACAACACAACACCCCCCTACCCCCCCTTCAGATTTTTTTTTCGGAAAGAGTGAGAAACAAGGCAATTTTCGGGAGAAAAACGGGAATCATTGTAATTTTGGCCCGGCAGCAGTGAAGAAAAAGGGCCACGTCGAAATTCTCTTGTTTTATTCATGTCCAAAATTCGTAGAGCTCTCTATCCTTCTTACTAACAGTTTTTTCTCTCTTCTCTTCCCTACGTACAGAGCACGCATATACACTTAGTCTTACACCATTTCCATCAATACATGAAAAGTCTGGGGATTCTTGTTTTTTTGTTCGCTTTTGGTTGGTTGTCATATTCTGTAGAAGGGAAAAAAACCAAACGCCATCAACTGTGCAAGGCGCTAAAGGAACGAGATCAGGAGTGAAAAGAAATACCCGCCCCCAGATGAAACAAACCGAAATATATGCTCATGATTAAAACCGGCCAAGCTGAACGAAATGATGTGAGAACCAATGGAAGAGCTGGGGGGAAAAGAGTAACCGGTTCCGAAAACCCGTCTGCACTAGAGTGGGTTGCCATTGCCGCTATAGACAGATTTTTGCCTCGCTTGTGTAACTCCAATACTTGGAAAAAGACTCCTGCCATCCTGGGATTACCGTTACTATATGCAGATCATTTCAATCTTGTTCATTCTCTTTTTTCCACATTCTGTTTCGATTTCTTGTTCAACAGGATCTGACATCTTACGAGTACATCTTCCTTTCAGGGAAGACCATGTCGTCGTAGCCATGGGTCGTGTCTTGGTACCCGTGCTGCATGGTGCCGTGCAAATCGTAACCGCCGCCATCTGCTCGCATTGTCGTCTCAGATACCAGGGATGAGCATCGGCTGCTGCGGTCGCTGCTAGAGTATGGATATGATGCCATGTACCCTCGATTGGCTTGCGGAGCCGAGATCGACGTAAAAGACGCGGAGCTTGAGGCTGAGGACGAAGCATGAGTGCTGATTCTTCTGTCCTTGCCCCTGCCTTTGATCCCCTTGTTGGAATTCTTGTACAGGGATGCAAAGTACTCCCAAAGCTCCCGATCATGCTCGTTGACGTGGTCAGCCGGGTTCGAGTAGGCGAATTTTTGAGTCAGGTAACGAATGGTCGGTGCATGGAATTTGTTTTGGTGGGACTGGCGAGTGTCAGTGTCCGGCGCATCATGTCGGACGGATGGAATCAAAACTCACCTTGAGGTTGCCCAGTTGGGTGAATTGCTTTCCGCATTCATCCAGTTTGCAGGTGAATGGCTTGATTTGCTGGTGTACAATCTTGTGGGCGCGTACGTTGCCACGCTGAGCGAAAGTCTTTCCGCAAAGTTCGCAGCTGTATGGCCTCTCGCCAGTGTGCCGTCTCTCATGGGTCTATCTCTGTTAGCAGAAGTCATGATGAAGCCGGGGCCTAACTTACCTTGAGGTTACCCAGCTGGGAAAACCGTTGGCCGCAGGAGGGCTCTTTACAGGTCTATACCGTAGTGTTAGAATCATGTGTCTGAATTCACCCGTCAGCGTTGACTCACAAAGGGCTTAGCACCGGTGTGCGCTCGGATGTGAATATCCAAATGGGTCTTTTGAAGGAAGCTCTTGGAGCAGTCTGGCTTGGTACAGTGATATCGTTTCCTTGGTTTCTGGCTGGCCTTGGGCTCCGACTCTTTCTACAGTGTGTTAGCGAAATAGTCTCAGACATGCGAATGCCAGTTTTGGCGTACCTTGGGGGATGGTGCGCGTTGCACGACTTCTTCTGGCTTTTGTTTGGACTGAATGGTTTTCATGAGGGTATCCACGTCAGTGGAGAAGTGGACTCCGTTGCCCAAATGACCATCCTCGGAACCGGATGGCTTCTGTTCTCCTGCGCAAGAGGCATGACTAAATGAGGACTGAGTAGACTGGATGGGCGAGCAGCTCTCCGACTTGACAGACGGTGTAGATTCTTCGATGACGAAACCCGTACGGGCTTCTCGAACCGGAGGAAGCGGCTGCAAAGCATGAGCTCCGGGGTAAGAGAAGGTTGGTGTGATGCTGGGACCATATGACAGTGGGAAATTCTGCTGGATGTTGTAGGGGTTCACCTGAATGGATTCGAAGGCAAACTGGGTAGATTGGTATGGCATCGAAGTGGACATGGCGTGTGCGGAGAACAGAGGCATTTGCAGGTCCATGTGCGAGGTGGTGGATGGGAAAGGCCTGGAGGTGAGGGGTTCTGAGGGTGCCGTTGTGGTTGCTGCCGGAGGGGGAGGTGGTGGTGCAGTTGTGGTTCTCGCAGAGTAATCATAAGCAGATGGGTTGGAGACGGTGGGTAGCAAGCCCGGCATGTTGAAGCTGGAAAGATGGAAAGAGGGATAAGGTCGACGCTGCCACGGTCCCGAAGAATGATGAGGAGCAACGACGGCCGTCATTGCTAATAAGGAAGACCGTGCGAGCTAGATAAGCAGCAGCAGGCTGGGGAGGCTTCGCTAGTGGTCAGAGCAGATGAGTGGTTGAGGAGAGCGGGCAGCAATGGCGGATCAGGCCGAGGAGGGTGGAGTGGAGTGGGTATTTGTGTCTATGGATGGACCGAGTGGTCGGAGGGGGGGAAGAGCACAGCAAAGCTAGGGTCAAATGGCGTACGGCCAGCTAAGGGACGATGATGCAGCAGCAGCAGCAGCAGAGAGATATGCAGAGAATGGATGATAGCATAAGTAGTGGGTTGTTGTGTTATTGAATCGGGGGAGCATGTGGGATTAGATATAGTAGATGGGTGAATGGGAAGCATGGCTACACGTGCCCCAGCAGTGGCAGCAAGGATGGATGGGACAGGAAGTGGAATGGATCTGAAGAGGCTAGAGAGGTGAAGAGGGCAGATGGAGCCAGGGATGGTGCCGGAGATGCTGCGAGATCAATCGAGGTTGTGGAGGAGGTGGAGGTGATGCAGACAGGGCTCGATCGAACGCCAAGCAGTGGTCGGCCATGAGGAGTGAGAGGCAGGTCGCTGCTTTGGGGAGAGCTGGGGAGTGGGCGGGGGCCACCCCAGCAACGGGGGCCTGGGTTGATGCGCGGGCAGGGACATCGTGAGAAAGAGAGCGCGAGGGAGGGCACTGGGCACCGAGCAGGCAGGCGGGCAGGCGGGCAGGGAGCAGGAACGAGGCGGCGGCGGCGGCGCATCCCAGCGCGAAGGGGCGGCTGGTGGCGTGGGGGGGGGGGGAGGAGGTTTTGGGAGCTGGTCGCGTCACATTGGACAGGCTGCCATCGCTGCCAGAGGCGCGGGAGGGCGTGTGCTGGGTTTCAATTGATCTATCTATAAAGTGATGGCGGCGGTGGTGGTCAATCCACACACATCAAGCAATGGGCCATGGACGGTGATAGATAGGGGATTGGGTAGCGCGGTAGCAAGGACTATGTATTCGGAATACACAGTGGCCAGGTTCGATTGTCACTGCACCCGTAATGCAATCCGTCTGGCCACTTTGGATCTGGTATCTGGTATACACAACACAAGGTAGGTGTAGGTTGTCGCTGGCGGACCCTGGCTTGTCAGAGCGGGAGGGGGCGGCCGGGAGGGGCCCCCCTAACGAGCTGTGACCTCCCAGGAAGCAAGTACACGCATGGCAAAGGTGTTGGATTCCTATCAGGTAATGGTGTAGTTGTCCGGGTTGGTGGTAGTAGTAGTGGTGGTGGTGGTGGTGGTGGAGATACGACTCGGGCAGTCAGTCAGCAGCGCCGTGGGAGCGTCTTAGTGGTGCCTTGCAGGCCACCTAGCTCGCCCACACATGGCCTCCATCCTTCCATGACCCATCAGTGACGACCCATGCAGCACCGTCAAAACCAGACCAAGATCTGTCCGATTTTCCTTTTTTCGCGTGTTTTCCATCCGTTTTCTCCGGCCTCGTCAACCGCGGAGTCTAGATGGGAGAGGCGGAAAAGGTGTATACACAAGTTTTCCGCATCATCATCACCAGCACTGCATCAGCCCTCAACCTGACTCGATCAGAGAGAGAGAGAGAGAGAGAGAGAGACCATCCCACGCTACATCCACCCACGAGGATAAGCTAAAATAAATCTCCCCTGTGCAGCAGCGATCCGGTAATAACCATCAGCATCGCCGTCATGGTAATGCGCTCCGGCTGCGGCGATATCAGTGCGGAACACGACAAATCTCATTACCACGCTGCCAGCCTGCCAGCCTAGCCCCTAATCCGGGCGGTAGTCTAGCGGCCCAATCACGGCCCGCGCTTGCGGGCTCCACCGAACCAACCCTCCGGACAGGACCCTAATCCCTCTCTGCTTCACTGTCACTTCCTCTTTGGGCCGCCTGCATATCCTCGCCCCTCGCTTTCTCTTTGCTGAAACTGCCCGCCAGCCCTCCCCTGGCCCTGTTCCATCTTCATTGTCCCCATGTTATTATTACCCACTTCGTCATCTTCTGTTGTCGCCGACCTGGATGCTCTCTCTCTACCCCTCGCCAGCCCGCTGCTGCTGCTGCTGCTGCTGGTCTTCCCCACACGTTTCCTTGTCAGTCATGGTCATTCTCCCAATCCATCCGCCAATGATTCGTGCAAAGTCACTTGAGCTGACACCCAGCTATGCCTCAATTGCTTTCCGTATCGCTGTCTTTCCATCTATCGGTCTGTACATTCGCCATTGAATAATGATATACACGCTTCCATTCCTTACCAGCTGATATCGAGCCTTCATCCTCATCCCCACCATCCAGACTTCTCTTCTTCGTGCCCGCGCGAGCCACCTGGGCAACAACCTTCACGTCTACGCCAGCCTTCATTTGTTTGGGGCCGCAGCCCCACTAGCCTGTAGATTCGAGCAGGATCCGATCGCATGCCACTCTCCGTCCGATCGCATGCCTATGCGCACATCACCTTATTTTGACAAAATCTGCGTCCAAATCTGTGGACCTGCAGTAGTTCAAACATCATCGCAAGGCGAACTCGATCCACAAATCTCGCTCGTCTCCTACCAACCTGTGTCTGCCCGCCCACGATCAAAATCATCCAGTGGGCACCAGTCCCCAACATTCTTCTCCAAGCCCGCAGGTGGCGTGAGCCATCTCACCAGCCGAGGCTGCATTCCAACGTGCGGCATCTTGAACCCGAACGAGAAAAGAAAAATAACCACCACCTATACGACAGACGGAAAACGGAAAACTGTACCACTCATCTTCCGTCCAAACGTTTTCTTGTCCGCCGTCGCAAAACCTGCGCCAATCCAACCGCCCTACCCTACGACTTCCTGTCCTATTAGGCTTCCGACTTTGTTATCCGCTTACCGTTGTTCAACACCCCTCCTAGTCAAGGCTACATACATACTCCATCTACCGTACGTAGCTGCATTAGCTTCGGCCCGTCCCTAGCCGATCCTCGAGTGAGGCTGGATCCAACATCAATCATAGACTCGAGCATTTTCCAGTAGCGGAATAGATTTGTGCAAGCACAGGTCAGATGCCTACGTCTTGCGAATCCGCGCATGTACCATTCAAGCATCAAGCATCTCTTCACATATCCGTCCTTTCAACATCCAAACAAACCCGAAACCCTGGCTCCTTTTCCCAGGACGCATTTCGTCTCGTCAACGTGCATGCGTCAGCCTAACGTTCCCATGAAATTGTGAATCTTTCATCTTGCCATGTAGCTTAATATACCGTGCACAAATGAACAAAATGTCATCGTGAAAGCATTAATCCTGCAGCCTAAAAACTGCCGCGTCAAACGAATCTCGGCTCCATGACCACTTGTGTGCGTCAAGCCTTTCTTGAGGTACGTGGGTGCAGTCCTCGTTGCCATTGATAATGCGCCTCGACCAGAATGATCATCGTAAACGATATTTCGAGAACAACTCAACGATCTCGCCTGCTTTCTAGAACCAGACCCTGTAAAGCCAGCATACTCCTGAGCCGGCGACATCTCGAACAGTGAAGCCGTGATCCATGCAATGTCGTTGCGACATCTACCGACCTAGGTTCATCCTCGAATACCATCGACGAATCTACTCACGAGGAAGAAATCCCGGTGCACTGTTAGATACATTTGTGAGACTATATACGTACAGATGTGACGTACAATTGGAAAGCGGGATACGTGCGGAGACGGTCCGCAAGCCGCTACCCGTGATGGCAACGTATACAAAGCATGGGTTCCCGGACTTGTCAAACATTTCTTCAACGACGACGGGATTGCCATTCATGTGGTCAAAACTGTCTTGGGGACGGATCGTGCAGAGATAAGTAAATATCAATGGCCAACCCTACAATGCATTTAGCGCGCATGCAGCTGGACCCTTCCTAGAGAGTCGCATTCGCATCGCTGGATATACATATTGCAAAGGCCTAGGACTTGACCGATTAATTTGCAGACTTGCCCTTGAAACATCGTGAGCAGAAAGCTCGAGGGAGACAACATCATTGGCGCGGATCGGAGAACCGCATCGCTTCCGGCGATGCGCATGCGACCCCTGCAAAAAGGGTCCCTTGGCTTCCAGAGATCGATATCTGCGTCAACCGAGCGTCACTTGGTGGGAATCCTGCGAGCCAGTACATTGATTGTCCAGCATTCACAGATAGTCAATTGAAATCAATCTAATCACCCAGAGCTTCAAGTAATTGGAGCTCGCTCGTTACGGCCTCAAGCGCCCGCTATCAAACGCTCAGACGTCAATACTCAGTCCACAGCGTAGACCTGGGTTGCTTTCTCATTCTTCAGACTTCCCCTTCACGCCACACCGACTATTGAGAGACCATGATGGGAAGCGATCCCGCATGCTCTGCGTATCTGCGTATATGGGGCCCCACTTCCCAAGACCCCGGCACATGGGCGTATGTTTTGGCAAATCCTCCGAACTCTTGGTGCTGAAGAGCTGGAGCTTTTGCTTCGCCATCCGCTGCAGCAACAATCAGATCGGTGCGCGGAAAGCGACTGATCTTAGATTGCATACACATGCGATTGATGAGTAGAAAGAGAGCCCCCCGTCACCGATGTCTGCCGACACCCTCATATGGAGAACAACTGCTCAAATTTTACGGCTTAAACGCGCAATCCTTGTAGGTCTATACAGCAGCATGAGAATACGAGCGGATCTGTTTCCCCGCCGCATCTCTTCCTTCATGATCCTGGCTAGTCACAGGTTACGTTGAAGCGTCAAACTACCTGCTACAACCGTACAAACGTACATTGGCTCAAAATCCAAGGGTATCCGTATGGCATGCCGCATGCCGTGTCCCGCCTGACGAACTGGACATCTCGAATCGATCGATCGTACCCGCATAGTGATTCCAATTTCCATACCCCAGATGAGCGAGACTTGCAGTAGGATCTCATGTGCGATGTATCTAGATTGTGTATCTTGGAAGCCAGCTAGTCAATCACTCTGCATGGAAGGATCCGACCTTAGAAATGAGGCCATCCAGCTGCGACTCTTGCCGCATAACCGGCAAGTAAACATGTATGTAACCCGCAGTCGATCATGCAAACTCGCTTGCCGAATGGCTGGCTGGTTGGTTAGTCAGATCTGACTGACTGGCTGGCTGACTGACCTATACAGACTTTGATCTACGCAAGCCAGCATCGGACATGTATCTGAATGCAAATACACCCACAGCAAGCGCGCCAGCCTCACAGGACTTGATCAATCAATCAACCATGGAATACTATTGAAACACGGGGGTGGGTTGAGACGGATCGTCACACCGTTTGCGCCTCGCGAAAAAGCTTGAACAGATATACACAGCACGACCATGAGGTTGCCACGCGCGCAACCTGCCATCCGCTCCAGCCAACCCCCCTTTTTCCTTTGCCTTGCTCAGATTTACCCGCGAAAAAACAACAACTCCGCCTGCTTGCCTGCTTACTTGCTGGCTGGCTTCTATCAAATCTTCTCCTCTCTCTCTCTCTTCCTTGCTTTTCCAGTCCCCCCACCCCCTCACTCTTCTCCCCCCCTTTTTTCCTCTCTTGTCATCGCTTCGTCAGCTCCGACATCCCTTCCTTCCGTTTTCTTTACTTTTGTCTTCTTAGCTGCTTCTAGCTGATATGTACACCCCTCCGAATACAGATATGGGTTCGTTGGTTTCGGGGGAAACAAGATTGCGTGTACACGTTGTCATTGTTCCAACAATAACTCAGCCTCCCCCCGGAAGATATCACAGCCGGGGGGAAGGGGATGGGGATGGGGGATCGAAGCCGGAGAGACCGAGTGACGTAAGTTCGAGCTTGAATAAAGCTGTGCAGCGCGCGGCAATGACTGGCTGGCTGTGTTTTGGGTGCAAGAGGGGGGAATGGAAAGAGAAAGAGGATCACGGCGGATCCGAATCCCGCGCCTCCAATCACCTCAAAATATCATCCATGGTGTCTTAATCATTGCATTGTTATGTTCTTCCACCCCTCATCTCCCGTCTCCTTCATATTTCCCCAGCACCAACTCAGAAGTAAGAGCTTCTGTATTATAAAGAGAAAGCTCTTTCATCGCCACATTAAACAACCATCGTGCCTTGAGTGCATCTACATATTATCATCTTCTACCTGTAAAGAAAAAAAAAACGCTTCAATCCAATCCCATCTCATCCATCGCCGCATCATCATCAAAATCTTGCATCAAAACCACCCACCAAACACCCTCATTCCATGCCCTCCCAATCTTTCTCCATTATCTCCTCACTTCCTCGTTTCCCGCATACCTGATATTCTCGACCTCAATCGCGCATCTGTATCTGCATTTACCTTCCCCCTCCCCATTTCCCCTTTCTTACAGCAATTCCCGTTCCCTATCCCGTCCCCTACCCTTCCTAATCTCCCATCCTCACCCACTTCCCCACTCACCGATCACTCTTCTCTGTCTGTCTGACACAACATCATGCAAACATTAGCACCAAGCTCCATCCAAAACCATTGTCCAAACCCGCATTCATTCCAAAGTGATTTGCTTCTTCTTCTTCTGCTTCTTCTCGACCGCTTAATGGTCTCTTCTTTTCCCTTTCGCCTGGGGAGGGGGAAGGGCTCTGTGGACGTGAACATGGAATAGGGAGCGAGGTTTTGATTGATTGATTGATGCATGCGGAGGGGAAGGAGGCTGAAACGTGTATGATGCCGCTCCTGCTGCTGCTCCTGCTGCTGTTGTTGATGTTGTTACGTCGGTTTCTTTGGGTCCATGTTTTTTTTTCTTGTTTGGAAACGTGGGTAGACAGAGAGGGAGGGGAAGAGAGGGAGGAAGAGAAGGTAGCGAAGCTCATTTAGCAGCCAACCAAAACCAGCATTCTATGTGAAGCATTACATCATCACGTTTTTCGGGGGGGGGAAAGGGTGGTCGGTGGTTTGTGTTTTGGCAATCAAGGTGATGGTTATGTCTAGTTGTGTAATTTCTAATACCCGTTCGGCTCGTTGAGATATTTCCCTTTTTTTTTTAAATCGTCTCTGTCGTTTTTTGGTATATTCTGCGTGCGCTTTGGAAGACCTGCGAGAAGAATTTGTTATCATCTTCATTTTTTCTGATATTGATGTTGTCGGAATTGGGACTGCTCGTCTGGATTAATAAATCGATATTTTCTTGCCTCGTAAAATAATCGCGTTGCTTTCTGGAACGATATTTGGCTCAGAATTGACAGTAGTATTCGATTACTATATTTCTTTTTTTCTTTTTTGGATATTGATTGTTGTTGTCAAGACTAGGTTCATACCGTGACTACAGCTTTGGAACTGTGATGGCAGAGTTTTGTTCATGACATATCTTATAGGGTTATTTATGATTGAACGACAAGACGTAACGACATTTATTGTAGGAGCTAACGTTCTTGCCTCAATGACCCTTCTGTCTATCTTATTTGCTTTTTTGGTCGCTTGAAACTGCGCAACTAATTTTCTAATTGCTATCGAACTGATGAAAAGCAGTAGCTATATGTCTAGAGAAAATAAAGTACGCAAAACGATGTTTAAAAATCAGCGCGCAGTATCTGAAAACTACGATACACTGAAGTGTATCTCGTTACAGTATACCCGATCACCTTTCTAGCCTGCTGTGACCAAATATAAATCCAACCTCTATCCTAACAAAATCAATCCTGCACTTGATCTGAACCAAACTGAATCAAGAGTATCTGGATCTCGATTCCTGACCACGTAATTCTATTCTGATACGCGGTGGCGCCTCTGATACAGCAGTGTCACTCTTTTGAAGCTTTCTTATTGGTTTTCCTCTTTGTCCATCTTTTTGGCTGCTGTCGGAGCTGTCAGCACCGACCTGTTCCGGATCTTCGCCAGCCTTGCGCTTCCGCCGCCTCTTTGCCTTTTCGCGCTTTTCGCGATTGATCCGATGGGCCTGTTGCATTTCACGGAGTCGCTCTTGAGGGTTGAATTCGATCTTGTCCGAAGTTCGCAACAGGATGGGGGCTACGAGGATAGCATCGAGGAGTAGAAGTAATACAGTCATGACGATAGTGAAACCTTTGTCTATCTTGCGGAGCCAGAGTAGTATTATGGGGCTGACCATTGCAGCGATCACGGCAAAGCTGAGGATGGCTGGCGCGGAAATAGCTACAAAAGCAATTGTATGCTTTGATATGGCTGCTCGTGAGTTAGAAGCAAGCCAGCCTAGAAATTTGTGCGTGGGTATGGGTTTGTTGTTTCGAATATCTGTATCCTCACGAATCTGGTCGAAGATGTTTTTCTTGTACTCGATGAGATGCGAGCTGCGGATGCTGAGGCGCACAGCGTATGCCACGACGACAAACCCGATGGCCACAAGCACAAATTGATATAGTGGAACGCCGTCCCCGAGTTCGTGTACCTGCATGCTGAAGAGACTGGCTACGAAGGATAGAGGTATGAAAACAAATGCGAGTTCTGTGAGTTTCGATACACTCTCGGCTTCGGCGATGCTGCGTTGACTGTCTACAATCTGCATTTCTGACAATAAGGAACCAGAAGATCGATCTATAAGGTCCATGCAGCTACGTAGTGTTTGTCGTGTATCTTCAGCGAGTTTCTCGGAAGGAAGCATCGCTTGTGAAGTGTGTGACTCAGGCTCGTTGATGAATTGTACAAATGCACGCAGATTCTGATCCAGTTCTCCGAGATTGAAATTTAGTCGGTGCAGCAGCGCTCGCCAAAACGTAACGCGCTCCTGCATTAACTCAATATTCAGCGTATCCTGGCGGATCCGCTGCAATGATATTCGAATGATATCGACCAAGCTGTGCGAGTCGTCATGAATAGCGCGAAACAACGCGTGGAATGGATCGTAATGAGGCTCCTTCCCTTTCATCGGTACTTGCATGAAAAGCTCAAACTCCTCCAATGTAGATTTGGGTATCTGCAGGCTTTCGATATATGCACGCATATGTTTTGTTACAAACGTAGCATCGTTGCGAGCCGATGAAGATGATCTAGCTTTGATAAGATCGTATGGTACGAAAGCTCCATGATCTCTGACTAATACTGCTTCTTGATCTACTGAAGGAATTGATCGGGATCGTGCCCGGGGCATAGCCGACGCAGATGGAGCTGGCATGGGTGGTGGTGGTGGTGGTACAAGTGGAGGATCATGGAAGGCGCGAGGATCTTGCCCTCTGTCGACTGGCGAGGTGGACTTTACATTAGAAGCACCAGTTGTGGCTCTTCGCCTGAGAGCAGTTGCCGTAAAAGGAATTTCCGCCGGGTCAACATCTGCGCCAGTGGTTTGTGGATTATGAAATGTCGGGTTTGGTCCATGGTGAACTATATCTATCATCAACAACCACTAGTCGTCGAGGATACATAGACCAAGTGACTTGAAACACGAAAATTCTATGAGCTTAACAAAAGTTGATCGTTCTTTGTGGGCATTGTGACCCATTCAACAATCGTAGGAAAGGTTTATCACACTTACTGGGAGGTGAGGATGGTCGGCCCTCAAAATGTGTGGGCAATGAAGATTGTTGCGTCCAATCAACAACATATTGTTCTCGATTTCGAGAAGGCCGTGCACGATAGCTTTTGTAATTGCCTTCTTCCTTGATAATCCATTGGTTACCCATAGGAATGAGTCCCTCACGCCTCCATGCACTAATTTTGCCTTGTTTGCCCACTACTACAGGAAGCGGATCGAGCAAAATTATAACTGTCGATGTCAGAGTTCTGGCAGGAACAACTGTCGATGTGAATATGCCTACCGAATTTGCACCCATCGATATCCCGGCTCCATACCGTGGCCCTCTCTTCCCAGCCCACTGGATACTCAGTTTCAGAGTCTTTGTGGTAATCACCAGGCTCAGGGCAGAGATCAATATAATGACGCCATATGTTTCCGGTTGTCGATAAAGAGACGTTATGCTGTTCACATCCTTCCAAGGGGCAGGGAACCTGCGGACTCCGGTTCTTGATAAGTTTAGCCCGAAATTTCGCATCCAGAGAAAACAGAGGCAGAACAGGTCTGTACCAGGTCACAGAAGAGTATCCTTGGGCTGACGAGCGAGCATTCCACGCGGAGGCGCTTTTGTGATTTTCCCTTGTTTCTCTATATCCTGAACGATCAAGATGTTCCTCAAAAACATGAGGTGGTATATCAAATGTCGCCCCCAAGAGGTCAACTGATGATGGGGTCAAGTCCTCGACCAATATCAATCGTTGTTGACAATTGTCGTGCACGGTTCTCAGGGTACCATAAAATTCGGCATATGACGGTGCGTAGGCTTGGTTGGGCCTAGGACAGGGGTTGCAAAGTCAGTAGCGTACAAGCAACTATGTTTCAGTGGGTTATTGTGGTACTAAGATGCATAAAAGTGCCGATTTTCCGTGTAATTTGTATCTCATCAAACGTACCAAGGTTCATTTCGCATCGGCGAGTGGTGTTGTTCATGTTCAAGGCGATCGTAAAAAACAATCTGAGAGATCCAATGACCATGGCGTGTCTCAGTAGTAGCGACGCTGTTGAAGTAGGCAAAATGATTAGCCAGGCGGTTCACGTTGTTGCGGTAGTTCTCTACCTCTTCGGCATTTGAATGTGATTCTGGAGTTGGTTCCTGTTTTTTCCTGCCCTTGTTCCGCGATTTGGTTGGTGCTGATCCTGCCATCCAATTGAGAAAGGGATTGGGTTTCTTCCGCGAAGGTAGTGGAATATCTTCTGGACGCAATTCTAAATCTTCGAGAGACGTTCCGAGAGGTGGTCGTGTCTCTGTGGAAGCTTGTACGGACATCAGTGACGAAGTTTTTGAAGATGGCAGCGGCACTTGGGCAGCTTCAATCCCTTCTATGTTCTGAAATGCCCAGGTCGCTCGCTGTATCTGTTCCAAAGATGAATTGGGGGGTTTCAACGGCTTAGTCTCAAGTGTTTCCACATTTTGTTCGACATGCTCCCTCTTCCGGGAGCTTCGAGAATTGTTATCGATCAGAGTGGCGCGAGGTTCAGTTTTGCTGCCAGCTTGTTGTTTGATAGTCTCATCTTCCGATTCTTCTATCCTAGTCTCTTTACCATCGGCGATGTTTGCTTCTCCTGTCTCAGTTCGATTCTCATGACTGTTCGAACGCTCATCCTCCTTCTGGTCTCTATCATCTGAGGATACTCGAGCTACCGTATGTTGCTCAGCCCCCGTATCGCTTCTGAACTCGTCGTTGGCCCCATCTTGGTGTTCCATAGATGCATGGCAGTCAGAAACGCCTGACTTAATGTTAACGAAGAGTGTAAGAGTGTGTGAGGCCACTGAGGCCGGGAAACTCGATAAAGGCCACAGAGTTTTGGCCCCCATTTTCGTGGCCGTAAGCGACTTCTTCGATTGGCTACACTCCCGGATCAATTTACTCAACTAGTAACGAGCCGCAAAAGCTTGCATGACCAAGACTTGAGGTTAAATATCAGTCGCCGTGATGCTCTTCCAAAATCCCCGCCCCAGCCACCTATCTTTCTTTCACTCGTCCTGCACCGTAGTAATGCTTGCGTAAATTCTAAAGGAACCACCCGAATCGCCAAATCCCAAATCTTTCCTTCAACAACTACATCGTCGATTGATAATCGTCATGACAAACATCAAGTTCGCCGTTTCTATGCAGCGTTTGTGTCACCCGGTCATGAGCTGCATTTGCGTTGGTTGACCGTGAAATCAGGGTTGCTTCCGTTTGTTGGGTATCATCATATTTTGATGCTGGTACAGACGGTTGGCGTGATTCTCACATGTAAGCTGAAAAGACATTGGCGTGTTAATCCCGGTCTAAGCACAACAACAGCCATCGTGTTAGCAGGTTGCTCAAGTTACTCGTCAATGACCAACGTATACATTCTTGGACTGTCATACACCAACTCAACGACGGAAAACCTAAGCCCAATCGGCAAGAACCTCTCAGACACGTTCAGTAGGTACAAAGGCGGGTCGCAACTGGAAGTTCGAACAGGCTACTTTGGTATGTGTGTGAGGCAACGTGGGGTCGTTTGGCTCTGTAGTTCTGATGCAGCGGGCCTTGCGATTCAGATCGGACAAGAAAGCGACCCATTGGACTTAATAGGGGCATCCGCAAAATTCAGAGACGATGTCATTTTCTCTGGGTTGCTCTTTATGGCTATCGTTCTCGCTTTTGCGAGCGTACTATTGCTGGCCACCTTTCCCGGTTGGCATGAAGAAACAGACGAGAGAACAGGTTCAGTGGTGGATGTTAAACCTTTTCCTTCTCGGCCTATCTCGCAGATTGCTCTTTCATGCAGCTTCGTCGCGTCTATATTGTTACTCATCTCTGGATTGTGGCAACATGTGGGTTCGGTGGGGGCAGCCGCCATGGCTGATATCGCATATCACGGAAGCGTTCACACGGACATTGGGGCGCAAGCGGTAGCAATGACGTGGGCGAGTTTCACACTCATCATGATTAGCGCAATAGCGTTGCTTATGATGATCCTGTCAATTTTGGCGTTGGATAGGCTTACGGATGACTAGAGAGTGTTTTGCTCTAGGTAATTTTGTTCTGGGCAGTTCATCGCCTGCGGCCTGCGGCCTGCGGACAAATCTGATAGAATGTTGATAGTTTTCATATTTCGTCGAGAAAAGAAGATCGGGGTTATCGTTTTGCTCTGACTATGTAATTTTCTGCCCGAACTAGAGGCTTGTAGATGAACGGATGGGGTAGTGGAATAGTGCTTCATCGATGAATCTTGATAAAGTGGTAGAGAAGGTCTCATTGACGATGACATTAAAGTGAAGATAAAAAAGAGTCGGAGAGAAACCAGATGACGACAAACAAGAGGCAGAGCAAACCTTTACTAATCATCTCAGGAGGAGGAAGGTGGAGTGCGGACCCCTTCGTAAACCCTATCCAAACCATCATCGGCGGAATAGAGTACAGGGCAATCACACGGCAAACGAGACATCAATAGTAGAGTTGTAAATCAAAAAAGAAAGGATTGGGATGAAGATACCTAACCAGTACATAAACCCCCAAAAAGTCTCTAAATAAAAGAGAAGCCACCCCTTGCTCATCCTTGGTGGAGAGTCCACCCCAATCGCTTCACGCCAAGCACACATATAAAGATGAATAAGATGCCCTATCCGCACTCCTTTCACCTCCCATTCCCTTACTGCTACCATCCAGTGAATTTCCGATCCCGAAAAACGAGCAAGCCGACGTTGTGAAGGGGATAAGAAACAGGAAATAGGAGAAAGGAGATCCAACTCATCCTCATAGATAACTGTCCAGATATTGCTTTTATAAAGTATTTCATCGTTGTCCTTCTGCCAACCCGCGCCAAGCTTGAGAGATAGTAGATATCATAAATATTATGGTATTCATCAACAGGGAAAGGGGGGTGACATGATGACAGCAATTTTAACGCGGTCATGTCAAAGGTGGGGTATAAATCGTTGTGCACCATGCGCTTGACGGCAAGGCTCGATCGTACCGATCGGAGAAAACTGAACGAGCTCGAGACATTGCATGTGCCGTTCATGAGCGCCGAGCGTTGGTGTTGCCATGTTATTTGTTTACGGGCCAGTGTATCTGTCGAACCTGTGATTGGTTAGCAAGGCGTCTTGAATTCGATGGATGTGACTAAATAAGGAGATGGGACAATTGTGAATAGACGGAAGATGATTTTGACATACCTCCAGATACGAGCACGCATGTCGCCACTGCCGGTAGCAAAGACACCTCCACTTGGACTGGGTGCGACAGAGATGACTACAAGCAATTAGCATTTAATCAGGATCAGTCACGATCTGCTGGAGATTACATACCTGAATTTTTATGTCCTTGCAGCATGAGCTGGGCAACACCAGTATGAGGGTCCCAGAATTGCACACCGCGATCTTTGGATCCACTGAGCACCCAATCGCCGTGAGGCGTAAGAGCAACGCTCAGCACGAAGTCCTATCAACAAGTTAACATTGCACAGGCCCGACGATTAGCTCAAAGACTTACCTTGTGGCCTTCGAAAGTTCGAATGCATTTTCCGCCAGGGGCAGCGCCTTGCATCAAACGAGTAGGAGTAGTCAACTCCCACATCTTAATGGTCTTGTCGAGACTGCCACTGACCAAACGGTCGCCAGAAGGCGCGAACGCGACAGAGTAGACACTGTCCTTGTGGCCTTGCTCGCCCTCGAGACGAACCACGAGAGCGCCAGTTTGCGCGTCCCAAACACGAACACTCTTATCAAGAGAGCCGGCCGCGACAAAACGGTTGTCGGGCGAGATGGCAACAGTTGTAACGCCATCCTCGATGGACAAGTTGCGGAGTTGTGTGTTGGTCTCGAGATCCCAAAGGCGAACACTCCTATCTCCACTGCCAGACGCGATGATGCGTCCGTTGCGAGCGAAATCAAGGGAGTAGATGTCTTGCTCGTGACCGGTGAATTGATGCTTGATGGTGCGGCTGGCGATATCCCAGACCTATTTACATATTAGAAGTCGTAATCAAGAAGCAAAAAAGTGAGTAACTTACCCTGATGACCTTGTCTTCGGCACCTGTAGCCAGATACTGGCCATTGGGACTGAAGCAGACACTGCGAATATAAAGATCGCCATCCTCGGGCAGACTTCCATCTTGCAAGTGGGCAACTGGGGTTCCAGTCTCCACATCAAAAATTTGGGCAGCGCGATTGCATCCGGTCGCGACGAAACGACCGTCCAAACTGAAGCGCACGCAGCAAACAACACTCTGGTGGGGAAGATTGTGAATCAGGTCCACATCAAGGACTCGTCGCGCACGAGGATTGAAGACGGCGAACCAATCGGCTCCCTCCTTCTTGAAGTTGTCCGGCAGCGATTCCACGTCGAGATCGGCCAGAACGTTGCTCTGTGCAAGTGGTGGGACAGGTTGAGCGGGGGGCATCAATGCACTGTGCTGTTGTTGGTGAGGGGGGGGCGTGGGGCGGGGAACCTGGGGCGACCCTGGATACGTGGAGTTGTTCTGCTGGGGAGTCGCAGGGCCGGGAGGACCGCCGCGGGGACGAGGCCCTTTAGGTCCAGGCGAGGCTGTTGGCTGGGGAGGCTGTCCATAGCCTGTACGGCTGTCAGCGAAGATTCGTTTCAATCTCGAAAATGGCGTCGCGGCGAGTGCATCCTTATGCCGCTCGGGTTCGCAGAATGATGATGGAGCTGCTTTAACGTACCGTTGGGTGGTGGCTGGTAGCCTCCGAAATGCTGGGGAGGGCCCGGGGGGCCTGGAGGACCTTGGGGTCCGAGATGAGGCGGGAGGCCGGGCTGCTGAGGCTCTTGAGGAGGTGGAGCCAATCCTGGTCCACCCTGATTGTTGCCTGCCATGATTCCTCCGAACAGATTGCTCGGTCCGTGGCCGATCGAAGGTGCAGGCTGCGAGGGCCCGTGGTGCTGCGAGTTCTGGCTAGGACCGCCACGGGTTTCAAGCTCGCGCTGCAGGCGGGCGATCTCGTCCTCGTACCTGTACAATGTTGTTAGGATTCATGTTGCTATTGTTGTTTGTACGTGAACCCAAACACGTGTATTGATGTGCTGTAGAGTGTGTTTCCCGTTTTCGGGGGCTGTCTGGTGTGGCTGTGGATGACTTACTTGGCTTTAATCTGAACATGCTGCTGCTCGAGAGCGTATACCTTTCCACGGATCATCTCGATCTCCTGAATGTGTCTGGTGACTATTTACGCGGATTGTTAGCTCGAACCCAAGCACAGCAGCTAGCAAGCGCGGGCGCGCAATTGGATGTGATGGCATGGCACTCACTCTGACCCTCGTATTCGGCACTGCGCTGGTTCTCAGTATCGAATTCATTGCGAATAGAATCCAACAGCTCATTCAGGCGTTGGCTGGGGCCTGGGGGACCTGAGCCAGGTGGGCCGTTGCCGCGCTGGGCGGCGGGAGGATAGCCGTGGTTCATGGCGGCGGTGATGGTAGGAGACAAGAAAAGGCTATCGAAGGGAGAGGGAGGCGAGGTGTGGTGGGGGTGTTGGAAGGTGGAGAGTTGTCGTCAGTGGTGGATGGCGAGCACTGAGCGCTGAGGTTAGCGCGCGAGGCTGAGATCGCACTGGCTCTGGCAATTGTGTTGATGCGTGAATGAGTGGGCGTATAGCATGCGTGAGGTGTGGGAAGAGAGGTGGAAGGCGAGTGGATGCAGCAGGTGGGCGTCGGGCGAGGCCGGCGATGGGTCGCGACGTCGACGAGATGGGATGGACGGGCGCGCGACGTTTGGGGGTTGGAGTCGGACGGGAGCAGAGAGGGCGAGAGAAAGAGAAGAGGTGGGTTGAGAGAAGAGTTCAACGGACGATCCATGTATGGCGGCGGCGTTTGGTTTGACGATTATCCGTGCGCCGAACTAACCAGGGGCGCCAAACACTTTGACGGAACGGGTCCACACCCACAGCAGCATTTCCAACCTCCTCTCTTTCCGTCCAACATCATCAGCAGCATCGTCGTCACCGTCCATGATCCATGACCACATCACAGCATCAGGCCCTTCTGCCTGCTCGCCTACCGACCTGACCCTGGCCAACGTCGGACAAGATGCTGTCATTTATCCAGTCCATCAGCGAGATGGCTATGGGCATGCAGGCAGCAACATGATGCATCCAAACCATTTTCCCGGTTCGTGCTACGGCTCGCGGCTTCAAAACATTGATACATGTCGCCTCGTCCTCCTTGTGACACTGCAGTTGAAGCTTTGCATCTCACCGTTTCACATGCCGCTTGCTGATCAAGTGATGCATGTACCACTGCCCCGTACCGTGTAGCGGCATATACAGACATACATGTGTATGTATATATGGAAGTACACCTGTGTCGTTGCCACCCACCTGCCATATAGGTAGATGGACACTCCCCCCATGCTCTCCTCTCCTCTTCCACCGGACGGGGGGCGGAGCACTGCGCTGTATTCTCCTCGGACGCACAGTCGGCAGCAGGCAACTGTGAACCCTGGAAAGACAGCTCAGCTTGTTCTGGTCGTGTATCCCGGCCCCCGCATCTCTCCCACCCCCAAAGCGCCAGCGCCAAGCCGTGACTCGGGACCCCCTTTCGCATCTTCTGGCAGCAGTCGGTCGACGGACGGGGTGGGAAGAATTCAGACCGATGGACCCAGCCCGACCGAATCATCATGGCAGCCAAGGCGTGGGAGGACATGTAGGACATGTTTACATACGTGCGTGGTTCGTTTGGATGCGGCCTGGCTGGCTGCCTGCATGCATCCATGCATGCATGTACATTTCGGTCGTTGTTGTGGTTGCTCATGCATGGCCGTGGCCCGTGCCCCGCGTTCGCTTGCGCCCCGTCCAATCCCTGCATCCGCCGTTCCTTCCACAACACCAAATCCCCCGATCCACGATATCTCTCCTCTGCTGACGCCATCTCGTCGTCCTCTCCCAACCAGCCCGCATCCCATGCTGTGGCCCATCTCTTCCCGTGCTCCTCTACCCATCGTCAAATAGTCATGCTCCGGCTTCTCTTCCCCTCAACTGACTCACCTATCAGATCCGGTCATGGAAGCTGCTGTCCTCTTCCCCGCCCGTCCCTGCCTACAACTTCATCCCTTGATATCTGGTGACTGCTTCGTCTTGCCATTCACATTCTCTTCACATCATGCAACTTCTTCTCTCACCGTTCTGCCATGCACTTCACAATCTTCCAGTCGTGTGGAAGCCTCCATCACACCACCCGTTCCTGCCTGCGCTATATATTGACGACTCTCTCCCTCTGCATTGTTCTCTTCGCCGTGCTTGCAGATTCAAGCAAACACACCCATACTTGTCTCAATCTGCAGTAGCTTGCTGCCATCATCAATCAGACCATCGTTACTCTAGAACATTTCTCTCTCTTCAATGTCTCTCCACAATTCCATCACTGGTGCTCACAAATCCAGGAGACCGTCTAGGCCAGCCCAGCTTCGAGAGCATACTCGTAAATCTTTCTACGACGATTCTTCGATTCAAAACGTCAAAGCAAAGAAGCAAGATGGTACAGGCGTCCAGCGACTTTATGTTGGTGTTGCTGTCCAGGATGCTCCAAACAAAGCTCTCGTTATAAGCGCTGCTTTCCACGATGGAACTTACGGTGCCGACTCTGAGACCCTCACCATCGATGCTATTCCTGATGAAGAGCGCGAAGAAAAACTTTGCGAACTCATCATCAAAAAGCTGAAAGCATACCGAAGGGAGCGTCTGTATAAATTTGTCGGCGCTGGGGTCAATGCGCGCGCTTATCAGTACAGTCCACACCTTCTCTCCCAGCTGTGGAAACGTCTGGACATCGTACCCTGCGTGTACGACAATCAACCCCAATCAATGACACCCGGCGCATTCAAGCGCCCCGAAGATGTTTCTGTGGACGAGGAGGCCGACCAACTCGCACGCAAGGCTTTCAAAAACTTCAATCCGACTGGTGAACCCCATCTGCAAATCGGACACAGGAACAGGGTCAAGGTCGACTCGGGTGGCGAGGCCATCATTTGCCATGCCGATGAATATCCGGGAACAGTCAAGGAACGAACATGGCAGGCTACCATCAGGTATGCTCAGTCACTGAGGGACGGTAATATCAAGATAGCCTTCTTCAACTCCACACCACAGGGCGGGGGTGTAGCTCTGATGCGGCACGCCCTGATTCGATTCTTACATACGTTGGATGTGGATGCCAATTGGTAAGTAGGACCGACATCATTTACGGGATGGCCAATGGCTAATTGATCCAGGTATGTTCCGAACCCTAAACCGGCCGTGTTTCGCATTACGAAGAACAATCACAACATCCTTCAAGGAGTAGCGGAGCCTGATTTGCGCATCAATGCATCGAATATCTATGATTTGGATGAGTGGTGTACTAAGAATGCGAGCCGCTTCTGGACGTACGTATTTCCTTTTGCTGGCACTTGGTGACCGCAATGAATGCTGACTTCGTACCTCCATTTTCAGATCTCAAAACTGTCCTCTTGGTCCACGTTCGGAGGGTGGTTCAGACGTCATTATTGTAGATGATCCTCAAATGCCTGGATTGGTTAAAATCGCCAAAGCCCAAGATCCCAGCCGCCCAGTCATCTTTCGTTCACATATTCAGGTTCGTGCTGATCTCGCGAACAAGCCTGGCACACCAACGGCTGAAGTTTGGGATTGGATCTGGGAGAATGTCAAGGACGCCGATCTCTTCATCAGCCATCCTGTTCCCGATTTTGTCCCTGCAAACGTGACACCACACAAAGTGGGCTATATGCCTGCTACCACAGACTGGCTCGATGGCTTGAACAAAGACCTCAGCGACTGGGACTTGCAGTTCTTTCAGCACGAATTCAATGCGGAATGCCTGAAAGCTGGCATGTACAAGCTTGATTATCCCGCTCGCAAATATATTGTCCAAATCGCGAGATTTGATCCAGCAAAGGGCATCGCTGATGTGCTGGCTTCTTACGCCGAGCTCAGAAGAGTACACATGAAGGACTGGAAGAAAGAGGATAGCCCGCAGCTTGTGGTGGCCGGACACGGTGCAATCGATGACCCTGATGCAACCCACATCCACCGAGAGACTCTCGAGGCGCTCAGCTCGCAGTATGCAGACATCAAAGACGATGTCATTGTCATGCGTCTCGGACCATCTGACCAACTTCTCAACTTTCTCATGTCAAGTGCCCACGTAGCCCTCCAGCTCTCCACCCGCGAAGGGTTCGAGGTCAAGGTTTCTGAGGCGTTGCACAAGGGCGTGCCAATTATCGCCACGCGCCGTGGAGGCATTCCTTTGCAGGTGGAGAAGGGTAAGTCTGGGTTTCTAGTCGAGGCAGGCGATTACAAGTCTGTTGCTCGGCATCTGTTTGAGCTCTTCACCAACGAAGAGTCGTACGCGGCCATGGCCGACTATGCAAAGACACATGTAAGCGATGAAGTATCAACCGTGGGCAACGCGCTCTGCTGGCTGTACATGGCCGATAGACTGGCCAAAGGGGAATCACTCGGACCAGAGTCGCGGTGGATCAACGACATGGCTCGAGAAACGGCGGGGTTACCATATCTGGAAGACGAGACCAAGCTTCCTCGTGTTCTGGAATGAAGAGAACTCGGTATGCAAGCCACACGGGAACCTCGGAGTTATGGTGTGCGGGCGAGTAACGGCCTCTCGATACTCCATGGGCGGGTCCATATCATTGCCGATCTTTCCCATTGGTGCTGGCTTGCTTGATTGGTATATGATGTGTATTGTTAAATTGACATGAGTAGCAAAGGGGCGGTCAGGTTAATGTGGTATCACTGATGACTTTGATTCGTGTGAACTAGGAGTTGTTGTTCTACTTTCTGACTGGTGTAAGCATATACAAATATTCATAGGTACAGCAACATTAATGGCTTTTTTCTGGACATGGCATTCATTGTGCACAACAGAGATCAGGAGATCAATGGCTGATGGTGAATCTTGTACATTTCCAATTTCCGGGTAGAGTCGAGCAAATAGACGGGGACAGCAAGGTGACGGCTGACTCACCATTGCGCACGGAGATAGCAGGCGCGCATTCCCGGCGATTCTAGCGCCGGCTGATGGGGCGACGACGCGTGATGGCAAACGCGAACATCGTTCACAGGTGAGGTGACTTTATCAGATCCGGACCCTCTCTTTCCGGGGCGGTGGAGCCCTGGCCCCCGTTCTGATTGGACTTGGAAGAGCTTTTGGTCGTCTTTTTTTTGTTCCCATCGGAATCGAACGGCTAGCCTCTGCCAAGGCCTGTACCTGAAATGCCCATCACGCTCCCCCCCCGATGAACCTTAAATGATTGATTTGCCCTTGCGCTGCGCTCCGGTTGATAGATTGTTGTTTATATTTCCTTTTGGTACCTTCGATTGTCTCTCCGTGGTCCACACCGACTGAGGAAAGTTTCTGTGAGGTCTCGTTGTTATAATCTTGCTTTCTACCGCAGGTTGTTTGTTCCTGTGCTGTTCGATTGGTCTGGCTGTCGCCATCTTCCATCTCAATCCTACTCCCAGAACCTCGCGGGGCTGTTTCGCTGAAACCACACCCGCCACCATGGACGTTGTTCTCGAACTCTGCGATACATATGTATTCGATCCCATCTACGCGGCTCTGCTACCGGCACAGACACCGTCCCTCCTACCCAATGGCACGTTTTCGAGCGTCAAGGAGGTTCCTACCAACTTGCCTCATGCATCTACCTGGGAATACCGCCCGGCCAGTCAATACCTGAGTTTCACCCCAGGCAAAGCCGCATACATGTCCCAATGGCCACGAGACGACGTGCGCCGCCAATTCCTATCTCTTTTCCTCATTACTTGGTAAACACCCTCCCCAATCCATCCCATCTCCCATCGACAACCAATGTCAATGTACGTGCAGCCAAAACAGTGAAGCTAACACAGCGGTTTGTTCGTTCCTTTCTTTCTCCAGGATCTTCGGCGTCTTCATCTACTTCGTCTTCGCAACCCTCTCCTACCTCTTCATCTTCGACAAATCAACCTTCAACCACCCCCGCTACCTCAAGAACCAAATCCGCCTGGAGATGCGCCAAGCAAACATCGCCTTCCCCTGGATGGCCCTCCTCACCGCCCCCTGGTTCCTCCTCGAAATCCGCGGCTACTCCAAAATCTACGACTCCCTCGCCGACTCCCCAGGACCCTGGTACAACATCCTGCAATTCCCCTTGTTTTTCGGCTTCACGGATTTCTGCATCTATTGGATCCACAGGGGTCTGCACCACCCGGCCGTATACAAGAACCTGCACAAGCCGCACCACAAATGGATCATGCCGACGCCCTACGCATCGCACGCGTTCCACCCTCTCGACGGCTACGCACAAGGTCTCCCCTACCACATCTTCCCGTTCCTCTTCCCGCTCCAGAAATTCGCATACGTCGCGCTCTTCATGTTCATCAACATCTGGACCGTCATGATCCACGACGGCGAGTACTATGCCGAGAACCCCGTCATCAACGGCGCCGCGTGCCACACGATGCATCATTTGTATTTCAATTTCAATTATGGCCAGTTTACTACGCTGTGGGATCGCTTGGGTGGCAGTTATAGGAAGCCGAATGATGAGTTGTTTCGCAGGGAGTTGAGGAGTATGGAGGGCGCTTGGAGGAAGCAGGTCGAGGATGCTGATCGCATGGTCGGTGAGGTTGAGGGCGTCGACGATAGAGGGTATCAGAGTGACGGGGAGGGGAAGAAAGTCCGTTGATTTTATTTTCCTCTTTGGCTCTTCTTCGTCGGGGGTCGAGGATGGATGTGTGTACGATATGTTTCAATGTGAGGGTTGGGTGAGTGGTGTGTTTCCTAAGAGTACTATGATTTTGGTAATGAGGAGGGAGGCGGGGGGTAGGAGCCCTAGGGGCCTGGGAGTTCCGGAGTATGCTTTTCTTCTCTTCTTATATTACTATACCCCCTCCTGCCTGGTAGTATTCAAATCCCATATCCTCTCTTGCTTCCTGCTTGACTTGCACACTTCAACAATTCTCGTTCTCTCTGTTTCTCAACATCACAAAGCCAGCCCACTCCGATACCACTTCGCATCGCTATACCACCCAATCCCACTCCCGCCAGCAAGCCACCATGTATCCCCCTCGACACCCAGCCCCAGCAACCCTCTGAGCACAGACACGGGCAGCGGCTCACACAACCAGATGCCAGCTCTCGCGAAATCGTCACAGAGCATGCCCGCAGTGTGATAGAACCACACATGGACGTACACGAACGTGAACGATCTCTTCACCCAAGTCGGCGCCCCAAACGAAGCAACAAAAGGACGCAGGAAAGCGGCTTCGACAAAACACCCGAGCGCCTGCAGCGCAAAAAACGCCATGGGTCCTGAGAACGGGTGGGTTTCGCCATATGCAGTGTAAGACCCTGTAGCGTGTAGAGCGCCAGACAGCGCAAACGCGATACACAGCTGCAGCGCCTTCGCTCCTTTACTTTTGAGTAGCTTCTCCTCCTCTTCAGAGGAAAGACTCTGTTGCTGGGTTGTCTTCTCTCCCCCCTTCTCGTTCTTCTTCTTCTTCATCGTCGCCACCGCAACAAGAATCGCACGACTCGGCGCCTCGAACGCGAACCTAAAGGTCTGGTGCCACCAACTGCTCCACCACCCGCCCAGCCCGCGATCCAGCACCGCAGAATACGGCCCCCACGTATCCGGGTACGTCCACGGTTCCGCACGGGCGCCCAGCACATTCGGACCGAGGACGCCAGCGAAGAAGAGCGGGGCGAGCGCAAAGACGGTTTGGAGAGCGTATAGGATGGAGAACTGCGCGAGTGTGAGGCGGAAGATGCGAAGCAAGATCGGATGCCGTGTTAGATATGGGGTCCAGGGGAGGTAAGGGGCTGGCGAGGCGGAGACAAGACCCCAGAAGTAAGGATCATGAATGACGAGGGTTTTGATCACGTCGAGGGCGAAGTACCCTATGAACAGTGTTTTTGCGTTGGCGATGAGGAGGGCGCGACGGGTTGGATAGACTGTAGGTTGTGAGGAGTGGCGTTTGAACGATGAAGGAGGCGGTGCTTGGGTAGTCGTGTTGCGGAGAAGTTGGAGTTGGATCGCTTTGGGTGGTGGTGGGATCGCTGTAGTGCGCCAATTCCATCCTACGCCTCGAAAGTTGCAGAACAGATCCATGACCCAGTCGAGGCGTTCGATAAAGGGCGTAATTGGGAAAGGTTGCCACGCGAATTCGCCATCTCTTTCGTGGGGTCCGAGGTGGTCGTTGGATATAGAGGCTGAGGCACGTCCATTAACAGATGATTTGTATTGACTGTCTTGGTCGATATTCATGATAGGAGAGTCGTCCTTGATCTCATCCTCTGACAAGGATCCAGGAATGGCGGTGATGTTATCATTCCTGCGGGAATCCCCTTTGACGACTCTTTTTCCCTGTCCCTTGAAAACTCCCTCCGATCTCTCGATTCTTTGAAACTCACTTTGCCCATCATGACACACCAAGATAGCCAACACCCAAATCGAACTCCAGAGACTGATCAAGCCCACTCCAAATGCCGTTGCCACTGTCTTAGCTCTTACATACTTGACCGTGTACACGGAATGTAACAAGTTCGCCGGGAAAACTGCGAATCGCGCATGGCGTAGCCAAGGCCGTTTTCTGTGGTCAATGAGGAGATAGATGATGACTATGGTTGCTCCAAGAGTCCCCCATGGATAGACCCAGGGTTCGTAGTCGCCCGACTTGATATCAGAGTCGTACTGTGCGCGGTATTTCTGGATGATGTCATAGTGGGTGTGTGGCCATGTGTTGCGAGGTATCATGGTTTACAGGCTGGTGATTGATTCGAAAACACCTCGTACATCTATGTCTATAGTCTATTGGGTATCACCAACCACACGCGAGGCTGAACTGGAAAAAACAGGTATAGTGACTATGGGTATATGAACGGGGAAAAATGGAGACAGCGATCGAGAAGCGATGGATGGGATAAGAAGGACTTTTGAAGAAAAAGAAAAAAAAACCTAAGAAGAGAGCGTGACCCATTTATTGTTCACGATTCGCACGCGTGGCGTCGAAACACAGGTTTGTTTTAATGTGGTTTAGGGATGACGATTACATTAGACTATGCGCTCGGTGAAGAGGGCGACGCGCTAGCCTGCATCGGGCCATGGCGCGCTTCTGGCAACACCAAACCATCCTGTGGGACCCCGTTCCTACCAAGCATCTGTGAGCTCCCGAGACATCTCGAGTCTTTCCCCGACTAAAAGTTTGGCAACAGCTGTAGTCGCAACCATGGTGAACATTACGGAAAAGATCAAGGAGTAAGGGCATTCCATTGTTCGATATACTTTTTCCGATCGCGCTTGTCGATGTGTGTAAAAAAGCTAACCTTTTTGCCCCGCAGGATAGAGGAGGAGATGCGGAGGACGCAGAGTAAGTTTGATGACAACCAGAGAGCGAGCCCCCCTTTTCAGAAATGTTTCAATCTAACACATCACAGAGAACAAAGCAACAGGTACGAGGCCAACAACTCCCCGACGAAGCCTAATGTGGAAATCACGTGCACTAACACAAGAGATGGGCCTTTGAAGAATACCATCTTGGTCTACTAAAGGGGTAAAGATACCAGATAGATCACATGCGAAAGTAAAGTCTCTTTAACTCATTGCCTACACAGAAAGCTTGCCCGTCTGCGCGCTCAGCTCCTAGAGCCAGGACCAGGAGGAGCAGGTACCGCCGGCACAGGTTTCGACGTATCGAAATCGGGAGACGCACGTATCGCGCTCGTGGGATTCCCTTCAGTGGGTAAATCCACCTTCTTGTCCAAGATCACAAAGACAAAATCCGAGATTGCAGCCTACGCCTTCACGACCCTGACGGCCATCCCCGGTGTTCTGGAGTATGGTGGTGCCGAGATCCAGATCCTGGATCTGCCCGGTATCATCGAAGGAGCTGCTGAAGGCAAAGGTAGAGGTAGACAGGTCATTTCTGCGGCCAAGACGAGCGATTTGGTCGTGATGATTCTTGATGCTACCAAGAAGGCGGAACAGCGGAGTCAGCTCGAGCGAGAGTTGTATGCTGTGGGGATCAGACTGAACAAGGAGCCACCGTGAGTCTTGATGTGCCCCAAAGAACCTCTTGCCTCTATGGCTGATCCCATGGTGCGAGTGTTTTGTTATATATATATATTCAAGTTACTGACACCGAAGCCTCATAGAAACATTTACCTCAAGCCCAAAAAAGCCGGTGGCATGAAAATAACCTTCCAAACCCCGCCCAAACATCTAGACGAGAAGATGCTGTACAACATCCTCCGCGACTACAAGATGCTAAACTGCGAAGTTCTCGTTCGCGACGTAAGTTTACTTAGCCCTCACAACCTCATCCAAACCCATCATGAAGAATACTCTCAATCTCCCCCGCCCTATCCGCCCTCTCCCCAAAAAAATAAAACAACTCAAGAAATCTGACGCCAAACAAAACAAACAGGAAAACGCAACCGTAGACGACTTCATAGACACAATCATGGCCTCGCACCGAAAATACATCAAGTGCCTCTACGTCTACAACAAAATCGACTCCATCTCGCTCCCGCATCTCAACGACCTCGCCCGCGAAGCTCACACGTGCGTCATGTCGTGCGAGCTGGACCTGGGCATCTCCGACGTCGTCGACCGCTGTTGGGAGGAGCTGCGTCTGATCCGTGTGTACACGAAGCGTAAAGGGATCGATCCGGATTTCAGCGAGGCGCTGATTGTGAGGCATGGCAGCACCATTGAGGATGTGTGTGACCAGGTCCATAGGACGTTGAAGGAGACGTTCAAGTATGCGTTGGTTTGGGGTGCTAGTGCAAGACATGTGCCGCAGAGGGTGGGGTTGTCGCATGTGGTTGCGGATGAGGATGTTGTGAGTATTGTAGCGAAATAAGGTTTGGGGGGTTAGGTAGAGGTGGGAGACTAGAATTTTTGGAGATTTTCTTGTCGTGCCGATGTGGATAGAGTCACCTGGATTTTCCACGCTCATCTCATTTTCACATTCAAATAAGAGTGAAAGCAAAGGAATCTAGCATTGCCCACAAAGTCGGAGCGCGTGAAAGGATTTGCCAATATCATCTGCGAAGCATACAATGAAAATCACTTTTCATGCAACATTTGAACGTCCCAAGAATTGGTTGGTCCCGTGCAGAAAAATTTACATTTTTGCAACCTCAAAGGAATCATTTGACTTCAATTGATTCGCTCCCGAGCTTGGCCCAATTGTGCATTACACACATTGACACTTCTGCTGAAAGACTAAAAGCATGACTAGAACGTGCCTCGAAAACCATCGAATGCCGCAAGTGTTTTTCCCATAGGTATTCCTATTCCTGTTGCCAACCATCCCGAATAACACCTACTCCGAAATAGATAATGTGCCGTCCTAAACCCCTTTATGCATCCCATGTAGATGAGCTGCACCGTACGCCATGTGCTACGCCTCCAAGAAGGGAATGCGTCTAACAAGATAAGATATGACTCATCAATCCCACTAGGCTCCAAACAAGATGTACTGGCCACCGGTTCCGAAAATGAAGACACATCCTCGAGCCTAGGAGCCCACGAGGAGGTCAGCACCGCTGTCATACACATACGTATGATCAAGTCTGACTCTTACAAACTCAAGGAGAGCTGTCAATAAACGGAGGATATGGTGGATCTCCTTGTCTGGGGTACGAGCGTTGTGTAAGTTGGTGATAGTTGTCATACGAATGGCGATGATGGGAAGGAGGATCCATTCGCAAGTTTGAGGACATGCTATGGTTTGATAGTGCTGGGGGACGTGCAGGAGGTGCCGAGTAATTTCCCGAAGGATATTGGTATCGATGGGACGGATCGGGGGGGATGCTGTTGGGAGTACTGTACGCTACCTTTTTTGTGGGCCTCACTGGCTCGTCGTCATCGGAAAGAGTAAGGTCAATCACCTCCGAACCTCGTTTGCTACCAGTCCTGGGAGCTGATGACGCTTCTCTGGATGGAATAGGAGGGGTCCGTGCTAGAGATTGCGGGGTGGCAAAGACTTCGCTTTTGATGGTGTTCACCCGGGGGCCAGATATCTCCACGAGATCCTCGTCACTATCATCATCATCGCTGTGTGCGTTCGATTTCGACGAGGTGTTTGCGGCCTGGATAGACCACCGGCCGTCCGGCTCTACGGTCACTTGGTCGACTGCCTTGGGGACCTTGGAAAGGATCTCCTGGACGTACTCATCGACAGCTAAAGCTTCGAAGCTCACATGATTGCTGCAGATGGGGCATTGCCATGTAGGTGCTTGTTCCTGCAGTTGTAGGAAAGATTCGAGATCAAAGCAGCGAGTGTGATGACAGAGCATCCCCCTGCAAGGTACGGTCATCTTTAACGTCGAAATGGGATCTTTCAATGACATGACGCTTGATTCCACCACTATATCCGGGTCACTCGCTTTTTTTCGCACTGCAGGCATGTTAGAATACTGACGTTCTCGAATAGAATGCACCATTACTCACTGTCTTTGAGCACGTCTCGCTTGGGGATTATGCAGAGCTCAGCGATGCGCTTTGCAAGTTCCTCCACAGAGAACTTACGAACCATATATATAGCTAGGTTGTACCGCTGCTTATAGGTTAGTCTTGGATAAATTAGGAACGGGAAGAGGACATAGGGATAAGAAGCCTCTCTGCAACTTGCCTTTTGCGTAAGCGCATAAGTTATGAGAAGATTGTTCCTGTAGTTAGCAGGAGCAATTCGCACGAGATCCGTAATGTCAGCTGGCCGTGTTGATCCTGGTCTATTCTTAAGACCTTTATAGTTGGCCCTCGCTTCTTCGCCATTGATGCGCACCTCAATCTGGCTTGGGAAAGCAACATCGAGGCGTGTGTAAGGCGCAAGCGGCTGCTCAACAGCGGAGAAGAGCAGCAGGCGAAGAGAGCGATCCGAGCGCAACCGATGGCATGTCGTTTCATTGAGTGTCAAGCTCTTATTGCAATTCTGGCGGTGGCTTGGTGAAGCTGAAGTTGATCAGTATATAGTACGGATAGACAGGCCTTGTCAAATTCTGCTTACGTTCTAATGCGATGCCTTCCAAGATTGACTCGCGAATTTCGAAGAAAGGGCTTGCCTTGAAGTGGTTCGTAGGAGCTGAGCGCGCCATTTGATAATGTGTAAAGCCGGTTGGTTGCGGGTAGCCCTGCATATTTCCGTTTCCATTGACAAGTGGGGATGATTTGGTGGGTGTTTGTGGGTTATAGGACGGCGTGGATTGGCTGGAAGGAGACGCGCCGTTGTTTGCTATCCGGTGTTGCAAGCGATTGTACAAGGCGTGGTCGTTGTCTTGGACGGCACGGTCGATCACTAGGAAACGCGTGAGCAATGCAGTGTCAAGGTCAGGACAAGGAGGGAGACGAGAGCAAAAGGAACGTGGTGAGTGGAAACGGAGAAAGGTGAAAGGTGAAAGTGAAAGTGAAGACGTACAGCCGATGACTCTGGCTTGGAGTGTAGCCTTGACACCACTTGAGACTACTCCTTCCTCTTTCAATATCCTCTTGAGATCGTTGTTGATCAAGGTCTTGCTCTGCACAATAAGGCCTTGAGCCATGTGCTGAAGACTCGAGGAAGCCATAATGTTGGCAATAGTGAGCCGATGGCGGATGAGGGCAAGGGCGCGAGATGTGTTGGCGACGTGCTACCAATGATCTAGGATTGCAGGCATATGGGGCGTTGGGGTCTGGAGAAGGGTTGCGCGGCCACGAGACGGGAGCTACTTGAGGGGGCCGGGCAGTTGAGGACGCGCCGGGCTAGAGAGCGAGAAAGGGCAGTTTTCGGTGGTGAAGATGGGAGGCCACAGGCCGAAGTGGAGTGTGAATCCCCGGGTCAGCAGTCCAGCAGTCAATGACGGAGACAGCCACAGATGCCGCAGATGATGGGTATGCACCGGCGGTGATGGTGCAGAGATTTTCCACGAGTGTTCTTTTCAATGGGCAACAACCGCCGACCGGACAGCAGGCTGGGCGGGCAAGGCGGACATGGCCGTCGTCGTTGCGAGGCAGGCGGGCGATGGTGATAGAAGGCAGTGATGTTGTACTACCAGTTGACCAGCACTTTGCTATACAATCCTCCCTCGGCGCTCAGCAGAAACCTATTCCTCTCTAGTAGCGCGTATTTCTCGTATTACACGTACCATTCCATAGACAAGTCTCAAATGTTGCGCTCCTTGCAAGATTTGGCGAGGCTGTCACGTGCCGAACATCTGCCTAATGCTCCGCCCAATGAATCTGCCCTATGTAAAAAGTACTGTACCTGCTAGCTAGCTATATTATTGACCGCCCGCCGCCACCAAAAATTGTGCCGCATCCACTACTCTTTTTCTCTGCACCCACGTCTTTCCCAGCGGACCCAGCAGCGCAACTGAGAGAAAAAAAACCTACAAACCTTCACCTCCCACACAAATACCTTCTATTCTCCGCCACACATCACATCCACAATGGCCAAAGGTCTCCGTGCCAGCTCCACAAAATCCAACCGCACCGCTCTGCGGTCGCGAGTTTTTGAGCCCGTCGAGAATGCCCGTCTGGAGCGCCTCCACCAAAAGCTCCTCGAAGTCGCTCAACAGCCTAAGCCCGAGAACCCAAAGAAGAACGAGATGGAGCTCGACGCCCCAGAAGGTATGCCCACTACCGCTACTGCTTTCCACTTCTGTCTTCAACACCCAAAACGCAAGCAACCAGCAGAAAGCGCTAACCACTCTGCTCCGCCAGGATCCAACGACGCCGCCAGCAATGATGATGACTTTCCAAAAGGTTCGTCGCATCATCTTGTTGCTGCCATCTCGCCCTCCTTTACCACACCTCCATCCTCCGCTCCGTCCTCTCCTTCTTCCTCCGTCTCTTCAGAAGACTGCATGGAAGAGGATCTATACCACCTCCTTGGCTTGAGTTCGGACGTCGTTGGCTTCACGCGCGACGGCCGTCTCAAGTTGGCCTTTGACCCACTCCCTCCGCACCTAGTTGAGTGAGAAAACAGAGGTGGCTAACTTTGTGTTTCTTTTTTTTGCTCTTTAGACATGGACGTCGACGGTGCGACTACCGCTACCTCATCTTCCTCCTCAAAGTCCAAGCAAAAGGACCGCAAAGCGATGCGAAAAGCCAAAAAGCTCCGCCGTACCAAGCCCAAGAACGCTATTCGATTTCCTGTTACCCGCGGTAAAGGCGCTACGAAGCCCCATTCGAATGCTCGCGTTAGCAAGCGATGATTAAGGTCCGTCGTTTGACTGGTTCGAGCACTGCCTCCTTCTCCTACATCCGCCTACCGCGATACACCTGACCTCGGTCTAACGCTGCGCCACGGTGCACATGGGACGATTTGAATGGGGTTCCAGTCATCTGCTTGTGAGTCATCCTCCAAGGCGCTGCGTTCCAGCATTGCGTGTATGCGATCACATGGTTTTTCACCGGTCATCTCCGCATATGGCGTTTGGCATCCCGTGGCATTTCCGGCGTTCGGCGAATAGCAGGAAAAAAAACAGTTTTCTTAAGAGGTGGATCTTTCCTTCTTTTTCGTCTTACAGAGATGAGACAATTTTGGGTCACGGATGATACCATTTCCAATGTTCTATGTATTTTCTCTTGTTTTCTTCGTTGGCACTCTATATAGATAATGCAACACTTCTTTCAAATTCTCGTCCACATTTCCCACTACTCTATCTTTTCCTAGTGAGCCTGTAACTTCACGATGTGAAGTCGCAGGATATAACGTGCTTACTTGTTCCATTTCAGCCGGCAATATTCACATCATGAATTCCTCGTCGTGTACTGTGAACACCTAGACTACTCTGATATTTGAGAAATATCGTAAATAGTGGCCATCCGCGCTCTGTGAGTTGTTCTAAGCTACCCATGGTTTTCGATGTGATAGTGAACCATGGCACACCAAAATGACTTTTAAGCTTGCCTGTAAAATTGCTCCATTAGATCAAAATAACACATCCAGCTTCCATCTCTTGCTTTTGAAAGGCCTAAGAACCAAGAATTCGAGTCATCGGATTTCAGTGTCAGTGCACTACAGCGTACGACTGCCGCATTCGTGCCATTGCATGATGTAGCGAAAGCCTGTCTTCGCATAACACACATTACATGGCATGGAAACGTGATGATTCAAGAAAAACACGAATATCGAGACGCTACCAACAATCTGCCAGATTCGTCCTTAATACAAATGCAGAAAAACAAAACCAGAAGCAGAAACACTCCACAAGAAAGCATTATCGTCCGTCGAATCCATCATTAGATACTCATGATCTTCAGACGATCTGCGAGGTAGCCCTATCCTCATTCTCCCTCGGTGTTGGATGGACTGCACTCTCCTCTCCGGACCGCTTAATGGACTTGGGAAGCGCGGCGGTAGCTTGACTTGGGTGGTTGACCTGGGTCTCGTGGAGTGGCTTGTTGTTTAGCGGAGCACTCTCTCTATTCTCAGCTTGTTGTCGCATGACCCTCTTAGATGAATTAGAAATGACCACATCAGGCAGGCGAATGACTAGGGTAGAGGCCTACCGTCTTCTCACGCCACGTAAATAGAGGTATAGAATGATGGGCGCACCCACGAGAGACGTAACGATGAACCAGGCTGCAAACACTGTACCGATTATGGATAAGTAGTGACCCGGATCAAAGTGCCGTTTTTCGATGGGTTCGCGGGATTTATCTGCAAGAAGCGATGTAGTGACACGACGTAGTAAAATCTGGCGAGGATGTGTTGGTGGGCCGGTGAATAGGTGAGATAATGGGGCGTCATTTGTAGGTGGAAGGTTTCCGGGGTGGAGACGAGAGGAGTGTAGAGCAAGTGAAGTCGGTAGAGCAAAGACTAGGGTAATGAAAAGAAGAATATCAGCGAATGGACACATAGTTGATGTTGGCAATGAGCGGAGAAGTGAAAGCTGGAAGATGAAGCGCTGTAACAGTTGCTAGCCTGATGATGAGGCTCGAATGTTTGTGATGGGTATGGAGAGGATGGATGATTCATGATGACAGGAATTTTGCGGGTATCCGGGGCGCCTTCCACACTGATGAGGAGGAAAGCACGGTGAGCTCTCTTACTTTGAGATACATACTTAAGTACACATGTTACTCTTGTGTATACATTGAAATGTGCAAGTGTTAAACTCCAGATGTCGTCTTACACCCTAAAACCACAGATGCAAAAGCCATGTCAAGTCTGGTTTATATGAGGCAATAGAGCATATGGGATGTCGCAAAAAGGAGATTTGAATAGTCCAAATACTTCACTATTCAAATGCCACATTCCACTCAGTCTTTCCCCCGTAGTAAGTGCTGACACAAGAAAAGTTGATAGCTGACGAAATCCCCAGAAGCCAAGTTTGACATACACACATGTGTTAGAACTTAACAGATGAATTTGAGCGGGGCCAATGCACAAGAAAGCCACGTATTAAATATCTTTATAATCATGTTTAGACAGAACAACCCTTTATGAGGGTTGAGTAGCAGCATGTAAACTCAGAGTCAATGACACCCATGGAAATCACATATTATTGGGTGTGTCAACTATGCAATACCCCTTTTGAAACGCAAATTAAAGTTATGGCCCTTCCTTATACCCAAGGCCGTGTTAACGAAGTTTTTGATGGAAATATTCGGTGATGATTCCCTTTGAGCAGAACTAAGCCCCCGATGACCTTTGTTGTATGAACTTCGGGCGGTGCTGGATGACCTCCCCATCCCAATTCCATATTGTGCCATATTCAGCCCCGGTCTTGACATAGACTTGACAGACCTCGATTGGGTTATCGTCTTCGAAGAGGAGTGGTATGTTGTATGTCATAATGAGCATCTTCTTCGTAGGGTCGATATCATCCCAGCGCTCCCTCCGCATATTTCCAGATCGTATTTGATCCGAGTCAGTATTGACCAGTAGCACTTTCAGCGGCCGGTCGCAGTGGCGGAAGTATTCGGTTTTGAAGTTTGAACCATCACGACTGTGTAAACCATCGGCGCGTGTAAGGACAAGACATTCCAGCTGGGTGACTTGAGGCACAAATATCAAGTCAGTTTCCATCCAATCGAAAATATGACATTGGATGATTGGGTTCACATAGCCATGGTATCTTGAATTTCCATGCCACGCCATAGAAGATACATACGTACCTGCTGCCACATCTTCCCAGAATTCAGGGTTAATGTCGGGATTGTATAAAGCCAGACGCTTCAACTTTGGGAAGTTTCGCCAAAACTGCGGCTCGGTACCATCATGCTCTAGAGAGAGGAAAATTTCATCTCGCACACTAACGAATTCTTCGAGGTTCTCCAAACGCAGAAAGCCTTGGCGTAGAATATCCCGCACGCCTAGATGATCATCCTCCGGATACAGACTCCGAAGAGGCATGTCGATGATCAAACGCTTCAGGGTGTGGCACGTGTAGTTGAACAACTCGCGGACCCATATCGCAACCGGTTGGTCATCAATGGTATGACCAAAAGGAGCCAAGTATAGAGCAGAGATGTTGCGTAATGCTGGACGAGAGGGGATCGTGAGCAGCAGAGAGCTCAAACGTTCCTGGGACGACAGGTAGATGCAATGCTGGTAGAGATACCGAGTGGCGAGCTTCCTCGTCTCCCGACAGACCAGGGTAAATGTCACTAGTAGCTGGGTGATGGGATGAGCTGGAGCTAGTAGTACATTTGGCTTCGGGAGAGAGCAAGTGATGATGTTGAGGACGAGCTCAATGGGCAAGTGTATCGACTTGAGCTGTTCCATGGAAACGGATGGATGAGTCGTAAAGGTCGTAGTGTAAGTAGTGGATGGATGTTGGTGGGGAGCATCGGAAGCTATACGGAGCCTGGCTAAGTGCCGTCAGATGGGCTGCAGCCTGCAGCGATGATGCAGTCGCGGCGGTAGGACCCTTGTCAAAAACTTCCCCCTCCCCCGCTATATAAATATAGAAGGATCAACGTCAACAGAGCATCCCATCAGGCTTCTGACAATTTCATTCAACGCCTCCACCGAGCAATTGAAGATGGAATACGATCCCAAGACTCGTTAGTACTCAAGTCTCGCGAAGCTAGCCCACATGACTAAATTCCGTCCAGCGCAATACAGCACCAGTGACTCAACCTCATTCGCATACGTTTCGGCGCGCGAGCGATGGCCCGTCATCCTCACTCAAGGCATTGACGACGTTCACCGAGCCACCTATTCTCAAGATGCCGAAGAAGCACAGAAAGAGGGCAAACTGATTGTCTCCGAAATCGCCAAACTGAAATACGAACTTCAACATAACCGCGAGCTGACGCCTATCGACGATGACGGCGAGGGGGACGTGGCCGAGTACAACAAGGAGTTGCAGGCGCTGGGGAAGCCGCAATGGCATAACGTACCGTGGCTTTACTCCGAGTGCTATCTATACCGGTACGCAATCAATACACTGGCAAGATGAAGGATTTTAGAGCAAAAGAAAGACCCGCGCTAAACATCTCAGGAAGACGTGTTTCGAGTATCTTCAAGCGGACACAGCACTGGAAGTCATATGACATCTTCGCCCGCCAGAAGATGTCTACGTTCAAATCATCCCGGCCGGCCGTCATCGAGCTAGCCTCTCGCTACAAGAGCATCGTCACTGATCTCGAAGCAAAACACACCATCAAGGGCGCAAACACACAAGAGCAGCTTCTAGAAGCAGAGAAGGTTCTTTTCAAAGAAATGAGCGAAATATGTCTCTGGGGAAACGCTACGGATCTCTCCCTCTTGACGAACCTGACGTACGAAGATCTGCAGAAGCTACAGGGGTCTGAGGCGCGGAAAGCGTCGGAGAAGAACATTCTCGTCAATGACCTGGACAAGGCCTTCAATGTACTTTCGGAGTCGCAAAAGCAAGGCAATAAGGAGCGAAGAGTGGATATTGTTCTCGACAATGCCGGTTTCGAACTTTTCGTCGACTTGATCTTGGCCGGCTACTTGCTTGCTGCTGGCCTGGCCACCACCGTCGTGCTTCACCCGAAGTCGATACCGTGGTTTGTTTCAGATGTCTTGCCCAATGATTTTGGGGCGCTCATCCAGGCACTTGCCGATCCCCAATCCTTCTACAGCGCGCTTTCAGACGACGAGAAACATGCTGGCAAATCGGCGGTGCCTCTGTCTGATACCGAAGTGCAGGACCTCCAGTTCTTGTTCAGCCATTGGAGCAGTTTCCATGCTGAAGGCCAACTCGTCCTTCGTCCCAATACCTTCTGGACCGCTGGAGGCAGTTTCTGGCGTCTGCCAAAGACCGAGCCCAGTCTGTACGAAGACTTGAAGGAGAGCGAGCTTGTTATTTTCAAGGGGGACCTGAACTACAGGAAGTTGACCGCAGATGTGAGTTTTGCGCTCAAGTATCGCAAAATACAGTAACTGATGTCAAACAGGCGGCATGGCCGGCGACCACTCCTTTCACGGAAGCTATTGGTCCCCTAGGACCAGGCTCAGGCGTACGCGTCCTTGCTCTCAGAACCTGCAAGGCAGATGTTGTTGTTGGTTTGCCAGGCGGTGAGGATGAGAGAATCAAGGCGACCGAAGGCGGCGATGGTGATAGTGGGGCGAGAAAGTGGGCATGGAGTGGAAAGTGGGCTGTCGTGCAGATGTCGGATGGTAAAGCATAAGGTGAGAAGATGGTTTAGGAATTGCAAATTCCTCTTCATCAAGACCATTTCAGTACATGATAGACCATATAGACAGCTTTGAAGATGTAGATTCGAATGTAAGATCCATATCTTAACAGGATACACAGTGGTCATATTCTGTGGATAGACTCTCCTGCACCCTGTCTCAACACAACGGGAGCTCCAGACCCTATTTCGTCAAAAATTCACACCCACTTGCGATGCAATTGTTAAAGTCGAGCTTGTGCGCCCCCTCACTGCTTTTTGTTCCATTCGACACAATCTTCAAATTTGACTCCCGACCCCCCGAATATATCCAACGCACTTCCGATAGTCAGATCGACCTTCCCCTGGCTGAGCTTTTTCACAAGCTCCAGGTCTTCTATGGAGCGCCCTCCGCCAGCATACGTAACAGGTATGCTGCACCACTCGGCGAGTTTGCTAACAAGCTCGTGATCGATGCCGCGCTGCAAGCCTTCGACATCGGCTGCGTGTATGAGGAACTCGCAGCAGTATGGTTCGAGCAGGGAAATCGATTCTACGTATACTCGTTAGCAAGGAGATGAGCATGAAGAGGATATCACATACCTTGGTTCAACTCGAAATCGGTAATGGTCTGCCATTTGTTCGTTGCAACGAACCATTTGTTGTCCTTTCTCCGACAGGAAAGATCAATGACAAGTCTTTGCTTGTCGTTGTCGAGGGCCGCGAGGACCACTTTTAGCCTGTCCATGGAGAATTGGGAGTCGGGAAAAAGGTACGATGTGATGATCACCTACTGCATCTTTTGATAAGCATTTTCGTTCTTATATGCATCTATTCTGTGACGTGGAAATATCATGAAGATTGTGGTTGACGTTCTCACCTTTTCAGCACCTCTCTCAATCCACTCACGCGCGTTCTTCTCCGTGATTCCACCTCCAACCTGCAATCCGTTCTTCCAAGCAGTCAATGCTTCTTGGGCCGCTCCGTCATTGCCAGGTCCTAGCATTATAACGTGTGCGCCACCCAAATCATGCTTTTTATATATATCGGCATAGTATGCGGCGGGATGCTCGGAGGTGAAGTTCGTCTTGAGTGCGGATTCGGAGGTGGTGGATAATGTACCGCCGACGATTTGCTTGACACTTCCGGCATGGAGGTCAATGCAAGGTCGGAAGCGCGTCATTTTGTAATTTAATTCCGGAGTATCCTGGTGGATAGAGCAATTCTTCCTTTTCAGGTCTTGTTCGATGTGGAAGTGAAGCACGAAGGAATGGTGGGGGAGGGGTAGCTCGCGGTGATTAGGGCTCTCGCGGAAACATTTTTAAGTGGGGCATCAGAGTGCACAGCATAGCAGCCCTTGTTGGTAAACTACGAATCTTAAGGTACAGAATAAGAGATAGAATACCACGACTTATTCTTTCAGGAGTGAAAATAAACAAGATGTTTCGAAAAGATCTTCCTGAGGTATCCGGGCTTGTGATGTTCTTCTGTTATCTAAGCGTTGCGAAATCTTGGCAGACGTGAAATTTAGTCGAAAGATTATCGAACTTCCTGTCGCAAACTCCGCCTGACCATCTCTCCGCTCACACCCAATCCTTCGAAACACAATGGCACCCAAACTAGGAAAAAGAAAACGTGTAACTCGCGAAGAACTCGAACAGCCGTCACGATCGCCATCACCATCGTCAGACTCGCAGGAATCAGATGACGAAGATGTCCAGGCCCTCTTTCGAAAGGCCTTCGAGGCCAAATTCGAACCTCTCGACATCGAACCGGTGCAGAAAAAGGTCAAACAAGATGGGATTGAACACAAAGATGCGGAAGTAGAGGATGAGGAATCAGATTGGTCGGGAGTCAGCTCAGAAGACGAGGACAATAATGGAGTCGAGGTGTTCGACTATGCGGCCAACAACCGACAAGCCCACGAAAAAGCTTCAAAGGCAGAACTACGCGCATTCATGGTACGATCCATACGAATTCCAGAAATAAACACCTCTAAATCACAACTAACACATCGCCCATGAAGTCCTCAAAACCACCTACCCTCTCCTCGTCCACACCCACCGCCAAATCCTCTGCGACACAAAAACCTTCAACCACCGACTCGTCCGACCCCACAGAAGTCGAACACCTTAAAAACGACCTCGCGCTACAAAATCTGCTCCGAGAATCCACCCTCCTCTCCACACACAATCCGACCTACTCAACCCGCGCAACGGACGCGCCCGCGAAGCCCAGCTCCATCTCCACACGCCACAAAATCGCGGATATGCACATGCAATCGCTAGGTGCAAAAGGTTCAGCATTCGCGCAGAAGAACATGCCCATGAGCCAACGCAAAGGTATCACAGCCAAGGCGAAGCTCCGGGAAGATTTGCGTAGAAAGGAAGCGAAAGAGAACGGGATTATCCTGGAGAGGGATACGAAGAAGAAGAAAGCTCCATCTTCGCTGGCGCAGAGGAGGGATCGAGGTGTTGGCGGGCCGTCGGTGGGTAAATTCAAGAACGGAACTCTTACGCTTAGCAAAAAGGATGTTGCGAGTATTACGAGAGATGGTGGTGGAGGTGGGAAAGGAAAAGGCAAGAAAGGAAGACGATAGCCCTTTCTTTTCTTGCGTTCTGACTTTTTCATCTTTTCGTTTAACAGCGAGTATTTACATCTCAAGTATGTTCTGTTTCTTTGGATCTCTCTTGTAAGGAGGGGGTTTACCTCGAGACATTACACCAAGCAATCAAAGATCTCCAGCGGGCTCTACTTTGCTCTTTTCCAGCATCAACAAAAATTGCGCCTTCCGCATCCTGATGTTTCTTTACCCCCACTCGAAACCTCCCACCCCCGGTACCGACAAACCCAATCTAAAATGCAACAAGCCTTTTCCTCCCTCTAGAGATCCACAGCACCACCCACAAAAATACCACCCCTCTCCCAAGACTCCGATCCGATCAAAAGATCATCAAACAAAAAAAACCCCCACCGAGCAATCCATTCCCCACAAATCCCATCTCCCTCAGCCCCACTCAACCACCCACGCCATGCACGCTACACTACACTACATGCGCACCAAAGCGATCGCGAGACCTCAATATCTAGGACCATGAATCGCCCAAACAATCCCGTTGCTCCGCATCCCCATGTCTTTGCGATTCTCATTCATGGGATTTTAAGGGATTCCCCATGCTAGAAGCGAGCGGGTGGTCGGAAACAAACAATGACATCACGTACGTACATATAAGCATGCATATGTATGCACGCGAACACAAGGAGATTTGCACCGTTTTTTGTAGTTGCATGGGCAGATTGGGATACGAGCTCGGGTATGATAGCCATGAGGGAAAGAGGGAGGGGGGAAAGAAAGTTGAAAAGGCGGTGAAGTAGCGGGTGTAGGAATCGGAGGAGGGGGGTCTACTTTTTATCCCGTTGGATTCTGGTCCAGCAGATGGATGACGATTGTGAATAATGAGGGCGGACGGGGTTGTGGGTCATGTGTCTAATTACGTCTAACAAATTTCATGAGCAAAGAGAGGAACGGATACGTGAATCTGACGGGTTCAAGTGCCAAGTGAAGTTTAAAAAAAGAGTCAATCATGTATATCCTCCAGTATAAAGGAGTGGTCATGACCTATTGTGCCTGAGTAGTGGCTGGCGTGTGATGGGTATTCTGTCTATGTAGAGTGGCCGTTTTTCGTTCCTTGTCGTTCCATCGTTTTGAGGATCCATGAATAACTGAGCAGGACTGAAAGAAAACTAAGAAAAAAGGAACAGAAAGAAACAGAAAGAAACAGGACACCCCAAAGCCAGTTACATATTCAAAAGAACCAAGATGGTCCCCCAATTTCCAAACGCCAGCGCTAGCAATGCCGTAAACTGGGTCATAATACCTCCCAGCCATGTGTATGTATGTACTCCCGCCGTGATGCATGTATGTGTGCCGCAAAGCCTTGCGGATGCAGTCAAAGTTTTGGATCCACCACGTCTAGCAAACAGTCACGAGGAGGTAAAGATCGTAAATTCAGTCTCTGTGGACGGTACTCATTCCCGCTTTAGTCACTGCTCTCATCTTCTTTCTCTTCCTTGACCCTCAATGAGAGATATGCTGCAACGATCGCACAGCAACCACCGAATCGAAGCACCCACGCGACACTGTTGTCCCCTGGATGCCCTCTTGGCTTTTGAAGTATCTTGAAGATGATTGCACTGACAAGTGTTGCGATAACTTGAGGGGCAGCAATGGCGACGTTGTGAATCCCAAGCACTACGCCGGCTTGATCGGCTCCAGACTCTTGCACATCGTCTTCCCCTGACATTATAGATTGCGTGTCGCGGTCGTGCATACTAGGGCGGATGACGCCTCTGCGAATAGCATCCCGCTTAGAGATTTCAGAGGAAATAAGGGCAAACGGAGCCCAGTTGGTCAAAGCCCAAGGGACACCGATCAGGGCGACCAATATCGTTGCGGTGAAGACCGATCGCACGATGAAAGTCATGGCCATAATGACTGCAAACATGATGTGCGAAACAAACCACGAACGACGAAGGGTGAGACTCTTGATCTGTAAAGCGTCGATATAAGTCGAGAATCGACCCGACCAAGTCTTAGGTGGTCGTTTTCCAGGCGCGTTCAGTGCAAAATATCCAGAGCCCGTCATGGAGCGCGGAGTAGTCGGTGTCATCGGCGTTGCAGGATCAGCGTCGGGGGCCTCGAATGTGGGAGGAATAATGAATGGTAGGACAATGGAAGCGGCGAAAGTGGTAAAGGAGAATATCAGTAAAGCCCTAGCGCCCAGTCTTGTGCCTTCTTCGATGATCTGATTGATCTCCGCGTCGCTTCGGTTGGGGTTCTCTTGAAACAAAGGCTCAGAGTAAATCTCACCAATGTAAGTGGTGATGTAGAAAAGGAAAGGGAACCATCCAATCCAAGCAGCGAACTGCACTTCACAGACCCGTTTGATCTGTGGTGGAAGAGTCTTCACAGAGCGGGCAAGACTTCTGAAGAAATGCAAGACGCCTCCCTCCTGCTCTTGGGGAGCTGCATTCAGAGAGGGGTCCCGCTCGGACACAGCGAAGCAACTGATGCCGACTGTGAGTGCCATAATGAAGCAGGCAATAGCACAGAGGACCTTGAATTGGTTATCACCAAGGAATGGAAACATCTTAGGTAGATCAGCGTTCCCTGCAAAATAACCAAGGATGTTTCCGATTCCTGAAGACCTAATCATCCAAGCATTGGCAGACTCTTGCTGGTGAGTGGGCGCGACATCAACGATATAGGCTCGGATACCAGCTTGAACGACGTTGATGGCGAAGTCAAGCACGTAGACGAACAGGACGGCGAAGAAGATGACACCGTTGACCACAAGAGTGGATTGGCTCTCAGCGCCGAAGAGACCAAAGAATCCAGTGACGATTTCCTTGGCCCAGGCCAATACCATGAGAGAGAATATGGTCGCAAGAGTGCCACCAAGAATGAAAGGGCGCCGTCTACCCCAGCGAATCCGACAATCATCACTTTTCATTCCGACATATGGCTGAACGAGCGTTCCGGACAAAGGGCCAGCGATCCATACGAGAGCGAGAAGAGATTTGCTCAAACCGAGAGACAGCAAATACGGCTTATTTGAGTCAGTTAGGGCGATTGACTGGGCATGCAGGATTACTCACCGAACCATTGGAGGTCTCGACAGACCATCCAATCTGTAGACCAAGCCCACCGAGAGTCAACAGAAACAGAAACAGGGTGCTCTTTGTCTCTTCGTTAACAGGGTCGTCGTCTACCCAGTTATCCTCGGGTGAAATCATCTTAACAAGTTCACCACCATCCTCGGACGACCCAGGGCGGAGTAAGGGAGAGTGTTCACTGATGATGTCCTCCTGAACTGCCAGGCGATCACCGCCGAAACTGACTGCTTTTGGGGCGGGGGCATTTCCGCTGGAGGTCTGTTCAGAGGGTTGACGCAGAGAGGTTCGCAGGTCTGTAGTCCGGAAGGCGGTAGCGAGGGACGGTCGCTTGGGCCCCATGGTGAAAGGCTGCGGCGAAGGAGCTGGGATAAGATGGAAGGAGTGGTGAGAATCAAACACTCTGGGACGGGGTTGTTGGAAGTGTTAGGTGCAAGTAAGTAGCAAGTAGATCAGGGAAATAGTAGCGGGGTTGGGGCGCTATCGAAGTGAGTTCTCAGTAGCCGCGAAAAAAAGGCATGCCGATGGACGATTTCGATCTCGGGAGGAAACTCTAATTGCAGACGTTCCGCGGCGAGTGGTGTCAGTGGGCCTTGGCGCGGAGGTGGGTGGGCGTGCGTGCGTGCGTGACTGGGGATGGGGAAGGTGTTGATGGAGAGAGAAGTTGACGCTGTTTGTATGAAATACAGCAACAATCTTTGGGGATGCAGGAAGGAAACCACAGGAAGAAAGAATAGAGGAAAAGATGGGATTTTGCAAATTGGTCAGGTGGGCGCTAGACGAAGACCTGAACCGGCAGGGTAAGGGTGAGCAAAGAATGGCATTGTGGCACAAAAACGACGCCTGGAAGTTCGAAGTTCGAATTACCTGCGAATGACATCACGGCCTTGTGTCTCTTCTACTGGCTGGCTCGCTCGCTCGTGCACTTGCCTGCCGAACCCCTGCTATCCTTCGTGCCTTCCTTGCCCTGCTGATGCGTCAGCCGGTGACACGCGCTATGCCGCATCAGGCCGAGGCGCCTGTCTTGCGACGATTGATGCCACCGGCGCCAAGCGAATGCCTCCGACGGAACGCCTCTGCTCGACATGGGCTGTATTAACTTCAACATCAGCAGCTGGAATTGTCTTTGTTCCCATCCAGAATCGCATCGTCACTCGTGAACTTGGCTTTGGCGCAAACGTCCCCTCTTTTCCGCCCAACATCCAATCTGCGCAAGGGACTACCAATTAGACCCTGGCTGATACGTCGCAGCACTAGTCCCAGGCCTCAACACCACCAGACGACCCTTCATCCCTTCACGCGCCCAACCTGGCCACTTCGCATTTCCCATGATCGCTCGACCCTAACCGCCCACCATGGCATCCACACTGGGATGGGCTGTCACCGAGATTCTGAGTATGTTGGCGCAAAACACTGCTCTTCCCAAGAAGCATATCCCAGTCATGCTAACAAACACGTGTTGTAGAGCGCGAAGCCACCGATGCAGACCCCGATGGTCAGTTGCTTAACCCTCCTCCGCTACCTCTCCCCCCGCAATACAATCTGACTTCCCGATAGAAGAGCCTGAGGCTGGCCAGAAGGAAATCTTCACATCATGGGCTTTGTCCATCCTCATCGTCCTGCTCATCGTAGCCCTTTTCACCAACTACATTCTCCACACGCGGAAGATACAAGCCGTTCATGAGACGGTACTCTCTATTTTTGCTGGTACGTCTGGCTCGCAAAAGCTTCGCAACATTGCTCAATGCAACCTTGGCTAATGCTGTCTAGGAATGGTCGTGGGCCTCGTCTTGCGATTGACTGCAGTAGCTTCCGTCCGCGATGCTGTCAGCTTCGACTACCAGATGTTTTTCAATCTTCTCCTGCCGCCTATCATTCTATCTTCCGGATATGAACTACATCAAGTGCGCTACAACCCTCTCCATTTGGATCACACACCAACTGACTGCCGCAGGGAAACTTCTTCCGCCACATCGGAACCATCCTTACGTTTGCCTTCGCTGGCACTTTCATATCCGCCGTTGTTCTGGGTCTGATCCTGTTTGTTTGGACAAGAATGGCTCTTGATGGATTCAAAATCAATTTTGTCGAGGCCATGTCTGTCGGTGCCACACTCTCAGCCACTGATCCTGTTACCATTCTCGCCATCTTCAACACCTACAAGGTCGAGCCCAAACTCTACACCATCATATTTGGCGAATCCATCCTGAACGATGCCATCGCCATTGTTTTATTTGAAACGGCACAGAAATATAAGGATGGGGCAGAGTCATTAGGTTTCCTAAGCTTGTTTGAAGCCATCGGCATCTTCTTTGGCGTCTTTTTCGGGAGCTTGTTCATTGGCGTCATGGTGGGGATCGGCGCCTCTCTCATGCTCAAGTTCACCTACGTCCGACGTATGCCAAAGACGGAGAGTTGCCTGATTATTCTCATTGCATACCTCACGTACTTTTTGTCCAACGCCATTCACATGTCCGGTAGGTTTCATACGGCTTCCGCACATTTAACGCATCACGTACTGATCTTGCTCTAGGCATTGTGTCCCTTCTGTTCTGCGGCATATGCATGAAGCATTACGCCTACCTCAATATGTCACGACGAACCCAGCTGACCACCAAATTCGTCTTCCAGATTACCGCACAGTTGTCTGAAAATTTCATCTTCATCTATCTGGGACTGTCGCTCTTTACCGATGACAAGCTGGAATATAAACCGCTCTTCATATTGATCACTGTATTTGGGATATGCATCGCACGCTGGTGTGCGGTATTCCCTCTATCAAAGATGATCAACTCCGTTATTCGTTACCGGCGGCGGCATCATGGTCCGCAAGAGGCCAGCGATGAGATTCCCTACTCCCATCAGGCAATGATATATTGGGCGGGACTTCGTGGAGCGGTCGGTGTCGCTCTCGCAGCTGGGTTATCTGGTAACAACGGCGACACCCTGCGAGCCACTGTGCTTGTTGTGGTCGTCTTGACCGTCATCATTTTTGGTGGCACAACTGCACGCATGTTGGAGATTCTGGGTATCAGGACTGGAGTGGTCGAGGAAATCGACTCTGACGATGAGTTTGACATTGAGGTGGTCAGCGGCAATACATACTCTCGCAACAAGGGTCAGGGTATCGGGCACACACCTCGCCCTGGTCAGAACGGGGTTGCATTGTCTGATGTTAACGGGCAGGGTGGAGCTTACTCAAGCGGCAATAGGCACAGCCCCCCAATACGACCCAATGCCCTGTCCTCCCGTAGAAACTCTAGCCGCCCAGGACGCTCAGACGGCGCTGACCAGGGCCTTCTTCTTAGCCCTGGCGACAGTGGCAGTAACGACGAGGATGACGGCGATTTGGATCTTCCTCCCAGCGCGCGACGCTCGCCGGCTCGTGTTCCCTCCCCGCTTGGCGCTCCGATAGAAACGTCGCCGTACCCCACGTCGGGTAGTGTCACCAGGGCTGGGACGGGTGGTGGAAATGAGGCATCGAGAGTAGCTACGGCGACTGGTGCCGTCAAGCAGTTGTTTTCCGACATCTCCCAAGATCCTGCAAATGCATTTAAACAGATAGACGATGGTTTTTTGAAACCGCATCTTCTGTTGGATCCCGGGAAAGGCTCTGCATCGGGACCGAGCAATGTATGATATTTGGGCGCAATATTAGAAGGCATGGGTGGCGTTTATCAGTTAAGGGCATGGACAGGCCCTATGTTGTCTTCCGTCGCACTTTAATACACATAAGGATGGGTATTCATCGTATGCTCAGAAGTTGAGAGTGTCTTGATTATAGAAGCCAGAGCGGTGGCTCTACTACTGGTGAACCTGAATGTCGAAGCCTGTACGAATCACATCATCGTCTGTGTATTGAACAAACACGCATGTATCCATGGCGACGTTTCAGGGTGGCTTGTCGCGCTACATAAGAGACTACTATTCGAAGTAGTCTTCGTGTTCATGATAGGGTGAATGTTACCACCAGGGTCCAATCGAAGCACGAAGAGTTAGAGTCGGCAAAACATGGTGTTTGGATAAATTGGGGTTTATACGGACATCTGCCGAAGGACCGCTTCATATCTCTCCAGGGTGAGCTGAGGTTACACTATAGTCTATAGCTAACTAAAACAGTGGCAAAAACCGAGTTTTCTGTACAAGTTACTCGAGCAATCCGATAGCAAGGCACAAGTCTTGTTTGTAGGATGAAGACAGTGAACTGCAGTATTGGCTTTGAAAGTGAAGTTGGAGTCCACTTTACAGCACTAACCCCAACACGGCGTGGCCACTGCTCCTTTCTGCACCCAAGTGGACCATCGGACAGAAAGCAGCGGGCACTTTTCTGCTCCGGGGCATGGGGCGCCGCCAAGCCAATCGGCCAACAACTCTAAATTAACTTACATTTAAACTGACTATCCGGAACTCTTCTCTTCCCTTTCGGGACTCAACCCAGACCTCTTGTTTCACGACCCATGGCTGAGTTCATAGCATTGGTAGTTTTATATATTAAATGCCGACCAAGACGTTCTATGGTACGGTACAGGATTAACTGCTGCAGTGCACGGTAACCAGTGTCTAGGCGCGCAGTTTGTACAGTCGCTTACACTGCGCGAATCAGTACGACCCCGTACGTCTGGGCAGCTACTTCGAATGTGTTCATGCTAAGGTTGGATTTTCAATGCCTTGCTCTATCAGGTATATGGCGAACATGAAATCACGGAGGTTGAAATCGGACATTGCGTGCAGCCACCTGGTGTGCAGGAAGACTGCCGACACTTCGATGTTGACCTGGCCACGGCTTCCCGCGGGTGATTAGAGCCATCCATCACGGCGACTCGAGCGGCACATTCCCGTTAGAGAGGCTTTCCACGTCAAGCTCACTGCCCTCTACAGCCAATAACGAAAAGCTTCCATACGAGCTTCTTGTATAAAGATGAATCTTGGCGACTGTGTACAGCCCACCATGTCCTCGATCATCTGTGGGGCATGAGTAGGATAAATGAATCTTGCCAGATCCCCCATGCCTCCACATTACATATGCAATATCCAGCCATGATCATGTGCGCGGCTTACCTTCTGGAATCATCGCACCCAGTCCAGGGTTTGCTCCATAGACCCTGAACGATTGAGGTAATTCTTCTCGCTGTCATTGCTAATTAATCTATTAGGTGAGAAAACCCACCTGAAAATATCACCGGACGTTCAAGACAATTCTTGGAGAGTACTTGAGAATTGGCACGTCCCATTTTTCTTTTTTCGCGAGAAAGTGATCGGCAACTCAAAGTGGAGGAAGCTTTCGTCAAGAAGGACCATCGTTTCAGAGCCGAGGCTTGTCATGCGCTTCAACGCTTAATCGTACGTTCATCCGCTTGATACAAAATGATCCAAGTTTGAGCGCGCAACAACCATTTTGACCCGATATTTGACCACGATCCAATGGATCTCGGCTTGCAACATCCGCCTCTGCGTTTTATGGCATTTTATTGTGCCATGGACAAACAGCGCCACCATCTGAATTCATCGTTCCACTCGGATTTCACTCCCCAAATATATTGACAGGGGTGTATGCATAAGGCAGGGTATTGTGGGGTAGCTCATGGATCCAGACTGGGCTGTCAGTGCAAGGCCTCTCCGCGTTGGTAGGCTCCCCCAAGTTAGCCATTATACGTTTACCCTCGCAAAAGGTTTTCCCAGCCAAACAGCATGCTTGTTTGTATGGAGCGAACAGCATCCAATGCAGGCATGACCTGCGATCGCACCAGATCTAGAGTAGGTTCGGTTGGCTTTCGGCAGTGTTTCCTCGCCACCAAAATCCTATTCGCCATGTTGGCTATGAAGATATCAGGGGAATAGCTGCACGGAAAGTAACCATCCACTAGAATGTCCAGACTGCATGTTTTGCAATATGAACTTGCGTCCCCAAAGACCGTTAAACAGCCTCATCGAATAGTGGATCTCACTATATCTAACAGATGCTTCCACTGCCTTGATACGACGATTAATCAACCCTCATCATGATAGCGCGTGGAGCACAGACACACGAGCACATTCCCATGCCCGCAGTTTACGGGCCTGCTTCCTGATGAGGCGGAGCATACAATGCACCAAGACAATACAGGCGGGCTTGAGATCTGTCCATGATGTTCTTTTAGTGATATAAGAGCGGACCAGCCGCCCTCGAAATCTCTCGCCTGCATCTCTTACAAGTCACTCTCTACAGTCGACAATCATGAAGGGTTTCTATACTGCCTTTGTGGCTTCGGCCATCACCGGCGCTTTCGCCGCCCCCAGCCCTGTTGAGAAGGGTCAAGTCACCGCTGCTGCTGCTTGTGCCACGCCTGTCACACTCTCCGGCAACCCTTTCACTCGTTCCATCTACGCCAACAAGGAGTACGCCAAGGAGGTTGCTACTGCTGCTTCCGCCATCTCCGATAGTGCCTTGAAGGCACAGGCTACCAAGGTTGCCCAAGTCGGTACCTTCCTGTGGATGTAAGTATCAAGTCTGTCTGATCAAGCCAAATAGAAGAGTCAATATCATTAACAACTCAACAGCGACACTCGCGCCCGTATTTCCGTCATCGAGGAGAACTTGAAGGACGTCCCCTGCGACCAGCTCGCAGCTTTCGTCATCTACGACCTTCCTGGACGTGACTGTGCCGCCAAAGCCTCCAACGGTGAACTCGCTGTCGGTGATGTCGCCACCTACAAGAGCGAGTACATTGACCGTACGATGTCTCATTTCTCCTTCTATATACAATGAACTCTTGACGACTAACCTCCCATACGCAGCCATTGTCGCCATCTTCAAGAAATACCCCAACACCGCCATCGCCCTCATCATCGAGCCCGACTCTCTCCCTAACCTCGTTACCAACATCGACGAGCAGGCCTGCAAGGACTCTGCGTCGGGATACCGTGAGGGTGTTGCTTACGCCCTCAAGTCGCTCAACTTGCCCAACATCATCATGTACATCGATGCTGGACACGGTGGTTGGCTCGGATGGAACGACAACCTCAGTAAGTCCCTTCTCTCATCCACCATCTCCCTTTCTCCTTGTTCTCATCTCTTCCTCCCACTCTTCACTCATATTCATCCGCTCTCCCTTATACGATAACTAACCCGAGCGTCTCAACAGAGCCTGGTGCCGAAGAACTTGCCAAAGTCTACAAAGACGCCGGCTCTCCCAAGCAAGTCCGCGGTATCTCTACCAACGTGGCCGGCTGGAACCAATGGGACCTCACTCCCGGCGAATTCTCAAAAGCCACCGACGCGCAATGGAACAAGTGCCAAAACGAAAAAACCTACGTCGAGACCTTTGGTCCTCTGCTCAAGGCCGCCGGCATGCCCAGCCAGGCCATCATCGATACCGGCCGCAACGGCAAGTCTGGCCTCCGCAAGGAGTGGGGCGACTGGTGCAACGTCATTGGCGCCGGCTTCGGAAAGCGCCCGACCAGCTCGACCGGCAGCACCCAGGCTGACGCCTTTGTGTGGGTTAAGCCCGGCGGCGAGAGCGATGGTACTAGCGATACCTCGGCTACTAGGTACGACTCCTTCTGTGGAAAGGACGATGCGTTCAAGCCCAGTCCCGAGGCTGGTACGTGGAACCAGGCCTACTTCGAGGCCCTGCTCAAGAACGCTAACCCTACCTTTTAAATTGGGAGCGGGTTTAAAGCTGAAGGGGGGAAGGGTAGATAGCTGGATGGATGGATGAGGATATCGTCTATGCTGACTGCCTGGGGAAACTTTTGTATATATCGTGGAAAGGTTGGGAATATGTTGGACCGACACACTTTCGTTGTATATAAGTCATGAGAGTGCGATGTGCGAGAGCTAGATCTTTAAGAAGGGAAAAAAAGAGTTGAAAGGCTATGATAAATTTCAATCGCTTTTTTTTCTATCCGCTGTGCTCTTGAAAGAACATAATGCCTGTGAATCAAGAAGATCTAACTGATTTGGGGGCTATTTAATTGACTGGTCACATAATCACGCATCAGTCCATAATTACTTAGATAGCTATGCATCGTATCCGAACCCCATAAACGAGAGAAGACAAGTAGTTCTGCGAAGTGAACTGTTACTGCCAACGTGTTATGACGAGAGCTCCCTAGCATTGTCCATTTTCAAGAAAAACACCGAACATCACATCAACTACAGACTTTTCACTCATAAATCATCAGCACATCAGAAGAGGAAAGCGTATTACAATGGTATCACATTTCGCATTTCAAAAGAGGACAAGAGAGCTATTCTCTCCATGCCGATGATGCCTTATCCTAATCTCAATGTTCTGGGATGCGCAATCGACATCTATGCTCACAGAGAGAGAGGGCAAAAAACAGGAAAGGGACAAGCCACCACACCCCGAAAATGGTGGCACCACAAGCGAGCAATGCGCTTGGTCGGCCGTTGACATTCGTCGCCCATTTCGTCATGTTACGTAAGGAACCAAGAGGCCGCTGCGGTACCATATTGTGTGTGCGCGCGCGTGTGCATGTGGGAGCTTTCCACCGAAACAAAAATGCTTTCAAACCCCATTTCACTCCAGTGGGTTCATGGACCAGTGACCGGTCCTAAAAAAAATCTGTAATAAGACAACGCCAACAAGAATGGGTGAAAAACAATTATACAGCAGAGAGAAAAAGACATTTAGGAGGACACGATCGCATCAAAGCAGTACCATTTTGTCCACATATGCATCGTCCGTACTCAGATGGAAGTACAAGGTAGAGAGAGAGGAGCAGTCGCTTCTAACCAGTACAGTGGGTGATGCTCGAAAATGGCTTTGATCGGGGATCCAATCTGCTGGTGCGAGAGTGCAGTAACAAATCTTTTGGGTATCTCCGTCACCTTCTTCGACGTTAGTCATGCCGTGGTGGAATTGAAGTAGATTTCGAATCACGTACGTGGTGTTTTATCGCGGCGTTCCAACCGTGCTTGTCATCGTGCTCGGACCTCCATTGACCGAAGCTGCATCATCGAAGTCCTGCCACTCGGGGTACGGTTCGGTTGCTTCCTTCAGCTTCTCCACCGCAGTCTTCTCAATGGTGTTGGCATCTCCGAAAAGTACACTGCCGTCCTCATTGTAAGTACGGCAGTTGTTGCAAAGCACGGCAATATCTTGACGAAATTGTTTGAGAGATTGATATTTGTTCGTGTTGATCTTCCGCTCGATTTGCTTGATGCAGATGGGGGTTTTGATGAGCTGGTAGTAGTCTGGGTAGTCACTCTTGGGCGGCAACTCTATGAAGGGGTCGATGATGCCACGGTTAGGGAGACTTTCGTCACTGGATACCTCCTCGAGCTGGTTCAGAGCTTGGAAAACCTTGTCGACAATATCTTGCAGTGAGGCCCGCTGCTCAGGGTTGAGGGTCTCTTTGCCTGGACCAGGACGACCGCGTTTGCGTGGGGGTGCTGGCTCGCCATCCAAAGATGCGTCGTCTGCCTTTCGCTTGTCTACCTTGGGTTTACGGCCGCGCTTCTTGGGCAGTTGGGGCTCTTCCGAGCTAGCGCGAGAAGCAGGTGAATCTTCAACACCCTTCTTCTTGCCGCGCCTAGCGAGCAAGGCTTGGTTGCGAGCGATCGCCTCTTCGATCGTATCATCGTCGTTGTCGACCGCATCCAACCACTGCTCTTCTGTGAGCCCATCGTCGTACTTGACGCGAGTGCGTTCACGAGCTCCACGGCCAACAACTTCCTGGATTTCCTCGACGACGGGGACATCCTCGTTGAGATAGATATCAGGCAGTTCCTGCTCGCTCAGAAGACGGGGAAATTGCTTGTTTGGCCCATAGAGATCAGATTCAGCACGCTGCTTATCCATTTCCTGGAAAAGCTTGAGTTCATCTTCGTTCCGCATCATCATAGAGTTGAGATCATCGTCATCCATTTCTTCCTGCTCGAGGCTTTCAGCAGCCTCAGCTGACTCCAACATGATTCGCAACATGGCTTCTCGCTCTTCATTGGTTGACTTGTTGTCGAATTTACCAGCCTGGATAACCTTTCCATCCATATCCAATTTGTAGTTGGCGCGCTCGAGGATTTTCTCTTCCACGGAATTACTAGTAATGAGGCGGAGAATGCGAACCTCGTTCTTTTGACCGATACGATGAGCACGATCTTGAGCTTGGAGATCCTGATGAGGATTCCAGTCAGAATCGTAGATGATGACAGTGTCAGCAGTTTGAAGATTGAGACCTAGACCACCAGCACGAGTCGAGAGGAGGAAGCAGAAGTATGGCGAGTCGGGAGCGTTGAAGACCTTGAGCAGCTCGGACCGATCATCTGCTTTTGTAGATCCATCAAGACGAAGATACTGCATACCCCGAAGACGGAGATAGTCTTCCATGATGTTCATGATTTGTGTCATTTGGAAGAACATGAGAACACGATGACCTGTAGCCTGGAATTTTGGCAAAACCCTGTCCAACAGCTCGAACTTTCCGGCCGTCCGCCATAAAAGGTCGTTTGAAATCCGCGAGGGATTCATCTGGTCCTCAACCTCTTCGAAGACGAATGGATGGTTGCAAAGTTTGCGCAGCTGCATAAGCATGTTGCTGAGGCCTCGCATGCCAGTCTTGCCGCCCTTTCCATCGCTCACCATGAGCCTGTTGTGGGTTACAAGCTGTTTGTACAATTTCGATTGCAGCGAGGAGAAGTTGCACTTGATGACGCGCTCGGTCTTGTCCGGCAAATCCTTCTCGACATCCTTCTTGAGACGACGAAGGAGGAAGGGTCGGAGCACCTTATGAAGACGACGAATAACGAGCAACTGCTCTTCTTCGGTCAACTCCATCTTATCTTGGCCACCCGTGTTGGCAAATGGTGTGTTGAACCATTCGTCGAATGATTTGACGGATTTGAAAATGGTAGGAAGGACAAAGTTCAGCATGGCCCACAACTCGGTAAGGTTGTTCTGAAGGGGTGTTCCCGTGAGAATCAGACGATAACGAGTCGAGTAGTACTGGGTGATTGTGCTGCTGAGCTTCGAGTTCTGGTTCTTCATACGGTGACCTTCGTCAACGATCATATGCAGCCACTTGATCTTGCTCAGAATAGGCCGGTCCTTGATAATGAATTCGTAGGTGGTGAGTAGAACTTGGAACTGTCCCCAGCGGATCGCCTGCTGGTGCTGCTTGCGAGAGTTGGGAGGTCCTTTGTAGACAATCTTGGCAACACTGGGCGCCCACTTGTCGAACTCGTTATGCCAGTTGGTAAGTGTACTGAGTGGCACAATAACGAGGAAGGGTCCAGGCTGCTGCTTCTTTTCGATGAGATAGGTGATCAAACTAATGGTCTGAATTGTCTTTCCGAGACCCATTTCGTCTGCGAGGATGCCGTTAAGGTTGTTGTTATACAGAGAAATCATCCATTGCAGACCCTTCAGCTGGTAGTCTTTCAATGTACCACCCACAAGATTCGTTGCTTGAGCGGTGACTGGTTCCTTGACACGGTGAGCAATTTCGTAGTAATCCGTCTTCTTCTTGCCAGTGCGTCCGCCTTCGCCTTCGGACTCTTCGTTGGAGTCTGCGTCGGATTCTTCGTCTTCGGATGGTTCGTCTGGCAGATACTGGTTGCTCTGGTTGCGCTGTTGAGCCTTCACAGATGCAGACAACTGCTTCAAGAAACCGTCTGTCTGCTTGAGAAGATGCGAGATACGGGTATCCTTTGCTTGTCCCAAAAGCTTGAGATATGTCTCTTCGTCGTTGGCTTTGAGCGCTTGCAGACGTTGCTTGGCAGTGCGCTCGATGCGCTTTTGTTCTTCCTTTTCAATATTTTGGTGGGTGGAGATCATAGTGCGACCCAATTTCTGCAGACGCATACGTTGGCCCATACTAGCCTCGGTAAGCTCAGTGCGGTGTTTGCGGATAGCTTCAATGAAATCGTGGTGCTTCTTCTTCTCCTTGGTCTCACGAGCATCCCGCTGTTGCTTCTCGAGCTTCTCGGTAAGACGCGCTTCGCGGAGAGATTGTTTCTTAAGACGACGGTAGATAGTCCGGTTTGCGGTCATGGCGAGGTTATCGGCATGTATCATCTCGCGGCTAATCTGTTTGCGGAGGAGACGTTGCTTAGGGAGAAGGTTAAGCATCTTTTGCTCAATAATAAGCGCCAACTTCACCTTGCCATCATCCTCTGGAACATCCGTGCGGCTAGTGTCCCAGGAACCAATGTTGGCGCTCGTCTTCTCCAGCTCGGCCTTTCTCGCTGTCAAGCGGTTGTACAGTATAACCTCGCGCGCTTCTTTCTCTCGAGCGTCCCGGATCAACCCCATCTGCGCCCGCACGTCGTTGACATCGACGCCCAGAGGCATAACGGAAGAAACATAAGGGCGCTGGGAGCGATATGTGTGAGAGATGTAGTTGACATCGGGAACGTATCGAGAGTCCCAAGGGCTGTGGAACTTGTCGGGGATGCGCCTGGTGTTACCATCGACCAGCCTGACTGAGCCATTGGCGCCTGGAATTGATGCACTCGAAGCTCGAGTGGCATTGTCCAATACCTGACCGGCGGCTGAGACAGCTTCAGCGACATTCTGCGGGGTTTTGCCTTGCTGGGTAGCGAAGAGTTGTTGCTGCATGGGGACGGGGAGAGGAAGTCCCTTGGACAAGTGCTTGAAAGCGGCAATCTGTCTCTTAAGCAGAAGAAGCTGATCATTAGAGAAGGAAGGACCACTCGTCGCAGAAGTGGGCGTTTGGCCGCCCGCAGAAGGAGCCTGGCCTCCAGCGGTGACAACTTGGGGACCGGATGGCGCAGTAGACACGTGCATTGGGGTGCCATTGCCATTGGGAATTCCCGCGGCAGCACCGTTCTGCTGAGGCTGGTTGTGATCTTGGCCTTGAGGACGTTGCTGCATCATCTGCTGCTGCTGTTGCTGCATCTGCATCTGACGCTGTTGTTGGCTAGCATTGTTGTGTCTGCTAACGGCCGTGAGCAGGTTCTTCGCTTTGATCAACTCGGGGTGATTCTCAGCGACGCCCTGCGCACGCATATTTTGGTAGCTCTGCTACCTATCAGTATATTGTCCTCTCAACTGGGATGGGCGTGGAAAGAATCTTGGAATAGGTCTAGGGTATCACCCACCTTATATACTTGGGCTACCATCTCCTTGCTTATATTTCCAGGCAGCTGCCTGGAGCCGGTGACGTCCGGCGTGGGCTGAACGGACGCCATGGTGGGCTACAAACGAATGTGTGGGCGTGTGTTGTGGATGCAACTATGTTGTGGGAGATGGATGGATGGATTTGTGATGGGTACACGGCGCGCCGGGTACAGGCAATTGGGTGCTGCGCGGTCGGGGCGAGCAAAGGCGACAGTCGCGGATGGGAAGGGCGCGTTGGGACAGGCTCTAGCACATTCTCGAGAAGGGTGGTGTTGGTGGAAGGCCCTCGATGATGAGGTTGATGGCAGAATGCGGCCGGGGGTGCGCGCGGTCGCGGTCGGCCGAGTCGCGAACGGTGTTGAGGGAGGCAAGCTGAGGCAGCGGGTGCAAATTGCAGTGTGGGCAGGTGGGAAGGGCAACAGGCGCGTCTACGGTGCAAGATGCACGAGAACGCGGTGCGCAGAGGTGACGCGCACGGAGCTAAGATGCGGGCGGGTGTAGTGTTGTGGATGATGGGGGATGGGGGTTCACGGTGTTGGCGAGAAACTCAGATGGTCGGTGGCAGACTGACTGGCACGACTGAGAGAAGCAGCCAGGAGGCGCTAGGCCGCTTTTGGAAGTCCACATCTGGTTAGACGCCCGTGATCAGAGGCTTGGCTTGGGGAGGCGGGCGGAGGGTGGAATCATCGCACGCAGGCAAGACGACGGGATATTTTGTTGATTGTGTATAGAGCGTTGTTCTGATGCGAGCTGGAGAGCCAAGTAATATGGGGAAACGGACGTGTTTTGGCGCCAAAAAGACGTTGGGCGCCCGCAATCGGGACATCCGGGACACGCACCACACAAGGTCAAGCCAATCTGGCGGGGGGTAGGGAACAGATGGATCGTGCTATGATCCCTTCATTCATCTTGCTCAGCGCGGGTCTGCCCGTTCTCATGTGAGCCCGTTCTGACGGATTACATCTACTCGGAAAATCATTGCCCCTTGGGATTCCTTTTTTTCACCATCTCAACTTACCTCCCATGTTCAGGGTCGGAGGGATGGGCAACATGTCGACCTCCATCCTGATGAATGATAACCAGAAAAAACAAGAAGCCATAGAATCCGGCTGTCATCCATCGTCACAGTCATTTGAGTTCCCATCATCAGCTTCCCTCGACCCCTCATTATGGACCAGCTCACCAGATTACGACAGGAGTAGCACCATCTACTAGCCTCCTGTACACCGCCCTGGTCCGTGCTGATCTACCCTGTATCCTCACTGCCTTTTCTTCTTCCTTCTCTTCCTCTTCTCTTGTTTCTTCTGCTGTTTCGTTCACTCCGCTATCACATTTCAGCAGCCGCCATTTAATTTCAAATCAACATCCGCTCATTTGTCACAGAGTTCATTGCCTATTCAGCCTTTCAACTACTGCTAAATGGATATGTACCTATATACAAGGACAAGGAGCGCATCTCATTTCAATTTTTCCATCATCTCTCTTTCAATTCAATTCCCATCAAGTGAGCGTGGGAGCAGTCCAGTCAATGTACGAAGCAACATCAGCAGTCGGTCCCTTTTCGATATTAGCCGTGTTCGCATCCTGGCCTTTCAAAAATTTGTTGATAAAGGCCGTGAGGTCTGACTGCTGGTTGCTTGGGAAGGAACAGTGGCCGTGATTCCCGGCGCCCGTGAATCCCATGTTGTCTGGTACGCCCAGCGCCTTGTATATCAATCGCCCAGCCTTCATGCAAGCAGTCGTCGAAACAGGTCCCAACCAGTCAATCTCGTTCTCAATGACGATGAGACCACGCGGCGCGACCATACCGGCAAGCTGATGGTGATCCGTTGCCAGAGTGTTTGCCTTTGTGGAGAAGGCGTTGAAGTTCTTGGAGAACCAGACATTTTCGCCGACGATCTGGCTCGCAGTCTGGATGTTCTTGCCCTTTGCCTTCTCCGAGTCGGACACGCGCCAGCAAGCAGCACCACCAGATCCGGATTCCTGAGGAATGCCTAGGGCAATGCGGTTAACGAGAGCGGCGGCAACAAAAGCACCTTTGCCGTTCCTGGAGCATCCCGTAACACCGATCTTCTTCGTATCGACTGAATCCATTAGTAAAAGTAAAGTACACATGTCTTGGTGATCTACTTACTGTTGTGACCTGTGGTGGCCTCAAGAGCATCAATAATACGGTCCACACCCCATGCCCATGCAGTCAAAGCACCAGCACTGTGCCCTGAACCGTAGACATCGTAAAATTTGCCCTGACCACGGGAGTTCTGGCCTTGTTGCGCAGCAATTTGGTCGTTGTTGAAGACAATGGTAGCAACGCCAGCCGGCACCGGGATCGATGCTGCGCCATAAGCAATGATTGCTGGAGAATCGGCCCCGCTAGCACCCCTGATCGATACAGTGAAAGAGGTGGATTTCCCATTGTCCGAGGCGGTAATGGAAAGGGTGCCACCAGAATATGTAGCAGTGACCTTCGCCGTGGTAGGGAACACACCGAGCTCCTGGTTCTGGATGGCGGCACTAACTTCCTGGTTCTTGCACTCAAAATCAGCCTTAGTCTTCACATCTGTGCCATCGAAGAACTTGAACGGATTGGGCAGCTTCGAGTTGGCGGTCGTTGGGAACGTGGTCGGCACTTTGCATTCAGCCTGGCGCTCTTGAAGGGGAACCGCAAGCACCGTCACTGCGAAGAACGGTAAGACGACTGAGTATTTCATGATGAAATGATATTGGAAGCTGCAGAAAAAGATTGTGGGTTGACTGGTGCTGCGAGAATGCTCGTTCCAGTATCAGCGCTGCAGACGACTTATATAGGGCAACTGCTTGCCCGATTTGACTCGCAGTGTTCCCTATACCCGGACATCAAATATCAGGTATATGAGGGATTGCCAGACGTGGATGAGCCTCGTGGATAGCTCTATAGTTCATTTAGAGTAACGTGGCTTGGCAGTGTCTCTAGAATGTTACTCTGTTTGTCTCAGCGAATCCCCAGTATAGATGTCTATAGCAAAAAAGGCATTCCTCTATTATTTTACATCCTAAAGCGCTCACCTGCAGTTATCAAGCACATTTCGAGATACCCGAGAGCCCGACCTGCAACTCACCATATGCATCCTCTCATCGCCAGTCAAACCTCTCTATCTAGTACTTCAACCTTTACGCGTTCAAGCATCGCACAATACACCCCGTTGCCTTCTTTCAAACCTCGACAAACATCACACAAATTCTCTCCCTCCCTAAAACTCTACACGTCAATTCATATGCACCCTTCCAAACCATTGGTGGAACATTTATATTCCCCCGTCAAGCCTAAATCCTCAAAACCCACAACCCCCCCAAGCTGCAAGAGCAGACCCCAAGCCCCATCATCCAACCAAACTCTTTACATAGTACATACCCCCGTAAATTCCCCATACTTGGCACACGCACAACCCCAAACACCGCAAGCGAGAATGTGGGGGCCTTTGCTTTTGCTTTGCAGATCGCGTTCGTAAAGGGTGGGTTAATCAACTGGTGGGTTAGATGTGAGGGTAAATCTAGAGCGTGTTTACCAGGAGGGATTGGCGTCTGTGGGGTGGAGGATAGACGTATGCGGGGCGCCCTGGCGGAGGTTACCTGTTTAATGGTATACGCGGGGGGGCTGTGAGGTGTGGGTGGGGACTGACTGCCGGTGTTCTCGGGATATTAGCCTGTTAGGTGTGTTCTGGAAGATCGCCACTGCAGCAGTCGTTAGGTAAGAGTTGTGGAATCATGGATTTGTTAGGTCAGTGGAATTGTTTTCTTTTTTCCTTGTGTGCTGATATATGACTACTTTCGTTGTGACATATGGCATTGCATGGGGGTTAACCACCTGCACATATCTATTCTGGTCAACGTGACACTCGAATATGCATCTCTATCTGTGCGGTTCAAGCACGCCTTGTCAGTGTGAGTGGCACGGATTTCACCCTTAGGACAGAGTGATGGTTCCATCCGCGCTGTCCTCGACAAAGATCCCTCCGTAGACAATGCCCTCCAAGATTCCAGCTTCCTGAATGCCAGTTCTCAAACTATCAGCCCCGGGATTGATCGGATTCTTGTTTACTCCGAAATGCAGAGCCCCGTTTCCACTGAGATCGTTGGGAAGTGCGTTAGTCTGCTTGACGAGCGCATCTGTTCCCGTTGACGAGAAAACTTGAACAGTACTGCAGTTCCACCATGTTAGTTCTGTTCGTTCAATATCTTCATACACATCATCTTCGTTCATCACCAGGAAGATAACTCAGAGTACTCCAAAGGATCACTCACTTCTTCACAAAATCCATCTTCAGCGCGAAATTCGTAAATTCTCCCTCAGTAAACGGTGTTTGAAACAGCACGTTAACGCCATCGGCGCTGTTTCCCAATAGCAGCAAATCGTTCTTTGTTGCGCCGTCACTGCCAATCAGCGTCCCCGTCTTCAGCGCAATCAGATTCGCGCCAAAGTCCGCTCGCTCCATAAACACCATCAGGTACTCGTGACTGATGTTCAACGGCCGATCGGCACTGGGCTTGATGGAGAAATGTAGCGTTTTGACACCTGAAGAGGTGTCGTTGGCGTTGTTGTTTGCGGGGTTGGGCATGAGTTCTGCACGGCGGACCGCGGTTTGCGGGTTTGCGCCTCCTGGGGCGAATATGGAATCATCACTTTTCAGGGAGAGGGAATATTAGTTACTGAAAAGATGGCATTCGTTAGGGGTGGGGCTTACTTGACAGTGACTTCAACGGGCTGGGCGTTGACGGCTGTGTCGAACTATTTTCAGATCAGTCAAGATGAAGTATGTGATTGTATATGCTTCTATCTGCTTACCAGAGATGCGTCTCCCCCGTCAAGGCGGACTACTTCACTGAACGCCACATCTGCGCGCGTCTGTTAGGGAAAAGAGAGACAGAGCTGCAAAAGTTGCAATGTGGCTTACTTTGTCCCTTTGTGAACTCTGGATCGAAAATCCCGGTCTTCGAGTCGAAATCCGCAACTGCTACTGTCGCCGGGACTCTACCATCAAACACAACAGTCGCACAAGCTGCCAGGCCTATGCTAGAAAGAAAATATAATGATCTAGTGAACATTGTGATTTTTGGACTGAACGAAGACGAGCTATAATGAATGAATGCGAATGAGTGAATAAATGGGAAACAAGAACAGAAGATGCAAAAAAAGTAAAATTCGATTCCGGGATTTGCTTTAAGGTATCATTGATCATAAGGAGGGTGGGACCGCTACATCTTATTATACAATGCTTTCACATCGACCGGTCCGATCGTGTTTCGACTAACGAATGCATTGTTGTTGGAAGTCTCGCGAGTCAGGTTGACTTCTCCTGTCACGTCTCAGACGAACAACGGGTGGATACCGCTGAAGCCCGACGACATTGGTGGGTATCGGACCTTTTGTAAATGATGGGCCCGAGGTGACCAACGGCATCGGCAATTCCGGGGAAACAGTTCGCGACGGGTGTGCTTGAATTTTGTGGGAGCTTTTTGGGCTCTGCATAATTGCTTGGGAAGCTTGGTGTCCTAGTTCAAGAGCGATGGTACTGTATGCATATGATTATCATTGCTTTAATTGTTCGATACACTAACAAGTTCTCGCATATTGGTTCTATTCCGAGGAACACTTTTCAGATTGAACAGGGGTCGAGTGGTACTTCCAGAGGGACATGGCAATCCAACGGCAGGAATAATTGTTGTCCAAACCCTAGCGTCAAACCTACGGGGATCTCTAACTCTTGTTCTTCTGGTGACAAGTCACTTTTTCTTGTTAACAGTCCTAGCCAATCCGGCTACCGATCTAGTCCTCTACCGAACCCTACTCCTTATATTCCTCCGGCCCCGTAACATTCTCTGGTAGTGCATGCTGAGGATCATAATCAAAGCAATCCGGAAATTATAGTAATGAGTCAAAAATTTATGGGGTATCAATCTGTACCTAGGGAAGTGTCGCACTCCACTCTATCTCCTCGATGTAGACCCAAAGCCTGTGCTTTCATGTCTTGTGCTCGAGAAGCTCGAACCCGAGGAAGACCTTGAACTGCCTTCCCCGTTACCCCATCCTCCACCACCGCCTCCCCAACGTGAGCCACTGTTGTTTTGTTGTCGGTTGTTCCCCCAAGTTCCCGCGGCATAACCAGCTGCTGCACCTCCGGCAGCTCCCGACCAAAATCCCGGTCTCCAGCCCTGAGTCCCTCCATAAGAAGAGCGTTTGTTGTATGGCGACGACCGGGAATCCGGGTTCCAGTCATATGGTGGTGGTGGATCGTCGTTGCCTCCCCATCCTCCGCCTCCTCCACCTCCCCAACCGGGACGAGCACCACCTGCACCACCAGCGGTAGGACCGTTTGCCCATCCTAGGAAAGCGTTGTATACGATCCACAAGGCGACACCGATGAATATCATCCAAAACACGGCTCCCACAATCCTGTCGCCCATCGTTTTCTCGTGGTCCTCCTTTCCTCTGTCATGGTCGTCGTCACCCCACCAGCCGCCTTTCCTCTTGCCATATTTTTCTTCCCCTTTATCAGTCAACACGAGACGGTACTCGACACCACATGAGCCCTTGAGTATGTACGGATCGTCTGGATAATCGTAGCCTTCGCAGATCACGTCTGTGGAGCCGAGCTTGAACTCTTCTGGCAGGGAGGCAGTGCATGTCCATTGGACAGCTTCTTCGTCATAGTCAGCGCCGGCGTTTTTGCAGCGAAGCACATCGATGTCGTAAAGTCCTTTGGCCGAGCCACCAATACACTTGAGCTGTTAATCATATGTTAGTTTTGAGATCAACATCGTCGACAAGATAAGGACCCTATACCTGTGGAAGAGGAGACACCCGACGGTGTGAGGTTTTGAGATCTTTACGCAGGGTCAGGCTTTGTACGTTGGAAAGCTTGACCTTGGGAGCCGAGCGGAGGGCGCTTGTGCCGTCGCAAAAGGTGGCGGCCAGCAGGACCGAGTAGAAAAGGTTGAGTAAATGCATCTTCGCGGGATGGCTGAAGAATCGCAGGATGATTTACATGAGCGAAAGTAGAGCTTGACCGCGGGTGGCGATATACAAAGTGTGCAACAGGACACGTTGGTTCTCCAGCGTACATAATGGAAGAGTGCTCAGCTTGGTCAATGAACAATTCATGACTGCGGAACAAAGTCTTGGCACTCGTCATCTGCTTAGCGTGCTCGAAACTACTGGGTTGGGATTAGCTGCATACTTCGTTACAGATCGCCTAGGTGGCAGCTGACAGGTCCACCTCATGCCAATGGTCAAAGTCGCAGTGCGATCGAGTTTGATCACTTCGACCATATTTTTTCCAAGATGAAAGAGAGGATAACTTATATCGTGCAGGATCCTGACGCTTTCAGTCCAGAGCAGCTTGTTGTCAAAGGTGACTCCATCACACTGAAAAAGGTTCAAGCAGCCAAAGAACAGCGAATCACTGTTGGTCTGGACGAGTTGCCTACTGAGGTAGGGTCTTTGCGTCTATCAAAACTCCAAAAGTATATGTTCTAACATAACACAGCTCAGAAAGTCTCTTGAGCAATGGCACGAACTCCATATCCGTTGGAGTTCATCGATACCTTACTCTGCCAGTCCTCCCTTCACATCGCGCGTAACACCAGGTCTACATGTATTCTTCACTCCGCTTAGAGATCAGCCAGAAGGGGACCTATGTAACCTTTTACATTTGGCGCTTGGGTCTGAGCTGCAATGCGATTCGATGAGTGAAGCGTCTACCAAAATGCCGATACTCTCTGAACGATTTTCAATGTCAGCAAGCTCGCAGTATTATTCTTATCTCGATTCTTTGTCCAATTTGGTCAACTTTATTCAAAAGAGAGTTTGTAAGTCGAAGGCTTGCAAAGAGAGCGCTGAAGTTCTGTTGTCTGCAACATATGTGGATATAGATTACGATGCCATTTCTCATGCCGTTGTTTTGAGTGCCTTCACCGCCACTGCCCCTGCCACTGGCTATTGGGACGAAACTATTTCCGTTACATCCGAGCTACAGTCAACTGAGGTCGGAGTTCTAACGTATGAGAAGAATCCTGATCCTGAAGATATTGGTTTCGGTGGGTTTTTGACCGTCCTGGGGCAGGATCAAGCACCCAGTAAGCTATCCCCCATTTTGATCCATCAACGTTCCTGCTTAACATGAGATCTTTAGAGCCCACACGCTTTCAGACACCTACTCGGCACTATCCGATACCTTCTGACTCTGCCAACTACAAGATTTCGTTTGCACGGCCGACTGGACTCCACCCGACTTTGTCCATCACCTTTCCTTCTTCTCATCTCACGCCACCAGACTCGACTTGCAAATTACACACCTATCTGACTCTCCCCTCTTACCTCTTTGTCGACAAGTATCAATTCAACGACGCATTGTACCTTGCATCCAACAACCTCAAGAGCTTAAGATCTATCGCGGGTGCCGCCGATCTTGAAGCTCCGGACTGGGTAACTCCAGAATGGGGTAGCGCTGCATTGTTTGAACTTGCCGTCCCTAAGTCTGGGGACATAGAGGAATCTTCTGTGGAGTGGAACGCCACTATTCCCCTGCATCTACGTTATTTGCCCGCAGCTGATCATTCGCACACCACGGTCCCTGCGCCCTGGCCAGTAGTATTCTGGGCCTGTCGAGCTGAAGAAGGAACAAAGATGGCCGTTAATCCCTTTGACCGTCTTCATTTGGGTTATGAAGCATTGTTTGGGCCTAGAACACGGTTTATGCATATTTCACCTATCCGGAGTGGGGGCGAAACAGATGGCCTGGTAGAGTGGATCGATGTTCCTGTGCTCGATTTAAAGAAGTCCCAATGGGTTGAAATTGGGACTATTGGGACCGTGATCGTCGCGTTCATTGGCCTCTGTTGGGCTATGTTTGGGAATGCGGGAGGGAGAAAGACGAACGGTGGGAACGCCAAAGAAAAGAAGAAGCAGTAGTCACGTCTTCGTATACAGAATCTCATCCCGATTATCTAATTATATATACTGCTAATGTGTAGTTACGCGAGGGCCGTCACACCCCGCTGTATTCGTCGCCAGCTCTCCTGTTTCCGTGACCGCCAAGCGCAGTGCGGAACGAATACCGCAGAGCGGAAAACGCACGCTATAACCGGGTAGAAACCGCACATTCGAGAATCCGTTGTCGCTGTCTACGTGATAGACAAGTGGAATTATACCGCCCATTCTTTTGGCCATATGTAATATCGTTAATTACCTAATTTGTGTGTTTCTACATTATCATATCTCAGGGTCTACATCTGGCCAATCACATGCTGCCTTCCCATCTCACATTCTTTTCAGGAAGGTCCATGCGATGCCCACTCCCCGCGCGGGTGCCGATGGAGCGACTACAACCGTAGCGCCTTCAATGGCGTCTATCAATCGAGACTGAGCAAGGTCTCTCATTCAGCCATGGGGTGAGCCCACATATCTACATATTTAAGGCAACGCGATGCGCCCCAGCAAGATGGCTACTGTTCGTTCGTACCCTTCACATCATCGTCATTAATCTGCAAAGGCAAGGGCAACACGGCCGACCCTTTATCAGCCAAAACAGACGCAGCGGCCAACACCATGAGACCACATCCGTTCAAAACGCTAAGCGTTGACGAAACTCGTGTTGCTCGCGATGTGATTCTCTCTCAGTACCAAGACGTTGTTGTCGACTTCCGGGAAATATTTCTTCAAGAACCGGAAAAGGAACTCATGAAACAGTACCTCGAGTTGGAGCACTCGTCTCAGCCGGGTCGGTCGCCTCAATCAAAACAACCACCGCGACTCGCGAAATGCCAATACGATGTCATTGGCTCCAGCAGAATCCCCGAGTATCATGAGGCTATTGTTGACATCGAGAGTAAAAGACGAGTCAAGCATGACATTATCAGCAAGGAGTACCACGCCAGCTTAACATTATGGGAATTTGAAACGCTTGTACAAGCTTGCAAAGAAAGCGAGGAATTCCAGAGCGCCATAAAAGAGCTTGAATTACCTGAGGGATTCGAGCTTGTTGTCGAACCATGGCAAGTTTCTTGCACTTTTCGTGACCAATCGCGTAAACTATTTACTAATGATCGACAGGCCGTACGGTGGTCTTGATATTGGAGCGGAGAACAAGAGATACTTCCAAGGCCTATGCTTCGCCCAGGACATGAAGAACGGGAATGCCGACTCCAATTTCTATGCCTATCCGTTGCCACTGATCCCGGTAATGGATGCTCACCTGAAAAAGATTGTTCGCATTGATCGTCTCGCAACTGGGGGTAAAGGGGACAGCATGTCAGGCAAGACCCACTCAGCCCGCGTTCTCGATCATTGCGAATCTGCCGAATATGTTCCTGAGTTGCTGCCTGAAGGTACCCGTCAGGACATGAAGCCCATCAACATCACCCAGCCAGCCGGCCCTTCCTTTAAAGTTACCGACGAATCTTTGGTTGAATGGCAGAAATGGCGATTCCGAGTTTCTTTCAATCCTCGCGAGGGTGCTGTTCTCCACGATGTCCACTACGACGGAAGGAGTATTCTATATCGACTTAGCGTCTCGGAGATGACGGTCCCATACGGAGATGCTCGTGCTCCCTTCCACCGTAAACAAGCCTTTGACTTTGGCGACGGTGGTGCGGGTAACTGCGCTAACAATCTGTCACTCGGCTGTGATTGCCTAGGTGTTATTAAATATTTCGATGCTGTCGTTGTTGGCTCAGACGGCGAACCTAGACATCACCCCAACGTGGTCTGCTTACATGAGCAGGATAACGGAATCGGTTGGAAGCATACGAATTGGCGTACAGGACGGGCAGTCGTGACGCGTCTACGTGAGCTTGTCGTTCAGTTCATCATTACTCTGGCAAATTACGAATACGTGTTTGCTTTCAAGCTTGACACCGCAGGTGGTATCACCGTCGAAGTACGCGCTACAGGTATCGTGTCAGTGGTTAACATAGATCCGGGGAAGACGAGTGAATACGGGAATGTTGTATCCGGTGGCGTACTTGCGCAGAACCATCAACACATCTTTGCTACACGTAAGGCTCTCAACCCAGTTTCATTATACACATGAATAACCATTCAATAGGCCTAGATCCCGCCATCGATGGCCACAAAAACTCCATGCTATACGAAGAATCTCACACAGTCGCTCAGAATCCTGAAACAAACCCAAACGGGAATTTTTATGAGATCCGCAAGACACCGATAACACATTCCTCCGGTCACGACGCTGCCCCTCACCATAATCGTGTCTTCAAGATCATCAACCAAAACAAGAAGAACAGGTTTAGCGGCAATCCTGTAGCCTACAAATTCACACCACCAGCCACACAAAAGCTGCTTGCTGCGCCTGGCAGCATTCAATCGAATCGTGCTCTCTTCACCCAGCACCATGTGTGGGTCACCAAGTATCAGGAAGATGAGCTGTACGCTGCAGGCCACTATACGCTTCAGAGTCAACAGGAGAAAGGTGGGGTAGCGGACATGGCCAAGAGGAACGATGAAGTCACCAATGAGGACTTGGTGTTGTGGAACGTCTTTGGATTAACGCACAATCCGCGAGTGGAGGACTGGCCGGTGATGCCTTGCGAAATCTTTCAGCTGCATTTTCGACCATCGGATTTCTTCGATAGAAATCCAGCGATTGACGTCCCAAGCACGAAGAATCAAGCCTCTGTTCTAGCAGAGAAATGCTGTACGAAGGAGAATTTGTGATTTGTATAGCCATATAGAATATAGATGATTTGTTTACTTATAGTATATATCAACCTTTTCCTACATGAATGATGCAAACATACAATTGACCATGAGCGTGTTCGCACTTACGAACTTCTTGCACGAAGCCACGGGATATCATCATCCTCGACCTTGGCACACGTCAAATATCCCACTCCATTCGCATCAGGATCAATCATTAGGCCATTGAAAGCAAGAGGAAGCACTACTTCGCTCGCGTACTTCTTCAACATCTCCAAATCATCCAACAATTCCTTCCACTCCGCCCTCATGATACCCTGGCATGCCCTCCTCACCCTCTCACCATCCAAAGGCTCAAACAAACCCTTCGCCAAGCTCCGATAAAAAGTCCCTTGTTTCAGCAGAGCCTCGGAACTGTAGTGTGGATCCAGTCTGTAGATCTTCTGCGCTAGTTGATCTCTGAAGACGGCGACTACGAGCCATGTCTCGGTTTGGTCGCGTTCTGTGGGATCTAGCGGTCGCTCGTTGTATGGTAGACTCACGACGAGGAGGTCCTTTTCGATGTCTACTTTGAGCTGGTCGATGTCTCGTCTTTTCTTGCTGATGAGCTGGCGGAGTTCCGGGGATATAGATGCGCGGGAGGCAGGGGACCACGGCCATGTGGGAAATGCGCCTGGAAGCAAGGGAGTCAGTCTTTTGATTCGAAATCCGATTGTATGTGTTGTTGCCTTGAGATGGCTAAATGCGTACCTACCATATGAACAAGGCATTCTGCGTAGATGCTTTTGTTCTCGAGAGCTTCGCCGAGCTTGATCCAGCGTGGTGGGTCGTTCTTGATGGCTACAAACAGATCGTGGCGGTATTCACCGAGGAGCTTGCCGAGATGCGGACGAACGATCGGGAGGCATTCTAGCTCTATGGACGTTTGAACGAGTCGCTCGGCAATACCGAGAACTTTGGCGACTGGGTGGGGGAAGGACGAGAGTTGTATATCGTAGAAGAGAGCGAGGACTTGGGTGTAGCTTCTGGTGGCGTTGACTTCAACTTCGGTTCCCGTTTTTGATTCGGGTTTTATTTCGGAATCTTCGTCTTCAAGTTTGATCTTTACGCCGTCGATGAGTGTCGCGTGGCAGGGTTCGAGGGCATTGGTAACTGGGCGGTTACTCAATTGAGAGTCGTGAGAAATAAGATTGATTTGGCCATCATTAGAGCTTTCGATTGTGAAGTAATGCCAGGCGCACGCCCGCAGTTTGATCGTTCTCGAAAAGTACGGCGAATGTTGGGTGAGAATGGCGCCATGCAGCTGCATTGTCTGGTTGTAGGAGGAGGCGAGCTTTGATTGAATGACCACGTTTCCATTATCGAACATGGGAAATGAACCATTGGGCTTGGGTGATGATGACGGTGGAGCCAAGTGTGTTCCTGGGTTGCTCATTGTCATTGTGTTTCCTCGGAGCCCAGGAAAATCAACAACGGATCTTTGGGGCAGTGAAGAAGACGAGACGTTGATAAGACGTGAGAGAGACGGACAGGCTTATAATTATGATTCAGCCACTCTTGTCTGATACTACGGTGGGTTAAGGTAAAATAAGGTCAGGAAAAACGCTTGCCAGGCTAAGACACCGCCTGATGATCAGAACGGGGGACAAGAGATGGTAACCACTCCAAAACTGAGACGAGAGAATGGCCAATGAACATCCTATACAAGATTTCATGCTCATCGCTCCATCCAAACTCGTATAGTCACTTGTATAGTAACAATCGCGCTCTGCGATGTTGCAGTGCAGTGCAGTGGCTTTGTGTCTTGTGACCCTGTCTGGATGCTCATTGGCTACCGGGCTCTCATAATTCACATTCCGTGCCATGTAGGCCGAAGACGTCATGTCAATAGCTGCGGCGATCAAACTAGAAGCACCGAGTTTCGTCTTGATTAGATTTTGATTTTTTGCTGTGTTCATGGCCGCTGCAAGTGGAGGGGCAGAGTGATGTACTGTGAGACAGAATTGTTTTTCTCTTATGAACTCAAAGTTCGGCAAGCAGCGTGGACAAGCAATCCCTTCTTCTTTCACAGGTGAGCACTGAATTCCATCCTTACAATTGGACTACTCGATTAATAGCTTGTAGATATTCCTTGAGTACTCAGAGGAGTTGTGCGATCCAAGCAGCTTGGATATGCGCAGACTCGTGATGACGATGACTTGATTTCCTGGCTGGCATCTGAGAGTTCTCTGCAACTTCATCATTGTTTTGAAAATGTCATTGCCGTAGTCATCGGGAGGCTGTTATAGTGAGATCAACCCATTCTCGACCTCAGAATCTGCATATGCCCGAAACTTTCCAAGGTACGAAGACGACAAAGTCAGCGAAAGAGACTGCCGCTCTTCTCTGCACTTCTGACTGAGAACTATTACTAATGGCTATGCCGTGTCTGTACTGACAGTGTGAAGGAGTTACAGCGAGTCCTCAGTCAAGCCCCCTGCAGAGACCAGTCTGACGACTTCTAGAGAGAATCTCGTCGTCTCATCTCACTCCAGTCCACCTCACCTCACCTCACCAGTTGCCACCCACGTCACTCACTCTTGGCCAACGCACAATAGCAAACAAACAAACAACAAATTAGGCAACAAGGCAAGCAAACGCCTCGTAGGCGAGCTCTGCCACTCTCACCACCATCGTCAACATCTCTTTTAATAATAATCAATACTGTAATTGAGACGTCTATTTAATCAGTTAATCGGCAAAAATTCACATAGACAGGACAAACCACATGGCCAAACTCTCCACTTCGGTGTGCCCAAATGCGACGAGAGGGTGGTTGGGTTCGAGTCGCGCCCTTGTCAGTCCTCTTGAGCATCTATATTATGGCACCGCCCTTCGGGGATCTCTCTCAGGTCATGACCGTGCATTCACTGCTGGCAGTTGTTAGAGGGTGTTGAGATCAAGAGGGTGATGTCTGATACTCTTCGGAGGAGTCAGAGCTGGCAAGCCCCGGGCTATGAAAAGGAAAAGAGAGAGGAATTAAAAGGATGACGGAGAAAAATGGGAATATTAACACAGGTCCGAATTTTTTTTTACCAATTTTTTTTATTTTTTTTAGAAGAAATAGTAGTAGTAGTAGGGGCAGCAGCGGCAACAGCAGAGAGCGACTACTATCACACGTACATGCATGTGTAATTACGCATATTATCCCTATATGCTGGAAACTTTGACGAACATGTCCGTCAATATCCTCCTCTGCCTTGACCACTACAGCAAAGAATGTGCGTTCATCACATACACATACAATTGCCTACGCATATCAAATGCACGGGAATGCATCATCCATTGCCTTTGTATATCCTACCAACAGGCTCAGCACCATGATACTAGATGACCCATGTAAAATCCACTAAGTAGACACGTAAGGCACATAAGGAACCGCATGATTCTCATCACATATTCAAAATATCATTATCACTCACTTAGATGTTTGTTGCACATACGCATTTGAGCTTTTACTTCACGAGTTTGGTGGGAGTCGTAGAAATTGTCACGCATATGGGCTAAATAGCTAGATGTACATATGTAGATATCCAGGCAGCTTTGTCCAAAACAAGTAACTTCAGGAAAAAAAAGGCCAAGGGCACCCTCAACAACTTCTTTCGCTACTGCGGTGTAAAAGCTTGTGTGAAGGCGTAATCCGCAAGTATGTTCTGGTAATCGTCTGGCCACCTCGCATCCTATCATTGCTGTATACATCACTGTGTAAGAACACCCAAACTCCAACTTTGGAATTAGTTTGGGAAATTGGCGGCTACCAAAGCTATGCCTAGTCTCTCAATGCTTAATTTGCAAGGACTAGCCACGCAACTGTCAGCGTCATATTCCGCTAGGTTTACAAGACGGGGGTGTTGAGTTGGCAGATAAGTCCGGAGATTCGGACATACGTGATTTGCGTACTATCCTTAAGCGTCGTGTTACATGCAGCGGAGTCCAACTTGAACAACTCTCATATTCGGAAATACTTCGTGAGAAGCGGGAAATTAGCTGCTGGTGAAGTCATGTTTGACGAAAGTCTCCATGCCAACTCGATTAAGCCCTGGCTTGGGGTGTATCTAAATAGTATCAGGATGAAGTGCAGCAAGTCACTAAGTCGAATACGCAATAAAGTCTGCTGTTACTGATCGGGGGTTTTATTAAGACATTCGCATGTCACTTTGTAGCACATAGATGCCCTTCATCACTGCTGAACCTTGCTATGTGTAGTATAAGCAGATATAGGACGTTGGAGGAATATACGGTTGCATGCTTGCGGTTATACCCAACCCTAAGTTTCGTCACCTCGTCCTCGTCTATTTCAATTCGCTAAAACGTATGTCACCAGATCTCATCGCCAATGGTACGATCCTAGTGCGACTTTCCTACATGGAGGCGTTGATGTATACAGATGCGCTATGCCAAAGAACGATCCTCCAAAATAGAAAGCTTGGATGCATGTCGCGGATTTTCCCCAGAGCGGTAAAGTTTATGTGCATGAATGTAGGAACACAAATATGTCACGCGCACTTGGACTGCAGCAGAGATGCGGGCAATCAGCTAAAAGACCGGAGCGAAACAGCGAGTTTTCTTCCTTTGTCCAGCAGATTCCAAACCCAATCATTGGTAGGAGAATATATACCGCGAATTCTAGCATTATTGTAGTAGACAATGCCCCGCCTCTCACATCTCATATTCTAACCCTCTCACAATCCTACACAAATCCAGAGAAACGTTAGTAACTCGCCCTCTCTCCCGCCTCTCTCCCAACCGCTGCTGTCCCTGCCATTCACCAACCCTTTAACAACACGCAAGCAAGTAAGCAAGCACATCCCAGTCTAGATCAGCGCGCGCAAGGACCTCGTCCACCATCAAATAGTCGGTAAACAATATGCATGTTCGCCATTCTCTTTCCCTCTTTTTGACACGCCACTATTTTGCTTTTTCTTCTTCTTGGCTCTCTTTGGATGTGAGATCCTAGTCGCTACCTTGAATTGGCGTGCCGGGGATCCTGGGGCGGGGAACTCGGGAGGAGGAGCTGAATACGAGGGCTGCAAGGGTGGCATTGGTATTTGGGAACCCGCGCGGTTAAGAGAGAAAGAGGGATGAGGGATTGTCGGAAGGTGCATATAATCCTGATGTGTGATGACGATGTGAATTTTCTTTTGTCAATGCATGGCGTAGCGCATCGTCATGTTACCGCGCGAGGTATAGAACTTGGGAATAAGTGGCAAAGACAGCCGACTTTATTGCGGTACATGTTTTGGGGAGGCCGTTGGTTCGAGAATCGATCACACTGTAACGCGCACGCAGCGAAGGTCGCACAATAGTCTAACAGAACATGGTTTCATTCCAACGTCTCGCCCCAGAAGGGAAGAACAACAAGGAAATGAAATCGGGTATCATATAAATATATCGTACATGAGCGAATCCTCATCCATTTCCGCCCTTCTCATTTTCTTCCGTCCACCACCGTTCACCCGTTTCCCTTTCCTTGTGACAGGATACAGATAGACATATTCCCCGCCCAATGATATAACCATGCTGTTCCGTATGTATGTGCGTATGATTCCCAAAAAAATATGCGCCATCGCTATGCTTTTGAATAGGAAAGAAGGAACACCATAATAAAAGGCCCCGTCCCCAAAGGCCTGTGAAGAAGAGAGGGAGATGATGCGAAAGAAGAGACGTGCTATGTGGTTACAACCACATATTCTTAATCTCCTCGGTGATATGGTGTGTATGTGAGCAGCTCATCTCAAAGATGTTAGACGGGTGTGCATTGTTGGGGACTCGAGTTCGACTAGCACAGGGGCTTGCCCCTAATCAGAGTCGGATAGTTCAATAGCGTCAGCTTGGGAGGCACCGGGCATTTGAGCGTTCTGTGCGAAGCTCTCGTCGTAGTCTTCTTCCTCCTCGTCCTCTTCGTAGTCCTCCTCGTTTTGATCGTATGCGTCCCAATCATCGTTCGCATACTCTTCGTCCAGCTCGTCGTCCAGCTCTTCATCCGTCTCCTCCGCTTCGTATCCCTCTTCGTCGTATATAGCCTGTTGCTGGCCGTGAACGATATGTGATGGAGTCGCATCTTCACCTCCCTCCTCGCCATCAGAGGTACTGTACACAATGAGATCATCCTCGTCTTCATAAGCCTCCGCCTGGACTTCACCATTTTGTCCGTTCACAGCATGGAACGGGATTTCGGTTGAGGCCTTGGGGAACTGTGAAGGGGACTGGTTAACTGGATTAAAAACTTCGGTTGATGAACCGGTCGACAACCGGTTGCGAGATTCTTCGCGATAGGCACGGGCTGCTTCTCCACCTTTTCCGTATAGATGCGCGGGCACGAACCGGCTTGGACGGCTTTTGTAAGCAGCGGCTTGACCAGGCACAGCGGCGCCGATGCTACGACCAAACATAGACAACTGAGGTGGGTTTGCAAAGCCTGAAGCGGACGCACTGCGACGAGCTTCTGAATCGGTTTGATGGGAGTGCTGCGCCACGGGCGATCCAAAGAGGAGGTCGCGAGCCTGACTGATGACACTAACGGACCGATTTCTCCCGGTAGACTGTGGAGTCGCGCTGCCTCTATTGTAAGCATCTCGGACTGCGCGGAAGCGAGCGAATCGCTCTTCGTCTGTGGTTGGTGGGGGTAGTGAGCGACGGAAGGTTGATGAGGTCGAGCGGCGGGCTCGTTTAGCGTCCGCTTCGGCATCTTCGTCATCGGAGGACATGGATCCGTAGTTGCGCTTGCGATGTTCGCTAGGATCCACGCCCATGGCCCGTAGCTTGAACCAGTCAGTCTCTGTTCTGTCAATGGGCGCAGTCGAGTTGTAGTACGCATCCGAATAGTCGTGGCTGGCAGTATCTAGAGGCTGGCTTATGACATTCGTAGGACTTTGTGTATCCTTGGTTCCCTGTTTCTCTGCTGTTTTCTCTTTCTGCGTGGACTGTTTGTTATTTTGCGAAGTGGTGGTTTGGTCGAACGCTGACTGATTTGGACGTTGAGCACTTGCTGGCGTATCGGGTTTTCTAAAGGCATCGGGAGTGCCGTTGGTTTGGATAACAGGCTGCTGCCCAAGAGCAAGATTCTCCTTAACAGCACCAGCCCGCAAAGCTTTGAGTTTTTCACGTCTGTGCCTCGCTCCCGCCCTCTTTTTCTTCCTCTGTACTTGCTCCCACCATCGCGCACATACCGCCCGCGTGAATATCATACGCTTCTGTTGGTATCTCTCCTCCGCCACGCGCTCCAACCTCTGCTCTTCCAATTCCTGCGCGATCTCTTTGACCATAAACTGGAGCTTGTGGTCGATGAATTGTCTCATCAGTCCTTCATCTTCATCCATGAGTAGACTATTGCTAAGGGTGCTATATGCACGGGCTTTTTCTTCCTTCTCATACCGTTCCGCCTCCTCCTTGGTGCGGCGGAGCTGCTCAGCTTCCCATTGGCGCTGACGTTCCGCTAGTGCTTGACGTTGAGCTTCTTCTTGTATGAGACGTTGGCGTTCCTGTTCTTCTCGAAGTACACGTTGGCGTTCTTGTTCTTGCTGCAAACGGCGTTGTTCTTCAGCTGCTCGTGCTTTTCGATCATTCTCTTCTTGTATGCGTATCTTCTCTTCTTCAATACGCTTTTGCTCTTCAGCTTTACGCTTCTGTTCTTCAGCTTTTTCGCGTTCCTCGTCTCGTATTGACTCCACTGGCTGGGGAGAAGGCAGGAAAGAAAAGCCCTGGGAAGGCTCTTTCTGTAGAGGGGCTTGCGTAGTATTGGGGGCAAACGGTTTTGTAAAAAGGCCGGGGGTTGTTGGCGCCGGGGAAGACGAAGGAAACATCGGGTTGTTTGGGAATAAACTAGAAGGAGCCGAGGCTGGGGCACTGGCCGGACCCGGAGCTGCTGCAGGCTTGGCGAATGGATTATCTGCAAATTGAATGGAGTTCTTTGACGCATCAAAGATACCAGGTTTGATTGCAGGGGTTGTCGGATTGATCCCGTTGGGTTGTGTGGGATTCGTGAAAAGAGTTGATTTTGGTGCGGCACTGGTCATATACGAGAAAGGAGAAACCTCTGGTGGTTTGAAGGCGGTAGCATTCGGATTCAGGGTTCGACTTATCGACGGCTCGGTCACGAACAACGAATCTTCCTGCTCGAGGTCGTTTTCCTTCAAGTTTGCTGTGGCATTGTTAGAAAGGCCAGCTCCCTGGCCCGATGCTTTACAACAAATCTGTATACGTACTTTGAATGACATTCAAAAAGCTGCGTCCGAGTCGCTTTGGCTCTACAATATCTCTAGAGAAGTGTTGTGGCCGCAACTCCGGAGGCTTTTCGAGTCTGCCAGGTGGCATTGATTGCACATCTAGAACTTCCACACCCTGGTCGCCGACGACGAACCCTAGTCCATAATGCCCGCAGAATTCCTTCACTTGGTCGTGGTCGTCGAACCCGAGGGCATGCATGAGATTTTCCGGTGTCCAGTCGTTAACCGGTCCAGGCTTCCCAGACTTTTTGGGCTTGTATGCTAGCCGAAGGGTTTCCATGACATGATACCGTATTTGGTTGAAAGATATCTCAGCCGCGCAAGCCATAAGAAAAGACACATCCTCTTCGTTGACAGCTTGCCAAAAGTTGGCCCAGTTTTGCTTCTTCGTGGGGAAAGATTCAGCCACTTTGGACATGACTGCCAGGCCTGCTTGTCGGATCACATAGGCTGCCCGAACCCGCCTATTGTGAGAGAACTTATCCTTGGATCTCTCTGGATTATCCTCCAACTGTGTGTTATTGCCTCGAGATACCAATGACAGTATTAAATCATATGCGGCAAACTCGGCTTGGTGGGCATTGCGGATCCCTGTTTTCTCATTGTCGTCGTATCGGTGTCTCAAAGAAGTGAAGCAATTCCGAAGTTGCTCAACATCGTTACCATGATCTGTACTGTGGTCGTAGTTGGCGGAACTGCTGCCGGCCATTTCGTGGAGGCTGACTAGATGAAAGCGAGCGCATTGTTCGACCGAGGTTAGATACGCGGTGATATCTTTGGGCTTTATAGTTCCAACCATGTCCTTCCGTACGCTTCTCGTTCTGTCCCACAGCCACTGGTAGAGGAAGTCCAAGCCATCTTCATCAATCCTTCGGAACATGTAGTCGAGAGTTTTCTGCTGCAGTTAAGACGAGGCCTCACGAGATAGTTAGTCAAGAGACTTACTAGGCATGTCGCAGGCGTTCGCTTATCAGAAACCAATTCTTCTTCCTGCCCAGCTGCAGATCGTGTAAAAGCCTTCACCATGCGTGTCTCGTCCGGCACCCGCTCAAGACGAGGCCCATGTGCGGTTTCAGGCGTACATTCGGCAGCCTTGTAATCGTTCTCGACAATGCGACGGACTCGCTCGTATTCGGGGCACATATCTTCACAAATACCGTGGAGCACCACGCTATCCGCAAGGTTCATTGGACCATCTGGATTCATGAGTCGACGTGAAACTAATTCTTCTCGTAGGCGTGGGCGATCGTTGCGCAACTATAGCCGTTAGCATGGATGCTCACCTCTTAAAGAGGCCATTCTTACAAATTCCAGGCGCTTCGCATAGTCGTGGTCGGGATAAGGTGTAGAGTTCATAGAGCCGTTGGAAACAGAAGCAGAACTAGAGCCGGCGGCGAACTTGGAATTGCTTCCCTGGTGATGTCCTCGGCCTCGATAAAGAGGTTTGTCACCGCGCGGGTTGAAACCTCCGCGACCACCGCGGCCTCCACGGGGAGCGTCTGGCGCTGTATCCCGTATGAATGCATTTGTACCGTTTCCTCGACCACGCGCATTAAATCCCCCGCGGCCACCTCGTGGGGCATCTGGTGTTGTGTCTCGCATGACCGCGTCTGACCCGTTGCCTCGACCGCGCGCGACTCCACCACCGCGAAAAGGATTGACGCGGCCACCTCGAATACCTCGATCAGCACCGCCGCGGAAGCCGCGATTTCCTGTCGATGTCGACATTGTGATCAAGTTCGTCGTCGTACTCATGCGCGCGTGTCGCAGTGATGGTAATGAGATGGCAGGGGAGGACGTCAATGAGGAATGAAAAGGTTCCTTATCCGAGCAGGGAGCGCATTTGGCGCTGGAGATGGTTGAGGACGCCGGTGCTGGTTGCGCGCACCTTTGAGGAAGAGTGAAGACAAGACAAAGAGAGCTAGGTGATCTAGGTGATTGCGTTTGGAAGCTCGCGACGCACGGACCACATTTTAGCAACGGGGAAACCTTGGAAGCGCGGACAGATCCCGCTAGCATCAATTCAAACATCGCTGGTCATTTTGATTTCGTCACGCTCGCAACAAACATTGCAGATAAAAATATTGATTATGTTACAGTATCCGAAATGTTTGGGGTAGGTCAGTAACTCAATCAGAGTTCCCCTTCATTGCCTTACACACCTTTTCTGTGGACGATCGCCAATCGCCCACTATTCCTTGCTCCAATGCTACCATTATATTATTCATTAGAACAGACATATTGACAGACCTTCCCACAACCCCCATTACCTGTGCGAATACCCACACAAACGCCTCTCACGTATCCCAATGTGTTACCTCATAATTTCATAATTTCGTTACTTCATCGCTTCATCAACAAATATGCACCGAACAAATGCCGAAAAAATAGGACTAGGGGATGCGCCGGAAAGCGGATGAGATAGATACGCCTGGAAAAGATGCCGAAGCACATTCCCATCTGAGCATGAACAGAACGCCTGTCCGTGGAACCGTTCGGGACAAGAAACTTGATTACAACCCATGTGGATAGCCCGTGAGATCATACTTGTCTCTCTGGCCGGACAGGGGTAGGGCTTGAACCCCTGGAAATGGTTGCGTGCTCGGTGCTGTATACATATCCAAATTCCACGAATACATGCCGGTGTTTGGATCAAAGTAGTATGGTACTCCGCCCACGAAAGCGGGGTCCGAGGGTTGATATACGTAACTATTAGTCGGGTAGATGTTGTTGACGCTGGGAAATTCCGTTGTACCAGCGGGTATTATATTTTTGCAGTGGTCATCTGCATTGTTGGCTGAAGGCAGGTAATTTACAGGGGGAGTATAATAAGACGGCAAAGCCCCAGCAAAACTGGTATGGCACATTCCCGGGTAGACGGAATCGACAGCTTTTGGAGGAATGAAATCTTGCTCAGGCGAAACTTCTCGTGTGTTATAGTTGCTGTCCATCGACCGAAAAGATTGCGTATAAGAGGTCACGTCGTCGGGTTCTGTGTCACTCCGGGTAGCATCTTGCATCGACTGCGCTCGCTTTCGTTTACGATTCGTCAGACGTTGGGGTTTGGGAACATAGTACCAAGTAACCTTGTTATCCGAACCACAGCCCTCGGTAAGGATATAGGCCTCGTGGGATTTGGCGATGCTGAAAAGATTAGTTATGATTTGTGTGGCCCGTTCTTTCATACACTTGTGGTATGCTGCTTCCTTGGATGAAGAGAAAGAGTCGTCAGGAGTAGTGTCGATATGATAGATGGCATCTTTTTCGAGATTCTCCATCCATGATTGCGTGCGCTTCTTCTCATCTACGTCACGATGCACCATCATGATCTCGATTGCCAAAGGTATGAGATCTACGAGGCCAGGTGAGCTTCTGCAGAGCCATGTGCAGGGATGGACGAGAGCTTACGGTTTGATTTCAGATGAGAGGGCTCCGTGTATGGTGTATTCTTTGGCCACCAGGGCGGGCAAGTGCCGGATTTTGCTGTGGCAGGAGTAACTGTTTTGTCATACGGACCATAATCGCGGTTCCGGGATGGTTCCAATCGTTTGACCCAGGCGGTCACGATTTGTCGAAGTGGCTTCATGGTGAGCTCCTTGAAGCGGGTGTGGTAGAATTTTATGACAGCTGGGATATCGCTGACCAAGAGAGTGTTGGCCTCGAGCCTACTACAGTGAGGATCAGAGCCCCCTTGCTCATCCTTGTGATGGTCATCGTCATCGCCCTCTCGGATGTACTTGCGCGGCACCTTGGGCCTTGCAACGCTGCGCGTAGTGGAAGGGGTTGGATTTTGCCCTGGATTGGAGATGCTTTGTTAGTGCAGTGCACATGGAAGTGTAGCGGTCATATTAAGCTCACCTCGTGCCTGGACGGTCTTCGGCGCTACTGGTAATCTCCAGCCGGGGTTCTGGGGCGAAACGATGGCCCTTGTAGCATTTGTAGCATGGCGTATAGGCGGCTCTATACTATCTATAGTATCTATACTATGACAGCCATCGAAACCGTGTGATGGGATGCAGAGGGTGACGGCGGGCTTGGCTTCGGCTTCGGGCACGCCCCGGTCCCGGTTCGGCTTCGGCGCTCTCGGCTTCTTCAATCTCGGGTCAGGGTCCTGAATATGCGGCAGGGTCCGTTAGCAAGAATAACACACACACACACAGGCAAGCCTTGACGGGACGGAACGGATCGCAGCCCACTTGTACTGGAAGCGTTCGCTAAATTTCCGAGAGACTGGCTGCGAGAAAAGACGACTGCGAGAGAAGACGAATGTCGTAAAATACGACACCACACCTACCCCAGACTCAGATCTCGACCGTCTGACTTTTGCTTCTCTTGCCATCGCGTATCAACTGCAACAGCCCCAGATCACGGTAATGTGGTTCGACGCCAGATTCTCTTCGTAGAGGGTCACCGGCAGAATTGGCTGAGCGTCTCGACTTCAATTGTGGAAGGAAATGGTACGTGAAGGAAAAGGCCTGTTTCAAGCATTAGTCCAAATCCTGCAAACCCCAATTGTACCAGGGACTCTTTTCGTGGGAACTCTGAGTCCGGTACAAACGGTTATCGTTCCACTCACCTATTGGCTTGCGGTGTTTGGTCAAAATCGGCGGATGAGATGCTTTGGTCGCTGTGTCGTAGCACAGAAGGCTTTTGCAGAGGGTCAGGTGAAGAAACGGGGGATACTAGAACAGCTTCAAGGATGGAGAGGCTGCCCACGTCTTAAGGAACTGATTTATTGACCAGGCGACTTGCCTTTAAAACACGTCGCCAGGCAATCCTTGCTGTTGTTGCATGAAAGGAGAAGGCACTTCACCGTTCAAACACGCACTTCCTCCTATCCACCAGAACCGCTACCATGGACTACAAGTCAGTGGGAGCATGCTCTCTGCCGTAGATTGCGCGCATGGCATGACACTAGCAGACGGGACCACCAAGCCAGAGTCAGTATGAAACCATGTTTAGGGAACAGTGAGCTATGATTGAATCGACACCTCCCGGTGCTACCCTATCAGAAATCGGATCAGGAGGTATTCTGGTTCCTTGTGTGCATGAAAACGGCTGTCAATGCAAGGCTCAGGTTACGCTAGCAGTGAAGGCCGTGTTCCCCGATGCACATCCTCTGATCCCCGCCCCCCCAAAAAAGTGGCACCAGTATGCTCTGGCGAGACTTGTTGGCGCGACCCGCTGAGCGATCTGCCTATGTAAGATGGCGACCCACAAAGCCTTGCCGAGAAGCTGAGCAGTAATCGAAGCCTTAAGCTGGTAGTTCCCTACCGCGGACGGTGGCTGGGAATTTCTCTTCACCCCGGCATAAGATGCGCACGAAAGAATTCGAGATCTTGTCCAGTCGCTGATCAGAGGCATTGCTGGCCTTGTTTGATAGATGTACAAGCGCATCGGATGGATTTGTAGGACAGAAAACGTTGTGAGGTTTACAATAATTCGACCGCAGAAGATTTTATCAAGTACACATTCATCACTAACGAACAGATTGCATTCAACGAATACATCACGGAACAAGGCGATGCTCTTAGCCGCTTGACAGCCTGACAGACGCCACTCGTACGTACAATTGCATACGATGGGCGGAATTTGTCTACCAATCCTGGCGGCATCTCTAAAGGCACGATTCCAGTATTTGTGTGTGCCCGACGCCAACCTCCCGTTCTCTTCAATCACTTCCACGTATGTCCAGACGGCACAGCAACCCTGTCTGAATGGCAGCTTCCCCGCCATTACCGCCTCTGTTCAATTGAGATGTCACAAGTCCACAGCATCCGCACTTACCGCCCGCACGGCATACCATGGAACTACAACATCAGGACCACTCCTATCTTCTGTTCCCTTCCTCCCCGTAATTCCGGTTTGCGATCGATATTGCGTCTGTAACAGAAGAAGCGTCTCGACAATCTGGCCTACATATATTAGTACACGGACGCACCCGTCAAGACCCTCATCCGCCTATCAGCTGAAGCTGTGCAAGGATACTCATCCTTTTGAGTAGACCCTTGTAATCGGCATTACCGACAGGCATATTCCCTACCATGCAAGCGCACGCTCCTGGCCCCGACATCTTGCTCTAACAACGTCCGCGATTGGTTAGGTGCTGCACAAAGAGACCACACCACACCTCCGATCCCGACTCCTCCCAACCCTCATCTTGGGATCGAGAACCAGACCAAAGCGGGTTGATATCATTCCACAAATGCACTTCCCCTGCAACGATGGACGTTGCAAGTTTCATCCATCATGCCTTCTTATCCACGTGAATGAGCAATGGGTTATCAGCTGCATCCATACATACCCCAATAGTTTTCCCTGAACTTGCATACCTAGAGTACCACGAAACGCCACAAATACCGTCATGCAGACGATGCCTAGGAGAAGAACCATCAATCAGAGCGCTTGTCTCTTCGCCATGCAGTAGCCATGCCGTCCGTCCACCCGCCCACTGCCTTGCACTCCCTCCCTTCCTTACCCGCGCTAATGTGTATAACTTCCCCCCTGTTCCCAGCTAATGTGTATACTTTTTTCTTTTCTTCTTTTCTCTACCTTGCAATCTTGCCCCCCTGGACTCAGTTCGCCGCACATCCGCCCACTCTCGCTGTCGAGCAGGTAGTAGACGTGTGCCGCTCCACCCCCTTCCAGCTTCAGTGCCTCATGTGGCCAAATACTGTGATGTGCATATTATGTATGTGCGCAAGAGGTTACCTACCAAACTGTACGATGCCATGATTAGAAACACCGTCTCCTTTTGCGACCACTCTGCAGAAGACCGGTGTGCGTTGGCGGGATTGCAGCGATCGAAGCAGCAGTCAAAAGCGACAAGCAAAAAAAGTCCCTCCCCCTTTCCCATCTTCGCCGCCGCATACTTGCCTCCCTTCCCCATCTCAATATTCATGCGTCTTTCCTCAACAGCAGCTTGTGAGACACGCGGAAAGATCGTCTGCACGCCCCACCATCTTCTAGAACGACAAGACCAAAAAGCAATGAAACGGTTGCTCTAACCCCTTTCTCCCCTCCCCACCCTTCCCAACGTGAAGCGAACCGCTCGGCAACGTCTCCATGACATGATTTTCCCTTGATTTCCTCCTCGTTGCCAACTCAGCGCAACACTAACCCCCCTCCCACCCCATTCCCCCCATCTTGGCATTCGCAAATCCCGCTGTAAGTGAAGGGACAGGAAAAAAAATCTGGAACCACAGACCCAACTACAGCTCATTCCTTCCAAATTTGCTCCCCCGCGTGCATCCATGCAAATGCATATACCGTGATCGGGCCCAGATGGTTCCGAAACGATCAAGATCGAATCAGATCAATCGGATCTGCAGACACTGCTGCAGTATTCCCATGTGAGGTCAAAAGTGCTTTTTTTTTATGTGGTTGAAGAAGTGGGTAGATTTATAGACGCGATTTACGCCTTCCCCCCTTCCCTTGTGTTTCTGTGTTGGGCTTCTTTTGGGGGGTGGATCGCGTGGATGGGCGGAATGTAGGAATCACTACCATATGAGGTTCTGGCTTTGAAACATGGCAGATTGTTTTGGATTGAAAGCGGGAGAGGAAAGATGGAGAACGGGGAAATTGGGACAATGGTATATCTCTTCTTCATTCTCCGCAGAAAGAATGGTTTAGATCGAATGATCTATGCATGTTTACCGCCATCTCCCTTCCCAAATATACACAGAAAGAGAGAGTGTGGGTGGAAAAGTAGAGCAGCAAACGGAATCCTGCATCCCCACCCCCTTCTCTACCGTCGCAGTCCAACTCCATCGATGACACGTGAAGAACAAGAACAGCATTCCAATGTCGACAGATGAACCCGGACCCACACGTTTAGATATGTATACAAGCAAAGCAAGAACAACTAGATCCATGCATCAATCAGACGAAAGCACAACATACGCATACACACCTTCACCTCCACTTACACAGCATGTACGCACAAGCTAGCGACCCACCCGCCCACCTTTACCGCCCCATGCATGTCCATGTCCATGTCCGTCCCACTGTATCCACACATAACATAGCATAGATACATGCGTACTTACTCTTCTCAGCTAGACCTACATATGCCCCTCTCACCCTCTAATAGCATCCGACACACGCATTACCCGAAGAAATCAAAACACCCCACAATCGTACCAAATCTATCAAATCTCATCGATCAGGAATGGAAAGGAAAAAGGAAAAAGGATCGTAGATAATGGTCCGCGATTCATGGTTCCTCCCCCCGTTCCTTCCCGCGAGACGTGGTTCTTTGCAGGATGTATGTCTGCGTCGTTATCATTTGATCGTGCTTTTCTTTGGCTTGGCGTACATGATGGTATGTATCTATGTTTGGAAGTGTTGGGCAGTGCGGTGGTTCTGTATACCAGGGTGCTTTGATTACGGATTTGTGAGGGTTGTTGTGCTCTTTCAAACAAGTATACACACACATGTATATATGGATAGATGAAAGTAACTTGGTCAATCACGTTCGCATGAGTGAAGTGAGTTCGAAACAATTGTGCAGGCGATCGAGTAAAAGAGGTGAGCAAGTGACATAGGGATCCACGGAAATGAGAGGGAAGATTGACGGATTACCCGCCAAAGCATCATCCCAGCACCACACAATCCCCGTGATTTGCGTAACAAGCACTATACCCCGTCGCGAACCACATACATGAGGATGTCGTACACAGCATGCTTCCGCGGGAAAGAGGTGGGGGGAGCACGGGGGGGAAAGGGAAGGGATCCCATGATTGACAATTTTTCTGCCTTCATCTCTCTCTCTTCTCTACATATCTGTCTCTCTCCGCAATTTTTTTGTGTGCCGGTGCACAATAGACAAGTCAAAGTAGAAAAAGCCCACCTTTATACACACGGCATATACACATGTGCACATTCATATCATGCACCCATTCCAGAAAGAGATGATGGCCTTCGCTGTGCATAGGCCCCACCTCCATAACGATCCTACCCCGCGATGACTATCCGTCCTCGTCACCGCAAAAAGATTAATTCCCGAGAAAAGTACAACCCAACAAGTCCGTCCGTGCGTTCTATACGAGCGGCTTGCCTCAAGAGAATCCAACGCAAGCCAGTTCGCTCCCAATTGCTCCATTTTCCATTTTCGCGTGTGATGAAGCGGGGTTGTCATGTTTGTCTACTACCACCTTCCTCATTTATTAGGGTACTGTAGCCGCGTCCGGAAACAAGATTTGCTTTTTCTCTCTCTCAACTCTCGAATTAGGTCTGCGTGACTTCCAACGAGTTTAGAAGCCCAGCCTCCTTGACCAGACCATAAAATAGGCCCTTCCGTCTGACCAGTTCAGCGGGACTGTCGAATTCCGCAACCGTACCGCGGTCCAGCACGATGATTCTGTCAGAGTCCAGAATTGTATTGATTCGGTGTGCTATGGTGATGATCGTGCGGTTTCGGAACATGGGGCTGCGGAGTGTAGTCTGGAGCATGGCATCGGTCTCCACATCAACAGCAGCCTGCACAATAATGGTTGGTTAGCGTTTGAAGAAGAGGAGACGGGGAGCTGTGATCAGACGAAGCGCAGCCTAGGGTGCCTGAGCTCGTGGGGAAAGGGGAGGGGATGGTACGCACGGTTGCTTCGTCTAGAACCAGAATGTTGCTGGGAGCAAGCAAAGCGCGCGCCAAAGAAACAAGCTGCCGCTGGCCTGCGCTAAGATTGGAGCCTACCAAAACGTGTCAGCTCTGGTGATGATGCTCAAATTGCCAAGTGTGGCTGTTACATACCGCCTTCGTTGATCGTAGCCTCTAATTTCCCTGGCATGCTATCGACATGATCCTTGAGACGAGCATGTTCGAGAACGCTCCACAATTCAGTGTCATCGTGTACGTGGCCTGGGTCCAGATTGTCGCGCAATGTACCTTCGAAAAGGGCAGCATCTTGAGGAATAATAGCCAAACGGCGTCGTAGATCTAGCAGGCCGATGGTGCTGGTATTGAGATTGTCAATGCTAACGTTGCCATCCGTAGGTTCAATTACGCGGAACAAGGCTAAAGTTAGACTGCTCTTTCCCGCACCCGTTCGACCGACGACTCCGATCTTCTCATGTGGCTTGATGTCGAGACTGACGTTCTTGAGAACCAGATCAAGGCCTTCCCTGTATCTGGTACTGTAGTTGTTAAACGACACACCACCCTGCGACGGCCAGCTCACTGGTGGTCGGTTCTTGGAAATGATTTCGGGTGCTTCAGTTGGTAGAGCTGCGTATTCAAGCACTCGCTCGACAGCCACAATGTTAGATTCAACTTCGACACTTTGGCGCACAATCCAATTGAGAGACTGGGTGATCTGCAAAGCGTAGGACATGGAAAGACCGACCATGCCCGCAGATAAGTTGCTGTGGCTGGCAACGGAGATGATGGCAAATCCAGCGGAAGCCAAAATGATGACAGACCCAATGAACTCCAGGCGCACTGCAAGCCATCGGTTGGCGCTTATAGAGGGAAAGTAGGCACGCAAATTTGCATCTACGCGCCACTCGTTCTCCAATTCAAAGCGGTTTTGTTGGCCATATGCTCGGATAGTGCTCATACCACTCAATGACTCTTGAAAGTGGGCATACATGGGGCTGCGGCTGATACTGTCTAGTCGTTTTAACTCCCGTGACGTGCGCAAATAATACCTCTGGATGTAGAGATAAAGTGCACCAAGGGGGAGGATGAGAGCTATGAATACAGGCGTCGAAGCCGAAATGATGGCCAGGGTGAAGGCGGCTGCAGCTGTCAGTCAACGGTTACAAGGCAGAGATGCATGGCGGGACTTTGTACCTCTTGCCGTGTTGACAAACAACATGTTGAAAGTTCGGCTGCATCATGTTAGCTGATACTCGCAGATCGGGTAGGGAGTGGGGGTAACTGACGCTAGAACCTCATCAACGCGGTATATATCGCTGTAATAACATCAGCATCTTGCATCCGTGAACTAACTGAAATGCTGAGTCCAGCATAGAGACCTACCTGGAAAATCGGTTCAAGATTCTGCCAGCTGTGCAAAGTTAGCTACATTTCCTCGGTACGATTATAGGCCGAGTCGGTCACGGGGCAAAGTGAAGCCACCGAAAGTCCGGCATACGTACCCGGTGTGGTGTCGAAGAAACTCATTGGTGAGCGGAATATCGCGTATGCCATCCGCTCATGCAGCTTCCTGCTTGCCTGGATTGTTGGGTCAGCCATCTACATAGTTCATGCATAATATGGAGGGGTCGTTTACTTCAATCGAGCAGAATATCCAGAGAATGAGAGTTTGGACAACATTGAGTGCAGCAGATCCCACGCCAAATGCAAAGTAGATTCCGATGTACTTGCCGACCTGCGGGTTGCCGCCGTACCTCTGGTTGACCTCGGACCAAGTCTTGAGCCACACACTTCCGCCTGTGTTGAGTTAGTGATACATTCGCGGAGATGAATATATAAGCCGCAGGGTGGGGAAGCGTACCGACAGATAGTGTTTGCACACCCACGAGCAGCGCAAGGTAGACCCCAACCGCGATGAGATTGCTGACCTTTGCGTACTCGGCGTAAACAGACCACTTCACTTTGCCTTGTTCAGAAACTTCTTTCTGCTGTTTGCTCTTCAAAGCTCCGCCCTCTTCGTCCAGAACCTTGCCCCGGGGGCCGCGGAAGCTAGCCGTGCTCGCACGCCTCAATGTATTGAAACTGCTCTTGCGGGCCGTGCCGTTGCTGGGACGGAGCGGTGCCAGGTGGGTGTTCTCTTGTGCAGCCTCGGCTTCATTGAGATCTTCGTCATCCGAGAAAGGGCTCATGGCCTCTTCTTCGCTGACAACACTCTCTGATAGTGTCCTTTCATCTTCGCCCTGGTCTTCATTCTGGGATGCTTTTATAAGAGCCGCGATCTCTCCTTTCATGGCCATGAGTTGATTGTATGTGCCCCTTTCAAGTACCCTGCCCTCTCGGAGCAATACGATCATATCCGATTGCATCAGAACCGGGATTGAATTGGTGGCCAGAATCCTGGTTTTGCTAGCCAGTAGTCCCTTAGGACCAAGAACATTATCAATCAAATGTCTCCCAACGTGCTGGTCAACGGCCGAGAGACAGTCATCCAAGAGATAAACGTCAGCACGGGCATACACAGCACGGGCAAGTGTCAGTCGCGCTTTCTGCCCGCCTGAGAGGGAAATACCACGTTCGCCAACCTCAGTTTGATCCCCGTCGGGAAGCTGTAAGAAGTCGTCGCGAAGAGCGCATGCGTTCACGGTCTTATCGTAGAACTCTGGATCCCATCGATGGCCAAAAACAATATTCTCCCTCACAGATGCATTCATGACCCAAGCTTGCTGGGGAACATAGGCTGTTTTTCCTCTCACTGACACATCGCCCTTGATTTTCCAAAGATCTCCAAGGAACGCTTGTAGAAGTGACGATTTTCCAGAACCAACACGACCGACGATGCATGCAAGTTCACCCTTATTGGCTGAAAAGTTGATGTCGTGTAAAGCGCGTCGCTCTTGGTGCCTGTCCCACGTGAAACTTGCCTCGCGAATGCGAACTGACTCTTCGCCATTTTCTTCGACTGCGTCCCTGCGACGAACGGCGTCTTCTTGGAGTTCTTCAGCAGTCAAAAAGCTGGTAAGGCGACCTACTGCTACCGAAGCCTCCACAATGGCTGTGATTACCATGGGAAGGATAGCGAGAGGGAACGTCAACAAGTTGAACAGAGTAAGAGCCGGAAACACTATGTCAGTCGTCAATGCTCTTTGCTGTGTGAGAACAAAAAGACCGAAAGTAGAGCACGACACCAAAAATGGGGTGGTGGACCACGTGAAATTGGACATTGCCGTTGTGGCTCCGATCTTCCGCAGGGTCTTGAGTTCTTGGTCATTACGGATATGGTTCAGACGGTTCATGAAAGCCGTTGTCCATGCGTACAATTTGATCGACTTCATATTGTTAAGGATTTCCGTCATGAGTCTCGTTCGAGCATCCTTGTTTTTCATCTGCTCCTTTTGCAACGACTTCATAAGGCGTGCTATGATTCCATTCACCGGTATCATGATAATCATGGCGGCAACGCCTGCGAACATGCTCCAACCCAGAAGTTGATACAGGGACAACATGCACAACACTATCTGGAAAGGCGCAGACCAAAGTTGCTGACCGTACTGTGCAAGGTCCTGAAGGCGCTGAGTATCAACGGCCATGTAATTGACAATGTCTCCTGTGGTTTTTGCAGCACGTCCTTCGTTGGACAGGCGCGTGGCCTTCGAATAGATGGAAGCAGTAAGGGAAGACTTGATCCGCATTCCCGTTTCAAATGAACGCTGGAAATATTGATGTAGCAAAGCAGTCTGAGTTACAGAGACGACGAACATTGCGAGTGCAATAGCGGCTCCACGTATGATCGGTTGGGGATGATCGGTATGGTGGGAGGCTACGAAACTTATCAGCAGCCTCAAAAGTTGCGGCTGGACGAAATTGAGGACATCACTTCCAGTCTTGATCACCGCGCCAACAAAGTAGGGACCGCCAAACGCGCGGAACATGGCCAACCACAGCGATGGGTTCTTCTTCTCTAGTTCATGTTTCCACGCCTTATCGAATAGATTGGCCGTCTCGCGAGTCGAGTCTGCTTTGCGCAGAGTCCAAAGATCATCTTGGGTGAGGAACGTCTTGTATCCCCGCTTCATCATTGGGGTCATCCAGCTGAAGGTGAGGACCGAAAAGACGTCAGCGTATTCGTATGGACACTCGTCATCGTCGCCCAACGCGTCGTAGTCACTCAATCGCTTCTGCACAAGCCACTCTAGAGTGAACTCTGTAGCTGCTAATCCGACACTGACGCAATAAAGAACGAAATAAGCCACATGCTCATGATGTATCTTTTGAGCGACCAGCGACCGAAGCTTGACCGCGTACGCGATGAGCAAGAACAACCAGTAGAACAACACCACTCCATTCGCATTACGCGACCGCCAATGTTCGGTGTATTGGACGAAAAAGACTACGCCGAGAGAAATGATGGTAACGATGGAGGTCCAGAATCGGAAGTCGCCGGCCCATATGCCTTTGAAGTATTCGATTTGGAGGGCAGCTTGCAATGCGGTTGTGAGGATCAGGGCAGCGATTGTGCTCTATTGGCACATGATAATCAGCATACTTGAACTGCATAAAAGCAAAAAGAGACTCACCAGCTTTGCGTAGAAATGCCAATTCTTCTTGACGGGCTGCGCGGAACAGTGGCGTAGAAGATACCAAGATGCACCAGCTCCACCCAGTATACCCAGCGCGGCCACGACAGCTATCCAGACATCCAGAAAGCAGGGTGTGAAATCATATCGGTGTGGGCTGAGAGGCCCCCATCCTTCGCTATTACCGCATAACGGCTGGCGGTGGTGCTGGGAAGCTGCAAGATAGCCGTGGGCCGGAGCGAGCGGGATGGAAGGCTTCAGAGGGATCTGCAGACGCTGCATTGAAATTGGGGGTCGAACTGTGCGCTGCCGTGCTCTGGAGAGTCAAGGCAGAAGGCAGAGGGTTTGTCGAAGCGGCGGCGAGGTATGATGCGACGATTGGTCTTTAGTTTCGGGGGAGCTCCAGCTAATGATGCACCTTCCATGTGCTGCTATGACGATTATTCAGCACTAACCCCACCTCGGTTCAGACGAACATGGGACGAAAAGAAATCGTGCACACTCCGCTCTCGATACTCGACGCGAACTTTCTCACAGAGTGGAAGCGGGAAGAATTCTGGATTGCTAACACTTTGTATTCCATGCAAAAACCTACAGCCATGGTCCTCACCGATACTTGCTGATGCCATCGTCACAACCCTGAGTCGGTGAAGGAAGCACAGACTCCTGGCTCCCGGTTTTCTGGTGGCTACGTTAGACAAAGGGAAAAACACCTACTATCGATTGCATAGGGCCAGCCAATCGCAAGGCACGTGGAAGGGATTATACAAGTGGAGAAACTTTCCCGCTGTGAACAATCCCCATTGCTGCCTTGTCGTACCGATCACGGGATGCAACGGGATTTATGCGACCGTATGATTGATGACTGTTAAGATATCAGATCTACATGGGTTTGGCCAGCAAAGAAGTCTCCCAGTTAGATATCCGGAAAAATTCATTCGGATTTGGGGCTGACAAGAGGAAACCGGACACCAAGAGAAGCATTATATGTAGGGGAGGCAGCAATGTCCAGTTTATATTGTATTAGTTCCGAAATTCTCTGCTTCGCGCTATACATTCTTGCAAAATGTCGCTGATCCGCTTGCCTTCGTTATGTTTGGAATTCATCGGACGGGTACGCGTTTATATCTTTCCATAGATCAGTAAGCGCCTTTCCCCGCTCCGAAATATACATGTACATGTAGTCGATGATGAGGACAAATCGGATGTTCCGTATGCTCAACACTCTAGGGATTTTGTCATTATCATCTATTTCACTATATATATTCTTTGCAAGATAACTTTGCCGTAAATAAAAATCACTACATCGTCATTCACCACATCGTGTTCCCGATCGGCCACTTTGCTCCGCAAAGAGGCTGCGAGACGGTAACGTCAACACCCGGAACGGATCGTGAATGGCCAGTTCGAAAGCAACATCCCCAGCACTGCAATCATCAGCTGTACCCCTCCATCACGAAGATATCTAGCGTCCGAATTCATTATTGTCCACATCCCACCCAAATCCGACATAAACATTTGCAGGAAATGGCGTCCGAAGTTCAAGCTGATAATGCCATACGCTTCTACGAGTCACGATCCTACAACTACGACGATACCTGGCACGTGGATTTCACGAAACGCTTCATCTCCTTGATTACTGTCGAGCCAGGCCACAATGTTCTCGATCTCGCCTGTGGAACCGGGCTCCTCACTTTCCTGGAATCAGAAGCAGTGGGGCCAACAGGACATGTGATCGGAGTAGACGTGACACCAGGAATGCTCAACATAGCAGCGCACAAGAAACGGCAAGCCGGTAACAAATACGAAAATGTGAGTTTCCTGCAGGGCGACATCTCACATCTGGATCGAATCCAAGGCTTGGAAGGGAAGACGTTCGACGTTATCACTGTGGCGTCTGCTCTGGTGCTTTTCCCGGATCCTAAGGCAGTGATTGAGCATTGGGCCCAGTACCTCAAGCCTGGAGGCATTTTGGCATTGGATTCGACGCATCCTAGAAATCTGGTCTCTGGCATGGTGCTGGAGCGGACAGCACGGCGACTGAATCTTGCTGTGCCGTACAACCGAGAATGGAGTCAATCCGAGTCAACACTGAAGAACGTTGTGGAGTCAGCTGGACTTGAGGTTGAGAAGGTGGTGACTTGCGAGAACCAAGCAGGATACGGGAAGCGCTTCCACGACGTCGATACTTGGGACGACCATTTCGTGGAGAATGTTATTATGAAGGACGTAACAAGAACTTTTGCTACCAACGAAATCAGGAAACAGGCGCAAGGAATCTTCAAAGAAGAATGGGAGCGACTATCTGTAGACGGCAAGGTCGAAGAAGTTGACGCCGTTTTTCTAGCCATAGCGCGAAAATGTGGGTCAAAGCTGCTTTTCATCAAAATGGTATGCTAACATCAGTATACGTACAGCTGCCGACGGGTCCCGATACATCTCTACGTCTGCAAACAAAGACATCGTTTTCACTGGAGGATGTCGCTGCGGGAGCGTTCAGTACAAGTGCACAGCCCAACCATCTGAGCTCACGTTCTGCCACTGTAGGACTTGTCAACAGGTCTCCGGAAGTGCATTTCTACCTTTCATCGAGGTTCCTACGGAGAGTTTGGAGTTCACTTCGACCATGACTCTGAAGAAGCTGGTTCTTTCGTCCAAGTCAGACAGGAGTTTCTGCACAGGCTGCGGAGCCCCCATCAGCATGATTTTTCGTTCCAACCCTGAAGAAACCAGCCTGACGATGAGTTCAGTGGATCAGGATTCGTTTAAGGGCACGATGCCCAAAGTAAAAAAACACATATATCTGGAAGAAAAAGCGCCGTGGATGGTACTTCCAGAAGATGGTGCATCCCGTTCGCAGCGGGTCGAGCTGCTAAATACCTCGGATACTTGAACAAGGAATCGGACGTTACCATTGCGTGATGTCGTACGCTTTGGATAGAGCATAAAGACATCACAAAAGCATAATTTACACACCGGGGAGGCACATCTTGTACACGCCAACGATGATCATCTATAATTTATGAATGATATAGGTAACTTCAGGGGTAATGTGGTATTTCATCTTGTCACTCGGAATACATGTATGGAAACAGCAGGTGATGTTACCTAGGTATGTGCAGGTAATCTGGGCAATCTAGATCCTTCATTTTCCATTGTCCCAATTGAGCTTAAGTGCTGCTGCTAAGCTCAGGCTTTCATCATCATCTGAAACCCACTGACTTATCTGACTGCGTTGCTACCTGTCCAAAGGTCACTTGTTCTATGCGAACAGTCACGTCGGCGGCCGTGTTTCCGAACGTTGATCGGGCAGCATTGAACTCAATGACACTACCGGATGCACTTAGCTTCAGGTGCCGGGGATGGAGCCGATGCAGCTAGGCATTGGGTCATAAGTTGACCTCCCTGTCGCGCTATATTCACTCTTCTCCATTGCGAGAGCTCTAGCAGCAATTTTTTTTTCTGTCGCATCTCGCAGCAGCCCATTTTGCGCGTTACTGTTCCGTTACACCGTTTCTCGCGGAGACGGGTCGACGCATCGTAGCGCTTCGGTATGCTGTGCAACGCGCCTGTCAACTACAAACAGACGCGCATCTACTTCAATGTCGCCTGAGAAACCTGACATCCCTCCGTCTTGCATTATCCACCCATAATTCTATAATGTGGCTTCCTCCTGCGAGCTCATTCAACGCCGCCGCTGGCTTCGCTCGCGTCTGGATCCTATTCCCCAAAGTGTGGGCGCGAATTGGTGGATTTTATGACTGCTCGAGCTCGACGACATTCGACGAAGGACAACGCAACGCGCGAGGTTAAGACCAGGCATTTCGGCATGATCAGATCGGGCTTTGGAATGCCTATGTTCAAGGAAACCTCCTGTTGATGGTGTCAGTCGGAAACTCAATGGACAGATTTCGAAAGGATACCAATTTGTGCCAACGATACGGGTGTGTCGCCCTGTTCCTTTCATTGTCTTCACAGGTGCAGACCAGACATCAAAGCGATCTGCGGTTTTTCAACTTTCAGGTTCAAAATAGCGCATCACAATCGAAAACATTGTCTGAAATGTTCCGGTTTCTGTCGCGCGTCCTAACAACGGGGGCCGATGATCATCACCTAAATAAGAGCGGTTTTGTCGCGGCTTCATTACCCTCAAACAGAGAGTAGAGTTGAGAAAACCGATGGAGAAACAGCAAACAAAGTCGCTCAGAAACAAGCAAGAGATATTGGCAGTTCGGAGATAGGTGTGATTGGTGATGGCATGTCGGGCGCGTACATCGCTTATACAGTACGGTATCTCTTCGCCCATCAGCGTGCGCGCAGAGTCGGCCAGTACGGCGGCCACCAATTTACTGACCGCTGCGTTGGCAACCACCCTGGGTCACAACCCGGAAGATGTGCATCCGCGAACACGTGCTGACATAATTATTGAGGCTCAAATTATTATGGACGCGTGGTTCGCCATTGTGGCAATCCCCCAGGACACCAATGGCTAAGTACTTGATTCAAATCAGAATTCAGTGCATCGACTGGCCGTGACTTGGGTCGAGGTCGCCCAGCACTGAGCACATTGGTCAATGGGAAGGCGAGCTCACTTCTGAGGCCTTGACTCGTTCGTTTGAGTGCATGCTGCATACTGCCCACCGTATCGGCATAACACAAGCACACTGAGCAAGAACAAGAATGTGGACTCTACCTCAGCGAGCATCTTGGACAATCCATAGAGCCAAAACTTGTCTCGAAGCAATGGATTACGGCAATGGATTACGAGTGGACAGTCACATTATTCCGACGGCGTTCTGCTTCAACAAGTCGACCGCAACCCAGGGCGACAAGCCTAGGCGGATGACGAATTACCTTTGGGTCGTAGGTGTCAAGCATATGCAACCATCCCTCGCTCTTCTCGATACCCATCTATATCGGATCATTCTTCTTGAAAAATCACTGGTGTTGGAAAATCCACTATTCCGTTTCTCGCGCATTGTTCTGAGCCATAGCATCCGAGTGTAAAGGCGGAATTACCCATCTCTCCCCCCCCCCTCGAACGTTCCCTAATTCCCCGCTCCCCGTCACTCACTTCATCCTCCCACCACCCTACACTGAGTTCCAATACTCTTCGACCATATCTTTAGAAAAATTTGCAGACACTCATCCTGCGCGCTCTGTTGCCAGCAAGCACAGAGCACCACCAATTCCGACTGTGCAACGCACCCACCGCCTCTCTCCCTCTCCTCTCTCTCTGCTTCTCCGTCTCCCACTCACAACCCAAGCAGGGGGCTTCATCGACCCTCCTCGCCCTCAAAAGCCTTTCCACCTCAAACCTGAAGATCGCTGGAGACATCCAAGCAATCGATCAAGCGTTCAAAATTTTCTCGAATCGCGCGTTGAAATCGTCAACTCGTGGGCCGAAGATAAGTGACCGCCTTTAACCACCACTCAGACGCCTCGCATCCCAAGAACAAACCACGACGCCTGGCTGGCCCCGATTAGCCAAACCGCTCACTTTCTAAGGTCAAAGCGCCAGAGCTCGGCCTTGCGCGCAAGTCATAACTCAGAAACCCTCGATGGAGCATACCACCCTCCCCAAGCGCCGCCTGCCCCTCATTGAATCCAACGACCCGGACTACAATCCATCCGAAGAACGACCTGCGAATAGGTCTGTGAAGCGCTCAGATGTCTCCATCTGGCTGGCGACACAGTTTGTGAACGGCCTCATCACAGCAATAGCTCATGCCTATTTGACGATGAGCCTCTACAGCCTGTCACAATGTTCTTGTATCGAACGCTGGCTCTGGGATATGTATCTCGAGAACTACATCACTCTAGAAGTCCTCAATCGCATGCCCCACAGTTTCATTTGGTCGATGGAGATCGATGATGGGCAACTGGATGCGGAAAGAAATCCTTCCAACCAAAACGGTACGTCAAGTGGCTTTGTTTCGTCTTGGGTTTCTTCAGGCCATCACCTAATTATCATCAGCACCGAGATCGAGTGCAGTCAGCGATACTTCCGATGCTCCTCTTCTGTCTAGTCGACCACCAACCCCCTCCCAAGACGAACCCATCGGCGGTCTACCCGTAATGAGTGATCATTCAATCATAGCACAAGCGGTGAAAAACGATGGACGGCAACAATGGCTAAGGAAATTCTACCGCCGCAACATAAACAAGCATGTACGAAACGTCACACAGATTTTTGGGTTACACACATTAGCTCCGTTCCAGTTTCATGCCGCATTGGACATCGGACGAGGAGATGTGCTCCGCGTTATTATGCAGCTCGATACCGCTTGTCGTGAGAGCTTGGTCGACGTCAAAACCGCCCGCCGCTTCTATACAGGTTTTGTCCCAACCGCCCAGGAAACTTTCGCGATCACCATAACTAAGGAGCCTTTAAGGTCGTGCGGTAAAATCAATGTACGCTGGCACGGCAAAGATCCTCGCTTCCGAGCTAAATTCGAGGAAACGGAATTCCGAGTCGTGAACTACGACCTGGAGGTCGATGCTGTTCTTGGATACAAAGAGATCATTCGATTGGGTATCGACTTGAACAGGGCAATGCTTGAGCCTTTAGGGATGGCATGGACAAGTCAGCCTTCTAATGTCAATTGTAAGTATGCACCAGATATCTTTGTCATGTTCGAGAGACTGAAATTAGCTAGCAGAATCAGCTGTGAGGGCTGAACAAAGGGCTCACGAATCTCGACAGGCCGAGATCGCTGAGATGCGACGAGACCGTTTGGTATAGTTCATACCCAGATGATTGTTCGCCATTTCCTTGTCTGACTATGAGCAGCAACGGGAGTGCCAAGAATACGCCGGCACTGAGGCCAACAGATCCACGACCGCATATTTCGCCCGAACCGGATTGCAGCCATCACCCGAACAGTACAATTCCCAATGGTGGGAGTATTTCAGGTTTCATCAAGCGAATTATCTACGGGGAAGATAAGCACGAAGGTGTTGACATCACGATAAGACTTGCGGCAAACATTTCAACCGCCAAACAACACAACGACTTGCCGCTGACTCCAAGCTTCTCGTAAACGTGCGCCGGATACACGCTTGTCAGGTGCACTTCTCAACAGTACAGATCATGTTCGTGGCTATCTCATGTCCATGAAGTACCACCCACAGCATTGTTCCTCGTCCAATGTCTGTTTTATTTTATTTTTTTTCTTTGATTCTTGCATGAAGTTAATTAAGCCCTGGCATTAATGTCTTCTCATGGACGAGTCTGAATGATCCTGGCATGTGAGACGGACTCAAACATAGAGGCGCAAAAACCTAAGCGATAACAAAAATAACCCTTTCAAAGAGGATGAAAAAAGGATTCTGTAAGAGGGCCATGAGGCAAAATAACGATTCAATTCTTGTAAATATTCAAGTTTATCAACTACTTTCTGAATAATCTAATACCTTCAATCGCATTGTTCGATTGTCATTTTTCTTTGCGGTAAAGATTCAATTGACATCCTAAACGGAGACTGCATAGATAGAGAACGGGCTTAGACTACGAGATGAGCAGTTCATTACATGTCATCTGATTCATCTTTGAACGAATTTAGGTGATCCTACACATAGCGAAATTTACAACAAGGAATAGACTAAAAAAACGAGCAATGACTAAAAAGAGCAAGCAAAATGCCTTTATACAACATTTGAAGCTTATTGCAATGAGCAGAATCAGGAATTAGTAAGCGTGCCGGGGCACTAGTCTAAATCGGTCTAGTGTCGGCAAAAGATTTTTGTATCCCGTTTTCCCCGCTCCAGAGACGCTCTTCAACTCTCCAACTAACCACCACTAACAGAACAGGCTATCGAAGGTCGCGGGCGGTGGGGCGAGGTGGATCAAGGGGAACACTGGGGTGCCGAAGGTCGAGGGCGATGAAAGGCGTAGGGTTGGGAAGGGAGCGTGAACTACACGGATTGTGGACTATCACCTCGTCCTCGCAGCTGGTCCCTGTGAGGGCAAGGTGTAGTCGGCGATCAATATGGTTCAACGATTCACTTACTAGGATATGTATATATATATATGTAACAACTGATAGGAAGGGTTGGGAATGGATCGTGAACTACACAGATTGTGGACTATGACCTTGCCCTCGCAGCTGGCCCCTGCAAGGGGAAGGTGTGGTCAGCGATCAATGTGGTTCAGCGATTCACTTACTGGGATGTATATATATGTATATGTATTTATGTAACAATTGATGGGAAAAAAGAAAATGCAACTCAAAAAATGTGTATAATAATGAAGTGAAAAGCACACGAACGAGTCGACACCTTGCTGGGAAGAATATTGGTTAATGTTGACACTCCCTTCGATATTGCGCTTCAGCCGAAGAAGCGGTCTGGATGATACAAAGCGTCTTTTCCCACTTGTCAAAAGCCGCTTCAAACAATGGTAACATCACTGTAATTCACATGAACTCCAATCATCATACTTTGCTGAGAGTACTTGCACCTATAAATCAATTCGGTAAAAGGCCGCTTCGCAGCCCTACCACTCGGCTTCATAACACCTCGTGCTTGGTCTGATCCTAACGTAATGACAGTGGGCAAGAATACTTCACCACCACCTCGTATTTGTATCTGTATCAATTCTTGTCTGCACCAACAAATACCACCTGAACAGCAGCGAATCTAAAAATCGAAACGTCAGAATCTATGTGACCAGCTTAATGCATCTACTTACGCCGCTGTAACTGCAAAGATCTCGGATCGTTTGGCATTCGTGAATCCAATGAGGCAAATCGAAAGCAGAACGTTGAAACCCGCTATGATCCCCAACCGAGCCTTTAGCGAATGCACTGTATACAAGACCACGATGGACAATATAGGGATCATGGATGCCACTATACTCGTAATCCAATAAGTAATCTTGAATATCAATGTATCCTCGTATCCAACAACACCGTGTATTGGCGACGGTTTCATGAATCTATGGAGGCCGCATTTGAACAGAAAGTGGATCGTTTTGTCCGCCGCAAAGTTGGAAAACGGGTCTTCCTTGCGCCTGGGACAAAGTGTGATGAGGTCAGGACTATAGTTTGTTTTACCCAGTGATGATCCCCATATCGTTGCATCCGGTCCGCAAAGCGTAAGCTTCAAGTTCTCGTGGAGGAAGCTTTGTAGGTATTCGAGATCAATATGACTGGGCTTAGGATAACCTAGAATATGAGCTTGCTGAATGAGAGCGTCATCTATCATTCGTTGAGTGATAAACATTTGAATCAGTCCTTACATGCCAGACTCACTGTATTGTTTCAAGGTGTCCCGTATCTTATGTACAAGCTCGAGCTGTCTTTTATCCCCGTGTTCTTCTGAATGTTCGAGCTGGTACCAGTTGCGAGCATACTTGATTCTCCGTGGATGGGTGCTCTCACTGTCCGTCTTTTGCTGTTCATGGAGGGATTCTTCAAGTAAAACTAGCTCGGCTTGTAGATATAGCAAGTTCAACGCATTCAGACTCCCAAAGCGTCGGAAAATAGCACATTCGGGTCGAAGTTCGATCTGCCTGGCAAACCTTGGATATCCGTTGACCTTGTCAGCCACAGGTACGTCCGATGCCATCATGGCAGACAGGCTGGATAATAATAATAAGGGAATCACATACATAAAGAGAAGACAGGAAGGTCGATTATAAAACTACCACCACAACGAAGACTTCGAGGACTCGCCCTACACGAAGCTTCCGGTGAGAAGATGCTGACCTAGGGATATATCGTACAGCACACGAGCACTGGGATTCAAGCAGCGATAATGCAAGAGTATGTTATACTGTGTTGCCATTGGACTGCTTGTCGTAGAGGTGTGTTGGCGTGCATTCAGCCTGACGATGAACGCAACGGTCAAGAGATACAACGAGCCTTGTACGCTACGAATCAGGAGTTTAATATTCTTCGTTCACTTCGCAGAGTATTATGTTCGATACATGCCATATCAGTTGTTTGTAGTGTGATGTTGAGAAACGCAAACCAAATGTTCCATGTTGAAAATCTACCCTCTCGTAAACCGGGAAATAAGCTGACCTCACAATGCGGCAAACTACCCAAAACGCAAAGCAGGGTACATTTCTATAAAAAATACAGTACGCTTATCTAGCAAATATTCTTCAACATTAAATAAGATTTACAAAGGTACTATTCAGATATTGTCAGGGTGTTGATGGGGGGCGTATTTCACCGTACAAGAGGCCCCCCCTGGAGATGTATATGAGAGTCTACCATATACGATCTGGGAGTTGGTACATTCGTATAATATCTTCTCCAGCCACAAACGCCCCAAGGGATCATCCTCATAAACATATTCTGTCGACACCACATACACTGCATGTACTATATACTGATTGAGCTTTCGTTGCCTGCCCGACCAATATTGAACAACGAGGTCTTTTGGCCTACTGCTGAGATTGAACAAAACGACAAAGCAAAACGCGTACCTGTAGAACATTAATATCTGGTGATGACTCGAGACATTTGGTCTGGATTCATTGGACGGAACGATCACTGCATCGTCTCCAACCGATTGCAGCCGAGACAAAGTGCGACAGCATCTTTCATACCGGTAGAATTCTATCGGATAATATGCTGTGTGTTTAGCTGGTAGGCTTTATTGCCGTGTTAGTTGTAATATATGCCTGAAGATTGCACTGTTCTCGATGTATATATAGATTCTAAACTTGACGTATATATGTATATATGTTAGCTTGTCATAAATTCATCGCTGGGAGGGGATATGGGATATGCGTTTCGCTGTCACTATGTGTATTGCTCACAGGTTGCGATATCACGGTGAGGCCCTGATTCGTCAAATTGAAATAAAAAATTGGTGATTTCACACATGTGTGCGACCCGATGCGATCTTCTTTGTACTCGTAGGGGTTGGGCACAGGGCGGCTGGCAAAGTCATAATCCTGGTCATGGAGAGAGGATTGTCCAATCACACGTAATCGACGGGCGAAACATTATGCAGGTTCTCCGGTGATTCAATACAGTGTCACCAGTGATCACCGATGAGACATATAATACGAGCAAAACTCAGTAAGCGAAGAGTCTGAACAATCACAACCCCGGTACGTGATCAGGCAAACAGCGGCAACAACTGCCTGTTTTCAACCCATATGCGGGTCAGAAATTGCAACCAATGATTATTGCACTGCACAATCTTGCGCATATCCCGTCCGGTGAAGCCATCTTCATGGGTATACCATATCCCTGCCCGGTGAAGCCATCTTAGACTTCAAGCACATGGGCATATCATGATGACCGTGATTACCATCGACCATGCTAACCGCCCCGATTGACTCGCTGAATGCCAGTTAAGAATCGTAATCGTATGTAGACTACACTGTTGAACGCAAAGTTTACCTATGTGTCATATGCACATCTGCGGACATGGAGCCGGTCCGAGTGAAGATCAGTGGCTGCAATGTGTTTTCGCAATAATGTGTGAAAAGAAAAAACATGACGTGAGGCGTCGAATATTGCAGATGTCCCAGCCATCAATATCGTATCAGCAGCTTGGACCGGACACCTTGAACATGATGTACCGAAGGCATTTCCACTCAGCCTGACAGGGGCATGCATCAGGAAGAACTTGCTGCGCCCCTCACCCTCTTCCGTTACTTTCCCACTGTTCTCCTTCAGCTTTTGGGCATCGACGCTTCCCACTGCAGCATTTACACTACTTAATAATGAGCTCTTGCTTTAAATCAGAATCAGGGACAGAGGTGCGGTGTCTCTATGGGACGCACGTAGAGTGGCCACTGAGAATTACGAACCCGCTGCTGACGATATCAAGATTCGCCATCAATCAGTCCGAAAACCGCACGTTATCATAATCGCGAGTGGAACGGGTGGACAGCGAAGACCCGCGATAGCAACGATCGATTATAAAACCGACGAAGATGTTGTCTCACGAAATATCGCCCATCTTGTGGGGGCAGACATATATCCGACTGAGAAGGAAGGTCGATTCTCGGAATATCGTACAGCAAGTAGTGTCTACGAGGAAACATATCTGGTATGGACAGTGGAAAAGCAACCAAAGAAGACACACCAAGGCAAATTCTATGTTTCTACAGAAGAGAACCCGAGTTACGACGTGGTGTTCGGTACAACCAGTGCGGCAATATTGGAATCATCAACGAAGAAGCGTTGGTGGCTCGGTTTGAGGCGAGAGGAAAGCAGCTGGTAACGCAACACAGTCGATAAGGATAATTGATCAATCTTGCGGACCTGTACAAACTATTGCGACACGCCTGAACGACTGGTAGATCCATGTGATAGTCCGCCTAATTCCTTGTCACTTAGCACATACCGTCACCCATGAACTCTTGCCAGGATCACAAGGCCTACGAATTCCTATCCATTGACTCTAGGTCTGCTACCCAAGTTTTAAGTGTATGCCAGAGTCTTAGGTAAATGCTACAATGACACCACGAGCGCGCATTACAACGAGCGACAACGACCCCTTAATTCACCGTTGGACCAACGATGCGAAAAGCCGTATTCGGCTTGGGAGAAGGAGCACTTTTTGTTTCAGACACATTAATCCCATCGCCATGAACACTCTATCTGGAAATCCGAGTCTAGCCCATCCCTGAGCACACTCACTGATATTAACATCCAACAAACGTGATCAACACGTTCCTTTTCCACACAAAATTGTGTCTCTCAATATCTTTGTCAAGATAAAACCAGGTGGTAACAACAAAGAATCAGTAAGATAACTCGCTCGTTATTTTGGTTAATTTTTCGTTGTAACCCATCGCCGTGTGTAGGATCACCTAAACTCCAACTCAAAAAATAAAAATTATCATCAGTAGAATAATCCAACGCCAAGACAGGGGGCGTAAAAAGAAGGTTGCAAACACCGTCGCTGATAACTACTTTTAGAAGCGTACTTTGCGAAAAATCGAAACACGGTCCAACGGGCTCGATCGCAATATGGATTCCTTTTCTTTACCAAGCAATGCGCTACCGCGCATGATGCAGTAGAAAGAGTTGTTCAGCTCATGAAGCCGCATGGACGGCTCCGCTACATGTTCATTCCAGGTCGATTCGTCCAAGACTTGAATATACAGACCATCTAACTATATAGATTTTTTCAAGAGTAACGATTGATTTTCTTAGTGTCCTGATCACACTAGAGTATTAACAGTAGACTATATTAGTACACTGAAAGAATGGAATTTCAACTTTAATCACAGATTCCATTGATCGTCATAGCCCCCAACTCACCAAGATGCTGGTCAATTACAAAATAAGTACTTTCTCTCGCTATCTTTGTCTTTGCCATAGAAGACACTACTGTTCTACATGCTTCTGATCACCACATCCGTCGTAGCCATATACAGAACATTGTATACCTCTCTGTTATCTACAGAGAAAGCTCTCTTCACTCAGTGAAAGCGACATATGAATGTCGAGACGGACCGTTGATGTTGATCCTTACACGAAGATGAAGGGTTAAGTTTCTTTTCTTAACTCGAAGTTACAGTATGTGATACACTCAAAAGGCTAATAAAAAGTAGTTATAAAAAGCAGACGGGGACAGAAAGATTCACATCAGGAGTTTTACTCTTAGTACTAGGCCAGGGTGCAACACCCAACAAGATAAAGGTTACTCTTTACTTTCAGATCAGGTATGTAATGGTGCTTTTAATTAACTTCCATCCTACATTAAATCATGGGTCACTGCCAATGTTATGGACTTGTAGTCTAATCAGGACATGAATAAGACGATTTCTCCATTTTTACAGTGCATCCTATACAAACGGGGTGGCCTGCGTACTTATGATTTGGATCTATTGGGCTGTAGTCAAGGATGTAGGCATCGTTCATCATGGTTGTCTCCTTTTTCTCTTTCTTGCTGTTTTGACTTTTTGGTGGAGAGCAACAAGTCCATTCTGGTTTGCTGCTTGGACGTGCTCATATGAATGCTAATATTGACATTAACTAATCATATAGGATTCACAGTACAACTATAGGATGATACCTGAAGTAGACCAAGAGGTAAGCCTCAAACCAACTGTTAGTACAGGTTCAAAAGGAGATAACTGCGTAACTAAGCTAGTAAACCAAAAATAAGATAGTACAAATAGGTGTACCACGTCAGCTAGATGGAATTGCTGAGAGCAAGAATATCGGTAGTACATTTAGAGGTCGGCAGAGAGCGTACTACACAGTTCACGTACCTGTGTACTTGAAAAGACATATATCACGTGCATGTCTGTAAAAGTCATGCACAGGAAGCACACACATATGTACCCAGGTATGTATGATTGGACTGAGTCAGGCAGGACCATTTGGAAGCTCAGCCGGGGACTCCGTGTATGCGGTGATTGGAAAAGCTCACGACGGCAGGTCAAGCCATCATTCATTGACACCGATGATAGGACAGCAATTATGCATGCGCTTTTTCCCTCGTTCAATCATATCTCAGCTTGTACGGAATGTCTAGGTAGTTTTCGTATCGGGATCGAGCGCGTGTATACACTTCCGCGGTTCTTTTCGTTACATGGAGGCCTGCTTTTGCGACCTCATTTTACTTAAGCTTTTAGTACGTGTAATTATATTTCTAGGACTGTTTAACACACGTTATTTTCCGGATGTCCTGGAGCCAGTTCCGGCCACTAAGATGTCGTGCATGAGCTCGTTGATCATGTGATCATACAAGTCATCCCGAGGTTGCTTGCCCTTGATGGTGTCGATTGTGAATAGTAGAGCATGATGACCAAAAAGCCAAATGCGCGTCGATCTATAGAGAAATACATAAGCGTTCTACATACCAACATTGCAGATTAATATTGTTTGAAGCAGTGTGCATGTACAATTATCTAGATACATACATGTACCTGGGTAGATGCACCAGAACTTCACAGTACGTACGTTGGAAAATGACCATCTATAACACGCAGCAGTCTGAACATATACCCCAGTACCACATATCGCGCTGGCCGCTTTGTACATATGTAGACATGTGCAGTAGATGGGCGAGACTACGTGGACATTAGTGGATTACACAACAACGTGGGCATGATGCCGTGGACAAGTATCGCGCGTGTTGGCGTGGTAAAATTAGACGCGTCAGGGTCTGACAGGGATGACAGCAAGTCATGACATGGCATGGCTGCTGGCATTGCATCTGGAATTTCATGGTATGATGGTGATGACATGAGGGTGGCTGGATTGGACCGTCGAGTGATTCCTGTTTCTCGTTTCGCGCATCGTCCATGTCGACGTCGTTTCAGTGGAGCGAAGATGGCTGGGGACCCGCCTCCTCGTCTTACTGCCTACCCTGCCACCAACTTCCGGCTCATAAACAAGCACCTTGATTTTTTATCCATTCAAACATATTCTTCGCACTCACATCTTGTCCATTCTCTCGTTTTATTATCCTCGTTCCATTCTCCCCTCCAACACTCCCAATCTGCTTCACCATCTCTAGCTTCTCCCTCGCTCGCCCGCTCGCACCCAATCGATCTGGTGTCGGCAGCTCTTCCTTCGCAAGGTACCGTGGTTCCTACCAACTAGGGCATCAGGACCACCTCGTGTTTCACACGTCGTCCGTACGCCGTACCGTGTCTTGCGGCCTGTAGGTCCGCTGGTGTCAAAGTTACTGGGCGAGCAGACAATCGCATTTCGGGCAAATTCCTGGTGGTCTCATTCCCTAGGAAAGCATTCCTGCCTGCGCCTGCACAACCGACCCCTGCCGCGATGCAGCCGTCCGTTATGAACAAGAGCCCCAGGGCCGCACCAGCTCCACTAGGTCCTCAACACCTCAGGACAGCTTCGCGTGCTTCCAGAGACTCCACTTCGCCGGCGCCCTCCTCGCCCCATGGTTCACGCAACCAACAAGTCGATGTAAACACCTTCCATAACGTCGACTTCGCCGAGCATTCGATCCGCCCGCCACCTTCCGCATTTACATGCGACTCCGGAACATCTACCTCCTACGATCCACATGGTGCCTCGCCCTTGCCCCTCGACCTTCAGCGTTCAGAATCCCCCCGCTTGTCTCTCACTGGCACTCTGTTGAACAACTGCCAGCCACTTCTGACTCGCGCCACAAACACTTTACAACAACATACTTCAAAAGCATCCTTCCACTCCCCCACCAAGTCACTGGCCAGCTTCATCCCTTCTCGCAGTGCCATCGAATCCACCGCTAGCCAACCCAAAATCCGCGCTCTCCAGAACTGGTTCAACGGGGCTTCGGGTCAAGTGAACCTCGGAATTGGTCCTCGCTCGCGTGATAACGAAGACGACGAAGACCCTTACGACTCTGAAGACGATTACGACGAAGACGGCAATATGATGGCCGGTATTTTCAATCGCGGCGCATCCTTCACAAGGTCGTCGACTGAGAATGACAAACAACCCCAAAATGCTCCCGAATCGACCCAAGAGTCCCCGTCTGCCAGCAACCGATTTGCATGGCTACTTTCGACCCAAAAGAATGCCTCCGTCCCAGATCCTGTACCCTCGCCAACCTACCATAACCCGTCCGATGAGCTTCTCAACCTAAACATCTCCCAGACCCTCTTCCCTCATGGCCCTGTCGACCCACTAGCCCCTTCCTCATTCAACGACCTGCTATCCTCCGCCGAGTCTCTCATTTCCCGATACCAAACAAGCTACCGCCAGCTTTCCACAGCTCTGGTCGATGCCCGAGCCGAACAAAGCGCGCAAGACGACGAGTTGGATGAGGCGGACACAAGGATCAGGCATCTCAAGATGCAAATGGAGGCCATGGCCGCGCGGGCGGCCGACCAAGACGAACAGATGCGGAGGCTCATGGAGGATCTCATGTTCGAGAAGCGTGCCCGCGAGGAAGACGAGGCAGCACGAAAACGCAGTGTCGCCCTTGTACGGGAAACACCACGCGAAGAAACCCACAGCCCCACCAGGCGCCGTACACGCATTTCCAACTCCGACGTCAGCGTCGACTCGGGCTTCGAATCAGAATGCGAGACGGACGCCGCCAGCGTCTTCTCCAAGCGCGAATGCCTGAGTCCAACGGGGACAGACCACTCGTCCGTCGCTGCGCTAGAGGACCGCGATACCACGCCTAAGGGGAAACGATCGCAAACCATCCAGCGCATGAGCACCTTCGACAAAACACGCAACGATCCTTCTTTCGAGAAGAACAGCTGGGGGTGTTCGAATTGCGAGGGCGGCTCGCAGGCTTCGGTTTGGGGTCGCTTGTCAAAAGAACGGGAGGAGAACAGCGTGCTCAGGCGGAGAGTCGGCGAGTTGGAAGAAGCGGTCGAAGGGGCGCTCAATATCGTTGATGGTCCGTGGGGTATCTGAGAAGTGTGGCTATTCATGTTTGTATATACCTTTTTTTGGAGTCGACTTCTACTGGTGATGGTGTTGTATTGCATAAGGATCGAGGGGGGGTTTTTTTTTTGCCTTGGAGAGAATGGGCATAGCACTGCATCATTTTCTTTTTTGCTTCTTCCTTGCTTTTTGGCTTTACAAAGAATTATACCACTGCTTCTTTTTTTTTCGCGCTGCGCGCTTACTTGACACAATTCCATGTGTTCGAGAGAAAAATCTTACGAATTCCAAATTGGAAGTTTAAAGCATTCTTGATTAGTGATTGTGAGACCGCGAAAGAAAGCGAAATGTCAGTCAGCGACCTTTCGTGTAATCACCAAGAAGGGTAGCGAATGCGTTTCCAATCGTTATGCATTCATTCGCTTTTGGGTGGGTATATCTATCTTTCAAGCCACTACTGTCGACTTTGCACCGCTCACGTTCAGCTGGTTGTTATTGTTCCAACTCGACTCCACCAGGGACCTTGCTGATCAATATATGCCGGTCCTAACCAATATCTTTTCTCCGAAACACGTCCAATCCATCCTTATTTCGGCAGTACACCAAGACCAAGTTCGCACCTCAGAGAACTACAACCTGCGCGTCGCTCGGCGGTGGCGGCACAACTGCCATCGCAGGGATAGGATTGTCCGGGAAGATGGGATGCAGCGCGTACACTGGCCCTGAACACTCCTCGCCATCAAACAGCATCAAGTTCTGGATAGGCTGTTCACGTTTCCCAAGGACGTTGATGACGTCTTGTGCGAGCTGGCCACCTAGATACGCTGTTACGGGGGAGACTTCACTGCCGAGATTCGCGAGGAAAGACTTGAGGAAGTCGCCCGTCAGAGTCGCAGGAGGTAGTTTGAGCTCCTTGTGTTTCTGCATGGCGAGGGTGGTGAAGAGTTGGAGATCTGCGGGGGTGTGTGTGGGGAGTATGCCGTTGCCGTTGCGTTGAAAGTCCCAGAGCGTGCGAACGCAGGTAAGGAGGGGGTGCACTTTCTTAAGCTTGCGAGGGTCCTTTTGCATGACAGGGTCGAGGGGTGAGGTATTGACGAGGAGGAGGGGTGTGTAGAGCTCTCGCTTGGTGACCAGCTCGATCTTTTTGCCGTCACTGGAGATTTTGTCTGTAAAGTCTACGATGGAGCGTGTTGCGGACTCGGGGGCTTTTACGGTGGGTCGGTTGGACTTTGCGCGCTCGATGTTGAAGTCGTGCGTGCCTAGATCCGCAAAGATGTAGCCGTACATGCCGTGCGTGGCGCCTGCGTAGAAAGGGCGGTTCGCAATCCGTGCGCCCGCGTCGAGGGCAGCGAAGGAGAGGAAGTCGAGATCCGTTGCTATGATGATGTCGAAGGCCTTGTAAAACGACTCGCTCTGCTCCGAGGTCACATTGGTGGTGATGACCTTGACGTCGACGCGCGGATTTAGTTTGCGCACTTCAGGAGCCGCGGCTTCGGCACGCTGCAAGACTTCTTATTAGTTTGCTGCCGAATTGAGGTGGAGATTTGAGTAAGAGATGTTGGGTCTTACGTTTTTGCCTACGTCGGTCTCGTTCACGAAGAATTGCGCACCCAGATCATCTTCAGTGACCGATTCATGGTCAGCAAGTGTAATGGAGGCTATCCCGGCCAGCACCAGATTTTTGGCAATTTCGTTGGCGAAGGCTTTGATCGAGACAAGGAGGATATTGGCATTGCGAATGCTGCGCGGATTAGCAACTTGCACAAGTCAAGCCTGCACGATGGAGTTTTGCCTACCGATTTTGAGCCTCAAGACCCCACAGGCGGATCTGACGATCGTAGAGAGCGATCTCGTCTGCTGATACTGTCTCTGATTGTGTAATTGCAGCTACCAGATCTCCAGCAGCATCTGGAGCGGGAAGCACGCCGTTTGTTGCCTCGGGCTGAGTCGCGTCCGCCATAGTGTTTTATGGTATGTATGTTTTTGATGAGCGATGGGCGAGAGTGATGGTGTAAGCGGCTAATATTAGGAAATGGTGCGATAAAGATAGGCGCGTAGAGAACGTAAAGTAAAGTCCACCAAGGCACAACAAAGTAAAGGTAAAGGAAGCTTCGACTTGGATGTTGTTGTCGTTCAAAGTTAAGCTGCGGCTCTTCTGACTAGATTAGCTCACATCTCGGACAGATTAGATAAGATTAGATGCGAGCGGGGGTGATTACCGCATTGCTCCTTGTCCATTCATTCATCCATTCATTCATTGCAGGGGAAGGCCCACCTGAGGATACATACTTAGGTATGTATGGTGTCAACTGCTTTCTATACTTTAATACCTTCTTATTAAATAGCATCTTAACATGGTCTTATAAAGCTAGTAGTAGGATTTAGACATGACATAAAGCTTTAAATGAGGGCTGATGACTGATCCTAGGGTGGGCCCGCCCTTGTAGTTGTGTGCCGCTTGCGCTTGCACATGACATGATCTCCGTTCCAACCAGTTGACTGATCTCCTCACAGCCATCATCGTGATCGACACCTGCGTCCAGCACACAACTACTCCCGAACATTGGATAGCTCTTCCCAACACCATTCTTCCTAGACTGACCCACCCGTTCCATCACCTCGCCTCCCCAGCCGTTCTCAGCCTTTCGGGTTATTCCTGATGGTCCCCAACATCATCATCAATGCCGAACTCGCCTTCTCCACCTCCCCCGCCCTTCACCTTCACCTCCGGTAATTTTGATTACCCGCAAGCGACTTCCTCGCCGTCTCCTCCAGCTTTACGCCGCGTGCCTACCCATGTCGCCCTTGACCGTATCCTGCGACGCCATCAAGAAAGGGAAAGGCGACGTCAGACCAACACCCAAACGGAGCAGGATCTCACCGAACAAGTTCCTCTCATTACTCGCGCCCAGCGATGGGAAATGCTCCGAAATTCCCGTGCACCTCTCCCGCCCCATGCTGAGCGCCTTCATGGCGATGAGTTGCTGCGCCGCTCCCGAGAGATTCTTACAGAGCAGCGTTCTTTGTTAGCCGCCGCATCCATGATTGAGATTGATATTCCCCACGGTCTCCCCGACGGTCGTAGAAGCCGTAGCCCTACCAGTGAGATGGATGAGCTCTCGAGGCAATCAAAACGTCGAAAACTCGCCCATGATGGGACTTCCATACCGGAATATGATGGTTTCAAGTATGGCTACAAAGGTCAGGTCGTTCCAGGGAGATTGAAGATGAACGTAATGAGCTGCGATGGCGGCGAATACGAGAGACACAGCTCGGAGCGCCTCTATAAAGTGCAGAACGTCTTGAGCAACGATAAGAGTGTATATTGCAGCGAGAATTCGAGATGCAACCTGTTGCTCGAACATCAGGGAGGCACTCCGTTCTGTCTAGAAAGGCTTGTGATACGCGCTCCTGACCGCGGCTTCACAGCTCCGTACGTAACTCCCATGGTCTTAGATGCTCATACTGATCATTTGCAGTGTTCAAGAGGGACTTGTCTTTGTGTCATTGTCGTCCGAAGAACTGCTATCCAAGACCGCATCCTACAAAATAGACTATAATCCGCACTCGCCAGTCGTGTCCCCATCACCGAGCTCATCGGACGATCAGCTTCTATCTCTCCATGAAGCACTTGTTGACCCCCAAATATCCGCCAACTCACGCCAGGGTATGTACTTTCGGTACATCAATGCATATCACGATGCCTTTTGTAACAGTCTTGCTTGACCCCTCACTGACTTTGTATTTGCGCTTTAAGATACGGAAAATCATGCGGACCGGCGGAGACTTCGCGGTCGACGATACAGGCCAAGACCCAACTCGCAGTCCGCGCGAACCCGCTCAACACAAGTACCGCCTGTTGTTGCTGAAGCGCATGATTACGAGAGTAATTCAGATAATTGCCCTTACTATGTTGAAGACGGTACGTTCCCTAGGGTTTCAAGTACATCAAGAGTTCATATTATGTGTCTTCAAGAGAGTTCAATGAGCTGATCGGATAATTCCTGCTTTACTAATACTGACGCTATACCTTCGTACAGGCGATCCCATCGCTGGCATATCCGCACCCACACCACCTCCATTCACCATCACGACAGAAGATGAACAGGAAGACTCCGACGGTGAACAAACACTGCCGGCACCAGCCATAATGGCTGATCGACTTCGCCGGGAGTCTCGCTGGCGGCCCGAAACCGACGACGAAGACGAGGATGGCGATGATCCACAAACCCGAATGCCTCTTCTGCGGCGCGCCGATGCGCTTGACACATGGGAGAACTTCCGTGAACGTCGCTGGAGGAACAACCGCCAGGCTAATCCCATCCGCGCCACTAGGCTGCGCACTCCTAGTCGGATTGAGCCAGATGATGACGATGCGGGTGGGTCTATGGCATCAATCCAACCTCACGCGAGGTTCTTCATTGCAAAGAATAAGAATAAGATTACGATCAAGTTCAATCCTGCTCTGTAAGCTCTCTCTACCCTTATTTGAAGAGTCCCTTCATGTATTACATTGCTCGACTTCGTACTGACAGTAGCTTCCTATAGTTCCGGGAAATTCATTCTCCTCAAGCTCTGGAGCCCCACCTCTGATGGAAACATCGACATTGAGAGTGTCCAGCTTTACGGCTACTCTGGTCCTCGCTTCTTCCCTGCTGTACAGGCTCGTTGAACAACAAATAAGACTGAGAAAACTAGAAAGAAAGAACAAAACACTACAAAATCCAGAATGCAGATGAAACGAAAAAAAAAAAAGAAAAAAAAAGAAAAAACACCTCTGAGACAGTGGCGTTCTACTTCTTTCGTTTTCCTAATGCTCTACAAAAGTATTGATAGTAGTACTTGAATTTCACTGCTCCTGTCAGTGGTCAGAAAACTTTGATCGCGGAGAGCGAGGGGGCGATGGGACTACCCATCGATTTGTAAACACTGCGCTCTCCTTCAATTATGTTCACGCGGCATGAGTCCCCACACTCTTTTCTCGAACTCTCCTTCTTCGAAAGCGGTTGCAAAATCCATTGGTAACGACTGAGAGTTGAGTATTTCGATTGTCAATTGATTTGTAGCACATACCAAACCCGTTCGTTATGGTATCGAAATTGTCAATTTTTGGAGAAGTTATAGTTATCTTAGTCTTCATTTATCTGTTTTTCTTGCTGTTTAAGGGGGTTTATCTTTCGATCACCGGGGTATGAGATAGATGAATGACAAGAAACATAAAAGCCAAACTCGTATTTCTGTCATTACTGCAGTACGATATCTTTCTTTAACAAAGTAGTGTGCATATCGTCTAACCCAGTTCTCAGTATGGTGATTAACGCGGTCCACTTGCTCATATAGAAGTAGTTTCAACACAATTCAACGAAAAACAGGCAAACACAAAAATAGCTCGATGTGAGAGCCATACGCGAACAAAGAGCATGGCCCAGAATTCAGCTGGGTGATTGAAGGCACACACAGTCTTCGCGCCAACATGAGTGGGTGTGGGAAGTGTATCACCGGAAGAAGTTTAGACAGACAGCGTACGACGAACCCTCAATGCTATCCCACCCCCGGTGCTTTCTTTACCAAGATTACCAAGACTTCGGGCGCAAAGCGAACAACTCCCAACGCCCAAATAGATGCTAGGTCAAAATCCCCTGATACGTGTACAACCAACACGAAACAATATTAAGAAAAACAAAGAGCAGACCCCAATAGCCATACCGTGACGTCATGCATGGACCCGGAAGACCCCATCCGCAGCCACAAGGGAAAAGGATAGAAGAGCAATAGGAATCATTTCATGGCGATAAGAAAGTGACTAGCTCCCAGTCTTGTCTGCCGTCGTCTTCTCGGTGTGCTGGGTCTCTGGCTTCACGGCTTCCGACTCCTGCACACCCTGCATGTTGACATCGCCATCTCCGGCAGTTCTAGCAATTGCTGGTTTGCTTGACTGTGTTTGCCCGTTCCTGATCATGTTCATGGGTTCGATACCCACCGTCTCACTGCTTGCATTGCTTGTTGTTCCTGCCCAAGCTGCGATACCGCCATTGATTTCTTTCATTTCCGGAGTGTCTCGCGCAATGACAGAGCCCGCGGCCTGAATATCATCATCATCATCGATATCGGTATTCGGTGTCAGTGTCGTCGAACTCATAGTGGAGTCAGCGTCGTTTCCACCGTCATCTCCACCAACTGTAGTATTGAATCCTTTGTAGTCGTAACTGTTGGCTCGATGGAACTCTTTGGCGCTGATTGCATTCCAATCATCATACTCTGGAGGCTCTTGGCCATCACTTCTGACAGCGTCATCTGCCATGTCCCAGCCACCGAGGGGCGTTAAGCCTTCTTGCGGGTCATAATCTTCCCAGGCAGTAGTATGGCGGTCGATGTCGTCTACGAGTACAGCATTGTCGGCCTGCACGAAGTCCTGGAGTGGTTTTGAGAGTTGGATGTAGTCGACTGTGAGCGCTGCATCATTGGCATATACGAGGAGGACTTTGCCGCTATTTGCTGAGGCGTCGGCACAGACGTTGTCGACGGTGACTGGATTTCGCACGATCGTCGCGTCGTCACCGTTAGTGTAGTCGTATTTGACGTGCCACCATTGCCGTGATTGGGTTTCACTAGCATCTTCTGATTTTTTCTCTGGATGTAAGAGGTAGTAGTCCGTAGAAGAAGTGGCTACACCCTGGAGCTTGTACGCATGCTTGTTGACACGCGATGAATCGCCATCGACGGGTTTATCCACTTCATTGATCGATGCACGAAATGCCTGTGAAACCTCCTGGTAAGTGTCGCAGGCCTTTTGCTTCTCGTCTTGCAAACCTATGCAAAATTAGAACATGTGAGATGCGGAGCGGGAAGCAGTCCACACATACTGGCAAGCTTTTGCTCGACCCTTTCATACAGAGACTTGAGCTGAGCTAGAGCAACTCCATAGCCTGATTCGCCTCCCCCCGCTTCCGTCTCGAAAGCTTTCATGCTGGCTTTAATCATATCCAAAGAATTCAGCTTACTAGGTAATTCCGGCTTCTTCGGTTTATAGAACTGAAACTTGTCAATCTCACGATCCGCTTGAATGATTTCGCCTTCATGTCGTTTCTTCTTAGCAAACATGTCCTCAACAAAAGGCTTGTTCTCTTCCAGATAACGGTCTGCGTACAGAATCGCGGGTATCACACAGTCCAGCCTGTCTTGTGTCGATCTCAATCTAAAAATAAGAACGTCGCTGGCATTTGAGATGTGCGCACTATGCACGGAGGAGTCAAATAGAGCAGTGTCCAGTACATCGTAAAGATGGCGATCGATAAAGGCTTCGTTGGAGACTGCGGGAACTTCGACATCCAGTACGAAACATTGTTGAACTGAGCTGCCTATATTGATTGTTGATCGAAACACGCCGTCAAGCTCCACATCGGGGTGGTGATGCTTATACGATTGGCTCCACTTCAACAAGAACTTCACCAGATCGTCGTCAGCTTGTTCCTCCAATGAGGAATTCGGTTGTTTCCAAGCGTCGAGCTGAAAGAATGCCTCCAAACTCGCGTATGATCTTTCTGTGTCGTCCAAAAATGCCATCAAACGCTGTATTTCGTAAACCATCCGCTGTTCATCAGACGAAGCTGAAGCAGTGTTGCCATCGATCGTGTGTGGTTGAGGTTCCGCGTTTCCCTTCCACCACTCGTTTCCAGACCAATAGTTGTCAATTGTTAGTTTTGGGCAAAGAAGAGCATTTCGGTAAAGCGGTATCGAATGTAGGATGGTCAACAATGCGGGGAGGTAATCAGGGCCGGTAGATGGTTTTAGAATAGCTGGTTGGTGACGACTGCGACTCTGATACGGCAGCGCTGCATCAGGAACATATTCCGTGCTTTGTGATACGGGGACCATGGCCCAGGATGCATTATCGTAGTATGCATCTTGTTGGGCGGGTCCAAAGGCCGCACCGCTACCTACAACGCCCGACTCTTGCTCCGTCTCGACGCCTGAAGTTGTAGTCAGCCTACTGGATCGTTTATATATGTATCAGAAGCGGTCGGTGCATACTCTGGCGCGGCGCATCGCCTGCGTGGGTCGAGACGTTGGAACGATGGCTGGTTCTAGATGAAGGTCGTGTGGGAGCGCCGCTGGGGCCGCCACTATGAGGGTAATGCTCCAAACCAGGTGCGTAGTCGATGTTGAATGCTGCTCCACGAACGATTACGTCAGTAGAAGGTGATAGGACTCATGTGTAACTGAAGCACATACTTGGAATGCTGTTACTCGTGTCGCTCTGTCCATACCGGTCTGCCATGAAGACGCTGTTATCCCAGACATTCCCTACGGGCTGTTCCAGTAGACTCTGAAGCCCATCAGGACCACCTGCGGAGAAATACTTTTCAACCGCCGTGTCGAAGTTATTATTTGAGAGTTTGAGGATATGTATGGCTTGATCGCGGTTGATGGTTCCATCAAGGAGACTCAAGAACTGATCGACGATTCCATCGTCTAAGGTGGTCATCTTGTGTGGGAGGTGTGTGACGTTGTAGAGTGAGCTACGAGAGTGCCGGCGGCGGGAACAAGAGCACAGCAGCTGCGCCTGATATGAGGGTGTGGCGCTTGATGTTTGGTGGCTGGGGGAATCGAGAGTGAACGTGACCGCACATAGGCCGGGGTAAATGTAAGAAGTCGATTGTTTGAATCAGTTTTGCAGGATGCCTGCGCATCGTCGTCGATGTCGTGGGGTAACTGAAGCTCAGATGAGAGCTAGAGGGGAAGCTCTTCCCTCAGCCTTACCGTGGCACATGGTCCGTGCACAACATCTACATCATGATGTACTGGAAGTAGTTGGTAGTTACCAGCAACAAGTTTGCCCTAACAACTTTTAGTGATGCTGTATGCTGAAGGACAGCAAGCTCTCTTGATAGGCTACTACTCTATCAGTAATCACATATATGCATCCTTAGCCAGATTTCACGAGTAACTGGACGGCAATGCAACTACTTGCCCGCCTTGCCTGCATGCGTATCTTGATATTTAAATACCTTCACAAATATAGCCTATATGCAGAGGCAACAGGCTGAGTTGTTACATACTGAGAAGTGAGACAAAATCTCTCGTTGCAACTGACGACATTGTTTCCTTCGTTCAATACTGTGTATGCTAAGCTCCTGAAATGCAACGCTCCAAACATCCATGTTCATGGTCTCCAATGCCACCAGATTATATACGAAGAAGTCTTATACAGTCCCGTGTAAAATATAGCACGCTACGCAGGTTTCCAGCCCATTACAAATAAGAAAAATACAACTGTTATACAATATAGCACATCGTACAGCCACGATACTCAGCTGTCTCTGCCACTCTCATAGCCATCTGAGCCTGGGCCAAGGGGTTCATATACCCTCTGGCCCAATTCCTTGTCGATGACGTCTTGTTCCGCCCTCCACTGTCGGCCCCCTTTACTGTACTTGTGGATAATTCTCCGGTAGAATTCCAAGCCTATACGGTCTGCAGCACGCTGCTCCCCGATCAAATTCTCCCGTTCGAGTTTGACTTTGTTGTACAGCATCCACACGCTATCCTGAGACAATTCGTTGAAATGATATTCGACTGACCAATTATCTTCAGGTCCTAGATTTTCAGGCCGCGTCACATAATCTCCGTTGACTTTGTTCCTGATCGCTAGTGTCCACCCAGCGAGGGGCCCGGTTGAGGCTGGTTTCGAGGTTTTAGAGAGCTTGGGGTCTGCCTTTGAGTTCTTGGTTGACCCGACTGTCTCTGCTTCGTCCACCTTTACTTCGTCTTCTTCTGGCTCGTCTTCTTCTGTTTCGTCTTTATCGGATCGCCCCTCCGGGCTTTCTTCGCCGTCTTGTGGCTGTTTGATCTCGATAGCAGGGCCGTTAGCTGCATCCTCCTTGAAGTTGGAGGCCGGTGGCGCGTTCTGGTCATCTTCTACCTCTTCGTTCACACGGTCCTGTATGTCTTGCCACTCTGCCTGTAATTCACCCTCGTCAGAACCCGATCGGCCAACACCGATGACCTCTCGCTCGAATTTCTGACTGAGAGCTTTGTTGGATGCCTGTATCTCATCGGCTTGCTCGTCTGACATGGGCTCTGCAAAGATGTACATGAATTGTGATCTTCCACCCTTATTGTAGAAATGGAAGCGAAGAGTCTACCTCGAATCAGAATAGTTCCTTGCAGAAACAACAGAGAGGAATTTCTTACCTGCTTCGGAAACCTCTCGGTTGCTTTCTGCATCACCTCATCCAGAAGGTTGATACTGAGCTTGAATTCTTGGTCACCAAGGCATGTGTCGTTCTGGCCATGTAGGACGAGATCCATATCCGATAAGCTAAGATACTGGAAGCCAAACATTCGTTCAATGTTATGATATGCTACAAAAATGCCGTCCATACGTCCCATTCGAACCTGCAGTGAGTATTTGAGCATGGTAGCTCGAGTCATATCGTAGAATTCCCGTTCATACGATTCCCATTCGCCTCGATCGTAGCGAAGCTGGTAGCCTGTACCTTTCTCGTGATTCTGATGATCCATGCGAATGGAAACCACGGCACGTGTTTTCAAGTCAAAAATGCCGGTACCGGGGAGGCGAGGGTCAACTGCGTCTAGCTGTGAACGCATGAGAAAGTTACCCTGAGTGGAGTAATGAAAACACCGACCACCCATCTCCGGAGGAGCTTTCTCAGGGTTAGACCTTCGGTAACGTTCAAAGTCGTCTTTTTCGGTGGTTAAAAGCTTCTCTAATGAATGGCCCAGCCAGCTCATGATGTTGGGTGTGTCGTAGCTTTTATCTGCGTCGATGGCATACACGCCATCTTTCCATCGGAGAAAGGCGGCATTAGGCCCCAGGCTGATCTTTGAAAATCTAGCCGAAGGACTGGGGAAAGTGCGGGATAGCATATCATGGTTAAGACTGCGGGTATTCGAAAGTAGGTAGTGGAAATGTTGCAAGATGCCTGACATGCTAGAAGTGGATCCAGTGAACTTGGTGCCTAAGCGCTTTGTGATGGCAAGAAGATCGGGATCCTGCGAGGATGTCTTGTACTCCTCCAGAGCGTCAAAATCAAACTCATTGACGTTCATGATTTTCTCCAGATATGGATCGAAGTTGTACACTCGTGAGCGCGGATCTTGGAGGCGATAGACGCCGGGGTTGAACAGAACACGGTCCAGCCCGTACGCGAGCATGGGAACGGGAGGGATCTCGACGTCGACTGGTTTGAATTCCAGATCTTGGGGGTTTATGTATCGAATTTGGAGTGAATCTCGCAGCGAACCGCTGGACTTGATTCCATGTTTCAGTGTACCTCGCGCGGAATTTTGCAACAAAGCCTCCTTCAAACCCAATGGGCGGTTCTCATTGAGTGTAGACTCGCTATGCACATATCGTGGTTTTACAGGCGATCGCACCACCGGCGATGGCCTTCTCCGCTTTGTTTTGCTTTTGGGTGGGGCTTCAGCGAGATGGCTCTTCTGTGCCGTGTCGACGTCCTGCTTGGCATTGCTATTGTCTTCAGGTTTCTCCTGCTCTGGGAGCAAGGCTTTGCGACTAAAGCATCGCCCCGAGGCTCGTGGGCGATTGAGACGGGAAGTGCATGTGAGCCGGACGGGGGCAACGCGTGGCTGAGACGGCGATATGAGGAGGCGACGACTGAGCATCGAGAGGACAGGTGGGATAGACAAGGGAGGCAACAAGAAGCCAGCCAGCAAGCAATGGGCGGACGCGATGCGCGCGCGGGTACGATGGCCAGAAATTATTGTCGGACATATATTTATCCGGGGTTCCGCCGTTCCGAGTGAATTCCGATGACGACTTCGCGTGTGGTCTTCTACTTACAAAGGTAACATGTAAGCAGAGTACTTGGATATGTATGTAGGTATGTAGGTACTTAGCTATGTACTAGTTACTTAGTAGTGATGGGACCCAAAGAAGTCTTAGCGTGCATTGCGCGGCGTGATTGCAAGGGAAGGGAAGGGAAGGAGGGGGATGCCGTGTCTACGTAATGCCGCCCTGGTGAAAATCAATCATTCCGCTCTCCTCCGATGGATGTGTGCATCTATAGCTACGTAGCTACATGTCTATGTATGCAGCCCGAGTGAGCCGACCGGGTCTTGGTGGTTACATGTCGAGGCGAACCGGGCTGGCTACCTGTGTACTTCCATACATATGCAATTGGTTGGTTAGTGGCAACCGTCCCATCGTTTGTTTTGCGTTGAACCCATTCGTTGCCCTGTTTGTTTGCCGTGTGGAGGAAAACAAACAACACCAACATGAACACTCTTCTCAACCAAGGCAGGGTAATCAACCCCGCGCTCCCCAACTGAACCACGGCCCGTGTAATCATCTGAGAGTGGGTGGTGGGCGATCGTCTTGCCGCGCATGAGAAATTGCAGCGGAACAAACACAGCTACCGTAATATAACGCACCTGTCACCACCGCAGACGAGCCCAGTCCCGACTCCACTCTGCTTGACTACTTTCTTACATACTTACCTACATATATGTACCTACAAGTATACTCACTCGCTTGCTGAACTGCCCATCTGCCCATCCGAGTCGACAACGGCGACTACGACGACGGCAACGATTCCTCCTACCCTACCCCGTTAGCCCCGGTAACTCCATCCTGTTGATTGGCTGCGCGGCGCAGCGCTTCTGCATCGCCATCTCTCTTCGTGCTTCACCGAGCTTGCCCTGTCCTGCGCCCAATCTTCCCTATCCGTCCCGGGGCGCCCTTCGTATGCCACTATTGCGACACTGCTGAGCTCCTACTAGGCGGCGCAGGCCTTCTTGAGAGCTCAGCATGTCCTCTAGAGAGAACAAACGCCGCAGCATCTTCGCCGCCATCTCCGGCCTCCAGGTCAGCAGCGGTAGCAGCAGCACCAGCAAAGATGATTCCGAACCCGCCAATCTACTGCGAAAGCGCCGGGCAACCTCGCTGATGACCACCCTCTCCACCGCCTCGAGTCTCGCCGACGAAGACCCCTCCACTCCCGACTTCCTTGCCAAAGACTCGCTGTCCCCCGTAGCTACGAACCCCGTCACGAGAAGCCTTGGGTCACACAGCAGTAGAGCGAGCTACCGCAGAAGCTCGACATTTGGCTCCCTCAAACTTCGCATCCCCGACGAAGACGGAGAACCTCTCTCCGCTACACCCACTCGTTCCCGACCCATCTCCGGACAGTGGTATCAGAGCGATGCAGGCCAGGTTCTCCATCATGGCGAAGTCCAGACCAGCAGCTCCATGTTTCGCAAGAAGAAGGAATACATGGTCCTCACAGAGACACATTTGATACGGTTCAAAAGCCACCAAAAAGCCGCAGAGAAATTTCCCACCATCCCACCACCGTACAATCGCAACTCTTCGTACCGCCATAGTCAGAACTTTTCCACTACTTCGTCGCAGGAACTCCAGTCTCTCACTTCCGATCACTCGGGAGACCGCGAATTGGGAACTCCTCTCCGGCAGATTGTGGCTGCGTACCAATTAGCTGACGGAAGGCCACACTTTGATTTTGAAATTTTCTATCTTGACGATGAGACCAATCAAGCTTCCTCCATGACTCTTCAATTCAGCGATCCAGATGATATGTCTCTCTGGCTGAAAGGAATCCGAGAAGCTTCCAATCGTCTTCGGCTGGCTGATCCAAACCCTTTATCTGCTTACAACTCTCACCTAGCGGCTCGCGTAGTCGAGGCAGAGCGCGACTATGTACCGCCTCACTATGCCATTTACAAGGTTGTTCAGCGCCCACTTAGCAAAGCCGCATCCAGGTCTTCGTCGGACGACTTGTCTAAAAGTCTCTCCACAATTTGTTTTCTTGCGATTGGTGTCCACAAGGTTCATCTGATCCCCCTCTTCAAACCCCCGTCCCAACGATCATCCACACCATCACTCCTCTCGAACAACACGCAATCCTCCCATGGTATCCTCAGTTTAACGGATTTGTACGTAAGCGAGGCTGATGATAGTTTGGAATTGACCTTCCGCGTGCCACTTCAGCGCCCCAAAACACTGTATCTAGCCTCACTTGCGTCGCATGATATCGCCGTTCGCTTACGGCACGTGGAAGAGAGCTTGAGGCCTGAATGGGAATCTCGTCCTTATAATTTCATGGTGCCTGACAGCGTGTTACTCGACATTATGCGGCAGTCCAGTCCCAATCCAATAGATGGCGACTCTCTAGATCGTACTCTGATCGGCTACTGCGTAGCATACGATGTGAAGCCTGAGAATATTCGATATCAAGTCACTTACCCTGCCGAGGACTCCCCTCGATTCGAGCTATTACGGCCCGCTGGACTGAAGAGAAATCAGTACACTGTACTCGAGCTTCTGGCAGTCATGCGTGCACTGCGATACAATGAAAGTTTTGGCACAATATCCTTCAAAGGCATTCATCTGGATGTATTGAATGGTCTTTTTGATCCGAATGGATTTGATCATCTCTGCACCAAAACAAAACGGGGTACATACCTTTCTGAAGATGCAGATGATCTTCAACGGGCTTGTTTACTTGTTCAGGAGATTCGTGCACTAGCGGTTACAAGTCGCAAAGTTCGACGCCTAGACTTTTCCTCGTGCATTACGAGAAAACCAAAGGATCCCATGGACTCATCTGGGAAAGGCAGAGATATGGGGTGTGCTATTGTCGAGGCGCTTTTTCCCCTTTGCAAATACCAGACCACAAATGTGGACTGGATTGCTTTGAACAATATACTGCTCGGAGAAACAGACCTGGACTATCTAGTAGCTGCAGCTGTTGAAAGATCTTGCCATCTTCGGGCACTTGAACTCAGTGGTTGTGGACTTACCGATCGTACTTTGTCGCTCATTCTCGACTCGCTTCGACCACAAGAAAACACGTTGGAGGCCATTGATCTATCGTCGAATCCTTTTCGTCTATCGCCTTCCATATTCGATTCTCAGATTGGCGTTTTTGGATATCTCACCAAACTTAACCTATCCAATGTGGCTCGAACATCTGGGCCTGAACCCCTGATATCCGTTGAGACTTTCCAGGCATGGCGACTCCAGGAACTGATACTCAGTGGAACTTCCTTGAATTCCGCAATGGTTGATTCAGTAGCTGGGTAAGTAGTATGAGAGCTTCTCATAGTTTACTTGCACTAATTCCGGCATAGCTATCTGGTGAATTACAAGCAATCAGCAGCTCTACGTGAATTGCGGATGGATCATTGCTATCTGACAGGAAAGGACATTGCCTTGTTACTTCATTCTATGACCGAAATTCCAGGAAAGGCTCGGGAGCTTCATTTCGATGTCAGCGAGAACAACATTGAAAGTCATCTCAACGAACTCGCCAGTGCGATTCGGAACGGGGTTGCACCGTCAGGTATGGCAATCAGGCTGATTGAGTTCGAAGAAGAGGCGGATTTCCGCACCTTAATTGATGCATTGGCTCACAACAACACAATTCGTCATCTTGATCTCTCGCGGGCCTCTTTGCCATCTGATGCCTCTGAGGAAACCTGTCAGGCTCTGGAATATATGTTTGCACATAACACAACTCTGGAGTGGTTGGATATTTCCGGTGAAGACTCCCGGCTCGAGACGACAAAGCTAGGAGTGGGGATCAACAAGGCATTGCGCGGTCTTCAAGTGAATCGTACTTTACGAGTGCTTCTTGTTAAATGTAGGTACCAGTTCCGGACAACTTTCATCTTATTCATATTAATGTGATCCAGGTCAAAAGCTAGGATTGCAAGGTGCGAGTACACTGGCTGATGTCCTCAAATCCAACACAACACTTCAGCAGCTTCATTGTGAGAGTAATGGAATCCCTCTCCAAGGATTTACTGATCTCATCAACGCATTGCATCGCAACACCACTCTATTGTATCTTCCCAGCATGCAAGAAAGCAGAAATGCGGCACTCAAAGCTACCGAAGACCAAGTGAAACAAATCCGAGACGAAACGCCACACACCACGCAAACAAGAAGCACATCTGTACGCAGCAAACTTTCCAGCAAAGTATACGGGAGGCCTTTGAGCAAATCGGTATCTTTTGGACTATCAGACCAAGACATCAAGGCTGCGCTTGGTTTGGTAGATGAAAGCTGGGAACGACAAGAGTATCGCCTCCAACAGTACCTGCAGAGAAACTACGATCTCGCAAATAATGTACCTACGGCATTAGAAGTCGATGACGAAGAATTCGAGCGACCTGAGACGGCTACTCTTAGCCTCGGTAAACTTGTGGAGAAGGTCAAGCTGGACTCAACACCTACAGGAGAGAAAGAGGTTGAGCTTGGCGATTGCGCTATTCAGGAAGAGACCCTGGACAGAACGACATCTCTGGACAAGGATATGGATATGTCTTTTGCTCAAGATTACGTTGCCTGGACACGACCACGGCTACCCAGCTGAAATTCATGAGCTAACCCGACGAAATGCCTTTCCTGCATCCTTTCCGTTGCCCTTCCCTTCTTCTTGCATATACTCGCAAAATACTTTTTTTTTCTGGATAGACATGCATTGCGTCGGATCGAACACCTGCTCTGTTCTCTTCTTTTATTTTCTTTTCTGCTTCTCGCATTTCTTCTTGTACTATCAAAACTTGGTCATAATAGCCTTTGGCGTCAACTGGAGGAGCGTAGCCGCCAGACGTATTCTGATTCATTTGTGTTCGCGCAGCAAAAGACATTTTTGTTCACCTGAACCACCGGGTCGCGGATATACCCTGCACATGTACACTTGTTTTCGCATCAAGACACATACATATTTGATGCACATTTTTTCTTTTGGAAAACTGGATTTTATTCTGGGATGGATACTTGGGAAGACATGGGAATGGATTGGTTATCATACGTTTCGATATATAGATATTAGAGGCGCATCTTCTGGCGCGGTGCTTGTGCAGCAATTCCCTTCTCAAATTTGTGACCGACTGCATTCCACAGAGTTTGAACCCATGTCTTGAATCCAACAGTCATCACAGAATAAAAGGGAGTTGGGCAGATAGAGTGGGTTGATTACTGACAGTCGTACGCCTCTTCTCATTGGCTACCAGGGACTGGCCTAGCACCATCAACTACTAGCACCTTGACATCACTGTTTTCCGAATCCCGTCCCATGTCGAATGATTCCAACCAGCAGCCCTTTAAACACCATTGATCACTTTTGTTGCGGGCTTCTACCTTTCTCCCCTCGCCAATAGTCATTCGACAACCGGAATTGATGGCATGATGCGGAAACACGCGAGCTTGACCAAGGATGAGGAGACCAACGCAGCGGCGTGGGAAGCTGTACGAGGCGCTGGTTGGGGTGCTTTCAAGGTGCGTCTATCGTATTATAGCAGAAAGAGTGAAGATGCTCCCTTGGGGGCTTATCCGAAGACTTCATGTCCTTCGCAGAATGTTTCGCACGCTCTCGAATCACCTTTGTTAGACACATTGAGTGAGAACTGCGTGGGCGTTTGCAAGAAATCAACACTAAATGTTATACGGAGAGACATAGCTGCTAATTTGAAATTGTTTGCGTGGACAGTGGGGTACTTTCTCCGTTGTAGCTGGCGGCGTCGCGTACGCACTTTCGCCCATATATCGCGGTCTCACGATACAGTTTAAAATGTAAGTCGAACTCACTGTGACGCTTCTTTGGCTTTCATAAAGATTTACGGCGTTTTACGTTCCGATCCCGTCCTCTGTATTCACAAAATCGCTCTGACATTCACTATAGCTATATCCAAATGTCCGGAATGATCCTGGGGTCCATGATTGAAGCTGACAAGCGCATGGTTGGGTACGAGCATATGATACGACACCAGAAAAGGTTAGCAAGGGATATGGAGGTGTGGAGGAAGTATGAGGAGGAATTTGAAAATAAGGGAACGCCTGGGGTTGGTTCGGAGAGTGAGGTGACGAGGAAAGAGCCTTAGGTGTGAGGAGAGAACTGAGCATCTTTTCGGAGCTGGACTTTGTACGATACGGTTTTTGGCTCATTCAAACATTGAATGCGAGATTTATGATTGCCAGCATGCTGCATATTTTTCTGAACAAGATTTTGCTTGCAACCTAAACCTGCTACTTCAGGTGTGTTGATCTGGAGGCATGGAAATCAGAAGGGTTCCGAGTGATGACTCAGCGGACATAGTGGGCTTATTGCAACATGCGGAACTCAATTGCTGCAGCAATAAAGACAGTGGTTTGCAATTGATTCAACCGTAATCTGACAGGCAGGCAATCTGGCCTGTCGGATGGAAGCTTCTACAGACAAGCGAGTGGGGCCAATTGGAACGCTAAAATCCAATTACTAAGCAGCAGCTATTAAATTCCGCGAAGCCACTTTTCAATTCTTCTTCCTCCAGGCTGCCATAGCAGTACCTCACTTCTCACCACCACCACTCCCACACCGCCACCATGGATGTTTTCTGGACTTTACCACCGGTCACTAGAACCATCGCTACTGCAGCTGTAGTTGTATCAGCATTGGGGTACGCAGGCATTCTCGAGTTGATGCAGTTTGTCTATATCCCACAGTATGTGTTCACTGTGTCGATGCTGCCGCAGGTGTGGAGGGCCATAACTGCGTTCTTCATAACGAAGCCGAAGTTTGGCATCATCATGGACCCCTACTTCTGTACGGTCTCCCTGGTATTGCTATCCAGCACCATGCTAATAAGCGCTCCAGTGTACCAGTACGGTAGTGGTCTTGAGCGCGAGTCTTCTCGTTTCTCTCAACCCGGCGATTTCTTCGTCTACACCGTATTTCTGGGGTCATTCATAGTAGTAAGTTGCTTCGCAGTTTTGATGTTCTTTTCTTGCACGCGTTCCTACAACGCATTGTGCGTCTTGTGTCAAACAACCTCGGATTATCTGCCCGCCCAGCCTTGTATCTCTAGCTGAAGCGGTTCCTGGAACCGAGGGAAATTACCCTTACACGTCTCACGCCCCGTCATTCGCATAATATCAAAAGGGGTGTTGCGGCGTGTAGGCATGGTGGGAATGCCAGTTGAGAAAGCGCAACGGACTCGCAATTCCGTCTTGTGCGGTGTTGGCTCCCTACATCACTCTACCTTGTAGATTACTTGGCAACTGTGATCTTCAATAAGCATCGGTCATCTAGTCTATGGATCAGTCTTACTGACTTGCTGAAAGGCACTTGCTGGCCATATTCTAGGCGGTATGACGTTCCTTGCAGCCCTCTCCTTGGGCTACGCCTACACGTATGCGCAAGACAACCCAACTCGCCAAGTGACTTTCTTCATCATCACTTTTGACGCCAAATTCCTTCCCTTCGCTCTCCTCTTCATGACCCTGATCCTCGACGGCCCTGAGCAAACCATGACACAAGCCACCGGTCTTATCGCGGCGCACATGTTCGATTTCTTGACCAGGATCTGGCCGACATTCGGCGGCGGCACAAACTACATCACCACGCCTCAGACTGTGAAGCGGTGGTTTGGAGCAAGGCCTGGGGCGAGGCAGGAACGGTCCTACGGTTTTGCACAACAGGGCGGAGGTGCTGCGGAACCTCCCAGTGCCGGAAGGACTACTGGGGCTCAGTGGGGACCTGGAAGGAGATTGGGTGATTGAAAGATTGCCTCATGCGGATAATGGGTATGGCAATGGCATGGAATAAGCGGAGGAGTTTCTGGTATCATGAATAGAGCGTCACGACTCTTCCAATACTATCACGACGGCTTCCGAAATCGATCATAAATCATAATGTTTGCCTAATTCCATTACTCGTGTCAAATATTGTACAGTTATGTCCTTCCCAATCAACATCTATTTCGAGCTTCCAGCGGGATTGCTAGGTCCATCGACAGCTCTCTCGACATGTCCCGCAATACCATTCTTGCTCGCATCAAACTGCGAGCCGATGACTCCGTCCTTGCTCAACGGACCTCCAACCTTCTCTCCAATTTGGCCAATGGCGCCGTCCGGATTGAATTGCTTGCCGATTGCACCGGCCGAGGAAATAATTGAGGGGTTCTGTTTCCAGGAGAAGAAAGATGTACATGTTAGTAAACGTTTTGCTGTTGAATCTTGGGAAAGGCAGTCGAAAGGGAGCTGATAACAGTGATGACGTACCTCTTGGGGAATGGGGTTTGTGCCTTTGTTAGCACCGAGCTTGTCTGCGGCGGCGGTCGTCTTATCCATTGTTGCTGGTTGACTGTGGGTTTGCTTTTTGACGACGGTTGAATAGATTCGAGGATTCAGAAAAATTGGTTTATACGATTTGAATATTGTATTTTGTGTTGAAGTTAATACGAAGAATAGATATCAAATAATGGAGAAATTTCTACGTTATATAGGCAAAGGCAGTCTTACTCTGACCAATTGCAGTGAATTTTTAGAGGGATAAGTAGCTACGTAGTCGATGCTGCAATGAGCGGTACCCGTGTTGATTTCATCGTTGTCGTCACCAGGTGGTCAGAGGGATCGAAGATGGGGGAGGGGACATAGGGTCAGGTCGTGATGTCATGCTGATTATGTGGGGTTCAAAAGGAGCGAAAGAGACGTCACAATTCTCTATGGGATTAGAGCCGTTTGAAGAAGGGGTCCACGGAGGGATTTTGGAAGACTGGGGAACGACGTAATGATGGGTATGGGCTGGATGGTATTGCTGTGCGATGTATGTTTCGAGTGGCGATGGTGCTCACGTAGGCTCGAGTGTGGGTAGAGTCTGATAGCTTGTCGACGAACATGAGAACAACTGTAAGTGACGATACTACGGGGTGGTTCTCTTGATGCAAATCAAGTCGCTTTGGAATTTCTTCTGAATATTGCCATACGTATGCATGATGGTGTGGTGGCCGCCTCCATACGATTGATGCAGTCGTAGACCGATAGAACGCTAAAAGCACGTAGTAAACCCGTATCATCTCCGAAACACCCTCTACTGAACAGAAAGCAACGCAAAGCCAATGACCTCCAATTACCGTTTTTTTGATGGTCCAGTCTTGATTTTGGGGAACACGAGCGGGAGCTTCAGTCTGGCAACGAAATGGTTAAGGCTTTCAGCTTTGGTCAGCTTCAACTTAGTGCGGTCGGTTTCTGTGGGTGCGGCGACTCTGCAGCCCAATTCGGCGAAGTATTGTCGAACCCTAAGAGTCGCGTTAGTATGTATAGTTCCAGGAGATAATTGATCCACTTGAATGCGTACTCTTTGTTTTCAAGCCGGAGGTCGTTGCGGAGATCGTTCACATCAACTTCGAAGCCATCCACCAGAAGGGCTGCTGCGCAAATGTGCGTAATTAAGTTGTCGATATGCCAACGAGTCATTTCATTATTCCTGGGCCTGATCAGTCAATTGTTCATGCGGCTGTAGAGATGAGCTTACTCTGATGCGAACTTCCTTCGAATACCGTTGATCACTGCCTCATCCACATCGTCTCCCATGAGTGTCGCTAGCTTGTCCTTGGGTGGTACCCTTTTAGGACCCCTTCCTTTTGAGCTCAGTGACTCGTTGAATTTTATGCAAAGTAAGATGAAGCGCAGCATCTTGAGCTTCTCAATCTGTTTATTTTTGACCAGTTTGAGAATGCGTTTCGCAACGTATCTACTGGTGACTTGAACACCAGTCCCAGCTTCCGAAGCGTCGATCCAGTCTTTGACAGGTATGGCCGACATAAGATCCTTGCCGACCACGACATCGATAGTATATACGTCCTCGGGGTATTCAGCAGCGATGTTCGCGATGGGGCGTGGTTTAGAGCTGTCAACTGCCGCTGCAAGATCTTCTCGCGTAGGCATGGCTGAAGTAGCGCTTGAGATGTTCTGTAGGACATTGTTTGCGACACTGTCGTTGTTGGGGGCGTTGGGATCCCGGATCGCATTCTGCGTCATATCTTCAATGGCCTTTCGTGACTTCTTAGACCCGAACTCGGCAGCAAGCGCATGCCTCTGTGCTGTCATTGAAGCTTTGGCTGCTTCTTCCTTGGCTTGTTGATTTCGCAGCTCTTCCGTTTCACTGCGCAAGGAGCTGCGCACTGTCAGTCTGCGAACAGGCATAAGCTGAAGCTTTCCTGTTGCAGGATCGTAGACGCCGACATAATCCTTTAGCTGGCTGGCCGAGCTTCCGTCCTTTTCTTCCTTTGCGAGGTAATCTAGGCGCGGGTGTTCGGATGATTGTAGAATAACTTCGGTTGTTGCGCCGGTAGGAAGGACCTTTGTTTTCTTGTATGTCTTGAAGGATATATGCGAGGGAATGGATAAGCCTGGAGTCGCGGCTATAATACGATTAGACATAAGCCGTGATTATACACTACACATTGTGTGGTCGTTTGTGTGGTCGTTTGGGACGTACCGAGTATGGGACCCAGCTCATTCTCGTCATTTTTGACATGTTCCACTTTCACCGTGCCCGAAGGAAGGGCTGCCGTCTTCTTCTTTGAAGGGCCATTGCTGCCGTCTTCTTGTCTCTTTCTCTTTTCTCCGCCCATTGTTGTTATGTGGAGTTTTGAATCGGCTGGCGGGGGTGCTGGTTGTAGCCTTCGTTCCGCATCTTCAAAAAATTTGGTCGAACTCTTGGCGCGAGCTACAGATCCTGGTCCGCGCCACAGTGGCTGGCGGGCATTACCGTGGACCTCCGCGCTAGCCGTTCTCTGGTACTCGACTTGACGGCAACTGCATTCCGATCACAATGACATATTCCCTTCCCATTCATCTATGCTTTCTTTTCCCTCTCTCTTTATAGGCCTTCCATATACTCTTCCGTATTGTTTCTCCTCTCAGATTTCCTCGAGTTCTCGAACCGCTTCGTAACCCCTGTCTCAACCTTCCCTCTAACCCTGAATCGAGCATGTCCGATATGGTAAACACCGTGCAATCGATGTTTGACAAGTTGGAGAACACGCTTGGGAACCGGCTTAATCAGATACTGCCTCCAAAGTCACGAGCCAATATGTCATCAACATTGAAGACTTTCGCCATCCAAAACCCGAAACTTGCCGTGAGTCCTCCTATTCACTTCCTTGCTTTACAGCCTGCTCATCCCGAGCTCAGTACGTTGGCATATTTAGTACTAACAGACAAAAGACTTTTGCTGCAGCTCAGTTTGCGCTCTCCGGTCTACCTCTTCTCCTCTTCATTACTTTCTGCACGACGTCACTCCTCATCTCTGTTGTCGCTGCACTTCTGATCGGACTTGTGGTCGCTTTGCTTGCTACCCTTCTTATGGTCGGAATTGCATTGGTCGTGTTCTTACCCACCATTTTCTTTACCACTTTTGTCGCTACGTTCCTGTTTCTTGTCGCTGTCTGTGGCTATTATGCCCTGAAATGGTACGTGTCCAAAATCTTGCAGTGTCGTAGATATGATATTGATATCTTGCAAAGGATAAATGGAGGCCGGTCACCCACTACAGAAGGCACCTTGATTGGCGAAAAAATCAACCATCTTAGTGGTGGTCGTGTCAAGTGGCTCAACGATAGACTCCACGAGAAGCAGGAGAGCGCCGAAGGAAGAGCTGTGAAAATTGAATTGGTGCTGAAAGAAGAGAAGGGGGGCGCGAATGAAAGCACCAAAGGTGCTGAGAGGAACATTAAGGATGATTCCGACGAAAAGACTAATCCTCGTGCTCGCAGAAGATCTCTGAAGCCTGCATCTCCGTCAAAAGATTCGGTAAAAAAGCACACGGAGACAGTGACGAATGGAACGAATGGCACTCAAACGATTCTGAACGGCACCGAGCACGTTAAAGGCGTCACCAGTGCGGATACGGAATCACACAGCTAGACCAGATAGTGTATCTCCTCGTGCTATTCTATAAGTATTACTGGCTATTTCTCAATACCGAAAGGGCGTGCTACTGCTGCGACCATTGACTGCACATGGCCTTTGGCCAAAATTTTCGTCTTCAAGATCTATATTGAGCTTGCATTATTGTATGTTCTATGTAACCTGCCTTGTCGGATGAAGGTGTTTATCGATGGCCATGCTCTTCATGTGTTCTTATGTCTACAATCTTGTCAGCGCTAGAAAAGATCAAGCAAAGGTTAATCTCGCACATCATAAGGGCCAGTGTGCTGAGCCACGAGTACCATACTTCAGCTCATAACAGGATACATCTGCTGTCGTCATCCGCAATGAGACCATGTCACAGGCCATTACTGTAGCTGGTACAACATACATTGCAGTTCCAGATTTGAAGAGATAATTGATTAAAAGCCACCCGGAAAAAAGTCTCCACGAAAGCACCACTACGGTTGCGAGTCTAAATTTACAACAAAAGATGTCTTCTCCAATTGCTCTCATGATTAGTCTACATTTTCTGTCACCCTAAAAAACGGGCCTAACACTCAGCGTGTCATTCCACGCTTAGAGCGAGCGTCGCTTAACAAAGCCCGATCGCTGATGATTCTACAGCACAGTCCAAGTGATCGCCTCAAATTATGACATCATCTAGATCTCGCCATAAGCTTCTCTAAGCTTTTCTGTTACATCTAATCATTCGAATCTTACATTTTTCTGTATCCGGCAATATATCTCACTAAGAATAGTATCGTACCATAATATCACTGAATGATCCGGACAAAATAATTCACAATGCACAAAGACGATGTTCCGCTAAGGACATGCGACCAGCACGGTAGTGCGAATGAATGCTCGATTTATTGGTGGGGGCATGCCCCGGATAAGTCTTACGAATTTAGAGAGATCTACTTAGTGTGGACTTTGCTAAAGTATTTAAGGTTTATGTGCTCTTCCTGATTACATTGATACCTGATCTCTTCCACTCTCCCATTTTCGGCAAGAATCATGAAATTACTCGTCACCACAACCACCGCGCTCGCTACGACCCTCAGCTTCGCTGCATGTATAGCCGCCCATAAGAGCGCGGTACCTACACATACTAGTCCAGGATGCTCCACAACCACGCTTCCAGACGGTCTCAAACTTGGTCAATCCAAGTATGTGAACATCACGAGTAACAGCGTAAACGGATCAGCCAGCATTCGCAGATACAGAATCCATGTGCCCGAGTCGTACGAGCATGGCGTGCCTGTACCATTAATCATGTCTTTCCACGGCCGCACGCGAACAGCGAAATCTCAAGAAGCGCTGTCGCAGTTTTCGAATCAGACATTTGGATTTGAGGGAATTTCTGTCTACCCCCAAGGCCTGGCTGTATGATCCTTTGTCCCCCATAGTACTTCCCGCACCTTTCAAGTCTCACAAAATAAGAATATGATAAATTATCCGAATAAAACGCGACTAACTCAATACCCAGTCCGGTAACAAAACCCAATGGCAAGGCGACCCGGATCAACCCGCCAGCATAAACGACGTCCAATTCACCCTCGAACTCCTCACCCACCTAACCTCAAACTTCTGCATCGACCTCGCCGCTATCTACGCATCCGGGAAATCCAACGGCGGCGGCTTCACAGGCATCCTCGCATGCGATCCAGTAGCATCGCAGAAATTTGCGGCCTTTGCCGCCGTCTCAGGGGCATTCTACTTGGACCAGACTACTCAGCAACTGCCGCTTTGTAAACCCAATCTGGAGCAGCGAAGCGCGATTCCGTTCATGGAGTTGCATGGAGCCAAGGATGATACGATTGCGTATCATGGCGGAGAGAATACGAGACATAATGCCAATTCGACAGATGTGCCTGAGTATGTGAATGCGTGGGCGGTGAGGGATGGATTGGATCCGAATGCGAATGTTACGGGGACGCTTTGTGAGGGGGACAAGTTGGTTACGACTCGTAAGTGCTGATTTTTTTGTTTTCTTTCCCTTGTTTCTCGATGTCAATCGCAATGATCATTGTACTCTTTTTACGGTTAGGGGATTTGGCTGACGAAATCGTAAATGCGATAGACAAGTGGGGAGAGACGTTGCTACATTACAAGTACGCGAACATGGAACACGATTGGATGAGTCAATTTGGGAACAGTGATTCTGAAGTGAACCTGACATGCAAGGAAGCGGATGCTACGAGGGTGATCTTGGATTGGTTCAAGAAGTGGCGGTTTATTGAGGCGCCTGTATACTGATAAGGTTTGTATATTACACATTACACTGGTCATTTTAGTTTCTCCTTATGTTCTATCCACTCAATAGACAACGAGATAACGAATGGCTACAAGATTGACTCGGCGTAGAACGATACCCCTAAGCGTATTAGATAGAGCTTTGGACGACCGGGCATAAATGTCCCAGGAATATTCTCGGGGTTTCACTCATAGCAGAAGCGACTCGTCCGTTTAGCACAAGAGCCAGCCTATGTCATCTTCATCTCTTACGTCGTTCTCTTGCATGAACGCAGTCCACTGAGCGTCCAATGATTCCGCTGACTCTTCCACTAGAACTCCTTCTTCATCCGCTTCATGCCTCTCGTCTTCACCACTCCCATCTTCTGGCCATTCGTGGTCGAACATAGTCGAAGAGACTTCTCCGTTCCTACAACTGAATTAGATTTAACTTCAAAATGTCTAGACCTTTGACTTACTTATACATAACGGTGCCGCCCATCTTCTTCATACTCCAGGCAACAAGCAGTTCGTTATCAGCTAGTCCTGCTAGATCAGAGTCATTCTTGCAGCTCTTATCGAGTCTTAGCATCTTCGCCATTTCCACGATCGAATCAGAAAGAGGTTCTAATTCCGGAATGGGTATATGTAGTTCTTCGTTCTGCGTTGCTAGCGACCCAATGACCTTGTGTTCGATAGTTCTTGCTAGCGTAGATGTTTGGGAGACAGTAGGGTCCAACTGCTTGATTTCTATGATTGGTTGTTAGAGCTGATACAAGAATTACAACAGACTTGGAGGTACTTACTGGTAATATTGCAACTCTCTCTATGGAAGACTGTGCCTTGGCAGTCCATGCAAGGTACATCTTGACTCAAAGGTAGTACATGTGCCATAATGCGTTGGCATCGTTGTAGTTGGTCGATCTTTTGGGAAGATTGGGAGATTCTACGCTCACGAATCCGTCAAGGTCCTCGTAGCTTGTTTGGTCATGTTCGGATCCGGGACAATCAACTATGACAGTGGATTCCTCAAGATTATGGTAATCTGGTGGAGATTTTATAGATGATCGGCTCTTTTCCGTCACGGGTCGTTGATGCTGACGAGACTGTTGGGACGAAGAACTGGGTAAAGCTTTGGGTGGCACAAGAGGCGGTACTTTGGAAGCAAGTTTAGGCGCTCGAACGACGGGAGGGCTTTCCGTGATTTCTGATTCACTCTCGGAAGGCTTTTGGACTGGTCGATCACCAAGAGCAGGGCGGGAAAAAATAGGCGTTCGTCTACGCAACAGCTTTGTTTTGTCTGGGTACATTTTTGGAGCAGGTATAGGCTTGGACTGCACTCCCCTAGGTATATTAGCTCCAGGATTTGGTTGGCTTGGTAGGTTTATCGAACTACCTGGAGTGTGAGGAACATTCATGTTGTATAATGTTGGGTCTATGGCTGGGAACATGCTTCTGTCATTGAAACGATGCTGTGATAATGCTCTATCAGCCGTCGTGAGTGGTTGACTTTGTTTACTGTTCATTGGCTGGGCTTTCAGATTCTCCCAACCAGAAGCGTATTCGTGCATCCGCTTCAAGGTAGGGTGATTGCGTGAGCTTTCAACTGATTGTCGTGTTCTGTCTTGCAAGTCTGAAGCGCCAGTGGTATGTGCCGCGTAGCCATGTGCTTTTGAAGAAGGCATGACTTCTCCAGGCGGCATGCGAGGAAGAATGGATCGGTAAGAACTATTTAGAGCTTCCAGACTAGGGGTTTGTGCAGCTGACCTGTTGGATATTTCCGGTTGAGTACCACTGTCTTCCGAGCTCTGATGGGGAAGGATGTTCCTGTATGGACTACGTGAGATGTGAGCAGTTTGAGGCTCGGCGTTTGTGTTGTTAGGATTTGGCGGTGGTTTGTCATTGGTATAATATCCAGGAACAGACAACGACAATCCCATGCCCGATTGCGGAATCTGTAAGGCTGAACTATGAGTCGAAGGCTTCGGCTCTTGTCGGTGGCCAGATTTGGATGTTATGGATTCGAGTGTGGATGGAGCCGGGGATGATATTGGGGTACTCGTAGGTTTCTCGAGGGTATTGCTGCTAGGAGGGGTGTACGAAGGGAATTGTCGGTTTGGGCCCGAGAGATGGCATGAATTGTTGGTATTATATCCAGAGTTATTAGCACTCTGCTGATGTGGCATCTTCAGTTTCGAATTCTCATGCTTCTGCGAAATATTTGTGTTGGATGAGGAGGCATTAGCAGCAGAAAGGGATGGCGCAGACTGCTGAGATCCTTTCGCGTTATTTTCGGTGGTAGTGATCGACCAAGGCTGATTTATACGATCAGAAACTGACCTGCACCTGGACGAAAGAGTTCCTTCGCTTCGAGTGAGAGCATTTGATCGTATTCGAAAGTTCCATAGTTTGCCCGTACTATCGAGTAAGTAGGACGGTACCTCGCCGTGAGGCGGTGCACGCAAGCCAACTTGTTGCCTCTCTTCGGCAATGCATCTCAAATGCTCGGAGGCTGTGCCAACTCGGACGACCTTGTAAAGATCTTCCTCACCCGGGATCCAGCGTAGGGATATGTTGGGGCTGGCACCCTGCCCGCGCGCAGCTGTCTCGATTACAGCCTCCGGGGACATGAAACCGCTCAAATAAGCTCTGTGATCATCTTTGCTATGTCCCTCGGTGTCAAATCGCCAATAACCCGTACGGATCTGATCTTGTGTAATGTTTATCTTGAACTTGATGAATTGGCCGCATGGGTCCAGGGTAGGACCAACGTAGATGGAATTGTGCGCTTTGCCTGGCATGGTTATTTTGAGGCAGTGCAGGATGTGCGAGCGTAAGTGTGGGTGCGAGAAACGTTGACCAAGGTACTGGACGAGCTTGAGCGATTAGGCTGCTAAATCACGTGATATGTGCAGTGATCGTTTGAGCCAACGCGGAAGGAGCAAGCGTCAAACCATTCGATGTAAAAGAAGCATCTTTGATTGAAGTCACCAGTTCCTGACTGTTAATTTGATCGATTACGTGAAACAAACGCAAAGAGTGTTGAATAGAGCGAGGTGGAATCAGCAAGAACAAGCGGCAAAAGAAAAGTAAGAGGAGGCGGCGGCACTAACGATCGCAAAGTACAAGCACAGTCTCTGCTGTTTTCGAATGGTCCAGTTGCAAAATGGAGTCTCTTCGACCAAGAATTAGGATGAACAAGTAACTCGAACATTCAATCTGATAGATACGTACCTAGGTACGCAACAAGTAGGTCCTCAGCCGTCACTGGTGTGTTTCTTTTGGAGGTCAATTCTGTCATACGGAGAGTTCGCAAAAGACGGAAGCTGGTTTCTGGGTGCCAACCAAAGACTTTGGTGACTGGCTGGAGAGATTGGTGAAACTTATCACGCATCCCGATATCTAATACATCTAAACTGGCTCGCGTACCGCAATTAAGTAGCGTGCAACGGTACTAGGGCCCTATATAGTGCTATAGGAGACGAGCTTGGAAGGCAGTAGATGAGAATGCGAGAAGAACTACTGTGCGTGATAACAGTCCTATGGCGCGGTGATTGAAAGTTTTGCTGAAAATCAAAGGTTTTGGTTTGCAAGCGGATACCGGACACATCAAGGATGCTGAAATTCTAATTTTGACTTTTTTTTTTAGTTTATGATGTATATCTGAACGTTGTCGACTTGCGTCATAGGACTCGATAAAACCTAGCGGCCCTTTGAACGCACTGGCGTTGATCACAAACCATAGCATGGCTGAAGTAATCCAAGGATGAAGCGAGAGATATCCGCAAAGAAACTCAATGCTGTTCCTCCATGATCACCTTCTCCCACTGAGCAGCCTCCTCGCTCATTGTCTTCCTATGCGCTTTCATACACGCGATGCGCTCCCGAGCAGCTCCGTAGCCGATCCCGAGCTTCTCACTGAGGTCCCTAGCTTCCTCGTCTGTTTCGTCCTCCTCAAGGGGATCCATACCGTTCAGGATAGGCAACAGCAGTCGAGCCTTCTCTCCCGGAGAAAGATCCTGGAACTGCTCGTGCATGAGATCTGCCAAAGGACGACCCCTGGTCTCCGGATCCGTAGTCAACAAGGCCTAAAGTTGCGAATAAAAAGTCAGTATGATGATTGAAGCGGTGATTGTCAATGAAAGCTCGTCACAGCTCTTTACCATACAGGGGATGTCGTCATGCAAAAGATGGTTGACGGGATCTACTTACAGCTTGATTGAAGACACGCTGCTCCTCGGAGAGTTCGTTGCTCCAAAGCTGGGCGATGGTACCCATAGGTCTGTTGGGCAGGAGATGATTCACCTCGTGAAAGGGCGGGAGGGCCCTGCTCTCTGTCTTACGGGTGCGCTTTGTTGGAGATGAACTTTGAGAGTCATTGGACTGGCGTGTACGCCTCTTTGTTGATTTCCGTGGTGTGTCTTGCACAGTCGCATCGTCACTTGCATCAGGTGTAGTGAGGCCGTCTGCGTCGATTTGAGGAGAGAGGTGGTCGTATACAGGAGAGGGTGTAGTAGGAGCTTTAGGGGTAGCCTCTTTGTCCAATGTAGACGAACGCTTACGCCTGGACTTGGGGGTAGACTTTGTGCCTGAAGCTACAATCATGAGTTAGTACTGCACATTTGGGGGTGACGCTCCAATCGTATAGTATGTGTGATGGACCACATTATACGTACCTCGTGATTTTCGGGTTGCGGGAGTCTTGGAGGGTTGGCTCTTTGGCTTCTTCTTGGTCTTCTTCGAGGCTGGAGACGTGCTCTCCGAAGAATCGTGATGTTGGCCGAGACTGTCCAGAGGGGTGCACATGGAAGCTGGAGACAGGCCCTCCGAATATGCGTGATGTCGACCGAGACTGTCTAGAGGGGTGCGCATGGAAGCTGGAGACTGAACTCCTGAAGAGTCGTCTTGTTGGCCGGCCATGTCCAATGGGGTGTAGCTCGAGGCATGCAGACCCGACAAAGATGGGTACGGGGAAGGTTGGTCCAAAAATGGGTCAGGATAGTTAGGAAGTGGAAACTGTCCGTCGTTGATAGAAGACACAGGCGAGGAGTTTGCAAGAGAATACTCGAAAGCGCGGTCATAGTTCGATAGTTCCAGATCGCCCATAGACACAGTCGCCTGGATTGGGCCCTCAGATTGGAAATCCAACTCCGAGCCAGTGACAAGATATTCGTTCTCAGAGTGCTGGAAGTCATTGTATTGGGGCGTACCAAGGTCGTTCGTTGGGAGAGTTCCGCCGCTTCGCGCATAGAGGAGTGCTTGGAGTTCGGCAATCTCCTGTCGGAGGCCGGCGACGACGTGGTCCTGACTATGATCAAGGGGCAGAAAGTCAGTAAAGTGTGAGCTGAAATGGGTCTACACCTGCCTCAATTCATTGCGCACACCATGATACGTACCTGTGAGGAGCAAGACCCCCATTGACTTCGTCGCACACAGCAATGCCAGCAGTGTCGGCCGCGGCTTCGCCATCAGTGTCATTGTTACCGATAGACCCAGAGGCAGTGCCTTGCTCGTCGTCGGCATAGCAATCGAGCATACCGTAAGGGACAGCGGCGCTCATAAACGCGCCATCAAAAGCGTCGGTAGCCATGCCTAGTTGCTACAAAGGAGGGACAAGCGACCCAAGAATGTGAGCAGTGGAAGGCTTCGTGATCGTGAGAGATAGCCTCAACGTAGCCGGGGCGTGTCGGTAGGAGATCGTAGGGGCGTCACAATTGATTGTGGTGCAAGCGACCGTCCTGAGTGTGGGTGTGGGGTGAGGCCAGGAGGGGGACGCTATGCTTGGCGGACAGGAAAAGACCTGGCTGTCGGAGAGGCTGGGGCAGCAGAGGGACGGCTGCCACGTTTGCGCGTCTAAGGGCTGTTTGCACTGACGTCGAAGGCGGACACGGGCGCGCCGTCGCCCAGCAATTCCATTGCCTGGGCAATATGTAATCTTAGACGTAGTGATTTGTACAGTTATGATAGCTTGCAGCAAGTACTTTGAAAACAACTGATCTCGCACTTAATGGCATTGGAAGTTCGTGCCGTGCCGCCCTGTGAGTGTTTGTTGTCTTGCGCTAGCTGGTGGGTGTCTCTCACTGACTTGATATTACCAGATTGCGTACATAGGAGGAGGATTCTTTGGTTCCATGTCGAATGAATGATCCAAGATATTCACTCGCGTTCGTATATCATGTATAGTATAGACCTATGTCGTCGATGTTAATATAGTCTTCGGCGTGCGATAGCGTCCCATGCAGTCCCAGACCTGAGCGCAAAGAGACTCAATGCGAGGACAAATGTACTTTATAGGCAATCATCACTTACTTGCAAGCCGTGTCTGCTTCACTTTCGCAAAGAGTAGAACAGCACAGCGTCAATTGGTGAGCCTCGAAGATGTAGAGCGATAGAGAGTGAGGGTTCTCTCCAGACAGGATGCACTGAACGCTTTTCCTTAGGTGCTACTTTGTCTTGATCTTTCAGCGTCCATGTTGCATATACGGTATTATTAAAACCCATATGTTCTGTTGAACTACATTGTCAATGCCATAACATTCGCCAATAGCCACACCGAGGACCATTGGCAATACTATCTCTTTTGGCCTTATGGAAAGGAATCCCTCAGCTCCCTAGTTGCGAAAGCTACCTCAACATAGCTATACGGTTCTTCGAGAACTGGACATGTTTCATTGGAATAGACATACAGCTGGTTACCGATATATGCAGGTACCATATGTATGCCTAGAATGGGCAACGGAAAGAGATCTGATACTGGCATCCGTGCTATTGCTTATGAAACAGGTAGATCTATCGGCTTGCTAAAGGAAGGAATTGGACATGGTATTTCGATGATATGGGTGTCTGGTTTGCTATGTAACATTTAGTTGTGAATGTCGTCAACATCGAGGACTTGATGTTACTTAAGCTAAACCATCTTAAGACTAGCGGTTCGTCTCGGTCACCCCCATCTTATTGGCCAGAATGCTCGAACTCATATTATCACCACTCTCGACATCCTAATCCATTGACAAAGAACCCTACAGTGATTCTGGGTGAAAAATCCGATCTTATACTGTGTAGGTTATATAGCAATTTTGGCCATTGTATGCAGGCAGGCTCCAATCAAAATTCCACGTTCCCGCCGGTGCCTAAGCAAGACAATATCTAAACCTCGGCCAAAGCTTTCTTCAACCTCACGTCTACCTCCGCCGTGAGGCCTCATCCACCATCCGAGCTATCCACCCGGCTTGGACCCACAATGAAGCTTACCGAAGATGATATATATCGAAACTCTTCACAGTACAAGCACTGGTCTTTTACCCCCACACAACTTGCGGAACTTCGCCTTAAAACCAACATCCAAGCTTGCGAGCGCGTGAAGGCAAACGTAGCCCGACAACGCGCCCAACGCGCCGCGATAGCCCTCGATGGCGCCAGCGCAAGCGATAGCGAACGTGGAAACACACCAGGTCTGGAGAATGGAAATGGCAATGTTAGCAGCAATGGGGGCACGCCATTGAGACTAGACAAAGAGGTGGATTGCTTGACGGTAGCTGAAGAGATGCGCCTTGTTGAAAAGTTCTGTGAGACGACGCTCGACCTTGCCAAATTTATTGGGTTGCCTAGCGATGTGACGGTAAGATGTTTTTACCCTTGCGCATCATGCCATTCTTGCGCCCGTTGTTCTCATCACTTAACTCTTTAATACTTCCAATAGGCCACAGCCGTTCAATTCCTCCGCCGCTTCTACCTTTACAACTCCCCAATGACATATGACGCTCTCATTGTCTCCCGAACCATAACCTTCATAGCCTGTAAAACCGACAACGCAAACCCTAACCTCGACGACTACATCGCCAAGCTGGGAAAAGTGACCCGAGACCAAATCCTCGCACCCGAATACCTAATCGTGCAAGCGCTGCGCTTCAATTTCGAGGTCAAGCACCCTTTCCGCGGCCTCAAAGGCGCACACTTGGAACTCGGCGAGATAGTACGAGGAGCATACACTCCCCTCCCTTTCGACACGCGAACAAGCAACGATCTCGAAACCGAGATAGCATCACTCCCTCCCTCGACTTCAGGCGCAATCACCGGGACCAAAGATATCCACGTCCGGCTCGACAACGCGTACGGCTTCGCCTCCAACATCCTCAAGCGCACCGCCCAACTCACAGATGCGTACTTCCTCTTCACACCCTCCCAGATCATGCTCGCCTCCCTCCTCATCGCCGACGAACCCCTGACCGTCTTCTACCTTTCCACCAAGCTCCCCGCCTCCTCGCCCTTGCACTCAAAGACCCTTAACACCCTCCGCGCCTGCGCGACTGTTTTCACAACGCATCGCTCCTACACCGCATCATCCGTCAGTCCAGACGAGAAAGCCGCACGCGATCAGCTCGCGAAAGCGGAGATCAGCGCCCTCATGAAGAAACTCAAGAAGTGCCGCGACCCCGATAAGATGGACTTGGTGAAACTGAACCAAGCGCAGAAGAGGGATGCCGCGGACCAGGGCGGATTGGAGGAGAACAAGGCTAAACGGAGGAAAGTCGCGAGGGAGAATGCGGAGAAGGAAGCGGATGACTTCTGGGGTCCTGAGTTGGGTAAAAAATGATTCTTCTTTCCCGAGTTCCAATATTGGGTGCGCTTGGGTTTGGTGGTTATGCATTGATGGCGTTCACTGGACTTGGGTTTGCCTTTGTGAAGGCTGGTGGGAGGCGTTCCTGGGTTCTCCTTCTTACATATCTCTTCAATCGGGTGGCAGTGATGCATGCATGCCTGGATCTACGATTGGCGCTTTGGAAGGTATATGGACCGGGCTCCCCAGAATCTTCCTCTATAGAACGATTTACGAAAGGGGGGCACGAGATCGTGCGTACACGAATCTAGATAATCAACGAACATCGTAATTACCACATAAACCTGAAAAATCATCCAGCATACTCGGATGCCCCCGCCACACACACATGTCCTACCCATGTCATGATGTGCACGTGTTAGAAGATGGAAAGCAGGCACCCATTGCATTGAATATTAATTCTACTTTTATCATATCGAGTTTTCCAACCTCGTTAGTACATTCTACACCCATGTCTGCTATACAGCAAAGCAGGTGTATACCCAAGGCGCGACAAAATCCAAAAATCCAAAAATCAGGAACTCCATTCAGAAGTCAACCATCGCTCAAAAACACCATTGTCATCTCTGCATCGCCATTCTGCCCTGTCCATGATGTCGCAGCTTTCAGTACACCCGGTAAGCAGCAACGTGCTATAAGAGGACCCATCACATCTCCTCGCTCTCCTCGCCGGAAGCCTCACCTCCACCCCGTCCCGCACCGACACCGGCATCGCTATCCTTACCCTTAGTAACGCCTCCCTGAGTCGTCCCAATAGCTCCGCCACCACTGAAATTTCCAAACATATCCGCAACCGGCGCCACCCCACCTTTACTCTTCTTCGCGCCCAAAGACGAGCGGCCCAGATAAACCCCCTGCGTAGGCATACTCACAGGTTTCTCCTGCGCGTTTCCTCCAGCGCCGCCGCCGCTGGTGATGGGAGAAGGACGACGATCGACGTCCATCTCATCACCCGCCGCTTCTCCATCGCGAAAACCTTGTTTCTCTTCATCTTTCCGGTTCCCGTTATCCCTAGAGCTGGGCCGAGAATTGAAGAGGTCGTCGAGCTCAGCGAATTCTTCGTCCAGGGTTTTGGAGTGTGTCTTTGTGCCAGATTCGTCTTCTTTGTTGTCGCCTTTTTCGGCGGTGCGGAGGGGTTTGGGGGGCCGCGCCGGCGAGATGTGGGAGATGGAGCGTGAGCGCAATGGTTCGTCGCTGTTGCCGTCGGTGTAAATTTGTCGCTGCTGCTGCTGCTGCTGGGATAGCGGTCGAGCGAGAGACGCGGTACGCGGGGGCGTGGATTGGCGGGAGGAGGGAGAGGGCTGGGTAAATTTCCGCTGGATGTGTGGGTTCTTGGGGTGGGAGAACGGTGGGGGCATGTGTGACGGTGGAGGAGGAGGGTACGCGTAGGGATTGAAAGGGTGGTTTTGGTATGGTGAGTTCATGGATGGAGAGTGATGGAAGGGGTAGCTCGGGTAGTTAGGGTCGTTTGGAGGGAGGAAAGGAGGGTATGCGGAAGAGGAGGACGAGCGCTCGGATGGGTTCTGCGCGTAGGGGTTGCGGGGGGTTGGCGGTTCCCGTGGAGAGTAGTAAGAAGGATGAGGTTGGCTTTGACGAGGGGATGGAGGTGGGAACGACGACTGATGATGGTGTTTCCCCCGAGAAGCACGACGGGAACCAAAGGGAGGTTCTGATCCGGAGACCACATCTTCTTCTTCATCATCGTCATCTTCTATCTGGAAAGGGTGGGGCTGCTTTGAGCGACGCCCGGCGCTCTTGCTGCCAGATGGTAATGACTGGGGAGCCGCAGATGGGGTGCTAAGATCAGCAGAGATTCTTGAGCTTCCACTGCGGGAGTTAACAGGATTCGCAGGAGCAAGCATATCCCGGTCTTTAGCACCAGACCCATTCTCCTCAACGCTGCTCCTCTTCATCTTCTTCGGGATTGCATAGTAGTCGTCAAACTCCCGAAGAACTGCATCAAGCTGGGCGATGGCACGGAGCAGTTCGTTCTCCTCAGTGCCGGTTCCGCTGAACAAAGAAACCACATTCCATGATGCCATCATCAAGTTATCAAAGTGTGGGAAGGCATTCTTCATGATCATGTCGAAAAGAATCACTCTTGTATGATCTGGAATACTTCCTAGGGCTTCGGATTTGATGGCATCTGGAATTCCGGGCAGACCAATGCGCTTGCGCTTGTTTGCGGCGTGCCGCGGGATAGGGTCTCCTGCAGCACGAGGTCGAGCTGGATAAAGGTAAGCGATGGTAATCCATTATGATTTGACAATAGGAGACCTACGTTTGAACACGCTTCCATCCGCCTCGTAGCTCTCGGAGTGTAGTTTCGAAAGAGACTGTACGCTTGTTAGATATAGGAAGCACAACCTTATGGCAAAACATGTGCACACCTTTCCCCTGTTGATTTGGGGTTCGAACTTCTCCGCTCCGCTGAAAGCCGACCGACGCACTTCATTGATTTGATGTCGCCGGGCCTCAATAGCTTGGTACTTCGCCAGAAACAGCGGTACAGTGCTCTCAACCGAATAAGCCTCTATAGGCACGCAGAGTAGATTGCCTTCATCTTGCGGTAAAGCCTTGGTCTCTTTTAGCTCGCAATTGCCAGCATCGATGACTAGGTACGATCGCTTGATGAAAGTGCGATCACGTTCATGGAAGCGAACGTTGCCCAGATCCAGCCGTTTGGCATCTTTCGTTAGAGTGACTTCTTCGAAGGCAGGCTCGGTCTTCCCATTAATGTTGCGGTAGTTGGGCGGCTCGGGGGATTCGATGCCGGCGATGAAGGTGTCTAGATGGTGAGGGTCGAGGAACTTGAGCTTGTCCCGTAGAATGAATGCACGTTTCTGTGCCCGATTCAAGTGGGCATACGAGGGCAAATCAGCTAGGTCTAGCTCTTGATTCATATTTGTGCGTTCTGTCCTGCGACGACGGCAAGGTGGTATGGTATGGTTGTGTGTTATTGTGGTGGAGGTGGTCGTGGTTGTGGTTGTGGTGCCCGGCGGTCGAATGTAAATAGTAAATATTTGCCTAGGTAGCGTGGGCTCTAGCTGTCAAACGTGCGGTCACCGGCCTTTAGAGAAGCAAACGGCGGCTATGGTCTTTTCTCTCACCTTACAGTGGCTGCACTGGGCACGGGTCATTCACTTCTCCCAACACTGGGGCCTATATCGGTCGAACGGGGATCGTTTGGTAGCACATCCGTCTCCAGTAATATTAAACGAACAGGGATAGTCGAGACAGAACGTTAGCGGTTGTAAGAATGACAAGCAGTCGAGATGATATCTATATATCTGGTACCCTGTAGACACTTTTAATTAATTGGTCGAGGATGGCATCGTCTAGGGGAAAATGGAATAATAAACGGCACTCAGCTGCTGAATGCCCTCGAATGTTTGGAGGTTGTGACAACAACGTGATCATTTTCAGAAGACTCTAGTATACGGATCATGACGAATGGCACGGCAGGTGATCAATATTGGAAGCCTGGCACCATCGTGAATGGCGCACACTGCAACTTCGCAACCTGAAGTACAAGAAGAAACTCAGGCAGAACAAAGATATTTCAACGTTTTCATGGCATATCTTACATGACAGTCTAGAAGAGATACAAGAGTCAGATCATGCGAGGCCATGAAGAAAAAGGGTGACCGTTTGATCCACATTAGACATCTGTGGTCAGGCGACGATTATTGATACTGATACAAGATAGAGACCATGGCACATCTACCTCACAAGTACAAGCCTTCAGGCTCACCCTCACTCTTGGTCTTCAGCACACGCTCCCTCGCTGCACGGAAGTCCTCCATATTGACCCGCATCCTGCGCTCACGCAGAGCCATCAAACCTGCCTCGGAGCAAATAGCTTTGATATCCGCACCGGAAAGATCGTCCTTTTGGCTGATGAATTCATCGAGATCTACATCTTCATTGAGGGACATTTTTGAGGTGTGCAAAGTGAAGATCTTCTTCTTTGTAGTTTCTGTGTAGCGGGTTAGCACGGGTTCGTCATGTGAAATTTGGGTCCCACTCACGGTCTGGGTTCTCGAAAAGAATCTTTCTGTCAATACGACCAGGACGGATCAGGGCAGGATCGAGAGTCTCGATCTTGTTTGTGGCCATGACAACCTTGACATCGCCACGATCATCGAATCCATCGAGCTGATTCAGCAACTCCAACATGGTACGTTGAATTTCTCGTTCGCCTCCAGACGTCGACTCGTAACGTTTGGTGCCGATGGCATCAATCTCGTCAATGAAAACGATCGAGGGAGCATTCTCAGCAGCGACCTGGAAAAGCTGACGCACTAATCGAGGACCGTCACCAAGATATTTCTGGATAAGCTCACTTCCGACAATGCGTAGGAACGTCGCACTCGTCTGATTTGCGACAGCCTTCGCCAGGAGAGTTTTTCCAGTACCAGGAGCACCATACAGAATGACACCCTTGGGAGGCTTGATACCCATCTCTTCATATAACTCGGGGTGCAACAAAGGAAGTTCCACAGCTTCGCGAACTTCTTGTATCTGTTGTTCCAACCCACCAATATCTGCATAAGATTCTGTGGGGGCTTTATCGAGTTTCATTACAGAGACGAGGGGATCCGAGTCGTCCGTCAAAACACCAACCACAGATACCGACTTGTGATGTAGCAAGATGCTGGCTCCAGGCTCGAGCAGATCCTTGTCTACAAAAGACATGATGGAAACGTAGTATTCAGGGCCTGTGGCGCTGGACACAATCGCGTGATCATCATCGATGAGCTCTTCCAGGTTGCCGACACCCATGGGACTACCACGCATGTCGTCTACACGCGACCGCTCATCGGCATTCCGGTCCAAGGCGTCCGAGTCTCCACCAGCGCTGGCTGGCTGGGTAGTGTTGGAAGCCTTTGCTTTCCGGATGCGTTCCTGGTTCTCCACGTATTCCTCCTCTAGCAACAGGTGGTCGTGGATGCGCTGCATCCGGAGGTATCTCAGCTTGCATCGTGCGGTCGGATAGATGGTGGGTAGTTTTGCAGCGGCACTCGGTCCAGCAGCCTTCTTCTTCTTCCTTCCAATGCGGGTGGTGGGCTGCGGTGGGGGTTCATACTTGGGCTTGTCCTTCTACAAGCGGAGGTCGTCAGTATGAGGGCCGCGCCAAAAGTATGCAAAAAAGAAAAGAGCATCGAAGCAGCGTACCTTGTCTTTCTTGTTCTTGTCGTCTCCACCGGGGCCTCCCCCGGCGCTGGATTGTTGATTACCCTATACGTATGGTCAATATAGCGGTTCGGAGGTTTCGCGGCGGCGGCGGCGAGAGCTTACCATGACACGCACTCAACGACTGCAGTCGGGTTCTGCGGGGATGGAGCAGTGGAGAAATCCTTCCCGTAGGTTAATGAAGGCAAGAAGTCGGACAAGCGAGGGACGCGGAGGGTGAGATGGAGGTGAAGGCGGATGGCGGTTTGTAATGTCGATGATGGCACTCAACTGAGTGATGTTAGACTGGAGTCGCGGCGGCCGTGCGTGCTGAGCTGCAGCGCATCACGTGGGCCACCGCCACCTCAAACTGGTGCCAGCACTTTCCACACCTCCGCCAATGTCCATGCGATGATAACTGCAACGGACTGCAAACATCCAATCCAGCTGCACATCACAAGACACGTCAGGCCTCGGCTCTTGCGAATTAACTACACCATTCCCCCCCAAACCCTCTCCTGTTTTCTGTTATTTCTTCGTCCCTCGGATTGTTTGTGACTCTCTACTCAACTTCGCGTGCTCGCTCGCTCAGCCCCACCTGTGGTGACCGAATTAGGTACATAACTACCTCAGTGCTGCCATAATACTGAAGCTGCCTAAATCCCGGTGCAGCTCCGCCCTTCTCGTCATAACGTCGTCGACCCTCCCGCCTCAACTCTCTAACCATTCACTGCTCTGAAGGTCTGTGACAACCATTGCAGCCCCGCCCCAATACTTCCCAAGCACCCGACCACCCTACTACGAACGGTAACCACCCCGGTTGCCTAGTTCCAATCCACGCTTCTGGGTCCTCTAGCTTCAGGCTGACTTTGGGCACACATAGACAAGTACCCAAGTACTTACACAAGGCACAGAGCGCTTCGTCCCTCCATCTTGCTGCCTGCTCCCCTTATATCCTCTCCCCCCGCAGTTGCAAGCCTCACCGTCAACCCTCTTACGACCGCCGCTTGCTACTCACCGACGCCTCCACTTCGACACTATGGCATCCAACCGGGCCAGGCGCATTGCGAAGGAGATTGCTGATATCAAGGCCGATACCTTGTCACAGATCCTGGTGGATATTGCGGGGAATGGCGAGGACCTTACCCATCTGCGTGGTCAATTCCGCGGTCCGCCTGATACCCCATACGAGGGCGGTACCTTCTACGTTGATATCAAGATTCCCAGCGATTACCCATTCCGCCCACCTATTATGAAATTCGAGACCAAGATCTGGCACCCTAATGTCAGCTCTCAAACCGTATGTACCAACGCGTCCCGAAGCTCGCTCACGGCTAACGCATACAGGGTGCCATCTGCCTGGACACATTATCGTCACAATGGTCGCCTGTATTGACCATCAAGTCTGCCCTCATCTCCCTCCAGTCTCTTCTGAGCACGCCTGAACCTAAAGATCCCCAAGATGCCGAAGTCGCCGGTATGCTCATCCGAAACCCTGCCGAATTTGACCATGTAGCCCGGGACTGGTCTGTCCGTTATGCTGGCGCTCCAAAGAAGGAGATCGCCGAGGGCAGTGGCGGCGCCACTGCCGAGACCATTAAGCGTAAAGCGCAGGAGTCGAAAGCAAAGGAAGAGAAGAACAAGATGGCCGCGTACGTACTTCCCTGTCTCCTGTCCAAAATTACAAAGCTGACATCAGCAACAGGTACCATGGTTACAATAAAGAGCTTGTTGATCGTTTCGTTGCTATGGGCTTTGATGTCGAAGCTGTTGTGGCCGCTTTCGAATACGTCGGTATTGACCGTATGGGTGGAGAAGACTACGAGCTGGAGGAGGCATACATGGGCGACGTCACAGCCCGTCTCTTTGGCGAGGCGTAAATGAACAAGCAAGCCAGCTGCACCATATATCACCACCATCCTTTTCTGGTCGTCATGGTCGGGTTCTCTTCGTCGATTGGGGTGACACTCAATTGCGGGTAAATCTGAACGAGCTAGGGTTTTATGACAGATATGAGGCTGAATATTCTATACGGCGTTTACACACTGCTGGTGAAGACTCCGGTCTTTCATCTGAAGGGAACAGGTTCCTATGGCGGATCATCAGGCGTCTGCACATATTTCTCTCTGTTTCATTGCTGGGCTTAGCGAATTCTTTATTTCGGGTCCATATGTAGGTATTAGGGACCAGTGACTAAGAGCCATTAGACTGTAGAGTCCAATACGAAGGCATGTGCTGAACAGCTATATTCCCAATTCTGGTATTTCTATTGGCGGGCTTACACTGCTCGGTACGGTACCATGTTTGCGTAAGAGATGGAATGTACGGTCGTCATTCGTCATGGGGAGACTCGTGGAATCGTGAAGCTAGGACAGGAAACTCAATATGGTACCTATGTGAGTGATCAAATTAAGGCTGTTGTCCGCCGCACATAACAAGATAAGCTGCACGATCACGACTAAAGTATAAAACACCTTGCCATAGTCACTGGAATCCTATCCACGAAGCTGGTAGCAAAAGGCTCCCCAAGTTTGGTCCACAAACCACCTGTTTCACTTCCAGACGAAGAGGAGATTGTGTGTAACCTCAACGACCGCTCAATCGATGTGTTTGCTGAGAACCCATTTGCTAGACATATTGAGCGTCGGCCACTTCTTCAAACTTGATCAATGCAAGTGAGACATTCGGCTCAACGGTATATACCTAGGTATGGTTGACATTTCAAGTGGGTGAATGGTCTCATGCTCTTTGTGTGGCAGGTCCGTTGTGCACTCAGCATGACCGTTTGTATCTGAACAGTGACTGGCTTTCCACCACACCAAGTACCCACCACCTACTTAATTAAGTGCCTACCTGCCTACATCACCTCATCCTTTCTGACGCACCTACCACGACCACGACGACCACAACAACAACCACGACCACGACCTCCACGTCCACGTCCACACCCAACTCATAACACCTTTTCCACATTCCCGGTCGCGCTCATCACACCATATTCATCTCCTGCGCCAGAGACGGCTCCCTTTCCCCACTTTCCACTGCTCCAGTACCTCCCCTCCTGATACGTGACTGCGCGTATTCCACTACAATCAAAACATACATATACCACACCTAACTGCGTGCGTCACTTTCCCAAGTGCCACCACCTCAATTCATCTGCACCACTTCATCAACACATATTCGACCCAGCCTCCACTACCCCTCCGCCGCCATGACCATTCCTCACCCCACGTTGTTCAACATGCATAAGACACTTCAGCTCTTTCGCACTGACAATCGGAAGCACTCAAGCGTCCACTCGCAGTTGAAGAAGACTAGAGAGCATCTTCATTTAGTAGGGCAGATGTCGAAGAAGGACCGCGACATCATGGACCAAACATGGGGTCGATTGCGCAACCGATCCACTGCTGACGGACTGGCTCCCAAGGCCTCGATGGAAGTGGCAGTGGCTGAGAATAAGACTGAGACCATGACCAAGCCAGTCAAGAAAGATCTCCGAGCCAAGCTAGCTACCTATGAGCTACGCCTCCTCGAGAAAAACGTCCAGGTGGAAGCATTGAAGATGCAGCTGATGCCCCAACACACGAACCTGAAAGAGTTGCAGCGAGCCCACCAGCACGAAACTACAGCAAAAGACGCAGAGATCGAAGAGCTGAAAGCCGCTCTCGATGTTGCTACCAAGGAGATCAACACCAAGGATGAAGATGTCCGAAAGCTCAAAGATGAGCGTAGAGCTGCCGGCCGCCGATACTGGGATCGTTGCAACGAAAACAAGAAACTGCAGTGGCGCATCAAGGAGCTCGAGGAGGAGCAACAAGAATTACTCAATACCCCCTCCGATGACACTGACGCCTCCTCGCCACCACCATCCACCAAAATCCTCGCAAACGAAACCAACCCGGATCAGGCCAACCAAGAACCCGTCGTGCCCGCTCCCCCGCTAACTCCTCCACAAAACTCCCTCACATCCACACCCACCCCGCTCCAACTCCTTATCCAACTCAACACCGCCAACCTCCGACTTCGAGATTTCCAATCCCACGCCCAGACACTGAGCCAGGAGAGCGAGAGCCTCAAGGAGTCAATTGCCACTCTCCGTCATACCGTGGACGAGCAGCAGCGACAGGCCGAAGCGCAAGAAGCCTTTCTTCGCGGTAAAATCGGAGGACTGGCTCAGGAGAGGTGGGAACTCCAGCATTTCCTTATGGATGAGTATAGAGTGGTCGCCAGCAAGAAGGAGGAAATCGCTCGCTTGAATGGTGCGCTTGAGAATGCGCAGCGACTTCAGCGTGGGGACGCCTAAGGGTATACGTGATACCCGGAGAGAGGTTTTTGGATTGATTTCTGAAGGCATTCTATCGGCCTGTGCTTTTCTCCTATTTCGGAGGACATTTGGATGTTTCTCTTCAGTTCACCCTAGTGAAAGCTGTTTATATATAAAGCAGCGAGCATTCAAAGATATGGCGTGCTCTCTTTGCTCTTTGGTTATACCTAGTACCCTCATATCCGAGAGGACTTCAGCGATGTGTATAGATCAGTCAATGGAAAACAATCATATATCAGTTAGAACCGAGTTGCAGATTGTGCTTGCTAGTTCTCCATTGATGATGTACAGCTGCACTTTGGGCTATATGAACGTCTCCTCCCCCTAGCATGTGAATAATCACCTTAAACTACCCCGTGATTGCTCTAAGTCACATTCGAAAATCATGTGTCATGGCTTGTAAAACAGCAGCATTGTATAAAGTTCTATCAAGAATGTTCGGCGAAGAAGGAATCAACAATCTGAAACTTGCATTGTGAAGGCTTGATGTAATGTCTCTTTGCAACGCTCATATGTAAGATTCGGAGAACTATTCAAGGATTCAAACATGGACGGGTAGTCTCCTTTCCCAATGTGAATGAAGGCAGGCCCGTCTAAAATCCAGCCATGAACCACCAGCCCAGTCTCTACCCAGTCTCCTCCTTGTATATAGAATGAAAACAAACACATTCATCCTCCGTTAGTCTCCCTTCTGGCAATTTTCACTATACAAACCCATACTGTTCGCACCTATCGATACCACCGAAATTCAAACACAACTCTTTCACTCCACCACACCACTAACCTAATCGCTTGCAAACGCAATAACCATCACTTGTGTGAGCTAGCGCCATTCATCCACGTAAAGAGGATCTGCTGCTTGCGTGAGAGCTTGAGCCCATCCCCCTTCGCTACCACGACCACGACCACCATAGAGGTTCAACTCGCTTCACTGGCCAAATAATTGCAGCTCCACCCCACTGCTCTCTCCTGTTTGCACATAGCGAATTCCTACCTCTCCTTCCACGAAGAGCATTCCATGATGGGATCCTCCAATTCCTCACTCTTCCAGCCGCGCCGTGCGACTACGTGCGCCTCTTCTCAAGAAGCTCACGAGGTCACAGTTACCACGGCCAACGATCACAGTATCAATGGCTCTCTACGACGAAGCAACAAATCCAGTGTGACGGAAACTGGTGCTTCAAAGTCCCCCTTTACAATATCCCCACCGATGCTCCCGGTTGTGTATATCGGTAATGATCTTGATATACAAGCCGCGGTCATGACGGCTGCCGATACATACTCCTCGAAATCGGGCAGCTCTTACACTTCTCCGGAGTCGATTATCGGCGCTCGAGATGCCTCCGACATGTTGGCGACGATAGTATCCGCTTCTCCTGCCGCTCGCACAACCAGGTCGACATCACGAGCGGAAACGGCTCTTTCTGCTCTACTCACGTCGAATGAGTCCAAGCACCAACTTGAAGTCCGAAAAAACCGTATTCAAGCAAAGGAAGCACAAGATCGGTTTTCCAGCGTGCTTGATAATGAAAGAGGCACTGTTCGCCAGAACGAACGTCTCGCCTCCACCTTGCAAGCCGACTTCGATAAACTCCAAGAGCAATCGAGGCAGAAAGACACTCGGATCGTTGAATTGGAAGCCAAGCTCAACGAGCGCGTGCCTAAAGACAATTTGCTGGAAAAGGACAAGAAAATTGCAGCTCTCGAAGCTAGCAATATCGATCTGGCGACCACCCTCAACAACGCCGTAGCAGACAAGAATGTCCAAATCGAGGAGCTCAAAGATACGCTCCGCAGCAAGACCATGTCGGAAGTTACCCTGCGAGGAGTGATCGAAGACCACAAGCAGCAGCTGGAGAGTCAACAGCAGCGATCCGCACAGCAGCTCCAGTACAACGCTGCCTGGTTCGAAGGCTTACACAAGGTTATCGAGGACCAACACCAAGAGCTAGAAATGCAGAAACAGGAGCTTGATGGCCTACGGGAGTTCAGCGACAGACTCAGGGAGTCTATGATCAAGGAGCTTGCTGAGCGGGATGCTCAAACCGAATCACTCTCAGGCACAGTCAGGGAATGGTATCGGCAGCACCAGGCCGAGCTGAGCAGACGTATTGCAGAGTTGGCCAACGTGACGGCGCAGCTCAAGACGGCGCAGGAGGCCAACAAAGAGCTGGAAGTGGTGGTCCGGTCTCATCCCGCGTCTATCTTACACCAGATTCGACGTCGCGGCCACTGCACGTTGCGCCAGCTCCAAGTCCGACCTTCAGTCTCGCGTAGTCTCCGAGACTACAAGCGCGGAATTTCGAGACTGATGCTCCAGCAGCGTCCAGAAGTTCACCAAGGGATGTGTTATTTGCGGGATGATGGTCAATTGGGTGCCGGTACATGGGAGACACAGTGGATGGGGGACTATTTCGAGCATCCAGGGTCTCAGCCAGCTTCCCCTTGCCTTGCTGCTCTCATTCATGCTGCCTCGACTTCTACTTTCGTATCAGCAAGGACGACTGGGTCTACAATATCCCTCGAATCTGCTGAAGGGGTTGCTGTACCTGAAACTGCGGAATCAGACCCTTCTTTCGTCTTCCCCTTCATATGAGCCTTAGTGCGGATTGCTGAAGATGGTGAAGAGTCGAGATAAATGCATCTGGCTTTCTTGTAAGATGCTTATATTATGAATATCAGGCGGATGGTATTATTTCGGGTTTTGATACATTGTGTTGTGGCGGAGATTGATACTAAGACACATTCTTGTATACAGAGTCAGCTTGAAAGGGAAAAAAATCACAACTCATGTATCAAATCCCCAAAATGTTCTATGAGCACTGTGCCTCAAAGCATCGTCTGAAAAGCACCGGTGGCTCTTCAAAAAGACACATATCCGGCTCCATGGGTTGTTCAACGCATTCTACTTTTTCATCTCTGTCATGTCCACACAATTTGAGACGGAAGAAATAGAATATCACAACCAAGCATTCAAATAATTCTAGACAATATCATGCCGTCAATCTATCACTCTCATGTCCAATGTCGACAGCTCACCAACGTGCACTACTCCAAACCGCCAACAACCGATACAACGCAAAGAACAACACCCATCACCAACGGAATCACCCACCACGTTTCCCCACCAACCATTCAAACGCAGGATAAACGTGACAGTTATTAGGCCGCAACATTATAGTGATGAACAGCCTGGACGCGTGTTATCTACACCATGAATAAAATCAAACACGTGCTACAGTGCATCCTAGAGTTCCCAAACTTCAATTCCGCCAGCGTATAGCGATATCAGACCGCAATCTATACACATATCGCCTCCACACGGCATATAACTGGAAAACCGTCTAGATCAACGTCGAGCTCTCCCACCATAACATATCATTACCCTTGCAATACCTCCAAATATACACCTATTCACCGCACCTTCTTCAATCACGATTAGACTTTCAATTCCACTTACAATACCACAATGCCAAATGAGAGAACCTCAGAACCCACCAGCCCAGCAGACCCTCAACCCCTCCCCAAACGACCTAAAAACCTAACCCCTCGAGCATCATGGCACGAAAAGGCACGAAACATAATATTTACTCCCAAAGGCCTAGATATTAAATCTAACGGCGTAGTAGGTGCTGTGAAAACATCAAACAGCAACGTGGAATCCATGGAGCAAGAACACAATGGGCCGAGTGATTCTTTACAAAGAGACAAAACCAGAGGAGGCGGGGAAAGCGGCGTCGCGGAACGCTCGTATGATTTGGAATTTCCTAGTCATGTAGATGGAGTCTTCGCTCCGTACCGAAGGAACTCGGCGTCAGTGCAAGAGCACTCAGAATGTGGGGGAGTTGTGTATCCTTCGCATCGGAAGGGGGAGTTTGAGATGTATCGAAGGAATAGGGAGGGAAAGGGTGATGGTAGTTTGGTGGAGGAGTTGCGTGGTTCTGTGTCAAAGGGAGGCAATGATAGATGATAATGCACAGTAGAGGAGACAATGGCGGGATAGGGTCACATGCGGGAAATAGAGGGGACTAGAAGACCTCTAGGCGTTTTCAAAGTACACAGTCAAATGACTGAGGGGATGTTTTATATAAGATATCCCCCCCCCCATACATTTGTATATCATACATAAACTTAGACCGTCCGCAGTGATTTCTTTTGTGAAGGTGGGTTGGACTATATCTGTATGAAAAAACATCAACGTAGATGGATGTTAGCCTCATAGCAGAGTCTGGATCTCAGAAGCGTTTAGAAAGTACATATCAAAGCCCTTTCCCGTGCCCCGGCAGGTGCTTTCACACATGTCGTGCAGTCGCTCGCTGACTATTAAGGAACATATCAGCGTATGACGGCAGCAATATATGCTGCCTACGGCGGCGTTTGTAAACAATATTGGTCGGTGCCTCATAAAAAAGAACTGATTCGGGCTCTGGAGTATGCGTACGATGCCCACCACATTCCAGCGGAGTCTCATTGACAATCGATGTCTGTGTTTGGATAGAAGTGCCACGAAACTTCTGACTCCTTGTTGGGTGCTCAATTTGGAATGAAGACTGCGGTACTTGGACGTATGGGCTCTCCGAAGTAGCATCAATAGGCGTCTCGAACACAACAGAAGATAGCTCCGAAGGGCGGCGCCGTACATATCCTGGTGGGAAAATGACTGGAAAAGAATCCTCGAATTCGCGCATATCATTGTCTCTCATGGGAAGATCCCCGTTACTGTCGGGAATTGAATACATACCCGAAGCTTGAGGTTCATGCTGGTGCTCTTCGAACCACTCGGGTATATCTGCCGAGACACAAGTAATATCAAGATCATCACTTTGCACATTTGACGGCTCCGCCCCTTGAACCCGATCTGGAGACAGGTGATTGTCACTTGATGGGCTACTTTCATGGATTCGTGCGTTAGGATCTCGGAGTTGTAGATTTTCAGATTCTTCAGACACCGGGTAGGCCTCTTCGATGAGATCTACCGCTGCGACTGGATGTATGCTTGTTGACTCGGATTGCGAATTAACCTCTTGCAGCTCTTCTATTATATCGAGTGTCGATTCATGCGGCTTCCAGTCTTTAATCGAGCGCTTATAAAGCGCTCTAAACTCGGAGGCATGTTGTTTGTTGGAAAACCATTCATGGTCCAACGCTTCGACAGCTGTCATTCGGCGGTCTTCTTGAACGACAAGTAATCTTTTGATGAAGTCTTTTGGCCTGGAACCGATATATCTCCACATAGGATCAAACTCATCGTCAAGTGCACTGACGTCCCAGAGAGGCGATACACGCTGCACGGTATCAGGCGAAAAGCCGCCTTGACGCGATGCAGAGTAACTAGGCAAGAGAAGGGTGCCCGAGAGAAGGACAGCAGCGATGCAGCCGATTGAGTACAGATCGACCGCTTTCGAATAGCCCAAGCTTTTCTGAGTAGATCGTCTACGATTTATCTCTGGGGCCGCGAATCCCCAGGTCCCAACCAGCGAGAACATGCGAGTCTTGCGATCATCTAAACTTTCGTTTTGAGGCAGGGCCCGGGCATTCCCAAAGTCGGTGATGACGATCCGCCCTCCCTCCTCTAGTGAAGTCATCAGTATATTTTCTGGTTTCAGATCACGGTGAACGATATTGCAGTTGTGAAGATATTCTGTGCCTTTAAGAATCTGGCGTATGATGACAGCTGTTTCGATATCACTCAGACGTCCGCCTTTGTTCTCTAGATATGAGAAGAGATCTCCACCTGTGACGAGTTCTTCGAAAATGTAAAGAGTGTTGGTACTGTAGAACACTTTTTCAATGCCGATGATGTTTGGATGACTCAAGTCCTTGAGGATAGTGACTTCTCGACAACAGCGTATGACTTGAGACGGCAACCGCCCCGCTTCTCTTGCATGAGAATGCTGGTGATGTTCCGAAAAGGGTAGAAGCAATTTCGTATCGGGAGGTTGACTCTCACGGTACAGACTCTTTAAGTTCACTATCTTGCAAGCAAGTTGGCGTTGTGTTGCTTGGTGAACAGCCACGAGCACATTCCCGAACGCGCCTGAACCGAGGAGTCGACCGGTGATGTGATAATGTGCATCAAAGGCCCTTCTTTCGCACTCTTGCGTCCACGTCAATTGATATTCTGTTGCAGGAGTGTATTCGTAGTAATTCAGAGTAAGAGTGTCGGAAAGATACAATGTATCTCCGTTCTGTAACAAAAACGAGTCATTTTTTCGCATCAAAAAGCCATGTTCATTCTGGGAAGTTTCACGATCGTGTTTCTTCAAGCGTGTGCCGAAGGTCGAGAGATCAGTTGCATACACAGACGGTGGCACACGGGATCCGGGATCTTTGTCGTATACGATGCAATGAATTCGCAAATGTACTCTCGAGATATCAAGGTCATCCCAGCATCGGTCACTAGTCACCCAAGTATCAGAACGCAAGCCAGCCTGGAAAATCGTAGCAGACCTCACCAGAGATCCGCATTTCTCCCCAAGTAGAGCTGCTTGTTTCCGACTATCTCGATAGGCTCTTCTGGCGACTCTTCACATCAACAGATATCAGTAACTCGAAGTGATAGTTGCAATCCATTATTTCATTCTGGTTTGCCTTACCATCCGAGTCGTGACGTCTGTGTCGAACTTCGAAGTAGGCAACTGCCACCTCCTCCGCTACCAGCTCCATCGCCTCTTCACCTTCCCGACCCACGAATTCACAACTTCAAATGGAACATAATAGAAACTGAGAAGGTAAGTGTAGCGAGCAAGGGTGACGTAGGGTGGGCGCCAAGCTCACCTTACCGGTCATAGTGTAGCGCGAAATAAGCGAGGCGGCCCTCCCACAACGTCTTCTTTGTCGCAGCTCGCTGCTCCGACTTGCTTCCTTCAACCCACGACACTCATCTCGAAAGCCATGTAAGTATCCAGATCCGGTCTGCGCAGCTTCATGGAGCTCAATTGGAGCTCATGAAAAGCATTACTTGCTCTTTCTGAAGCAAGAGACTCCATGGCTGCGCTACCCCGCATTCTCCAACCCGCATCCGCTGACCTCATGTCCCACAGTCACCAGCCGACAAGATGAGAGCCAAATGGAGGAAGAAGCGCGTTCGACGTCTCAAGCGTAAGAGGAGAAAGGTTAGGGCCAGATCGTAAGTACTCCCCGGCAGAAGCAGTACTCCAACTTGCACGTGGTGGTCATATCTAACAATCATGCAGCAAGTAAACGACTCGCCCCCTCAAATCTCGACCTACCACCATCCCAATCATGATCCACGGTACCAATACAACGAGCGATCTGTGGCGCGCGTCCTTTAAACTCACTCTCGACACCTCGGCAATCGAGCGACTCGGTGGTCATCTGCGGAGGAAGCATTTTCAAGCGCTGGATTGGGGTTGCTACGGAAAGTCGGTCAATATCTCCATGTTGAGGACTTCGAGTGTTTCTTGAAACATCACCCAAATTGTCCACTCTAATACCGGCTTGCTTCCGAGCTTGCCTTTGAGTCAGGACGTATGCCATGTGGAGGATTACTCTGATACGAAAAATCAATGACACTTCACGACAATTCAGTTTCCAATAATATTGTGATGTTATGATTGTGCGATATGGATTCGCTACGCTCTTGCAAGAAATATCATGCATGCATTCATGGATATGTATGTTGTTGGGACGAACGAAAATGAAGAACTAAATCTCGTATAACCTCTTGTATAACCGAGCGTCATGCTATACGGAAGGAAAGAAAACTCAGTGCAAGCCCGGCACGCTATTACAATGCCATTACAACTGTCTAAAACATCGATCCATGAAACTCGCCCACAATGTAAGGTTCAGCCGCCCCATTTTGACCGGCAACCCCAATGTATGTCTGGGGTTCGAAAGGCAACCATTGAAATCCCCCTGTGCTGCCCGTCCTTGGTTCATGCCCACTCAGATGGATCTGTCTTGGCACTCTTGCGCTTCTCCTCATGAGCTTGACGGATCTCGCGCATCACTTGAACACCATCGCTCTCTTCCATCATTCCATTCGTAGATCCTTCATTCGACCACGCACGAGCATGTACACCCGGGGGGATACTATCCACAGGCGATTTTCCCATCTGAGGCGGTTGTATTGAGCTCACAACGGAGATTGGGAGGAGTGTTGGACGGACTTTCTTACTGCGAAAAAGGCGACTGAACAATGACTGTTTGCTGCTCTCTGGTGGGGACGGAAGCATTGGATCATTGATTGACACTGGATGCAAGCTCCCAGACCGGACGGTTCCTGGTGTCCCAGCCATGCTCGAGGAACGGCGAGTGTCGCTGACCAGTGTTTCGTTCACCGTTCCGTTCTTCGAGAATACTCCTTTCGCTTTTGTTGACCAAGAAGTCGTCCAGCCTTTCACAAAGGTCATAGTGGAAGGCGATGTCGACGTGCTTTCCTGGATGACAAGAAGACGCGGGAACACTCTGCCTAACCCCATAGACACAAGCATACGCTTGTAAGAGTTGTGGGCATCTGTTCCTGTGCCGAAGAGAAGGAAAAGAACATAGCCTAAGATGATCTCGGCCCATCGATCCATTCGAAGCCGACCATGAGATGGGACTTTGACCACGGAATTCCAATCGCTCCCATGAACCCTGTCCCAGTCAAAACCTACGGTGGCCAGTTTCGAGAGGTCGCAAAGGATGTACGTGTAGTATGGCAGCACTACAATGAGAATAATGACCGACAAGAGGAAAAGGCGGATGAACCGTGACTTGGAGGTATTGCGTGCAGCGATCAATCGGTGGAACTCGCGGCGATAACGGTACAAGCGGAATATCAGCAATCCTTCAAGCCGTATTAGTGTCATCCTGTAGATTGGCACATTTAAACCTTACCTGCATAGTACGATGCGACCAATGTACTGATGGGTCCCCACATCCAGACAAAAACAATACTCGCCCAGCTGGGATCGTACGCAGCTACGCACCCAGAGATGCCGAAGATGAAGTACCGCATCCGCTGAACGATGTAGTACACAATCATTAGAAGAATTGGCAGGATCCAGCAAAACACAATCTCGATCGACCTTTCCAGAATCCAATGGTTTTTGCTGGGTGCCACGGTGATATTGCTGGTGTCCATGACGTTCGCGAGCCGACGTGCAATTACTCCAGCACAGTTCGTCCAGGCGATGACGGCTCCAACTTGCACCCGAGCCTGAATGTCACAGAGACCCTGGCCGTTCCACCAATCCTCCATGTTGTCACGAGGCCATATCAGAGGGTTGATCGCGTTGAAGAAGTTGATGAGTATCAGCCAAAGCATCAGTGAACCGGCAGCGATGTTGCGTTGAGTGAAATGCCACATCATGGGCGGAATACATAGGATAAAGGCTGGGAAGGCGAGAGTGGGTACAATCAATGCCACTGGGTACAAGGGATATACGCCATTCAGCTCATCGCCGCCACTACCCCGTTCAACGAGGGGATACACATCATTTAGCATGATGAGGTGGAGCTTGAGAAATGTTGTATATCCTCTACAGTGGTAGATTGAACCGAGGAATCAGGAGAGGAGTCACTGGCAAATGATGCCGCTGTCCTTTGAAGTCACCTTCAGAGGTCTAGACTTGAATGAGTGAAGCCTGTGGCTTTGACGTATAGACTGGTCGATCTCAAGATGTCTTTGTTCTTTGGTGTGAGACGTTCTGTTTCCGTATGTGTAGAATGCTGCTGCAGGATGTGGAATAGAAGTAGTGGATAGAATCAGTGAAGAGGAAGCTAGGGAAGGAAGGAAGGAAGGAAGGTGGTGGGTTGAGGAAGGAAGGAAGGTGGTGGGTTGAGGAAGGAAGGAACGACTGAAGGACAGGTCAACCGCCATAGAGCATACGAATATATGAACCTGCAGATCAATAAGTGATTTCAATATTTATTAAGGGGCTCAAGGTCAATAGCACCTAATACATACGGTGCCAGCTTGTTGCTACCTGGTGAATGCAAAGCTATGTACCTCGTATTGAGGCCACAAGTTTGACTGTCTCAATAGAAGCATCGTCGAGACGAGATGATTGAGATTCATGGCCAATAGATTGCTCTCGCCCTTCTATTTGAGCAATAGTATGTCTGTGGCGGTGAAGCCTGCCCCGAGACTCGCGCTCTGCCGGATACGGGTCTGAATAGGAAAAGCACGATTCGTCGCGAAACTGAATAGGAAGCATAGGCAACCCTTTTCAAAATCATGTTTCCAATAGTTATCGGGTAATTCCATGCTGTTTCATAGCGGTTTGCAGTCTATGCATGAGTTGCAATAGTTTCCATGGTACTTGATAAAGTATGAAAGCACTCAGTAAATCATTAGGACCGTGCAGTCATTTTCACGTTCAGTGAGGCGTCATCTATCATCAACAAACCGCCGGTAAATGAAGAGAGACACATTCATTCCAACCGCCAATACGATTGTGGGGCTATCAAGAAGCGAAATGCAAGAGTCGACGTGAAAAGTTGAGGTCGACGAAGTCGAAGGTTATGTGGCCCAAAACGGTTAGTCTCCCTGGAGGTGATGTTGAGAGGTCGATGATGCAACAACCTTGGTAGACAGTCAAGACGGCACAACGGGTAGTCACCGACGAACTACCTTCTCCTTCTAGTGGACTACTAATCAAGCCACCGAACACAGAACTAGTAGTAGATCTATGTGCTCCGTCATCGCGTTGAGATGCGTGCCATGCGGACACCTCTCGCGCATCAATCCGCCTGTAGCAGCTGAACGGCATCACGAAGATGGCTGAAGCACCTGCCGCCGACGGCTCCGACATCCACCCTGCCCTCCGGCAGCGAATGCTGAACCGCGCCGCAACCTTCACTGATACTGCCGGTCGCTCTTCTCCTCTCCCTCGCCGCCGAAGCTCGGTATACTCTGACACGCGACACCCTCTGCGATCCTCGACCGACAGCCTGCTCCGTCCCAACGACACAGAACGACTGACCAAAAATGATGAACCGTCCTTCTGGCATTCCGCACCCCTTGCCTTCGCTATTGTTCCGGCTTTCGCGGGATTGCTCTTCCAGAATGGTGGTGCAGTGGTGACGGACATACTGCTTCTGGCTTTTGGGTCCATGTTTCTCAATTGGTGTTTGCGCAGTCCTTGGGAGTGGTATCATGCCGCCCAGCAAGTGCATTATATTGAACCGGAAGAGGATGTACATGGTGATACGCTGGTGGAAGAAGATGAAGCGAGCGACAACTCTGGCAGCCCTGTTAAAGACTCTCAACAAGATGATGTCTCGCAGACATCGGACCAGCCCGCAAGAAACCAAGATGGCAAAACTATACCCAACAATGCACTGCGTGAGCTTGCACGCCAGCAGTTGCAAACAAATGAAATAATGGCTTTGATTGCATGCTTCTTTGGGCCGCTCGTGGGAGCATACGGCCTGCATGCTATACGATCGCAACTCACCCGACCAGCTGAGGGTTTAGTATCCAATTTCAACTTGACCATCTTTGTCATGGCAGCCGAACTGCGACCTGTATCCCATATGATCAAACTCAAGCAGGCGCGGATGCTCTACCTTCAGCGCGTCGTGCGTTCAGACCGGGAAAACGATTTCAGAAGGTCTGACATCCGAGAATTGTCTGATCGGCTGGACGATATCGAGAATCGCATCGTTTCGACCCACGATTCAGGTGTTGAGACGGCGAAGATGGGGGCTACCGTTCGACAAAGTTTGCAACCTCAGCTGGATGCTCTGAATCGAGCCGTAAGGCGCTATGAAAAGCGACAGGTTGCTCAGTCTATGCAGTCGGAAGCACGTTTTCAAGAGCTCGATAGTCGATTGAAGGATGCACTTGCTCTCGCAGCGGCTGCAGCGCGTACAGGGCAACGGCCCGGTATTATCTCGATGGGTTTCACGTGGTCTGTCAATCTTGTGACGTCTGCTCTGCAAACCAGCTGGGCTATTGCGGTCTATCCTTTCAGGACAACGTCGGCGGTGATCAACGAAGCAAGTGCATGGATCTCTGGAGATCGACAACCTCGGAAGCGCATGCGATTAGCAAACAGTGGCAATGCGTCGGCTCCACTATCTCGGGTTCAGTCTCGCAACGGACGATGATGATTGTGTTCTTATATACTTGGTATCCACCTGACCTAATATCCTAATCGTTACCTTATTCCTGTGCTTCGACCCACAAAACCATGACCGGCGCGGTTGATATACGTTGCAGCCGGGTGGCAGTTGATGTTGTTATAGGTGTAAATGACAGTACACGGGTGCTTATCATGCAGAGATGTATCGGTATCCACCAATGCGGCATCCCGTAATGACCCTGTGGACGAATCACGTCCGTTTCCTTTGCATAGGTAGCATCCTCCGAGTTCGCTCCAGAGAACCGACATCGACGGTGAACATTGTCTGTGTCTCTAGAGTGACACCGCTCTTGAGCTAGTAGACTCTTATCGTGAATCATAGAAACACCGAACCCATGCGAAGATACTAATGGAACCTGGATACTCTGCCAGGAACAGCTGCCAGCGCGTGTTTCTCGGAAATTTACGGTCGACATCATCTATAACTTGCCTGAGTCGACCAGGGAATCCATGATAGAGCCCCTAATACTGAGAGAGTATGCCGTTTTAACGTCGATGCAACAGTACGGCAATGTTGCCCCAACCCCGCCATTCTGTTGCTACACCACCCCGCCATTTCCCTATCTCGGCAAGCATTAATTGGGTGCTTTGACTCGTCTGGTCACTTTATAACTGCCCTTGTACGTCTAGATACAGTACCGAGTTGTTTTTGCCTTGTTGTTTCACAATTCGATATTTACTCAAGTACTCACACCCATCACCACTTCTTGTCCAACGTTCCACCTGCACTCATCTCAAAAGCCAAAACTCCAACATGCCACTCACGTCTGATTTAACTGTCGATGCCTCTAAATTCGACCGCAAACTCGGGGACAAAAAGACCGAGGAGTTTAACGAGAAGCTGATTAAAATATGGGCAGATGGACCACGGTGGTACGAAGTATGACAATATCTCGACCCTGTCGACCACGACTCTAAAGCATTCACTGACATTATGCATTTTGTAATTAGATCGGAGCTGCTGAATATCGTAAATTGAGATGGGAAGGCAAAACACCTCTACCACGACCAATTGTTTTGCCCGAAGGAATCAATGGTACTATACCTTCACGAGATGCGGGACGGGAAATCACCTATCGCGTTTTCAAGCCTTCGAGTGGAGTCTCCAAAGGAATCCATTTGCACATTCATGGCGGGGGCTGGGTACTGCAATCGGAGCATTAGTACGTTCAAGAGTCTTTCCACCTTCATCCGACGAGGACAAATTTCCAAGATCTGGCTCAGAGCCTACGGTCAGGCAAAGGACATTCTAACGCCATCACAGTCAGGATCCTTACCTGAAGTTTATGGCCGACAACTATGAGCTCACAGTGTTCTCGGTCGGATACAGGCTCGCACCCGAAGACCCATGGCCAGCTGGCGCGCACGATTGCTACGACGCAGCGGAATGGCTAATCAAGAACGGAAAAGAGAAGTTTGGTGGTGAATTAATGTTCACAGGCGGCGAAGTATGTCTGCATTTCCACGGTCAACAAACATTGCAACCCACGAGCACTCTTTGGACACAGAAGAAAGCTAACGACTCTTGACCAGTCCGCAGGCGGCCACCTAGCATGTCTTGTGGCCCTTCATCTATACGATAAAGTGCCCGACTTTCGCTTCAAAGGCCTACTCCTCCATTTTGGCTGCTATGACCTTTCCGGGTTCCTCCCAATGGTGGAGCACCACGAGAAGAAACTTGTCATAGACTACGACGTGATGCAAGCTTACATTGATGCGCTGTTGCCCAACACGGACATCAAAGCACGCCGCGACCCATCCGTTTCGCCCTTTTTCGCGGACATCAGGGGCAAAGACTTGCCTCCTGCGCTGTTCACGTGCGGCAGTGAGGACCCGCTACTAGACGATAGCGTATTCATGGGAGCGAAGTGGCAGATGTGGGGAAATGAAGCGATTGTTAAGGTGTACAATGGTGCGCCACATGGATTTATCATGTTTCCAAAGGGGACTATTCAAGGGGGAGATGAGGTGTTGGATGACACCATTACGTTTGTGAAGGAGAAGATAGGTGCGTAGTTGATGCAAGGTGTAGGGTTGGATAGCACTGCAAGTGGTACATAATCACAAGTGTATACGCTGCAAGCAAATACAACTGTCATCTAGACATATATAGTAGAAATCCAAATACTCATTCTGCTCATGTATAACAACCGGGCCGTGATTGTTCGAAGCACGCGATAAATTTATAGGAAACGTTGAGCCGCCCTCCAATGATCTCGACTCAGTTGGGACTAGTACCGCAGAACATCCAGTCCCTGCACCCTCCGTCATAGTCTGCACACTACTCCCACTACTGCCGGAGCATGGATGAGTAGGGCACCTTACGCGATCTCTGCTTCTGCCAGGTACCAAAAAAAATGCCCTGACAAAACACCAATCGTTCTTTCCCAGTCGCAGCACAATGGAAGCAAATGGCAGCCCTGAGCGGCGCCGGCGGGGGAGCTTGTATCGGAGGAACTCCAGCATGACCAACATGAGCGAGTATGCATCCCATGGTCTCGGTCCCGTCAAACGCACAAAAGCTAACTGCCACCCCCTTCAGAGTGAGCTTCATGGACGATGTGGAAATGGCCCAAAACGAGGTATACGAACTCCGCCCCGTTCATGCCCCCCGTACATCTAGACACCAGCTGACGCGCAAATCAAAGATGTTCGCGGGTCCCATGTCGGAGAGCGTGCCGACCAGCATTACCTCCTTCGCCCACCGTAGCCGCCGATCGCGTGCCGACTCGACTACCAGCTTCACCTTTTATGAGGACGATCGTGATTCAGAGGAAGACGCCGAAGAGGATGCTATCGCGGATGAGTATGGGGACATTGAGTACGAGGGTTTCGATGAAGAATGGGGCGCGGACCTGGAAGCGCAAAGCCCTCCGTTGCGTCCCAAATCACTGAGACGAAAGTCTTCAGATCATTCTAGTCGCAGGTCAAGGTCTGTCGATGCCCCGTTACTGCGGAGGACTCGTTCGCATTCGAGTGCGGGCTCCGCTCGGGGCTGGGAAGGCCAGAGAACCAGCCAAAAGATATACATTCTGTCCGAAGATATGACCATTGTGATAGCAGGCTTCAGGACGTCGTCAATCGGTTTCGGGCTATACGTACTTCTGTGCACCATCACCGCTGGGCTGGGCTGGCTGATTTTTCGATGGATCCCCAAATGGAAAGTCTATTTGACCGGGCGGGCTACGTCGCTAGGAGACTGCGAATGGCTTGTCATTGAAAATCAATGGGGAGAGTTTGCCATTCAGGACGTGGAAACACAAAGCTATGGGCGTTCGCTGTCAACCGTCTTTGGAGATCTGGAAAAACAGCATCACATGGACTACGACGAAGAATTAGACCCGGTCATCAAGCAGCTACGCATCCTCGACTATCGCTACATTCGGTTCTGCTACCACCCCGTCAAAGATAAGTTTGTCCTGGCCAACACCTGGAAGGATCCCGCCTGGACCAATGTTGCTAAGCTTCGAGACGGCCTTGATACCGAAGAACGTGATTACCGCCAGCTGGTCTTTGGTACTAATGCCATCGATATAGCAGAGAAATCTATTGGCCAGTTATTAGTAGATGAGGCCTTCCATCCCTTTTATGTCTTCCAGATTGCCAGTCTCTTTCTTTGGTCTGTGGACGAGTACTATTACTATGCCGCTTGTATTTTTGTCATTTCCCTGGTCAGCATCACCACCACCATCATTGACACCAAGGCTACCATGAAACGATTACGGGAAGTTTCTCGGTTCGAATGTGATATCCGTGTATTGCGGAGCGGTTTCTGGAGAACCGTCGAATCGACCGATTTGGTCCCAGGAGATGTATACGAAGTCACAGACCCAGCGCTCACTCAGTTTCCCTGCGACAGTCTCCTGCTCTCTGGAGACTGTATCGTCAACGAAAGCATGCTCACTGGAGAGTCTGTTCCAGTTTCCAAAATTCCGGTCACCGATGAATCACTCGAGTTTCTAGAGCTCAGCGCATCTACAATACACCCTGAGATTGCCCGACACATGCTTTTTTCGGGCACAAAGATAATTCGCGCTCGCAGGCCTCACGAAGAGCATGACGACGACGAAGCCGCTGCTCTAGCAATGGTCATACGTACTGGATTCAACACAACAAAGGGTGCCTTGATCCGATCAATGTTGTTCCCAAAACCCTCCGGTTTCAAATTCTACCGCGACTCCTTCCGATATATCTCTGTCATGGGGGGTGTTGCCATGATTGGATTCATTGCTTCGTTCATTAACTTCATTCACTTCGGACTTGCATGGCATTTGATTGTTGTCCGTGCTCTAGACCTGATCACCATCATTGTACCACCCGCACTACCGGCCACACTTACCATCGGAACCAACTTTGCGCTGTCACGCTTAAAGCAGAAGCAAATATTCTGCATCAGTCCACAGCGAGTCAATGTAGGAGGCAAACTTGATGTGGTCTGCTTCGACAAGACCGGTACCCTTACAGAGGAAGGGTTGGATGTTTTGGGTGTGCGTGTCGCGCAAAGATCAGTCAACCGATTCAGTGAGATTCTCGAAGATCCTATGGATGTTCTGCCCACTTCACATTACGACCGCGACCCGACGATTGACTACGCGGATCACAAAGCGATACTCTATACTATGGCCACTTGCCACTCACTCCGACTGATAGATGGCGAGCTGCTGGGCGATCCGCTCGATGTAAAGATGTTCAATTTTACGGGCTGGAGCTTTACGGAAGGTGAACAACCCACCGGTGGTGACGAAGACGAAGACGACAAACTCCGGCCTTCTGTTGCGCGGCCTCCACCAGGACGCGAATATGATATTGATGATACCGTGGATGACGCTAATAGGAGGCCAGTGGAATTGGGGGTTATGAAGAGCTTCGAATTTGTATCACAGCTCAGAAGAGCCAGCGTTATCGTGCGGCAATTCGGTTCCAAGACTGGCCAGATCTATGTCAAGGGTGCACCGGAGTGTATGAAGGATATTTGCCGCCCTGAAAGCTTCCCTGCCGACTACGATGATCTCCTAGCCCATTATACTCATAGCGGCTATCGTGTCATTGCCTGCGCCACCAAGACTGTCAAACAGAACTGGCTGAAGATGCAGAAGATGAAGCGTGACGAGGCTGAAAGCAATTTGAGTTTCGCGGGCTTCATTATCTTTGAGAACAAACTCAAGCCAACTACTACAGGAGTCATTGAAGAATTGGAAAGTGCGAAGATTCGGACTGTCATGTGTACAGGTGACAACATTCTCACTGCCATTAGTGTGGCTCGCGAATGTGGCCTGGTCAACAAGACAGCTCACTGCTTCGTTCCACATTTCATCGAGGGTGATTCGCGAACTGCTCTGTCCAGACTTAGCTGGGAAAGTGTCGACGACCCCATTTTCAAGCTGGATGAAAACACTCTCAGGCCTTTGCCACCGCCTGCTGAGGCAGATGTGTCCCTGCCATACGATGTATCCAACCTCCGCAACTATTCTCTAGCCGTCAGCGGGGATGTGTTCCGCTGGATTATAGATTTCGCCTCCGAGAACGTGCTGCGCGAGATGTTAGTCTGCGGACAAGTCTTTGCACGCATGTCACCCGACGAGAAGCACGAGCTAGTCGAAAAACTCCAAAGCATCGATTACTGTGTCGGCTTCTGTGGCGATGGTGCAAACGACTGCGGAGCTCTCAAAGCTGCCGATGTTGGTATTTCGCTTTCTGAAGCCGAAGCCTCGGTGGCGGCCCCCTTTACCAGTCGCGTCTTTGATATTTCCTGCGTCCCGCAAGTCATCAAAGAAGGCCGTGCTGCCCTTGTCACGAGTTTCAGTTGCTTCAAGTACATGAGTCTCTACTCGGCCATCCAGTTCACCTCCGTCAGTTTCCTATACGCCTCTGCCTCCAACCTCGGCGATTTCCAATTTCTCTTCATCGACCTTCTTCTCATCCTGCCCATTGCCATCTTCATGGGATGGTCAGGCCCATACCCTTCCCTCTCCCGCAAACGCCCAACTGCCAGTCTTGTCTCGCGAAAAGTACTGGTCCCCTTGCTCGGTCAAATTGCGCTATGTATCCTTATGCAGGCCATTGCCTTCAAGACTGTCCAACGTCAACCTTGGTACCAACCTCCCGTCGTCGACAAGAACCACTCCAATTCGCTCAACTCGCAAAATACGGCTCTCTTCCTCGTCTCGTGCTTCCAGTACATACTCTCTGCTGTTGTGCTATCCGTTGGTCGGCCGTTCCGCCAGCCTATGGCGCGCAACCTTCCCTTTGTCATCACTGTGCTCATCACACTGTTGATTGCGTGCTATATGCTGTTCGACCCTGCGCAGTGGCTTTCCGGCCTCATGGAACTCACGTATATGGGCGTCGCGTTCAAGGTGTTCTTGCTTGCGCTCGGCTTGGCAAACTTTGCGGCTGCGTATCTGGGCGAGAAGGTGCTGCTTCCTGTGCTCGCGAGGTGGATTGGCGTACTCAAGGTCAAGATCAATCCGCGATTTGCGAAGAAGAGGAAGGAGTATAAGATCATTGCAGAAAATATGAAGGTGTAGTTCCCTGCATGTTGCTTGCTTTCGAGTTCGCGTTCGCATAGGTACGATTTGTGTACATAGCTCGCTAGTGATAGGGGAAAAGGAGCGATGGGTGGGAATTTACGCTACTGTGTACCCATGTATTTTTTCTGATTCATGTCGGATTGCTGTACAGTTAGAGAGCGTGTAGGTTTCGGGAGTTCACAAAGACCTAGATTTCTGTAGGCATTATATGTATGTATCCATGTATAGCAAATGGTATGAATGAACCATTACTTTTTTTTTGTTTTGAGTTGGAGTTTAGGTGATCCTACACACAGCGATGGGTGACAACGATAAATAAACCAAAATAACGAGCGATAACCAAAAAAAACATAACCATTACTTTTTGGGGCATACATAATTTTTGAAATTCATCATTTTCTTTCCTTTTCTTGTTCTCGACTGCTTTGGTGGCTTGTACGCACCTGCCCGTCTGTATTAGACAACCGGAAAGGACGGATGTCACCGCTTCTTGCAACTCACATACATGTATGTACTGTCTGGCAGGCGCAATCACAGAGAGCATGTTCGCCTCTTTATCTACTACGTACCGATGCAGAGCAAAAATGTTTATTTGCGTCCCTTGAGCTTCATATACAACAACAGACCAATAGCACTTATTCAAAAGCGCGCGTCGACGTTGCCTTAGTCTCCCGTTGTTTTTCTAGTGCGGCTTTTTCTCCCGCGACCAGTCGAGGCCCAGCAACGGTGTGGCGCCCTGCAACGCCAACAACTTCACAAGACGTCGATGGCCTTGTCCTACTGACTCGATTATCCCGACCATCACACGCATCGCCGGTCTGACTTCATTTCAACTTGAACAGTATAATGGCTGACCGGAACTGTGAAATACCAAGTCGCACGTGGGAGCACCGGAAAGCCGTCCGTGGGGAGAGCAGGCGCGAGCAGCAATTCTATCAATATTATGGTCCCTTCCAACGGATGACCGATTACGGACCTACATTTTGCGATGTTAGAGTCGCAGAATCCAGAGAGAAACACAAAGCAGTCACATGTCCCGATAAAATTCTCACAGCCTTCTGCCAGTTGGGTGCTTTGAGAATGAACGCTCGCCGGTGTCTAATCTTCTTCTTCGATGTCAACCATGCCTATATAATGGCAGAAGCAACCAAGACGTTGTCCCTGGAAAATGACGCAACGCATGAACCAGGGGATGAGCTTTGGATGGGTCACTCAGTGATTCCTCGCGATGTTGCTTGTTGCGAAACTACTGTCAATCTCCCCTCGTTCCCTACTCCCACTGCCGCAGATGGCGATATGAACAAGAGCGTTTTCATTGTGAAGGATTTGACTAAGCATCCGGACTTATCTACGAGACCCTATGTCACTGAATACCCTAATGGTCGGTTCTATGCTGGTGTCCCCATCACCACACCATCTGGCGTCAACATTGGGGCGTACTGCATCCTCGACGATAAAGTCCGTGACGGCGTTTCAAAGGAGGACCTTGTTTTCTTAGGCGACATGTCCCAGACTGTTATGAATCACCTCGAAACTGTGCGTGATCTTTTTGAACGGCAGCAAAGCAATCGCATGGTAGCCGGGCTGGGAGACTTTGTAAGACCTGCTCTGAAATCGGATCGCAAAGCACCACCCGCAACAAATATGCTTTTGAACGAAAATGGAATGGGGAATCGAGTGTCTCAGTCTTCCCAATTTCTTCTACCAGATTCGCTGATCGACAGAAAGAAAACGCCTACCTCAGTGTTACCAGAAAGGATAGGTAATGATTACTTAACCACCCCAAATCCACTTGATGGACAGGCCGGCCTTCCCCAGACATCTATAGTGGGCTCCTCTCTCGAGACGCCCCCAAAAGATTTTTTCAAGACCGTTTCCGCGAATGATTGGGACAACAAGTTCCTGAATCGACAAATGCGAACGGATACTTGGGATGCACCAGAGTCTATGGCGTTTCAGATGGAAGAAGATCACACAACCCGCCCGCCGCCTCGCTCAGAAGGCGATGCCAATAATGTAAATAGTACATTTCAACGCGCCGCCGAAAACCTCTGTCAATCTCTGGATGTAGATGGGGTTGTCTTCCTCGATGCTTCTGTCCAAGTATTCGGTGGGCTGGCCAAAGCTCAGGACGTTGAATCCACCGAAGGGAGCACCGCTGATAGCGATGACTCGGTAGATTCCCATTCGCACTCAGACTCTGCAACAGATAAATCACATTACGAGTACGCAAGGACCTGTCGGGTACTAGGCTGCGCACAAATGCTGCAGGAGGGCCGAAGCGATAGGGGTCTCCCCAAAGATCGGCCTCCTCAAAAGTTGACCGAATCATTTTTGCGTCAGCTCATGCGTAGAAATCCGAACGGCAGGATCTGGACATTTGATGAGAATCTCAAAATCCACATGGAAGACGGTTCCTCCTCGGATGACTCTGGTGGCAACGAAACAGTCATAGAAGTGTCAACACCGCGCACTCAAAAACGCAGGACGATCGGCAGAGATCAACGCAGTGATGGAGAGATCTTACAGTCTGCATTCCCTGGATCCCGATGTATAGCACTCCATGGTATCTGGGACCACATGAGAAAACGATGGTCGGTTGCAGGTCTGTACTGGACTTTCGATCCGCTCAGACACATTAGAGAGAGCGAAATGCACTTCGTTGCAGCTTTCTGTGACGTGGTTGTTGCAGAAACTAAGCGCTTAGAAGTACTGGGTTCCGACAAAGCAAAATCGGACTTCATCTCAAGCATATCTCATGAGCTCCGTTCTCCGCTACACGGCATCCTTGGCTCATGCGAGATGTTATCAGAATATGGGCTTGATAACACAGCTTCGACCCTCGTTGAACAAATCGATGCATGCGGACACACGTTACTTGAAATCATCGATCATCTTCTTGATCTTGCAGAGGTCAAGAGCCAGCGGCTAACTAAGGGTGCTGTGAGAAGTTCAAGAATCGGTCAGCATCTTCAACCTACTGGGAATTCCCCTGTTGAAGGTACACAAGCTTTGAACGCGAGCATTGCATTGGATGATTTGACTGAAGACGCTGTCGTCTCTTCCGTATACTCATTCTACTACAACCAAGGCGCCGATGAACGATCTAGTACGCCGGTTATTCTTGACATCGATCGATCTACTGGTGAATCCTGGGGCTGTAGCTTAGCATCTGGTGGGTGGAAACGTATTTGCATCAACCTAGTCACAAATGCACTCAAGTACACACCTTCTGGTTTCATCCGGGTTTCCTTGAAGCAGAAATCTAAACCAGGGCCGCGCCGGCGGTTCGATGCCGTGTTGACTGTGTTAGACAGCGGAAAGGGTATGTCCAAAGAGTTCCAGAGTAATCATCTTTTCCACGATTTCTCCCAAGAAGACACGCTATCGAATGGCTTAGGTCTTGGTATGCACATGGTATCTCGCATGGTACACGCGATGGGGGGTGAGATCGAAGTCACAAGCGATCAGAATGGCACAGGCACTCGTGTCACTGTGCGAGTGCCACTAGAAAACCATCAGATCAGCCAGAATCGAAGCGACTCCGAAGAAATTGCGGTTCAGAAAGTCTTCGAAGGCCTGACGGTTGGCATCGTGAAAGGAACAAGCAGTTCTCCAGTCAACCGTGAAGACTTTTTAAAATCTACAGCGTCTGCAATGGCGGTCACTTCTATTGAGAATAACATCAAATTTCTAGGTGCATCCTTGGAACATTTTGAATGGGAAAGCAGCAGCTCTCACGACCTCAATATTGTTATGGAGGCTGGATTAGCGGAATGCCTTTCGGCCATTGAAAATAGTCGGACTGCAAACGAAAAGGTGGCAACCAAAGGCAGCCATCATCCGCCGATTCTTGTCATATGCAGAAACAGCCGAAGTGCACAAATACTCCGGGACATTTGGATGATGAACGATCTCAGATTTCATGTAACCATGGAGCATATTCATCTGCCTTGCGGAATTAGGCAGATAACTCGAGCGATTTTTTCAGTTTTGCGTCTGCATAAAAAACGCACAACTATAGGCCCCGCCATATCAGCACTTCGTAAGAACGATTCGTCTCGGGAACGCAGTGTTGCACCGCACAACATCGAGGCTCACAGCCGGTCTCAATCGAAGTTGTCCACCACACCATCCGTTACCAAACGACTGGTTTTGAATCAGAAAGAGGCTGACCCTGTACCTTCTCTCATACATGACACATACATATCTTCAAATGAGCAACGAAGGTCACTGTCAAAACCCGACTTAATCTCGCAAGGGCGTACGTCGACATATCCTCTAGCCCATTCAGACGCAGAACCGCCACACGGACAGACAAAAGACGCCCATCCTTCGCCAACCATACCGACTATACATACTAATACGTCTAGATCTAAAAGGCCAACGCTCCTCCTCGTTGATGATAACGATATCAATCTCAGGCTGCTCACCGCCTTCGCCAAGAACCACGAATACCCCTACATGACTGCTTTAAACGGCCAGCTCGCCGTCAACTCTTTCGAAAATGCACACAGAAATCACATCTCCCAAAGCAATTCCGAGGATGGGAACGGCAAAAATGCTGGGATGGGCATACCCAGCGTGATCCTCATGGACATCAATATGCCCGTCATGGATGGTTACGAAGCAGTGCAGCGTATCCGGGCGTACGAGAAAAAGAATCGCTTGAAAGCCTCCAAGATTATCGCCGTGACTGCCTTGCAGTCCGAAGCTGCGCATGTTGAAGCGTTTGGGAGCGGGTTCGACATGTTTTTGAGTAAGCCGTTGAAGTTGAAGGATTTGGCACGACTGATTGACGTTACGTGACGTTTCTTTGATATGATTCTGAGACAGATTTCTTGATATATAGATATTCTACTGGTGTCACACTGGATTCATGTAGCCTTTGGTTTCGGCGTAGTTTTTTTTTTCTGGTTTCTTTGGCCTGCCCCGATACTCGCAGCACTTCTTAGATATCTTCGCCACTGCCCCCCCCCCCCCCCCCCCCCTCCCTCTCCCCCTTTGTTTTCTCTCTCTCTGCTAGCGCTGCTGCTGGATTTATAATCTGTTTAACTTCGCTTCTACACTGTACATAGTATTATAGACGTATTAAAATACACAAGGCTTGCTCACAAAGCCACAGCAAATCTTTGTAGCAAATGAGAGAGAGAGAGAGAGAGAGAGAGACAGGAAGGAGGGAAGAAACAATTGAACAAGCGCACGATCCATTGCTTGCGTGCAAAGACCTTGCATGAGGTTTTAAGTTGGAGATGTTTTGAATGAGGATGAGGGATGACTGAAGGGAGAGGGAGAGAGAGAGGGAATACCTACTTATTCTCACCGCCTTTTTTATCTGTCTTTTTGAGAGTAGGAAACACTGTAGCTTCCAATAACTAAAAAAAACTCGAAACCTACCTATCCTACTCTGCTTCCGTATCTCTCCTCTTCCTCCTCTGCTGCAGCACGCATGGTTGTTCCATGGCACACACATGCGTAAGCACAGTGAAATCTTGCATGCGCCACCAAGAGACCTCGACAACCGTCCAGCAGCCGGCACCACGAGACCAAGGGGGATCCTTAGCATCACACACGAGGGGACAAAAGACAGGAGATCGCAGTATTGCAGAGACCATGAAATTGTTATCCCCCGCATCTCCACTAACAAGCCAGCACACTATCCCGCCATCTTCCTGATCATCGAAGAAACCATTGGGGGCTCTATCCAGAAAGGTGGAGAATTGCACCTCTGTTTGCCAGTATAGATATCGTCCAGGTTCCTACCAACACGCACCACCTTTCAATTTCCAACGTCATCGACCAGCAACCAAAGAAAATGACAAACAACAAGACAAGAAAACCAACAGAACACAAGAGTGAAGGAAATTTTGGCCGAGGTGATATGGATATTAAGGGGGGATGATGTATGTATGCAAACGGCAAGCCAAGGAGGAAAAGTGAGGAGCGAGAAAAAAAGGGATACACAACACCACGGAAGAAATTTCCGAGTTGACAGCAGCGGAAGATCATCATGGCAAGCAGCACACGCAGAACGCGGCAAGCAGGGGGTAGTCGTTACGCAGGTATGTGAATTGATATCATGAGTCGTGTAGTTATGTGCCCACTGGGTGCGCTCTTTGTCGTGCGTAATTTTGTGTGTAGATTTGACCATATATTATCGAGCGCCGACATGATTAGATATATGACGCGTGAAACAAGGTATCTCGTCGTCGCAGGTCGTGATTGAATGCGCTTTTCGTCAACTCGTTGGAGTGTAATCTGGTGCATGAAATAGAATCGAAGCAAGCCAGTACAGGAAGGAAATAAAAGCAAGCTTGGTGCCATTGATGAAGGGAGAACAACCCAATTTGGTGCAGGTCACCGTCGCATATCATGGTCACAGCCACTCATCACACAGGCTTGGCTTGGCTAAGCAGAACCGAAACGTGCAAATGACCAGGGGCAGGATCCAAAACAGCAAGCAAAATAATAGCAATTCAAGTCGAGGAAGTAAAAGCAAAGGAAACCGAGGGAAGCCTCGCATGCAGCAAATCAAAAAAAAAAACTAGTACAATCTCCATCCTGATGATGAAACAAGCAGAGAACAACGACGGAGATCCAGTATATCCAAGAAATGCTTTTTCAATAACCAAATGGAAATGCGAGATCGAGAGCCCGAGCTCCATTGGATGTAGTCTCTACTGTCGTAGCGTCATTCATCGTATACGTCGTGAGAGCCAAGATAGTCCTAAGCTAGGCCAAAGTATTTGAGGCCGTAAACGTCATCATCTGTAGTTTGAACTTTTTCCAGGTTCGCACTAAGATGCTCACTGTCCAACGAGAATTTCCACGTTGGACTTGGTAGACAGCTCATCGCTGCCACGGCCTTGGTGACCGTTTTGTCGGGGGCGACTGAAACCTGTGCCGCGCTCAGGAAGAGGCCCACGCGGTTGTCTCGAAGGGCGGTCATCGTAGTTGCCCGTGAAAGTACGGTGCCCCCCGATAGGTCCAGGTCCGGGATTGTCCCAAGAAGTCATCTGTCGCAGAGAGCGGGGACTTCCGCCCTGACCGAAGCTGGATCCGATCTGCATGCGCCCGAGTTCCCTCTCTAGCAGGCCCTCGTCCCGCTGGGACATGGAGCTGGTTGTAGGGGTGCCATTTGGATTGGTTGAAGTACCCCCGTGAAAGGACAACCCCTCAATAGTCGGCGCACCCAGACGGCCGATGGGATGGCTGGCAGTGGAAGGTGCTGGTGAGGGCGTATACGAACGTAGGTCGGCATACGACTTGGCAGCACGCAAGTTCGGTGCCGCGGCCATGCCACCTGGCGAATCAGGGAAACCTAGCAAACCCGAGTTTTGGCGTCCGAACGCGTTGTAAAATCCCTCAGAGGCGCGGACGTCGCTGAAATCCGTAGTTGCGGCACGGTTGAGATTGCGACGAGGCTGTTCGGTAGCGTGATTCGAGAGTTGCGGCATGGGTGGGCTCAAGCCTTGGGTATCATGCAGCTTGAACACATGCAATTGCCGCTGAGCACTGTCACCCTTGGACACATGCGCAAGGCCCAGTTGATGCGACAAAGTGTGCACGATGCGTCTCTGAGTGGGTGATAGAGTTGAAGGGAAGGTCATGGATTCACGCTCAGGGGCCTCTTTGAAAATCAATAGCTGCGAATAGAACTGCAGAACCTGAGGATCATTGAGATCAACCTCTATAAGCGGGTTGGTGGGAGACCGTTCCGCTTCGGAAACGCCCCACATACCAGGCTTCTGAGCCCGTAACCCCGAGACTGGAGATGGGGAGGTTGCAGGAATATGCGAGCCGAGAGAGCCGTACGAAGGCTGCGTCTGAAGGTTGCCTGGAAGGGGGCGATGCTGTTCTTCCAACTGTCCGCGACGTTCACGCTTTTCGCGTTCGATCCGCTCCCGCTCAGCCAAAGGTAGCATCTTCTTGTACTCGACCCTCAGCTTCCTACCGTGGAGTTCAAAATGGTTCATCGCCTTGATGACCTGGGCCGTTTCTTCTGCTGTAGTGAAGTTGGCAAAGGCGAGACCGCGGAAGACGCCGTTATCGAAGTGGTAATTGAAGGCATAAGGCAGAGGCAACCGAAGATCCGTCATCAGTTGCACCAACTGCTCCTTCTTGACCGCAAAAGGGATATTCTTGATGACGATAGCTGTCGGGATCAGCTCCTCATCCACCTCGTGCGAGAACTGATTCTGGTGCATGTTGTTTCCGTTGTTATTGTTACCCATGAGAGGGTTGTGGTGGCCATTGCCTAGACCCGGTAAAGCGAAGGTGGGAAGACTCTGCGGTTGGGTAGGCTCCATCCAGCCCTAAGGGAGAAAAATAGTCAGCACGAATGTTCAGATGAATGACATGGATAGATGGACTGACTGTAGGTAGCTGGCTGCGGCCACCACCTCGACCTTGCTGTTTCATGCGAGAAGCAGCACCACCCAGAGAGCCCAAGGTATTTTGGGCAAAGGCATTCGAGTTCCAGGCCTGAGAGCCCATGTCATAGTTGTAGGCGGAATGAATAGTCTGGTTAAGACGTTCGTAGTTGCGCGGCTGCTGCTGCTGCTGCTGTTGCTGCGGGGGTTGTTGCTGCTGGTCGTAGCCACGTTGGTGGTCATCGGCCGTGTAAAGACCGCCTTGAGGGAGCTGGCTGTAGGCGTCGAACTGGCGGGAGGGCTGGCGATGGAGAGTCTGTGGTTGGTGACGATGAGAGCCAGGCGAGCGCGACGAGGGCGCGTCGTATGCGGAGTACATGGTGGGTGGTGGGAGCGGAGGGAGCTGAAGTGGTTCAGGAGGAAAAAAAGAACGGCCGTGAGTGAGGTACAGGGAGATTTAGTACATGGGGAGTGCCAAGGCGTGGCGTGGCGGAGGATCTAAAAAGCAGAGGCGGCAGCAGGATTCGTCGCAGGGCCTCGCCTTCCAGGAGCCAGGGCAGGCAAGGTTGGGTAGTATTTATTTAAAAAAAAGGTGTTGGGGGAGATGTGCGAGGTGGAGGCGGTGGGAAAAGGGGAGAGCAGAGTTGATGTGGCTAGTGGAGGCGAGCAGAGAGATGAGAGGTCAAGGAGGGTTGACAGGGTATTTTTTTGGCGGGCCCAGGACTGGCACCGTCGTCGTGGGTACTGCACTGTAATGAGCCGCAGCCGCTGCTCCGGGTGGGCCGTCGTAATCTGACGGACTATTTGCTGTTCTGTGCGAGCGACGTCAGATGGGGGCACGATGGAGGACGGAGGGGGCAGAAGACGTCTGTCAGGGTTGAGGGTTGAGGTGGTGGAGGAGGAGGGGGAGGTGGTTTGGAGGGCGGGCGGGAAGAAAAAAGAGAGAGGGAGAAAAAAGAAGGTGCGGGTGGGCGAATGGATGGATGGATGTGGATGAGCAAATAGAGAGAAGGATGGGATCAATAGAATGGCAACGATAGGACGGGGAAGGACAAGACAGGACAGGACAGGACAAGACGGGATGGGATAAGATGTAGGTAGGTAGGTAGGTAGGTAGGTAGGTAGAAAGAGCAAGACAAGCCCAGCTTACCAAGGCAGACTGACTGAAGCAAGCAAGCAAGCTACAGAGAAAAGAAACACATGCACATTCGCAGACACACACTCTCTGTCTCTCAGGCACTCGCACACTCGCACGCGCGCATCCATGATGGATCCATGCATGCCTCGATCCGTCGATAGCCTGAAGTGCTACCAAAACATGTAGACCCTGAAAAAAGAGAGAGCACGACGACGACCATCAACAACAACAACAAGACACACACTAGCAGGCTGGTTGTCAGGGACCGTTCCAATGTTGGTTGCTAAAGAAACACGCCTGCAACCTCTCTCTACCACTACATGGTGTACATAGGTACCTAGGTATGTATGTACATGTAGATGGACGTGACGGGTGACTGCATTCAGTCCTCTTCGCGTCCATGCCTCACCGCATAGGGACTTGAGTGAATATATATTCGACTATCCGTCGCCGACTGCCACTCGACCAAATACTACCGTTCCCGGGCGGCTGCAAGACAAACATCAGCACCGACATGTGCTGCGAGGGCGGGCGGGTCACGCAGAAGGTTTGGGTGGTCCTGGCCTGTCCTGGCCTGTCCTGGCCTGCCACCCTGTGACGGTATCGAGAAAAAGCCTCTGGACGTACATGGATGATGCGTGTACCTTTTGGATTCACTCTTGGTTGGACACCGACTATGCCGTCCTGCAATCCACCCGTTCCTTCACTGAACCTTCATATTGCATCCAGACTCTGGAGCATGCGTTGCCCTTAGCTGCTTAGCTAGCCAATGGCTAACTCTTGTCATTTATTGTTTCCTGTCGCGGCCCGCAGCCGCAGGAGCCCGGCCTGTCCACCCCCCATTAGTTTCCTGCCATCCCTCCGCTAGCACCCCCTTTACCTCCAACCTCTCCATGCCGGCTTGTTCTTGGGTTTTTCTTTCTTCTATTATCCTTGGACAAAGCAAAGTCCAACGGATGCTTTTTGTCCTGCATGTTATCAGACGTTGCTGGTTACACGACAGAAATGCCTTTGTACATATGCATCAACTAACTGACCTGGCCAGCCTGTGCGCCTCTACCTGCACACAGACACGCACACGCACAAGGCAGCAGCAGCATCAACCGGCATTTTGCCTGCAATCTTCTGATGCCTAGCTTCTCCCACGCTCACGCACTCAAACAGAACGACACTCTTAGTCCGCGCGGGGTCAAATTGGGATCAGAAGCTTGGGCGAAGTTGCTGCGGGCCCTTCGGTGTGCATCAGCTGCCCAACCCGCCCTCGCCACTGATGATCCCCCCCCCCGTCCCTACTCTCTTACTCGCTTCCTCCCAACCGTCCAAAATGAGGCTTCATTTGGAATCTCCTCCATCTTGTGCTCGATGAGCACAATCTTACACTGCCAAAGAGATATAGTCGGTCCCCCTTTCCTCCTCCTGTGCAATCTCTTTCTCTCGTCGCTCAGCCTCTTCGGAACTCCTTGCATGCCCATGTACATGTACATGCAACTTCATACAGATGCATATGTAGGTACATATACATGAACGCCCCGCATCACTCTCCGCCTGCAAGAGCGGGAGCATATTTGCGCAAAAAGCACCTCTGCCAACTCGGCGAGGTCACTTCCTCTTCTTTTTCTTGGGAAAGAAACAAAAAAGCAAAAACGGCGATATGCAGGGGTACTTGTGCTATATATATGTAGCTAAGTACTTGGTTACACATATGACTACGCATATCTACATTTCTACCTGCCCATGTCCAAAGAGGAGGGGTGACGGTTCAGGTCATCCTAGGGTTTGGTAGCACGGCAGATGTGCATATACACATATACATACATACGTGCATACATACATATCTGCTCACGCCCAAGCTTGCCCCCCTCCTCTCTCCCCCTATCATCAGCACATGGCATTCGGCAGCTCGAGTCGACCCTTTGCCGCCCCTTACTTGGATGCCTAGGGGAGGGGAGGGAGGCTGAGCTGACGACGGGACATCATTGAAGCGACAGGAGTAAACGACATCTTTTTTTACTTGCACATCGCTCTCCCGACCGCTCGGAGACGGAACGGTTGCCCGGCGAGAAACCGACCGACCGCGCATATGCCGCCGATCAGGTGACTGTACCCATCTTACTCATGTACCTAGGTACTCATGTACATACATACCTACATACATATGTAGGTATGTATGTATTCATGTATGCACATGTACACCCTTTGTGTACAGTGCCTACGTACCATTCAATCAATCAGCCTTACTGACTCACCGTCTGATTACGTTGGGTTGAGAACGGAAAAGGGGGAGCGCTCAGTATGGGGCAATGGGTCAACATGGGATGGACCAGTCGACAGGAAAAAGTGTGGATAGAGTACAGCGGAAGGGGGAAAAAGGGGGGGCCCGGTGGAACATATCTCGTCCTTGAAATATATGAATGATTTGCATAACCACACTTTTTATTATTATTATTATCGTTCATGTTCCCGCAATCGCATAATAGCAAATCATCACTACCTGTGTAGATGGCCTCGTTGTATCATGACTCCTATACACTCACTTCCACGACATGTACGCATTAGAATAAACAGGTAGATATTACATCCGAAAGGAAGAAAACCCGCCCACCGTGTGTCTCCGTTCAGTCGTCGTCCAGATCCAACAACCGCGACCACTCTCCCTCCCCGACCTTGCGAAACTCGGCCCCGGCTTCGAACTGGCCAGCCGCCTCCCAAGCCCGCATGGTATCGACATCGTAAGGGCCGTTGACGTCCGTTTCGGGCGCAGCCAGCCAGTGGAACTCCCACATGACCTTTGGTGGATTGGGATGTTTCCAATCGGAGCCGGTTTCGTGTTTGTAGAGGCGCATCATGGATTCGCGGGGGAGGTGGTAAACATCCTCGACGCCGCGGTCGGTCAGGTGGCCCGCGCAGTCTGTGACCGTCTCGATAGCCTGCTTTGCCTTGACCGCGGCGTCGGTCTCGGCGGCATCGGGCGGAGGTGGCTCGACGTCCATTTCGCCGGCGCGGTCCTTTTTGCGGCGGGCGGCAGCCACGGGTTTCTTTTTGGGGAGCAATTTGCCGTAGCGGGCTAGGGCTTCCATGGGGGTTTCGCCGACGTCGAGGTAAATAATCAATTTGGAGAGCTCTTCGCTGGTGACGATCGAGTCGGCCGCTCGCTCGCGGTCGCGGCGTTCCTGCTCGCGCTTGTCGTGTGCTTCTTTGGCTTTTCTGATGTCCTTCTTCGATACCCCATCTAGCCAGCTATCGTATGTAGCCAAGGGGTCTACGGCTTGACGCACGTAGTTCCCAGAGGCATCGAAACGGCCTTCCTCGTTTTCCGTCTTCATGTTGAAGGCGTCGAGTTTGGGGGCACGCTTCTTCTTGCCGCCTGCGCCGATTTCTTCGTCCAGTGAGGGATCGGGCATATCTCGCTCTTCGTCGTCGCCGCTCTCGCTTTCGCTGCTGCTTTCGTGGTCTTTGGATATGGATTTGGGGCCTGCGCGGAAGTCGACAGCGACGTGCCCACCAGATTTACTCGTCGCTTCTTGTCCTTCTATCTCTTGGTCATCGAGGAACCGCAACTGTTTCTTCTTGCCATCGCCGCGGCGCGTCTCTTCTTCCTGCTCATCGTTCTTGTCCTCCTCAGCGAACATGTCGTCATCGTCATCGTCGTCGTCGTCGTCTGCAGCGTCTTCCTTCTTATTCCTTGCCTCTGCGCGCGCATCGAAATTCTCGGTGGAACTATCTGAGTCGTAGCCGTCAATGTTCACGGCGTTGCGCTTCACGCCACCGCTTTTGCCTATGACATCGGCGTCTAGCGTTGGGTCATCGTCATCGTCATTGTTGTCCGGAGCGAGAGTAGACGGGTTGCGTGGGTCGAAGCGAGGTTTCTTTGCGGACGGTTCGTCTGAATCCAGGTGATGTGTGCGGGTGAAATGGTCTCCTGCGCGTTTGGGTCGCGCAGCGGAAAATCTGTTGGATGAACTCGCCATTTTCGAGTGAATGCTCCGATCTGTCCTTTCTCTTTCGTGTGCTGCGTTGATGTAGGAAGTAGATGTAGGAGGAACTTGAGTAGATTACATATGTAGATGAGCTTCGTTGGGAAATCCGAGCTCTGACCAATGAGACGAGATCCTGTTCCGAATAATTAGGCAGCGGAGGTGACGGTCTTGTGCATCACGGCAACATTTGAAACCATAATCGTGCTATTCGTCGACTATTGCGTATGTATATATGTAAGATGATTTGACTGATAGACCACGATTCCATAATAACGTTCGGTATCGTCATGCTCTCCCAAAAAAGTAGTATACTGTATGGTAGATTGTTCATGTGTACGGAAGGCGGTATATCATTAGCGCGTTTCCTAGCTCTTTATTCGTCATAACGATCTCTCGAGGCTACCTAGCTGCTATCATTGTTCCGCGTTCATCTGATTTACAACGACTTTGTTCCCCGAATCTAACTCTACCTGTGCACACCTGAATACACGCTGCTCACTACATTGTTGCTGCTTTGACTGCGCAGTCGCTTCGCGCTTCTAAAATGGTGAGAGCAACCGACCCCACCACTTACTTCCGCAACCTTCCTCCACTTGCTGTCAACTCACCTTCCCAGTTCAACCCCAACTTCTACAACGAAGACGACCCCATGGCCATGTATCAACATCAGATGCTACGCCGCGGTGGCGCTCCCCGCCGATTCGATGAATATTTCCGCTGCTACCCCATCGCGATGCTTCCCGGTCCGGATCGCGTCGATGCAAACCACGGCGGCAAAGTGTTCCTCCCTCCCAGTGCATTAGACAAGCTCACCCGCCTCCACATCACATACCCTATGCTATTCGAGCTCATCAATGGTGCAGCTGATGGCAAGAAGACACATGCCGGTGTGCTGGAGTTCATAGCAGAGGAGGGCAAGATCTATCTCCCTTACTGGATCATGCAAACGCTCGGCCTAGATCCTGGCGACTTGTTGCAGGTCAAATCCACAGACTTACCACTGGGCTCCTTCATCAAGCTACAGCCCCAGGACACGTCGTTCCTAGACATCTCAGATCCCAAGGCGGTGCTTGAGAATGCCTTCCGCAACTTCTCGTGCCTGACCAAAGGCGATATATTCAGCTTCAGCTACAACGACAACATCTACAACATTGCTGTTCTTGAAACAAAACCCGCGCACGCCAGCAACGCGGTATGTACCATCGAAACCGATCTATCCGTCGACTTTGCCCCACCCATCGGATACGAAGAGCCAAAGCGTACAAGCGGTACGAGCACGCCACGCAGTGGTAAGGGTGTCATGGCCGGTAAGGGTGGAACGGTTCATTCGCACGGATCCATGGCACAGGCAATCAACTACGCTGCCATAGCCCCAACAGCAACCTCTGCTGCTGCAGGCGCCAAAGCTACCTCATCACACTTCCTCTCGGCAGGCAACAAGCTCAGCTCCAAGAAGAACAGTAAAGCGCCCACGCCACAGGCGTCTACCCCGGTTGCTGTTCAATCTACAAACCCTCCACCCACTGTACGCAGGACCAACGGCCCACAACCATTGCGGCTACCGCACGGAAAGTTGTTCTTCGGTTACGAGATCAAGCCGGTAAAGAAGGAGGGTGATGTCACTGACGAGGGTCCTAAGAACTTTGGGGGAGAAGGCCAGACATTACGGAAGAAGAAGGGAGATAAATGAACAATTTGTACATCGAGAACGGAGCATGCGAACGTTGACGAATGGTATTTACAATAATGGCAGGGACTTTACCCCGGGTTTGTTTGAGCATTCCAGGCGCTGGGACAATGTCTGGAGATAAGGATGGCGCTTGGAGTCTTAGGTTTTAGTGCATGCTCAATGAAAGTATGCTGTCTCGCATAACCATCTCACCATGATGTGACTGTAGAGAAAGATCAATATGATAATTTTACTAACGTACTCGGTCATGGCAGGAGATATCGCAATGAGCCGAAAGAAGACAAATCTTGTGCGATACTCCAAATACTACATCGCCTGGTGGTGCACATGAAATCAGATCTGAGTCGGGGTTTGTTCACATCATCTTCACCTTCACTTTCCCCATCGCCATCCTCCTTATCACGAAACAAACCAGCATCACCTTCACCTTCACCTTTTCCCATCTTGCACTCTCATCTCACTGTGGCAGCCCTTACATATAAATACCTGCTTCCCCTCCCACACACTTCTTTCTCTCTCCACCACAAACCTCTCCACACTATCTACTTCCAACCCCAACTCAAGCTATCAACATGCCGCCCAAGAAGACTGCCGCTGCCGCTGCCCCCGCTGCTGACGGGGAACAAGTAAGCATATATGTGTTTTTGTGTTTGCTATTTGAAAAGCCTCATGACTAACCGTGCATCCCTTATAGAAATTTTCATGGACAGTGTACGTATAGTCCAGATGCCATGCCATACAGCGCCTTGAAGCGCTGGTGACACAATGTAATGTGCCGGATGAGATATACTGACCTTGAATTTCCCGTCTTCCAGGGAGAATGAGCGTCGTGTAAGTCTCAGTTCATCCTCCAGGCATTTCATGAATACTAATACACATATAGCTTCTCATTCTTTGCATTGGCCGCGGAACGATCAGCGGAAACGAGTACAGAGAGTTCCTCAAGGCCATGCCAGGTACATCATATCCATCTTATTTTCAACGCCACAAAACTAAACCAAAGAACCAGCTGGTGCAAGCTTCGAAGGCGTTCGTCAGAGGTTCGGAAAGCTCAAGCGCGAACAGAAGGCCATCTATGAAGAGTGCGGTCTCGCCGCCTCCCCCGACAACGCCGATGCCAGCGCTCCCCCTTCGTCTTCTGCCAACCAAGCTGCCCCAAAGGGAAAGAAGCGCGCTGCTCCCGCTGCCACGGCTTCCGATAACAACAACGACGGCGCTGAGGAGCCTGCCCCCAAGCCCAAAAAGGCTCGTGGACGCAAGAAGAAAGTCGAGGCCAATGTCGACGGTGAGGACGCCGGCAACGAGGTCGAGGGCGGCACTTTCACCAGCGTCAATGGCTCTGGCGTCAAGCAAGAGGAAGTCGATTCTTTGGTCTGAGTGGGCAAGTCTCAGATGGTTATTCGTGTCTGGGAAGATCTGAGCACATTTCATACTATTCCATCTCACTTTCCGGAGCAGGTGAGAATTGATTCTCTCTGGGTTATGGCTGGGAAATGGCTATCTAACGGGTAGTCACCTTCGTGCATCATAAGATGGCGTTCTATTCCCGGCCGGGACATGGCTTTCGTCTTTATAATCTACTTCTTCCCTCTTGCTTCTATGGGTGTTCGTGATGATACGTGTGGATATGATGTGACCTGCTATTTCTGCCATGTACAAGAAACCAATGTACATGGATGTTTATTGGCCACAAATTTTGTTATACCTGGTATGATATGCTAAGATACCAACATCAACTAACGGGCGTTATCTAGACGAGCTAGACTGGAGTTTGATTGTCTATGCATGTAGGCAAACATTGATATTAAGTTTTTTTTATTTTTTTTTTATTGGAAGTTACAGTGTTTCCTACACTCAAAAAGGCTGATAGAAATGATTTGACAAAAAGTAGGCGAGTACTAAAATACATTGATATTCTACTCTTCAACATATCCATCATTGCTGATGACTGAGACAAAGTTATAGGTGCCGGTGCAGCACTCAGGGTAGTGTATTACGCTTGTTGTTTCCACCCGTCGTTTCACGAGGATGGTCCTATGTTAGTATTCAATGGATTTTATTATGGTGGATTGTATCGTTACAGATTTCATCATCAGTGTGACCAATTGAATGACCAGATCGATATTTGTACTTTCCGATCTTTGCCGCTACGCAGTACATGTAGCCTCTCGCACACGGCAATCACCTGTGCTGCAAATACCTAATAGATAGCAGGCCAGGAACCAAACGTGAAGACCAAGTATTCTGCGTCTGTCAGCACATGGCTTTTAATAGTCGCCGTGATCATATCATAGGGAATCAAGGTGTTTGATGTATCGATTGTGACGTCTGGGCCATTCAGATGCACCAATACCGGGTCTACTCCAGCTCGAATAATTCACAACATCAAACCTCAACCGCAAAAGTGTTTCGGTGTAGTAAAATAGCAGTATGTAACTCGTTTTTGTCCCCGTGAATGCGAGAAGATGAAAGCCCGAAGTGAACCGTTCCAGCTGCTTGCTTATGAAAGGATAATCCCGAGTATAAAACATTGTAAACATTATGCTGGCGTCAGAGGGCTTCTCCTGGCCACTCTACTTGAATTTACCACTGTCCGTTAATTCTGTGCCGCAATCTGTGGACTTCCCAGGTGGCGAAATGAAACCGTTCAAGAGGCGAGTCCGCCTAAACGAATGACAGACCTGGCCCCCATCATTCCTTCTGATCCCAAGAAAAATCGTATTATAAAACACCACAAATCATGGTGATGAGTTGCCATCTGACGTTCTATACTGCCACTCGAAGCGTTATACCTACTCTCGTACCGGCAAGGCATCTAACCGCCCTCGTATGCGTACGAGATCAATGATGTCTCAATTGTGACCAGGCATAGGCAGCAGTCGCTCCTTCCAAAGCTGCCTAAAGGTGATTGCAGGCAGCTGATTGGTGGTGTTGGGAGATTTGGAAGCAATTTCATCTATCTCAATCACTGCAGTGAGTTGTAGCGCCCAGTACTGCAGCATCGAGTTGGTTCCGAGCAATATTGAATCGTTGTCGCACGGATGCTCGGGGCCGGCTCCTACGCCGCTTCATCATCATGTCTGAATTGAGCGGAGCAGAGAGAGCGTGGGTGCATGGTTGTAGGCTTGTAGCTGGGAGACATGTCTTCATGATAGGAACATTACCTGGAAGCCGGTGCCGCGAGGACCTGGGAGAGGCTGAGCTGGGGCTGGCCGGTCCACTTTTTCTTAGCCCCAGATCTAACACCCCTCGGAGCGGTAACTTCGTAACAACGTTACCACTTACGTCCGCCACCCCCAACATACATACCTGTCTGATCGCCGCTGAAGTCGGCATTGGCCCATTCGTATAAGTTTCTACGTTTACCAACTTGACTTGGTGCATACGAAATCATTGTCACGCTGCAATCTGCCAGTGCCCTCTCACGACTGTGAACTTCAGCTGGCCCCGTTGCATTTCTCTACTAAGCCTTTGTAGACGACAAGGGAGACGAGCTGGTTCACAACGGTGCCTCGTAAGCACGATTTTCAAGCCACCACCAAACCCAGAACATATAAAAATGCTCCGTCATCACGCGAGCGCACGGTTCCCTATGATTCAGATCCCAGCGACTACTTTACTCTGCGCCCTTATTTGCTCGGTGACCATAGGTGCCTCTCGCACGATGGATTCGGGATTCGGGAGGTTATGACTAGTCGCTTCTCAATCTTGTCAGACCTCTATCCGCTTCTGAGACATGAGCCGACCAGCAACCTTGATATCGGTCTTGGATTAACTAGAGTAAGAAACATGCAAGGCAGCGGCAAGCGTAGGGTGTCCAGCAGGCAATTGCGGATGAGCAACTACGGTCCAGTTCACTGCCATATGGGGAAGTATAGGTGTTTTCTCCAAGCCATGCTCGATCTCAAGTACTGCCCTCGCTGTCCATCTCAAAGTAAGCTCCAAGTCCTTTTATACCCAGCTACGCCTTGCTTTCACGACGAACGATTCAGAAGGCTGTTCATTATCCTGAAGCTCATTCTTTAACCTACCACCTGCTCTCTGCTTGTCTTTGTTTCTTATCCCACACTATCGATTCAACAACCAGATCCGCAAGCACAATTCGTCTTTAAGCCATCTTCGCCAGCTTCTGAGACACTGCCATCATGTGTTTGCGGGTCGTCGAGACGTACCCAGTGTGCGGATGTACATATTACGTCCACTCTGTCGATCCTTGTTCGAGCTACGGAAGGCACTCTGTGACAGAAAAAGTGGTCTACGTTGGGATGAGCTGTCCCAGACACAGCTAACGTCCACTGCTCAAGGGTAGTTGGAGGCGTGCGACCGAAGGTTTTCTACGGATCGATGTTTTCGAATCTATTCGGACGGTTTTCTTCTTCTTCTCGAACTGTATTTTATACATGGATTTGGGTCGTCTCGGTAATTTAAATGAGGTAAACACCTTAAGTTATCCAAAGAGTTAAAGCATCAGCTCACCGAGAGTTAGTTTACGATGATGCATTTGAGTTACTTTGTGCGGGACACTAGTATTGATTGCGGGAATCTCATTTACATTCGACAGACCATGGAATTTAGGAGCCGATGGTTTTTTTTCTTCTGGTATTCGTTTGCAGGGGCAATGGGAGTTTCCATTTCAAGATATCAGCATCCAAATAAGAATACTGAAACCACACTTTCATTGTTCATCTAAGAGTGGGCTAATTGTGTAGAGATATCATGATCAATTGATCCTTATGAGTCTGAATCAACTTCTTTAATGCAGTTCACTGTGAGATTGCCGATTTGACACGACCTCTAGAGCTGGGCAAATAAGTGTAGATCAAAGCAACATTTGAAATCGTCAGTACATGTCGATAAACACGCGACTGATGTACGGGAAGAGAGTTGAGCGAGAATCGTCTCGTTGAGCTCTGGCTTCATAGCAACTACAAGAATATGCGTCATTTACGAGATGCTGAAACAGCACTTCAACTTCCAATCAAAATCTTTTAGAATCGAATGAAGACAACATCTGGAGGAGTGAATGGTGTGCACAAGGCACGCTAAGCCGAAAATGTACCGGGCCGACATTTTCACCGAATTGCCCCTGCAAGCTAATGAAGGAAATTCTCCTCATCAAAAACTATCAAGTAGCTACCTTCGCGAATTGTAGCAACACCACACCACCCAGCATACGCAATGGCTCTCGTACAGACAAACCCCGACGCGTATGTCATCAAGCCAGAGTCAGTCGCGCCGGCGATTGACACCAGTGACTGGCCGCTTCTTTTGAAGAACTACAGCGACCGTATGCAGGCAATCTTGAAAGCTCCAAAAGCTTCGTGCTAACGACTATCAGTTCTCGTCCGAACTGCGCACTACACGCCGATTCCTGCAGGATGCGCGCCTCTTGCTCGCGACATCAAGCAGTACATCAGCTCTGGTGTCATCAACCTTGATAAGCCCTCGAACCCTTCAAGTCATGAAGTTGTAGCTTGGATCAAGAGGATGCTTAGGTACTGTCACATCAACGAACTTGTTGCTCAAAAAATGTCTAATGCTCGATCAGGGTTGAGAAGACTGGTCACAGTGGAACTCTTGACCCCAAGGTCACTGGATGTCTTATCGTCTGCATCGACCGCGCGACTCGTCTCGTCAAGTCTCAGCAGGGTGCAGGAAAGGAATACGTTGCTGTGATCCGCCTCCACGATAAGCTACCCGGTGGTGAGGCTCAGTTCGCCCGCGCCTTGGAGACTCTTACTGGCGCTCTTTTCCAACGACCGCCTCTCATCTCTGCTGTCAAGCGCCAGCTTCGTATCCGTACCATTCACGAGAGCAAATTGTACGAATTCGACAACGAGAGGCAGCTCGGTGTCTTCTGGGTTAGCTGTGAGGCAGGAACCTACATCCGTACTCTTTGCGTGCATCTCGGCTTGTTGCTTGGTGTAGGTGGCCATATGCAGGAGCTCCGTCGTGTAAGAAGTGGAGCCATGGACGAGACAAAGGACATGGTGACTCTGCACGACGTTCTTGACGCCCAGTGGATGAATGACAACAACCGCGACGAGGAGTACCTTCGTCACGTCATCTCCCCATTGGAGACTCTTTTGACCAGCTACAAGAGGGTCGTTGTCAAGGATAGCACTGTCAACGCTATCTGCTACGGCGCCAAGCTCATGATTCCCGGTCTTCTGCGTTTCGGTACGTTCGTCGCTATGCTACTCTCAATCCACACTAACAATGTCTACAGAGAAGGGTATTCAGCTACACGAGGAAGTTGTTCTCATGACCACCAAGGGTGAGGCTATCGCCCTTGCCTACGCTCAGATGTCTGCTGTCGAGATGTCATCCTGCGACCACGGAGTTGTTGCTCGGATCAAGCGTGTCATCATGGAGCGCGACCTGTACCCACGACGATGGGGATTGGGCCCAGTCGCGACGGAGAAGAAGAAGATGAAGGAGAATGGAACGCTCGACGTACGTTACAGTACTCACTATTTTGTGGAATGTATACTAATCAGGCGCAGAAATTCGGCAGGACCAACGAGAAGACTCCTGCACAGTGGCAATCTGGTTACAAAGACTTCAGCGCCCCTACGGAATCGTCGGGCGATGCTGTCGCTGAAACGACCAAAACTTCCGAGGTTCTCGCAGCCCCGGCTATCCCACCAACGGGTATCAGCGCTGAAGAGCAGGTCGAAGCAGGTGCTGAAGTGGAGAAATCCAAGAAACGCAAGAATCGTGACGAGGATGAATCCCCTGAAGACAAGGCAGAGCGCAAGAAGAAGAAGGCCGAGAAGAAGGCCGAAAAGGAGAGGAGAAAGTCCGACAAGCTTGAGAAGAAGGCGAAGAAGGCCAAGGCCGATGATTCTGAGTCTGACTGAAGACCAGAGTTGGTTGGGTGAAGCTGATAGCTTTGTTCGATAAAGCCCAGTGCGGCTAAAAACCTCTCACTTGCGTATCGCTAGCTCGGCTGCAGCTTGCGACACAGCAGTACTCTTTTCCTTGTTGCAATTCTATGTAGCATACGACAGCGTGTCGGATCAGGCGTTTCAATTTTCGGAGGACTTTGGGGAGTTCGGAGCATCCCGGTTTCTTGCTTGTACAGGGTTGTTGAATGCAATGGGGACGTGGAAAATAGTGACAATACCAGTATGCATTTAAGTTCAGAACATGAAGCTGCAGCATGGGTAAAGGAACGTATCGGTCGCCTATAAAACCATCCACAACCTCAAAAGTGGATTCAATCGCATTTTCTTGATGGTCGTCTAAGCTTCTCGAAGCTTCGATGAACTTCGGATGAAGTGACGTCTTTAGCGAATTATCTAGCGGTCAGGTCCGCTGGCTCGTGCCCGTGCCAATGTGGGGAGACTTCAACGAGCATTAAAGCAACCCAGCCTTCTTGCACCACACTCTGCAACCACAACGTCAGTAACGCAACAAAAGAGACTCTGGATAATACAACAGCTCTTTATCCGTCAAAATGGTTAGGGAGACTAAGCTATACGACTCTTTAGGTAAGTCACGCCCTGTACCTCACCCTCACCCCCACCCTCCACTCGACTGGGTGCAGCCAACTCGGCTTGCCCCGGCTCCCGAAAGCTCGTTGCGTACATATACTTACCTCTGTCATAGGCGTATCCACAACAGCTACACAGGATGAGATAAAAAAGGCCTACCGCAAAGGAGCCTTAAAGTGGCATCCCGACAAGAACAAAGACAACCCCGCCGCTGCTGAAAAGTTCAAAGGTAAGGGAAAGAGTAATCCCATCAAAAGAAACAAGAAATGAGTGCTAACGGGATCCACAGAGGTATCGCAAGCCTACGAAATCCTATCCGATCCCGAGAAACGTAAAACGTACGATCAATATGGCCTCGAATTTCTATTGCGGGGTGGGGTACCTCCAGAGGAGGGAGGTGGTCCAGGGCCTGGTTCCAATCCTTTTGAGGGTGCCCAAGGAGGCTATCCGTTCTCAAGTGGTGGAGGCATGCCCCGTGGATCCTTCCACTTTTCGTCCAATGGAGGCGGCGGAGGCTTCAACTTCTCAAACCCTGAAAGCATATTCTCGGAATTTCTTCGTGGACAAGGAGGAGGTATGGGGGGCGATGATGACGATTTCGGCAGTTTTGGTGGCTTTGGAATGGGTGGAATGCCTGGTGGACTTGGTGGAAGCTCCAAGAGAGCAAGCGGGTCAAGATTCAATGGTGGACGGAGAGCACCGGCACCTGAAGTCACTGTCGTCGAAAAGCCGCTACCAGTATCACTTGAAGAATTATTCAACGGTACCACCAAGAAGATGAAGATCAAGCGGAAAACCTACGACCCGGCGACTGGCAAGCAAAGCACCCAGGATCGGATCTTGGAGGTGCCAATCAAGAAGGGACTGAAAGCGGGCAGTAAGATCAAGTTTTCAGACGTGGGTGACCAGGTAGAAGGCGGTACTCAAGACCTGCACTTCATAGTTTCCGAGGTAAGTCTTCAGTCTTGGTCCCATATTGTTGGAAAACAAAGCTAACTGTGTGTAGAAACCGCATCCCCTCTTCAACCGCGAAGGCGACGACATCAAGCACACCATTGAGCTCGACCTCAAGGAATCCTTAACGGGCTGGTCGCGGACGGTGCAGACGATTGATGGCAAGCAGGTAGCCGTCCGCAGTGCCGGGCCGACGGGACCGACGTTCACAGAGCGCTTCCCTAGCCTTGGAATGCCGAAATCCAAGAAACCCAACGAGCGAGGCGATTTCGTTGTGGGCGTCAACATCAAATTCCCCACATCCTTAACTCAACACCAAAAAGACCAACTCAAGCAGATTCTTTGAGTTATGCAGTCCACATGTCTTTGTATCATCGGGTCACTAGACGATTTTTCCGCTCACATCAAGGCAATGCCCGAATTCACCCACCAATCCTTCATCGTCGGTTGGATATGAACTTTACTTTTCGACAATTGTTTTATTTTTTCGATCTTACTCTGTTTCCGTCATGGGCTGATTATATTCTTTTTCATCCCTCCACCATATTCTTTCTGCCCCCTTTTCTTATTTTCACTTTTTGCAGATCAGTCAGACGAACGGTTTCGCTCTAGCATCTGCACTCAATAAGCGAATTGGCGTTGGTAGGCATTCTCTACTTCTAGTTTTGTTTATCCACTTCTTGTTTGGCAAGCTCTGTAAGCTTGTTTTAACCCTCGGATATCTGCGGGTCTTCGTGGCCTTCTAGTTCTTGCTTTGGAGAAGCCGGGGCGAAGGTGCAAGGGCGATATATGGTCTGTGACAGCGCGTCGAAGGCATAAATGAATTATACACGAGGGAAGACTCGCACGACGAGATGATAATGAAATGAATAAGCTCTTTATTATCGAGATTGCAACGGCTGAGATTGAGTAACACAGTTGGATAAGTAGTGAATCACGAATAAAGCAGTTTTTTTGTACTGATGACCCATTCCATTATGCAAAGAGTCCGTTTGAATATCTTCATTACAAGGGTGGGGCTACCCTAGGATTAGCTATCAACCCTTATTCAAAGCTTTATGTTATGTCTAGATCCTATTAAAAATTCACTAACACTATGTTAAGATGCTATTTAATAGAATATTAAAGTAGAAAGAGCAGTTAACACTATATCTTCAGGTAGGGCTTCCCCTGTAATGTTGTTATACACATATGTACACAGGTACACAGGTGGTACAACAAGCGATCGACATCGTTTACTCTCTTAGTTTCAAGTATGGAGAAGCCCGGCGTTGCCTTGGGAAACAGAAGCCAAAGTGCTAGAAAAGTAAATATTTCCTTGCTATCTACTCCTCTCGCCCACTCTCCCAAACGAAGATCACTCTTTGCAGAAGAAGAAAATAAAAGATGTCGACGAATGAATGAGTCATAGAAAAAACATGCAGCACACAACACGAAAGGAATGAGGAGAGGCCGGTGATGAATGTTTTTTGGGGGGATTTTTTTCTGTATATTTTTTTTACTGGCAATGCTACATAAGAATACCGAGCCCAATCCAACCTGACCCGACTTTGACTTGAATTTGACTGGCCACCTGACTGAGCAAAAGGGAGCAAAGAGATAAGGGAGAGGACTTCTCGAACGTTGAGTAGTTTGGTGTATAGAGAAGGAAGAAGAAAAAGACTAGCTGAGAGAGGGGGAGGGAAAAAAAGAAAAGGAAAAGAAAGAAAAAAGATCCCCGAAACACCTGATTCTGCCAACACTGAACCATTCCCCAGCCCATTCCATCCGTACAGACACGCGCCTAGCAAAATGGTTTTTCTCTTTTAAGAAAACATATCAGAAATAGATAGGGAAGAAACTACCCGTCCTTGTCCCATCAGTGAAAAGTCTTTGCTTGTTAACATGTTTATCCACTCTTCAACTTCCTGTGTCGCCTAGGCAGCAACAGAGAGACGCAGAGGCGATAAAGATGCCCAGTCCCGACTAAAGACACACCAGATCACAAAATACGTGAATGAAGAAGAGAAGAAGACACATATGCCCACTAACACACCAACCAGACCGAACCATCTCAGTCACGTTTTAGGTACCAGCTCTGCAGAACGTACGAGCAGCCCTCCCACTGATGCCTAAATGCCATCGTATCTGATTGTTGTTGTTCTTTTTCGCGACCCTAAACACGCGTTTTTTGTTGTCCTTATGCGCGTCACTGGTACGTAATGGGCTGCCGTTCAAGCCTTATGCCTCTTTCTGCGCGCCCTTCTTCTTCGTCTCGACCTTGAGTAGTAGGTGGCGATTGATGTGTGGCAGTACACCACCGAAAGCAATGGTAGCGCGAATGAGGGTATCGAGTTCTTCGTCGCCGCGAATAGCGAGCTGCAAGTGACGTGGCGTGATGCGCTTGACTTTAAGATCCTTGGCAGCGTTGCCTGCAAGCTCGAGCACTTCGGCAGTCAGGTATTCGAGGACGGCGGTCAGGTAGATGGAGGCTTTGGCGCCGATGCGCGTCTTTTGACGGGTGATGTTTCGGAGGTGACGCTTTATGCGACCGCAGGGGAACTGTGTTGTTATGATGCGTTAACGCGTGACTCTTTTGACTCTATTTGTTCAAGTATTGTTGGGATGCATTGAGTTGATGCCAAGTAAAGATAGGATCGCGCGATTGCTCACCTGTAAGCCTGCTTTCGCAGAGTGTGACTTGACGGGCTTCCCGTGAGAGTCGCCTTTTCCTCCCGTCTTGCCACCGGTTTTTCCTGTCGCGACTTGTCAGCTTGATGGAGTCCTTGGGTGCGCGAGCGGCGGAGTCAGGCGCGTACCTTTACCACCAGGCATAGTTGTGAACGAGTTGGTGCAAGCTTAGTTGAGTGGTTTAATCTATAAGGATGCGCGATCGTGATGCCTTTGTGTCGTTTCGCGTTCGATGTTGTGGTAGCGTGGGTCGGTGGGGTGGCTGGGGGCAGATGCGAGCAACTTTGGAAGGGAATGTTGTGATGGACGACGCTAAGCCGGAAGAAAGGTGCGCCTAAGGCTCGGATGGGCTGGCACGTGAATAGCCTTGGCAGAACTGGGAGCTGCGAACTGCGCGTCTGTGCTGATAGCGGCGTCCGGGTAGCGGTTGCCAGAGGGTGTATGTTCCAGGGTCGATGTTGCTTTTGGGGGTCCGACCGCCTCTTATATTGCCATCTCCAACCATGGTCCTAGGCAGTAGCCGTTCCCATTTTGGCAACATCCGTGTTGTGAATGCGTGGTCGAGGAATCAAACCGAGTCGAGCATCTTCTGTTGGTAGATTTGATAGTGGAACTCCATGGCGAAGTGTTTGCAGTGTACTGATGTTTGGTCCCAGAGGAGGGATATTGCTGGCGTGTTAATAGTATTCCTATATTATTAAGAGAACACAGAGAAATACAGTGAAAAGCTGCATAGGTGTATAGCCATGAAAAGATATGACAAGATGGCACCATTGAGACAAGCCCCTAGGAGGGAGATTGCAAAGGAAAAGTCCTTTCCGAAGTCCTAGGCATAGAACTATGGGAGTTCAGTCCCGTATGGTCCAGGGCTTGCATATGACTTCGATGATGGAAGAGCAGGGTATGAACAGCTTGCTTCCTACAGTGTGACATATATTGGTTTCCTACAATATGGTAAGCAAGTAGATTGAATGGCTCTATGAGTGCGCCTGTATGTGAGCCCAAATGCGATTGAGGGAAACCGATCCGTTGTTGAATCTGTAGGGGTCAGGTCAAGAGGCATGCCGTTGACTGTAGCCTGGAGTGTGCAGCCTGTGGCCAGCTATGTTACCAGGATCATGGAGAGGAACAGGTCCGATTGATATTGCGGGCGTAGTGTTGGTATCAAGTTGAAGTGGTCGCTGCTGCTATGTGTTTGGATAGTGGGTTAATGAAGACGCAAACTTCCTACCGGAAAGTACGGCAAAAGAGCTCTGCTTGCCGAGGTGAAGAGACATCATGCTTACAATGCCAGTTCATAATACACGACAGCAGATTGGGAGCACAGCATGGCAACAGCCACAAAAAGGTAAAGGTTGGCTTTGGAGTTGGGATTGCTCTCACCTATGTGGTTAGATGAGGCTAGGGCGTAAACGGCATCGGCCCGTGCTTGGCTTGCTGGACCGTGGAGGACAGCGACAACCACCTCGCAACTAGCAGCTCCTTAACACGTCAGTTGACGAGATAGTACCTTGTTTCCATCTTTCGAGCACTATCTACGCTCCCAAACACCTGCGCCTGCTCTCCGCAGCCCGTTGCGACGTTGCACTCGCGTCTCCGGCCTGTGCGCTCTCTCCAGAGACCATCCGAGCTTCGCTTCTCCCTCCCTCGCTCGTTGCGGCCAACTATCCACTATCCCCAGCTCCATCCCCTCCGAACCAACGGCGCATGAGATATCCCCAGAACGCTTGCTCAACCAAACTTCCTCAAATACAAGAACTGCGCCATGGCATGGCAGTCGCCGTCAGCCATGAACGCAGGCGGCGCGGTGGGCGGAGGAGACGGAAGTGCGCCACAGGGGACCGAATACACGCTACAGGGTGAGAACCTCCTCATTGGGCTGTAATAGTTACAGAGTTCTTGGGCTGATGATTTGATCAGGTGTTATGCGATTTCTACAGCTGGAATGGCACAATCACGAACGAGCAAGGAATGCTTGGGATATTGAACGTGCGGAAATGAAGGCAAAGCTCGCAAAGCGAGAGGGCGAACTCAGAAGTGCGAAGAGACTGAACGACCAACTAAACAAGCATATCCGCATGTTGGAACAGGCATTGATGAACGAGCGGGCAAAAAGCAAAGCCGGTTCGACAGGGGTCGAGGCCCAAACCGCAGCCGAAGACAAGAAGGAGAAAGGCAAGACCGCCCCTCGTGGTACGAAGCCCAGCAGGCGTGCGCTATATCCTTCTTTTTTTTAATCCTCGCTTTTGGATTAAGCTAACATTTACCTATTCTAGCCCCGAACAAACCTCACAACTCTTTCCTCGACGTTGACCCCGAGCTGTCCGAACGGGCTGAAGCCGAACGGGATAGCCTCAAAGAGAAATCGAAATTATATCTCACGAAATGCGTCGAAGAAATCACATACCTATTGACGCCACCTGCTCAGCCTGCTCCACAACCAGCTATGCATATTGGAAATGGTTCCGGATTCATGAATCATAGAGACGCTTCTATGGAGGAACTGTATATGCATCAACACCGACAAAAACTGCAACCCCAATTACCGACACTCCCAAACAACCACCCGCCGCCAAACATGCAAACAAACGCCGAGCTCCAAAATTTTGCCCAACAAGCACAGCAATTCCATCAAGCCCCGCAGATGGCTCGGGAGCCTTCTGGTCACGCTCCTCTGCAGCATACCGGCCCGGGGTCTGAATTCTTTGGGCAGCAGCAACAGCAAGGACAGCAGCAACAACAACAGACACAGCCGTCACAGAGCTTCTCCTCGGTGCCTGAAGAGCAAGTAGAGAAGGTCACCCATACCTTTGATAATCATGGGCGTCAGATACCAAACGTGGAAGAGAAAAAGTCGGGGAATGTACCAGCGGCAGAGGAAGATTCCGAAAGCTGGAATTTCGAGGAGCCAATAACGGATATACCCCAAGAAATTCCCGCATCGCGCAGACCTGACACCGAAGCATTCCCGAGCGCCAACAATATCCCGTCAAAGTCCCCTCCTCGACATGGCAAGCGTAAAACCAGTTTGGATCTCAATCGGAGGCGATCGAGCCAAGGAGAAACTCGCGAGGCAACTGGTCAAAGCACTCGTTCCGACTCGCCAAACTTTAAGGTGAGGTTCGCTCTGCGAGGTCATCTCGATGTGGTCCGCTCCGTGATCTTTACCGGGGGTGGAAGTCCTACGGAACCGGAAATTTGCACTGCAGGTGATGATGGCATGATCAAAAGATGGATAATTCCCGCAAGCTACGCAAATCAGCATAGTATGAGCAATGATCTGGACATCTCACCGTACTGGTCTCATCGCGGCCACGATGGTGTGGTGACTTCTCTTGCTGCATGCCCTTCATCTGCCTCGTTTGCCACTGGCGGTAGGGTATCTGGCGATGGGTGGATATTCTCTGGTGGGCAGGACGCCACTGTTCGTGTTTGGGAAAGAGGGCGGGTCGATCCCAAAGCTACCCTCGACGGGCATACCGATGCTGTCTGGACAGTTTGTGTACTCCCCGCCACGTGCGCTTCCGTCTTTGGATCCGATTGTGGAAATTATGGTGGTCCAGATCGTGTTTTACTAGCATCTGGATCCGCGGACGGTACTATCAAGATATGGGCCGTAAGTGCGCCCCCGCAACTTGTGTCACCATCAGTGGGATCACGACGTGGTGTTGGTGGGAGCAGAAGACATTCGGTTACATCGGGATCAAACTACCCGTCTTCACCACAACCCAGCGTCGCTACCACCACTCCATTCCACTACATGCTCGTACACACCATCCATCGAGCCACCCATTCCTCACCCACTTGCATAAGCCCTCTTTCTCCTAATGGCGAGAGCTTTGTGGCTTCGTTTTCTGATGCTTCCATTCTCGTTTTTGACACAAGGACCGGCGAAGAATTGATAGGTATGGCGAGCGCTGAAACGTACGATGGAACGCCTGCCACTGGGGTGACATCTGTGATCACCACTTCTCAAAGTATCGAGGGAGCGACTTCGCAAGAATCTGGTCGGGGATCTGATGAGGAGGGTGCTGTCCATGGCCCAACGGGTTCAAACAGTGGAGGCGGTGTTGAAGGCGTTATCATTAGCGGTCATGAAGATCAGCTCATTCGATTCTACGACGCAAACTCCGGTATGTCCCTCGTTTTATTGCACCCATTTTCATCAAGTTACTCACGCTCGCACAGGTCAATGCACATATAGCATGCTCGCTCATCCGTCGGCCATATCTTCACTATCAATCAGCAAAGACGGCCGTGAAGCCGTCTCAGCTGGTCATGACGCCTCCATCCGATTCTGGTCTCTCGACAAACGTATATGTACACAGGAAATCACAGCGCACCGTATCATGCGTGGCGAAGGCGTCTGCAGCGTTGTTTGGAGTCAAGATGGCCGGTTGGTAGTATCTGCGGGCGGCGATGGCGTTGTCAAAGTCTTTGCACGATGAGTGTGGTTACTCCTTGCGTCTTTGGCTTCACTCCGCTGTATCTGAAGCCCAACCACCATCAAACTCCACACCGCGCGCTCACTTGGACGCACCACGGCAGGCGCGATACTTTTTGGAGCCATGCATTTCACCTACACTTTTCCGCTTTATACTTTACCCTTCTTGTATGATGCAACTTTCTGAAGATTATGTTACCTTATGCTTTCATCTGCGCATGAGGCCGTCTGGGCTGGCTATTTTCCGAAGGACAGAGCCATGAAAACATTCTGTTTTAATGCATAGTATAGTGGCGTTCAGCAACAAGATCGCATGTCTAGGTCTTCTTCACCTGGCAAACTTCCTGAGCGACAACGTTGATCTACCTACATTGCAATTGTACTATATCTATGATGGGATTGGGCTGAGGTCATGAGGATGAAGGAATGATCAGCTGGAGGCTGAGGAAGCAGTTTTTCCATTGGCACGAGTGCTTTTCGCGACCTTGGGACAAGATTTTGTCATAAGAAACCCCAACCTTTGCTGAATCGTCACGGATGTCTTATCACCCAAGTTCACTACTCGTCTCGTCTGTGATGTGGGGTTTGTGAGTCTGCGCTAAATGTTGTGAGTTTTACGCAATTCAATAAAGCGTGATAAAGTACGCTACTAAACGGCCCGCATGTCATGTTAGCACCGTCATTTAAGGTGGGTGCTTTCGATCGTCGGCGATCGGGTAAACTTAAATCACCGAACTTTCCGATAGATGTCATCGTGTTTCGCGCATCGCTGTTGAGAGCATTACCATAGGTGATTCCTCGATCGCGACAATTTTTTCAAAGCTCCCCTCCCCACGGAATACCCCGCCCAAAACTTCTGCTTATGCACCAGAAGCCTACAAACCCAGTCCTGTGTGACATGCCAATGAATTGCCGCAGATCCCTCTGTCCCCAAGTCTCGTCCACCGCCCTCCGCCCGCATTTCCAGCCTTAGAACCGCCCTTCAGAATCACACTCCGGCAACAACCTCACGAGGCTGTTCGCGACTGCGACTCTCTCTCTGCTCCTCTCTCTTTGCTATATTTTGCGCTGTTTGGCAACATTGTAAACACAATCACATCGCTGTTTGGCTAATTTACACCGCTATCAGCCTTGCAGGCGTGAATATAAAAACTGCGCAACAGCACACTTATACATAGCCACCTTGCCTTTGCGTGGTTACTTTGAGTCCTCTCGCACACCTATACCGATCGGAACTGTGCCAAGTTCTGGTATTCGCAGTCAGAACAATCCCCGCGGCTCCCGCCAATACACCGAAGGTTCCTGCCTGCCCAGAGAGCGATACACACGCACCTACATTCCGACTGGTCTCCTTCGCGAGCCAACTCACCTCCTTCGAAGCTGATTTACGGCGACACGTTCTTTTACTTTGATCGTACACCGCCAAAGCGACAATCATGTCAAGTCGCAAGAGGCGCGCCCCAGGCGCTTCACCAATCAGTCAGCAGAACACATATCAAGGCCCTGGACCGGTCGCGAGCGATCATTTCATGAATTGGAGTGACTCTAATACGGGTACCGGAAACATGTCTGGATTTGATCCTGCTCTCTACGAGGGTATGGATTTTGCTGGCAACATAAGCCAACCTCCAACACACAATCGCGTGGTGTCATTGGACGGCCTGGGCGGCAGCCCCGACATGAGCTCAAATCAACTAGTGCGACGGAACCCCAATCAACAACTAGCAGCACGGGGACAGACTGCTTGGGAAACCTTTAATCAAAACCAATCAGGTGCATGGGAGACTGCGGGCACAGACGACGACGAAGAGCTTGCACGCAAAGCTGAGGTAGCGAAGAAGGATGCACAAGCTAAAAGGAAGCAAATACCCCCATTTGTTCAGAAGCTGAGCAGGTAAGTTCGCAGTCGAGCCTCTTGGGGTCATGGGATTTTGCGTGCTAACACGAGATAGTTTCCTTGAGCATAATAAGAACACGAACCTGATATGTTGGTCTGACGACGGTAACTCGTTTGTTGTTCTGGATGAAGATGAATTCGCCAAAACTCTGATACCCGAACTCTTCAAGCACAACAACTATGCGTCCTTCGTACGGCAGCTGAACATGTATGGATTCCATAAAAAAGTTGGTCTGTCAGACAACTCCATGAAAGCGAGCGAGGCCAAGGCCAAGGCTCCAAGCGAATACTACAACAAGTACTTCAAACGCGGTCGACCGGAGCTACTATGGCTCATCCAAAAGCCTAAGAACGCCCCGGCCGGACCGAAGCGGAAGAGGGACGATGAGGCAAAACAAGGTGACAGCGACGATGATCGCAAATTTGTGCCTGATGGCGGAGGAGGCTTATTCGAAGATCTCGCTGTGAGAGCTAATCAAGACATGGCCATGATCCCGCGATCTGAGTACAACAGTCTTCGAGCGGAAGTCCGGACTTTGCAACAACAGCAAAAGGTCATCTCAAACGTGCTTGGTCAAATTCGAAGGCAGAACGACCAGTTGTACCAGCAAGCCACAGCTTTCCAAACATTGCATGATCGGCATGAGAACTCTATCAACGCCATCCTCACTTTCCTTGCCACGTTCTACAATCGCAGCCTGGAAGGTAACAGCAACGGAATCGATCTTTCTCAAATGTTTGGACCAGCTGTTCCTGCCCAGTCGCAGCACGGCAATGTGGTAGACGTCGGCGACTACACCGAGAAACCCATTGCCAAATCCCCACAAATGCCTAGGACGAAGCGTACGCTCCTCCTCCCAGCTCCAGCCCCTAGAGAGGATGAAGTAACTGGAATCCGAGCTACGACACTCAGCCCATCTGTCAAAGAATCTACAACAACCCCGATTCCTGAGACAACACCTCAGCCATCGGTGACTCCATCGGCTGCCCCCCAGCGTCGCCGTCCTACTCCTATGGCCAATTCTCATACCAACCGAGATGACACCCCTAGATTGCCACTCAAAGTCGACACTGATTCGCCGCCCCAGTCCACCATTCCCTTGCTTGAGAACGATGAAATCATGTCAGCAATACAAAATGTCAATGCCAGCACAGGGCAGTACAGTCGATCTCCACAAGTTGATTTACCGGCGGCGCTGAATAACTACCAAACGCAAGATGGTAACACACCCTTGACAGCACAACAGCGGAATGACGTTCTCTCTTTGATGGCCAACAATACGTCGGCTGCGTCACCCAACAGTGCCATTGCTACAAATACCAATAACGCGCTTGTGAATCCTCAACCCCCACCAATGCCAGATCTTAGTCATTTCGCCGCAACACAGTCTCAACTAGATATTCTGCAACACATGTCGGAACAACAGAATTCGCGAGTGCAAAGTCTACAAGAGCGGCTGCAACCCCTCAGTCCTAGCGGCCAGATACCCGGTCTAGAAGAAAACTCGTACTTCGGAAACGCTGTGCTTGGTGATCCCGGAACGTACGACTTGGACGCCGACCTTTTCACGCAAGGCGATGACTTCTTTCCTCCGGGCAATGTATCTGGCGATGCTTCCTTGCCTGATCTTGGTTACCAACTTGCTGATCCTGCTCCGGGTGTCGATTTGGGCAACGGCGATGTTGACTTCGATTTCGGTGATGCGAACCACCTCAGTGCCAACGTTACGGATAACCGCGTGGAGAGTGTGAGTTCCTCTGCCACCAGCCCAGCGGCCACAGTGGAAGAAGTGGAGGATGAGACTCGTATGAAGCGCAGCCCAAAGAGAAGGAAAGCGTGATGTATCGAAACACGCCCTTCTGATGCCTTTTGATAGGACAGTTGCTTTTCAGGAGCGCTTGTGGTTGTGAACCTCAGGGTTTCTTCTTGGTCTCGATTTATGAAGCTCTTCTCGGCGATGAATGTGGGGTAGCGTGGTTCACTTCAAAATTAAACGGAAAATCCCGTCTATCATGGTAATTTTGGGAGCGGGGGAGTTTTTAGGAGCACGTGATATTTCGGCGTAAGGAATACTTGGCTATAAAAGCATCAAGACAATGAGGTAATTTGCAGAGCGCATTTGGGACGGCAAAAGCTACAGGCGAACTGGTCGGTCTGTTACAATCTGTTGAGGGGGTCCATGGACGAATTGATGCGTCCTGTCCCTACTCCACATTTCCTTTTCTTTTGTGTTCATTTCCTTTTCTTTTGTGTTCATTTCCTTGGACAGTTGGAAAGGGGTTCTACTTCTTCCCCTTCTTTTTTTCCCCTTAAATACCTACCAACTGACGGGATTCTTCCATGACTTTTCTCCCACATACTTGTTCACGATGATGAGAAGAGAAACTTGGGAGAGAGAAATCATGAACAACGTAATGCGAATACCCTGATCCTTTTTTTCGGATATTTCGTTTGTAATTCTACCATTTCATACCCCTGCTCTGCTGTCTTGCTTGGGTGTTTTGCATAGGCTTGTGACTCTTGACGTGATATGTACACATACACGTAGACAAGTATCTACCCTGCTACGCCATCACTTCGCCCCGTCTGAAACCAAGTCTCTTTTTTTTTTCTTTTTTTCTTTCGGACATGTCTCTCGTAAACACGCTCGTACTTATGAACGACATGTTCGATGATGATGATGATGAGAAACGGAATGGGCTGTCACTCACTCGTCACAAACAAACGGTCCATCGAGAGTGTGTGATTATAAAATATATAGATTTTCACTCACTAAACGCACAGCTGCGCTAACAAGTGTCAGTTGCGGCAGATGACGGAGAGAAATAATGACTTCATATACAAACAAGGCGAAACAGCAATACACAGAATGATTTTCCTTTCTTTCGTTGCGAATTCATCAATTATCTTGTCAAAAATACTACGTTCGTGATAAGATTAGTAGGAGCACTGGTTTGTTTAGTGGACCGCGAAATCACCAAGACTTGGTACCATCATATATAGTGCCACACTCTACTTGCTGGCACGTCCATTGGTAGGTCTGGAAATGAATATTTTTGTTGCATTGTCTTTTCATATCTCCCTATTTCCCCCGCCTTTTCTCCATGGCACTGGTTACAGAAAGCAGGACCGTTCCATGCAACCCCTTTCCTATAATCAAACAGGTAGAGTTTTGAACACATAGCAGATAAAACAGAGAGAATAAGAGAAAGAGAGTGGGAAATATATGGAGGAAACAGAGGAAACAGCCGGATCTAGGGCCCCCAGAGAAGATGCAGCATATAGAAGCTCAGGCCTCTTGCGCGATTAGCAACAGGAGAACTTGAGAAAAGGGACGGGGTATGAAAAGTTTGATGTTTTTTTGTAGTGTTGTGGCCGCGTGAAAAGCGGACCCTCAATATAATAGTAACAATGGTGGCCCGGAGATGCAGAAGGGGGAAAGGAAAAGGGAAAGTTGGTAGTACATGATCGGATCAACAGTGGAACCCCCATTGATGGAAAGAAAGAAACATTTGGTCCCTTGGAATGATGACAAGAGTGCATACAGACTCTCAAACCTCCCCATCGGCGACGGCGAGACGTTGCTTGGCCGTCTTGGCCTTCTTGCTCATACCCTTCTTCCGTTTGGCGCTTGGAGCTTCAGGGACAGGTGTTGCTGTGCCGCTTGGTTTCGCACTCTCATCGAAATGTCCTTCGCCTGAGGGCCATCTGTTAGCTCTTTACTTCGGGGTGGACGGTTATCATGATTTCACTTACCTTCATGGTACATGTCATCCAAACTAGCCTCTACCTTCCTCTTCTTACCACGTTTCTTACTCGGTGGGGCATTCTTCTCGGCCTCGGCGAGCTCAGCTTCTTTCTTCTCAATTTCGGCCGCCTGCTCGTCGTCTGCGAGCCACATGGCAATGTCTTTGGTGCGGTTCTCACGGGACCGGGTGTTGAAGTCGACACCCGCGCCGGCGCCACCAGATATGACAACACGCTGCACCTCCTCCTTTTGCAAAGCTCGCTTGCGAATGCGCTCCTCGATAGTGCCACGGGTGATGAGTCGGTACACGGTAACCTGCCTAGTTTGGCCGAGACGATGGGCACGATCCATGGCCTGAGAATCAATGGTAGGATTCCAATCCGAGTCGTAGAAGATTACAGTATCGGCAGATGTCAAGTTGATTCCGAGACCACCAGCACGCGTGGAGAGCAAGAACACAAAGATGGATGGGTCATTCTGGAAGTCGGTAACGGTGTCGCGGCGGTCTTCGAGTTTTGTTGAACCATCCAAGCGGCAATACTTGTAATTGCGGTGAGTAAGGTATTCCTCCATCAAATCGATCATCCTCGTCATCTGGAAGTAGAGCAGGACACGGTGATTGTTCTGTTTGAGCTCCTTCAGAAGTGCGTCTAAGCGTGCCAGCTTGCCAGAATCTGTGACAAAGCGTTGCATCGAAGGTGCGGTAATATGTGTGTACCTGGCCTTCACGTTTGTTGGGGCAGGAAGCTTGTTGCGCACAGCAAGCGGACCGGCGGTGGCTAATACTGCTTGTTCATCCTTCTCAGAGGCACCGTACAATGCAACGCGCATTGGTACATTGAAGAAAGTTTTCTGATTTTCGGCAATCACACTTTGGCTGGAGCAATACAGTTCGACTGGTGGGGCAGAGGCAGCAGGTTTCGCACATCGCTCAATAGAATCCAGGCCTGTTGCCTCGAAGGCTACCTGAGACACATTGAGGAGATTTGCCATATAACCCTCCGTGGTGACCTCGGCTAGAGAAGCACGCTTTCGCTGCTCAAAGATGTTAAGCATTGAACGCTTTGGCGCGTACGTTCCGGCTTCGCCATCATATAGTGTGCTGAGTCGTGCCAGACGGTCAGGCTTGTTACCCATGTCGACAGCACGCTGGAACAGATCATTCCGGGCAATCCTTGAAGCCTCACTGGCCGATAGATCGGCTAGTCGGAGCCAAGAGAAAACGCCTGTCTGCTTGGAAGACTGGTGTACATGATCTGGGCTCCAAACGTTCATAAGATGATGTAGGTAATGCCCTGAAAAGCCGGCTCTAGGGTTTTCCGCTCCAGCTATGCCGAGGCGCCCACCGTCGCGACATATGAGCCGTGGAAGCCGGTACTCAATCAAGTTACGAGTAGAATAGCTCACATTTACCTCGCGACCCTCCCGCATGAAGGAGGCAGTCTCGGCAAAGGTGGTGAAAGAGAACGGGGAGTGCGTCTCAGCCCGCTCAAACAGATCCGGGTGATTACATACTTTTCGAAATTGCATGACGAGGTTCATCAACGTGGCGCTGTCTTGGTCGTCACCAACCGCCTTTTCGATGAGTTCCATGAAACTAATCTTGTTGCGGAGGCTGGTGTACAAAGCCCGCTGTCGGTAGGTAAGATCGCAGAACACATCCAGTTCAATCTTGTCACCAAGCTCCTTCTGCACGTGCTTCTTTACACGGCGCAACATGAAAGGCTTGAGGATCATGTGCAGACGTTTCAACTGATCTTCGTTGAGTTTGGTGTTACTCTGAGCGTGACTTTCGATATCCTTGGAAAACCAGTCACTGAACTCATCGTGCGAGTCGAACAAACTAGGCATGATGAAATGGAGCAAGGCCCATAGTTCTTGCATGTTATTTTGGATGGGCGTTCCGGTGAGCAACAGTCGATTACGCGAGTGGAATCCCAATAGACTCTTCCACCTAGAACTCTGCGAAGACTTGATGGCTTGAGCCTCATCGAGAATCATGTATTGCCAGCGTATCTTCTGGAAGTACTGCGCATCCTGCACAACCAGCTGATACGACGTGACCAGAACGTGAAAGGGTGAATCCTTGGTATACGTGACGTGCTTTCGATCCCAGAACTTCCGGAGAATTTTGCGGTCCTTTGCATTGCCCCAATATGGAAGTACCTTAAGATCCGGGACGAACTTGGCAATTTCTTGCTGCCAATTGTGTAGCGTAGATGCGGGAGCGATCACTAGAAAAGGGCCCCAGATGTCGTACTTCTCTACGAGATAAGCCATGACCGAGATGGACTGTACCGTCTTTCCTAGACCCATCTCGTCGGCCAAGATACCGTTGATACCTTGCTCGTAGAGATTGACCAGCCAATTGAGTCCCTTTAATTGGTATTCTTTCAAGGTGCAGCTGAGCAGCTTAGGTTGAGGGATGAAATCTTTAGCATCTTGAAGACCGGAGGGATTCTGGAAATTGAGCTCGCCTTCCTCTTCATTATCTCCGTCGGCATTGTTGAAAGCACGAGCTCGGTCCTGCGCTTCTTGTACAGCATGTTGAGCATTGGCCATAGCGGCAGCTCTGAGAGCACCCTCGTCCTCGTCATCGAAATCGAGGTCCTCAAAATTAGTGACCTTGGCACCGACTTGAGTAGGTCCGTCTGGCACATCGACGGAAGGCCCTGCGGGCCCTGGCGTGTCTGCGGCTGCAGTATCTTTGTCGTCTGTCGATCTCTCAATCTCATCCGTCCTGGCCTTCTTACCAATAAAGTGAGAGTAGAGTTCCGTTTGTGAGATAAGGAAATTGAGCTTGCGCTTTTGGCGATTTGCTTCTCGGTCTGCTTCAGCTTTCTTGGCGTTTTCAAGTTCTTGACGTTCCGCCATTTTACGTTGATCACGCTCGTCCCTTTCATTCCGCTTCCAGAAAGTCAGCATTTCTCGCATGCTCCTCTTGGCCCGGGCCTGAACATCTTTCATGCTTTTGTTTGTCCGCATCTGCCATCGTCGAGCCTCCTTGGATGCGAGCTGGGCAGTTTTCCGCAAGTTGGATTGCTTTGTAGAATAAGAGTTTTCTTTCAGACGAACAACCTTGGGGATGTCTTTCTTAGCCATATCCTTCCATATCTGGTTGTAAAGGTTCTGGTAGGCCTGCGAATTATAGGTGGTGAGGACAATTGGTGCCGCATCTTCGGTCTGGCTCCTGTCTCCCAATGCGCCGAGGCGAGCTTCTTCTCGGGGAGCAATGGGAGGCAGTTCATCACCTCGATCCAGTGCGGCCTGACCTGCGGCTGCTGCATCCTTCTCTGCTTGCTTTTGCTCCTTACTCTTTTTGAGTCGACCACCAGAGCGGGCATTTTTCTTCTTGCCGTTCAAAACTTCATCGGAGGCCTGGAAAGAACTCATAGTCCCACCTTCGAGGTTAGGCGCGTGCGGTGTGACCTCGCGGATATCTTTGCTGGGTGCGTTTCCTTGCAGCAATTGACTCGTGGTCTTCGCTTTGCGTTCCGCTTTCTGTGCTTCGCGAAGGTGCTTCTCCTTCTCCTCTTCATTCTCCGCTTGTCCAGCTTTCGCAAGCGCCTCAGCACGCTTCGCCTCTTCGTTCTGGATAGTTTTCTCTCTCCGTCGCTTGCGTTGCATATCCTTTTTGCGTTCTTTCTCCTCTGCAATCTCTTGATCTTGCACTTGTTGCCAAGCTGCCGGTTCGTTTTCGATGCTGAACGCATGTCTAGCCGAATCACGATGTGCAGCGACGATGTTGGCGTGCCGCGAGAGCACAGCGATGCGTCGTCGCTGGGAAGTGTTAGTACCAATACCAACGGTGGAAGAAGACGATCCTTCACTTGCCTTGCGTTTCGAACACTCCATCTCATTTACATCCAGCTCACGCTTGCGTCTGTGTGCCAGATATTCTTCCTTCTCACGCTCAAAGCCCGAATCGCCAATATCGTTCATTTCGCTGGTTTCAATGCGGGCCATTTCCGCCTGCACATCAGCTGCGTCGGGGACAGGCAACTCGCGGGAAGTCGGGTGGTATGACGGCGGTGCAGTTCCTGCAGCAGGCGAGGCACCGTATGCGCCATGGGTAGTTGCAGAGGTGTTCGAAGTAGGCCGCTCGGCCGGGGAAGGCGAAGGTGGCGCGACTTCCTGCTTGATGAGCAGGGGGTTGTTCAGCGTCTTTGACGATACGAGCGGTTCAGGGTTGATGGAGGGAAGTGGTGGAGGTCGGGCAGGAGGATCAGTATCTGCGCCACTATCCATGATGCTAGACAGCGACATGGGATCTCTTTTCGGGGGAGGAGGTGGAACCTGTCAAACGTCAGCCATTGATGTGCCATCTGGATGATGGCAAGAATATTACGAACCTCCTCTTTGGTGGACAGCCTGCGCTCGTAGTGGGGTGGTGGTGGTGGTGGTGGCTGCACGGCACCTCGATTCATCGGCTGATAGACAGACGGCGAGACAGGCGAGTGAGACATTGGTTCCATGGTGGCAGAGGTGCGGCCGTGTGACGGCGGACGTTGGAGGGGGGATTGATGATGGTGAGGAGGAAAGCTGCTCGCAATAGGCGAGCGGTACTGGCTGTTGTACGGGCTTTCGGGTGGGCGAGGAGGATCTGGGTGTGTATGGGTGTCGCGCGTCTGATGGGAGGTGTTAGTTCCAGACCCCTTGTAGGGTGAATGACAAGAAAGAGATGGGATTCACGCCAGTTCGCGTTGGTGATGGGGAGATGGCAATGGGAGACGGGGAGGCATACTTGTGATGATGGATAGCGGGCGTCAGGACGCGCGGTGGCTACAAGGTGGTTGCCATGATCTTGGGTGGGATCGTAGTATTTGTTAGCACTGGTGTCGCGGTTGTAGAGTGCGGCGCCGATCGGAGGGAGCTCGGTGGAGCGCGGTGAAGATGGGTTGCGATGGTGGTGTGGGGAATAATTGGGGTGGGAGAGAGGCAATGGGGTGGTGGTGGTGGTGGTGGACTGTCGAAAGGGCGTTTGCGGGTAAGATTCATTTTCCCCTGTTGGCTTGGTCGAGTGTTCGTCCTGTTCCATGGAGGGCCGCCGGAGCACGGGGTCGCGCAACATGGAGTAGTCGCGGACGAGATGGAATGGGGCGGGAAGGGCAAGGAGACGGGAGCACGATGGATCTAAGGGGTTTCCATGGACGGGATATTATATAGACTTTGGCAGCACGCAGGCTCCTACGGGTGCAGCAAGCTGGCCGCGAAAACGGTGCAGCTGCGAGGTGGGCGGAGGTTGGAGTGTGGACGCGCAGCACCGTGGATGGTCGATGGTTGGCTGGCGGGCGGGCGGTTGAGGTGGGTGGATGGGCGATGGGGAGGGAGAGGGAGAGAAAGGGTGGGGAGAGAGAGGGCGAAGGCGAGTGAGGGCATGTGTACATGTATCGTCAGGCAGGCCTCGATGGAGCTGCCGGTCGCGCTCTTGGACAAAGCAGATGGACTAGACTCACACATCCCATCCAACTGTTGCAGCCGTATACAGACATGTCCCTACCCTACACATGGATGCTCACGGCTGCAGGGGAGGCAGGCCACCCCGTGCAGACATGGCCGTACTGTCTATTCCATTCAAGATACTGCCATCCGTCGATTGATTGTGGTATTATTGCCTTGTGCATCTCGCATTGCGCTGTTTCCTTTGCCTTGAATCATGCTTGCGCAGTGTGTCGCCTCGTCGCAGGCAGGCAATGCGTGCCGGCTTTTCCCAAAGTTCGCGAGACGATCCCCAAAACTCGGCTAGCAGCTAACAAGCCAACATTGAAAGAGCCCCAACCAACTTGACCCTGCAAGTGCAGCCAGGCGTTCGAGGCTCCCGGATCATGCTCCCACCAAGTTCTGTTGTACCTATATCCAGTGGCCGCATTGATCCATTTCCCTCGGCAACGCACCACCATCTCTCAGCTGGCAGCCAACAGGTAGCCAACACGGAAAAGTCCGACTGATTGGCCCATGGATGGTGGAAGAGCGTGAGCAAGGTGACGAAGCCAGGCGCGCCCCCCAGCTGCCAAGCCCCAAGCGAGCCCCGACCAGCATCCCCGGTATAGCCTGCTAGTCTGCTGTCTGTGCACTAAAACTTCTCGATCAACTTTTCTGTACGCCGACCGCTTGGATATACCTCTCGAGACAGCCCAAACCGCTTACCACCTCACCTCCTCCGCAGCCCCAAGAATTCCTCCATATGGCTTCTGTATACAAGTCGCTGTCGGCGACCAACGGCCATGACGAAAAGGAGCGTGCCGAGCGCAAAAACAAGCAGCGCGTGCTCATTCTGGTGCGCCTCTCCCTCCATTCCCTTGGAATTCCCTGCATGTGCTAACCGGTGACTGACAGAGCTCGCGCGGCGTGACAATGAGGCATAGGCATCTTTTGCAGGACCTGTACTCCATGATGTGAGTTCCTCCGAACACCTTTCCATCCCAACTCGCCCAATTAACCCAATACCAGGCCCCACAGCAGAAAGGAAGCCAAGCTGGACACCAAGACCAAACTCTACCAACTCAACGAGCTTGCCGAGCTCTACAACTGCAATAATGTTCTCTTCTTCGAGGCCAGGAAAGGCAAGGATTTGTACGCATGGATGAGCAAAGCACCCAACGGCCCTACTGTCAAGATGCATCTTCAGAACTGTGAGTTTTCTTTTCTGTCTCTCTAGCTTTATTTCCTGACGGTTTGCATGTAGTGCACACAATGGAGGAGCTCAACTTCATCGGAAATTGCTTGAAGGGCTCCCGACCCGTCCTTTCGTTCGATGCCGCATTCGAGAAAGAAGCACACCTTCGAGTTATCAAAGAATTGCTGACTCACATTTTTGGGGTTCCCAAGACATCGCGCAGGGTTAAGCCGTTTGTTGATCATGTCATGGCCTTCACCATCGCCGACGGCAAGATTTGGACTCGTGTCTACCAAATCAACGAGTCGGAGCCTGGGAAGAAGAAGCCCACAGCAGATGGAGAGGAAATGGATGTGGATCCTGCGCCAAAGAAAAAGGGTGGAAAACCTGATCTAGATGTCAATCTCGTGGAGATTGGGCCACGTTTCGTTCTCACCCCCATCGTCATCCAAGAATCGAGTTTCGGCGGACCTATCATCTACGAGAACAAGGAGTTCGTTTCGCCGAACCAAATAAGATCGGATCTGAGGAGAGCCAAGGGCAGCAAATACAACAGGCGTACCGAAGCGATCAGGGAGAACAAGATCAAGCGCGGGGATCTAGGCCTCACAACACATGGCGGTCGGACGAAGGAAAAGGATCCGTTGAGCGACTCGGTGTTGTTTGCTTAGTCGGTGATTTCGCACCAGCAAAAAAAGGCGTTTGGAGTCATGGTGTACTACTTCCCGGCTGCATGGCGGTTTTTCAGCGCGTCCTCTGGATGTATCAAGGGTCAAGCAAGGCTCGTATTGTGCCATTGATCTATGAGAAAATGCCATCGACGAAATTGTGGTACTATTTTACCCATCAATTCTTTTCGAAGTCGTCATCTTGTGCTCCAGGTTCTCTGCATATGCCTGGCTGACACCCGTCACTATCGCTTTTCTGACACCACAGAGCCGTCTACAAGGCTCCAAAACTGTTTGCGAGTTGATGTAATTCTGCTCGTCCTGTACTCGATGGACGCGCCCACTCGGAAATTTCACTCGGCTGATGGCGCCATCAATCAAGTGCACATGCAAACGGTGCAAGTATGGAACCGCGCTCAACAAATCCACCAGCTCTTGTACCTGGTTGCGAATGCCGACCGTTAGCCCGCGGCCACCGCAGTTGTATTTGGTCATGCCAGTGTAATCATCCACGTGCTCTACGTTTATGATATAGTTCTTTATGCGTAGCAGGTTTCTCTGTGAGAAGTGGTCTAGAAAGGCATAGGAACGGGAAGGAATGAGGTTGTTCGCTGTTCGCCAGCGCTGCTGGAATTTGATAGTGTCGAATGCAACATCCACAACAAAAATATTGTCCCCATAGATCACGTCAACGGCTTCCTCGTGGATTTGGTGGTTCGTGGCTAAGATGGCGGTGCACCCCCGTTTCCATATAACATCATTGCCCACGCTGGTGCGAGGGTGTGTCTTTTGCATCTTCCATACTCCTTTCTCTACCGTTTCGCGGATGTAGGTCAGATTGAATTCGCTGCGCTCGGGTTCCCCGCGTTGGAAGCTGGGGGCTAGTGTGGACGTATATGGCAGAAGGTAGCTGTAAATTCGAAGTCGAAGCTCGACTGGGAGCTGGAGGAATGGTGGTACAGCAATTGTTGAAGAGCTCCAGTTGTCCATTATGCTGGCAATGTGTGACCACCTGTTGATGGTGTTTTATTGAGCATGACGATGTCCTTATGTTCAAAGCGGGTGGAGCTGGCCGCGGGATGGCCCCATACTACGGCGGGCTTGGCGTAACCTTCCCCATATATGGCTCATTGCTCCATGACTCCTTTCTTCACCCATCTCAGCCATGACTTTCCATAACGTCCCCAGTCCTTCTGGGCTGGCGATTTCACCTCGCGACTCTATCAACTATGCCTTTGCCTCATTTTATAGCCCCAACGGAGGGGTCCGTATTATTTAAACCCTTCCTCCCTACTCGACACGAACCCCATAGCAATCAGTCAATAAGACTCTCTGGCCTCGTGTCGTTCCCTTTCATCATATACCAATTTGCACGAAAACAAAGCTACATCAACTCGGATTCTTCTAGAGAGTGTATAGGGGATAGGAAGAGCATTCAATTTCTACCTGGTTCCCGAGTGTATATCTCTCATCCACCGCCATCATGTTGTTCGAAGACCTTGCGACCGAGCTGATTTCTCACATCTACCTCTCCTGTACTTCAGTCACTGATGTCCTCACCCTATCATCTACCTGCCGCCGCTTCCGTCGTATCTACTCTTCGTCCCAAAAGCTCAGCATCCTTGAAAACGCCGCCGAAGCCCAGTTCGGTCCACTCGAAGACGTCACTCAACTCCTGACACACAATGCCAGTCAGCCAGCGCATATCTTTCGCCATGTCCCCTTTTCTATTGCTCTACTCAAGCAGATTGTCCGCGCTGGACGTACTGCTGAGAAATGGTGCCACATGTACCCATTCAAGAAATGGAAATACAATTACGAGCAGAGACGGCTCATCACGAGCGAGGAACAGTATCGAATGCGACGAGCTATCTACCGGCTTTGGCTCTACTCGCGCGCGTTCCATACTCGTGAGTACCCCCGCGAGATCCGCGCGTCGAAGCTAGTAGTACAAAAGCGTGCTGGCTTGCTTCACAATTGGAGTACATCAGAGCTCGCCGAAATCGCCGACGTCCATAATGTACTTCGCGAAGTGGTGCATAGCAATATCTGCCCATCTAACGGAACTATTGCGCGCAAATTCAAGAAACGCTACCCAGACAATGAGCACTCCTTGCTGTTCAATATCCATCTGAACTACCCCCCAGCATGCCAATCGCCGCCAGTATACAATCCTTTTACGGCCCACTACCATACCAATTCCAACTCGCTTTCGTCTCATTTTCACAGTACCCAGACTTACAATACGCGCAATGCCGCCTCCAAGTACAACCTTCACCCTAACCACGAGGTAGGTGCAGAAGGGTGGGGCGATGACATCCCACACTACTACGTAGTAGAGGACATGTTGAAGCTTGATCCGGAACAGATTATGTGGCTCAAGGAAAACGCACCACTCAAGGGCATGGTGGAAGGGTACGTTCGCGGTTTGGGAGACTGGTTTGAGAACAACGGAGAAACATGGGGGCAGACGCTTGAATGGGTCCTGGTTGAACGGGGCGAGGACATTTCGGAGTTCATGAGCGCGCTTGCGGCGGGAGATGTGGGGATCGCTGTATAATGGCTGTGTATGTGCAAGGGGTAGAAACTCGCTATGGTCTTGGAGTTGAAATGTCGATAGCTAGGTATGAATAGAATGATCTTGGACAAAAGTGGTTGCAGTACCAAGTGACAGCCACAGCTTGTTTGGCGAAGGCAACATTTGAAAGTATGTTGGTGGCATTGAAACAGGGCCTGTCGCGAAATCCAGCCACACCCAGGGAAACATGTTGATCACTTGCTTACAAGCGAATATCAATCATATTGCGATGAAAACATACAAAAAGAAGTGGACATTCAAACACAGTCTCATCGCATACGGCAACGATCTACTCGCCTCTCTCACGTCTCTGTTTCATCACCCAGAGAATCACAAAGTAAGCACAAGCTGAGATGGATCAGGAGTCCTCTCTTGAGTCCTCTCCACAGGATCTATTTGACCATTCTCCTCTTTTCGTTCCGTTGGGTGGCACGGTGTAGAGTGCCCCGAGATGCCCGAGGCCCCTTACAATTTAAGGATACGGCGGGCGCGGGTTTTGGGTGGCTTAGCTGGCTAGCTGAGGGTTTGGCGTGCGACGGAACCAGTGGGAAACATGTCAGCATGTCATTTAGCTTCAAGTAGCATGTGCGTGCGAGTGGTTCAGGACTAGTTCTGGTCACTGGTGAAGTGAAGACTGTGGTGTTGAGATGCAGGCTGTGAATTGGGTTGGGGAAGCACTATGCATGCATCCATGTTTGAATGCATTGATACTGCAACAGACATTTCAGTGAATGTATACGTGAATATTGGCCATCTCAGTAAGAAGCTTAGCAAGCACAGTATGTCTTTTTGATCTTGCATGGGGGTCCTAGTTGCGCAGTCAGGCCGTCGGGCACTTCCCTTACTGTGCTGTCAGAGTGAATGCTCACCAAGTGCAGCAGCGGAAGTGTACGACACCTAGGGACTATCGCTAAGTCACTGTAAGTAAGCATTCATGTAGGGCCCCCAAGAATAGCGACGGAATTTTAGTTCCTTCGCGCCGGGTTGCCATATCCAAAGCCGTGCCTTGCTGGCCTACCTGTCGCCTAACCCAATAGGTATGTATCAGAAACATTCCTTTGCCCTGGGTTCCCACTCTATTGCTGTATCATAAGCAATCTCCATGCATTAAGAATGGGGACTTCGGATAGTCGACAGGAGGGTTTAGTGTGGTGAATATACGGCTAGTCGGCTTATGGGCTTGGCTCCCGTGAGCTGGAAGCGCCACCCTTTCTTTTCCACCTCGACTCTCGTCAACCCCAACCTTTTGCTGATACATACATTCTGTGAGACCTCAGTAACGCCCTGGCTCGTGCCCCCTTTCACGCCGCTACGCTCAGCCCTTCTCGCCCTTCCCTCTAGCCTTCCTTCTTGGTTATTTAGCATGGTCGCATAGCCCGTGTATTTCCTCATTCCCGCAGTCATCCACCCGCTCGCTCGCTAGTCCACCCTTTTGCTCCACGCTTGATTGTCATAGACAGTCCCCGCTACTCCGATGGGTACGTTGTTGAGTTCCCCTCTGCCGCTCGCGCCTGGGAGGTTATCGCGTCGCCTAACCCGCATGTAAACAGCAGCAGAGAAGCGCCCTTCCACCGACGGCCTCGTCGACAACATCGATGGCCCCCGAGAATCCACCGAGCTCGATGAGCTGCCCAAGTACGAGACACCGGCTGAGGAGCCTGCGCCGATAACACTCAAAGAAAAAATCATCACTTGCTTATGCGTCGCCCTCAATACCTTCTCTACCCTGGGCCTCATCTTTTTCACCAAACTGTATGGGACATCCCTGCCATCGCGCAAACACCATCCAAACAAAGGAGCAGGGAATCGCTAACAACAGGACAGTGTACTCAGCGATGCGCAACTTGCATCGTGCCAAATCATGGTTGTCATGTGGCACTTTATAACTACTGCTGTCGTCCTTTTCATCGCCTCAAGGGCACCTTTCCGCCTCTTCAAACCCGTCCGCCTGAATCCCTGGCACATGGTTCCCGTATGCGCCTTCTTCGCCGGCTACGTGATTCTCGGCAATCTCAGTTTGACCTACAACGACATCAGCTTCTACCAACTTGCCAAGGTCATGACTACACCTACCGTTGTCTTGATCAACTTTGTACTCTTCCGAAAGACGGTAACCAGATGGATGCTTGCCGCCATCCTGACAACATGCGCAGGCGTATCGTTGACCATGGTCAAAGCCGTAGACAAGGAAGACAAGACACGACTACTCGGAGTCATCATTGCAGTACTCGCATTCTGCTCGACCGCCTTATATCAGATCTGGATTGGCAAGAAGATTGAGGATTTTGGTGTTAGCGGCCCCCAACTGCTCCTGAACCAGGCACCCATCGCTGTTGTCATGCTCATCCCCTTCGTACCATTCCTGGACACAATACCAGATATCAGCACCATCCCCACCAAAAACCTATGGGCCGTGCTCGGATCCGGCATCATGGCCTCCATGGTCAATCTTTCGCAGTTCCTCATTATTGGCCGAACCTCAGCTCTGACGTTCAACATTGTCAGCCATATCAAGACGATATTGATCTTGTCGATTGGATGGTACAGCGAGAAGAAGATTTTGACCGGGAAAGAGTGGCTGGGCGTCTTGCTGGCGCTCGGCGGTGCGTGGGTATACTCGCATCTGGCCATGAAGGCGAAACAGCAGAAATAATATGGGCAAGGCGGTACGAGTACGACGAATACGAGTTCTTTTTTATTTCGACACTGTTGTTTTCCTCGATGAAGCATTGGTCGGACCCTTTTCATTACCCCTTTTCTCGTTTTGTCATCTGATTTGTCTTTGTTTGGTCTTCGTTCTAAGCCTTTGATTCCCCGTACGTGCGTACTTGAAAGGATACGGAAGACGTGATGGGTGCGGAAAGGAAACAGCATTGGACCTTTCCCTCTCCTCTTTGCTGAACTACTATATCACTATTGCATAATCCTTGGGTGTTTTTCTCTTTTCTAATCCCCCAGACGCGTATTGCTTACCTCTTGTGCTTTTTCTCGTTGTTCATTAATTCTTGTGATATCAAGTCTTGTCTCTCCACCCAAGATCTCTAACTTGTAATTTGTTAGACGCAGATTTCCTATACTCCATTCGGGCACTACCCCCATCCAAACTTAAGCAAGAGTGGAGGGACTAGAAGGAGAGGAGCAAGTCAAGAGATGTGTCATCGTAATCTCTCTTTGGCATTCTTCTCCTCCCTTATGACACCATGTCATATGGGCTCAACATTTGGAATCGACAATAGCGAGGTACATGTAGCGTTAGCTTAGTATATATATAATTTATCTGTATAATGCATCCATCAGACCGTCCGAAAAAAAAATCTTTCCGATGTTTGACAATTCTATCCAAGTCCTGGGGATACTTGAGAGGTTATATATACATGTACTTCAGCAGACTCGCTGCTCGTCACCTCCTCTCGAGTATACATCTAGCTTCAATACAACTACCAGTATGCCTTGGCCTTTTGCATACTTGTACGTATATGCAGGTAGGTCAAGTTGAGGTTAGGTCTGGTCATGTTAGGTTGACCGGTATATAAGGCGTGCACTGCCTCGAAACCGTATCCACGCACGTCACACTCCATGAACATACGGATTTAGATAGGCGAGCAACCGAAAACACGGTTGATTTTACCTACCGGTTGGTTCGGGTTGGTTTCGTCATTTACTCATGCAGGCAGGTAGATAAGTAAATGTCCGGTTTCTTGAGTAAGGCATCCCATCAGCACCGCCTACTTGCTACTTGCTTGGTTGTCTCCCTTGAAACGGGGGTGGGGTAATGAGCGGAGGCTAGATTAGAGCAACTTACATATTTTGTACAGTATGCTTATAATCCAAGAGTCCTCGGTGGTTGGTGGTATCTGGTGGACGGGAGCAGTTGAAGATGTGTACAACAGTAGGAGCATCTAGGTATCAACAACCACATCTTGAAATTTGTCAGCTCCAAAGTAGACATATAGGATTGTATTTCCTCTTTCTCGAATCCAAGTTTTCTTTATTGACAGGTAACATCATACGAGGTCGGTCACGCGTGTCCTCGGCCACAGAAGCCAACATCACTTGGCAAAAACACAATTCCCTCACGAAAACAGAAAAACATGTACAGATCAGCGAATATGGAAGCTCAACAAGCTAGCACTGCATGATTGTACTACTCACCGGTTGGTAGTCTGCTCTACTCAACTTACTCAGCCTTGCCTCACCGGGGGAAACTTGTAGTTCGGCTGTCGCCTTATTCCAGCTTGGCTTCTCTCCTCCCACTATTTATGACGCCTGCTGATCATATCCGATCGGGCATACCTGCCCAATAGAAAACATGTATTCTCGATGAATATATACACACCCAATCAAACGAGTCGATTGCTCGCGTCCACCGATTCAATGCTTGACATACCACATGCACGACTACGGCGCGAAAGTGGCTTAGCGCACCCCCCAGCCACGCTTCCGTCCCATCTCTCGCTCTCTTTCGCCACCTTGTCATCCTCTCAGATGCAGCACCTCGTAGCGTGATGTACGAATGCGGAAAAAAGAGAACACGAGGCGGACTTGCAAGCGTGGTTTTCATCTTTTCCAGCTACCGATCGACGAAGCGATGTTATCCGGGTTTGAAGGGCTCGAGTGTTGTTGGCGATGATGGCAGTGGCGGCTGAGCTTACCAGAATACGAGGATGTCGACACATGGGCTTCGACCAGTGGGGAAATAGTCTGGTAGCTAATGGGTTGATATCTGATGAGGAGTAGGAAAGTATATAGATGACCATCTCTCACACACACACACACACACACACACACACATTCAATCCTACAGAGTTTTTTTATTTATTTGCTCATCCGACAAACCTCACACTTCTTCCGCAACTCGAGTCCACGACTACTTCATCCTCCTTCTTTGTTGTACAGTACATACGTATACGGGAAGAAGCACTCAAGCTGTCGCCGTACGCACTCCTTTCAACGCCTATTTTATAGATCCGCTACGGACTGGCGGCACCTCGTCACAACGAAGACGAAGAATCCGCAAGCAGCAGTGGCAGTAGCAATATCAGCGGTGAAAGCGCAAGCACACGAATCGCACCTACTCCACTAGCGAACCCAACAACACCAAAATCAACTCAAAAGCCTTCCGAGGTACATGATCTAACAAGTCCTCGAATCCAACAACAAGAACAACAACAGCAACAAGTCCAACCACAGCCACAGCCACCATCAAACCGTGCTGCTTTCTCGTCCCGAGCGTTCAGACATTATAAACCCCGGGAAGAAACGAAACAACCCACACAACAAAAACTTGTTGCAAATAAGCCAACTTAAACAGAGAATCAGCAAAGGGGAATTGGGTTGGAACAATATGGGCTGTACATCATCCAAACACCAACAACCGGTAGACTACTACCAGCAACCCGCTCGCATGACGAAGAAGCAGAAAAAGCGGTACGGCGGAGGGGGAGGGGGAGGGTACTCGGCTGGATACACGGGAGGGTACTTTGGTGGAGGATATGGAGGTGATGGAGGAGGAGGCGGCGGCGGTGGTGGTGACGGGGGTGGAGGTGGAGGTGGAGGATGCTAAGTGTCTGGGAAAAAGGAGTGGATGTTTTGCATTGGTTGGGTTGGGTTGGTCGGTTATCCTGGTTTCTTCACATTTGCTCTTGGATTCCTTTTTGGTAGCGCGTGGTCCATGTTATATATCCATCCGTTCTTAGTGTACAAATTACTACGTTGTCATGCCAAACATACGAAACCGAACATAGGATAAAGAACGGTTGATCACAGTGCTTGTTTGTCTGCTCAAGCTCAAATCATGCATTTATATTCCAACCAGACTTGGCTATGATACCGACAACCATTGCCCATCAGTTTACCGCTGTCGCAAGGGTGGCCCTGTTTTTGATGTAGTCCTTCCGATACGGGTTGTCATCTGTCTCGCTCCCCCGGTTCAACGGCGTCCATTTCGGGTCTTCCTTGAATAGCCTCATGGCCTTGGTGTACTGACCCAACACATTAGCAAATGCTTCTTTCCACTGGATATAATCGCTCCTTACGTTTGCCTCATCCGTTGTAAACCGGTGGTATATACCCGCCGGCATGATCATCAAATCATGCTTCTCGAGCTTGATCCTCACCCAATCATCGTCCTCGCTCCGAACATCGAAGTAGCCTCCCCCATCCAAAATATACCGAATCTCCTCGTCCTCGTGTAGGTGCTCGTGGAAAAAGTTCTTCACCTTCTCCTCGTACGCATCGCCCATGGTGGTGGGGGATATTGTGACCTCATCGCGGTTTTTGTACGAGCGCGACGAGGCGAGGGCATTCACATCCTCGATATCGGGGTAGTTGAAGTGCAGGATACCGAGCTTGGAGAGATATTCGTCGGTTACGGGACGGTCGGAGTCGTGGGGGAGACGCTGGTCGCCCTACACTGGTGCGTCAGTGCGCGCATTGCGGGAGATGCGGAGGTCGGCGGTGGTATGTACTGGGAGATTGTCGAACCAATATGCCTTCATGATGCTTTGATTTTTCTTCTGGCCCTTCTCTTTTTCCTGTTCTGGATTTTCTTTTGGAGGGGAAATAGTGGGGGTTAATTGAAGCTGGTAGTTGGGCCGCAAAATATATTTATGGCGATGGGAAACCATCGAATGGCGTCATGGCGATTACTCAGCTTCGTGGGGTAGGCATTCAACTGTCAACGCAATCAACAGCATTGAACGATATTCGAGGAAACCCTGGTTCGTGTGCCACAGCATCGAGTAGCATGCTAATTCATATATATCTATTAGTTCCTGGGTCAAATGCTAAATTGAATCAAGCTTCTGACGATCATTTTTTGGGGTTTCTGGGTATCATTCAATGCTCTGTGTCGAATATTGCATACATGTATGCAACCAATTTTAATCCCAATCATCGTCATCTTCGTCCGCTCGCGCCATCTCCTTTCTCCTCCTAGCCATCTGTCTCTCGTCCTCGTCTTCGTTGACCTTCTCTCTTGCAAGAACACCAACACGGATCAACCTGGCCTCCAAATCACGGGTCGTGAAATTGTCGAGTGTTCGACCCAATCCCTCAAAGCCAATGATACGCTCCGCACTAACACCGTCGATGAAAGCAATCACACAGGGCAGTACTTGGATTTTTAGTCTGGTGACCAGAAAAGGGCAGTTGTCCACATTGATTTTGAGAAGACGAGCTTCGTAGTGAGCGGGAGCTAGTGCCTACACAGTCCAAAAAAAATCAGCATTCGAAATTCACATCAAAGAAACATAACTATGCAAGAGAGTGTTGCGGCTGACCTCGAGGTGCTCGTCCATGATTCTGCAGCGGTTGAAGTCCGGTTTGAAAAAGTGCACGACGCAGAGCTTGGTGGAGGTGGTGATGTCCATGAGGGCCTTTTCGTCTTTGATCTCGGTGTAGGTTCCATGCTCTTGCGCACGCAGCCTCTTGGCCTTGTCGAACTCTGCGTGAAGCTGCTGCAGTCTCTGTTCGCGGAAAGCATCGAGGCTGTCGTCGTTTTCTAGCTCCGCAATAAGGGCATCTTCGTCTGATTCATCATCGCGGGTAGCATCGACAAGGGCAGCTACTTTTGAATCGAGCTTAGGCATGCTGAGGTGGTGTAGGCGGTGATGCTAGTCGGGTTGGACAGCAGCATGCAGAAAGTATAAAGTTGTAGCTCCCGACGTGGTTGCGTTCCTCACGTACACGCAGATATCAGCGTTTGAATGCCACTGCAGCTATCCTGAGCGGTCCTGAGAGAGAGAAAAACTGGAGATTATTCAATTAATTGATCAGAGCCATAAGCGAGGTGGCATATGGCATAGGACATGGCTTGAAGCAGTTCAAGCTGAAAGAGCGACTATTGGGACATGGTTGGTCAGGGCTATTATTGGAACAAAAAAAAGTGAATACTCGGTGCTAAGTCAGCACTGGCCCCGAAATTGGCTTGATCTCACGCGGGCCAGGGGAAGCTTGGCGTCGAAAAAAAGATTCGCGTCTCGTTGGGAAGCCATGACAGGAGAAAAGGCAGCGCTAAACCCAATACAATCTCCGCCTTGCATTCCATCCAGACATCAACTCCTAGTCCACTCCCTTTTCCCTGCCTGACTACTCACTTGCTGCGTACTCGCATTACACTCCACCGTGTCCTGTGCACCTCGACCTCGTCTCCCACCACACTTTTTTGTTTTTTTCCTAACGTTAATTTTCTCCGTCTCCCACCTTCGCTTCTCTCCTGACGCAACGCCGCGCCTCTCCTCCTATTCTTCTCCCGACTGAATTGCCAACCATGGCTGACGGCAAGAAGAGCGACGACTACAAGGTCGACATCCCCGCCCGCGCAGAGTATCGCATCCCCTCGCCCGCTGTGCGACCCTCCCAGCGATCCTCGTCCTCCACCCCGTCCGTCACCGATAACCCGACCGTCTCCATCTTCGCCTATTGCTTCTCCTCCATCTTGATGACCGTTACCAACAAATATGTGCTCTCCGGTGTCGACTTCAACCTCAACTTTTTCCTCTTGGCTGTTCAGGTGCGTCCACCATATATCTTTGAGGTCTAGAGGGAAACAAAAGACTGACAAAGCTCCAGGCCATTGTTTGTGTTACTGCCATCTCTGTTTGCAAAAGCGCCGGTCTTATAACATATCGGGACTTCAACGTCGACGAGGCCAAGAAATGTACGTCTACTCCACCATGGGAGTGAAATTCGGCGCTGACAATGTTAGGGTTCCCAATCTCTCTCCTCCTCATTGGCATGATTTACACGGGTACCTGGGCTCTGAAGTTCCTTTCCATCCCCGTTTACACCATCTTCAAGAACTTGACCATCATTCTCATCGCATATGGAGAGGTGCTTTGGTTCGGCAGCACCGTCACCCCATTGACTCTCTTCTCTTTCGGATTGATGGTCTTCAGCTCCATCATCGCTGCCTGGGCTGACATCCAGCACGCCATGTCCAGCATGGGCGATAAGGCCACCGGTGCCAACGACGCCATCTCTACCTTGAATGCTGGATACCTCTGGATGGGTTTCAATTGCTTGTGCTCCGCTACCTATTTGTTGACCATGAGGAAGCGCATAAAGCTCACCAACTTCAAGGATTACGACAGTAAGTTTGCGAGTCACTACGGTTTTATTTGCATAGCATTGCTGACCTGATTTTCTAGCCATGTACTACAACAACTTGCTCACCATTCCCGTCCTTCTCGTCGCCTCGGTCCTCCTTGAGGATTGGTCGCCTGCCAACCTTGCTAGGTGCTTCCCTGCCGATAAGCGCAACAATGTCATCGCCGCCATGCTTATCTCCGGTGTTTCCACCGTCTTCATCTCGTACACTTCCGCATGGTGTGTCCGTGTTACCTCTTCCACAACATACTCCATGGTTGGTGCTCTCAACAAGCTTCCTCTTGCCATCAGTGGACTGGTCTTCTTCCACGCACCTGCTACATTCGGCAGCATCTCGGCCATCTTCATCGGTTTTGTCAGTGGAATCGTATATGCTATTGCCAAGGTCCGACAATCCAGCAAGCCTAAGGATACTCTTCCTACCACCAACGTCCCCCTCAACCCCCTTAGCGCAAGCAGCCAAAGCATGCGCGACGGTTTCAAGTCGTGAAGAAGAGTACTCCTGAGCTTAGATCCCTTTTCTCAACATTGTGTGGGTGTGCCGTCAATTGACAATCTTCGTATTTCACTTTGGCGGATTGCATCTGTTAGGTGACCTTATTTCGCTTCTTTCCGACTTGAAAACTTTTCCATTTGTTTTTTAGTCTTGCCTTTTTCATGTACCTTTTAACACATTTCACCTATATGACATCTCTAGAAGGTTTGGCGTTTGAGCCCGGGTCGAACGGGTCGAAGGTGTAGACAATTCTGTACGAATTATCTGGAGTCACGGGATCATCATTGACATTTGAAAATACCATAGCTAATCGAGTTATCCTCGTCACCTTAATGTCTACTTGAATCTGGTCAACAGTGAGCAATCGAGGACACAAAATGTGATGCGCCACAGATTTGGTCTCAATAAAGAGCACAAAGACGGCGTTCATTGGCCAATTAACCCATGCGTTCAGCCAAATTAAATCAGTCTTATTGTCTGAACTCTTTATTGCGGTTCCAAAATCCCATTGTTCCATTGTTCCTGATCTAGAATAGAAACGTTCAGCACAAAGATATTGTCTGCACATGAAGCAGAAACATGTATCTCTCATTCTACTTTACGAGATATCTAAATGCCTTCTTCTCATCTTTGAAAAATCCTTACATACTTGTCTGGTCTAACTACATACACAAAGCTCTCTTTGCTTCACATCCTCAAGATTTATAGCTTCTAACTATCTACAATACCTCATTCAACAATTACGCAACGGACGATCTACCGCGCACAATGAAAAAAGGAATGCAACTCCAGGGAGTCGTCGGGATACCCGACGCGGTCTACAGAGGAGAGCAATGGTCCTGCACTGATTCAGACTCGGCAGTACAAGAAGCAGTCATCCACAAAGTCCCCAAGATACAACAACCAAAAATTGCCCTCTCTACCCTCCTCGCTGAAGCCAGTGGAACAGACACAACACCGACCACGACCACTCCCACACCAACCGCTCGTCCCCAAACTCCAAAACCCCAAACAGAACTCTACGACCCTACAAACCCTCATCTCGCCATCCCACCAACCAGTCTCTCCACCCTCCTTTCCCGTATCGAAAGCTCACAGCGTATCCGCCACGAGCGCGACCAAACCCGTCGATACATCCACAATCCCTTCCTCCTGGAGCACCTTCTCAGCAACGCACCGTCAGTGCACCACCTCTGCCGCCGCTGCCGCCCCCGCCGTAAATGCACCCTCCACCGCCATGGCGAAACCTTCCGCCAGCAAACCAGCATCAGTCTCTGTCGCCACGCGCGCATGGTACTCACGTGGGCCATTGATGACCCTTGCAACGATAAGGGGACGTGGGATCTCCAGATCCGGCACTACTTCGACCTCGCCAACGACGACTACCATTACGATCCTCGCGCCGAAACTCGCGAGAGGGAAGTTCATGCTTCCAAGTGTAGTGTCTTGAATCCAGAGTTCCGCGTCGCCCTGCTTGCAGAGCGTGTAGTTGAGGACTTCAAGAGGGAGAGGAAGGCGCTCAGGGGTAGTGAGCGGAGAGTCGCGAAGGAGATCCACGGCCTGCTTGGAGCGGCGTTGCGGGCGCAGAGAGAGAAAGAAGAGGTCGAGAAGGCGGGGGAGAGGCTTGCGGAGACTCTGAGAGGGATCGCCGCTGCTACGAGAGTGAAGGATGGGTTCGAGGACGCCGTCGTGAGGAGTATCGAGGCGCCTGGTGCGATACCACTACCCCTGCCCCTGCCATCGCCTCCGGCTTCTTCTGAGGACAGAGAAAAAGGAGAGATTGAGGAAGTGGACAAGACAGAAGACCGAGTGACTGAGAAACAGCCCAATCACACTCCAACTTCTTCCCCTTCTCCATCGCAGAGTACACCATCACTGCCCTCAGCTGCCCAACCCACCGTCTCCACCACCTTTACCACTAACAGCACTGCCACTACTGCCACTATCGGTACTACTCCCCCGTACAACCCCCCATCCTCTCCCCTCTACAAACGCAAACGGTCTCGCACCGCTTCGATAGCCTCGCCAACCACCAAAGAACAAGAACAGGAACAAGAGAGAGAAGTCTCTACACCACCTAGAAAGAAAGCGAAGAAATCCGTGACCTGGGCGCCCGAGATTGACACTTCGGTGGGCGTGACGCGGGTTCGGATGTTGTCGCCTCAGTTGGGGGATGAAGAGGAGGTGTTTAGTCCTGTGGTTTGCGATGATGATGAGAAGGAGAAGGAGGAGAGTGGAAGTGAGGCCGATTTGGAGGCACTTTTCGAAGAGACGGTCGAGGAGGAACAAGAAGCAGACATCCAGAATGTGGAGGAGCAGGAGAGCGGAGAAGTCGAGGGTGAAAACGACAACACAGGTGGAGAACAGGAGAAGGAAGTGGAAGATGAAGTCGATTATGGAGACGACTGAGATTCATCATGTCTGATCAGAGTTCTGTATCGAATGGGCTTGGTTCCCAGCTATAATTTACTGGTTACTTCTGTTACCCCTTCGAGTACTTCGTGATGATTCGTGATCTTTTTGTGAGACACATAGAACGCATTATTTTTTACAGTATTAGGGACTCTCGTCTTTTCGATTTCTGTTACGTGGATTGTGAGCTGTCCCAAGGCCTACCCCTTGGATCATGGGACGCATGGTATTATAGAACGAATCTGACTTCCCACTACGTTATCGTCTTCACTTTATGAGAATACGAAACCCTTGTTTATACAAGTATATAAAAAGGGCTATAGACGTCCAATATGCGAGCTTCCTGATACAATCACAGCTTGAGCTCGCAAGGTTAGGGTGCAAATGGGTCGGCCACCTCTGAGGCGGGGTATGGTAAACCACACAAAACTAAAAGCAGCGTGTACTGTTGCGGCAAGTTAAGGATGCTATAAAGGAGATTCAGTAGGTTAGTTCTATGTTCCAGCAGAAGCAGACCAGCTGTATTCTACTAGTATTCTGGGTTACAAAGATAATAGCGTAGGTGAAAATACTCGACCAAACCTGTCAAGTAGCACGTTGCTTCGTTAGAAAGACATTAACCCCATGGCACACATTACTCATCTGTCAAATCAGAAAAATCTTCTTCGGGGGGTGGGCTACATATCCCACAGAACCCTAAGCTCTTGCTCTCCATGATAGAAGTGACCAAAGACGATGCTGTCAGGCGCACGCTATGCTCTGCTAGGAGCATGCGTTGGGTCCAACTGAATATCACGTTATCCGATGCCTGCCCTATCCCCTCCAGAATCGCGACAAAATCCAGTAAAGCAGATATATTTGAGCGTATATAAGTCTGCTGTGATCCGTGATTCCTGAAGAATTCATCCATATCTCGAAGAGTCTTTCCCTTTAGAGCAGCAGCCATCTCCATAAAGACGACGCCCAGGCTCCAGATGTCAGAACTTGTGTTCCGAGGCTCATACTCGGCGACTTCAGGTGCGCAGTATCTGGGAGTCCTACACGTCATGCCAGTAGTAGTGCTTCCGCTTGCATCCGTAAAGTCAAGAGACAGACCAAAGTCTGCAAACAGAACAATGCCACGGTCCACAAGAATGTTGCCAGGCTTGATGTCTTTATGCCGTACGTTTTGCTCGTGCAAGAATTCAAGTGCCGTAGCTAGACAGCCAAAGAAGGTTCGCAGCTCAGGGCGATTAGATGCTGTAAAAATCTCCAAGTAAGCACTTAGATCCATTTTAGCAACTGGTAACATAACTAGGCTAATGTATTGGGTGTCGGTATAGCTCCCAACAAACTCCACAATGTGACGGTGTTTCAGGCGCTTTAAAAGTTGGATTTCAGCAACAAGCTGCTTTATCTCTTCCTTGTTACGGCTCCTAAAGGCTGAACTTCGTGGGACTCGCTTCCTCGCATACTCCTTATAACTGACTTTACTAAGCACTTTGTCAACCTGACCAAATCCGCCGTTGCCCAGGATTCCTTGCGGCTCAAAAGGGAGAGGATCCCCTTGCTTGAAGTGGCAGTGTCGTCCTTGTTCAAGATTGATAGACTTTGTTAGCACCATCTGCTGAGCATTCACGAATGCTGCGCGGGCACTTGGACTCAAACACCCAGGCAGGCTTTGTTCAGTGACAGGGAACCAGAAATCGGAGAATCCAAGGTTAACAATCTCTTCAAGAACATCGAGGCGTTCAATATTCCAAAGAACGATATATGTCCGCGGAACCTTGCCCCATTGAGAGCTAGAGAGGTTCAACAGCAACAATATCTCATTAATGTCCAAATCAGTATATGGGCTTCGCTTATCCCGCTCCTTAGGGAAAAAGCTCTCTAGTCAATCAGACGGTGTCTGCCAAGTAGCGCTGTTGCTAGAAAGAGATAAAGTTGCATTTAACTCTCTCTTTGTTTTATGCAGCAGCTTTACGGTAGCAAGTGTCTGCTTATAATCTTTGCCAAGTATACTCTCTTGCCCGTCTGCTGTTTGCTGGAGGTACAGCTCAGCTTCACTGTACTTCTGCTGACAGTAGAGTGCGTGCCCTAGCCAGTACTTGCTGTTAAGCGTGTGTCCATAGTCTCTGCCAAGTGTCTTCTCTCGCCCATCTACTGCTTGTTGGAGGTGCGCCTCAGCTTCGCTGTACTTCTTCTGGTCCCTCAGTGTAAGTCCTAGCCGGTATTTGCTGTTGAGCGTGTTGTCATAGTCCCTGCTGGCCTCTCTTTCTGCATTCGAGGACTTTCTTCTGAACATTGTGATTGTTTTCATACCATTCCCTTCAGACCTATTGCTGCTTTGGATTACGAAGCGTATACGACGTAGGGCCGGCGGTGGCCGGGGTTATCATTCGCATGGAGCTTCACAGTGCCGTCGCCGAAATAGTGTGCAGGTACTCAGCTAGTTGAATATTGTGCCGCGTGTATAGTGGAACTGTAGTCGTCTTAGCATACCTATAAGTACGCTAGACCCAAGTGTATCAAGAAGTGTAAAGCGGAGAGCACCACGGTAGGCTAGTAGATAAGTAAGGCTGAGGTGTGTTCTTCCGAAGATTATGCGCTAGAAGGCACTTTGCTACCACCAGCTAGGACGGTGGCCGACCTGCTCTGGTCTTGACCTTGCGAGCTCAAGTTGTGATTGAGAAGAACCGTCTGTGGAAAACCGCGTGTCTAGAGGAATAGTGACGAAGTTCATCTTCGCCTTTCCTTACACGCAGGTGAATGGGAGCGTGGGCCGGTTCGTCGCCGTGCGTCGCTGACGTATACATCTACCATTCCCTCAACAGTGTTGCCTCACATTCGCCGTCTAGGTATTCTGCATAACTCCTGGTCATCGCACTTGTTTTCTAGAGTCTTATCATAATCATAGCTCATATGCACGTGTGGATGAAATAGAGATGAGGAGATGGATATACATATATGCAGAAAAGAGGGTCCAATTGGTTTGACAGTACAAAGTATGTTCTTTACACATGCAACGCACGCACGCTCGCTCCGACACAACGCAATACACACATGCTGCCCATACAGAACCTGAATCGAAACCGGAGCCCAAACCCAAGCAAACACCCGACAAGCAAACCACGCCCTCCTCTGTCTCCATCTCTTTGTTCGACCTCGAGCCCGTCTACCGCACATCGCTATTCGTCCCAAAACAAGAGGTTTCCCCGAGGAAAAACGCAGACCAAGATAGAGAAGTCGGTAATTTCGCTTTCGCCCCTTTGCACCGTTTCCAAAGATTATAAAAAAAGGGAGGAAAGGACAACCCATGGTTCATCATGTTTGGTATAGAGAGAAAGAAAGAAAAAAGGAAGAGAAGATTAAGGGGATCTTTCGAATACATGTCATATTTTATGACCGTCGTGTTGCACTTGATTCTGTTTTCCGACGTGGTAGTGTGCGTGAAGTGTGTGTTAAAAAAAGAGAGAGAGAGCATTGCCCGTATCCAGCGGACCCCAAGTGGGGGAAAATAGATCATGTGTAACAGTTTGTCGCTTCAAGGAGAAACAATGACATCGTGATGGAGTGTTGAGAAAGGAACGCAGCAGAACGCCTCCGTCGCTCAAAGGAAGAGGAAATTAAGAAAGTGGCATCCTTATATCTCGACCGTCTTGAGCTCCGAAGCGTCGGCCGCGGTGGCGCTCTTTGCAGGGGCTTCAGGGCTCTTTGGTGATGTCATCGCCTTCTCCTTCTTGTTTTCTTTGTCGCTACCGAAGCTTTGTCTCGCCGGAATATCATCGCTGGGTCGTGGGGTATCGACGGAGATCAACTGCTCCTGAGGTGCACCTGCCTTGGAGTCGAGGTCGGTGTGGACACGGATCGGTTGCGGCGTCTCTTCCGCGACCCTCGCAAGCGGACTCGACATTTTGGCACGAGGGCTCACTCCCTTCTTCTTGGGGTTCTGGGATAGCCGGTGGGGGCTTCGGCCGCGATCTTCAGGACCGAGAACGGGGCTGCCATAGGGGCTGCTGCTTGTGCTACTAGGTCCGGCGGACGAGGGACCGCCGTTAGAGTTGATGCGGAGCCCGCTCTGAGGGCGCTTCTTGGGTGGCTTCCGCCCGTACTTTTGATCGCAGCGCCAGCGAAGGATTTCCAAGTAAGGCGGCTCTACGTTTTGCTTCTTCTTGAATTCCAGGAGCTTGAGCTCGCCAGTCTCTTCCTCAATGTGGACTTTGTCGGTACCAAGATCATCGGCGACCATGGCGAGCAAGGCACTCCACGAACGCGCAACCACGTATTTGCAGTCATAGTCACGACCAAAGATGATAATCTGACCCCAGGTACCGGTTGGGCCAGGAGCAAGGTCAGTAGCAAGGTAGTTACCTCCCCAATCACGAGCGAGGGGGATCCAAGCAGGGTGCGAGTAAGCCTTCTGAACAGCATTTGGCGGCTGGGAGTCTTGCTTGGCAAGCAGGTCTTGTCGCCAGAGCGGGTTTGTGTTTGACTGGGGTTGGGATACAGGAACCGTCGAGGAAGATCCAGCAAAGGCCTTGACTGGGATCTGTGGGGTCCTGTTGTAGTCGGGCTTGGTAGTGAGGAACTCCTCAGCAACGGTGCGCCAGTTTTGCCACTCCATGACGACCTCCTCGCAGTCGAGCAACATACATCCGAAAATGATGCCGGTAGGCAGACCACCGCGCTCCTGACCATCGTGTACTTGTAGCGACTCACGAACATCCATGGGAAGAGTGGCATCCAGCTCGTGCTCAAGCTCATTCACATCGTTTGATGTGCAGCCCTCGCAGAGATTGTCAAAAAGCTCCTCGTAGTGATCCTCGACCCATCGATCGATGCGCCTCCACGAATGGCCGACTGGCGGGGCAGGGGGGAGACCTTCCGAGAAGTTTTGCAGAGGAACATCGCCATTGGCGGCCTTATCAAAAGTATCGGAGTCGGCAGTGGCCTGACGACTCAGCGATGAACGCATTCCCGGAGAATAGGGAGAAGTTGGCGAGAGAGGGCCCCTGGGCGAGCCAATGAAGCCATTGCTCGTTGGAGTGTCGTCGTGTGTGTATGGCGAGGATAAGTCCACCCGGGATTCTGCGCCGTTGGTTGCGACGGATGTGAGGGGAGCATGGCGGCTCTGGGGCAAGGGAATGTGACGACCGGTACGGTAGGGAGAATCGTGCGAGGCATGACGGTCGTTGGAGGTCATGGTGTGCCAAAACGACTTCCATGATTGCCCAATGCTATGAGGCGGTCAGCGTTTGATGGACGATTTGACGGAGAAGGTGCAGCGCGGATAGTCAACTCACAATTGTGCCATGTTGGCGGACTACCGATGATGGTGCTGCAACTCGCTACACGGCCGGGGTAATGGGGAAGTTTAGGAGCGGAGAGACTGCGAGGATAGGAGGAGGCCCGGCGGAAGTGGTCGAGGGTGACAGAGGGAATCGTCGGTAAGAACGGGTATGGGATCGTGGGTTCGTTCGGTGATTTAGGTGGAACGAGCAGGGGAAGGAAGGGAGCGAGCGAAGAAAGACAGCAAGCAAGCAGCTGGAAGAAAAAGAAAAAGAGAATGGGGGTGTCGAAGGGAGCCGACGTGAGAGGAGAGAGAGAAAGACAGAGAGTAGACAAGTAAATGAGTAAATGAGTAGTAGCGCGGAGTGTGGTCGGGCAGAATGGGTGTGCAGAGCAGTGCAGAGCAGAGCAGACCGAAGGTGTCTCCTATAAGGAACTAGCTATGGACTAGGCTAGCGTAGTAGGCGCGCATTCAAGTAATACTGGGGACAGACGAACAGACGGCGGACAGACAGACAAGCGGACAGGCTGGGACTGCGTCACAGGCTACAGGTTACGGCAGCAGGCGAAGGGAGAGCGAATGCACGAACAAACCAACGAGATCAGCAACAGCGGCAGCGATAGCAATAGCAGCAGCAGAAAAGGAGCGCAATCAAGGCTCAGCCAAGACTCGCCTCCCGCACGATGGCAGGTTGCTTGATAGGGGATGGGGTATGCTTGTTGCCGTTCTTCATGCGCCACAGGGAAACGGTATCTTTGGGAGACATTGGATGCATTCGTTCAATCATTCAATCTGTCTACCTGTCCAGATGGCTGGTCTGGTTGTGCTGTTGGTGGAGTTGATGCGGCTTACCAGTCCATGGCGATTGAATGTTGGTTGCTGACTGCACATGTTAGTGGTATCAATATACATGCACATAGATATGTATATATGCATGTATGTAGATACAGGCGGTAAGAATTACATGTGTGTGCATGTACAAGTGCTGTCATTAACCCACAATCTACAGGCACATGGCTGAAGTCTTCACAGCAGCGCCTTGCCAGTCTTCACATGTTTTGGCGTTTGATTTCCATCGGACTTTGCCTGACCTCGCATATACGCGCACATATCTCTACTACACATCGTTCTGCATTCCATTCCCGGACCCGTGGCCGCAGGTTCGGAAAACAGCACTCGGCTGGATGTATGAAGCAATGCAGTGCAGCGTATGTTGATGGGCGGCCAGCAGACACAGGTACGTCACAGGCACCCATGATGACGACCATCCAATACTCGCAGATCGGCACAAACGCAAAAAGCAACGAGGCAAAGTTGTCCGTCCCGTAGAGATGATAGGTGGTGGTGGTGGTGCGGTGGTGACTGGCTCCTCATTCGCTGCGTCCCTTGGCCGTGTCCATTCCATCACTCGCCGCCTTCGCCCCTATTTTTTCCAGTCGTGCGCCCGCCAGCCATACCAATATCATCGCCACCATCATATGATCCAACACCCATACATACCATGTACATTACACTACATGTCCCCTCGTGCTACCACGTTGCAAACACGGCGTTTGTCTCGTCCATTGTTTAATTTGCGGCGAGCGAGTACAAGTTCCTGGCGGCGGCGACGGCGCCAAAGCACACACCGTTGTTCCCCCTGGCCTGGCTTGCGCCGTCCGTTTCGCCCTGCATGCACTCGGTTGCTTTTATTTTTAATCAACCCAGAGCCTCATATACGCCGCAACGCCCCCGCTTCTTGATATCCATCCATCTCATTCCCCGTGCCGCCGCCATGATAACACTCCCCCCAAAAAGGGGGGCCCGAGTCCATCATCCGTTTGCAATCGTTCCTCGTCGGCTGTGACTGAGACAGGCAGTCAAGTCTAGAATATTTAACACAGTCAGACAAACACCCCCATCAAGACACTAAATCCAGGGTCGCGAGGCTACAACATCTCCGGCGCCGGGAAGCAGATTCAACGGCTCCATGTACCCCTTTCTCCCGCCTTTCTTCTTCCCCTACCCACCGCTGTCATCCACATATCACGAGCAATCAAACAATCAAATACTAATCCACCCCTCAACAAAATAAAAGGGGTTCGAGTGAAGTCGACAACCGGCTTTCTTTGTTTTGTGTTTTTTTTAAAATTTGATACGAGACAAAAAAGGGCGACCTCACGAATCATGAACGAAACAAATTCCTTGATTCTCCCCCAAGTGACATGTTGATGGATGTTGTGGTCCATGTTGAAATGATGCCAAATCCCCCTCCTGTCCGCCCTGTCAATGCATTGCATGCCCCCCGTAAACTTTCCGAGAGCCCAAAACCTCCGTATGGCCCCGCCCCACGTACTCGCGCCTCTCTCTCTCTTCCATTTGAAACAGAAGGCTATAATACTGCTAGATTTAGGCACAAACCACAGCAAACCAAAACACGAAATAAATTCTGGTTTTTTTTCGCGAGAGAAGAAGCTATATGCATGCTTGGGTAGCGAGCGGGCCGAACAAATCAATCCATCGCCCCGCTAAGTCCCGTCGCCCGGCACCCGTTCTCGCGCGCGCGCCATGCTCCCCCCGGCCCGATCACCAAGGAAGGCATGGCGAAGGAAGGCTGCAGAAAAAAAAGTAACAAAACCATCTAGAAGAATACGATGGAACATTCTGTAACTCGAACCAAAACCATCCTTTGGTTTCCTTCAAACGTCACCATCCAATTTCGAATGAGTAGCACAGAGAACAACGGTGAACCATGATGGTGTTGCCATGGTAATGCAATGCCTGTCACCCAATCTATCTCGTGTCGTCCCATCATCCCTCTCTGTCGTCATCTGCCTCTCTTTATTCCTCAATTGAACGCTCTGGCAAGGTTTATTGTTTCATTTTGATTCTTGAATTTTGTTTGTTTGGTGTTTCCCCCGGTTGTAACGTACATGCATCTTCTGGGCATGGTCATGCGATCAGTCGCCAAAGTAATGCGCCATCTCCAAACGTCCTTTCGCGTCGAGTACATATAAATTTACATTGGAGAATATGCCTTGTGTGTACGAAAAACAATACATGGTATCGAGTATTTGAACAACCGACCCTCTTCTCCCTCCCTCCCTCCTCCCCCCAAATTTAAAATAGATGCAAGAGATCACTTGGTCTAGATCGCTCAGATGCCGCTTCGAGTCTTTCCTTCTCTTTTTTTTGACTTCCATGCTTCGCTCGTGCACTCGTGATCAAAACAATCCAGGTCACTCATGCCAGCTGTTTCGCCACTCCGCCCTCAACCCAGTCTAGCTGATTCTTGTCCGATGCTGCTCTGACAGCAAGTAAATGTGTGCGCGCTGGAGGGGGGAAACCAGCCTACGGCCCGCTCTTGCCCAAGAACTGATACAGTTCGTCCTGCAGTGGCAGCACAATGCACTCAACGGCTGCTTGAAGAAAGTCGGGATCGCTCAGGCTGGCGCTCGGGTCGGAAAAGCATTTCAAGCAGTGGTTGACTGCTGTGGAAAACGCAGCCGAGAGATTCTCTTGCTCCTCATCTGCCCATTCATACGCCATTGCGCATAGCGTCCACGGATTCGAGGTGGGGTTGCCATCCGCCTGCTCCAATTCGCAATGTTTCTCGGCGCTGATGCCAAAGTAGAGCTCCAAGAGAGCCACCGCGAGCGCGAGCAAGACTGTGTTCTTGTTCTTGAAGCCGCGGGTTTTTGGACCGGTGCAGTTCGTCAATGCTTTTACTGCGTCAGTGGGTGATATGTACGGGCGATCGATATCCAACAGACGGGGTCCATTGCCAGTTCGATGGAATACAATGTCTTTGGTGCCCCACTGACTGGAAGGGAGCCACGGTGTGGCATTGAGCTGCAGCGTACTACTTGCCAATGTCAATGCAAGACTATACCGCTCCTTCTTGCTGAGTTTTGCAGGTCGTCCGTTGACCATTGGGGGTTTGTTCAGAAGCTCTTCCAAGCTCACGAAACCCGTCGCGGTAGGCTCTGTACTGACTTTCTGCACCGGATAGGCCCCTCTTAGTTTACTTTTTGTGTCGAATGAAAACCCGATACACGGAGCAGTCTTGTATAGCCCCTGTATAGATGCGCACAGATCTCTAACCTCTTCCATCAGCGGCGGTTTGGCAATCTCAGGGTCGTCTGGAGAATAAGGTGGAGGTGGTTTATCACCAAAGCTGACCGATTTGGTCATTCTTGGTTTTTGTCCAGGTTGGGGCTCGAGAAGGTCTTCGTATTCGTCCTCGTCTTCTACCACGATCTCTGCTGCCTGCCAATTCCACACCTGCTGAGCATCCTCGGGGATGCTGGAAAAAGAAACATTGAACGAGGTTTTTGTCGTTGTCTTCGCTTTTCTTCCCGAGGCAAATAAGGTGCTCCGCTGCTCCAGTTGCAGACTTGTCGTATGAGATGCTTTGCAGGCGCACGAGAAACAAACTGAGAGGGTATCGTGTAATCCAGTGGCATACTTTTGAATGCGCTGCAAACCGTTTGCGAATGATGGCTTGACCGACTTCCGGACTGATTCAATCTTCTCGCTCTTCTCGGTGAACCGCTCCAATTCTTTATTGCAGTCGTCCAACTCTTCCAGTAAAGCCTTGATACTCTTCTTTGACATGCCAAACTTGACGCGTTTTCGGAATTCGAACCTGTCGTTATCCTTCTTTGGGTTTGCGACGATGAGAGCTTCCAAATCATTACGCGATAGCTATTTGAGAAGACGTGGTCAGCAAAAAAAACCCTAGAAGTCGCAGTGGAGATGCGTTTTTACCTCGGAAGCACGATCGAGATCTAGTTTAGAGGCAATCCGTTTTGTTATCCTCTCTATGTCTGTAATCGTGCTCTGGTACGCATGATACGAGTCTTGCAACTTCTCCTGCAGTTTCAAGTCCATGCTTTTATCCTTCCACATGGCCACCGAGCCGGAGAGCATCTCGGCGAGCTCAAACTCGGACGTGATGGGCTAAACCGCAAGAGACACAAAGTCAGCAAAGTAGAAGCAGTGATGATTGACTATAGAAAATCTCATGGTGAGAAGCCTTGGGCTGCTTCAACTTATTTTCTCAGCGTAGGAAACGTACCTCGAGAAGTATCCGGATTGTTTGCGCATAATGGACATGTTGGTTGCGGAGCTTGCGTATCAATGCTGGGAGCTCCTTCTCCCATCGCAGGAAGCTTTTGACTGGATCCAGACCTTCATTATATTTTTCGATGCCTAGAATTGATGTCATCAGTGGTGCAGTGCATGCTTCAACATGAGTGTACTCACCTTGTATGAGGATAGGTAGGCACCCAAGGATTAGACCGGCTAGTTCAACGCCAGACACTGTACAGTTAATAGGGGCTCCAAAAGAGTCTATAAGATAATGTACTGGCAATGAACGTACTGATTTTCACTCTGCGAAGTGCACAAGATGTTGTTCCTCACATGCATGGGTCGAAACTACCTGCGAGCCGTGGGGTACCAGGCGTGGATATCGGTGAGCTGAGATTGATTGCTGTGGGAAAGACGGTCGATTTCTCGCCCAGTTCCTGATAACACGGGAGTACATCGAGGCAACAGGCAAGGCAGAGTCGGGCTTTCGTCACGTTCGAATGTAGCGGGGAAGTGGTGAGAGCCTCAGCTCCGCCCCACCCCAGATGGTTTAGCGCAGTCGCCTCAGACATCCATCCATCATCTGAATTCTTATCCTACACCCGGCATGAACGCACCCGAATAGGCTCCAGTCGAGGCAGCTACCCAGATATATCTCGAACTTTGTTCCCGGTGCTAGTCACCATGCTGCATCCCAAATGTCGTCCATCAGATTAGCTACCGCAGCTAATGTGCAAGCGTTCCAAAACCTCGTCAATGTCATCTCCACAAGCGACACAGACTACACACTAGACTACGATGCCATTCAGGACGAGATCGGGAGGTTTAGGGTTTGGTGTGGAAACATTGGTGCTCTTCAGAAAGGTCATTCTAGTTTAGATTATCGACTTCGCGATTCACCACTCATTTCTAGCAACGTTCTGAAGCTGTTGCAAGAGCTGGACGATAACATCACCGCTGGTATGATGAGACCCAGTATTCTGGCCCAAATTCGCTGACAGTTGTACAAGCTTCCCAGATCATCTCTGGCACAAGGTTACCTTATGAAAAACAGCAGCAGCGGCCTGACGATTCAGATGAGGATGAGGACGATGACTTCTTCAGTGAAGACGAAGACGACGATGAGCCGGATGCACCCAAAACTGAGCTGGAAATGCGATTCGAAGAGGTTGTGGATGTGATAGACAATCTATACAAGTTGTCTGTTCGCATTCGTCAGCCTACCATACGATCTAGAGCCCTCAAAGCCTCATCCTATCGTCCCAAAGACCCCGAAACTAATGTTGACATCCTAGAGCAGTACGCTGTTGCAGATCTTCATCATATTCAAGAGCTCGTAAGACATCTTCGCACGCCATATGTCAAAGCTGGCGATGTTGAAGATGACGGCGTCTTAATTGGAAGATTTGCTCAAGCTGTCACACTTCGCCGACGCCAATTCAAATACTGGAAACGACACAGAGAAAAGTTGGGTGCAGCGACTGTTCATGAAGAACCATCAGTTCCATTGAAAACTGAACACCCTGATGCCCTTCACCGCCACAACACGATTGAGGTACATGCTGGTGATAACGAGCAAGATGTGGGGAAAGATGCACTAAGCCAGAAGACCGGCAAGACACTTCTTTCAGGAACTGAAGCAACTCATTATCATCAAACTTTAGATGATATTGTAGACTCCAAGTCGGTGACAAGCTATGCTACTACCGTCCGTGACGCAACCGGGCGTTCGATCCAGTTGCCGCCGCCACCCAAGGCTGCGGATGGCGAGAAGGATTTTGAGTGTCCGATATGTTATATAATCTGTCCCAGTCGATATGCAAACTCCCGATCTTGGAAGTAAGTATACTATTATCCAATTATTCATACACAGGGATGGTATCTGAGGTGCTAACGGCGTTCTACAGAACCCACGTATTACAAGATCTGCAACCCTATGTCTGTACATACGCAGAATGCGACACTCCGAATCAACTTTTTCAAAGTCGCCGTCAGTGGGCCGAGCACGAGGCCACTCATCGGAGAGTCTGGCGCTGTCCTGAACATCCTGACGCTATTTTCAAAACTTCGCTGGGTTTGGACGATCATCTTAGACAAGACCACAGCGATAGCATACCCGAAGGTCAACTGGAAAGCATTATCAAAGTCAGCGAGACTTCGACAGTCGATCTGCGGTCATGTCCCATCTGTTACGCCACAGCAGAGAGCAATGAAATTGCGAATCACATAGCCAATCACCTTGAGAGAATGGCTACTTTTGCGCTTCCAACTAGTTCACATGATGACTCGGATGGGGCAAGTTCACAAGCGTCACGAGGAGGATCCGACAGCAGAGATTCTCGGGATTGGAGCTCAGGAACATCCTCTAGTGATTCGCATGAAGATTCTAGGGAACATATTGAAGTTCCAAGCTTAGCATCTCAATCAGATGTAGCATATCAGATGTCGCCTGCAAGTATTCCCCGGGTACGAAGCCGCATGCTCAGACACCACGTAGAGCCACGTTTTCAGGCATTGAAACGCCGGCTTAGATATATCTGCTTGAAACATACTGACTTTTGGCCCTCAACTATAGGCAAACAACGGCTTGTCAGACGAACTACTACGCGAGATTCCGAACTCTACCGAAGAACGACTGGGTATACTTTTCACACAAAATCCCGAAGAAGCTGATGAGGTGTATCCTGCGTCTCAAGAAACAATGACGGGAAAGGAAACACAAGGTTCAAAAGCCACACTTCCCATCCTCATGATTTCGGAACTACCTACCCTTCACTCACTATATCGCATTGGGAAGCTGTCAGTTGCAAACGCAAAATTTCCTCCGAATCATCTATACAACCAATTAGTGTCGCTTTATGTTTGCGACATTACCAAGCTACAAGTTGATGCCATTGTCAACAGCGCAAATCGCGCTTTGAGCGTAACAAAATTCGAGCTAACCCTCAACACTCGCGTACATGAAGCTGCCGGCCCTGAGTTCACGAAGGAATGCGAGAATCGGAAACTTTTGAAGACCGGCGAAGCGACTTTGACCAGTGGCTACGATCTCCCTTGCACTTATGTTGTTCACGCAGCAAGACCTACCAATGATAGCGGAGATGAAGTTAATCTGAAATTGCTTGCTGATTGCTATTATAATTCTTTGAAGCTCGCGATGAGCCATGGCATTCGAACCATCGCCTTTCCTTCACTGGGGACTGGCGGCTGCGGGTTCTCATCACTTACAGCAGCTCATACCGCTCTTGGAGAAGTTCGCAAGTTTTTGGACCAGAATCCTGCGCATCCATTTACATCCATCGCTTTCTGCCCTTTCACCAATACTGATGCGATGTCTTACTTGCAATATATCCCGCAATACTTCCCTCCGGACCCCAGCGAGACCGCAGATATCGATCCTGATGATGCGTATGCGAACAAAGATATGCTAGGCAAACCAATTCTGGATGCCTATAATCAAATCGAGGCCGTTGATCGCGAAATGCGGTCTTTCAGAAGACATGTTATGGCATTCCCGGGAGACATTCTTCTATATCTTACGAGCATCGGTCGTGCATTGAGCATGCTTCGGACCAAACTGATGGAACCAGTGGCGGACTGGCTGCTACCGTTAGGAACACACCAAGCTTCTGAGCAGGCGAATTGGGTGCCGAAGCAAAGGATCACAGAAATTACCTTGATTTGTGCCGTTATACAAGCTTTCTCCGATGGTGTGATGGAGATCGTTGAATTAGCCAAGGGGAAAGCTGATTCAGGTCAGATCACACACCAGGCCTTGTGGGATGACTACAATCAATACATGAGAGAGAGTCAAAACATTGATGTTGTGGGACTTCTTGAACTGTGTCACGATTTTACGCACGGTTTGAAAGATATAATGGCCGGGTAAGTGTGCTGGGACAACTTTCACATGCTCTTAGGAAAGCATGAATTTTGCGACTTTTTTAACATAACCACAGGGATGTCAACATACCGCACGAGATGGGTACGATATCGATACGTCTCGAAGGCTGGCTTGCCAAATCAACTGGGAGAGAGCAGCATGGTGTACGACAACAATTTGACGAAATAATGTACACACGGGAATTTCAGCGAGACACGGCAGCTCCCCTTGCCACCAAGGTGGTAAAAGTTCAACAGATACCAACACTATCCCGTTTGTATTTTACTGGCGAACTAGAAGAGAAGTCGACATTTGCTACTCCGTCTTCTCGAATTAACGATACAGTTTGTCTCATTCATCGAGACATCACAGAGATTGCGGTTGACATGTAAGTTCTCTGCCCCTCTGAAGCCGATATTCTAATTCTGGCTGCAGAATAGTGAACTCTACGGACCCGGCCTTTTCAGGCATGGGCCGACTCGATCATACCATAATTGCCAAAGCCGGCCCTGCAATCCAGGAGGAGCTGTTAAGCTTTGGTCATTGCAACGAAGGTGATGTAAGATCTACGGGAGCATATCAATTGCCAGCGAAATATGTACTGCACACCATTCCACCGGAAACGTACCGCACTACCAGTAAAGAGGTGCTGCGCAAAATCTATCGACAAATACTCCGCCAGGCTGCTTCTTTAAAGACAGCATCAATCGCAATACCAGCTCTCGGCACTGGAATGTTGAACTGTATGTGCTGCAAGCTATTAAAGGATAACAGATTGCTAAAATACAGTAGATCCAAGACGAGATTGTGCCTCAATAGCCATGGAAGAAATCAAGCACTTCCTAGAAATTTCGCATCCCAACAGTACCCTAGAAAAGATTGTTTTCTGCGTTTATAGCTCCAATGATGAGTTCATATACAAATCACTACTCCCTGTATATTTCCCTCCTGTCGAGCTCAACCCGACCAAAGCACAAGATACAAGTATCGAGTCTTCATACCAGTTTTCGAAAATCCCAGGCCATAGCGAAACACCAAAACAACAATCACGGACACCTTCCGAGTCGACTGATGGAGCGGTCCGAAGTGTCAGATTTGACAAACTGCCAGCGAACAATAGCCAAAGGCCACTCAACGAAATTGAAGAGGAAGCACTCAAGAACTTTGAGAAGCATGCCGAGACTTGTCTGGTGTGCATTGAAGTGATGAAAGTATACATAGAAGGTGGAAACCTCTGTGGGGTTGGATATTCACTAGCACAAGTTGTGCTTCACCAACTGAACATGGATTCCAACCAGACAGTTTTCTCAACTCAACGGGATGCCGCCCGCAGAGTCTTGGTACGTTTTTTTTTCTTTTCTTTTTAAAGTTGCAAAATCCAGATCAAGATACCACCTTGGGGACCTCTCAAGCTATGCCACGCGGGGAAATCAAAACTATGAGAATATATTGAAACATATGCGGTTGAAATCTGCTGACTTTTCACCCTTTCGGTGTAGGTGGAGGTACCGAGAAAATTCTCTTTGGGTTTGGAAATGCTCACGGCTGTTGAGCGCAGTTTCCGGAATCGCGAACGAAGTATGCCTTTTGTAAGCACTATTCGGCCATGGCCTGGGCTGGCCGAATACCAGAAGGATCCAAAAGCACCTCTTCCTGGGGTGACTATCCATCAGGCTTCACTTGAGATCCCAGGGGAACCAAAAAAGGCCCACGCGTACGTATGTACGTGGTCTGACGTAGGTAACACCTGGGAAGTACTTCATCGCCATGCTTGTTTGATACACGTATCTCCAGGGAAGCTACAGATCCACGAACCAGTAATCAAATCAACTTCACAAGTCCCTCTCCTTTCTCTGGAACTCACACCCGAAGTTCCGGTTCGGAAGTCTAGTAGTACAGAGTTCACGATCGAGAAGGCCCGCTTCCTCCAAGAATCAGTGGTGAAGACCAGCTCCAGTATATTGTTGAGATGTACTAGCGCAACTGAGTGTGATATGCTCTACTCAACTGTGAAGCGTTCTGCCAAAATCAATACGACGTACAATGAACACCGTAGTGGGGCTCAAGCTACAAACGCACTGGTAGGCACGGATGATGATGATGATGATGATGATGATGATGATGATGATGATGATGATGTGGAAAATGATGACGGTAAGTTTTTCGGAGGTGGAACGTAGCTGCTACGCAGTGTGGCTAATTTCCCTATATCAACCTGAACTCTCACTGACCTTGTACTCTCAATCATAGATATCCCAGTCAATGCTGGCAAGAGTGAAAATATGAGCAGGCCTTTAACTGTGCCAAACTATATGTGGGTCTGCGGAACCTGCCATCAATGGACAGAGCTTGCACACGAGCGGTGCCCTGTCTGCGGGCATACCCGTGATTTTTCGGACTTCGGGCCCGGTCAAGTATATCCTGAGTCTACTCGCGAAAGTCTCTCCGTTCTGTCGTCGATAATTTTGAATCAACTCCGGGAACTGGATAAAGGAGGCAACGGCGTGCATCAGACAGACCTAGCAGCCAAATCCAGTGTAACTGATGCTGGACTGACTCAGGCAATACAGGAACTCTATGAGAACGGGCTCATACATTCAGTATCAGGAAGAATAGGAACTTGGACTGCTTCCCCAACGCCAACACCCAAACCTGAGGAGCGAAGTCTGGGTAATATCGTGCCCGAAGACTCATGGCTTTGTAGCATCTGCAATTTGGGTAACCTTATTCCTACCACCGAGAACAAGTGTCCTGTATGTGACCATATTCGGGATGGATTGGACATCGGACCCGGGAAGACATATCCTCCAACAGCCGTACGCAGTCTTTCAGACCTATCATACAAAATCCTTTCGCTGCTACGGTCCATTCCTGAACGAGCAGTGGGAATGCACGAAGACTCTCTAGCTGAGAGATTCGGCGTGAAGACGGAAGACGTCAATAATGTTTTAGCAAGACATCAAACCTTGAAACTCGTCAAACCAGTTGACGGTGCCCAAGGGGTATGGGCGGCAACTGAACAGAATCAGAAATATCCCGGTCTCGCAAGCCATTTCCGCTCGTACCGTGGCGTCCAGCAAAAACCCGATGGTGAAGACAGCGCCAGCGATGCGAATAGGGAAAATCCCTCTGACAAGACACCGTCTAATCTATCATCTCAAATTCTGCCTGATTCGGCCGACGTCGACGACCTCTTCACAAAACTATTCTCGACTGATCGTACCAAAGCACAGGATACGGCTCATTCCAGATCCGACACGCCCGACTCAGTTGAAAATACCACTTCGTTCCCTGCTGTCATCAATCTTACGGATATCAACACGGATGACTACTTTACGTATCTCGAAGTACCTAACTCATCCACTCCGTGGACTGTGATTGACGGAAGATTAGTCAGTCGACGGGCTGTCGCAGAGATGACACACGAATATAAAGGAAGGGGAAACAACAGTATTGTTGTGAAGCACAGATTGGATAGTGAAGACGTAAGGTCGCTTGCAGAGAGAACGGTGGAGATTCGAACGGGCAGAGGTTAATCTTCTGAGGATATAAAGTTTTAGCAAGAAGATAGAGGCGTATAGAGGATACACCCTAAAAGTTTTTAAAATATAGTTGCAAGCCATTTTCTGATCCACAATGATGACGTCCACTCTGCAAGACTTGGTTCCTTTCAATTATTTCTCGCCTTTCTCTCATCATTTGGGCGCTCCGCCACTAATAACCACCTCTAGACCCCCCTCAACACCCTCCTCGTAGAACTCCCAAGTCTTCCTCGCAATTTCGCTAGGTCTGATTTGCCCATCTTCCTTTTTTTCTCCAACAACCCCATGCACAGTGATCAATCCCACGTGGACGCCCTGTTCGCGGAATGCTATATTGAAGCTTTGCGCCATGTTTCGCTGCGCTGCTTTTGAAAGTGATAGCGATAGGAGTTGTGGAATCGGAGAATGTGGGAGATGACTGTTTGTTATCAAGAGGGCTGGTTTGAGAGCTGGGTCTGTGGAGTGAAGAGAAGAGAGACGTGGGAGGTAGTGTTGAGCTATCAAGTAGAGAGATAGTGTCGTTGTCTTTGGCAAATCAGTTTTCATGATTTTTTTTGTAGCGCAACGAGTAAAAGAGGGAAAGGGTCATGAATGAAATGGGTGCATATTGAACTCACTCTCAAATCCTCTTCCATCTCTTTTACATCAAGATCCAATGCTCCTTCTGTCATTCGGATCCTCGCTGCGTTGAAAACCACAACTTCAACTACCTCTTCGTCCTGCTGTCCTCGCTTTACCAGCCCGTCAAGCTTAATCAACACCCCCGGGAGCACGTCCAGATCTGCGAGATCGATTGCTACTACGTCAATCTTTACATCTTTATTGCTGTGGGCGGCTAGCTCTTGCTTTAGAAACACAGCGTCGGACGATTGGACACGAGACGTATTACGCGCGAGAAGTATGACGTGCGTAAAGGGTCCATGAGTGGCGAAGTGAGAGGCGAGGTGGATACCGATCCCGGGGCCAGATCCAAAGACTATAATGGTTCTGGTCGGAGACATTGTAATTTTTTTTTGTTTGACTATTGACTTGACCTCGTGGCTCTGAAAAGGAAGTGGATGATGAGGTAGCAGTGAAACGAGAGGTAGTCCAATGAGTAAGATGAGCAATGAGCGATGAATGATAGCAAACTGAGTACATTCAGGTACTTATATCATATTCAAATAGTCAAGATTCACACCTCATAATTGTAATTATTACCAACTTCACTGATTAGTGAACCTCAAAAACATCATTGATTAGTGAACGTAGTCGTGAATGCACTAGATGGGGTGGGTCTAGGTTCCTACGACAAAGGCTAGAGAGAAACGACATGAAACGAATACGTTCTAGTGCACCTAAATTAGTCTCTTGAGAAGATAGTCCGAGCGTAAGTTTTTGGGGTTCATACCTTGACAAGCCTGGAAGAGTCAGCACAGTTGTAGTGTTGCTGAATTTGCAACTGTTGCAAGTGTTACGGTTGATCGGCTGGATGTGAACTCAGTTGATCAAAACGACAATTTATTTATCTCTCGTAACCACGAAGTCCTCCTCGAGTTGCTTAAGGATAATGGACTTTGTAGTAACCCGACTCTTGCAAGGCACTCAGAAAATAGGACACAAACTCATGGGACATACTATCCAAAGTAGCTTTATAACTTTTATTTCCATAATTTACAAATAAATTGTAAGTTAGAATCTATGTGATCCTACATAAAGAGATATGGACAACGATAATAGTCCTAAACCCAGGCGATTACTGCAAAAGAATTTGAGAATTATGCCTTCACACAAGCTTCTGAAGCAAAAGCAGGGATCGGGGGTCCAATACTTCATACATCTCTATTTAGTCGCAACTCGTCTAAGTATCTGAGAAACAACGCGAAGATAATGGAGTAATATATTATACGAAAAACGAGTTGATTGTCTTTTGAAATATGTTGCGAGTCTGGGAGTTCTCCAATATCTCCGAGGCGCTTTGAACACGCTAAGACGCCAGATCCCTAGCGTCCGGTTCAAATAAAATAACCTACCATCTACACCACCCAGGATCCTACACCACTGGGGCGACGTGGGCCTAACCTCCAACTAAGCCATGGATATGTCTGCAACAGACGAAGACGCTATGCGTCAATTCATGCCCGCTTCGTTCGGAAAGAAAGATGCAGGGGTCGACATTGCGGCGCAAATTGAACGGTGTCGCAGGACGATTGTCGATGAGCGCAAACAGGCTGCAGTGAAGGATACCAGCGATAAAGACTCGGACGACGACAGCGACTCCGATGATTCAGAAGACGAAGACGAGTTCCCTGTTTCCCATGAACTGGTACTCAAGACGCACGATCGGCCCGTCACAACGATAACTCTTGATCCATCGGGAACGCGCTTGGTGACCGGGTCCACCGATTGCACGTTCAAGCTCCACGACCTTTCATCACTGACACCCACAACGATACGCGCCTTTAAATCAGTGGATCCCTTCCAAACAAAGTCGTCTGCGACCGCTGAGTCGCACATGATACACCAAGTCCTGTTCAGCCCGCTTTCCGGCAACCAAATCCTTGTCATCACCGCGAATCCACAAGCGCGAATGTTCACACGAGATGGAGACATGGTGGCTGAATACCAGAAAGGAGACATGTATCTGATGGATAAGCTCAAAACAAAGGGCCATGTTTCGGAAGTGACAAGCGCTGCGTGGCACCCGACAGATCGAGAAAAGTTCGTAACGGCCGGCACCGACAGCACGGTGCGTGTTTGGGATGTGAACAAGAGCATGAAGCAAGAGCAAGTGGTGTTGCACAAATCCAAAGCGCTAGGGTCAGCGGGGATAACGAGAATGACGGCTGTTGCTTGGGGGGTTGCACCAGAAGGCAATGGCAGCATGATTGTGTCGGCAGCGCTGGATGGAAGCCTGGTCATGTGGGGAGGAGAAGGCCCATGGCATCGAACGACTGGGGAGATCCGAGGCGCTCATGAGAACGATACGTGGACTAGTGGTATGGATATCAGTGCAGATGGCAGGCTGCTCATCACTCGCGGTGGAGACGATACCATCAAGCTGTGGGATTTACGAAAGTTCAAGACACCAGTGAATACGACTGCTCACCCATCCACGTCTTCCCAATACCCGACTTCCAACATCAAATTCTCTCCAAATTCCTCGAGCGTTATCACCGGATCAGAAACTGGCCATCTCCATATCCTTAATCCGGCCACGCTCCGCCCCGAACTCATCACGCCAGTTACACCTGGATCACCTCTCATTACAGTCAATTGGCATCCTAAGATCAACCAGATCATCACTGGTTCTGCAAATGGCCAGACTACCATCCTCTTCAATCCCAAACTATCGACAGCTGGTGCATTGACTATACTATCCAAGGCGCCCAAGAAGCGCCATTTGGATGATGACCCCAACTTCACAACCGACCTGGACCCGCTTGGGATGGCGGGCGATACCGTTGGAAGTCAAGGCGCGCTTACGACCAACACGTTCAAGTCTCGTCACCCTACTATCGGTCTCACAGTTTCTGGAAAGAGCAGAGATCCACGACGACCACACATTCCGGCCACGACCCCGTTTGCCAAGAACACACCGGATGAAAAGTACGTTCGTGAGCATATTGAACTGAGCAGTATGCGCGATGAAGATCCTCGGGAGGCACTACTCAAGTTTGCTCCCAAGGAGGGAGAAAAGAACATTTTCACAGGCGCTTGGGACCAAACGCAGCCCAAAACTCTGTACAAAGATTACGATAGCGATGAGGACGAACCGGACGCGAAGAGAGCGAAGAGATGAGCTGAGAAGACGGATTGCATGGATTTTTTTACACGGTTGGCGTTGAGGAATGGAAAAGACTATACCCGATTGCATAGAATGCCCACAATATAACAATTATTGCCACATGTTCTAAGATCTTGAAAAGGTGCACTACACGTGAGTGAGGATCAGCATTTGCACGGCGGAAGTCTTGGCGCGTCGCGATTTACGCGATAAGGGGTCGTGCTTTACAAACACCAAAAGTTAGTGTCAAGCTATTACCATCCTAACCTCTGCAACGATCATCAACATCGACTCTAAACAGAAGCTTGATATTACACTTGTTCAATCGCAACTCGAAACCAAATACCGTCATCATGTTTTCCCGTACCATCCGCGCTGCTCCCCTCCGTCTCTCGACCCGTGCCTTCAGCACCACCCCGCGCGCTGATGTCGCCCGTATGACCATCATTGGACGCCTCGCCGCCGCGCCCGAGGAAGTTCAAGCAGGACCCGACCGCACGCTCGTACGCTATGCTCTCGGAACCAACTACGGCAAGGGCGAAGCACAGAAGACGAGCTGGTTCCGCGTGGCCAGCTTCGCGACCGGTCCCCAGAAGGACTTCCTGTTGAATGTGCCCAAGGGAGCGTTGTTGCATGTCGATGCCGATGCGAGGATGGATAGCTACACCGATGGAGAGGGCAACAAGAGGAGCAACTTGAGCTTGATTGCCAGTGAGTTCCCCCTAGCTGGCCCATGGTGGCAGCGGGTGATGTTTTGTATATATTGCGATGATGGCTAACTCTGTGTGATTAGGAAGCTTCGATGTCTTGTCGCGACCCCGTACTGAGGGCGGTCCCGATGTCAATGACGAGGGCTTGGTCCAGGAGGGCTCTGGTTAAATGCCACAACTTTCTTCTACCAATCCATTGCCTCGTTAATAGTTTCTTCCATAACAGTTCCATTCCGGTATCTTTTATAACTTTACGTAGCCGATTAATATTGGTCGACCGTCTGAGGACGTTGGCTCCGATATCGAGCTCGTTTTCTAGTGCGGCTTTTGGTAACGCTGATGGGTCAATAGCCTGGAAGAGGTTGCGCTTTCTAACAGAAGTCGGTGTACACTACTTGTACCTTTTCATATGTATCATCTCCGCTTTTGTAGTCCGATTTAGGTTACGGGTGCTTCAGGAGCGTTTCTCAGACAATACCATGTTTTACCTGAGCTTGTGGGTGTACTTTTGTTCAATTGATGCGATGTAGGACATCTTTGCAGAGATGAATTCGTACAAATCAAATTATTGTGACTGTTTCCTAACATCATTCTTTTGTCTCGCACACACATCAATCAGACTATCCGTGTTCCATTGTTAATGTAACGTAGTTGTTTATGACCGATATCTGAGTGCTAAGTTGTACCTATGAGATTACATGTAGTTACTGTCGATGTTTGCGGGCTGAGCACGTGATGCGGCGAGTTTTGGCACCTCCGCGTCCAACTATTTTTCCGGAGCGTCGCCCCAACCCTACGACACCAATTCCCCAACGATGCAACGAGTTATACCCCAAAGAGCGCGTCAGCTCTGGGGTCATGCGCCTCGGATACGATCCCTCAATCGTGTGCGCAGAAACTTCGCAACCGTCTCCGACACTCAACGGTACAACCCCCATAATCCTCCGATCTCATATCGAATGCATTAGCTGACTATGAGGCAGACACTTCGATGTGATCGTTATTGGAGGTGGCCACGCCGGCTGCGAAGCCTCTGCCGCCGCCGCCCGATCCGGAGCCCGTACCGCTCTAGTGACTCCGTCCGTATCCAATCTTGGGGTGTGCTCATGTAATCCCTCGTTCGGTGGTATTGGGAAGGGAACTATGCTTCGTGAGATTGACGCTTTGGATGGTGTGGTGGGTCGGATAGTCGACAAAGCGGGCGTGCAATTCCGTGTCTTGAACAAGAAGAAGGGCCCTGCGGTCTGGGGACCTCGAGCACAAATCGATAGGAGTCTGTACCAGAAATACATGAGAGAGGAGCTACTGGCATACCAAGGGCTGGATGTCGTAGAAGGGAAAGTTGCCGATATTGTGGTAGATAGAGAAGGTGGTGAAATCGTGAATGGGAAGGGCGTATACGGAAAGATCAAGGGCATTCGGTTGGAGAGTGGTGAGGTTGTTGGAGCGGACAGTGTAGTAATCACTACTGGAACGTTCTTAGGTGGAGAGATACACATTGGTAAGTTGGGCAATCCCGTCCTAGGAATTCAAGTGCTGACTGTGTATAGGTCTCGAGGCGTATCCGTCAGGACGTATGGGTGAAGCCGCAACCTTTGGCCTAAGCAAATCATTGCGAGAAGCTGGCTTCACTTTAGGTCGATTGAAAACTGGAACGCCGCCGCGTTTGGACAAGAAATCAATCAATTTCGATATTCTGGAAGCTCAGGAGGGAGATAATCCGCCAATGCCATTCAGCTACCTGAACGAGCGAGTGCAGGTGGAGAACCAGCTTCTAAATTATGAGACAAGAACGAACGAAGAAACGCACGAGATCATTCGTCAGAATCTTGAGAAATCAATCCACATCCGCGAGACCGTCAAAGGACCACGGTACTGCCCGTCAGTAGAATCGAAAATTATGCGCTTTACCGACAAGACATCCCACATCGTCTGGCTCGAACAAGAAGGTTTCGATACTGATGTCATCTATCCCAATGGCATTTCAATGACTCTTCCAGCTGATATCCAGGAAATCATGTTGAAGTCCATTAAAGGCCTTGAGCAGGTAAAGATGTTGCAACCGGGTTACGGAGTCGAGTACGATTACGTCGACCCGCGAAACCTGCGCTCTTCCCTCGAGACCAAGAACATCTCCGGGCTCTTCTTAGCTGGCCAGATCAACGGGACCACTGGCTACGAAGAAGCAGCGGGACAAGGCGTTATAGCTGGTATCAACGCCGGACTTCTCGCCCAAGGCAAAGACCCAATGGCATTGACAAGAGCTGACGGATACATTGGCATCATGATAGACGACCTAGTCACAAAAGGCGTTTCGGAACCCTATCGCATGTTCACCTCGCGCTCCGAATACCGCATGTCTGCCCGTGCCGACAACGCCGACACCCGCCTCACAGCCATGGGCTACACAGTAGGCGTCATTTCCCCTAAACGATGGGAAACGTATAGCCGCGAAGCCGAGGATATCGCCGAACTTACATCTCTTTTGCAAGCAAAGACAATGGGATGGAGCGCGTGGAGCGAGTACGGGTTTGCCGTTCGAAACGATAGCTCGAAACGTTCTGCTTACGATATCCTTCGCCTTACTTCTACAACTCCTTCTTCCCTCCTCTCTGTTCTACCCTCCATAGCGAATTACTCCCCTCACGTCCAGTCCCGCGTCCACATCAATGCGACCTACGCGCCGTACGTTATACACCAAGCCGCCACACAGCAGCGCTGGCTCAGAGACGAAGGCCTGAAGTTACCACAGGATCTAGATTACGAGGGGATTTTCGGATTGAGTTTCGAGGAGAAGGCGGCGTTGAAGATGGCGAGGCCGGAGAGTGTGGGCATGGCGAGACGAGTCGAGGGGGTTACGCCTGCTGGCGCGTTGCGGTTGTTACAGTTTGTCAGGGGGGCTGGGAAGGAGGCGAGAGATAGGAAGATCAAGCAGGAGGTTGAGGAGAGGAAGAGGGCTTTCATGGATGCTGCTGGACAGGTTGCATGAGTAGTGGTGCTGTTTTGATGCATTGGGCGGCGTATTTGTTGGATCTTTCCAGGCACTCATGTAAATGTGTTGGAAGAGGCATGTTTGTATCAAAAGGGAAGATTTCCATGTATCATATATGTACACTACTCTGTACGCTCGATCACGCATATGGGATGCATTTGCCATAGCAGAACTCAATTGCCAATTCAACAACAAGTTTTGTGTATATATATCTTACAACAGTATGTTACATAGGAGAACCGCCAATTTTAACTGTATAAACATGGTCTAACTCATCATTTCCCATTTTTTTTTTCAGTCACTTCCAACGCTTTCCGCTTCTCCAACTCTTTCCACCACAATCCCGCAGCGACCAAGACCACGCTTCCAAACGTTCCCGCAATAATCATCCGCCCTCTAAATCCCTGTTTCTTCTTCAACTTCTCATCTTCGCCGAGAATCGTGACCGCATCCTTCAGCCAAGCATAACTTAACCCACTATACACAGTCGTAGCTGCCACAACTCCACTCATCCCCTTAACCGCCATCTCCACGCCATCCAAACCGCCCAAAAGATCCCTAGCCCCCAGAAGCGGCGCAGACACTACGCTCGCAGCAGCATCCAAAGCCGCAGGGTCTTGCAGAAGAGAGACGCACATAGTAGAGCCAATGAGAATCAGCTGGAGGAAAGTGTTTAGCTTAGAGATGGTAGTGGGGTGGACCTCGGCGGACGGCAGGGAGAAATCCCAGTAGCGTGCCAGTGTCTTAGGAGCCGGCAGCGAGGCATAGCGGTAGTAGATTGCGGCTATTGCGAGACTGACGTCTCGGCCTAGAATGAGGGTTGCAAGGGGGAGAGAGAGTGAGCCGTTGATAGCGAGGCAGGTGACGACAGTTATCATAAGGGCCTTGTCAGCCATTGGGTCTGGTCTTGTGCGTTAGCTTCTTGAGATCATCTATTGCTGTGCTTTTCTGTTCATCCGTATGGCTCTTCATGATCCGCCTCTCTTTCTCTTTCCCGCTTTTTGATGGAAATTGCCGTCGTGTTCGTGGCATTGGGGTTTTGAGAATAAGGGGGTAACTGAAAAGGGGGAAAATCCATAAACGTACCAACCACGCTACCCACTACAGTTTGCAGCTTCCATTTCCGTGCTATCCACCCGTCCAGCAGGTCAGAGGTACCAGCGTAAGCAAAAAGAGAAAACGCATAGAGGGGATGATCATTGACAATCAGCCATCCGAGTATTGGAGTAGATATTAGTCGGGAAAAGGTCAAAAGGTTGGGAATGTTGTATATCTGTTCGTGGGCGAGTTTGGATTTGATAGATTTGGTCAGGCTGTTCGGATCCTACTGTGTAGTCAGTACCTCGCTTCGATTGTGTAGAGATGTATTGAAGGGGGTGGCTCAGTGAATTGCTATCGACATTGAGATGGTATATTGCATGAAGTAGTGGTGGAGTTTACATGTCCACATGCGAATGAGATCGCGTATCCACCAGACACGTAATGTCAAAGCGTTCACGGAAGCCAGCCAGGCAGCGGAGAGGCGGTCCACCAGACTATCCGGTTCAAAACATATGAAAATCATTGAACCTACTTTTCCATCCGTGCCAGGAGTAACGGCTGCTGGGCTGGCCGACCCATCTTTGGTCTCGCCCAGACGAAGAGCAGAGGTACTAAAAGAGGTCTTCCATTGTGATTTGACCCCCAGATTATTTGTCAAGTTACTGCGCAGTGGCAGAGGTTGAAATGATCTGCTATGTGACCAGATGATAGGGGCACGTGAGCTGCGACCAGACAGAGTCTGCCGTGAGGACTGTCGGAACGCGCGGAGCGAGTGGCCGGTTATCATGCACGTAGACATGCTGACCCTAGCTGAGGTCATGATAGCCAATTGTTCCGACGACGAGGCATATGCTGTTGTATGTATAATTGCTATGAATGTTGGTGGTCAGATGTTGTGACGTTCACTGTAGGCGCTGTTTGTGATGTTTGTCTGCCAAGAGATACAGCGCCTCACCGTAAGCGGAAAAGCGCGCCTGGAGCCTTTTCCTAGCCTCATGACAAAAGGAAGGAAGATATATGTACGAATAGGACGAGGATTGAGCGTGTCACGTACCAGAAAGATTGGCCAAAACCCACTTTTCTTTCTCTGGGCCAGCATTGGTTAAGGAGAAAGGGGAAAAGTAAGGGGGGAGGATCATCTTGAACTCGCTGTCCTAATCCAACCACCCCGAATCTATTACATATAACTACCCAGAATGTGGCGAGACTACAATTGAAACCGCACACACGCACGACCTTTCGACGCCTAATTTCCTTCCTCCCGCCGTTGCCCACATTTCTAACGCTTCGCTCGCAATGCAATGGACAGTAGCAAGCAGTATAGAAGTTTTGTGTGTTTGTGTGTGATCGAAACAGGAAAATAGACAGACATACAAACATTTCAGGTAGACACCCACTACTACTACAATGATCTCCCGATCCTCCTCACACGATGTCCACACACCTGATTTCATTTGCAATTCATGAACACATATGAACCTTTCGATATATCGATCAAGGTGAAAAGGTGCCCGCATCTACTCGGCGAACTCCTCATCGATAGCAGGATATTGTCCATTAAGACCATCGTCCTTCGGCTGTTCCACCTCGTCGTACTCCATCTTCTCCTGCTGTGCGATGGCTTGACTGGATACTATCTCCGCGAGGCGTTTCAAGCGGGGTGTTTGAAGCCCTGAAATGGCATTGTTAACGGTTGCTCGGATCTCGTTGCTGAAGGAGAGGGATTTGGAGAGGGACTTACAAGAGGGCGTATATGTCTCGAGCGCGGTGATAACGCGAGGCTCGGCAATTTCATACGGGCCGGAATCCTCCATATCAACGGCGGTGAGAAGGAGAACGTCAGACTTTTCGGTGACGCGCGAGGCGACGGCTTTCATGATTTCACCATTGATAGGTTGTTCGTAGTCAGCAACCAAGTATTGGTTGAGCAGCTTTTGAATCTGGTTTGGCGAAAGCATCCAGCAGATATCTTGGATGATCTCGATGTCGTTGAGAGTGGCTTTTTTGAGTTGAAGAAGTTTGGTGGCTTGCATCAAGTGTTCAAGCTGAAGCGTACCCTCTGGCATATCGTGTGACTTGCACCATTCTTCGATACGCGTGATGTTGTAGTTGATCTGAAGACCACGCTTCCAGGACAGGAAGTTCCTCCTCATCAACAAATCGTTGAACGCCGTCACACCAACAAGCCTAAGAAGCTCGGTAATGAGTTGGGCGATGATGGTATCCTCGAGGTAGTAGGCTTTCATGGCCTTGTAGACATTGTTAAGCAAGCTGAGGAGATTGTCCATACTGTAGGCTGGGGTGTTGTTGCCTTGCAAGAGCTTTCCGAGGAAGCGGTTACTCTCGTTCGTGACAAAACCGGGCAGTGACTGCGACTCTATGATAGCGGGGATGATCATCTTGTGAAGCTTCTTCTTGAGCACCTTCATCCAAGTATGATAGATGTTGAACTCCAGACTCTCCAAGTCGTGCTTGACAATTTCTAGGAGCCTGTCGTACTCATAGTTATCTGTCTTTTGCTGCTCGTACCAATCTTCGGCGAGGAACACAAACGACAGCATCTCGTGCACGTTGGACAACCAGAAAGCGCCGGGGTTGATCGCTTCTTCTCCATCATGCTGCATGACCTCCTGCTGGATGGACTGCATGACATTGGCCAGGAAGCGCTCTGATTCCTTGACGAAACCATTGTTCCACATCTCTGACGTGACAAGGTTGATGAGGTACGCCGGGAAAAGGACTTCTTTGTCCGTAGGTGGAGGCGTAGTGGTAGGGGATGGAATTTTGAGGTTCTTAATGAGACCAATGGTGACTTCGTCATTGAGGTTCTCCTCGTCAGCGAGAATGTTCTCCAGCTCAAGTTCGACGTTATCGAAGTTCTGGTTGAAAGTTGAGCCAGAGAGGTTCTGCCTGTGCACGGTCGAGCCGACTGCCATTGATACAGGTCGGGGATTGTATGTTTGGCTGATGCGATCGAGATCGCGGATGTCCGGTCCAGCGCTGCGTCTCTGGGGTTTCTTGGAAGAGACGAAGTTGATCAAGGTACTGGCACCCAACGGTGCGTGGCCGTTGGTCATTTCACCATTGATTGGGCCTTCCCGTTTCATCCTCTCCACTTGTTCTTGGAGATCAACTAGTTGTTGCCGGAACGACACCTTCTCGGTCTCCAAGGCAGTACTCTTTCTCTTTGACAAGTCGAGCTCCTCGGTAGTCTGCTTCAAAGATGCGCGGAGCTCCTTTTCTTCCTCTTGTAGATGTCGGATCTTGGAAGTGCTTTCATCAAGGTTGCCTTGAACCTTCTTCAACTCTTCCTCCATCGCGCTCAACTTCGCAGCGGCAATACCAGCCTGATTGGCTTCCGCCTGGAGCTCCTTTTGCCTGTTCTCGAGACCTCGGGAGCGCTCCTTGTAGGATCGGATCTGGCTCTCGTAATTCTCGACTTGCGATTTAAGCGCCTTGTTCTCAGTCTTCGCTGCGCCCAGGTTCTGCGTAAGCTCCACCACCTTGTTTTCAAGTTTGTAGGAGATATTTTTGAGATCACGAGCTTCGGCACGTAGGCCTTTGTATTCCCTGCGGGCTCGCTTTCCTCTCCACAAGCTCTGGATGATGACAATCTTCTTCCTATACTGCCGCCAAGATTTGAGTGATCGCTGAGACCGCCAGTTACGTTGGATGATACGAGCGGCGTTCCCAAGACGAGTGTCCAGAATGTTTTTACGGCACAGGAATCCTTTGGCGGCAGCCTGGAACAACATGACTGAGTTTCGAACAAGGTGGAACTTCTTCCTATCCTTGGATCCACGCCAGACACGCTGTATAGTAGTTGCAGCTTTGACTTGTCTCGCTTCTTCCGCCCGTTCTCGGGTCATGTAGCCTCTAACCATGGCCTGTACAGCGATGATAGATTCACGGGTCTCCAGGTATAGGCGACGGTAGTATTTAGCTCGAAGATTCTTTTGAATCATGATGGCAGCGTCGTTCAACCTAGCAGATCGGAGATTTTCGAGGAAAGCAAGCATACCGGCTCGGAAGAAAATCTTGGTTAGACCCATTTGGTATTTGTCAGTTCCATCGTTCTTTCCAGCGCCCAACGCTTTGTTGAGAATTGCCTTCGCCATATCACGGATCTCGGGAGTCCAGGACGAGGATGAAACCAGCATGTAGTATCGGAGCGCGAACTCCTCATATGTCCACCGAGTAGGATAACCCGCAGTACTGATACGGACGGTCTCGAGGACACCACAGGCTCGCAGCTGACTGAGAACCATGGGCCCTTCGAATTTCCAGGCTTCCTTGGCTTCGTTGGGTTTGATGCAACGAATATAATGGACATCAGTCGAGCTAATGGTGCTCATGAGTTCGACCAAAGAAGACTTGAAGATTCCACCAAGCGTAGGCTTTCTGTTCACGGCAATTCTACGACCGGGAGCAGGCGGTCCTTTTGCTGACGTCGTTGCTGCGCTCTCCTTCTCGCGAATGTGAGCTGCAGTATCAAGTACTTCGACCAAGAACTTGTTGCTAGAAGCTTTCAAAACTTCCATGTGTTCATCAGGCACAGTGTCTCGGTTCTTTTCTATAAAACCATCAGACTCATATGTGACATCGATGGCATAATGGCAGACGGTGAAGGCCGACTTTCCAAAGCGGGGTTTCTTGTAAAATTTGTGTTTGTCCTGGGAAAAGTTGTGGTGAAGTTTGGTAACAAATTGCTCGTCAGAACCCATCGGTAGACGTGATTCTTCGTCAAGCAATGCTAGAACACCGAGTTTTCCTTCGATAAGATCGATGCAAGGTTGGTTGTCCGCGAAATCGATAAAGGTCCAATCGATCTGCTCCCGTAGATACTCTTCTTGCTCGAGCTTGAAGACATGCTGGTTGAATTCTTGCTGCAATTTTTCATTCGCGTAGTTGATGCAGAACTGTTCGAAAGAGTTCTTGGCAAAATGCTCGAAACCGTAAATGTCTAGCACACCAATGAAGGATCGAGCTTGAGAAATAATCTCATCTGTAGCCAAACTCTCATTGACACGCTCCACAAGCCAATCGAACATGCTGGAGTAGATGAATTTGGCGACCGAATCCTTCACGACGGTGGCCTGTTGTTGTGTGAGGTTGGAGACAATTTTCTCTCCTCGAGTGATAAGCTGCTTTTTCACTGTCCATTTGGCAAAGTTGTTTGGATCAATGCCCAAGAGACCGCAAGCTTTGACGAGAGCAGGCTCATCCGGAGCGAGGGCCGAGTCCGTACGCGTCGCTGTAATTTTCACATCTCCTATATGTAAAAGAGCAGCGAGAAGCTTGAATATTTGATGCTGGGTGTCGGCAGGTACACCGATAGTCGTCAAAGACTTCCGCGTAGCATCAAATTCGGCCTTGTCATCAACACCATCAATGGTCGGCGAGCTGCCCTGATTGAGGTAGCTAAAGTCCTCCACCGATTTGAGCTGGAACTCTTGCGCTTCCGCCTCTGTAGCACCCTTGATGAGCTGATAGAATATGTGGTAGTTCCTTTCTTTCAGCGGCTGGAAGACTAATCTTGACCGTTCGAGTAGATATGTCCTGATCTTAGCACCAATGATGTCGGTTTCCTTGTTGAACATGATCTCGATGTACTTTCCAAAACGGGAGGAGTTGTCGTTTCGAGTAGTCTTTGCATTACCAAAGGCTTCCATGATAGGGTTGGTAGCCAGAATCTGTTCTTCGGTTTCACTCATCATGTCCGACTTGCCTCTCCGCTTGCCGGGATTATCGGGAGACTCTCGCGTCGCAAAATATCGCATGATGTACTTGGCGCTAACGGTTTTACCAGCTCCAGATTCTCCGGACACCACAATGGTCTGGTTCTTCTCGTCTCGCAACATGTCACTTGGTTGTTGTCAGCTTTCTATACAGGGAGCTCGATGGTACCAGTTGGCAGCTGGTACCATGGGAGGAGGGATGTTTGGAGTATATATCCGAGGAAAATGGGATAGATAGGAGTGGCATAGAAGGCGAAAGGATTTACTCACGCAAAAGCCTCTTCAGCAATGGCAAACAAATGCGGGGCGCCATAAGATCGTTGTTTTCCGGCATACACCTGCACCATGCCAGGAACATACAGCGAGTCCACCCTCGCGAAGGGATTCGTTGCTATCAGCACAATACCCGAGTACGTGTAAATTTCCTTTTGCAGGTATCGCAACTTGATGGCCTGGAGCACTGCAAGAAATCAGCATTGGCACCCCCGAGTAGTCAGAGTTGGTGCTTCGTACCAGCCGGTTCGTTCAAATGTGAAAGATTCGTAAGGTCGTCGCTAGCCTCGAGCATGGCCGGGTTCATCAGCGGCGGCAAGTTAGGGTCGTTGCCATTCTGGAGGGCGTCGAGATTTGTCTCGACCGTCTTGGTCTAGAGGGTGGGAGGCGGGTCAGCAAAGGCGGATCTGCTGTTGGAGTGCAGCTGAAAAGACAGCAAGACGGGACCATGTGTACTTACCTCGCCATTCTCGAGGGTGAATACGAGCGTGACTTTGTCTCCATTAATTTGTTTGTCAGTAAGCTCCGAGGCCACCCAGCCCTCGGCCGTGTCTGGCTGCCATGCCCGGGTACCGATGTCGAAGATGTGTGCCATTGTCGTAGTCGAGTTCTTGGAGGGTGGTGGATGTAACGGGATGAGCGGTAGCTCTCGTAGGTCAGGGTGGCAGTTAACCCCCCTTCTTCAGTACTGTACGGCACGGTACAGCTTCCTCGGCGGAGAGGACACGGGAGTGAAATTTGGATGCTCCGCTTGGACTGCTTTGTTCGTCTCGAATGTGCGGCGGCGGGCCTGGGACGATGGTGAATTTGGACTGCGTGCAGCGTATCGCAGCGTCACAGTGGAAGGAGCATCCCGTGGGATAGGGAGGGAGGCAGGGAGATGTTCGGTGCGGACGAGTAGGTGGAGAGGATGGAGTAGATTTGGACTACGACGGCGCGCCCGTCCTGACCGCTTCAAAAGCGCGCATGGACCCTTCAGGGACCGACCGACGGGGAACACCAGGAAGTGACTAAGGGACACGACCACCACGACCACCACCACGACCACGTCTACCGCTGCTGCATTCAAGCGCAGGCACAGGCACACGTCTCACAGCCTGTTTATCTGCATGTAAACATTCATACGCTGCGATATGCACGCATGCCTGCACCGGTGCAATCATACATGCCCAGTGAATCGCTTGCTTCTACCAGCGGAGGATTCGCAGTCACTTGGATACCATACAGTGGTTGATACGAGCCATGTGCTATTCTCATTCCACGGCGGCAGAAAAAAAATAGCCATGACACCGATGGCCTCAGCAAAACTCTAGAACAAAGCCTCCCCTTTCCTGTCTCTCTTCCCCTCTCCGTCTCTCGCGCCCACAGCCGCACTATTCCACTGTGCCCGCTGGTCCGCAAGATGCGTTGCGCGCTTCATCTCAAGAACATTGGGGTTGGCCCTCCTTCCATGCTTGCGTATATGCTGGCCTTGTCTGAAACCGCTAGCCAAGTCATGGATGCCATGGCATATGTTTGTACCTACACTACTTTTACCCTTGCATGCACGTGCATTCTCTCCCGCCTGGTAGATGCTGTCTGGTCTTTGTATCTAGCTTCTCTCCTGTCGATACATAATGTCACCAACCATTCCCCCTTTCCCTACCTGGTTTTTATTTTCTCCTCTTGAGATTGTCACCAGCATGGTCGCATCAACCATAGCACTCTGGTCTCCGTAAAGGTATTACGTCCTTGGAAGTAGTGATGATTAATGTTATATACAATCATTGATAAACGCCCATGTTGAATGCTTTTCTTATAACAAGTGGTTGAAAATCCAAAGGACTCTACATGGTAGTCGGAAAATCGGAAAAAATAAATTCGGGAAAAAATCACGAAACAACCAGAACGTCTACATCAACCTCCCCTAGATTTCTAGTACAACATCCTTGTGCGAATCCCGGCGGAGAGGTTTTCGAGGCTTTGGAACAAGTCTTTGATCTCATCCTCCTTCACCTCACTCACATCCGCCATGAGATAGGCCACGTCTCCCCTGGAATCAGAACTCTGCTTGTCGATGTTATGGTGGTGCAGCGCCGCATTCACTTGTCGCAGTACACCAGGAACGTTCTTGTGAATGTACACGACACGCACACAGTTGGGCTCGTCCAGCGTCAGGCTGCGCAGTTGCACCTCGGGCATGTTGACAGCCCCGAGTGTCGATCCTTCATTCACGTACTTGACGAGTGCATTGCTGACCTCAACACCAATGGCGCTCTGTGCCTCCTCGGTGCTGCCTCCAATGTGCGGCGTCAGAATAAGATTCTTCAACCCACGCAGGTCTTTGGTGAACTCGTTGAGGTCGTTGTTAAAGTAGTCGCCGTTGCCTGCCGGTTCGTTGGGGTAGACGTCGAGAGCAGCTCCGGCGATCTTTCCACTGCGCATGGCTTCGACGAGGGCTGGAATGTCGACAACAGTGCCACGGGCGTTGTTAAGTAGGTACGATCCGTCTTTCATCTTATCCAGCTGCTCTTTACCAATCATGTTCTTCGTCTCGGGGGTCTCAGGCACGTGAAGCGTCACAAAGTCCGCCTGTTCCAGCAAGTCGTTGAGCGTAGGGACCTGCTTCGCCGTTCCCAGTGCCATGAGATTCATTACGTCGTAGTATATGACTTCCATTCCCATGGATTCGGCCAGCACCGACAACTGGCTGCCAATGTGACCATACCCTACCAACCCCAATGTCTTTCCGCGGATTTCCCAACAGCCCTTGCTGACTTTGTTCCAAGTTCCATTGTGAAGTTCCATTGAGCGATCGGTGAGTTGTCGCGCGAGCGAAATGACCTCTGCGATGACAAGCTCAGCAACGGAGCGGGAGTTACTGAAGGGTGAGTTGAACACGGCGATTCCTTGTTGCGCCGCATATTGGAGATCAACCTGGTTGGTTCCGATGCAGAAGCAGCCGATGACAATAAGGTTTTTAGCCTCTTTCAACACACGTTCCGTGAGCTTGGTCTTGGAGCGAATGCCAATCACATGGACATCGCGGATCTTCTCGATCAACTGATCTTCCGGAAGACTGCTTTTCAGGGCCTCGACTTGGTAACCCTGCCCCTTCAAAATATCCACTCCAGTTGTGTTGACATTCTCAAGCAAAAGGACCTTGATGTCTTTGGTGTCGAAGGGTTTCAATTGCTTTGCGGCGGCACCGGCTGCTGCTGCGATGCTGCAGGAGTTGTCCTGGAATGACGGTGGTTGCCGGAAGCTAGCATTCGGGCTGCTGCTATGGAAAGACAAGTTTGGTGATGTGCTAAGGTTCAGGCTGTTGGAAACCTGGCGGGTGAGGTTGCTGATTCCGCCTTGAATATCTTTCGGTGGCGGTACCATGGTGCGCGGGCGTCGTCGTCTTTGGTAATGCGTGATCTAGCAATAAACGGTCGTGTTGCGCGGGGCAGGCTTGCGCTTTTGGACGATTCTATAATAGCAAACTAGGGAGAGAACAGGTATTGGGAGACAATGAAGCTGCCAGATGATCGGTGTAAGATTCAGGTTTAGTAATATTTATGAGCGATGCTTATGACTCTAACAATGGTAGTGACTCAGGAACAGACATCTGGAACAAAAGAAGAAAAAAAATTAACGCACCTAAATGATGCCATCTGCAAGCCCGCGAATCGGCGTCATCGAAAATGCCCCTCTCCTGCAAAACACTTTGTGGCGTTCACCAGCCACACTTCCGCCGCATTCGGAGCACGTAGTTGGATGAGGGTAGTAACCAACTCACGTCCTATGTGCATGCATACTAAAGTTTAACTCTTCTGGTTGCTGCTAGTCTTTGACTGCAAAACATAAGCATTATTATGAACATCTGAAATATCACAACATGTTTCACGCAGGCACGCATCATTTCCATACACTTCGTTGGTTTGGTAGAACCAAAATCATTCATGGCATTTCTATTGGTTTGAGCTTCACATGTCGTCATTTCCATTATCCATTTGAATGGCGTTTCGGGCTTCAAAAAGCCGAGGCCTTCCCTTAACTGCCGTTTCCATTGCAGATAACGTCTCCGCAGTAACACACACCAACAAGGATTTATAGCTTCTCGTCCACAGACGATAGAGGCCATTGGTAGCCTATGTATCTTAGTAAATGAAGGCTGGCAAGTCGATTGAATACAATGGCTCTTACCTGCAGCGTCGCTGAACTTGTATCCGTAAGACGACGTGAAATCGTCGAGCACGGCAGGGCCACGAGAGCCTTGAGCGATTAGTTAGTATGTTGATGGTAGCATCAGATATATATTTGAGGAGCATCGTACCGTAAGGATATTCCATTGGAATAATCTCCTTGTTGTCATCCAGGTAGTGTAGAAGAGGAGAGAAAATCCTCCAACTCGCGTCCAACTCATCATCACGAACAAAGTTAGAGTGATCACCCTTCAAGGCATCCAAGATAAGTGATTCGTAGGCCTCGGGGATCTTCAGATCGGAAAAGCGCCGCCTGTACGTAAGATCGAGCTCTGTGACAACGGTCTGCATGCTGAGACCGGGTAGCTTGGAGTTCATCTTGATGTAGACGCTCTCGTTGGGCTGAACACGGATAACAAGTTCGTTTCGGGGAATGTCCTTAAAGATTCCCGACGTGACGTCCTTGAACTGGATGCGGACCTCCGTCTTCTGTTCATTCAGGGCTTTGCCTGCCTTCAAGATGAAAGGCACACCATCCCACCTCTCATTTTTGATGTAAGCAACCATCGAGGCAAATGTTGGGCATCGTGAATCCTTGGGGACAGTGTCGTCCTCCTTATATCCCGGCTTCGTGCCATCAAGCGACTTGCCGTACTGCCCAATAATGACGTTCTTAGGCTCGAGAGCAGGCATACCTCGGAGTACGCGTACTTTTTCATCACGGATATCTTCGGCGGAGAATGAGATTGGGCGTTCCATGGTCAGAAGGGTGAGGACCTGCAACAAGTCTGCTCTACATTAGCGAGTTGATTACTCATTGTGACCAATTGCGACTAACGGTTCTGCATGACATCGCGGATGATGCCGAATTCGTCAAAGTAACCTCCTCGCCCTTCGGTACCAAAAGGCTCCTTGAATGAAATCTACGGCCAAGTTAGAAAGACGTGTTAGGCATATGAGCACTGTTTCCCATACCTGCACATTGTCGATGTGGTTTCTGTTCCAAGTCGCACCGAAGAACTCGTTGCCAAATCGGAGAATCAGGATGTTCTTAACCATCTCCTTACCAAGGTAATGATCGATACGGAAAATCTCATCTTCGGTCCAATCGGGTGCGAGTGCTCTCTGGAGTTCTCTCGAACTGGCGAGATCTTTGCCAAACGGCTTCTCGACCTGTTGTATCATAGTCAGTTGGACTGCCCTTTTCCTGACGAGCGCATGGGCTTACAATGATACGAGCAATGCCATTGGTCGGGTAGCAGTTGCGCTTCAAGTGCTGAGAGACCGTGATGAAAACACTCGGAGGAAGAGCCATATAAAACACCCTGTTGGTTTCCTTGCGACCTTGTTCAATCTGCTCGAGATGTTTTCGAAGCTCGATGAAGGAGTCATCCTGGTCGTATTGGCCGGCGACGTATGTGCAGAAGCTACAGAACTCCTCCAATTGCTGTTCGAGTTCCTTTGTGGGTGTCTTGATGTAGGACTTCACGCGGCGAAGGTACTCTTCGTGGTCCATTTTTGTCCGTGCATAACCCACAATCTTGACATTCTTGGGGAGGAAGTTGTTTCGGTGCTGAGTATCGTGGGTTAACTCTGAACTTGTGGGCCGTAGCGCAGCTGATACTTACGAGGCCGAAGAGAGCGGGGAACTGGTGACAGGTTAGCGAGGGGCTACACGATGGGAAGCATTGACACGCACAGTCTTCTTCTTTGCTAGATCACCGGAAGCTCCGAGAACCACAATAATGGTGTTGTCCTTGAGCTCCATGGTGCTGTTGGCCACCGTACGTCAGCTTCAAATCTCTCCAGAGTGCCCCGCGATCGAGGCGAGGAGGGGCAGAGCGAGCGAGGCCAGCAACCCCGATGCCGCGCAACGGGCTCGAGGGGGTTAGAAGATGCGGTTGTCTGCATTCACCGCAGCACGAGAAGGAAGTCAGGTGGATAGATAATTCAAGATGGACGTACCCGGCATTGTCCTCCACGTCAGGGTGGATCACGGTATTGGCCATTGTGCGCGGAGGGGGGGGAGTTTGCAGCCTCGCTGGACTTTTGGCAGGCAAGCTATATAAGTCGGAGGTGAAAGGGTTACGAGGGGTGCAGGCGGGAAGAGGAATAAGCTTGGTAAGAAGGCGGATGCAACGGATAGAAGGTGGGAATGGATCGTGCAAGAAAGCTTTCTGTTCGGGATCGGGCGTTGGTTTGGTTTACGGCCGACGTGGGCCAGTTGACGTAGAGTACGAGGCGCTAGCTTCACCGTCACTGACTGTGATTTGGTCTAGGGTCGAGCAGAATAGACTCCACCAAAAAGGCAAGGAAGAAAAAACCTTTTGGACGCTCGGAACAAGGATGGCTGGGTAACGGATAAATTATCTACACATATCCAAAGCCATCACTAAGCAATTCTCACGCGCGAAGCCATCGTCGTGGCCTTTTCTCCGCTTCCGCCTCACCACGGCAGCAGGTGGATAGGTGCCTCGTGTACCGGGCTGCTCGCAACGCTTCTTACCACTTCTAACGCGAGCTGCCTAACGCTGCGTAGAGCACGACAGGGCTCTGGGTCATCTACAACCGACACTGGATCGTCTCAGCCATGTCACAGCTCCTGTGAGCAGGCGGATGCCCCTCATTGACAAACTGTTCCCCTCCCCTCTCTCCGGACTCCGGAACATATCCAAGATGCTGAATCCGGACCGACAACAGCTGTGATTAGTTGCTCATGGACTTGTTTGACTGCAAACATGGCTGCCTAATTAGCCAATTGGCATTGAGTACTGCAGCTGTAAGTCACGAATGATGAATGAATGAATGAATGAATGAATGCCACCATGTAGCAAGCCAGCCGGCCCGGCCCTACGTCTCTAGGGATGGCGGTTTGTATCATCTATCTATTCGCTTATCTTCCACCCACGTAGATTGTCTTCCGAGTGATGCACCATCAGTACCGTCACTAGACTGTCAATAGCGAGAATTATGTAGACAAACATGCAGTACGGCACCTCACAAACATGTTGTGCCGAGGCGTATCCCTCGGTTTGCCAGATCTACCGCTTGCCCGCCTGCTCACGTACACAAACACACCTGGGCATGCAGTGGCACACCCCACGTTGAACGTGATCAAGGATTAGTCAAGCTGTCCATGAGCAGAATGGGAAAGTGCTGGTCCCGACTGGTGATGCAAGTACCTAGCTTACGAGATGACATGGGCATATGAGGGCGTCCTACATTGATACATACACAGTAGGAGCGGGTATAGGGTGATGCGTGAACTGAAGGACACCAGCCCACGAATGATTGTGGGCATGAATGTATGCACACATTTCGCAAATATCATGTTCCGCGCGGGTTGCCATGCCATCGTTGATCACCTAATGTGAATGTTTGGGAAAGAGGAGGCAAACAGAGAGCATCGCATCCGCTATACCCAATCCGGTAGCGGCTTGGCACTCCCACACTCGTCTTTCCAGCTAAGCGAATATTTCGAACACCATCAAGTTCAACTAACCAGCAGCAAACCTCACTCGGTCCCGGATCCCATTCACGCACATCTCAGAGCCCAGGAACCGTTCGCCATGTCTGAGCAATCTCACCGCCGTAAGTCGATGCCCTCGCCTTGCGTCCGCGTGTCTGTCGCATCTCCGACATGGAAGGAATCAACAACGACGACGAGGTGCAACTTGGGGAGATGGACACGAGAGACGTTTGCTAACCCGTCTTGCGATGCGCAGTCTACGTGAAGGGAAAGCACATTTCCTACCAGCGCGGCAAGCGAAACACCAACCCCGGAACCTCCCTCCTCAAGCTCGAAGGCGTCGACTCCACCGAGGCGGCACAATGGTACGCTGGTAAGCGTGTGGCCTACGTCTACCGCGCTCAGCGAACAGTCCGGGGATCCAAGATCAGGGTCATCTGGGGCAAAGTCACCCGCCCTCACGGTTCGTGAACCAGTCTACGAAACATCCATTAGATTTGTACTGACATCGCAAAGGCAACAGCGGTGCTGTCCGCGCCAAGTTCAGGTCCAACCTGCCACCGAAGACTTTCGTACGTTTCACCACAAAGCCAATCTGCTGGCGAAGCTAACAGCTCTAGGGTGCCTCCGTCCGCGTCATGCTTTACCCTTCTTCGATATAATTTCCTTCGGTTACAATTGGGGAAGGGGGCGATGGGTTGGTGCTAGTGCGTTATGAAAGGGGCATATCGGCAGCGGAGCAAAACATGAGCGGGGAGGACTCATGCTCGGATTCATTCACATGGCTTGTTCGGGCTGCTTAACGGTGTCATGGCTTTCGGAAAACTATCGCGGTGACAGCATCAAGATTCCTCCCAATGATCAATCGAAAACGATCAAATTCAATCTGCGACTTTCAAAACACAATGTGATTATGATCGACGATATAATCTGCCGGCGTTGATAACAAAATGGAAAGATGGGCAGGACGGGCTATCGACCGCCTGGAATAACAATTATATTCATATGAGCTCCCACGGTTAATCAGCTATTTACTTGATGGTATGCTTTCTGACCAACCCGGCACCTCACTCGTAGCTCCTATGTGTCAGTTTGCACGATACATGTACTCCTTGCGCTTTACCGCAGTAGATGTATGAAGCTTAGGTTGCAGGACCTTGGATGAATTCGGGCATAAACCTCAAGGAGACTCTAACTACATGGCATGGTAGATGGTCATATATCATTACCTGTTTTCATGTCTGCCAGGTACCTGTGGTTCTCCAAACCTCCATCGCATGCTTCTGTTTGTGATTGAATACCCAACAACTACCAGTTCGACCTATCATGGACTTGAAGAAGTATAGTAACAAATCAATCAAGACCAAATATTCGACCAGAATTGACCTTCGAAATATTCCGCTATTATACCTAGACGAAGGAAATTATATAGACACGAAGATTGAGCCGGAGACACACGGTGGTTCCTTACTGATTGCTGGGTACTGTATGCCAATCCGCCGCCCAAAAACAATTCCGCTCGGCACCTGCTATGCCGAGGACCGCAACACGTCAACGCGTCGCGGGTCCGTGCAATGGTGTTGAGAAATGCCACCTGGATAGAGTGCAATGCGGTTGGACAAGATACGCGACATTGCACAAGCCGTTATCCATCTTGTTCTCTTGGAATAATAGGGTCATGCTCAAGCCAAGCCATCGCGCGAGCTGACGTTCCGAGTTCCCACGTATTCTCTGACGTATACTTCAGCGACCAACCCAACCGCTCACTCATCGTTTGTCAATCATCATTTGTACATGTCAGATAAGCTAGTTAATTACCGGTTCATGCCCCAAGGCTCTAGGTCACAGACTGTCCTCGCTCATTCCCTCCTTGTTGTCGTGTGCGCGCCCCTCTTCGTGTTCATCCTCTCCTTAGATAAACACCAGTCGTTACCTCCTACGAACCGCCACGTTTGGTGACTGCCCGATGCGACTCTGAACGCCTTTGCACAAACATCCTCGCGAATAGACAGGAAAGACTGGTCTCGACGCGGATCGCCTACTCGCCATGGTCTCCGGAGGTGGAAACGTAGGCGCAATGATGCCGCTTGCGCAATATACAGGCACCCCGTCTGTTAGAGGCTCATCCGATCCTATGCGTATGGCTCTACTTACGCTTTCGCTGGTCGGTCTGCAGTATGGAACCCACGCAATCTCCCTACTTCGGAACAGATATACTAAGCAATTGCAGAATTACATGGAATGTCGAGATGTAGGTCCGCCGGCTCAAATGCAAACAGCGAAACTTTTATACCACCGCTGTACTCGATTCCGATATGACCTAGTTGGCTAATAATGCGATCAAGGACCTACTGCACACCATATCTTTTGGAGCTTGGTTTGACCAAGTCAAGGATTTCGCTTGTATGGATAGCCGGTCCTTTGTCGGGACTCATCATGCAGCCTGTTGTTGGTGTGATCTCGGACCGCTCGAAGAACCGCTGGGGAAGAAGGAGACCGTTCATGGTTGGTGGTACAATACTTGTGTCGATCTTCCTATTGCTCCTGGGCTGGACCAAAGAAGTGATACAAACCCTCGGAATTAGGGATAAGGAGGCTGTTCGAGACGGCACAATAGTATTGGCTGTCTTAAGCATCTACGGGATTGACTTCGCGATCAACGCCGTCCAGGGAAGCTGCAGGGGCCTGATTGTTGATACACTGCCAATTCCCAAGCAGCAATCAGGGAGCTCTTGGGCGAGCAGAATGGTGGCAGTGGGCTCACTCGTTGGGTACGCTGCAGGAGCCATTGATCTCGGGAAAGTGTTTGGAACTCTACTGGGTGACTCCCAATTCAAGCAATGTACGTTACGGATTCAGAAGCACATCGGAGCATGCATGCGAACTTTGCCTGCTTTGTAGCTTTGATGGTCTGTTCAAATACTCTCACTTGAACCATTACTGACTCTATACCTCCCACTCAGTGACAGCAGTGGCCGCTCTATGCCTGTGTATCACTGTCGGAATAACGAGCTGGGCGGTTACAGAAAGGGTACTCGTTAGTGACGGTCTAGAGGGCCAAGGGAGCCTTGGTGCGCTGGATGTTCTGAAAACAATTGCGAAATCAGCCATACATCTCCCTAAAAACATTCAAGCCATCTGCACCGTGCAGTTCTGGGCATGGATTGGTAGGTCTATACAATCTGGTATCTGGCATGAATCACATTAACAGATAAACAGGATGGTTCCCGTTCCTATTCTATTCTGTACGTATCTCTCCAATCGGACGTCCACTCCATGCTGCAGGTGTAGATGCATGTACACTTCACACCTCCATGCACACCAATATTTCGAACGTAGCGGCATAGCGTGGCGTAGTTTTTGGAAACCTTGATAGCACATATCTAACTGGAACACGCTGACTTTGTACCCGTGACTTTAGACTACATGGGTCGGAGAGATCTACCTACGTTACGATGCATCCGCTGACGAGAAATCGAATTCAGATGATCTCACTGGCAAAGTGGGACGTATCGGTTAGTTTACCCCAGATCAAGAGGCGTGCCAATGGCGAGAAGACCCCACGCAGGGTAGTCACGAAGCCTTGATACTTTACCTGCCAATCTTGATGCAAATTTGCTGACTCTGTGTCCTCGCTTTTAGGTTCCTTGGCTTTGATCGCTTTTTCCATCATCACTTTCATCATGTCGGTGTTGCTACCATTCTTCGTCAAGAGCCCCGAAGAAGAAACAAGGCGTGGATTTAGGCCACGCTCGCGGCAAAATATAGCATCATTTGCTGTGGATATTGAGAAATACAAACCGAGCTTGTTGAACACGTGGATGTTTAGTCACTGTATTTTTGCAGCATCTATGGTCATGGCACCTTTTGTACAAAGTCTAAGGGGTGCCACAATCATTGTTGCCCTCTGTGGAGTGTAAGTTGATGCAAAACAACTGCCTTGGAACGCATTCTGACGCGCTGTTACAGTTCGTGGGCAGTGTCTTGCTGGGCCCCCTTTACTTTTCTTGGAGAGGAAATCAATCGCTTGTCTCAATCTGGTCCGAGTTACGGTCATTTAACGCGGTCTTCGATTGAGCTGGAGTCGCCCATGCAAGTGCACAACAACGGCGCCGAGGAGGCTTCCGACTCGACGGGGGAAAACTCGGGGAAATATTTGGGAATCCTGAACGTTTACACCACGCTGCCCCAATTTGTCGGCACGGCGATTTCGTGGGTAGTATTTTCTTTGTTGGAGCCGGGCAAGAGTCCCGAACTATCGAAAGGAAGCGATCCGAGTGAACACCATGGCACAGACGGACCGAATGGAATTGGCGTTTGCTTGTTCATTGGAGCAGTCTGCGCCGGAGTCGCGGCGGTGGCAACGAGAAGGTTAAAACATCTGCAGAACGATTAACGGCACAAGCCACGGATGCTACATTGCTATGTGGGTGCACAAGTAGCAAACCATGGGAATGGAAACTTTTGGCATGATGATTGTACCTTGTCAAACAAAGCAAGAGCACGCCAAGGCAGCCAGCGTGTTTTGTAGTGGATGGATGCACGAAAGAAGGAAGGAAAGAACATTTGAAAGAAAGGATGGATGACTGAAGATGAAATTGACGAAGTCGGACCCTTTCCATCATGGTTCTATTTTTGGATCAAGATAGAGACGGTGGGCAGGGCGGCGTCGGGAAAGAATTTTCTTCCTTTTTTCTTCGTCTCCTTTTCAGGGTCTTCGCTTTATTCTGGAAAAGATGCATCCTGGCATGGCACCATGCATGCGGCGTCAGCTTTAAGTTTGGGGTTGAATGGATTGGCCACCCCCGCGATGGATGAAGGCTTATGTGCTCCAGCGCTCATTCACATCATTGGTCGCAGATGCAGGCGCGGGCAAGTCCGGCGATGGCATCAAAAGCTTTTGCAGGCCGAGAGTGCGTGTTGTGACTGTCAAATGTCGGTGCAGTGGCACAGCATTCATTCATTCACTCATTCACTCACTCCTTCAGTGAATGGATCAGTGCACTGTTGGATACGCGCGTGCCGCAGTGGCAAAAGGGTTTGCAATCTCAGCTTATAGACAGCAATGTATATATGTATATACCTACTAGACTTGCTCGACCACGATAAATAGGTGGTGGACAAGCAATCAAGTACTGGTGCCAGCATTGAATGTTGTTGTTGTTGCAGCCAATTACCTATTCACTATTCACTACATAACCCAAGTCGCAGCAAGACAGGCTGGCAGTCAGTCAGCCTTTTCCGTCGCGGCTTCCCCAACTGATAGGATAACCGAGCCGTGCATGCCAACAATTATTCACCCACCTTCTCCATCCTTGCCTCACAAACGCGTAGCATCAATCTGCTCTCACCTTATTACTCGCCCTCGTCTCCCCGAAACACGTCTGTTGTTGGCCCGCCAGCTTCCTCTGATCACGACAGCCAGTCGCTGGCCGTTTACATCACCGCCCGAGCGTCGACTAGCCTAAGAGAGTTACATAGAGGGGCAAAAACCAGCGAACATTTCTGCAAAAGCGTCCCGGGCTCGTCAACAACCACTGCAAATCTCAACAACACCAAAACACAGCAGCCTGGCCATCAACATGTCTGAGCCCATCCGCAACAAGAAGGCCGACTCCATAACCGCGCCGTAAGTACTCTCCTCCCCAGGTACCTTCGAACCCTCCCAGCACTCCATTTTCTCCCGCATTCCCGCTCCATGACGGCCTCATCCAGCGCCATCCGTCTGCACAACGCTCACAGTGCCTCCCACAGTACGCCGCAAAACACTCCCGCGAATGCCGCACCCATATCCTCGCGTGCCCAACAGCCTGGCGTCGCCAGCATCAAGGAGGGTAAGTACCCCTCACCCTTTCCTTCTGCCCCTCACCTCTGCGCAATAGTATTGCTGTTGTGCATGGCCCTGTCCCCCTCCACAGTGCCTGACCGCTAATTCGCCACGTCTGCAGAGGACATCAGTGCCGCTGCCGGCCTCTTTGCTGCCAACCCTGCTCTCGTCTCCATGATGCAGGCCAAACTAGGCTCATTGGTTGGCCGATCAAGTGGCTACATCGAGTCGCTACCCGTCTCGGTCCGCCGTCGCGTCGCTGGCCTCAAGGGAATCCAAAAAGACCACGCGAAACTCGAGGCCGAATTCCAGGAAGAGGTTCTTCAGTTGGAGAAGAAGTACTTCGCCAAGTTCACCCCGCTGTACCAGGACCGCGCAAAGATTGTCAGCGGTGTCTCTGAGCCGAGCGAGGAGCAGGTCAAGGTTGGCGAGACCAAGGATGAAGATGACGAGGATGAGAACCCTGTACCAGAGGAAGAGATCAACAAGGACGAGGGCAAGGACGTCAAGGGTATTCCAGAATTCTGGCTCAGCGCCATGAAGAACCAAATTTCTCTCGCCGAGATGATCACCGACCGGGACGAGGCTGCGTTGAAGTCTTTGTCCGATGTTCGCATGGAGTACCTCGATCGGCCAGGGTTCCGCCTCATCTTCGAATTTGATGAGAATGACTTCTTCACAAACAAGACCATCACCAAGACCTACTTTTATCAAGAGGAGAACGGCTATGGTGGTGACTTCATTTACGACCATGCTGAGGGCGACAAAATCGACTGGAAGACCGGCAAGGATCTCACCGTCCGCATCGAGAGCAAGAAGCAGCGCAACAAGAGTATGTATACCCCGGTCTCTTTTCTATAAGAAAAAACCACCCCATCTGACTAGGCTGCAGACACCAAACAGACCCGAGTGGTCAAGAAGACTGTCCCAACGGAGTCATTCTTCAACTTCTTCGACCCACCCAAGCCCCCTCAGGATGAGGACGACAGCTCATCTGACATTGAGGAGCGGCTCGAACTGGACTACCAGCTTGGTGAAGACATCAAGGAGAAGCTCATTCCCCGTGCCATTGATTGGTTCACTGGTGAAGCCCTACAGTACGAGAACATTGAAGATTTCGATGAGGGCGAGTTCGAGGATGAGGATGATGAAGACGATGATGAGGTCACCGAAGGCGACTCGGACGAAGACTCAGATGAGGAGGTAGGTTGCTCTTCACTTGAAGGATGTGGCCAAGGTTACTAACACGGAAACAGGGTGACGGCACAAAACCAAAGCAGGAAGCTGCTGAATGCAAGCAGAGCTAAAGGTTGCATTTCCTTCTTCGACATTGCTGGCTGGAATTATTTCGGCTTGTTCACTTTGATCTAGACGCTGGCTTAATAGGGCCCCTACTGGCTTGACAGTCGTTGGGCCTGTGTTTCTAGCTACACATTACCCGCATCCTCCTTTCCGCGTTTCCCTTCCTTCGACTATAGCGAGCTTTGCTTCTGGTGTAATTTGCTCTACTATCAAGCAAGGGCGGGACGGTCTTCGTCACCGAGCTAGCTACCAGACTCTCCACGGACTATGCTGTCTTCCCTTCGTACCCCCTTTCGTCTTTAGCATCTTACACCGAGGTAACAGCACGGGATGTCATGTGGGTTGGCGCTATGCACACGGGAATCACAGCATGTAACTTTTCCTCATTGTTGGTGGTTGGCTTTTGTAAAGACATCGGTTCGGGGTTCAGTGCGTTCATTCTACGGTAAAAGTTTTTTGGAGGCGGAGCATTCAGCCAAGGCAAGGTAAATGCAGGCGACATAAGAGGCAATTCGATATCTTAGGTAGCGAGAAACTTTGAGGCGTCCTCTCCAAATCATGATTGCATATTCAGTATTTATATTCCGGTTCTCCTGCTCGTTAACCATGCTTTCGGCAATCCTAAAAGCGGATTAGGGCGGGGCACCTCCGCGTGGCTCGCGATTGATTGCGGGGTAAATTCGGCTTTCCAAAAAAAAATGGAACAGAAAAGTAACAATTTTTGGGAAGCGAAGGTAGGAGGGAAACTTCACGTCAATTGATCGTTGCTATTCTATTCCTAGTGGTGCAGCCAACTCTTATTTTCTCAGGCCAGGAGTCGCAACGATTGTGAAAAACTCCTCTCTTCAATCGATACTGCCATGACCCGCAAGCTTCCAAACATTGTAGTCACGGGTACCCCGGGCGTGGGCAAAACAACACATGCAGAGCAAATTGCGCAAAATCTGGGATTCAAGCATGTCTCCATAAACCAAATCGTCAAGGACGAGGGTTTCCATGAGGGCAAGGACGAAGAGCTAGGAAGCTGGATAGTGGACGAAGACAAGGTACACACCACATCCACAGGCGCATCAAGTCCCAAAACAATCAAGCATAGCTGACCAACATTTCCCCCCGTGATTATACAGCTCCTAGATTATTTAGAAGCCACCTCACTCTCTGAAACGGGCGGCTATGTCCTTGACTTCCACGCCTGCGAGCTCTTCCCCGAACGCTGGATCGACCTCGTCCTCGTACTCCGGTGCGATTCCACCGTTCTTTACGATCGCTTGACGGCGCGCGGCTATGAGGGCAAAAAGTTGGAGGAGAATATGGACAGCGAGATTATGCAGGTGCTGCTTGACGAGGCGCGAGAGAGCTATAAGGAGGAAATCGTCGTTGAGCTGAAGAGCGAGAATGCTGATGACGTCGAGGCGAATGTGGATAGGGTCGAGCAATGGGTTGAGCAGTGGAAGAAGGATAGGGAAGCGAGTGCGGATGCCTGAAAGGAAGGCTATAGGGTTATAAACTGAAGAGGGGCGATTACGGCATATCCGGAATTGACAGATGTGGTGAGTTGGCTCCTTTCCTTCTTGAGCATGAGGACATGGGATATATTTGGTTTTGGACATTTGAAGGATCGAAAGGAAAGCAAAAGCGCGGTATCGTCTATGCCTCAAACCTGGCTCCCCAACCATTCCTTCAACTTATCCAACGCCTTTCCTCGGTGTGAGATCTTGTTCTTCTCGCTTTTGTCCATCTCAGCATACGTCTGTCCCTCATACTCGAAGCATGAGTCCCAGCCTGTGCATTTGTCAGCTATTTTCCCTCAAGCTGTCAACTACGACTGCGAAAAGTAACTTACCGAATACTGTAGGTCCCCTACTTTGGACGAGCTTGCCGTCCGTGCGGCCTTGGAAGAGGATGGGTTCGTGGCCAGGGCCGGCGCTGTAGCCAAATGTACAGACGGCTTGCGCAGATTTGTCTTCGAAACCTTCGAGAAGCTTGTGCATCTGCAGCGGGCCAAGGGAGAGCATGAACCATTTGCTTTAAGTGTTGTTAGTTGGAGTGGAGAGCGAGGATGAGGGATGAGGGATGAGGGGTGGCTCCATTTGCGAGGCTTAGAGCGAAGTGCTCGATCTTTCGAATGGTTGCGGAGGTAGGGTGAAAGAAGGATCACGTACATGTACGGTCCCGGGAGATCGTTCATAGCCTTGAAGCAAAGACATGTATCTTCCACCAAGACTGGTCCGTTGATCTAAAAAAAATGCGCGCGTTCGTATCAGTACTTGAACTCAAAATCGAGCCATTTCAAAGTATATTGCATGTGATCTCCATATGTGACATGACACTGCAAGATGGAAATAAAAATGAAAGGAAAAATGAGTCAAGACTCACGGCTTCGGCTGCTCGACGGCACTTGTCTTTGGTGACTTCCTCCACTGTGCCTTGGATTTCGACCAGATCGACATTCTGGTTTTGCAGCTCGATGACGCCCTGGAGAATGGCTTGGACTTCTGCGAGCTTGTTCTTGTTCCCCGTGATGAAGTTGAGGTGCTTTGGCACCGCTGCCGAAGAGGAGGACATGACGTGATTGTTCGCGAAGAGAAGGATTAGTGATCAATTGATTGATTATGATGTTTGTCGCCAGGTGAGACTGAGGTCCTGAGAGAGTCTCGGAGAGAGGCACGCTAAGTGTGAGTGGATTGTTGAAGCAGTGGTGGGGGTTTGTGTTGTGTGGCAGCTAGCATGCTATCGGGATTGGAGTGGCAGGTGGATGTTCGGTGATTGGGGTCTTTGCTTCTCGTGTGAAGTTGATTCAAATCGTACCGATTACCCCCATGCAGGTTCTCTTTAAAAACGCCATCTCGACTTTTCCATGGCACAATTCCGCGGTGTGACAATTGCTGGATTTGATAAGCAGCGTCGAGTATGACTGGACGTTCTGCAGACAGCAAGGCTTAGCTTCTAGCAGCGCATGCTGATTGACCAGAGAAGCGACAGCCAGGGTGCTGATGCTACCTCGCGATGCAAGAGAGCTGAATAATTGCACCTCACAATCTCCTTTCCTCCTGGCAAAGGGCGGAATTGCCTACTTCTGCCTATTTCCTGAAGGGCTGACCTGAAGTGGAGGCATCTATCTTTGGCCGCCGCCGAACACGGGCAAATTGGCGAGCGTCAGCGACCCTTCTAGCGTGGCTTCTCGAATGAACCCGGGGCCCGGTACTGATGCCGCTCACCACTATCCCACCGACACACTCTCATCCTGACACTTGTCATCGCTGCGAGCCTGTGCGAGCTCAGCTCTGCATTTGACTAAGCTGTCCTGCAGGCGAAGAGGGCACTCCAAGGACTGAGCGCCAGCCCACGTCATACAACACCGCAACAACCGTTTTTTCTCATCCGCCTTGCTGACCTCTACCCTTCGACCACACAGCCTGTTACTACAAGATTACTGACCGACTACCCGCTTCACCGACGCGCCTTACAACGTGGTGACCCCCTGGTTGGATCTTCACCGGGCTGTTTGCTCTGGCGGTGTATCAAAAGAAAAATTAAGAGAGGCCTCCACGATGCCATTCAAGGGCCTGTTTGTAGGCGTCTATGCCTCTAATCGGGGTATAAGAGTCATGTTTCTGCCTGTGCTGTACCTGCTGCTCAGTGTTCCTTTACTCTCCGTCATAATATACTACTTTCCTGCATCTCTACCCCAGTTTGTGCAAGCTCGAAATCCATCCGATATTTTGCTGCAAGTCTTTGTTTCCCTCATCGCCTTTACGCTACCCACTAGAATTCTTTCGGGCAGAAGTTGGTCAAACAGTCGCAATGAAGGGAAGAGACGGGTACAACAAATCCCATACTGGACACCAGGGTTGCGAAATTGGCTCAATATAGTGTTTGGTGGTGAAGGCTGGTTGAAGGGTGTTAGGTATGCTTTGAGACGCAACGCTTTACCGAGAAGGGTGCTGAGCTGACCACGTATTACAGTGCAAATGTCTTTCTTCCACTTTTTACATACAACGCTGCAGGGACAAAACACAATGTTGTCCTATCTCCAGCAATGCTAGATCAATTACTTGAGAAGAAGGAGGGTCTCGAAGAAGCTGATATCAGCAAATGGGCGGCGCTCCAAAATGCGTTCGGAATGCCAAAGAGCTTGAAGGAACGTGGACTTGTCCTGAAATCTGAGGTTTCAGAAGTCACTCAAAAACAGGTCTTCAAAGGCAAAGAGATGGAAAAGCTGTTGGCCTCTACACTCAATCACCTTTCCGAGTCACTCCCCGATCTCATCACCTTCAACTCTTCACTTGTCGACCAGATGTCCTGGGAGCGAGTAGCCAACATCGAAATGACAGAAGGAATTGAAGAAGTGGAGTGTGAGCTATTCACACTCTTAAACGAGTTCTTCTGCAACGTCTTTATACCTCCCATCGCCGGGGTTCAGTTCCCAGAATCTTATCAACTTCTCGCATCGGACCTCGCAACCTTCAACCAGTTTTACTATGCACTCGCGACTGGAATCCCGCGTCTTTTTCCAATGGCCGGACTTCCCGGTGCTGTGCTGGCCAGGAACAGGTTGCTGCAGAATTTCGATAGATTGTTTTATGACCTTGCGAACCCACCCAAGAAGAGGGTGCCCGAGGACGATGAGAGCATGAGTGGTGAAGAAATGGACGCTGATACTCCAACTCCATTCACGATTTTAAGCGAGCATTTCACCAAGTTCGATGTTGATTATTCAGCCCGGGCGGCTCTTGCGTTGGAGATTTTGCACGGTGTATTCTCAGAGCTTGTGCCTGTGGCATGCTGGACAATACTGCATGTACACAAAGACTCGGTACATGCAAAGGCTGGCCAGGAGACCCTTATCGAGAGAATACGAAAAGAGACCAAGGTATGGGCCGAGGCCGTTCAGCCGCCTTCAATACACCCATCCTTCCCCACGCCACCGGAGATATCGTTTTCTGGCACAGCGAAGGCTTTGAACGCGGCAACCTTTCCTCAGATACGGTCCTGCATCAACGAGTCGAGACGACTGTATAAAACCTCCATCTTCACATTGGAAGCTACGAAGCCTGTAATCGTGACCGAGACCTCAAATATTCGGCCAGGGGATCAGGAGCAGTACGAACTCGAAACCGGATCTCACATCGACGTCGGTCTTTCGCAGACTCTCATCAACAACTCAAATGCCACTTTCCTCTCTCCAGCCGAGTACCAACCGGATCGTTTTGTTGACAAGTCACCCCCCTCATCCGTCACCGCTGTATCCAAATCCAACGAACCATACACAACAGCTCTCCTGGTAGCCTTTGTGGCTGGTATACTGCAACTGTGGGAAATTGCACCTGCTCCCAAAAGAACCATTTCCGATCATTGGAATGAGGCTGCGACTGCTGCTTCTGGCGAGAAGGTCAAACTCAACACAGACGAAGCAAAGAAGGGGGTGTGGATCGTGCCAAAAGCACAGGATGGAGCAAACTATAAAATTCCCAAAGGGGAAGTCAAGGTCAGGATTCGGAGGAGAGAGGGACTCGCCGGGGCGAAAATGGTTGTGGGAAAGAGGAAGTAGTTTAGGAAGCTTGTAATTGCATCGTAATAGAATTCCTTCCACGTATGAATCGCGTCGTCTTGAGCCTGTCGTCAAGTGAAGTGATGATATCATTTTCCTCGTGGGTCTAGCATCGTTCCTTCTACGACATTGCGTCGTAGAGTCTGCATTGCCGAAGAACCGGCAAGGAAGGCATCGCGCAATAATCGTCATCGAATGCGTACGACATCTGCCATCTTTTTGTGCTCGCTGCGCACGACCTTCTCAGCCTACGCCAATCTCCACTCTAAAGCATGACTTCTCTGATTCTTCCATCATGGAATGCAAACAACATGCTCGCCAAAGGTACGGCCCTCGGAAGGTATACCGTTTGGAGGTATGACAATATTACTGGTGGATTCAGGGCATTCTCATACTGATAGCAACAGATATCATGACAGTAGCAGACTGCAATATCGGTCCGACCAGCCAATATACACGTCTAAGCCTCGCTCTAAGACGAATCTCAATCCTACAATAATCTACATAGTACATGCACCCTGTGCATGTTCAGATGCCATGATCCTGCTACAAGGATTAACGAAAGCATGGATTGACATCCTTCGGAGATAATCAACCAATCATATCTGGGGCGCGCGCGTTCTCACACTTTAGGGTCACGCTTACTACATACATAACGAACATTCGACCTGCATTGCCTCATCTTCAACTTCGCGGGAAGTGATCTTGCCATCTTAACTTTGTATGTATACGTTCACAAACTTTGGATCCTACTGGCGCTTTCGCTGCCCATCTCGGTAACAACCACACGTCGATAGACAGAACGAGTTGGCTCCTGCAGAATCATTCGATTGTAGGAGTTGTTTGCGCTCAAAAGAGAAAGAACACAAGAAGGTCGGGACGTACAGCAGAACGAACCCGAAACGAGGGAACTTTAGAGAGCGATTGGTGCGGTTGTGATGTCTTCAGTCGGACTGAGCAACAGAATGGGACATCGACCTGTGAAGACCTGCACAGAATGCAAGCAAGTCAAAGTGAGTAAGGGTGTCAAACGGGCTCAGTTCCTTCACTCGAATCGTCAATCTATATCGGTTTGAGAGGTCACGCTGACATGACCATATTTTAGCTGAAATGCGATTCCAAAGTTAAATTTCCCGCTCCGTGTACACGATGTCACACTCGAAATCTCCAGTGTGCAGTGGACTCAACATTTCGCCGTACGCCGGCGCGCAGGTAAGTAACTACAAGTTTCAAGATGAACCGAGAGGAATATATTGTGCTGATTGCTGACCACGATTAGACGTGTCGAAGAAATGGCCAGAGAGCTGGAAAGCTTGAGGCAGCAGAGAGAAGAAACCGGATCCAAAGCGTCGCCCTCGACAAATAATGAGTCGGGTTCGGCAACGTATGGATCTCCAGCAGATACCTTGGATCACCCCGGTGTAGCCGTTCTGAACGAACTTGGTATGATGGACGAATATCGACTTGATGACTTCGTCGTTGACAAAGCAACTGTTATTCATACCTTTCGGATGTAGGTTACTACCGGCATGCGGAAGAGGTTTGATTTACACTTGGATTTAGTCTAACTCATATTTCTCTAGATTCTCTCTTCTATTTTACCCACACTGGCCCATTCTTCACCATAGAATTTCGATCTCGTCCATGTACAGTCATTCGCCCCTGCTCTTCTGGACCATCATCGCCATCGTAGCATCTCGTGCAACTACGCCTCAAGAAGGTGTACTGTTTGAACCACTCGTGGGACCCTTCCTTTCCTACCTTGGAGGTGTCATTTTGAAAGCGCCAGTGCCATATCCAGCAATCCAGGCTCTGACATATTTGATCATCTGGCCTTTTCCAGCGGAGCGACAGAACCGCGATTCAACATGGTTGTATTGCGGCGTAGCGACCAATGCCGCCATGTATTTAGGTCTTCACCAAGCTAGACCACCTCCAAGTCTGAGGAGCATCGGTGTGCCGGCAGGGACTCCAAAGGCAAGGGCTCACACGTGGTTGGGCTGCTTCGTAGCCAATACATGGTAAGACCACCATTCCTTCAGAGGTCATCACATGATCCCCCCCCCTCCCCCCCAAGAATGCCACTGTCGAGATATGTACACATAAGCTAATCTAGAATTGTTCTTCAAAAAAGCCTTGGGTTACACGTCGGAGTTACCCCCTTATTGACAGGCCCAAAAGAACTCGAAACCATCGAATCCTTCGTACGAGGCCACGCAATCCCATCCGAATTCGCCCACCATGTCATGGTACACGCAACCCTCGCACGCTACACAAAAATTGTCACCGAAACGAGCGAAGAAATCGTCAGCCACTCCCTGATACGTCTTTTCAATGCCGAGCTCGATAGCATCAAGACCCGCTTCCCTACCCCTTGGACCGCGCGGTCAGAAATGGCTACCTTGATTGCAAAGATTCACATCTACACCATGACCATTATTAGAATTCACAAGGACCTCACGACACGCGAGATCCTCATGCGAAGTACTTACACGACTGCACTGCGCATCATCTACCTATGTGACCAGGGTGAGATAGCGTTTCACCCAGCCGAATACAAGCACCTGGCCCCGGAGATCCTGGAACGCGCGGTGCCAAAAGACTACTTCCGCACTCTTTTCTTGGCCACAATTTTCCTGTTGCGCTTCTTTGCGCTCAACGTGCACGCCGCGCCCGAAGACCAGGAGGTCGCGCGGAACCACGTCGCCATGGCGCAGCGCTGCCTCAAGGCGGGTAGTCTGAATGAGAACGACGAGAAGGAGCGCGCGGCTTTTCTACTCGAAGTATTGAGCCGTCAACAGCCCATCGACGTCGACAACACTAAGTTGAGAATCGATAATCGCTTGGGGGCCTCGTTGGTCTACGATGCCATTACCACGGGTCACAAGCTTCGCAATCTGGACGAGGAAGTGACTGGGGACCCCGAAGAGGCGGAGGTAGAGGCCGCGGCCGTACCAGCTTCATTGCAGGGCGGTGGGCACCCAATGCCTACAGGTCCCATGGACACTTTCGCAGAGATGCCTCCCCCGCCTTTTATGGCGTCGTCTACTGTCCAGGGAATGGCTCAGGTGGACATGAACGGTATGGATGCTTTTACTGGGCCGTTCGAGTTTTCACTTCCTGAAGACTTGTGGGGTGATTCCATATGGAATATGTTCAATAGTGGTGCGCCGGATCAGTCCATGATGTATTAGAGCGGATCATTCTGTGTAAATATATATCTCGCGTTTTCAGTAACAAAGCTATGTTCAAACCTTGCCAATCATCCTCAAATCCATACCGGAGTGAAATGCAAGCAGATCGCCATGAACCAAGGAAAAATGCGTTTTTCAATGGACACCAAATCATTACTTTCTTTGACTAATACTTTATGCAATTTGAGAGCTTTATGCGAATACTAACTTACAAGACTACTGTTTTGGTCTGACCACTTACACTCACATAGCACACCAGATATGCAGATCGACCCATCTATCTCAGCGCCTCCAGCTGCGCGACCAAGCTCTCCGGCAACGCCATATCAAACAACGGCATATACTTCTGACTTCCGTGGACATCGCTCTCCATGAACCCCCCATTCGGCTGATTCCGGCCGCGGACACGTCTGGGGATAGTAGCCTTCCACGCGAGAGCCTGGTCAAAGAAGCCACTCCACACGACTTCCTTCTCCTCGAGCTCGTACAATTGCGCAATATTTGCTTTTGTCAGGAATCCAGCTTCTTTGACCATGTAGTACTCGCGGTCCGTCTGGAACATGATGTCGAAGGTCAGTTCGAAGGGGCCGGAGTTCTTGGACCGCACCACGCTGGCGAGGGCGCCCAACGTTCGCGGTACGGGTAGTGTAGACGGATCAGGCTGGTCATCGTGGGGGATCGAAAATATCTTCCCTGGTTTCACCACCGGGCTTGATTCCGATGAGGTTTGTTCATTTGGCAGTGGAGGTGTTGGGGGCGCACCTCTACCAATGGTGTATGTTTCCTGCCGGTAAAGACCATTGGCCGTTTCAGGAGAAGATTCAAGCGCCAGCCTCTCTTCGCCCTCTTCTAGATCTACGAGATGGTAGATGCAAAATTCAGCACACGGACCGAGGGGGATCTCCATCTTGCCACCTAATCCGTATGCAAAAGCCCCGGCCGTGGCCTTCATGCCAGGGTATGGGATGTGTACACTGGCCACTCTTGCTGTTGCGACAAGACTGTTTGCTAGCTCTTGTGTTGGCGCGATTGCCTCACCTATCAAGAAAATCTCGCCTGGTTTTCCAGTGGTCTTCTCAATTGTGTTTCGTCCGTAGACGTGCCAGTCTATTTCCCACGTGTCACGAGTCTCGTGGTGCTGGAAGTTGACGTACATCTTTATGCGGTCCAAGACGAGATCAATCTGATCAAGGAGAATGGCTGCTTGCATGATTAGCCTCTTATCCGAATCGTAAGTTTACGATCGAAGCTGGACGTTGAAAGAAATGGCAAATGCTACTCACGGTCATGATAGCTTCCCATATACTGTGCTCGGTATCCTTGCACTTTCGCGCCTTCGAGCTTGATTTGATAATTCTTTCCCGCGTCTCTTGAAAAAGTGAAGCTTGCACCTCTACATCTCACTGACCGATTATCTGCCATCTGCTCGTACGTTGTCCCTGTCAAATCAAGCCACCCTCCTGGGCCGCTCAGGATATCGGGCCTCGTCTTTTCGTACAGCGTATGGGCCGAAACAGACAATGGCGTACATCGTGAAGCAGGGTCGTGAGGAATCAGATCGAAACTTGCATCTTCGTACACAATTCCCGTCACCCCCTGGCTCTTGGGTCGCGCGCAAGCTGCTCCGCACTCCATGATCTTGCCCATATGTGTAAAGGCGCCAAACAATTTCTTTTTCTGCTCGGACATTGTGTCTTGGAAGTTCGTTTTAGTCGCGTAGGCTGCGTACGCTACATAAGGGGCGGGATCGTAAGCGCGACCGCCCGCTATCACGTCAAAGCCCGGATTAGCAACCATGGCATCGTAGAAGGGTTCGGGGCCCATTTGTGAGCAAATCCGAGGTGCGAGGTCGATATCTTCGGGATTCAGCGGCGGTACTGGAGCCCCACAGCCTGATACGGCGCCATTGCGTAGTTTCTCGTGGACATAGTTTTTATCGATGTTGGAAAATATGGCCACTGTTTTGATGTTATACTGCCTATCATTTTAATTCAGTGACGGTTCCTCATAATAACCAAGACCCACACTTTCTCACTTCGTCACTGCGTAGTGAAAATTGGTGCAATGATGGTAAAGAGTTACAAAGGCACTGTACTTACTCGTTCCCCTTTTCCTCCGCGATCTCTTCAATGATTTTTATCATTTCTCTTACGTGGTCGTCGCTTCCATCGCCTCCAGCACTTCCAAAAATGACTGGGACTTTGTAAAGCTTGCCCAGCCGCAACAGATGCGTCAGATCCTTAACATAATTGGAGCGAGGGGCTGACATAGTTCCCAGAGCTAACTTCTCTGGCCCGCTGTCGGTTGAGCCCGAATCGAGGACGATGGCGGTCAGTGCGCCATTTCGGTATACGTCTACAATTGCTTGCGCCGTTTCTTGTTCTTTGAGACCGTAACCCAACATGCCCACAGGCGTTACGATGTTGACGAGTGGACGTGGTCCATTACGTGATGCGGTGGCGGATTCGGTCATGACTGGTAATGGAGTAGAGGGATAAGATCTTAGATTGGGCAATTGGGTCGTATTGAGAAAGACCTACGTTTTCGGAAAATTGTGTTGTCCAATGTTCAGACACTGCACGAAAGAAATGCCAACGGAATATAACCCTCCCTCCGCAGTTCGTACCCCAGTCTTTTGTATTGGTCACTCTCTATCGATGGCCCCCCTTCACCGGCCGACTTCTCCGAGACCTCGCATATCTCGGTCGGACAAGTTTAGAGGAGGAAACGCATGCTCAAGCAGAATTCGCTTTTAGGCTTGGCCCTGGTGCGAGGTCGCTGTGCAGAGCGAAAAGCGCTTGAGAATGGCCCAAGGTGGGGATCTCGACTGATTCGTTGGAATAATCGATGGCATTCTGGTATCCTATGGGGAATCAAGCAAGTGATTTTTTCGATTCTAGAAACCGAAGTCAAATTTGTGGAGGTCTGGTGTACGTCGTGCCTCGGTCGACACACAGGAGCAGGGAGCGGTTGATCCTCGTAAACGAGTCGACCAATTGAACAAGCCGTGGGAGTAAGACGTATATCTGTGTAGATAAGGTGACCACATGAAAATTGGTGGAATTCACAATTGTGTTCTGGTACATGGTAGTAGGGAGATGTCCAAGAGGAGGTGACGGACGAGTTTAAATCCAACGAAGAGTGTATGTGAGGCTGGGCACAACCTCAATGTATCCACCCACAAGATCACAACGTGCTTGGAATGATGGCCAAGAATGAGGGCAGAGGATGGGCAGCCGTAACGCGGGAGTAAGCCACAACGAACCAATTCTCAAGTCGCCATTGCCGATATGGGTGACTCCTTCTGACTGGAACCCCCCAGGATTCCGCATTGTGAGTGGAGACGGTTGTTTCCTAATCTGACATCTCTCCTGGCATGGTATCTGGGTAAACTTGTTCAAGAGCATGCTGACGGCGATCTATGTGTCAGTTGATCGATGGTTTGCAATATCTGTCAGCACCACGACGAGATACCGTGGAACACATTTTCTGACTATGTCATTTCCATGTGAGAACACGAGGCAAAACGCGAACCCTGATTCTTTTTTGGTTGTACGTATCACTTTACGTCTGATAGAAATAATTGATCCAACAGACTGGATTTCTTCCAAAAATAATTGTACAAATCATCTCCTTATCGTACATGCGCTTGGTTGTGATCTCCCTTCAGCATTCCTGGCTACCTTGATCATCATCCACTCTCCTTTATTGGCATGCAAACTTCTTCGTATGATCATATGCGCTTTTTTGTGTTCGATGTACTCGCATGCGTCTTCGTCATCTTGGTCCCATCGATGAACCGCTCAATGCGACGCTGGAGTACGGTTCTATCGGCGACGCTACTGCCTCAACCTCTCCAACTCGCGAAGCACAACCAGATTGGCATCCAAGAAGCGATCCACGCACTGCCTCATGCAGGGCTCCTCGTACTTGTCAAGCGCGCCCTTCTTAACGGTTCCCGCGGGGATGCATTTCCGGAAGCAAGTATCGGTGAGAGAGTGGATAGCTATGCAGCATAAGATTAGTCGTGTGTTCCATCAGGAAACTATACGCAAGGGATCGCGTTGGTGAGGAGACTTACAAGATTGAATTCTCGCTTTCTGGCTCTCGTTGACAACGAATTGTTGCAGCTCCTGCTTGTCGCGGTCGCTGAGTTTGGTGAGGTCGAGACCTGCAAGCGCTGAGGAACCACCAAGATCCATTTATGGGAATACGTAAGGTTGTATTGACGGTTGAGAAGGTGGGAGATTTGGGGTCACGAAGACGCAAGTGATGCGGACGGTAAAGCTGTTCCTGGAGTGTTTCGTTTCCTTCGATGACGGACGACCAGAATTAATCGGAAGCACGGAGGTTCTTGCGGCGAACCGCAAGAGACGTTGCTTATGTAATTGCTCAACACCCAGATCGTGCAACACCATCTACCTAGGTATCTATACGACGAGTGATTCATCGCAACCTGAAGATAGATATTTGTACGTCATCTTCGTCGTCGCATATTCTCATCAATTATGGAGAGTTGGTAATGAAGCTGCGTGAACTATGTAAAATGCTCCAATAGGCTTGAAATGCGAAATGCGCTCCAGATGAGAAAACCGAAATTTGTCGCCCTGGGGACCCCAAAACGTCGGGTTAAGAATCGCAGGGCCGTGCCGGATCTCCCAGAAACTCATGCTCTCAGGATTACACACTGTCACGAAGTCTGTTCCTCCAACTGCCTAGCCATCTCCGCCCCCTGCACACTTTGTCCAGGTCTCTCAACGCCTGGTTGACTTCGCCTTCATCCTCGTTCCCTTCAATCTTCCGACCCTTGATTTCGACAAAGAATATATAGTTCCAATTCTCTACGCCGCTGGGTCGGGTATTGATGGATGTGAGGTTCAGACCATATCTCTCGAAGACGGACAGCGAGTGGGCAAGCGCCCCGGGATTCGCGTGATCTACAGTGAAGGATACCAGCGACTTCCACTGCTCAGCACTCGCTTGCTCTTGATCGTTTGCCACCTGATCTGTTATTCTGTCGTCGTCTGTGTCCTTTCGTTTGATGACGAAAAATCTCGTGGTGTTGTCCCCTCTCTCTTCAATTCCCTTGGCCAACACCTTCAACCCAAAAAGCTTGGCTGCAATCGCAGAGCTGATCGCTGCACTCGTCCCACTCTCATCTTCACTGACCAGTTCAGCCGCCCGGCTTGTGGAACTGACATCTTGTCTTTCAATGCCTTTCAAATACGCATTGAGGAAGATCTTGCACTGGCCCCACGCTTGTGGGTGAGAGTAGATTTTGCGGATCCGGGAGAGGTCGCCAATTGGCCGGGCCGTTGGCTTCTGTGGGATAGGCTCTCTGTTGGTAGGCGTTACAGCGCCAGAGCTGAGCGGTGATTCAATCACGTTGGATGCGGTGTTTGGCGTCGCGGAAGGTCCGCGCTTATCGTCTGGAAAGTGGCCCAGCAGGCAGTGTTGCACAGGAATGTAGGATTCACCACAAACCAGAATATCCGGATACCTGTTGTGTAGGTCTGCGAAGAGGTCAAGTGTGAAAACTACGGAGCCGTTTGTGCTGTTCTCGAAAGGAACGACACCTCGATATGCTTTGCCTGCTTGCACGGCGGAGAAAACATCTTCAATTGTGATTTGCGGATCCAAAGTGTAGGACTCATCGCGGAAAGCGTCGAGCGCGGCCTACAAAAAGCCGTAAGCCATTGGGAAACTCGAACCATGATGAGGTGGAGGCGAAGTGAAGAAGCTCCAATGATCCGCAAATAAATGGCCTTCATTATCCAAAACCCACGCGTTACATGACATCAGAAAGCACCTACATACCTGATGTGTATAGCTTGCCTTCGGCCCTAGATAGGCGATGCTCAAACTCTCCCCCACCTTGATTTCCTTCTTCTCGGTCATTGTGTGTTGTTTAGATGTTCAGTTGATGTGGCGATGTTATGATTCGAAAAGCTTGAAACTTTATGTGAGGGCACCCACTCTTGTTCGTTCCGCAATCGGAATGGGGTTCCGGCAATTAAGCCCCTCTCACAGGAGAGAGGGATAATGGTACATGAGAATCTGCAGGTGAAGGAATCAAACAAGTCACTTATTCTAAGACTCCAATGAATATGAAGCTTTACATTTTTCGATTGCACTATTACACGTCTAGTCATTATGACTTTAACCATGTTTTGTAAAGTTGACAGCTGAACAATAAGGCCGTTGTTCTTGACCTTGAGTCAACCGTCTTACTCGCACTCTAATGAAAGGGCCCCACGAGAAGATTACCACGAATTCAGGTGAGACGCTTCAGCGTTGAACACACTACTGTCTTATGGGAAGTAGAGAAAGCATGTGGCGACACTGCATTTGTCCAACAGCACCCAACTGGCTCAGGTTGCGTTTCTCGCCAATTCATTAGACAGCATACCGCTGTTTGCATCACTTGCAGCATGGTTCAATATAAGACAATTTGATTCAGCTCAAACGTAAACGAGAGACTAGCTGATGAATACATGGGAACATTCAGAATTTCTTCCTTGAGACGAAGAATTCGCAAAAGCAGATGACCGATTGACTTATCCACCTATACCTGCCGTATGTCTTGATTACATTGCTACAGTCAGCCATTGCAAACTCTGCATCTCAGTGACAGGGCGGCCAAATCATTTTGGGTCGGCTGGCTGCCTCTCCGGTAAAGTGGTCGCGGGTAGTGGGGTAAGAATGGGCACTTCATCAGTCTGATTTATGGATTAGTTTCTGGGGAGGCACGTCCACTTGCATATGGCGATGCTCACCTTGCAAACCCTATATCTGCACTCCTATCACTCATCTACAACCGGGAGAGGCGAAGCGTCATCGTCTCGGCCACGTCCATGCTCTTTCCGAACGCGTCTGGATCAGTTGACGCACAGGCAGCGGGAGTTCCTTCACTCGACGCGTGGAGTGGGGCCTCTGCCTCGCGGTCTGCGAGGGCGCACAACCGTCAATCATCGTAGAATTCGTCTTCGTCATCGTAATCGGCAAGTTGCTCGAAATTGAGCTTGTAGCGAAGGATGGCGCCGATTCCACCAAAGCCCTTGACGAACTGATTACCCTCAGAGGAGCGGTCTGAAACGAATTCGAGCTGTGCACCAAAGTCGCGGTACTTTTCAGCCAACCACTCCAGGAAGGACATTTGATCAATGATTTCCATCTCTTGGCCGGAGTCTTTATCCATGAAGAGAGCGCGGTTCGATTCCTGGGCTTTGGTGGTGTGCAGGATAGTTTCGGTACCTTCGGATGTTTTTAGGACCCAGCGGGTCATGTCCAGGTTCTCATACACGATGAGGATTTCAGCAGCACCCGCATCCATGGCTTTCAAAGTGTCGTCGATACCATAACAGACCTTGCCGGAATCCTGGGAGATTTCATCAAAGTACCTGTTGATGAGTTTCTTCTCTTGGATAAATTTGACATTGCTGAGCGTCTCGGATGAGAGTTCAATAGCCTGGTTGAAGCCGTTCTCGCCACCGTAAGAAACATCGACAACTTTGATAACTTTGGTCTGCAAACGTCCATCGAACATGTCGGACTGGTTCAAATCGTTCTTGAAATCGGCGGAACCTGCCAGGATAAGACCGGCGACATTGACCTTGTCGTTGGTGATGAAGTTCTGTACCGCCAACTCGGCGACCTTGCGCACGTAATTGTGACGCTTCTCCTCTCGAAGACGAGCGAAACGCAATGCGGACTGACCACCACGGCCGTGTTTCTTGGGGAGATCGACGGAGAACTTGTGGACGATATCGCGGGTATTTCCAGAGAGAGTGCCGAAGAGGGCGCCGTTTCCGTCCATGATGATGAAGCCGAATTTCTGGTCGGATTCGAGCAGCTCGCTAAGGGCCTCGGTGTGGAATTTGTTGTCGCATAGGTACAGCGAGGTGTTGATGGGCTTGAAAGGCTCGAAGTCGATGTTGATTTTGCGCGGCTTGCCTTCGGCGGTGATGATTTCACCACAGTATACGACGAGACCGTTGGGAGGGACTTTGGAGTACAACTTCAGGCGCTGCTGGGTCGAGGTAATGGCGGAGAGGACGGACAATCGGTTGACACGGGACTTGATGTTGGAGGCAGTACCCTGAGTTGACGACGTGTCAGCGGGGAGTATGGGCGTGGGTGAGGGGATTAGGTACGTACGAATTCTTCAGCCAACATCTTCGCAGCGCGAGAGACCTGATCCTTGGGGGCTTCGATGGGTCAGCGCATGTTTGTTGGACACAGTGGCAGGGAATGTGGGGTGAGTGAGTGAGTGCATGCGTACGGATGATGAGGGAAATCATGCTGGTGCCATTTCCGCGGGCCGCCTCGAGACTCTTGATGAGCTTCTTGACTTTCCAGATCTCGATGTTCTTCTCGGCTTCGCCTTGTCCTTGAGGTTGGGACATGGCTGCGGTAAGAAAGCGCTCGTTGACGGATGGGTGGGTGTGGAGGTGGTGGTGGGGGGAGCGAGCACACAGAATTTTATTGTGCTCTGCGGTGCACTCGGGGGAAGATGGCGGGGCAAACAGGTATTCGGCAGGCAGGCAGATGGGCAGGAGAGGGAGGGAGGAAAAGGGCAGGGCGTAGGCAAAAGCAAGGGCGGGAGCAGCCGGCGGAGCGGCACCAACCAGAAGTACTTGGATGATGATGCAGCGGTGGGGTGGGAGGGGAAAGAGCGAATTATCCCAAGTGTCCTGTCTCCATTACTTAGATGTATGTCTCAAGAGCTACGCATTCCTTTGACTGTCCCTGTATGTGAATTACTCATGAACTGGTGAGTCAACAAGCGAACATTTGAAGTACTGCTATGACCAGGTATGTAGTACTGCCACCGTGCATGTCATGGATTCGTCTGCTATTTACTCTTTCGATATATTGGTACCTAGCTCTCACTCTTATTCTTACCATCTATCCATCCATCAGGCAGTGAGTGAGTGAGTGAGTGAGTCTGACAATCTCCGCTGCTGCTACTGGCAGCCCCACCTACCGTTCCTCTCATTGGCTCGCTCCCTTCGCCAAACAGAGGCTGCATTTCATTACATACATGCATTACATGTAGTTTTCAATATTAGTCACCCCGATGATGATGATGATGATGTCTATCGATGCTGTCGCAGGGCAAGCAACCAGCGGGGCCTGCTCCCAATGTCATCAGACACCTCCATGCATGCATGCTAGCTAAAACGTAGCTAATCGCTACCATTTCATCAGAAACATGCTGGTTTGCACCGCTCGGCTCCCTCGTCGTTCCTCGTGATCTCTTCAGTATCGCCGTGGGCAACATCATGCATTGCCTCCTCACCCAAAGCATGGCAGGCTCTTCCTGCCCGCAAAATCCCTGATTCAGCCCGCTCCATTCAAGCTCCACCTGCCATTACCGTAGTGCCCGCGCCCCTAGACTATCTTCGCCATCATCCATCCTATCTATTCTCTGTTATCTCATTCAAATTGCCTGTTCTTTTCTTGTTTTCCTTCCCTCTCTCTCGCTCCCCTTCCGCTCCTCCCACTTCCCACTCGCTTGATCCGCACCCGCGATGGATAACAGGGAGAGTGGAAACCCAAACGGAAACCAGCCCTCCACCTGGGACGAGTACGATGGCGTCCATAGAGGGTCTATCGACTCTACCACCAGCAGTCGCGTGCATTGGGGAGAATTCGACCGCCAACCAAGTGGGCAGAGTATCACCACAGCCGGAGGTTCGCCTTCTCGCAATGGCCAGCTTAGACGGAGACGGTATGCTGCTTTTCTGCCCAGACAGATCGATCAAAAGATTCCGCAAAGTGCTAACGTGCGCTCAGGTCCTCAATGGCCATGCGGATCCAGGCCATGGGAGATGTCGGTGGAGTCAACAGCATGAACAACTTTGCCCGCTCATGGCAGCGCGCTGCCGGCTTCTTCGAAATCACCCCCGTACGTCCCTCATTCAGGGTCGAGTCCGAAGACGAACGAGAAGACTTCCCTCGCACCGGCCTATCCACATCCGACCACCGATCGCTTCTGCGCCAGGCTTTTCAAGAAGGAGGGAGGCGCCCATCAGACAATGCTGTGGCCGACGAAGAAGGCGGCCCAACAGAGGAGTCGCACCTGTTGCCCTCTGGCGTGGAACAGAGATTGGGTGAGCAAAAGTCGCAACGGACCGAAAGCATTTTCGCGATTGGTATGTTGAACTTTTTTTCCTGCCTTGCGCCCAAGGGGACCACTAATTTCTTTCTTCAGAACCTTCACTTTCATCGCCTTTTGGGGGAAGCTATGGCACATCTTACGGCAGTCTCGCTTCGCGCGTCAATGAATCGTCTATGCGCCACGCCGGCCGCTTGTTCGCCGAACAACAAATGAAGGGTGTTACAGAGCCGGAACAAGAGAGGGAACCATTGTTGGTCAAGCAGGTGGAAGAAGACGGTCATATCATCAATGTTGTAGTGGGCCAGTCGACACTGCCGCAGACAATCTTCAACAGCGTTAACGTTTTAGTGGGCGTGGGTCTCCTCACTCTGCCGTTGGCGTTCAAATACTCCGGCTGGGTCATTGGCGTCGTTTTCTTGACTTTCGCCGCCATCACCACTTGCTATACGGCCAAGGTGCTAGCCAAATGCCTCGATGTGGATAGTTCTCTCATCACCTTTGCCGACCTCGCCTATGTTTCTTTCGGTAGCAAGGCGAGAATTGCTGTCAGCATTCTATTCTCCCTAGAATTACTCGCAGCCTGTGTCGCATTAGTCGTCCTGTTTGCCGACAGCATGAATGACTTGGTCCCAGGATGGGGTGTGATTGCATGGAAGATTGTGTGTGGCATAATATTGATTCCCCTCGTTTTCTTACCGCTGCGTTTACTATCTTTTACATCCATTTTGGGCGTATTGTCTTGTTTCGGAAGTGAGTATTCATCCTCCTTTGGCAACCAAAAGACTTCGTCTAACACAAACTGCAGTTACAATCGCCATATTTGTCGACGGCCTCATCAAGCCCGACTCACCCGGCTCTCTTCGCCAGCCAGCCACGCAATATCTTTTCCCTGAGAACTGGATGACCATTCCACTCTCCATTGGCCTCCTCATGTCCCCCTGGGGTGGTCATAGTGTGTTTCCTAATGTGTATCGCGACATGAGGCACCCATACAAGTATCGTAAGGCCGTCAACATCACCTACATCTTTACATATCTGATCGACACCGGCATGGGGTGCGTGGGCATTCTCATGTTTGGCGATTATGCTCGCGAAGAGATTACAAGCAACATCTTCACGACCGCTGGCTACCCCCCTGCCCTATCTGTCTTCATCGCTATTTGCATCGCCATCATTCCCTTGACCAAGATTCCGCTCAACGCCCGTCCCATCATCAGCACGCTCGAAGTCCTACTTGGCCTCGACAGTCGCGCCCTCGCTGCTACGCCGTCGCTGACGGGCATGTCTGGTCTCAACCGCGGTCTCTTCAAGTTCCTACTTCGTATCTTCTCCATTGTCTCCTTTGTCATCATTGCCATTGTCTGTCCCTCGTTCGATCGCATCATGACTTTGCTCGGCAGCGTCGCTTGCTTCTCCATCTGCATCATTCTTCCTTTGGCATTCCACCTGAAGCTTTTTTCAAAGGAGCTCGGCGCCGGCGAGAAGATGATGAATTGGATCTTGATCATCGTGAGCACTGTCATGGCGATCATCAGTACAGCGTTCGCTTGCTTGCCCAAGGAAGTTATAGGTGCCAAATGATGGGTAGGTAGATGAAAAATTTGTGTCAAGTAGCGGATGGATCGCTGCTGGAGCAACGGCGAACGTCACGGGAAATGGAGTGAATCAAAAGTTGTAATGGTTTTGCTGGTCAGCTTCTCATCTGGACGGTACCTGTGGGAAGCAGCTATCTGTGTATAATGCATTCTTCCCTACCGTCCCAAGTCTCCAAGTCTTCGTCTTCATCATGAATGTGCCATGTGGTTCTTGTTCGTATTCCTCAACATTCATATTTCTGTGGCTCGCAGGCATCCGCATGGATCGAACCACAAACGGTAAAGGAAAAAAAAACGAAGCGAGGTGAAAATATATAATTGAGAAAGGGATGGGTGTATTTTAACAATCCCACCCATGGCTAATCTCTCAAATCCCAATCCATTATCCACATGTAACACAGACATGCATGAAAATTGTATTGCGCCAGCGCTACTCTTCAACTGGATTCGCAAGGGGGATTTGGATTTGCCCGCCCGTTGGTTCATTCGTCCCCACCCTTATCCTATCATCATTCATTTCTATCCATGGTCCAGACCCTTATTTCGTCCGATCCGGAATACTCTTCTCATCCTTCGGGGGCTTCCAGTCCTTAACAAAGGGCAGGAACTCCGGTTGGCCGGGGATGTACTTGCGCAGGACGGCGGGAACTTTGAAGCCCTCTGGGGTTTGGAAATTCTCGAGGAGGCAGCAGAGGGTGCGTTCGGTGGCGCAGAGGGTGCCGTTGAGGGCGTGCACGTATTCTTTGCGGGTAGAGGTTTGCTTCTTGACGCCTATTTGGGGATGAGAGTATTAGCTCTGATTATGTATGTGTGAAGGTGGAGTAGAAAGATAGGGGGTTTGCAGAGTATAGAGACAGGGGAGAGGGAAGAGATTAGGAAACAGTTGGACTGGACTGACCGAATCGGATTTCGAGTTCGCGCGTCTGGTAGTCGGTGCAGTTGGAGATGGAAACGAGCTCCTTGTACTCGCCACCGCCCGTTACGGGGAACCAAGCCTCAAGATCCCTCTTCCTAGCCGCTGCATCGTCTGTGCATTCTTCATCAGCTTTTTTTCTCGAACGAATTTCGAGATTCCCTGGGATGGTGGTCCACTTACTCAGTGCTCCGCTGACAATGTCGATGACCCTGTATGGCAGTCCCAAGCTCTGGTAGAATTCCTCGCAGTTGGCCAACATCTCCTGATACGCCTCCCAGCTCTTCTCCGGGTGGCTGATAAGAAATTGTTCGATCTTTTTAAATTGGTGAATGCGGTAGATTCCCCATGTGTCTTTACCATGAGAACCAGCTTCTTTGCGGAAGTTGGTGGAGGAACCGGCATATTTGATAGGAAGATCGGCTGTGCCCAGCCACTCTTCTGCGTGGAAAGCAGAAAGCGGCTGTTCTGAAGTGGCAATCTGATTTGGGTGTTAGCTAGGAGTAGATATACGCAAGACCAGCATGATGAACTTGGACATACGAGGTACATCTCCGAATCGGGGTCGTTCTTATCGCCAGCCACCTTGTACAGTTGTTCATCAAACTCAGATAACTGCGCCGTCTTGCTCATAAGGGTCCTGCGCATGAAGTATGGTGGTGCATGTGGAGTGAAGCCCTTGTTGAACAGGAATTCCAATCCGTAGTTCGTCAAGGCAAGGTTCAGGAAGACACCAAAGCCGGTCAAGGAGAATCCTCGGTGCCCAGCAATCTTAACACCGCGCTCAGGATCGTAGCCGTCAAGGCGAGCCAATACGCCGTGGTGGGGAATACCATCGGCGTTGTGCACTGCCTGCGCTCCTTCCTCAGAAGCCCACGTCTTCAGCACTTTGTTGTTGTCCTCGTTGTCGGAGACGGGCACGTCGGAGTGAACATAGTTTCCTACAGTCCTGGCCTTTTTGGTGAGCTTGACATATTTCTCGGCTGCCTCCTCTTCCTTTGCGAGCTTGTCCTTCTTCAATTTGGCCATCTCGGCGACGAGATCGTCGGCGCTCTCCTTTGCCTTTTTCTTTTGTCCGAGCACTTTCTGGAGACCGTTGATGGTTGCACCGATTTGGGTGACCTGATATTGGGCTGTGCAGTACGTCGTCAGCCACATCACGTTTTCGCGTCACGTCTCATGGAGATGGGAGAGAACCAAAAAAAGTCGGTCGTGTGCGACGGGGATCACTTACTTTGTCGGTGGATTTCGAAATCCTGGATGATTTCATCGACGATCTCGACGCTCGCGAATCGCTTGCGTTGAGACTCCCGGATCTTCTCCGGGTCGCCTCCACGCTCCGCGATGAAGTCGTTGCTGCATTGCCCCGCGACGTTAGCATTGCTCTCTGACGAATTGCCCCTCCCCAACCAACAACTCGATGACAGTGTAAAGTGATTGAAGCGAAGAAGAATGATCAATGAAGGGGACTTACATATCGAGCATTGTAGCTGGTGTGTCCCGTTCCACAGGCAACGAAGGGTCGTGTGGCTATTGCTGTGAAGATGAGTGCCAAAGAAGAAGAAGAACAATGGTGGTGGGGTTGAAGGTTACTGAGGAACGTGGAAGGGTTTAGCTTGACTCAGAGCTTAGCTCAAGGGGCCGTGCGCAGGGTAGTGCCCCTCATCTGCCTCAGTTGCCATTTTACACTTTTGATTTTATTTGGTTCAGTAAGCCACTCTGTCAGGTAGTCGATGTCAGCCTTCCCCTCCAACTTTCCTTGTCAGGTAAGAATTGGCAGAGTCCACGTGAATCTGTGGGTTACTGCAGGCCCCAAGTCAAAGCGTCAGAGCTTCCTAATGGAGGGCTTCATCCGAAAGCCGTTTTGTGCACAGAGCATGTGTGGGACGAGAGTAGATGCTGGCGGGTTACAGCGTGTGCGTGAGCAGCTGCTGCTGGTCCAAATACTTCCCAAAGTGTTTCACAGGTCGTATTCTCCAGCTAGAATCATACCCAATCTCACCAACACTGCATTCCTTGCAACACTTTATATCCTTTGCATCATGACATGACTCTACTGAACCATCACATACATGTCTAATTAAGAGGAACTGCTGTTCTTGACACCAAGTATACATATGTACCACCACCTCACTTCACATTCAGGTGGCATGGCACATCAGGTCATGACAGCTCGCCTTCTAGAAAACTTGTGGTTTGAGAATACAACCGCCATCTATTAAATGAACCCAACGCCGATAGTCCAAAGCAGAAACAGCGCGCTGGACATGCGCACGAAGCCTGCCGCCCCTCGACAAGGAAAGTAATGAGATAAAAAGAAGTACAGTCGATATCCCGTAAACGCCAATTGCTCCCCATGGAGCAAACCCATTATGCATTCGTTAGGCATTGCAATCGTTTGCCTGTCTATAACCGTCTACCGCATGTGACCGCCTATGATGCCATGGGATCGCACGTCTGTTCAATGCCAGCGTGAAGCAGAACCGCTGTGGGTATAGCCCGCTCCCCGGTTAACGAGGACCCTTCCCCGTCTGCGTCTGACCCTCGAGTAATTTCGACTTGCCCTTCAAGTCTTTCTTATTCTTGTTCCGTGTGAGCAGGCGGGGCAGCCTAGAGAGGAATTTCGGTAGCCTTGCTTCCCGTTCTTTGCGCTCCTCATCTGCACAAAGAATCATGCGTCAGCGGTTACATAACAACACACTTGCTTCCCCCAGCAGGTTCGCCAGGATTCTGACTCTTCTCCACTTCACCGATCATCAGCTCAAAGGCCTTTTGTACGTTCTCGTCATAACGGGCCGAAGCCTCGGTCCAAGCGCACTTGAGCTCTTCGGCGAGGGCTTTGCCTTCTTCGGCTGTAACTTGACGCTGTTCAGGGCGAAGATCAGACTTGTTGCCTACGATGGTGAGAGGCACGAATTCGGTGGCCTGCACAAGCAGTCAGCAAGGGTAACATGGAGAGACGGGCGCAGACTGGATTCAAAGTTGCCAGAGGAGAGACATACAAGGTGGTTAAGGATTTTATCACGGATAACGCGTGCCATTTCGAAGCTCTGCTTGCTCGCAACCGAGTAGACAATGATGTATCCATGGATGCCGATGAAGTGCTTGGAGTTGAGAATACTATATTCGTCCTGGCCGGCAGTGTCGATGATTTCGGTTGCGAAGTCCTGATTTTTATACCTAATAACTTTGCTGAAGGTGTTCTCAATGGTAGGGTAGTAGCTCTCGACAAAGTGGCCGTCGACGAACTGGACCGTCAAACTTGACTTGCCTGTGGTCCCGTTAATAGTCTGCGAAGGGGGGGATGCAAGGGTGAGGGAAAGGTACCAACAGCCCTGCTGCCGACAATGGCAATCTTGCGTTGTTTGGGAGCCACCATGTTTCTGGGTGGTTGGCGAACTGTTCGGGTGGAAGCTGAACGACTGGCCAGGGTGTCGGGTGGGAGTTTGGCGTTGGGGAGAAAGAAGAAGTTGACGGCTGGGTCGAGGGAAGCCGGAATGTAAGCAGTAGTAAACGGGCAGCAGCCTAGAGGAAGGCACGCCGAGGCTTTCACCTGCTTCAGCTAGCTAGCTAGCCCCAGACTGAAGTCGAGCTGGGAGAAGGACTGAAGGTGCAAGCTAGGGATCCTACCCAGGTCCGCAAGCGACGCTAGGTACGGTGCAAATGTACAGGCCAATGGGTCGTGGCTGAGATGTCGTTGGCTGTCGATCACGGACGAGCGAGCAGGCAAGCAGTTACGGCGGAGGGTGGGTACCGTTCTGTGTTGTTCTGTAAGTGCAATTTTCTGGGAGACGAAGATGGATGATGATGTATTGAGAAACGCAGATGCTTGGATTGGCGGGGTACTTTTTTTTTGCCTGGGGGGAACCAAAGACCAAAAATAAAAACAAACAAAAAAGAAGAGCCGGGACGGCGCCGCATATTATTATGTGAGTGCGCGTCCCTTGCCGGCATGCCCTATTTTGCTTGCCATTTAAGCATGCCGTCATCGTTCGTTTGTGCATATACGTAGTGTGTGCACTGTACATTACATTTGGATGAATCGAGTTGATATCACGTAAATTGATCAACTGGGATTCGCCCGACTGCTTGCTCTGGGGCCCATCGCATCGCATCGCATCGCATTCGCATCTGCACGGCATGGCATCCTGCCCCACCGCCATCCCTCAGAGCACCACACATGCTTTCCTGTGACGACAAAGAATTGCGGAAACATGTGGGCCGCCCTTTGTCTTCTGTTGCGACCACAGCTCCCAGCCGCCTGGTGCAACAGCAGCCGTCATCTGCAGGCACGAGAAAACACCGCTTGTGGCCTTCACATGCTCCCTTGTACTCGTCTGTCCGTCTGCTTGCTGCCCAAGCATTTGCACATGTATGCCCAACAGCAAGCCACACTCAGTCATTGTGCTGCATTTCCAAACACTCATTTGTTTCTCCATTCGGCCCACTATTCAAACCATTTCACCCCAAACCATTGTGATTTCTTCCGGGCCATTCAACTCCACAGGGGTATAAAGCATACACAAAAAAAATTAAAAACAAAAGGGGAAAGCTGCCTCCCTCTACATCCCCTTTGACGAGCCGTCTGCCCCCTCCAACCGCTCGACCACCATCATCAGCCTTGCTGTGAAATTCTTGTATGTCTCTCTCCCTTCGTCCCCGTCCCAGTTCCCTGCTAGCCGATCTACCTTCTTGTTGTACAGAACAAATTCGCGTATCTTCTGTACGAGCATGTCCAGCTTCTTCCCGGGAAGGAGTTCGCAAACCCTTTGACGTACAGAGTTATCCAAACAGAGGTTGCCCAGCAGAACAGTCAGATAACCGATGCGAACAATGAAGTGAGACTCTTCTATAGAATCGGCCTGATTATGGTAAGCTTGTGCCCTGTCCACAGTCCTGCAAAGCAGGGCGGAAGCCCGGTCGACATACCTTTTCTGCAAGTTCCGATCCTTTCAAGAAGATATTGACAAGTCCGTTCACAACCGAACCACCATCTTTGATAGCACTAGTCCTGACCTGCTTGCTCGACTCGGCAAGGTTCATCATAGCTCCTAAGCTGAAGATCAGCTTCTCCATAATCTCCTTCTTGTGTCCCTCGTCTGCCTCGGCCCCTAATAGCTCAAAGTCACGCCCAATGGATTGCAAAAGGGGCAGAACAAATGTTGGCTTGGAGAAGAGCTGACAGCTTTTGGGCCTGTCGTTTGTAATGTTGATACAAAGTCGGATTGCAAGCTGCGTCGCTGTAGTTGACCCCTCTGCTTCAAAGACGATGGGCATCAAGTCCGCCAATCGAGTCACGATGCTGGCCGGCCATGCCATCATCCTTTCTGTGGATACTGCAAGTGACTCCAACATTGACAACGAAGCCTCGAGTGTTATATAGTCTTGTGGGGTGGCCTTCCCAGCCTTGATACTGGTGCAGCAGGTGAGGGCTAGATCAACAATCTTGGAGACCATGTGTTGATCAAAAAGAGACTCCCTGCTTCCGGCTTGACGCAGCTGTACAGTCAGAAGTTCGAGAACTTTAATGGCAATCAATTGTGGTGAAACTTTGTCTGGTCGCTGGGGTGGCCACACGTTGGAGTCGAGAATCAACCCCCGGAACTCTGCTACCGTCTCACGGGCCCTGGGTGCCATGTTTGTCTTTCTCTCCTTCGATATCCGATGTATGTCCATGCTGCAATGCTTGGATGATAGCAACAGCCCCAAAGTCCCTGTGATGGCGGATTGATGTATCTGCTCCAATACAGCATAACCCGGTCGCACTTCAAGGATGAACAGCACAGCAGTCGCAGCTGCAAAATCAAATATGATTTCTCCTGTCGAAGAGATGCTTTGAATCAGTGATGACATCAGGGAAGATTCGAGTAGCTGGCTGACGTAATTCTTGTCCTTCATCTGGGTGGCACATTCCATCATGGCACTTCTTCGCTGGGACGCATTGAGACCTTTCCCAGCCACTTCTTCTATGGTAGCTTCCGCTTGGGCTTGGAATTTGTGTTGCTGTCCTTGACGTCGTAAATCGTGGATGTCTCGCAAATGGCCACCTTCGTCATCGACGTCTGATTCAACTTCTTGATTCTTCGGAAGAACCAACCCTAGATCGTCGTCCATGTTGTCGAGAAGGTTGGCGAGATCCGGCTCAGTGTCTTCGAGATAAGATCTGTTCTTTGCATATGTAATTCGACCACCGGTGTGCAAGTGAATCGAAGTTTGCGAAGTCTGGGAATCACCAATGGGTTCAGTGTCGATATCCATTGCGTCTGCCGTGTCAGTTAACGCAAGCTGAGGCTCCGAACCTCCTCCTCTTGAATTTGTTTTGGAAACAGATGCCTGAGGAATGCTAACAATTTCATCCTCTGTTTCTTCATCAGTCTCACTTTCTTCTTCTGAGCTCGAAGCGGTTCGCTTTAGCACATCCAGAAGTCTAGTCTTCCGAGTATGAGCGGATTGAGGAATATCAGAGACTGATCTCATAAGATTGGTAATTGCAGGACTCGGTTTCCGCTCGGAAATTTTCAAGTCAGATAGCTTCGGCATTGGTGTTGCAGAATCAGATGAGTCCCCTAGAAGATTGCTGAATAGAGCCTGCTGCCGAGGCGTTACCGACCCTGAACCATGCGTCTTTAGCGTCCGGGTTGGTGGAGTTTTTGTGCTTTGTGGTTCGCACATGGTATCGTCTTCCATGGCGTCTGACTCGGGCGCTTGGGGGACCTGTTTAACCCGAGACTGATTGGGAGCCGTTCGATGGACAAGCATTGTATGAAGTTTTGCTGGTGAGGACTGGCCTTTTATTACAGGTGCTCTCGGTTTCACTGGCGCAGTCCTTATCCTCGTACGCTTGGGTTCGTTGATCGCTGAAACCCCCTTCGTGTTTACGATTGACGGATTCGGGCGACTCGTTAGGATCGATGGCATGCCGGCGGAAGTGTCACTCATTTTTTTCTGGTGTTTTCTCTCTCTTTGGGAGTTTGATTCCCTCGGTTTCTGCTCGATAGCGGATGCTCTAACTGTCGCAGATGATGATACGGATGCGCGTCTCTTGCGCTTGTTGGACTTCTGTGATACATCGGACTCCATCGACGGTGTTGGCGACAGTGGCGTCTGGATGTGACTGGCTGTAGTAGTGACATTTCTTTTGGTAACCGAAGCCGTTCGAGATTTGACGGTGGCATGGTGGGGTTCGCTTTCGTCTGATGACGGGACATCAAAGATATCGATGGTAGAGGGCTTGTTTGCTGTAGTTGACTTCTTCACTGTCGGTTTGCTGGAGTTAGAGATGGCTGGATTATGTTTGACCTGAGATGTCAAATTCGGTAATGCTGGTGTAGTCGCACGCGACCTGGTTGTTCGTGTGATAGGCTGTTTCTGCTCTACAGGTGGAAGTTCTTGAGCGACTTGGGGAGTCTTGGCCCGCTTCCTAGCGGCGGATGGGTTTACAGTATTGTTGCCATCGGCGACAATTTGCTTAGCACCACTTTGCGCTAAGATGCTTTTCTTGTGTACCGGTTCAAGGGAGGCGACTGGCTTTCTATTGCTTGAAATCAAAGCTTGTTTTGCAGTCTTTCGCGCAGGCTGTATGCCATCATCATCATCATTAGATGAAAGGATGTCGAAGACACTCGGATCCTCCGACTTGGGCGGTATCCTTCGGCGATGCCCGGCTGGCGGAACAGGAGGAGCTGCAGATGTGGCTTCATGGTCCGATGGCACATCAAAGATATCTAGAGGCGCAGGTGATTTGGATTGACGACGGTAATTCTGCGTCAAAGTACCTTGTATTTCGATTGAAGGTGCGGGCTTCCTCACGGCGGCATAGACAGTTTTTGGTTGTTTTCTAGGGCGCTCTGGTGATGGAGTGTCGGCGAAGAACTTGGCTGTAGATGGATGGCGTCCTGGTCTGCCGTACGTTGTGACTTTTTTACGGCGCTCGGGCGCAGAGAACGTGGAGGGCAGTGGCATGGCCATTTCGGAGTGCGAAATGTTCGGTTCGTATATGCGACTCATGGGCGCATGTTGAGGACCAAACAGATGACTAGGAGTCGTGGTGACGCGATGTTTGGGTTGGGGATCGCATCGACGATGGCAGGAGTGATGAAAGAGGACGCAAGAGTCGGAATGAGTTGTGGTGGTCCTGGATTGGGAGGTCGTTTGCGGTCGGTTGAGTGGAAGCGGTAGTGGAGTGTAAGTTGCGAGCACGCGTGTGGTTCGAGAAGGGCGGTGGTGGTTTCGTTGTGGGTTGTTTGTTGCGGGCAACCAAGTACCTTCGCACGCACCTAACGAAAGCGGATTTGCGCATGCCCATGCCATGGGCGGGAGTGACGAAGGCGGCAGCGGCTATCTGCCCCCTTATGTAATCACGAGCAATGCTCGACAGGGGTGGGTGAAAGTGAAAGACTCCAGCCACGCCTGCGCCACAGTCGGATTCGATGGTACAATGCAGCTCAGCTTCAAACGAGCCGCCGGCGACGCTAGACTGCCATAGGCGAATGGTGGATCTGACAGCCTGATAGAGGTCACGAGCCAACCTTTCAAACATTCACAACTCCTCACTATAAGTTCTACTTTCTCAATTCCTCGACTGAACAATCTATCTACAGACGTTGGTCGAGTCAGCTGCTCAACCAGTCACGGCTTTCTTTTGGCATTGCAAGCCCTTGGACAAAACCAAACTTCCATCTTCCGCTCGCTACAAGATTTGTGCCCCAGCATCGATAACAATCTTGCTCTCTCAACCAGCACCATGCCTTCCGATTGCCAACCTCCCTCGCAAAACGTAGGGCCTGAGTATCGGCCAGCTACTCAGAAGCCTATTGCTACCGTTTCGACTCCGCTATCCCAGAAAAATGTCCACATCCTACCGCAGACACCTCAGCTGATTGCATTATTAACGTAAATACCCCTCACCCTTATCATATCCGTTTCCCCAACCCGCTAATACTTGAAAACTAGCATGATTCGAGACAAGAACACTGGACGGGCGGACTTCATCTTCTATTCCAATCGCATCATTCGCTTGTTGGTCGAGGAGGGACTCAACCACCTGCCTGTCGTTGGCCATGAAATCACCACGCCAGTGGGTCAGACCTATGCCGGTGTCAAGTTCGAAGGAAAGATCTGTGGCGTCTCCATCATGCGTGCTGGAGAGTCCATGGAACAAGGTCTACGAGACTGCTGCCGTTCCGTGAGGATTGGTAAGATCTTGATTCAGCGTGACGAAGAGACATCCAAGCCCAAGCTCTACTACGATAAGCTGCCCGAGGATATTGCCGATCGATGGGTCTTGCTTCTGGATCCCATGCTCGCTACGGGTAAGCTTCTTCGAGTCCCATTCTTCCTAAACATTGCACTAATTAGCTAAGGTGGTTCTGCTCTCATGGCCATTGACGTCTTGAAATCGCGAGGTGTGCCTGAGGAGCACATCCTCTTCCTCAACTTGATTGCCAGCCCAGAGGGTGCCAAGAACCTTGCCGATCAATTTCCCAAAGTTCGGGTAGTGACTGCCTTTGTAGATCAGGGATTGGATGAAAAGAAGTAAGTCTTGTGCTGTTCTCCGTCTTGCAAAAAATAGAGTTAACCTATGGATAGTTACATTGTGCCGGGACTGGGTGACTTCGGAGATCGCTTCTACACCATGTAGTGGGTTTCCCATGACCAGGATCGAGAATGCATAGGATTGTGTGGTTGGGACAGGTAAGAGAGATGTGACAATATTTGCATGGGACGGTCCGCTATCATAAGTGTTGAGTGTTCCTCAGTTGCAAAAAAACAGCCAAAGAGGTTGGGACTTCGGTCGTTGTTTCAAAAAATCTTGCATGTCAAAGAATTATCAAGGCCAGCAAATAGGGAATGCTGGTATGAATATCAACCGCATTGAGTCGACCCGATCAGAGCTAGAGCTCGTTCCCAATACCATCAGCGCTTTCCAACAATATAAACCCCCTCCCCTGCATATAATCAGACCATGGTATTCCAAAAACGCCGTAAATGCCCATAACCTTTTGTCTTGAACCATGCCATTACATAACGTACAGACGCCGCGTATGCCACTCTAGTCGGCTTCGTATTCGCCCTCGGCATCCAGCTCGTCCTGCTCGATGAAGTCGTCCTCTGCTGGCCTAGCACGTGCTCCGCGGTTCGACGATCGCTCCGTTGACGCACCCGCAGCAGCCTCTTTAGCTACAGCATCGCAGGCATCGACCCAGTCGGCGTAGACATCAACAGGTGCGGAGAGATCTATAACCATCAGCCAAACCAGTCTTGCATGCACCAAGTTTTGTTGAACATACAGTTGATGTTCGTCTGGAAAGTCTGACCGCAGACCTTGCATTGCAAGTTGCCTACACCAGACTTCTTCTCGATGGAAACCGAGACGGATTTCTCGTGGTTACAAAAGAGGCACTGGAATGTCGTGGGAAGCTTCTCCTTCTATTGCAGTTGTCAGCTTGTCCCTGAGAAACCACGCGATCAGAGTGTGTGTACCTTCTTGGGGCCCATGGGCTTGCTAGAAGATTTGCGCTTGCCCTGCAATATGTCAATATGCATGCGCGCACGAAATATTGGGTATGTGGCATACCATTTTGCTAGGTGATGAATCGCGTTCCGTAGATCTCGTAGCACAGGAACAGATTTCCTTTCCGGGGAGAGGGGGTATTGACGGTTGAGTGTGGGTCGTGCTTGGTAGGTCGCTTTGAATGTCTGTACCGTATTCACAATGCGGCGCGACGCATGGATCAATGGAGCTCTCCGATGACCGAAGTGGACCCGCTCCGCTAGGCGGAGTATCGATAACGGTCTACCAATCAGCGCTCAACAAGTGATAGCTACGTCGGGCAAGCATGCGCGTGGCTTTCCTGCTGGAAGAGCAGTCATTCCTCTCTTCCTCTTAAATCTCACCGTCTTCATGAAAGGCTCGTTCATATTCTGACTTGAGATTGGCATCCGGTACCATATTCAATCCAACAGTGTCCTACGACTACAGCAACACATCCAGCCGAGGCTATTGGCAATTCACTATCTATACCTTAGAGTTTACGGCCCGAATTTGCTTTAAAGGGACAGACAGGTCACACGCTTTCCTCTCCCCTCTTCCTCTTTGACTCCGGGCCGCATTTCCCTTTGTTTGGAACTACCTTGGCAAACATCAACATGTCAAACGAAAGCTTGTCAAGTGAAGCTCTCTTGAAAGGCATTCTGGAGGAGTTGGTTGCTTTACGGAAGGAGAATGTTCAGCTTGCGTCTGCTGTAGACGGTATCAACGGCCGTGTGAATACATTGGCTGGCATCAAACAAATTAAGGATCAAGCAAAGAGTGACGCTTCCATCAGTGTGTCCCAGCAAACAAAGGATGAAGAATCGCAATCGGCAAAGACCGTAGAAGCTATTAGCCAGCAGTATGAGGAGCCGTCTCCCAGTGTTGACTCTTCTGCTCGTCGAACAAGCATGTCCAAGACATCCAAAATCATCTTGACCTCATACCCCAACCAGGCGGGCGTAGACCCTTTGCCTATGGAATGGGGTCACAAAGATCCTGCCGTAAGAGGTCCCGTCGTTGTCTCTAGGCATGCCAATACTATTCGGAAGCGCAATGGTAAACTTCACAACTACTTTGTTTCATCATTTTTTCGCCTGCTGACAAACAACTAGCTATCGGCGCACACGGAGGCTCTTACTCAATATACAATGCTTTGGCCGTGGCTAGCAAGAACCTTGACATCTCTCACAAGCCAGATTTCACCAATACCGAGCCTGCCGCGAACATTGGCCCCTTTCCCCAATGGCATGACAAGAAGAAAATCGTTGCAATGGATCCATTGGGTCACCTTGCGCCGTGGTTGTACAAAGACACCATGAATAAGGAAGGCGTGGAGATCAGACCATCAATAGCAATTACGAAGGCTCACATGAAACTCCCCGAGCTGGAGACTAGTGTACGGAATGGTCGCCTCGTGCCTGATGGTAAAATCTGTCTGAACGAAACTGGTGAACTCGCAGTGACTAAAGTCGCTGTCGAGCCTGTGTGGTATCTCCCCGGCGTTGCGGAACGCTTCGGTATTGGTGCGTAAACAAAATTGACCTCATATTCGCCCTGTCTAATGTTCTCCAGACGAGGGTACACTTCGACGGACGCTCTTCGAAGAGACCGGAGGCTCTTACCCTGAACTCATCACTCGCCACGACATTAAGGTCTTCCTGCCTCCTATTGGTGGTTTGACAGTGTACATTTTCGGCGATCCAGCTAAGATGTCTGACCCTGATGCTCGCCTTGCTCTCCGTGTTCATGACGAGTGTAACGGCAGTGATGTTTTCGGCTCTGACATCTGCACTTGCCGACCCTATCTCATCTTCGGTGTGGAAGAGGCGGTCAAGGAGGCACAGAAAGGAGGCAGCGGTGTCGTCATTTACTTCCGAAAAGAGGGACGGGCCCTTGGTGAGGTTACTAAGTACCTGGTCTATAACGCACGAAAGAGAGGTGAGGATAGAGCAAGTGAATACTTCAAGCGGACCGAGAATATCGCCGGTGTGAAAGACATGCGATTCCAAGCTTTGATGCCTGATGTAAGTCTTGCTATTTCACGTCTATCGCTCTTCCGTGGGCACTCTAGTTACATGTCCACATACATGTCATTGATCTTCTGGTTGCTGATATATTTACACCCCAGATTCTACACTGGCTTGGCATTACACGAATCGACAGGATGCTTTCTATGTCCAAGTAAGTCTACTCCAGCAAGACCTACAAAGCCGACCCGCCTCGATGCTCTTCGCTTTTCTAACACAGACGCAGCATGAAGCATGATGCCATAGTAGAACAGGGCATACCTATCCATGAGCGAGTACCGATTCCCGAAGAGATGATTCCGGAAGACAGCCGGGTGGAAATTGATGCAAAAATCCAGGCAGGATATTGTAAGCTTCACCGACGCATTCACCGATGTGATATCTTACATTTCGCGACGTGGCTAACATGCTTCTTCAGTCACCACTGGTCATGTCATGTCCATGGAAGAGCTTTCCAATGTCAAGGGGCGTGGTTGGGAGGATGTTGATGTATGTGCTTGTCCAACGTTGCCTCTTATCTTGCTAATTTAGATCGCAGCATTAATCTTTATCCATTTATCGCACTGGACCCTACTGATATCCGAAAACATGGTATGGGTTGAGTAAGCGCCTGCATCTGCATCGGTACGCTGCATACAGGGTCTCTTTTCAAGAATAGCTGCATGGTCACTACACAGGGGCTGCGTGATTATGCCATCTAAGGTTACTACCCCTTCCTCGGGCCTCAACAAGTGGTGCCATGTGTTCTCATTCGCAGACGCGACAATGCATCATCTAGTAGATTATATATGTAGTCAATTGAATTAAATCACGAGCACGATGTTCACCTCTCAAAGCACTGGAATTGGACTGATTGTATATAGTATGCGACGCGCCATTGGACGGGATTGCTTATCCTATCTAGCCACCATCTAACCCAACTGTCCCAACATTCATGGGTCATTCAAAGACCGACTTGTCCCGTCGGCATTGGATGCTCTCGGGATCTCTCACTGACTGACTGTCTCGGAACAGGTCGGACATGGCAGATACACATCCATTACCCCTCACCTATCCACTCCCGCTCGTGATCGGTGCAAAGCCAATCTCATGTTTTGCTGCTCATCCTTCCTATCCCCTCCCAAGTCAAGGTATTGGGTTTCTCCGTTCAGCAGCACGTTCGGAGGCCCCCGCACCTGCTGCTGCACCACTCCACCTCACACCCCCCAACTACGCATGTTGATTAGCAAACATTATGAACATGACCTCGTACATGATGGGGTCTTGCTCGAGAACAAAAACGGAAGAAGATCATCAAAACAAAACCCCGCCCGTTGATTTCGTCGTTTTATGTAGACCGATCGTCCAAAAAATGGAGAGACATGAGGGAGGAGTAGACAAGCACCGTTAGAGCAAGCAGCAGCATGGTGCTACATTCGTCAAACGGGAGGGGGAAGACGCGCAACACATACATACGCACACACACACACACACACCGCACAATCCAAATCATTTCAAATCAGTGTGGAAGAAGAAACTGACAAGTCGTCTCCTCTTTCTTCCCCACCGTCTATCCCATAAGGGCCCCGCAGCGCGGCCGAAAGGACCAGACATACACATGGGAAAACAAGCACCGCTTCACGCGCATGCCTGGGCTCTCAGGCGAGTACAGTAGCGCAAAAATGTAGGTATCAAGACTTGCCACTTCATACTGCCGCTGCCAGCTGCCAGCTGCTACTGCTGGGTGGTTGCTGTACATACAACATAGAGTATCCAATTAGTCCGAGGCGAGTTTCAGCGGAGAAAGTTATGACTCCTACTTTTTCTCAACCCTGGTTCGTGCTTGTGCTCGTGCTGTCATGTGTGTATGTTATGCTGGGTACTTACTTACTTACCGCTAGGTACGTTTTTTACATATGCCTTCAAGGGTTGGAAACCGACTACTCCCCACTCCTGCAAGAGATAGAAGGGAGGTAGTGCAAGTACTGGAAGATGATTCATCCAAGCGCACAAACACACGACCCAGAAAGCAAAAATCCTAGCGGTAGAAAATCACAATCACGATAGGCGGTGGAACAACAAGTTACATAAGAGAGAGGCTACCAGACTAACCGGGGCGGCCCGCTTTTGGGCTCGACCGACTTTTTGCTCCTGTGGCCTTGCTGTGCGTTGCTGTCCGGTCTCTGCTATCTTAAGCAGTCTTTGATATCGCTGGATGCCCAAAGGGAAATCCCATGTACAAATTACACATGTACAATGCCGGGTTGGTGGGGTGACTAGTCCCAGCTAACGGGGTCCCCTTGGAAGTTTTTCCCAGTTGATTTCTTTTCCGACTTTCACGTGCGCATCTTTCATTTTTTCGAGGGTCCTGTGCCTGTGTATGAGAAAGGGACAACCTGGCTGTTATCATTTCTTTCTCGCCTTGCTCGGTGGCTAGTGGCGGATAGTCAGTCAGGCGGCGCTTCTTGTTTTTTCCTTTCTGTCTTGAAGTGGCCTTTCCATCAAGAGGTGTGTTTCTAATTTTGTTGGAATATTGCCTCTAATTCGCCCGCGGCAATGCCGACGATTAGTCAATACAAGGCGAACATGTAAAGGGTTTTTCGGAGGCGTGAAGAAGGATCAGCCTTGGGAGGCAGAGATGGGCGAACACGTTCAGGTTGGTCAGAGGAGTGGAGCAAGTGTACATATGTACCGAACATATGGAAAAAATAGAGAAGTGGCGGATATGCGTGTGTGCGTACACACACACACACACACACACTCTGGATTTCTTTTTTTGTTGCGTCGTTCCAGAAAGCTAACTGCGTCGGCTAACGTGCGCGCATACGGAAATGTACATGAGTAGCGCGGTAGAGTCCGAAGGGTGGGAATCGACTCATACTGGATGTGTAGACAGACAAATTGTAAACAGAGTCGACATCTGGACATGCCACGTCGGGAAACGATCAGCTGCTATTGTTCTGGACTTTGTTTGCGGGATTGCATGTGCATCGCTTGCGGGGAATAGATGTTGGAAGCAATAGTGTATGTACTATGTATGGATACTTTTGCTTGGAGAGGATAGAGGTGTAGTGGGGAAGTATGGATGGATGAAAGGAGGTGGGAGAGGGGGGATGGTAGAGTGGCTAGTATGTGGCACATTTCGGTTGGGACGACGTGATGTGCCAATTGTTGGGCAGAAGAGCCATGTTGCACTGCATCGAGATATGCATGCCTGCTTGGCTCCATCTCGACCAAAAGCCGAAAATACCATTGCGGGAGATGGGCGGCGCATGGTGTCACGAGATGATCTCATTTGCCTTCAGTTATTTCCATAGCATCTCGATCGTATGGAGCGTTGGCATGCACGACAGACTGTGTGGATATGCTCACCGTTGGCGTTGTTTGTCCTTGTTATGGTCGCGTGTTGCACGGGAGTCGAGGTACATACTATAGTAGACACACAGAGTACGCTGGCTAGGTACATACATTAGCTCACGGTAGTGGGCGGTTAGCTTGATGCTTTTAGACGGACTGGGCAGCATGGCATTTCTGGGGGGTTGCCGAAGAGGAGGGTCGGGTGTGCTGTTGAGCAGAATTCATCATGATGGAGTCGGCGGATAGTGCTGAGTGGCACTGGATGCGTACGCTGCGTTTCACTCTTCGCCCGTTCCAGATGGTGAGGACCAGGCGCTGTGGGATCAAAGCCAATGAAGGCAAAATGGATGACCTCAGCGCAACGACCTAGCAAGCTCAAGCTGACACTTCTTGTCGACCAGAACCGTCCCCGAGTAATGTCTGGAATCTGGACCAAAGTCCTGCCCCGCCTCGCTTCTTCAGTAGTTACATCGTAGTTGGAGGTGTGTGGAGCCCACGGTTACTTATGCCATGTGGTGTTTCGAAAGTTAAATACCCAACGAGTAAGACGAGTGAGGCGAGTGAAGAGAGCAGTCGCGCGGCCAAGGCCTCACTGTAAGATGTCGTAACATGTATCGTATCCATGATCAAAGCGAGCGGGCATGTACTATATGTATCCTTCTAGAATGATGCCTGTCCGTGTCCGGGAGGGGCAGGCTGGATGGAGCGATTCGATATTGCGACGAGTATTGCCTTGCAGGCTGATGTGAGGCAGAGGAAACGGGCGGCCACAGCCGGCGGCATGTTATGTACGTGTCCGCCGCCTAATCGTTCCGCAACGATTGTGCAGAGAGAGGTATACAGTGTAACAAAAGGGTAGAGTGCATTGGAGAGAGGGCGGTCAATCGGCTAGCAGCCATCGAGAATGAACGAAGGACGCGGCGTGAAATCATGGCCGGTCCAGCATCGCAGCGTCATGAAGGATCAATCAATCGACGGAGTTATTCCAAGGAGAATGGGGACATGACTACGCACCCTGGGCGTGCCATGTGGGATTCGCTGAGGGGGTGTATGAGTGCTTTTTTTGTTCGGTTTTTGTCGTTTTGGGAATGCGTACAGCGACACATCATGTCATAGTACTTTGGTACCTGCCGCTCTAGAACCTCACCCGCATGGCATGGCGATGCTGGCGAGGATCAAACGGGACCATGGATCGATGTACGTACTGTGTGTACACGGCTACAGCGTAATTGCTTGTTGCTTGCTGACGACCAACTTTCCAGAGGGACTCGAAACTTGTAAAAGCGGTGACGTGCGGTATCATATCCGCTCGCACAAACCACGGTGCGGTCCCCCGACGTATCGATAGCGAGATGGTCAACATCCACTTTCGTCACCAGCAACAAGGAAATGCGCTGCCCTGTCGTCCCCGTCCTTCCCTGAGGATTCGGGGGGGCTTCCAAATTCCCGCCAGTGCATTCATTACACACCCTCCGTGGCATGACAGCAGGACCGACTGCGATCCCGATGTGATGGCAGCCTGACCCCCGCCGCAATGGAAACCCGCGCTTCCGGGGCGGGAAACAAAGCCCCATCAGGGGCGAGAGGCGTGCGCGGCGTCGACATGGTCGACAATGCAATCGTGACAGCAGAGGATAATGTGCGTGCAAACGGTATTCGCTGGATGCCACAGCCATTGCCTGGGCTAGCATGACAGGACATGACGGCGACGGTGGGCAAGACTCGCACTCTCGGAGCCAACGCATAACTGCAGACCGAGTCCAGTGCAATATACATACATACCTACATACCTACACACTTGGAAGAAGACCAAGTACCTGCTGAACCACTAACCGTGCAATACACAGTAGATGACTACATGCAGGCCATGTGTCCGCTGAGGGCGGGCCAGGAACGTATGAACGGATGACAGCGCACGTCGGCTACCCGGCTCTTCTCTTCTTAAACGGTCCACGTTTTTGAGCGGCCTGCATGCTGGTTGCATATACGCAACAAGCCTAGGGCCGAGAATCTATCGATGTGGAGAGAGCCTGGCTGATGATGCAGCTGCCTCGCCCAGGGGTCCCCTGCCCTTGTTCTACACTGGTAGTATGGGGTGAATGGCGTCTCGGCAGCTGGCGTCGAGACTGTTATTACTATTTCTCTACATAGTACCTCGTCCATCCTTTTTTTCCATTCATTGCAAACCCGTCATTCCCAACAGTCCTCCGATCATACACATCTTCCGCCACCATTAACACTCCCTCATCAATCAACAAGCATTCGATAACGCCAACAATGTCGCACAACAACCAATACTACTATTCGCTACCTACCCAAGCACCGCAGTCAAGATCAGGCAGCCGTCGTCCGCCTCTGACGCCATCCACTGTTTCCTCTCCATGCATTTCTACACACGCTCCCGTGGTTACTCGACGAGATTCTGGAACCGGCAGCCCTACTAAAGCGTCGACTCTCCTGGCCAAGGTTGCTTCACATCCGTCTACTCCAAGGGTCGAGACTCCCTCGGTTTCTCCGAACGTCTTAGATATGCGTTCTAGTCCCATTTCTTCGTCAGAGAGACCCGGTGTGTGGAGAAGTGAGAGTGCCCGCTATGTCCAGCAGTACAGGCAGCAAGGTATGTACTCATTGACGCATCACTGTTTCGAGGAGCGCAAATTAACAGCATGACCAGATGGCTACATCAGTTTCCCTGATTTTGAAAAGTTCTGTCAGCAGCAAAATCCATACCAGAACCAGCAACAGCACCAACATCAATACCAACATCAGCATCAAGAGCATGCCGCTGTGCAGACATGACTAGAAGAATGGCTCGAGAAGAGACTAGCGATCGAGTGGAAAGGGCTACAAAGCCTGATCGACGCGTTCAGCAAGACTATTGAAATGATAGCATATCACAAAGCCATTCCTTTGTCGTGAGACCAAAATTCACCCAGGAAAGAACCCTGAAAGGAGAGAATCGGTCCGAAACACGGCAAGCCGAAAGCCACTTCATCTGGCCGATTCGTCCAGGAGCCAGAAGAGAAGAGGGGTTCTATTCGCGGATATTCCGAGCAGGTTTTGCTTATGGGAAAAATAATCCGAGAATCCTGAAATGGAGGACCCGTAAGCGTTATTGGGTCCTCGTGAGGCATCCCGCGTGGGGTTGTGCGCTGTTAATCCAGAGATCTCGCGTGACGAGTACTCTCAACGTCATCAAATTGATGACAGCAGGCAAGCCATCTCGATGGGATAAGACGACCTTAGGTCATTCGGACTGTGGGGGGTGGGAGCCGTCCGACAAGAAAGAAGAGGGTACATTGAACGTGGCGGATACATAGTAACTGCGACATCAACAGTATGATGTGTACGTAATGCGCATATAATCTGAATGCAAAACTATCGAATCCAGCAATGAAACCTATAAGACTGTGAACTTTGATAAATATACGCTGGCACATGGGCTGCATATTGAAACTAGTGAAAAAGCCGTCGATAGTGTTTTAGTAAAACAGAATGACTTCACGTCACTGTGTGTCGGGCAAACTTCGGTGTCAAAATCACGTGATGCACTGGCCCGTGCGCGCACCTCGCTTAATGTGAATTTGCCAGAGACTTTGCAAACCTCAACGACAACTCCGGAACAGCCCTCCAACGCCCACATTCCCACGTTGCAATCATGGCTGTCGGCAAGAACAAGCGTCTTTCAAAGGGAAAGAAGGGTCTCAAGAAGAAGACCGACGTCTTCGCCAAGAAGGATTGGTACAACGTCAAGGCCCCAGGAACTTTCCAGATCCGAGAGTAAGACACACCCCGCTGCGATTCAATATTGGTTCGTTCTTTCAATGCATGTGTACTGAGCTCTATTCTCTCGCAGCGTCGGCAAAACCCTCGTCAACCGTACCTCCGGTATCAAGAACGCAAACGATGCGCTGAAGGGCAGGATATTCGAGGTCTCGCTCGCTGATCTCCAGAAGGACGAGGACCACGCTTTCCGCAAGGTCAAGCTACGAGTCGACGAAATCCAGGGCAAGAACTGCTTGACCAACTTCCACGGTCTCGACTTCACCTCCGACAAGCTCCGTTCCCTCGTCCGCAAATGGCAATCCCTCATTGAGGCCAACGTTGTCGTCAAGACCACCGACGACTACCTCCTCCGCCTCTTCGCCATTGCCTTCACCAAGCGCCGACCCAACCAGATCAAGAAGACCACCTACGCCGCTTCATCGCAGATCCGGGCGATCCGCAAGAAGATGGTTGAGATCATGTCGCGCGAGGCCAGCTCATGCTCCCTCGCTCAGTTGACCCAGAAGCTCATCCCCGAGGTTATCGGTCGCGAAATCGAGAAGGCCACCCAGGGCATCTACCCTCTCCAGAACGTGCGTACATGGAATATTGGGAAATTAGGAACTACAGCTGACGAATAATTAGATCCACGTGCGCAAGGTTAAGCTTCTCAAGGCACCCAAATTCGACCTTGGTGCTCTCCTCGGTCTTCACGGAGAGTCAAGCCAGGATGACTCTGGCCAGAAGGTATGCGACTTCAATGTTCGGTCACCACGGAATACGGCTAACAGATTCTTAGGTTGAGCGTGAGTTCAAGGAGACGGTCCTCGAGAACGTGTAAGCGGCATGGTTCTTTAGGCTAGGCGATCTCTTATAAGGTCTTTTCAACTTCTTCGACATGAGTATGGGCATCAAAAGGTGTTATGTTTACAAATGAATGGTTAAAACATAACTCTTAATGAGTCTTTGGAGAAAGTGATAGCGTGCATGAGTGCAACGATCCACATGACTAATACCACGGTGTTCATGTGGCGGAGCTGGAAAAGCGCAAAGGAAATGACATTGGCTTTTGAATTACTCAAAACTCCTTCACTCACACAGGTGCCTTTCATCCCATCTCTGATACCGCAATACCCAGCATTGCTGACACCAACTGCCCTGATGTTGCTCACTATATGAACCTTGCACATCATTGTCACACCCTCCTTCCACCCTTCCGCATACTGATCACCATTGCGGATCAACAACAGTTTGGCAGGCATTGTCATTCTGCGCGCGCGTGCGTTATTTTCTGCATAGTTCCCCGCCTACAACCCCCGATGCCCATCCTAATCTCGTGCCGTGCACTGCCAGGATATCACACTGTCATGGTGGTATCTTGTACGCACGACGTAATCGCTCTCCAGGAAATAGCCCGTTTATCCCTCAACCCCGCTGCTTGTTGTAGTCAGAAGATCGAGGCGTGATCGGCACTGCAAGCCGCGTTGCGTATACCAGCATACTATATACTCACCGTCTATCTGTGCATAAGTCTTGAAGCCATGCCCAACAGAGTGTCAAGTGTTAGGTCAGGTAGATGCGGAAATGTACATGCGAGGTGCGTTACCGTCTGCAAGTAGCAAGTCTGCGTGTTGCATCATGCTGCGTTTCTATGACAACTGTACACTGCCGTATTCAGAATGCAAGTGCGAGCTTCTCCAACCTATGTAGTGCACACTTACAATCAATAGTCCTGTTGTCGATCCCTGAAGACTCGGAGATTCACGCTTGCTAGTGATCACTACTTCCTGCAATTTCAAAAGTCTTCGGTGCGATTTGGAGTGTCGCTTGATCGCCAAACCTCGAAAACAGGCTATTCCTCCCTTAGGATCCTCCTCGCTTGCTACATGACGGAGCCCACACAGAATGATAATCGCTCGTAATACTAGCAATCTAACGAATCGATGGGTGCTTGGATTTCTCTATCCTCGATCTCACTTTCCACTCTGTGATTCTCTTCGCTTAAGCAGTCAGAGGGGTACACGTTACACTCGCACGTGCTGCATATACAAAAACGTTGGAATAACAACATCCAAAACACTGCTCACAGCGCAGCACGGACAGCATACATAAAACAACAACGCCTGCCAGCACATCATTTCCTTCATCTACATGTACACATCAACCCTCCTTCCTTGCTCACAACATCCACACACACATACAGGTGACCTCCCCCTTCTCGCGCCAACAGCAAGAAGCACCCAAGCTAGCGGTGACTGACTTGTTAGCCCGCCCATCCTTCCGGGGAATCGGGAGAAAAGAAGCAGAAAAGTCAAAAACAAGAAAACCCAGCTAAACCAGCTAACCTAGTCGAATAGCCCTAATTATTCCCCTTGCTAGCGAACACCCTACAACAACTGACACAAACCACTCTAAACAAGCACAATGGTATAGAAGAGGGGGGTGGGCAAGAGAGTCATGCTGCTGCATAAGCTCGCCCAGCTGTTGCGGTGTAAAAGAAAAAAAGCGAGATTACGCTTTGGAAATGAAGAAAAGATTCGGTGAATGATATCTTGCTTGGTCCGGCGTAGGCTTGCTTAGCTCTTCCATAATCGATAGATATGTCGATGCAAGGTGATGTAGTGAGGAATAATTAATCCATGGATGTGCGTTTCGCATGTTTAGGTTGTTGCTGGGGGTAAGCATGGTTATCTTGCTTTACCTTGTTTGGGTGCTGCTTTGTTTGTGTTTATGTGCGTGTACACCGTAGCGAGACAGTACTTGCGATTGCTTTGTGGAAATTAGTGCGGATGATGGCTCCTGAGGAGTCGCGGTTTAATTGTGTTGTTGTCGTTGTTGATGGGTCGTTGTGTGCACGGATTCCACGTACCTTTGTTCCTTACACCGCCATTTTCACTACGGGGCTCGGGAGAAGGAATTGTGATTCTAGACGGGTTCTATTTCGTGGGTCTGAGGATATGAACGGACTGATGTTATGGAGTCTTGTGTTATCGTGGGTAGGAGAGTAGAGGGGGGGGAAGTTCATTCTCTCTTGGGTTGGTTTGTAAGTAGTGAACGTCGCTAGGGAGTGTGAGGGAGAAGTGAGGCACAATTTGTCCATGCAATCGTCTGAGATCATGGGATAGTCACAAAAACATGCAGAGGAGCACTTTCCGAGTGGACCCATGAATTTTGGCCACAAATAGGCGTATCCGGAGAAACGTATGCAATGTCATGCGGTCCAATTTCAAAGTACTGATGGGACAAGTTTGTGCTCGGCCCAATCACTAGGAACAATTTTCTTAATGAACGATAACACCAGCCGTGAAGAATGGTATGCCATTTCCATTGTTATCATGCGGTAGTATAGCACACAGCAAACTCGCTTTAGCCATAGGGAACATGGCGAAGGTATATGCGGATTGTTCACGCACTGGTGAACTCACTCGATAGAACTGTGCTTCTACATCACAGGGAGGTCACTTGCAAGATAGATTCCACATCAAGTACGACCCAGATTTTGCACAGATTATACACATAGGGCAAACACTTCCCCCATAAGACTCTTTCAACTAGTTCGATTTATCTAACCCGCCATATATGAGGAAATGTACCTTGAACGGAGCAGATCCGAGAAGGCTATATGTCTCCGTAGCCAGTAACTGATAACCTTGAGCAACATAGAAGGGAAGCTTGACAGCAACTGTTAATAGCATATAGTGCTCGTGGCATGTAGGAATTGACTCACAATATACTCATGGATCCGCACAAAGAGGGATCGTCCAGCTTCACGGCTCTACACAGAACACAGTCAGATGATGCTAGTTTGAAGCGGAAATCTTCTCTATCCCACTCGGTACTTACAATCTTGCGGGTGTGCTCATCTAGAGCATGTCCAAGGCCTTTGCGTTGGTGCTCAGGGCTGTTCACGTAATCAGTGAAAAACCACTCTGTTTTGGAAGGGTGGGAAAGAGATTACTCGACGACAATAATGGAGGTAGTGTAGCACTCGCTTGGAGTTACACTGATTTCTGCGTTCGTTTCGCTCGTTACCTCTCCCCATCTTCTGATTCGATTCATGTACTGCTCTTCGCCAGCCAATTCTAGGAACATATCCCAGTCTTCGTTGTCGTCAACTCTCTGCGTTGCCCGGTTAGATATAAGATCCTCTCCACCAGATACAACGACTGATATATATAGCACTCACAAAATCAGTAATATACGGCATCCGAGACTTGCCCGGCTCGAAGAATGCTCTGAAGCCCCGCCAAATCCCATCTTCCTTAGCACCGATGAGGATTCCCGACATAGCGACACGGTTCAAGTGCGAGGACCAAAACTTCTCGTGCATCTTTACGTTGTCTTCGTACGGGGCGGCGCCGAAGAATATCGTCAGAGCAGGAGTGGCCGCTGAACAAGAGTCAGTCCATATGCACCTCAGATTGAGACTCAAGTATGGGAGGGAATGAGTTTCGTGTGAAGTGTTACATACGAGCCATGGCGAATGCTTTGGCCATCCATGTCGCTGCGTTTCGGCATTCCTCAGTCGATAGCCCTGTGCCGGTTAGGTTTACGATTTCGTAGTTCGATGCAGACATGATCGATGATATGGGTTTATGGTATCTTGGTTGATCAGGTCTGTGCTAGTACAACCATACACACGGGCGCATACTGTTCATATCATGTTGGCCGGCTTGATCTGCAGTTTAGATTTGCGGCACATCATGTCAGCACTTAGATGTTAGTCAAGTAAGCGACCTCGGCGCTGATTGGAGAGCGTGTCGATTAGTAGATGTATGGTGTACGGACTACCGCGGAATTGCTGTTGGCATTTGGAAGTCATCATCGCGTTTTTGGATAGAGCAGTTGGTTGATAATATGACGGCAAGTTCAAGCTTGCTCAGATTGAAGTGAATGTTTAAAAGTTATGACTAAAGCATACAGAATCGAAATATATGAACATAAAACATGAAAGAAACCTGCCTGCCATCAATCAGGCACTGGCTAGCATACTCCTTGACTCACTTTCTAAGCGGAGAAGTTGCGTTCGGCCGTCTTGGTCGACCCAGATGCAACACTGACGTCCTTGGTGATGACAGTGTTGCCACCAACGCTGGTAACCCTGACATCAACGGTATCCTTTCCACTGCCGCCAGAGATCTCGAAGAAGTTGTATGGCTGGCGAGTCGTGGCCTTCCAGCTCGCGCCACCATCGGTCGAGACCTCGAGCTTGGAGATGGCAACGTTGGAGTTGACGACTTGCATACTGAAGAAGTACGGCGAAGTGCCTTCTTTGTTCTTGAGGACAATAGGGGAAGTGATGTCGCAAGGAACCTGAGTGTACGAGATGTCGATGATGCCAGCAGACTTCGAGCCAATCTGTTCGAAGCCAGTTTCGAAGAGATCGAGATGAGTGACGTCGCATTCTGGGCATTGGTCGACGACCATGGCCTTGATGGTCTTGCCATTAGGTCCGGTGACAGCAACGCAAGAGCCGCACTGGGAAGCGTCCCAGTTACCTCCAAAAGCTGTGCCGAAGAGGTTTGAGGGAAGGGTATATCCAGTAAACGAGCAGTGTCCTCCGCTAACGTTTCCCCCGTAGAAAGTGGCTTTGCCCTTGACAGCAGCCGCAGAAGTTTCCTCCTTGACTGCCTCGACTGGTGCAGCCGAAGGTGCAGGCGCAGCGGCTGGCGCGGAAGAAGGGGCAACGGATTCCGTTGAGCTGATAGCTGTCACAGGGACTGGGGATACAACGACGGTCCGGGTTGACTTGCTCTTTAACGAAGCAGAGGATAGGCTGGAAAGCGCAGACGACAGAGCTTCAGTAGGCAAGGCGGATACTTTGGTTGCTAATGTCGTTGGCTGTATAGGAGTGTAGGTAGGAAATCTTGTGCTGTTCGCAAAGGTGCCGTTGCCATAAGGTTGAGGTGGGAAGTTAGGGCGATGAGGGCGGTGGCTGATCTTCGCCTCTGCGACGTCTGTCGCGGAACTCGAAGGGGCAGGAATCGTAACAGTGACGCGGTCAATTTGGGTCTCGGTGACGGTCCTCAAAGGACCGCATTGGTCTTGCGCAAGAGCAAAGCCCACAAAGGGGAGAATGGCGACGAAAGACTTCATTTTTCTTATTGATCGAAATGCTGATTTAGAAAGGTGTGGATTGCTTTGAATGACTGAGGATACTATGATCTCTCGATGTGACAGGGCAAATGATGGAACTGGGATCAATGGATTCAGTAAAGATGTATGAAACGAAAGTACGCAGCGCTATGGCATGCAGTCAGCAGAGGAAAGAATGAATGAATGAATGTTACGAGACCAGGCGCTCAACCTCCAAAATTCCACGGCGGCGTGTCTTCCCTATAAGCCATCCTCCAACACCATCCAAGCGCCAGTCATCTCTCGACCCGCTTAGTTGAAATGACCGAAGGCGCAAAAGTGGAGTTTCGAATTATCTGCGCGCACGGCATCCTTCCCCCACGCTGCAGCCACATGTTCCAGACCAATTCCAAAAGGGAACCGTAGTGGAGGAACGAGATTGAACTCCTGGGGTGGCAGCTGTCAAGGACGCGGGTGCGCTGAAGCTTAACGGAGATCAAACACTGGCGAGATGAGATCATTTGCGTGCACGGGAAAAAGTTATCCCTTCGGCATTCGAGCGAACATGCATATGCACATGTAAGCGAGGTCTCACCACAGATGCGTGTTCCGGACGAGTCCTATCAGGTTCAATGGTGTGTATAATCAATCTATGTTGTGTACTGTTGAGGTTTCTGATGAGGTGAACATCTGATGTCGGTATAGTAGCGTGGTGTGGCGTTGTTTTAAGTTAGGGCTGAAACGAGTAACACGAGAAGCAAAGAAACACCACTACCGGGTCTATCCCGAAAGTGGGCATTGTCTAATCAACAGCACGAAAACTCAGAGGACTAGTTCAATGAATATGAATCAAATTCTCCAAGCCATAAAGTGACCCAAATCTGTTCGTGCAGAAGTGGATATATTTATATAGTAGCACGCGTACCGTTCTATTGTGACTTAGAAAAACATACTTTTTCGATAATGAAATGATTTGTCAAGCTGGTCATCCCACACTCACCTTGAACGTTATCGTGTAGATCTTAGGCGTAGACGTGAAGTATGGCCCGAGACAGCATTCCAACCATCCGATACTATACATGGATCATAATTACATACTCGCAGCAAAATCTGGGTGCAGTATTGTTGCTCACAATACTCGTTTTCGTGTGAGCTATATTCGGGGACGCAACTCCGCGAAAGTCGTGTCTCGGAGTACGGGAATAGAGCCTCGAAGCGAGCAAAGCAAAAAGAGTTTCTTATGCTTAATCTCGTCAAAGAGTTCCCCAAGAACGTACTGATTTGGCAACCACATCATACAGTTTCTTCTACTCCATTATGATGCAAAAGTTGTTCATTGACGGACCATCCCTCACTTTCCTCTTCTCAATTTTCGCGGGCTTCCGCTCACTCTTCAGTGTGAATAGGTAGTAGCATAGTTTCGGCGTGAGTTTCTTTCTTGTCAAATCGAAACCAACACTGGTCATTATCCGTAGTAATAAAGACTCGTCCAGATATCTCGAATTCTGCACGCACGGCAAAGGTAAAACGAGAAACAACGCTGGCAGTGTAGCACCGTCTGTTTGTGCTGGCGGATCTGGCATCCGTAGGAACTGAGCGACTCGCTTCAGCATATCCCCACGCTGAACTGCCTCCGGGACATAATTCAAGACCAATGAGAGGGATATGATGTCGAACAAATCATTGGGGCTTTTGGGCAATGGTCTTTCCATGAAATCCTGTTTCGCAATCCCAGGACCTTGACTATTCAAATCGATCCTCGTCATGTCTATCTCACCGCCGACCTTTGAGATATCATTCTTCGTGGATAACGCTCCAACTTCAAGGCACCGGTATGTTTTGTCGGGTTTTGCGTCGGCTCCAGTATCCTTGGGTGTGCTGCGGAGAACGCCTTCACGTTTCAACCATTCGACAAGTATTTTGCTAGAATCACCCCCTCGATCCTTTGATTGACCTTGCTTACTTGCAGCTTGGTAGACTTTGATTCCACCGTTGGCTTCGATCGCCTTCTTCAGAGACTCTGCTGACTTATCATCACCGTTTTTCAGAGCCGTCGCGCGTTGTTTTTCCAGTCTATGATGGGTTTGGATGATGGTTCGTGATTTTTGCGAGCTCATATGCTCTCTAGGTGTGAGTATGGGCGGTCTTCCATGAGACAGAGTCTTGGTTCGTTTCTTGACGGCCATGGATTTTCTTTTCGAAGCAACTCAAACATGGCTCACTGAGATTGTGTTTGGTGGGTACCAGTTGATGCCGAGAACGTGAAAAGCACTAGCGTCTACGCTAGACCCGACACGGATGGCTAAGCGAATTTCGCAACTCTCGCACTTTTGATCATCTCATAACTTCCTTTCCACTGTCAACCTCCACTAACCACAGCACATCGTCACAATGCCTCCCAAAGCCGGACAGAAAGGTACGCCGCCTTTCCATGTTTTGTACGACAATTACGATGCGTCTTGAAATGACTTCTGCGCCGCCGGTTCTGCTCAGCCTTCGTCGAGGAAGTGATGCATCGTAAAAATCAAGACAAAACTCTCTCATTCCACTATGATAATCTCATCGCTAACGTTTTGCAGGCGGTAAGCCGCAAAAGAAGGCCAATGAAGCCGCTAAGGCTGCCCTCCGCGGTGTACGTACCATTCCCTAGACCTACAAGGCGTGCCAGTATTTCATCTCTGGCTGCTTTTACTTCTCGTGCTCTGGGACAGCAGTATTAACGAGAGTAAAGGTGAACTCGCACAAGGTCAAGAAGGTTCGCCTCAATACCAGCTTCCACCGTCCCAAGACTCTGGAGCTCTCGTAAGTTATCTCTCTGTTATGTTGCTTCTCGCCAGACGGCATGAGAGGAACATCCAACTTGCCACACGCGAGACGTCTGATTAGCTGACAATTTTTGCAGCCGCTCTCCCAAATACCCCCGCAAGTCGATCCCTTCGCAGCCCCGTCTCGATGCCGGCAAGGTCCTCATCCACCCACTCAACACCGAGTCCGCCATGAAGAAGATTGAGGAGAACAACACCCTCGTCTTCATCGTCGACGTCAAGGCCAACAAGCGCCAGATCGCCGCTGCCCTCAAGAACCAGTACGACGTCTCTACCGTCAAGATCAACACCCTCATCCGCCCCGACGGCTCCAAGAAGGCTTTCGCGAGGTTGACCCCCGATGTTGATGCGCTCGACATCGCTGCTACCAAGCTCGCCATCGTTTAAATGGACTTGCTTCTGCATTGGGTGTGCGTGGGAAAAGGATACGAGATACCATGGCTCGGAAAAAGCGGTTATGATTGCATGGCGTTTACGGGCATGTCGTCCATAGTGACTGGAATGAATCAATTTCGACATGTTGCCCATCTATGATTCAACAAGTCCAACGTGAAATGTGGTGTATGATGACATATGTACGAAATTGGGTATCATGCTAGCTATTGTTACATTAAAAAGTACAATGTACATGTTCAGAAGAAAGCCATCATGTATATGACACTCTCTGCGTGCTATCGGTTGCGGAAATGTCCTCTTCTCAATGGGAGAGAGAAGATTTCTTCTTCCCCTTTCCTTCGCGACGAGGCTTTCGGCGTGGAAGCGGTTCATCCCTGGCTGGTCCAAAAGCAACTGTTCGTAAACTCGGAATGGCACCACTATCTGTGAATATGACTCTCGTACCTCGCTTTCGAAAGGCAGACTTTGCCTCTTGTTCCTCATCGCTGCTTTCTCGTACGGGCAACGGAGAGTGATAACTGCGTATGAGGGACACTCTGGGCGCGACTGGCACAAGCCACTTGGGAAGAGTATCATACTCGTCGTCTGCCAATTGTACAGAATATTTACCCTTCGTAAACGTTTTTGCAATAGGCCGTAACGGAGACAAGCCAGGATCTACATGGCGGATGCCGGGAGGCCGAAACCCACAGGTAACTGTACCCTTGACTGCCATGGTATCTGCAACAGGGCCCTCGATCCATACGTCGAACGTGATATCACCCTCGAGAATCGTCTTGCCCCTTTCCCGTGCGCATACTCGCAATTTTTCTGTTGAATACAATGGCGCTAGATTCTTATACTCAATAGATTTGATGATGCGCTGCGGCCCGGTCATGTCGTCCAGATGTGAAGCGATAAACTTAAGCATGAGCATGAGAGTCAAAGGTCCATGTACAAGGGTATTGCGGTGTCCCTCGGTTCTCTTGCAATATTGTTCGTCGAGATGGATCGCGTGAGAGTTGAATGTCAGAGCTGAAAAACGAGAGAGGAGGTCTCTGGTTGGCTTCATTGAGTGAGAGAATTCGGGAGGCCCAGGTGCTAGCTCCAGTTAGCTGAAGTTCTGTATTCTGAATGTATGTACTGACCTTTTAAATATCTGATCGGTGCAGCTTCACCAGATGCAGCCGCCTCAATCTCGTCCTGGCTTTTTTCGTGCATGAATACCAGATTACGTTCTTCAATCAAATAAGCATCTCCCCACTCTTCACCCTTGCGTGCCTGCTGCTTGAAGAACTCAGCAATCCCACCTGACCCCTTGTACATGCGAGCGGCCATTGAAATCTCTAATGCCTGCACCGCGGCGAAGCGGCGCTCGACGACTATGAAGATCTTCGTTGAGGCACCTTGACCTCGCAAAGAAACTTCCTTTATTCTTTCCACGCATATGTGCGGTCTATCCAAGTCCCATCCATTCTCGAATGCAGGCTGAAAATATGCCGGAGGATACACTTTGACGGAACCGCCGGCCCACATACGTCGCGTGAAAGGGTTGTCTGATAGTGCTGGGCTATGAAGCCGATCGGTGCCATCGGGAAGCAGTTCGTTGGTTGGGATGATTGGATTGAAGAACACGAGGTGATTGCCAATGGTATGCGATTGGGATGTACCATTCGATAATGGTCTTGATCGAAACGTGGGTTTGAACCCAGCAGGTAGATACGGCGATAGTGTGGCGGCGAGCTTCTCTTCCTGTGTTTTTGATGGATACTCGTTCAAGGCTGGCAGCTCCCGGTTGAGCATTTCTTCACGGAGTGTTTGGAACCATGCTGGATAGCCGTTTGTGTTGGCTGAGGGAGTGGCCTGTGTAGTATTGATTGTGGTCGAGTAGGGGCAGCGTAACAGTCGTCGCCATGGTGTAGCATTGATTGTCGACCGATATGTACGAGCCAGACACTGTGGTTGGAGAAGCATGGGCGGTGATGTTATTGCGCATGAAGAGTTTACTGGGCGCTGGACAATGCAAGGAAATTGTTGCACGAGAGGAAGTTTTACCGAGGTCTCTCGGTTGCGCCTTCCTCTTAGCACCCCGAAGATAAAGTGTGGGAGTGACCCCTCAATGACTTCTACCAGCTTCTAAGTACGGAAATGATAAGTCTTGGTTATCACCGCCAATGCATTCATGTTATATCTATGTACATACGTAACTGCATAATGCCCGCGTGATTATCTTGAACTTTCGCCTTCGCTCTCGTATATTAGTGTGGTCCAACTCGAGGTTCATACTGAAGAATAACTCTCGGCCGATACTGCGATATGGCTGTGCCACGGATTCAAAACAACATTTATTATGCAGTATTCTGTATACTTGCCCTGGTTGTCCCAGCCATGACGGCTTGTACGAAAGCACATTATATCATGTATCTCACGGGGTACGTCAAATGCCAGCACTTGGGAGTTTTCCATCGCCGTACTAAACAACACGAAGGCAACACAATGTGGTTCCCGAGCCATCTCTCATAGAGTGTATCACACACGTTGATTTGGCTTTCATGCGTTCCGAAACATTCAATACGCCAAATCAGACGTCATTCCCTCTATTCACCACTGTTGAAGAGGTCCGCTCCAAATTCCCCAATGATACCAAAGTCATGATCGCTATTGGTGGATGGGGAGATACGGATGGGTTCTCCGCAGCCGCTAAAACAGACCAGACCAGACTACAGTTTGCAACGAATATAAAAAACATGATTGCACTCACTGGCGCAGATGGTATGTAAGTCAACCGTGCAAGTACACAATAGAGATTGACTCTACACCACAGGAGTCGACATTGATTGGGAGTATCCCGGCGGAAATGGCGAAGATTATAAAACAAATCCCAACTCACAAAAAGTCTGGGAGATCGACGCCTTCCCGAAACTACTGGCCGAAATACGAACCGCTATTGGGCCTTCCAAAACACTGTCAGCAGCAGTTCCAGGCTTGCCGAGGGATATGCTTGCATTCACGCCATCCACTGTGCCTCTAATTTCGCAGACGGTGGATTTTCTTAACATCATGACCTATGATATGTTCAACCGCCGTGACAATGTGACCAAGCATCACACGGGTCTTCAGCTGTCTATGGAGGCTATTGAAACATATTTGGAACGTGGGTTGCCATCTGCAAAAGCCAATTTAGGCCTCGCTTTCTACACAAAATGGTACAAGACAGACCCAGATGCAAAAGCAGAATGTAGAGCCCATCCTGTCGGATGCCCAACCGCTCTCATGGAAGATCCAGTCACCGGAGGCGATCTCGGTAAAGCTGGTGCCTTCTCGTGGCACGACAATGTGCCTGCTGAGCTTGCGAATTCTTGGAGCAAAGCACAGGCGTATGGTGTGTACGATGAGGCGGGGGGAGGTCACTACTATTGGGACGAAGACGAAGATCTGTATTGGACATGGGATACGGAAGCAGCTATCTTGAAGAAGTTTCCCCAAATTGTGGTTGAGAAAAGCTTAGGAGGGGCTTTCGCATGGGGGCTGGGCGAAGACGCTCCGCAGTTCGTGCATCTGGGAGCAGCCACGCAGGGAATTCTGACGTGGACTAATGGGACCAAAGAACCAGGCCCCGCGGCGGAAGATCAGGCCGAGAAAAGTGAGTTGTAGCTCCTTCGAGTGCTTCGGATACCAGTCTGATTGTGATATTCAGCGTTCGTCTGATCGCGTATCCTACATCTAACTCAAATTCCTAAATCTATGTGGTATTCAAAGAAATCTAAAGTACTACATTATGATACGTCTATTCGTCTTTTTCTTGCAAAAAATCGACTACCGTCTTGATGAACTCTTCTGGCTTTTCACTGATCACCCAGTGTCCGCTGTCAATGTCGACCAACTCGAATCTGGGAAAGAACCTCCCAATGATGGGTAAAGTTTCATCACTCACGTAATGACTTTTGGTACCCCTCACAAACAAGGCTCTTTTACCAAAACGCGCCTCGTCGGGGTTCTTGAAAGGAAAGTCCGCCATATCATCTAAAGAGTTTCCTAGGACTTTGATGGGTATGCGGAACTTCAATGGCTCGCCCGGACTCGGTCGGAACAAGTTGGTAAGAAGGAATTGGCGGACCGGAAGTTCCTTCACGTAAGGGGTAAGGGCTTCATCTGCCGCTTTCTGGGATTTGCACTGCGCGTTCTCCACCTTTCGCATGCCTTCAACGTATTTTGGGAAATCGCTTGCGAGTGCCGCATCTACGGGAGCGTTATCGACTGCGATGATGTTGGCGCAGCAGCTTGGTTCGCGCAAGGCCATGGCCATGACGGTTTTTGCGCCCATGGAGTGCCCGATAAGCGTCGCATCCTTTAAATCATGCTTTTCAAGAAAAGCGAGGACATCCTCTGAAAGTGCAGTGTAGTTGTGTGTCTTTTCCTGGGGTGAGTCGCCGTGATTACGGAGGTCGACAGCGTAAACGGGGCGGGAGAGGGCTCGAGAGAAAGCGCTGTACGAAGTGTGAGTTTCATGAACAATTCGACGAAAATGCATGTGTCCCGTAGAGGGGTCCATACTTGCTGACACTGCGATTATTCTTTTTGCTTCCAAAGAGGCCGTGGAGAATTACTATCGGATCGCCCTTGGATTTCCCTTGCTCATCGTGCAGTGTGTAGGCGAGGTCGAGGGCTTTGCAATTTGCGCTCGAGGAGAAGGCGCGCGAGCATGTTGGCACCGAGTTGAACGTAGCAGGCTGTATCCGTATTGTGTGCTTCGGAAGAAGAAACGGTGCGCAGATGGGTCGGAGACCGCGATGTAAGGTTCGCATTGTCGCAAGTGGTGTTGAGGTTCAAGAAGATTTTCCGGCGTTGGTGCGGAAACCGTTCCGACGACGGAAGGGGAAAGGGACGTCATTTGGTTCTTGCCAAGACGAGACGATAGAAACTCATGTCGACCAATATTGTCTCCGCCTTTCACAACAGTATTGCTACAATGTGTGTTTACAAACACAATCGGTCAAGATGAAGCACTACACCCACGGAAAACTCTGGATACGACGCGGGATCTTCTAGCATTGGATGAAGGACTTGGACCAATCCCCACATGAACTGTGGAAATACGCCATGCCCATTGACAGCGATGACCAGGTGCCTGCGATGGACAAGTCGCTGTAACGTCGAATTCGGTTTCTATGGCTAGATGGTCCCCTTGACCTATCACGCACGGTCGCACTGATGCATCCATGTAGCAGTACCTTTGCAGGTTCAATCATCGACCGGTCAGCCTATCACGCACCATCGCACCCACACCGTTCCGTGTACAAGCTGACCGGTCAATCACGCATGTTCGCACTCATCGCACTCATCGCACTCACCCCACAGTTGTAAGAAGAGCTGCCCATCCCTGTCAATATTAGCTACCATTCTTCTAGATAGGATTACACGTATATATATGTTCTCAAGTGCTTCTTCCACTAACCACTTCCCCCCCTCCTTACTCATACCGTTGTCTCTCACGTCTCAACCGAGAAGTTGTGAAAGCAGCTCGTCATGGGTGACTATTCTTCTCATATACTTCCTCGTATTGCTTTTCCAGATTTACCAGCCCCCTCAGAAATAGCTACGAACATCTACTATACCTCACCAGAAACGCATGCTCAGACGAGCGATGCGGTCTAAGACCAATCCCCCCCGGTTATAGATGTCAACACAAGGAACATATTCCAATCGGGTGGGCATGAGCTGATTGCACCACGCAAAAAGAGGAAACTCGAATTCGTAAAATGCGATCAGTGTCGCAAAGATAAGCAGAAGGTAGGTCGGACCCACGTTCCGAAATGAGTGCTGTACTGATCGATCCAGTGCCTGCCCGTGGGTCGAAGCGGTTCACAGCCATGTAACAGGTGTAGGGTGAAGGATTTCGTGTGCTCCGAAGGGAAGAAAGTACAACGCAGATCTAGAATCACTGCGCCTCCGATGCATCTTTCCACATCTTCGTCTGGCCCTCCGGGCACTATTAGCATTGAAGACTGGTATGTGATGCTCCAGCTGTCTGCAAAGAATTTTCTTATGTATTGACTATAATGAGGTCTTTTCTGGTCGTATATCGATCGATGATTACTCGTGCAATAGACGCCGAAGAAGGGCTTTTGACCGAAGCTGCATCTCATTTCGAAATGAATACCTTCCCGCCGCACAGTTCCGAGTTCAATGACGGAGGGACCCCATTCAAAGTCTTCCTTGATAATTTGAGTGATTACATTCATCAAAAAGCTACCCAACTTTCTCCGTGTTCTGAGGGTGAAGACAGATATTCAATCTTGCCAGCATTGTTTACACATATCTTCCTGGAGCCAGTATATCACCCCTACGATCTTATGGAGTCCGACTCGCGTATCAACATATGCGATAGAATACTCGAATCACACAACACTGCAGCTCGCTTTATCGCCCTTCAACACCACCTGGACCACTCGCTGGACCGACCTCCTACACCTGAAGAAAGAAGGGTTCTCTGGGATGCAAACGAAAGAGTATGTACTCAAGCAAAAGAGGTTCTGAGCTCTGCCGGCCTTTTGAAGTTCATGCCATCTATTGCACGAGACCACCCTTCATACATGTCATCATTCATTCTGACGCGTATGGACAAAGGTGTCCATGATGCGCGAGAATTGAAGTGGTACGACTGTATGGGACGGAATATCTTGTTACGCTTCGCAGGTTATTCGGATGAGGAGACTCTTCTCAAGCTTCTGCCCGATTTTGAAGAACTTATACGAAGTAGTCATGACAGCCACCACGAGACCCTTGCTCAGCTACTGAATCAAACGGATTCTCTCGGTCGGACAATACTTCATGTTGCTTGTCAAAGAGGAATGCCTAGTTTCGCGAAGAAGTTACTGGATTACGGTGCCTGTCCCGACATCACCACAATATTTGGATCATCCCCATTGCATTATGCCTGTGCATCAAAATCCAATCGCGCTGATATATGCATAATTCTACTCGCTAGGGGTCTCACAGACCCACATAAAAAGGACGATTGGGGGCATACCCCGATTCATTATGCAGACAAGAACGGTCAGGTTGACAAAATGATGTCCATTCTGCGAACTGGAAGAGCATGCACACCCGAGGATGGATATGAAACGTTGATTGATGCGGTGAAAACCGGGAACCGCTCGGTAGTCGGACGATTGTTAGCTGCAGGGGCAACTCCTCTCTACGGGTCTCCGGTCTCGCGCTCACTATTGCTTGACGCGATCGATTTCAAGCAAGTGAGCTCTTTACAAGCTTTGTGCGAAGCATATCCAAACGTGTTATTCAAAGGGTCCAATTGGATGCCAGAAAACCCGTTGACACATGCAGTTTCCAGACAGTATTATGATGGAGTGGAATATCTCTTGAAACAAGACAATGTCGATGTCAATGGCAAGGATTATCTTGGCAGGTACGCTTTGGAAATTGCGGTTGCTCACGCCAATCGCCAGATATTGCGATTGCTGCTTGAACATCCGAAGATTGATCTTTATATTAGAAGCGAGTCGGGCAAAGGGATTCTCGAGATTGCGAAGGACTACCGTATACGAGGTATGATTGTAGATGCGAGGAAGGAGCTCTTTAACCCCACTGGAATGGGGGCAGATACAATGAGGAGCTAGAGATCTGTTGCCCCAAGGCGAATCAATCATGATGAATTAGCTATGTAGGCCACTCAAGCCAAAATATCTGCGAGTCTTCCACCAGCACTCCGTAGCAATTGACAATTGCGCAACTTCGCCCAATCACCATCAAGTGCACTTATCAAAACCGCCCTGCCCATATCGACAAGATCTTGTGTTCCTTCTCGATCAGTCCACTCCACTCGTGTAGGCCAGAACGCGATGTGTACAGCCCAATGGACCAGCATTCTCGTGATCCACTCTTGCTCATCCACACCTTCCACCGCTCCTGCACCAAAATCTCTCTCCGTGAGATAGGCATCCAAAAAGGCCGCAAGAATCCCTCTATCACCACGAAATCTATCCAACAGGAAAGCTTCAGCGGCAAATTGACCAACATCTGTGGCACTGGTCCCACGACGAGTAATCTCCCAATCCACCACTGTGAGATCGACCTCTTCTTGTCGCTCATCTCGGAACTTGACCAACACATTACCCGGCCAATAGTCTCCATGACACAAACATTCATTGTCCGCAGCCAACCGGCTCCCAAACTTCTCATTCACACGATTTGCCAACTCCACATCATGCCCGTACTTGGCAAACGCATCGCTGAGGTTGTTGTAAGAGTACCGATATATCTCCACCCCGATCGGATTATTAGCCTTCAAATCCACATCGTCCTTGGCTCCGGTGAGCGACAACGATGTCTTCTTTGTGCTCATGTGTAGCGCAGCGATCCATCGTCCCATCTCCGTACCAATGGCCGGAATGTTGAGTAGAGGATCCGCGTACGCCTTCTTCAACTCCCTCTCCCCTCCGTCCTCTAAACAGAGGACTCGCTTCTCGGCGTCATAACTATACCGTTTCGCTGAATGAACACTGCATACCTTTCCGGGCACATATCGATCCATGAGCTCAGGTACAACGATTAAAACGTGGTTCTCGTAGTCCATACGCGCGGGGTCGAAGGCAAAGGTTGGCGAGAAGTGGAGGTAAGCTTCCGAGTGTTTGTAGATGAATGTCCTTTCTTTTTGCGAAGCTATGGACTCGGAAGTAGTAGAGGATGAAGATGAGGTTTCGGAAGGGCACGTGACGCGGTAGACGTAATTCACATTCCCGCCTGTGAGGAGAGTGATGCTGGTGTGTGAAATGGAGCGGGCGGTCAAGTAGGCGCTCATGCCGGCTTCGGTGGTAAGATCTGGCTGCGAGGTAGAGGAATCCATTGTTTCTCAAGAGTTATCACAAGGGCTTCTGAACAGATGGACCTTGACTTCTGTAAAATTAATTGACCCTAGGAAGTCCTCCAAAGGTTGCATCTGCAGTTTTTACTCAGTAAATAGGAAACCAGAGGGATATCGAGGGTATAATATACTTTTGGTATCATCAAGTGTTTGACGGCGTACTACTCTGATTACAGAAAAGGCAAGCATGATCCGTATTGCTCGAGATGAGTCATTTGCCAAGACCTGGGGGTGAATTGGTGGGGCTGAACTGGGTAGCTGCACTACGAGAACTCGGGTGTAGCGTGATCGTAAAGCATCACCTCTATATCACACACTAAAAACGGCGGTATATAATAGATTATATAAATACAATGAACCTAATGCTTGTATCAATGCACGAACGGGTAAAAATACATATGAAGATGCGCAATGCAGAACCATAAAACGCTATCAATGCATGCAGAGCCCATCGCTAGAATGCAAAAGGGAGGTTGGTAAAGTTTTTAGACAAATTCTTGGGCAATATTGATAAAGTAATGCATCGACTTCTTATCCGGCTTCGGCTGCATGGCCAGTAGGCCCCTGCGAAGTGTCTATACAGTGTTAGCCTTGTTCTCCGGACGGGACGGCGGTAGATTTCAAGTCGAGGTAGAACTTACAATCCATAGTCACAAAAGCACGATCAACCTCCTTCAAACCCTCCGTACAGTATTGCAGAGTTTCTGCGATATCGTGACACTGGTTCAAAGGCGCCTTCTCATCCATCAAAACATCCATCTCCACCCACACTCCGTCGCCAGCGTGGTAGCTCTTGACCATTTTGTAGCCTTGAACCAATGGTGAGAAGCGCCACGCCATGAACATCATCTTACGTGCTGTACGATCGTCCGCTGCCACGCCTGTCAATCGTGTAACGTTCTCCAAGCAGGTGCCTGCCCAGTCATAGATGATGAAGAGGGAGAGGAACGTTGCGCCTACAGGATCCAACCACCAAACGTCGAGCTGCTTGCCGATCAACGGGAAAGCGAGAGATAGTGTGTTGAAATAAACATCGGTCTTGCAATCTTGCGCCAGCGCTTGCACTTGGGTAGTTTTGACCCTTGAGCACCCGATCCAAATAGTACCCTTGACGACGATTGTAGCGACCATGGAGAAAATGGCTGCAGGCGGTAGGTCTGCCGTTGTGTGGTCGCCGCTTGGGAGCAACTTTGTTATCGACTCTTGTAAAATCTGGAGGAAGGAGACGATCATGATTATGGAGAAGACCAGAATGCCAATAGGTTCTAGACGACGGCGGCCGACGGGAAATTGTTTTCGTAGACGTTCTAGTCGCCAGCCTACGAGCTTGTTGGTTGTGTATATGATCAGAGTGCAGAGGAGATCGAGCGCGGAATCAACGAGAGAGGCGATGAGGGAGAGAGAGTTTGACCAGATGGCTGCCACGCCTTTGGCTGCAAGGAGGAGAATGTTCACTATAACATTGATCTGTATGCTGTTAGCTCGGGTATCGCTGTTGAATGCGCTCAATGGGGTATGCATACGTTGATAGCCCATTTGACATGGCGTGCAGATTTCCTTCTCTTCTCGCGTTCCTCCTCGGGGAGGAAACACTCAACGCTCTCATCGCTGATACCAAGTGGTCCACGATCCTCAGCTACGCCATCATGATCGAGATCTCGTGGAGCCATGCTATCCAAAACATCGTCGGCGACTGAAGAAACGACAGCATCGACTTCAAGCCAGTCGTCCAATCTTCGGTTCTGTTCCTCGTAAAACGCACGCAGTTTCTTGTTGTGAATTGCTTTGAGCTACCATCTAGAGTCAGCAGATAACTCTCCATCGGGACGGATAGTCGCACCTCTTCATCGCTTTTTCTGAACTTCTCCAAATCCTTGTGCTCAGCACTCTCCAAAAGCTTCCTTTTCAGATGGTCCGCACGTCCTTTGTTGATAGTGGTTTCTATCGCATCTCGAAATCGCTTGCGTGGTGGTAGATTCTTTCCTCCGTTCCCGGCCTCGACGTCGAAACGGTCGTATTGGCTATTGTAGCTGCCATTAGCTTGCGATCGGCTGCGGAAGAAATCTCCACGACGTCCCGAAACCATGATCGTCTATACTGCCTTCTGGGTCGAGCTCGTGGTTAATATTCCTTCTAGAGACGTGTGATGGGAGGAAGATAGGAGGGTGGAGAGCGAAGAGGTACGGGGACAAGCAACAATGGGAAGAAGCCAGAAGCGCGTACAAGTAGATGAGAAGCTCGGGGCTACGAAAGCTTGGGATGCACACATCATCATACATATAGGCAAACCATGCCTTTCAGGGGAAAGTCTGACGGAAGCGCATGCATGCGTGCGTGCTTTGTATGGCATTGCAGTGCCATGAGCCGAAACTTGGCAGGCACAAGCAGCGCGCCCCGGATTATGACGACACTGCCAACCACGCGTCTCTAACTCGCGACACCATGTGACTTTGATCGTTGATCACCACCAAAGCCTGCACGTGTGGTCTACATTCTCTACAGTCGTTGCTGCTCTATAATCATCGCATAGAATAACGCATCACGGCTACAGAGGGTTTCTCATCTACTGGAAGTTCGCGATCTATGCTGAATAACACTTGACGCCAGTCAGCTGTGACGTCACCCCATCTCGATTGTCAGCATCCCTTAAAGCCCAGTCTGTCCAGGCCTTTGGAGGCGGTTAAAAGGAACTATCGAATACACCAAGTATTCCAATAGCCATCGTTAGCTGTTTTGCCAGTACTTATGATCCACACGCATCGAGATTTGCTTTTGAGTAATGCCCATCCAGCCTTCTCATACCGCCAAGTATTCTCAACACTATTCACACTACATGTATGTACCTTTTGTCGACCACATCACAATGTATTGTTCACATGCATCATTTCTGCGACATGCACAATGAACAGTTCAATTAATCGGTTGATTCGTTATGTCTGAGATCCCTATACTCAAACAAATACAAAAACTTTTTCCTCGCAGTACAATCCAGAAATACAGCTCGGTGTCTCAAAAACCCAAAGACCTCGTGAGCTAAAACCATAATTTCGATAACCTTTGCTAACTCCTTCACCGATGCTCTTTTTCCACCGGGAGCGGTGCGCAAAGCCATCTCGACATGGAGGGCATATCATGATGAAGAGATGAAGAAGCTCGTATGGTGAGCTCGAATGCTATGAACCGTCATTGTTGAGCCGATTCTTTGTTGTGAACATTTGTATCACTGCTGAAATCCCATATCCTTGTGTGGGTGTCGCAGTTCGAGGTCTTACTCCAGAATAAACTCTTGGTTCTTGCCTCGTCACCGATTTCCAGTGTATGATTCCGTTCCCAATCTAGTCGGGACTTTTTCAATAACATGTTGGCTTTTCATGAAGCCCTGTAGAAGAGTCTTTCGCTCTGGTGGAGGTATTGTTACCTCGGATGGTTCGCTCGTCTAGATCGTAGCCGGCGTGCTAGGTGTGATTTCTGCACACCACCTCTTCATGGGGCCTTCCTTCATTATCGCGGGGCCTCGCTTTAAATCCTTGCTGTCCCTCTGAAGGATAGGGGCAGTGGTGATTGAGTTGGCGCCAAACTTCTCAATATAGCACCTTATGGCCCGGCTCACATCTCGCCATTGGTTCATGAAACCCTTGAACTTGCTCTTATAGTTGAAGCTCAAGCTAGAAGGTTTGACGCAGTCCGTGGTCAGTTCCCTGTTGATTGACGATTGCAACCAGCCAGCTTCGCGGGACTTGACCTCATGGAGGATCTCTTGGAATGTCATGACCCAAAGAGGTTGGTTGGGCTTGGTCGGATCGTACGATAGGGCAATACGGACATTGGTTAAGCTCATCTGATCGAACATGGGACCAAGTTGGCCCATTCTGTCGATGCGCGCGACATGATCCTTCGTGCCATATGCTTTAACTTCTTGTTCGTCGAGTAGCCGCTTGTTGACGTTGCGCCAGGACTCATACATCCACTCGTGGAACTTGGCATAATTCGCCATGTGGATCTCATCGGTCCTCTTCTTCAAGCTTTGAAGGAGGTTGCTCCCCTTTATCATTCCAGTCTTGTTTTTGAGCCAAGTCCGCAACTCATCGACCATGGCATCCAGGAAGTTTTCTGGAATAGTGAGGAGCCTGCTCATGGGACCATTATCGGACCTCATGTACTGCCTCAAACAGTCTCGGAGTAGTCTCTTGGCCTGCGACCTCTCGAAACTCGTCAGCACGACTAAGCCATGGGAGTCGAGCTGAGAAGGGGGGGTTGCAGCTGAACCAGAGATTGCGGTAGTATCAGATGCATGAGGAGAGGTGGATATGGGTGCGGGGGCTGTGACGGGGCCCGGGAGTAGGGTGGGAGGCATGGAGGGTGCGGGAGCGGGAGCGGGAGCAGAAGGAAGAGCGGGGACAGAAGGAGTGGAAGCAGAAGTGGGAGCCGGTGCTGATGAGATAGACTTCACCAAGTTCTGAATCATTTCTCCATGCGACATCTCTGGGTCGCTCATCGTGACATCCGGAACTTCCGGGGTGTCAGGCTCAGGTGCGTCCTCCATCTCTGCTTCTCTGTCCTTAGAAGGCTTGGATGGTGCGTCCTGCGCGACAGTTTTATCTGTCTGCTCTGTGCTAGACGCAGCTTCGGGAGCTGCATCCTCGTCCGTCTCCATCATTTCGAGATCGGGATTGAGATCCCACGTCTCTTTTATAGCCTCAGACACCCCGGTACTCGTGGCGTCTGTTGAACCGGTATCTTGAGAATGATCCGAAGAGCCCGAGGAGATTACCGGGGACGAGGGAAGTGTGTCAGCATCAGACATCATAGTATCCTCGGATTCTTTGACAGAGGCTTGTTTTTCCACTGGAGGAGAGATGGGAGCGACGGCTGGAGGTGTGGATGAGCTGTCGTCGAGAAGCTGGGGTGCTAGAACCAGTTCAAAAAACTCCCGCAAGTTTTTCCGGTTCTGCTCTTTCTCGGAGTCGCTGTATGGCACCTTGTAGGGCGGTATCCACTCACTCCAGCCATCTTCGAGAATCATGATAGCAAGGTTCTCTCTCTATCGGTTTTGTTAATATAAGGCAGTGAAGTGAAGTGACTATCGAGCAACTCACGTTCTTTTCGACTTCTGGCTGCATGGTATTGTTCTGAGCTCGAGCTGCCTTCTTCGTGACCTTGTTCTGAGCGCGAGCTGCCTTCATCACCAGCTGCTGGCCTTTAGGACTCGACAATGCTGTGTTCAGTAACTTGGCCACGGCCTTGGTGTTTGAAAGAGCATTCCTGGTTGCCTGTCTCCAGGCCCTGCGCATAGGCGACGGCATCTTGGATAAGCGCGCGTCTGTGGGGGACGATGAGGGTGCTTCGAAAGAGCAAGTAGGGGCAAGTAGAAGGGAGTAGGAGGAAGTGATCAAATGTGTGAATGGTATAACCGTAGGATGGTAAGCAGTGGTTGAAAAGGTGCAGTGAGGATGTGGTCGAGAAGATGTGGGGTTGGAGGTTGGGTGGGCAAGGCTTTATGGTCGCTGGGGAGCTGCCAAGACCCAGAGTGACTTGCGGTTGAAGATACAGCCACTGAACAATGGCAAGGGTAAGCCAATGGTAAGCCCGCTTCGAGAGGTGAATGCAGATAAGTGGGTGAATCAGTCTCAGTAGTGCGGGGTGGTTGAGGGCAAGTCTGTGGTAGAGGGCAAGAGAGTGAGGGAGCGGGGCTTTTATATCGGGGGGAGCTGGAGGCAGACGCTGTGCGTGGGTTGCAGGGATTGAAGAAGCAAACACTCATGAACGCGTTGGCGGCCCTTGGTTGGGTTGCAATTGGTTGAAGCGTTTGCATTCACTCTGTCGAGTGGACAATGCCTGGTGGGCTAGGTAGTACGAAGGCACCATCTCTGCTCCGCTCTACATAATGCTCCTTCTATAGATCATTAGTTCGTGATTCGATGAGCCGCAGCTTTGTATGTGGTATCATTGCCAGGAGTCTCCGATTTCTTCCAGCCGATGTGCGTTGGAAACGTATATATGTGGGTACATCAGTGGACGGAGAGTATGTACTCTTATGTAGTCGTGACATGCGAACACTTGCCAAGTTTAGTTGATATTTGTATGTCTAGATCACAAGCATTGCGTCGGGATGTGACATGCTTGATACAATGATTGATACGCACATAGCTTGTAGAGCAAGCAACTCATTTGCACGCTTTCCCTAGCTTGCAAGACACCATATTCAATTCCTTAGTAATATACACAACCATTTCACCACTACATTGTACAACCACGATACTGTATTCATATCAACGTTGCCCTGAACCTACTCCCTTAGTTTTATTGCTCAATACAAAGGAGGACATTGTGTTTGATATTGCGGTGAAGTTGAACAGTGTCCCTTCGCCACATTACAAAGTGGCAGTTGGGAAATGATGGAAAAACAAACGAGTGGAACTCCAGTTGCAGAGTCGTTGGAGAACAATCTAAGAAAGGAAAGGTGCAATTGAACGCTCAGAGGAAAGCCATCTACCATAGTATGGAAGAGATGAAGTCAAGTCATAACAGTTACAATAGAATGGAGATTCTTTGAACATATCACTCAACTTCAAAGTCACATTGCGTACGCTTGATGCTTTTCTTACGAAAGTCAACATACTGTCGCGAAAGAATAAATTCATATTTTGCCCAGCCGCCCAGGATACATGTTATTCACAGAACTGATGCTATGATTTGGCCTCTGATGATGAGCATGAGGGTCTCTCATGTTGGCTGGCGAAGCCCCAATGAACGTCCCCTGTTCCAATGGATTGTGATTGTGACGTTTAGCATCCCCCCCAAGCGGGCCAGATCCTTCCGGTACCATCTCAATAGCAGTACCATCTTTCCGTTTTGGAATGACATATGACACACTATTGGTGCTATTCCGATCCCGCACAGATTCAACAAGCGAGTTGAGAACTGCGAACTCAATCTTCAAACTCACACTATATACCAGCCCCTTGAAAGTCGCCTGGATCTGGTAGAGGTTCATAAACTCCAAAATCAAGAGTGTCAGATCCAAAACGCAATGTATAACGTTCATGGCCAGCAATTGCCACATGCTTCTCTTCGTCTTGAAACTCAGAATGCGTCGGACCCTGAACATCTTCCAGATATTCCAAAGGTAAATGCCCGAGATGAAGATCTCCTGCGCAGCAAACACGGACATTTGTATCTTTTCCATGATGAAGTAGCCATTATAGTATATGTGACTGTGTTTGGCGCTGAATTGGAAGGAGTCGAGTACGAGTGTAGGTAGTATGAAAACCGAGGCGTTGAATACTATCATCCAGAAGACGAATCGAAGGAGTGCGTAATCCTGTGAGATAAGGTGGAGCCGTGAATAAAGAACGAAGGCTTGGCCGGTGACCATGACGATCCAACCACATGTCAAAAGGACTTCGTCGACGCGATAGCTATGATGAAGATCATACCTGGAGCCAGAATCATGTGGTCAGTACTATGTTTACAGCTCAGACAAATAAGTTTCAACCCGCTGTTGAGGACTCGGGATGCCCGTCATGTCATGCAGGGCTACAGCAGGCGACTTTGTACGTACTGTTTCATCCAAGCACCTAGAAAAGTCAGTTCTGAACAAATGGACGGAGTCTAGGAGTGCTTGCTTACCCGTCGCATATGGTATTACTGCCGCCGTTGCGAGTAAAATACTCCAAAAGTACAACCCTTGATACTTTTTGAAATAGAGAAAGATCAGAATCAGCGTTTCAGCTGAATTGAACCAAGCAATGGCCGTAAAAGCAGTCATTGCCTGAGGAATAGTCCTCGCAGAATCGAAAAAATCATAGTGAATGAGCGTGCCGTTGAAACTCGCACTCGAAGCCCCCCGAATGCTGAGAGGAGAGGTGTTGGTCATTTTGACCGCTGCTGGGTAGCCCTCCCACGTTTCTGGGTACGGGGCGTTCTTAAGAGATTAACAGATCTAGCCTACTATCCTGAGCATGGACTTTTTACCATTGTAATGATATGTATGCAGCCCTCCCGAGGGTATCTTTCCCGCCACTGTCAGCTTCGCTTACGACTCCGTCAACTCATTTCTCTCAAAACCATCAGCAATCTGCAAATGGATGTTGGCCTTGTTCCTCTACGGATTGGCCGTATCGCTGTTGATTCAAATGTATGCGTCTGTATAAATTTGGCGAAGGAGCTTGGTATGCCTTGAAGCTCGTCTGAAAGTTTCCCAGGCCAAACCCAAGATTCCAAGAGAGCTTGAGTGGGCAGTCTTAGTGATCGCCCCTTACTTTGTCTGGATGCGCCGAGATTGGGGCTAATGCTTACATGTACTGTTAAGGAGGTCAAGGCGTCTCGGCTTGCACCATTGTAGATAAGTTATAAGAGGATGACACGGTTTGGTGAGCGTGCGCTCGTATGTAGGCTGGGCATGCCGGGCCCGAAGCTTGAAATAGACTAGGAAACCACAAGAATTTCACAGTCTTTCGTACACACCCTGAAAGCTAAGTGCTTGAAACCACATCACACCGAACTAGGAAGTCGAAATGTTGGGCACGGGATGTTTTTGTAGATTTTATAAGACTACGAGCAAAGATACCGCTATGTATTCGTCTTGCAAGCGTCTTAGGCATGCGGTAATTAGATGATGTGACTGGTGGACTCCCAACATGATAATAAGTAAGATAGCCAAGAAAACCGGAAAGAACATCGATTGTGAAACTCAGGCCTCGTGCGAGTGCTTGATTGCAGTCTTTGTCAACAAAGGCAACTTAAGCTAAAAATAATCTTGGAAAGCTTCGTACACTAAGCATGTACAGGGACTATTGTGCCTTTGCCTATTTCGTATAGCAAAGTGGTGTCTTAAAAGTGGGGATGAGAGGGGAACAGTTGGCGATGTTTCGCAGTAACTGTGAGTTTAAGCCATAACGCATCAGCCTCGGAGTAGCTCACTCCCAGTTCGACTTTCCGATTATTGAGTTTCCTGAGGCTCAATGTTTATCCTTGACCTCCAAAACAACCCGATCCAGTTCATGAACACCAGGAAAGACATGTCAAGGGCGCAAGCATTGAAAGGGCGCACTTGATTGCTTAATTGTAGTGTCGCTTACCAGGTTTGGAAGGTGCTTCGCAAAACTGCCATGAAACCTAGACCCATTGCGTACACCGCGAGTACTCATTGGTGAGTTTCAGAATGCCATAGAACATGCAAACTGCAGACATAACGTAGGATCGATATTAGTGACTCACGTCGGCTCGAAAACCAACAATCTTTTCTACCAGTCTGGAATATACTGCGCCCTAGAGGTACTTTGGAGAATAGTATTGGTCGGATCTGGAGCTAAACACGATATTTGGTGTATACAATCGGCAAACCCCGCGGAAGCTATTCCAAGAACAAAGTAAGTGGAATTACCTTGCGATTCAACAATCACATCATCTCAATCCAGAGATCTCTTCTACTTGCGAATGTCATCTCACAGCGCTAATTGGTATAACAGGGGGGGCCATAGACCGGTTTACCAGACCCAGTATTTTGCTCACTCTCAGCCCCGAAAAGTATAAATGCTCAAACAAGCTGCTGCATTGCTAAAACGCGTATCTACCACTTCACTACACCGACCACTCGCCATGGCAATCATCCTTCGAGAAGCATCCGATGCGGATATCCCAAGATCTATGGAAATGGAAAGCTCGGCATACGCCGCAACGTCGAGCGCCAGCGGCTCTATCCTCTTTCCCGGCCCCTTCCCACCTGAAGGACGCCAGATACGTGTGCAGCAGATCATCGACTCGGGCAAAAACTCAGCAACAACTTTCATGTTAGCAATCGACGAGGAAACAGGCGAGCAAATGGCGTTTTCCAAGTGGTGCTTCTATAAGACGGAAGAAGAGGCAAAGTCTGCACCTCCGCGGCCAATTCCAAGAGGACCGGGACTGAATGCGGGGGCTTGTCAAGCGTTCTTCGGAGGACTGATAGAAAAGAAGACGGAAATTATGGGCACTTCACCGCATGTTTGTCAGTAGATCACTGTAGACACATCATTATTTGAAAGACTAACGGGTGTTCTAGATCTGCATATGCTGCACACTGACCCCAAGTATCAAAAGCGGGGAGCCGCTAGTGCGCTTCTCAAATGGGGTTTACAACGCGCAGATGAACTTGGTCTACCCACGTATCTCGAATCCAGTCCAATCGGGCAGCCACTTTATAAGAAACACGGATTCAAAGATGTTGGTAGTGTTGACGTTGATCTGACTCCGTTCGGGGGAGAAGGTCTTACTCATAGTGCTCCATGTATGTTGCGAGAGGCATACAATACATCTACATAGATTCGTAGGGAGAAGGGCAATACGATTGGATGCGATTCTACCTTCAGCACTTTGTCTTCTGTGAAGATCATGCCGAATATGCAAAGAGGTAGTCACCACATCATTTCACTGCAGTGTACTTAGCTCACATGTTGATCATTCTATTGAATCATATGTTTTCCAATATGATAGAAGTTCAAACTGTACATTCTAAGAAGGGAGGGCGATAGGGAGTAGGCAAACTTTAGTATCAAAATCTGATTTAAGATAAAGATAACTAGGTAAAGTCTAATGCTGCGCATTTTCCGAATGCGATAGGGGTATATATCTAATACGAAAATCGAAAAGAAACCTGAACGCCTGCCCATAACGCTACAATTCCCTGTACAACTCGATTGTACAAAAGGTATGACAAGTTCTAAAACAGCCTGAAAATGTGTCGTGAAGCCTTATCTTGATCGTGAAAACCCGATTGGTGTTTGTATCCGGGGTCTGTGTGTCTACACATGACTTCGTAGATTCTCTGTGCTGAGGTCGAAGGAGTCCGAGTTCTTCTCCGCCGAGCGAACTCCTTTACCCGCAGCGACCCACAACTCCTTTCCAAAGACGCGACCGGGGTGGAACATTGCCATGGCGCTGACCGCAATAATAATCAAAGGCCCCTCGAATATCATGAATGTCACTTCGTCATTAGCAAGATGACTTTGGAATCCGCCCCAGAGTTCGGCGACACGGTAAATGCACCGAATGTAGATGAGAATAGTGGCAACAGCAAGACCTGAACACTGTTAGATGTTGGAGATGATAATGATGTTGGGCTAACTTACTCCACTGGAACCACTTCAGGTTTCCGCTACTGCGAAGCTGGCTGTATAGAGGAGGCTGGATCCGCGAAAGGGTGCCGTTCTTCTTTGCCTTGTTTGTGCGAAGAACAAAGTCGCCCCAGATACCGAAGAGAGACATGGAGACGACTTGGAATATGAGACCAGCAATCATAATGTTGACTCCGAGATCACGGCCATCATCGTCGTTAGCCATTGATGCCATCGCACCACCGATGGCTTGAAGGATAAGAGATACGAGATCTGCTCCCACGAAGATGTAGGTATACATTTTGGGCTTGATGCGGGAATTCTCGGCGCCAATCGCTGTGATGACACGTCCAAGACATAGGTAGATACCGCCTGTGAACAGAGCTGGCGCAATAGTAAGAGGAACAAGATTCCTGCTAGGGTTAGCGTCGAAAGCTCATGATAATAGTCGCAAACCATGGTGCTTACATCAAGAAATTGTCCATGTTGTATGGGTTGTTGTACAGCATGAGGCGTCCTACATATCCAGCAATCTCGCCGACGATACCGAGACAGACCACCCCGCAGTATTTATACGTCTTTTTGCGAACGCCAAAGAAAAGATGGGCGGCGAGCAGAATCACGAAGCACACCAAGTATATCGAGTTTCCGGCAATGCTGGGTCGGTAGCGAAGCATGGCGTAGTCCATAGAGCATTTGACGGGATCGAACTTCTTGATGCATTGTCTCCTGAGTTGCATGAATTGCATTTGTGCTCTCATCTCGGGCGTCATATCAGTGTCATTGGAAGGTACGGAAGCGGCTTCGTCCCGCGCGATGAGTGAGAGGGCAAGATCCATGTTGTCGTCGCTTAATAGAAATTCGTGTGTACAGTCCGGAGGTGTGAGCAGTCGTTGGGGTCGATTGGAAGAATTTCAACGTGGATTGTTTGAATACATATAGCAGCAACTATCGGCCGAGAAGGTAGATAAATATGTGTTAGGCCTGGGGGGGATTAATCGGGCGTACGCCGTGGCTGTGCTGTTAGTGTAACCCATTGTCCGAAAGCATAATGTTCAGAGGATTGCTGGGGGTTGGTCAAACGAGCAACAGGGCAAAAGCGCAAAGCGCTCTAGATGGATAATGTCACTGAAGAAGGACTGTCCTGCATCAAATTTGCGATGCATCACGTACCTAAAGATGACTTTTTTCGTAACTTGTGATTTCAGTGTTGTTCGAGATGATATACGCAAGTGAGATAACTAGAGATATATGCCATTCTACCTATTGCCCTACTCTTCGCAAACATGCAAAGGATTTATACTCAAAAATGGGCCAACCTAGTAACTAAAACGAACGGTAGAGATGCCCAAACAATTCCTCGTTGATCCTTGGTACAACTCTATTGAACCATCTTAACGACACCAGTTCTAGGCATCACAGACATCATGACTAACTGCTGTCTATTCATGAGCAATTAAGAGCATGTGGGACGTAAACTCCACTGCTTCGCATATCTGCAATAGTAAAATATTTCTCGAGGAAACGATAATCGCCAGCAACCAGGCGACCATTTCGACGACTGCGCGTGGAACAAACACCAACAACATTCGATAGCAATGGACAATTGAATGGATCCGACGCGCGTGCCTGGGTGGATACATGACATAGACGGGCGTTCGTTTCAATTGTTGCCTGTAAGCCTGAGAAAAGATGGATCAAGATGGTACTCTGTCGCTTTGATTGGCCGATTTTGCTCAGCCTCTGTCCTCCGCTCACGAATCGGGTTAGAAAACCGACCGAGTCGGTCGGTATAGACGTAAAGGGCCCATAGGGCCACCAACTTAAAAACTCTTGGTATATAAATAAACATTGCTGAAACGTACGAGATAATGTCACTTCTGGAGTAATTGGCCCGTTAACTCAATACCGAACATGCGCAAAGACTCATCCGATTCCTTCGACTGATTCCATGTCCTGCAACATCACGTTGGGCGCAAAATCCTATCAATAAGCTGACCGGTATATATGGTAAGCAATTGAATATGTTGTCAGCTTGAATCGCTAGTCCGACTCCGACTCATCATGTTGACCGGTCTGTGATGGTTGGTCAGAAACGCCATAATACATAAACCTATTACTATAGTCTGGACCCCTAGACTTTAGATTCTAGCTCAATCTTTCCACGATATAAATGCGGGGCTTTCTAGATCTTTTGTTCTTCGACGGGTAGCTATATATTATTTCCATGAATTTGCAGACCACCCTTCTATGCTGGCCGCAAACCTTGGTAGACCAGGGGAACCCAAAAATGTATTGACGAGTCTTAAGCAGCCAATAGGCGTACAATGGTCACCATGCGAAATGGACTTGTATCACCAACGCTGAGCTATACCATGAGAAAAAAGCTGTTTGTAAGTACTTGGATGATTCGAGGCCATCACGATCAACGAGATTCGAGGTGTGCAAGTGTCAGCTGTCTCGATATTACACAGTCTGGTTTACTTTCCTACTTGTACATTCATGCCATCACATCTTCGCGCTTTATATGCGATCGATTGAAGAGTGAGCAAGAATTACATCAGTCCGATGGGTCAAATTGTAGGTCAAAGACAGGTGACTATCTAACATACAACATAGTCAGTCTAGCACAGTAAGAAAGTAGAGAAGGGCTCCAAACTCTCACATGAACATTGTGCAGTTCGATGCTACTTTCTACTGGGTCTTCGGGTGAATCATGGCTCACCGTCAGGTACAAAACCATAGGTTAATCAGAACGGCAACAGCAAGACATGCCACTTTCAACGCCATTGCAGGTCGTTGGATAGATCTGGCCGGCCCATGATAAATGCGAAGTGCGGTTCGATGTCTATCCTGGCATCACGTGCTGAGTGTAGGTCACATGTCAGTTCTACGGATACATTGTACATATACATGCACATGTGTATTTCGCCATCTTCATGTTCTCTAACGTCGATGTCGGATGTTCATCACCGACTATGAAGGTTATCAGTTGACTGTGAAGGAAAGTCGAAATGTATGCTGAGCAACGGCTGCTGCAAACAGTGGTACAACGGAGCCATATTCATGGTAAAATCGGTAAAAGGGCTTGTGAATATGTCATTCCCGAATATTTCTGTAAAGCATCTCTAGACATGCAGAAAGATCATATGGTGGTCAAACTCATCGTGGGAGAAACAACCCACAACGTGGAGTTAACCCCCCTACTACTCAGTACCCCAAGAGCAGCCTCGCCATTGAGGATGCGCGATCGCTAGACAAACTCACAACGTCCGATGGAGCACCACCATCACTACACCACCAATTTCCACCGAGGTATATAAAATCCATTATTCCCGGTGTCACCGATTCAAGTGTGCCGACAGTCCCGCAAAACAACGACAGCCAAATAATTATCCTCCGAAATCAACAGACTAACCACCCTGGAAAAGCCCTTTCTTTCGGTTTACGAAAAAAAGCGTCCAGCGCGGGCCGGCCCCATAGCGCTAAGCAAACAAAAGCCAGGGGTCTAATTCCCATCGCCACGCGCGTAATTTCATCCGCGTACACTTTATCGAAGGGGAGATAGACCTTTTACCTAAACAAGCAAAGGACACACACGGGAGGGTCGTTGATTGGGAAATACGAATTCGGGTAGGTGAAATTGATCACCATTTATTTTATTTTTCCTCAAATGAGCCTTTGTGTATGCCTTGATCAGGACAGACTTGATTTTTAAAATTTGGTCATGTTGCGCGTCGTTGTGGAGTTGAGTGCATGTCACCGTTTAAAATGTGTGTGGGTTTCTATGAGTTGCCTGAAAGCAAGCCCCTTTGCGAGTCGCGGCGGTGCCGAATGGTAAACTAGCATTTCCATCGATCGATTTGGACGACTCAACGGGGATGAACATTTGCTCGTTCCCACAGGAATGGTTGCATTGGAGATCTGAGCTCCTACCCTAATCGTGCGATGCACTGTCCAGTGGTATGCAGTACACCGATCGTGCAAAGAAAGAAAGGGGGGGGAGTTGGTGATGGTAACAGGAAGGTGAGGAAGTATCAACGCAATTGCATTTCTTCGCTATCCAGTGGATGAGCAGCAATGTATGAAATGATAAGAAAATCGTAAACTAGCCATGAGGTCGTCCAACAGTAAGGAGAGTAAACCCGAGATAATAAGTAGAAGCTTCTGCTTCGGTCCAACGCCACTAGAGGGAGGTCGCTGCCTTCTGGTACATGTCTAGCACGCCCCCTTAAAGCTCTCTAGCTGATGAGATAATTGATGCGCCATAGATTATAACAGGGGAAAAGAGATCCAGCCCGCCCTTTACCAATTACAAATAATATGAAAAGAATGATAGATTGCATTGCCAAGATGCGAATGCCCACCAGTATGTAATACGAAGAAAGAATGGTACGTAAGAAAAACTGTATGGGAAGAACATGATCGAAGCCATAATGGCCGGGTATATGGGAAAAAGAGATAAAACAAACGAGATGCGGGAGTGATTGTGCTCAACCTAGACATAGAAGGTGGTTTGTAGGAAGCAATGTGGCGCTGCTATTCGGTTGCAGCATTTCGTCCCACCAGCCATCACGTCGAGTTTGTGTCGCGTCTTGGGTCGCAAGCCATATGCGCAGGCCGGAAATGCGCTCTAGAACAGAAGCAAGTGAGTTCTTGTCACCTTCCCGAACAGGAACGACGCGTTGGAAGAGACGTTCGCGCTTGTCTGGGTTTGCGGTCACGGAGGCGATGAAAATTGGCCAAACTGGGTAGATGGCGGTGAATAGACTGCCTTTGACTGGAAGGGAAAATAGTACTGCGTTGAGTGTGTCGTTGAGTTCCATGATGGCGGGATTGAAGCGGGTGAAGCTGAACTACACGTTAGCAGACATTTCCGGATTGGGACCGAAGAGCGACTCACCCATAGAGACGACATCGGAGATATATCGCAGTAGCCAGTCGGAAAGCTTCTCCAGTAGCCATGATGATGTCCTGTGCATCAACTAGTGTCTCTGGTGACCACTGTCGAAGGTTTTGAAGCTTGCTGTCCAGCATTTGACCATGGACAAGTTTGTTTGGATGATTTTCCGTAGCCATAGAGTTGATAGATGATATTATGAAGAGGAGTTCAGGTGAAAGTCCAGTGATGCTGCAAATCTTCGATGTCTCTGCGGCTGGGATACTCTCAAACCAGCTCCTGGTTTCCAGCGAATACAAGTGGGAAGACTGCAGGGTGAAAGAAGACTGGGCGGTTCGTGCCAGAACGAGCTGGGTTCGCATAAATTGAGCAGGATCGGATGTTTGATTTACGAACTCGGGTGGGATAGCATCGAATATGTTGGCGTGGCAAGACCAGCATAGGCTGTATTCGTCAGGCTTGTTGATGACAGCATGGTGCATGAGAAGCATGGATGTGGCAAGTGCAGCATCGTAGTCCTTGCCTTCATTGATCTGTTGGAATAAGGATTGTAAAGCTTGTGTCGAATAATAGAGCTCAGCCTGATGGAAGACATCTTTCTTCGAGGGGAGGTATTCGCGAATGTAAGAAGCACTGAGGCTTAGAAGTGCAAAGCGCGTGCTTTCGCAAGAGTTTGCAACTTTGATGAGAGCTGTGTAGGTGTTGGATTGTGTTGCCACCGTGCGACCTGGGCAAACACCAGTGGCGTAGAACTCTAGTAAGAGCTGCTCGATGTTATCTCCAAAGAGCTTGCTGTTGGGAACGTGCTTTATCAACCCGGTATAGGCGGTTTCTGGAGAATAACCACTTTCGAATGAATGCACTGATGTGGATGGAGTAAATGGGCTACCAGACCGGGCTCTTATAGCCTCCATCTCGGGGCTCGATGTCTCGACTGCCTAAGTTAGCATCGAATTTCAAGCATAAAAACAGATCCAGGGTCAAAACCAACCTTTCAATCCTTTCATATCGGTCATGTCGGTCAACTCGCAAAGGAAGTCCTGGCATGCATCTGCTTTTGATCGCTGGATGTATCTTATTCGCTGGATTATGAGGGTGACGGCGGTTGCATCTTGGATCAAGGCGAGATACTCTTGTCTCATCTGCAGTGCAGCTTTGAACTTTTCGAACTGCTTCGCGTTGAGCTCGCCTAGGCGCCAGTAGAGCTGCCCAAGCACTTCGAGAAGAACCACGCCGGGACCCTCTGTTACCATCCAATGCCGCACGACAAGTAGATTGCGTCTGCTGTTTCTTTGGTTGCCCTCGGTTGGTAGATCTACTACTCTTGCAAGCAATCGATCGAGATGTGTGCAGTCCAGGACAGTATAATCGGGTGCCATGGATAGGTGTTGGAGAGCATCGTTTGCGGCCTCTAAGGCTTTGGTGAGTCTTTTATCTGCGTCCATTTGTGGCGTGATGTGATGATCGATGTCCAACTAAAACGGTGGTGGTTGGAGGCGGGCGCGCAGATTATGAAGCGCAGAAATTATGCCGAATGATGGTATGATGATGGTCAACATGCAAAAGGAAGAACAGAAGTGAAGGAGTTTGGTGAATATTTTGAGGCTTGCACGGGTCGTGAGCGGGCAATGTATACAATAAGTCTGTTGATGGGAGTGGGTGTTTGTGTAGATGGGCACAACCCTTGTTGGTGCTAGAAATAGAATATGGAGAGGCTTGAATAGAAGTACAGAATATGGGTACAAGAATGATGGAGAGGCTTAGGAGGGAAGAGTATATCAAGTGTGCCAGGGAATGCAGAATGTAAGAGGCTTATTCTCACAGTCGACCGTTAGCGGATGGCCAAGCTCCCGTTTGGGGTACCTAGCAATGAGGCAATCGGAGGGAGTTGATTTAGATTGACGCTTGCTAGAGACTGGCCTCAGATAACCTGCGGGTAGCGAATTCCATGATGCATGCTCCACTTTTGGCCAGGAGTCTGGCTCGCAGTGTAGACATGCATGAGCACGTACATTGCAGTTGAGCATTGCGGAGGACCAGCACAGCCCGACACAACGCCATACAGACGACGGAAAGACCAAAGACGGCTCTTTTGCTAAACAGACGTGCATAAAAAGGCAAAAACCGAGCATGCGTGGATGGGGGCTGTCATGGTCGGGGAGCAATGGAGGCGAGATTTGCTCCACATGAGCACCCCTGTCAGTGACATGTCGAAGTGGTTCGGAGCAGCAGCCGGCCGTCGACGACAGTAACGATTGAAAAGAGCATTCCGCGGCGCAGCAACATTGAAAAAAATGCTCAACAGGGTAACTCAGATGATGTCTTTTTCGGGGGCGGCGGTGCGAGTGACTGACTGACTGACTGACAGCGCGTCTATGTTCGATCGCTGCAAGGGCCCTGCCGAACAGTTGCGGGGCACACCCGTGTGGTGAATGCACCATGTATGATAATGTAGGTAGTCGTCGGAGGTGCCTGTCGAGCAGCAGTTGCTGGTTCGCTCGCTGGCTGTCTTTGTGTGAGACGGCCACAGCGTACCCGAAGTCCGTAAGACTGAGACCTCCAAGATGGGATGGTTGGTGGTGGTCGTCTCCCCCCCACTATCAGACTATGTATACCACGCGCATCAGTGGTAGCCAATCCCGTCCTCCCGTCCTGCACGTCGAAGCGTGCTCAGCCTCGCCCACACACTCAGTGTGTATCAAGATACCATCACCCAGTGGTATATTTGGAGTCCCGTGCATTCCTTCACTACAGCTTCGAGCGTCTACGTATGTAGCTACAATGGCTGCGCAACCTAATCAATCATGGGCTGCAGATAGGTACACCACGGCACTGTAGATGCCGCTCGACGCCTACCAACACCACATCACCCGTGCCATCGATTCTTTGTTCGGATGCTGACCCTCGCCGGGATCAACGGAAGAGCTTCTAATAACAGAATATCAACATCAAAGCCATCATCCCATCTTACCGCACCGAACCAACTTGTTTGGTGATGCATCATCCATCCTTCGTATACGAAGCCTCCAACAGGCTGCACTCCATCTCACTTCATCGCTATCCTGCCACCGATCCCGCTTTGCTACTGCAGGGTTCTACATAATCCTGACAAAAATAACGCAGCTGATTGGGCTCGTTGCAGCATAGGATACGATGGAATGGTATCGTCCCCTACTCTGAAATCATCAATGTCAGCGTCCTCGGACCCTCTGTAAGAAGGACCACAACATTATCGTCCAAACACCCTCTCGCTACTGTCTTTCTTCCTTACTCTCGTTCTATTTTCCTCAACATGGTTATCGACGACATATACCAAAGTGTCTGGCCTCAGGTGCGGGACGATCCTGGTCCTGATTAGTTCGTTCCATCTGCCTGGTCTCTCCATTCCCGACTGGGGTTCATCTTTGATCCCCGGCCATGGCGTTTTGCATTTTCGACTGCCTTTTGGGCATACACAGTAAATGACCGCTGGACTCAGTCAATGGTTCTGGAGTGCTCGGCCCTGCTGTGGCGCCGGAAAAACCGTTGAAAGCACTGCTATAGCTGCGAACCGTCAATATCACTGGTGCAGGCGATACACCGCAGGACATGAAACCAATAACTCTCTCCTCGGAGCTGGTGTTATTCTGGGGGCGAAACGCCAATCCATTGTCCACCTACGCCCCTCATCACCAACATTACTACGCCGATACCTCACAATTGCCATATGTTATCGAACTTATCCGTCACGTTCCGCTTTGGGTCAGACGAGTCGTCTGCATTCTGTTTTCTGCTAGCGCATCCTGAATATAGGTCCAAATTTGTGTAAGGCGGGGGCTATGCCGCAACGACTGAGGCTATGCTATGTACCCGAGCAAAAGCATCAGAGTATTGTTGTCTTCAACGGAAACAATAGTTCCATTTACAAAATGCTGCACAAACATTTTGAACTTGCTCACGCCGATGCTGAGGAACTGGAAAGCGCCCTCTGAGTGAGCATCTGCCCATACAGATGCCCTTTGGGAAGGTCGCCCCCAAGAATCGTTCATATCGACATGCATCTTTCCGAACGGTGCACAGATGAACTCCGGGTCAAAACGCACACAAGCACGCAGGAACCGTGCTCAACGTTAATTTTCTCCATGGGGGAACCCACGTTCAATCACGGCCGATCGCGCGCAGTGGAGAATTCAAAATCCAATCTACTCTAGAGCGTGAGCATCTGCACGACTTCACCCTCGCTATCCGTGTAGAACCCCGACAGTGGGATGAACAATCCCGCGTACCGCAAAGAGGCAATACGGTTACCCTTGGCATGCTAGCAGTGCGCCCAGCGTGATCAAGAGCCAGAATCTGCAGATCCATGATGCCATTATATGCCTTGCAGCAAGTACACACCTATAGAAGATGCTTCCCTACTGCAGTATGCATGCCTCGTGGATTTTCCCTTCTATCCTTTCCTCAAACTTCGGGCTTCTGAAGTCGTAGCTTCCGTTTCATTTGCATCGGGTTACGAAATCGCACAGGAAGGTGTCCCAACATGTTTGCCTTCTTCTTGCATTGTCAAAGGTTCTACCTGTTCAAGAAGTAGCAGTCACTTTTGCATAGCACCTGCCATCTCACGTTGCGAAGTCACTTTCCCAAAACACCTGTCATTTCACGTTCGCAATGTCATCTCCCACCACCATCGTGTCTCGCGCGACGCTCTCCCCGACCTCTCATTCCAGTTGCTCTCTGTCAAATCTCTTCACTACCGGTTCGCGTCGTCTATCAAAACACGCCTACATGTACACATCCACGAACTGTCACACACCGATGTATGTGCAGCGCGGGGAACCCGTCTCATTCCGCATCCCGCCTCGTCTGGCCTCAAAAAGGTGTCTTCGCCCCCACACCTTGGACCGCATGCCGTGCGACTTTTGCCATTGCAGCCAATAAGTAGCTCTGTTGATATTATCCTTGACTCAGACTCAGATTTCAGACCACTGGCTTACCCCTTTGATAACAATCATGAGGGGAAATAGGGTGAGTTTGTGGTGGGGGCTTCTTCGATTCAAACTATCCTTCTTTTGTTTCATACCAGAGATGTGATAGATATGGTTTCATCCGTTGAGCGTGGTTTGTATTAACTGTTGAATCTTAGATGCAGTGCTGCCACTAGCAGGAAGCGAATGCGAGATGTGCAATCGTGTTATAGTCGCATCGTTAGAGGATATTCCCGCGGTCTCCGATGGGAACATTGCTTCAGAGCAAGAGCAGGGACTCGTAGAAGCAAGTGCTCACTAACTCTAATCCGACAAAGTCGCGGCCGATCGCAGATCACGAAACATGCAATTGATAATGAGGGTGAACGATCTTGTACACCCTGCGTTTCGCCAGGAGAAGGGATGAGTAAACCCACACCACTAATTAGCTTCACATCAACATCGTGCAAGCACCTCTTTCTCCTTTCAAGCGAGCAAGCTCGGGGACTTTACAGGACTCCGATCTCCAATCTCACTCACCTATCTCGTTACACAGACGTCTATCTCTGAGGTCGGTCACTCGGTTAGTTTCTCCCCTCACGGGACGGACAACACATCCACGATACACCGGGAAACCCTAAGGATCGGACAAGCACAGGACTAAAACGTCAGCCTTCTTTATCAAATCTCCAGATCTTCCCCTGTCTCCCCTTCGCACAAGAGATGCCACTGCGTAGGTCACCGACCTGAGTTCACCGAGCGATCGGGGTTCCCTCAATCTCCACTTCTTTGATGTTGACCACCTTCATCATCACTTAGTAGGATGTCATTGGATAGTAGTCGTACGCTTTGTTATTCTGCCTCGTTGTTACGGCATTCACTTCATTAGAATCACCAAGATGAATGTTGTATGAGCCCCTGCTCTAAGTTGAGTTTGAATTTGTTAAGGGGTGACTTAGCTTCAACTATAACACGTGAGCTGTAGTGCTCCTTAAAGCATACTGTCTATCTAGGATATAAATTAACGGACAAAAACGTGTGCCTTGAGCATAACCTGCATGACTGGCGACAGCACCCTTGGGATGGACATTGCGGGATATGCGGACACCCTATCGATGCGCTGTGTTCCTGAAGAGTTTTTTTTTTTTCATCACTACTCTTACTTTGTTGGCTCTTTCGTCTCCATTGTGAATCGGTTGAAATTTGTAGCTGGTGAATTAAAACCGTGATTACTCATATCCTATTGACATACATTATTATACAATTCTCGCTCTGTTCCTCGCTTTTTAAACACTTCCACTTGGTATCCCAACCAACTTTACACTAAACGTACTGTACAATCTTTGATCTGGAGCAAGGTTGGGTAATCTATTTATGACGTCGTGAGAATACACGCCATACATTGTATCGCAGAAAGGAAAGCCTCCGGCTATATTCAGACAACATGACAATACAGGGTAGAACCAAATTTCAGACCAGCGCCTATGATGAGATGTGCTTTTCGCCCACCATAAATATACATGTAGTGTTACAGACTCCGCGTGGCCAGCGAAACGATATGAAAAAAAAAGAGAAACAGGAGAAGAGAAATCAGACAGCGCTGAGAAACAATGTAATTTCAGATCGAAGACCACTCCATGGATCTCTGGTCTTCACTCATCGAACAATTTCGTGCCCATCTGCCTCAAAGACTGTGGACCGGCGGATCTCGAGCGTTGCCGTAAGCCACTTTGACGGGGCGCATCAGGTCTTTGGGGTGCGCGGCTCGTTGGACTCGTTTCGCTTGGTTGAACGTCTCGGGGGCGTCTCATCGATCTGTGCTCCACTAGATCGAGGACTGCGACGACCTCCCGCGTAAATTCCTCTCGCAGTCGGGATGTTTCGCTCTCTTCTTGGGGTTGAAGAGGAGCTTGTATGCTCCTAAACTCTCTGGACGAGGATCTGCTTTGTTGGCTACGGGTGGCCATTTCCTGGAAAGCATTTGATAAGACCTGTTGTACGCAGTTAGCAGATGATTACAGGTCCAGAAAGTTGGTCCACCATATGTATGCGGAGGAAGGGAAAGAAGAATCTCAGGGGAAACGTACATGATCAAGGACCTGACGGAACTTGAAAACGAGAGTGGCATCTTGTCTACTCCCAAGTCCAAATTTAAGCCACCCTCGTATCTGAAGCAGATCACCCCATGAGCCTACTTTGTCAACTCGACCACCGAACATGAGCGCTGTGGTAGGAGGGACTTCGGTGACTTCGCGCATGCTCAAAGCCCCGTCGTCGCCTCCTGCCAATGTAGTGAAGGTGACTGCAGCGCCGACACAGTCGACATCCCCACGTTTGTCCACCAGAATCGACTTCGGATGAACAAGAACATTGTCAGATGTAGCAGTACGGAACCAGCGACGTCTGTAGGGGACAGCGAGATTGGGGGCAAGCCCCACGAGTGCGAGAGCCTTAATCAACTGTAAATTACCGCTTCTATCGTTCAGCTGGTCAACTTGGCCGTAAGAGGCCACTCGGTTCCTATACTTCGCGCTTGGAGGGATAAGCTGATTTTGCACGAGGATATTCTCAATGTCCGCGATGGTCCGTTGTATTTGGTCGAAAGCAGCCACGCTGAGGAACTCTTCATAGGCATGTCGTCTCGTTGCCTCGGGACTGTGTTGCTCGGAATATTGGCGCAAGTATTTGAAAGCACGTATCTGTGCAATGTGCTCACTTTGTGAGTTCCCAAGCCATCTCTTATGGCTCTCTTTCCAAGCGGATCTCGATCCTGACGGCTTCATGAAAATGTTACGCGACTCCGATAAAGCTCCCAGGATTATGCATGAATCCAAGCACCGGAAAATGATTCCAAGAACAATCATTTTCCCTAGAGCTGGTTGCACTGGAAGTGTGGACAGGAGTCGGCCTAATGGAGTGAGCTCCTCCGTCTGAGTTATAGCCTCAAGTGACCGCAAGCCCGCCAAAGCCGATCGAATGTTTGTAGGGCTGGGTGGTTCAATGGCTTTGGAAAGAAATTCCTCTACTGAATCACCAAACCCCTGGGCTTTGACATCGAGACAGATTGATTCAAGATCACTGCGAAGTAGCTCGGCCGTGCTACTCACCTTCATCCTCTCAAGACGCTCTTCCGTATACAAACCATAGTAGTTTCCATTCTGCACTCGTCCAGCTCTTCCGGCACGTTGCCTGGCGTTAGCTTTGCTAATCCAAGCAGTCTTTAAAGCGGTGATGCGGTCGATCGGATTATACTGAATTTCGCGATGCTTTCCACTGTCGACCACGTGCTGCACATCTGGGATTGTTACTGAGGTCTCTGCGATGTTGGTAGAGAGAATGATTTTGCGGCACCCTTCAGGGACCGGTTCAAAAACCGAGGCTTGATCTTCTGCGGACGTAGATGAGTGGAGTACAAAGAGTTTATAGCGAGACTGATCTTTAAAATCGACATCGAGGATTCGGTTTCGTGTGAGGAGAAGCTGGGTTGCCAGGATTTCCTGTTGCCCAGGCAAGAAGACTAGGATAGCACCTTCACTGGTTGTCTTCGCAACATGAGCTACGGTAGCAGCAACTAGACCAATGGGCACTAGACTGTCATCCGGATCGTAATTGTATTCGTCCGACGCAGCTTTGGAGCCCGACTCGAGAGATTCCGGCCGTAGCTCTCTATGTAAGTATTTGTCTGTGTCTGTTTCACTGAACAGTTTAGACAACATTTGCTCATCACGACCAAAAGCGGATTTCAAACCCTCTTCGATCTCCCTTAAGTACCGATTTTTGACAGGAAACAGTCTACCAGGAACGTTGATGGAGGGGCAAGGTATGATTTTGCCATCACCACCCGTGGCCCCGAAATACTTGGAGAAGAGTTCAGTGTTCATGGTAGCGCTCATGAGGACGATTTTGGGCACAGGTTTGTTACTTGCCACCCTGTCCTTCAACGTTTGTTTAAGAACAATAAGTAGGTAGTCAAGTATGGAGTCTCGCTCGTGCACCTCGTCTAAAAGGATGTGTGAGGTGGTGTCGAAGACATGTTCGGCGTTGGATTTCAGTTGCTGCAAGAGAGTTCCAGCCGTACAAAACAAAATGCTACCATCGCTTCGTGGTGGCTGACCTGCACCACGCACGATGAACCCGACGGCATCGCCCACTTTCTCGGCACGCTCATCGGCGACACGGCGCGCAACTGAAGTCTGACTTGAACGTCAGCATATGAGTTGATTAGTGCGTGAACATTACTTACAGCAGCTATACGCCTCGGCTGCGTACATATCACATTGCATGCAGCCCCTTTGCCAGCTTTGGATGCCGCTTCCAGAAACATTTGAGGGACTTGAGTTGTTTTCCCGGAACCCGTGGCGCCTACCACCACAGTAAATGCATTGCCTGTCACCATGTCCAAAATCTCAGCCCTATACTGATTTATGGGGAGCTCTTCTCGTTTCCGACGTATTGTCTCAGTATTTGGTGATGCTTGATAGGTCTCAATAGCTTCCTGTAAAGCTTGGTTCCGGCGTGTATGGTTTCCGTATCTTCTGATCGGTCGCACTGGACTCTCTGTTCTATCATGCATTGTAGATTGCTCAGCACTCCGTGGGACGCTGCGCCCAATGATAGTAGCATCTGCCATTGTCGTCGCGACTTCGTTTGACATGTCTATCATTACTGGTGAAATTGGAACCATCACTTTCCCGCCTTCTTGTTGTAAAGCCGTCTCAAAGGATGACAGAATTTGCGGGCGTTCCTTTCCGATGGTCACAAGGAGAGTCAACAAAGCGAGGTTCTCGGCGGTTTTCGAGTCTTGCGACATTATTTGTTCACTACTTCTGTCATCGATTGTCGCTGTTCCAACGTACAATTGACGATCGCCATTGGGCTCATTGAACGGTTCATATCTTACGGTTAATTGACCCCGCATGCGTGGCCAGAAGTTCCGGAATGATGGCATAATCGACGTGTCGAGGAATTTCGCTTTTTGAAGAGACTGGTCATCGGTGGCGCCGTCCTTTCCTCGTTCTTTGACCAATTCCAGAAAACGGGTTGAAGCTGCTACCCCAGCAATGTATGGCGTCTTCCCGACACCGACAGCTGAAATACCTAGTTCCGGGAGTTCAATTGTGGATTGGAAATTTGCGAAAGATGCGATTTTGCCTTGCCGTAGCACAGTCTTTTTGATTTCGGGGTCTATAGGCTTTGAGGTAATGGTCGGAACCAACAAGAAGCGAGCGGCGTACTCGAAAACAGCGACTTTTGGGTCCGATTGCAGTGCACGGTTCAGACACGGTATTGTAGGTTTGTAGAAGTCCATCAGGTAATGTTCTTTGTGCAACCGAGCAATGAGGTGTAAGAAGCAGTGATACCAAGATTCGCGTTCAGTCTTTCCATCGCCGTAGACAACGATGCGTTTATCATCATAGGTTCTTGTCGAGAGCTGGGTGCGAAGTGGATTTTCGCGATTGCCTTTGTTCTCCGTCACTCTGATTTCGCCCACCTGTAATTGCGATTTGAACAGTTTCTTCAAAGATGTTTGTTTTAGAACACGTGTGTCAAGTTCGATCATATTCAGGAGTTCCTCCGGTGCATTAGGGTATTCGCCCTGAACAGGAAGACCGATATCCTTCTCAATATAATCTTTTGTGATTATAGGCCCGTTTGCAATCGGTGATCGTGCTTGAGCACTAGATTTTGTTTTGCCCTTATGCGAGTGCTTCTTTCCTTGCACCGGCTTGTTACCAACTGTAGAAACATGCACAAATGCCCCATGCCGATGCCGTGTCTTCTGGGTGTTTTTACTTTGCTTAGCAGCTCCGCCTCTTCCATTTTTCAGTTTCATCGAAAGTCTAGGGCCATTATGATGGAATTGGCGGCGTAAAAGTAGGCACACGGTCGGGTTTTGAAAGAGCGGGCGACCGAGGCTCGGAATGCATGGGCGCAGAGAAGCAAGCTGGTGTGAATGAGCGCAAAGATCTAGTTGTACATATGAGGGAGGGGAGACAACTTACCAGAGCAGCCCTCATTCTCCATTGACGTAGGCTAGTAGAATGTACACAGAACGCTGCAGTCGGGCGACGCGACGACTTCAAATTTTACGCACGGACCACACGATTTTCCGAATGACGCAGGGATGTAGCAGTATGAAGTTGGAGTGTCGTTCTCACGTCAAAAATACCAACGACAGTATCTTGTATGTAAATTGTTCATAAATGATTTGAACAGTATGTTTGATTGTGGCTTCTATTTTATCATCCAGCCTTGAATCGAAACTAATGTCCGTATGCCGTGGGAAATAGTACCCTTGATTTCCAAACGCCAATTTCGTACATAATGAATTCCCGTCTTTGCGTGCTCGTGCTCATAATATAATTTCATAAGCCCTAGTAAAATATACTCAGGGCGTGGTGTCTCAAAATGATTAAGTTGAGAACAAAGACATGATGCTAGCCTTGCTCCTGCGCTTCAACGACGAAAACCCGCTCCTCGTACTTGATCTTTTGTCTTTGCTTTGAGCTTGATTGGAATACTGACTACAGCGCACCTCTGTTCCACGAACTGGGGAAGAAAACGGACGCTCGCCAACCCTCAATGGGGGAAACAAAGGAAACTGTTGGTCAAGCGGCGTATAAGCGAAGGGGGTTCGCGGTGTCGACGGGTTGGAAACAGTGGTTGGACTGGCTGCATCGGCACAAAGCGAAGGCAATGTTGGAGATAATTCCCCGTGTTGGTGCTCCGGCATATTGGCAATTTGTAGAACCGGGTTTGAAAGATGATCAGGAGCGCTTGACCGGCTAGCTTTAAAAGCTCTACGCGGAACGGACAAGGATCCGACATTGTAGTTGAGATCCTCTTCATCAGTCTTTGATGGCGCGTAAGAATCCGAGAAGTCTGTGAAAGAAGGATCTTCGTAACCGGATGTTGAGATTGAGGAGTCAATGCGATCATATCCGTTCACCAAATCAGACTGCGCCAGCGACGGTCGAGGAGGTGGGTAATAGGGCAGCGGTGGCATGTTGCGTATAAACGTCTCATAATCAACGAATTCAACGTCATCTTCAGACGATGCTTCATCCTCAGACATGCCCTTGAGCTTCTCATCCATGATTCGGTCCTGATACTCCATGGTGGTATTCAGTTCGTGCGCATAATCTCCACTCCAGCCGCGACTGGATGAGCTCATGCTCAATTGATACGAAGCTGGCTGGTTCGGAATCTTTGTAAAACTCTCTAACTGTACAGATCTTGACAAAGAGCCCAGATTGCCCAGGCCGTTTTGATCCTTTTCACAAATAGTGACCCAGTCCTCGTCCTCGTCCTTGCACTGTTTGTCAGTGGCTTCGACCGCTGCACCGGGAGTTGAGTTGGTATGATAAGCGAGGTACGCCCGGTATTGCGGCGCAAGTTGGGCGTCATCTTCAGATGCAGAGTGAATTGGGATTTGTGGAAGAGGAGGTGGTGGCGGTTCTGATTTTGCATTTCTTGGTCGGGAGGCTAGAGACCAAATAGATGCTATTGCAAGTATGACTATCAGTGACGATATTATCTCGTAGCTTGATTGGGGTTATAGGGCGAGAAGAGGATGGACATGCAGCATTGACAGCAACGTAAGCTTACTTACCCTTCTTCTTTGGAGGCCGCCTATGCGTGTTTGGATCCACTGTCTGGCTCGCACTACCGCTTGTATCGGCTTGTACGATGGCGTCCTCGTTCCTGTCTGAAACCATGGTTTGGTCAAGATTACGCTTGGTTTGCTGTGACCGGCCTTTGAGCCGCAATTGGGTTCTCATCCTGTGAACAGATATGTGGTTGATGGCCAAAGTCCGGTAGCCGGCGCGGATTAGGCAATTACATATGCAGAACAGGCGGTTGTGGATGTGTCGATGCGAGCCACAAGACATTATGTAACGCAAAAGACGACGACGAACGCAAATGCGACTAACGAGTAAAAAAAGAACGGAATGCTACTTAAGTAGGCTATGACGTCGGCCGTAGCCGCGAATTGATGACCAGTGTTTGTATCATTGGCCAATCTAGAATTATCAAACGCTTTCTAGACCTCACCATCACGATCGACTGAAACAGAAGCCATTTTTAGACATTAATACTCTTTTGCCCTCTTCCGTGGCGGGGAAGAAGTCGAAAGATGAGCATCATGCCCTATTATTTTTTGTAAATTTTTTTAAGGTTGTATGTGTGATAACATGCTGTTTGCCGAGATCCAGAGGATGGCAAAATTTGACATGGAAGAGTCGGTTTCTCCAAAGCCCACCGTAAACTTCTTAAGAATACCCAAAGACACCAAACTAGATGCCCTGAAGATCGCCTTTACCAATGTATGAAAATACCCAGTGGATATCATGCAACCGTGCAACCGTTCAATCATAGAACAGAACAACTCCGGTAATCACTGTTCCCACCAAGACCCCAAACCAAAGGCCATAGGCAACCCATGCAGGACATATCCGCCAGTCGCAGTAGCTGGAAATCATGACCCGCAAACGCCGTCGAGATTGAAACAAGAAAAGACATAGAAACCCTGATATGGACAGCGAAAGACCGTGCATGAACAAACCGCAAACTATGCAGAATATCGTATAATGGACAGAATATAGTAAGCCCTAAATTAGTGGGATCCGGAGCCGTTACTCATCAACCCGAGGTTGAGCATACGCTTGAGATCCTGCTCCAAAGATATATTGCTGGGAGGGGGTGATGATTTTTCTGGTGGACATGTAGCTTGTGGCTTGGCTTTCGCACGCACCGAAGAAGGTATAAAAGCCATCATGTTGTTAACTTTAGGGGAAGGAGCAGGCGATGTGGTAGTTCTGTCAGCTGTCGCCTTCTGAGCTTGAGCCTGGGGGGAAAAGTCGGACCGCCCATTGTACTGAGGCCTGCCTGCACCGCGCCTTGAATGGTGATTTGGCGAGCCACGGTATGATTGTGGAACAGAAGGAACATGAGGAGCTGAACCGCGACGCATGTTGGGATGGTTGTTCAGGCCAGTGCCTGTCTTCGCATGGGATTCCACGCCATTGTTCTCAAGATTGGCAGGTGCCATCAAAGGCAATGCACCCTGTGGCCTCAACGTTGAGTCTGCAGTGATCTCCGTACGCAAGCCAGAGTTTCTCTGCACCTCATCTGGCCTTTTGCTCACAGCTTTGAACATGGGCGAAAGATTCCGGTTGCCGTAAAAGAAACTGGGGTCATCTTGTGGTACAGCAGGTGCCGGCGTAGCAGGCCCAGAAGAACTTCGGACAAGGGATGGGTGATCGCGGGATGGAGGTGTATGGTTCCGGAGTGATGGATCAGATGGCATATGCTGAGGTGGGGGTGGGTCTACGGTATTCTTCTGCGACATAGAAAGCCTGCTCAGTAAGTTATTGATAGCATCGGCTCCTTCATTGGATCTTGCCCCACCCCGGTTTTGCGGAAGGTCCGAAGGAACTGTAATTGGCCGATTGGCAGCGGGCGATGGTGCTGGAGGTGAAACGTTTGAGAGGTTATTGTCCCCGTCGAGTTCAATCGGAAACGGCGCGTTGTGAGAAGGATATGAGTCATGTCTAGGATGTTCCGGTCTCGCATCAACCGCAGAGTGACTAGGCGACGTAAAAATGGCTGGCCCAAAATTGGTATTCGGGTTGCGGGCTCGCTCCGCTCTGTCGGCCGCAAACAGCATGTTCAAGGGCGAATCTTGATGCCGCGTACGATTGGGGATCGGTGGTCGCGAGGGCGACGGGGTCGGAGACGACCCAGAGTCGGAGCCATCATCTGGAGGAGGCGTGGGTGGACCAACGCGTGTCTTTGCAGGAACTGATTTCGAGAGGAACTTGGGAATAGGAAGAGTTGAGGGCGCAGGAGAGGCGTGGAAAGTTGGACCGGCATATGCAGTATGTGCCTTGGCGGGAGTTGTAGTTGATTGATGGGTAGCGGAGTCTGTATCTGGTGGAGAGGAGCCTGCGCGTTCAGGTTGGTGATGTGTCTGCTTCTTCAAGTCCCGCGATCCAGCTGGGATGGCCACCGCCTCACTGGTGAAGACTGCATTCTCGACGAGGGCCGCATCGTGTCCGCTTGATTGGTGACCAGCGCCTTGAGGCGGTCCTTTGTGCGCACGATTACCCCTTGGCCGACGTCCGCCTCTGGTTTCATTGTTGTTGGGCGCAGGTGGATTCCCGCTCCTGGAGCGCTGATGCTTTCCCCGGGGCGGGCGCGGGGAAGCTGTGGTCTGTGTAGCGGACGACATATGGCACGAATGATATGCTCATACACTATATCAACTACAAAGAAAAGCGAACTTTCTAGAGGACCGGCGGCGGTTGGGTTCGGTTGCGCAGTTGATGTTGGGAGGGTTGGGCGATGCCTGTCGAGATGATGAGGCAATCGGGCTGTGAATGTGGCAGAAGAGCGATGGTGAAGTAGCTAGAGTGTGGAAGGTTGTTGACGATTTCATATCCAGGTGGGCGAATATAGCGATGGAGAGGGTGTGTGGATCACTCCAGGTGGTGCGTGATGGGAGAGCAGGTGGGTTGCGAAGTCTCGCCTGTGACGATGGATGGGGTGGAGGGTGATGGATGATGGAGAGTGGAGGTTTAGCGGCGCCCAACCAAATGCTTGCTGGCTTGCTGGCCTTGTTTGCGTGCTGTGGCGGTGGCTGAAGTGACCGGATCCGAATGAGCAGTCGGTCGTGGGGGCTGGATGACGAAAACGAGCAATCTGGAGAGAGAGGGAGAGAGAAGAATGTGTGAGGGAGTTTGGAACATTTATGCAAGGCAACAAGAGAAGGAAATAAAAAAAAGGAGAACTCGACTGTGCTTTCCCGCCATTTGCTATGCCATCATTGCTATTACCTGTCTATTGCTTCCCGTCCATGGTTCAACGCAGCTGGCTTGGACACTTCACACAAACTCTTGGCACTTACCGAGCGAGCTCTCACCTGGCTACCCGCTCGCTCACACCAGGCACCATTGAGACACTGCAGCCTGCACACTCTCCACAAACCGCACCCAAAGGCAGCCTTGCCACCAGATATCTTGACCTCCCATCCACGCGCTATACCAACTCTCGCCGCGACCATTCCCGTACCTTCCTCCAACATTTATCAACGGCCGGCAGCTCCCCGCACCCCTCTCCATCACCATGGCCGATGTCAAGATGTCCGACGCTCCCGTAGCACCCAAGACGAAGTCGTCCAAAGCCGCCGCGGGCGCAGATAGTGACAAGAAGCGCTTCGAAGTGAAGAAGGTGGGTTCTCATGACACGGTTTCCTGGAAGTGACGTCCTTGCTAATTCCATGATAGTGGAATGCAGTAGCTCTCTGGGCCTGGGACATTGTCGTCGACAACTGTGCCATTTGCCGCAACCACATCATGGACCTCTGCATTGAATGCCAGGCCAACCAAGCATCAGCAACGAGCGAGGAGTGCACGGTCGCATGGGGTATTTGCAATGTAAGAAGGGCCCAATCCAGAGGTGTTGGTGCATCACCCAGGCTAATAATCACACACAGCACGCATTCCACTTCCATTGCATCTCGCGATGGCTCAAGACACGCCAAGTGTGCCCGCTCGACAACCGCGACTGGGAATTCCAAAAGTACGGCCGATAGCTTGTTCACGACCCCACGTTCCACATCATCATCATCATCATCAAATGTTTGGCCACCAAGGTCGAAAGCTATGTTTCTTTGCACGGTCCATATGGTAGTTTAGGCGTCCGGATAGGGTTGGGTTATGTATGAATGAATGGCACCACAGCAAAAGACAGTGCAATAGCAAGCCTCGCCGAATCAATATACAAATACTGCTTGCCCTCGATGTGTACATGTGTGCGCCCGTAAATGATGCATTGCCCAAATCCACCCGAAGTTTCCTTTTCCCAAACGCCGTCCTCGATGTGCTTGCTCATTTGAAAGGGTCTTTGATGAATGATCTAACCCACCTTCTGACCGTCTACGTTGATCTGGACGGTCGACGCACCTTTGTGAGGGGGCAGCCATCCTTCGGGATTCTTGTTGTAAAAGGGCCAGGGCGGAACAACGGCAAGAAACGTCAGGGCGGTGCCGGCGAGGCCGATGTAGAGCGATAACTTGATGTCTTGGGTCATGAAGCCAACGATGAAGGCCAAGATCTGCGGGGAAGATGGATCAGCTGGGGCTGTGCGCTAGAGAAGGGAACAAAGAAAAGAAGGTGAACAACGTACACCGACTCCTCCGAGCAGAACGGTGGTGATGAGCTCGGCCAGCTTTTGTCCCTCAAAGTCCTAGCAACCATGAATCAGCAGCGTTGTTGTGGGAAAGGCTCGGGCATGGGGACGCACGATCTGGCCTTCTACCGCATCGCGCACCTGATCGAGTAGTTGGTCGGCCATGATTGATTGCGAGAGCAGCGGGGGGCTGGTGTTGCGATTATAGGGACTGGTTGATTGTAGCCCAGATGCACGTTACGTGGTAGCAGCTAGGATGTGTGTACATAATACATAAGCAAGCACGATAAGTCATGGACAATGTAAGGTGGCTCGAACACGGAACCGAGCAGCGCATGAGTGGCCGGACATCCCTGTCTGCGCCTTTGTTTTTTCTCAGCCTCATCCGGACCGCTCTAGGGATTCCCATTCCCATTTGCCGCCGACACGGATATGCTTGCTCACGGATAGCTATGTACATGCACACATAGACTGGCGCACACACTGGCAACATGACCAAAGTCTCCGCACGCGCGGCCTCTGCAGCCCGTTTTCGATGCTTTTCTAGTGGGTGGGTGCACGCGAATTGCGTCGACTGGGCCGAACCGCGGCATGGCGCTCGGTGAGGGAACATTGAATCCTTCGAGGCAACATTGGAATCAATCAGTCAATCAGTCAATCCTGTTGCGCTGAAATGACATCAATCGGATCCAGGAGCGCCCGTTGCATGTGACGGGCGAACAGTCTGATTGACTCGTCTCCCAGCAACCAGATCATGATTGCCGCTCAATTGCCGCACTGGCCGCTCGCTGCAAATCCAGCCATCCGCGGCCTTTACTTTTGCTGGTGTCAAAGGAAACAAGCCTGACTGGGGCCTGTCTAAAATTCCCCTAAGCAGCCCCGCCGCCCAATCAGCCCTCGCGCGAAATTTTACTATAACTACTATGCAACCACCCACTTCTTCCCTCGTCTTCACCATACCTCGTCTCTCGAGACAGACTTCCACCCACCACCCCCACAACGCTGCCCCCGATTTCACCCAGGCCACAGATCGCCTGCTGTTCCCGTTTGGCACAAACACACGCACGCCGATTTTGTGCCCCCTTCACCGCTTGTCGCTGACCCGTGCGACTTTCACTCGTAAAACACCACCCAGTCATCACAGCTGACTGATCGATAACCGTCCTCCTCATTACCCTCCACCCCTCGACTCCCGCGCTCCTACGCTTCGGCGTCTTCAACATCAAACCACCAAGTTGGCGGGCAATCACATCCACAAGTTTTCCTTCGTTCGTCCTCTTCTCGGGCCCAAAGCTTGGGTCTACGGAGGCGATTACAAGAAGCCCCCATAACTGGGCTTTAGCATTACCCGTCAAATTCTGCCTACTTCTGTCGTTACACTGCAACTATACTCTCCTTCAGTGTAGGGTGAGATCCCCTACGCGAAGCCTATATTCACGTTGAACGCTCCGTCGAGGTGAGCGCTCACAAGCGACTCGCCAGGTCAAGTCGACGCTTGCCGTTGCAACTACCGCGCACAACCATCCGATCCGGATCCCCCATAGACCCAATTTCCTCGTCAACTTTTCAGTCATCACCATGACGGACACCCCGAGAACCGATGTCTCTCAGACCAGGTTCAGCACCCCGGTGTCGGATTTGGACGACCATCGTCATCAGCCTGAATCCATGCCTCGAGTAGACGCCGGATCCCCAGCCCGCTCTCGACGCCCGACTTTTGCAAGCGTGCAGGGTCTCCCCGATCGTCTGGTCCCACTTCAATATGTCAACGATGCGCTTGAAGCCAACGATGTGACCACCCGCGATTTTGAGACTGCTGTGGTGGACGACGACCTATCGCCTCAGGATCCTCACGCAAGGCGTGGTTCGTTTGCCCACAGCCCTGCGCATGCTCGTCGCGACACTTTCAGGCGCCCTCGAGACCCGGCCATCGAGCGCCTCACCCGGGGTAGAGCTTCTTCGACTTCTTCCCGTTCCGTGTCTCCGCCAAACTCGGTCGATGCTTTTGCTGAAGCTCGTCCGCGCAACCGTGACCGTGCCAATACTGTTAACAGCCGACCTCCTTCCGAGCTGGAACTTGCCCTGCAGCGGACCGTGTCAACAGATACACGGAGACGCCCCACCATCAGCGACGAACGTCCTCCAGAAATTACCAAAGCTGACACGGCTTCTACTCACAGCTCCGCTGAAGAGGATGTGTGCTTTCCAGTCGAAGTTGACCCAGGCAAGACTACTCGATTTGACTATGAAGAGTTGGAGGAATTCGTGGCAGAGGCCCAAACCAAGACGCCCATCAGCCAGCCTTTGCGCCACAAAGCCAGCACTCGGTCCCAGCTGTCCAATGCCAAAGCCCGGATCTTCCCCGATCTCCGACCCAAATCAAGCCAATCCAATGCACCCAAAACTGATGCGGATGCTGCCACGCTCAAGAATAATGTCGACCCTGCAACACAGGAGAAGCTTGCCGAAGAAGGATTGGCCCACATGTTCAACGGCCAAAAGGCCCCCCTAGCGAACCTCAACCGGTGGACGTTCTTCTCGTCCGAACTTGACGATACAATCCACGCTGCTGAACTCGGTGGACTCCTCATGCCCGGCGAGCGTTTCCGCGACCTCTTTGAGCTTCCGTACGACAACGGTGTTTGGTGGTTGGACATGGTGAACCCCACTGAGGAAGAGGTGTTTGCGGTTTGCAAGGCTTTCGGTGTGCATCCTCTTACGCGGGAGGATATCACCATTCAAGAGCCTCGCGAGAAGGTGGAGTTATTCCACCAGTATTACTTTGTCTGTTTCCGGTCCTTCCAGCAGGCAAACCGCCAAGCCGAAGACTACCTCGAGCCTGTCAACTTCTATGCCGTGGTATTCAAAGAGGGCCTCTTGACATTCACGTTCACCGAGAGCCCACACACGCTCAACGTTCGCAAGCGCATCAGCCGTCTTCGTGACTACATCAACCTGAACAGCGACTGGATCTGCTATGCTTTGATCGATGACATTGTGGATAGCTTCGCTCCTGTTCTCCGTTCCATCGAGGAAGAGACAGACGCCATTGAAGACCAAGTGTTCACGGCTCGGATCGAGGACTCTCGCGAGATTCTTCGTGCGGTCGGAGATTGCCGCAAGATGGTCATGCAACTGCTCCGCCTCCTTGGAGGAAAGGCAGACGTGATCAAGGGGTTTGCCAAGCGATGCAACGAGAACTACAGCATTGCCCCCCGTGGAGACGTGGGACTCTACCTGAGCGATATCCAGGATCACGTGGTGACGATGATGTCGAACTTGGGTCACTTTGAAAAGATGCTTTCGCGTTCGCACTCCAACTACCTCGCGCAGATTTCTGTGGACCAAGTCATTCAGGGCACGCACTCCAACGTCACGCTAGGCAAAGTGACGGTGATTGCGACAATTCTTGTTCCGCTGAATCTCATCTGCGGTCTGTTTGGCATGAACGTCAAGGTGCCAGGCCAAGATGGAAGCATCGCGTGGTTCTTTGGTATTCTTGGGGTGATCATCTTGTTTGTTGCTACGTGCTTGGGAGTGGCGAAGAAGATGCGTTATATCTGATGGGGGTGTATCGAAGTCGGGCCGATCTGTTTGACAGTTTCTTTCCCATTTATCCCTTTCGGGTTTCCTTATGTTTTTTTTCCCCCTGTTTTGATCAATGTTGAGCGGTTTCCATATGGTTGCTTGCTGCGATAGTTTTGTACGGTGCGGAGTTTGACGAGGAAAAAGTTGGGCCGCATTGCGTTGCGAGGCTGTCTACAGCATGGCGATGGTACACTGGTGGGACAAGAGAAAGCAAGAAAGAAAGGGGTTAGAATTCCTGCTTTGTGGTGTTGACTGGATTTATTAATCTTGTTAATCGGTCATGTATTCTTTGGTACATTGTTTGGGGGGAGTGTATAATGGTGTAGGTCAAGATTAGATCAAGGCGTGTCTAGATCAAGATTTATGTTACAAGAAAGGCAGTGCACATTGAGTAATGGTGAGGACAGTTTCGGGGTTGTTGCAAAAGTGTGCGGGGTGAAGGGATCGAGACGGATGGCGAATATGTGGACATATGTACCATGGCTACGGGCAGTGGAGGTTTAGTGGGACATGGAACCGCGTGAATTGCCCTGATTGAGCAGCCATGGCGAAATGATTACACAGATAGTGCGATCAAAGACGGAACGGTTGGCCGGAACTTGTGCGGGCCGGAACGGAAATATAGGTTGAGTATCAGAGGATTGAAGGCACAAAGGCATGTGGTGGCACATTTGGGTACTCGGACACAAGTTCAAATGTTTACCAACGTCTGTCACTGTCATCACTCGGATGGCGGGCTCGACGGGGTTTTATTACGATTACACCAATGTACATACATTACAACCAATACGGGCGCCAGGCTTATTCATCCGCCGCGATTATCTCGGCCAAACACAGACAGCGAGAAAGAGTGCAAAGCAAGAAAAAAAAGAATGGAAAAGAAGAAGAAAAAGCCTCGCCTCCTTGGGTGGAAAGGGCCGGAACGGGCGGTGGATGGTAAGCGTTGTCGCGTTAGAGGCAGGCGGGAGGGGTCATGTTCACCAGTCACGACAACCCCTCGTCCGTCCGTCATATAATTAGAGCGAGCGAGCGAGGCCATGGCTCCGTTCCGCACCATCCATCCACCTGCGGCGCATTGCGTGAGAACTTGACCTGCTTGTGTCCCGTTGCACTCCCCCCCTCTCCCCTCTCCTCTCCTCTCCTTCACCCCTGCACCGCTGCACCGCACCGCACAGAACAGCCTACGTTACGTTACCTTGCCGCGACACTTTCCTCTTCCTTGCCCCTTCACCTCTCACTTCCGTTACAGCTTGCCTTCACTTTGGTCTTGGCAGCCCGCCTCTTTCCGCGCCTCTGGTAGCCTTTCCGACCACCGGCTTGCTTCCTACCTGACTTCACCTTCCTCTTCCTCTCTCGCCTCTCCACCACTTGCACCACTCACCCACCCTCTTCAACCTCAACCTCAACCTCTGCCTCTACCATCCCGTGGACTGCCTTCCCACCACCACCCTCCACCCTGCCGTCCTCATTTGCCACTCCCTCGGAACAGAAGAGAGCACACATCACACGACTATGGCGCAATCAGCCGAGAGACTGCTCATGAATGAGTTCAAGGCCTTGAGCAAAGAAACATGGACAAACATCGATTTAATCAACGAGAATGTCTTTGAATGGAGCGTGGCTCTCATTGTCCTGAACCCGGACTCCCTGTATTACGGCGGCTACTTCAAAGCCAAGCTTGCCTTCCCCAAGAACTACCCTTATTCGCCTCCAGACTTCAGGTTCATTCGGCCCCTTTACCATCCCAACATCTACCCCGACGGTCGTCTTTGCATCTCTATTCTTCACCCACCTGGCGATGACGAGATGTCGGGCGAATCCGCTGCCGAGCGCTGGTCTCCGGTGCAGCGCGTCGAATCCGTTCTGATCAGCATTCTCTCTTTGCTCGACGACCCCGAAGTCTCTTCCCCTGCCAACGTCGATGCTGGTGTCATGCTAAGGAACGATCCTGATCACTACAAGGAACTGGTCAAGAAGGACCTGGACCTGGGCAAGGCCGATATTCCGGCAGGCTACATCATGCCAACCCACGAGACGGCTTTCGTGACCAAAAAGGACGATGGCGATTTCGATATGAGCTGGGAAGACAGTGATGCTGAGAGTTTTGGAGGAAGCGAGAGCGATCTAGAGGATGACGAGATGGACTCAGACTTTGAGGGTTATGATGACGACGATGAGGAAGAGTCCGAACCTACACCGGCAACCAAGTGAACTAGTTTTGGCAGAAGGGTTTGCCAACTTTGGTTCCTCGGGCTTGTTTCCCGTTGGCTCGTCATGTTCTTACATTCGACCGGCTTCCTTGATCAGCCCGATCCCTCTTCACTTGGCACGCTACTACTTGCATCTTCTCCCCCTTGCTTCCGCATATCGACTTACGTATACAATACCTTCACAGCGCGGCGTTTTGGGTTTCCCTTTATCAACTCTTTCCCAGGCTCGGTTTTCCAACGACACGGTGTTATAGAGGCATCTGCTCTGCATGAACCGGCGTTCTGGACATGACATACCTTCGGCTTCGGCTTTTCTATTCGCTTCTCCATGCATATGAGGCTTCTGGCCTTCTCCCCTACTCACTTCAAGCACGGTCCTCGCCCGTCTTTTCCTTTACATGTTCAAAGCGAATGAGCGAAGAACGAATGGAAGAGAACAAAAGCATGGATGGCATCTTGATCAAATACCACGCTGCATTTTTGATCGCCTTGCCCTCTCATTCCTCTTCTCTTTTATCATACCATCATGCACGTTCTGTCTTTGGAGAGATATGCCCTTTCTGAGTTGGGACGAGTGGCCATAACGATATTGCATTGCACATCATATCATGTAGAGAAACCAATTTGGACATGGATATACGAATCAAGTTTATATTTTAAATCAATGCCATGCTTTGGACACAACAATTGTCTCGCGTGATGGAGATGAAAAGTGAACATTGATAATTGGAGATTTTTGTTTCAGGCACACATTATACATTGCATAAAGGATTGGGTGGTGATGTCCAAAGGTGTTGTTTATTTAGAATGTCTTTCACAGTAGGCCTTTTTTCTCTCTTCGTCTTCTTGTATGCATCTCCGACTTCTTGGCCAGAAATATTGTATATGGACGTCACTGTCTTCTCAGTTCGCACCCCTCGGCTCCCAGCAATAATATGGCGTAGAATGGCTTCTTCCACTATCTGTGGTTTTGCTCGGTCCTATTCTTTTTTCTTTTTGTCGTAGAATCAATAGAGAAAAATAGAGGAGCAAGAAAGGCATGCATGTGAGCAGAATCGGAAAAACATGACCATTCATCATCACCGTGATTGACGACGACGATTATGATGATGATGGTGATGGAGATTGCCACCCAACCACCCACCCACTTGCTCCTGATTTCCTCAACCCACCGACACTCCTCGCCAAGACGAGCACGATCCAAACAGTAATAAACATATGGTAGCCAGGCAAAAAGCCCAAGTCGGCCACCCTCCCCCTTGCCCACACGCCCAAAGATTACATGGAGAGAAGAAGAAAAAGCAAAAAACAAAAACCCCCCAACCAGAAAAAAAAGGCATCAATTCATCCCATTGCCGCTATTACTTAAACCGTCCCAGCAATGCTCAGGTCCCGAATCTCCTGCAGTACCTCTTCGACCCTCTGGTCTAGTTCGCCCTGCGCATATTGGTCTCGCGTATTCGCATCCAAATACTGCTGGACTTGTGCCATTCTCGAGTACGCTTCAGCGCAGAAGCGCAGCTGGATCTTGACCAGGGCCTCGAAGCTGGGATCCAAGTAAGGCACCCTGAGATCGATGAGCTGAGGAAGTTCGGTAGTGAGGGTCTCGTTGAGCTGGTCATAGGCGACGCGGGCAAGCTGCTCGTCCTTCTCGGCGCGGGGCAGTTTCGTAACGTCTTTGTCCGGGCGGTCCGTCAGTTTCTTGACCTGGGATCGCATGCGATCGTAGTCCATTTGCTTGTGCTCGCGCTTGGTGATGCACGAGTTGATATCCGGGAAGTAGGAGCAGAAGCGCTGGATGGGGTCGAGCACCGTGGTGCGGTAAGGGCCGTCGAGCGCTTTTATTGTCTCGGCGTCCAGGTCCGTCACGGCTTGCTTGTAGGAGCGCGAGACGCCGTCTTTGGCGCCCGCATCGCCGTAGAAGGCGTCAATCGTCTCGGCGATGCGCATTTGCGAGGCCGTCATGGCGCGGAGCGAGTCGAGGTAGCCTTTGGCTTCTTTTTGTAGTTTATTGGCGGCCGTCTCCATTGTGCGGTAGCGTCTTTGACTTGCCATGAGTACGTGTAGGATAGATATGTTGTGCAAGAAAAAAGTGCGGGGGTGATATGGGGGGCGACGGAGAGAAGGGGGTGAAATACCGCAGTTCAGTCTCAAAATCACGGTCGTTGGTACGCTCAACCTGGCCAGTCTTCATCAAGACCTGCGTCGTTGCGCGGTTGACACCTTTCTTGAACCCTGTCGAGTCGTCAGTCGGATGGTGGGATGCAGCAGATGCAGGGAGTGAATACCGGTCCAGGACATGACTGTGGCGGTTGTGCGAACACTGTGGGATGTGTATGTGAAGGATAGCTAATCGATTCGTTTCTCTAGAAAGCAAGCTGCGGTGAATAGGAGGTAAGAAAGAGGAGATATGTGAATGCGAAGTTGGTGGTGAGTGTGGTGTAGAGGATTGGTTGTATGGCGGGCCCGGCCGCTGCCACCTCTCTCAGCCACAAATGACGAAGCAAGAGACCGGGGTTTGCTTTCTTAGTGGCCCATCTCGCCTGCATCCATCCATTCCCACCCCAGAAACAACCAATGTTTTCTCCTACTGCAACTCGCGCTCTGCGGAGAGCTGCATCGTCGAATACAAAACACTACATATGTCCCGCCTGTAAATACTCGACTTCCAACACGCCCAATCGCGTCATCTTTTCTGGTATCCAACCAACCGGTGTTCCCCATCTCGGAAACTATCTCGGTGCTTTGCGACCTTGGGCTAAGCTGCAAGATGGAGCTGCCACAGACGACCGATTGCTTTTTTCCATTGTCGACTTGCATGCCATCACCATAAAACAGGACCCACGACTGCTGAGGCAATGGCGAAAAGAGATGTTTGCCAGCTTCCTGGCCGTAGGGCTAGATCCCAAGAAGAGCATCCTGTTCGCGCAAAGCGATGTACCAGCGCATGCTGAACTTATGTGGATACTGAGCTGCTTTGCCAGCATGGGTTATTTGAGTCGTATGACACAATGGAAGGTACATATACAATGGAAACAGAAGAAGAAGAGAATGGAGTCATTAATTAGCCCCGCAGAGTAAAATGTCCCTACCATCCAATGCAAACCCTTTCGACACATCCACGTCTAAGAAGAAGGACGCACCAGCCCTAAAGCTGGGCCTCTTCTCATACCCCGTCCTTCAAGCCGCCGATATTCTCCTCTATAAAACAACGCATGTTCCCGTTGGCGAAGATCAAGCCCAGCATCTGGAGTTTGCGCGCGAGCTGGCCATAACATTTAACCACACGTTTGGCGCCGACCTCCTCGTCCCCCCACAGACAATCATATCCCCCGCCAAACGGGTCATGTCGCTCGCGGAACCAACCAAGAAGATGTCCAAGTCGGACCCGGATGTTAAGAGTCGGATCCTGATCACAGACACCAAGGAGGAAATTCACAAGAAAATCAAGGTGGCGCTCACAGACTCGATTCAGGGTGTATCTTATGACCGTGATTCCCGTCCAGGTGTTTCCAATCTGATCGATATCATGTACCATTTCCAGGAAGAACACTTTGCGTCGCCCGAACAGCTCACCAAGGACTTATTCGGCCCTGAGACCTCGCTCAAGGTTCTGAAAGAGAAAGTTGCGAATACGATTGATGACCACTTGCGCGATGTCAGAGAGCGGTTTAGCAGTGCCATGAGTATGGGTGACGTGGAGATGAGCGATATGGCTCGCGAATCCGCCGACGCCGCCAATCAGTTAGCCACGAGCAACCTCAAAACGATCAAGTCGCAAATGGGTCTAGGTTGGGATTGAGGGTACATCCGTCTAGATCATGCTGCCATCTCCCAGAACCCTGTGTGAAACTAAGTGTATGTAAGCTATGTATTTGTATATTGGATGTTTCGTGTTATGTATAAAAGGACCTCAACAAATCAATATCGACTGAAACGCAACGAGTCCTATGCATACTGTACACGAAAGACTGAGAATATTGCGACCGGATGTTCTCAATCGCACGCCAACTCCAGCAATGCCTGACTGCTTCATCGCCCGTTTCCCTTTACGACCGCACATCCACCTATCCCCTCCATCTAAACTCCCTCCTCATCCACCCTTACCACCTCCCAACCTTCCAAAGCAGCCCACCCAACGCAATCGTCCCCACAAAATGAAAGCCAATCCCCCAAGCCATAGCAAAAAGAAACTTGGGACTAAACACCGTCCAAATGAAAAGATGCTGTCTCAACACCGCACAAGCAACCATGACACTCGCAACACTAACCCCCGTCCACAGCGTCATCAACGAAACATGATCGCTCCAAGCCCTGCCACTGTCTTTCTTGCGCTCGGCAACGATGTTTTCCTGTCGGGCTAGACGCTCCAGGTGTGCGCGCTCCTCGCGGACCCAGTCGCGGTCGTCGAGCTCCGATGTATCAATGTGTCGACGAGTGGAATTTGCGCCGCCATGGCTACCAAGAAGGAGCGTGCCGGCTGCTGTGAAGTAGAGGGGTCCTGCCCAGTTTGAGGCGAAGAGGAGGATGCCGACGAGGGTGACGTTGTAGCCGGAGATGCCGTTGTAAGAGGTGGAGAGGTCGATGGAGGAGATAGCGTTTGAGTTTCCCAGGGCGAAGAAGGAGGTTTGGGTTAGGAGGAGAGTGGTGGTTGTTAAAGAAGTTGGGTCGAGGTTGAGTGTTGCTGAGGGGATAGTATTAGTATGTATGAGGAGATAGGATCCAGATAGTTAGGTATTGGGAACCGGGCAGCATGACTTACAAAGGAAGAAGAATTGAAGGCGGAAAAGGAGGTAGAGAGGTATGTTTTGGGCTTTAGTCTGGGTAAGGAGGAACAAAGTAAGCAGGTCGAAAAGTGCCACTGCCAAATCTGTTTGAAGGTGTATGATTAGCAGAATATCCTGAGGGCCCATGTGGATATGTTCCCAAAACTTACCACCATTGCCATCCACGTTCTTCCGTCTTCCTTGTGCTCTCTTCCACTCAGCAACCGAGATCCAAAACGCACTCAATGCAATTCCACCAAACACCATTCTTGCAATCCCAACAAGGCCTAAGCTTGCGACCCAATTCAGGAGATCTTGATTGATGCCACCCGTCAGCTCAGGCGCATCCAACGCTGTAAAAGCAAGCTTGAACAGGAATGCCGTGACACCCAGCGGGAGCACAGCAATGAAAGCCATTAAACGGTTGGGATCGAACTCATCGTCGGGCGCACCTAGAGCCACGCCGCTAAGCCCTTCAAATGCGGCAATGGAGCGCGCTACATGTCGTGAAAGGCGATTCGTCACATCAACGTACGCGGATCCGATCATGGTCCACAAGACAATCGAGTATGATCCATGGAAGAGAGGGGAATGCACGATGTCATCTGCACCTGCGAATTTCTGTCCAGTCTGATTCCATCGCCTGATGATGCGGTGGAGAACCAGCACCATGATGGCAGGATGAAGGATGAAGTTTGCAGTCCACTCCTTACGTGAGGCAGATATGAAAAGATAAAAGAGCCATGCAGACGTTGCCCAGTACCAGAAGTTGTGTTCCTCCTCAACGTAAGAGGAAGCGAACATGAGAATGCTGTATAGAACCAAGATAAGCGTGTAGAACAAACCTTGCGGGCTCATGGGTGTAAAGGCTGGCAATGTGAATAAGGTAAGAAAGACCGAAATGACAGCCAGGGAGGCTCCAAGAACTAGTCGGGGAACATCATAATTTGATGCTGTGCTGGACATGGTCTCCTGTGCGGCTTTCATGAACTGAAGAAAGCAAAAATGTCAGCACGCGTTTTACTGCATAACTAGCCATGGAGCGTGTGGAATTCTCTCTCCACAGCTGTAGACATACCTTGTAAAGTTGACCAACTCGAGACGATATTTCAATTTTAGTGCGAGTCGACATGACATCCACAACCCCTTGCCATTTGCAAGCCAATTGCTGGCCAGTAGACTAAGACACGTGAGCACCCCTTCTGAGCCTGACATTGCCTAGATAGACGACTTACTGGCGAATCACACTCCTTCTTGTGGTCCTGGGTTACTACATCCCCGAAGTCAAGGCTGGGATAGGTCGCTTCCACAATGCTCTTGACCTGCCTCGCGTTACGGAGTAGTAATTGTATACGATCACGCCCTACTGTTGTCAGCCCCTGTCACCAAATGGCATTATACACCCTGTTCACTCACCATCGTCCCAAAATCCAAGAAACTCTTCAATGAAGACACCCAAGTTGTTCTTCGGAACAGGAACCCCCATAAGCCCAGCTAGTGTTGGAGCGACGTCGCTCTGCTCCACCATTCGATAATACTCGAATTCTGTGCCTGCCTTCGGCACCACGGGACTCTTCTTCTCCATAGCATGGGTGACTTTTGTCAGCTTTGGACTCATGAAGACCAAGGCAGGACTGGTCTCTCCTGGGGCAGAACCGCCGTGATTGCCACCCTCATTCATCCCATGGTCGCCGCAAAGCACAAACAAGGTATTCTGAAGATGGTCCTCGTTTTCAATCGCCGAATAGATGTCGCGGACAATGTCATCCATTTCCTTCTGCTTGGGCAGCATGTTCGGGCTTTTAGGGCCAGCCTTGTGTCCGATGTGATCCAAGCCTAGGTAATGCATGATCATAGCATTCCAGTCATTGTTCAAAAGCTCGTCGGGAACATGTCGAGTCACATTGTTATCCACTTCGGTGAAGTCCTAGCGTTGCGAAGAACACAAAAATCAACTTTCATTGTACTACTTTCTATGTAGGGAGTGCTGCCACTGACCGAAACGAAGAAACTGCTTGTCCCATCGGCACGCTCGAAGAAGTCGGGGAACAGCTTCAGCCATGTATCGTCGCCGTACATTACAAGTTTGCCATTCTCCTTGGCTTTGAGTTGGGCAAGCCAGGTATCCTGTGTGGCAAGGGTAGAGGTTGTGTCGCTTTCGGCGAAGTTCAGAATCACATCGAGGAAGGACGGGATGGAGCCCGTGGTAATGGCTTTGACACGGGGCATTGTGATGGTAGGGGATGTAGCATGCGCGGTGAAGGGAAGCGCATAACCTTCACGAATCAAACTTCACATCTTGTCAGTTTCCGAAGTGTTTACTACATGCACTCGTAGGTAGCATACCTTTGAACAAATGTCATGCCGCTGCCCTCGCTATAGACAAAATCACTCCTCAGTGCATCTACAACCATGAAGACGAGCCGATCAAAAGGCGCGTCGGCCACACTCTTGTTACTCCATCCCATGCCATCTTCCCAGCCAAGGTTGTCATATTCTGCCAGACCGGGCATAAACGGTTTATACGGGAAGAAGCCAGTCGCAAACACCAGAATCGCGACGGGGATTAGGAGGTTGGCGAGTGTGAGAAGAAGGGTACGCGCAGCCATGATGGATATTGTCACGGCGCTCAAATGGCTCGTGGGGGAGTTGTCAAAAAGGAGAGTACTATCGCGATGCCATTGAAGCAGGGACAAATTGAGGCCAGAGAATGCAGAGACATCAAACTGCCAGGTCGCCGCGTTCCCACACTTTGCGCATCAGGGTTCAAGCTCGGCTCCCAAACCGATCTAGCTCGCGACGCCTCGCTAGCCAATGACGTCGTTGAATCTCACCTCCGAGCCCGCTTCCATCGTACATTTACTCAACCACCCTCATGATTTCATCGTCGATGAGGCATCGATTGAGCTCGAAAGTCCCCGTATGTCCTAGAATTGCGTGTCGTGGAGCGTCACATATCTCCAGAAATAGTACCTATTGGCCCCGACCTCTCTCACCTGCGAAAGCCCACCCGGATCTGCACGAAGAGCTCTCCAAATATTTGCTTCGAACAAGTTTCCCTCAGTCCTCGAAAACAAGGCAACATTTCAATTCTAAGCTCCAATTTCCTACAAAACACGACAATATGGCATTTTTACTCCCAGGTCTTCGCCGTACTCTTATTCTGAGCACTCCCCTGATCCTCTCCGCACCACTCCTAGCACGCGTTCACCGTCAACCCATCCTTTGCGAAGGCCCCGATCCCTTCACCAAAATCACTTCCGATCTCAAGAACGACTATGCCCAAAATGCGCAAACGCCCATCATCAAAACTTCCGGAGCTCCAAATCCACGTGCCCTCCGTCAAGTTAGTTTGGGAAGCATCCTTGGTGTTTTGGCAGGCTTGGGTGTCAGTGTTTTCAGTAAGCCCTTGGCCATATTGATAGGACTAGGCATTGTGTGCGTACAGGTACGTGTGAAAAATTACGAGGAAAAACCTCGTGTTCTAGATTTTATTCGTTGTTTGAGAGACTACGCTTGCTGCATCCCATCGTCCCATGCACAGATACTCCATCAATGCAATGCTAGTGGTCTTAGTCTATATCGTAAGAAGACGTGAAAAAGAAACGCTAAATAACAATATCCGCAGTTCCTGGAGTCTCGAGGCGTCCACATCGTACCTTATTCGTATTTGCAACGCCGATTTAAGCAAACCAATGTGCGGTCCTTGATGCAGAATAACGTAGCATTCAAGCTATCGTTTGGTGCTACGTTTGCACTTGCCGCATTTGCCGAGTTCTAATCGTGTATACGCGATGAAAAGTTTCAGTTTGGAAAGAGTAAGAAGGGACGAAAGGGCTACTGATAGTTGAACCGGTGGGCATGGTGAGCTGTCTGCGGTGCGAATTGCAGATGTAGCTGCTTGCAACTCTGCCAAAATGGCCTGATGGCTTCCTTGCAAGCATTCGCATTTTTGGCGTTCCTGTGTATTATATCAGAATCAGAACCCCTTCATTGGACGTAATCAACATACCGCATGAGACTTTCTACAAACTTCCTCACCATATCTTGCACTCCTTCGGCCGCTTGTGCCTTAGCTAGCACAGGCGTTTCTGCCAAGGCAGTCGTGATGTACTGCCTGCTGAGCCTTTGATTCGTGATGAGTTTCCGTAACGGTGCAATGATGTTGTCCAGACTTGACGCATCAACTTCCCCGCAGATGTTTCCGATCAAAACGAAAGTCACACTTTGTCCGAAATGATCCACGATTTCCTGGCATGTGCTTTGGTCCACACTCCCAGCGCTGCCTGTCTTCTCGAAAATGTCTTTCCATAGAGCGGCCGCTGCACGTTTTGGCAATACTTCAGGTGACTTGATACATTCTACTGAAAACCCAAAGGTGTCTTTTAACACATCCGGATGTTCGTTTTTGAGGATGTTTGCATTCTGCTTAAAGAAAGACTGTATAAGCTCAATACAACCAACAGAGATCTCGGGGTCGTTGCGTGGATGCTGCAGAGCTTGCATGATGCTGAGGTCGTAATGAAGGAGGCGTTGGGCCTGGAGCTCGAATTCTTTGGATCCCTTGTGGGACGACACCCAGCAACAAGCTGTTTCCAACACATAGGTCAATCTTGGGGTGTTGACATTCGTCCTGGTAATGTAATCAACTGCTGCGGCCGGGGGCAGTACGAATGGGCCAGGTCCAATTTCCTTGAATCCAGAGCGAAGAACATTGCAGGAAGACTCTATGATCTCATCATTCTGTGGGAAGATTTGTGTCATATAATTGATGAGGTTGACGATTTGGTCCTGGATGGCTTTCCCCGGGCCTTCAGTCCAAAACGTCGATTGGTTTTCGGTCTGACTGAGATCGACAACATCTTCAGAAGCCTGAAGCGCCTTCCCCACGCTAGAGAGACATTTGAGGGTTGACATTGCCAGAACCTGTCCTTCCTCTGGACCATTCGTCTCACTTGCGAAACTGATCGCCCGATCTGCATCATTCGTAATGTAGCGAAAGATGGATTGCACACCAGCCAATTGCTTTTGCTCAGTGTCCTCTGCTTGCACAATAGCGGCTATACCTTCGAGGATTTTGCTTTTGGTATGTTCCTCGGCTGTCGGATATGTCAAGAATTGTTCGTACATTTGAAAAAACGACCCAAGTTCGCTGGTCAATGACTTTCTGCACTCTGAACACAAGGAGGCAAAGGATTTGGCGGCTCCATACGCCAGTGAAGGTTGTGCTAATGCGTTCAGGAGGAACGGTAGTACTTGAGGGAGGAATCGTGGGTTTCGTAAGAAAAAATGGTTCAGAGAAGAGACGAGTTCAACAGCAGACCTTCGCATGACGGCTGGAATATTGTCGTTTTGGGAAATGGTCTCGAAAAGCGGTCGTTCGAAAAGGACTGTGAGCATTCCATCGACATTTGTCAATCCCTCAGATAGCGACATTAAAGAAAAGAGGGCAGCTTCCAACTCTAACCATTGATTGGTTTCGAAGGCATTAACAGCGAAACTGATGAACTGTTCAGTCAAATCATCACGCAGTAGCTCAAAAGCTTCCGTGATAATATCCCGGACATCCATTCGAAAGACTTTGAATGTTTTCTTTGCATCAGCGTCCCACGTTTTAGTAACGTCGGAGGGGGGGTATACAATCTTTCTCAGTAACTCGGATATCGCCTGGAAGATATGGTTCCTGGCAGAGCCTATCCGATAAGGAATGTCAGAGCCTAAGATGATGAACTCTTCCGCGATTGTCGTGACATAGACGCTCCAGAACTCTAGCACGATCAATGCTACCTCGTCATCCACGGCCACAGGGTCCGGATATTTGAGCAGATCATGGCAGATCACTAGCTTGATAGTCAGTAAAATGTTGCGAAGACCATCAGGATGGTGGGTACAATTGCTCACATAGAACCTGCTGGTGCTGTGGATTATCTGGCTCGCGATATAGCTTTTTAGATTCAACAAGCTCAGAAGCATATGCTACGATGATCCGCGCGAGAGACACAGTTTCGGCGTCACAATCCTTGAGAATATCCCTACCCCACTGGCTAGTGATTGCTGACCAGAGCATTTCCCGATGTCTATCCTCAAAGAATTTTGGATATGATTCAAGTACCTCAGCCACAAAATCCATTGCATCATCTACATGATATTCGAGACAAGAGAAGGCCAGCTCGTTGACTGAGCGAAGATACTTCAGCTTCTCCGGGAATGCCTTGAATTCGGATTGCGCGTAGAATATCCAGCCCTAGCTTGATTAGTCCGCATTACACATTGACCGACGGGCAACTTACCACAAAGCATTTCAGGGACGCTCCACAAAGCTGTTCGCCCAGCGCGGACATATCTTTTTCTTGAGATTCACTGTGCAAAGTAGCAAGGTATTTGATACCTCGCCCGAAAGAAACTTGAAGCAGAACCTCGATGCTTTCAACATTGAGAAACATACGCTCGTGGGGAGTCCTGTCGGGCGCATTGGACAGCTTCTTGGTCTCATCTGCCAAATTCATAGCGAAATCGAGTAAGATGAGCAGTTGCTCATCGGGCAACTGAGGAAGGACATCCCAAGTAGAAGGGCGACTGTCGAGCCCTTCGTCTAATACTGGTTGCTGTAATGCGAACGATACCGCCAGACTGCGTATGCAATTGGTCCATGAGGAAATAGGCTTGGTGAATAATTGGGCGAGTGTGGAAGAAAGTTTCCGAGTGGACGGGGACGCCCGGGGGTGAGTGACGAGGTGTTGGATGAGTTTGGAGAGGAGTTGACGACCCTCTACCTCGGTAAGTCCAGCAGAATCCGCATTGAGCTTGATAGTGAGAGTTATGGCTCCGAAGAAGCGAACATTCTCGTCGGTGCTGTTCAACAAAGCATCGCCGATCTCCCAACCCTGGGGCGAGCGCTGCAGCACGCGCAATGTGGCTTCGGTCTCGGTAATCTTCTTTGCGTTTCCAGGATCGTACATAGTCTTGACCAACTTCTCTATCTCTTCCAGACTAAAGGGAATCTCTGGGCCCGAAAGGACAGAAGTTTCGGCCATGGTATCTGGATGTATTGCGCGAGAAATGAGGGCTGTTGGTGTTGACTAAGTATGGTGTGGGGGGTGTCGTGCAAGAGGGATGGATCTAGATTTGCCAGAGGGAACCAGGTCCAGATTGGTGCCCGATGGAGGTAATATGATTTGCCACGTCGAGCATGAGGTTATTAAGAGAGGGGTGTTTTTTTTTTTTCTGTTTGAAGATCTCGTAGAAGAGCTTGGCGCAGGGTTTAATGTGAAGTTGAGAAAAATGCGAAGTGGCGTTGTGTTGTCGTTAGTCCCACACGGCAAGCCAATACTTGCAACCTGGCTCTCGACACAACATGCAGTAGAGTGATGCAGCCACGATGGCAAGTAATTGTAGGAATTTGCAGATAGTGATAGCGGCAGCCAGCTCGAGTGAGAAGTAGGTGGGTCCCGGGTCAAGGCAGTACGGCGGCACAGCTATAAATTTGCATGGAGCAAGACCTGAGGCGGTCGGCGAGGGCGATGGCCTGCAGGATTCAATGTGCTCGTCCCTCGCGGTTAGGTGGTGTTTGTCTGCTTGTTGGATGGGGTAGCAAGATGGGATTGATGCTCGGCAAGGCAGAGAGGGTAACTGTTGCCTTCCCCCGGGAGGTTAGCGTAGCTCGAGCCGCAGTCGACTCGGCCAGTCCATTGGCGGCTCCATCGCGGGGGGGAGAAGAGCAGCTACCTAGTGCATATGCAAGCCGACACAAGACGAGATAGTCAGTCAGTCCCATTGATGATTCCCATTCATGCTCGCCTTCCGCTCTCTGACACGCACGACTTCTGCGGCCTATGTAGTCCGCAGCTCCTCTGCCGTCTTCAATAAATTCTTCCATTCTTCCCCCGTTCGATACGCCATTGATATGGACAAGGTCAACACCACCGAGCGGCTCGCGGAGCTCCGCAAGCTGATGAAGGAACGCTCCATCGATGTGTATAGTAAGATAGCCCATTCCGTTATTTCTTGCATGCCCCCATACCTGTTTGTTTACATGAAAACACCCCACACCCCTCTCCACCCATCTCTCCCAAAAAACAGTGTCGTCCAAGACTAACGGAACCCTAAAGTGATCCCTTCTGAAGACAGCCATCAGAGCGAGTACATTGCGCCCTGTGACGCCCGTAGAGGTACGGACAGAGAACCCCCGCTGCCGCCCGCACCCGATCCGCACCCGTACTGAGACGAAACAGCATACATAAGTGGCTTTACCGGTTCGGCAGGCTACGCTGTTGTCACCCATCAGAAGGCCGCCCTATCCACCGACGGTCGTTACTTCAACCAGGCTTCGAAACAGTTGGATTCCAATTGGGAATTGCTCAAGCAGGGCCTGCAGGATGTCCCCACAATTCAGGATTGGACTGCGGACCAGGTCGAGGGAGGTAAAGTCGTGGGTGTGGACCCAAGCGTAGTCACCGCAGCCGATGCACGCAGGCTCGCCGACAAAATCAAGAAGAAAGGTGGCGAGTACAAGGCCGTCGACCAGAATCTGATTGATCTGGTGTGGGGAAGCGAGAGACCGCCTCGACCGAACGAAAATGTCATTGTCCAGCCTCTCAAATTCTCTGGCAAGAGCTTCGCAGACAAAATCGAGGACATCAGGAAAGAGCTGGAGAAGAAGAAAAGCTTGGGCTTTGTCGTATCCATGCTTGATGAAGTTGCTTGGTTGTACAACCTCCGCGGCAATGAGTATGGGTCTTGTCCTTCTTAATGCAATCACAGCAACACTGACCGTACCTAGTATCCCCTATAACCCCGTCTTCTTCTCGTACGCTGTAGTCACTCCTACCACAGCCACTCTCTACGTGGACGATAGCAAGCTTCCATCCGATGTCAAAGAGCATCTCGGAGACAAAGTGACTATCCGGCCCTATGACGCCATCTTCGAAGATGTGACAGCTCTGAGCGCGGAATTGTTCAAAACGAACGAGGAATCGACCGAGAAAAAGAAGTTCCTGACATCTACTAGGGCATCTTGGGCCCTGAATAAGGCTCTCGGCGGTGAAGACCGTGTAGAGGAGGTTCGTAGCCCAATCGGGGACGCAAAGGCGGTCAAGAATGAGGTGGAGCTAGAGGGTATGCGACAGTGCCACATTCGTGACGGCGCAGCCCTCACTGAATACTTTGCCTGGTTGGAAGATCAATTGATCAACAAAGGAGCAACGCTTGATGAGGTTGATGGTGCTGACAAGCTCGAATCTATCCGTAGCAAACAGGATTTGTTCAAGGGGCTGTCTTTCGACACCATCTCTTCCACTGGTGCCAATGCCGCAATCATCCATTATAAGGTGAGTGATATGCATTCATGGCTCATTGGTGACTCGGTCTGACGAACCCGCTTCAGCCAGAAAAGGGTGCTTGCTCCATCATCGACCCCAAGGCAATCTACCTGTGCGACTCTGGTGGTCAGTATCAGGACGGCACAACAGATACCACACGAACACTTCATTTCGGCGAACCTTCTGAGATTGAGAAGACTGCCTACACACTCGTACTGAAAGGCAACATCGCGCTGGAGCGCTCAAAGTTTCCCAAAGGCACAACTGGTTTCGCTCTAGATGTGCTGGCTCGTCAGTTCTTATGGGCCGAGGGACTTGACTACCGACACGGCACTGGACACGGTGTGGGATCTTTTCTGAACGTGCATGAGGGTCCGATTGGTATTGGTACTCGTGTGCAATTCTCCGAAGTTCCCCTCGCGGTCGGTAATGTAGTCTCGGATGAGCCTGGCTACTATGAAGATGGCAAGTTCGGTATACGAATTGAAAACATGGTCATGGTCAAGGAGGTGGAGACGAAACACCAGTTCGGCGATAAGCCTTACTTGGGCTTTGAGCATGTTACATTGACACCTCATTGCAGAAAGCTGGTCGACTTCAGTTTGCTGACCGAGGACGAGAAATTTTTTATCAATGCGTACCACAAGGAGGTATTCGACAAGACAAGCAAGTTCTTCGAAAAGGACGAGTTGACTTTGACATGGTTGAAGCGGGAGACCGCGCCCTATTGATGATTATCGCTTGGATGCGAGGGAAAACACGCCCTGTTGATGATCACCGTCTGTGGTCATGAACGATTGCTCCCTAGCGTTCGTAATCAATCTGCAGGCAAGAGGTGGCATTGTACACATTTAGGATATGGGAATTGCGGCATTTCACGGCTGAACAGCATTTCAAGGTGCGTGGCATCTTCATTACTCGGGTTTGTTCGTTCAATTCCGTCCATCGTACATACCAGACATGATACCCTGTGAACCAACATGTTCCCGTGCCAATTTGTGTGATTGTGTGCCGTGTACCTGTTGAGCATGCACCTGTCATACGTATGCGGCTGTCCCCTACGTCTTCCCTATGGTACTCCTACTTCTTTTTGCCGTGGCACAGGAAGCACAAGAGAATGGTGTAGCAGAAAGAGATTGGTGGGACGGCATGAGTGGCACTGCATTCGATCTTGGGTAGGGATGTAGTCGGAGTGATCGGACCTGGCTACTGACGGAACCATTCTCGAGTGTGGGGTGGGGTGGATTGTGCCCCGCCATCGTGCGCCGGTCTCGCCTCCGTCAGACCAGCCTCGATGGATGACTCTTTGCTATTCTGGCAGGTAAACGTTCGCATACAGACGGGATGCTTACATATGTACGATCAAACCGGCGGCATAGTGGGCATGGACTTGGTCCCTTGGCCCACTCATTTTTTTTCGTCCTGTCATAGTTAATGCCCGATTCCTCTCTCTCTTATATTGTTTCCTTGCCATCCTATTCAATCACCTTCTCTCCATACATATTCTGCTTTACTTGCACTTCAATTGCCACCTGACCTGAGGCTATTGTGGTTCCCCTTCAATCCTTTATTACCTTCCCTCCAAAAGAGCAAAGACAATACACAATGGCACCTGAACTCCCCCCGACCAACGGCCAAAAGAATGAGCAAAATGGCAAGAACAACTTCGCCGTCAAGGCAGGATTGGCCAAGATGTTGAAGGGTGGAGTGATCATGGACGTGATCAATGCTGAGCAGGTGCAGTTCCCTACCTTTTCCTCCCATGACTGTTCACTGTCGAGGCCATGCGAGCTAACAGAATGATGAATAGGCCCGTATAGCAGAAGAAGCCGGAGCCGTGGCCGTCATGGCCCTCGAGCGTGTCCCCGCAGATATCCGAGCACAAGGCGGCGTGGCACGCATGAGCGATCCCCAAATGATCAAGGAGATCATGGACGCCGTCACGATACCAGTCATGGCCAAGGCGAGAATCGGACACTTTGTCGAGTGCCAGGTACGTTCGTTCACTCACAATGACACGACTCCACAGAAAGGAGAAGAGAAATATCAGAAAGCTGACTGGGAAACACGGCATCTACTCTTAGATCCTCGAAGCCCTCGGCGTAGACTACATCGACGAGTCCGAAGTCCTGACCCCGGCCGACGCCGTGCACCACGTCTCCAAGCACCCCTTCAAGATCCCCTTCGTGTGCGGATGCCGCAACCTAGGCGAGGCTCTACGCCGCATCTCCGAGGGCGCGGCCATGATCCGCACCAAAGGCGAAGCCGGGACTGGTGACGTCATCGAGGCAGTGCGCCACATGCGCACCGTCAACGCGGAGATTGCTCGCGCGGGCTCCATGTCCGACGAGGAGCTGCGCGTGTATGCAAAGGATATCCAGGCCGACTTTTCGCTGCTCAAGGAGGCGGCTCAGTTGGGCAGACTGCCTGTGGTCAACTTTGCGGCTGGCGGTGTTGCGACGCCTGCTGATGCTGCGCTGATGATGCAGTTGGGTTGCGATGGTGTGTTTGTGGGCTCTGGCATCTTCAAGAGCGGCGATGCGGCCAAGAGGGCGAAGGCTATTGTGCAGGCAGTCACGCACTACAAGGATCCCAAGACCTTGATGGAGGTTTCTATGAACCTAGGAGAAGCCATGGTGGGCATCAACTGTGGCAAGATGGATGAAAGCGAGAAGCTTGCTAAGAGAGGATGGTAGAGGGGAGGAATGCAAAGGTGTAAATATTCAAGGCGACTGTTCAGGTGCATATGGCGTTTCAACACAGGTGATGTACATGTACATAGGGGCCTATCACAGCTTCAATAATGCTTCAAACCCAGAATTCCACTCTTCACGGGAAACGTCGAATAGACAGAGAAACCATGTGCGCATGTGAAGGGTCAGTGTTGATGACTGTGATGCATGATGTATGATGCATGATTCATTATTCACGTCCTGCAAGACACCAGATAGGAAGCCGAATGTATGGTGTTTTGATGCTTTTATCCTATCCTGTAGAATTATCGACCGGCTACCTGTATATCGGTACCGAGTCCAGCCACTCAGTTCAGCAACCCTTTCCCACATGCCGTGCGAGCCGTTGTCCCAATACGGGAAGAAAAGTAGGGCCTGCGGAACGAGATCATAAAGCAAACCCCGAACACCAGGGGAGTGAACCACTCCGTCATGAACCGTAAGAAGCCGCCCATGCATTACCGTGCATCATGTCGTGGTAAGCAAGACGCGGGCAAGAAAAGCTGAAGCCAGCAAATCGAAACAGAGGGAGCGCTTAGCGGTCCTCGGCCCACTCGTTCTCCCGGCGAATCTGGTCCTCCTCCTCTGGGGTGAAGTCGTTCTGGATGTTAAACGTCTTGCGGATCTCGTCGGGGGACTTGCCCTTGATCATGTTGGCTACAGTCTTGCAACCGACATCGAGGAGGGCCTTGATATCGAGGTAGTTGGCGGCCTGCAGGATAGTTAGTATGTATGGCTTCTAAGGATTCGCGGGGTACAACATACGAGGATGATCTCGAACAGCATCTCCTGGTCCACTTGCATGAACTTCTGGTCCCACTCATCGATATCGGTGGACTTCTTGCGCGAGTCCGAGTCGTCATCTTGGGAAGCAGGGGGGTCCTTGCGGTGGTGCTCGCACCACTCGAGGACCTTCTTCATGACGGCCTCATTGACCTAGGATGATATTAGCGACGGTTGGCTTGGTTGGCCAGACGGGCGGAACGCTTACGTTGGGGATGGGGATCTCTTCCCCGCTCTCACCACCAAGATCCTCGAGCAAGTTCTTGATCAGGATTGACCGCTCGGCGACCTCGCGATCAACCTTGATATTTTGGTTGTCGCTGGTTTGGAGGGTGACAGTCTTAGCTTCTTCGGCCATTGTGTGTGATGGAAATGTGGATGGTGTCTGTAGGAGCGGTGGACAAGGTGGTGCGGGGTGGGACGGGAATCGAGTATGGGTTGACGGTGTGGGTGGTTACGGTGGTGTGAAGATAATGGAGACGGACGTGGAGGGCGGGCAGCTCGACTATATATATGTGGCTGAGCGTTTGCAGGTGCGTGCTTGTGGTGAAGGAGGAAAGCAAGCGGCGAACAACCGCAAGGTGAGAGCGGGACTGCCTGCCTGCTGCGCCAACGAACGACGGTGAATTACAGGTCGCGAAGCCCGAACGGGCGTAGCTCAGGCTGCAGTCTTTGAGTGTACCACCACTCGCTCTCTATTGTTAGAGAACAGCAGCGCTCGCTCTGTTGCAAACAGAATTGTTTTCCCCTCTGTTGTGGGTCGAATTCATTAAGTCTTTTTCGTCTTTTCTGACGAGTAGTTCTTCACGTCTAATCAATTTTGGGTCGATGTGATATAGATGATTGTCTTTTCAAGATCCTACAGAGATGCATGCATGTGTGCACCGCCAGGCAGACAGGGCGGTGGATTGACGCAATTGCCGGATTTGGATCCTTTCAGGCAGCGATTATGGACTACATAATACAGATAGGTATGTACACACTCGAGGGCAAGGCAGCAAGGGCGGTCGATCTAGTGATCTATCTGTGCGTTATGTACAGTACATGTACGATTGGTGTTCCACGGTTGCGCGGACTGATTGCCACGCGCACGTGACTATGGATGAGTCATCACGCGCGTGCGGCTTGTGACTGTGAGACTCTGGCCGCATCGAGCGTGCGAGTGAGTGCTGCTTGCGGCTGAATTCCAGTCCATCTATCCCGCTGAGCCAGTTGGTTGTTTTTACGTGTGCAGCACTGACAGCAGTACGACTTCAGGCCATGTAGCCCCAGTGACTGTCCTCTCACTCATGTATCCTCGCTCGCCCAACCCTCAAAAAGAAAAATCATAAGATCTACATGCCCCCCCCCTTATCCTCTCCTGGCTTATTCTATCCACATGGTCGCTGCACCGCGAGAGGAGCACGCGAGATTGGACTGCTTGACTGACGGACTGACTCCTGTTTGATCACGCTTAACACTCCACCAGCAGGCCCAACATTAATAAACCTTGAACCTGTCTGCTCGTCACTACTGCCCGTCTAGACACCCAACACCTGCAGTCTGGACGACAGACATGCTGCGCGCCCCGTCCCTTCTACACAGGCACTCCCGACTGTCGCGATCATGTACCGCAGAAGCTACTTCTTGCTGATTCTTGTGCGCATCTACTTTGCCTTGTCGCCGAGTTACCTGCACCCCGACGAGAACTTCCAGGGCCCCGAGGTCATAGCAGGTCGCGTCTTCTCGTATCCCGTTCACCAAACATGGGAATTCACCTCTGCCCATCCCATCCGGAGCACGTTCCCTCTATGGCTTGCGTACGGCTGGCCAATGTACATACTGCGCTGGCTGTGGGAGGGTCTGGGCTATCATGATGTGTCGCCGGCACTTGTATACTGGACGCTGCGGGTGCTGATGCTATCGCTGAGCGTGGTGCTGGAGGACTGGGCTATCCAGGAGTTGGTACAGTCACGGCGCGCCCGGCGCGTCGCACTGTTGTTGATCGCGTCTTCTTACGTGACCTGGACGTTTCAAACGCATACCTTCTCCAACAGCCTGGAGACGCTGGTGGTGAGCTGGAGCCTGGTGTTGATCCAACGCATCGTTGAAGACAAGGTACGTACTGGCGCAAACATGGATTGGCTTGGTCTTCGGAATGCCTTCCGATCCTTGGATCCGCGTACACTCCCGCCGCTTCGGAGCACCTCAACTAATGCGCACTCAGAAACGCACTGGTATTCTCGCTTCTTCATTGCTTGGGTTCCTGGTCGTCGCCGGTACCTTCAATCGTATAACCTTCCCGGCATACCTCCTCGTTCCTTCTTGCACCTTGCTGCCGCATTTTTGGCGAAAGTAAGTTGCCATCACTACCATTTCTTCATACTTGCACGCGTACGATCTTGACGGATGCTAATGCCCGTAACAGGCCTCTCTCGTTCCTCTCACTCGTCCTCTTCGCTGCTCTGACTGCATTGATCGCCATCGGCGTTGATACGACCTTCTATTCTCCCGGCGAGCTTACATATTCAGACATCTTCCACAATCCCGTCATCACGCCTCTCAACAACTTCCTCTATAATTCTGACTCGGCGAACCTTGCCCAACATGGCATCCACCCTCGCTACCAACATTTCCTTGTCAATCTCCCGCAGCTGCTCGGTCCGGCCATGGCCCTTCTCTTCTTTCTGCACCGCCCCGACTTCGCGACCCCGACCCTCGTTTCCGCATTCTCGGGCATCGCCCTCCTGAGCATATTTCCGCACCAGGAAGCTCGCTTTCTTCTCCCCGCGGTGCCGCTCATTCTTGCCTCTGTCCGCCTACCTCAAGTGCAGGTCAAGTTTTGGATATCGATTTGGATATTTTTCAATGTCCTGCTGGGCATACTCATGGGCATATATCACCAAGGTGGTATAGTGCCGGTTCAGATTCACCTGGCAAAATCCAATGAAACCGTTTCTCGGGCATTCTGGTGGAAAACATACAGCCCCCCAACATGGTTACTCAATGGGAAAAACGAGGAGTTGGAGACAATTGATCTTATGGGTATGAAGGGCGACAAGATGATTGCCCAGCTCAAGGATGCACTGCCATCTTGTAAAACAAGGACATCCGCCAAGGTCGTCAAGGGGTCAACTTATCTCGTTGCGCCACGCTCAGCATACTTCTTACTACCATACGTATCCATCACTGAGCGCGATGAGATATCACTCGAGGAAGTATGGAGCTATACTCGGCACTTGAACCTCGATGACATGGACTTTGCCGAAGATGGGTTCTGGAAAACAATGGGAAGGGTCGTTGGAGATCGAGGCCTTGTGGTGTATAATGCCACGCGGAATTGCTAAGCCGAGTATCAAGTTCGACACTGGTCGGTTGGCAAACTCGTTTTTTCTTCTTGTTAATCTGAGCGAGCGTGTACCGTTGCTTGGAATTTTTTCTACTTCTCTGGAGAAAATATGATACCCTCTTTGTTTATATATATATTTTCGTAATGGTAATACAAAAGTAAACAACTATCGTACATGCTATTGCTTCAACCTGGTCGTGCTCCTGGTATCATGCTTTGATCGTACAGCTCACCTACATCAATGAACATTTATGTTTACAAGGCTCCACCCAATACTCGTACAATCCACATGCTCAACCTTACACTCATACTCACATTTCTCTCAGGCTTTTCAAACTCCTTTTCATCCACCGGTTTCGCATGCTCGCCCAACCACTTAACCTCCTCACCCAAACGCCTTCGAAGGCCTGGATCCGAAGTAGCAATAACCACATTCGCCTCGAGGTCAAGCTCATACGATCGTTTCGTATAATTGCTCGACCCAATCACCGTAAGACTCGGGTCCTCTCCTTCCCCCTCGCCAACTTTCTGCTGATCCGACGACGACGAAGAAGAAGAGGAAGGAGGGAAAGTAACCCACAGCCCCTTGGCGTGATATGTCCATCCGCCCTCCTCGCCAACCATGCCCTTCTTCCACTCCCGCAACTGCACAGAATCGGACAGGCCCTCGTACCGCACGCGTCGTAGGAACATTTTAGCTAGGTGCGTGTACGCGTCTGGTAGCATGCCGCTGACGCCTTTGGAGCCGAAGAAGCCGTTGGCATGTGGGTGCGCGGTGAGTACGGTCCCGGATGCTGGGCGCGTGCTGAGAAGAAGGCGGCGGAAGGAGGGTGTCATGTTGAAGTAGCCTGCGGTAAAGGTCCATGTGCTGGGGTGCAGCGGTGCGCGGGAGAGGGATTGTAGGATGTGGGTCAGGGCTGGGAGTTCGGTCGAGGTTGAGAGTAAGGGGACGAGGGAGAGGATGGGGTAAATTGTTGTTGTCGTTGACGTAGAAGATGTCGCTGATGGTGGGGAGTTGGAGGGGGTTAGGAGATGGGAGAGATGTTTCGAGGCGGATTTTTTGAACGAGGAAGGGGAGGTAAGGGGGGATAGGCCTTGGTTCGTTGTTGGCCAAGTCATTGTGTATCCGGCTTCGGTGTCGGGAGCTGGGGATATGTTAAAGCTGAGATCACATACGCCGCTGTGGATTTTGCTGAAGTAGTCGGCCAGCTCTTTGGAGCGGAACAAATGGTATCGGTCCTGTCGGTTGGTGAAGTAGTCGCTGGAAAGATTCGCTCCGGACATGATGATCTCGTCGTCGACGCCATACAATTTCATGTGTTGAAGTCCCCAACCTTCATTGATTCGTTTGGGGATAACTTTCTTTCGCAATCCGGTTAGGTTGGGTGTATGGAACATACGGATTTCGACCCGGTCTGAACCAAATTCGGAGATGAGTGGTGCCAGAAGCGACGCAGATGATGCTGCAGGAGTCTCGCGTGTGCCGCGAAGGGCATCTGTGAGGAAGGAGACATGAAGATTAGGGTTGTGTTGAAGTGCCGTGCGGATCGTGGAGATTAGCTCGTGTTCTGTTTTGCCGATGTATAGTGTACTGAGATATATGCGAGACTGGGCTTTGGAAATTTTTTCCTGATTCATGATGTCAGGTCAAAATTGATAGATGAAGTCAAGCTGTGTCCTGAGATCGTGAAAGCACGTGGATCGTGCATATCGGCCATGAACACATCTTTAGGGCACGTACCTTGAGTGTCTCATAGAACTCGGAAGGGGTTCGAAGAATTTCGATTTGCTCGGGTTGTACCTCGAACCTGGGCGCAATCCTGTCCAGATCGGTTGTTATGGTAGCAAGCATAGATGCTTGAGATTGGGTTCCTGATGTAGCTGGCGGAGGTGCATTTGCTGTTGAGAATCTCCTTGTTTTTGCAAAAGACTGAGGGGGCACTCGGTTTCCTCCTTTTAATGAACTCAAAGGTCCTCTTGCTCGTATCAAGCTCCGTCGTATCATAATTATCTGATATTCCTTTTCTATGTGAATGCCATGTACACAATCTCCTGAAGATTTGGTGGTTGATAGTTATGCGCTAGTCTCTTTTTGTCAAAACTTGGCATACGAGGTTCAAGCGCGACACAGCTCCAGCGACCACACATCTGCAACCCCGCCGTCATGTCGACTCTCCTCAGGACGCTGCGGAATCTCCGCAAGATTGGATTTAAGGTGAGTCTCTCTTGCAGCTTCCCCGCGTTTCTGACAGCTAATTGACTCGATTTCGTAGGAATATGGCCACCAACTTCAGGTACTTCCCCGTCCGCTCTTACACCAAGTCCGCCGCTGCCGCCGCTAACCAGCGCCCTTGGAACTGTAGTATATCGGTATGCTTCACATACAACCCTATACAGCTGGTATAGGTTGGGGGGTTAACACGGCGTAGGCGATACCAAAGCCGGAACGATGATCGGCATTGACAAGTACGGCAACAAGTACTACGAGAACTTGGCAGAGGAGCTCCCATGTGAGTGTCTATGGACTGAGGGTATACTGGAACACATGATTGACTCAATTGGCCAGTGAGAACACGATGGGTGGACTACAAAGACCATGAATACGATCCGTGAGTTTTACAAGTTGTATATACTAGGGCGGTTTACTAACAGCTTGCAGCTCGCAAATCGAGCCTGGATGGTACGAAAATACGCAGAAATGGCGCTGGGATTAGACTCTAACTTCTACAGGCACGCGTGGATGTCCTATACGGTCGACAAAGCACCTTCTCATGACCCAATTCTTGGAAGGGAAGTACGGGTTTGGGAACCCAAGGAGCACCGACCTACTCTGACTTGGAGCCGATCTGGATACAAGCCGTACTCGACGTAAGTCATATTGGTTTGCTGAAGAGATGGTTGGATGCTAACGAAAGCAGGGTCAAAAGCAAGACCACGGCATGGACGCCTGTGACAAAGGCCCGACAGTAGACGCAATTTTCATTTGTCAGTCCTTGTACATAGCTAATAAAGAATTCGGGTGTGTTTTCTTTGGCGCTACAAGTTCAATCTACACAAAACACAATGTTGGTGAGGTTGCACAGTGACACCAGGAGTGATTGAGACGAGGGGATGTCGTGACCAAAACAGCACACAAGGTACCTACGAGCGGAGATGGCTGGCTGACTCGGTCGATGACTCCAACAAGTCATGCGAAGAGCGAGTGATGATGGCTCAACAGTATGTGAGGATTGGCTGCAGGACAGTAGAGAGGTATAGGGTGGCATGGAGAGGTCGGGTTGGTCGGGATCGGCAGTGGATAAAAGAGCGGTGGGTGAGACTCGGAGAGGTACCCCGGATTACGGTATTATGTGCATAGCAAGCATACATAGGATATAGGCGCGCGAGTCGCCAAGGATGAAGGGGCAAGGCTCACGTGGACTGGATGAGAGAGCGACAATTGCACAGCAAGTATGTATGTATACATTGCTCACGATGTGGCCATGTTCCAGATGGATGGTGTGTTTTGGTGGTGGTTTGGAAGCAACAGGCAGAGGGACGAGATGATGCAGCCCCCCCACGCGAGAAGGGCGGGGAAATGTATGCAGCGTGTGCATATGTGCTGGTGGGATGTGGTGGATGCAATTGGCAGGGCAAACGAGTGGATCTGCCGAAGGTGCATGCAGCAGCAGCAGCAGCGGCGGTTGCGGGAAGAGGTGACTGAGGGCGGCGGTGGTGCAGGCCAGCCATGTGCGTGATGGAGCTAGCCAAACGGCCAGACTGGTTAACGAACCGTTACTGTCGTTACCACCGCCTTTCGCTCCGACTGTGCAAAGACGGGCTCGAAAGCGGTGAACAAAAAGAGGGCGATGCTAACGGAGTCGAGTGTCGTCGAGTGGGCCTACGATAAGCACAGGCGGAGCGAAGCAGGCATGAATTGCCATGTCTTCTCGTGAACGACCTGCCATCCTGGTCGACGTCGACGACCTACCTACAATAGAACAGTACTTATTACACACACACCACACTTCGCCATCACATGGGCAGTGTCATCTCCTTCTGGATGCACCATTCCCTCCCTTCCCGCTCGTTATTCTCTGTGACGCCATCTCTGCTCAGCATACCAAGTATTGCAACACCAAACGCTCCATCCCAACACTTGCTCGACACTGGAACCGTTGCGCCCACCTCCATCGTCCGAGGTGCCAACGCTCGGCTATCGAACCCAATCCCTCGGCGACATTACATCACGGTTCCTGTCCTGCCTGCCTGTCTGTCTGTCCCGTCCCGTCAGTGCGCCTGCGAGTGAGCTTGCTATACATTGCGACCTCCCCTCTCCCCTCCCTTCCGTGTTCCCCCCCCCAGTCGCGCAGTCAAAGCTAGATGGAAGCTTAGTCCGTGGTGCAGTAACTACCAACTTTACACGTGCTGCATGTTCCATTTCTCTGCCCGTGCCTGCGCCGTCTGATTGCAAGTGCGAGCAAAGGGTTCCTGGTCTGTTTGCCGGAACTCGGGCACTGAGAAAAGCGCAAAGCGACCGTTGGGATTTCTGCTGCTAGCTAGCTCTGCCTTCGTGCTTGCTTGCTTTGATTTCCCATTGCCACCGCCGTCATTTGGTCGCCGCCGCCGCCTCGACTTTCAAACATTCGTGCTTGCTTGCTTCATTGTTGGCTCAGATGCTACTTCGTTGACGCCACCACCCTGTAACCAACCACCAGCCTGTCAATCTCCTCCCGCCCATCAGAGTCGACCTCAGCGCCACGCCCACAACGGGCTTCTCTGTGCTGCTTGGAGCATGTTCGCCCACTGCAAAACCCCCGTTTGGGGTCGGGACGACTTCTCTCCTTGCTTCGAACTGGAGTGAGTATATATTCCTGGTCACCATCGTCTATTGCCCTTGCCCGGCCTGCTATTCGACAAACATGCGCCAGCCCATGCTCTTGCAGATCCCAGTGCTAACTCTGCTTACAGCTATCTCCAAACATTATTTCCCCTCATCGTATGCGGAACTTCCCTCCTCTATCTTACTCTCCAACTCCTCCACTTAGTCAAGTCCACAAAGTACTACCACGCCTACTCCGTCCTCCAAGACCCGCTCAATGTCTGGTCAATACAGAGCCCCCAATATGACGGCGACGACACCGAGTCTGATGACGAGTTGGCTCACAACGAAGAGGTGGCGCTGCACCAGAGCATCACTCGCCGGTCCAGGTCTATCATGGCTGTGGATAGACCACGCGGCGAATTTACCGTCGTGGTTCTCGAAGAAACGGCCGTTATTGCCATGCTAGCTGTACACTTAGCCATCTACCTGACTGGAACTTGGGGCCATCGAGGCAGGATCGCTGCCATTGCGAATATCGCCGTCTGGACCTACATAGCTACCCTCACATCTCTGCGTCTACTATTTTCTGGCACCAGCAAGTGGTCTTTCCCAAAACTATGGTACCATACCGCTTTCATCTATGGCTTCCTCTGGTGTTTTCAGATTCTTCTCTTGCGCACCTCCATCATACATCCGCGGTCCGATCTACACCAGAAACTTGCCATTGCTGCCTTCGTACTCAACTCCGTTCTTTTGGTAATCGCATTGGGCTCTAGGAAGGGCAACAAAGCTGTCGAACTGGAATATGAAGGCGAGATTGAGCCCGCCCGGGAGCCAGTCGCTAGCGTTTTCTCTCTCGCAACCTTCTCGTGGGTGGATCCCATTGTGTGGAAAGGCTACCAGAAAACATACGAACTTTCTGATGTATGGAACTTGGCGCCCAATGATAAATCAGCCGCTGTCCTTGCCAACTATCGTCAAGTGAAAAAGACTTCCGCATTGGCTTTCCATCTTCTCAAGCATTTCAAGAGGGGCCTGCTTCTTCAGGCTGCTTGGGCAGCCATGTCCGGTGTTTTAACTTTTGCTCCGACCATGCTCTTGAAAGCCATTCTAGAATACGTGGAAAGACCCGATTTCACGCCTCGAAACGCGGCATGGTTTTACGTTATACTCCTATTCGTTTCCGGATGCTTGTCGGCACTCGCTGACGGTCAGGCCTTGTGGATTGGTCGGAAGATCTGCATTCGCCTTCGCGCAGTCATTATAGGTGAAATTTATGCAAAGGCACTGAAGAGGAGGGCTGCCGCTGGTGCTGATAAAGTCCTGGGCGAAGAGAAGAAGAAGCCGCAAAACGAGCAGCGGCCAGGTCCAATGAAACGGATGATGACGTTTGGCCGCAAAAAGAAGAAGGCAGTGGAAGATCCAAAGGAAGAAGTGCAAAAGGCCGAGTCTGAATCACAGGTCACCACGGGCGCAATTATAAATTTGATGGCAGTAGACGCTTTCAAAGTCAGCGAAATCAGCGCATACCTTCATTTCCTCTGGGCAAACACTCCTGTGCAGGTATTGCTGGCCGTGGTTCTGCTATATCAGATTCTCGGCTACAGTTCGGTTGCTGGCATTGGAATGATGATCTTCCTCCTTCCCATCAACCTGTATGTGTCGAAGCAGTTTGCCAAGATCCAGAAATTGATCCTCGCGGCTACTGATGCCCGGATCCATTCAACAAACGAGGTCCTCACTAACATCCGCATCATCAAATACTTTGCTTGGGAGCAGCGCTTCATTGGTATTGTCAACGACAAACGGTATACTGAATTGAAACACCTTAGGCAGCGATACATTCTTTGGGCGATAGCAGCGACCATCTGGTCTGGTTCTCCAGTCCTCATCACCTTTCTCTCATTTTTTGTATACACCAACGTCGAAAAGAAGGATCTCATTCCTTCTGTCGCCTTCACCGCTCTCTCTCTGTTCCAAATCCTAAGGATTCCTCTGGATCAACTTGCAGATATGGTCGCGCATGTTCAGGAATCCAAGGTTTCCGTTGACCGTATCGAAGAATACTTGAGCGAACCCGAGACCGACAAGTACGTACAACTCGTCACCCACAAGAAAGATGAAGATGGCCAGCCCGTTATCGGATTTGAGCAAGGTATTTTCAGCTGGGGCGGTAAAGACATGACCGACAAGACGTCTGCTGATGCCTTCAAACTCATGGATCTCAATCTCCGCTTTAAAGTAGGGGGTCTGAATGTGGTGGTGGGCCCTACAGGATCTGGAAAAACCTCATTGCTCATGGCACTGCTAGGAGAGATGACGAAGCTGAAAGGAGATGTTTACTTACCGGGAGGAACTAGCCGGGAAGATTTGAAGCCCGATCCTGAGACCCAGCTCACCGAGAGTGTGGCCTATTGCGCCCAACAAGCTTGGCTTGTGAACGGTACCGTCAAGGACAACATTACGTTCGCCAGCAAATGGGATGCGAAACGATACAAGGATGTCATCGCAGCATGCTCACTGCGAAGGGATCTTGAAATTCTCGACGCAGGTGATCAGACTATCGTTGGCGAGAAGGGTGTGACGCTTTCTGGAGGCCAAAAACAGCGTATATCGCTTGCTCGCGCATTGTACAGCAAAGCTCGCCACGTACTTCTCGACGATGTGCTCAGCGCGGTCGACTCTCACACCGCCAAATGGATTTTCGATCAAGCTTTGATGGGACCTCTCATGTCGAATCGCACCTGTATCTTGGTCACCCACAACGTCAGCCTGTGTCTACCCCAGGCTCAATTCGCTGTCGTCGTTGAGAACGGACGGGTGATGACGCAAGGCACTGCGAGCGAGGTCATCAGTTCCGGGAAATTATCTGAAGATTTGTCCAAGTCCCGACCTGCGTCTGCTGGTGCTTCTAGGGTGCCGTCACGCGGACCGTCAGATGCTGGTGACGGGGATGCAGATGGTGAAGTAAGCCATGCTAACGGTGGTACAAACGGCAACGCGAATGGCGTAGCTGACCCGAAGAAGAACCCGGCAAGTAACACAATGGACGAGACCAAAGCTGAAGGCGGTGTCAAGTTTAGCATCATTCTTATGTACCTGCGAGCTATGGGTCCTTGGTACTACTGGATTGGGGCAGCTATCTGCTTTGCTGCACAACAGGTCTCCTCCGTTTCTACCAATGTCTGGATTCGAACTTGGGCCAATGCGTACGCCGATAGGAACGTTCAGTACATGGGTGTTAACAACCGATCCCCTGTCACCCATGCCCCAACAATCAACGGGCTCGGCACTTGTATGAAGAGTGGAACATGCAGCTGGAACCTTCCATTTTTTGAGCAACAACAAGCTCAACGTGATTACCATTATGGCGCTCAGACCACATTTTCCACGTCAAAGTCTGATGTCGATTCGGGTTATTTCCTGGGTGTCTATGCGGTTCTAGGAGTTGTCTTCATGTTCATCACATTTCTCCGCGAGGGCTTCCTATTCGGCGGTTCGCTTGCAGCCTCAAGACGGATACATGAGCGACTCATTCAAAAGGTCACCCATGCTAAATTCCGGTTCTTCGATCAAACTCCTCTGGGTCAGCTTATGAATCGTTTTTCAAAAGACATCGAGGCTGTTGATCAAGAGGTAAGCTACCAATCATTTCTCTCTAGCACCCGAATAATTCTGCTAACTCACTATGTCAGGTTGCCCCAGTAGCGATCGGCGTTGTACATTGCCTTGCATCCATCGTCACAATTGTAATACTTATTTCGGTCATTACACCCGGCTTTCTCATTGCTGGCTTCTTCATTACCATACTTTACGCATTGATTGGACGATTCTACATCAATTCATCCCGGGATTTGAAACGTCTGGAATCAGTCCACAGGAGTCCCTTGTACCAGCAATTCGGCGAAACACTTTCGGGTATGACTACCATCCGAGCTTATGGTGACGAGAGGAGATTTATCCGCGAGAATCTTACCAAGATTAATACTCAACACCGTCCCTTCATCTACCTGTGGGCCGCTAACAGGTGGCTTGCTTTCCGTGTGGATGCTGTCGGTGCGCTGGTATCATTCTTCGCAGGCGTGTTTGTCGTGCGTTCAGTAGGATATATCGATGCTGGCGCAGCTGGTCTAGCACTTACGTACGCCGTGACATTCACTGAGAACGTCTTGTGGTTTGTCCGCTTGTACTCTGCAAATGAACAGAACATGAACTCTGTGGAGCGAGTCAAAGAATACTTGGATGTCGATCAAGAAGCCGCACCAGTCATTTCCGAAAACCGACCACCGTCGAACTGGCCAAGTCATGGATCCGTGGAATTTATTGGGTACTCTACTCGATACAGGCCAGACTTCGACCAGGTATTGAAGAATATCACTTTCAAAATCCTACCTGGGGAGAAAGTTGGCGTGGTTGGTCGAACAGGTGCTGGCAAGAGTTCGCTTGCTCTGGCGCTTTTCCGTGCTTTAGAAGCTGAAAATGGCAAGATCCTTGTCGATGACATTGATGTAGGCTTGATTGGCCTGCAAGACTTGCGTGAGAACATTGTTATGGTTCCCCAAGACCCAACACTGTTCACGGGGACAATTCGCAGCAACCTGGATCCTTTCGGGCTTTTCACGGACGAGGAAATATTCACAGCATTACGCGAAGTGCATCTAGTTACCTCCGTATCCGCTGCTACATCAGGAACCGCGACCCCGGCAGGACCTAGCTCACCACGAGCAGTCGAAATCCCGAATCCCACATCTAACGCTGTAGTTATGGATCTTGCAGGTAGCTATCAACCATCGACTACAAACCCACGCTCAATTCTTGCCGACCGAACTCCAGAAGCTGTGCTTGACATGCCAGATGCTAGTGCAGCCGGCACGGATGAGCAAGCAGCGCTGCACGCCGACAACAAGAACCCGTTCCGCAATCTCAGCTCCCCCGTTTCGGAATCCGGATCCAATCTGTCCCAAGGTCAACGCCAACTCCTCTGTCTTGCTCGCGCACTCCTCAAACACCCCAAAGTCCTCCTCATGGACGAGGCTACCGCTTCCATCGATTATGCTACGGATGCCAAGATTCAGGAGACGATCCGCGAAATCAAAAATACGACAATCACCATTGCCCATCGCTTACAAACTATCATCGACTACGACAAAGTGCTCGTCTTGGATCAGGGCGAGGTCATTGAATTTGGTGATCCTTTCGACCTTGTCAGCAAGGACGGAGGTAGCTTCAGGGGCATGTGCGAGATGAGCGGGGAATTAGATGCGCTCGTCGTCGAAGCGAAGAAGGCGCACGATGCGAGAAAACAGTAGACGGTGAGGTGGGTATGTTGTTTGCATAGACTCAGTTCATTTATTTATCTTGTTGAAGAACAGTGTGCATGTGTGTGTGTGGGAGGGCGGTGCTAAACATGTTTGTTCGATAGACAGCGTGCATACAGGCATTTTTTTTCTTTTCGTCAAGGGGGGTAGGAGGAAAGGGGCGGTTGTCTGGGGGTCACATATTCAAGAAACCCCACTGCTTTTTTTCTGTTCGTTTTTTTTTCGTTTGTTCATTAATCACCAACCAGCATATTCTACCGTCTCCTCGGAGGTCATATCCACACCTTCTGGTTCTTTTTCTCTCCTTCCTGTATCATGGGGGTTGATAGGCGGTCTTTTGCTTACTTCTCCCTTTTTCTTTTCTCGCGATGTGCAAGTTCTTTCATGTGATTGGTTAAGTTGGCAAGTGAGTTTAGTAAGTAAGTAGATAGAACGTAGAAAAGAGGGCAACAAGGCGGAAAAGGCTGAGGGGTTGATGAGAAAAAATGGGTGCGGCTACTGCTAAAGAGAAGAGTAAGATTGTGTATATTATCATTTCATTACATTACATACGTAGCAATCAGTATGCATTGTTAGCTTCTGTGATATCTGTGGTTTCTTTGCTGTTGTTGTATTTTCCCCCCAGTTTAGTAGGATTGATCAAATGCCTTTTGTTTTAGCAGTGCCGCTGATATATGTACACGTATCAATTTTGGCGGGCACTGAGAGGCCTGACTGAAAGTTTCGGAATTGAGAAATGGGCAGCAACTCATAGACCTACTTGATTTGATAAGACATCTTTGGCTTTGTAATGCATGCGAATTCTTGATCAAATGTTATGTCTTTTCGGATCCTTCTTCGTTCGTTCACAGCTTGATGTTGAGAGGAGCCCACGATCCCCGAGGATTGCAAGAAGTGATTGAGAAAAGAATGTGAGAAGGTGCTTTATTAGTATTAGCTCGCAAAGAGCACTTACGTCACCGAGAAAAGGAAGTTGTGCTCATCAGTTCATGTCATTCGCGTTAAATTGGAAACTGCCGTTTCTCATACATCATATGCTTTTCTCGATGGCGTCTGCTCACAAACTACAAAACGTTCGTGACCCATATTCCAACGCTTCTCACCCTTCCAGATCGTATAATAAACATCCACCTGTCCTGAAATTGTAGACAAAAGCCTTCCCACCCCCTTCTCCACTCTTGGCCGACCCTTCCTTGACCACTTTCTTCCAGTTCGTCGCATAGCCTAGCAAGAGATCGTGCAGTTCCTGGAGATATTTGCGCTCGGCCATGGGTAGGCTCTGAATGGCTCGACGCCAGCTATCCGGATCGCTCAGTCTCGTTTCCCGGATGGAGTTCATGACCTCATCCTTGGCTTCGATGGCGGCTATAGGCGCCGAGTGAAATGTAGTGAGGAGGTCGAGCGACCGTGTCTGCGCTGCTTCAACAATGGACCATTTGTTGGTCTTCTTTGACCGGTGATGAGATATCAAGACATCGACGTTGGATTTGGTTGTTGTTGATGAGGATGAAGAGGAAGATGTATGTTGGCCCGCAGGGACCCATCTTCGTTGAGCGACGTTGCCTTCGCGTGCCTCACGATCTCGCCACTCATTGCGTAGATAGTTGAGCAGATCTGCACTCCGAAGGTCTGTGTCTTCTTTCTTTGTAATGCTCTTAACCTTGAGGTCTGGCTTGTCGGGAGCCACACCATGCTTGATGACAATGATCCAACTGTGGCGGTCGTCGCGGTAGTGTCGAAGCACGTCTTCGACCGAATGTGCATCGATGGATAGCTCGGCTGTATAACCGTGTGCCATAATCTCGGCAACCATTCTGATGCCTGCTGAGCGCAGCGTTGCAGGATCGAAGCTTGTGACCAGGCAGTCGCATCGTCGTGGCACCCACGATATGGCTGGTGTGTCTTCTTCGGCCTTGTTCTTGAGAAAGGCTGCTTTTTCGGGTTTTTTGATATAGCGCACCATGGAGTTGACGAGACGATCCCATCCAATATTTACCCCAACGCCATGATATGCTGCTGGCGGATGAGAATGCCCGGGACCTTTGGGCCGGTATTCCTCGATGAGTTTGTCGTACCTGCCTCCTGCAGCTAGGACCTCTTTTTGCTTCCCATCGAAAAGACATTGGAACAAAATCCCACCGCTGTAGAATTTCTCGTTGAAGCTTCCGAGGACGTTAATGTAAACTTTCCGTTTGACCCTCCAATGCTTCATGTAGCCCGCTACAGACGTCAGGTGGGCGAAGACAGCGTGAGTCTGGTCCAGATATTTTGTTCCTTCGAATATACGACGAAGTTTTGCGAATGCTTTTTCCGGGGAGTCCCTCCAATCGAAACGTGCCAGATCATCCAATGACGTCGATGACACACCGACCTCGGGTGCACGAAGTTCGTTACGGATCTTTTGGAAGTTAAACTTGTTGATGTTCAGCTTACTTAGAACCTCCTTGACTGCATGGCGTTGTGGAATACTGATTCTACAATAGTCGAGAACGATATTCAGGAGATCGGCATGGTTGAGGTGAAAGCACATCTGCGCAGATGAAAGAGAAGGGAATTCGTCGATCACTTCATCAACGACTTTGAGAACTTCAGCCTCTTTCAACGCTAGATCTAGCGTATCATAGGAAAGTATGTCGAAATCAGCCTCACCATTGCTACGTGGCGGCCCACCGTAGTTATCTCGATACACATGACCGATCGTGAAGGTCTTCTCCAAGAAGGAAGCACCTCGGCCTATACTACGCGCGTACGGCAACGTCAGATCATAGGGCAACTGGACAAGTGTACCAGATGGATCAAACAGTTTTACTACGTGGCTGTTTGCATAATGTTCAGACCACGGGAGGAGCAATTGTCGCTGCACCTCGACAGCACCATGCCCTCGGAAAATGACAGCAAGTCGCTCTTTCACCAGATTTTGGAGAAGAATATCGCTAGCTTTCATCGCCTGAGCATTGACCCCAGCACTCATGTCCCATGCGTGATCTTTTGCTTGGGTATCAGGTTTCTGTGAGAACAAAGCAGCCATCATCTTTGTATAGTGAGGTGAGTTGCGATCCGACAAAGCCTTGAGTGCTTCCTGCACAGCCTCGTGCTCGATCTGAACAGGCACTTGACCGCTCCTCAAGAGCTCTGCACAGCTCGGTCGCTCACTTGGACGATGACTGATCAGAGAAGTAATGATACTCCCTTGACGCGATTTTTCAGGCTTCTCGAATTCCTCTGGTAGCGAGTGTTTTCTCTCTCGCAATTGTCGTATGACATAATCTCGTTCCATTGCGGTCTTGAGAGGGAAGCACATCTCGAAGAAAATGATGCCCATCGAGTACATATCTACCTTGTCGTTGTAGTTGCCAACAACGTCTGAACGTAGCTCTGGTGCAACATATAACGCAGTTCCAATACTCCTAGTCATGTCACCATCGTTCTGCAAGCTGTTGTTTTTCTTGCGATCAGATCGTTGGTATTGACCACTGGTGGCTAGGCCGAAATCTCCTATCTTTGGTATTTTGGCGACATCGATAAAGATATTATCGGGCTTGAGGTCACGGTGAATTATCCCGTGACTGTGTATATGAGCAAGACCCTCCAATGTCTGCCGAAACAGTCTCCAATACTCCTCTGGATCGTCGTACAAATCTCTGCGAATCAAGTCGCGAAGAGTTTGCTTCTCGCAAAACTCCATTTGGATGTACAGAATGTTCCTGCTCGGCCGAGCGCGAGTGGCGTTAGAGCCAGTGCGTCTCTTCGCCAGGGGAGACCGTGGATTTGTGACATTTTCTTCGGTTTCTAAGTTCGTCAGCCAAAAGACCATCACGTGAATGATATGCTTACCTGAATCTGATCCAAAGACGATTGCGCCATCATTTTCGTTATCGGACTCCTCGTCAGAACCAAATTCAACCTTTGGGTATCCGCTCGAACTAATGAAATCGAGACCCCCTGTGCTCTGAGGAAAATCTTCACCACCAGTGTTCCGAGGCGATATATCCGATTCGATGTCAGATTCGTCCGTTTCAGATGCTCCGGAATCATCTTCTTCAGTCCCTGAAGGATGAGAAAACTCTTCCTCGGGCCATGCCGTGTAATAACGAACCACACATTGATGGTTCAAACGCGAGAGCAGCATGACTTCAGAGAGTACTTCAGTGAGTGCAGAAGCTGACTTCTGTTTTATCTTTTTGATGGCATAGAGGCGGCCATCGACTTTGTTCCGTGCTTTGACTACTTCTCCATAGCCACCTTTACCGAGGCGACCTTGTTCAACCCAATCGCTAGCGTACCTAGAGTATGCAGCACCTATACCGCCCGATGATTCCCGGCGTAGGCGATACCCTGTCAGCGATACTGAGGAATGTCTCGATCGAAATGGCGAAATTGGCTGATCGTATATGGGAACGTCATCCCTTAAGAACTCGCAAGGTATCAAATCAAACGCTGAGGGACGCTTCTTAGAATCAGGCTTGAAGAACTTGCGCAGAATTTCTTGTAAAGGTTCCGAACAACCACGAGCATCGGACAGATCTTTGGGGGAATTGTTCTTTTCTGGTACATCTAGACCAAATAACATTTGGAGGAAAGTGACACCAAGATCCCAAACATCAGACTTTCTCGACTGGCGAGAGTCTTGAGCCAATTCGGGGGCAATCCAAAAAGCTGACCTAGAAGTAGAAAATGGTTGCTCCCCTTGGCCCAAGTTTCTCAGGTTATGCAATGTATCTTGGAAACCGGCGTCGGCCAGTTTCACGAAGAGTCCACCAGTCGACGATTTTTGTAGTAAGACGTTGTGAGGATGAATGCGTTTGTGCACAACGCCATTCCTATGATAGAAGTCCAAAGCCTCTAGGAGTTCTACCGTCCAAGATCTGACTTTGGCGACTGCGATTTGGCCATCATCTTCCAACTTCTCTCCGAGAGATCCTTTACTGCCGAGCTCCACGAGTACACTGATCTCCCAGATAGAGCCAGGAAACTGTTCGATCTTGAAATCAAACACGGAAAGTATGTTGGATTGACGGAGGGCTTTGATCTCCTCCATCTCTTCTTCAAATTCGGTAATGGCTCGCTTCAGCTGTGCATTAGCGGAAGCATCACTGGAATTGACACGAGTGCGCTTCAACACAAGCGTGGTTGCGAGGTCAACCCCTGAAGGTCTCACAAGGAACTCTTCAGTAACCTTACCCATCCTATAAGGTAAGAGCCCTTCCACGGCAGAGAATTCGGAGGATCTCCCATCGATGTGCAGCTCAATATTCCGGTCGAAAGACACCTGGTTGGTGCTTAAACTGTTATTGCTCGGAAAGTAGGAAGTGGGAGTGTGGCCTGTCCCACGACTTCTCCTTTTGGCCATATTTTCTTTGCGCCTCATTTCGTCATTAACCATTTCTTGTAGAACACGCTCTTCCTCGGCCTTCTCTTCATTACGTTTCTTTGCCATCTCTTGCTCTTGCTGCTTTGCAAGCTCTGCCGCTGTAGCTTCGTGTACAGCTCGTTCAGCACCAAGGTTCTCAAAAGTACCATCATTTTCACGCACTGCTATCTCATCTTCAAGGAGATCTTGGATGGAAGCTGCAATATCATGCAACATGACATCTCCAACCAGTTCTTTAGGTCTCGTGCTCAACAAGGCCTGGATGTTTTGGAGGGTTCTGTGGCGTAATTTACTTGTGTTTTCTAAGGTCAGACTGGGCAGCGACTTGGGGTATGAAGCGGTGATTTGTGCACACAAGGTACACGTGATATTGTCCTCAGAAAAGGACCGCAATTTCAGGCGGATAATACGATCTGTGGTTTTCTACGCTAATATCAGTCACGGTGGCAATTTTGGCAAATCACGTTTTTTATGTCACATTGTATGTAAGAAGCGTTGGAGAGTGTAAAATCAAGGGTAGCGACGAGAACGTACACTCCAGGCACCCTTTGCTTCGACTTCCTCATAGTCATCCATGAAGATGGCTTTCAAGACTTCTCGCTCATCTTCTTGGATTTTGGCCAGAGCGTCAGATGGGTGTGACGCAGTGGAAAAGGCCTCGATTTGAATTTGATCTGCATGATGTCCCGTGGCGGGTGCCAAGCTCTGTGGCGTTGATACATCGAATTTGTTTTTGTTTCGTGGTGTTTTAGGAGCCATGCTGGAGGTGTGTCGTGGGTGGGTGAAATGGGCCAACCTGTAAATTTTTGGGTTGACTTTGTGAGATCAGCAGCCGAAGCTGCCGCTCTTACACTGCAGACATGGGTTTTCTTGTGCTTTGAGCTATCGCTGAGGAGATGTCGTTATGTTAAAGAGAAGAAGCGGTTTTCAAGAATCGGATCTGCCAACTCATACAAGAGAGAAGGGAAGAGCGGTCGGCAGGGACCCCACCGACTCGCTAGCCATTTTTAGCCTAGCGTACTTCCAACGCGACCTCCCAATACTCGAATTGCGCCCAGGCGCAAGAAGCAACAACAACGCACGGTGCTAGTCTCACATCGTCGTGCACAACCGGGCACACATATCAACCACAACATGTCTGCGTGCTCTATGCAGCATTCCTCATGAACCTCTATCAGTTCGTCCGCCCAACGACACGGTGACTGCGTTCGCTCTTTTACGTGTGTTCCCCACATTCTTCAACGTAAACAAGTAAACAAACCACCGACCGACCTAGCATCCGCGCGGCCCTTGACTACTACCTCGACTGCCGCCGTCACTATCATTTCTTCTCTGAAGAATACTTGTAAATTTCCTAGTGCCCATCGTGTGGGCTCTTGCGCAAGATGTTTTCGTGGATTACTGGGCCTCGCATGACAAATGCGATTGAGGAGCTCGAGGCTGGTAAGTGATCCTCTTTGACACCAAGCAACAGGCTCAACACCTAACTTCAATCGCGTAGATGTCGGCTACGAAAACACCATTGTTGACCCCCCTGAGACGCCTGCCCACCAGTTCGCCGTCAAAGCTTTCAAACATGCCATTTTTGGGACTCCAGCACCTGAAGACATGGCTGCGACAAGGAAGCTTCAGAAGAAACAGCTCCCGGATACGTTGAAAACAAAAGCTCCAGAGATGCTTCCACCGAAAGACACTACTGCGCCATCTTCACCGTCCAAGCAACCTGCCGGCATCATGAAGACCCCAGTGACTGCCAATAAAACGCGGAAATCGGTCACCTTCAATGCCCATGTGGTGGACAACGAGGGGAAGAAAGAGAAAGGCAGTAAGAGTGGCATACCGGATGACTGCCCTGGAAAGTTTCCTAGCCCGTGGACGCCGGGAACGGAGCTCAAAACTGGGTTGAATAGCGAACAAAAGCCGCGAACAAAGTTGATGGAGGCGCTACACGATGCGCGGACCACCACACAGCAGAAGTCAGGACAGAAGCAAAAGGCGCGAGATGATAGTGACATCACCGTTGATATGGGCGCCCCTCGGTCGAGCTCAGGCAAGTACTGGAAAGAGCAGTACGAGAGATATGCAGAGCAAAGTGAGAAGGAGGTGAAGAAGCTAGTTTCAAAGCAACAGCTTGCCAAAAATTTCGCAAAGAAGAAAGACGACGAGGTTGTTGAGTTGGTTAAAAGGATCGAGGAAGAGCGCAAGCGCCATAGGCGACGTGAGCAAGAGTTGGAGCAGCAGAACAAGGATCAACGTGAGCATTTGCGGCAGGTGATGGCCGAGAATCATTCTACAAGCATGGAAATTATGGCTTTGAAGAATCGCATCAAGGTGTTAGAAAAATCTTCGAATTCTGCATCTCAAGAGGGCAAAACAGACATTCCTGTCTATGAAGATGGAAGCAAGGATCCACCAACTTCTCAGTATGAGTACGATCCTCAACTTGAGATGTCATACCTGTCTACAAAGTCTCACCCACGCGGGATTGGAAAGGAAAACTCTCCACCAAAGTCACGCCATACCCGTCGTCAAACAGTACCTGATGCTCGATCCGCAACACCATTTACCGCCAATACTAGGCTAGGTGTTGGTGATGGGCAAGTTTCTACTTTAATCGGAAAGTCCCCAAGACCACGAAGAGCTTCACATTCGACCACGAAACCATCCGACACGGCATCTACAGCAAAACGGAGCTCTGAACCCTTCACAAGCGCGTCAAACGTGAACTCTACCACCGAGAAGGCAACACGAGGGTACGATTTAGCTTCGCATTCAAGTCCACTACCACAACCGTCACCCGGGCCAGATCTTTGGTTGATGGACAATGATGAGAGCAACTATGGAGCACACGATAAAATGGCAATTCCCATCTCGATTGGCTCTTCACATCCCAACCCTACCGAGTCTCGTCGCCTCGCTGCTCGACGTCAAATGCCACATGCTAAAGTTGATCGCTCAAAACCAGCTCTTCATTCTGAGAAGTCTCTGCCTACCAATGTACAGCCAAGGCATTCCCAGGTGGACCATAAGAGCAACATGCCATTCACTATGAATGGCAGGGACAGGATATTGGAGTCTGCGGAAGTGCGCACAGAAACAACGAATAGAGCAAACCATCACACGGAAATCTCTTCACAGGCGTTGAAAAACAAAGATGATCAGGCTCGAGATAGGAAAGAACAGGCTCGACAGCGTCTAGCTGAGAGGAAAAAAAGAAAATCAACACTTGTCTGATTGTACACAGATGTACAACACTAGTATGGGGATCATAGATTCTTTGCGTTTGCTCTATACTGCTGCTTGATGGTAGTAGAGCGGGGACACTTTCGGCTGCTAGTTTTTCTTAATGGCTCTATGAGTACTTCGGTATTGTTTGACGGATTCATGGTTGCATGGGTTTTGGAGTATGGATGATACCAACTGATTTTGACATTATTACTGCATTTTTCGATGGCGTAGCGAGAAAAGCGGAACTAGCTTTTCAAGCACCTTTCCATAGGGTATATATTCTATTTCCATCCTTACAATATCCTACACTTGAGACATGCCATGAAGTTGAGGTGTTCTTTACATCTGATATGAGTGGAGCTTGGTGACTCCGCGAATGCATCTCTCGCCACATCCCTGAACAACATTACCTTTTCCCCTCCCCAATCTCCCTCAGTAGTGCAACTACAGCGGTGCAAGAGTTCTCCACGGCTATCATCTCTCTGTTATCCATCTTCCTCAACACATACCGTGACACGACATTGGCGTCTCGACTTTCGGGCCTGCCGATGCCAACCCCAATCCGCCACCACTTTGTTGATCCCATGCTCGCTTGGACACTCTTCAGCCCATTGTGTCCCCTTGGGCTTCCAGTCCCGGCTTTCACGCTGACCTTGCCCAGAGGCGCCTCCAACTCATCATGTACAATCACCAACCTTGGTTCCGAGCCTTCGCCCTTGACCTTCCGACTGAATTCTGTCCATGCTTTCTTCACTGCTGGGCCCGACACATTCATCAAGGTGGTAGACTGCCAGAAGGTCCAGTCGTCCTCTTCTGGTGGTCCATCAACCTTCGTCTTCCTGAAACCCTGAAATATTCCAAATGAGTATGCCGTGTTGTCAGGACGCGAGACCAGTCCGCTAAGACCTTTTGTGAATGGCCGATATCTCTTGACATTGGCAATGTGTGAAGTTACGTTGTGGCCGGCAGAGTGGAGGGTATTTGCGTAGGCGGACCCCGGATTCCCCAACGAGCAAACCAGAAGTGGGTATATCTTCTGAGTAGCATTTCGGGGAGCGGACATTGGACGAGGTATAACGGCAGGCGCGTTCTCAGGTCGATTTTTCGGTGGATTGTTCGGTGGATTGTTCGGTGGAGTCTTGCTTAGTTTCGAGGCTTTGGTTTGAGGAGGTTGGGACTCGGCGTCACTGGATGGTGGTGTGAGAATATCTGCAGTGCGCTTGTTGTTGTCGTTCTTCTTTTGCTTCCGGCGCTCTTTGCGACTGGTTGGTGGTGCTTTCGTCTCAATTGTAGATTCTTCGTCGGTGCTGTTTTCCTGTCGCAGAGATTCGCGACAGGGATGTGGATCGGCAGTCGCTACTGGTGCCTGCATGATTTTAGGGTCGAACACGTGCACACGTGGAACCGCGTTTGGCTTGATTCGGTCTGTGGGTGAAATGGAACACTATTCTGTCTGTAGCTGCACAGAGGGACTTTCCACTCTATTTGAATATTTGAGACCCTTTGTTCAGCTTCAGATGTAAAAATAAACCGACACAATGTAAGGGTTTGTATAGCCACAGGTACATATGTAAGAGTCACAATGTGGAGTGGATCAGGGCGGTGCAGCGCCCTTCAGACAATGATGGATTACAAATTATCTGCATATTAGTCGTTTAAACACCAGATGGTACCCATAAGTTTCTCCCCAAATGACTCAGGAATTCATCACTGATTCTCGATCTCCTGGGAGAAATCTTTGATCGTAAACAGGGTCCAGATCTAGAAGCAGTTGCGACAGAATAGTGGGTGATGGGATTCTTGGCGTGCATCATCATCATAATCCATGTACTCTAAAGCTCCGCTACTTCTTTGCACTCTCCACTGAAATTCCTCACATACCTTTACTTTTCGAATAGAATACTACTTTACATAACAGGTCCTATTCAGATCGGATCTAGTAGTAGCAAGTTCTCTGGAAATCATTTAATCATGGCGGACCGTCCCTCAACGCCACCTCGTGCGACACGGTCGGCGGCCAAGTCGTCACAAAATTCACTTGCCCCGGAGCAAATAAGGAAGATGGTAAGACCAACATACGCAATTTGATCCTTCTTCCTAATTGATTGAAGGAAGAAGCGCGCCTGAAAGCCAAAGCCGCTGCGCAGCAGGCTCACGCCTCTATATCCAATCCACCACTCGTTGCCGGTACAAAACGAGCATACTCTTCCATTAATTCCTCCAATACACCGTCTCAAAATCGAAATGCGAATGCGACATCTCCCCAGAAACACGATCAGAATGGCTTCATACAACCCCCTACGAACAATCTCATACAACCAGCGAAGAACTTCGGTCGGTCGGAATACATCGAGTATGACTTTAGCAAGATGACGGATACGAAGGGAGGCTTTTTGAACACGGAAGATGATCCACATAATCGTGCAATGTGGTCTGGGCGGGGCAAAGAGGAGGAAAAGCCTCCAAATATGACTCTTGCGGAATGGGAGCGAGAACGAATACGGAGAAAGCTGCGGGAGAATAGGGAGGGGAATTACGAACCAGGTTTATCAGTTCTCAACTATGTTGATGGGCGAGAGGAAGAGGAAGCCGCACTCCTGGCAGCCGCACAGAATGAGGGTGGCGAAGAGTTCAAGGGCAAATACGGCGATGGCAAACGCGACATCAAGGGCAAATGCCGCGAATGTGGAACTTTGGAGATCGACTTCAAGTGGCAGGATATTTTCGAAATCTCTGTGTGCAATGCTTGTAAAGAGAAGATACCCGACAAGTATTCGCTTTTGACCAAAACCGAAGCACGAGAAGATTATCTATTGACCGATCCCGAACTTAAGGACGAGGAACTTTTGCCCCATCTGGAAAGACCGAATCCTCACAAACAGTCTTTCCACGCCATGCAGCTTTTCCTGCGTCTGCAAGTCGAAGCCTACGCCTTTAGCCCGCGCAAGTGGGGATCACCCGAAGCCCTAGACGAAGAGTATCAAAAGCGGCAGAAAGTCACTAAAGCAAGAAAGGAGAAGAAGTTTAACAAGAAACTAGATGACCTTAAAAAGAGAACGCGTGTGGAAGCGTACAAAAGGGCACAGGCTGGGGGCGAAGCCCAATTCGGACAAAAGATCAGAGGGTTCGGGGACAGGCATGTACATGAATGGGGAAGAAGCGTACTGGACAAATCGACTGGTATGAGTCGCAAGAGGTGTGACGAGTGTGGGATGGAGGTTGAGGAACTGGAGTTTTGATGTGCCAGCTGACGTAGGCTACGATAGACGATACCCAATTATGACCAACATTCGATGAACACTGGTAGTCTCTCATACGTGCACGAAGTTTATGTCGAACCAATGCTAAGCTCATTGCCGTTCTGTGCATGGAGACGAAGTTTCCATGCAGAAAAGGATGTCGCTTACGAATTTCAATCTCTCTTCATAAAGTAAACGGATACCATGGGCATTGACTGCCTAGATCGCATACTAGTGTTTGATCTTGAGACTGGTGTATGTGATATCTAGCTTTGATATAATACGTTTAACCTAATATTTGTGCCCTATTCCCGTATCATCTTATATTAAAACGTGCACTATATGTTTGCCGTCCTTTTCCCCCTCCTTGGAAGCCGGACGTCGTATGCAATTCTACGCATGCTTAGTGCCGAATCCAGCTTGTTAGCTCTGCATGAAAGTACACAAAAGGATTTCACAGTAACACGAAGACCACGTGGTTGTAACAAAAAAAAGTTTGAGACTATGGACAAATAGTAAAGGGTTATACAAGAAGAAGAATCATCAATCCATGTCTCAACAAGCAAGCCTATTCGTAGCATCGAACCGTAACAATCATCATCTCATCTTTTCACCTAAGCGCCGTTGCCGTTGTAGACGAAGGTGTTGGGGGTGCCCTGGAGAGAGCCAGAGATGCGGCCAGTGACAGCCAAAGCCTTGATACGGCTTGTGATGGCAGCAGGGGTGGTGAGACCACTCTCAAGACCCTTGAGATAGAGGGCAAGGCCAACAACGTGGGGGGTAGCCATGGAGGTACCGCTGATGCTGTTGGTGGCGGAGTTACCTGTGTACCAAGCACTCTGGATGCTGACACCGGGGGCAATGACATCGACACCGGCGCCATAGTTGGAGAAGGAAGCGATTCTGAAGGAAGAGTCCGAGGCACCAACAGTCAAAGCATTGGGAGCGTTGGCGGGGGAGGTCTGGGAAACAGGAAGAGGACGGCCTTGGTCATCTCCGTTACCAGCAGCCACTACCGAAAGAACACCGTTGGTGTAAGCAGCCTGGATAGCGTTGGTCCAAGTGGAAGAAGAGCCACCACCGAGAGACAGGTTGATAGCGGAAACACCCGCGCGGCCCTTGCTGCGGATGTCGTTGACGGCCCAGTTGAAACCATCAAGGATCACGGAGGTAGTTCCAGTGTTTGCAGAGAAGACCTTGACAGCGACAATGTTGGTCTTCTTTGCCACACCGTAAGTCTTTCCTCCAATGGTTCCGGCAACATGGGTTCCGTGACCCAGAGTATCAGAGTTTGAACCGCCAACTGCATTGTATCCGAAAGTAGCACGGCCCTCGAACTCTGAGTGAGTAGTCAAAACACCGGTATCGACGACATATGCGTAGGTTCCTGCGCCGGCAGTGCTATCGTAGACATAGCTGGAGGAGGAGCCACTCTTGTGGGAAATGGCACCAAGACCCCAGGTCGAGCCGGACTGGGTTACCAAAGCCTTCTTCTCAAGCTTGGGCTCCTCTGAGTCCTGCATGTAGGGAAGGTAGACAATGGTATCAGGCTCGACGAGCTCAACCTATATGATGAGTCAGTGTGAGTTTTTCCAAACTTGTTTGTGAAACTGACATCTGGGCTGGCTTTGATGGCCGCGATAGTGGCCTCGTCGAATTCACCAGCATATCCCTTCCAAGATTCCATGTCGTAGGTTTTCTCTACACCTGCAGTGTCACGCTTCAGGCTGCGCTTGTGCACATCGTTGACCCAGGTCTAAATCAGCGAAATAAAGTCAGCACATGTCATATTGACAGATTCGGATGAGCTCTCAGAGTCTCAAACACTACGTTATGTGATGTTTTGATCTGCTCTGTAGCTCTGGGGAAACGTACCAAGTGGGACTCGACCGAGTCGAGAGTGGGCTTAAGCGTGACGATGAACTTGCCCTCAATGATGTCCTCCCTCTTTGTCATCTGGGTAGGTGCAGCAAGGGCAGCTGGAAGCAAAGCTCCGAGGAAAAGGGCGATGTTGCGAATAGAAGGCATTTTGAATCTTGTAATGAGAGACAGGCGTTGAGTGATTGACTGAAGACCGATAAATGTTGGCTTGATTTACAATTGATGGGCACACGACCAACTTATATACTCATCAGTCTGCCCTTCTTCACAAATCACACTCATCACTTATTCATCTTATCACCATTGAGGCCATCGATGATGCCATTGTCAATCTCTAGGTCCAGTGACTTGAAACATGGCGACAAAACCCGCAAGTAGAAGGTAAAAGATACGAGGAGGTACTTCCAAGGCTCACTTAGGATAGAAGGGCATATGCTCCGCCATGTGGTTTCAAGCACGGCGCGTTTCTCCAGGTTTCTTGGTAGCTTGCTCGGATATGTGCACACATACACCTGCCCAATGCGTCTAGACCCTATCGACACTATACACGTTGCCCACGGGTGGTTCTCGGGCCAAGGCCGGGACAAGAAGTCCAGACAGGAAGTCATACGGCAGACCCCATACCCATATGCACATCACAAGATCTCCGACACCAATCAGTCGGTGTGAAATTAAGCTAGCATTGAGTTAAACGCCGTATTTGGAAGGTTATTGTAGCATTGAGTATGTGTCTATAGACTAATTGTGAAGATCTGCAGAGGGATGCAATCTTACTTGGTTTTGGTAAGTCTGAATTGCGCGCTCACCGTGTATTAGGTGATGCGCGCGAGGTACTGTGATATTGGTTGTTCATGCGAACATTAAGTACAACAGCCGAATCCCCCAGGATGCTTCAATTACACACCTTCTACAACAAATTATGTAGCTACCTCGGTAGCGGAGGACGCCGCTTTGGCCCCTGTCATTAGCGTTCATGTAATGGCTAGTCAGTAAACCTATCATGCATTCATTAGTGCTAAAGTCGTTTGTATTAATTTGTTTACCAACCAATCCGGCTGGCATCGACAGCTTTCAACCTCCACCACTCAATGTCGCTTGGGGGGCAAGAAACACATATCTACCAGCCAAACAAACATGACGTTTTTCTCGCCAGTATGCCCAATCCCTCAATCTCTCATGAAACAACAGTGATGTGATTAGCCAATCTTACAAAAAGCACCCTCGGACCAAACTTCCGCTCCATCCCGCTGCCTATGGCGCAAATGACTTGCCAAGAAATCACCAAGCGGAAAAGGAGGAGCCTGCGGGAGCACTATGTAGGTAAAGATCGACTACCCAATCGCCATAGCTGCCAATTGTAAAAGCTTAAATACACGTTTGACCACTCCGCATTGTCACGGCAAGATTGGAGGGATTGTGCCCCCGGATCATCTGTCATACCCTTATCCTGCACATACCGCCGACATGGCACGTGCCTGGTCGCGTGTATCTCCCAAGTAAGAGTAACCGCCGAGGTCGCTGTTGTACTTGTAAGAACGGAAACGTCTATTCATCGTTTGGACAGCCCCTAGTAAGCAATAGGATAACCAATACTCGTGCTGCGATGGCCATTAGGCTAAACATTCAATTCAATCAAAATGTCAAGTCCCAATATTCGGACGTTCTGCATCTGTTCATTTCGTCGTACGTGTAATAGATCCGGCGGTACTTTGAACAAACTGATTCTTGGGAGTGCTTGACACGGCCAGAAAACCAACGGTATAACGCCGTGGAACCGAAATTGATATCTCGATTAGCGCTACGTGCTGCAACTTTCGGGGAAACTATTCCTTGTGTTCTGGGCTAAACTGCATTCACTTGTTTTGCCTCTCGATGTTGATCTTGGTATCTACAGAGTAGGAATACCTTGAGTCATGTGCCCATGTAGGTTTTTTGCCACATCTTCACAGACTCATCTTTTACCCGACTTCGCTACCCTTGATGTCAGACGAAGCAATTGTGAATCAACGTGTACGATTGATCTGTTAATCTTAAGGATTGGACTTTCCACCCCTAAGATTTTTCAAAATCTCATTGCACTCGAGTGATTCAGCATCGATCACAAGATTGCTACAGTTATCTTATGCGTTTGTGTTGTGTAGAAGCTCAGGGATGAAAGGCATGTTGAATGTGTCAATGTCGGTCATAGCCTCAACACACGATCAATTACCAGTTTCAGCAGGAAAGCCAAGACATAGAAATTGTACTGTTTTCAACAATGGTCCGTTCCAAAAGCTGCAGGTATGTTCTCAGCAAGGCATGAGGTTCGATAGCTGATTTCTAGAACGGGGATGGCGACCGTTAACTTGTTATCGGTCGGCTCTATTACATATCGACCTTTGTGCTTGAGAGCCAATGTTACAAGGAATATGCATGAATTGCATGCTCATATTCAAATACAAATCTATAGAAAAATCGCATGAAGAATTCCGTTGAAATAGACAGCCAGCGTGTGACCATACTTTTGCAGAAATAACGGGCCCGGTTGCGACTTTCACTCTTGCGTGAGAGGATTGCTCATAGAGCTTGTATTGCGGGAGCAGGATCGTTCTGACCTGAAGTAGGCGAACGGTACATGTTCGTGATAATGCCTATTAGACGACTTTTTTCTCCACGCTACATCGGGCAGTTTCTGGAGTCGCGAGAAGAAGAATCTTCGCTCTCTCAATCTTTTCCCCCTTCGCCAAAGATTCCTTACTGCCGCTTGGGTTATTCAGAATTCTGAATACGATACATTCGGCCTTAGACACATTTTTGCTATTGCTACCAGCTTTGATCGACATAACAGTAATGCTAACAGCATGATAACGAAGTTTCGGGTATCTTTAGAGTTCAAACCCCAAACGCCCTAGAATAGACACGAATATAGCATATGAAACCATTCAGTCCTTCGAACTCACACCAAACTCCTCCTGCACTTCGACAATACGCACACCTCTCGAATCAGCAATCAAGCCCATCAGTCCTTGACCCATGTCCTTGATCTCATTGTAATTATGCAGCAACTTGATGTGTCTTTTGACGATAGTGTTTGCGGCAGCCATAATATCCGATTCCGTAGGCTCTCCTCCGGAGATTTTGCTCGCAAAATCTGACGTCTCATCCTCCGCGACCATATCCTGAACACTCTCGAGTGCTGCAAGAGAAGCAATGAGCGAACTTCTTTGAGCTTTCAACTCATCGATCGTTATCTCTTGAGGAGTTTTTGAGGGTGGCGGAACCTGACTCTCATTGCTAGCTGCGGGTACTTGGACAGGCTGGGTTTGGGGTTCGCCTTTCGGAGCATCATTTTCCGTGACAGCGTCTTTTTCTAGATCCTTTGATTTCGCCGTAGCTGAGAGATCAGAGATAGAGGGGTTAGATTGATTGTCATCCTGCGCTTTGTTTCTGTCTAGACTTTCTTTTGTAATAATATCTCCAGAAGCTTCTTCGTGATGAGGTGGCACTGTAGATTGTACACTATGTGGAGCTGAGGGGGGGCCTTGTTCCGAAACAACTGATATCTCCTGATTTGGTAGCTTGCTTGCAGTCATATGGTTGTCTGGTACCACTTCGCTATTGACAGTTGCTTCTTGATCAGTGACTGAGGGTTTTGGAGAATCGCATGCTTCCATATGAGCCATCTCGCTGATACCCGTATTCTCCTTAGGTGTAGACTGGTCATTGTTTGCAGGCAATCCATGTATTGGCAGCGAAGACCGTTCAGTCATGGTATTGCCCTGTGCATTAGCGGGCGGATCAACGTGTGGCATCATTTGCGGCGAAGACGACAATGGCTCATCTTCAGAATCTGCAATCTCAGTGACGCCTTGGGTAACAGCCATTCTGATTCACAGGGAGAGCAGTGTCGAGTGGTTGACATTGACAGATGACACTGTGAATGGTGAGGGTTCCTGGCGGTGCTATTCTGTAGATAGATCTGATATAAGAAGCTCGGACCACCTGAGCGATTGACGTAAGCCTCCCGCCGTCTCCCGCGGATGCGGATGGCATGAAGACCGTCCTTTGAGTTAATTTCCACGCATACTCCCTCTGTCCTTGTTTCCTCTCCTCCTTCCTTTGCTTCCCAAGCTGCCTTTTAAATCCCCCAAAACCCACCTCGCCTCCCTCGTCCTGATCTGGTCATCTCGCACCACCGGCTCCACAGTTGGCGCACCTGAAACTACGTAGCCAACCATGGCGAAACCATTACCGATGCCAATACGCCTGGTAGCAGCCGTGCTCCTGGGTACGGCGGCGATCGCAAACGCACACGAACACCATATGGATAAGATACCGGAAGGAGAGTCCGTATCCGCAGACCCAATAGTGCGTGATATTCCTATCTCAATCAACAGATTGGCGGGAGACTAAGGTGCTAATGAAATTGTAGGATTCGATATTATGGATACACATCTTGGTACAAACAATAGGGTGGGGGATTCTATTCCCTACAGGAATGGTACTAGGCATTATACGGTCCAAGTGGCACGTCCCAGTACAGACAGCAGGATGCGTACTCGCTATCATCGGCTATTTCCTCGGACATAAACACAAAGGCCGCCAGTTCACCGTGAACGCCCACGCTCAGTTCGTGCCTACAATCATGCTCATATTGATTGCCCAAGTGGCAATGGGAGTCTACCTCAAGCTTCATCTTGAAAAGGGAATCCATGGCAAGATACGGAAGATCGTGGTCAAAGCGCATGGCGTAGTTGGCAAGATGATGCCTATAGTCATTTGGGTCCAGTTCCTCTTTGGAGGTATCACAGCAATGGGTTTTTGCCGTGGCGAACATGTCGGACAGTGTGCGGCCCACTTCATCATGGGAAGCGCTTTTGTCGCCTACGGAATCCTTCTCACTATCATCCTGCTGGTTGGACAACTTTGGCTGCGCAAAACCGGGAGAAGCCAAGAATTTTTTGACTCTCTCGTAATAGCTGCATGGGGTTGCGTCAACACCTTTACCGAACATCGTTGGGGGACTGCGTGGGTCAAGAATGATCTACAACATACTGCTATGGGTATTATATGGTGGTGTGCAGGCTTAGTGGGAATCTGGCTGAGTCGTACAAGGGATGGGAGACCCAAGCGCAACCTCATTCCTGGGATTGTTATCCTGCTCACAGGGTGGGGCATGTCTGCTCACCCGCAAACGCTTCCTCTATCCAGCATGGTCCACGAAGTTTTTGGATACACTCTTATGGCCGCCGGTGTGACCAGGATCGTTGAGATTTCGTTCGTGCTCAGAGATCGCAGTTCTGTGAATGCAGATGGAGCCGACCCGAACAGCTTCCAGTACCTAACTCCGTTTTTGCTTTACGCTTCTGGGTTTCTGTTCATGGGCGCGACCGAAGAGCAAATGCAGGTACTATCGGATGCACATGTGACACACGTTTCCTACGTTTTGATCCTCTTCAGCATCGCCTTCCTCCTCTTCCTATGTAAGTTCTACAAACACCCAGCAACCCTACCCGCTATCATCATCTGCAGTACGATTAACATGTTCAACAGTTACCAATATGCTTATTCACCTTTACGCCGTCTCGACCTGGTCCTCGAACTCAAAGTCCGATGACGAGAATCCACATGTGAACGGTATGGCAAACGGTCATGCGCGAGCTGATCGCAGAGTGCGCGACGCCGAGGAGTTCGAGCTAGAAGGACTCATCTCTGACGACGAGGATGCTCGGCCGTTGGTTGATAAAGAGGAACGGCAAGCACCGGCCTCTCGTTCATGATTACTCTTCACTTTTCTTTCGCCTTATTATTCACTTCTTCTAAACTTTGCATCATCGTATGTTGTAAGATTAGCCAACTGCGGTTGCTTTGTCTGCCTACTTATTTCTACTGTTGTTTGTTTTTGACGGCCTTTTTTCTTCGTTTTTGCCACGTTTCGTTTTCTTTCTTTCTTTCTGGGTCTTTGCATTGATAAGTGGTTGGGGTATGAGACAAGGAATATTACGTATTTTCAATGATATGAATTGGGAATCATGTTAAGAAATATGATACTTGGATTCCTCATTGTTGCTGCTGAGATTTGACTGTGTTGCATTACCAAACAACAACTCAAGATGATCGTAGTAGCTGTCACAGACTATAAGTTCCCTGCTATTTAAAGATAATGTTGATGTGGAGTGGCGAAGCAATTGCCCAGCTTCTTTCCTGCAAAGGGTCCACAAAAAGGCGTTGACGCGATATATTGGAAATTTAACCAAGGACCCCCTGAGAAAACGAATGCCAGTAGATTTCTTTTCTTTGCTAGAAAAAGGAAAGCTTAACCCAATTCCTTAAGTATCTCCGATTGGTATAATGCATGTGTACGTGCTCCCGTCTCTTGTTATGGCGACGAAGAGCATGGGACGAGCCCTAGATATAAAAGAAACGCTAAACGTGGATCATGTAGAAATGAACAATATCCCAGGATGATCAGTCTCCTTGTTCACGCTGCTGCATATAGCCCAGCAGCAAATTGATCAATACATTGCGATCCACAGGCTTCGCAACATATCCCGTCATACCCTTCGCAATATAGTTCTCCGCATGGCCCTTGAGCGCATTAGCCGTCATAGCAATGATGGGCATCTGTAGACCCGCATTCCTAATCTTCCGGGTCGCCTCGACGCCATCTAGTAGGGGCATGCTGATGTCCATGAGTATAAGGTCGTAAGGTGATGATCTAGTCGTGCTATCCTGCGTTGCAGTGGCAAGCTTGACGGCTTCTTCACCATCGACTGCAACGTCGATTGAAGGGAATCCGAGGCCGGCGAGCATTTTGAGCATGACGGTTCGATTGATGGTGTTGTCTTCTGCGAGGAGGATATGCTTGTTGACTGCGGCTTTCTTGATGGCTTCTAGGGGGGAGGAAGGGATGGAAGGGCGGTTGAGGGTTTCGAGTTGAGTTTCGAGCGCTTGAATGGATGATTCTTGTGGCACTTTCTTGAGTTTTGCAGTGAACCTAGGAGGTGTGTCAGTTCTGTAAGGGCTATTTAAATGCCATTGCCAGACCTGTATTTTCACTAAAGGCATTATAGGAATGGTGATCGAATATTCAGAGCAATCATTCAAAGCCCGGTCACTTACCAAAACAAACTCCCAGCACCTTCAGGATTCGGTTTGTAGCCAATTTGACCGTTCATCAGTTCAGCTAAACTCTTACAGATGCTCAAACCAAGACCTGTCCCTTGAAACTTCTTGGTCGTCGAATTGTCAAATTGCATGAATGGCGTGAACAAAGCTGAGCAAACTGCACTCGGAACTCCGATGCCGCTGTCCATCACTTCTGTCAGGACATCGAAGCTCTCCTCATCCTCATGTTCAAGGCTTACGGCAACGTGTACATATCCTTTTTCGGTGAACTTGATGGCATTAGACGTAAGGTTCTGTACGATTTGTCGGTACCGAAGGCTATCGCCCTCGGCTGCCCTGGGAACTTTGGGATCGAGGGTACCTTGCAATGAGACACCGGGCTTGGGGAATTTATGATAGACACGGAGGACAGACTGTATGATATCAGGCACACTGATGATGTCATGGCTGATAGAAAAGCTACCGGAAGCCAGTTTACTGTAGTCCAAAATGTCATTGATGACCTAGAGCAGCACATCGCCTGATTCTTGAATCACACGGGCAAGCTCTAGCTGTTCGGGATTCAGCTTGGTGTCGAGCAGAAGAGTCAGTGCTGACAGCATCCCTAAGAGAGAAATCAGTCTTGTTTCAACCACGTGTGTGACGTGTCCAAGGTCTGCGCACTATATGATTTCCACGGGACTCTGGGATACAGCAAACCAATGTACTCGGGCTAAAATCTGGTCCTTTGACTCACCATGCATTGGTGTCCGAATCTCGTGACTCATATTTGCTAAGAATTCGCTTTTGAGCTTTGAAGCCTCCTCATAGGCAGCAATGAGGGTCGATTCAGCCTTCTTTCGCTCACTCAAATCGCGAGTTACTTTACTGAACCCGAGCAGAGTGTCATTCTTCCTTATCGGAGTGATGACAACATTCGCCCAGAACTTTGTCCCGTCCTTCCGGTATCTCCAGCCTTCATCTTCGACACGACCGTCGCGCAAGGCATCTCGCAACTCTCGCGCAGGCTTACCATTGTCGCGATCTTCTTGGCTGTAGAAGTTGGAAAAGTGCTTGCCTATAATCTCACTCTTTTTATACCCTTTGAAAGCTTCGGCGCCGGCATTCCAGGTAGCGACGTTCCCTTGGGGATCGAGCATGAAAATAGCGTAGTCTTTGACTGTTTCAACCAAGATGCGAAACGTCTCGTTCACATGAAGGCGTTCCTCAAGCTCCCGTTGCTTCCGATGAGCTTGCGTCACGTCTTGCAACTCCATTAGTAGGCAGCGGAGACCAGCATTCTGGCGATATATGGGAACGATTCGAAGGCTCCAGATGGATTTCCCGTACACGAATTTTTCGAGTTGGTGAGGGTAGGCATTATCCACTGCTGTTTGAACACCCTTGGCTACCGAAACGAACGACGGAAGAAGCGACTTGCCACATATGACATCCAAATGACAATTATTGAGAAGCCGTTCACGGTGTAGACCAGAGACCTGACAGAAGCTCTGTGAGACCTCGTGAACAAAGAGCGAGGGCGTTAGCACAACTGTTGGGACAGGCGTCTCGCGGATGATATCCCAAGCGGAACCCAAATCACTGTTACTTGCACGATGTTGAAGTTCGTCGAGGCCTGCTGCGACTGGTAGCGAAGTTGCGGGCAGTGAAGCCGCCATAGCGGTCCGACTATGCAGCTGGAAGCCGTCTACGCCACACTAATACCAGTAAGGTTGCTGATAGTGTGCGCTAGCAGTGACTATTCGGAAATCAGTGCTCAAATCAACCAGATATAGGGGATGGGATTGCGAGGAAGATCGTATGATGTTTGTCTGCACGGCAACCGTCGAGTTTTTGTGGTAAGCTACTTGCCATTGATCACTTCTCCATGCGGAAACCTGCGTCCAGCCACAGAACGCCGCTGCGACGGAGGCAACCGCGCGCGCTAAAGCCAACCCAGCCAATGCGCTCCATATTACGCATGTACCACTACGCGTTTACGCCATTGCAAAAGGAAGCCCGAGAAGAAAGAGGAGCATCCAGCAAAGCACACAGTCCGCGGGAAAACGGGAGCAGAGAATGAGACACGGCGGCCGGTATATTCTTCAAACGCATTTGGTTAAGCAAGCCACTATGAACCGAAGACGGTGAGTGAGGAATCATCTCCAGTATCATCATGCATTGTCATGAGCACAGTTGAATTATATGATCAATTGATGGTTAAGAGTGATATTAATATTGCAAATTCTAAAGTCTATAAAAGTAGGAAAATCAGACTCGCTCTAGCTATGCTGTGTGACAAGATCGCGATCATTTCGCTGCAAAACGAGACCTGGCCCGTAGCTGGGCACCGAAAAAGTACAAGACATACACTCCAGCACTGCATCCTATGGTCAAGCCCGCAAGCAGTGAGACACCCCTATCCACACCAAGATTGTGAAACATTGGGTAGCTGAAGTGGATCGATCCCGCAGCGAGCGCCGATCGGAGGAAATCATTGCCTGCGAACAAGCTGGCAGCGTATGAAGGATAAGAAAGCGGCAAGTAGAGGAAAATACACTGGATGATGAGGAAGATGCCGATGGTGGTAATGACGATGCCGATACAGCTGACAATCCAGTGAATCGCCGGGTTGGCGGTCCATCCGAAAATGAACAAGCCGATCGGCACGAACCATGTGACGAGAAGGGCAGGCAAAAGTCGGCGCTCAGGTTCTCCCATGCCATGGGCGCGAATCTCGCGTTCTACCACAAAGTATATATAGTTCCAGTATACAACGAGGGAGATGATGACCCCCACGGTGACGGAAAGGAAAGTAAGTCCCATCTCTCCGAGATTGAAGTGGTACATGGCCTGATAGACCAAGGGGAAGGCTTCGAAGAAACTGTAGAAGATACCGTAGATGATCGCAGTATAGATTGCAGTGAATGCAATACTGGGGTCTAGAAGCATCAGTTGAAAGGGTCGAACAAGTGCTTCGATGGCGATGTCACGGGTTGTGAGATTCGCCTGATCAATCTCGCTTTGAGCTTGAAGACGTGAGTCGCCAGTGAGAAGACGTAAACGCTGGGCCCGACGTAGTAGGATGTTGGGGGCCGAGGTCTCTGGCAAGAAGAAGAAGAGAGACAGGAAGATTGGGCCGTTCATCCAAAGCATTTCCCACATTGACCAGCGCCAGTTCTCTGCCTGTACGCTAAATCCAGAGATAATGGGACCAAGAGCTGGACCAGTGGTTGCTGCTAAAGCCCATAGTGAAAGAACATATGGGAGTTTGATCAGACTGTACATGTCTTGCAGACTGGCGCCTCCGGTAGCCAAGGCGGGACTGCCGAAGAACCCTTGGAGGAAACGCAGCACAACGAGACCAGCAAAGTTATCAACCACAGATGCCGGAATTGTCAAGATGACGAAAATGGCGAAAGAAATCATGTATGGTGGGTTTCGACCGATGATTGGGATTTCGCTGAGAGGCGAGAAAAGAAGAGGTCCGATGCCGTATGCAAGGACATACATGGAGAGACCGAGAGACGCCATATTGAGAGTGACGCCGAATTGCTCCATGACACCTGGAATGGAAGGTGAGTATATGGCCGAACCCATGTACACGCCCATTGTGTAAATCATAATCTGGAATAGGACCACGGCCTTTTTACCGAAGCTCCAATTCTGAGGGTTATCAGGGTCGTCGGTTGCGTAGAAATCCACCACTATGGTGCCATTATCGAGCGTTTCGGGCTGGATCGGTCGGGACGGTCCCTTCTCCATTGTGGCTATAGAAAATTGGTGTTCGAGGTCTGCACGTGAGATGGTTTGCGACAAGGCCGTCCGTGTTCCCAGGCGGGAGATCTGCGTATGTGTTGTTTGTACGGAACGAGCCGTTTGAATCTTTTCCAAGTCGATCGAGTCATCATCTGAAGTGCTCTCTTCATTTTCCAACGGCGCTTCTGACTCGGAATCGCTTACTGATCCGGTCTCCGATGCTACAGGCTCCACTTGTGCCGTTTCCACATGTGAGCTCTGGATGGGTAGGTGGTGTTTTTCCCCTGATCTTAAAGATCGGTATGCTTCGGGCAGTTCGAAGTCGTCACGCTCTTCGGGATATTGCAGGAAGCGCTTGTTGGAAGCCCATCTGATGATCTGCCCGATGGGCGCATCTCTAATCAAGGCCGACATTGCGGATGGTGTTTTGGTAGGAAGTGAGTTTGAGGTGTTGATCAGGTGTTGCCAAATTTCTGGACTGGATGGAAAAAGTCGGTTCGAGCTGTGGATATGAATATCGATGGTGAAGATGATGGTATGCTGAGGCAATGGAGTCTGAGTTGATGATGAGCTTAGAGGAGCGACTCCAAGCCATATTTATCTCCCAGATCTTGCATGTCCCTTTTGGACCGAATTCGGACATATCTTCAACCATGGCGACGGTTGTCTGTCAGTAAGCAGCAGCATGAGTAAAAGTCCGTGACTAATTGCGAGAGATTCGAAGTTAAGCGACTACGCAATCGCCGCTTAGCTTCCCTGAATGATGCGACAGGCAATGATGTTCCTCCGCGTTTCACCAGACATGGCACTGCTGATTGGCCAGAAGGAGGTTGGGGTCCTGTTTGATCAGTATTCCATCTGCCAAGATTACTAACCCCGCCAAAATGCGATTCTGCTCTGTAATCTCCATTCTCCACTCTAGCCCCGAACAGGATTGGCGTCACCCTGTGATTGTCAATCAGGATGACGTTGTACACACTCACAGCTGTCTAAAACTCTTGGTACGCGAACTTGTTGCCTATCAAAGGGGAGAAAAACTGGCAATGTTAATAATTCAAGTCAAGAAATGGAATGCACAAGAAGCTTCGGAACAACCAAGATTCCTTCATTCTGACCGTTCCGATATATTGCGTGCTGAGTGGAGACAACGGTAATGATGACCCATGCTTGTAGTATGCCAGCTTAGATACCTGCGTCCTGACATGGCGGTCTCCAGGGGTGTGTTACAATTACTTCTTTTCGACTGACATAGCAGGTATGTACATGTATCCATGCCTGCTCTGCTCTGCTAGTGCATGTATGTCTACAATGCAACGTTTAGCGCACACGATTCACTGAGACTAAAACACTTTTTTGTATCGGTATGATGAAGAATGGAGTTGGGTATAGAGCCATATATCTAGCCAGTAATGGAAACGCCGGCAATGCTCCCGTCATAAAATAGACCACGTCCCTTCCCTATACTCTACGCTTGAACAAGGCCGCAGCAGAGTAATCCTTGCATGGCAATCAAACGCCCGATGCCTCCTTGGAATAGCTCTCCAATGCTTGTGTGTCTCACTGGATTCGCAACACCCTCATGATGATAGCGAAAAACTTCATGAGGACATTGACAACCAACGCAAACGCAGCCACAGGCGCGAAGATCTGCAAAACCTCCAGCGGGTTGGTGGGCTTCACCTCGGTCTCAATCCAGCCGGCACCATGCAAAGCATTTGCGCCAGTCACGGCCGGAGTTCTGCCTTTGTCAGCCGGGAAGCGATCATGTTCGAGATAGTACTCGATGAGATCGTCTTTCTCCCTCCAACGCTTGAGCAGCCAATCGCCAAAGAGCTTCTCGTCGTGGGTAGGGATATCCTTGACCGCAAAGCGCCGCCAGTGCATGTTGACCGACTTGGGAGGGCGACCCTCGAAGTAGGAAGAGCGGATGGTGAAAAGATCTTGACCAAATTGCCCACGTCTTGCCAAGTCAGCGAATTGCAGAGCAAAATCAATCGAAGCAACTTACGGAACGCCCTCATAGGCCACTGTGCAATCATACATGTACTCCACCGTCTTCTCCAGTTCAGACAGACAAAACCGGAGTCCAGTACTCCTTGGAAGCATAGTGTGTTGCATGTCCGGCATTCCATTCTTGTCTGCCCACTTCTTACTGTTTACGCGCCCGTTATCGGAGAGATTGGTCCCTTCTGGGAATATGAGCAACCACATGGGATCAAGATACGATGATCCGGCCATGGGACCGTTGTGACTGGCACTCAGTTTGCGTAGCCTGTACTGAAATCTCTCTTGATCCGTAGCCCATTTGCGCGAGAGGAATATGAAGCCGTAGAACATCATGCCGGTCCCCAGAATAGGTATGTACTTTATGGACTCCTTGAGAATGATGTAGAAATGACCGTGCATTCGAGAGGTATAGGCAATCCACCACAGGTAGACCCAGTCGGTGTAGATCTAGCAAAAGTTAGCTTCCGTGGCTCGCGCGATCACGAGAGAACCGTGCCAAACGCACCTGATGATTGGCGATGAGGACCAAACGCTCTGGGAAGTCACAAACGAGGGTGCCATCTTCTCTCTGGTACAACTGGCCTCTGACGCTCTCGTCGCCGCTGACTCTCATTTTGACCGGAGCCCACCAGTGAGTCATTGTAGTGACGAGAATGCCAAATTGCTGCTTTGTTATAGCCATCCACGCGTAGAACCAGTCCTTGTTGTAGAAGTACAGAGGGGCGCCCATGACCTGGGTAATGGATATGCTGAAGCCGGGTGTTAGCGTCCTGGGGGAGAGTTAGCGGAGAGTATACCCACGAGATGCAGCCCCCGATAAAGTACAGGAAGAAGAGAAACATGCGCAGGGCTTGAGCCCAGGTGCCGTGCTTGATGGCACCTCCCGGGTGCGGCTGGTGGGCCAAGGCATCTCTCTTCCTGTGCTGTTCCAGTTTCTTTTGTTCGGTAGAAAGCGGCTGCACGGTTGTGGGAGCGGAGGGAGGGTTATGCCGCAAGTGAAGGCCTTCGGTCGCCATGGTGTGTTGCATATGTGTGTAGGTGTAGGTGTGGAACAGCGAGGGAAGGGTATGGTGGGAGGACGCGGAAGGTCCAGCAACAAGCTGTGGAGAGCTTCACGGAACGTTGTAGCACTACAGTGCAGTGCAGTGTGGTGTGTCGGAGTCGGCGGCGGTGTTATCCGTGCTTCGAGGTCGTGACGGCGACAGACGGCGGGGATGGTTCATTAGAGAGTATGGTATAGAATGGTGGGGTCGAAGAGCGTCAAGACTTCACAGGCAGAGGATTTGTAGCACATGAGCGAATCATCTCCGGGCTTTATCTAATAATGAGACAAGGCGGAAAGTGGCTACCTGGCGCACTGTGTCGTTGGAAAAGCAAAAGAAACCGGGGGATGCCGAGTATTCGTATCGTCGGGGTGCTTGTACCCCTGCCAGTACATCATCATTGCCTGCTCTGCTGCCTCAGGTGGACATGTGATAGACAGACAGATGGGCCTCCCTGTCTACTATCGGCGATGCGGGCACTCCCCCCTCGAACACAAGGGAACACGCAAGCATGAGAAGGAATACATGTACGTGTGTTTCTGCTACTATACGGATTTCTTTGTTGCATCTGCGGATGGAACTTCGCACGCGGCTGGGTGGAAGACTTTTAGGTACACGGTACCTGTGACAGCTCTCTGGCGGGGCAGGCACATCATCTCTGCGCACGTTACTGGCCTAGCGCGCCCTAGTCGGAAGGGAGCTTGGGCCTCACCGGACCCATCAATTCAAGAGATCCATGATCCATCTAGTCCATCTCTCAAATCCATACCAAAAAGCACCCATCACCGCCATGAACTCTAACTCATGAATCCCTCAGAGGAACACGTCGCTATTCACTGGACCCATGGCTCGCCCTTCGATACCCAGTGAAAATCCCTTGCAGCCTCCGTCATGACGCTCAAATATCGCTCGCCTTTTACCTTTTCATCGCCGTTGCCTCGTGCCGTACGAAATTTCTCCTCGACTGCGCGCACCCTCACCATCAAGCCCATCTCGCATCTTCCCAATCGCATAAAGCCACTGTACGCTCAGAGCCCCCAAGCGACCTTACTTTCTCTGCAATGGCCTTCACCCCCAAGAAATATACTCATAACTAAGAAGAAACGAACACCCGGTATCACCAACTCGCTCGTCGAATATGCCACCCACCTGTCCTCGACCTACCCCTCCATAAATATTATCCTCGAACCAGACTCGGCCACCGAAATTCACGAAGCGCTACCGTTTCCTGTCTATACATATGAGGGCGCCCCACCTAACGGCGTTCCCCCGCTTCTGTCTGACAAGACCGATCTGATATGCACTCTTGGAGGGGATGGAACCATTCTGCGTGCCAGCAGTCTGTTCTCCCATGCCCCCAATGTTCCGCCCATACTTAGTTTTGCTATGGGCACCATAGGATTCTTGGGCGAATGGAAGTTTGCTGAACACAAACGAGCATTTAGAGAGGTGTACATGAGCGGGGCAAGCGATGCCTACGCTAATCTTGAACTTCCTTCGTCGTCATCTTCAGGTGTCACCTCTTCGGATCCTTTAGATCGGCCTTTGTCATATGCAGACATCCGCGGCAAAGCTATGGGAACAAGCCGCACAGCACGGATCCTTCTTCGCAATCGCCTCAAAGTCGGTGTCTTCGGTCCCGATGGGGCCCGCATCAACAGCTCCATTGATCGCGACACATACGCTCTCAATGAGGTTATTGTCCATCGCGGCATCTCGCCGCACCTGAAGATCGTCGATGTCTTCGTCGGAGGCCGCTTTTTGACCGAAGGCGTTGCTGATGGCATGATCATTTCCTCTCCCACCGGATCTACCGCCTATTCACTGTCTTCAGGTGGCTCCATCGTGCATCCCCTTGTGCCCTCTCTGCTCCTGACCCCAATCTGTCCGCGTTCGCTCTCTTTCCGGCCCTTGGTCCTTCCAGCAAATACGCCCATCACTTTGCGTCTCGGCGAGAAGAATCGCGGTAGAGAGGTCGATGTTAGCATTGACGGCAGGCGCATTTCAGAGGGTGTCGGCGTCGGTATGGAAGTACGCGTTTTGGGTGAAGAGGTGAGGAATGCCGAAGGTGAGTGGTGTGGTGGCGTTCCCAGTATTGTCAGGGGGACCTCGGGGATGGCTGGTGAAGCTCTGGAGGAGGATCATTGGGTAGGAGGACTCAACGCTTTGCTGAAGTTCAACTACCCTTTTGGGGATCAGGACGCCGATGGAAAACGTTAAATTTTTCAGGAACCGGTGCTGCAAAAACCATCACCAACTAAATTCAGGGAGTAGCGACATTCCGTGTAAAAAATGTATTATAATATTATGTACGGAGCCACATCTCGTCTATCATACAAAATGTTGCTGCATCCAGATTGATGTCTGTGAACGTTTCATAGTATCACGTGAAATATCTTGGCATTGTCCCAAACCGTTCCGCTTCGGATGCTCAGCACACTCCCTTGACTGTCCTTCATTTTCGCCAACCAACATCGTTCTCTATCTGTAATTACACAAGCTTGAATTTGGCTAGTCAATGCTTGTACAGCTATTTCTACATCATAACAGATCCATTTCATACTTCCTACCGCGAGACTGGAGCCCTTGGATGTCGTGATGCAAAGACGCGGTCACAAGAAATCCCGAAAAGGGTGCGGGGAGTGCAAACGACGGCACATAAAGGTTGGCGAACTCTTTCCCTTGAATCTGTTTTTCGAAGCATTCACTTACACAACGAATGGGAGGTTTTGCGTAGTGCGACGAGAAGAGGCCCATATGCGCCAATTGCAGTGTGTCACAGCGACAATGTTCTTTCACGGAAGACACCTCTCGAGAAAGAAGAGTGGTTGGCATTGAGGAAGATGAAAATGTTTCTACTACTCCACATAGAACACCGGAAGCATCGTCGACTTCAATGGCTGCGGAGATTGGACTCGATTATTCAGCGTCAACCCCCATCAACATGCTTCACGCTGAACTGCTTATCCACTACTCCTTCACTGTATCAATTCCTGAATTCGACAAGGATATCGAACGAGCAGCTACCAAACTAGTATTGAAACAAGCTCTCGCATTTCCATGGCTGATGCATGAGGTCCTCGCCATCTCAGCACGCCATATTGCTTGGTTGAAGGGGCCTGATGACGCGGCCCCATATCGTGCCCACGCCGCCCATCTCCAGACGCGGGCACTCAATCTATTTAACGCTGAGTCCCTGAGTATCAACGCCTCCAACTGCTCCGCAGCCGTACTCTTTTCATCGATTTTAGGCCGACACCTCCTGGCCGACACGTTGGCCACTCTGACCGATGGTGCCGACCTGTTGGTTTTCATTGACCACTATGTTCACTACGTTCAAGTACACCGTGGCCTTCGTTCCATTATCAGCAACGCCCATGACTTAGTGAAAGAGTCTGAAGCCTACCCCCTGATGATGTGGTCGGGCTACATGCGCACAGGGAAGGAAAATGGATCCCAGCTCGCTGCATTGCGTGCGTGGATCCAATCTTCGACGTCATCATTCGACGCAGAAAGCGCCCGCTCATGTGGTGAGGCTGTGGAAAAACTTCAGGGTGGACTGGATGACGCTCTTGCAACTGACGCGCACCCATTTCGCCGCTGTCAAGTTGCCCTTATATGGGCTGTCCTGTGCCCTGCACCATTCCAAACGCTCCTCCACCAACGTTGTCCTCAGGCCCTTGTCATACTCGCCCATTACGCAGTGCTACTACACTATACACGCGACATATGGCAGGTGAATCACACAGGTACCACACTCTTACGACTTGTGGTTAACTTTCTGGGTCCGGAATACAAAGAGCAACTGGAGTGGCCTCTAGCTGCTATTCGTAACGACGATATGGTGCCACTTAGATATCAATTTTAAAACGCACAGAGCCAAAAAGGACACGAACATATCACCCCCACAAAGACCATCTTTCATATATAACAACTTTTAAAGTGTGACATCAATGGTAAGAGGATATTGACAATTCGAGAACCAGTCACGACTATGACACCAGTGGTACAGTCGCATTTGCATACAATAGCAGGACATATCTACTATGTGCTATATGTACCAACACGCTTCATGTTCCAGCCGACTTTTTCAACAGGGAATGCCTGCATGCAAGTCTCGGCGTCGATTCATATCATGTGCGGTAGTGTTCGGTGCATTGTCGACTGTGAATAGGCTCGTGGCTGCCCCGATTTTGCCATTGATGGCTAAGATATCTTCCACCTTGATCACTTGGGTCTTGCGCGTCCACCCCAGCTCCGTAGGAAGACGTTCGTTCTCTAAAACACGAGTGAGAAGCGGAATAGTCAGTTTTTCTGTTTGTTCGTTTTTTTGTGATGCGTACGAGTGCAAAGGAAAAAGGACTCAACCTACCAAATAGGTATACAACCAACTCCCGGTCAACCGTTACTTTCTTGATGTCGCCAAAAGCGATGAAAGGCGCAGCCATCTCTCCCAAGCTGAAGTCCTCGATGTGTTCGGTGAACCGGTAGGTCGGGTTGAAGGCCTTGGACGCGAGTTGGCGAGCCACCTTGCTGTTGGCGATCATGTCAGCGTCGATGATCGGACCCCAGTACGCACGCGTTTCGTTGAATGTGGCTTGGTCAAACACGTGGTTGCTTCCGAAGTATGCGTCCATGCGGCTACTCGAATGTTAGCAAAAATCCATACGTATGAGAGGAAGTCCAAGTACGAACCTCAAGCTGGCGTCGTGCTCTAGCACGTTGTGACGATTTAAATCGTCACTGGAGTGATAGAAAATCATTAGCATAGTGACGAACGATAGGAGAATATGAAGACAATGGATCACACATACAGGGAGAAGAAAGTGGCATTAGGCTCAGGGTTAGCGATGACGGCCTGCTCGAACATGATATTGGCAAGAGCCGGATCAAAGTTGAGTGCTGAACCCATAGCGCTAACAACAGCCTCCTTGGTAATATTACGGCCATCATGAGGGAGGTAGCCATGGTTCGCCAAAGTGTTCATCATAGGGCATGGTCCTCGAACTGGTTGTCCATCGTTAGCATATATGCCAACATCTTTTGGAGACAGTTTTAATCGTACAATCAGTCACGGTAGGGGGATGCCACTCGGGCACTGGGTCAGCCCAGCCCAGAACGGAGAAGCCCAATACAGCAACGGGAAGTGCAATGAAACGCATCGTGGTATAGATAATTTGGAGGGTAGTAAAAGATAGTTGTCGATAAGAGGGTAAAACAGCGCGTGTATGAATCGAGTATGGCGTTCAGAAAAAAGAGCGAACTTTCTTCCATTCCTTATATTCCTTCTGCTCCCTCGTTCGACCTTCCATGACGAATGCAATCTCGACGTGCGCGTATACATGGGGAATTGATCTGCTCGTTGTCCGCGCATTCACTGACTATACGCGTATCGGATCGCTATACGAGTCGCTTTGCGCGTATAAAATCGGCTAAGCGGATTATACGGGTGGAACCCTCAACACGCGTATGGCTGTGTTTGAAACATTGTACTTGAGCTAATCATTTCGGAAGAACATCCAACGCCTCATGGGGGAATCAATCGATTGCCATTTGTTGAGGTGTACAGATGTCGCCATGCAGTGTCACGTATGGGTTATAGTTTTGAGGGCTCAAGATACCACATCTTTATAGGTGAAAGAACTTGATTATTCGTATCTTCATCAATCCTTCGTTACTGCCTCTTCTTGCAATCATTGATAGGATCTTTAGGTGAGCGAACACAGTGAGGGGTATACACGGAGAGCGAAGTACGAGGCCAATTCTAACGTCATAAAAAGAAATGGTCCGCAAGCCCTGATAAATTCTAACAAGCAAATCTTCTCCAATTAACGAATGAAGAAGGAATGATCTCTAATCTAGATTGCCCATCTCCAACCTGGATCAAATATAAGGTTCCCCATGCCCGACTATAGTCACTCCTTGCCATTCCCATCCTCTCACAGCCATACTCAGTACAATCCTTGTTCTATATCATCAACCCTCCATTGCTCGACCTTCCTTGTTCCCACGTTTCGAGTCCAGCATGAGTCGACGCGACACAACCGCAGCCCAGAAAGAGCATAACCTACAACACACCAAAACGACATCGTCAGTGACCACTTCTTTTTTTTTTTTAATAAAAAGCCAGAAGCAAGCGAGATTTAAACGGCGAATAAAAGGAAGAGAAAAATAAACTTACACAAGAGCAATCGCCAAAACAGCGGTCACCCATCCCAACCCACAGTGTGTGCCAACGCAGAGTCGCGCAACCCCCATAAACGTGAGGATCACAACCGCAGACCAGAACAGAATCTCCAGCGTATTCATAATGAGGTAGGCTCTCAAGCTCTGCCAGCGGTGGAATTTCGCGACATGAGTGGTGATGATTTGGTAGAGGAGGAAAACCAGCGTTTTGGCGCCCTGCGTTCCACCAGCAATCAGCTTCAGTTCAGTGTGCTCCAAAATCCAACAAACCCATGTAGGTCTATTGTCGATTTGGACGAAAAATGCTTTACAGGGTAATTTGGAGGGAAGGAGATGATCCAGAACATACCATTACGATACTAATTGTATCTGATCTTGTAACGGGGATACCCTTTGGCTTGGTTTGAATACGGACGCCGGTTACGACGATGACGATGACGACCAGTAGGATTGTAAGGCAATGCATTTTAGTTTTGAGCGCAGGATTGAAGATTGGCCCGTTCAGGAAACCCGAGGCTTTGTTTCGAAAGGAGTCCATTGTATATACGTGTGGATGTATAGATTTCGGCTGATTGAGCGAAGATTGACAGCGAAAGATCTTGGATCTGAAAACAGAAGGGAAAGGTAATGGAGGTAGAAGAGAAGGGAAGGGTCTTGATTGTGTACGAGTTGTGCTACTTTTCTAGAAAAGAGGAGCCTTGGACATATTATATACATAACATCAATGCCAATGCCACTGCCATCACAAACTCTTAGCCATGCAATTAATGTTGACGAGTTTTGGTAGACGCTTTGTAGAGTATGCCCAAAGCAATACGCGTATAAAGGACGAAACAGTCCGGTCGGGACCAAAGCCTTGAAAATCACTAACAAACTTTGAGATATCTGAGCCAACACGCGTAATTGTAATTGGACATGATGTTGCAAGCAAGAGTATGAGGCTTGACACGGGTCAAAGCTTGTACGAATATGCCTAGAGCTATACGCGTATTTACAAATTCACCAACTCGCTGCCTGCATAGCTTGGCGACAAACTAACCCTTATTGCGCCAGAGCCGTCTGCATCTCGACAGATCACTGAGCCTCACCCAGGCTCTCACCATATCAGTTCCAGGCTGACGCGTCAGCAATGGAGGTGCATATTCTTCGACCGAGAAATTCTTTCCTGACTCTCTTTTGTGTCACGGGTTCCAACTCAATTCCGTGTGGATGCACTTGTTATAATTTTTTTGTTGCATTGTTCTGATTGTTTCGCTTCGCTTGCTTCCGTTTGCCGTCAATACATAATGTCCCTAGCTCATGCAAGCTTGTATGCCGCCTTGGCGGGACAGATCCTATGACGCTCCATTCGCATCAAGATCGATAAACAAAGGTCTAATAACACATCGTACGCAATACATGTCCTGAGCATGCATCGCTCACAAGAATTGAGAGATAGCCGCATGCCAACCTATGACCCTTTTGCCCAGGCTGCCAAGTCAAAGCTCCGGAGTCCTGCGAGTGCATTGCAGGCCGATAATGGAAAAAGGGAATGAAGAAAGAAATGACACAGGTAGTGTACACAGATCCGGGAATCTGACAGGAATCCGTTGTGAACGTCGTGCATCGGATCTGAATAGGCGGCCTTCCGATACATTGGTTGACGCCAGTACACGGTGTCTTCATAGATGAATCCTCATGGTGTCATTGTTACCAAATGCCTTGCCACAGTTGGGGCATTTTCTGGCTCGGTTCGTCAGGCGGTCCTGGATACATTGGTCGCAAAAAACGTGTCCGCATGTTTTGATGACTGTATCTTTAATCTTATTTTTGCAGATTTGACATTGTAGCATGCTCTGTGCACTTGTTAGTATGATGTACCTCATCGGCTGCTTGGACGCAACTGACCTCCATTTGGGTGAATGTTTCACTTTGCTGGCCTTGGCTTTTCTTTTTCCAGTGATCGATTTGTTTGTCGAGACCTTCCACCTGTGCTGCCATCTTGTCGCGTTCAACCTCGGCCTCGCGCTGTGCCTTCTTCGCAGTCAGATAGTTTGTATCTTTGCTTTCGACAACCTTCTTGAGCTCCGCGATCTGGCCTACGTGGCTCTCAGCTGCTAACGCGCTTTCGTTGGCCTTTTGCTGCAACTGACGGTGCTGTGCTGTTAGATCATCCATCTGTGCCCTCATCTCTGCCGTCTGTTTTTCGAGCTTGTCGACCAAGGATCGGCTGGTAGAATCGGCCTCTTTGAGTTGAGCCACGACCTTGGTACCCTTCCCGACTTGCTCTTGAAGAGCCTTTAGCTGCGATTGCAAAGCTTCCTTCGCTTTCATTGCCGCAAAAAACTTTTGGTCTGCCTTGACTTTGTCTGCCATTGCTCTGGATACGTTCTCCTCCCACGTGGTGATATCAGCTATTTTCTTGCCAGCAATAGCTTGAGCCTTCTTCCACAACGCCTCCATCGCTGGTAGCTCGTCACTCAGCATTTTATTCTGGAGTTCGTAGGTTTTAACTTTGGACCGTAATTCCTCCAAGGATAAAGACTCGAGGTCAGGCGACCCTTCTGTAGACTCTTTTCCTTCAAGTTGCAAACGCAACCTGTCACATTCGGACTCCAAAGTCTTGATGCGGTTCTCACAAGCGCTTAAAAGCTCAGCGGTTTGCTGCTTTGATGTCTCAGTATCTTTCCGGTTCGATTCAAGTAGCTTATTCTCCACCAGCAGTTCGTCCCTGGCGTGACGGATGCGGGTCAAGTTTGATTCTGCTTGCACCACAGCGCTTTCAGATTCGCTCATCGTGGCACGGGCTTCATCGTCAACTTTGATCCGATATGCAGTTCTCTCCGCTTGATATTTCTTGGCCTCCTCACGAAGTTGTATATTTGTAGCCTCCAGGTGGTTAATCCTTTTAATGACGTCCTCATGCTGCGATTTTATAGCTTTGAAAAGATCGGTTTTAGCATAGTCGTCATCCGAAAGACCAGCCAATTTCGCAGTCAATGCGGTGACCTCGTCAGTCAATTTCTTGTTCACAGCCTCCAATTGTTCGACGTGCTCTTTGCGTTTAGCAGCCTCGGCAAGAGCTTGATCTCGCGCAGTCTCCACCTCTTCAGCCAATGGTCCAGATGATGTACCATTCACGGGTTCCACGCCATTGCTTGCCGAGGGGGTCTCTTCTTTAACAGCAACGCTCGAAGCGATAGCCTGGCTCTCCAACTTTTGTACCTGCTGGCTCTTCAGGCGATCAATCTTCTTCTCGGCAATCATATAACGGTGCGTGGCAGTGACAAGACGCTCTGACATTTGTTCTTTCTCAGTGATGACCCGTTGCAGCTCACATATGTGTTCTTTCTCGGATGCAAGCAGTCGCGACATCTGATGCTGGAGAGCGGAGACCTCCGGGCCTGTAGGGGAGTATTTGGCGAAAAGTCCAGATAATGCCGACACAATCTTGTCTTTGCGGTCGACAAGATGTTCTCGCATGTTCTGTGAGTCTTCGAAAAACAAAGTAGATGGAATAGAACGTGTCGAGTCTATCGGCGCAATTGTCAGGGGTGAACTTCGCACTACCTTTTTATAATGAGACTGCGACTCACCAAGCTGTGGGACGGTGGGCAGCTTTTCTTCGCTCAAGACCTTGATCTCGTCAACGAGCTGGGAGAGCGTTAGTGGAATTATCAAGACCTCGGAAATGATCAATACTGACCTGATCGAACCATGCATCTATTGTACGAAGGTGGTCATCGTGGTATTGCGAACGGGTTTCGATCTCGGTGAGCTGAGCCTCGATGGTGGCCTTTTCACGCTTGTACTCGCGCATTTGCCGGAGGATGGCATCTTTTTGAAAGGCCTATATACAAGCAGAATGTGAGCGATTGGGTTTGAGGAGGCGCAGAAGACGTGGCGAAAGAAGGGGGCGAACGAACCTCTATCTCCTCTTTCCATGGTAGGTCAGCATCCGGATGCGACCTCGCACCGTTAACAGTTACAGCTTGCCTCTTAGCAGGAGGAGCGGCGTCTTCATGCCCAGCTGGCCTTTTGCGGTCCTCCATCTTGACTGTGTCAAGCGATGGGGGTGCGACGATCCTTGATTCGAGCCTCATCAGATCAGACCTGTACGGCGTTGATAAGGGGCAACGACAGTGACAAAGCCGATCACGTCATTAAGCAGCAAATGAGGGTATGAGTGGGTTGTAGAGCAGGCGCGCACCAGGAGGGACTCCGGGATTGATTGTCGTGTGAGGCCGGCGAGGAGGTGGGTAAGAAGAGGTCGCCAGGACATGAGGCCGAATTGGAGAATCCATCAGCGGTTATGTAAGCCGCACGGGCGCTCGGGCCCATTTGGGGGAATAGCGCGAGTCAACCAGGCCGAACATTACATGCATGCTACGGCTGGTTGACTTGCAACGAGTGTTGATGCGTAGGTGGTAATTAGGTAGGTAGGTAGGTAGAATGGAAATGGTACGTAGAGGTGGATGGGGATGATGGATGGTTTCTGTCATGAGGATTGCTGGTTCTCTTCGTTAATGTGAATTTTATCGCCGTGTGGTGAGAGAGAATGGACCAATTACTGCCTAGATGTTACAATACAGCCATCATCGCCAAAAGTGCGCGACGTTAGTCCGTTTTAGCAGCCATCAAGGGCTGCGCAACGCGCCCCACACCGAACGAGCAACCATCCATCGCCGCATCCCCACTATTTTCCTTCTCTTTATACACTTTCCCTCCCAAGGTCAAGATTGCATACATTTTGCTTTCTCCCTCCTATGCTGCAACGTCGGCAAGCGTCTTGTAGTCATGTCGGAAGGAGGGGAGTCACAGCAGCAGCCGCCGCCGCCGGCTGCCAATGCTAACAATGATAAACCGCGGCCAAAGCCTGTTATGACTTCTACTTTCATAAACAGTAAGTGCTTGCTCGTTGTACCGCCGCAACGGTAGAGACTAACTGTCCAACAGAGGGCGCAAAAGTGTTCGCTCCCAAAGTCAAGGGTCGAAGAAGACCTGCTGCCGCTACTCCTACCACCACTTCACAACCTCCAGCTTCTACCGATTCGACAAGTGCGTCGCAAGCACAAACACAACCAGACATCCGACCAGCCGATGCCCAATTACCAACGCCGCAAGCAACCCAAGAATCTGCGATACAAGATGCAACACACTCTGAGCAAATTACAACCTCGCCTTCCACCGAGGCAGTTTCCGTTCCCGAGTCTTCGTCGAGTATTACGCCAACCAGTGTTTCGATCCAACCACAGACACAAACAAGCAGCGTTGTTCCCGCAGCCGATTCCCTGCGTGCGATCCAGGCAAACTTCACACAGCCAATTAAGGATACCCAGGCCGCAGGACCCAGATCGGAAGTGACCCGCACAGAACCTCTCGTTTCAGACGATGGCAACAAGGCATCCCCATTACCTACCGAACCCACGCAGTCCCGAACAGACTCTCTCCAGAAGCCTACGCCCGAAACCAACGGGGCAAATAATACTCAGAATGCCCGGGAAGATACTAACACATCGGTCGCTCCACCAGAGGTGCTCCCAGAAGCATCTCCGGTGATTGATCAGACAGAGCATACGAGCAATCATAGAAGTACGCCGGCGCCGGCAGCAGCGGACCCAATAGAGCTACCAAATCAAACGTTACCATGGACAACTGTAAATGCGGCACAAGAAGAAGGCGAGGAGACAGGCGAGGGAGCAGGCGTGACCACAACGAAACCCAAACCCAGGGCGAAGCGGAGGAAAGGACCAGTGACTCTCAGAAATATGGATGAGGAGGAAGCAGAGGAGGGCGAAGAGGACGCAGATTATGTAAAGCCGAAAAGAAAACCCGCGAAACCTCGGAGCAAGAAAAGGACTACCGAAGCAGTTCCTGCCGGCGATGAAGTGACCGAAGATGCTACTCGCCCTACAAAGAAACCACGCAGAACAAGGAGAGGAAATACAACGGAAAATGCTGAGCAGACAACTGCTGGAGACAACGCGCCAGAAAACGATGCAACTCCAGCTCGACCAAAAGCTAATCGAAAACCGAGAAAGAGAACCACTCAATCGCAGGATGGTGTCATAGAGGGGGAGCCTGAAAGTAATGGAGCACAAGCACCCAGACGGAAAGGACGTCCGCCACGTGAAGAAACACCTTCCGACGCTGAAAATGAAACCATCGATGTGGAGACTACATTCATGGGCAATCTCGCGGCTCGCAACATTCGAGTCGGCAAACTATCTCAGCGAGAAAAGAAGATGAGGGAGGTGAACTGGGACGAGATCAGGGCAAAGTGGAGGGAAGATGATGCTTTGGGCAGCAGCCGCAGCCGCGAAGAGCAAGCGGAAGCCTTGCGGAAGCTGAACGAAGCAGCCCAAAACAGTGGTGCCATTCAATCGCAGGGAGAACAGCTAGAGATAGGAGAGGATGGGCAATTTCGACTCAAAGCTACCGCGCGAGTTATTGATCAGGGTGCGGAAGCAGATCGATACTTTGAAACCATGGAGACGGTGGCCGAAGACGACCTGACTAACCGCATCACGCACAAAAGCTTCTTGCGCAACAATAAAAGACACCCACAGGAGTTCATGCTACCAGGGCAAGGTCGGCGTTGGAACCTCAAGGACACGAATGACTTTTACGATGCTCTGCGAATGTTTGGAACGGACTTCATGATGATCTCGACACTGTTTCCGGGCGCCACCCGTCGTTCTATTAAACTCAAGTTTGTTCGTGAGGAACGGGCCGACCCCGATGGTATCCGCGAAGCTCTTCACGGGAAGGTCAATAGTGACTGGGACCAATACCTTATCAACTCTGGCCGTCAAGAATCCGATTTCAAGGACCCGGACGAGATCATGCGCGAGCTTGAGGAGGAGAAGCGCTCGTTCAACGAACAGATTGCGGCGGCGAAGGAAGCTGCTGAGGAGGAGAGACGGCAGAGGCGGCTGGCGGGTATCGACAGTGACGCCGAGGAGGCTGGGGAGAAGGAGAATGCAAATGGCAAGAAGAAGAAGGGTAAAAAAGACAAGACAGTCCAGTTTGCGGAGGAAGGAGTCGAGATCTTGGGCGCTGTGGATGAAGACGATGGGTGGGGACAGTAGTGGGAGATTCGAGAAAAAGAGAAGTTGTGGAGTTACCAGTGTGCAAATTCCGGAAATGAGAGGGGTGTAAAGGGAGTGGTATTGAGGCCATGCTGTAGCAAATGCTGGGTCGTCTCCTTTCTTCCTATCTCACTAAGTTTCTATTGCGGATGATTCTCCAATGATACCCCGAATCCATCAAGTTTTCAATCAATTATATGCTTCATAACGATTACCCATGAATTTAAGTAAACAACTGACTGTCGTGTGCTTACCTACACTGGTCTTCGAGTTCGCAGTGAAAGCACTCGCGTAAACCAATATCGTACGTTACAGTCCTAGTTTATCCCAACGCGGCTGCTACTGTATACATGCCCATCACTTCGTCCTTCATCAAGCCCCCGTCAAACCGAAGGGTCTGGCATGAGAAAAGCATGAATTGATAGAAGTGTTTTCCTGGAAGGATTGAGGCTCGCATTCGTTTTTGTCAACCAGTTCAAGCGTTGTTTGATAAAGACTTTATCGATATCCTGTTCCCGCGGGTTGGAGGACATGTCGCCATTCTCGTCGACATATAAGCACAGAATGGCAAGAGCGACGCCAACGGAGAGGTCTTTCCCTGTTGGGCAGCACACCAGGATCTTCCTGGGTGGGGAGGTAAGAGCGGAGAAGAATGGGACGAGATGTGGAAGTTGCGAGCGTAGGTCCCGCGAGCCAGGTTTACCGTTCTGGCACTTTAGATGGAGATAGTTCTTCTTTTGAGTCGTTCCAGGGGTGGGGTTTGGTATTGGTAGAGGCTCCGCTCCACAGCTGATAACTACATCGAATGGTGTCGTATCTAGGTTCTGTGTGGCTGATACGAATAAGTTTGCTGTTGGTTCGACAAGAATAGGTGCTGCGTCAGAGGCCTCCTCCTCCAAAGCTATTTTCTTGATAAGTGCTGGTAATTCCTCTTCGTTCGTTTCCAGGAGCTGCGTCTTGTGTTTCCAGAACAAGGTAGGGGTGAGGCCGCCCGACCATGCTTCGTGATCATCTGCAGCTCCCTGAACGTATCCACTTTCAGAGCTCTCTGAACTCGTGACACGACGCGAAGCCGTGCATAGAATCAGTGGGTGCATATCAGGATACTGCGGAATACTCTCAGGTAGCTCTGAACTCTGCGTGATCCATATTGGACGCAATGGCTTCGAAATCCGGGATCGTAGGTACTCGAGGTCAGGTCTGCAGACATCTAGGAACTGTCGAACAAACCCATCAATCCGTCTTTCAATCTTCTCGTGCTCAGAGGCAGAAACGACGTCCTGCGGAGTATAGAGTTGGTGGTGCGACGCACAGTTTGGGAATATTGCACGGTTCATAACACAGCACCATATCGGGATTGTTTTTGATATTGAATCGGGCATGATTTTCCGTCGCGTCGAATCCACAATGATTGCTCCATCTCTTTCTGCTATTACCTCTAGCAACTGTAGGTTTACCCTTCGCAAGCTGAAACCCCATTCTTCAACGTGGCCGTCGGTGCTTTTGAAATAGGCGCTTCCGGTTTTTAGGGCGGGCGAGATGTACCAACTTCCGCATCTTTCGTTGGCGATTAATGGCAATCCATAAGAATGGGAGACCCGCGTGGCAAATAAAGAGTCTGACGTTATGGACTCCAGACGATTGTGTATCGAATGCGCCGGTCTTCTTGGAGGTTGAGAATTCTCGGGAAGAGAAGGCTGGGGTTCTGAATTTGTTTTGACTGCCATGGTTGAGTCTCAATTTGAGCTTGGTTCACCACGCAATCTGTGTAAGTGGAGTGGATTTTATTTCATACATATTGTGTAGTCATGGTCAAAGACCTTGATCTTGGTCCCCGATGTTAAAAGCGCCGCCAGAACGATAAATGTCTTGGCACGTCCCCGCGCTATTCGACTCTTCAAATTGATTCTGCCTTTAAGTGAGGATAAATTTCACCATCATACAATATCTTGGATTTTACGAGCAAGAGTTACTGCAGTATAAAAATCAGGGCGATATCATATTGAAGTTCATTTCATTTCATGCTAAAATGGTGCCGACCAAGTGCTTCCACTAAGTAACAATATGACCATATGTGCTCATTAAATCGTAGATGTACTTTGTGTACACGGATATTACACTGCTGAGAGATGCATCTTGCGTGTGTATGGAGGGAAGAGGACCGTCGTGCAATGCACATCGATATACTTTGTTTCGAGTACTTCTTAGCACATGTCGAAGTCGCCCGATACGCCCGGGCTCTGATACCGACCATCCGCTGTCAATAGCTCAAGTATAGCGTTGAGTAGAGGCTCCTCTATTTGCATGTTTTGCAAATCGGTGACCTTCTGCAGAACAGACTTCTTCTCGTCACCTACTACATTGGAGATTTGCCATTTCTTGTCGAGATACATGTTAGCGTTGAACAAGATCTCGTTCGTAATGCGTGGGACTGGGTCAAAAATATCGAGTTGGGGGCCCGCAGCGGAAGATGTCATAGGGAGCTCGATAATGCAGGTCTGCGCCGTTGGAACAGCGGAGAGAGAGATCAAGGTGCCATTGTGTACGGACTCCACGTTATATGACAACGACTTCGCGCGTTTGGAGGAAGTGGTGATGCAGCGAATTGACCCAGCAGGTGTTGTGCTGCTCTGAGATGTGTGGGCAATGAGACGCACTTTCCACTCCCGGGTCTTGGGAATGCTAGGATCGTTCGCGGGATAGGCGGGCCCGATCGTGATGACACCCGTGTCTTGCTTGTACGTAATCGGTGTAGTAACAAGATGAACACTCTCGTCTTTCTCCATATCGGTGTCGCCTGACTCCACCATCTGGAATCCACCATCGCTGACGTAGGATCCAGTCCCGTTATCTTCGAGAAGATCGAAAGAGCCATTTGCGCCTACTACAAGTAAGATCTCTACTGCCTCAGGGTTGGGCGAGCCGCTCTTAGGACGCCAAGCAGCATCTAGAGGAATGATTGCTCCCTCGGAGGCAAGCACGGGGGTCTGGTCCAGAGGGCGATGAAGCTGAAATTTACGGTCGCCATCATACACAGTACCGGTGAATATATCGACATAGCGTTTGGGTGGGAACCACATCTTGATAGCTCCCAAGTGGGTCGTTGTATTGCGTGGCTGGGTGATTGGGGCCACGATCAATTCGCTGCCGAAGTGATACTCGTTCGGGACTTGGTATGCTTCGTCGCGATCGGCATAATCCCAATACATTGGTGTTATGATAGGCTCATCGTTCATGGCCGAGCGCGCATTCATAGTGTACAAATAAGGGATGAGACGGTGTCGTAGGCGCAGTGTGTCCTCCACAATTTTGCAGGCTTCGTCTGTGAATGCCCATGGTTCGCGAGTGTTGAATGGGTTCATGTCGGAGTGCAAGCGCAGAATAGGTGACCAGCACCCCAACTGTACCCACCTTGTATACAACTCATCATCTTTGTAGCCCTGTGTGTGTCCACCAATATCGTTGCTCCACCACCCGTATCCGATGTTAGATGCGGTCGCTGTAAACTCAGGCTGGAAGTCTAACGAATTCCATGTGATGATTGCGTCCCCGGAAAATCCGACCTGGTATCTTTGCGCCCCGGGTCCGCCAAATCGAGAGAATATCAGAGGTCGTTGAGTGCCGCGGCCTATGTCCAGGAAGTGGAAATGGTTCAGAACCCACAGAGGGTCAACCCCCGGGATTTTAGACCCTTGTCCCTGCTGCCAGTCAACCCACCAAAAGTCTACGCCTCTTGCTTCGTGCTGATGATGAACGATATCGAAATAAGCATCGACAAAATTTTTGTCCGTACAATCGAAATCGACAGTTTTCTTGCTAGCTGGATCAATTCCCATGTATTTAGCAACCTCTGGGTACTGCTCTTCCCAATGTCGGATACCGTCAGCGGGGTGTAGGTTGAGCGTAATCTTCATACCGCGATCATGCAGCGTCTTCAAAAACTGATCCGGGTCAGGAAACAGTTTCTTGTTCCAAGTGTAACCGGTCCAGCCGTTCTGACCTTCGGGGATCTCTTCCCCTGGCCTAACAAGGTGCCAGTCCATATCTACTACGGCGACATTCATAGGAACATCGTCGCGGTTGAAATGGTCGAGCAATTGATTGTACTCTTTCTCGTCGTAGCGATGGTATCGACTCCACCAGTTGCCCATTGCGAATCGCGGTAACAAAGGCTGGCTCCCAGAGACAGCGTAGTAAGCCCTGAGAGCATCGCGATAGTCGTGACCGTAGAGGAAGATGTAGGTGTCGCTCCTGTCACCACTCTTGCGCGGAGCGATCCATCCGTTATTTTCAAACAACATGGTCTTGGTGTCATCCAACACGGCAATGCCTTCTCGCGACAAAACGCCCGGGCCGAGCTCTCTTCGGCCATCTGCCCCGTCCAAAGTTCTCGTTGTGCCGCCCAGGTTGGATACCTCCTGCCCATATGTCCATTTCGCGGTAACGGAGCCCTTGAGTTGGATCACAAAGCCTTCGGCGCTGAATTTCTTCTTGTTGTATACGACGTGGAAACGTTTGGTGACGAGTTCAACCTGGTTACCGCGATCCCAAACGTAAAAGTCGGGAACTGCTAGCTCTCGGTTGATGGCAAAGGTGGATGCGCGATCCTCAAACTGGCCATCCTCGGCCCACTCGAAGCGCAGCAGACCATCGGTCAGCACAGTGAAGCGATACTTGTCACCGGAGAGAATTGCATCTGGATGAGCGACCGGACGGGTCTTGAAGTTATAGCGGGCGGGCTTCGCCATGGCGATGGCAAGAGGCAGGTGCAATTGGGAGGAATGGCGACGATCGAGGAGGCAAAAGCGGGTGCGGGCCTCGGTTTAAGTGCTTGTAGGATGCAGTGAACAGAATGGCAGTGTTGTATTGCCCAGCCATCCATGCGTGAAACGGCACAAAGCAGATGGGCTTGTGACTTGCGCACATGGGGCGTGGTGGGTCGTCAGACGCACCGACCTCCGCATTCCATGCGTCATCTTGGCATGAACGCCTGGGGAAGGAGTGTGTGTGCAAAAACAATGCTGCAAGGCAGACAGGGAGGACGAAAAAGATGACAACATGACGATGATGATGGTGGCCCTGATGATATCGAAGATGGATGGTTACGCCAAGTGTCGCGGGACATGCGCAGATACTCACATGTCATGCGTCATGAAGCTGCAGAGTTAATTCGTCCCCTGCATAAACTCGGCCGGCCGCATCTCGCGGTTATCGCGGTGATATAACAACTGTTCGTTGTATATGATGCCTATGCTTCCGTACCTTTGCGTCGACCGAGAACAAACAAAGAGTAGTGACCAAAGTATACAAGTTTCAAATGTTGTCAACACCAGGTTTGCGACACTAAATATCACAGAGGAAACAATAACGAGATGCATCATTCTGATATTGAAAACTTCCTCATGCATAGGTATGTCTTAGACATAGTTCATGCCCTGGTACTCTATGTTGCATCCAGAACATTCTGAACAAGTGAGTGTATGTACATGACCATACCCTAGTACGAGCATCACCGCATCTACCATGCATCTGATCATCGTCCTTCCATCTGTGCATCCACATCATCTTCTACTTCACCATCCCAATCCCAGACCACCTTCTCGCCACCCGCTTCTCGATTCAATGCATCTCTGAGCCTGCTTCTGACCTCCATCAGCGCCTTTCCTAAACGATTCTCTCCCCATTCCTCCCTCATCCCATCCGCCTCCTCAGCTTTGTATCCGATTCCCCATACCCTATCAAAGGGACTCGCCTCTGCAAGCACTTTATCGCTGGTACCCAACAACACTTTGCTCAATCCCTCCCCCTTTCCGCCTCTTCTATCTTCGCTTGCTATAAACTTGTACCAGCTCACAACTCTCGCAGCCCGGCTCTTGACTTTTGTCCATTCGCAGTCATTGAACCCTTTCAAGCTCCGTCCAATAGCTTTTTGTTTTCGAGGACTGTCCTCCGCTAGGATTCGAGCACAGGCCGAAGCGTCTGAGAAATAGAGTCCTTTGCAGAACATGAAAGCTTGCTCTGCACTCGAAAAGGAGATTTCGGCACCATAGTTTGCCAGTATCGTGGATGCGGTGTCCAGGAAACGTAGCGAGATAGTGGAGACAAGGACAGGAGAGGAATGCCACTGGCAAAACACGCCATACGGTGTCTCGTTGGGCTTCCAGAAATATACCGCATCAGTTTTGGTACTTGCAATGTCTTTCGCTGGACCAGCGGGATTCGCTTTGGGGTTTGGCATGTCTGTTTGATTGCCCCGGATGAGAGAGTGGAGAATGAGTGGTGGCTCTTCTGGGAGGATTGAATGCTATCACGGTGATGGCCTTCTGGCAGGTGGATTCAGTTGCGCTTAGTTGTTTGTAGTAATTCTCTTAAGGGAACTGCCCGTTCTTAAATAACCAACCCCCAAGCCGACAACACCCTGTGGGTACCTTGGTACTTACTGCGCCATGAATAGGCTGGAAGGGTGTTATAATGGTCTCATATGTTATTGGTGAGCATACGCACTGATCCCGTTCACCCTCTTGTAATTCGCCAAACTGTCATATGGAGTTTTGTGAGTCACAACATGCATGACAACATTATGTGCTTCAACTGAGTCTGCGCCACAAATGGGTTGCGGCGCACGCGAATGTTCGCACGACTAAGCGTTAGTCGTACGAAAGCGTCTGAGAGGATTGACTCAAATGAAATTCCTGTCTACGAACCATTTGTACGGTGCTATGAATTGAAAATACGGCTATAGAGTTTTTCGTGTCGCCCGACCCATAGATCCATGACAGGCACACTCTGACCCGCGTCCTCAATAGGTGTGTTCCATCCATCTTCAACAAGGCCATTAATTCGTTGCTGTAAGTCAGATCCAGCAAGCACAGCTTGTGCTTGATATGGTCCCATTACGCTGGCGCGAACGGCGGCACTCGTGATGGTTCGCGCATGTGAAAACAGGAAGAGATATGCTGCGTCGTGTAGTGGGACAGCCAGAGCGCGAGTGACGAGACCCCACAGTGGGGCATAGTGGGCATTGACCTCGTCGGAGGAACGTATTGTTTTGGAAAATGCTGTCAATGAGTCGGCCGCGATGTTTTCTCCTACTGCGTTGTTTTGATTGTACTTTGCTTTGAAACTCCGGTCCCAAACGGTAAGTAGCGCCCGACCTTGCGCTACGCTTGCTCGACGAGCCACGGTGCATGGTGTACTTGCATCGAAATCATTGTCGAGTGTTTCGGCTTGTTCTGGATGCCGGTAGCCAGCCAATACATAAGGTAGTGCAGTCCCCGCGAGCGTCGATAAAGAGAGTTGAAGGAAGATGGAGAATGAAGCAGCCTGAGATGTGGCCGACGTTGATGTCTGCAGTTTATGGTGCGCGAGATAAGATTCAAGGCCACTACTGAAGGCAAAAGAGCCTAGTGGCAGGGCTGAATCTGATAGCAAGAGGAGAGCATGTAGAGCTGCAATATGTTCAGATCTTTGTTGATGAATGTGGCTCTTTGGCCGGGGGGTTTGGGATGCCACAAACCCTCATCTTGTGCTCGTCGCACAGGCTGTGATGGCGATGAATGACTTGGAGCTTCACTGACATTCAGTCTCGACCTAGCCGTACGCAATCGGCTTTCAAGATCAGCTATCTCGGCTTCCAGAGATGACTGGTGGCTAGTATTGGCTGTCATTGGGGTGGAAAGGAAAGGAGTGGTATTGAAGCTATAAGTGGAGGAGCTTTCGCGACTATCGCTCGCTCGCCTAACTCTTTGTAGATGAGTAGCAATACATGTGCTAGGATTAGCCTGCGATCAACTTGAAGATGCACGACTCTAAACTGTCATATCACGAACGAGCACAATGAGGAAAAGTTTCCCGAAATAATACGAATAGCTCAGTTTGTAGTAATGATGATGATGCTGTTTATCACCCAATGCTCGGGCAGGACCGGCGAGATAACCAGTAGAAACAAATGTTGCTATCAATGAAGATTTTTTCTCTTGAAGAAAGTCCATACCATCGATTGCAGATGTAGTCTTGCTAATTAAGAATACATGTATCCTACAGTCATGGTCATAATTCCCAAAACCAAAACTCCATAGTAAAGTAACACGTGCCCGTTGTGTTCCTTGACCGATCTCAATTACCCAAGTCATCCCATCCAGGGATCTGAAAGCCTGATCCGTATCTTAGGCGTACAAAATTGGGTATAATCAAGATTTAAAGTACCCCGGAACAAACAGAGAAGCTCCCACCATGGTTCTCCGAGAAGAAGATCGTAAACTCATAAAGGTCATTATCATGCACAATTTGCATATTAGACCCCGTTGGCGGTTCTCTGATCTTCTTTCGAGACGGACTTGGAAATGTCTTCGAAAGCACCACTGTCCTTGGCAGCCTCGTGGTTCTTAGAGCTGGTCTGCATGAACAATGTTTTGGGCTTGGAGCTGGGAAAATGTTAGAACGGCTGAACTCGGGTAAACATGGACTATGGCTTCCTTACTTCTTCAGGATGTTGCGACCCCGATGAGCGCTCAGCTTTTGAGTGGCGGGCGACATGATAGCATCGGATGGCGAAACAAATTTTTCTTGCGACCTGTGTACGTGTTAGTCTCGCGGTGCACGGCAGGGCTATGCAGTGATCTCAAACTCACTTCTGCTTATCGAGACGCGATTGCAGCATGTCACGGTGATACTGCATACTCTTTGGCTTCTCCTCCTCGGACGATGCCTGTTTGAGTTGCGCGTTGGTGTCGCGGTTGCCGAGAACGTTTGGAGAAGACATGTTGGTTACAAGAGAAGAAGTGTGTACTTAGTAGTCAAAGTGGAGTCGGGTGGCTTCAACTTGAGTTGTGTCAGGTAGTATGTGAACAAGCGTTTCGGGCGGAGGGCTGCATGTATAAAATACCAAATTTGTTTTGGTAGCCTGCCGTTGCCATGGTGATCGTTATCGATAGGAGAATATGCATGCGCGCGCGTCACTACCTCCCAACATTTGATCACTGATACTCCCCATCTGTGTCCTAGTGGCTAAATTGATCGCATGACTTGCTCCTTGAACCGGCCAGTGGCTGATAAATTCTCCGGAGAAATCCATTCATCAAGTACCCACCTATGTATTGCCCGAACACGAGCGACGTACACTTCAGCATGGTAAGATAACATTTATCGAAAATAGACTCTAATAGTCATACAGACTGCGTGTACAGCTAGCTCTACTTTTCCTGGCTACCAGTAAAAAGATGATAGAACCCATAAACGTACAATTATACATACAACTACTAGCCACTGCAACGTATGAACAGGACTGCAAAAACGCCAACCGTGCCTGCTTTCTAATCTTGAGCTTTCACATTCATCTAGAACCTCATCTGCACATCCCCGCTCTTGCGGTCTCCCATCGCCTCTTTGAAGCCCTTACGATTCAGGATCTCTTCTACCTTTTCCATGATTGGTCCCTCCCTTCTCCTGCTGTGATCGCCCTCCTTCAGCTCGTATCCAGCCCGGGTTGCCGCTTCCAAGTTCTCGTACTCCCAGATGTTGGCCTTCATACCCACACCATGATACTGGTGTTTTTGTAAAAAGGCTAGCCATGCCTTTACAACATCGGGATGCCCGTCCTGAATCTGGATCAACCTCCTCATTGTAACACGCTCAAAGTTCTCTTGCGACTTTTTGAAAATGAAATTCGATCGCGGAACGGTCCAGCGCTCTGTGATGCGAGGAAGAGGAACGGGACCGCGGGCACAAAGGCCCATATAGTATGCGGCACGTACGGCGAAATCGGCAAATAGTAACAAGTTTCGGATGTTATAGGTGCGAAGCTGCAGATCGCAGACGGGAACGCCATATTCGGGGCTGCGACGGAACGGACGGAGGTGGATAGCTTGGACATTGACGGGAGCACGCAGCTCTTCGAGAGCTTTCTGAGTTTTGGGGTCGAGTGGCGTTTCGTCCTTACCGGGCAAGGTGATGCCACGTTCTCTGCAGCAGCAATGAGCAACGAATATCCTTCGGCTAGGAATTATGAACATACTTTGCAAGTTTGATTGGTTCAATGCCCATTCTTTTCCATGCATGTAGCAACATATTGTGATCTGGCTGTTCCTGCATGTGCTTCACCCGCTCGTCCAGCTTCTCCTTTGTCGCCGACTTGAAATTGAATGCTTTTTCCTTCTTCTCGGCACGTTCGAAGGTATTCGAGACCCTGCATTCACCATCAGCTTGTTTTTGATATGTGTGGCCTGATTCCGTACCGTCTGTATTCCTGGGGATCAACACCCAAATCGGCCAGGGCCTCGTCCAAGCTCGAAGAACGGTTCTCAAGCATCTCTTTGACTAGAATATCCAGTTCGGCAGCATCGCGGTTGTCCTTGAATTTGTATTCGCCATTGTTTTCGCCATTGTTTTCGGCTCCCGAGCTTTGCATTCGCACGAAGCCGTGAGGTCCAGGGAAACATGACCGGGAAGGGGGTGATATCTGTCGCCGCGTGAGCCACTACGCCATGCCATTCCATCAATCGTTCCACACCTTTATTCGTTTCGAGGGGGCCAGTAATGGCCGTAGGCACCTAGGCGTCGCCATGATAAGATGGAAGGTGCTTGTCGCAGTGCTCTAGAAAGTAGAATTCGAACATCGTACACTAGCTCACGACCCGGCAAAACCTCGTCTTCGGAGGTGACCGAAACACTCGCGCCAAGACCTAGTCTTCCGCTCTCCCACTTTCATGCCCACAATCTTGGTCTGTTTCTCGATCAAATATTTCGTCTATAATTCCGTCAAACATATTCAGTCGCTGATAAGATTCTCGATTCACCATGGATGACAAGGATGCTTCCAACACGCCGAATGCGTACGTTCGTGCTACAGAAACTGCCGATTATGTACGTTCCAAGCTACCAGAGGCCCTCCAAACGCCCAAAGTAGCCATCGTATGTGGCTCTGGGCTGGGTGGTCTCGCAGACACGGTCGAGGCAGAAACAAAGGTAGAACTGGCTTATTCCACTATACCTAATTTTCCTCGAAGTACCGGTAAGTTGGGCTTGTGCCTTGTGATGGCCTATATTGCTTTATCGGCAAAGTTCTGCACTTACTGATTCGATAACAGTACAGGGACACGCTGGAAACTTCGTATTCGGATATATTGGGCCCCAGAGATTGCCAGTGGCGCTCCTTGTTGGACGAGCACAGTTAGTTACCAGCTACTACAAAGAAGCCTCGGCTCAACCATCACTGAGTTGGGATCACAACTAATCAAGACAGTTTTTACGAAGGCCATTCCATGGATGTAGTTACATTTGCAACCCGAGTATGTAAACGATTGGGGGTTGAAACAATGATTGGTAGGCAGGAGTCCGCATACCCAACTCTCCCAATCCATTCTAACAAAACATAGTCACCAATGCAGCGGGCGGCCTCAACGAGAACTTCGAAGTTGGTGATATAGTATGCTTGAACGATGTACGCATGCCGTCCGAGACGCAAAGTTTGATTGAAACCTGACACGCAACAGCATTTGAACCTACCTGGTCTCGTGGGTATCAATCCTCTGCGTGGCCCTAACATTGAAGAATTCGGGGTCCGTTTCCCACCCCTATCAGACGCATACGACTTAGACTTGAGACGCCGAACATACAAAGCATGGAAGAAGCTCGGCTTGGATCAGCAGAAGAGACGACTACATGAGGGTGTATACGCTTTCCTCTCCGGACCGACGTAAGGAGTGATCGCACAAGCATTTGGTACTGCACATTGCTAACAGCCTCCAGATATGAGACCAGAGCGGAATGCAGAATGCTCCGCACGCTAGGCGCAGATGTGGTTGGCATGTCCACAGTCCCAGAGATTGTAGTTGCCCGTCACTCTGGCGTCAGGATTCTAGCTTTTAGTCTGGTGACTAATAAGGCGGTTCTTGAGGCTGGCCCACGAGGTGACGATGAAACTATTCAGAACTTGTCTGCGACCGAGCTTGACCACCATCTGAGTGCGGGCAAGGCCAACCATCAGGAGGTATTGGACGCAGGTCGTGAAGCTGCCAAAGATATGCAGGCTTTAGTCAAGCAGGTACTGTTGGATCTACACGAAAATTAGTTAGCTTAAATAGAAGTAGATGAGTTAGACCTCGACTTACCTACTAGCACCAACATGCCCAGGTGGGGAACAAACGCTGTGTGATCTTTCTGCCACCATCAAGCGGTGCGCGTGCCTACATCGAGTGGGCAGTCTGCAGTGATCAATCAAGGTTTTACCACTTTCCCTTTGCTACGTTTTTCCTGTAGCGCCTTATAGAAAGCCTTTTTGCCGCTGGACTTTGATTTCAAGATGTCATCATATTTCCTCTTGAACTTGCCGGAGCTTTCTTCTTGTGCCAGCACTTCTTCGACAAAGGTTCGTTTGCGATCCTTGTTAGCAATGCGGCTGTTGTAGAATTCAGTGGGGCCTTCGATGACGGTCCCAACCTGACTGTACGCTGGCACGTCTGATTTGGAATCAGACTTCTTATAGTGCCGCTTAGCATCAAGAACATTGCGCATCTTCAACAGCTGAAGATCACGACGGAGCTCAGGGGTGAGGTCGGTGCGGGGCAAGTTAAACCAGTCGGAGCCTGCAGTGGCTTTCTTGTCCTTTGAACCAGTTAGCGATGAACCACCAAAGACTTGCAGTAAAATCTGTGTTCAAGGCGCCTCAGTGTAACTATGATTATAAGGCCCTCAGTGATGCAGGAGGGTAGCCCAAGACGGGACCCAAGTCTGCTCAGTGGAGATTGGGATAATTATCATCAATGGCATGGGGCAGTAATATCAGATTGACCTACCTCTTCCTTTTGTTTCTTGATAGCAATCGGGTCTTCGATTTTCTTGAAGCCATTCGCTAGAGCCCGCTCCTTCTGGTTCACAAGGCTGGAGGCATCCAGCCGCGTGATCGCGCCTTTGGTTGTGACGAGGGCATCTGTGATGTGGCCTGGCTCCAACTTGGGGAGTCTGAGTTGGACGTCGGGGGTGGCATCGGACTGATTGTGGCGTATACGCTGGGCAGCATCATCTAAGAGACCACGAATCTGTTCATCCGTATACTCTTCGTCCACGTCATCCTCGAGAAGGCGTTGATGCGCTGGCAAAAGAGCCATGTTGCAGATGGTGTAGAAGAAAGAGGCGTGCAAATTTGAGCCGGGACTTTTTTTTCTGGTCGAGGGGAGGCACGGGCCTTTCCGGGAAAACTGCGGCGCGAGTCGCGACGGAGCTCTTGTTCAAACAGCCTACGAGCGAGCTACTAGTCAACCCGCTGATTACATCAACCACTCCACGGGTAAACTTAAGAAGGCTACGAAGGATACGCATCAACCAGACCCATCTCTAACCTCTCATCTCTACTACTCATCCCAACATGGACGCAACGAACCAGCGTCAAGCGCCTGCCGCGCCCCGCCGTTACGATGGTCAAAACGGCAACCCCATGTACGACGCCGCGAATGGTGGTCATTATGGTGAGTTTGCAAGCTGCTCGCTCGTGGTTCAAAATAAAAGCTGACCGATTCTATTCAGGTGCTTCCGCGTCAGTATGTTTAGAAAACTTGCAAGGTCAATTTCTCATTTGCTGACTTTTGGAGATCGCCGCCCAGGGTCAAGCGCCCGATCCACAGCTATTCGTTGGTCCATGGTCGAATGTATGGCACTCTCTCGCACAAGTTACGAAATAAACTATCCTGTGAATCACGTATCGTCATTCGGTGCACACAGAGATTAGTTGAATTCGCCCTAGCTAAAGTGCCCATGTAACACCTGGGACATGCAAGCTAATGGCGCTATAGGTCAATCAAGGCTTGGCAAATTCCTATCGTGATATCCTCAACACCTACTGGCAACAGCAGGTCACCAAGTTGGAGACGGACGAACATGATTACAAGATGCATCAGCTTCCGCTGGCTCGCATCAAAAAGGTGATGAAGGCTGATCCGGAAGTAAAGATGATCTCTGCCGAAGCCCCCATTTTGTTCGCCAAAGGGTGTGACATATTCATCACTGAATTGACCATGCGAGCCTGGATACACGCAGAAGAAAACAAACGTCGCACTTTGCAGCGCTCCGATATCGCCGCGGCACTATCGAAGTCTGACATGTTCGACTTCCTGATTGATATAGTCCCTCGAGAAGAGGCGCAGACTCACAAGCGCAGTGGCGGACAGAGCACTGCCGCGGTGCAGTCGTCGGCCCATTCCGTGCCAGCAGGTGCCCTCGCTCAACAGGGTGTTCACCAACAGCATCAAATGGCTCCCCCAGACTACGGCATGGGCCAGCACATGCAGCAGCCAGAAGAGTTTCGTCAGCCCGTTATGTACCCTGGCGCTGTTCAAGGCGACCCCAATGCCTACGGCCAGCAGGGAATATTTGACCAGACCTACGGAGTCTACCCCAGTATGGCGCAACAGAACGTGAGTAGGAGCTTTGAAGATGGAGCCGAGCACTAGTTGACCAAGGCAGTCAATGTATCCTTCGGGTCCGCGAGATACTGGCAACGACGCAGATGCGGAGGGCGAGAGGGAAGACTTTGGGCCCTGAACGAGACACGACTTCGGTGATGCGTGTAACGTGAAAGACGGAATAACATGGATGGGAGGGACGGGAGAGGCACACATATATACCAGCAAGAAAGATGATGAATGCTGCACTCCAACCACCTGTTTACGAATAATGTATCTTAATCCTAATGGTATGAATGGCGTTTTGCTGGTCTCGACCTAGGTACTCTGTACCTGCGTACTTCTTTGAAACGACCCTGAAACTAGCTTGACCAGCTTCGCACCTTGTAGGGACAGTAAAAAGCAACTACCCCGCCAATGGCCCGTGCCTCTCCATCCGCCCACGGCCCCTTCCCCCCACTGATTAGACCATCTCAGCCAAACAGAGCCCTCGGGTGGTCTCGTGTGGTCCGCATTCGCATGCCAACACGCCAGCTATTCATTCTCCACCTCCCCGCCTCCCTTCTTCTCCTTCTTCTTCTCTCTCGGTACAATCTCTGCTGCTCTTCATCACAAACGACTATCCATCTCCTCTCCCTACATCAGCCCGTCCAACACCACTTGTGTGCCGGGTCATCGAAGCTCAACAACTTACCCCTCCACCCATAACACATCCTCCCCCCACCCCAACAAAATGGTCAAAGCCGTTGTTGCTGGTGCCTCTGGAGGCATTGGACAGGTCAGTCAATGACGACGGTAGCCTTTGCTTTGTCACTAATTGCCGTGTACCTAGCCATTGTCCCTCTTGCTCAAGTCTGACCCCAACGTCACCGAGCTCGCACTGTACGATGTTGTCAACACCCCCGGCGTCGCTGCCGATCTCTCTCACATTTCCTCGCCTGCTGTAAGCCACCTGCTCCTAATGGTTGGCATACAGACTGATAAGTCTAGTCCGTGACCGGCTATCTGCCCAAAGATGACGGCCTCAAGCAAGCTCTGACTGGCGCTGACATCGTCGTCATCCCCGCTGGCATTCCCCGTAAGTCTTGAGCTCTGCACAGCGTCTTTCAACTTGCTAATCAGATGCAGGCAAGCCCGGTATGACCCGTGATGACCTCTTCAAGATCAATGCCGGCATTGTTCAGGGTCTGATCGAGGGCATCGCTCAATACGCCCCCAAGGCATACATCTTGGTCATCTCCAACCCCGTCAACTCCACCGTCCCAATTGCAGCTGAGGTGCTCAAGCGCGCCAATGTCTTCGATCCCAAGCGCCTGTTCGGTGTCACCACCCTTGACGTCGTACGAGCCGAGACCTTCGTTGCCAGCCTCAGTGGCAGCAAGAACCCTTCAGATACCACCATTCCCGTCATTGGTGGACACTCCGGAGAGACCATTGTTCCTCTCTTCAGCCAAGCCAAGCCTGCTGTCAACATTCCTGCTGAGAAGCTCGATGCCTTGGTGAACCGTGAGTTGAACCGTCTCGTTTGAGAGATCCCTTCACTGACATTTCAGGCGTACAATTTGGTGGTGATGAGGTTGTCAAGGCAAAGGACGGTGCTGGCTCTGCCACACTCTCCATGGCGTACGCCGGCTACCGGTATGTATTGAGCTATCACATAACGTATCAAGACTAACGAGTTATAGATTCGCTCAGAAGGTCATCAAGGCCGTCAAGGGCGAGAAGGGTATTGTCGAACCCAGCTACGTCTACCTTCCCGGCGTCCCCGGTGGCGATTCCATCGCCAAAACTACTGGTGTCGACTTCTTCTCTGTTCCTGTCGAACTCGGCGTATGTTGAACCTGTTTGTATGACAATTGCTTTGCTGACCTTGCCCAGCCCAACGGTGTCGAGAAAGTTATCGACGTTGTAAGCAGCGCCAACGACCACGAGAAGAAGCTCCTCGAAGCCGCCTACTCTGGTCTGAAAACCAACATCTCCAAAGGCGTCGAATTCGTCAACAACCCTCCCCAAAAGTGAGAGACCCCGTCTTAAAAGCGCTGACGTATCGTGGAGAATGGATTCTAATATTGCCTTTGGCAGATAGGTTATAGAACGATATGACGATTGAGAGTGCATTCCACTCATGATGATGAATCCATCTAGAATAAAAAAACTAGGTCCGAAGAGGTGCTGGCTGAGCTGAACAGGCGTTGAGGTTCAGGGTCTGGTAGCTTATAGCCCCCTCCCGGTGATGGCAGACTTATGCATCCGTCTGATCAATTCTTCTGATATGTTGTGATTTTGTGAATGCCGGTTCATAACCTTAAACTCGCCATTTCTCATTCTCCCCCTCACTCTTCGGCATCCTGCCAGGTGATTCATCGATCCCTAGACTCCATGCTGCTATTCAAAGCTCTACTCTCATGCTTTCGCGCCCACGGTCCGGATCTGGAAGGTTGCCGAAGGCAACCCACTTGTCTCGGCTGTCACTGTGGCCGTGACGCCTAATCCAGCGAGGCATCCCCTCACTAGACCTGCTGGGAAGAACAAGAAGGGCTGTGCTCTGCTGATGTTATTGGCATCTCGACCTAGCCCGGGGTCACCGGTTGCAGCAGCCGCCGCCGCTACTGCCGGGTCGTATTTCTTCGTATCAAATGACATGCGTGTCAGGGGCTTGAAGGTGTTGTCTGTTAATACGTAAATGCCACGGTGATTTGTCTTGAGGTTATCTATCTGCTTCCGGAACAGCAGAGTCCACAGATCTTTGCAAAGGAACTTTATCGTGCTCAGAGGATCCGTAGGGCGAGGTGTTGCCCGGGAGAACCTATTTGTTTTTGTCAGCAGTCGAGTTGCGCAATCCCAGCCCAAAAGTTGTCTCCACCCTCGAATGGCGCGAAGGGGAAGAGCCCTACCGTTCTACAATCCCCAGACCAACCCGATATCCCAAGCTTTCCAGCCGGTGGAACACAGCTTCCCTCGACTCCTCCTCATCGACCGGAGCAGTACCTCCCACAGTAGTCCCCGGACCACCACCCGTCACACTTGCCCCTAACGTGCTTCCCGTGTCGTTGTCCACTTGCGACCCAGCTGCTCCCCCTGCCGTTGCTCCCACAGTCGTGGCTTTGTGCGCCGACGACGCATCCGCATTCAGCCAGTCCTCTTCTCTCGCCGCGAGGTCCGCGCTGATGCGGTACGCCATAGGCACGAGCTCGATGAGGAGGAAATCGAGCGTGGAGAGGTTGACGAGCGTGGCTGTCGGGTCCAGCAGCGTCGCTGCGTCCGAGGGGTTTGTGTTTGGCTGCGCCATTGTCGTCGATCCTTTGACTCGTTTGCGTTGTCCCTCCTCCTTGAATAAACAAACTCGCTCCGACTCTTCTTGCAAGTGATCTGGAGGAAAACTATGTGGGCGGAAAGCGGCCGCGAGTACAGTTTTTCTTGTTCTTTCGTTGTCAGATGGGGTCGCGAGGGGTGGTATCGGCGAGTGTGGATATTGTTTGTTAGGGTTTCCGCAGCGTACGCACGATTATACGGGTGGTATGGGTGCGGTGGATTTGATAGGAGCCTCAGGGTGCTATGGTAGCATGTAGGTTTGGTGCCGTGTCGTTTGTGGAGAGTGTTGGTTGGCCTGTCTGTGCATTGCGGGAGATGGCCGGGGACTAGTCGATTTGATAGCTGATTACCTGTAAGGGTCCAGTGTCATGGCTTGGCGGATATCAACGTAAACTTCTCATGTTTTCTCTACCTTTGTGATAGGAACACATTCGAAGGTACAATCAAAATCACGTTGAAAAAGCGTAGTGTAAGATACTAAATATTATCATTCGAGATTCTCGTCTACATACATAAGTTATCGCTTTGGAAGAAATGCAATGCGAAAAATAAGCATCGCTAGCAGCTTGTACATCCAGTGATCATGTCGTTTTCCAACGACAGTCGCTTGTTGCTGCGGCCATAGAAGAAAAGCGATACGATGGCTCTACAGGTGGTGTGATGATCTGAAGTGAACAGGTGCTCTCACATATCTCGGAAACTGTGCCTAGACCTGTTGGCATAGAGACAAGGCCAATGTCTGTTGCCATCCATCACGCGACCTTGAGGCAGCAGAATTCAAATAGCCGATATATGCTACTTGGATGATAGGCGTATATGGTATACACAGTCCGGTATGGGGAGACTCGAGTTGCATTACTCTGCCGAGTTGGAGAGATAAAAGTCACGGTGTGATTAGCTGCGACTATTCCAGAAAGTCTTCTTTGGCCCGACCTTTTTACCCATCCGCGATCTCGTTTTCTCCAATCTCTTGCACGTCACATCCGCCTTCACCAAGATGAAGTTTTGGTCGAATATGTGGCCGTTTGCGTTACCACATCTTTCAAGCGCGGGAGCAAGACTCATTTGGACCCTGCGACCTTTGCGGTCGCCCAATGTGGCGTCATCGATGTCCTCCATTTCGGAATCATAATAACCGTAGCCCCAGAATTGATTTGGTAGCCCACCGGTAAACGTGACGAAACGATAATCAGCCCGCTGCTTCTTCATTCTCAAGTCAAGCGCTACAGCAGCAGATACGATGGTATAGAGCTGGTCTTTCCCGTCCCTTAGAGACATCGTACTCCACGGTCGTAATCTCCTCATCAGTCTTGCGCGGAATCTTCTGATCCACTTCAAGATCGGTTTTGCATCGAATGTTGGGCTCCATCTTCCATCGACCTCAGGCACCAACAAGTTGACTGTCAACGCTCGCCAGCGGTGGTATTCCTCGGCTTGTTCCTCGTTCTTGACAGCTGACAGGTTATAATGAGCGCTTTGTGGTAAAGAACTTCTCGGGAAAAATATACCTTTCCGCAGAGTGTCATTTATGGGCCGTAACTTCCTATCGCCCAGTTTCCCAGCCCAGACATAACCACAACCCTTATCTAGATTGCTGAAAATGCGACGCTGAAGCTGCGACCATATATAAGCTTGGATCAGAAGCGGTCGATCATTTGGATGCTTGAGATAGGAGGTGTAATCTTCGGTCAAGGAGCTGAAGAGTTCTTTTGAAGAATGTACATGGGGACGTCGAGCCCGTGCCGTAGGCGGGCCCCAGAAGTATTCTTTTGACCATCTGCATATTTCTTCCCTCAAATTCTGAAGATCTTCGATCAGCGTTGCTTCATCAGAACTGTACACGACGGAATCTCGCGTAGGTATGCCATCAGGGCCCATTGATTTCCTCTGCAACTCTTTGCGAAGGGCGTCTCGTTCCCTAGTGACTTGGTAGAAACGCTGAATTAGATCCTCCTGGGTGCTCCCTGCACGCACATCCGGCCTCGAAGGTGACTTGGGGGGAACGAGAGGCGAGTGATTGATGGACCGCGGGCCTGAACTCGAATCCGACTCGGAGGACATGTCCTCTTCGAGCTGTCGTGAGCGGACTTGGGCGGGCGAAGGCACATATCGCGTTTTGGTCTTGTTCTTGGGCAACAAGACCTCTTCATCGGACCACTCCTGATCGTCGGTAAAGGGATTATCCATTGGAGACGGGTGAGTGGGTGAGGGCGCAGGGGGAGTGTGGTGGGCACGCGGGGACGAAACGGAGGGCAAGTAGTCGACGGAAGGACAAGACTGCTTAAGGGCACTGAGGGTGGATGTGCGTACAGCTTTTTGTTTGGTTGTTCCGTCAGCTTGGGTTGGTGCGATGGTAGTAATGCGATGCAAGTGCGAATGCAATTCAGGCTCATGCACTCAGCTCATTCATCGACTCGCACACATACGAGACGATGGGACCAGGAGGGAAAACGCACCGGGATCGTCCGCCATTGCAAACGACCATGCCGCAGGGCGGAGAGGCGGTGGGGGCGCTCACGGCTACTTCTAGTCGCGGCGAAGGAGGGGGCTGGGAGAGCAGTCAACGAAGAGTGGCTTCATTGTGCAAGTGTTGGGTGAAGGGGATAAATATGGATCAATTGGTGCGGAGGAAGCATCGTGCCAGCCACTGGAGCGGAAGACAACCTGGATAAGTAGCCCAAGGCGGTTCGGCGGGGCCAATCAGGCGTGCGGACAGCCGTGGTGGGGGGTGTTGGCAGGTTCGTTGATTGTGATGGCGCCGCCTGGGCTGCATCTTTGCGTGCAGCCCATACCGCAGTTGCTATGGCACACATGGTGCAAGCCTCGCCGTGCGGACAGACACCAAACATACATATTCAGTGCTGGTCACAGTGCATGCGTACTGTACTGTACTGTACAGCCGTCCAAGGTACCTGGATAGGTACATGCAAGTATGTAGCTGTGTTGGGGCTGTGGGAGCAGGCTAGCTTACACGAGTCATTTTTGTACCTTCTATCCAATCGTGGCACGGTCCGGCCGTTCGTCACAACTCTCCTCGTTCTCTCCGCTCTCAACCATATCAGCAGCACTCAGTTGGCACTTCCAACAACTTCCTCATTCGCGGGCTGGCACCGTGGCTCGCATACCGTGTTCCCCCAGACCTTCTGCAGTCATTCTTCATCGTTGCATGGCCGAGTGCCTACAGTCATCCTTACCTGCACTTAGTCACCCACCAGATCGCTACATATTGCGATATCACGTCTGCACGTCAGCTCTCGTCGAGGAAAGACCCTGTGCACATGCTCGCAGCATCTTTCTAGGCCTGTTCAGGCATAGCCTCCACCCACACGTGCCGATAAAGATCGGCCTCTCCTCTGGTAAGACGTACCTAGGTAAGTAGGTATCCACCCAAGCAAACCTGTCAGCACATTTTTCTTCTTGAAACTTCGAGGTCGGGCGGAGCCTGAGTCTTCTTTCAGGTCGCAGACCAGACTTTTGCCAATGTCTACCCCCGGTTCCGCACCGCACTCTCCCGGATCAAATATCAAACCTCCTGGGGGCGGCCGGCATCGTGTAATTTCATCCTGTTTGACTTGCAGAAGGCGAAAGGTTCGATGTGATCACGTTCATCCCGTGTGCGGAGCCTGCTCGAGGGGAAATCATGTTTGTACATATGCCAACGACGGGAGTTCGGCAGCACACGGCGCCATCAACCGTCACAAAGTCTCCAAACCCAGTCTTTCATCCGGCGCGAGAGCAGCAGCAGGGGGAGGAGGTGATATTCAGAGTCGCCTGGAGCGCCTCGAACAGCTCCTCGAGAAAGCAGTTAGCCTGAATGCCGTACCATCATCACCAACCAAAGTGGATTCTACCAATGACCAATCCAAGACCAATCATGCGTCCCCGTCCGACAGCCAGACATCTCAACAAGGAATGTCTTCTGACAATCAAGATGGAACTCTACTTTTGGATGGAGAGCAAACTAGATTTGTATCTTCTTTGCACTATGCTTTGTTGGCGGATGAGGTAATCAAATCACGCATACGCTTTTCTCTCCCACTGCATCCTTGAGGGCGTTGCTGATGCACTCGCGGAACAGATCCAAGACATAAAAGCGATTCTAAGTGATCAAGAAGAAGAGCGCCAGGATAAACCCACGCGCGAGAATCTTGTCCACTTTCTCTCGTTAGGACGTGCGCGCATCTCTCAATCCTTGGAACAAATCTTCCCTCCGCAAGATCATCAAAATATTCTTCTAGACTTGTATTTCACCAACGTTGACCCAATGCTGCACATAACTCACAGACCGACCTTGATTCGGAAATTCCGTACATACGTACAAGATACGCATCCCCTCTCTTTTGCCATTCTCTTCGCTGCCGTGAATGCGCTGCCTTCAACAGTCGTCGAGAATAAGTTTGGTGAGAAAAAGGAGGAGCTTCTGACAAGACTTGAGTTGGGCGTAGAGATTGGCCTAGCAAGAGAAAATTATCTGACTACATCAAGTCTCGAGGTGTTCCAGGCTTTCGTGATTTGGTTAACATGCATCACGAAAGAAGAAGACATGGGTAGGGTCCAACCCGGCATCATTAGGCTTTGACTAATATCCAGATACAGGCAAGGCTTGGGCATTGCTCGGAATTGCTATTCGGATAGCACTCAACCAAGGGCTACACAGAGACCCTTCATTGTTTCCTGCTGGATCTTGGGATGCCATTACCATTGAGCTCCGACGTCGAACATGGCACCAGGTATGCCATCTCGAATTCAGGGCGGCAGAGTGCAAAGGCCAGGAGCCAGGTATATCAGAAGATGATTATACCACGCTGCTTCCACGTAATATAGAAGACGAAGAGCTTGTCGAAGGTGGCACCCCGGGCACTTCGCCGTACGACGAGGAGAAATTCACTGCCACTACTTTCCAGATTATTCGGTTCATGGGAATGCGCGCTTTACGACATATCATCAAAAGCACATATAGACTGGAGCGGAGAATGTTGGAGTCGGGACTTCACGGTACACTCGGACCAGATCCCACCCAGGAACTAAGAGATATCTACGAGCAGATACAAACCATGGTGAACAACATGCATGAAGAGAACTGGCGGAAGTTTCTAAGGTTCTGCGATCCTAAAGTACCATTGCAAAGGCTTTGTTTTGGAGTGGCATCGTTGATGGAATGGAGATGCTACCTCTTATTTTGGTTGCGCATGCCACGCGCATACCGCGATATTGTATTCTCAAACGAGACTCGAAAATTGTAAGTGTGTAATCATTCCACGCAGAAAAGTCTTGGCCTAATCGGCGTTTATAGAATATTCCAAAAATCGGTCAACTGCATGGAAACGTTAAACACCGCTTCCTTCGACGTCGACGTAGCGCGTTTCCAATGGCATATAGGCTCCCACTCGTTCTTCCAGGCCATCATGCACATCCTCTCCGAACTGCGCAACCCGCTTTTTGATGCACCAGATCGGCAGCGTGCATTAAGAGCGCTCGAACTCTCACGATTAATCAAGGAAACAAACCATACCAAGCCCTGGCAAGCGATCAAGAGCATGATTGATAAAGTGCTCAGCGAGCAATCCAATACTACCAGCAGCAAAACACCTATTGTTAACGATATCCCACCACCCATCACATCCGACCCGTCACCTAATATCAACCCTTCGCTTTATACCCCACAGTCCGCGCCATCTTATACGAATTCGCAAGGAATGCCAATGATGGCATCTGTGCAACCGCAACCACAAATGCAAATGCAACCACCAACGTTCCCGGATTACCAACAACAACTCGACCAGATGCAGTTTAACTGGGATGACATCAACTTGAACGACATCGTAGGCGTGACGGAGAACAGCACTGGAAGGAACGAAATGCCAGAGTTTGACTTTGTGAGTTTTGATCTTAGGTTTCGTTGAAGTGATGACGCCCCGCTGACATGCGCACAATTGCAGGGCTTTTGGGGCGATCCGATCAATGTAGGAAACGAGCAGATGATGACTTTCCCGATGGATGCCGGGTTCTCGACGTGGGGTACTTGAACAACCCACGCTGCCATTTGAAGCACATCTTCGACCGCTGCGAGTATAATCAAAACATGGAACGTCACGCCCGGGCACTTGCGGGGCGATTCGCTCGTGGAAAAGTGGAGAAGTGTGCAGTCACAGCTTTGTCACTATAATAGTCGAGTTGACTTTCTACTCAAGCAAGAAAGGACAATTCTACGAGAAAGATACACCCTGTATCTTCTTGACAATTGGGGAGCGGGAAAGTGTCCTCGGACATGAATTCGTTGATTGTAATAAAAAGCGTGACCGACCGCAAAAAACTATGCAAAACAGTTGACCACAACATCGCACCAATCCACCAATGCGAAATAGCCGGTTCAAGAACAGGATATCTGTGACCGACAAGGTTTATACAAAACTAGTATATATACTATACTATATGACCATTCCACCTCTGCATCTACGCGTCATATCGTGAATCATCCCGCACAATATATACCTGCCCTATCAGAACAGAGCAGCCAACCACCATGGTGATAGCAATGATCGGTAGATTATACCTAACAAAGTCGCGACTGCGCACGTAAATGAACTTGCGTTGCAAGATGTCGCGCCAGAGCAAGCCAGCCAACGAAGCGCTGAAGGCGACACTGAATGCGCCGTAGTTCACTCCGAGCACCATGCTGTACACGGTGGCCCAGAAAGTGCGGTTCGAGATGGGGATATTGTTCAAGGTGTGGATGTCTTGCCACGACTGGACAACGCGAGAGAGAAGGATGGCGGTTCCGATGTTTGTACCCGCAAACTGAAGAAAGGGATTGTGAGTTTCTGGTCTGTATGAAAACAGGGAACGGGATAACTTACGTTGCAGAGGATCACGGATATGAACCCCATGCCGCCAATCGCACCGACTGTTCCGGTCTTGTTCACCCAGGCATCCCATCCGTAAGCAAATACAGGGACCCATCCTTTGGTCACCAGGGCTTGCACCAAAATAAACATACAAAAGGCAAAGGGTATGAGGGCAAGTGGTAGATGAGTCAGAACGGTTGCAGCAGTGGGGAAGGTGATATGAAACAGGTTCCAGCGGGCTGCGATGATGGTCGAGAGCGTGCGCGGTTGTTCCTGGTGAGAAACTGGTTGGCTGGCAGGTTCATTGGTGCGGGGACTTGTTATCTGGCCCTCTGCAATTTTTTCTTCGTCTGTAGTGGCTGTGGGAGAAACCATTGCGTTGTCGGTTCGGCGCTCCGAAGCTATCTTTCGGGATTCATGCCTGTTCATCCATCCCCAGACGAGGTCGAAGCAGAACGTGACGACCGCCGCTGGGGTTGTAACCCAGAATGCATGAATCGCATGTCCGTTTTGGGTGACCGCGTTCACCACAAGGAGAGTGATCAAGGTGACGGCGAGAATAGAAGCTGCCACGGTAGCTCCCACTTTATCCAGGTACGGGTTCATGATCTCATTGAGAGGAAGAACCTTTTCCGGTGGATCCTCCGCATTATCCCCACCAGTCTCCGTAATGGCCTCCGGAATGTTTGGATTCACTGGTTTTCTCTCTTGTTCTTCCTCAGACAGCTGATGCATCTCAATGCGTTTGGGAATTAGAGACTGGTCACGGAAGACGATATAGAGCAGGGCAGGGAAGAGCAAGACGCCAGTCACCACCGTGGGGACGACGATGTTGGCCGAGTAGTTGATGAACTTGATACTAAAGGCGCCGGCAATGACCAGATTGGTAGGATTCGAAGATACAAGGATGGCCGACGCAATGTTGGCCACGGCGAACTGGGCAAAGATCCAAGCGCGAGGATGAGCGATGTTGGCAGAGACGCGGGTCATGTAAGCGAGGAAAGGAGTTCCAGACAAGATAATCGGATCATTGCCAATCCCTGCCGTAAGTACGAAGAAGAATGCGTAGAGGGACAAGTAGAGGCGGTAGCCGGCATCCCCGCCCGATTTCAAAACACGATAGGCCATGTAACGAATGAGACCTGAGGCGTCAATGGAGATGGCGATGTAGGCAAGGGATACGAAGAACAACATGATGTCGTAGGGAGCGATGTTGTTTGCACCAATAATGCCGTCGTGAACCTCGGTGCGCCCAATGGCTAGAATGGCCAAGAGGAACAGATTGGCGATGAGTGGTGTGGTGACAAAGTTCATGGGCATAGTGACCCGCACGAACGTACTGTTTCCCTTGCTGCGGCTGTCATTTTTGCGTGCTGTAATACGCAGAGACTCGAGCGTCTTGAACAGAGCACTGAGGATTACGCGTGGCACATAGATGGGAAATGTGAATGGGAACAAGACGTTGATGTCTGCGAGAGGTTAGCCTGAGTGATGATAAGAGAGGTGAAGACTCACTGGTCAGGATAAAGACGACCAAGGTGATGATGGACCGCCAGTGTTTGATCTGCGATGTGTCCAAGGTTCCCCGGATACGCTCGAGGTCGGCAGGGGAAGCCATACTGGATGCGTCACGTGGGTAGGAGTGAGTCTTTGACTGTTTGATGATAAGAATATGTACAATGGGATGTGGCAAATATATGTATAAGTGCGGAAGCGAAGCCAAGATGCGATGCGATGATGCTGTACTCGTCCGAATCTAACTGCTATGATTCAAGGCGTTTATATATTCGAAGAAGCTGTACAGTCGTGTGTACACTCAAATCATGTATCATGTGTACGTGAGAGAGTCAGTGGAGAGCGTCTTCAGGAAGCACTATTTTTGTCCGTCGCAGCACCGTCGACGTCGTACATGATATTGGACCGGTCCGAGAAGGTTGTCAAACATTGTGTGAAAAGAAAAGAGACGGAATCAGGAAGATGGACGACGGAATTGGATATGACATGTGTGGTGGGCGGTAGCAAAACCAGGAAGCGTTCAGGCCAGACACAAGAGGCTAGCGCTGGCACGCTTAGCATGGAACAGCGATGTTTTCTTTTCACGACTTCCATGAATAACCTCATGGATCGCTCGTTGACTGCAAACTACGTCGTTTCGGTGCGATGCGGTCTTTCCAAGAACCTCACCAACACCTGCAGCAGTCCTCTTACGGACATGTGAACACTTGGCACTCTTGTCATGTTTCACGTGCGCTTTTCCCTCGCATCCATTGGCACAGTCCGACGTCATGTGACCAATGCCACGATACCTACATACGTAGACGATGCTGAGGACATCTTTGCGGATCGACTACATGCTCACATACATGCATGCTCACAGACTCACATAAACGAGATGCACACAGCATGATCAGGCCACCACCTGAGTTTTGATACACCAGTGTATCGATTACATGCGTACGTACAACGTACTGACGTACTGACATAGCCAAGTAGTACCCTCTCCCCAGACATATGAAAGCTGTTCCATTCAAGCTTGGCAATGCTTCGTCTTCACGCCTTCATGTAACAATCTAATACCTGAGCCAAGAGATAGCAGAGCATCTTCCGCCTTACCCACAAGGGCTGGCCGGGCCTACAATCGTCTATTTCTGACCTATTTGATATCGACATTACTCCAAATAGCAGTCCAGGTACCAATGTGATGGTCGTGAAGCCTGAGGTGTTGCCGGCCAGACTTTTCCCGGCTGATATACTCTCGCTACGTTCATGAACGTCCTTGGGGTAAGTCGGGCTAGGGAATCAGGGCAACATGAGTGTCCTGGCTCTCGGAAGGCCTTGGGGATCTTGTCGATCCATGAATAGTCGTGGCGACTTCCTATTTCTTAAGATGATGATACTGACTTGATTCTGATTTCCCGTCAGTCTTCGCTTCGCTTCTCTTTTCTGTTACTTTCCTTTTGTTCTGTCAATTGCTGTTCTTGATTTACTTTCCTTTCTACTCCTTTGTTGAGAGTGTGCTCCACGCCGGTGTTTCCCTAGACTGGTTTCTACCTGCAGATTCGTTCTTCACTTTTGCTGCCCGAGGCACTTGCCACTCCGATACAGTGTTTTCTACAATCGCTATGGAACGACATGTAGATGAACGAGATCCAGCCCACGATGATGATACGAGGGCAGGATATGAAAACTTCACCAAGCTACCCATGCGTAGCGATTATCCGTCCAATCCAAACGAGCTGGCTGCTACTCTCCAGATGATTGAGAAGATTAGAGAGTCGCTCTTGGAGCAGTCAGAGAGGTTGACACTCCAAGCGCCACGTACGCCGCGTACACCTCGTACACCACGCACTCCTCTAAGAATGAGATCTCCAGGAGCCCGTCCAGATTCCCAAACAAATCCAGTCCCTCCTCTTCCCACCAACATAAATACGAACTTCTATGGCAAACAAGATGCCAGGCAACTGGCATTTGTTGAAAGAGAATTTGATCAGCGTACATTTGAACACAGAGACGTCAATCTGCCCGAGTACGATGGTAGAGACACTAAGGGGTCTTCCATTGATGAACGGCGCCTCACACAGGCTGCTTTGGAAGGCAGGAACCGCCAGCAGACCCCTATTTCGGAGCATGAGGTACAGTTCCCCAAGGAACTTCCTCCAAGGGAGCCAAAGGAGCAAAGACAGAGCATATGGCGTAAATCTCTACACCACATGGACCCCGCCAACCGACGCACCAGTACTATGCTTTTCGGCCCCGGTGGTCCTGCAACACAGACAGATCCCGTATATCCAGCTGGCCCAAACGATTGGAAGAGCGAAGGATCTGGCATGGTTGTACGACACGATTATCTGTACAAGCTTTCCAAGGCACTCATGCTTTATGGTGCACCCGGTCATAGGCTAGAGAGATATCTTTCGATGACGGCAGTGGCACTGAAAACAAGCGTCGACTTCACCTTCTTGCCTGACAGTTTGACTATGTACATCGATGACGAAAAGAACCATACTGGCTATACCAGGCTCATCAAGGGGGCAGGAACAGATCTTGGGCGATGGCTTGACGCACATAACGTCTCCAAGCATGTCATCAATAACGACATGACCATCGAGGACGGCATATACGAGCTGAACGAGATTTCCAAAAGAAAGCCAGCCCATAGCGATTGGTTTCTTCTTTTCATCTATGGTCTTGCTGGTATTGGTATTGCTCCTTTCGCTTATGGTGCACGATTTGTGGACCTACCACTATGCTTCGTGTTGAGCGTTATGCTGGGAGTTATGCAGATCAAACTTGCGCCCCGCAATCACCTATACTCGGTTCTCTTTGAGGTCTCGGCCGCAATAATCTTCTCGTTTTTAGGTCGTCTGCTCGGCTCCATCACCACCACAGAAGGTAATCGGGTCTTCTGCTACGGAGCCATCAGCGAGGCTGCTATCAACCTCATTCAGCCGGGCTATTGGATCACAAACGCGTGTCTCGAACTCATGAACCGCCAAATTGCCACCAGTGGAGCTCGCCTTATGTACGCTTTGGTCTATGCACTATTGCTGGCTTACGGTGTGTCTGTTGGCTCTTCGCTGTACGGTATCATCGATCATGACGCAGTCGCAAGTACAGTTTGCGAGGACCAGATGAGTCCTTTCTGGAATCTCCTTTTCGTCCCCTTCTTCTCATGTCAAGTCGCAATCCTCGGTGGTGCGAAGTGGAAGCAGCTACCTGCAATGGTTTTCATCACCTTCTCCATGTACTCCGCTTTCTTTTTCAGTTCAATGTTTGCCCGTGGTTCCTTCACCGTGGGCACAACTGCGGGAGGCATCACCATGGCACTTCTTGGGAATGCTTACGGTCGAATGGGTCGCAAAATCGAACGGGTGTTTGAGAATATGTTCGGTTCGGGTTCCAGCTCGACATCTTCGGCATCCAGTCAAGCCGGTAGCAATGGCGGCAGCTACGCTTCCGATCCAGAGCGCACGGGCTCAGTGTCTATGAATGGAAGCATGAAAAGTGAAAAGGCGCACATTGGATACACCTGTGCGGCCGCAACCATGGTACCTGCCATGATCGTGCTCGTACCCAGTGGGTTGGCCAACAGAGGGTCGCATCTCGCCGGCATTTTGGCTGCTGAATCGATCGTTCGAAACCAAACGGGTGTCCCAGCATTCCCCGCCATAGATTCTGAGGTCTTCACTGCGGCGTTGCCCATCTATCTCAATGTCATACAAGCCGGTCTGGGCATCGCCGTCGGGCTGTCGATCGGAGCGTTCATGGTGTATCCATTTGGAAAGAGTCGCAGCTGGGTCATGAGCTGGTAGAATCGAGCACAGGATGCGTCGTTCTTTTCTTGCAGAGAGGCAGTGCTTCTCTAAGTCTACTTGACCCATTTCTAGTGAAGTAGATTTTGGTCCATTCATTCTCTTCGTTCCTTTGATGCATCATTACTCTCCCTTTTTTAGATACTCCGCAGGAGCTGGATGGATTCATTCGCTACACATACAACATAGGTACAGCGGTATAAAGCTAGATTGCTTTTCGCTAAGTACTTGCCACCGATAAGAGTGATATGTATATACCCAAATGCAATATTTTATTGGGACTTTCATCTCATCATCACTCGTAACATTGCCATCAGAGTCCCAGTCCACAACCATGATAAATATGAGAATAGAAATCCAGGGGTGGATTCAAAGATTCAGTATAATGCGGAAAAGATTACAGGAGTTCCAATGTCTAAAGTAGTTTTTTTTTTCGTGGATGGGACTTGCCACTCGTTTGACTTGGGAAGGGAGGGGGCACTACCACCACAAGATCCCATCGTCCCTTGCACCTTCATCCACCTCCCAACGCCAACAACGCAACCAAAACATAAGAGAAGGAAAAAGAGGACAAAAAATGCCCACTCCACCACCCCAATCCGAGATTTACCTGCACCAGCCATTCAACAGTATTAACAAAACCCTCCAACCCCACCGAAAAACTTATGTAATATATTTCGTCACGGGGAATCCTGGGCTTATTGAATACTACCGCACCTTCCTTACACACCTCTACGGCGCGCTACTTTCCGACTCTAGTAGCCAAAACAACGCGATCCGCTTCCATGTCTACGGCCGCAGCTTTTCCGGGTTCGAAGTCGACGGCAGCGACGCTGCGGAGGTCGCAAAGCACGCTACTACACCGCCTCCGTATAGCCTGGACGAGCAAATCGCGCATTCGGAAGCCGCGGTTGAGGAATTGGTCCGTCACGTGCGAGAAGAGAATGTAGATGATGGGGAGCAAGATGTGAGGGTGATCTTGATGGGGCACTCAGTGGGGGCGTATGTTCTGCTTGAGATGACGCGGCGGTTGAGGGAGAAGGCGAAGAAGTTGGGGCCTCGTGAATCTGTAAGAGTTGTGGGTGGTGTCTGTTTGTTCCCAACCGTTACGCACATTGCGTTATCAGACAGTGGACGGAAGAGCAGTGTATGTTTTTCTCCCTCTGAATTTCTTGCTGTTGCTATAATTTCTTTATCACCATTTTCCCCTCCTCTGGTGGAAGATGGGTTGGGAAGTTGCCCTACTGTCCCCAAATTACGCCCACTTCATCTCAACCACCTCTTCACAATATTGTTCATGGAATCATTCCAGTATTCAATCTGTCCCACTAACATGAAATATAGTGGCTTCTCAACATACGCCCATTTGCACGCATAGCGTCCGTTCTCGCAAAACTACTAACGCTGCCCCTTCCCGTCGCAGCCCTCACCCTTCTCATTCGAGGCGTGATGAGATTCCCCGCAGACGCCGCTCACACAACGGCTTCGTTTGTGAAAAGCGCCAGTGGCGTGCGCCAAGCGCTACACATGGCGCGGGACGAGATGCTGCAGATCACGACGGATGACTGGGATGAGGAGATCTGGGGTACTGCTGAGCAAGGGCAGTACGAGGGATTGCCAAGCCCTATTCTGCGGTTTTTGTTCGCCAAGAGTGATCATTGGGTTGCGAACGAGACGAGAGACGAACTGATGAAAGCCCGGGGGGCGGTTTCAGGTAGGGAAGGGGATGTGGTGGAGGAATGGAGACCAATCATGGAGATCGACGAGAAGGAGGGCTGGCCGCATGGGTTTTGTATAAAACATAGCATACCGGTTGCGGACCGCGTGTTTGGGTACGTGAGAGACATTGTGGAGATGGATTCACAGAAGCATTGATAACTAGCTTTTTGGGAGACGTTCATTTCATAAGACCGAACCTTTATGCGATGTACATATATAGAAACCTAGAGGTGGCTAGCCTATCAGCTAATAATAAAAAACCACGCATTTATACACGTCTATTTTGTTTTGATCTTCCGCACAGTCTCAGTCCCTGGTGGCACCTTGAGGCTGCCAAATACCAAGGCACATACTGCAAGCATACCGGCAGCCCCTGCTGCATACGCAGTTTCGCGGCCCGCCCACCAGTACAACGAGCAAAAGATCAGAGGACCAAGGCCGCGTCCAAATTGACCTGTTACACAAGTGTTAGCAACAACAGCAATTACAATACAAATGCGTAACGGGAGACGTGACTTACCAAAACTGCGGTGGTTCCCAAGCTTTCCACCTCGCTCTCCTTCGCTCGCTTCAAAGCTGCTGAGACTGTTAAGACCAGTGACAACAGTCGCGCTCGTGACTGCCAGTAGGGCCGCGGCTCCGTATAGACCTCTCTGCGAGTCTACTCTAGCGAGCAAGAAGAAGGCCGCGGTAGCGGCAACCACTCCCATCTGTACCACACGGAGCGGATGCATACGACGCACGACTGAGCCCTGGAGTAGAGAAGCGACGAGCCCGATGAATCCGAGTAATTTCCCCGTATCCTTTGACCCATATGCGAACAAATCGTACGTCATGAACGGCAGCGAAAACTCCATCCCGGAAAAGAAGAGAATAAAGGTGAAGTGCGTGGCATTGAGGAGCAAGTGAGAGTTTGTGCGAACGCGGGGCTTTGCCTGAGCGTCGGTCTTGTTTTTCTTCGCCGACCCATTGCTGGACTCGGTTGCCACGGGCAGAGTTTCAGGCAAGGCGAAGTATATATAGATGGTCTCGACGAGGATCAGAAGCAGCGAAAAGCCGGCGGCGGTCGCAAAAGGGTTCTCCTTGACAGACTGGATGCTGCTCAACCAAGCGCCCAGCGCAGGGCCAAAAGTGAAGGCAATGCTGAAGCAGACGCCAACCAGTGCCATGGTAGCGCCGCGCTGGCTCTCGTCGCTGATGTCGGCGGCGATGGCAATGGCCAGCTGCACGTTGCCCTCGCTCAAGCCGCCCACTACTCTGCTGGCCAAGAAGGTTCGGAAATCGGTGGCGGCGACCCACAGGCCCACGCTCAAAATGTTGCCCATCATGGACCATAGTAACGCGGTTCTGCGGCCATATCGATCGGACAGGGTGCCAATGACGGGCGAGGCTACGGCCTGCAGGAGGGAAAAGAGCGAGCCAAGGGCACCTCCCAGTAGGACAATGTCATAGCGGTCGTTGATGGGTCGCGCGAACGAGTTCTTGTAGGCATTGAGGCCGGCGAGAATGCTCGAGAGCACTGTGGGCGAGGTATGGCGCTGTGCGGACTCGTGGTCGCGATAGAATTCGAGGAGTTTCGGGAAGAGGGGTAGAATGAAGGTGAAGGAAATCTATTGCGCCAGAATGATGGTAGGGCTGGTTAGCAGACGTCAGACAATTCGAGGGTGGTCGGGTTACGCACGAGGTCGAGCAACAGCGAGGTAAACAACACCCTGAGCACTTTTTTGCGCAATGCGGCGGAGACGGGCGGCGACGACGGCATGATGGGCAGGTCAATGGATGGATCTTGCAATTGATCGATGGAGAAATGGAGGAAGGGGAATCGATGCTATTGTACCCGTCCCGTCCGAAACGCTGAATGATTAATAAATAATGGGGTCCCTAGTGACAGACAGACAGCTCGCCTGGTTGGGTACTGTTTCTAAAGGTATACGTGGTAAACCCGATGCCCACCAACACGAACACGAGAAAAGGAATAAAAGGAATAAGACAAGTACGAGGTGAGCCTTCGTCTTCAGCTGTACATGTTCGTCATGTTCGTCTGTCCCAATTTAAAAATAGCAATATCTATCCGCTACACATGTAATGGATACGGGCGGGCCGGCGTATCGGAACGGATTCCCCTCCCGGTCGGTCTCTGTACCTACATATCATATCATACATGCCGGGTTCGTCTAGCCATTTGCAGAAGTATCCGTACATGATTGTAAACCATGACCACGGTGGTGTCCCTGCCCAAGTACGCATAGGTATGCAGTACGTACACAGTTGGATACGCTGTTCATGTAGAAGAGTGGTGAGCGCGGGGCAAAGCCGAGGCTCAATCAATTGTCATCAGCCGCCATCATCCCCAATGCCTTTCCAACTTGTCTCTCTTGCCAGAGACAGGATCGTACATTCTTGTCTGGCCTTGCTATCCCTTCGGATCGTACCTGACAGACGACTCGTGTTCTCTGACTAGATTCCCTTGATCATTTACCATTCCCTCGTGCACACATAATTGCCATTCACATATGCTGTTTTCATCATCATCCATCATGCCTAATAAGAAGGCCATGGAGGCAGTCGAGGCCCTCTTTGAAAGATATCGGCTCCTTGCGTCCCGACGTTCCAAAGGTCACATTGTGAGTACCCCACTCATCCAATTACCGGGACACAGAACAACATGGACCTAACTAGGCAGGACTTTGACAGCGAGGTCATGAAAGGCTTGCAAATCGTCGATGCTGGCTTGGATGGGTCGGTGACATTTGAGCTTCTCATGTCGTCGAATTTTTCCAACCTCAATAGTACGTCGATTCCAGCTGTACATAACATCGCGTCCGATACTAACACCATTTCAAGATGTTATGCATGGTGGTGCTGCTGGTAAATTCCACCTATCGATACGGACTTACGAATCTTCTTTTGCTAAATCCAACCTATTCAACAGGTGTCATCTTTGACATGGCTACGACATCAGCCTTGTGCCCAATTGCCCGTCCTAACTACTGGCAGTTCATGGGTGGGGTAACCCGCTCGCTGAATATATCCTACTTAAAAGCGGTTCCAATAGGTGAGCTCTGTCCGGTGCCTCCATCCAAATTTCAGACGGAACCTCTGATAGAAGACTAGGTGTCAAGGTGCGCTTACGTAGCCATGTAGTATCGGTGGGCAAACAAATGGCCATGATCCGGGGAGAGATGACCTCTCTTGATGGAAAAGTAACGTACTGCACCGCGGAACATCACAAAGTAAATACCCAGGTGCTACCAGAACATAGCGAGGCGAGGATACCATGGGACGATGAGTTTGACAGGGAATGGAATGCTAAATCAAATCTTTGATTTAGTGCAATTGTTAACGGACACCCTTGCCCCTGTCACAATGTGGATGGGCGGAGAATAAAAGTTGAGATCTTAGCGAACATGTTATGAGGATGAAATGCCGCAACTTGCTTGCTATACGGGTCCTATCATTACAGTCACCTGAACGCCCTAGCTAATGCATTCCTCCTGGTAAAGAGGAAGGGTTCTCCCATTTTAAGCACAATCGATAACGCCAAGCCCTGAAGATATGCTGAAAACCCCCCTTACTCTTCGTCTTCATCATCCGACGCTGCATCACCATTTGCTTGTGGTGCTGTAACCCCCTCGTCTTCATCTTCATCCTCGCTAATGACCCTCGCTGTCTTCCTCGTGGCTTTTGGTGCAGCAACATTATCATCTTCGTCATCGCTTGCCTTTGCTTCCTCAGCCACGTTGCTCCCATCCTCGGCAGGTGCCTCGGCTTCGACATCATCGTCGCTGTCACTGTCAACGAATTCGGCTGATTTGAATTTGCCGGGCTGCTCAGCTTTCCTCGTCAACTTCCGCTTCTTTGGCTTAGGTCTTTCACCCTCCGACACGTCTTCCGTCCCTGAAGCAGTCGCTCTTCGCCTTCTAGATGGGGCGTCCGACATGGAGCCTCCCTCACTATCAGAGACATCACCGTCACGATTCTTCTTGCGCTTGCCACCCTTTCCGCGATTCGCCTTGCGCTCTGTGCGGCGAATCTCGCTGTCATCAATAAGCTCTTGGCGTCTGCGTTCCTCGTCGGCACGCTTCTCCATATATTCTCGATCCTGCTCTTCCAATTTTTGACGCTCCTCGAGGATCTTGCGTCTACGCTCGGCTGCCGCTTCTTCTGCCTTGCGTTTCTCGTCTTCGCGTCTCTGCAATTCTGCGTTGCGCAACTGTCGAGCTTGTTCAAGTTTATTCGTATTCGCTTCCTCGTAAGCAGCTTGGCTTTCGAACGTTCGGTGCAGTTTGGAAGCGATTGTATTCCGACCCATCAAAACTCGTTGTTTGATGTCGTTCTTGGGATACGGCGTGTCAGGTTTGTTCGCCACATCATCCAACGTTTGAATGGCTTCGTCCAGGCCCGCTTGCGCATCTTTGACGTCTTGAAGCGTTCGTTGTGTTTCGTCGAATGAGTTGACCATTGTTGCGATTTGAAATTGGACCAATCCGACATTGAACTGAAGATAGGTTTGTGACGGTGCTATTTTCAAAGCTTGTTGTGAGTACTCCAATGCAGTCTTGAGGTAACTGAGGTTCTCCTCCTGCCTTCCACGCTGTAGCCAGATACGCCCTAGACATGCCAGAATGTTGATATCATGTGCTCGATCTTTGGATAAAGCAAGCTCGTACTAGAAGCCTGTTAGCGACAGTTGTTGTTCAGTGGATCCTCCTCGCTTACATTTTCGATTGCACGAGCGTATTGCTTGAGCTCGGCGTACGCGTGTCCCATATTCATGTATACGTTATAATCCTTGATCGTGTCCCTCACTTTAGTGAAAATTTGCAGTGCTGTTGAGAAATCCTTCTTGTCTTCGGCTAAAGCAATGGCAATACCTTGAGCAGCGTAAGCGCTCTTCGGGTCAAGCTCCAAGACCTTGTTGTAAAATTCAACAGCGCGTTCGTAGGTTTTGCGACGTTTGTCTCGCAATTCTTCGCCGCGCATCTCTCGGGCAGTTGAAAGATGTGTGTTACCCATGCCAGTGAGGGAGTATCGATCGTGTTTATCGAACTTTTGCAGCGTGTGTTTATAGTGTCTTTGCTCTTGATCTTCCGCTTGGCCAGGTGCTCGCTTCGGTTTGGACTTGTTGACATACCACCCATACAATGCTCGGACTTCCAAATTGCTTTCATGCTTGGTGAAAAGCTCTTTGACGGCTTTCGGCCCTTCATCACCTGGACTCTGTCGCAATGCGATGTATGCAAGTCGAACTTGAGCATCAATGTACTCCGGGTGGCGCTTCAGAAGACCTTCGAATACACCTTTAGCATCGTCGAGCATTCCCTCAACCTCATAAGTCCGACCAAGATTATAACTGATGGAGGTTACGAGGGCGTCAGTGTCACTGGTTTCGTCCTTAGCTGATGCCTTCACACAGGCGTTGAGTGCCGTTTGGAATAGATCTCGAGCTCGTGGATAACGCCCGGATTGGTAATGAAAGCACGCCATGTTGTTGAGAAGCTGAGGGGGCAGAAGCTCGCGGAGGGCAGTTTTACGCTCGTTCTCGTCTTCGATATCCTCAGGGTAGTCCTCTTCAGGAATAGCATCGAGCTCCATCTGCTCAACCTCCTCTAAGCATTTGAGAGACTTTTCGGGATGGTCCGCTTCGTACAGCCTGGCAAGATTCAACAGCACCGCAGAATCGGGAACCAGCTTTTTCTTGGGGTCTTTCCAGGCCTTTTGCACATCTTCGAGATACTTCAGGGCTTTTTTCAACTCAGCCGATTTGTCTTCTGAAGATTTGGCAGCTTGTGCATTGAAAACGTCCTCTGCATACAATGTGCCCAACAGCGTCTGTGCTTCAGCAGTGGGTTGCTGTTGGAGTATCTTCTCCAATCTGAATTTTGCACCGTCATAATCTTGCATGACAACTCGCATCTGGGCCAGACCAAATTTGGCGGGGATGTATCCTCGATCGTCACCGCCCCGGGCTTGGTCCGACTTGGAGTAACACTCCATTGCTTTAGCCGTGTTGTCTAGCAGATGTTCTTTTCTCGCGAGCTGGTACCAGCCATCACCGGCGATAGCATTGACATCGGTGAGTTGGATAGCACGTTGCGAGAGGGTCTCGACTTTTTCGAAATCCTTGCGGACATTGTACCAGCTTCCAAGCGTGGCACAAGTGAGAGGATACATGTTGTCCAGTTTCATAGAAGGAGCTATGTATTCAGTCATGGCCTTCTTCGTGAGAGCAGCAAATTTCGGATCTTTGGCCGGGACCTGAGATGTGAGATGTAGGTTATACAAGCCAAGGAGGATAAGAGCAACTTTGGAGCCCGGATTCAACTCCAGAGAGCGTCGCCAAGCGCTGGCGGCATCGTCCTTGAAGCCGAGTTGCCAGTAGCAGCAACCAATTCCAATTCGGGGATCTGGATCAAGGAGACCGGGAGAGCTCTCAAGAACACTCTGATATCCCTTCAGTGCTTCGGCATACTTTCCCAGGGAATAGTTGCACCTTGCTTTACCCATTTTAGCCATGAGATTTCGGTTGTTGGAGTTGCGTAGTGCGTCATCGAAACACTTCATAGCCTGTCTCAGATGATCAACGCGGTCGACGCTGGATGTGGTAGCAGTTGAGCTCTGGAGAGAGGCACGTAAAAGGTAGAGAACGCCGCGGGCAAGGTATAACGGCGGGTAAGAGGGGCTGATGCGCGAAGCCTCGTTAAGCTGAGCGGTAGCAAGCTGGAGAAAGTCTTCTTTGGTCTGGATGCTGTTGTCGCCTCCGTTGAGACGCGGCGCGGCGCGACACTTGAACAGGTACAACCAACACAGGCCGTTGAGGATGCTGAGTCTGTCATCGGCGCGGCCGCGAGCCCACACATCTTTGGCCTTGATGAGGACTTCAATGGCCACGTCAGCCTTGTCATGCTTTGCATAAGCTATCGCGACCGTGACCCAGGTGCTTTTGGCCGTCTTTTCATTCTCCAGCAAGGTGCACAACTCGGTCGGGTCATCTTGAATTTCGTCATCGAGAGCAATTTCGACATCGATAGTATCGCCATCTTCAGTCACGGCGACGGAAATAGCATTCGGTACTTTGGAGAAACGCGCGGGGAGGGATTGGGCCCCAGATCCAGAGCCATAGCCGTTCGCGCCGTTCGCGCCGAGTGAAGTTGCCATGGCGAGGGAACCAGGAAAAGCGGCGGATTATTCGAGGGTCGCGCTGTGGGCTCAAGGGTGCATATCCAAAGACTATAAAAGCCGCGGATGGAGGGTGGGATGATGCGCAAACAAAGAAGAAAGGTTGATGGGTTGTAAGAGCTTGCTACCTTTGTATAGTCAGTAGTTGGGAGAGAGTTGAGCAGCTTTGGCGCGCGCCGATCGGCAAAACTTCGGAATGCGGAGGTGTCGCGGACGTCTGGTACTCGTACAGTGTACTCGCTATTGTACTCCCTATTACACTATACGCCGTGATGGAATGGCAGAGTTCAAAGTGATATTCGAGGAATGAGTACGGTTGCTCGCATGCAGCAAAGTCTTATTTTCATCGATCGTGAACGATACCCTTGAGCCTCCACCATGTCGCGTCGACGCAACGGCTCCGGAGGTGGTTACAGCAACGGCAATGGCTACTACGATGAGGGCGGATATGGAGGCTTAGGGCCTACTGAAGATTACCCTCGCCGTCCGAGCGCTGAACGACGCCGACCACCACCTCGAAACGGCGGCTATGGAGGTTTTTCAGAACGAGAAGAGCCTCCAATGAGGCCGAGCGGGGAACGTCGAGGCGGCGATAATACTACAAGGGAAACACGTTTTGGACCAGGAAGCCAGAGGATGGAGGAGATTCTGCAGACCATACAACAAAACTTTGATTTTATGACCAACGACAAATGTGTGCCTATCGAAGTAGCTCTCAAGCTCATGGATTCGAGCTCCCTCGGCTTAGCCAACCAGTACGACATGTTCCAAGGAACCCATCATGACCTCCAGCGTGCCCTCAAAACTATAGTAAACGAGCACCATCAAGGTTTCAATAGCTCAATTGGCACCTTCCATAAAATTCAGACCAGCCTTCAATCTTCACAGCACCGGGTGCGGGCTCTCAAAGATTCTCTATCCCAGGCCAAGCTGCACCTATCAACCACCAAACCCGAATTGAAGGATTTCGCTACGTCGTCCCAAAGCTATGACGAGATGATTCAGATGTTAAATACCATTGAGCAGTTACAGCTTGTGCCAGACAAACTGGAGGCGCGCATCTCCGAGAAACGCTTTTTGACCGCCGTCGACATTTTGCAGGATGCTTTGCGTATGATAAGAAAATCTGAGATGGAGAATATTGGTGCTTTGAGCGATCTTCGCACCTACTTGAGCAACCAAGAACACTCTCTTACAGATATCCTGATCGAGGAGCTACACAATCACCTGTATCTGAAATCCCCGTATTGTGAAGATAGGTGGAAACAATACGCCCAAAACCAATCCAGGGGTGACATGTCCAAGCGTGCTCAGACAGATGTCAGGGGCAGGATGCTTTATCATTTCTTAGACTCCCTCGATACTTCAGAAGCGGTACGGCTCACTACCCGCTTTGCCCGTTTTTCTTGCTGACTTTGCAGATGACCGACGATTCTCCTCGAAACCCTGAAGCAGATACATTTCAGTACATTCAACTGATCATTGAATCGCTTAACAAGATGAATCGCCTTGACATAGCAGTGGACACGATTGAACAGCGATTGCCCGTGGAGCTTTTCAAAGTTGTTGACAAGTCCAACAATGAGGTAGCGCAGCGCCACCCTAGTATATTCCGAGCCTTTTCCGCGAAGAAAGACCGGCAATCCGTTATTGGTGCGGCCAGTGATGACCTGCGCAAAGGTCTTTTGAATGATCTATTATGGACACTATATGCGCGTTTTGAAGCTATAGCTGAGAGTCACCGGGTGGTCCACGACGTGATCGCGGGTATTATACGTCGAGAGGGCGGAAGGGGTTCGTCTAGTGCCATACTTATGCGAGGTTTCAAGGAGCTGTGGAAGCTCTATCAGAGCGAAGTGCGTATCATTGATCTATTTGCAACCACTTTTTGCTTACGTGTTACAGATTCGTTCACTACTTCATGATTACCTCGCTACCGATGGCGACCTCGCGTATAGAGGTGGGCAAGGGCAAAAGGCCAACAGCAGCGTTTTCTCGCGCCAGCCGCGGGACAAGAACATGAAGATGTTCAAGCTTTCTGACATGGATACTAAGTCTTCGGAGCTCACAGAAGAACGCGAGCGGTTAGAGTTTATTCTCAAATCATCAGTGCCTGGCCTCGTGTCGGATTCTAAGAGACCAGACGATATCACCATAACAACTAGTGCTAACCTCGATGGAAGTGCAACTGGCCACAAATTGCTTGTTGAACCAAGTGTGTTCAACATGGGCGTTCTACTGCCGCCGTCCCTGGAATTCTTGAATAGGCTGAAAGAGGTTGTTCCACCTAGTTCAGACATAGTCATGAGCACGCTCACCTCCTTCCTGGATGATTTCCTGGTCAATGTGTTCCACCCACAGCTTGAAGAAACACTTATCGAACTCTGTTCACAGATCTTCATTGATAACGATGCATTCTCAGAAGATCCCAACTGGTCACAACATTCCAAAAAACCAATTTTCAAAGGAGCTACCAAGTTCTTCAGCCTCATAACAGCGTTTTGTAAAATGCTGGACAACCTGCCCCACGACCAGGCCTTTTCACAATTAATCATCACCCAAATGAGTACATACGCCAAAAAATGCGCAAGCTCGTATAAGCAGCTCGTTCAGCGGCCACAACAAAAAGAACTGACAGGGAGACGAGAGAAAACTCCAGCTGCTTATGCTGAATCGACTCATCCTATCGGTGAAACAATTGCTCAACTCTTCCAAATGGAGCCGGAGAAAAGTTCGGATACGGTAAAGCGTGAGATCTCACTTCTTCTTGCGGAGATCGAAAAGGATCCCCCAGATCAACAAGATTTGATCCAAGACAAGAAGAGCTTACAAAGCTTATGCTTGCTATACGCAAGTATGAAGTGGCTTGCAACCAAGGTTGCGCAGCTCCGATTCATAAGCGACAGAGCAACAGACTCTACAAGGATAGAACAAGGCAGTCAAAGGCACACAAGGAGATGGACTCTCCTCACATCTGCTGAGCAACGCTCGGAGGGTGGTGCAGTCTACCTTCCGCTCAGTTCAGACACAGCTACGTACGTATACTGAACAAACCCACAAATGTGTAAAAGCCGGCTGACAGACCCATCCAGCGAATTCGACACCGTCGTAACATCTTACCAATCCCTTTCCGCCCTCATCCACCGCACTCTGCACCTCACCCTCCGCTTCAGCATCCTCTCCGCCCTCACAGCCACAATCAAGCCAACATATGTCCTCGAAGCCCCACTCAACGACCCGGATCCCAGCATCCAATCACTCACGACCTTCCTCACCTCGTACGACACAAACGTCTCGACATATCTCCCCCCTTCACAATATGCACTCATAACCCTCGGTCTCTCGTCACTCACAGACGCCTACCTCGTACACCTTTGCGCGTCCAAGATCCAGGCCATGAACGAACATGGCTGTGCGCTCATGCAGCTCAACATCTTGGTGCTCCAGCAGAACCTGATCAATGTAGAAGCAGAGGCGAGTCTGACTTATTCGGCACTATTCTTCGACTTGTTCACGGCAGGGCCCGACGCCATTGTCAAGCGAGCCAAGCAGCATGGAAAGGGATTCGGAATACCCGGAGGCACTTTTGGTGAGGAGCAGGTCAAGGGACTGTTGGAGCTCTGCTATGGTGAGAAGCTGAAGGATGAGAGGAGGGAGGTCGGTGTGGCGGCTAAGAGACAGATGGATGCGCAATTCTTGGAGATCAGCGAGTTTATGTACTAGGTAGGAAATTATGAGTTCGATTATTGTAGGCTCCATGACTTTTCACAATCAGCATATAGGGCTTCGTAGGCTTCTTCACATTGTTTTCTTCGGGGTGTTACAACATGCCTCGTTTAGCACATGTCAAGGTGGCATTCTCGATTTGTTCGACCAAAGGCATTCATTCATTCATATGTATTTAGTGGCCCTTCACTGTGTATATGGAACTGCTCATGCCTTGACAGCCTCGCTAGTCCCACCAGTCCTGGATTGCAATGCTTTTTTGCTAACCAGAGTAAACCCTCCCAGCAGCATCGTTGCTCCCAACGCGCCCAGCACAACAGCGAGCGTAACAAATGCACCAATAACACCTCCGATGGCAGGAGACATGGATGAACCACTACCGCCCTTACTCTGCTGCGTTTGAGCACCATCGCCCTTGCCGCCCTCTACATACTGTGCACACGTTCCGTCCGTGTTGCCGCACTTCTTGCACCAGCCCTCGGTAGTCGACACCGCGAACTCACCCAAGCCGCGGGCGAAGTCGTTCCACGAAACCGCGTTGCTGTTCCCCCCGAACAGAGGGTACACAGTGGGTTGGCTGTTGTTGGAGGCAGTGCCATTGTGAAACAAAAAGCGCACCTGCAAATCATCATTGCCTGGGAACCCATCGGACGGGACTTCTTTATCAGTGAACAGCTCAAAGGTCATGGAGCTCGCATAGTCGGGTACACCAGTGAAGTCCACGTTGGTCTTTTGCAGGTCGACGAGACCGAAGAAGGAGAGGAAGGTGGCGTACGCGCCGAACTGAATGCCGAGTTTGTTGGCAGATGTGCCTTTTCGGCCTGCGTCGATGGTGCTGTTCATGTACTTGAGAATTTCACCCGCGAGCTGCATACCCGAGATGGCGCGCGCGTTGTCGGACTCGTTGAATGCGAGGCCCCACTCGTGCGCATCAGCGAGGGTTCGGAGCTCAAACAGAGTTTCGTTGGTGAGGATGTCTGAGGAGGGAATGGACGAGTTGTGGATGGTGGCGACGTTGATCAGGTCGTAGACGATGTAGCCGTTTTTAAAGGTGACGGTGGACGGCTCTAGGGTGGAGTTTACTACAGGGACGAGGGACTTGTAGAAAGGTGTTGTTGATTCGAGCATGTCGGCGTATTCTTTGGAGCTAAAGTATCTGTTGGATGAGGCCTTTGCGTTGGCGCAGGATGAGGCATCTTGGAGCCAGTGGCTGTCTTCACTTCCGGCGCCGGTCTCGATCGTGTTGATGGGAATCAGTTGATAGCCATCCATGGGGGCTTGGATATCTCTGCCATTGGATAGAGTCTGTACAGTTTGTACAGGTGGGTAGAGACCTTGCAAGAAGCCCATAGCCGAATTCTGCAAGACATTGTCGACTGGTGCGGTGACGGCGAGCTGCGTGAGTCTAACGGTATCTTGATTGATGCCATCGATCTTGGAAGAGCCCTCTAAATAGCGCGACCGGAAATATTGGCCAGAGGTATAGACTTGCTCATAACCTAAAGCTGTAAGGTTGGTGGGAGCCAACGACTTTGGAGTGCGATCGCCATGACGATGGAAGACATAGGCTCCCAAGACTGTCTCAGCGGCATTGGCCGAGGACAAAAGTGGCAGAAGGGACAAGGCCGTAGTGAGATGCATCTTGTCGGTCAAGGGGCCAACGGTGAGAAAGATAGGTTGGTGGACGAGCAGTGAAGAGGGAGCGGGCCGGCGCTCTTATCTTTCTTTGAACAGCTGACGGGTCGGCTGCAGGTGCCGGAATCGGGAAGCGTTCTGCAGGTAAGGTCCACGGAGATAGGCATTTTTAGTTGTTATATAATGGCATATGTAGTTAGTGGGCGTGCATATGCATGTCAAATGGAAAAGTATCGTGAAAACATTCCAGTGGAGCACCGAGAAGCGGGGCATTTGCCATGGAAACTTCTTGCCTGTAGGGTCCGGGAGGGGCAAGTGCAGACAGACTAGTGGTGGCCGGCACAAGTGGGAGTCAGTAGAGTGGGGGACATGGCAATAGCAGTGGTATTGTGGCAGTCATACATTATAATAATACATCCCTCTCGTCAGTCTTCGTTGCCATACAAAATTTCGCAGACACCGCCAATTGGGACATCTAGAACACCATCTGTACTGATGGACCAATAGGTTTGCCAATCGACCTGCTCGCCCGGATCAAATCGATGTACTGCTCCCGAGGCCGCTCCTTTGCTAGCAATTTGCTGCGTTTGCTGGTCAATGGTGGCAATATGGCCCGTCTCGTCCACCAGATTCTCGTAGCTGCCCAGGGGGAGCGTCAGGCGCGTCGTGTTGTAGCTCGCCAGTGCGAAGTAGATGTAGACGACGAGCACTGATAGCCAGCACGGCACCGCTAGCGCCCACCACCGATTCGGATAGTAGTGGATACCCATCTGGTGCAACACGGGCGCGGGGACATAGGCCCACACAAGATAAAGTAAAAATGACGCACAGCTGGCAAGATACATGGCAAATCCATAGTACTCATACGTGGGTATCTTCGGCGACGCCCGAGGGACGGGCGCGGCATGGCGCGCAGACTTGGTGATGCTCGCCAGGTTCACCGAAGAAGATCCAGAGACGTGTGCGTCCGCTTCGGCATCGGCGTCAACATCCACATCCAGATTCGTGTCTACATCGGAAGAGTCTGGCGTCGTTGGGTGGGATATGGTTGTAGTGCTGAATGTTGGCCGGAGGAGAGATGTCAGTGATGGCGAAGGTGGAAGCGGCGTTGGTGGCCTGTTGTAGAACGGAGGGAATAGTGTGCTCGTGGCATACGGCTCAAAGTCGAACTCTTCATCTCCCTCCGAATCGTCCTCAATGTCACTGTCTTCATCCTCGACACCTCCGTATTCGCGGTGCCCCTGCCCCTCCTCCTCCATCAGCCCATGCTCTAAAGGAGAAACAGGGCGTTGTAGAACATCCTGCGGCTGTGAATCCTGTGTCTGCTGCCGCGTACGGCTGGATGAAGAGCCCGAGAAGGTCTTTTCATCCCCGGTGTAAGACGACATGAGGTCTCTGGAAGCGACCTTCGGTTGTCGTGCAAAGGTGCAACAATGGCGTGCTCGTACCTTATTTGAATGCTTGGTCTAGACGCTCGGACCAATCGTTCTTCGCTGGCTTATGAGCCTTTGAACGCAACCACATCGAGCAATGCATGAGAGAGTCCAATGTACAAAGATACAATTTTGAGTGGCTCTATCTTTCTAATTTGTTTTTTACAGTTTGCTCTTGGCTTCTCCAGTAGAGCGCCCCAAGAACAATGGATCCTTGGGCTCGATTCCATACTTCCTACATAGCTCTTCTCCTTTCAGCTTCTGCGCTTCCAACCTCTTCTTGTGCGCTGGACCCCTCTTGTTCTCGTTCTTGCCCAACTGTAGCAGATGGACCTCATCCGGCCCGTCCACTATCCTCATTGTTCGCCCGTTGGCATACATACTAGCAAGCGGTGTTTCCTGGCTTACACCAGCACCTCCAAATGCTTGTATAGCGCGGTCGAGCACAGTCAGAAGAACATCAGGAACCATCACTTTGACCTCAGCAATCTCCTTCAGGGCACCCTTGGCATTGGATTGGTCGATTGTGATGGCGGCATTGCACACAGCAAGCCGGGCAGCGTCGATCTCAATTCGGCTGCGTGCGACACGGTCGAGCATGATACCATGCTTGTGTAGCATCTCTCCAAATGGCTTCTTCTTCGGATCATTGATTCTCGCAAGGAACCACTCAAGGGCCTTCTCCGCGCCTCCAATGCTTCGCATGGCATGGTGGATGCGACCAGGGCCAAGACGGCCTTGAATGATCTCAAATCCCTTGCCTTCACCCAAAACCATATTTGAGGCAGGAACTCGCACGTTAGTGAAAGTTACATGACCGTGACCATGTGGGGCATCGTCGAAGCCGAAAACGGACAGCATACGGTGGATGGTGATGCCAGGTACATCGTGAGGTACCAAGATGACGGATTGTTGCTTGTACTTGTCTGCGTTGTTGGGGTCTGTCTTTCCGAGCACAACGTAAACCTCACACCTAGGGTCGCCAATACCCGAAGACCACCATTTCTAACCAATTGAATAAGTTGCTGTACAAGATTGCCCTAACAAAGGGATAAAGAGGACTTACCGAGCCATTAAGGACGTATGAATCACCATCTCTTGTGATAGTCATCTCAATATTGGTGGCATCACTAGACGCGACTTGAGGCTCTGTCATCAGGAAAGCAGATCGGATCTTTCCCTCTAACAAAGGATCGAGCCACCTCCTCTTCTGAGCCTCGCTGCCGTACTTGGCTATCACTTCCATATTTCCAGTATCCGGAGCCGCGCAGTTGGTAGCCTAACAGCACATGTAAGTTTGCATTCGAACCTCGGACTGCAAAAGCATGGTTTGTCTGACCTCGCTTGCTGTTCGGCTTTTGCCCAAGTACTCGGCCATGAGGCCGTATTCGAGGTTGCTGAACCCAGCGCCTTCCTTGAAATGATTCGCAGGGAGGAACATGTTCCACAGCCCGAGCTCCCTTGCCCTCTTCTTCAAGTCCTCAATGATGCTGGGGTGTGCAGTGAAGCGTTCCTGCGTGGTTTCGCCAATCTGGCGGAGGTAGACGGCATCGGCTGGGATACATTCTTCTTCGACGAACTTCTCTACCTATATTGCCATGATGTCTCGTGTTAGAGAGAGAGCACCGTCATGAATGAATGAATATTGGAGGTGCTACGTACCAAATCCAATGTCTTTGCTGCCCTCTCGCTCACAAAGGGGCGAGCCATGGCCGGAATGCGCTGGCTCGCCGTCAGGTGGCCATTGTGGCTGTTCACCAAAAGATCTGACATGGTGAAGGATAGGGAGAGCGGAGCGATGTGAAATGGGAATGGAATGGAATAGCAAGAAATTCTATCGACACAAAAGAGATGCGGACATGGCCGACTACATATGCATTGATGCTACGCGAAAGAAAGGACTAAAACCAAGCTGCCCCTGCGAATCATTGCGGGGGAAGCTGTCAGCGTTGCCGATACCGAGGTTCGATACCATCCCGGATGCTTGGCATAGATGGCGTGGGCTGACATATAGATGCTACACGCACACAGTTACCGCCCGTTCAGCCAACAATGTATTGTCCGGTCAGCTATGGTTAGCTTCAGATGCAAAATCCGAGCCGGCTACCACCGACTGAGGATGAGCAGAGAACACAAACTGTTTGGCAGGGCCAAGAGAGGCCCTGGATAACGAATCGTTCCAGAAATTATACACTACTGATAGTCCCCATACCCCAAACAGACCGACTGAATTTCTCCACACGCTAAAAGGCTATAAATGAACGCTCACGCGAAACCATGCCAAAACTCCGAATAAATGCAGGTGCCATGTGCTAGTGCCTCCATACTCCCCGCAAACTCCAGCAAAGAATGCTATCATACGATTCATCGGGTGACAAAATACCCTGCGGTGCCTTCTTCTTCTCCCTCGAGTGAATCACTCGTCGTGCCGTCATAACTTTCTGCTCGCCTCAAAGGACTTCGCCTCTGTTTCCTTCTCTCGATGATTTCTACTTGTGCCCGTAAGCCTGGATCCTTCTCCTCGGCCTTTAGTAAGTCAACCGCGCGGTCAACTTCCTCCCAAGAAGGCCGATTGTCTCGAGACCCGCGAGGAGTAGCCGGCCCAGATTGTGTTTCCTGGTAGCACGGAAATGTTAGTTTGGATTTAATCAGAATCATACCAAAGCCCTTCATGTCCAAGTCTCGGACTTCCACATCGAATGTAAATTGACATACCAATGCACGTAGTCGCTTGCTCCGCTCGTCTGTATCTTCCGTCGGCGTCAACAACCCATTCTCCTGAGTGTCATCCACGTGTTGGGGGGAGAACTCGACCTCCTTGTCGATATCACAAGGCAGGCCCGGTGTAACCGGAGTCGGTGGGCTGTATTCTCTGGTTACCAGACGGCGCCTGTCATCCGTATCCACATCGGAAGCTGCGTTGATTGTATCGCTCAGCTGGCCACTGCGATCGCTGAGTGCTATCGATGTGTCACTTCTCCACATGTCTCGAAATCTTTTTCTGTGTCTTGATCCCTTAGGCCGCTCACTATCGTGCGGGGGCGTTTCGAAGAAGCTCGAATATGTTCTGCCCAATTGTTGCGCTATTGGTATGTCCGATTGAGAATTCAGCGTACCCGATCGTACAAACAATACAAGACCAAGGCAAAGCAGTAGGAGAGTAGATTGAACGACAGCCATTCGTTTCTGCCACACGAGCTCATCCGCCATCATGCTCAGCCTGGCTCCAATCTCGCCAACTTCCGTCCTTTGCCGCTCTTTCATCCCCTCGAGCTCCAGAATGGTGCTTTGCCAAAGCTGATCGTACATGTTACGGTATGTCTTCAATTCGTGCATCACAGTGCTGTTCAAATGATCCAGAAACTTCTCAGTCTTCTGTAATTGCTTCTTCTCGACTTTTATAAAAGCATCGCGAAGAATACGAGATTGCTCTTCGATATACTGGAGTGAGAGCGTGCTATTCGCCTCTAGGTATTGCAAACGTTTGTGAATGGACTTGAAAATGGATTCTTGCGTAGAAGGTGTGGCTGGATTGGGTTGTGTTTGGGCGGGTTTATGAGATGAGTGCGTCTGCGCGTTCGTTTTGATAGACTCCGAGCTAGTTCTGTTTGACGATCCACTCGAAACGATACCCGATGCCTCGCTTTTAGCTTTGGCGACGGGAATATGCGTGGAATCGGAGAGAGGACTGTTTACAGTGGCTGGCGAAGGATCGTGAGGTGAAGACGGAGCACCTTTGGTATCATTTGAGACAGTGGTCTCTTTTGTTGATTTCTGAAGATTATCAGAAGCATTCGATTCGACCCACGTCTCAGATGAAATTGATTTTATCGCTGAGTGAGGTTGGCGGTGCTCGACAGAATCATCATGTTTGGTGACATCCGTAGGCTGCACGGAAGAAACCTCAGTAGTACTCCCGTGAGCGTGGTGCGTGGATATGTTTGAATCCTCAGTACTAACGTCTGACTGCGACTGTGATGTGCTATTGGTGATGTTAGTAGCTTGCGAATCTTGTTCTGTCGCATGAGACGCATTCTTCTTGTCCTCGGCAAGCATTTGCGACTCCGTTTTATCGGCATCGATATCCATGGAAGGCAAACCCTCGTGCACTGTTACTTCCGCAACAGCTTCAATGGGTTCATCGACATCATCTTCGCCTCGCGCCTGCTCTTCTTCGCGCCTAAACTGCTCCATCATCGTGGTACCGTGTACTCGTAACAAGCTCATTGGACAATAGTATTCATTACCGTAATGCGTCAAAAACTCAATTCGCAGATATCGTGCCCAAATCTGGGGTTCTTTAATAAGAAAGGGTTGAATGTCGCGCGAATTCCGAGCTTCAAAGGTCCCCAGGACCCGCCAGCGGTCTGTTTTCACGGGGTATCGATCGGAAACGCTGATTCGAAAATGGCGGAACATGGATGAAAAGAATTCGTAATTAGCAAGAACAACAGTATCCACAAGAATATCGTCACAAAGTTCAACAACAAGGTATTTGTTTTCGGCCGAACACTCGGTCAACATGTAGCTGTCCTTATTCTCCACCAGGATTGACGAGGTGCTCTTAGCCTTTGGGTTGGTTTTGAGAACGGTGGCGGCACAATCGAAAGACGCGTAGTTGAACCGTTCTTTGTACGTCTTGCCTGCGTCCTTGCTAAGTGCCCAGGAACTTGGAGCAGCTTTGTCGGCTTCGCTTGCGGTAGGTGCCGGTTCCCCCGTGGTTTCTTGATTGGGTGTAGCATTGCTGGAGGCAGCGTCTCCTTCACCAGGCGAGCCAAAACCGCTGAAATTGATCTCGATTTCGCCTTCTTCGCCTAGAGAATCCAAAGCGTTGACATTCACTGGGCGTCGCCGACCTCTGTGGTCATCCACGTTCGCACGTCCTTGGCCGACAGTATCAGGCGATTGGCCGACTTGAGCCAAGTTCTTCTTCTTCCAATCCTCAAAGGACAGGAAATTGGCGTTATCGAGGGGCGAATCCGTCTCCAGCTCGGCCTCAATCTGCGTGCTGGTTGTGTCGCTCGCCGTTGGTGCAACCGGTGGACTTGGGCTATGTTCGTCCGGGGCGCCTTGTCCTGCCGGGGTTTGGGAGGCCTGCTCTGAAGCCGGAGCGTCCTCGGAAACATGTTTTCTAGCCCATGGAATAACGACGTCTAGAGAAGTGGCAGCCTGCTCGGTACCAGGCGCTTCGGTAGCGATAGGCTGGCTGGTAGCTGCCCAGCCTGTCCTCAGGCATTGCTGCGGAAGGGTGTGGGTGATGTAGTTGATGGTGCGCGAGGGACAAGTGGAGTAGGAGTCGGTGAAGGAAGTAGTCGTGGACGCTGTAGAGGAGGAAACACGAGCTGTATCGCTGGAGGTTGTCCTATTCGTCGACTGCGCAAGAGTGCATGTCAACAGGCTGCACAGAAGCAGGCACCCAACCCATTCGTAGAGGGGTGCGCCAATCGTGAGCATTGCTCGGGCGCATGTTAATCTGGGAGGGCTAGCGGTAATTAGTGACGCTGTCTGTAGGAGAATGCAACGTTTCACTCGGTCGGCATGGGCAGCGTCAGGTTGGAAGTAGGAACGGGGCCCGAGGATCGTGACAAGTGCAAGGTGGCCAGGTCGTGAGAACACCGGGCCATCTATATGGATGTGATGATAATTGATTATTTCACCGCCCAATTGTTTCTTTGTTGAAACAGGCTTAGGCCACCTCCGACGCAACGCCAAGCATGTCAAACATGCGACCCCACAAATACCTCCATCTGTCAACAATGCCAATTTAGTATACTGGGGTAATCGATTCATACATATGGTACTTGTCTATCTTCGGAATTGGTCTATACATATATACATTCATCGCACTGCGAAATTCGTTCCGCCAACACGGCATGTAGCACAACAGAATTCACATGTGCAAAGCGTGGCACATCATCAATCGTAGACACATGTCTAGTATAGCCGCGGTACATGCCATGGCGCCACATGGCAGCACTGCACTTTCAATATGCCCCAGTTCATCCAAGATAGAAAGTAGCAAGGCTGCCGGTACGAGGAGAAGAAAGCTCAGATACAAGAGAAAAAGAAGGCCTACGCCCAACGAGTGAAACACACCAGTGCCACCACCTATGCTTTGAGGCCCAATAAAACACCCTGTCCGCCGCCATGTATAGAAAGCCCGCCGGTCGTCTACGAGTGTATCATGCCTCGTCCGTGTCTTCATTGTCCGAGAAACGCCGTACTGGTGGTCATGAGGCTACCGTGGAAACTCCACCACCAAAGATAAATAAAAAGTGCAAACATTACAGGCAGGTATGAAAAGGTCGTGCTCCCGCTATGCTGCTGTATGATGCTGAAAGGGTATGTCATCCGGAGTCGCTCAGTTGCAAATAAGTAGAAAACAAGTATATAGAAAGAGGATGGCCAGATAGTTGTGCAAAATCTTGTCTCTCACACGGGCACGGGATGCCTGCGCTGCTTTCAAAAGCCTTCGCTGCCTGCGTGGCAGACTTTGATTTCTTTGACCCACTCGGAGAAAAGGACCTGGTGTGCGGTGAGGCGGCGTGTAGGGTTAGGGTCGAGAACCGAGTAGATCACATTGCGACATTGCCGCTGCATACATTTGTTAGTGACGCGAATCCCTCGAGAGAAAAAGTATGGGGGACTAGAACTTACCCGACGTAGCACCTCGATAGGTTTGTAGCCGGCTTCTTCTTTACGATCTTCTAGGTAACGATCGAAGAACTCGTCCTCCCCCTTCTGGGCTACTCGCCACAAGTGTCGCCCGGTTCTCATGGCCATGTAAATGATGCCGCAAGCCCAGACATCCACAGCACGGGGATCGAATTCACGATCCACATACTCTTCAGGGGCAATGTAAGGAGCAGACCCACAAAGTCCGGCCGTCATATGAGCTTCCTTTTCCCAGGCCATGCGGAAGCATTCGCCGTTGCCAAAATCGGTGATTTTGATAGACCCGTGTGTGGTCAAAAGCAGGTTCTCAGGTTTTAAGTCACGATGGGCAACTCCCATTTCGTGCATGTACTCGACACCCCGCATGAGTTGTTTGAAGAAACAGTCGGCCTCGACCACCTCGAGTTGACCTGCTGTGAGCACCAGGGTGTATAAGTCTCCTCCAGAACAATACTCCATGACTTCGCAGTAGGTGCCCTTGTCATCTTGGAGGAGATCCAGGGTGTTGATGACGTTGGGATGTTGCATTGACGAGGAGATGCAAAACTCGGCGGTCAAGCGCTTCTGGTACTTCTTGGCAGATTCTCCGGGGCGCTGCTTGAATTCCTTGACAGCGTACAAGTGTTCGCGCTTGGGGTCTTTGGCGTCGGTCTTGTGGGCAACGCGAACGATGCCAAAAGCCCCACGGCCAACGACCTCTTGACATTTGCCGTATTTCTGTACCAAAGTCTGAGAAGTATGGTTGCTAGCCGAGTTCTTCTGCTCGGCGAGTTTCTCCTTCTCGTTGCGCATGACGTCGACCCAGTTCGCCATCAGGCTAAGAGGTTGATCCTCATGGTGAGTATCCTTCTTCTTGCCCAGCATCAAGTTTTGGAACATATCGGACAGCTTTTCCTGACGTTTGGCAACTTTGAGGTGGTGTTCATGGGTGGCGTCTTCGTTGTTCCAGAAGCGACGGTAGGGAGTGGTATTGCCGTCTTTTGATTTGGCGGCCGTAACGGAGGGCTGACGAGAAGGAGGGGGACGAGCAGCAGTACCATTGGAAGACTTGGAGTCTCCATTCCTTTCGGCGGCCTTTGCTAATTCTTTGCTCTCGTCTCGCTTGTTGAACATACTGCTAATACGCGAGGTCATGGTTGGCTTTTTGACCTTTAGAAGCGCATCGCCGTTGGGAGTTGTGTTTGCATTTGCGTTTGAGGGCGCAACCGCGGGCGCGGGTTGCGCAGGCGGCGGAGGGTTCACGGCATCTGGCTGGCTCTGGAGCGACGGCACGGTCGAGGGCGACGGCGATATATTGGGTGGCGTTGGGTTGCTGCTGGCGGGGGCTGCCATTCTTCTTCGCGGGAAATTCTGGGGATGGTATTGGCCTCGACTACGGGTGCTGTGCTTGAAATATTGTCGCTAGTTGGTTGACGGGAGGAACGGGAAAGGTGGAGACGCAAATGTCTCTCGTGGGCTGGTGCCCAGCTGAGGTTGTTGGAGTGTGCGCAAATGGGTAGTGTGGGTGGAGGAGAAACGCGGTGTAGAAGCGCAAGGGTGGGCCTTTTAAGAGGGGTGAAAGAGCAGTCGCAAAGAAACGGAGGGGGACTCCTGCTGCTGCTGCTGCTTAGCAATCGCCTTGTAATGGCGGCCTGGGGCTTGGACGGGTGCAGCGCGGCGGCCGACCTCCCGGAGATGAACAGAGCGAAAAGGTTAGGAGAAGAGGTTGAGGACAAGGGAAGCCATGGGGGACAGGTGATATGTGGGTGAGGACGTAAGATATTGCAAAGGTACCTGGCTGGCGGGTGGGAAGAAAGATTTGTTTGGCGGCCGCCGACGACTGGTGCTTATAGTGAGGTCTGGCATTGGCCGCGGTTGCGGGGTGCCACAAAATGGATGCGCGATTTTTACGTCTGGTAACTATTTCCTTCTGGACGACGCTACTGCTAACGATGAATGGCGGCGAGGTATTAACGGGCTGCTTACAATTACACGTCCATGTACTGAATGCGTGAATACAGCAGTATTGTATCGCCCGGCTGCCTCCAGCAACCTCACCACTTCGCCCTCGCCGTGCATTTGAAATCACTTTCACTACTGCACATGTGTGCACGATGATGTATGTGTATCAGGACTGCCCCCAGCTGCCTGCCTATGGGCAGAAGCTACATGACATGCACTGTGCACTCGCGCAGTTTGCGTGCCGCCTGCCACCAGTCACGTCTGGAAGCTTAGTCACAGACATTTCTTGATTCAATACCGTCAGACTCATCATCATCATCTGGCGTCGGTGCCGCCGCGTTAGCCGTCGCCATGGTTAATAAGAAACAACAATACAGTTGCTGTGAAGACGAACGGCGAGCAAACCGGGCAGTGCAGAGCAGGTGAGATGGTTACAAACCGGAAACATTTGAAGGCCTATCCGCTCACACGGAATCCTCCCTCCCTCATCGACGCCTTGGGTGGCTCCAAATGATGTCAGCGGACTCGTCTCCATCCTCCTCCATCCTCCTCCTCATCATCATCATCACTGCCGTCACCAGGCCACCACCATTCACCCTGCCAACTTTGCTCTGCGGCGTCCAGGTGCTTTCCAGTGAATCCCCCCTCTGACACGGGCACAGCCGACTCGAAACAGCCCGGCTTAGTTCGTGTGTACTAAATCCACTTGGGTTTTATACATGGCAGATAGGTAGACGCGGCAGTCAGTCCTCGCCTCCCTCTGCTTTGCCCCGCCCTGCATGCAACTGCAGCCTTCCCGTCCACCACTTCTGGCCAACCCTCTCCGCTCGTATGTTCAAGTTGACTGACCACACCTGTAAACAAATCCCTCAGCCAAGATACCAAAGGGCTCCCTGCATCTTCCGGATCCTCGGACAGGACCCCTCTTTTGGCCAGGTCGCTGTCACCTCCCAGCTTTCTACTGGTGCATTGCAACCTCTTGCATGTCCCGTACATGTACCAGATATATATTCGCCCTGCATAAATGACCGCCAACGTTACCACAAGCCGAAAGGCCAAGAAGTTTTGTAGAGCCGGATTCTTTTCTTTTCGCTGTCCAGAGCCGAGATTGACACTCTATCTACAGTTTGGGAGGTTCCAATGCAGGAAAGGCCATTGCGGGCGAGATGGGGTCATCTGCACACAGCCACCTTCTACCATCGTGATGGAAACAAAGGATCCGCGCGAGATAATTCATGGCACAAGGACACATCTTCATAGACGTGTATACTGACTCCCGTGCCTACTTGACGAGACAGACATCGCGTATCTCCTAATTGGATACTACATATGTAGGCACCCATCTATGTATCCATACATATTGTGTGCAGGGGGTAGATATCACGACTGCAACATGGTAGCCAACTTGAAAGCAAAAGATTCTGTGATTATTGCTCACCACGTTACGTAAAATGAGATGATCCATACATAAGCAACCCGTATATAAATCTTTTTTTTCATGTCCGAATGGGGATAGTGGCCAACATTTCAACCAAACCACCTGCAATACCTTGAGCGTACAAAAACCGACTGGGAACCGATCCTTCCAAAGGGGAAGAAATCCGCCAATACAACACTTCCCACGTGGCACGACCGACTAGAGTCACACTTCTAGGTACCCAAGTACCTCACATGTATTGTTCATCACCAACAAAAAGCAGCAATCTTCGTGCGCAACACTCCACTCCCCAACAAGCTCTCGAGGCAGCTCGCATGACCGGACAAGCAGCCACAAGCATTTGCCTAGCCCTCCAGCCTCACAGCGCACGCGCGGCCATTTCCGTAGGCCGCAGAAGCCTTGTCGTGTTGAAAGCTTGCTGGAAAGCTTCGCGTCATTGCTTTTTTTTTCTCTCTCTCTCTCTTACGTTTCCTATCCTTACAGCCTTTGTTCAATTGTCGCCGACCAATATGAGCCTTGGAGTAAGGGTACATCAACATTGTACACTTGAAGCACACTGTGTTCTCGTTTGCCTGCATACGAGTAACTCGAGAAGCTATTTGGTCCGTTTGCATCGGAATTCATTATGATTTTTTTCCTCTTGACCCAGAACGGCTCTCAAGCAGATCCTTACGTGTGTACCTTCTTCAACTTTCCAATGTCCAAAACTTGCGCCAATAGCTAACCTGAAGATTTTCTATCAGAATGGAAGGGGGCTATTTCTCCACCAGGATCGGCGTAGCACTGCGACTCAGTCCTCTGGAGCTGGCCACTGGTGTGGAACTCCTGCTTCTTTCAACCACCTTTCCCTTCTCCTTCTCTCTGTCTTCACGCCTAATGATCTCCCTCTCTTCTTCGACAGCGCGTTTTGCCTCTCTCACATTCCGCGTAATTCTACTAAGCTTACCCTCTTTTCCTTCGTTCAACTTCTGCAACTCTCCTCTTGCTTCGATCTCCTCTTTGGCCTTTTTCACGAAACTCTTGAATCCGCCCTTTAGATCCGCCCGTGATTCAATGGGTGATTTACCGTGGTCAAATATGCAATCGTTGTTATCGCGCACTATCGACTTCACATTCTCCACTCGTCGAGTGAGGTACAGCGTCGGGCGTCGACCGGGCGTGGTTTCTTCTCTACGTTTCGCGATTCGAGCTATCTCTTCACGGTAGGCCGTATCGTATATGTCGATATCCACGGCCGACGGAGACTCGGAAACAAGAAACGATTCTTCCGAGGGGGGAGGCGCGTAGTCTTCGCCTGTGCCGATATTAAGAAAAAGCGTATCCTCGAGTGGGTCGTGCGCATGCCCTTTCCCAAGTGGGGTAGTAGGTGCTGAAGAAACTGCTGTAGAAGGTATGGTAATCGACTTTGAAACGGAATTTCGGTAGGACAAGGTCTCGTGAATAACTTTCGCGTCTGTTGTAGAGATGGGTGACTGGGGGGTGCTCGTTGTAGAAAATTTCGACGAGGATTTACTTCCCATGCCAGCAGCGCGAGGTCCAGGCTTCGAATACGCCATTACGTCTGCGTGCGGGGGAAGACGATGTGTATCACTATCAACCTCGATATCGTGATGTATGCCTTCCGCCGTCAGAGCACCTTCGATCGGTCGTCGGTCGTCAGTATCTTGTGACCTGGATTTCCGAAGCGCTGATGGCCGCATATTTAGTGGAGGCTGTACTATACGCGAGGCGCTCCCTAATATGCCCTCAAGTCGTTCTGGCCGTCTTCTGAAAAGCAGTTGCTTGAATCGTTTTACAGCTCGGACCTAAGAGGCCTGTCAGCAGCAGCGTGGTAAAGACGAAGTGGCATCATGGCAGCCTTTATGCTGACTACAAGACCAATAGGAAGTTTGGTGACAGTGAAATGATGCTGATCTACTCACAACCGTTACCAAATGTCCCATATTTCCTGTGATGGCGGCGTTGACTTCTTCATCTGTGGGAGGCTCCACCAGAGCTGCTACATTTTCCGATGTTGGCAATAGCGGATCCGTTCCTTGCCGCGTAACCCACGGGTGTTCCTATCAAATCAGCATACCAACTTGGTTGACTAGAGACAACATACTCTTATCTCGTCCATGTTAATTCGTTTTTGCGGATCCTTCTCCAGCAGTCGGCAGAGAAGATCAAGCAGATCAGAGTCGCACTCATCGTACTCCGGCTGATCCATGCGTATAGCCTGATACAGTTCGATCATACCGTGTTTCTCAAAAGGTATCCTACCAAACAGGAGGCAGAAAAGGGTAACACCCATTGACCATATGTCGACAGCCCTTCCATCAACTTCACCGTGTTTGGCTACGCAAAGTTCGGGGGGCATAAACGCGGGCGACCCAGCAGATTTAGCGGTCTTCATTTCGCCTTGCTTATCAAACATCTCAGACACTCCAAAATCAACAATCTTCAAAACATCATCATCTGTTATGAGGCAATTGTCGGGTTTGATATCTCGGTGGATAATACCTTGGGCATGGACTGCACACGGTAAGTTGGTTATTGGTGAAAAAGCTTATGACGAGCAACATACGATATTCCAAGCCCAAGATCATGTCCCGAAACCAACATCGACACTGCTCTTGAGGGTATGGATCTGCGCGCTCCTCGAGACCTACCTGCATGACGACCCCTTTCTTACACATTTCCATTACCATGTACAAGGAATCCTCTTCCGGGTCGTCGAGCACTTCGATCAACGAGACGAGGTTAGGGTGGTGCAGCTTCTTCATAATGGCGATTTCCTCCTTGATGAGGTCCAACGAGTTGTTCTCTTCGGAGGATGAGTGTCGATGGAGGGGCGAGTTGAATCCCAAGCCAGCAGCCAGAGCACCCTGGCGTCTTCGTCGGGCACTAGGTCTTCGAAGAAGATTGGATTGTGCTCGTTTCCGCAGGCGGGATTTGGAAAACTCCTTTACAGCCTGCATCTCAAGCGTCAGCGAGAGCCAATGCCACGGTCCTTGGTGGCCACCCGCATGCGTCATGCTCATCACGTTCGGAGGCATAGTTCTCTCGGGCGCGGCGGAATCGTGGGTTGGATCCTCACATATTCGTGGCCATATTGGTCCATTGCGAGGTGGACAGCGCCAAAAGACCCGCGTCCGATCTCCTGTTTCACCAGATACTGATTGATGCGGTGCTGGGCGGTTCCATCATCTTCGCTGTTGCTGTACTCGGATCGTGCATTGAGCGTCTCCTGGGCGGGGTCAGCGGGGAGGGTGTAGATGAGGGCACAATGGGCTGGGGCTGCACCTTGACGCGTCTGGTGGACGATGCTGCGCGCTTGTGGTGCCGTAGAGGAGAGTGGTAGGCGGGCAGAGACCTGGGGTATGCATCAGCACTTCCGCGGGGTAATGAAGCGGGTGGGGGAGGAGCGCGAACGCATATTTGACAGCAGGCGGACGGCCGTCCTGATGAAAGGCTGGCACGTCTAAGGACACATGTTGAGACGAGTAGATGCCCGGAATCTCGGCTTCGGGGGGTTGATTGATACGAGGCGTCTGCTGCATCGTCGAGCGAGCCTTGGTGCAAGACGGCTAGACAAGAGCGACGGGGACGGCGACGGCGAGGAGCGGCGACGTGATTCCAAGGGACTTGCTGGTAAGGATGTTGGGGATGAATAGTAATGCACGATGGATCGTTAGGAGTTCGCTTGAAGGGTCAGGGGTGGGGTTTAGAAGAAAAGATAAATGGAAAGGTGGGTGGAGGAGAGAAGTAGGTGTAGGTATGTAGTTCGATGTGGTTTGGGCTCATAGGTAGTTCGTTCCCATCTATTCGGCAACAGTAGCAGCAGCCTTAGGCATTCACCAACATCAACAATCAATTACTACCACTCCGCTCCCCCTTTCGTCTCCATCCTCTCATTGCCATCCACGCACGCATCTAATAATCTCAACTGCACCTGCTCGCTCGTCTCTTCACGCACGCCTGCACACATAGTCACCTACAACACCGCTCCCTCGCCATGGTGCTTTATTCCTTCTACATCTTCGACCGGCACAGTGAGTAGAACCATGTCGCTACATGCCCTACACCGTACCGCGCCCTCCGCTGACCACCCCTGATTCTGCCAGCCGAATGCATTTACAGCCGTCGCTGGACACCCCCTCGCGAAAGCTCGTCAGGCAAAGCACGCCCCGAATCCGGCGGAAGCATCACTTCGAATGGCGATCAACCAGCTCACGCTGCCCGCAACCACTCCGATGACGAGAAACTGATATTCGGTCTCGTCTTCTCGCTCCGTAACATGGTCCACAAGCTGGGTGGCGAAGACGATACCTTCCTCAGCTATCGGACCGGCGAATACAAGCTCCACTACTACGAGACCCCCACGCGCATGAAGTTCGTCATGCTTACCGACACGAAGCAGAACAACCTGCGCCCCTACCTTCATCAGATATGGGCGAACCTCTATGTCGAATTCGTCGTCAAGAATCCTCTAGCACCAGTCGAGCATCCTGGCGGCATTGGTGTGGCCAACGAAATGTTTGAGAGGGGACTGGAGACTTTCATTGTTGCAGTGCTGCCTGCTTGAGCACTAGACATCCACGGGCTGGCGGATTCTCCAGCAGCGGTGTCAATCTATATACCCGCGCTTTTGCGCAATCCTTACTTCATTTCACGCCCCCGACCACGCAGCCAAGAGCAGGCGGGTCCCATGGATCATGACCGTAATGTCTATTCGATTTTATATCATATGCATTAGCAGCAAGAGGAGTTTCATAGGGGGATGATCCTAGATCCCATTTTCTGGCTATCATTCAAACCATGCTTGTCTTGCTTACTATCCTCATTATCCGCCTCTGGACCGATTCCGTCCTGGGTATATCATCATGTGTATGTCCTGCATTTCACAGGGCTCCTTCTGCGAAAAATAGCATCCATCTTCATCTATACCTTGCGTGTTTTCGCAGTATAGAATCTCGCTGGTCCCAGCCCTTTCCTTACCTCATCCAATTGCTCAATACCGCTCTGTGGCTTCCCCTTACGAACACGGGTCTTGCTATTGCCTGCCATAGAGTGATTTCCCAGAAAGTCATCCATGATGTTGTCGAAGTCAGAACGTAGTTGTGGTGCCTCGCTCATATTGGACATGTCGCTCATCCCGCTCATCCCGCTCATCCCGGACATCTTGCTGAAGCCAGACATTTTACTCATCCCGGACACCATTGAAGCATCGTCCGGGAAATCTTCTTGGGCGTATTCCTCTTCGATTTTGTCGAACCGCTGGTCAAGAAGGGTAAGGCCTTCAGTGCGATGGAGCGCAGAAGACGTCATACTGTAGCTTGTACTTGATGTCAGTGCACCCTTGCGCTTCTTTTTGCGCCCGCCTTCAGTGAGAGCGGAGGCGCCAGTAAGGATGGAGGATTGCACGTCCGAGGGAGCTGCTGGCTTGGGCACTTTAGAAGCTTTAGTGTCGTTTTTGAACTTTTTGAACTCTTCCATGAAAGCCATCTGGTTTGCTTCCGCAGGTGCTGGTGCTTCGTCGGGTGCAGGAAGTGTGTCTGGATCTGTAGGTTCGACTGGCTTCACGGGCTTAGGCGACGATGCCTTTATGGTGTCATCGGTTTCCCAGCCTTCATCCTCTTCTTGAAGGAACCGGTCCATGACGTCGTCTTCCTCGAAATCAGTGTATTCAAACTCCCTTTGGTTCATCTCCGCGGGATCCTCTGTGAGCTCTGCGAAGAAATCCTCCTCATCCTCCACATAGGCCTCATCTTCAAGCGCCTCGAGTACTTCGCGTAATCTGGGATCCATGTCCGGCTGGAAACCTGCAATGGCGTCGGGGATATTTTGTTGATCTTGATAGGTAGTCTTGCGTACGAACTCGGAAGGCGCCATGTCTTCGCCAAAGACATCACTCGGTGCTCGGCTGACACTGCTGCTCATACTGATGCCGGCGTCGCTCTGCCTGTCATCGAGCGAAGACATTCGCAACGCATCTGCAAGGTCCATCTTCTTCTTGCCCTTCTTCTTGTCAGCGGGTGCTTCGACGAAGTAAGCATCGCCGCCGCCAGATCCCAAATCACGCATGTGCTGCATGTAGTCGTATTCGGTATCGTCATAGTAAATGCCATGGTTTGCAGCCTCCCCCTCGTTGTTCCGGGCCCTCAATCCAAATTCGTTTTCCAAGTCGCCTCGTGATTTGATCTGACTCTTTCCCGTTGCTGAAGAATATTTGGAGGTTGAGGAGTATTGGGATGCGCGTGAACTACCGGCAGGCTCGGAGACTTCCCGCGCATTGGGCGTGTTGACCTCTGCAAAGACCATTTCGGAGGCCTCTGCATCGTGAATACGCGGGTCATTCTGAGCGCGGTGGACGAGTTTGTAATTGAGGGCGGTTTTCTTGTCGCTGGGTTCATAGTCAATGGATGATCCACTGGAAATCTGGATAGTTTGAACTTACATGAACTTTCGGCGCGGCATGATGGCTTTGAGTATATAAAAAGTGGTTTTGGCAGACGAGACAGGGAATACAAATTCAAAGCAGATTGCAGTAGTCAGCCGAGAGGGTAGAACGAAGTGGCCGCGAAAGAAGTGACGGGAGCCTTAGGCGCTTCGACGTTGCCAAAAATTTTATCGATAAGCGAGGCGAGGCGGGGCACTGGTGAAAGTCATTACAGAGCAGCGAGGTGGGGCAACTTTCTCCAATCTTTTCAGAGGCGACCCAACCGGCCCTCACTCGCCTCTTCACTTTCCACCACCAACCATAACACATACATTTGGCGCAAATACTCAGCGGTCGCCAACATGGTTCTCGCCAAGTCGAAAAAGAGTGTCGGGCTGGGCAACAGCCTGATGAATGACCGGTTCGGGAAGGGCAAAGGCGCGGACATGCGAAAGGGCAACTTCCAGGGCGGTATCGAACGGACAGGCCAGAATGGAGAGCGGGTGAGTCGCATTAATCGCCGTGTGAACAAATATTCCTAATGATAAACTCAGTACATCACAAACCCCAGCAAAGAGGCATCCTGGGTGAAGATGCGTTCGGTGACTGAACAAGGCGCCCTCGACGAATTCCTGTCTACCGCTGAACTGGCTGGAACCGATTTCACGGCGGAGAAGATGAATAACGTCAAAATCATACACCGAGACCAGAAGAACCCCTACCTTCTATCAGCGGCGGAAGAGCGTGCCACTGTTCGGAAACAGCGAGAGAACAAGAAGCGCCTAACCGTGCCGCGTCGTCCACCTTGGGACCAGAAGACGACGCCTGAGCAGCTAGATGCTCGCGAGAAAGAGTCACTGATGCAGTGGCGGAGAGGCTTGGCAGAACTACAAGAAAACAACGACTTACTCATGACACCTTTCGAGCGCAATCTGGAGGTTTGGAGACAGCTGTGGCGGGTGATTGAACGATCAGATCTTGTCGTGCAAATTGTAGATGCGCGCAACCCTCTTCTCTTCCGATGCGAAGATTTAGAATCGTACGTCAAGGAGGTCGACTCTAAAAAGAACAATCTACTGCTTGTCAACAAAGCCGACATGATGACTCTGGCACAGCGTCAGGCATGGGCTGATTACTTCACTGAAGCTGGCATCAACTACAAGTTTTTCTCTGCCGAGTTGGCAAAGGAACTGAATGAGGCTAGAGCCCTTGAAGAAGAGAGCGATTCGGATGCCCCCGAAGAAGATGTCAGTGAAGACGAACCCGAAGAGTCGGATACTCAGGAAGACGAACTCGCAGCGAAGGCTGGGGAGCTCAACATCCAAAAAAGCGGCGGTAAAGACAACAATACTTCGAATACCCAAGGCCAGGGCGTTCCTTTATCCGACGAAGAAGAACGAACACGCATCATAACCACGGATGAGCTTGAAGCGCTCTTTCTTCAACATGCACCTGAGATTGATACTGGGCCAAACAGTGATCATCGGAAGACGCATAAAACGCAGATTGGTCTTGTGGGTTACCCCAACGTGGGTAAATCTTCCACTATCAACGCTCTTGTTGGCGCAAAAAAGGTTTCCGTTTCTGCTACTCCCGGCAAAACGAAACATTTCCAAACAATTCACCTCAGTGATCAAGTCCTACTGTGCGATTGTCCCGGTTTGGTCTTTCCTAATTTCGCAAGCACCAAAGCCGAACTCGTTTGCTCTGGTGTGCTTCCCATTGATCAATTGAGAGAGTACACGGGACCTGCAGGTCTTGTCGCCCAAAGAATTCCCCAGTTCTTCATGGAAGCTCTATACGGCATGAAGATTCACATTCGTCCGGCTGAGGAGGGCGGCACTGGCATTCCATCGTCCGAAGAAATACTTCGTGCTTACGCCAGCGCTAGAGGCTTCCAGACGCAAGGTGTAGGCCAGCCCGATGAATCTCGTGCCGCGAGGCATATTCTCAAGGACTACGTCAAGGGCAAATTGTTGTTCTGTCACCCACCACCTTCAGAACCCGCGATCGACCCGAGACGATTCAACCGCGAGCTGTACGACATCAACCACCTTCCAGCGAAGCGTCGTGCACAAGTGGCCCATCATGCAGAATCTGCTTCAGCTGTTGACGCCGAAGATGCTTCTTTGATGGACGATGACCTTGATATGATACCTATGCCTGCCACAGGAGAGAAGTCTAAGGGCCTTGATAAGAGGTTCTTCGGACCTGGCCAAGGTAATGGACATGTCAATCAACCATTTCACTATCAGTACAGCGAGCAGGGCAAGGGCAAGGAATTGAGCGGACGCAAGCTGAAGACCATGACAGCGCTGGAGCGAGACGTGGACCCCACCGAGTTGCGGATGGGCGGCAAGAAACATTTCAAAGGTAACAAGCGTCGCGCGAAGAAGGAGCGATCAGTCTACGAGTGAGCACGCGCGTTTCTGGCAGGCTGGTGGATCATGAGGGTGGCCCGGTCCACCGCGTTGATGCATTCAAGGGCGTTTTGGATCATGCATGGAAAATAGAAAATCTAACGACGGGGTAGTAAGGTTATTTCATTCTTCTATAGTCAATTACCAATCGAGGGTCACTGTTTCTTTCCTTTTGCTACAAAATATGTGTGCACGATTCGTAGTCGACCACGTGTACAGACTGAGCACGTATATGTGCATAGAATATATGTGTGTATGTATATGCATGCACGTATGCCACAGCACGAGTTCTGTTCACCCTGTGATTCAGCACGGGTAGGCAGCGGGCACATCATAGCGATCTCTATAGATTCAAACTCGAGTGCACTCTTTTGATCGTTGCATCAAAGAGGGCCGTTCCGCTTCACGCGGATGCATCCACGGCTCACATTTTCTCTTGCACATTGCATCAATATCATTGAGTAGATCCTCGACCCAATGAACCGTCAACACGTTCTCATAAAAAAAAGGATACGTATGGGGTCAAGTTTTCTGATGACGGATGAGTTCGGTGTAAATATCTCGGTTCACCAGTGTTTGCCACCGAGTCGTAATTGCTGTTGCTGATGTTCGCTGAAAAGGACAACACTGAAGGTAATTAGGGTTGGCGATTGCCGCTTCTTCCACCTCCGTATATATCTAATAGTCCAGTAGATGCTGTTGTGGCTCAGTGTCGATGAGTGGTGCACAATATCATCACCGATCTACAGCCCGTATCGGGGTTTGAGTTGGGCATTATCTCGTGGACTTAAGGGCAAATGAGTGGTGCATTGAATGCATACATACGTACACACATATGTATATGCGTGAACCCTTGATAGGATGAGGTTTGCGTGTGTGGCGATTGAATCTGCAATATTCTCTATCCGCGCTTAACGAGCAAGTGGTGTAGCTGCAGCGGCGAATGGGGAGTGGACGTGGTAAGCAAAAAAATGTTGGGAATAGTAAGTTGACTTTGAATTGGGAGACAGTGGATGTCATCCATAAATTTGGCTTGGCCTCGTGCATTATAAGACAGTCGTCTGGGAAGATGAATGTCTCCCGACTCTACGTTTCAAACTGACAACGAAGATGAACTATGTTCGATTTTTGATTTCTTCGACTCGATCGAAGGGTTCAAGATACGGCCATGGGTGAAGGTATGACTGAAGCGGAAACAAAGTGATTGGCTCAGTATATGCGCGAGTGGAAAAAAAAACTGCAGCGTACAGGCCCCCTTCCGGCAGGAGTGGTGGCGTCTGCAGTGTGATGGAGCAATTCATCTATATCTTTTCCCTCTTATGCACCTGCTTGAACAAAGAAGTGCGGGATATTTCGACTGTCCCGAGAACAACCAATTTGAGCTGCAAGGGTGCGGAATCATATGAGCGTCGTGTACGAGCTTTACCCTACCATTACATCATGCTCTTACATGCGTGTTTTCACTCGGGTAAAGTTGTGTGATGATTCGTGTCGGGGTCAGATACTCTGAGGCAGATGTGAGATGTTGCAGAATCAGAAGATCAACACTGTTGACTACATTCACGCATGCGAGCAAAGAGGATCCAGTGTACTTGAGAAATACTGTGAGCAGATGTGGGTGTAGAGAAATCTATATCATTTGCCCAGAGGTTCAATGGTGAGGCCCCAAATGGTGATTAGAGTCATTAGCGTCCCGTTTGCATGCAGCTTGACGTATCAGTACAGGAATATGGATCACTAGCTGCTCTCGGCATAGCTTGGTACACCGACTCCAACCTCAACACTGCGTTTTGGATGCTGATTGCACTCGAGCGCTTGATTGATGTTGACGACCACTGGGGCCTGTTCGAGATAACCGAGAGGACTGCAATGGTGCCGGCGTATGCATGGATGGGCATATACACATTCATGTTATTGGTGAGCGCATATTATTCATTAATGGCCGACACGAAGACGACGACGACGACGACGATGATGATGGGGATGGTGACAGCTGTACTACCAGCATCTTCCGGTCTGGTGGAGCGGAGCTTGGTACCCGACAATGAGGCTACGGAAGAGTGCCACATGGCGGCTGCTCGAAATGAAGAGCCAGGCACCGGAGCTCGCGGAGACGACGGAGAAGGCTCGCGAGAGCACATGACGAGAAGAGGGCAGGCAGAGGAGGGGGAAACGGGTAGTAGTAGGCATGCTAGTCATCAGATCAAGCGGCGACGTCAATGCTCATTCATGGCTGCACGGGGTGGGTGGTTTGATTTGAAACCCAAAAGGCAGTGCAGAAGACCACCATGGAGGGTGCACGCCACTGGGACGCAACAGACGAATGGCTACATAGCAAGTAAATAAATAAATGATGGCGAATGCCCCCGGGCAGACGGTGGAGTTGAAATGGGTTTGAAGGTTTCCAGGAACAGGTCATGCGATTCAAGGTGGGCCTGCGGTGTCATGGAACCAACGCTCTGATTTGCTCCATCCACGTCTCGCCTACGTCAATGCGAGCGAGCGCGGGCCACTGGCGATGAACGAGAGTCAATACGGCTTGGTGTCGGACGCCGAACTTGGGTTGGCCCGGATGGCAGGCGTCGATGCAGAATGCATATGCGGACGACAGCGCTGGCTGACGATGGAGACGACGACGACGACCATGGCTGAAGTCACCGTGATGGATGGTGCTTGGTGACGAATGCTGCTGCGAAGTCGACTGTGGGGACGCCGCCCGAATCGGCACAATCATTTGTGCAGGGCAAGTTGGGCAGGGAATCCCGCAAACAAGCAACGATTGATCATTCGGTACAAGCAGACACAGGGCCAATGGCAACCCGCCTACGCTCGAAGCTTCGCATGATGTGGGCTATGAAGCGGACCAGTATGAAAATGAACGATCATGTGCTCCGCACTGACCTCAAAGCCCCGGGAGGGCAGAAAAGCCATGAGCGTCATGTTTCGACGGCGGCTGATGAGCAACAAAGCCGCCAACGGGCCTGTCCTTTCCAGCCGTGGAGGAACGGATGAATGAACAAATCAATGAATGAAGAAATACACAATTGAGAATCGCACCCGCGTCGATTGGATTGTTGAAGCGCATTTCCCCATTTCCCTGTACCGTTGCCTCAGTCCTATACTGACCTGGTCGACCAATCAGTACGTGGCATGCTTGCGAGGGCTGTCCATGATGATGTGGAGCTGAAAGAGGTGCAAAACATACATGTACAAACCAGCTCCTGGCGCCTTGCAGGGGATTCCAGGCGCCCATGCCATGTACATACGTATGTACTGCGGTTTTTTAACCTGCCATTGCAGCAGCAACAGTCGCCGTTATCAATTTCCAAAGGATGCATCAGAGATCGTGGGTTGGGCAGATTAGTCTCCGCCTAGGCGAAGGCTGCCTCCCCCCGCCGCCCTGTACTGTACGGTGCTGCATCTGTCCATGTATATAGCTGTGTACCTATGCAGGCGCGCAGCCCTGCCATTTCGCTGATTGTTGAGCAGCGGCGCTGTCATGTGTAATCAGCCAGAATATCCAAAATATAAGGGTGCGAGCGTGCGGTAGTTTGGGGAGTTTGGGCGTGTATTATTAGATCAACAATACAACACGCGCGCACCGCAGGAACTCACGGGACTGCAGCTACCTCACCCACCCGTCCGTTCCATACAAAACAAAAGGGGGAAAAGATGAAGCGTGGGCTCATCACGTACGTACTGACTTGTATGTGACTGGGAGGGCTTGCATCCGTCTTCTCTCACCATTCACCTCTCCCTCGTTCGCTGGCCAGACCGGGCGGCTGGCACGAGACTTCGCCCATTCATTGCTTTCTGCCCCGCGCCAGCACCAGCGCTGCTCCACCTTCATCGTCGTCCTCGTACCCTGTCTTGCGCTCTACTCTCCTCTTCCTCTTCCTGCACTGCACTGCACTCCACCTCCTTCCTGCTACTTTCCCCCTCCTCGCCCGCTGTTGCACGCTCCCGTCGCCAATTTCCAATTCCACCCGGCCCTCAATTCACACCCCCGTTTGCCTCGACTCACACTGTTTGTGAGCGTGCGAGTGAATGCGTCTGCGTCCCTGTGTGTGTGAGTGACTGCCGCCTCCGCCTCAACAGCACCCAGCTTCCCGTGACGAAAACCTCCCTCCTCATTACACTACACGCCACGCCACCGTAACCAACACACTCCACCTCCACCGCCCACCACCACCATCACCACCACCACGACACCACACACGCTCTCCCTCCATCATCAGGTCCCTTCGTCCGCCTGTCTGTCCTGTTAGCTGCCTGCCTGCCTGCCTCGTCTCCTCCACGGCACCTCACTGCGACCGATCCCACTCCACCTCACTCCTACCCTCGCGCCCTCCGCCCACTACGGATCCGCTCCGGCCAACTAGACCTTGCGTTCACCATCTGCTCAACTCCAGTCCGCCCTTCTCGCGATAACACGTCGCGGCCACCCCCTCCATCGCTTTTCGTACAATGAGCCAGAACCGGCCATCGGCCTTCTCCTCGCTAAGAATGGGTGGTGAGTTTTGTCCCATCTTCGTAACCCTTTGGCCGACCCGACCACGCCATGCCATACGCTACTCTATCTGCCCTAATCATCATCTAGCCGTACCCCGCTGTGATTTCCAATGCTTGTTGATGATGCTAACCGCCCCCCTCGCAGAAATCATCCACGAAAAGGTGCAAGACGGTTTGACCGGCGAATACAAGTCGCTCTCCTACACGCAATGCAAGATAGTTGGCAACGGATCCTTTGGTGTTGTCTTCCAAACCAAGCTGTCGCCTAGTGGGGAGGATGCCGCTATCAAGCGTGTGCTTCAGGACAAGCGCTTCAAGGTGAGCCCGCACGACCATGTCAAGCATGTCAAGCGAGTCCGTGCTGACCTCCACCAGAACCGTGAACTGCAGATCATGCGCATCGTTCGACACCCCAATATTGTTGAGCTCAAGGCCTTCTTCTACAACAATGGCGAGCGGGTACGTCTCTTCCCCCGCATTCTATTACCGCCTGACTAATGATGGTAGCCACAGAAGGAGGAGGTCTACCTCAACCTGGTGTTGGAGTACGTGCCTGAAACCGTCTATCGTGCGTCGCGCTACTTCAGCAAGATGAAGACTGTCATGCCCATCTTGGAAGTCAAGCTCTACACCTACCAATTGTTTCGATCGCTCGCCTACATCCACTCACAGGGCATCTGCCACCGAGACATCAAGCCCCAGAATCTTCTGCTCGATCCTTCAACAGGTGTGCTGAAGCTTTGCGATTTCGGCAGTGCAAAGATACTGGTTGAGAACGAGCCTAATGTATCGTACATTTGCTCCAGATACTACCGGGCTCCCGAACTCATTTTTGGTGCTACCAACTACACCACTAAGATTGGTATGTTGCTTTTCCCCGCATCTGACTTGTTATCTGATTATTGGGTGCAGATGTTTGGTCCACTGGGTGCGTCATGGCCGAGCTTATGCTCGGACAGCCGCTTTTCCCTGGAGAGTCGGGCATTGACCAGCTGGTTGAGATCATCAAAGTCTTGGGAACTCCCACGCGTGATCAGATTCGCACCATGAATCCAAATTACATGGAGCACAAGTTCCCGCAAATCAAGCCTCATCCGTTCAATAAGGTATGCTCCGGCAGTTGCGACTCACCATATCATTCAACTTACACGGCCAAGGTTTTTAGAAAGGCAGACGCCAACGCCATCGACTTGATCTCCAAACTATTGGAGTATACCCCAACTCAACGGTTGTCCGCTGTCGATGCCATGGTGCAGCCCTTTTTTGATGAACTGAGGGAACCAGGTACTCGTCTGCCAGATTCACGTCATCCCAATGGCCCAGCCCGAGACCTCCCGGAGCTCTTCAACTTTACCTTGCACGGCAAGTGATTCTGTACTCCCAAACGCTTCCCCGCTGACATACGAACCATTTAGAACTTTCCATTGCTCCCCATCTAAACCAAAAGATTGTCCCACCACACGTCCGACCCAAGCTCGTTGCTCAAGGCCTAGATTTCGAATCACCCAGCTTCAAGCCCCTGAACAAGGACCAGATGATGGCACGTTTGGATTAAACCGGCCTGCCATTTGCGTAGCGACGGCATGTTTGTTCACGCGGCGTGGCATTCCGATTCTTCAAGTTCCTTTGAGACCGCAATGCCCACACGAAGATGCAGACACTTTGGAGTCCCATTTCGGCGTCAGTTTCGCGGGTGTGCACGTTGATTGTACACCCTTCACACCTGCCACTCGGCTCGTGCGAAAGTGAATCGAGCGTCGATCGCGCGTGTTGAAAATGGTCTCTGGTTGCTCCTTTTCGAACTTTGGCTTGTTACCCGTCTCGTCAGCGCACACGCGGCTGGGCTCCGTAGATGTATTTTCCTTCACTCCCCGTCCCTTGTTTCTGGACTATGGTCAGCGAACCGAAGAGCTATACGACAAGGGAAATGGGAACGCGTTTAAAATGGGGAAAGTTGGCACGAACATCTTAGGATGCGCTTCGGATATCGTGTTCTGACGGCAAGTGCATGGATGCGGTTATTCCCTTTCTTTCTGCATGCGGGTGTCAATCCATCTCTTGATTTTCTTTTCCTTTTGCGCATGGAGGCAGCGGGTGACGGGGTTGTGTTTCGACTGTCATGAATGGCGTGGAAAACAAAAATTGAACAAAGTCAGCACTCGTCCGACAGATACGTCAACGGCTCCGACCTGGAAATGTCGGCGGCCATGCGAGATAGGTAGAAGCTGAGAGGATCACTCAGGCGTATGGACTAGCATGCTATTTCTTTGGCCTTCAATGGCTTCCTTTATAAGTAGATCCTTCTTCTCTTCTTTTGGCCTTATTTTGGTGTTGGTTCGGAACTCGTTGCTCTGTGCTTTTGAAATTCTAGTGGTATCTGCCTTTTGGTACGGCTTACGACAACCAATGAGCTATGTCTGATTGTCGCGGTACAGGTTACGATATCAAAACGTTTTGTTTTTCAGTTTGTATTACGTGTTCATGGTAGTACACACGCACTGTTAGCTACACTCTCTCCATGACCATGCTACGCTGCTGTCGGCTTACATTGGACCTCCTCCCTCCCGACGTCACCTTGGATCGATCCCAACGTTAAACTGGGCTTAAATCAAGGTGCGAGTGAAAAAAGATCAGCTCTATATTTGCCTTTACCTCTCATAAACACGGGTGAAGCTGTATAGCTAAGCAATGTGAATGGGAGACCCATTTCTTACTTGGTCCGAAATTAGATTTCCCGCGTCACCGCAAGTTCTCTCACTTAACGTGAACTGCTTTAGTGATGCGCAGCTATAAACAGCAGTGTATCCACCACAATCTCTCCCTCAACACTTCCAGTACCGGTCCTGATTTTGGAGTTTACAATGTCTCGTTCCAGATCCCAATGGGATACGGGCGAGCCCATGGAACTTGATCTTCCATACCGCCCAGCTTGCAGTCCAAATATCACGTCTACTGACTCCTCAGATACAAATTGTATACGCCAAAATGTCTATATACACCCAGAGAGGTCAGCACTGATGCAAGATGACTCTTCTTTTTCCCATACAGAGGTGGATCCACGTGACCTGGACTTCCGATTTAGGCCTAGCGTGGAATCAAGCAACCTCGCTCTTTCCAGCTCCAGGTCCAGGTCCAAATACATTCGCAGAACCCGTCACAAATCACCACCACGCAGGCGCTCTGACCGTTACGAAGAGCCTCGCATATACACTTACGACTCTTATATACCGAGCTATCGTCGTCGCCGTATATCTGATTCGAGCGATCACAGTCGCTCGCGACGCGACCATCTAACCACAAATACTGACCCTCTTCCATCACAATTCGCACAGAGAGCTGAATCGCCACTCGTAGTAGCCATGGCAGACCTGGATATGAGAGCTGATGACCGAGATGACAGGCGAGATCGAGGACGGTATAATCGTGACAATCGGGGAGGAAATAACAAGCGACGTCGCGATGGTAAGCTCTGATTTCCCTCCCACTCCACAATGTGCAATTCCTAACGCGATGCAGACGAAGATGACCACCACTATACCCCCCGCGATGATCGGCGCGTCTCCCAGCGTCGCCGCCGTGACGATCCCCGCGACGGACACCGTCGTGGCCGATACGAAGAGCCACCTTTCCCGAAGCTTCGTCGTATGATCATCAACATCGCTAGCACTGCTAAGCTACCAGAAGATGAATCAATCGAAATCGCGCGACTGCTCCGTGACAACTTCGACGATGACGATGTCCGAAACCAGTTCTTTGACGTATTCACACAGCTGTATGTTGGGTCTTGGATTCCATATCATGTTGCAATCGCTGACTGCATTCTAGAATCATCGACCAACCTTTCAAGATCCCATTTGTTGCCGCTGTTGCCTTTTATGGCAATCAGATCAAAGCTGAGATCACCGTAGAAGCCATGAAGCGTGTAGGCGCCCGCTTACAAGATGCGCTTGCCGCTGGACAATGGAGGGAATTCAAACTCCTTCTCCGATTCTTTGCTTGCTTGCAGCCGATCTTTGAAGAAGACGGAATCTTTTCGCTGCTGGGTCAATTGTTCGATACAGTTGTCGATCTACAAAGTGCCAACGAAAACGATGTAAGTGGAACGATCGTGATTTGGTAGTATCGCTAGGCTAACAGGCACAGGTTGTTGGTATTGAGCTAGTCAAAACCATCCTTCTGACCATGCCATATGCGATTGCCTCTGGTGGAAGTCGATTCCATGAGAAGGCTAACGAATTGCTCAATAGCACTGGAATCGTAGCCGGCAATACACTGTCTGTCGAAGGTTTTATACACCCATACGACGATGAACTCGAGGAAACTGTGATCAACTACCACAGCGTCATTGGCCTGCTTCAGCAGCAGCTTACGTCTGAGTCTCAATCCGGGTGGAAGCTTGCTTGTATTCCCAAGTTCCATGTGGATGCTCTGCAACGGACCAATCCTGAGGAGACACTATCAACCGCACCAGCCACCCATGTGTTTCCGACATTTACGATTCCTTCGCCAGTGAACCCTGGCCCGAAACCTCTCTTTCCTGAGGCGTATTTCTCGCTTTTTGCGAATTCAGAGTCCAGCACCGTGCCCGCGCTTACCGACATTGCAGCTTCTCTCATTAGAGATGCCATTGTCGATACCATCGACCAGCTCGATTTCAACCGTGAGGTCGTTGCCAAGTTTCTCGTGGATCTCGACTGCTACTGGTCCCACGGCACATTTGCCAACCGCGGAATTGCTCTGGACAAGTTTGTTCAAGAATTTGGTACTGACAAAAAGACATACAAGTCCGAGGATATGGCCATCGATGCCATCTTCTCGCTGCTGTTCAAGCTACCTACTTCGGAGCACAAGCTTGTTTACTACCACTCACTGATCACACAGTGCTGTAAGGCGGCGCCTGCTGCCATCGCACCCTCGCTTGGACGGGCTATTCGAACCATCTACAAGAACCTGCACGCGATGGATCTTGAACTGGGCCATCGATTTCTTGATTGGTTCTCTCACCATCTGAGCAATTTCGAATTCCGATGGCGATGGGCTGAATGGTAAGTTTCATCATCGGAGTACATCGACATATACTAACCCTGGCAGGATCGATGATCTCAAGCTTTCAAAACTAGAGCCTAAGAAAGCATTCATTATTGCAGCTCTTGATAAGGAAATCAGGCTCTCCTTTGCAAAACGTGTTCGCCAGACTCTGCCCGAGGAATTTAGCCAATTGATTCCTGTGCGCTTAGATGAGGACATCAGCCCAGAATTCAAATACGAGAAGTCTGGTATGTGAACTCGCCATTTACTCACTCAATTATTTTTTCTCACAATTCTACAGAAACACCATATGCTGCCGAAGGTCAGATGCTTCTTCAGCAGCTTCGTAAGAAGGCCACGCATGAGCAGGTTCAAGAAACAATCGACAAGATTCACTCGCAAGCAGAGGAGCAAGGCATCACTGACGTTCTTGTGCCATCAACCGATGCTTTCGTCACCGCTATCTGTCGATTGGGCGCAAAATCTCTATCTCACTTTCTCTCATGTGTGGAGCGAGGTAGAGAGCGTCTTCTCAATATCGCTCAAGAATCTGAATCTGCCCGGCGTCAGATTGTGACCAGTGTTGTCGAGTACTGGAAGGACCAGCCGGGTATCGCAGTCCGCATCGTTGATCTGCTTCTCAATTACACCATTTTGGCACCAATGACGGTCATCCAATGGGTGTTTGGGGAGCACATGGGAGCCGGCGAAGCACTCACAGAAAGCTGGGTGTTCGAAATGGTCTCCAACACGGTGACTAAGGTCACGAACAGGAACCGTCAAATCGCTTCTGCTCGCCTGCAGAAAGGCCTTCCGGCGGAGCAGGTCGAAATGGTCGACGCCACCCTTACCAAAGATCGAGACAATGCGCGCGAGCTCTTCAAGTACATCGCAGATGCCTGTCAGGGTTTGTCTGAGGGCGCGGCCGACGGACTCATTGAAAAGGAGACGAGTGGCGCGCTGTCCGCTGAAGATGGACAGCTCATTCGTGCTTGGGGAAAACGATGGAACATGGTGTTCATCCGCAAATCGGCGATTGAAGAGTCTGTGGTTGGAGAGCAAGCCGTCGAAGCGAAGATCAAGTTTCTGGCCGCACAACCTGAGCCAGAGATTGTGGAACTTGCTAAGGTTGACGACACCAACGGTGCTGCCGCGGAGAATGGCGATAGCATGGTGGAGTAGTTGATGGAGAAAGCTCCGACGTATACGGTCGTGGGTTGTGTAAGATATCTGGGTTTTGTTCTAGTTGGGAGGGCATAGGCATGGAAAGGGGGAGTTTTTCATTCAGACTGGATTTTGATTCCAGGACGCTCAGCAACTGACTGATGTCCCTTCCAGAGTCTAGTTACAGTGGCAGTTCAGTTATGGGTAGATGCATACTGCTAGTCAAAACCAAGAGCGACTTGGTCTATCATGGAATCATATGGAGCATCACCGTGTGCCTGAACTGCAGAAGTACTGAATCGTGATGCAGTGTTGCTCGAAGCGCATAATGCGCGATGATGGTAGGCGCGACATGAGCTTGGACGCTAGCAGTTCGCCAGGACCCCAGCAGTCGTCATGTGAAGATGGATCTCACAGATCCTTGTCGGCCAAGTGTAGAGCGGCTTCACGGCACATTGCCCTGTTTCTTCCACGACTCCAACACTTGTTCCCCAACATATCCAACCCCGCGATTATGTCGTCTATCCTGCGAGTAGACTCATCTAGCAACAAATGACATTTCCTACCGCGTTTGCCCCACTTCGCGACCAGTTTTTCTTACCTCGGAGATAGCGTACTCGGAGCTCCCTTGCATAACAACGTTGCGCCAAACCCCAGCACCAGCTGGATCTGACAATGATACTCACTGCAACGGCTGCGAGCCCGTCGCTGGTGTCTACCATTGATTTTTCCATTGCCGACAATGCTGCGTCACCCTCTCCTGTATCCGCGACGCCGCCAGGCTCCGGCATTGGCTATCCCGAGAACTGGAACTCCATCATCGGCGTCGTTACAGCCATCGTTGGCAATGTCCTCATATCTTTTGCACTGAACATGCAACGCTATGCGCATATTAGACTGGAGAGAGAATGGCAAGAGAAGGAGAGACGGAGGAAGCAAATTATGAGGGGTCGTTCCTACAACGGAGGAAGCGGAACCGAAGCGGGCGGGAAACCGAGGAATGGTCTGGGTGGTTCAGGAAGGCACAACTCAGGCGAAACCTCTGAGATTGGACACACACATTCATCAACGGAGGAGGACCCACTGATACCGTCTGGGGCTCTGCGACGGACAAGCACCCATGGCTCATCACGACCAAATTTGGATTCGATTGGAGAAGAGGAAGAAGACGGCCCAGAAGAGCCCGCATATAAGCAAAAGAGTTATCTCAGATCGCCTTACTGGTGGACAGGCATTATTCTCATGACGACTGGAGAAGCTGGCAACTTTCTTGCCTACGGTTTTGCGCCCGCCTCCATTGTCTCGCCCCTTGGTGTTGTGGCGTTGATATCAAATTGCATAATAGCTCCATTGATGCTCAAAGAACCATACCGGAAACGAGACGGGTTAGGGGTATTGATTGCTGTTGGTGGCGCAGTTACAGTTGTCTTGTCAGCGAATGACAACAATCCCAAGCTTGGTCCGGATGAAATATGGGATTTGATCAGTACATGGGAATTCGAGACATACTTTGGTATCACAACGGCGGTCATCATAGCACTTATGGTGGCAAGCAACCGTTTTGGAGAGAAAAACATCTTGATTGATCTCGGTCTTGTAGGGCTGTTTGGTAGGTCTTTCTGTCATATCGAACTCGCTCAGTGTGCTAATTTGAGCAGGTGGATATACCGCACTTTCGACCAAGGGCGTAGCTTCGATGCTGTCGTATACGCTCTGGCGCGCCATTACATTTCCAGTCACTTACCTGCTTGTGGCAATCTTGGTCGGTACAGCCATCATGCAAATTAAATACGTCAATCGGGCTCTTCAGCGTTTCGATGCAACGCAGGTCATCCCTGTTCAGTTTGTCATGTTCACACTGTCGGTCATACTCGGTTCGGCCATACTGTATCGGGATTTCGAACGCACTTCTGGCGAGGACGCTGGGAAGTTTGTTGGAGGATGTGCCATGACATTTTTGGGTGTGTGGCTTATTACAAGCGGGCGACCACCGCGCGGAGACGATGACGAATTTCGGGATCCAGAGCCAGAAGATGCCATTCATCTTGCAGGTGATCGGTACCGTGACGATTTCGATGGACCAGCCGAGCCGACTCCGCACAGCAGTCGCTCATCTACTGCTCGAGCCATGTCCCCGCCAATGGATGTGTCCAGGAGACCTTCCACATCGAAAGGGTTGCAGCAGCAAACACCAGACATTATTTTCTCGGATTCAAGACCTCATACTCCGAATGCTCTATACACCCCAGATGCGTCCTCTGCGCTAAATACAAACCCTTGGGATGAGCCTGCCTCGGAATCACCTTCTATTCGGCCCCTTCTCGAGAATACGATCCGAAACACATCATCTCCCATCCTCCCATCGCACTCGACCGAACCAACTCGCCCATCTGCATCCAGTCCAGAGCTCGTCACCCCTCACTACGCCAACCCACCCCGACCAACGACACCTACCCGCAATGCCTCTGACACCGCAGCCGTCACCCCAACGGCTCCCAGCACATCAAGGAACCGCCTCCGCAGGATGGGTACCAACGAGCGTACCAATGGCCGGAATAGCATTCCAGGACATTTGCTGGCAAGTCCGCTGAGTACTAGTTTAAGCGCCATGGTGGCCGATCTACAACGTGGAGGGTCCCTGAGGGAGCGCTCTGGCCCCAGAGACCAAGGAGCAGCCCTTGCAGACGACAACATTAGGAGACGACAAAGCGTACTCGGGCTTACCACTGGTTCGGGGGGAGCGCACGCCGATGACATGTTCGGCGAGCCGCTCGATCGGCGGAGGACGACGTCGGCAATGGACGCGGATGCAACAGCAGCCAGTGCTTCCCAGCAGGGTAGCGTCAGCGGTGCTGGAGGCCGGCCCAGAAGCGTCAGCGCCACTCTGCAAGATATGTGGAGGGGGTTGAGGGGTGGGCCCCTTGATCCCCAGCGGGATGACGGTGGGGAGAGTGGGAATGCGGATGGGAATGCTCGTGAGCAACGGTGACGAGCTTGGAGCAAAGCATGAGTGGCTTTGGGCATTGGGTCATGGATGCTTATGTGACGGGCGTTGTCTATGTTAATATGTGCGCGCTTCTTTTTCTCTTCTTGTGCGAATCTTTGTCATTTCTTCTCTTGGGTGCATCATCATCGTTCTTATTCGATGTATAAGGGTTCACAGGGTACGAAAGAAAGGGGGAAAGAGGAAAGGGGGGAGCGGGGAGCTGGGAGCTGTGAGGGTTATGGAGGTGATGAATCCACATTTACCTTCCTTGTCTGTTTCGTTTTTGATAACTTGCATGGTGGGCGTTGTTGCTTCTTTTCAGTCATTACATGAATTGTTGAATTTAGACGCATAGTTGGCGCAAAGGAGCCTCATGAAGTTTATCGCCACCCCTCTAACCCCCTTTATGCTGAGTTTTGATCACGATTTGCCCTCGACTATTGTTCTCGGTTCACATTAAAAGGAAGAAAAATAAAAAAGGAGGTGGTAGACAATGGGCGTTTGTTTCAAACGCACACACAGTTATATTAAACATGGGGGAATGAGAGAAAGTCTTGTTCCCCACCAAACAGTTTGGCTACGGAATATCTTAAATGAGCAAATCAATTGGAATTGGTCCCCTTTTTTTGGTCTCTCTCCCATTCATCGATTCAGCCAATTATCTACACGTGCACATGGGCAGGACGAAATGGCAGTTATTTACCGCGTGCCGGGGCGATGGGAGGGTGCGTGCGTGAGTTTTGGACAGAGAAGCGATTAATTGAATGAAGGGGGGTGGGAAGAGCGGCCCTTAACGACCTGCACTTAAGCTTAGACAAAGCAGACTAGCGACCGGTTGCGGGAACGGGTAACTAAATAGTGCTGTGGCCCCTTGTTTTGGTGATGATTTGTTTTCCTTGCAAGTCTTTGAATCAATACAAGTCGGATGCTACTTGGCTCGGGGAGGTATCTACTGAAAAAGAGACGGTACATGTGTTGTTGGAGGGGTGCGCGTGTGGGATGTGTTGCGTGGGTGCGTCGTGTCGAAGGGCCAGGGTGGGATCCAGATCCAGGAACCAAAAAGGGCGCTAGCTGGGTAAGTGGCCGTGCGTTTTTGGCTTTGCTGCAGGGAATCCGGAGGCAAAAAGCCAAGCAGCCGGAATATGATCGACGTGTAGTGCCAGAAGAAGACGGTAACACGTTTGCTGCCGGCGACGCGATGGATGGGGGAGGACCAGCACAGTAGGCGCGAAAACAACAGTAAATGCTCGGTGGGTATATGACGGATTACGGCAAGGCGGATACGTGCGGGTTGTTTCTCTCTGAAGGTTTAGAAGTGGGTGTTGACAGGCGTCGTGCGTTAGGGTGCTATATAGTGTGGGTATGAGGGCGATTCAGGACTAAGAAACGTCCATGCAATAATGTATCAGAGGGCGAGGGTCGGAAACAGAGAGGAGGCTTCAGGCAGCACAGGCTGATTTGATGACTGGTCAGGAAAAGGAGACGATTCAACGGGGGGCATGTCTGGTAGTATGGCAGCAGCTACGGACGGACAAGAAGAGAGGTGTTGGGGGTGGTGGTGGTGGTTGCATGTGCCCAGGGCGGAGCTTGTGTGGCACCGGAGTTGGGTTAAAAATAATCGCGACAAAGAGGCAGACGAAGAGGCAGCGCAGGAGCACAGCCAGCGTTGACAGCATGACAAGGCAAGGCAAGGCAAGGCATCGAAGGGTTCGCGGGCGGACTGGTAGGTGGTGAGGTTTGCAAGAACAGAGCAAGGGCAGCGTGAATGTCGGGGAACGTGATGCTGCTGCTGCTGCTGGTGATGGACATCATGGGAGGAGGGAGCAAGTGTGGTGTGGATCCAGCACGCATGGGTCGTTGATTGGGTGATTGGCTGGCGGGTGGGTCGGCCGGCCGGTTGGTTGGCTGCTTGGTTGGGCGCTATGGCTGATCAAGGCTACTGGTTCATGGCTGGAGCCCTGGCTGCACCGTGGACAGAATGGAGAAACTGGTCGGGAGGGGAGACGGGAAGGCGGCGAATGAGCCTGGAGGGAGCCTTCGAGGGATGCTCGAGGGGAACCAAGTCACTACACAGACTTGGAGCGTCTACTTGGTGACTGACTGACTGTGCGGTACTGAGGTGGTGTGGCGCCAGCACGCAGCAGCAGCAGCAGCAGCAGCAGCAGCAACTATCCTCCCAGGCTAGAGATAGGCGAGGCATAGCGTCCGGTCATAATCAAAGCCCATGACAAGACAGTCATAGGTTGCCTGCCTGGAACCCGTCATGAGTGGAGCAGAATCACAATCACGATAACAAACAAGAAAAACAGTATAAACGGGCAGCAGAAGGGCAAGCGGGGCGACATCGAGGGTCGAGGGGGGCCCGAGGGCACACCCATATGGATGGATCAATGACTGAGTGAATCAACCAACGGATGTGGCATTGATAGACGGCCAGTGTTGGTGTCGCTGTTCTGTATCAATAGGTTAGCTGGATGCATGCGAGGGAACACGAAACGAGGACGAGACGAGACGGGCGATCGATTTCGGATGGCTTGTGGACAGGGCCCCCCCGTCACTCTCCGTCAGTCATCCGTCAACAAGACGAGAAGGCCAGAGAATGGACAGAAAACACTGGCAAGCAAAAAGCACATGGCCAAGGGAACGCGGCTGCTGGAAGTGAGGCATCTCCATCTGCGACGGCCTGGGCGGTGATGAATGATGAATGATGATGACGATGATATGGGCATGTCGTGTTTGGTTGCCTTTTGCGGCGGTGGAGAAGGCGTACAACAGCCCCGACCGGTACAGACGCCAGACAGCCAGAATACAGCTGATTGATTGATGAGAGCAGAGCAGAGCAAAGTAAAGTAGAGTAGAGTAGAGTGTAGCGTAGCGTATCGTAGCCTCAGGACGATGGGGACGAGTCCTCGTGCTAGCCAGCCAAGTGGCTGTTTGCTCTTGCCTGCCCACCCATGCAACACGCCTGTGCTGTGCTGTGCTGTGCTTTGCTGTGCTGCCGCTAGCTAGTAACACCCCCCGGTCGGTCCTGCCTGCCTGCCTGCTGGCTGGCTGCCGCTGCTTGCCTGCCCGCTCGCCCTTCCGCCCACCCATCCACGACTTCCTCAACTCCAAGCTGCTCCTCCGCTTCACATACACCCACCCGTCCTCACCAAACGACACTCCCCCCACCCCCTCCCACGCCTTCACACGCCCTCACGCCCGGCCCTCCTCTCTCCCCCCGACTCCATCCATCACGGCCACGCCTTCATCGCTCTCCATCGCACCCGCCCGCACCTTCGACCAGCGCCAGCCCGTACGTACGTACCCACATTATTGTTGCTCTCTCACCTCCTCTGCCCTACATACTTTGGGACGCCGTTCTTTGGTACGGTGCGCCTTTGTAACCGATCCCATCATCTTTCGCCCGCCATTTTCATACCATACCACACGCCCCCCGCTAACTGTCCTGTCTGTCTGCTCAACAGTCCTTCGGCCTCCCCTTCGTTTCCCACCACTCTTTGCATTCGCTCGCTCGCCCTGCGCCCTACCGCCTTCACCAGTTCCACATTGCCACTACCATTATCACGGGACCCCGCTGGGACGTACCACTCCGTTTGTGTCCTACATCTTCGACCTCTCCTATTCATCACCAAACATACCACACCATTCATCCTCCGTCTCGCAGGCCATCTGTCTGGCGCACGGGCCGGGATCGTCTTTTTCTCCGCTCATCTCCCGCTCCAACCCATCGCTGCACCCGCTCACCACCCGCTCTCCTTCACACCTGCATGGTTGCAGTCCGACTTAGTCGTCGCGGACCCTGCCGCTCTTTCGACCTCTCGGACCTCCCCGCACCATGAACACCAACTTCCCCAACATGATGGCCCCCGCCAACCAACGAGGGCCCAATATACAGCAAGTCATGATGCGCCACTATACCCAGCAGCAGGCCAACGCCGCGCCCGGGTGGCAGCAGACAGTCGCTCCCGAGGAACGCACACGGAATGCCCACCAACTATTCACATCATTTCGTCTCCTCAAGCCCGAACAGACTGACCCGCAAGTCCTGCAGGGTGCCATGTCAATTGATGGACAGGCCTTTACCCAGGCTACGAGTAAAGAACAGTATATGATGAACGTCAGAGCCAAGTTGTCACAGATGCAAAATATGCGCCAGGCGCACATGGCTCAGATGCAGGGAAACATGGTCAAGCCCATGAACCAGATGAATCCTGGCCAAATGAATCCCGGTGCACAGATGGGCGGCATGATGATGGGCCAAAATGGCCAGCAGATGCGTCCAAATGGTCCTCAGGGCATGGCTCAAGGTTTTGCCAACGCACAGCTTCAGCGTCCCATGCAGGTGTCACCCATTCCCATGGCCCAGAGTAATTCCTCCATGGGAATGAACGCAGGCAACAACGTAGGTCCTGCTCAGCAACAGATGAAGCCACAACAGCAAAACACGCCTCAAGGTCAGCAACAGCAACAGCAGCAACAGCAACAATCCGGCGCCTTCATCAATAAGCTCGCGGCAAAGCTCATGGACAATGCTCGGGAAGACATCAAACTGCAATATCAACACGAAGTAAACCAGTGGCCCGAAGACAAGAAGCAGCAGCTAATGAACCGGGGTATCAACCCAATCTTCTTCAAATTCCGACTACAAGCAGAGTCCATGATCAAAAGCGGCAAGTTGAGCAGCGCGCAGATGCAAGCCATTGCCTCCCAGGGCCAGCCGGGTCAACCTGGTCAGATGCAGGGGCAAATGCAAAATCAGGCGAATTTGGCGAACCAACAACGTCCGTCCAACCAGGGCTTCGACTTTGACGCCATCACCAACCAGCAACAAGGCGCGTTGCAAGATCAGGGCCAGGGACAGGAAGTAGTTCCTGCTAGCAACAATGCCATGGGTGCACAAATGGGATTTCCAGGGCAGGATCCGCAGGCCGCAAAGCAACGGCAGGCTCAAGCGCAAACTGCTGCTTTCCAAAACATGAACTCGTTGCAAGGCATGACTCCACTGCAGCGCCAGCAAGCTCAAGCTCAGGCTCAGGCCCAAGTTCAGGCACGTGCGCAATTGCAGCAGGTGCAGCAGCAGCAAGCCCAGCAACAACAGGCTCAGCAGCAGCGCAACTCGAACCAGATGCTTCAAGGTCAAGTCGGCGGTCTCAACCTTCCGCCTGGTGCACAGCAAAGTCCTGCTATGCCGATGCTTAACCGACCCATGGCACCTCCGGGCCAGCCAGGTCCTTCAACACCGCAGCAGCGCCAACAACCCCAGATACAACAAATGCAGTCTCAAGGCGGTCTCTCAGAACCTCACTTGACACAGCTGATGCACGAAGCTCAACAACGAATAAACGCAGTAGGCATGCAAGGTCCGCCTTTGAACGAGGAGACAAGAATGCGGATGATGGGGAACATGGACCCTGCGATCAAACAACAGCTTCTGAAGGTGCCCGATCAAAATTTTCGCCAGATTCTCCAAATGCAGAATCGGAACTCGGGTGTTATGCCGAACGGCATGTTTCCCGGTGGCCAGCTGGGTCAGCAGCCCAACATGCAAATGATGGGTCAGGGGCAAGGCCTCCATGCCGGTATGCCCCCAAATATGATGAACGGGGGAGCCATGCGCCCTGGAGGCATGAATATGGGTCAACAAGCACCTGGCGGCATGGGTGGGCAACCGATGCCTATGGGCCAACGCCCAGGACAGCCACCGCAACCGCAGAATCGACAAGCTCTGGCTCAAGCATTACTCCAACAGAATCCTGGCATTATTCAGCACTCGGACAATAGTCCATTCCCACCGGGTGTCTTGAACGAGAGCGTTCGTCAGCACGTCCCTGCCAACGTCAAAACATGGTCGCAGCTCAAGATGTGGGCTCAGGCCAACGCTTCGATACATCCTGGCCTGGATAACCGTAAGCTTATACTCCTTCAGGTTCTCAATTATCACGATATATTGCGAATGCAGTCGCAGATGCAACAGCAACAACAGCAGCAGCATCAGCATCAACAGCAGCAACAGCAACAACAGCAGCAGTCGCAGCAACAACAACAACAACAACAACAACAACAACAACAGCAGCAGCAGCAACAGCAACAGCAACAGCAACAGGCGCAGCAACAACAGCAGCAGCAGCAGCAACAGCGGAATCCAGCGTTTCCTGGCCGTCCTCCCCAGCCAAATGGCATGACTGGTGGTATTGCGCCGCCGGCCCAGATGACACCTGGATCTGTACCTGCACGTCCGCAACAACCACAGAATTTGCCCAACGTCACCCCCCAGGAGATTCAAACCGTTCGCATGAAGCTTCCGCCCCAGTCGGCCAATGCCACAGATGAGCAACTCCGCAACTTCATCATAACACAGAAGATCAACCAAAGAAAGCAGCAACTAGCGCAGCAGCAAGTAGCCATGAACATGCAAGCCCAGCAGCGAGGGCAAACACAACAGCCTCCCATGAATATGCCAGGTCAAGTGCCGCCCCAAGCATCTCGCCCGCCAACAGGGCAGCAGCCTACGCCGGCACAGCCCACGCCTCAAACTAGACCGCAACAGCCTCCTCAGACTACTCAGCCGAATCCTCCAATCACTCTGAACAAGGGTATCAAGAGGTCAAACGACGATATCAACGATACGGCAACTGTTGATGGCCCTCCTGCGCACATGGCCCCTCAAGCGCCCGCTATGGTTCCCTCTAAATCACAGCAGGCGACACATCATAGTCAAGAGCAGCTCTCCAAGATGAACCAGCAGGTCAAGGCCAATCTGATGAAGGCCCAGGATGCCTCGAACAACAAGTCCCAACAACCCCAGCAATCGAGGAATCTGGGCTCCACCGAGGAAATCACCAACAAGATGAAAGACCCAGCACAGGAGGCCAAATTTAAGTCTATGCTCATGGAAGAGGATCAGAAGGTTCCACGTCGCCAGCCAATCCTGTGCTCTCCCCAAACGAGGGACGCCATACAGCAACACGTCAAAGAAAAGTTCAATTCCATGCGGAAAGTGGAACAGGCACTGCGGGTTTTCCTCGTTTCTAGTCATGGTCCCGAGGCCGACAAAATCGCTAGGACGATTATGAAAGCACGCTGCTCTCTATTGAGACAAATGAACCCACAGGACGGAACCCTCCGCGACGACATCTCATTGACGGAGGACGAGTTCAAAGAGCACATCAAGAACATCATCTCTTTTGTGCAAAGGGTCATGTCCCGGTTTCACCCACAAGCACAGCAACACCGCGATCCCACTGTTCAACCTGTCCCACTCAATGCCGCCAATCTTAAGATCGTCCAAGAGCAACAGAAACGGCAACCGAAGGCTCCTCCTGCACCAACTGCTACGCAGCCGCCGTTCCAGATTGGTACAAATTCTGCACAAATCGGCGTTCCCACTTACGGCACAGGCGCCAAACCCCTCCAGAACTTGTCTATCCCGCAGCAGAAAAAGCGGAAGCTCGATTCGAACACCCAATCCTCAACCCCCGGGGCAAAGGCGTCACCACGTCTGGGTGGTGGCAAAGGTGCTTCGCCTGAACTCAAGAGGCAGCAGCCGCCTCCGACTCCAAAACTCACGTTCAGGTGCAAAGACGCCGATTGCGAATATGCGATTAGTGGATTCGATAGCCAGGTGGAGTTGGACGCGCATGTGGGACAGGCGCACGCCAAAATCGAAGACCCTTTCAAGTTTGCCTTGGATTCAATGGCAGACCTCTTGGATGTGGATCCCAAAACGGGTCAGCCTAAGCATGACAATACTCAAGCGGCTGCCAAACCTATTCCAGCACCCCGCGCGCCGCCGCCCCAGCCCACCAAGACAGGTCAGACCCCAAGGATGCCACCTGCTGCGGCTACACCCGCTGCGCAGCAAGCAGCAGCCACGCCCATGGCGCGTGTTCCGACACAAACTGGGATCAAGAGCTCGCCTTCGACAAACCTACTCAAGACACCGCAGACAAGCGCAAAAGTTGCAACGCCCAGTACCGGCGCACCAGCCAAAGCGACACCAGCAAGCACCACCAAGGCTGCTCCCAAGGACGTTGAGATTCCTCCGCCACTCGAGCCCGAGCCAGAAAATCTCCAGCCCCTTATCCCGACTTCGCTACTTGATTATTCGTACGAGGAGGTTTACGCATCTCTCGACGCGAATGCTCCTTTTACTACGCTCGATCTCAACGATGAGTCCAACTCGTGGGCCTTGCGATCACGTCCGAGCTCTCCACTCAACACCCCCGACTCGTCTTCCAAGGACACGCCTTCGACGCGGCAATCCGACATTTCCGAGAACGACAATCTGCAAATCAACATCGAGATGAAAGATGCAGACTTTCCTGATGGCTGGTTACTCAACGGTGATGGACTCCCGCTTGATGCGCAGCTCTCTGAGGATCTGCAGAACCTGGGCGTTGCACTCCCGCCGATGGACAGCAACGACATGATGCTGTTCTATGGGGATTCCGGCACGCTGGATCTTGATGCGTTCGACAAGTCTATGTTTCTCATGGATGAAAGCATGGACCTTTCCGCTCTAGGCACGACATAGTGTTGACACACCGCTGGGTGTTCCGGGGGTTTCTCGTTCATGCCTGCAAAGTTTCACTTGCTGTATGACTTGTGGGGTTCCCCTGATGCTTTGGGTAACGGAGACATCGGGATTCGTCTCTTTTCCAACTTCCTATCATACCGTTCACTACTCATCTCCGATTATGTGAACAGGGTTCGCATCTGTCTTTTCCATTTTCTGCCCTTTCAAGATTTCCTTCTACCCATCCTCTGGTTTCTGGGCGTCATCCATGTTACTCATGAACTTTGAGTTATGAGTTCTGACTTCTACTTGTACGTTTTGCGAATTGTGTTGGTTTTGTTCATCTTTTTACGGCTCTCTATGGGCTTCTGCCCTCGTTTCCTGTAATGCCCCGTTACCCCTTCTGTCTTTCTACTTTGTTTCTCGGAAATTGGATTGGGAAAAACAAAACTAATCTCAACTTAACTATATACCCCCTTTCGACCCTTTGTTTCTTTCCATATTTGGTTTCTTTCTTCTTCTTTTCTGATCAGGCGGATTCTTCCTGTGTCTCTCTCTCTGGATTGCAGATGCGAAAGAGATTATGCGGTGTTTGCCCTACACTGGCCTGTTAGCTAGCTAGCTATATGCAGCTTTTGTGATTTGTAACCAATTTCCCACTTCACACATGATCTGATTGAGTGAATGAGATTATCTTCTGTGAACGTGATGGTATACTGTGTCGTCTCTCCTTCATTCACCTTATTTCTCTCTTCATCCTTCCTATCCTCTTCTTGATGCAGCACATGCATCACACTGCTCTCCATATGGAGTGTACACCCAAATTCAATCAATATGTCTGTCCTTGACTGATTGACCCAGCAACCCACTCAGGAATCTAACATTGCTTTCTCTTTCCTCGGACAACGAATACAATCCAGAAAAAAAACAGTCTCGCAGTAGCTAACAGATATCCCACATCATATCTTCAAAACATGAATGTCAACAAATCTTCAATCTCTCTCCTTGACCAATACGCAGCCCCGTCATCATCCCCACTACGACTGACTTTCCCTTGCTGCCCGAGACGCTGATTTTCGCCTCCGAGAGTAGACCAGTTCTGCTGCATAGCTTTGAGGTTGTATATAGCTAAACCTGCCCTGTGCACTGCTTCTTCGGGCGGTAGTGGTGGTGGGGAAAGAGGTGGAGGAGGGGGCGTATAAACAGTTGGCTGAAGTAGCATGGAGGTACTGTCACTGGCGTGGGAATGTTGTTCAACACTGCTGTGCTGACGGGATCTCTTGGTGCGGACATCGTCGAGAAACGTGGCTGTTTTTTTATGCAATTGTTTTAGCATCAGTATGTCTTGCTCTTTTTTGTTATATGTGTATGTAAATTTTTTATATGTGATTGCAGCTGCTGGATATGTGTGGTGAGAGGGAGAAGAAGAAGAGGAAGAATGCGCACGGAAAGAGACGAGAGATGGGAAACAAAAACAAGAACAACGGAGGGGATTTGACTCACACCAATTCCTCCCTAAATCACCCTCGACTCTCATCCTGATTCTTTTGCGGGAGAAGATTCGATCTCGAAGGATCCACTCTTCCTCTTCCTCACCTTCACCCTCATTTTCACGCTCGTTGCCCGTGTCCACCGCCACATCCTTTCTTCTCGACATTTTCTTGTCCAACATCTCTGAATCGCTCAGGTCATCGTCATCGAGTCTCTGCGTAACAGCACGAGAAACAAGAAAGCTATACTCTTTTTCTCTATCTTCTTCCATGGCGTGATGATGTCGAGGATACAAGCAGGACCGCCATTTTTGTTGGTCCAGGCTACTAGCCATTCTTTTATGCGGGAATAACGATGACGATTCCATCATGGACGTACCGATAAGTGCAGAATACTGGACAGCAGAAGGGGAGGGGATAGATGATGCTGGTTGGTCGAAGTCTTCACAATCGGCCAGGCTCATCGTCATCAGAGCGCACTTGGCGCATGGTGCATTCATCGAAACGACGTCGAGGACTAGGAGAGGCTCCTCTTTGGTGGCTTGTATATAGAGTGCGGTCAGTCAAGATCTGTTGAAGTCTTGAATATGCATTCCTGTGCTATGCACAGGTTCCTGCTCACCGATATGATTGATACACTAGTAGTTTACCTTATAAAAATAACCGTCTACGGGAGTTGAAGTGAGAAAGGAAAAGACAGCAACGAGTTCGACGAGGGAAACTAGTCGGTAGGTCAGTTTACTCGAAGGCTGGCTACAGAACACTACTCGGTCGTTGAATCCACTCAACTAGTAGTCAGATATCGTTTGTTGTACAGACAAACCCATAACGAATCCGTTGTTCCATTGAATTTCCCGCCCCTCCCACACGTGTATAGGAATCTGCATAGATAAGAGCATAGAAGATTAATCGGGGTGTAGAGACGACACTTGGAACAAAAGACGGTGATGACGAGGAAGAGGATTTAGCGGGGGAGAATGTTGGTCAGAATGAAGTTGGTTTTTGATTTGGTCCTTATCCTCCTTCCCTTAGAAGTTCGAAGGCATAGATGAAACATCTTGCCCTCAAGACAAACCATGTGGAGCAGTGCGCCTTTTGAAGTGACTGCGTCCACATGTTTGCTCCTTCCAATAACCCAACGCCTCTTCTCTGCGTTCACGCTCACCCAACCAACACGCTTTTAGTGACGCCACTCCCGGCGCTTGCTCTGAGGCAACAGAATCCGTATCGACATGACAAAAACATAGCAAGCATATGCACAAAACGCCGCCGTGCTGAACCGCATCATACGAGTCCAGCATTAGAGAGCAGCTGCCGGCAACAAAAGAAGCTAGAAAATATACACAAGGAACAAATGTAGTCTGCGGAAGATTCGCAGGGGGTATGAGACACGCGACACAAACAGCGAACATTCTCGCGTGTCATGAAAACAACAAGAGAGAAAAAAACAGATCGAGCAGGAACGAAAGGAAGTTGTGAGGATATTAGACAGCAGACAAGCATGAGGGAGCCAAATAGACAAGACATTAATGAGGCCCGCAGCATAGCAGACCGGAATTACGGAGGACATGGTTGAAAGCCGCCAGTCGAGTAAGATGGGATGAGGTGGGTAGTTACCGCAGGGCAATGCGGCACTGGGAATCGCTGAACGCTCAAGATTCGAGGACAACTCAGAGACGATCGTCTCCATGATTTGGGAACAAAATACAAACCAAGTTCCCAGGGGATGCACGCAGACCCGCATGCAATGCCGCAAAAACAATATGCCGCGAAAATGACAGTATTGAACAGAAGTGCAGAGAAATCGAGTCAATTCCCTCAAACATTCTCAGTGAAACGCGAGCTTCGCGAGCCGTCGTGTGAAGGATGGCTGCGACCCAGTGTACCGCGCGGACCAGAGTAGTCGGGATTGGGTGTAAGCGGAGGACTCAATGTTGAGCCACCGCCGTTGCGGCTGGCACCAAACACGGGAGCGTCGTCGCGATGATGGACGATGGGCGTCCTGGCGGGGCTGGGCCTCACCAGTTCTTGCGTGCCCATAGCGCCGGTGCTTGGGGAGTCGCCTATCTCTTTTGCCAAAGCAAAATCTTTGGGGGTGACACCCGAACCACCATAGAAGCCCTTGTCATCTTTGTAAAATGACGAGCCAGACAAAGTACCTTCGCCACGAGCAAACTGCTCGGAAGTCATGCCTTCGCTGAATGCCGAGGGAAGCTTGCGCCCGGAGATGCGTTGGAAGCTCTTTTCGCCAGTGCTGGCCGTCTCGGTAGTCAGTCTCGATGTGCCAGAGAAGCGATTGAGGAACGACGGGGCCATGTAGCTAGTATGCTTGGCGGCCTGGGTCATGGGCTGGTTATCCGCATGGTCGTCTTCGGGTAGCTGCAGCGGAGCAGACTGTTTCTTTTGCTTGTGCCTCTTCAGAAGGAAAAGTAGCAAGGCAAGAATGAGCGCCGCACCCGCAAGAGAGCCAAATACGGTCCCCACAACCTGGGGAGTACCTAGTGAACTGCTGCTCGAGCTTTGTGCTCCAGCCGCTCCAGCCGTGGATGATGAGACAGGTGGAGCACTCGTAGTGGGATTACCGGCGCCGCCTCCAATCCCACTACCACCACCACCATAAGCACTAGAAGAAGCCGAGGCACTCGATATGGTGGAACCAGTGCGAGAGCTAGATGATGACGAGAGCGATGTGCTGGTTGACGAAGAGGATCGTGAAGATTGTGTTGATGAGGAAGAAGACGAAGACGAGGTTATGGTACTATTCGTAGAGTTGATACTCGAGGAGAGTGACGATGACGATGGTGCAGCTGCATCATGTTAATTCTCATTTCATACCGTTTTGAAACACTGCAAAACTTACAAGAGAATGTGGAGTTCGAGTTGGACGACGTCAGAGCAGACGTAGGAGCAGGCGCCGGAGTTCCCGAAGTGATGGGCTGCTGTGCGCTCGAGGCAGAGGGAACGGCGGCATCCGACACGAAGGGGTAGCCAGGGACGGTAGGGACGGTCAGATCCGACGGAAACGCAGGGACTGCTGGAACGGTGGGGACAGAGAGAGCGGGGGGAGGTGGAACAGCAGGAACGGAGGGCACAGCAGCGACGGTAGGTGCGGCGGGTGTCACTGTTTGCTGAGCGACTATCTTTCCATCTGGATCAACGCTGTTGATGACCTCGACGTTGACGGTCAAGACGTTGGTGGCCTGGCCCTGGCGGCGATGGAAGATGCCATGTGCTTTGCGCATGACGGCACGGCCGTGCATGTCGGGAGGGGTTTGCGATTTCTTCTCAGAGTCCTCCCCTTGCTGAGCCTGGGGACGCTCGCTTCGGATTTGGCTCTCCCGATACCAGTGATGGGAGGGCCTGTCGAATGTCGGGTTGGAAGAGCGAGATGGGGTCGTATCCATACGATGTCAGATTGGCTGAGCAGGTCGGAAGTTGGGAGGCAATGGCTGCAGTGGAAGTGGCGGATCCAGAAGCAATGCAATGCATGTAGAGAGAAGCAGAGAGCGTGGTGGATGAAGATGGTGGTTGAAGGAGCGGATGGCAAGGCTGTGGCTCGTCGAGTTCCAGTCTATGGATCGGGCTGGTGGTGGGCAGTCCTGGACAGAGGGAGCGTGGGGGAATGAACGGACGCCAGTCGAGATGGCAACTGAAAAGAGTGAAGTGGCCTAGCAGAGCATCCATGACAGATTAGCGATGGATCGGGTGGAAAGGGCAGGGCAGGAAGGCGCGATGCAGTGCGGTGGGTTGCGGTGCGGGCGATGGCGGCAGGTGGGAGTGCTAGAGGCTAGCGGACCAAAGAATGGAAGTTGGTGCATGCAATGCATACACGGACTTGAATGTGTTGTATGGACATACCTTTTTTGAGATCAAGGACGGATCATGTGTTTTTGATTTTGGGTCTGGCGTGAAGACGGAGGTGCGAGCAGCAGCAGCTGGCAATTGGGCTGGCCGGCGGACCCTTTTTTATTAGAAGATGGCGGGACGGGGGAGGATATTTTTCGGTGTGTGCCTGTCTGTGGATCGTGTGCATGCGGTGGTGCAACGGTCGGGGGTGGTGTCGGACGGACAGGCTCTTGTATTAGGATTACACTGGATGCCACGCAGTTTGTGTTGTTTTTTGCGGTAGATGAGTATGACGACAGACAGACAGACAGACAGACAGCAAATCCGGACCTTCGCGGCGAGCAGCGCGCTGGAGACGCGTGCAAACGAAGAGTGTCGTCAACGGCAACCAGCGTGAGAAGGTGGAGAGAAGGAGAGGGAGAAGGGGCAACGAGGGAGACGAGCACACACACCGACAGGCACAGACGGGCACCGACAGGCACAGACAGGCACAGAAGACGGAGCGATGGGAGAGATGGGAGGTTACGGGGGTCCCGCGGGCCCACGGCCAATCAGGCGGCGCGTGCAATTTCGATGGACGGGAAGCGGCGAGCTCGGGCCAGGGCACTCGGCCCACAGCGCGGTCCGCATCCATGGCAAATGACGAAGACCGCTAAGGCCAGGGTGCGTCGCTGATAGTGGTACCTGACCGTACCTGCCAGTCCCTGCCTTTTGTTTCTCTTGGTCCTCTTGTTCTGTTCTGTCCTGTTCTGTTCCGTTCAGCCTTGGGAACGGTCCGAATCAGCGCCGAATGTTGCCTTTTGCCTGTCTGTCTACCGACCTACCATCATGGCATGTATGGGTTACCTGCTCATGTACCTAGGTATCTATGTACTGAACTGTAACACGCAAATGAATATCCATTCGCATGACTAGCAGCTCGTCGCAGCCGGTGCCAATCGAGGCAATCAATGAGATGCTCAGCGGCGCGCTGGTGGGTAAGTATGTATACCTAGGTACCTAGGTATCGACACCGGAACCGGCACCCGACCAAAGAGGTTAGCCCCGCGGCCCCAAAATAAATCACGGCTCCTCTTTTCATCACCTCTCCATGGTTTCCACGGTGCCACTGAGCGCCTAGACTCTCTCCCACCTCGCTTTTTTTCTACGCCCAACACCATCCAATATTCCACCGCTCAATCATCCCATATCGTGCTGCATACCTCAGGTGCGCAGACGCGGGGCCGTTGTCATCCACTCATCCATCTATCGCTTCACCCCTTCAGGTGCAGCAAAACCCTGACCAGGGTACCTACCTAGATAGTTATCATGTCAGTCATCAGGGGCACATTGACTGGTGCAACGAGCATGTCACGTGTGTTTCTATTGATTCTTCCAGAACCAGCCAGTCAATCAAAACCCGTCCATCCATTCATCTCAGTTGGACAGACATGGTCACTGACCACTGCCCATCACCCCATCCCACCTGAATCGTCACACCAAATCATATCATCGCTTGCTCTCGCGGCTGCACGTCCCAACCAGTACTGAGTGAGGGATCCCCAAGCAAACGTCCTCCTCCAGGCGTTCAGGTACCTCGACACATGCAGCTGCTGCCGGTAATCATTGCCTGCCTGGGTCACCACGCCCGTTATTAGTCTTTTGCTTCCTGCATGAGCGCCGCAGCCTCCTCCCCACACGGTACCACCAAAACAAATAATTTCCGCCCAGTGGAGACGGTCATCCAGTCTTGTCACAAGTACTGACTTCTATGCCTATGCCTTGCCTTGCCTTGCCCTTGAGTACCTAGGTACTTACTCAGCCATACATGCTACTCGGTGCAATGTACCCCAGAGTCCATAGCCACAATAGAACCTCGTATGCACCCTCACTCCCATCGGGAAAAAAAAACTTCACGGCCGCTGGCAGCTTACTTCAAATGGCCCATCAAGCGCATAAAAGATTGGCCGGAGCGGCAGGCAGGGTTGCGCTATGTACCCAGGAGTAGTCAGCCGTCATGTGTGCTTTTGGAGGGGCAACAACTTGTTTCGCGCCTCCAAGCTATCGCAGAACGCCAAACTAAAATCAGCAACCTATGCTACACCCAGTACATACAGCTTCGAACATCGTGATTGTCATTCCATCGTTGACACCCTCCCCAGCTGAGACTCCCAATATCATCCACTACTCTACGGTGCCCATATACATCGCTCACTCAACATTCCCCCCCACTGCGCCTCTGCCTACGCGTCACTGCTCCAACATCCATACTAGTTGATCGGCGACCAAGCCGAGCTTCGCCTTCATCTTCAAGTGTCCTCTCACCTTCATCGCGCTGGGCTTCTCGTGTTTGCGCTGATATATAAGTATTGCTACCCTTTGTTGCACACTGCCAACAAGAAATGACGTCGACTCCGCCCCCACCATACTCGGAATACACTGGTGAAAGGGATGCACCTGCTCCCCCACCATTACCTCCACGCCTTCGTAGCAACAATGCCATCCCTCCGCCTTCAGTCGAACCTTCGCTCTCTGCCATGTCGGCTACTGACCCGCGATCTTCGTCATCTCAGTCCTTGGTGCCGGAAAGTTCAGAAAGGGACGGTCGTCGTCGTTTACTCTTAGTCTACATTCATGGATTCCAGGGCGACGAAACAAGCTTCAGGAGCTTTCCCGCTCACCTCCACAACATGGTCACCATCACCTTGTCAGACTCCCATGTTGTTCACACCAAAATATACCCCAAGTATCAGTCTCGTTACGCCATTGCACAAGCCAGGGATAACTTCTCAAACTGGTACCGCTCCACTCCCCTGTGTGATAAAGCAATTGCGGTTTACTAAGATATAACTAGGCTTGCTCCACACGAAGATCAATGGACCGATGTGATACTTCTCTCCCATTCTATGGGCGGTCTCATTGCCGCTGATGTGGCTCTGCTATTCCGACATCGGATCATTGGAACCATCGAATTCGACGTCCCGTTTTTGGGCATGCACCCTGGAATCGTAAAAGCAGGACTGGGGAGCATCTTCAAGCCTTGGCCGATGCCCGACGAGACGGCTTATGAGCAATCTCAATCCAACGGGAGCAAGCCAAGCCGAATGAACACCCTGTTCAACCCTAAGCCATCAGATCCAAACTTCAACCCGTCCTTCCACAACGATGTCCACTTACCCGTCAGAAAGGGCTGGGAAAATACTCTCCATTGGTTCAACAAGCACTCCAATGGGATCCGAGAGGCTGGTAAAAACCTGGTTTCGACACATCTCGAATTTGGTGGAGCCATGGCAGACTTTAGTTCGCTCAAGGCCCGATATGCCAAGATTCGAGCATTGGAAGAGGACGACGAAGAACTGAGACGGTCTGTAAATACAGGGCATCCTCATCCGCCCCGAATCCGATTCGTCAACTACTGGACCGCGAGTTTGGGAAGGCCAAAAAAAAGCAAATCTCCAAAGCTCCCGCAGTCGCCCTCAGCTTCGACAATGGACGTCCCACAGTCGCCCCCGGCTTCACAAAATGATGCCGCACAATCTCTTCCACCTTCTACTGAGAATGCCTCGCCTCTTGATGTAAAGCCAGTGGATACTTCAACGATCGTTTCTACCGAAGATGCCGCACCTCTTGATTCAAAGCCAGTAGATACTTCATCGCTCGCTTCTACCTCGCAACTATCGCTAAGCACCGACGAATCCAGTCTCAGGCAGATAAGTCCAAGGATATCTGTCGAGCAGCATGTCGAAGGCGAAGTGATACCTGTTACACCCCAAGAGCCTCCATCTGCGACTGTCGAGCACACTGCAGACGGAAACAGTCGACCAGAACTTCCCGAAATCCCACCGATACCACAAGAACCACCATTTGTTGATTTGACGGAATTCCCCGATAGAGCGCACCGTCGGGCAGCTGAAAAGGAGCATGATCAAGCCCTTAAAATGTATCATCAGGCTGTCAAGGCTAGGAACAAAGTCATCAATGAACGGGACAAGATTGAAGAGAAATGGGAAAAACAACAACGCAAGCAGCAGCAGCGTGAGGCTTCCAATCTTGCCAAGCAACAGAAGGAGAAACAGAAGCAAGAGGACAAGGAAGACAGGGAAAGGGAGAAACAGGAGGAGAAAGAAGACGCAGAGAAGAGGCACGAGAACAGCCAATACGAAACCGGCCTCGAAGCAGACGTGGGCGCAGTGCAGCTGGGCGATCCGCGACCTTCGCAAAGCTCAAACAGCCCTTATGGGAACTTCACCTTCTCCAGAAGCACCGTCATGAACCAAGCCGACCCTAGCGAACAACGAGCCATGCAATCCAGGCCTTCCTATAACGACTCAATTCGCTCCGACTCCGTTTATTCTCTTGGTACGGTCAGTAATGCGGATTCGCATACGAACCCTGCCGAGCCTGCAAAGAAACGGCGGATCCGCAAGTTTTGTATACTCCCATCCAAGGACGCAAACGGCAACAGAGACCCGACCTGGATCAAGGTGGACATGGGGGAGATTGATGAAGTGGCAGCACACACCACGCTATTCTTCCTCTCTGACAGGTATGAGCAGTTAGTAGGTGACGTGGGCGCGAGGATAGAAGACTGGGTTCGGGAAGCGGATGGCTTGAGAGCGGCACGAGAGATGGAAGGCCTGTTTTGATCTTTTAAATGGTTTCTTTTCTCTCATAATACCCTGACATGACGATCATCATTCGAATGTAATTAAATATGGCCCGCTTTCTAGTTTACCTGTTTGGGAGGCTCGTTGCGTGTAATCAACGACAACGCACCAACACCAGCCATGAATACAAATTGCGCCCAGAGTGCGTTTTCCAACCCCGACATCCAGAGCGCGCCTGCTGCAGCCCATGTAGAGCATACCAGCCCCAGTAGCTTGACCACACCCTCACTTCCCTTGATGGCTTCGTTGAACTTCTCAACAAAGGGAACTTGTATCTGTTTACGATCGTTCCAAAAACTCGCCATGTGCGAGCGCGAGAGGAAGAGGGCACCGACATTCAACAGCGCCGCGAGAAGGAAGTGGTATCTCTTCAGTGTAGTTGGAATCATCAGATAAATGGCCGTCAAGAACGATATCAGTAGCTACAGTGATGAGTAGGCAGAACCTATTAGCTTTTGCCCGACATGAAAGCTAGGAATGCAGCTTACACTAAGAGTGCTGCTTGTCTGCGTTGTCCGCGTTTTATGCAGACGTTCGGCGACGGCGTTGGACCATTTCGCAGCTAGAATTCGTTAGTTGAGGTGTCATGGCCATGGAACACGCATATAACCTTTCTCTGACTGCTCTTCGTATTGTTGCAGGCGTGTAATGTTCTCGTATGAACGGTAGAGTCCGTATCCTGACAGCGCGGAAATGGTGATGAGCGGGATGAGCGGCATGATGACTGCTTTCTGGGACAGTGTTCGTGGTTTTGGAATTCAGGTTCAGCTTTGTAGGAGATCTTCAATATTTGAACGTTAACGTGCACAAGTCTCGTTGTTGAACGCTTCTTTAAAGTTAACTTCTAACGCATACGTCATGCTCACCACGGCAGGAATCTCGCCCGCCCCGCTTAGCTCCCGAGAAGCTTCTGACATCCCTGCAAAAGTTTAACAAACTGTGCCCCTCACGTCTCACACATTGACCCCTCATACAACCATACTGGGCTCTCATTGTTGTATCGAACGAAAATATCGCTTTCTAAAGCCTCTTTTGCGATCCAATCGACCGCAAATGACACCACCGACACACCTCGACCCCTCCTCTCTTGGTACCCGCGAATATTGGGACTCAGCATACACGACCGAGCGAGCGAACTTTAGCGCAAACACCGACGATGAGGGAACTATATGGTTCAGCGACGCCGGCGCAGAAGAAAGAATGTGCGGATTCCTCGAAGATCTAGCGGAAGAGGGGGAGCTGGTCAAAGGGGATTCTTCTGACTCTGAGGAGGACTCCAATGTACAAGCAAAGACCCGATTTCTGGATCTCGGTACTGGAAATGGACATTTGCTGTTCAGTTTACGTGAGGACGGCTGGGAAGGGGAGCTGGTTGGCGTGGACTACTCCGCACAATCGATTCGACTAGCCTCCGAAATTCTCGCGTCCAAATCGCAAGACTCTCAGGCCAATATCTCTTTCTTCGAATTCGATATTTTGGCACCGCTGTCACCGCCGCCTACCTGGCTCGCCGAAGGCTTCGATGTGGTTCTCGACAAGGGCACATTCGATGCTATCTCACTATCCGATGAGAAGGATACACAGGGCCGTAGGATCGTGGAAGGGTACAGAGAGAGCGTTGAGCGCCTGGTCAAGACTGGAGGTAGATTTTTGATCACGAGCTGTAACTGGACAGAAGAAGAATTGAGAGCGTGGTTGGAAGGTGAAGAAAGTCTATTTATGTATGAAGATAAGGTCAAGTATCCGAGTTTCACCTTTGGAGGTAAAACGGGGAGCAGTGTTTGTACGATTTGCTTTCGAAGACGATGAGCAGTTGAACGATGAATATACGGCAAGAACATATCAGGTCTGCGCAAGTTTGTCGAAAAAGGCCTCGAGGCCAGAAGAATGGGAAGTTCATTGACGTATCCAAATCATGCCTTCCTTTTCAAACGGGCGACGACTAGCCACTTCTTCCTTCCTGTCACATCTTCCCTCCCGCCTTCCCTCTCCTTAGCCCAAGCTCGCCTTCGGCCTTCGGCATCCATCTCAAATATATCCTCAATCTCCAACCCCACCTCTTCGACCACATCAAAAAACGGTGCCATCTTCGCCCGTCCAGTATGGAATCCGGCTACCACATACACACGCGACGATGGTTCGTCTGACAGGAAATGGAGCATCGATCGCGCAAGACTGGTGTGCTCATGCGGCATCCATAAGCAATCGGCAGCGAAAATTCTTGTGAATCTTCCTGCATTTGCGGTTGCAAAGGGCGAAGACAGGTCGCCCCATTGATGACCGTGTACACTGATCTTGGACTGGAGGGAGGTGGGGATATTCTTTTTCACGTTGGCCTCGAGGGTAGAGAGGATTGGAGTGGCGGGGTAGTCCGTTATGAATATCTGTTAGGGTGTTAGCTACAGACATAGAGAAACAAGGTTAAAGACGAACCTCATCGGCGCCTGCCATCGCGGCCATGATCCCACCTAGGCCAACACCTAATTGACAATTAAATTCCAATCAGTCATCTCTTCTTACTTGTCCGCTATGCCAGTTTAACATTCAGTGTATTTTCTGGCGCAGTATAACCAGATTGTCAAGACGCACCTGCACCCAGCTCCAACACTCTCTCCCCTTTGACGGCCCATCTCTTCTCCTCATCAACACTCAACCACCATTCCCCCTCTTTCCATTTCTCATCGTCCTCTTGTTTTCTAGATTTTTCGTTCTCTTTTTCTGGCCTCTGTCTTCCTCCAACAATCTCGCCAACCAACACACCAGCATTCCACAAGTAGTGTGCAAACTTCCGTCTCTGATCTTCCCCGTCCACGTCGGCAGTGCGTAGTTCTATCGGGGGGACTGACGCGTTAGACGGTGTGTATACAATGGTTGTGGTAGGGTCGGTGCCATGCTGGTTCTGCAGATCGTCGGTGAAGATAGAGCCCAGGGTCGAGGAGAAGATATCTTCGGCAGAAAGCGCCTGGTCGGCGGGGTGGTGAAGGGTGATGAGAGAGGGAAGAAGGACCATTTTCTTGAACGACAAAAGAAATCAAAAATCGAGGAAAGGGAAGAGAATTAAGGAAAAAGCATGCGCTGTTGTATCGAAAGTTTGCGATCGAGGTCTGGCATAGCTTTTTCGTGAGCACCGCGGGGCGCATCAGAGTGGGGTTGGATGGCGGCTCAACGTGGGGCCAAGTTAGCGGCCACGCGCGGACATGGATATGGCTATAGCTAGTAGACTAGAGGTGGTTATGGTGGCGTGAGGCTGTCTATGAGCGCATCATTGATCTTTTGCAAATCGGTCGTGAGTTTCAGATGCACGTAGAAGCATTGGCCCACACGTCATCGTCCTATCTGATCCAACCTCGGCTTGAGTCGCTGGCGCACGTTCACCCATCTGCATCGGCAACTACATCGATTGAACACTTCGTCTTCGAACCCTACGCAACCACGAGCAAGTGCATCATACACTAGACAATGACTTCTTTATCTTCCTTCAAAAACCCAGCCGGCTATCATCTCCTCAGGTACGTTTCCCTTTCCCCATCCTATCCCCTAAGAGCACGATTAACACGAACCAGCTATGGCACCCTTCTGGGCTCTACGCTCTTCCAGTCCTTCATCGGGGGCATCATCGCCTTCCGCGTCCTCCCACGCCCGCAATTCTCAACCCTTCAGAAGAACACGTTTCCCGCGTACTTCATCCTACAAACCGTCACCCCAGCACTCATGATCCTCACATATCCCTCCTTCTCATCGCGCCTGTCTCCCTTCTCGACCAAGTCATCCAAGGACACGCTTGCTTTCTACCTTCTTGCCACTATGCTAGTGACGGGCATTGTGAATATGGTGTATGTAGGCCCGAAGACGACGGAGATTATGAAGTTGCGAAAACATCAGGAGACCAAGGATGGACGGAAGAGCTACGACAAGGGGCCTGAACCGCATAGTGCCGAAATGCAAAAGTTGAACAAGCAGTTTGGGATGCTACATGGTGTTAGCAGCTTGGTAAACTTGATCGGGTTTTTGGGCATGTGCTGGTATGGAGTTCTGCTGGGTGAGGGGTTGAGTTTGTGAGAATATGTGGTTATTGGTAGAGTTGCGTTGCTATCAGATGAGGGGGATGTTTTGCGTGTCATGGACGAATGTTGTGATCGGAATCTGCAGGTGGTTCTAATTTAAGGGGTTGTTGACTGTAAATACTTTAAATGTATGCTACTCAAACGTCTGCTGGCTGACGTTGATCCAGAAGTACGTGCCCATTCTGAATTATACAAATACTTAGCTCGAACAGTGTTCTCCAGAGCTCCTTCGAATTACAGACTATTTGGGGTCATCGAAAATGGTCAAATTGGGATATTGCGCTCTCGTGAACTTAACATGTGGAACATGAAAGTTTGCAGAATCTTACAAGAAATCAATAATTTTGCTTCTTATGGTGTGGAGCGAAATAGGAGAATACGCTATCGGAATTCCGGTTTTATTCCAAGAGTCATATGAAGATCCATGAGATATTTTGTCGTCTAAACAATGCCATCCATTGACCCTCCTCACTACGCCCTGTTTCTTCTCAATCCAGCCTGAGGCTGGGACCTAGCTACAAAGGCGTGGTAGTGAGATACTAGGCTGGAGAACTATTGAAAATATGCTAGTCTATTTGATAATGACCAGAAAGCCAGATGATGATCTTGAGCACCTAGTCGTGCATTCTTCGCTCACATATCTGGATTCTTTAAGAGAATGTAGACGCCACTGATGGCGCCACAACCATCCTTCGCTAGTGAACCCCCACCCTTCTTCACCCACCCCACCAACCGGGCATCGAAATAGAAAACGCTGTAAGATCAAAAATTGTTAAGCTTATTGCAATTCAATCCGAGCTTGCACCTCTGGTACAGCTCTGCAGGGTTTCACTCAATAATGGACTAGCTTTTGAATGAATTTCTTGTGGGTATACAGTAGTTGATTTTGAAGTCTGGTTTACCCCTCTTTTACCCATCTGCCAACTTTTAGACAGCAATCTTCAACTGAACTTGATGTTTACGGTATGATTGTGGGATGGCTAGCTTCTAGTGTATGGGAAAGCGAGCAAGTGAATGATAGCGACTGTACTGGTCAATCTCATGAGTTTTGCGCAACAATATGATCACACTGATTCGTTCGTGAGCTTCGTATGGAAATTGTGGATGATTGTATGAATTATGCAGGTCGTTGTATTGGAGAATTGACTTGATTGGATTACAGTTACTCATACATTTCAAAAGCAACGAATTGATCTTACCGTCTATAACTTGTGAATGAGTTTCATATACCTCTGGGTAACCTATGAAGTTGCAACATACAGGGTTGCGCTTGTATCGCCGCCACCCCCGCTTACCATCTAGATCCTCAGCAAATCAAACCTCAGATGGAAAACTCGGTCAGAACATGTAATGGAACCCCACTTGCACATCCTCCATGTAGCCTAGCTCAAGTTCCTTCGTTGGGTCCTCTGTTCTACTTTGTTCTCTGGCTCGGTGATGGCTTTGGATGATTTTTTAATTACTATATATATTATGATTTGCATAAAAAATGGTATCACAGGCGTATAGGCGCCTCCTCTTGGTGTAGTTGGTTCATCACGTTCGACTGTAATTGCTTCTGTAATCGAAAGGGTAAGTTTCAATGCACTCTAGTATTCCAACACCAAAACTAACAACAACACAGTCCCTGGTTCGATTCCGGGAGAGGAGATGATCAACCCGCTCAATTTTTTTGAACATTTTTTGGGTACTTTCGTATCGGCGCATTGCTTTGGCTTATCTTTGCATCATCTTTTTGTGTTCCAGGAAACCGGAGAACAGAAGAAACGAAACTAGTACTAAGTCAACCGTATCTGTTTATCCACTCATATCAAGCTTTTGCCATTCATATTAAATGCTGTATATACTCCAAGTCGCGCTAGGCTGAAGGCTGAAGGTGGGCGATTGCATAGGATATTAGGATATCTGACAGTCTGCTAGTTGTGTTGCGTTGAGTGTGTGGCCTGATATGGAGTTGACGTTTTCTCGAGAGTGAGAGATCACTATGTGTGTCTTTCTCGAGGAGCGAAAACACAGAATAGTAGGCTTGGAACAAACAGCTCTTGGTACCTAGTTTTCAACCATATGAACAAGCATTACACGAAAAAGAACATGTCATGTTGTGGATATGTAGTGTCGTCAAGGCCTCCAGACCATGGTCCAGCGCAATCTCATATTTATAATACACTTGAGGAAGCATGAAGTCTACAAGGACTTCTTCGTAAGTTGGACTCCAATTCCTTGGTGCCTTTGCTACTCTTGATGACACGAGTTGTGTGAAATCGCCTAGATTACAGCTAATCGAACACTGGATGTCCGTAATACATCTCGATCTTCTCCTTTGGTTATCAGAGTATACTGCATAGTAGTTTCATTGTGAACATAATATCTGAAGTAGGGAAGAGAACGTGCAGTTGATGATTATGTTTCCACCACTACATAGTATTAGTATATAGGGCTCGTATATACTACGTGAGATATCCACACTAATGGATGATAATATCTGTGTAGCAAGATACATAATAGTATGCGTTCTTCCTCAGCCTTTTTCCATGGCTCTGTGTTCCTCCTTCCATTCATCCAATTGGGCAGGTATGTGCCACTTTTGGCGTTGCGAGAAAAGCAGAAAAAGCGACCTACGAGAGCAACAATCCACCTGCATACACAATTCAATTAGACCTAATAAGTTGAGGATACCAATATGTAGACCAACTACCGAATTATGGCCGTAAAAGACTGATATCAATTCCCTATTTTAGTCGAATCCACTCAAAATCTGAGTATGCAGGCTTTCTTGTGATCTTACTGTTGATCGCAACCAAACGATGCTTATCTCATGAAATACTAGTGCACTTATCTCCAACTTTAGACTTTCAAGAATCCCGTCATGTTCATAAGTGTTATACTCCTCGAGATCTTGAAATGAGTTCAAGTTTTTTTGATTGGAAGTTACAGTGTTTCCTACACTCAAAAAGGCTGATAGAAAGTAGTGACAGAAAGTAGGCGAGGACAAAAAGGTTCACATCTTGAAATGATAACGCTTTACCACAGAGATAGAACATATCGAAAACTTGCAATTGATTCCACGATGACAACGACAGGATAATGACTTGTGATCCTGATTCGAGAAAGAATAAAGATTTGTTGGGTCTGATAGAAACTCATCATGGCTCAACTAATTGAATTTGTGGTTATCGCTCGTTTTTTGGTCTATTTATTGTTGTAACCCTTCGCTGTGTGTAGGATCATCTAAACTCCAACTAAACATCAATGGCTCAACTACGTAGTAAGTGTTCATCTTGCGTTCTCCCCAAGGAAGGATATCGCTCCAAACAGTAAGTCTCAAATAACGAATTGGCGTGCTCAATCTAGACACAATGGCAAATAAACACACTTCACCGCTGCCACTTAGCTCCCTTATTCTCATTGGCCTCAGTAAGTCGGCTTCACCTCGACTTCTGTTAAGCTAGTCTGTGCGGACTGAGGCACCACCGTATATAAGTGACCTACCCACTCCCCACCTTTCCTCCTCCTCAGTTACAAACTGCTACTAACTTCTCAGTAGTAACAAACCGGCTATCCAAACTACCGCTATACTCGCTCTAGAGAACACCCCAAAGCAACAACCGTTTCAATCATCCATTCTACACAACGTACACAGTTCACTTCCAGCACAATGACCGGAACAAGCGCTGCTCATGCCGAAAAAGAGGAAATTGTCAACGTAATTCGCCTCACAAACTTGAATGGAGTGCCTGCCGACCACCAGGAAGATACCCGAATGGTGCGGGAAACTTTCTTATTCACCACCGAACCAGGTCAGAAGATTGAGCCCGGCACCAAGCTCACGATCAAGTCGATCATAGAGCCAGCCGTCGCAGCCATTTCAACCTCCTCTCCACAAGATAGCAGTAAGTCGCAACTTGTCGAAGAGCGCCAGTCATCAATTTCCCCACCACCAACATCCTGCAATTTGTCTGCCGCCTCAATGAAGTCAGATAGTCCACACAAAGCTGGTGAAAAGGAGCAGCTGAGTGATGTACATGAGAGCGAGGGTAGCCCTTATATGTCTGCTGCCGCAAGTGTAGATGGCCTCAGCTCCAACATTCCGGAGCGAGCCCAAGTAAAGTTCCGACGCCGTTCATGGGCAAATATGTACTCATGGGCGAATATGTACTGGGAAGATCGATCTAGTGACAATTCACATGAAGCACCCCCTGAGAAGAAAGCTCCCAGTGGACCAAGTGTTATTGTGAACCAGCCACTTGACGACATCTTCGTAACCATGCGACAGGAGCGTCTAGCCCTGAATACAGGCCCACGGTCAGTAATTACCAAATGAGATTAATAGTGTAGCACTTAGTAACTTTGAGTTACATGTTTTATATGTTGGGACTTGGCTGACTTATATTTTCCAGGTTCGACTTCTTCATCGGCGACGTCAAGATTGAAGGTCTAGCCAAACGCTTCGCCATGGCAGCCTCCCCTATGCTCAACCGGTACTTCACGAAGAACCCCAAATCCTGCGAGTTCCATACTCCCGTAGGAAAAAACCTCGATCCAACCGCTGTCCGCACTCTTCTCCAGACCTGGCCCCAAAAGAATGCGACTATGTTCGATGCGAGGGAAGTCGACGCGTCTGGTTGGCAGACAGACGTACCTGTCCTGGCCGCGGCGTTCTATCTAGGCATGAACCGATACTGCCAGGGTATGCACGACACTTACAAGGACTGGATCAAGAGCAACATCTCAGATTATGACTTCATCTGCTTCGTTGAGGCCCATCGTGTTTCAGGCAAAGATCCGCTCTGGACAGGCATAGTCAACAGCATGTGTAGCCTGCGCCACAAGAAGTTGATTCCCGATCCAGAGTACTTTGATGCTTTCTTGAAGGAACACGTAGATCTTGCAGAGGCTATGGAGCGTACTGATGCGTTCCGGAAGGGAGAGATCCAGGTCCACCGGGCGCGTAATCAACGTCTGAAATCCGCACGGAGCGAGCAAGGAAAGGCCAAGGATGAGTCCGCCGTGGCTGACACGAACAAGAACAAGACGCAGACCGGTTCAGAGAAGGAGGCCGTAAATTCGTAACTAAGCGTGGAGTAAAGTAAGGAAACCGGTCCCGGGTCGTTGGGTAGTCTACACGTCTTGCTTTTCTTCGGATCCCGAGGCGAACACGATCGGCTGCGAGTCGTTGAACTATGCCAGTCTATTGAGCGTCTAAAATATTTTCCTTTCTTACAGACTGGGGATTTTGCATAAGTGTGTCTTGCTTCACGGGCATAGCGGTCGAGCATGGCATTATATCGGAGCATTGGCCAAGAGTAGATGCATCACTCGCTGATACAATGGAGCGAGAGTAAGGCATCAAAGAGGCCCCAAAACACTAGAAATGAAATGAATGGTCTATTCATGCTTTTGATTCCAAGCTCATGCGCATTCAATTCATCTAATAGCAGTGATTTTAATTACAAAACAGACATTAAGGTAGACGTTTCCCTCCAGATGCCCAAGAATTCCCCCTAACCCAATTATAGCTTCAGCTGTGCGCTGAGCGGCAGTTTCCGTGATGAAGTTCCCACATACACCGTCTTGGTGTAATTGCTAATAACCCAATTCTGGCTGACAGTGTCCCAGTTGGACAGATCACGACGCGTGATGTCGGCCGTGAACGTCGCACTCTCACCAGGCTGAATAGAAAGACGGTCAAAGTTGCGGAGGACAACTTCGGGGTCTTGTGGACCTCCGAGGGAAATGTATAGCTGTGCTACCTCGTCACCTGCAATGGTTCCGTTGTTGGTGATTGTGGCGGACACGCTGTAAAGTACGTCCCACAGTTGAGGGTTACCTCCTGGACCTCCACCTGCGGCGATGCGAGGCTGCGGCGATCCGTCGGTCGCTCCTTCGGGATAGGTGTGATCGACACCGTATTCAGGGTCGTGCGAGGCTTCTGCCAAATTGGTCGAGTTGAGATAGGGGTAGATGTACGCATTCACGTAGGTCAGATTGGATGGCCATTGATAGAGTGCGGGATCATTGCTCGAGTTACCGAGACTAGGAGCAGCTGTGGTGAGGCCAGTAGTAGGAGTGTAAGCGCCAGCAGGCACCTTGGCGATCTCCAGATCCGAGTATGAGAAAGTGGTGTATGAAAGGCCGAAACCAAACTCGTACACTGGCGTTATTCCTTGCTTGTCGAAGGCGCGGTAGTCGATGAAGACTCCCTCGTCGAAATTGTCTTGAGGGCTCTCGTGACCGTTTGTGGGCTCGTAGATGAGATCGGGACCATACTCCTCAGCTGACTTGCCAATAGTGAAAGGCAACTTGCCACCGGGATTGATGCGACCATATAGAACGTCAGCAATGGCGTTGCCAGACTCTTGACCGGGTAATCCGGCCCAGAGAATAGCAGAGACGTTCGGGCTATTGCTAAACGAGTCGACAAGGACTGGGCCGACGGAGTGAATCACGACAATGGTGTTGTTGCAGTATCCCGAGATATTACGGACAAGCTCTTCACCGTTTTGCCAAAGCGTAAGATTGTTCCTGTCACCTTCGTTGCCATCAACCGTGATGTAACCTTCACCGGAGTCGGCGTTTACGAAGACAATGGCATGGCTGGCCTGTTTGGCTTGCGCTATGATCTGACTGAATGCATAGTTGTCGGTAACGGATGAAACAATGCCTCCATGGGTGTTCAATGTGCTCTTAATGGCTTCAAGTGGTGTTACAAGGTAGGGAAAGTCGGCGGTGCCCGATCCCCAACCCATGGCCAGGGTGCCGTTGTCACATCCGCGATCGGCGCATCCGTTGGGTCCATACTCGGCCTCTCCAGCATCGTTGCCGAAAACAGCGGTGAACTTTTCATTGCCTGTGAGAGGGAGTACTCCGTTGTTCTTCAGCAAGACTGTTGACTTGGCGGCAGCTGTTCGGATCGACTTGTAATGATCCTCTCGCACATCCACGTGTTGATTGATGAGACCATATCCAACTTCCGCATACGCGTGTTGAAATCCGTAGGTGTCCTTGGACCAGCTGTTGAAGTTGACTGGGACGGCATGGCGATCGCGGCCAACGAGATAATAAGCAGCCATGATACGAGTCACAGCATCATCCAGACGCCATTCGGGAACGGTTCCGTTGATGATGGACAAGGTCATGTTGGTACCCCAGAAAGAGAAGCCGCTATCAAAATCTGTGTCGCCCGGCATGGTCATGTCGAGACCGGCAAGAGTCGACGCAACACCCGAGTGTTGGGCATCCCAATCAGACATGATGAAACCTTGGAAACCGAGTTCGCCTTTCAGGATGTAGTTCTGCAGGTAGGAGTTCTGGCACACTTGAGAGTTGTTCGCCTTGTTGTAAGAGCACATGATGGAACCAGTGCCGGCGCGGACAGCATCAGCAAAGGGCCACAGATATAACTCGTGCAGAGTTTTATCATCAACATTGCTACTGATGGCGTCCACAAAACCAAAATCTCCGACATTGTTGGGCTGTCTGAAGTGCTCCTGTTCGTTAAGAATGTAGTGTTTCGTGCAAGCAATGACACCGGCATCTTGAATACCCTTCACTGTCTCGGCAACGGCAATACCTGAAAGAACGGGGTCGGGGCTGAATCCTTCCCAGTTCCTCCCGCCCTTTGGATTCCGCCCGATGGGGCCTACAACAGGACCCAACTGAACATCAACGCCCTTTCCGCGGTGTTCGACACCCATCTGGTAGCCTCGTCGGTAGAACTCGCCGCGATCCCATGATGCAGCAATAGTACCCCCAGCAGGAAAAGCGGAGACGTAATCTGCGAAGCGGATACCGAGGGGACTATCTTGAGCACAGAAACCCGGGAAACCTAATCTGGGGATACTGCCTGTGTTGCCAACGCTAGTGACTATCAGTGGTGAATAACATTTGACGAATACTGGGAAACGTACCAGGCTTCCCCTTCCCAGCCCACACCGGTCGTCAGATTGACCTTCTCCAGTAGGGTGAGTTGGCGCACGAAAGCTTGTGCCTTCTTATAAGCTTCGGCCCAACCGTCGGCCGAGGGATCCATCCACGGCGAAGGATAGAATGGAGGACTTGTGGCATCGTTGAGTTGGCCGGGCGAAGTTCCATTAGGAATGGTTCCATTGGGATACTGTGGTTGGGATTAGCGCGAGAATATAACAAGGACTTTGGGGAGGAATTGGTTACTCGGAGAAAGGGAAAAAGGGAAAACAAGAAGGCAGGCAATTTCATGGCTTTTCGTGGTAGGAAATGACGGAGCAGAAGCAACGGTGCTGCGGTGGGAAGAGAAATGTTTGCTGTATTTCAATGCTTACTTACGGATTGAGCGCTGACAAGGCCAACGGCTAGAAATGCGGGAGCCAGCCAGGAGGCCATGACGTCGAATGCGAGGGACGAGCGACACAAGCACTGACAGCCGAGGGATGGGAGGTGGCAGACAGATTAATTGGTAGCAATGCTCGAGGAGGAGACGAGAGGTCGCTGGAGAGAGTCGAGGCAAGGAGGAAGAGCGGGCCTTGGTATATACCTAGGCAGATGTATGCTGTGTGCCGGGGACAAATAAATAATGGAGAGGTAGTAGATATGACGGACTGGGTTGGTAGCCCGGACGACTGACTGGGGGGAGCTGTTTGCACTACAGGTACGTAGTACCCTGCAACAAAGCAATATTGCGGGGAATCAGATAGAATGGTGCGCCCCAATCCATGTCTCGGTGTGCTGATCTCCCCCCATGGGCCCCATGCCAGCCGCGTGCATCCTGGTCGTCGCGCCCTTAGACTTGAAGCCGAGGCGCCCAGCAAAGTCTTGTATGCACTCGCCTTTGAAGAGGCCGTGAAGAGAGAAAGATGCATCATACACACCATCATCGGCTGGGGTCACTAGTCGAGAGCCGATTCAACAAAGGGTCGGGTAGGCGAGAATCCGCATCGAGTGTTCTGTGCTTGTTCCCCCTTGCGCCCCGGCGGAAGAGAGGCAGTGCCCCGTCAATCGTTATTTCCCACAAACGTGTGAGCGAGCACCAGGTAGGCCCATCCTTGGGTTCCTTCAGTATGTCATGTCATGTCATGTAATGCCCATCCGCATTGAGGGCGCAGGTTGTGGTTCACAGTCAGCGTTCCGGCAACAAACCATGATATTGATGGTTTGGTTGGCTGGCTGACTGGAATCCGCCCTGCCGTGGCAACGATGGCTCCGTCGAATGCACACTGCAAGCCCGGTTGCTGGCTCGCGAAGGAAGGCAGTAGTTGCAGGGCAGACAATATGGCTGAAGTTCGGGGCCAGGAAGCGAGGTGAGGAGTTGACGACGTCGTTGTTCCTTCTCCGCGTCTTCTCCACCTCCAACTAACCAACTAACGCTGCCGATGTAGGCTAGTGCCAATGCCAACTACTGTACAGCATCACCAACCCCATATCCATCCCCGCCACGTCTCCGCGGCCCTTCTTTTTGATTGTCTGCCCTGTTCACCACGCCCAACTGGTCTCTCCACTAGATGTATCCTCTACTTTGCAAGGTACACTCGAGGTATCCATCGCAATGCATCCAGCCATCCAGCCATGATCCGTACCGAACAGGCAGGTGCTATGAATTGCCGTGGCAGCATCACCAGACCTGAAGTCTTAGCTACATGTACTTGGCCACCGACTCTAATGCTTGATACCTGCCAAAATCCCTCTCTACATCTTGCTTGCCATGGACCACATCGGCTTTGGCTTGCATTCCAGTGCACCGCCGCTCGCTGTCTCACACGCGGATACGTACAAACTAACGCAATTCTTCAAAGCACCATTGTATCTAGTAGACCTCGACTACATGGTACAATTACCCGCCCCATTTCTCATGAGCTCACCACTCCTCATTACCCGTTGCCGCCACCCAGGTGCATCCTTTAGTCTCGCTGCAACTGCACACTAATGGTAGCCCCGACATTATGACAATCGAAGCCCACCTGCGCCCAACAAACGGGATGACGTACATCCCTACCCATCCCAATCCCCAGATCCTGCTGTACGGCGCAGCCTGCATCTGCCTCTGCTGCATTCTTCACCGCTTGCAACCGCTCATGCGATGCGCATCATGCCTGCTTACCTGCGCCTGACAGACCCTCTCCTACCGTTCCTCCAACCTCACTCAGCACAGAGCTCGTATGCTTTCATCTGCACTGCCTGAAGCCTACACCAGTACAGCAACGACAATGTACTGAATAGCCATCAAAACGCTGCAACCATGGTATCCCGGAATCATTCAACATGAACAGAAACTCATTGGATTATAAAATCTCCCCGACTCCAAAGTTGGTTGTTGGGGTATCGGCACACTCATCTGACCGTGACATTCTCCCATCTCCAACTCTAAATCTCATGGTCCTCCCATCTCCGAATGATACCTACGTCCCAACACCGCAACGCAAAATTCCCAGACATCCGAGCTCCATGGCGACAGACAGACTATCCTTTACTTGATAGCCGAACTACTACATGTGACGCATCATCATACAGAGCCTCAACTAAAAAAATTAGTAAAATACCTTCCAAAATTCAATGGCCTACTCTGTTCCCATCCCCGCCTCAGATAAACGAAGGCATCATCTCCCCTTCCTCGATTAAATCCCTCCAATCCACAACAACAAGTCCCCCTTTCTCACCCCTCTCATTCGCCGCCAGATCCTGCCGTTTCCACACAGCCTGCACCAAGCTGCCAACAACCTGGTAATTTCCGACGCGCCTCGCCCGCCCGCCCGCCTCGATGATGCCCACCATCTTGATGCGGTCCGCGTCGTCGCTCACGTTGCACGCCACGATGAAGAGCGGCCAGGGCGAAGTGCAGATCTCCAGCTGATCAAGCACCGCGAGCCCTTGCCGGACAATGTTGGCAATGTCTTCGCTTCCGACTAGGCTGGTGTTCCACCATACCGCCGATGATGATGATGTTGACGGTGGAGAAGACGACAATGTCGATGGGTGTGCTTGAGAGGTAGTAGCAGAAGACAATGTAGCAATTTGCGTGTGCGTAGAGGGCAGGAGTGCAAAGACTTGGAAGAGGTAGAGCAGCGCGGCGATGCGGTAGAGCTCTGCTGTGAGCGTGATGCGCGTGTGCGAGATGGCGCCAGATGTTTCGCCTGGGCGCACGAGGATCTCTTGTTTGAGGTGAAGGAGGCGTTTGCGGATTCGGAGGAGGTGCGGAAGGGCTGCACCACGGGCTGAGGGAGGGTTTGTGGTTTGGAGCCAGGTGCGAAGCTGGTTGATGTTGGATATGAGGCCAAGGAGCTCGGGGGAGCATCCCAGGAGGCCGATGATCTGGGTGGTGAGTCAATAAATGCGGAGTGAACGTTGAGCGGCTGGCTTGCTTACCTGTTGATTATATGCTGTACTCTCTGGGAGAGTCATGATGAGTTCTGGATTTTTATCTGTTGCTGTGTAGCTAGGTTCCGCGCGATGGCTATATACCGAAAAGACGTCGTGATATTTGAGCCAATGCACCATGAATGCCATGGACGGATCGCTGCGATCCAATCGCGAGAATGCTTCTATCACCGACTTTGCGCCTTGCAGATGAAGGTTCCATGTTGTGTCTGAGGAATCGAAAACCTGAGTCCAATGTCAATCACACATCTCTCCTCTGCCCTCTTGGTTTCAAACATTTCCGCCCGAGATAGAGGAGGGGGTCATCATACACTGTAAACGCAAAGCATCATGCAAGTAGAAAACTGCGCTATCCTGTTCTGTTCTGTTGTCGATCGAAACGAATCCGACAGCAGCTTGATGGCCTGCACTTTGTGCTTGAGCGCGTCTTCCTCCCGGCCAATGTGGAATGAAGCCAGCGCCAGTGTTGCCTCCAGTAAACTTCGAGAAGACATGTCTGAAGATGATAACGCCATAGGAATGAGATTGAGCCGAAACCCATTGGTGTCATCGTCAATTGTCGTGATCATTCGCGCGACAACAGAGTCGTCTGTCACCGACGAAATTAGTTCAATTATGGGAATCTCCGCTCCAAGATTCTGTGTACGAAGAAAAAAGGGCAAGTATCCTGAGATGTGATGAGAAAATGAAGGGGATGATTAGAACGAACTCACAGTAACCCAAGAGTCCAGCCTTCCCGTTGGCAACACCATGATAACCACCAAGTCCTCTTGCCAATGTATCCATGCCTCCTCTCCTCCAATTTTCTTTTGATAGGAGCTCGTTCCACGTCATTTTGCACCCTCGTACATCTTCAAAAGTCGTATTCAGAAACACAAATTCCCGGCTGTCGCCCCCAACTGTCATGTACTGTGTAGCTGATGCCTGCTAACATGACATAGTCAGTTCAACATTGATAGACTCCATGCACACACATGCGACGCTGACTCATGATCACGCCCTCCATCCTTTGTGCAACTCATAGACGTGCCTCCTTCGAATCTCAGCTCTTTTCGCCTTTCATAGGATCGATCCCTTACCTTTCTTGCTCTAGAATCACTCGAGCCTTGACTTCACAAATCCCAGTGGACCAAGGGAGAAAAGCAATGAAAGAAGAACTTACATCAGGATCTGACTTCCACTCCTTCTGCTTACGCCTTCCATCGAACTTGTCTGGCCATGCAAGCTTGACGCCGTATGCCTTGCAGGCGCGCCGTGCACGGGCGCAGTTACCGCATGTAGGGAGGGCGCGGTCACAGCCGACTTTGCGTTCTGCACTCAGATTAATATCAAAGTTAAGAAGACAAAGATAGACATCGAAGGTTAATTGGAGGCTAAGCTTGAGTGGGGGGAGGTAAGGGTAGCATGTATGCAGCAAAAGAAAAGGGGGCTCCGAAGGAAGGAAGTCGAGCAAGTCATGTGATAGGATGCAACATGATGAGAAGCTGGAACCGTGGAAGAGTAGCTCGCAAGAGACCCTAAACAATTCCAGAAGCGCAAAATGGTCAAAATTGAGAGATGAACAGTCCAATGCCGATATACATACAGTAGTAGTGATAGAAAATGACTGAATAACTGTGAGTCTTGGTACACACCTTTACACGTCCAGCAGTTGCTCTTTGCCTTCTTGATCGTTGTCATCCTCCAAATACGGAGCGTGCAGACATCTCGATAGCCCTTGAGTGGCTTTCTGGCGTGCTTGGGTGCTTGGTTAGATGAAGGAGGAGGAGGAGGAAGTACAATCAAATGTATGGGAAGATAGGATAGGTAGATATCAGCTGGCTAGCGGGGGTGGGTCTCGCGATGCATGAAACGGGCAGCGCGCCCAGACTCCAGACCAGTTGATGTCTACCTAAAGTGTGGAGAGGGAAAGATGTTGGGTGTGTATTGTGCTGGGTGATTTCGGGGCTGGCGCCGAGGGAGAGAAGCATCGATTGTGTTTCGTTCATGAGTCGTTCCTCCTCGCTGTCGACTTTTCCGTCTTGGGGCATGGGATCGTTCATTATCGACTAGTACACATGGAGTCAACATCAACGACCGCTCAGTGCTCATTGCGTGAGAGCATAACCAGTAGAGGATCGCAACCAGGGCATTTGTGATAAAGCAAAATGATGTTTAATATCTTTGCAACTCCAAATGATTGATTTGTGCATATGCTACCGCTGAACATGCTCTGTTTCTCACACGCTTGTGTAGGAATATAAACCAGGCGAGAATCCCTCGCTTGTTCCACGGTGCTTGTGAACTCCAACCCCAATGAACAGAAGAACTAAAAGAAAAACTCCCTTCCAATATGCGACCACGGAACTACCACTTGATGCAAGATACTATAAATACAACCAAGAACTTTTTGATAAAAAACGCAGAGAAAAAACAAAGAAAAAAAAAGACCGTGTCGAACGGCGTATGCAGCCCCATTCTCTCTAATACCACAAATGATCTTGGAAGCATTGTTGTGAGAAACACGAAAACCACTCTAATCCTAGCCCATATATCCTAAATGGGTCCGGAGTCAGAAGCTACCGTAGAAGAATTCGACTTGGGATGGTCCCGCTTGAATAGAGCTTGGTGAAGTCCTTTGGTAGTAGGTTGGTGAGAATGACCATGGGTATAAAACATAATAAACGTCAGGACGTGACGACGCGTTCGAGTTTGCTAGGCGCTTACTCCCCAGCGCTTTTGCCTCGCAACCTACGGTTTAGGCTCCCGGAACGACCGAGACCAGAGATTCCTCCAACCGAATGCCTGTTTGCGCTGTACTGGGTACGAGGGGTTGCCAGCTCCCGAGCAACCTGCTTCTCGTATGCTGGTGAATTCTGGCGTTCAATCCCGAATCGACGGCTGCCATCCCGTAGAAGGAGGTTCTCGGTATTGAGCCCAGGAACAGTAGGGCGCCGCGATGAAGTAGTTGGTTGGATTGCAGAAGGTTGCAAGTCTGGCATAGGCTCCCGGGATGTGTACGTCCGACTATATCGGTTTTTCTCTGCAGATCGGATGTCGCGGAAATCGGTAAAAGCGCGAGAGGGTGCACGAAGAGTCGGATCATCTTCCTCTTCCTCTTCCTCCTCAAAATTCTGTCGAGCCCGATTGAGGCTGGTTCCGGCACGACCCACGCGCGACGACATATGCAGTTGAGAAGGAGTAGGTGGCTCTTGACTAGACTCTCTGGGGCTTCCGAGAACAGATGCTCCCCCGGCCATCATACTCGCTCTGCGAGCCTCTATGCGGTTCATAGCACTACTGGGACTTCTTTGCGCCTGAGTATTACTCTCTGGCTCAATACTAGAGCGTATCGTTGGCGAGTCATTCACTTGAATGCTTGATCGTCGTGACGGCACAGCAGCGACAGATCTGAAGGCTGGACTCGCGATGCTCGGCTTGTTGTCGCACAATGCGATACACAATTCGGTCAGACTGCGACAAATGTTGTCTGCTTTGCGTCGAACCTGACGATCCGGTACTGAGGAGCCATTGAGGATGGAACTTGCCGATTGGAAAGTTCCCTGTGGCCCTGCGCTTCCAGACATTTCCGCCAGTGCCAGGGCTTCGGACGCTGTCGCTTCTAGAACTCGGTATACGGAAGGAGTTGTGTGTTGTTTGGCTTTGACCAAAGCTTCGCCCAACAGAGGATGGATTTTGCCAGAAGTGGAGATACCAATAGTCGACTCGGACGGAGAGACGTTGGGCTTGCGCTGCTGGTTGGGAGAAGATGAGGCTGTCGTCACTGATGTATTGGCGGTGCGTGGGCGATCGGCTGTAGCTTGAGAGATGATTGCGCCAGATGTCGCAGGAATCTTTCCTCCCATCTCGATCCGGCGAATTCTCGACTTGAGTCCGTCCAACTCATCCCAGACAGATGTAGCATTCCCTGTAGACCCATGAGATTCGGTACCATCGGCTCGTGAAGGAGATGGTTCCTGGTGTGGGGTTGCCAAGGGCGTTTGGGGATCATCGCGTGAAGATGAGTAGTAGTGAAGGTTGGAAGGACGGAAGGCATTTGCACGGTAGGGTGGGGTTTGAGTGTTCTCGGAGTAAGACGGCCGCCGTCTGTCGCCATCCAGTTGAGCGAGGAACTCTTTGGGCGAAAGGTCGGAATCCTTTCGTTGGGTGGTGAAAGACCGCTTGGGGGAGAGATCCTGCACTTGAGTCCTTATGTCAGAAGATGCGGTTGGCGTCAATGGAGTTTGCTCGCGCGGAGTTCTAGCTGACGGAAGGAGTGATGCACGCCGATACGGTGTGCTTGTTTTGGTGTCAATCGCGGAGGGAATGCGACTGTTGCCATTGGGAGTAGTGGAAGCCGACTTGACAACAGGCGAGGACAACGGGGCGGACTGTCTGTTGGTTGCGCGAGCAATGCGTGACTGGCTTGGGTCAGTTTGGAGGTCTTTTGAAGCACAACGCCGTGGACTCACTTTTAATCTTTCCGTCCGCGCTGCAGCATCCGTCTGATTTCCCCGCGGCGCACTGTCCGCAGCAATATTCAAAAACAAGTCCTCTTGAGCAGCGTCACTGGTATACGCTTCTCTGGCAGCACGGCGGCCGTTGGTGGTGTATCTCGATTCATAGCGGCTGTGCGAGCCCGAGCTGTAGTCGGACGAAATATCGGTAGAGCGATCCATGTGTTCCTGACGTTGCGAACTTGCCGTGGAGTTGCGGCGAGAGAAGACCGGCCTGCTTGCAGTTTGAGCAAGTGATTGCGATTTGGAGTGTTTGGGGGCAGGCGCGGCCTGGTTGTCCCGGTCGCTCCTGCGCTGCTTGTCGTCTCGACCCGAACCGCGCACCACGGTGCCTGGGGACAGCAAGCCCGACTGGGTGGATTGCTGCTTGGAAAGGGTAGAATCGACGCGCGGTGGTGGTTGCGAGGCTCGGCGAGCAATATCTGAATTGCCGCGGGTTATAAGTGTGATTGGGGGGCCGCGCGAGGTGTCAGTTCCATGCCCACTGCGGGAAGCGGGTGGTCGGCGGGCTCCAGGCGAGCGCGGTTCTGTGCCGGACGCTGAAGTTTGGGGTGAGAAATAAGACGGGGACGTGGTCGCGGTAGACGACGCCGAGGCCTGTGTCAGCGACGGTGTGGAGGGGTTTGTTGCTCGTCGCGAGCGTGGAGAAAGCAAGGTCGGCGGTAGCTCGAGCGAGCTGTTGGAAGGTAGACGGAGAAGCGAAGGTGTGTTTGGGGCGGCGATGATGCGTGAGCGCCGCGGTAAGGTTTGTTGGGTCTGGGATACGTCAGGAGTCGGTTGGTGTTGCGCTGAAGGCCTTCGAGAGTGCGAGGCTGGCAGAGCCATAGCGTCGAAGGACCGGGCGTCGTGTTTGTGCTGGCGCATCTGTCTCTATCTGCAGGGCAAACCCGGTTTCTCGTTTTCGTCGGGAAGTCAACAAGCTGAGAGGGACAGGAGAGAAAGCATCGCCCATCTGCAATTTTCAGTCTGCTGGTTCCGCCAGCCGTGTCCCAAGATCAAAGGACTCGCTCCCTGAGCTAGTTCGGCAGTCAGAGCGTTGTCGCGTTTAAGAGGAGGTTGGTTTCGAGATGCCTCCCCCCAGCCCTTGACGAGCTAAACCGACTAGGCTTGCACGAGACGAGACGAGACATCCATCACATCACTTCTTCACGCTACAGTTGCAGGCATTATCTCGCAATTGTGGAGGAAGAGTGACGTACATGGTTCGCTGGCTCTCCCAGCCTTGCATCCTGTACCCAGCTACAAGTTGGCCCAAAGAGATACGCATCTGGGCTGCTGCTGTCTATGGGACCACGTCTCCGTTCTTCATCATTTCACCAATCATCTGTTGATCGCTTTTTGGACGTGTGCATTCCAATACAAAAACACTTGTGTCGATCCGTCGTATTAATAGGTCATTAATTGATGTCCTCTGCATTCTCGGTCGTGCTTCGTCGCACCAGGAACCAAAGACTTCATGCCTTATGCCAGAGTCTAACTCAGCGCTCTTGAATGGTGACGGGACAGAATCGCGCAACTCCCAATGTTGCTCTGTACATATTCACGACGTATGATTGGAGACTCTCCCCCGACCTAAGACTAAAAATTCGGGGCATTACTGCGACCACGCGGGGCTGCATTTGGAGGCTGAACTCTGTTGATCCGTGCGCTCGCGTGAAAAGAGCCTGCTGCCCCATCACTTTCGAACGCTAAGTCACATGACCAAGAAGACGGAGCGGCGAATCTCTTGGCCGAGGCTGTCAGTCCGCGTAAAGTTTCGGTCGCGACATCGTCAACCATCATCTCCATCTTCCATCTCCACTACGATCGCCTTTACCTTCACCCACCATGTCCGTCGCGGCCTTGTCCAAGTCGCTTCCGAAGCCAAAATATACCGGAGAAGAAGAGGAATTGCGCGATGCAAGAAGCTCCCGCGTGCTCAATCCTGAGCAGTATGAGACACAAGTCGTGAAGAGGCAGAACGGGCCGCCTGCCTATGGCCAGCGACAGAAATGGCGGCCTAGGACAGCTGAGGATTTTGGTGAGTGTCAAAAGCTGACGTCACTATCAAAATCACCTGCTAACCATGTTGTCATGTTAGGGGATGGTGGGGCCTTCCCAGAAGTGCATGTTGCACAATATCCGCTAGATATGGGAAAGAAGGGTACCGCGAGCACTTCCAACGCTCTCGCCATGAGGGTCGATAACGAAGGAAAGACGAAGTACGATGAAATCGCACGAAGAGGACACAGCGACTCGAGAATAGTACAAGCGAGTTTCAAGGATCTGATACCGTTGCGGCAACGTGCGGATGCTGGAGAGTTGAATTTGGAGCGTCCGAGTCAGGAATTGGTTCAGGCGACGAGAGAGCGCACACAGCAAGCACTGGGTGCCCTGATTGCTGGTCAGACCGCGGCGCAGCGTCCGAAGATGGTCAAGGGACGGGCAAAAGATGAACCTACGTTCGTGAAATACACGCCGTCTGCACAAATGGGTGATGCTCAAGGAAAGACGCGTATTTTGAAGATTCAACAGAGGCAGATGGATCCTCTTGAACCGCCAAAGTTCAAGCACAAGAAGATTCCACGAGGGCCCCCATCGCCCCCACCACCCGTTCTGCATTCACCGCCACGAAAACTTACGGCCGAAGATCAAGAAATGTGGAAGATTCCACCTCCGATATCGAACTGGAAAAATCCCAAGGGTTACACTGTTCCTCTTGACAAACGTCTGGCGGCAGATGGAAGAGGTCTGCAGGACGTGACAATCAACGACAGATTTTCTCAATTTAGTGAAGCGCTGCAGGCAGCCGACCGACATGCCAGAGAGGAGGTCAAGCAGCGTGCTATGATGCAACAACGCCTTGCAGAGAAGGAGAAGGAGCAAAAGGAAGAGCATCTGCGTAAGCTTGCTCAACAAGCCCGAGAAGATCGTGGAAATACTTCCCGCCGTCGTTCCGGCAGTTATTCGGATTCAGAGTCTGATTCGGAAGATGAGGCTGTGCGCAGGCGTGAAGAGGCCCGGCGAGAAAAGAAACAGGAATTTCAGCGAGAAATGCGTCAATCGAAGATGGGTACGGAGAGGAAGCTGCAGATGCTTGCACGAGAGCAGAACCGTGACGTCTCAGAAAAGATTGCTCTCGGCCTCGCCAAACCAACACAGGGCGGAGAGTCAATGTATGATGCAAGACTGTTCAACCAAACGAGTGGTTTCAATGCTGGGTTCAATGAAGATCAGCACTACGACAAGCCGCTGTTCGCCGCCCAGGACGCGATCAGCAGCATTTACCGGCCCAACGTACAGCAGGATGACGGGGAGGATGAAGACCAAACATATGATCGCATTACCAAAAAGAGTAACTTTGAGGTATTGGGTAGGGCAAAAGAGGGATTCAAAGGCGCCGATCTACAAGAGCAACGTGATGGCCCAGTTCAATTTGAGAAAGATACAGATGACCCTTTCAATATTGGGGAAATGATCAAAGAAGTCCAAGGGGAAAAGAGGGGCGAAAAGCGATTTGGTTTGCAAGAGGGAGAAGAGCCAGCGAGCAAGCGCGCTAGGGTGGAGGAGGATAGCGATTGATAGTTTCGAGAGCCTCGAAATCTTGTCTTGACTCCATCGATTTCCAATAAGCTGAATATGGACTCAACGGAATCGCTAAAAAGTACTGTACAAACAATACCAGTATTGGACATATGTCCACCTTCATCGAGCGTCCGTCAGTATTCTATCGTTCCTCGAGCCTGTCCTTCTCCGACCGCAAACAATTGCAACAAATCCCATCTTGCAACCATTCCTGCAGAGTTCACAGCACTGGAACATCCGCGCCCATCTCGAACAATACCTTCAGTACCTCGTCCCGTCCTTCAAACACCGCTCACTCTTCCGTTCGAAATACTGGGGTCTGCTCCCATCTTCAACAGCACAGATTCTGTTTCAATATTGCCATGGTAAGAGGCTAGCATGACAATCTCGTCGTCTGATGCATTATTCAAATCCTTGGGCACACCCGCGGCGAGATCTTGAGGTAGTAGAGACGCGGAGCCGTCACGAGCTAAGTCAAATAGTTTGGCGACAAATTCCAACGCTACGTGAGGCAGATCTAGGGGGAATGGTGTGGGTTTACTCGAGGTATCTCTTTTTGGGTGGCGTTCGGTCTATCGTTGGACTGGAGTAAAGTCATTTTGTGAATTGGAATGCGATTGATCTCATGCGTAATGGATATATGCGGCTTCTTGATTGAAGGCCTCGTGACACACCGAGCCCTCAGACGCGAGCTTGTATACATCAATTGATACATAGTGAGAGAGACTGGCCAGAAAATGAAGTATCGATTGTTCATGACATCAAGTTGATATTGCCTGTTCCATCACTATGGTAAATGCGCACGGACCCTGCTTGGCAACGACAATCGCGACTACGCGACTGGAGCTCAAGGTGCTGGCGACTCCAACATTCAAATGGTAGTTTCTCAACTTTCGGTATTTCCTCGACCGCATGAATCACCCCAGACCAACGAAATCACCCAAAGGCAACACTCCCGATTGAAATAAGTCTCTGGCATCCGTTGTGAGACTTGCAAAAGCAAACTACCACCCAATATGGCATCCCCACCACATATCCCTCAGCTCAACGTTCCCCGCAAACGATCAAGCATTTCCAGCATCTCCTCAACAGCCAAGAAACGCAAGCCGTCTGCGCTACGTAATTCCTTTGCGCCCGAAAATGATAGTGCAGCTGGCTCTCCTATGGCATACGAGCGTTCGCCGTCAGTCGACAGCGTAGCAACAGGCTCTCTTGCGAACGGCGCAGGCGGCAAAAAGCGCAAGCGCAAAGACACCGACAACATGAGTGCCACAGGGCACAGCACGCGTGGCAAGCGCAATGAAGCCGGCTCCAGCGCAGGCCCCGCTAACGACGGTGACAATGCCGGTGGAAACGACGATGAAGACGACGACGACCTAGACGAAGACGTGGACACAATGTTGGAGGGCGGTCGCGCAACTGAAGCCTCGAAAAAGCAGGACAAGGAGCACGAGCGCATCCTCATGCAGGCCATGACCCCCTCACAGAGCGACCGCTACGCAACATATCGTCGTATCCGTCTCCGCCCTCAAATCGTCCGCCGCCTTGTCAATCAAACCCTCAGCCAATCTGTCCCGAGCCCCGTCGTCATCGCCGTAACTTCTTACTCCAAAGCCTTCATTGGCGAGCTCATCGACCGCGCTCTTACCGTTCGTGATGAATGGGCGGCCGCTCGCACGCATATTCCCAATCCGAACCTACCTCCTCAACTCCTAACCCGCGGCCTCACCGACACCTTTGCACACAAACCAGACGCAAAGCCCATGCCTAACCACATCGCGGAGTCTGGCCTATTCAAAAATCAAGTCGATCCGAAGGAGGGATATTGGGTGGAGGTACCCGACGAGACGAGCCTGGAGGATCGATTGAAGGAGAGTGACAAGGGACCGCTCACACCTGATCATTTGAGGGAGGCGTTGAGGCGGTATAAGAGGGATCGAGAAGGTGGTGGAGCTGGTTTCGCAGGACTGAGCCTTGAGGGGCCAGAACGAACGCTTGCCAGGACTGGAGGGAAAAGGTTGTTTCGTTGACCGTTATGACAAACTTGCTGCCCTTGTGTAGAAAGAGTGTTTATTTGTATCTCGGGGGATTATTATCTCTCTTGACCACTTCTTGATGGGGTGAAAGAGGGTGTTTCTTTTTATGGCTCTTGGATCGAGAGCCTAGGGATTTTGATTCATCTCTCGTGCGGCTCTGAGCTGCACCCGTCCCCCATGAGAATTTTCGGTAGATTGTGTTCTTAGGGTTCAAAATGCATAGCGTGGCGTTTCGGGATTGAGAGAACAACTGGTCACGGCAGATTTACAAGAACTGGTCCTTGTAGTATTAATTGGCAGACTTCACATGATCTGCCTAGACATTATCATTGTTGGATATAGCATTATTCGTTCATCACACTGGCGAAATGTAGGTAGAGTTGATACAGTTGTGAATCATTATGATAGTCCTTTTCTGCATACGAGTAGGCAGTGAACCAGTGATGATGCAACCCATTGCATTCGCATATGTTCCAGCTCTAGGCTAAGAGGCAGTTCAATTGAATGAGACTGCAAAGGCGAAACATCACATAGCAAAACAGTAGTCCAGTGTGAAAGAAGTCCCATCATTGGGGACGTTTTGTCATGACAGCTACATTAAGCCATCACTAAGCTCGCTCCGTAATCATGAGAGAGAAAGGAAAACCGTTGCAAATCCCAAACCCCGAACCAACCAGAACTTTAGTTCTCGTGGATCTGCTCCACGTACTCGCTGCCAACACGCACGGGCTTGCCGCCGTCGACCTTCTTGGAGCCCTCCTTGTTCTTGGAGAAGGCAGCCGCGTAGGGGTTGAGGCGGAGTTGCACCTGGAAGTTGCGGAGAGGGTTCTTCTTCTGGACGTTGGTGCGCTTAGTGATGGCACCGCCACGGACGGGACGGAGAACCTTCTGGACGTCGCTGGAGTTGATGATCTTGGAGAGATCGGGCTGCTTCATGGCGGCGGAAGGAAGGAGGAAGTCCTTCTTCAAGGCTGAGGGCTCGGTGGTGGAGCCGTAGACCTTGTCGAGGGCGGAGAAGGCGGAGGAAGTCCAGACAATCAAGCGGCCGAGGTGACCACCGGGGGCGAGCTGGAGGAGGTTGAGAGAGTACACGGAGGAAGTCTCAACACCGGGAAGGTTGCGGAAAGCAGTAACGAGCTCTTTGCCATCCTCGTCGGGGTTGTAGATGACGAGGGGACCGCGGCGCTGCCTGTGACGGCGACCACGAAGTTTACCCTTACCAGCACGGAGCTTCTTGGACTTCTTGACCTTCTCGACATCAGCACCGGCACCGACAGCCTGCAACAGAGCGAAAGCGGCGGATGTCTTGGCGATGGCACCGTTGGCGAAAGCAGTAGAGGCAACGACAAGGGGAACCTCTGGGACGGTGGAAACGTTGTGGCCACGGGCCATGAGGAGAGCAGCACTGGAGGAGGCGGCAATGGCAGAGGCGGTGGCGAAACGCTTCTGGTTCAGGTTGATCTTCTGGTGCCATTTCCTCCAGACCTTGGTAGGAGCGAACATGCGACCGGAACGGCACATGTTACCGAAAGCAGCCTGACCGGCACGGTGGGTTCCTCCACCGGACACACGGGGGATACGGGCAACAGCACGTCCAGTACCCCAGGACTCAGCAGAGGTCTGGTGACCGGCCTTCTCGGAACTTTCATACTGTTAGAAAGATGAAAACTCTCAAAATTCCTGAGCTGAACTTACACAGCATAGGGTTGACGGCGGTTCTTGTTCATGCCAGTGTGAACTGTGTGGACAATGTCCGGGCGGATAGGGGCCTGCAGTTTAGTTAACAACTATGCATATTTGGCAATGCTTGAGATTGAATCGTTCAGCGGACATAGGTCCATTGAAGATTTGTGAAAGCGCATGCGCTGCTCCTGGCCCCGAACCGCACATTTTCCAAGAGATTCTTCCCATCCTTCATAGATGCACGATTCTCTCGTAGTAATCGGATATTCCATTGTTTATTCCCATCTCTAGGTAGTGTGCGCGGGGTGGTCGTCGTGGAGCAGCGTACGGTTCAAATTTCGCGATTTCGAGATTGGAGGTGCAACTTGCCTTGAAGACATTGGGGACGGAGATGGTGTCCTTGGAAGCCTCTCCGCTTCCGGAGATGATAGTGACGGTAGGCCGAGACATCGCGGGCGTCGGTGTGCTGCTGGTTAGTTGTCGTGATTGAGGTCGAAAAACCGAGTGGTTTTTTCGCCAGTTCGTGCCTCTCGCTAAGCAGACGCTAATCTAAGCCGTTTTAGGCTATGTCACGTGTCTTGCGCCACGAGCAAATCCTTGGATCGAAGTCCAGCCATATGTGGGTACATGTCAACGATGCTCTATATTATGCGCATATTTCAAAGTTAAATCAGAAGATTGATTCCATCGTATGAGACCATGAGCCTATAGCAATTGTAATACCAGATAATTGTCGGGAACCACGCAAAGAAACGTGGGGACCTGGGTGAATTTGGACATGCCGAGGAACATCAAATAGCCCAGATGCTATTAGAGATCCCGCAACATTATCAACTTTTATACATTACAAACTCGGTACCATGAATCATGCTGATCTGCTGGATACATCTAGGCAGGGAGGCTATCATAGAATGATGTTGCTCTTCAATACTCTTATTCAAGTCCCCTCTCCACGACTCTTTGTGAACGAGACTCGTAGTCGCTCCTATTTCCTGTGCCTAGCCTACTTCAAATTGCATGCAACAAATTTTGGATATACTCAGGGAGCAGGGTTCCAAGAAGTATCGAGTTGAGCCGAAGGTCGGATGCACTATCGATTATATAATAGTTGATATTGAGCCTCACGCAAACTGAAACAGCAGGTAGCAGGTAGACGACGGCATGAAATGCTATGCTTAGCGAATTCGCAAGGCGATATATCAGTTGCCTTACCCGACCCGTTTCACATGGGGAAAATAAAATGTCCTAGAGACTATGTTTACACGGCCAACAAACAGTGTACGCAGTGTCAAGCATGCTTTCGACTCTTTAGGATATACCCCAGCTACGGTCTTCGGCCGCGAGATTAGATGGTGCTGGATTCGGACTGGCCTTGAAGCAGCCAGGGTGGCTAGGACATGGAACCAACACCTCGAAGGATTCAGGCGCAGAGAGATTGGAGAAACAGTCATCGATACGAATGTCACAAAAAGTCAGTAGGAACACAGAGCAAATTGCAAATGCCGATACCATTGCTACTGAGGTGTTGAAACAAGGGGAGCGACGCGGCATAGAAGTCAGCATCAAGCGGAACGGATGGCCAGACAGCAGGGCTTTGTGCGCGACGGCCTTCTAACATTTTGTGTACTCTTGAAACCAAAAGTATCAGGTGACGAATATGCGTTGCTGCGAGCCTTGGAACCCTCACCCCGCCAACAACCGGTGGGCCTCTAGGGTGTTTCACAATGACCTGTACTGTCGGACAATTTTTTCTCTGTGCCGCTGGCGGTGACGGATGGCTCAAACGAGGCCGCAAACGGCGGAGAGATGTCGGAGCTTGGGAGCGCGCGAGAGAGGTGCAGTTGGGGTGGACAATTGTTTATGCGTGGTGGTCGGAGGTGGAGGTTCGAGGAAGTCAAAGGCTGGCGCGTGGATTAGGAGTTCGCGTGTTAGGCCAGTTATTTTTAGCCGGTTAGCTTACAGCGTACGCAGCGCGCGGTATGGTGCACCAGGCCAGGCTGGTAAAAAAGGAGGTATTCTGTAAGGTGGGCGGTATGCTAGGGCTGCCATGTACGAGAGGGTCAACTATACAGGCTGTGATAGGCCCCAGGGCCATCTGCAAGCGGCTGCACGCTTAGTCCTGCAAGTAATCAAAGTATCAGGGCTTGCCACAAAGCCCACACTTGCCAACCCGTGTATCCACACAGGTTCGGTCCTGTGTCTTGCCTCGGATGTCTGTCCAGCGCAGCACAGGGTGACCGAGCATCCCGTCAGCGGATAAATCATCGCAGCAGCAGCCGGAGGCAAACTGCTCGAGTCGAGCGAGCGCGGGCGATGATCACGGTGCGAATGGGGGCATCGTAATCTTGCGGGTGCAATCTTGGAGCGAAGCGGTAGAAGGCGCACGGACGGTGGGCGTTATTCTTAGCAATAGTGCGCGGATTGGCTCTTCTCTAGCCGCCGCCGCTCTGGCTTCCTTTGTGTGTCGACCTGCCTCTGGCGACGCCCTCTCTCTCTCCTTCAACCACCAGCCGAAGCGACAGCGAGCCACAGCGACAGCGCCGCGACCAGCGCAGACCCTCCCCTCCCCTCCCTCTCCTCTCCTCACGAACCCTCGCGCCTGCGCCAGATCGACTTCCATTCGTCTCGTCCACCAAGTCGGTCGCACCTGCTTCCAGGTGGTCGCGCTTCGGTCGCTCTTTCCCTTTCCTCCTACTCCTCCTCACCACCACCACACACCCGCCGACTCGTAACCGCACCTGTTGTCTCGACGCAGCCTGCGCGCTTTTCGCCGCCCGCTTCTACGCCTGCAATCCATACCTCCCTACACCTCCCCATACCCATACACCCCGTCGGCGGTTCATAATAACGACTTCGCCCTTTCTGCTGTCGTCTCCCTTCTCCGTCTCAGGCCACGCCAGGCACATTGGCAGTCTACAACACACATTACTTTGCACACCCTATCCACCAGTCGTTCTCTACCTTCGGCGCTAGTCGAGGATCTGGTATCCTCGTTTCAAGTCTCCAACAGCGGTTCGCTCTGTTGTTCAGCGTCGGTGCGTCACCTTTACTCTGCTCTGCCCCAATGCCAAAGCCCCATGTTTCCCGTCGCACGCCAGTGACTATTCTGTTTCCACCCTGTCACTGCCCTACCTGTTCCTTCGTCCTTCTACCCTGTCTCGCACTATACACCACACAATCATAGACACATCAACACTTGCATTCTTCTCTTCGCTCCTCCCTACCCTGTCTCGCCATCATCGTCAAACGCGCGCACCAACATCCTCGCTGGCATGGGCACAATCGCTCTAGTACACACAAACACTGACACCCTAGTTCTCAAAAGGCCGCTTACTCCGCTTAATACTTCTTTTCCTTCCAAAGTATTCAGGCACACAGTCCAGCGACTAACACCGCCTACCTCCACTCCACAGCCACTTCATTGTCTTCGAAATATAGCAAACAACTTGCCCCCGTGTGGGTCTATTGCGTCTCGACCCAGTATGCAAACTAGCCCAAGGAACTTCACGCCGATGCCCTCCTTCGGCGCTGTTTTTGGAGAGGAGGCACGCAACAACCACCTTAAGAATTCCTCGGATACCGACAAGGCCGGTCCTCATGGCTCCCTAGTACGTTCAGTAACCAGTGGGAACACACACAGCGGCGTACCTTTTTCCTCTTTTCACATCCACCGTGACAGTAGAGACAGCACGTCAACCGCATCCTCGGACAATTCGCCGACGACCACAATATCCACCATGGACTCCTCTACCGTCACAGACCCGTCGCCGGGTCCGTCCCCGGAGTCACCTGTAGCTAAGACGCCATCGTCTTCTTTTGTAGCGGATTTCCGGTCGCGAAGAACAGAAAACCCTTCGCAAGACTCCAGCACAAACACCTTCTTCGAACTTGCAAGGCCTACTACCCCTGCGAAGAAGCCACGGAATCTTAAAAATCTCGGCATCAACACCTCTTCTTCGCTTGGTAACTTGCGCACTGCACAAAATGCTACCACACTAGTAGTGGAAAAGAAGGAAAAGAACACCTCTGCTCCCGCATCACCATCGTTTATCAAGCCACCCACACCGCCCAAGAGACGCCCTTCAAATCTCAGCCTGACTATATCAACGCCTGGAAGCAATGACAACAAGCCAATGAGGCTGATCATCCCCTCTACCCCTGCAGGCAGTCGCCCTACCCTGCGCCATTTCCAATCATCGCCTTCGCTTCCCCTATGCTCACCATCTGTTGGTCCTTCTGGGGGAATGAAAATGCCTGTTCTTAGACACGTTCCGTCAAAACCGAGCGGGCTTTCGGAAGTTCCTTACGAGATGGAAGAGGAGGAGGATCAAGAACCAAACTTTGACGTTCCTCAGTCACGCGAAGAGAAGCCTGCAGCGTATCCGAATGGGCCCATTGAGATATATCCTTCGGGTATATTCCTCTACTTTGAGCCCACCGTGGAGCAAGCCTGCACCTTTGATGTCATCATCAACGTGGCCAGTGAGGTTAAGAATCCATTCACCACGCCAGTCTCCGAGACATCCAAAGACCTCAATGCCCGGCGTATAGACGGCCCTGCTGCAGAGAATCCGGATTTCGCTGCTCTTCCTAACCGCGCGGGTGATAACAACAGCTCGCCTCCAACGCCCAAGGCTGCACCTGCCATGGCGGTGATGCAGCCTGGTGAGCGTGTCATCGACGGAAAACTATACAAAACACCAGAGTACATACATATGCCATGGGAACACAACACTGACATCGTAGCTGATCTCTATAAACTGGTCAAGACGATGGACGATCGTGTGCAACAAGGCAAACGAGTCCTTGTACATTGCCAGTGTGGTGTGAGTCGATCTGCTAGTTTGATTGTCGCGTACGGCATCTATAAGAACCCCGAGACGAGCGTGCAAGAAACCTACGATATTGTCAAAAAGCGTAGCAAGTGGATAGGACCCAACATGAGTTTGATTATGCAACTCCAGGAGTATCGAAACACATTGACCAAAGGTACCGACAACCGATCTTACCTTGGACAACCATCATTCGGTCGCCGATCGGCCGGCTTACCCACCGGGATCTCAACTGCCACCAATAGACACTCTCCTTTCGATCGGGATATCTCTTCTGCGCCTCGAACACCTCGTACTGCACCTCTACCACCCGATACCGATATGAACTTGCAACGCGCCAGTACAGGAAGTATGATTATGCTTTCGCCCGGGCCTCTGTCGGCACCATCAGGATCTTCAATGTTTTCCCCTGGTTTCCGACAGTCGTGGGCTGCCAGCCAAACTCAATTCGACCTCTCCCCGAAGTCATCTCCGAAGACTACTCCTTACGTGGATCCTGCTGGCCATGTTGTTCCCATGCTCGCTATTTCAAACGACGATGCGAAGGATAAACCACAGACTCCTCCTGTCGATGAAACTCCTTCAGATCGCGAAGCAACTCTGAAGCCTCTTTTTGTTCCCAGCTTCTCCCGAAAGCTGCCATTTCGAACCAATGACAAGAGTAGTGCTCCAGAGCGACCTCGAACTTCTCCAGCGCCCAGTGGGCTGCATGTTCCACCTGCTCCTCTCAGTTTTGAACCTCTACGATCTCCTGCGGTACCAACGTTCAATATCCCAACCTTCACTCCAGACAGTGACGACGATATGGGGCTGAGATCGCCGATTAAGGCGTCATTCAACTTAAGTCCTTGGCCTTCAACGCATGGTTACAGCACCGAATCATCGCCTACTGCTGAGAGATTTCCACTTTCGCCCTTACCACTATCACTCGGACCTAGCGAGCCATATCAGAACGATCTTCATGTGCCCCCCGAGGCATCAACTGAGTTGTTCTCACCACTGGCATCAACCTTCAATTTGGAACGTCCTCCTCCTGGATCAGGTACCTCGGACGGACACTTGCCTTCCGATGACTTTGAGGTTACATCACCCGTCAGAACTGAGTTTCCTTCGGACATGTTTGGTTCTGCCGACGATGCAAAGAACGATCTAACATCACCACGAGCAGCTGAGTTCCACATGACCCCATTGAAACCCAAAGAGGAAGATGAAGATCCCTTCGGTCTAACTTCACCAACGCGTTTCGAGTTCCCATCGGATCTTCACAAGCGAACTGGCCTTACACCGCCGCGGTTCACTCAGCCAGACTTCCGACGGCCCTCTTTCCAAGCTATATTACCGCCATCACATCTAGCGCAGCCTGAAACATCTAATGGCTTTGCGTCCCTTGACGGTACTGCACACGCGCCGGCTTCCATGCCATCGATGGAGCAACCAAAATCTCCTGATTCTAGAATCGACAGTGTCGGTACTCTATCCGAACAGAGTGCTTCTTCCTCGACCCACGCGCTTTCCAGCCATGAATCATCACAGGTGCAGCCAATCACTCCTCAGGCTCCGTTTCATGCAATCTCAACCCCAACACCGCCACGTCAACCAGGTCTTCGAGCTAGGTTCTCGTCTCCAAACATGCGCGATCAACGAAAGCTTCACAAGTTGCAAACCGAAATGGAATCCATGCTTCCCCATCGCACACCACCGCGAGCGCAGGCTCTCGATGACCTCCACGCTTTAATGTCACCGCGAGCGGAGGAGTTCACTAGAAACCCATTCCATTTCGATCTCCCTGTCACTACAGATGAGAATAGCTCTGCATCATCACTCGAGACCGTAAAAGAGGGACAGACCCGCAGCGAATGGACCGAGAAGCGGCAATGGACTCCACAGAAGTCTCTCGACGACGATCCTCGAAGTCCTGTTCAGGGCAGTAGTCCAATCGTTCGAAATATATGGGACGTCCTATGAGAACAATTCTGTTCAGCAGGTCTTTCTCAGCACATTTCTCACAAGGCTTTGCTTCTGCTTCCAGGACTACCATAAGTGATGGTCTGCACTGACTGATCTGTAATCCGTCTGTATAACCAAGAGTGTATATTACATATCAAGGTACCGCGGACATTGATCCGCCACTAACGCAGGATGTTCATTCCCTGCTACGGAATACCGATTCGTACCTGGTTTCAAGCAATCAGCAATACGTCTTCGATCTACGCCATCTCCCTGGAAAGCTATACGTGCGCATTTTCCAGACGATTGCGAAATCCAACACCTCCCAACGCCGCGTTACCGCTGCATCCTATCAAACCCACGCTCTTGCGCCACTTGCAATCCTTGAACGATTCTCTGTTTCCTTTTTCTTTGGCTCTTTTGTTTACTGGATCTGACACCCCATAAACTCCGATGGAGGTTAATGCCAGCGTAAGCCACATACCTTAATGTTCTAGTCTCTAGTATTTTGCGAGCCAATTTTGCGTACTCGTCGACCTTCAACATATCACACACTCCCTTCGCCAACTCTTTCCTAAGCTTGTCAACCACCAATCACTTGGACACCTGTCCGGTTTCCTATCCTAGTCCTGTTTCTTTTCCTCTCACATGATACGATTGGCGCGCCATACAAGCGTTGTCTATTTCATTTGTCGGATTTTCTTTTTCTCGTCTCATTTGTGTCTTGTTTTCATCGGAGTTTCCCTGCTGGAAAGTCTTTGTGTACACCAGGACAGCGGTCAGGAAAGGTTCTGGCACAGCCAATCTGGAGTAACTGCTTATCTGGCAATACTTGAAATGGCTTTCTGGTCTCGGCAAAATATGGGTCTGAGACGATCTTCCTTTTTTCAAATCTTGCCTTCTTGCAGCCAGCTTTCGTATTACCTCGAGTCCGGGTAACATGGCCTGCTAGTAGTTTATCGCTGAAGAGAATGCGCATCACGGTGGTGGATGGGTGGGTGGATGCGGTTTACTACGAGAGAAAGAGAGCGTTAATAAAAACCGTGGTTCTTGTACTGTAAAAACCACTTCTCGTCATCGTGATAACTACTATGTCCCAATGCTAGTGTCTATAGCGAGATCTACTGCAACCACTTTCACCACTTTAATCATGCTAATACAGAAACACACATATCGGGATAAGGAATAAATCTGGAATCATGTGTCAGGACCGTGAAGGTTCCTTGTATGTACATTCCCGAAACACACTAACAGATGTGATAACAGGCTCATATTTCCAATTTCGTAGGAATCTGTGGTATCAAGGAGGTTCATTGTAGATCCCTGGATATCTTACCTTCTCGTTTGGAACAGATGCTCCGAACGTGCCCTCATCCATTTCTGGCGAGTTTGTCTTGAAAAAGCTGTCAAGACAGTAGATGTGAAAGCTATTACGGGTGGTAAGGCATGTGCTTGAGACAGATGTTCTTGCTACTGAGAGCGACTTTCAGGAATTAAGAAGGCAACAGCAAACACGAGCGTAGCAAAGGGGAAGAGTGAAGTGATTATATAATGTATGCTACAACAGCTCTTGCCTCGCCCAGACTACGACGCTGTACACTTAACATGGTGCTTCCCAGATACTTCCTAGATCACTCTCATGTCTCACCGCTGTTCCTTCTCCTTCTTGATACTTCTCTACATCAACTGCGGACCCAGGTAAACACGTCTGTCTTTGTGGAACCCCTGGTTTTTGTCTTGATATATTCTTCCCAATCCCTTGATACTGTCGTTGAAATGCCTAGCATTTGTAGCACTGTCGAAGTCGTAACAAATGTCGCCCCTGGCTGCTGCTCTAACTCTCACTGAGGTTCAAGACGAAAAATCAGCATTGTGACTAGAAGTGTAAGGAAGAATTGAAATCGTGTTAAAACATCACTATATGATGTATCGGAGCTGTGTAATAGATATGCGTGATATGCGAATCATTTGACTTACACAGTCCTTTGGGCATAGGCAAGAACACCCAGTTAGATTGCTGGTCGGGAAGAATGCGTCCTTGTCTACAACGCGTTTGAAAGTATGCGGCATCGTCGGCGTTGGAGAAGACAAGAACAGGCTCAGATGGAACCACGGAGAGGAAAGATGAGACAACAGCTGGTGGCGCCATTTTTGCGGGTTATGGATATGTTTTGCAATCCGCGTTCAGTAAATTGTGGTAAGTCGAAATTTGACTAGAGAGATGGAAAAGATGCTGCTCTCCACAGTTGGGCATTGCGCATACTTATATCCCACTTTCCTAGTCCTTCTCGGTATTGCACATTACGCCCGATCTATGAAGCATTCCGCCTTTTTCCCCAAGTTGGCCGTATAATTCATTAGTACCGGTGATTGTGTGTAGCGGTGTGGAGAAGCGTGGCTTAGTTAGTGAGGAGGACTACGCTAACCTTTTCCATGTAACATGCATGCTTGCTGCCTGCCTGCGCCTCAATCTTGAAGCTATTCATTGTGGGGGCACAGAGCTGATATGAATTGATGTATACAACCTAGGTCCCGCATGAAAATGGGTATCAGCCAACATAAATCATCTAAAAGCATCTTTCCATACATTATCAATTGATCTTGGTACACTGGGCAGAATACAAATATCTCACCTTTATTCACCCAGCTGAGACAAGGCGGTGGCAAGCCCTGCATATTTATTGATCAAGCGCAACATTGTATCTCTTTAATGACTAACATCGTCGAATCGAGACATTCGAGATACATCCTGTATGTTTGAGTATCTTAGATATAACCGTAGCGTAGTCTACTTGAGAACAGCAGGGGCCTCTGATGACCCACACAATATACTGGGTATAGCAATGAGTGCAATCACAAGGTAATTTGTTGGTTTAATGAAATTGCTTCCTTATTATAAGATCGTACTACAAGATTCGCACTTCTCTACGAAGAACTGTTATGGTGTGACCCGGGATGACTTCGAGTGGTCAAATGCATGCCATACCATCTGGTGAAATGTATCGTGGAGTGTTTGAGAATGAGATTCCTGCATCAAACAAATTGGTAATTTTCATCATCTAATATCTCGTGACTCTAAATGACTGTTTCTACTTTTTTTCTGAGTTGGAGTTTAGGTCATCCAAGACACAGCGAAGGGTTTACAGCGATAAATAGACCAAGATAAACGAGCTATTGCCAAAAATACAGGCTGTTTCTACATATTTATGCAGTAAGACGATAGTTGCGTGCGGTGTACATAACTACACAGTCACCAATCATCCCCGCACCATGTGGGATGGCAGATAGAGACATCGGTTATGTAGTGAAAAATGTCTGGAAATAGGTCTTAAAGCTTCCAGTGTAGTGATACACCTGCAATTTTCTGTCTTACCATATATGTATTTGCTTGAGCCTTAGGGAAATTCAGTGTGGTCCTCCATTGTACTTATCCCCTCGATCGCCATGGCCTCAGATCTCAACAAGTCCTGTTTTAACGTAATTTTGGGTTGAGTGAGGAAAGGCTGTCTTGTGCCAAGCTCGAGACAGTCGGTATTTAATTCTCAAACCGAAGCTCAATGTCTATGACATATTTGTTTGCACGTTGTGGTGCAAACAATCCATGACCGCACTGGCTCACTGACTCTCACTCACTAACCCGCACTGAGTACTTCATCACCAACCTTGGAAAACCTGGACACTCGCACTTGGCCCGCTCACTTTCCCTCACTCGTGGTTGAATCTTAACCCCACATAAGAGCCATTGCTACGTCTTGCAGACGGTGTCATCGATCATCGAGACACTGATTGCAGTGTTGCCCTACTACTAATTTTGGTGTACTGAAACAACCCGGCTTGAGATTACCTGACCTCACACTCGTGATACAAGAGCAAAGATGATCACTTTCGGAAGCTTCTCGCTCGCCGCACCACCGCTTCTTCTACCATGCTATCCTGATTGGATCCAGCAACCATGCTCTAGCACGCGACCACCATGGGCTCGCGACATCAGCCGCCAATCCTTTCGAGAGCATGCCCCACTCATCACGCTCGACCAGGCCATTCTCATCAATACGCCTTTTGTAGGGTCCTACTATCTCGATGACCCTCAGTCATATTTTCGATCCGCGCCCGTGCCAGTAGCACTTGCTGTCTTTGCGCGATTCGCCCCACTGCCTACTTCAATCTCCTCCTCCTCCTCTTCTTCTTCTTCTTCTTGCACAAGCTCGCCATCACCATCGGCATATTACTACCTGCCAGATAGCCTCTGGCTTGCAATCCGGCTCATCTACACCTGCCCCCGCGATTCTGACCGCCATACCTCTCTCACGTGGGTCCGGTACTCGGACTTCCGTACTTTTCTGGAGCACCACTGCATGAAACCCAGCCACCAGATCTTCGAGCCGAAGCAGATGTTTCGCACGCGGAATGGAGAGATGCAGCGTGGTATGAACTTAGACTTGCGGAGTGTATGGAGGGAATGGAGGTTCCCGGATTTGAGGTTGGATGTGTGAGAATACTGACGGAGGTGTTCATGAATACACTGGACTGAAAAGCTTTCTGATGTCAATCATTTGGCAGAATAAAGCCGTGTTTGGATGATTAATGACAATGAAATGGAGAGCCAGGAGACCGGATGAGGATAGGGGAATGAATGAAGCAAAGAGCAGGAGTGAAAGGTTGAGAAAGGGAAATGCGAACATAAGAAGAGTGGCTGGGTCGAAGAAAGTGATATACCTAATCTAAGGATTACCGAATCTATAAGTATGCTAGTTCATTGTGAATTTCACAATGGGATGCAACGATCGAGAGAGATGTTGATGAGTGCACCTTTGACTCCTGTATAAAAGAAGAGGAAAGCATGGTTTCCCCCTTCGAGTTCCATATGTCACCGAAAATTGTATTCAGATCATTGCTACTTAACAAAACCACTTGGACGTGAGAGAAATGGTTTCAAGTTCACCGAAAGAGTACAAATCATTGCCAATACGTTGTTGGGTGAGTCATTTGGAAAAGCCTTCCATTCCCTCCTCTCGCCTAAAGACAGCATAAAGGCTACCACTCTGATCGTATTTTAGAGTAGAGAGGGTCCGGCCGTCGATTATGATTAGGTAGTTGAAAGCGACTCTATATGGTGCATACCATGAAACTACAAAGGATTGCATCGCGTTGACCTAATCATAGCAGCAACTACTGAATGGCATGCACGTTCATGTTCTGATCAGATCTCACCAGAGCGGAGCAATTAGGATATTCTCAGCAATGTATCACATCGCCCCCATATCGTTTTCTATGACGCACGTCCGCTGTATCCTCAAAAGAGAGCATACATATGAAAGCAATTTCAAACATATTTTTCTCGCCGTGGTGAGCGGAGAAATTTATAAGTCCGAGTTTTTTTGGAAGAAAAATGGCAGAAGATATGATCAACAATGATACAAAATCAAAGTATGTAATCAATCGTGGCTAAGCAAGAATATTCGGAAAACCCACGATTACTGATCAGAAGAAGGCAATGTAAACGAACACAAATCACCACGGATCAGACTCGGCTTACCCCGGAATAAGAAAAAATATCATAATCAGTCATTCGTACTCATCCAAATTTCCAGCGTACGCAATCCCCGGGGCATTCCCATCTCTTGACCCCCAAACAGGCTATTTTCAGTAAACAGTTAGGGTACATACGAATTTCAATGCCATCGCTTCGTCCGTGTGGCGCAGGTCCGCGCCCGCCCTTTGTCAGAAACTTCACCCAACTTTGAGAAAGTACAAATTACGCTTAACTTTTTTTTTCTCTTTTATTATTCTAATTCAGTTGTGGCTTGTACGGAACTGGGGCGAGAAATTAGGTGAGGAAGCGAGGCGAGGTCGATCTGGATCTGCCTAGGCATATATAGGGCTTCTTTGTAAGAGTAAGTCGGGTGTGTGCCACAGCTTTTGACAGCAGCCGCAGCGCAGTGAAGCGCAGCACGGCGCAATCGATTCTCTCAGGCAGAGCTTTTTTTGGGAGAACGAATCGACTGGGTTCGTTGAACGGACTATTATCGGAATATTCGCTTTTTTTTATTACCAGATCTGAGTTTGATTTTTGTGGATGGAATGGGAATTGGGGTGGCGGTTTTTCTTCGTATACATGTGCATGGGTGGCGTTGTACTGTTGGGATGTTTGGAAGGAGGACTAGGGAAAGAAAAAAGTAGGCAAACCGTATACAGAGGGACCGTCCTATAAGCTACAGTGCACACTACATACTACGGCAGTAGGACAAGTAGCCTGGTACCAGCTCTTCGCTAGCTGCCGGTCGATCATTTAGGCAACCACCCCCAATTGTGCCATCGAGATGTACATAGTCACAGTCATGTCAACCGCATAGTAGAACATACCCTGATATCGTCTCAAATAAAAAGCAAGAACCATATTTCATTGAGTTGAGCGAGGCAGCAACCGGGCAGCATGGAAGAGCCAGGACGTTCAGAATGCCTGGAGACGCGCAAGACGCGCATTGTGTGCATCTCGGACACGCACTGTCAGACACCCAAACTACCTCGAGGCGATGTATTGATACATGCCGGAGACTTGACGAATCAGGGAAGCTACTCTGAGCTGAAAAAGACGGTGGACTGGCTCGAGAAGGCAGAGTTTGAGGCCAAGATTGTCGTTGCTGGTACGTTTCTACAATGCCCGTCGACCCAAATGTTATGGGGAGGAGTCACATATTAAGGTAATGATGTAGGGAATCACGACATCACCCTAGATCCATCATTCTACGAAGAGCACGGATCGCTATGGCGCTGGCCCCAGACACAAGATCCTGAAGCGTGCAGACAACTGTTGACTGCATCCCCCTCGATCACTTACCTCGAGAATGAAGCTGCCAATATCTACCTGCGTGCACCAGGCGGACCCCATACGTGCTTTAAAGTGTATGGTAGTCCGTACTCGCCAAAAAGCCACCGTTGGGCGTTCCAATACGAGGCAGAAAGGGCGAAGAAGCTATGGGATGGTATTCCTTCTGATACTGACATAGTGGTGACGCATACTCCACCCAAGGGTCACTGCGACCAGGCAACCAAGGACGACCGATCCGGATGCGAAACTCTCCTCGGAGCCTTGTATCGAGTACGTCCCATGTTATCCATCTGCGGGCATATACACGAAGCACGTGGTGTCGAACGTATGCGGTGGAACGACTCTGGTGCCGAAGACGGCGGCGTGGTGGAGGAAGTGGAGAAATGGAAAGACCCTGGGATAGGGAACAAACAATCACTGGTCAATTTGACTGCTGCGGGAGGGCGTTCTTTGGATAATGGCAGCAGGCTGACACGTCAGGCAGTAGTACTGCAGCAGAATAGAGGTTTAACGCTTCAGGATTGTGACGGTGGGGGCCAGCCTGGCGTACCTGGAAGTCATGGACCCATGGTGTTCAGAAGGACCCAACGCCCCGCATATGCAGGATCATCTCATAGTGAAGCGGAAGAGGAGAGGGCGACGAAGAACGGATTAGAAAGTGCGGCGGATCATGATCAAAGGGAAGATGATGACGATTGCAAGAGCAGGAGGGAGACGGCGGTGATCAATGCCGCGGTGTTGGGCCCTCGACTTGCTGGCAAGGGGATGCAATTCAACAAACCGATAGTAGTTGACGTCGCCCTACCAGTGTGGAGCTTCGAGAACAATGTAGGATGATGTAGATAAGCAGGCGCAAAGACGCGAGAGGGAGAGCATCGACGTGGAGCAACAGTGATGGTGGCATGGTGGTGAAAGCGTCCGGTCAATGAGACGTTCCCACGTATTGGCGGGGTTGTGACAGGCTCGTGTACTTGGTGCCCCGCTACGCTCATCACGCCGTCCCCGCATAGATTGGAGCCGGCCTGTTTGAGTCTGACCACTCAAACCCGTGACAGACGGTGGCTACTGCAGTCTACTGTCTGTCTGCCATGCGGAACGGATCGAGTTGACGAGCAGATAATAGCCTGTCCATGACTGCCTGACGAGGCAAGGGCCGGACGCAACAAGCAAGAAAGTTCCAACGTCGACCACATCTGAAGGGAACATAGCTGCTGGGACGCCTCGTGATGGGAGGGGACATGTCAAGTTCCACCATGTCGGGCCGCCAAAGGCCACCATGTGCGACCTGGCCGTGATGTCTGATGTTGAGGCGGTATCGGGGTGCGGCGAAGGGAGGTGGTGGATGGTGCTATGGCAGCCAGTATACCTGGTGAAATCTTTTTCCGTCCAGGGCGCTGGGCATCGGGTTGGTCAGGTCTCGCAAAAGGCCTTTCGCAGGTGCATGTGGCATTTTTGCTATTGGCGCAACGGTTGCGGTCACATCGTCCATGGAGGGCTGGGGTGGCAGCTGTGCCCGAAACACAGCGAAGCCTCGCAGTACGATTGGGCGTGCGTTTCCTAAGCGCTGAGGGCGGGAACACGGGCGACGGATGTGCAGCCAGCAGGTCTGGTCTGCAAGAGGGCCATGATTGACTCTGGCGGCTTGCGCGATGCGAAAGTGGCTCAGATGCTTCCCGTTGCTGCACCCTGGCGTCTTGGTACGGTAGTGCCGTGGGGACTGGCTGGCTGGCTGGCTCGACGAGAAGCCTGGCTGGAATGGCCACGCACTGTCAGCAAACCGCTAACTAGCCACCTACGAGATGCGAGATGGGGAATACACTGCACTGGATGCGGTAGTGGGGTGGAGACGGCCGTGCTGCGTGATGCTGCATCAGGGAGAAGGGCTGCAGGGGCATGGGAGAGGACTGTGAAGGAGGAGGAGGAGCATCGAGGAGGCTATTCACAGGCACACTCACACTACTCACCTGGGCGATGCATCCATCTATCATCCATCATCTATCAATCGGATGCCTCGTCAAGTTTCCTGCCTCCATTCAGTCGAGCAATCCGCCGCGACTCTTCCTCTTCCCATCCCTCCATCAATTATCGTCTCCCTTCTTACTGTTACATACTTTCCACACTCCTCTCTACCTTACACATACATTCATACTCGTGCGCAGATTTATCCGCAGCTCACTCACAGGCCGACCCACACGCCCCTCCCTGTGAGCCAGTCTGACCGACACCCTTCCGATTCCAGTCTGACTTTGCTTCAGCTTCCCCCATTATCGTCATCTTCTCCCCGCTGCATTTTGTTTTCCCTTTTTTGACAGTCACCACGCTGAAAATAATCAATCGTCGTCGTCGTCGTCGTCGTGCTGCGGCTCTGGACGCCAATTTGGTCCGTGACGGACGTTGTGACGTCTTCACCGCTTCAGTGCGTCACTCGGCCGACCAACAACCCCCATTTCACCAAAACAAACCTCGTTCTACGGGTGCAAGACTTCGAGAGCATTCGCTGCACTCTCTTCCCTGTCCTGCTCGCATTATATCGCCGCTGATTCACCCCTTACACACCCAATCTCGTCTTTTTGCCACCAACTTCTTTTACCTTCTTCTGAGACGGCCGTCAGGTACCGACATCCGCCTTACTCAGCCAGTCACCTCACCTCACCCAAACCACCACCCTCGCCAACCATCATCCTTAAATCCCTCAACGTCGCAACCACGACGCAGCCCTTCCTTTCGTAAAAACATCCCCATTCAACAACACCATTCGAGCCCTGTGGGCCCTCTTACCATTACCCATTCTTTCGCCATCGCCACGGACGGGCCCATTGGCACTGACACTACTGGGCCGCAGTACCTGATCGGCAACACGTACCACCGCCACTACCAGCATCATCCCATAACCTTTACACGTGCGCGAGCCAGCCCCGAGCTTCACCCACTACCCTCTTGCTCATACAAATCCCACCGCATATTCCACCATTTCTTTGCTTTCTCACCTCCACACTAAACCCCACATCTACAATCGCCGACCATGGACTTGACACAAATACCAGATCCCTACAAGGCCCTCAACGTCGCCCGAGATGCCGACCAAGCCCTCATCAAATCCACATATCGCAAACTGGTTCTCAAATGCCATCCTGACAAAGTCACCGATGAGTCTCTGAAAGCGCAGAAGCAGGAGGAGTTCCACAAAATCCAGCAGGCCTGGGAGGTCATCGGAGACGAGGCCCAGCGCGAACGATACGATGACGCTGTAAAGTTGGACAATCTCCAGAGAGAGAAGCTCGCGCGAAATAGGGGGGCTGCAGATGCCAGACCAGCAGCCCGCTATGAGACCCGAACGCAAGCACCCGCGGGCTCGCATCACTATGATGATCATAAGCCATCATCACGATCTTACGACGACCGGTCAGATCGCTACTACGAGGAGCGCCCTCGCAAGTACGATACGTACGAAGCTTACCCAAAGCACACTTCTCCACGGAGTTCGCGGGAAAAAGACATTCCCATCAAAGTTACACGAGTCTCAACGGATCGCACCAGAGCTGACTATAGGAAGACCCGCGACAGGGAGGAGCGTCGGGATCGTGACAGGAGATTTGTTTCCGTGGACAGCGATTCTTCCGTCGATGAGAAAGCCCACTACGAAGCCGAATACAGGAGACGGACCGAAGAAGCCCGCAGAGCGCGAGATGCAGAAGATATTCGCCGCGCAGCCGCCGATGCGAGGCGGAAAGCCGAAGACCGACGATCTTATGAGGAAAGCAGGTACGATCGCTACGACCGACACGAGAAGCACGACCGATCCCACAAACACAAGGAATGGGAAGGCAAAGCTTTTGACTACATTGAACGGTCAAAAGTCGAGTTAGATCGCCCTTCCCCAAGTAGAACGACTTCTTCGCGAGACGTTCGCCCAGAACAGTATCCCGAACGCTCTCGACGGGATGTTCGCCGTTCCGCAGCTCGGCCAAGGGATCGTGTGACGTCGACTTCTGGACGTGATCGCGACCGCAAGGGAATTGAGATCGTCGATTGGGAGGAAGAACGGAGGATGCCGAGCTTCAAACAATCATCGTCATCGCCAGCGGAAATACACATCCCATCGCGTGTTGCGCCTCAACGAGCTTACACGGAGACGGCACGCGAACATCGTCGCGAAACATCTCCTCCCACCCTTCGCCGCTACGATACGATGCCGTCGCACAGCTCCTCTCGCAGGAAGGAAGCGACTCCGATTCGCTCTTCTGGTCTGCGTGAGTCGGCGACACCTAGCTCGACCGCTTATGCAGCCGCACCAACATCATCTCCAAGTACTACCAGGAAGCTGTATTCTTATACACCTGCCCAAGGCGTTCGTGAGGAGGTGAATGGCCACCGCACCGTTCTTCACGAACCAAGTCGGTTCCGCGGCCGTTCCCCATCACCTCTCTCGCGACCACCAATCGGACCCAACCGACCCGTCGAAGTTGCTCCCAACTATGCTTCAACGTCCTCTAAAGCCACCAAGCCCTCGCTCCCACGCGCCGCGACTATGCACGTGGGCCCCACGCACACGGAAGAGCGCGGCCGTCGTTTGTTCGGAGAGTCGATTCCTGACTCTGCCAGACGCGAAAATGCGCGTCGACAAACGAGTTTTTCCCCTGACCAGGTCTCATATTCATCCAAGTATGGCCCCGAAGACATCAGATGGGCTCCCCGCAGCCGTGAGCCGCCAACACTCTCCAGACATTCTACCTCTGTCTACTAGTATTCGGTCTGAAGTCAAGCGGAGGAGAGCAACCACTTCCTGCGACAAGATTGACTATATGTGGTCTCTAGAAGGATTCACGATTTCCAAACGCAACCACCACGAATTCTCTTTTGTGTTTTTTACGATTCATTTGTTTATACACTATATCCATATATGCCTTTGTGTTCGTTAGAGGAGGATAAAGGCAGACACAAAACAAAGAGGACAGACAGAACGGGTTTACAGCAGAATAACCCCCGCCTCTGCACCCCTGGCATCGTTTTTTTTTCCTTATCTTTGATCATGATGGATGGTCTGATTTTCTTGTTCATGATTCTGGTTTTGCTTTCTTGGGCGGCGTTATCATCATTGGGGAATGCTTGTTCCTTGTCTACAGTCGATCTCCATGTGTCTATTGTGGGAAACCCGAGCACTTTATGATGGCTTCTGGGGCACTTTTCTTGTTCTTGTGCATTGTACACTCGCTAGGTTCGCCTTTCCATTGTTCACGGGTTCGTTTGATCAAGTATATGGTTCCAATGAAGGGACGCAATGAGGTCTTTTCCTTCATCTTCCATACCCTCCTTTTCGCCGATGTGCGTGGGAACAATGTAAATGATATGAAGCGTATTGGCCCACACTCTTATTCTCGTGTCACTTTCTTCTTTCTCTCTCTCTCTCTCTCTTTCCGCATTCATCCTATCCAGAATGACGAGAAGCTGCTGAATTATAGAGTCCCTGGTCTCTCTTCATCCCTCGAATGTTTTTAAAGGCCTTCTTGTGTACATGTGTTCTTTTGGGTACGGTTTGCTGTTTTTTTTGGTAGCTGTCTGATATTTTGAGACTGCATGTGTAAATAGGTACAAGTCAAGGGGAATACATATATAGCTACGAACGCAATGAAGAAATATGATATCTGTATATACGTTTCCATCTCTCTGATCTCTGCCGTGCGTTGTTGTCATGAGTTGGAAGTGATAAGTATGGAAAAGGTCAATACTCGATAAACTAACTCCCAGCAGCAAATTACAATGGCCAACTGTCTCTCTCGCTCTAGCAGTCTTGCTCTTGACCCGCATAAGGTTTGGGAAAGAGGGGCTAGCCCACTCACGACATGAGCATGTAGGTTATCACGTTACCATTCGCAACAAGATGTTCGCAAAGGCTTGGAAGCAGATTTCTGTAGTAAGAAAAGAGGCATGATGACTGATGATACGGTAATTGTAGTAGAGCACTGGATACCCGCTCATGCCCGCAAGTCAGCAGGCTCTCACGTAACTACGGCCGCAAGCAAGCAACAATACCCACTTTGAGCAATTCCGAGGTACGCAGCACCGTTTCTCATGTCAAGTGAGCAATTGTACGCGGAGCGGCACGGCATTACTGAGCCCCAATTTTGCGATACGACGAGACTAGCGCAACGTCCAACTCGGTGTCAAACACGTCTAGGCGCATCACGGCATAACCGTGGTGGTTGAAGCAGGACATCACGTCGAACAACCTGTTATGTGAAGAAAGTTAACAAGAACAACATGTACGTGACATGGAAGAGTCCGAAAAGAAGCAATGTGGCATGAGCTGAATTCCGTCTAGACCGCGGAAGCATGTCCGCAATCTTGATGGCGGACCAACGATTGCGCCACGCGTCGCCTCCGATGGACTGCGCGACCACGTTCTCGGAGAATGGGTCGGCCAGTGGAGAGGCGAGTGTTATCAGTGCTGAACGGAGAGAGAAAAAAAAAGAAGATGAAAAATTAGAGGAGAGACGGAACCAGGCACGGAGATGCTGGACTGAGATGCGAAGATGCAGGTTTTGAAAAATTCCGAAGGCTGGTTGAGCAAAGAGCCAATCATTAGACGCGTTGGACGATGTGCGGAGGAGGGGAATGAGTCAGGTGGCTGTACGTGATTGGCTGCGGAGATGATGTCACCTGGCGCCATAGTACACATTTGAGTAACGCTGATAGATGATGGCAATCAATTGCAACGCAGGCCAGCAACAACAGTCAATGGGCTGGAAGAGTAGCGGGAGCAGAGAGGAGAGGCAAAAGCAGCCGTGAAGTGGTGGGAAAGCATGCATGCATGCACTAGCAGGCAGGAGCCGCACGTCGATCAACGGGAATGATCGAATTATGGTGGTGGGTGCTCCTTTGGCGAAGGTTTGTGATGCACCGTGTCGTGGGGTCCGCTGGCATCCGGCGCGTGGATCTGCGTCGACACGGCACCAAAAGCGTTTGAGAGGCCGTACCATTCTGGAGCTTCAGTGGTGGGAACCCATCGTCGCTCGTTCACCAGAAAGGTATGACGGTCAAGATAGGTACACCTGTCCGCTGGCCACTGCGCGCGCGCGAGTGTGTGTACATGACCTCGGTGCCTGTTGTTGGGAAGGCAGGCTGCAGGAAAAGCGACGCGTAACATGGATGGTAGATTGATACCCAGGTAGCCACCACCGAGAACATGGCGGTCTTTGCGGGTGCTGTTGCTACATTGTGGAAACGGCTGCCTCGCAGGACAGAATGTGAAAAGACGACAGCAAGTTTGACAGATGGATCGATGGGAAGATGGACTAGAGAGCAGCAAGATGGAGAATGGAGAGATGGAGCGTTCATTCACGAAAGCTGGTAGGGCGAAGTGAGGCGGTGTTGGAAGAGGTTAGCGCCTGCCTGCCTACATGTATGTACATGCGCAGTGACCAAGTCGAGTGTGAAGAAGATGATAGCGAGACAGGTACCAGCCGCGAGGGGGAGCAGAGAGTCGAGCGAAGCATGGAAGCAGCGGGCAGTTGGGCGCGAACTGTAGATATTTATTCGGCAGTACGCAGGCAGTGGAGCGCAGACAAAAGCTGGCAAATGCAGGCAGAGAAAACAACGGCGGTGGTGGAGAAGGAAAGGCCAGAGACGAAAATTCGTTCCTCCTGAAACGGGCCCGTGCGCAGATGCCAAGCGACTGAGCTCGCTAGAGCCCAATTAATTATAAAGGCACATTCTCATACATAGCCGCGCAGCCCACATCACCCTTCTCCGACGACCCAGAGAACCCCCGGGGCCACACACTCACCCACCTCTTAGTCAGCACGCGCCAGCTTCACATCACAGCTTCCCCCTCACGTGATATCCATCCATCCATCCACACATCCTCCAGCCGTGCTGCGCTCAACTCCCATCTGACTGACCTGCCATCGCCGCCATCAACCACCGCTGCATGTCTGTTGATTCGATGGCTTTCCTGCCCCAAGCCTCACACTTTAATTTATAATTCTCCGTGCGTCTTGCGCTTGCCGCTCTACACACGTAAACATCATGAGGTACATCTACCTCGTCTACCCAATTTGGAACAGAGCATGCCCGCTAACCCTGTCTCATTAGTGGCACGAGGTTGGACCGTCTCGTAACGTAAGTCTTCTCAACATCCATCTGCCTAATCCTTTGTTTACCAGCACCTTGCACCTGTCCTTGTCGTCCATGTTCCCTCTCCCCTTCGCTTGGCGCTTGACTCCTGCATATTCAAATCCCCACCCCTACTTTCAACAGCTCCCTCGCTTACTGTATCCAGCCTGCTCGAGACCGGCAGCACCGCTCTGATTCGAAACACGGCTGCTGACCAGCTTGCCGATGTCCAAAAGCAACATCCCGAGGATCTGTTCAATCTTCTCACTCGTGTCATCCCCTATCTTCGTTCCAAGAGTTGGGAAACCCGAGTTGCAGCTGCCAAGGCCGTGGGAGGTATCGTTGCTAATGCCGAAAAGTTCGACCCCAACGATGAAGACGAACCAGTCAAATCCGAGGTGAAACCCGAGGCCAACGGTCACCCAAAGTCCGAAGAGAGCAATGGTGCTTCCAAAGAGGAAGACGATGATGCTGTCAAAGAAGAGAATGGTCACGACAATAGTGATCTCCTGGACCTTGACACGCTCGACCTTGGATCCATCCTGAAATATGGCCGGCAACTCCTTGGTAGCGCTGGGAAAGAGTATGATTACAAGCTCGCTGCCATGGACCCTACCGCGCGGTTAGCCCATCAGAAGAAGAGCCTGTCTGCACGGCTGGGTCTAGGCGGCGAATATATAGAGGACGATCTCGTGGCAGACCAAGATCTCGTGGCGCAAACGCCGGGCGCGAAAACTCCCGCAATACCACGCATTGACACGACTGTATCGAGGTCAGACAGTATCGCTTCTGCTTCGAATGCCTCCCCTCCCCCAGGCACCACTCCCATTGGCGACCAACCTTCGCTGAGCAAACGCCAGCTCAACGCATTGAAGCGCAAAGCGAAGAAAGACCTTGCCGGCAAAGCTACCAAAGTGCAGATTGTAGATCTAGGGCCAGCTCCTCGTAAGAGTTCATCGCATGAGGTACCACCACAGACACCCGCTCCCCATCCTATTAAACAGGAGCCCAAGGAAGAGAATGGGGAAGAAGGCGTTGGCGACTACTTCTCGTTGGACCGACAAGGAGGCGACGACGCGCAGAAATTCGTAAAAGAATTCAAGGGTCAACCGGCGCCAGACAAATCTTCCTTCCAAAACGAAGAGGAAGAGGAGGGCCTGGAATGGCCCTTTGAGCGCGTATGCGACTACCTGAGCGTCGAGATGTTCGATCATGCTTGGGAAGTCCGACACGGCGCTGCCATGGGTCTTCGTGAGATACTTCGTGTGCATGGCGCAGGCGCAGGACGACAAAAAGGCCACACTCGTGATCATAATGACAGGCTCAACCAGAGATGGCTCAACGACATAGCATGCCGCATTTGCTGCGTGTTCATGCTAGATCGCTTCGCGGACTACACGTCCGATAATGCAGTGGCACCAATTCGAGAGACAGCCGGTCAAACGCTTGGAGCTCTGTTGCAACATCTATCCAAGGAAAGTGTACTGGCAACGTTCAATGTCCTGCAGCGCTTAGTAATGCAGCACGACGGCACGGCGAGCCATTGGCAAGTGTGCCAAGGTGGTATGATAGGCATGCGTTATCTCGTCGCTGTACGGAACGACCTTCTCATCGCAGACGGCTCTTTAATGGATGGCGTCTTGGCTGTCGTTATCAAGGGCCTAGGTCATTTGGACGACGATGTTCGTGCAATAAGCGCAGCAACTCTCATTCCCGTAGCGAAAGAGTTTGTCGAAATGCGCCCCGAGCGCCTCCAAGAGCTCATGAACCAGGTCTGGTCATGCTTGTATAGCTTGCAGGACGACCTTAGTGCCAGTACTGGATACATCATGGACCTCTTGGCTAAGCTGTGCAGCTTTCCCCAAGTGCTGGCAGCCATGCAGCTCAACGCCCAAACCGATGAATCGCAGTCCTTCCATGAGCTGGTTCCGCGGTTGTTTCCCTTCCTGCGCCATACAATCACAAGTGTTCGCGCTGCTGTTCTCCGAGCTTTGCTTACATTCCTCAACATCGAAGATACCGCCACTGACGGATGGATCGACAGCAAGGCCCTGCAATTGATATTCCAAAACATTCTACTCGAACGTAACGATAATGTTCTCAAGCTTTCACTCCAGCTGTGGAACGCCGTTGTCGATAGTCTCGGTAGTGACAGGCTTCATACTCAACTGGAACCTGTTCTCAGCTCGATAGTCTCGCTCGCTCTCACACCCATTGGCGTATCAAGGCACCCAATCACTATGGATATGTCCCTGCTAATTCGGCCATCTGGCCAAGTGTTCGGCCCTCCCCCTAGCCAGCAACCTGTCCGCCGCTCGTCACCCCCAGCAAACGGAGAACAGACTGCTAAGCGACGTAAGAAGTCACGCGTAGGCAAGGAGGAGACTCCAACAGTTTCCTCATCATCTCATACTCATAATGTAGATGGTCCCATGATCAGTGGTGACCTTGAGCTTGTCGGATCTGAGGTTATGATTCGCTCCAGGACTTCAGCAGCGCGGGCGCTTGGAAAAGCCATGGCGCTTTGGCCCGAGGACTTGAGAGTGGAGGCCTTCAAATCTAAGCTGCTACCAGCTCTCTCATCGTCCAACTCTACGACCCAACTGACAACCGCAATGATCGTCGAAGAGTTCGGAAAGTCGCTTGAGAATAAAGATGCCTTGGCTGGTATGTTTGCGACAGCATTGGTTCCGGTTGTGGAAACGGAGAGGCCAACTGCATACGAGGATCTCGTTCCAAAGTTGCAGATTGTGCGAACCCAGTGCACGGCCTTGCTCAACATATTCAGGGATGGCCATGTCACCAATCTCCCCAACATTGCTGTCGTTGTACAGGGGGATCCTTCTGCTAGCCAATACGCGTTTGGTGTGGCGGATGCTGAGAGGATCTTGACCACTCAATATGAGAAGATGAAGAAGTCAATGACCCCAGCCGCGCGCATGGTCGCACAATCCAACCTGGATAACACCAAGAAAGAGGTGGAAACAACACTGCGTGAGGCCAGGGAGATCAAAGAGGAGCGTGATGTCCGGATCAAGGCTGCCGCAGCAGGCGCACTCATCGCATTGAAATCTCCTCCTAAAAAGATTCCACTTTCAATCAAGGCAGTCATGGATAGCATCAAACAAGAGGAAAACTTGGAGCTGCAGAAACGTTCTGCTGCCGCAGTAGCCGGATATATTGAGCACCTTGTCGCAAACAACAGAAACGGCGTCGTCAACAAGGTTGTCGGCAATCTTGTCAAGTTTTACTGCATGGAGACCGCAGAGACGCCCGAGTTCCGTCCGGATGTCGAGACTGGCATTCTTACCCTTAAGAAGGACGAAGATATCAGGGACCACCCGGATGCGGCCAAGTTCGCCCTCGAATCTAAAACAGCGCGAATCACTAGGCGTGGCGCCAAAGAAGGCCTCGAACAGACGGTCCAGAAGTTTGGGGCTCAGATTTTCGAAAAGGTGCCTATTTTGAGAGAGCTGATTGAGCGACCGATACGCAAAGCCTTCACCAATGAGACGTTGCCCCCAGAGATTGATAACGATGATCATGTCTTCGGCCAAGAAGTAGTGGATGCTCTCTCTACGCTTCGAGCACTCGTCGGCAGTTTCCACCCTGATGTGCGCAGTTTCGTTCAAGACCTGCTTCCGCTGGTCGCGAGTGCACTCCAATCAAGATTATATGTGCTTCGTTACGCAGCAGCAAAGTGCTTTGCCACGATCTGCAGTGTCATGTCTGTAGAAGGCATCACGATGCTTGTCGAGAACGTAGTTCCTTCTATCGGTAATTCTGGCAATGTTCACGCTCGACAAGGTGCGATCGAATGCATCTACCATTTGATACATGTCATGGAGGACAGCATCCTTCCTTATGTTATTTTCCTGATCACCCCAGTTCTTGGTAGGATGAGTGATTCTGACCATGACGTGCGCCTGCTCGCCACGACGAGTTTTGCTACCCTAGTTAAACTTGTACCCCTCGAAGCTGGTATTCCTGACCCGCCTGGACTACCGGAATCTTTGCTTCAAGGAAGGGAGAAGGAAAGAAAATTCGTCGCCCAAATGCTGGATGCCAAGAAGGTTGAGCCCTTCGAGATCCCTGTTGGTATCAAAGCCACACTTCGCTCTTACCAACAAGACGGTGTCAACTGGCTGGCGTTTCTCAACCGCTACAATCTTCACGGTATCCTCTGCGATGACATGGGACTTGGAAAAACCTTACAGACTCTCTGCATGGTGGCGAGTGATCATCACATGCGCGCAGAAGAGTTCGCTAAATCTGAGGATCCGAACTGCCGTCGTCTACCTTCACTCATTGTATGCCCACCAACATTGTCTGGGCACTGGCAGCAGGAGATTCGACAGTATGCGCCATTCCTTTCTTGTGTTGCTTACGTCGGCGCTCCCGCAATTCGTTCGCAACACCGTGAGCAGCTCGACAAGGTGGATATCGTGATCACTTCTTATGACATTTGCCGTAATGATAACGACCTTCTCAAACCACTCAATTGGAATTACGTTGTGCTCGATGAGGGCCATCTGATCAAGAATTCCAAGTCAAAAACCAGCCAGGCCGTCAAGAATTTCCAGTCAAACCACCGTCTCATTCTCTCTGGTACGCCTATTCAAAACAACGTGCTTGAACTGTGGTCCCTCTTCGATTTCCTCATGCCTGGCTTCCTCGGTTCGGAGAAGGTCTTCCAAGAACGCTTCGCCAAACCGATTGCTGCATCGCGGTTTGCTAAATCATCATCCAAAGAGCAAGAACGCGGTGCGTTGGCGATCGAGGCCCTACATAAGCAGGTCCTCCCTTTCCTTCTCCGGCGTCTCAAAGAAGAAGTGCTCGACGATCTACCACCTAAGATCATCCAGAACTACTACTGCGATCTCTCTGACTTGCAGCGCAAACTCTTCGAGGACTTCACCAAGAAAGAAGGCACGGAGATTCAAAACAAGGCTGGAAGTGCGGATCGCGAAGCCAAGCAGCACATTTTCCAAGCCCTCCAATACATGAAGAAACTCTGCAATTCTCCATCTATGGTTATCAAGCCCAACCACAAGCAATATGATGCCACGCAGTCGTACTTGAAGAAGAACAATACGTCGCTTGAGGACATTGCACATGCGCCTAAGCTCAATGCACTCAAAGACCTTCTAGTAGATTGCGGTATCGGCGCTACAGACATGGAACCAACCAAGGCAGGCGCAAATGGCGATCTGCCTGAAGCCGTCTCTCAACATCGTGCTCTCGTCTTTTGCCAGATGAAGGAGATGCTGGATATGGTTCAGTCTCAAGTCCTAGAGAAGCTGTTGCCCAGTGTACAATTCATGCGCCTCGATGGAGGTGTTGATGCAACGAAGCGACAGGATATCGTGAACAAGTTCAATTCGGATCCTTCCTACGATGTTTTGCTGCTCACAACTTCTGTTGGTGGTCTTGGCCTTAACCTCACAGGAGCCGACACGGTCATCTTCGTCGAACACGATTGGAACCCGCAAAAGGATATACAAGCAATGGACCGCGCGCATCGCATTGGCCAAAAGAAGGTCGTTAACGTGTACCGAATCGTCACTCGTGGTACCCTTGAAGAGAAGATTCTGAAGTGAGTCTAGTGTGATGATTTTTATCCAATGACATGCTAACATATTTCAGCCTCCAACGATTCAAGATCGATGTCGCTTCGACGGTGGTCAACCAACAAAATGCAGGCCTCGGCTCTATGCAAACAGATCAAATTCTCGACCTCTTCAATGTCTCAGCCGATAGCGCCGAGCCTGGTGCATTACCTCCGCCGCCTACCAATGCAAACGGTGAGGGCGGCTCGGGCATTAGCGAGAACGATGCGGTGGATGCGGAAGGCAATCTGCGAGAGAAGGGCAAAAAGGGCTTCCTAGACGAGTTGGGCGATTTGTGGGACGAGAATCAGTACGAAGAGGAATTCAATCTGGATGGTTTCTTGGGCAAGATGAAAGGTTGAGATCCTTTCATGGGTGTTTGGTCCGGAAATGCTGGTCTGGAGTGTGAGAAGTTGGTTCACTCTCGAGTTGCAAGGGAGCTATTGACCAGGTTTGTTCTTTCAACTGGGCACTGTACTTCTTTTGCCCATTTCTTTGGTTTTTAATGGGGACAGCGGTAAAAGCATCTTCTTGCTTGCATTTGGGGCGCCTGGGGCGTTTCTGTCATTCTTCCGTTCCTCTTCTACGGGCTTCCCATTCAGGTGAACTCGACAGGAATTTGGTTCGGGTTCCAGGGAGAAAAGAAGTTTCACAACTTTTCTTGTATGTACGATGTATGACGCCTTTTCTTTCTTCGTGTACGATTGTTCCCATTCGGGAGGTTCTTTTCTACTTTAGCATGGCGCTGGATATGGATGCGTGGAACACAATTATATCTCAACATCCTTCCCTCCTCTTCCTCTGGCCCTCCAGTTCTCTGGCAATATCTCTCGATCGTTTTCCTCGCGACACATGATGAAATCCAGAAAGACAGCCTCCTGCGAAGAATCACTATTCATATTGAGGACGAATCTCTCGTTGCACGAATTTGAGTAAGTCCTTGGTTGTTTCAAATACCTTTCTTTTCTATCGTCCTTGTACGATGTGGTCGAACGTGTATACTTTTGACTATCGACTACTCAGGGTTTGAAAGCTTTATGTATATCCAATGATAAACTGCCACCCTAATCCAGAGTCCAGACCGAGTACATCCATAGCTTGTCATCAAAATATCAAACACCAGCCAGCAAATCCGCAGAATCATCATTGACCTTCGCCTTCCCCCTACCCCTACCACCACCTCGCCCACCTCTCTTTCCTTTCCCCCCAACCTCCTTCTCCCAAGCATCTACATCAACAACAACGCCTTCAGGCACATTTCCTTCGCTCATAAGCACTTCCCATCCACCAGCATCCCCGCGTTTCCCTCTCTTCTCCACGCGCGAGAAGAACTCGCAACCCAACACGCCATCATCATTCCCAGACGAAAGCAGTACGCCATTCTCGCTGACGAACCACGGGATCTCAGCCTCAAGCGCTTTACGGATATCGATGTAGATAAGCACTGTCGACGAGTTGCGCATACCGGAAATAACCGGTAACGCGGCTTGAGTTGTAGCAGTAGTAGTAGATGCCGGATCCACGGTTTTGAAGCCCGCAGGTAGCCCGGACGCGAAATGCATGTGCGTGCGGCCCATGCTACGCATTCCGCCGGACTTCAGGATGAGAGACCATGCGCGCTCGTCGGTACCGTGGACGACTGTTTCGGGGAGGGCGGGCGAGGTGAGGGTGAGTGGGGTGAGGAGGCCTTCTGTGTCGACTTTGATGGAGTGACCTTGGTTGGCGCGGATTAGGTAGTCTGCTGGATCCTCGGAAGATTCGTCGATAGAAGGGAGGGGTGGTTGAGGGGTTTCGCCTGGATTTGCTTCTTCGGCCGCTTCGACTGTTGAGAGAGAGGATGCGGGGATCATGGAGAAGCGTTGCTTGTCGTTTGTTGCCACGAGTTCCTTGAGTTCGGGGAAAGTTATCTTTAAGGATTTCAGAGCGTTTGTGTTGAGCTGGATGAAATTTCTAGTATTAGCAAGCTTTCATCTTTCATGCTTCTCCTTGGGATGAAACCTGGCTCTATCATGCTCTTTGGTACTTTTGAGAGGCAGTCAAGGGAGTTGGATTTCCATTGTCGTTCAACCCCAGTGATGGCCAGCGGAAGCCCTTTCTCCAAGCAATCACTCTCAACAGAAACAAGAGAAACTAAGCAGAAGAGAAGCAGAACACAGAGAACTAAAGTAATTAAGAAAAGGTCAACTTACGACATCAGCAACCCCGACATACCCCCCTTTTCCCAACTTCAACCCCTCCGAGCCAGCCCCGTGCCTCAATAGCCAACTGACCTTCCTCGAAACCTGCTGTTCGCGTGACATCTCCCTCTTGCCACCTCTACCGCGTCCGCTGCCACCGCGAGCCATTTCTCTTCGCGCTTGCGACAATGCGCTTTGCAGGAGATTTTTTGGTGGAATTTTGGGAGAGGATGTACAGGCGGGCAGCGAGTGCGTTTGGTGAAGTAAGCCCAGTGGCGTATCTCTTATTCTGTTCCGTTTTTTTTGTACTTGACCTTTGGAAGCTTCTTCGGTCTCTTTATTGTTTGTTTTGTGTGTAGAACAAGCGAATAATGTATGTTGAGGAATGTGAAAGTAATGTAATGGAGAGTACAGGTTGTATGCGACTGATGCTTGAGCAGAGGTCGAAATCAGCCGAAGTTCAGAAATGGTCCTTCGAATGCCCTTCTCCCAGCACGCCAGTAATTCAGGATATCGTATGAAAATAGCAATTGTGGAGGTGAAGGGTGCTGCTGGTTATTGGTTCATACGTTAAGAGAGAGGTACACCGTGGTGGGGATGGGAAGGGCGGAAGAAAATAAGGGCGCTTACTCAGCAAGTAGGGCAATCTTGGTATGTATGAGCCTCATGTCACTGCCACAAAGAGCCACAATTACTCATTATAGACGGTACACACGTGTACGCAGCTGGTACCTGCGCTTTCTCTAGCACGCGAGCTTTAAATCGACGTCGGTTCAGCGTATCCATTGTTAGGCCAAGACCCACCCCAGCACTGTCCAAATGCCATCAGTATCAACAACACTGGGCGAGCTCCCAACATCAAGCTGAGTGCGATGGGATACATCTAGAGCACAACATATGGAAAAAAAAATCGGAGCTTTGTAATGCGCTTTGTTTTCGCTTGGTCAGAGGCTGCTGGGAGTCAAATCGTATATCATCAACACCAATACGGCCGCCGTCCGGAGTCGGCAATTTGATTAGGGGCACTAGTTAAGATAAAGAATATGGAATGATGATGCACTTCATTTGCTTTCATATGGATATACCTCCTTTTGGAGCTCTTCGCAGGAGCAATGCGAGCGAGCCGTCTAATAAACACCAAGAAAAGTTGATAAGACTAAACAAAACTTGAGAGAAAATGGGAAGAAAACATTTAAAGATCAATGAAATGTGCCCGAACATTGGTATCGTTCCCCGCAGGTAGCATGAAACAATAAAACCGCTGCGGTTCCATGCAAATCCCAATGCCATATCAAACATAGACAAAAGTAAAAAGGAAAACGCCAGCATACATGTGTCAAAAACATTTGGGGTATCCCGAAGCGAAAATGGATGAACCGGTACGTTCTGCGAGGAGGTCCCGCTCTCGCTGCCACGGAGCCAGCCTGGCTCAATGCAATGCAAAACTTCGTTTCATGATGCCATTTTTTTCTTGTGAAACCGAACCATTCCAATTCCGCACGAGAAACGCCGTTTTTCTGCTGCTGTGAATCGAATCGTCGCTGAAATGTGAGATAAATGCCGCTTAAGTCAATTTATAGATCTCGGGCCTTGAATCGCAGAATGATCGGGTTCCAAACGCGCAGCATACTGACAATGCAACGCGAAACTCAGCGGTCTTCTGTACCCAGATCGTTGGCATCTTTTTCTTCGAGTTCCTCCTTCCCGAAGCTGTACAAACGTTTACTGCCAGTTTCCCATACCTGGCCCACCCGAACCATATTGCGAATTTCTAGGGTAACTGGCACCAGCACTCCCAGCAGCAGGATTGCCACTGAGACCGAGACCTTGATCCATGAATGTCTGGGCCCACTCTTCTCCACTGAATAGCTCATCGAAGCTCATATTACCGCTTTCTTGATTCGGTATGTGTGCTGATTGGAGCCCCGGGGGTGGGTTGAAACCTCGTTGCTGCGCTCCTTGCATTAGATACATGGGCATAGGTCCCAATAATTGCACCTCGTTGTCCGGCCTCCGCGGTCCCATCTGTACGTTACCCAGTCCACCATATGTTGCAGGGTTTGGTTTGATTTCGACACCGGAAACTTGATGAAAGGGCAATTGCGTTATGTTGGGAGATCCATGCTTATATACAAAGGGTTGCGGGTGAGTATCTTCGAATGTGGTCATTGCTTGGTTCGGATATTGCATGGGATCGGCCGTGGGGAACATCATGGTATTGATATCAGACAGTGGAACACTGAGACCGGAATGCTCTGGGTAATTATGCGACAAGGGTGTCATGGGGAAAGACGGTCCGGGCCTTGAGGGGTGGCTGGGACCAGCGGCCATTCCATAGCTACTCATACTACTAGGGGTCACAGAAGTGGGCGTAAGACTGGGTGTTGTTTCGAACAGATCGGGGCTTGATTGAGAAGGGGAGTTGTAGGCCGGATCCACGCCGAGATTCGCGAGATGGGCCTGTGATAGAGGAAGCGCAGTTCGTTTGGTACCTGCCGTGCTCTCCGGGAAGGTCTGAGCACGTCTCGGGCTGGTGGCAACAAAGTCTGAGTCTTGCTTGAGAAGGTGTGGACGACTTTGCATAGATTGTGGTAAGCTCTCCTGTCTACGTTTCTTACTCTCAACACTGTCGCTTGCTTGTGTGACTGAGTCGGGTAACTTGTCGAAGATTGCCTACCACCCTGTTTAGTACGAACTGAGACCACGAAGAAGGGCAGTCATTCTTACCTTGAGCGTGGCCGAGCACCTATCAGCCGCCAAGCTACGTTTCGCAAACTCGTCTAGTAGTTGCTTGCCTTCTGCGGCATCCTTGAACAGTTCATAGCTTGTGGGACTATCTGGGTGCTCCAAGACAAAGTATAATAGAGTCATGATAGCAAAGAAAGTTGTATACATTGAAAACCAGTAAGCACCAATGAGTAAATCTTTCCTTTTCATTTCAGCCATGATATGGATGATGTTACGAGAAACACTGACGCAGGCAGACGCGCAAGCGAAGGCCCTTTGGTCAACAGAGGGCTTATCTCTGTTCGATTGGGAGACGTAATGCAGAAATGGCCGATATAGAAGTAGCTGGGCATGAGCAAAAGCCATACGTAGGAGTTGTTGTACCCTAGAGACATCAGTGTCATCGTCATGGAGGTTTGCAGCGTCACGTACCTGATAATGATTGGGGGAGCTTCGCCTCCAGGCTTCAGCGCCATTGGCAGCTCCTCTAGCCAATTTTGCATGTCTTGTTCTATCTCTCGTATCTTCGAATAGCTCACTGAGTAAGTAACCGAGTACTTACCGCCTGACTGGGTGCCTTTCGTAGGATAGACATATTTGCAAACTTTTGCCAGGACTTGGATGATTTTTGCGTGCGCATTGGAAGCGGCCATGACAGAAATAGAACCCTTGGGCATGGTTAGAATCTCCGTCTCGGTGATGTATTCGTCGTCCACTTCGGTTGGATAATCCTGATCAACATCTTCATCATCGAGGAAAAGGGGAAGGCCAAGCATTGCCCCCACGTATGTGTCCATCCGCCAGATCACCCAAAACAGACGTTTGCGAGTTTCCGCCTCGATTGGAGTGAAGTTGATATTGAACGACCGGTGGAGTCCCATGCGCAGAGCAGATCGAAGTGCTACGCCAATATACGAATAGCAGGTAGATAGTTTCGCGGAACTCTGGAGGAACTGTATCATGAACACAATGGCTTGTAGGGAAATCAGATCGCGACAGTCTGCGATATCCAAGAGTTGCCGTGAGGCTCGAAAGTATTTGTAACTGTGCAATGTCAGACGGGCTTTTCCTGCGAAACAAAAAAAAAGATGATTTGGATTTGCATCTTACCCTTCCTCGATTGTGGCTTCGTAGTGCGACTGATCGGTATCAAGATCATTCTTGGAAAAGAGAGTGCCCAAGGCGAGTACTGCGTACAGGAGAGGCAGGAAGCTGTTTTCAGCATTGTTGTAATTTTCTGGCGAGGTCTCGTATATACGATCCAAAGACTTGTAGAATGAGGGTAGATGCACAACCCGAAGCATTGCGCCAGCGTCAATCAGAGCCTTGTCACACAGTCTCTTGGCTTCTTTCTTGAGTGGCAAATCGGTGCCAGGCGGATTGACGTTTGACGAGTCGGCTGGTGACAAATGGTTTGAACTCGGCGAATCCAGGATTTGAGGGTGGAGACGGTTGTTGACGAACAGCGGTGATTTGGAGGCTTTGTCGCCAATAATGTGGCTAAAGTCTTGTTGGATTCGTCGGATGAAGCTCAAGCCCGAGGAATGCCCATGGTAGTCCCAATTACCATCCTCATCCAAATCGAGCTGCCCTGTCGCGTGTACCATGGACTCCAAATGCGAATCCGCCACCTCCGCTTTTGCGCCATCGTCACGGCGTTGAGCCACGCGAGGAAGCTGTGGCTGTCGCGACACGCCAGGTGGGAGCTGGGGCAGAATGCCGCTCTGGAGATGGGCGTCGATGCTCCCGTCATTGAGGTCGAGAGTGGGGATGATCAAGGATAAGATGCCTTTTGCGCGCTTCAGTTGGGTCTCGAGGGCCTCAATGTACTGGGGTGCGGCTGTCCGGCGACGGTTTGATGGTTGATCGTATGTACATTCTGCGCCACACGTGGGAATAAGCTAAGCGCATGGGTAAGTGGAGATGGAAAGCGACATACCATAGCTGTAGACTGTGCAGTGGGTGCAAGGCTGCTTGCCGTCGCATTTAATCTTCTTTCTTCGGCACTCGTCGCTGAACCATGGTCAGTCGAAAGGAAGAGAAAGGATTGTGCAGAGGTGACGGGATGATGATGGATGGGGCGGGCGGAGAGGGTTCGGCGGGCGGCGCAGACGTACCATGCGCGGGTTACTCTTCTTCGCTTCTGCATTGGCCCTGTGGCAGACCTCTGTGGCTGATCATCCGCATCATCGTTGATTGGCGACGTCTGGTCGTCCACATCTTGGGAATCTTTGAGGTCGAGAGAGTCGATTTGGGCTGGATCGGTCTGAGGAACATCAACATCCGGGGAGGTGGAAGCGTCCATTGTGTGGCACACGGGGGAAGCATTACAGACTGGGGGTGTGCAGGCTAAGAAGAAATTCAATCAGTGTCATCGGCGGGCTTGACTAAGCAGCGGGGAGGGGCGGTGGAAGGCACAGAATAGTGGAACTGGTTTATGGCGGACCCTGGCACTGCTGGGATAGCGTGCAGCGAAGCGTTGGTATTTTTCAGTTGGGGCCCGTCTGCTCGTCAGTAGGCGCCGTGGGTTGTGTACAGCGCTGCACTGGTCTTGCCGTATGCGTAGGCCTTGCCATGCCCAAGCCTTGCTGACTTGTGCGCCGTCTTGGATTATATCTATGTATGTATGAAAATGGCCGCCCCGTGTGAGGCGAGAAAACTCGAGGGCACGACTGCGGGGTCCGTCGCTTTTCGCTGCTCGACGAGCAACATGCGTCACGTCCGCCTCTCTCTCTCGTAGGCATGCTTGGCCGCGAGCGCGCGATGACAGGTTCATTGTCACGTCCCAAGTAGGAACAGCACAAAGAGGCTAGCGGCGGAGATAGGAAAGCCAGCATGCAGCAGTTTGAACGCCAAGTTCTTCGCGTATCTGCAGGCGCCTCATTCGTGAGTTGTGGCGTCACAGCATTATTCCTGGCCAGCTCATCCACACCACTGCCACAGGTTCGTCCATCAGCCGCCGAGACAGCGAACAAGCACGTCGAGCAATTGGGTTTCGAGGGCGCGGCGGGGCCAAGTTCCAAGGCAGCGTAGCCCGCTGTGGCTGCCTTCGGGCTAAGACGCCCTTCGAAAATCGACGACGAGGCAGCATTCTGGCAAGGACTCGCTGTAACCGAGTATTGATTCCCCGTTGTATTGCAGCCGGTGGTGCTAGGAACTTCTTTGGCCGTTCTGGTTGCAGTTCGAATCAATCTTCCGGGGTCGTGCCCATTCCAGCAGGATCATCACGGATATGTCGGCAGTCCCAGCCACTGAGCATGGAGCGTGGCGCTTGATGCCAAGAGCACCTCTTCTTCTCACCTGTGTGTCGTCCGTGCTATGCTGCCTCCACCCAACGACCGGCTCAAGCGACCGGCCGGCCAGCAGTCCGCTCGGCGAATCATGCCCCCAGTGGCGTATCGTCACTGCCACTTATTATCCACACACGAAACCCACTCCGCTAGAGAGGCGCGCCGAGAGAACCAGGTCGGACAGCGAGCAGAGGCTGAAGGTTGGGGGAGGGGGAAGGTTGGGTGTGCCATGGACAGAGGTTGGAGGAAGGGAGGAGGTGGAAGCCATGGCACGGCACGGCAAGCCATGGCACCGAAGGAGCCATTTTGCCCCGCCTACTTGGTACATACTACTTACTGCCTTCTCATCCACTTGCACACACTGCGAGCTGCCTGCAAATTGTGTGCGTGTGTTACTGCGAATTGCAATTGCACTGACCGCTGGATACCCCCACTCAAAGAAGGCATTTTTCCGTATTATCTACCTACTATGCCGCCTGCCTACATGTACCGTATCAGTGTGTAGTATACATATATCGTCATCGCACAATCGCCCGTCTAATTATGTATACGGCAATCCATCCATCCTCGCAGGAGGCGTTACTTACCCAACGTAACAGCAGCATGTACGGGAGCCCGACAATCCAACCTCGCAGCACATCTTTGCCTATTCTCGCAAACATCCCGTCCATTCCATCCGAGCTTGGATTGCTCATTCTCAGCCCCCTCCGACAATGCCATCAGGAGACGGGTGTATGTGTATCCACTCCCTTGGCATCTGATTATCTACATACCGACCATGTACGGTCTCTGATGTGTGGCGACATGTTTGCTATGTGCGACATGGAGAGCCACAGCGCGCCCTCTTCTGTTGCGCTAGGTAAAAGCTAAGTGCAAACCCAATTCACTCGTCAATTGCTCCTCCCCCCCACTTCGCATAGTCAAATAGGTACATTGCCAAAGTGCTTCATGGGAACCGTGAACTGGTACATGAATATAAAAACACTTGCCGTTGTGGTCCCGAGTCTGTGGTCTTTCCTCCCACCAAAAAAAAACTTCTGCCCATGCGCAATGCATCCATCTACCGGTGAGTGGTTCCGCGAAGGCAGCCTCGTTCAACGTGTACTGTACACTGAGTGGACTATCAAGGGGCAGGACCAGTAGTGGGTCAAACTCACATAAGAGGCAAGTATCCCTGCCGGTGCATTTACATTAATACCACTTTGCAGTCGTCACGAGGGAGTGAATCGGCCCCAGACATCCTATGACAAACTGCACGAACCGGCCTTTTCATCGGTAATGACAGCTTCCATCGATGCGAAGCGCCAGTTCTCGATCTCTGAGACCATTCCCCCCCTCCCTCCTCCCCTTGAAAGCTTGCTTTTGCCCGTGGGGAATGCAAGTCTGGTTAGCGTGCATCGTTCACAGGAATCAGCGAGCCTGTACTGCTCCACTGCTCTGCAAATGTGCTATTTCGAGCGGTGGCTCAAATTACGTATTAGGCATTAGTGGTGTGGCGCCACTAGATATCCCGCGAGTCGCCAAGTGATTTGTCTGTGTCTAGGGTCACATTTGTGGCGTCATATGTGATGCTGTGTTCAATGAATCCGCGCGGAAACCCATTTTCTTCACTATTGGAATCGCGATTGTTTTGGTGTATAGCTCAGGAACGAGATACGACGTCTTCTTTTCATATTCGCCAAATTCAACTCTATGCAATTCTTCTGAGCTACTACATCCACTGCTCGTACACATTCACTCGGGACTGTAATTATCACAATCCAGTCTTCATTCGTCCGTTCTACCGGAGCGGAATGCGGGACCATATTCTAGGCAGGTAAGACGTTGGGCAAGTGTGGCTTCGAAGCCTAGGCATCTGGGCACTGTGTTTCATTAGCCTGCAGAGTGATCAAGGGGGACGTGGACTTGGGTTGGAAGTTGGGTCAAACACGCCGCGTTGGGCCGAGACGCCAAACTAGCGGTGTGTGGCACAGTCTGTGGCTGCAGAGATACCTGCAGACATCTAGGCACAATCCGGTTTGCTCTTCTTTCATGCCTGGGCGTCAGGTCTCATTATCTAGGCACAGTTGCCTCGGTGTCATTGAGCATCGTCGTTCTCGTACGTTGGAGACCCGCAAAGATAGTGACATCCGAATCCATAGCTCATTGCAAGGGACTGTGTATCACGCTTCTAACTACGCAATTGGGTATATCGGGATGTGTCAACTCATCTTGAAGAGGTATCACAGATGATGCTGTTCTGAACGGGCAGGGAAGTTTGGTTACCGGGTTGCCTTGTTATGTCCAGCTTGTTCCAATGGATTGGAGCACCATCACACGGTATCTGTTTCTTCCCAACTGAGTCAACAGTGAAAAACACGCGCCCGGGTCTACGTCTGAACAATGCAATCCATAGCAATCTTCAATCACTCAAGGGAGCCTAGATCAAAATTTCTCTGTACGGAAAGCTATACTCGGAATGGCTTACAGAACGAGCGCAAAGTGGACACTGCTGACGAGTCCACCATCCACCCGAAGGACTGACGCATACCTACCCATTTGAATTACCTCTCGACCGAATCTGTGGTTAATCCCTAGCACATGTGGTCAAGCAACACAACGTCACACGGAGTAAAGCATTGGATTCCTGGCCATTTACTGAAACGTCACTGCGTGTAGTGTACTCAAAATGTAATTTGCGGTCCAGGGGTTAAGAAGTCCGAAGGTGCGAATGGCACTCATCTGTCGCAATTCTCAAACGGCCAATATTGGCTCTCTCTCGCGCGCGGAGCCACGAATGTGATGATCGAGTCTAGACACCCGATTCTGGACCGGCGCGTATCCTTTGAACATATCTCATATCTTGAAACCCACAATTTTTGGATGGTCTCGAGACGTGGTCCTGTATAGCACGAAGCGATATATCTCTACTAAACGCCCTGGTCATCGCAGATGTAATTACACGTCCAGTGATTGAGGTCGATACACACATCGCCAGTCCTAATTTCATAGTTTTAGTAAAACAGGTTTCTGCATGTAGATGAACGTAAATATTGTTACAAACCCCATCCTTGTGTCCTGTTCAACGAACATGAGATACAAAATATGGTGAAGAGGGACTTGCCGGCCATGTGATGCTTGTACACGGAACATCCTATAGTACCGCCCAGTTCACAGAGCGTGAGATAGATTATAGAACCCTGGCATCCCGGTGAAACCTGTAGACCGTCCTGTATACCAGGAGTTTTAATGTCACAGAATGTTCGACACTGCGTATATACAACATGTGGGGTGCAGGCACGACAGTTTGGTCTTCGATGCGCACCAGGAGAACGTCCTACAGCACCTCCCAGCTACCAGGTTAGAGAACAGGATATGGGGCCAATGGCCTCTCTGATATGTGGTATACCGCTCTACATATAAGGGAGTACAGGTTAACAGATAGATTTAGCCCAGGTCGCGAAATTGTAGGAGCAAGGAATGGAAGAAGAGCTGCATGTCTGAATTGAGACATTTTCGGCGGGTAATACACATATTAGTATTCTTGTTGGTATGCTCGATCAGGCAAAGAGATCATTACCCTAAGTACGATGGCTTTGGTTTTTGAGGTTAAACAGCGAGGGCCATGTTTCACCGGGATGTTGCAAATGTTTTCATCGCTACGACAGTTCGTTCTGGAGAGGAGACGGTAGCTTTGACGCACGCATATCGCCGCGGCTCTTTCTCGTAGAAGGGATATGTCAACTCCCGAGTGATATTATCATCGCAACAGTAGGAATACATTGTGAATGGTGACAGCGAAAGAATGTTTTGGTATTGGACGCTGGAGAATAGGATCTGAGGATGCTGAGATTGCCGGCTCCACTTTATTATTGTTTAGTTACTACGTCTGTATCAACGGGAGTTACTGGGTGGACTGTGAGAATATTTGCCCTACAGAGACCCGAAGTATCTTTTTGAGTCGGCATACCAGAACCAGCAGCGATATTGGCCACATTCTATTCGCACATGAGTGGGCGTCCAAATTCTGCATTACGTGCGTAGTGTTCTGCTGAGCAAATTCCACTTTCGCTAAAAAGAATGATGGAAATCGTGTTGGCTACCGAAGCGAATATGTGAAAGTAAACAGCACATTGCATGGCGAACGACATTTTCAGATGTTGAAAAACATTTCTCATCTGCAGAATACTGAATGATTCAAGCTTCATATAACACATGTATGTGAACATGCACGAGTCTCTCGCATGTTGTTTAGTACTTGAGAAGTCGTTGCTTGAATGTACCCTTCGCGCGTTGGCCCAAAGCGGCTTAGTCATGTGCGTTCGGCTAATAGCGCACACTCATTCTGACAATGAGACTCCGAGAATCTCTTGACAACCTCACGACCACCACAACAACACTAACCACAGCATTACCATCGAGCACCATGTCGACCTTTGAGCCCGTCATTGTACGTTTACCTCTCTGCTCTGCAAGACTACACATCCGTGTGCATCCCCCGGCACGCACCGCACCGTCGACCTTCAATTGCACACAACCTTGTTCAAAACCACAATGAGGAGCTAACTTTGCCAAAGGTCATCGACGGCAAGGGCCACCTGCTCGGTCGCCTGGCCAGCACGGTCGCGAAGCAGTTGCTCAATGGCCAGAAGATCGTTGTAGTGCGCTGCGAAGCCCTCAACATCTCCGGCGAATTCTTCCGCGCGAAGCGTACGTCTACCCTTTCCCACGGCATAAACTCCACCCGCAGGCGATCCACAGGCATGCAGTAGGACATATTCGGGATATTCGGAGAAGATCGCCTGGAGACTACACGCATGCCTGCGGTATTGCGGGTGACGACTGCTACTTGGTCGAACTGTCGACAGATCATAACGAGTACTGACTCCTGTACAGTCAAGTACCAGGCTTTCCTCCGCAAGCAGACCCGATACAACCCCACTCGTGGTGGTCCCTTCCACTTCCGCGCTCCTTCCAAGATGTTCTGGCGAACTGTCCGTGGCATGATCCCGCACAAGACTGCTCGCGGTGCCGCTGCCATGGAGCGCCTCAAGACCTTTGAGGGTGTTCCTCCCCCATATGACCACAAGAAGCGCGTCGTCGTTCCCCAGGCGCTCCGTGTTCTCCGATTGAAGCCCGGACGCAAGTACTGCACTGTCGGCCGTCTCGGACACGAGTTTGGCTGGAAGTACCAGGATGTTGTCTCTCGGTACGTTATATTGAATCCGTTGTGCATATGGAATACTAATACGTTAATAGTCTTGAGGAGAGGAGGAAAGCCAACGGTGCCGCCTACTACGAGCGTAAGAAGCAGGCACGGAAGCAGTTGGCTCAGGCCCAGAAGGAGGCCAAGGTTGACGACAAGGTCAAGGAGCAGCTCGCTTCTTACGGTTACTAGGGGACGGTGGATGATAGCGACAGTGTTTTCAAGGGCTGACGATCGTCGGCGCTAATGCATTTGTCTCATGAGATCTGTTCAATTTCGACCATTGGGAGGGGTGTCCGGGCAAAAAGAGCTTAAAAGTGCTCACGAGTTCATGGGTTCCTTCACGGTCAGATATCCTCTTCGCCTTAGAAGAAACAAACAATGAAAAATCTCAGGGCTGCATGGCATGGTTTGTTAGATGTGATGGCGTTGGTTTTTATGTCAATCTATTCGGTGTTTACAATATTTGCGATGTGTCTGCGCATACTTGCCCATTTCTTACCCAGACGAATCGTGGATTGACTGTCTGACTGTTCGCTGTGGATTATTGGGAGCGGGCAAATTGATATCGCGGCCGGAAGTTGTAAGCCAAGGTTGTGGACCGGAAGGCTGACCTCGGTTATGATCTCATCTATCCTTACCCCAGAATCTGTCGGATACCTCCGCAATTTACTTCCGCTCCTGCGCAACAAGCTTAAAACAAGACCCCTAGCACGCCTATGCTTCCAGCTCAAGTCAATTGCTTGCCCAAATTCTTTCCAAAGGTTTAGTCGACAGCTTTTCCTGGTTCCATACGTCTACGCCCTTCCCACCTTGCACCTGAGATATCGGTGGACCCTCGCAGCCAAGAGACTGAACGCCCAAAATCAGAGCCAAATAGTCGATCATGTCACCTCTCGATCGCCTACAGAAGCTTGCCTCACACTTCACGTCTGCAAATCCAGTACCAGGTTCCGATAACGGTATACAACCCGGCGATAGTCATGAATACCACCACGGAAACAACTTCCACTCACTGAGCCCTTCGGCATTTCTGTGGAGAGCAGCATGCATTGAACCAAATGTTTGTCATTGTCTACCACAAGAATGAGATTGAAGATAGACACGGTTCTTACATTACTTACAGACTACTGCCATATATCACAAATCCGCCTCTGACTTAATCCTCCGACGATCTTACCTTGAAACCGCCCATCGAGCTCGCGGACTTGCCTATTTCCTATTGAAACACTCGTATAAGCGCGTCGGAATCCTTTGTACCAACACGCCGGCTTTCCTCGAATCTATGTTTGGTATAGCTGCTGCTGGCGCCGTATCCGTGGGAGTAAACTACCGCCTTAAAACGGACGACATTGCGTACATATTTGACCATGCAGATGTAGACTTGATTATTGTAGACAAAGAATTTAGAGACCTACTCACGAAGTTCGAAACCACGGACAAGGGTGCACAGGTGAAGCTTCTTGTCGACACCGATACTGATGGGCAAGAAGGAGGATACGACAAAGCTGTCCAGGAAGGGTTGGAGTACGATCGTGAAACAGGGAGCAACGGATGGGGTGGACTAGAAACTCAGACAAAGGATGAGAACAGCGTGATTTCTTTGGCATACACGAGTGGGACGACAGCAAGACCCAAAGGTGTGGAGTACACTCATCGTGGATGCTATCTTGCAGCGTTGGGCAACGTTATTGAGTCTGGCCTCAATTATCACACTGGGCGTGCAAAATACCTATGGACTTTACCAATGTTCCACGCAACGGGATGGACGTTCCCTGTAAGTGTGCAGCAGTTATAATTATGGATCATCCAACTAAGACTACGAAGTGGGCTGTAACAGCAGTACGGGGTACCCACTATTGTTTACGGAAAATTGACTACAGCGAAATCTGGCGACTACTTAAGACGGAGGGAATCACCCATTTCAACGCCGCTCCCACAGTCAACACGTTGCTCTGCGCTTCGAAAGAAGCGGAGAGACTACCACAATCTGTGCGTGTCACTGTCGCCGCCTCTCCACCATCTGCGTGGCTCTTCGAACAAATGACGAACCTAAATCTACATCCAGTCCATGTCTACGGTCTGACGGAGACTTACGGTCCCATAACGAAAGGCTATCACATGCCAGAATGGGAGGAGATGGATGTCAAGGAGAAGTACGCAAAGATGGCACGACAAGGGCATGGGTTTGTGACAGGCCTTCCTGTTCGCGTAATCAAGACAGGCGATGATGTAAAGGAGGGTGAATTGATCGAAGTAAAGAAAGATGGGAAGGAGATTGGAGAGATCGTATTTGAAGGCAACATTTGTGCAAAAGGGTACTTCAAGGATGCGGAGGCTACCAGGAAACTCTGGGCGGGTGGCGTGAGCCACTCCGGAGACCTCGCTGTTTGGCATCCAGATGGAGCGATTCAAATCCTGGACCGTGCAAAAGACATCATCATCTCCGGTATGCCACTCACGCTTATTAGTTGATGAACATCAAAGGATGATTGCTGACATACGACAGGTGGTGAAAACATCTCCTCCGTGGCTCTCGAGTCTATGCTCGCTACTCATCCTTCCATTCTTGAAGTTGGCGTCGTCGCAGTTCAAGATGAGCAATGGGGCGAGCGACCGAAGGCATTCATCACGGTCAAGGAAGGTGAAAGCACCAGAGGAGAGGACGTGATCGACTGGGCGAAACATAAGAGCGATATCAGCAGGTTTATGGTACCTAGAGAGGTGGAGGTGGTGCCCGAGTTGCCCAAGACGAGCACGGGGAAGTTGAAAAAGAATGTGCTCCGGGATTGGGCCAAAGGAAAGAGAGATGCCGAGTAGATGTTTTGTTACTAAGTTGTTGTAGAATGACTGGTAATATTTCATGATCGCCAGTATCATAGTTCTTCTTGCAGTACATATGTACCTACTTCAGTACTCAGTGTCCACGTCGATTGGCCGATTAGTTGTGTTGCAAACGATCATCCTTTGAGGGCCGTGTTCGACATGGTCTTCCACGAGTCTTCAATTGATTATCAATGATTCATCACTGGTACCATAACAAACCCGGGGGCAAATATGTGTATCTAGTTAACCTCAAGCGATGTGTCCACACAGGTGCAGGTTCACATAGAAACCAAACGAAAACAAACGATGGTGGTGCTAACCAAATCCGGTCATAACCACAAAAGTCAAACAACGTCATCGTTCACGTCTCGCTTTTTGCCATGTGTGCAAACAGGCCAATTCGACCTTTTCACACTCACCCTTCACCTCTATATCTACCTAGATTTCGACCGCTCAGAAGTTTTCTCAACATATCTCTCTTCTTGCCTCGCGATCGGCTACAAGAATATGTCAACGCGCCGTAAACCATCAGCGCCTGCGATGAACGGTGTCACCTCGCCCATCTCATCATCCACCATCAAAACCACGGCCGCGGCACGCGCACCTTTCCTCCCCACCCGCCTCGAAGCGCAGCTATTGGCTATATATCCCTTGACACTTCTCCTGGGCTCAGTCTTTAGCGTCCTATCGCCCGCGTCGCGCGCGGCGCCGTACTCTCCGGATCTGCAATCCCACGAGCCCGCCTATGCCCCGTCATACTTTGCGCAAAAGAAGAACGTCTTCAATGTATACTTTGTCAAGAAGGGTTGGTTCTGGGCTACAGCTGCCTTTTTCGCCTTCCTTGCCATGTGGCCTGGGTTTGGCTCGGGCTTGTCGGTGAAGAGGATCAGAGCGACGCTGCGATACCTGGTTGTAACGACTTGGTGGGTATTTGTCACACAGTGGTTCTTCGGCCCTCCTCTTATCGACCGTGGTTTCCGATTTACTGGAGGACAATGCGAGCTTCTTAAAGATCCTGCAGCGAAACAAGAAATGAGCGATACCCGGGTATATATCACTGCTGCCACTTGCAAATCTGGGGGCGGTACATGGAAAGGCGGTCATGATATCTCAGGCCATGTGTTCCTCCTCATTCTCGGCTCATCGTTGCTCTGGTTCGAGTTTCTGCCTGCTCTGACGCGCGCCGAGGGCCTTCGCGATGGACGAAAAATTGTACTAGCGGACGGTAAACTCGCCAGTGTTGCTGTGGAGAAAGATCCCAACACAGAGGAAGAGGAACCGACGACTCGAGGCGTCAGGTTTTCTCTTGGAGTCGCGGCACTCATGTGGTGGATGCTACTGATGACCGCTGCTTTCTTCCACACTTGGTTCGAAAAGTTCACTGGATTGATAGTCGCCTTCCTTGGTCTGTGGGCAGTGTACTTTCTCCCAAGAGCGAGCCCGCAGATTCGAGCGGTTTTGGGAATGCCAGGTGTGTAAGAGGGTATTGGTCGTATATATGGCCCTCTGGGGAGTTCACCGATAGAGTTTTGGTAATGAGTAATACGGGCGTCATGAGCTGAATAGATCCGCTTTTTCAATACATCAAGAGGCTCTTCAGAGTCAGTTCAAAATTCCAATACCGCAACTAACAATTCAGTCAAGAAATTGATATTGTCTCCCCGCCCGGAGTCTTATAACCCAAGCTACAGTTGTCTATAGAATGGTGGTAGTGGCTCTCACCTTGAGCATTGGGCATGGATAGTCCAATTTGACATCTGGTTGTCATCGTCGTACAATTCGAGAAACTCATTCCCACAACTGCATACCAAGCTCTAAGTCTCTTACGGAAGAGGGGTGGAGGGGTTCATTGCCTCGGCACATCAAGGCCCGAATACATCACCACGTAGTCAAACAGTCAGGTATCATCAAATTCCCACCACTATATAACACTTCCATTCACCGTCAGCACCTAATTTTCATATCTGCATTTACGGACTACGATACATTCCCGAAACAAACAAACATGTCGGACGCCAAATACCAAGGGCCTCGACGTATCGGGCAGTACCTCTACCTCAAGCCCTCGGCGCTCGAAGAATACAAGAAGTGTCACGCAGAGGTATGGCCAAAAGTTCTGGAGCAAATAAAAGATTCAAACATCAAAGATTGTAACCCGCCCTCCCCCCGACCAATATATTTGGGATCCTGACCTGTACGCAAACAGATTCAATATTCCTCTTCATGCAACCTCGCCCCACGCTATTTGCCAGTATGAAATACGTGGGGAACAACTTTGACGACGATATGAAGCGCATGGCAGATAATTCGGTGGTGAGGGAGTGGTGGGCGATGACTGATGGGATGCAGGAATCACCCGTGGAAGGAGCAACGGGGAGTCATGGTGGACCTGGGTGGTGGGGAGTTACGGAGGAGGTGTTCTATATGGAGTGAGGATCAAGGTTTGAGTGTGATGGACTTTGATGGGAAACATCAAACATCAGATTGATTAGTAGTTGCTTGTAAAGCGCTGCTTCGAAATTACGCCGTATATCCTTGGCAGTTGTCTTCTGGTACTGTGATTCGTACAGTGACAGTATCCGTTGCCAGACTTCCTTGAACAATAGCGAGCAAAAAGTCTCTGGCTGTGTAATACGAAACTCTAGTATGGTGAGCTTGACCGATTCCTTAGTACACTCGGTCACTGGTGCTCCGGCTTGGCATCGGCTTTTGCTCATGGGTAGAGGTTACTACTCCTATATCTACTCGTGTTCCATGCATGTACTGCAGCTCAATATACAATGTGATAAACTTTATATTTGGTGACATTCACCTGCATTGCAGCTTCAACGAAGACTTGCCATTTTATCTCTCTCTTCCATCCTACTTGTCATCGTTAGGCCCTCCGTACACCGCAACCGACGTCCTACCTCCAGTAACCGACGAGCAGCAGGCTCGTCGGCCCGGATATGCCATATCGGATGTCGGCGCGACACTTCACATCGTAACCAAGTAACCAAGCATACCCACCATTCCTTGCATTGCCGTGGACGGCAAACAGACGGCTCAGAGCACCTGCATCTAAAACCAACACGAGCTTGCTTGACAGGCTTCACCAGCGCCAATAAACTCTTGTCGGTTCTTCGCACTAGACAGGCAGAAGCTGAGGAAGGATTGCATGTCACCCATCCCCCCGCATTGTCGAAGTCACATTCATATTCCTTCATGCCGGAATACGCCATCCTGGAACATGGAAAGATGACTTGCGGCTCCTGTACAGTAGTAGTCATTTGAGTGGGCATAGCAGACCCCGCGATTCATTGCTCTGGAGCAAGACGAGATAGCAGCGGCTGGAATGGACCTATCAAAACGATGCGCAGCTTCGCTTCACCGTTTTCTTTACGAGAGGAAAAGCAATGCTCCGATCTTTTCCCACCTTCGGCCTTTGAGCTTGATTCGAGTTTGCTGGGGAGATTTTCTCTCCCCGCATTAGCGCTCGTGCGGCTTACTGCATATGGTAAGGGCCCCGGCAGATGCCATGCTTTTTGGCTGGCAACGGGCAGGGGATGCGAAGAGATGAACGCAAAAAACCAGGCGCACCATTCCCCATGTTGGGGACGTCACTGTAGCATCGTGTCTGTGTGGGGAACAGCTCGGTATGGAGCAGCAAGTGAGCATGCCGACATCTTGTTCCGGGGTTGGCTTGGACATTGATAAAAGTCCAACAAACCGCTCCTCCTTCTCTCCTCCCTCCCTCTTTCCATCCCAGAACCCTTTCCGCGTGCCATTTGACTAACCACACGATGGCGGCTTCCACCGATGTTAAAGATGTCGCCGCACTCGATGAGCATATCAAAGGGAGAGGTCTTGCCAGCACCATGGATCCCGAGAGGAGAAAACAAGTCGAGAAGAAACTAAAGCGGAAGCTCGATCTACGATGTTCCTACTTCGTCCTCATCTACATCATGAACTATCTGGATCGCAACAACATCGCGTCGGCTCGATTGGGAGGGCTAGAAGACGACCTGCAAATCGGCCCAGTTCAATATTCAACATGTCTATCCATTCTCTACGTTGGATACATTTTGATGCAGGTATGTTTTGTGCAATGCTTATGCAGACATATTCTTATGCAACTCTTATCCAGGTGCCGTCCAATATGATCATAAATCGAATATCGCGACCCTCGTGGTACATCTCAGCAGCCATGCTCCTCTGGGGCATGATCTCAACACTTTCGGGCAACGTAACCAATTTCGGTGGTATGATCGCAATTCGCTTCTTCATCGGCTTCGTCGAAGCAGCCTTCCTCCCCGGAGCGCTGCTGATCCTCTCTAAATGGTACACACGACGCGAACTGACAACCCGCAACGCAATTCTCTTCTGCGGCAACCTCATCTCCAATGCTTTCTCGTCGCTTGTTGGTGCGGGAGTGTTGGGTAACATGGAGGGGACGCTGGGTCATCGTGCGTGGCGATGGCTCTACTGGATCGAGGGTGCCATCACTATGGGTATCGCCATCGCCGCCATCTGGATTCTTCCTGATCTCCCGCACAACAGCAAAGGTTTCACCGAGGAAGAGCGCGCCGTCGCTGTTCTTAGAATGACCGAGGATGTCGGTGAGGCCGATGCCGATTCAGAGACACAGTCCCCCTTCGCCGGCCTTATCATGGCAGTCAAGGATCTCAAGATCTATGTCATGATGATTACTTTTACAGCCTATGTCATCGGTCTCTCTTTCAACGCTTTCTTCCCAACTCTCACTGGGACTCTGGGCTTCCCGAAGATTCCGACGCTGCTCATGTCCGCGCCTCCATGGGCTTTTTCGTGCCTTGTCTCGTTGATCAACGCGTGGCATGCCGACAAGACCGAGGAGCGCTTCTGGCACATCGTCGGTCCTATCTTTGGAGGAATATTGGGATTCGTTATCAGCATGTCCACTGAGAACGTGGCAGCTCGCTACGTCGCGCTCTTCCTACAAGCTTCAGCCTATGCAGGCTTCATCGTCTTCTACTCGTGGATCTCGTCGTCTTTCCCACGTCCTCCTGCGAAGCGCGCCGTCGCTATCGCCATGGTCAACGCGTTCTCGCAGCTTGGCAACATTGCTGGTTCGTATGTCTGGGGTATGAAGGCGGATGGTTACCGCAATAGTTACGGAGTGGTTACGGCCATGTTTGGTATTACGGTTGTCGGATGTTACATCTTCAGAGTCATCTTGCAACGGTTGAATAAGAAGATCGAGGCAGGCGAGGAGGCGTGGGTTACAACTGGTGATGTGGCGGCGCAGACGGCAAAGGATGAGGGTGTTTCGGTGGAAGAGGGCATTCGTTTGCAGAGAGGGTTCAGGTATTTGATCTAGTCTTGGATCTAGATGATAAAAGTAGGGAGATTGTACGGCGATGGCAGTTTACTACATATGATTGGAATTCAGTATTCCTACTATAGTGCATGATCCCGGCTGTAGTCTCTGCTACAAGTGCTTGTGTAGTGAATGCTCAGTGAGCAAACAGAGCAATGTGATGATCACATAATATAGTACCACGTACCTGCTTAACCTGGGTAGGTATCTATCAATTTATCACTTAGAACATTGTGACATCCGAGTCCCAGGTTGGGTATTCAACTTTGGTATCACGCTTCTGGTCGTCACTACAGTTGATATCTATGACACCCTGCATCGTCGTCTACACTCGTCAGTCTCCTACACCGTGATGCAGCTTTTATACACAGCAATGTCCTTTGTATAGTCTGCATACTTTTGTATCTGGTACTATCAATGTGGAAACGAGTCTACCAAGGTAAAACGCTGCGGAATTCAAGTCTGCACGTGTCTTGCTCCTGCAAAGATATTTCGGTTTGTCATGTCTCATCGTATCTCGATACCAAGGGGACCATGCTTTTTTTTATAGCAGAGGGCGACGAGCGTACCATGGTTCCCAACCTCGACACTACAAATCCGTACATCTCCACTGGATAGTTGGGACGTCGTATACGTCACTAGTTCAAATGCGCAGTCAAGGGGACAATTTTAATACACATGTTAGCAATCAGAAAGAAGTGGATTTGTAAAGTCTGCTACATAAGTTCAATGTTCTATATTCTGGAGTCCTCCTGCCTCAATTCTGCGGGACAGATAGTAAAATCAGGTAGAGCTCTATTACATTGAGAAAACTTATCTGGAAGCCTAATGATCTCACGGTAAATCATAGCACTGGCTTAAATGGTGATAGAGCAATCCGATGTTGAGGACACTTGTGACGTCTGTGCACGTGACTAGCGACACCCGTTTGTACCTGTCTCAATCACTGGCAGGTTCTATTTTGGGTTAGTCGCGCAAACGAATCCTACCGCACTTGGAACTGCGCTCTACCACCCTGCCTACACTTGCTCACACGTTCTGCGACCCTCCTCTCTCACACACCAACCATACATTACGTTTCGAATACCACGTCGGTTGCTTCTACTTCCCATCATGAGGCCAAACAAACGTAGGAAACGCTCAGAAGAGAGCCCCGAGCCCCCGGAGCAGGACCCTCCGCCAAAGGCTGTTGCCTTGCGACGCAGCCAGAGGGTCGGGCGAGGCCGACGCAACATTCACGGCTGGCTTCACTATGATACGGTGTCCGTCGCCATTCTCGATCAGAAGAATATATTTCCTTTTCTAGCACTTCCCAGGGAGCTGAGAGAACGTAAGTACAATCTTTCTTGTGACTAAAAAGCTCATAACGAGGCATCACATCGGGTCACATTGCAATCCTCCAATCCCCCATTGCAGTACTATTGCCTCCACTATACTGATTCATGGACGTGGCATAGATATCATGGATTTTGCTCTGAACGGCATCTCCATCTTTTTCACGCAACACCAATCGGAAGTTGTGTCAGTCCACAAATACTCCAAAGGGAAAAACCTACTAGCTAGACTGAACCGGCAACCCGGGTTGCCATCGTGGATAACTCTCAACAAACAAGTCTTCCACGAAGTGCTCGACTATCTACATCGGGATTCAGTCTTTTTTGTCAACTTATTACGTGGGACGACTTTACCCAATAGTAACGTGGGACTCTCCATCGACCGAGCTAGGAACATTGAACAGCATAGGGATGGGTGTCTACACCTCCATACCTGCAGTAGACAAGAGCATGATGTTGATGATGATGATGATATACTGAGCTACCGAATACACCCTCTAATCAGCACCAAGCGAGAACGATGGGGGCAGGCGCTTGATCTGTTCACGCGGCAATCATCACTCAGGAGTCTTAGCCTCAACTTCAGACTACTAAACCTTCCGACAAGCCTATCCTCCTTCGGCTTTGAAGAGGTCGACTTTGTAGCTCTGTTTGATAGTATTGGCCGATGTTGCATAGGAAAGGGGCTGATGCATCTACGCTTCTTTGTTCATGAGACACGGACTGGTAGATGGGCCTCCGAGCATAGGATCCCTGTCATGGACGTCACTATTGAAGAACTCCAGCGAATTGCCCAGTCAGCAGTACAAGGACCAGGCGTAAAGACCAGTCTGTAAGTACATGACGGATACCAAACCATCATACGCTAAGACACCATCTGGTGTAGCGTTTTGACGCATTGATAGCTTAAGCAACATGTTTCCACGGACCATACTGACTCCGAATCCCCAACTTTAGGCGCGTCGCTGGTCATAAAAGCAAAGAATTGGAGCACATAGTATGTTTTACATGATCCAAGCCATACAGCCATTCTATTTCGGGTGGTTATCGTATTGCAAAGTCGCTGATCTTTTTATAGCGCCCTCTTTATTCAGACAGCGATTACTGGATGATTGAAACAACCTCTGCAGCCTATAGACGAACAGACGCTTACAAGAATGAAGTCAAAAATTCAAGCCCTATTTTGGGATTGTGGCTCCCATTGAAAAGATGAAAATGGGTATGTAGTAATGTCTACATGATTACTGCCTTATTATCAGCTGTTGTTTTGATTCGCTTACATATCACGTCATACGAGGTTAATAGCGAAAATATCATTATCACCCATACGTCAGCTATCAGACCGGGAAATTGTAGAGTTGGCATCGATGCAATTAGCAGGCATATCGACGACTTTCTATCCACTCTCGCCATCCTGAAATCACGAGTGTTAGGTAGCAAGAAGGGAAATTGGAGGCGGAAAACAAGACATTATGTGTACTATCACTGTATCCAATCCCTCGGTGGACGACCGAAAAGCGCAATTTCGGTAGATTAATTCAATGTCATCATTCAAATTTAGTTAACATGAAAAAGTCTGAGGATGTGAATGGGATTGGTGTATATCGAGATGTTCATGTGAAAATTCCGAAGACAGAAAACGATTGACAACATTGTAGGGTATCTGAAATGATTTGACGCTGGGTATAATATACGAAACAAAACAAGAAAACATGCAAAGAGAGACGCAGTCAAGGACCTATCACATCATCACACCTTTGGAGGTGCCTATTACACGTCGTCAGTGCACATTCACTGTACAATTTCGCTGTCAGGAGACTCACCCCTGTCGTCTGATGGCCAGGATAGGTCACGTTCGAAGGATTGTATGATGGCGGCGGTACGTTTACATTTACTCCTTGCGCTTCTTGTGCTTTCCTCTCTGCTACCCGCATGTTGGCCTGCTTAGCGAGCTCGGCCGTTCGGGCTGTTCTTCTGTTCTGGCTTCGGACCACACAGCAGAAGCAGCATGTACATATCCCAACGAAGATGGCGATAAACAAGATGGTCAATCCAATCACGAGGCCCTTCCCAGCTTTGGTGACCTCCTCCTCGTACGAGCTGTCGTACCGTCGTGCCAAGAATTTCTGTGCGTGGGGTGCCATTGTTGTCAAGAGTATATCGAGAAAGGTTTCAAGTGTCTTTATTGAAGTGCCTTTTGATAGTTGCAAGGAATGGTAGGTCGGTGGACTGGGAGTGGGAAGTGCTGACGTTGCGGCACATGCTCGGGGGGGGGGGGCCCAGGCTTGAATATATACTTAGACAGTGACCTCATATGCATCCACTGCGCAGGAGAAAGGAGAAATAAGCGAAGTCCTCAGCATCGGGAAATCGACCAAGATTGGGGGCTTGAGTCGTTGTTCCGCCGTGGGAGGATTCCGCCCCCATGTACAGGTTCCGCTGCGCCTTGATGCAAGACCTTGGCGACCCTATTTTGTGATTAGCCACCGATCACATTGGAGCCGAGTAGTAGAAATCCGCCTACTGTACCGGTAGATTCGGCGAGCGCTACATCATGAGATGCATAGAACGTTCGTTCCGCACTTCCCTGTCCAATGGGAGCAATGTCAGGCGTCCCGCCCGCAGTGTGGCGGAGCCTGCATGCCATGAAACAATCTATTCCAAGAATTGGTTCCCTGACAGATCAAGCGTATAGCTCGCAGGGGCTGCCTTTGATCATTTCTGGGTCGCAATAGGCGTTTCTTTCTGGGCTTTCCGGTCGCCTTTAGAGGTGCTGGATGCCATTTGCGTTGGTAGAGATCGAGGAGGCTGTGAAGCTGAGCTGGGGTCCGTTGTAGAGTACGCTGGCGGAGGCACGTAAATCGTATTGGCAGTGCCAGAAAGACCGGCGTGGGCTTCCTCCAATCTAATATCCTGTTTGACCTGTTGATGTAGGATCATCCGCTTCCTGGCGCGCCAGAGTGCCCACACCGCGAGAGACAAGATGATGAAAGCGAATCCGCCAATGACTCCGCCTGCAATGGCACCCGTCCGATTGAAGTCGCTCTTGGTCTTCTTAACCTCGTCGTCGAAAAGCGTGCCAGCCATGTTGAGAGGTGGATCTGAAGTTGCTGGATTGTAGTCGGTGGTTGTTTGTTGGTGTAGGATTGATGCAGTTGTGACCGTTGGAAAACGGGCCGTCGCAGACCTTATCAAAGCTTCCGCGCGAGTGACCGCTGCAGTATTGCCTATTGCGTCAGTAATGTCTTGTAGGATCGTAATTAAGATGTTTACATATGAAGGCTTAGATTGTGTGAAGCTGTGTGGCGGTGTTTCCGAAGTCCGTTAACCAATCATATCAAGCGTTTTCGGTAGTCGGTGATTGGGGGGTACAGGCCCAAATGCCTGAACAACCTGGTACTCGGAAAACAATACATCATCACTTTCGGTGAACCAAAAACGTCGTGTGCTGATCGCATATTCATTTGGATTGTTTTCGACGAAACAGTTTTCTGTTATACTATCTGAATTAATCCTCATGCAAGATGTCACCGTTTCCCACTCTTTCGTATTTATTCGATTCACCCTATTGCAGAGCCGAGAAGATAGAACACCGAATGCAAGGCAGCCATTACTGGCAGCCCTGCAGATTTTTAAGGCGATCATTCATAATTTTCCGAATGAAACAGGCCCTGAGGCTAAGCAGTGGGCGCAATGATGTCCATCACCAATCTGGGTTCACGGGTCACAAGAGAGCAGACATTAATAGTTATAGTGAATTAACTTGCGCTGATAGTTCAGAGTAGCTTATCGAGAACCTTGGGTGATTCATTAAAGCCACCACAAGTTACTGTACACATATTCTTTATATGACATCTGAAGTCAAACGGAAAAGACTGTCTAGATGTCTGGTGTGGTATATCAGCTGTGTATTTTGCTGTATTTTGCGACAGCAATTTCATATATTTATCGCAGGCTGTCTTTGTTTAACGTCTTCTTTTCATATACCCCATCTTGTCATTCGGAAATCATCTGACTGTTATGTTGCTCAATCAGAGAATCGTAACCATTGACCACCCCCTTTCGATTGATCACCCTTTGTCTCTCATCACATAACAGTGCATTTGCATGACATGCACCCCTTCCGTATCTCTGAGTCATCCTGCTCATCCTCTCGCTCACTCTCCTCGTTCATAAAATTCCCTCCAGTCCTCTGATACGTCTCCATATCCGAAAGTTGCAGCCTCTCCCTCACCAAATCCTCCATTCCCATCGCAGTACCAAATGGTCCATCGCGTTCATGGAATTTTCTTAGCTGACCTTTCTTGCGTTCCATCTCGTCCCGACCAGGAGTACTGAAGATACTGTTCTGGCTTCCACCCGATGCTTGCCTGTATTTCATAGGCGTGGGAGATTCAAGACCGTGGGGGAAACGGGCCGAGCTCTCTTTTCGAGGACGTGTTCGTGGCAACTTGTAGGAGGAGGAAGTTGGCAGGGGTGCTGCATCAGCATAGCTTACCTTTCTCCCTGATGGGATGGATGTGTTCATGCCCGGTGAGCAGAACGGATCGTCGGATGGTGAAAAGATGGGTTGTTCGAAATCAATCTTGTCCTCATACTGTCCAACGGTCTCGTGTTGCTTTACATGCTTCGCATAGTCGGTGCTGATGTGATTTGACGTGTCCACTTGCAGATTTGCTACCTGTCTAGCCTCCGCTCCAGGCATAGGGCTCATATGTCCAAGCGAACCGTTATAATCCATCCTCCCTTGCATCCATGCACGTGGAGACAATACACGATGCTTCCTTTGCGAAGGGCCGGAAGGTGAGACCGGAGTGTTCTTGGATGCCGAGTTTTGACTCTTGGTTGGGGAGACGCGAGCAGCATTCGAACGTTTCAACCCGTTATTCTTCCCTACGGATGTTGGCTGGGGAATGCGGCTCATCTGCGAGGGCTTTGGAATTGGAGGAAGTCCTCGCGACGGATCAGCGTTGGGAAAGTTTTCATCGCGCATCTTAGCTGAGTTTCCCGCTGCGATGTCTCGGAGCGGCCATTCCGGTGATGGTGTAACCTGACGTTGCGATTACAAGTTTAGCAAGACCCAGGGAGTGATATTTTGGCGAAACATAGAGATCACGAAGTAACGCCCGTGTGGTAGCACACCAGCAATTCTGTAGCCGGGAATCACTAACCTGCCGGATTGTTGATGTCATACTGTAACGGCTCCGGGAGCGTTCTGGGGAGCAAGTAGGATGCGGAGAGTCTTGAGTCGCCATTTTTCGCGCGTTTTAGTACTCAGTATTGGCGCAGCGCGGAGCAATAGAACGGCGAGAGCAGATATCCTGGTGTGATCGTGTTTGAGTTGGGCGGCGAGGTACTGTGGGCAGAGAGCAAACAAGTGCGGCTTGGCTAAACAGATTGTCGGGAGGCACATATATGAACAGGCTAAGTCAGCGAGGTATTTGAAGTGAGATCGGATGGAGCGTCATGACGATTCATCTCAATGCTGTTAAGTATGAACGGCAGACATTGTAAGAGTCTTTATCATGACCAAACGATAAGGACTATTGGATACACATAAAACTTGTTTGGAGATGTAAATACGTAGAGACGATGCCCATCTCTCAATAATTGTCTATATAGCTACTTAAAAGTCAATAAATCCTACTTTGCTATCCGTATATTACACTAGATCACCCCGATGCAATAACAACCGATACCGACGCAACAGAACAGCGAAATTCAGTTAAACATACCAACCATCCGATAAATATTTTGCTCCTTGTAAACATCAATAAATCGAGGTACTAAGCACCCTCCACGATCAGGGAAGAGACTTTTTAGACCTCGTCACTGGAGCACCTCTTCCTTGTGTAACGCCGGATGCTCGTGTTGCAGTGCCGTATGCCTTTGAGACACTGTTCATCGTCTTGAAAGAGCTTGAGGCACTAGAGTTAGTTGCTCGATGCTTTGGTGCGTTTGATAGTTCTGTAGTAGTTGCCCTTCTCTTCAACGCAGGGTTGTTCCGCGAAACCTTGGGTGTTACTCCCGTGACGCTGGTCCCTCCTGAGACACTATCAGACCTCTTCACGACGCTTGATTGTCCTGTTCCTCCTCTTGTAGTGCTATCAGCTCTTGATGGAGAACTTGCTCTGTCTTTCAACCCGTGTGGATTACCAAACCGTCTAGGATCGTGATATAAGTCGGGCGACCTATCACCTTCTTTCACCTTTGACCTTGGCACTATTGTTCATTTGTTAGCTACTGTATCTTATTCGCTGCACGTTCCATACAATGACATACCTCTGCAGAACATCCACTGTTTCTTCTGCTTATTCCAGCGATTACACAATACGGATCTGAGCATCTTGTTGGCAGAAGGACTATGGAAAGGCTTCTCCGGGATAAGAGCCTCCGGGTTCAATTGCTTCTTCGACACATCCACCCACCCAGCCTGCTGCATGAAATCTTCAATTTGAAAAATCTGCCATACTGTGGGTCCGTCAAATATTGACAAGAAACAATGGCAAACTTTCCGAGCATCCCATTTACTTGTGGCAAAGAAGCTTTGCAGAGCAGGCATCCAGTGAGAATTGATACCATTTGCCCAAATATCATTCACGGCATTAAAAAAGTCCTTCTTATCTTCAATGAATGAGTTCATCGGATTGGCCATGGCGTTCGTTCCCGTAATACCATCTGGCTTTTTTCCAGTGTTAGATCTCCCTGCTACACTGTTTGTTCTTGTTGGGGTGCCCGCTCTCCTTGCAGCACCCGAGGAAGTAGAAGAAACACTTGATGCCCTTGAACGAGTGGGAGAGGTCTTATTTGACAGAGTCCCCGGTCCCCTTGAGCTCTGCGCCTCAAGATTTCGACGGGAAGCAGGACTGGGTCTTGTGCTCTTGATATTGTCTCGCCGGGGTGCACGATACTGCACTGCTGGCTGCGCTGATTTTGCTATTCCACCCATAGTGGTGGTCGACTTCGAGTGTTGGCTACTTGAAGCTTGAGGACTGGACCGACTGATTGGTGTTGTGTTCACTTTTGTGCTCCCCTTGGAAGATTTCACAGCCGATACTTTTGGCTTCGGGCCCGTAGTAGTGGCTTGTTGACCTCTCCTTGTTGACCTCCTGGTGGTGACGGAGGAACTCATTTTGATTCGTTGTGAACGAGAAGGATCTAATCTAATAACAAGTTTGGGAGATATCAAAGAGAGTGATGAATGTGACAAGCTCGGGTAGGCTTTTAACAATAAATAGAGCGATCCCGTCGCTAGTACCAGGAAAAGTTCTAGGAGAGAAACAGAGCGAAAAAGATGATCAATGGTTGGAATATGCAGTGTTCCACCGAAGGGTATGCTTGCCTTTAAAAAGAACACTTTCTTCGTGGTTTGGTTACTACTGAATCACCAGACTGTGAATGCTTCGCCAGCCATCAATATCGCAAGATAGCGAATATTGGGACTTCACTAGTAGTTTATCTATTTTGTCTATCTGGTGAATAACTCAAATTTATTTCTATTCGCGTGAACCTTACGCAACGATCTCCCTCTTCGAAAAGTGATTGAGAGCGTGAAGTGATGATTCATGTCAAAGTTCATAGTATAGGCACAGAAACATGCACACCATTTCTCAATGATTCCAGGAGTGTCAAAATATGTCAAATGAACTAGTCAAATAGTCAATAGTTTACCTGTCTTTCAAAAAAGAGACAAACAGTTTCTGAACCGTTACATTCCCACTGGTTTCCAAGATGTTCACATCATTATGCCGTTCTTATCTTGTCCAAACCCTGCGTTCAAAATCAGTCTTACTCTCTCACGATGTTAACCATTCACCGAATGTCAATTCATTGTTTGGCATGGACTCTCAAACAAAGCATTGAATATACATTAGGCAATACATTTCTAATCAACGGTGATCCCACTTGGCTTAGAGGCAAGAACAGAGGACAGTATGTCAAGCCTCAATGGCAAGTTAATAACACAGAAATGATAGAAAAATACATGTCATGCGTCTTAGTGGGCTAGTGGCTTACAAGATGATAAAGTGTGGTTGATAACATCATTCTCTTTTGATATCTTCTAGGAGGTAATGTGTCAATTGCACGGAGTCAAGACAGTACAACTGGGGTTTTCAGACTCTATCTGTCGACGTATTTCATATTGCTCGCGGTGTTTCAAACGCGTATTGCCCAAGTCTTCGGGTAAAACACTGACTTTTTGTACAGTGTTGTGGCAGATTTCATCGATCGCCACGGCCTTTGACTTTTCCCAAAGTGCCTTTCCTACTCTTTCCTTTTTCAACTCGCTCTTACTTGTTTTACCCAAGCCAGATGGGGTAAGTAAATCACCATTTTTCTCACCGCACATCCCACCAGGTTTCTGAAATCATCCCTTCTATTCCGTCTCATTACCCGCAAGCGTAGCCTCCCCATTCGCGGCGATGTTGATTCCATTCTTCCCGCCAACAGACTTGCTTCCATCGGAACCTTGCGTAATGCCCAGGTTACCGCCAGCATTGACGGCGTTGCCGTTCTGATCAACAGTGATGGCGAAGCCTTCGGAGAACTGCTCCGATTCCTCGACAGCTTTGTTTGGAGCGGCTTCGCCTTCAGCGGCTGCTTTCCCTTCTTCGGCAGCAGCTGCGTTGCCTTCTTTTTCTGCTGCTGCGCCTTCAGCAGCCGCAGCTTCGCCTTGTCCTGCTGATGGTGCTTCTGCCTCAACGCCAGAGTCTGCGAGGGCTTCGGCTTTGGCTTTTTCGCCTTCTGCGCGGCCGGGTTGGTTTGCGGTGCTTGCATCTGCTGCGCCAGTGAGAGCTGAGAGAGCAGATTCGACGGCCGATGCCCGGCTTGCTGCGGCCGCGGTGGAATTCCCAGCTTTCTCTGCTGCTGGGGCAGCAGCTTCTAGAGCAGCAGCTGCCGCCTGTTCTGCGTTGCCATTACCGCTCGGAAGGCTTAGACCTGCACCTGAAACTAAGGAGAATGAAGTCAGCAGTGCTTTTTTTGAATGATCATTGAGAATACTTACTCCCTCCACCCGGACCCCCGAGCGTCAAGCCGCCAATCTTGAGCTGGCGCTTGGCGATATCATGGGCAGCATTGGCAGAATAAGAGCCCTAAGATGGCTATAAGTATTCGAACGCAGATCTGGAAGAGGTTGGACTCACTGTCCACCTTCGCTCGGGACCATCTAAGGCTACGGCGAGATTGGAAAAAGCCAGAATGGCAACGAGGGATGTCTCGGAGATGAACTTCATGTTGAAATACCAAGAATAGTAGAGTTTAATATGTACTAAGATTCAAGATAGAGGGTACAGCTGACCAGCAGGCAGATTAATTAGTTGAAGAGGAGGTAGGCGGAAATACGGCAACGAAAAAAGATGAGGAAGCGTCAAGCCTCTAAGGAAATATAATCAAGAGAAGGGAAGAAGAAAAAGCAGTGAAACAGAAATAAAAGTGGAAGAGAAGGACGGACAAGCAACTTCAAAAAGAAAGAAATCAAGCAATGCCACGCCTCGTCTTCCCAAAAGACTTATCGTTGCTTGGCGCATTGAACACTATGGCACCGTGCTCGCCCAGATCTGTTTCCAAAGTACAAGATACTAAACGGAATCGGGCACAGAATGACGGATCAAACTGTCACTGTCACTGTCGCCTGCCGTGCCACTCAAGCTAATTGGCAGCCGTCACGCGGCCTTAACGCACAGAAGGCGAGGGCAGAGGGCTCTTGGCGTAGCGGAACAGCTTCATGACAGTGTCTTGGCGTTTTGAAGCGTTGTGGATGAATTTGCAATTCTTTTGCGTTGTTGTTGGACGGGGGTGTGGTGTGCGGAGTTTGAAACGTGGTGAGCGTCGTGCTGTTGTTTGAGCTTGGTGTGTGCCGAGGCCGTCTGAATGAATGAGGAAGTTGTGCGCGGAGCTATGGTATATAAGTGAGTCTATTATTCATTTTTACCTTTATTCTGTTTGTCGCGTGAATTGAGTCGATAGGATTGATCCTTTTATAAATCTATTTGCGTTGTTGTTTCAAAATTGCATTTCCAAGATGCCATTCGGATAGAAAACAACATGAACCTGACTGCCTTTAGCGAAGAGATCAGTTGGCACACATGGGCATAGAGAGTCAACGAAACACATAAACGACAATGCGTACATACCTCGAAGATCTAAAAACTAGATTGGCCCTTCGGAAAAGCAACAATCCAAAACAAGTCACAGGCTTGTATCCGACTCAGCCCTCAAAATGACCTTCAACATGATGCGCAACAGCCCTTTCATCGCCTTCAAACACCCCACACACCGGACAAGTAACCACCTCTTCACTTATCCCACCACCACTATAACCAACATCGCCTCTTGACACCCCCCTCCCGCTCTGCTCCTCATACCTCGCATCCGCCTCTTCAAGAGCCTTGAACCATCCAGCATCCCCACCCGTTGCCATCGCTCTATCCTCATCATACAGATAACCATCCTCCCTGACATCAGTAACATGATGAAACTTGCCTCCCCCCCTGCTACCACCTCCCTCTCCATTCCTCCCTAACCCCGCACCAATCCCACCGACGGCCTCCTCACCCCTCAACCCTTCTGCTTCCTCGACAATCCGCTGCACCCTTCCCACGCGGCCATCTCTGAGTCGGACTTTGACGCCGCGGGGGTGGTCGCCACGGGTCAGGAGGTCTGCGACGATACCCTGGACTTGCCTGCCCGTTGGTTGGTCTTGCTTGAGGACGATGGAGACGGCGGTTGTGTCTGGAATGAGGGAGGCGTGTGATGGGACGGAAGAGGAAGAAGAGGAGGAAGGATAATGAGATCGTTGTTCTCGATGCTGGGGGTGGGATGACGGGGCTCCTCGTCCTCGACCTCGACCGCGACCGCGACCGCGATCGCTGCCGCCGCGACGAGGTTGCCGGTGACCTCTCGGATTGCCGCCTCGTGTTTGCATCTTCTTTTCCAGAGCAGATGATGGATGTCGGATACGTGATAAATTCTCCCCGCTTGAGGATGATGGTTCCACTCTTTGGGTGTTGGCTGTGAGTTGTGTTTGATAATGAGGCTTGCCTTGCCGGTACAAATGATCAGATCCTGAACAGTTTGGTGGGACTTTGAGGCCCTAGATGATTTCCACAGCTCTTTTTCACTTTGCAGTTTGTGCGTCCAGGAATGTCTATTTACGTTTCTTCTGCTGTGTTCAACTGCAGTTGAGGTTCCCGTTAGATTTGAGGCTCTATTCTTAGTCTTGCCGAGCTTGGTGCATATCAGGTAAGGCGTAGGGATTTATGTTGTTCGAACTGGTGGGTATATGACCAGCCAAGCGCTTGAGTGACCAGTGGCGCATTGACCGTTTTTTCATCAACAACATCATTGGAGCGCATTCGCAAAATTTCCGAACCATACAAGTTGCATATGATCTTCAAATACGTAAATGGATCAGCACGTTAACAGTAATCAGATCATGATAAGAACAGGGACAGCATGGTCAGTTTTTTGCAGCTTTTCAATTACTACTCTACATTGGAGTACATAAAATGAAGTTTTCCACCAGCTGCGGCGATAGACTCGTTAAGAGCTATAGGTCGGAAGAAAGGTTTGGTTGATGGTGATTTTGGAGGTAGAGTAAAGAGGAAGGAGATCGCGGATACAAGAGTTGGGCTTAGGGAGAGTTATGTCGGATAGTGTGAGTGAGAGAGAGTGGGTAGGTAGTCCTCGCAGGGCTCCATCTTCTTCGTCCTCGTCTGATCGAACAGAAAAGAAAAGCACAACTAGACCGTGAGGAATAGGCATGCGGACATCCAGGATATCGTCCATAAGTCATAATAATCGTGACAGACCCGCTCAATCCGCCGTCACATCTCAAATTAGAAAGAAAGGAGAAAAAGAAAACAATGCCCCGGCCGTGGTATCCATCGTAGGTGCTGAAAAAAAGGGGGCAGTCAGAAGATAATAAGCAAATCCATGCTTTTGGAGTCGTTTGTGTGGTTACCGAATGCCAGCTGGACGTCGGAAACAACACAGACAGGAAGCGATCAACGCGTGTTTACCTCTTCCGCCCTACCAGCACACCTTGCAGATTGCTGGCGACGTTCGCATCGTCGTCTATTCAGCGGCCTGGCTGCGGCGCATCTTCTCCGCTTCGAGGTTCTCATACAAGAGATACAGAGCCTTTTCGTTGGCTGTGGCGCTTCCAGTGATGGTGAACATGCGCTCACCAGATTCGTCGTGTGGGGCCTTGGCGATGGAAATGCGTGCACCAGATGTCTTGCGAATCTCGCTAATTTTGGTGCCACCACGGCCAATAATGCAGCCGACCATATCAGAGGGAATACTAATGTTCTGCGTCTGCATCTCTTCTCCGTCTTCAGTGTGCGTGGGGGGCGGGGGGCGGCTGGCGGCATCGGATCCCGACCGCCTGTTGTTGTATGAAGGAGGTGCGTCGCTGAAGTCGGCACCGTGGCCAGTGCGGTTGTAGGAGCGACCGCTTCCCATACCGCCACTGCCACCCATGCCGCCAGCGGCGGCGCCGTTCGCGATGGTCCCAGCACCTGGCTGAACCCTGACGGCAGGGTTATAGAGCACCGTGCCGTAGCCGCGTTCGTGGTCGTCAATGAGGCACTTGCCGATCTCCCAAATGGCCTTCTCAATGCCCTGAGGAGAGCCTTGAACTTCGACAATGCGCTCAGTAGACTGGGGTAGCATCTCCTTCTGTGCGACCATGCGCACTCCGGAGCTATCCTGGATCTGCTTGATCTTCAAGCCCTGACGGCCGATAATGGTACCCATTTGGTTGTGAGAGATGAGCAGACGAATAGCTGATACGGTTAGTAAAGTCAAAGGTACTGTAGCTTTTTTTTTTCAAGGTTGACTTACGGTGGGTACCGTCACTGCGGATGAGACCTCCCATGCCCATCTGGGGAGCTCCTTCGAGAAGGCCTTTGGCAACAAGACCGTAGGCCTTAGAGATGCCCGACAATGGACCGGTGACGGAGAGAACACGGTCGTGCACGCCTTGGACGACCTTGCTGACACCGGCACGCACGCCAGTTTCGTCGCGCAGGTCGGCCACGTTCTTGCCTGCCTTTCCTATAATGACACCAGCTTCTTTGGAGGAAACGATGGCGCGAAGGGTGAGTTGCGACTCGGCGTACTCCTCCTCGGTGCGAGGGATGACATCGCCGTCGTCGTTGACACTCATGCGGCCAATGGCATCGCCAACCTGGTTGAGATCCTGGGCGGACTGCTGGTTCTCGTCGGCAGACATGATGTATGAATGGCCTAGGGTGGGCTGGGTCCAGGTCAGTAGAGTGCACGAGGAGGAATTGAAGGTAGCTGCGTGGGATGGTTACCGGGGGGAGAGAGGCTGGATGGAGATGGATCAGTGGGAAGGAAGCGCGGGGGGTGAGGAGTGGTGGCTAGGATCGCGTGCGGTGTCAGTAATGGTGTCGGTGGTGGTCGGTGGTGCAACGGCAGACGAGGCAGTGGGGATGCAGGTGGGAAGGCGCTATTACTCACAATTGGTCGAGTGGCAAGAGTCGACGGGGGGACGAACGAGCCGGGAAGGGAGGGGGGAATGGAGGGAGAGCGGCGGATGGGGGAGAGAGGGAGAGAGCGGGAGATGTGTGGGTGGAGGGGAGAGCAAACACTGTGGGCGAGGTTGGGTGGAGGTAAGGTGAGGTGACGAAGGTTCAAAGAGTCTGAGTGAAGGTAGGCACTTGGGTTCGGTAGGCCCGCTCTAGCGAGAAAAAAGGCGCCTTGCCGTATTGACTCGATGCACGGCAGGAATGCACAAGCTACGTACATAGATCCGTAGACATCTGGATACATACACCACTGCATTTTGTGAATGTTTGAAATAGCAGGACCCGTGGACAGAGAGTCAAATCAATCAATGCATGTTACCGCCCGCGACACACGCGCACCCACGTGTGTGCATGAATCACTGTGTGCATTCAATGAGTGAGCTGCTCTGCCGACTTGGGCTTCGTACATGGAGCGCAGCAGAAGACACCAAACGACCATCGTCACCGCCGCTGCTCGTCCCCCGCCTTGACACCACCATGACCACCATGCACGGGCCAAGCAATTGCCAGTTCAACCCATCACTTCATTTCACTGCATTCACCTCCTCGCCGCTTTGATTGGTGCCTCGCCTGCTCCCGCCTGAGTTGGCTGTGCAACGCCGACAGCACATTCATTAGCTACCAATATCAAACCGTACATACGGGCGCTGCGTCATATCATCCCCCTCCCGCTACACAGCTCACTCCTGCGCCCGGAAGACCACCTTCTGCACCTTCATCTGGTCAAACAGTTCATACCCTTCGACCGCCTGGCTCAATGCCATCACCTTGTCTGCCATGAATCTGGTAGTATAGCGTCAGTCTTCCGACATGCCGGCCTTTGCAGTCGTCCATGTTAACTCACCCAAACTTGTCCTGGTGTCTTTTCAATGCTTCGAGAGATTCTCCAAACACGCTGCGGACAGGGCACCGTCCCATTTGCATTCTCAGATTTTTGTTGTACGCATCGTTTGCTGTAAAGGGAATCTCGCCATTGTGCACTCCCACACTCGATATGGTACCCCAAGGCCTGACGAGCTCAAAGCCCATCCTTAGTGCAGGCGAGAGTCCTACCACTTCTACAATCACATCCGCCCCGCGCCCGTCTGTGAGCTCTTTGACCCGCTCGTCGAGTCCTTTTCGGTTAGTCTGGAAATTCCACGGCTCTGCGCCCAAGGATTTGGCAAGGTCCAATCTGCTGGGCACCGAGTCCACTGCAAGTACATGTTTGGGTTGATAGTCGAGTATGTTGACGAGAGCACACAGGGCAACGGGTCCGCAGCCCACCAACACCACAGTGCTCTCTTTGGCTGCTTCCTTCGTTAGGTGCTTCAACCCGTTGTGCGCTGCGAACCATCCCGTAGGGAAAATGTCCGCCATGAGCACCAGCACTTCATCTTTGATCCCCTCTGGCGCTTTGCTGACGGTAGAGTCAGCCAGCGGGACGCGAACGTACTGAGCTTGACCACCATCCAGCGTTGGGCAGCCGAACAGCTGGCTCTCAGTGCACCGCGAGGAGCACTCTTGTTTGCAGTAGAAACATTTGCCGCAGGAAGTCGTGAAGGGGGTTACGACGCGGTCACCCTTCTTCAAGGACTGCACATCCGATCCCATGTCTTCCACTGTCCCAGTAAACTCATGGCCCATGATAAAGTCCGTTTCCTCCAAAGCTTCTAGACCGCGGAAAACGTGGAGCTCGCTTCAATAACCTGATAAGCTTGTTGCACCTCATGTAGACTGTGTTTGTGATTCCTCGTACCTGCCACATAGCGCCGTCTAACAAGGTTAGATTGTGCTGCAAAACCCAAAAAATCGTACTTGAAATACCTTGTCTACTTTAACAATGATATCAGTAGGTGCCTGTATCTTGGGAATTGGCCGGTCCTCAATTGCAACCTTGTACGGCCCTTTGAAGACTACAGCTTTCATCATGTCTTGAACCATTTTGATCGGCAATGTGTCGTGGAAGTCGGGTTGAGTCAAAGCAGCGAAGAACAAAAGAACCAACGGAAAAACTCCACTAGATGCCTAATCAGGTGGATCCGATGTCGTCGGTGACTACACTGAGGTTGATTGAGCGCGTCGAGCCCCGCCGAAGGTAAGCGGGGTAGCTCGGTTCCTCACGCAAACAACACGATATGGCAGCCCGTACAGCCAGTTGATATGCAAAAGCACTGGATTTTCATCATACTGTGCTGAGCTGGGTAGACTTTCACAAGTGGAGACATGTAGAGATGGGAATAGACAAGTACCGAGGTGCAAGTAGCACCCTAATACCTTTCTACCTACATAATCCTAGCGACCCCATCCGTATGACCAAAGTAGAATCCTTGCGCCGTAAACCCAGATGTAATATTGGTGATTCCCAGGCGTCTACCGCCCCTGTTACTCCAACCCCATATCGTACGGCGTGTCCAGTGAACGCCACCCATATGCAATGACCAAAGAGATTCGTAGCCTAGCCACCTTCCCTGTCTTCCCTTGCCTCGCTTTGCCTTGCGAAGGTCGGCTCAAGTCCTTTACGTCACGACGGCAAGCAGCGCCTCCTCGAGAATGAACTTGCCCTCCTTGTATTTCTCGCTCGCCTCGTATGCCTTATCGTACTTCCAACCGACCGTCTCCTTACACTGGCGACAGTGAATATCACGGACGATGTGGCGACCGGTCGTCATGTTGCGTTCGCTAGGCTCCGACTCAGTGATGTTGACGACTTGATCGAAGAGGTAGGCTTTCCCATGCTGACCACGGAAGTTCTGGAACGCTTCGTCAGCACTCAGATCGATGATGGGCCGCCATGTGGAAGGCGTGGAAGGCGTTGAAGGCCTAACCCTGCTCAGGATGTCTTCATGGTTGGATAAGTGTGTCTTGCAAGTGCCGCATCCATAGATGCGCTTGCCGTTGAGATAGACGTTGTATGTGAGACCCATGGCGGGAGATGATGCGATAGCAAGCTCGTCCGGAGGTGTGTTTGCGGAGGTGGGTTGCGAAGGACGTGGGGGTGGATGGTTGGGTGCGAAGAGGGAGGAGGAGGGAAAGAAGGAAATATAACCAGTGGAAGATGCGAGAGACCAGTGATGGGAAGCGGCGGCGGAAAACACTGTGGACAGGCGTTACAGGTATGTAGTAATAGAAGGCTTGTTTGAGAGGTCTGGAATGATGGGACCAAAAGCGGCTGTGGCTACGAAGCGCACTCAAGTACGGTAAGTCTTCTCAACGGGTGGACCTTGTGACCAACATCAACTGTACATGGCTGATGGGATAGGAGAGAATGAATATATGTAGATGAGATAGATTTCCAAGCGACAGCTTACTCTCGCAACGATAAGCAGCTTATTTTCAGATGTACCTCCGGTTGCTTGCCAGGTAGATGGTAGACGGCTGGCTGATGGTTGCAGGTCGTCGACAGCAACGGCGGGGAGCTCTCTCCTCCGGCCGGATGGAGCACGTGGTGATAAGATATGGGAGCAAGGGCACGGCAGCATTGACCAGGGCACCCCAGGCACGACGGCCAAGACGATGACAGCATCCTATTTTACTTTATGTCTCCAAGGACAATGGCATAATATTATCCACGCGACAGATGAATGCAGCTCTCGGTTGCTGTCCATGGTCCAGGGAAGGGAAGACTTGTTGTGAATATGGACAACGAGAGCATCGACCCGCGGCACATATGTTACTCCCCCCCGGCGGCTAACTCAAATGCCTCTCCCCAGTCATGCTGAGTACCCCAAGGCTGGTCGTGGAGAAGGATCGCCGTTGTGAGCCACTCAACCGTCATAGAGGAGCATGGGATTACCAAAAGCAACGGTGGAAATGCCTGGGCATCATAGTGAGCCGTTGTTTCCCATTGGCGTGAATCCAGGAGGTTGGCGATGATAGGACAGCTCATCACTTCTCACTGCGGCAACGGTAAACAAGCTCCTGGGGTCACGTTTGTTCTGCGGGTGTCATTGGCAACGCCAGCTGCAATCACCAACCACCTGGAGGGGGATTGGACGAGGAGAGCAGATGTGAAGTGAGCAACGGCGCTGCTGTGAATTGGTATGCCTACATGTACATGTCTGGAGGCAGGTGCAGCTGGGGCAAGTCTGCTAGGTCATGTATGGATGCCGGCCAGGCAGGTTAGCAATCGTAAGTGGATAGAGAGATGGGCGGGGGGATGAAAAGCAAGAGACAATCGATTGCGTGCCATGTGTCCAAAGATTGAATGGCTTGGGCGGCCGACTTGGACAAGCCACCGAGGAGAAAAAGTTGCTTGAGCTTGATATGTATATAGCGCATCAGCTCTTTCTTCATCGACGACCGACCGACCGACTGACTGACTTGTTGCGTCTGGCACTGCTTCGTTGTTCCTGTTCTTCATTGTTCGTCTTGTCTCCCGTCTCACACACACTGTCCCCCCCCGAACGCACGCACGTACTCAGCGGCACTTAGCGAGCAGCCAAACCGATTCGGCGGCGGCGGCATAGAAAGTGCTAGAAGCCTTCCGCAGCCAGCAGCCCGATTTTTTTTAGGGACCGCCCACCAGACCAGACTTTGACTGCAGGATAATAGGCCGACTAAATTTCAAGCGTCACCTAGGACTCGCTCTCTTCTCCTCTCGCCTCCCATGGTTTTAACCTCCATTTTCGCGAAATCCTCCAAAAAGTCAAAGCAGCAGAACGGCTCGCCTACGCCCGACCTGAAGCATTCCGCTTCCACTACTACTACCACGCCAGGCTCCCCTTCCCTGCCATCGTCGCCCGAGAAGAAGTCTCAAAAGTCCCACCAGAAAGTAAAAGATCGGGAACGCATCCGCCGCTCCGGCTCGTATTCTTCCAAGCGCTCGTCCAAGTACGACCGCGACTCACATCCGCTCAATCTTCCGCCCGACGAGCTGCGCCGCCTGTCTTCTTCTGCCATGTCTGCTATGGCCGACCACCAGCCCATGGACATAGACAGGGACTCCAACGCCTCGCCGACGCCTGCACCTTCCAGCCCGGCCGCTGCCCAGACCCCGAACCCTCTACAAAAGCCCAACGGCACAAATGGAGATGACTCGAAGCCTGCACCCCCTCCTCACAGATACACCACCAGCCCACCGCCTCAGTCAGCAAACTATGCCGCAACACCAGAAGCCGCATCTTCGCCCGTACAGCCTCCCACCATAGACGCCGAGGAGTACAAGGCTGCAGGAAACAAGTTCTTCAAGATAAAGGACTATCCTGCAGCCATCAAAGAATACTCCAAAGGTAAGCGTCGAATCCCCACACCCCCAATCTATTGGGTCGTGTGCAATCACATATACTAACTCTGACGTCTAGCAATCGAGGCTGATCCGAAAAACCCCACCTATTACTCCAACCGCGCTGCTGCCTACATATCCGCCAACCGTTTCGTGGAGGCATTGGAAGACTGCAAGGTGGCCGATGAGCTGGACCCTGGGAACATGAAAATTGGTCTCCGACTAGGCAGGGTGTACACTAGCCTGGGTCGGCCAGATGAGGCCCTGGCCGCCTACCAAGCTATCAATGCTACTGCCAAGGACATGCAGCCCGCCGTTACTATGCAACGTCATTTGCAAACCGCCGAAGATACACTGCGGAATGGCCAGGCGGGCTCGATGATCATCTATGCGCTCAATGAAGCGGAGCGGGGTCTTGGAGCTCGTGTGGACAGGCCACGCAAGTGGACTCTAATGCGCGGTGAAGCACACCTCCGAATGGGTAATGTCAATGCCCTTGGTGAGGCGCAAAACATTGCTATGAGTTTGCTGCGAAACAACAATCAAGACCCTGAGGCGTTGGTACTGCGCGGCCGTGCGTTGTATATGCAAGGCGATAACGAAAAAGCCATCCAGCACTTTAGGCAAGCGTTAAGCTGTGACCCTGACTTCAAAGACGCGGTCAAATACCTTCGAATGGTTCAGAAGCTGGAGCGTACAAAAGAAGAAGGAAATGCGTCTTTCAAGTCCGGACGCATCCAGGAGGCCATCGATACATATACGAAAGCTCTGGATATTGACACATCGAACAAAAACACTAATTCCAAAATCCTACAGAACCGAGCACTCTGCTACACCCGACTCAAGAAGTGGACACCTGCTATCGCCGATTGCGACAAGGCTCTTGAGCTAGACCCCAGCTACACCAAAGCACGAAAGACGAGAGCCAAGGCACTGGGCGAATCTGGCAATTGGGAAGAGGCAGCTCGTGAGCTGAAGTCAATCCAGGAAGCCAATCCTTCAGAGCCCGGCATCGCCAGAGACATCAGGAACGCTGAGCTCGAGTTGAAGAAGAGCAAGCGCAAAGATTACTACAAGATTCTTGGAATCCAGAAAGATGCTACTGATACCGAAATCAAGAAGGCGTATCGTAAACTAGCCATTGTTCACCACCCCGACAAGAATCCGGATGATCCCGACGCGGCGGAAAGGTTCAAGGAGATCCAGGAAGCTCATGAAACTTTGAGTGACTCCCAGAAGCGTGCGCGATATGATTCTGGAGAAGATCTCATGGAACCTGAAATGGGAGGGTTCCCCGGGGGAGGAGGTGGCATGGGAGGCATCGATCCTGAAATCCGTAAGATCAAACTACGCTATTCTGCTGAAATCACGCTAACCAACCATAGTAATGCAAATGTTTGGAGGTGGTATGGGAGGCGGAATGGGCGGTGGCCGCGGTGGTGGGGGAGGTTTCCACTTCTCTTCTGGCGGTGGCGGAAGCCCCTTCGGCGGTATGCCTGGTGGTGGGGGACAGAGAGGTCAACAGTTCCCTGGAGGATTCCCCTTCTGAGATGCATCAGCATCATAATTTCGAAAGGTCTGCGTCTTACGCCCGAACGTACACTGCTCATTGCCGGGCCTGGACCTCCTCGCTCCAACGTGGCATTTTGCAGCACGACGAACCTGTGTTGTTGAAGCATTTGCGGGTTTTGGAGTTGGGTATTACGGTGATAGCGCGAGCTCCCCCTGAAACGATGCTTGGGCAGACATCAACTGTCAGCTCAGGCTTTGTTTTCGGGTCATAACTGGTTCCTTGCGCTTCCAAAGTGCACTCATAACATTGACCCGTGTTGATTTTGCTAGTTAGTATCAGCATTGCCGGCGTCATCCCTTACTTTCAGTCACATAGACGTTGACCCTTGGCGGATGGGGGCACACGATAAAGGAATCAATCCGTCAATCTACTTGCATCATGAAAGTCTCTTCTGATAACGTGTCCTCGCTTTATCAATTGCGACCAATCATCGGATTGGGGAATGCAAGACATGCATACGATTTATTTCATACCATGCTTTCGGAATGACGGTTTCCGATTTCCGATCAGATGGTCTGTCCGCCGCTTAGCTCCCGAGCTTGATGCCACCTTTGACTTTGACACCTCACCAAAAGTGATATAAACTACCGGATCCCACCTTTTGAGTTTACGAGGGCATTGCCAATTCAGACTTAGGTGTACCGTCTTTTATTTAGTACATTTTGAACATCTTTGGTCAATAAGCTGCTTTTCTGGCCGAAGCCTGGCTTAGTATTGCAACGACCCGCCTGCAATCTGCAAACCCGCTTGCTTGCTTAGCAGTACAGTTTCTATACAGCATGGCGCGCACAAAACCCGAATCGATTCGTCGCACACCATCAGAAACACTGGCACAGAATGGAAGTACTAATGGCTCTATACGGCGTCGTCGCGAAAGCGTGACTGAGAGCATTGAGCACAAGCTGGAGGAAGTTGCGGAAGCTGCGGCGCGCAACCCACAGGAACAGAGGCAGTCAGGACTTTTTGCCTTGGCTATATGCGTGGGCGGAATCTATGCAAGCTTGTAAGTCGGCAGACCAATTCTGAAGTACATAAAAAAGCTAATCCATTGAACAGCTTGAGCTGGGCCTACCTCCAAGAGAGGATCACGACGACGACGTACGGAGAGAAAGAGTCGCGCTTCACCTACTCCATCTTTCTCAACACAATCCAATCTGCATTCGCAGCATGCACCGGCGCAATCTACCTCTTCGCCTCGTCTCCGCGCGACCCCAAAACCGCCGCCCGCAAAGTCCCGCCAATTTTTCCTTCCAAAGCTATCCTCTCGTCGCTTCTCCTCATCGCTATAACCAGCAGTCTCGCCTCTCCTTTCGGATACGCAAGTCTTAAACACATCGACTACGTTACCTTCATTTTGGCTAAGAGCTGCAAACTCCTGCCCGTCATGTTCCTGCACATCACTCTGTTCCGCAAAAAGTACCCTGTCTACAAGTACCTCGTGGTCGCATGCGTGACGCTCGGCGTCGCCGTCTTCACCCTCTACAACCCGTCCACAGCCAAGAAAGCAGCAAAGAAGGGCGTCAGCGCAGACGCGAGCAAGACGCTGGGTCTCTTCCTGCTGGGCATTAACCTTCTCTTCGACGGCCTCACCAACACAGTACAAGACCACATCTTCACCACCTTCAAGGGCTTCACAGGCCCGCAGATGATGTGCGCCCAGAACATCATGAGCACCCTCCTCACAGTAGCCTACCTCGTTCTCTCGCCCTATCTCGCCGCAACCCCTCTCGGCTCCGCGGTTGGACTATCCCCTTCCTCGGGCGGTGAGCTGAAAGAGGCTCTTGCTTTCGTCACCACGTATCCAGCCGTTGGTTGGGATGTTCTTGCGTTTGCGGCGTGCGGCGCTGTTGGACAGGTCTTCATCTTCCACACGCTCGCGCACTTTTCGAGTCTGTTGCTCGTGACCGTGACGGTTACGCGCAAGATGCTGACCATGCTGATGAGCGTTGTGTTGTTTGGGCATACGGTCACGGAGATGCAGTGGGCGGGTGTTGGGCTGGTGTTTGGAGGGATTGGCGCAGAAGCGTGGTATCAGAGCCGCGAGAAGATTGCTAAGAAGAAAGCTGCTTCCGCTGCGAAGAAGCAGTAGAACTAGATGGTGGTATTGTTGTTGTCGTTTTTGTGTTGGACTATGATTTGTCTGATGTTTAGTACATGTTACATCAAGGTTAAGAGGGAGATACCGAGAAGATCTTTGGCCATGTAGATCTGTTTTCCATTTTCTTCTTTTCTTGGCTCGTTGCGTTTCTTTCTTTTCTTCTCTTTTGCTTTTTGTTTTTTTTTCGAACGATACCACATACAACCCTGGGACGCATAGCAAGTAAAGTGGCACTGCGTAGTTAAGATATGATACGATAGATACTGTGGTAGATAGAAAATCGTTGCCTTTCTGTTACTCTCATCCTCATTTTGAGTTTCGCGCAACGCAGGAATGAGAGAAACTGTGTATTAGGTGATATTAGATCTACGGTTTAATGAATTTGCTCCTACGCTCCGTATGCTAAGTATACAAGATTCTTCAGACCATCTCTTCCCCCTTTCTCCATCTTGTGATGAAGGCCATCCCCGATTCCCCACAACGATCTTCCTCGTCATCACATGAGATGACAAGTACAAGCGTTGAATAATATACGTTCAGGCTGATGCCCAGGTGCTCAGACAGGCCACCGGCAGAATGTCGACATGTTCACCCAATCCTGGCGATCTCATGTGAGACACTTGTGCAGCACCAGTGCACCATTGCAGAGCTATCACGAACGTGTCGATAGCCTCAAGGAGCCGCCCATCATCTTCTCTTTTTTGCTTTACCGCCCGCCTTTCCTGTGCTAGTAGGATTGGAAGATTTAGCCGTCTCCGTCGCTTTGCCGTTGGCCGCAGACTTCGAGGTCGCCTCATCCATGCTCTGGGTGTTTGCCTTGGGCAAGAACTTGCCGACCTTCTTCTGATAAACTTTGTACTCGGGGTATTTTTGCGCGCTCAGCTTCTCGGTTAACCACGTGCTGGCCTGGAAGAGGATGAGGTACGAGAAGGCGGCAGAGAAGCACCAATTCATCCACGTGAAGCTTTCGAGGCAGCACCACTGGTATAACAGCACCCAAACGCCCTGCTCAGCGGCGAAGTTGGGGTGGCGCGAGTATGACCATAGTCCACTCGTGTTGAAGCCGCGATCGAGCTGCTCGCGTGTATAACTGAAGTTCTTGGGGACCTTGGCGGTGCGCTTATAGAACTCTTTAGCTTGGTGGAAGTTCCATTGCTGCTGGTCGGCGTAGAATTCGACGATGATGGCAAGGAAAATAAGTTTGGAGAATACGGAGTCATTGGTGGAAAGCGAGTTACCCGATACGCGCGAGCAGAGGAGGAGAACGTATGTAGGGGCTGTGACCAGGAAGAGGAGGATCTGGGACTGGTTAGCTTGGACTGTCCAACCCTGACTGGAAAAAGTGGACAAGGACTTACGTTTTGCGATAGGGAAATGAAGATGATGTTGAAAACAAACATGACATACGGTCCCACAAAGTCCTTTACAATGTTCCATCTATAGTCCTCGGATCCTATCGAGTATCCGCCTTTGCGCCAGTAGTTGAAGGTTAAGCGAGCCCCCCAAAGAACAGTGACAGCCATGACATGATCCAGCTTCTGGGACGGGATACCAGATTGGTGAGCCCACAAGGTATAGTGACAGTTGTAAATGACTGGGAGAATACTCCACAGCCTATCTACCTGAGAGTAGTTCCTGTTTATTTCCGAAACGATGAGGACAATTGGGGTCATAAAGAGGGCGAAGGCAAGACCAGTTATGAGAGGATTCGTGGAGAGATAAATGTACTGGAGCGCTTCCCAATTGTTGTAGTTCTCCAGTATCTTCTGCGGTAGTTCGTACAGCTGCGGTATGTATGGGACGACGGTGGCATAGAAATCTGCGCATTCGGGCAGGGTTCTTACGGCTGGCAAAGCCACATCCAGGGCGGGTCGAAAGTCCAACATGATTGATGGGGGCCGGGAAGAGTTGCTGAGGAAGAATTCAGCAAGCAGACGGGGCCGGGAGACCTTTTGTTGCCTATGGATGGGGCTGTGCAAGTCGTTTCCAGGTTAGATGTGACGAGAGTGGAAGTAGAAGCTCTGGCGTGGCATGGCGTCATGGAAGTGTGGTTGACTTGGAGATCGCTCGCCTCGCTAACTCGCATAGAAAGTGTCTGTGCGGCTGCTAGACTCCAGATGTCGACGCGTTGACGCGCTTTCACATGACTCAGGAAAACGAGCAGGAACATTTGAAAGGCAACTTGAATAACGCACTCGACGTCTTTCGTTTCGGTCTGCGTACGGATCGACCTCGTAATGGCCAGGATCTTGTGTGTAGCAGAGAAGCCGTCTATCGCCAAAGCTGTTGCAAACCATCTGGGCGGCCAAGCACGAGCTGTGAGTGGAAATACCTATACCTGCTACACATTGATCTCCTCAACTTGGACTGACTTGGGATATTTGCAGGACAACGTTCGCGGCATACAGTGGGTGAAGAATTACAAGTTCGACTACAACTTCCAATCATGGGGTCAGAGTTCGGTGACTTTTACGTCCGTGGCTGGCCACATCCAAAACATGGAGTTCCATACTAGATATCAAAAATGGACTGGATGCCAACCGAGTGAACTCTTTGATGCCCCAACGGAAGTTTTTGTCGCAAAGGTATATGGGATTGCTCCAAATATCGATTGGATTTCTGATGCCTACACAGGATAAAAAACCCATTGCAGACAACATTGCATCCCTAGCCGCCCATGCTACTATTCTGTTCATCTGGACCGACTGTGATCGTGAAGGAGAGCATATTGGGTCCCAGGTTCGCGAAATCGCCCTCAAAGCCAACCCGAACATGCAAGTTTGGCGGGCAAGGTTCAGCAACATAGAGCGAGCGTACGTATGCTGCCCGGCTGCTTTCCCATTACTTACTGAGTTCCATCACAGTCATATTATTCAAGCAGCGGGAAATCCTATTCGTTTGGACGATGCACAAGTTAGCGCTGTTTCCGCTCGCATTGAATTGGATCTCCGCCTAGGCGCAGCTTTTACCAGAATGCAGACACTGGCACTCCAGAACATGATGCCCCAACGCGATGATGTTAAAAAAGTCATCAGCTACGGATCATGCCAGTTTCCTACGCTCGGCTTTGTCGTAGATAGGTATTTGCGTGTTCGAAATTTCGTGCCAGAGCCATTCTGGTACATCAAAGTGGTGCACGAGAAAGACGGAATCAATGTCAAATTTACATGGAGGCGGGGTCACCTCTTCGATCGAATGGCTGTCATCATCATTTTTGAGCGGTGCGTGTCGGCAAAGGTAGCCAAAGTGACCAAGACATCCAAAAAGCCAACGAAGAAATGGAAGCCATTACCACTAACGACAGTTGAGCTTCAAAAAATGGGCAGCAAATTTCTCCGCTTGACATCTCAAGATGTCATGAAAACGGCAGAAGCTTTGTACACCAAAGGCTGGATCAGTTACCCGCGCACTGAAACGGACCAGTTCGACCGAGGGATGGATTTGCGCAAGCTTATAGAACGGCAGCAGCAAGATGGACGGTGGGGACCATTCGCTCAGAGCTTGATGAATGGCGGTTTTAATCAGCCTCGAAACGGGCGAAACAACGACAAGGCTCACCCTCCCATCCATCCGGTGAACTACGTGGCACCAACACAACTCAATGATAACGAGAGACGTGTCTACGAATTTGTGGTGCGTCGATTTCTCGCATGCTGCTCCGAGGATGCAGTAGGCGAAGCAACAGATGTGGAAATCGAGTACGGAGGAGAGAATTTCCACGCTCACGGTCTCACGGTGATAGCGAGGAACTATCTGGACGTTTACCCATACGACAAATGGGAGAGCAGCCAGAATCTTCCGCAGTACACGGTGGGCGAGCAGCTAGAGCCCAAAGAGTCGAGCATGGAGGAAGGCAAAACGTCTGCACCCAGCTATCTGACAGAACCGGAGCTCATTGCTCTCATGGACGCCAACGGAATCGGCACTGATGCCACGATGGCTGACCATATTGGAAAGATCAAAGATCGCGAGTATGTGATGGCGCGCGTCAAAGGGGCAGCAGGTGGGAACGGTGGAGACAGCGCGGGTGGTAATGGAAGAGGGAGAGGCCGAGGCCGAGGCCGCGCAGGAAGAGGAGGACGTGAAGGAGCAGCAGCAGGGCATGGTGAGGGAGGAGCGGGAGGAGCGGCGAATGGAGGGGTGCAAGAGTTCATCCCCACCACGCTGGGGATAGCACTCATTGAGGGATACGACAATGTGGGGTTCGAGACGAGTTTGAGCAAGCCATTCTTGCGTAAAGAGGTGAGGTTATGGTGGGGGTTACTCTGGTGAAAGGCATGTGCTAACCAAGGGTCGGCAGATGGAGGTGCAAATGAAGGCAATCTGCGAAGGACGCAGCTCGCGCAACGACGTGGTTCAGCAGAATCTGGACCAGTACAGAGCCGTGTTCATACGCACGACGCAGCAGATCAACGTTCTGAAAGCTGTAGGTTGAGAGGGAAAAACTGGGACGTTGAAGAGTTTTGTAACTAACGTGGAGCAAGGCCATTACCAAGTACGTTGTGCAGCCGAATCAGAATTGAGGCAGACAGCACGCGGAACGAAGAAGCAACACGTGGGCCCAGGTCAGCCTCACAGAGCCGAATGGCAGCATAGCGAGCTACTGTATGACTATGCAGCGATGGATGCTATGCTCGACGGACATGAGGAATAATATGGGACGGGTACTCAACATTGATGGTTTGCATGCATGCAGAAGTCTGTATAAACAGCAAGGAGGATGCGAAGAGGGGGGAATGCCGGTGGTAGAGGTCCACTTGGCACGAGGCAGCGGGGTGATGTGTGGACGAGGGAGCGAGTTGAGATGGCCACACGTGTGGTTGTGGGGTGCTATCTTTCGTCGTGGGTGGTCGCGGGCTAGGGCGAAGTCGGAGCAGCGGGGGCAGCCCCGCGCCACGATAACGCCAATGGTGTTGAGGCTGGCTGGGGGTGGACGGATGGATGGTGTTGGGATATCGACGATTTCGGCTGCGCACGGAGAGCACGAGTAGGCAGTGGGGAAAAAGGTTGGGGACAGAGCGGGATCGCACGGCTGGGCAGCAGCAAGCGGACCTTGGATCCACCACAAGCAGCATGTACCTGTACAGTGGTCGCAAATTGACACAATCAATACAGATGGTTTGATGACTCTTTGCTGTTTACAGTACTCGGTAATGTTATCCGCGGTGGTTGGTGCGTGAATCAAGGAATGAGTGGATGGTGACTCGAGCTCACAACAACAGTGACGGCAAACGCCGCAGCCATGTTTCGGGCTGGCGAGGGCAGATCGGAAACAGCGTGTAGAAGGGCCATGACTAGGTCAGTAGATAGGAGAGAGAGTCGAAGGACACGTAGTTGAGGTGAGAGATTATCAGCGCGCGCGCACACACGATGACGCCACGGCTGAGTGGAAATGGATGACGAGATGGCAGGCTGAGGTGGGCCATGCCATGTCAGGTATTGCTGTCGTAACGTACGGCGGCATGATGCGTATGCGCGCGTGGGTGTATTTTTGAACCTGTATTGTCATCGTCGTCGTCGTCCGGACTGGGTTGGGTGTTGAGTAAGGATGTAAGGATGTAGGTACCACTACGTACGCGGCGCGGTCATGGGGGGCAAGGGGAAGGGGTCAGCTGCAACCAAGGCCAGTTCCAAAGCTGCCTGGCGTGGGCTGGCCAGGAAAGCCCGCACGTTTCCGGGAACAAGCAAGTGTCTGGGTAGGTAGTCAGCCAGGCAAGCAGGCACAGACAGCGCACCTGCCCTGCCCTGCCGCGACCGCAACCGCAACCGCAACCAGGCGCACGACCTTATCTTGCGCCTGCATCCCCTTCTCATCAACCCCAACAACAACACTTCCACTTCCACATCTTGAACACACTTGTCCCAGAAGCCATCCATCACTTGACCTGTCTAGCTGCATCACGCTGCTTTGCCTGCGCCCCGGTTCACTACCCACAACCAAGCACTACCTACTGTCGCTCGCATCCTCGATCGCCGTCTCCCGTCGCTGATCCTATCGCCGATCACCAACTGCGTTCCGAACAGACAAGCTACTCCTTTGCTGCAGCTTGCCTTCGCCTCCACAAACTCCCCCTCACAACCGACGCGCTTGCTCCTCGCTCGCACGTCTATAAATCCAGCACACGAGACGGCATCGCTGCTGTCTTGCTGTTTGCCCCTTGCGCTGTCCTGCTAGTCAGACAGCGCTTTCCACTGAGTCATCGTGTCATCCGCCCATTCCGACTCCCCCCCAACGTTCAGGACCGACCGGCAACATGGCTGCTATCGCATTCTCCAAGCCAGTCTCCAACATCGCCGCTGCCTTTGCGGCCCAGTCGGCTTCCTCGAACATCCCCATCCACCAGCCCGACTCCACTGGGCGTCATGGCCCCGGCCCGCTGCCCACTCCTCCGCACTCCATCTCGCCGACGCTATCCGCCCACAAGGCCCGTCCTAGCCTCCATGCTCGCGCACGCGCCTCTGAACCTGCCGAAATGGATATAGACTTGGAGGATGCCGTCGAGCATGCCAAAGCCCAGGACCAGCCTGCTTCCGCACTCTCCAAGGAGGCTCTGGCCGGTCTGGATGCCACTCGTCAGATCACCGCCATCATGCTCGCTAAGCACCATCTCCCAGGAATCATTCTGGGTCACGGCGCCATGCCCATCCGCGAGATGATGGCCCATCTGACCCAGTCAGTCCCAGGCTTCTCCCGCTTGGCCCCTTCCAAGGCCCGAAGGCTCGTGGTTGCCGCGCTGGAACATCGCGCTGGCGGTGGCCTTCATGGCGAGGTCAAGTTCGAGAAGGTCGGCTGGGGCCGTTGGAGCGTTGCGGGACACGCAAACCACACCGACCGTGGACTGCCTATCGGCGCTCACGGTAGGAATGGGCCCACTCCACCAGCTAGCGTGGATAGCAACTCCGATGGCCTCCTCCGGTCCAAGAACATGCGCAACGAGCGCGATGTCTATTCCGGTAGCTGGAAGGCTGGCACTCCCGATAGTCGGGACGAGGAGATGGCCGACCACATGTCTTTGGACGGCTCCGAGGACACCGAGTCCGACACGTCCGACATGGATCTGGAAAACGATCTGAACGACGACACGGACGAAGAAGACTGGTCTTCGATTGGACCAGAAGCTCTTCGCCAGAAGAGTCGTAACGCCCGCCCCGTGTATCGCGATTATAACTACCTTTCCCGAACATCGGGCGCGCGTTTCCGCTCAGTTTCAGCACAGTCTGTGCCCCTTTCTCATGCCGCGAGGACCACCACCCCGGCCTTTAATTCTTCTTCTTACACTGCATCCCGCGGTAACGCGGGCACTCTTCATGCATCAAGCGGCGCTATGGGCTCTGGAAACCCAAACGCAGAGCGCGAGGCCATTGAGGCCTTGATTGCCATGGGTTCCATGTAACGATTATGACATGGAAATCGGCGTTGTTTACGAACCTGTTTTTTCACTGGTTGTGCCAATGGGATATACCAACAACAACACAGCCGCACTCATCTCCTGGCTCCCGGATGGACTCCTGGAGCTTTACTTTCTTCCCCGTTCTTCTTGCGCTATTTCATACCCCCCTCCACCGTTGATTGGAGAAGATCCGTCAAGTGCTGATGCGATCCACCTGTTTGGGTTTACCTAGGGTCTTGTCTTTTCACCGCTTCCGACGTGCTATTTCTACATGATATCCTCACTGTATTCTGCTTCTCGTGCGTTATTTTTGGGACAGCATTCGGCAAAATGGGCTAGATGCTTTCAACATAGTTTCTGGCTGCGGCATAGGGAACAACGGATCGGGTTGGAAGACTTTGAGCTTGTCTTCCCCGATTCTATTCATCTATGGTTGCTGACCCCAAGATGTTTTTTGTATATAATTTTGGTCAATATTTTGACAAACACACAACGCAACAGCTCGATTGCGATTATCCAACCCTCGAAGAAGGATGGAAATTGGCAGCGCGGGCTAGTTCCCGTCGCGCCAGCCACACTCCAATCAATCACATCATTACACACGTACATGCATGCCCCATGGTCAATCGCCTTCTTGTACGGAAAGAAAGAATGACTGGCGGGCATGTGTGTTGTTGATCATCCTATTGGAGAAACGTCTCGCTCCCTCTTTCGTTATCTGATGTGCGTGATGTTCTTTGTGAATATAGAGCGCGTGGAAGCTAAAAGGTGGTGTTTGTGAATACAATAGATGAACTGGGAGAGTGAATGGGTACATGTCACAGTGCAGGGAGAGCTGGTATAGGGGAAACTGACAGATACTTTGTCTCGCATGAGAGGAACAACAATTATGAAGCTGTTCTAGTGTTGTTGCAATTACATTGGTACATCTAACTCACGGCTAGCACCTTCCTGATAGAGAACTATGCCCAGCCCAAGTTACCAAGTCAACTTCCAACTTCCAAGACGACCTTCCCTCTTGGAAAACTCGGAACCACCGCAAGGATATGGATATCCTTTCGGAATGTCATGCCGGAAGAGATATCACATGTATGCTGAGACTATAAGGCCGAGTTCGCTCCATAGCTAGCCACCTTTCAAGATGACCTGCCCGTCTCGGCATGATTACAAGATCTTCACTCGCTACTTTCTTTGCATGCGGGGACCCCATGGGGCGAGATCCATGAACCGATCTTGGATTCCAAGCAATCCTTGGGACAAGGGGTATTCATTATATATGTCAGGCCGTTTTCTGTCATCTGTGTACTAGAGTCGAGTCCTCTTGAACATTAATCCCCATCTATCTAAGCTTTGACCATTGTGTACCTACACCCACGATTTGGAGAAGTGATTAGGACATCAACGCCCACACAGAGAAGAAGCAGTAAACAAGTATTACCAGACAAAAGAGAAGGAAAAGATGGTGAACCCAACAGACATCTTCGCCGCTTTGGCGGGTACATATACGCTCCTCAACACGAGCTCGTACGTTCCCATTCCGTATCCTCCATCCCTTTCAAAACATCCCTCTTCTCTGCCCAATGTCTTCCATACTTAACCCATCTATCTCACCCCCTCTCCCTTCCCCAATGTCTTTTATACTGAACCCATCCATCCAACCCACTCCAAACTAACTCCCCTCCCAAAACAGCACACTCAACGGCACCGCGGTCCCCGACCTCGCCTATGGCGAAGCCCCCATCGGCCTAATAACCTACACAGCAGCAGGCTACATGTCGGCAACCCTCGCAGCCACCGAGCCGGACCTCCGCCCGGCCAACCTAACCTTCCCATTCCAAGCCTCAGACCCAGACTCCCTCTGGGCGCTCGTAGGCAAGCATTCGCTCGCGTACGCGGGGCCCTTTCGCGTCAGCGACGCTATACCTGCCAACGAGACGCATGGACAGATTTTCCATGGTCCGCTCGTTGTCGCCAATGTGCCGGCTTGGGTTGGGAGCAGCCAGCGGAGGAATTACTCGGTCATTGATGAGGGTGGGGAGAGGTATTTGAGGATTGAGAGTCGGAGGGATGCTGGGAATGAGGGGGTGCTTTGGTGGAGGAAGGTTGCTTGATCGATTGGGAGACTTGGATTTTCTTCTTTTTACGTCTGTTTACTCTTTTCTCCATCAAGATACGGGATTGGGGTCGTGGATCGAGTAAGTTGTGTCATGGGGGAGTGTCTGCTGATATATAGTGAGGTCGAAAATGCATCGCTCCTATCGTGGACTTCGGAAATCATTCAGGGATCATCTATTTCTTGATCGAATGAATCTGGAGATCTTCTCTTCTCTTCATGTCGCATATACGTCGGCTTAAGCACTGATTCATCCAGTTTCTCTCATATGCTCTGTTTGCAAAGTAAAGATGTATATCCATCTCTGGACCTATTTCTGCAGAAAACGACATCAGACCAGGAGAGTTCCTCTCTCCGTGGTCTTCTTGTTGCAAATACGCATGGGTGGTGCGTTAAGAGTCGGGGGCAAACATGATTCAAGAATGAGGTACTTTGTCATAGATTTGTGGTAAAGTCCAGTTCATGAGTTGAGAGGTGCGTATTGATCTGCTTATCAGTAGGTTTCCTCTACTCCTGTTATGCATATCCCTAATCGAGGTGTCCAGAATTTCGAAGTTCCAGGCTATTGGTACAACTGACAAGGGCCGAACACTGAGTGGAGCTTAGGGATCCACTCGCAACCGACCTCGCATCCAACGCTGCTTCAATCTAGGCTGGTACCTGAATATCTAACATGACCAAAATCCATCGGAATTGGAATTTCCGATACAACCACCAAAGAAGATTTTATAGACCGGTGACAGCCGCACTTAACCATTGAAATATCCCATCAAGACTCTGCCATTGCCATGTCTTGCCATGCTATACGTCCTGTATGGCGCTAGCGCTTGCGTATCTCTCACGCGAGATCGCGTTTCCGCGCCCAGTATACCGCCATGCCTCCAACGGCATGGTCGCCGCCAATTCGGTCTCTCAGCTTGTAAAATCTTCAATCACGACATCGACACCATGGTCCTTGGGACGCACAGGGCCCATACATTTTCAAGTTGTTGGGTAACAAATTGCCTGGATACCTTGCAACGGGAGCACGCCTTTCGGCCTTGTCCGAAAAAATGAGCGAAATTCACTTCACTATTGTCATGCGACATGCTGGACGCTGGAATCGATGATGCTATGCATCTTATTTAAATATTGGTGATCCCCATGAGTTTGATATCAGCACCGCCACTACATAGCGAAGAGGGTCACTCTTTTCTTCATCCACTGACAACATGTCGACGTTCTTCTCTAAACAACCAGATGCTGTTGCTTCCTCTCCTCTCGACAACACCGCCAAGGACGACTCGACCCCATCTGATATCGATCATGGGAATGGCTCTCTGTATCATGTAAAACAGGCGAAACGCCAGATCGGCGTCACGTCTGCCGTCTTCCTCATATTCAATCGAATGATTGGAACCGGTATCTTCGCGACGCCCAGCGCCATCTTCTCCCTCTCTGGCAGTGTCGGCCTTTCGCTCTTCATATGGGTTGCCGGTATGCTCATCGCAGCTGCCGGTATGGCCGTCTACCTCGAGTTTGGCACTGCGATCCCACGTAACGGTGGCGAGAAGAACTACCTTGAATATGTCTACCGACGACCAAAGTTCCTCGTCACTGCCCTCTATACGGGATATGTCGTGCTGCTCGGATGGGCTGGCTCCAACTCGGTCGTCTTCGGAGAGTACATCCTTCACGCTGCCAATATCGAGGTCAACCGCTGGAACCAGCGTGGCATTGGTCTTGCCTGTATCACTGCTGCCTTCCTCATCCACGGCACGGCCCTGAAATGGGGTCTTAGGCTCCAGAACCTGCTCGGCATCATCAAACTCTTGATCATCCTCCTCATCGTCGTATCTGGCTGGGCCGCCCTAGGCGGAGCACTACGCATCGACAAGCCCCACAACTTTGACAATGCCTTCGAGGGCACAACAGGTAGCGCCTACGGAGTCGTGACAGCGCTATACAATGTCATCTGGAGTTACATTGGCTACTCGAACGCGAACTACGCACTCTCGGAGACACGCAACCCAGTCCGCACACTCAAGATCGCGGCACCACTCGCTTTAGGCTCGGTCGCTATCCTCTACATGCTCGTCAATATCGCCTACTTCGCCGCCGTCCCTGCCGAGGAACTCCTGAGCTCCAAACGCCTCGTCGCGGCCTCCCTCTTCCGCAACGTCTTCGGCCCCACCGCCGAACGCGCCCTCTCCGTCTTCGTCGCCCTCTCAGCCTTCGGAAACGTCCTCAGCGTCATCTTCTCTCAGGGCCGTCTGGTGCAGGAACTGGGCCGCGAAGGCATCCTCCCATTCAGCCGCCTTTGGGCCAGCAACCGCCCCTTCAACGCACCCCTCGCGGGTCTCTTCGAGCACTGGCTCGTGTCCGTCGTCATCATGCTCGCCCCACCTCCCGGCGATGCCTACAATTTCATCCTAAACGTCATCTCGTACCCGCTCGCCGTCGTCAACGTGTTCGTCGCTGCCGCCCTCGTCCACCTCTACCTCAACCGTCGCGCGTGGAACTGGAACCCTCCCATCAGCGCTACGCTCCCCGTCGTTGTTTTCTTCCTGCTCAGCAACATCTACCTCGTCGTTGCGCCGTTCGTTCCACCTGAGGATGGCAATAGCGTGTATGAGACTCTGCCGTACTATCTGCACTGTCTTGTCGGTATTGCGATTATCCTGGCCGGAGGCGTGTATTGGGTTATTTGGGCTGTTGTGTTACCGAAATTGGGTGGGTATCGGTTGGAGAGGGAGGAGGTTGTTGATAATATTGACGGGTGGGAGAGGCATGTTTTCAAGCGGGTTCCTATCTAAAAGAGAGAGAGAGAGAGAGAGATTTTTGTTTGTATGATACCCTTTTATCCAACCTTTCTTCGAGGTTGAAGCTCTGTTCAAATTAGATTTTGGTTCGTAAATGTTCGGAAGATCAGTGGAAGTGTTGTTGTGATACGAATAACCCTGTTAATTCATGCAAGTCAAAAATTGTGGTTTTTTTTATTGGAAGTTACAAAAATTGTGGTATTGCTTGGGGTTGATGTATCATCGTTTTGCACGTCAAGAGTAAGCCTGGGATCTGAGAAGACGGAACTGAGGATTGGGTAGATGTTAATATCCTAGCACTCCTTCATAATGGTAAACGTTCTTGATGAAGCTAAAGTTCTGATTATACGTGATATTGTTCAAAGTCTGAGCAATGTAAGAAGTTGTTCTATGCATGATATTCCAGGGCGTTGGGCGATGTGCCTTTTACTTGATAACCTGGTTAAATATAATGCATATGTACCTACCTAGGTACCTAGGTATGTACCTGCCTCTATGTAAGCGATCCCATATCATATCAGGATCACACGATGCTCTCTCCGTCTTAATCAGCACATGTACATATGTACATATTTCTTTTAACGAAAAGAAAGCAAAGGAATGAAAAGAAAATAACCACCATTATAGAAGAGAGAAAAAAAAAACCACTCCCTTGGCGCCCGTTGCGCTCCCATAATCCGATTCCACGGGGAAGAAAAGACATGCTTCCTATGTAACCGATGACGAATGCCAACCCTCGCATACTCGAATACGAACGAATCCTTCTCACGAACGAAAGAGAGCAAAATACCCCACACAAGCAAGCAAGGGCCAAACAACACTCGCCACCCGACAGCCCTCGCGGAGGCGTGTCATCACTTCTTACACCTGCTGTTCAGCATGTGCATACATATGCAGATCGCAGCAGGGGAGGCTGGGCCAAACAAAAAACAATGCAAAGTAAGCAAATCTACAGTGTGGGTGAGCCTTTGTGATGTCTATACGTATATTCTTCTATGTAACGTCACAACAGTCTTCCATGTTCAGCCCAGTCAGCCATAAGCACTACGTACCCCGCCTAATCACTCACTCCACAGTTCCCCGTATTCTATCCTTCGGGAGAGGGAGAGGGAGAGGCGAGAAGCAAGACAAGGCTATGCTATTTGCTATGAGTGTACACGGTTGTTAATGTAATCGATCCTTTGTTTTACTCCACGGAGGTACTGTAAGTAGTTGGTAGTAGTTAGCAGCAATAGTACTAAGGGCATACCACTGATTGTTTCTTCGTGTTCGCGGTGCTGCTGTGCTAGGCTGGGCTGAATTGGACGTAGTCATTCCATAGACGATTGGATGCTGTTGCGCCCCATGAATAGAAGAGGGCATTCGAACGCTCTTCTCCGTTGCGTGAAAGCATTTGTTCCACGTGGCATGTGTGTGATGTTACATGTGTGCATTTACGTATCTCGGTATCCGTAACACGAGCACATCTATTTCCTTCGTTTTATGTAGACGGCCATTTACCTAGCGTCTTGTATCGACGTCGAGCATTTGTCTGGGACCAATAGTAGTAATGAATATGAAGATACCGAGGACTGCACGAACAACGCGTAGTGGCGTGGCGAAACGGCCTACTTTGTACGTTTCGTCCATTTCTAGTTTCCACTCAATATCATTGTCCATACGGAGGACTTTCTTGAAAAAACAATGATGGGAGGCTAGGAGTGGGCCTTCGATGTCAAAGGCGGAAGAGCCCGCACATTTCGCGCATTTGTGGATCTTGGCCTAGCCCTGAAAGTTTACCTTTTGCTGGGATTTCGGGACCCGTCGTTTGGATGGGACGTACGCTGTGTATAGAGCAGCTCGGCAAGAGTGGCAAAAACAAATGATTGCAAGGAACAAAACCCAGGAGCTCAACTGACGGCATGCCGAGACGGGAAGGAGGGCAGGAAGCGTTGATTTTGCGTCTGGCCCTGCGTTTACTTGTTTCCGGCTTGGGATTAATGAATTCTTCGCCTCTATCGTAACGCTAAGGGATGATAATGATGCTGCTGACGATGCTGATCCGGCCGCACAATTGACGCATCTCGCGATCCAAGAGATGTTGAGTGGAGTGACGAAAGGCAGAACAAGGGACAGGGACCCCGCTAACCCGCTTCCAGCCGATCTCCCGGATTAGAGCCAACAGTTAGTTCCCCACGCAACCTGCGCAAACAAGGTATAACGTGCCCCTCACGCATCCACCTCTGGCCGCATGGTGATTCGTGGGACGGGGGAGGGGTTTGTCATGGCTGTGAGGTGAGGGAAATGTGCGGACGGTCGAGATGGGTGGGCTGTCTGACCATTCGGTTGCCGTGTGTGGCCCAATGTCAAACTGGTGACTGGCGCTGCTGAGTGCAAGTGGAGTCCTGTGGAGTTTGTTGTTTCGGGAAGGCCTTGCCGCCGTCAGTATAATGATAGGGAAGTACGATGCGGTAGGTGGGTGCTGGCTGGGAAGGAGATATAAGTAGCACCCCTCTTCTGCCCCTCGCTCCTCTTCCCTTTCTTCTCCTTCATCATCAACAAGCAACGACTTCGATCCAAATACCAACCTTTTTCCAACCCCAAACCCAACCCCTTCAAACTCAACTCAACATGCCTGGCTGCGGAACTGCTGGTTGCACTTGCGCCGACTGCGGATGCGCTCAGGGTGCCTGCAACTGCGGCAAATGTTAGTACCCTTCTACCCACTCACCCACTCCCCATCTAGCCCCTCCGTCTAGGCCGCTGTGTGTGAGAATCCCAGGCTGACCATCATGTTCAGAAGCTTCCTCGCCCACAACATGACAGCGATGGCACGGTGCGGTATCCGATAACTCTCCTTCGATTCGATTCGACATTTGCACCCCCTGACCATCCAACAATGGCTTCTTTTCGATTCGGCCGACTGTCCTTTACAATATAACTATACCCCTGGCATACCTGTTGTACACGATCAACCCCGCTTTGCACCCCCTTCCCGGCCATGGCAATAGTGCGTCCGGTACCTTCGCGACCACTCTCCTCGGCTCAACTTTCGATACTGGAGTCCTTTGCTTCCTGATGGGGCTTCAGCAATGGGAGACGATGGCAGGAGGGGTTATTGCGGTGATTTCAGCTAGTCAATTCTGCAAATATTGGAATCAAATCATCCTGTCACATGAACAAGTACTGTAGTTGGCAGAGATCGTGATGCTTACTATGAAATGGCCTCAACTGACAGCTCCTCTCTTACCCACCTCTTCCAGATCGATGACTTCTTCTTCGACCTCCATCTCCGTACCCTTCACCTTGCTGTTCTTGCGCTGCTTACTATTCTTTCCGCCCGCACCTCCGCTTTTGTCACCACCTTGACTAAACGAGTCACCCTCGTCTTCGTCGCCAAACAAGAATCCTTTGCCTTTCATTCGCCGTTTCTCGTCTGATGCAAATGCCGAATGGGCCGTGTTCGAAGCGAATGTGGAAGCCGTCGAATCCTGGCCCAGCATCCAAGAGAAGTTGGAAGACGCTAATGTCGGCCGTGACCGGGGCGACAGGTTGGAGGATGTGGGTGACTTTTGGGTTGCAGGAGGTGACGTCGGACGTGGGATGGACGCTGATGATGCGGACCGCGAGTTTGGACTGCTTGCCAACGGTGGCGCACTCGATGTGCGATCTGGTACCACCGTGGACGGGGTTGTCGGGGTCAGAAGGCTCGCCGTGGCACTCGTCGTAGCTGCTTCCTCCGTCGTCTCATCGACAGGCAGTGGTATCGACGAATCCTCTAGATAGACCTGAACAAACTGAACTTTTGCGATGGCCATGCTCAATGCCTCGACCGATTCTTGTTTCCCTTTGCCATCTTCGCTTTGCTCTTTGTGGTGCTCCCAGAGCTCAGCCACTGCAGTTTCGAGCATTTTGGCGAGGTTCTTGCTCCTCCGTTCCAAACTCTCAATCTTTCTGACGGCGTTGCCCGACTGACTCCGTCCAGCACTTGGCCTGTTTCCCACAGCAGTAGTGACTAACTGTGCTGGTTTGCGGAATTCTCGACCGCCCGCCCGTGGTGTGATCTGACCTGAGCTGGTCCCAGACTGTATAGCTTCAACATTCTTCTTGACTTCTCCTACGGCATCACGAATCACTTTGCTTACTCCCCATTGTGACCCGCGGTCCATAACATTCTTCGCGGCACCTTGAAGGATAGCTTCTATGCTGCCACCTTGCTGTCCCACAAAGCTGCGTGTCGACCCCAAGCTGGTTCTCGGTCGATGCGATGAAGTAACTGGCGGAGATGGAGGGGTATGGATGGTGGGTGGCGGGTTTTCATCAAGCGTCGGCGCTTTCTTGCCGTATCGCGATATAATCTCGGCACCACCTTCTGGGGTGAGATGATCTCGCAGATACAGAGCGTCCTTGATGAATGTAAACGCGGGGGATTTTGGCTCTGGATATCGCAGCAAGAGTGTGAACACTTCGTTGGTATCGGCTGCCACCAGATCCCAGCGTATGCGAAGCAACATAGCCACCGAGATCATGTCGACAAGCTCGAGTGTGGCATCGATGGCGAACAAGGCATCCCACATGTTGAGAACTTCGTCCAGAGGGTACTCACGCCCAAACAATAGCCGAATCCATCGTCTACACAAATTAGCCGGGAATCGAACAGTGAGTTTGAGCTTGCTCTTACAAGAGAAAGATTTGTGGAACGATCTCGAGCTTGGTCAGATGCGCAGCGAGCTCCGGGTCCGCCTTGGGAAGATATCTTTCGAAAATTCGTGAGCATCGTGCAATCATTGGGGTATCTTTGGCCGAAGATCCTGTTTCAGCGGGTGCGTAGAATGACTTGGCCGTCTGCATAATCAACGAGAAGACTGTGAACGAGTCATGCTCGATATATTTGGCGTCAAGCATCTGAACAAGGGAATCATCAACATCCTGGCCATCCGTCTGGGTTGTGTCTACCGCATCTCTTTCCACTACCCATAGCAGAGGCGCCAATATTTCATGCATGCCCTGCCTGTACCCAATTTGCGAGTGCATTTTACACCATACGAACAGGATATCCAGCATCATGTTTTGTGTAGCGGGCTGGCGGAAGTACATGTTCTCAGGCATGCATCGCTCGATGTCCTGGAAGATTTCGGCGCGGAGAGCCTCGTCGGCGCGGAGGGCTTCCCATGGGGACTTTCAAGGCTTAGCACGGGTCAATAGGCGGCGCACGAGCGAGATGGTCAATGGCGTACCTCTGCATTTTCAGTGAGAGGGTCGACGGACGATTCGAATTCGTCGGGATGCTCAATCGCGCGAAGGTAATGAGAATGGAGTGAGCGGTATGTGTTGCGCGACTCGGACAGCCGATTCGGCCATGAGGAGCGGTCCAGAGTCTTGAACAGAAGGAAAATCTGGGGAGATTTAATATAATGTGGGGTACTAAGGTGTCTTGCACTGTACCTTCCAGCAAACCGACCGCAGCCCAGCTGTGATTTGAGGCTCTCTATGCGAAGATACGGCTATCTTCAAGTCGGTCAGAGAGTGGAAATCGTCCAGTTGACGCCAATGCTTCCTATGTCAAGATTAGCTTTCAGGGTCCGGAATCACACTGCAGATGAACGACGCACTCTGCTTCTGGAGCCGTCCTCATGACGAGCAAGACAGGAGGAGTAGTTGTAATTATGGTGTACAAGGCGAGGGGTACTCATGCACCTTGATGTCCGCCACTAATCCATGCGCTGTCGCAATGCGATTGTGGATAGCTCGGAGGTGGCATGCCAGGCGCTAACATCCATCACGTGCGCGGTACACGGATGCATGCCCAGGTGCACAGTGCACACATGTGCATGTGTGCACAAAATGCCGGGCGCACAGAACTTCAACGCACGTTGTACTTGTGCTCCGACTGCATCAATGATGTATGGAGATATGATCTCAATGACGGAAACTTTGATACGTGGATTTTACGTGCTCTCTTTTCGCCCCGAGCTCAACGGCTTGAACCCAAGCGACAGACAGGGCTGAAGACGGAAATACACCATCCTACGGCCTTTCCCCCGTTGCAGTAGAGCGATACATAGGTTTCAATCGACGGCTTGAGCCGCGGTCAGCAGTTGCTGTACGTGCAAGAGATGGCTCAAATACTTGCACTGACTTTGCAGAGCTAAAATTGGAACCGTCGATATATTGACACCACCCGTGGTTCGAATATTGACTCTCCATACACGCTACGTCTATTTTTCCTATTGAGATGAATAGCGCGCAATTGGTTTTTGCACCCATGCGTCAATCGTGAACTGACTATGTTGATTACATGCATATATGTATACAAGTGATGACGAAACCGTCAAGATATTTCCAGAACGCACCGCCTCGGCAATACTTGAATGAGCCGTCGCTTCCCCCGGAACAAACTTGACTCGAGGCTCGAGTCGAGGGACTGATATTGGAAAAAAGGGACGATGTGACATTGATGGGGGTTGGTCGTTCACGGACCACGTACCAAGCTGGTTGCTGGTTGTTGCTACGCCGCACGAACGCGGAACATATCATAGTATATACGTACATGACATGCGGCCGGCAAATGCTTCAATCTACGTCATGATGCGGCAGGCATCGGACCGTTACCATGGGCGTCAGGAATGGGAGTTTGGGCTCCAAATCAGTCCTTGTTGGCAGGAACGGCATTCCTCTGGCTTTGGGTCATCAGGTTGTTGACGAGCTCAGGGCTTATGACATCGCGCCGGAAGCGCTCGTTCTGAAGCAGCTCTAGCGTGCGAAGCGTGGGACCGGGGTGGCTGTAGACGCGTGCTCAGTCATCCGTCGATCAATAAATCAGGCAGGAAATATCATATGCCGCTATAGGACATTCGGGCGGTCTATTGGGAGCTTACTGGAGATATTTGGAGTATTGGGGCTCCTTGAAGTATTGCAGGTAACCAAGATAGGCTACAAAGTCGGGCTTCTCAAACATTTTCTGCGTGGCCAGATATTGGAGGTAGCGAGGATTGGCAAGGCACTGCACAAACTAATAAAGGCACGGGATCAGATTACAGGCGGTTTAAAGGGGGAACATGACGTCGGGCGGGGGGCGGGCGGACCTCTAGCTCGAGCTCGAAGCGCGAGAAGCCTCCGTAGCGGGCTGGTTCGGAAGATGCCATGGTGGATGCGTGGGTGGTGGGAGGTGAAGAGAGATCAAAGGCCTGCTCGATGGTTGTTGGATCAGTGCTTGGGCTGAAGGTTCCAGGTCGCGGATGGAACTGCTGGCCTCAGGGTCTCCCCGCACTCAATGGCGAAGGCGGACGGCGACTAGGTAAAAGCGAGCGAATGATTAGGGGGGTTAAGCGATGCGCCGACTGCGGGCTTGAACCAGGGGCAGGAGGGAACAAGTGCAGCGGTGCGAGCCATAATTTCCACGGGCAGTGGACCGGAGGGAGAGAAGAAAAAAAAAAGTCAAGGCGGTCACGAGGTAGGGGCGGCGGGCAAGGGGGGCACAGCAACAAGCAATTCGAAATGTCCGACGCGGGGAGGGCTGCCAGTCATGCAATTATTGATTCATTCCAAATGTCGTTGCTGTGTGTTTCGTTTGGCCGTTTTGTTGATGCGTACGTGCATACATCAATGTATGTCTATGTATGTGCATGTAGTGTGTAATGGACTCGGGCAAACTACACATGTAATATGTAATAGGTACCAACAGTACACAGGTACATACATTGTACAGCTGCAGCGCGATGGATTCAACGAACCCGGTGATTGCTCGGCATTCACTCCTTCACTCGTCCATTTCCCACCAGCAAACCAGTGTCGATGCAGTGGAAGTCTATGTGCAATTCCAGGTCGGCAGCGTCATCTGCGTCGGGGCCTGTTGTCAGGGGAGATCTCGAGCGCCACCCGCCCACTACGGGCAGTCGGGCACACACACACAGACGCAAACACGACGCTCCACAGACCCTCATAAGCCGCACCGGGCTCTGCATAGCACTAAAAGCCACCGCTATGCACCGCCGGCTCCCTCTTCGTTTGTCGTCTCTCTGTCTGGTTTTGTCTTGTCCTGTCCTGTCTTGTCCGGTCTGGTTTGGTCTGGTCTGGTCTGTTCTGTTGGCCATTACCCGTTGCCCTTGACCTTGAATCCATCCAAGTCACTAATATTAATGACACCTCTTCTCCCTTTAAACCTTGACTCGCCCACTCTCTCCTCTGCTGCTGCCCTTTGCACCCTCACCTTCCCACCTACCCACCCATATACAACCACCACTGCCACCCTCCCCGTTCCATCCACTCCTCCTTTTCCTCTCCTCGACTGTCCCGCCAAGGAATAAGAGAGAGAAAGAGAGAGAGAGAGAGAGAGCAACCAAGAAAAAAAAAAGGAGCAAGCACCCAACATACTACATACATATACTGCATACTCGATTGACACGCCGTCCAACCCAACCGCGGACTGCCAACACCCCCGCCCGCCTAGCCTGCCCCAGTCACTCAGTTAGGCCCACCCAGGAAGACGGTCGTTCGCCAAACGCCGCCTACAAGTATTCCACTTGACAGCATCTTCCTACCTATTGCAGTCTTCGCAGTCTTATCTTCGCTTGCACCCCTTTTCTCCCTTTTTTTTATTACCCATATCCGCATTGCTGGCCGGTTTGCTTCCTTGCCTGCTTCGCCTGCCCGCCTACCCGACCGCTTGCCTGCCGCCCTCTCGACCTATCACCTTACCTTGGCCATTGCGCGTCATCATTACCGTCCTGCCAACTCTCCGACTCTGTGATTCTCTCCCGTCAAGCTTGCTTGCTGCCCCCCTGGACCGTCGCTTGATTGGGCTTTCTGTGGGTACAGGGTTGATAGTAGCGGAAACAAGATGATCGCTGAGTCGTCAATGCCTGGTATGCTCCCTGGATCGCTCGTTTCACCTGTGCTGGCCGTGACAGCACCACATTTCGCTAACAGCTCCCCTTTATCTATAGACAGGCGGCCCTCTCCCAATCTGAGCCTCGAGCTCTCCTCCAACAACCCATTCCGCAATCGCGCTTCATCGCCTGCTCTCCAAACCCCCACCAGTGCCGGTAGCCGTCCAATGTCGCGTAACCCCTTTGTGCAGACTTTCGAGGCCGAGTTCAACAAGCAGGCCCAACTCATCGACATGTCGGCCAACATGAAAGAGTCGCCAAAAAAGGCCACATTTGCAAATACTACTGAAGAACTCTTTGTACGTCCTCCTTGGTCGACCTGACTGGTTTCTGCCCACCTGGGCCATGTCGCACAAGCTACACGCTTATCTCCTTGTCCCCTTCCTGTCCCATCCTGCTCCCCTTACCCTCTCAATCCTACCACCCCCGGAGAAGCGGGACTGCACCATGGAGCGCTTCAAACGTTTTGCTAAACAATTCGCTGACTATCCCTCTTTGCAACAGAACAATCTCACTCTTGACGATGGTGAGCAAAAGAGGCGCCCCGCACCCCCGCGCCCCTCGCGTAGCGGAACTACACCTGTGACCAACCACCGTCCCTCCCGTTCTGACGAGGAAGATCGAGATCGAGACCGCCGCTCGCGTGATGCCGACGACGACAGGAGGCGGATGCGAGACAGAGACGACGACAGACGGCGACGTGACAACGATGACGATAGGCGACGACGTGACGATGATGACAGGCGACGAGTCCGTGGTCCTCCCCGAGGTCCTCCCCGTCCTGGTGGCTCCGGCTCCCGTCCAAGAAACAGCCCTGACAGACGCGAGAGGAGGCCGAGGCGCAACTCCGAGTCTTCGATGATCGACAAGGGCTCGCTAGATCCAGACGAAGAACGCAGACGCCGACAGCGTCGCAGAGAGAGAGACGAGCGATCCAAAGACGGAAAGTCTCGTTCTGGAAAAGTACGAAAACCCCACGGCCTCGACGTCATTGACAAATTGGACGTGAGCGGTATCTACGGACCGAGCATGATTCATCACGACGGGCCCTACGACGCTGTACAGCCGCATCGCAATCGCAAGAAGGACCACCGCGCCCCCATGGAAGCGTTCCCACTTGGCTCCGCCAACAACGCTCTGGGTGGTAACGGGCCTGTCAATAACAAGATCGATCTAGACCGCATTCATGGCCGTGGAGCAGAGGGTTTCACTGATTTCGGCCAGACTGAAGCACAGCCTTGGAAGAAGCGTACTGAGAGCGATGCACCAGGTACTACGTACGGACCTAAGGATCCCGAGCATATTGTTCACGGTGATGTCAGCGAGGGGTTGGGCACTTCTACGTTCCTGGATGGCGCTCCAGCTTCACGTGCAGCCATTGCACAGCGCGAATCGGAGAATCAGAAAGCCTTGGCTGACGGCGGTGGCCTTGGCCGTAAGAAATCGATTGCACAACGCTTCCGAGGAATATCACAGCCTCGACGCGATATGGACGGCCGACCCCGCATCACGTCTCCGGATGCTAGGTACGGCACGAGGAGCCCCAGTGGACCATTATCGACGGGCGGCATTCAGGGAAGCTCGAAAACGACCGAAGCCAACCCTTTCTTCGACAACTATGACGAGGCCTACGAAAGGAAAACGACTACAATCAAAATCGCCGAATCAGAGAACAGGGAGGGCGCTGGCTCACCAGCCTCGCCCAGTGGCCGCAATCCTCTTACTCGAGCTATAACTTCAGATGGCGCCGCATCTCCCCGTGAGACGAAGCCCCAGATTGGAGCCGGATTCCTGAACCGCGTCAAGAGTTTGAAGGGTGGCCGGAGACCACAACGGCCCGAGCGTCCAGCTGCGTAGACGGCGTATCCTTTCTTGGATAATACACATTGCGTTCAGCATATACATCGGGTACCCCACGTGAAACATGCGCGGCGTTGTATTTGTTATGTCCAGGTCTGGCAGCAAAGCACATAATCGGCTGCTGCTTCCACCCGCTCCGCCACACGCATCTTCGAAATACCGTCAGAGCTCTGTGGGGAAAGGCCATGTGTGAACATGAGCGAGGCTTACTTGGAGTTATCGGGGGGAATTAACCAATGCATGGGAGATTTGGATATACTTCCACTTTCATCACAAAATGCTTCGCATCTCAAGAGGTGGACTTGGCCTGAATCAACATGGCGACAAAAACAACTCCATTACTTTTCTTCTCTGGTCAATTGAGATCACTTTGTTGGTTTTGCTCTTTCTTTTCTTTGTCGTCTACCCTATAATAGGCTTGGGGCGGTGTAGGGTTTTCTTTTTTGGTAGTTTGTATACGAGAAAATGATGTGAAAACAAGTAAGCACGTGTTATATGAATTCGTGATGCATCTCCCAGGTCCTGAAATATGCTACGATATGCATTTGCGTTTGCCTGCCCTTCTGTTTCATGGACGGAGCTATCAAACAAGAGCGAGGGGAAAGGTGTTGTTCAGGGATCGGAATCGGAACCGCATCGGAATTAACAAGTCGACACTCATTACGATCATCATCGTACTCGCCTCCACGACAGTATCTACATTTTACGCTGGTTAGCCTGCAGGAAACCCATAACGACATCTACTTGATGTGTATGGTCTCCCAGCTCACTACATGATTAGTCAACCATGCCGACTAACAGACGAGCAAGCAAAGCAGAACCACGCTCACGACTCATCGCAAAAGCACACACCTGCACATCAATACACGCAAGCACATACGTACTCCAATACGCCACATTTTCCTCCCGAAAAGAGAGCACGTCACAACTTCCATCAGCACTAAAAGCTTAGACGAGCAGAATTGGCAACGACAGCTGCATCGACGATGCCAATCGTCAACGAGATCACGCCTGTTTGCGGCGCGGAACCGCTGTTAGCGTCGAATATGATTGGGGACACCGAATTAGAAGGGTTGTTTGAAAGCGTGCTGAATGTGAGAGAGAGTAAAGGGGGCACGAAGAAGGTGCTGCGGGATGGTGAGCATGAGTGGAAAGAGTACGGGAAATTAGGTACGGGTGTGAAGAGTGTGGATGAAGCTTTGGAGGGAGGTATAGAAAGGGAGATGTTGGTTGGGATAGGGTGTGAGAGTGCTGGTGGAGTGGGGGTCGAGGTAAGTGGAAATTCGTTTCCTTGCCCGAACCACCCAAGATAGAGAGAGATGGGGAAGATCGCGACTGAAACTACTAGTTGGAAGACTTCGTGATGTAGTGGGCTGACTTTATGGGAATCGTAGATCTGTCTCAAGCTTCTGGCCAACTCGCTATTTCTCAACCCGACCTCCTCAGCGGCGCTCATCGACACGACAGGAAATCTAGACATTTTGCGGTTGTACAAACAGCTTGTGACGCGCTTGCAGTCGGATGCATCCCTACTTAAAGCATTTCCAGTGCAATCTAGTCAAGGCGAAGGACATGCCAAAGTGGAAGATCTAGCGGCGGCAGTGCTCGAACGAGTCAAGATCATGCGGGTTTTTGATTTGGTCGGTGTCATGGAAGCTGTGAGTGAGGTACGTGAAGATTTGGATGCGGTGAGTAAGGCGACAACAGTGTTGGACGTTGAAGGTCAAGAGAAAGAGAAAGAACGAGGGGTCGAAGAGGCTATGTCGACTTCAGTTCCAGCAGCACCACCACCACGGACGAGAAAAACAGTTATTGCGGATAGTGAGGATGAGGATGAAGATGAGGAGATGCTATTTGAAGCCGATGTGAGAGATTCATCATTCAACACCGCACCTGCACAAGGTGGTCAGACCGGAAGATCGACGGCGGTAGCAGAAAATTCAAATGCAGTTCAGGAACCCGAGAAAGATGAGTCTTCAACCACAAGAAAACTTTCAGACATACAGAATGGCAAGGGAGTCACGTTTATTCTCATTGACAATCTTGCCCATGTCATCAACCCGCTCCTCAAAAAAGACTATGTTCACAGTACGATGTCCCCTTTTCATAATTCCTCCTCTATTTCTACTCTACATATTTCCCAACCCACTCACTCAGCATCCAGCTAACGCATACATATGTAGCACACTCACTGGCATCGTCATTCCTCCTCTCCCTCTCCAATCTGACCAAAACACACAAGCTCCATACCATACTCATGAACCCAAGTCCACCTCCTCGGCCTACGCCCCCTCAATCTAACAACAGCATCACGAATAATGATGACAGCCCTTATCGACCACCCCAGCAGCCACCACAACCCCATACACAAAAATACAAACCTCAAGTCCCTCCTTCCATCTTCTCATCCAACGCGCTCCTTCCCGCACTCCCCAACATCCTGGTCCCCTTCTTGGATCTGCATATCCTAGTTTCCCGGTTGCCGCGGCGTAAAGCGGATGCCAAAGCTTTGTATGTTGTGCAAGGGGGCGAGGAAAAAGCCGTGTGGGGTAGGGGGGTTAGAGGCGGGAGGGGCCCGGAAATGGTGGGTGTTGTTGAGATTTTGGCGGATCGGTGGGGTGGAAGGACTGGTGGATGGGGTGTCATGGAGTTATGATTTGAGATGCATACAGATAAAAAGGGGGTTATGATGCAGGATATGAAAATGGGGGTGAACCTGAAATACCTCCGTGGTGAAACATTGGTCGTTGGTTTAAAAAGAACGATTGCTTTGACCAGTTCTTCCTCTATTTTCCTGGTGGCTCTAAGCTCCTGCCTCGCCCTTTGGGGTGTTCTACTGAAAGAAGATTAATACAGGTATATTCATGTACAGTGTTCAACATCTTGAGCATCGTCTATCTCGCTCTGTTCTCATCAGCCCCAAACCCATCATCACCCTCATTCCTCACCCACCCTTTCAACGCCGCACTGCGAACATCCCTCTTAACCCTCCTCCTAGCTCCCAAAATCCCACTCTCCTTGACCTTCCCATACGTGCCTTCGCCCAGCGCCTGCACGAGCGCCGTTCCCCCCACCGCCGCCGCAACCTTCGCAGCAAGCCCCCACATACTCCTCCGACACACCACACTCGCCCCCCGAGGATCAAACTGTTTGCGTCCCTGCATCACGCCACCAATGAGCGTCTGCTGGGCGGTGGGGGTGTACACGGCACTGAGATTACTCGCAATGGCCTTCTCCTTCGCCCCGACTGCGCGTTTACTCCACGAGAACTCGCGGGACGTGCCTACGACTTTGAACGGCGTCCACGCGTATCCGCCTGTCCACGTCTTGGCGGAGACATGCGCCATGCGTGTTTCAAAGGCGCGCTGGCAGGCGGCAGGTACAAATTGCGAGGACGGCAGTACAAGGGTGTCTACGTACGCGTTTTCCGGGCTGATGAGGAGGCTGGTGAGTGATGAGAGGAGAGATGTAGATTGTGTATGAGACAGTTTATCTGTACAGGATTTTGAAAGTGTAGGTGGGGCATCTGGGCGCGAGGGTTTGTAGCGGAGGGCGCCTAGGTGAGCGAAGTGGGAGCGGCCGCGGAGTCCCGAGGGGAGTTCTTCTGTACTGTTGGGTTGGTCGTGGATGGGGGGAGTAGATGGCGATGATGTTGTTGGTTGAGGGGAGGAAATGAAGGGCGCGGGCGTGGTCCATGGTGTGGCGTCTTCTTGGGCGGACATGACGAGTTCCATGCTGGCGTCTCCACACGGTGCTTCGGAGCAGTACATGTAGATTTTGACGTCTTCCTGGATGGTGAAGGGGTGGTGATTCTCGATTGAGGTTGAGGTGGTGGCGGTGAGTTCCGAGGGGTGTCTTCGACGGATGAATTGGGATAGCTGATAAGGGGGAGCGGTGAGTAGATCGAGTTCATCTAGGAGGAAGCGATTGAAGGCTCGGATGGCGAGAATTTCGGCGTGCCAGTCGTGGAGGACGTTTCCGTTGGCGAGGGGAAGTTTGGATGATGGGAGGCATTTCATGCCTGTTCTGGAGGGGTGTGTTAGACATGAGTTGGATTGATGGATGGCACCTAAGTTTTATTTTCTTCTCGTCTTTTCCTTTCTGCTCTGTTCTTATTTCCGACTGCTTCAGTAGACAGTGTTTCTTTTCTCTCTCTCATATTTTCCTCTCAACCCTTCCATCGCGGAGTGGGAATAAAGAAGCAAAGATGTATAGGTACCTAGGTAGCTACCAAAGTGGGAATTCCATGTTGAGAACCGACAGGAAAAAGAGCTTCACTTTACTTACCCCAGAGATACGCATTTCAATCGGTCATCTTCACTGGACGATGAGTATAAGCTTGATTACTTCAGCTCCAATGTGAAGTGCCGTTTGTTCCCGTACCTTTAACCAGCACGATTCCGGCGAGCGGAACCCATTCTCGAGTCCCGTCGTCTCGGATGCGGGGTTTCCGCTTCTGGGGTAATTTTTCATATGTCTCGAGTACACAGTCGGCAATACTGTCTGCGTCAGGAGTCATGTTGTGAATAGAGAGGTGGTTGTATAGTGAAAGGCGATGCAACGTTTGCGGCCAATCGGTTGCGGTAGTCAAGTGGTGGTCTGTGGGCCTCTTGGATCGGACCCAAGCACCTGTCCGCTCCCTGTTCCCTGTCTTGCCTTGTGCGTGCGTGCTTACCCACCTCCCACCATTGACCAGACAATCGCTGCTGCTACAGTCCGCCCTGCAACAGCTACCGATCCGGCCCTGTCACACCTAGTGCTCATCACAGATAACACCAGCAGCCGCGTTTGGTCTTTGTTATTGCCTACTTCCTTACATATACCCGACGCCGCCCTGACCTGCCACTCTCTTGCCCACCATGCAAGCCTTTGGTGAGGAATGTCTCTCAAGCGCTCAGTCGCATTCGCGGCACAAACACTCACAATAACAGTGCCCAAAACCCGTCGAGTAAGCATGCCACACATATATCCGTATATGTATTCATTTGTCTATTCCCAACCCCGGCTGACAAGATATACAGCCAAAGTTTGAACTACAATTGAAGGTGAGCGCATCGCTACCTTGTGGCCCGTATCAGACACGCTGACTCTGCTCAGATTATCGATCTCAACAACGTACCGCTTGTGTCAGGCAACTCCTTCATAAAATGGCACCTCCCGCACTCGACCGCCGCCGACCACCGTGGCCGTACCGAGAGGCGAGCCATCCAGGACCACAAAGTCTTCTACGACTACGGAATCAAGTTGCCTGTACGAATGACTGTTGACAAAAACGGCATGCTGCAAGAGTGTCCCATAGAATTCGAGGTCATACAAGAATACTCGGGTGGTGGTCGAGGCGAGCGCATATCGCTGGGTAATGTCAAGATCAACTTGGCCGAGTACGTCGAGCAGAGTGAGCTGAACACCGAGGAATCCGGCATTACAAGGCGATACCTGATGCAGGATAGCAAGATCAACAGCACTTTAAAGGTATCAATCCATCTGCGGCAGATCGAAGGCGACAAGAACTTTATAGCTCCCCCCTTAAAGACGGCCCAGGTATTTAGCGGGATAGCTGGGATCGTGTCTGGAGAACAGCAGGGAGATTCGGAAGGTCCGGGCAGTAAGGCAAATCAAAGCCGTATATTTGAATCTCAATTGACTTGCCACAGCAACGCCGTCCTTGAGTGCAGGCTCGCGGGAAGCGGGTGAACTACAGGATATGTATCGAAGAACGCTGGCAGCATATTGGACCGCCCAGCCGGGAGAGCTGAAAGCAGACGAATGCATCGAAGACATTTTTGCCGGAGGAGACGGGTGGGGTGATCGAGAGAAACCGTATGGTACCAATGATGCAAAGCCAGAGCGAATCCGATTCACAGGCGGAGATAGCAGTGGGTCGGTGAGCGAGAGCGAGTCCAGGCATATGCAGGGAAGCGGTATAGGCCAGCGCAAATCACATGAAACTCTTAGACCCAGTGATATATCCTCGAGCACGTCAAGTGTGCGAGGAAGAGGCAGTCTCGAGCAGCAAGCCCATCAGATGAAGGCTGAAGCAGAGCGAAAACGACATCGTCCTCACCATGAAGTGGAAGAGTTCGAAGTCAGAGAAAATCTCCGCAGTTGGCGCCTACCCATATAGCCGTGTATCAATACAATTCTCTATTCCATTCGAAGTCTACACATATGGATGCAGTGTATCGGTTTCCACCTAACAACCATTGCACGTTGAATATTCCAAGGTTGGATGACGCGTGGGAGCACGTGATAGCGGGCGGCGGCAGAATCCCTGTAGGGCTGCAGGCGGTCAGAACGCTAAGTTCGCATTTCCAAAACTATTGATGGCTACCACTCAATCTCTCCTTGGTCAACCCATCTTCCCAGGCTTCACCCCCTACTCTCCTTATGATTGCTGCTCGCGCTTCTGGCGCGTTTATATGCTTTCGATGTGAGCTTCATGTCGCTCGGCCACCATTAGCCGTCCTTTCTCGTCGTCCTCACGCCGCTTTCTCCACCTCCGTCCGTCGCCGCGACGAAGTCGACACAAACGATGCAGATGCGTTCCCCGACCAGCGACCACAGCTGAATAAATATCCATTGGGTCGGATATTAAATCGCAAAGGCAAGCGCGTTCGGGCCACAACTGCACGATTAGGGGAAGGCGTCAAAACCTTGGGCGACGACGCCGAAATCATCGTCTTGAGGGATGTTGGGCGAGATCCTGTCCCCGAAGATGAGCCACAACCCGCTGCCGCCTCCACGACTCCTGCGAAAGGCCCCAATCTTCGCATTTCCTTACAAAATGACTCTAAACCCGCTACGGACGAAGAAATCGCAAAACAGATCGACAATTTGCGACCGAAAACTGACGACGAGATCGGTGGACCGCAATATGTCCACCAAAACGTTTTTGCCCAAATATATAGAAAGCTGGGTAAAGGGTTCACTTCCAAACAGCTTTCATATTACTACTCTATCACGAAAGGTGTGGAGGAACAGCAGGTGCAGAGTGAAGTCTTGGATGGATTGAAGCGTATGCAAAGCCGTCCAGAACAGCCCTTGGAGCGTTCGGCCTGGCATCCTGGGATCACGCACATCTCCCACCGATTGCCTAGCCTACACTCCGTTCATGATTCACGCGGGAAACGGAGTTCGATTGGTAAGGCTGTGGTGATTGATCAAATCATGCGTGGCATTTGGAAGTTGGTGTTATTGGAGGAAATCGAGGCTCCAGGAGAAATGGAATTGAGAGCGGAGCCGTGGCAGTTGCATTTGCTCCAGTCTGGAGGTATTTTTGCTGCCCTTGTCATCATTTACCGTACTAACACTTATAGTCTCTCCTACACCGCTTGACCGCGTTGGAATAATCCGAAAAGCGAAAATCGAGATTGACGCTTCCAGTAGCGTGATCAGAATCACTGCAGATAAGACCACGGCGGAATATGCGGCGGATGATATCGAACAGCTTTTGAAAGGCATTCACTCTACGCGACTTGACCTCAAGAAGTGGATACCATATTTGTCGGATTACGACGAGTCCAAGGGAATGCGCGCATATCTTCCTGATAATGTACTACATAACATCTCGGCGATGACGCAGGCCTCTGTCCTGCCAGTGACCGGGGATACAGTGAGTTTTGTCTACCTGACATTATATTGGCTCACCATCGCTAAACGTCATAGATTTCAATACAGGCATTGAGCCAAAAAGCAACATCCGAGGCTGAACGCAGTGTGTTGAAAATGCTTCCTATTGAAGCACCAGTTGCTCAAAGTTCTGATACGACAAGGCGTGATGCTGCAGGCGATCGATGTTTTCTCACGCCTGCTTACATCGAAGACAGCGCGATGGGCTTCCGCTGGCGTGGCCGGAATCTCGGGCGATGGACGGTACCACAAGAGCGCCATGAACCCCGCAATCGTACCTCTCCCAATGACGAATCGTATCAAGGGGTCGATGAAGTGAAAACACATTTGCTGAGCTTAATGGACCGAGTTCTACCCTCGTCGAACGAGAGTTCGTTTCACAAGTTTCCTGGCGGATTCTCTGCTCCTGAGGTCCAAATGGAAGCCCAGTTTGGGCATGTCTTGTTCTCCGGGGATGGTTCTCAGATTAAGACGCAGCCAGGCTATGGGCCTCCGCCATTTCATAAGACTGTTCCAGGACTGCTCAAGCTTCTCAAAGATATCGATCTCGTGTCTACAACTCGGGTCGTGTACCCCCGCCTGACATATTCTTTTGTTGCTGAACCTGACCAGCCAGGCTTCAAAAAGGGCCAACTGTTTCCTACACTGCAGATTACGTTCCGAATAATACGACCGATAGGTGGATATTTTAGGCTTCGCAAGGTTCAACTCAGCTACAACTCTACTGTCCACGACATTCTTCTTCCCGAACAAGCCGTAGATATTCGATACCATCTCCAAACGGCCGTGCAGATCAAGATGCAGACTCTTAAATTTAGTGAAGATCCTTTGGTACTGAAGCTAAAGGCCTTCGCAGAAGGAATTCTGGAACCCCTTCAACATGGTATGGATGCGACACCACCGAATCAGACCCTCGAAATCCCTGTATGGGCGATTCCAGGTCACGAGTCACAGAAAGACACAGAGACTGTCAAGTACATGTTCTCCGGGGTGAAGTTTGCGCAAACTATCTCGGCAAAGTACTCCTCGACCTACGTAGGCATCACCACGGAGAACAGCGGCAAACTTGGCAGCAAAGGCACTCAAATGACCGCATACTACGACGATAAAACCGTGGAGGCGCAGCAGAATTTGGTTCCCATCACCAATGACAGTCAAATGACAGATTTCATTCAGCAGACATTCACACTGGCATCAAGAATCACAGACGCTGCGCGAAACACCACATTGGGATCACAGTCACTTCATAAATCCATTGCCTCTAGTTCCGACCCGACGATGCGTATTTCAGCGGACGAGGACCGTACAAACCAAAGCTTGAGAAATGTAGAAAAGCGTAGAGATCCAAACAGCGCAAGGGCAATAAACCGACGGGATCGTTTCGGAAATCCGGCATACGTTGTTCGTCGTTTGCACCCGAATAACTTCACTTCTTTGCCTAGCGACGAGCGTTCTGAAGATCTTCAAGCCAAGGATCACGACCCGTACAGCATCCTCTTGAATGATAAAGACGCGAAGCGTGACGAGAAAGGATCGACCAATGGGTCGGCTTGATGCACTTCATACATTATGTGCACGTTGTAATTCATATCTCTGCATCTTTCCGAGAGCTTCAAGCAAGGCTTCTCCACCTCTTCTATCCCTTGCTTTCATCATGGTCTCTTTCCTTTCAGTATGTGTATAGTATCGTTTTATATCTTTGTGGGATGTATGATTAGCAGTTGAATTAAAACCCCCGTCTGTCACCATGGGAAGATATGGAATGGGATAAATGCATAGGCGGAGCATCTGTATACCGCTTTTTGGCTTTCATCGGACGTGTATAATAGTAACACTTGTTCATAACAAGACGGAAATGAAGATCGAAAGGCAAGGTGCTTGTTGAAAGACATGCAGCGAATGTACAAATATCACAAGAAAAGAAAGTCGGCATACAATACACAGTTCACAAAAGATCTGTGCGATCGATTACAAGTCAAGTCGTTTGTAATTGTAATCGCTAATGGCTCACTTATCGTAGATGTTTTTAGGATCTGTATAGAGCCTCCAGTCCTAGCTGACATGCATTTGAAGACCAGAAACCAGAAGCCAAAGGAAACTCAAAATCAATTCATATAATGATAGCAGGCAAAAGCACACAAGGTGAATGTGACGCATCATCATGCTGTTAATCAGAAAAGACAGATAATAAATCCTGCCTAGCTTCAATGCACAATCGCCAGTTTCTTTGTCGCTTAGATTTCCAGCAGCTTGCTCACAACCTGTTAAGATCATGCAGTGATCGACGGATAGCATGGTACGTACCCAATTAGGAAGGTTTACTAGGCAAGTTTGTAGATAACTGTGCCTGTCAGGCTTCAATGCATCATCACGAATTTGTTTTCAAACTTAGTTCCTAACAGCTTGACAACGAGTTGTTAAGGGCATGCAGTGTTCAATAGTTTAGCGCTATATTAACTGAATTAGGAAGGTTGAGCAAAAGGGTAAGGTAGATTGTAGAAAGTTATGCCAGACGAGCTTCAGTACATTATCCTCCCATTCTGTTTTTTTCAGTGCTTAGTAGTAGGCTTACAACAGTATGTCAAGATATCACAGTAACCTACAGTTAATAGAATAAATTGCCTAATTAGGAAAGTTGGGGGTTGATATTGCAGAAAAGTATGCCTGGCAATCTTCAGTGCATTATCGCAAATATACTTCTCTCTGCAATTTTTCGAGGAATCGACGACAAACTATTATAATGCTACAGGAATCAACGGCTCCAGCGAATTGCCTATTCAGGAAGGTTGAATCTACCAAACTCCAGAAGCTCAAATGGTAAATTGTGAGCGATGCTGTTATGGGTGTGAAGTTCTATTTAGATAGACTACGCGGTGATAAGTTCAAAGAAGATAGAGAAGGATCAACATTACACACGATTCCAGGAATACCTCCCAGTCAGAGCGCAAGTGAGGTGCTATACAGAGGTCAGATTATAAGACATCGCGATGGGTTCGGTCAGGAGTATATGTAAGTACTATAAGACTAGCCACTGTAATACTCATACATAAGGAAATGAAACAGCAATAACACAACCCGTCCATCTTAACAAGGCTTTTGATATCACGAGAAGGTTTGCACTCTCAGATTTTCGATAAATCAGGCCGGGATAGAAGAAATAGGAGTATGATTATCCTTACTTCAATTATGTACAATCTCACCCCTTTCTTCCTCTCCGTCCCACCTAAATCCCGCATCCTATGCACCCCAAAAGAATCACTACGCGACAAATTTTCTCGCCTCCACTGCCGCCGCAGCCGCAGTCTTGTCCGCCTTCGCAGCCGCAAACGCACCTAGCAATGCGGGCCACCATTTATCCAACATCTTCTTATCGCCGCTCGCATTGGGGTGAACACCGTCTCTCAAGTCCGAAGCCGAAAATCCCGTGTATTGGTCAACAACCCAGATGGGTGACTCGGTCTTGTTGAGGCCGGTGGCCCACGCTGGGATCTGCTTGTTGAGATCTTGAATCTTGGTGTTGAAGTTGCCCATGCCCATGGGGATGATTTGAGCGACCTGCGATACATTTTTTCTTAGCGTTTAGAACGGGGATTAAGTACAAGAGTGGAAGAGTATGCGACAGAAGCTCGCTTGGGACAAGGGAAGAGGAGTGTATGACGGTGAAATAGTATTGAATAGGGATGGGTTCTAGTAGAAAAGGCTATATGTATACTCACCACAATCTTCGTCTTTGGATTCTTCGTGCGCATCGTCCCAACCAATTTGGTGAACGCTGCCAGAATATCCGCAACCGGCTTATTCTGCTGCACAATATCGTTGGTACCAAGATGCATCGTCACCACATCCGCCGGGTTCCTGGTCAGCCAGCCATCGAGCTGGTTCTGGTTCGCAATGTTGATGGCCAGGAAACCCGAGTGGCCCTCGTTGTCGCGGTCGTACTTTGTGTTGCCGCAATTATTCTCCGTCTTGCCGGATCCTACAAAGTCGACGTTGCCGGCCCACTCGGTGGTTTGGAGTTTGTCCCAGAGAAGCGCTCGCCAGCAGATGATTTCAGTGATGGAGTCACCGAAGGGCATATAGCGGAGCGGAGTCGTGGTGTTCTGGGCGAGGGCCGTAGAAGCGAGCGTGAGGAGGAGAGGGAGTGTGAATGAAACCATGGCGGGCAGTGGTCTGTCAAGCGAAAACCGTCAAGAAAGCGTTAAGATTTTTCTTTTGGTTTCCCGATTCTATTCTGCTAGCATTCATTGTTCGTAGAGCTCGAGTGTTCTTATACTGGGTCGATAGTGGTGATTCCCCACATACAAACTTTCATCGCATATTAACTCCACGTCCGCTCTTCACCAGCTTAAGCTCAAATGGTGGGTGATCTGCCACATGGTTTTTCCTGGCGACTGGCGTTGGCATTTCAACGATGGTTTTCTAATTAGAATTGCGGAGAATCCTTGGAAGCGGTGCTGAGCGAGATTGATCGGGGTTTGCTGTAGTGGCTAAATATGTAACGAATTCATCTCATTGGGTGTCAATTATTCAGCCACTTATCGAGACTATATAAGAAATTAGCGAGGCATGCCATCGCTCTTTGCAGGTCGACGAACGCATTCTGGAACACCTGTCAATCGCGATGGGCGATCCATTGGTCCGTAAGTGTAAAGACTCATGCTTGTTTTCCTCAATGGACAGATGGATGGCTATGGATAAACTGACGTTGTGAATGAACCGGCATAAGCTTACAAGCTAGAGCTGAAAGGTGTTGTGCGTTTTCATCTCAATTCTTGTGGCTTCTTGCTATGGTGCTTGAGCTGAACCTTGCATTCCTCTTCGAATGTCTTATCCATACACAAGACATTAATCATCTCGCAGCTGAGCATCTTATGTAGCGATAATCTCATTCCCTTCTGGGGTTGTTGAATTCGTTGGCTCCCGTCATTATAGAGAGAAATGTGGAAGACCCCGACTTAATCCAGATCATGGCCGTACGAAGGTAAAAATTACAGTGTTTTGCCATGTTGCACTGCTCTGGCGAGCGATCCAGGGACCCATATGGCGATGGAAAATGCTCGTATAGGTCTGGAATGTCTCGAAAACATTGTTACTCCAGCTTGCTGGGCACACCTCCAGGTTTCGACTATCGTCTCCCGAGCCCGCCCAACACCTTGCTGGCCGCGGAGCTTACTTTTAGAACATCTCGGTACGTCAAGCTAACCCTTGTCGACCGTTCATTCCTCCCACCTGCTTTTTGGAATACAGTGGGATCAAATAGCAAATCCCAATTAGCTACCGTTTGGGCGTTGAGATCCTCGTCGACTTCTATTGAGGCGATGCCGTGAAGAAGATTCTCGTAGGCCTGCCCAGTAGTGATGAGGAGTGAGCGAGGTTCTTGCAATATACGTGTTGGGATCATATATTGCGATGAAGTGTTGTCCGAAATGTTGTTTTCTTGGTCCACCTTTTTCGAGGCTGGTTTTGCTGTTATTTCCAGGCATATACTTGCGCCCAAACTAACGGTTGCGACAACATGGGCATATGCACTGCCATCCTCGTGGGGCATGATGCCCTCGCCACTATTGTATTCATTGACGAGAACATGATTTGGCGCTTTGTGTGGTGTGCTGTCAAATAGACCCATGCTCTTGAAACGGTCTATGACTGGTTTCTCAAGCCATTGTGGCAAGGGAGAAGCAAGAAGAGTATTGTTTTTTGTCAGTGTGGAAGGATGCGCTTGTAAGCGACGATGGGAAAGTGTTATCCAGCGCTGGGCAGGAATCTTTGATAGTCAGCATCATGAGTACATAGATTGGACTGGACCATCACCATGGCACGGGTAAAAAACCTTTTGTAGAATACTCTCCTCTTCCTCCTTGGTTATGAAGTTCGGGATGTAAAAGAAGTCTGGTGGAAGTGTGATGACTCTATAACGCTCCAGGGTATTCTCACTATCTGAAAGCTGCGCATCAGCCATTTTCACCAGCTATTGATGATCTTTGTTGATGATGTTGTTGGTCTGGATCGAGCGAGGAGTATAAGTGGTACGATGTTACCTAGGGAGGGACGCTAATGACTTACATTAGGTAAGCATACACGAAGATCACATGACTTACTCTAGTACTGCACATGTGGGTTCCGGCAGCACTCACATGCATGATCACGGGATGTGTAGTGCTGGAGTACAATCTGCACGACCGAGTAATTGAAGGGCTTGTGATATTTGGCTGTAGAATCGAATTCCGAATATTCAGAGCTCATTCCTGAAATGATTCTATTCAAGATCGTTGATGACATTTGAAACTACAGGACCCAGACGAATACAGACCAAAGGGAGTGAACAACACACGGGCTAGAACTTTCTAAAAGATATGCAGTCGATCTTCTAATCTTGATGAGGGATAGACAAACTTTGCAACTCCACAAAACCGGGTGGGATGTTGCTCAAGAAGTGAAAAGTCGCGTGCTGTGTAACGCCGAAATGAGCTGTTGAGAAGGTAAAAGTCGAAGAGCCGCGAGATCCAGAAACAGTAATCAAACATGAATGAATATGGAACAAAAGAAAATGGAGGAAAGGGAATGCAATGGTGCCAAAAAGTGATAGGTCAAAAAAATAAAAACTAGCACGGATAAGAAAGCAGCACGCTCACATGACTGCGCAACTACCAGGGCCACTTCGAGCACGACGGCGACGTCCAACAGCAGTTCCACCCTCTTCCTCGTCAGCATGCATCAGCTGTGCTTCCCGTGCTCGTCTACGACGGCGACGGGCGCCAGCTCCACCTACGCCAGCCTCTTCGTTTAACATCATCCAGTCTGCCCACTTTCGTTCCAGACGGGCTGCTGCAGCAAAATCTCCCCGTAAAACACGTTTAGTATGCTCCTCGACGGTCGGCTGCCAATTGTAGAAGCACTTGAGGCCAATTATGTCGCGAGGATAGGTTGGAGTCGTAGATGGGGAAGCGGCTGATGGACGCGAAATTTCAGCGTTCCGAGATAAAACCTCACGTACGCCAGTCCAAGTCACATTCGCGCAATCATAGGCCACGATTCGAAGACCAATGCTAGGACGTACCGAACCAGACTTGTCCTTCGCAGACCGATTACGAGTGCGAATGGAAGAAGCAGCCTCTGCCAGCACGAGGTCGGATATTCTAGTGTTGTCCATTTCGAGAGACGTGAGACTGGGGCAAGCTTTGAGGATCGGAAGCATGCCAGAATCGCCAAGCAGCTCACAATAAGATATACAGAGATGCTGAAGATGAGTGACGCAAGGTGACCGAGCGAGCGATTTCAGTACTTCGTTGGTCAGACTGTCCAATTCCTCCATGTCCAAATGGGTTAAAACAGGGAGCGTTGGGATCAATGTGGTGAATGCATCGTCGGTCAAGTTATGGCATTTCGACAATTGAAGGCCTTCCAAAAGTGGGACATTCCCAGCTAGTGTTTTGATACCAATATCGGTAATACCACGGCATCGTGTTAAATCGAGATGCTTCAAGCGTCGCGGAGGAACAATGGGCCGGTCTGTGAGAACATCAATCTCACTGTCGATGCCTTCGACAAGAACTGCCAGAGACTCATCGTTGATGCTATCGCAATTCATGAGCACAAGCCTCTCGAGGGTATTGCGCTTGAAAAGCTCATTCATAAACTCGATGTTATCCCAACCTCGGATTTCACCCGCGCGTAAGTCTTTCAGGTTCGGGCAGCCTTCAATGACACCTCGAAGGCCGCGGGTATCGATATTGTTGCACCACGAGACGTTCAAATGCTCGACCCTGGGGCAGTTGAGCGCTAGTTTTCTCATAACCTTGTTTGTTGCCCCTGTCAGACCGGAGAGATTGATGTGAACAAGGCGATCATTCTGTGTTAATAAGGTGCTGATCGACAGGGTATCGATTCGACAACCCTCAAGTGAAAAGTTCTCCAGGTTACGGCAGGCGTCCAGGATGCCGTTCTTACTCCATTGCTCCCCTCTTAATTGGATACAACCCCTTAGATTGAGGTCACGTACAAAAGGTCCGGCCGATGAGATTATGTTGACCAAGGCGTCAGCCGTTATATCGCGATAAAAATCCGATGTATCCAATCTGCTCCACAGTTGGCCATCATAGCATATTGCGTGCCATGATTTGGAAACAGCGGAGCACCGCACAATCTCTCTTGGCTGAAGATAACAGAGAATCTGAGTACGGATTTCCGCAGGCATGTCGGCCCAAAAGTTGAAGTTGGGCCTCCTTTGTACCTTCTTCTTGACGGGGCGTGAGAAGTAGTCTCCCTCGGTTTCTGTCCCATCGCGAGAGGTTGTGCGTATTTCTGTAGGAAGAGGAACTGAGGTAGCACCCTCAGGGATAACGGCACGAAAGCGGGCTTTCTCGTCGAAGAGAGGGCTTGTCGGGGGACTGTTGGCAACCGAAGTTGGGGCCGTGGAAAAGCCTGTGGACAGTTCAGAGGAATAAGAACTCCCGTATGAGTGGCCATAGGGAGATGCGGGAGATGCCAGGGCTATGCAAGAGATGGACGCTTTTCCGGGAGCTCTCAAGCTGTGTGAGCGCGACCTAGACAGGCCGGCGAGGCTATGTGATGATCCCATCCGCTGCAGGCCATGCAGAAGTCGCTGGCGACCCTTGAGCTTCGGGCGTTCTATGGGAATAGCTTCGGTGGAAAGATTGGTGGGCGTCATATTATCGAGAGGGGTATCGACGACGAGAGAGTCAATAGATGGTTGCTCCATGACGGGTATAAAAAAGTAGGTATGTGAGGTTTCGGTGGGAGCTGACGTGTGAATCAGAGCGGAAAGTCGGGGTGCGGGGAAGGTGGATGATGAGGTGATGAGGTGGTGGAATGGCAATGCAGCCGTAGGAACAAGCAAAGAGGATGAATTGGAGACAGCAAAACAGGCAAACGAAGGTGGAAGGATGCGGTGGATTGAAAAGCGAACGGCTGGGCGAGGGGTTTTTTGTTAACTATCGAACCCGCGGCAGTGAGTTCTAGGCCAACTAAGGTCCACGCGCCGCGCTGACGGACCGAAGGACAGGCACGAGAGGTGGTGGCTGACGAAAGTCTAAGCTGGAGCGGACAAAGCGGGATCGCAAAGAAGCAAGTCAAGACTCCAAATCAGAGACAAGCAATCCTTCAGCTGAAAATCTGAGCAGAGCAGAGCAGAAACAGACGACGAGTAAGAGATATGTATTCGGCCGGTTGTTACATTGGAGGTATGATGGATTGTACCATGGCCACAGCCGGCTATCCATCTTATCGCTCTATCGATAAGTCGGCCACGTGCACACTAAGCACCACACCATCTCCCCACCGTTTTCCACCATCACCACCGGTCGCTTGACCCATTACCCCCATTGCCTATACCTAGCGCTGAAACACTACCCGTCCATCGCTGCTCTCGTGCACCAGTCACGCCCATACCGTCACAGCTAAGTATCTGCCAAAAACCACAACCAAGTCGAGCTTCTTGTCTCCTGCTGTTCAGGCATTCCCTCATTGTCGCCACCCCGCCTCTCTCCCCTGTCGCCCGCCAGGGGGGCATATGCAGGGTAAACAGACCAACTTCCCCACTCAAAGCCCATGCTCCTTTCACCACCGGGAAAGACACAAGACCAAAGGGATGCGGTCGTGCCGAGAGGACCCACAGCGCCGCCAACTCCCCCCAGCCTCGTCTATTCTCTTTTTTTTGCTGCCGCGGTCGGAGAAGCCCCCGAAACATGGAACTTGGTTCATGGAACATCTCGCCGCACTTCCCACATCTCAAGCAGCGAGTCAATGTTGCCACCACAAGCGTGCCTCAGCCGTGTTGCGGCTCAATACTTTTTGTTTTCCAGGTTTCATTGCCGGCCGTGCAGATCACCGCCGGCATGCACAACCTGGCCGACCAACAGTTTCAGTAAATCCCTTTTTGAATATGACACTCAGCATCCATATCCGATAGAGATCAACCCCCAGCGAATATGAATGGAAGAAGACACAGAGATAACAACCTGGTGCCGCCTGACCTGGCAACAGGCTGAAAGTTCACATGCTCACCTCTCCCGTCAACCTCACTCACCAATTGGATTCATTGCATTTGCTTTCTGTTATCTCTGCACCATATCGCGCAATAGGCCACGCTGCATTTACAACTCGTATATCTAGCAAAGGTTGCTACATGTCTCAATACACTTTATTCCCCGTGTGTTAGCGGGCTATCTGTAGTGAGGGCTTCGTTCTCATCATTCCGGTTCTTCTTCCTCCAGCCTCTTTGACCCAGGAAATGAATCCTGTGAGACGACTATGTCCGCGCAAACTCCGCATCTCCATGTTTGTGAGCCGATGATTTTCGGAATGCGTCCAGTTCAACAGTGGTTGTATATTGTTATAAAATAAAACACTTGCATGATGGAAAGGTCATTTCACTCACTATACCACTACCATGGCGGTCTACAAAGGGTCCTGTCTCTGCGGCGCCATTACCTACACTCTGACTGGTGAGCCTGTCACAACAGTACTCTGCCATTGCAGGAATTGCCAAAAGTCGTCCGGCTCTTCCTTTCAAGCCAATTTATTCTACAAGCAAGAGGTAGATAGCCTATTCATCAGCAGTTGGCGCAAACAGCAACTCGACTAATTCTTGAGTAATTCAGTGCTTGGAATTTCTCACCGGTGAAGACAAGCTTACTCGCTATTCGGACCGCGACACCGACTCCGGTGGAGTACTCGTTCGAACGTTTTGTAGCATATGCGGAAGCAACATCAAAACTACAAACGAGACTAGCGACTTTGTCAGAGGGCATGTTGTCATTGCATCAGGTTGTTTGGATGACGCCGCCATCACAGCGTTTCGGCCAGCACAGGAGTTTTACTGCAAGTCGAAGTCTGCATGGTTAGATGTTCTGACCGGGACACACAAATTCCAGGCCATGACTTGATAGAATTTCAATATCAGCACATGGACTTCTGCTACTTCGTCCATAAGCTCAATGATAATAATATACTTGTACCTGTAATGCTGGTACCTGTATGATCATTTGATCTTTTACTAGGTGTCTGTATATATTCCACACTACCATGACACACTCCAGCGAGTTCCCTCACGCCCCAACAGCCACAGCGCTCCCACCCCTCACATGCTCGACAAACTTTGCATGAATTCCCTTCCAGTTCTCCTCACACTTGCTTTTCACAGTCCCCACCAACAGTCTCGACGCATTGATCTCCACATCCTCCACCAAACACCACTCATCTTCCTTGGCCTCCGCTTGTCCCTTTCCACCACCATCCACCTCACTACTCTTCACCAACTTCCACGACGTCCTTTGTACCAGTCCCAAAGGCGCCTTGATAACCCATTCTATGCCGTTCTCGGTATTCGTCATCTGGCTCTCAAACGTCACCGTCGTATCCCATAGCCCTTTAGGCAGGGTGTGCATATGATCGGTCACTTTGTACCGCTTCGTGTTGGGTGCGTCGGCTTCTGAAGGAAGCGACTCGTAGTGCGCGAGTTCGGGATCGAGACGCATAAGGAGGTCATGGTCATGCAGCTTTGAGATTGCGGTTGAGAAGGCGGTGCCAGCGGAGAGCGGGGTGACGTGGTGGAGGTTCGCGGTTGTGCTGAAGGCTGCATGAGGAGGTTAGCCTTGAGATGTCGGAGAGAGGAAGAGTGGAAATCGTACAGAACATGTTTGTTCTCTCTGGTCTTGGGGAGGGTCTTGTGTACGATGCTTCTTGATGCTTTGCCGTGGGGTTCCGATCGATTCGAGAGAGGTCCTTCTTCTACTTGTGAACTGGAAACGTGGCTGTGTTGCTGACAGGTTTCTTCAGATATGAGGCTCCTATCAGGTGTTTATAATGGATATAAAATTGTCGAGAAAGACTATGTAAAATGATAAAGACCTAGATGGTAGAGTAAGTACTTTACGCGCCCTGTTGAGAACATTTGAATGCACGCCTCGCTGCTTGCGTCCATGTTCGTTTCAGCCACTCAGTACGCGTTTGAAGATGACATATGAATTAAAAGCTCGTATGAATTTCATGATTTGATATGCCCAGCCATCCGCAAGTAGATCGTGATGAATCATTGCTACCATATCTCGTCTGCGCCGTTCTACTCGATAGGTATAGCTTTCGGAGGTGGGATGGAAGTGCGAAGGGACCTCGGAGCTCCACAAAACAGGAATGGTGCAGAGCCCCGTGCGCTAGCTTTCCTTTCACCTCTTCACATGTTCTGCTGCTACTACCACCCCCACATTATCTTGATCAATGATGGTATTGCTTTGATGTTTGTGCATTGACCAAACTTGAATATTACATTTTATTGCTACCTAGACTCGCCATGTTCACCTACTGTTCAACTTTGATCGAAGTGTCCAATCATTGCCGCTACTAATCACTAATTTAGGCCCGCAACGCCCTATTGTATGTCACCCATCAGCTGAGACAACTAACTCTTCGACATTTGCGCACATATACAGCTCGCGTCAACCAAACACTCTTGCGGTTATCGCCAATTCAATCCTCCATTAACGGTCGAGATTAAACACCTATCCACCATGGCGTTCGAGGGTCGATATGGTACCGGTTTGCTGGTCGCACAGGCAATTGGCATTACGACGAGCACGTTTCTCTTCGGTGCGACACCTTAACGAAGCTCGAATGTCGGAGCACAAATGCGTTATTCATCTCAAAACTGACATAACTGTGCAGGCGAAAACATGGCACTGTCATTTATCAGTGTGCCTCCTCTTTTCCAAGCCCCAGCACCTCTCGCAGCACGCCAATGGCATCAGCTGTATGATATCGCGAAATCATTCGCCCTGCCCCTCACGGCTGTAGCTACCTTGAGCACGGCGTTTGTTGCTTTCAATCGTACGTCTATACATTTCCGGCTATCACGTTGTCGCGCATTTACTAACCACTCTCATAATTATAGAAACGCGATCCTCTCTAGCTTTCAAGCTCAATGTCGCTGCGACTGTCCTTTTCCCTGCGATCGTTCCTTATACTCTTTTCGTCATCGGTCCGGTCAACAATAAGCTATTTGAAAAAGAAAAGCAGTATGCGAGTGCTTCTCTGGAAGACAAGGCTATCGAAGCTGGTGTTGTGAAAGAAGAGACCGTGAATGCACTGATTGACAGATGGGCTTTGTTGAATGTGCCTAGAGCTTCGATTACAGGAATCGGCGCAATCTTGTCGATTTTGGCGGCACTTTTGTAGGGGATGTGGCTGTGAGCTACAATTTTGTAGGATAGCAATTGCGTTTGCGGAGCTCGCAACACCCCCAGACACCCTTCACAACTCCTCAGCTACGACCTGTGTATGATATAGGAATCAATCTCGCCTAAAGAAGGACACTGTTCAAGAAGAATGCCCATTTACCCAACTTGCCGCACTTTGCAGCCAGTTTGACAAGATCATATAGCTCATCCTACCTAGCGAAACACTATTAGTGTATCCTTACACTAGGCTCATTATACAGTCCTGTCGCAGGTTGTGTTGCAGGCTCTTGCTCGAAACCTGCAGCATCAGAGGTACATGTAATCAACAAGGATCTATCAACCAAATCAAATAGCTCTCCAATCGGCATACTCTACCCAGCGAAATACTATTGGTGTATACTTACACCAGGCTCATTATACAGTCTTGTCGCAGGTCGTGTTGCAGGCTCTTGCTCAGAACCTGCAGTATCAGAGGTAATGACTCAAAATCTATCAACTAAGTTTTTAATACATATCTAGAGAGAAAAAAATCCAAGTGTTACTGGAAGTACGCCCAACGAAGACGCTTGATTAAGATGCTAAACGGGGTTTCTCCATGATCCGGAGGATGAAGAAGCCAGGTGTAGAGAAAAGGCGTTCGGAGCAATCTTGGCAATTTGGGAGGCACTTTTATAGGAGATGTAGCTGTGAGCTACACAATTTCATAGGATAGCGACTGCGTTCGTGGGGCTTGAGAAATTCCCGGGCACCTTTTACGATTTTTCAGCTACGACCCCTGCGTAATGTTGGGTGAGGTAGGGAACAGCATACAACAGATTTATATTGTTCCCGAGGTCTAGGGAGTAATCGTTGTATAGATTTCCACCTCTGCCTGCAGTGAACGCGCTCCGACCGAACATTTGTAGGTGATGCGTACTGACTAAGGTCACGCTAGTGATGAGGGTGGATACGGAGCGAATGATAACGAAAAAGGGAACACGGGGCACGGAAGCAAATGATGTGTGGAGCGAATCCCCCAATCACGTTGTCAGGGCTCCTCTTACTAGCTACATACATATGTATGTACCTAAGTAGGTAGATTCATTTGCATGTACATATGTATGTAACAAACAGGACGCAGATACGCCCTATCTCTATGAAATCACTAAATCACTTAGGATTGATTAATCCTACAAAACAGTAACAGTTTTTGCTTCAGTACTACTCCCAATCTACTGTTCCTCGTGCTAGGTACAGATGCGTGATGCTGTGTCCGCTAATCACGCAAAGACTCGTATACATTCAGTACTTCTATTACAGCAGTGGGTGCAGGCGACCATGATTCTACCAAGCGTGGGGATGATGGAATATTGTGTAGTGTGTATTATCTACGGATCTATGTACCGAATTCTAAATACATGTGTGTGGAGAGAGAAAACCCAAATATTGCTCGAAAGACGCTTGATGATGACGCGGGAATGATGACGCGGGACTGATGACGCTGAAGTAGAGAAGCTTGATTGAAGACGCTTGGGGAAGACGCTTGATTGAAGACGCTTGAGGAAGACGCTTAATGCGGTGGAGATGCTTGATAAAGACGCTTGAGGAAGACGCTTGAGGAAGACGCTTGATGCAGTAGAGATGCTTGATGAAGACGCTTGATGAAAACGCTCAAGGAAGACGCTTAAGGAAGACGCTTGAGGAAGACGCTTGATGCAGTAGAGATGCTTGATGAAGACGCTCGAGGAAGACGCTCGAGGAAGACGCTCGAGGAAGACGCTTGATGAAGACGCTTGATGCGGTGAAGACGCTTGATGAAGACACTTGATGCGGTAAAGACGCTGAAGTGAAGACGCTGAAGTGAAGACGCCAGATGTGAAGGAAAAGCGTGACGGTAAAAAATGTTGGCTCCGTTAGCTGACACCCCGAGGGGTGTGACCCCAGGCCAAACCACGGGGAGGTGGAGCATATGGCCCTTAAATATGTTGTGATACCTCTTATAACTCCCCTCTCTTCCCCCTTGAAAGTAAATAATGATGTTCCTGTTAAGAAATGTTGACTTACCTGTAACGCATCCACTCCGCCCTCCTCACACTGTCACCCCACCCCCTCCTCCACCCCTCCAACCTTCCCACAACCTCTCCCAGCTCCCTCCCTTCCCTCCACCCCGCCCTATATCACTCCACCCTCCCCTCCACCCTCCCCTCCTGGTACCGCCTCTCCATCTCATCCGCCCTCTCCACCCGCAGCCTCTCCATCTCCCCCCCAATCCTCTGGACCGCGGCGGCCAAGGACTCCAAGGAGGTAGTCAGGGGGTCCCCAACCCCTGCCTCCTGGCCGCCCTCGACCGCCGGGCCATCCCCAAACCACTCCCCCATCTCCTCCCCCTGCCCCAGCCTCGTGGCCAGAAGCAACCCCAGAAGCCACCCCATCCGCCACCACACCCACCTCGCCCACCACCACACCCACCCGACAACTGGGCGCAAGGCCCGAACGAGAAAGTAATTGGCGAAAAGCCGCCAAAGCTCCGCGAGGAGCGTGCCGAGAACGGCGCCGTACCACGTCTGCGTCTGTGGTGTTTCCATCTACAATCACACGTTAGAAAACTGGCCTCAAATTCGATGAACTCACTGCTTGGCAGTAGAATGGAAGGATAGAAAGGTGAAGAAGAGTGAAGATATCGAACGAAAATAGATCCGAAAAGAAAGAAGCAATCATGGTCGCTCAGTGATGGTCATTTGTGGTGGTGCTCCAAAGAGGGCTGGCACTTACTGTCTTCTGTCTTCAGTGGTCTGAAGAAGAAGAGAGAAAGCAAAACGAAACGAGAACAACAAAACCTAAGCAAAGCCCGAGTTGCGTGGCTTCCGCTCCAGTAGATGTAAACAACCATTTTTGGAAGTCGTCGGCCTAACGTGACTTAATAGGAAAGGTAGTTACTTACAACTACTCAATGTTGGTAAGGAAGGGGTTAAACACCACGACACGTAGTTTCACATGCATATAAGTGTTTGTTATTCTTGCATTGCATAGGTTGGCTCACCCTAAGACCAGATCTAAACACTCGTTTACAGCTTTACTATATGTCTAGATCCTATTAACAACCTGTAGAGACCAGTTGAGATACTATTTGACAAGGTATTAAAGTAGCAAGAGCAGTTAACGCCCCATCCTCGAGTGGGCCCTCCCATGTAATATTTTCAATCCAATCCATAGCTGTCTGGTACGCGCCCTGTACATAATATACTGAGCTATACAGTTTTTATATTTATGTCCATCATGCTCCTAGCAGCATCTTCAATTATCCAAGCAAGCTCGGAGAGAATGGGCGAGACCCTGGTTGGTTGCAAGGGCTCGATCGCTAGATCAAAGAGGATCATGAATTTTTCCCAGTCCAGGCCATTACAATGGGGATCTCCATTTTTTTCGCGATGATTGTTGAACGAGATGTAATGACGCTCACTCACGTAGCGACAGAATTCATCAGAAGTAAAATCTATCGAATCATTGTCAATAGCATCTAGGAGCTCCCTCAAGAGATTCACTGCTATGTACAACGAGATGGGATTCTCTCGCCGAGCTATGTTCATGCAGTGTGTGTAAAAAATGTCGAGCCGTACAGCTGGATTCAGATCTAGGAGAGGCACTAAGGGAAGGTCGCCTATGCCTTCGTGTTTGTAGATGATATCAATTGGGAGGTCTTTCGTCCCTTGAACCCTGTTGATCATTGGCCACAATTCAATCGCGAAGCCAGAATTAGTCATGAAGTCGAAATGGCTATATTCCAGAAGCTGCTCGGACTTGGGTGTAGAGAAGAGGAATTCCAACTTTGTATGCTGCCAGAGGGATGTTGTAAGAAGTTTCTCGATTCCAGGCAGCGCGTTCAAAACGAAATCCTGGTAAAAAGATTGATTTCCGTTCCAAAACCTTATAAATGACTTTGCACTTACGTCTGAGTACTCAAACGTCAATTTGCGAAGTCTGGAAGAAGACGGCGTGATCCCGACGTCAAAGATATCCGTGAGAAGGAAGTTTGAAACTTTACTATGCAATTCCAGAAAGTATTCGAAGGCGATATTGAAGTCTTGGTTGTTGTAGTACCATGTTACTGCTCCTTGTGCAAAGTCCCTGCCTACGAGGGTGACTCTGATGAACTCAAGAAGGGGGATAGTGTGATGACTAGACGAGTCCGGCTCGCAGCGCCGGCGGCATTTCGACTCAACCAGAAGTACGTAATCGTCTGTGGAGATGGTATCCGCCCAGAGGTATGAGTATACTTCATCCTTTAATTCTGTGGGAAGCTTGCGATAGAAGAGGTCTATCAAGCCTGCTCGCCCCGTTAAATGGCTCGTTGGAATGTATGTGGCGTCTTTTGATTTTGACTCGAATGGCCCTGTTGAATGGTCCGCTGAGATGTGTGTTGCATCTTTTGATTTTGGCTTGAAGATGCCAATCAAGCGTCTGATCCATCTCATTGTGCCGGCGTAGGCAATTGTGGCAGTTGTGGCAGTTGTGGCAAGTGTGTTTCCTGTTCTGACCCAAGTCAGAGGGGCCGTGGAATGTAAGTGTTTGGAGTGGGAGAGGGCGGGCGACGGAAATTATATAGTCGCTAGGAGTGGTCCAAAACCACTGAATCTACTGCGTTATGCTCGTCAAAGTAAATAATATGCATATCATACGGGCTGAATCGCTACCACAAGTTGAAACACTATTGACTACGCATTTGACGTAGTGACGTATACGACGTCCCAATGATCCAGTGGATTTTTACGGTTCAAATATTATATTCCATCTACTGAAATTCTTCTAGCAAGTCAAGTGCCATCCTTATTAGCTGATTTGGAACTGACCGGGCTGGCAAGGAACACCAGGCTCCAGCACCCATCAAGTCTACTTCGATTGGTCCCAGGTGAAAAATGTTTTTCACCCACGCCCATGGACAACTTTATGGCATACAGTACCAACAACTTAACACAGCAAATAGTATCTCATCAAAGTATAGCGATGACTATTCGGCATAGCGCGTGGTCCCTTGGTTGACGATACAGGTGACTCATCGCTACCACAATACAGAAGCTGGAATAAATTACCTATGAAACGTCAATTATATCGATCCTAGAGTATATAAAAAAAGGACTTACGTAAGACTGGACCATATAGAGACCGTGTGTAACTAAGGTCTTCCAATAAACTTGTAGTTAAATCGTCGTCCACTTTTCGACTGACAACTCCCCCTTCATCGCCCCTTGAGAAATAGACACCATCAACACACCGCCTCGATGTACCGGATGCCAGCGAAAACCAGCTCCAAACAGACCCCTCGCCCATGAGAACTCGATGCCCGAAATACCCTACTGTTCCAGTTCCAACGCCATGTAAATTATTAGCCGAACAAATAGTACACACATTCCAAGTGATCTAGACGCTCTTTGACATGCTCTCACAAAGGCCGAGCGCCTCTGTTTAATATATAGCTCGCTTGAATGACTGCACGAACGGCGCTACCACCTTGTAGATCTTTGTCGCATCTTGCGTTTTTGTCGACGATAAACTTGTAGGTGTGACCTTGAAAATTCGAGCCGTTCCAATACGTGAACACGCTTTGAAAGTGGCTGAGGCCATTCAGGACAAAAGGCCTCCGATAAGAGTTTCATATCATCTCACAACCCATTCTAGCTTCATTGCGAGCTTTTGCCACCACGACGAAACACTAGCAATCAAAGCACCGCTTACCACCCAATCAACCTCATCAGCGACGGCTTCTGGTCGATCTCGAATAACGTGGTGACCACAATCTGGAATATGAATGTATCTTGCATTCCTGGAAAGTTGCAATTGCTCTTTCTTCATTCTCTCGTCTTCCTTGTCGCTTGCCTCTAACAGTGTTCTCTGCATCGTGAACGCAGCTCTTTGCTGTTCTGACACTGCTCTGATTTCCTCGGCCTCTAGAGACTTCTGTTTATGGATGAAAGAATTGCCCCGAATGACACAGAGGGGAGTTTGCCCTAATATGCGCTTCCGCGTCTGAGCGGCCGCGATTTTGGGATCCAATCCGCCTTCCTGGCCAGTCTCAACGAGAACTACACCCGCAACACTTTTGAGCACTCGATGCATGAAAGTCCGCGCAAAAGCTCCACCGTAAGAGTGGGCTACCAGTACGTAGGGACCGGCTAGGTTCTGGGCTTTGAGAAAGTCGAGGAGGTGGGAAGTCGCTTGGGTGGGATTCGGGTTATGCGGTCCCCTCTCGAAAAGAAGGATGCGATATCTTGATTCGAGTAGATGAGCGAGTCCGTTCCATGACGGCTCGCAGGACTCCCCAGAGCCGTGAAAACAGATAATGAGCGGCGTATCTGTTTTGTTGGCAGCGCCAAGGAGCCTGTGACTCGGCTCTGCAAGAGGAGACGTGCTCATGACATCATTAGATCACAATGAATGCATCTCAGTAACTCGGAACGTCGCGGTATGTACAGTTTGTAGCTGAAGGCAGAAAAGTTGAAGTCAGAGATCCCAATCGTTGTCAGCATGCCCCTAACCGAATGTGGATTAGTGGACTCACGTCTCACGGATACAGTCAGTCCACTAAGCATTGTTCAAAGTGAGTGGAAATAGCAATCATTAAAAGCTTTCTGGACCTAGATACTGTTGTCTGAGCTGCGGTGAGGCATCCTGTATCTGATCAGGTGAGTGTTCAAGATGCTAATTGCACGATAAAATCGACTAATTACCTAGGTACTCGTTCCCCAACAATCGGAAATTATCTCTCACATGATAGTCTATGCATAGTAAATTTAAAGAGGTTTTCGAACGCTACATATCGACGAGGTGACTTTAGGCATCGAAATAAGCTTTGTCACAAGTCTTAAAGAATCATCTCTATGTGCGGGTATATACAGCTAGCTCCTCGATTTAGCCAACGGGACAACACAAACACCACATTGACCAGGCTAATACACCACGTTACCCACCAATGAGCCTTACGAAAAGTCGTGCGGGGTAAGAGGGGAATATTATAAGAGATCTGTTGTAAAGCGGCATCTCATAGGGACCTCATTATGGGAGATGTCAGCTAACATTGCTTACCAGACTTGTCCGAGAACAGGGAGATAATCTTCCCATCAACCACGGCTTGAATACACTTAATCCTATAATTTACCTCTTCCTGCACTAACCGGTTCCACATCAGTATATTCTCCGCATAGTTATAGAAGTGTAATAAAAGCCTCTCGAGAGTGGTCTGTAGATATTGATAGTTCATCACCTGTACCCTTGATGGTGTGAAAGTGATATAGTATCTCCGACAGCTGCTGTGTGATACAAAAGAACTCAAATAGCTGAAGATAGTTGCATACATGCAACATAATCAGCTATTCAATGAGAATCCGACATGCATTTCTACAATCTTCTCTCACTCCTTGTTGCCGTGCGCTTTGTAGTAGCCGGAACCTTCACTTGGGATAAAAACACATTCTACATCGATGGCAAAGCATACCAGATTGCAGGCGGTCAGATTGACCCTCAGCGCGTCCCACGTGCTTATTGGGCACAGCGTCTTCAGATGGCCAAATCGATGGGTTTGAACACCATCTTCAGCTATCTATACTGGCAGGATATAGAACCCCATCAAGGTCAATTCGACTTTACCGACACGAACGACGTCGCGGCATGGTTCGAAGAGGTGAACAAGGCGGGAATGAAAGCCATACTTCGTCCAGGACCCTATGTCTGTGCCGAACGAGATTGGGGCGGCATGCCAGGTTGGTTGAGCCAGATCTCAGGCATGAAGCACAGATCGAACAATCAGCCCTTTCTCGATGCTACCAATGCATACTTGGCCAAGGTCGGGGCCCAAGTCCAACCTCTTTTGATCACGAACGGTGGACCTATCCTCATGGTGCAGATCGAAAACGAGTATGGCTGGGCTGGTAGCGATCACACTTACACTAGCAATCTCGCCAATATACTCAAAACCAATTTCCCGAATATGAAACTCTACACCAACGACGCAGCCAATGCTGGAGCGCTGCGGGCTGGTCAGGTTTCGGGTGCCCTTGCTGTTTTCGACGGCACTGATTCCCGTGGAGGTGTCAATGTGCTTCGGTCTACTATTACCGATTCAAGTAGCATAGGGCCAGCTATGAACGGCGAGTATTGGGTTCGATGGTTTGATAACTGGGGAGCGCGCAACAATCACAACACATACGACGGCGATAACAACGGCATGCAAGGGCGTGCAGACGAGATTGACTGGCTGCTCAGCAACAGCCACCACTTCAGCATCTTCATGTTCCATGGTGGAACCAGTTTTGATTTTGGGGCTGGATCAGGCGACACAACACCCCGTACACCATTCACTACTAGCTATGGTACGTATTTCCATGTATCACTGCGTATTATTTTGAAAATCTTGCTGACTTGGCCCCTCGAACTTAAGACTATGGCGCAGCACTAGACGAGACGGGCCGCCCATCCCAAATTTACAACTACTTCCGAAATGCTATCGCAAAGCACGTCTCCAATATTCCCGCCGTTCCTTCTACCCCTTCTCTAACATCTGTATCCGACTTCAATCTGAGCCCTGTACTGGGAATGTTCGACAACCTTACTTCTACGCCTCGCACCTCGTCATCACCACTCGTCATGGAAGCTACTGGTCAAGTCTTTGGGTACATTCTCTACGAATCAATCGCTACGGGGACCTCCTCGGGAAAACTTCAGCCAGGAAACGGAGCTGCTCGCGACCGGGTCATTGTATCCGTCAACGGTCAGAAGAAAGGTGTCATCGATTCCATCTACAGGAATCCAGCCACTGTCAACCTCAACCTCAATAAAGGCGATAAGCTATGGTTGCTCGTCGAAAACCTGGGCCGTGCCGACAACGGCTTCTCCGATCAGACAAAGGGAATCGCGGGTGATGTCATGGTAGGAGGAACGAAGATTACAGGCTGGAACCATTACAACTTTCCACTTGACAATGTACCTACTGCAGCTACGTCTGGTGGGGGTACTGTGACTGTGCCTTCAAACAGTCCTCCAGTTTGGTATCGTGGAACTTTCAAGACGTCCAACTCGGGGATGGCTGCCGATACGTTCTTGCAGTTGCCTGGTGGCATTAAAGGAGTTGTCTTTGTAAACGGGTATAACCTTGGCCGTTACTGGACGATTGGTCCCCAACAGGAGTTGTTTGTCCCTGGCGCATATTTGAAACAGGATGCGGACAACATTGTTAGTGTTCTAGAATTGGAACCTGGAACCGCGGGTAGAGTGGCTAGGGGTGTCGCGAAGAGAACGTGGAAGAATAACGCGGATCCAGATTGCAATGGGTGTTCGTAGAATATTTGTCGGAAGTTATGGTATTGGCTGAAGTTTCAATCAAGCTATTACTACTTGATCTCTTGACCCATTGGCCCATTGGTTTCCTGTTCAATCTCCCAGTTGGTCGATCGCATATTGGGATGGTCGATACTCTTCACAGAACATGATGAGAAATAACTAGCTGTCAAAGTTGATTAGTACACACCGTTCGAGATGCGATATTCACCATTTTAATCCGATTATCGAATAGTGACAGCCGTTTAAACTTTTCGTTAAGAGTGCTGTAGGCAGAAGCTGATAGGAAAGTAAGTCTTAATGTTTGATCATAATTTACTTAACTATTATCTATCGCTTGAATTAGGTCGTCCCAATTTCTACATTGATGTTCAGTGCCGAACCCTCTAACTCCTGCCTTCTTGTCCTTTTCCACGGTGAGATCCATAGTACACATAAGACCCTGTCTTATCAGATCTATGCAATGGCGCACATGATCTCCAGCTTCCAGAAAGGGTGTGTCATTCTCATCAAGCTTCTTTCCTTCAACGGCAGCGGCGTGGTAGCGCCAATATGAGTGGCGAATAGAATCCTAGTGAACGATTTGGTCAGCACGACTACTGCGTCAGAGCTCGCAAAGCAGAAGAAAAACCTTACCAAGCAATGTAATTGGTGGAACACAGATATAGTCGAACGATCAGGTATTGTTGGTGGTAGTTTGAAAAAGACTCCGTCCCTCGGGAATATTGATTTCCAAGCTTCGTCGGTGGCGTTCGATGGCGCCTGGGAGAATGTGCGATTGAAGTTGAACATGCGGGTGGCAGTACCAACTAATGATAAAATTAGCGCTTGCGACTCTTTGATTATGTATGACTATAAAATTCCATGATTGAGATGCTCAACGACAGAAGAATATACCTGGTATCGGAAGATCTGGGGCTATGGGCGGGCGCTGGAGCGGCAGTGCAGTTTTCTGGCCAACGAAGAATGCAACGACGAGGAGCGCTATGTAGACGAGCGATAAAACCACATTTCGTAACGTTAATAGGCCGGGCCTAGACCCACTATCCTCGGTCTTCTGGCTAAGAGGAAGATATTCTTTAGTTCTGTCAGGTAGAGAGAGCTTCATGGCCGTGTTGGAGACCTGAGGTCAAAAAATCTGCAGAGAGACTCGAGGTTTCGTGAAGGCGACATGAAAGGTTTCGCCCTCCAAGGAATGACGTCTACTATGCCCAATGTGGGACTGGTGGTTTAGCCAAAGTGAGAGCAGGTACATGTGAGCAACTGGCTCGATGCAGCAGGAGGGAAACAGCATTCGTACTGATGCGCGACCAAGACCCAATAGAAATTATGTGATCAGTAATGTATAGATAGCTAGCTGGGGTGGATACGCGTCGAAGACTGCCAATCAAGGGAAAATAAACGTCCAAGATAGTGATCGAGGCTCACGTTGCATGAAATTCATGGGTCCACTCTGTGCGTAGGGATTGTTCCACGAATGCGGTTTAACCGCCCCGTAATACACCCTGTCAGGATATCTGCCAAGTAGGCGCTCGTAACCCGAAGCCCGATGGTGGGGTGTGGTAATCCAGAAGAACTTTTTGAAGGCATTCAGCAATATGCTGCAAAATTTATTAGTAACTCTGTCAGTGGAGTACACGTGCGGTTCCTTCATTCAAAGTACTAGTAGTTCTCACCACTTGTATATCGATGTGAAGGCGTTCGACAATCCGACCGAAAGTCATAATCGCACAAGAAAAAAAAAGTGCAACTTGATCGTGAGAATCCAAGTGGCAATGGCTCACATGTTGATATTAACGTGAGACGTTGCGTGGAATAGGAGATGTACGTTAAGCAGGATCCTCAGTGTGCAAACAAGGGCAGTGATTTCGTGCACGTTATATGAGATATACTTTATGACTATATCAAGCAGGAGACGTCAGACTTGAAGTGCTGTCAACGTTGCACCGCATAAATCGATCTACTTGGCTTGCAGATGACGACATGCTTGCCGACTCGATTGCTGACGTGCATCAACACGGACTCCGAAAAGCCGCACACTCTCTTAACAGCATTTCAATCTTTGTATTCCTCACCATTCCACTCACTCCAGATTGATAGCGCCAGGAAATGATGAGGGGCGATTTTGATGGTTGTACGAAGCTATTGTAGGATGAATTGACCTCGTGGACGGTGGGATGGGATCAACCCGCTTAATCTTATCGCGAAGGAATCGGGTGGAAGAGAAGTGGAAGCAGATGCGCAGATCTTCCGGGTGGAGATGCATGAGATATTGCGCCCAGATCTTGTCATGCAGGTTGTTTGCACATTACCCAGCTAGGATGTGTAGACCCTTCGCCAGACTGATCACATGAAGAGCAATCGAACGTAGAGCTTTCTGTAATTATTTTGTGTGCCATGATCATTTAAAGTTCTACATAGGACATTTATCAGTGAATCGCAATATGCATTCTATGTCAAGGTAGTAACGGGGTCTATCCAACTACATAGCGAATTAAGTAGTGCTGTCCAACCGCTATCACTGACACTTCAAGGGCCATTGCGCAGTCCACGGGGAAGCCTTTTTTTTAGCGAAAAACACTCTGATAGAACCGAGATCCGAGCTTCTATGTTGGATTTATCTTTTGACAAATATTCGAAGGATAAGATCTACACTAGCATAATGCTGCGAAGCCGCGAGGCCCCCGCATTCGGTCGTTCTATTCTACACCACCACGATCGAGAAACGCGAGAATTCCATCTCGGAATTTGCGGATCCCCAGGAAAGAAGACCATGCTAAAAGCTCAAGATTTAAACCCCGGTCCGAAAGAGAGAAGCATGAATGAAAATACTACAAAGACTGGAGGTTATATCATGCTCAACTTTTCCTTGCTTAAACCAAGCAATCGAGCCTCATTAGATTTTTCGTACGGCCACTCAAGCCTACCCACCCCAACTCGACGGTACTCGGTTGAAGTCTGGCGTAATAGCAACACATACAATAGAGTTGCGTTCCACTGTTCGTGAAACTGTGTGTAAATGGCCACAGCGCGAACTTCGTCGAAGGGTAGCGAAGCATACATTGTGTTGTCGAACTCGACTGTGGTTCTGACCAGAGTTTTATCGTTTGGTATGGGAAAATCGGGCGTGTTTAGTTCATCGAGGTATCGCGAGCCGCAGGGTTTGTTCCAGCTACAGGGCGATGTCGGTGCGTTGAGAGTGAGGGTCGCGTGATCCAGTTGCCCAAAGACATTTGACGGATCTGATGGGAGAACCTGGAGGGATTTTATTTCCGCCAGCGAAATGCACTTGTACCCCCCAATAATCATCTTATCAAAGTGGTTGAAGTTGTAAAAAGATACAGGGGTATCCGAGCTCGCCCAACTCCAGCTTGGGGCCCTAAAAACGGTTGATGGCGATTCGTAGGTCAGCTCTATGCTATCTTCCTCTCTATCCATGTTCCACAACAGAGCGAAAGGTAGCGAATTTTTCAAAAACCCTGCATAACAAGGCTGCTCCAATGTTTTTGAGAAGTGCTCTGCAATTGCAGAGAAACCAGCGAATTTATCCGAGATCGGATATGTAAGCTTTCGGTTTGTGTAATCCATGATGTGCTCTAGGAAGTTAGTTAGGGCAGTCGAGTGACCTTCCTGCATCATGTTGAAGGCTTTGCTCCAGTGAGTTCCGGATTGAACGGTGCTTTCATTTAGAGCAAAAGGGTATCTCTCGGAGATTGTAGATGATTCTCCACATTCCCATTCAAGCTGTTCCCTGCCAAAATGTAAAACCCTCGACGATAGCAGACGTTCTTGTAGATGCCAGCCACGTAGATTCAGTGGCGGTTCGTATTCGTAACCGTAATTCGAATGTATGACATAATTTCCCTTGAAACGTCCTTGCGTGATAACCCCGCGTGGAGTGACTAATTGATTCCTATTCCTGTCCCTGAATAGCCCTTCTCTAGCAGTTGAACTCGCATCTGCCGATAGATTAAGTGTTGCATACTGATAAATGCGTCCCATGATCTTCACGTGTTCGCGCCAATCTTCTTTGCTGCCACATCCTTCTTGCACAATGCATAAGGCGTCGATCCAGAGATAATTGTATCCCAGATGTCTGCTCGTGTGGACAGCATCCCGGAAGGTCTTCGGTAAGGCGTCCAGATGAATGCACTCCTCCATCTCTTGCTTGTTGTCTGAGCAAAGCCGTAGATTGTTTGCTTCAGAACCCCAGCAATAACTTAAGGTTATGTAATGTAATGGGTACCGTAGGGTAGATGTGTCGACCAATTTGATTCCGTCGCTTTGCAAGTCCAGGAGACGTGGTGGCATGAACGGTGGCCCTTTTTCGATTTTGCATTTCTCGTGTGAAGTTAGACAGGTTTTCAGCCACGAACCTGCAAGTGAAATTGCTTCATCATGTCCAGTCGAGTTTGGAGGTATATATGAGTGCTCATTCATATCATTTCGCAACAATGTGAAAGTATGATTATAGATGCTATCGATTCCTCGATCGGATAGTATGACTCCGAGGTGCAGATTCCCATCTGCTAGCGGCGAGGGGAGAAGCGCAGAGTCCACCGTTTGGAACAAAACTTCGAGCTCCGGCGACACCAAATTGTGTTGGCTGAAGTTCATGCAAAAAATGCATCCCTCTCTGCTCCCGAATTCGATGCCTTCCTGGGAGTGTTTTAATTTTCTGGGTGTAGCACCTGTTCCTAATATTTCGAAGATGGCTCGGCAAGTATTGCATGCCATTTCAATATGAGTGAATGAGAAATCCAAGTGCAACGTCGGAAGAAATAAGTTTTGAGTAGAAAAGGGACACGGTGAAAGATTGCTCCAGCAGAGAAAGGCGGGGCAAAAGACGACTCACTAAAAGCGCCGCTAGTGAGGAAGCAGAGCTGCCCAGGCGATGCGATATAATTTCATGAAGTAATTTCATAGCTCGAGTCATATGCGTTCAATTTCACAGATTTTTACAAAGGTATCTTCGTCTAATTGTGAGATCTCATGGCAAAATGTCAGTTGTGAGAGCGGGAGACGGAATTGCCTTGTTATTTACCACTACTTTCCAATACCATCTTGGAAAGCCTACTTATTCTCACGATGCATGAACATCCAACCCCAAAAGTTTCGCAGCATTTTTCCACCTAATCCCCTCCAGAACGTCTTCAGTAACCATGCCACTTTTTTCTAGCTCCACCAGCCACTTCAATCCATCCTTACTTTTGGAGAACGGGTAATCTACGCTGTACATAATCCTGTCGTGCTTTGTATTTCTCAGAATACAAGCCAGTGGATCCAGCGCCCAGTTACCGCTTGTCGTCAACCATAGATTCGTGTCCCAAACTTCCCTAAACGATCGCGACTTCCCCCATCGCGAGGTGACGCGCTCTATGCGCTGAAGCATATACGGCATCATCTCGCCCATATGCCCAATCACGATCTTGACCTTCGGGAAGCGATCGAATACTCCCGCAGCGTAAAGGCGCATGACATGCATCGCTGTGTCGCTATGCCATCCAAAACCGAAGGCAAGTATGCTTGTCAGCACAGGCTTTGGGAGGTGCGGCGCTTCGAAAGCGGTAGATTGTTGTTCAGATGGCCACGTAGGATGAATGTAGATAGGGACATCGATTCTCTCGACTTCTCTCCAGAATACGTCAAAATCAGGCCCATCATAATAGACTCCGGTTTCTGTATGGCTATCCACCAATGCGCCGACGAATGTTGTGCCTTGTATTCCATCCGCGCAAGTGCGTCGGAGCTCTTTTGCAGCCTCCACAGGCTCCTCCATAGGCAGCTCGGCAAATCCGGCAAACCGCTTTGGATATTTTTGAATGGCCTCGGCAAGTTGTTCGTTGCAGTCGCGACATTGGGATGGCGAGAGATCGCCAGGTCCGTGGGATATCACTTGCATAGTAACCTCCCCGGAATCCATATCCGCTATACGTAGGTCACCAAGCTCAGTGAATTGTTCCATAAGCCCAGGAAGGCCTTTGAATTCGTCATTGTAGATATTAGGTTTCGAGAGGGAAGCACGGGAAAGGAAGTGCTCTTCAAGCGTTATGATAGGACGAGCGGGCTCTGGCTTTTCTTGCGAAATGGAAGACATGATTCAGCGAGTGTTTTGCGTTTTGTTTCTTCCGAAATGGACTTGGAAAAGCAGAGTTATTATACGTTTGCATTCATATGTACTAGAACTGTGGATCAGAGTTGCCTAGCAGGAAGCACATACGCGGCCATTGAAGTCGGGTTTAGGGTTGATAACGGACTTAGACGGCGTTTTCCTCTCCGATCGTAGTGGGCAGGGTGAGCTGCATGATGCCTGTTCGGAACATTTGGAGCTTTCGCGCGAAAACAATACGGGCAGACTACTGTTAGTTCTCATATATGTAGTGAGATTTTGTGGCAATGGATATCTCGGGGCAGTCTCAACCCGACGCCGATAGTTCGTATTCTGAAGCGATGATGCGAGACCTCTTTGTCTGTTGGTCTTCCGCTATGCCGACAATCGATCTTGAATAATCCTTACTAGTGCTTAGCTACAATTCCCGCGAATTTCCACAAGCTAGCTCTCATCGCTAGTGGAGAGAAACAAGCAAACACAAGCAACGCATCAGAAAAGCTTGTATAAAGAGCTCTGACTTGGACGTTTCGTAGAGGTGCCAGCCTTTTCGTAGAAAATATCGACCCAGAGTGATTCTATCGTCATTCAAGACAGGATACTCGGTTGGAATAGATGAGTATTTCTATCCTACGACTCGCATCCCAGCTGAGACACATAACATCTATCTTGAATCACATTTTAAGGCATACTAAATCTTCACAAAATAATGAAGTTTATGAGTATGCATGTTGCCAGTGCGTTGCACAGTGTGTAGTTCAAGCGTACTCCCGCGCTAGTATGGATTTGAACCTCAGGCACACCATCCCGAAGCTTATTCTTACCGTCCACAAACACGAAGTCGAGCATGATGACCAAACATGTTCTGAAGGGAAACAAAATCAATTCATTCAGTAATTTAGCCTGTTTGCGAAGACAGAATATATAGTGGTATAAGACTAAAGCTTGCGTTTCCAAAGTTCACTCTGCGGGTCCATTGTACGGGTGGTTCAAAGGTACGGAGCCTTCTCTACATACAACTAAACCACATACGAAGAGCTTCATTATGACTGATTTACACTTCGTTCATGCTATTGCAGCAAGTACCGATGCTTCGCGAGGCTGTGTAGGAAAGAAATATGCAACCGCATAGGCTGCGAATGAGATACAGGGAGGAATAACAGTGACAAGACCACTCTGTAACGAGGAACGTTGATTGAGTGCTACAATGCACATACATATGCAGCTAACGGCGATAGTAAGAAAAATATACCTGATGTCTCATTGGTTAGTGATACTCCGCTTGTGGCGACGTGGGAGACACTTACAGCTGGTGGTTGCGAATTCTTCGGCATTGGACCATGACATATGTCACGAGAAAGAATAGCCAGGCACCAAACATCCTGTCGCATTTAGTCACCATCTGATGGCAACCGTAGAAATGGAGCGACTTACATCCATGCCGATTTGGGGTCGACTGCCGAATCATTGCGCATCATCAGCCACAGAACACTCGTGACGCCCATAAGCGGGCCAACGAGGTTACTCGAAAATGTAACGGCAATTCCACCAATCAGAAAACAGATATGAAAGAAGGTTCCAATGGGAGGTTGAGTTGCGAGGTTGTTTGCAGGGAATGACACTGCCTCGTTTACGGCAGCTACGGGTGTGACCAGCATCAGGCCCAATGACGCCAGGAGCATCGTGTTACATGTGCTAGGCAATTGCATATGTGTGTGGATAGCGTTCAATTCAGAGGAATGATGTACCTGACCGAAAACCATGACAGTGACGGTTCAAACACTTTTGATTTGGTATAAAAGAGTTTGTGGGAACTGAGTTGGCTTGCAGACGTTGAACATCAAGCTCAAAGGCTCGCAGGTAATGACGGATGGGATTGGAAAGATCTAACGGTTCAATTTGAACCGGAACAAAAAAGTAACAGGATGGAAGAACAGATAAATGCATGTGCAAACGCAAGGCAATCGCACTGAGGACGTAGTAACAGCAAGCAGAAGACTGCTTGCAAGTGGTGGTTATAACTCAAGCAGAGATCCATGGTGAGCAAAGCCCACTAATACATAAGTTGTAAGTTGGAGTTGGAGTGATTTGATACTACACACATTTGATCCCTACTCCAGTGGTCTGTGCGCCGGTCGAGAGGCCGCCCACTTGCACTCCGCAGTCTCCACTCTTACGCAGCCAGCTGCATGCATTCGTATCAATGACCTCCTTCACACACACTCTATTCTCCGGCCTAGGAACCCATGTTGAAAGCCTTGGTCACAATCTCATCCCGGCCACCCACCACTAAGCAGAATGCCAGATGCCTACGACCGCAGAGCATGATGCGCCACGCCCCTGGCTCACTCATTCTCATGCAAGGCCCGACGCACCGCGGCGACGCGAGTGAGTGAGGCCATACAAGGTGGTGGATCTTCGCCTTTGTGCATCAAGTGAGAAGCGGCCCATTCGCATCTCCACCTGTATATGCAGGCAACTTACAGGGAGGAAATGTACCACAGTAAGTGTTGCACCGTGGGCCGGGACCGAAAGCAAAAAAAAATCCCCCCATCCCCTAATCAGGGTACAACTTTTGGTGTCTGTGTTTCTAAGCCGCATTCTTGTATCGGGTATCGGGTTTATAACGGTTCCGTCGAACACGAGACAGCGACAAAGTATTAAGAGCTTCGCGAGGAATAGAATCCGGCACAAGGTGGGTGAGGTGCCAACCGCAGGAAAGCTGATTCGTGTCCGCACATGGATTGCAGTCCCATGTATGCGCACGCAACGATCAACATGTAGTTTTCATCTTGTTAATTGCACTGCCCTATGCTGTCTTGCATAGCCTCATGGTACTGTTCTCCGGTAAGAAAGCTGGGAGCTCATTTTCTCCAGTTATGTGCAGACAACGCCACATTTCATTATAGCATCTAATCTACAGGTGTAACAGCGTGCGATGGGCCAACCATTGTCCTTACACTTTCTCCCTTTTGATCGCCAAAAAGGTCAGGCTCCAAAGCTGTCGAATATCGGATTCTGTGTCCGAGTATGTGCTAAAGGGCACAGCCTGATAACCGTTGTCGTATTTCCAAGACCATACTTCGCCAGAGAGCTGAGCGCGATTCGCGTCTATAAGATCCCAAAGATGATCGTATGCAGAGATGACCTTGCTGCGAAGCGTATCATCGTTACAGAAGTCTGGTTCACGAGGGGTTAGATACTAAAGGAGAAAAATTTGTATATGGATGAGTGCGTGTCGCTCGCTGACTTACCAGGCTTATCACCCCCGCACCGGTCAAGCTGACGCTGGAGCCCTGCCGCCATCATCGCCAACTGCCAACTCCAGATCACAGTGCCGTGATATTGGCTATTTGACCAGTTGTCCGCATAGCTTTGTGAACCTCCGTATGCTGGATTCGCGACCAGCAGACCCGCTTCTGTCGACAATCCGACGGGGAATGGTGCAAGGATATTGTTTGCAGTCTGATCTAGAAAAGAGCTGAGTTGAGTTTGGTTCGTAGTATCGAGTAGGAAAAGGCGGAAGCAATCGTCAGTGTTCATAACGCGGACAATGGGCTGATTATTATCTCCATTCAAGGCGAGACCGTAGAACACTACATCCCCTGTGATCCTTTCTGAAAATGCCGGTGCAGACGAGCCGGCTTCTTTCACGTACTGGGTGACGAGATCTCGAGCTTCGTTGGCAGGGACCGTAACTTTGAAGAAGTCGAGTGTCTTGTCTTCCCAAATCTGCGCGTATTCGTCCGCAAGCGTTTTCCAATCTTCATGGCCCGTGAAGAAGCCATCTCGGGCCAGTCTACCAACAGCACGTAGGCCCGCGGGGACAAGCGCAGTATTGACGTCGTATGGGATCCGACCGCCACCCAAGCCGTTGTTCGAATCACGCCATTCACCGACAGACTCTCCATTCTTAAGCTGAATCAAGTTTTCGATGGATTGAGAGGCGGCAAAAGGAGCCGACGTTTTCATGATTTTTTCGGCAGTCGATTGGGCCAGATCACGATACGAGGTACCCGCGTTCTCTTGAAGAAAGGAAGCCTTGGTGTTTAGAAAATCCTCTGCTCGATCTTTCCCAGTTTCTGTGTCTACGAAGTAGTCCTTCATTACAATAGGCAAGTAGTAGTCTGTATCAACCATCTTGTAGTCGCAAGACGGCGCGGAAGAATCGACACCGTTTTGCTGATTGAGGAAAGTCGCATAATCTCCAATCACTTCTTCGTGACAAACAGTACCGTCATTCTTGTTGACACGTTCAAGAACTGCGGAGATAGCAGCCTCAATTGCTCCACCTTCTCCTTGACTAAGAATAGATCGCATCAGTAGGACTGAGATCATGCTGTCGCGACCGAAGTACGTCAAAAAGCGCCACGTTCCTGCGAGGATCTTGCTTTTGTACGAAAGAAAGGAGAGCGAAGTTGTTTGATCGGGGTTTTGAGCTACAAGATCCTGCGAGCCAGAGTTGAGTACTTGCTGTGGGCTCAATTGGCTCATCTGCGGATAGTTGAAAGTTGCTGTGAAGTTATAGGTGCCTTGGCCGAACCGAAGCGTATATCTATCGCCTGGAATAATCTTGACGGCATCGACATCTCCCGTCTGAGCAAATGTGAGCCAGGTTGTAGTCTGCTTGTCTAGCCAGTCGCGGTATATAGCGGCGCCCCCTGGAACATCCCCGGGTACAACAGCAACTGCATTTTGAAGTTTAGGGTGCAAAGTTTTTCCCCCTTCTGAATAGTCTCGAATGGCGCGGATACTCCCCAAGATGGGAATCGTCAAGATGGCTGGGGAGTCGAAGTGAACAAGGCCCGTCACACCTACGCGAGGATTCTCATTCTTGGAGTCGGTGCTGCCTAAATCTAGAGACTCAAGGGCATTGCCGGTGCTAGTCGCATTTTCCAAGTTCAATCCAAGACTGCCCCGGACACCGTTCTCAGGCTCAAAGTAAATGGCAATGCCACTGTTTCCGGCTGGCCATGCTACAAGGAGTCGAGGGTCAAGGTCCTTGCCGCCACGAACTGGACTGGTGACGATTACATGCGAGCTTGTGTGGCAATCAGACAGGAGGTAGTTGTCATAAGGAGGCTCAGATAGATGAAGTCGTGATGCCGGACAATCGTCGTTAGCGGCTGAAGCTATAGAGTTGAGGAGTGGTGTAATCAAGAGCCAAAGCGTAACCCTGCCGTAATTCCTGGGTCTGGACATCGAAATAATCGTAGAGTAACACAGTGTGTGTAGGTCGACAGAATTGGAACTTCGCTACGTGATATCTATATCAGTCGCTGTAAGTATGTATTCACTGTGTACACCCCTGTCGCCATGACCCCTTAGCGCTATTTCAAAACCAATTACCTTAACGTTGTGTAACTTATCTACATTCAACAGAGATGGAATAAAGATAGTTCATGGGCAAAACTTTCGAAACTGCAAATCATGTCGTGAAGGGGTACATTCTTGTATGTAAACTCGATGCTGCTGTGCACCTGACATGCAAATTTCTAGGATGAAGACTCGGCCAATACTCATAGCGACAGGCCACAGGGATTTTAAGACTGAGAAAGGGCGCGACGAAAATTGGAAAAATGAAGCTACAGTTCACGCGGCACGTCATTTTAGGGCGTATACGGCAGGAGCAGCGACACGCGAACAATAACGGTTCAAGATGTGGGGTAGAAGTGGGAACCAGGATTGAGAACGGAGCTAGGGAAAGGATGTCCCGAGTCAGCTGTTGGCATAGTGGTACGGAGGTATTGAAGCTCTACCGATTCGTTGATGTTGAACCGGGAGGTGTTAAGATCTTGGCTATGCAGATACAAAAGCAGGTCGAGTCGTTGTCGAACATGGCGGGAATCAAACCCCTGGTGTCTCGCCTAACCACTGTCGAAAACGTTCAGCCAATCATGCTGGCTTTACCACTTTGACCTTCCCATTTTGGTAGACCAATATGTTCGGCATCATACATACAGCGAACGTGACCTTTGAGTTTTCCATGGCGCATTTGTTCCCGCTTTTAGTGGTAGATCTTCAGTCATGAGTACCCAAGCAGAGCCGCTTTCATTGGCAGTACTGGTTAGCGTTGATCTTCGCCGCTTCGCCAGTTCACGAGTGGCGCCGATCCTCAGGACCGCCTTCGGATGGCATTTTCTAGATATTGTTACGCCGGGCAAATGATATCAAGCTCAGTCCTACCATTCTAGCCTTCAGCAAGCATCATTTCCTCTAGGGGCTTCATCTAGAAGAATTGGCATTAGGTAGGTTGGATGTCTACGATCCCAACAACACAGATGCCAATCTCAACCATACCGTAAACCAGACAGTTCGGTACACATTTACAACCTGAAACACTCTACAGCCGTCTAAACATGACAAATTGTTCGATGCTTCGCGGTAAGGAAGCTTTATCGATGGCCGTGCCAGCTCACATTCTCGAAGAATCGAAACGTCGGCCCGACTTGAACGTAATCCCACCATCTCTTCATAATCAAAGTTCATCAGCGACGGCACCGGTGCAAACTATCAAATTGATGTGAGAGCATCCATGATGGCATCACTATGCACCAAAGAAGAGCACATCGATCATGCAAGCTTTCATGATCAACCCCATTGCACTTTACGGATACAACAAATACAACAAGAGTGTGGGATGATTTTTTGTCAAATTTCAATTCAACCCTCATATTGTCGAGATTCACCTCTCGTGCGGCTGTTCGCTTGGTGTCGCGAAGCTCCACAATTTCGGTCCCGGAATATCGTACCCAGTAACATTCCCATGAATGCTTACCAAAATCCCCTTGTCTGTCATCGAATACAGCTTACTCCCGACTACGCCACTTCCCAGAGTCCGATCCTTGCCCTTCTCCACGTTCAGGTTGATACACTGCGGATAAGACTGCGCTCCATCCATGTCCTCGGCTACATGTAATGCGATGATCTCGTGTCGGAGGACGTATTGTCCCGCTGCGAGCTCTTCCGGTATCTTGACCATCCACGACGCTTTGTTCGCTATTAGGACATCAGATGCCCACGTCGCACCTAAAACGTCTGCTCCGCTGGTATTCAACCACCCCAACTCATCAATCTTGACCCATTCCAACATACTCTTGTCTGCATCTGCACAATTTCCATTGCAAGCTGCCAGGTAGGATAACACGGGCCCTTTATGCGACACTGGCCATTCGTTCCATTGCAGCTTAAGTGTATCACCTGCGGTGGTGTTCACATCGATTCCCCCCGGTTTAGAGTTGAAGTGACATGTAATGTTGGTTGTGTTGTATTGCGAAGGAGGTACGAAGATGTTCCCAAGGTTCTCTGCAGACCAGGCGGCTAAGCTGGGTAGCGGTTTGCCAGTGAGGGCCATCTCTGGGTCCCAGCCATCGTAGACATCTCCGTTCGAGGTAGTGACGTTTGTTATGCGACCATGCGCAGAAATCGTGGGGATAAGTGCAGCAAGGGAAGCCGCGACGAGAAGCCACATCTTGGTGGTATTGGAAGGAAAGAAGATAGAAGGAAGAGCTCAAATGGGACCGGCCACACACACACACAACAAGAAAGTTTTTTCTCGAGAATAGGTGATTCCTGCTAGATTTTATATCTCATGATCAAAGTCACCAAGAAGATTTTGCACGGTCTTGACCAACAGATCGAACCCACAAAAAGGAAAGCAGGACCAACAGCTTGCGTCCCGTTCCCTCATCCTTATATTCCCACAATCAATCTCCACCATTGGTGCTCACCTCGCACAGCACATGAATGCCAATAGTTGGCCGCTCCATTTATATTGTTTCGTCACTCTATTGCTCGATGCGCATTACGACGTTGTTCGTTTCCCGTTGGCATCCCTGCCATCCGACCCCCGTCGCGGAATCGCGTGTTTCATCTGGAAACATCCGCCTGATTGGCTTGATTGGCTCGGACCATAGTGCTAATATATATGCTACCACTCGTAGATAAAGATCAACGCGTGCCGCGTAGATTTTCCAAAGGTGCCGCGATGTTGGAAAGTGGGGATCGTCGAGTGTGAAGGGCAATATGGAGTGCGGAAGCCATGCAGTGATGACGAGCTTGTCTTGAGCGGGATTGCGAACATTGGGTGCGCATAAAATGAATGGTTAGATTCACCACTTCTCTTGTGGGGGGTCTTGGAAGGGGACGGTAATTGGTTTCGGGATCTTAAGTGAGTTTAGGAGAGTACCGACTCAAATACGTTCCCATATTGAACACAGTATAAGCATGAAGAGACACTCTCCAAAGTTGGAAGCACAATATCTGGGGTAATCAACTCATCCAGTCTTTGTCGTGCACAACCGCTGAGAATGAGTATGCAAATATTCATTTTGCGGGGATTATGATGCAATCACACAGGGATAGTATAGCCGCAGTGATCTTTTTGGATGAATATATGAACCGTGTAATGATGCCTTATGGAGAGAGCGGAGTCTGAGGAGGAAGAAAGCACTCACTGATCATTACGTAAATCAGCAAAGGCATTTTCATACCTAAGATTGCAGAGACGATGGGCTCCTTTGCATCGAACTGGTTTACGATGTGTGAGCTCCAATACATCTGACTGGGCGATTGACCGTCCCAAACTGGCTTGATTTTCGTGACCATTGAAGCATGAAGAGAGCCTTTTTGGGTCTCATAACGTTCCAGTGTCAAGGGTTCTAGTGAGCGACTACCTTACCGGTAGGCTTGTACGTACGAATAGACTGCTACATCTTACCTTACCTATGCATGCTTATTTGGGCACTTCCTCGATGACTCTGCTGTCCTTGTGTTTTTGGCAGATTCATAAAATTCTTGAGGCCCAAGACATCTTGATTTAATCTCAAAGTCCTTTGAATCATTCGTTGTTGCGATCACATTGCAACAGCTGGGACTGAAGACAGAGCCCTTTAGCACTAGCGATCGAAAAGAAAAAAGATTATATATACGATCGAGAGTAAACAAGGTAAAACGTATACTTGAGCAAATTTTCCTTCAATCATGATATTAGATCTTCACTGAAATCAAGACTACAAAACCATGGTCTCCAAAACATCGTATTGCGAGAGACTTCGACAGATTTGGTGTTTACTAATCCCAAGACATGAAGGCAAGGTTGTCAAACGATAAGCGAAAGAGTCCAAGAAACATGCACCCCGCAATCACTACTCTATTCTAGTCTGGCTGCATATTCTCCCTTTTTTCGTCCCTCGTATGTAAGCTGTGAGGATTACTTAATCATACCTGGGATATGCGAAAAAAAGAAGACATGCGCAGAGAGGTTAAGACTAATAGTTCATAGTTTCAGATCCAAATCTGACCATGATTCGACGAGAAACTTCATCTTTGCAATGACCAACACCTCATCTCAGAGGTGTATACGATGATTAAGACTAGTTCATGACCCCAAAAAGAATCCTATGTCCAATTCAGGTAGCACTTGAAATTCATCCAAATCTTGCATGTATTCAAATATATGTAGGGAAGATTGAGAAATGAGTCTTGAATTCGTCATGTTCTTAAAAGCAATTTCGCTTTACTATCTACTGTAATCCGCTGCAAGGCCTGGACTCGAACCATTCCCAAACACTAGCGCAACGTCCCACAGAACCACTTCAAATCTTAGCTGTATAACCACGACTCGCAGCCACGAGGAGATTTAATGTCAATGCCAAAAGTGAGCTCATTATCGCGTTCGAGATGGGCTCTGGCAGCAAACCCCCCAAGAAAGACGTTAACGCCACCTTTAACCGGTGGAAGTGGCGCCGCGACTCAAAAAGCATGTCTTCACCCTTACGCTAAAGCTCTCTTCTCGGACGAAAGGCGCCCTCTTCCCTAATGACTGCTGCTATGACACAAAGTGTGGCTATACACTCCAGATGTCCGGATTGCTGTGCTACCCGCGTGACCTTGACATGCTATCCCATATATAAAACTGTCTACACGCTATACTCGAATGACGCAGTCCAGACACCAAAGCGCTAGAAAGAGCCACTTGACGTGGTTTATTGTAATTAAGAGATTCCTTAGCATTCGACTAGCAATATATTATGGTGGTGCATCCCACCAATCACGCCCACCGACTTGGCAGAGCTATAGCTGTTTGCGGTTAGGACGGTTACAGAATACCCCCATAGTGAACAGAAGCAAGATAGAAGGGATGCCGGAAAAGTGGTCACCACTGTTTCCAAACACAAAAACGGGCGTGGAGTTTGTGCTGTGGCCCCGGGTAAAAAGAGATTTGCGATAGTCCTTTCCCGGGACAGAAGAGGCCAAGAGCCGCATTGCTATAATCTATATATGACGATGGGCTGGGGGTCGATGGAAGTTATATATAAGGGGATGGCTAAGCCCGCAGTGTGAGTGAAGGAGAGATCGTCATTGCGTCTTTCGGGCTTTGCATTGAATTGGCATCATTAGGACAAGAGTTTTTGTTTGACTTTGTTTTTAATTCCGTGAAAAAGGATCGAAGATGGGACTGAAATCTCTCCTCGTTGTTTCGCTGGCGGCTCTGGGGAGCGCCGTGCCGGTTGCGAACCCGCTTGAAGCGATCCGGGCTGCTGGTCCTGCTGGTTAGTGTACCCCGAATTGCGCCCCATCCTTGATGCAAACACACGTCGAAAGAGGAACATCAATGTTGAATGGAGGAGATCATGTGCTAACTGCGACCACCAGCCGGTGTTGTCATCACCAAATGCAGTGCGCCCAACCAGATCGCTCTGGCATATGACGATGGCCCATACCAATACACGCAGAGGCTTGCTCAGATTTTGAGCAATGGCGGAGCAAAGGGCACTTTCTTCGTGACTGGCACGCTCTATGGTAAAACACCCTTTTCGTCATCTGGAGCGACTTTCGCTTACCACTTTACCTATTCAGGATGCATCTACAACCAGCGTGCAGCCGTCAAGGCCGCGTACGACGCCGGCCACCAGATCGCCTCGCACACATGGAGCCACCCCTCAAACTTCGGCAGCATGTCCTCGGGTGATCTTACCCAGCAGATGCAGCGCCTGGAACAGGCCCTCGTCAACATCATCGGCGTCAAGCCCACCTACATGCGACCTCCGTACCTTGCAACGGGCGGAAGCGTACTGTCCACGATGAAGACGCTGGGATACCGCGTCATCACCGACGACGTCGACTCGGAAGATTGGAATGGCAAGACCCCGCAGCAGAGCCAGCAGAAGTTCCAGCAGGCCGGTGCCGGTGGAAACGGACACATCCCGCTCATGCACGAGACGTACCAGAGCACAGTCGAGACATTGACGCCTTGGTTGATCAACTGGGCCAAGCAGAACAACTTGAAGATGGTCACTGTTGCCGAGTGCCTGGGAGACACGGCTGCGGGTGCTTATGTGCCTGGAACTTCCAATGGCCAGGGTTCTTGCTGAGGGGCCCATTCATACTGCATGTATTGCGAATCAATGCCAATTCTAGCCAAAAATGCGATCTGATATGCATGTGTATATATCGACTCGGAGCCTGATGTCCTTGTCCGAATGTGGCTCCGTGTTTTCCGTGATTGCTTCTGTTGAATGTTGTTGCTACCGATCAGGATGAACGGCATCTGAGGGATTGTTTAAGATTTGCAAACAACGTGTCGACTCGTCAATTGAGCGCACGTGGAGATAGGTGACGTGTGCTGATTCCACATTACATGGGCCAGTTACTACCAGTGACTGTTCACGCATTTGAACAACCAATTGACGATGTATACATCAGCACCTCGAGTATACCTCGGTATATGCAAATGCAATCCTGCAGTGGGTTTGGATTCGAATGGATGGCGGATAAGTCGGGGAAGAAAGTTGAGCTAGATTGCGCGATGGATAAGGCAATGGACAGATTGTGAAACTGTTTGTAGCTGGCCAAATATCTAGAGAGATACATATGTATGTGGCTCAACGCGGCGTTGAGTGTTTGGGTGATATGTTGACTGCATGTGATGAGATAGATGAGTGAGCATACCTATGTAGGTATCTGATGTACAGATAAATGTACTAAGTGGCGAGTAAGCTGAAGTCACTCTCACCGCACAAACAAAGAATCTTCCAGCTCGCTGGTTCTGGCGAACGGCTTGAGTAGAGCCGCCGTCGTACCATCATTCATAGTACACTTAGCATCATCCGTGATACCGATGGAATGCGAGCATCATTTAGAGAGAGAAGGAGAGTGGGAGAGAGGCGGTGCATTCGTGGCGAGGGCAAGTGAAGCGTTGTGGCCGGCCAATGGCAGCCCGAACCGACGTCATCCTGGTTCTGGCCCTGCGATAACCCGCAAGCGACCATTTCAAAGCGGCTTAGCCGTCGATCGGGCAAGCAAGCCCGCCCAGATACAAGAAGCCGCCGCTCGCCTTGTTTCCCGGTCTCACCTCAGGTCAACGTGCTTGCATTAAGTAATAAACATTGGACTCTTTGACCACTGCTGCATTTCTCATTCATACATCCACTCCAACCCTCCATCACTACTTGCTCCCTCAGTCCACTGCCATCGAATGGAAACTGATGAGCCCCCTATATCGAATAGTATCAGGTCTAAGGCCAACCGCCTAGGCTTGGGACGCTCCAAGAAACCCAAGCCTGAACTCCCCACCCACCATGTCAACAATGACAACAAATCCACCCACGGCCACCAGGTCGATGCACACAATGGCTCTGTCGATAATTCCTCTTCCTCGACCCGAGCGGTGTCCACGGCTGAGAAGGAGGCGGCTGCCCCCGTAGAACCTAAGCCGCCCATGCCTACGCGCATGAGAAATGGAATTATACGTTTTGGCAGACATACCAAAAAAGCCCTCTTCCACAGTTGGGTCAATGTTCTGCTCGTCTTCGTGCCTATTGGTATAGCAGCCTATGCTGCTCACCTGAGCCCAGCCATTGTCTTTTCCATGAATGCTATTGCCATTATCCCTCTCGCTGGCCTTCTAGCCTACGCCACCGAGGCCGTCGCAGCTCGTCTGGGCGACACCCTGGGAGCACTGTTGAACGTGTCTTTTGGAAATGCTGTCGAGTTGATTCTCTTCATCATCCTGCTCGCCGCAGATCAGATTGAAGTCGTCCAAGCTGCTTTGCTTGGTTCCATCTTGGCCAACTTGCTTCTCATTCTTGGCATGGCCTTCTTGCTTGGAGGTCTCAGGTACCAAGAACAGGTAAGCTTTTCCAATCACTGAAGCTTGATGATTTGGCAATGGCTCACATTCTATAGGTCTACAACAGCACCGTCACACAGATGAGTGCATGCATGCTCAGTCTTTCGGTTATGAGTCTCCTGTTACCCACAGCATTCCACGCTGCATTTGAGGACAATGCCATCGCCGATACACAAACACTACAAGTCAGCCGTGGTACGAGTGTAGTATTGCTCATCGTATACATCCTGTACTTGCTTTTCCAGCTCAAAAGTCACACCTACATGTACGCAAGTACTCCTCAGCACATCATCGACGAGGAATCCCATCCCGGTGTCATGGCCGAAATATGGAATTCGTCAAGTTCCGACTCTTCTTCGTCGTCCAGCAGCAGCGACAGCGATGGTAGCTCTGCTGGATCACATACTACGGCTAAATCGAAAATCAAGCGGAAGTTTCGCAAGCTGCGTCGAAAGTCTAGTGCTAGTTTCAAGGAGAAGGAATCGTCATCGACAGCCTCCGTTATCAACACCCCTCCTGGAGACAACCACAGCAACTACTTCGATCGCAGCCGTACTGACAGTGGAGACCAGGGTCTTGGGCGGGGCATGCTAGCGAGACGTGGATCTGACCCACTTGGTGCTGCTATCATGAGCGGCGATGAAGCTGATACTGACGACTTGCATGCCCCAGTTGCTCGCGACTTTGAAGTTGGAACGGCTGGCTCACCCCCCGCCCGAAAAGAAAGCAAGCGGAAGAACAAGAAGAAGAAGCATCGCAAGACAAGTAGTAAAGAGCTACACGAAAAGGCACCCATTGCCACTGACGCTCAGCCTTCGGAGCCTGCATCTAGAGTTGCATTTACCGAAGAGGTTCAAGATCCCCAAGCTGCTCCCGTCACCAAACGGCCTATCTATCGTCCGGCCTTTTCACTGCTATCCAACAATGTGTTTGTCAACCCAACACCTACCCCAGCGGGAGCAGCTGCGCCAAACCTTCGCGTTGCCGCACCCCGTACCCTGCGTCGCACCAAATCGGAACCCGAAGACATTCGTCGGATGCAACCACCAAACACAGCCGCCACTCGACCCGCATCTACCCGTGTTATGCTTGGAGCCCCATCGATTCATGCAGAACCGGAAGATGAAGAAGAGACCGAGGTTATGTCCCGTACCGCCGCGATCATGCTACTCCTCATCAGTACTGGGCTGGTTGCTGTGTGCGCCGACTTCATGAGTGACGCCATCGAACCCATGGTGGAAAGTACCGGAATCAGCCAAGCCTTCATCGGTCTCATCATTCTTCCCATTGTGGGTAACGCTGCGGAACACGTAACTGCAGTCACCGTCGCCATGAAAAATAAAATGGATCTGTCGATTGGTGTCGCCGTCGGCTCGTCCATCCAGATCGCCATCTTCATCACACCCTTCATTGTTATTCTCGGTTGGATTATGGGCAAGTCCATGACGCTCTACTTCAACATCTTCGAGACCGTCGCCCTCTTCGTCACTGCCTTTGTGGTGAACTTCTTGGTCTTGGACGGGCGAAGCAATTATCTGGAAGGTAGTCTGCTGATTGCGGCGTATGTCATCATTGCCCTGGCTAGTTTCTTCTACCCTGATGGTTGCGATGCTTCCAAAATTGGTGGCAGCGATCAGACCTGCAAGAACGCGAATCAGGAGCATGTGGCTCAGGTTGCTGTTCATACTGCTGCTCTCGTGAAGAGAATGGTGGGACTGTAAGGAATGAGAGGACAGGGTGATTCTACTACGGCCAGGTGTAGTGGTTGGTAGTTTCCGGACGGCGCTGGCCGTTGAACTTCGTATTCATCACTGGTGATGTGTTTTGCTACTGCATGACAAAGTGGTGGTGGGTGGGTTCATTGTTGTTATATTGGTACCTCATACGCCAGATAGTAGCTAGAGGCTCGTCCATATCTTTAAGAGAATGACAACATATGTGCCGAGGATTCCCGTTTAGAATTGTATTTCTCCCGCTCTGTGACCATGCCTCTCAACATCAATCTCCATTGCTATAGATTTTGGAAATACAAAACCGTCGTTGTGAAGCCGGGCAGATTCGTGATTTTTGTGGACACAATACCTGTGTATCTTTCATTCGTTTCTCTCACGTTTTCCTATTTCATTTTTCTTCGTGGGTTCGCGAGGCGAGTATATCGAACTTGATAACGTGTGGACTAGGGGGTGGACATTGAGAATGCGAAGTGAACTGATAGTAGGCTCGAGCGTGAGTCGTCCCAAGGTGTGATGTACACCCAGTATTAGTACTATCCAATGCTGTCCACAGCAGATCGCATGGAGTCTTGACTTGTCCGGGATTACATAGAAATACTCTGTACGAACGTAATAAATGATCACGAGAAGGTCTATGGGAATGAATGCTGAAATGGTATTTTTTCTCGAATCATAAAAGTCTCATATCCTTTGGTTCCATAACGCCGGGACGCCCTTCTACTGTAGATGCATGGTATTGTTTTGGCGGCCGTCGAGCAAGGAGACACAGAAACGATTCCAGTCGGTGATTCCAGTCTTTTACCCCCCACCAACGACCCTCAACCACCGAATGGATCCATCCCATCTGGTTCTCTCTTTTTCGCAACCAGCCGGCGTTTACTCGTCCACATCCATAGCCTCGACTCCACCTCCAACCTTCCTCTTCAGCTTCCTCTTGCTCTTCAACTTGCTCTTTGGCAGCTCCTCCTCGCTGAGCTCCTCTTCGGCAATCTCTTGTCTCCTCTTCGCCACCTTCTCCTTGACCTTGTCCACATCCACCTCCATCTCCTCCACCTCCTCCTTCTGCACAGCCCACCGCTCGCTGGGCGGTAGAAGGTGCTGGTTCTCCTCGACCAACTTGCGGTCGTCGGCACGCTGGCGCGCCTTGTTGCCCTTCATGCGGGCCTTGTAGAACGCCCTCTCGCGCCTGGCGCGGATCTCCGACACACGCGACATGGCCTTGAGCGTCGACTGGATGAGGTCGCGGTTGTAGCGGACGGGGATGTTGCGGCGGGCGGCGAACTGAAGCGTGCTGTCGACGGTCATTTCTTTGCCGTGCGCGCGACGGAACGATTTTGTCCATGCGAGCTTGCGCGGGTTGCGCTTCATTTTGAAGTTCTTGTGGCATTTGGACTTGCAGAAGCGGAAGGCGCGGGCATCCTGTTATTTTTGAGAAATCTCAGGTTAGTCTCCATGAATTTTTTTCAACCTTGATATAGGATAAGTGTCGGGGTGTTGAGGGAATAGAATGAATGGTAGAGAAAAACGTACATTGCGCACAAAAGTGATACCCTTGCTGGGATACACAGGTGCAGAGCAGAAATAGCACGTCTCGATCCTCATGGTAGGCGGGTTTGCGACTGCAGCAACGGCAGTGCGGCGGGACGGATGGGGATGGGAAAGAGATCAGTAGAAGTTGGGGCTGGAGATGAGTATTTTTCGAGAAAAGAGCCGCCAAGAGTTCGCCCCACACATCCACGTCGGCTCCGATTGGCTAGAGCTGATTCGACCCTTGAACTTTTATCTTTGCCTTGCCATCGTTGCCATCTATAGTCTGGAGATTCAGATCCATCCCATCTATACCGCCTATCCATCTGGTTCGTCGAGCGGTCAATTCACCCGAGCTCTACATCACAACCTTCACGCCTTTCTCTCCCACAAACAGCACGTAGAAAATGTCAGTGTGGCTTTGGGCTGCCGGTCTAGGCGCAGGCGCATTCTTCGTACGGCATCCCCTACCACACCTCTCAACCCGCAGCTTGCTAACTCAACAATTCCTAGGGTCGCGCAGCGCTCGTAGCGATAAGACGATCAGGCAAAGGCGCAGGTGCACTTGGACGGGGCTACTACAAAGGCGGCTTCGAGCCCAAGATGACGCGGAAAGAGGCAGCACTGATCCTCGAGATGCCGTACGTTTTATCATTATCCCTGACGCCTTCCTTCTCTTCATCTTTCAAGCAAATTGAGGGGGTAGACAAGCGCTATTTATTTACAAAAGAAAAATGATTACTAATTTAAAATGTTTGATGTAGTGAACGCGGCATCACGAAAGAGCTTCTCCGCAAGAAGCACCGATCTCTCATGCTCAACAACCACCCGGATCGCGGCGGCAGCCCTTATCTCGCCACCAAGGTCAACGAAGCCAAAGAGCTTTTGGAAAAAGAGGTCAAATAAACGTTTCCACCTGGATTCGCCCATTGTATAATTTGAAGGGAAGGTGAGGGACGAGAGGGGAAGATGGATGGCCGTGTTGACGTCCCTGTGTGTATTACCTGTATAGTATGGTTTGACGATTTTTTATCTGCATATAGCATGGCGCTGGGTTTTTGGATTTGATAAACACGAGGGACGGGTGCGAGACGCGTCGTCATTGTCGTTGTCTCTCTGCGCTACAAGAATCATCACCACTTCAAAGTTATCCATTATTACGAGGTTTCTCCCCCTGGTTTTCAGTGTCTTAATTGACTGTCAAGTGACTGGACCTCTATAAACATTATGTCGAAAGTGTTCAAGTCTGTTGGGTATGCTATTTGATACTTTCACGCCTTATCATACATTTTATGATACACTTTCCAAGCGGAGAGAAACTCTTCTTTGCTCACCCACGTAGGCAAGGGAAAGACAGCCGCTTAAGCTGCATGCCGGAAAAAAACGAAAGAACATAAGAAGAAGAGGGAAGAGACCTGCAACAAGTGCCTATCTACACAAAATGCCCATAAAACAGTACACATTTCTTTTTCTTGCGTTTTCTAATTTGCTTTCTTGCCACCTCATCTCTTCGGCTGGTCTTCGATACTCTTGAATGTTGCCGGCGACGGCGGGACCAGGGGACCCTTCACTCCAGAATCACCCTTCGGCTCAATGAGACCGGGTACCTTTCCGTGCTCGCCGCTGAAATACTTCTGGAAATCGGCCGGGTCTTCGAAAGGTCGTGGGCCTAGTAAGCGGATCATATCTTCACGACCGATCATCTCCTTGCGGAGAAGCTCTTCTGCGACGAGACCCACTTCGTGTTTCTTCGCAGTGAGGAGGTCTTTGCACTGTTGATATGCCTCATCAACGATGCGCTTCACCTCGACATCAATGTTCTTCGCCGTCTCTTCAGAGAATGGCTTCTGCGCTTGATTTTGCTGGTCGTCTTCGTAATAGATGTAGCCGATCTTCTTGGTCATACCCCACTTGGTGACCATAGCAGTAGCCATTTGAGTGACCTTGCGGAAATCATCCGATGCGCCCGAAGTCACTGTGTCGAAGTGCAATTCCTCCGATACTCGGCCACCAAGGGTCATGGCCATACGATCCATCAGCTGATTGACGTTCATCAGATATGTATCGCCAGCTGGGAGATATTGTGCGTAACCGAGAGCACCTTGACCACGGGGAATGATGGAAACCTTGAGCAGTGGGTCTGCCCATTTGAAGTACCAACCGCAGATAGCATGCCCAGCCTCATGGTAAGCCACCGTCTTCTTTTCCTCAGGCTTCAGCACCAAGGACTTCTTCTCAAGGCCACCAATGACACGCTCGATAGCCTGTTCGAAATGCACCATGGTAACGGAATCGGCAGCATGACGAGCAGCTGCAACAGTTAGCGGTGAAGTTGATACATATTACACAAAGCATATACATACCGATAAGTGCTGCTTCGTTCACACAGTTGGCAATGTCGGCACCGGAGAAACCGGGGGTCAACGCGGCCAGCCTGCCCTTTAAGAACTCCATGTCCTCATTGGTGACGATCTTCTTCAAATGTACTTCGAAGATCTGACCGCGGCCTTCCATCGTTGGGCGGTCGATGTTGATGTGCCTGTCGAAACGCCCAGGTCGCATCAACGCTTTATCGAGAACGTCTGGTCTGTTGGTACCCGCAAGAACGACGACTTGTTCCCTTGTATTGAAACCATCCATCTCTGTAAGGATTTGGTTCAGTGTAGCTTCACGTTCGTCATTGCCACCAAAATTTTGCTTTGATCGAGATCGTCCAATGGCATCAATCTCATCGATGAAGATGATGCATGGAGTGCTCTTACGTGCGTTGGCGAACAAGTCACGCACACGAGAAGCACCGACACCGACGAACATCTCAACGAATTCAGAGCCGCTGACACTGAAGAAAGGAACCCCAGACTCGCCAGCAGTTGCTTTAGCCAGAAGCGTTTTTCCGGTACCGGGGGGGCCAGACAAAATTGCACCACGAGGAATCTTCGCACCCAGTTTTTGGAAGCGAGCAGGTTCCTTCAAGAAAGAGACGAACTCGGTAATTTCCTGCTTGGCTTCATCCATACCAGCAACATCAGCAAACTTGACTCTGACATCGGTTTCTTCGTTGAATTTCTTGGCTCTGCTCCGACCCATGCCGAAGACACCACCGCTGCCACCGCCGCCACTACCAGCTTTTCGAGTAAAGTAGAATAAGGCACCGAGAAGAAGGAGCGTTGGGCCGAAGTTCATGAATGTGCTCCACCAGGAAACCTCTGTGGAATAGGCTACGGGAATGCGTTCGGCGCTGGGAATACCCAGCTCGTATTGCGCATCGTCCATCTTCCTCTCAAAAGCCTCGACAGATCCGATGGAAAAGTAGTAATAGAAGTTCTTGGCGGTGGCGGGTGATTCGGGATACATGGATGCTACGGCTTCACGGTGCAGATGCACCTTCGCCCTGTTGCCATTCAAGATAACAATCTTCTCCACAAGGCCCTTGTCTAAGAATGTGGTACGGAATTCTTGCCATGTAATCTCCTTGGTTGTATCGCCAGGTACGAGCGCGCTCCAGATGGCCCAAAAGACGAGACTTGAAATAATAGTTGTGCTGATGTCTGCATTCTGTTTTTGTTGTTTTTGGTCACCAGCATTCTGTTTTTGTTGTTTTTCTTCACCAGAGAAGAACCCCCAAGAGTTGTTTCCCTTCTCCTTCTCCTTTCCCTGTGGCCCAGGATCGTGTGCGCCCGCCTTTTGCTGAGGCTCTGCCGAGGGGTCATCCTTTTGCCGGACCTTGTCAGCTTGTTCGCGGGCGAAATTCGTAGTTATCCGAGAGATTTTTGCCGCTGTAGCCATGTCCAGTTTTTCGCCACGCTCCAGTCTCTCCATCTCATCGCGTAATTCTTTGGGGATTCCCTTCTTTTTGATGTCGGCGACGGCTTCCTCTATAACCTTCTTTTGCGATTTCGGTACTCCTATTGTCACGAATGACACGAGTTGATCCAATAGCTTTTCCTCCTGGGCCGACAGCATTGATTTGGGTGCTTCTGGTGTAGGATTGGAATTGGATTCCGCAGGTTTATCTTTGCCAGACTCCGATTTGTCGGCGTCAACCTTATTCGCCGTCGGGTCATCCTTCTTGTTATTATTTGGGTCTTTCGGAGAACCAGTAGCGTAGAACCGAAGACGTTGCTGAGTGTATATACATTGCGGAGCAGGTATCCGTCTGCGGGCTGCGAATGAATATCTGGACGTGGCGTTGAGGGTAGGACTGGCAAGTCGCGCGAGGTGACCGGAGCGGCGGAGAAGTGAGGACATGACGGGTGAGAGGACGGAGGAAAGCGGAAGTTAGATTGAGCGCGCAGATGTATGTAGCACCATGCGCGTACGGATTGGAGTTGACACGAATAATGTGTTTGGTGATGTCGAAGCTCTCACCGTGCTAATGAATGGCGATAGTGGTGATGTAGATGAAATTCCGCGCCAGGTTCGTCCGATTACCTAAGCAATCGGCGGTCGAATTCGGCTCGAACAACAACCCCTGTTCTGCCACAGTACATATGCACCGATCTCTCCGCATGTCTTTAGTGACCATCCCCCGAGACCTACCATCTTCAAGGTGATCGAAGCTCTAGATGGTAGCCGAGTCATCGGTGTGTTGCTCGCAGATATGATCTGGATCAATGAACGGCCTCAATTTGTCGAGCACCACACGATCATAGCTCTTGTATTGGGATACTTGCACAATGCGGACGAACTGGCTACCGGATTTGGGATTGAATCGCTACTATGAACTATGATGAGAATAGCAACAGTACTACCAAGAATTTTATGCCATCACAATGTTTTATAGAGATCGGCACAAGATCGAGGGATATCACTGGAGGGCACATATGCACGTAATCATCAACAATCCGGAGACTCCCCCGCAACTGTATCCTCTCAATACAAGATGTCCCTCCTGCTCTCCATTTTCTGCGAACTCATTTTCCTAGTCCTGAACATTCAAGATGCGTTGTCCCGTTCATCTTGCTCTCATATGGGCGTCAGCTCGTCTCGTGGCCGCTGAATCAACTTCCAACACGACATATCTTACAGCAACGGCCCTAGTCACCAAAGGCAACGACTCAGCCTTCGAATGCTGGCAATTGACAGAGCCTTTCCGCCGTGCTTCTGTCCCAGGTATCAGCGGCGCGCAAATTGTTACAATCAGCAACAACACCGACCTTGCGTATTCAATTATTCCACCACGATTTGATGGCGGAATACACAATGCACCTGTGCCGCAGTAAGTCCGACAACTGACCATGGCCATCGTGCTCACACTGGTGGTGCTCTGCAGAATTGTGCATTTCCTCTCTGGATTGGCCTACTTGACATTGCCTCACAACGAAACTGAAGCTTGGGTTGTAGGAGGGGTTGGAGGCTTGTTGTTTGCAGTTGATACGGTTGGTACAGGACATCGCACTCAGTATCCGAGCGACCAAGAAACAGTGGCAATCGCATTGCCCTTTGCGGAGGGCAAGATTCCTGATCATACAGTTCTTGTTGAAGGTCCTTGCAACGGTGAGCAAACTTTTGTTTAACGTAGCAAGATTGGGGGCGGAACAGCGCGACTGCACGATTACTGGGTGTTTGAATGATGATTCCGCATCTAATTTTTCATCTACCTTACTGTGGAATGAATTGTACGTTTGAAATGATTTGTTTATGAAATTGAATTCCAGAAACTCACTCTGGGAAATCCAAGTCAGATCTACCACCCCTTGGAATGTGCATACTCAAGTACCTAGCGCTCTCGAACGACATACTTCTCGGAGTTAGGCAGCATATGTCACATTTGCCTTTTCTGCTATTGTGTAAGTACTGGGCCGCACCAACTAGACGCTGCCAGCGAATCACAGCCCTTGTATCAGTCGACAACTCGTCACACCTTCGTCGGGCGACAACCTGCATGTCAGCATCCGGCTCAGCCACTCCCTTCATCATCAACCATCATAGTCTTCCTGCAATCGTACTCTGCACCCGTAAGCTCAGTATATTGCCTGCATCGTGACACAAGAATTCAGGCAACATCTCAGCTCGCTCCCATAAAGCCCAATTCACCCGGACTCACCGTCACCTCCCTCTGGTCGTAGCTTCAAAGAATTCGGTATTCTTATTTCCAATATGGGACGTTGGGCAGATCGGGAATCAGTATGCTTGTTGGTACACGTCGTTGACGATGGTCTGCTAATGTATATCAGGACGCTGAGCGTTTGCCAGAAGGCTTCGAGAGGGTTGGATACGATGCGGATACGCAAACTTGTAAGTATATTCCAGTGCGGAGGTGCATGACGGTAGTATCTGAAAAACCTCGATAGCCCGTAAACATGTATCCGCTTGATTTTTGCTAACTTTGCGTCCGCGACTCTAGACACATTCCGGGACCGCGAAGGCAGGTACTACGAGTCTACTTCAGGAAACCGATACGGTACGCTTCGTCCTATAAACGGTGGTAACGCCGGAAGGCAGTCGTTCAGCTCCGAAGAAGAATCGGAAACTGAGCCGATGGGATCGGGGTTCAAAGCCGGCGACGAAGAAGGTCTCAACGGCGACTCCGAACTTGCTGAATGGCAGATTGAAGCTCGACGGAATCGGCGGGCAAGACGCCAATTGGCGGGCAAGAATCCCTTCGAAGACGGAAATCGCCAGGCCGTGAAGATGATGCTCCCGTTCGTGCTCCTGGTGCTGGTCTTTCTCTTGGTCATATTCAAATTCTTGATGAGTGTCGGAGCTGATGAGGCTGGCTCACAGATTCATTGTAAAGAGGGCTTTGAAAAAGTGGAAGTCCAGAGCGACGAAACCTGCTGGGCGATCGCTAAAGCCCACGGGCTTTCGGTAGCAGATCTGCTGACACTGGAGGGGAATGAGGAGATTGACTGCGCTGTTCTACAGGTAGGCCAGCAGATGTGTGTGCCAAATTAGCGTGGAATGCATTACTCGAAGAGATTGTTGCCGTCTCTCGGTCGATTATCGTGCTATCATGCTCGATTGCTGGGCATAAAGCTCTGAGTAGGAACCGTAAAAACCTGGTGTTGCGGCGGGTTCTAGAAGGAGAAATTATACAAGTTTCCAAGTCAGCAAATCCTCAAAACCACCTGCTATGATCTCTTCCAAAAACTTTAAAATATTTCATGCGAAGTTCGGCACAGTGAAGCAGCACTTCCAAGGTGTTGTATCGAAGATCATGGTCATGTGATTATGCGCTAAGCCTAAAGCGTCGATCCTAAGCTCTGCAAATCATCGAACGTGCATTTCGAAGCTCATCCGGCTTCTTCACGACTACGATCACCAACCCACTCACCCTTCCCACGATCCAACACCACCTTCTTGTACCTCCCCAAACCACCCGCAACCAACCTTCACAATGGCCGGCGGATCCTCCAACCCCAACGCGCGCCACAAAGCCACGTACGTCCACCTCGAACCACCAACGCACACCTCCATACCCATCATTCCATCCATCCCCGAGGGCTCCGCAACCCCTCCCCAATGACTCAATCGCATCAATTGGGCATCTCCAACCATAATCGACCGTTTAGAATCATCGTAATGCGGCTGACTGATATTGCGTGTACAGATGGCACATCGGCGGCTGGGGCAACCCCCTCGAAGGCGGTGGCCAGCCTGGCAAGGGCTCCGTCACGTACGCCATCAGCGCCAACCGTCAGCGTCCCTTTGTCGGCTTCTTCACAACGCGCGTATGGAACTCGGCCAGGCGCGTGCGCAACCAGGTCTTATACGTTGTGCCGCCATTCATAGCTGCGTACAGCTTGATGCACTGGGCAATTGAGAGGTGAGACCTTTTTTTTTCTAGCAGATTGTGGGGGTTCCGGATCTTGACGTTGGTTGGTTTCATAGTTGAGATGAGGATACTAACGGCGGGGGATTGTGTAGGAACGAGTACCTTAACTCCAAGCCCGGTCGTGCTGAGTTCGGCGACGCGGAAGAGTAAATCTGGGATTGAAGAAGAGGTGGAAATGGCAGGGAGATGATTAGAAAGTTATAGAAGCGAACCCGACGACGACGACATACAGACAGAGACCTTTTCAGTTGTACAATTAGGGACAGACACAGACAGACCGAAACATTTCATCTACCCCCAAAACTTGACGTTTCTACTGGCTTTGAGGACGACCAACCTATTCCCTTTGTGTTAGCACGACAGCTATCAACCTTCTTGTGTGGAAGGGTAGACATCTGATACCTCTTCATATATATTTGTTGCCAGCCGAAACCCGTTTCTCCTGAGCATGAGTGATGATGACATCTTGGAAGTCCAATTGATTACAGAACATATATCAAGATTGAAGCACCCAGAGAAGATCATGAGGTAAGTGCAATGCTGCAGTCTATATCTAACATCCTATCCAAGAGACTCGTACATCGTTACCCCCACTTGAAGAAACCCAGCCCTTAGATACCCTCTTTCTCATTCAACTCCTTTCCTCTCTGGAACAGAGCTTCCAACCACCCGGTAAACTCTTCTCTCATTTCAATCGGCACCACATGCCCCTGGCCCTCGATAAACCTCTTCTCCACCTCACCCTCTTCCCACACGTCGCTCTCTTGCTCAAGGCCCAACCAATTCTCCGTCCCCGTCTTACCCTCGCCTTTCTCCAACCCCCTCCATAGCACAACACCGTGTGGGAACGTAAGCATGCGGTCCTTCGTACCATGCACCACCATGATTCGCTTCTTACCCACATCCTGCGCAAGGCGGTGCAGGTCCTCGGGCGATTTATAGTGCCATCCCGCGGCGATGGCCTGCAGGATGAAACCGCCTTTGGTGAAGTACTCCGGGTGCGAGCGTTTCCAGAGCTCGTTGGCAGCGAAGCGGTCACCGTTTGTGGGGAAGGGCTTTACCGTGTGCTCGAGGACGTCTGGTTGATCCAGCCAGTTGGAGGTGTAGAGGTTTGCTTTTACGTTTGCGATTTGTTGGTCGAGGGATTTGGGGATGAAGAGGTTTGCGCGGTTGTAGAGGTTTTCTAGGAAGCCCTGCATTTTTTGATTGTTATTTTGGGAACTCACTAGATATGATGAAGAGACGAGTTTGTTTTGAGTGCCGGGGAGGATTATGTGGTGTCGAATGTGGATGGATGGGTATTCCTGGTCGTTTCTTATCGATGCTACTTACAGTGGTTCTGAACAATCCTGCGGCTGTCGATACCAGGGAAAGGGTGCAGATACGATCTGGTATTTGCACAGCCTATGCCAAAGTTAGAAGGAGTTCCACGGTTCATCCCGACAATGGCGGAGCAGTGTATAGGAATACCCAGGACAGTTTGCCAAGGGCGGAATCGACTGCAGGGGCGGGGCGGAAAGGAGATGGATATTGCAGGGGTTCTTGGCCGATGCTCGCAATGTTTCAATGTCCATGTACATCCACACACCATCTCGTAGAGCCGACCAGGCCAGCTCGCCCGGAAGACAGAGTATCCGATCCGCTTGCACAGCCCCTCCACGAAGAGCCAAAAAGATGGTGAAGCATGACGTACAGGGAGCAACACGATGGGCGAGCAGAAAGAAAAAGGTTATAGGAAATAGGAAGGACTCACCACTTCCTGCGCAATCATGCCTCCCATGCTGACACCGACAACATGCAATTGACGTTTTCCGGACCAGCCGAGATGATCGATGAGCTCCACGGTATCTTTGGCCATTTCCGAGGTCGAGTAGCGGAAAAAAGGCTTGTCTGATTCGCCAATGCCCCGATTGTCAAAGGCAAGCAGCGTATAGCGATCTGCCTGCTTGTGGGCAAGATCTTTGATTGCACGTTGCCAGGCATACTTCATACCGCCCAGGCCCATGATGAACTATCAAGTGGCATTAGCTATAGGGGTCCAAAACATGGCGTGTGGATGATCCAGCCGTTCGACGCCGAACAAGGCCGACGGAGTCACGGAGTATCCCATACGCGTGTTGCATTATGGGGGAAAACAAAAAGCATGTCGTCCAGAAAAGGTGTGGAGCATGCGGGCTAACGACATGGTAACGAGACACACGGACAGCATGCTGAGACGGCCAGTGAGACTGAAACCAAACACAGGGACATGAAGATGATTGGTCAGGAGATGGGCATCGCGGAGGATCTTGGCCAGACTTGAGCATGACAATTATAGCGAATCCAATAGGCACGGCATGGACATGGCGGACTGCCTTATTTGGAGGATCCATCGTCTCTTGTCGTCTCTTTTGCGGCGTAGTCGGACGCCTTTATTGCGAAGTGGGATGACAAGAAGAAAACGTACCACTACATGGGTATCGCCATGGCCATGGACTTCGTAGGCGATGTTGATGGGTCCTCCTCTGTCTTTGGCAACGGGGAATTTACCCTTCTGTGAAGGCTTGAGCTTCCAGATAGTATGTTCATATTCAGGATGCTTGAGCAGCTCGTCGGCCGTCATAGGCTTGTGTTGATCAGACATGTTGGGTGGCGCCAGCTCGGTCTCTGTCGATGAGTTCAGCTGATGACAGTCAGCACTACAGGTTTTCTCAAACGCGATGACAGAGCACTGGGTGAAATGGACGCAGCAAAGAGAGGGAAGAAGAGGCTCTGTCCGATGCAGGGACGGGCGGGATTTGACGGAAAGCTTGGTGGCTTAGCGACATTGTACTGTCGCTGGCCGGCTGCATGGGTCGCCGCACCCTGGTTTCAACACAGCACACAGAACGGGGTACATAGGACGTACATTACGCAGCAATGTGCTGATCTGGGAATAGAACTGAGTAATATGATGCACGGCAGCAGGCGCTTAGGCGGCGCAGGATAGATGAATGAGACAGCAAGGCTAAGAAAAGAAAAGAAGAGGATCAATAGCAGAGAAGCGAATCGGAAATGGGCCTGGGATCTGAGGTGATCACAACAACGTTGGATTACCAAGATAAGGACCAAAGGCCCAAGTTGAAAATCCACCGGGCGATGACGATATGGATCCTCAGGACCCAATGTTCCTGGATTCAGTGGGGACCTACTGATCTTGCTGTGTCTCGAGTCTAGTCCCACCATTCCAGGATTCTCCAAGGTACCCGTCTGTATTGGCATGGTCGTCACACGCGGCCTTCTGCTATTATAACATCGCTGCCAGTACATATACTTAGCACGATACATATGCATGGAGACGGGCGCTAGGCGGTTTGTGATGCGGCGCCCATGCATACATATATACATGACGCTTATAGAGAAAAAGACTGCAGATCCTAAATGGCCTGATGGATTCGAGTTTCTTTGCGTACTTGGGCACATAATGCGATGGTTTGCGGACGGACATAATAAGCGGACGAAAGATGTGTGTGTCTACACTACTTAGTTCCATGTGAACCTCCCGCGGTGCCCAGCTACCTAGTCTAGGTAGCTTTTCCCTGTGTACAGCTTCCATTATTAATCCTCCGCCATATCCGACACGCTCCCTCACGAGTCCCGCCTGTGCCTCCGTCGTATACCGTGTTCGTACTCGTCGCCATTCGACCGCCTCTGCCACTCTGCGACACATTGAATCAGCGCCCTTGTGCCGGTCAACTCGGCAGCGTTTCAGGTCGCCTAGCACATCGCCCCTCCAAACCATCCCTCGAGACTATCAAAACTGCCCCATTCCCCAGTTTTTCGCCTGCATTGACTGTCTGCCTGTACCGCCGCCTACATCTTGCTCCCAAGAGACGCCGTGAGGGGGAACACGATAGGAAGAAATAGGAAGAACCACCCAGGCATCCTTATACTCAAGAGCCACTCCATTCACACAATCACATCCGTCTCCGTAGTTCGTCTCTCCCCACTGTCATGGACGCCTCCAACGGTTTCTACGCCCCCGGGCCGCCGTTAATGAACCAACCGCCGCGTATTTTCGGGAACCTCAACCCCAACGGCTCGCCAATCCCGCCCTCTCTCAACGGCCCTATATTCTCACAAGACGATCTCGACGATGGCCATGATCAGGGCGATCCCAAGAGGAGGCGCATTGCGAGGGTATATGCCACAAGCCATCGTGCTGGCCCATCGTTCTGAGCTGACACCTTCAGGCATGCGACATGTGTCGCAAGAAGAAGATCAAGTGCGATGGCAAGATGCCCGCCTGCACCCACTGTATAAATTACAAGACCGAGTGCATCTTCACACAGGTCGAGAAGAAACGCCAACCGCCCAAAGGGTATGTATCCGCATTCTTGGTCTTAAAGTGATTTCGTCCCGTCTGATGTTGGATCGTTGACTGGTGCAGGGCCAAATACATCGAGGGCCTCGAGAACCGCCTCGCTCGAATGGAATCGCTAATGCGCCTCTCCGGCGTCCTCCCCGAAGACGACGACGGCAGCACCGACCTTGCTACTATTGAAAGACGATTGGCCGACCGAGCATCCCGAAACGGTACGCCCGCTGCCACCCACCCTACACCCGACGAGAGACGCCAATCGACGGTGCAATCTACAGAGAGGGCAGACGCTGCACCTGCACTTCAGGGTCTTCCTAGTCCGACCAGCGGGACTACATCCCCAGAACCAGCTCAGGAAACCACAACTGCACCCGCTAAAGATGAGGATGCGCTGGCCGAGATGATGTGCTCCCTGGTCACGAACAATTGTGGTGAAACGAGATACATTGGTTAGTACACAAATCGTCAATGGTTTGCTCGCTTAGGTTAACATATTCTGCAGGATCGTCTTCTGGCTTTTCCATTTTCTCTCCCAAGGGCATACAATGGGTCAACGACAAGACTGGTGATAAGTCCTTCCAAGAGATGATCTCTACCGATGCCATGGAAGACAATAAGTGGATACAATGGCGACCAGACGTATTCCAGGATGTCTTCAAGCGTCGTGTGTACCGCCAGCTCCCGCCCAAAACTGAGGCGCTATCGCTGCTGAAGGATTATTTCGAAAACTTCAACTGCATGTTTCCGCTTTTCCACGAACCGACCTTCATGCACCTTGTTGACAAGCACTACTCGAAAGACCCCTACGAAGGCTCCGGATGGTGGGCTAGTCTGAACGTGGCCTTGGCTTTCGCGCACCGTTTGCGCGTCATGAGCAATCTTGTCCCTCAAGAAGAAGATGAAAAGGCGTGGCAATATCTCAAGAATGCTATGAGCGTCCAAGTTGAGCTGACGATGCGCAACACGGATCTTCTCAGCGTGCAAGCCTTGCTCGGAATTGTAAGCAACATCGCCCTTAGAATACATGCACTCACGTGACTAACACGACCAGGGATTGTTCTTACTGGGTACACCTAACCCACAGCCAACGTACTTCTTCGTAGCAGCGGCCATCCGTCTATCCCATAGCATCGGGCTGCATAAGAAGGGCTCCGGTTTTAGTCTAAACGCTTCCGAAGTCGAACAACGGAAACGAGTCTTCTGGATTGCTTATATGCTCGATAGAGAGTGAGTAGTTGCGAGTGAACCAAAAGAAGGAAGCTATTTGCTAAACAAAATCAGTATCTGTTTACGTTCTGGCCGTCCCCCCATACAAGATGACGACGACATGAATGTGGAGCTGCCCAGCGAAGATCCACCAGATAACATTGGCAACATTCCACTCGCAGACGGAAAGGGCAAGATGAATCTGTTCCGCGCCATGTGCACCTTCTCGATAATACAGAGCCACGTCTACAAGCGATTATACTCGGTGAAAGCCACTAAACAAACCGATGGCGAGCTGCTGAACACCATTGGTGAACTGGATAGAGAGCTCGAAAACTGGAAAGACGAAATCCCGCTCGAGTTCAGACCGGAACATGATATCAAAGCTTCGCACACGCCACTCATCCTTCAGGTTGCTGTACTGCATCTGGGATATTACAACTGCTTGACTACCATTCATCGTATGAGCGTCCATCACGGATACTGGACGAGTCGTTTGTCGAACTTTGCTATTCAGGGTTTAAATGCGCGACCCCTGAACCCGCGTGTTTTCATGTCGGCTCAACTCTGCGTCCAAGCTGCTCGAGCATCCATACACTTGTTGAAGTACATACCGAAAGGCGATCCATCTTGCGTATGGCTCATCATATACTTTCCCGTCACCGCACTGGTCACTCTCTTTGCCAATGTGTTGCAGAACCCGCAAGACACACGTTCACGGTCCGATTTGAAGCTTATGAAATTAGTCGTCAATTTCCTCAGCATGCTCAAGAATGAACAAGGCAACGGTAGCGTGAAACGCATGTTGAACATATGCGCCGAGTTCGAGCGGATAGCTACCATCGTTCTGGACAAGACAGATCGCGAACACGCTTCTAGGCGCAAACGAAAGCAAGGCGACAGCGAACAAGACGCCGAAATCGAAGCCACCGCCAACGAAATCCTGAATCCGAAACGTAGTGGTCCAGCATCACCGGCAAACACAAACAACGCCAGTACCCCACAAAATCAACCCCAGGAAATGATCTTCAACCCTGACTTCCATGGTTTCAACGAAGTAAGCAAATCGCTTTCCATCTTGCTCTTCTGATCTGTCCACTAACAAATACACCAGCCCTTCCCCTTCTCACCCAATTTTACCCACGCGTCGCTCCAACCCAATTCCAATGTTCCACAATACGGCTCTCCCTCAATGGCTTCTGGCATGATCCACAATAACCTTCCCATGTCAACCGCTGGTGGTGGCGGAGGTGGGAACACCGAAATGGGTGGCGACGGCATGCAGTCCATGAACGCCCTGGCCATGGGTACCTTCGATCAGACTTTCAACAACGTCCCTCAGGATCTGTGGAAGATGCCCATGACGCTCGAGTGGGATTGGGCGGATATGACGGGTTACTCGGGCTTCGAGGATGGCATTTCGATGAACGGTGTGCTTCCTGACTTCTCACAGCAAACGGGCCACGGCACGAGTAATTTTAACGACGCCGGCAACATGAACGGAGGGAGGTGATGTTGACGTTTATGTGATGACGATATCTTTTGTTTTGATGCGTTCATGTTGGAGCATTTTCATACCGGAATTTCCTTTTAATCTTATTGCTTATCTCTTTCTCCTCCTTCAAAATGGGACTTCGGCTTGTCTCTTCTCTCTTCAACATATTTGTTTACTTACCTACTTACCTACGCATGAGCTTATCCCGCACTTTGGCGTTTTCTTGTAATGGAAAATGTATATTGAAATCTACTCTCTTCATCTTCTCTTGTTTTCTACCCTTAAAAGTCACTAAGCAGAAGAGCGGAAAACACTCCATCGCAAATAGCAAGAAATAAAAGATTGTAAGATGGTGAAGTGGGAGATGTACGGACTACTAGTATACTCGATTCGCAGGAGGAGGCAGCATGTATGCTATGGGTGTGTGGATTCGCTTTCGCAGAGGAGAATCACGATTGTCAACAATACAAACAGGGCGTTGTGTTGAACGATTGTTCGATTTCATGTCTCTTCTCAACAAGATCTATTTAGTGGTGGCTTTGGTTGTACGATTAGTACGCATATATACTGCCTGTGTTATACAACTCGTCTACAAACTCTCAACAATCCTCACTTCGATTCCCCCTCTCCATCACCCTTCTTCCCGTCCTTCTCCAAGTAATCCTTAATGCTGAACATACCTGTACCTCTCTCCAACGGCTTCGCCTGCGTCGGACTGTGCTTCCAGCCAATCATGTAAATCAGCCTGAAAGTCGCAGGCAACGACCCATCCTCATTGCCATGCAATTCTCTGTAGATGCCCTCGGCAGCAAGCAGCACATCGCGCTGGATAGCGCCCTTCTCACGTGAGACAACAGCATTGGACTCGCCCATGGCTTGCAGGTCTTTCATGAGCGCAAAGGTATCCGGAAAGTCTACGACAATGTCGTCGACGTCGACAGTGAGGAGGTTGAACCCTGCTTTCTGGAGCAGACCCCCGACATCGCGGACATCGGCCAGTGGGGAGGTATGTGTAGCCACGCCACCCCTACGATCGAGTTCTGCGAGCTGCAGCGAGGTGCGCAGTTCGTAAAGGCTGTCGCCACCCATCATGACGCCGATGAAGGGCGCATCGGGCTTGAGGATGTTGTTGGCCTGCGCGAGGACGGATGGTAGGTCGTTGATCCAGTGCATGCTTAGACTGCTGAGAACGGCATCGAAGGTATTGGCCTCGTAGGGGAGGATCTCAGAGGTTGGAAGGACTTCGCGCTTGATGTTGATTTCGTTGTTGAAAGGGAGGTGTGCGTCGCGGTAGAGGAGGGTTTCGGAGGAGTCGGCCGCCGTGAGCTGCCCTATTCTTTTTCCTCTTGGGCCGTTTTCGGGAGAGTCTTCAGATGGAAGAGTCAGTTGGTGGGCGATGTTGCAAGCGTTTGCTCCGAGATCGAGGACGTGTGGGAATTGACGATTGATATCCTATAGAGAGCTCTGTTAGCTATCGAGTTGGGTGTCACAGTACATGACAGAGGGCTTACCAGGAGTCGCTCGCAAAGTCGTGAAGCCACTTCGTCTCTCAAATAATCCACACTCCGGCTAGCTTCTACATCGCGGGCTGCGCGCTCTTTTTGCATCCATTTGTGCTGTTGGCTGAATATCTCAATGGTGGGAGCTCCGGGGGATTGGACGGCGTAGCGGCGAGTTGCGCGGAGGGGAAGTGCTCGACGCGCTATAGGTGGAATGAAAGCGCGGATCGAGAAGGCGTTCATTGCGAGAATCGGGGATTGAGCAGAACTCTCACGAGCGCAATTGACACGAAACCTACCAAAAGAGAAGAGAGACGAGATGGAAAAAATGATGTCAGGACTTAGGGTAGAAGATTGACTTGCCTCGGGGGTCCGACGTTTCGCCGACAAGAGGACCGCCGACGTCCATCTACACCTCTATTTGAGTGTCCCAAAACACACACACATCGGGTACCATGGCACAGCCCTTTCCGTACACGTACTACACATGCGATTGTTTCGACAGCAATAATCCCCTCGCGTCGAAACGCGGTCCACAGCCCCTAGAAGAAGACGAGCGAGATTTCGACCCCCACAATCCACGCTCAAACTATACCCTCTATCCGCTCGAACAGCTATTATACTGCGAAGATTGCCAGCAGATTCGATGTCCAAGATGTGTCGCCGAGGAAACTATAAACTGGTACTGTCCGAGCTGCTTGTTCGAGGTACCTAGCTCGGTGGTTAAAAGCGATGGAAATCGGTGTACCAGGAATTGTTTCAACTGCCCTGTGTGTACAAGCCCTATGACGACAAACAGCCTAGATCAACACGGAGACGGTCCGCCGTACATACTTGCATGTCCGTATTGCAAATGGAGCACAGTGGAGATCGGGATAGAGGTTGAGAAAGGGACAGGAATCAGTGCACAGCTGGCCAAAATCGCAAATGGAGGCCACCCCATTCCTTCGCTGAAAGAGCGAGACAAGGAGCGCGAGCGCAAGAAAGAGTTGGAATCCAGACGCCGAGAAAAAGATGCCATGTCCCCTACACAAGACTCTCCAACGACAGACACGGAAAGGGATTCTACCCCCAGTCATGACGACCTGTTTTACAACCTCTCCTCCTTCTACAAATCACAGATCGACGCCCAGACACCTTCAAACCCATTCTCCTCAGCCGAAATCAATTTCTCGTCTCCTTCTGCTTACTCCCGCATAATGAGCATGTATTCATCCAGCTCGCGGAAAAACAAGCGCAGTAAACCTGCCCCAGCCCGTGACGCCGCTTCCATTCTAGAAGGCCTTAGCATTCACGACCCTTCAAACGATGCGCAAGCGATTGAGCGCATCAAGAGAGAAGGCTGGTCAACCACGCTTCAACCTTCCCAGAAACTCGCTCAACCCGACCCGACCATTCGTTTTTCAGACGAACTTCGTCCCCTCGCTACTCTGCTCTGCACCAAGCGTTCCAAACGCTGCCGCTCCTGCCGGCATATTCTTTCTAAACCAGAAAACAAAATTACTTCAACCCGCTACAAGATCAAACTCCTAGCCCTCAACCATATTCCTCGCATCAGCATGCGCGCCTTACCCTCCCAGTATACTCAATCTTCCTCTGCCCCTTCCGCAACTGCCACTCCGTTCGCCTATGACGCCCTCAAACCTGGAATTCCCACGCATTTTTTGCTCCACATAAGCAACCCGCTTTTCGACCCGATCCGCGTTACTCTCGCCACGCCCTCAACAACCCCTGGAAAGGTTCAATCACGCGTCACCATTCTTTGCCCGCAATTCGAAGTCGGTGCCAATACGGATGTCTGGGACGACGCTCTCGCATCTTCGCTTTCTCCAATCAAGCACAGCGCGCAAGACGCCGGACAGATTGAAGCGGGCAAGATTTGGGATCGAGGACGCAACTGGACAAGTGTCGTCGTGGAGGTCGTCCCGGGATTCTTAGACGGTGTGCCAGGCCTGGCCTCGAGTATTGGACCCGGGGCTGCTCCTCCTACTTCGACTAATGACGGTAGGAAGCGAAGCGGCACTGGCGCCCTTCGTGATGTCGGTGAAGACGACGGTGACCTCAACTATGATGAAGATGTTCTTGAGATACCCGTCTTTGTCCGATTGGAGTTCGAGGCTGATGTCAATGCTGAGGAGCGTGGGTTAGGAGATAGTCGGGGAAGTAAAGGAGAAAGGGAGAAGAGGGAAGAAGCATTTTGGGTTGTGGTTGGGCTTGGGAGGATTGTTGAGATATGATCAGCTTTGCGTGAACCTACGCCTCATTTTTCTTGATGTTGTGTGGAAATGCATGTTGAGCAGTCTAGATAGATAGCTGACAGTTTGTGGTCAGCGTAGTATGATACCCATTCTTCTTTTTTTGTCCTCTTTTGCCTGCTACATGCGAATCGTTATGTTGTGAAGCCCCTAGCCTAGGTCAGAGACGGAGATATGTCACATTATCAGAACAAAGATCAGATTAACCTGATCATTGTAAAGCAATCTTATTGACCGTCCTCGAACGTTTACATCAATATATATGAGTTTTGATTTTGCTATATACTCTCCCTGACTAGTGGCGTCTTATGCGATTATACTTCGGCTACGCTCACTGCAAAACGATTTCTTCTCCTTCATTGCATATCCCTCGTTTATGTCCAAATGCATTTATAAGGGCGTCTCTTATATACCTCACATGAACTCGAAGGTTTTCTTCTCTTCCCACCTATATTTGCAGGGCCTTTCTTCCTGCCCACATGCAAATATGTAGCCTTTTCTCTTTTACAAATGTAGACGAATGGCCTCTCTCTAGTCCATCGTGGTTGCCACTATCCAATTAACAGTTTTTCTGCATACAGGTTTCTCACAAGCACACAAATAGACTCCCTTTGCGGAATATCAGTTGTCTCAACCTCCTCAGTGCATGGGCATTGTCTATAGTTTTGGATGATGGTCATATAGCTGTTTCTTCCTCTGACATGAAGCCGCTAGTACAGCCACGTTGTGGTAACACTGAGTCTTTCTCATATACTGTTTGGGCCGGGAAGGGTCGAATTTCGTTCACTTACTATATGTCTTTTTGTGATAGACTGGGAAGGACGGGGAATGGGGAAATAGTAGTCTAAGACAAAAGTAGATAGTAGAATTGAGCTTGATAAGATGGTGCTTAAGTGCCTATCTCTAGCTGACGGATAAGAATCCAGGTGGCTATCTGATGAAACCGAACGCACTCAGATGCATTGCATCATCGTACTTTGTTGGTAGAGAACGGCTGCAAACAATGAAACAAAATCCCACCCAATACACCAAAGTTTAGCAATATCAAATACAACAAGTGCAGGACTAGTCATCTGTAGAAGCTTGCTTCTAAATGATAAGTCCTGTGCGAGTCACCTCGCCGCTCTTGACGACCCGCGTGCAGGTCCGAATACCACCTCCGTTCGCAACGGGCTCCACAACATCATACTCCACATATTCCGAATTCCGGTCGCGACGATTTTCTCCACGCTTACGCTTAGGCTTGGAGGGGCAATCCTTTGCGATGTGCCCAAGAGTTTGGCAATCGTAGCACAAGAGTCGAGAGCGAGTTACGCGTGCTGCGCGTGCTTTCGAATTACGCCACTGGCGGGCGCGCTGACCAAGAGTTGCCTTGACACCATGCTCGAGGTCTTCAGAGAAGGCGCTGTTCTCCTCCGCAAGCTCCATGTATGGACCGTAGTCCATTGACCTAGGTTGCAAGGTGATGCTGATGATTCGGGCGAGGCACAGCGTCGCGAGCTCAGGCACCGTCGTGTAAAGCTTATGAATTGCCGCCTTGCTCAGTAGATTGCTGCCGATACATACCCGCAGTTCATCTTGAACACGGAACATCAGACCGCCGTAGGCAAGTTGCTTTGCCTGCGCATGCAGATCGCACAGGCCGGGCACAGTCAACTTGGCCAATTTGAGATGGGAAGAAGTGTCGTTCTCACCCGCAGCCATCCACTGGCAGATCCATTGAATGATTGTCTTGTGCCCATTTTCGATGAGCAAGTTGTTCTTGCTAGCGAGCTGCTTCTCCGCGTATCCTGAATAGTAGCACAGGATTGCGCGAGGCACACCTTCGACGGCGATGATGGGATTGCCGACGGTTCCAATCAGTATGTTGATCTTGGGGGAGTTCTTCAGCCTAATTGATGTTAGTCAGATCTGTTCCGGCATATCCTTGGGAATACAGAACAACAACAGATAGTAATGTGTGACTTACTGAGCGAGCTGTGCTGGAGTGAGAGGAGGCTTCCGCACGAGCTCCGCTTCAGGGGAAGCTTGAGCAGGTCCCATACTGTGGATATGTCAGTCATGAAGCTAAGAAAAATTTGAGGCAGGACGGTCTTACGTTCAAGAGATTTGGATTGACACGGGAGTTTCTGATAGACAAGCAAATGTGGGTTGTGGTCTCTCAATTCAGTGATGTCTGGTATAAACAGAAGAGATCAAGAATGGAGACAAAGAGTGTTCAAGAGGGGGTGTTTGAGTAGCTGCAGGAATGTTAGGAAAATATTCCAACTACGCACACAGAATTGGAGACTTTATAGGTCGACACAGACGCTTTGCTCTAAGCGGACTAGTAGTCGATCATGAGTGAATGCACGGGGTGAATGGTAAGAGTCATCAGGGATCTAGAGACATGATTAATAAGATTATAAGCTTTCACTCTAGGCAAAGAAGCAAACGAGTTGAGGAATCTATGCACTCGCCGTTTATACAGCGACAGAGATCGCCCGACTGTATATAGCATGTAAAGCGCCGGTCAGCTCATTAATACTAGTATCATTGGTAGACTTTCATGATAGTCTTGGCTGGAAACTCCGAGTTCGTTGATAAATCTCTATGTATGATTCATAAGTCATGCTCGCTGAGATGAATATGATATGTACTTGTTGAAAGACTAGTAGATGGTCAATACCAAAAGTGAATTGAGTTAATGAGCGACTTCTACAGAGACAGACGGTAGACCCGGGTGTCATGCCATACCTATTTTTTACAGACAAACGAAACCCTGTTGTAGTTCCTGACAAGAACTCTAAACAGGTGGGTATTGCATCCCTGGCCTCTGGTGCTGAAAGCAAAACTCCTTTTTTGAACTTTTTTGTCCCTGCCTACTTTTTGTCAAATTATTTTACTAGCCTTTTTAAGTGTAGGAAACACTGTAACTTCCAATCAAAAAAACTTAAAACTCTAAACAGGTAAAACACAGAATTGTCCTTTCTGACCTTGGCTATTGAGCATGTGCTGCTTGTCACCAAACAACAGGAGTGCGTTCAAAACGACCAAATCGACAATTTCAGGAGGTAATTTTTACAGTTTCTTTAAATCCCTTCTTGATAGCTTCGAGAATCACAATTCGCTCATATCGAATTGTGTGTAAATGTGTCTACCGCTCCTTGTCGTCCGTTTATACAATCTACATACTCGTGGATAATCTCTCGGGATCATCCAATGCCACTAATGCCCTCCTTTCTCCATCAGACAGACATTGTTTAGCTCACAATGCTCTTCTATTTCCGTAAGTTTCAAGTGGACGTTATCTAGCTCACAATGACACCGCTGGTTCTTGTATACAATCCCCACACAATGATACGTCTGCTTGCTCTAGCCATTCTTCAATGCTAATAATGTTCATTGACGGCATTGTTTATTTGGCTACACAGAGTGAGAGCAAAGGTATATAAACACCCTCTATCTTCGCTCTCCTCTGCTTCCATCAACACTCTACAACCCCAAACAACTTTCCACTTCAACGATCTTCTAAAACGATCCTCTACACCAATTCTCTACAACAACCATCATAAACAACCTTCCAATATTCAAGATGGCATCTAAAATTTCCAACAACGTCGGGAAGAATGCTTCCCTCAATCAAAATTCCAACAAGCCGCCTCTGACTCCAGCTGGTCTGAGTCAGCTAAAGGCTGGTAAGAAGGTCAACGTACTGGTCGGTGAGCCAGGACACGCATTCATCGCCGTCGAAGGTATCTCGGCGGGCCTTCTTTGCTACTTCTCTGATCATGCTCGAGAAGTTCTGCGCGATAGCACCAAGACCGTCTTCCACCTTCCTCGCGGGGATGCCACGATTGTGCGCTGGGTTTGCCAGTACATGTCTGCTGGAGAGTCTGATTCCAATTGCGCCGTGGAGTTTTCTAGCATGAACGTCCCCGATTTGTGCAGGCTTCATGAGCATGCTGAGCTGTTCCAATACCCTCAGCTCAAGTCTCGGGTGGTTAACTTGGTATCTTCTCGCCTCAACCACGGGCTTCCTAGTAAGTCGACCCTCCGAGCCATCTACAACACCATGCCTCGGTTTACAAAGCAGGTGGTCAACAAAATTGTCGACCAAACTATGAAGCTGGCTACGGGAATTGACTTTACGGTCTACGCTGAGTATGCTCAAGAGAACGATTCGTTCAAGGAGCAGCTGGACAAGGCCTTCACTACGAACTTGTCATGGCGCCACGCTCAAGCTAGGAAAGCTCGAAAGGCCGATCGTGCTAAGCAGGCTCCCATTGTGTGCTATGCGTGCAAGAAGGAGGGACACATTGGCCGTGACTGCCCAACCTCCAAGGGCAAGCAGATTCCTATTGTCTGCTTTGCATGCAAGAAGGGGGGCCACATGGCTCGCGATTGTCCATCTGCCAAGGGCAAGCAGGGAAAGAAGAATGCCGGTCGTGCTAAGCCCCGTCGTGCGCAGCAAGGAGTCGTCCAGGTTTCGACCAACGGGCATGGAATCCAGACCTGCGACCGTGCGGTTAAGAGTGGAGAAATGACCCGCACTGGTATGCTTATCTAACTGACTAGATGATTCGAGTTAGATTCATGCTGCGAGGGCAACTGGTCCAAATGCTTCTTACTTTGCACGGGATCAATTCCAATTTTGATTTTCAGGCGTCTTATCGGTAAATATTGGACATAAATAGAATGCATATTTTACAGAAACCTGGAAAATATTTTTATGATTGGGTGATGATTACCACATATTTATATACTTGTGATTAAACCGAGAGTGCTGATATTCGTATATAATAGACTGCGGACAGTATTCAGAGCAAATGTGCATCATGTTCTTGTTGATCCTTTGAGATTATGTATGTTGTCAACCGCACTGCTTTTGAGGGATAAGTTGATTGAATGTGGCAGGTCTACAAGAGCCGCAAATGTATGGAGTCTTTGTTAAGGCTCTTCAATGGGTCGAGTTCATGGTCTCATCTCATCGAAAGTACATGCCAAACTTCTCGGCAAACTGTTAAACTTGATCGAGCACAATGACATTGTGAAGCTCAAGCATTCGTCGACTGAAGACATGAGCAGGGCGGGGATGATTTGTGCAAAATGAAATGAGATGGAACGAGATGAGATGAAAGGCCCTGTCGCTATTTAGTACCTGCCGTCCCAATGACTCAAACACAAATGTTTGTACATGTATCAAAACGTTTGCAGTCACAGCTCAGGAAGGCGCATCAGACAACAAGCGCCGCCACATTTAATTGTCCACACTCCGTCACACCGCGCACCACCACGACGATGCGCCCAAACAGCAAATAAAAACAACAATCGAGCAATCATGCCTGTATACCGCGGCATCGTGGTTACACTGCATTCGCAGTTCAACATCGACATCTTCCCTGAGTACCCTGCGCGTCCACAAGAATACTACACCGAGCGCGGCTTCACCGGAAAAGCTCCCGAGCTCTACGACGATGCGACATCGACGTGCAATGTTTTCGTTCCCGTGCTTCCCGGCAGCCAATTTTGGATTGCGTACGGCGTGCGTCCGCCCGTGCCTGCAGACCAGCAATTTTTGTTCAAACTCTTCATCAATGGCGTGCACATTGTGAGTTGGACGACGGGAAAGGAAGACGATTGGAAAGGCAAGACTATGTTTGCGCTATACGAGCGCGACGATGGAAATGGACACAAGAGGGTAGAGAAGCGGGTTCTGTGCTTTACACCACCGGACAACGAGTATGGACGAGAGTGGACAGATGTGACAGATGCGTTTGATGAGACTGCTGTCCTTGAGATACGAGTATTCCGTGCACTGGGGAAAAAGAGGGTGGAGAGGCACCTGGAGCAGTTTAGTGACAGCGTATATGCTCAACAGATTCGCGGAATCAAGTGAGTGGAATCTAGGGATATACAGGGTGGTGGGGTGCTAACATAGTCAGTTTAGTGAATGCTGGCCAAACTGATATAAAGGACCCCAAAGGGGCCACGATTCCGAAGCATCCTAAACGCTTCTACAAAGTCGCTTTGATCGACCCTACCGATCGACCCTTTGCGACTTTTCGATACTATTACCGAACCTGGGATCAACTGCGCGATCTCGGCATGTTGGAGACGGAGGCAGAGTCAGAGTTTGAAGGATCGGGATTGTCCATTATTGAGCCCGATTCGACGGAGAATGAGTTGGGCAACCATGGCGATGCAGGCGAAGCGGAGACTCCACGTCCATCTCAAGCAGTATACGGTACTGATTCTTTCAGCGATTTGCTCGAGCTGTATCCTTATGAGACAACGGAAAGCCCGGTCAGGCAGGCACCCAACAGACTAAGCTACGAAGCTACTCCTCCGCGCTTTCGTCGGCAAACTAGCATAGCCCCAACCGAGTGGGATGGCACATACAGATCCCCCCGACGTAGGCTTATATCGATGGCAAGCAAGGAGAGCATACTAGAGGAGACCGACTACAAGCCCCTTCCAGCGTATCCAGTGAACGAGTGGGCGGAGCGGACGCCAAGCCCTATCAGGTCAATGCGGGAGGGTTTATCGACGCCGCCATTGACTCCAAGAAAAGGTTTCACGGCGACGGGTATCATCAGTGCGATTGCTGATACATGGCGCCGTCGGACCGTAAGTTCAGAAGGTCTTGGAGAGAGCGGAAGTCGTAGTACTTCTAGAACTGCATCCCGAAATGCCTCTCGGAGCGCGTCTCGAAATGCGTCCCGGAACGCATCACGTTAGACATAGATCTGGCAGAGGGAACGGAATGATATAGTTCACAAGGTATGGTTGTGAAAATTGGATGAGGGTTTGATGAAAGGAAGGTCAAGGTCAACTGGTGAGATGAGATGGAATGAAAATTGGTGGAACCCTGATGTCGTTGCTGGCTGGAAGCTACCCCTGCACGTGTCTCGTACCTAATGCAAGGAACGTGAAGATGATTGGGTGCAGTTCCCCGGATACCCCCGCAATGTCGGAACAGGCCCAAGCACAGTGGGCGATGGCAGTGACCTTAGCTACCCACATGGCGTCGGACTTGGCCCGCAACATCATCATCATCATCATCAATCGATGCTGTCAACACCTTCCAACGTCTCTTCATGATCTCGTTTTTTGCATGCCTTTGTCATTGACTACTGCCAAAATTGTAGCACACAGCATTTGTTGATTTATCCCTTGCCCATTGAGCTTCGCGGCGCGACGCAATGCGCTCCGGATTCGCCGTTGCGGCGCTTCTTGCCGTCGTCGATGCCTCAGCCCTCACACCTCCCGTTCTCCCGTTGATCGTGAGAAACCCATATCTGAGCGCATGGCTGCCCGGTGCGAGACAAGAGCCATGGAAAATGTGGCCGAGGTTCTGGCAAGGTGGTGATGTGCGTAAGCTCTCTTCCCCGACCCATGCATAACAATAGTTTCGTGCGCGGCAACACGATTCACTAGAGACATTGATTATAGGGCTGACTTTTATTTGAATGCAGCTCGGATTTAGCATCCTCGCGCAAGTTCCTGATACAGGGGAAGTTTTCCCGTTGCTGGGAAGACCACAGGATTTCCTGGATAAGAGCGACAGCGCGTAAGCCTTCACCCATCCCAGCGAGCAACTACCACAGCTCACAGTTCTTCTCACTGTGCAGTATTAGCATCAAAGAACCCGCTTACAAGGGCGCCTCCTACGATGCTTCCACCACCAACCTTACATATACTCTTCCTGCGCCATCGGATACCAAGCACGCCCCGCTCGAAATCACACTCTCCTTCCTCTCGCCCATTACGCCCACCTCTACTGCACGCCAATCCATCCCCGCTGCCTACCTCGCAATTTACGTACATGGTACCTTTGACTTGAACCTATATTTGGATGTGAATGGACAATGGGTCACTGGGAAACGCGATAGCGTGCTTGAGTGGGACTTTGTTCACCAACCGCCAAAAGATTCTGTGCCGGGTCTCAAAACGTGGAAGGTCAAGCGTCAGACTGAGCAACTCTTTACAGAGACAAACGATCAGTCAGAATGGGGTCAGCTACACTTCACTGGTCCGGCCAGTGCGCGCCATGAATCTGGAAAATCATCTGAACTACGCCAGCGCTTCGCTCGGACTGGCACTCTTCAGAATGAAAATGATGAAAGGTTCCGTCGCATTTTCGAGAATGAACCTGTATTCGCTTTTTCCAAGGCTTTCAACATGACTTCGTCCCATAGCAGTAGCGCACTGTTCACCTTTGCGCACATTCAGGATCCAGTCACCCAGTATGCGTCGGCTCGTGGCTTGACTCATATGCGCCCGTTATGGGAGTCCTTCTACAGAGGTGGCAAGGATAATCTTATCCAAATCCACTACGGCGATTTCGAGCATACAAAGGTTCTGGCCAGCAATTACTCAGAGCAATTGCGCATTGATGCCTACAAATCCGGTTCTTCCAACTATGTCGACATCGTCGCCCTCTCAGCTCGACAAGTGATGGGCGCCACGTCATTCTCAGGTACCCCGGAGAACCCGCTGCTTTTCTTGAAAGAAATCTCTTCGAACGGCAATACGCAGACTGTTGATGTCATCTTCCCCGCGTTTCCTTTCTTCCTCTATACCCAGCCCAAATGGGGCGCGTACCTTTTGGAGCCATTACTTGAACATCAACTGAGTGGACAGTATCCAAACAAGTATTCTATGCATGATCTGGGAGCACACTTCCCCAATCTTACCGGCCATGCAGATGGCAGAGATGAGTATATGCCTCTTGAAGAGTGCGGAGATATGCTCATCATGGCTCTTGCGCTAGTTAATTCCCTCGTCTACGACTCTGCAGACACTGCGCAATCTATTTGGTCAACTGTTGGATCCGAACCAACTGCTTTTTCCCCTGATGACAACGTCTTTGCTCTGACCAACATCGGAACCGTGGACGGAATAACACATATCGACGAGCATTGGGGGAATGGCGCGGACGGTGTTAGAGCTGCGAAGCAATGGGTCGCACGATCTTATGAGATCCTTCTTCAATGGACCTCCTATCTAGAAGAATTCTCGCTTGAGCCTCACAATCAGCTGTCAACAGATGACTTCGCAGGCTGGCTACCTTATATGACCAATCTAGCCCTCAAAGGCATCATCGGTATCAAAGCATTCAGTGAGATTGCAACACTGCTCGGCAAACCCGATGTGGCAACCAACTACCGTAACATCTCTGACACCTACGTCACCAAGTGGGAAGAATTCGGCACATCACCCGATGGCACACACGCCAAACTTGCATATCACTGGTACGGTAGCTGGACGACACTATACTCTCTTTACTCAGACGCTCTTCTTTGCTTCCACCCTACCCTCACTGCCCCCAACGCATTTGCATCCGGGTCTATAATTGGCCAACAGCCTTTACAACCCGAATCTTCCACAAAATCCAAAGACTTCATCCCCAACCACATATACAAACAGCAATCAGACTGGTGAGTCGTTTCCCCAAATCTCACATAAATTGGCCTGAAGCTAACCATACACGTAGGTACTCCAGCGTCATTCAACGCTACGGCATCCCCCTCGACTCCCGCCACCTCTACACGAAATCAGACTGGCAATTCCAAGCCGCAGCCGTCGCCTCCCCTTCGACACGCACCGAAATCCTCGAGCGCGTGGCACTCTGGGTCAATGAAACGAGCACAGAAGTACCCTTCACCGATCTCTTCGAGACAGAAGGGACTGGTGGACTTGGCGCGGGACAGCGATTCATGGCGCGGCCGGTGGTCGGGTCACATTTTGCGTTTTTGGCGCTTGAGAGGAGCTGCGGGGGAAATGTTGGGGAGGGGTTAGCGAAGGTGATGCAGAGTTTCGGGATGGATGGAGAGGAAGAACCGGAAGAAGAGGAGGTTAGTGAACTCTAGTAGTGTTTGGTCTGTATAAATCGCTTGATGTTATGGGGGACTGGGAGTTTTATGGATGAATCGAATGATATGCATGTATGCACGGCATCATTCTACGATAAGTGAGTATGTGGTGCATGTGTTAGTGGTGGTGGCTGGTGAGTTGATAAGTTTTGCTGTTCTTTTCATGACTGGGGGATAAAGATGTGCATACAGGGCAAGCATTGTTGAGCTTCCGCATTTAGACTCGCATGGCAGCAATCATGGAAGCAGAGAAAAGAGCTAGGGAGGAACCTAAAGAAATAAGGAAAGACATGGGCATGTACAAAGTAGTACTGCATAGAAACATGTTAGTAAGCTTAATTCTGTCTGTTTACAACAGTTACTGTGTAAACATTATATTAGAAGACTTTAGCCTAACACAGTAGAAACATAGAGATGTTATAGGAAAAGCCAGTCACAATCTAAGCATACACGGAGACAGGGTTTGGCAAGATACTGCCTTCATTCATTCGTTTATCCATTCACAATCCTCATCATGTTTTGGTGCGTGGCGGCACACGATTGTTCAACTCCTTTACCCATGACCCAACCCGCTAAATCGAAAGACGCCAGACAAGGCGAATCTCACCTGACCCCAAAATGCCACAAGTATGAAAGGTAACCTAGTGATCTCAACGCATGCCTTGAGTTGATGCTGTGCGGAAGCAACAACGCGTACAAGACGTAGACAACTTCAATTAGACTTGGTCCGGATCCTGCTTAACCTCGAACGAAGAAGTTGGGGAACCAGGCTCCTCCATTTCCTCCTCCGAGCTCGCGGCTTGCTTCTTGTTTGCGGCTCTAGTCTTAGTGACGCGGCCGGACTTGACACCTACAAAAAAGTACACAGTCAGCAATCTTGATAAGAAGCATCGCAGGAAAAACTGAATAGGACCACATACCTCCGTTCTTGGGGGCCTTGGAAGATGCCTGCTTGCGCGGCTTCTTGACACCTGCCTCCGCATTTGCCTTGACGCGGGGAGCGGTCGCCGGGACGACATGACCAGCGGCGGTTGCAGCGTCTGCCTCCGCTTTGAGAGCGATAGCGCGCTTCTTCGGCTTCCTCAACGCATTCTCGATGGAAGAAACCGTGGCATCGCCGCCAAAGAGACGAGCGATCTCGTGATTGTTGAGCTATTGACGGTGTTAGCGTTCACAATCAGAGGCCATTGTAGGAGAGGATTGGGTAGACTGACGGTGACGTCGATACTGCCGATGATGGCGTCGAGAAGCCGGTCCTTCATCTCGGGGTCCGTCCAGTTCACCATATTGATGCAGGTGTTCTGGAAGACTTGTTTTTGTTTTGTTGGGAAAGCTGAATAGCTGGAAGAAGGCGGGTATATGGTAGAAGAGAGTGTGAGTAGGGTGGAAGAGTGTTGTCTGCGTGAGGGCACCGTTAAGCTCTTAAGTAGCAGCATATTACCTAAGCAAGCTCTCAGTGTTGCCTAAGACAGATCCAAGCTGTCGGGTATGTAGGTAAGGAGGAAGGAGAGAGGAGGAAAGTGAGTGTGTAGGTGAAGTCAGGTTAGTGCGCAGCAAACTCACAAGCTAACGAGGCAGTAGAATGTTTGTGTGCGGCTACGTGCTATAGGATGTAAGAGGGCTGCATTTGATAAATACGATTTTGGAAATGGCGTGTGTTAAAAAAATGGGTTGGAAGTTCGAGTGGGAATGTAGTAATATGAGCGAGTATTGAGCTAGGTATGCAAAAGTGGTCCGGGAGTCTGTCATGTCAAGCCAACGCCCTGACTAAGAGAAATGGGTTATCAGGTCAATTTTGAGTAGAAGTTCGCAGATAATGTTCAAGAAAGCATTTCATATTCATAAAAATTCATGCAAATATCATGCCATCTATCGCTGTAACAACGAGACTAGATCATAAACAAGGGGTATTCCAACACTCCACCAACATTCAAAACTTATATACAGTCAACATCTTAGTTCTTTCCGCCAACCTGCTCAACTTCGATAATAGATCCTCTCTTCTCATCACTGGCAACTGCATTGTTGTCAAGGGTCTCCGCAACCACATCATCACCCTTGACGCGGAGAACATGGAAGCCACGCTGAACCCAGTGTACTGCGCCATAAGCGACCACAACGATGAAGCCAACCATGGGCACGAGGTACGAGATGCGGGTGCTAGAGGCATCGGCAATGGCACCCTGGATAGGAGGGAAGACAGCACCACCAGAGACGCCCATGACAAGGATACCGGCACCGCGGCGGGTGTTGTGGCCTAGGTTGGCAGTGCCGAGAGTGAAGAGGGTAGGATACATTGGGGCCATGAAGAAGAAGACGACGATGATGCATGCAACACCGGCGTGGCCGTGGGCGTTGGAGATGTATGCGCAGAGAGCGATGTTGATGGCGCCGTAGACCATGATGATGAAGTTGGACTCGAAGAGAAGGGCGGCAGCGGCAGCAACGAAGCGGCCGATGGTGAAGGTAAGGAGACCGTAAGACAGGAGGCGGGCACCTTCTTCAGAGGTGTAGTGTGCGGCTTCTGTGGCGTACTGTGTGATGTAGAAGTCAGCGATGCTGATCAAGATGAGGTTCAGATTACTGAAAGGTTACAGGGGGGTGTCGCATTGGGATGTTGCAGCTCGGGAGGTTAGGTGTACTATCTATCATTCACGAATAGAAGGCTCTGGTAGATTCTCAGCAGCTCTTATATTCGCGAGGAGAGTTATAGTACACTATGCTCCTGTTATGTGACATCCCAATGCAACAACCCCCCTGTAGGTGACTTACGTTGATGAAGAATGTAGCGATGGTGACTTGGGCACCGACGTAGCAGAACTGGGCGACGAATCCAGCCATCATGTTGTATTCCTTTCGAAGAGGCTTCTGGACGAGAACATTTCCGTATTGATCGAGACCTTGTTCTCCAGAGTATCCCGCGGCAATGGTGTCAGTCTGTGCAGAGGTTTCTGAGACTTCCGGGAGTTTGGCGAAGAAGAACATCACAGCGACGGCCACACCCGCGCACGCCACAGCAAGGTAGACATATTGTACGTTCTGCAATTAGTTGTTAGCTTTGCCAATGGTGGAAGTAGCATGAATACAATGATTTTGGGCTGAGATGGGTCACGTGATGTCACGTGCCCGTGTATCTGAGGGAGAAATGTGAACATACTGTAAGGGAGTTGGCATTCTCGCCAGCAAAGAAAGCTTTCGAGGCAATCAATGGTCCAATAAAGGATGCGACGCCATTCCAACTACGAGCGTGTTAGTGTTGCAATCAAGTGTGAATAGGAGACCATAGTGACACGATTGAGTGTACCTAGGTAAGGAGGAGACCCAAAGGTACTTACCTTTGACAGAACTGTAGACGAGCACTGGCAGTCGCTGGGTGCCCAATGACGACAGCATAGGAGTTGGCGCTTGTCTCCAGCGTAGCAAGACCGCAAGCAATGACAAAAGTGCAGACGAGGAAACCACCGAAAGCAGCTTTCTGGTTCTCTGGGGTCGAGAAATGAGCTGTCGGCCAGAACATTATTGCACCAATCTGCTCTCAGTTTTAGTCACTATAGATTTTATATCTTTGAGAGAAGGGTTTCCACTAGTAAACTTACCGAGTAAAGCCCAAGACCCATAAGGATAGTGACTTTGTAGCCCTTGCGCTTCAAGACTTCAGCGGCGATGGGGGAAAAGCAGAGGTAACCGCCTCCAAAGTACATGACTTGAAGCCCAGTGGATTCGAGACGGGTCACACCGAGGACAGTCTGGAAGTGCTTGTTGAGAACATCGAGAAGACCGTATGAAAATCCCCACAGGAAGAACAGGGAGATGACCAGACTGAGTGGAACGATGAGCTTCTTTCCTGTGAGGTATCCACCTGAAATGGCTGGAGCGCCAGTTGGCATACCACCACCGGCCATGTTTGCGATTGATGTATTGTGGGAGTGTCTGAGGGGAAGGTAGAAGATCGTCAGACAACTGATGGCGTTGTGCGTAGAAGTGATAAGAGGAAGAAGGATTCTCGAAGGACTCAACCTTGTCTGAGATGATTCTTCCTTTCAACGGGATCCATGGTGACCTTTATATCTCTTTCAGAATATGTGCTTCTCAATCGGACCACGGCCTTAGTGCGTTTCCAAGACGTTGCCCTCCCGACTTCTGGGGACCTTTGGCCTCCACAATCCTAGAGTGATAAGATCAGCCTGCATGGAGTAGGCACAGCGATGTTCGGCTTCGCCCCTAGTCGGTCGACAACTCCATGATAGTTGCGATCAGGTATTGATACTGTCCGTGCTTAGGTAGTTTTGAACTTTCCTTACCAGCCATATCCGGCTGGTTTCTGGCAGACCTCCAATCAAAAGTCCAGAATTTGCTTGTTCAGCCGCCACGAGACCAGTCAATCATTAATAACGTACTATAATTCTAGCGGGGATGCTACAAGCGATCCAGATGCAACGATTATTGTTAGAGGCATATCCAACCAATCAGTATGCAACTTAGTCCGCACTAGGGAGGCGAGGCTAGCATCGGCGTGAGGCTCTGCCTCCAAAAACCTGCACTATCTTCCGAAAGTTCCTCCGCAACGCTTCACCCCGGGGGCCTCCCCGCATCCAGTCCATTTGATCCAACAAATTACAGGTCAATACGGCTCGGTCTAGTGCTGTAGAGGGCACGTGGACGCGCGAGCAAACATCACCGGTATCGCATTGGTGGGTCAGTCTACGTGTTAGACCTGAACCAGAAGTTTTTTTGAACCTCTGGCTCAGCGCTAGAACCCTTCCATGCCTTACGTCCATGCCCCCTGAGTTTCCAACTAACTGATCTGGACGATCCCCCGCAAGAAAAGCGCGGGGACTCCATTCTCCATTCAAATCTCGAGTGCTCTAGACCGTTGTGCTGTTGGACGTGCGAGGCAACTTGAATCTGCAACTACTGCTCGACGCTTCCAACGATCTGAATAAGACGCCTACCACATCAGATTGTGGTAACGACCGTTGCGAAATGACGCGATGCACATCACCAACACATTGAGCTACACGCCGACAAGATTTTCACGGCTGGTTGCCCCTGGCCTTGGCCATGCTAGCGTGGGGAACACGACACGCCGAAACCACTGTTGGCCTGTTGATGAAATGCACTTGGTGCAGACGACAGGGTGCTAGTCATGGCCCAACAGAATTATACCCCAGCATTCAGCTCTCGCCGAGTCTGGAGATTGGGGTTTGCCCCAGGCTTGATTGGAATGTGGAGGTTAGTAGAAGTCAGGCCTCCTCCAGTAGCTAATTTATGGTTGCTTTCTGACCTCTCTGAGTTGCGATGATAGCGCAAGCATCGGGGCATCCAGGCAAATCCAGATTTTCATCTCATCTGATATTGACATGAAGAGATGGTGTTCGGATCATAGAACGCCGTGGAATGTGATATGCAGACATGGCAATGAGCGTTTTCTCTCCGTGTCCACTCCTCAACCACACAATCAAGGTATACACTCATCAGTACCTGCGTTCATTTGCTCCCATTCCATTCAGTCGTACGACACGATGACGTGATTCAACCAGGTCGGCTACGCCAGCCTTTGTTAAGGCATGCGATGCCATGCAATGCGGCTCAACCGCTAGCCTGCACCCCAAGTTTCGCCAATGTTCTACCAAGACACCCGCCATCACTCGGTCGCTTGTTGAGGTGAGATCCGTGCAGCGCTCAATATGCAAGAAATAAACAACCCAGATCCGTAGACGGTCCAAGCTTGCATCAAAGCAGCCGTAGCCTTGAGTCGCCGTGCGGCTCAACAAGCAGTGCGGACGCTATAATTGTAGCCAAGCGCATACGAGCAAGGGAAACCGGGAAGCCAAGAGTGAGCTGCGAATGTAAAATGCCTCAACCCTCAGTTTTGCTCCGTCACCTTGATTCTATGGTGGAGTTTCTGATATTTCACGTCTCCACTGTGCATCCTATTGTCGTATATCTCATCTCAGTCTCCACAGCTCCACTCGCACACCCCATGGGCCACCACCATCGTGCCACTCCACTATGCGGGTGAGCTCCCAAAACGAAACGAGAGGCTGGCAGTAGAAGATTCCCGTGTGCGACACATCTCCTAACGGATCACACACTCAGCCAATCTTCTAGAGAGACCCAGACACATCGGCCCAGTTGTGGAAACCATCTTGCGTAAGAGCAAGTTTAGTGCAGCGTACAGAACTCCTTTTAGCAAAAAGTTTTGATACATGTTCGCTATTTAGAAGAGGGTGACGTTCGCGCATCAGTCCTAGGAATGTAAGTATTTCACTAAGGCCTGGGTGGTCAAGGAATTGGAGTTTTTATTGACGTTGGCTTGCAGTGTGACGATTGGTTCAGATTCGACTATGTGGGTGCTTTGCACCTCACTGAGACGTGCGATGAAATGTTGCTGGCTGCGCTGGAAACCCTAGACCTTTTCTCCTCATTATTCAATGGGGTCGATCTGGATCGTTGAGTTGTGGTGTTGAGGTCCTCGGGCCTAATCCGCACTCACCTATTCAAAATGATGACTCTGAGTCTGTTATGTGATCATCGCATATTCTATGCAGAATAGAATCTAGTGCGTATTTCCACGATTGCCCATCGTGTGTGTCGTATTCTCGTTGGTATGAAACCTGAATCTCCTCAGTGCTGCTTTCGTTGGAATGGCAAGCGAAATGATGACAGCAGAGCGCGCCACACCGGGAGTGTTTGATTCCTCAATGCCTTCCTCAAATTCATGGCGGAAATATCTTTCGCCATTCACGATTATAAGGTCTTTTGATCGACCGACTAGTCGTAGGACGCCTGATTCATCGATAGTAGCGTTGTCGCTTGTCTTCAATCAACCATCAACTGTAAAAGCTGCATGCATGGCTTCAGCATTGTTAAAGTAGCGCTTGAAAACGATTAGTCCTTGAATTCCTAGTTCCCTATCTTCTTTGCCAACGCGTATCTTAATTACTGGAACCACTGTACCCAGAGCAGTAAATCAGTCACACCTCCACACATGCACACTTCCGGCTGTATATTGAACCAGCGCACGTCTATGCCATGCCTAACTCTAGAGTGATAGTTATGGCGGTGAGCGCACCGAGTTTGTCGAGATTTTGTGAAATTCACACACATAGATCGACAGCGTTTGATTCTCCAAGGGGTATAAGATACATCAGATTCTTGAGATTGATTTTGTTCAGCTCGGATAGAGATATGTCATTCAGCAGGGTTTGGAGTTTCGCCCACGTGAAGTTGGGCGCAAAATTTCTAATGAAACGATGCCTGGACAAAAGGCGGAGGAAGAGGAGGAGGCCGGCGATGATCTCGGTCACAGGTGCGGTTGTGGTGAAAGAGAGAATTCAATGTTCGGTTCCACGGTCACGTGCCCTCGTGACGCGTGCCTTCCTGATTACGTCATGCGCGCATCGGGTCGGTACCACCTAGCAAAGACAAACATACCTGACTACCATATTTTAATCCGCTTCCCCCATCATCTCACCAACACTACGAACGCCCGGCAGAATGGCGGATGAGGCACATATCCATCGTCTCCCCGACGAGCTGCTGTTGCAAATCGCCGGATACTTCCGTACGTCCCTATCCAATCCGTCCTTCAGTCACGCCGTTTCCTTTCCTAGCGTACTTTTGGTTCTTTGGTTGTATCATGGAAAGCATGTGCTATTTCCGACTGGCCACTTTAGCTGACATTCGGCGCGCTATAGGTGGGACTACAACGAGTGCAATGCTCTCATGTCTCTACAATCTCCGTCTCGTCTCGAAGAGGTTCCTTCCCGTCGCTCAAGATGAACTGTATGCGGGTGCATACCTGCCTGTCACTTGCGGATGTCATCCCTGCGTGAATGCTGCCGTTCAGTACGTATACCCAGATACAGAGCTGTCGCATTATGGGACACCACGTGGTGTATCGCTTCATACTAACTTCATGCCCGCGACTTTAGACTCCTGCGCACCTTGCTCTCACGCCCTGATCTCGCTGCTAAAGTCAAGGTTCTACGTTTCGTCGCTTGCAACAAGTCCATCACCAAACTTTACCGGGATAAAGGCTACAACCTCAAGCCGATCCGCGATTTGTGCCTTCAAAAACTGGCACTTCTAGGATGTACCAGCAAAGACAATGTTTGGAGAGTCTGTCTACATAACGATGTCGAGTCGGCTTATGCCGGTGTGCTGCTCACTCTCCTGCCCAATCTCGAAACCCTGCGCTTCTCACTCAAGGAGGCCATGAACGGCTATCCCTGCCATGAACCGTTAACGGCTATGTTCGGGAATGCTCTTATTGCTACCAGGGCATTGGCATCTTTGAAAAAGACGATCAAAAATCTGGGTCTTTCGGATATTGCCTTCTTGCGCGAAGTTGGTACGTTCGTAACATGCTGAATTTCCACGCTCTGAGCGTATATCCTTATCTCTCAGACAGAGCTTTACTGACCTTTCAATTACGTTCAGGTTTCACCAATGTGAAGAGCCTCGATCTAACTTCCGTTGACCTCAATACATTGGTACGCCTCCAAGGCCCCAAGACCATCAAGTCGGGAAGGTTTTTAGAGGACCTGACAATCACCATGTCCATTTATTCAATGGAAACTGATCTGCCCAACCATTTCGGACTCAAATTGGGAAATCTTTTCGAAGCTTTTGCCTGTAACAATCTCAAGTCTCTGCATGTCAAGCTGCACAGTGACGACAAAGCTTCTACAGTGGTATGTATCTTACCCCCACGTCGTGCGCGATTCTTCTCCTCCTTCTTTTTTAGTTCATTTTGGGTTATCTACGCATGGGCTTTGCTAACCTGTCTTGCTCAGGTGGAAAGCTTCTACACCGGGGATCTATTTCGATGCATCGGCAAGATCTCGACTAAGTTGTTGCGACTCGAAATTGACTGCGAGGTCGATGACGATGTTGTGGAATGCGAGTGGTTTCTCCGGCACTGCCACTTTCCAATTCGTTCGTTCGAGCGGTTCCCCTTGTTAAAGCACCTTAAAATTCCTCAGCAATTCTTGTTCCCCACGGATGATGAAGCTGCAGATACGGCAATCGAGTTCGAAGACTTGCCTCCGACGCTCGAGCGTTTGGATATCCTTTATCCGGATTCTTCCATCACGGAGTGGGTCGTAAGGTATGTGGATGCCGATATTCCACTAAGCTTGCACACTGTAAGTAAACCTCCGGTCTCAAGTCGTCGTGCTATGTTTGCATGCATAATACTGACCTCGTAACCGCGAACCTAGATTGCTCTTCAGTGTCGTGACGAAATTATGAGCCCACCCAGCAGCTTCTATTCCCAAGGTATCTGGGCAGGGCTGGAAAAAAACTATGGTATCAACTGCCTGATCATCGAAGACATGGACGCTAAGGAGGAGAAGTTGGTGGACAAGCAGCGAAACTATACAAAGCCAAGCAAGCTAACCAAGGATGTCAAAATTTCAAATGTCAGTGATGTGGATATGGATATGGACACGGACGAGGACGAGGACGAGGACGATTACGACTCAGAGAATATGATGTCGGGACAGGATCTTTTAGTAGCGGAGATGGATTAAGTTCCTCTCCACGGCCGTCTGGGGATACCTATATGTGATTATTAAAATAATGTTAAAAGTAGCCTAGCGCATTTCAGTGCATTTTCGCAAGTTTGTTTTGCCTGCTGTTTTGCGGTTGGTTTCTGACAGGCGGTCAACGCCTCGCTGTGATCGACAGCATATTGAGCGCACAGTAGTTCCCGCTTTAGGAAGGTTGGGCAATAGCGAATTTTCGCTTTTCGCCACCGTGATCAATGGGCTTCTCTCTAACTTACCCAGTTAGGAATGTTGATCAACAGCAAATTTTCTCTTTCATCACCGTGATCAACGGTCTTTGCTCTGACTACCTAGGTACTTACCTGGTTAGGAAGCTTGATGAACAGCGGACTCGTTGTTGCTCAAACTTCCTAACTAAGTAAGAGTGGGACTGTTGATTACGGCAGTGAAAGAGAGAATTCGCTGTTGCTCAAGCTTCCTAATTAGGTAAGTAGTTGGAGCGATAGCCATCGATTGCAGTGGTGCGGTGGTGGTGAAAGAGAGAATTCAGTGCTCGGATTTACGGTCACGTGCCTCCGTAACGCGTGTCTTCAAATGTTCCTAATCACACAATGCCTAAACCGAAGTTAGAGGAAGAGGAGAGGGTCGGCAATGATCTCAATCGCAGGTACATAGACTCCATCACATTTTGCAATCATAGTAGAAAGATGTAGCTCTACTAGACCTCCCACGTAATCTAGAATAATTCAATTGCATGGCATCATAAGGTTCAGCGCACCCCAGGACCATGTATTGACTTCACTCTCCACGTCAACACACTGTTGAACAGCATATTCACGTACCTTTTACAGTCGTTAAATTTGGTCTAATATAAATTAAACATATATCAAGGCCCTCATAGATTGCTGGTAGTCAGTTCCGGAGTGCGGCAAGCCTTATCAAGAGAGTAGTGGCGTTGCGCGAAAGTGGCATGTGAGATAGTTTGCTATTGACTGATGTGAGAATATGTTGATGTGTCAGGCACACTGTTTCGGATGCGCCTATACTCCCATTAGGGCAGCAACGTCCTTCAGAGAAGCGAAGTTGTCCGTGCTGGTAGCCTCTTCCGACTGCGCCTTGTTCAGGTTCGCCTGTAATATACCGTTTCTCACTGCACAGCCGTCCTGTTGGTAGGAAGGTTGTTTTGAATGAGATAGGATCTAGGCTCCAGGGCTCGGGGCGTGCCTTTCTGACCACGATGAGCGATCCCAGATCCGCAGGCTTTGTCGGCGATTTCCAAAGCCTTAAGAGTCTTCGTGAATATGAACCGAACTGGAGATCAGCGTTTTAACCGAAGTCGCTTTCGAACAACTCTCCCATTCATGATGATAATGGGGTCCAAAATAATATCATGTGGATGTTCCAAGGGAGCTATGAGTTCCTCGGGGCTGTTGACAAGAGGGGTCGGCATAGCTGGTACGCAATCAGTGAGCCAGCTTGCTAAAAACTATAGGATGTTCTCTTGATGATTCCAGACAAATACGAATTTACTGCCTACCGTATTCAATAGAGTACTGTGAGAGCGATGCAAAACCGGGAATCGACCGCTCTCCCTGTAAATTCACTAAAGGTAGCGTGGGTCGGATACAGACCTAGTGTAAGTATAGTGGAGACAGTGGAATGGCGACCCATTGTTTCTTTGAGTTTGCGAGTCCCGATTGCCCCGACACAATTTCTAGTCTCGGGTACTTCTGCTTGTTCACACCCCCGAGCATTTCATACACTGAGGCATGCATCTCCTGAGGATCTGCCGGGTGGCCTGATGGAGGACCATTGAACAACACCACGTAGAGTCCGCTGCGCCATGCCTCATGCGGATCTTTTTTTTATTTCGGGTATCTCCACGCGGCGTAGTCCAGACACTGGCGATGTGGCCAAAATCATTAGTCTAGTCGATAACTAATCTTTCAATGCTGCATACTTATAGTTATACCGCCACGTCTGATCACTATCACTATCACTATCACCATCTTCTACAGTCTGGCCTTCAAGCTTTAGCAAGTTCTTTCCTATCACTTATATCCTCTCTTTGACATGTCTGGTATTTTAGACGACGGTCTTCCTTGTGTGGACGCACTCCAAGTCGAAAAGCGCTACGGAGAAGAGAGAGCCAAACGACTTCGCCCAGAAGGAGACGATCAGTTCATCGACATATCACATTCTCCACAACATCAATCATTCTTAGAAGATCCTTGGGTTGAGTCTGAAAATTTGCAAGATGTGAAATCACTGTTCCCAGACAGCCGTTGCTCAATGCTCATACTTGGAGCGGGCTTGGGAGGTCTTGTGTACGCGGTACGCATGATTCAGGCTGGTATCAAGCCGGAGGATATCCGAATGGTCGATGTTGCCGGAGGGTTTGGTGGCACATGGTACTGGAATCGCTATCCCGGCTTGCATTGCGATATCGAGAGCTACTCTTACCTTCCCTTGCTAGAGGAGACAGGATATGTACCAAAGCATCGGTACTCTCGGGGCGAAGAAATTCGCGGATATGCCAATTTGGTTGCTGAGAAGTGGGGTTTGTCTAAGAATGTTGCATTCCAAACGAAGGCTCAAAAACTTGAATACAATGGCGAGAGTAAGGAATGGGTCGTTGAGCTCGAGCAAAGGCGGTCCGATAAGGAGTCAGTGCAGATGGATGTGCGTGCCGAATATGTTGTAACAGTGAACGGACCCCTTAACTGGGCAAAGCTTCCAGGAATTCCGGGGATCTTGGACTTCAAAGGAGACATTTTTCATGCATCACGGTGGAATTATTCGGCTACTGGAGGTTCGCCAGAGGACTGGTCTCTTACCCAACTCAAAGACAAGACAGTTGCCATTATCGGAACAGGTTGCACAGCTATTCAGATAATCCCACATCTCGCACGTTGGGCAAAGCACGTGTATGTCGTTCAACGCACACCTGCATCTGTCGACCATCAAGACCAGAAAGAGACGGACGAAGAATGGTTCCACAAGGAAGTCGCCGCTTCTCCAGGATGGCAGCACGAGCGAATGAGGAACCTCCACGAGCACTTCACAACAGGGGAAATGCCCTCAGTGAATCTGATAGGTGATTCTTGGACTCGCGCTCCGGCACTTGCGGGTCTGACTGGTAACGCGGACGGTCCAAAGTCGATGGAAGAGCTCCCCGCATATATGAAGAAGCTCCACGCAATCGACCTACCGCGACAAAACCGTCTCCGAAAACGTGTTGAAGAAGAAGTTCATGACAAAGACACTGCCACGAGACTCCAAGCGTGGTACCCCTCATGGTGCAAACGTCCAGCTTTCCACGATGAATACCTCTCCACCTTCAACCGCTCCAACGTCACACTCCTAGACACCGAAGGCAAAGGAGCCGACCGCATCACCGACGACTCAGTCGTCGTAGACGGCAAATCATACGCTGTCGACCTCATCATCTGCGCAACCGGTTTCCGCGCTCCCTTCACCGGCACCCCAGCCGAGAAGGCCAACGCAAAGTTCTTCGGTCGCAATGGCGTCTCTATCACCGAAGAGTGGGCACGCAGCGGTCCCAAGACTCAACACGGTGTTCTTGACTACAACTTCCCCAACCTCTTCTTCTCTGGGCCATGGCAGGGCGCCAACTCGCCAAACTACCTCTTCGCGGTGGATATGTTCGCGAAGCATGCAGCGTACATTCTTGCCGAGGCGCGGCGCAAGGCCGATGGCAAGAAGTTCGCCGTTGCGCCTTCATCTAGTGCGGCGGAAAAATGGAGTATGGAAGTCGCGATGGGGTCGGCGCCCAATGCGGCCATCATGGGCTGCACACCGAGTTACCTCAATGTTGAGGGTGGACTTGATAAGGTTCCCCCTCAGATGCAGATGATAATCGCTAGCTCTGGGCTTTGGGGAAGCGGGATTGAAAATTTCATAGACCTTATTGAAGCATGGCGGGAAGAGGGAAACATGGAGGGTATTCAGGTCGAAGTGTAGATGGTTGTTTCAAACATGTAAGTTTGCATCCATCGTGCGCCTCGATATGTACCTAGGTAGACAGCAGTGGTTAGCATCACACGGCTACATATAAATAAGTTGTTACAGTCCGTACGTACTATGATATCTTAACTTTGCTTTTTCTGTCCTGTTTACTACTTGTTTAAATACAGACAGAATTTGATAGACATGAATCTTAACACTCGTCCAGTACATCAATGATGGTGTCCCGCAGGTCCACAATCCGAGCCAAAAGCCCGTCTCACACGTCTAGCTTCGACCATCCAATCCTCCAATTGTACCTCTCTCTTTCCATCCTCCCACCTCTTCCAAGCCGGCCGAGTCAAAGATACGTACTCACCCCCAACTCCAGTCTGGCCCGTAACAATCAGATTCAACCACGCCGCCAACCTATAACCAGCTTTGGCGATCTGCTGCTGGATGACAGGAATAGCAGCATCATAGTACTCCCCTTCCAGTTCCTTGCCCTCGACGGCCTCTTGTCCCTCGGGAACAACGGTGGAGCATACATACGCATTCGCGTCTTGAGCCCAGTGCATGGAGCTCGCGATAGCGTCATTAACGTCGATACCTGTGAGCCACGTGCTGCTCTGGTTCGCATACTTGCCGCCCGCTTTGATATCTTCCAAGAGAGAAGATGACCAGTCCAGAGCGTCCTCCAGGGCGTACCCGCCGATCAGTTTCTCAGGCATGTCACTATCCCAAATTCGGTGGAGGTTGGCCGAAGCACCCTCGAAGGTAACGTTGATGAGGTTACCGCCGACTGCAAGATTCTCCACGTGCAATGGCTGGTGGATGTCGCCGACAAAGTGAATGATCCATTTCAATGCCTTTTGGCGCTCCGCAAAGGAGACGTTTGAGCTTTGCACGCGCGTAGTGTAATTTGCGATGGCGGATACAATGCAGCCTTCCTCGGGACAATCGCGGTCGTAGTCGACATCGCATGATGCCGGTGGAGAGTCGAGGGCATCGATGTAGTGGTAGACACCGCTGAATTCGCCTCCTGGCTCTTTACGATAAGAGTCGGCCCAGGTTGCGACGTTGGCAAGGAATGTGGAGGACGTATCGTTGAGGAGGGATTGGGTGAAGTTGACGGTTTGGGGCGAGAGAAAAGACTGTGCGATTAGAGCGACAGTAGTGTGCCCCAAGTTTCCCCATGCTGCTGTTTCGGCGGAGAGAAGAAGGATGGAAAGAAATGCTGATGCCGTTGTTCGAGCCATGATGGTGGGAGGTGCTGAGGAATGAAAATTCACGAGGACTGCACAATGGGTAGAGTAAGTACGTATAAATGTGCCATCTAGTGGCTAGATGATCTCATCAACGCCGAGCGTTATCAACGAGTCGGCCATCGCCGTTCAGCTTTGTCCATCATCATCTCGCTCTCCTCCACACGATTGTTAGATTCGCCTCGTGGAGTCACTTGCGCTAAACCGTGTTAGGAAGGCGGATGTCTAGGACCATTGCGAACGAAGCCGGATAAAGAAGGCCGTCTGTAGTACGGATCCGCCGCCTGCAAGGGACCGGCTAGATAGGCGGGCAAACTGCTGGAACAAGAAAGTTTGACTGTACGTACAAAGATCGTTCAATGTCTATATAGCCCGTCGAACAGCCTGTCCTGATATGCGAAGATTATGGGTATACAACAGAGCTTAGAACACGATTCTATGTGAAGGATGAAGGGAGAAGAATGGAAGAAATTTGGGTATCTCATGATGCGTTGGCAAATGCCAGTGGTATTGTATGGCAAACTATTCTGCGTCGGCTGTCTCGTGCATAATGTCCCGACGTCGTAAGCCTTCTTGCTGAAAATCCCCTTGGTTTTGCACATCGTCGACAGGTTGGCCTATAATTTCCTCAGCCTCGGATTCCTCGGGAGGTGGAGGCGGGCCTTCGAAAAGACGGATCCACCATGCTGGAGGATCAAGGGGTCTGTGGCCGTTGTGAAGAGGCGGGTAAACATCATTGAAGAAGTACCAGACTGACAGCACGATTAGAGAGAGAATAAAGAGGCTTAAGTCATCGATACATACTGTGTCCCACGACAATGCCACACATGTCATCCTTTGGAACCGTCCCGTATAGGACGAGCGAAAAGCACAAAAGTACCCATGGGAGGTATGGCGCTTTGAAGACGAGGAGACCCAAGAAACTGAGCGACGCATCCGGATTTTTCCGACTCCAAATGTAGGTCAATGTGCTGGAAAGCGCAAAGCCGAGAAACTCCATCGAGAATAAAGGCGCTATACAGAGGAGCAGTGTGGAAGCGAACGCGAGAAGCCACGAGAAGTGGGCTGGGGAACGACCGGACGATTCCTCCACTAAGCGCGAGTATCGTTGGAGGAAGAAAATGTGGTATAGCAGATCAAGACTCATGGGTCCGAAATAGAAGAAAGTCGTCACTAATCGCCAATACTGTGCAAAGTACCTAGGTTAGTTGACAGCGCGAGAGGACGTAAGGGCGGGGAAAGTACCTGGTTCTTGAGGAAGACGGATCTGGTGCTGTAAAACAGTTGATAGGGCGAGAGTATTGTACACTGCACCAGCATACTGGCGCTCAGCGCTGCCGTCATCCACCATCGTGTACACACGGGCATTTCGTAGAACCAGTTCTCGAGCGGAAACTGGCCCATCATGCCGTCGCCGCCGGCCAGAGCGTTTGCCATGGTGATAGATGTGGATTTGTCACAGCTGAGGTCTTGGTTTGAACCTCGGAGTCACCGGTGTGAGATTATTTGACGTGGAAAGAATGGAGGCGGAAGTTACGAGTAAGTGGCAGACAGATGTTTGTGAATGAGTGAGCGAGCGGGAGTGTTCGCGCCGTGTTCACTAGCTTCTTGCTACGTAACCCGATCGCGCTCCGCCATCTAATCTTATCGATAACATCAAGATTATGTGATCAGATACTCACGTGACCCATGAAGAGCTGCACCAGCCACTCGATTAATTGGGGGCTGGAGAGGGGATACAGTATCGCCGCCCTCAAGCTGCCGCATGTTGTTGCAATTGATTACCATTGCGACTTGCTGTGCGCTGAGAGAAAGTAACTCGCTCAAGTTCTTCATTCTCGAGGTCGCGATCGAGCTTGACGCGTCTCGCAAACAAAACACTAACAGGATTATTGCCGCCAATACCAGCCACTGGACTCCACTTCTCTAATCCTCGACTCCTCGATCATTCTTCACCCGCGGCTTCCCATTACTTTGCGACCGCAGCCGAAGCTCGACCTTGACATCCGAATCGGAAATTGGACCTGCGCGATGCCACCAAAAACCACACCAACCCGGCGCAATCGCGCGGTACCTACTCGTGGAGGCGGAAGAGCAGGTAGAGGCGGGCGCAAGAGTGTTGGAAGCGCGAAGAAGGACAATGATAGTATGCGCCGTGAGTTATTTCATAACAGTTTGGTGTGTAGACCTGGTCGGCGCAATTGCTGATACAATCGACAGTTGGCCAGCCTGGCCCTGCCCCCAAACAACGACGCAGGTACAAGCCGGGAACTGTGGCTCTGAAGGAGATTCGCAAGTACCAGAAGAGCTCCGACTTGCTCCTGCTCAAGTCCCCTTTCCAGCGTCTGGTGAGCATACCTGACCCCATGGTTCCACACACTGTGCTAACGCGTGAAAGGTCAGAGAGATCACTCAAGATGTCACGACCATAAACGGACCTGATAGATGGCAGAGTCAAGCCATTCTCGCGCTGCAGGAAGCCACCGAAGCCTTCCTCGTCAGTCTCTTCCACGATGCCAACCTTTGCGCCATTCACGCCAAGCGAGTCACTATACAGCAGAAAGACATACAACTTGCTCGACGACTGCGCGCGGCCTGGGGCGCGCCGGTTTGATCTGGATGCCATGCCCCAGACAGCTCTTATATTCAAGTCCCATATCTGCAGGTGGGCAATTTTCTGGCCTACGAAATTCTTCTTCCATGTTGGATGAATAGGGTTGTGCAAGGTTGGGTGGCTACGCGCCATTCTTTTTGGGGGCCCGGATGTTTTGAGCTTTTTGCACTATTAGTCCCAGCGATGAAGATGCAGCTTGCTGCACAGAAAAGGGCATGAGGCGTTCAAGGTGTTTGCAATGGTGCAGAGGTATCCCACCAAGTCATTGATATACCACCCGGGTTGGGCCTTTTCGTTGTATTGTTGATGAAGTGGTTGTCATGTTGTCCAATACATATGTAGTAATCAAGCTATTTTGAGTCGGTGTCTCGGGACTCGAAGAAACAAACGCCGATTTCCTTTCTTTGTTTCAAATGTTTGCTTTTTCCCACAGCCTTGGCCCACGTGGATACCTACATATGTATATAGGTAGCTTCGAGTACTCAAGGACTTGAAATGAAACCCCATGGAATTCTGACAAGTGTTGCGTCCCACCACCTTTGCGTATCTTTGGGCATAGAACACCTCCAAATACCAATTCGAATAGAGCTGACATTGACGATTCATTCCATCATCGTTCGGTGCTGTCTTAGTTCCAAGGCGCTTTAGGGAGATCATGTCCGAACCTCCGATGATGGGCAAGCCAGAATGTGGGGTCCTGTCCAGAATACTGTCTATCCACACCCCACATGCCAACCACCATTAATTACTTACCTACATACAATCTCACACCGACTCTCTACATCGTTCTTCCTCTTGTTGCAGAACCCTCGATTGCAACCAATCATCTCATACCTACCTCCTACACGTCCATGAGCCGGGTATTTCCCCTCTCTTTCAACCTCTGCAAGCATGACTGCATATCGCAAGTCCTCCCAATAAACAATTCATCAAGTCAGATTCTTCCAAGCCGTCTTCTGGGAGAGGAGTGTTGACGGAACCGAGCGTCCGACGATCGTAGCGAAATCGCCTGATCTTCGTGCAAGTTCAACCACTGACCGCTGCGCGAGTGCGAAGGAAGATGTCCTCTTCAATGCTAACGCGACCAGTGACTCGATGTCAGCGCATAGAATCCTCATGGAATATTTGTTCTCGAATGCTTCCTCGCGACTCGTGGGCAACACAGTCGAGTGGGATTCGAGCATTAAGTATGTACACAGTTGCTATAGCTGTGCTACAGGACATATCGAAATGAATCCAACGAGCCTATTGTTACCCGTTGGAGTCGGAGGCACAACAGCTATGAGAGAGCAAATCATATCGGACCATTCTGTATTGACATTAACTTATGGGGCCGTTTGGCGATCCGGCGGTCCGACCCTGTAGGGGCATTCCGAAGATTTGGTCATATCCCCGCTTTCTGCCTATACGAAATACTGTGCTATTGTACTCTTGATCACAGTCTCACAGTCAAGTGCTGAAAATCAGTATTTGCATCACAAACTTCTCCTCAATCAAAATGAGTTGAGTGAGCATTTTCAAGAATCGGTATATGTTGAATATATGGACCCCCGATCCTAACTAAAGTTTTCGAATGGCCGATTCTCAGTGCACGCGGCAGGACCAATCATTCTGAGCCTATAAAATCCTTCGTTGGAAGGAATACTGATCCTTTCAAAGAAAAAATGCTGCTTTATCGTTGCCAAACATCGATGCGCAGGCACGCAAACAGCTTAACAGCCCTATATCAGATATGGATGTTCGGGTGATGCATTATAGTCGTGGACTTTTGAATCTGGACTTCTGGGGTACCATGCATGTCGAAACCAATTTCATCAATTACAGAGCTGGGGCTCCCGTTCGGATCTTGCGATTGGTTCGAGTTATCCCGCGATACAGGTCACAAATGAATTGCCGACGTCGCAATCCGCATTCTGCCGCCTCGCGTCAGCAGTTCTAATGCAAGGGCATAGTGCCAGTTATAGCGGATGTATACGATATAGTTGTGAATCTCAAGGACTGTGGTCCCTGGTGCGTCAAATTCAAAAAGAACGTCACCTCCCTTAGAATGTGCGCTCGCTAATTCTTTGCTGAGCCAATTCGTTGACCATGGCTCCAATTTTTCCTCTCATCTCTGGCATAGTCTCACTGTCTTTGTTGAGTCTTTTTCAGGTAGCTCCGTGTGTTGCCGTGGACAATAGTACGTACGAGTACATTGTTGTTGGCTCAGGACCTGGCGGGGGACCCCTCGCGGCCAACTTGGCACGGGCAGGTCACTCTGTGCTTCTGATCGAAGCAGGAGATGACCAAACAGAAAATAAAAATGTCTCCCAGTGGTTCAATTTCAACCCGGCTGGCAATGATCCAGCTACACGGTAAGTCTGAATTTCATTCCCCGGTATAGAAGTGTGTTGCTTACATGCGAACAGATGGGATATATTCGTGAAACACTCCGATGACGAAGCCCGCGAGGCAAGATATCTGCACAGAACCTGGCGACAAACAGATGGTGGTTTTTATGTTGGCATTGATCCTCCGGCTGGCGCAAAACCTCTCGGCATTTATTATCCGAGAGCGGGTACACTGGGAGGTTGTGCTATGCATAATGGCTGCTTGACCATGGTAGGTACATGGATTTTCTGTTCCCACGACAATGACATGTCTTACAGGCTGGCGAAAGAGTTAACAGTCACAGAACCCCAATGATTTGGACTGGAACGATATCGCCGAGACCACAGGAGATAACTCGTGGAGCGCGGAGAACATGCGAAAATATCTAATCAAATTAGAAACAGTTCACTACGAAAGCAATTATACGCATGGACACGATGGATGGCTAAGCATGACCAGCTTGGGGAATGGCTTTGATGCTTACCGTGATTCTCATGAGCTTACCACCCTTGCTTCTGAGGCTGCCGGGTACACTGCTGCTGAAGCAGCCAGTCTAGTCAAACGCGACATCAACGGTGCTCAACCAGATCGTGACCAGCTTCTGGGTCCTTTCAATGGTGTCAGCCATGTAGAAGCCGATGCTGTTCAGAGATCCTCGCCTGGGTACTATGTTCGCGACACCGTTAGGGAAGGGAAGTACCCGCTCACTCTATTCCTCGACACTCTCGCAACCAAGGTGATCTTCGATCAGTCTGGCTCCAAACCCAAAGCTGTCGGTATCGAGTATCTCAAAGGGAAGAGCTTGTACAGTGCGGACCCTCGATCCAACCCCAATGCTACCGGGACGCCGGGAAAAGCATACGCTTCCAAAGAAGTGATTATCTCGGGTGGCACATTCAACTCCCCGCAAATTCTTATGCTCTCGGGAATTGGACCAGCAGCTCATCTCAAGAAATTTGATATACCAGTGGTTGTGGATCTGCCCGGCGTCGGACAGCAAGTGGCAGATAATTACGAAACGGGTATCCTCACGCTGGGCAAACGGGCAGTTCAAGGCATGGGCGAGATCTTCCCAACTTTCTGGAAGACATCCCAGGCTGCGATCCGTGATTTCTACCTTTTCTGCGGATCTCTTTCCTTCGAAGGTTTCTGGCCTGGTTTCCCTAATATCCCCCCATTCTTCAACCAAACCCATGGACCCAATCAGTACGAATGCGCATTGGTGCAAATGAACCCTCACTCGCAAGCGGGTGTCATTGAACTGCAATCCGCAGACCCACGCGACACACCCGTCATCAATCTCAACTACTTCAAAGATGAAGAGGAAAAGGATCTCAACGCCCTTCTCGAAGGTGTCGAGTGGGTGCGCTCATGGCTCAGTAAGGTCAACGGCTCTGATCCCGAATCCTTGGCTCCTTTCAACGAATTGCACCCATGTGAGGGCCAGATCGGCAAGCAAAACTGCACGGCAGAAAGCCAAAAGACGTACATGAAGGAGCAAGCCTACGGCCACCATGCTACGAGCAGCTGTCGCATTGGCGCTGATAGCGATAAGTTCGCCGTTCTCGATAGCAAGTTTCGTGTTCGTGGGGTGGAGGGGTTGAGGGTGGTAGACGCATCTTCCTTTCCGAAGGTTCCCGGCGGTGAGTGGTTATCCCGAATCCGTCCTCGCAAAACACTGGTAGAGGATGCTAATGCGTGTGATTGTAGGATACCCCGTGCTTCCTACCATGATGCTCAGTGAAAAGGCTACGGAGGAATTGCTGGCTGATGCTGCGAAGGCCTGATCGTGAGCCACGTGAACCACCAACAGGGCTTTTATAGAACGGAGGTTGTATTGCGTATATAGAAGAACAGATATCACATGGAGAGACAGTTATCACGATCGAATACCATGAGCTATCGAGAACTGACTGTTATCGGCGATGCACGTTATCTGTTGCGCATCCGCACTTCCCCTGACCTTGACAGCCACGCGAGTCGGCACGTTAGACCACAACTTCAGCTTCACTCCCCCACGAGTCGCTCCTCCATTGCGAGCGAGCCCAGACCCCTCTTTGCCAAAGCAGATGAAATCACTAGCGTCAAAATCATGCAAGAGACGGTAAAAAGGAGCACGAACCAGCCTTGCCGAGGCACGCCGTGCCCACAATTCGGGTGACGAGCATTGCGCACATGGTTCAGAGGAAACGGTCCGAACCAAAACCATGTGGCTAGCCACTCAGTATCGCTTTCGCGCGACATGACGTTTGGAAGCTAGGGCCAAACTGTCTTCGCGAGGGATTGGAAGGATGGGGGACCAAGGAATCGATTATGCAGGGGAAAACGAAGAGAGAGGGGTTGTGGCGCTGTGCTCATGGGTGCATATGCGTGGGCGCCGCTGCGCGAACGACGCAGGAACGAAAAAAACACTCGACCCAGGCGGGACGAGACGGGTGACCAAGGAAGGATTTGGTTTCTTCGAGGTTAGGGTTCGCTGATGCGATTCAGCTAACAGTATAGGTAGCGGTCTTCCGTTATTGCCTTCTCTCCATCGTTCGTCCTCTCTTTTTTTCTCCGCTGTTTGTTTGAAGTTGTGTTTTTAATTGTTTGATTGACTGTTGTTCGTTGCTATACCATCATCGACCAAGTGGAGACGGAACCACTTTGCCATCCACTTCCCGCCGCATCGTTCCCTACTTGGCCGACTCTCGATTCCATTCCTTCTTATGAATCATGACTAAAGAGTGAGAAAAGTTTGGGTTGATAATCACTATCTGAAAATTTCATCGTGGATTGAAACAAGGACGGGGAAAGACTTGTTTCGACTTTAATTCTTCCATCAACAAAAGAGAAGGCTTTGCTCTATCGCAGAGGACGATTTTCCACTACGCATACTAGCACTTTACACATTGCGCGTCCCACGACACCCTAATACATTGATTCGCGACTACCATTATGATCAAGACGCGATAGAGAGAACATTGTAAATTTGGGCTCGAACATCCATCGTGTTTGAAAAAGGAGGAAACCCCCGCCGTATAATCCACAACCACCACCGACCACGAAATCCGACGCTGAGAAGGGAACAAAGCCCCTCCAAACAACAATGGAGAACCACACACCATCCTCCTATGCGCTCAACCCCATGTCACCAATAGCAGAATCAATCCCACCCTCACGACCCCAAACAGGCCGAACAAGTCTCTCCTCCATCCCATCCCTCCCAGACCACCGTCTCGAACGACCCCTCACCCGACCCCTCTCCACACAATCCATTGCGCAAACCTTCACCCCGCTCCACGAATTCCTCTTCATCGCCCTCCTCTGCAGCGCCCAAGTTACCACCCAAGCCGCCCTCGTCGGTCCACTCTCCATCTTACATATCCTCGGTCCCGCGCTACACATCACGAATCCGGGCGTGCTCGCATGGCTCATCGCCGGGTACAGTCTCACAGTGGGCAGCTTCATCTTGCTGTCCGGTCGCATGGGCGATGTGTGGGGGTACAAGAACATGATTATTTTCGGAAACGTGTGGTTTGGGGTGTGGAGCTTTGTAGGCGGAGTCAGTGTGTGGTGTGAGGGGGATGGGAAGAGCGTGCTATTCATCTTTTCGAGGGTTCTGGCGGGAATCGGCCCTGCGATTCTGCTGCCGAATAGCTTGGGCTTGTTGGGCGCGACGTATCATAATGGGAAGAGGAAGAATATGGTGTTTAGCTTGTTTGGCGCTTGTGCTCCTAGTAAGTCCGCTCCTTCTTTTTTTTCTTGTCTGCTGGTGGAGAATGAACTGCTGACTTTTTCTTTTCTTTTCGCGTAGACGGTGCGATTCTGGGCGCTGCTTTTGCTGCGCTTTGGACTCTGGTGTGGTGGCCTTGGGTCTTCTTTACGTTCGCCATTGCCATGTTTTGCCTTGCTGGGCTGTCCGTGTTCATCCTCCCGTCTGTTCCTGTCAGGCCGGAAATGAGGAACCTTACTTTGAAGCAGAAGATTGCCGAATTAGATCTTCTCGGCGCCACGGTCGGTATCACGGCTATGATTCTCGTCAACTTCGCCATCAATCAAGCTCCTGGGTTCGGCTGGCATCAGGTCTACATCTATGTGATCCTGATTGTCGGTGTTCTGCTCTTCCCTGCGTTCTTTTATTTTGAGATGCACGTGGCGGAAAAGCCGTTGATCACGTTCCAGGCCCTAGGCAGCGATGTCTCGTTCGTTCTGGGCTGTATGGCGTGTGGATGGGCGTCTTTTGGTTTGTTTCTCTCTCCTCACCCCCAAGTCATGGAATCCTTGGACTAATTCCCATCCTAGGTATTTTCATATATTACTTCTTCCAATTCCTCGAGCTACAGAGAGGATTAACCCCCCTTCTTACAATCGCTCAGTGCACACCGATGTGTGTCTCGGGCGCTTTAGCAGCCATCTGTTGTGGCCGAATCATCGGTCGTGTGGGTCCGGCCTGGGTGATGTTGATATCCATGTTGGCATTCATGACGGGCAATCTTCTCACGGCCACTGCTCCAGTGCAGCAGACATACTGGGCGCAGATCTTCATTGCCGCTATCGTTATGCCCTGGGGTATGGATATGTCGTTTCCAGCGGCCACGTTGATCATCTCTGATCGAGTGAAGAGGGAACACCAAGGAATGGGTGCCAGTCTGGTCAATACCGTTGTCAACTATAGCATCAGTATTGGGGTGGGAATAGCGGGGACAGTGGAGGTGCATGTCAATAATGGAGGAAAGACCAAGGCGGATGAGTTGTTGGGTTATAGGGCGGCCCTCTACATGGCTGTTGGGTTGGCAGGTCTGGGCGTTGTCATTGCATTGACGTTCGTAGCCAAGGGATTCCTCAGGACAGGTGAGAAGCAGAGTATGGATCTGGAAGACAAAAAAGCAGAGGATTTTGGGATATAGCATCATGATTACCGAATGCTAGATCGTACAGCGTGTTTCAACGCGCACGCTCCAGATATTGTTCGACCAACCCCTTCGGTGATTCGAAGTCCGTCAAGTGTTCGGCTTCAAGCAAAGACTGTCAGCTCACCTTTGCCCTGGCCCAGACAACGATGTCGTCGCCTTTTCTGAACGCATATGCGAAGCCCTCCCATCGCGGAATCGCTTCACAGCCCTGAACTACATGGTACCGCTTGACTATCTCTCCTTCGAAAATGGGAAGTCGCCTTTCAGGCTTGCGAAGCTCGGGGAAAGATTTCTCTGATTGATTTTGACAGTACGTGACCTCAAACCACGGCGAATTGTGGTAAACTGATGTCAGTATTGTTTCAGTGACCAAGCAAGATCATTGAATGTGTGTTCTGGGTCGCAGCACTCCAATTGTTGGACCGACGATTACGCTATGAGTGCCGACCTAGTCACCTTTGGGTTAGCCCAAGAAAAGCCCAAGCTCCCGTCGCTGTGCCGCTCACATACTTCAAATTGTGGGTCTATCACCGGAAGGATTGACTATGTTGCTCAGCCCTCAATGGCGGCCACGCTTTCCGAAGACGGAGGCAGCACTTGAGTGCTTATGAGGCCCCATTGTTGCCTAATTCTCATCCCGCTGCCTCGTATACTCATGAGACGTGTGATACCGTGTTTACGCGTTCCATCTCGTGTGACTCCAATTCATAGCGACGATAGACAGTACTTCCAATATCCCAATTGCGTTACCAATATTCAAAAATGGCGGGAAACGCGAACTTCCTGTCTCAAACCCTCCAATCCATTACACTTACCAAACAACATGAACAAAGCAAGCGTCGCAAGAACTTTGAAGCTGGCAAAACACAAATTATCAGGACGGCCGACAATGCCAAAGATGAGCGCGATAGACTAAAAGCTTTGATTTCTGGTGTTGGCAATTTGTCGTTTGGCAACAAAGGAATTGCACATATCGACGAAGATAGAAAGAGCACTTTGGAGGTCATGAGCCGATACTTGGAACAATCCAAATTCGACCCCTCGATATCCCCCTCTCGCCTCCGTGGATTCGAGAGCACTCTTCACAAGAGGCTTGATCAAGAAAGCGAACGATTCCGCTTTGCCGATCTCTACTATCGTCTCCTCACCGAGTGGACAAAAGTCAACGGAGTCCCAATTGAGGAGGCAATAGAGACCGCAGAGGGCTTGGAAGGTTCTTTTGAGTATGTGCACAAGTATACGTTGCAGAACCTCAAAGAGCAGTTCAGCGACGTGGTTTTCACACCTCTCGAAACCGACGAAATTGAAATCGACCTGTATCTCAACTCCATGTTTTACGACGATTATGCCCGAGATAGACTCAGGCTCCTACGTCAGAACATCACGCTCGCAGCCGAGAAGCTGAAGACGGAATCAAATCCTTTCACCAAGTTTGTCGTTAAAGACTGCATTGACGCCCTGAGAGCGTGCAGTCTATTAAATGATGATGCGAACATGACTATGCTCGAATTCTCCAAGAATGATGACGTTCTTTGCGAGATCACGGATGTTCTCAACCTTCGTTTCGCAGATTTAGAGAATTGGTCTTGGGAAGCTGATGAGGGCATCTATTACGAACCTCGTAAACAGATAAACGGCAAGTATCGCATCATGATGGACGAAGACATTCTTCAGGCCATTTTTCTTCATTACATTGCTGGAAGCTGGTGTATGATATTCAAAAATGAGTTCACTGGTCTGGTCAACGATGAACGATGTTGGAAAACCCACGAGAAAGTATCTCCCTACCAGAAAGCGCGGAACCTCTATTTCTTTGGCGACAAGATTGATGGTTCTGACATTATGAGTATTCTTGGGCAGCAGGAAAGAGAGTTGAAATGGAGTAACCTTCTCTCGTCATTGCCCGGAAGTCTTACACATCAAGTCGATCCTTACGGGGGCGAGGACTCACACGGAATTAGCGCTGGTCTCGAGATGCGCCAGAAGTTACTTCGACAAATTGCTTCTGACGTCATCATCCGTCAAGAGTTGTACGGAGACGTTGCAGTCGTGCAGTCCGATCTACAATGGTACGCCACCAGCCTTCCCCACTCTACTATTCTCGCCGTAATGCGCTTCTGGGGCGTACCTGAAGACTGGATAGCATTTTTCAAGAAATTTACCCAAGCACCATTGCGTATGGACCCCACCCCCGGCGAGAATGTACGCATTCGCAAGCGTGGTGTTCCTATCAACAATGCTTTTGAAAATCTTTTCGGGGAATGCGTTTTATTCTGCATGGACGTGGCTGTGAATCGCTGGTCCGAAACACCACTATTCAGATTCCATGATGATCTGTGGCTTTTTGGGGACCCTTCTACCTGTGCTCATGCTTGGGAGACCATTGAGATGTTTGTTCGGGTTCTGGGCCTGGATATTAATAAATTCAAAACTGGGTCCATATACATAGCAAAGGGCGAAAAGGACGCACATTTGGCTTCGTTGCTGCCTGAGGGCCAGGTCTGCGTCGGCTTGCTACAATTGACTGATAAGGGTACATGGGTCATCGACCAAGAGCAGGTATCTTCCCATGTACGCCAGCTGAAGAAACAGCTGGGCAAAGCCACCAGTATAATATCATGGGTGCAAATCTGGAATGCGTGCATGGGCAACTTTTTCCACGACGTTTTCGGACGGCCCGCGAATTGCTTTGGAGAAGCTCACGTCGATCACATCCTGGAAACATATTCCCGCATGCAACGCGCGCTCTTCGGCTCGCACAATGGAAGCGTGACGGAATACCTGCAAGAGAAGATCAGCCATCGATTCGGCGTTGATGATGTGCCGGAATCGTTCCTCTTCCTGCCCGAGGCATGCGGCGGCCTAGGTCTGACCAATCCTTTTATTTCTTTCTTCTTGACCAGAAAGGATCTCGAGAAGAATCCACGGCAGTTGATCAAAGACTTCCAGAAACAAGAGAAGAAAGATTATTTGGACGCAAAGAACGCCTATGCTAAGCTATCCGAGACACAGAGACACGACCGTTTCGTCAGTGCATTCGGCTCTCCGCCGACCAACACCGCCATACTCTCTGAACCATTTCCACCATTCTCTACGCTGACAGACATTCGGCTCAACCACTCTGTGAAACTATGGCGAGCATACGAGAAACTAATGCAAACACCCCAGACGCAAGGGGTTGAGCTCTCACAGGAAAACGCTTACTTGTTCAACGAACTGAAAGAGTCTCACGGGCTAAGCTACGAGCACATGACTGAGGAAAAGTGGCTTATGAACTTGTATGCCGATGAATTGAGAGGCAAATTTGGGAGCTTGAGCATTGTTGACAAAAACATGCTTCCAGAAGGGACGATGAAGATGATCCGAGAAAGAAGAAAACCGTGGCAGTTGATCCATTGGGATTGATTTGTTGGAATAACTACATAGGTAGCAACTGCGTCGCCTACTTCGCATAATAGGCTGAACTGAGTATTTAATTCGAATAGTGCATTCAAGAGATATCCAACCCATCGCATTTATTAGCATGCCCAAAGTTGCTTTCAATGCCCTAACTACATACATGTACATGTACACATGCGTATGTATTGATGTACCGCTATTGCCCAACCTTCCTAATTGGGTAGGTCAGAGGGCCAAAACTGTTGATCGCGGTGGTGAAAAGCGAAAATTTGCTGTTGCTCAGCCTTCTTGATTAAGTAAGTAAGGGTTAAAGCCCATCGATTACTATAGCGAAAGAGAATTCTCGCTTTCACCAGGGTGATCGACAGCTTTCACTCTTACTTAGTTAAGAAGTTTGAGCAACAGCGAAATCTCTCTTTCACTACAGTAATCGACAGATTCTGCTCTTACCTAACTAGGAAGCTTGAGTAACAGCGAATTCTCTCTTTGACTACAGTAATCGACAGCTTTCGTTCTTACCTAATTGGGAAGCTTAAGTGACAGCGAATTCTCTCTTTCACTACCGCAATCAACAGCTTCTTCTCAGACTTACTGAATTAGGAAGGTTGAATAACAGCAAATTCTTGCTTTCACTCTTAATGAATCGAGTAACAGCGAATTCTCTCTTTCACTACTGCAATCAACAGTGTCTCCCCAGACTTACCCAATGAGGAAGGTTAGCTGACAGCGATTTCTCGCTTTCACCACAGCAATCGACGAGCCTTACTCTTACTTACCCAATTAAGAAGGTTCACCCCTCCCGACCTTCTTTGGCCCCAATGCAGCAGGTTTCCAACGAATTCCGGAACGTACATTGAAAATTGAAATTCCATCTCTAGATTCTCGATTCTGGACTCCATTTCCCCCATTCTGCCAGTTTGGTTGATAGCTCATGGACTGTCTTCTTATTACCTACTACGCTCTAGTCCAGGCGGGTCTTTTTTCACCATACGCATAACTAGGCCATCCAATGGTTTGTTCAACATGTTTGCCGTGAATGCCGTAGCAGTTTACCCGCAATATATAGTGCAGTACTTCCTTACAGAAACAATGCATCTCGTATTCGTATTTCGTGGGCTACCGTCGCATTTGGTAAAAAGTCAACATCGGTATAGTCCTTGGACTCCGAGACTGCAAGGCGAGCATAAAGATACTGCTCAACAACGCTCCGTTCTCGTGTATTGTATGCTACAATGCGATGAGACATTCGCCATGGACTGAAATGTATGGTTATTCAATTCCCGGACAAAAATAGATCTCGATGTACGGGATACTTAAACTTCTTTGAACCCGGCACCCATATTCTCATTGCTCTAACTTTCGGTACCACCCCGTAGAAGTGCTCTTCCTACCAACCATGACAGGATACCAATTCATCCAGAGAGCATCACTCTTCTTGGCGATAGCTATCTCGAATCTCGTCTCATCAACACCACTTCCAGACATCGCCGGAAGAGATGATTGGATCCCCGGTCCCTACGCCTTGCGCCTAGTGTCGTAAGTCATCCCAAGCACACCAAAACGTACTGCGTTTTTCCCTACTCTAATTATACCTAGAAACCACCCAAACCTCACAAACGCATTCCTCAATAGAGAAAGAAGGTTCCAAGAGAACCCCGCCCTAAACAGAATACAACCAATTTGGGGAGGCCCATCGTATTTCCAGAGCCTGCAACCAAACGCGACAGATAACCTCTACGAGAGAGGAGGCGCCATCTTTCTAGACGAGCGCCGCAATAATACAGACTCGATGCAGCTTATTATGATGTACATCAAACTCAATAACCAACGGGAGGTCCCGTACTTGAGCTGGAGCTGGGAATACGGGCCCGGTGTGACGCACCTTTGGCCCGGGAACTACTACGTGTCCTGGGGTGGATTCCAATTTGTCAAGCAAAGCGATTCCGGAAGAACGTTCATGTTCGTAGGGAATGGTACTGATCCGAAGTGGAGGTGGGCGGCGCAATACCTCCGCAATTATCGTGAATGGGATATGGTGAATTGGAATTGTGAGTCCGCTTGTGCGCGCGTGTGCTGTTGAATGCGTTTGAGAGTGTGCTGATTTCATCATAGCGACCGATCCCAGCGCGCCGCTTCCCGAAGATTGGGAGTTTGTTAATGTTGAGGTGGTCCCGTTTGAGCAGCTGGAATGAACAATTGAAAAGTGTCACACTATCGGTATCAGCAATCTTGCTTGAGCATGCGTAATGAACTCATTATCTATTCCCTATATTCGTCGACGTGTATATACAGATCCATGTCGATACAAAAGTCTGGGAATAGCCTGTTGATACTTCGGATCTGCTGGTGCTTCATGTACCTGTATTCTGCGTCACTTTGTCCAGATTATTGCACCGGAACCTCGGTTGATCAAGTCAGTGCGGATGTGAGCGTGTAACCACAACCTATTCATTATCGCGATGATCTCACATCATTAAATGCCCCCGTCTGCTTATTTATCTGCCCGAGTATGAACTCTATGAAGTGGCAGTCATCTTATGAACATAAAGTTCTTCACCCGTCCAAGGCTATTATTTTAGAGATTATAAATTAAGTACTAGTTTCGCTACATCCCCTCTCTTAATTCTACTTATAACTCTACGCCCCACTTAGCCACTTGGAGTGTAAAACCCCTCAATGGTCAACGTAACATCATCAAAGAAGACAGACCTTACTTGCCCCGAAGCCTGCGCACAACTACCCACAATGGTCAAGACTGCAGAAGTCACGCCAGCCACCGGATAGTAAACCCCTGTTCTCAGCGCATACGAAGTCCCCAACACCGAATTTGCGGCGACAATGGATGTAGAGCCCAAGGTTGCCCGTACTACACAGTTATTGGAGACATTGGATTTTGCGTAATAGTTAAGGCGATATACGGCACCGGGATAGAGGGTGACTGTTTGTGATAGAGAGTACATTTGGTCAAAAGGTAGAGATGTGGAGAACATACTAGATGCAGCTGGTTAGTGATGGATATGGAGTCCAAAGGGGTAGGGAGGACGTACAGTGCGCGAGAGCCTGAGTTTTGGTTTCCGTTGACGTATTGGAATGCGCCCATTCCTCCGTTAAGGCTCCAGGCTTCTGAAGTCTCGAACCCAGGATTGACAACGGCTTGTGTTACAGAGGGGTTTGGAGGTGCGCAGGACGCAATTGTTGTTGTGGAGGTGACTGTGCTGGTGATAGGTGCTGGGGTTTCCCCTGGTATGGTAACTGTAATGGAAATGTCGTCACCGGGCAGCGTGACTGTGGTCAATCTAGTGACAGGAGCTGGCGTTTCGCCTGGGATGGTGATTGTAATAGGAATATCTTCTCCGGGCAACGTGACTGCGGTTGTTGCCGTAATGGTGATTGTACTGATGATTGGTGATGGAGTTTCACCGGGAACGGTAACTGTAATAGAAATCTCGTCCCCAGGAATTGTCAATGAAGTTGTTGTCGTGGCGGTAAGTGTGCTAGTAATAGGTGCTGGAGTCTCCCCAGGCACAGTTACTGTAATCACGCTCTCATCTCCAGGAAGTGTGACCGTAGTTGTAGTTGTAGTCGTAGTCGGAACAGGAATATCTTGTCCAGAAAGCGTTATAGTAGCAGGAATTGTGACCGTAGTCTTATCAACTATGGTACTTGTAATTACAGCAGTTGCATTGTTGCCAGCCAGAGTCAAAGTTGTTGTCTGGATGATGGTAGAAGCTGATCCCTGTCCGGTTATAGTGATCGTAGGTGTGAACGCGCAGCTTGGTACAGTCTTTGGGATGTTCATTAGTACGTATAATTTGCCGGATCGAAACTTATAAACACACCAAAGTGACGGGCTCACAAGACTGCGGAGCAGAGGTAGGTGCTGAAGAGGACAAGGAAGACGGCGCAGTAGAAGAAGTGCGAGTCGACGTTAAGAGAGTTGATAAGGAAGTAGGTTGTTTGGTGCTTGATGAAGCTAAACTGGAACAAGACCCGAAAAGAGGGTTGCAGCCTGTTCCACAGCAATCTTTGGAACTTCCGCACCACCCATCCTTACTTTATGGGACTCAATTAGCAATGTATGCTTGAAACGGGATCAGACGAGTGACTTACTTGCAACAGCTTCCGAATGAAGAACCAAGGCACGTGTATCCCGTGGAGCCCCCGCAACTCCCGTCCTTTGATACTTCCAGGGTTGTATAAGTCTTGCCAGTTTCCAATGCGTAGACGGCGGGAAGTGCCGCTAAGACCAAAAACCCGAAACGCATATTGACGATTCAGAACTAAATGAATGTATTACCTTCGGAGTTGAAGACAGAAAGACAAAGAAAAGGGAAATGAGTGTGGGTGGTGAATTTCAGAACAAGCAGCAACGCACTTTATTAAAGCCATGCTCGCTACATAGGAATACGAGATGCAGCTCACACGTGGGCTTTACTAGGGTAGTTCAAGACCACAGAAGCCAGACAGCAAGCCACAAGTCTAGGGGTATCAACATGCCTAACCAGAAACCTGGGTTCTGTAATTTCATCACGAGAGCGCGTTGCTACTTTGGTCAAGCGAAGTTGGCGGAGCCGCCGACGAGGTCCTGAACTGAGTTCAATGTATACAAGCTAGAATCGCTTAGAAGATCTAGAATTGACGCCACCTACTTTGACACCACCCTAATTGCGCCAACCGTAACCCTCCCTTTACTGGATCAAGTCATGTTAAACAACTCATTGCACTATACGCCGTACCGAGCAAATAATGCCCACCTTACTGGGTGGATTTAACCCTGCTGTCGCCTAGGCAAAACAAGCGTCAACATCCACATCAGTGTGGTACATACAGGCCGTATGCAATAGAATATCATAGGGGTAGATCGATATGAAGGTAGAAAGAGCAATACCTGGAGAAAAAAAGTATATTTTTCATCATCGCCATGTCATCACTCTCTATATATCAGTCGATCGAGTTGTCTAATCGTCCCACGCTCCTCAATCAGTTGCTGAATACACCCGCGCCCATGCGCACACAATACCGTACAATCAACGACAACGCTCAAGCTTCTTCACCGTAGTGTCTAAGTTGGCTCGGACCAATCGACCTGCTCCGTCACGGGACCAGCACCAGCTGTGTACGACACCTTGAGTCGAAGTCGTAACCTAGCGGGAGGAGGCTAATACAATTCCAGTTAGCATATGATTCTTTTTCGTTTAAAGGTTTCAATAGACATCGCAGAGTACCATGAGAAGAAGGAAAATATCGGATGGGGAAAAGGGAATGTACTAACCCCATTGACACCGGTAACCCTCATCTGCTGCGTAGCATCCTGCCCACCATCGAGCTCGCTTGCACTGATGGGTTGCAGTTGCAGTTTTTGGCTCTTGGGCACGGCAGCTTGCAGGTTGACGGCAGATAGTTGCGAGAAGTCGCTTGTGTTACGGAAGCGGGCAAGTAGCTGAACTGCGTTGGCATCACGCTTCAACTGGAAGGTGATTTGCAGATCGTTCTTGTTATAGACAGGGTGAGCGGGAGGTCCAGACGCAGTGGGTGGGGGAGCGGAGCTTGGTGGCGGTGATGCGGGCGTTAGGCCACCAAGAATATCGAAGGACGCAGACGTATTGTGAGGCTGTGATTGGGGTGCGGCTGGTGCAGGGGAAGCGGATGGTCCTGAGTTGAAGAGGTCCATAATATTAGCGACATTGGATGGTGCGGGCGAGGAGGTCTGGGGTGGCGGGGATGCGGCGGAGGGTCCACCACCTCCGAGAATATCTGCAAGCAGGTCGGAGCTCTGTGGTTGGCCATTGGTGGAGCCGTTGGCATCGCCAGGTACACCCGAATCGCCCATGAGATCGAGAAGAAGATCTTCCGTTGCTGCTTGTGCTGGTTTCTTCTTTGGAAGTATCTTCGATTGCCGTTTCTTGGTTGTAGCCTCTCCGAGCACGCGCTGTTCCTCCCGAATCTCCGGTGCGGGCATCTTCTCCAGCACTCCTCTGCGGACCTGATCAAAGGAGAACATGTTGATGTACTCCACGGATCGTTGTTGAACCTCGATGTCAAGATTAGTGCCGAATCGCTGCAAAAGTCGTCGCAAGCGCTCGACCTGTGCAGGCTCCGTAAGCCGAGTGGTGAGTTTCATTGATGCCGTCACAATATACTGTGTCACAATGAGCCCGGCATAGCTACTGTTGAGCAGATTGTCGAAAAGGTCAACGATGTCGCTCTCCTTGACTTCTTTAACCAGCTCCTCTTCCTCATATTGCCCTCCTCTTAACAAAGCATCGCCATATTCTCCAATGACCCACGAACCAGCTTGGGTCAATCCTTCTTGAGTGATGTCTTCTTTCAATGCAGCGTAGAGTTTCTGTACAGAATATGTTTGCAGGTCTGGGGTAGTGGCGATGAGTCGAACGAATGATGATAAGATCTGCTCCTTGACGTAATTTCCAGCCTACACATGTCAGCTTAACCAACTCACTCAAAATCATTGGCTGGACTCACAAGTTTCAGAACGCGAAGCATGGTGTCAACATGCCAGCGCTTGTTTGGTGCGAACCGATCAGCGGCAATGCCAATCTGTGAGGTCATGACGGGCTTGAATTCATTGTCTGCGACTTCAAGGAAAGCGAGTAATTCCCGTATCAGGACCCGGACATTGCTGGCGTTGATGAGAGTAAAACTGAGGTCCAGAGCTCGGCGTCTAATACTAATATCCGGATCCCGCAGACAGTCTAGAATGGTATTTCTGTGCCTTTGTACGGCATTGGGCTCAATCGCGACAACTTTGATAAGCGTGTTCAAAGCAACGTAGCGAATGTTGTTATCCCTGTTGGAAAGGAATTTTCCAAGGATGTTGACACCTAGTACTCGCAGCCCAGAATCGGCTTCGATGTCGAGAATAGTGAGCACAGCTTCGTAAAGAATCGAGTTTCCCACATTCTTCGAAGACTCCGTATTGGTTGCAACCTGAAACAATTAGTACCTTCAGTCGATTTGAATGATGTAATTGCCATACCTGAGCCAAAATGTCATTGATCTGCTCGCTGACCTGTGCATCCCCTCGCGCTAGGACACGGATCAACTGCAACAATTTCACTTGCAAGAAAGGGTCCGTGATTCCTTGTACATCGTGTTCAGGGGCATAGCCAGATGCAGAAAGTCCCTTGAGTATCTTCACCAGACTTCCGACCATGGGACGGAACATGTCTCTTATGCCATTTTCATCGTCCTCCTGCTCGTCTGCTTCGCAAAGACTTATCACCAAAACCAGACCACTTATGAGTACACCGTGATTGCGATCCTGAAGAAGCAATTTCGACTTCTCCAGAAAGTGCTCCTGCAGGTCGGGCACTTTACGACATATCCTCATAGCGCAGAGAGCCGCTTTCCGCCGTATGTATGGATTCGCGCTGGACAATATTGTCTCAACTTCGGGGAAGAGATCTCGAGCCATTTCTACAGATGCAATATTTCCAAGCGTGCATAGGGCCAAGCCGACGATGTACTGGTTGGGGTGGTTCAGGTCGCTGGTGAAGTCCGTCAGCATGATGCACGCAAGCGTCCATGATTGTTTGTACAAACGAACTTTTTGAGCGAGTTGGTCACCAGAGTCAGGACTTCCTGATTCTCATCCAAAAGCAACATAGTACCTAGATAACCTAGACGCTTGTCGGCGAAGCGCGGAGAAGCCAGCAGTTTCAGACATTCGATCTGGCCAAAATGTGTCCTCTCGCCGAGGGTGAATAGGTAGAGAAGTTTGGCAACATTGTTTCGCCTGGGATATTATAAGCTCTTGCGTGATGCGTATCGCGAGAATGAGCGGGTACGGACCTCACTCCAGAGTCGTGGCTTTCTTCCCTGAAGCTTGCGCGAATGGCGGCGCTCTCTTTTTGCACGACGGCACGCTCGTCGGCAATTGTTTTTGCGGCACGCACATTGCGAATGAATTGCTTTACTGGCAACAATGTCAGTAGCAGGCTCCAGGTGGTAGTTTGCTGCTTGGCGTACAGGAAGTCATGGTACGGCGGCCTCCAGGACCCCACGGGGGGGAAGGGAGGGGGTTACGGCGGGGTGAAAGGGCGGCAGCAACGGTAGCCGGGAATTGAAAGAGTGCTCGTTGGAGGGATCGCGGAGGGTCGGAGGACTAATCGTCGAGGTGGTGATTTAGGGATATGGAGTTATTGAAAGCTGGCCGGCTACCTAGAGCGACGTGATAGGGCCGTAATAGACACTCTACCAATTAGATGCGGTTCGAGAGCGGGGAAACTGTCGGCCCGTCCGAACCCTCGAAAAAGCTCAGGTGGGTTGCTGACATAACCGCACCCTTAAACTGTACTTGTACATGGAAGGGGTAGTATCTCTGTGTTCAATTCCTACATGCATTAAGAGCAGGGAAAACGGACTTTGTTTGAATGCTGAAAACAATAAACGCGTTTCAAGGTAAACCGGACTCCACAAACAAAAGCTCGTAACTACTTCTCTTTTTGTGTACTCTCGCTCTTCCTTCACCCCTCCCTTCGCGAGCACAACCACCTCCGTAACCTCCGCGCCTCGGCAGCTTCGGCAGCAGGATGTAGCGTCATCGTCATCGCTCGCTCGCTATGTGTTCATTCGTCCGTATCCTGTATACGCGGGTCTGTTTCGGTCCATCGTCAATGCTCATGGGACCTCTCTTTTGGTGCAGAACGTTATAGCCCCCTCTGACGGACCAACCACGGTACATGGTGATGCCCAGCGTAGTGTGCGTGAATGCGACCGACTGGGATGTGGGACTGATCCTCGCCTGGGCTGACTCCATAGCACTTACACCCTTGATCCTTAAATCAACTCTGCCTACTTTTCCCCCTCTATCTCTCTCACTCTCCCTTTGAAACCTCACCATGCTCAACTGTGTTGCTTTATGATGGCCGAATCAACCTCCTTTGAACCTTCGCCCCTTGGCGGGAACGGTGATGCCGAATACCATCAGCCGCGCCCGCGCAAACCCACGAGAATCGATCTCCTGAAACCTCAACTCAGCGAGGAAACTATCGTGAACCGCCTCAAGGAAACATCATCGGGCCTATCTAGGTACTGCCACCTGCTGCCGCAAATACACACTCAACAACTGACGCCCGAATAGTGGCCGCACCACCCCCATACCAGAAAATGCGCCCCCTTCCGTCAAGGCCTCGTCGTCTGCGCGACGCCAGATTCGAGCCCAGCAGCGCCAGCGCATATTCCCCACCATCGAATATGTCGACCGAGTGTCCCACTTCGATCCCTCGAGCGACTACAGAGATTTCCGCGGCTTCTTCGTGTTGTTCTGGATCGGTCTCGCCATCATGGTCATCACTACCATGCTGCGCAACTTGAAGGAAAATGGATATCCGCTGTTCATTCGGCAATGGGAACTCTTCACCGAGAAGGTCTGGGAGTTGGCCATCTGCGACGGGGCCATGGTCGCTTCGACCGCTGTGTCGCTTGGGTTGCACAAGGCCATCAACCAAAAGTACTTCCGCTGGAGCGGGGTAGGCATGGCTATACAGAGTTTATATCAGGCTCTATGGCTGCTGTTCTGGGTCACATACCCCTTCATACGCGATTGGAGCTGGACTGCCCAGGTCTTCTTTACACTGCATCTTCTGGCCATTTTCATGAAGATGCACTCTTATGCCTTCTACAACGGACATTTGAGCGAGACGCTGCGACGCTTGAACGATCTGGATAACCCCAACAACGCATCCAAAGAAGAAGCGTACCGGTATCCCCACGCGCGAACTCATCTACATGAAATCCCACAGTCTCCATCTCACGAAAAGACTGAGGACTCGGAGAAAGTCAAACTGGCGCAGCTCCGAGATGATTTGGCATACGAGCTGGCCTCCCCTCTGGGACGGGTCTCATACCCCGAGAACCTCACTGTCTACAACTACGTGGACTATGTCTTCTGCCCGACACTCTGTTACGAACTCGAGTACCCACGGACGGCGTCGGTGCGTTACATGGAGGTGCTGTACAAGACGTTGGCCGTGTTCGGCTGCATTTTCCTTTTGACCGTCTCCACTGAAGAATTCATCCTGCCCGTGCTGGATGAGTCCGCCATCAGACTCAACCAAACCAACAGCATCTTGGACTTTATTCTCATTCTTAGCGAGACAATCGGGCAACTCTTGTTCCCCTTTATGCTCGCATTCCTTCTCGTCTTCCTCGTCATCTTCGAATACATCCTCGGAGCTTTCGCCGAAATCACACGTAAGTACCCTAAATATCAAACTTCGTGATGATCACTCGTAACGACCGGCTAACCACACTTTGGCTCAATCTAGGCTTCGCAGACCGACAATTCTACGCGGACTGGTGGAACAGCTGCGACTGGCTCGAGTTTTCGCGCGAGTGGAACAAACCCGTGCATCACTTTTTCCGACGGCATGTGTACTCTGCGTCGCGGGGCCACATGTCACGGCCGCTGGCAACGACGATTACCTTCTTCATCAGCGCTTTGGCGCACGAGCTCGTCATGGGCTGCATCACGCGCAAGTTCCGCGGCTATGGCTTCATCGCTATGATGCTGCAAATGCCCATCGTCATGGTCCAGCGCTCCAAGTGGGTCCGCGGTCGCACGCTTCTGAATAATGTGCTGTTTTGGTGCTCTATGATTCTGGGGCTTGCCATGGTAGGTTGGAAGATGTTTCTTGGTAATTGTGTGAGATTGTTGCTGACTTTTGTGTGTAGATGTGTGCGCTATATGTGCTTGTGTGAGGCAACACTTGATGTCTTGCCGCGTACATATTTTGGAAAGGAAGATGACACCAGTCCATGCGACTACTCGATACGATGTGAAGGAAGAAATTTACCAATGGTGGACGATACCCCCCTCCTCTGAATTACAGCGTGTAGTTATACAAATAGAAGTTAGTCTGCCAATAATTTTCAACCAATAGCCTACAGAAGTCAAGTTGTGTAGTTCGGTCTTTTTTTCTCTCGACTCCTTGATGGGTTGCTATAAACAGACACAATCGTGTTGTACATATATGTACTAGCAGTTAGTAGTGACGTCGATTGTTGTCCGCTATCCGTTCCCACAGGCGTCTTCGTGATCATCAGGGGAGTTGGGCGCGGGATCCGGCACAGAGCCGCCCAGAGTGGGATAGGGCAGGGATGCGCGGGGTATGACGTTGGGGTAACATGGCATTCTATTCTCCCATTGTATCATTGTGTTCGCATCCAGCTAGCCTTGCCAAACTTGCTGTTTACTTGCTTGCTTACCGGCCTTAGCTATGCGTGTCATGAAGTGTCTCGATACTTACCTAGATAGGTACATATTGCGACTCACTCCTTTCTTCTCTGCACGAGCCCCAGCGACAACAGACAATACATGTAGTGTTCAATCCGAGTGCTGCCGACGCCCTTTCTGACTACATCGTCTTGACCGACTCTCATCCGCAAAGCAGTCGCACTCTCATTTCCTCTATTCCTTACGGCCGAATCTGCATTCTCACACCGTATAAATACATACTGCATATAACACACATACATAACTAAGCGTTTGCGCCGGTCTGCTGCAGCCCCCCTCGAAGCTACACCACAAAGCCATGTCGGAACTGCACAAGGCGCTAGAGCAGCTCCGTCCCAAGGAATACAGCGACATCCCGCAGGACAGCCTCCCAACGCTCCTCTCCACCATCTTCTCCAAAGCAGAATACATTGCCAACTCGGTCCCTCCCCCGCCCAATGGCACCCCCTGCGATTCCGCGCGTCGCACGCGCACCGATCCTACGCCTGCGACCGGCGCGGCCGACCTCACCCTCTCGGAGGTGCGCCGGCCGGAATCGACGTCCAAGGGGATGAAGGACCTGCACAAAGCATGGGGAAAACCACTGAAGCTTGGGGCTAAAGAGGCTGCGACGGGAATCAATGTGTACAAGATGGCAGGGAACGACCGGCATGGTGCGTGGTTTGCGCGGACGAGCGTGCACGAGGGTTTAGGATTTGCGAAATGGAAGAGAGCGATGATGCGAGAGTTTCCCGAGAGTCTGGCAGTACAGGGCGGGCCTGGGGAAGGAAATGTGCGGGGGATTGGCGGTGATCAGAGGCTGGAGGATATCACAGTCGATGGGATTGGGCAGATGCAAGGTACGGTTCCCCTACATTTGCAGTGTTTGTTCTGTGAACGATGGAGCAGGATGATAACTTATATACAGTCTACCAGCTTTCGGCCCAGTTCCCTGGCCCCACGGCCCCGAGGGAGTTCATTACTCTACTACTGACCTCGGATGGCTGTCTCGGTGAAGCCTCCAAAGTCAACGGTGTCATACCGCGGCATTTCATGGTCGTCTCAATCCCCGTTTCGCATCCTGAAGCACCCACTCGCGCGGGGATGGTGCGGGGCTCCTATGAGTCCGTGGAGATGATAAGAGAGATACCGCTGCCGTCCGCCAAATCCCCAGCTTCCGCATCCACATCGGATCTTCTGAAGCAGGACAAGAGAAAGTCGAGAGACCGTGGCGGTACGATCGGCTTCGCAGAATCGCGAGGTCCAGACGCAAAAGGCGAAAACATCGACCGGGGAACCGATTCGAGCGGCGGCGATGACCCAGAGACGAATCCTGTCGAGTGGACCATGATCACACGAAGTGACCCAGGAGGCGGTATCCCGCGATTCATGGTGGAACGAGGTACACCTGGAAGTATCGTGCAAGACGCAGGCAAGTTTCTTGACTGGGCATGCGCACACGATGATCTAGCCGACCAAGTGATCTCCCAAGAACCCGCCACTGCTGGAAGCGCGAGACCAAGCATGGACGCAGGTCGAAGCTACTCGGTGACAAACGCGAATGGGCATCTGGCAGGCGTGGGAACCAGCATCGCAGACCGACCGGACCCCTCAACTTTCCGACGCCCATCACAAAGGTCCACCGTTGACGACACACAAGAAGAGCCCGGTATCCTTCAAACCGCTGCCGAAACCCTATCTTCCTACGTCCCAGACGCCATCAACCCAACCCTCCATCACCGCTCCTCCTTCAGCTCCACGGCCTCATCTCTCGACTCCTTCGCCTCAGCCGAACAATACACAACCGCACCCCAAGGCCTTCCTCTGGACGACACGATCCCCACCCCATCCACAACCTCCGAACACCTTCCCGAAGATACTTCCACCGCACACCCAACAACAAGCACAGACGCAAACACGCTCGCAGCCCTTGCAGCACCAACAAAGGAACTCCAGAAAATCGAGCAAAAGCGCCAGCAACTGCACTCGCGCCTCGAAGCCGCACGCTCCAAACAAGCCTCTGAAACCTCCGTAGCGGCCTCTTCCAAAACAGCAAAAGATCTCGAAAAAGTAACAGAGAAACATACACGGAACCGTCTCAAGCAGGAAGAAAAGTTTGCGCGTGAGGTGCAGAAACTGGAACAGCGGCGCGAGCGCGAGACGAAAAAGTTGCTGGCGCGCCAGCAAAAGGAGAAGGAGAAGAACGAGTTGATTAAAGTGACTAGAGAGAGGGATGAGTGGAAGGAAAAGGCGGACAAGGCGGAAAAGGAAGGGGAGCTGTTGAGAAGTCAGATTGGCGGGTTGCAGAGGGAGAATACTATGCTGGCGGCGCGGTTGGGTAAGACGGACGTTGGGAGGGAGGTTCTGAGGCGGGTGAGGGAAGAATTGGCCGAGGAGGGGGACGTTGGTGGTGGTGGGAGGAAACGGGCGGGGAGTAGGAGCTCTGGAGGCAGCGGTGGGAAGAAGAGTGGGGAAGGGATCAAGGAAGCGGCTTAATTTTCTTTTTCTTTTCTTGCTTATTCCCTGATCTTTTTTGTTGTATGCTCTCTGGTTCTTTGTTTTCTGCTTATATTTTCTTTCCTATATATCCTGCCTATTGTTTGTGCCATCATTCCCAGTATCGATTTCCTTTGCTTCTCTACCTTGGTACCTCCTTTGCTATTTCACCGCATCACACTCTCATAACCGACTCATCACGCAAGTTTTTTTTTTTTTTTTGAAAACGAAAGGTACTCCCACTGAGTGCGGTGAGGTAGCAATGGACAAGAAGAACTATTAGTCCGATTCCGTAGTTTACCAGCATCGTCAAATACAGAGCAAGTCTTCCACTTGATATCCCTCTGACTGCAAAGTCCTCTGTTGCAAAAATGACATGACTTGTATGGTAAACCATCATCTCAGGAGAATGGAAACAATGATTACATATATCCATCCCCCCCCCCCAAAAAAAAGGATATCGATGCGATCTATAAACCCTCGAGAGGGGCTGACGCTGCGAAGAGCAAGTAAGTAGGACGACAGGCAAACGGAAAAGGGGGAAAAGGAATGGGAACAGGACATCTAATATAACTGTCTATCTCGTTCGATCTATCCAGTGCCAATTCCCAGTTAATATTTTCTTCCTGCTCTAACCTGCTACTCCCCGTCTATCTATATGCTTATACCCTACCTAGTGGTGCTCTACGGCATCATGTATTTCCACACGTATTGTTTAGTGTTTAATTTTTCGTCCATCTAACCCATATTCCACCCTCCTGTTTCTCCCCCATCCCCCCTTCTTACCATTTCTCCCCTCTCCAACCACTCACGCGCTAGTCATCTCATACGCTTCCTTCGCCCAATTCGCAATTTTCTCGCTGTCCTCGGGCTTAACAGGGTAATGATGACCGATATCTAAAGTCAAGACCTCGCTTTTCCCTTGCTCGACCTCGAAGCAAGCATCGATGAGCAGTTTGCCCGCCCACGTCCATTCATCGTGCGTGCCGAGGACGTGCAGCGTCGGGGCCGTGATTTTGGGGTACGTAAATGGTGCTGGTTTGCTCGATGTGGATGTGGATGCTGGATCCGATGAAGAAGATGAAGAGGAAGAGGAGGGAAGAAGTGGGACGAGACCGGCAGGAACGAGCGGCGGAGGGAAAGACCCACAGACGGATAAGAAGAAGTGGAAGTCTTGCAACCAGCCGTATTTTGCCTTCAGGCCTTGCACTTCCTCGTCTGATGATGATGATGAAGACGAAGCGGCGGAGGCAGATTCGCCAAAAAGCAATTCCCGTCCCATCATCAGCCCCGCCGAAACCCGAGTCCCCTGGCTAAACCCCACAAGGCCTACAACCTTCCCGCCTTTCCCTTTTACTTCCTCTACGGCTCCCTTGATTAGTTCCTCGACTTCAGGCGGCATCTCAATGTTGCTGGTTCCGGCTTTCATTTGCTCGCTCGTGATGTTGAGGTACGTGGATGGGAGCCATCGGTAGTAAGGGCCGCAGCCTTCGAAGAAAGGGAGGACGCCTGGGCCTGCGGCGCATGGGTAGGGCGCGGTGAGGTGGTGGAGGTTGAAGTGCGGTTTGAGGAGGCGGGTTAGACGCGCGAGTTGGATGGTGTGGATCAGCGACGAGGAGCCGGAGCCGTGGAGAGTGAGGAGGGTTGGGAGGGGTGTGGCTGATGAAGCCATTTTTTGGGATTGGTGGTTGGAGACTGGATGGTAGTTGATGACGTGATTGCTGGTGTAGTGATGCTGCGGTGGTGTGCTCCTTTTATTTTCTGTTCTTATTTTTCGAGGACGATGCCTATGGTAGTTTTGGTAATTCTCCTCAAACTCTTGGATGTCGTGTAGTGTCGAGGGTTATGCTTCAAGTCGTAAACGCAGAGTTGTTGTGACCGCTAGATGCTGAAATTCACAGTCGCTCGTTTGCTTTTATCCTTCTCTTCACTCACACTCAAATTCCCCGGAAGTTGTCTCTTCCTATCTTTCTCTCCTCTTTTCCGTGAAAGTAGAACGTCCCACAACTTCTGAGATACCCCACTAACGACGCCTGTGAAATCAAGGACAGTGCGATCACGAAACTCGAAGCGTGCGCCCTTGTATATTAATAGACCAGATTGAGACAGCTAGAACGACGCGTTGCAGCAGAGATGCAGCAATCAATGAGTGGTTGCGAGAAAAGAGAGTTCGTCTGTTGTGGTTCGGTCACCGACTTGCAGGACATTTTGACCCCACCATCCAAATTCCCCGTAGCACCCGCTCTCACCAGTTGGACCCTTCTTCTCCAATAGTTCCCTTATGTAAGCTACATTCAACATATCAACGACTACATACATCTCACAGTGTCAATTTCGAACAAAACGCAACAGTCACAACGTAGATCACGATCAAAACGGTTCTTGTATGTGATGGCAGGGAAATACGGCGGCTCGTTATTGTAAACCGGGGAGAGAAAAACTATTTAAGCTCACTGACTGCAATAGCTCGCCAGAGAGGAGCCAAAAAGCACACAAGAAAAGAGCAGAGATGAGAACACCAACAGGTATAACAGCCCTTGTGAAGAAAAAAAAAAAGAAGAAGCAGAAGAAAGGAATAGATACTACATAGGAAACAAACGAACTGGAACAACCTGCACCTGTACTGGTGTACCCTGAATGATTGCCTCGTTGGACCCTACACGCCTCAAACGCCTCCTTCCCAATTGTCGTAACGCATCAATCCGCGAGAGGCAAGCCTCTATTCGCGGCCCTCTTGCACAGCCCGCAGAACGGGGTACAGGTCCCTCGCATCGTCACTCATGCGGCGTTCCTGCTCAGTCTCCTTTTCTTCGTCGTCCGAAGAATAGTCGTGAGCCTCAAGACGGTCCTTCAAGTACGCACGGAGCCTCTCGATAGTCCTAATGTTCTCAACCCACGCTTGTGAGTTCTCGGGCTGCTCTGTCGATGTGGACGACACCTGGCTTGGTGATCGTATCGACAAGGATGGGTCGACCTTGGGGCTGTGGATGTTGAGATTGTCTACATCGTGATGCAGACTGTCTGGGTTCTTGGGAGAACCAGAGTCGGAAGTTTCCATCTCGTCACGTGGGCTTCGGTCGGGCGCAGCCTTTTGCAAAAGGTTGGCAGGACGCCTGCGGCCATCAATGTCATAAGCCGAAGCAAGGCCCGAAGACGGTGCAGCGGCAGACATGTCAGACATGGCGCTAACAGAGGGGAGAGTCGGATACATGCTGCCCATTGAGGTTCTCGTGGTGGGAGAAATGGTGCTCTGGGAATGGCCGCCTGGAGAGTGCTGGGAGTTGTAGGACAGAACGCTGGAGGCAGGAGTCAAGGCGGGAGTGTCGATGCTGCTTGAAGTAACAGCATTGACGTGAGATGAGTGGGGGTGGGTGGAGCCAAAAGAGGGAGGAGAGTGGCTAGACCGGTAAGCAGAGTTGGTGGGAATGGAGTGCACACCAGCTTGCTGTACACCGGCGGCAGCAGCATGATTGGGGTTCTCGTACACGGTGCTCTGCAGCTGCTCGAGGAAAGAGTCGATGTTCAAAAGATCGCTCTTGGTACGAAGGTTGGGCAGGGGCAAAGAGTAGGGGTGCATGGGTGGGTGCGAAGCCTGAGCGACCATGGTGCCGCCTCCCTGACCGTACTCGGACATGCCACCATGTTGGTAGCCGCCGCCGCCAATGACGGGCAACTGGACGCCCTGGAGACCCATGAGTCTCTGGCCAACGTCGTAGTAGGTGTTGGGGTCGATGGAACGGCGCTTGGCATCTCCAAGAAACTCATTGAGGGCATCGTAGACAGCGCGCTTGCGTATCTCATACGAATCATGATTCATCTGCTGGCCGGGGTTGACGGCATAGTAGACAGGTCCGTAGGCAGAGTTCTGGGGAGGGCCGCCGTAGAAACCAGCCGGGGCACCGCCAGGGTGCTGTTGGTAGCCGCCGTTGTGGCCCATGGAGCCATCCGGGTATTGGTATCCACTTGCTGTAGCGGCGAGGGCCTGCAAGTCAGCGACCACTGTGATTACAGGTTAGAATAAGAGAAGAAAAAGAGAGTGGCTTAATGTGAGACTTGGAAAGACTTACGTTTACCGCCTTGGCCAGGGTAGCCAGAGCCGCCGTGGGGACCACCGCGGTTGGGTTCAGGAGATCGCAGGAGCACAGAGTCGTCGGCGTGGGTCTTGACGTGCTTCTTGAGATCCTGCGGACGCTTGAAGGCTTTGCCGCAGAAATCGCACTTGTGCGGCTTCAAGGGCACGTGGACGCGAATGTGAGAGGTGATGTGATCACGCTTGACTGTGGTGGTGCGGCAGTTGCCCCATTGGCAGGTCAAGTTGAGGTTGTTTGTGCTCTTGCGGCCGACATGGCGCTCGCACACATGGTCCTGGGTGATGGGATAAGTCACGTGAAGTAAGGTGAAGGCTGGAGGTGCAACTTACATATAGCTGCTCAGCAGATGGGCAGCGCTCGCCGCAATTCTGCCACTGACAGACTAGAGAGTCGGTGGACAGTTGGGCGGCGGCAGGGTTGGGGGTGTTTTGCTGCGACGTTGAAGCCTGTTGTGCGGGAGCAGGTGGTTGTGTGGTCGCAGGCTGGGCGGGAGTAGAGTCGGCCATTGCAGTCGAGTCGCGATGGATGGCGGGAGTGGGTGGTGTTTTTTCTTGGCAGGGCAGAAGCAAGAGATGGGGGGCACGGGGCCGCAGATATAATGGTGGGAGGCGGGTGCTTAGTCAGGCAGGCAAGTGATTGGGGGAAGGGAAAGAGCAGACTTGACGAGACAGCGCCCGTTGGGAGGGGAGCAGAATCGGCGAGGGGGATGGATAGACTGATAGCAAAGCAAGAGAAAAAGGGACGAGCAGCGCGACGGGGGAAGCGCAGGAGTCAAGTATGAAAATGGGTGGAAGGCTTGGGCGCCGGTCTTGGACGCTGTTCCGCTCGAAGATCCTTGCCACGACGGCTTGGTGGCGCGCTAACGTCCAGCCAGGCCTTGGCACCGCGCAGAAGCTGGTTTGGGGCCCACCACCACATCCACCACCACCTCCTCTTCTCTCCCCCATCCCGTCCCATCCCCCATCATCATCATCATCCTCATCTCCCTCCCCTGTTTACCTACCTATTATCCCCTGCCTTCCCTTGTTTGTTCCCTTCTTCCTCGTCACTCGTTTCCCTTTCTCCAACCATCACCATCACTCATTTCTCTCTTCCCCTTTCTTTTACCGCATCCAACAGCATCACCCGGTCGAGCGTTCACCTCCTCTCACCCTTCCCCCCTTTGGTCATAGCCTGGTTGGCTCCCCCATTTAGCATGACACACGGCCCGAAACTCTCGGTATCGGCCAAGTCAATCCGCCCACTTCTTCACCCCTTGGCTGAGAGCGGAACTCTTGAGTCGCCCTTCCACTCTTTGCCCAGGTTTTGCTCATCTCGCCTCGACCCTCATTCATCATCGCCGCTATCATCATCATCAGCAGCAGCAGCAGCAGCAGCAGCATCGTCATCATCATCGTTGCCGTCTTCTCATATTGACATGTGCCGTGCATCATTGCCATCCATACCTCTCCGGGTTGGCCATGCATCCAACCCAACCACGCTGCTCACACCGACTCCCTCATCTCTCTTGCATGGCACCTTGCTTTCCTCTATTCCATTCTTGGCCGCTCTCTACATACTCCTCTACCCACCACACAGAGTGGCTCACCTCACCCTTCTTGCCTTCACTTGTGCCCTGTCATGTCTCTCACACGTACTGAACCCGCCTTGCAACTTTATTCTTTTCAGTCTCCGCACTGCAGCTACCCCGTGCGGCTCCACCATGGCTAACCAAATTGTCTCTCACGAGGACGACATGGTGAACCGATCTCGCCCTCACTAACGCTAGACCCCACAATTCTCGTGAAACTCAGGAAGCATCCCCCATGGGCAGCTCTATCAGTCTCTCCTTCCGCGGTCGTGAACACAGCTCTGAATCAGTCGCATCGCTTCTCCAACACCACCGCCAGTCATGAGAAGGTCGTTGGAATCGTCTCGGTCCAGCAATTCTTTGCGATATGGGATCCATGCCTCGGCTTCCCTCGTACACTCACTCGCCCACAGCTGCTAATAACATGCTATATTATTGCTTCGAGTTGGCGCTTCTCACATCACATTCACTACTACATGTACACGCGGCTTCATCTACCGATACTCATGCTGCTGACTCTGGACGAAAGGGAAACGCTGGTCAGATTGCGCGATTTCTTGTATCAGCGGGCCAAGCGCGGACCTTGGCATGCCCAGGCACCAGAGTTATAAAAGCGCTTGGCTGATGGAACAATGCAGATGCGAGAGGCTGTGCAAAAAAGGGTCGTCGGTTCAGAGGAACCACGGATAGCCACCTGCTTTTGGGTCCTATGAGGATGCCCCCTCTGTTTGAAGCTCAACCACCGTATCGACCGAATGACGTTGCTGGGAGAAAGCCAACGATGATGGCGATTTGACCACCGTACATAGGAGCATATAGCCAGCACTCTTGGCTCCCAAAGGACATTGCGGCTCTGTGTTCATCTATCCATAACATCACGGTCTGCTACTCTCCGTTGAACCCATGCTCAGTATGAATCGAATGATTGGGTGACGTCTACGCTCCCTCGTGGAGTATACAATATTATATACATGTATCATCAAATTTGGACTACAGGAATTGCAAATGCTATAGTCCGAATACCCGTTCCCAAGTCCCGGCTTCGGTTCAGTCCACCCACGAGGTCAAGCTGTGAGCTGTGAGGGTTGCTAGCAGCAGCGCCGTCTGCTGTCATGCTCCACTCGCATCGGCACCTCCACGTGTGTGACCACAGCACGGGAACGACGCTTCGCAGTGGTTGGTGTCGGCTGTCTGGCAGGATCTTGCTGCATCTGCTTTGCAGCGGTAACTCGCCATGCATGAAAGATGATTGGGGATGCGTTTGGCGAAGCGATGCGGGGATTGGGAGGGTGGCGGCTGGATGGGCGGCGAGCATTGCACGCATCACGAGCGATACCACTTGCTGCAACAAGTTGGAGTTTGCAAGACCACTCATGCTCATGTACGCCTGCAATCAAGGCAGTCGGAAAACTACATGCACTGCCCCACAGAATGCCGCACACAATCCAGCGCCTCTGTGCTGCAGACGCCTCTGCTCATTCGCCTATGACGAGCGTCGCGGGACGCCCGAGGACATCAGATGCCGGGACGCGCCAAAGCCTCGCTCCGGGCCACGATGCTTTGGGCGGGGACTCGAAGAGATGGCTGGGCGCCGCCTGAGAGCTGAGGGCTTGTCTTTGCCCGGGGAAATGCCGAGACCTTGCGCCAGTTGTCCTCTTTGTTCCTTGGATTTTGCTGCTGTCTTGTCGTTTTCTTGGTCTTTTTTCCCCTTGCCACGCTCGCTCCCCTCCTTTGGCCTGGGCAGCCAGCGGAATGCCAGGGCCAAGGCATTTGCTCTGTGCATTCCATTTCTCCTGCTTTGCCAAGAGGGTGGAATGCATATGTCAAAGGGGGCTTTTCACCTCACGCAACATGTCTTGTACTCTATGTTTTGATTGCGTCGAGATTGAAAACGCCCCTTTTCGAATAGCGCCGCCGCATCCGTTCCCCCTGTCTCTCTCGTCCTCTCTCCGTCGGTCCGCGTAGCTGCGTCGTGGAGTAGTCGCCAACTCTAGACAATGCAACAAACCATTTCAGCATTGCGCTTCAATCACGAAGAGGGAAAAAAAAATACGCGTTTATTTTGAAGTCAAGTGAATTATTAATCGAAATCATCAACAAAGACAAAATCAGCAGCATGTACAGTACATGGCATCACAGCCAGCACTCAGACCCCGATCGAACCCCTCGTCAATAGAAATAGGCGCTGCACATGTACTTTCCTCTCCAGCAATTTGATTTGCCCCAATCTGATTATCATCCTCTCTCGTGCTCTATAGCTGCATCATGGCAAAACCTAGCAAGCAAGCAAATCTAGCGGCATGTTGGTTTTGCTACTGCTCAGTGAGAGATCATCTTCACTCCTTTCCCTTTTGTTCTTCCATCTGCGCGCGCCATGTCAGCACAAATAGAAGCGCGAGAATGACACAGTCTAACAAATGCTTGACGGTTTGGAGTCCTCCTGAGAGGGGTAACAACAGAAGTGTGTATTCATCGCATGATATAAGACTGATTATGTGGTGTGTAACTAAACTTCTCTCTCTCTTTCTCACACACACGCACACAAACGTACACAGGCACAGTCAAACGGTATCTACTTAGCTGCCCATCGGATTGCCTTTATAAGAATTGGATTGGTAAACCCGTAAAACGATTCCAAGACCCAGAGCAAAATTCCACCCTTCCCAGTATCTAAACATATAAACCGCAAATGAAATGCTACTTCAGCAAACCACACATGCATCTAGAAAAGAAAAGTGTCCCAAGTCAGCAAATGCTCTTCTTTTTCTTTTCTTCATCATCTTCGATTATGAGGAGGAATGCTTGTCAACTTACTGGCAATCCGGTACAGGACACATGGCATGCCTGGCAAACCAATCTCTAGCATGGTGCCCATGAAACCCATGCGCGCAATTCATGCAAAACACAATCAACCTAGCTTCGAGATCCTCCTCTTTCAGAGCCTGCGCTGCTCCGACTTTACTCGGATCGGGGGACCCCAGCCACATCATGCACAGCCCGCACCTGGGCATCGGGGTGTTGCAGTTTGGACACGCGAGCGCAGGGGAGGACGTCATGCCCTTTGGAGGGTGGGGACGAGGCTGCGGGCCGGATGTGAGTTTGTTGCGGGAGCGGTGGCCCGGCAAGGGGACGAGGTGTTGGCGGCCGGAGCGCGGGTCTTTGCGGAGGGCGAGGTTCTGCTGGCAGTTCATGCAGCTGAGTGCCAGCGAAGGCGCCGACGGTTTGATGATGCTGTTGCCTTCTCGCTCCACGCTTCGGAGGTTGTGCTCTTTGATGTAGTGTGTTCTCTCTAGAAACGTGCGCCAGACTTGCATCTGGTTGAGGTAGATTTCTTTCCAGAGAGGCCAGCGTGCGTCTTGGATGTATAGAGGACAGGCGCGGGATAGGATCAGTACGGCGGTTTGCAAATCGCCGAATTTGGCTATGTAGTGTTCGAAGAGGTCCATGGCACGGTTGGTGAGGCCGGTGAGCAGTAAGCCTTCGATGTTGCCGTAGGCGATTGCTTCTTGTGTACACATTCTGAGGAAGTGGGACAGTTTGTTGTCGTTGAGATATTTGAGTGCGACGCCAACCCGATCGGTCAGAGACAGCTCCTCCATTACCACAACGCTGTTCCAATCACCCGTTATAAAGTATGTTAGTAGACCTTTAAGATATGCATCGTCTGTCATATCGGCCATCCATACGCAAAGGTGTCTTTGCTCTTCGTTGACCGAATCGCACGCAATAACTGCTGCCAACCCAATGTTCTCGATGCGTTTCGCCTGGATAGTCTCTTTCAGTAGATCCAGGGCAACGTCCTTGTAGCCTTGGAAGACAGCCAAGACGATGGCTTTGTAGTATTGCCCTTCATCGACGAGCATGGAACAGCGCTCCCGTAGGCCGATTTTGGACAAGTTCCACCCGCAAAGGGAAAGACAAAGCTGTCTGTTATGGGGATACTGTGTTGAGATACCGGAGAATGGGGGAAACTCCTTGGTCTCACAGATCTCTTTGACCGCCTCGACAAAAATACCTTCTGACACCTTGGCATCCGGATCGATAAGACGCTGGTCATACATGGTGAGTTCGTTGGTCCAGATAGAAGTGATACCGAGGTACTTGAGCTCCAAATCACCGCCAACCATGCCATCTGCCCATGCATGAGCATCCATTCGCTCAACGAAGCTCCATGCATCCACAAGCCACGGGTCGTTCGCAACTATCTCTTTATTCTTCCGGCAGTCAAGGCTATAACCCTCTTGACACCGTCGCTTCTGAGTCTCGAAAATTCGGAGGTTGTCGCTAACGGAAAGTTTCACGTCCGGGTACCCTTGTGTGAGGATGTTTTCGTGCATTTGGTGGCTAGATTGAGTCGCTGACTGTAAAGGAATGCTTCTATGGGGTAAGTCGATAGTGAGTCTGTCCAGCCTTCCCGAAAGACTGTCCTTTGGGTCAGGACTGACGTTGAGTTTTTCGCTAAGCGCCTTGTTCTGTATGTCTATGAGGTCCTCTGCTACTGAGCCGTGTCGTCGACTCGGTTTCTCGATAATTGTTCTGCCCTTGAATATCTCTTCTAGTGCTGTTACGTTGATTCGAGGCGCGACCGGCGGGATCTTGAAGGCTTCAATCTCCTTGTTTGCATTCAGGGTCACTGCACTGGGTCCGCTGAACGGGCCTCCTGCTGTGATGAAGTCGTACGCTACGACACGAGCCTTTTCTCCAGCTTTTTCCTCATTACTATATGATGGATAACGAAGATTGTGGGAAACCCTGGTATAATGCGGCGACGATAAGGCTGGTATCTGGGTATTTGATCCTGGTATCATCTGAGATGGGTCCGGCTTGTGCGAATGCTGTGCCGTCTCGATGATTTTGAACTCGCCAGTATTGGCCAGAACACCAAAGGATCCACGCTTCGTCCCGCTGTACCGTAAACTCCAGATGGCCGCAGAATGGCTGTTGTCCACAATGGGTCGAAATTCCAGGACAGCTGCATGGTTGGATGGATCACTGGGAGTCCGTTGCCTAACGAAACGTTGATCCCACACTGTGACAGTAGGATCCCCTGTTGTCCCAGCAGAGACGAGGTAATTCTCGTCCAATGGATCGATGGCAATGTTGTGAACTTGTCGTGTGGGATATTGGGCGACTCCCGAAGGACCAGGGTCTATTCTAGGTCAGTCAACATGTATATTGGCACAAGATACAGATTCGAATTCACCTCGTAAATCATAAATGCGAATACACTGCCTGGATACACCTGCAACCAGAACTTCTGGCTGTTCAGAAAAGAACTTGATGCTAGAAATGGCTTCCGAACTTGCTAACTTCCTGTATGGCTCGGTCGTTGAGGTAACATTGGGGTTTCCAAGATCGTAGATGTTCAAGCAAACATCATTGCGCACTCTATCCAAGCCGGTTGCAACCAAATTCTGGGTACTGAACGCTATGGAGTTGCACTTCCTCTGATGTCTGATGGGAAATGAATGCTTGAATTCATCATGCGGTCGGTCTGGATCCAGGTGAAGAATAATGGCCTCACCAGAAGCTGCACCCAGGCCAACGACACGTTCATCTCGCTTTGACCAGTCAAAGGCAGTGTAATTGGGCAGCTTGTCGCGGAAACAGAGCTGCTTGTAAGTCACTTTCCTCTTTTCAAGTCTCTCGACCTGACAAAGCCTTAGACGGTTAGCTGCCACATCAATGATGAGGAACCGAGGCGTATGTTGAGTGGCATGTGGAGACCACCGAATGGCTGCATCCATACTTTCAGTTTGATGATGCGGCGAGCGTCGTGCAGGATTCAAAGCCCCCGAAACTAACTAAGGAACGAACGGTACTTGAATCGGAGAATCGCTCAGAGAAAACCAGGACATTTTATAATTGAGCTACGTCCGTGGTCCTGACAGAAACCCAAATCACGGTAAGTAGATGGACTTAGCAGTGAGAGTATTGACGATGATGATGTATGAAAGATGATAGGTCGACCAGGGTTAGCGCCAAGGTTGCAGGCGGTCAATAATTCTGCCGCCCCGCCTAAACTTTCAGGAACTTTTGGCTTCACGAATTCGCGCTGTCTAGTCGCCCCAAAGGCACACACATCATGGGACCAACAAACAAGAGAAACCATTCCGAGACTGCGGGAGGTGAAGGTGGAGGGACTACAGATGCACGGAAATTCAAAAGACCGCGCACACTCAACAGAAAAGGCGTCCTAAAAAAACAGGACCATGACGAGCCCAAGGTCGACTCAACCCGTGTACTCAGGAACCGGATACGCGACTTGAAGCGTCTACTGAGTCATATTGACAACGATGCCGATAACAAAATGCCAGCCAACATACGCATTGAACGAGAGCGAGAACTCGAGACATGTGAGCACGAGCTGGCCGAAAAGCAGCAGCAACAGCGGGAGACGGACTTTAGAAATAAGATCATTGGCAGATACCACCACATACGCTTCTTTGGTGAGTTGCAAGCCATACCTGCCTGACATCAGGCTAGGTTATATTATGGAGTGCTAACAGCGACCGCGCAGAGCGACAAAAAGCCACGAGAGCTGTCAAACGTATCCAGAAGCAACACGCAGCGCTCGCCGACGACGACCATGCTGAGAAAGCCAAACTGAGACAAACTCTTCATAACGCTGAAGTCGATCTCAACTATACCATATACTGTCCACTCTTGAAAAATTACGTATCCCTCTACCCAAGGACGGACAAAAAACCGACTCCTGCCACGAAAGCGACACCGGCGACGGTATTCCCAGATGGACCCAAAGGCGATATCGAAATGTGGAAAGCGGTGGAGAATGCGATGGAAAATAATGCGCTTGAGGCGCTGCGCAACAGCCGCGAAGGAGTCACAATACCAGGACCCAAACATCCGGTTCCTGAGGCCAACAAAACCAAGAAGGATCACCTGCGCGAGAAGAAGGAGAAGCAGAAGGAAGAGAAACAGGACGGATCTGCCGTGTCGCCTACGAACGGTGGCGGCGACAACGAGGAGGAGGACGACGAAGACAGCGATGGTGGTTTCTTCGAGTAAATGCGCAACCGAGGCACACCGACTGCCAGCTCGCATGCATGGACGTTGCACACGCGCGCAGATTAAATGCTACTGCGCTCCAATCTCCAGCAAGATTCCCTCCAAGGAAGCTTTTTGTTGCCGTAGAGAGACTCCCCCATGGGACAATGAAGAGCGTCCCTGGCACATAATCCTAGATACCCACTACTCCAAACGAGCCCCTACACCTACTTATGTACATAAATATCAACGCTGGGCCGCCACACCGTTCTACAGGCCATGTGGTGGCCCTACAAACCCCTCAACAATTTGACCCTGAAAATTAGTCGCATGATGGGGAGGGGGGAAATGAAGCCTCCTAGTCTACCGTACTCACGAGAAGTTCTGTGCCATACATGTAACCATTCCACCTTGGTATGTAACATGACCCATCGCTTCCGCGGTCAGCGGCCTGCATTTCAGTATACCCACCTGCCTAGCTGGGGGAGCTCATCGGTGCTGGGAACCCGATCCCTACCTGTTCACCTCACTTTACCTTGACTTTCTTTTTTACCTCTTGTATTCTTTTCACGTACGCGCCCTGGTCCTCCTACTAAGCGCCGTAGATTGTTCTTCTGACTATATCGCTCTGGCTTTTACCGACCTAGTTCCGAAAAGGAAAAGCACGCGTATAGCTAGAAATATAAAGTTGTGGCAGAACAGCACCTGAGTAAGGCACGATGGTAAAGGACAGAGAGGAAATGAGAGATAAGGATTGCTGTCTTTCTCTTCCGTGTCCTTCTACTATAAAACAATGCCGAATGACTCCCGTGTTTTGGCCGTTGAAACGATAGCTCGGACGACTTCGAGAGAAACACGAGGAAAAGGAACAATACCGTCATACAAACTTTTTTTTGTATTGTATAAGCCCCGTTAATGTTTAGATGTGAAACTACCTAGGTACTCATACCCAACTTTTCGTTCTTCTTGTCCAAGGGAAAAAAACACGCCCAAAAAAAACAAAAAAAAAAAAAAAGGAAAGCTCGGAAGCCACGCGTACTTGATCGTCTATTCTTTGTTTTTCCCTATCCCAATTATTTCGTTTTCTATTATAGAAGAAAGGGAGAGATCAAGCAGAAGAGTAATCCAAGTGAATTTCGAATCGGTACTACGTCCAGAGGATACACAAACAGATTCAAGCTAAGCTATCTGTATACCTCTGCAGGTACTTGATTGACATGCCTTACATTCCTACCTACCCATATTTTTCACCGTACAATCTACTACCAAACAAGCAAACAAGAAATAAACAAGAATCGTTATCTTTTCAACTTGGAAAGGGGAAGAATCAATCTCCAACAAACAGGGCCTCCCACGAAGAACATGGTGTAAAACAGAATGACATCAACAAACAACAGCAAAACAGGTACCTACCTAGGTATGCAGAATGACGCCCAGATGCCGAATGACCGTTAGTTAGGGTGCTTTGCCTAGAGAAAAACAGCATGCAAACGCAAACGCAATGCAATGCAGCAATCGCACCGCGTGCCTGATCAAGAACCCAGAGACACCGCAAAACGCACAACACAACATACACCTTCCCGACCAGGATAGCTATCTCCATACGCACTAGGTAGGTGTATACGTGCATGCAAATGTCTTGTGTGAGCATGATAACAGAAATGTGCCTTGGCTATAGGAGGAGGGGGAGGGGCACATGATACAATCGGAAAAGAGCGAACAGACCGCACAAGATAACGGGAGGATGGGAAAGAGGGATGCATGGTCGAGCAGGTGCATGCCTTGGGTCGATCGTTTCGACATCATTGGATGTAGCCAAGTGCTAGTCTCCCGATTAGGAAAGTAGCTATTTCTTGATTTCTTGACGTCCGCTCAATAGTCTCATGCCCATTCGACTCTAGCCTGCGCTCCCTTTCGCAAATGACCAGACGAAACAGTTGAGAGCTGGGAGAGGAGAAGCAAGTCTGCTTGCACACTTCCGGCCCCTCGCCCCCGGCCAGTTTGGTAGGTTATGCGGGGGTCCCGCGCCCGGCTGTCGGGGGTGATGATTCGTCTTGGCAGCACAGCGTGCACATACGTACAATGACGGAGAGAATAGGCCTTCTGCGTGGATATAAGGTTTTCCGCCCGCGGTGGCAGGTGAGGTTGGCTGCATTAGTAGTGACGCCACTGCTGTGATTGTGTGTTGCCTGTTCCGGTAGCAATTATGTACCTACCTTGTCGCGTGAGATGTGCAAAGAAGAGGGGGGTAGGGTGGGTCTTCCGGTACGGTCAGGTATATAAAGTCATAGTAAGGTCTGCAGGCCAGAGACCGTAGCGATTCTGAGGTTTGGAAAGAAGGTAGAGTCCCAAGTCCCCCACTGTTCCTCTTGTTTCGCCGTTCACATTTGCTTGGACTTCGGTCTCGTTTTTTGCCTTTTCGAAGATTGAACAGTGGTGTGCAGAACTCGGTACCATCGAATCTCTATCATCTCCCAATAATATGGCGCGGACGAGGTCGATACTTGCACTGGCAGCCTGCCTACCCTCCGCATTTGCGCTCCCACACAATACACCCATAGACCTCAGAAGCCCTGCACCACAGAGAAGAGCAGATTTGCCGTCCGCTGAAGAACGCACGCAAGCCGTCGTTGATGTATTCCGAAGGTCCTGGGAAGGATACACCGAGTACGCGTTTCCTAATGATGAGTTGAAGCCGGTCACCAACGGTTTCAGTAACTCGAGGTAAGCTCTCTTTCCGACTTTGCAATCATGAATACAGTCCTCATCTTTTCAGGAATAAATGGGGTGCCTCTGCCGTGGACGCTCTCAGCACAGCCCTGGTGATGGGCCAAAAAGACATAGTCAACGAAATCATCGAGTACATCCCCACAATTGACTACTTCGAGACGCCAACCGAGGTTTCCTTATTCGAGACCACGATTCGATACCTGGGAGGCATGCTTTCCGGATACGACTTCCTGAACGGTCCACTTGCTGATCTTGCTGATAACAAGACCAATGTTGAACAGCTGCTCAAACAATCCGAGAACCTGGCTAACGCAATGTCTTTCGCATTCGACACTCCATCCGGAGTGCCGTACAATGGACTCAACTTCGAGGACCGCACGACGGATGGAGGCCCGAATGGACTCGCGACGACGGGTACGCTCGTGTTGGAATGGGTTCGTTTGAGTGATTTGAGCGGGAACAAAACATACGCAGCGCTCACGGAGAAGGCAGAGTCATATCTGCTTTCACCAAAGCCTGCCACTTCGGAACCCTGGCCTGGCCTGGTCGGTACCAACATCGATCCGGAAACTGGGGAGTTTCTCGATGCCTCCGGAGGCTGGGTCGGCGGCACCGATTCTTTCTACGAGTATCTTATCAAGATGTACGTGTACGATCCGGAGCGATATGCGGAGTATAAAGACCGCTGGGTGCTGGCTGCCGACTCCACCATCGAGCATCTCACATCGCACCCAGCGTCTCGGCCAGACCTCACATTCGTGGCAATGTACAATGGCAAAAACCTTCGTCTTATCTCCCAGCATTTAGCGTGTTTCGATGGCGGGAATTTCATCCTTGGTGGAACCGTGCTAGGCGAGCAGAGATACATAGACTATGGGTTAGAGCTCGTAGAAGGCTGCCACGAGACGTACACAGCAACTGCCACGGGAATTGGACCAGAAACTTTCGCGTGGGATGAGAAGAATGTGCCGAGCGACCAGTCTACCTTCTACAACGAGAGCGGATTCTACATTACCGACGCTGGCTACCAGCTACGCCCCGAAGTCATAGAGTCGTGGTACTACGCATACCGGGTGACTGGGGACCCCAAATACCAGGAATGGGCGTGGGACGCATTCAATGACATAATCGACACGACGGAGGTGGGTTCAGGATACTCGTCTATTCGGGACGTGAATGCGGAAGACGGTGGAGGTTTTACGGATTTCCAGGAATCATTCTGGTTCGCCGAGGTGCTGAAGTACAGTTATCTGATCCATGCCCCCGAGGCAGAATGGCAGGTTGGGAAAGACGGGAAGAATGCGTGGGTGTTCAACACCGAAGCACATCCGTTCCAGGTTTTCGATGGAAGTAAGTAGCAAAGCTGGCACGAGTTGGACACGAAGTAGGTATATAGTGAACAAGGATTATTATTGTTTTTTTGTTTTGCCAACTCCAGCAAATTCGAACGGCACAATTGATGTGAGCAACGTTGATGGGCAAGCGAAATCGAGATTCTAGATTCTGAGGGCGTCCTGGCTCATGAGACTCATGATGTGAGTATAGGGAAAGTGTGTTTTGCGAACGAAGGCGTGTTGCGCAGGATAGGTTGTGCTCGTAGAGGGTGGTGAGGCAAACTCGTATGACCCTAGCAGTTTAGCATGAAATCACCGGTGATTTGGGCTCGAAGACAAGAGCTGAGGCTCTCGAACGTGCTGTTATGGACAACATCCCACGAGGAAGGTAAAGGAAGCGCAGGAGCACATGTCTGCATATGAAGGAAGCAGGAGCCTCGTTCAGAGTGCAGAGTGCAGATGGCGAAACTAGGGCGTAGGTCGGGGCGATTTGCGCAAGATCCAATATAGGGCATTACGGCGAGCGCAGAATCGACGGATCGTGAAATGCTGACGATAATAGCATTGGCAGGGTGGCACAGGCGGGATCTTGGTGCACAGTCAGACGGTGAGGGCGGCCTTCACCGGAACATTGGTGTGAGAGGCGAGCAGGTCATGGAGCAAGTTGGCGAAACATGACGCCGCAACCCGCATGTGGAAAAGAAAAAGCACATTGAAAAAGAACAAGTATCCAAGATGGAGAGCAAGGAAATGTCACGAACAAGAATAGATGCGAGCTGCTCAACAGCTGGACGCGGTGGCAGAGGACGCGAGGGTGGTGAAATGGATTTGAGGCTAGCTGGAGAAGCAGGGGAGAGCGATTCTTGAAAGGGAAGGCACGCCCGACTGACTCGCCAGACGTCGAGGCTTAACTCTCCATCACGACTCAAGAGCTGATCTGTGCCGCATCCATCAACACGCGATTGTACGAATAAATTGTTCGATTCTGCATAGTACAGCATGACTAACACATATGCCAGGTGCTATACAATAGTATGCCGCCCAAGCTATTGGAGAATCCTTCCGTGGTCAATACAGCTGGCGGCAAAAGAGAGCGCATTGGGTAATGGCAGTAGACGAGACCCTCGCCCTGCCAATATTGTGGAGATGAGTTCAGCCGGTAGATGGCCGCATGGATGGTGTCGAGGTTGCATCTTGTCTGCTTGGCTGCGAGAAGAGCTGGGCCGAGAGGGTGAAGGAAACAAAACGAGCAGCGCCTTGCTGATAGGCTGCCCGTAACGTTCGTGTGCTGCGTGGAACATGGGACCCGCGAGACATTGGCGGCTACTGAGCTATTGTGACGGCCAATGTCGAATGGCACAAAGCCGTTGGAGAGTCCAGTGCGCGATTGAGTTGCACAGTCGGTTACCAATTCCCAATGTACGACATCCCGAATGGACGAGTGCCGAAATGAAGACGCTTCTTTTGGGTTTGGGAGCAGAAGAACGAGGGGAGCGCCAACACCAACAGAGGAATGAACGACAGGGGCTGAGCGAGCTGGCCTTCCCAATCTCCACACGCGATTGTACGTGCGGCGAGCGCGCGATGCCGGTCCAGCCAGTCGGCTGTCGGGTTATCCATTTTGTGCTTGCAAACGGCACAAGCAAAACTCCCATGTCGCATACACTTGCAGCCGTCCGCCAGGGGGAGGCAAGACGACATGATTAATCGCACTATGGGCTAAAGCTTAAAGGCTTCTGGGGGGGGATTTCGCCATCACGTTGTCGCAGCTTGGAAGCAGGGCAAGGGCATGAACGGTTGTTATCTGCTATCCGCTATCAGCTATCAATAGCATACAGAAACAAGCATACGCTGGGACGTGCAAGATGGATGGGGAAGGGGGACGTGGTTCGCTCAAAATCTCCGTCAGAAGCAAGATCACACTGCTGTTTCACGAAGGGCCATTCTGTGGGCACGCTGACCCACGTTGAGAGGGGCCAAAGGGGGAGATCTACGCATAAACGGCATATTATTGTGACATGTTGGCTGGGAGAAATGGAGTGACAGGACGAGGCCAGTTGCCATCAATAAGGGGGAAAAGGTGCTGTTGGCCCCAAATCCGCAGCCATCCATGCCATGCAGAATGCGAAGAAGCGAGGAAGAAAGAAAGGCGCCGGCGGCGAATGGGCGTGGGAAGACGCTGGCAGACCAGTCGCGCCTCAGTTGGAAGAAAGGAACAAAGTAATTTCCATTTCCCAGCCGCGCGAGGGATGCGAGCGAGAGGAATCATGCACAAGTCATCTTCGAATACGGACGCCAGGCCATCTGCATTGAGCTGCGAGCTGCCGTCCTCGGGCTAGCTCCCACATGGATCCAGGCACGCCGGCCATGTGAATGGCCCGCTCGCACGCCTGCATGGCGACGACAGTTAGCGCACACGACGATTCAAGCCAACCAAGTCGGGATGACAAGGTGGATAAACGCTCGGGCTTCATGTGTTGTTTCCCTTGACCCCCTGGCCACCGCCCACTGGCCACTGTCCACCACCGAGTGGGCTGTGGACCCCGCTGACATGTCCCGGTCCGCGCTGCCGCAATCTCCTGGCCCTCTATAAGACTCTCTCTCGTCTCTCGTCTTCCTGTTTCCTTTCTTCTCTCCCCAAGCCAGTCAATACTTTACTGAAGCTCCAAACATCTGACTCCGGTCGTCCATTCGTTGAATCAACAACTAATCTACTATCTTTAATATTCCAACTCTCACACCCAACCGAAAACCTTTTTTCAACCCTTCAATACCCTTATAATATTCAAGATGCGTTCCTTCATCACCGCCACCCTCGTCGCTGCCGTCGTCGCCTCTCCCCACTACGGATATGAGCAGGCCCCTCCCCCAACCTACGGCCAAGTGAGCTCCGTCCCAGCTCCTCCCGTCAAGGAGACCTCTCCTCCTTCCTACGGAGGTGTTCCCCCTCCCCCTCCCGCGAAGCCCACCACTTCCGCCTACTCCCAGGTTCCTCCTCCTCCCCCGGCCAAGCCCACCACCTCGGCCTACTCCCAGGTTCCTCCTCCCCCAGTCAAGCCCTCCAGCTCTGTCTACTCTGAGGTTCCTCCCCCGGCCAAGCCCACCACCTCCGCCTACTCCCAGGTTCCTCCCCCTCCCCCAGTCAAGCCTTCCAGCTCTGTCTACTCCGAGGTTCCTCCCCCTGCTAAGCCCACGACCACTCCCGTCGTCCCGGCCCCAAGCAGCTCCCCTTGCTCCACCTCTTCCACCATCACCGTCACCGTTTCCAAGCCCGTCGGAACTGCTCCCGCTGGCACTGCTCCCGCTTGCCCCGGCTGCCCCTCCGTCCCCGGTGTTCCCTCCGCTCCCCCTGCTCCTTACCCCGTTCCTTCCGGAACTGGATACCCCACTGTCCCCAAGCCTTCCGGCACTGGGTGAGTTTTACCCCATTCTCTCGAGATCTCGCGCGAACAGATCGCTAACTATGAATGATAGTGCTCCTCAACCTCCCATGCAGGAGTTCCCCGGTGCCGCCAACGGCTTGAACGCCGCTGGCTTCGTCGCTGGTATCGGTGCTTTCGCCGCTCTCTTCTTGTAAATGTCATCGACTTTAGATTGAGCTTGCTGTCTCCGCCATCGCTTCCCCTCGCGGGGTAGTGATGTGGGGTTGGTAGGCTATGACTTTACATGATCGCATCATTTGCCTTTGAGATACCAATTTTGGGGGTTTTGTGCAGAGTGTCTGTGAGTGTGGGAGTAATAATGGTGGAAGATGAGTTAGGTGGAGAAAAGATGAGTAGTTAGTTGAGGTGAGAGTGCGACGTACAGCGATGCGTGCAAGTTGGTTGTTGAATCACTCTTGTCTTAGAATATTCTTTTGTCCATGCGTCGTTTTTTTACCATTGTGAATACAGACTTTTTTTCTTACCTTGACTTGCCATCGTTGCATTTTTCGTGCTGGCCTCCTCATTTCCCTCATTGCACGCCATCTTTCCGCACTACTGTCGAATCTACGATGCAGCAGATCGGCGGCCACCAGCGCTACCCCCTATTCTTTTCTCCTTGCGCGCACGCCGTCTCCAACGCCGTTTCTCCGGCCCCCAATCTTCTCTCAAGCTTCATCTGTCCTTCTTTCTCCCTTGCCTACGAACAGACGGCACAGTGCACAAAAAGCGCATAGCGCTAAATTTGGAGGATCCCTCTTCTTTCTCTCTCTCTTTTCTGCGAAGTCCGATGGCCTAGGCTTGAAATCGACTAGTGTCTTTGTCAGACTGGTGTGTGCACAGTTGTTTATTTTGTTTCGATGTATTGTCCGAACACAGATGTATGATTGGAGGACACGAGTCGAGGAAGGAAGGCCGGATTGATGGATCGTCGTTTGGTGGTCGTCTTGGTAGTGTCAGTGGTGAAGGCCTCGTTTTGTTTTCCCTCTTTGGGTGGTGGTGGACAAGTTCGATTTACTCGTTCCCCTTTCTCGTTCCTTGTTTCCTTGTTTTTGGCAAGATACGGGTTCTGATCTCGACCTCTGCGTCACTTATTCTAGGTCTGAGTGTGCAGGCCATTTAATGATTTTGGAACACAATTTGTGCATTAGCCATAGGGTGCAAGGTCGCCCTCGGCTGTGTCTCACGTTTTGCTATTGATCTTCACTCTACACTTACTCGGCACGCTTTAGGCGAGTCTGCGGTATAAATCTACAGCTGCTTTTTTTGTGCAGCCAAGGCAGACGTTAAAATTCAGTATGCGCCAATCTGCTTTGAGAGAGAAATATCTGCATTGAAGTATGAGCTTTTCTGTTCTGTACTTCATTGTTCTCGTGATTAGCTGGGTCTATGCCCAAGGGCCAGACTACCCCATTCATTATACCGAAATTCCTGTTCCAATCTAGGTCGAATCACAAGCTTTTCTCACAAAGGACAGATCAGAATCGTTCATCTACGCTGTCGAGCCGTTCAACCCGCAGTACTGCTGATATCGATGCGCTCCCGAGGTTAGAAGGTCATTACCACGTTCTTGATGTGACCCTGATTCGCGAAATTTTCTAACGCTTCCTGCAGCCTCGACGCACGGAAAATGTTGATATACTCTGAAATGGTAATGTAATGTGACAGGTGTTTTTGCCTGGAGTTCATGAGCAAGTCATAACCTCGTCATACTTGTGTTGTGCCACAGCTTATTGATCACGATGGTCTTGTATCACAAGCACATGGGTCATATGTATTCGAGTGTTTAGGAAATACAGGAAAATTGTTAAAGCTATATGTAGTTAGACAGAACCATATCCTTACTCGCTCATAATAAAGCCAGTACAAGGACATCCCACATTACCAGAGCCAGACAAACAGAGATTACACAACATCTATCATCTCCTCTCGCCCAAAATTACGAGTCTAAACTCCGCCGTTCCCACTCAAATCCTCCTTTCCCTTCGCCGAACCCGAAACAAAAACGGCCCCTGGTCTCGCCAATTCAGCCTCAACGTTCTTCTCCACCATCAAACTGACCCTTTCCCTCTCCTTCCTCTCTTCCTCTTCCTTCTCCTCCGCAGCAGCACCAGTACCCCAGACGAAATTCCCCGCACCCCCTCTTCCCGCTTTACCGACGTTCACTACGCTATTCTCTGGAACCCGGGATGGAACGGTGGCGGATGATGAAGTCGGTGGAGCAGTGGAGGAGGAAAAGGTGCCTGTTTTAAAGAGTTCGGAGGGTTGGTACCAGTTCCCTGCCCCTCCGCGGCCGGTGTGAGCATATGCTGCAGCTGTGGATGTGGATGAGTTGGCGGAGTTGGAGTTGGAGTTGCTGGTGGGGGGAATTGCGGCTTCGACATCGCTCGCGGCTTGTTGCTCTTGCTCGCGAGCGCGGAGAATATTTCCTGCACCGCCGCGACCGGACATTTTTTCTTTTCTTCTAGAGTTTTGGACTTGGTGGATTCCTTTTGGTTTGAAGAAGAGATGACTTCAGAGGTTATATTGGCTCGTACTTTGATATGTCTGGCTCTCTGATGTTGATGGAGATTTCGTGGTAAATACCAGATCAGATCGGTATGAGAGGAGCGGTTGCTACCTCTAGCCTTTCCCTCTTTCTTTTGAAGTTGATTATTAATCCCAGTATTCTCGACAAAAATACTCAGAATTCCACTCCAATAAGCTCGTTGGATGCGAATCTGTGGATATAACGATGGAGATAAGGTCCTCGGGGCTAGGAGACGGCGCGTAGGATTCTTTGGTAAAGGCAGAGAAGAAAGATAGCCTATGCGTTCTGGTATGCGTGGAGTCAAACCCTCGCACTCTTTCCTTTGGGTCAACTGTTCGTGAATGTCAGTAACGGGAAGCAGGTGTCGTTTGGAAAAGAATGCTATGTGAATGGCGGGCGGGTCGACGTCTGATTGGCTCGTTTGGTGATTAATGCCATGTCGTAATTGCTACGATAAGCAAGCACCTCTCTTCCACCCTCTTCGTGAACAAGGTAACAATATACGAATACGGATAGCCTTCATCTCCTATTATACAGCAGCTGACCTACATGCAATTGTGCATTCTCTTTACTTGTTTTTACCTCGAGGATAGCCAAATGGCTTCTGCAGGTGATCTACGCCACTTTCACAGGTTTCTCGCAGGACGACCACACATCAAGGCACGTGCAAAACTTGTTTACGTGTATTTCATTCATAATTTGTTCTGGTATACAGTCTTTTCTATTATTCCACGGTAGCCCATTCAACTATCGCCGGCTGCTCCATCACTTCTTCGCAACCTCATCCAACATCTTTTCAATGGCATAGTAAGCCGGTTTCCGCTGGAGATCGTCATCAAGCAGACACGCGTTTCCGTAGCCCGGGAAAGATTCCGGAACCCACGAGACCTATCAAAGATGTCAGTTTTCGATATAGGATGAGGAAGTGAAAGGGATCTTACTGGGTCCCAGAAGTCCCAAACAGTAACACCGACGCACTCGGCAACATCTACACAAGCTTTGGTAGCATTGGTGTAGACTTCAGCCTGCAACTCCTGCTTCTCAGGGGAGTCTGGGAGCAAGATACGAACATCAAGCTCAGTGAGAGCAGTCTCGAGCTTAAGGTCGTCAAAGAGAGTGCTGGAATATCGCCACATATCAGCTCTTGTTTCCTACTGCAAATGTTTGATAGGTAAGCGCATTCCACTTACAGAGCAGCTGAGACTTCATCGTAGGTTGGGGCACGACCGACTGTGAAGTGCGCCTGGAGACCTACACCGTCGATGGGGATATCGCGAGCGATGAAATCCTTGGCTGTATCCCGTTGTGTCAGCAAATATCTCCAGCGTTTCTCTCCAGCAACCGCGCCTTAGTCAATTCCTCCAATCATTCTCGACGAGGACGATGACGAACAAGCACGCACGCAAGGGAAGATAACGTACCCATCTCTGCAACTGCCAAACTCTTATTGTTCACCCTCTCAATCCCATAGTCATTGTAATACAGCCTCGTTCCATTCCCCGTATACTGCCTAGCCCACTTGAACGCAAGCTCAATATACTCCGGACCCATAACCTGCAACCAAATGCTGTTCCTCAACGAGCCATCATCCTCAAAGGCCTCGTTCACGACATCCCACGCGTAGCAGTCATCCTTGAAATACTGCGCCTCGTTCTTGATATGGTTCTCCAGCACTGCCGTCAACGTTTCTTTGGTCCAATTACCGTTGTTCACCCAATCGGGGAGCTGGGAATGCCACGCAAAGGTGTGGCAACGCCTCATCTGCCCAGCTTCTTTTGCGGGCTTCATAATGGCATCGGCCATGCTATAGTTGAACACATTTTGCTGAGGCTCAATGTACATCCACTTCTGCCCGTTGGAAGGCGTAGCCTGTCCGAATTCGGAAACGTTATGCGCGATGGAGACATAGGCTGTGTTGTTGAGGACGACATTGTCAATGGCGGTGCCGAAGTAGAGTAGGCCTGCGCGTTTGGCGAGAATGTCGAGGCCTGGGTGTGTGAGGTTGGATGGCGTCGTGTATGTTGGAGGTGTGTATGGCGCTGCGGCCACGAGCGACAGAGAGGTTGCTGCTGCGGCGACCTTCATCATGATTGTCGTGTTTGACTTCCCACTCAACAGAGACTAAAGTATCTACCGACGCCGCTTTCCAATGGGTAAAAACTCTATGAAAGAGAAGGAATTGCCGCGAGAGAGAGCGCGAGAGCCAACAAAATCACTTTGAAGCAGGAAAGCAAACCCCGGATATATATCTCTTCTGTTTGCTAGTGGAGTAGCTACCCCATTGCCCCTTGGCTTGGATGATAAAAGGGTCATCGAGCCGGCTTTCCACCCTTTATCGGGTTGAATCCCTAGGTACATGGCAATTGTACCGCCGCGTGTAAGAAAGTCAGTCATTTTATCCGCTCAAGCCTCTTGAGATCATCAAGCGCCGAGGCAGCTCCGTACGCGCTTTGGCAGCTTCCAAGAACAAATGTGTCAATGAAGGAGAACGATTGGAATCAATCCTGCATAGCCTGTGTTCAACTATATCCGCTACCGACTTTCCTGGGTTGTTCTGGAAGAGTCTTGGTCCGCTGTCGCGGATAGATGGGGCGAATTTGAGAGTGGGAGATTCTGATGATCGGCGGGTTAATATACTGCCCCTCTCTTCCTTGCTGTTGCTCGTCCCATACCCATGGGAAAACAAGAGCTCGTCCCCTTCCAATGGGTTTCCCATCAAAAGAATGTACAAATATTCTGGCCCAGCAAATGTACTTTGCAATCCAAAAGCGTGGCATACAGCACCCAATTGCTGTCAACCGCCATGAGCAATCTTCCGAAGTTCGCTTGCTCTGGACTTTTACCCCGCTGGACCATCCGCGATCTATCCCCAGATTTCTCCGCCCGCAGCCCAGGAAATGCGAGATTGAGAAGCGTTTGCACTAGGTTTTTCTGAGCTTATAGTGCTGGAAATGTAATCGCGTAGTGTACTGAGGGCCACTTATAGGCTAAATGGGCGCAAGGGAAAAGCAAACTAGTTCCGCCCGCCTCCAGCTCGGCGTCCCGCTATAGCAAGCTCACTCACCCATACATTGCTATATCAGTTCGCCACAATCGATTTCTTGCCATGACTCAACCTGTATATCATTTTATTTTCCTTTGAGTGGTATGTCTACATTCCATCATAGAATCACTTTTCCCTAATGTTTGTTATGAAACAATAGAAATTACCGAAGCGGGCGTCGAAGTAGTGTGATGGTCCACCAACGTAAGACTTGTTCGAAGTCACACTATTGTTCAAACTTCCGTCGCCCATTATTCATATCACATACCTCAAAAACCACGATCAGTCAGAAGAATAGGGAATTTGAGTGATCGAATCTTCCCTGACTTCACATATAGATGGCTGGTGGCGGTGAGATATGAGTTTCTGTTATACGTGACGCACGGTACGCCATGCTAGGGGATCAATTCGAATATAGATAAGCGCAACTACTCCTAAAGGCGGGTCACAAAAAAAATGGTGTTTTAAAAAGCGTTGATTTGGAAGTCGGCCAAATATAGGACAAAGACTAAGCAAAAGGAGCTGCGACAGCAAAGCATCCTGGGGTGTCAATCCTTTATTGATATCATGCTGCTGGGATGTGCGAGTTGAATCTGATTCAAGAGGTCTAACCGAACAGCCTTGTCAGCCAGAAAGGCCAATTCGTACGCAGACTTCGACTTGAGCTTCTATGTTAACTGGAGGTCGAATCCCGGAATATTCAGCGATCTCAAGAAGGAGCAAGATGTGTGCAAAGTCTGTTTTTGAGTGGTGAATGTTCAAGAGTTATCGACCGAATTACAACTTGAAGGCATCTCCTACGCTCAGCTCTGACCCTCGCGACCCGAGAATCTACGGCTTACCGTGTACACCAGTCAGTTTCAGCTTTGTTTACCGAGGATCCCGCTGAAGTGGCAAGTTGAATGGTCGGAGCAAGTGCGCACACGGCTGCATAGCAGTCCCGCTGCACACGCTGTACACATGTGTAATGTGCAATGTCCCGACTCGAGAATGGTTGATGGACCGATTACATGCCCGATTCGCCAAGTCCCCCAGCAGGAAGGAATGCAGACAGCCATGCATGCCAGTAAAGTGCACTGTTGAAAAAAACGGCATCCCCTACCAAGTTCATTGTGAGACTTCTCATCACTTTTTTCCATCAAAAAACTTGTACGGTCACCCTGGAGATTCCCAAATCGTGTGTACCAAGTCTTTATCATGGCTCCCTCACCGTCACCAGTGCCAGCAGCTGCAGCGATAGCGACTTCATCGCAGACTCCGCTCCCGCACTCATCACTGGAGCCTGAATCCAACACCATCAAAGAACGGCCCCGCAAGCTATTACAAAAGAACGATGCTGTGCCAATGATGAATACCAACGGAGACGTCTTTGAACTCCCAGACTTCACTATTGGAGACATCCGCAAAGCCATTCCGCCAGAATGCTTTGAACGAAGTACACTGCGTGGAGTAGGCTACGTCGCCAGAGACATTACTCTTCTCTCGACCATGTTCTGGCTATTTCACCATTTTGTCACGCCGGAGAATGTACCGTCAGTGGTTGCTCGCGGGCTTCTTTGGTCAGCATATGGCTTTTTGAATGGCTTGTTCGGCACTGGCCTTTGGATAATGGGTCACGAATGTGGTCATCAATCACTGTCATCTTCCAAAATAATCAACGATACTGTTGGTTGGATCGTGCACTCGTCATTGTTGGTACCCTACTTCTCTTGGAAGATCTCGCACGGCAAACACCACAAAGCAACGGGGCATATGGAAAGAGACATGGTCTTTGTTCCACAAACTCGCTCAGAGTTCGCCAAACGTGTCGGCACCGCGATTGAGAATCTGTCCGAGGTTGTGGAAGACGCTCCACTGTATTCGTTCTTCATGCTTTTCGGCAGACAGCTTTTTGGATGGCCCCTCTATCTTCTAGCGAATAGAACGGGTCATAACTATCACGATAGGCAACCGGAGGGACGTGGAAGGAACAAGACGAATGGATGGGGTGGCGGGGTAAATCATATCAGCCCTAGCAGTCCCCTCTACGAAGCTAAAGACGCCAAATGGATTATTGTCAGTGACATTGGCATCTTTGCGACGCTCGCGGCTTTACTGTATATCGGAACCACGTTCGGCTGGTATAATCTTGCTGTCTGGTATTTTTTACCCTATTTGTGGGTCAATCACTGGCTAGGTATGTGACTATATTTCGCTCTACAAATGACCTCCGTTGTGTGTTGCTCACCAATGCAGTTGCCATCACATATCTCCAGCATACTGATGCAACCCTTCCACACTACGACTCTCAATCATGGACGTACGTTCGGGGAGCTGCAGCCACGATCGACCGTGACTTGGGTTTTGTTGGCAGACACCTATTCCACGGCATTGCTGAAACCCACGTGCTACACCACTACGTCTCTGCCATCCCCTTCTACCATGCTTACAAGGCGAGCGAAGCGATTATACCTGTCATGGGCCGCCACTACCGTGCTAATACGAAAGGCGGACCTGTTGGGTTTGTGAAGGCTCTGTATACAAACTTCAGAGAATGCCAGTGGGTAGAGCCGACTGAGGGAATCGAAGGAGATATGCAGCATGTGCTCTTCTATCGCAACAAGAATGGAATCGGCGTTAGGCCTGCTACACTGCGTAACTAGGTGCACAGTGTAACAAAGGCTGCGCTCCTTGTTGCGCACATGGTTGCGCATCTGTGTGCATCCGCTCATCCTGTTTTGGTAAGCACATTAGCGACGGTAATCACCTGGGAAGTATTGATATTGAACACATTTGACAAGAGTTCGAAATCAGCAGTTTCTATTGTTCTGGTAGAATGAATCAAGGAAAGGAATGTTGTCTAGTCTGGATCATAATTTCTAGAGTAATTGCATCTATACGCCACTGGCGGCTCTCCACATATCGGAATCAGATGGCGGAACTGGCATCAAAAGTAATCTGTTGGTTACCAAACCAGTAGAAGTCTAGTTGACGAACCATCTCCGTCAATCGAAAGCTCGGCGATTTTAGTGATTGCAGTAGTTAAATTATTATAATCCGGGCCTAGTATTGCTTTTTCCATTCAGATTGGGTCACAACGACAAACGCGGTGTAGTCGCCTCACTGTGTTCAAAAAGTAGTTCCATCCAGTTCATGAATTGCCATCTAGATGTCGGAAGACGAGGCTGAGAGCTGTCATGCAATCAGCGCATAACCCCGCACATCGTGCACGTGATACACTGGATAACCTGAGCATCTATCGAAGTTAGAACTTCCCTTGCTAGACTAGCCACACCGAGAGCTTTGCCTTTCTATCGACTGATGTGTGCCATAGAAGCTTCCTAGATAATTCGCCAAATCTTTTGAAGACCAGATTTGCTGCCTCACCTCTACTTCGGCACACCACGAGAATGCGTCTTCTCAAAGCTAGGGTTGACGGCGGCTTCAGCCTGACTATGTTTCCCGCCAATCCTCCTTCTTACGCTATTCTTTCACATACCTGGGAATCGGATGATCAGGAAGTCAAACTCAAAGATATAGAAGATGGCGTAGGAACTCACAAAACCGGCTATAAAAAGATTCAATTTTGCGCGAGGCAAGCTCGGAACGATCACTTAGAGTACTTCTGGGTTGACAGCTGTTGCATCGACCAGACCAGCAGCGCGGAATTGTCAAGTGCAATCAACTCAATGTACCGTTGGTATCGAAATTCGGTAAAATGCTATGTTTACATGGCAGATGTCCCTGTAGCCCCAATTTTACCTCTAGGTTGGGAATCTGATTTCCTTCGCAGTCGATGGTTCACCCGAGGATGGACACTCCAGGAACTTATCGCTCCTAAGTCAATAGAATTTTTCAGTAAGAATGGCGCATGCTTAGGCGACAAATCGCAACTCGAATCACTCATCCAAGAGGCGACAGGTATCCCTGACCGAGTTCTTCAAGGGTATTCACCAGCCCAAGTTGGCGTGGAAGAGCGTTTATCTTGGATAGCAAACCGCGACACTAAGTACGGCGAGGATATAGTGTATTCTGTCCTTGGTATTTTCAACATACATATGCTGCCCATGTATGGTGAAAGGGCCGTACATGCATTTGGGCGGCTTGGACAAGAGATTGAGAGGACTCTCGTCTTCGATCAGAAACGTGGGTCTATATGCAGTAGTTTGAAAGCACCGAAGGCTGATTTATCTGGATAGGTCTGACGGAAAAGGATCAACACTGTTTAAACGCGCTACGTAAGATGTCACTATCATATGCTGCCGCAAATGGATTCAAAGTCGTGGTCGCTCAGTTGCTTGAAGAAAATACAGCCGACGTCAACTTGCCAGATGAATCAGGTCGAACACCGCTGTCGTTGGCTGCTGGGAATGGCCACAAAGCTGTTGTAGAGCAGTTACTTGATAATGGCCAGGCTGATCTCAACTCAAAGGATCTACAGTACGGCAAGACACCACTGCTATGGGCCGCCGAAAATGGGCATGTGGCGATCGTCGAACAGCTGCTTAATGCCTCCGCCGATCATCGCGGTCGAAAGCCGCTATCCTGGGCCGCTGAGAACGGATATGAAGCCGTCGTAAAGCAGCTGCTCAGTGTCCGTTTCGGTGATAGCGTTGACATAAACGAAGGAGATGCTGATTTTGGTCGATCTCCACTGTCTTGGGCTGCAGGGAATGGGTATACACATATAGTTGGGGAACTTCTAAGAACAGGCCATGCCACTATAGACTGTCAGGATACTATCCTTGGTCGTACGCCTCTAGCGTGGGCTGCTGCAAATGGGCATGCATCTGGGATCGAGAAACTGCTCATCACAGGCAAGGCTGACGTAAACTCGGAGGACCATTATGGCCAAACAGCTCTGTCTTTAGCCGCAGCAAACGGACAGACAAGCATTTTCAAGCTATTGCTTGAGGCCAAAGCCGACGCAAATTCGAAGGACAAGTTAGGTCTGTCACCAATATTATGGGCTGCTCGAAATGGGCACCAAGCAGCGACTTATTTGTTACTCACCACAACTGGCTCCAGTATTGAATGCCAGGACAAGTATTTTCGGACGCCGCTGTCTTGGGCCGCCGCGAATGGGCATGATGCAGTTGTTAAGCTGCTACTCGATGCAGGAGCCAATGTCAGATCATCGGACATCAATAATCGGACACCGCTTTTGTGGGCTACTAGGCAGCAACACGAGTCTATCGTGATGCTTTTGATCAATGCCAACGCCAATGTTGACTCGAATGATATGTGGAATCGGACGCCCTTACTGATCGCCGCAACGATTGGACATGAGGGCATCGTCAAGCTACTTCTTAGGGAAAATGCTAATGTAGAGTCGAGGGACGACCAAAATGTTACACCGCTGTCTTCTGCCACTCAACGCGGACATCAAACCGTTGTCATCCTCCTCCTCGAGGCCGGAGCATCCGTCGATACCAGGGGTTGGCTGGGTGACACACCCCTCTTTACAGCTGTCAGGTACAGGCGCAAGAAAGTGGTAAAGATACTACTCGATGCTGGGGCAAACACTGAAGTGAAGGATGCTGAAGATGAGACAGCACTGAAAGTGGCCGAGAATCTTGGGTACAAAACTATTGCCTCAATGTTATCTACAATTTCTAGAAAAGGGGTATAGACTTGACACAGAATCTCAAAGACCCGACAACCACACAGTCTAAGTCTCAAACTCTATGTACGATACGAAATCAGCCGTCACAGATCTTGTACTTAAAATACCGTGATCTCAATGCCATTCTATATGTCTCCCACAATAGACATGATGTTGCATGCATGCCTCAACAGTTCTACATGTTAGGGTCCTGTATCGTAAAGACTCGCCCGCGAAAAATAGGGCTAACAGTCTTCTCTTGCGTATGATACTGATCCATGTCTCCGGGATCTGAACTCGTCCCTATCGCTCGGACAGAGTGGTATGAACGATTTTGAGACGGCTGAAACCCAAGACGTGTTTGGAACAGCATTCATCCTGAAAATGATGCTGGAACTCCTTCCAGCCCGCACACCACATTGCAGCCCGAAAAGCCTGTAGGGGTGTGATATAGCTTATGGGGGAGCACGGTTTGGGATCAAACAGAGGAATTTGGGGAAGTATCACCGTTCAGGGTCAGTGCTAGGACTTGTACAAGTAGACACTTCCAATGCAAATACTAAGGCGTGGATGATTTCGTGATAGCATCGGCGCAGCTTGATATGTTCAGTACTCGGATTTTGTGCCCTATTCAAGGGACCAGATCATTCAGTCACCATATTTGATATCTTTCTTGCCGATTTAAGAGCATTTGTCTTTGTTCTCTGATGTATTATTCCGAATCAAGTGTCCTTACTGTATGTACACATTCGTGTCTTGATATAGGATTACACACCAATTTAATGGAGAACGCAGATTTTGGTTCAATCGATACCGACAAAAACCCCCACCTTCTCTAACTCCTCGCGCGGAACTTTTGCCATTGGCGTAACCGCATCAGCGCGCTTGAGGCAATCCTCCACACTGCCCCAAAACTTCTCCAAATCTACTCCTCTAGGAATCCTACACCCGCCTTCGCCCTGCGGCAATTTTGTGGCAACAGTGCGACCGAGCTGACCAATTGTCGACACGTCATCCGAATGAACACCTTCAGTGACGATATCGATTTGGAAACGCTCTCCGCCCCTGTCATCGAAGATATCGGGATCGTACGCAGCGGATACGGCGAGCGGGTCGTGCAAGGGCGGCCCCTCAGTGATGGAGAAGATTTCGGCGTAGGTCCCCGCGAAGAAGGACATGATCTGCGTAAAGAGGGCACGCAGCGCGGACGGGGTTTGTGTGGTATCTGCGCTGGAAGAGTTGAGGGGCGAGTCGGAGCCGTAGAGGAGGGTATGGCGGATAGTCTTGGTGCCCAGGACCTGGTGGCTGAGGTCCAGGGGTACGAGGGTGGTTTTGGACTTTAGGACTGGGTGCGAGAAGATGAAGTGCGAAGCTTCGGGGTCGCAGTAGATGTTGAACTCGGCGTACGCTGAGAGAATGGTGTGAGCGAGTGGGGATTTGGGTTATGTGGTCCTTCTCAGTACGTACAAGTCCAGTTTCCAAATCGTTCTCCCTCGCCCTTGACCTTACCCATTGGGGCGTCAGTGAATTTGCCCCCAATGGCGCCGCCCATGATGCTGAGGCCTTTGAGGTGCTCGGCGAGGTCTGTGTATTTCATGAACAGCAAACCGATGTTGGTCAATGTGCCAGTGGACACCAGCCAGGCTGTTTTGGGTGGCGTGGCGATCAGGGCTTTGTAGGTGGCTTCGAGGTAGTCCATATCTTCAGCTGCCGGCACGACGGGCTCAGGAAGCAGAGTGACGCCATCAAGGCCAGATTCACCTGTTCTCGGTCAATTCTGTGTGTATGGTGTTGCGAGGCGCAGGAGACGAGGTTACCGTGGATATCGACGGCATGAACAGCATCGCGTTTGATGGGTTTGGAGGCGCCCGAGTAGACTTTGATGTCGCGTTTGCCCAATGCTTCAAGCATGCCCCGGGCATTGTAGGTGGTCTGGTCTAGCGAGGCGTTCCCATGCACAGTGCTCACACCCAGCAAATCGACGCGCGGGTCGTGGGCGGCAAGCAGAAGAGCGTAGGCATCCTGATGGAGTGGTGAGCGAGAAGTCGAGAAGTCATAGTATTGATGTGGGGGACGGAATGCCGTACATCATGGCCAGGGTCCTAGCAGCAGTTCGTCATCAGTAACGGCGGGAATGCGGGGGATCGCATAGGTACACACACACAATCCAGCCAGAGCGGAATCTTCCCGCTTCTTTCCGTTGTAGCAGCCATTGTAGTTCAATTGGCTGGGAATTACTTTTGCGGTTTTACGTGTCGAAAGAGAATGAAGAAAAGAAGGAGGGTGAAAGATGGAGGGATGTACATGTGCTGTGGGGTTTTGCTTACTATGAGGGTGGATTGTCTAGCAAGCAGTAGGTAGCACTTAGTCAATCAAGCAATTGGCGGTCAGCTCAGCTCTGCTCTGCTCTGCTCTCACATGCAGGGACAAGCGCGGTGCCTGGCAGGACGCGGGGCAATTCCACCAGGCGAAAGGAGGCAGAGGCGGAGATGGATCGCAATTGAGACTCTCAGAGAGACGGGGAGTCCAGATGCTTTACTTGCTCACTGACGCGTCCTCTCGTCTCGTTCCGACGCATGACTCCGGAGTGATCCCTTCTTACACAGCAAACCGAAGGATGCAATGATAAGTAGTGTATCAAGGGGTGGTCCAAGTGTCGCCCCGGAACTGATGCCTCCTCAACTGTTTAAATATCGTGTTGGTGCTCTTTGCATCCTCATTTTCTCACCTCGGATTACGGTATCGCAGGAAGATATTGGGAACGCAGAATCTGGAGGGGATAAAAGAGGAAGAGGAAGAGCATATTTTAAAATAGACCAAGCCGTGCGACTGGTTGGTTCTGCTTCAAAAGGCACCATCCCATGATACGACGATACGACGACAACTGACAGCTGCGCATTGTCAGCTGGAACTCGCTGCTACTCCTTTGTCTGGTTTCCTTTCTGACACACCGGATGCCTATTGAACCTTTACCCTACACGCCGTCAATAGCAACCTTAATCTTCCTATTTTGTTGGGCTTTTCTTAGACTTCCGTCTCAACAGATTCTACTATTCTACCTGCATGCATGGGATGAGAAGCCCGTCTGGCTAGTTAGCATTCGCATCCGCACACGCTCCCATCAACACCACTCGCCAGCATGGCATTCGGATACGATTTATTCGTCGAGCTGAACGATGATCAGAAACACGCGCGGCGCGTCCTGCTCGAGTTCTATCCCATGGTTGCGCAATGGTCTGTTTTGGCCATCTTTTTGGGATTCCAGCTCTGCTTTTTTCTATCCTGGCTTACGGAGCATGGTTTGGACTACGAAAGACCGCGATCTCCGTCCTTCAACAAACGCTTTGAAGGACCTTCGAGTTGGCTGCGAAGATCGCGTCAAGGCTGGGACAAGGCCATTTGGTGGTTGAAGAAAGACCTAATCTCAAATTGGGGGACACGGGCAGAGTGGTTAGGAGGGACTATTTGGACCGTGTGGTTATTGAACCTCTGCGTTGTCAATACTGGAAATGGTGTGTCTGGATTTTTATTTACTAGCTGTATTCAAGCTGGCTGATACTGTGACAGATTATCTTCACTTGACCAAACGATTTGGCATCATTGGTGCATCCCAGCTACCGTTGCACTATTTGCTTGCCATGAGAGCGCCATACTCGCCGGTCCAGTGGGTCACACGGCTGTCCCACGAGCAGCTCAAAGCCTCACATCAAGTCCTGGGTCGGATAATTTTCTTGCTGTTTGCTCTGCACGCCGCATTCTATATGAATTTCTTCATCCAGGCCGGCTTCCTCGCAAAGCGTATCAAGGACAAGGATGTCATCTTTGGTCTCATCACTTTGACTTTGTTCACAGCAATCAGCACCACAGCTCTGAGCCAACTCCGACGGTGGAACTACAGAGTCTTCTATGTGTCTCACGTCGTCATTGCGAATCTTCTCGTGGTGCCTCTTTACCTGCATGTGTCGCATGTCCGACTCTACGTATGGGAGACGGTCATGGTCAACCTTTTTCACCTCATATTCCGGGCACAGCGTCTCAAAACTTACTCTGGAACCATTCAACTTCTTCCCGGGACAGACCTGGTGCAGGTGCGAATACCGTTGACCTCGATGAACTCTGCTTTGAACTGGCAGCCTGGGCAGCACGTTTACCTCAGCCTCCCCACTGGAAGCGCATACTCACTCTCCGCCAAGGAACAGTTCGCAATGCGAAATTGGACAAACCCGTTCACTGTGGCCTCTATACCCATCAAAGACAAGGAATTGGTGCTAGTCGCAAAAACGTTGAGTGGCAACACAAAGCGACTCGCAGAACTGGCGCGATCTTTGTCGAGCGATGGCCAGATCCCCAGCATTCCTCTAGCTCTCGAAGGGCCCTACGGAGCATCGACGCATTTCCCAGACTTTTCCATGTTTGACAAGATCTTGCTCGTTGCGGGCGGCGTGGGTGCGACCTTCATCATGCCGATTTATCGCAGCATCGTTGATTTTGACAGCGCGGAGCACGCGGGACACCCCGAGGTGCGGTTCATCTGGGCAGTACAGAAGCTCGCTGACACGCAGTGGGCGTTTGAGAGCCCCGCCGTTGACAGCAACGGTGACACCCCGGCGCCGAATTCTCCTGCAGTGGAAGTGTTTGTGACACGTGGGTCCGGGGCAACACTGCACGTTGGGGATAATGAGGCGGATATTGAACTGGAAGAAGCAGACCAACTTCTCTCAATGGAAGAAGAGATGAAGAAGCCCCGGCAAGGTATGGTGTTGAAGACGGGGCGGCCCAAGATAGATGGGATTGTGGGGGAGGTGTTCAGCAAAGGCAGTCGGGTGGCAGTGATTGCTTGTGGGCCGCATCGACTGACGTCCAAATTGAAGACGAGCGTTGAGCAATGGGTGATGCAAGGGCACGAAGTCTTCTACCACGAAGAGACGTTCGCCTGGTAACGGCGGAATCTGTAAATAAATTGGCGATCCGGGTATCTGGGTTTGCTGCCCACTCACATGGGTCGGCGGTGGTCCGTCGCATTGTACGTGGCAAATGCCAGGCAGGCAATCGTGGTTGAGCAGGGACGTGAATAGAAGCTTGTGAGGTACAGGTGATGAATGAATCGGGAGACACGTGCAATGTTGCATCATGATACACTTGCAGGCCAGGCAGGCCCAACGCGTCGAGTGGGCGACAGATGAATTGATTCGTGTGAAAGGGGCAGGCTAAGCAACCCATGTCGACTGAATCGATATCCATGGAGACCTTGGAGAGCTTTTCACCCGGGGCCTGGCCGGTAGGGGAGAGAGGAAGGAGAAGAAAGTGGGTGCCGCCCGAGCGCCCGCCCAATCTCTGGGCCAAGCGCGAATCACCATGCACCAACAAAACAACGCTCCTCGAACCTCGACAACGCCCTCGCTGAGCAACACCCCCCCCCAAAAACAACCACCGCCCGACCATTGAGCGTGCTGGACGTCCCCAGCCGGTGCCTACCCTTCACTCACTCCATTTCTCGTTCTTCTCTCCACTGTTTGTTATTATTGTCGTTACTAGCTCCTCATCCTACTATTAATTGCTTTCCACCGAGCTGTCGGGCGTTCAAGTGCATGCGACCCCAACCAACCACAGTCCAACTTCCCCCCTTCATCTCTACCACGACTACCACCACCGCGCCTCTATCCTCCCCTCCCCCCATGGCTGCGACCATAATCTGCTAATCAGTTCCTCCATTCTCCACGGTGTAGCCGCCCTCGGCTTCCTTTTTCCATTCTTTTCTTTTCATTCTTTTTCACGAGTCCTGCCTGCGTAATACGGCACTGCGCTGTGCTGAATTGCACTGGACTCGCAACGGCTACTCCCGCGCCCAGCCCAACGGTCGACCGTTCTCGTGCAATCGCACCCTCCAAGCCGTGAAACATCACACCAGACGTCAACAGCGCATGCTCAGCATTCATCCTGCAATTGCGCCCGTTCTGTCTCCGATCTGCGAGCTTGCCCCACGTGCTGGACTCCCCTTTGAGCCATCCATCCCTAGATCCAAAGCTCAGCTCCGCTCCCTCCTCATTCTACCCATCTCATGGCGGTAGCATCCTCTCGTCAGCCGCTCCAGCAGCTGACGCCACCGGGCAGTTCCTATGAAGGTGGTGCTGTTGCTGGCGGCGCGGGAGCCGAACCGGCACAAGGAGGACGAGGATCGTGGGATTTTGCCGTGCCCTTGGATTCATCAGCGGTGCGTACCCACCATCCCACCATGTATGCCAGGTCATAGTTAGGGCCATTAGCATCGCTTCACGCTATATCTCTAGCATGACCTCTGGCTCACTTTAGCGCCAGTCCCTACTTGCTCGCTAGGCCGAACTCCAAAACAAGTTCCCTATCCTTTATTGACTGACGTTGCTATTCCAGAAATCCTCGTACCCCGACCACGAGCTTCACATGCACGGCGATACCTCCTCCTCCCACGCTTACCCCTCTCCACCACCCTTTGCCAACCAACCCAATGGTTTTGCCCACTCGGCATCTTCACGAGCTATGAATCCGCAACCACAGTACTACGAGGATGATGTAGCCTATGCTTCCCGCAACCAGGTCAATGGGGCTTACAACATGGGATCCCCTGAGGCTCACGTAGGCGCTCATGATCCAGACAGTCCTATGGAATACAACGGACCCTCTGAAACTGCCCCAAACAGCAGGATCGAAGCAGCACCCAAAGGGAAAGGCAAAAAGAGATCTGCGAAGAAGCAGTCGCCACAGTGGACCGAAGCAGAGCAGAATGAGAACAACTGGATACATCGTGACAAGTTGAAGGAGATTGAGAACCGGGAGTTGGAGGCTGCAGGGTTTAGGGTCGGTCGTTCGAGCAGGTCCAACAGCAGGTCTCAAAGTGCTGGAGCCCGCCATATGTCCCGCGATCGGGCAAATTCGAACGCTACCGACACTCTTTCCAATGGAGACTACCATGCCGATCAACGTCGGATGGTTTCTCCCATACCAGCTGAAGGCGAGGAGGAAGAAGTGCAACAAACTACTGGTTGGGACGTTCGGTCAGCCGAAGAGATTGCTGCCGATAGAGAGCAATATGCGGCCAAGAACACGCACGTCGTTAGACCGAGCACCTCTCGTATACCCATCGCCAAAACAAGCCCGCTCCCGGTGCCCAATAACTTTGTCGAGCGAGATCAGCCACTCCCGAGACCGAGAAACGGCAGCGGAAATTGGGATCCAGATGCAATTGCGAACAATGGTGCTCGTGTGAGGAGCGGAAGCATATCGAGTCAATTCCTGTTGGACGAACCACGCCCCGTGGAAGCCCCCCAGAAGAGCCCCATGAAGAAGCAATTCGATCATCGGGAGACTTCAAATTCGACCCCTACGTCCGCCAAGTCGAAGACTCCAGGAAAACCCACACCCACTTCTGGAGTGCGTAAAGTTACTCCGAAGAACCAGACTAAACCTCGCAATGCGTCATCCAGCTCTCCCGTCAAACGACCTGGCACTAGCGGTGGATCTCTTTCAAGGCCCGGGACCAGCCACCGACCTGAAGGCGAAGCCCCTTGGGTAGCTACCATGTATAAGCCTGACCCGATGCTTCCACCCGACCAACAGATCATCCCAACGCACGCCAAGCGGATGCAGCAAGAGCAGTGGGAGACCGAGGGCAGAGTGGCTTCTGTATACGACAGGGACTTCCGTATGTTGAACACGGATGACTTCAACAAGAGCAAACGAAATTCACCAGTTTCACCTCTGGAACCTGAAGTAGCACCAGCAGATGCGCAATGGCCGTTGTCAAACCCCAACAAACTTGCTCCCGCTCCTATGACCGACAACACACCCAAGTCGCCCATCAGTGAGGCTGGCAGTTACAAGCTCACACCGACTATACCCCAATCGCCCCGTGTTCCCTCTCCCGAGCGTCGGGTTGCTCCAGTCATTGATCCTCTACCTCTGAACACCACTCGACTTCCCGAACCTCCTATTGAGACCGAAAAGGAGAAGGAGAAGAAAGGTTGTTGCTGCATTGTCATGTAGCTGTTTCCAGTTTTTTATACCCACTTTCTATTCCAACCTTTGCCGTTCCATCCGGATCAGCACGCATATTCATTTTCCTTTGTTACAGGAGTTGACGGCGCCTATAGCTCTGCCGTACCATTCGAGTTTTCATATTGTTTTGTTGGGTTGATAGCGTACAGGGGTGTGTCCTTCATCTCTTTCTATGCCCTTTCGCTATCAAAAGGGGGCTTCCAATCCTCCACCCATCCTATTTGTTTTAGCCCGGTGTTTGCAACCTTATGCGTTCACAGCGATGGCTTCATGTTTTTACTTCCGTCTGTCTTAGTAATCTTTTATACATTTCACACTGCGACTATTTTGTTTCCTAACTACAGGTGGAGTTCAGTGGGGTCGGAATGAGGGAAGGGCTTATGGATGATGACAGCGGGACTGTTCGTGGGTCGAGTCCGGAAAACTGCTGAGTAGCAGCAATTGCGTCTATTGCGCATCAAGAATGGAGTATTTCTACAGTAGAGATGATTGTGCCCATTGATTATTGCATCGTCCTACCGTAAATCGATGAGAGTGACGAATTCGTGACATGGGTTGAGCACGTGAGCTGACGATATCGGTAGGTCAGTGCCAAGCTTTTCCCGATACCGCGAAGCGAGCGGTAAGTCCCGACGCACAGCATTCGGTGAATTTCAACCTTCGAACTTTTCATCTCTCTTTCATCCTACACACACACCACACTTATCTTCGAGGATAGCCGACGGATAAGCACATATTCATCATGGTATGTCTGCTACACCCTCTTCTCCGCACACGATCCAATCGCCGCGGGAAAGAGTAGATTTCTTGCGAGAAAAAGAGAGCTCCATCTAACATTGTACCCCACCACAGTCGGACGGAGAAGACAACCACTCAGTCGCCGCCGCCGAGGAGGTCGAGGTCAGCGCCGATGCCAGCGCCGGCAAGGGACAAATGTCCGTTCTTGAGGCCCTCAAGGGTGTTCTCAAGCTCGCCTTGATCCACGACGGACTTGCCCGCGGTCTCCGCGAGGCCAGCAAGGCCCTCGACCGCCGCCAGGCACACATGTGCGTGCTCAACGAGGCTTGCGAGGAGGAGGCGTACAAGAAGCTCGTTGTTGCGCTCTGCTCTGAGCACAAGATCCCTCTCATCAAGGTTCCCGATGGCAAGCAGCTCGGCGAGTGGGCCGGTCTCTGTACGTTTTTACCTTTTACCTTTTCTTCGTTCCTCTCATGATAAGCGCCCCTATGATTTCCGGTCTTATTCATTGCATACGCATCTGCTAACGAGGACACTCTACAGGCCAGCTCGACCGCGAGGGCAACGCCCGCAAGATCGTCAACTGCTCCTGCGTCGTCGTCAAGGACTGGGGTGAGGAATCCCAGGAGCGCAGCATCCTCCTCAACTACTTCCAGACCGAGCAATAGACGTATCACACTTGACCTCCTTTCTCCGGGTTCGACTATTCACCTCTCCTCCGAATCCAATTGCGCTTCTTTGATCGCTCTCGGATGATCGATACTCTCGATGTATACAAGGGATGATCAGATGTGGAACATAATGGATCGATGGGGGAAGTTTTTGATTCGCCAATCTAGTGGAGGGAAGCAAGGAATGATATCCAATGGAACAGTCAGAGAGCAAAAAGGATAGCAGCACATCTTCCTCGCGAGATGAATGATAGACTTTGAATCAATCTCAAAACGAGCAAAAAACAAATCCCGGCTGCATCTTCAATGAATGGATGGAGTACTAGGTTCTGACCTGCTCTCGTTCAATGTGTTTTTTTCTACAAGTGAATGCCATGACTGTCCACATTCTAACGCCTCCGAACCACACAAATACTCACCCTGAACTTTTGAATGGACAGGCAATGCATTTCTTAGCATGCCAAGCCGTAAAAACATGAAATGCATATACTCTCCTGTCCTGCCTGCTCCACTCCCAGCCCTCCCTTCACTTTCTTACCTTTTAGAACCTCAAGCGTGACCAAATTATCAAAACAAAGAAACGGTAGAATAGCAGAAGGCGATCGATATGAAGTAAGGAAAAGTTTTTTATTACTGCTATCTCCTGTTTTCAGTCTTGACTTGAAAAAAGACTTTGTCATATCGTCATCAATCGTTGCGGAGGAAGGATATATATACTGCTGGCTCCTTTCCACATCCTTCCGACCGCACTAAAACGTAACAAAAGCGTTCTCTCTCTCACCCATTTGATCAAAATGGAATGAAAAGAAAGAGAGAGAGAGGGAAATAACATGTAAAGAAGAAGACGAATGTAAAGTAGAAGAGAAGAGAAGAAAAGAAAGACCCCCATCCATGTTTGCGGTATCGGTATCAGTATCAAGAAACTCCACTACACGCCAATTATCAAATAGCAAACCCTACCCTCAAAGGCCTCCCCGCAAAAGAAAAAAAGGGGAGGAACCATGCCATGCTGCCGATCATCAATCATGCATACAAATCAGCCGTGCCATCAATAAAGACATGCCAGATAAACCCGGCAGCTACCAGAAGAGACCTCCCACCCGCCTACTTCTCCAAAAAGCATGCTCGACGAAGAGAAAGAAAGAAAACAGTACAACGTCTTACGTAACGGAACTCACTCACTTCATCCCATCATCTCGCTATCCTCCCCAAAATCGTCGTCCATGTCGTTGAGTCCCATGCCGTTCGCGCGTGCCGTAACATTGACAATCATTTCGGGATCAGCGCCCTCACCGTCGTCATCAAACATGGTGGATTGGCCGTCGATGAACATGGACGGGTGACGCCGGTGCGGGGAATCGGCATTGAGGTAGCTGCGGAGGCGGGACACACCAATACCGCTGAATACGCAAAAGACTTCGCGCTGGTGCTCGTTGAATTCTGTGGCAGGAAGGGGGTAAGCCGGAGGTCCATGTACAATGGTGCTGTATATCTAAAAAGATCTTGGCGGGGAAAAGATGGTGGACTTACCTGCAGGTGCTTCACGACAGAACACGACAAGATCCTCACGAAGAAAAGCTTGAACTCCCGTCAAACTCAGATGGGTCAGGCGCATGCAGCTGTTCAGCAGTGCATGAATACCCTGTGTCTGTGTCAGTAAAGGTTTCCTAGTCGTCTGGGAACATTGTGAAACAACGTACCGTCAGCGTCAGGTTGGTGCAGTAGCTCAGATGCACCCTCTCAAGCACGCTAGGCGTGACAGGACCACCGTGTCCAGCCTGCTTGGGTTTGGCGAGAGCCAGAATGCTGCGGTCCGTGATGGCACCGCACTTGACTAAACCGATCCGCTTCAGCTTCGGCAGAGCTGCCAGCATCATGATGGATTGATCCGTGAGGTTCGTGCAGCATGCCAAGTCAATGTAGCGGATGCGGTTGCAAAGCTTCACCAACTGCATCACACCCGCATCCGTGATTTTCGAGCAATGGCCAAGGTGAATGTAGTGAAGGTTCTTTCCAAGGCGTGTGATGGTCATGACAGCACGATCTGTGATGTTGCGGCACTTGTTAAGAACGAGATTGCGTAGACGCGGAGCGGCTTGTATGATCCTTTGGACGCCCGTGTCTTGCAAATCAGTGCAATCGGTAAGATCCAGTATGCGCAGGGCATCGTACGTGGCATCCTGCGGAAGGCGCAGGAAGGCTTGGTCTGTGACACGCCAGCAGTGGGCCATCCGCAACTCTCGCAGGTGTGGACCTTCGGTGATGAGAGTAGTGATGGATTCATCTTCGAGGGATTTGCAGTCGTGAAGGTCGATCTCCAGGATGTAGCGGCAGTTTTGAGCGATTGCTATGATCGATTTGTCGGTCAACTGCGAACAGCCGTTCAACTTGATCTGTACCTATGTTAGTCTTACGTTTGGCTTTCTAATCGGAACTCGTGTGACCTTACCCTCTTCAAGTGCTTGCAGCTCGCAGCCACCTTCTCAAGCGATTCATCCGTAATCTTCTTACAATTGGTGATGTTCAGGCCCTGCAGCCGCACAGCATTGTTGGCCAGCATGACCATGGACCTATCGGTAATGGAGTCGACATTGGTGACATCCAAAGCGAGAAGGTGTCGGTTGCCATGGAGCATGGCCGTCAGGCTGAGATCGGTCAACTTGTTGCAGTTTGTCAGAGTCAGGCGCTCGACACGCTTGCAGGCGGACAGCGGCTGGAGGGTACCATCGCTGACTTCGCTGCCGAGAGCTGATAAGTTGAGGCGCTTGATCAGGCTCGCGTAGTCGAAGAAGCTATCGGCTCGACCCACGGTTTTGACGACGGTCTTGAGAGACGGCCACTTGCCAGTCTGTGGGCGGTGCCACAGGGGGCCCACGCTGTTCCTGGCCCAGTCTCTAGATACCAGCATGCAACTCTTGAGGTCGGCAGGGGAAGACAGCTTTGCGAAGACGGCAATCATGAGTTCGGCGGGCAGGCGGGATATGGGGGAGACACGGGCCCGCTCTTCGAGAGCGCGGCGCAAGCCCTCTTCGTCTGAATCGGGGGAGAGCGACGGCGCAAGAGACGAAGCCGAGTCGTTGGCTTGGAGCATAATGGAGTCATTATCATCGTCGGGCCCGCGTTCGGGCGAGGTGGATGCGGAGGTGTCGGAGCGAGAAGCGCTGACGTCGCGCAGAGCCCTCCGTGATCGAGCCATGGGGTTTGGTCTGGACTGCATATGGGCGGGACGCGAACGGGTGCGGATGGATTGTATTTTTTTTTGGTTGGGCGGGCGGAGGTCGCGAGGAAAGGAGTGAAAGAAGGTGGTGGTGTTGTGTTGTGGTGGTGTTTGCGGTAGGAGGTAGGTGGTTGGCCGGTGAGATTGATGTTATGAGGTAGGCAGGTAAGCGATGAATGGGTGGGCAGGAGCAAACAGCAACAGCAACAGCGACAGGTAGTAGCGCGGCACGTCAGTGCCAAACAAACAACTGTGTAAGGGTCTGGCGGCGGGATTGATCTGGGTGGAGACGGGACGGAAGGCGAGCAGCGAGCTGGAGGGGGGTTGGAGAATAAAAAGGAACTGGCGGGTGGAGTCAATCGATGGTAGGATGGGTAGACGTTGCCGTCCGTCGTGGTGGTGGGGTCAGCAACCAATGGGTCAGCCGTACCGTTGTCGTATATGCTATGCTATGTAGGTGTGTACTGTGTGCATGTACAGCCTGTATACATGTATAAAAATGGGTGGAGGAGAGGCGGTGGATGGCGCGGGCAGCAAAGCGAGCAGGGTCGACTCTGTAGGGAGGAATAATGATCGGATTGGGGGTGGTGGGCTGGAATAGGTAGTGTGTATGTATGTATGTAGGCAGTTGAAATGATGATGGAAATGCAACAAGCGATTGTTTTCTTGTTCGTCTTCCTCTTGCTGTTGATCTTTGGTAGGGCCACCTTAATTCGTTGTAGGCAGGTCTGGGCAATATGAAGACATGGCTACACATGTATGAAGTATGCGCATCTATCTTCCGTGCCTCTGTTGGTGGTCGGGTTCAAAGGCACTTAAGTACATGTGTACATATGTATGTTAACTTGCTAGTCAAAGGCGGAGCCGCGTAAGACGACGCCGCATGCTCAGGGACACTTGGAGTGCAACTACCACAGCTGGTTACGAGCAGACAGGTCTGAAGAAGTATTATGGTTTGGTCTAAACAAGTTTTATAGCTGGCCCCCCAGAAGAGCGCAGTTGGTGAAGTGTCGTTTGTGCGTTGACAGCTTGAGGTTCTGGCCCCGTTCTGTGGCTTTGGTCCCTCGTCTCCCCCTCGTCTTCCCCGCTTGACCTTCCTGCATCTCGTGTTGGAGCATCAGCCTCAGGGTATCACTGTGCTCGAGCCGAAGGGGTCTCGAGGCCTATGGCTCTCTCTAGAACACAGGCGTGCAGCAGCATGACAGCCATCACGACCAGAATCGGGGGGTGCTGCGTCCTTGCTTAGCCCGCCCCGCGTCGTCACTCGTGGTCGGCATCGCGGGCCTCATCATGCCCGACTTGGATCGACAAGCTTGAAGTTAGCTACACAGACGCACCCAGGGAGTCGGCTGCTCTGTCCACATGACCCCCTGAAACATTGGTTCAATGCTGACGGACATTGTCATTTCTGTGGGTACATGTATATTATTCATTGACTGTTATAACTGTTCGAGTTCATCATCTAAAGAAAGAAAAGAGAAAAAAAGAAAGTACACCGTTGTACTCTGTGACGACTGACACATGTTCCACCACAGTGTCTTCTAGGTTCGTCTCCTACATGTAGGTACCCAATCTCCGAGGTGCGTAATCTCTACCCAGCAAACCTTGCCCTTTCTTTTCTTCTTCATCGACGGAACACTCACGTCACATCTACCTGGTCGGGACATATGGCGACCCGAACCGTGACGAAAGCATGAATTCCGGTTCGCAGGTAGCTTTGGGGCGGATGGCATGTGCGCCGCCGCGTGCCCTTGCCATCTGCAGGGCGAAACAGCAGAGCGGGCGTGGGGAATAATGAAGCAATCCGCCATCTGTCTCGACATGGTACTAGACTTATTCCCATTTGTATGTGAAGCCATGCAGCTTGGTCGCTCTGTCCCCTGGGAACAACAGCAACAAAGTGTCCATGTATGTCGTCACATCTATAAATGGAACCTAGCAAACGGAATCAGCATGGAACTGTGATTGGCTTATGGAAATATGACATATTCAACGTCCCCCATCAATGGATTGTCTTCTCCACGTGAACACCATTTGAATGCATTCTACATTGAAGCCTGATTGGTTTCGGCTTAGCGCCATGCCTGCGCCACATATGCTCAACCACCCTGGCAGAAGTCGACCGTGTATTCCAACCCTTTCATAAGTAAATAAACATAATTCGATTTGATAGTTACCAATGTAGACTGTACAGACGTGGAATAAATCTCGTCTCCCACCAAAAGACCTGTACAGGCACCCATCACGACACATGTACCTGTTCAGAATTGCTCAATCCGCCAAGATTAAACCGCCAGTGACGTGCATAGGAATAGTGGCTTCACTCGACCGCTTCGACGACGACCTGTGTACTTACTCTTGACGGTGAAACTACTTGTCCACGGGCATCCTATGACCTCCGCGACACTGCAACACCACGCCAAGCCACACACCTCTCCCTAACCTTGCTCCCTTTTCGAGTCCAGTCCACCACCACCTTCGGTCCGTTCACAGCCAGTTCATTCTACATGCAACCCCTATAGCGCCCCGCCCCCCGTAGCTCGCTCCTGCACCGCTGCGGGATACCACCCACCTACAACAATGTCCTCCGCTCGCTATGCCTCTGTCCCGCACCAGCAACAACCCAATGCTTACCGCCCACCGGCCCCCGTAGCCCAGGGCCCGCCAGGCACCTTCGCTCCAGGCACCAAAGTTCAGGTCGGCAACCATCGTGTCACAATCGAGAGATATCTGTCCGAGGGCGGCTTCGCTCATGTCTATCTCGTACGCGTTCCTACCCCCGATGGCCAAGGCACTCCCGAGGTTGCCGTGCTCAAAAGAGTCGCTGTGCCCGACCGAGATGCGCTCGCCAACATGCGGACCGAGGTGGAGACGATGAAGAAGCTCAAGGGCCACAAGCACATTGTCACCTACATGGACTCGCATGCGTCTCAGCTCAAAGGGGAAGGCTTCGAGGTGTTTCTGCTCATGGAGTTCTGCTCGGGTGGAGGGTTGATTGATTTCATGAATACCCGCTTGCAGCATCGTCTCACCGAGCCTGAGATTCTGCACATCTTCTCGGATGTCGCCGAGGGCGTGGCCACGATGCACTACCTCAGGCCGCCGTTACTGCATCGCGATCTCAAGGTGGAAAATGTTCTCATCACCACCGTAGGGAACAATCGCATATATAAGCTCTGCGATTTCGGTTCCACAGCCCCCCCGCGTCCCGCCGCGAAGACTGCCGCCGAAGGGAGATTAATCGAGGATGATGTGCAAAGACATACCACGCTGCAGTATCGCAGCCCCGAAATGATCGACGTATACCGGAAACAACCCATTGACGAGAAAAGCGATATCTGGGCCCTGGGTGTCTTGCTCTACAAGCTTTGCTACTATACCACGCCCTTTGAAGAGGTCGGCCAAATGGCCATTCTGAATGCGACTTTCAAATTTCCAGCATACCCTCAATTTTCGGACCGCATCAAGAAGCTCATATGTATGTGTCTGTTTGTAGGGCTGTTGTGTGCGCTGCTAATTATAGACCAGCATCCATGTTGCAGGAGAGTCCTCAACGGAGACCAAACATCTATCAAGTGGTCGTCGAGGTGTGCTCCATGAGACATAGATCGGTGCCTATAAAAGATGTGCGATTGATTCCTCTACCCACAAGACGCCTACTGAAACCCCTCTAGATATACTCGCATAGGACCCAATCGGAAGACCGGAGGAATCAGCAGTTGCCTTCCCCCGAGCCAGATGCTGCCTCGCCCCCAGTTATTGGTCTTCAAAAGGTCGCCCCAGTGCAAAAAGTGCAATCCATCCCTGACATCACCCCGATGCGAAGGGGGAGAGTAAAGGCGCCCGCTGCCCAACCCTCTGCGGCGAAACCGAGTCCTTCGCCTATAAGAGGAGATCCGTTCGCGGCTTTGGACTCTGACAACGTCGATGTGAGACGAGCAGCTGCAGACGAACTCGCGTCCCGATTCCCTTCGTTAGATCAGTTTTCGCTCCTGCATGATAGTGGGCAAAAGTTTGAATTCGACCAAGGCCCAGCTGCCTCTGATCCGCAGCTCAACCAAAAGGTTACCCATGCTCTCGCTGATCAAGTTTTTGCATCCGTTTCTACCGGCAATGCGGAGCTTGCGCCGCCAGCGAAGCAGAGCTCTACTCCTTCGATCGCCAACAACTCAAGGTCAACATCAACCAAGCAGCAGCCGCAACCGCCTAAACAGAAACATGACATCCCGAAAGATACGCCACGTGCTTCCAACCCAGCTATGCAACCGCCACCGAAACCGTCAGGAATGGTATCCACCGGAGTGCAGACATCGCCCACCACGTCCCCAAACTCCACGCAGCCACCTCACTTTCCCGATGTGAACAAGAGACCTATTTGGCGTGTACCAGATGTCAGCTCGCACAGTCGTACCATGAGCCAGCCTCGAGCGTTCGAGAAACCGTTGCCCAGCCCAGGAGCATTGCACACCCGGCCATCGTTGCTCGATTCTGCGCGGTCAAGATCTCATACTTCCGGCCTTTCTATCCCCAGATCTCCGGCGTCTTCACGCCCGTCCCTGGAAAGTTCACGGCCATCTGCCATGGATCTCGGTAGCGCCCTCGACCGGTCCAAGTCCGCTCAGGGCCGACCGGTTAGTATTCATGTCGAGTCCAACCTCGATTTCCTTCGAGAGCGAGAGGCTGCCCCAGGACGAAGTTTCGATGCACCCTCATTATCCAGGGGACCGCCCTCAGCCGCGGTTCAAGACTCAGATTCGGAAACGGAAGAGACCAACATCACATCCAACGTCAACTTCCTGCGCGCCATGGAGAATGAAGATGCGTCCAGCAAGAAACACCGCCGCAGTAGCAGCCAGAGCAAGCAGGCGAAACGTAGCAGTCTTTCTTCCATAACAAGCAACACGAAGAATATTGTAAAAGGTCGATTCGGGGATGCCTTCAGAAAGTTCGAAAGCAACACCTCGTCTGCGCCTGAACGAGGCCCTTTGACACCCACCCACCAGGACATGGATTCACAAAGTACGAAATTAACTCCTATTGCTGGCTCTGAAGCTACAGGAGGACTCAGCGATGATGACCGCGTGATTGATGAAACGGAGGACCTTCCCCCAGAAGTCCGCCGGGAGCTCGAACGGCGTCGTCTGAGCCAGGAAGAACGCCGCGTAGAAGCAGCCGCGGCCGAATACCGTCAACGCATTGCTCATGAAGGAAAAGGCAAAGCCGGTCCAACTCGCGCATCCACCATTCAAAACCGGGTCAAGAATCTGCTGGACGAGAGCCAGAAGCAACCTCCGACGAGTCGCACGGCCGAAGGCTATGGCAAATACACCGACCACGACAGACCGCCCTTGCCAACAAGACCGTCCGACCAGTCCGGCGCGTCTGCAAGACCGCCGCCCACCATCGCACGCAAACCAATCGCTCTTCCGACCCAACAGCAGCAACCGTCCACCGACCTCCCCTATGCCAAACCACGCCCCAATGTTCCCCACCTACCACCATCATCTGCGTCCGCTCCCCCAGCCACGCACCGAACCGCGACCGGTCCAGCTCCCGCCGCCAATCGTCCCCCACCGCCCTCGAAACCGAAAAACCTGCGCACAGGAGGGGGCGGCCCGGTTCCTGATTTTTCAGCGCCCGCTGGTCGCCAGTCGCCTATCAAAAGCAGTGCCAGCGTGAATACAGCGGGTCTACCGATGCAGAGCAACAGGAACAAACCACTGCCCCCTGTCGTTGGTAATCTGCCGCATCGCCGGAACGAGAGCGGGTATGCCAATGCCAATGCGAATGTCGATCCGGCGGATTGGGATGTAGACAGCTTCAGTAAACGCTATCCTAGTTTGAGCGGGTTGGAGATGGTGGAGACGGAGATCCCAGCTAGAGGCACGGGTAGATAAGTTGGTAAGGGAGGATGTTTGATGCATATTTTGAGCGTTGTGCGGATATATGGATGTGTAACAGTAGTAGTGTTACCACCATCTGTTGTCAAAGTCCTCCGTGGTAGGAGTAAATGTGGATATATGTATGCATGTTGTATGTAGATGAACGGACAAGAGAGATTAGGCCCTGTCCATCCTTTCTTATTTGGATTCGTCTGGGCAGCTACATGAAGACAAAAAGGATGCTTTTCTCTTTGGTTTCTTTTAGAGATATAGAGAAAAATAGGAACGAGTAGATGCTTGTCATTGCAAATATTGCGTGTGTGTGTGTATATATATATCACGTTATCCTACATTCTATCATCATTCATTCATTCATCCCTACCGCACCTCTGGCTATGTACCCCCGACTCTACCACGCCGTTTTTCTTCTTTTTAGGATCCCGACGGGATAGTTTGGACACCTACAACAAAACTCTTCTTAACAACTTTTAAACTTTCATCCATTCATACAGGCATTTTCTATCTTAATACAGGGGAAGAAAGAAAAAGGTCAATCACATGTATATACATCATTTTTGATCGAAATAGACATAGCGTTGGGAAGCGGGAGGGGAGGGGAGAGCGAAAGTATGTGCATGTGTTCTGTCTTCTCTTACGTTTTTTGGGGGGAACGGGATGGATATGGATATGGATATATATATATATATATATATATATATATATATATATATATATATTCGAATGTCCTAACCGTCCCCAAGAATTTCGTAGAGACTGTGAGATGGGATTTGGGATCCGTAACGGGGATTTGGAAATGGGGGAAGGCAGACTCGACTAGGGAAAGGACACACAAGGGTCATTCTATTGCTCGCTCGTTGATAGTCTTATCTTTCTTCTTACTGCTCTCGGCACCGTTCTCTTTGGTGGTTCTTTCTTACTGGAGTGGGAGAATGATGTGCGTTTGAAATTATATTTGTTTGTTAGTAAAGGAGAGCAGGGGAATTTATCTCTCAGAGAAGTGTTCACAGGTTTTAGGGAAGAAGATATGTATATATCAAGAGAGAGAGAGAGAGAGATATGTTTCTATTCGCTTTCATGTATCAGACTGGCAAAGAGTCGTGCCATCTCTGAAGGGGGGCCAAAGAAAGAAAAGAAAAACGGGAAGAACGAGGAGAGATGAGCTGAGAGGGATAGTAATTGGTAATAATGGAAAACTGTATGCTATGGAAAAGATCTGTCTACGTTTTCTGGTACGATTACAACAAAGCCAGATGCAGTGGGGAGCAAGAGGCCATTTTTCTTTCCGTGCTCCTAGCTCACCATCTTCCACATGCATTTCTAATGACGACAACGACAACCAACAACGATATCAGCCTAAGGGACAAGAACAGAAACAAAGAAAAATCAAACTACGCCCTCGAGCCACGCATTAGCTGCAGCAGCCCCTTAGCAGCCTTCCCTTTACCTGAAAGATCATCGTCATAACTATCCTCACGTATCCTCCGCTGCTCCTCCGCCGTTCTCTCAACTTCTCGGTATTGTGTCGGCGCTGGCACCGAGTATCTGACTTGGCTAGCTGAAGAGGGTGGCATATGCTGCGAAGCGGGCACATGGTGCTGCGAAGGGGATACGTGGTACTGCAAGTGCGACGATGCTGTTGATCTCGCACTGGGGTGGTAGTCTTGCGGCGTTCGCGACGAGTAGGCCGTAGGGGCGAGCACGGGGGCTGGGGCTAGTTTGCCTATGGGACGGCCCGGGTCGAGGTTTGCTTTTATGGAGAGGAATTGAGGGGAGTTGTACTTGTTGTTTGCGGACATGTTGGAGGAGGTGGGGGTGGTAGAGAGGGTTATGCTGGGAACGCCGGTGGTGGAATGCGGAGGGGGCATCATCAAACGTGGTTTTCTTGTTGCTTCAAACGACGAGATAATGTCGGAGCTGCGTTTGGCCGTTTGGTTGGTCCTGACCTTGTAGATACCGAGGGCTAGCCTTGTGCGCAGGAGTTCGGCTCTGGACTTGTCCTTCCTGACTTGATCTACGGCCAGAGGTGGGGGAGATGGCGAAGGCGATGGCGGGGGGCGTTCGCTCTTCTGGCTCGCACATTGGTCATAATTTAGGAAGTTGGAGAAGGAGTTCTGGGAGGGCGGCTGGACTGGCTGCCGCTCTTCGGGCTCTGGGGTGGGCGTGTTGCGTTCGGTAGGCGATCCGGGTACGGGAATGTCTACAGGATGGTTTGTCTACAGTGAATCAGTCAAATTATTGGTACAAATCACGCGCGGTGAGCGGTACCGTATGTTTTTCCAATTCGGTAGCTGTCAGAGCAGCCTTCCACCCCATTTTCGGATCGCGTGCCCCAAACATGGCCTTCGCGTTCCCCGCGTTTTCCGCGTCCTCGACCTCGTAGATGCTTCGTTTCTTGCTTGGAGAATGTGGCACTGGGAATTTAAGGTTCTCCTTATTCAGAGAAGCATTGGGCAAAAGAGTGGAAGCCTGGGTCAATGGTCCTTTGGCTGGGGCGACTCCGGATGGGAGCGGCGCGTGTCTTTGTTTTGAAGGCGAGTTGAGAGCTTTCGGGGTAACATCACCCAAAACGCGTCGAGGCGTGGCTTTGGAAGGCGAGTGAGAGGTTGACATTCTACCTCTACGAGGAGTGGTGTTGTTTACGCAGGTTGTTTCGTGTCGAGGGTAGCAGATGATAGACGCGCGTTGAGCCGCGATGAGCTGGGAACGGTACCGCGCGTGCTGGGCCGTGACAGGTGGAATGATAAAGAAATAGTCAATTGTTGAATGCTATTACAGCCAACGCACCGGGTCTCGAGAGATGGATTGAGAGGAGTGGTAAAGATGCTGTGGTGTAGGTAGCGAAGTCGCGTCCCTCATGTACCGGGAAAGCACAGGATACTCCAGACATCCTTGTCATCGCGCAACCCATCCGATTGGCCCTCGCGTCCAGCACAACCCCACACTGCCAGCCTCCCCACCATACGTGGGTAAACGGGGACTATGCACGCTTCAACAGCAGAACCCCATGGAATATATTCTGTAAATGTCATATATGTATCAATTCTCCATGCACATACAGAATGCTCGACATAGCATGCTTGCATCACATTCCAATACTACTATCCCACAAACCGGGGTCAAGAATATCCGAGTTGAACCAGTCAAGCGAAGGCTGGCAGCTAAAGAGCTGAGATAACATATCGTCGTCCCACGAACCCAACTGATTAGCATCATCAGTACTCAGTGATGGAGCGCTCGAATCTCCATGTAATGTGGATGCTGTGACGGTTCCCCATTCAGGCACTTCTGGCGGCCGCTGCTGCTGCTGATGTTCCGTGCCCTCGGAACCTCTGACCAGCGGTTTACAAAGGGCCAAGAGACTGCTGCATAGTCGCCTAAGCCGTTCGACATACTTGTTTTCCACAACGAGTGAGAATAAGATGTCGACAACTTCGTGGAGGAGCAGGAAATCGGAGACATTGTATGTGCCGACTACGTTGCAGAAGAGCACGAAGAAGGGGCTGATGGGGTAAGAAAGAATTGTCCTGCATCTGCTGTTAGACTTGTTGTGTGGATAGCAATGTGGCATGTTGATAGTTCTAGGTGCTTACCAGGATATATAAGGGCTAAAGTCTTCGATGAAATGACCTTGTTGCTTGCCTAGAACATGGATCATCTTGACATATCCAAGAGCCTTACGCGCAGATGCAAGACATTGTTCTCTCTCCGTTGGATTGGTTACAACGGTAGGGCTGAGCCGGTGCACTGAAGTTAAAAGCGAGTAGTATCTAAATTCGAGGGAATACCAGTGCAGCATGTAATCTGGACTAGACTGGAAAAGATCTTCTGACCGCGCCTTCAAGAACATCAGCATACGCTTGGAGAGAAAAGAACTTGAGCCAAACATACAGCTTGCATTTCAGAGTATATACTTTCCATGCTGTTTCGCAATTGGCCAACTGCACTCGTGGTTACAGCTTTTTTGTGTACGCAATTCACTGTCAATTGTACGATCTGCTCCATCACAGGGACCGTTTCGAGCATAAATGCTGCAAAAACTGCCGCGGGATTACTTGTATCTCGTTGAACCAAAGAAGCGACCGGTACGCGATAACGCGGTAACGAGAGAGGTCGCAGTAACAACAAGCTTAACAATCGGTCGAAATGGTAACACCAAGCCACTGCTGCGTGGATTTCGTAAAGGTCACTGTCATCAGCGCTTGATGCTTCAGGATGGATATGATATCCTAGAAGTACTAATGTGCGCGATGCATGCGTCGTAAGACTCCAGCAAGCTGTGGAGTTGCCTATTATTTGCATCAAGATGGCCTGAGTTTTTTCAGTTATCACCACTCCCCGAATATTTTTGTTGAACAGTGGGGTATACACACCCCAGTCAAGAGAGTTTGAAGCAGCAACAAGGACGGTGAGGCCAGAAAGCTGACACCATCGAGGGCAGTGAGGGCGGCGTTGAGATGGTGAAGTTGCCTTTTCTTGACGTGTAGACGAGTAGTATCAGTCTGTGAAATCTCAAGCTGGCTGGCATAAAGCCCTAGAGCTGCTTTGAAATGCACATTCACTTTGTACATGTTGAGGACACGCTCGTCGACTGTTCCTTCTAATAAGCCGTGCACCATCTTCTCCAATGCTCCGGGCGGAAGGTGATCCAGAGTATGAACATTCCAATGAGAAGGGTCCGAACCACTATGATTAACTAAGAACGGTCAGTACACGTCTACAAGCATCACAAGGCAGCGTACTTTGAAGAAGAATCTGGACTAGCTCGCCCGGTGCAAGATCGGTCGAAACCTTGTCCCATGCGGTGTTCTCCACTGGATGGGACGGGGATTTGGATAACTCATCAGCCAAACTGATTGCCGTTTGCAGCACGGTTTGCTGGTATGATGCAAGTAGACTGTTATGGGAAAGCTCCTCCTGCAGGAGTTCGCGATCATTGTTAGGGGACCGACCGTGTGATGGCACTGAAGCAGAAGATGATAATGCGCTATACGTCAAGGGCTCATGGGTTCTTGTCTTTTTAGAGCTCGTGGAGGCTTCACTTTCTGACAATCGCCGGATATGGCCAAGAGGTGACGGGCCTGTAGCATGAACAGGAAGGGAAGAGCCAACATTGGCTGCGTTCTCAAGGCTGGTCAATCTTTCGAGAAGAAGCCTGATTTTATCATCGCTTCGACATGTTAACAGGGTCTATCAGAGAGTGCGCTCATTCATGGTCTCTCGCACGTTTTCATTCGCTGCCGCCGCAATGGGCGCTTCTGCCGATTGCGAAGGCAGTGCGTGTCGGCGCCGATGCAGTTCCCGCAGGGATCTTCTCGGTCGCATTTGACCTGACCATACATGTCAGGTTTACATATATCTTGGGATATGGGAAACTGCAAGTCGCGAACCTTTTTCCAGTGACATCTATCACACTATTAATCAATGAGAGTGGATCAATACGAATGCAGCACACAGGACCAGAAGGGTGGAGCGACGCACCGCAACAACTCCTCCGTGGGCTGCCCAATTCTCCTCGGACATTGCTCCTCAAAAACAGGCCAAGGTTGAAAGCTCGCAAAAACGATCAGAATACATGAATTATGCGTGTACGGGATTGACAGGTTTCACGAGCTCAAGTTGGAGGTTCGGAACGCCAAGGAAACCGAAGCCCGTAGGAAGATGGATCCACTTCCGACTACATCACATGACATGGCAGCGTACATGGCTGATGAGAGCGGGTTGATGGGCGTTGTTTCACTTGCAGGTCGCGAGGGAAGATATCTGTGTGGGATGTTTAAATATCAAAGGTTAATCTATGGTAATGCAGGCTGGTCATGCCGTAAATTGGGCATGCAGAAAATATAGTAGGGTGGAGGTGGAAGACGGTCATTGCCACATGGGAAGCAGGATACATGAACGATTCGCATCGACAGGCATGGGCATGAACCGTGGGGTGGCCAACCAGATGGAAGGGCACTATCAATAACTGATTTCTCAATGCAGCAAGGTCTGGGTGCAACAACGAAGCAAGTGAAGTAGCACGTGTAAAAGGACGAGGAGGATTAACCGGTGTGGTGTTTGTGAGGTTGGTTACTACCGTGGGATGTGAGAACCAGTAACGGCAAAGTGGCGTCGTTGACCACACGGCTGCTCCCGAGCGATCGCATTAGGCTGTTCTTGGGATGCCCCTGTCCATATTGGTTGATAGGAAGCGGATCTGCAAGGGGACGCACAGGAGGGAACATGCGTTGGTGAAGCAGGCAAAGCGAGAGGCGAAGACCAAACGGAGAAGAAAAAGAAAAAGAAGGTTTGATGCAGCAGCACAGATGGAGGCGTATGGGCTAGGCCACGGTGTTCTCATGATGACGGTTGAATAGAAGACGTAGGGGGCATGTGTGAATAGAAAGTTGGTGTCAGCGTGGGGGAGGGATTTTGAAGACGATGGCCGAGTCGTCATAGCTGGAGGAGGTGACGAGATTGGAGCACAGGTACCACGACTGCAAGAAGACGGTGAGAAGGTCAGTCAGAGCACGGTTGCCGACTGTTGGTAGCTGTGGGTGAAGTGGGTACCGATACGAAGTTGGGGAGGGAAAAGAAAAGAAGAGAGATGGAAGAGACACACAGGCACACATATGGCATAGACACACAGGGCGTCTCAGGTGTTGCCAGCCTGGACGGGGCGGACCAATGAGGGAGGGCCAGAGCGGCCTACGGGCATGGGCGAAAAGTGTGGGGGCGCAAATGCCGCCATTATCAGAAAACGAATGATAACAAATTACAGCCGCAGCAACTTGAATCAGTCCGACTGACTGACGGATGGATGCATCTGAACAGACATCGACCGATTGTCCCAATTCATGTATCAACACATGCGTGCACACACCGTGGATGTCTACTTAGTTGTATATATATATATATATATATATATATCAAAGTCGCTGTCAAGACTTGAGGCTGCTGTAGATGATGGCGTAGACATTGGTGAGCGGCCAATGGCAGGGCGTCGGCGTAGCGTCTTGTTATCCCACGCCCATCCATCCATCCATCCATTACATTTACCCCTGGGACTCTCTTATCTTGCGCCCCCCTTCATGCCCCCCCTTCCACGACCACCCATCCACCCATCCATTCCTCGTTCCAGCATGCCATCCACTGTCATGGCAGGGCTGCCACCGCCGCGAGCTCTGTCCTGACCCACCCCAGCGCGGGTGCCCCAGCTCCGCCCGAAAGCAAACGCTGCTAGAAAAGTAGCCAAATCCTTATCCTCCACTCGCTCGCTCTACACATCGTACTCACCTACCTACCTACACCCACACTTTGGGATTGATTCCCGCACCTCGACACACTTTTTCCTTTTTCCCCGTGCCACCCGACTCTAACCTTCCTTCTTCCGCACCTTCCACCGCGTCTCTTGCCTGCCTGCATGCTCATACACTCTTATCTTGTGCGCCGCCCATGTCCCTGACTTTCTTGCTTGGCTCTATATAACCTCCGAACCTCCCATCCATTCTCAATCCCCACCCCCAGGTGTACAACTCTTCCATGACCCACCCTTTCGACCCAGAGCAACTGTTTCACGGCCACCCTTCGAGGTCGTCCACCCATGTTCCTTAGCAACACCTCGACCCTGGCCAACCGTCATCAGAACCCCACGCCCAGTGGCGATGCACAACTTCCTCGTGGAGAATGTAGCTTTCTTCTGCCACCCTCGGACCATGCTCCTGCCCGCCAGCGTTGTTCATGCCGTACCTTCTATCCCACCGCTGTAGTCCGCTCGCAATGCGGCTGTGGCCACCAGGCATGGCACCACGAGGCACAGCCGCCTCATCCCCCCTCGGCCCACGGTTATACCCAGGTTCTGGACGAGATGAAGCGACTGAAGGAGGAGCTCAAGCGTCACGAGAATCTCGAGCACAACCTGAAGCAGGAGCTGTTCAAGGAACGAATGGCAAGAGAAGAGTACTTTCGCGTCCACAAGGCTATTGAAGCCCGCATGTACCAGAACATGCAGATCATGAAGGTGCAAATGGACGACAAGGTCGAGGCGGTGGTGGACAAGACGCAGGAGTTCAACGACCAGATCATGACCATGAGAGAGCGCTTGACTATGGTGGACGAGGTGACCATGGACCTGGAAAACAGAATAGACAGGGTCGAACTTCAGGCCGGCTTTTCGCGTGAGGCGACGCCGCGCTCGTCAACGCCAAAGGCGTCTCTATCCACAACCCCAAAACCACCTCCTGTCCCCCAGCTCCCCCTGCTCATGCAGTCGCAACACATGTTGGGCCAGCTCCCCATTCGCACCGACAAAAAGTACCCCCTATCATGGAACGTGCGCGTCATCTTTGTGCTCCGCAAGGCCCAAAGATATGCCTACGATCCAGATAGCAACGGCTACAGGCGATGCGCATCACGCAAACTACAACAAAACCTCGATTTTCCCAGCCAAGATAGCTCTTGCTTTGCAAACCGTATCGAGAATGCCTATAAGGGTATCCTGCGAGGTCGCCCATGGATGCCAATGAGTGCCCATCGCCCTGCCGATGAACCGTTCGGACGTATGGCGCTCACCCTTCTTCCCTCGGATCTCATCCACCGGGATGTGTGGGACTATCCATTCCTCGAAGATCACTGCATCGCCCACGACAAGATGCAAGGCGACGTGCTATACGTCACGTTGCAGTACGAGGACACAACGTGGAATGAGGTCCGCTTCCTGCCTGCTGTTCACGGCGCCGACGAAGCCTGCTGGGCGCACGACGAAGAGCTCGACGGCCACGCCAAGTACAAGAGCTTGGACACAGAGATCATGTACGATTTGCAGGACCCTCCACCCACATACTCATCACGAACTCACTCCACGGCGGATAGGACACCCTCGAAACTGGATGTCCTTGCCGATTCCGCTTCCATGCTGAGCCCCATTGAGCGCGTCCACACCCAATCCAGCCGCTTCTCGTCGGAGCAGAGCAGCATCCGCAGCAGCCTTCGCAGTTTCGAGCTCGAAGACACGGACGACGAGCACCGCGATAAGAAGCCGAAGCTGAGAGGAAAGCAGTCGATGCCTGCCATCATGAATCATGGTGCCGCCCACGCCCCGCATGCACCCATGTACGTCTCTGGCCGCTCCAAGCGCAAGATGCCCGTTCGCGAAAAGGGTGCAAAGGAGCCGCTCCACTTCAGCGTGTCCAACGTTGCCAAGTGGCGCCCTGCGCTTCTTCACCCCCACTCCTCAAAGGGCAAGGAGCCAGCTCAAGAGTCGCATTGATTCTCGTTCTTGTTTGTGTGTCTGTGTGCGTATGTTGATATTATTAGCGGCAAAATTCCCTTTTCTCCTTTCCTTAGTTCCTGTTTTCTCATTTGTGACATCTCTCTCATATCCCATATCACTAGAGGCGTTTTTCCACAAAAGCCACCCCCTTCTCCCCTTCGCCCCCAGAAAGGTATACCCCAACCCTTTGGCGTTTGAGGTTTTTTTTGTTCCTCTCCCTGTGGTGCATAGATTTCTTCTTCCCTTCTCAATTCGAGGAAATTTGTGTGCTGAAACTTTCGGCTGTCTTTTTTTTGGTGGGGTTATCGTTTTTCATATGTCTTGCCCTTTTATCTCCATACTACGCAAGTAGTAGCATCGTTTCTTTCTCCTTTTGGCTGCTCTTGATCTATTATTGATGGATCGATAGATGGATGGATAGGTGAATGGAGGGATAAGATAGATGAGGTATGGATCGTTTGAAGTAGTACATAGGTAGATAGGCAGGCGAAGTTAGTTGCAGGCAATCAACCACATGCAATTCATACTAGTGTGCACCTTTTTTTTTAATTTCTTGTGCAACGGTGTTTTGTTCTTTGACTGCGATGTGTTGAAGAGCAGATGTGTCTCTCTGTGTGGATGTGCTTGAAATCGCTTTTTTTTTGTCTTCCTCGTGGCTTCAAACATGAAGATGTTGTGCATGTTATGGGTGACGGAAGGTGAAATGGAAAAGGATCCTAACACAATAGGAGACAAAACACTGACCTCCAAAAAACCACAAGAAAAAAAAAGGGAAAAAAAAAGCAGTTGATATATATGTTTCTCGCCAAAATCCGCATTACCATTTTTTTGGGTTGAAAACGTTTTTTCGAGTATACCGTGAAACTACCATAATCAGTCTAGACTCTCTGACTCTGATTCCGTCCTTGTGTCTGACTGTCTGACTCTCGTGAGTTGAAGCGGGTGATGAATGTGTGGCTGGCGTCCAGACGGGATACAGGATATACGGATTGATTACCTAGTGTGTTATTGGATGGCGCATCATGCGCGCAACTCGCAGTAAGCAGATAAGTAAGCAGCAAGGCAAACAAACGGCATGCATATCTAGGTATACATGTACACATGTACGCCAAGCTGGGTGGATATTTCACATGCTCGCAGAGAAACAAATATTCTGACAAGAGGAGAAAAACAAAGAAGGATGGGCGTTTTTTGACATTTATGATCGAGCGGGAAAGAAATATGAAGGACGAGGTCCGTTTTCTTCCTTTATTGCAACGTCCTTTTCGCCCGGAGGGATTAGGATTGCGAGGTTACATGGAACTTGAATGAGTTTCTTGATTTTCATTCAAATTGTCTTGCCTGCGTAGAGGAGGGGAGGAAGGGTTCAGGGTTGTTGGGAATTTGTCGCATCGGGCATGTGAGGGTGTGTCTGTGTGTGTGGCTGCTGGTTGGGAGTCCATGTTCTTGGATGGCAGGTGTACAATAGAATGCAGCTTACATGTATGTCTCAGGCGAAAAGGAAGAGGGACAGGCTTGGAGAGCGGGCGGGTTGCCGGATGGATGTATTGTTTGCCGCATGTCGGAGGTAAGCAAGCATGGAGGAAACGAACATTGGTTACGAGACCAAATTCCAGGATTCGGTCCTTCTGGGATCAACTCTTGCCTTATCTTGTTCTTCGTGTCCTTCTTGCCCATCATCCCCTGACTCTGATAGACTATGACGACGATCAGAGATAGGTGGCGGCGCAACTTGATAATACAGCTTTTCTTCCGTCGTCTTCGTCGTCGTCTTGTCCCTCGGAGAGATTAGGAAGCGCATAGGCGGGAGAGTTAGCGCAATGCGGTGCCCGGGATTCTGTCAGTCGGCGCGAGATAAGGAGAGATGAATACTTTAGCGGTCCTATTTGCACGGTTTCGCCGGATTGTTTCTGCTTTGTTGAGATTACCTTGATTGTCTGGCGCTACTACTTGTATCTCTCCAAGATGATTCGGACGCTTGCCATGCTAGCACCACTGTATGGGCAGTCTTGTAGGACCAGATGGAGTGTTTGTTTGTCTATTGATGCTCGTAACAGATATTGTATAGATAACTGCAGTGGGTCCCCCAGGGAATGCGGGGCGTTTGCGGGGGAATTACCCAGTGCCCAGCTTTGGCAGCGTACCTAGGGAACTACACACAAGACAACGTCCAGAACCCAAGACTTCATCATCCATCACCGTTGCCATGTGTGGGGAGCCAAAAATGGACAATGCAACGCCCTGGAAGAAGGCTTCCATGCGGGCTGCCCAACGGGGCAACCCGGGCCATGTTCACCTGTAGACAGAGAGGGAGAGCATGGAACTGGCCGTACCAGCCACCAGTGCTATCACCGTCGATCTGGTGCCCTCTCCACTTGTCGCGGGGATGCCATACCGCCTCCCTGTCAGCCCAAACGTGCCAAATGTCACGCGCGATTGGCCTATCTCTGGCTTGATAGGCAGCTGTCTGCGCCGGCCGCCAGCGTTACATGGGCCCTGCGTGCTCGCGACGCCGAACAGGACGGTACAGTAATCCTTTGACATCGCTTTGAAGAGGCATCCCGGCCCTGCCTCTCGTTAGGCGGCCCACAGCTGCCACAAAGCTACGCCGCATGCAACCTGCTATAGGCTTCGTCGCCCGCTCATTCACCGTTGGATAGATAGCTACTTGCTACATGGTCGTATCCAATCCGACCCCAAGGCCGTTGGACGTAACCTTGATCCGAGTGCCACTGCCCTAACCGGAATATACATACATAAACCGCCTACCGATGCAATATTTTGCTGATCTGCCCTCTTTAACTCTTCCTCCCTCTCACCTTTCGTCCCATCTCCCTCTTCCCCATCTGCAGCTTTGACACCGCTGCCTCTAATTGTCGTTCGTGCATCCCCTCTGCACCTCGACTTCGCCATGTCAATCCAGAAAGGCACAGATCCCGAGATGGCCAAAGATGGCCTCGAGGTCACCGCCTCTCACTCTTCCTCCAGGGACCACGGCCCTGCTGTGCGTGAAGGTACGACAGACCACCTGCCTTCTTTCGAGCATGAAAAACGACTCGCCTTGAAGATGGATCTGCGCTTGCTTCCCGTCCTGGCCGTCATGTATCTATTCAATGCTCTTGACAAGGGCAATCTGGGAAATGCAAAGACGGACCACATGGACAAGGATTTGGGCTTCAAACCCGGACAGTACAACACCATGCTGAGTATCTTCTTCGTTCCCTATGTGCTTTTCGCACCGCCGATTAGTATGTTGGGTAAGAAATTTGGTCCTCATCGCGTGCTGCCAATTCTCATGCTCTGCTTTGGGTCCATGACGCTACTGGCTGCGAGTGTGAAGAACTGGAGTGGCTTGATGGCTTTGCGATGGTTCCTGGGTAAGTCGACAAAACATATATTGCTTGCCCTAGCGGAACATTTGCTAACAGATGGCACAAAGGAATGTCCGAATCTGCCTTCTTCCCACTGGTCATCTATTATCTCACAACATTTTACCGCAGAGGAGAGTTGGCGCGTAGACTCGCCATCTTCTACGCTGCCTCCAATATTGCAAACGCTTTCTCTGGTCTCTTCGCATTCGGTGTCTTCCACATTGAGTCAAAACTTGAAGCATGGCGCTACCTCTTCATCATTGAAGGAGCTGCCACCGTCCTCTTTGCCATCTTCGCATACTGGTACCTACCCAAGACGGCATATGAAGCGTGGTTCTTGACCGAGGAGGAAAGACAACTAGCATACACTCGTATCCAGATCGATTCCTCTGCCGTCGTAGGCGAGAAGTTTGTGCTCAAAGACGCGCTGCAGATCCTCAAGCTCCCCTCTTCTTGGGGATTCCTCGCCATAGAAGTCTGCCTCGGTGTCCCCCTTCAATCGGTCTCCCTCTTCATGCCGCAGATCGTCCAAGCGCTGGGCTACAGCACCATCAAGACCAATCTCTACACCGTCGCGCCCAACATTGGTGGTGCCTGCATGCTTCTCATCCTCGCCTTCGCATCCGATTACACGCGTCTGCGTTTCCCCTTCATCGCGCTCGGTTTCTTACTTACCTTCATCGGCTTCATCCTTTTCGCAACTCAGGATGTATACAACGACCACGTAGTCGGCTACTATGCCTGCTTCATGATGACTTGGGGCACTTCAGCACCTTCAGTCCTTCTTTCGACCTGGTACAACAACAACATCGCCGACGAGGGCCGCCGTGTCACGCTCACCTCCATTGGTGTTCCGCTCGCCAACCTTATGGGTGTCGTCAGCTCCAACATCTTTCGCGACAAGGACTTGCCCAAGTTTATGCCTGCGCTCATTACCACTGCGTCGTTTGGCGCCGCAGGCTTTGTGATTGTGCTGTGTTTGGGATCGTTTATGATTTTCGATAACGCGAGGAGGAACAAGGCCCAGGGCGTCAATCTCGCCGCGAGAGATGTGAGCACGGAGAAATTGAGGGACGGACCCAACAGTCCTGATTTCAGATGGTTCTTGTAAAGCTGTCAACGATAGTGGTAGCATGCAGGCGCGCGCGTCTAGACGTGTTATGTGGGAACACATTTGAATCTACATAGTTCTTCCAAATTGAAAGGAGTTCCTTGGATTCTTCTGAATGCGTAACGTGATGCGGATGCGTGCTGTGTTCATCAGGTGTGTGGTTGCCAAGTACAACTGGTGGTGATCACTGAAGCAAATGACCTGTGACTGATGGCGCATGATACGAGCAACACAGAGCTAGCCTGATTGAATGCGGCTGAAATGCTGGTGTATATACAAGTTTTCTTGCCTGAGCTTACTTCGCATCTTTCCCAAGGTCTTACGGCGATAAACAGCTTTCATATATGCTATTACCAGACGTGAATGATCCATTCTGACATGTATGAGATGGACGCAAGTGTTCCAAGATAGGGTTCCGCTACAAGCTTGCAGTCACGCGCGTTGATTGGGGGATCCACAAATTCCCCGATCCCAACGCCTCGGTGTTGAGCAACCCCGGCAGCTCTATCTAAGGTCCACGTGACCGTTATCGGCATGCGTCAACAGCTCCAGCCACGCGACGTCTGCTTGAGTCAACGGCATCACTCGTCCGCAGCAGCAGTAGCTAGCTGCCTTGTTCCTCTTCTCTCCTCTCCCTCCTTCTTCCCGAAACATCACATCCTGATCTGGTTTTGCTATTTGTCTTCTAGGATTCGTTCTTTGTCTGCTCTGTACTCACGAGCTCTCGTCCGGATAGCTCCCAACACGATAAGCTTCACATAGCGGGGAGACAGTGACCGAGGTGCTGCAATCATGGCAGTCAAGGCCGTAGTGCCCTTCCTTGTGGCGATGATGCTACTCACGGGGGTGTGCAATACCCTCTTGACCAAGTATCAAGTAAGACTCATCCATGTTCCGCTTCCTGCCAATCTTGTGTGCTGACTCGACTCGAACAGGATATGCAATGTATCGGCAACTGCGATGCACCCTCCAAGAAGGACCGTAAGCTCTTCGAGCAGCCTGTACTTCAGACCCTACAAATGTTCATCGGAGAGTCGGGCTGCTGGCTAGTCATCGGCGTCTTCTCTGCCTACCAACGTTACACATCGCGCCGTGCGGGCTACGAGGCTGTATCCGAGACGGAAGGAGACAACGTTGAAGGAGCTGCTACTCCTGCACTTTCGGACGAGAGCGAGACCACCGCTGTGTCAAACCCACTGAAGCCTGCACATGCGGACGACGAGGGAAGAATACCGCTTGAAGGGTGGAACGTGACTCTGCTCGCGCTACCGGCATGCTGCGATATCGCGGGAACGACACTCATGAATGTGGGCCTGTTGTTCGTGGCAGCGAGCATCTACCAGATGACTAGAGGCGCGTTGGTGCTCTTTGTTGGTCTGTTCAGTGTGTGGTTCTTGAAGAGGCACTTGGGCCTGTACAAATGGTTCTCCCTGTTTGTTGTCGTCTTTGGAGTTGCCGTTGTAGGTATCGCAGGCGCGATTACTCGGGACGATAAAGCATCACACAGCAGCGTTTCCATGTTCTCGTCGAATGGGGAAGCGGAAACTATGACTGCGCCGAGTCAGGCTGTGATGACGGTTATTGGTGTTTTGCTTATCGCCGGGGCCCAGATCTTCACGGCAACGCAGTTTGTGCTTGAAGAGAGGATCATGGAGAAGTACTCCATGGACCCGATCCGAGTGGTGGGCTGGGAAGGTGTGTTTGGGTTTTCGGTCACACTTGTTGTAATGTTCATATTACACTTCGCAGTGGGTACCGGTTACTTCAATGCGAAGGAGGGCTTCTATCAAATGACCCACTATCCGGCCATTGCAATCAGTTCTATTCTGATTATGATCAGCATTGGGTAAGTTATCATCCCTAAAGTTGCGGCATCTTAATCTTCGGACTAACGGAACGCAACAGTGGATTCAACTTTTTCGGACTCAGCGTAACGCGCACAGTCTCTGCTACCTCTCGCTCCACAATCGACACCTGCCGAACTCTCTTCATTTGGATAGTATCGTTGGGCCTTGGTTGGGAGACTTTCAAGTGGCTGCAGGTAGCTGGATTTGCGCTGCTGGTCTACGGCACGTTCCTGTTCAACGATTTGATCAGGCCGCCACTGAAGTCTTGCGTACAGGGTCAGAGAGAGGCTGAGAGGGAGCCTCTGTTACCCGAAGACCCGATTGAACATATCTAGTCGGATGCTTTTGGTGAGAGACATCTCATATGTTTGATTGAGTAGGAGGCACTCGCATTCTAAGGCGTTTGAGGTTCGCGTTGTTTTAGTACTTGGTCTATTTGCATATCAATGATTGTTACAAGAGAGAGCGGACTCTTTGATTCTAGAAACGACATGGAAACTGCAGCGTGATAATGCAACTATTCTGCGCCTATCAATATTCCAGTTGCGGTGTGCATCGCGGGAGTGTGATGTGGCGGGCTGTGGCTAGTGCATCGTCTTGGCGCGCACTCGCTTAACGACTTCAATTTGAACCTCCCCGCCTATCTTTTGTCCATAACCATTAACGACCAACGACAACACCGGCTCACGCATCCTGAACATCTCGCCCCCGAAGTTCAGACACGCATAACAGCTAGTCGACAACATGGCCGCCACCCAGGGAGCTATGTAAGTTGCCTGTTTGCGACACCGCGTTCTCGAGATACACGATACTAACGGCCTTTGCAGTTCCAAGCGCAGGAAGTTCGTTGCTGGTACGGTTACACCCTTTGGATATTGCGGAGGATCAATAGAGAGATTGTGGGAGGGCTAAAAGCATCTGCGATTACCTGAACATGGCACAATGGACCGGTCACCTTGGGACATTGAGGTCGCAGAATGACGCCCTCTCAAGCGATCCTCCGCATATTGCAACGCACAAAAGGAAGAGCCACGGCTGACAGTGAATTTGTATAGACGGTGTTTTCTACGCCGAGCTCAACGAGTTCTTCCAGCGCGAACTCGCCGAGGAGGGTTACTCCGGTGTCGAGGTCCGCGTCACGCCCACCGTCACCGACATCATCATCCGGGCAACGCACACACAAGAGGTTCTCGGCGAGCAGGGCCGCCGCATCCGTGAGCTCACCTCGCTCATCCAGAAGCGCTTCAAGTTCCCCGAGAACTCGGTGTCCCTGTACGCCGCCAAGGTGCAGAACCGCGGTCTCTCCGCCGTCGCTCAGTGCGAATCCCTCCGCTACAAGCTCCTCAACGGTTTGGCCGTCCGACGAGCATGCTACGGTGTGCTGAGGTTCATCATGGAGAGCGGCGCCAAGGGTTGCGAGGTCGTTGTTTCCGGTAAACTCAGGGCTGCCCGTGCCAAGTCCATGAAGTTCACCGTACGTTTCTCCACGTTGGATTGACAATCCATGCGCCTGCCCTTGAGATTGTGGAATCGAGACTAACGTTGAGACAGGACGGCTTCATGATCCACTCCGGTCAACCCGCCAAGGACTTCATCGACGAGGCTACCCGCCACGTTCTCCTCCGCCAGGGTGTCCTCGGTATCAAGGTCAAGATCATGCGCGGTGCTGACCCCGAAGGCAAGGCCGGCCCGGCCAAGACCCTCCCCGACTCCGTCACCATCATCGAGCCCAAGGAGGAGCAACCCGTTGTGCAACCCATGTCCCAGGACTACGGCGCCAAGGCGCTCGCTGCCCAGCAGGCGGCGGACCAGCAGAGGCAATCGGAGCAGCAGGAGGGCGAGGGTGCGCCGGCGGAGACCTACGCAGAGGAATAGAGTAGAGCAAAGCATCAATTTCCCAGGCATCATCTTCATTCGATCCATCGATTCATGTGTGGATGTTGGGGGGGCGAGCGGGGCAGTCAATAACTTTCCAAACGGGGCGAAATCAATTGGTTGCGGGGTTTCTTCTCTCTTCAATGGCTTTATTATAAATCCAAAATCACTGACAAAACGGGGGTTTTTCGATGAATAATATCAAGCCAACAACGAAATGACCATGGTTATCACGATTTGAAAGAGGGACTCGGTGCTTCCTTATATCCAGTTCTCCTTTTCTACTTTTTTTTTACCTTTTGCGATTTACTTCTTCCTTGATGGCGTCGACCTTCTCTTTCAACTCTTGATTTGATTGACGTACATTGAGGAGCATATGGAGTTTTTCCCAAAACAAAAACAAAAGACATTAGGGTGAATTTCTTATCTAGTACAGCGCCGTAGTGTACTCTTTCTAGTCGGGAAAGAGACCATAAAATGCATCAAAACACGAACTTGACTAAACATGCACTTCCAGCTCTTCTCTCGCGCTGTCTGCGTTGTGTGATGTTCAACACAAGAGTATTTTTACCTGTGGCAAAGTCCCATTATACACTTTCTAGTCGGTGTTCTCTCTCTCTCATACACACATAAGATGACAGATAACACGGCACACGCACCCCTTCTGTCCCCCCCCAACAGGCATCACCCGATCATCAGTCTGTTGGGCCAAAAACTACATGAACTCAACATAGTAACATGATCAATTCCTCCCCTCCCTCGTCCCCCTGTTTCACTCCCACCGCCTCTTTACATCCTTATCCTCTTTTTCTCTTTTTCTTTCCTTCGACATCGTACAAAATATTAAGAGATTCGAGTTCATATAAGAATATCAGCCATGCATCACTGTTGACACTATATCCACGCATATCCCCCCCTTCTCACCAGAAGATTGGAATAAAGAGTTTCTCAGCCTTTATTGCCCATGGCCAAACGCATACAATTATTTTAATATCATTTGAGTTCGTTGTCGGAGCACTACATCCATGTATATATGCCCTCCCCACCCCAAACAAATGATATCCCCAGCCGTATTTCTCATGGCCCAACACGTGGGAAGTAAAAAAGATAGAAAAAAAGATCAAAATCTGAATGAAGATGCCCTTTGCTCTATCGGGTATTTTCCATGCCAAAAGAAGAAGAATAAGAAGAAAAAGAAGGGGAATAGAAATAGGGAAACAAAAACCGAATAAACTACTTGTAATCATGACCGAGTCAATACTCTCCTGGTGAGCGGGCAAACAACATCCAATATTTTCTCCCCATCAACCATGAGAAAAGAAAATTTCATTCATAAGGGGAATTAAGACGACGGGAAACATTCGCGCAAAGATGATCAAACAGTTCCCATTATGAAATCATTACCCGTTCTCTTCTACTGCATCTCGACTTCGACTTCTTTGCGAAGCTCCGTACTGCGACTGCGGCTGCGACTCTTGTCACCAGCAGCACGCTGACGATGCTGGCTGTTACTGTTGCCGCCGATGCCGAGATTGAGATTGGCGATGCCAGCTTTGAGATTTTGTCCCAAGTCGCGACTAAACGCCGCGGCAGCATCCAATGGTGAAGGACCATTCATTCCGTTGTTGCCGTTATTCCCAGCAGACGGATTGTCCCCGGATAAGGCGTGTGTGGGGGGCATAGGGGTAATTTGCGCGGTGGTACCCGCACCCGTAGCACCCTCGGCTGTCTCTGTTCCCGTGACGATGGGCTCCTGAGGGATGGGCGTCGAGGTGCCGCTGTGGCTAGGTCGTGGGCTGCGAGATTGCGAGATGGGGTATGTAGGAGATAGAGCTGGAGAATTCATTTCCTCGTCGGAGCGGCCGAAGAACTCGGACCACCAGCGTGCTTCTTTCTTCTTGGGGAAGATGATGCCTATATGGGGGGGAGAAGCGAGCAAGAGTCAGCGACTTGGGATGTTGATACTTTTAAGGATTTCTTGGTGATCTAGTATGCATGCAGACGACTTGGGTATAGGTTCACTTCACTTACGTTCTTTGCCTCGGATGCTGTCGTCGACGACAGGGTCGTAGTTCTTGTTAGAGAATTCCTCCTTGCGGCAGAGGAAGTAATCCCAAACGGAGCGAGTCCGCTCTGCTGCTCGAGATTCTGAGCGCTCTTTTTCATTATCAAACAAGAAAGTACCTATCATTACGAACCTGATGTTAGCACATACTTCCAATAGAGAGAATCAATAGTGTCGATGATCGAGGCACGCACCGTATTGACAAGAGTATAGGTGATAGAATAAACGTCGCAGAAAGCGTTCATTGAACTCAAACCGGGTGGGATGTTGATAGAGAAGCTGATATGTAGCATCAAGGAATTGGTGAAACACAGGTGACAACTCGTTAACTTTTGTTTCGCGATGCTCTTCGGCAGCCCCAATCTTGGAGGAGGATAATGTTGGGTGGACAGCGTCAGTCGTCGAGGTTATGTCGGAAGCGTTCTGTATGTCTGTACCATTAGTATCCTGGTCAAGGGACTCTGTAGAGTCGTTAGGTCGACTCCAGAGTCCGCGAGCACCTCGGAGCACGTCGCCAAAGCCGCCTCCGCCGCCAGAGGCGTTGCGATTTCGCTCTATCCGCTCGTTCTCAATCTGGAACCATTTATCACTACTGAGGAACCCGGATCGATGGCGGAACATGTGGCCGAATGACAGCCAGTCTTTCTCAATCAAAACGATGAACCCTTCGAGAGTCCGGTAGTAAGGGTCCAGACATATCTGACTTAGGGCACTGAGCTGGCTTGTCCGATCCCAACCGTCTGAACAGTGAATCAGCACGTGTGAATGCATTATTCCTACTGTCCGAGCAATGAGAGCCGTGCCATCCAAAATATTGCTGATATGCTTCGTCCATTTGCTGCTTGCAAGAAGTTGTCTGTTAGGTGGTAGATCTGCCATATCGCTGTCTTTCAAAGCCTCGACCACCTGATCGAGCGATTTCCTCATCACATGTATGTTGTCGATTCCTAGATAGGCCTTCTCTGCGTTTGGGTAATATTTCATGTCCTCTGAACCTAACCCGATCGCTTGCATAGCAATCGCGTTCACAGTAGGTCTAGCATCGACGATCAAATTGCGCTGTTGAGCACCATAGATCTTGGGGGCCTCAGGATCCGTCTCTGTCGACCCTGTGAGATCATCTGCGGTGATCCGCCCAGAGTTGACAGCCTCTGTATCATCAACTCCCACGAACGAACTATCGGCAGCTGACTCGTTCAAGTTGACCATACTCGATTCCGGCGTTGAACCCGTGGTTGTGGATCCGGGGTTTTGTGACGCTCGCCATCCTCGGTTGGTTGCGAAAATGGCAGCCACAAGCCTTTCATCCTGCGGATTCCGTTTACCACTGATCCCCGGTGTCGGCTGAGAGCTGCGAGTTATGGAGCAGTTGTTCACAGGATGCCGGTATACAAGAGCGGGTATTCGCTGCCGCGAGCGGTATTCTCCTGCGTATCTAAGTACACTATCGGATACCTTTGTGGGAACGACGATGAGGGCAGGGTATGTTTGTGAGTACTAGATTACTGGGTTAGTATGACCTCGTCCCCAATATTGCGAAATACGTGCCTTGTATTCTACATTTATCTCGGATATGCGCCAGCCCTTCTCGGTGTCTTTTGGGCTGATGCCCAAGCGCTTCCACTCCCGACGAGGATCGTAGATCTGCCAACCGTCGAGCTCGTTTTCGGGGGACTTTGGCTTGTAACTGAAAGCCTGTAGCTTGTCTAAGCGACCTAGTTTGCATGATAACGAACGTATGCTATCGTAAACGTCGCGTGCTTGTTTGTCGTCTTGGAACTCGAAGCCGTAGAAGGTGAAATCGCGACAGCGAAGGCGGAGGGTCGGTTGCATGTGCGAGGTCGGGGAGGGTCGTAGGGAGCAGTGCGAGATCATAGGATATGTTATCCATACTTCTTTCGCTCGCTGCGGCTTCGCCGATGTGGAAGTGGTGGGTGGTGGGGAGGCACTGAAGACAAGATGGTGGGGCATGACATGCAATGCTCCCGTGTAAGGTTGACCTCTGCGCCATAGTTTGACGTTTTCCACCTTGTGAGTGTGAACGACAGAGTTCTTTGCATTCTTTGGAGTATCTACCTTGCTAACACGAATCTTCTCCATGATGATGTTAAGCTGCTAAGCCGGAAGCGCGGGAGCAACTGTCAGTTGCACCTAGCAGCAGTCCAAAACCACGTTTCGCGGGTATTTGTATGTATGCAGGCAGGTGATTGAAGTGGCGGAATCTTTCGGCAGCGACTGAGTTTGTAGACTGTGTGGCACACGTGTCTCTCGGGGAGCGATGTATAAATTGGCGGTGCAGACTGGGCGTGAATTGCTCGAGTCGCATGTGCCCCATGTCATCAATTGACGGTCGTCCCGCAGTTGGTCGAGCTTGGGCCATGTGTGCCAAGACCCCGTGTATTCAAACACCACACAGTGCCACTGGATTTCTCTTCACTCATATGGAACAGTAAAAACAGGCTGAAGGAGCAATGATTCAATCTTGATTGATCAGAGTTGATCAAATATATATATACGTTGGTCACCCACTGGCAATTACTACACCCAATCGCAACGGCTCCATTAGAATATACAAAACGTCCTGCCAGCCAGTTCAAATTAGTGCTCAGACTGCGTTCGCCATTCGTCGATAGCCTAGAAAAAAGTAAAGCATAGTACGACCCAAGATCATGCAGAGCAAAGTATTCCATCCATGTGCTGTCATTAGTAGACTGGATGGATACTTCAAACTTGGCATAAGCCCTACAAACTGGAATCTGTTGCATCTCTGCAAAGCCTCAACGGCAGACCCGAGAGAAGTGCCTATTGCCTAGAAGTCTAAGCGGGTGGCGGTGGGGGAGGGGGAGGAGGAGGAGGAGGTGCTTCCGAAGGTGGAGGCTACATGTAGTCAGTATTCTGAGATCCAAAAATGTTATAGAGTGTAACTTACGGGAGGAGGAATGTCAGCTGGGGGAGGAGGAGGCGGTGGTGGAGGTGGTGGAGGAGCACCTCCTGGTGGGGGAGGCGGAGGACTGCCAGCTCCACCATAGTTCTGGAAAAGAGGTCCGAGGCCTGGGGGAGGTCCAGCTTGCGCGCCGTATCCAGCATATGAGTTCATGCCGGGAGGGGCAGCGACGGGTGGGGCGGGTTGGTCGTAGCCATAACCACCATAGCCGTAAGAAGCATTGCCAGCAGATCCAGCAGCAGCCCAGGGAGCAGCGGAAGAATTGTTGTTGCTGTTGTAGCCTCCTTGGCTACCATGGCTGTTGTAACCGCCTCCGCTACCTCCTCCGCCCGCCCATGGCGGGGGAGCGCCGCCACCAGAACCAGAATCGCGATCGTTTCGGTCGTTGCGAGTCCATGGGGCGGGCGCGCCAGTCGGGCCACGCTCCCAAGGCTTGACATCGCGCTGTTCGTTGCCATAACCAGCGTCGTCTCCACCGTTTTGGTATTCGATGGCTCCGGCTGGTCGGCCGCTGTCGGCGCCCATCTCGTTGAGGAAATTGTCCAGCTCGTTCTCTCCAGCACCGATTTTTCCTTGGTTGCGATCGCCATAGCGAGTGTCGTTGCGCCAATCGGTTCCACGCTTGCGTTGAGGACAATCGCGAGCCATATGGCCCGCCTGACCACAGACACGACAGATGATGCTTGCGGTGAAGTTTTGCTTCTGAGGACAGTCGTACTTGCGGTGACCGATCTCTCCACAGTTCTGGCAGGCCTGGTTTTCGTCGTCACGAAGGGTACCGTTGAGGGCGGCAAGCTCACGCAACTGGTTGCGCTTCAGTTCGTTCTGGCCCTCGGGGATAGAAGCAGCCTGTGATTTCGAGTTAGCAAGTGGGATGAAATACGCAATGGATAGAAATGGCTTACCGTTTCAATGACGTTGTGGATCAACTTCTTCGCCTTGTTGACCTTCTCCTCGGTGTCGGCCATGATCAGACAGTGCAAATCCTCCTCCTGGTTGCTGGTATGAGCTGCGTCAGAACGTCCTTTGCCCTCCTTGACGGAGCCTTTGCCACGGATTGCGATCTTTGCGCCAGACTCGGTCTCCATCTTCTTCAAAGTGTTGCCTCGAGGGCCAATAAGTAGACCAACTGTTAGTGCAGAGGAAAGCTGCAGTTAGTGTATTGATCAAAATTATGGTGGATTAAAAGCAAGCGATTAGGGTTAGTGACATAGCTATACCACACGTCCCCGAATGCGACTCAACACATTCGGTGGATTGAGCAAGCTGGTCAAGACGAAGGGTACAGGGAGGGGGATGACTGGGTAAGAAAGTTAGGGGGGTTAGTCTCGTACTGAAGTTAATCTCTGGATAGTCATTGACAGGCACGTAGACCTTTTCCTGGGTCTTGGTTGGGCGCCTGTAATCAGCAGGTGGGTGGTAGTTAGGAAGGGTCTTCATGGCCTTCTCAACAAGCTTATGACGCTCATCTTCAAGGCGCTTGCGGTAACGGAACTCGCGCGTATTGACACGGCGACCGTAGTTGTCATATTGCGGTGGTGGAGAAGGAGACCTGTGGAGGTAAGCAGCGATCAAAAAGCTGGACTGCCAAGTAACATACCTATCCCCATCCGCTGGAACAACGTCGTTGATCTTGAGCTTCTGAGTGATTTCCTCGATGCGCAAATGGAGTGTATATGCGTCAAGCTGCTCGGTGGTCATGGCTGAGTAGATGGCGGTGGGTAGGCCCATCAAGCCGGCAGCCTTGTTCTCACTCGCATCACCCCATCGATTGCGCTTCTTGCGTCGCTTGGTGCCGTCGGCATCTTGAGATGGTCATGTTAGCATGGGCTCGGCCTTGGGATGGAGAACTGCACTCACCTCGAGTCGGGCTGCGTCCACGCTTCAGGTCAGACATTCCGTTGGCTGGCTCAGCAGGATTATATCCCACATCGTCTGCATTGCCGTTACTCTCGCCGCCGAAGCGTCGACGGGTGCCGAGCGGGATGTTATTCGACCCAGTGATGCCCTGGTTGCGCCACGACATAGTGATAGAGGTTGGTTGATACTGTTGCTGTGCACAGCTGGCCAACGTTGGTGTGCGAAAGAAATGCGGAGGAGCAGTGGCAATACAGCTTAGGGGTGCCTGGCGCTCAGAAACGGGTCTAGGCTGTTTTTGGAAGCCAGTCACGTGATAGTCTACAACTCTAACTTGCGCAACTCGAAGTCATCGGTCATTGACCTTACAGTTTCATTGATTCATCGCTCATTCTCTAGAGCTTACCTGCGAGAATTCACTGGTTAAGTATCAATAGTGCACTTGATCAGTATTCCCGGCGGTGCGTAATCTTCTGAAAGGACACGCTTTCACCATCAGCAATGGATATATACACATAGCAGCATTACTAATATATATGATTACTCATACATGTATCCTCACAGCTGGATCAGAAATTCACATGCACTTACATATGCTAGGTACTTACATTTGATGTAGATAGGCCAGATCGGATCTCGCAAAGGCAATTTCTAAGCATCAGAGTAGCAAGTGCCCCTCACAGCGACGCACCCCACTTACCTTAGCTTTGTCAGTCTACATATTTAAGTACAAGCTTAAGCTTTCTTCCAACATTCCCTCGGCACTCCGGAATATCTTCTCGAAAACAGCACAAGTTTCTACCAACAACAAAAATCAATCCATAGGCGAGAATGGCGTCCAGCAACTCAGATATCACCCTCTATACCACTCAGACGCCGAACGGTGTCAAAGCGTCCATCACCCTGGAAGAACTTGGGTAAGATGCTCTCTCTTCCAAGCAATACGAGCAGCGGGAGGAACATGAGCCCCCTATATCGCACATGATGAGTTCTCGGCGTGATCATCACAAATTGGAAAAGAATCATGCGGAGGGTATGGCGGAAATACGCTAATTACCACGGCTCTAGTCTCCCCTACAAGGTCGAGAAGATTGAAATCCAGAAGAACACGCAGAAAGAGCCGTGGTTCACGGCCATCAACCCAAACGGCCGTATTCCTGCCCTCACAGATACTTTCACCGATGGGGAAACCATCAATCTGTTCGAATCCGGCTCGATCATGCAGTATCTAGTTGAACGTTACGACACTGAGTACAAGATCAGCTACCCCAAGGGAACCCGCAAGTGGTTCGAGATGAACAGGTATGCCATGGTGACCTTGCTGAACCCTTAATCACTACTGCATATATTGTCTTGTTTTATGTGCTAACCATGGTGTAGTAAGCTTCCCTTATATCCGGTCGTCATCCCTGTTCAATGAATGGCACCGTGGTTCAGATAAGCGACACTCAGTTTCCTGATCCGCCCTCGTGAATGGAGACATCTGCTAATCTCTGTCTTCCATCTACTGAACAGACTGGTTGTTTTTCCAAAATGCGGGGGTTGGCCCGATGCAGGGACAAGCCAGTATGTATCCCCGACCCGCATATCTCGTCTTCTTGCCACATCTCTTCTCGTCTTGCATTATCGAACAGCATGAGAATTACCTCTGTCGGGGGAGATCTTCAAACGCGCATATCTCGATTGGGACTATGAGACATGTGAAGACCTTTAGTCAGGCAGAAACCAACCAGACGGGACGCGTGTTCGCATAGTACATGTCTGATTCAACCCGTCTAGATCACTTCTTTCGATATGCCCCTGAGCGAATCGAATACGGTGTCAACAGGTATCAAAACGAGACGCGAAGGCTGTATGGGGTCCTTGACAAACACCTTTCGGACAACAAGTACGAGTATATCACGGGAGACAAATGCACCATTGCTGGTATGTCTAACACATCCCGTTATCTTTTCCCGGGACGTACATGATACCCGGTCTTGACGCTCTGTAAATCGATCCTGCGGGTTGCCACGCCCTTGCATATACGCGTCGGTAGTCGGCGACCTGAGCATGCCTACTGACTGGGTTGATTTAGATATCGCACACTTCGGATGGGTGGCGGCAGCGGCATGGGCTGGGGTAGAGATTGATGAGTTTCCTGCGCTCAAGGAGTGGGAGGATCGCATGGTCAGTTTCATCATCTCCTTTCCTTCTCTCATTTGTCCTGCCTTCTCGTTTTCGGTTTTCAGTCCCGAGATACCATCATTTCCTTTTCTTTTTGCCGTCGTCAAACAGAACCCTTCACACTTTACCCATCGCGTGTTGGCCTCTCGCATACGAGAGAAACGGAACACCGTGTACACGTCAGTGGAGCCAACATCTGCCCAACGCTGCAAATACCCGGAAACCCCATGTCTACCTCTCTACGTCAGCACAAGCCCGATTTCCTCATCGAAGGATGAAGCACTCGGGAAAGGGAGAGCCAGGGATAACCCTGCCGCATGTCCTTCTGATCTCTTACGATCTCATACCGCAACCCCCTGCAATATCTTTCCATCGTTCTCTCATTCGCTTTCGGAACCGATCCTGTCCCCCCCGCACATCTTTTCTACTTTGGTCTCGCGTATCGTCATGGAGCATGTACCTTGCAGCGCGCAAGCAGCACACCCACCTTGCCTATTTACACCCGCCCTCAACTACCTTAAGCGGGGTAAACGCTTTTGCAACGGCAAAAAACGTTTTCACTTCAGCCTTACATCCGTTTGTCCTTTTTTACGACGTTGCCATGCATGTATACATCACCTGCTAGCATTCACCGACTGACTTTGCCTTTTTGTTCTTATTTTAGGCCGCCCGTCCAGCCCTCAAGAAGGGCCGCGACGTTCCGGAGAAAGCCGCGAGCAAGGCTTCTCTCAAGGACCCAGCTGAAGCTGAGAAGCGCGCAGCGGAGGCCCGCCAGTGGATTCAGGCGGGTATGAAGGAGGATGCTGCCAAGTCGAAGTAAGGAACAATTCTTTTCAGTACACCATCACTACACTCGCCCGTGTCAGATATCATTGCTTGTATGGGGCTAGTGATGAGAGAAGGAACCTCGATCACCTCTGTTACTGTTTGGTCTGAGAACAAGTGGGAACCCGAACATGCGATTGAAGAGAGAAAGTATTTGTTATACATATACGCATAATCTATCCTGTGTACTCAGCACGACTATTCGTATCATGTTTTCTCCTCCGTCTGTTTCCCATGCCAGCCTATCTGCGCAAAAGGATCATATACGCACCTATCATCTTCCAGATGCAGCAACCAGCACCCTCCCCCCTTTGCTGCTTTGCCCCGCTGCTCTCTCCATTATAGACACAACTCAACTCTCCGTTGGAACATTACTGATTATACTAGATCGAACGTCCCGAGTGCGAACGTGAAGACTGGAAAGTTGTAGGTAGAGTGTCATGCGGTTGTGAGTATGCGTTCAGTTATCTCATATAGAACAAACCAGATCGTGGATACAAATTATAGGCCAGTTTCCGTGGTTTCAGATTGAAACGTAGTGAACGATGAAGTAAACCCAGCCTGCATACAAGAAAATAGATATCCATAAGCCTTGAATAAGTGGGAGAGGGGAGAGAGGGAGGAAAGCTCCACGAAGAGAGTGGGTATCATTGAGATGTAACCAGATTGCCGGCACCATGGAAAAAATTGAAGAAATATTCGTTCCGTCTTCAACTTGCATACCTCCATTCGAGAGTCTTCCAGCATGTAGAACAACAGCCACAACTTGATAACTTTGTTCGCGATACGTTCGTTCTTTCCAAGACTGTAAGAAAGAAGGGAGAGAGAATGACTCCTAAGTGAAAACCAGGAAGAGGTTGTTAATGGAAAAAAAGCGTCAAAAATCCTTGTTCCATGCACTGTTAGACGCGATCAAAATTACATACACAATTTTCACTTGCTATGACTCTGCGGCTTCAACGATGTATCAGCATATATAACAGTGCATAGCGGAAAAATGTGAGGAGGACAAAGAAGATGAAGAAGCAGGAAACAGATAGACACATGATTCGAAAAAAAAACCCCCGGCTTCCCATCTCTTCCCTTACATGCACTCACCTCCCGCCGAATCCCGGGGCTATCCACACACACACACACACACACACACCAACACCGATATCACGCACCGATCCACCCATCCGTCCAATCTCCCCAAACTTCCAAGTTCTCGTATTCATTCCTGTCCCCACCGCGCCTATACCATCGTGACACGGAGCGAGAAAGGAAGCAGTGTGTCCGAAATCTGGGTCCGAGACGAGAAAGAGAGAGTGTGCGTGACTTTACCAGCAGCACCGTTTAATTAGTGCCACCTGATCTCAAGTCAGCTCAGCTCAGGTAAACCTGGACTTGGGCTCGGCTTGCAACGCCTCTTCCCTGTTTCCCAGTCTTGATAAGGTTTCAAGCATGAGTGCGAGTTCGGGAACGTGCTGTTCTGCTTCGGGTGAGGGGGAGACGGCAAAGGGGAAGAGGAGAAGGTGTTCTAAAACTTGAAACCGTTTCCCTTTATGTCTCTGATACGAACGTTGCAAAGATTGCTCCCGTCTGCACTACTTCCCCTAAACCTATTGAATATACTACTGTTAAAGGCTAGATGGCATCACTAATCAAATCACGCGACATGGTCTGCCCGTACTATTTCTGACTATAACGACTTTACAGCATAGAGAATACGCAAGTCAATCAAGGGTCCGACTTCGCAGTACTACTACAGTATCGATCAACAAGACCAGAAGGGCAGATCCTAGCTCCTATCTACTGATAAGTAATTCCCTTGATAAGGTGATCAGCAGTATTGTGTCCTAGGGAGTAGTGGGCGCCAATACTAAGTGGTCTGTATCTAGTTTGGGTCGAGAGGATTGTTTTTCATTCGACTGGGTGTGAGTGGTGTATATCAACTACATGCTGTTATATTGCTCTTGCTGGGGCAAGGACGAAAATTGAACACACGTTATGTTCGCGGGTTTGGTCCATCCCAATAGAACGCACGTGGAATATTGATCAGTGTGGTTTTTCTTCCGTGAAACGGATACTTTAGAGAGGAGATAGGGGGCGAGAGACATGGGCTATTTAATCAGTTGGGTTATTCTTCCCATCTCGCTCGAACGGATGATGGAAAAAAGGAAATGAAAATTTCGTTTTTGAAGAAATTCATGTCCAAAGAATCAAACGGGCTTGCGATGGTTGTTCATACACCTGCCATTTCCTTGCCTTATCTTCGTCTCCATGATATCAAGCAAAGATCATATAGGAATAAAAAGGGGAAGGAAAAATTTCGCAATGTTGACAAGTTTCCTTAGATTTGTATAGCCTGACACCCTAAGAAATGTGTACTCAGGCCCTTGAAGAAGAAGACAAGAAAAAAGAAACGAAAAGAAGGAACAAAGTCATTTACCCTCACCAACTACATTGTACACCACCCCTCTCCCATTCCAAAACAAGGAACGGGGGGAATAACGATAAAACAGAAACTAGAGAGAAAAAATAATCAATTTCTCTTACCGCTCTTGAAGTTGGCGGCGCTGCTTTGCAAATCGCTATTCGCGCCAATGCTAATGTCATTGTCATGTCCCATGCCGCAACCAACAACAACGACTGAACCGAACCTTGAATCTTGAAATCTTGCTTACCTTATCTCATCATATTTAACCTGAACTCACGGACAAAAAGGAAAGAGAAAGATAAAAGCATTGACAAAATAGGTTCAAGAACCCCCAGGTGCCTGCCCATGGTGACACGCGCCCGGTCCATGGAAGCGAAATCGGACATTCCCATAGATTCATACATATATCGCAAACTAATGCCAAGTCATGGCGTGATGACCCGTTGTCTCCCCCCTGAAAGGTACATTGGTACCAACGGTAGTCATTACGGGAGAAGAGGGATAGTCTACTTTTTGCTTTTCCCTTCTGGAATATCTAGGGATACACAGACGAAGAAGGCGATGGTCCTGCAATTACAAGTGACAGGGGGGAGAGGTGGCAGAAGGGCAGTGGGGAAATTGAAAGTTCCGAAGGAACAGGCACAGAGTAGAGCAAAAAGGAAAGGTTGGATAGTTGTGGCGTTTGCGTGCTCATGCATCATATTCCCGCGGATAGATCATGTATGGCAAGATAATGTGCGACGCCGCTTCGCTTCCTAGAAAGGGTCCTTCCCGATACATGGTCGGTACCAGAAGGTTTGACAATTGAACATCTTTCGGCGTTGGGCATGTGTGTGTGGCCGGCGCCCGAGATCAATGCCTTGTTGGTACACACGTACATGTACAGTCAGCGATCAGTTCTTGATTGACTGGAGGGGCTGGTCATGTGGTAGGCAAGGCCAGTCGGCTTCGATATTAAAAAGTGATATACTTGGTTGAGCAAAGCAAGGGTTCGATTCGAATTTCGCCGGCACGCTACTACGCGAAGCAGACGCATGTATGCATATGTATGCGAGAGAAGACACATGTGTATGCGAGCAGACGTAAGGTGTTGGGTGAATGAAAGGGGGAGCGGCATGGTTTTGGCTGCTGCATAAACAGACGACGTGTTCGATATGGTTGATCGCCTTTGTGGTACGACGGCTCTCAAGATGGGCTTTTATCAAATTGCCTGCCTTAGCATACAGATGTACATGGCTCCCAACGGCACTCAGCAACCATGATTGCATGAAATTTGCTCCCTCCCTCATGATCGACCTCACCCCTCGTATTCTGGAAGCAACTGAGACGTAGCCGAGCGGTCAACCAACCATGCCCAAGACGCCAAACACCCAAGGAAATAAAACGATGCGGAGGCGGAGCGAAGGGAGAACACGCCATCTATGATCAGCACTGGGGGTTTGCGATTCAGGCAAAATCAGAAATTCTCGAGGCGTGCAGCGTGCAATGGTTGTGATAGAAAAACCCGTTGTCGGCATGCATACACGCACGCATGCTCTTCACCGTTAGGGGACGTGGAAGTGAAGTGAAGTGACCGATTCCTGAGATTCGGGGTGGTGTTCTGGAAGTATTTCAAGGGTCGTGGTCGCGACGCATGGTTTGAAGGTTTAGTTATTAACAGCGGCGTACGTAGGGTTGCACGGTATGTGGAGTACATATCTGGGGTCAGCCAATGCGAAGAGTCGGGGTCCTGCGTGCGTAGAGAAAGTCGTTGGTCAAAGTGTGGGGTTTTTGCCGGGTATTCTTGAGATGTTCAAAACGGGTTCTCTGACCAGGCAGGCAAGCAAGCCAGCCAACAAGCGCCTACGCGAATCCCTGGGCGGCAGTGACCGACTTAGCACGATTTTCATGATCCATGAAGAGAGAACCTGGGTAGCAATCCTCCTCAGCTGCAGTCCTCCACATACCGCAGCCTGCCAGGTTGAAGCCGTCAGTACTTGGTGGCCTGGCTTGGCCGGGACCAGGGTCACGAAATGCCGTAGGCAAGGCAAGCAAACACGTTCCACCAACTGAGTGCAGCCGCAATATGTGAGAAATTTGGATTTGACGCCTGATGGCGTTATGGTCGTACCTACTTTGCCACCAAGCGAGAGGTCGAGGATATAGGGGATGACCGGTGGTTGCCCCTGAATATTCTCGATTCCTTGATTTTGCTGGCCGTCATGTTGAAGAAGGTTTGACGGTTCGGGGTGTAGATGTAGTGTAATGCGATGTGATGGGACGGGATGGGATGAGATGGGGAAAGGTGGGTGTGTGGAGTGCAAGCCGAAATGGGGGTTGACCGACCGGGCGGCCTACTGACCGTTGTTGCCATGCTTTAGCTCTAGGTGGTTAACTGGCTGGCTGGCTGGCCCTTCTGCTCCGGGGAGCGAAGGAAGGAACAAAGGAAGGGAGGAAGGGACGACGGCACTAGGCCAGCCAGCCAGCCTCGAATCGAAAACCGGGCAAGAGCACCGGATGGCGGCATCATGATACAAATCGATAATTGGAGTACATAGGGGACAATGGGACAGGCAGCAAACACCATCACGACGAACCAATTGCAAGGACTGGAAAAAATAATGGAACAAAAAAGCAAAGTACATGCCGTTCGCGGCACATGTACAGGTACATCCATGGACAGGCGCCTGTGTGTGTGCATCGTGAACAGGTGACTTGATGTTGTATCCACTATCCACAATGCCCGTCTTCTTCAAGGCGGGGGAACGTGCATGGCCAACGCAGCGCAGTTGCGGTAGCGAAGGGTAGAGCGAGCCAGTCAAGGCCGCCAACTTGCCCTCTCGTGCCTCTCTGTCTGTCAATCTTTTGGTTTGACAGCTGCGGCTCGACAGACTGACTGCCGGTTGGGTACACTTGCAACCGCCATCTCTGTGACCGACCAACATTGCACACTTCGGTACTCGTATGACTGACATTCTGTCCTGTACGTCTGTCTACGCCTTCGGGTTCGCATGGACCTCTACCGGCTTTCTCACTCCCTCTCCAGTGTTCCTTGCACCTTGCCTTGCTCGCTCGCTCGCTCATGCACTTGTACACTTCACTCCCAGACTCATTCCCCAGATTATCAAGTTGATGCTAGCCCTTTCAGTGGGGGGGCCAGCGGTTTCAGATGGCGCAGAAGGCGTCGCTTGATTTCGTTCCGTACGAGGCGGGGAGGGATGGGGGGATGCTAATGCTAATCGCTGCACAGGTATGGAAGTGGCATATGCACCAAGCGTGTACCCTGTCCGATTCAATAATGTCCTCGACTAGCATACACTGTGAGGGAGAGGAGCCATCCATTGCCAATAGTCATGTCTTGTATGTAGTCGGCACGGCATGTGTAGCCAGAGTTTGGCTCAGACATAGGCCGGGCCAGGCGTCATTCATGCAACAGCAGTCCAAGTGATGATGGCGATGGTGGTGGTGGTGGTGGTGGTTAGTAGCCCGGGAGAAAGGAAAGAAAGAAGAGGGACGGTCAGTCAGTGAGCAGCCATGTCTATAGGAGGGCAGTTTTGGGAATTCTCCGACAGGGACATGACTTGACGCGAATGAAGGAAGGAATGGCTTTGGGCCCCTGTTCCCTGAGCCGCGCCGTTCGTTGGTGGATTGATAGATTGATTCCTCACTGTTCGTGGAGAATCATCGAGGGAGGGAGGCACGGAGGGCCAAGTACCTGTACGGGAGGAGTCAGGCGATGCAAGCCACCGCGATCAAGGCACGCACGCCCCCGATGCAGGCTGGCGGGCATGCGGTGGTGAGGGCGATGATGATGATGTACGTACCCGGCATGGAGTACAGCGATGACTCTTGACGAACAGGTACTGGCAGTCGTCGAGGGAGCAGAGCTCTCGCGGGCGGGGTGATGGACGGGGGAGGGGCCTCTTTAGCCGCTCTCCTTTAGCCGGGCGGGCTGCCATTGGCGGCCGGGTAATGTGAGCTCTCCGCTTTTTTTCTCCAGATCTGCTGACACCGTTGGGGGATAGCGCCTCACCCTTCGCCATCTCCCAGCGACCGGGTGCTGGCTCAACCCCAGGATCGTCGCGCGGCGTCAATTAATGAGCGAGCAGCGCTGGATATTGCCCCCAAAAGTAACAAAGCTGATCTCGCTTCCTTCGAGAAGCCCGCCTGCATGCATGGAAGCTTGAGCCACAATACCAGCTCTCCCCGTCCACTCCCCCTCGTCCTGCCCGCCTGCCTGCACCCCCCCCGGCCTCGCTTTTTCTTCGTCATGTCGTCCAGTCCAGTCCCCGTCGGGCCAGCCAGAAGCTCCTCGGCAGTCACTCTGTCTCTCGCGTCTGTGAGATGAGAATATGCTAATAGTGTCAACGGAGGCCCACTTCCTCCTTCTCGACTCTTTCTCCACCCCCCATCTCTCTTACCTCATGACTGCCCGTACACTTCTTCTCATGCCGTACCACCCGCCCTCTTACTGACCCAATTTTCCCTCCCAACCGCTCCCACCCACCACTCTAGTCCACCATGACCTCCATGGACGCCCAAGTCGTCCCAGATACCACCCCAAAGCCGGAGCGTAGAGCCTCTGCGCCCGTCAAGCGAAGAGTCAGTCGCGCCTGCGACCACTGCCACCGCATGCGAACCAGATGCAACGGCCAGGTGCCCTGCTCTCGATGTATCGGTATGCCCTGTCCTGCCCATCTACCTGCTCTCCCTCTTCTAACCTCCATTGTCCTCCCGCAGAACTCGAATATGTTTGCCAATATAACCGAGAAAAGAAGCGAAGAGGAAAGGTGCGCTTCCATCCATGAATTTTTGTTTGGTTTTTGCTTCGCTTGCTTTCAGTCGTGCTGGATAGTGACGGTTGTTGACTCGTCCCTCGGCTTAGGTACCTCGCCACATCCAGAAGCAGCGCGAGGAGGAAGCTGCCCAACATGGCCACCACCCGCAATCCGCTCCTCACCCTCCGCAACATGGCCTCACCGTCCACACTGGCGGCCAATTCGAAAATATGCATGAAATGGACGACGATCTGTGGTCCCCGTCCGAACCAACCCCCATTGCCCAGCATTTCCCAGATGCCAAAACACCTGTGCATCCCGTCACATCGCCTGGCTGGCAAGTCCCGACCTGTATGTCTTCGCATTTCTTGCTTTCCTTTCCCCTCAATTGTTCTTCTTCTTCGCCAATGTCACGATACCCAAGCTTACTCGTTCAACAGCCGCCTCATTCAACCCTCCGGTGGGCCATATGATGATCGATCCTTTGCTGCTAGGCGCCGGAGAAGGCTACGCGCAACCCATCCCAACCCCAATCGTGCGAAACGAGCAACTCATGTATGCCATGAATGATCTACATCTGGTCCAAGATCAAAACACTCCGGTTTCGGTCCCTCCCGAGTACTCCAACATGGGCTTCCAAATACAGTTCGCTCCCGTCCGACAAGCTTCGCCCCACAGTTACGGCTCCAACGACACCGGCTCGCCACAGTCGGGAGTCAGCGCCACCTCTTCCCACCCAGGAACTCTGCCGTGCAAGTACCCGGTCCTCAAGCCACTGATTCCTCATTTGGGCTCCATCATGACCGTTCCCATGGCCTGCGATCTCCTCGAGTACTACTTCCAAAGCTCTTCGTCCGTTTTCATGGAGCCCGTTTCACCGTACATTCTCGGAACCGTCTTCCGCTCGAGATCTTTCCTGCGTCAGCATAAACCACGGAAATGCAGCCCTGCCCTGTTGGCTAGCATGCTCTGGATAGCTGCACAGACCTGCGAAGCCAGCTATCTGACTTCGTCACCATCTGCGAGGGGCAGTTTTTGTCAGAAGTTATGGAAACTCACGGTGGAGCTGCTGAGGCCTCTGGTTCACTCGCCATCCTCCCATGGTTTTACTCAAGAATCGGCAACCGTAGCCAATCCTGCTTCACACGATGCGCTGGGTGTAGATCGAGTCATGGGTCAATTCGATACCCGCATGGAATCTGGAATGCCCCCTACGAGTACCATCGACGATGTGGCGACGTACGTCAATATGGGTGTGGTGACATCGGCAAGCGAATATAAGGCGGCGAGTCTCCGGTGGTGGAACGCGGCGTGGAGTCTTGCAAGAGAATTGAAGCTAGGAAGAGAGCTGCCACAGGATCATGCGCGAGATCGAGAGTCGAATGGGATGGACACTGACGCTGATGTGGGATTATCGGACTGCTCGACTTCAGGAGCACATATCCCGGCGGGCACGCCAACCGCTGCTCTTGTCGAGGAAACGAAAGAAGAGCGGCGCAGATTGTGGTGGCTTCTCTACATGATTGACAGGTACTTGAATGCGCATGGTAATTCGCCTTGACGATAAGCTGACATTAGCAGGCATCTCGGACTCTGCTACAACCGACCGCTAGCTATGCTGGATAACGAATGCGAGGATCTATATCAACCCGTGCCAGACACTCTGTGGCAAGCGGGTGAGTTCTACACTGGCAACTCTGGTCAGAAGAGGAAGGGACTGTCTTTCCAATGCGTTTCGCACGATGTTTTCGGCTTTTTCCTTCCGCTGATGACCATCTTGGGCGACATTGTCGATCTACAAGCCCAGAAGTCTCATCCACGGTTCGGTCAACGCACATCGTGGGATAACTACGAGGCCGAGATTGCTCGCCAACTGGAACGATACGCGTACAGCCTCGAGGAATTCAAAGCACAGCATGGATATGGGGCAGAACATCCCAATGGTACACCGGACACGCTTCGCAACGAATTGATGCACCAGACACGAAAGGTCGTCGCATACGCAACGCACATTATGCACGTACTACACATTCTACTTCACGGCAAATGGGACCCTGTGGCGTTGTTGGAAGACGACAATATGTGGATTTGCTCGCAATCCTTCTTGGCAGCAACGTCGAGCGCCATTTCCGCTGCCCAGGCCATAGAGGAGATTCTGGAGTTGGACCCGGATCTCTCGTTTATGCCGTACTTCTTCGGAATGGTGAGTTTTGATGTGTTAGCTTCGTATGTGAACTGCTTCACTAATTCTCTCAATAGTATCTTCTCCAGGGAAGTCTGATTCTTCTGCTTCTTGCCGATAAGTTGTCCACCGAAACCAATGACGGCGTGATCCGAGCGTGCGAAACCATTGTACGAGCGCACGAGGCAGCTGTAGTCACTCTCAACACAGAATATCAGGTACGATTCATCTTTCTCGGGTCGTTATTTCGTTGCGGACGATCGACTAACGCTTTAATCACAGAGGAACTTCCGAAAAGTAATGATCTCCACCCTCGCTCAAATCAAAGGCCACGGTCACTCCCGGGAGATGACACCCGCAAAACGGCGAGAGGTACTGTCTCTGTATCGCTGGACGACGCTGGGCAACGGATTGGCCATTTGAGCCATGCACGTGCCGGAATCTCCTCTGAGGGATTCAACTCCTCCCGTTACATCAACTTCTGAACAACCAAATTAAGCGCGCAATGACGACGAATGGCTTTGTGTACGAGTAGTAGTATTTGATTTTCCGCCTTGTTTATCTCTCTCTAGTTTTATCTGCACCTGCGATACGGCGCTCTCGGTACTTTGTGATCTGGAAATTCTGTGGGGCAAAACGTTCAAGCGATGAATCATGTATCTGGGACAAAATTTTGGTCTATTGTTTATATGGGACTGGGCTGGCACTGGTTATACCTGTTTGTTCTCGCCCTGTTTTTGTTCCTTTATTTCTCTTCTTTCTTTCTTCGAGATATCCACATTGGGGACTGAGGAGCGAGGAGGATGAGTTAGGAGAGAAGTCGAAAGGGGGTCCATGGTTCAAGGGACAAAAGCCAAAAAATCAAAGAAGAACAAGTTGAAGAACCGAAAGAGATCTTTGCAAGCATAACTTTTGCTGTTCCTCAAGTCTTGATTTTGGACATGCTGTCGTGTTGTTTTGCGTCTTTTGATTAGGTAGTATATCCCAACTATCAAGTTGTTGCAGTTGATGTTGTTCTTCACGCCAATAACAGCATATTACTCATCCTAACCCTACTTTTTCTCTCCTGGTAAAGAAACACTTTGGTTGGATACATGCAATCAGGAGGAGAGGTGGGGGTTTAACTTCAAGTGTTGGTATCTGATCATGTAACGTGCACAAAAGAATATCTCATCAGCTTTCTGAAAATGTGGGAAACACTTCGACTTTTTTTTTTAAAAAAAAAAACAGCTTGTTTCAGTGCGGCTAGGTCAGACGTAACAGTTGAATTACTAAAGAATGTATGATTGTGTGAAAAGTTCTCTATTTAGGCTTCATCTGGGATGTCTGATGGGGGTCTTTTTTCTGGTTCCTATGTGAGTGGGTTTGTCTGCGGTTGTTTATTGCGCATAGACGTAAAAAAGTGTTTTCATGGATGCATGTCTTCGTGTTATTTGTACATGTTATCGATCACCCTTTTCGATTGGAGAATGTCTTCGATCGCTCTTCTTGTTGAATAAATGCCATGTACTGAGTCATGAAGAGAAAACAGGCAAACATGATGGGCGAAACATGAATCAGAAAAAAACGGCTGTTGAATTTTTTTTGGAACGGGAGGGAAAAAAGAACGTGGCTCGATAACAACTAAAAAATCTCGGCAACTATCATAAACTCTTCTCCACTTCCATGACTTCCCTGATGCCTTCCGCAACCGCTTGCACTTTATCCTCGGGCAATCTCTTCAAAGGACGACGTGGGTACCCTCCATACCCGTAGTACGACTGAATAGCAGACTTTGTACCTGGGATGGCGGATTTGGTGAGGACCCAGTCGCCTTTGCTAAGCACCTTCTGCAGCTCAAAGGCCTCCTGGAATTGGCCTTTAGCGCAGAGATCCCAGACGCGGACGCACGTCTTGGGCAGAACGTTTGCGCCGCCGGCGATGATACCGGAGCCTCCTGATGCGGCCGTCTGTGCAGTGAAGTCGGCCATGCCGCCAAACGCCATGTACCCGCTTCCGTTACTCTGGGTGGAAAGGGCGTTTGTGGCGAGGGCTACACGGGTCAGTTTTCCAGTGTTTCCGCAGGTGAATTTTGTGCCGACAATGTTGGGGTGCTTGGCCAGCTTGATGATGAGGTCGCTGTCCATGTCGATGCCTGCCACGGCGCCGGGGTAGTTGTACAAGATGACGGGTAAGGGGGACGAATCGGCTACGCTTGTGTAGTACTCGGTGATGGCTTCCTCATCCATGGCGTAGCGGTAGTAGCTGGGGGGAACGAGTAGGACGTATTCGGCGCCTGCAGCGGCGGACTCGCGGATTGATTCGATCGTCAGCTTGATGCCTTGTTCCGAGGCGCCCGCGATGACGGGAACGTTTTGGTAGCCAGCTGCGTCGAGGGCTTCGCGGGTTGCTCGCGTGATGTCTGATTTTTCAGAGCGGTTGAGGTGGACGGCTTCGCCATTGGATCCCATGGTAACGAGTCCCACCAGACCGGCTTCAGCGAGTCGTACTGCGTGTTTCTTGACCGTGGCGATGTCGACTTCTTCGGTTTCCGGGTCGAAGAAGGTCATGGTCGGCGAGTAGATGCCCGGTCGAAGAGGAGTGCGCTCTTTGGCAGCGCCATTGGTTCCGTTGGTGGTGCCCGACGTCATGGTTCACAATTGGAGGTTATTCGTGGTGGTGGTGGTTGGGTGTTGGTTTGCAGGCTGCCCTGTATGTCTATATATATGCAGTGAGAGTGAGAGGAAGAGGAAGACAGAGTTAAACCGGGGCAAGCGGACGTGCAGGCAAAGGTTGTTCGGGTCCAGGTTTTAATATACTGGCGAGATGGAGGGCAATCGGTGTAAAGTAACGGTAGAGGATGGGGTCATGGAACTAGGCCGGCTCACAGCCCAGTGGCCCATTAAACATCCCACCTTTTCCGGGATCCATCATGTTGATGGAATATTGCTCGGTGGGTGACGTTCATTCGCCGAGCGGCGGAGGGAGACAGCTAGTTGGAGAGCAGCGGCCAGCGGAGTGGCTTGTGCATGTCTGTCGTGCATGAGGTTTGTGGGTCGTCGGCACAAGCAAGTCAGCCAGCGTCGGGGCGGCACGACCAACGAAGAAGACGGCCGTTTCTATGCCTCTCCTCTTGTGTCCAGTCCATCCAGAAAGGTGACTAACAGGATTGATCGAGGCGTGACGGGGCCGAGTCATCAGTAGGTTAGTGTATACAGCTGGCGAGCCGTGTCAGGAGTAGAGGTGTGTGGTGGAGGAGGTACGGCGGGGTGAGCATGCACTGTCTATCGCGCGATGGCGGAGGAATGTTTTGCCACCACTCAGAGCCCGAGTCCGCGCGTGGGGTGCAGCGACCGGGGGGCGTCTTTGGTCTGGGGAACCGTGACTCGAGGTGGCACGGCCGCGGGGTCTGCCATGTGCCCCTCCTCCAGTGCTGCTCTCTGGACGGCCACTTCGGACCACATTAGTCCGCAATATAGCCATCATCAGGGTAATGCGGTAATTTGTTTGTGCTTTGCTTCAATGCAATGCATCGCAGTCTTTAGGCTGCCGCTCACTGAATGATTCTGGCCAACATGTCGTGCTCCAGCCCTACTCTAGGTCCATCTAGAGGCAGGTGGGCGTTCAGATGCCGACGTCCCGCTTCCAGTCGCCGAACCATATCCACCTCTTTCTTCCTCCCACAAAATCTCTAGACGCCGACTCGTCGCTCACTCTCCTTGTTTCTACCCCCCTTCGAGAACACCTCACCTCCCTGACAATCCAATCAAGATGGCGCCTCTACAGGTTCTCATGGTGAGTTCCGTGTCTTCATTGTCTTGACTACTCACACGCTGATGGCACTGGTCAGGTTGGGACGGGCGAATACACCACGGGCTTTGTTGGCGGGGGAGCTTCCACCTCCGACAAGAAAGTTGGTGTCGTGGGTTTGACACTGTTCGATCTTCGCCGCCGGGGGAAAGTGGGAAATCTGAGCATGGTCGGAGTCAGCGGCGACAAATTCCCAGCAATCCGCGAACATCTGCAAAAGAACATCTCTCAGGCATACAATGGCCTGGACGTGTCTTTTGACGAGTTCCCCAAGGAGGGCAAACGCGACCCAGATGCCTACAAGGAAGCAATCGATGCCTTGCCCAAGGGCAGTGCCATTACCATCTTCACACCAGACACCACCCATTACCCAATTGCCCTGTATGCGATTGAACGCGGCCTTCACGTGTTGATTACGAAACCCGCCGTCAAGCTCTTGGAGCATCACCAAACATTGCTCGCGGCAGCAAAGAAACACAACGTTTTTGTTTACATCGAGCACCATAAGCGATACGATCCTGCATACGCCGATGCTCGTTTCAGGGCCACGAAGCTTGGTGATTTCAACTACTTCTACTCATACATGTCACAGCCCAAGTAAGCACCACACGTCTCTGCTCTGTTCCCTCGGCATGTCTGACTTTGATATTCAGGAGCCAACTTGAGACGTTCAAAGCATGGGCAGGCAAAGACTCCGATATTTCCTATTATTTGAACTCCCACCACGTCGACATCAACGAGTCCATGGTTCCCGACTTTACACCTGTTCGGGTGATGGCAAGCGGAGCAAGAGGCATCGCAACGGACCTTGGCTGTGTTGAGGGAACTGAGGACACCATCACCCTCCTCACTGACTGGGTAAAGAAAGATGGATCAGGCAAGCGGGCAACAGGTGTCTACACAGCTGGCTGGGCGGCGCCTCAGAAGGCTGGCGTTCATTCAAATCAATACTTTCACTACATGGCAAGTAAAGGCGAAGTTCGAATCAATCAAGCCAAACGTGGTTACGACGTCACGGACGATGACACCGGCTTGCTCTGGTACAATCCGTAAGTAGTGCATTCAGGACCCACATTGGTTTCCAGAAGGATACTGAAATTTCCAGATTTTATATGAAGTATGCACCTGATGAAGAGGGCAACTTCGCTGGCCAGATCGGTTACGGGTACATCTCGTTTGAGAAGTTCGTTGACGCGGTCAACGCTCTAAACGAGGGCAAGCTTACCCTCGAGGATTTGGATGCTCGCCCGCTTCCCACACTCAAGAACACCATCGCGACTACAGCCATTCTAGAGGCCGGCCGACGGTCTTTGGATGAGAACAGGCCGATTGACATCGTTCAAGAAAATGGCATCTGGTCGCTAAAGTAAAGATGGCTGGTTCACACCTGGTTTTGATTATCATGACGAATGAATGCATACTTTGTTTTTACCAATAACATTTATTGGAAGTTCCGTGAATCATGCATTGGTAGACGCATACCAATAACGCTTTGTTTGCTGAGTTGAGTCGAATCTGCCGATGTACGTTTGTCAGAGTGGTGATTTGTGGTCCACGATGACTAAGCTCGATTCGGCTCTACCCGGTCGGTATAAAGACGTCAGGGCTCAAGGATTGACCACATCTGCGTCTGCGTCTTCACCGCCGACCAGCATTAACCAACTCTACCACTAGCACGTTTGCCGCATCTCACCCCCACCACTTACGTCGTGCGACTCCCTCGTTGGCTGGTTTGGTCAACCCTCCCCATTCACCGTGGCGTCACTTCACAACCTCCTCGAAGACTTTAAAAAGTCATTACAATTTTTCAAGACACACCCCCTCCTCAGCACCGACCCGCAAGTCGCAACCGCTCAAGGTCACAACCACGACACAGACTCTTGGAGTAGACTGCTGACAGTCGCACGCCAAAAAATCAGCACATCACCAGACTTCGCTGATCTACTCACGAATCCCCGCTTCGACGACCCCACCTACCTCACCGGCCTCGCTATTGCCCTTGCTACCATCTTCGTCGCCATGTCTTGGTTCTCTCGCAGCGGAGGCGGATGGGGTGGGCGCTTCTCACCGTTTGGTCGCCCGGGTGCCTCGCCCAATTCTGGTCAAGTCTCAGACTCGGACTTTTCGTACATCACTGCGGAAGACCTCAAGAAAAACCGACCCGAGATCGTGGACTGGGATGACAAAAATCCTGACCGTGATACGGATGTATTGATCTTCAAATATGGGAGGACACACTACCCTACACACTTCGCTGCCTTCAGTATACGAGATGGTGAGCTGAAGATCGGCACAGTTAGGCAGGCGGCTGCGAAGAAGCTCAGCATCGACGACCCTAGGCGGATACGTTTATTTCACAAGGGCAAGAATCTGAAGAATGATGACCGGACAGCGCTTGAGGAAGGACTGCGAGGAGACGGAACTGGCAGCGAGATCCTTTGCGCGATCGGAGAGGGTGCCGCCGGCGGAATGGCACCGGGCGCTGAAGAGAGCGATGGAGAAGACGATGATGAGGCCGGAAGTGGCGTTGATTCGGCTTCAAATACTGGCGCGAAGAAGAAGAGCCGCAAACGCGGAGGAAGGAAGTCCAAGAAGAAGAGTCAGTCCGCGAATGCCTCTGGTAACAACACACCGGGGCTGGCCTACTCCAATGCCACTTCGACCAATCCCGAATACCTTCCCATGCCCTCGAACATTAGTGGTCCTACGCGCCCTACGTCTGCGCCGTCACCGAACGCATCCCGTGCACCCACGCCGCAAACACCCCTCGCGAAACTTGATGCCATTGCTTCCAAGTTTCACACCGAGCATGTACCGCTGTGCGTGGCATTCCTGCAGAATCCACCCGAGGAAAAGTCCAAGAGGACGTTTGAGTACAAGAAGCTCTCTGAGACGATTTTAACGCAAATTTTAATGAAGCTGGACGGGGTGGAGACTGAGGGAGACCAGGAAGCAAGGGCGCGACGGAAGGAGCTTGTCAAGGAGGTCAATGCGATGCTTAACAAGTTGGACGAGCTGAACAAATAATCTACGAGGGCTTGAAGATGGCACACTATTAGAGCCATTTATCCGGCATCTTGCATCTTTCCTGCATACGTTTTGTTACGGTTGGCGAAGGATCTCTCCTTGGTAGGTTTTGGCTTGCATGAGCGATACCCACTTTCCATCCTTTTTGATCTTTCTTCGTTTAGGATTTGGCTCTTTGCTGTTTGTTTTTGATGGATAGAAATTTGTCGTTCAACTAGAATCCAAACAGGTACTATTCGTTCAGACAAGACAATTAATTTGTGAGAATCAACTAGACGTGAACGAACATGGCGAGGTATCGGTGCCTATTGCCCGGTCTGCAATACATGAGCTGGCACCTTGAATGACGGTCTAGTGTGATCATTACATAAGCAGATGGCTAACACGTGAATCGGCGAGAAGTGGTGTTGACGCTAGTTAGCCGAGCGCGCTTGGGCCATGTTTACATCCAAATAACTCTGATGACGAGTTAGTGTTCCCACTTCCCGCTCGACACGACACATACCACCCCAGCGTACTCAATTGCACCACCCCACTGAGCGCAGACTGTTGAAATATTCTTCCTTACATCTCTCGCTCTATCAATCGATATCATGGCGAGGCGCTCCGCCAGGCTTCTGAAGGTACGTGCATGCCCGGTTCCGCCCTACTGTCAACAACAATGCCCACTGACCGCTTTGCTGGTAGCGATCGCCCACTCCGGCCGAGGAGTCAATCTTAAGCAACGCGAGTTGGGAGACTGCGCACTCCGAGCTATCGCCTCCACGCAATGAGCGTCTTCCCTCCGTTGTAGAGGACCACGAACCTGCCTTAGAGACACCGCAAAAGCCTGTTGCGCAGAAGCCAGACACGGCTGTCAAAGCACAGAAAGCGTCCCAACTGCCGCAGACGGAGCACACCCCGACCTCGCTCACTCCTGCATCTACCGCCTGTCAAACGCCCAAGAACCGTACTCCCATTTTGCCGGCTACTCAAGAAATGCACCCAGCTTTGCATCACCCGACTACGGCCAAGATGTTGGATGAGGCGCGTTGGCTCGGTTTCCAGAACATGGGCGCTCATACTGCACCACCAAAAGCTGCTTCGTCAGCTGTAGGACAAGGCACTCCTTCCAAGACACCGGCATCTTCCAAAACTCTTCCCGGCGCAGCGGAAGATGCGAAGAGCCCTTCGTCTGCTTTCAAATTTAGGTTCCGCATGAAGTCGCCTTTCTCTGGCCTTAGCCCTTCCTCGAGCCGCGTTTTGAACAACGGTGGGGAGAAGAGCACTGCTAGTGCACGTGATTTGTTCAAGGCAGACGAGTTCACTGCTCCGGTGGACATGGATACCAAGCGCAAGACCGCTGTACCAAAGGGCAAGATGAAGCGCTTCAGCGACGTACACATGGTAAGTGTAGCACATACCTACTCATACTTATATGATTGCTTCTTCTCGTACATCGAAAGATCCTTGCTCTACTGTTACAATGCCGCTAACATATTCCTCAGAAACAGTTCAAGAAGATGGACTCTATCGCGAACCACCCGTCGTCCTTCCGCACCGTACAACTCGTCAACACGCCGTTGAAGAAGTCGTCCTCTAGAGCCGATCTTAGCAAGCCTGAGTCCAGTGGAACCGCAAACAACAAGTTGAAGCGAACACAATCTAAGATGAATTTGTTGGACACCGTTACAAAGGGAGCTGGACCTGCCTTAGGTCGCATTACCTCAAATACGGACACGGAAGAACTTCAACCCAAAGTTGCTTTTACACCGTTGAAGCGCACTCAGTCGAAAACGGACCTCGGTGGTTCCAGCCTCCCTCGTTTTCAGTCGACTGTACGAATGGTCCCTCCTTCGCGCGACGGACGCCCCCTCTCACGGGACAATGACAACCCTTTCGCCAAACGGGTCAAACGCACCGAAAACGACGATGCTGCGACTACACGCCCGGCCTCCCGTAGTGGTAGATCCGAAGCGAGCAAACCCAACATTGCAAAGGTTGCAACACCTGCCCGAAAGATTACTTCTCAAACTGCCCTCCCACGTTTCGCTTCGAGACTGATGACGCCGACCAAGGCATCTTTGGCGCGATCCCACACGGTCAAAGCAGTCAAGTCTCAGTCTATGATTCCTTCGCTTCTCAAGTCCCCATCAACCACAAACCTTTTCTCGCCCACTAACATTGGCCAAGCGATGAAAGATGGTGTGCGAGATGGTATGCGGAAGACGAGCAACTCCCTGCAAAAGGTCAAGTCTATTCTCCGTACCCCAAATCCGAAATTCTCCAACGACATCAGCAAGATTGCTGCAGGTACCCACATGTCACCTCCTACGGATGATCTATACAAGCCTCTTCCTATCGCCCCCCAGACTGTCCCTGCGAAGAAGCACGTTCTTTTCAGCAGCAGCACTCTCGAGCGAGACAATCAGGAGGACTGGGCCAAATCACCCTCGCCAATGAAGCTCCGAGCTGGCTCTGAAATCCCAGCTGGCGCTGTTGTCTATCCGTCTCTTCAAGGCGGCGGCGATGTTGAGTACCCTACCATCCACGAAGATTCGGAATCAAGTGCCGCTTCTCCGTCCCGCCGCCTCACATTTGGTGACGTCGAAGCGAACAAGCCCAGCGAGTTCTCGTTCCAATCCAGCAAAGCCATTGATTTTGGTCCTGCCTCCACTGGCACCATACGCGTTGTACGCAAGAGTAACGCCTCTTCCATGTTCGACGGCAAGAAGCGTAGGCTCAATGCCGTTGAGGAGAGCTCGGACAAGGAGAACAGTGCACCGGCACAGCAAGATGGGGGTCGTTCCGCCAAGAAGGCGAAGATTGCCCCGACCGAGCCTTCCAAGACTCCATCTAAGCTGCCCCGTCGTACTCCCAACAAGCGCGGAAGCGCCCTCAGCAAGTCTAGGCTTGCTTTTCTATCCACTCCCAAGCGTTCAAAAGCCTGAGGAAGTAACAAATATTCTACCTCGGCAGTTTATGCAGGTTCGGGCCTTGCCCACTGCAACTGTCTGCTTGTTTTCTATGCCCTTTTATTGGCGTTCTATCCTCACCCCTCGGCAGTATGGTTGCCATGATAACGACTCTTTTTTTCCTTTGTCAATCTTTCAGGTTCCTGGTCTCTATTTCAATGATGGTGTTATAACGGTGGCGAATAATGGTAAATGGGGTTTTTTGGGACGGATTTGGCGCGTGGCATACACACGCATACATCACACACACATTGAGAGTTGGGTCATGAATTCTTTTCTCTTTTCTTCATTTCCTTTCTTCTAGATGACCTTCTTTTTCTTTTCTCTTCTTTTTCTTCCCTATGCTATGCCCTCTTTCGTGGCCATGTTTACGATGTCATGGGCTGGTTGGTTGGTTGGGCGTTTGTTTTTGTTGATATGACTTCCATACAAAAAATGAATGATCTTTCCCATGAAAGAAAATCGACTTGGAGGTGACGCTACAATGATTGCTGTTTAGATTGACAGTATCTTTACCTCAGCCGGTCTTGTGTATCTTACATACTCATTGGAAGTGATGGTTACATTGCACGTGTTTTATCCTGCTTGGGCTATGTCGGATCTATTAATCGCGATGCCCAAACACCATACCAAATCCAATCGAATCGAATGAGTTCAATCCAATCCAATTCCAGTAATCAACCCAGCCTAACCAACCGGTAAAACACGTATCACCACCCCTCCCACTCCCACTCCCTCCACGCTCTCTTCAAAACACCCCACATCCCTTTCCTCGCTCCCAACCCCACTCTTCTATCATCATACACAACCCCCCGCTCTCGCGCATACCCATACTTCCTCATTCCGCCACCGCCTTCGCCCTTAGCCTCGAGCTGACGACCCTCAGACTCCAAACGCACCTCCGTCTTCGTCTTGCGGGGTTCTACAGCTCGCGAAAGACGATATGGGTCGAGGGAGGAGAAAGGGAATGAAGATGGGAATGGAGGGGCACGAGGGCCCATGATACGGGGTGGTAGTGGTTGTTGCGACGGGTGTTTGGTTTTATGCGAAGACGACGACGAGGAGGAGGAGGAGAAAGAGGAGGAAGAGACGAGTAGAAGATTGTAAGAATCGTGCCTTGACGATGCCGATGAGGATGATAGGTGATTGTGTTGGAATTCTCTGGTGGCGTTGGAGGTTTGTAATGCTGCTGCTAGTGCAGTCTGATGGTGGTGGTGGACATGTCCGTCAATGTTGCTGTCATGGTTTCGTTGATGAGATAGGTCGATGGCCATGGAATTGCGGTCGCGATCGCGGTCGCAAACATCATGTTCATGCACTACCGAAGCGCTTGTTCCGTCGAGTTGAAGGTCTGACACACACTGGTAGTCAAACTGAGTTCCGATTGGACATTCCAAGTCAATAATCGGGTGTGGTGGTGATTGTGGTAGGAGCGATGGTCTCGAACCAGTTGAACAAGATGGTATAGGAGGTAAAGGCCGCGGTTTTCTTTCCTCATCTTTCTCGTAAGTCTCCGCGCTGTGTTCCTGTCGTCTGGATGGAAATGAAGCCGTGGCGTCATTTTGTTGTCCATGTCTCATTGCAAGTTCCTCGTCAGTGCAAGCATCTGGATTTAACACCCGATCCTTCCAATCGTCTTCACTTTCCGCGTTTTCTGTGACCTTGTGATCATAGTCTTTTTTGTATTTACAATTCACATCATCGTCCCCCTCTTCGATATCCCCATCGCTATCACTAGGCGTAGGCAGGCATGGGAGAGGTCGGAAAAGCGGGTGGTGCGTTTTGATCGATTCGTCATCAACTTCTTCATTCCCACTGTCCAGTTCTGAATCCGATTCTAGCGTCCCTTGAAGCTTGTCGGGAGGGTCAAAGTAGGAGGAAGAGGAGAAACAGTCATCTTCGACGTATGCTTGATAAGGGCGGATCTGTATGAGAGGCGTCTTTGGTGCCATTCGACGGTGCCTTCCTTTCAATTCAGCTTGGCTTGATGGATGTCAAAGGGATGGTTATAAAGGTGAGTCGAAAAGGAGGGATTTGTTTGACAACTGGTTGTTTTTCCACCCGTTTCCTTGACTCAATCGAAGTCGATCGTCTTGCCACGACCGCCCCTGTCCGCTATGTCTTTGAAAAGACCCAGGGAAGGAGTAAACAATAGAGTAAATGGCAGAAATATCGTGGTTGGGTCGGAGTTGAATATGCACTCGTCGGGTGCATGATGCAATTCAGCTTAGTCCGATACGCCCGTTGGATTGAGGAGGGTGAAAACTTAGGAGTGAATGTCCGAACAGACAAACCGCTGCAGGCAAATGGCTGGCGGGCATTCTGGTTTGATGAGCGAGCGAAGCGACACGAAACGAAACAGCCACTCTCGCTCTCTACTCAGTAGTATATGAAGCAGGCTTTGTGTATCTAAATTGGCTCACTCTCTCTCAGCGATTGTTTTCCCGCCGCCTCGTCATGATACCAACAACAACGTATCGGCATCGAGGAACACATTGTTTTCGTGTTTCAAACAAGCGGGTATATTTTGTTGTCCTTGCTGTTTTATCCACTGGATTCACCTGTGGGCCCATTTGTCTGTTTGCCTCGTAGAGGATATCTTCCACTAGGGTAAGTGTCTGTGGTTGCACCCGGGGTCGGTTCCCTCCCGTGTGTTCCGCTCTGTTCACCTAGGCTGTGATCAATGCGTGTGTAAGAAGTAACAACTAGTTTTGCATTCGACTGGCTGTCGCATTGCATTCAGGTATTCGATGTGCGAGGCCGGGATGCTACTTACTTATACTCCCAGTACCGACCCTGGAAGAGAAAAGATAGATTGTCTCTCAATATAGTTCAACCCTCACCACCAGGATAGAACTACAAAGTAACAATACAACCAGCCATGAACGCTTATAACCAAAAGAGAAGAAGGTGATGACAGAAAGACAACAGGAGACGAACGAGTCCACTGTATTCAACACCGAAGAGGAGCAGCGAGATCCTCGGGTCAAAACCCAAAATCATACCCAGCCATGCCGTTCCCGCTCATCCTTGCCGCCCCCATTGCCCTTTAACCATCCAACACCAGCATTTGCAACACCTTTCCAACGCTCAACGCTGGTCTTCTTGGGTAAATGGTACTGTCTCTCTCGACTCTGCTCAAGGCGCTGTCTGAAGGGAGTCTACCCCGTCATTCCCAGGCCTCCCAATTCGATATCCTCCCTGACTTCAGTCTCTCGAAAACCAAGGGAAGAGGCACATTTGCGCCCGGATTGCATCGAATTGCCTCTGTTGATGGTAGCCGATTTAGAGAGGACGGTGTCGTTCGATTTCACCCTCCGCAATTGATTTTGAAGATCAGCTACGTCGCCATCTGCGAGAATTTTGCCTTTGCGGTTGCTCGGGGGTGTACGATAATCCCAAGCCGTGTTCAAACGCTGAGTGCCGTCTTTCCGAGGGCTCTGGTCTACGTCTTTGCTTAAGACATGCAGTTCCTCCGCCTGAGAACGCATGCGCTCAAGTGACTGCGTGCGAGGTGCAGCGAAAGCACGACCCTGTACTGAGCGGGAAGGTTGACGTTCGAGGCGAGGCGGGGAATAACCCCGCTTGTAAGTATTAGCTGTACGCTTCTCCTCGATGGCGGCAGCAACCTGAGCTACTGAATTGGGGACTACATCAAGGGAGTTCTAAGAAACAGTCAGCGGGTCGAGTGAGACGGAGACTCTGCCAGCAGGCTCCCATGATATCAACGCACCATGTGGATGAGCACGATTGGTAGCTGGACTGCCACAAGTTTGCTGAGCAAAGTTAGCGTCTGATCGGTCAACATAAGGGTATCACGAACGTATGGGCGCTACCAATGATGACATTGAGGAAGTACCGTACTTCAAAATATTTGCCTGATTGGTTAATATCCCATGGGATTCTGCGAGTGAAAGGTTTGACGTACCACACTTCACAGTAGCATGACCTCGAGGTACTTCTAAATGACAGGTGCGGATATGTGTTTGATGAGCAGGCACACCGTGCCAGCCGGCTGTCCCCTGTTTTATTACAGATTTTCCGAGTATAGATCTTTCGTTGCTGTCGAAGATTCGCGCTTGACTGGCCGATTTTTCCATGGTAGCTGCAGCAGCCTGAATAAACAACACTTGTCAGCAGTTGCTGGCTCGCGCATGAAGAACATGAGCCACAAACGTGTTTGTAACACAGTAGATCCCTTTCCAGCTGCAGCTCAATCTTTTTAATCATTTTGCGACTGTTGTTGACAATGTGAACGTCGACGTAGATGCTCGTTCCGCTAACCCAAACCTGTCGGTGGAGCCCTGCAGTAACTTTAACAACCTCGACGGTAACATCGCGAGGCTTGACCCATTCATCCGAAGCTGTAAGAGGGCTAGGCAAGGACATGAGAGCTTTCTCAGCTACTTTTGTTAGCGTTTCTTCATCAGAAAGTTGGATTTGACCTACGATCATAAACAGACAGAATGGTAACATCCTCCGAAGCCCGCACAATATACTGTTTTCCTTGGTCTCGTATAAGTAGTGATACGCAGACCGAGTAACGGATTTTTGCGTTCTTAGATTGAAAAGGCGGCGGCCCAACGTTCAGCGGAAGGCTCATCATGAAGGGCATATTGGTCACAGAAGGCATCAGATTCCAGAATGAATCGTCATGGCCAATCTGATCCCGGTGCTCCACCATGTTGGGTGGAGGCGGATTGTCATCGTCAATGAGCTCCGTGGCCAGATTAAGAAATACGGCGCGTCTGTTTCCGGACGCTTCTTCGAGTCCAAGAAGGTCTATCGATATTCGTCCAATCGCCAACGCTCTTCGGTGGCGTATCCGGTCGGCCTCATCGATTTTGATCTGCACAGTACCTTCGACGGAGCCGCCCCCTACAAATATACCGGCCGAAAGATCCAATTCAAGATGGACCCTTGGATGTCGATGGACAGGGAATTCCAGGAGCTCGGCCGAAAGTGGTTCTCGTATGAAAGTCTGAGACGGTATACGGCGATTGGTGTCATGGGAGATGGGATCGAGTCGAGCAGCGATGTGACGCAATGGAGACTGTGACTGGCCACGTTGTGGTATCGTCTTGTTGGGGTCAGTCAAAGAGGGAGGAGGGAGAGGTACGATGTGCAAAGACGAGGTGGGTGCTCGTGAGGCTGTAACTGGTGGGGGTGGACGAGAACGAGAAGCACTACGGGCTCGGACGCGAGAAGATGAACGGGGAGGCACGCTGTTGGGCGGAATACTATATATGCTGGAAATGCTGATGTCTGGTGATGGCGTTCTATTACCGGGTCGCCCTCGTTGTGCAGGTCTGGCACCATTGCTGTCAATGCTCGTCTTCTTGTCCGGATCTCTGTTCTCGGCAAGTCGATTGTCGATGCTGGGGCGTCTAGATGCGACTGAAGGTTTGCGCGACAGATCGGAGCGGGATACGCTCCTGGGGATGTTGCCTTCAGATAATAGCCTTTGGGGTATGGTATCGGCTAAGCTTGGTTCCGTGAGCTCGCGTATGTCTGATAGAGGACGTGGTCTTGCCCATGAAGCAACATTGCTGGAGATTCCTCTGGGTTCCCCAAATCCGTTGCTCACCATGCCTTTCCAACGGCGGGTCCTGTGCTCGTTGGGGAACAGCACAAACGCAGTTGATGAGGAGCGATGAATGTTGACCCAGTGTTTACCTATGCAGAACTGATGCTTGGGGGAAACGGGGAGAAAGTCATGCGACACTATTTCGATGCTCGATAATCAAGGTGTGCCGGAGGGAATTGGGCGTCGCGTCGCATCTTGGTGGGTGGACGGCAAGGTCACGAAGGCCAACTGCGGTAGATGGAGATTGGGAAGGTACGGGAGGGAGTGCCTGCTCTTTCCCTTTGGAATTGGTATCGCGGAAGAACAGGAAGTGACGGAAAGACAGTGAAACGATCAAGTACATTAGTAGGCAATGTTTGAAAGGATGAAAGTGGTGGATTATTCAAGTTTAACTGAGATACGTATATCATATTGCCATGTATGTTCCCTCCAGGTTGTATGACTGGTTGCGCTCTTCGCTGCTGGGGTCTGGGTACGAATCTGAAGGGTAATGGCATATAGCACGCTCTGCAAGCAGCAATTGAACTCGAGCTGGGGCTGTACTTTGCAACATGCAGAGGTGATGTTGAGCCAACTCGTTCACGATCTATTTTTGTTCGCATGGTGGACGGCGGTCAGACAATAATTCCGAATGCGAATAGACGGGACGACTTCGGCCCCAACCGCGGAAAAGATGGGGCAGTAGCGGCTTCGAGCCGTCGACGGAGGCGTAGCGCGATGGTTTTCCGGGTCATGTGCATAGCAATATTTGGTATTGCTGGTTTCAGTGGAAACTTGGAGGAGTCAGGAGACGGTAGGTTCCGACGAAAATGGCGTGGGCTAGCATGGAGCGTCCTTGTGTTGCTCTACACATAGGCGAGGAAGGATTCTCTCTGGGCTGCCGTGGGATGTTGGCATCAAGTTGGCTGGTGGTGAGTGATGTCAAAGGCAGCAGCAAGTGAATACGAAGTTATCAGATCAACAGGGCAATGGGCGATAGGAACTCGTACGAAGATTGGAGGGGGCCAATTCCTTGGTCGGTCAGTGGATTCTGGTGGTGGTGGTGGTGGTGGTGGAATCCATGATTGCTTGCCGCGCCGCGCCGCAAAAGCAAGGCGAGCGGGGAGGAGAAGGAGGATTGGGTGGCTGGCCTGGGTGGAGAGGCAGCATTGATTGATTGAATGAATGAATCAGCCGGGCCATGACCTGATGCGGCGAACCCGCACGATACATTCATTCATTCATTCATTCATTCATTTGTTCATGGATTGCTTGATTCAAGATGGTTGTTGAGGGTGATGCAAATGCAAATGCATCCAGGCTGAGCATGATGATGATGATATGCCCGGAGAAGTGGTGACGCTGACGATGAAATGGTGGGGGAGAGGGGGGTGAGTGTGCGAAGCATTGGTGGAGGATGTTCCGTGATGATGATAACAGCTGCCCTTTGAATTGCAGACTGGATGCAGTCCATCCGGTCGAGAGACGAGAGAGATTGGCGACGGCTGGATAGGGCAGGGCCATGGAGATGCCGGAGATGCACGCGCAAAACACCAGAGAAAAATTGCTGGCGCGGGCGGGAACTATACCAGCCCAGGCAAGGCGATCCTCGACCCCGGCCAGCCGTGGGAGCTGCCATTCGATGCGCTCGCTGCACTGTTCGCCAGCTCGCCTGGACGCTCCGCATTGGGCCCCAAGTCTGCCTGCCTGCGTCGCGGTAAGTAGTGTCCTCTTCACACCTCCGTGAGGGAGAGAGAGAGTGAGGGAGAGTGCTGTCAGACGCGAGACAGCTCGACAACGCCCTCACTGACTGACTGATTGACTGACTGACTGACTGACGCCAGAGGCTGACCTGACCCCGTCTGCATGCACAACACAACAATCCCTCATCGACTCTCCCAGCGGCCCTTTTTCATTCGCCTCCCTCCCCTCGCCCGTGTGGCTTCTTTTTCGAGTCTTGAACCTTGGGAGCCTAGTAAACAGTTAGACCACACACACCGGCCCTCCACTACAGGCCATCCGCCCATCCATACCCCTACCTGCCCGCAGCCACCCAAGTCCCTGAGCACCTAGCCAGCCCAGTCCCTAGCCAGCCAGCCAGGCGGTTGCAAAGGAAAAGGGAACCAGCAGGAAAAAAAAAGGAAAAACGAAAAAAACATCGGCTCTCTCGTGACGCAGCCGGGCCTTTGAAAGCTCCGCGCCCTGCCAGAATCAATCGCCCATTTCCATTACGTATCTCGCCCTCCAGTCTACCTCTCCACGCAACCACACACAGGACCCGCCGTGTGCTCGTTATCAGACATTATCAAAATCCCCTACACACAGCTTCAATCGACAACCCTCCCGGCCCCGCGCCTACTCGCGCCTAACCCGTCAGAGCCTCTCCTCCTCTCCGCCATCCTGTGCCCCTCTATCAGCGTGGAGGGGCACCTTGCCCGCCCATGGGAGATAACAGCATGACGGCCGCCGTGGGCAAGACGGAAGATCCACGCGACAGCGACTCCTGCTCCGAGCCTGAGAACTATCCCCACGAAGATGAGCAGACCTACACCCAGGACAACCCCCCGCCCCAGAAGCGCAAGGGCGGTCGCAAACCAGTGAGCACCATCCATCTTCTGTACAAATCTCTCTCCTCTGCACGCATGTCGTCCCCCTTCGTAGATAGATCCCTTGTAGCCGATTCCTCGCTGCTGTTGTTGCTGTTGTTGCTGCTGTTGTCGCTTCTATGCCCTTCAACCCAATGTCTAGATCCGCACTAACCCACCCCCGTAAGATCTATGCCACCTCCGAAGAGCGCAAGCAGCGCAATCGCCAGGCCCAGGCTGCTTTCCGCGAGCGCCGTACCGAGTACATCAAGCAGCTTGAGAGCACCATCAAGCACCACGAGGATACCCTCCAGAACCTGCAAAACAGCCACCGCAATGCTGCCGACGAGTGTCTCATGTTGCGCTATAAGAATTCGTTGCTGGAGAGAATACTCTTGGAGAAGGGTACGCTACACCCCCATTCATCTGGTTCCTGCCCGGATCGCTAACCGATTGACCAGGCATCGACGTCCAGGCCGAACTGCGCGCAAAGACAGGCAGTCCGAATCTTGGGCCTACGCGCGCTGCCGCCTCGACCGCCGCCTCCCCGAACCAAGCTCCTCTTCAGCAACGAGCCATCTTAAACAGACAGCAGCAGCGGAGGTCCTTAGGAGGTCCGCCCAAAGCTGAAGGTGTGCATGGTCTGCCCATGATCCAGCCTGATGGCGCTGTGCCAAACCGTTCACCACTCTCGCAGCCTACGCCTGTGTCCCACCTCTCCTCCCCATCCACCACAGCAACTCGCTCCCCCAATTTTGTACCCCAGGGTACTTCGGTTTCACCCAACTTTGGGCCGCTCCCGCCACAGCAGCAGCAGCAACCGCCGCCACAACAGCAACAATTGCGGCCGCAGCCGCCTAGGTCGAATTATACCCCCATGATGGGGCCGCAACGGCCATCATTAGTGACGAATCAATCCCCCTCGAATGGCATGTCCAGCGCTTCCACGGTCGGTAGTGGAGCCAGTGTGATGACTCAAAGCAGCACTAGCGGCGGTCCTTCAACTTACTTCAACACTCCTTTCACGGACCACATGTCCCAGCTCGGTACGTTGTCTCGTCATGTTCTCTCGTATTGCCGGCATCTTGAGTCCCAGGCTAACTTCGTCTACAGAGCAGGAGTATGATGAGCAAGCCGATATGCTCGACCAAGAGGAACCTAGCGATCACTCGGCTGGGCCCGGTCCTTATCCGCAGAACTTTCCTCCAAATCCGATGAACTCGCAAAGCATGCAACCACCGATGCCTCCTGCAAACAATCAGCCCTTCCCCAGCCCTGCCTCAGCGACGCCGAATGACGGCACAAACGTTTTCAATGGCATGAACCACTTGTTCGACCCTTATGATCCAATGCTTGATGCAGATCCATTTGGCCTATCTGCCAGCATGCACTTTCCGACCATGTACGAATCAAGATGATGAACGATGATGTCCGTATACAGGACACGACGGTTACCTAAAAAGTTGGGGTAGGAGTTTTTTGTGTTTGGGATTCATTTAACCTGTGATTGGGTCTTTCAGCGGGCGCCTGGGGTTTCACTCGTGGCATAGTCTTGGTCACGACTACCGGCGTTTTGACTCAAGGAACCGACAAGGATACTCTTACGATATCCACGTATGAAGGCGGTATTCTCAAAAGTTCTTTGTTATTATCTTCCGTTTCATTATGCACTGCTTTTGGGGCCCTTGCTTCAGGTGGAAGAGAGAGGAGAAAGAGAAGGCGTGTATGGTATTCACCAGCCATGGTTTCGATGGTCCATATTGGAGCGATACCATTTTTGATGGTGGGCGTGGAACCGCAGGTCTGCCGCCCTGTAAATACATAACTGCGGACCGACACTCAACTATTGGAGGAGATGAAGTATCACGGAATGCAGACCACCTCACCAAGGTGAGGAATCAATGCCATGTATGAACGCAAAAAAAAATAGCTTCGGGACCTGTTTTACCAAACACCTTTTTAATGACCAAAAGGTGGTGAGCTAGTGATTGTGTAAATATGACTGGTGACGTCTCGACCAACAAAGAAGGTTGTAAGAAGAGAGGCCGCTGCGAGGCATATGCCATCATGGCACAAGCTGCGTCAATGCATGCAGTCGCTGGCTGGCACTGTCATTGTCAGCTGTACGGGACGTCTTGAGACGTCATTTCCCCGTCTTTGGCGGAGGCAGCCGGCCCGTGCGCTCTTACCTAATCCTGAAGCAAGCGAAGCACAAACCACCAATTGTAAATTTCGGCAGGTAGCAACCACCATCGCACGTCCAACGATCCCCTTTGAGCGACCTCTATCCACCACACGAGAGCCGCGACCCTAGAATTCAGGGCCTGCTCTCACGTATATACCTCTATACAATCAGACTGAGCGTCTAGAAGGTCAAGCGCGAAAGGCGCTTTAATTCACGATGTCGATTGCCTCCAAAGTAAGCCCCACCCCTCACTCAACACCTCAATTTTTAGCGACCAAGAGCTCCTTCCGCCATTGGGACCTCAAAGCCACACCTCGCGCAACATCAAGACAATCCTTTGCTGACACATCAATAGAACCTCTTCGAGTTGCTCGGTATGTGAAGCTACCCGAGGGCACGACACACGCGCTGCCCGGCACAGGCTAATTCATCCTCAGGCAACGATCCTGAACTCGACCCCGACCGAGCCCCAGAGCCCCCTACAAAGGCCATCGATAAGCCTACGGCAAGGACTGGCAAGCGCAATGGCCCATCCGAAGCTCCTGCGCGGTCTGCTGGTAACACCACCAGTCGCGCGCCCAAGGACTCCGGCAACGCCAACGACAACTGTATGTCTTCATCCTATACCTGCCTTGACCGCCAGTTCGCAATGTCAACGTCGGGCTGTCATTAATTGCCTCCCAAACACATGACTGACCAAGTACAGATATCCGTGACCGCGGTGTAGGATCTGACAAGAACCGCAGCCGAGGCTCTGGTGGTGAGGATGACCCGAACTCTCTGCATGACTCAGCTAACCATCTGTATTAGAGCCCGGTGAATACCGTGGTGGTCGCGGAGGCCGTGGTCGTGGCAGGGGTGGCCGAGGACGCGGCGGAGATCGCGATGACCGTCATAGCAAGACCGGTCTCGGGTACGATATACCATGCCCCGCGTTTCATTGATCTCAGGCTAACATTGTCTAGCGAGCACGAGAAACAGGCCGCCCATGGTTGGGGAGGAAACGATGGTAACGCTGAGCTGGCCGATGAGCAAGCTGGTGATGCCATCGCCAAGCAAGACGAGAAGGCTGCTGTCAACGAAGACGCTGAGGCCGAGGCTGACCCCGAACCTGAAGACAAGACCAAGTCTTACGATGCCTACCTTGCCGAGCTGGCTGAGAAGAAGTTGGCTCTCAGCACCAACGTGCGCAAGCCCAACGAGGGCAGCTCCAAGAAGTTCCCCGAGGGCACTGCTTTCGCTCGTGATGAGGAAGAGGACTTCATTGCTGGCTCCGGCGGCAAGGCCAAGCGTCAACGCGACCGCAAGGAGAAGGCCTTTGTCGAGCTCGACGGAGACCGCATGCTCGCTGCTCCACCTCGCGAGGGCGGCAACTCCCGCGGTGGACGCGGAGGCCGTGGCCGTGGCGAGGGCCGTGGCGAGTTCCGTGGCCGTGGTCGTGGACGCGGTGAGGGTCGTGGTGAGGGTCGCGGAGATGCTCGTCCCCGTGGCGGACGTGGAGGTCAATCTGGCCCCAACCTCTCCGACTCCAGCGCCTTCCCCAGCCTGGGCTCATAACCGGCTAAAAGCCGAAGACGGCACATCTTCCCTTGCAGAGGATGATGCTGTTTACGTACGAGAGTGGCCATGTATGCTACCTCAGCGACGACTCGTGGGCGTGTAACTAGCCGAGCAAATGGAGGGTGGTTGCACGAGAGACAAGGAAACGACCAACAAAAAAAAGCAGAGACGGCAACGGATCCCGAGCAAGCATGGAAATCTGGGAATGGAGATTGATGCTTTCATAAAGGGGAAAAATAACTTTATCTAAAACCGGGGTTAACTTTGTTCTTTTGACCGTAGCTTTTTTCTCATCTATTCTGTGCTCCGTCTTCTTTCTCTCCTTCGCCATCTCTTTGACTTTGTTCCTCTTGCTACGTCGTGCCATGTATCTGTCTGACCTGGTCGTTGATTCCTTTGCTTACTACCTCCGCTGTTGGTTGCATCCGTTCAAATTGACTCAAGTGACCACGAGTGCAAGACGGTGATGGAGAACCGGTATACATAAACACCGACCAACCAACCGTGGTGGATTCAGTCACTCCCTACTCACCGACCATCGGAACACTTGTGAAGAAAAAAGAAGGCCGGAAGAAGAAAGACAGCAAGAACTTTGCTACTTGAGCTATGGAAGCAGAATTGCCCAGCCATACCGTTCCTGCGCCCTAACACCAAAGGAAAAAGAAATGTTTGTACATGAATTGTAGCTGGTTGATACACAAAGGTTGACATGAATCAAGGCTAGAACGTATTCGAAAAGACGGGAGGAGAAGGGCAAAAAAAGAAGAAGAAGAAGGAAAGGTATACAGAGTCATGATCGCGGAACCTGGAGCAAAAGCCACAGATCCAATTCGTAAAGGCCGTTTAGTCTCTTCCTCATTCGCACCCCGTTCTCGATCAATCTAGAAGAATCTGTCTGAACGCTGCCTCTTCCATGTTCACCGCAACGTACCCTTGCAGGTTTCCCATTGGAGCGACACCCGGTTTGGCATCCCCAACACTACCTTCCGCAGATGCTTGTAGATTCGCGTCCTCTCCGGCATCACCTAGAATCACGGGTACAAAGTTAGCATAGCCCATTTGAAAATCTTTGAGTGGTGTCCATGTGCTGCACCAAGTAATGGTTCAGTCTTCAATGGTTTGTTGCCCAAAATACACGTACCGAGAGTGCTTTCGTTAGCTGCAGGCGCTTCGTCCATTTCGTTCTCCAACCCGAAATGGTTCCGCGTCGCGATTTCTGCTTCGAACTCCTCACTCATGCCTTCATTCATCTTCTCCATTTCATCCTTGCAAGTACTGCAAACAATGAACGTGCACTCGCTACAGCGGTATGCTAGGCTGAAAGACTGCGAGGTCTTGTCTACGGCACTCGAATGAACACCTTCACCCTTAAGTTTAGTCATCCTTTGGTCACGTTTGCCCGGCTTTTCTGTTCCGTTTTCCTGGAGGTGGGCATCCAGAGGAGGGGCATCAGTAAGACTGTCCAAGGAGTAGCGTCGACGTTTGCGTGGATGTTCCTGAGTGGTGATGAGGTTTCCGTATGTGTCGATCACGCGCTCGGAAGACGATTCATGGAACCATCTACGATTTGGTCGGTGAAGGTAACTTATAGGAGGTTGGCCGACCATTGGAGAGTTCAAGTCTGGTACGGACGACGCATATCCACTAAGCTCTCTCTTGAGTGACGAGTGTGCTCGTGTGTTCTCATAGTGCTCGCGCGCTCGATTGCGTGACCACTCTCGTGCTCGCTCGCTATCTGCAGGTAAGCTGGGGGGTCCAGCGGGTATCATCATGGTCTGCTTTGTAATGTGACAATCTAGGCCTAGGCCTCCTGGCGAGGCCTCGGGGTAGATCTCCCTCCAGCATGACATGCATTCCATGGTGTTGGTCGCTGTCAAGTATGTACCGGCGAGGGACTCTTTCAGCGTTACCCGATGAGTGTAAAAACGGTGATAGCACATTACAACTGCACCACGTCCGTTTTGTGGCTCTTCTCCGAAATCAAGATCTGAGCTCTCCCAGTGAGCAGGTCCACCGCCGTCTAGATTTCTCGAACTCGCAGTCTGAGCCTCTTCGCTTTTGCCTTCGTCCTCTTCGATGGGTCCGACCACGGAGGAGGATTCAACGTCGCTGTCTTGTTCTTCATCAGAATAGTCATCTTCGTCTCCGCAATCATCAGGAGGACCCAAACAGTGCCAACAAAAATGGGCTCCACAACGGCACGCCATATGGGAACAACCAAACATCCGCTTGACACCTTCCCCACACATAGGGCATCGCTTGTAACCCCAACGCTGTAGCAAATCCGCCGTCTTCTTGTCGAGACCGAATTTGAATGGCTCACAAGGAACCCCCGGATGTGCGAGGTTCCGACAGTCGATACATATTCCAGCCTCGCATTGCGGGCATGACACAAGAGACGACTTGGGTGTGCCGATGGCCGAGTCCACACGCTGCTTGCCCTTGTCTAGTTTTGGCTCCGGGAGAAGGCGATTGGAAATAAAAGCAGAGCATCGCTCGACTGGACAATAAAATGGCTGTTTAGTATTGCGCTCTTCAAACTTGAGCCTGAACAAAGCGATTTCATCTTCAGAAAGATGAGGCCGGACGTAATGGATTGGAATAATGTTGCAGCATCTTGGCGGCATGCGAGAGATGTCCTTGCATGCATGAAGGAACATGTCTTTCAAACAGGAGATGCAGAAGTAGTTGCCGCAGGTGCAAGCCTCGATGGCTTCTTGGTCTTTCTCCATAGTTGTGCAGCAGATCAGACAGGTTTTCTTCGGCTCGACTTTCTCGACTTTGTCTTGGGTGAATATGTCACGGTCGCTGGGCAATTCCCTCATGGCGTCTAGCAAAGCGGCAGCGTGCGAATCGACGGAATCTGTTGCTGGCGTGCTGTCTGGTAGATGTACAGACACGTTTGCAGCCTCGTCCAGTCCAGAGTCGGCGGGCAGGCCGGTAGAGCCCTGGGGTGGGTGGGCAGCATCCATGAGGTTGGTATGTGGGAGGGTGTCGAAGGCAGAAGTCGAAGACTCGGAGGTGGAGGTATCATGTTGCTCGCAAGGAAGCTGCGTCTGTATGCTCTTGCCCAATTTGGTTGCTGTGTCTGGAGAAACGTCTGCGGCAGGCACGTGATGCTGCCATCGCAGGACCTTTGAGATTCCTGAGCCCATGGCGCGGATGATGATCAATTGACACGGTTGATTTTTGCAATGTTCAAGAACCGATTGACGAGACCTTTATAGCAATAAAAACATCATGATGGTGGTTGACTCAGTAGTGGGTCGTTGAACAGAATAGGCAATGTTCGTACTGGGCACGGATTGTTGCCTTGTGGCAGGTTGGCTGGCAGGCAGCCTTGAGCCCTTATTGGCCTACATGAGCGACGCCGCAGACTCACTCAGAGTCATTCCCAAAGTACATAACTACTAGGTACCTAGAATGGAAAGGGTAACACTGCTGAATAACGACAAACGGTAAAGCTCACCATCTCCGGCGGCGTATACAAATGGTTTTAGCGCACATGTATGCTTTGGATATCCGTGCCATTGGTCGAGCAAAAGATGAAGAGATTTGTGCATTCAGCAAGCCGACCGTACACCTCTGTCTTGGATCAACCTTCAGTTTGACAGTTATTGTGGCGTCACACATGTGCTTTACGCCCTTTATCTCACGGCCCGTGGCGGAGTGATGTTTCGGAGTCATCCCGCTGATCGCATTGAGGTCCAGCAGGATGCGCTAGTAAGCGATCAAGGGCTGAGATGAGTTACCAAGAACCTCAACATACACAATATGAAGGAGCGCATAACACGTCGAGTGCACACGAACGCTGCAGGGTAGAGAATGATATGTCATATTCTTTACCAATGCACTCAATACTCTGGTGGTAAAGGATGCGGCAGCTTGTAGTCGTATACATCTTGGATCATTCCCTATGTACATGCACTTATGGACTTGTTTCTCCCAACCCCCTCGTCTGGAAAACAACAACACAATACGTATAATAGCCATCTACTGTATTTACCTGAGTCTCGCCCAAAGACACAGTGCCAACTTGTTTTTGTTCTCCATGGATATACCTGTGTGTCTGCATCACGCACGCACTGTGGAAGTCGGGCCTGCCCACCATTCGCGCGACATGCTCATCTGCCAGCAAACCGACCAAAAACCCCTAAACCCTGTCACGCATCATACTGCTTGCTTTTTATCTTGCATGTAAGCACCAGATTTGTTGACGCAGATCGTCGGTGGTCGTAACCCTGCCAAGCGTTTGCGGTACGATCACTGGGCCTAGGCCGATGACGTAGGGCGGCACGATTCTTGCTGAATGAACGCAGATGAGATGAGATCACTGCCCGCGCCCTATATAAGTCCAGTCCTAATTCGGCAAACTATCGAAACTACAGCATCATCCCAAAGCACTTTGAATATTCTCAAGAACTGCTCTTCACATTCTTGCCTCTATTCTTTTTTGTTTGTCAAACAAGTCACATATCAACATGGCCGACCAGAACCAGCCCAAGACCTACAAGCAGCAAGCCGGGGAATACTACAACCGCCAGTACGATAACTGGGTCCCATGGATCGAGGACAAATACCTCCAGTGGTTCACCAAAGACAACAAGGCTTCTTATGCCACAAAACGTATGTCCTCCTTTCCGCAAACCTCTGCCTGCACTTGCTGACAGCCCGGCAGAACAACTCGACAAGACCAAGGTCACCGGCGTCGATCAAGTGGACAACCTCCAAGACGGCGTTAACAATCTCGTCGGCGGTCAAGTCGGCAAGGGCGGGCTAGCCCAACCTGTTGGCGATGCGTTCTCCAAAGAGGGCATCAACCGCGCAGAACGGGGCGGAAAGGACGAACAAGGACGACCCATCGAGAGCCAAGGGCCATTGGGAGGATATGGCCAAGGGGCTGTGGATGGTGTCAAGGGAGCAGGCAGCGGCATTGCTGGCGGAGCAAAGAACGTTGGCGGATCTGTTTCCAACCTTTGGGGAGGAGGCGATAAGAAATAAGAGTTTGCGGGAAAGTGAGGATGTTGGATGTTATATGATACCACGGATATACAGGTCTCTTCGGGCAAAGCTGGTCTTTTCATTATCATGATTGTTTGGAATAATGAGCAGCGGAGGGTGGGTTGGAAACTACTATTTGCAGTAATGAAATTATTTTCTCTTTCTTGACGTTTCTCATCTGAATAGTGATTGTACAACATAAAGTGTACAATTTTGTCAAGCGCGCGCGTCATCTGCATCGCTTATTTGACGAGACGCAACAGCAGCCCGGTATGGGCTGGAATAATGTCTCCGATTCCATGAAAATAGTTCATCCTGAAGTTATCACCGAGTGTTGAATCTTGTGACCTTGTACTGCATGTCCTTTTCTTCTCATAAAGCCCCACCTGCCATTGGTCAGATTGCCCCTCCAAGTTTCGGAACCCAAAAGCCGATCATGCTCCCCGAGTACAACAGGCCTTGCGACCATCTCCTCATCCCCGCCATTCTGGGGCAACAATGTCCCCATTCAATGGCCAGAGTAAACTTGCTGCGCCGTCCTGGCACTTTGCACCGTTACGCTGATCATCACAACAACACTGGCACGTGAAATATCGTTTATTGCACAACCCAATCCCCCGCATCACGAACTTACAGTCAACGTGCAACAAGATGGCATCCAACGGAGCTGTATCTGACGGCAAGACCCACAAGTTCAACCCGCACTTCACAGAAGCGGTCATCAATGCCACAGGCCCAAAAGCCACCCCTCGGGTACGACAGCTCACCTCGAGCTTGATCCGCCACTTGCACGACTTTGCGCGCGAGAACGAGCTTACGGTGGACGAATGGATGTCAGGAGTGGAGCTTGTATGTCGTTTGAATGTCTTGATCCGCACAAAAGCATTTCTAACAAACAGCAGCTCAATGAAGCTGGCCGCATGTCGGATGACCGTCGTAACGAAGGTCAACTCGTGTGCGATGTATTGGGTCTCGAATCACTAGTCGACGAGATAACATACAAGCTCACATCCGATGCGGCTGATGAGCCTACTGCCACGGCGATTCTTGGTCCATTCTGGCGAAAGGATGCACCGATTCGAGACATGGGAGACACGATTGTGTCTGGGATCGAAGGAAAAGGGGACAGAACATGGATGCATGGCAGCGTCAGCGATTTCAAGACCGGGCAGCCGATCTCTGGTGCTGTTCTGGACGTGTGGCATACAGCTCCTAATGGTCTGTATGAACAACAAGACTCCGGTCAGGAAGACATGAACCTCCGAGGCCGATTCACCACCGGGGAGGATGGGAAATACAACTTCTACTGTTTGAGGCCTGTGCCGTATCCTATTCCCTTCGATGGGCCTGCAGGAAAGATATTGCAAGCGCTGGACAGACATCCCATGCGCCCGGCTCATATACACTTTATTGTAAGTTCAAGAAGTGTTTCGAGGTACAGTAAATCATGGGCTGATGAATGTATCTAGCTTTCGGCGCCAGGTTACAAGCCGATCGTGACGCAGATTTTCGACCGCAACAGCAAGTATATCGAAGACGATGCAGTCTTTGCGGTCAAAGACTCATTGTTGGTGGATTTCAAGCCAATCCAGGGGGATGAGAAGGCCGATCTGGAGCTGCCTTATGACTTCAGAATGGCAACGTTTGAAGACGCAAAGCAGCAGTCTGCGCTGACTGGTACAACGGAACAGAGCGCATCGCTATAGGCTTCAGGTGAAAGCACTATACTACGCGAACGTGGTTAAGCCGAAGAGCAGGTGGCTGGCATTGCTGCGTGTTTGTAGAGCAAACAACCCCGCACTGCGGTTTGCGGTTTGCCCCTCACCCTCACCCCGCTTAGCAGCGGGTGTACCCATTCCGTCGCTTCCCTTGTCGTGCCCTTTCCGAGCTGCATGTGACGCATTAGTCCATCCATCACACGCCCTATCCATTGCTGTATCGCTTGGATTCAGAACCATGTAGACATACATATCTATGCTTGGAAACGACGCGTCCATTGAATTGATATCGGCGTTTGCTGCATTCCAACCTCAACGTTTTCCGCGCAAATTGTTCCTTGAGCAACATCCAAACCGAATTATTACAACTTGATATCTGTTTGCCCAACCAGACTAGATAGCATTCCCGTCGCTGCGCCGCTTTGTACCGGTTCGGCATCACTACCCTCACATTCATTCCGAGGTCCGATTTCCGAGTGCCTAGTGCATCGTTAACGTAGTTCACCTAGTAACAGTTACATCTCTGTATTCTATCTATACACATCGATCCTACCAAGTCAAATCCGTCTGTTGCAAAATGTCCCAAATAACCCTAGGCCGCTACCTTTGGGAGCGACTTCACCAAGTTGGTATCGACACCATCTTTGGATGCCCAGGCGACTTCAACCTGCAATCTCTTGATCCTATCTTCCAAGTCAAAGGTCTGAAATGGGGTATGTTCAACAATTTTTGAAAAATATGCGGCCCAGTAATAACACTTGCCAGTGGGAAATCAAAACGAGTTGAATGCAGCATACGCTGCCGATGGCTACGGTCGTGTCAAAGGGATTCCAGGATGCTGTACGTTGAGAACAACCTCTTTGAATGTGTAGTGATCGTGTGACTCACCTCGGTCAGTGGTAACAACTCACGGAGTGGGTGAGCTCAGCGCATTGAACGGCATCTCTGGTGCCATGTCGGAACAAGTCAAAGTGATACATGTCGTGGGCCAAACCACTCGCGCGATGCAGAAGGATCATATGATGATTCACCACTCCATTGGTAACAGGCCAGACCACCAGGTACTTCACATATCACCCGATGAAGTGGTCTCCGAAACTCATTCTATATGCTAGGTTTATGCTCGTGCCTCCAAGGAGCTTCGCTTTGCGGCAGCCGAGCTGTGGGAAGTTGAGACAGCGCCCAAGGAGATCGATCGAGTCATAAGGGAATGCTTCACCAAGTCTGGCCCAGTCTACATCTTTCTCCCCCTAGACTTGTCAGCAGAGAAGGTGTCCGCAGATCTTCTCGACACCCCCATTGATCTTTCGCCAGCAGTGGACCAGTCCGCACAGGATGAAGCAGTCAAGGCTATCACGTCGGCGATATCTTCCGCAAAACACCCCATCGTTCTAGTAGACACTTTCTCCAAACGCTTCGGTGCCAGTGCAGAAGTCCGAGAGCTGACGAAGAAACTCAATGTTCCCGTGTTCTCTGCCAATATGGGCAAAGGTATCGTTGATGAGACGGATGAACTGTGGGTAGGAGTGTGGAATGGTGAGATTAGCGCCCCAGGCGTGAAAGAAGAAGCAAAGAAAAATGATCTCGTCATCACACTAGGCCATCTAAATGCGGATACAAACTCCGGAGGCTTCTCACGGAAGATTGCTGACGATGCAAGCATTCACATCAACCCCTTCGATGTCGTAGTCAAGGGCAAATCGTATCCGAACACAATCATCAAATCCCTGCTGGCAGCCCTCACTGCAGCTCTGCCACAGTCCCCTCAACACTCCTTTGCAAAGGCAGAGCTTCCATCATCGCGCGTTCCTCTTGACAAGGACGCAACGGATATCACGCAGTCCTCTCTCTGGCCCTCCGTGCAAAACTTCCTTCAACCCAACGATATCATCATCACTGAGACAGGAACCTCCACTTTCGGTATCTGTGATATTGCTTTCCCGCCGCAAACGCGCTATGAAGCGCAAAGTTACTATGGTAGCATAGGATGGGCCACCGCCGCTACTCTGGGCGCAGAAACTGCCAGGAGGGAGATGAGTGACGCGACAGGCGAAAAGGGACGGACGCTTCTATTCACAGGCGATGGCAGCATGGCCATGACAATCCAGGAGATTGGTACCATGATCAAAGCACGCCTGAGCCCTATAATCTTTGTCATTAACAACGAAGGCTACACAATCGAGCGCTTAATTTGGGGTGCAAGAGAAGGTGAGTCAAGTTGTACCCAGCTCAGCCCCACAAAATCCATTTCAATTCTCAGTCCTCGCTCTTTCTCCCATGGGAAAATGACCACATCACATTTATGCAAGCTACGAGCATAAAATTGCATGCTAATCAGCATTATTCACAGAGTACAACGACATCGTGCCTACAGCTTACGACCATCTCCTTCCGCTCTTCAAACACCCCTCCCCTGGCGACTCGTATCACTTCGCAAAAACAAAAACGGAGCTGCAAGCGGTACTGGCTAAACCGCAGCTGAAGCACCCCCAGCATCTGCAGCTCGTGGAGATTGTCGTGCCGAAGCTGGATACCTCGTGGAGGCTGGCGAGCACGCTGGCTTGGCGCGGCGAGGAAACACAGGAGTACTTGAAGAGAGAGGGTTTCGTAGATACGTATGGCGGGTGGGGCTTGGATTCTGGAGCCGGGGGGAACGTGAAGTGGTCGTAGGAAAAGAAGCCTTCTCGAACACAATGAATCAAGCACTGCCACAAGCAGCCACCCCGTACTCTAGTTAGTCAAACGGCATTGTCGCTGGAATCTTCGCGTCAACCATCGTATGAGGGTCATCTTCCCATAATTCCCTCGTCCTTCCATGGTTTTGCTTTCTGAGGTGTTTCGCCCCAGGCCTGCCCACTGCCGACGTCCTGTTAGCGCGCCTCAGATGCTCTTTGCCGACGTCTGGACTGCTAGCGTGCCTCAGATTCTTCTGACGTCTCAGATCGTGCAATGGCCAACTGTTTGGGCTCTCGACCAACGGCGGGAGCTATGCAAGTTTATTCAATTGCACTTCAATCAACGATTACGCGCATTGCACTTTTTTTTTTGGTTGATTTGTTTATGCGCTTTTGCGATTGCTTTCTCCCTCATTCGTGCCAGTGAACCAACGCAATTAACCTGTCTACCCTTGGAGCTGCATACAGAATGCTTTGATGCAGAATCCATTATTTATAACTCGCGTAGCCTACTGTTGTTGCATAACTCCTACCCATTCCCTACTTTCCTGCCTTGAGCGATTTAATCCCTGTCCGTTCGACCCGATTGAGGCACTTTGCTCCGCGTTCAGGAGCTTCAACCAGGCCCAAAATGGACATGCAGGGTGCGAAATGGATGCCGCACAGCCGCTGGCCTGGTGCTTCATGAGACACTCGATTGATGGTGCTGCCCCCAGATGGCAGTTACAGCATCTTTGACACTTCGGATAAATCCTTGCTTCGTGAAAGACGTCAGGGGTGTCATCGTACATGTCAAAGACACTGTAACTCTGTCAAAGTAGCATAAATAGAGACGTGCTACCCGCCTCTTCTACACTTTTTTTTCAAGCCAGTCTTCAACTCCAAGCCTTCGCATCTACATCTTTCGCCTGTTCCTTTGTTCATCACCGCTGTGCGGCTCTACTTTCACTACTCGATCAATTTCTTGTACATCAATTTTTATTACCATATTATACCCACCAACCAAACACCCTCAACACCAACCAAACCTCAAAATGCAGTTCTCCATCACCGCCCTTCTCTTCGGCTTTGCCGCCGTCTCCTCCGCCGCCGTCACCGACGTCGAGGGTGTCTACGGCGTTTCCCGCAGCGTGCTCGAGACCCGCCAGGCCGCAAACGGAGCCTGCTGCATCCCCAACCAGTCCTTGAAGCAGGATGCTTGCACGGTCAACGGCGCCGCTGGAAAATGCGTGCCCGGAGGCCCCGCTGCCTGTAAGTCGAAACCTTCCATAGATATTCGTCATAACGGACCAGATGCTAATCCTTTGAACAGGCAACGGCGCCTTGAATTGCGTCGCCAACAACCAGTTGACTTGCGACAACAGCGTCACGGAGCGCTCGGGCGTCCTCTGCCGCTTCCAGCTTCCCAACGGCAAGATCCAGGACGGCGCTCAGCAGATCAACAGCTTGTCCCAGGCCAAGGTCAACTAAGGAGTTCGAATCCGGGGGAAACCTCGATTACGATTCCCGATCCTGCCTATCTGTAGAGAGAAAGAGAGCATCCCGCAGCTCGGGACTGTTTTTTCTTTTTCTGGCAGACTCTTTATATAAATAGCTTTTTCTTCTTCCAAATGTAAATCAGTAACATGACATATGGGAAATTCAGAGATTTTTGTTCAAATGCAACTTCGTTTATTTTGTCCTTTGCTCGTTTGACTTGCGTGAATGAATCTGCTTTGATCAATGTTCCGGGTAAATGCACCACCTGCATGTCTGATTTAGGAACGTTCTGTTACGTCTAGTTTAAGAGGTAATGTGACCTTCGCACATACAGTTACAAGAATAGAGACATGAAAACACCAGCGGGCTTGATGGAGTTGATCAAGTGATCTGATTTGGAGCATATACCAGCTTGGTGCCATGCGTGACGCGTCATTATAGACTCGGTTTTGTAGAAGTCACATACATATACACTCGCAAGGCGTAAAAGGGCGTAAAAGCTGGAATGCCTTGCTTACATGCCCACCTTACATAACACCGAGTTCGCTAAAAGCAGAGCGGTTAAGACACTAGATCCTTTACAATATAAAGCTTGTCTGCATGTAGACGTGACAACTCCAACGCCAATGTTTTTCGTGCAGATAATTGTACGCAATGCTGCATCTGGTTGCAGATGTCTTGCGCGGCCTTTACTCGCCTAGTCCAGCAAGCTATGAATCCTCTGGAAGCTCGATGCCGACTTCATCCAACATACGTATAAAAGCGTCGCGAAAACCCCGTGTAGTAGAGGCACCACCACGATCTGAATACCACAGTCCAAAGCACCAGCATTACCACAGCTTCAAGAAATAACCATGTTTTTCAACTCCCTTGTCCTACTTGCTTCCGTGGCGCAAGCCGCGATCCTATCGCCAAACGACAACACTCGCCTCGTCACCTCAGACCGACGCCTCGCAGCTTTTGCAGACCCTATCAGGGTGGTAAACGGCACCATTACCTCCTTCACCGTCACCGAAGGAACGGGATGCACAGCCGGAACCTACCACACGCAGCCCTACGAGCCGGGAAAATCCGCAAACACATACGTAGATATTGACAACTTTGTCTACAACAGCACCACGTCTTCGGAGCCCGCGACGTGCGGGTTCGAAGTCGGCGTCGAATTCGTCGTGCCAGACGAGCTGGAGGAAGGCGGAGAGCTCGAAGTCATCCTCACCTCCGCCGCCACCACTCTCAACGAGTACGAGGCCGGCGACGAGACCAGGGAGACGAATTTCAATTACCTATACAGCATTTATGGGCAGTTGGGATCGGAGATTCTTGATGTGAGTTCCATGCCCCCCTTCCCCTACGCGCTCTTTTTCTTTTTCTCGGCATAGGCCAAGACAACGTGTGCTGATACGAAATTCAATAGACGGGGATTCTGTATACCAGAGTTGCCGATGGCCCTGATGAGCCGAAAATCGCGGCGGGTTTGTACACCACCGGTGTACCTGGGGAGACCGTCTCGGGAACCTTCAGGATCGACCTCGAGGTTTCCACTGCTTTCGGAGAGGGAGAGCAGCGCGTGTCCCGTTTTGCCATGGGGTGGGCGCTGTACCCTATTACGTCATAAGAAGATGAGGGGAGGGAATGATATATCGCATTTGTGTTGAACCATTGGACTTGACGATACAGATGAAGGGGCAGGAGGAGGAGGAGGGAGGTTTACGTATGTAGTTTGGCAGTTATTGGAAACGACAAAGTAGTTTAGTTAGCGTTTAGGTTTTGTCCAACTCAAAGCAAATGCAGATCGCTTTCTACAAAGACCCGACTCATCCGAGCTTGTATGAAGCTATACCCTCAATTCCGATGCGAAATCATGAGATCTTGGCTCTACTTTAAATTGTTGCCTGCCGAATGTTATGTTTTACTTTGCCCGTGCTGATCAGCAGAAGTTGCGAGTGGAGATGACTCCGTTTCAACGTCACGTATACCCTCCTTATCGTCAACCACAAAGATAAGAATCAATTATTTAGATGACGGCATCAGGAACCGGCAGCTTGTGCACCTGTACTGACAAGGTTGCATAGGCCAAACCCGGCGTGTGTTGATTAAAACGTGCGCGGCTATCTGGTTGATTACGTCGACAACCGAGAAAACCTCAAATGGGGACGACGTATGCAATCAGTGTAATCCCGGGGAAACGAACAGAGCACTGTAGACTTTTGGGGGACGTGGTACTGGCGGTACATGTTTTCGGCTTCCTTTGTTGATTGTGGGGAAGCTTGTTGTTGGTCCGATGCTGCTACAGGCTAAAAACGCAAAAGGTATCAAATTTAAACGCCTTTTTGTAGATCTTGGGAACACTGCACCTCATTTTGCGTCAACCCTGGATTAGGCGACTCTATAGAAATTATTTCTCAGATTTTTCGAGAAGGTCATTATTCCCGGAAAATTGTATAAATACGAAGCCCAAGCACGCAATTCCAGCCATGCGAGCGCGTCAACTGATTACTCTTGAGCTTCCGCTCCAACCCGTCTACCCACATGGCCACCCTACGCAGCCCGATCTGGCGCGCCATAGAAGCGATCTATGGGACTTGGGCTCCTAACCCTCCCCCACGCGTTCGAGATGCGAGCAAGCCCATGCAGGTCATCTGCGTGGGGCTCCCGAGATCCGGCACCGAGTCGTTGCAGATAGCACTGCTGCAACTCGGGTACGACTACACATACCATGTGAGTGATCTGTTCCTGGCCAGTTCCCATGCATGTGCGCGCGCTGATCTGCGTTGGAACCGATAGGGCTGGGACATGCTGAATGAGACGCCGCATCGCATGAACTCGTGGGTGGCACTAGCGAGACGGAAATATTTCAATCGCACTGGGCGGGCCATTTCGACTGCGGATTTCGATGCCGTGCTGGGTCATGCAGTAGCCGTCACGGATGCGGCGGCGAATTGCTTTGCCGAGGAATTGATAGAAGCATATCCAGATGCGAAAGTCGTTCTGAACTCGAGACGGAACCTGGAAGCCTGGCACTCTTCTGTTCTGACGAACATTGTGGGGGTCAACGAGGACTGGTTCAAATGGCTATTGTGGTGAGATCAACTACGACATGGTATCGTGGTTCGTTGCTAAGACTTGAATAGTTGGTTCAACGCAGACTTGTGGTGGATGTGGCACGTTCACCAACGCGTTCTATGGCCTTGTCTTTTCCGCTGCCCGTCGTACTGGTCGCTACGTAGCGGAGTGGAGCCGTACGCGAAGAGTATACATGAACAGCACAGCGCCATGATCCGGAAGCTAGTCCCCAGAGACCGGTTGCTCGAATGGCATCTTGAAGATGGCTGGGCTCCGTTATGTGAGTTTCTAGAGAAAGACGTTCCAGATACCCCATTTCCTCGGGCGAACGACAAGACGGGGTTTCAAAAGAGGGTCGAGGCGGACCTCGACGCGCTGGGCTTGAAGGCCATGGTGAACATGGCAGCGACCCTGGTCGTGGTCATTGGAGTTGCTTATTGGTGTTGGTAGATCCAGTGCTTCTCTTTCAGTCTCTTGTATGAAAGATTGCCACGGCATTGCATTGGTCGTGGATTTCTAGATAGACCACTAGTAAAGGTAGTACGGGAGCATAGTTCTGAGGTCCATTCAAGATTTGTTGACACTGTCACCCATGTTCGATCTCTTGGGATATCTTGGAAACAAACACGAGGCTGACATATTAATAATTGTCGAAGTGAATGTGTACCTAATCGGTCCGGTGTGTCAAAAGAGTCATGTCGCGCTAAACTCGAAAAGGTGTAAATAGAACGCGCCTAAGCTCATGCCGGACAAGAGCAAATGCGATATGTACTTTTTTGAGTTGGTGGGTAATATTCTTTAGGGATGGAGCACGGATTTTTGGGGGCGCAGGGCTTTTGTGAAATAGAACGGCCAGTCACGGATGCTTGATGATCCCATGCAGATGTATATATAAAGAATGATAATTCCCGGTCTCATATGAAGAAAACTCACACACAAACATCGCATGAAAAAAGCAACACCCAACCTGAACATCCACTTTGACCAACTTACTCATCTTCGATTCTACCAAGCAATCGAAATATCTTCGCGGGACACGAAACACACATGGGATCATCGACCTCAAAGCACGCGCCACAACCACTCTACTACTACCCACCACAGCAACCCATGCACCTGACACGGCGCCAGCAGAAGCAAGCAAAGAAAGCTGAGCGGCGCGCATATAAAGAGTACAAAAAGGAGAAAAGTAGGAAGAAGAAAAAGTATCACGTTCCATTAGGACACATTTCTATTGCGGCGAATAGTAAGTTCAAAAGGAAATGTCGAAAATTCGATATTTAATGGGACTAATGTGTATTCCAGGCGGTAGTTGTGGTGTTGGGACGTGTTAGAATTCGTTTTTCATGGATATGGGGTTCGAAAAGGGTGAGCTGAGTTAGGCGAGATAAGAACAACAGCTCTTCAGAGAAAGCGCAACTGGATTGCAATTGCCTCTCTCGAAGCTAGCGATTGCCCTGTGATTGGAAGGAGAAAATGGGAAAATGTATTCATATGGTTCAGTTCATTGGAGATTTACGAAAGTATGGAGAGGAGAGTGAATATGTATATACAGGTAAAAAAGGAAAAAGAAAAAAAGACAATGTTAGTTCCAAGTCCAAGCAGCCAAACAGCTTCGGATCAAACTTTGCACAACTCTAAAGAGGTGCGTGAGCAGTGAATGCATCGGACTTTGTCGCCGTTGCACCGCTTTTGCCTTTGTCCTCCTTGACGACGTCAATGGGGTCGTTCAGCCCCAAACGTTCCCGTGTGGAATAGGTTGCGATTCCACCATTGGGATCAGCTTCGGTTACCAATTCCTTGCGGCGAGTATCGACCAGAAGACGGATCAAGTCTGGTCGCATGTAATGTCCGCCGAAGTCTGCCAAAGCTTTGGTGAGATGGCACTCGTTGAGATCGATCTGTTGTTTTGCGCGTTAGCTAAAAAGAACTGGAAGACGTTGGGGTAAAACGGGGAGATACGCACATCGACGAACATCAAGCCGTCAAAATCTTTGTCTGGCTGAACCACCAAGCTTCCGTCAGGTCTGAAGATCCTGGCGTGGCCGTTGTATGTCGACGGATCCGTCTCGGGCTCAACTCCCTCAGGTGTATTCTTCTTCAGGCCTTCTTTACTCAATCGTTGGAACGGAGCGAGCGTCCAAGTTCCGGTCTCAATGGCATAGGCAGGGGTAACAAGGTCAGATGCCGGGTCAGAGACGTTGGTCGCAGGATCGGGATACTTGAGAGTCTCTTTTCCGGGATAGATGGGCCAGGCAGCAATGTGAACTTGTTCGCCCATGGCCACGTTTAGCGACTTCAGAAACGGGTTCATGTTCTCCCAGCAGTTGAGTTGGCCGACACGACCCAATTCGGTAGGGACGACCGATAGGAATGTGTCACCAGCGCCATCTCCGTAGACGAGCTTCTCAACGTGAGTGGGCTTAATCTTGCGGCGGTGGTTGATGACATCGCCGGTGGGGGAGATCAAAACTTGCGCCAAGTAGAGAGTTGCATGGTCAATCTCAGAGAATCCCAAAGAGACGTAGCTGGGGTAATCGTGAGTATGTTTCGTAGATTTGCATGGTGTATCTTCAATCTCACATTTGGTTGTCTCTGGCTGCACGGCGAATCCTTCTCATTTCGTCCGAGTCGACAGGGAGGGAATTCTCACGATACTTCTTCAACATCGGGAGAGATTGCTGGTAGGTGACTTTCCACTGCCAGTAAGGGTAGCCGGGGAGCCCTTGATCAAGAAGTAAGTAGAGGATCACAAAGGACTCAGTGCTTATACTGACAAACTTCGGGAAAGGCGACGAGCTTGCATCCTGCCTGGCCAGCTTCGTTGATGAAGTCGATAGTTTTCTGGACACCACCCTCGAGATCGAACCACACAGGCTCAGAGGTGACGGCAGCAGCTTTGTACTTGGTGATAGGCATGCTGATGCTTGGAGGTGCAGATGTATACAAAGACAGGTTGGCTTGTTATCGAACGAAGTATGAATGAAGAATCAATGCAGTGAATGTTCTGAGAAGATGCTTTGCTGACCATGCAGTCAATCAAGAGTTATATACTTTTTGAGGTCGTACAAAGCTCTCCACTTTCGTGTATCCGGACGCACCCGACTCTCCACCTATCTGCTCGACAACTGTGCCATAGACGTACATACGTGGTGGTGTGATGCTGCATGCTTGATAAAATGATGCATCCCTGAAATCGGCAGTACAGTAATACCAAGATCTCTCGTGTATGGACGGAATTCTTTCGGTGGATTATTCATTTACCCAGTCCCGAGCATTTCCAGAATGAAGACCGCTGCTTGATATCACGTGGTCGGCAAGTCGCCGGCAACTTCGGCACGCGTGAGCGGCATCATGACCAAACCGTGCATCGAATCTGCAAAGGCCGCTGACAAAGTTAAGCATCTAGGTCTACATGATTCTGAAAACGGCCCTACTATGTTAAGCCCCGCCAAAAACAAGTCACGAAATGCTGGGTTGACGCCTCATTAAAATTCTGCAAATCATAGATTTATGGACTTCAGCGTTTCAACTCCTTTTCTGCGTACCATACTCCACAGATTTATCCACATGCGTAGCTTTGACCTGCCTTGTGGTCAAGTATTTTGCGTTTTCTAGTGCAAATATACTCACTAGTAATTTTTAGTTCTTGCCAGTTGTTTGAATCATGGTACTTTTATATGGCGCAATTCTTCATTCACAGCGCACAAGTAATATAACTTATTAATAGTCCTGAAACTGAAGCTTGGTTTGGATATCACATACAACCAAACAGTTACATTGCAACTATAGATATTTAGAGGATCACTCGATGTGACGGAGAGGCTGTTACTATCTCCGTCGCACTGATAGACTATCATGTAAACTGCTTGAAGAACTCCCATGTCTCGTGGTGCGAGAAGGTTTCGGTCGCTCCTGCATCCTTCGGCTGTGGTGTGTGTGGCCCGTCAAAAGCGACCCAGACGACTGGGTACTTAGGGTCGCAGCCTTGGTACACCGTTTTGATATGCGTGCCACTGCCCGCGGCGGGCTCGGCTGGGGTTTGGGCAGTACATCCGTTGTTCTTCACGAAACGGTCACGCATCTGTCTGCCGCCGGAAATAGGCAAGACCTGGTCGCTCACTCCATGCTGGCCGTAATATGCGATGGGATCATTGCCGCCCGCGCAGGTGCCACTAATTTGAGGGTTTCCAGAGAGAGCAGCCACGGCGCGAAAGTCCTTGGCCAGTGAGCATGCGATTGCATACGACATGGCGCTGCCGTAGCTGAATCCTGTGGAGAAGCGCAGATTTTCGTCGATACAGAGGTCATCGTTGAGCGTCTTGACTAGTGTGCTGATGAAGGTGACGTCCTGTCCGCCAGTGTTCTGCCATCCATTGCTGATGCCATCCGGGGCGACATAGATTGCACCCACGGTATCGTTGACTAGAGAGGGCAGGCCATAATAGGGCAGATATCCCCCGGTTCCGATGGTCACTTGTTGCGCCGTACCCCCGAGGGCATGAAGCGTGAAGATTAGACGGTAGGGGTGCTTGTTGTCGTAGTTGTCCGGTAGCTTCACAAAGTATGACCGTGCCCGACCACCTACAGTCACGTTAAGAGGCTTCGTGCTTGCATCTGGTCCGACCACGACTGGAGCCTTTCCACAGCCTGGGGAGGCCTTTGCAGCCAGTGCACCGGAGAAAGCCGTGCTGAAGAGTAGAGCTGCGTATTGCCAATGCATTTTGAGGGCCGTTTCGGACCGCGGGTGTTTTTCACGGAAGTTGATATGCGAGAAGTGTAGGTGCTTGATCAACTGATATTTAGCATATCGAGAAGTCTGCCTTATATACTTCAGACAAACAGAACATTCGTCGCGAGCCGAAGTCATTGGACATGCAATAGACATTGCGGGGTCAAATAGATCAAAATGGCAGATCGGCGATTGAAGTATAATTTACTATGCTTCCCATTTTGTATTCCTTGGTCACTCTTTTCTGCTTGTGGGCGTCAAAGAGCACTGATAGTCCCGTTTTCGGGTGCCGTTGTGAACTGGCGATAAATAGGCTAGATAGTCTGAATAGTGTGGGATTGGCATAAACTGTTACTGGACGTGTGTTTTTGGGCTAAGTGCGCTGCAATATACGGCCTTCGTACGCTGTTAGAACAGCAGAAATCGGCAACTAGATTCGGTAAGCAGGCGATACTGCTAAATACAACCACAAGGATCTTTAGCAGTTTCGGTTTGATTTACAGTATGGAGATCAATCAAAATTCAAGTTCCAAGTTTTAGTCTTTAAATTTATTGACCAAGTGTTATTGGGAGATAAGAATAGCGTGCTTGGTGGCTGCTTAATTCATAACTCATTCAATTATGGCATTAAGCAGCATGCGTGATAGGATCGGCCCATCAAACGGGGCGCATCAAAAGTAAGGAAATTGGCGTTCCAATATGATTATACACAAACTTAGGACAAATAGAAACAGGAAAGCATACATTTAGTGTGTGTCATCCTTGTGATGATTGCGTGCATTGGATTGGAGCCTACGGATTTCCGTACAATTGAGCATTTCTAGCTCCAATAATATCGCGCTGACATGCGCAAAAAATTGGTGACGCATATTATCATTACACGATGCGTTCAAACGTACCAATGAAAGGCGCTAACTCGAATGTATTGAACGCATCTGAGGTTTAGTGATTTTTGTCATCCATGGATCACTGTATACGCGCGCATGTTATAGAACAACGCTGCCCCCATCCAGGTTCATCCAAACTCCATCACCCTACTATCTACACCATGACCCTAAATTTGCGCCGTTTGCCCTATGGCTCAGTCCTCCGCCGTTACACCTGTGCCGCACCTGGTGGACCTGCCATCATTCCATGGCGGTCCTATTCTGATATGAAGGGCACTCCCCCAGGCCCCCTAAGACCGACGAGAAACCTACGGAGGTGCCTCACGAGAAACGCTCAACCCTCCATGCGCCAGCGAAAACGACCCGGGAGAATCAAATAGCAAAGGCATCAAATCATCCCGAACACAAACCCTTGCAACGTGCGGCCTACACCGATAAAATGAACCTCCTCCCATTCCAGCGTCCAATCCGTGGTGGAATGATGAGTCTCCTCCAATCTCAGCACGGAGCTCACGCTGAATTAATAACAGTCCAGACGGATATTGGGGCATTACGAGGTAAACACCTCGCTAAACAGAAGGCATTACGACTGAAAATGAGGCGTTCCATCGTAAATACCGCGCTGAACTGAACGCATCTCGAAACATGACTCGTGATATGCTCTCAAAAACAGTTCATGAAATGGAGGAGTATAACAGGGCACAGCAACGACATGCCACTGTATATTTTTTTTGTGTCTGGGCAATGATAATGCTCGCAGCCGTTCATATGTTTGATGGGCAAGAATCCGGTAACACCCACATAGATTGCTCAGTTTCTGAAAATTTCCGCTGATTATTTCGACGAGTAGCTACCGAGGAAAGAACCCAAAGAACCTAGGTGAAAAACGAGCATGAGACATTTGATTGACCCAACTTTCAACATGAAAGGTGGGACGATGAGATCAATGAATAACACTTCCTTTTTGATAAGTTGCAAGTGTTCACTTATGTCTAGATATAGAATAACAAGATATTTAACAGTTTGTAAAAGAGTGTAGAGAAAGGTGTTCTAGTTATCTAAATTATCTTCCTGGTCAATTCCCTCGCTCTCGGAAAACCATTCATTCCAACGGATGTCAAGCCGTCAGTCTTCTTGTAGCCTGAGACTGGCCAAGCGTTGAGCGCCGCAAAATTGTATTTGGGGCCTAAGCCGCTCGCGAATAGTTCCCTGCCGCCGCTGATATGATATCGACAGCTTTGTGAGCCATCATGGTGATCGGCAAATTCGGAAAGCTGCTAATGACGCGCGGAAAGACGGAGGCGTCCACAACTCGCAGACCCTTCACTCCGTTCACCCTCAACTGAGGATCAACGCAATGAGTCTGCACACTCCCTGGGCCCATTCGACATGTGGAGCCAGCATGATGACTGAAAGTTTCGTCGAGCAAGTTCTGTCGAAGGTCCACTCCTTCAGCGGGCTGCACGGGGGTAAAAGGAGCGATGGGTTCCGCAGCTCGATCGAAGATGCGGTTGAGAAGCTCTGCTCCCTCCACCATGGCATTCAATTCCTTCCTTCCTTGTTCCCCGTTGAACCAGTCGAAATTGACTTCAGGGACGTCACGTGGATCGGCCGAGCGCAATGTGACAGTCCCTTTTGCTTCGTCACCAGGCGTTTGACACTTCAGCATAGACATGGAGATCGTGTCTGGCGCTGGCAGAGGGTGTGCATAACCGGGGTAGAAACCGCGAAAGTCTAAGCCAGCAAAACCCCACATCCAAACGTCGCTGTCTTCGTTCTCGCTTTCACTGCTCCTGAACCGCATGTGGAGCGGCGCGGCCCCTTCGCCGTATGGCCCCATGCCCTCGTCCTGCCATTGCACGAAACACGGGTCGCTAGCGTTGAGTTGCATTGTACAGTTCTCAAATGGGTCGTTTCCAAAAGGTACCGAAGCATTAACCCTGATGATGCCCTCGGGGTGGTCTTGCAGGTAACTCCCCTATAACATAGCAATGATGAGTAAGTGGTACGAAAGACGCGAAATAGGCTGATCGCTACAAGAAGCGGAAAATGCAAAATGGGGCTGCTTACCACGGCCGGAGAATCCACCACGACTTCGATTCCGAGATTTTCCAGCTCTTCACGTGGGCCAACTCCGCTCAATTTCAGGAGCTGGGGTGTATTGAAAACGCCTCCAGCAACGATGACCTCTTTGCTTGCAACCACCTACGTCGCGGACACAAAGTCAGTACCATTGACTAGACACCTTGAAAAGCCTTCCATGTCTTCATTCTGAGTGTAACTTACAGTTCTTAATTCGCCTGACTGTGTAGCATCATAGCGTGAGTCAGCAGCGTACAAAGCCTCGCCCTTCATGTACTCCACTCCGTAAGCCACAACATCGCCTCCATTCTTGTTGAACAAGACGCGAGTCGCCAAAGATTCGGTGCTGACAGTCAGAGGGAACCCTGCATTGACCGTATCAACAACGTAGTTTCGCGACCCGGATCGTCGTCTTCTCTCGTCCGATGATGTGATGATCTCGTAGATTCCTGGCGTGTAGCTATGCTCGGGGGAGTTGGAGTCTCGATTGAGAAGCTCCGCCAGTTGCTCGTTGTTCTGAATTGTGATGTTCTCTATTTCCAGGGCGGCGTTGGACATGTATTCAACCACATAGGGCCTCCCGGTCACGTAAGTGGCATTGTTGATATTCGACTGTTCAGAGCTTCAGCTATGTTCGTGTGCATGAGAGATGAGTAAATTCGGAGAGTGACTTACGCTTATAAAACCATCAAATCCATGATTAGGTGTGCCTGGCTCGCAGTAGGTGCAATTCTCCACAGCAATGAAGTATGGCTCCATAGCTTGTGCATTCCATGAGGGATCAGACGTATAGTTGGCAACCCAATCCCACTGCCGACCTAAATTAGCCTACTTTCAGGATTTAAAAGAGATGTTGAGAGACGCACATCATTGTCGGACGCTTTGGCCCAATTCTGCGCGTTGACCTGACTGCTTCCACCCACTGTAGCACCTCGAGGGTAAAGTATGCCAAGACTGGATTGCGAGTTCAGTAAATTTCTCTTCGTGACAGCTGAAGTACGTACGGCTCCGCATCGGGCGGTGGTTCCAGCCCATAGTAAAGGGATCCATCTGGGAGGCGATAGGTGAACTTTGAGTCTCGACGACCCTGCGTTTCGTTGCGGTAGTGACGGATCCAGAAACTCCAAGCATGCTCAGGATCATCGGATGCAACAGTCGATCTAAGACGTTGGTGTCAGCTAATGTGTGCAAACCAACAGAAATTAGACATGGACAAAGTCTGGAATGGGCACTCACAACCCCGGAACCATCTGCGGTAGAGTGTCCCCTCGATCTGCACCCGCTTCGATTAAGAAAACCGAGTGTCCCTTTCGAGCAAGACCAGCACTGCAGTTGTAATTCATTAGCAAGTGTTCAATCGCTTGAAGCTTTGCATCCATGATAGTACGTACGCGACTGTCCCACCACCTGTTCCAGATCCGACCACAATGTATTCATACTCGGATTGGTTTTGACCCGCAGGATAAGCAGCCACAAGCGGGAGAACCGTAGCCAAACGTTGGAGAATTGTTACTGGTTTCATAGCGAGGTCTGGTGACTGAAAGTCTCAGTGGAGTGTAGTTTTCTCTTCCAACCACGAGATCTTTGCATTTATACATTGTAATTATTTTCTTCTAATTTCTTTGACTCCGCCTCCTTCATCACATTTTTCTTGGTATCGTGAGAAATCCGGAGTTGTTTTTGCGAGCTGTCTCCGGATCATATTCCACGGACGTAACGTGTGCGCATATGTCCGGGGTGCCGATCTAACCAACTACGCCCATTCCCGTCACTATACTTTGTAGTATAATAAGTACAGTCTAGCTTGATCAGTAAATAATTAATCGTCCGTGGCACGCTAAACTCATACCATAGTTGCGCGTTCAAACCAGCCCAAGTCGCCCTCAAGACAATTCCAAGAGTTATGCGATGGCATTCGCGGCGCAGCTTCTTGTGTCATCGACAGTTACGTAGATTGACATAGCAGAAGATCATCTAGTATACGTAAGCATCGAGTAACGGCGGATCTAAAGTTAACACCCTCCGGACTAACGCATAGCTTCATAATTCCCCTACGCACTCTTCTAATCTCCGAATAGAAACAGTCTCATACCTGGCCACGAAGATCAGCATAGTTGATGACGAATACTTTTCTTGTCTGTTCGAAGAGTTTGGATAGCCGGAATTCATGAGACTTCTTTCGAGCGACGTAGGAGTCAAGCTCGTACGGATATTCCCTGAGGATGGTGGTGGTTTGACGGAAGGCAGATGTATCACGCAAAGCTGCAAGACTTGGCCATGTCGGGAGATCCAGTTGTCTGTGCAAGAAGTAAGGGATAATTACTGAACTGGATGATCGGTAAGGCCCGCTAGCAACTCTCGACTTCCTCTCCGAGAATACGCTGCCCTTGTTTCGTTTGTGCAGGATGTGGTTGGCAGCATCATGGAATTTCGAAAAAGTAAAAGCTTCCATTTGAAATAAAATCGATCGATAACAATGTCGACTTCAATCGCGTATTCGCGGATCGATGCTAGTACATATGGTCTACATGGCCTCGGACCGTCCCATCTCTGACTGTGTTGTTGAGGTAATAGCTCTCAGTGTGACAGCAGTTGCTGTTGGATTAATCAGGAGCACTCCATCCCATTATGAGCTCGTAGATATTCCAGAGAAATTCCTATAGCGTAATGATGAATATGTGAAATATATCGATCAGAGCGGAGGCAAGCAGGGGGTGGATGTAGCTGGAAAGTTGTGAGTGGTGAACGATGCCAAGATGCATTATGTAATCATGAAGCTAACGCAACCTCACCTCTGGCGGAGCTTCAGCACCGGAACATTGTAACCCCACATCTCCACGCAACCATGTCTTCCGGATACGGCTTAAATGGCGGTACGTATGAAATACACTTCCAATGGGCAGCACGACAGGGTCTTGGAGCAAGAGGAGGAGTTAAGGGCGCGCAATGGGAACGGAAACGATCAGCGACAGCACGCGAAAGGCAGTGGGAACATGGCAGCTACGATAGCGACCGACCGTATTCGCAGACAAATAGTGACTAGGAACGCCAAAAGAATAGCTACGAAAAAAAGCTGGAACAGCAAAACCCCCTACGAAGCGCCAAAATTCCGCCCATTGCTGCCGCCCATCACCCCCGAGCCCTGCTGCACATATACGTACACACATTCAGAAGACCGTGGACTGACATATGGAACCTTTGATTCCGATGTATAGGCCCTTCGCGCTGCTTCCCCTTCTGGCAAGAGGTTCTCGCCTGCTATGTTTCCAACACAAACCCCGAAGACGACCGAGGCAAAGTGAAGTGCCAGCCCGCCCTTGAAGATTACTACGAGTGCCTACACCACAAGAAAGAGGTAAACATGAGAACCCTTCTTCTTTCTCCTCCATAATTTCATAGCCTGGGATACCGCTATCCTTTTCCGCGCCTCAACAGGCGCCCGCCAATCCGGCGAACCCAAAGCGTGGATAAATGGCTAACACGAAAACCACTACTTTCCAGGCCGCACGTACTCAAGCCCTACAAGCCGCGTACCGCAAAAATGAAGCCAAATTCAAGCGCAACGATGTGCCCAGCGCTGGCGAGATACGGCGGTTGGGCGTCTTGGACGCGCCGCTCGAGGAGAAGAACCTCAAGGCCAGCAAGTGGTTCCCGCACAAGGAGATCAACTAGCGGAGGAGTTGCTTGCACGGTTTTCGAGGCGAGGGAAGGGGAATGTATGTATAGTGGAAGGCTGCTCGCGAAAGCTGAGAGAGAGTCAGATGGACAGAGTACTTGGAGTTGGGATCGGAGGAATCTGAATACGAAATCGGATACACATTTACTTTTTCATCGTTTGTTTCCCATCTTCTCCGTCCATCCGTAAGCGAAAGTGATGCTACCAAAACAACCTTTTTCTACTACATATACCGTTGCACTCTTCTTTCCACCCCCAAGATATCCAGCAATCGCATTAAGATTTAGCAAACCTTTCTAATCGCGGAGGAGGCAGGATGGCAGGTCATAGGCGGAAAAATCCAAATCGAATCCAAACTTTTCGTCGTGATCATCATACCATTCAATGTTCTCATTCAGCTTTTCTCTGGTGCTCGCTTAGGGCGAACCCATTCGTCAAATACCATGTGAATACAGGGACTAACAGGTATGTTTCGCTCTCCCAACGTCTCACGCAACTTTCCACCCCTTCTTCTCTGAATTACAAAAATACGTAAAGGCTGAAAGAGGCTAGCATGCAAGCGTGCGTGCGTACATGCATGCATACGTACGTACGTACATACATTCATTCATTCATTGCACACGCATACACAAAAGAAAAAGAAAAAGAGCAGGATCCGAGCAATATCACACAAGCGAGAGTCAAAACAAGAATCAAATGCCACTTTTTGTTTTCTTCTGCCCATTCTTTCCTATCTCTCCGAACGTGATTGGATGTCCTCTTTTCCCCATTCCCTTTCCACCCCAACATCGTGTCCATTGCGAGCCTCGGCGGGAGAGGGGGAAGTCGAAGAGCACCAAGTGACAGTAGAAAAGTCCATACAAGTCCATCCCGATCCAGAATGTGCGCCTAATAACACAAAAAGAAAATCCGGCAACCATGGACATTGAAGTTAAAACACATGCAAAACGCACACGGAAACAAAGTTGAGCGCACAGAAACAAAATCCAACAATAGACAACGGCACCAAGTGTTGGAGATGGAAGGATAAAAACAGGAACATGCAGATCATCGAAATGAGCAATGCAAAACAGGAAAGGGAACAAGCAAATCATTATAATCCGGTACAATTGAGAAGTTGGGGAGGACTAGAACCCTACCTGAGCAACGTCAACATATAGAGCCGCGGGGTCTCTGATCAGTTGGTAGAAAAAAAAAGGAAGAAGAAGAGTAATCAAGTGCAACAACAGGAGTGGAGACGTCTCGACGCGAGAGGTCGGTGAGTTCCGATATGATTTCCTCAGCGTCGACTTTACAACTGGTAAAGATAGAGGCAGACAATACCATCCGGAGGCCTGTCTGTTCTACGAACCTCGTCCCACAACGCCATGTGCTTGCGCCAAATTGCGATGGAACGAGCCAATTTTCTGGAAACCCCTACAGACAACCCGCGTTAGTGCCGTTTGGTGAGATTGGAGTAAGTTGGCAGCCAGAAACCTACTTGGAAAGATCGAAGCCTTCCTCTTCGGGCTCCTCTTCAAAGGATCCCAGACTCGCCCCGCGAACCATGCCCCCGTTCACAGGCTTGGGTTCAAACCCATTCATGTTAGAGTTTGACCGGGACCGGTGGGGACCGACCTGGCGGCTGACCGGACGAGAAACTGTGCGGCTTGGACTCTCAGGCCCAACGTCCTCGTCTTCCTCGCCCTTGTTTTCGTCGTCTTTATCCTCTTCGGGCTCGTCACTGGGCTCATCTTCGCGGATCAGCGGAGGGGAGCTGGGTTGAACCGATTCGTCTTGTGCTTCTCGATCGACATTGTGTCGCAGCTTTATAGGGCTGAGATCGGCAGGTGCTCTAGCGGGGGTACTTGGAAGGTCCATGAACTTCCAGAATGGTGCTGGGCTTGAGAAGTTCATGTATTGGCTAGGAACCTGGGCCGTGCTTGGAGGCGCAAGTCGTGGGGCATGGCGCGATACGAGAGGAGTGACGAGCGCGTTACTGTGCCGATGGGCTTCCTGATTACCGCCAGCGCTATTCCCAGGTGGATCCGAATACAGTGGTGGTGGAGAGTTTGCAGCTTCTCCTCGCAATCCGCTAACATTCTGCTTGACAGGCTCCGCAGTTGGCGATGATTCCAGACCGCGGTGTGCACCTGCCATTTTCGCAAAAGATGGTTGGCGGCCGTCATCTGCATCGGGAAAGAGGAGTCGTTTAGCGGGAGTAACAAATCGGTCTCTATCGCGGAGGGTTGGTGACTGCTTGAGATTCGACTGGGAGCGAGGGCCTCGCTCGGGAGTAAATGATTGGTTTGCTACTGGGATCGAAGACAATGGCGGAGTAGCCGAGCGCGGAGGGGATTTGATGTTCTGCTTTCCAAATACATCCTGGTTGAGGGCACCCTGAAGTCGTTCCGATGCATGCAAAGGCTCCCGATGGTCTCTCTGGGAAGAGGGATGGCCTATCGCAGGTGAGCTAGGTGCAGACGTTCCCAGCGGAAATGAAGCACCGCCGCCTTTGCGAGGGTTAAGCATCTGCTTCTTTACGAAATCTTCCCGCTCGGAATCGGCAATTTTCCACTTCATTCCCTTGCCAGGTTCGTCGGTGCGGCGGGCAATTTTCTCGAAGCTTTTGTTGAGCGATAGATTGTGGCGGATCGAGTTTTGCCAGCCGGCGCTGGTGTGGCGGAAGAAAGCATAACGTGATTTGATGTGATCATAAATGTTAGCAAGGGTGAGCATTTCATCTGGGCTGCTGAGAATGGCCTGGCCAATGAGTTGTGCATAACTGTGGGGTGGCTTGATATCCTTGGCCGAATCTTTGCTGTAGTCAATGTCTTCGGTCGAATCCATCATCATGCCGCGAGGATACGTAGCGGGCGAGTCCTGACTTCGTGGATGCTTCTCTGCGGAACGGAAGGCCATGGGAGTATTGGGATTGGGACGGCCAGGGGTCGAAGTTAGCAAGGCCTGGGCAGCAGCCCTCTGGCGCGCAGAGGTTGGGGGAAACGGGTCGTACTCCCGCTTTGGCGTCGGACCGTTGGGATGCGCGTGGGGGAGAGCCCGATTGGGTGGGTTTGCGTCGTCGTCGTCGGATCCGTCAATCTCCCGGTCTATCTTCACTTGACGCCACAACATGGGATGGAACGAGTCTTCTTCCTTTGCCAGGAGGAAAACCATCTGGGTACTCATGATGCTAATGCAAATACCCGAGTGGAGCGCAGCCCGTTGGCCTTTTTGCAGCGTCTGATCATCCAGCTTGAGGCCATTGCGGCTGTTGACGGTGATATACCACGTCTCGGCGGTGGAGTCGTAGTTTATTTCAGCGTGAACTCGGGAAATCTGCCGCTCAGGGCCTAGATCAATATCGACCCCCCATTCATTAGTAGCCCCATCGCTATGAGATAAACCCTCAGATACGGGTGGCTGACCGCGCGGAGTTGTGCGAAAGGTAACGTCTGACCGGCCAATAATGAAGCGTAGCTTTTGGACAAAAAAGCACCAGTCCCGACCAGCGACTTTGGCGAAGGCAGCAATATTGTCACCCTCCATCTTGCGCAGCTGCAGATCGTTGGCATAGTCAATAGCAGCATGGGGAGTGTAATACTGTGGGGCGCGAAGGGAGTTGATTATGAGATTCTGGCGTTCGATTGGCTCTGTGGGCACATCTGCATCGTTGCCGTTGGGAAGCGTCGCATCGGAGTCGTTACTGGCCATGGACTCGGTGATGCGAGTGCGTGGGGTATTCTCGGACTGGTGGTACTCGGCGGTATCTGTGTTGAGCTGGGAGTGTATGCGTGCACCTTTCCTCTGGTCTGATTCCTGATCATGCTGAGGCGTAGCTACCCGTCTGCGCTTGCGGGAAGGCGTGGCTATAGAATCCGGTGTGTCAACATCCGATTGCTGCTGGGGATCTGGGTCGCGGCGAGTACGCAGGCCGACCCGCCTGCTGGAGGAGGGGGGCATTGTGATGGGCGCAAGGCGCTGGCGGACAGCGGGCGAAGAGGGTTATGTAACTGTTTGCAGAGAGGGCGGGAGATGGATGTTGCTTCTTTCAACTCTGGCGCTCTGTCGCCGCAGCCACGGGACTTGAAAGGCGGCACAGAAGCTGACCACAGCGGGAGCCGTTGGGTGCCGGTAGTAGAAGGGATGGGTGAAGTGCGCAGTGCAGTCGACGGGGATAAAGATGGCGGGCGAGCGTTTATAGCTGTGTGTTTGGGAGTGTTGGCGGAGGATGGGTAGCGGGCGTGGGTGTTGGGGGGGTGGTGGTCGAATGTGGTCGTGGTAGTAATGAATGGTAGAGTTGGTAGTGGCTGGAGTTCTTTGGCGCGATCCGTCGGGCGGGCTTGTTTGTTTTCCTTGACGCGCGAAAACAGCAGAAGTGGGCGCGCAGAGCAGCGTCACATGCACTCAGTCCCGGGCTGGAGATGCATGCATGTAGCGGGATGGCGGGCAAACGGGCAGCAGGAGGGTTTGCAGATGGACGTCTCTTTTTTTTTCTCCGTGTGCTGTGTCTGGTGTGGGTGGGCTTAGAAAGGCAGTTGCGGCTCAAGTGTGTGTTGCTTGCCAATGGCCAAGTTTGGCGCATCCGCCCGCCTTACCTTGCGCAGGCGCGACGGGGGGGGCTCCCACAACGGACGATAATAATAACAAAGGCTACATCATGGGCTGGCCCATGCATGCTACATCATCTCTACACGTATTGCATTATGCCCGCCCCCCCTTTTAACGGGCTATCGTCATCATCCACTCTATGGTTACTCCTTACAGCAGCTCCAATAACTAATCTCCAAAGACATCCCGGAATCATTCCATTCGTGCAGCAGGCAAAAAAAATGTAGAAGAAGCTGAAAACACCGCCGAAGCCCACGTCAACAACAGGCACACAAGGCCCCTCGTGTTCTTTGTCCCGGATCCTAGCCTAGGCCAATGACGCTGATGCAGCATTATCGCTCAATCGATAATGCAACCGCGACTTATCTCGTTATCGATCTGCCTCCTAGCGATCGTGCCCTGCGGATGACGCGCGCTTGTCTCGCTTCCGTCATCAACCAAACACGAAATGGTCGGGAAAAGGGGAGGTCAACAGTCAACAATTGCGAAAACAGACACAGTGATTGGGCCGAGTGGCTAGGACCGCTAACAAGCAATCATTGATTAGTGCCCTGCAAGCTGCAAGTCACAAGTTCATGCAAACAATACCGAGCATTTTCTGATTGCTCCATGCTGTCCTGCGAACACTAGGTTGCGGACGGAGAGGACCTCGCCTTGGACATTCACACGTACACAGGTGTACGACATGCATTTCCACTTCACTGTCGCGCCTTGTGGCTTCGTGTTCCTATTCACTTAAAGCCTATGTCGTGTGGCCTTGCTTGTTTATTTGTTTGTTTGTTGGCCTTTGTTTTACGCTCGACTTTCCTTGTCCGTTCGCATCATGCCAGCTGCCTAGCCATCCTTTACATCCGCCGAACTAAACAAAAACATAATGCCACTTCATGCATGACGTGTCGATCCATACTACCATTTCTTCCAACTATCGTCTGTGCAACCTGCCTGCATCATCAGGCTCTTGCGGGGATTGTTGTGGTTCAACGGTGCCCGGTCTAACTAGCCACTGATTCGGCTAGCTTCCACATTCACGATGAAGTCAAGAAAGCAAAAAAAGATTCCTGAATATCCACTTTCAAGCGGACGAAATGCTGATGAGAGTGGGACTCGAACCCACGCCACTTTCGTGACCAGGAAATTGATGTTAAGATAACCTTAACCTGGCGCCATAACCAACTCGGCCATCTCACCATGTTTCAGATGAAAAAACTTTCACAAAATTAGTAAATATAAGCCTTAATTTTGAAGTGTAATAATTCTCTTTCATCCACGTCGTGTGCCGTATGTGGGGGATTGCAAAGTTTTCATAGATTACTAGACAAGACTCTTACTAGTAAACGACTACAGTATACTAGTCGCGTAGATCCTCTCGTTCCCAGTGGCCAGCTCCACTTCACACTGACATCCTTCATATCAGTGCAGTAATTTATGCCTATCGAGCCGTTTTTGGATGTCTCACAAACTTTTCTTCGTCTAGTGTGGGCTTCATACAGGTTTTTCATTATAGATTATTGGAGATTAATATACACTTGCATCCTCACTTTTGATGAAGCCTTAACAGGAACTGTTTATCACTTATGATCTACTCATATCCCTACAAAAAGCCTTTACATGAACTGTTCATTACTCGTCATCATCTTCTTCCAGAGCAAGCTCAACCGGACCTTTCAAACCATCCCTCTGCATTTTCAGCGGGAAGTGAACACCCGCTAATCCTACAAGCCCCGAGCTCATCACCAAAGTTGCCACATGGCTCTTTGGAATCTCATCGAGGACTGCCTTGCCGTCTGGAAAGAGACTGGCAGGCATCGCACTACGTAGATAGTATATTCGAGATGATAGGAAAGGAACTAATGGACTGAGACGGAAGAAGCGCGGGCCTTGAGACGGGGCTTTGGGGTTCGAGCTATCGGAGCGTTGGCGTTGTATTTTGACTGATTTCTGGCTTCCTGCTGGAGTTTGATCGAGCATCTTCTTCCGAGCGGGGGTAGTTGGTCGAGCTTTGGGCGTTGCGATCGAGTCTTCTTTGGTGGTGCTCGTTTTGGATGCCGTCTCGATGGAAACGGGATCAATGTAGAACTCACTCATTGTCGCATCACGGCAGCCTTGCATAATTTCATCCAGGTGAAGAGGTTCGAAGGATCCTCCCTTATTTCTGGAGAAACTTTGCTCTAAGATGGAGTTTCCTTTTAAGATGGAAGGAGGGGAGGCGCCGTGCGACTCGTGTAAGTGCTGCAGAAACTCATCTTCAGAAGTGTATAGCCGCTGATCACAATGCCGGTATTGGTGGTAATGTTGCGCATGTTCGACGTGGAACGATCGATAGCCTGCTCCACACAGGTGGCAGTGATGGGCTTTGGATGATGGAAACTGGTGACTCAGCGGAGGTCCTGCGTTCTCTGCTGCGATATCGTCAAAAGAGCGTAAGAATCGACAGCTCCAAACACGGCAATGAGAGTGTTTGTTCATTGCGTCAGTGTTCTCAAAGATTTTGGAACAATATCGACATCGGAAAGGACCCACAGCCTCAGGATGTACGAGATTTTCCAGATGGTTCTCCAACCTCTCCTGCCACCACGCAGAGCGATCCAGCTCGCCAGCATACATGTGCTCAGCGACATGCTCACATCGGTCACCCCAATTTTTAGACCGCTTCCCACAGAACCCGCAGTGTAACATGGGGTCGTCAACTTTTATGGGGGCACCAAACCGCCGCCATTTGACGACAAGGTCTTTGCAACCAAAGTTGTTTCCCTCACTGTCCATTATGCGTGCCTGGCAACCAAGCCGTGCCGAGGGATGCTTTACGTTGGCGAAATGGACATGATGTAGGTGCTGCACAAAATGGTCTCGTCGATAGAAGGTGCGTTGCGATTCGGTTTTGTTTCGACATTGCTGGTATTTATGGCTGGCCATGTGATAATCATCGGGGCGGAGCTGTCCACAAAACGGACAGGAGAGTAGAGGCGCGTTGGTTTTGTTGTCGCAACATATCCACGTTGTGCGCAGGGCGTGTACGGAATCTTCGTGTCGAATCCATTCATATTTTGTTTTGAAAGCCCTGGGACAAAATGTACAGCAGAAAGGCAAATCTTCCTGTGGAACACCAGCACTGTCCAACCCTTTCAACTTGGTGCGAGTGTAAGGCGAGGTTTTCCATTCCATTCGGCGACGGCCTCGTCTCCGATCCCTATTGAACGATGACAAATTACTGCCGCTACTATACGTTGTCGGCGCTGTGCCATCTGAAGAGTCGACGGAGGTGATGATGGAACTTGACCTGCCCATTTTTGAGCTCGATGTTGTGTCCATTTGGCCGTCGACGTCATCATTGAGTGATCCATTGTGAATAGCTGCCTGGATATCCGATACCGTACAGGCTTCTTCCTGATACGATTGGGCAAGATACAAGGCGAGAGGGGGTTGAGGTGGCTGAGAAGAATCTTTTGATTGCTTGTCCAGAGCTTCAAGGCTATCCCTGGACAATTGCGAGGCAAGCGAGCAGGTACTTTCCTTTGCTTTTGGTAAGACAGGACCAAGTGTATCTGCCATGATAAGTGTTGGTTCGGTGACGCATGGTATTTGTGGAGTGACCTACCAGACCCTTTCTTTCGAGCACGGGTATTGTTGAACCAATTGCGGACCCGCTTGACGTCTAGATTGGCTTGATGTGCTATGATATCGATTTCCCAAGAACATGGATATGGATTCGCAGTGAATTCTTCTTCCAACATTTGTCTGGCTTCGAGAGGTATGCGGTTCGACGCCCCTTTTCTTGTCGCCGAAGCTGGTTTTCGAATTGCTGTTCCGCTGCGTTTCAAGGGCGCAGGTGATGAGATCTCGCTTGGAAGACTGGTAGCATCTGAAGATGACAGCATGGGCTCTGGCGTAGATACAGACGGAGTTTGAGTTACATGGTGAGGATTTGATGGGGGCAAAGGATTTATTGGCACATGATTGTATGACAGCTGCTGAGGATTCGTCGCTACCTCTAGGACGTCCATGTCAAGTGTAGTTGGGCTTAGATGCAGGTGATCCACGTGACTGGATTGAAGCATGGGCGCACTGAAGGCATCTTCGGATGGCAACGCGGATGAGATGTCAACGTCACCCACCACTGTAGGCTGCCAGTCCATGGAGTAAGTCAACTCCCACTCCATGTTCGAGTCCGGCCTAAAAGCTTGCTCTGGCCCATGGTTGACGGAACCATCATTATCTCGTTCGAGGCGCGCAAAGTCAAAAAACTCATCGAGGCCGTCAAGCTGGAAGCCCGTGTCACCAGCCATGCTCACGAAACAAAACGCCTGCGGGAGCGGGAGCGGATGTGGCGTATCACGGTATCTCGGGACGTTCAAAATCAATCACTAATGGATGACCGACACAGTTCGGAAACAAATAAACAAAGGCCATACGTGTGTATGAAGACTCGCGATGAAAGTAACAGGCGCGCCCTGGCTTAATGATGAGAAGGTAAGCGAGTCTTGGATTGATTGATGATCAAGGTGGATTGACGAGCGGGGAGGGGATCGCCTGAGGCATCCAGGGCGGCGAAGTATGTATATTGATACTAGCCGGATGAGGCAGTTGATGTTATATTGTCACCCCAGCCTCCTCCAAACTATTTACGAGTTCGCGCAGCTGAGCAAAGTCGGTGAAATGCAAAACAGCTCTTGCGAGCAAATGAGTGACGAATAGTGGAGGGGAACGTCGGTAGTGCGGAGCGGTGGAGAGGAATGCGTCCGACCTGGAAGAGGTTAGCGAGACGCACGGACCACGGATCCACCAAAAAAGTTCATCGTATCGCAAAGTTGAGATGGGTTCACGAAGACATCCCGCCTTCGCGCACAATTCTCCGTACAATCCACCGCCATGGCTGCTGAAGTACAACCATTGCAGCCCATCAAGCTGCCCACGGGCCCTTCCTCTGTGACGTCGGAGCAACAATACTGGAATTCCTTTGCTTCAGAGCTTCGTCTGGACCCTTCGCAGCATTCCTCTCCCGTCACCAACATCTCCCTCCCGCACCGACCGTCTTCGAGTCAGCTTACAGTCGCCCAAGATCTGTTTGCTGTGACCACTGGCTCGCGCGTACAGATATTCTCTTCCAAAACTAGAAAAGTCGTCAAGAACATCTCGCGATTCGGTGTCGATGACATTGCCCACTCTGGAACTATTCGGCGCGATGGAAGGATCGTTGCGGCTGGTGGCGATAGTGGCACCATTCAGGCCTTCGATTTGAACAGTCGAGCAATCCTCAAGACATGGAAAGAGCACAAGCAGCCGGTATGGGTCACGCAATGGCATCCCTCGGAACTCACCAATCTCATGAGTTGTTCCGACGACCGGACAGTACGACTGTGGGACCTGCCGAGCGATAAGAGCATCACCACCTTTGAAGGACACCAGGATTATGTTCGTTGCGGAGAGTTCATGCCTGGTCAGAGTGATCTGATGGTTTCTGGCAGTTATGACCAAACGGTGCGTCTCTGGGATACCCGCGCAGGTGGACGGGCCGTCATGGTCTTCAAACATGCTGCTCCTGTCGAGTCTGTACTTCCTATGCCCTCAGGAACTGCTGTACTTGCCTCCAGCGACAATACAGTAAGCGTTTTGGACATTATAGCCGCAAAGCCTATGCACATTCTTCGCAACCATCAAAAGACTGTGACCGCACTCACTTTCGCCAACAATGGCGAACGTCTCCTTACTGGTGGTCTCGATGGACATGTCAAAGTATTCGAGACAACTGGCTGGAACGTGGTCGGAGGAATGAAATACCCATCACCCATCCTTTCACTCCAAGTCGTCCCTTCACAAAATGAAGACAAGCACATCGCCGTGGGCATGCAATCTGGCCTCCTTTCGATCAAGACACGCCTATCCGGCGAGCAGAAGGCACTAGCACGTGAGCGAGAAAAGGAAATGAAAGCCCTTTTGGAAGGCAAAATCGAGGAGTACGACCGGTCGAAGAAACGCAAACGCGGCAACGGTTGGGCCAAGCGACTTCGAGGCAGGGACTTCACGGGCGAAGGCGCGGACATCGTCATCGACGGCAACGCCAGGGGTAAAATCTACAAGAACAATCCATGGGCAACTGCTTTGCGTCTAGGCCACTATGCCAAAGCCCTCGATATCGTTTTGGAGCAAAACGTACGTTGAACCCGTCCCCCCACTATTTGTTATATGAAACTTGATACTAACGGGCCAAAAAAACAGTCTGAAAACGCAAAAGACCAGCAAATCACCCTTCTAACAACTCTCATCCACCGCTCCGCCCTGCCCACAGCCCTCTCGCACCGCGATGAACTAACTCTTCAGCCCATCCTCCGCTGGCTCATCAAACACATTGGCGATTACCGCATCACACGCCTTACCACAGATGTCGCCCTCGTCGTGCTCGATCTGTACGCCGATCAGCTGGGCCGCAGCGAGGAGGTGGATACCCTGTTCGACGCTTTAGTCCGCAGGGTGCAGGAAGTCGTTGATGCTAGTCAGATTGCGTGGAGTGTTGGGGGAATGGTGGAGATGCTGACGGCGTGTGCGAAAGGTGGTGCGTCTGATGCTGGGGATGTGGGGGGTGTTGTGGCGTGAAGGGATAAAGGGGCTGGTTTCGTTGGGAGGTCTGGGTTGTTTCATTGCTTGCATAGCGATGGCGTTATATTTTGTCCAATTTGTTGATGTTTTGTTCTCTCTTCCCTTTGACCTGTGCATGTCGCGGTTTGGTATTGGAGAGAAGGCAATAGAGCGGTACTGGATTCGGATTTATATAGTTCAAGTAGAGTCGCCCCGTAGAAACCAAAAAAAAGTTAGCCAGCAAACTATGTCAGAGATAATGAAGATTCGATTGTATCACAAAAACTTGGAAGAACACCCCATATTGTGTTTGAAGACTGTTATATATTTGTACATGGAGGGGCTCACTGTCTTTCCTCCCAAATCCAAAAGGGTGAAGAGTACAATACGCTCATCTTCTTCCACAGATACACGAGACAAGGACAATATCCATACACTATGATACAATGACGGCTCCAGATTCAATGCTCCGCTTCTACATTCTTCTACCATAGATTGTATTGTCTTTGCGTAGTAACAGGGCGATCTGGCAATGCAACCCACAACTTCCGGTTGTCCCTCTTCTTCTGCAATTCTTCCGAAATGCGAATGCGCGTCTTCTCTTCCTTCAAGAGCACGGAAAATGCTACAGTACAACATCAGTCTTTGGCGAACTTGAAACGAATTGAGAGAGTACGCGAAGCCATTATGAAATGGATGGGTGGGGGGGAACAAGTGGGAACTCACTGGCAGTTCGATGTGTGAGCCGATTGACTCTGCCTCTAGCCCTGTGATCAGCGCCGAAGGTACTAATATCGGCACCCACCCAGGCTTGGTCAATGTATATCTCTGTCTTATCGGCGACGCGCTTCTTGGACCCATCCTTTAATTGGATAAGTTTGCCTTCATCTTTATGGGCAGTACGTAGTGACCCATCTGCCAAGTAAACTTGAGACTCGTCTGCATCCTCGGCTTCGTGGGCTTGAGAGACCGCTTGTGCCGCATTTCGGCCACCACCAAGTCCCATACCCCTCTCTAGCATGGCATTATCGCGAGCGATTTGCAAGGCCTTTCGAACATCAATGGCGATGCGCTTTGGGCTAAAGCGGAGTTGAACAAGGGCTTCTTCCACTGTTTTACCGGCGATCAGGTGCATTAGACGTGTCAGCTTCTTCGTGCTTGTTAAGAGCTGTTCTGATCGAAATGTGTATTCGCGTTCGGTTCTGGCGAGCTTGATGGCTTTGGTGGTGCGGCCGTGTCTTTCGGCATTTCTTATCACTAATCGTCGCTCCAGTCGAAGACGTTTACGTGGTGCAGGGTCTATTGCGAGGGCCCGGAGGTCGTGCTCGCGCTTTGCGTCGGCGGCCTTGGATAGCTCTTCCTCTTGCTTCTTGAGCTCCTTCCGCTGTTCGGGAGAAAGCGACTCGTGGTAGCGCGGATTCTCGTTTTCGGGCTGAAAGATTGAGGCGGAAGATAAATCTCCCATGATTGGTTTGGGCGATTCGACTCTGGTGCCAGGTTTATTCCTTCGGAGGTATTCTTCGAGGACAGGGTTACTCAGAGGGTCTTCCGAGGGGGAAGCGATCTTGGGATCGGCTTTCGGGGCGTCATCTGCCTTCAGACGGATGGTACAGCTGAATGAGCGGCAAGGGAGTGTGGAGTTTATGCCATAGGTGGTTGAGTGCGGGCGGAGGGCTGCGAGGGCTGGGGATGATCAGTTTGAATTCGGAGTACGACACGTTCATGGTGCAGAGTCAGGAGGCACCGGGATGACATACTGGATTGCCCGAGCCGCCGTGAGGGTATTCGGGCGCTCATGACGATGTGGTTGCACCCCAATGGCGAGATGTTGATGAAGACCACGATCGGGAGGTCCAGGAAATTCTGGTTGCGCGGAAAGAGCCGAGAAGCGCGTGCAGGGGTCAGGTCACGTGACGGACAATCACAGCCGCTTTCGAGATCGCCATCAGAGTTCGAGTTTCATCGGATTGATTGGCAGCGTCCATAGCTGAGCAACAACACTTTGGACAAATCATCCTCAGCTGGCACAACATTGCCGCAGTGCCCCAGGCATCCATCATTTGACTGACTGCGGAGTTGCCGTGCGCAACCTCGAGCGAACACAACAGAGCATTTTGAGGCGTGACAGAGTATTGCCGAGAGATTCTCTGCCGTCATAAGGTTGAGAGGGCCCGCAGCTTTAGCTTGACGTGTTTGATTCTTTTCGTCCAGCCCAGACTTCGCAAGCTCCTACCTGCTTCCTAACATTACTTGCCTGCTTGCTTGCTTGCATTCACTCTTGGCCCAGAGTATTAGCTCTTTTCGCCTCCACGCTCCTTTCCATCCTGTGGTTGCGACAGCTAGGATTGTGTCGCCGCATGTTGCGCCCTCGTTCCATGCTGCTCGAATCCATCCATCCCGAACCACCCCGTCCGCTTCACTCTCGACCCGTAACGTGCGGTCCCTGCAGCCGCACCTGGTGTGCCTGCACCCAAATAACGTCCATCCCAAAACACCAAACATCTAGATCCGCCTGCGCCCGAGCATCTAGTCCAGGCAGCTGCAACCGCAGCTCGAGGTGTTGTCAGAGTATCGCGGTAGAGCCATCGGCTAGAGCTTCAGCATGGATATCAATTCTCTACTTTCGCCGCAAGATTCGCCGGCGCGAGAAACTCCTCCACCGCACCCGCCCATCGCATCGCCTGCGATACAATCACCAAGCAAGCGCGCCTTTCGACAGATGCCCTCGCGCACATCCTCCGGTCTTAGCCAGCAGATAACATCCTCGCCGCAACCACCAGCGCAACCGCTACAGCAGCAGCATCTCGCCTACCATTCTGTGCCATCACCAAATCTATCTGGCTTCACCAACGGCCACAGGCCGATACATAGTGCCACAAGCACTCCTCCAATACCTATTCACTCGCCCCATGATGCGAGCATGAACTCGCCGCATCCCCCTCCCAGGCAAACATCGACACCTGGGATGGATGCACTGGCAGGTAGGTAGCTTCGCAGCTGTTGCCCAGGAAGATGAGGACTGGTATGCGCTCTCGCAGGCAGTGTATGCATATATACGTACAATATATGTGCAGCATGTTCGTCTTGCGAAGGCGCGTCCAGGACATTCGCAATCGGTGTACGGAATTATCCATCCATGCAGTAACTGACCAGCACCCAGATCTTGCAACTATGCAGCATCATCAGCAGGCTGTCAGACAGACTTCTGCTCCGCGACCTCCCTACAGGTAAATACCATATCTCTTATCTGCTGCTTTTACTGCCATGTTTTCTGTAGCCATCCAAAACACACAGCTTGCCGTGATTGTACAAAAGAGGTAGATGTGAAATGGATGTTTGCCGTCGTGGTGTCTAATTGGCCATTTGTTTGTGTCACGGGGTCGTCCTGGCTGCCTGTTGTGGTCCCTGCGCACCCCAAATCATATTTACCTAAACAGTAACTGACTTCCTTCACCTTGCACAGTCTCCAGAACATACCACGCACGATCTCCGGCGGTTCCGTCCGCAGCGAGGTCTCCACTATGGCCGACGCTCCCGCGCGCACCTTCGCCACAAAGGCACTCGAACCAGCGCACATCGAGTACCTGCAGCAGCTCGACAAAGCACTAATCGATAATCCGTTGGATTATTACAGCCATGTGTCATATGTCACTGTACGTACTTCTTCTGGGGTGCTTCCGTTCGAGCTTCTGGTAGCACGTACGAGTAGACATACGTTTGCTGACTTTTCTAGATACTCCACCAAGGCTTCGAATATCATGTTTCGTCACTGGACCCCGCTAACCCGCGTTCCTACGAGCTACTTACCATTCTTCGAGATGCGTACCAAATCATGGCAAAGAAGTATCCACTTGGCGAAGTACTATGGCAATATCGGCTCAACGACGAGAAAACATTGGCCATGAATATCGAGGACAGAGTGACTGTACTGGAATACTACAAGCAGGCAACTTTGGATGAGCCTTATAGCACAAATCTCTGGCTTTCATACGGCGAGTATGTCGCCTACCTGATGGCCTGCTCTTGGGATCAGACTCCACCGGAACAGTGGTCAGTGGAAGACCGAGGTCTCGGTCGCGACCTTTTCACCCCACAGCTGTTGCTGGATGTTTGGCAACAAGGTTCCGACAAGGTCAAGTATAGTATCCAAGATAGTAGTACGGTACGTATTATCTTGGGGAGGGGGTTTGAAGCCGTAAATTTGAGAAACCGTACTGATTCTATGCGCCTCTAGGTATGGGATCGATATCTTCAATTCCTACGAGATGACCTCCAGCGAAGTCCGCCCAACCCGGAAAAGACCGCGCGAGTGTTGGCGATATACCGCGAGCGACTTGGCCAACCTCACGCCACCTGGGGCAATACTCTGTCTAACTACGCCTCCTTCGTTTCATCCATGAATCTAGATCCCGAGGACGCAATGGAGAAGGCAATCCAGCAGAATACCCATATCAAACAGCAATACGCGAACCGGGAGGAATTCGAATTCAAACTACTTCAAGCTGTTCAGCAAGGAGACCGAGACGCCGAGTACTATGCTATGACTCGGTACTTAAAATGGGAAAAGAAGACTGTGGGTATTTACAGCACGCACCTAGTCCATGCGCTCTACGAGCGTGCCACCCTCCGATTTCCGGTGGATCCGATCCTGTGGGAAGACCACATTGAATTCTTGATTTGGCAGAATGATCGATCACAGAACGATCGCTCCATTGATTTGCTCAATGTAGTCGAGCGTGCTACTCAGCATTGTCCTTGGTCTGGCTCACTATGGTCCCATCGCATACTTACATTAGAAGCTGAACAGCGTCGATTCGAGGAGATTGAGGGCGTCAAGCATACTGCCACAAATACCGGCTTGCTGGAGCACAACGATATAGAGGAATTGATCAAGGTTCAGATTGCATGGTGTGGTTATCTCCGTCGTAAAGCGTTCGACCATGAGGCCAGCGAGGACGATGCTGATATCGCCGAGGTCGGCATCCGCTCTGCATTAGAGCACGTCAGTGAAGTTGGCATGAAGAAGTACGGACGCACGTGGCCTGGTGATCCCAAGTATCGCCTTGAACGCATCCATATCAAGTTCTGGCTTCAGCGCGGTAACATGGAGGAGGCTCGCAACATTTGGGACTCGCTCATCAAGGCTCAGAGCGACTCATACGATTTCTGGTATCGATTCTACATCTGGGAGATGGTAGTTTGGGCGAATGATGCCGTCCGAGACAAGACCAACGCAGGCCGGCCCCTGCTCACCCCTTCTAAAGCCACTGCCGTGCTAGAAAGGGGCATGCAACGTTTGACCACTATCGACCAGCCCGAGCCGTTAGTTGAGATGTACGTCAACCATTGCGAGCAGCACGAATCAGTCTTGAAGGTGCGGAGCGCACAGATTGAGCGTCGACGCTCCGAACGCGTTGTTTCCATACGCAGACAGCGAGAGGCGGAAGCTGTAGCTGCAGCTGCAGCAAGTCAACAACAAGCAACCGCTGATATTTCTGAGGTATCCGCCAAACGGAAGCGCGAGGCTGTCAATGATGAGTCTGTGCCAGCTAAGAAGACCAAACAAGTCGAAGCAGAAACCGGTCCTTCAGATGCATCAAGAGCGATCAGCGAAGCACCATCAAACGCAGCTTCCACAACGCAGAAGCGGGATCGCGAGCACACCGCAATCATTGTACAGCGTCTTCCTACAAGCGTCACACAGGTCCAACTGCGCAAGTTCTTCACTGACGCTGGAAACGTTCTGAACATAACCCTGAATCCCGAGGCCACGAGCACAACAGCTTTTGTGGAGTTCGAAACACCCGAGGAAGCCGAATATGCTCAAACGAAAGCTGCCAAAGGCTTTGAAGGTCACGACATTACTATCACGCGCAGCGAAAGTACAACACTCTATGTCGCCAACTATCCCCCGGAGGCCGATGAAGCGTACATTCGCTCAATCTTCGGCTCCTTCAAGATCATCAACATTCGATTTCCGTCACTCAAATTCAATACACATCGCCGTTTCTGTTATGTCCAGTTCGCGGATGCTGGGGATGCAATGGCAGCTACTAAGCTGGACAGTACGGATGTGGACGGTTTCAAGTTGATTGCGAAAATATCGAACCCCAACGCCAAGAAAAAGCGTGACGGGGCTACTGCTGAGGGCCGTGAAGTGTACGTTTGGCGTCTGAACTTCAAGATCAAAAAACAGGAGATACAGGAGAGCTTCGCCCCGTTCGGAAAGATCGACAGGGTCAATATTCCCACCATGGCAAACGGAAACAACAAGGGCTTCGGATATATTGTGTACGAGTCAAAGGAACATGCGGACGCAGCTGTTGCTGCCATGGATGGAAAGGAACTGTGGGGGTTTGAACTCAAAGTCCAAATCGCCAGCGACAAAAATGACATCAAGCCTAAAGTCAAATCGTCAATTGAGAACACTGAGCCAGCCAAGGACCGAGATGTAACGCCTGCTGCGGACACTGTCGTCACTGAGCCAGCAAGTCTCGCGGATCGTTCTATTGCGCTTTTGAACCTTCCGGACACCGTCAATGACGCTCGAGTTCGAGCGCTCGTCGCATCATATGGCTATAAGAAGATCACGTTGATGCCACAGCATGGCGGCGCTATCATTGAATTCCCCAGCGTCGACGCTTCCGGAAAAGCAGAGATTGCCCTGCAAGGACAGGATTTCGACGATCGGAAATTGCGTGTTGGAACTGTGAAGGAGTTGAAGCAACAGAAGGGCGAAATGAAATCTTCATATGTGCAGCCGACAAACGTCAAGAGGCCTACCGCATCTGTTGGTAGGGGGGGCATGAGGGGCCGCGGCAGACCTGGGCTGGGTCAGAGGCCTATGGTGCCTAGGGCTACTGCTGCTACGAACAACGGGGAAGCAAAGAGCAACCAGGAGTTCCGGGACATGTTACTTGGGAAGACTGGTGATAAAATGGACGAGTAGCGGTTTAGTCATTGCATTTCCGGGAGGCATTGCATAGGATGGAGCTCTGGCGCACATCGTTTTTGACGTCTTCGGAAGACACGGGGTGTGCATCCACTGTAGTATAATGATAATAACCTTGATTCGAACTTCAATTCCCTCTGTATGCTTGATACTCTGATCGCGAAGGTGACGAGCTTGGATACGACCAAGTATTATTGTACAATATCACATCGAATTATGAATTGCCAAACCCTTATGAATGGCAACCAGCCTCCCTCCCAGCAATGGATCTCAGTATGTGAAGATCTATTGTACTCCAGTTATTAGTCCACATCAAATAAGTGTGTTATAGCCAGTTGGGGCATCGTTCGTCTGCCTCGGTATAGGAGATGACTAATCTGCCAAGCCATGACATCAACCATTTTTATCCATCGACGCTCCCTTACGATCAATTGAGCCTCAGCACAAACCTCACGCTCGAATCATTCCGTCATGGCAACTTCACGCTTTGCAATTCGCTCCTCACGAGCTCTGATGAGCCTCAACCACTCTTCGCGCCCTTTCTCGGTTTACCGCGCATCCGCAAACCAGTTCGAATCCCTCAACAGGCGTTGTCAAGATACGGCAGACGAGTATCGCCGCTTCCAAATCGAGAAGCCCTTAAACCCGCATCTTACCAATACCAACTCCACCATTGCAAATGAGATGCCGAGCTTGGGCGCTGATGCCCCTCCGCCCGAACTGATCAAGAACGCCGACTCAAGTTTCACCCCCAAGGATGCAGTGCCGGAGAACACACACAGGATGACCGGAGGGACTCAGAGCAGCGAAAGTTCCGATGCCAGCGGAAGCAACAAGGACCTCAAAGGCGATGTTGCGGGCAAGGGCGAACTTGGTGTCGGCGAGCTGGAGGGTGCCTCATTCAAGGTCGAGCCGTTGCGAAGGACGGGTGAGGATGAGGCGACCATGCGCGCGAGGTTATTATGTCCGTTTCCTATCTATCTCCTAGTTTCCACGACAGTGCACCTTGCTTCTTCTCGTGGCTTGCGAAATGCGAAGCACGTAGCCAATCATGCACTTGGATCGACCGCTGACCGATAAACAGATCAGAGTCGCAAGAGGGGAACGCTCGAAAGTGAGCTCCTCATGTCCACTTTCGCTGACGCCAATCTCGCCAATATGAACGTCTCGCAACTTCAGCAGTATGACCTTTTCCTCGATGAAAATGACTGGGACATCTACTATTGGGCTACTCAGGAACCGTCCCCAACTTCCTTGGAGACAGCCGAGGGCTCTGGAGCCGACCTTGCTACGAAAAACGCTCAAGGCCAAGATGAATGGAAGAGGAGTCCTGCTAAGGGAGAGTGGGCGCAAACTGTCGGCACATTCAAACCTGCGTATCGACCAGTTCCGGCTCGGTGGAAGGACAGCGAAATCCTCAAATTACTAAGGACACATGTTGAGAAAAGGAGCGGAGGAAGTGGAAAAGAGGATGCAACAGGCTTGGGCAAAATGCCTGAAATCAAGGTCTTTGATGCTTGAACCTCTCGATTCACCTCTTCTTCTATGAGTCTGTCCTAATCTGTATCATGTACCATATCTTCCACGTTCTCCAGAATATAACCTGCTCCATTATTGTCGGTGTTTCTGAATTTATATTTACACGATCCGATTCCGAGCTGGAACGGAGATATTGATTCCACCACTCTGTGCATGAGTTATCCCAGCAGACGCAATCTAATATGTGGGGCAGCCGGTGATCCAGCAGGGGGTGTGCAATCTACTTTGAACTACTAATTCTATCCACTACTATAAAGGGTTGAGCACAGTAGAATATTATATTACACCGGCGACGAACATTGGATCTGTATATATACCTAGTGCGTTCCGCATCCGAACTCGCATTCTGGCGTTGGAATATCGCAAAATCATTGGCATAACCGGCTCTATCTACGATGCGTTTCTCACCAGTCCTAGCTATTTTGCTGAGTGTGCCCAGCACACTCGCAGCTCTCACATATAAAGGCGTCGATTGGTCGTCGACACTTGTTGTCGAAAGACAAGGTATACAGTTCAAGAATACAGCCGGTACCGTCCAACCGCTCGAAACCATTCTCAAGAACTCGGGCGTCAATACCGTCCGACAGCGCATTTGGGTGAACCCGTCCAACGGCGACTACAATCTCGACTACAACATTCGCCTCGCAAAGCGCGCAAGGAGCGCCGGGCTCCAGATCTACCTTGACTTCCACTACAGCGACACCTGGGCGGACCCTGCCCACCAGGGTAAACCATCTGCATGGAACGGACTCAGTGCCGATGCGCTCGGCAGCAAGATCTACGACTACACAAAGGAAGTGCTCAATACCTTTGCCTCCAATAACATCCCGCTCGCCCTTGTCTCCATTGGGAATGAAATCACGCCTGGTCTGCTCTTCCCTACGGCCCAACTCTCCGCATCCGGCGGTCCCAAGGCAGCGTCCAACATCCTCAAGGCAGCTTCCAACGGCGTCAAGCAGAGCAACATGAACCCAAAACCCAAGATTATGCTCCACCTCGACAATGGATGGAACTCCGATACCCAGACATGGTAAGCATTCTCAGAGTCCGTCTCGTATATCATCTCAAAGACCCCTCTGCTAACTTTCGACTTTCTCTCTCAAAAGGTGGTACAACACAGTGCTCAATTCCGGCGGACAACTCACAGCCTCCGACTTCGACATCCACGGCGTATCCTACTACCCCTTCTACAACTCTGCCGCGACCCTCTCCTCCCTCGGCACATCCCTCAACAACCTCGCAAACAAGTACGGCAAAGAAGTCATGGTCGTCGAAACGGACTGGCCAACCTGGTGTCCGAACCCGCAATACGCCTTTCCCAGCGATACCAAGAACATCCCCATCAGCGTACCGGGCCAGACGCAGTGGGTCAAAGCCGTGGCGGATAAAGTGAAGGCAGTGAGTGGAGGACGAGGCACGGGGTTGTTTTACTGGGAGCCGGCTTGGGTCGGCAATGCGGGGTTGGGCAGTAGCTGTGGGTATAATTTGATGGTTACGGATCAGGGGCAGGCTATGGATAGTCTGGCCGTGTTTGGAAGTATATAGTATCCAGGGAATATTTGAATGAATGAGATCATTTGTATCAATTGAATTAAATCGATATTTGTTGAGATGCGGGTGTCACGATGGAAGAAGGACTCTGATCGATAGGCTTTGTATTTCAAGAGTTGATCTTCTGAGATAACGCCGAATATGAGCTGAATGTCGGACCGTAGAGCATAAGCTTATAAGAGATGATCACCGTGGATAGAGACATGGCAGGAGACGGAGTCGGTGGTAAATGAAGTGGTCCAATTACTTATGTGATGCTCTACCATCACAGATGCAATCGACCTTGAGGGTACATGAAGTACCTCGGGGGTCGATGGTGCAAGTGCGTCACAGGAGAGAAGGCAGGTACCTTGCTAGCGTGGAAAGAGGGAGGAACAGCGACGACATCTCATTTCGTCGTCTAGTGTTGCAACGGTCCTGGCCTTCTTCCTTTCTCAATTTCTCGACTGGATTGTAACAGCCTTGCCGAAATACATTAATCAGAGCAAACGACTGATTTCTTCAGAACCGCACCCCCGTGAAGTATAGGAAAACAACGCTTGCCTCCGATTGCACGATCCACATTCTGCCTATTTATTCACCACCCCTGTTTCAATACCGCCTTCCCCGTCAGCAACCTCCTGCTCCTCCTCATCTCCAGCCCATTCCCGCATCTTTCTCGGACGACCACCGAGACTTGCCACCACGGCTTTGTTGTTGGCCGTTAGCGCATCCAAGACAGACAACTCCTTCAAAGTAAACCATCTCGGCATGACGAACGTGCGAAGTGGGATAAGTGCAATAATGAGCACGGGAAACCCAATGGCGGCGATAGTCTGGGAGATTGCGACTGTGACAGCCACACCGAGGATTTGAAGCAGAACGTAGAGCATGATCTTGCGACCGGCGATACGCTTGAGCGGGTTGCCGGGCTGAATGAAGCGCTGCTCGGACTGGAGATAGACGAGTTTTTGGAGGATACCGTTAGACTCTATAGATCCCCACTGCAGAACTGAATTAGCATTTGCGAAATCAAAGTCATCGTTGAGGGACATACGCCGACATGGAAGAATACTCCTGCGAAAACAGCAGAGGGCATGGTGTGCAGCACCACGAGAAGCGGTCCCGTCATGGTTCCCCAGAGCGCCATACCCATGATGAAGTGGGACATTCTTTGCTCAACGACAGCTGTAGCTTCTATGCGTGGCCTGCGACTCTCAGTTTCGTCCGAGTCCACTGTTTTGACGATGTCGAGATGGGTTTCGTAGACCGTCAGAGAATCGGTATGAACGGGTGCTTGAGGTACGAGACCATTGGGCATGGGTAGGCCGATGACGCCAGCGACGAAGGTGGTGCAGCCCAAGAGGAAGAAGTCCCAGTGAAAGCCCGCGGGTTTTTTGAGTGGGAAATTGCGCGCTTGCGCCGTGAGGCTGCTCACGTTCTGTGACAGTAAAGGTAAGCATAGATAGCGACGAAGCAAGACAAGAAAACATACGTGATCATAGTAGAAGAGTAACATGGTTAGGAATCCGAAAGGCAGTGCCACAAAGACCCACACGACGTCTAGATTCCAGAAGTCGATTACCCAGTTACGAGGCTGTGTAGGTTGGAATGCTTTTGTTGTAGGCACGAAGGTGATGTGCGTGCTCTTGAGTGTGCCTGGTATATGAGAGAATCCGACCCAGAAGAGGGTGGGTGCGACATAGGCGTAGTCCGCAAGCAGGCTACGAAACCATGGCTTCCATAAAACGCTCGACCCCAGCTTTTCAATGCTGTATACAGAGCCGAAGTAGAGGATTGCGACGAGGCACGTCAGATAGCCGCCAGCATTGCCAGAGACAGCGAATTCATTGACGAGTTCCTCGACTCCTTTTACTGCCGAAGAGCATTAGTATCGAAATCAAGCATATCATATCGTGCTTACTCACCCATGTATATGATACCGACGTACATGCCGAAAGACTCGCTCGAGAAATCGGTGATATAGCCCATATAGTCGCAATAGTTACCCACTGCGACGATCCAGTGGAAAATCGCTGCCCAAATTCCCGTCCATGCCATGACTTGTGGGTACAGTGTAACGTCATACCGTTCGACAATATCGTAGATGGTGTAGTTGAAAAGCGAGATCAGTCCAGTGACACCGACAATTGTCAATGGTTGGCAAGAGAGAATACTGAATACCATGGCAGCAAGAGCCGAAGCCAGCAATGCTTCGTTGATGCCATAGAATTCGCCAGTTCTTCGGTACATGTCGAGCGTGAATGCGATAGCGGGAAGCAAGCTTTTTTCGATTCAAATGAGCGAACGCTTTCGAGAAAGGGAGAGGATACTGACTTGACAAAGTACATGCGTACAGTACTGGCGAAGGTTCGGTACGTCCATGCATCGGCGATATCGCTCCAATAGTAAGGCAATCGTCTCTTAACATCGTGATACATACCACGTCCTGGGTTGAGGAATCGCCATTGTCGCCAGCCCCGTTGGCCTTGGAATGTGTAAGAGTTGTTCGTCCGTACTCGCGCCAGTTTCTCCCCAGATTCTCCAGCGTCTGCAGACGGTTCCATGGTAAAGCAACCAGAGATGTTGGGGGCTAAAATTGAGTGACGAAAGTTCGGCATGACAGGCTTCCAGCCGTGAGTGAGATAGCTTATATGTTTCTTGGGCGGCCGATCAAATCACGGCATGGCGTCTCAAAACGTCAGTTAGCGTACTACGGGCCATCGAGCATAGATTGAGGGTCACACCCTTGCTCCATTGTAGAGTCATGGCGTCTCCACAGCACCTACTACCAAATTTGGCCATAGATGGGAAAGGATGCTCTCTAGATCGTCACCAACGGCCTTTGGTTCCAAGATCTAATGCTCGCGGTGTCGTCAAATAAGGTCCCGAGAAGCCTACATCATCGAATCACAGGCATGTTTCCTCTGACGTCTGAATACCGCTGTCAGCGCAAGTGGTGGATTAGTGCCGATCGAGATAATTCCCACATCGGAATTTACTCTGCCGTTGGCTGCCCGGGCAGATTTTCCAAGGTAACAGGGATACAGAACCGGTACCGTGGAGCACGAACAGCTCAATGTCGACCCACCACGAGGAGTCCGAGGATCCATCTCTTCCCTTGCCCTTCGCTTTTCTTTCCACGACTCTTTGAGAAGGCATTGGCGCGGTGACGCATGGGCTGCATAGAGCTAGCTGCTTCCAATATGGCCTCCGCAGATCCACCGCCTGTTGAACCTCCATTGTCTCTAGCGATGAGAGGTCAATCGCCAGATTGGAAACTGATTTTTCCAGATCGGGCAAACACCTCTCGCGGAGACATCCAAATAGCACCCCGCAACTCAATGTCATGATCTTATCGGATGTGAGCCGAGCATTTGCACAGTCAGGTTAACCTTTCGCACATGAATTACCTAGGTGGCGTTAGCGCCACTCCCTATAGCTCCGACCCGCTTCCGCAACATGATCTGTTCTCGTCGATCCTCGATCCCACTCTTTCGCGGCCAGCACATTGGCACATCTCCTGCCCACCGCTTTTTCCATCTCGACTTTCTGACATGTGGAGAGAGAGTGATATACACTAATTCGGATCGAGAGAGATCCACCAGGCCGACTTTGCTGAGCCAGCCGCCCCCACTCCACCTTCCATCATCCGATTGACCGATCAAGCGCATGGATCCTGGCAAGATTGACGCGCTCGAAGAATGCATTGCGAGGGCAATTCAGGAACATCTTGCAGCCGGTACTTTGGACTGGCCGCAGCTTGCTGGCCTTGATCATCCGGTACTAAGAGTCGAAGCTTTTCTGGAAGATGCAGGTCATAGTGCTGGCTCTACTCAAACCAAGAAAGTAGCATCGGTACGTCTGCTGTTCATCACCTGAAGGCAGAGCTTGTCCTCGATTAAGCTCGAGACCCGAACTGATTCTCCAATAGCGGAGCGTGGACCTAGCTGGGCTGATGACCCCTACTTCTTTACAATCACGTAGTCCTGTTGCTTTGGCTGAACATGAATCTGTCTCTACACGTCAACGCGTGCTCGCGACTGACAATGTTCTCGAAGAAGCTCCTGTCGGGCTCGATGACGCAGTGGTTCAGGATCAAGATAGCCCTGGAGGCTCACGGCGTAAAGGCACAGGTGGGCTACGCATCTCACAGTCCCAGGCTTACCAGGAAGATATGAGCGAGCATCAACGCCGAATGGCCTTGGACAATCGGACGTTCCCCAAGCGACGCAAGATCGTCTCCGAAAAGCTTGTGTTTCAACCATCCACGCTGGACAAGCTGATCATCGGAATTTGGGAGCAAATTCATGGGACATTGAATCTCGATCCTCGCGCCATATCTGAACAGTTTCAAATCGCTCCTGCAGTCGAGACAGATGCTGCTGAAGGTCGTATCGAATCCAATGGGGATCAGCTGGTAATCACCACATCAATGACCAGCAACACGTTCAGCAACATGAACGTCTTCTGCCGGAAAGTGACCCAGGCGAGTCGTGTGTCTAGATCTATCGAGATCATCGTACAGGCACGTTGGACAGAATTTTTCGACGAACAAGTTCAGCTTCGTATTGCAGAAACACCACAGGTATCCCCTACGAAACATCGAAAGGCGGTGTTTATGGAGGCGTGTCAAGACTTTGGCTGGTCCGAGAAGGAGCTGCGAAATAAAATGGCCATCTGGAAAGGGTACAAAGAGGTCAAAGACGCGGCTGGATGGGTCGCGCTCGTCTTCACTGGGATGGGAATATATCGCTTCTGCAAGTATCGCGTTGAGTTTGAGCCAGACGCAATGCGGCGGCTTCAGAACCTGCGGAAGAGACTGGAAGTCGGAGCAGATACGCTGCACCCGAATTGGAGAAAAATCCTGTCGATTGTTGGAGTGTCATGTCGAAACGAATACAAGGGACATCCGCATGATTGGGTTGTTTTCGAGGACGGAAGAGACCCCGTGTCGTTACAGTCGACGTATCTCGAGCAGGATGCTTACTTCAATTTCGAACAAATTGAAGAATCCATCATTGACGAACGCGTGTGGGGATGCGAAGATCCGAGGTGGATCATGCAGCCACAAAATGCAGTCGTGCGAGCTGAGGGGGGTTACATTTGCGCGGTATGTTCGTTTCAGCAATCAGACGATCCCCGTGTCAACGCGTGCAATTGTTTCCCCAGACTATTTGGCTGCCTCAAACGCACTCCGCCGCCAGTTCAGATCTACCGCACCCACAATGGGAAGAACAATGGTCTGCAAGCCCTTGTGCCGTTCGAGCGAGGAGCAGCAATCGGAGAATTTGTAGGGCTAGTGACGAAAGGTGTCAGGCATCTAGACGTCATGGATGGATCTACAGCAACAGCCAACTATCAGATATGGCAAGGGCGACAAGGAAACTTTACACGCTTCATCAACCACTCATGCAAAGCGAACTCTCAGCTTTCACACTTTACGTGGCTCGATACGCAGCGCATCGTGCTCGTGAGCAAAGGCATTGAGGCGGGGACAGAGATTACGGTGGATTACGGTGATAGGTACTGGGCTGGGCTAGATAAAATCTGTCTCTGTGGGGAGTCTTGCTGTAGATATAGGAGAAGGTAGACGGTACTAGAAGCACAGGAAGGTGGGAGGTATATACGGTCCGTGCGTTTATCGATAACATATCCCTGCACAAATTATTTCAGCTAAACTCGGGAAGAGGACAATCAAAAGCCGACATCTTGCATTCGTCCATGATATTCTGTAGTACTCAAAATGGATGACATGATAGATGATAGAATCAGCTCTGACAGTGGTCTTTCTGATGACCAGAACAATGGGAGGAAGCGAAGAAAGCTGTCGCCATCTGCTCCGTCCTCGACCCTGACAGCAACCGCCTCTCGTATCAAGAAGAAGACAGACACAAAGACTCCCACAACAGCAGAGGTACCTCCTCCCGATAGTACCACAGAAAAAACTACATTTTCCTCAATTGGTGTTGCACCTTGGTTGGTTGGCGCTCTAGGGGCTATGGAAATCAGGAAGCCCACCGGGATTCAGAAGGCCAGCATTCCCGAGATACTGAAGGGGCGGGACTGTATTGGAGGTTCGCGGACAGGTACGGGTAAAACCGTGGCATTTTCTGTGCCGATTCTCCAGAAATGGTCAGAGGATCCATGCGGCATATTCGCAGTGGTGAGTCGAGTGAACAGCGCAGACAGCCATCACAAAAGCTAAACAGTGTCACAGATCATCACGTCAGTAGTTTCCACTATTCCGACATCAACTACTCGAGCTAATAGAATGCAGTCCCACGAGAGAGTTGGCCATCCAGATTTACGAACAGGTCAAAGCCATCGGCTCGCGGCAATCTCTGAAAGTGATACTCATCACTGGAGGAGCAGACCAGCGGGAGCAAGCGCTTCAATTAGGCTCACGTCCACACGTAGTCATTGCCACCCCCGGACGTTTAGCAGAGCATATTCGAACTTCTGGTGAAGATACCTTTTGCGGCCTCAGGCGGGTACGCTTCGTGGTTTTCGATGAAGCCGATCGTCTGCTTTCGCCCGAAGCTGGCATGCTTCCAGATCTGGAGACAAGTCTATCGGTTCTACCAAAACCTGAACAACGACAGACTCTGCTTTTCACAGCCACAGTGACACCAGAAGTGTTGGCTCTGAAAGAACGTCCTAGGCCCGCTGGTAAACCTCCTATATTCGTTTGCGAGGTCGACACGCAAATGCTGGCCATTCCACAAAAGCTCCAGCAAATGTTTATCCAAACGCCTGTTACGCACAAAGAGTGCTATCTGCATGTGTTGCTTGGTACACCAGGTACGTTCGACATCAGTTCCGCATTTTGGTTTACCGGGATGTTTGCTCCGCACTACACATATTGCTTGCTAACATAGCACAGAGAACCTCAAGAAGTCGGTCATCATATTCTGCAATCGGACACAGACGGCCACACTTCTTGAGCATATGCTTCGACTTCTCGACTGGCGTGTGACCGCCCTCCACTCCGGACTGAAACAGTCTGACCGTGTCAGTAACCTTGCGAGGTTCCGCGCTCAAGCGGCTCGGATCCTGGTTGCTACCGACGTTGCAGCTCGAGGTCTCGATATTCCGGAGGTCAAGCTTGTCATCAACTACGACATCCCCCGCGATCCTGACGACTACATTCACCGTGTCGGTCGTACGGCCCGTGCTGGACGAGTGGGTCACAGCGTTACCTTTGTAGGTCAGCGCGACGTCAACTTGATCCACGCTATCGAAACTCGAGTGGGCTCAGAAATGAAAGAATACGAAGAAGAGGGCGTCAGTGTGGAGGGCAGAGTAGTGAGGGATGCCCTGAAGCCTGTTACCGAGAAAAAGAGGGAGGCTATGCTGCAAATCGAGGAAGGCAGGGATGTGCTTGGAAGAAGACAGCCTGGCATGCAGAAACGACGTGCATGATGACAGGGCGAGGCTGGTGCAATGTATATAGGCATGCAACAGACCCTCTATCAGAGCACTAGTTTGCTACAATATGCCGAACCATATTAAATCGCGTAATTTGTTCGCGCTCAGACAATGCACACTGTTACCCGCCTGTTCGTCATGCATGGAACCATCGATACGTTGTAGTAATAGTCAAGAGGACCTCTACTTTTGAGAATGACTTCACTTCGATCACTGGAGACGGCGCTACTGAAGTTGTTTGCGGGCTATGCACAAAGCCTTTCATGAATGATCTGTATAAAATGCAATGAGTGGCAATACTACAAATGTCAGACCATTAAACGCATGCAATGTGATCATGATATCTCCAGCTGATCGAATCAAAGTGATGGCGACGCCTCTTTCTGTCCATACTCCGAATAAACAGTACAACCCTTAGTTTGAGAAGATGTCCCTGTTTTCTCATCGAAGATGCGACAACCATACACAGCTGCATTCGGAGGTGTATACACTACTTTCATTAGCACAAATACAAGCACATACCCACTCCAAAACTTACAATGCAATGACACCGCATAATCTTCCGGGTCGGGATTCGATATGCGATGCAACCCAAGCTTATCAGACATGTATGTGACTTCATCTTGGCCATACGTTTTCTCGGAGATGACGTCCAGCGGCTTCAGTTCCTTCTTGTTAAGTGCGACAGTCGGCCATTCGAAGCGGGTTTCGGTGAGTTTGCCTTTGAGAATCTTCATGATGCAATGGGCATTGGCGTGGCTTTTTGAAATGTCAGTTCATGAGCAACCCACGGAGATATATCTTGCCCCCGATGTAGGGTTGAACGTACTCGTGGATCCTACTCGCCTTTCCAGGTGACCACACCAGAATAAGCTACAGCAATGAGTCAGTTAGCCTCCTCCTACCTTCGCATACCGCATTCAAGACATACAAGATTACTTTTGCCGTTCCCTTTGTCGACCAGGTTCCGCGTGTAACTCATGCCTGGGTCCGGGAAGAAGTACTGTTTCCATTCATCCTCGTTCGAGACGTACTCCTCCATCAACTTCTGCAGCTCGTTCTCATCGACATCGGATGAATCTATTCCCGAGCTCGGACCGAGTATGGTGCTGAGAGAGGTGACGAGCGCCTGGAACGGATTCTGTGTAGGCTCAAGGATCGCCATGCTAGGTTGCGGATAGTGTCAAAAATACGGTGAACGACTTGGTCAAGCCAACGTGTATCCTGCGAAGAGGGAAGTTTTTTGGCTCCAGCAGTATGTGAAGTTCAAAAAGCAGATTACGCTTGTAGATATAAGAGTGTGGATTTGGATCGCAAACAGTTGCGCGTGTGTTTTTGCCCTGGCAAACGGTGAATCGTGACTGCTGGCTAGGTCATGGCACGTTGCACTGCACTTGTGACCAGCGATGCTACTGCCAACTAAGGGGAGAAGAGGCCAAATTTTTCTTGCTTGTCAGGAAAGAAGAGCCGAATCGGACCCACCGGTTCTTGAGAAGCTTGAAAAGAGAGAACATTTGATGGCTACTTGAAGTATTCAGGCGGATATCTACGGAACACTGGGGTCCTACACACGATAGGAAGCAAACCGATATGTTATGTAACAGAGTGGTTCTCGCAGGCAATGAGAGGCGCCGTGATCCTGGCGCATGCACCAAACAGACTCAGACTGCACAAACTGCGGCGAAGTGACGGCTTCCATCGGGGAAGCCGGACAGGCGCGTCCTATGGGCCTATAGAGCTTACGTAACAAGAGGCGGCGACGGATCAATGTTTCCCCGCACTTTCTTGCCCGCCCCTCGTCATCCCGCGGCGTCAACCTCAAAATATTTTGCGCAATCGCAACAAGACGCAAAAGAGCGCAAACAACCTCCCAAAAAAGGCCCAGACCCCGAACCGACCTTCAACATGTCTACCACCGTGGAAAAGGTGAGAAAGTGAAACCAGGGAAATTGCTGGTTCAGATGGCTAATGTGTGTTGCGGGGTTTTAGATCAAGCAAATCGAGGATGAAGTAAGACACGCCCAGGTCCACACACCATCCGTACATAAATCTAATGCCAACCGGTGTAGATGGCCCGAACCCAAAAAAACAAAGCCACGTCGTTCCATCTTGGTATTCCACCCCTCGGCTACAGTTTCAAGCCACACAAGGCTCACATGGCGCAGGTCAATTGAAGGCAAAGCTTGCGAAGCTGAAGAAGGAGCTTCTGACGCCGTCTTCCAGCGGTGGTGGTGGCGGTGGTGTCGGTTTCGATGTCGCTCGAACCGGTGTCGCTAGTGTTGGGTTTATCGGCTTCCCATCTGTGGGCAAGAGTACACTTATGAGCAGGCTCACGGGCCAACATTCCGAGGCTGCGGCATATGAGTTCACAACGGTACCTTCCCTCGGCTTGATTCCCCCAAAAGCTTGGAACTGACCTTGCTAGCTCACCACAGTGCCTGGACAAGTCATGTATAACGGAGCCAAAATCCAGATTCTCGATCTACCAGGTATTATCCAGGGAGCAAAGGACGGAAAGGGTCGTGGTCGCCAGGTCATTGCCGTTGCAAAGACGTGCCATTTGATCTTCATTGTCTTGGACGTGAATAAACCATTGACCGACAAGCGCGTCATCGAAAACGAATTGGAAGGATTCGGCATCCGGATCAACAAGAGCCCCCCAAACATTGTCCTCAAGAAGAAGGACAAGGGCGGTATCAACATAACGTCCACTGTTCCTCTGTCGCACATCGACCACGACGAGATCAAGGCTGTGCTAGGAGAATACCGCATGGCCAACGCGGATATTGCGATCCGATGCGATGCCACGGTAGACGACCTGATCGATGTTATTGAAGCGAAGAGCCGGAGTTATATTCCCGTCATTTACGCGTTGAACAAGATCGACGCCATCAGCATTGAGGAACTAGATCTACTATACAGAATCCCGAACGCCTGCCCTATCAGCTCCGAACATGGCTGGAACGTCGATGAACTGCTGGAGCAGATGTGGGACAAGCTCAATCTTGTGCGGGTGTATACAAAACCAAAGGGCAAACTACCCGATTATTCCGCACCTGTCGTCCTTCGGTCCACGGCTTGCACTGTGGAAGACTTTGTAAGTCACTCGCTGGACTTTGCATGCGACAGATGAATAGAGTTTTGCTGATCGGTCATGCAGTGTAACTCAATCCACAAGACGATTGTCGACCAATTTCGGCAGGCGATTGTATATGGCAAGTCTTGCAAGCATCAACCACAACGCGTAGGCCTTACGCACGAGCTTGCAGACGAGGATATTAGTAAGTCGGATCTCCCATCTCGGACAAGAAATCCCGTCGTCTGACAAAGTCTGGCCAGTTACCATCATCAAACGATAAAAGACGCCATGTAGATTCGAAAGCATGACGGGATGCAGTCCGTCATTCGCGGCGGAAGCAGACGCAGTCAGTGGAGAGATGCCCTATTATGCCTTGCCTCCTGTGGTCGAGTCCGTGTGTCCCCACCCGAGGCTCCCATAGGAAGGCGAAGTCGGAGACACGACATGACGAGGAGCTGGATTGGCTGGGACAGCGTACGAAGAGCATGAACCGCATCAATGCTGAAAGCTTATGGAACGATAGATTAGGTCATTTTTGCCAGAAGGCTCGTGCTACGACAGCGGAGCAGAGCCTCCCGGGAGTTGGTCGAGCAGTCCGTCGCCCTCGAGAGGCATCGGTACGACAATGACAGCGGAGCCTCGTGGGTAACGCGTGGGAGGTGGCTATTGGAACGGTCTCGCAGCATTGGCTTTTTTGGCTTAGGATTAACACGGAAATTCAAAATTACGACACATTCTGTTTATGAGAGATGACGGCGATTTCCATTGGCCTACTGACTGAAGCAGGAGGAGAAGGAGCAGGGGTGCGCTTGACGTTGGCGATTCAGAGGCCTCGGTGGGCGTCGGGGCGCTAAGACTGCGAAGGTTGTGGATGGTGAGTGGCCAGAAGAACAAACCTAAAGCGCGTTGTCGCGGGTGCTGAGAAATGGCAGGCTACGGAGAATGAGGCCAGCGCTTGCAGGAGCAATGCCAGAGAGGTTTATGCAGCGAGTGCACAGCGGTGCAGCGAGTGCAGTGCAGCGCAGTGTGCAGGGCCCCGAATGATTGACACGCTCGTTCGGGCCGTGGAAATCGCCGCGTAGGGAAGGGCTCGCGTACCTGAGCATGGTCGTTGGACTCACTCGTTGCACGCACGCAGGCAGGCCCGCCACGGCAACGGCCAGCAGCAGCAGCAGCAGCTAGCAGCCGACCGGCGGCGGTGCACGAGGAGCAAAGCAGCTACTTGATTCCAACTGCTGCTACTCTCAGCGTGCCGGGAGCCAACAGCCGATGGATGACAGAATGGCAGATTAGCCGTGGCGATGACTAGGTGGTAGTGGCCGCGGCATGACAGCGACGGCGGGCTTGCCCTGCTTGCGGTGGTGGTGCTGGGGAGAGTCTGGCTGTCCTGGCTGGGCTGGCCTCGCGGTGCAAGAAGCTCTGGCCCAGACGACTCCCCACCACCCCTACAGGACATGCGACGACGATGACGGCTTAGAGCGGCGACGACTGACTACCGGGGAAGCCTCGCTAGCGGCCAGGCATGTCGAGGGCTTGGCTGGGCCGGGGGTGCCACCAGGCTAGGAGCTTCAGCAAGCAGGGGCCGCCCGACAGGGGGCAGGGGCCAGGGATGCAAGCTTGGGCTCGAAACAAACAGCGATGCGCGCCCCTCCACTCCCGTTGCCGCACAAGGAAAGCCTACGCTTCTCTCAAGTACTGTACGCGGGCCCTGCAGTCAGTCGCTCTCTCACTCAGTCTGGCAGTCCATGTACCCGACTTCAAACATTCATTCATCATTCTTCACTCCCTCGCCCTGCTGCGCCGCATGACTGCCTTGGCTCCTCTTCTCTCTGCTTCCTCTGCCTGCTGAATTCCACTTCTCACTGGCTTACTCCGCCGACTTCCTTCGCCCCCGCCTGCAACTTCTGTCTCACCCTCTCTCCCATGCATGTATGCGCCCGCCCGTTCTGAGGTCACCGTCAAAGCTGGGAATTAGACCACCGCCTGCCCCACGGCCCCTGTGCAGATGCCCGTCCTGCCAACCCGTCACTACATCTAACTAGCAACATCATCACGGACGCCCGCCTGAACGCACATCTCTCCACACTACCACCACAACCACCACTACAAGTCGTTCCACTGCCGCTGCCATGAGCCAGCTGCACATGGACCACGAGCAGCAGCAGCAGCACCCTCACAACCACCACCATCAGGATGCCTTTGACGACCATTCCGCTTGGGCTCAGCCGCACTATGACCATCACCAGCACCAGTCGCCAGTTCAGGACTTCAATGCCTTCAGTTCCTATGCCCCGCTCCCCATGGAGCCCATCTACTCGATGCATCCGCCTCACAATCCCCCCAGGAACACACACCCTCAGCTGCAACCCTTGATCATGCCCCAATGGCCGAGCATGTTGACCAGCCAGTCTACCTATGTGCCTCCCATCTTTCCGTCTGCGCCTCTGCCCATCACCCCAGCTTCAGCAACCCCCGTATCAGCTACTTCTACCCACTCGGGACGAACTTCATCCACACCACGGAAGACGCTCACGGACCAGGATCGCAGGCGAATGTGCCAGTATCACGAGGACCATCCGACCGTAAAGCAAACGGAAATTGGAGCAATGTTCGGCGTGGAAAGAAGGTATACTTGTTCTACTTTGGATTCTTTTCGGAATGCATGCTAACTATTGTCGTCTAGTACCGTATCCAAAGTGTTGCGTCAAAAGGAGAAGTACTTGTATCAGGATGACGGCAGCCGGTCACCCATCAGAAAGTCCAAAGGCAAATTCCCCGACATTGAACGAGCACTCGCAAACTGGGCTAGGAATCACGAGAGGAAGGGCTATCCGCTTAGTGACGCTCTCATCAAGGAGAAGGCCCGATTTTTCGCAACCACCGTGGGCAACAACGAAAGTCACGTCAAGACGAGCAGCACCAGCTGGTTGGAAAAGTTTAAGCAAAAGAACAACTTGATGGGCGCAAAGTCTAGAAAGAGCTCCATCGCGGAGGAGTCCGAACCCGCATCGAACCCGCCGTCCAACGTGCATACGCCAGGCGCCATCTCTCCCACTTCCCCGAGCGGGGTCGCTTCACCCGCCGTTTCAGCTAAACAAAGCAAAGAAGACCTCAAGAGAGATAGCCCAGATGTTCAGGACTTCGCAGACCATCGTAAGCCTTTCCACTCTCAGAGCAACACGTCTCTGTCCAGCGTCTTCACCGATACGGCCCCTTCGTCGTTTTCCGCCGGCCCTACCAGCCCCACTTCACTATCTTCACCGTTCTTTACGCCAGACTCTGCGTGCGGCCCAAACCCGTTCATGAACAGCCAGCAAGCTAGAGGTCAGCCAGGCAGTGGCAATTTCCAGAGGCCGCGAAGCCAGACGTTCCCTTTGCTGGTCGGGGTCGAACAGTACATGTCACCGCCCGCATCATCCGAAGCCCTTACGCCCAAGTACAATGGAACTACGACCCTCGATTCCCCCATGGACGAAATGCAGCCTTCGTTGGCTACCATCGAGGAGGCCATGCAGGTTTCTCCCACCATGGTGACAAGTGCCATGCAGCCACCGCCTGTCCCCGTGTCTTCGATGCTACCATCGAACCTATCACTCAGCACGTCCATGACAGAAAGCTTGTCACCAGGCTCACCCTCGCACGATGACGCTGCTCGTGCCTTGGACCTCGTATGGACGTTTTTCCAGCAACGCCGCGAGGACTTCTCCGTCGAGCCCCAAGAGTTCCTCGCCATTGGTAAGCTCATGGAGAAGATCAAGATCAAGCGCAGCTCCGAGAGCCTACCGTCCGGCATGCGTCGTGCGTCCGAACCCCAATTCGGCACGATTGACAAGATTGAAAGTCTGGATATGCTACACTAGTGCCACTCTGGGCTCACATTTGGGAGGTATCTTGTCGTTATTCATCTTCCTTCGCTTCTACATTCGGGGACCCTGCACAGCACAATGACGCACAACGACTCGGCCCGTTTACGGCGCATCCGCCGCTTATTATCTCAGCACACCGTTCCCGGTGTTTATACCACGGAGTACATTGGAAATTGTATGATCTGGCCACTACGAGGTCCAAACAAGATGATTTATGGGTGCCCCTCAGCTTCCAGGTCCGGATCTTGGGGGTTTTCCTATCTGATCGAGCGATTCAGCATATTAGCATCACTAGCATGGGCATCACATTTCCTTTTGTTGATGGGACCGATGTTTTCCTTGTCTTTATTTCCTTTTCTTTTTTCTACGTGTATTGAATATTCTTTTCCACATATATGCGACGGCCTATCCTTTTGTCTATACCCCTTCTCGGCACGTCTCAGCAGCACTTATCTTATCATCCTTCGTTCCTTCCTCTTCCACAAACCACGGGTTCGGCAAACACCAATCTCGCGACCGCAAACCAAAAAGACTGTAACCGCTCGCGCGGGCTATTATATTTGTTATTTACAGCAGAATACGTTTTATCTTCTTTAAATTAATCTATATTCCGAACATATATATGTATATCCGTCCACTCCGTTTGAAGTCCCATTGGTCGGCTTTATTGTTTCTTTCTGCATAAGAGAAAAGCAAAAGCAAGCAAGCAAGCAATTGCTCATTCGGGCTAATATGATGTGTGTGTGTGCATCCCCGCCGTGTGCAATGAGACACAATGAAGACGATGAAATTACACGGGACTGATAGATGGACGGATGCGCAAGGATTCGCACAAGGCAAGAAAACACGAAATCACCCCCCCCATACCCTCGCACTTAGCGGTGTGGTGGTATAGGACGAGATAGGCAAGATGGAGCTAGGGGCTGCGCTTCGCTTGGACTTTCTCCCCGATCGAGCGATTATTTGGGGGTGAAGGGGGGGTGGGGAGAGTCCAATCGTCTCCTTGACTCCGAGCTCTGCAGTCTACTTTGGATCATTCCTTTTTTCTTTGCTTTTTTTTTCTCCGCTCCCCCTATACTGGGGCTGTTTCAGTTTTTTGTTTCTTTTGCTTTCGCTTTTTGATGCTTGTTGCGGTTGTTGCGGTACCATTCTCTCCCCCGTTGCTTAGAAGGATTCTGCTATGAGCAATGGGGGCTGGTTGGTTTGGAATTAAAGTTTTGGGGGAGAGGTACGCACGAACGCACTGGCCGATCGGCCGACTACGGTACCCTACGTGGTAGTTTCCGTTCTTTGGGCAAAGAGGATGAAGCGTGGAGCGGAATAGGTATAGGAACATGTATTGGATGGCTGGAGGGATGTTGGGTGAGGCGGGCGGGGAGATCGACAAGCGAAACCAAGACGAAAGGACCCCCGAAAACAGGGCGGGAATACATACATTACATGGCTCGGAAAAGACGAAAAGGCAGGAGAGAGCACGATGCATCGGATGATGCTCACTAGGTCTCTTTACTCGCGCTTCTTGTATAAGATATCATCTGCCCCTTTTGGGTGTTATACGGCGCGTTATCGTTTATTAAATTAAATATACTGCGCTGTCTGTGTACACACGCCAGATAGCAATGGCCCTGACAGGAAGGAGGACCAGACGAGGGTACGTACCGTGTACAGGAGGATTCTGGGGGAGGAAGGAAGCGGGTAAAACGGAACTGTCCGAGGCTCTAGGAATTATAGTCCCTTTTCTTTCTCTTCAAACTCCCTCACTCCCAAGGTTCTCTTCTACTCTTTCACTTCCTCTCTTCGTTCTTCTCAATCTTCAATCTACTGGAATCTTGTATGATTAAGCAGATTGGGGGGAGAAGGGGAGGGTTTGGTTTGTTCAGGCCTCCCGTTCGGCATCGCCCGGCCCCCATTCCTCCATTCCATCCTTCCTTTCCCAAGAAAATATTAAATAAAATATAATAAAATTAAAGCGAAAAAGAATTCATGATGAAAAAAACATCCTAGTGCCGTTTCCACGTCTTTCTTGTATGTGTATGGTGTTGTTGCCCCGTCATCGGAAGATTGGAATACGCACACACCCCTGCTACTGTTCTCTCTCTCCCCGTCCAACCCACTTCGGTCCACAGAATCAACCTCATACCAATCGCCGTCGTCATCGTCATCGTCATCATCATTGAGATTCCAAAGGTCCTTGAATCAATCAACCCTAGGGTGTTAAATTCTGACACACGCGTCAGAGCCCCCGCGCCCAAAACATCAATCTGGCGCACACAGCTGAAGTGAGACAGACAGACAGAGACGGTGGGTTTCTTCCTTGAACATCGGGAAGTGGAGGCGAGAGAGAGAGAGAGAGAGCAAGGGTAGGTAAGTAAGAGGCAGGATTGTTTCTGGTCTGGTCTGCTCGCTCTTCGTGCCGTCGTCACCACCTTGACGCTAAATGCACGCGCTGGGCTAGCCCGGCTTAGTAGCGTTTTTTTGCGCAGGCTGGAGCTGGATTGCACTGGATGATGGATGGATGGCTGGGATGGGAGGCTGGCTGGCTGGCTGGCTGTCAGGTTGGCTTCCCTCAAAGCTAAGCCAAGGCTAGCAGCTTGTCAAATGTGTCAGTCAGTCAGTCATTCAGTCAGCGCGAAACCAAAGGCAATCAACGACCACAAACTCGAACAAGTCGGGCTACGGGCAAGTACCGACATTCTGTTTTTTCACCCTTTCCTTGTTTTCGTCACAGATAGGGCAAAGGAATTGGTTTCGTCTTTTTGAAACTGTACGGGGGATTGAGTTGCGCGCGCGCGCGCCTGTGTGTGTGTGTGTGGTTGGGTTGGGGGTGGGGATGGGTATACGAGGTCGGCGGGCCCATTCGAAGGCCAACTAGCCGACGTGCATGGGGGGAGGTGGTGTTTTTCCCCCTACAGTTCCCGCCCAATCAGGACCACGCGGGAAGACAGCTACGCGCCAGGGAAGAAGGAGAAAAAAAAAATAAAGACAGCGAAAGCGGGGGAGAAGAAGAAAAAAAAGAGAAAGGAAAAGCTTAACAGAATTTCGTTCCAAGGGAAACATACATGCAAGTACGCAGCTTTGGGTAGGGAAGCCTGTTCGTTCGTTTTCTTTGCCCTTGGGTACTGGTACCGGATTAATGTTACGCGAGAGAGAGGGACACGAACTTACCATTTGCTTCGTACATACAGGCTACAATCTTGCTTCTTATTTTTGTTTCTTTTTCTTTCTTACCCTTGATACCCTCTTTGATAAGTGAGGGTGTACGTATAACCGGTAGTTTGAACTATGATAAAAGCATGAATCGGCATCTTCCACCGCGTCATCATCCACAACAACAGCAACAGCAACGAAAAAACAAACCCCTCCTCCCACCTTCCCCGTTTCCACCGTTGCATCGTTTATCAGAAGAAGAAAAAAAGATCTTGATTCGATTAGATTAACCTAGATAGGGTGATGGACGCCCGCGATGATATACTTCTTTTGCTTTCCTTTTTGCTGTTGTTTCCTTTGCATTGACCTTGGCTGCTGCCTTGCCTTGCCCTGCCCTGCCTTTAATTTTCTTTTTACTATAATTTTTATCTCCGTCGTTGTTTTCTTCTTCTCGGTCCGGCCCGTGGTTCGTCTCTGCCCCGCTGCCGCCCATTCATCGTTGACGGATAGATTAGCCAGAGCGAAGCGGAAGAGGAACAAACGTTGCCCCCCCTCCCCCGTTGCAACGCTGTTTTTTTTTCGCTAGGGCAAGGGAAAATTTCCCGGTACATGTTTGGCTTTCTCATCCTTGGCTTGTATTGCTTCCGGGTTGCTTTGCTTTTTTCTTTATCTATTATGTTTATGGGAAAGCCTAGATGGGATGGAGTGAGCGTCATTGATATCGTGACCTCCAACTGCTTAATCGGTGAGTAGAGAAACTCCATGTACAAACTCCAAGTATTCGGCGAAGAAGAATACCATTAGTAACAGCATGATAATTAGCCCATGTCGCATCCAGTCGTGGTGCAGAAATATTTGAGATTGCGCAGAGCAAAATCTAAAGTTTATTACTCTCCCTTCTGCGCGTCCGTCCTCTGGCATAAACTTTCAACATGAGAAAGGTTATCTGATCGGGGGTGATTATTCCCGTCGTTCCACGACTTCTCAACCGTAGTTCACTAGACTACACAGACGTGGTTCCTTAGATCCGGACCACGAAGCCTATTGTATTTTGTTTTTTGTGTTACTTTCGCCGACTGTACAACTAGTGGGGTCGATAGCATCATAGAGCAGCAGCTACACATACATCACGATCTCGATATCGTAGACTTTCTTCTTCCTGTACATGTCAATCCCGCAATACAGAGTGGTACTCCAAGATCGCTAGTCCCTGTGTACTCGCACAGCCGCCCGCACCGTGTACAAGATAGTTGCTTGCGCAAAGCGGCCACAAGAAACGTCCCGGAGCCGGCCATTTCGGCAACGACAGTACCCCCGCCAAATCAAAGAAGGCAAAGAAAATACAAGCGCAAGACAGAACAACATCCAGTAGTTTGACGAAGAAATCACTCCGACACTCTCTGTACTCTGGTATTGTCCTCTTTTTGACGTATTTTGCACTTCTTGGTTGGGCGCACAAGTCCAGAGAGACGTTTCGTCTCGTATTGGCTCGTGTCCCCGCATGCAGTGCGACCTTTGCATAGGTAGACCCGCGCGGGCGTCGCCCGAATCCACGGTTGTAACAGGGGTACTGTCGTCCAACAGCAGCAAGCAGGCACCATCACACAGCATGAGCTGACAGTCACATGACCAGGCTGTGTCAAGCAGGCAAGAGGGGGAAGTACCGACCCCTCTTTTTCGCTTTTTTCTTTTTTCCTTTTTATTTTCGCATTTGTGCTCCCGCCAGCGCGAATCAGCTTCGCGGGATTTATTGCCCCCCCACGTCACCCCTGTGGCGTCAAGAGGACGAGCGACTTGGGTTATGTACTTGGGTGCTTTATTGATTCTGTCTGATCGGTTAGAATCAGGCAGCATTCAATGCGTATCCTTAACGAATCAGGCTTTGTGAGGCGTGTCGGTTTCTTCTTTGAGTGAGCGCATGAGTGAATCCCCCGTGGGAGCCTTGGGGCCTTGTTTTCCCAATGCTTGCTTTGCATGTTGTGATACTCAGTCGACTACTCCTTCTGTACCGTGTGCATCAACCACTTCATGCTAAAACCGAACAGGAACTCTGTGCTGTCCCTTAATTGACATGTTGATGATTGGGGGAACTTCGGGTTTCACCTCAGTCCATAGAAAGAGGGGGAACAGCCTTATCCAGGTCGATTCTCCAGGACATATGATACCAACGTGTAACCTCTTTATTTTTGCAAACCCGCTTTGGGCACTGCACAAAATAATGATATCCTGTCAAGCCTGTCATTCGTTTGCACAGAGTCACCAGTGTGCTACTTCCGCTGTCAGGCCATACAGCAGATATCCATGCATCTGGCCATTGTGACGGCCAACGGGTTCCTTGCATCTCAGCAGCCCTCGAGTATCTCGACACATGTGTCCCTGGACGGGCCGAGCCCGAAATCGGAACGGGAAGGGCGCGGCCGATTCTTGCATCTGAACGGTGAAAAGCCAACTAGGGCAAGCAATCAATCTTGCTTACACACAGTCAATCAGGAATCGGCGCCCTCCTCCATGGCTGGTCGCTTGCTTGCTTATTGCACAACGTCGATTAGGATTATCGAACATGGGCCCGCTGTTAGGAGAAGATACCAAGCTGAGCGGCGAACCCCAAGCCTGGACGCCGTAAGCGAACAGATAAGACCGCCCGACTGCTGCTTTACGTAACTCTGCGAATGGGGGTTCGTGATTACAGCACGACGACGCATTTGCCTTGTAGTGTGCAGAATTAAGGGCAGTCAGTGGGGATGGCCGTGTGAGAGAAAAAAGCCCCTCGGTCCTTCTCCCCATTGGAACATGTTGTCAGGAAGACTACGTTGGAACTTGGAGGCTAGAACGCACATCATCCCAAGCCTGCGAGCACCCATGCGGTCCCAATGTGAACGAAACCCACAGGCGACCACTTGGAGGATCATAAAGGACCCTTCACGCACGCAACGCCTCCCGCATCCCCACACCACGATTCCTTGCAATTCGCGCGAAACGAGAGTGGGCTTCGGCATGCTGCTCTAGCAATTCGGCCATGTCATTGCAACGACTCGCAAGCGACACGGTCAACGTCAACCGCCGCAAGCGTGCCAGGTTTGCGCAAGACAGCCGCTGAAATAGGCCACTTTGAGACACATTTCCACCACGGATATCCCAAGTCATGCCCACTCGACGTAGCTAGTCATGGGGCAGGAGGGGCTAGCCCTGTAAGCACAGACTGGCTCAACGGCCTTTTGACAAGCATCCCCCGTTTGATACACAGGGGCAGAGCTTCAGCCCTGAAAGGGCGAAACGTGGAGAATTAAATTCTTGTTTCCGATCGACAATTAGAAGAGCATCCACAGTGGATTGCCGACCCAACCGCATACTGATTGCGCTGCGATTGCCTCGGGCACAGACTTGCAGCGAGCCCAGGCCGTGGCCAGCATCAGGTCATTGCACCAAAAGGACAGCGTCCACGATGGATTGTATCAATTCTTATCAAGCAGTTTATAGCCGGTACAGGATGCGTTTTCCGGACATGTCCTCTGGGCTGTGGCGGTGGACCCTTGATGTATTTCTTCCAAGGTAGACTACAGCTAGCTTCGGCAGTGGTGAAGGTTATAAATGGACACAACATGTGCTCGGTCGTTTGCATTAGCTGGAATTATGCAAAAAAGCGCCGATGACATGTTATCGTATTCTGGTGCATGACCATTCGCGTTTTTTCGGATCTTTGGTCTTAGCATGCGTGAGCCATGCCAGAAGCGGGGTACCAAACAACAATTTCGCAATTGAAGCGCTAGGCCAGCCCCCACTTCGCTTCGCTGCTAAATCCATCTTTCAAACTTTAAATCGTTCGTTGACGGCATGCTGCCCTGGCCGGTTGCATTGCCGCAGGATGCAAGCAGGATGGGCGCACCGCCGTCAATTACGGAAGGTATGCGCGATGCTGTTCTTGAGGCTGCTGCTGCTGCTGCAGAGCGAGGCATGGGAGGTTGCAATGTCACTTTGCAATGCTCGGAGCATCAGACGAGTGCCAGCAGTCAACGATGCAAGCCGCGGTCCGCTGTGGGACGCTTGGGCCTGGGCGGATGCTCGCATGGCCGTTGCAGAGCGGAGACTGGCCTCGTGGAACTCTGGAACGCTAATCCACAACGTTGCGGGAGTTTAATTGCACCTTTTGGCCGCCTGATACTCGACGTTCTTTGGCTGCTGGCCCGGCAGTTGCATAGCAGCCTAGGTCGGAGATGCCCACCCGCCACGATTGAAGGCCACGATAGAGGGACTGCGGCTGAGCACATGCTGCCGAGATAGGGCCTTCCGCTGATACGACCATCTCCAGACGTTGGCGAAGACGTGGTGAGTGTGCACACTTTGCTCCAAGCGTTCTGATCTATATCCGCATCGCGTCATTGCTCCTAGCTTGCCTTACTCACATGAACATGAGTAGGGTCGCTCATCTGAGTACACCGCAAGACCCGGGCCTGACCCGCTTCTTCGTCCATGAGTGTACCGGGCCATGATTGGCTGCATCCTGATAGTGCGCCGCCGCAGTGCTGCTTTTCATCCGGAACCAGGGTCAGCGCCGGCTGCCATCGCGACAATGACTTGCGGTGTAGTACACCCTCACGCGGTGGAGAAGGAATTTCCAACATGTCCCTTCGTATCCTTGTTTCTCACTTCAAACCCGCGGACTCAAGTCGCAACTGTTTCAGGAGAAGAAGGAGTAAGCTCCATTTGGTGCAGTCAGGTGCTCACGACAAGATGCAGTCGACAATAAATCAGGATCGTACATGCGCGATGCGTTGTCCATGATCCATTTTTCTCATTGGCCACCACCCCTCAGCATCGGACTCATTGGGCTCAATCGCTCGACCATAAACGCTGGGGGGTTGCACAACTTTCATCTAAGACGGTTGCTAACGACGCGGGGCATGTTGCGCAGATGCTCGCACCGGATCCCGCTCCAAATCTGTGGGCGATAAGGCAGGTCACCAAACAGGTACCCTTCGCCTTGACAGCTGTTGAGCGTGCATGTGTGAGGGGGGCGGTGAGAAGCATGCGCGAAGCTCAGGTCAGGTCGCGATGCAGCTACAATCTGGCTGTCGGACGTCGTCTTCCATAATAGGCAACATGGCCTTAATCAATTTGTCCATCCATGAAGCATCCATAGACACAGCATCAATATACTGGCATGGAAACCATCTGGATGCGCCTGCTGCCCTCTCCCTACCCTAACCGATCCTCCATCAGTTCCCGCACCCCCCTTTCCCCCAATTCCGGGACCAATCGCAGCACAATAAGCTCTACAATCGCAAAAACGAGATGTTTGTTGAGGTAGGCATCATCGAGACAATCCAGTAACTCCTCGGTTTGCCGGAGCTGTTCTAGAGGGCTTGAGCTTGCGAAGAAAGTTGCCGCTAGTTTCGGTGGCAACAGCTGGAGCAATGCGGCAGCGCATTTGGTCTTGATTTGCTTCGCTTCCTCTGCAGAAGGAATCTGTCGAGGTGGCCCAAGTGTGTTGTTGGGGAAAAGAGTTGCACGGAGGGTGCGGAGCACAATAGGGAGAAAGGCGGGGTTCAGGACTCGCATATGCAACGTGTGAGATAGGAATCTGGACAAAAACCGTTAGTCGCGCGAAAAATCAGTAAAATGGTGGCTTCCTGATTGGCCCAGCCCGCTGCAAAAATGCAGGCATCCATCCCGATGATAGGGCGAATCCGCGGGATGTAGTCAGACGACAATTCCAAAGTGGCCAGAATTTCGGTATGCCCTGTTCGTGAAGGAATCAATGGCAAAGCCCGTCAGATACCTGCGTCCACACGCATTACCCGGATGACAACTCCTCTCAACCAATGCCCCAACAGGCCGAGAGGCAAGCGTAGCCCCAACATTGGGCATACGAAAATACGGGGGTGGCGCCTTCTCCATCGTCAAAGACATCACGATGTGCAACAGGAGGCGCTGGCCATGGTCGTGACCGACCCCCTAGGCTCGATGATCCCGATGATCCACAGAGACCCTGGGGGTAGTGGATCGTTGCACTATTGCTTTGCGCAATGCCATACGTGGTTGACTGCAACAATATAACCACAAAAGAATTTGTCTCACCGACCGTATTGATGGTGATTGTCCAGAAAGAATGAGGCGCACCATGGATGGTGTCCCGTCATCGGATGGCGGGCCTAGAGCTACGGATAGCTTGCTTACGCGCCCGGCTGTTTTGCATAGCGTCGTTATGGTATACGACCACTGGATGCGTTTCGAGGCAGGAACCCTGCTTCAATTCTCGTGTCGCAGAGTGCGAACGCCATGTGCGACCTCGACTATTGCCTGCCACTACAACAGCAGACTCGAGCAGCGTACTGGGGCAGTTGCAAATCGCGAAGGGAAGAGGCGGGTGTTGTGCCAAGCACAGGGCTAGCACGAGATGCGTCGAGTTGCCGCCGTGTCCAAGCGGGTGCCGGGGTCTGCAGTAATGAATGCATGCCGGCACGGGTGACTCTGTGTGAGAATCTACGGGCCGTGGCATTGGCTGGCGCCAAAGTCAAGTGACTGAAAGCTCATGCGGGCGTCCTGCAACCGAAAAACGGGATGCCGCACTGACGGAATATCCTTGGTGCTGGCGGCCAACCAGGAAAAGCAGACAATATACGAAAACATCATCCCAACTTACCTGTCCAATACGCCGTTGGTGTCGCCCACCCTTCCAGGACCAGCCAACGTCCAATAATGCAGCATTGATAGTAGTCCCGAGACCCAAGGCATACGGATGTCCAATTCAATTAGCTGTGACGCAAAGCTCCACACTTTCATGCTGACAATCGGTCGCTTTGCGTCGGCATGTTGTTTTTTTTCGTCCGAATGTGCTTTTACTCGATGGGATTCGTGGTCGTCTTCGACCGATGATGGGCCTTCGATCCCTGCAACAGATCTTCGTGGCAAAGCTGATGATGTCGCCATGGTTGTGATGATGGCGCGCATCGCCGTACCCGCCATAAAGATGTATAGGACAGCTGTCCAGAACAGGTTTGAGACCGATATATTTGCGGGGGTAATTGCACAGTCCTGAGAGTCGACCAGTAACGATGTAGAGGACTCGTCGCCGCTTTGCTGCTCTGTCGTGGATGCAAGAAGCCCATAACGTTGAAGGCGGGTTAATGGCTTCTCATCGTGCGCGTCATCCAATTCCGAACCTTTTGGTTTTTCATGATCGGTCTGTAGGACTTCAGCTATTCTCGTAATACCCTCCCAAAGCAACCACCCTTCGCAGGCTTTACCACTAATGCCGTTTCCGAGTATCATCTCCGCGAAAACCTCGGCGACTAAAGACCGTAGACACGCATTCTCCAAGTCTTCGGTTGGCAAGAGAGTCACCAATACCCCCTGGACAAGGAGCTGGCGCCAGGCAGACTCATTCTCCCGCTGCTCAACGACACTGGACGACACCAAATCGCTTGGGACGGGTGAAAGAGCAGGATGTGGACGAAGCGTGTGATAGACAGTGCGAGGATCAGAAACAAGTGAATGGGGATCAGAAGCCTGCTGTTTGGCTAGGCGAAAAGCTTTCCGTTGAGAATGTGATTAGATTGTATACATGCACGAAGCCGGTATGCAGGAGAACCTACTGTGGAGGTGAGCTTCGATCAGTTCGGGTATTTCGTCAAGAAGCAATGCCTCTAGGTCGACTTTGCGGAGGCGCTGCTCTAACCCTCTGGTGCAATGTGCAATAATTTGGATCACTTCATCGACGAATACGTGGTCGGGCGTGATTTTCGAGTACCATGACTGTACGAACTCTTTGATAATGACTGCAATGATGGCGTAGAGTTGAAGGTCAATTTCGTTGGAACTGGTCAAAGGCGGGAGCACATCTTCGATTGGACGCGGAGTGTTGCGTCCTTTTTCGCCATTGCCCAACAATATATCGTGGGAACATAAAACGCGGCGGACGAACGCTGCCGTCGCCCTGTCTGATGCAGTGTCAGTATGCCTGGGTTGTTTGGCATCGGCCTGCGGGGCGTTTGTTGACTGTGGCTGCTGCGATTGCTCTTGCCGAGTACTGTGGTCATGCAACGTCGATTCCATCATTGCTGTTTGGTATTTATCATCATCACGACCACGATCAGACTATGCTGCAGGGCAAGTGTTGGTGTTGTGGGAGTAGTAGGTCATGACGACGTCTGATCGGAGCGGAACTAGTGCGGATCCGGGCTTGGCATCGGCTTCAACTCTGAGGCTCAAACTTCCGACCTCACAACCAACAGCATTCACACCAGTCGACATTCAACCACGCTAAAAAAAAAAATGGCTCCCCAAAATTCGAGTAGGGCAATCTCACTTCATGAATGAGTAGGTTCTGACAGATGATCAAGGTCCTGTTGCAGCTGTCGAGGCCCAGTTGAAGGCCATCGTTCAGAACCTCTATGTCCTCATAGTCCAGGTAGTGGACCATGCTGGCGCATCAACGCAGAATGCTATGAAAGCAGAAATGTATGTCGTTGTCTTGAGTTACATCTGTGAGTATATTCGGTACTGATGTAGCTCCTCTAGACAGTCTTTGGTGCAAAATATGGTCCGGCTGTCACAAACTGCTCCCTCGGTCAATATCAACATCCCGCCCGAAGTGACTAGCTACGTGGAAGGCTCCCGCAACCCAGATATTTTCACTAGGGAGTTTGTGGAGACTGTGCAACGCATGAACCAAATGCTCAAAGGCCGCACAGAGGCGTACCGTTTGTTGCAAGAAACGCTCGCCAGAGACTTGATCGACGGTATCCCAGACTTGAAAGATGACATTACCAAGACCGTTGAAGCGAGTGGGGGTAAAGTGCCTCCTCCCAAGGCTTCCGCTGCCTGAAGGTAGTGGACCTGACATGGGAAATTGCATATCATACTGCATGTGAAGCGGCGCTCGAGCCCTGTCTGCATATCTCGCAGTTTCCAATTTGGTTGCGATTGGAGATATTGATTTGAGATTTCAGTCATGGGCATCGACCTGGCACGGAAGCACTTCGTAGTGCACACACGTAGCGTCGTGCCACACAATACTTCATCAACTATCTCAGCTTGTACTCGCTGGCAAAGCGGCAATCCAGATTCGATCTTCGACAATCTCGGAAGGAAAAGCCGATCGGAGGGTGGAGCACGAACAGGACGAGGAGGAGTCTAGGCTTGGGGGGATTTCTCGTACCGGCAACAGAACCGGGCACTGTCCTCGCCGTGCCTTGCTTTTACAGCTAGTTCGCACATCACACCTGTTTTATAGCGGCGAATGTCACTACTGCAAGAAATTTCGCACAGTCGTTTGTCGGACATTTGTATAGTGCATGTTGATCTGTGTTTCAGGTCGGGGTTTGCGACAAGGATGCCGACTTTTCTTCCGCGGGACCGCTACACTAAAATATCGACAATGAAAAGAAAATCAACTGCACGATTCGGTCTCACTATTATGCAAATGTTTTCAAAACAGCGGCGATCTCCCCGTTGACACCCGACAGGCATAGCCCGGGCATACGAGATACGGACTTGCATTGTACCCTGAACGCATCATCCGATTGTGTTGAGTCGTTGAAGAAATCCTGCGTAAGCCTGATCCTATCTTTGCGCACGGATTGAGCTGCAAATGCTTGAAGCCTGGCAGAGAATCCCCTATCACAATAATAGCAGGGTGTCAATCAATATTATGGCTGACGCTGTGCCATCAATGGCAGTAATCCCCTTCCTGCCTCGGCATGAGGAATGAGGAATGCGGAATATCAAATCTTGATGTTTCAAGCAGCTATGCGAAATCCCAATCTGGCCAGTGGTGCCGTGCAAAGACACCCAATCCGTATCTCTCAGCACTCGGACGCCTCAAAGGATGGAGCGGAGCTGAGCCCTGCACCATTTCGGGCTTGCCGACCGTTTCTTCGACGCCTCAGCTTGGTCTACTACTCTGCATATTCATGTTCCTGAACCATGCCTCCTTTGGGGATCCCATAGTCTCCAACGTCGTATCCTTTTCCCCTGTCCGTTTCGTCCGCGAATGCAAGAAAATCAGGGACGTCGATCCCTTACTCATACCCACTGCCGCGCAAATCTTGTTTCGCCTGCATGCAGCAGACAAAAACCCTGGAGTATTCCAATCTGGCAAGTACATCTCGCCGCGGACTCGAGACGACGCGCATCGACGGTCCTTTACACGGCGAATACATCATTGTCTTGACACATTCGATTCTTCATTTCTTTACCAAATCTAGTGTTACCCCGCCTGGGGTTTCATGGCGATCTTTGTACATCATACATCATGCCACAATTATATTAGAGTTGGATTAAAGTCGGGGTTCGAGTAAATTGGACGTGTTGATGATCCAGGTTCACCGCGGTCGATATTCGGCCTAATGAGTCGCAGCTAAGACAGCCGGATATGGATGAAGCAAAAGGATTCAATTCCTCTGTTTGCTTGAAGGAACAAGGGAGAACGGTGGCAACGAGAGAAGAATCAATACTTCGAGAATTGCGGCAGGTTTCCCCCTTTTCTGTGGTAAAGAAAGGAAGAGAGAGAAAGGGGTGGGTGAGACCATTGTCGATTCCCAACCCTTCCTTTCCAACCCCATTTGAAGTCTCGACTGTCGAGACCTTTTCCGTATACGTCTTTGTATTGGCCCTTATCCGTGTTGGGATCATTATATCGAAGTACGAGTTCCAATTTCTTCTTATTGATGGTAAATCAGATGCAAACATTGGCTATCATCACCTTCATATCAATATGCGCCTTCGAAGCGTGTCCATGGTATACATACATATCATACATCTACTACTTTTTATTTTGTTTATTTTGAGGTGGAGTTTAGGTGATCCTACACACAGCGATGGGTTTACAGCGATAAAATAGACCAAAAGAACGAGCGATAACCAAAAAAAAAACAGACAAGTTTTGCCTTCACACAAGCTTTTGATACATCTACTACCGTGATATGTGTTTACCCTTCTTTGTTCTTTTTTTTTTTTAAAAAAAATAAGAGGACGACAAATGTATTCCGTCAACATCTTGCCCCCTCTTCCCCGTCAAGTCACAGTCTCGACGTTCCCGCTCCAACCCCCTTCTCCCCTAAAAGAAAAAAAAAATAGCAGCAGAAGAAGGAACTACAAAGAAAGGGAACACAGCGGTTTCTTGCTGGACATGAATAATAGGCAGTAAATAGCCCGCCATACACACACAACGAAACACATAATAATAGACCGACGCCGCTGTACTCTCGGAGAAAAGAAGAGAAAAAAAAGGGGGAGAAAAGAAGAGCGGGGGATTAGAGCAATGAAAAGACCACGTCAATTCTCACATATCTGATTTGATTTTAACTGGACTGGCATATGTGGGCATGTGTAGTTCTGTCCCGCGCCGCATCCATACTTGGCTTTGGTTTTGTAGATTTTTGTTTTCTTTCTTGCTTTCACCGCGCAAACGACGGGATTGAAGTCGCTCAATTTCCATGGACACGTGTATACGCATACGTACCTTTACTTAGTCAAAGGGGGGAGGGGAGAGGGAGGGGGAGAGAAACCATCACTTCTTGTCCTGCTAAACTGACCGTGTGATTACGATTGCGATACGTGGTTCTGACTTCTTATTCAGAAACGAAAGGCGAGGAAACGTCAACAAGAGTAGAGTATGTACGGTCATCAAGCCAATCACAGAGTAAGAATGGGAAACGGATTCAAGAGGGGGGTTTTTTTTTTGCATATATTTCTTTTATTTTCTTCATCAACGGGGTAACCACTGAATTTTCAGGGCCCGGGATATCCAATATGCTCTCTGTCGTCATCAACAATACGTCCGTATCTGATTTGATAGAATGTCAGTCTAATCAGCGTTGTAAAGAAAACAAGGGGGAAGGGAAGGAACACTCACTCAAGCAAAAGTCGAAAGAACCAAGCCTCGAAATCCACATTTCTTAGTACTTTGCCCGCCCACTCTCGACTCCGTTCGGCGATTTCCCTCGCTTTGCGCTCCCCTTCGCTATCTCCGTTGCCACCCTTGTTCCCAGCCTGCTTCGTCTGTTGCTGCTTGCTCTGCGCAGGCGTCTTAAGTCTTTTGGCCTCGGTTTCACCGCCAGCGAACCACTGCACCAGATCGAGATGCTCATCACCATGCAGGCTGAGTGGCACGTAGTGCACCCACGGTTTGAGCCACTCCTGATGCCATTCCCGGAAGACGGCCATCTTGTAAACCAAGCTTTTGCTCTTCAGGAAACTGTAGAAACGCCCCGAAAATGCGTTCCCGTCCATATCCAATAGATGTTTATAGTACCATGCGTCCTGACCGTCGACTCGCTCTGTCACTTTGAAGAACTCGTTCTGCGCATCGCAGTCGCCTGGATCGCACTGTCCGATGTGGGAGAATTTGACGTCCACTAATGAGTCGTAGTCGCGGCGCTCCACGGTCTGTATAGCGTATGCAGTCTTGGCTGATCTGTCGGACAAATCAGGCACGAGTATCTTTGCTTTATCTGGTGCATTAAGACGCCGCACCACGCGTTGTCGATGTTGACGTCTCCAGCCTCCATTCCTGCTGAAGCCTCCCGTGGTAGACCCCCGCCAGTAGAGGCTGTTTGTCTTGTTCTCCCACATGGTATCTCGGTGTTCATCATAACCAACTTTGCCGACGTAATACCAAGGACTTGGGAAGAGAATGTCCTGAAAACTGGAAATCTTGGATTGGGAGAAGATTGGCGTGAGCTCATGAATGATATTGAAGGCATTTGGCCTTTCAAAAAAGCCAAATGTTGAGGAGAGCGAAGGCGAGTTGCAGATGTCGGAGAATGCTGTTTGGTTGTATACATATCCCAAAGCACCTGCCGCGTATGCCGTCATATTGTCTGGGACTTGGTCTTCAAACTGCTGCGACTGGGTGTTTGCGGGGCAGGACAAACGCGCATGGGTCCATGTTTGCTGATGAGCAAAACGATTGAAGCGGGTGTTACTCGACTCTTCGAAGCGTTTGCCATCGTTGACATCGGACGGACGCGATGAGAAGGAATTCCTAGGTGAGGTGTTCTTGCCGACCGTGGGCAGAACCATGTCTCGAGCCGCAGCTATCATGGCTGATAACTGATCGTTGGGGACCACAACTCGTGGTTCGTCATGGATGTTGAAGCCAAGATCCATGTCCGGAAGATATTTGACAAAACTGTCCAACATGGCTACCGTTGCCTCCTGCTGCCAACTGGGACCGCCCTCGACTTTAACTACTGCGCCGCCTCTTATCATGATTCCCAACAATGCACTGTCTTCATGGCCTAACGCGTATTTGATGCGCGCGCGAATGGTCGAAGGTTTAACGGCCCAGAAAGGAAGTAGAGACTGAGTGATGGAGTCGAACTCGTCGATGAGCACCACCCCGTTTCTTGCGGCGAATTCGTACCATTTGTCAAAATGAGGTGGAGGTGCAATGCCATTTCGCAAACGGTAGTTCTGCACAGCGTCACCTAACGATTTGGATTGCGCGTCGATAAGTTTGTCAAAGTTTTGTTCGGCATTCCTAATCAGCTGTGAAGCACCGTGACCCTTTTTCCAATCCATCGGTATGGGCTGCAACGGGTCTTGAGGCGGTATCGTGTCGAATGAAAATTGACCGTCTGATGTAGTCGACACTGTGAATCTAGGTGTACCGAAGGCATGCCGCGCAGATATGATTCCTACAGACAGAATTGTGGTCGCAACAATGAGTCGTTTATAGCGGATGGAAGTCCGAATATCGACGGTGGAAGCGGGAGCCGACGAGGCACTAGTCAAAAACATGAAAGACGAGACGTAAAGAATAGTGAACCATAGACCAGACATCGACGTTGCGAGGCTCAGACTGGCGCCTATGTACGAGCACACGGAAATGAAAGAAGTGAATACTGGCCCTTCCTGTATGATCTGCAGTATGCCGTTAGCTATGAACGTATGATAGAATTACTGAGACCGGGAATATTCATCAGATGCTGTCGAAGCGTACCAAAATATAGGTCAATGAGTGGACAATGATGTTCACACATACCATGGACACCACTTGTTGTATTGTCCGATGATAATGAAGGGCCTTCCAACCGCCCGGCCCTTGCGGTACCCCGCGTATTTCAGGTTCCCATGCAATGTGTCGAGGAGTTATACGAGGCTCGAAAACGGAAGCGCCTATTCCGCATGCTACAGCTAGGATCGCTGCAACATCCCGAAGAACAACAAGACTCTGGTTCCACTGCTGCCTGCTGTTCAAAGGAGACGAATTAGTGTCCTTGTTCGCACCATTCCCAATCTTAGCATCTCCCATATCACCGCTTATCGATTTCAACGAGGTATAGAACAGGACCAGACCGGTCGCGGCGAAGATCACGCTGCTTATACCAAGAGCGGAGGTCGAAGGGATGGCAAATATTGTTGACAGCACGACGCTTGCGGAGACGGTAGCGGAAAGCAGGACCAAAAACGATCTTGAGAATCTCTTCTGCTCCGGGGAGGGAGGGTTGAGGGCAGACTCATGTTTGGGCAGAACCGTAAGCTTCGAGAGCAATTCATTTTCCGAGAGTATGGTGATAAACAAAGGAAGTAGACCCTAGTATATCAGTCAGTCCACAGCGACATGCAATCACTCTTCCAGGCTCTCCCAATACCTTTGTGGACCATATGCCTTCCTTGTCACAGGCAGCGCTTTCACAAATCTGCGCCAGAGCTAAAAAGCCCCCAGCTAGCCATGCCTCTCTTCTCTTCCCTTCACTCGCCAGCGAGATTCCCGCCCATGGAAGCGTGCACAAACAAACAATCCCCCACGAAACGGCGGCCACGAGGAGCTGGTGTTGAACGGGGGCATGCGAGTTGGCTATCTTCGCGAAGAAGACGTACAGTGCCGGGATGATGTAGCCCTGGTATTTGCGCGCATTGTCCACGATGGAGAGAACCGCCGGGTGCATTGGAGCAACTAAAGGCTATCGTACGTCGGCGGGCATCGGTGACGGTTTTGGTTGTCCCTCTGATTAGACATGGAGTCGACTTTCAGGAACAGGCAATAGCGATCGGTACCGGGATAGGGGCCCTGGAAGCGGCCTTGGCGCGTACCGGCTATCTGAGAGTAGCATAGCTTACCGGCGGCACTGCCTGTCGACAACAACTTTGATGACCCGTCACGACATTCATCTCCAGACGATGCACCAACAGAAAGTATGAAACTATATCGATTCAATCACATATGTAAAAGTATGGATAGCTATTGCCAATGCGTCTGGGTTTCCCCTTCAGCGCGTCGACAGATAACAGCAATCAATGCAGTACAATAGGAATCTCAGGCCAAAAAACAACCAGCCCTGCGCCGACCCTTCGCATACAAAACAAACGCCATTGATATGCCATAAAGATAGATCCAGAACCAGCTCGATTGTCGAGACTTGGTACCAAGTGACTCCTTCTACTTGAATTCCCAGGCGGGTAAAGCACCACCCCTGACACTCTCGAGCTTCAAACACTGGTACGGGCTGCTCTGAGGATCATAATACAGGCCATCCAACCGGCCATCGCTACGTCTTAGACAAACGTAGTAAAATCCGCTGATTGTGAGTCCGCACCCCGAGTCATCGAACATTCCGTGTTCGGTATCCCCAGCCCCAACGGTCCAGGAAGGCTGCGGGGGGTCCGAGGGTGCGGGCAATGGATCGGAATCTGACTCCATCACTTGATCGAGCGCAGGCGAGTCGACACTGGGGGGTTTGTATGGCTTCACAAAGCAACGTTCTTTCCAGCGCATCAAGATCCATTCTTTGCTGAGGACATCTTCGAACCATCGAATGCTCGATAGGTTATGCCTCAATTCTGCATCCGAGTAGATTTCGAAGGGAGGCAGCTTACTCCAATAAGTTGCGTCGTTGTGAGCAGTGGACTGGAACGATTCGGTGAGGAGCGTGTGTGTATTGAAGTCTAATATCTCGCCTTCGAGATATGTGGTTATGGAAGAAGTGCGTGTAAAAGACGCATTGCCTTCACCCGTTGCAGCGAGCAAGGATTGGTGTTGATGTGGGTGGGAGGGCACATTGTACGCTTCCATGGTGGCGGAGAGAGACATTTGCTCATAGTCAACGGAATGTATTGTGACCTTGACCGGCCATCGGTCTTGCTGGGGGTTGTTTGATGTCGCTGTTTGGCGCGGCGGCTGACCGCGTCCGGGTCTGTAATCGTGGGGCCGACGTACGCGCACCATGGAACTTGATATAGCCGGACGCCCCCTTCTTGCATACATTCTTCTTCCAGTTGTATTAACCACGATCGAAGGGACGTCGTCCGTCGTCGCATGTCTTCTTCCATTTGTATCAACCGTGATCGAAGGGACGTCGTCCGTCGTCGCATGTCTTCTTCCATTTGTATCAACCGTGATCGAAGGGACGTCGTCCGTCGTCGCATGTCTTCTTCCATTTGTATCAACCGTGATCGAAGGGACGTCGTCCGTCGTCGCATGTCTTCTTCCATTTGTATCAACCGTGATCGAAGGGACGTCGTCCGTCGTCGCATGTCTTCTTCCATTTGTATTAACCGTGATCGAAGGGACGTCCGTCGTCGCATGTTGGCAGCCCGACAGGACTGCACCGGGTGCTAACCAGGAGCTGTATGTCGGTGACGGTAATTGATGAGGCATCACAACGAAATCGTGGCGATCGTTGTTAAATTCCTTTTTCTTTGCTTTCAAGCCCAAATCAATCGCATGGTTCAGGCTGTCGTCCAGACAGTTGGAGTACCTTATCCGCGACAGATATTTGATGGTGTTTTCCATCATGGTAGAGCCCGTGGATGCTGTATCCGTGTTGCGCTCGAGATGGCGCCTATGGTACGAGTCGACTCGGGCACGCATGTCGCGAAGCCGCGCTTGATCCCGAGCTTGATCCTGAGCTTGATCCTGTTCTTGCGACGTTGGCCTCTCGGTCATTGCAGGTGGCCCCAGACGTTCAGCCCCTTGTTCTCGTTCTCGATCCCGAGCATCTCGTTCGGCCCGGTACCTGGCAATCCTCGAAGACCTGGTGAAAGGCCTCAGCTGGGGAGATTCGAGTCTGTAGGCATCCTGGCGTGCTAGCCTCCGCATATTCTCTAGAGTGTCCGGAGACCTTAGACGGCCGGCGGTCGACCGTGAATGCGTGGTCCGAGTTAGAACCAGTGGCTCTGCTCGATTCCCCCTCTCGTGGTTATACTGGAATCTCGCCATCACACGCAATATATTGGGATGGGTATCTGGATAGTCACGGCGCACTCCAGAAAGGATATGGACAAGTTCTTCTTGGGAGACGTCGTCGTTGTCGGCGGGCCGGCTGGCAGGTGACCAGTCGTACAGACGGTTCTGGCTAGGGACTCGGTCTCCGTAGGGTGCTTCGATTTGCGAGTCGCCCGGTAAGCGGCTAAGGCTATCCAGCACTTGTCGCAGGTGGTTGGCGCGGTTCCGTTCAAGTCTCTCCGGTTCTTCCTGTCGTCTTAAAGCGCGTCGAGCAATGAAACTGCCATGCCGCACTCCCACAGTCGGAGTGGGTCGCACGTGGCGGTGGTCGCCAGGGTTGATGAGGGTGTTGGCCAAAAGAGATGTGTTTGATGTTACGGGACTCTCAAGCGCGTCGGAAAGGGTCGAGATGTACGAAGGCGGCGTGCGAGGTCTCTCGCTCGGGTCCTGTGAAGCAGACTCGAGTCAGTAAGTGTATGTACCTAGGCAGTGGGCTCCCTTCAACATCATGTGGTCGGGTTGCGCGCGTGGGAACAAAGCGAGTGTTGCACAGCAGGACAGGGCGGCAGGACGTACAGCAGGAGGGTTGGGCGGCATGGTGCAGAGACACGGGGCTGGCGAGGGCCAGGAGGAGGGCTACAGTCGCTGCTATCTTGCCGGGAAGGGCGCGATGGGTATCGTCGAGTGAGTGAGTAAGTGGTGGGAAGTGGAGCGGGCGGTCGATGTGGCAAAAGGACAGGACGAGAGTGGTGGTGGAGGACTTGTCGGGAAGCGGGAAGGCTGCGGCAGGAGTGAAAAAGGAGTGGGTGTTGGGGCAACCAGGAAGACGGGGGAAGACGAGCGAGTGAGTAAGTCAGTGCGTGCTAACTAAGGCTAAGTGGTGCTTTCGTCACCGTACCAAGATTGATGTTGGTGAGGAGCAGCCCCAACGAACATGAGGAAGAAGCACACAAAGAACGGACAGAGCGAACCTCGGTTCTGAGCAGAGCGGCAAAATACATATATATGGAATATGTATACCGGCATAAGCATCTGGTCGGCAGACAAGCAACAAAGGCGTGGCCAGGAGTGTGAAACAGAGTTGGGTGGTGCGCCGTATCACAGTCCGCAGCCAGCCAGCCCGCGCAATTCCTTCCCCAGACGCCCAAAAGCGCGGTACTGGCGTCAGTTCCATGGCCGTGGATGCACCGCTGTTCGCATGCCACGTTTCTAATTTCTAACAACACGAGTAACAATTTTCATCATCATCGTCAGCAAGTTATGCATGCGCTCCATGTTTGTCTCGTGTTCAAAGTGGTTTTTTTTTTCGGATTAACTAATTTATCTGATGGCTAGATCAGTAGATAGAGTGAAGCGTGTTTTCTGCCAGCATCTGATTCGCTCCGCCAGGGAGCGCATCTTCCAAGACACAGTCCTGAAGAGTAGGAGATGGACCTACAGTCCCGGCGCATTCCGGCATCCGAGGAGAGAGTGGGAGGTGGAGAGCATCCGCGCACGGCAGGGTGTATGTTCCGCAAGCAGAAGACCACGCCTGGGAGAAAGGTCGCCGCTGGGGCTTGATCCAGTCTCGGCGGGGACACGTCTCCCTCTCTCCACCTCTCCTCGTCCGCCTTTGTGTGCAGGGACGAAGTAATTGCAGCGGCATACCAGATGCGTGTCCAACTTTTGTCGCCGCCGCCCAGCAAGTTCCAGCTGGCAATCGATGCCAGTCCGGGCTGACGAGAACGTAACTGCGTCCAATCATGAGTGGCATGCCATGCCCATTCAAGAGATAGCAGCCGTCCAATACGACATTAAACAAAAACCGTCCGAGTGTGCCTGCCTCGTAGCCGTGAGGCTGGTGTCCTTCTTATAATGCCGTTCATGCAAACCTCCCAGAGATGCAACCCAATGAAAAGAAAGGAAAAGACCTGGTCCGGCCGCTGGATGCTACAAAGGAAATTTCAAAAAAAAAAAAAAACAAACGCTCGCTACATACAATAAAACAAAAGACAGTCAAACAGGATATCGAAGAACTTTGTACTGGAGAAAAAAAAAGTAGTGAAGAAGGAAAAGAAATCAGTCGCTGATGTCGATGAAAAACGCCGTCCCATGCTCGATATAAAATGATGTGTATGTGGTGGTTTTGTTGTACATCATGTGTTTTCGTATACACATCGCAGTGTCGTCTCGTGTCGTGCGTCGCCAGGCTGTGCGCATCAACCAATGGCGCGTTGAAGAAGGTCAGGTGGATGGGCCAGATCCGTGCTTCCATTCTCGACAGAGATCATATAGTACAGTCTTTTGATTCGAAACAGCTACCACGCTCGCGGAAAACGCTTACGTGAAGGCTGCGAATTGCGTTGCAAATCCAGTGTCCCATCCGAACCCGCTGTTGTATCCGCCGTGCATTGCGCTGGACCCACACTGCTGGGCCAGCATGCTGGGTAGCGGAAGAGCGGGGATGGGGGCGGTTGGCTGGGGCGGACTGTAGTACTGACTCGTTGTAATGAACGGTTGGCTGAAGGATGGTGTCGGCGATGGAAGTTGTACTGCCTCCAAGCCCATTGTGGTCCAAAAGGACGACTGCGACTCACCGCAGGTGGCAATGGTCGGGCTGGGGGTGGATGCAATGCTCCTCCAAGACTCGACTGGTGCGGGCTGCGATTGCAGCACATGTCCAGATGGTGACCACCATCCGGAGTTGCCAGGCGAGCTGGGGAGCAGCTGGGCGGCAGGGTGAACAACGTCGACGATTCTCGGTGGTGGAGGAAGGAGCGGGAGGAACAGTCCCATGATGGCACTCTTGACGTCCTCACCTCGGCCCTCGAGAAGTTCTCCGGCACCTTCCTCTTCCATTCCTTCGAGTGCACGGGCACCGGCGCGGAACACGTAGCGGTTGACAGCCTGCACGAATTGGTCCTGAAGCTTCTTCAGCTGGGCATCCTTTTCGGGCCAGTTCCAGGTGGTAGCGGCGACATCGACCGAGTAGATGTCCTTGTGGTACTCTGTGAGAGCGTCGATGGTGTCGGTGGTGAGCTTGAAGGCCACCTCATGCTGGGAGACCATGTCGACGTGGACCACGTAGGCTTCGATGTGGATGACTTGGTAGTTGAAGATGGCCTCGACGAGCGGGTTGGCGTCCTTGCGCAGTTCAGAGTCGGGGGCCTTGGGGACCATTATGGAGCACAGGGACCAGATGGCATTGGGGCCGGAGAGGGTTTCGGTCAGGCATCGCGTGTGCTGCTGGACGCTGTTGAGGGGGCGCTTCACGCGGTTTGTGCGTTTCAAGGTTTGGGTTAACCATGGTTCGGGCTTTCCAGCCAGGACGACGTTGACGGTGGAGCGGGGCGCAAAGGCGGCAGCCGAGGCTGGCAGCAGCTGGATGGGCATGGTGCGGAAGCGAGGCGGAGTTATGCGACGGTGGATGGAGGTGGGAGCGGGCAGGTATTCATACGACGGGGACTGATTTCAAGAAAAAAAAACGAAGGGAACAAAGGGGAGGATATGTAAAGAGGAACAAGTCTCGCAGGCAAAGAGGGGGGGAGAATTAGGTGGTGAGGGATAGCCTTGATTGAAGAGGGAGACGTTGAGGGAAGAGAAGGGGAGGGCGGGCGAATGAGGTGGGGGGAAGGCGAGGTGAGAGGTGGAGGGTAGGGAAGGCTAGTGGGCGGTGGGTAGCATCTTCTTAAGAGCCACAGGGCCTGGAGAGAGCAGTGGCCACGGCGCCAGATGGGCCAGGGTATTCATGCACACTGCCCCGTTTGGCTGCATTGCGCTGCTGCACTCACCATCTACCCTGGGAAGTCGACTAACCACCGCGCACCGAGAGAATTGCCTACTCACCCATCCGTCTCTACCTGATGTGCCTGTGCGTGCGTGCATATCGTAGTCAGTGGGTGGGTGGGATTCCAAGCTGACCGACCGATTCCGCGACCGCGCCCTCCTTGTATCCGGGGAGCCAGCCTGTGGACAGGCACGAGTCGAGCCGGAGCAAGATTGCGAATGCTCGAGGTGCATACGTCTACGCCGGTGGTGGAAATGGGCGAGACTATTGACAAGTTGGATCGATGTTGGTGGTTTGGCTCTACTTTTGGAGTACGATGGGTATATTCAGCCAGCAGCTGGGAAGCGACATCCAACATGGCCAGACACAGCACACACACACACAGAGGTCTCAGGCTTCACTTCACGCAGGTGTGCTTGGGCGCAAATGACGAGGTGTAAACAGGACGCTCCATCTACAGCCCGTCGGCATGGATGAAGATGCACTTGGATACTACACCACCACCACCATGACGGCAGTCGCGTCTCTTCTGGAAAGTTTGGACGGAATCCAAAAGGAGCGGGCACCGCAGCGGTCTTGTTACCGCGTTGAGCGTACGCGGGCCCAACTACCGTATGGCGGATAGAGTGCGTCGTTCAAGCTGGGTGTCGTCTTCAGAGTCTTGGACGGATGACAGGTCGACGTTGCTTGAGGCTAACAGGTAGGCACAAACCCCTCGGCCCAATCAGCTGGGTTAGCAGGGGTACCAGCAAGGATTCGCCTTCATGGGAATGCGAGGGCAAGAGTAGACGGGCGAGAGAGAAGAAGAAAAAAGGGAATCTGGAAGCACGAGAGAGGCATCCTCATGTGATGCCGCTCGTCGAGTAGATCGGGCGCCTGCTGAAGCACAGTCAGTCAGTTCTGCTCGAGCAATGACGACTACCATGACGGCCATCTGGCTGCCGGCCAGCACGCGAGAAGCGGGTGCTGCTGTTGTGGCGGTGCGCAAAAAAAACACAGCCTCTGCAGATTTCTACACGCAACTGTCGATCCTCTTCGGAGTCGCCTACGATGCGCGCTCGTGCCCCCATTTCTACGCAGCCTGTACACTAAATCTGATTTTTGCGCGAGATTCGCCTGCTTGTCCTTGTCGCCGCATCGCCTGTTCCGACGCCCCGCTACCGGTAGTCCCCTTCGCTACCCTCTCCGTCAACCATTTCCCTTCAACCCCAACCTGCACGCTGCTCGTCGTCGTTTCAATCCTCGACCTCCCCTTCTCTTCCCTCGTCACTGGCCCAGCTCAGGAAATGGCTCCCCCCACATCCAGACACCCACCGCCCATGATTGCGCAACTCTCCGGCTTCCTACCAAGGCCCTGCCCCTAGCTCCGCCTATCGTCGAGCTATAGCACGTCTGCTATCAATGGCCACCCACGTCTTTTTAATGTTTCAACATCTGCAAGTCAGGCCTCGATGTTTGCCCGCGCCTCACGACTCAATGCGAGGTAGTGGCGGCGCCTACAACTACATAGCCCAACTCACTCCACCCACGCGGCCACCACATGATGCTGGAGAAAAATATCGCCGACGCGAAACCCGCACTGTTGATCGTGCATCGTGAGCATGAAAGAGAGCCCATTCCACTGCCTCATTGGGAAAGCCCTTCAGCTCGACAAGGTTTTGCCGTCATGTGCTCGCTTACCTTCCACTCGGCTATGAGCGGCCGTCTACCCTGTCCTTGATGACTACCGCTTCCCTAGCATCCTCTTCCAGTGCAGACCACAATATATGTCGCAACCAGTCGACGCGTCCTCCGAGTACTGCTCTCCACACTTTGACAGAAATAGACCCTTTTGAATTTTCTGTCGCAGCCGTTTCAGATCCCGCTGCTCGACCTTGTCAATCCATACAGCCTGGCTGCGCGCTGCATGCGGAGCGACGTGGACTAACAATTAACCTCCGATGACTCACACAACTTACATATCACAATCAAGCATGAATGCCCAACTCGCCTGCATCCCGTCCAGACAAGTTTTTTCTGCGTTTCATGTTTCGTGGCTCTCGTGAGATATCATGGGGTATCGTTTTTGTCCCCGTCAGCGTCGTGTAGATCACCGTCAGCCTCGGGCGTTGATCACGAGTTCTGAGCACGTCAGATCCCTATACTCCTGCTCTCTCGCCAATGGAGTACGCCACACGGAGAAGAGTCTGGGGAAGTTGCACGGGCTCGTACAATCTGCCCATCTCGTCCAATCTTCCTACGGAATCCGCCGTCTGCTCTTGCGCCTCGATACAAACACAAGGTCAGGTGGCTCATGATGCGCTGTCTATCAGGATTCACGTCTCGTGGTATGTTGCCAGTGGCAAATGCGAAAGGATTTACAGGGATTGGCCTCACTATGCACGATGAGACGGAAGAACATGCATCAAGTATCGTCTTCAACATGTGTACACGGCTTAATATTTCGTTACCAAAAGAAGTCATCCCCGGAGTAAACTCTACATTTGATCCCGCCCTCTTGCAGTTGGTGCTCCAACCGCCCACCTTCTTCACCTTTGATTCCACGCAGTCCCCACTTGTTTTGGCGCTGCTTGGCCTCTTTCTCAGGGAATGTAATTTCACAATTCGCACCGATTCCTACCAGATGCATCAAAGCAGGTACTGCCCCTTGGTACCCACCGCGCCATTCCCCCTCATTGGAATCCTCCCCCTCGAAGTAGTGTGCGTCGCCTATGAAGATACGCAGAGACCTTAGGTTGGGTAGCGACAAAAGTGCACAGCAAGATCGTGGCCAATGGATGCATTCGAGACGGCTTCTCACATGCACAGCTGCTGCATTGTCGTCTTCGCGGTAGGTCATCGCATATATATTGACTGTGCGAATAGATTCCCAGCGTTGTGGACGGATGCCGTCTCTGAAAATTGTAATCGTTCTTAAATCCCAGAAGACGAATGTGTTGTTTTGGTATAGGATGGAGATCGCCTCGTCATACCTGCAAACGGAGTCAGCTCTGTTCAACCGGAGATTCAATCTATGACATACACCTTCCGACAAACAACAAGAAGATCGTTCATGCTCCAGTCTGCCAGCTGCTTGGTGGTTGGAAGGGAACCGTAGACGAACATGTACGAGGATGCTCGAAGATTCGGTCTCTCTGATCGAATTTGTTCCCAGTATTCCTCATTGCACACAACATGCCCAAGTCTCCTGTACTTGGATACAATGTGGATCTTCTGGTCTCCAATGGCCCATCTCCAGATCATTAACCGCAATTCAGTGTGAAGCCGGTTGAACAGAATGGACTGGACCTGGGGCGAGAAGCCTCCGTTTGATAGACCCTCTGTATGCTGCGGCACCCTTTGTTCAATTGGTATGGGAATCCCTTCTAATCGGAATTAGTCATTTATTCCCTTTTGATATCGCGCCAGAATTTCTGCTGCGTACCTTCGTGTTGCTGTCGTTGCCGACTCATGCTGTATTCGCTCATCTGGACGGGCTTGAAGCGGAGTTTTGATAATATCATCGCGAGTTCATCGTACCACTGTTGGGTTTTTCAAGCTGATTCTTTATTTCCATGTTGCCAATTCCTTTATTTTATATCGAACAGACTTTAGGCTGCCTTTCTGCAAGATCAAGTTTCCACGACTGTCACCGAGAAGGGTGGAGAGTCTTCACCTGAAACGCATGAGCACTCGCCCATTATCTTGTAACATCCAAGGCAAGCAGGTAGGCAGGCGGGCAGGCAGCAAGATATGCCCTTTCGCTCTTCTTCCTCAGCCGCAAAGATACCCACATGCGTAGATGATACAGCTCAGCATGGGCAAACTAAACCTTTTCCGGTCGATTCCGGATTTTCGAGTTGATAACTAATCCAAAGCTCGTGTGTGGGTCGAGAATGTGCATAGATGGATATGCTGGGTGGTTGCATAGCCACAAGACGAACACGGTGAAACACATGCGCTCACATTTGCGTAAATCTGATGCCGAACATGGACAATGGGTTCCGTCAGACCTCGGAAACAGCATGGAATTCACCCGAGGAATAAGCTTTCGATGCTCGTCGGCTCACGTGCGGTATGCCTCACTTATGTAAGCCTAGGAGGTGAGGCGGCAAATGCAACTGCCGACCACGACTATCTTGCTATCGCCCACGCAACGGATTAGCTTCCCACTGCATTGTGCCCGGCAGTTCTGGATTGCGCCAAAAATACACAAGCCAATATCTTCATGTCGAGCTACCATGTCTGTGGGATCGGGGACTTTGGGTTGCGTAAAGTAGGGACGTACCGTTCGTTCTCACCACATTTACGGGAACCAGGAAACACGATTGAGGATTGACCAGGGTATCGCCACCCACGTATATGAAAAGCGATTGAGATCGAAAGACTGGCCAACAACGGGTGCGTGAGATAGCAGATGGCCAACTCCATCTTATGGGCAGACCCCGCCCCCGCGAATCAGCGTTGCCAAGCATGGGGAACGCATCCCTGCTTGCGACTGACCCCCGAGGCCGACTATCATTGTTTTCCAACTGCCGACTTGCATCATGACCTGGTTTGGTCTTGATCCAACAGCCACTATGCCAGATCCCGAGTGTTTGGACTTGACACCCGCGATGGGCCCGGCAATCAATGATGTGATACGCGGCTGGCACAATCTTAATCTCATATACAACCACGCGGTCAGCCTCCAATTTCGAAGCCTCAAGTGACAACGCCCACTCATCCGATTCTTGCTTATTCAACACGCAAGATCCTAGACCACAATGCTTCTCAACGAAGTGCTACCCGTGCTCGCGCAGTACTGGCCTCTTGTCCTCGCATCTGTCACCATCGGCTGGCTGCTGAACAATAAGTTCTCGAGAGGACTGAACAAGTACCCGGGACATTGGTTGGCAGGTTACACAGACTGGTGGCGGTTCTGGGATGTGTGGGGAAGAAATCATCAGTGGACTGTCATCGATTTGCATCGAGAGCATGGCGATATCGTACGGCTCGGACCCAATGTCTTGTCCTTTGCAGACCCTCGGGCAATCAAGGTTATTTATGGGTTGAACAAGGGAATGATAAAGGTAAGGAGTTCAGATCTATTTCGAGACGAGCACTGATTTTGGTTTCCATGCAGTCCGACTTCTACCCCGTTCAAAATGCCGTATCCAAAGGTCGCCGTCTCCAGTCCCTATTCTCCACAGTTGACGAGAACTACCATGCGAAGTATCGTCGCTGCGTGAACAGTGCTTTCGCCATGAGCTCCCTCGTCAACTATGAACCGCTTGTTAGTTCGACCATGAGTGTTTTCCTCGATAAGACACAAGAACTATACGCCAATACTGGAGACAGTTGCAACTTCAGCCAATGGTTGCAGTACTTCGCGTTCGACGTCATCGGAGATTTAACTTGGAGTAAGCGTTTGGGGTTTGTTGAGGAGAACAGGGACGTGGATGGTATTGTTGCATTTTTGCAGAAGTTTTTGAGCTATGCTGGACCGGTGAGTGGACCCCAGCAGACCGGCTTGCAAATTACTTATAGCCCAGTAGATCGGACAGATGCCGATTCTGGATCTTTTTCTCGAGAAGAACCCTCTCCGCCTCTTTGCACAGCGTATTGGTCTCAGCAACACGGTGTTTCCAGTCACCCTGTTCGCTCAAAGCCGCTCCAACGAGCGGGCAGGACAGATTCATAAGATCAAGTCCTATGGGTTGCAGGAAGAACAAGGCAGTACTCGCGGCGTCGACCTGCTTTCCAAGTTTGCACAGGCGGCTTTCGATCACCCAGAATTCATGGATGACACCAGAATTCTGACGTCCTGCACTTCGATGGTTTTTGCAGGGTCCGAAACGACGGCCATTTCTCTTTCGAGTGTTTTCTACTTTATAGTGAGGCACCCGCAGGTCTACGCAAAGTTGATGCAGGAACTAGATGATGCCGTCGCCAATGGAGTAGTGGAAGCAAGGTCCGACAAAACGGTGTCCTGGTCAGAGTCGCAGAAGCTCCCATACCTGGATGCTGTTATCCAGGAGTCATTCCGGCTGCATCCTGCTCCCGGGTTGAATCTAGAGCGCATTGTACCTCCGCAAGGCATGGACGTGCTTGGAACGTTTGTCCCGGGCGGGACGATTATCGGTTGCAATGCTTGGGTACTTCACCGCCGGCCTGAAGTGTTTGGTGCAGATGTCGATGTCTTCCGACCGGAGCGATGGATCGAGGCCAAACCGGAGCAATTGCGCGTGATGAAAGCCACGATGTTCCAGTTTGGTGCTGGCGCCAGAACGTGCATTGGCAAGAACGTGAGTCTACTGGAGGTGTATAAGCTCGTGCCGAGTTTCCTCAGGCGGTTCGAGGTAAGTCCCAGTCTGCATTGCCTCTGATACTTCGTTGTATTGACTTGTTTAGATTGAGCTTGAGCATCCTGGTGCGGAATGGAAGACTCACAATGCTTGGTTTGTGCGACAGACCGACTTCAATACTCGATTCAGGCCACGGGTGGAGTCGCTGTAAGATGATGGGTGCTATCCAGCAGGGTGAATGAAAGCCAGTACCATGGGTTAAGTAGTATATCCCACGAAGCCCCTGCTCTATCATATCTACTTAGTCTCGACATCTGTCGTGTTGATTGCGGTCCACCGAAGGTGGATCCACCACAAACCACGCCACCTGAAGCATCAATGACAAAACACATTCTCTTATTTGCACAGTCCCTATTGCACATACTCATGTCTACGCACGCACAACAACAACAATGCGATCGCATTCTCCTTCCCTCGTCATAACCTTTCCGTCTGTATCCGCTGATACCCCTCATCTTCCCCACTGGTGCCCTTGCTCTTTGAGTCACAATATCGGACTTTGTATTCGCACGTACCTAATACAATTTGCACGTACCTAATACACGCTGTAGACGCTGGAAGCATGTCACTATCCGGTAAATCAACCTCAGATCCACGACAACCAGCTACTGCGACGGCCGCGATGTGCGAATATTACCCACCTTTTCCGCTCGGGAACGCTTGTCAAGATTCCTAAATGCAGATTAGCGAGAAGGGCTATATAGCGAATGCTTCTTTTTCCCCCGCTCCGCCGCCTAACCCCGCTCCACTTTTCGACTACCTACCTTGACGCATCGAGACAGCTGCACGCTTGAAGGTCTAGGTGTGGAAGGTCCAGTCATAGGGAAGGTAATTGCGTCTTAGTCATACTTTGGGAGCACGACGTCTAGCTTCCCTCTGCAGGGAGAATATAAAAAGGGTGTTCAAGTGCTCACTTGTTGGTTTTCATATCTCAGATCTCTTGACCATTGTCTTTTTTGTTCATTGTCATCTCTGATCCATTGCACATATTCTACCTTTCTTATCGAGAGAAGAAAATCCTCAGACCCTTGGTTCCTTGTCTAGCTGGGAATTGTGCCTCTTGGGTGTGAAAAGAAGGACCAAGGCGAGAGGAAAAAGGCGGATTTCGAAGACAACGAAACCATGGCTGGAGAATATCCCAAAACCGCGGCCTCGAAGCTGGGACGGCTTGCAAAGAGAGGTACGTTTAAAAAAAAACAGAAAAGAAGAGATCGATATAAAAGTTGCCCTTGTATAATTACAATCGCTTTCCTCAAACCTCTTTCCCCCACTCCTCCAGACACTCCTAGAGAAATTGAAGATGAAGAATAGAAAGACTGACACCAGCAAACAACAGGAGCATACGACTACGCGACAGTCCACAGCATCATAAACACGAGCCCAATCGTGCACATGTCCTTCAACGACCCAGCCCACCCATTCCCCGTCGTGCTCCCCATGCTAGGCTGCACAGGATCCTTCTCGGCGCAGTCATCAGATCCAAACAGCACTGCGCAAGACATCTACTTGCACGGGTACGTCAGCGGCCGGGTATTCCGCACCGCCGATGGTGCCGAAGAAGGAAAAGAAGAGGAGAAAGGTCTCCCCATCACGATTGCAGCGTCGTTGATGGACGGGCTGGTGCTGGCTCTCGCGCCGTTCCACAACTCGTGTAATTACCGCAGCGCTACCGTGTACGGGTACGCGGAGCGCGTGACGGATGAAGCGGAGAAGCTGTGGGCGTTGGAGCGCATCACGGATAGTTTGCTGCCGGGGCGATGGGGGGCGTCGCGGAGCGAGCCTACGGGGGCAGAGATGCAGAGCACGGGGGTGTTGAGGGTGAGGATTGAGACTGCGAGTGCGAAGGTTAGAGCGGGTGGGCCGTCGGACGATAGGAAGGATTTGTCGGATCAGGCGTTGAGGAGTGGGACGTGGACGGGCGTTGTGCCGGCTTGGTTGCAGTGGGGGGAGCCGGTTGAGGGCAAGGATAACGGGTGCAAGGCCGCGAGCAAGGAGGAGGAGATTGAGGGGTGGAGGGTCAAGGAGAATACAAAGGGGAGAGATTATGCTTATGGGGCAATTGAGCAGTAGGGTTGATGGAGAAAGTAGGGTGTTAGCTAGTTTCTGGCATGACTTGTGAGCAAGATGGTAAGAAATCGACGAGAAACCGAGAAGCAAAACATCGCGATGGTCGTTTAATCATACAATCGTATTTTGGTATCTATGGCAATGGAAATGCGTCATCTTTTGGCTGTATGCGATGAGATCGGTGGATATCCAAGCTGCTATAGGAAAACCTCGAGATTGATCTCAACAGTGCTCACGGGGTATCTTGAATGAATTAGTCGACTGTTTTTGATCGAAATCAGGGCTAACATGAACTTACGGTAGTTCGAACTTCTGCAAAACAGATGGGTGAAGGATGCCAAAGACACCGATAGTGTGATGCTTGCCATCAATGTTGAGCTTGATAGCAGCAGAGTGACCGTGAAGGAAAGTGGGATCTAGTATGGTGAGTCGGAGATATGGTAGAAGGAACAAATCGACTTACCTTCCACCTCCTCAATCCAGTAGCCACCTAATTGGGTGTTTTTCAGTCCATCCTCCCGGCTGATGAAGGCTGATTTGAGCATCAACATCAACCTGTCCAACAATCCGTGGACCTGCTCGAAACCACTGGTCTTGCCCATGATGGCTGCTGCAAAGTGTTTCTCGTTCCTGCTCTTTCGTTCTTGCGACAAGTCTATGAAACCGACGTCGCTGACTTCGAAAATCTTCATCGGTACTGCGTGGTGCTTGTTGGAGTTGATGGTTTTGAGAAGCCCGGGCAAAAGCGATGTCCGTACAATCTGGTATTCCGCGGTTTTGGGATTCGCGAGTTTGATGGCCGTCTTTCCGTCATCTTTGCGATTCAACCACGCAAAGTTTTCTTCGTGTGAGCACAGAATGAGAGGCATGACCTCTGTCCAGCCTGCTGCCGCCGACTCCAGGCGCACGATATCACCGACCTTGTTGATTGGTAGGGGCGCAGACACGGCGGCGGATTTGTTGGGGTAGTAACGAGGCAGCTTGTTGAAACCGTATGCAATGGCATAGTCTTCCATGATATCTGCTTGGTGAAGAACATCCGCCCGTGTGATTGGTACGGCGACATCCAACAGATTGCTTTCCGAAGATGGTTTCGCGCTGTAGCCCATCTTAGTCAGAAGCTTGGATATTTCTTCTGGAGCGAAGTTTAATCCAGTCACCTGGTTCAAGTAATCGATCTCAACCTTCATCTCGCGCGGTGCGAGATCGGGGGATTCCCTTGATTCGTCGTTGTGAGGTGAGATGATCTTGAGGGGCTCTATCGATTCTGCGTAACCAGCGAACATGGCGACAAGAATGTGGTTAACGATCTCGACTTTGGTCTTGTCCAGCGCGGTGATCTCGATGAGAACGTTCTTTGTGTCAAGCGTAATCTTGCTGTGGTTTCCGTTGATGATTGGAGGGAGAGAAAGGACAGTGCGGTTCGAATCGTAGATCACAGGGTAGACTGGCGAGTCGCGAATGATGTGGAGGTAACGGCCGAGGTGTTTGTCTTTCTGCAGACTGTCAGTAACAACTACATTTGGCAACCATCTGTCAACGAACCTCATAGAACTCCATGAGCTGCTTCCCGTTCATTTCCTTGGTTTGGTTTAGAGGAACGAAGGAGATTTGTTCAGGCGCAAGTGCCTCGTATGTGAAAGGACCCTTGATCGCTGGATCTGGTCAGCTGTTGCTCTGTTTACAAGCGTCGTTATGACATACTATCGAGGTCGTGCGTGCCTATCGATACGAGAGTACGCTGGCGCGCAAGGTTCTGATGGAGCTTGTCTTGTAGGGCAATGAAGGAGTCGTATCTCTCTTGCGTGAATTTGATGTTGCGCAGAACCACACCGGAGCAAAGCGGTCGGATCTTGGTAGTCTGCCGCCAGTCAGAACTTCTGAATCGCATCTTGGGCTTGCATTCCCTCAGCATACCTCCTCCTTGATTGTAAGTGTTTCCAGCTCGCCCGATTTCGGTGGGGAAAGTGTCCATTTTGGTAGCTGTTGTTTCTCTAGGAAAACCCTCAGGTTGAGAGCAATACCCTCGAAGCATAGCATGTCATATCGGTTCGCGGGGATCTCGATTTTGAGCTGTGCGGGTTGCGCTTGGTCTTCTGGCTTTGAGCTCTGACTCGTATCTTCGTCCAACTCGATTCCAAACTCGAAGCAGAGTTCGTCAAACTCTTCAGTCGTATATTCCCTCCCCAGCTCCTTGAAGAGGGCAGCCTTATCCACGGAGATGGTAGGCATGATGCGCCAATCCGATTACTTTGACGTGGTTGATCGGAGGGGTTCTCGATGTTTTATGGATAGCGGGGTAAAAGTAGGTCAACTGCAGTTGTCAGTATGTTGTTGGAACGAGGTCAAAGGTGGGGAGAGAAATACAAGTTCGAAATGAGGGGCGCCGAAAGTTCAATTGACTCAAAGACAATCTGCCGACGAAGACTTGCGGGCAGAGACTCTGTGACTCAATTCCGAGAAATCGAGGGCTGCGGAACAATGCGCGGCCCGGCAGAACAACGCTAAATCGAAAGGGGTATGGTCCAGTCTAATTACCCCTCCATCATTCGTGTAGCATCAATTGTCAAAGTGGCCAGCGAACTCAGCTGTATATGATAGTATTTGGTTGAAAGCGCACAATTTCCCATGTCCACAGTGACTATATCATCCCCCAATTCATCCGTATTGACCATCACTTCACGTGAGCGACGCAACCTTTGGTTTGGGGCTGATGCGGAGCCTGCGGACGTTCAAGATTATGCTTCCTATACGCTACCCACCGAATCCAACGCCTACCAATGCTGTTTCGTTGTGGACATAATGTCCTCCCCTGCACGGCTATATTCCTAAGCAAACCATTAGATCATGTCGAAACTCCATGCCCCAACTTCCAATGCATGCTGATAACGAGGCCTTTCCCTCCATATATCCGCTAAATCAAGCCCAACTTGCCGTCCTCCCGTAGTCTATGTCCAGCACATGACCCCCCGAGGTTGGATTGGAAGAAGATGAAACAATTGACGCATAGAATAGACGCTCGTTGAATCGAATACTCTCAGATTGACGAACGCCCTAATCCTTCCAGTCCCATACTTGCTTGAGGAAGTGGCCCATGTTGACCTTCTTCGTCTTCATCTCAATCATCCAGGGGTGTTCGATCATGCGCCAGGGCGTGGCTCGACGTGGCGGCTCTTTCTCGAGGCTGGCGAATCTTGTTAGCATGGCCTCCCTCACATACAAAAAGTAAGCAGTAAAACATACCAGCATTCAATAAAGTACTTGAAGTTCTCCGACCATCGAATGCCATTCTCGGGCTCGTCCTTAAGTCTCGGGATTTGTTGTCGGACAATGTAGGTCAGCAGGTCAATGAGACCGGCGCGAGGGTTCATTTCTGTGCCATCTGCGGGGAAGGGGAAGCGGTGTTGTGCAACTTCGAGGAGGGTCACACCCAAGCTCCACACATCGCTGGTAATAGTATAGCTCTGTCCAGTGATACGCTCGGGTGCCATGTAGTACGATGTTCCAATGAAAGTGTTGGCATCTCCCTTGGTTCCGAATTCTCCAGAAACGCCGAAATCGCAAAGCTTCACTTGTCCATTCCGACAGAGCAAGATGTTGCTGGGCTTGATGTCGCGATGGATGATGCGATGAGAGTGGAGGTAGGTGAGGCCATTGAGAACCCCCTCTGCCACTTTACCGAGTACTTTCTCTCCGGTTCGGCCTCCCAGCTTCTTGACCTCGCGGTAGACCGAATCTAGAGAGCCACCTTCGCAAAACTCCATGGCAATGCTGATGGTGCCGGTGCTGTCGTCCATGAAAGCACCGTAATAGCAGCAGATGTGGTCGCTGGCGCAGTTCTTGTTGAAGGACAGCTCACGCACAATCTGCTTTTTGACATCCGGATCGGGGTTTGTCGTAATGATCTAGCAATTTGGGGTCAGCGAAAATCTTCGAGGTTGTGGGGGGTGAACAATGTTACCTTCAAAGCAAACACTGTTTTGCCGCCTTTCAAGATGCACTTCGTCACGGCACCTCCGGCGCCTTCTCCCAAGCTTCCCTTTTCCTCAATCATACCCTTTGCGGATGCCGCTTTCCAACCCGAGTCATCAAGATCTTCCACATCTAGAGGAGAGCCCTTCTTCTCTGCCATCTGCTCCAAATCGGGAAGTGGTTGGCTGCTGCTCTCTCTTTCCATGGCTGAGGCGCCGTCGCTGTTGCCCTGTGATATTGCAGATATGGGATCGGATCCCTGGTGAGGTCTCTGCAGGCCAGGGAACGAGAGAGCCGAGTACGATGATGCCGACCCGTTTGCTTGTACCTCACCAAAGCTGCCCGATCTCGAATGTGCGCTCGTATCGCTTGAGCGGTCGCTGGCCGACAGCCCTGTTCCTATCTGTAGTGGAGGCAGGCCTTTGGGCTGAGGACGACCCTCGTGAGGGATGTGGCCAGTGGTCCCCATGGGTGTCGCGAGACGTAGCTGGGGAGGGGTGGGACGTCCCAGCGAGGGTACTTCGCTCACCCCATTGACGACAGGCCTCGCGTGTGGTGAAGGAGGTATGGATAAGCCGAGTCGGGGGGTGCGAGGGCCGCTTTGCGAGCGGGCGCCTGGAATTGGCGGGCGAAGGAGAGGCGCGGGGGACGACATTTGGGGTTGAGGAGCCGATGTAGGCGCGTCTGGGTATGAGAGTGGCTGCATCTATATCAAGTAGTAATTTTGGCCCTTCAACGTCGAGGTGTTGAACCGAGTCGGGGAGTCACGACGCAGAAGGAGCGAGGCGGTAAGGTGGGGTGCGCAGAGGGTGCAGTGCAAATGGGTGGTGGGTGACAAGAGGCAGTTGGACCAAAAAGTCGTCGAAAGAAAGGAAGAAAGAAAAAGGCGGGTGGAGGAATGAGTTGCACGGGCAGGATCCAACACAGTGGATGACTGCCGTCAGCCGAAGAATGCTGACCGACTCTTCCGCGGTTCCTCAGTCCACACAGACAGCGCACTGAGGAGCGAAAGGCGGAACGGGTTGCAAGTCTGGTAGAGCCCTCGTGATGGCGAAGTAGTAGGGTGCGTGGGTGACTCTGGATCCACGAGCTCGAGGCGGGCCAGTGCTAGCAGCAGGAGGGCAAGGCGGCAGGGCAGGCTAGCGGTGACGTCTGTGGGCAGGCGGATTAGCACGCAGGCAGGGTGAGCAGGTCACAGCAGCCGTTGGGAAACAGGTGGGGTGATGGCGGCGGCGGCGACGACGGATGTGGTGCCGAGGGCGAGGAGAGTAGATTGAGGGTTGTGGGTTGCGAGTGCGTGCGTGTGCGTGTGTGAGTCGTGACTATGGCAGTCGGAGGGGTGGTGGTGGTGGCAGTGGTGGAGAAGGCGAGGTGAGGCGCATGCGAGCGGGCGGCTTGCCGAGACCTGACACAGCGGGCGAGCGAGCGAGCGAGGGGCGGCGGGCTCAAGTGTAGAGAGAAGACGAGGCCAAAATAGCGGAGCAAGGTCCGAGAAGAGTAGAAAAAACGAGCGTGTGAGGGCGTGAGAGTAGAATGGCTGCCTAAGTTACAGCGTGTTTCGCTGCCGTCTGTACTGTCCTTAGGTAATTGGGGGGGAAAGTACCTAGGCTCCCAAGTAGGTAGGTCCAGTACTTGGCCAAACAAGGCGGAGACGCGGCTTCCGTCCCGAGTCCCTGTTGGTGGAAGGATCGATGGCAAAGATGGCAGAGCACACAGAGATGGTGATGGTGATGACTGGTGATATGCTGAATACCAAGTAGAAGACGACGACAACCACAACAACAGTTCCAATTCCCATCAATATTGAAACAAATAGTCATCACTGCAAGCGCCGAGGGGGCCCTCCTGTCGCCTTTATCACTGCGTCTTTTGGACCCCGTCTCCACGCCCGCGCAACGTAGACTCTCCTCATTCGAGCATCCTCCCTGCCCAACCGCCGCCCCTCTTCCTTCTCCTGCGGGCTAGGTACCCAGTTAGGGCTCCGCATCCCACCGTCGCCCTTTTCCATCCTCTTCAGCTTTTCCCCTTATTTTTTCTCCCCTCCTTTTTCTATCCCTGCTCAGGGTCACTGACGCCTACTGCATCGTCATCAGGCCTAATCTCTACCCCCTCCCCCCTCTCCGACACACTATGTGCACCCTTCACCTTCATCCCTGGACTCCACGCGACTGATTCCCGACTGCTTACCCCCCCATCATCCAATTGAGCGACTGCTGAACACCACTACCCAACAGGCTGCGTCGGTGGCTGACGTTGGACCTTCTGCGCGGTATTCATCCTATCCCTCGTTTGCAGGCTTAGCAGCACTCTTCGGGGGGGGTTCAAGAGAGGGAAATCTCGGGCAGAAAGTCAGAATGATAGAATGGGAGAGATCGACATGCTTCCCTGAGCACATTACTCCGGTCTCAATAAGCTGCATTACGACACTCGTTCATCCCTTGACCGTTATCTCATGTCCATGCGAAATCGCTCACTTTGTCCTCTCACACTTCATCCTATCAATTTTCAACAACCTACAGAGGGCATGATCTGCCCACCAATGTGTTCCTCTCGCCTAGCCCAATCCGGTACACTCTAGGCGATTTACTGCATAGCAGCTGAGTGACCCAAGCTGATACGGTACAATGCGATGCGATGCGAGGCCGCATTGGACAGAGTTACTCTGCAGCCATCACAGTCATCAGAGTCGAGCCCAGGGCTAACGGTCCTCTGCTTGCTGACAGACTGCCATCGCCGAGAACACCTGTCTTATTGCCAGTCCAGATGCGGCTGGAGCATGCAAAGCGGGCGTCTCGATTCCCGTTGACTGGGCAGGTATTCCGTCATTCGGTACCTTTGAAAACCTACCGAGGTGGTGGGTAGGCCATCAGCTCTGGATCAGGCTGGCCTGATTGGCGAAATGCTTGCTTGGGGGTCGGCCTTCTCTACGAACATGCTTGCATGGTAGGGGTGTATGTCGACCGATACTCCGGCACGGCATTCAATTCAGGACCCGGCCCCCGATCTTTCCTCATAAGCCCTAAAGCCTCGTCGTCTCCTGATCTCCAGTCGAATTCTCCAGTCTGCCTGGCCCCTATCTTACTCGGCTGTCCACGACGGTTGAGGGGAATTATCCCTGGGGTCGATTGGAGAAATCCGCCGGCCCCCCACGGCGCACCGCTACGGCCCAGATGTTATCTTCAAGTAAGAAATTACGGTTTGCTTAGGTCTTACCCATCGTCCAAATTCCTGGCTGGCTCAACGCCTCATAGCCTTCTTGTTCGTCATCATCTGACACATTGCCAGTTATTCTTCCCACAACTGTCTCAGTCTGTTTGCCCTACGACAACAACCATTCCGTGAAATGATGTAAAGAGATGGAAATGTACGGTAGACACAGGTAGAATCTGTACTTCCTCCTGCCGTGCGGGGTTAGAGTCTGCATATTTCACCGTGCCTGCCGTCTCATCACTTCCGGGCTTTCCCGCGGTACATACACAATACACGCAGCAGCGGCAATCAATATACACATGCCCCCAAAAGAGAAACAGGGACATGCTCTCCTCTCCCTCCCATCTCACATAGAGAAAATATTCTTAGGAGGAAAAAAAAGTGCAAAAGAAACTGTTATACCCCATCTTAAACCTCTTCAAGTTCCAGAGTAGACAGCCCAGAAACTGTTAAGTTTGCTGTTGGTTTCGAACTCCGGCCCTCTAGGCTACACTGGTTTGGAATGTGTGTTGAGAAATCTTGGTCACTAGTACTACAACGCTCAGTAGGGCGTAGTACCATCTGTGCCAACAGATCTCGGTCCTCATTCCAGCAGCTGTATGCTAGAGAGCGGGAGCTCTTGATGGGAAAACTTGCCGTTTATTTGGTATATATGGACAAGTGAATGGGGGGTGGGAGGGTTTGTTTGCTATCACCACGCGAGCAGTTGGTCGGTGCGCTGGTTTGTTTGCTGAAAAGGCAGTCACGACGGTAGCCTGCTGTGCGGTAGGGCTGCGATACGCAATTGACGGCTTGCTTGTGCTGCAGCAGATTTGTTGGGGACATAGCTATCTATCTGCTGAGGGCGCCCTCGCGGCTTGACAGGTCTTGCATCAAGGCTTGCTCTCACATTTACGCATCCAGGTAGGTTGACTTTGGTCACCAGCGTGCAGAGACAGTAGGAGGTAAATGCAAGCGTTTGTGCACGTTGGCATCGAAATCCATATACGCCGTACATCAATATGTCCCTCCGATAGCATATGCAAATCACACAAATGGGAAATGATAGACGGGCACACCGCGTATAGTACGTGAGGTCATCGAATACATTATTTACTAGCAATACAATAAGAATAATATCCACACTACAATGCACAACTACCGCGCCAGACAAAGGCAGACGTTGATGGAGCAACAAAGGCGATGTAACCAAAAGCGAGCGAGCGACCCCAACACCATTACCTCCGAACCAACCAAGCACGCCGAGCAAATACCCAACACAAGCCCCTAGATATAGACAAACAAAGCGCCGTGTCAAATGCACACGAGAAGAAAAACCATATCATCCGAAATGACTGACATCTCCAAACCCAACAACCCGCTCTCTCCCTCTGGTCGCATTGCCTCCTTTCCCACCGGCCTTGCTATTCAAAACACCACCAAGTACAAGCCGCTGTTCAAAACTCGTCACTTTATCTTCCGCACCCTCCTCCCCTCCACCCCGACCAATTCCAAACAATCGCTCCCTGTTGACAGGCACGGGCGGCGCGCTCATGGATCCCGCCACGCCTCGGCCGCCGCCTACACGTCCAATGCCGCGCTTCTCGGGGCTCGGCGGGAGGAACGGGTGCTGGTGTTCTGAACGCTTGTTCCGCACAACGCTGCGCTTGCTGGGTGTCTTGAGGTAGCCCGGTTTCGCGGAGGGCGGCGGCATGGGCGTGGACGTGAGGAACAGCGAGGGGTCGTCGAAGGCGAGATCTTCGGGAGCAGCGCGGGTGCGTAGGATGGAGCGAGGCGGTTGCGGGAGGAAGGTGATGGGTCGTCGTGCGGGGGGCTGGGGGCGGCGGGAGGAGGAAGACATGGGGACGCGGCGGGTGGACTGGGGAGCGACGGGTGTTGGTGGGACTGATAGGCTTTGGGGCTGAAGGGATGCTGGGGGTGCCGGGGGCGGTGAGAAGGAGAGCGAGAGGTCCAGATTGTCCAAGCCCAGGGCGTTTTCGTCGAAGGCGGTCCAGGACTCGAGGCGTTGGGTTTCGGAGCCTGCGTCGGAGAAGGGCGTGGAGGTATCGGCGTCGGGGTCGTGAGGGCCTTCTCTGTTTGCCTCATTTTCGTCGTTGTCTGGACTTATAGTCGGTCGGGGGCCGCTGCCACTTGCACTCCCGCTGCCTTCATTGCCTCTTCCACCTCGTGTGCGTCTTGACGGCGTTGGACTGGTGGGCCGAGCAGCCCTGAGTTCCATGGCCCGTCCATACCAGTATTTGATCATGGTCCTCTGGTGTTTCTCGAAATTCCTCTGGTACAACGCAACGGCATTCTCCTCTTGTCTCTGTATATTCCAAAGGCGCCAACCAAGTTTTTTGAGCGCCAAAAGGCCTGCTACCTCGGTATTCTCCTGGCGTAGCGCGACTGCCAGTTCGTCCTTGGCTTGGATGGCAACGATCCGATCAGTCCAGGTGTTTAGATAGTGGTATTTGAGTCTGGCTACGTAGTGCTGTTGAGCTTCTGCATCCGCGGTGCGAAGGGCTGTCGCCCGGTTGTATATGTGCGATAGTAGGGTGGCCGCAAGGTCTAGTGTCCGGTTCCTCGCGATTTCGTTTGCCTGTGTCTCTTTCTCTCTCCAAACATCAGTCTTTGCTCTCCACGAAGCAAATGCTTTCTTGACAAGATTCATCTTCACCCTCCTCCTCATCTGAGAATATGCGTCGCGCCTCCGAACTCTGCGAGCATGCTGGGTGGCGGCGCTCCAGGTTTTGAGTGTTCGTGTAGTATATACGAAGAACCTCGCATCCTCAGCCCATCTATTCAATTGACCAAAATGGCTGTTTTTCTGTTTAAGCTTATCCAAGAATTGTTGCTTGAGCCTTTGCTCATACTGAGCTTTGATGGCGAACTCTTCGGCTCTCTTCTCAGCGGTGGCTACTTCTAACTTGCGAAGCGTGATGCGTAGAAGTTGCGCTCGTTTGAACTGGGCAAACCTTCGTTCAGCACCATCGAGGGTATTGCGGCGTTCATCGGTTCGAGTGACCCAAGTGAGAAAGGCAGACTGTTTGGTAGTCTGACTGTGTACGCGCTGAATGAGCGAGACGCGAGACGCAAGCGCCCATCTGTACATGGCTTCCACGAGCACGCGATCATTGATGCGTTCTTCCAAGGCTTTTATGCGCAAACGATCGTTCCAAGCAGTCCATGCATTACGTAGAAGCCGCATCTGGTCAGCTGCCTTGGCTTGTTGGGAGAGTATCGTGTGGCGTCTCCATAATGTGAGGAATCTCGCAGCAAGATGCGTGTTTGATTGGGTCTGAAACTGATCGAGGAGAGGCGCGAATTGGGAGTGCCTGCGTAGAGTGGAGACCGTGTTCTGTAGCATTGATCTTCGTCGGAATCGATCGCCTTCGGGCTCTAGAAGTTGAACTGTGACGACTTTATTTTTCCAAACATCTAGCGATCGACGCAGCAACTGCCGCTCTTTGCGATCTGTGGCCCCCTTGTCCCTGTCTCGAAGAAGAGTGACAATTTCGTGCCATCTCTGGAATATGGCTCGCCTTATCCGGACCTCACGCCACACCGGAGCAAGTCCTTCACAGTACCTGAAGAACCAGTCTCTGTAAACCCTGCGTGCCAGTTTCTCATTGTACATATTTCCAGCGAATTCCTGGCGGTATGTGACTTCGTCCATTCGTCGACACCACTTCTTGAGGAACCGTCCCAAAATGAAGTGTTGAATCTTGAGTTCATTGATGGCTGTAATCTCTCGCCAGCCGTTGAAGAACCGGGTTCGAAGGATATGACGACGTGCAACAGATGTCCTTTGAACCTCCTCTTCTGCGCTTTTCGCCCAATGAGTGAACGACTTAGTCAGCAGGAACAGGTCTCTGGCTTTGTCGGCGCGAGCTTCAAATTTCTGAAAAAATCGATCCGTCTCCCGAGCGTTGCGCCTTTGAACAGATCCAACACGCATGTCACCCATGGAGTCTTTCAGAAGCCTCCTACGATCGAGTGCAACCGCATCACGATCCATGTCTTCGTTCCTCTTGATCTGCTCTTGCGTCCGTTCCCGCCAACATTCAATGCATCTTCGGAGAAGAGCACGGAGTCGTCGGTTTGCGAACATTTCAGCGTCATCCAATAAACGAGTGTCAGAAGGGCGAAACGCTTCCGGTGCGTAGGATTGCATTTGTGAATGAGGTACGTTTGGGATGGGGGAATTGACGCCCGGTATCTGAACACGAGAAAAATCGAATTCGGATGTACTTTCACTTTCAGTATCGTATGCGGATGGTGGGCCCTGAACAGAGCGCCGAATGCGCAGACTGTCGTTACCATCCAGGGAGCCGGCAGATTTGGGAGGCGGTCCATGTTGACCGGAAGACACCCGACGCGTGTCGGCCGCAATCCCATCTTTCCTTGTGCGAATTGGAAGACTACCTTGATGCTGCGATAGCGCCCTCGCCTCCAAAACCTCGTTTGCTGTGGTGCCATCCGAGCCTCGTCTTAAATGACCGGTATCCGTGGGCCCTGCAATCTTGTCCGCGCTACCATCCAGAAACGAATCGAAGCTCGCGTGCCTCCCACGTTCAAGATGCAACCTTTTGCGTGGCAGAGGCTCTGGTTCTTCAGCGAGCGCATCTCTCGTTGCTATGCGAAACGGGGTAGTGACGTCAACACCGTCTCCATTTTCGTCCACGTCGATGGTGACACCTATCTCTTGCATCACCCGTTGATATCGCTGAACAAGACTCTCCCCTCTTTTTTTTCTATCCTGCATGAGTCTCAAGAACTTGTACAGAACGTCCACACCAACGTCTTCACCGCGATATCCACGTGTCCGCCTCCTCTCGTCGAGTAACTCATCGCAGGCATTGTAGAGGGCATCTTCGGTACGATCTGATGATAATTGAGTGCGCTGCACTATGTCGTAGAGAATTTCCACAGCTAAAGCCTCGATTAGCGACAAATTTATATTTTCAAGGTTGATAGTGGGCTACCTTGATCGCTCAAGTCCCTTTCGGAGAGCTCTGGCAACACGAAGCCTGTAGAGTCTGCATTGTCGCTCATGGGGGCCGACATTCGAACTCTGTGAGTTTCCAGCGCGTATGCGACAACATGAGCAGCGTCGCGTGGTGAAATGGAGATAGAACGTCGCGGGAATTCGTCGCGCAAGAAAGTTGAGGTGGAGAAGAGATGGTGCAAGAATTCAATTATAAGTTATAGCAAGAGGAAAAATCGAGCAGCCCGTCGTTGGCCTTTCACCCCATGGGCGTTGGAGTCGACGCGCTTTGTTGTGAGGTGGTTGGCCGCGCATCAACGCCGGCTCGTGCGCCAAGAAGAGCCGTGCGCGGGACCCCTGCCGTTTTCGTCGTGAGCTCTGAGCGCATCATTGAACACTTGCACGCCGCATCATCACCGGATTCCCAGTATGCCAGGCCGGACAAGACCTATCGACAAATTTGCTACAGCGGTAGCAAAATGCTCCGCAGAGGTATTTATTTGTTTTGAAACGTGTTGTTAATAGCAACTGACCGAAAAAGACATCGGCATATGGAAAATGTATACTGGTGGATTACAACAATGTCAGCAAAGATAAATGCGTCACAGAATTCATGAGGCTGAAGGATTGTTATCTGGTCAGTTAGTCCCACATACGTTGTACAGGTCATGGCTGATGCGATAGATAGGCAACAGCGAAGAAACGATAACTGTGGCGATGATCTAGAACGCAAATGTATCAAAACATGTTTATATAAACCGAACCACAATTCATTTCATGCATCTACCAATGCTTATTTGTTATCGAAACAATGCTTCCCTGCCCCATATCATGAATTTGCCTATAGCTTCACCAGTCGGAGCATGAATGTCGCCTTGTTCAATTCTTGCTCTTCCTGCGCGAGGACGCTTTCGTTGTCCTTTTCCGGTATTTTGCCATCCACCTCGGTGGCCACATGCTTGTCTAGATTCCTTCGGAGCGCCTTTTCGAACAAGGCACCTTGGTTCTCAAACGCACCATCGATACCGACGTTGTCGGGATCTGCCAAAACACTGTACTCCATGCGGACATCATCGGTGGGCACGAGACCGGCCTTCTTTCGCAAGTCTTGCACACGTCGAATGATTTCACGAGCCAGGCCCTCTTGCTCCAGCTCTGGGTAACTAGCAACATCGAGGATGATGAGAACCTCATTATCGGTATTGAATTCCTGGTCCTTGTTGTTGTCGTCCTTGGCTAAGCCACGTTTGACAGTGAGGTCGTCTTTACCCAGTTGGATTCCATCAACCTGTATTTCGCCGCTCTTCATGTAATCCTTGATCTGCTGGCTAGTCAGATTGGGCAGCGCTTTCTTGACTTTAACAGCATCCTTCTTCAACTTCTTTCCTAGAACAGAGAAATCGGCCGAAGCAGAGTATTGCACTTGGTATTTGTCCTCGTCGCTTGAAAGGATCAGGTTTCGTACGTTCAACTCTTCGGAAATATACGTTTCCAATGACTTGACGTCATCAAGATATTCTTGCTCGGGATGGATGACAACAAGTGTCTTGAGAGGAATCTTGAGACCCTTGTTCGCCCGGTCTCGGCAGATGCGACCTAGTTCAATGACGGCCTGCATACGCTTCACTTGACGCTCCACGGTTTCATTGAAGAGCTCCTCGCGGACTTCGGGGAAGGGGAGGAAGTGCACACTTTGGTTATCCTCGGCCTGAAGCTCTTTGGGGATGTGTGGGAGAAGACGGAGATAGATGTTGTCGGTAATGAAGGGGGTGAATGGGGCGAGTCCGCGGCAGAGGGTATATAGGACTTCGAAGAGAGTGTTGAGGGCGTGTTTGGTGTCTTCAAGACCATACTCGCCCTTGAGTCGGCGTCGATTGAATCGGATGTACCAATTGGTGGTGTCATCGATAAGCTTTGCAACTGTTAACGATGCGAATCAAAGTTCTGAGGGACGTTACTTACTTGAAGAAGTCGGGGGACCACCGTGTACAGTCTGTATGCTGCCATCTCCTCATTGACAAACTTGAGAAGCGACTGACAAGAAGCTAAAATCCACTTGTCAAGCACATTTGTATTTGTCTTCTCCGCGGAGGGGTCGAAAACGAAGTCTAGATCAGCGATCTTCTTCAACAGACTGACTTGCTGCTCAAAGAACTGATAACTGTTCCACAATGGCAACAGCACCTTGGAAACAATCTCCTTCACTCCCGCTTCCTTGAAACGCAGAGTCTCGGCGCGGACAACAGGCGAGTTGATGAGATACAGTCGAAGGGCATCGGAGCCGTAGTTATCCATAATAAGAAGTGGGTCAGGATAGTTCTTCAAGCGCTTCGACATCTTTTTACCGTCCTCTGCCAGGACAATGCCATTTACGACACAGTTCTGGAATGGTAATTTGTCGAATAGGAGAGTTCCAAGCACGGTGAGCGTATAGAACCAACCACGTGTTTGGTCCAAGCCTTCAGCAATGAAATCGCCGGGGAATGACTTCTCAAATTGCTCCACATTCTCAAAAGGATAGTGGGCACTGGCGTAAGGCATCGATCCAGACTCAAACCAGCAGTCGAAGACTTCCGGCGCTCTCCGAAGAACACCTTTGCCTTGTTTGCTGGGAATGGTAATGTCATCGATCTTGTCACGATGCAGATCTGTGATCTCTCCTTCATACCCGCTCAACTTCTTCAGCTCCTCGATACTGCCGATACAAATGACCTCTTTCCCGTCGTCGCTCATCCACAGAGGAAGTGGCGTACCCCAGAAGCGATTTCGCGACACCGCCCAATCAGGTGAATTCTGGATCCAGTTCGCGAACCGCTTCTCTTTTACGAAGGAGGGAACCCAATGGGAGCTCTCGATGTTCTTCAACATCTTGGGGATGCTGTCCTGAATACGGATAAACCAGGATGGTACGGTGCGGTAAATGAGTGGGGTGTCGGATCGCCAGCAGAATGGATAACTATGGGTAATCTGGGAGTCGACAACCAAGCGGCCGGTTGCCTTCAGGTGCTTGATAATGTTCTTGTCAGCCTTCTTCACATGCTGACCTTCAAAGTCTCGGACCACAGAAGTGAAGCATCCAGCATCATCCACGGGGTTCGGAGGAGGGCGATTCTCATCAATGATACCATTCGCAAGAGCCACTTTGTAATCGTCCTCACCGTATGCGGGAGCCTGGTGCACGATACCCACACCACTCTCGGCTGTGACGTATTCGGCGTTGACAACTTTGAAACCGTAATCTTTGAACTCATCGTAGATGTAGTCGAACAAAGGCTCGTACTTCCATCCCACCATGTCTTTTCCCTTGAGTTTCTCCACAATCTTGAACTTCGCCTTTTTGGGGTCCTTGTACAATGTCCGGAGAAGTGCTTCGAGTAGGATATAGTGCTTGCCGGAAGCCTCATCTAGGATCTTGATGTACTCAAATTCGGGGTGTGCGGCGAGCGCGCAGTTGGAAGGGAGAGTCCACGGCGTGGTCGTCCAGGCAAGGAGGTGTGTCGTCGAGTCGTGAACAAGCGGGAACGACACCACGACAGCAGGATCCTGTACATCCTTGTAGTTCTGGGAAGCCTCGAAGTTGCTGAGAGGTGTAGTCAAAGCTGTGCTGTAGGGCATAACTTTGAAACCCCGATAAACCACGCCCTTGTCGAACAATTGCTTAAATACCCACCACTCAGTCTCCATGAAGTTGGTATCCATTGTCTTGTAGTCATTGTCGAAATCAATCCAGCGGCCCAATCGGTCAATCGTATGCCTCCACTCGGTCGCATAACGCATCACAATAGCCCGGCATTTCTCGTTGTATTTGGCAATACCGATCTCGCGCACGGCATCTGCGCCGGACATTCCCATTTCCTTGTCGATCTCGTATTCGATAGGTACGCCGTGGGTATCCCACCCGAACCGTCGTTCGACATATCGGCCTTTCATGGACCAGTATCGCGGGATGATGTCTTTGATCGTGGAAGCGAGGAGATGGCCATAGTGAGGCATTCCGGTAGCAAAGGGAGGTCCATCTGAATCCGTCAGAACCAAGATGATGTTAATCGAGGAGCAAACGTACCGTAGAAGGTATAAGGCTGCTTTCCTTTGGACTAAAGATTGGAGCAGAATGGTCAGCGTGAGAAACCAGAAAAGGCTGCCAGAAGTTGTTATGAATCACAAGGAGAGTCCGGAAAATATTGTCGCATGATACAAGATGAGGTATTTGGACACCGAAAAATGTTTTTTTTTTGGGTACATACCAGTTCAACTTGTCTATGAAAAGCGTTGATTTCCTGCCAGCGCGCGAGGATGCGCTCCTCCTCCTTCGGGAAGTTCATCGACATGGCTGTTGGGGACTCGAAAGCTTGCCGTGGCGGGGAACTTTGAATGTTTTCGTGGTGTTGACTCAACGTGGGGCACATTGAGCTGACTCATCGTCTTATCGATAACCACATCGTCCACCTAGCCCGCGGTAACGGTCTATTGGACCAAGGTTATCCCATCACTCTCCCATCTTCACCCAGGACGTGTTTACAGAGTTATATTCTTGGTTGTATGTCCGTGTTAGTACCGCCGTATTGGGATTCCACACTCGACTGACACTACCGCGGAGTCAGCAAAGTCAGTTGCCTTTGAACTGATGTTCACCCAACGATCAAACCGTGAGAACGACTACAACAGCCCTCTGATCACCTTGATCGCAGCCGCAACTGCGATTTGGACGACGCGTCAGATTTCTCTCGGTCGCCAGGTCCAGACGCAGAACTCACGATTTCAACTTATCTCCCGCAATGCACCATCCCATGATAGGTTCAAGCGTAGCATACTACCGCCGAGTCGACGAATAAAGCCTCCCGTGACGCCGTATGATACGTATGCGCAATTGACATGACGCAGACTCCACCCCGTCTGTTCACCTTTCACTACCCATCTGCCGAAGCACTAACCCTAACCTGATATCGTGGAGGACATAGCCATACGTCTTACCTACCTAAGCGTTGACAGTCTTTTATGCATTGAGGTCTGAAACGGTTGACAGAGCTAGCAGACGCGTTTGCTTTGTAAACTCTTGGCCTCTGAAACGCCACAGGCATCGGATCGTATCATGTCGGCTGGTGTTGCTGGCTGCAGAATCCCGACAAGCGAGAACTTGTATTAACGTGGTACATGTTTCGTCTTGGCCACGGAAGCATCTGGGCGACCCAACCAGGTGGTTGGTTCACGTCCTGGACATCGGACTTCTCGCGGCGCGGCCCGATAAAAGATGCCTGACTGTTGTAGGGCCGCGTAGGCCTCCACCACGAGACTTTTTGAACGTTTGGTATATAATGCAAGAGCTTGAGCGTTGAAGTGGGATAAACCATCTCAAAGCATTCTTCTCATATCTTCCCTTTCTAATCTTCTCTACTTTCGGCTGGGCCGTTTTCCACAACCCGCATATCAACTGCTTTCTATTCACTTTCTTTGCGCTAAGATGCATTCTTTCAACTTCATCGTCGCTCTGTTTTTCGCCCTCATCGGGTTTTCTGCAGCCTTCCCGCAGTTCCATTTTCTCGAGGCCCGCGAGAAAGGCGAGAAGAACGGCACTTCCAAGGCGAAGAACGGTACCAGCGGAAACTCTATCAACAAAGAGTGCAAGCAAATGGCTAAGCTCACAGCGCTTACCGCATTTGCCAACAACCAAACAAAGATTGATGCTCTGACTGCGAAAGGGAAGCTTGACGATTCTAAGGTGGCAGCACTCAAAAGCCAGGCCGCAGAAGCATCCACCAAACTCCAGGCAATGACAGCAAACACAACCCTCGTCAGCGAGTGTGCCGTGGTTTTCGCTCATAAGAAGACGGTGGGACAGTGCAAGCAGATGAAGTCTTTGGCCAAACTCGCCTCTCTCGCCTCCAACCAGACTGCTATGGATGCCATGATCGCTGCCAAAAAATTGAACGATACCCAGGCCGTCATGTTGCAGGACAAGGTCAAGTCCGCGCAGACCAAGCTCGATGATCTAAAGGCCAACACGACACTGACGGATATCTGCTCCAAGGAGGCTTCGCAGAAAGGAGCTAGCGATAGTGCGTCTGGCACCGAAAGTACCGGTACCACCAACGCGGGTGCGGCTGCGGCAAGCCAATCGAGTAGTGCAATGTCGGCTAACATTGAGAGCGTTTCATTTGCGCTCATCCCTGTTCTCGTTGCCACTGCTTCTCTTTTCCTGTAAATACACTACGAACCATCGGGAGTCGGGATGCCGTGTTGGCGGTGTGGAATACGTGTATATACCACTGTGACGCATGTCGCACAGGCTTTCAATTCAACAAACATGTATATACTACTGGATGGGGATCGTGAGTTGTATAAATCCTTCGCCAGTTTGCAATCGGGGTGGACCTTTCCCCCTTGTACCTTTGATACCTAGCGAATACCAACATTTTTATCTGCAAATACTGCTCAAGTGTACACTTTATCAGATATCTAATGCAGCATAAGCACTTGATGAATTACGAAGCTGCTTTCTATATGCTATATCATGCATTGAAAATGCAGCAGAGCCTTCTATAACCCACAATGTGTGGACTATATTTGCTTGTATTATCTGAACTGTTTCCGGTCCCTTGGTGTAATACTGTACACATTAAGACAATCGCTCAACATTCCCTGATGGTGAAGAAACTGCGTACGCATTTCCGAGTTCCGGAAATAAAGATATCGAGGGACTGAGACATGCAGAAAACAGCGTTCCACTCGCGCGGTGTGTACTCAGATTCCTTATTTTAGTGTTCCATCCCTGCGACCTTGATTAATCACAATGTAAGTAGACCTCGCTTGTGTCACCCACATTCACATTATGGCTTTCCTATTTAAGAACTCTCCCCACAAAATTCTTTGTTCGCAACCCTCATTTCAAAATCACGACCCGCTTATCAAGCTCCAGACATACTTTCTACGCTTTGTGTACTAACTCAATCTTACATCATGGCTGATTGCTCTATTGAAGCTACACTCGAATCTGTGGAAAGTCTCGAGGTCCATGGTACTTATGATTTGGGAGGAGGACGCCGCGGCGCAATTTCTGAGCCAAGTGGGGAAACCGGGGATGGATCTAATGGAGACCAGGCTTGAGGCTTTTCACAGGACGACCGAGTCCCTGAAGGCCAGGGAAAATTGTTGCTTACGTCAAGATCTGTAAATTGAATGATTCACGATTCGTGGATAATAGACAAGAAATTTGATCAAGACGCATTGAGATATTACCAGAATGGCACTGAAACCCGGATAGATGCTCGCCACTTTGAGATATACCACATTGAATGATAAACTACTTGCGACCTAAATTTACATTAAATTTAAACTCTCGTCTTCTCCCACTCTTGTAGCCACCCCTCGATCTGATGTGCTCTCTTTTGAGCGTCTTTGATATCAACCCATCCTTCACTGCTATCTTTACCTTCTCCAAACGCCATCAGTGATCTGAATACTGTGCGTGCTGGAATTGGGAGTTGCTGCTCCGCTTCGCCCCACTGCCACTCAATCTCTTCCACTTTATCATTCTCAAACCAGTGGATATGAATGGTGATGGGCTCGTCATTTGGAGAGGCGCCAAAAGAGAGTGTAGAAGGAGATACAAGTCGGATCTCGCCGAACTCGCAGTTGATTGTCCACACAAGGACCGGTGTGCCAGGGAAAGGCTGTCCGCGACGGAATAGGTAAGTCAGAGTCGCGGAGGATGAAGCGATGGTTCCATGCAGGGAGAGAAGATCTGGCACATTGGAACGAACAGTCCCTACAATGTTCTTTGTAGCCGGGTCTCGCACGCGAACGTTCGGGCGCTGAAGTTGCAATGCCGTATGTGTGGTAGACGGCGAGAGCTCACCGAGCACAGAGAGAATGGTATCGAGTACTATATGAAGATCAGCTAACATCATTTCATGTGTGAGGAGAAACTTACAATGCGCGTTGCTAATGGTGATCAAATTTCCGCCAACGTCTCGTTCCGCGAAGTATTTCAAGCCGGTGGGAATAATCTCACGGTCGTTTGTGCCTCCAAATGCCCTCACATCACTGCTTAATACTTTTCCCAGCTTTCCGTTCCCACCTTTCAACAGTTCTCTCAGCTTCAAAGCCTGGGGCGCCCATCTTCTCTGGATGCCAACTGCAACTCGGCTTCCACTCTTTTCCGCTTCTTCCACTAAAACGTCGATGTCCTTCATGTTCCCTGCAACCGGCCATTCGACGTACACGTCTTTCCCTTTCTTGATGCTAGGCAAGATAGTTTGGAAGTGCGCATCGACGCGAGTGTTGCAGATCACGAGATCGATGTCGGGATCGTTGGCGAGGTCTTCAGGGCTGCCGTACGCTTTGGTGTCGGGAGAGAGATTGTAGACGCCGATGGCGCGTTTTGCGGCGTCTACGCTGCTATTCAGAAGTGCTTTGATAGGTAGGACCGAGCGGCCTTGGGGGGTGAGTAGCCCAGGGAGGTGTGCACCTGAAGCCCATGATGTGGTGGCGCTTGAGGAGAGACCGATGAGTGCTGTGCGGAGGGGCATGTTGTTAATTGCTGATTTGGATTGTGTTTTTGGATACGAAGGGAGCGAGTATAGTCAGGAAATTGAGGGGTATGGAAGCTTTTATGTGTATTGGTCGAACATTCATTGTTGGTTACTGAACTGATTTGTAATGCGGAGTGCAGCAAGCGTACATCTGAGAACGGGGCGAGTGTGCTGGAGAGACGACCATTACATACATGTATGTAGTATTCACACGATAGGATTGTGACATTTGAAGAAACAAACAGGAGGACTAGATTCCAGGAGATTATGCTCAGTGCGGCGAGGGCGGCCTCACTTCTGACCCCACAACTAAACGCGTTCCTTCCTCTCTTAACGATCACGTGACCATACCGCTCGTTGCTTTCATCTGGATGTTCTTCGTCATATCCCTTATTTTCCTTCTCACGCTTTTTGATCCTCCGTCTCCTTGAGTCATGATTCATATGCTCTCCAATCTTATCAACAGGGTCCGTACCGCAACGGCTTTCCGTTATTGGTAGGCGGAGTTCCACTCGAACAAGAAATTGTTTGCTGGTACTGATATTTTGTGCACCGAAAACGAAGAGTTCGTGATTCGAATACCCTATATACAACCTGGTAAAAGCCGATTCCAATGTCCCGGAAATTCTGCACTCCGATTCGAATCATGACCCCTTTGTGGCAATACACGTCCATGACTTAGCGAGTCTGGTTTTGATACCGCGATGGCATTGTGTATTGTAGTGGAAGAAGGTGAGTTATGTCCAAATTAGAAATGTAATTGGAAATTGACCATATAGAGATAAAGCAAGTTCCAGCTGTCGAGAAGGCAGTTACTGGCCTTGAACACTTCGCGGTCTTTCCATGCCGGATGGTCTCAGGAGCTGGTAAGCTCGATGAAACCGTTGATAAATCGAATAATGAACCGGAGAGTCTTGAATGTGAGCCGTATAGTACTGCACACTCCCTTTGCAATATGATATGCTAATTGGATGATTTTGATAGTTATCACAACAGCTTTCATCATTTTCTTAGCAATGGAACCAGTTATCCTGCCGGCCTTGAGAGACGCATTAATCAAATGATGGGCTAGGGTCTTGCAATCTTGGAGGTCGAAGATTCTCCGATCTTGTTTCCATGGCTTCTTGTACAGGTGCCTGAGCAAGTCGAGAATACCACGGCGGATTTGAAACTTGATGTTAGGGTTGATGACGCTGACACATGTAGCTTGACGAGCTTCCACGCATTCTTCTTCCGTTATCTCTTCCCATTCATCTTCATCTTCCGTGCTTTGACGAGCTTCCAGACATTCTTCAGTCGTGAGCTCTTCCCATCCTTCATCAACTTCTTCGTTTTGACGGGTTTCCAGACATTCTTCAGTCGTTAAATCTGTCCATTCTCCGCCGTCTTCTTCGTTTTTTTGAGCTTCGGGAGCTTCGGCAGGCACAATGTCCTCCCAATCGTCTTCACTATCTGACAAGCCGATGATATCGACTTCACTTTCGGATCCATGTTTTATTTGAAACCAGTCCCCATCGGTATTTTCAATGGCTGCAAAGCCATGATCAGTATCATATTGAGACTTGACGGATGAGTTTCTCAATTCCGAGCGTGAAGCATCATTGAACGACATGTTTGCAGATTTACAGTGTACAGTTGAGAATCAAAAGGCCGCTTATATCAGTCGAGGGGGACTTTGTAAGTTGTGAGTGGAATGAAGCCTTCAAGTAAGTTTGGCTGTAGAGAAGAGTTGAGCTGTCGTTATTCAACGTGAGTGAATATTGTGGTAGAATAAAGCAAAGAGAAGTAGTGGTGAGATCAAGTATCCAGTCAAGTATGACTAAGTAGAAGAAGGTTGAGGTCTTTCCAGGCCGTGGTTGTGATTTTGGGCTGGTTGATAACACTTTTGGTCGAGTGAACACAGCCGAAACAGCAGAGTATACCTATATATTGAGAGACCTGCATGCAAACCAAATATCACACACATCACGTGAAAGTGTAGTAGCATCGCGATAGGATATATATAAACGTCTAGTGGAAAAATATATAGACATTTCCCAAAATCAGATGTATTCTAGTTTAATTTGAGTAAAGATGAGTTCCCTGATCCTTTATATCTAAAGAAGCAAATGAGTTACCGAGCAAATGATTGCGATTTGCTATCAGACAAAAACAAGGAGAAAGAACCCTCTCTTCAATCAAGCCCCTTATACCTGACCATTGTGCAAACGCACCTAGTAGCTCATCGTACCATCCACACCCCCCTCTATCGTTGTTCATTGCCGATGTACATGCTGCGCTCTTTCCCCTGGATGTGCCCGCCATATAGTGATCTATAGCAAATTGCCTACGAAAACTTCACTTCGAGTCCCAACTAGTCAGGGTACTCTGATCGAACAGGAAGATTTGACACTACATGACCCCAAGAACCTATATGCTGTTTTCTGGCTCCAATGACTGATTCGGCGATTCGATGTAGCAGCCAACGAATTGAACATGAACATGCAGTTTTTGATCGTCTCTACTATATGTGCGAAGAGATCATCAGTGAACTGTCAAGACGACTTTGTGTCATGGGCCAGTTTTGTTCTTTCACAAAGTGCACTGGGCGCGGACTAGGCCAAACATACGTTTATTAGCAAAGCCAAAGAATCAGCGCAATCAATTCCAGGCCTGGCTATCAAAGCAGCATATTTCTCGCTAAACCGAATGCTTGTCGTTTCCGTGTGAAAGAAATGCAGCCGATCGCATGTTGTTGTTGTCAGTTGACAGAGTGCAGAGTAGTTGAACTAAGAACACCCCACCTGCGGTGCATGCGGTACGTTTGTATCTCGCAACCGGGGGGATGAACGCGATGAGATATATTGCAGAGTCAAAACTTTTCTCCGGAGAGGTCGCTACGCTCATTTCTAATTATTCGAACGCCTACGGATTGATCAAGATAATGCTGTAATGTAGAACGAGCGCGATGCCACAAAGAGTTATTTTGCCAATGCTGTGTTTCCGAATTCCCAATTCCGGAATAGCTGGTTGATTGACCGTATTCCAATCAACGAGCAACTGGATTATGATTTTGGTATAAGATAAGCGATTCAAGCTCGCCAGGGCTTGGAAAGCAGCGTCCGTATCGAGGTCCCTTCTGGGAACATGACATATGTCGATATTTTCTGACTCACTGGTTTATTCATCAGAGGAACTAGTGCATCCAATTTTGTGCCACCAGAAGGCAGTCGCGTGTTATTACTAAGACGGTTTCCGGGGCAGGAGCTGCGCTTTCCTGCTCGACCGCCATCTTCTCCAATCTATGCACCTGATCATGACCGTTCAGTTTCATTTTTCTGGATGCCAAAAATATATCTCTCTCTCATTCGGCACTTCGTAAGAACATTGTCAAAACCCACAACGGGCCGTCCCAAAGCCCGCCCTTTCGGGTTTGATTGTCATCCGTATCACGATAATAGGGCATCTACACGGACTAGACAACTGGCAATGGTATTCGCCAACACACATTACAGGATGATAATGCTTGATTCATCTCAGGTTATATTCCCATGGATGACATCATATCACTAGCGCCCAAAATTAACTTCAATCAATGCAGGAACGGAAGCCCGCGTCGCTCCACACTTCGATTCCCACCCTCCGATATCCCCACCAAAAACGGGTTCGGATCCTGAATATCGCAAATAGTCCCCGCTGCAGGAAGCTTTCCTGTCTGCATAAAGTTCGAGAAGTGCGCCGAAGTGCAATTGGACACGGCTGCAGTAGTCCCATGGCCGACTGCGTCCTGCTTCAGGATAACGGAACCAGTATAGAAATTTGCCATCTTTTCAGCGAAGGAAGAGATTGGATCCAGTGTGTTTTCGGCAAAAAGAAGGGGGTTCGCCGTCTGCGTCTCCTTGTAGCCTGTGATGGGTTAGTCTTGAAGTCACGGTATCTGTGTGGAAAGCTTACCAGGGAAGATCTGGCTCTCTGGCGGCACAAACGCGTGCTTGCGGCAGTACACAGGAATAGTGCCTGACCAAATACTTCCAAGATATCGGCTCACATTATCTAGGTATGAGATATGTTGCTGCATCTTCTCAAAGCTGCTGATGTTGTAGCTGCCGTGTTGGTCGTTGCACCCGACAATGTTTCTTGTCCCCACCTCCCCGTATTTCACGCTAGGCTCACTACAATCGGAAGGAGGCATGATACCTTTGGGGATATCGAGCTCAGATGTGAGCTTAATCATGGATGTGGCATTTCTTTGTTCCAGTTGAGCAAGGATGCCAGCCGTGGTAGGGAATGAGGATGGATTGTAAACGGCGAGCAAGACCCCGTACATCACATCAGCCCACTTGATCACTTTAGGGAACTGCAAGAACCGAGGGTCAGATACGGAGATCGGTTCTCGCTTCAAATCCGCAATGAGAGCATCGAAACGCTCCTGCATATCCTGTGCACTGCTGTCGTTCTTGAAGAAAGCGCAGGCAGACCGGGCCTCATAACACAATTCGAAGAACTTGGTCATTGTTGCATCTGCCTGTCGAAGCGAATGCATCCATGTACCGCCATAATGCTCTTCAGCGTCAACAACACCACTGATAATCATCCGCCCGACCCTCTCCGGGAACAGACTCGCGAATGTAGTACCGAGAGTTGATCCGTAAGACACACCATAGTAGTTGAGCTTGGCCTCATCCTTTGGCTCACCGCGACTCTCTGCTAGTGCTTCCGCGTATGTCAACATGTCTCTGGCTGTTGCCGGAGTATTCACATATCGTGCCGTTTGGTTCAAGGTCTGAGCGCACCAGTCTCCGTAACCTGGTGTTATGAGAAGGAGTTAGCTATATCGTCATGCTAATTCGTATCTGGAACGTACTAACCTCCTGCGGCAGTCCAGAAATTGCGCACTTCTTGTTCATTGGCGGGGTCATAATTAGTGTTGAGTAGGGAATAGTAATACTCCCTTACAAAAGGTTGACCCGGGAAGCAGTCGACACTGGGTCCGCTGTTGTTGACGCCACGCGGATCCATTCCAACGAGATTGTAGGAGGTCCCAAGGAGGTTGACCAGCCTGTTCTTGCCTCGTAACAGCCAGCCCACTCCAGAACTTCCCGGCCCACCGGGATTGAGTATGATGTCTCCCATTGCGGGTTGATTCGGGGTTTCCCATCGCAAGAGGGCTATATTAGTGGTACCGGCAGAAGCATCTTCGTGGTCCAATGGAACTTGGAGGTTTGCGCAAGTGAAGTCGGTATAACAAGGTTTCCAGGAGAGAGACGAAGTAGCGGGGATCTCATCCCAGCAAGACACGGTAGAATTTTGTGAGAGCGCAGGAGTGGCGAAGATGATTGTAAAAAATGCCAGAGGAACCCCAAGACGTCCAATCATGATGATGACGTGACTCCAGAATGGATAGTAAAGAGTTGATGACCTGATTAGAGTAGTGGAGAAGTTATCGGTACTTTGAGTTTCTATGCCGCTATGCCTGTAGAACTGTAGCGTTATAAAGTATCTTCTTTTGGTTCGTGCAAGTAACGCCCAGTAATTGCTGTTATGACCGCCGACTACGAAAATGCGAGTATAAACCGCACTCTGAGTTCTCCAGACACAGCCGCCTCAGCCACGACTATTGCTCCACGTTACGGAAAAGATGTTCAATGGATCAAAAGCTCTGGCCCTCAATACTATTAGGTTTCAAGTATGCACAGATCGCCCTCGAGCGCTCCTTCCCGCGCCGCTCTATTGCAGCGAGACCGCTGATTCGCCCCGCCGTTCCCCAGATTCTCCATCCAACGCCTGCATGTCTAGCTTTCATGACCGTTATGACATCCCATGCCAGCCTTAAGAGCCGCGTCATGCTGTATCGATTCCGCCCCCAGCCACGTTTGATGTCTCGCGCGGGTTACTATATATACCCCGGTCGTTGAGTCCTTCGTCCCACGCGACTGCTTATGGGGGCCCTAAACGGGTCAGCTTAGTTCGTCCTGACATCGTGAGTGTATACATATGGCGTACAGTTTGCGAAATATGTTTGCGTGTGACTTGATACACCGTGTTGGAATGGAAATATATCTTTGGCCCTGTTCTGAGTGGGGAAGGGTGAGATTAGATCCCCGCTTAGTCGACGTCTAATGAAATGTTCGAATGTTCTGTTACTACAGCACAGCGTTCTAGTCATTTCTACAAAGTCCAATACGTCATGTTGACTTTTTGTAATATTCTAGCTCCTCCCAAACGGGTATTTCTTGAATCGAAGTTGGGTTGTGTCTTGCACCGTCCCATTTTTCGGTATACTGGTGTATCTTGTGCGTATGTCGCTTGACCATACTGTTACAACCTTCGAGTAGCTATAAGCAGTTCTTTTCGTCCTCGCCTGATACTATTCAACTGCGCTGCCTAGGAGGTTTCGCCATAGTTGGCTCGCTTCTCGAACTAACCACAACCAGAATGCCCGACATCTAAGAGATGAATAACCGTCCGCTTACCTCATCATACCCAATTTCGAAGAACGGTTCTGCCCGTAGCAATAGTTTTTTTGCTATAGGGTTGAGGACTACTCGGCAGTTGTTTCGGGATGCAATACTATCGGGATGAAATGCCCCTGTTCATGCGCCTAAGTCAACGTGGTAAATGTGGGGTAATTGCATCCGCCCAAGGATCTACAGCATAGATATATACCAGTCCTCGCAATTGCCAGATTGTTGAGCCGATACATGTTTCATGGAAATCAATATTCCCTGGATCCTCAATAATTTTCGTCCCTACGAGTACTTCAACATGAAGATCGGTGCCAGAAGCCTGGTCCCGTACTGTGCTTGTTTTGCGCAAGCTTGCATGACCAAGGAAAGCTTACCAACCGCAACCGTGGACAGAGGTGTCGTTATTGGAACCACGACAACCATAGCTGAAGCAACCGTGAAAGTGAACCAGTACCTTGGGATTCCATTCGCGTCCGCGCCTATTGGTACGGGTCGCTTTTCTCCACCGAAACCGACGAGTTGGGTTGGATCTCTGCAGACCAAAGAGTTTAAACCTTCGTGTATCCAGGTTTTCAGTGCGTTGAGATCCTTAAGTATCAATCCCTAGGCTAACCCTCAGCAGATCCATACGACTCCAGAGATTTCATCCAAGATGTCTTTAGTGTTCCCCGTCCGGAGGAGAGCGAGGACTGTCTCTACCTCAACGTTTTTGCTCCAAGAGACGCAAATTCCAAGAATAAAACGGAAGGGAAACAGCCACTTCTACCCGTACTCTTCTGGATCTATGGCGGCGGGTACAAGTTCGGCAATGCAGGCCAGCCCATTTATTCAGGCGCCCCAATGGCAGCACTGGAAGATGTAATTGTCGTCAGCATCAATTATCGCACCAACCTGTTCGGGTTTCCCATCTCACCCTCCATAACGAATATTACGGAGCGCAACCTCGGATTACTGGACCAGCGGGCAGCTTTGGACTGGGTACAGCGCAATATCGAGGCATTCGGGGGGGACCCCTCCAGTGTGACGATTTTCGGTCAGAGCGCTGGAGCATTCGCTGTTGATGTTCATCTGACGAGCATTTGGCCGAACGAAGAGGCTCCTTTCCGTGCAGCTATCATGCAGAGCGGGACTTATTCTTACAATCCCGTCGCGCCGTGCAACAACACTGATTACAAAGGTTGGAATTCGCTGCTTGATCATACAAACTGTACCAACGCGACTTCGCAGTATCAGTGCATAATGGACACACCTGCAGATGACCTGCGGTATGCCCAAGAACAGTACAACATCAACTTCGGCATGGGCGGTGACAATTACACAATCGTGTGCGATCCACGAGTGCGCCGTGAAGCAGGGCGATTCGTTCAAGTGCCCGTCATCGGCGGATCGACCGTCGACGATGGAAGCTACTACGCAGCCAAGAACGGGACAGACATAGACAAATACTTCTCGACGGTGTTCGCCAACGAAACGGCTCTCAAGGAAAGTGTACTCGCTGCTTACGACCTGAACCCTGCAGAGGGCCGGGTTGACAACCAGACTATTCTTGCACAGATACACACAGACTGGAACTTCCACTGCCCTGCCATGTTTCTTAGCAACTCGTCAACACAATATGTACCCACGTACCGTTACATCTTCAATGCGACGTTCCCCAACCAGCGACTTGCACATTTGCCCGACAACCGATGGCCCGTATCCGCCCAGAAAGCGTATCACTCATCAGAGATTCCGATCGTGCTTAGCACTTATAATCGAACTAATGCAACAATGGCGCAGGTGGCTTTGAGTAACACGATGCGGAAAGCTTGGGCGAGGTTTGCGAAAGATCCCTGGGAGGCTCCTATTCCTGGTTGGAAAGTGGCAGGAAGGAACGGCTCGTTCGTCATGGACTTTGGAACGAATGGGGGCAGTAGCATTGGGGTGCGGCGGGATGAGACGGGCAAGTGTTGGGTCTGGAAGGATTTCATTTGGAAGAAGCATCAGTAGAAATGAAATCCGGCGTGCTTCTTTCTGGACAAACGAGCGCAGCATCTCGTATCGACAATGATTTCCATTCCTTGATGGAATTGAAAGACACATGCTTGATGATCTCGACTCTTAATCGATCATTTCACGGTTCACTGGCCACTGGCCACTGAAATGACGTGCTGGTTTGAATAGGAAAAAGGGCAACGGTGCTCGGACAGTGATACCATCATGGTGCCGGCACAGACCACGCATAGATGCTGTTAAGCAGGATTTCAGAGAATTCACACAGTTGTTCTTCAACGGAAAGAGCACGTTCGGACACAGCGACATTGGCCACGTTTGCAATGAGCACAATAATTCCTGGAAATCTGCATACAGAAATCTGCTGTCAAGTGGATAGCCTGTTCCTAAGTCTATCATGCATGGTGGCCAATAATCTTTACTTTCGCATGTGACGAATGAGGTTATACAGACCAAGTACGTGTGTAGGCTTTAGCAAGATTATTATGTTTTTAACAATAACGACGTCAATGTCGCTACAAGAAAAGACTGGTGATTGGCCCGCGTATCGTGTCAGCAGTGGCAATATGACCGCATTAGGCACTGACACATTGGCACGCCTAACATTACTGGCTTATTTAGGGAAACTCTATGCAGGCTGAGCCAGTACACGGCCAGTACACGGCCAGTACACGGTCAGTCTGAGGCTATTGCTTTCATCATCCCAATAACGTTTACGGGCAACAACTGACCGCCCACAATATTGATAGACGGCTTACCTACTCTTCGGAACAAAAGATGTAACATATAGTCCAAAAGACGAAATGTCCGATCAATGCAGATATAAGATTGTTGACGTATGAGCTCAGGCGCAAGAAAAGACCCCAAAACGACCGACGATCAACATCCTCAAAATAGATTCAAGACGTCGATGCGCTCAATTCCTGAAGATATAAATGCAGCATCTGCGCTGCTTGTTGACTATTCTTCACCAACATCACAAACCATCCATCTTCACTACACAAGACCAATTCCAATCTACATTCCACTTCCTACTCAAACCCAACCCCAAAAAACAATCTCCAAACCAAAATGAACTACCTTACCATTTCCCTCGCGGCTCTTTCCGCCACTGCCTCGGCAGTCCCCACCCTCCAAACCCGCGGGGAAGGCACGAGCTTCAACCTGCGCGTGGGCCCTACCCCAGACGCCCCCGACGCCGTCGCCGCCCTCCGCAGCAACATCTGGTCCGTCGGCTCCGAAAACAGCCAGGCAAAGCTCTTCACAGACCGCAGCAAAGGCGCCCTCTTCTACGAATACGGGCCCGAAGCCAGCTCGAGCGTGGGCTTCGCGTCGAACGGCTTCATGATCAAGCCCGGCGGGACCGCGACAGTGCCCGCCGTCCGCGCCATCGAGCTCGAAGTCAACAACGGCACCGCGGGTGTCGAAATCGTCAAGGACACCAACTTGATCCCGAAACTCGCCTTCGATAATGGCAGGTTCCAGGCCTGTGCTGAGTCCGCGGGCCAGACTGATGGGTTTATCTTGATCTATGTGCAGGAGGGTCAGAGGAATCTTGCGGACTGCGCGGCGGTCGATTTGATTTCGGTTTGCTCTGGCACTGGGGTTGGTGCGCCTTTGTTGGGGCAGTTGGGCAAGCCTCATGTTGTGGATTGCCAGTCTAACTAGATTAATGGCAAACTTGGAGAGAGAGAGGAGGGGGAGGGGGAACACGGGTTACGGGGATAGGCAAAGAGCATGCGACTCGTCTTTAGATTTCTGACCGTGTACAATATTTACCCTAGTCGTTTATGTACTCGAATATACTTTGTGCATGGCATCCACTGTGCTGGGAAAGATTGGTTTTTGACTGTATTCTTGACGTTCCGCGATGACATCAGAGGATGAGTTTTCAGCTACATATGTAGACTGACCGACGGCAGGTGACATAAGAGTCTTGGTCACGGTGATGCGATTGGGATTTGGAAGGTATTCGATATCATTCTAAATGTATATATGTGATAGGGAAACTAGCAATGTGGTGTTGAAATAATTTCTTTTTCGCTATCTCTGCATCAAAACTCTCGGAATCTTGAGCGGAACTCTTCCGCCGAGACCCAGTAGCGCTATCAATGCAAGCGAAGGATCATGTTTCGTGTACATGTGGGGTCGCTAAGCCTCTAGGTCGATTACTGTGATCTATCGTCGCATTTCCACGCGGCAAACACTTCGTGTAGCATACGAGGTCGGGAGCTGTTCCAATTGGTGTGCCGATCCGGAGACGAGAGTCGACGCCCCCAACACAGCGGTCGTCATATGCAGACAGGGGACTTGGCATACCAACATACAGTTGAAACAAAAGAAAGCGGTGAACAGTCTGGATCCTCGCTAAGCCGATCGGCACCGTCTGCTATTTACTCGTTGCCCTGTTCCCAAACTTTGAAATTGAGCCACCCGACTACTTTGTTCCCAATCTTTGCGTTTGAACATGGAAAGAACAGCGGAGCAGCCAAACCAAGATGCGGAGCGCAACATGTTGAGCGATCAGGTACTACCGCCCTCTGCGCAGCCTTGTTCATGATTTACTAATTGTCCATCTAGGAATCAATCGTTACCTCAGAGGTCCGACGGGAAGTCGTTTTGGCGAATGTCAAGAAATCCCCAAGGAGATGGGATGCCCTTGAAGAGCGGATCGGCCGTATGCCTCAACCTCCAGCCGCCATCTTAATTCAGGAACCGCCACCCGGCTATGCGTTCAAGCGATTTCACGGCTACGAACGATCCTGGACAATTGGCGGCGACCACGCAAACTGTGATGATGATGCCGATGATGATGATAACAATGATGATGATGATGATGATGATGATGATGATGATGCACCTGCCAGCATGGTCAAAATTCCAACCGGAAATCCTCTTGCCGCAAACTCTCCAACGTCGACGTCGAACTCTCCCAATGGCGGTGGTTCGGGGAATCCAAAGGTGGAAGCTCCGCCAGCAGCCAACCGTAAACGTCTGGGTGGCATTGCTTTTCCGATCCATCGTTCTGTCCCCTCATGGCGTGTCGTAGAGGCGGTCGTATAGGCGGAGGGCAGGAATCGTGGCGAACCTGCTACTTTAGGAATCTCGCTGTCTCGCTCTTAAACAGTATTTTAGCTAGATTAGAAACTATATAAATATATGTACTAGATATTTAAATATATATTTATAATAATTGAATGAAAAAAATGAAAATGAATTTGATACTAAAGTCCAAAAAATAAAATAAGCTAAAAGTGCATTACCAGGCACTATAACAAAGTAAATAATCTCCCCTTCTCTGTCATCACTTCTGAACTTAACTACTAACCCGCGAGGGGTCACCCGTGGTCCAGGATTTGAGCTAGCAGCCTGGCAATTAGTCGTCTGCCTTGGAATCGTGCAATTCAGGCTTTCTGACACATCAGTTGTCGTCCCCATAGCCTGGATACGATATGTGCTGGGGGCCGGGCATTTGCCTTCGTACGACTGATCCTGAGTATGAGATGGTATGTAGTTATTAACAGGCTGCGCGTGATACTGGGTGGCGCCGGGACGGCATTCTTGTCTAGTATACGAAAAAGGACCGTGGCTGGATAATAGCTGTTGATACTGTCCTGTGTGGTACATAGCAGGAGCGTGGGTAGGAGCAGGAGAAACTTGTTGTCCTGTATAGAACGTTGCACTGTGGTTGAATAGGTAGCTAAGAACTTAAGTAGTAGTAGAGTAGAGATGTTAATTCGTGTGCAACAGGACGTCGTAATAGACTAGTTGCCCTAGGGCGGCCGTATGCTAGAGGGCGTCACAGTTAGCCGATGGTTGTGGGGTTCGGGTCAAAGTGGAGGCGTGGCCGACTGTCTTTCCTTGAGCCGCGACCGGGGCGTAATTGATCGGTTGACCTTGGTGGTGCTGGCGAATGCATGTTCAAAATTACGGCATTCCGAATCACCAGTCTAGGTAGACGGTTCCAAGTCTGTCCAGCGTATCGCGGGAAGCGAGGACAGATTATGAGGGTCGATTGCAATTTTCCCTTTTCTTTTCTCCTTTATCTGAGGCATGGGGATGTGATGGAAGAATTAAGATTTGAGCTGACGAGTCGGCGAAGACGGATCTTGGGGTAGACGGGGTTTCGCGACATGCAAGGGAAAACATCTTCGTGAAGTGGTGTCTTGCCTCGAGGGACAGGGCGGTGGAGAAGGGAAGCAGCCCTCAAATCATCAGGTGCACTCGGAAATGGTGTTGAATGGTACTTCAATAGCTTCATGATTTCATTCGTGACGGATAATCTATAATGCGGCTCACATATATACCATGGACATCATATACAGGCATCATTACACCACCATCAAGCTTCCCAGAATCGTGACGAGCACAGCGCTCATTGTAGTCACGCCCACCCTTCCAACCACAGACGCAGCGGCGTTCGATGCAGGTGGCGCACTCGGACTGGGACTGCTCGTTCCATTCGGCTTCGTCCCATTGTACAAGTCTGGGAACAAGTAGCTGGAGTTGGCATCGACCACGATCCAGTTCTTTACCAAGGCTGTGCCGTCCTCTACCGTCTCCCACTGGTCTTTTGTGCACTGCGCGCTGTCGAGGACATAGCAGATGCTTCCCGGGTCAACGACCTTCTCGCTGGTAATGTTGGCCACCGATTTGGGACCGGAGGTTGAGTAATCGGGGTTCTCGAGTGTAGACACTTCGCCGGTGGCGAGGTCTGTATTGAAGAGCGAGCGCATGAAGAGTTTGTATGCGGTTTCGGGTTGGTAGGCGGGGACTTCGTGGCCTGCTTCGTAGACGCGCGTGAAGGAGAGGTTGCCGTGTTGACGGACTTGTCCGCCAATGTATGTGCTGTTAACGACAACGGGGGTGTAGCCGGCGTTCAGGAAGCCTTCGGTGCCGCTGAATTCGATCGCTTGGGAGAGAAGTTCGCCGCCGTACCAGTTGCATGCCTGTGGAGGATGTTAGTGTTGCTGTCATGCCATTCGAGAGGGATACGTACGTAATCACGATCGCCGTAGACGAGCGAGACCTTGACTCCGCTTTCCAGGAGGTAAGCAAGGTCTTCTTTCCAGCCCGGCTTTACGTAGTCTCCGATTGAGCGGAACGCAGTCGAAACTGCACTGTTCGACTGTGTCCAGTTGATCGCAACGCCCATGTCCTGCTGGACGTGAGGCTGGTTCAGGAAGCCCTGGTACCAGGGAGGCGGGAAAGACGCTGCATTGGGCACGGAGATATCGTAGTAGTTCACGTCGGTGTCGAAGTAAGGGTCGCGAATGTATTCGGAGCAGAACGTCTCCGCCCGTTGACAAACGCGGTTGACGGATGTGTTGAAACCTTGGTTGGTGGGGTCGTAGAGCAGACTCAAGTTCCGACATTCTTCAATCTGCACGAGGCAGCCCGTGCTGTTGTAGAGCGCATCTATGACCTGCTCGTATCTTGATTCGTTGTATGCCTTGATCCCGTATGTGTTGTTGTAAGCCATCATTGGATAGCCGGGCCACTGCACCAGACGATCAACGCAGGCGTTGATGAGGAACAGGGTGTCCAGGTGAAGAATATGGGTTTGACCCTCTTTACTCCATGTCCCATTCAATATCCTCTCGTTTTGTTCCTGAAAATACGCAGCAAAGGCTGGTCCGTATCGTCCTCCGTAGCTTTCGGTAGCGATAGAGATTCGGTTGTCGTTGGGCTTGTAACCGGGGAACTCCTGGAACCACGTCTGCGCGAAATGCCACATGGCCCGCGCAGAGTCTTCGCTGCCTCGCGTTGTCATGTTGGGGTTCTGACTCGGGTATGTGCCGACGTAGAACGTGTTGTTCTGCTCTGGGATATCGCCGTTCGAGAAATCGGCCACTTCGACATCGGACGTGGATGTGGAGACTGTGACGTTCGTGAGGGTATCGTAGCTGAAGCCAACTTGAACCTGATTGCCTGTTAGTACAAGATCCGCAAAGATGCAATGGCCATAGTTACCGGTTGCTCGAGGTAAAGCATATTGACTGTGGTGTTGTCAGCCAGGCGCACAGCCAAAAGTCGGATTGCGCGTGTTACCTTCGTTGTTCCAAGCCCATTCACTCAAGTATGTAGAGTTCGAATCGGCATTGACATAGCAAGGGCCGTTCTCTCGCATCAAGCCCAGCATAGAGCTGCTTCCGGGACCTCCGTTCATCCATATTGACAGCGGCGCGTTCTCGGGGTCCTTTCTCGACTCGAAGAACCAGAAGAAGGTATTGATCTCGTAGGACTGATTTCGTACGCCGAGGTCATCGAGCGATCCGACAGGCAAGTGTACGTAGCCGGTGTAAGAGCGAACGCCGGGGGTGGTTTCGCAGATCTCGTTCTGTGGTACAAGTCAGCGGCTGCCAGGCTGGGAGGACCATTTGCTTTGGATCGGCTAGAGCAAAGGCCCTATACGTAGAATGATGTTGGGATGAAAGCTTACCTCCTTGTACGAAATCCTCACTCCCTCTGAAAGCTTCGATTCCAGTACCGTAACACCGGTAGGTTGAGGGGGGAATTGAGCTTTCGCAACCCCGCTCAAAGCTGCAAGAGCGGCGATCAACGAAGTTCCAAGGAAAGCCATCTCAACGATTGACACTCTCTGAAGCGAGCGAGAAGCTGTGATTGTGCGCTGCCATAGCGGGAGATTCCCACTACTTATGTACGAGCATGGCCCAGATAGCCAGCAGGCGGAGGATGCGGACGGCTACGAGAAGTCGACTTCTTTCGAACAGCAACATACGCGAGTCCATGGGGATGTTTGCGAGCTTCCTTGTTGAGCCATAGCGTGGTGAGCGGCAGGAACGCTTCCCTTTCAATGACGTGCCGGTGGTTCGTTTGTTGCTGTTTTCTGCTCTAATGGGGGCTGGGGAGCGGGGAACACTGCAGGGCCAAGAGTGCTAAGCGGGGAGGATGGTGAACAAGACTTGTTTATGTGAGTGTTGGCGGGCTTGTGAAGCAGCAGAATGTGCTTGTAAACCGTGATAAGAGCTCTGAGGGTGGAACAAGCGAGGAACTCGTCTGGTAGTGGTTGCAACGACTAGCATAGCAGCGGATAATGAAGCTCCGAGCTTTGATTATATAAGCCCGCTTTTTCCCGCATCGATAAGGCACATCCCCAGCAAGTGACAAGGACTTAGCACCGGCTTTCAGACGTGAGGAGTCTTTCTCGGGCAACGACCTAACATCTTTCATGCGATTAATATGGCATCTTTTGTGTAGGCTGTGCTTCTGGCGTGAAGATATTGCTCTAATGGGGTTCAACTCCAGCAAGATTGGGTAGACGGTCGTCCGGCACGAATCGGACCTTGTATACGCAGTCGCTTCTGCTCCACACGCTACGTCTTGCGCTTCAAGAAAGTAGAACATCCGAGGAGAGCTCGAGGTATATATGTAAGGTTGGTGATTGCTATATGAGAGGTCGGTTCTCCAGTGATCTAGGGCGGCGTGAGAAAGACAGTAGGACGGCGGCACACATGAACTATGAAGGCGCAATTCCAGAAGACAAAAACAATTTGATACTACGAATTGAGATAACTAAGCTCATGCAATATCCTCAAAGGTATACATGCACGTAAAGCCACTTGCCAGTTGCCTGAGGCTCTGATGCCTATTCTTTTCCCGCTCCTCGACCAGACTCTTTATCCAGCCGCGCAGGCAAACCAGCAATCATGCTTGTGATCCCAATAATCAGCCGGATCTAGTTTGCGTGGAGCATTCCTGCGGAATTCATTGGGAGCAGCGTCTATGTTGTAGAAGGAGCTGTCATGGGTATTTGAAAACTCGACATTCTTGCGTGACAAGCGCGGGGAGTGCGGCTGCGATTCAGCGCCGGAATCGCTATTGGCGGGTTGATCGTCAGGTTCATCGTTGGAGCGTTCATCGTTGGAGCGTTCATCGTTGGAGCGTTCATTGTCGGAGCGTTCATTGTCAGAGCGTTTATCTTTAGGGTGTTTATCTTTAGGGTGTTTATCTTTAGGGTGTTTATCTTTAGGGTGTTTATCTTTAGGGTGTTTATCTTTAGGGTGTTTATCTTCGGGGTGTTTATCTTCGGGACTCTCACCGTCGGGGCGTTCATTGTCGGGGCGTTCGTTGTCGGAGCGTTCGTCGTCAGGGCGCTCGCCGTCACCGCTGTTGTTAGGGAGCTCGTCATGGTTCCCTTGAAGATGTTCATCGTGGCTCGTGGAAGGAAGCTCCTCAAGGCTGACGTCAGAACTGTCGTCGAGGCTCTCATCTATCTCTCCTTCCTCCAACTCCCCCATCCTCTGTCGCTTCGCATCCTCAGCCCTAATCTTTTTACTAAAGTCCTCAAAGAATATAAGCTCCCTACTGTATGGATCGAGCCTGTATGGGATTAGCCAGTGCCGCGGATATGACTTCCCCAAACGCGTGTAGAGCGATTGAGCATGTCGTGCGCAATGTTGAGTATGCGGCTCGACTGTGCGTACCTGTTAATACTACGCCATGTCAGCCTCCGTCAATGTGTGCAGCTCCATGTTTGCCCGTGTCCGCGTTGACTCACTTTGCGGCCCGTTTCGCGAGCAAGTCACATTTCTCATTGCCTTCCACATTGGAGTGTCCCTTGACCCACTTGATGTCTGTGAAGTAACCGTCACGAATCCTCTGAAACAAAAGCTCGTGTATTGCCTCGACCGCATTCTCATCATCGATAGGTTTGAGAGCTTTGGTGGGATGTAGGGGTTTCTCGTATACGCGTTGTTCCTTGTATTCGGTCCCGCTTTTGATGGCGTAGGTGGAATCGCAGGCTATGATGAGTCTGGGGTGGTGTTGGGCGAGCAGCAATGCCCATACTATAGCGTAGAGCTAGGCTTTCTGGTTGTTCTGCTTGCCTCGTGGCAATGGCTCGCTCGCGTTCCTCATTGTGGTATCAGCAGTCTTGTCGCTGTCAGTCCCATTGGAATGGAGAGGTAGACAAACCAAGTGCAATCATCGTGGATATAGATACCGAACCCCCCAGAGGCAAATCGCTTTCCATTCTCGAAACAGCTCCCGTCAGTGTATATGACGAGCCATGGGTCAAACTCCGAAGGATGGACTCCCTCAATAATATAGTTGAGCCGTGGCCATGCCGCTAATAGCTCGGACAGGCCAGACATTATCGTCGGTGGGGATATTTCGAATAGGGCTGTACAGAGTGAAGTAGAGAGGATTAATTGAGGAGTGTCAGTGCCTCCCTACTTGGATCTCAGCCAGGGCCATTCATAATACTGATGCAACATTCAATGATGACGCATGGCGTCGTTTCGGCTCAGGAGGAATAGCTACAGGGGGGGGGGGGTCCGTCTCAACTCTATCTTTCAGCTTATCAAGGATATAGTCTGTCTCCTTCGTATGATACTGATTAGTTGAAGTCTAGTATAATAGCTATAGTAAAATAGCTAACCTCCCGATATGCAAGGACTGACTCGACGTGCGACCCGCCTCCCTTGCGGGACCGAACTGAAAATCTTATGGCTAGCAACGCTTTGTAAAATGCTTCCATCGGTGTCATTGACTGGATAAAGATCATAGGGTTGTCGCATCTGTGTTGTACCGGTTCCGGGGATCGTGATGCTCACACATCGTTCAAGTAAAAGGCACTAAGCACAGTATTGAAGCATCGCAATTCTGTGCGCCACAAACACTGGGTATTATAAAATCACGGTAAAACTTATCTTAAGCTTTAGGTAGAACACATTTTTTTCGTGCTAATTATGAAAGTGATGAGTTATCATTTTGAGATGGCTGGACGCGGATTGAGTCCGAGGACCTCAACAGCGCAACACCACTACCTAGATTTATTATATCATCATCGGACCTCAGCACCACAACTTCACGATCCACATCGACTCCGAGTCAAAAGCACAATGTCCAGATCAACAGTAGTTAGTGGTACAATCAGATCAAGATATGTTCCCCGAGGCTACGCCACAGTGAGAATTGTATACTGTGCTGGAGCGCATCCACCATCAATCACCAGTCGGTACCAATTGAAGTGGTTGAAGTTGGAACAATTTTCATTCGAGCAATATTACTGTCTACAACCTATGTGCTTGATATAATTGACGCGATGTCCTTCCGTCATCAACTACCGTCTACAATCGCAAGCTAAGGCGAGTTCAAGTTAAAGAATCACGACAGTGAGGACCGGTCTACTAAAATCCGTCGAGGTGGTTTTCTGTCCCATCAGGAAGATTATACAATGAAAGCCAATCTGGGACATGTTCTTTCCATTGGAACGAGGTAGCTTCGAAACTGGATAAGCTTCCGGGTCGAAGTTGGTCGACGGGAGCCAATGGTGCTTTGGTGTGAAATCGTGAGAACATGCCACTCCACCATCCTGCTAACCATCGCTCGTGGGAAACGGCTCCACGTTCTTCGATTTCGCGTTCAGGGGTCCAGTACGAAAAGATGTCGTGACTAGTGGAGATGAGATATGAAAGCTTTCCATCCGTTAAATCCTGGTAAATCTGCGGAAGATCCTCCCAACAATAGTTGCCACGCATACGATGCATCGCCCACGACGGGCGGGAGAATGTGCCGCGATTGTACAAGATATTCGTTGCTGCATGATATACAGCATTAGCAGCCACCTGCACGAAGACTTTATGTGCTAGCTCTGGAAGCGGCGCGCCGTCAAGAAAAAGCTGGAATGAACTTCGGGGCATGCCGAGTGTTGTTAATCTCAATGCCTCCACTAACCAGGATCCTATTGCCCAGGTAATCTTGTTCCCTTTGTAATGGGCATTGAAACCCGGGTCATCAACGTATAGGCAGGTTGTCCACAAATTGACTTGGCGTTTGATGGTCATTCGCGGGTTTGAGCGGCAAAATGGAATAAGTCCTTGGATGTGGCATGGAGCGTGTGCGATGGACTCTTGATCTTCGTCTAGAAGCACATGTCTGATGTGGCCCCGGGTAGTATGGGGAATTGATTCCAGAAATCGGATAGCCAATGACGCGGCAGAGTATGTATACTTCAAGGATTTATCGGGGTTCCTAGCGGAGTCTGAGTGCCTATAACCGTGTATTCCTGTGGCCGACGCCACATTGGCCTGTAGTTGGCGGGCCTCTTCCACCCCAAGAATAGCCCATGGGGGAGGTAGCTGCATGTTGATCAGTCTTGCGGCGTCGTAATCATTCCACATGCCCCACCATATGCTTTGAGGTTCATGGGGGAAGTTCGGAAGCTCGGAGAGAAGCTTGAGAGTGTAGTCTACGAATTCGTTCCACAATGAGGGGGCCTCCCCCCAGGAGTGCCTAGGATCCTGCAGCAACATGGAGTACCTAGCCAACGAAAGCGGAGGATCAGAGCGCCAACCGTCCAATAAGGGCTGAAGACGAGGATACCTTGCGGCAATAGCCTCTGACAGATCTGGGGTGAGGAAGCGGGGTGCCATGGCGTCAAGCAATCGAGCCTTAGCACCTTGAACTGTGCTAAGGCTACTGTGTAAATGCGCTGCAGTCTCATCTGTTTCTTTGGAGTGGTGAGTTCGAAAGGTGATGTTATTGAGCGAAAGCACATTGAGACTCCGCATTTCGGCGGCGATTTGGCGACATGTCATATTTAAGGCAAAATCGATGCATTGACCGTCGGCTTTGACGAGTTTGTTCGTGGCAAAATTGTGTGTATACCCTCCATCAACGCGAGCATAGTACTTATAGATGATGTTGCGCAGCTCGATTGGAAGTCGAAAGATGGGCGGCCGGGGAGCGGCGGACATGGCGGTGATGCAGAAGGTACGTGGACGGCGTGCGTGCGTGGACGGTGGATGGGTGGTAGGGCAGGAAATTGAGAAGGTAGGAAACCGAGATGGGTAACCAACGAGACCAAACCTCAACCCATTTGGTAGCGTGCAAATCCGTCTTGTGGATGCGTCCAGCCGGCATAGTACAGTTGCGCAAACTTGGTACGGACACAACTAAGAGTTCTGTCCTCACCCCCTCGAGATGCAGCAAATCTGCGAGGATACGTGGGGCCGTTACCCCTCTCAACATGTGAAACCGGAAAGAAGCAAGCGCATCGCGAGTCAGTCCATGTGCTCGGATGGTGGATGGATGCGATTGGGGCAACGACCAAGCTCAGATATGCGAGTGTTGGAAAAGTCTGGCCCATGACGATGATATCAAAACCCCTGTCCTAGTTTCTAGTGATTATTATCATTCATAGACCCCAATGTCGTTCTCAAGTCTCGCAACAATTTGCCACTGTCTTGTCCCGATTTCACCAATCTTTGCCGCGTCTTTGCCATTCTGGAAGTACAAGCACATGCATCTCGGTTGCCCTCACCGCAATGTCGAAGAAACACGCACCAAAGGCGCGGAAACAGATACGGAAGGTGCGAAGACAGAAATTGAAGACGCGCAGAGAACTTGGGAACAAGTCAAACCCCCTCCAGCCGTCCACCTCGAGCAAAGGTCACTCTACAGATGATGGCTTTCAAGGCAACAACCGCAGCGAGAACGACGCCGGGAGCTCTCAGGTACTTATGCCCCAACCAACGCCCTTCACGGCTCGACTGATTATCTGTCTAGGGGTCCCATCAGCCGGGAGACAACAGAAAGAAGCAGCCTAAGTTGATTTCCAAAGTCATCGTCAATAAGCACGGCCTCATCTTGGTCGCGAATCCGAAGAAAAGCGCGGAGAGGCTTAAAGCTGTACTGAAGGAAATCTCGCGTATGAATCGAACCCCGCTCGCCGTACTTGTCCAGGAGCCCCCACTCCATTTCGCATTCGAGCCCATTCCAGACTATGACCGGTGGTTTTTCTGTCAAGGTGGACCACTCACCCAAGACGATGCGCCTGTCAAGCCGATCAAGGGCGTCTATCAGTCTGCAGAGGAGCCGGCGGAAAAGAGAAAACTCGGGGGGGTCGCTTTTCTGATACATCGATCCTTCACATCATGGCGTATCGACCATGCCATAGGCACGAACGAGGGCAAACGGGCAACTTTACACCTGCAGCTGTCTTCGGGGGAATCCCTACATGTCCACAACATTTACAATCGGGACCCTAAGACCAACTTGCAAATATGCATGGTCGGAAATGGATAAGGCGTACGCCAAACGGGTGGCGATAAATGAGATGCTATCCGAATTTGGCCCTCCAGAAGAGGTCACAGCCTGCGAAGGTCTCGAAGACGGCGAAGATCGCCTGAGAAGGATGGGTGACTGTTTGGTGCGGGTTCTTGACGGCGCGGTTCCGGTCGAAGCAAGATATGAGAGACCAAAGAGGAAGTCTCGGAAACCCAACAAAGTCGACATGCACGGAAAACAGTGCCCGCGTAGGACCCAGCCAGTCGGAACGCACCACAGACCGAACAACAGTCTTCGACCAACCAAAGAGGACGCGGGTGACGAGGCCAGACACAAACCACATGCCGTTGCCCTGGCCATCAAAAAGGCGCGGTGGCGCTTGCAACCAAAGCCAACCATTCGCACTCAGCAGTTCAAAGCTGCTGACGGCAAGGTAGCCGAGTCGCTCGAGGAAAAGACGGACATGTTGTGCGACGCAGTCTGGAAAGGCGGCTGGAGAGCCTGTGGATCCGAGTCGGAATACACTGGCCCTCCGCCAGTGCCTCCACTGCCGCACATGAGCACAGACCGGGAGGAATACTATGCGCAACAAGAGCTCATCGAAGGCGAACTGATGGAGGCCCTCAAGAATGCGCCCAGTGGCAAGGCCGCCGGGCCTGACAACATCGCTTACGATCTTCTCAAAGCCGCCAGGAAAGTCATTCACGTCTACCTGGTGCCTATATTCAACGCCTTCCTTCGTCATTGCAAGCATCCGGACCACTTCAAGAACACAATCACGGTTGCGGTCCACAAAGCTGGTAAACCTCGAGACGCACCGGATTCCTACCGCCCCATCACAATCATTGACTGCTTGGCCAAGCTATACGAGCGCATCGTCTCCAATCGTCTCACCACGCTGGTGTTCAAGCACCCGGATCTCATCCCAAACGCTCAATATGGTAGCCCGGGACAAGGTACGGGTTATGCTGTCGAACGTGCAATCAATTTCGCTCTTTCCCAGTGGCTTATGGGGAAGAAAGTCACCATCTATGGTCTCGATCTATCTGGAGCGTACGATCATGTTCTCCGAGACAAGCTACTCGAAATTTTGGCCAGATCAAAAGTTCCTGCATGGCTAGTCAGGACCATCCACTCGTTTCTGTCCAATCGGCTTACAGACATTCTCTTACCCGGTGAAAATAGAGTCTCGGAAAAGACACGTGAGATCAATATCGGAGCTCCACAGGGGAGCCCTCTTTCGTCCATTCTATTCCTTTTTTACGCAGCTGAGCTCTTGAAAGTCCCCGGAGAGGTTGTCTCCACGCCTACAACCGACGGTTCCGCAGGCCTTGGCCCTTCGAGCGATACTGATACGTTCGCATATGTCGACGACACAACTATCATTATCGCTAGCAACAGCTACGCCGAGAACAACAGGAAGTTCGAGGCCATTCACGCCAAGCTCCTCGAGAAGGGCGATGCCCTCAATCTCGTGTTTTCGCCGAGCAAGTACAACGTCTTCCATTTGATAACCCCATACGCGCGCGACAACAAATCTTTCAGCCGATTCCTTCTCCCCAAAACTCCAGCTTTCAACGAGCTCATGGCACAGCCACCTTCGGATGATAAAGACAAGGCGGTCCGAGCAATTTGTCCTCAAAATCTCAGGATGCTCGGTGTCAGTTTGGATGATCGACTGTCAGGTCATGCAAACATACTTGCGGTTAGTAACTTGGCAACGCCAGCAGCATCCATGATTCATCCACTAACCGCTCGCAGATCCAGAAGAAGGTCCGCGCAAAAATGGCGCTCTTCCGCCGAACCTACACATCCACATGGGGTGCTACAGTTGAGCAATGCCGTCTATTCTACCAATCCACTATCCTCGGCATCTTCACGTACTGCGCCGAAGCCTGGTTCATCTATTCTCCGGAATCGGAGAAACTGACAAGATACCGCTTAACGGTCAAAAATCTCAACCTTCTGGAGTCCGTACAAACCGAGTGTCTGATAAGTCTATCGGGTGCTCGACGCGGTACCAAGGGGGACGGGTTGGCGGTACAGATGGGTGTCCCAAACATCCTCGACAAATTATACGCAGTTGCCATGTAACGTCGATGTCAGCACGTAACGTCTCGCACCTATGGGGAACTTGCTGATTACAGGAAAGAAAATCTTTCACCAAAACAAATCGAAAACCATCCGTACGAGATCCTCCACGCCGAGGCTGTGTCTTTGGACCACAACCATATATTCGCATCCACGACCGAGTGGGAGAAGCCAGACGACAAAGGGAAGTACCCATACGAAAATAAGAAGATCAAAAAGTACTTCGAGAAGCTGGCGCTCACATCGTCCATGTACACTTGGGAGAATGCCGTCCGTGAACGTAATTCCCAGTTGTCTATCAAGCGTCAAGGAAGACCTTTGACAAACAAGGACCGAGAAGAACTCATCTACACCGTGAAGTACGAAAGCGACAAATATCTCCTGGGCAAGAATCTTGACCGTGCCCAATCGTCCATAGGAATCCAAATCCTGACGGGCAACATCGCACTCTTCGGTAATCCCATCTACTGTCACCACGTGCGGGGATTGGAGAAAAGACGCCAAAAAGATGAACCGGATAGCCCGCCGTCGGTAGCCTTCACGAAACTGGAAACACATGACGGCCGATGTCCAAATTGCCCACGTGGCCCCCACACCCCCGAGCATCTGTTCTTCCACTGCAGTGCTTTGGCCGAGGCTCGGGTCTATCTGGACGAGAGAACCCTCAAGACGAGAAATTTGCATACGCTCATGTCAACATATACGGCTGTTGCGACATCATGGGCGATTCGCTACTTTGATATCGACACATTCGATGCGTTGGAGGACAAAGCAAAATATCAATTCCACTGATCTGGGGTGTTGTGTAGATAGTCAATAGATGAACAAAAATATAGCCTGTTGCTTTCGCGATGCAAATCTCGTCCCTCTGTGATGTACGAAGACATTGCAAACGATACGATCCATCAGACAAGCACATCATCGACTCGAACTTGGTCGCCCGTTACTTGATTTCACTTATCTGTCGCTCTCGTTGGCTAGACTGAGCGCGACGGACGTTCCATTCAAGGGGATCAGGGCACATGCGCATTCACATTGAGCGCATTTGACGTAGTGACGTATACGACGTCCCAACAATCCAGTAGAGATGTACGTATTAGTAAGGTTAAGGTTAGGAACCATAGTACGCTCGTTGCCCTCTAATATAAAAAAAAAGGCTACAGCAGAGTTCTCACAAGGCTTTCTACTTCTATCAATCCTCGCTATAGCACCCACTCTGACACCCACGCCGCGCGACAAACCCTTCAGAATCAACGTCAATACGCTCAGCGCCGAGCTTGAAGGATTCGACAACGATCGCAATGGCCTTTATTCACGTGCGATGTTCATGTCGTGACGTGGGTGGGAAGTACACACCTTCTGTACGTCGGGATGTTGCGTTTTAGGAGGCCCGTCTAAACTCTTTTCTTCAGCTTATTACATGTACAGCTTGTCTCTTTTGTTTAATACTAATTAGCTTATATCTAGTAAAACAGCGAACCTCTTAAGACGCAACATCCCGATGTGCGTATACCCTGTACCTGCCCCGATTACGGCGAAAACGCAGGAACGGATAGAGTCTAGATGAACATGCCAAGATGCAGCCACTCGCCTGAGTTGCCCCGATGCAAACACCCCCTGTAACTGCATTGCTTACACGCTGCTAAATTAGCGCATCAGCAAGGGACATGACTACCCGGTAACCCAGGGTGCTGGGCTGCCGCTAGCGGGGGCTGCGCTAACCTTCCAACAACATCCAGATGCTCGACCACCGTTATCAATTGCGATCCTTTCATTCCGCCGACGGAGTATTATCTTAGCACTCTAGGAGTGAAGCGCTCTGCGTATCACAGCCCGTGGAGACGTTTCCATGTGCGCCGATCTTTTCCCAACCACTACCCAGCTGCAAGTCTCACCGAAAGCCAATCTCTGGAGATGACGATTTTACTAAATGGACAAGAGACTGATGCATCTCTTTTCAGTATTGCAATCGGAAAAAAACTTTTCAAAGGCGTGCCATATTGCATCATTCCTTTGGGCCGTTAGTCGTCTGGGTACGCAATAGTGAGGACGTTTTTCCACAACAGTCGACTTTGAAACTCAATCCTGGGTTGTCAAGCCCAATTGGAAGCAGCGGGACACCAGTTCCAGCTCGAGATTACACATGCATTGCGGGGGAGGAGGGGGAGGGGGATGGGAAGACGGTGGGGTGCGTTCACAGTTGGAATACGGGAGGGGATACGTCAGAAACCGACAATTTCGTCAAGGGAGAAGGCCTTCCTCTCCTTGAACATGCTGTGGCAGCAGTGAAGGATAGGGCAACTCTTTGAATATATAAGAGAGTAAGCTTTCTCACCTTCTGCGTTATACATCACAACATATTCTTGAACATCACATTCATACTCACGCCTTCACTGAAACTTTTGTCAAATTGTTTGACCTCCCCGAAACCCATCATGAATACCGACTTTGCCGACATTTCCGAAGACCGCCGCAACGCTACGGCATCCGACGCTGAACCTACCTCACTCAATACTTTGAGTGAGAACATGCTCAGCAGATTCGACACTCTTTTACGAAAGATTGATCAGCTCGAGCAGCAGTCGCGAGACAACAGCAACGCGATTCTTAGTGTTGATCGCAGGGTCCAGCAAGTGGCTGGACCCATTGTAGCATCCCCGGGTGCCCCACGTTCCTCCGACCGGATCCACAGACCCAATCCTCAGGGTCCGTCCCAGATACCCATCATAACGGTAGAGCTTAGGGACGGAGAGTTGCCGTATTTCTTTTCACCGGACTACCAAGGACACTCATCAGTCCTCCGCGAGAGCCAGAGACAAAATTTCGAAGACGTGTCCCTTGGAAAATTCAAGAATGCTGGGTTTCCGCTTAGCTGTGTGGAACTCGTGGATCTCGACCTAACCTGCTGCTGAATCTGGTTGACGGTTGACTGCACTGAGAGCTACCAAAGGCTCATGTTGGAAGTCTGGAGACCAAGGATTTCGGAAATTCTTGGTCTTACTAGGTCTGTTGTGCAGGAACAAATTGGCTATGTTAGGGTTATGACGTGCAGCAAATTCTTCTGGAACGTCAGCACGACTATGGACCTTGCGACTACTAATTAGCTAAAGAAGAGAGAGGCTGGCAGAGTGGCTGCACTGCTAGGCATCAAAATTGACTATATTGAAGTCCGGTGCGGAAACGTCATCTTGCACGTAGTGGGCATAAAAGATGCGCTTAAGCTTGCGGAGAGGAGGTGGTGGACTGTTGACAGAACAAAGACGTGGTTCCAGCCGTTCGAAAAACGGCAGCTTCCGGCTTTTTGCCGCAAGTGCTCGTCACCCTCCCACCTCGATACCAAGGAAACACCATGTATTCAGGGCTCAAAGTGCCTGCGTTGTGGCCAGAGGGGTCACACTAAGGACCAAAACAGTTGCACACATTCGCTCAGCGAGTTTCGGTGCGCGAACTGCAACCAACGCCACAAAACTGAGAGCGAACAGTGTAGGCATCTAGGGACAGTGAGAATGCGCGAGCGGGCGTCGAAGTATGTCGGACACGCACCATGGTGGTACTCGGGGAGCATGTCTACGGACGACCCGCCCTACCCAGCCCGGTGCACTGGGAGGGAGCACGTGGACGAAGAAGCGCACCACGACAATCCCGCGCCCGCTTCCGCTCCCGCCCCATTTCCCGACCCGGTTTCCGCCCCAGTCCCCGCCCCCCCATACGTGCCCGGCACGTCCATGTTCACAGTGGTGCCGTCGTCCACCGTCACCTTCCGCCCTCCTGGCGTGATTGCTCCCGATCAAGTGCGACGCAACCGTCCAGCGTTCAGTCGGACACTGTTGCCACGCCCAAGACTCCAACCCCGGCGGGTCGACCGCAGACGACCGCCGCCGTATCCACCAGGCAGAGTCGCAGGAGAGTACGCAGTCCCGATGGGGAAGAAAGCACTCCTCATGATGAAGAGGAGAATGTTCCCCGGTACCAGACCCGCCAGAGCCAGTCAAAAAGAAGACGACTGGGAAAGACTCGCGCATCCAACGATGGTGACCCCGACAGTTCATCCAGAAATGTCGGTCTCAGTGTTTCTTCCGGCAATGCAGGCCCGAGCAGGTCGCCCTATTCCGTCGTCCAATTTGCGGGCATGGAGACCCCTGACTCTTTCCCCACCATGGGAACGCGAAAGTCTGCTAGGGGTCGCAAAGCCAAAGTGGGCACCGCAAACACGTCGGCCAGATCCTTAGGAAAGCAACCCGTGAACCCCGACCACGAGCTCTTGACCTCGGACAAGGAAAACGAGGGACCGTCTGTGTATGAATGATCATGTTATGGAGTTTTACGTGCTGAGTGAGCACTAAACATCTCCACCATGTCCACCATCTCAGAATGATTATCTTGCTTGCTTCTCCTCTGCTTTCCTCTCTAATGTTACTACTTTTTCCTTTTCCTTTTTCTTTTTCTATCTCTGTTTCCATCTCTGTTTTTCTTTTGAAGCTTTCGTAAAGAAATGCTATTTACCTTACTTTCTGTATTACCCCCTCTTAGGCAATTTCTTCTAGTGTGTTGTTGGGCCATCATTCTCAGTTATGTTGTTATCAAGATATCGCGCGCTAAATATCATGTCATGGTTTGCGCACAACGAAGAACGTTTATAGGGAGAAAAAACCAAGAAACCCAAAAAAAAAAGCAAAAAGAAAAGCAAAAAGAAAAAATACAACAACATCTGTTCCTTTGGCATGTTTTGTTTATCAACTTTATCATTTCCTCTCATTTTTTTCTGGCTCAGTCTGGCTCAGTTATCCCTTTGGCTCAGTCAATCTTTCAGCCCGCTCCTCTTTTGGGCTGATCTGTTTCTGTCTCGATTATTTTGGCTTGTTCAATCTGTTGGTTCGTTCATCTTTCTGATTTGGTCGGTTTTTGTCTCAATTCATTTGGCTCCCTCATGCTTGTGGCTCGTTCATTCTGTCAGCCTGACCGGCTTATGTTTTGATCAATTCTTGGCCTAGTCATCCTTTCTCCCCACTATTTGAATGAACGAGTTATTATGTAGCATGGCTATCTTTTGTATACTTTCATCAATATCATCATCATTCACATCATCCCTATCATCCCCATCCCCATCATCCCTATCATCCCCATCATCTCATCATCACTTCTTCCCCTCATTGCGCTCATCCTCCCGAAGACTCTGCCAATGTAGCAAATTCTGATGCTCCACTACCTTCACTTCCATCAACAAAAATCTTAAACTTTCTCTGCGCATCCTTGCTTTTTCAGTTCAATGGTTCCCGGCACGGTTTCCTCCCATACAGGCAGTGCATTTAACAAGTGTCTTAATACACAACACATGGGTGTATTCGCTTCTCAGCAGTGGATCACGTCGCTCCGAAAAGAAAAAACCAAAAAAAAAAAAAAAAAAAGAAGGCATGGGCTGGCCGACAAGCTGTCGTCGTATGATGGATTGAATGTGTATATTATATGGGGGCAAGGGCAGGTGTCGTTGAACAAGTCCCCAGTCAGAGTACGTCGAGAGGCTGTTGGGTTATAGCGAGTGCATCTAAATTTTATCATGTCTTCTACATTCATCTGCCGGATAGGAAGCTTCTAAAGAAGGCAAACCCTGTCAAAGTCGGACAAGTCTTGAGGTGGTCGCTATCTTATTAAACCTCTACATGTTGTTGTATTGAATCCCACGTGTGCATTATTGATGGAAATGACTCATACGACACACGAGTCCCTAGTTTCCAACCCAACTCAAAACTAGTCTTGCTTTTACCTTGCATCCTAAGCACCATATCATATATAGTTTTCTTCCCTTTGAAGCAATTTGAGGGTTCGCCATCATATTAAGTACTCAGCGTGACATTTCTCCACACCACATACCATCAGGTTTGTATCCAAGCCTCTGAGGTTTGAACAGGGTCAGGCAGGCAACGTACAATAGGCATCTCTTTGAAATCAGCGAAATACGAGAGTAGCGCATGCATATCATTCTTTATTCATGAAGTGATGACCGCAAGAAACTTTCCAATTGATCGCTATTCCGACATCGGGTGCGTGTCCGAGGCTCTCATTGGTTCCATAGAAGAAGCTTCATCATCCAGCAGTGGCAGCAGCGAGTCACTGTTCGAATCATCGGTGCATGCGCGCATTCGCTTTAAATTACAACACCATGATCCCCCCTCCGCTATCGCTTCCCGTTTACCGCTTGGAAGACCCGCTTCCTGTGTGGCAGCAGGTGTTATTCTTTGCCCTCGTATCAGTGTTTAGCATCCCTGTTCTCTCTCCGTGACGCTATGCACGCCCATCACACACGAGGAAGAAGCCAAAAAAGAAAAGTCAAAGTAAAGACAGAAATAAAAGCAAATCAATGGATACAGAACCGCGCATGACGCGAGGTACATGGTTATTTTAATTAATGCCGGACTTGGATGGCGGCGGACATGCCCGCTTATCTTGCACATCATCTTTGCTTTTTCTTTTGTTCTTTTTTTCTTCTTCTTCTTCTTCTTCTTTCTTTCTTAAACTCCTTACGGGCTTGGAAATCGCGATAAGGTGTCCAATGCCAGATTACCGTGCGATCGGTAGAAATCCGTGAGGATATCAGTCTACGTACTGGTGGGTATTGTTGACGAGCCAGGATTACCTTTTTTTTTTTTCTCTCCAATCACGATTTCTCCCTCCCCTACCCCAATCGTTTAATTCCCGAATCTCCATCCCAGCAGCTCAAAACCAATTCCGTGTATCGTGCCGACCCGACCCGAGCTTATGTCCGTCTACAGGGGATCCATCGTATCGCATGGCGTCATGTCACCCAGCGTCATGCCATGCCATGATAGATATGTCGTGTAACGCTACCAAGTCAAACCTGATAACAAGGAGAATTAGGCAAATAAGAAAACCGTAGAAGAAGTGGGCGCCTGCATGGATGAAAAACGACAAATACTGCTGGAGAGACGAGAACAGAGAAGACAATTTGGTCGTCATAGATAAAGAAGATGCCAGGGTTCCGGGCATTTTGTACCACCTTCCCTGCTTGCTTTGGGCTCTTATCCGCGTTCTCGATCCCTTTGACGCACGCGCACATGTATTCGGATGTTCTTGCATCTGTCGTGCATGTGCATGACATGTATACATGCCATGATGCATGCGCGATTTTGCCATGGCCATTTGTATAGATATGAGTGACTAGCGGGTACGGACATGCATGTTATGTACATGGCATGGCGCTCTTCTCCGACCAATTGAAGGCGAATGTGCATGGAATAATTGCGGGAGATTAGCACAGCTCACAAGACACCAGCCGAGTGGCGTACGTATTAGATGCAGTCACAGATCTGATCCAGATCCAGATCAGGTCCAAGCCCGCATCCCCGCACGTATCAGCAGTTGCTCAAAACCCGACATCGCGGATCCATTGCCGTGGCACAAATCTCGAGAAAAGCGCCGTAGACGCTCGAATCAGAGTCCATCTTTTCCATCCCATCTATGGTTCGGCTTTTCTGTTTCGTCACGCAGATCTTCGAAGTGTAGAGCTAAGTCCTGGTCATCACGGTAAGGCTTACGCCACTTGGGACATTCTCATCTTAATCACTTGTCATTGGGAACCTGATCTCCAGAAGATTCTTCAATTTCATCCATTTCTGTTTTGACGTACATGATTCAACGCACTCCACGCAGGGATATACCAAACATATCTTGAGCCCCGCGCCATCAGTTCGCTGGATCTATGTCCCCGTAGTCATGTATATATGCGACTGCCGACATTTGGAAAGTATCATGAAGGGATTGCCTTGCAAGCAAGCATGGGCATAAAGATGATGTCGTATGAGGTGGAAAGATCTTATCACCGTGACAGTGCGAGAATACTATCAGTGGATCGAGAATAAATTAAAGCGTCCTGGTGGTCCAAAAAATTGCACGATCTACTAAATACAGAGTGTTGTGGGTGTTACATCATTCTTACTGCGTATTGAGTTCATTTATACCCCCTTTTATCACTTGCATATGCAGCCCCGGCTTCAGGATGATGATTTTCAACGGTCCACCGACACCTGTCAGTATGCATGCCAGTGCCAAAGATGTCGAGTCACCTCCCCAATCACCGCAGGTTTTACCACAGCGCGAAGGGATAGCTATTGTGGGTATGTCGTGCCGGACGGCTGGTGGAAACGATACGCCCGATAAACTATGGCGCTTCCTCATGGAGAAGAAACATGCGTCCGGAGAGGTACCCAGGGAACGCTGGGAGCCATGGCTGCAAAGACATCCGCAAAATGCGAGGATAATCGAGTCCACGTCTTCCAAAGGGTACTTCATTCAAGATCTGGAGAAATTTGATGCTGGGTTTTTCGGCATCTCTCCGATTGAAGCTGAGGATATGGATCCTCATCAAAGACTTGGTTTGGAGCTTTCCTGGGAAGCGCGTACGTATTCCCCTCATCCCAAGATATGGTCGTTTGCAGCTTCGCGGGTACCTCAAATGAGCACGTCAAACTTGACTGACATTGAGCTCCAGTCGAGAACGCAGGTATAAACCCAAAGACACTGGCGGGTTCCAATACTGCCGTTTTCATGGGTGTGGATTCCGATGATTACTCGCGGCTAGTCCTTGAGGATCTTCCAAATATTGAAGCCTGGTCTGGCATCGGAACATCCTTCCACGGCATCCCCAACAGAATATCATATCACCTCGACTTGATGGGCCCCAGTGTGGCCGTCGACGCAGCGTGCGCATCCTCTCTCGTTGCCATTCACCTGGGTCGTCAAGCGATTCTGTCGGGGGAGGCTGATGTTGCGCTATGTGGTGGTGTGAATGTCTTGGTAGCCCCGGCACTCACGCACATGCTGCAAAAGGCTGGAGCGCTATCACCGGATGGCGTGTGTCTTTCTTTCGATGATGATGCACGCGGTTATGCACGAGGAGAAGGCGGGGCAGTTATCGTCCTGAAACAGCTTGCAAACGCCATGGCCGAAGGTGACAACATTCTCGCGGTTCTGAAGGGGACCGCGACAGCCCAGGACGGAAGGACGAATGGAATCATGGCTCCAAGCGCAAAATCTCAAGAGATAGTTGCTCGAACAGCGCTTTTGCAGGCTGGTGCGATCGATCCATCAACGATTGGATATGTTGAAGCGCATGCAACTGCGACGCAGCTGGGTGACCCGACAGAAGTGGACGCGCTTGCCAAAGTGTATGGTACCGGTCGCCCTAAAGGCTCCCCTTGCTACATTGGATCTATTAAGCCAAACGTGGGACATGTCGAAGCAGCTGCTGGGGTGATTGGATTTGTGAAAACGGTGTTAACAGTGAACAAGGGCGAGCTAGCGCCACAGGCTTTGCTCCAGAAACTAAATTCTCGAATACCGTGGGCAACAACCGGTCTGAAAGTAGTTCGAGACGCTATGGCTTGGCCTGTACCGGATGGACCTCGTAGAGCTGCATGTTGCTCTTACGGTTACGGTGGTAGTGTTGCCCACGCCGTCATCGAGCAGGCACCTCAATCATGCATAGATCTCCAGCAATGTTTCGGGCCCGACATGGACACTTCCGAACAACTGGTTCCTCTTTTTATCTCTTCTTTCCAAGAGAAAAGGCTGTCAAAACAAGCTGAACTTCTCGCAAATTGGCTCGAAGCTGAAGGTCGAACAGTACCGCTCAGAAGCATTGCCAGCACCCTCTCACAGCGGCGTGCAGCAAACGATTACCGTGCCGGAGTTGTTGCCTCGAATCATGACGAGGCTTCAAAAAGCCTGCGAGCGTTCAGCAAGGGAGAGATAGATTCTTCGATCGTTGGCAATCGCATATTTGGTAACTCCACGCGCAAAGACGTCGTCTTCGTATACTCTGGCCACGGAGCGCAATGGAATGACATGGGCAAAGAACTCCTTCGCGGTCCGTTGTTTCGTCAGTCCCTTGTTGCCTTGAGGTCACTTGTCCAAGCTGAAGCCGGATTCTGCGCTCTCGAGGCCCTGGAACGTGGCGAGATTGGAAGTTCCGATCGAGTGCAAGTTTTGACATACCTGGTGCAAATCGGCTTGACCGAGGTACTCAAGTCAAAAGGGATCGAGCCGCAGGCTATCATCGGACATTCAGTGGGCGAGATCGCTGCTTCGGTCGCAGCAGGATGTCTCACTGCGGAAGAAGGCTTGGTGATTGTGTCACGAAGGGCAAAACTCTACCAAGCGGTGACAGGAAAAGGTGGAATGATCCTAGTGAATTCGCCTTTCTCTCATGTCAACGCTCAATTGAAAGGCAGAAAGGATATTGTCGTTGCAGTCAATTGCTCGCCATCATCTTGCGTTATCAGCGGAGAACTTGCAGCCATCAAAGATTATGTTCGCGAGTCAAAGGAAAAGAATATCAAGACGTTCCGAGTCAATACTGATATTGCGTTTCATTCGCCAATGTTGGACAGGCTTATCGGTCCATTGAGAGATATTCTTGATGGGTCTCTCCACCCGCGCCATCCCAGAATTCCAATATACTCGACCTCGTGTACGGACCCCCGAATGGAGCCGCTACGAAACGTGTCTTACTGGATCTCGAACATGATGAATCCAGTACGGTTTTGCGAGACTGTGGAAGCTGCTTTGGATGATGGATTGAGGATATTTCTTGAGATCGCCACGCACCCCATCGTAACAGAATCGATCAACGACATATTGTCCTATAAAAATTGCGACGAATGCGCCACTGGAGGAGTCATGGAACGCGGTGTATCTTCTCGAAGAAGTATCGTTCGAACCATTGCGGAGCTGCATACCCTTGGTGTGCCAATCGATTTCGGTACTCAGTTGGGAACGAGATGGCATCCCCAAGTTCCAGGTACCCCATGGGTCCGACATTCATACTGGAAAGCAATTAAACCCCAGTCAGAACACCACCCATATCAGCATGACGTCGACAAACACGACTTGCTGGGCCGGCAGACTCGTGTCGCAGATTCGACAGCAAACGTCTTTACAACAACTCTTGACGACCAGAACAAACCATATCCTCTTACCCACCCACTTGATGGAACAGAGATCATTCCTGCGGCAGTATATTGCAATTCTTTCCGCCGAGCGACGGGTGCAACTGTGCTAGAGAGTCTGCAGTTGAGCACACCCACTGCCATCACAGAGGAGCCGCGCGAAGTTCAAATCATTGTCAAAGATCACACTGTGCAGCTCTTTTCAAGTGTGACCAAGTCGCAAACCCCGGGCGGGCTTCAAAGCTGGAATCAGCATTGTAAATGTGTATGGAGAATTCAGGATATGAGTGTCTATCGAAGGTTGCTTGACATCGAAGCCATCAAAAAGACGTATCGGAAGGCCGCTGTCCAAAACCTTCCTCTGGAAGTTTCTGAAAAACATCGGTGTTTCGGGCATCGCATACCCTTGGATGGTGATTGAGCACCACGGAAGTGCGAAAGAGATGATTATCAAGGTGGATATGGATGCGCATAATGATTCGGTCACATGGGATCGAACCTCGTGGGCCCCATTTCTCGATGCGGCAACTTCGGCTGGGTCTTGCATCTTCTTCAAAACCCGGACGACGCGGATCGTTTCAAGTATCGATGAAGTACATTTCATATCCGGCGATGAGCCTCCCAAGGTTGGGTATTTGCACGTTGAGGATGCCACTGATAAGAAGAGTGTAGCTGCCAGTGTCAGCATCCTCGATATTTCGGGAAACGTCCTCACCAAATTGGTATCCATGAGGTTCTCAAACGTGGAGACCATGCTGGAATCGGCTGGCCCTTTGTGCTACCAAATCGCGTGGATTCCTCCGATATTTGCGGAGAACCCCATCCTGATGGAGAATATTCTTCTCGTCTCCGACGACAGGCCTCTCTTACAAGGATATGCAGACCAGCTGAAAGATCATGTTGGACTGACTGTCCGGATCTCTTCAGTTGGAGACATGAATCAACCCGACGCCCAGTTGGTTCTAAGTCGGAGAAACACTGTCGTCATCTTCGCCCCTGGGCCGGTCGACCTTGTGGATGAAGTCGCCGAGAAAGCGCACGCTTTTACGTGGGAAACCGCTCGTATCGTCAACATGCTTGCTGCCCTACCGACCGCGACACGGCTGTTCGTCTTCACCAACAATTTCCAAAAAGCATCGTCTCAAACTGCACTTGCACACGCATCACTTCACGGCTTCGCTCGCATTGCCGCACAGGAGTATCCAGACATTTGGGGTGGACTTGTGGATACCGAAGGCCCAGGTTTCCCGCTCCTCGCCATCAAATACGCGCAAGGACAGGACGTCATTCGAATGTCGGATGGAATGCCGCGTATTGCCCGACTGCGACCCTTTGCAAACTCCCAGCGTCACAATGTGTCGACCACAACCAGCCTCTTCCCAAAACCATGTGGCACGTATGTTGTGACTGGAGGCTTCGGGGATCTTGGTCTGGAAGTCCTTGACTTCTTGTCTCGCAAAGGCGCCCGGCGTATCGTGGTATATTGTCGAAGCAAGCTACCAGACCGTCGCGAATGGCCTCGACTGACTGGACGCATGAAGACGGTAGTATCTCGAATTCAGGGCATGGAGAAGCGAGGTACAACGATCTACAGTGTAAGTCTGGACTTGAGTGCACCGAATGCCAGCGAGGACCTCAGATCCGCACTCGAGACGCTCTCGCTGCCGCCTGTTCTAGGTGTCGTGCACGCCGCAGGTATATCCGAAGACGGACTCATCAAAGACACGACAGGCGAATCATTTGCACGTGTGTTTGGTCCGAAGGTCTCCGGGGCGCTCGCTCTCCACAAAGCTTTTCCACCTGGCTCGCAGGGTCAACCACTCGATTTCTTCGTGCTCTTCTCCTCGATTGGGCAGCTGGTGGGAACACCAGGCCAGGCACCGTACGGGGCCGCGAACGCGTTCCTTGATGCACTGGCTGCGCAGAGGAGGGGAACTGGAGACAACTGCATAGCATTCCAGTGGACAGCGTGGAAGGGGATGGGACTCGCCAAAGAGGCCAAGTGCCTGAACGAAGAACTCAGAGCCAAAGGAATAACGGCCATCAGCTGCGAGGACGCATTCAGGGCGTGGGAAGAGGCGGATGGTCTGGATACAGATCATGCGGTGGTGACGAGGATCAGAGTATTGGGAGAGGAGGAGCCGGTGCCCTTTCCCCTTGTGGCGGAAGTGGTCAGGCGAAGACTTGGGGAGGAAGGCACGAGGGGTAAAGCGCCAACGCGCCCCTCGGGACAGAATGGAGGAGCATTGCCTACAGGTGAAGGGCTGAAGCCTTACCTGCTGAAACAGATACGTAAGTGTTTGGGCACCATTTTACACCTTGACGCAGAGGAGATAGATGGCGGTGCTGCGATTGCGGATCTAGGGGTGGACAGTGTGGTGAGCGCTGCGCTGAGGCGGGAGTTACAGAGCAAGTTGGGGATCAAGATGTCGCCATCGCTACTGTGGAAGGTGGATACTGTTGAAAAACTTCACGAGTGGGCCTACGAGCAGCTGAAGAATGACGACGCAGATGGGTGACAGGGCACGGGCAGATGAGCAGTGGAGCAATTGTGAGTTTGGAGGGTGGTCCGCAGTGTACATCAATTATATAAAGGTATCATAATGCTATACATGTACTTGTGCATGCCTGTTCCCATGTAACCTGTATGAGAAACGATGCGGAATAGAATTCTCAACAGCCAGAAGAGAAGATTGTGCAGTTGTTTTGGACAGCATATCGCTCGCATTCCATAGCATGAGGAAATCAGCAACATCAGAGAGACACGGATTGGGTCATGGTGAGGCGATATTGCGCCTTATCCACTATCTTGATGCTTCTCCACCTGCCGCAGCAGACGTTCGGCAGCTAGTCCCAATGGGGCATCGCGTATGGCCGCCTGATGCACTCCCGCCGCACGCTGTCTGCCCTGATTCGGTGCAAGATGCAAACGTCAAGGTTTTTATTATTAGTACATACATAAGTATGTATAGTTGAGGTGGTTCATCTTGAGTCGGTACATGAGCTGGGAACTGTGCCATCTCCGCGTGTCGATGTTGTTCAATCCATTCCATGTTCCTTCATGATACGCGCTGTCATTGGACCGGCTGAGCGAGCCGCTTCCGCTGTCCACCCCCCTAGGCGGAAGAAAGGCAGTTGAGGTGTTCCAGAATCAGGGGTAAATGCCATGAAAATCCTCACTGGACCACAATACAACATCTCAGCCATTCCAGCCATTCCAAACAAGGGCATCTCGGCAATTGAGATGCCCATTGCTGAGACGCCCAAGGCTGGGATGGTTGAGATGTTGTACCGTAGTTGAGTGAGGATTTCTGTGGTGTTCCAGGTTCACAGGCAACGTGAGCCATGTATTGGAGAGTTGGTGGTTGCACCTCGAATGATGATGTTGATGACGCTGAAGATGCGGGCGGAGATTTGATGGAGCGCGCGTATGCAGGAATGAATATTTGTCGAGTATGCTCCGGCTGCGTGTTACGTGATTACGAGGTCAGAGTGTGGGGGCGGCGCCATGGGAATTCAATCGCGGACGAACGGTCAGGGCCATCGTCTCACATGTCACGAGGATGCGGGGAGCGAGAGAAAGGGTCGTGAGGTGAAGGAATTGGATAAGAAAGGAAGAAGCAGATAGAGGTGCTGATAGCCGTACATGCGCATATGCATTGGCAGGTGCTGCACTACGAGTACATGCAGGCTGCCAGAGTGGTGAGGAAGCGGGGGACGGACGGGCTGCGGCACTGGCAGCGATGGCACCATTCGCAAGCCCCCCACCCGCGTTCAGCATCCCCCACCGACAGGATGCATTCGTAGCGGACGCGGTTGGTGGACCTGGACAGCAATTGCGCCCTCTCCTCTGGGCGGAGCGAGGCTGGCCTGTTGCCCTTGGTGGGGAGACAGGCCTTGAGCGCCGAAAACTCTGCTCTCGTTGATCGCGAAACGTCGATGGCGAAATATCTCGTGGGCCTCTTCTTATAGGACGCGCCGGTGCCTCGCACATGCCCTTGCCCTCTCACTGCACTGCAACTGCAACAGCACACGCAACGCACTTCCTGCTCGCCTTCTCACCGCCAAACTCTGCCAACACAATTCCCGTCTTTCAGTCTTGCTTCCCCGATCTCATCCTAAGTCTCGTTTGCGTTCCCTGCGTTGGCGTAGCTTGCTTGTTGTCGTTGATTTGTAGCGCAAAGTACACTGCTACTTCGCGCCGGTCCCAACAGCCCCGACTATCATCGTCAGCCAGCGTCATCACCACCACTGCTGCCATCGACAACAATCTCAACCGCCCTCCAGTATTCACCCCATTCCATACAACCATTGCGCTTTTCGTCCCAAACGTTCTCGCATGTGTACGCCGTCGTCGCTACAGCTGCTGATGGAGAGGAATGTCAACCTTTCATGCTCTCCCAAGTCCTGGAATGCCGACCTTCACCGGAGACTCTGTGAATCTGAGTTTGTCTGGACTTGACGACCTCGATCTGGCGGACCTTTCCGTTCCCGACGCAATGGACCCATATCAACACCACTCCAATCCTCACCCATATCCGAAGCTTCATGCCCCAACCACGCTGGCCCCGGGCGTTGAACCGTTCGCGGCGGGCGTTGCCTTCGCCTACCCTTCGACCGACGATGCCTTTGGTACGTCTGCTTCCCGTATAACCTCTTCCTCTTCGTTTGACCATCTCTTTCGTCTTTTGATGGTTCCCACGATTCCCTTTTCCGTTCCCTGGATGTCGTCATCCGGCATTCCCCATCCCGTAATCGTCGCACTGTCGCGCCTGCACCTCTTCTCTTTCCTGCCTCGCTTGCTTCCCCATCTGCCTGCACCCCTTCGTGGCGTCATTGCGCTAGTTTTCACGCAATCGCACGTGACCCCTGCCTGTCCATCCATTGCCCACCACAACACTCCCCTCCCAAGACCGCCCTTCCCCACGATGAATAATAATGCCTTCTTCCTCTCCCCCCACGAGACGCCTCCGTTCATCCCTCCACCCAACGCCCAGCTTCTTTCTGCTTTCGGCTGCCGCCTCCCGTTCTTGAATCCCGCTAATGCCGCCGCAAAGCTCCATCCTTCTCTCCCGTTGACCACATGAGCGGTCACGCTTTTTCTCAATATCCCCACGACCACCACGGGGCGTCTCGTCTGGATGATCTGACCTCGCCCATCTCCCCCATTCAGCCCCACTACAGCTACCAGACCCCGTACCCGGACAGTGCTGCATCGTCTGCCCCCAGTGAGGATCCTGCCATTGCCGATGCCGAAGAGGATAAGCGGAAGCGCAATCAGGCCGCTTCGGCGCGGTTTCGCCAGAAGAAGAAGCAGCGCGAGCAGCACATGCTCGAACAGACTCGTGGGATGCAGGATAAGAACAAGAAGCTGGAGACTGAAATCGAGGGCTTGAAGCGTGAGAACTTGTTTTTGAAGAAACTGCTGGTCGAGAAGATTGATAATATGACCGAGGACGAGAGAAGCGTTTTACTCAAAGCGACCAACGAAGGTCACAATAGTGACTGAAAGAGTGGGATCGGAAACTCCCAGGTTGTGCATCGTTTTCGCTACTATCTCTTGACTGGATCGAGACATACGGCATTCTTTTTGCGGGATTTCGGAATGGATTTTGCACCGTTTTCTGCTTTTCGCGACATGGGATACCACTGGAAGGGAGCAAAGGGAGTTTGATTTGAGTCCAGGGCGACATGCCTGGGGCTATATACGTGTATACATGGGATTTGTGGTCACCTTGAAGCCGCTTCTGCGATTGACCGGATCACAATCCAGCTCTCTTATTGGTGGAGAGATCCAGTGAACAGCGATTTTCGATGTTTTTGCCAAGTGGACCGTCGGCTCGTCGGCTTAACGCTAACCTTCCCCATCTACTTTTCGTTGTTCAGTTGGTGCGCACATTTACTAGCCTACATTCCTTGGATATGACCTAACACAGATTGAAATTGTATCTACGCTATACTATCTCATGTATTGTATATCTGTTCATGTTGTCGTTTACCCATCTCACTGCAGTCGATCATTACCATGCCCCTCTGCGTCCTTGAATCGGATGTACGACTGATGCATCTACACGCGCAGCATGCGGGCCTTCCTCTTGCTGGGGCAAGTCTCGCCATACCAGGTCAAAGTTGCTGTTTATGAAAAGCGTCAGCACTGCACAATCAAGACGTCAATTGAACCACCTATGAAGGAGCCCTACCGAGAATATCGCCAGACTCGCACGAACCCAACACACACGCGGAGACGAGGCTGTAGAAGGCCGTGTCGGCGCAGAAGCACGTGGCATCGGCCGCATCAGGATCGCAAGCCGACTGGGATTGGTTGTCAAGAAGGCACGTTTGCTATAGGAAAAAACAGTGGATATTAGCGGGATTCTTGCTTCTGAACATTGTTCAATGTTGGATTCACTAGAAGATGGGATACTAACGGCGCATTGGGGGGCGCCAGAGATGTCCACAGCGAGGACGTTGGCGGCGAAGAGAGCAACCACTGGGATGGAGAAACGCATGATGGCGGTGGATCGGATGCAAGCGAGTATCTGATATATGGTATGTGGAAAAAGCAAGATCGAGGAAGAGCTTGATGATGAGAGAGCAGACCAAACGCGAAATTATCGTCGCCTTTATACCTTTCCCGACAGCCATCTCAGAGGATCTTGATCATCGAAACATCACGTCTACAGAAAGACCCAATCGGTCACGCTTCCTCCTCCGTACGCGCTCTTACCATACAAGTTGGCCCGCCATCATGGTAACTCCATCCCCGCAGTCCTCATGAGTTCCACTGTACACTTCTCAACCTTACTCTATCCATCTCCATCTCCGCCTGAACATCGTCTTCGGGAGAAGGCACAATAGCGATCTTCATTGTTGGCATCGTGGCATCGGTGCTTCATTCCTCCTTTGGAACCAACACCTCCGCAAGTCCAATCTATCATTTCCCCGCATTCATGCCTGTTCGCGAATCTCGTGCGGAGAAGGACCCCTGGAGCATGGAACGTTGCTGCTGTGTTCTTCGCACATGTTTTCAAGGACAGCCTAGGATCTAGGTATTCGGCTGGGAGTGTTGTTTGGCATGTGCATTTTCGCGGGTGTTTGGGATTCCGACTGCTTTGGGGGCAATTCTGGGGTTCGTTTGTTTGCTCGCTCGCTCGCAACGGGAGCACAACAGTTCTATATTCCCAACTATGTGGTTTTCCATGCCGTTTAATCAATTAGTTGGCTGGAATTGATCCCATCTTCTCCCACTTCTCAATTGCCAATAGAGCAAGCAAGCAAGCATCCACCCGCCCGCCCGCCCGCCTCGGGCCGTCGTCGTGACTGTCATGATTGTTCAATCAGGCGCATAAACCAACTCGGACCCTTTCCCGAAACAAGAAACGGCAAGGGGGGAAACCCTTGACCCTGACCTGATTCCCCTTCCCCGCATTTTTTGTCGCCCTGGACTTTATTTACCCCATACTTGGCACGCAAGCTGGCGAGTTGGCGAGTTAGATGTGGCCCAATCAACTGCCTGGTTGACTGTTTGCCCCTTGCATGCAAGCTCTCATTTCCTGCCTAGAGCTTGAAGGCAGATTTATCGTGTGATTCTTTTCATACCAAGTGTTTGTGCCGCATGGAGTATGCGATGATCAAATAATGAATAGACTTAATAAGCTCTTGTTTATCTTTTTCCATGCTGGAGAGCGCGTTGACGTGTGCGGTCATTGTGGTTCGATGTGGTATTCCGATTTTCCTTCATCTTTTTATTTATTTGTTGGACGGAGAGAGATTCCGGCTCTAGCGGCCGCTGCGGAGGCACACACCCACCTCCCAAGTCTACATACCTACATAGATATGTACTCACTAGCCTAAGATGATGGGTCAATCATTCGTGGAGACTCAGTATAATTACCCAAGGTGACGAGAATGGAAAGTCAACAGCGTCGAATCGATTCATTGATTGCAAACAGAATAAAATAGGGTCACTAATGCAGATGAATTGTACGGCTTTGCACTCTTGAATGACAACATGGAAAAAAAATCGGACTAGAAACGGGGGAAGACATTAGAAGAGGATATCACCATTTCAAGCGACTGACTGCTACAAATATGCTGATGAGAGAGCATCGCGAGCAGGCACGCGGGGGAATGTCTTTTAGCTTTTGTTTTCTGGCACTTGAAGGGGTGCAGTACATTCATGGAGCTAATGCGGGGTTGGATGGAAAGCATTAGGGTTGGGTACATACCTATATATGTATGTAGGTATGCTATATGCTAGACTGCATTGCAGTCATGTCGCATTCGGAGATGGGCTTCTGTCAACTGATATATCAATGTTGAGACGAGAGATTAGTGTTAGAAACATCAAGATGGAGTTTTAGGCAGGCATGAATAAGTGTTTCGGCGCAGGTGCTTGAAATGACTGGTTTTGCATCGAGCTTCTCGAAGCATTGTATTGGTGACGTTGAGGGGAAAGGGTCGTGATCTGATGTTAGAGCTGTACATAATAACACAGAAGTACTGTTGTATCGCCATCATTCCCATCGGCCCCTACATACATATTTAAGTAGGTATTGTATGCAGACGCAGTGGGCTTGAGATCAGATGCTGATAATATATCTACGTGAGCAGAAGCGAGGATCTGCAGCTGCTATGAAGCACCTGGAGCGATGGCTGTGTGTGTTTTGCGAGACTTCAGTTCATAGCATGCCGACAACTTTTTTCCAAGGTGTTCGGTTTGCGGGTCTTGTCTTGCCGCGGTACATGCTCAAGGAACTCCTAAGCCTGGCCAATGAGCGCTCGTTTGCTGGCACAAACTGTCGTGAAATCGACAGTTTGTGCCAGCAAACGAGCGGTGATTGGCTAGCGACCAACCGCAGTGCACATGGGAGGGCAGCTTCCGCGTAGCTGCAATCCTGCAGGCGTTGTCTTGAGTACGGATTGCGCACCTCGTAACGCAAACCCCAGACAACGGGGCTTTGCCCATCATGATTTCAGTCATCGTTACGAGAAGGAAGAAAGTTAATTGCCCCTTTCGAGACGCGCGGAACCCTTCCACAGTTGAGTGAAGAAATGCCGCAACAACGGACACATCGCCTCAAGCAGTAACAGTGCCGCAACCAGCAGAGATGATGATGCCAACGACGACGCAATCCAGACAAAGCCTAAATCTCACATGTGTGTCGCAACCCCCCGCGGAAACAAACACGCAATTCCCAAAGGTGCCTCGGCCCCAGTTTGGTGACGCAGTGCCCCTCCATCCAGCATGTTGTAATGTGACGTCATTTGCTTTCGTCACTAGCTGCATCCAGGCTGACCACGACAAAGGACAATGCGTTCCAATCTAAACCACTCGTGGGCGGAAAGAACAGTGGTAAGGAATGTGTCAGGTACCTTGCAGGTGTAAATGTCGCAAATCCACAAGCTGGCGCTTCTTCGGGGCGGCCAAGTCATGATGCGATGGCTTCAAATTGTTCGCATGTTGTAGCCTCAACAAGGGAAGCGTCGCTATGTGGCGCCTCTAGAATCACCGTGACTTCCAGTACTTTCCAATAGACAGTCCAGCTGGGTGAAGGGAAAGGATACATATGTCCGGAGTACCGTGAAGGACAGGCCAGACAGCCGTTCTAGATCGGGGCTCCCAGAGGAATCCAGCTACGCGCAAACCGTAAGTGGATCAAGCTCTCAGCTGCCCAATCATTCCGGCACAGGCGCCACTTGGCGGAAACAAGTGGATACAGAACTATGGCATGCAGCGGCTTAGAGTGCGCAAACATGAAACTGTGCATCGTGACAGTTGTTCGGAAAGTTGATCGGGCTGAGGCCTGGTAACAGAGCAAACGCACACCCAGCTGTGCTGTGAATCTCCGCGGAAAGGTAAGTATGCAACCAAGGGCTGTCCCTGCGTGTCCGGCGTGAAGAGGACGCAGGCCGACGGGAAGCCAGCGCGTGTGGCTGTGCGCGGGTTTGTTGATCGATTGAAGATCAAAATTGGGGATATGGGTTTTTGCTGCAGGCGACGGGCAAATTCAGATGCCGGTGATGGAATTCCCGCTGATGCCCGAAGGCCCCACCCAGATCCCTCCAGGCAGCAGGTCAAAACAGGTACATTATTCAATAGCCATGGTTTTTGCGTGAGAATTGGGTTTCGTGCATCGTGAAACAGAGCATGTGAGCAGAAATAAAAGTCCGCGATGCTGCAATGCTGTGACGTCACAGGCTAATGCCCCGCCGCTATTGGCGGGGTGTCTCCACGTGACTGCGCTGCCGAGGGGCTGGATCGTGATCGCGCGCGCTACAGTCGCGATTGCGCCTTTCACTTGCAACGTACGTATACCTGACGTCACACTCTGTTTGTGCCTTCCTCTCCCCTCCACCCCCACTACATAAACTCTCCCGCTGCACCCCTCTCTGTCTTCTTCCACACAACTCAACCACAACACTTCCTCACTACAACAACTTCCAACTCTTTTTCCAACTCCTCCAAACCAACCAACCATCAACATGTCTGCTCCCAACGTTGACAAGCCTAACGAGGGCCTCGTCGGCCAGATCTCCAACTCTGTCACCAACGCCGCCAACTACGTCTCTGAGACCATCCAGGGCAAGGGCGCCGAGGCTTCCAAGGAGGCCAACAAGGGTACGCACTCTCCTCTCACTTGACTGCCTCACCTCCATTCACTAACACCCTCATCAGAGCAAGCCAAGGGCAACGCCGGTGACACCACCCTCGGTGGCCGCGCCTCCGGTGCGCTCGGTGCCGCTTCCGACAAGCTCGACCAGCACAAGCACGAGACCTCCTCCAAGGCCAACAAGGAGGGCATCTAAACGTCTCACCCCTTCAATCACCTCCAACCACCACTTCATCGACGGATAATACCTCTCGAATATAAGCATGTGGGCCGGGATTCTTCTCTTGGTTTTCTCTCAGGCAGGGCGGATGGTTTCTTCATGAGTTATGATATCACGGCGGATTATTGCCAGCACTGGCAAGCCATTATACCTGTAATCAATACCTACTGAACACGATTCCCTTCTATGAATTGTATGAAAGACTTGTTCTTCCAACCTCCTGAAGTGATTTGACTGTGATGCTTTGCCGCGAATTACTTTATGCCGTCCTCCAAGCTGCCAGTTCTGGTCCGGCTTCCCTCATTTCCAGTCTCATCCGTAAACAATGTCTCGAGGTCGTCCATCAGGTCGACTGAAGTGATATCTGCTCAGCCGCACTTCGAGTACGCGAATTGCCATGGGATCAGAGCTCTATATCGTTCCGATTGACAAAAATCTTGGTAGTTCACTCATCGTGTATGCAGGGTAAACTGGCCTATTCGCCGCTCGGTCTAATCTATGTACCATGGGCGCTAGCGTAGATGTTGTTCCCGTCCAACCACTTAGTGACTTGGATCAAGTACACGTTGAGGGAAACAACGGAGATGCTCAAACCACACAAGCTGTCGGGTTTCGATATTGAAGCGTGTCCCCGCGCTTCGGCGTATTATCTAGATGTTTGCGGCAGATCTAAATTTATCGATCACGATAGCCTCAATTACATTGTCAAGACTTAGTCACAGCCGGGACATGGGAGAAGTAATGCAGAAAACAGCGGTCCGAGATTTGAGGGGGAAAAAACGATTGATTGAATGACTAAAGAGCAAATCGAAACCAAAGAAAATAAAAACATGAAACAAAAACGAAGCATCAAGGCCCGGTACGTCTCGGTCGCGAAAACCCGCTATGCTCTTCTCCTTCCAACTCTTTGTGAAACTTGTCAGGGTCGAAATAACCGTGAAGGACGTTTTCAGAATCTCTAAACGTCATGGCGAATCGGTTACCTTCGATGACGAATTGCCAAAGGTCGCGGGCGCCGTTTCCGAGTTTCAGAATCCGTTTATCCCCATAACATAACCACCCGTCCGCCTGTGGGGCCCCCATCGATGTTATTGAGTTTTCATCCACATATAGCCCTTGTTTTGCTTCTGTCCTGGAGGATTTGGCTTCGATGTCTAGGACATGCCGGAGCTTGTATACATGTCGAGGGTTGTGGAAAACGATATGTTTCCCGTCGGAGGAGTAAACTGGAATACTACCATCTACCTCATCCTGCGAGCAATGCAGAGTTCCCACGTCAGGCGAGTAATCACCCTCCCAATGATCGTACACGTGTCGTTCGTTGACATCAGTCGATCCTCCAGTATAATGTTCGTCGCAAGATATTAGTCGCAGGCTATCCGGCGAAAACCCCAGAGGATCTTCATCCCTTGTGTCCAAATATTGCCTAAAGAAAGTGCCGTTGTTTGCGTAGTACAAAGATATATTCGCCCCGTGACTGAACGCAACCAATTTCCTGTCAGGCGAGAAGGCCAGGTTTGCGACATAGCCTTCAATCCTTATTGAACACTCACGCTCGCCCGTGGCCGTATCCCATACCTCCACCATGTAGTAGCTGCTTGGAGTGTCGTCTTCAGGCTTTACGGTTGCCACACGCATTCCATCCGGCGAAAAATACACTTTTCTGACGCCCTCGGTCAACTCTTGCATATGGCCAGTGGCATCAGTCAGTAAATAACAGAAAAAGTAGTCAACAGTCCGCTTTATCAATGCTGTGCGTTTGCCATCCGGTGATAGCACAATGGTGGTGATATGGGGACTATCATCTGTCCGGGTGGCGGGGGCTTCCCATAGGTAAACCTGCCGGTTCGTAATCGTTGCCACTCTCCTGCCACCGGGCGAGAAAACCAGGTCCGTAGCCCAATCGTAGAGATGGAATGGGTCAACGGGCAGGGATCCCCAGGGGCAGGGTTCTAGATCCCATGCTTCGGAGCCAAGCACGAACTTTTTGTTGGGCACAAAATAAGCATCCGCGAGAGCGTCGAGACCAGAGACTGGCAACTGGAATTTGTCGTCCTCGATTGGATCTGTTTTGTCCATTGCATATATCCAGATTTTGACTTCTGCCAAACTCAGAGTCGGCTGCTTGTCTGAAACCCCCAATATTGCGAAATGTTGACCGTCTGGCGAAAGGATGTAGACATTCCTTGAATAACCTACATGTTCTGGCATACTTATAGTGGAAAGAAGGTTCTCTCCTGGTTTTGCCGTGCTGCTCCAGATCTTTATCTCCTTCTGAGACATAGACATCACAGTTTCTCCGTCCGACGAGCATGCCACTCCAAGTATCGCGTCGGAGTGGCGGCCGATTTTCTGTAAACTTTTCCCCCGTGATCCTACTGTCCACAATGAAACGCGGTCGGGATGACTCCACACAACTTTGTCTCCACGTGCATCAACGGCGATCTTTGTTATCCATCCTTTGGAATAACTGTCATATATTTCGCCCGACCGCACGTCTTGGATGAAAATGTCGTCGCCACAGGGCCGTGCCCACACTAGGCGTTCGCCATTCTGTGAGAATGCTATCTTATCTTTTTTCCACATCTTATCCAGCCTTCTGTTACTGGAATGTTCAGGGGCGAGCGGGACCAACGGGAATTTCCGAATGAAATGAGGCTGGCATTCGTCCCCTCTAGGTGATACAACAAGCCACGGAAGGACCTTTTCGAGATTCGCAAGTCTCACCAGGCTTGACTTCCAGCCCCACACCATTGCAGAGGTGTAGACCTGGAGAGGGTGTGCCTGTATTGTTTTCCGGTGCCTTGAATAAAATATCATTGCATCCCGCGCGAAAAGCGATAATTCAGGTTCCTGGGACCCGGATCAATATGCGTTTAGGAAGCGTTCGAAAGAAATTAACTCACCTGCGCCATTTGATCTATGAGCTCCAGCGTCTGCAGAATTTCGGACGCTTTCCCTAGCCAAACAAGGCATTCGATCCATTCGAGAAGCTTGTCCTGGAAAAGATGAAAGGATTTGATGATCGCCGACGGTATGTGCAGCCGGCGTTGTTCGCTTGGCCATTCTAAGATGATCGACCCAGTTGATAGCAGCATATTTTAGTATTTTCGCAGCTGAATAATCCAATGTCGGGTCTGGATTCCCAGTGAACTCGTAGTCGGGCGATGGCGCGTTCACAAGGTTCACCCGGAGGTGCTGATGAATATATGACAAGCGGCTCAAGGCAATGTCGGCGTGTCCATATATCCCATAAGCTTCAAGAACGGGACCAGCCTTGTCGCGTAGGTACTCTTCAGCAGTTCGGCTAGCCAAATTAACGTAATCGTCTTCATCCCCGGTATATCTTCCTTCGTACTCCTCGATGAAAAAGGAACACCTGTCGATGAGCTTTTTTGCCGAGCCCGATTTTCGTACATGGCCAATAAAACTTTCAATGTCGTATGTGGTCAACCGTGAACGGACTTTGAGCATCGCTTGCATAAATTGTGCGCATTCTTGCGCAACGTCCTGGAATCTCCTGTAACCCCTTACGACAACATTCGTCACGTTCCTCGATAGTCCACCCTATCTCTGGGGTTAGCATTGCATTGCCTCGCCCGGGGTTCATGGAAGGCTTACCGATTATCGCCATGATGTGCTTTATCCGATTGTTCCTGTCGTAGAATTGATGCGATGCTGATACAAAGCGATCTTTCCCAGTTTCAATCAAGGGGAATGTTGTGGAGGTTGTGGAGGAGACACGCCTGCCTCCACCACAGTTTTCACGCACAGGCCTCGCTAAACAAACCAATGGCTAGCTTGATGTTCACCGCCATCTTCTGCTCCTCCACCATTGCGTCGCCCTTTAACGGTCGCTAGCCGCAATAAATAAAGTTCGCTTCGGATATTCAGAGAGAGAGAGACTCGATAACATTCGAGCATTTGCTGTCTACCTAGAGAACGGACTCACGGCTCAGCCGAGTAGAACAGATGTACGTGCTCATCCATCATCATCCGCGGAATCTGAATCCGCAGTGTCAAGCCAAGCGACGTCGTTGTTCTTGAAAAGCAACACAGGCTTCGGTCCTACCACCGCGACTTCCACCATTGCTTTGTGAGGATCCACCATCTGGCGCTCCGCCGTATCCCATTTCTCATGCTGTTCGTGTTCCAGGTGCGACTTTGATGTCAAGCCTACGGAATACGGGTCTCGATTTCTTCTCCGCCGTTGCCCACCAGCTTCTTTGATGAACGTAGGGAGACTACCGTGGGTCGTTTCACCAGGGTCGGCGAAGAATCCAAAGCGCTGGAATCGGGTTCGTAGTGTTTGGCTCATTGGCGATGACTCGATGTAGATGCGCCAGAATTTTGCAAAGGCGGGGAGGGAACTGAGGATCACGGAGATGGTGCTCTCGATCAATCTATATGACGTGATTAGAATACATACGATGGGAAATGGGGCAGCTGGATGGAAGGGAGGAGAGTTAACGTACGAACAGTTGTGCGCAATGTAGCAGTAGATGAGATTATCGGCGCGTAGCAGCACCATGATGCGATAGTAGAGAATGATGATGTCGGCGATGACGGCACTGTAACAGTCAGTCGGAGAACTTCCTCGGTTGTTTATTCTCCATCTTTCTCCCTCATCGCTTTTTCTTTCTTCCCTCTTTCTTTTCCCGCTTGTTTACTTTCCTATTCCTCTCACAAAATGCTTGCTCCCTTCCCTATTTCCTCCTCAAAAACCCAACAAAAGAAGAAGAAGAAGAAGAAGAAGAGGAAGAAAGAACCACTCACATCAGTCCCGTCCCAAACAAAGCCATGACCCCCTTCTTCCTACCCCCCTCCAACTTCAACCCCCAAATAACTGGCACAGGAATCCACGCAAGACAAGCATCTACAACAATATTGTCGATGCCAATCATCAGCCCGGGGATATCCGCTCCCTTCATAGCAGGATTCCTCGTCCCCCACGGCTTCCCAACCGGCGGACCCACCATGACGGGACGGATAATAGTGGCGGCTAACAAGGGAAGGGCGAGAACGGCGGTGACGATGAGCTGGTAGCGGACCTTTTGCATGTGGCCGAAGACGCGGTGGTACATTGTCAAGAGGCAGAGTTTGCCTAGGAAGAGGGTGGCGCCGTTGAGGGCGTGCTGGGCGACCATGGACTGGACGGTTTTTGTCAGTGTTTGGGGAAGGAGTGGTGGTGGTGATGGTGGGGGGAAAGGGGTTGTGGGTCGTTACCTTTTGCGCACCTGCCGATGCGATGAAGCCGAGTGGGATGTCCCAGGAGTGCTTGCCTAAATTCTTGACGGAGACTAGGACTACGCCGGCGAAGGCTGTGGTGCAGAGTGTGCTGAAGACGGCCATACCTGCGTTTTTCACGCGTTAGCTATAGATTACTTGATGCTCGCATCGTCATTACTACTTACTGTCGTCACTTCGAAACTGTTCTATCCGCCTCATGAACAACCGAACCCCCAAGAAGAAATACATCAGTGTGAGGAAAACCGCAGTGACTACAATGGTGAGATCAAGCAGCGGAGACTTCTTTGCGAAATCCGGCGTCACTCCCGGCGGAGGCGGTTTAGACGGTGTATGCATGAGATCGGGCATCGTGACAAACAAAAAACAGAAAACCCTTCAACGGTCTTCAAGTGTACACGAAAAGCACACGACAGATAGCAATCACGAATATTAAATCCCAGGGGAGGGGGAATGAGTAGCTGTTGTTATACCTCTCTCCCCCAATCAAGAGTGGCAACTCGGATTTTCGAAGGAGAAAAATGGTGATTTCCCCGCGGGGGAAATATTTAAACTCAACTCAACTCAGCTCAACCCAACTCAACTGAAGGGGGGGAGCGGGCTGTGTATACGACGTTGAGGTAGTGAGATTCGCGAGGTCTAGGGGTCATATATCGGGGTTCTCTGGCAGTGCTCGAGTCCAATCGGGGTTCAACACGGGACTGGGCTGCATGTTGGTGGAGGGGTGGTGGGAAACGATGGGGGGCGAAAATAAAGGCAAAGCGAGTGATAAAGATGTCGAACACCATTTTTTCCTTCCAAATACGAGTACGGGGTTGCAAGCGTGCTTGCTTGGGGCGAGATGCGATATGCGATAGGGCATTGAATCGAACGGTTTAGGAAATCCAAGGCTAGACGTTTGAAGGAGAATCAGGGTCTAGTAGTTGGTGTACCGTGATACAAGGTACATGTACATGTAGAATAGACGTTGGATCCACAAGACAGATAGCGTCAACGACGACTCGCCGAAAGACTGGTATCTGGTCCGCCGCCCCACACGTTGCCGCCCCCCTTCCCTTCCCTCCCGTCCGTCTATCCGTCGGGCCCCATATGGATATCTCTCTCTCGCTCTCTCGCCTAAGTCCCAGTCAGTGCGGTGCCTCGTCGTGCATAGATAGTGGCTTTCGGTCCCCGACCAGCACCCCAACCCCAAGGGCATGCAATGCACTATCCAACAATCAATCATTCTGTAAGAGAGCGAAGCAGGTGGTGTGAGTGGCGCAGATGATATACCCCGCTCCAACATACGCTGGATAATTCTGTGGCTGAGAAAGAAAGAAAGAGTACTCTATCTCCATCGTTGCTGAAGGATATTTATCCGTCGTATAGAGTGAGCCTCACAGCGTGGAGTATCAGCATCGATATAGCTGATGCACTTCACGAAATACACTGCCAATATTGGAAACTCGATCAAATGCGGTTCTCGCCCCTACACCCCCTAGCTCTGATCTAGATCTTCAGTCCCGAAATACAAATCACATTCACGTAGCAAGTATAAGATAGCAGGTTCAACTTCATGCGATTCGTGTCATTCATTACTAAAAGATCCCTATGCACAATGCTTTGCTAATAATAGTCATACAAGAAGAATACGCACACCCAATCTACTCAAGACCGATCCTGATGGCCTCCAACGCAAAGTCCATGAATCCAGCATTCGTGTCGAGGATGTTCTGGTTGAACTCGTTGACGTTGGCGGGGTAGAAGTTGCCGGTGGGTGCGAACTCGAGCGTGTATCCGTACACCTTGTTGGCATTGGGGACTTGCCAGAATCGGCTGAAGGCGTAATCGTCGGTGGCACCAGACGTGGCGTACAGGCCAACGGCTTGTTGGTATCCGTAGCTGCGGCCACCGGGAGCCTTGAGACCGTTGACCATGGCGGCTGCGGCGCCCCTGGCGTTGGTCAAGTCCTGCGCGGGAATGTACTCCTTGTAGGTGCTGTCACCGATGCGGCCACGTTTGCCGTCAAAGGCCGAGTTGAGGAAGTTCTGGGTGGGGGTCGTGGACTGGTTCTCGTCGTCGCCCCAGCTGTACAACACATCGCCGACAGCAGAGTGGATATCGACGAACCAACGGATCTTGGGGAAGGAGCTGTACACGGAGACGTGGTTCTTGACCTCGGGCTCGGAGGCAGGTCCGGATCCAGAGTAGGTCTCGGAGCTGGGGGTGGTAGAGGCGGGGGAGGTAGAGGGGTCGAAGTGCTTCTTGAAGTCCCACAGGAAGTCGAAGTTGCGGTTCAGATCAACACCAGTATTGCGGCCAGTGCCGGCCCTGGTGTTGCGGTTCTTGCGCCAGAGCGAGCCGGTCTGCTGGTCGTAGGCAATACCGTCGGGGTTCACGGCGGGAAAGACGACAATGCCGGCCTGGAGGACGCTCTTCACCTGAGCGTTGGTGTAGCTCTTCCTGCCGTAGGTGAGGCCAGTGCCAGCCTTGTCGGCGGCAAGAAGATCCGCCATCCAGTACACAATGTTATCCGGTCCTCCACGCTCTCTGGCGTGAATACCCGCGCTGAAGTAGATGTGGTACTTGGACTTGTCGGTACCAGCGCCGGCGTAGAAGATGTACTGGGTGGCGCCCTCAAAGGTCTTGTTGGGTAGCTCCTGGTAGCCGAGACCATAGGTCTTGACAAGAGCCTGAACAGCCGACTTGATCTCGCCGATGTTCATGATGGTGCCAATGGTGGCAGTCGAGCTCTGGGTTCCCAGGCCGACGGGAATCTTGGTGCCCGCAGCGAAGCGGTCACCAGTGCCAATGGGAGCAGCCCTGGCATCCTGTCGCTTGGTCAGAGACCGGTGGACGGTGATGCCGGAGGAGGCGTATTCGGCGGTGACGAAGTCGATCTGAGCCTCAGTGAGGAGGGCATTGAGCTTGAAGTGGCCCTCGTTGGTAGGCACGGCAGCGGCGTGACATCCGAAGTCGAAGGTATCGTTGCGGACGATGTCCTGGAAGTGGTCGGGGGTCGGGGCACGGAAGTGCATGGGAATGAGCTCCCCAAGCACAACGGTGCTCTGAGCAATCAGAGAGGCGACGAGAGAGTACTTCATGGTGCCGGTGGGAGATGGACTGAGGCGGAGTAAGGCAGCGAGAGAAATCGACTTGTCACTGCAGAACCAGAGGCAGAAAGAGGCGGGCGGCGAGGGCCTTTCATAGTGCCACGAGCTGTCGCCATGTCGAGGCTTGGAGTTGTGGGCGGCTAGCTGGGGAGGGCAGATTGTCTATCCAGCCTGGCAGACGGTCGAGGTTGTGATGCGATGCCAAGGGCAGTCGGCTCAACCGTGGCCAATCGGAGCATGTGACTGCGCTCATCACCCATCTGACCTGCCGCGAGCGGACTAGCCGGATTTGCTGTTATTGGTAGGTGCCAGCAGACGTTTAATGAACCTTTATGTGCACCTCCTCCATTGCGAGCCTGTGTCCGCTGGCTCCCAACGACAGCCTTGGTTGTACTCGCACCTTATCGCTCCCCCATGACGCAGCCTTCTTCTTTGGCTTCTGTCTCCGCGATGCTTTATCGCCCGCCTCTCGGCTGCCCCTGACCAGCATCGCCTCTTTGGTATAGCGACACCGGCGACACCGCTTGCGCCCTGCAGATCATTCGTGCTGTGGCCTGCGTGTTTCCCTGTCCAAGCAGACAGCAAGATCCACTTTGCGTCTCGCAGAGATTAGGGGAGCCACCATCCCCATGTGGAAGTCCTGTATGCGCAACATGCCATGTACAATCGGGCCGCGCACTTCTTTTGTAGCTGCCCGTCAATATCGAGTGACCAGCAACCTTTCCCTCTTTCCAAAACCGTGGCGGCTGTCATGAACAATAAACTTTGACGTGCAATCGTTGCTTCGGCTGTGTCCGTTGGTTCCTCCCGGTGGGACGATGACAAGATCGCTGCTGTCCGACATTCGTTATCGTCTGTTATCGATAAATCCTTCCCGGCGATCAGCAGTGTATCACCAGTCAGTGACCACAGCGAGGCTGTTTTCCAAGAAAAGATCGCATCGTGCATGACCGACTCGGGGAGGTGGGTGAAGACGCTTCGCCACACAACCGGACATGGCAAGTCGACTCGTGTTCGACGCCTGACGGACGTTCACTTCATTTGCGATGCGACAATATTTCGCGCGAGGCAGAGGTGTCGTCAGAATATAAGTAAAATTTCTCGTGAGTACTTGATGGACAGCGGGAAGGATGCAATGCGGAGGTGATCGGTCCAGGCGCTAGTTTATGGTCACGTGAACTGCGATCGCGTTCATCTGTGAGTCTTGTGTAGCACGCGACCTCGCTGCAACGAAATAGAGACATCGTGAGTTTTTCGGGTGTTGAACTACCATGACATGACATCTGCATGGATGTGAGCGTCTCGCGAGGTCTACGTTGTCCATAGCGACTTTGAAGACTGCTTTCAATCTGATGAACCGAATTTCTCAGCTCCCCAACTTTTTCCTTTCTTTTCATGCTAAATTATCGTGCCTCCATTTCGGGAAAGGTGTAAATCGCCAATCCTTACCCCCAAACCTCAACAGCCCCTGATACCTATCAATCTCTACAATATCCGCGTAAAACTGCGTCCCCGAAACGTCAAACCATGTCACATCATCCATAACCTTCCTGATAAAGTCCATATCAAACGGCAGTTTCTGCATCAGAACCAAAAGTTCCAGCCACGGAACCAGAAGATTCCAATCTCTATCATACCCGCACCTGTACTTGTACTTGTGCAAGGTCTCTCGGACCCCAATATCCTGCATCTCAGATATATGCTCGAGAAACGGCTGCAAGTCCGGCGTCGACGAAAGCCCTCCATCGCACGTGAAGACGAACTCGGCAATCTCATACAAGATCCACAGCTTCGCTTCAAACGGCGGGTAAAAATACGCAAATGCGCAGTTCCTGATGATCCCCGATACGGTCCGCAGACAGCGTCGGAAATACGCTTGTTCGACATTTGATCGCGGGTCTTGCGGCATGCACGTCCAATCCACCCAGATGTACTCCCACGTGTACTGTCGTAAATCGTTCTGATGCAAGCGCAGATATTTCCCGTCGGGATCGGGATGCTGCGGGGAACGCCAGTAATGGCTTACGAAGAAGCAGTCGGCGCGCCATACGAAACCGGGGAGAGCGGGAAGCAAGATGTAATCGTCCAGCTTGTCGGGCGACCATTTCGATAGGACGGATTGCGCGAGGAAGGATTTGCGGAGCTGGAAGAACCAGAACATGGGATTCCCGCTGTTGGGAACGTTGGATTCGGCGAGGAAAGACGAGAGTTCGGTGTGTCTTTTGATGAATTGTGTTGCGATTTCTTTGGAGGTGGTCGGGTGTTCAGCGATGATTTTGTCCCATGCTGAGATGCTGCGGTCGACGAGAGAGCACCATGCGAGCTTAGGTGGAAGGGCGCAGGTGTAGATAATTGGTGCTGGTTGTGACATAACAGATATGCTTTGACCGTGGAAAAACTTGACTCATTGCATGATGCAGAAAACGGGACGCGCGTGTTGCGAAATCGAGTGTCTTTATGGATGGCTACAACAAACCGGTCAAGCATCGACATATTGCAGCTTCTCGTCTATTGGACAAGAGGATGCGCAGCCGAGCTGATGACAGCCTGAGTTTGGCTTTGGAGGCAAGATATCAGCGGATTTCTGCTTGAAAATCCATGCGAATCGTCCGATCCCGTTCTTGGTCGTATAACATTGCAAGCCTAGATACTTATCCGTGCAAAGAGGTCTCGACAAGGCTGATTCTTTTCTTGCAGCCTTTTCTGTCGGTTTTCTCAGCCTGTCTTGCGAGGCAACTGTCGACTTCAAAACCCATCAGCTGCACTGATGACATGACTCTCTGCACTATATAGCAAAGTAATCCGATAAACAAGATAGTCGAAAAGTTGGAAAGTTGGAAAGTAGATGAGGTTGTCGTAGCGCATAGCGTACCCGGGGGTGGCAGCGGGTCAATTGGTGGGGAAGAGGGGCCATAATTCGTCCAATCAATCACTAGCGCATCCATCAGCCACTAGTCTGACACATGACTGTGGCTGGAAGCACTTGAGAAGACCAAAGACGCGGCGGTCGTGGGATTTTGTTGTAATCGTTTTGGTGCGAGTTCGAAATACGAATAATCACCCTTCTCGTTCGGAGTGGAAAAACTATCAACCACCACATTTACGAGAGCCGCATATACATCATCCTATACAGAATTTTTCAACGAAACAGCTCGTTCAATTTTCGAACGTCATGTTATCCATTATGTCGAGAAATAGGTGGTACAATCAGAGCACGGTTCTTGCCTTACATTAACTTCAACGTGATGTAGAACTACGAAAACATTAAGCAAAAGCCCCCGAAAAGCTCGAGGAAAAATCTAAATGTTCAATAATTAGGCGCATGCGTTTATCTGAACCATTGAATTCGAAATGGTGCGATAATTAGCCACTGTTCAGCGTCCCGCCAAATATCTCCAAAACGCCAAAATTCTAGCAATCTCCAGCTACCAGACAGATGTCAACGATTTTTAACACCTCATTTCGGCAATTATTTTAACAGCTGAAGACTTGCCATCTCTCTTTTTTCGTTCTTTCGTCGCACGTCGCCCAGAAACAGAAGTCCCATTGATACTTCGATAGGAACATATTCTATCATCTACCTACCACCACCCATCAGACCCCATAATCTCATATTTGAAACATCAGAGTATGCATAGAATCTATTCATCACAGAAATATCCTCCTCGCCGCTAATTCTCTCTCAGTTAGAGAGTTCCGCAGCACCCAGCAACCCGGCACTCACAAAAGGAAACCCCCCTCTTCGAGAAAGAGGAACAGCACCCATGCCCCTCCTGCTCAACAACATCCCACCCCCATCAATGGCCAACTAGGGCTGCCTTGTAACCCGCAGCCTCGAACCCAGGGACACCATTCTCGCCCAACAAAATGACCGTTCCTTCGCGCTTGACCAAAAAGTCGTTTCAGGAACACACCACTCTTTCCTCTTTCCTAGCTTCCTCCGTCAGCAGTTCAATCACTCCCTCCTCATCTTCAAACTTAATCGCTCCTGCTGCAAAGAAGCAACAAGCCCAGCTCTCCTTCCTCCTCCTCTTCTTCTTCCTTGCCAACCCCGCATCGCATTCCTCGCCCTGAACCCCCGTCTTCAACAAATAGGACGGCAAAAATCTAGACTATTACATCTTCCTTCCCGCTCAGTCGCGATATATCTGGCGTCTAGAATGTTTCTTCGTGTGCCATTTCTGGAGAAAGGGAAGGGAACGGTGAGCATCCTGACCCACAATCCACAGGGGACACATCTCCGCTTCAGTCAGAAAGATCTCACGGTCCCGCAGCGGGACTATGTGTTTGTAGCGTTTTCATGTGTTCCGCAGTTGCGGGGGGGAGTATTTCTTTTTCTGCGAGTGGAGTGGAGTGGAGTGGAGTGGAGGACAGAATACGAGTTGAGCAGCGGCGATCTGTAGCAAAGATGGCGTTTGCGCGTGATTGGAAGCATTTTATACCTGCTATTATCCGCAACTCTGGGTTTATCTATTACTACCCAGACACCTAGGAACCGCGAATGTGGGTTCTGTATGAGGAAGGTGGTTGAGTACATGCTCACGGCCGATCTGTTGTATATGAGCCAGCCGGATGTACAGATGCTCCTGCGCCATGGGCATGAGTTAAAAAAAATTCTCTTTTTTTTTCTTTTTTTTTTTCTAATTGGAAGTTACAGTATTCTTTCCAGGCAGAAAATTAGATAAGAGAGGAAGTGACAGAAAGTAGGCAGGCACAAAAACGCTCACAAGGGGGGGGGGGAGGGGTTTGACTTTCAGCAACGGGCCAGGGAGCAATCCATGGGCATGGGATGATGTTTTAAGGCGTGAATGAGACATTGGAGAAGTATGGGTATGCGTGTACTGATTCTAGCGACTACGCCATGGTTGTGTCGAGGTTGCAGTTGCTGAAATGGATGAGAGGGGAGTTGGATATGGATGTTAGGACGGTCTGGAAGGTCTTGGACGATGTCATTTGGGTTGATCTCATGCGACCGTACCACATTGTCGTTGAAGTTGAGCGAGGTGAGTCTGAGATTGAGGTCAATCGATCGAAAGGGAAACTTGTTTTCTATAGTAAAACCCATACGTTCTCGCCTTTTCCGTCGCTCTAGTGAATGGACGGTTTGCAAGTGTACAGACGGGAAACTTCCCGTGCCATTGTGGTAGCAAATTCCAATTTAGTTCCGAGTCTAGTTGTCTCAGCAAGAAAGAAGGTAACACAAAAGAGAGAGTACTAAAAGAAAAAGAACGAGGAAAGACAACGCAAGATAAACACAAAAGTCGAATTGGGATGAGGATTCAAGCTCGTTATTGGGAGAAATATCAACAATATATGGTATATATGTAGCATAAAAGATGTAAATTGCTGCGATTCTACTCTTAATGACTATTTCCAATACCGAAGAAACAGATGCTCCGCGGCCTGTGCCAGGAGTCCCATCCTCGACTCGACGAACTGCTAATTCTGACGAGAAAGTCAAAAGCCGGCACAGATTAGGGATGCCCCCCCAGCCGCCATGTTTGGTGGTTTGCCCCTGCATTCTTTCCTGCCCTTATAGCAATTGCCCTCGGGCAGGTCCTTCTTTGAAAGCATAGCCCGGGATGTCACTGCAATTGTGAGCTCATGTCTTGGCGAAAAGAAGAGATAGGACATGTTTTATGTTCATTTGTGATATCCGGATGAACGCCAGTCACTGTGACTGTAGCTACGTCGCTCCTGCGCCCTCAAACAAGGTCGCTGCCAGTTCAACCGCCTTTCTCCTCATCTAGACTTCTTCTCATCCTAAACCCAGTGCTCACTCTTTCGACGGGTTGAGGCCGTTGCACCGTCGCGGCACTTCCTCTCCTTCCGGGCACACCACTTCCACCCCCGTTCCCATTCGCGCTCAAGTGTGTATTCGTAAGGAAGAAGTCTTTCTTGGACGGCGAAGCCGCAGTGCCTCGGCTCGTAGGTGGCATGAGCGACGCACTGCGTCGAGCAGCGAGGAAACTGTGCGCGTAGCTTTCACCGCTTCGCCTGGGACGCGCAGTGCTGCGGCCTGCAGACAGTGCATTCTCCAAAGCGCGCATATCGACGTTGTAATCTCCTGCAGTCCCGACATAGTCCTTGTTTTCGGTGTACAAAGATGAAGATCCCTGATCAGATCGAGCGTGACTTTTGGAGCTGCGGAATAGTTCCTGGAAAAAGTCGCGGATGGAATCGACGCTAATTGCGATTGCGATGAGGGGAATGCTGATGGCGAAACCGATTCCGAACATGTATTTGCTGACATACGAGAATGGTAGGGACGGCTCGCTCTCGCCTTCAATGTGCGGAAATTCCTGGATATTGATCGTGAAAATGGCAGCGATGAAGGAGAGGGGGAGGAAGATGATCGTGACGATGGTGAAGACCATAATGGTTTGACTTTGGCGTGCAGTGCCAGCAGCTTGGTCGCGAGCGAATCGAGCCTCGAAGGCGTTGGCGTGTTTCTGCTTCAGATCCAGAAGATTCGTAATGGAATTGTAAATGCGTTCGGCTTGTTTATCCATACGCTCGAGATCTTTGACGTGAATGTCAATTGTCTTCAACTGATCACGGAAGCGCCGTTTCAAGTCCTGCTGACTTTTGTGTTCTTCGCGGTAGATGTCAGTGATGGAGCTTTCGAGGTCCGGAATCACAGATCGTTGGTCTTCAAGAACTTTGGTAATCATGTTGATTTCGTCGCGGATGTCTTTGATCTCGGCGAGGAGATCTGTTTCCGCACCAATATCAAGAAGTTTGTCGACGAATAGCGGTGTATGCGTGATGCCCATATCTTCATCGTAGAAGTATTCTTCCTCGTCGGCAGGATGAGAAAGGGCGTGGAGATGGCTGTGCGAATGGGCAAGCCGTCTATTCTCATGCTCGATGTGACGCTCTTCCGCTTCTAGATGGCGTGAAAAACGACTGGACTTGCGATGTCGTTTCAGCCATTGCGATGCTTGAGCTGAAGCAGTATTGAACTCTTTGAAGAGAATGGTCTCCATATCTGTCGCGTCACCAATGGAGGCTTCAAACATATCCATAAACTGGTAGTTCTCATCGCCCATACGGTGGCGATCAAACACACCAGAACATCGTCCAGTGATCACCATAGAGAGATCGTAGACTGATCTGATGGGCTCCCTTGTCTTGCTGTTGACATCCTCGATGATACCGTCAAGTACATTCAGTGGATCATTCTTTGGTTGTTGCCAACGTTGCGGAAACGCAGTCACAATGAGGTCCTTGCCGAGGATGTACATCCATAGATTGTCCACCATGAGAACTTTGGGGTCGATACCTGTCTCCTCGGGTGGCCGGCCTCTGCACTGGTAGCGATATACCACTTGATCTTGATCGCGGGATTCTGTGTCAATGTTGTGGTAGAATGATTGATCCAGTGTTCTTCGCACATGAAGGGAGACAGCAGATGAAGTCACATGTGCGCGGACAAGCATTTCGTCGTCGGTCTGCGCTCTGTACGGCGTAGATCTGTGGGCTCTTCCGTCCAGCCTGTCTCTTTCTCTCTCCATCTGCGCATAATTGATGGCAGTCTGCATTTCTTGTCTCTTTCGGTCGGTTTCGAAATGTAGATATGGCATGAACGCAAAAATGTTCCCCTTTGCGGTCGACGTCGGATCCTTTCGTCCCGGGCTCCCTGGCGAACGTAAATGCCCGCTACTTGTCAAAGGTGTGCTAGATTGGCGAGGGCGTGCGCGATTCTCGGAGTGTTTGGTAGGTGTTTCCGCACCACCAGATTTGCCACTTGCTGACTTGGAACCACCCCATTTCGCGAGTTTCTTCTGTCGGGATCCGCCCTTGGTATTGGTCTTTGAGTCTTTCGTAGAGCCTGAAGCCACAGTCCAGTCAGTCTGATCGGTAGACACGGTCCCTGTCCTGGCTGGTGGTTTGGGGTAAGGCAGTGAAGTAGATTCTTGCGCTCCAGACGTTGTGCTGATGCCTAACCCTGAGGTGGAGTTGACTACAATTTGCGGTGGTCCTTGGTCCGCTGCGTCCGACAAATCAGATTCATCATGTGTCCGCGGAGCTCGAGGTGTCGTCTGGCAGAGTGGGCGCATATAATGCGAATGAATTTGCCTGCCCCGATGCTGATGGCGGATTGAGCTTTCCAATGCCATGAAACCAGGTACGTCAGAAGCACCCTCTTCTACGAATATCTTCGTGAGAAGTGTCTCCACCCACGCTATGTTGTTTGCGGGGAGATGAATCCATCGAAAGGTGACCGACTTGGCCTCTCGCGGAAGGGCTGTAAAGGCAGGTTTGCGGTGATTGCCTGGGTCACGACCATATAGGACTTCAAAAATCGAGCGTTTCGCTACTCGATTGCCATTGTGGAAGTTGCCAAAATCAACAATTGTAGCTTTGAATCCGTTGCAAGCGCCCAGGGCGTCCGAGTTCAACGAGTCGACATGATTGAATGGTGCCAGTATATTGACAATCTCTTTATTTTTCTTCTTAGCTGCGCGAATGAATGGTGTAATACCAAAACTATCTCTTGGGGCACGCTTGCAGTCTTGACGCCCCAATAGGAGCTTAACTACTTCGAGGTGGCCTGCCGATGACGCTTCATGTAGAGGCGTTGATCCACTCAGAACTCTTGCGTTTATGTCTGCACCTGCCTCAAGCAACATCCTGACAGTCTTTACACTACCCTCCTGACAAGCATTATGTAAGGGAGTCCAACCGCCATCACTCTTCGCCGTGACATCCGCGCCGTAGTGGATTAGCAGGTCCACGATATCATCCCGATTGTGTATTACGGCTAAGTGAAGTGGTGTTTTTGACTTGTTTTCTCCAGCGTGGATATTGGCCCTGGGCGGTTTCGACCTCGTCAACAGCATCTCGCAAAGTTCCTTCTTTCCCAGAGCGGCTGCCCAGTGGAGCGGCGTGCGTTTCTGATCGTCCTGGTAATCGATGACGATGTTCGTCTTCAGCAACAGATCGATCACATAGCTCCCCCAATCGCACTGTTTGTCCGCCGCCAGATTGTGCAGTACATTTCTGCCCTCGTTATCCGTTTTGTTGACATCAGCGCCCTTGCGCAGGAGCTCGTTCAGAATGTGCCAGTGATTCCGCCAGGCTGCTACCATGAGTGCAGTTCGCCCCTGTTTATCTGTGACGTCCACATTGCCTCCATATTTCAGAAGAAGCTGCACAATTCCGACGTGGTTCTTCTCGATGGCGCGCAGCAGCGGCGAGATTCGATTACCGGGTGCGCCGTCTGGCTTCGCGCCGTTCTTGAGCAGGTATTCGGCGATCGCGATATTGTTTCGTTCGGCGGCGCGCATGAGCCCGATGCGCAGGAGGTGTTCGGAAGGTTGGGATTTGGACTTTGCATCTTCGATTATGGCGGCAACCTCGTCGTATTTGCGCTCTTCGATTGCCTTCAGCAGGCGTGGTTCGGCGCGCACGCGGTGTTCAGAGCCGGCGCCGTCGCTCGAGCGCGAGGGTGAGCGAGCCATGATTGTGATTTACATGCCCGGATAACTGATCATGGTTCCGGATGGGCGATTTTTAGTCTGAAGCGGCATGCAGTGATACTGGCCATCGGGATGGCTAAGCTGGCGGGTGTCGACGCGCGCATTTCGGTAATCCGGGGCTGAGAATCGCATAGCTGATCGTGCGTCGAGCACTGTCACGTGGGTAGGATCATCGGTGTGGGGACGTTCTCGCCCATCCTGTATGGGTTCGACCGCGTGAACATTTCTGTGGCAATTGAAGCCAGGGCGGAGAAGGCGATGATGAGAATGGAGTGATGGCGTTGCAGAGTTGGACGAAGACAAAGGCGTTCAGAAGCAATGGGATGGGACGGAAAGAGGGTTCAGCTTAAGCATCGCGCCTGCCAGTTATCCGGCCGACCAGCCCGTCACTCTAATGTTAGCGACCCAAACATCAGCTTCTGCGCATACAAGTCTTGTAGGCAATAATTATATCCGTGTGCTGCTATTGCATGTTTTTATTATAACACAACTTTTAATTGATCTTTAAGACGTTTAGTTTGTATACATAGTATTGTCGCTTTCAATCCTCTCTAACTGCGCTGCAAATCGTGCATGCCGACGCAAACAGATTATTTTACGCTTTCTCTAGCCCAGTTTATGCAAAACCCTTAATTATCTTCTTTAAGTTGAAGAACTGATCAACATTCCTCTGCATAGTTAGGAATCTCACAAACCTACAGCTCTCGCTCTCTAGATGACTAAACAATGCAGCTAACTCCTGAAAGTCTCGCAAACAGTTAAAATTGGGGCAGTGATATATCTTATCTATGTGCACGCTGGAGAGTAAATGTTAATTAATGCGGAAAAGATCTAGGAATTCTTGATAGTAGAGGTAGCATTTATAGGCATGCCCGTTGTAGGTTGCTTCTATGGCAATAAGTTTTAAGTCTAAAAGGGCGGGATTGATATTGTGCGTGACGCGGCAGCCGGGATTGCGGTTCTTGATGTTAGTGTAGATGCTGACCTGTGTGAGGCTTTTAGCAACTTGGCAAGTGTTTCTTTCTAGATAGTGCGAGAGCCCGCTAGCAGAAGTGTATAAAGACTAACAGAAGGGACACTTTACGCTTTTACTACAATGTATCTTAAAGTTAAAGTGCTATGCAGCATTAGCACAGCGCATGCTCTACCTTACTTAAGTACCTCTGACTAAAAATGCAAAACTACTTACTATTCTGTACGCATTATAATTTTGGAAAAACTGGTTGCAAAGGTCGCAGAATGGCTTCTTAAAGTAATTGACGGCTTTTATATGCTGGTCCGCTGCATATTCAGTAAAGAATTGTCAATCACAAGTGTCACATAGGAATTGCGGTCCCTAGTGCTGTTTGCTGGTCATGTGCTGAGCAGACGCGATATGGCTTGCAAAGCGTTTACCGCAAGTGTCACATTTATGTTGTTTGGTCAACTCCATGGGTACGAGCTCTGAAATCTCTGAGATTGTGTTGAATCCGCTGCCGAGCAGCCGAAAGATTGGTCAATGGCGTCTACTAAAGCATTTGATGGCAACGGAACGCAACGAACTCGTAATACAGTGAGGACGTAACCCGAGCAACTGGCCAGGCTCGAGACACAGGGGAGAGAAGGAGTGGCATCCACAAAACCTCTGTTACTGGGTTAGTGCGACGATGGAGGGCCCCCCATCCAAACCCGGACATTGCACCGGTCGGGAGTGGGGACCCCACAAACAGTTGGATGTTGAGAAGCATACTCTTTAACATCCTTTGAGAGCATTCATCGAAAAATGCCAAAGTCGCATTAAATCTGGGTTTCAGTGCCTGTCTTTCTTGTTGTACAGTGACGAAGTCGCGACGATGTGCAAGCTCGCTTAGTAACAACCTGTTCTTGTTGAAGGACTACCGGCCTGTACAACTCACTAGCCAAGTAAGTGACGAGACACATCACATCACGACTTTCTTCAACCCAACAATTGAAATCTGATCTATTCCACGGCAATTGAATGCGATGAGAATCAGGGGCTAATCATCGCAAGCACCGCGAGTGACAATGATTGCCAAGGGAAAGCCACAATCGTCGTCAGAGAAGGAGCAGACTAGGAGCAAGAACAACATCACAGCATTCACCGCCATTTACTCATATCATCGTCGTGTATGCATCATCGTAATCTTCATCTTGATTCTCATCGTCTATTCACACTACGATACAACAACCACGGCTCCCATGCAGACAAAGAAACACCAAAAGAGTAGCGAGGGCTCTAACCACCTTCGGTCCATCTTCCTCCCGTACATCTACGAATTCGAATCCAAAGAAGTCCCCCTGGTCCGGACCACTATCCATGGTGTCGACATCGAAATGCCCATCGATACCGGCTCCACAGGGCTGTTGATCGGCGCACCGGTGCTCCCTGATATCGACCCTACGCAGGGCACCCCGGCGTATCACTACCTAACAAGCAGCAACATCCTGTATGTCGGTCGACTTGTCCCCTTGTCGGTCGAGTTCCATGGGTCGGAAGATTCTCGTGCCATCGCCCATGTGCCTGCTCTTGTCGTGGACCGAAGTTATATCTGTCCGTGGTACGATCCCAGCAATGATACTTTTGACTGCCCACGCGGCGAGAACGGGGAAGAACCTATATCGCGTGACACGTCGCATATCATGTACATGGGGATCGGGTTCTCGAGAAACATGCCGGGCAACGGGCAGCCAGATGCGATACCGGCGCGAAATCCTTTCTTGAACATTGTTTCGATAGACGGAGTGAACACCTCTTCGTCGACACTCAAAACCGGCTACATCGTCTCGTCGTATGGAGTGGAAATAGGGTTGACGGAACACAACGTATGCGGCTTCTCATTCGCCTCGCTTGAGCCGGGGGTGACACACGACGAGGATCCGCGGGATTGGGCCATGGTGCGATCCAACTTCAGCGTCGACGGACAGACAGGAAGCTTCGGGTATGGGTTGGTCGATACGGGCGTCTCCCAAATGTACCTCAGGGCCGAAGAGGGTGTTTCCGTCCCCACAATATGGATCCCCAACCCAAATCCAAATGGTACGGCAAAGAAGGTCGAGCGTGTCCGTCCAGGGACGCAAATAGACATCGACTTCATCTCTTCGAAAGGTGACAAGGTTATGGGGTATGGGTTTGTGGTAGGAGAGCCATCAACAATGCACCCAGCGTCCGTCAGGCCAGCGAAGCGCACGCCACCGCCCTTTCTAAACACCGGACGGAACTTCCTGTTTGGATATTCGGTTGCGTTCGATGCTGTGGAAGGGCGATTTGGTTTCCGTCCTGCCCGCGGCCTAACAGCTTCCACACAAGCTGCTACCACGAACTCCATCCGCTCTCTGCTCGCGTAGCCATCTTCAGTCCCAACCCCTTCCTTGTTCCTCGTGATGTGTTGCGGCTTGTTGGCTGAAAGGCACGTATGCTTCGGCCTTCTAGCCTTTGACGGTCGCACTCCTCATGGGACTCCTGAAGTCGTTCCTCAGCTCCCGATATTCGTCTAGGGCCTTGATGAGAAGAGCATGAGCCTGCTCACCCCCTAGACCCGCCAGCACGATAGCGCCGACCACACCCTCAACGCCCTTGACGAAGATGGGGTAGCCGCCGCCCTCGAGTGTGTAGGTCCTGGCCTCGTCGCTTGATAGGCCATAGTGTTCCTGCATCCTCTTCTCGTCACCGCCGAACTTGCAGGACTGGTACCATGTAGAGTTGCCCCACCGGAACACAGTCTCACATTTCCGCTTGACCCATTTCTCGTGGTCTGGCATCATGCCCGGCATGCTGGGACTGTGGAAGAGCGTGAGCGAGGACGATAGCGAGATGTGGATGACGGCGGGGAGATCGATGGTGCGGAGGGCGTTTCGAAGGATGTTGCCGATGACCCAGGCGTGCTCGCAGGTGAAGTGGTTGAAGGTGAAGCTGCGTTCTTCACGAGCCAGATCGCTGAGCGATCTCGTGGGGGAGGGTATCGAATTCATCGAGTTTAGCATGTGAGTGCTGGTAGGGGTCAAAGTGGACATCTGTAAAGCTGGGGTGGGATGGGATGGATGGAAAGAGAGAAGGGCAGGGGATCGCAGCACTGCTGGGAGGTGTGGTGTAAGATGATGATGATGAAGGGGAAAGGGGAAAGAGGCGGTTCTCAGCTTGCGCGTAGGTATACGTATATGTATTCACATGGGATGAAGTTCGGCGGCGCCGTAATTAAAACAAGACCGATTCAAGGACCGCCCGTCCCAGCCTTGGCCGACAGTTCAACAGTGCGTCGAGTCGCGACGTCGAGTGGAGGCCGCGGGAGAGACAAATTCGAGGTTGAAGATTCCGTGCCAAGCCATTTTCCCTTTCTGGTGGAGACGGAAGTCCCGCCCTCCCCGCTGCTCCCGCTCCTCCCCGTGACCGCCCGGGCAGGATTTAGCGACTGCTGTTGGTGAGTTTCAGCGTTTGGTTTCAACCCTCATGTCCCTTTTCCGCAGTCCAATCTCGCCCGCCCTTCCAATTCCAACACCAACCCTTCTCTTCCGGCTGACGGGCAAACCCTTTCCGTGTGGTCCGCCCGCCTCGCGTGGCCTCACGTCACCATGTGTGGCTATGACTTGCAGCGTCTGGACCGTCCCCCACGAGGGACCAAACAGTTCAGTGACACGCCGACGTCCGCACGCCATTGTCGTGCTTGTTTCAGGGACTGCTTCGCTGTCGCTGGCTGCAAATCGAAACGTCGCGAAACGGGATCGGACACACGGACACATATCTGGCGTCGAACAAGGTTTGGGGCTCCTTTTGTGGAGTTATCAGATGGATTCACGATGAAAAAGGGAAAGGGAAAAACCTCCGTGACAAGATTCCCTCGTGAAGACATTATTTTAGATGGATGTTTTCCGTTCCGCTATCGTCATGATGGGAGTTATCGGTCTGCCCGCTCCCCCCTCCCTCTTCCCTCTTCCCTCTTCCCCAAATTGAGGCTGAACCGCCCGCTTTCATCAATGTCGCGGGCAGAAATATCATCAATGTTACTTCGCGAGACCACCACATGCAAACAGTCCCAAAGCACTCATCGCTAACATGTATCCGACAAGCATGCAACCATGTCCACAGTGGTAGGATGCCAGCATTGGCAGCTACTCTTCGGTCGGCTCGTTCGTTTATCGTTTAGATATCCACGACGCACGGAACTAGCATACACGTCAGACGGTTCGTCGAGTACAATTCATACTAGGCACCAGCATATTATTAAAATCCCCTTTTAACAATGTCAATATCGCACCAGATTCCTCAATTGTTCATTCTGTTCTTGTGACCATCAGTGTTCCGCTCAAGTTCCAATTGGAAGTCAAGCTCCAGCATGGCTAGATCAACAACCGGGCTTGTCCTAACGACTCTCTTTCTCAAGCCATTCGCCCAGTCCACCAACCCCACCACTAGCCCAATTGTGACCGTGGATAACATTGAATATCACGGCCTGCACAATGCCACTTTTCGCACAAATACATACTTCAACGTCCCCTTTGCTGCACCACCCGTCGGACCTCTTCGCTGGAAAGCCCCAGAACCGTACGTCGCTCCGAGCGATCAACCTTCAAAAACCATCTCCATCGACGCCACAAAACGAGGCCCCTCTTGTGTTCAGGGCGCCCCCGTTCCGTTTCAGACAGAAGACCCTGCCTCGACTGTTATCAAGGGCTCCGAGGATTGCTTGACGTTGCATGTATTCACTCCCGACACTGCGACCCCAGACTCTAAACTCCCAGTGGTGTTCCACATCCACGGCGGAGGATACGTGGTTGGTGCAGCCGCTGAGGACAATCAAGAGCCTTATGCGCTTCTGCAGCATTCAGGAGAGGGCACGTTTATCTATGTATCAGTACAGTACCGCCTCGGAGCATATGGATTCCTCGGTGGTCCCAAGTACGCTGCTATGGGTGGCGCGCCAAACTTGGGGATCATGGACCAGCGACTCGGCCTCGAATGGACACGGAAGAATATCGCTGCGTTTGGCGGGGATCCAGACAAAGTCACTATCATGGGAGGGAGCGCAGGCGGAGGGAGCGTAACTGCCCAGATGATGTGGGCTGGTGGGGAAGATGCCCCGTTCCGCGCAGCGCTGGCGGATTACCCTTGGACCCAGCAGTTTCTAAGGGAAGAGCAGCTTGACCGGCAATTCGAGGTGCTCTTGGATGCCACGGGATGCAGCGAAGGCGGGTGGGAGTGTTTGCAGGATGTACCGGAGGAAAAGATGAAGAACGCTACACAGGCAACTTACACAACTGCCTATTGGAACGGCGATTACGGATATGGAACCTTCTATTACGGCCCGTACGTTGACGGCGAGTTCTTGAGGGGGCTGCCGTCTACAGAGTTCCGAGCAGGTCGCTTTTCCCACGTGCCCACGATGGTGAATAGAGCGGGATACGAAGGGTTCGTCGTTACGAATTTCTCCGCTTCTTACACGCTCGAAGATGAGAAAGCCGACTTAAGGACGCAATTTCCCTACGCTGATCAGGCTTTATTCGATGAGCTATACAAGCTATACCCCAGCGATTCCTTCAACTCCACCCCCTGGCACCGCCAGACCTGGTTCGGGTAAGTTCTTCCTTGCGGAAGCGTCCTCCACCAAACTTGGCAACATCAAACGCTAACACTTTCAAATTTCTAGTGATTTTGTAATCAATTGCCCTACACATAACATCGCTGCCTCGCTCGCAGACTTGAACATCCCCGTATACAAACACGTCTTCAATGCTGGCACGCAGATCCACGGCGCTGTTTCCGAACTCACCAACACGGTCGATTATGCCTCGCGACCTAATGCCAATGTGACTTTGGCCGATGTGGTCAAGGACTACTACGCTTCTTTCCTACTGCACATGGACCCCAACGCTGAGAGCTGGAGCGATGTGGAGAAACCCGTCTGGCCCGAGTACCGCGAGTCTGGGGGTGTGGTCATGAGTTTTAATTTCACGGAGATCGGAGGGGTTGAGGACCGGTACTTTGACGCTACCGAGAGGTGTGCGTTTTGGAAGGAGAATGGGGCGGTTATGGGGAATTGAAGTGCGCATCGCATTCTTCCCGTCATGATGTCGGACTTGTAACAGTTCTCAAAAGTTGGATTCTTGCATATGTTGAGAAGTTCGCACCATTCATTTAATACATTGTACAAATCGTAGATTTTTCAAATCAGTTTATGATACAAAAGAGTCTATAAATACAATATCTCGGCTGCGCCATGCTCATGATATGAGAGACAGAGCACCAGACATGTCCAGCGGAGATAAGCAGCGAGCGTATTGCTCGAGAAAATTACTAAATGACAAAACTCCAAGGCCAGAAAAAGATAAAAACTCAAACCAATCCATATTTACATTCACAAAATGGTTGCGATAGTCATTCAGATGCCGTTTACATGAGCACAGCCATGCCCATGGCGGAGTTGCGCACACCAAGAGCGCCGAGCTCAGCGTTCTGCACCAACTTCCTCTGGACAACGTCGACGACGCTGATGGCAGGCTGGCTGGTTCCGTTGCCGGGAGCCAAAGCATACACAAAGTTACCGGCGGCCCTCAAATCGATCAAACCGGGGTTCATGGCGCTGGCACCCTGAGTCAAATCGATGGGATCGTTGACGACCTCTGCAGTGGTGAGGCTCATTTCCAAAAGACGGTTGACGCCGACGTCTGCGGTCCAAGCGGAGCCAGTCTCAGAGGAGATGGTGGCCCAGCAGAGGGCGACGGCATCGGGGACTTCGCCGCGGCCGACGGTTTGAGCCTTGCCGGTGTTGTCGACGGAGAGGACGGCGGCGCCGAAGGCAGCATCGGTCGAGAAGATCATGGTGGAGTTTGCGCTCTGGATGTTGGCGGAGCCGAACAGGAGGGTGGTTCCTTCGGGGCTGGAGCGAGTCTCCTTGCCGACCATGGGCTCGCAGTCGCCGTTGGCGGCCATGTTCACTTTAACGGCGCTGAGGAAGCCGGTGTTGTTGGTCATGGGAACACCCTTGACGGTGGTGAAGAGCATCGACTCGTCTGCGGAGAAGAAGGTGTGCGAGACTGTGTTTGCGGGTCCGGCCGGGGGATCGGATTGGTTAAGGTCGAAGTTTGAGATCTTCTTCATTGCGCCGATGCCGTCTTTCTTGTTGAAGCTGCCGCATGAGACGCCGGCGTTGGAGCCAGAGGTCGCGACGCACACCATGCTGTTCTTGATGGATGCAGTCACCGTGTTGGGGAAGGTGCCGTCGATGGCTGCGGGTTCTCCGACCATGGTGAGTTGAGTGGGGTTCTTGGGAGAGATGGCCAGCATCGAGACGGTGTTGGAGCCGGCGTTGACGGCGAAGATGTGCTGTAGTCCGAGTCAATATCAATCTTCATCGTGCTGCAAAGGTGGTGGTTTCTTACATGACCCGCGACAGTAACGGCTGACTGAGATATGAGTGCATCTGTCGGTACTGACTCGCCCATAGCGTTCACACTGACTGCTCCTTCTCCCATAGTCGCAGTGAGTGTCCCATTGCCTAGTGTCCCGTCCGCCATGATGGGAATGGCTACTACCGCGTTGTTCGCGCTGTTGGTGATGGCATATACGGCCTTTCCAGTTTTCCCCGCTCCATAGTGTGGTCTACCGCTTGGGAGAGCGGAAGCGATGCTGTTCAGAGCCGCGAAGGCGAAAACGGTGTGGGTGTTGGTGAAGAGCATGGTGATTGAGAGGAAAGAGTGCAGATAGAACCAGATGCCGGCAAAAGTGTCAAAGTGCTGTAGGAGATTGAGATTTTTGGAGAGAAAATGGACGACGTAGAGGAAAGGAAAGAAATGATGTTAATGTTGTTGGATTGTGTTGTGTTTGTGTTTTGCTCCATTTCGCAATGGGTTCTTTCTCTCTTATACTTCCCGTCGCCATTCTTCATCTCCCAATCCTTATTGCCTTTTGATGAAAAACTATACAGCCCAAAACCGATTACCAGATCACAAATTACCTTTTTGGGAATTTCTGAAGCAAATCTTTCCTCAGCTTTATACGGACTTCCTGGTCTGACAGTCATCGAACGTCAGTGCAGAGTCGGCTAAGGCACCCATGCTGCATCGTCTATACCCGATCGGGCAATTCTGATTCCTGAACATGTAACTGTGATTCCTGAACGAGTACAGCCGTTAAAATGCGGGGAGTTTGTGATGGCAGATCATGACGTTTCAGCCTGAAGTCTTTGATATTTCTCTCAGGAGAGGACGTGGCGCGAATTTGTGTGGATTCGTGGCGGATGAGGCTGGTAATTCGTTGCAGCCCAACTGCTGGTGTATCAGACTTAGGCAGCGCTAGGGAGGCTGGCATCGCGAGTGATGAGTAAACCTGAGCGGTGCCGTCGACCCGTACGACGTCAGGAACCTCTCTTGCTGTTGCGTGTGGCGTGCCTGCCGTGTAAACCATACGATTTGTTGCTGATCATTGCAGCTTAGTCGAGCGTTCAAATGTTCGTATTCTCCGAATACGAGGCTGACGATTTGTGGCTGGTTCATTTAGCGGAAGGTTTCCAACATCAATTAATTTTCCGCTTGATTCCGAATCATGCACAGCCGCAACGATGTGCTTGATTAGATGACTATCAGAAAGCGTATACTCGCTCTAGAGAAGATGATCTCAATATTTGCGATTGAATAGCCCGCAATTGGTGATTGGATTCAGCTGAAATAGAGGGAGTGGTGACCTGTCTGTTCGCGCGTGCGAAGACCCTCGAGTCATTGATCTCGTCTAATTGCGCACAAAGTACGGCTGTCGCCAAACGGCAGAGTCGACTTTAGATCAGAACGTTGCACCAGGCTGAAGTTTTCGACCCGTTCAGAACTAAGATGTTGACGAAAAAGCATACTAGGGTGACTAACTCGATTGTGATGATCTCGACCGGATGAGTAAGCATTGGATTGGGTCCCAATGAGCGCGTCCCGAGGCCATTGCACAGTGCTGGTGCTGAGATATCGTCGTCACGTGCAGAATTAAGCGAATGCTCAATTTTGTATGAATCATGTGATGATCAGTACTTTTCGCTTCACGATGCACTGCCCAAACGCTGCAAGCCTTTAGTGACGGTGAAACGAAGTCCTGTGCAGCTGCCACTGTGCAATTATGGGCGCCGCCCTTCGATTGCGATGGTTTTGTTGGGCTGTTTGACGAATCTCCTTCAGTGGGAGGCGAGATCAGACGTTTCGGATCGTCTTTTTACCGTCTTTGTCGTTACGCGAGGTGCCCGCCTTTAGGGGTGGAGTATGCCTATTACAATCCACGCTGAGATATCGCAGCCCGACGATCGTATACCGTATAGACCGCGCGAATAGTGCTGTACCGTGTACTCAGATAACCCGCCAGCAACCAGCTCCATTCATACCACGTTGAACGTACACAAATAGCTGCGGAACCATTCTCAAAGCAGATTTGACAGCCCATTTCATTCGCCCACTTGTCGGGGCGAAGCTTCGAAACCGTCGATGGTGGCTGATCAGTCATGGCCACAAACATGGAGTAAGACGCTGTCGACTTGTGAATAGGGGAGCGCTTACCCATATCCGATGAGGCAATTGGCGCGAAGGATGCACCGGCCAAACTTCGGCAAGCATCCCCCCTGCACCGGGAACGTCACCCTGGTCTGTCCTTCTCCAACAACATCCTACAGGCATTTTTCGCCTCACACAGCCCGCTTATCTAGTCTTTGCGAAGTACACAGTCGCCATCCATGACGAAGAAAGGGCACTCGATACTCTCTCGGTTGCAAGACGTCACTCGCGTGGAAAATTCTGGAAGCGCGCGCAAAAACCATCGTTCGACCACCGCTCGACCGATATATATAGCACGCTGTGTTTTCCACGCTATTGGAAATGGTTGCTAGACTGTCCATTGCCGAAAAAACGATAGGCATGGCCATTACCCCATGCAAGGTACTCCCGCTGTCTTTGAACAGACCTCGCAAGCGAGCCAGCGGCTGCGGCCAGCCCACCAGTCTTATTACCATCAGTCGAATAGCACATGTGTTCCATCGGCCCTGATATCGAATTTGGCACCAATTCCATGGGGGAAGGTGAACGACGCAACTTGCGCACCCTCGGGATTCTGGTTAGGCTTATGTTCCGTTCCCTCTCCCGCGGCATACATGAATTCATCGCTTGACAAAGAAGAAATAAAACTCGTCGCCACCATTGCCCGAGCTACGTTAGGGTACCCGATTCTGGCGAAGCTAGATAGTCATTTCCTCGATACTTGCCTCATCAGTCCATATTTAGTAGATGGACTAACGAACACCACGATGGTATGATGTGGGCTCTCGAAGAGATAGCGCACCTGTCGATCGAGCGTCTTTGCGCTTTTTACATGACAGTTTGTAGCCCCTCCGGCTATGCCGACAATGCCGAGTATCCCTGCTACTTCCCCAGATAAGAGCGACAACAAATTACCCACATTCGCATGGCAGCTTAAACCTCTATGGGTGCCTGTACTCGTAGGCAGCACAGCGATGGGGCAACTGGGACTTTCGTTGTAATCAAGTGGAACTCGGAATCTCTGGATGACGGCATCGGTCAGCATCTTCAGTCCGCGTCAAGGTCAAATGCCACCGTTGCTGTGGATAACTTTGAGATAGCCCGCTTGCTCTCAACACACGGTGAGCTGTTGAGCTTAGCTCTCGCCCCGAATCGAAGCAAGCCCGGTTAATCTCAGCACAGAGAAGCATGGGACGGTTGGTTGGACCCACCATGCTAGACCCTAGATCAATGCATTCATCTCCACCTCGCATTGCCCAGAGATACTGTAGCATGGACAAGCGCGTTTAAAGGTTCGACGATCCCCAAACTGACTGTCTTGTTCGCGGGCCAAGTTACTTGTACAAGAACACCCTCAACCTTTACAAACTTATCACTCTCGTTTATTTACATACAACATCTTTCTTAATATCTAATAATGTCTTTCACTCGTCGCTCCGCACTCCTCGCAGTGCTCCCAGCCCTCGCCGCTGCCCAGGGTGGTACCCCCAAGCTCGATGCCGCTTGCGAAGACGTCGTGCTCTTCTGGGCCCGAGGCAACGATGCTCCTTACCACGACGGCCGTACCTCGCCTTTGATTGACGCAACCTGCGCCAAACTTGCCGCCCAGGGTACCAGCTGCGACTACGTACGTGCCATTCACATACGGAGACTTTGAAACAATACTGACGGTATATCCAGATCGACGTCCAGTTCGATGCTACCTACGGAGGCCCATTCTGTGACCAGATCGCCGAGGGCGCCCGCAACGGTGTTGCTCAGGTCACTGCCTTCAACTCCAAGTGCCCCAACACCAAGATCGTCATGAACGGTTACTCTCAGGGTGCCCAAGTCACCGGAGATATCCTCGGAGGTCCCGGTGGATGCGAGAAGGTCTCTGATGGCCTCGACAGCAACTCTGCTGCCGGCAAAGCCAGTACGTTCAAGTCTCTCATGCAAAGGCCCTGGGACTCTATGCTAATACAAACCAGTTGCTGCTGCTCTCCTCTGGGGTGATGTCCGCCACACTGCTAACCAGCCCTACAACGTTCTCGACGGAGCTGGTAGCGAGGTCTACCCCCGTACCGGAAATGATCTCGCTCTCATCAACCGCTACTCCTCCGTCCTCCGATCTTACTGCGCTGCCGGTGACCCAGTCTGCGCTGGTGGTGATGTCGTCGCCGACCACTTGAACTACTTCGAGCTCTACACCAACGATGCCGCCGCATGGATCGTGTCCATGGTCAACAAGGTTCTGCCCACCTCCAGCTCCGCTCCCTCATCCTCCGCTTCTAGCACCATGGTCACCTCGTCTTCCCGCTCTTCCGCCCCTGTTGTGACGGCGTCTTCCAGCTCTGCCGTCGTTCCTTCGTCGGGTGCCTCCAGCTCTGCTGTTGCCCCTTCGTCGGGTGCCTCCAGCTCTGCTGTTGCCCCTTCGTCGGGTGCCTCCAGCTCTGCCGTTGCCCCTTCGTCTGGTGCCTCCAGCTCTGCTGTTGTCCCTTCGTCCGGTTCCTCCGCAGTCGTCCCCTCCAACGGTGCTAGCGGAAGTGTCAGCGTGCCCACCGCTTCCTCCAACGGCACTGGTTCATACAGCGCCATTGATTCCTCGGTGCCTCACTACACCGCCACTGTTCCCCAGCCTTCCGGAACCACACCCTCTGCTTCCGTTCCCTCTACCAACACCCACCCCGGAACTCACCCTCCCTTCCCCGCGGCCACCCCTTACGACAACTGCGTCGTCAAGTACGAGGTCGTGACCAAGTACGTGTAAGTTCTGTTTCGATGAGGTACATGAGGAATGACGATGTCGGACGGTCGTGAACACAAGAAAATAGTTCGAACATATACAAAAAAATAATATAACATTATTTCGAACAAGGTCCATCTTGCCATGTCTCTCTGCTTCCATCATGTGATGTGATTCATGCTTGCTGAGTATCGTAGTTCCGTGAATTCTACATTTGAGGGTACGTACTCCTTCGTCGGGGAAACTGCCCGAGGCGGAAGGCAGCAGGTGCGAAGTCCGCCGTTGTAGCCTTACCTTTGCGCTTTCCGCATCCACTCTCCCATTGGTCGAAGCTATATTTTCTTATCAGAGCTGCGCGTGTCCGCAAACAATAGTCCACCCAATTGCCGTCTTGCACTGCATCTTTCCCATGTTGGCCTTCGCTAAGTCTATCATTTGATCATCGCAATTCTATGCGGAACAAACACTTGGTATTGTAAATCACACGATAGATCTGCGTTCGCAGCTAGCCTTCTCGAAGCAATCAGTACATCTCCATCGACGCATCATTAATATCCACAGGCTCTTCCCCGCGGCACCATCACAATCCTCGACCGCAAGCCTTCCGCTTCCCCAATCAAGGAAGAACATCCCCAACATATACCCCCTCCACAAGATCCAGCCACGACCCTTGAAACCCTTCATCCCTCGCCTTCCAAACGCGCTCCACAAACCCCAAATTACTTTCCAACTGCGCCTTGCAGAACCTCAACGGCTCGAACAGCGCCGCGATGGCCGCCCCGCGCGACGGCAGCTCCACCGTCGCAACCAGCAATGGAAAGTCCAAGTTCAGCCCCGTCGCGCCTTCGGTGCTGGTCTTGCTAAACGGCAACACGTGATCGAGGATGCTGTGAGCGGCGGCTTTACCATGATCGTCGTTTGTCCGCAGGGGGAAGCGCAGACGGTGGATTACGAGGAGAGCAGTTTTCTGGTAGATGGCGGCGATTGCTAGCATGGCGGTTGTTTCTGCGGGTGGGTAGCGTTTGAAGAAGTCTGGTGGGTAGCGCGGTGTCCACGACTCGATCTTTTCTTCGATGTCGGCGTATGGGTTGGCGGGGTCGGCGTGAGGGAGTTTAGATGAGCTGTTTGTTTTGATGGCGTGGCTTCGGTGGCATAGGTCGTAGAGGATGGGGAGGAGCGAGGAGAATACGCCGCAGCATCTGTCTACGATGTGGCGCGTCGTTTCGGGAGGTCGGAGGATGGGGACTTGCCGTCGGAGGAGGCTGTCGATGATGTCGATGAATACGGGTGTTATAGTTAAACAGTCGTATTCTGGTCGTTGGCGCAGAGCTGGGTAGCAGTGTTGTATGGCGAGCAGTGTGCTTTGGGCGATGGTTCGGGTTGCGCTCAGCCAGAGGATGGCGTTGTAGGCCAGGAGGAGCTGTCCGAGTATGAGGACGACCGCGGCGCCTTCGATATTCAACGAAGAGGTTGTTTTATTCCGGAAGGATTGAAGAGAGGAGCATCCGAGGGTCAGATCCATCCCGGGCCTCGATTTCGCATCGCGTTGGCTGTTCATGAGTTGTAGGACCGCCATGTATCCGCGTGGGAGAACTTCAGGAGCATGGTGTGTTAAACTCGTGACAGTCCGCTGGAAATCATCTGCGAAGCTTTCCCCAACCAAGAACAATCGATGCACGCGGAAAAACCCTCTTCTTGTACGAAGAGTACGTTGAAGCATTTGGTCTTCCGATGTAAGGCTCATTGGAAGGTAGATATGCAGTGTGTCGTATGCCGGGGAATCGCCAGAAGCCCAATTCGCAGCGGTCAAATCCGACGATTCCGAAGAACTTCCTCCCATATGAGAGTCCATAACGAGATAGGCTCCAGCGCCGGAAGGTACCTTGTGCACCACCGGTCTACGTCCCATTCTCTTTTGCTTCCTTTCTTGACAAGGTACTCTATTGGAACCGCAAGCCACGCATGCGACTGTCCCTGGATCAAAACGGCATCTTCTTCGCTGGGAATGACACCTCTCGCAAGCGAGAGAACGCGGTTTCAATCGACCCAGCTCCTCCATTGGTGCGTATAATTCTCGTTGGTGTGAAAGAGCATCGCAATCGCAACGCAAACAGGAGAGGAGCTTGGGATGGTGCTGGCTAACCGGAAGGAGTAGAAAGTGTCCGCAAAGAAGCTAATCGATTGTAGACTAGCTCTTTGAGATGCGACCAATCGGAGGACTCTGAACACCGTAAAAAGCGACGACTGGCTCGGTGTGAGAAAGATACATCTGCAAATGTCAGCAGGAGGTTTTATTAATTCCTGTTCGAATAGAAGGATTGTCTAGTTTTATTCTGCTATAATGGCCCGTGTTGTGGGCATTCGGACACAGTATACAGAGGTGGCTCCCCGTCTCAAATAACTCAATCTTGAGTTACACTTACGTCCCCCCTCAAGCTCCATCTTCGAAAGTTTGAAGTCAAATTGTTCTCAACTGCCACCTCAATGGAGAAGGTACCAGGATTTTTGAGATTCGCTAGTAAGTATATAATTATGCATCCCTTCGCATCTGGTCTAACTGTCGTAGGTCCAAATGAACAACGCACCATCGCTCGTGAGCACACCGGTGTCTATCACGCTGTGATCATCGGAGCAACTTATCAATTTGACGAGAGCTTCAATGTGCACGATCCGAGTACTTTTTACAACGCACTCCATCATTGTATCCAGGAGCATCCGTTTCTTTCCGTGGCTGTGGGTGATGCGCATACCGACAAGTCCTACTATCGGCGTGTCACGACGACCACATTGAAAGATCACATCGCGATTGTAGAGCAAAGCGCAAACCATGACGATAATACTACCATCGGGCAAATGCTACAGGGACATCTCCATGGAACGTGGCCCGAAGGAATCTCTCCGTGGAAGATCATCGTGCTGCCTCTGCAGGAAGCTTGTTTTATCGCGTTCTCCTTCTCACACGCCATTGGCGATGGCCCTACCGGGCTAGCTTTTCATCGAAGCTTCCAGCGGGGGTGCAGCCGCACGTTGTATGCAGCCCGAGACACACGGCCCGATACGATGCAGAACCCGGTGACGCCATTCCCGAGCCCCTTTGACACGCCGGAGAGGCTACCTATTTCCTGGGGATTCCTGCTATCGCCGTTCATAGCTCAATTCCTCCCCTCGATGGTCGCGGAATGGCTCGGTATGAAAGCGAGCGTATCTCCGGTAGACTCGGGTACATGGCTTGGAGCGAAGATCCCGAGCGTCGAAGAAGCGGCATCTGCTCAGAGCATGCTGGTTGTTCGCGAGGTAGAGCCACGAGTCTTGGTGAATGCTCTTCAGCAAGCGAGGAAGCATGATGCAAAATTCACCGGGCTGTTCATTCGCTGCATCGCTCGAGCACTCTCACAAACTGTTACTGATGTGGGAGTCACGAACTTCGTCAACCAGACCGCCATCAATATGCGGAGAGCAGCCAGCATCCCACAGGATGAAGGAGGCATGTACGTTTCCGGCACGTATATCAGATACGACCAGCCTGGGGCACACATGGCATTTGGCGGAGATGACTGGAAAGCAGCGCGTAATTCTACAAAACAGCTCGCAGAGTCTGCAGTGCAGCTTCAGGATCAAGCCATCGGACTGTTGCGATACGTGTCCAGTATGAGAAAGTGGATGCTGGGTAAATTCGGCCAGACGCGCGACTGTTCATACGAGGTGAGCAACGTTGGGGTTGCCAACAGCAACGAACACGATGCAGGTACTCCCCGGCAAACGAAGTTTGTATTTGCGCAGCCAGGGCACGTGCTGAGCGCGCCTCTAGCCTTCAATGTAGCCAGCGTTGGTGGTGGCGCATTGGTGTATACAGTAACGTGGCAGGCCGGTGCATTGGATTTGGGAAAGGGTTCCGAGGAGGAGTTCGTTACGAAGGTGTGTTCGCTGCTCGAGAACGACCTGCAGAACCTGGAATAGATAACTGGGCATGCGGGACTATAGTCGAAGTATAGAAAAGCTTGAATGCATCCTAGAGAGAGTTGTTGGAGATGATTTGTCCAGGGATTTCGCATACGTGGCTCAGCAGCCGCTGATGTAACGCGCTGGCGGATCTAAGCGGTTAGCGCCCAGATGAAACGCCACCATGTGGCGCCGTCTAAACCCTACGTGGAGCTGTAGAGGCCAAAGGAGAGCCGTGACTTCCGTTCCGCTGCTCCTGAACCGTGACTTCATAGGACCGAATAGAATCCCCAATTGAGAGAGGTGGGGTTCCGATGATGAAGCATACCCCACCGTCCAGTCTCGTGGTGGCGGTGTCGATTATGCTGCGTTAGAAGGGTCCATTTAAAAGAGCTTCCTCCCTGCGATAGCATCAGTTTTGTAAATCTACCATTTTTGATTGAATTTTGAGCAATTTCCAGTGCACGATCTCATAATCCAGCATGTCAGGATACGGAAACAACTACCAGCAAGGCGGGGGTTATCCTTCGCAGCAAGGAGGTTATGGGCAGGACCAGAACTACAATAACAACCACAACAACAACGGCGGTTACGGTCAGCCCCAAGGGCAAGCTGCCGACTATTACGGTGGTGGTGGTCAGCCTCAGGGCCATGGTCAACCTCATGGCTACGGCCAACAGCCCCAAAACTATGGCCAATCTCAAGGCTACGGCCAGCAGGATGGGCAGGGCTACGGCCAGGAACCACCTCAATATCAGCAATACCCGTCGACAGCAACCCACTCGTCCAATTCGGGACGCAATTCGCACAACCAAGGAGAGCAGAACCAGTACGGAGGCGAGGGCGATCCCGAGGGAGACCGTGGAATCGTATGTATGCCCATTGCATGTGGTTGAGCTGCACTGACTGAGAATTTGTAGATGGGCGGTATTGCCGGAGGGGCCGCAGGTGCCTTCGGTGGTCACAAGCTAGGAGGAAAGGCCGGCCACGGCACGGCAGGCACGATCATCGGAGCCCTCTCGGGTGCTTTCGCTGGCCATAAGGCTCAAGACGCTGCCTCGGACTGGAAACATGAACACGACGATAAGAAGGAGAAGGAGAAGGAAGAGGAGAAATGGCGCAAGCAGCAGGAAGAGCAGCAGAAGTATCAGCAGCAACACGGCGGCCACCACGGCTCGAACCACAACAACGATCACCGCACCCGCGGTAACTTCGGCGGCAACTTCACCGATTCATCCCGCGACATTCGTCTTGATGCCCACGGCGACTACACCTTGCACGCGCAGTGTCGTACGTTCGATGGCTCGTATCAGTCGAGCTCGATCAGCCTGAACCAGATCATCGAGAACGACGGCGGTAGCTTCCGGTGGTCTGGTGGAAACAGCAACGGCGCTTCCACATACACGGTGCAGCAGGGCGACACGCTTCGGGCTATCGCCGCCAGATTCTCCCACTGCTCGTATGAGGATCTCGCGAGACACAACAACATCAGCAACCCCGATATGATATACCCGGGGCAGAACTTGCAGGTGCCCGGCGGAGGTACGAGAGGTGGCGGCAACTTTGGCGCATCGGCCAGGAACGTCAGGCTTGCCGACGGCGGACAGAAGCTTGAGGGTGACTTGGAGAGGAACGGCGATTGGCACTCGAGGTCGATTATCTTGGATGAGAGGATCGCCAATAGGAATGGGTGCTTGGAGTTTGTGTAATCGAGTCATGTGTGTTGAAAGTGCACGGAACTAAAAAAAATGTATTTCGCGCGATGGAGCATGAATCGAATTCAAATTGAATGTTCAGATAAGATGTGAAAAGCCATGGATGAATTGAAACATTAGCTCCGAATAGAAATTGTTCTTTCCTATCAATCCGTGGAGGCTGTTCTGCGTTCGTTGACCAAGGCATTCTATAACGTCGCGAATATCCGCCTCACAAACCCTCCGTCCACCCGCCAATGTCCGCACAAGCATGATTGCGCATCTTGGCCGTCCAAGGATACCCATCCTCCATAAACATGCATTCGTGCGTGAAGCATTGTGTTATTCCGATAGCGCTTGCGACGTTCCCCAGTCCAACATTCTGTATGTAGTTGTAGACTAAACAAGGGGGAAACGCACGGTAATGCGCGGACAAGCTCGGCTCTCGCGATGGGACGGTCCCGTGTACATCCGCTGGTCAATTCGCTGTTCTGTCGCCAATGTCTCGACTATCGTTATAATGAGTTGTTTTGTGCACGATAGGTTATTCTGGATGTGTTTGAGTTCAACGAGGAACGATTGGGAGAGCGGTTCTATTCGCTGGGTCGTGTTCAGTAAGTCGTTCCCGCCGTTTTCGAGAACGAGTTTCTTATTTGTCCATCAGGACATTGGCCGAATTCGATTTCAAGGGTGGATATTGGGGGGATGATATCAGCGCGAATTTGTCGTGTTCCACAAGAGACTAGTTGTACTATGTATGACGAAGCGCCAGAGTTTCGAAATGGAAAGGATATCGCGTAGTCTTCGATGGGTCCCAACGCATGCTTTCTTTCTTCGACCAGATATCATGTACAGTCGGCGAACACATTAACGCGTTCAAGTCTTGCGTGCGCTTCGTCACGGTCCCTCTCGCGCGCATCTCTCGGTTTGAAGGGAGGTCGCTATCAAGACCACGGCCCGAAGCCTCGGAAACTGCGATTTTGAGCGCGGAACTGCTAAGATCAATTCCCAGATACAGTAGTTTTTGGCAAACGTTCACAGGCCTACTCAGACAATTTCTAGATACTGCAGGCTAGTTTCATGGCTCGATCGCTGGATTTATACTGCTCATGGTCGGCCTAGACCGTCGCGCAAGTAGAAGCCGAAGAGAGGATCGATGTTGGAAATTCTGAGCACTGTTTGCTCAAGAAGACTGCCGATAACTCATTCTTCAAAAGTGCATCGATACAGGGGGCGGCGTTCTGCTTATACGTTCTCCTAGCCTGATATCTAGCATACTCGGCACAGGGCTGATATTTACATTGTTCGCAGCGACATGATTTACAAAGTTGCTTGTGGGGAAATTGATCATCGTCGTGAGAGAAGAACGGGGCGTTATCACCGCATTCATGTGCTGCGGCAAACTCCGTGGGAATGCAATGCTGGCAGATGCATCACGTATAGTGACGGGTTGGAGGGGGGTGATGACTCAAGAAACCTACATGAGGAATTTGATTGACTTACAGCATAAGCATGAGGTGATCGGAACACTGTCGGAGACGGAAGAGTGTTGATTGGATTCCCTAGCGAGCTGCATGCATATCGCTGTCCTGGAATGCATCTACTCTATCCAAGTGTTCACAATGTTATCATGCCAGAGCTACCACAGGATGGCGCACAACAATCGGATGTTTGACATCGGGGGTCCGAGTTAGCCTTCACCGCCTATTTTGGATAAGGCTAAGCCCGACTGTCGTTGCTGGTAGGATTCGCGCACCGCGTCCTTTGTTTTCCACTGCTTACCGTGAAGGATCAAACGCCTTGAGCCGTGCCGCAATTGACGAATAACCGGCGCCGATCTCGGAATAATCTGATTGACTCACAGGCCTAACCAGCTATCTCGTATACATGGCCCAAAATCATCTAGATAAAAGCGCCATGTTTCTACTGGTTTTCGGAAGCCTCACCATCCATTGGCTTCGCCAAAATGTCCACCGTTCCACCGTCAACCACTCCTCTGCCTGTCCAACCGCCATCGACATTGCAGCCGACCGATGAAGAAAAAAATGAGCCTCAATCTTCGCGCGGCGTGCTCAATGTTGAGGAATCGGTCGATCCGAATGCTCGACCTGCTGTATTCCGTTCAACAGCCCAGGAGATACTGTTCATCTTCATAGCGACCATGAGTGTAGCAATGCCGAGTCTGCTGCAAGGAACCACAATGGTCATCACTTCGTCCATAAGACGAGATCTCTCCATGACCACTGCTGAATTGACGTGGATGACGGCGGCTTCATCGTGAGGTTCCCCGCCTTGTTCTTGTGCAATCCTTCCTGCTTGACGTTCGCACTCTGACTAGCTCACTCAGTCTGACTTCTGGCTCTTTCCTGCTCTTCTTCGGAAAAGTGGCCGATTTATTCGGGCGAAGAAGTATACTGCTTGTTAGCCTCGCCATCTTCACCGCGTTCGCGCTCGGTACTGGCTTCGCCCGCGATGCGCTGACTCTCAATGTCTTGAACGGCATCATGGGCCTCACTTCAGCCTCCATCATACCCGCTGCTCAAGGCATGCTTGGAAGCATCTACGACAAGCCATCGCGAAGAAAAAACTACGCGTTCGCCTGCTTTTCCTCTGGAAATCACCTTGGCTTCGTGTTCGGCTCGCTCCTCTCGGGAGTCTTCTCTCAGCTTTTTGGGTGGCCTGCATCGTTTTGGATGCTCGCCATCATGTACCTCATTGTGACCATCATTGCCTGCTTCACTGTTCCCGCAGACGACACAGAGAAACTACCTCTCACGTGGAGCTCGCTGAAGCAGTTCGACATCGGCGGTACTATCCTGACGATTGGAGGCATCGGTCTCTTCACCGGTGGAATCAGGTGAGGATTGAAGCTGTGATCCGATCAGCATCGTACTAAAGAGAATGCAGTATCGGCCCGGACGCACCTCAAGGATGGAAAACACCCTATGTCCTTACGTTCATCATAGTCGGCTTCATGATGATGGTCACGTTTGTATGGTGGGAAAACCGCTTCCCGTTTCCTTTGATGCCAATGAAAATTTGGCGGGATAGGGAATTCTCTCTGGTATGTAGACCAATTCGACCACGCATGGTGGAACCCCACAATGCTGACCTATCGTAGCTCCTTGTGATCCTGCTATGCGCCTTCATATCGTTCCCAGCATTGTTTTTCTTCGCAGCGTTATATCTTCAAGAGCTGTTTCATTACTCTGCGCTCATTACAGCAGTCTGTCTTTTGCCTGCGGCGGTCAGCGGGGTCCTGGTGAATGTGAGTCGCAGCTTTCCACGAAAGGAGGATGGATCTAATCTTGTCTGCTAGATCTGTGCCGGGAGTTTACTGCATAGAGTTTCGAACAAATTGCTGATGGGTATCGGAGCTGCCGCGTTCACCCTCGCCTTTCTCCTCGTGGGCGTCCAGCGATCGGGCAGCTCGTACTGGGCGTTCACGTTTCCAGCATTGGCAATTGTCGTCATCGGCACCGACTTCGAATTCAACGTCGTGAATGTAAGTAAGCCTATATTCTCCTAGAAAATTTTATGCTGATCAGTGTCATTCAGATGTACGTTGTGTCAGCCTTGCCCAAAAAGCAACAATCCATCGCAAGCTCCGTCTTCCAAACAACCATCAAGCTGGCTACCACTACCGGGCTTGGAATCTGCGCGGCGATCTTTTCGAGCGTCTCCGCGAATCCTTCGACCAGTGGGTACCTTGCGAATGATCCGTTCGAGCCATATGCAGCCCTGTTTTGGTTCTCCACTTCACTCAGCTTTGCCAGTTTGCTGTTGGTGCCGTTCTTGAGGATCAAGACGCAAGGCCACGATGGTCATGAGCAGGCATCTTTTGATGATTGGGATTAGGCGACGCGTGGTGTTTCCACTCCCCGGGCATTTGTCTACATGGGCCCCTGCAAAATGAGCGGGATATTTCCAAAATCAAAAGGTAGTGTTTCAGGAATGGTTTTGGGTTAAGCCCGTGGGTCTTCCTGCCCAACTGTGGGCATACTTCGACTTGAGGGTAGGTAGACAGTGGAAACAAAAAAACTACGCGTCCAAGGAAGAAAAAGATATAAAGGACGAGAGGGTAAAGATTCCGGTGAATGGGTAGCTTATTTAACGTTGAAGCTACAGGGGGAGCAGGTTGGGCTGTTGGTTATCAGGAGGTTAGCTGTTTTACTAGACCTTAACTAATTAGCATTAGATAGAGGAGGCAGAATATGCTTGTAATAAGTTAAGAAATAGAGTCAAGATGGACTTCCCGATATGGCGCGACCCGAAGTGCTTCTACCCTGTGGATACGAATCTAAAGTTAGTGTACGAGCGGCCTGTCCCGCCTCGGGCGTTCTCCTCACAGGCGGGCGATAACCCCACATGTTAATCTGACAGACCTCGAAAAGGTCGCCACCATTGGTCAGCGGACCCCGTTACAGCCGCTTACCCTTGTCCAATCTTCTTGTAGTGGAGGGTTCGGAGCTCCGAATCGGCGCTGTGCTCGTACTTGCTTATTTGCACGAACTGCTTTCGCAGTGATGACACTTCCAATCGAAATCAAGTTTGGAGAATAGCTAAAGTTCCTAAGGTCGCCCACTTTTGTTGAGGGAACGGGAAGGGAGACGGTGGAATTGAGAAAGTTAGCTCTATTTGAACGGCTGTTAATCCTGCTGTTGTATGTATTGATGGATGGAATACCAGGATGTGCTGTACCCGCATACTTGGAGTTATACAGCCACCCGCGCATTAACAGCACACTCACTAGCTTCTCCGGAACTAGGCAACAAGAACTTAGGTCAGTATATGTCACTCACAGTCCACGGTACTTTGAGATTGACATAAGGATAATTTTATTTACTCGAACAAGCATTGGTATCGAAACTATTCTCAGATTTAGCAAAATGTATTCGACCATCAAGTTTTCTGATGGCCGGAAGTATTCATTCATTGCATTCGAATGAATACAATTCCGCATCATCAGTCACTTTCGCTGCTTAGCCTCTTCGGCCTGCAGATCGATCAGTGCCTTGGCGATACCGAGCTATGGAATGTATTAGCAAACAATTTCGCAGTATTACTAAAGGCGATACGGGAGAGCTTACATAGTCCTCGAGAAACTCGATGCCCTTGGGCCCACTGACCGCGATCATATTTTCTATCGACAGGTGCAGATGATGCCAGGGGCAGTCATCTCCAAACGGACAGGCCGATTTAGCGAGGGCGTCCGTGTAGTGAATAAGACCATCGTGTGCGTATTCTGACCCTAGAAACTTAGTCAGTAGGATATCGGACACACTGGGATGTTACTTACCATCGGTGGCTCCATCGTCGTCTGCAAGCCCTCAAAAAGTGGCTTGCAGCTTGTCCTTGTTGGCCCCTTGGCTTTCTGCCAGTGCTTCCCGTAGGAGCTGGCCATATCAATCGATGCTATATGGTTGGCCATCTTGGATATCACCATCCCCGAGACTGCGGCCTCCTCCTGTTTGGCCTGAAAACTACACTTAAAAGACGTATCCTAAATTGAGAATCCTACGTTCTGTTGTGTGACATGGGTTGATCTGCGAGTCAGAGTGGAGCATCGTCAACGGCTAGCTAGTCTTGAATGAACGGTGTGGTAATAAATATGATTGGAGCAGTCGCAAGATCGGGTGTGAGTATAAAATCGAAGTGGAGAAGCCCCTCTCATCATCGATTTTCCCCACATACACTCAGTGTCGACGCACCAGAATATAGGGGATCTATATCCAAAGCGTAATGCTGAATCATGATAAGGAGGTCTCAGAAGGAGCAGTTCGGTAGATATTGAGGAGAACTGGAAAAACAGCATGAATACTGCCCGGTCTCATCATCTGGGGTTGGTTTGAGCTCGTTGAATTCAATGCAACAAACCTGTGGCTAGTGTACATCGGCCTGCTGGAATTGACAAAAACACGCCTGATACATAGTTATAAGAAGCCTTTTGTTGCAGCGTTGGCATCCGCCTGCGCACGTGAGTCACAAGTCGTACTCGATGAAAGAGTGGATCCGAATACTATAGCCGAAGACCCGCATCGTTGGAGCGGCCTAAGTCACAAACAGGAATCTTGCCAATGCTGACAATAGCGCTGTCCATGTTTCCGCAATGTCACGCTACTAGGAACCAGTGGGACCGTAGGTTCGATTGTGACTGGTCAGTAGTTCAGCAAGTGCACCGTTTTCTGGCGCACACTCACATTCCGGTCAACTTCCATCTCATTACTTGGAGGAGGAATTCCGGCTCAAGCTCTCGAATCTGAACGCGGTTTTGAAGTTCGGTGTCGATGTGTCGAGGCGATGGTAGGCGGACCGGTAAAGAGGAGCTCGAAGAGCTTATAGGTGTATTAACGGGAAATCTATTGGGAACTGTTAGCATTCATGCTTGATATGTATTAAAAGATTGAAATTCTCCAAACCGGATCAGCAAGAGGCTTACAGCAGGGTATGGTCAATATTGCTGTATTTGTTCTGGAATAGCCCCGGGAACGCTCATGATACTAGATTATTGTACCCTCAGAAACAACCTCGTGAGTTATAGGAAGCAGCTGGAGTTATCCCAAAGTCCTTGCGTTAGGCTGAAACTCTCGTCACAACACGAAGGCCAGACGCTTGGGGTGTATTGTATCCCAGTGTGACATGGGAGCAGAGTCGAGGGCTGCGACGAGCTGATTCTGAGCGATTACCCAATAGTTAAGAGCAATTCCGGATAAGATTCCGTGGTTTTGGCAGGCGGGTCTGGCTGAAGTCGTCGATATAGGAAGGCATGGATCATCACGTGGCATTAAGATGCGGAAGAAAGCCCATCGATCATCGGGAAGAAGAATTGGGTGTATGAGGGAGCAGATGATGTTCGGTGGCATCGGCAAGGCAAGGAAGAATTTGTCACGGCAGCTCAAATGTTGCGCTTCCTTCGGGCAAGAGCAGCTGGACTGCTCATGCTGCATGCGCGGCGGCGCAAATTCCCATCGCTATTCACACAGGCGCCCCAACAAGCGTCCGAAATACGATTCGGGCGACACTGATATTTGGAAGCTCCCCGCTTCTTTTTCGTAGTTGGTAGGAGTATCCGTACTAGTGTGAGAGACAAGACATGCGTCCAGCGTGATTGCAATGCGGCGTTGGAGTGATGAGTAGATTGAAGACGTTTCTCGTCTATCAGTATCTTTATCTCCAGTGCTTAGCCATAATTTATGTATACCAGATTGAGAGTAAAGAAACTTGACCTACAGGGCACGAAAAGGCGCGGCCTCGATAGCACGATTAGCTCAACTTGGAAAGTGGCCTAGCAGAGAGTTTGAGTGAGGCCGACGATGCCGTTTCTTAGTAGTGTCGATGGAAAGATTCTTGGACGTTTCTCGGACAGAGAATACTTCGGGTAAACGTCGAAGAGCAGGCATGGATGATCTACTGACGAACAGCGCGAGGGTTCCTTCCATTTCCATGCCCGGTCTTGTCACGCGACACGCTAACACTATCACTTGATTGGAACTCAGAGTTACAGTGTTTGAATTAATTCTCGTTCTCGTCTAAACTCTGAAAAGAGCAGCCTTGTTCATTTGCCGAGCGGATATGTTCCGCGGCAATCACATCTAACGACCAGTAATGGAAATATCCAGCGGTTGTATTCGAGGAATATAACAACGCATCATCCAAGCCATTTTTGCTTCTTGATCTCTTTGGTCACGTCGGTCTTCTCACCAGCGCCCATCTCGGCCGTCAACTATCCGGAAGTCCCGAAAACTGCCTCCAGATTCTCCACCCCCCGTTTGGCGAAAAGCAATTTTGCTTTGGCCTCTTTCACATGTTTGTCGAACAGGTCATCAGCGTTGGCCTCTTCCATCTTCCCGTCCATCGCCATAGGAGCTGAATCTTCTTTCCAAGCGTCATCAGCGTTGGCCTCTTCCATCTTCTCGTCCATCGCCATAGGAGCTGAATCTTCTTTCCAAGCCTGGAGCTCCCGAACAATGCGCTGGAGACGCGCAGTCTCTTCCTGGAGCATCTGAACCCTGAGCTCCAGCTCCTTGTCTTGCTTTTTGGCCTGTTCATCTGCATTAGCAGGCAGTTCTTCTTTCTCTTCGCGCTCCAGCTCCTTGTCTTGAAGAGTTTTGGCCTGGCGATCTGCATTAGCAGGCAAATCTTCTTGTTCTTCGCGCTCCAGCTCAGCAGCGGCCCGAAGTTCTGAGACAGGCTTGATTTTGGCTGCCCAATCATGCCCTGCCTGTAGAAGCTGAGTGACCTCCAATTCGGTTGGTCGGATCCGAATTTCTTGGTTTTTAACTGGGCGCGAACCTATCTTGTTATGGTAGCTCCAAGATAGATAGAGGTGAGGGCAAACTTGACCATGGTGGCCAGTAGTCCCGCATAAAGCACACTGCTTGTTGCAGCTCCGATGGTTGTGGCCCGGGCTCGAAGGCAGGAAGCAATTCATACAAAGTTGGCGTGCAGCACCTTCAGGAAGTTTCGATTGGTCCGTGTAATGGCGAGGTGGTCGAAACCTTTTTCGCAATGTCAGTCTGGCATTCAAAATGGAAGGTAGAACTTCTTACATCTCAGGATTGTTCGGTACAGTTGGTCTATCCTTGTAGCGGAACCTTTTTCGAGGGAGCTCCCGAGAAGACTCCCCACGAGAATCCTCGAGTGAGGGGCTGGCTGAATGACTAGGTGAAGGGCCAGGAGGATACAACATTGGAGAAGGCCAATAGTAGGGAGTGGAAAGCCCCCACTCAGAGTTGTCTTCGCCATAGTAATGGCCTTGAGGGCCTTGATGATCACCGCGCCCACCGTGTCCACCGTGTCCATCGCGTCCGCCTTGACCGCCACGTACACGATTGGCCTGAGAGTTGCTGCGGCCTGGGAGATCGAAAGGGCTGGGACCCATGCCACGAGTCCAGCGTCCTGTCATTGCTAATCAGTTGGTATGAATTGGAGAAGAGAATTGCTTGGGGGCGGAGCGGAGGGGGAGGTGTATTGATGTGACAGACACGAGTGTCGAAAGCTGTGTTGTTGTTTGCTCATATACCTTTGAAGCCACGTGCGTCCTAGCGCGCCACGTGACGTGTTGATGGAGTCACAATTGGTTGAGAGATAGCGTGAAGCCGACTTCTGGAAGATTCCAAGATAGATTCCACGATAGATCCCAAGCCTGATATTCCAAAACAACCCCAGGAAGACTTTGTCCAATGCATAGATCGTAAAGATACCGCTGGCTCTAAGACGCTTCTCTTTCTTATCTACCTACCTACCTAGGTACATAGGTACCTATGTAGGTATCCAGCAGACATTCGTGCAAATAACGCAAAGGATATACATACGTAGCTACATCTTATCCACGAGTGTAAAATGACTGTTGTAGCTCAATATCTAGAACGAGGAGTTCACATACTCTACGAATGCTCTGTCACATTTCCTTTTTACGAGTGAAAGATAGTGCATCAGTGGATCAGGATTCAGAAAGAAGAGCGGCTGAATGTAAAAGTACTAATGTGGTGAGATTAATGGCGTCGGCACACTGTACGAGAATCTTCCATTATCACTGTTGCTATCAAAACCCGAGCACAAAGCGGCGGTCTGCGGCATAGCTTAGTTTGGCAGCTCAACAACCTGACAACGAATGGTAGCAGCACTGGAATCTTCAGACGTGGTCATTGTGGCCATATAGAACTAGGCAGCTCCTATGGTGTCAGACTGAGGAGAGTCGGTTAAAAGGTCGCTTAAGGGAATTGTAATAGAAACGGTCTGTCTGCCAGACACGCCATGCCTTGCACTGCCATTTGTATTCCGAAGCATGCAGATGACTGATCGATTCTAGTTTCGAAACAACCAACTGTTGGAGCCGAGTCATTATACAGGCATTCACCCAATCCGCACTCAGCTATTCAGAATAATGACTTATCAGTTTCGTGAACCACGGAACATGTGTCCTACCTGGAGCTGGAAGGCAGATTTATCGTGTAATTTTTCAATACCCAGTGTTTGTGCCGCATGGAAATGCGATGAATCATTATTACTTTTGATACAGGCATTCAGCGACTAAGCTGACAACAAAGACAAAGAAGGATGTTATAAGGAGAAATGTTAGCTTGCATGTAAGACTCAGAATAAATGGCAGCTCCTGGTTATACTAAATATGCAACGAGACTCCACGGTACATAGTCCATTCTATGATATCGACATGCTAAAAAAACCTCTACACCATTTGTTCCACAGTACATGATAGAGTGATAAGATACGCTACATTGACTTGCGAACACAAAAGCTGATCATATCCTGATCGGTTTAGTAACCGTTTTCGATCCATTTGCCAAACTGTTCAAGCCACTGCTCTTTATCCTCAATCCCGTTTGCGTTGAGAACCCGTTGGCGGGTGGAGGGATCGAGTCTCAAATTATGAGGATAGAATTTGAGATTCGGAGCACGGTGGAGTGGCTCGAAGTTATGTGGGTAGACACGGGGAGGGTGGTTAATCTTCCATCGTCTATAGCGGTTGCCTATAGCATCTGGAGGTAGTGTTGACTCTTCCAGTCCTAGAAACTGGTCTCGAACTCTAAGGTAAAAAAATTCTAGATCTTCAAGGCTGATAAACTCGCCGACATTCGCATTTCTCCTAAAATCTGGGTTTTCGACACGAACCATGTACCGAAATTCGACATGAGGTGTGTAGGAACACATGCCATCGAGCATTACCATCTGTTCCCAATGAAACAGGTCGGGATCGATCGTACCCTCGTCCCATGGCCTGGATTCGGGGATGAGATCCACGCGTTGTAACAATTCCCTCCTCTGCCGGCCCATAGATTGCATGAATAAGACGAGCTCGTCCCAAGGGAGATAATCGGTCTCGCCCCTGTCGTAAAGGTAAATAACGGCAAAGGTGTTGTACCGGATCTCGAGATTGTTCGTCTCTTTTCGAAGCTGCTTGTTCACGTTCTTCAATTGGTTGAGCGTTTCACACGTGGCTCTGGGGACTGCAGGGATTGGTTCGGGAGAAGTTAAGGGCGTATTTGTAAATCTTGTCGCGGAGTTCCCTAGGAAGACGAAGGAGAGGAGAGTTGTTCATTTAATTAGTCTAGATGTATTTGATTATCTTTGATCATATGCAGAGTTAGAAGGAGAGAATTAATGATTTAGGGTTGAGAGTTGAGTCTCAGGGATGGGTTGGTGCGGTTGAGACTGACAGAGAGATCTTATATTAACTGACACTGTTTGATTCTAGAGTGAGTGGCCGCGCAGCGTACTAGGCTACTCACTGTGCTGCACTATCTCCCTGTTCACTCAAACGCACAAGTAATGTATAACTAATCATCACGTGGAATCTTTCAAAATCCCTTTATAAAAGAGCAATACTCAACCACAAAACACATCTCCACAACTGATCACTGCTCAACCAATCACCAACAATCAAAATGAGCTCCAACCAAGCCAAACCCGAACATAAAAGCCAAACAAAGACCTCGTACAAGAAAACGGCTTTAGTGAGATCACGAGATAGTCGAGGCCGGTTTATTTCTACCAAACCAGATGCTCAAAGGGTCACCAGATCAGCTGCTCGACAGGCCACCACACCAGTTGCTCGACAGATCGCCAAATCAGCTTCTCGACAGGTCGATATACCTCCGAAGCTTAAGCTGCTTCCTCCAAACGTACGAACGAGGATTTACGAGTATACGCTGACCACCAAAACGCAACTCACTCTCTACGCCTACCCATTACCAGACATCCAAGGCCCCTACCTGATGATCACCGAGAAGGGGGAAGATAACAAACGAGGGAAAGTCTTCAACCAACTGAAGTTCGTGAACAAGTTCTTCTTCAAAGAGACCCGTGACTTGGAGCTCAAGTGGAACTACATCTTGTTCCGATGCAAAGAGACGGAGGCGAACAAGCTGTACAACTGTCTGCTCGCCCTCGAAATGCGGGGAGAGCTGTCCTGGCCCCAACGTATCGTGGTGTCGCCAGCTTACTGGCACGAACAGAGAATACCTATGCCACTCGATTGTTTCCACATGTGCGTGTGTGCTTTCGATACAGTGTGCTTGCTGTACCCAGGGGTGAATTTCGCCTTCTACTACAACATGAATCCTCGGCCGTATGTTGTCGATGAGTACTACATCATAGTACTCATCTGCGAGGCGATATATTTCCGATACCACCTCTACAACAAGTTCTACAATGGTCCGGACCTGGGACCGTCCATTGTGAGGTTCGTTGAGCGCCATCTCAATAACTGGATGGCTTCGTGTATCCCGGAGGGTTGCTTCACTGGCCATCATGTAGCTCTCCGAGCTCAAAATGTGCGGTACCTGTTCGATGCACCGGAACTGACGACTGAGAAGTTCCTGGCCGCTTTTGGTACCGAAGCACCTAGCGATCAGGAGCCGGAGAGGTGGGCGAGGTCGATGGTCGCGTGGATCAAAGATGAACCTTGACAGTCTGCGTTAATGGAGGGCTACTTTGGAGGATACTTTGATCTTGGGGAATCGGTCTTGGGTACGCTTTGGTTCTATGGATGGATGAGAACAAACCTGCGATAGGGTACAGCGTAATGTCATGGTTTTATTTCACCAACTATCATAGTTTTAATTTGCCATCAAAGATATCTTCATTTCACCTATGTAACACGTCTCGAAGAAACATGATCACAAATGCCGTCTTTGAGTTGGTTGTGAAAGTGTACTGGAAGATTCCGTCCCCTTCCGATATGGCAATAACTACCGCGGTTCTCACAAGCATATCATACTTGGACACATTAAACTTAGATACAGAATTGGATCAATGTCTCACCTCACTACGCATCAATTGACAGTGGTGAATCATCGCATTTCCATGCGGCACAAACACTTAGTATTGAAAAACGCGATCAATCTGCCCTCGAGCTCCGCGCAGGGCACACATGTTCCGTGGCTATCACGAAACTGATGAGTCGCATATCTCACATTCATGGCAGGAGAAGGTTGATATGATGTTTAAGTTTCTCTCGGCCGATGCAAGCTGCACCGGACTGATTTGAACCGTTGGATCTTACTGCAACAGGGCGGACACCGCGCCTTCTCCACCTCCGCAGTTTTTAGTGACACCCCTCTTGAAGCCTCTGAAGTAAAGCGAAATGAACTATTGGCAGCCTTCCTTCTGCACGCCTCGATATGCCATTTCAAATGAAATATTGTACATCTTCCATATCTTCCCCCTCACAGTATACAAGTACATGTATAAATACACCCTTCATGCTCGAATACATATATGTTGATCGCAAACACGGTGAGAAATGACGAACCATCACGATGTCATGCCCGACTCTTCACTATCGAATACCGTTCTTGTTCTGCCATTCATCGCCTCTCCAACGCTCCGCTCTATACTCTCCACCAGATTCTTATCAAAGAACGCAACACCCAGCTCTTGACTCGTGAACCAACTCGCACGATCGAGATTCCCACTGCCCAGTACCACCACCTCACCGTCCACACATGTCATCTTCAGATGGCTTTGCTGGGGTTCGCCACCTTCCTGGCCCCGTTTCTTCGCTCCATCCAGCGGCTCGAAAAACTCAATGCGCAGACGCCCTGGGCGAGAGGGAGAAATGGCGATTGCGGCTTCTTCATCGTTTGTGCTCAATGAAGAAGCTTGAGAGGAGTGAACGAGTCTCTTGTAGCGTTTGATGAGCGTTTTGACACAGCGTGATGTAGTTGTGCCCGCGGTAACGAGTTGCTCCAAGATCATCAGGCGTGCTGAGGTGCGGATGTGTACGTCTATGCCACGAGCTAAGGCGGAGAGAATGGCAGAGAGAACAGGTGGAGAGGTGACGTTCGGTGTTTGGATGGTTACCCTGGAGGTGGCTTTGGCGAGAAGGGCCAGGAAGAAGGTGTTGAGGGGGGTAGGTGGTGGAGTGATATTAGAGGCGGAGGCAAATGGGCGGAATTGCGGGTTACGACGATGAGGGCTGGGAAGGAAGATTGTAGGAATAGACGGTGAAGAAGAGAGCGGAAAGTGCGTTATGGTGTGTGCATGAGATAGGTTGGAGAGGCCGGGTTCGGAAGGCTGCGCAACCACTTCTGAAGGGGAAGTAGCGGGTAACGGAAGGGGCGATTGGCGTGTCCAGAATTCGGTATGGAACTTTGTAAATTGCGACACAATGGGCCCGGAGAAAACGAGTGCGCCCTCGAACCACTCTTCCCAGCTGATGTTGCAAGATGGTAATACGACGGTTTGCCGGTCGATGATTACATATTTCGGATGCATAACGCTGAACGGAAGGATGAAAATTGACTTGACGGAGAGTTCCAGGCCGCCGAGCTCAGACTTTTCTGGTAAATCTAATTTCTTTGCCCAATCTGATGGAGGATACTCTTGGCCGAGGGTGGTCTGTTTGTGGAAGAGCTTCTGGAAGAGGGATGAGGATGAAAAGCATAGTTGAACGCGGATCTTCTCAGTACCACGGCGGACTGCTTTGTCGGAGAGTTTGAGCAAAACATCTTTGAGGGACTCCAATGTGTCTGAGCGAGCCCAGAAACATGTCACTAGAATAAGCTCGTGGTTCGTTGATTCGAGGAGCGGTACGAGGGACTTGTAGACAGCAGAACCGGTCCCGTTGATAAAGGAGTGCACTTTCGACTGACTGACCAAAGATTTGGGGTCATTGGCGTAGTACCGAGGGTCATCTTGTCCGTTAATTTCAGATGCTGATTGGACGTCATCCAGAAACGGATCGATGAAATGCGACATGGATGGCGTAGGTGGCTCCGCAACGGCTAAAGGAAGGGGATCAGTTTTTGTTGCAATCTTAGCTATATAACAAGAGCAAGCGGCATGTTATGTGATGGCGTCGCAAACTAATTAAGATGAACAACGTTTGAGGGAAAGAAGTAAGTCGAGATAGGGATACCAAGCAGCAGGGGCATATCCCAGACGCGAAGTTGCCCGATAGAGTAAAAACTGCACAATCTGGCTTCAACCGTCGATCGCAGGTGATGTCTCCTGCAGGTCGCTGACGCGTGCCGCAAACGCTGCGTCGGCTTCAGCCAATCAAAATGCGAGTCGCCCGCGCGCTCGAGCAGCCAATAGTAACAGCAGAATCTCAGTAGTTCCGATGATGCAGCTCAAAGCATCCCCGCCAAAATTTCTAGAGCTGCGTTCCACCACCTCACACCTTACTTCGTCCACCCACGAGCCCACGCAACACAATTGAAGCCGAAAAACTCTTTTAGTACAGGCCAATTGATTTACCAATTCTCAGAAACCCCGCAAAAGACCGCCACCATGCCGGTGACCATCCGCGCGCCCAATCTTCCCACCCCCCAAGATGCCCTCCAACGCGCCGATGCCTCCGACGAGGACATGTCCGACGACGACCTCCCCACCGCCGCCTCCGGTACTTCGATAGTGACTCCCGGCGAAACCATAACCTCAGACCCTCAATGGATGCGCGGCCACGGCACCTACGTACCCCCTTCCACCACCACCATCGTATCCACCGTCGCGGGCCACCTACACAAAACGAACAAACTCCTCTCCGTCCAAGCCCTGCGCGCAAGATACTCCCCCGAGATAGGCGATCTAGTAGTTGGTAGAATCGTCAGTGTGGGAACAAAGAAATGGAGCGTCGACATCGCCGCGCCCATGCTCGCCAGTCTCCCGCTCAGCGCCATCAACCTCCCCGGCGGTATCCTCCGCCGCCGCACCGCCGTCGACGAACTTAACATCCGCACATTCTTCAGCGAGGGCGATTTGCTCGTTGCAGAGGTGCAGAGTTTACACCAGGATAACACGGCGTCGCTGCACACGCGCTCGCTCAAGTACGGAAAACTCCGCAATGGGCTGTTCACGAGCTTGTCGGGCGCAGGTGGCGGTGTGCTGTCGCGGCGCGGCGGCGTGGTGCGGAGTAAACGGCAAACCTTCACTCTCAACACCGCCGCGGGCGAGGTCGATGTTGTGTTGGGTGTGAATGGGTATATCTTTATCTCTGCACACGCGGCGAAGACTGGCTCGGGAACTGCGGATGGGAAGGATGTGGGCATTACGAGGTTGGAGGAGGCAGTTAGTGAAACGCTGTATTCGAGCCAGAACGACGACATGACGCCAGCGATCATGGGGGAAATCACGCGTGTGAGCACGCTGATTAGAGGGCTGGCAGCCGCAGGGCGACGGGTGGACGAGGACGTCATCGTCAAAGTCTATGAGGGTGCTGTCGAGTTGGAGGCCGAGGAGAAGAGTCTGGGGATCAAGGGTGGGGAGAAGGGCGTTGGTGCTGTTGGCGTGGTGGAGGCTGTTTTGGAAAGACTGGAATTGGGCGGGTGATGGAGCTTGGGTGTGGATAAATGAGATTTTTCTCTCCCTTCGGAGTACAAGGAAGACTTCACCGCGACGCGCTACAGTTTCGTCGTGCTCGAAAGTCCTGCGTAGTATCTGCGCGGGGCGTGCATGGTAGCCAGATCGCATCCTCCACCACCGCTCTATGTACATATACAATGGCCCATGGATATGGCGTCGTCATCCTCGTGTAAACGAGACTTGCACGATTCTGGAGATTACGGATCTTAGCCACTCACACATTCTCACATCTATAGAGTATTTAGATCACCAGATCAATAAGCAGAGACTGAAACTTTTTGACATTCTTGCACATGTGAATGATCCAACTTGAGAATAAAAGACTACGATAATTATTACAACGAGAAAAGACGAACAATATCAATAGGAGATTTGTGAATAAGAAGCAAAGCACACGTACAGAAAACGGGGTATTCAAAGGAAAAAGTAGATAGAAAGATATTACAAGAGGAAGACGAATGTCCCGACCGACAAAAGTAGGCACCAGGCTATGTGCAAGCCAAACTCCGAGCGCAGAAGTCAAGAGCAAACCCTTGCCTAGCAAGCCATGCATAGGCAAAAGTGTATCGAAACGTCCATCTTTGATCAACAAGCGGAATGGGGAGTGGCTCGATTCGACCCTCCCGTGGCGAAGGGACGAGAGTCAAAGGGTATCCGCCCAATCTTCAAGCCCAAATCGGCTCGCATCTGCCCGTGTCCCTGACCGTGTGTATCTTTCACCCGATCACCCGCCTCTTACCCTTCAAGCGCAAGCAAGCCTTCTTTCTCCAGTCTCCCCACATCCCCACCGGCTTCGATGACGGCTTTGAGAGCAGCCTGACTTAGCTTTCTCCGCTTGTCTGCGGCTTCTCTTTCACGGCGCGCTTTTGTCTTGCTGCTCCCGCTCGGGGCGACACCAGTCAGTATCTTGCGACTGTCGCTGGGTGTGAAGTTGACGAAGCCTACGGATCCCGATCCAGCAGACGAGCCGGCACCAACGCCCGATGCCCAAGACCCTGAAGCAGTGCGGTGCGAACCGGAGTTTGTGCTGGATTTTCGCCGGGTATGGTTGCTTGCGTGGTGGGATTGATGGTGTGAAGACGGCATCTGGCTATGACGGCGGCGGGTGAAGAGTGGACGAGGCGAGTGGGAGCGCGAGTTGGAAGGGGAAGGAGGGCGTGCAGGTCCTGTGCCAATGGGTATACCTGGAGATGGGGGTGCGGGATACACAGATCGAAGATGATGCGCAAAGTCATAAGACGAGGCTGCGTCAACGGCAGGGACAAGGTGGTTGTTGCTATTAGTGGAAGGGGTGGTCATGCTTGTTGATGATGATAAATCACCGTCCAAACCCGTGAAAGAGGCTGTGTCGCAGGTTATTCCTAGGCCGGATACGACGGATGCATCACCAAGCCCGTTGGGCTCTAGATTGTCGCTCGTGGACGTGTGCGTGCGGTCGCTTGAGTAGACATCGTGACCGTTGCTTGTGGGAGACGGCTGAGGGAACGGCGGCACTGATGTAGCAGTGGTAGTCCACCACGTATTATTTTTCGCGCTTTCTTCTGTTGAGAAGCCAGCAGTCAAGTCGCCAAATTGGATGTTCGAAGATGCGTCGACATCCCACAAGACCGTCGGGAGACGCTGAGTTGGGGGCGGGGTCTGCAAGGCTGAAAGAGCCGCATTCGAGAAATGTTGCGACATGTATGCGCTTCCCATATTATCACTTGAGGGCTGGAATGGGTGCTCGGTACCGTTCAATTTTGAGCCAATTTCAATGGCGGGCGACGACAGTGGTGTGAACTCATAGTTGGAAGTTTGGACTTCTGGTGTGGTGGTGGCCTCGCCGTACAGGGGTGACGATAATGCAACAGCGTAGGATTGAGTATCGCGGGGTAGGTAGCCTTTCCCGCTCTTCTCTTTGACGATGGTAGAGGCTAGGGCTGAAGAACCAAACGCGTTGGGTGGCATTTGGATGTTGAAGTTCTCAGGCGCAGCGTTCATCTTCTTAGCCCAGGGTTCCTGGAGTCCAGTGCGGTAATGGGATGGACGCATCATCTTGTTGATGTTGCTCAGGCTGGCGGGTTTTCTGCTGGTCTTTCTGACTCCTTGACGGTTGAGACGATCCAAGCTTGACGTTCTTTTGATGCGAGGCACAGTAGCGCTCTGCGGGTTGTGGGAATCGGCGCCAAGTTGCAGGTGATCGAGTTCGAAGATGTCGTCGAAATTGTATAGATCCGAATCGCTCAAACAAGCCTTTCCTGAACTCTCAGAATATATGGAAGAGGAGAGAAAGTCCAGGTTGGGCGAGGCTAGACTTTGTTTTTCCTGTCTATGACCAGCCTTGTGCCAAGATGTTCCGTGGATGCTGGGTTCCATATTTGGCAAGGTGCTAGTCTCCAATGTAATGCTCCCATTCGACGTAGGGATCTCAAAAAGATGTGCAAGATCATCCGAGGACGATTGGTCTGCGGTAGCATCGTCGCTACTGAATTGCTGGAACAAGTCTGTCTCGACGTACTGTTCAAAGAGCTGCTCCAGATCGATAGTAGAGGGCTCTTTGTCGGCTGTTGCCCGCATTGGGATATCCGTGTGAGTTGGTAGAAGGTAGGCCATATCTGGAGTCTTTCACGTGTTTGCGAGAACCAAGCACATCCAGTCTTTTGGTAAAATACTCGCAGCTGGTTGCTTGTTGTGGTATGCGTGTTCGTGTACGTGGGTAGTGTGGATGGAGCGTGCAGCTCTGGGAAACGTGCCTTGCAGGAGTAATGCAACGAAGATATCTCAATGCACCAATGGTATGAATAGCAAACACGATAAACACAAATAAATGAACAAACCTTACTCGATATATAATACTGCATGACGATGTGCATGAGTTCCTACCAACCTCATCATTTTAAGGCGCGCATTCCAAGAGACCAATGGTCTATACTTAGCGAAGAGTAAGGAATGCTCGACGAATGGGCTTGAAGTTGCCCGGGATCCGTGAAGCGTGCCAGTTTGCCAAATTTGCAAAGAGTGCCAACGACTCAAACATCGCTTGGAGTTGCAGATGTGGTTGGAGCAATCCCAGAAAATGTGTGTGGCGGGTGAAGAAGCATACCGCAAACAGCCACACTGCTCATCATGTTACATTCCCTATCGGACCTTTCTCCCCCATGAAAAAGCGCATGGGGAGCGGTCTACACTGCGGCGAAATCCTCTGTTAACATGCTTCTGTTCGGCACGGTCATCAATTTCATAAAAATCGGGCGCTACGTGTGTCATGATCGATCGTTTGCTGAGTCTCGAGGGTGCGTATTGCAATAAGACGGAATTGGTGGTGCGAGAGACACGACCCGCCATCCCGAAGCACTGGAATGTGGTAGGATCAAGGCCCTGCATGCCGCAAGCAGTCACATCGTTTCGAACAGGGGCGAGCCAACGAAAAGTAAAAGCGAACGTCGATAACTACGTCAAAGGACAGCTCCAAGTCATCTAGTAAGACAGCAGGACGGTCCAGAAGAAAGGTTGAAAGAGGAACCAATCATTGTGTGGCATCATGTGCACGGACGTGGCGACGGAGGAGATGGCTCGTGAGTGGCAGAGTTGATATTGTGCTGGATAGCGTTGCCTCGTAGTCGGGAGACGAATATTCGCCTTGATTGGAAGAAATCCTGTTGAGCAGAATTGATGGAGCTGAACGTAGCGTGGTGGTTCACATAGCTGTACGGGCATTTGGAGAGGAGCTGGCACTGGGGGGCCGCACGAGCCCTGTGCACCGTAGCCTACAAACGCCCGAAGTGATGCCGAGCGGCCGACCTCCAGCCAAACGTCATGTCAGTGGTCACGTCGCACCGCAGCTTTGTCTTGTTTATTGGGAGTTCTGATCGACCACTTCTCAGCTGCTTGGTGGTGAGACAGCATCAATGGCAATGGATCCCGACGCGCCCCCGACGACGACCGACCCTTCGCCCTCTCTCTTCCGCTGGATCCTCGGCTTCCTCCTTGTCGGCGCCTGTTGGGGGCTTACGACCCCCTTCATGCGCAGAGCAGCAATCAACTACACGCCGCCGACACGACCCTCGCTGACGGACCCAAGAAATTCGTGGCTGAAGAAAAAGGCGCTGGGCATATGGTACGCGGTGATCGGGGTTCTGAGCCGGCCAGCATATGCAATTCCGTTGCTGCTCAATGTCACAGGAAGCGTGTGGTTCTTTGTCTTGATTGGCAAGGCGGGTAGGCACAAGCTCCATGTATGCATTATCCCAAGACCACAGGGGCTGACATTCGACTAGAGCTGAGTTTGACCGTGCCGATCACAAATTCTCTGGCGTTTTTGTTCACGGTGCTTGGAGAATGGTGGGCAGAGAAGAAGGTCATCAGTAGAGGTATGTACATTGGATATGCTGACCGTATGTATAGACTAATGATATACAGATACCTGGATAGGGATGGCGTTTGTGCTCGGAGGCATAGCGTTATGCGTACAAAGCAAGTCGTAACTCCGCACCATAGACGCTACGAGCTGCCGTACAGTCTCGAAAAGCCCTTCTCAGGAGGCTGCAACCAGTTCCGTTCATCATACTTTTGGGTTCCTTCGATGACGTGGAAAGTGTAGATAAAACGGCTCTTCTGGCTCAGGTTCTTCTCGCTCTTGTGCAGAACATTGCCGTGGATCAAGACAAGTGTTCCGGCTTTGACTTCACCCATTGTATACACCTCCTCGTCCTCGCCGCTTGTAGCAGTCTCACCCTGCAGTTCCGCGGGGAACTTCGCACCGCCGTTTTCGATGAACCCAGTACCTTCCTTGCCCCGCTCGCCTGTCCGCACGAATCGCCTCGAAATTGGAGAACGCTTATGGCTCCCGCTTGCGAAACTCAAACACCCGTTCTCTTGCGTCGTGTCCTCGAGGGCAAACCACCACCCGACCGCGCTTGGTGGATCGGTATACAAAAAGGTGCTGTCTTGGTGTGGGCCCACGGCGCCACCTATTTCCGGCTGCTTGCATATGACTGGCAATGTGGTCAGCGGAGCGCGGCTGATGGATACCCCGTATTGTCACATACCCATAGATTGCAGGACTCGCGGATCTTCGAAACCGAGCGATTTCGCGATGGCGGCATTTTGTTCCGAGAGTGAGATATCGCGGAAGGGCGGAGATAGTTCGTGCAGATAGTGACCAATCTTATTTATTGCGCGCTGTTTTGGCTTGGTGAGGTTGCCTGATGCATCGAAAGCGTCTGGAGAAGTGGTCAGAACAAGGCCGATCCAATCTCTGAATCAGCAATCACCTTCTTCGAAGAAATAGCGTATCTTGTCCCCCGATTCGAGAAAGTAGGCGTCGCCTACATGGTCTGCGCCATCGTCGCCACCGGTAGAGAATTTGGTCATGGGGTGGCCTTCGAGCGAGAAGTCATCCAACTTCTGGTTGGTGTGGGCCAATAGCTCCTTGACCGTGTCCTGTGAAAGTGCATCGGGGATGATCAGATAACCATTGTCCTGGAAAAAGGAGAGCTGATCTGGCGTGAGTCCTTGCATGCTGATCGCAGGGTGTAGATGCAGCGGTGATCAATGTCGCGTGGTCGCACAGCCTCCCCCGGGAGCTATATAGCTATATCGATATAGAGCGGGTCGAGGTCTAGATACCTAGGTAGATAACAGCAGGAAAAGACGGTCAGATCACATGAGACGATTACCCACATGCACTTGTGCTCTCTCGGGGATGGCCGCAGTGCTTGCTGATTTGCGATGGCAAAGCGAATCCAACGTCGGAGCTAGGTGCCCCGCGATTGGGCCCCGCATCCTGTACCAGCGATGAGGACAGAACCGCGGCGGACGGTACAACAAACCTAATTCAGTTATACTTCCACCTCGCCACAGCTTTCTTTCAACGTCAAGTCGCACAGAGGACGAATGCCTCATGTTCATCATGTAGCAGCCCCCATTCATGCCGCTGGCACTGCCAGGCGATTCGACGAGGTCCGCCTGCAGCGTGGCCCGAAATGGGTCTGCCTCGGTTGCTCCTGCCGTTTGGGCTAGCGCGTCAGCCTTCAACCTCCTTTCACACATCGCAGCCGCCATCTCCACCACCCCCAGCCAGTCCACACTTGGCCCCGTCATCCTTCCGCGCATCTGCACCTTCATCGCACCATGATATGGCGGCGAAGGTTCCGTCGCAGTACTCTTTTACTCATCTTCGCCGTCTTTGCTTTGATTTGGGCGCATAATTTCTCTGTTCGCCTCCTCGGATCGCCTGCCGCTCACCGGGCCTACCAGCCGTCATGGAGAAATACGAATCATGCAAAGAGACTGGGCAAGGGTGATTCAGAAGAGAAGGAGTTGGTGGTGGCCAGTTTCGAGGGCGCCGACACCAGATGGCTCGATATGCATTTTGACACGTGGAAGAAGAATGTTTACGTTGTCGACAATGCGTCCGCGCCGCTAACAGTATCTGTCAACAAAGGCCGCGAAGCTATGCCATTTCTCACGTGCGTCATCACTCTATATCCACGGATGGATATGTCAACATCTGCGCATTCCGACTGCGGGTGAAAACGCAGCACTAACACTCAATCTAGTTATATAGTCGACCGTTACGACTCCCTGCCGGACGTTTCCATTTTCATCCAGAGTCCTCGGTATCAGTGGCATAATGAGGATCCCATGTATGATGGTCTTCCAGTCCTCAGGCGCTTGCGATTAGAACACGTCTTGAAGCGCGGCTACGTATCTCTTCGATGTACCTGGGAAAAGGGCTGTCCGGCCGAACTTACGCCACTCCATCCTTTCTATCGAAATGACGATCGCTCCCGGACGGAGCAAGCCTACGCATCCGTGTTTAGACGACTATTCCCTCATGACGAAGTCCCTGGAGTTGTAGGAGCCCATTGCTCGAGCCAGTTCGCGGTGTCACGTGCTCGCCTGCGGGCTCGTCCTAAGAAGCAGTATGAGCGCATTCGCGATTGGCTCGTGGAGACCGATCTCGACGACGCAGTGAGCAGTCGAGTGCTCGAGTACATGTGGCACATCATCTTTCGCATGCATGCCGTGGACTGCCAGGACGCTGGGGAGTGTTTCTGCCAAACTTTTGGCTTGTGCAATCTAACTTGCGACCGAGAAAAATGCCGCAACAGATATTGGGTCCCCAACTCTCGAACCATGCCGGAAGGATGGCCAGAGACTGGCCCGGGTAGCAATGGATGGCCGGAACGATGGTGGGCTGATTGAGAGTGGAGAGGTGCAGAAACGCCGCCAAATGCCCAGACGGGACCGCGAAATGCGCCCGTTTGCCCACTCGATATTGATTATCCCCACTGTATGGCTGTCGCTATACAGTGAATTGGGAGTCTGGATGTCCCCTTGGTATGGCCGATCAGACGACCACTTGTTGGATACCGAATACCAAACATCAAACAGCGCCTAGGCACATCAAGTACATATCCGCAGAATGATTCCACCAAACGACTCGGGACTTAGCATCGTCGCCCACCGTCTATTGGAACCTCCCACGGATAATGCAGAGCGTGGTGGAGGCACCAGGATTCTTAGGATAGAAGAAGCGCAACGATCCACCTCCACGTGTCACTTTGTCGAGCCTCGATCAACATGAACATCCGCCCTGGATGACGTCGATCGTAGAGCTGTGGCTACGCGATCAGTCGTAACAGACCTGTATGTGTCAAACACGTTGTGTATAGTGACTCGGGGGACTGTGAGAGGCACTACATGCAATCTATATAATACAAATGAATCTATTAAAATCCTCTATAATCTAGTTCTCACGGTACACGATCGCCAATTTCTTGCAACCAATATCGACTCGAGTCATTGGTGCACCGATTGCGATAGGGTCAGGAAGTGATGTTGTCAACCAAGATATGACATCGGGCATCTCTAGAAACTCTGATGCATGACTAAAGCATGACTGCACACTTCAAGGAAACCACAATGTGTCTGATGTGAACAATATCAAGTCGCCGCGAATGATTTCTCACAGACTTAATCTCGGCGTCAGTAATCTGGTCATTCAGCAGGGTAGAACGGAGTCCGGCGGTGTATCATGTCATTATTTCTCAACACTCAACCTTTATATAACTGGGTCATCGGCACTTATTTCTTAAAAGGAGGATATCCTTAATGATAGCTCTATGCAGATCATACGACCCGGCTACCAATCAGCGCATCTAAGAAACCGAAAACTACTATTGCCGGCTTCATGTCATTGTATGCGCTGGCAAACCAGACTATCTGCGGGATACTTGTAGGGCTAGCTGAGGGACCTACAGCTATCTACATGCCTAACCGTAGTGGTAATACATCGCATTCCCATGCGACACAAACACTGGGTATTGAAAACACGATAAATATACCTTTGAGCTCCAAGCAGGACACATGCTCCGCCATCTACATGCAATGGAATAACCATTCTTTTTGAGGTAAGATAGCCTTAGTTGCATCTAGTATTCCACCCAGATATTGGGTCCTGCATTGTATCGGTATACTACGAGGAGAGTGCGTTCCAGGCTTCGACATTTTTTCCTACACTAATCGACAGTGAAAGACTGATTGTTATACCACGGTTTGATCGTTGGAGTTGAAATATAGAGAGTTTTTTGCAGGTTATTCGTGCTGTTTCACCTCATTCAGAAAATTAGGGAACTGGTCTGGACACGCGGCAGGGGGGTACGTGGTGCCATGATGAATCAGATCGTGTGGCGTATGGAGTAGAAGACTAGATAGTTGTATTGCGGGTTGATTGTTCAAAGTAAGAATAGAGATAGATAAAAGGGCTAAAGGAAAGCTCTGTGCTTTATACCCTATTCTTAAGTAATACCTTTAAACTTTTTTATTTTATTCTTTAATGCCTAGTGTTTGTGCCGCATTGAAATGTGATGAATCAATATTACTTGTAGTATGGACACGCGGATCATGGCTTCAATGGTAGTGAAAGCTCACAAACACGGAGTCTTTGACCGTCACGGTGGTCTCTGAGAAATATCATTCGGAAGGGCATATTTATCTACGTTATGCTGTTTCTAAGATGGGGAAAGGATATGAGGTATCTTAGTCCGCAGTCTTTCAGCTGAACAACTTCATTGTCGGAGGCTCGCTTTATCGTGCATGGTGTATTAAGACATTTTTGCACCCAATGATACTGCAGGTGGTTCCATATTCAAGAAGAGTGAGGATACTAAGTCTATTATGCGACTGACGCATATTCCATGCGGCACAGACACTCGGTATTATGAAATCACACGAGAAATCCGCCATCGAGCTCCGGGCAGAAGAGGGAGAAAACGGAACCTGTGTTGTGTATGCAATCGTATCACAGGGAATGGTTCGATTGCGGACTCCATAGACTGTTTATATCAAACACTTTCACACCTGCGTTGTTTGAAAGCCTCGCTGTTCTGCATTCACAAACTATATATTTAGCCCCTAAGTACTTCTTCTCACTCAGCACCACAGTTTCTACCACAACCAACAAAGTTTCTGCCACCACCACCAGACTCAACATGTCAAACGAACACAATTCAACCGAAAGTTCCGCTACGATGGAGGTCTCGAGCCTCCTTCCTGCTGAGCTCATGAACAGAGTCATTGCTGAACAAGTTGTTTACGATGATCCCATCGACGAGGAGAGACACAACGAGCTATTCAATAGCCACATTATCCCCTTAATCCAGAGCACCGGCCTCTCGGATTATATCCTAGACCATTACTACAGCCGCAACGTGTTTCAAATCCAGGCGCCTCATTTCCCATCCATAGTCAGGGCATCAACCGGCTGGATCAGTACGGGCTTACCGGTCCGAGGCACCTTCAACATACCCTCCAATGCCGATCGAATCCGACATCTCGAGTTTCGCATCCCCTTCGACCATGCCGCCTATCTTCGAACCGATCTCGCTCGATTCACGCGATGGCGAGGCTCTATGATGCAATACCTGCTGGTTGCTATTCGACCTCGAACAAAACGTGCAGATCGCGAAATGGACAGCACTCTTGTCTTCGAGCTCAATGGGCTCGGCACAAAGCGTATCGATACTGATTGGCAGGAAAGCTTCCCTAAACTGGATTCCATCAAGATAGTCCTTCACTACACAGACCCGAGCCATCCATCGCATGTCTGCCTTGCAGATGTGGCACGCAATCTGATTCGAAATCAAGGCTGCTTCGCTATTCCCATCCAGCCAAAGCATGAGGCCACTGTCGAGGTGCTCCTTCCGCCAGATGATGATGCACGCGGCTGCATATGCGTCCAGAGTGTAAAGCAGAGTTTGATGAGCATGATTACTCTGCGCTCTGAAGATTAAGCTCTACTAGGCATCTTGGGCTCATTGAAGGGGTACATGCAATACGCAGATCTTTGGTTTACTGATAGATTTTGAGGATATTGGGGATCGCTTTTTGCGCGAATGTGCACGAATATGGAATGAGAAGGTCTACAACAATGTATAATTCACAGTCTATGCTTTTGATGATAGGTCTTGTCTTCCTTGCACTGCTATTAAATATGTTGCATTCTATCGATCACGCTGCAAAGGATTAGCCTCTAGCTTTAGATCAGTGGAACGGGTTGGAGAATCGAACCTCGCACCCGTCGCACCCCTCGCCAATCTTCGCCTAAATGAACGTTGCTCCGACTCCGGCTCGGGCTACTCCACATAAGGATGTCCTGCCTACGCCATCTAGTCAATGCCCTACGCAATAAAAAAGAATCAATAACCTAATCCACCTACTGCCTATTGCCGCCCCGTGAAAACACCCTTACATCAGTACAGAGGACGAATTCCATAACTTCTGAAGTTGGCATTGGACGTGAGCCGGCGGTCGGACAGTCAAAAACTACCTTGAGAGGTTTCGGCTTAGTGCGAACGCTACTCTGTGCGCTAACGCGATGAACACTAGTTTCCGCTGTCCCCTTATTCTTATTTAGACCTAGCCACCATTTCTCTTTCCATCTCACCATCCGGCGTCTATTGTCTTGCTAGCTTGATATCGACCAATTTTTCGAAAGCTTACAGTATCCTAATGCACCAAGAGTTGTTCAACCACTTTCAAATAACCACAAACCTCGTGATATCTCCGCACTCGTTCCACGATGTCTGGAACGCGCGGAGGGCTCGATGCGCTCCTTCAGCGACCGCGGCCGACTCAATTTCAACAGTTCATCAAAGAGCCCTCTGTATACCTCGCATCGCAGCTATATAGATGGCGTCGGGTGGTCCGCGTCGAACCCATCAAACCCATCACTGTCGTCTGTCTCTCCGATACTCATAACTCCCAGCCATCGGACATTCCCACTGGCGAGATTCTGATACATGCCGGCGACATCACACAAGCTGGTACCTTGAAGGAGATACAGACGTCGATTGATTGGCTTAACTCGCTGCCACACCCTAACAAGGTCCTTATCGCCGGTAATCATGACATCATACTTGACCATAGTCGCCGAACGCCAGATTCAAACGATGCACTTATCAACTGGGGTGATGTAGTTTATCTCAATGCAAGCTCGACAGTGCTTTCCTGCGACAACGGACGCGAATTGAAAATCTACGGCTGCCCTCTCACCCCCCGCCACGGCAATTGGGCGTTTCAATATCCGCGCGATCAAGATGTGTGGGAATCCAAAATTCCCGACGATACAGATATACTCATCACACACGGACCGCCGAAAGGTCATCTGGATGCCGGTCATCTCGGGTGCAAGTATCTACTTGATGAGCTGTGGCGCAGGAAGCCTAGACTACATGTTTTTGGACATATACATGATGGATACGGTATGGAGTGGATACAATTTGACCAGTTGCAAAGCGCATATGAAAACATAGTTATAGCAGGTGGAGGTGTTTGGGGTCTTGTGTGGGTAATCATCGGATTCGTTGCGGCTTACCTGACCCCTGCGAAAGAATCTCGAGCTCTTCTAGTCAATCCTGCCATGGTTGGAGGCCTCCGAGACGAACAGAGACGGCGCCCGATAGTTGCATATGTGTGATCTGTGGTAATGATCGGTCCCAAGGCTTTCATGAACATATTTAGTAATTCGCTATCTGGCAAAATCAGTTTATCTATGCGATCTACATTCTCCATAAATTCGGAAGTACCAAGCGTAGTGGTGATTCATCGCATTTCTATGCGGCACAAACACTTAGTATTGAAAAACACAGCAAATGCCTTTGATCTCTATGCAGGACACATGTTCCGTGGTTACCACGAAACTGATAAACCGGAGGTACAATCGTGGATTCCATAATATTTAAACAAACAATGTATGAGGCTGCGACACAACAATATTCATAGCGAGAAACTGAGGACTGCGGATTTGCTTCTCTGGGACACCCCCGTCTGAATTAGGGATGATAAGCTCCTCCGAGAGTTTAGGGACATGAGCAACCCATGCCGGCGCGGATTCCAGCACGACTGCTTTTGACTTGAGCTCTTCCTCGGCCTCATCGCCGCAGATGATGGCAGGACTTCCTCGAGGCAGTCCCCTCTCAATAAGTCGATTGAATGCTCCCGTTAGAAAATGGGGGATTACAGAAAGGATAGCGTAACGTGCTGGGTCGGAGTCTTTGGGGTCGGGAATCGCGGCAACAGCCCAGCTTGGATGATTGAAAAACCATTCAATCTCCGTACGGAGGCCAGCATTATATCCCAAGACAATGTATTCATACATTCGATACAACGAAGCGAGAGGGGTCTCGCCCGCTGTTTGCGCCCGCCGCTGTTGTCGATGAGACAGGAGCCATTCGATGGTTGGAGGAAGTGGTGGTTTCGGCGCAGGATTCACCAGACTGTTGTATATAGATGAGAACAGATTTTTAATGGTGAAGTGACTCATTGAGAATTCGTTGTTCAATGGATGAACTAATTTATCGCAACTATTGCTGGGTGTTCAAATGTGGACTGGCAAGAGTGGGAGTTTTGGGTTTGCGCTAGGTGTTGGGACGCAGGTTTAGTACGACTTAGCGCCAAGCGACTAGTCGTGAGTTATGTAATATAGATAGCCTAAGCGCTGGAGACACCCGAGTTAAGCGCTTGCACTAGATCTAAAACAAAAATAGGCCAAGCATGCTGCGCATTTATCTGATAGGATATGGCAGTTCCGTTATGCCTGAGAATAATCAGTTTCACTTACCGCGACCCGCGCCCCATGAAAATCCCGAGAAAATCCTCAAACACTATGATGTTATTGGCGCCGTCCACTTTGTGGCTTGATCGCGGTACTTAAGTTGAAGCGAATGTATCTAGTCCTTCCTAAAATCCAGCAATACTTTTGTCGATTTCTTTTACATATCGCATCTTTTTTCTTTAGCCATCAGCCTCCATATTTTTATTTGCTGATACCTTCATTATACATCATCTGCGGTGTCCCAATCTTCAGTAGATCTTTTCCGAGTCACTGAAGCTATATTCCGGTCCAACACGACGTTTTTTTGTCTGTCTCATTCCTCATGGGCTGCAGTATTTCCAGACCCGGAGGCGACCACGCTGCGAGTACACTACTTGAGCTCGCACCTGTAATGACGGCTGGTAATGGAGATCCGGCACCAGAACTTGACCGAAACACGCTTCTACGTGCTCTCGCCAATGTTGCTTCATACATCGATTCTCGAAAGGCCAATATCACTGTTGTCGCTGTAGGCGGTGCTGTGAACACCATATTCTTCCAAAGTCGCCAATCGACACACGATGTTGACTTTTATAATCACAACCTTCGTCAGTCGGACTACGAACTCATCATGAAGGGTGTCAAGTTCGCACAATCTCGCGACCCTATTTTACAGGGTGAATGGTTCAATAACCGGACCATTCTTTTCATTCCAAAAGCACAGCGAAGTTATTTGACCGAACAAGCAATCTCGCAAAATGAGATCATCTTCGAGAGACCCGGCTTGAAGATCGTTGCAGCACCGTGGAATTACGCGATTTGCGCAAAGCTTGATCGCTGCGCGGGAGCTGGAATCAATGGGCAGAGGCCTTACGACTACTCTGATGCTGCGACATATCTGCGTCGTTACCTAGAGATGTATCACCTTCAATTTGTTCCTCGAAGCGAAGTATGGAAATGGGCAGCTAGTTACTCGACGACTGTGACAGATGGTGTTCTAGGGGAATTGAATGCTGTTTTCAAAAGTTTATACGGTCGGGAGCCAATAAGAATGAGTAGCTGAGAGTCGCGCTTTTAAATTATCCAGTTTTCAGGGAGTATATAGTCGAAAAACAGCGGCGAACCAAAGTATTTCTCAGCATATACAGCATAGGTGTGATACTACAGGTCCTGCCTGGAGCTCGAAGGCAGGTTTATTGTGTTTTTCAATCCTAAGTGTTTGTGCTGCATTAAGTATGCGACGATTAAATCATAGACTTGGTGATACTACAGGTCCTATCGAATCTATTGATTGCGATGCTCGAAAATAGTACATGCGTCTCGTAAGCCTCACCGCGGCTAATAGATCATTCCTCGGCCTCCTTATAGCATGAAAAACTTCAAAGTGGGCTGTGATATGTGCGAAATTTAGCGTGATGTTACACAAAGCATGTGGTCGGTGATATGCAGTGGTTGTATTCTATCGGATACATGTAGTTGTGTACATATTGCTAGAGCCCATAACTTCCCTGCATGTCTTATAAATCGATTGTTTTCTGTGAATGGAGATCTCGCTACGCGAATAACGCCGTTTGTATTGTTTCACAATGTAAAACATCAATTGATGCTGCTGTTATAAAGTCTCCCCTCAACACCAGCAACAGCAACAACCAACCACGATGGAAAAATCAACCAAGTCTGACAGCGAAGCCGAGCGAAAACTTCCCCACCTACCCAATGAGTTGCTACTCATGATCGCGGAGGAAGCTGCGCACGAAGCCTCAACAATCACCGAAGAGGAGTACCAGTCGAACCATGGCGAACCACGTCGCCTACCCATGATGAGCTTCAACAAGATGATGATGACTGAGTACCACAAATTCTTCTACAAGGCAAACACGTTCAGAGTGCAGCTACCTGAAGAGCTTCCTCAGCTCGACGTGCAATTGCGACGAGTGCCAATCCCTCGATTCAGCCATAGAGTGGCCAATCTGGAAGTCGTCATTCCATGCGGTATAGACCTGCAAGTGAATCCGTGGACGTTTACGGCAGCCACCACAACGCAACTGAGCTATCTCGCGAGACTCACCTATCCACTAACATCGGAGATGGATAGGTGCATCCGCACTTGGCTGCTTGTCCCTCAACCACCGCCCGTGATTCATGTACATGCGGCCCACAACACGCTTTGGCAGGACAAGTTTCCCGAGGTCAAGAATCTGCGACTCGTCTTCGATTTCAGCGAGAGGCCGTACTTTGCATTTCTCGAACACCAGGTTAACCACCTCGTGTATCTGAATCGCTATCATGGTTTGCATATTCCCTTGAAGACCGAGACGGTTGAGGTTGATATCATCAATTGGAACGGTGGTGACAGACATCGCAGATGTACCCGCCGTTTCATAGCGATAATTAAGACTATGATGGGGCATTAAGCTTGCATGCGAGCAGCGAGAGCAAGCGACCTTGGATTGACGGATTGACGGATTGAATATAATGTGTCGTATTTTGCCTAAGTCGGGATGTTAGGTGCATCCGTCCCATCATCTCATTGTAGCATAAACTAAAAGTTGATCTGATACACAACAAGTTCCAACAAAAGACATTGATAATATAAGAGTGATAAAACTGTATTCGTATTGCTAAGAAACAAGTGATTCAGTATATGCTAGTAATAAAGTAAATTCACGTAAGGAGAAGAAGAGTTACTAAGCCCGGAGAGCTATTTTATATAGGATTTATTTAGTGTTTGGGCTTGCGCGTACCGATTGCTCTTCTTTGCAATAGACACAATCAGGGTTTTGTACTCCTAAACACCCCCTTATTGTCACCTGATCTGAATCCGACCTTTCCGAGGTTCTCGTGTAACTCTCTCTGGATTGATTGATTGATCGATTCGTGGAATGATGTATGAATAGAGCAGTCGATTGTGTAGTAGTCTGTCTAACTCTGTATGACCGGGCAGACCCGACATCCCCCCGAAAGTGTACTTGATCTCACTCTCACCCTTATTTGCTAGTCACATGTTTACAATAAGTACATATAGATATATAGCGGTGTTTAATATCAACCAAACTCCAATTAGCAGTCTATTCTATAAAAAACTGGTGCAAATGATGCTCATCGCCTCTTAGCGGGAAATATAACTCGGTTGCCCTCCTTCACGATCTTGCACTTGACATTCCGCCTTGGATCCACAAATCTTTTGCGTCTTCGAAGTTCGCATCCTGGTGGTAACTTGCAATTCCATCTGTCGACCCTCCAATCAAAGGGGGATATGGCCAATGACTCATCCGGAGATTCGGAAATTGGACGGATTCCAGCGAAACTAGATTTGGGGTATTCGGTGACCTCAACGGCTTTTTGCTTCGGCGCGAACTGGGGATATGCCTCGAGGAAATGTGTGGTCATGAACTCCATTGTCGGCTGATCCCCGATGCTGTACTTTTCCGTATGCGGTTCGAGCTTGTCGAGGTGCTGGCCAGCCAATTTGGATTCTACATTCATGACAAATTCAAGCCACGCATCTTCCTTGCGGAAGCTTCTCGTAAGTCCCCGCATTGCTTCTTTGGGTCTGCATGGAATCAGCTGAAGCTATGCAAGTCCATGGAGTAAGTAGAGCGGGAAAAGATAGGGTGCTTGGGTATAGACAGGGGAGGTAAAGGAAGTGCCTACTGGTTTTTTCTGTGCCAAGTCAGTCACAAAGCAATACCTTCAAATGTTGTTATACGTAGCTGCGTTGACTTACATCGCACCCACTTTTACCAGCTTATCACACGCTTCGTTACCTGTCACGCCAGCATGACCCTTGACCCAACGGAAGTAGGTATAGTAGTGATGGTCACTCCTCCAGTGCAGGAGCTCGCTTATCGCATCAATGGCCCCCTTGTATTTTACTTGTAGAATACTCAAAGGCCAGCAGCTAATATTATTATACTTGCAAGTTTCTTGCTATTCAGTTAGACTTAATATAGCATACTTAGAGTTGCTAACATTATAAAGTTGAAAGTAATTTTTAGCTATAAGTCTTGCCTAAATATCTGCGTATAGTTCTGCTCTTTAATTACTTTCAGCGCCTATTAGTAACAGCTTACTTATATGTTTAAACTTAAAATTAGTATTTATTATAAATAACTATGATCTAGTAACTCTAAGCACTACAAACTATAAATATTTATTTTAAAGATACCCCTTGGGAAGGTTAGCGAGAGAAGAAACACGACGGCTAAAATGTAGACTGGCTACATCTATTGAACAGACCGCAATCGGAATGGCAACTTTATATACAATTATAATAGCAGTGAAAGCAAACAAAGAACATGAGGTGGCAAACACTTACCTATTGATCTCGAATTTTACTATGTACCCCTTCATCCTGGAAAGCTGGTCAGTGCATGACAACCAATTGTTGGTATAGAATGCATACCTATTCCCACCATGTCCTGGATCCCTGGCACTGACAACGGTAACTACGAACGACCCTATCTCCCTGGCGAGACCGAGCTTGGCTGAGTGGTGTCAGTTTCGAGTTGCATTGTGAAGCGTGGTAGATTTAAGGTGGGTTGTGGTGCTCTCACTATGGCAATGTTAGACGACAGTTTGAATCCTGAACGTAATGTTAACTCACCATCTTTGACAATATCGCCCGCGGTGCAGCAGCTGGTTAGCAGAATCGAACAAAACTACACCTTTACCTTGACCTTCACCTTGACCTTGACTGAGGACGAGTGGCTGCCTGGTAACTGTGTGAGGCGGCGTTTGCAGATTGGGTATGTATCCCGACTCACATGTCTACTTGCAGGGCTGGATGTGGGTCTGCCATGACAATACTGTTAGAGACATGGTGTTTCGTCCGGGAGCGAAAGTAGTCCAGAACGTGCGGATTGAGCAAGGCAGAAAACGGGGAGCCACTTACCACGCACCCAGAGGCACAAAGGGAGAGAGCCTGCATTCGAAGCTACATCCTTTACCCCCACCTGGGCATGGGAGTCAGATTCCGGCAGACGGCGAGGTCGATGCTAGGTCTATTAGTAATCGATCAAGTTACTCAGGAGAGTGCGGCCACTTACGGGTTGGGCTGGGCCACGAGGGTGTTGGAGATCGTCTTTCGCAACGGGAGACATCGTCCGCTTGATCTAGTCAGTTCATGGCAGCCATTGAACAATTCTGGAGGCGTACATGAGGCAGGCGCTGGATGCGGCGACACCAGCATGGGCCAGGTAAACCTGCTGAACCAGGTTAGACATGGCAATGCCAACAGTAATCTGGGAGTGTGGTGTCCTACAGGAAGGCGAGGGCGAGAGCAGTCAAACTGCTAAACAGAATTAGACATAATAATGGCAACAGCAATCTGAGATTGCAGAACCTACGCACGATGTCGAAGGACCGAGCGAGACCGAAGGGCGAGCGTGGACTGGCTGAACGACGTTAGATATGGCAATGCTAACGGAATTTTGGGAGTGTCGAGTTCTACGCACGATATCGAAGGTCGAGGCGATGAAATGGGATTGGAAAAGGCTAAACGGGGTCAGACATGGCAATGTCGGCGGAAGTGTCGTTTATCACATACATCGTCGTCGTGAAGCACTGCGTATCACTGTGAAGCACCTTGCCCGGCAGCTGACACCTGCACGGGCTTGGTGTGATCAGCTAGAGCGTGTTAGTGAGGCGAAACAACAAAGTCTGATGCGCGGGCATCGGGGATACTTTACTTACCAATCAATGTTCAAGAGCGACTCACTGGCATAATGTTTAATGTTTGTAAGGAAAAAACAGTAAAGCAACGCGTAAATGGGGTATCAAAGAAGAAGCAAAAGGCACACGAACGAGTCGAGACAAAGAGCGAAAAAGGGTGCGAGGGTGGCAGAGTCTTTTAAAGTCGATGAGGGGCGCGCGCGGGGTATCCGCTAAGGTTCGGAACCTCAACCACATCATCACCAACCGTTGTTGAACTACTCTACTCGCCCAACAATTTGCCTTTTTTTTTGGGGGACCACTAGAACTCAGCGGTCGAGTCGCAGCATGACACGATGATTTCAAATTTCCGTTGAACGGTGTGTATGGACTGCTACGATAGTTATCGTAAACTTCAAGAGCACCAACATATGTTGGAACTCCTATCAGGTTTGAAGCTCGGATTGTCGAAGCTCAGGGCGAACAGGTTTTGGCTCAAAGCTATAGGGGCAGCTGATAAATTCCGGGACTTGGGTATCAACAGGAACAACAAATCGGAGTTGGTGGGAGGGTGGAGCAAGGCCCTTGGCGTCACGATCGAGGACCTTTGTCTATGGCAGAACAATCTGCTCTTGGAAGTGAGGACCAGGGAACATGCATTGGGCCTGGCCAGGAGATGGTGCGAACTGAGTCGCCCTGGCGTCGTCGATTATTGTCTATGGACTTGGTTCCTGTAAGCTGTCTCTCCAACGCTAATCCCATCATGGTCCGAATGCCGAGCTGACGTACCATACAGGCCGTTTGACATACAGCAGGTGTCTACTTTCTGCCGGGTTTGTGCTTCACCCAAACACATGCAAGAGAACAGCTGTAAGGCACAGAAGAAGTGCATCAAGTGTGGCTCTCACGAGCACTCAAAGGCATCTTGCACCGCCAAAAGGGAAAACGGCGACCCTTTCACGTGTGCCACCTGCGGCTCTGGGAATCACGTCACTGAAAGTCCCGATTGCCCAAACCTCGACTCGGTGGCAGCTCATGCCAAGGCCAGGTCGCTCATAGGCAAGGCACCGTGGTGGTATACCGGTGACATGTCCTTGAGTGACCCTCCATTCCGCCGATCGTGCGCAGAGCTTCGAGCTGAAAACACGAGATATGCCGAACTTTAGCTTAGGATGAAGGAGAACCAGCAGACGCACGAAAAACAATTAGAGCCAAAAAAAAAACAATCGAAAGAATGGCTGCAGAAGAGATTGAAAGGAATGACGGCCAAAAGGGACGCTTTCAAAGCACAGCTCGATGCAAGGGACTCGGAGAACTCGGGTACCCAGAAGGAGAAACAAGGACGTAGAAATACCGATGACCCTAAACCAAGCCAGGGACGCCAACTTACATTTGCCGAATGCAGCTCATCCACCGCCTCTCGCCGATCAGATGCAGTACCAGAAGCGGGAGCATCGACCTCAGCATCTGTCGCCGACCCTACGCCCTCCGACGTGCAAGTATTCAGCGATGACGAGGTCGACTTCGAAGAAATAGGTGACTGGATTACCTATCCAGCATCTACAGGCCAGAGCACTGCAGCTGCAGCATTGAGCGAGTTTCCCGCCAGTTCGAGTCAGCCGGCGCAGTCCACAGCAGCGGCTGCTCCTGTGATCAACGTGTCGGCGATACCCAGCTCGTCCGTCGCATCTTCGACTCCTAGTTCAAGCCAGCTGGCTCCGTCTACAGCAGCCACTTCGACCGTGAGCTCGAGTCCGCCGGTTCCGTCTCCGACACCCGCTCCTCCAGAAATCAACGAGTCTGACATACCCGGCGAGACTGTCTACGAGGATATACCCCGCCGTTTGACGCCTGGGCGACCAGTTCGTCCCGGCGCCGCCCCCTCCGGATTCATGTCAGGGAGTACTAGCCGCGTGTTCGGTCCCGAGCTGCGGGAGCCTACCAAGCTTCCGACCGTTGACCAATCCACTTCGACCCCGGGGCCACCAGTCAAGGACGCATATTTTGAACTATACAAAGGTTCCCTCACAGAGGCACGGAACAGTTCGAAGAGCACGTTGGACGGTGCGAAGAACACACCGGACGATCCGAACACGGTGGACGGCGAAAGCAGCACGCCGGACGATCCACAGAACACGGTAGTTAGTTCAAAGAACACGGTGGACAGCCCGCAGACAAGCAAGCCCCGCCGGGGGAGACCACCCGGTTCCAAGAACAAGAAGCCTGCCCAAAAACCAGCCGCTACACCGACGAAACAAGGCGGTGGACCGCTACGAGAATCTTCGCAGACTCCCGCCGCCGGGACCAGGAAACGGAAAAGGGGGGCGGAAACAGAAAAGCCACAGAAAGCCCCCCGACTCCCCGATGCAATCATGCCAGCCACGCCACCCGCCTTTGCTCCAAACGTGGAAGCACCATCACCACCAGTAGCCGGTGAAGATGCAGTTACGCAAGCCCAGCCACCAACCCCAGATGAGGCGTCGACATCGCCAGTCGCCACTGAAGAAGGTAATGCTACGCCAGCTCAGCCACCTGCTTCTGCTCCTGCTCCAGCCGTGGCAGCACCGCCACCGGCTGGCCCAAGGAAAAACCGTCGAGCCAACCCAAGATCTCGCACCACACGCTTCCTTCGCGGTGCCGGAAAGCTCTGCGCAATTCACCATGGCTGCGAAGAAGCAGTTATTTATCGACGACGAGGGAGGATCCGGCAAATCAACAGTCGACGGCTCACCCGCCACGGCTTCCCCAGGTCCCACGTCGAGCTCGGAGATGCGGAGCACAACCGCAGTGTCGAGCACGGACAAGGCTGGGTCAGGGGAGGACAGCGGCAGCAATGGCACTCCAGCACCAACCGCCAAGTCAGCGGCATCTGTGGGGACGGAGTAGGTCGCTTCTTGTTGTTGGTGGAATTCGTAGGGGTTCTTTCTTGTGGGAAGCAGCAGTGGTAGTGCTGAAATGACTGTGACGGCAGGGGATGGCTAGGGGCATGTCTTTTTTCTTTTCTTCCTTCTCTCTTCCTTCTCATCCCTCTCTCCTCCTTACCCGTTCAGACTGCTTTCTCCTTTGTCATTTTTTCAGTCATGGGACTTCGTTCCTTCCCTATACAATATGTACATACATCTATACACCACATCATCTCATTCCATCTCCTCATGGTAGATAGCTAGCTATCTACATATAGTTTATATTTTCCTCCCACTTAATGCAATCTTCTCGCTCTCCTTCGATTCTTTTCTCTCTTTTGTTTTTTCCTTGTATGTCTTGGTGGATAGTAGCAAAATATACGTCCTTTGCAGTAATCAAGTCCATCCTCCGATCATTGCATTGCACGAACACTTAGTATTCAAGTTCACGATGAATTGCCTTTAAGCTTTAGGCAGCACACAAGTTCCGTTATTATCACAATACTTGTAAGTTATTATTTTGAAATGAATCAGTGCGGATTAGGTCTAAGGACTTCAACACTATAACTCTTTAAAGGTAATATTGTTACAGCAACGTGTACTTCACTTGTCGCACAATGGCTCTGTAGAGATAATGATTTTGTTGTTTCAGCCCGAGAACATCCGCGTTCGACAAGCGGATGCTATAGAAAGACAAGTGAATATTGTCAAAGCGCATTCTTTTTCCTAAGTACAAACGCAGTCTTTGGCACTGCTCCGCTGAAAGTCGTAGAGATGGCACGCGTGAACACTTGAATCACGCTGAGCGGGACATAAGCCCTTTTAACAATCTTCAACTATCAGGAAATTCGCAGGATAATTGCAGCAAGGCCAAGCTGCGATGGGGGACAAGAAAGTAATTGATTGATCTCAGTTAGCAACGAGAGCTGCAACATCATTCTACTCAAACGAAGAACGCACCTGCGCGTGCTTTCGAGTCCAGGGCGGAAAGTCGCTGGACGATATCAACACTCCCCATCTCGATTCAGCGAGATATTTGAAGAGTCATTGTATGCTTGTCTGAGAACGGAACACTACCTCACAGCTTCTGATAGTATGCATTTCCCTCGACTGGGCCACGCACCCTCGCACTCTCTGGCGCACCTTCATGGTCCAGGGCTTCGGTCGAAGACATAGCGACGTACCTTCGCTAGATTATTCCATCGTCCCCCGTCTTCGTAGTTGAACGCAATGAGAGAGAACAGGTGAGGAGGCCGTAGAGTTTTTCACTGAGAAAGGAATATGTCACTTCCGCGGTTCAGGATGTCGGACATTTTGCCCCCAATCTCTGCCATTTGCGCACCGATCATCTGGTAGCAACCCACGGGTGAACCTGAGAATTGGACCGATACCACCAGGCAGTGCGCTGTTGATTCTTGCGGTTGGAACTTAGACAAGACTGCAAGAGAATGCTTGGAACTAGTAGTGTGCAATTTTAATCTATGTCGCAAAGAAACGCGATGGCTCACTACCGTGTTTGGTGTACGTTGAATCAAGTTAGGTAAACCTTTGCGGGCTTGTTCTTGCTCTAGTAGGAGAGAACGTCATTGCGATAGACTAACAAGTTAATGGCGTAGCACAAGACGGAGGAGAAGAAGTAGCGGCGTATAGACCCATTTAGTAAGAAGGATAGAGCACAAGTGTCTTAAGTACATATGTAGTTACTACTAAGTAAGCACTGAGGTAGAAAACACGTGTGTTTCAAAAAATAGTGTTTTAAAAGGGCGGGCCAACCTGATCACTAAAAATCACGGGTAAATGCCAGCAAATCCTCACTAAACCACAGTACAACATCTCAACCATCTTAACAATAGGCATCTCAATAATAGAATACATAGGTAGTTGTGCAATAACTAGACTAACTGCATGTTAAAAGTAGGTATCAATCTCGAGATCATTCCAAGATCAGCCTAAAAGCAATCTCCTCGAGTGTCTAATTGCAGTTTAGATATTAATCTAGGTTTATAAACACTTCCCTAAGCATAAAACTATAGCTGAATCTTTAAATAGTTAAGAAGAAAAAAGATGCGTGCTGCACGGAAACGCGATAGGTATTAGTAAGCTATATGCGGCAATGCAAGACGGCTTAACGTGGATTGCAATAGGCGAAACGTTGGCATTTTCAGGTTTTCTTTTTCCTAGCTTCTGTTCATCACGTGAGGTGGTCTATCCTTCTTGTACGTGCGCGTGTGTCTTTTAGAACTCTCCTTTTCTGTTCCTAACAGCGCTTATGAGTGGTCGCAGTAATCCTCTTTCATGTAGAAATCTGACAATTCATCAATGTGTATTAAGAAGAGAGATCTCGATTTACTGAGTATATTATTTACTCATCGCATTTCTATGCGGCACAAACACTTGCTCGATTCACCAACCCGCTTGCTCATTTCTGAAAATTATCATAATCAGATGGCGAGTCTGCTCGTCAAAGGCTATAGGCTACAAAAAAAGTGACCCAGGCTGTTACGGGTGCAAAAAACAAAAACATACAACAGCAGGTATTCGCTAGTGGTCACCCACCTAACTACTAATCCGCCGGTACCATGCTTAAGTACAGCTGAGCGGACGGGAAGCTCTGTTTTCATGGTCCTATGGTCGTATGTGGAAGTGAAGGTCAACTTTTCGCATAATATACCTAACGTTGGTGCAGGCCTCAGTATTGTACACTCGCCGTCTACCTCGAAATTATTAAGAGGTGTCTCGTATAAGGCGCAGCGCATCAACATTGAGAACAGACTTATGATGAAAATCAGAGACATGAGACAAGCTGATCTTTTAACTTCACCAGCGACGTGAATTTGCATTGATTCGACGTTACCGCGAGATGATATCTGGCATAACAAAGTACAAAGACACAGCAAATTGCCTAAGGACGCGCCTTCACCACAACACAACCTTCAGCTACTGCTACGGGAAGGAAATCTTTTTCTCTAGGAGGTTAGATTGGGTATCGGTCGGCTATCTTTCCCGACATCTGCTGTCAAGGCGTTGTTTCACTGGGCCAACACCGCTATAGTTCCTCCTTTATCCACCGCATCCGACCGCGATATGTGTCCTAGCGCTATGTGATTATGCGCTATCGTTTAACTCCCAAGTTTTGTGCGATGCGAATGTTTGGGCATTTTATATTGCACTTTTTCACAAACACTTTGTTTTGTCTGCAACTCGCGTTAGGGGCGGGGGGTCGCAACTCTCATATTCGGAAAAAGAATGTCTCGGCAGCTAACACGCAGGAAAGAAACTGAGTGGCACGATTCCTTGCTGCAGCATAATGTACTCGGGTTGCTCTAAGAGAGTCTACATCTGTTCAGCCTACGCATAACACAGTGAGACTTTCACAATCCCAATGCGATGGATAAATCAGTTATGAACGGTGTTGTTGTCCCGCACGCAGTGCTATTTTCTGATGTACATAGATGCACAGTGAAGAAACAGCAATCATACGATAAAGAATGACGATGGAACACCCAGACGTTTCAGAATTCATGCTTCAACTCTATGAGAATTAGATAGCAGATCGATATAGATAAGAAAAAAAGGAAGAAGTGAACAATGCTGCATTGATGAACTCCCAAACACCTATAATATTCAAGGTCTATGTGCGGTTATCTATCAATTTGTCGCAGTCAAATATGCGCACGTTGTTCGACTTATCAACAATGGCAATTGCTCTTTCTAACACGGAACAAGACAGCGGTCGATACTCTAATGGCAACCAAACCAGGTTCTCTGAATCATAGGTGATCCGTTTCAGGTCCGAGCTCAATCCCAGGCCGCTGTACCGAGCACTCGTGACTCTTGTTGCTGGATCAGATTTGTTCGCTGCATCAGAGATGTCGATTATCAAGGTACCGATGTCAGTATGAAGATAGGAGCCACTTGTATCGAATGATATGCTGTACAGTACTCGGCCAATTTCGATTGTGTGCAGGCATGCACCGCCGTTAACGTCCCAAATCTTGACCGTACTATCAATCGACGAAGATGCGAGCCATTTTGAGTCCGGACTGAAGGCCGTTGCTACAATAGACCCAGTAAGACCCTTTAGTGTTAATAGACATGCACCACTATTTATGTCCCAGATCCTAACCAGGACTTGACCTTGCCACCACATGGATGATGCTAATAGTGTTGAGCTGTTGTTAAGATTCATACAGCGGATTTCTTCTTTTTCAAATCCCCCGAATGTTTGCAAGCATTTGCCACTGCTTGCATCCCAGATCTTGATCGTACGGTCCAGTGACATCGATGCGAGCCACTTAGAGTCGTAAGAGATGGCCTTTAGCTGAAGAACTTTCTTAGTATGCCCCTCAAGTGTCTGAAGGCACTCGCCGCTGATGGCATCCAAGATCTTGGCTGTGCCGTCATCTAATCCCAACGCGAGCCACATCGAGTTGTATAAAAATTCGAGGGATGAGCAGTGATTCTTAAGAGTTGTAAGGCATGTACCACTGCTCGTATCCCAGATCCTGACCACGTGATCCATTGAGGCTGAGGCGAGCCTCATTGAATCATGTGAAAAGACGATCTTAAATATCCAATCAGTATTTCCCTCGAGTACCCGAAAACATTTACCGCTCTTCACATCCCATAATCTGACTGTGCGATCTTCCGACCCTGAGGCAAGCCATTCAAGGTTATGTGACAGAACAAACACGGTGATATAAGCAATATGACCTTCATATGAGTCAAGACAGTCCTGAATGTCCGTATCCCATATCTTAATACCTTCATGAATCGACGCTGATGCGAGCCATGCTGAATTGTGGGAGTACGCTAAAGATTTGACTCGGCTGTTGTCATGATCCTTTAGTGTATACAGGAATTCACCAGTCTTCGTGTCCCATATGGTAATCCCGTTGTTTGTAGATGACGCGAGACGCATGGAGTCATGAGAGAATGCAACTGACCCATAGTAATCGCCGTGGTCAGAAAGCATTTGGAGACTGTTGGCACGGTTCGCATCCCAGATCATGAGGACGTCATTACTCGTCATCCCGGCAACTAGTCTCCTGTCGTGCGAGAAAGTAATACCTCGAAACTTCTCGTCATAACCCTCGACCATTTGAAGACATTCACCCCTGTCTATATCCCAAATGTGAATTGTACCATCGACTTGTGCCGAAATCATTTGCGTTGAGTTGGGAAGGAAAGCGATTGCTTTGATGGGGTGCCCGGTTGTATCAAGTTTTTGAAGACACTCGCCAGTTCTTATATCCCAGATCATGATCTCACAGTAGTCATCTCGGAAACCATGTGATAAAGAGGCAAGTTTTGAGGAGTCGTAGCAGAAAATAACGGATTCCACTTCCTGAATGTGGCCCCTAAGTGTCTTCAGGCATCTACCAGTTGCCGTGTTCCAGATTTTAACTGTAGCGTCGTCCGATCCTGTTGCAAGTTGAGTCGAGATATGAGAGAAGACTACTGAATTGATCACATCAAGATGACCCTCAAGCGTTTTCAAGCATACGCCAGTGCTTACATCCCATAATTTGACTGTCCCATCAGGTGATGCTGATGCAAGTCGCGCGGAATCGTGAGAGAAAGCTACCGACAAGACATCGTGGTGGTAGTCGAGCGTGTGTAGGCAAGCGCTCCAGTTGCTACTCAGGCCTGGCCGGATGACTATATCGTTTGGTGCCTCGTGTGCAAATAGACGTTTGGTCAAGCTGCCCGTGGGATTGAATATAAGTGCGGACATGTATGCTTGGAGTGGTGCAATCTCTATTGATTCTTTGTGATACATAATGAATCGATACGCATCTTGAACAAGTTGGTGTATTGGAGAAGCCTTGTCATTTTCCTAGGCTCAGTCAACTCATGCTTCTAATCAGAAATAACCTCGGCGGAAGTATTACTACCTTGCATACCACCTCCAGTCTCTTCATTGATGCAACTCCCGTCCGCACAGCTCGGCAAAGACTCAATGCCTCCAGCCAGTAGATATAATTCTGTTCTATGAAACCAGTAATACTATCACTGATTGTTGGGTCGAATGGTTCTTCTACACTGGAGGGAGGCATTGAGTCGCAGAGATGGTCGATCCAGTAGACGCATGAGTAGTGCGAAGAATCTAGTGGGTTTGGATCCGGTGGCTTGATCTGATCAATCAAATATCCAGGCCTATGCAGATTGTACATGTCTCGACAAAGGGTGTTGGACATTACTGCAAGCGACCGAAAGAAAACTATACGATGCGCTTCATGTGGTCTATAATGGAAGATGTCGTCTGATGCTTTGCTCAGCAAGAAGTCTTTCGCTGATTGATGTACGAAGTAGACAGTACTGTCCCGTAGAGTGAGAAACGAGCCGCAGTGATTGATAATGTCTTGTATCGCCTCACGATCATCTGAAATTTCCTCAAGCTCTTCTACAAGCGCCACCAATTCCATAAGGGTTACAGGTTGATACACCGTAGTGGACAATGCCAGGATCTTCTGGCAAATATCAGCATCGTCTGAGTCGAGAATCTGCTGCATCATGCGCTGATATAATGATTCAAGGCCAGGTGGAAAGGCAGTGAGCTTTTTCATGACATTGCGCTTCGCAACTTTATCAAGGCTCTGACACACTAGCGCTACCCACAAGAATGTGCCGTTTGCATTGGAAGATAGGTAGTTGGTCACCGCTTCTATCGTCTTGACGTCGTAGTTTTTGATTTCTGAAAGCTGGAGCACCTGCCTTTTGACATAGAAGTCAACTGCGGCAGAAACAGACTCCTCGTTCAGCTCAAGGCTTAATTTTGTTCCCTGACTAGCCTTCGCTAGCCGTTCTTCTATGTTGGGCCAGTTGCGACTAGAGACGATCCACTTCACGCGGGAAGATGCAGATGATTGTTGGGCGATAAAGTCAAGCAGCTCGTCCTGATTTACCTCACACTCGTCCAATGCATCGACGAGCAGGTAGGTTGTCTCTAGATTTGGATCAAGCAGCACGCTTGTGAAAATCTCGCGCAGAGCGACCCATGCATTGGTGTCCTCAAACAGAGCTCTTCCCGCAACGTTGTACTTCTTTTGAATATGTGATATAAGCGATGGCTGCTGGCTGACAAGCATATATAGCAAGCCTCGTAGCACAGCTGTGGCGCTGTTGATTCGGGACTCCGTAGACTGACAGAAGAAGTAGCATACATGCGATGATATCCTTTCCATCGACGCATTTAGCTCGTTGATAATCCCGCAAAGCAGCATGGTCTTGCCCTTTCCAGGATCGCCGTTGATGCACAACAGTCGGCTTTGGGAGATGTCTTTCCATTGCTGGAATATAGGTGTTTCCAGAATCCAGCGATACGACTCTACTAGTAAACCGCCCTTTGTGTCTTCGATGCGAATCTTGTCATTGTGAGGATCAGTCGAGCGCAGGTCTTGAAGACACGCATTCAGCTTGGATATCTCTTCTTGGAGTCGCTTAAATGCACTCGCATAACCTTCTCCAATGCAAAGCGGCATTTGAATGTCAAAAATGCCGAGCAATGCGTACACTTTGTCTTCTTTGACTGTCGTCTCACGATGCTGTATCCACAGAAATCGTTCATTGTCGGTGAACTGATACAGAGGTGCGCCTTGGAGAGCGGTATTTGGGATTCCGGTAGCTTCGTGGATTTGATGTACTAGTGAGAGTTTGTCGCCGATTTCCTTCCACTCTTGGGAAAAGAAGATAATTGAGCTTGGGGCCAGAAGCTCTTGGAGCGTCCAGCCCCGCTGGAACCATCTGCTCTGTCGAAATGTGGATTCCCACGTATACTCCGCGTCTCGGTCGCCAGATTTCCGCTTTCTCATTGTCACATCTTGTAGATAGACGTAGCATTTTTCCGCCTTCTTGTACCAACGGAACATTGAGTTGATAGCCTTCTGGAGCTCAGCTGGGTTTGACTTATTAATACAGCAGGTGTCTACCCAACAATAATGTAGGTTTTCACGCCGAGCCTGCTGTGCACACAGCCGAATCTTATTGTAGCCAGTCTTACTGGTGCCTGTACCAGCCATCAAATCCTGGTATGTGACTTCTTGATCAGGTTCCCACGTATGAGATAAAATCGCATAGGGCGGGATAGTCTTGTCGCTAGCAAAAGCTTCGAGACTGAAGTCGCCGTCGTCGTCACATCGTAGAAGACGTATAAGTTCCGACATATCGACGAGGAGAAATGCAGCGGGCGGGGATGGGCAGTAGAGAAGCTGATGCGCAGCAGCCTAGCTAAGCAGAAGAGAGCGGCGGGTACACGGTGTGCTCAGTGAGGTCTGGTCGTTCAGTCAGTGAGCAGAGAGCACTCACAGTGCCTTAGATGGTATCGAAAGACCGCAAATGGACGTCGTGATGACAGTGGTAGTGCATAGAGAGCGATGAGGGTGAACGATCATTGCCGGTCGTCCTCGCGCATCATTTAAGGTGGGGTGGGGTCATGACAAGGCTGAGCATACAGTCGCAAAAGGCGGATGCGAGCAGCGTGCATGAACACGAGAAGGCAGCCGAGCGACACAGGCCCTAATTTTGCGAGGGCCAAGCTTTCATATTCATAATGAACACATCAACTTTGGGAGCTTGACTGAGAGACAGATTGAAATGGTAATCAAACCGACGCAGCAGCTCAAGCGATGAGGAGCGCAATAAGTGTGACAGTAATGGGTTATCACGTGACTGAGTGTCCGATACGAGCACGGCTGTCTTAGCCTGAATAGGCTTAGCACTCGCTGCCGCCCAGACTAGAGGCCGCCTAACTACATGCGGGTTCACCGCTTTTTGAGGCATTGATCCGTGACTTCTTCGTCATCAGGTTGGCCCGCCCTTTTGAAACACCAATCTTGGGAACATCTTTTACTACAGTGCTCTCACTCAACACGTAAAAATTCATAACCACATGCGCGTCCAGGATCAGGGTCAAATCACATCAACATCGCTTTCTTAGAACGAAGCATCGAGACTTTCCGTATCAGATGGCTCGCAAAAAGCGTCGACAACGAAGGCGTAAACCCACAGTTCAATCATCATCTAAAAAGTCATTACACGGTAATGACAAACGACCGTACTTTCTCAATCTTCCGCGAGAACTTAGGGACGAGATATACAAGCATGTCATCATAGACGATGACCCAGTCCCATACGAGCATGTCATCATAGGAGATGGCCCAGTCACAAACAAGCAGAGCGACTAACTGCCTGGCCTCATCAGCGTCCCTTACAAGTAGAACGACGTCCTCACAAAGTCCGGCCTCATCAGCGTCAACAGACAGATCAGCAACGAGTTCATCGACACCATCCACTTATACGTTCCCGACCTCACAACTACCGTGCTCGATGACCGCTTCAGCCACGTAATCACCTTTTTAAGCCGGCTTTCCGACGCACACCTCGCACGGTTACAAAACCGCGAGATTAGAATCACCCTTACGTACACAGCCTGGAGGTATAAAAAGCGGCATCTTTTTCTCTGGCTCGACCGCTTCAATGATCCGAATCGCCGTGAAGCGGAGATCGATTCTCAGGATCAGTGTACGCCAGACAATATTCGCAACTTTCGCAATGCAGCTTTAGCGCAAGGATGGGATTCGGATTTCAGACGCGTAAGAGGTCCGCGAAGCATCACGGAGAAGACCATGCGACAATGGAACGCAGAGTTAAGGGAGTATACGCTGTGGTGATGATTCCAGAAAAACTGTAACGACTGTATATAAACAAGAATAATACGTCTGCAATCCCCATCCCCTCCCAAAAATGGATTAGAAAAATACTCGAGTCCCATCATATCCAAACTAATCAGCGCGAATGAACCTCGCCAACCGCGAACTCTTGCTCGACGGGACGCCATCAATGGCGCTCTTGGGGGCATCCTTGATCGGAACCTGCTTACCGCAATCGGTGATGCCAATAGACCACCCGACTGAAACGTAGTCTCCGCTGTTCTGGTATTTGAAAGTGTCGCCGTTTTCTAGTTTTGCGGTGATGGTGGCGGTGTAGGGGGACTCGTATTGGCCTCGCTGGGTGTTTTGGACGCCTGGGATATTACGATCAGTATTGCGACAGCAAGATGAAGGAGGAGACGATCTGCGGAGGGGGAAGGAACGGGGGAAGAGAAAGGGAGAAGGCCTACAGCGAACTGCTTTCTGGGGAGCAACTTCAACGCTGACTTCGCGGTTCACCCCGCTTTCTTTGGAGGTAGTTTTGGATTCGGCTTTGGTCTCTGATTTGCTGTGTTCGAAGCCCGAGGTGAACTGGGTCTCTACGCCGCCGCCCTGTGCGATTGTTAGACTTTGCGTTCTTCTCCTGACGTCCATGTATGTGGTAATGTGGGATCGGATTGTAGACATACGAAGATAGGGAGTTCAGCAGAAACGCCGATCGAGACTAAAAAGTTAGTAAGATTGAGGACCATTATCGGAGTTTAATAGAGTGCTTACCTGACATGGAGAACCCGAAGGTGCGGGTGTTTTCTCTGCTCTGTGGGGTAGATGAGTACAGCTTACTAGACGCTGGGGGCGCAGCGCGACACTCACGATTGTCTTAGATTCCGACTCCGAGAGCGACTGGCTGACTTTGTACTCTCTCTTGGATCCGCCTTTGGTATCAGAGTTCTTGAACCATGTGTCGTCGTTGGCAATGACTTGTGGTCCCTGCTTGGTGTCTTTCGCCCATTTGCCGAAATCTTGTCCGGTCAACTTGATCTCGGTCATCTCCATGGACTTGATCTTGGACTTGAGGAAGTAGAAGGTAAGGGATGAAATGTGCGAGCCAGCAGCACCCTAGGACCACGTTAGCCTGCAAAAGGGAAAGGCTATAATTGGGATTCAGTGGGGTGGCTTACTTGAACAGCGAAAAGCCTGCCACTTCCGACATCCACTTTGATAGAGTCTTTGGCGATTTTCGAGCCTCCAGCTTTGAAGACATCTTTCTCGCCGGGCTGGCTGATTTCGATCTTGCCAACGGCATCCATCTTGTCGCCATCGTCGGGACGGTTGTTCCAGAGCTCCAAGCCAATCGACTCATCCTCACCCCAGGTTGTCTCGGCTTCCTGGTCGTCGCCGCTCTCAGAGTTGTCACCTAGCACTTTGCCCCAGTCGTCGCCAGCATAGCGGAACTGGACGGCTTTGAGCTGGAACTTAAGCCACCAGACGCGGATGCCAGTGATGACGTCGCCTTTCTCCCAGCGGGATTCACAGAATTTGTCGCTGTCGCGATTCTGGCTGAGTGGCTTACCGGCGCTGCCACTGACAAAAGGTCCTTCGCAAGGTTAGTACAGTATCAATTGACAATGACAATGAGAGAGATCGAAGACATACCTTTGCCGCAGTTTTCAACACTGGCAGCAAGTCCGGACAAAGGCAGAAGAGCCGCTGTGGCGAGCGTAAAGAAGCGCATGTTTAACGAGTGGAGTAGCAAGAACGTAGTATTCGTATAGCTAAAAGAGTGGTCACAGAATGAACTGCAAAGAAGAAGATTGAATGAATGGAAGTGATAGTGAACAAAAGGTACAAGAACACGGCGCACGCTGTGAATATATACACAATACGATGCCACTTAGCCGCCGTTGTTTCGGTAGGCGCAGTCATTAGATCCTCCGATGCATATCGAGCCTGTTCACTGCTTCTACCGCTACTACTACTACGTTTGCAAGGCTGTCGCTGCATTTACGAGGCTGCTTCCCTTCGCGGACATGTAGATTTCCCCATATTTAGACTCGGGCATGTAGACGGCTCGAGTCAGGCTTCGGCCACGGAAGAGAATGTACATGGTATACACCTGTTCAGGTTTACGACGTATGTCCCAATCAGGTAAATGTCGAACCTCCACCCACCACCAGAGAACTCATACGAGTGCGAGAAATAAAAAAGCAGGCAACGCCAAGCGCCTATTAATACACCCGCTTGTCGCTGTCCGCTCCTGTACTTATTTCTCCGCTTACGGATGCCAAGATCCTTCCCGAGCGGAATAGGAACAGGGATAGACGTGTAGATTCATCCGCATCCTCTCGTTTGCTCGGTCGGCGATGGTTTTCGAACTGGCCCCCACTGGATCTTCTGCATCGGATGCCGTTGCTGCCGTGTGGTGTGACCTCCGCGGTTATTAGAGTTTGGGTTTGGCGATGCACCGCCGATGGACAGTGCAGGATATGAAGAGCCTCATTAAGACATTGTGGATATGTTTCAATGATGAGACCTCGGCCATACAATTCCACGCAGCCCTGTTGTTGGGTCCGCTTTGCTCACACGTACGCGATGTACATGATATCCAGAAAACATATCTCACGAAGATCAGTTCGGAGATGATCATGGAGCATGTGCCCTACCTACATACATGAAGCTTGTAGGCGTCTTTTTTTGTGCAGTTATGCAGCAAGTGTTCGTGCCTCATTCAAATGCGATGATTATAATTCCCGGCAGATATGACATGAAGAACAGTGCTATTCTAGACAGAAAAGTGAAACACAGCCCACAGCGTAATCTCGCTACCCATACATACACTTAGACATGAAGAGGTAGTTTGCAAAACAAGTTTCGAGTTGTCTAGCCGCCGCAATGATGGCGCAGCGCTGCCCCATCCGCACCGATCTTCGTATCCAACCGCCGATCAATGGCATTCGGCACATAGACGGTCAGCACTATGTATCCCCGGACCCCAGATGTGTCCCGAAGGCCGACTTTTAGGCATGCAAAAATAACACATTCGGTAAGTACATGCGCATTTGTAGAGGTAGCGCTGGTAGATTCCGAGTTTGTTGTATGTACTAGTTTTTTCTAGACCTGATAATCAGATCGTCGTGACATTGATGGTCGGCTCACGTGGACGGAAGCTAGTCTCGGATGGGTAACGCTCCAGAAACCTCGCTTGAAGAGTTCACACTCTATTTCTTTCGTCTTTCCTCCTCCTCATTTTCTACACCATCTTTTCATCTCTTCACTTTCCACACCGTCTTTTTGTCTTTTCACTTCCCTTCAAGTCTGTCATTCTCCTCACTTAATTCTTCAGCTTTTAGAACTATTCAGTTTTTTCCCCTCAAGCAATAACGTTGCCCCCTTTTTTTCTCAGCTTTCAGATTCTTCCTTCGCTTTGCCTTCCACTCCACACCCCACCAGTGTTGTCCTTCGAATACCTGTACGATCAAATCCGAACACCTTCTTCTCTGCAATGCTGCATCGATGCCGCCGGACGCCCCCAATCCTCGTACATTGCCGCTGAGCATCCCCGATCCTCTTATGATCCCCTGGTCGATCGGCGGCCGCATACACTGCACCAGGCATTGCACGTTGCGAGCTGGTTGCACACATACAGAGGGGTAACTTCGTGTGGGTGAGATGAGGGTACAGTCATCTACTTTACAAATTTATCTCCGTGTATCGGGGTGCGTGATAGCAGGCAAGTATCACGCACCCCGATACACGGAGATAAATTTGTGAACTAGGTGAGGGTGCGATTCACCAATATCTCGCGTCCACCGTTGCATGGCGGGGGCACAGGGTTCCATGTCTTTTCACGTGAACTGAAGAGCTGATGAGAATCTACCGGAGCGTGGATGAGTAATGGTACAGCTTACCTTCCGCCATGCGACATCTTATTGCTTCCACTCCTTGTATACATAGGCTTCGGAAGCAGATATGTAAAATTATTGCGTAGAATTGCGATCTCACTCTCATCCCCCTCACACCAATTTACCACTCCAGACCAGTATCGAGTCGGCCCACACAATTAAGTCTTTCGGGGGGCCTGCGGATTGAACACATACATGGGCAATGATGCTGAATTTCTCCCCCTGCTTCCCTTCATATCGTCGTTTACTTTTTCTCTTTGGAGTACATGGTCTAAAAAGGAAAGCAGAGGGGGATCTCGCATTGTTGTCCAGACTTACATTGGCTTCACGCTCTGTGATACAACCTCCCAACTCTCAAGAGTGCATTGGAGGGTGGAAACCCTCTTGGAGCGGGCCAAGAGGGGCTATCAGTGCAAGCTTAGGCTCATTCGTGATTGTCAGGGTCCGGCATGAAGGTGTTGAAATGGTATATTAGTAGCTTCATGGCTAGCTCAATCAAACATGATCGTTTCTTATTGAATCGCGCGTCCCGCAATCGCGCTCACTGCACTCATTCGTGTTCCACCATGACAGTGAAGTTGAAGTTCTCCACCCACTCCGCATTTAGCCGTCTCTAAATGATGATTCGTCGTCATAGCCACAGAACTTGTGTTCTACCCGGAGCGCAGTTTTATCGTGATTTTACAGTACCAACTGTCCGTGCCGCACAGAATCGCAATGATTTAATCCTGTGATTAGCGTTGTCGGCCGGTGTCCAAGTCCAAGTTCGACCCCAGCTCCAAACTTCCTAATCCAGTAACTCAACGATTCACCCATTGATTGCGGTGGCAACCACCACATTTCAACCCCATTGCACACCTATCTCACACGATCAGTAGAGGTCACCCGCGTTGAATGCAGAGGTGAATTTGGGATGTCAAAATTTCTTCAAACTTCCTAATGCGGTAAGTATGAGGTCAATCTGTTGATCGCGGTGGTGGAAGTGAGATTTCGACCTCATTACTCACCTATCTCAGACGAAAGATACGGGTCATACGCGTTGAATGAAGAAGCAAATATGAGGTGTAAAAATTTGTCCAAACTTCCTAATGCGGTAAGTATGAGGTCAAACTGTTGATCGCGGAAGTGAAAATCAGATTTCAACTTCATTACTCACCTATCTCATATGAAAAGTACAGGTCATACACGTTAAATGCAGAGATGAATTTGGGATGTCAAAATTTCTCCAAACTGCCTAATTCGGTAAGTGCGGGGCATACCTGTTGATTGCTGTAGTGAAAGCGAGAATCCTCTTTCCTCAAACTGCCGTATATGGCAAGTGTCTGGCTTACCCGTTGATTGCAGTGGTCAATGGGCACATTCCGGGCGGCATTCACGTAGTAAGTGCAGGGCCCATTAGTGAAATGCAGTGGTAAGGAGCCAAGATTTAAACTGCCTTTTATGGTAAGTGTGAGGCTAACCTGTTGATTGCAGTGGTGAAATGCGCATTTCAGACTGCCCTTATGTAGTAAGCGCAAGGCTCAGCAAAGATTGAAACTGCCTGATGTAGTAAGTATTGTACTCATCCATTGATTGCCTTGCACTACACAATCCGAGAAAGCAGAGTCAGATCCAAACTGCCTGATATGGCAAGTCCAGTGCAATTCCATTGATAGCAGATAAAAAAGTCTGATTTCGGCTTTCACTACTGCGATCGACACCATTCTTACTTACTGTTTTTGGCAGTTTGAGCAGACCCACAAGCCAAGCCCGCTAGCAAGGGGCTGACGGATGTTGCTACAGCAACCAGACGATCATCGCCGATCATCTGCGCACAGATCACATCTGGCAAAAATGAGTTTTGTTACCAAACTGCCTAATGTAGTAAGTGAACGAGCAAGTATCGATTGCAGTGGTGAAAGTGAAAGTCGCCGAAAAATCCAAACTGCCTGATGTAGTAAGTACTTTGTGAATCTGTTGATTGCGGCGGCGAAAAGCGTTCTCAACTGCCCTTGGTGAAGTCAGCGCCGAAATTGTCTGTTGGTCGTTGTGGGGACATCTGAGAATCCCTACGAGTGGGACTGAAGTCAAGCTGCCTTATCCAGTAAGTCCGAATTAGGTGTTGATTCCAGCGGTGACTTTTAATCCTGGAGCTAGATCAAAATGCCTCATTCAGTAAGTCTTAGTTTGGTGTTGACTGCAGTGGTGAATTTCGATTCTGAAGCTGGGTTCAACCTGCCTGATGTGGAAAGTGCGATCTCGAACTGTTGATTACGGTGGTGAAAACGAAAAGTTCAAACCTCCTGATGAGTGGAGACATCATTTGTTGTTTGTTGTGGTGACTTCAGAGACTGAGCAGTCAAAACAAACTGCTTCATGTAGTAAGTACAGTGTATATCCAAGAGATCCCTACTCGCGATATCAGCATGTAGGTGCACGATCAAACTGCCTATCTCAGTAAGCGACGGGTTTGGTGTTGATTGCAGTGGCGAAATCAGAATCTGATGCAGATACAACCTGCCTGATATAGTAAATGCGAGGCTTATCCATTGATTGCCGTCATGATCACGAAGTCGAATCTCAAGCTGCCTAATACAGTAAATTGATGGTGAACTGTTGATTGCGGTAGTGAAAATGAGGATACTATATCATCACTGCCCAATACAGTGAGTAGCTGCTGTGGTAACAGTCCAAGAGCTCAAGCTACCTGATGTAGTAACTGCGAGGACATCCGTTGATTGCAGTAATGAAATCAGAATTCAAGGAGTCCATGATGAACTTGCCTAATGTAGCAAGTGTGGTGATCCTCCGTTGATCGATGTAGTGAAAACGAGAATCAATAGATCCAGTCATTCTAAGCTCTAGAGCAAGTTCCACATCACCACAACGGAGAAAAACAAAAGGCAATGCCAGATCCATCTCTAAATCAGATTCTGAATGGTTCCCACAACCACGGCGTTGCGGGACTCGCGAGAAAAGCTGCGGTACAGGTCCGCTCGCTGGCACATATCGCGACGTAGATCGGCAATATCAAACATTAATTGATCCTTTTTCTCGCTGGTAGCGTTTCTTTTGTTGTTTGGAAAAGTCGCGGCCCGCTCCAACAGTAGCTTAAGGAAGCATATGAGGCATCGAGCTGTTCAGTGGCGAGTTTAAGCATCCCATTAGCCATGAGTTCCTTCACGCGCGTAGGGATTGGAACAAGCCTATCGTCAGGACAATCTGACTGCTAGTTGCTGCATTCATGAAGTATAGATTCGACCTACAATACACTCTCTTTCGAGCCCGGAATCCCGGATTCACGTTGATAGAAGCTGCTCATACATGGTTGAAGAAGCAGTCTTCCCCTGGATGGCGGTCAGTACTATGTGGTCTCTTCTCTCAGTAACTTATGACTGAACCGATACCGCAGAATCTCCTATCGTAATGCTGAAATCCTCTTTCGAGCTGAGGGACAGTAGTTCTACAACCAATCCAACTGTAGTTCTGGGTGAAGCTGTGTACGTTCCCGTTAGTTGTGTGTGTTTTTAGACGCGTCCATTGATATTCGTTCACTACTAAGCACGGTAGTCAATCATCGCATTTCTATGCGGCACAAATTCGTTCACTACAAGCTTTTGTGCAGCAACCTAGTGCGTTTTCGACTGTACTGTGAGAAGTACAGAAAAATGGGTCTCTGCCCATCAATCTCCGACTAATGAGCGTACAAGATTGGCAGCCGTTTATTGCCGCTTCCAAAAAGACTTCCTGAAATACATCCCGCGTAGAGGTACACATGAATCGGGGTTGGTATCCACGTTTTGAAACAAGAGGTTTATGTGTCGGCTGACAGCTATACAACTTGCGCAGAAGGACTTTTCCAATTGCATAGCCTGTGATAGGATTCTCAATCTTCTTCCTCCAAAGTTTTGAATCTGTGAGCTACTGGTTTGAGCGCATTTGACGTAGTGACGTATACGACGTCCCAACGATCCAGCGGAGATGTAAATGTTGAGGTTGGGAACCATGGTACGCTCGTTGCCCTCTGATATAAAAAAAAAAGCTACAGCAGAGTTCTCACAAGGCTTTCCACTTCCATCAACCCTGTCCTACCTACCTGACCCTACCTACCTCGCTATGGCAGCTACTGGTTCTTTCCAGCTGATAATCATTTCTTCTACAGAATCTTTGTAGAGCGCATATCTCCTTAGAGCCAAGTCATTTGACGCTTCCTTGACTTCACATTTCATTCGTTCATTGCTCGTTGTCCCCCCTTTGGCTTCAGAGTCTTCAGGGTGTATGGAACTCATAGGAACGAAGTAAAAGATGCCAATCGTTCAATTGGAAAAAGCAAGGTGAGCTCGCGACACAAAAGAATGTCCGAAACTTACTGTATGTGTCTTGCGATGAATACAGAGCGAGGGATGCGATACTGTGTCTTCACATGCATGGTCCGAGGTGGCGAAGCTAGCTACATTGCCTCAATATAAGTACATGATCACAGCCACACCCACCACTATGTAAATTATGAATGCAATTCCCAAAATCACCGTGATCTACCCTTTCACCGGTATATGCAGCTCGGAAGTTAGTTATCAGTCCCGAACAGCAGCTTACTCGCATATTCATTTCTTCTAAGTAACCTGTTTTCTTGAACTGTCGCATCCCGACGTGTCACAGTTGTAGGTGACATAGCGCCCTTAAAGACGCATAGCTTCACTCCACTTTACTGCAGAGCACTAGCGGTATCCTTCGTCAACAGCTGGTAGATCTGTGTGTGTTTGCTTCATCGCTGTCCTATGTGCTATATTGGAAACATTGGAGTTAGCATCCTACTTTCGCTAGAACAACCCTCGAATACAGAGAACAATGATTTGACTCAAATCATGTGTCACGGAAAGGCCAAAGCTCACAATGAGTGGTAGAGAGTCGAGTGCCAGAGCATAGGGCGTCATTTGAGTCTACAGAAGTTCTTGGACCCCACCTCCGTCTTTCGCAAGTGATTCGTCCCGCAGGCCAAGGGGGTGGCGCAGGTAGATGTCCGCATGTTTCAGAATACGATTACGATATGAAAGCATGATTAGAACGTATAATCTTGACGCATGCAGTGAGAGGTTCTGTACAAACTATACTTATATATTTAATCTACATGCAGTTTGTCTGAGATTTATTGCTATGAAAACGTTATCGAATCGCTGCAGCGACGACATGTTCGAACAATAAGCTTGCGTCTCACTCGATGATAACGGTGAGCACTGAGGATCTACCCCGCTGTGACTGAGTATCGATCCGCATGGGGCAGTTGCGCAAATTGCATATTGGCCCCAGATCTCAACGGTCGGTAGCCGAGCAGCTCACTGATTGGGGGAATCAACCAAAGTGTAATTATTGCCTGGAGTTGAATGTCCGGCTCACTATGCCGTTTACATTCTTTATAGCCTTATCTGTTGCCTTGTTCTCGTAAATCTTTCTAGGTAGATAATAGGACAATGCCAAAGGCCAGCCTAGCCACTGGACTACTCATCACTTCCCCCCAAATCCGACAACAAACTTTCGCAAGCACTCTTATGCGCAAATACTGGAAGGCTAAGAGTACCAGGACGGGAACAAGATGAACACCTTCGACTCTCATTCGTGGTACATAATCTTCAACAAGGAAAATCGCCCGGGCCAAACCTTGCGCGTAGTCGATGGGAATGGTGCTGTCGGAATGGGCACGTTCTTGACCGATGGAACAGAAAACTGGCAGATATACTACCAACAACAAAGATGGTATATTCGAACATTAGCGAAGGAGCTAGGACAACAGACTTGGGTGGAGTACCAACTGGGTCTCACAAAGGAGTCAAGTACGGTGCCAAAAATGTTGAAGAGGGACGGCTCGCTGGGCCAACAGTGGACTTTCACCGAAGTAGACGACGGGAACGGAGGGTTGCTGTATAAGATCAGCAACGGCCTGTCGGGAAATAAGACGTGTCTCAGCTTACCAGCCTCGAATGGAACGCCGGGAATGCAGACTAGCAGTGGAGGTGCTCTGTGGGATTTACAAGTCAACCCAGGAGCGGGAACGCCAGAACACGAGAATTTCTATCGGGATGTAGTTGACCTTGAAGTGCCATCTACTCCATCCGCAACACCACCTCCAACAACTTCCTCGTCTACGACTTTCTCAACTTCCCAAACTTCCTCAACCTCCTCAACTTCAACATCCTCGTCCACAACAGAAACGCCCCCAAGAACATCAGCCGCGAACATCAGTTCTGTAACAATCTCTCCAGGCGGGATGGCGGGTATCGCAATTGGTATTGTTTCGTTTGTGCTCGTAGCAGCGCTTGGCGTATATTTCTACCTATCTCGACGGAAAAGCAAAAAAGCTGCCGCCCATAACACGAAAGCCACGACTGAGCTGGATGGAAGTTCGCAAACGGTAGATCCGCATGTGTTCAAGCCAGTGGAGATTGGAAGCGCTCCAATGATACATATTGCGCAGGAACGACAGTATCAGGAATTGAGATATGAGATGTGAGAACGTTCTCAAGTACAGCATATTCATCCCTATCTTTACAACTAGATATGTCTTCGAGGAACAGAAAGAGATGGAGTAATAAGGTAATACAGATTAAGAAATTATACATGTAACTTGTAGATGGCATTATGCATTCGTAAGGCCATACTTATTCCTTAATTAGTGATCAACACTAGCATTATTGTCTCTCGATATAGGAATTGTAGATACCTAGGCATATTTCTCGCTCTGAATCCTTTGCCTGTTATCAGGCAGCTGTCACAGGTCATAAAATCAATTGATGCTTATTGTTAGGTTGTTGGGATAGTTAAGATATTGCATCACAGCTTACTAAGTGTGTTCTGAGTGGTATTCATCTAAATCACTCCAGCCATCAAACGAAACCGCTTTTCTACATGACGGTGTTTTCTTGGTATTTTACACTAGCGCTCGATACTTGAAAAAACAACAGTATCTTTACATTACTGCATGCATAGTCAGCGAGATAGCGGTTTTGTTGCAACGCACTCGGTGAACAAGGTGATAGATGAAAATTGTTGAAATATGTCAGTCACTTTGCATTTCATTCAAGATCTATCAAGAACGCAGCGGATCCTCTACCGCGCTTAGCCTCGCGTGGTCTGCTGTCCTTGATTTGATGGCAGACCATAAGTATCGTTTCATTTGGCAACAGCTGCAGTGTGGCGATCCCCGGATATAATCCGCATAGCTCTTGAACTGTCGCCGTCTTGAGACTCCTTGACTGAACATCTCACCCTCCTCAGTCCTTGCTCTTTGCGCACATAGGTCTCCATATCTTTGTCGTGAACATGGTGAAGAAGCGGGGCATCGAAGACGTGCGCAACATCGAGAGGATTGAACGACCGGAGTACCACTATCTCGCTTCTCGCCTTCCAGTAGAGCGGTGCCATAGCCACGACCGCAAGAAGACTGCAAGCAACAGCACACGCGAGGAAAGGAATGCTCACGGTATATGCAACCACACGTCTCTGGCCGATAAGTTCAACATTCTGCGTCCAATTGGCCGCTCGCGACAGGCCGTCCTGGGCGAGTTCGACGTTGCCAAAAAGAATAGCAGGGTCGGTAACAGTAGCTGCGACCGCGGCAGCGCGGAATGCCATTTCGCGAAGCCTGTTGAGAACGAACTGCGTGGGATCGCCAAAAGTAGTGCTGCAGCTGACGTTGTTGATGTCCCCGTGGATAAACCGCTTAGCAAGTAAGTAACGCCTGTTGGCGCCACCAGACGGCCCGCCTTCTTTGCCCTCTGTATACATGTCTATCTCTTCATTGAACTCAGCCATGAGCCACGAGACCCAGTGAACGGTCGGACCCCAGGGTTCTGAGAGGTCCTGGACTGGAGCATAGGTGGTGGGGAAGTTCCATGTTGGGCTGAAGAATCTGGTCAGTCGGAGAACTTCTACATATAGATGAAAACTAATACATACGTTTGGAAAAGCACGTTGTCGTCCTGCCAGTTATCACTTCTTAGGCTTAGAGTTCCATTGCTGAGAACGACATCATACTCCACTACGGCGTGATGCAGCGAGCACGTGTGAACGGAGAGGGCTCCACCGCAGATGGGCTCGGACTTGAAGAGACTGGTTGTTTGGAACCAGCCTTGCTGTTCCGCAGTAATCTGAGCCTCGCGAGCTGCATCGTCCAGGGAGCTGTCGAACGTGTATTTTTGTATTCCGCCGGGGAGAACAGCCGAGCTGTTGAATATCGGTACCGCGCTCCCAATGGAGATGTCGGAAGCTTGGTACATCTGTCTGAGCGCGCTATCGGATGAGTTGTCCCATGGAACACTGGACACGTCTAAACATTTTATCTCGAAACCGTAGCCCTGGAAAGTATCAGCCCGGGGCAATCGTGAGGTCGTTATCATACCATGGCACGTACCTTAACTTTGCCTTCACACTTATCACCACATTCTTTTTCATTGCTGGGTACGTTAAGTATAGGTGTTCGTTCCACATAAGCATTGTACGCCCCATCAAAAAGCAACGGATTCCCAACTAAATTCTGGAACAAGAAATTCGGCGGGATAAGCTGCGCGATCTTGAGCTCCTGCCGTCCAACCGTTTCCCGCAAAGCATTGCCATCGACCGTTGAAGCGCGCTGAAACAGCGGGCCACGCAATGCCGACACAAGACACAGCACCGAAACGACAGCCAGGCCATTCCCGCGAAGACGAAAGAGGTTATTAAGCGCTCCGAGAATAGAGTGCGATTCGTACAAGTCGTACATATCTCTTAGTGTAGTCCCGCGGGCTGCTGTGCGCCAGTACGTCACTTCAGCGGCTTTGGTGAGGGCAAACATGGTCAGTCCGTCCATGGTGGTTGATAGAACCGAGAGCCAGACCTGGGGTTGGATATGCACATTTTGAACCTTCCATCGCTCGATTGGTGAGTCGCGGCTCGCGAGCAGCACGCCTACTGCGGCGCCCGTGAGAAGAATGACAGCAAATAACGCCGCCGGACCTTGTAGCGGAAGCGACGTTGCTTGGAACGTTGGGCGTTGTGGAATATTCCTGTCGTCTTTGACTCCATTCGGTGTCTTTCTATGGGGTAGAGATCGCATTTCAACGTATGTACTGCTGCTGGATGCCTGGACCGGGTCGTGTTCGCAGACTCGTGTATACGGGGACTCAATAGGTGGAGTTTTCATAGCTGATCGAATCTTACTTTCGAGTCTCAGCACCCTAGCACCCTATTTGAGATACTTTGCTATCGCCAAAGATTGAGGTATTGGGGAAAGTTTTGTGTGTTGTGGGTGAGGCGCAGGCGGCACGGTCAGCTGTTGGCCGCCTAATACGCAAGGGACTGGGTCCCGGGAAGCATTGTAGCGAGAAGTCTATTCAGGTAGTGATGCTGTTTCAGATCTAATTACTAAGTCTATGATTTAATCATCGCATTTCCATGCGGTACGAACACTTCGTATTGGAAAATCACACGATAAATCTGCCTTCGAGCTCCAGGTATAACATATCTATATACAAAGATGTACGTCTCAATTAATTCCAATTCTGCTCTCAAAGACATCATCTACATTTAGCGGGTACCTGGACTACATAGAAGCAGACTTGCCCGAGAATTGTGGCAGTGACTGCGCATTTGACGTAGAGACGTATACGACGTCCCAACGATCCAGTGGAGATGTACGGATTTGTAGTGTTGAGGTTATGAACCATGGTACGCTCGTCGCCCTCTGCTATAAGAGAGTACAGATTTGTAGTGTTAAGGTTAAGGAACAGAACCATAGTACGCTTATTGCCCTCTGCTATAAGAGCTGAAGCAGAGTTCTTACAAGGCTTTCTACATCCATCAACCCCTACCTGCCTCACGATGGCACCCACTCTCACACAAACGCCCCGCGACGAAGCCTTCAACATTAACGATTGTAGCAGTGTTCCTCTGCATGGTCAGAGGCAGTAGAGCAAATGATCAAACAACAGATGACGACGTCTGATGCGATTATATGATTAGACTGGTCGCATTACTATGGTAGAAGGTGTATATATGCCAATCATTTCTATTTTTTCAAAGACCTTAATACCCCTCATCGCCATTAGTGAGCCAATACCCCTTGCTCTCCTTACCCTTATCACCGTAGGTTGGCGCCCGCGGATACCGCTCATACGACTCATACGACCGGAGCTGCACGGTCGGTTCCTTGGTATCCAAACACCTCCACAGCAATCCGTGGCGCGGCCATAGCCAAGACTCATCGCCTTCATCGTCCGGAGGCTGCATTGGCTCCGTGAACGTACGCCATGCGTCCGACGGTAACTCGACTCTCATGGACCGTAGGCGTTTGGACGAGTGAAATGCATCGAGCATGGGCAGAGCCGGTCCTTGCAGAAACTCGCAGCCAGGATTGTGACGATCCCTGGTGCCGATGAACGAGAGGTTGAAGTCGCGCAAACGGTGGAAATGGGTGCTCAAGTTGTCGAGAATAGGCTGTAGATGATTCAGATTCAGCACGGAGGCGTCTAATTTCTCGTCCCAGTGGGCATAAACGACTATACCGAGACGAGTTATATTTGCAAGGTGAAAGGTTGGAACAAGCCGTGGGAAATCGAGAAGAAGCTTCTCGCTCTGTGTCGTGATAACATGCTGGGAATACAGAGACTCAATGCCTTCCGCATACGCCTGTCGACACGAGACCAAAAGTCCCATTATGCCTAATTTTTAACTCAGGGTCATCTGCTGGTCGGTTCTCGCACCACAAACAATCATCATTGCCCAATAACATAAGGGGATGAGACATTGGATGTTTATTGAAAAGACGCACGCCTTTTTGGTAGACGTAACCAGGCTTGCAGACGTAACCTCGCCAATTCCAGCTGTTGTGTTCACCCACGAGTTCCATGTGGAGAGCACGACCGCCAACAACTTCCTTGAAAATCATCAAGCGTATCTCCAAGGGGAGCCGAAAGAGGGGGGATTCGGCGGTAGCGGAAGAGTACGACTCTCGTGTGATGGGGCGGCGTGGGGAGGGTAGCACAGGTAGCACATCGTCGCTGGGACGCCCGTCGGGATACGGTTCTCTCGGGTAAACCAGATTGCGCAGAATCCTGGAGAGCCTTGTGGAGAGAGCTTTGAAGTACAGTTTGGAGAGTAAGAACTCCAATCTGGACAACGATGCGACGCGCGCTGCCTTGCGCTTTGAGGAGGATGTTTCGTCGAGCGTTGAGGATGGCATTTCGTCGAGTGTCGAGGAGGGCATTTCGTCGAGCGTTCAGGAGGGCATTTCGTCGAGCGTTCAGGAGGGCATTTCGTCGAGCGTTCAGGAGGGCATTTCGTCGAGCGTTCAGGAGAACATTTCGTCGAGCGTTCAGGAGGGCATCTCGTCGAGCGTTCAGGAGGCAATTGAGAGATTGACAAGTGGTTGGCGCGATTAAAGGGGACTGTGAGGAGGCAGGGACTTTAAGGGGTGACGGAGCTACACTGCCAAGAGGAGTTTAAACAAGGATTCGCCAAGATAGTCTTACCTCATCGCATCTTATGTAATACTGCTGCCAAAGCTGATACAGGGAGTGATAACATGCCGAGTTGTTGTGTTGCATCTATCGCAGAAGCTTAGCTATAAGCTATGGGAGTGTCTGATTCAGGAACATGGCTTTGTCGAAACTTGAGTTGTGCAACATCAGCCGCATCGCGCTGCAGTCACACCTTGTGTAACGCGTCATGTGATCGGATCGGAATAACTCGAGTCCCGGCTGACACGTCCGCATGTGGTTAGCTTCTTGTCGCCGGGAGTTCACTGTTTTGACCATCTACAATCTACTGCCGTGATTTGCACAAGTCGTTCACACAAAGGTATAAAGATTTTGCTTATTTGGCATCTATCTGCGCAGCGGGATGATTCCACATATCGGAGACGTCATAATCCGGAAGCGCATCGAAATCGCATTCCAGAACGCTCCTGGAAATAATCACAGCTTCCTTCTTGCCCTGCTCCTCTGAGATTCGAATTCCACCTTTGTTCTGCTCCCACGTGATGGCCTCGATCTTCGCACCACCACTGCTACCGCTGCTGCTACCATCGCTTGGCTTCACAGCAAGGATATAGAGCTCCTTGCCAGTTCCGCTTCGAGCAAGGTGGACAGAGAAGTTGCCGCTCGGGCTCTGATCTGTGACGGAGACGCGCCATTTGTCATCTTGGTCCTGAGGCTCGAAACCGGCTTTAAGCTTCTGGAGATCGGCATCGCTAATGATAAGATCCCACGGTGCCGTGGCAGGCTCCTGCATGTTGTGCATGGAAGCTGTAATGCGCTTGATTCTGTCCTGGACGTGAGTACCCCGGCATCTGATCAGAGTGCTGAGGTGAGCACTCACCTTTGACTGCTGCTGACGGAATTGATTTTGTTCGCAGACAATGCGCACCAGAATGAAGTCGTGTTTACTGCACGGAAACTATCGCTCGAGGTTGGCTCAAAACGAGCGGCACCCGTCTGTCTCCATATGAGAAGCCTGTCTAGGCGTGTGGTGGCGAAGCTTCTGCGTAAGTATTTTCGGCACCCATCGCCAAGCTGCTTGCAGGGGGGCGACTTGCATGTTACGCTTCGGCCCCCGCTCCCTCTTACTAGCATCGCTTTCTGTTCAGCTCCGCATTTCACTACCCCATCTCCAGTCTAAGTGCTGATTGGGGCCAGTCCGGCTGAAACATATGAGATTTTAGCGGGCAACCCAATCAGATCGTGATGCCCTTTGAAACCCTATCTGCGAGTCCGTCAGAAATAGTCTTATCTGCATGTGTAGTTTTCCCACGAGGCATGGATCGCAGCCTGACCGGGGCGCAGCGTATGCCTGCACATGATCTTGCATTCTTCTTGATCGCATGGTAACACACCGATCATGCATGGCCCGATGCGCAGCAAGCCACGAGATGGAAGAATAGTATATCGATCCCACAAACGACGAGCATATCCATGTGTAGTTCCCAGTTAGCCGCCGGTGCACACAAGGCTAATCCCTGGTATTGTATCTGATTGGTGGTTGTCGCAGATGCCGATGAAGATATGCCCCAGCTGTTGATGGAGACGATAATTTCTCCGACGCAGTAAAACCCGATAAGCGAATTGTTGGCATAGTCCCCGAATAGATTTGGCTTAGGTAGGCTATGCAGTGGTGCTGTTTTGATCTTATCTCGTATTGTTGGTAAGATGACTTCGAAACATCATGTCTAAGGCTGAGTGTAACTCGCTTCCAGTGACACCGTGGTGGACGACCTCATAGTTTTGATCCTATAATGGAGAATGAGCTTGAGTATAAAGAGCGTGCATTTCTCACGTTTAATCGTCAGTACAGCATCCTTCATTTCACCAGACAATCCTTCATTCATTACACTTGGGCTTCTCCAACAAACATACTTTCCTTACCACTCAACAAATCAACTGGCAAGCACTATTGCAAGATGCATCGCGCTACCTTTATTGTCTTTTTCAATCTTCTTACATCGCTCGGGAGCGTCGTTGGAGCGGATACTCTCTACCGCGGCGATTCACGCAGCGCAAAGACAATCTTCAACGACGGAGGCTTCAAGGCCAAGGGTTACGATAACCCAGAGGGCACCTTATTCGAGCACGTCGAAGGAACACTGAAACATCCCTCTCGAGACCCCTACATCTCCACATCAAACGACATCGAAGTCTCTAAAAAACACGCCGGAAACGGCCTCCTATTCTTCATCGACTCTTCCAAGATCACCGAAGAAATCTTCGACGTGGCAGCAGAGTACGAAAAAGCCGGCAAAAAGTACGGCCACGCCGACGAAAAGGAATTCGCAGTCAAGAAATTCATCCCCTGGAACGCCATCACCAAGATCCAGAAGAAGAAAGACGGGGAGTGGAAAACCATCAAGATGCCAACAGCAAGCTCGTCAGACGAACCAGAATTCGTACCGGATCCAACCACCCTCGTAGTCATGCCATCGCCTACCGCCGCACCGCCACTCCCGGCATTCCAAGCAGGGACCTGCTGTTTCCACCTCAACCAGTGGGACGACTGCAATAGCGAGAACGAAGATCTCACCTGCGAAGTGACTCTTCTCGACAACGCGAAGAACCAGATCGGGCACGTCGATCGGACGTCGTGCAACAATGATAACCCGCTCGGGATGACTAGCAAACTACCTTCTGTGCTGGTGGTAACTGGGGAGCACCAGAACAACTATATTCAGTTCAATTATGGCGCTCTGGCTTTCACTTCGAGTGACGAGGCGCGTTGCTCGGTCGGAGGGTGGGATCCTAGGGAAGACCTCTGTTTCATTGAGAATGTTCCAAGGAAGCGGCAGATGGATTGCTGCTTCCCCTGCTAGAGTGGAGGTTGGTATTGCTGGTATTGGCTACACCGAATTTCTACAACATTTGTGATCTCATCTACAATATAGAGGTCTTTCTATTTTCCAGCTCTCTTAGTTTTATTGCGAAAGGCTTAGTTCGAAATCCTCATAGATAAATTTAAATGCAATGAAGATATCGGAATCCCAGTCGTGATAACCGCGGAACATGTGTTCTTCTTGGAGCTGGAAGGTTTTTTAGTTGTGGTTCTATGACACCAAGTGTTCGTACCGTTTGGAAAATGAGACGATGATATGAGAGACCTAGAATATGCGATATTATATGGACTTTATGTGTATTAAGTGGGCAGTAGGAACAGTGATCACTAACAACGTCACACATCCTGGAAAGAAAGCCTCTTTTGGCGCCGAGAGGAAGAGCTCTTGCTATACCTATAGTGGATAGTGGGCTGTGGCGAAGCATACTCGCACACTCAAGACACCCCTGTCAAGCTAACATCGTTGGGAGGCAATTGAAGTTTCTTCATATTCTTCTATCCAATATACTCATGATGAATAGATGCAGAGCTCTATTTCTACGGTGCGGCAGACTGAATTGTCCTACTCTCGTTTAGTCGACTAAGTCCAGCGATGGAGGAGTCACCAATCACCATAACCATTGAGGGTTTTTTTCCTCCATATACCATACTTAGCGCAAATGGAGTTTGAGCTTTATGATGTGCTCAATTGTTCAAGAATGCACAGCCTTGCGAGCAGTGGAGCCGCAGAGTTTTGACTGTCAGATTTTGGACGACTGCGCCGCCCGTAGTACCGATCCAACCGTACGAGAAATATTATGACTCAACCTCGGCCCCCAGGCATCAACCTCCACAAAACCCATCGCGACTACAAATATCGACCAATTCTCGTATCAACAATAGCACATGTACAAACCAAGCTACAAAACCAGTTTCCACTTTAAATCTGCATATCGACCATCTTTCATCTCATCCGCAAACCCCTTCCGCTGCCGCACAACCACACCTTTCTACTCTCACAACAAACCCACTCCACCATCGTCCACAATGTCTCTCCACACTCTCCCCCCGGACTCTCTGTCCGGCCCAGCTCCACCAGAAATCACCAAAGCCCCAATAGACTGGACCACAACCCCTCTCCCAGAATACGCAACCGCCTACGCGACAGTCCTCGACAACGTCCTCACGCCATCAGAATGCACATCCCTCATCGGCGCCGCCGAAGCCTCCAACGCCAACGTCTGGGACCAAGCCCTCGTGCGCTCCGGCCAAAACACAATGCGCCTCGCCACCGACGTGCGCAACTCGTCCCGCATCCTCTGGGACTCGCACACCGTCGCCTCGCGCCTCTGGACCCGCGTCGCCCCGCACCTCATGGAAATCCACTCCCTTTCCAACCAGCCGAAAATCACTGGCCCGCGGCCCGTCCGCGACGGCGAGATCTGGGACGTCGTCGGGCTCAACGAGCGCTTGCGGTTTCTAAAGTACGGCGAAGGCGAGTATTTCAAACCGCATGAAGACGGCGCGTATGAGCGTCCTCGCGATCCGTCTTCTTCGGATTCGTATGGTGGTGGTGGCGGCGAACGCACAATGTTCACGCTGCATTTGTATCTGAATGAGGCGGATGCGGAGAATCCGCTTGTTGGGGGTGCAACGACGTTCCATCATATTGATCTCGACGGGGAAGACGCCGTGGGGAAGGAGGTACATGTTGTTCCGAAAATTGGGAGGGTGTTGGTGTTCCAGCATAAAGGGTTGTTGCATTCGGGGCAGGAGGTTGAGAGTGGGATAAAGATTACCTTGAGGACTGATTTGCTGTTTCGGCGGAGGAAGGAAGTGTTGCCTCTTGAGGAGAGGGTCGAGGCTGGGCCGCGGGTGAAGAGTAAGTATCAGTACTGGGCGAAGAGGGAGGCCATGAAGGGTGGAGGTGGGGATCGTAAATAGCCTTGAGGATATTTTTCGTTGATTCAATCGTGTTCGGGGTAGCTATTGGGGTCTTTCTACTCACGCATTTTGCTGTTTGACTTTTCTCTCTCTCTCTCTCTCTCGTCGTCGTTTAGTACCTCATCTCCATGCGTCCCGCAGCATCATCCAACACAAAAGCACCGCCCTTTCCTCAAAAACCCACCCCCATCCCCAACAAAATACACGCACAAATCACACCCCCTCAACTTCCCCCTTCCCCTTCCCCATCCCCACAACCCCCTTCGCCCCCTCAACCCCATCAACCCACCCAACCCTCCTCTGAACAAACAACTCGACACTCGGCCTCGCGCCCTCGCTCATCCCATTTTCTTTCCCTTCCTCCCAATCCACCACCCCAGCCCTAAGCACCAAATCATCTCCAAACGCCCCCTTCCCCCAAAGAGGCGACCCACACTCCCCACAGAAGAAATTCGTAATCGCGTTCCCGGCGTCTGACGTTTTGGGCACGGGTTTAGGGGTCCCGGATAGCAGGGTGAAGGAGGAAGATGGGATGAGGAGGTTGGTGGTGTAGGTTGAGCCGCTTAGCTTGCGGCAGTCGGTGCAGTGGCACAGAGCCTGGGGTTGGGTGGGGTTAGAGGTCCGGCATGTGCGGGGGTGAGTGTGTTTAGGGGTGATGGAGGGGATGAGGGGTACTTTTACGAGGGGTTCGCCTGTGAAGGTGAATTTTATGGCGGTGCAGAAACACGATCCTGAAGGCATTGTTTCTTTTTTCTTTTCTGTTGCTTGTGTTTTTTAACCTTCGTATCGCGGTGTCGTGGGTGTATATAGAATGGAATTCAAATCATCAATGGTGGAGAAAAAAATCGGTTCACCTTCAAAGTGACACCAAGGGTATTCCTCCCCCCTTATATGTCTAAAGAAGCATTAATGCAGAGTAATCGCAGCTAACCAAACCCCACCAAAGAAAATGGCGATAGGCGGCAGGCAGCACACACTCGGCCGAAGAAGCACGCGTTCGTGTGGGGGCCTTGGAAGTAGTTTCCGAGCGGGGAAATCCATCGTATTATTTCTCCGCCGGGGAATTGTGTTGCAGTGCGTGCGTGCTGCAAACGGGAATCTACGAGACGCCGAGACGCCGTCTCGCTTATCTGACCTTAGCTGCTTTGTTTAGTGTATATGTGTTCGACTGTGGCGGGGCTTCAATTGCATCGCGTGCGCTTTATGACCTTGCTGTTCGATGTGCGATAGCTGGATTGCAGGGAGATTTCCAAGATTGAGACTGGTCTGTGGGTGGTGAGATCGGAAGCGGGGCCGAAATAAGCACCTCTCGACAGGTCAGCAAGGTGTGAGACATGCACGAGTGCTGGATCGTCAGACTTTAGACCTTGGTGAAGGGCCGAAATTAGTGGGGGAAAAGAAGCTAAATGTGTCCTAGGAACCGGTCCCGCAATATCTTTTAGTCTCCAGTGGGATAAAACGTGTCGAAGACATAGGTAAGAACCCATGTCTATCTGACAGTGTGATCTGAGGAGCTTAGATGAAGTGAGATCACTTACGTGACTAGAACTAGGTTTGCATTACGCCGGAATGAATACGCAATGTATCAGATAGCAAGGAAGACATTCTTTCGCACGGCAGACAAGAAAATCCGGTTGACATGTCTGTGACGCGAGATGGGGCGTTTCCCTGATCTCAGGGTCTGATATATATAGATATCTTAACTAGATTAGGCAATGTAGCTCCCGTCGCCACGTGCTCGGCCCGGTCCGGCGCCCATGTTTCTGCAGATGGTGACGTGATTGGTCTGACCTGAATGATGAGAGCGTGGCAGACCAACACCGCATATGCGATATCCTTGGTCGCGAAAGAGGCAGAAGAAGCTTCCGCTGGTGGAACTTGAGCGGGAAGAGACACGCATCATGCAAGTGCGAGTAGACGTCACTGCCGTGTTGCACACTGTGCTGAAAACACGTACGATGAAATAGAAACAAACACCTTGACAATTAAGAAATAGCTACTCTATATACATCAAAGGGTATCATCGACTGTCACAAAGCAACGCAATCCCGGTTAATGAGACCGTTCGACTCCAAGAACCCCACATTCACGTCCTTTTCTCCTCCGCTCAGCACAACGTCGAAATCGGTGCTCAGACTCGCCGCATTGATGCTCATGTCCTGGATGTCGAAGAATCTGTATCCCGACAAAGTCTTCTCCGACTCCTTGAAGCTCTCAATCTGCGTCTCGAGGCCGGGGATAATGACACCTTGCCTGGGCACCTTCTTCGAGAAGTGCAAGTCGAGCTTGGTACCGGAGACGGCGTCGGTGCGTACAGCGGCTACAATGTTGAGCTTGCCGCCTTCAGCAGCAGAGTACGAGCTGCAGCTCTGCTCCAGCTGGTAGAGAACCGTGTCCTGAACAGGGAACCCGTTCCCGCCGTTGTCGTGCTCGACGACATCGCCGGTGGATTTGGTCGTCACAAACGCGTTGAACCCGCTGATCCCCGCGTCGGCGTCTATCTCCGCCGTCCACTCGAAGTAGACAAAGTTTGCGCCGTTGAATCCGGATCCGATGCCATCCGACCAGACCGGGCGTGTTGTTTGGATAGTTTCGTTGACGGCGTTGCCCGCGCGGTTCTTGTACGATAGATGGACCGCGATGTCGTTTACGTCGGGGCGGTCGGTCCCCTTGCCATACCGCACGCGGATGTAGCCTGAGAAATCGATGGTGCCGTTGTGGTTGAGCGCGAGGAGGTTGATATACGGCTTCACGTCGATGGGGTTGATGGGCTCCGACAACACCACGTCCTTGGGCACCGTATCGATCATGCGCGCGAGCACATCCTGGCAGCGTTCCTGGAAATGCGTGGCATCGGCCAGCGCATGCATGGTCTTGTTCCCGTCGGACGCGAAGATGCGTTTATCGGAGTTCATGGTGTCGTTGGCGGCGACAACCAGCGGGTTCGTGGTGTTGGTGTCGAGGAACTCGGTGACGACGGCGTTGTCGAACTTCTCGAACGAGTCGCTCTGCTCGAAATGCTGGACCGTTTGCGAAGTGAGCTCTGGGAAATTCGAGGCGTGGACGCCGCCGAGGGAATGCCCGCAGGCGACGAGCTCGATCATTTCGGACTGGGAGAAGCCTTGCTTTGCGAAGCTGGCGATGTGCGAGGAGAGGTCTTGCTGGGGTTCCGGTACGCCCTTTCGGCCTGCTTCTGTTGCGTCGACGCGGCCGACGCGGAACGGGATCTCGTAGCCGTTGCAGACGGCCATGGAGCCTACGACGGCGAGCGCCAGCATATCCGCCGCCGTGGTGCGCGAGGTGTAGTAGTTTTGGAAATGCGCGAGTGTGTTGTTCATGGCGTCGCCTTTGTTCTCCCCTCGCTCCGTCTCGAACATAATGGATGCGTCTAGCCCGCCGGTTCCTGCGTCGACGTCGGCGGTCGACATGTCGTGGTATGCGGTGCGGACCCATTCGGCGGTGTTTTGGCGGCCCGGCTGGTTCTGGCCGAAGCCGCAGGATTGAATGGGGTCTATGAAGCCCTTCTTGTTGAAGCCGCCTTGGAGGGTGAAGACATCTTCGATCTGGTCGTATTTGTCGGGCCAGATGTATTCGGCCGTGGTGAGGGACACCAGCGCAGCGAGGGCGGTCGTCTTCATGATTAGGTGTGTAGGTTGGTAGGATATTAATGTAATGAGAAAAAATCGAGTGGAAGTATGTACAGAGACAACTGAGTAACGAAAGACTGATGATGGAGCCCAAGTGTTGCGGTTTGCACTCGTATTTAATAACCTCTTGTCACTATAGTTCCTCGTCGACGCATCATTATATCGGCGAAATGCCTGATTCATCATTGGCCACTTCAATTCCAATAGCTTAGATGTTCCTAGTCGCCCCCCACGAATCTATGGGTATGTTTCTCGATATAGATTGCTAGCAAGGGTCAACCTGATGAAGCATCGCGCTTCCCTTCTAGCGCCCGTTTTGGAAGAGATTTAGCGTCTAGCGTCCTGCACTAGCGGCTATCAACCACGGTCAAGGGACTCAATGCTGGAGCATGCGATATATTGGATTTCCCTTAGAATAGCAATGGGGTATCCGGATCCGAAGAAGATCTACACGTTTGCCAACATCGTAGAGAGGGGTCACGACGTCTTTGAAGAATTTGTCAACTCTTTGCTAGTTGGCACTTTGACCATGAGCTATGGCCTACGCTTGTTTCATGGGTCCACTGTGGGATACCCCTTCGGCAATAAATCGCCGAATCCTCTACACTTGGATCTATTTGCGCCACCCATGAAAAGGAGACTCGACTCGCGGGGTCTGTTTCGAGTTTGAGGCACCGTTTCTCAATCAGCAACTGGGAAAACTTCACGCCGCTTGTCATCGAGTCTCGGGTGTCGATAGAGTGTAGTGAGTAGAGACATGGCAGGATCACTTGCCTCCATTTTATTCTGTCTACGAGCAGATAGCAGGCAGTCATGGGCCGCGATATGGTGTTCAGATGTTGCTAAGATGGCTTGCCCGGTACCGTGGATGGCAATTGCAATAGGCGAGACTGCAACCTTTCTGGATTTTCGTTCTTCCGGCTCTTAATCACGTGAGGCTCCCCTTTCAGGGGTGTAGCGCAATCATCTCTATCCAAATTTGGATATTGATTCGCGATTAGATGACTTTAGCAACCACGTGATGCGCTTGACGAAAACTCAACAGCAGAACAACGGCAATGCAATAGTTGGTTTAATCATTGTGAAGATCAATTTTCTTCCATTGTCGGGGGCATCTTCGTACTTTGGGATGAACACATCAAATACCAGAGTTTGTTTGTTATAATTGTTTGCACAAAAAGGAGTGACAAAAGGTTTCACGAAAGGAGTTTTGCGGTTGGCGCCGGGCTAAGGAAGCAGCCGCTATGCCGAAAAAGGGATCGATCGATACTAGTGTCCATTCGCAACATCAGAGCCATGGACAACAACCATACCCAATGGTCGTTTTGGACTATTGTGCTGCTTTACACTTTTACCGTCATTAAACTGGTCATGGTGGTTTTTTTGAACGGTGGGAGAGCCCGAGGATTTTTCATCAGTCGCCAGGAAGCACGAGATCGACGGCAGATCAGTTCAGCAAGCGCATCTTCAAAAAGTGGATTTTCGACGGTCGTGTGCAAAATCAAATCGAGAACGTACTGTAGGTGAAAGATATGGAGAATTTTGGTTATGCAGTGAATGTTCTGATTAAACCAGCTGGTTCCTTGATGTGACGATCTCGTTGGCAAACACCACTGATTAAGATTACGCTCGTATGTCGAAGCAAATGTGTTATATATCAGAAGAAGTTGTAAAGTGTTATAAATAAATCGCGTCATGTTAGAGCTGTAGTAGCAGTGAGGGTCTGAGATTCGAATGACAGTATCATCCTCCATGTCAGAATGATGTGATGCACAAATCGTTGCACAACATCACTCCGATACAACTGTCAGAGTGATAAACTAAGAGACCTAGTTCTCTGCTTCGCCACAATCAGTCAGATTATCTCTTGATAATAGAATATTCTGACTAAAATTACTTGAACATAACAGCGTCGTGCAGTCAAGTTGAACTAAATCGCCCGTCTCCAACTCACCTAGGTCTATGATATCATCATCGCAATTTCTATGCAGCATAAACACTTGGTATATTAGAAGATCTCACGAAATTTCACCTCACCATGGACATTCACAATCTCTCCAATCCCCGCAGGGGAAACCAGCTGCCGACCTTCAAATCACACAGTCTACACGTCCCCCGATGTAAGCGTAACGTCTACCCCACAAACCCATTCCCCATCCACCCCAACACCTCAACACCTCTCCTCTAAACCCCAACAACCTTCACCCTCCTCCACAACACCCACTCCGCAATCCAAATCGACGCCCCCGCCCACAACACCGCCGCCGAGCCCCTCCCAACCTAAACCACACCCATCATATACCCCAACCCCCACTCACAAACATCTCCATCACACACGACCACTTCGCCGCAACCCCCCATAATCCAGAACCCCCCACCATCCCTCAAAAGTCATCGCTATACACCCTGGGTACTCTCACACACTTAAACACAGCTCTCGCCTCAAACGATAGGAGGGGTTCTGGGATACGCTGATCCCAGCGCTTACAAAATCTTCGCTAGCTAGATGCGGGGGAGACGATATCTCTAGGTCCGTCGTCGTGGTATGAGGTCCGCCCCGTTGCGCTGGGAGAAGCGGATACGGAGTTGTGTGGTTCTGGTGCTGAGCTTGTATGGATGTGGCGTATAAGCATTATTCATCTATATGTGGCGGGGAATGTCCCGCCGGGACTTTCGGGCTGGCGAGGATTAAAGAGGTCGAGGGTTTAGATCCAAAATTCGTGAGTCTGAAGTATATGCAGGAGCGTGAAGGTTACGGCGTGAGAGATTTAGAGGAGACGGCGGAGTTTTTCAGGGGTTTGAGGAACTGTGGGGAGCGGGGAGGAGGTTGAGGGGTTTGGTAGAGCGGGGTTTTCTGGTAGAGTTGGTTGGGGGTTATGTTTTGGGAGGGAGGGTGAGGGGTTGATTTGGTGTAGATCAGTTGTAGGGTTAGACTTTGATGAAATTTGGAGGTAGGTTTGATTGGGGCGTAGATGTAGTGGAGAAGAGGGTTGCAATGCAGCTCGTACTGGATATGGAATAACCGACAAGGAAGTTGGTTAAAATACCTTTGGCGAAAAATAATTATCACGTTCTCCGTGGGCACGAAAACATCAGTACATGGTAATATAGAAGAAATGGCTGGCATCAGAGGCCGTTCCAAGAGTTACCCATCTCATCGCACGATTCCATTTTTCGCTATCAGACTTCGCTATCTAAGGCAGAGGGTTCTGCGTCTTAACCACAAACGCGCCACGGTCGATAGTGTTGATGAGGATAAACCCACTAGGGAACCCTCCATAGTTACTCCACGACCCGCTAAACTTCAACGACCCTCCACCCTCGAGCTTATCGTCTTCAGGATACGTATCGAACCAACCCACCTCGCGCACGCCACGGCCAGTAGGGTCCGACGGGATCGACGAGATGTCGAGGATGCTGAGACCAGACGTGTACATGCTTTGGTACGAGTACTTGCCGAAGATGTATTGGTTGTGGTCGATGGTGACGCGGGGCGCTTGGTAGTAGCCCGTTTGCTTGGGGTGCTCGAGATCGCGAATGTCCCAGATGTAGGTGACTGGACGTCCGCTAGATGCAGGGCCGCGGGCTTCGACTTCGTCGTACTCGTCGTCGGAGATGAGCCATTCTTGGTTTTCGGTGTCGAGGACCCAGCCTTGGTGCGTGTAGGTTGCTCCTTCGTACGAGGTGATGGAGATGGTTTCGGGGAACTTCTTGTCGGTCACGTCGTCTGCGAATGTTAGTGTGTGAATGTTTCACAGGGATTGAGAGGTGCGGCTCACAGATGGTGATGGAATCCTCGTTATATCCGTAGCAAATCTCACGACCGAGATATTTCTTGTGTGGACCCTTGTAGATCAAGCACTGCGCATCGTGCACGTACCCATCGTCCCTTGCGCATCCAGGGCTCTTGGGTTTGGAGGGGTCTTCCAGGTCAAGGAAGATGAGGCCCGAAAGGCAGCTGCTGTTGCGGGGCTGAGCACCGTTCACATAGAAGAAGTTGTTTTCCTTGGGCCCTTGAACGACGTTGTGCACACGTCCCAAGGGAAGTTCGTTCCAGTACCCAGTCAGATCAGTTTGGGGACTGAACGTGACAGGGCCTTTCTTGTAGTCGATATCGAGCAGCTTGTGTAGGTCGAAGATCTGAATGCCGTGGCCAGGCTCCTCGCTTCCGACAACAATGTAATGCTTGTATGTGCGGATCTCACGCCATTGGCTGGGTGCAACACCGGTTGTCTGGGGAAGACGACCAAGGTATCGGAGTTTACCAGCGGAGGTGATCTCTGCGAAAGCAGCTCCATCACCCTGGGCAATAATGGCAAACTCGCGGCCATCGTCACTGACCCATCCCCATGAGCTTGAGCCCTGACCAACGGTGGAGCCGAGGTCGGTGTGAGGAAGGAAGTGATGGAGGTTGATCTATATCACGTGAGCTACCGACCAATTGAAACATTCTCAATTTGCTCACATTGTTGCAACGAAACTTTGTGCTGGCGTTGTTACTTTGGAAGGGGTCCAAAGGAGCTGCAAGTCCGTTCTTGCACTGCGCAAAAGGGAGCTCTGAAAATTGGGCTCCACCGACAGCATTCAAGACTCCCATTTGGGCCTGCTGATCCCATTGCTGGTACTTGTCCGCCATGATCCTCTCATGCATGATGCCGGAATCATAGAGCTGTAACAGGTCAGTGCTGATCAGATAGGCGAAGCGGTGCACCAACCTCTGCAGCCCGTTCCGGGTCTTTGGGAATCTCTTTGGCGAATGAAGCTGCCGCAAAGGCAGAAACTGCGAGGGAGAACTTCATTGTGGCTCGGGCAACCAGGTATTGGGATGAAGATTGGGCTGGTGAAACATTCTCATATGCGCGCAGTGCTTGTCTTATAAACACAAGGCTTCGCCGTGGCGACAGGGTCCAAGCTGATTGCGCCTTCCTGGGGGTCTCATACGATCCAGTTACCGTTCGCCAGGATGGTGCATACAGTATCAATATCGAAGGCTGGAAGCGGAAGGTCGCACGGCAACGTGTGCCTAGCCCCAAGTAAGATTATCTGGATCAAGCTTCTGGCTGGGCACAACAACCTCTTGGCATATTGCGATATCTCTTGGCACGACACGGAGATAGTTCGATGAGTCGGGGGGTGCGGCTGTGGTTGTTATACCCGTTCGCTGGGTGTCGACGTGGCGACTGCGTGGTACACTGCTGTGAGACGGGCGTAACATTGTGTAACCAGCAGCGGCCAGCATCGTTGCCCGACAATCACCAATGTTCGTCGAAGAAGAGGGCTACGGTGCATGTCTGAGCTTTTCACGACCCTTGTCGCTCAATCAGGAAGGTGGGCAAGGCACCCGCCTGCATGGTCGATATTGCTGGATAAATGAGACCCCGACGATCATAGCGCCGGATGGCATCGGCACAATGTCTACAAGTCCAGGAACGGTATTGCTGAAGACGATCCATCTGTCGTAGGATTATGGCGCGGAATCCTCATCACATCGAGTACAGCAAGGTGGAATCGAATCAACAACGGGGATGCAGGCGCCTAGTCGACGTGTAGATAATGAACGATGTTAGAAATGCATTCCGCCGCGACTGTCCGTAACGTTACACGGTACATGTGTTGGAAATTATTAGGCCACAGGGGCTCATGTTGTGCAACTCTCTGTCTAGGGTTGTGTGCTGTCCGGATACTACGACGTGCGAGAAAACAAACTATAAGATTCAGAGATATTTGACAGAGATAAATACGAAAGGAGAGAGTGGTCGGCGAGTTGGCGTCTTCGTAGATGACATAGTCTTGTCTGATCAGCAGCCTACAATATTTCTGATCCACGCATATGCTCTTCCATGGCGCGCGTAAGAGAAAACATCTTCTGTCTAGCATGCTGCAGCCAACTCTGTGCTGCCTCGGTGCTGTAGATCCATTCCTCCGAAAAAGGCTCCTTATACATTCTCCAGAGAGGCCAGGTTGGCGTGTAAGATCCATCTTCATCATGGAGGTAACGCCATCGAGTATGGCCAATTGTACGGTACCCTCCTCGTCTTTCCTGTTGTGCTTCAAGATCGGGAATGGGGGCTGCAAAGAAGGAGATGAAATGGTGTCCATCCAACTCGGGGACGAATTCACAGATAACCCGTTTCGTAGGGTCTGGATACTCATCCGCTCTCAAAAGAGACGCACTTTTCCTGTTTCCCTCCATCAGATGTAGGCTCTCCAAGTTCGTAGCAAATGCGTGACCGTTGAAAATGCCTTCTGTGGATTTGCTGCGGCAGGCTTTTTTGATCCACTCGACCCAAGACGGTCGAGGGCTGCAGAGACCGACAATGTGCAGGATAGGTAGAACTCCGACTTGGAGTGCATCCCATGGGCCACGTGTCACATGAGATGCAGCGTGCTTGAGGGTCTCGTACAAGTAGAAATTGGTCTGCATCTTGTTTCTCGTAGGGTCGACACCAAGAAGCACTAACGCCAGCTTCAGGCGGGCAACGTAGAAATTGAAATGTAAGGCTGCGAGTGATGTGTGTGGAGTGGTGGATCGGTACCGTGACGGCGGCATGACGAGCCTTGGTGCTTGGTGATCTGGATAATCAAGTAGAATAGCGAGCGCGGCATCGGTATCCAGTTCCGGGATCAGATCTAGATAAAGACGCTTCCATTGCTCAAGCTTTTCCTCAACAGAGTAAATGGAGTCCAACGGCGTCTCCTGGGTGTAAATGGCGGTTGGACTCCACACAAGTCGCCTGATTTTCTCGTCTTCAAAGATTATACTCACGAGACTTCGGAGTGATATGAAGTCCCTTGACTCACCAGAGTTCTGTCCTCTGTGATGGGAATTGTATTCACTCAAGATCAACTTACTGTCAACATGGATCCTATCTAAAGGTAGAGCAACATAACAAATTCGATCCAGAGATCGAAGACAATCTTGCACTGGATACATACCTCTGGTATCTTTCCGATACTCATTAGAGCGATGAAGAATCAAGGTGTTATACATCTTGAAGTAATGATGGACGGAGTGCATACGACCGATGAACGCAGGTATGTTCCCACTCAAAGACTTGTCCGAGTGAGTCCAATTCGGATTGGCATAAAGGGATGATATCTACTTACCTCGAAGTAGGAATTCAAGCAAATGGTGATCACAAACAGGCCCATATCTTCCTTTCCTTCATTTGCACTGCGCCCTAACGCTTCGAGTGTATGCCTATACGTGTTGACGGCAGTTGTCTTCAAGTCACACCCTTCCGCACGGACGCGTTCATCACGTGACATACTCATCGGAATTGCGCGGTACATCTCGCCAATGGCGCGAAGCATGCCACGGATGTGATCGTTTTCCGAGTATTCAGGGTAAAGATATTCAGTCCAGAAGATTTGATAGGGGATGGGAAATAGCAAAGGCATCGTGGCCAGTACTTGTTGATGACCTGGTGGTAGTCGGAACTCAGAGCCCAGATCTTGGTCCGGGGGAGGACTTGAAGGGATTATGATCGGTACAAGTGGGTCGGTTCCATGTGATGGTTGGAATTCTGGGTCTTGGTCCGGGGGAGGGCTTGAGGGGATCGTGATCGGTTCAAGTCGGTTGGTTCCAAGGGATGGTTGATGGCTTGCGTGTGGTAGAGTTGACTCCTGGGGGCTGGGCTCGTGGTTGTTTGGCTCGTGTGCGCTTGGTATTGCAGAAGTGGATCGTACGTCGGGTGTAACACTTCTCCGGGTGAGGGCGCTCATTCTCAATACTGGCTGTAAGCGAGGCCTACATCTGGCGTTGGAAGTAACACATTGACTGCAGCTTGGAAGTTCTCGGTCGCATATGCGACCGATATCCATGCAAGCCACGCAGTCCTGACGAGTGTTTCTAGGCGGTGTTCTAGTGTCCTGTATCAAAGAAGGTCCCACGGCGACCCTTATGGAATCTTCCGGGTCCTGTATCAAGGAAGGCCCCGTAGCGACTGTTATGGAATCTTCCGGGTCCTGTATCAAGGGACGCCCCGTGGCGACCGTTATGGAATCTTCCAGGTCCTGTATCAAGGGACGCCCCGTGGCGACTGTTATGGAAGCTTCCGGGTCGAAATCCAGGTTCTCCATATTGGAAGGTCTCACGTACTCGGTGGTGGAAGATTCGTCGCGTCGTCGGCAATGTAGCGTCAAAGAACGTGCAACGGGGCTGTCGCGGTCGGAAAGTTTTCGGTTTCGCCAAGCGAGCTAAACTAAGATGAGATGAAAGCCCACATCCGGGGCTTGGCAGGGGCAAGACAAGCATGAGGGCATCGACGCGCTTTCCACTCCTGAAATACTGTTAGACAACCTCTCAACGTACCATATGTATGCTTTTTTAATTCAATCTCTATTTACATTCATTCAGGGTGCGCCAGGGGCCCCGATATAGAGCGATCAAGGTTGGCTTCTGCATCACGTGCTCAGCTGTGTCACGTGATTAGTCTTCACTTCATTCCAGAACTTTGACGATCGTTGAGATCTGGCACAAGATAGTACGTACCGAGGTAGATATATAGAGCACAGTGAATTCCCTAAAGAACCAGCAAGACACATGTCACGTAAGAGCCGATGAAAACGGGATTCGTGGGTTATACGAACCTCAATCAAGCAAGTCAAGTTATCTCAGAAGCGAAGTGAGAAGTCGGGACCTCATTACACAGATTGATTCATAGAATGTCCTCCAGTCTCACTGCCACGTGCTGTTTTCGGCGAGCATCTTCATAGAGATATGTAGAGCACCTACCGCTGCAAATTTGGTACTTGGACGCTGCTGCCCTTACCTTTGCCGAGTCTTCTACACTTAAATAGAGAAATCCGCTTCCGACAAGCTCCTGATGTCCATATCGAATCCCTTAATTGTGAAATACGAGTCTCGACAGCCTAGAAAAATCGCAGAATTTATTTATTCTACCTTACATCGTTAGTGCTCACGAAAGTGCGGTCATGACCGCAGCCTTTTGTCGCATTTAGGGTTTTGTGGCTGGCTTAAAGACCCTCTAAAGCAGCAGGTACTCTACGAAACCTCCATCTGCTCTCAAAGTCCCACCTATAGTCTCATGTATGGAGTATTGTATTCGATGCTTAGGCTACCATGTGTTCTAGCGCATTCCATATGCATTCAGCGTATGAACTACATGGGTACCGGACAAGGTAAAGACCGACATGCTCAGTGATCTGTCAAATCTTGCAGGTATCGGACATAAGGCTGCTATGTACGGTACCTGACCGGCACGCGAGGGCCAGCCTGGGGAGGTTGAGTGTGGCACAGGGCCCCTTTCTAATCTTGGTGTGCTATGTGATAGATGGTGGCTGCGACAATATAGATCAAGAATTCGTCTGTCTGGGTAGTAGAGGTATTTCGATTACTTCCATCTCCCAGCTCTCGTTGGACTAGTATCTCAGAGATCTGCAGTGCATTTCGCGGTGGTTGTATAAAAGGCCAATCACATTGTAGAGGCTAATAAACGTAAATGATGTCGCGTATGGCATCATTGCGATATCCGAAGCTCTTAGATCGACATTTTCCTTCCGTTCGGAAATCGGATTCTACAAATGATCAAAGATGAGTCATTGTGGTGAGATTTTGTCTACTCCTATACACTTCCCATGCAAACTCCCTTGGGCTTATTGATGCTGATATCCTCTTCTTATGCATGACTTGATGATTGATCTACGAGACCAATGATTAGATTGGCATGTATCGATGGGGAATAACGATGAGAGTCAAGCTAAGCGAAAACCGAGGTACCCGGATCATACCGAGTTCAGCAAACTAGCCGAGCTACGTCACTCAGTGGGGTTTCTTGACCACGGGCGGTGTAATACGAGTATTCCAAACTATTAAAAGGGACACCAGGGTATTCCAGTCGAATACCTATATCAACACCCTTTCTCGAATCCTACACTGAGACACACATCTTATAACGTACCAGATCCGGAATTAATCCTCACAATGCCCGTCCCATCATCTTTCCAAGCCGGCGAGGCGTCCTCCCCCACAGCCAGAATAGCCCCGGCCGAGCGCAGCCTCCCCGCCATCGGGCCCAACGAAGTAGGCATCAAGATCACCGCCACTGCGATTAATCCCGTTGACTGGAAAGTACGCGGCTTCAATGGATTTCTCAAAACATACCCGGCCGTCCTCGGTTCCGATGCCGCCGGAGTAGTGGCGGCCACTGGATCCGACGTGCAGCATCTCCAAGTCGGCGAGCGCGTCTTCTTCCAGGGGATCATCGGGAAATATGATTTTTCGACATTCCAGCAATACTGCAAGATGCCCGCCGAGCTCGTGTCCAAGACCCCCAGCAACATTACCGACGACGAAGCCGCAGGCATCTTACTCGCGACCGTGGCTGTCGTGACTGCGTTCTACAGCAAGGACGGACACGGAGTAACCCCGCCTTGGGAGGAAGGAGGTCGGGAAGCCGGAAAAGGGAAATCGATTGTCATCATTGGCGGCGCATCTTCGGTCGGACAGTACGCTATCCAGATGGCTCGTCTCTCAGGGTACGACCGTATCGTGACAAATGCGAGTGCGAGCAACCACGAGTTTCTCAAAGACAAGCTCGGGGCGCATGTAGTGCTAGATCGGAACGATTCGACCCCCGAAGCCTTTCACGCAGCGCTGGAAGGGTTGCCACTGGATTTCGTGTTTGACAGCATCTCTTCTGCATCGACGCAAAAGCTTGGCGCTCAAGTTGCGCAAAAGGCGAATGCGTCTAGCGGACACTCTGTTACTGATCAGGTTGTGATTGTCAACGGTCCGGACCCTGAGGCGGTGGCGCTGGGTCAAAGTATGGAACCTCGAGTTGAGATCCAACAGATTGTTGGTCTTGGGAGTGCCCCGGCGTTGAGATGGCTTAGCGAGCCTATGGTAAAAGCGATTGGCGGCGAGGATGGATATATTGCGCAGGGGCTCTTCATTCCGAACAGACCGCATGTAGTGGCTGGGGGTCTTGCGGCGCTGGAAGACGCATTGGCGTTGAACAAACAGGGTGTCTCGGGGAAGAAACTTATCATCCATCCATTCGATGAATAGATGCCATTCTGCAGAGATGATGAGTGGTTCTCTGCTTTGTTAAAACAGGTGTCCCTCAGGTGCTTCTCATGGATTTCCATCACTACATGACGGTTGAGCTTTGTTGGAGAAATTGGGGGTTGTTATTTCTCCGCATTATTGTACGCCCTCTTCGCTTACCAGTTCATTACCGGTAAGACCCGTCTTAGCTATCTTGGCCCAAGGTTACATATATGGCGCAGTAGGCATCAAATGGCCGCCGCATTTATGGATTTCGTAATAGCACTGAGTCTTCTATCTACAACCAAGTTACTGTACCATACACCTAAAGGCTGGTTACACAAGGAAATGACTGGTAAAAGCATTAATTTGCAATCAACGACAAAAAGGTTGGCCAACTCACGTGTTGAAGAAAGACGGAGAAAGGATGTTCCGAAAGGATCGGCCTCGCCTGCAGCAATTCACGGTAACTCATCTATGTCTCCCCCATGATTTGCTAGTTTGAGGGGGTGATCATGGGCTGAGACAGAAGCACGACCGACCCGGGTCAGCCGTCTACCTTCGCCAGCATTCTCAGTCTCAATTGTCGATCCATAATGAAAACGTGAGAGAAATGCCTTATACACGATTTTGCTTATTGCAATAAACTTGTGTAAAGGCACTTTTCGATTGAATTTTTGGTCATCGCTCGCTATTTTGGTTTATTCCTTGTTGTAACCCATTGCTGTGTGTAGGATCGCCTAAACTCCATCTCAAAAATCAAAAAATACACGATTATGTCGCACTCTAATGTTCGCGAATTAAGCCTTTCCAGCACCGCCGCCTGCAGACAAATCTTGCCGGGATTGTGTACCTGAGAATGCATTAAAATGCGCATAAAAGCATGAATGCCCTTAGTCTTGATAGAGGTTAGCGTACACATGGGCTGAACCAACCAGGGAAGTGCTTCACACGCACCTCTCAACGGTGAAACAACCAATTATTGGACACGTGCATTAGATTCTAGATACTCCTATCATACGGAGACCCTGAGAAACGTTTTCCTCGAGCTTTGGAGGCGTAGTAGTCAGCAAAGATTCGCCGTGGCTGACTTGTTGTCTCGAGTTGTTGCGGCGTAGTAGACTAGTCATGCATAAGCACCGTTGATTGGCTGTCCGATCAAGTTCACTTCTTCTCCGCCCAATAATCTTTTATGCTCGGCCGAGTACCCGGTAAATTGTTGTTAAACCTCCGGCGACTCAGCCTCAAGAATCCAGAAGAGGGTTCCTAGCAGTAAGCGCTAAGAACCCATATTCTTCTTTAGACGTGCTATATCACTCTCGCCAACTGGCAGACTCTAGTCTAGTTGCGGCGTGTGGCCTATACCATTACTCTTTCTATCCGGCCAAGACATCTTTTCAGTGCCTCGCCGCACGTAGTGCATCTGATTGTGCTATATTCATCTAGCTAATTAGACACGGCAGGTTTGTAGTGAGAGAATGGGATCCTAAGGATGAGGCGTGGTTCATGAACACGGGCATCCAAGTGTTTGCGCCGCATTAAAATGCGATAATTCAGTAACTAGCTGAACAGAGGGAGCGACTGGAGGATATATAATGCTGTCTTGATATGGAGACTTCTTCACTTCACCACTCACATTCACCACCGATCCCCTCGTTTATTCCATCAACAACGCAAACTCGAACACTTGTCCTCAGACTTTTGCGAACCTTCTTCAACACGATGCACGCCACAACTCTCGCTTCTACTCTCGCCATGGCGGCGCTTGTCACCGCTCAGACTCCGACACCTAAACCCAGCCCACCGGGGATCAAGTACAACGCTACTGTCGAGCCTGTCGGTGGATCCAATATCCACGGCTACGCTACTCTAACGTCATCCGAAAAAGGTGCAGTCGGGATAAGCTTCCGATTCGAAAACGTCAACAAAGACAACGGCGGTCCTTTCCCTTACCGCATCCACGAGAACTCGGACTGTGCCAACCCCGGCCCCGTCTACGATCCCTACAAGGTGGGCAAAGGCGACGAGAACAAAGCCCCTCTCGGCGACATCGGCGGCTCCAAATTGATGCAAATCAATGTGCCGGATAAGATCAACAGCAACGGGTAAGTCGAACACGATTCGTGACTCTTCTGCACACGTCCTTACTAACGCTACACCACAGTTTCCCATTGGAAGCATTGTCCCTCGACCCCAACAACGACAAGGACTTCGTTGGAAACAGAGCATTCGTGATCACCAACGGCAAGGAAGAAAAGGTGGCCTGCGGCGTCTTCAAGTGCACCGCAGGATGCAACCTCGTGAGCGGCATGAACGACACCACGACCACATCTCCCGGTGGAGCCAACGGCACCAGCGGCACCAACGGCACAGTCAACGGTCCCAACGGTCCTAAGGGTCCTGGCGCTCCCGGGTCCGGTCCTGCTACTTCGCCCAACTCCGGAACTCAGCTCGTTGCTAGCGCTGGTGCTTTCATGGTCGCTTTTGCTGCTTTCTTGCTGTAGAGCAGAGAATGCGATGTCGTTTGTGGGGAAATAGCTCGTCTTGTTTGGAATGGCGATGTGCTAGGTGCTCCCTGGTTCCTGTAATTTCTTTTGCCCATAGACTCTTCCCGGCGCCGAAATGCTTGGATTCTTCCATTACTAGTCTTCTACCGTTAATTATAGTCTGTTGAACTGTCAGTCCGTCAAGCAAAATGCTTATATGTTAATCCTAGTCACTCCACCATGAAAATTCTCTCTGAAAATGACCTCGATCAAGTGAGACTCTTGCGGCGTTATGTGCCGGAACGTTGTAGACCTTCACAATGTTGGGGTGCTGGACCTAGTTCTATATTTGTGATATATATCTCAATATTAGACTGAGTACCACAACATCATAAAAATCTACAATGCTTCGGCTGCTATGCAGTGCGATAGCTCGATACTATGCTTAGCCTTAAATGCAGGCAGCAGGCGCGTCGAGACTTTCGTGGAAACAGGGTTGATGGGCTCGTAGCCTCAGAGCATGTGAGCTCTTAGTACAATAGTAAAACAATTCACTAAGAAATACAATAATTTACTATTGTGCTAAGTAAATCGCGGCAGAAAAATAAATTAAGATTTACTTAATAATAGGCGTAGCTGGCTTACTTACGTTGCGTTTTAATCCTTTTTATGTTGCTAGACAGCAGTTACAGGTTATAACGTATCTAGTGCCCACAGTTAGGTTGTTGGGATAGTTGAGAAACCTTACTGAAGCTGTACCAAGGTTTTCTTCAGTAATAATGTCGGGCGACTTCTTACACACCCAATTCGTGCTACCGTGGATTGATATGGGTGCCCAGGCTTCATGGAGTTTAAATTTCCTTTTTCTGGCTGTCATTATCTCGTGAGATACCCTTTTTTTTCGTTTAACCTTTTTCAGGGCACTTTTTTCGTATCTCATCCGCCTTCAGGAGTGTGGTGCAAATCTTTCAATTGTGAATTACTTCAGTGCTCAGCACGTCAGGAAACTGTCAAAGGGTCGTATTTTGGGAATAATATGATTGTACCACATCCCTGGAGGAGAGTTACAGACGAGAAGGAGTGATGGAAAAGCATTAGTTTGTGATCAACGTACGAAAAAGCCAGCCATCTCACGTGACAAAGGGGAGCGGAAAAGAAAATCCGGAAAATTGATGTCTCGCCCATGATCATCCATCAGGTTGTCATAGCCCTCGCATCTTGATCTGAGGTAATTTGATTGAACGACGGTCGAATTGGTCCACCAACAGAGAGATCATTATCACTAGTATGCGATTGAGCTTCGCGCTAGCTCCATATCGAAGGGAGATCGTCGACGCCAACTGTCATACAGCGAATGATAGCCTTCACTAGCCTAGCGTCGGAGATTTGGCACAAGTGACGGGCCGAAGGGACGGGCCGACCAGACGTGCCACCTGATTTGTGCGTCTTGCCACGCGTCGTTGATGCCCCTGGCCTTTGAATCTTCTGCGGGTGACAAGAAAACAGAGTTGACAAAAGAAAATGAGTTTCCTGAGAATCATCATCAACTGAGCGCGCTCACGTCCAACGAATGAGCACCCAACGGAATTGTTCACCGCCAGCACAGCACTTGACGGCATGAAGGTTGGCAGGTCAGGCGATAAAACTTTGATCAAGGCACATGAATTTGAACAAGGATATCCCAATCACACCCCGGAAAACGAGCCACAAACAGAAGAGTAGTTTTGCAAAAAGTGTACAGAGGGGTTGTACGTTAGGTCGCGACAGGTTAAGAAGTCTGTCTTAACTCTATTTTTCAACTTATTACAAGCATATTCTGCCTCCTCTATTTAATACTAATTAGTTAAGGCTAGTAAAGCAGCTAACTTCCTAACCTGTTGCAACCTGATGTACAACCCCTCTGTAAGTCGCATTGCTGAACTTACAAAAAAAGGCGTACAACCCATACTAGCATTGGCAGGGCGCATTTCGGGAGGTCCATCTTAAATATATTTCTCTGCTTATCACAGGTGCAGCCTGTCTCATCCGTTTAATGATGATTAGTCAATGTCTAGTAAAGCAGCTAGCCACCCGAAATGCGCCCTCCCGACGCTCGTATGGGCTGTACCATTCCACGTGATAAAGGGAAGGGGTCGGAAGAAAGAAGTTCCGAAAAGGTTAAAAATTTGACGTCTCCCCGCTCGCAACTCAGATCATTCTCATCAACAATTTTTCAATAGCACATCGCCGCACACGGCTCATTGCTGCTTGCTCGCAATTTCATCTTTCATGTTACTGCGGAAGGATTCGCAGCCCTTCAATCCTATCTATGTACTATCAAGTCCATTGTCCCTCCAGCGGCTGACACGTGCTTGTTGCAATAGCAGCTGTACCTGCGACTCTTTGCTCTGGCATTGCATCATTTCCTTCGCCGTCACGTCAAATCCGCTCGTGGCGTAATACTTTGCCAGCAGAAGACAAGTCACCAAGCCTGCGCCATGCTTGCTGTCCAAACTTCTCGGATCCCCTCTCTCATCTCCACCAGCCGGTAATCCGAATCCCTCCCACGCGGTGTCAACCAGCGAGAATGCCACTTCGTTTGGTGTCTCAAGACGCGGCATGGATTCTGATTGTACGCGAACTGGAAGCGAATCCCGAAGTTTTCGCGTCAAATCTTGTGTGTTGGCGCCAGGGTGGCGCGCCATATGGCTCACCACAGCCTTGAGAGCGTCTGCTAACCATTGACCCAAGCGGTCCCCTAGCAATGATGGCGAGAAATAAACTTCGGCCCTGACGACATTCTCCTTAGTCGGTGTCGCTACCAGGAACGCGTCAGCCGAGTCTCCAAGATTCCCGCGATGCGACAGCGAGCATCGTGATCCGTCGATAGTAAACGAGGACGAGAATCCGTGGTTCTGATACAGGAAAACAGTACTCAGTCGGGCCTGGGATGGCCAACTTGTGCACTGCTGAACCAGTGACAGGTAGCCCAAGTGATGGTGTGGAAGACCACGCACCGATTGGTCTTTGATGTGGGTCATGAGATCAGAGACATTGCCGCACTCGTCGATCCTCGCCCTGGTAGGCACATAGTTGATGCAAGATCCTCTGACAAGAGCGAGGTCTTCAAGAGGTAAGTATCGGTTTGTGCTTACTTCCCCAAAGATAACATCCGTGGTTCCTAGCGAAGCAGAGAGTACGATTGACCAGGCGGCTTTGAGAACTTGCGCAGGAGTAGCACCGAGTTCTGGATGCTGCAACAGTTCGATGGGGACATGGACAGCGGCCATGCCATGCATGTGGTATGCGATTCCAGGTGTCCGCGAAGCTAAAGAGACTGGACGGGATCCATCTAAGAAACGCTTCCAGTATTGCACAGCGATGCTTTTATCAAGATCATCGCTGTGCGCAATCCAGGAGTGATGATGAGGTCCTTGAGACAATGGCGTCTCATCAAACGCCGCTACGAGATCCTTGAAGATTAGATGTAGTGAGAATATGTCATATAGTGCATGATGAATCTCGAATCGGAGGGCATGACAAGTCGTTCCGTCACAGCATAAGTGGAATCGCGCAAGCGTCTTGCCATTCATGTCGAGCGTCTCGTTGAGCACATCGTCAAGTCCTCCTTGAAGCTCCATTATGGAAGGCTGGGACGGAGTTTTGACAATGACTGTGTACATACGAGATTCATGGTGCACATAGACTGCCCGTAAGATTGGATGGTGCTGAATCACTCGCTCGCAAGCTTCACGCACTCGAGTCTTGTCTAGGCCGGGGGAGAAGTTGAGAGACCAGCTCATTTGATAGCCGTTTGATCCCAGCTGTCCGGCTGCTAGCATCATGCTTTGCACGTCCGTAGCCGGGTACGCTCTCTCGATATTATCGGCTTGCAATGACGGGTAATCAGCAGCCATTTTGTCCAAAGATGGCTTCATGCTTTCTGGAATCTCAGCCAATGGCTCTTGGAGATTTCCTAGGTGCAAGGTTGCAGTGGTTCCTTCCTCTTCGCCGGTGCTCCTCTCAGTCCCTGTACTGGGGTTTTGTTTCAACATGGGCGCGCCGGCCGCCGTTGACGCAATGGACGATAGCGAATCCCCGATGATCAAAGCTCCGGCCGTCAAGTTGTATAGTCCTTCTTTGCGACATCGATTGGCCACCTGCATTGCTTGGATAGAGTCCCCACCGAGCCGTGTGAACGAGCTCTCACGTCCGATCTCCCGCTCGGGTACGCCGAGTACTGCTGCCCATATAGCTTGAAGCGTTTTCTCGTAAGATGTACTAGGCGGCGTCAGCCTCTTTGTAGTGGTCGTACTGATGGCCTCGCTCATGGCTGCATGCGCACTCGATAGATCCTTTGTCTTCAGCCATGACTTGATTTGTTGGCGATCAAGCTTTGCCGACGATGTTTTGGGAAGGCTTTGTACGGGGACCCAAATACTCGGGATCATATACGATGGGACCTTGTCCGCTAGCTCTTCCCGCACGCTTTTCGTCTGATCCATGGCCTTCTCTAAATCGCCAGTACTAGATTCAACAACGGTTTCCCCATTGTCATCTGACTTTTGGCTCAGATCATCGAAATCGAGCACTGCGATGAGTTCCGTTCGCCCCGACATGATTTTTGTCGTACACAACACATTGTTAACTTGACTGCACCTCGCGATAGCTGCTTCAACTTCACCAAGCTCAACGCGCTGCCCGCGGACCTTGACTTGCTCATCCAGTCGACCAATGAACGTGATGCTCCCATCTGCGTTGTACTTTCCCAGATCACCAGTTCGATAAAATCGTGATGTACTGGACTCAGGTCGTTGTGGGGCCCAGGATGGTGGTGAAATAAAGCCTTGTTTGGAAGACGCCGTGACTTTTGCATCGAGGTAGCCCCGTGAGACTCCGGGGCCTTCAATAACCAGCTCCCCCACCGCACCAATAGGCAGGAGCTCGTTGACCCAAGTCGGGTGAGCGATCCATATCGATCCACAAAATGCTTGTCCTATGCTTTCGTGGTATACAGATTCAGGGCCCAACTCTTCCATGCAGCTCAGGATAGAAGCCTCGCAGGGCCCCCAGCCATTGATAAGGCGCAGCCTAGCACCCCACGTAGACGCTGCATTAGAATCTATGGCCTCTCCAATGCAAAGCAAGCCCTTTAAGTCGGGCACCTCATTGGGCGCCAATGTGCGCAGGACCGTTGGGGTTAGCCACGCCCACTCTACGCTCGAAGATTGGATATACTCGGCGAGTTGGGAACGACGCTGCTCGTCGGATGGAACGCAAATGCAGCCCCCTGATAGTAGTGCACCGTATTTCTCACCAATGCTGATATCCCAGATGTACGAGGCGAATTGAAGAATTTTGGTTCCTTGCTGCCAGCTGAGACGGTCTGCGATGTGCATCACAATAGTGACTAATGACCCATGTTCTAGCATCACCCCTTTCGGTGTTCCCGAACTCCCACTCGTGAATAGAATATACGCGAGTGTATTGGATGCATCGTGTCCAAAATCATTAGAGTTAGGAGATCTGGGTGGTGTTATCATCTGAGTGCTCGACATCTCTTCAATAGATCTATAATCCACAACTGCAGTTCCGCTGCAAAGATCCTCGCAGCTCGCATGATAGATTCTTGACGTCAGCAAGAGTTTTGCTTGAACGCTTGCAATCTTCTTCGCTTTGCGGTCGTGTGGCTCGCTGGTGTCAATCGGTATACAAACAGCCCCAGCCTTCAATATCGCAAGAGCTGCGACCGTGGCCCACCGCGATTTCTCGAATATAATCGCTACGGCATCTTTGCTGGCCACGCCTATGTTGTGGAGATGGTTTGCGACTACGTCGCTTGTATCGTCCAACTCTCGGTATGTAAAGGTGCCGTCCCAGGCATCTATCGCCATGGCATCTGGATGCAGAGATACCTTTTCCCGGAACAGCTCTGGGATTGTTTTATTTACTCTGGTCCCAACCTCTTTGTTCCATTCATGTATTTCGGTGCTATCCTCTGAACTCAGCAAAGACAACGATCCAATTTTGGCTTCGGGTTCACACTCGAGAAGAGTGCGAAGCGAGTGAGTAAAAGTAGCCAAAACCCTAGTGAGTTGCCGTTCATCAACGATGTTCGGATCAGAAAGAATCTCAACATCTATCTCGTCAGTAGTGGTCTCGCCGACATTGCAGTTCAGTGAAAGAGCGTAGGCGCTGCTAGGCGGACACATGAAGTCATAAGTCAAGCCAGACGTTTCCGAGTCCGCGGCGTGATAAACAGTCGGTCGAATATTCACCACCGTTTGAAACCTGCTCGCAGCCTGTGCAGAGTCACTGGCGAGCGCGATATTTGCTAGGCCGAAGTGCAGGGCTGGGTGGCTTTGGACCTCGCGCAGAGCTGCGGCCCGCTCTCGGATGAGCGCTTCCACGGACGATGTGCGCGGAAGATTGACCTGCACTGGTATTGTTTCGATCGTCGGGCCCAAGGTATTGGATAGACTGGTCAAGCCATGGGACCTGCCGGACAAGAGGGTGCCGAAAGCGACGCTGGAACTTCCAGTATAAGCACTTTGCGTAAGCGCCCAGGCCAGTTCAATGTATAGAGGCAAGTGCGCAATTGATATTCCCTCTTTTACCCGGAAATCTCGCAGTGTTGTCTGCTTCCTCAATCGCGTCACTGGAGCGTAATTGTCCCCGACCGAAGGGAAGACAGCCGGCGTTCCTTTAAAGCGAGACGCCCAGAATCTGTTCGAGGCGTCACGATCCAGCGCGCCGCAATGCGCTGCGAAATCCTTGAAAGAAGATCTTCTCGGGACCGGCTGTCCAGTGTATACTTGGACAACGTCTTTGTATATCAACCCCAGAGATGTGTGGTCCATGATTGCGTGGTGCATGGTGACAACCCATTTCCCATCCACTACAACGGATCGGAACAACGGTGAGCCCAGCTCCATCGGCATCTTCCTATCTTGGTGCAGGAAATCGTTCAGCAGGCCTTGAACATTGGTCGTTTCGTATGCCTCGTCAATGACCACCTGCATGACGCCAAGGTCGTTGCAGTCTACCAGACGAGTGCGCAAGATTGTATTGGCGGAGATGACCTCGCGCACAGCACTCGATAGCTTGCTCAAAGACACGGAATCGTCCAAGGACAGAACGAGTTGAAAAACACTGTTTCCGGTGTGAATCGCCGATTCTGCCATTGCTCGGCTTTGTAGAGGTGTACATGGATAGACATCTTCGATCTGGGTGGACTTGACGCAACATGTCTCGGCAATATTTTGCAAGACTTCCTGCTCGATGTTCATTGTGAAAAAAAGCAACTCAATGTCCCGATCGAACGTGTGCGGTGGTTTGTCTTTCGGATACTTTGGTGGGAGAAAGTGATGAAATCACAAAGGAAGTGCTAAAGGAATGTTATGAGCATGGAAGCCGTTCAAAGAAGATGACAGTAGTCGAGTGTAACAGCAATTCCAGTAACGTGGCAAGAGCCCATAAAATATTAATAGGCTCGTCAGTGATATCAATATCAGCAAAAGAGCCCAAAACGTCAAAGTCCAACGCCTCAAAATCTAGCGGCAAAGGCGAGAGGCCCCAACAAAGTCACAAGGCAAGCACTCCTCGTATCCAGTTCCGCCGAGAATTAGGGCGTGCCAGCCACGTTCATGCCAATCCCGGATTCCTGGTTTCACGCTCTCAGATCCAACAACTCCGAGAGTTTGTTGGTTGGTTGCCTTTAGATTGGCGACTTTCCCAACATCTGTAAATGGAGAGAGGGCGCACCATGACTCTCTGTTTGTTGAAAGGTGCTTATGTCAGATTATACGCATCCTTCCGCAAAAGAAAAAGTTTCTGGAAAAAGAAAAGATTTACGGGACGCGTATAATCAGACTACACTGAGTATGGTTATGCAGGGCAGCGCGGTCGGAGCATGAGGCCAGATCCACTGAACAATCGGAACCATGACACGGGCGGGGATAATCAACCAACACGACAAGAGCCGCAATCGGAAATCATCCTGCACTCCGCCTAGATCTACAGGCAAGCCGATGGTTAGTGCTAGGGTAATACGCGTTCACGGCACATGACGTAAGCATAGAAAGCAGCATCTGTATGACGAATCAACACTATTTGCGAAGTGTATACGAGGTCCCTGCATATTCCACCACAACTAGAATAGTGCATAAGGACCCCGGAGAAATCAGTAATCGGTGGCCATTGCGCCACGTTGTCGTGTATGCACATCGGAAGTTGAATGCTCGAGGCCACCATTACTTTATATCTGGTTGGTTGACTAACGCGATAAAGCGGACGTGCAGCTACACCGCGTAGCACAGATCCAACCTGCTGATACGCACGAACAATTGATGAATCCTGTCCTAGGAAAAAACCGAACATTTATCCCGCCTGAAGGATTCCACGTGAGTCGGGGGGTAATCTTACCCGCACGGACTCTTCCGCATATCTGCGTTTAAGCCCTATTTTCGTATGGCCAGCCTTGCTTGTTAGGGTAGTAGACGCCCGAAATTTCTCGTGACCTTTCAAGAACAGCCATTGATTCCATATCGTGACGATACGAGTAGGATGATCTGAGGTCAGATTGTTGAAACACACCGAGGGTTACCTGATCTTTAGGAAAGTCCAGAAAGATAGATTGGCGCTCGGCTGGACCAATTCGCTTGGATTCCCCGGCGTCTCCTATGGGAAAGAGGTTGGAGAAATAAATAATATGATCAAACTACACCTTCATCGACAATTCGTCAAGTCTTTGCTTGAAACATCTCCGGAGACTCTTCAAGATACGACTTGTTACCCGAGAGCTCTTTTGTTCCCATACTGTATTTTGAAGTCTTTTTAGCTGCCGCGGAAGTTTTGTTTCTCAACGTCCGCGGATTTCGTTCATGCCTACCATGACGCAGGACGTACCTATTGCAGTCATTGGCCTGTCCTACCGTGCACCAGGCGTGGGAAGAAAGAATCTTTACGAGTTTCTAGCCACAGCGCAATCAGCATGGTCACGTGTTCCAGCAGAACGGTTCACGCAGGATGCGTTCTACCACCCAGACCACCACAAGACGGGCACTATATCCTCAAAAGGCGGACATTTTCTATCCGAAGATATCTACGCATTCGATGCTCCGTTCTTTAAACTTCGACCAGAAGAAGTACGAGCGATTGATCCCCAACATCGCATGATCCTGGAGTGCGCATTCGAAGCAGCAGAAAACGCAGGTGTGACACTTGAGGACCTTGCTGGATCTCGAACCGGGGTGTTTGCCGCTATCGGAAGTAATGAGTATGCGGTTCAGTCTGTTGAAGATATCTACACGACAACGAAATGGACTGCTCTTGGAACGTCCAACTGCATGTTTAGCAATCGTCTGTCTTACTTCCTCGACCTCAAGGGCCCCAGTATCTCAATGGAAGCTGCTTGCGCGAGTTCCTCGTACGCGTTCCACGTGGCTTGTCAAAGTCTCCGTATAGGCGAATGCGAGTCTGCGTTTGTCAGTGCTTCGTCGCTTATACTCGGCAACTCCCAGTGGAATTGTCTTGACAAGTTAGGGTAAGACATCATCAATCCTGTCCGCTCTTATACCCGGATTGGTCATCCCCACAAAACGTGATAAGCTGACATAGCGGATAGGGCTCTTTCCAACGAGGGAAAGTCTTTCTCATACGACACCAAGGCTGAGGGATATGGGCGCGGCGAGGGTGCTGCGACCTTTCTCATCAAACGTCTGGATCTTGCTGTTCGAGACGGCGACCCCATACAGGCAATCGTTCGCAACTCTGCTGCGAGTCACAACGGTAGATCCGACGGTATCACTATGCCAAGTGGACCGGCACAAGAGAATCTTCTTCGACGAGTTCACGAAGAGATTGGATTGCGACCATCTGATACACCGGTTATAGAGGTAAGTCGAGAATAATCCTCCAAGCACGGAATATGTCACTTGAATAGTAGGCTCACAACCTAACAGGGCCATGGAACGGGAACTCAAGCAGGGTAACAGCCTCCCCTCGCAAATTTACCGTCTACGATTTAGTGCTGACTTATTGAACCTCTCGCAGTGACCCTGTTGAGGCCACAGCTTTCGCCAATGTCTTGGGGGCTGAACGCACTCCCAGTAATCCGCTCTATCTGGGCTCTCTCAAGTCGAATTTTGGGTATGAATCCAGAGTGTGCATCTATGGGTATGATGCCAATACTTACAATGCCGCAGTCATCTCGAAGGCGCAAGTGGAGCCCTTGGCATTGTCAAAGCCATTCTTATGCTTCAACATGACGAGATTTTGCCAACCGCGAATTTTGAACAATTCAATGAGAGGATCAAAGGTCAAGATAAGCTGGTGGTGAGTAACTTCCCGAAGTTCGGACCCTGATATTAGCCTCTCAGTCCTAAGTCAGTTCGCAGATCCCTACCAAACCAATGCCATGGCCTCGAGATGAGGCAAGGCGAGTTATTATGACGAATTTCGGTAAGATCCAGATCCCGGTGTAAGCACGATATCATTTTTGGGGACTAATACTAGCGCCTAAGGTTTTGGTGGAGCCAACGCTGCCATCTTGCTGGAAGCGGCGGCCTCCTCTTCACAGCTTTTGCCGGGTTCAATATACCATCCCATTGGCAACGGCTTTCATGCCAAAGGCGATGAGAACAAAAGCAATAGCCTGCTGATCGCGAAATCCTCGTCGACATCCAGACTATATGTTCTTTCGGCAAAATCTGAACAGAGTCTTCGGGCCTACGTCTCTTCCTTTCAACAGTATCTGGAAAAATCGACGAAGGATGAGTTCCAAACAGTGGCAAGTGACTTATGTTATACACTGAGCCAACGACGAACGCACCACATGTACCGCATCGCAACGCCCGCAGACTCAATTCAGACGTTGATTCAGTCTCTCAGAACGGCCAAGATTTCCAAGATCAAGAAGTTGTCCATCAGCTTTATCTTCACCGGCCAAGGAGCGCAGTACGTCAGCCAAATCTGCCCAAATCCTGAGAATGGAATAACATAAGCTGACAAGATCACAGGAGTGCCCGGATGAGTGAGGGTCTTCATCAGTACGAGAAATTTAGAGATGTCCTAGATCAAGCAGAAAAGCAGCTCCATGACATGGGTGCATCGTGGTCGCTCAAGGGTAGGTTTCAGGCATTCCATGCTCGGTCGATTTGAACATATCGCTGACCAACCTCTGTAGAGGAGCTCATGAAGACGAACGAAACCTCACGACTCAATGAAGCCGAAATCAGCCAGCCTGCTTGTACAGTGGTTCAGATCGGCTTGATCGAAATTCTCCGGTCATGGGGAATCGCACCCTCCAATGTCACTGGCCACTCTAGCGGTGAGATAGCCGCGGCATATACAGCAGGCTTCCTAAACTTGCGAGCAGCAGTTGCTGTTGCATACTTCCGAGGTCAGGCAGCTGCACGACTGCTAAACGACCAAGGGAACAAGGGTGCTATGATGGCTCTTGGTGCTGGGCCAGACGTTGCTAATCGCCTCATTAAGAACCTGCGATCACGCTACGCAACCATCGCTGCCGTTAACAGTCCTCAAAGCGTGACGATCTCGGGAGATTCGCAAGCAATTGACGACATTGAGTCAATGGCTAACGCGGAAGGTTTATTCAACAGACGGCTGAAGGTTGATGTAGCATATCACTCCAAGCACATGTCCAATGTCGCCCCCTGGTACTTGGAAGCCATCCAGCCATTTTTCAAATGGCAAGAGAATCCAAGCGAAGAGGCCAGTCCTACGTTTGTTTCATCTGTAACGGGACAGATTGAGAGTTCAGAAACTGTCAACGCCAACTACTGGATTGAAAATCTGGTTCGCCCTGTCCAGTTTGCCGACGCCATTAAGCGGTTGGTACATGTTCACGGAGAGTCGACAGATGCAAAGACGGTCAATCTCATGGTCGAGGTTGGGCCGCATTCGGCTTTGCAAGGGCCCATCAAACAGACCCTTACATCTCTGCGTCAAGATACTGTTGATCCCATTTCCGGTTCTGACATGTATCTGCCAACACTCATTCGGAATACGCCAGGAGATGAAGCTTTGCAGTCCCTGGCAGGTGCTTTATTTTCCTCTGGAGCTCAGATTGACATGGCCCAGATTCACAAGTCAACCCAGTCAAAGCCCACTGTCTTGACGGATCTTCCATCCTACAATTGGGATAAGTCCACAACTTACAAATACAGATCTCGCGTCAGCAATGAGAAACTCCATCCGAAGCTTCCAATCGCATCCGTTCTTGGAAACGAGAGCGTGTATGCCATTGGCGGCGAAAGAATGTTTAGACACGTTTTCACCCTCGACGATATACCTTGGCTACCCGACCACGACATTGCTGGAATGGTAATCTTTCCTATGACAGGGTATCTCTCGATGGCCACAGATGCAGTGCGCAGGGTCTGGAGCGGTCTCTCGAAACCTGGCAGCATCTCCGTTTCCGAATTTCACCTCAAGCGTAGTTTGGAGGTTCAGCAGGAAGAGCAGGTGGACATCACCACTAAACTCTCGCCAGCTGCGACAGGAACTGCGACATTCTCGTCAACTCTATGGAATTTTGAGATCAGTTCTTGGTCGGAGGAGTATGGATGGACAAATCACTGTCATGGCCAAGTTGAAGCTCTGAGCTCCGATCTTTCTCTGGCCAGCCCGACATTTTCGCTTGCCGAACCTCTGTTGGAAAGAATGAAAGGAATTGCGACCGAGGGCGAGGAAGCCTACGGTCATCTAGCGCAACTTGGAACCCGCTATGGACCTTCCTTTAAAGGAATGCAGCAATGTTGGATCGGACCCGACTGGACCATTATGGAGATGGAGCTAAGAGAAATTGAGACACCCGTCAATCTCTCTGACTTTGGATCCCTTGTGGCGGTTGATCCACCAACCCTGGACTCGCATTTACACGGCAGCTTGCTGCTAGCCATGGAAGCGGCGTACATACCGACCTTTGTCGCAAAGGTTCGTATCTCGAACAATATCCCAGAAGCCAGCAAACAGCGCATCATCGTTGCCACTCGACTCTTGAACTACGACAAGAAATGGGGACGCTTAGAAACCCAGATTGCAGTCTTCGCAGAAAGTTCAACAAAGCAGCTCATCCCAATTGTAGAGTGGGAATCCATCTCGAGTCGAGCTATCAACCCAGCTGATACCGAAGGACAAGTGAAAAGTTTGCCAACAGGATTCAGATGGGAACTTTCTCCAGCCGTAGAGCTTTTGGAAAACGACGTTACTGAAGCTGCAGTAAATGACGGTTCCACGGAACTCGTAGAGAAAGCTGGCTATAACGTTCAGGCATCACTCGTCATTTGTGGGTCATTCCTAGACGATGATGAGACAGAATTTGCCCATATGGTCGGAGATATCCTAGCGCAGCAGTTCGGTCAGGAAACAGAAATCCTGCCTATCGCAGAAGTGGAGATTGATGACCAGTCTCTATACGTATTCATCGACTCTCCCCAGCAAAGCATCTTGAAGGATCTTTCACACGATCGATTTACAACAATCCAAGATTTTCTCTTGAACGCCAAAGGTGTTCTGTGGATCGCGTCTGCCGCCGCTGGTCCAGAAGCCGAGATGATAATCGGAATGATGCGTACCTTACGGCAGGAGCTTGACAATCGCAATCTCATGGTTCTAAGCCGAGCTTCCCAGACCGAAGAAGCAACCGTTGCTATCTCCCAACTAGCTCAAAGACTATACGATCCAGCATTGGCAGATAGCACCAAGATCAAGGACCAGGACTTTATCTGGCAGAATGAACGTCTCCATGTTCCTCGCTGGTCACAGATTGAGGGTGTGCGAGAAACCTTTGCAGCAGAGGCTGAGATACCAGTGCAATCCCAGCGCAATATCTGGGAGTCTGGCAATGCCATTGAGTTGACCATTGGAGCTGCCGGTAATCTGGATTCGCTCTACTTCCGAAAGACGGAAACAAAGTCCGCGGCTCTTGGTGATGGTGAAATCCTGGTAAAAGCCGAAGCTGTTGGGATGAACTTTCGCGATCTGCTCATCTTTCTGGGATCCATCCCATGGTGTAGACCAGGCTTCGAAGGATCCGGGATCGTTATGGAAACCGGCAGAGATGTCACTCATCTCCAGCCTGGCGATCGTGTCTTCTACGTGTCCATGGAGGGCGGCTCGTACAGCACATACACACGCATGCCATCTTGGCGTGCCTGCAAAACTCCTGCGAGCATGTCAAGCACTGAGGCGGCCAGCTTGATCATCGCCTACTCTACGGCAATATTCGCCATCAATCGTGTGGGACGGGTAAGGAAGGGTGAGAGCGTACTCATTCATGCTGCCTCCGGGGCGGTTGGTCAGGCTTGTATCGTACTTGCCCAGCATGCAGGAGCGCGCGTATTTGCAACTGCAGGAACGCCCGAGAAACGTCAATTTCTACACGACACCTTCGGGATCAGCAAAAGCGACATATACTCTAGCCGGAATAATGACTTCCGGGACGAGATTATCAATGCGACAGAGGGGCGGGGTGTTGATGTGATTGTCAATTCGCTGAGTGGTGCCCTACTACAAGATACATGGGCGTTGATAGCCGAATTTGGGCGTTTTGTCGAAATTGGAAAAAAGGACTTCCTTCAAAACAGTAGCCTTGGTATGAGGCCATTCGACCGCAACGTTACTTTCAGTGGCATTGACCTGAGAGCAATGTTTATCCGTCGGCCGGAGGAGGAGAGAGAATGCCTCAGTGAGATCATGGACCTGATTCGCAGTGGAGTGGTCCGGCCGATTCAACCCATCTCGGTTTACCCTGTCACAGAGCTTTCCACTGGATTACGGAAACTGCAGTCCGGGCACAATATCGGTAAGATCGTCATAACTTTCGGGGACAATGATACAGCGCTGGTGGACAGTAGTGTGCCACTTTGTCCAGACCGTTTACCGAGCTTGCTCAAACCTGATGTCACTTATCTCATAACTGGAGGAACCGGAGGTATCGGGAGATCTCTCGCAACCTGGATGTTCAGCAATGGTGCTCATAATGTTGTGCTTCTGGGCCGCAGTGCTGCGACAAACCGCGATGTACAAAAACTCCGAGCTCAATACGAGGACTCCGACAAAACCCTTCGAGGTGTCGCTTGCGATGTGAGCTCCCGCGAGCAATTGAATGGAGCATTGGCCGAGATCGCAGATCTACCTCCCGTCGGTGGTGTGGTGCATGGTGCGCTATTTCTGAGGGTGAGTTGTTTCGGTTTTGGATTTGTTCTTGTCCTTTCTCCAGTCTTGCACTTTTCCTCATCCTTTTTCGGTAATGGACTCCTTCTTGTCCTTTTTCCTGTTTTAGACGTCGGTTTTCCTCTTTCCTGTTTTAGACGTCGGTTTTCGTTTTCCCCGTTTTGGAAGTTTGTTTTGCTTTTTCCCGTTTAGGACTTCTTTGTGTCCTTTTTTCCAATTTGGACTTTGTGTCCTTTTTTTTCCATTTTGGACTTTTTCCGGTCCTTTGTTCCATTTTGGACTTTTTCCTGGCCTTGTATATGTTTCCCAGCGCTAACAGATGCCACGCAGGATTGTTTGTTCGGTAAAAATACGTACGAAGATTGGCAAAACATCAGCAACCCGAAGCTTCAAGGTGCTTGGAATCTACACCATGCTTTGGGGTCGCTCGACTTCTTCATCAGTCTGTCATCATTGGTCGGTGTCGTCGGCAATGCGGGTCAGGTCATCTATTCCGGTACCTCTGTAAGTGTTCTGTTCCACAATGTATCGAATTATGTATCGAGTATTAACCGTCCAACACAGACCTTCTTGGAATCCTTTTCACGATCCAGAAACGGACAAGGAATGCATGCCGTCTGCGTTGCTTTACCGGCCGTAATGGAAATCGGATCGGCAGCAAAAGCCGGACTCGCGGAACGTCTTTGGCAAACTTCTGGGGCCGCGCTCACTGAGCAGGATGTCCAAACCGTCGTCAAAGCCGCCATATTGGGATCTCAGTCGGGTTGGGTTCATGATGGCCAAGCTGTCTTGTTCCGGTTAGCGCCGGGGGAAGAGATCGCCAGCCCCACAGGCACGCGGCTCCACCCTTTGACAATCGCGGGTCGCTTGAGGACTCAACAGCTCCAGGTCGATGATGGTGCAGCTGCAAATGGTGGGGCTGAGCGGGGTGGCAAGCGGCAATTGACAACAGAGGAGTCGCTTCTGGAGGCCCTCATGGGGAAAGTCTCGTCCATCACCATGATTCCTTTGGATGAAGTCGGGCCCGAAGAACCGCTGGCAAGCTACAATTTGGACTCCCTGGTGTCTGTTGAGCTGCGGAATTGGATTCGTCGGGAAGCGGGTGTTGAGATGGCACTGCCGTCGATTGTGGGTGCGGCGAATCTGCGTGCCTTGTCGGCGAGGATATGGGGGATGATGGGCAAAAGTGCTTGAGAAGGGAGACGGGCAAACGTGTGAGGACGAAGCTCGAGGGAAGGGGAATGTTGGAAAAGGGGGATGATTTATTGTGCGAGTTCAGCGACACTAAAGCCTAGATTGTGTAGCCCCTTGGCATTCCGCAACCGCGGGGAGCCGAAGAGAGCCGAAGGGATCCGCGACTCGCAACAACGTTGGTTTCGTAATCGCCTGTACCTCAGCTCTTCCTTTGTCACAACTATCGCTGTATGTTAGATTACCCGAATTCCAATTTACAGTTTTATTACATAAATTTCATTACTTGAGTTTATTACTTACAATTAGTCACTCACAATTCATTACTTACAAATAATTACTTAGAATTTATTACTTACAATTTAGAGTCATGCTTACCAAATCAATCATCCAACCATCCCATCTAAATCTACATAATTTAATCATCGCATACCCTACACAAGCACAACCCCCTCTATATCTAAGAAAAAAACAACTCCCCCATCACACAACCATCCTACCTTCTAAGCACCTAGGTAAGTACTGCAAGTAGAGAAATGTATAGAAGAGAAAGGTAGGTAAGTAAGATTAGGGAATGAGGGTTATGCGACTTGACAGGAAAGATGTTGGAATGAAGGGTTGATGTAAGAGATGAGAAGATGCATAAGTGTGTAGTTGAGGGAAAGGAAAGGGTGAGGATTAGGAGAAAAGATAGAGTGAAGGTGGAGATGGAGAGGTGATGCAAGGGTATGTATATATATATATGAAGGAAGAATGAATATGTAGGGAAATATGCAGCAGCGCAAATGCAAATGCAAATGCAAAAAAAAAAAACAGAATGCAACAACGTACTCGCACTCCATCCTCTCCGTCTTTGCAAATCCCACTTGAAGCCTTATTTCTCCTCATCCATATATTTACATGATTCGCCGGAGTGTGTTTAATTAAAAACATACCAAGTCATCAACGCCGCATGATCACTAGTCCACTCATTATCCTCATAATCCGGCGCGGGCCTCGGGGTCCCCTTCACCAGCGTCTCAGACCTCAGCACCTTCAACCCACCCTTATGATACACAAAATCAATGCGATCCTGCGGCTCGTCTTTCCCCTCGTCTTCGTTGTGCTTTTCAACAGGACTCCACGTGTTCCCCGGGGTAGCGGCAGGATCCGGATGCGCTTCGCGGAAGGAATCGACGAGGCCGGCGTCGGTGCAGAGTTTGGAGGTGGGCCAGGTGAAGACGGCGCCGCAGTGGGAGGAGGACGTGGCGGGGGTGTAGTCGAGGTGGGAGGGGGCGTTGAAGTCGCCGACGAGGACGAAGGGGGATTTGTCTGCGGCGGAGCGGAGGGGGGATGTGGCGGAGAGGACGCTGGAGATTTCGTCGGCGCGGGTTTTTTCGGTCTCGAGGACTGCGGCGTTGTCTTTGCCTTCGAAGCAGAATTCGTAGGGCCCGTATGGGTACGCGGTCGTGTGCGTGGAGAAGAAGTTGATGGCCTGGTCCGAGGTGCCGTTGACATGGATGGTGACGCCGGTTGCGCGCGTCATGGGTTTGGGGTGGCGCTTGACGATGGGGTGGCGGGAGAGGATGGCGGAGGTGTCTTCGGGGTCGGGGTGGTGGTAGTTCCAGCCCAGGGCTTCGCCGAGGCGTTTGGCGGCGCCCTGGCTGGCTTCCTGGAGGCCGATGATGTCGGCGCCCGAGTCGGCGATGAACTTGACTTGCTTGTTGTGGTAGTCGTTGACCTTGGAGCCGCCGTACCAGAGGTTGTAGGACATGATTTGGACTTCATTTGGTTTGTCTTGGTTGCCGGATTTCGGGGTGAAGGTGATGGGTTTGGCAAGGTGTTTGTAGCCGTCGTCGGCGAGGAAGTAGGCTTTGTACTGGCCCGAGGCGCGGACGGGGACGTCGAGCTCGATGGAGCCATCAGCCTTGGGGGCGTAGGCCCATCGGAGGGAAGGGTCGACCTGCTTCTCGTCGTCGGGCCCGCCCGTGGTGTGGTAGATGCCGATCCAGTTCTTGTCGTTTGCGGTCGAGGTTTTGTACTTGAAGGTCATTTTGCTGCCATCGGTAAAGGACAAGGTTCCGTCTGGGGCTGCAGCCACGACGGCAGCCAGCGTCGTCAACAGCGGGAGAAGCGTAGAAAAGAATCGCATGGTGGTGGAATGTCAAAGGAATGTGGGAGTGTATGTGGGGAAATGGTCGGGGTCGGTGGACGTTGGCGACGGGTTCTTTTATGCCATGCACGATTCGCCATGATCTGCGGTCTGTTCATCTTTCAGTGGTCGACTGCTAGGTTAGGCGAGCTGCCGTGGTGACAGTGAGGATCCAAAAATGGATTACCGAAGGGGCAGTTAAAGGTGGAACACGCCGCTTGGCACGGAGTGGGCGTAAGGCCCCCTGTGGTGGCTGGCTACATCACCTACATAGCTATACAGTCAGACGTCACACGGTTAGCCTACCGACATGTATTGTGCTACAGGGAATTTACTTCTTTCAGACAAGCGTGCACAGTGTTATAGCCCCCGTAAACCAAGATAATGCTTTGTCTTCTCTCCCCCGCAGCGGAACGGCTCAAGAGCATCAGGCCCCCCGTCAGACAGTAATTTCGGACTATGTCTTTAGGCCATAGTAGCCCTACTTAGGGCAATGTCACCTATTCTCCCTCCTAACAAGTGCTGTCACTGGACTAGTGTATACGGGGGTGACATGTGGCGCAGTGTTTAAGCGGCCCATATAGCTGTTTTAGCTGTTTGTTCTCAAACCTTCGGAGATGATGATCCAGAGTGACATGCACAGGCGCACGCCACAACCGACGCTCCACATCCCCGGGTTTTTTTTACATAAACTGGTCGCGTGAGGCATACTCTGTCGTGTTTTCTGCATCTGTTCGTTGGCCAGCGATCACAGCTAATTGCGCAACCGTTGAACCGAACTACGACTACCCACTGCTACTTGTTTCAGCTCCAGTGTCCTAGCGAATCGAAACACCATTTTCTCGTTTTAGCAAGTGGGAGTAAATTGTACAGGGAATTGCAAAATACACAAGGGTTCAGCACGCCAGAGTGTCATCCATGACCAGCGCTATGTAACCTGGGCATCACGAGGCTCAATTATTACCTGAGGATACGATCATCACATCCAGCACAGAGCTTGATCACATCAACCAAATCAGATATACCCTACACGCCACCATCCTCTTCCTTTGATTCATCCGAACCACAGAGTCGCTAAACTCAATAGATTGTGCGATTCCCCGGGAGCTCAGTCAACCCTACAAACCACGCGCAAATAATCGTCAGTCGAGTCCAAACTATCATAACTTCAATCGGCAAGAAAAAGAAAAGAAAATGATTCACTCACACTCATCAACATCTTCATCCACCGTCCTCGGCACCGTGCAAGCATCAGCCGCATCCGCTGACTGCGACTTCAGCTCTTTACACACGTTGCCATCGCAGCGCGAGTCCATGGCGCGCTGAAGGGTATCGTTTTTCCAGCCAAACACGTAATCGCCGTGCTGACCGTAGCCGTGTCTGCGCATGAATGAATGAGCACGGCAAAGCTGGAAACAGAGGACAACACTCACTGATCGCCTGTGCTCCAGACAAAAGGCTGCGACCCATCTTCGGGCCAGAGCGATTTATCGTTGAAGTGATGGGTCTAGTATATCCTAGCATCAGCAACACGATTCCTGAATCCCCCATCGTTCGTCGACGAGGTCAACGCCGCGCAACTCACACCACAGCGCCATCAACGAAGAAAAAAAAAAGGAGGTAGAAACTCACATTCCAAATAACCTCGTACATGACCTGCGGAATCACCACGGGATGGCTCGCAGGACATTTCCCCGTAGGCCCACTATCCGTCGCGCCCGCGCCCTCCGCATAAACCACATGGCTCCTATGATCCGGACTATCCAGATTCACGCCATCCCAACACGTCGGAAACGTAACCACGCTCCTCATCCCACCAACACACATTTCGCGGGGTAAGAACTGACTATCGGGGCTCGCGCAGTTAAGCCACGCGTTATCGCCCTTCGCCGGCATGCACCTGTGGCAGACTTTCCGCGGTTCCGCGGGGGACGTTAAAAGGGGATCGCCGACGAGCATGCGGAAACCAGGGCGGAACGCCGTCACGGAGGTGGTGTTGCGCGTGTCGGGGATGTAGTAGACTGTGATGCCGGCTGTGCCTGCGAGGCCCTCGTTAGGGGACTGCGAGACGCGTTTGAAGGTGCCGTTGCGCGCGCGGAAGTAGAGGACTGCGGTCCAGTAGTTTGAGAAGTCTTCGCTGAAGGAGCACGAGGTGCAGGTGGAGAGCGAAGGGAGGTCGTGCGTGATAGGGGGCATGTTGGCGCGGAAGGAGTTGCCGCCTACGATTTGGTGGAGGTGCGGGGACGGGGTTAGGCCTGGGTTGACGAGGGGGTCGAGACGGTCGATGACGAGTTGCGAGCATTGGAAGCGGAGCATTGGGGGGCGGTTGAATTGGGATGTTGTGAGGGCTGCGAAGAGGGTGAGGAGGAGGGGGGCTAACATGTTGGCGGTTAGGTGGTTTTCACGCCTTATTGGGGGTTTGCACGGGTAAGATTTGAAATTCGTAACGAAGTATCTGTATCTTTCTTGTGTGTGAGGGTCAGAGACGGGAAAAGTCCAATTCTTGAAGCCAGTGACGGCTACTGGGCATGTTATACTACTACCTCGGTCGCCGATGTATCAACCGCGACTTTCAGCCCTGTACTTAACAATATATATGATGAGAGACTGAAACAGACGGGTTCATTGGCGGCTTTTGTTGAGAATTGTGGCTCTGCACCCAGGCGTACGGTATGTTGTATAGTAGTGATATTACCCAGGTGGGGAGCTCGGGAGTTGAATCGTGGGGCCGTCTTTCTGTAATGTCTCTTTGTAGATGCGAATACAGCACAGCTATACAATCTTGCTTTTTGTCTCCGCCCAACATAGTCTGATGTTCTCGTTTTCTCGTGAATGTTGATACACTATTTTTCCAGGTGTGTTTGGCATATCTCGCGTCGTCTTGGCGCCAGAATTCAAAAGTCTGATAGTGTATTCAACGATACTTTAATACATTATCAACCCTTTGATTCTTCTCGCATTTTTCAAGTTCTGCACTACAACTACTCCACCGCGTGCAGTGATCAATGGCAGTGTGTTAGTTACCCTATTAGAAAAGATGGAGTGTTCACCCCATGCCAGTGGTGTGAAAGGTTGATGTTCAAGGTCATTCGTCATGGTTGATCAATGCTATCAGTGGCGAACACATACAACGATCAATACAAAAACAGTTGAAGTCAAAATCAGACAGTAACACCCACACATCGCGCCGGCATCTCCAGCAGCTACACACATACTTGATTTCCCGGATCACACCTCCCAACCTTCCCGACACCGCATCTCTAGCGCCTTTGTTCGTCGGACGTTCAGTCACGGCGGCCGGCTGCACATCTGAAGGAAGCTCTGTCCACAACCCCGCATCCGCTTGAATTTCGCGATAAGTGTGGTGAAGTGTCGCAGTTTACTGTCCGAGGTTTCTGCAATTCCCATCACCCAACGTCCACCCATCGGATTTCCATCGAGGAAAATTCACAGTAGCAATCTTTCATGATACACGATGATGCATGATCAAGAATTTTGATGATATCGATGAAGATGGTGGAGTGGTGGCGATGAAGATTTTTTTACTGGCATTCAACGCGAATTTTCGGAATTGCCGGATTAGGCAGTTTGGAGAGGGCGCGAGGAGAACACCTACCGGCGACATGCGGATCAGTTTTCATCGACAAAAAGGAGATTGGGATAACTACTGATAACATACCATGGCGAAAAATCAAAGAGTTACTTTGCATGTGCACGATTAAGTGAATGGCGACAATGCACTATGACGAAGCGGCAATCGACTCCTCTACTACAAAGGACTTCCTAACTAGGGAGTTTGAAAAAGGGGCTATGGAGTTTTACGTGCTGAGTGAGGACTGTTGATTTTTACGTGCTAAGTAAGCACTGGAGTAAAAAACAGTTGTTCTAAAAATGGTGTTTTGAAAACGGCGGGTATACCTGATGACTAAGAAAATCACATAAGAAGGGGGTGGGTCCAGCTGTGGGTCCCGTTGTGGGGCCGCACTTGGGTATAAATAGCTGCTGATCCCCCTCCCTTCAATTCCCATCGCTTCCACTCAGTAGTACATGTCACACAGACCTCATGTGTTGGCAGCTTGGGTTGGCCTCTGGCGTCGCTTTTCAATGCCGCGCAAGAGAGGACAACACTACTAAATCCCACACACTGGTTTTGACTAACTGCAAACCATAGTATCTGCTCTGGTCACTACTAAAATCCACAGGTTTACCCCTAGAAGCTTAGAGGACGATGGTTTATTGGGGGAGAGCAGGTTCGTAGCATTGCGTTTCACGAACTGATGTTGCGCTACAGTGCGTCGTCGTAATCGATCCCCGACCTCTCGAGTGGATTGGATGCATCACAGGAGCGGTGAGTACATCCATTTGTCCCTATTCTCAACCTCTGCATCTTCGCCGTTAAAGGCTGTGTCACGGCAATGCGGCACAAGAAGCCTCTCAGAACCCCAGAAATTTTCAACCCTAATGTTCTCGTCCCCTGTTCCCACTCCTGGGCTCACGGTATCTTCGTCGCATGTCTATGCAGCACAAGAGCTTGGTGTAAAAGCACGACAAAACCGGTGTTCAGCTTCAGTGCGAACTCATCTTCCGCGGTCATTACAGTACTCTCCCCTGCCCCAAATCAAAATGCGACACCCCATTTCTTGGACTTCTCGCCGGATCCCATACTAGATAGATATGTGCGACGATTTCCAATCAATAGGGAAGAAAGAGCTGTAGAGAAAGTGAAAAGCTCACCTATCCTATTATCTTACTGCTACAGTTGTGCGGCTATATATGCATGTGTGTTTCCAAACGCCTGTACGTATCGCTGAGACACATACATCTAACCTCTCTCTTCACCTTTCATCAAAACCACCTCTTTCTCTTTTAGCACGCTCCCTGAGAGAAAAGATTAGAAGATCAGTGCTTGCATCTCTCTTGATTCTTTTACTAGAACAGAGAAAGTAGGAACTAAGCGTAGTGGTAAATTATTGCATTTCCCTGCGGCACAAATACTTTGTCTTGATATAAAAGTGGGAACAAGAGAAGAAAAAGCTGGTGACACAATAGTTGTACAATAGCCGGGTAACAAAAATGGTTGTACAATAGCCGATAACACAACTTTGTAACAAGAGAATCTACGGTTTCTAGGAAATTACCTGATTAGGGAGGTTGTCACCCTTACTTTATCTTCCCCCACAACCTTTAGGGCATAAACAGCTGCCTTAGTTTACTTGTTTTCTTACCCTCTTCCTACAGACCCTTAAAAAGGAAAGATAAAATCCTTTTGTGTTGTAGACTAAGATTCTCTTCTACTCTTTTTCCTACCTGCTTTACTGCTCGCAGGCCTCTAAAAACGTTCTCTTAGACTCTTTGTAACTCTATCTTCTACTAAACAGAAAATTAAGCAAAAAGAAAAATTTCAAGATGTGGGCTGGAATTTCCAATTTAGGGAAAATATGACAATTGATGCTGTAATCTACACTTCCTTCTCTAACTTTCTAGATTAGGCAGGTTGAAATTGTCTTAGCATGCCTATCTTTTTACCCTCCTCCTGCTCCCCCTATGTTAGTCGCAAGGATGTAGAATTCTTTTCTTAGAAGTCTCTATTCTCCCTCTGTCTCTATGTGCAAAAAGAAGAAGAATGAAATTTTTGAAATTTAGAGTAAGATGGTAAATCGCTGCTGTAATCTACACTCTCTTCTCCCCTTTAAATTCCCTACTTAGGAAATTTCTTAGAGTCTTCTGCCCTCGCTTTGTTTACTGTTAAAATTTTAAGGAAGAAAGATTTTTCTTTAGAAGAACAGGTAGGAGATGCGTAGAAGTGCAGTGAAGATGGATTAGTTTTGTAGGGAGGAGAGGTACTAGATTTAGAAAGGGAAGAGTGGATGGGATGGGGTGAATGATGGGAGGTTGTTTTAAGATGTGTGGAGGATGCGATGGGTATGTATAAGTGACGTAGGTGATTAGAGAGTGTTGTAGTTTTATTGTGTGTATGATTTGAGGAGGTAAGGGGTTCTAATTAAGGAAGTAATTAATGGGGAGACGGTATGCTAAAAGACATCTGGAGGTATATGTACGGGGACATGACAGGAACAAAATAAAAGATTCCCTCAATAAGAGCAGAGAGAATATCAAATCCTCTTTCCATCTGCATTGATTGCTCATGACGCTGCACATTTTCCCAAGAAAAAAAACCAAAAAAAACCAAAAAAAACCAAAATAAAAGACCGACGTATTTTTTGATCGATAAATTACACAAGATGAAATCTACATGTTACAGTGGGAATGCCTAGTAAGACGACTACATCATTGCACCATCGTCTCCAAAGTCCCGACAGGCCGTTCCACAAGGCCAATGCATCCATCCACAACGCTCTTCCTGGCATCCTCGGAACTTACATTTTGACCGCCCAAATAGAGCAGCCATACCAATCGACTAACTCTCTCATCAGCCACACGTCCCAGTTCGACGACATCCTCGACACGCTCGCCCTTCTTGGTTGGGGTGACGGGTTGATAAGAGGCATTCAGCGCACCGCTGACGTCCCGACGCAAAATCAGCACACTGCCCTTTGGAGCTTTCCCACGGCCCTGGAAAATGGCTTTGAAATCTTTCATGGCGAGACCAAATGACTCATCCGCAAACTCGCCCTCATCAACGGGTTTAGGAAGCGAGATTTGCTTTTGCTCGGCAGCCTGTTGGCGCAGGAGTTCCGCTTGCTTCCTGCGCACTTCATCCGTACGCGACGCAATACCTCGCATCCACCCATCCTGAAGATGCTTAAAATCTGTGCCGCGAACGGGGACAACGCGGAACGCGGTTTCGACGGCAGTGGTGCCGGAGCTCGAGAGGATGGCTTCCCAGATCTGGGTGCTGCGTGTGGGGTCCAGCAGGGCCTTCCGGAGGTCTTCTTTCTCGCCGGGGATGAGGGCCGAGGCGGTAGGGTTGACGGTGTTGATGAGGTGGTTTTGGAGGGCATGGAGATGTGCTGATTTGACGTATAGGCCGACGACGTAGACTTGGACGCGGAGAAACGAGACTTTGCGGATACCAAGGCCTAGGAGAGTGTATTCGGCAGAGCTGGCGACGGCTTCGGGGCCGGTAGTGTCGGGGAGCGTGATGGTGCGGGGGAAGTAGGGGACGTAGGAGGTACCGGTCTCGACGAGCTCGATGGTGTCGACATCTGAAGGGGTGGGGTTTTCAGAGGTTGAAGGCGCGGCAATGACTTTGTCGCCTGCAGCGACGACGACTTTTTTGCCTTGGAACTCGTCGATGGCCGCGCGGGGGGATTCGGTTTGTGTGGGTTTGGGGGAGATGAGATCTAAGAGACCCCTTGAGGTTTTCTCGCCGTCTTTCTTCTCTTTACCATCCTGCTCCTCTGGTGCTGGTATATCCCATAGCCTCACAAGAAAGATGGGCGCAATCATAGACAGAGCTGTGCCAAGAATGAGCCAATTGCGTTTGCGGATAGCCTGGGCTCTTTCAAGATATTCGGCGCGGTGGACTGAGACGCTGTCTGGTCCGCGAACTCGGCGTGGACCTCCGAGCGGTGGGGGGTATCGCGGTGCGGCGAGATGGTGGGTTTGGTGTTGAGTGCGAGGAGCGAGGGGAGCGTTCAAGCAGCGGAACAGCGGCCGGCGGGCGGCAAGTCGTGATGGAATCATGTCGGCTATGGATCGCTATTCAATGTACGTTTCATTCGCTCGTCGCTCGTGGGAGGGTTGATTGGGTATTTGCGATGGGAGTGGTGGTTGTATGTTCACGCACGATGATGTAGTAACATTTGAAGCAATCTCGGCTGCCATGGTACCCCAGAACAAGGGATTTACCGAGAAAAACCCGGGAAAGGATCGACTGGTACCGGTTGACTTCCGAGGTTGAGGGATTAACTCCTGCGGTCCCGCTTTGAGGAGGGCGAACGCTGAAAAGGGCCTAAGGTGTCCTGGAGTGGCTGTAGTTATTTATCTGAAGTTTTGAATTTTCAATACAAAGGTGGGGAGTGTTTTGATACAGAGAGCGCGAAAAAGCTGTAGCACGTGACGTACGCGACACTCAACAAGCACTTCAGTCGCTCTTAACGCGTCGTGAAAACAACCGCGATCCCACCCCGACCACCACTTTCGGGTGTCGCATCGTCTCAGCTGAATGGCGGTAACGGCCCGCTCGGTGCGGCAAATGCTCACAGTGAGTTCGACTAAACAGGTATATGCGTAAATTGTATGGCTGATGAAGAGAGAAGCCCCCCGATGAACCAACACCCGGCCAGTATGCCTATCCAGACGGAATATTCCGTCCGTTTACTCCAAAATTCAATGGGCAGCTACCCAACTACGATGACGAGGAATTAAGCGACGACGGAGGAGATGTAGGACCACGTCCAAGAAAAAGACCACGTCCAACACCACGTCCAGCATCACGAGCAGCATCACGAGCAGCACCACGAGCAGCACCACGAGCAGCACCACGAGCAGCACCACGAGCAGCACCACGAGCAGCACCACGAGCAGCACCACGAGCACCGGAACCTAGGTCAGATTCAGAACCAGTTCAACGTGACGACAGGCAAAGAGCCATTGAAGGGTTCGCCTCAGACCTAATCCGCTATGCTTTGAGTCGTGAATTTGATAACGAACCCATCAGACGGAAGGAAATTGGTGATGAAGGTGAATAGTCACTTGATTTTCATGCTGGCATGGGCTAGGGCTGACTCTTGGGTTAGTTCTCCGAGGTAACACACGCCTATTTCGCCCTGTGTTTGATTTGGCGAATAGCCAGCTCATGGATGTCTTCGGCCTGTGCATGGAGGAGCTGCCTGTTCGAGCTAGGATCATTGTCCCCAGAAAGCGCAGTATGTCTCGCCCATTGCAACTCATCCAGCACTTGGGTACAATAGAGGTTGAGGTGCCTTTGTAACTGACTTGTCTAACAGGGGCGGCCACTGTAGCGAAAAACGTTCCCTCCCACACTAATATGTGGTTGGTGCGAAACACACTCCCCTGCGGTTTCCGCGCGCCCGGCCTCGTAGGGGCTGGAAGACCGCCTCCAGGGGAAGAAATGGACTTGAGAGGCATCAAAATTGCCTTCTACACCATCATCGTCTCGCTAATGTACCTCTGCGGCGGCAAAATGGACGATCTCAAGATGGAGCGGTTTATTCTACGGATGGGTGTAGGTGACAGAATGCCTTACGATTACACGGACAGGGCGCTGGTGACCATGATCAGGGAAGGGTACCTCACTAAGATCAAGGACCCTAACAGCGACCTCATCGAATACGCCCCTGGACCGCGTGCGCAGGTGATGATAGGCAAAGAGGGCGCGGCGGGGCTGGTGAGAGCTGTGTACGCGGTGGACAAGGGCGGGGATGTGGACAAGGACGACTTTGAGCAGCGATTAGCGCGGAGTCTGGGTCTGGCAGTCGACGAAGCTGATGGTGTTGATGACTGAGAACGGTTCAACGAGCGGACGACTTCGGTTATGAGTTCAGGAGTTAGCATTATGATACCCCGGCAGCATCGGATGAGGTTACTTTTTTTTTTGGTTAGGACTCGGAGGTGGTTAGAGTTCGGGGATAGCTGTAGGCTATCGCTGCTGCATGCATGGATACATGCAGGTGACTGATGAAGGCCAGAAGCGACTCAAAGAGTAGAGGGATCGTCCATTTCGACGACTTACCACGATCAACAGCGGCATCGTCATGGCCATGGCCATGCACCGTCGGCTCGCTCGGTAGAAAGAGCAACGAGCGGGCGGGCGAGCGACAGGGATGTGGTGGAGGAACACCATGACATACCACGACATGACCAAGCAAGCAGCCGATGGCAGTGCGACGGAACGACATCAGATGAGAGCAATAGCGCTGGGTGGAGCTGTCCTCTCCCCCTCCCTCTGCCTCTCTTGCTGTCTCTCTCTTCCCTTTGATCGGCCCAAAAGATCAATCACGAGTCTCCTCACTAGCTGCATCCCCCCCCCCCCAAGCTACGTAGAGTAGAGCAGCCCGCCCGCCCAATCGCCGTCCTCCATCTCGCCTCCCTCGTCACGTCGCCCTTCTCCTCTCTTTCTCCCTCTCACGCTTTTTTTCTCCCCTCCCATTCCTCTCACTCCCCATTCTTTCTTCACCTTCACCTCCACCCGCCAGTCTCTCTTCACACTACTTTTTGATCTGATTTCCTCCTCCGCTAATTCTCGCCATGACTTCACTTTCATAACCGCCTGCCTGCCATTGTCCCAACACAGCAACGCCGTCTCTCATCCTCGCCCACCTCCCTCGATCCCCCACCCGCGCGCGCACGCATTCATCGCATCAGCCTGCGCGCAATCCCCTCGTCAACCGCCGCCATGAGCTCCATCGACGACCTCCTGAATCACGAGGCTGCGGCTGGTGCTCGACGCGGCTCTGATTCTCAATCGCAACCCGAAGAGCAGCAGCAACAGCCGACGCCACCCGCCGCAGATTCTGCCGACACCGCCTATGTTGCCCACACAACCTACGAAGCTGCAGACGCCCTCACCACCCTCGCCACTCTGGGCAGCGGCCAGCAGTATGCTCCCAGCCCTTCGGCCACGCGCGAGCTGCCCCCACCCACCGCACATTCCCCACCGAAGCCGCCGTCACAGCGCTCCGCCAGCTTCAGTTCCACTTCACGCCCTGTTGTCGTCGAACCAGACCTGCCCGCCGACCAGCCTCAATCGCACTCACCTACACTAGAACACTACCACCACGAGTCCAAGTCGCCCGAAGAGCAGCGCCGCCAATCCATCTCGTTGGCTGCTGCTCGAACCTCGCCCGCACCCGTCTTAGCTCCCATTCAGACCGTCTCCCCTACGCGAGCCCACGACGCACAGCCCTCTCCGAGCTCCGAACAAATACCCCAGCCGCACGCTGTCAAACATGAATCGACTCCCACCTCGCACGCGAGTCCGCCCGCCCAACCTCCCGCCGAGCGACAAGCATCCGTTACAACAGAGACAATTGACGCCGATACACGCAAGGCAATCGAGCTGGCGAAGCAAGATTTGGGCCTGCGCGTGAAGCGCAACGCAAGCGTTGTTGAGAGCATAGCCTCTCCCACAGAGCAGAAGCCTGCGCCCTCGAAGAAACGTCCCGCGCCGGGGTCCACTTCCACTATCAAGAAGAAGGGCACCGCGACGGCCAAAAAGCCTTCCAAGAAACGGAAGATTGATACCGACGACAATGCGAGCGTTCGATCGGTGACTCCCACATCGCGCTCTGCCAAAAACCCTCCCAGCAAAGCCTCCAAGAACCGTTCGCAGGGCGGCACTCCAGCGGCAGGCTCCTCACCTGCTCCCGATCACTCGTCACAGGTACACCCATCGGATGACGAAAACGAATCCTCGGAAGACAGCACCCTCTACTGCATCTGCAAGAAGCCCGACAACCATAGGTGGATGATCGGATGCGATGGCGGGTGCGATGACTGGTTCCATGGCAGCTGCGTCGACATGCAACAGGCGGACGAAGACTTGGTCGACAAATTCATCTGTCCGCTTTGCGAGGAGAAGGGTCGGGGGCAGACAACATACAAGCCCATGTGTCGCCGCGACGGCTGTCGGAAACCCGCGCGCCTAGTCAAAGGCAAGGAAAGCAAATACTGCTCAGACGAATGCGGAGCCTCATTCTTCACCGAACAACTGCAGCGGACGGCTGGCGCAAAGGCAAAACCCAAGAGGTCGAAGAAGAAGAACAGCAAGCACGGCGAAGACACAGGGTCAGATGACGATGACGAGCCGACCCCATTGGGTGGTGTCCTGCGCGCCAAAGACCTCAAGGCCCTACTCGAGCCGTGCAAAGAAATCCAAGCGTTCAAAGCACTCGGTTCCGGCGTCCTCTCCCCTCCCCAAACCGCACCTCCATCGCAGACGGCCTTTGACACCTCCCTCTACGAGGATCTCTCCCTCACAGCCGGCGAAACTGAGCGCTTAAAAGCCCTTTACAACGAGAAAACGCAGCTTGAAGACCGCCTCGAACTCCTGCGAGACCGCGAGAAATTCGTCAGCATGGTCAAAGAGCAAGCTGTGCGCGTTGCAGATCGGGAAAAGATGAAGACAAAGGATTTTTGCGGGTACGACTCGCGTCTCGCGTGGTCTGACGCAGAGTTTCTGAATTGGCGGAGTACCAGGGAGGGACAAGCTTCTTTCAAGTTTTCTACGCTTTCGCCGTCGGAAAAGCAGGTCGCCTCTCTCGACTCCACAGCTTCCAGAGACAAAGACGTCGACATGCCGGACTCCAACAACGACCAGGAAGATGAAGAGCCCACCGACGACAACACAGACCACATCTGCATGAAGAAGCGCTGCCAGAAACATCCCCAATGGCAAAAGCTCAATCTTCAGGACGCCCGGTTCGAGGAACTCGAGATTGCGCAGTCGATTAAAGAATGCGAAAAGGATGAACGCAGTGTGAAAGACCGCGCTAGACGGCGTGGGGCAAAGGATCAGATGGCCAAGGAACTTACGACCGGGAAGGCCAACGGTGATGTCAATGGTGACGGAGTGACAGCAGCACCGGTCGAACCCAGGAACCGCGAGGGATGGGTCGAGATGGTGCAGGTTCAGGTGCAGTGATTGAGAGAGTGAGACGGTAGATGTTGGATGGAGCTGCGGGGTGGATACCTCCCTCCTGATATTTTTTGTTCTCCGTTGATTTTCTGTGGGGGAGAAAAAGGGGATTTGGATTCCAGACAACGATTGAGGATATTCGGAGATTCCTTGGAACTCGCTTTAGTTCTTTCCCCCGACACTGCCAGGTACTTTGTCCGGCTTCTTAGGCTGCCTAAAAACAAAAGGGGAAGTCCCCAGCAATCACTCCTTGCAGATTTTGGAGATATGGCCCGGCCAGGGTCTACACAAAATACACTTTAAATAATACGCGAAGAAAAGCAGGAGACTTGATTCCGTGCTTTTTGGACCAGTCTCTGGGGAGAAATAAAAAATCTAAGAACTTTAATCTACACTCTGAACTTTTCCAAAACCTTCTCAAGCTCATACATTCGCGTTTTAATGTTTCTTGCTTTCGTTGCGAGCGGTATGTCTTGTTCTAGAAATCTTGTGGGAGTGCAACTTGCTTTACGCTCTTATCTTCTGTTATCAATGTATCATCATATTACATCATATTACATTCTTGTAAATTACCGGACACAAAGTTCAATGTTCTGAAAAGTAGTGTTTTACAAAACAGGCGGATTACCTAGATGACTAAAGTGGCCCGGATTGAATGCCGCAAAATCCCTCAGTGAACCATGGTACAACACCTCAACGAACCAACGATGGCCAATTCACGGCAAACACTTATATCAAGGAGATCAGCTTTTCAAATTCTTTTTTTTTGGATCTTTCACTCCCTCTTCTTCAACTTCATCCTCATGTAACATTTGATAACTTTTCTTGCCAGGTGAAAATAGGTCCTTAAGTAGTTACTGCTTACAGAATAGATTCCAGCTCCCCGATCGAATTCGGACTCACAATTATTGATTCATTCTCTTAGTAAGAAAACACACCGCTGCTCTCGCACTAATTGAACCCTTTCCTTCTTTCACCAGAACATGAAGGGAAGACTTCATCTCATCTTCCTTCTTCCCGATATGCAAAGACATCCTGGCCGACATAGATCACAAGCAACGTGGTTCAAGGGCTCTTGGTAGCATTGATTGATTTAATCTTTGGAACGCGGAAGTGCGATCAAGCGATCTGGTTTGAATTTGGGTAAACACTACTCGTCCCGGCAGAGGCAGTCTTCAAAGCAAGACAAAAGATGGAAGCTATACAACCACGGCTACCACATATTCTAGGTCTGAGATTCTTGGGAGATGTCTTTTAAGGAGTAAATCCACCAGGTAACTTGGGCAGCCCTGCATTATCCCAAAGTCAGCAAAACAAACACACAATCAAACCAGCCCCTACAACACCCTCAACTCCACCGCAAAACAAGATGAAAAGGGAGAAAAGGAACTCACAGCTATCGTAATCCTCCCCAACCATATCCTTGACAGTACACTTGTTCTGCGCCGCAATATTCTGCGTCTTCAACGTCGGCGCACTCACATATGTGTGCCCGTCAAGATGCTTCTGCAAGCTATCCCCCTCCCACCCAAACAAATAATCCGCATGCGTCGAATACCCCGTCGTATCCCCACTGCTCCACACAAACGGCTGGCTCCCGTCAGCAGGCCAATCCGCAGCCTTGTTGAACGCCTTCGTATCCCACACCGTCTCGAGTAGTAGTTGCGGTAGCCGGATCGGATGCGTAGCGGGACACGGGCCGCCCGACTCAAACGTCCCCGTAGAAGGATACGCAACATGGTCCTGGTGATTCGGAGAATCGAGATTGACGCCATCCCAGCACGTCGGGAAGCGGTGGTTTATCATGATCCCCGCGGGGCAGGGCTTTTTCGGAAAGTCCATTGTCTCTGGGGCGCGCGTGCCTTCGTTCTGCATGCACGTGTATGTGAGTTGGCGGTTGGCGCGGGATTCGTTGAGCGTGCGGTAGTTGACGTTGCCCACGAGCATGCGGAACCCGGGCTTGAAGGCCGTCACGGTGGACTTTTGAGAAGTGTCGAAGAGCGCGTCCGACATGTAGTAGACTACCATGCCGCCTTGGGTGCCTTCCATGCCTTGCTGCGCGCGTTGCGGGACGCGCTTGTAGGTGCCGTTGCGGGCTTTGAAGAAGATTACTGCGGTCCAGTAGCTGTTTTTTTTTTTGCGTGTGTCAGTTGGAGTGAGGGGGATGTGGGTTGGTTTGGGGAAGGGAGGGAGAGGCTACTTTGAGAAGTCTTCGGTGAATTGGCACGACGTGCACGTGGATTGCTTGACGAGGTCATGGCTGGCAACGTCCATGGAGATGTTGAACGAGTTCTGCGCGGTTCGTTGGATTCAGTCAATGAGTTTGTGGGAAACGGGATATCTCGTCGACTTACGCCTCCAATGATCTGGTGCAGATGCGGCGATGGATTCATGCCATTGTTGACCAGAGGGTCCAGACGCTGGATGGACGATTTGGCGCATCCAAACCGAAGCAACGCATCCGTCCCCGAGAACAGCGTCGCCAACGTGGCAAACGCCCAAGCAAACACAAAATTCTTCATCGTTCATACAATATACAAAATAACCTGTCTTGGGAAAACGAGAAAAGTGGGATTCAAGAGTAATCGGGCAGTGCTCTCCCTCTATCCATCCCTCTCAATCTCTATAACCAGTCCATTCCCCACCAACAAACATCGGTCTTATGTCCCAGACAAGCCCAAAATCTGCCTATCGCAATCCCCCTTCCCCGGAACCATCCCAGCCCATTCTCCCATCTAGGCTTTTCAACTGCCGGCCCACCTCGCCCAAGCTCCTCACATTGCCGTTAATCAAACAGCACGAAGGGTTGGCACCCACATATGGATAAATCCAAAAACGCAGACTAATCTAAACGATCAGCGGGAGATCTTCCCCCCTTCCCCCAGACACAAAACTTTATATCAACGTCCCAAGACTTTTTTCACGCACACTCGCTGACGATTCTTTTGGGTTTATTTAGATGATCGTCGCTGCTTGGGTTGGGGCGTCCACGTGGTGGGTGTGGAAGAGGGGGGAGTTCGGATCTATGCGACCGAGGGAACGTAGAAAGCGATGGCGCTCAAGGCAGTTGACTACCGTCCATTCAATCGCCGTGCTACATTTTCCATTCAAGTTTATCTTGCCGTCGCTAGCGTGGTCTTATTCGTGGTTATTCTAAATCGCACGCGGGGGCGAGTGCATTTTTTCCCTTGACCCCAGATTCATCGACTACGATATCCAAAGCTTCCTTCTCAAACACCCATCACCGTCCTCATCGTCTTGGGAACAAGAATTCAGCGGCAATCACAACAGAAATACGACACATACAATCTCCAAATACCCATCCCCCCAGAACTCTCTCCCCCCCCCCCAAAAAAAAGAGGAAGAAGTAGGGCAAGACCAAGAAAACACCACCACCAAACAATGAAACCCCAAACCCTCGCCCTACCTTTCCTCCTCACTCCATCTCACGTCCTCGCGCAATCATACCCAGAATGCACGCGCGAACTCGCTCAAACAGACGCTTGTCTCGCCGTCATTAACGCGAACGCCTGTTATAACCAGGTACTCCCACCCCCTCCTTCTCCTCTCCTTTCCTCCATCCAACAACAAAATCTCCTTCCCAATCATCTTTCATATATATATATATATATATGTATATCCCACAACAATTTCCTAACCAACCCCACAGTTCAAATTCAACAACGCGCAAGCCCTCCAATGCGTCGACGCCGCAAACGACACCGAGAGGAAGAAAAAAGTTGAGTCGCTTCTTTTTCTTCTTCTTACTTTTTCTGTTCTTTGATTTTGGAAGTTTTTTTTCGAGCTGACGATGGGTGCGGGAGAAAGGTTTGTCAGTGCTGCACGTGTGTGGGGACTGTTATGTGTGAGTGGGCTACTAAGCAGAAGTACTGCTAGAATCTATTCGGGGGCATGGAGGGCAAGGGTGAAGGATTAGGACGTGTCATTTACTAGGTCTGCGCATTGGTTTTCGAAGCGAAAATCTTGCTTTCAGTGTGTGGGAATTATGGCGACATGGTTCTCTTCATGATCCTAGTGATGGGAAGTAGTCGTACCCTGCGCGCCGCACAGTTTTGGTACTTAGGAAAGCGAATGTTGCGGGGGAGAATGTGTGGCGTTGGGGAGTGCAGAAATTATTGAGCGAGCGAATAAGAAGAATAGACTCGATCACAGTGATGTCGTAATGGTTTTGTGTTGGACCTTTTGTCCTTGATGCTATGCTGACCTATCAATTCTGATGGATATCGATTTTACTTCGCAGAATCCTTTCTGTGGCAATTGTCACGTAGATGATCGTCTGAACCTTACGAATTGATTCTGATCATTTTATGATTTGGTGGTTATTCACGCGCGGGGATGTAGTAGTGTTTAACCAAGATCGTAAAGTGCATAACTGATCACTCGTGCCTCGAAAGTCACGGATTTTATCAAAAAATACATCAAAGTGCAGACCCTTGAGATAATGCTCCCCCTACCGTAGATGGATTCTGAACTCATGCAGTAGCCCCATACTCTACTCTCTAAGCGTAGTAATGATTCATCGCATTTCCATGCGGCACAAATACTGGGTATTGGAAACACGATAAATCTGCCTTTGAGCTCTAGGCAGGACACATGTCCCGTGGTTTACGAAACTGATGAGTATACTCTACTCTCACGATACCTGAAGGCGCAGTCCCAATTCCAAGACGATTGGATCGCGGATCATCATTGACGGAAGAAGGCGCAAAAGCCACGGACGCATGATGTAGCGACGCACGCACGCACGCTATAACCTCCTGCTAGTGTCCAAAAATCTCCGTTCCACACAGACCATCGCAATGCCGATCTTTGTGGCCCCCAATTTCTGTTACAAGCCCTTTGTAGGGCTTATCCTTGGCTTCTCGACATACGGTCGGAATAACGTGTTTCACCCGACCGGCCCTGCGCTGATTGAGGTAAGACGCGCGCCAAGATTCGTTGGATATTTTGCCCTGCCCTCTTGTCAGCCCCCATTCACACTAAAAAAGCACTCCGCCCTACAGAAGCTCGTGAACCACTCTTGTGGTTCAGCGAGGCTGTAAAGAAGAATTATCGGTTATCTACCATTCCTGGTTTCTTCGAAAGGGGATTTATATCGCCATTGAAGACCACACCCTCGTCCTCAGTGCTCCTGCCGCGTTTCTTTCTGGTCCAGCGTTGCATTTATACCCCAAATTATCGTTCATTTCTTTCAAGTGGCTATGGTTACAATATTCGGGTCTTGGATTGTGCCGGCGCTTGTGGGAGCTGCATCTACTGCGTCTTTTCCCCCGGTCATAACTGGTCTCACCGTGGTCAACTCGACCAAGTTCCCTGGAGCCTCAATATCCTACAAACAGGTATGTTTCAGTCATCGCCTCAAAACTATAGTACATAATCTTATTTCAGACCTCAATATGCGAGACCACAGAGAATGTCAGAGGCTTTAGTGGATATGTACACCTTCCCCCAGCCCCTGCTGAGAGCCGTCCATACAGTAGTCACATCTACTTTTGGTTTTTTGAGGCCCGCAAAGATGCCAAAAATGCTCCTCTTACAGTCTGGCTCCAGGGTGGTCCGGGTGTACCGTCTGTCGTCGCAGCAGTAGGCGAAAACGGACCATGCTCTATCCTGCCTGACTCCCAAACCACCGAGCTCAACGCATTTTCCTGGAACGAAAAAGTCAACATGCTGTACATTGATCAGCCTGTACAGACTGGCTTCTCGTATGATTCGTTAACAAACGGAACGATTAACATAATTCCCACACCTTTTATGTACAAGCCTGACAACTTCTCCACTGGAGTCCCCAAGACGAACGCCACTTTCCTTACGGGAACATTCTCCTCCGGCAACCCAAACGCTGCGCCAAACACCACTATCGCGGCATCGAAGATCATGTACAGCTTCATGCAAACATGGATGCAGGAGTTTCCGGAATATGAAAACAGAGACAACAAGTTCAGCATCTGGAGTGAATCTTACGGAGGACACTATGCTCCCACCTACGCAGACTACTTCGAGACTCAGTCCGAGAAAATCGAAACTGGCAAGGCCAACAGTCCTGGAGAAGTCGCATTGCACCTTGATACTCTAGGCTTCATCAATCCATGCGTGGACACCGACACCCAAGTCCACTCATACCCCGAATTCGCCATGAACAACACCTACGGCAAGCAATTCTTCACTCCCGAACAATACACCTTCGCTCTAGCGTCCGCCCCGCAATGCAAAAAAATGACGGCCGAATGCAAGAACATCGCCGACGAAAAAGACCCAAACGGCCTCGGCAACGTCGCAGAAGTCAACAAAGCCTGCTTCAATGCTTTCGTCTACTGCTTCAACACCATGCACGACAACTACCCATCGACCCGCGCCCTCTTCGACATCTCCGCGCCGCGTCTCCCCAAAGCGTTCCCCCCAGTCTGGGCAGCAGGCTACTTCAACAACGCAACTATCCAGCAAGCCCTCGGCGTACCGCTCAACTTCACCGGCGCATCCGCCCTCAACATGCACAGCTTCAACAAGACGGGCGACTTCATCCGCGGCCGCCAGATCGAGAACCTCGGCGCCCTGCTCAACAAGGGCGTCAAGGTCGCGCTCGTCTTCGGCGACCGCGATTACCAGTGCAACTGGATGGGCGGCGAAGCCCTCTCCCTGGCCATCGAGTCGAAGCTCAAACCTCGCTTCGCCCACGCCGGCTACGCCACCGTCCACACAAACGCTGAGTATGTTGGCGGACTGACCCGTCAGCATTCCAAGTTGTCCTTCACCCGCGTGTTCCAAGCCGGCCATGAAGTTCCCTACTACCAGCCTGAAACAGCCTACCACATTTTCAACCGCGTCATGTTCGACAGGGACGTTGCGACGGGCGAGAAGGAAGTGGGAGAGGACTACGCGACGGTTGGGGAGAAATCTGCGTGGACGAAGAGCGAGTTTCGTGAGGAGAGCGGGAAGGCGAGTTGTTATCTTTGGGACATCATGGAGACTTGCGATTCTGAGCAGACTAAGCTGATTGCGAGTGGGAAGGCGGTGGTGAAGGATTGTGTGCTGGTCGGCGAAGTTGTGGATTGGACTGCAGTCTTGTTTGGACTCGTGGTGTGTTGGTTGTGCGTTTGGTTCTTCATTGACAAAAAAGTTCTTTTGTTCGAATAGGTGAGACGGGCTAGTATGGTAGCATCGGAATCGGTCGCTGCGTAGAGGCCGTGAGGTGGGCCAGTTCTGCTGGTTGTGATGGTCCCGCACTCGCAGGTAGATATCTTAAGATCAACGATGACTTGGTCGTAGCAGCGATACACTCTTCTCGTCTATGTTTATGGATTTTGGACTTTCTGAATGTTGTCTGTCCGAAGCTGGTATTAGTGATCAGCCCGTATATAGGTACATGCCTAAATAGGTAGTGTCACACGTGGAATGATGCAGGGCGAATGCTGGCGTGCCGTGACTTTTTAGTAATTGGATTGGCCCGCCTTTTTGAAACACCATCTGTGAAAGAACTGTTTTCGTACTTCAGTGCTGCTCACTCAGCACGTAAAATTCATAGCTAGCGTGCCTGGAATCGATCTCGTAGATTGGATCAACCACGTGCTGACAGGGGCGTGCACTAAAAAATTCAGTTCTTTCTAAGCTAGCAAACATCAATGGCCGTGAATAACAAGAAAAAATATACTCATTTAACACTGCCGGGGTTCCGGAACCCGCGGACCCCTTCCGAGATCCAAGATGTACCATCTAGACCGAGTCTTGGCCTACCGTCCAAGCTATACATGACCACTCATATCCCAGTCCCAGCCTGAGATGACGTTAGCAGGTTTTCCCACAATCGCCAAACTTTTTGACAGACCCCATCACGAAACACGCCGAAAAGGGTCTAGCAAATGGTACCGGGAACAGTTTGCCGTTAGTCTTGCCGTGGTTCCGGGTGGGTACGTGGCTTGTGGGAAGAAAAAAATCTACTATAGTTAGACTAGATGGAACACTTGCGCCACAACCTTATCGTGGTTTTGATTCCCGGCTTTCCCTGTTGTTTGGGACATTGATGACACACGGCCATGTTCGCGTGTTTTTGAATCCTGTTCTCTGTGGAAACCTTCTCTTTTTCTCCCTTTTTTTCTTCTTCGTCTACACATAGCATAAAATATTCCTTCTCCGATCGCTCAAGCCTCTCCTCTTTTTGACCTTTTTTTGAATCTCTCGTCGATTTAATACACGATTTCCTACCTGAAGTATCAACAATAAAACAAGCGGAATTTCCACCATGGAGTTTGGAAAAACAATCGGAACGGCATGCACATCCTTCATCATAACAAACATCGACGACATCTTCGTCCTCGTAACCTTCTTCGCCGAGTCCTCCACCAGCGCCACACTCACGCCACTCAGGATCGCGCTGGGCCAGTACATCGGATTCACCATCATCGTCGGCATCAGCATGATTGGGTTCGGTCTTGCGCTCGTGCTTCCCGCCGAACCTATTGGGTTTCTGGGACTGCTGCCGATACTGCTGGGATTGTGGAAGGGGTTCGATATTGTGTTTCCGGACCGCGAAGAGGAGGACGATGGGCTCGAGGAAGACAATGGCAGGAAGTCGAAGATTGCGAGTGTGAAGAGCGTGTTGAAGGTCGCTGGGATAACGCTCATGAACGGCGGGGATAACATTGGGACGTATACGCCGCTGTTCTCGCAGGCCAAGGGCGCAGAGATCGCCGTGTACATCGTCACGTATTATATCCTGCTGGGACTGTACTGCGTGATTGCGTTTCTGATCATGAAACAGAGACATATCCTGCGCGTTGCCGAGAGGTATGCGCACCTGGTTATCCCGTTTTTGTACGTTGGGCTGGGGATTTTCATCACGGTCAAGTCGGAGTGTTATCCGTGGTCAATTGGCCATATCGACCGAGATATCGCGTCGCACCCCGGGAAAATAATCATGGGAGTCGTCACGGCGGTTCTATTAGCAGGGGCTATCGGTGTTATGGTGTGGTTTCAACTACGGGGGATGCCGAGGAAGCCCGCGAGCGATACGGCCGGGGATGATGTGGACGCTGAAATTGGCGACGACGCTACGATTGTTGAGCAGACTGCGACAAAAGACTCGGAGCAGTCACAACTGCAAGTTTCGAAAGAATCACCGCAACACCCGCTCGACGAACCGAAATCACAACACGAGCCGACGGGTTTGAGCACATGATGATTCTGGATGCTCTCTCCGGCATCATTTCCATTCACACTGTTCTGGGAACATAAATTTATTTAATTCATCGTGCAAGAATCCACGCAAGCCTCGAGCAATATTCATTCGCAATTCCATGAGACTATCTGATACATCTGTAACCAGTTTACTTTCAGTACTACGACCTCCTCCTTAAACCAAAGCGGGTCACTCTACGAAAACTCAGCCCTTTGTATTATATAACGATGCTGCACTAAAATGCGCGAGCCGGATTATGCGTAGTTGACACGAAATCTATGTACAACAGGGTTTCGAGCGTGAGACAAGAGCTTAAATTTCACAATGGACAGCTCCGCCAGTAATCCCGACTCTGCCGCAAGGCAAACAACGATAAAACTAAGCGCACATCGAAACCTATATCTTTGAGACCTCTAATTATACATTCCTAAGCGAATCCAGTAGCATCAGTTCGTTTCAAGAAGGCGATTCCTGAAACGAGGGAGGAGGATATTGATCGCCGAGGAGAAGGGTGACAATATCGTTTGGCGGGGGGACTGTGTTCTGTGGCTCTGATACCCCATTCGATGGAGATAATACGCTGGTGTCTGGTACGTAGGCATCAGGTTGAGGAGAGTCTGATGGAGCAGCTTGTCGTCCGCTAGCCATCACTTCTTGCTTTTGTCGGGCTTCCAGTAATCTTCTTTTGTTTTGCTGCTCCAATAGCATCAATTGCATCTGATGATCTTGCAATGTCCCATTGTTGGAGCCGCTGTTCTGACTTTTTTGGACGTCCAAAAGTCCTTTTTCCAGTAGCATTAGCTCCTTTTGATGATGCTGCATAGTCTCACTCTTGAAGTCATTGTCCTTCTTTTGTGGAGCCTCCAACAATTGTTTTTTGTTTTGCTCATCCAGTAGCATTAGCTGCATGCGATCCTGCTCACTGTCATTTTTGGAGTCGTTGTCCTTATTCAGAGTGGGATAAGTAGTGTTCTGCCTTTGTCGTTCCCGCAGCAGCTGCTGTATCTGAATCTGATCATCTGCGAAAGTCTTATGAAGGCTCATCTTGAGTTCATCTACTCTCTGCTGGAACTGCTGTTGCTGCTGTAACAGGGCCTCTAGTTGGGGGTCTCGAGGACTCTCATCTTCATCAATACTCTTCTTCTTTTCTGAGGACATTGAATATGGAATTTGCTCCTCCTGTGATACTTGTGACGGCGGGTCTAATTGCGCTCGGCTTCTCAAGACGTTGTCCTGCTCCTGCTGTTCAACGTCTAGACTGTCGTTTTGCGCAAGATCACGAGCAGGCAAGCGGGTAAGTTGGGATGTGTTACCGGTATCATGTAATTCACCGGTCGTCTCAACTAGTCAGAATTAGCTATATTTCTACTGAGTTGTGCTTCTTCGATGGAATTCTTACGTCGATCTGGTGGATGTGAAATAGTTTTCTGATGCCCGGAGTTTGGGGGTAGCTTTTCTTGTGATTGAGACCCTGGCGGGGATAGCGTGTCTGGCAGATCGCCACTATTTCTTATGCGATTCGCTTCTTCGCGAGCCTTAAGCAACCTCTTTCTGTTTTGCTCTCGGAGTAGGCTTATTTGCTCCTCAAAACCCGCAATGTCAACGAAGTCTGGCGGCATTTGACCTTTAGTACGTCAGCAACAGCAAGCATCATAAGCGACATCTCAATACGTACCAGTATCTTGCCAGTTGGACTCATGGTAATTAGCGGGATATCTCTTGGGAGAGACAGACTTGTTGATAGGCTTGCGGTAGCTGTCATCATTAGCACGACGAGTGGAACGAGGTTCACAAATGAGCCCCTTTGCTGTACAGCGAGAACAAGAAGGCCTTGCTTTGTCGCACTTTGTTTTAGCCTTTGCGCAAGTTGTGCAAGCGATAGGACGGCGTTCGGCATTTCGTCTAGGCAATTTTGAAGACACGTCTTCATCAGATTGTGCGGTCTCTTCTACAGCACCAGCATAGTCCGAGACGCTTTGCTGGGCTATTCCAACAGACCCTTCTTGAGGCTTGTCATAGACAGCTTGAAGGGTGACGCGGGCTGAACGAGGTTCACAAACAAGCCCCTTCGCTCTACAACGAGAGCACGACGGCACTGCCTTATCACAGTTGGTTTTTGCCTTTGCGCAGGTGGTGCAGGCAAGCGCTCTCCGTTGCGACGGGGAATCAGCCTGGACACAGTAGCCGGGTGGGAACCAGCCCACGCGATCTAGATTTATCACTGTCAACTTTGATTATCAGTGGCTAGGCAGTGTTACATACCGTCGATAGCTCCATACCACCAGGCTGACTCATTCTGAGAAATGACCCGTATATGTGCACCTTTTTGAAAGTTTAAATGTGTCTTATCATCGGATTGGTACGCACTTCGCGCTTGGAGATAGACGGTTCCTGGTGGCTCGTAGGTCCTCCAATCTCCGATGGGAATTCTGCGTTCGCCTACAGAACTAGTGTCATTTGCTCTTCGGGGACGATCTGATCTTTTAGACGGCGTGTACGCTTTTTGTGGGATGGACTGTCTGGCGTTCGAGCTAGTCTCAGGTCTTGCCTCTCCTGTGAATCGAACATGGACAATCATGTCATGAACAAGATTCTCGTAGCTCGGGATGACCATGGCTCCATTGCTGTCTTCGAAAATGACTCCTGCGCGGTCTTTGATACCATAAAAATGCTTGACTGTGCTGATGATCGAATCTGTTGAATAGAAGGGCAAAATAAAGAACTTCATCGACTCGTAACGGACATCACCAGTAAATGGCCTGCTAAATATGACATGCTTGGCCGACGAAGCACCAGTAGATGGGTCAATGGCATGAGGCGGTGGTGATTTTCTCAAGGAAACTGTATCAGAAGTCTCATGTCGCGAAGACGAGGGTTCTGTATATTTGTGTACACGTTTCATATGGTGAATGAGATTGTATCGTCTTCTGTAACCCTTGCCTGCCATCGAACGCTCGCAGTTGGGATAATAGCACAGATTGGGGTTCAATACATGGCCATGCAAACCATGTGCTTCTCTCTCGTGACGGAGGAGTTCCGCAGTGGAAGAAAACACAACATCAGCGCAATCTTCTCGCACACACCGGTAAGGCTTTAAGTGTGAGTCGACGTATTTACTAGTCAACGTTAATTAAAAAATCACAGCAATAGTTCAAGGTTACTTTGATACTTACTCAAAGCTGGATTTCAAGGCTGTTGGCATGTGGCTGCAACTAGATTGACCCTCGAAAGGGCAGTGGTAGGTCCCGTCTTTTTTGGGCTTCGATTTATATAAAGGATGGGTACGGACAACATTTCCTGGATCTAGACTTGAATGATTGGGTATCGGGCTGTTTGGACTATCGTGTTCAGTAGCTACAGCTGCAGGGCTACCGGATGACCCTGAATAAGCTGCAGATTCTGCTCCGTCTGCTTGCAGGGGAGCGAAGCGTCTTTCCAGCGAATCCCGCAAACCTCTATCCTCCTCGCCGTAGGTCTCATACTGTGCCTGGGCGGAATGCTGCAGCTGCTCGAAGGTTTCATTCAGGATTGGCACTTGCACTATGTCTTCACGTTTCTCACGCTTCATGTCAGCTTCGTATGCAAGTCTTGAAAGATGCGCTCCCTTCACACTTCCCGCAATACGCAGGTAATGATTTTTGACCATGATGGGGGTCTTTGTCAGCAGGCGCCCTGCTATAGTATCCCAGTCACTACCAAAAAGTGCCACCAATTCCTCAAATCCTTCCTGTTCTCGAACACTCCAGTAACTTGAGATCTTAACTTCTTTGAGTGCTTTTGAGTCTTGATCGTCGGAGTGGGATGAGAAAAGGCTTTGAGTTTGATCTTGAAAAATGGTGATATCGACGTCGGGAACGGAATTAGCATCTGACACCGAGCTCGTCCCTGCCTCCGAGTTGGTTTCCGAGTCAACACCGCGTGGGAGAGAAGCTAAAGCAATTTCCTCCATATGCCTGGAGAAATGAACGAGATTCGTCGATTTCCCAGTTCCAGTGGGCTCCAAACATAGAGGACATTGTTTGCTTTCCCAGTCCGGTCCAAAGTTGTGTTCGATATCGAGATGGTCGATCCAAAGACGGCGGTCAACGAATGGAACAGTGCTGAAACCACAATCCGAGTAGAAACATGTATAAGGCTGCAGGTCGTTGAAGATATGTTTCCTATATAACGTCAAAGTTTGTCCACAGCAGATGATACAAATACTTACCTCCATGCGCGGTTTGTTGTAGCGACTATGAGATCTCCACAGGCATTACATTCGAACTTTTCTCCGTTCTTTGCTTCAGCGGGTAATGGCGGGATCTTCACTCTTTCTCCATTTGACAAACTGGAAACATAAGAGATAATGGACACGACACTTTCAGCGTAAGCTGTTGTTCCCAAGCCTGAATCCTTGAACGATTTGGATGCCGTAGATTTTACCTCGCTCACGAAAGGGACAACCTGGGGACTTTCGTTGCGCTCTCGTATATCCTTCAGCCGCTTATATCTGTCCCAGTTTGCCTTTCCTAGACATTCTGCCAGGTCCGAACCGACTTCCGGGAATTTGGATTGGATCAGCTCAGCATAATACTCGTATGCCGATCGTTCTTCCAGTCTTGGATGAACGGGTTCGTCCACGTGCCCAGGGTCTACTGCTGGACACTCCAAGGCTGTGTCAAGATCGACCAAACAGTTGATGTAGGTTTTGATCTCGCTCACAAGATGACCGCGGAGATCATCATTGAGATCTTCTGATGATGAGTCGGAATCCACGTCGCTATCGCTTGTATCCTCGTCGGAGCTGGCAAGGACGTATCTTGTCTGATCGTAGAGAATTTGAGCGTCTCGGATTGCGGTAGAAGTATCGGAGGCATTGCGCGGGCCGAGTTTACGCGAACCTATGAGGATCAGTATGTAGTGAGTGGACAAGGAAGGAGTTGGTTATACAGGCCAACAGAGCCCCACAGAGACTGCTCAGAGTCAAAAGCGTTGTATCCCGAAGTGTCTTGGAACGTTCAAGAGCATGATCGAGCTTTCCCTCACGAACACCATGACTGTCTGTCCATAGCCGAAGTGTGTCATGACTTCGCTTGATGATGTTTTGGTCTCTTCGTTGCAGGGAACGAAGGTAATCGTTCTCCTTCGTTAATGTAGCAAATATGTCAAGACACCCACGAACAAGACGAGCTAGAATACCAGACTCCGCGGTATTGGGATCAGGAGCGAAGTCGTTCTGATGACTATTGACGAATGCCGCAGTGAGAGAATGGCTATCCAGCTCATCTCCTAGGTATATAAGTATGATTAGGCTGATAGTTGACTATGTACATACCTGAAGGCCAGGATGAAGCAACATCATCGTCTTTTCTCGTTTCAACGTCGCTCAGTGCCTCTTCCATCGGTCATTCCGCGCTTTCAGATGCCTAGGCGTGTTGCTTGATACTATTTCGTAGGTCCCGGGAGATGAAGGGGAAAAAAAAACGAGTGAAGCAGAGCCCCAGCCAGGGCGAAATGGCGATCGTGGATTTATGAAATTTACACACACGAGGCTGAGACTCATGGGTGGGGCGGGGTAAGTGCATAGCCGAATCACAGTGAAGCAGGCTGACTCAAGGCGCACAGCAGGTCACAATTCATATAATCACAGCCTTCCCATAGTTTTCAGAGTTCGAGTTTTCAGCTCTATCATTCTCATGAACGATGTCGGGTGTTGAGGCAGCGGGCCTCGTCTTTGGTGTACTCCCGATCCTTGTCAAAGTCGTACAATCGTACTCCACCGTCTCGCGCACTTTCCACGACTTTCGGCACTATTCGAAGGAGGTCAGATCGATACAAGTACAGTTCAAGGTCGTGCGGGGTATCTTTATGAATGAGTGTCAACTGCTGCTTTGTCTCGTCGAAGACGAAGAAGGCGCAAAATCCATGCTGGAAGACCATGGGGATCGACGCTGGACAAGCAAGGATCTAAACGATCGGTTCAATGACCTACTAAAGACTAACCTCGAACTATTTCGAAGCATAATTGAAGCTTCAAAGGAATCAATTGATACCGTGACGGAAGAGCTTCAGAGGTTCGATGTCTTGGTCGATATGAGAAACAAGGTGCGTTTTCCGCCCCCAACCAACAGTCCTCAGCCTTGCGACTCATTGTCATGCTACTATCGATTCACCACATGTTATTGCGATGGTTGAAGTTAATACGATTTTACTGTCAGGGCGAATCAATAAAAAGTGCAATAAAACGTTTGCGCAATGCCACAAGAATCGCCTTCGACAAATCCAAATACGAGAAATCCTTGACAGGTCTTCGCTCTTGGAACTCCGAACTGAGTCAGCTCCGAGAACAGATCAGTACATTCCAGCAGAAACGCTCTTCAGCAGACAATCGCAAGATTCGCGGCTCGCTACCATCGCATATCGGCTCCATTAGAACTGCTTCCCAGAATCTTCATCAAGCTCTATCGGGGGCATGGTGTTGCACTGATCTCGCGCATGACGGGCATTGCGCGAAACTCTATGTAGAGGCAGAAGTGGAGACAGAAGTGCGACTCGATCTCGCTATATCATATGGTACGGATGCGACACAGTGCTCCCACGCGCGCATTTCAGAGCCACCAATCCTATTTTACGTTCAAACGATAAGTATGGATACGATAGATAGTCATGCAGCTACCCCTACTACGGCAAAGAAATTGTGTCGAGGACTTGCTGCGGGAACAAACACTGATCTTCTGGTGACACAGTCGGTCAAGAAGAAAGCATCTTCAGAATTGTCGAACGATCCGATCGACAAACTAAAGACGAAGAAACGGAAGAAAGTGCACTTCGACGACTGCTTGGAAAACATACAGGTCAGCGGTTCGATAAGCTACATGAGCGGCAGCGGTGCTGTTCAACCATCCACCCCCACTATACAACAGGTCAACTTGTGTCAGATGAAGAACATCTGTAACTACCTCGCACAAAACCTCCAGCTCTGTAGCCAGTCTCCCACCAGCCAATGTATAGGATATCTCGACTCACCTGAGATGTACCGGCACATGTTCTACGCCCAAGAAAACAAGCTTTTCAATCACAACACAAAGAAGCTCAATGCACTACCCCGGGGAGTATCGTGTCTCTCCATCCACCAAGCCATGGACCAAGAAGTCGCTGATGACCTGACCATTGTCGATCAACTCAAGCTAGCGCACAAAGCCACCCTCGCCATCCTCCAATACAACAGCACACCATGGCTACCATCTCGCTGGCGTCTCAAAGACTTGAGCTACTTCAGCACCCAAGAACCTTTCAACGAAGACTCGCTGAAATCTCTCCATCTCAGCTCGGAAATCTCCCCATCCGCAAACGCCAATGCCACCGTCCTCATGGAAGGCATTGAACATTCGAATGAAGCAGACAACCTCGCCGTCTCCGCCACAGATGACGAAAAGTACGGCATAAATAACGCCACGCTGTTCTTCCTTGGTGTCGCACTGCTGGAGATCTCGCACTGGAAGCGCATCGAGATGCACAACGTGTCGAAGGGTGCGGACACGAATGCGATCCTTGCGGCGCGTCGTCTTGCAAATCGTCCGACTCGTCTGGGCTCAAAGTATCGCGATATTGCGCGCAAGTGTTTGCAGTGCAATTTTGGGTTTGGGACGGATTTGGAGAGAAGGGAGCTGCAGGAGGCTGTGCATAGAGATGTTGTGTGCCAGCTGGAGCAGATGATCGAGATGCTGTCTATAGATTGAGTCTTAACTAAGACTTGGATACTAATATTGTTTCTCAATCAGGTGTCGAGAATAGGGCTCTTTCAACGCGCTTCTGTCTACATCTATTCCTACCTCAATCTCCTCTCTAACTAAATCCATTTAGCCACTGCTTGTGAAACATTCCTGCGATGAATCAATGCGATTATCAAGTAATTTCGTTTGTACTATAATGTAGCAAAGCCCTTGCCCATTACTGTTTTTCGGTTTTTCTTCTTGTTTTGGTGGAAGGATTGTGCATGACTGTTTGAACTTTGTTGCCTAACACGGGAGTTGGCTGGCGCAATGTTACCAGCAGGCTCGGATCACTGGAATAAACAATACCCGCTGCGCCGATATGATGAATGAGAGAAAAATAAAGCTGGAGCTTAGCATTCACTGACAGTATCCTATAGAGCGTTGTAAACTTGGGAGCTTTGTCTTCGAAGCCTCCGCGCAAGAATAGAGTGCTCAGCGAGTGCGCAACTATTCCGCACAGTGAAACAGTAACACAGATAACACTATATAACGCATATAGTATGTTGGGTTGCCGACTTCCTTATCACTAATCCACGGGGCGTAACGGGCTATAATGTTGCCGACGTCGAACAGCATATAAGGTACGTCCACTGTAGCTCGGAAGCGGGAATACCTGTTCCGGCACATACTTTGACAAAAGGGCGATCTGGATTCAGAGCCCACTGGCGATTCTGTTCGTTGGGATTGAAAAGAGCTTGGCGCGGAAGAACTGTTGCAGCTCGCGAGGCTGGAAGGATGAAACTTGCAGATTGGTCGGGGCGCGTGTCTCACTGCGAGCTTTGTCTTAGGCTACTCTGTACAGATGCTTGTACAAGAATGCGCATTAGCTTTTATGTTTATGAATGTGTTCACATTCGGATAGCCCGGATAGCAAAATAGCAAAGTTCCCGAGAGATAGATTTGCAAAACAGAGATTATACCTCGTATCTTCAATGTTCGTGAACCAATCACATCATAACAATCTGATGGACATTTTCGAGAGCGATCATAGAGAGCGGATTGCTGCCTGATTCACCTTGGTCAAAGCTCCTCAGGCGCAACACGGCACCGCATGATGGTAGGTGCCGATCGACGACTAAACATTGGAATCTAATCCATTGAGTCTTCGAATCGCGCTCAAAGATCGTGCCCCAGAAGACGCTTTGCATCACACCGCCGCGAGAATTCCTCGTTTACTAAACGTAGATCGGCAGCAGTATTGGCCCCCAGCGCTAAACACGGATGCGGGGATCCTTGCATAGTAATCAGCTCCGATTCCCGTGTCATCATATAGCTTGGAATGGGAGTCTCAGTTAGGTGAAAACGAATCAACGACTTACCGACCTGGGAAATCCCAGAGTTGAACTTGATCCACAGCGCAACAGAACAGCCACCTACGCCCCGTCACGTTGTTGCATAGGCGTGCCATGTCAGCATATCGGTAAAGGATGAAAGCAATGATCCTGTTGTTTTAATGGCAGAAATTGGAGTTGGCCTCGCAATTTCGGAACTCTGCTATTCTAGAACCCACTCGCAGCAGTGTAGGGCTTTTGTTGAAGAACAAGCATAATTCAGTGGAGCGGATGTACAATTTCCCGATCCTCCGGGACCGTGGGGTCGTACAAAGGATTTCCTATCATGGTCGCTAATTCAGCTGCCTTGAAGTAGTCGGCGTTAAGAGTGACTTCGGCCGAGCACGTTTCGCAAAGAAAGGCACGTACTGAGGCTAGTTAGCAGAATGACGCACCTCGATTGTTGGCAGGATGTATGTATGCCCAGTCGATAGTGCGACCGTAAGCCGTAAAGAAATATAAAAGTGTCGAATGGTCGCAGCCTTGTTTATCTGAAAATCATCGAATCAACCATCCCTCCCGACTCTGACATGGAGAAAATCCCCACCTTCATCTTGGCACTGCCCAGTGCATTGCTGTTCTGGTTTCTGTGGGTATGCATACTTGACAATCTAGTATCTGGGTATAGCAGTAGGCTTACGATTCCACAGCAAATCATACGGCTCACGTGGGCGCCAAACGCCAGATTGCCTGGCCCATGGCACACCAAGTACACGGGCGCTGTCAAAGTGTACAAGATCATGAACGGCTCGGGTGCAGCATGGGTCAACGACCTTCATCGAAAATACGGTAAGTAGCGAGCAAAAACTCAAAGGTGAGACTCGAAGATTGACCATGATCGCCCAGGCCGGATCGTGCGCCTCTCGCCCACCGAAGTCGATTTCAGTTCCGTCAGCGCGTTGAAAACCATTCATAACTACAGGAAGCCCTTTATGAAAAGCGACTTCTACAAGATCTTCGATTTCATCCCCGATGTGTCGTCTGTACTCAGCACGCGTACCCCAGGTACGCACGGTCGCTTCCGTCGACTCTTATCGGGGCCAACCTCTGAAAGCAGTGTGAAACTCGTTGAACACATTGTCCAGGCCAAACTCGACCTCACCATTCAGAGAATGGAAGAAGAGATGAAAGCGCAAGGATTTGTCGATGTCTTGAAATGGCACCACTTCATGGCGACGGACGTCTCTGGCCATCTGAGTTTCGGAGAGAGTTTCCAGATGCTGGAGCAACAAAAGGTACACCACCGATTTCGGGAGCCGTGAAAGCACTCTGAAATTATACTGACTCGGGAGAGCAGAAAAATCAATACATCCGCGATCTGGAAGCGACGTCGCATTTGGCTGGCGTCATGCAGTTTATCCCTTGGCTGTTCTTTGCATCCAAGAAGTACGGGCTTCCCATTTTCAGAGAATCCCACGCCATCAATGCTCGTCTGTACTCCTATGCCGAAGAATCCCTGTACAGGCACAAACGAATGCAGGCCGCCGAGCCCCAGACGTTCCAACCAACCTTTTTCACCAAGTTACTCCAAGCTGGGGAAAAGGACGGCGATACAATCACGTTCGAGGAGATCATTCAGAATGCGCAACTTTTCATCATTGCTGGATCTGACACCACTGCCCACACGCTTACGTACCTTGTGTGGCAGTTGAGCAGGACGGAAAACAGGGACATTAGACAAAGGCTGTTAACAGAGCTCGCCACACTCCCGAAGGACTTTGCAAACGACGATCTCAAGCCTCTGCCTTATCTCAATTGCGTCATCTCCGAGACTCTAAGATTGCACGCTGCCGCTCCAGACGGCCTACCAAGAGCAGTGTAAGCACTCTCCCAATACCCATACCCTTTTATCATCTATCACCTTACCTCCAAACCCTTACTAATCAACCCTATCTTGGACCAGACCCGCAGGAGGAGCCGAAGTCGACGGTGTCTTTCTCCCCGAAGGCAGCGTCGCAATCACCCAGCCCTGGAGCATGCACCGCGACCCAGAAGTGTTCCCCGATCCCGAAAGGTAAGCACCCCATCCACCTAAAACCATCCTCGAAACCCAATACCAACGTACTCCAGATTCCAACCATCCCGCTGGGAAAACCCCACAAAAGACATGAAAGATTCGTTCTCGGCCTTCGGCAACGGCCCGCGCAGTAAGTGGTCTCGTCTTCTATACTTCTGGCTACCAGAAAAGAAAAAATCGCTGACAAATGTGGATATTAGCTTGTCTTGGGATTCATCTCGCGTACATGGAGCTTCGACTCGGGACGGCGAAGTTCTTTTTGAAATTCCCAGAGTCCAAGATTGCGAATGGGTTTGAGGACAAGGATATGGATATGCAGGTTTCGTTCGTCATGTCGCCCAAGAGCCACAAGTGCTTGCTTGAGCTGTCGTAGATTTTGATTGCGATGGCGGATCGCGAAATTCCAGATCCGAATTTTTTTGGTTCTTTGCAGAGGCTCGGTGTAATGGTGCTAGTTCGAGGAGATGAAAGATAGCAGAATCATGGTTACGTGGACTTTCGAATTTCGAGGGTGCGATAATTTCATATTGTTTCCGACTTGTTCTATGGCTTTGAGGGTCGTACTGTTGGTCAGCAATTTGAGTGATTTGATGGTATGCTTCCGGGTATGTCCTCAAACTGTTCATATACCTAGTCGAATAATTATCAAGACGTCAACATTGCAAACTAAATACTAACGCAATATCGACAAGATCAAAACTGTCTACTAAATTAAATGCCTTTTTGTCCTCAAACTACATTGCGCAAAACTTCCCCTCAACCAACAGAAGAGCTGGGATATAAAACGCGGGATTCAATCGTCAACGTTGACATAGCAGTTTGATTTGCAAAGTTCAAGAATGTAAACCGCAGCGCACTTGCGGCGTACGCACTGCTGTTTCGCAAGATATATCGCAGTATGCCAGTAATCAGCAAATTGAATATAAAGGCTGTCAATCTGCGACATTTCAAGCGCATAAAGACACCGTGGATGACTGTATACGCGTTGAGAATCGGCCGGGAGGCGCAATGTGAGATTTTGCGGATCATGGGGGGTAAGACATACCAGTTGATGACGTTACCAGTTGGTCAATTGTGGAATGTTCTCCAGTTTAGTGATTCAGGGAATGTGAGAATGCTAGTTTAGGTGCTTAGGTAAGATGGTATCTACGGGTATTTGCATACTTTTGATTGATTTGGTGCTTGTCTCGTCGCTTTAAAGAGCTGTGAGTGGTTGACCTATGGGCAGGATTACATATGTAGATGTGCTTGCATATGTGTGTCCCTAATATATCCTCCATAATATCACTTCTAGGTTTATCTCTTCAATCGAAGAAGCTTTACATCCTTCACGGCCGTTGTTTACCGCTTTGATTATACGAGTGTATGTGAAACGGCGGGCGTTATCGTCTCGTGTTCGGTGGTCTGACACTTTCTAAGGGGGTACACGGAAATAACAACATTGGAAAATCAGTTTACAGAAGTGTCTTGTTATACGTTCTTTTTGATGATTCATGGCCTTTATAACTCGCACGAATACCGGCCTCTTCAGATATTATATTGCCTGACGATGTTGTGTCAGACGGTGTCGTCCATTGCGTAGGATGCACTGAAGTGATGAGTGTGCAATTTGCGCTGATGTCCCTACAAAATTGCTGTACAACGAAACAATACCTAATCAATTATTATTATTCGCCATCGCATTAGAGTTTCCGACATCAAGTACATATGTTCATCTAGATCACCAGGATAGAGTAGAAACTCCCCCCAGTAGCACGTGACATGCCACGCGCGTACGCTTGAACAAAAGTAGTCTAGTCTAGCTAGGAAAAGTGGATCACCGGTCCACGCGTGTAGCCGCTCCGCCACGTACCCTCCTCTGCCGTGTATCATGTACAAACCCATATCGCCGACCAACAACCCTGGAACACCGCTAGACAACAGAGAGTTGAAGCTCAGGTCGCCGCCGAAGACACCCGCCCCACAAGATTCACAAATCATTCTGCACACTAACTCGAGACGGCAACAATCAACCTTCAATTACACTTTGGCATCGTTACTCAGGTCGCTCAACTCGATACTGTGTTGCCCCAAGTCCAAGGACAACAGGAAAGAAACTCCGCAAGCCGACAGTCAAACAACTCCACGTCTCAGAAAAGAAAGAAGAAAAAGGAAGAAAAACTATAATTATCACCCGCGCCACTACCGTCTCACCGGGCTTACGATCCTCACACACACAAAGCATGGCAATAAATCCTCCTTGCTGCTCACCACCGGTCCCACGTGTGCACAGACGGGCGCGGGGTCGTGGGGTCCTAGATGGATCCAACTCCGGGGGGAGAAGGGGGGCCAATACCCAACACCACACGCACCATCTATCTCGTGACATGAAGCGCGCTCAGACGTTTGAAGACAGAGGGAGAGAGGGAGACAGCCAAAATCCGATCTCATCCCGCGTCTGCATTATACCTCTCACGCGCGACAACTCCCAATCAACCAATCAGCGAGCTAGGAAAGAGTGTGCATACATGCAATGCAATGCAATGCCATACGAAGCAATTGAGGCTCTGCTCGTACTGTACGCGCGGGACAGACAATGTCACTCGTGCATAAGCATATCACCCCATCCATTCCATCTCCCTTGCTTACTTTGTTAATGTCCATGTCGGGGGCTGCACACGCGAGCCCCCGGTATACATGGTAGACTAATGACTACTCATATCGCCGACTTTCGATCCTGCTAGCGCGGAAAGGATTCGCGTGCGTGAGATCGCGATCCTACTCTACCTGATCCCAGGGATATGTGTGCAAAACACCCGATCCGATGCTTTCCCCCCTTGTACGAGAGAAGCGGGGTGTACGCAGTGTGAAACGAGTAGTCCCTGGTTGGTTCCCCTGTACGTCCGCCTGGTTGTTGGGCTTGGTTGGCGCATGAGCGAAGGATCTTTGACCGGTTTTTTCCTCTGGTCTGCCGGGGAGTTTGGCGTTTTGGGTTGGAGGACAGGGGGTGTTGTGGAACGGGCGGCAGGGCTGTGGATGGGCTTGTTACCGGTTCTTGAGAGAGGTAGGGATGCGGTTGGGGTGATATAGGTTGGAGCGTTTTCCCTATCGCAAACGGCGATTGGTATTGCTGCACATCCCATCTTTTGGCCCTCTTTCTTTTCTTTCTCTGCTGCTTCGTCGAGGAAGAAAGATTTCGATCCAGTCACGGATATACTACGCACACATACACACATATACGCATTCGCATACGCAGTTCCGTCGAGAGTGATCAACCAAACACTTGTTTCCATCCAGCACATAACCAACCCAAGCCTGAACGACCAATAACTCCAATGCTCCTCCCATAAACCTCTCCCCACTCCCGTTCCCCCTCACAAACGGAATCCAAAACCCCAGAAGAACAAACAACTTCCAAAGGGAAAAAAACATGGCCATCCTCCCCTCCCACCCCTCCCCAACCCCCTCATCCTCCTCACGACCACACCACCACCGCACCAATATCCTCGCCCGCCAAAACCCCTCCCTTTCCTCCTCTGCGTCCCCACCAGATACCACCCCAACCCCGACAATATGCGGCTACGGCTCCGGAGGCAAAGGCTGGAAAGCCCCCTCGGGATCAAAATGCATGGTCGACACGTCAGCGGGGTACTTCGGATTCTGCCCAGAGAGCAAGAGCAACGCAAAGGACTGCGGGTTTGCGCGAGCATGTGTGGATCTGCACGCGTGCACGAGCGGGTGCGGCAGGATGGGGGAACAGCCGTACGGGACTGCTAGTTGGTATGTTTGCCGTGACCATCCTCCCTCTATTCCCCATCTTCCTCCCCTTCCCCCTTCCCCTTCTCTTCTTTTGGGCGAGGGGGAGGGACGGGGAAAAAGAGAAATGAAGCTAACCACCAACGATAGCACCGCAACTGACGAGCCTTACTGCTATACGCAGCACCTCCTCGCAACCGCTCCTTCGTCTCCCAACCAATCCTCCCCACTCGTCACAGCTACATACACCTACCTCGGCTGCGGCAAAAAATACCGCTCCCCGCCCCCGGAATTCACAATCGCCCCGGATATCCTGCCACAAGCTGCTCTAGCGCTCTCAGCATCTACATCGGAGTCTGCGACGCCCGAAGGCAGCATACTATCCGAAGAAGGCAGAAAAGAGGGAAGTGATAGCACAGGCGCGATTATAGGAGGTGTACTCGGTGGGATCGGTGTGCTGTGTTTAATCGTATTCGTCGTTTTTTACATCCTGCGACAACGTCGTCGTCGATCTTATTCTTCTACATACCCTTCTCCTCCTCCTACACGTTCTCTCCTTAGCATATTCTCCTCCACACGCAGAACCAACAACACCGAAACACCAACACCCAAGAACAAAAGATTCTCACAAACTTCTTCATCTTCATCGAGATCAGGCACTCCTCCAACGACAGCGCCGATCCACGCCCACACATCAAAAACCGCGAAGAAAAAGGCGAAGAAAAGAGGAGAGGGGATCATCTACCATGAAGCCGATGAAAAATCCACAGCCGTGTACGAAGCTGATACTTCGGGGGGTGTGTACGAGATGGGTGTTCCGGCTGTGGAATTAGATGGAGAGGGGACGGAGCGGCGGAGGGATCGTTTTGTATAAATAATGGAACTGAGAAAGGTGGGAAAAGGTAACATGTAGTATAAACCATAGTTGAAGAAAAAAAAACGGTATAAATATATACATACGTGTAGACATGTGCGTAGGCGTGGGCGTGGATAACCTCTTACTTGTTTCCCTCCTACCTGTATTTTTCCGTGAAGAGCGTAGAAATAATAAGAGATACAAGACTTGTCGTTCTTTTCTTTCTCTTTTTTCCTACTTGTTTTAAGTAGATTAAAAAATTCCATGTAGAGAAAGATATATAAAAAAAAGATAGCAAAAAAAAAGGGGTTAGCTAGCTAAGCACATAGTAAGTAATAATTTTATATAAAAAAGGTTATATAGTATCCCCCTAATTAGGAAAGAAAAAAACAGAAAGAGAAAAAAAGAAGGAAAGAAAGAAAAGAGAATAAGAAAAAAGTAAATTGCATTTACTTGCAATATTATACACTATACATAGACAAACATTACTAATACAATTAAGATTAAATAAAACATAAATCTGTCTTTAGATCTGTTTGATTTATTTTTCCAAGAATGAATTAATAAATAGGCAGCAAATACTCCATTTTCCATCTATGTCTGAATTAGAAATCTATCTTATCTGATAACTATATCCCTAATGCAATCCTGATCCTAAGCCCGCACGCAAATGACGATGAATTACACATATAAGAAAAGAAAAAGAGACAAAGACAATCTTAATCTTACAAAACGAACAAGACTGTAGGAAAGAAAAAAAGAACTACAATCGAACCCTCCCTTCATCAGGTCGGCCACCAAACAGACCCAAGAAACTGCCATTACTACCCCCACCGTCACCACCTGCGCCTCCACTGCCCCTTCGTAACCCAGGCCGATCTCTCCTTGCACCACCGCCTCCCCCACGACGACCCGTTCCATTGCCGTCGTCGTCGTCGTCGTCGTCACCGCCCAGCCACCGCGGCCTCGAGAAGCTGAAATCAGCAGTCTCAAACGTGTTCTTGACGCGGACGCCGAAATTCTCAAAAAAGTTGCCCGAATCCTCATCGTCGTCGTCGACGGCCGGGCGTCGGCGTTCGAACCGCCTCGCGCGGCCCGCGGCACCGCTCGACTCGGCACCGCCCGCGCCGAGGGCACCATCAGAGTACCGGTCGGTGGCGAGCAAGGAAGACGACGCCGAAGAACCTCCCCGCTGCGCAAGACCCAGCACGTTGCCGCTGGCACTCTGCACTTCCCTCTCAATCAGCGCGCGGCCTTCGCGCCAGCCACCGGTGCCGGCCGCGTCCTCTGCCTCGTCGCTCTCGTCCTCGAGCAGATCGCCGAACCCGCTGATGTTCTTGGCTTTCTTGTACAGTCCAAACGCGGTAGCAAGGACGGGCACGAGAATCAGGGTTGGGAAAAAGGCCGAGAACCCGCCCATGACTGGCGTAAAGTTGACGTACTGGCCCAGCAGCTTGTAGAAGCTGGTGGCGCGGAGCAGCACGGGGGGCATAAACGTCGAGAAATTGTAGGCAAGAGGGACCGTCAACTTGGCGCACTGCAGCGCATACCACGTGGCAGATTCCTGGTAAGTGTTTCGACGCACAAGGGCACGATTGCCCCAAATCTTGACCTCGGTCAACGAGAAGAAGGCGCACGTGCACATGTAGCACAGCCAGACGGCAGCGGTGACCTGCCCGCCAAAGCCAATCTGGTTTCGATGGGAGCCCGGGTGGTGGACGACGGTGAGGCCGATGAGTGACAGTTTGGGCTCGAGCTTGCCAATGCACTCTGACCACACCACAGATAGAGAAGCGAGAGAGGTGAGGACCCACGCCGTGTAGCACAGCGTCGGGATGATGTGCACGTGGAGGTGATAGCGCGTATAAGGAGTGAGCATCGTCAGCCGATGTATGAACGAAGGCCCCCGTTGTGTTTGGAACTGTGAATTCCTGAATTCCAACCTCTGGCTCGCCTTGGAGTCGAGAATGGCCTGCGCCTTGAGGGCCTTGTGGACCAAACGATCCCACTCGGCTTCGAACCGCAGTTTCGCGTGACGTGCCCTCTTCAACCGTCTCGTCAGATCGGCGAGATAGCGCTCGGTGATGACAGTCGGAACCGCGGTAGCAGCAGCCGTCGTGTTTCCGACCATACCCGCCCTGTTCTCCGGCAGACTGCTCTTCTCAGCCAGCTCGTCCACCCACTCCTGGAAAGGGCGCGTCATGCCGTTCTTTCGCTGCTTGAGCTGCATGACCTGATATTCGCACTGATCCAGCTTGTCCATGCTCTCGGTCAACTTGTCGTGGATCTTGGGCGCATGGGCCTGCAGCCTCTTCAGTCTCCCGCTGATGCTCGCATACCGATACAAGCTGCGAGGGAAAGCGACCAAGCCGTGACCCATAAGGTATATAGCCAGCACCAAAGCCCAGGCGTACGCCAACGCCATAGCAGTCGACTTGAGAACGTCCCAGTGAAAGCCATTATTCCACACAAAGTAGATCAAGTAGACGGTGCCCGACGCCAGCATCACTATCCAGTAGCGAGCATTGCTCCGCAGGCTATAGAGAAAGCGGGCCATGGGCTCCCGGTAGCCACTGTCGACGTACTCGCCCAACAGCGGCAGGACAGCCCAGGTCAGGAAGAATGTGAGCCAGTAGGTGACGCGCCATGACTTGTAGACGACACGCTCCGAGAGCCATATGCCGCGGTTGCCGTCGGTGTCGGTGCCGGCGCTGCTGGCCAGGTCGATGGGAACGAGCAGGATGATGCTCGCGGGGAGCACAACGGTCAGGAAGACGGGGACGGTCACGTATGCGGGGGTGGTGCGGAGGGGGAGGTAGTATCGGAGGAGGAGCAGGACAGCGGCGGAGATGGAGAGCAAGGCGAGGGTAAAGAAGGCCGTCGAGCCGGCGGGTGAGGAGGGCATGGTAGCGGTTGTTGTGGGTCTAAAGGCGGTGCGATGCTGTGTCAGGCGCACACCGCGGCGCGCATAAACTTGGGTTTGGAGCGCTACCGGCGGTGGTAACAATGATGCGAGAGGAAGAATGTGGTTGGTGGTGGTGGTGGTGGTGATGATGCGAAGGATGGTGGAAGGACGGCCTTGTAAGAGTAGTTTGGAGGATGTGCAAAAATCAATAACACTGTTTGGGTATCAATCGGACGAGTGCTGAGTGAGAACGGGGGTAGGATGGGAAGTCGCGGAAGGGCAAAAGTCGACTCCCTTCTTCGCTCTCGGAAGCGCGGAAGCTGTTACGATGAGCTGTCCATGGCGGGTGATGTGATATCGGATAGCACTGCAGACGGCCAAAACTTCATGGCATTGAAACGATGGGGAATATTGCGACGACCAGCAAGAGGAACAGAAAAGAGCGTGACAAACAACAGGACAGACAGAGTGACAGGCAAGCTCGTCTTGGTACCTAAATGCACGTCGTCATTGATATCATGTGAGGTGCCGACCGAGCTTCCTCCGAGATCCCGCTGAGTCATCAAGCCTAGCCCAAAGTGGGATACCCCCAAAGCAGACTAGCGCAGCCTCGGGACAAGAATTGCATCATCCATTTCGCCGCCGCATTCTTCATCGTCTTGTTCAACTAACTGCGGGGCGCGCGCATCCATTTCTAAGCATCCATCTACTTCAACATCCACCATCTCAAACACCTCACCTGCTTTTCTCTTCTCCCACATCCGCATCTACACACCATCTGCAGAAATAAACAACACCGCCACGATTAATTTCCTCCGCTCCCTGATCCCCCGCGCCCCCAGCCCAAATACAATCATGGCGACCAAGACTAAAGTCCAATCCATCATCGACGAGAACCCCGTCGCCGTCTTCAGCAAATCCTACTGCCCCTACTGCAGGTCGGCTAAACAGCTCCTGAGTGACAGCGGCGCAAAGTTTTATGCCATCGAGTTGGACCAGATTGGTGCGTTTTTGTCTCTTCTCTTTCTTCTCTTCTCATCTGTACCCCCTCTTACCCGTCCTTCTACTCTGCTCTGATCATCGTCTTGGTTTTTTTACCCCTACCCTATCTATCACCTTCTCTTTCTGGAATGGAGAAGGGGAGTGGGTAGGGGAGAAGCCGGATGAGAATTAGAGAGGGGTGGAAACAAAGAAAAGGGTGGTTTGCTAACGCAAAAGGTAGACGACGGATCCGCGATTCAATCCACGCTCCGCGACATGACGGGCCAGGGCACCGTGCCCAACATCTTCATCGGGAAAAAGCACGTCGGCGGCAACTCTGAGCTGCAGGGCAAGAAGAAGGAATTGCCAGCCCTGCTCAAGGATGCTGGTGCTGTTTGACTCGCTTCATCGCCGCCGTCGAAGCTGTGAATGAGGGATATCGTGGTGCATAGGATAGATATATGGATACATACTTGTCTTTAGACCGTCTTCTTGTACGGCCAGCGTCATGAACGCTTTGCATAGTGTCAGATAGAGGCGTGTTCTATCGGACATCGCATGATACACGTCCCAATATTTCATCCATAGATAACAAAACCAGCCGTGGATATTCAAATACTCTAGAAATGATACCAATCAGAAACGTACTCGTCGTGCTAGTCGTCGTACTTTTTGTTCATGCATGCATTCATTGGCCAGCTTTCCTTTGCCCGCTTCACGGATTATAACAACTGGGCTCCTAGCTACCTGCTTTCTCCCGCTTCCATCCTTTCCTTTACCGCCCATCCTTCACCGTCTCTATAGTAGAAATGGAACCCTGCTAAAATGGTTGTGCACCCAACAAACGGCCGGCCGCGTTTGCCCATGCCAACTTCCCCCTTCCCTATCGTCTAACGAAGCCCAAATCGCCTCCAACCACCTCGCAAACCAAGCCTAGGCTTCCTTCCCAACCTTTTTTTTGTCGTGTTGCCCGTGTGTTGCGTTACTCCACTCCACCCTCAACAGCGAAATAGCGGCGTTCCGATCTTATCCTGATTCAAATCCATTCTGGGCCTCGCGGGAAGCGAATGGTTATTCCTCGGAAGCCCGTCCAATGCATCCTCCTACGATTGCATGGCGTCGCCGTAGCCTTGCGCCGCCGTCGTTGCAAAATATCGGACGTCCACATCGTCGTCTTGCTGGAGCTTCTCCAGATTGGGTAGGATGCTCTTGACAATCAAGTCCTGTCCTTTTGCACATCCTTGTCCGGGTGTCTCGGCCTTTTGCAATGCTAACACGGTGCCCTGCTCGGGAAGCTGTTTAAGGGTATCGATGAGGACCGCATACGACTTGGCGACGTTGAAGCGGATGTTGGGGATGTCGTCGTTGACGAGTTTGTCCATCATGGGGAGGATAGACGTTTCGATCACGTCCAGGTTGAGGGCGGGTGCGAGGGTCTGATGTGGTTAGCAGGTGTCTGACCAAAATCGTGGAAAAGTATTGGCATACCGAAACAGCAAAGCACGTCGTCATTCGGTAGAGGTAGTTGGGGTGTTGACCCATTGCCATGACCTTGGGAACAATGGCTTCGCTGGCCCACTCCACACCAAAAACTTCAGTGAGCTTCTTGAGATTTTGGGTCGACGCTTCACGGATGGAGAAGACGGTGTCGCCCAACCAGCTCATACATAGACTGCTGAGCTTTTCGTCGAAGAACTGAACACCGAGTTGTGAGGCAAGGAGCGGAACGTATTCGATGATGGCCAATCGGACGCGCCATTGTTTGTCTTCGGCTAGCTGGACGATCGCGGGAAGGAGGGATTGGGAGAGGAGCTCGATGCCGATGACTGCGACCAGACCAATTAGCGTGAGTCAGAATGCACGATAACCGGGGAACATACCGTTGTTAACAGATTCAAGCTTGGAGATGATGTTCAGTCGGACATCGGGGAACTCGTCCTTGAGCATCTGTAGGAACATGGGGAGGAGGTGTGAAATGGTCTCGTCCTTGCCCAGGATTGGGGCCAGTCCGCTGATCTGGGTACCGAGGGCGGCTCTAACGTGTTGCGATTGGTCCGAGACCAGCTCTTCGATGCTCGGCATGACCTCTTGGAGGAGGGTTTCGCGTTCAAGAAGGGCGCAGAAGCCTGTTCAATCTGTAAGCGAGATGATCTCCCAGCAGATATTGAAATTTGTCGCCGGCTTACCAGGTATCTGCCCCGCGATAGCACTCCGCACCTCGGCCTCGGTGTCCTTCAAGAGCTTAACAAAAGCAGGAACCAGGTCGCGGCTGACCACTTCATCGTCGACGGCTTTCGCAATCTACACCCAATTAGCATACAGAGGTATTCCCGCGGTGTCTTGCACTGACCTTCTCGAAGCGGTCTGCGACCATGTATCGCACCCTCCAGCTCTTGTCCTCGAATAAGCTGCGCAGGGCAGTGAGAAGCACGCCGTGGCTGGATTGCTGTTCCTTGGGCACTGCCTCGGCGATCGCAATCAAGATGTCCACGGTGAGGAGTCTGACGCTGTCCTGATCGTCTGCAGCAAGATGCTGGAACAGACCAATCATCTCGTCGATGACAATGGCTGGGGGCTGGCACTTTATGAATTTTGCGAGGTTGTTTGCTGCCTGTCTTCGCACCATGGGGGTATCATCGTGCACGAGCTGTCCGTAATGCTGCCTGAGGCTCTCTTGCGATGGCGGGGTAGCTCGGGCATAGGGGGCGCAGTATAGGCCAGTGGCGGAGATTTTGGAAGTGAACCAATCTGCTTTGGACAAGCGCGTGACGAGGGGGATGAAGAATTCCTCGACCTGCTGCTGGGACAATTCCTCACAGATCTTGTTGAGGGACTCGACGGCCTATCAAGCGGTCAGCAAACATGTAGCACACGCACACGCGTGGGTCCGGGCATTGCAGGCGCGCACCTTCTCCCTCACAAGCGGCTCCTCTATAGCCGCCAGGTTCTCGAGGGGCGAGAGGAGCACATGTCCGTATTCGGGACCTCCAACAAAGTCGACAAACTTGCCGAGCTCCTCGCTAAGTGCGGTGAGCACTTCATCTTCGTCCTCGACCGACTCTGTACCGCAAGCAATCAGCAATGTTCAAAGCGCATGATGGTACTGGGACGGAGCATACCGTCCAGAAAAGGTATCAACTCTTCCCTTGTCCGCTCTGCGCCCAAAGCCAGAGCTATTGTGTTCAAGCGGTGAATGGCATTCAATCGCAGCATCACATCATCGTGCTTGAGCTCGTCAATTAAGACGGCAATCGGGTAAAGCTCGTCGGATTGATTCGCCTCCATGGTGCACGTGTGGGGGGAGGGATCACGGTTCGGAGAGGAGGGGGGAGAACTACGAGGCCAGGGAGCTGTCCTCGGCGGGTTGGAAGGCGGGCGTCAAAAAGGGAGATCGAGTAGAGGAGAGGGCGATTTGAGGTCTTCGGATGGGTGTGAGCGGGTTTGGTGATTGAAGAGGAAGAAGGAGAAGAGCGAGGGGTGGGGGGGCGGTGTTGACGTACCTGGTTGTCGGTTGGCGAGGAAAGAAGAAAGCGAGCGAGCAAGCGAACCGGGGCTGGCTGGCTGATAGCACGTGACGCGAAGGGGTGGGAAAAGAACCTCACGTGGGGAGGGGGGCAGGGCTGTCTAGGCAAGTTGAGGCTATCGTGAGGTGGCAGCGCAGGGCGGATGGAGGATGAACTGGCGTTGATGGTGGTGGTGGTGGATGAGTTGGTGCGGCTTGCCTGTTGGTGGGCGCCGCGCCAAGCGTTTAGGGCCATTGCTGCCCCTCCACTTGTGCACCTTTTCTCTCGTCTGTCCATCCATCTCATGTGCACCCACCCAGTGTACAAGTCTTGTACTCTAGGAACTCATATCCATGTATTGATACTTTCTCTTTTCGTTGTTTCTTTACCCCCTCTTCCCCTCCAATAATTGCATCATCTCGATTCGCCACCCAATTGCTTTTCTCTTGGTTCAAGCATCTGGATATAGCGCTCGTCACCTGACCACGTCCTTCCCCCGATATCGACTCCCAACTCCAGGCCGACACCTTTGCGATTGAAAGCCCGACAGAATCTCCTCGCCCTCTTCACTGCAAAAATGACTGACGCCAATGATGAGCCCATCATAAATGATGACATTCGTGAACATCCCGCCACCGAAACAGAGCCTCTCCTGGCTCGTCGCCCTTCTAATCTCTCCCAAGCCAGCTCCCTCCCTAGACACCTCACCACACGCCATGCCTTTGCCATTCTCATCACTCTCCAGATCGGATCTGGCGTTTTTGCCTCGCCGGCCCAGATCGATTCCAATGTGCCCTCACCCGGCGCAAGTCTGCTCGTATGGGCCCTTGGAGGACTGCTATCGTGGGCCGGCGCTGCTTCGTTTGCCGAGCTGGGCGCTGCCATGCCCATCAATGGAGGCATGCAGGAGTATCTTCGCCATGTTTACGGAGATACCATGGCTTTCATGATGGCTTGGATTTACATCATGGCTGCCAAACCCTCGGCAATGGCGATTCAAAGCATAGTCATTGCCGAGTCCATCGGCTCCATTGCTTCATTCTCCAGTCCTGATCTGGACCCCACCTTGCTCAGACTCGTGGCTGCAGGCGCCTTGATACTGATTGTCATGCTGAATTCCGTCAACACCAAACTCACCATGAGACTCAGTGAGTCGTTCACAGGCATCAAGATCTCGACTGTGTGTCTCGTGGTTCTCGGTGGCTTGATTGCTGTTATTGCCTATCTTGTGAACCCAAAATCTTCGCTGTCTGGTGCTCCCGATTGGCATGAGAGGAATTGGTTCGAAACTCGATCGACGGTTTCTGGTAGTGGGACTGTGGACTGGACAACAATGGGAACCTGGGAACGATATGGTCACTTCGCTGCTGCGTTGTACGGTGGACTCTGGGCATACGGTAAGCTTCCGATCCATGTTGTTCGTGATGAACATTCAAATAATGCAAATCCAATCCACATCCTTGGTGTTGGCGGTGAGGTCGCGGAGACCACCGACCCAGTCTTTGATATGCATTGCCTTTTCGTATCAGTGAAGTTGATGCTGACCATCTTTGATCTTCAACAGACGGCTGGGACAATGTAAGGGTTTTTGATCACTTGCAGACAACTCCCAACTGATGCACATAGGCCAACCTAGTAGCGAGTGAGATTCGTGATCCCGGCAAAGCTTTACCAAGAGCGATCAAATACGCCATGGTGGTTGTCCTCAGTTCCTACGAGCTTGTCAATGTTTCCTACTATATATTGCTCCCTTGGGATGCAATCAGTTCGAACAACGCCGTGGCCGTGACTGCAGCAGCCCGAGTGTTTGGCCACTGGGCCGGCATCTGCATCACCATGCTCATTGCACTTTCGTGCTGCGGATCCATCACCGGCAATGTTGTGCGTCTGGCCTTGTCCTCTGATTCCTCCCTCCCTCCATGACTCGTCTGCCGCCGACTGGCATGGGTCAGCGTCACTTTGTATAGGCATTGCTGACCGTCCCTGCAACGCCCATGTAGTTTACCATCGGACGCCTGATCATCGCTGCTTCTCATCGCAACTACCTCCCCAGCTTCCTTGCCACACGCGGCATCCCTGCCTCCACCCAACGCCACGCGGATCCCGTTGCGGCACCTCGGACCAGCTCAGACTCCAAATCCGCTTCCGTTATTGACGCCCCCATGTAAGAAACTCGGTGTGGTGCGTCTACCGGTTACGCCGCTTGCTAAACAGACACAGATACGCAAACATACTGACCCTTTTTGTTACCCTCGCTTATGTCTTCTTTGGTGAGCTGCGCGCTCTCCTGACGTTTACGGGCATGGCTACTTGGGTCTTCTATGTCAGCACGGTTCTGGGGCTATTGATACTACGTCGCCGTGAGCCTCAACTAGACAGGCCATATAAACCGACCGTTCTATTGCCGATCTTGTTTGTCGTTGTCGGCGTTCTGATGATTGTGCGAACGGCCATCTTCGCACCGCCGCAGAGCATCTTGCTGGCAGTCCTCATGGTCGTTGGCGCCGCCATCAGCAAATTGCGCAGAAGAGCAGCCTATGTCTAGTTCCATGTCGGCGACATGCTGGATATGTATGCTGCAAGCAAACCCTGTACTTAGTCTCAAAATCCAGTGCTACTACTCCACCCCGTAGTACTACAGCATCGGCAATAGTCATGGAGGGATATCATGTATTACCATTATCATTCCATGGAACAACAAAACAAAAGCAAAACCCCCGCTATTTCTCCACAGGGACGTTATAATCCACAAGCCCCAACTCCTCATCATCCGTCCCCACCGTCCCAAACATCTTACTCTCCTTGACTACACACTTCTGTTGGTTAGAGGAGCCCTTATCACGTGACTATCATTCACATATTACTAGCGTAGCTTAGTTATCCACAGCGCCTATATATTAGGACGCTGCTGCTCGTACGTAGAACAATACAACACATTCTATTGCTCTACTAATCTTAGAACTTCCCCCACAACCTCCAACACCGCACTCGCCCCGCCAAACCTCCTACCAACCACCCTCCCAAACATCTCGCCACCCGTCACCCTCCTCACCAACGGCCTCAACGCCAGCAGCACCCCACCAACAAGATCCACCCCACTCTCCGCAACGCTCAAACTCAACGGCGCAACCTCCTCGCCGACACCACGTTCGACACACTCATGGACTTCCACAGCACTACCCCGTTCGATCGCGCACCTCCCATCGTCCCCTCCGCCCGCTTTCTCCCAGTTATAGATACGTAAACGGCTTGCTGTTTGTCAACGGCACCACGACTTGCGCGAGGGCTGTGAGCGCGACGAATGGCGCTGTGGCGTGGATGCTGCGTTTGTAGGTCTGTCTGCGAGGTGGCGCCGAACAGCGCGAGGATGTGAGAGGTTGGTTAGCGAGGTCGTCTGGGGGTAGATGATTTGGAGGGTTGTGTTGAGTTTGAGCGACGTCGTGAGGGTTGTAAGCGGGATAGGGGGAGGTGTTGTTTTCCTATGTAAGCCGCCCCGTGGGGAGCCAGCGCTTACGTGGTTCATTCACGTCAACTATTTATTAGCTCTTTTTTTTTAGTTTTTTCTTTTTTTTATGCCATTCTTCCTCTAATTTGTTATTAGCTGTTATCGCGTTGCTTTTTTTTTCTCTCCTTTTCTTCCTCTCTAATCACGCGCTATATGGCGAATCTACAATCCCTATTCCCATCCCAATCCCGTCCTAACCCACTCATTCCTCCTCCTCCCCCCAAAAAAATCAAAGAAACGGGAGAGGCAAAGACAAACAGAAACAGTAAAAAAGAAAAAAAAACATACTAACTTAATAAATCCCTACCCTAATTAATCTTTTCTAGAGTTAAATAAACAACAAACCCTACTTGTTATTAACTCTACTATTTTTATAGACTTGTTGCACGCTGTCTTACCTCTGCTTGTTTGTTTATTTACTATTTTTGCGATGTACTGCAGTGCTGTGACGATGGTTTTGATTTTTAGGATGCGATGGATGGTGGTAGTAGGGGCGCGGTAGTATTAGGTGAGATGTAAGATAGTAAGATAGCGTAGAGGAAAAGAGAGGACTTGGAGATGGTGTGGATAGGGGGGGCGTCGTTGTTTATAGGGTTGTTGAGTGAGGTTAAAGGTTGCAGTTCAAGCGCGCGTAAGTGTTAATGTGTAAAGTAAAAAAAATATAGAGATAAAAAAGATAGGTGTTGTGCGACTTTTTTCTCTTTTATCTTTTTATTAAGGTAGGTCGAGGTGAGTTAGTGTATAGATAAATGGATGGATTCGGTCGAGCAAAGTATGTATGTATGTATGTAAGCTAGACATGTTCGATCAACCACTCACTCAATCGGACAACGATTTTACCCAGAGCTAGCTTATGAAGTAGATAATAGACCAGAGTTGTCGTTAACGTTAAAAAAGCTAATGCCAACGCTACCTTCCAGTACTATAATAAATCAGATAGTTAAGAACGTAGTAACTAACTCAGTGCAATGGAAGCAAGCATAAAACAATTAAACTCTCCATCGTTTCAGAGAGAAGAAATCGAAATGAGTGAGTGTATGCATCGAACAAGCCCGCCTTCCCACACCCCTTCCTTCAGAGGTACTCTCTGTAACCTGCGCGCTTGCCTACGGCTGTATATGCGATGGTAGCTGGGTGTATGGCGTGGTAGGAAAACGGGATGGGGTGGGCAGGGTATATGATTGTGGTTGTATAGGGTGTGGTAGGACATGGGGGACCAAGTCTCGCTTGTTGTAGATGTACATGGAAGGTTGTTTCTTGCATGTCAGACTTACTAGGTATTTGCTAGGAGGCTGCTGACGTTTGAGGGCTGCTTATCATGCTTGGATTATTGTTTCTAGAGTGGTGTTTAGGGAGTGTGTTTGTTGGGTGTGCGAATATTCTGATATGTGGCATAGCCACTGGTGGATTGTCGCATCCTCTTGATTTTCACGTCTTGCGCGCTTCTGTGATTTTCACTGGTGTCGTCGCGGGGGGAAAGCGCACGATAAAGGCAGGATTCGACTAGTGAATTGACTATCCATCCTCCGGTGAAGTAAGAGACCGGAGTTGATCTCAGAACTACACTACGCGATGTTGCGTTTATATTTGTACAAACGGAGCCCTCGACTAGAACTGTCGTAGGCGCTAACCTACCTCTGATGTCCCTTATCCATTTGATCTACGGGGAATTGAGAAGATCGGATGTGCGGCTAGAACAATCACATGTGCTTCCGTGGAGTGGGATGGACGCACGGGTGGCCGGTGCGAATGGCGAACAAAAGGGATGCTAGTCGACTCCGTGTTGCGCGATCGTGACTGCAAACGCGGGATTGCATCTGAGTATGGGCGGTCTAGCAAGGGGGAAAGTACCGTTGAATTCATGTTCGAGAGTATAGTGGCGTATCCAAGACGTTTTCATAAATTGAATAGAGTCTTGAATACTCTCTAGTTACGCTCGATTGGGGCTACATTATTCAGTCTGGGCTTGTGTAGTTGGCAAATAGCTTTATTACTCAACTTTCGTCGAGGTGAGCTTGACGAGGGTTGGTCAGACGGGCTACTGTAGTTTGTGTCGCAATGTTTCGACCAGTCCGAGGATTGGAAGAATGCGCATCCGTGGAAAGGTAGTAAGGATGCAAATAAGGAATTTACCCTGATTTGGATAAGTGTGCACGCGGTGTACATCCCTGTGCGTTGTATATCCCGAGCTTGTGTGTGGTGTGCACGCAGGTTAATCCTCCGGGACCTGGGGGCGAATTCAAGCGGAAGATTCATTGGAACAATGGAAACGACAGGGGACCAAGATAGAATCATCGGTAGAATAACGATTCTTCCACCTACAGAATCGAAAATCCTGGAAGTACAGACAGATGTCATCCAAGTGGACAACACATAAACTGCAACTCGTCTCAGTGGTGTGGTCCATATCAGAGTTGTCAAACGAAGGAAGAAGCTGTGGTCCGTGCAATACGACACTCCCTTTTTAGGATTAGTTTACATATGTACGCTTTGTTCCCCACTCGTGTGCAGGTATGCCGCGTGCTACGTCAATCCCGATCGACCGGTATGTCCATGACGAGATACCTTCCTCACACAACCTGTGACGCCAACATCCCAATGCCCCCAAAACCTTGCAATCACCAATCCCGCATTTTCTCGACTCTTTGATCTACCTAGAAGTTCGGGGAAGAGATGGTGTCTTAGGGAACTAAGTGGGGAAAGGGAGTTATGCATCAAGTCGTTACCGTGGTTCAATGAAGATTTTTCTGGCATTTACCCGTGATTTTTAGTCATCAGGTCGACCCGCCTTTCTGAAACACCAGTTTTTTACTTCAGTGCTCACTCAGCACGTAGAAATCGATAGCATCAAGTCGTTTATTACTTGTACCGTCAGACTCGCAGTCAAACTTCAATGGCACTCTTTCTATTTGTGAGATTCTGGATCGGAGAGGTATTGTTGCAGACTTCAGCTGTCATGTTTCAGGTATGCTTCAGAGAAGGATGATCATCATGATCCGCGCCATTCCCACACGTGGCACAAGGGGACTTATCGGTATATGCGTGCCATCGTGCGCATGCAAGGTTTCGTCCCACGGCATGCCTTACGAGCGATCGAACCCATGGGAGTAAATGGGTGCGCGCGCAGTAGCATGTCGTGTTGGGTCTTGTCATGCCACAGTTGAACCAACGACAGGATTCCTTCCGTGGAAACAAGAGGTTCAGGGTCTAATATAGAGTCACCGTTGCCTGAAGACTGATGATAGTCTAAACAACAGTTACTTGAAGACCTAGAGTCGACTTTTCGGATATCTTGTACAGCGCTCCTCCCTTGTAAAAGGTCAGTGAGCGTGGCAGTGGAAGCTAAGGGCGCCTTGAGCCTCCGGGCCGCTCCATCATCGCTGACTAGCTGGCGTTTGCTGACGTGTGATGTGGAACTCAATATGTGCATTGTTCAGTTCTCCGGGTTGAAAGCCTGGTCGCGTCGCTCTATAAGTTGGCACCCTGATGTATTGCTAGCTCCGATAAAGGCCATACGGTATACGACGAATTGAAGACATGCTTTCTGATAGTTTGCTTAGTCCTACGTTGTTCGAGAGTCCTTTATCATGGCAGATCTCATCATCGCCGTAGCCTCAAACTCTCCACAAATTCTGTTTGCACCTGTGAAATGAAAAGTGTCTGTTTGCTGCCTACTTGAAGCTATCTGACTGTATACCCCAATAACGCCATCCCTTCACGCGGCGCACCCCGCTAATTGTGCAGGTACTCGCCTAGAGAAATTATGCAAGGCCTTTGAACAGGCATATATAAAAACCCTGCGCACATCCAGCGCCATGCCACGCGTGAACTCACCGTTCCTCCCGCCTATAACTGGGCCGGTCCCCAACTAGCTCCTTTTCAGCCTCTCTCTCAAACTCCACATAACGCTCCCACCCGCGAACGCTCAACCTAGATATAATTTCAAAATCCTCTACCGAGGTATCCTGTGTGATCCTGTAAGGCCACTTCCCCACAATTCTGTGGTCCGACCTCATCACCGCCCCGTTCTCCTTCGCATGCGCATCCAACCGCACATCTCTCGAGTAGCTGTCGAACAGCTCGTCGAAGTCGCCAAGAGATCGCAAGATGTAGTACTCGCGGAGCTTCTTGGGGTCGCGCAGCGTAAATGCGATGGTACCGCCGCCGATGAATTTTCTCGCGCGCTCCCGCCTTTTAGGGGTTTCTGCCGTCTGGTAGGCGGATCCGCGTTCCATTCCCTTCTCGGCTGTTGCGTTTAGGAAGAGCATTATTAGGGCGGCATAGGGGTTGCGTGATTTTGGTTGGAGGAGAGGGATGAATTTCGATAGTGTGGTGGCGGGGCCGACGTAGTTTCGGTCGCAGATGTTGTCGATCTGCGTATTTCTGAGTCAGTTTTACAGTCTTCCAATTATAATCACGCCCGAGTAACTTTCTTAGTGACGTTGATAACATGAAACATACCTCGATACGATCGAATGCTAGTCCCTCTGGACGCAGATACGTGGGCAGATCTGCTGCATCCATGCTGTAGAACTGGAACTCGATTCTCGTGTTCTGAAGACGGTTGCAGAAGTCCAGAAGCAGGTCGCGGAGGAAGAAGAACAGTCCTCCGTACACATCAGCCTCAGCTATACGCGACTTTTTCATGTAGTCGGTATGAAGCCATCCATTGAGTGGGTCAGCTGAGTGATTCATGGGCCACTCACCCCGATCTTGAAAGAACGTCCTGTATAGTGTTAGCCTGATCGTATTTGCGAGGAGATTTTATTATCATACGGGTTAGGTGTGTCAAACTCCTCCCTGGAGCATCCGAAAGGTAGGAGTACGCCGTCAGACCTGAACTTCCAGTTTCCCATTCGTCGGTCGGGCGGCCATCTGAACATATCAAGATCGAGCTCGTCGATTTTCTTGTCATCAAGAGTGACCTTTTGCCGAGTCGTTGTGACCACGTCCTTGTCGAGACCGGCTGGCACTTTGAAAAAGGAAATAAGCTGAACCCATTGTTCCTTTCGAAGGCATAACCGCACGGAGCTCGTTACGAACTTGAAGGTTTGGACATGGAACGATCTGCTCGATCTATCCTGAATCTCGGCGCAAACATTCTCAATGTAGGGTAGGATTTCCTTCTGCAGGATGGTTAGCATACGTTCTGGTAGGAGAGCAGAGTACCAAAGATGCAGTATAATAGGAGTGCTGGCGGCTGGGTCAAAGTGGAGTGCCGAAAGGAGCATCATGATGTTGCGCGCCACCACTGCGAAATCCGCATCGTTCAACACTGCCGTGCATTGACCTGCGTATTCGTTAGGAAGTCCGACGATGGTCTTGATGGCGTTTCGACAGTCTCCGGAGGCGGCAAACAAGAGGTTGATATCTAAATCGAGGTGATGAGGCCGTTGATCGTCTTTGCCTTCATTGGCTTCCAACTTCAGGATATCCAGCGCTGGTAAATTTCCCCAAAGAAATCGACGTGCTCCGGTGGCGACGAATGCCGAGCCGCCATCCAACATAGATGGGTTTCGGCTTTCACGGGACCAGGCCGTCTCGTAATCTGGCTGATTGCGATCTGATTTGCAGTCGATTTTGTGTTTTGGCCAGTGAGCTACTTGGCATTCTCTCGAGCAATACTATGGAACATACATGTAAGCTGACTGTAAAGCGTTTCCAAAGAAGCTGTGCGAAAAGGGCTGGGGAGTTACCTGGACCAGGGAGCAAAGCTTGCAAGCGAAACCCGCAGTGCTGCGACACGGCTCTATCTTGCCGTTAGCTACTTTCTCGACATTTGCACAAAGTGGGGGGTTTGTGAACTGGGCCATTAGTTCAGTGGCCATGTCGGCGGCAGTGTTGAGAGAGATGTTGTGTGATCTGGGGGTGTAGAGGTCTAGGACCAGAGGCCTTTTATATTAGGCCCTCTACCAAACAAGCAAGCCCTAAAACCCAAGGTGACCAGGAGTATCGTCTGTTAGCAAGCACACAAATCCAGGGTGACGCTGAGTCGGTGATCAGCTATTGTAGCGGACATATCTGATAGAATGATAGTATTGTGATCAATACAAACCACCGCACCGATTGTCATGTGGAGCTGTTGTATTCTAAAATTTTCAGTGAGAACAATATAAACATGGGTATGACAAACACACTCATGTCACCAACGGACTGTAGGATACGCCTATTATATTGTTTATTGAGTTGTAGATTACAATACAAAAGCTGTGCCTATGATTGTTACTATTGTAACACAACGAGAATAATAGTAATCTGCAACTTGCCTTCACCCAGACTTCAAACTGCACACTCCAACATCTCGGGTGAAGATGACATTAACATCAATTGATGGTAAAGGGACCTCACGCGGGCCGTTACGCTAACCGCATCGGGCTAGTGGATATCAAGATGCAGTCGACGCAGCAATTGATCTCCGCAACGCGAAGACTTTGTATACTCACACAGGCAAACATCTGCCTTTGATCTTCAAGTAGAACACATAATACGAGTCTTGATACTTTGTGGTGCTGATCTTAAAGGGTGAGCTGGCCATGACGCGTTCACGCATAAGACGCGGCACGAAATACTACACACTAGCGAGGTACCAATAGCGCAAGGCGGCTTGACCCCGTCACGCTCCTTCATGGACTATAACTCAACGTTCCCCGCCCGTTCGACACAGCACGGGTTCATCTTCAGCGTTTTCACAGCGTTCTTCAAGTGATAACAGCTACGCCATGCCCAGACAGAAACGCACTCTGACCGAAGCCGACCCTGATGTTCAGGGGTCGGCGCACAGACAATCTGGGAGAGGCAAAGCGAAAGCTACTAAAGCTTCACATCCCGCTGATGCAGCTAATTCGAAATCCAATGATGCAGCTTCTGAGAGGAGGGACTCTTTGGATGTAAGGTCTTCATGATCCGCTTATACGCCCAACTTTACGTACTGAAACTTGGTCACAGATGAGCGCATCCACGAAGCTGAAATACATGTTTATGTGCCCACCTTATTGGGACGTTTCAGCCCAGCGACGTGACAATGGAAAAGAGAGTGAAGACGAAGGGGAGGAAGAGGATGAGGAAGAGGATGAAGAAGAGGAAGAGAAACAGCAATATCCATGTGCCGCAGACTGCGTTTGCAAAGACAAAGAGCCACCCAATAACCGCCCAGCCAACAGTCGCCCTGAATGGGTCTGACTTATAACTGAGCTAGGCTGGAAGACGCACATACACTTGGACCAGCAGGCTTTCAAACGCGATCAAGATGCCCAAGGAGAATACCAATACAATGATTTCACCGCGCACGGCATTAGCGAGGTGATTGACAATTGGGTAAGCGAAATGCGGATGCAGTTTAGAGCGCGTTGCAGACTATTCGCTAATGCCTCTCAGCTGAAAGACATCAATAAGGAGATATCGAAGACGGTGTCCCTGTATGCGATGTGGGCCCAACTTGAAGGATTCTCGTTTTTCACAAAAACCGACTACATTGATACCTGGTTTAGTGAGTCTTCATATCGAATTTTTTTTTTCCAATCACTTTATACTAAACACCTTCCAGTGGGAGATGACGGTCACGGATCCGCAGAGACGATTGGCCTCGTTGGCAAAGCTCTCCTCACCAGTCTCTACATCTTGAAAGATCACGGGCTATTCAAACCCTATCAGCCCACGGATGTCGGTGGGCTCAGGAACCTCCCGCTCATTCTCGCCCTGTTCGTTGAATTTGCCAGGGCGTGGAACGAGCTAGGTGGTGAAAAATCCGGTGGACAATACGGGGAGACAAAGTGGGTACACAAGCTTGCACAACTCGCAAAGGAGAACAAAATCGAGATCAAGGGTCCCTACAAGTTCCACAAACACAACCGAAAACAGCTTGAGCCCGAGCTTGACTCTGAAGAGCCGAAGAAAAAGAAGCAGAAACTGCATTTGTCGGAAGGCACATGGGGCATTGCGACCTCTGTCGACGCCGATCTCGATGATGAGGCTGATGTTGAGGACGATGGAGATTACTCAGTGGCTGGGTGGAGGAAAGCGGTATGTCGATGCAAAACCCCATCCGATGCAATTCACGAGACTGATCATACACGACCAATGTAGTTTAAGACCTCTACCAAAAGACATGCTAAGGAGCGCAGGACCGTAATCGGTGGCACTGACTACGATCTCACAAGGGGAGGAGGACGCAGATAGAGTAACACGGGAAGCTGGGATTCGGCTTTTAGTAGCTCCAAGATTGAGCAATGCTTTTAAATCAATAAGTCCACGGAGGTTTGATAGTCAATTTGATAATGATCCCAACACTAGTTAAAGACTGTTCTTGATGAAGCTGACACACGGATCAACTGCAAATACAACAAAATTGCGAAATTCGACTTCCGGAAATGACAGGATACAGGATATCAGTGGTATAAAACTTTCTTATAGGTATTATCTTCTCTTGGTTCGTGAGAGTATTTTTTGACCAGAAGCAGAGTAACCTCTGGTCATTTTTCTCCTGGTCACTACCGTGTTAGATGAGGGCAGTGTAGGAACAATCCAGAGAGAAAAACTTACATTGTTGTATCAAGGATGCAGATACTCGGCTATCTGCAGTCGCAGGTTCTAGTGAGCTAACCAGAGATGGTACAACTCATGTGAGATGCCGATCATTTTCTATGTCTATCTCTTGAATCCAGTGCTGCCTAAGGATATCTGTAGAAGTGCGTACACCCTCTAGCCGGGAAGGCCGTTTCTTCTCACCGGGCTTTCGCCGTGGGCGGACATCCAGATGTATACGTCGTAGGTGCTATGCAGCATTGTAGTACGCACCATAAACCTTCTGATACCTACAATGTTTGCAGTTGGCGAGGAGTTTCTTGTCAGGAGACGCATCTATGCAGATGTAGCCTTTCCGGACTGGATGATGCGCCCTTTCAACGTGTCGCCTGAGCTCAGATCCAGCTTTAAATCCGCTTGGATATTCTTTGCAATGAGGACATAAGTATTTGCCATTTGGCAGTCGCAGTTCAGCGGTCAGTTTTGCCACTCGCGGTTTGCTAATACTGATTGGAATGTCCATCCAGCTCTCCGTGTGACATTCCTTCTCATGCTTTTTGAGTGCTCGCGTGGATGGGAAGCTGAGACCATAGGTGCAACCTGGCTCGCTGCAAAATAGTTTTGGCAAATGGGTCTTTTCGTGTTCGGAACGAAGGCTCTCAGTAGGAAATCCGATAGTCGCGTGAATACAGTTGGAGAATCGGCATACTAACGCAGTCGGACCATAGGCAGCCTGGAATCTTTGTAACTCGTCTGCTGACAGGCCCGGGAATTCTTGACTTGAAAGAAGTGTTGCGACTTTGCTATAATATGTCTTCCGTATTTCGCCAAATAAAGTGTAATCTGGTGTAGTTCATAAGCACGTCTACAGCATTGGCAACTCAAGCGGTGATCAAATATAGACGTACCATGGATTATAGAACCTTCCTTTTCCTGCTCCGCCCTGTGTTCAAGCTGGCCCCGAATGATCTCCATTACATCCGGATACTGGGTTAAAAGCTCCAGGCGCCGGTCTGGAAGCGCTGTCGTGCTGTGGTCGGCCGGCGCACGGTAGTAGAATGTGTCATTGACCCGAAATATGCGGGTGAGATTATCCAAGCAAACTAGCAGGACGCAATCCGCCTCTACATCGGTGTGTATGCCTCCGTTGGCATCAAGGTAGGAAAAGAGATGTTCGATCCAATATTCGTTCGCATATAAGTGTAGGCCATGCATACCTTTAGCAATGTTGATCGTGTTCTGGTGCTGAATATCCTCCTCTTCAACCGGCATTGCCATACGGCCAACGATTAACTTAGCGCTAAAGTTGAGGTATGAAATGCATGAGAAAGATAGCATGTGTTCCGATAGGGCGTATCCTAAACCGTGACTGCTAGAGTCGGATATCAGGTATCTAAGACCAGATAAGCGACAGCGGCAAACAAAACATGGTGACTTACTCCCTGACAGAAAAATGAGCTAATTTGACTACCCCGTCATGTTTCTGCTCGATGAGAGGCTTGCAGAGTTGTAGAATTACTGTGGACAGTAAGTTCTCTTGGGTCATCGTCCCACTTTCCCGTGTGAATGCCAGAGCATTCAAAATCTCGAAGAATCTGAGTGGGCGCTTTGCAAAAACGATCCACTGCAATATTCGTAAGGCCTTCTCGGCATTTCTTGGACTGCGTGCTTGCACCCTGCTCATGATACGTTCATAGCTTTACTTGCTTTAGCAACGAGAAGGTCTGACCTATGGGGTGAACAGAAATCTTACAAGCCTTTGAGACCACGAGGCAATATCTCCACTGCAGCCCTTAGGTCTTCCACACTGAAGACTTCGTCTTCGAGCACGTCAAGAACCAATCGTACCCATAGGAACATACCTGTAAAAGGTCAATTAGTCAATATTTTAGTAGAATTGTAGAAGCGGAACTGGATAGAATGGCTTCACTTGAGAAACACGAGAAGCTCGGTTTACCTTCTGCTTTATGTACAATTTGATGCGTGATCGCGGTGATCAAGGCATCGTCCACTGCTAGCTCCTGAAATTTACCCTGCATATCCTCGATTCTGGTGGAGACGTAGGAATCAATCGCAGCACCGATGGCAGCAGCCTCGTCGTTCAAGGAAAGCGTTGGCTTCTTGGAAAGCGCGTCGGCAATGAAGCGGGTGTCTCTGCTCGATATCAATATTTGGACACCGGTACCTTCTGCAGGAGCAAGGCCGAGGATATCGCGCACTACATCTTTGTGCTTTCCTTCCTTGCACTCGTCAATTCCGTCAATGATGATGCAAGGACGGTCCATGGAAGCTAGCATGGGAGGCACGATTTCCTTCAACGTCTGTAAAGAAGGAGTGAGCCCCTTTGTTACAAATTCGCTGTAGACAAAAGAGGATAGATCGGTCTTTAGGCGTAACAGCTGGGTAGCCAGAGACTTTAGAATCCGAGTTGATTGATTCAATTCAGACGAAAGGTAGCTGCAGTAGTAGAAGAGCACGGTAGATTGCCGGTTTAAGCGCAAGAATCTGATCACGCTAGCGCTGAGAACGCTCTTGCCTGGTCCAGGTCAGCTACTGCTGTCAAAAGACCAAGTTTGCTCACCCGACCCCGGTTTTCCAGTTAGCCACAGGAATGCATGACCTTGTTTCGTGTTGAGCCAATGACGAAATTTTGGATTCTTCACGATCCATTCGTGGCTCCCAGATTGACGGCAGGCCAGAAGTTCTGAAAGAAAGTCTTCCTGCGTATCCCGTCGGTCATGATTGTCCATGCCAGATTCTAACCAGGAAAGAGACGACTGGAGATGGTTCTCAGCTCTATCATCATCTTGCCTCGATGCCTCTTCTTTGGCCTTTTGCCGCCACTCCTGGGACTCTAGTATTTCCCAAGAAGTAGCTTCAGTGTCGATCAACTGCGAATGTCGCGATAGGCTGTCGAGGATGCACTTGAAACGAGAGTTGAACCGACCCCAACACGAGCTGAACAAAAGCTTCCAAGCTGTGTTGTGTTAGAATCATGGAACATGGACGTAGCAAACGCAGAACACACCGGGCCGTTTCACGTAGACGTATGCTTGGTGGTGGAACTCGAGAAGGTCGGAATAGTATACCGCCAATACATTCTGGAATTCCGCCCTGTGTTTTAGGGTATTGCTCAGGCGATCAAACCGAGGCAGATTCTCAGCTATGCGCGCGTAGGCAGCCATGAGCGTCTCGAACGCAGTTAGAAAGTCCGAGGCAATCTTTCGAAATCAGCACCGTGATATAGATGATTCTGGCACTCGTGAACGCACCATTATTGTGAGCTTGATTGGAGCCTGGCATGATATTAGCGGGTGCTCTCACAGGCCATGTAGAGACTTTACCCATATCCAGGGCAGGTAGAGAGTTCCATTGCAAAGAACTTCGACAGCCTTGGAGTAGTGCTCCAAAGCGCCGAGGAAGACGTCCAGACGTCGCAGATTCCGGAGGCATTGCCTTGCGGCCATTTGGCGCTCAATCCCTCTGGCGGCATCTCGCACATCCTGCAACGTGGTAGAGCAAAACTGGTGATAGTCTTGAATGGATGTGCTTCGGACTGTGCTTTGGAGCTTTGTGAAAGCAGTGTCGAAGGTTTGTTTTGCGGTTGGAGTCAGTGTTGGGGCGGGGTTGCGTGCAGGCGGGTGCGACGCCAAGGAGCCAACCCGATTGGGACTAGCCGCCTTCGAGGCCATCATGTGCATCGATGCAGGAATGAATCCAAAATACGGGGTGGCAGCGAGCAGCAACAGGTGGGCATGAACAGCGGAAGAGATGGCAGAAAGATGGAGTCTCGCCTCTCCGTCAGCGGGTGGGCTGACATTTGAACCCTTCAAGCTTCACTGGGACGAACCGGATCAGCCTCCCGCCTATTGCACCTTTGGCAGCCGTATCGCAGAGATGCCTTGTCTGTCCGCCTCACTCACTGTGGTGGCTATGCTCCAGATTAGCACCAATCTCGTCGCGACCGTTCAAGCCACAGTCGCTTCGCTTTTGAACCGCCTCTCCAGTATACGAGCTGGTTTTATTCTCTAGGCAGCTATGCTTCCTACCTCAGCACCACCAACCAACACACCGGAATCGAAATCACCCGCAAAATATGTTGGGGAATTCCAGTGACAGCACTATCAATGACACCAAATATGCAATGGACATCAACCATCCACAATGCGACGATTTCGATTTCGACGAGGCTGTTGACCTGGCCTTGTCATCCATCGAACCGTTGACTGCGTCCGGGATATCCGACATCAGCGAACTGACCAGCTCCGTGCACAATGATCATAACGATGAGCTGATTTGCTTCGGAGAGGTATTCAAGCCCGTTCTGATACCTCTACCCTTTCTTACGAATCATTGATTGCCTGCCCACAGGTCTCGGGAATTCAAGTCGTCGTGTCAGCTGATCAAAGACCACCGCCTTCACAGGCTATCCAGATCAACTTCACTGGACAGACCAAGATCCATTGGCTTCAACCATCACCCGGGCAGGGAGAGCTAGACCGTCGACATGTCACTGCTCTTTCCGTCCTGAGCAAGGAACGTGGCATTGTGCTGGAGACTTTCCTGTCTGTGAAGGCGAGTGCACCAGACGTCTCAAAAAATCTCAAGAGAAAGAGAGTCGGTCACGCATCTCTCAGTGTTGTAATTTACGGTCCGATGCGCCTATACGAAGATGTGGGTCGCTTTTGCCAGGCTTGCGACTATTTCCTCCAGGATCCCATCAACGCCTCTCGAAATGTCCTCTATCGTAATTCACATCGCATATCTGGCATGGATCAGATTGCACCAAAAACTTTTGAGCTGCGGCCTAGCAGTGTTGTGAAGAATATTGAAACACAACCTGAAATGGAAACCTTTGACGATTTCTTGTCCCAGCTGAATGCAAAATCCAATGTTCCGGAAGCAGATGACCCCCCATGCTTGAAAACGCGTCCACTGAGGTAATTATATTAATATTCAACCGATATAGATCCACTGACAACAGTCAAGGCACCAAAAGCAAGCTCTGCACTTTATGCTTCGTCGAGAAATTGGGTGGGACTTTGAGGGGCCGGACAAAGACATCTGGTCGAAGACGATATCCGCATCCTGCATCACGTGAGTCATTTCGCTTATGGCAGGTGATTTACTAAAAGTAGCAGATACGTTAACAACATCTCTGGCGATCTTCAAACTGTCAAGCCACCGAATTTTTACGGTGGTATTCTTGCCGATGAAATGGGCCTTGGCAAGTCTCTCAGCATCATCTCACTAATTGCACAGGGTCTTGAATTGGACTCTACTGCCACAGAGCGTACTCCTCACACCATTCAGCAGAATAGTTATGCCGTCGATTCTACGCTCTTGATTGTACCTCTGCCATGTAAGCGTTGTTTTAAGCGTCACCAGTCGAGAGGCTAATGTGCGCTACAGTGATCGCTATGTGGGAGGAACAATTTGATAGGTATTGATTGGGAAAGTACCCTCGTTATCGGAGCTAATAACCAGCAGACATGTTCACAAAGGGGCCATGACCTTGTATCGACACCACGGAAGCACTAGGCTATCGGCACAAGCTCGTCTTGGCCGACGTGATGTTGTACTCACGACATATCAAACTATCGAGCATGAGTGGAGGAAGAGACCCTCCCATGAAACATTCAGCCTTCTACATGTGCAATGGAGACGCATCGTCCTTGACGAAGGTATGTGCGCACACTCAAACTAGGAGGCCAAGTTGACATTGTTTTCATCTAGCGCACTACATTAGAGAAGTATCCAACAATACCACCAAAGCACTGATGTCCATCGAAGCTATATCAAGATGGGCAGTCACAGGTACCCCCCTTCAGAATCACCTCACGGATCTTTCGACATTGTTTGAGTTCTTACGGGTTCATCCTTATGACGATCTCAGAGTGTTTAATGCTCATATCGCCAGAGTTTGGAAAGACCGAAGGGACGACGAAGCAGCCAACCGATTGAAACGGCTACTCCGCATCATCATGCTGCGGCGACCTCAAAACATCATCAACCTCCCACCATCAGCTCACGTAACACGAGAACTCACATTCACGGATGGAGAGCGGGAGCTTTACAAGGAAGCTGAATCAAGAGCCCGCAAAGTTATTGGGGAGATGTTTGATGAGGGTAGTTCCACGTCTCAGAAGCCAACATATCTGAATGCATTGCAGCAGATCAACGATCTCCGGTTGATCTGCAACATGGGTGTCCACCATCGAACCTCTTTCGAAGAGCATAATGACCCAGTCTCGACGTCAGCAAATTGGGACACGGAAGCCGCGTACGATGCACTCGAGTCTCTTGCAATAGCCGCGGATCTCACCTGTTCACTCTGTGGAAGACTTTGTTTGGCTGACGATGTCGCGACGCAAGATCCTACAGAAACAGCATACCTCTCAAGATGCTTGCGCCTCTGCTGTCCCACGTGCATATCTGAATCACTCTTAGAACCGTCATGCACCGTGAAAGTATGCGACCACATACCTCCATGTAGTATCACTGCCTTCCCTTTGGACAGATTAGCAGCGTTGAAAGCAAACGGCCCTCAGAACTCTATACCCCGCACACGTTCCCTCCCAACAAAAGTAAGAGCACTGGTTCAGGACTTGCAAGTGCTTCCTCGACAAACTAAAAGGCAAGTGACTCTAGTGACAAACTGCTCGGAACGATCATCAGAGCTGATACAGACAAGTGTCGTCTTTTCCTTTTGGAAGGCAACACTCGACATCATACAGGACGGCCTTGAAGAAGCTGGCATCAGATTTCTCAGAATCGATGGGAGCGTCTCAGGCCCGAACCGTGCTGCCATACGGAAGACCTTCCACACCAGCACCCAGTACCAGGTCATCCTATTGACAATTTCCTGCTCGTCTGTTGGGTAGGCCAGATCCCTTCCTGCTCACCTTTACCTACCCCAGGTACTCACTTCCGCTAGACTCGATCTTACTGCTGCATCTCGCGTCTTTTTGATGGAGCCTCATTGGAATCCCGCAGTAGAGGATCAGGCATTGGCCCGTGTTCACCGCATGGGACAACAATGCGAAGTGGTGAATACGCGATACATTATCAAAGGTTCGTTGGAAGAGGTAAGATTTTCTAGGATGCAGAGGTCGCTATTGGCTACTAAGAGGTGCTAGAATGTAATCAAGAAGCAACGGTACAAAAAAAGACTGGCGGAAGTCTTGTTCTCAAAAGATGGCCTTGGGACGAAAAATGTGCAAAGTCAGATTGAAGCAAGTGCATCGAATGCGATCAAGTTGGACAGTATACGCTAACGATGGACAGGAATGGCGCTCGTATTGGGATTGACGGCTTTGTGTTGCTCTAGTGGGCCGCAATGGCTTTGTTGAGTAACAGAAGACCAGCTGAGTTTCACCAAGGTAGTGAGTGTGCAATGCGACTACGGGTTGATGCATACTTTTATTGCATCGTATCTATCTGTAGTGACCTCTACCAGCGGTAGACAAGCTTGATCATCGAGACCTTCCGCTTCTTGAGCGGTACTCACAACATGGATAGATGAGCCATCAGATTGGCACAACAATCTTGATCCCACTAACACCGGCCTTGAGCTTGTCCAGTGCGGGATTCAAACCTTCCAGACCGCCACCCTCAACCTGAATGCTAGGGCTGGGAACGACCGAACCCGACCTGAGACCATCTTGCAGCCATCCGTGGAAGCACTGGTACATGTGCTTGTCCCTCACCGCCTTATTCATTGATGGAAAATTGAACTTGATTTCCGTCTTGTCAAGCGTCGGGTGGTCTTTGGGCAGAACAGGAGAATGGGCTACTTTGGCAGCGGCATCGCCCTTTGTTTCTTTGAGCACATGCAGGGTTGGCTGCAGAGATTCATTGACGACGCAATGTGTTGTGTGCAGGTTGACGCCGTCCCTCCTCACGGCGTCGACAATTTGCGAGACGACGTCGCTCGCCTTGTAGTCGAAGACGGCGTGGGCCCCGAGCTTCTTGATGTACTCGTGGTGTTTGGCGCTGGCGGTGGCGTAGATGGTAAAGCCGAGCGTCTTTGCGGATTGGACGGCGAAGGCGCCCACGCTGCTGGCGGCACCCCAAATCAGCACCGCCTGCTTGTCCTGCGGCGCGTACTTTGTGTCGAGCGGGATGCCCACTGTGGTCCAGGCGGTCAAGGCCGTCATAACCGCCAGGGGGAAAACGGCGCCCTCCTTGAAGGAGAGGGCGTCTGGGAGGGCGACGACGCTTTCGGACTGGGCCAATGCGTATTTCTGGAAGGCGCCATGGTCTGGGGAGCCGTTTTGGTAGAACGACGACGCAAATGCGATGACTCGACTTCCTGGCCCAGGAACCGTGGAGACGTTGGCGCCCAGCTTGGCGACGATGCCGGCCGAGTCGGATCCGATGACAGCTGGATAGATGGGCACCGGAGGCATGCCCAAGTCGCGCTGGAAATAGTCGACCGGATTCAGGGCAACTGCCTTGACCTCGATGAGCACCTCGTTCGGACCGGGCTCGGGCGTGGCGCGCTCGCCAACCGTCAAGGGGCCGCCCTTCTGGGGGAGGATGGCGGCTTGGTGAGTTGCAGCCATGGTGGGTGGTGATGTCTGAGAAAGCGGTGCGTACGGAAATGCAAGGAGAAAAGAGCCTGGTACACCAGAGGGTCGGTCGCTTCAATGTCAAGTTGATAATCAGTTTCGTGATAACCAAGGAACATGTGTCCTGCCTGGAGCTCAAAGGCAGATTTATAGTGTTTTCAATACCCAGTGTTTGTGCCGCATGGAAATACGATAATTCACCACTACGCTTGGTTAAGTTGATATACTGCCTCCATAGTATTATAGGCAAGCGGAGATTAGCCCTAGGCCCGCTGTGCTGGAGCTGCCTTAACTCCGGGTGTGGCTGCCATGGGTGGCGCTGCTGTCACCGTATTGGCTGCGCATTTGACGTAGTGACGTATACGATGTCACCGTATATCAGTGGAAAATCAAAGAGAAAAAAACCCCATACAAGTAATAAAGCTTAGATCATACTTCTCCATGGTATTCCAAGAAAACAAAAATGTAATATTAGTATCATGCAAAGACGAAAAAAGTTTAATAAGAGTTGGCTCCTCTATAAGTATAGATTGTTCTGTATAAAGTTGCTACGTAGAACAATTGCGAATGCAATAGAATTGCAGATTCGACTTCCGGAAATGACAGGATGCAGAATAGTAGTATATCATCTCCACCTCTCCATCTACAAGAGACCCACGACGCTGATTCCCATTCACGTAACCCACGCCACCTCCCTAGAAGCACGCGGCACTGCTGCAGAACCAAAATCCTCCAGCCCCAGGCCCAGCTTGTCCTATCATGAAAACCACTTGTTAGCAAGAACACGACCAATACCTCAATCCGCGCTCATCCTCAACGCGGGGGGAGAAAGAAGACGTTCATTAATAAAAACACAGCTCGAAGTGTATGAATATCAAATACTTACGAGCAAAACAATACATCCTGTCGTTAGGCCCGCCAGAGCAGCCGCAAAAGCAGTCCAGGCGCTCCTCCAGAACCATGCCATCAGACAACGGCGAGGTATCGTCGCGTCGTAGCGGTGCAGCGGCCAGTGCTGCGCTTTCATCGACGGGCAGCGCGGCTGCTGATGCCCCTCCCAAAGCGAGAAGGAAGGCGACGGAAGTAATAACGCGGGCGGAGACGAGCATCTTTGAGATCGACAAAAAAAAGGTAGATATTGATCAAGGTTCGGGGATCTAGAGGCGTTGTACAATCGAAGTTGATGGTGTGGAAAAGAGATGGAAGGAGGTTGCTTATTTATATATGTTTTGGAGACTGATTGCTGTGCGACTTACACTCGAATGGTGAAGTGTATCTCAAACTTGCGTAATCCGGAAATGGGAAACAATCTTGACAAGACACGGGGGTGACATTGCGGATACCGTGCTAATCCTTCCATTGTTTGATGAATTCTGTCTTGTGCACAGAGTCCGCACCCAGGTTAGCTAAGTACCAAGCCGACCAAATAATAGCACGTGAACGAATTAAAAGAGCATAATCAACATTTTGTGTTGGATCCAAACAGCGTCAGCGTAATCTTCACAGTATAGCTCTACTCGTCCATGTCTTGGCTACTCGATTGGGAATAGTGTATTGCAGTTTATGGTAAACGTCCTGGTCTTAAACCATCAGCAAGATCAGCTGCGGGTTACAGCTCTTCTTCAATAACCCCTGCGAGAAATGCGGCAAGGGTGAGGTTATAACGGATTGTATGCAGTTTGAATGTACTAAGGTCTATGCCTGGGTCGCGGGACAACTTTGTGAAAAAGTCATCTTAAAACCTCGTTCTTTAGGTACTTGGATCTTTGTTTGGGAAATAACTATTTCTCAGCTATCTAACTATAGAATTCCAGCTTTTGTTTAGATTTTGTTTCGTGGTCGTCGTGCAATACGTCAATTCGTCGATGTCGTTAATCGCCAAATTATAAATTCACCCTAGTTTTTTCAAGACATGAAAGACCTCTCTTAAATTCAGATGCTTGGGAAGACAGCTCGCTCAACAGAGAAATTTTCCCGAGTTATGAGGTTTGATTCAAGTGGATGGAGATGCTTTCTAAGAGTTTCGCAGTTGGTGGGATAGACCCTTGAAATCCGGCATGTTTTTAGTGGTTTCTTTTTTTGTACTAGCGTACATTCAGCTTACTTATGTGAGCGGGTATCGAATGGTATCATTTCTTTCAAGCTATGTTGTCTTTTTCTTCGATGTGGCGCATTGTTCCTTTTAAAGAATGATCCTCACGTGCTCAATGGCTTCAATGTTAGTCTCCACGGTGTCTTTGGCACCCGGCAGTGTTCGAAAAGCAACTGCGACTTCGGTATTACCAACTGAAATGCGAGGAAGTCGTTGTACAGTAGTAATGATGTTGTGTGTGGACTTGCTGACATGGGACGTTTTGTTGTAGCCGTGCGCATTTTTTATATGAATCACAAATGGGACGGTGCTGCTCGATAGGCTAGCGGCAAGTCACATGGTTGCGCGATGTCACGGCGACGTGGCATTCTCTATGTGGACGATGGACAGTACAACGCTCAGAGAAAACGTTACCCCTCAGCTCCGCACGGACCGAACCCTTAAGAGCCTCGAGCCCTTGAAAACGTCTGTGCTCCTATCGTTGCATCACCGCACCCACGATAGTGAAGACCGCATCCGTCGTCACAGGTAACTTCTTGAATGATAATCTGACAATTAGTCCAAGGACGTCGCTTCTTTCTCCTCATGGAATTTCTCGCCGCTGTCGCCAGCATTAGTGCTGTTCTACAGATCCAGCTTATCGCTACACAGCGCATCGCTTCGTTTCTATGGCAGCCAGTCATTAATGCCAGGCTGTATGGGGGAGGGCCAGGATTTATATTGTTCATTTTTGGGAACCGGACAGTATGGCGCACTGAAGCAAGCGTACTTGGAATCATGGACGATGATGACGCACTCGGATTTAAGAAGTCGGTGCAAGACGAATGTACCATGATATCTGTGGCAGTAAGCTTCGTCCTATCCCAGAGTGCAGACGGCTCTGTTTCTAACTGCTGGAGGCTGCAATTGTGGCTCAAATTGCAATGACCGGCTTCTCATTGGAACATCTTAGTGAGACTCATTGTTCTGCGCGAGCGTTCTTGCTGTTTAGCGTGGTGTCCTCCTTGATGGCCGTGTACTACGCCACAACCCAGCAACGGATCGTGGGAAGATTACTGAGACCAAAGAAGATCCGAGGGTGGATTCGAGGCAGCCTATCCCAGCCTGGACAAGATTTGTGGGATTTCGACCTACATAAACGTCCATGCGATCCTGAGGAGTATCGATCAACACCTCCAGAACTCGAGCTCATCGACGTCAGGTCTAGGTGTTTTACTCCGAGTGTCGCTTCTGTTGTTGCTTTGTCTGCACCTCAATTTCTTCTAACAAGTTCACTTGTATCCCTGCTTTTGGCCATCGGTATCTACAGTGGATTCATCTGGACGCGGAATCTTGACACGGCTACGGGATCAAGCGGGAGTAGAAACATTTTCATTGTCTATATTATATCAATGGTTGTTTGTATTGTTTTGTATTCTACTTGTCGCCTTATTCAAGACCATGATAAAAGGTGGGAAGTTGAGATTCTGGACGATTATGTGAAGCTGTATGTGGAGAAGCATCCTGCCGTTGTGAGAACTTGGACTCAAAATTCAACAGGCACACATCCAGGAAATTAGTATCAAGAGTTATTACTATAGTCCGTCTGGGGTGCTGCTGCGGACGCTCGAAGGTACATTTGAGTTCGGTTTTGTCACGGTGAGGAAACTCGACAGTGGAAAGTGCATGGAGTGTTGGGATTAAACTGAGGTTGTACCATCTAGAAGATACAGAAGGTATAACACGTGACGCTAGTCCTAGACAGTAAGAAGATATAACACGTGACGCTAGACCGAGACAGTAAGAAGGTAAGAGCAACCATATCATAGGGTAAGAGCCATAAACTGTGACAGGTTTATTCCGGGAAATTCTTGCCAAAAAGCACAGTGCTGGCGTCAGCATCCGGCGGAAGGACGGGCCAAATGTGGGACACCTAGGGGGGAGGCCAGAAAGGTAGGTGGGATCTTGTATAAAGGTGGTTCGGATCTTCAGATCTTCAGATCTGTAGAAGGAATCTGTGGGTCTTTAGTGTGCTCTAGACGCTGGAGGGGCATCCAAGCAAAGCCACCCCTGTGGCCAGATGGCACGACCCTAGTTTTCGATCATTTCTGCGATACCCTACGCGGGTGGATGAGGTGAGACGTGCGGGATCCATCCGCCGGAGGAACCGATTAACGCGACGGACCTCGACGAGGCTACTAATCAAAACGCGAGTGCCTGCAAAGCCACAAGCTGATAGCCAACGAGCTTGGCAGCAATGACATAAGCAATTTACAGCGCCTTACAGTATATTGTGAGCTCGATCTAACTAGATAGAGAAGCTAACTTGAACAGAAGTGCTGACTAGGATAGCGGGCCTGCATGAATCCTCACACCACGCTAGCTATGAGGCTGATAATAGCCGAACTCTATTAAAACTAGTTATTAAGAGTTCACAACTATCTTTGGCATGGAATTTAGCTAAGCGAAAGTCTTATTGTGGGTATATATTAAAAGAATTTCTTTGGCTATAGAAAGATGGCCTATTGTGCTAAAGGTTAAAATGTATTTATGCAATTGTAACTTTCTAGATTTAATAGGGTGCGAAGTATTATAAGAAGATGTACAAATTAATCTAGTACAATTCCTGTAATTATTAGCTTTTAGAGAAAGACCATTGTTTTCTAGAGTTGAAGTACCTATGCTTTGTCCCATAACACCGTGCGTCCCGCGACCACGGGATTGATATTAGTGGGAATGCGAACAAATGCGAACAAAGCTTATACCAAGTGTTTGTGTCGCATAGAAATGCGATGACTCACCACTGTGCTTTGTGTAGCCAATCGGTCTACCATGCAGGAAAATAGGCAATCAAAGAATTGATACCAGAAACAGGGGCAAACTTGGTCACGAGGATGTTGCATTAAATGGCAAATTACCATAGTTGGGCTATTTAAGAATATCCTGAGAAACTCTAGGAAAAACGAGTATTGCGTCCACGTTCCTCCGGAGTTCCCCCCTCTCTTGTGGGATACCGTACTATAGTCATTGTCTTTTCCATGCCATTTATTTGATTTTGTTACTAGTATAGCTCCTTCCGATTATCATACATTTCACCGTCAGCGTTACTTGGCATAAGCGTTATCACCTCGGCATAAGCCCATCGTATATACTTACTTTTCCCCATTAAAAATAGTTTTATTCCTGCGCAAGCTGGGCGTCATGCAGCGATCGCATGGCAAGCCGAAACAAATCCAGGATCTACTCCATCTTCAACCTCGGATAAAGTAGTGGAGTCTCGAGCTCAGCATTCCAGGGAGAGTGATTGCGCATGAGATATTTCCAGCGAGGATACACGTGAGTGTCGTAGTCGCGCTCATCGTATGCCAAGTCGCCAACCACAACCGCGTACAGAGCCGCCTGGAACTTGTAGATATAACGCTCCAACTCCTTCAGAGTCGGACGCTCGATGATGTTCCTGACCGGCCATAGCACGTGTGCGGTGATGACCAGGCGGTTTTTATGCGCGATCATCCCGAGATACATCCGCTTCGCCTCGAACGACAGCTCCCTGAATAATGGCTTGTATCCTGGAAGCTGAGCGACGCTGGCGATATAGAGAAACTCGGTCGCGTTGAACTCGTACGGTTTATTGGAAGACTCGGCATACTCGTACGCGGCTTTTGTCATCTTGAGCATTTCGTCTGCAATGCTATGTCTGCCGTGCTGTGCGAAATCTTCCTGGAGCTGTAGCATTTTCTCTTTGGCTGCAAGGATGAAAGATTGACGGGAATCATTGATGATTTTGATGGTGTCTCGCATCCTTTTCACCAATTGTTTCGCTTGCTTCTCGTGTCTAATCTTCGCAGTGTCTACTGTCGCTGATTTGGCATGGAAAGTGTGGCGTTTCCCGTCAAGGGCGGTATTATACACCGTGACTTCGAGGTCATGCTGGCGTACAGTGTGCTTGATAAAGTTGGAAATGTAGGAATCGGGCCCAAAGCTTTCGTCTCGGATCTTATACCACATTGTTTCGCTTTGGTGTTGTGGATCTTCGAATCCAGATGTGCTGGTTTGAGCGCGTGGGTTTGTCATTGTGTAAAGAGCTGGTTGTAGGTTGAGTGTTCTGGTAGTTGAAGGAAGTTGTGTGAGTTGAGAATTCGACCTAGACAGTCGGAGACTCGGGGTATATGACTAGGTAGTCAGGAATTCACAATGTGCATTGGAGAACTGAACAGTGCTATCGTGAATGAAAGGGCTGCCCTAAGACAGATCTTTTGTTTACTATCAGAAACGCACAACATTGTGTAATGAACTAGTTGAGTTTGTACTGAATCTCATGTACCACTTATCTCCACTCAACAATAGATATTAGATTTCTCGTATAGCGAAACTTATATGACACATTCAATCGATACCAAGGCTTTTTGAATGTCATTTTTTATCCCACCTGTTCTTTCGTTCAGATTTATGCAATGTGTGCGTGCCGCATGAAAATTCGATGACTGAATAATGTCCGTAGTTGGTGTCAATGGATTCATGATGGCGCAATTCTACAATAATGCGGTTATCGAGTGGAGTGTTGGCATTTTCATTATTTGTCGTTAGAATGAGGTTGTGACTCGAGTAGATGTCCTTCGGGACAAAATTATTGATGTAGTTGTGATATCTCATATTCCGACCACGCACGTTTCACCGACCGATTATGGGTGCTTTGATAGTGAAGACGTTATTATTCCAGTCATACTGGACTAGTTTAGTAGATTTCAAATCGGCAGATGTTTTACTGATACATGCATAAAGACTCAGAGAACCATCCAGTACCCGCTCAAGACATACCCAATCAAGCATTCACTCGAGGCAGCCGCCATCTTTTCAAGGTGCCGACGAAAAAACTCTCTCCTCTCAGGATCCAACATCTCCAAGCTGGAAGCGATTGCGATGGACCAAACCGCTAAGTTTGCTTTGTAGGGTTTGAACACCTCGCCTTCTGGTATAGCTTCCGGCTTTCCTGCCGTCGATGACAGCTCGGGTATCTTGCCGAGGCTGAAGGGAATCATGTTGATGAGCTTCTCGGTCCAGGAGTTGAACTGGTAGATGCTCGGTTCTACTGCCGCTTCGTGCTCGGGATGTCTGTTTTCGGGGCTGACGAGATTGATGATCTTGAGACGCGTGTTGATCAGCAACATTCCCATGGAGTGGTATTCGTTCCAGAGGAGAGAGTACCCCGGTTTTGCGCAGATTAATGTTGGCGAAAGAGTGAAGGGATCGACGGGGGTGTTGCTGCTCCTAAGCGAGTCGCTTTCTGTGAAAGCGTATCGGTATGGAAGTTTTGAAGGCCAGTCCAGTATATCCCGCTCGATTTCATATGATGTTTGGAATAATGTTTCGATGTCAAAAGTGCTGATATCTTGATTTGCACTTTTTTGCTTGAGCGCCAAGTATTCTTGGTGGAGATTAATAATGTTACCGACAATGCTGTCAAACTGTTGTGACGTTCCAAACTCGCCAAACGAGCTACCATGCGCAAGCCATTCTGCAATCCGCTGCTCGCGTAGCAGATTAGTCCTGATGATTGTTCTTCTCGTCAACTTTATCGCAGATGTCGGGGTCTTGTGTTCTTGGCGGCTGTTGGACCATGATTTCAGGATGGCGACTGCACCGTCGAAGTGGAACCACACCTTCATAGACTGGAGGGCCATCTTCTCGTCGCCATCTTCGCTCTGCGATTGCACCAATGATTCATAGCGAGCCATGAAATGGATGGTGAGGAGACACTCATCAATCTCATTCTGCGATAGATCCCCTCTGTGAATTCTTGGAATGCGAGTTTGCATCGCTTGAAGAAGCTGCAAATACAAACCACAGCCTTCCATCGCCGCGGGCTTCCACGACTGCGCTTTAGCGAATACCGCTAGAGACAAAGACGACAGACCCAGATCTACCATGTCCGAACGATTACCCGCCGCTCCCCACTCGTGGAAACACTCGGCCCAGGTCATTGATACATCTGGCATATCTTCAAACATCTGGAAATGGTTTTGCATAAAGTACGCCACCGCACGCGTTCGAAGCTGGAGCGTCGGTTGCAGTGGCGTAAGGCTGGACCGCGGACCGCGCGGGCGCTGTTCTTCTCCGGATGCATATTGGTTTTCGATGTGTATCGTAAAAGCGTGACTTTCGGTATCCTCTAGTGGGACGCATGTGCGCTGTGCCTTGATGCATTTGTTGCATATTGGCTCAGCGCCATCGCACTGCAACTTGTCAGAATCGCGTTTTCGTGGATCCGAATACGCCGTGCTAACTTGCCTTGATTCGTCTGGTCCTGCAAGTTTTACACTTTCGATTAGACTGCATGTTGGCAATTCTACAAGTTCCCCAAATGCATAGGTTTTCCTGGTCTCGACAAGTTTCCCCACAAGGAGACGCTGAATGCTCGACATTAAAAGCAATGTATCTCGGTGGCCATTGTCCCATCTCAGAAGACCACAGGAGCTGAATAGTGCTTAAACGGTGACGTATTAGGTTAGACCCGTAAGCAGAGCTCGGAAAAAGTTGCACGACATTGGGTGCAGCCTAGAATTTGGAGTAAACGGCCCCCACTAGACACTCGTAGATCCTTCCATCTGATCAATGACAATTCCGGATGCATCCTTTTCCGAGGATCAGATAATTCTTTTATGCCAAATACGTTTATATGTATCTAGGAGTTCGTCTAGAGAGGTTTTGCATCCAGCAGGCAGAAGTGGTTTCGTTGGCAGGTAAGTAGGATGTTGTCACGTAAATGACAAGGTTTGCTGAGGGGCAAAGCAGAAAGATTATTAATCCAGATACAACTCACCATTATTCTAGTCACCATGACATTCATCAATTTTAGGATAGTGAGTATGAGCTATACAAGAGTGGGGGCTGAAACGACCTGGAAGTACGCGAAAAAGTCCTATCTCGTATAGAGTACTTGAATCTGGCTTAGACCACCTCGCTAGTCCTTAACGGGTAAAACCCACCGAGTCTTTCAGCTACGTTCGACGTACAGCCTCACCGGAGAATTGAGCGGGTTCACTAATCCCGCATTTCCGCTCTGCAAGGTTATACCGAAAGTAGACGTTTTCAAAAATGCCATGATTTCCTCTGGGCGCGTCATGACACGCCCTTTGTCTTTCACAGAAGAGCTGGATAATCTTCATCTAAAAATACTCAAGCATATTACTACTATACGAGACCGATGACAAAAACATAATTGCACATTTCGCCGGAACGGCGCGGTTACTTCATGACGATGACATATAGAACAACGGATTTTGGTCCGAGCCAGAATTGCACAGAAAGGTCTTTTCACGTAGATAGAGAGCAAAATATAATATCACTCCCATCTTATACCGACTTGTATATAGCTACCAGTCGCCACTTACCATCGTCCAAATCAGTGCTGTTATCCCACACAATAGCTCTGAGAACAGCCCACCCAAACTATGGCACAAATCTTTTTGATAATCGGCGCAGGAATGGCGGGTCTTCCGATCGCTCACTACGTCCTAAAACACTACGCCGATCAGTACGACCTGAAAGTCATCATTGTCTCCAAGTCTACAGAATTCTATTGGAACATAGCTTCCCCACGGGCGGTCATCACAGGCCAACTCGCAGACGACAAAACATTCCATTCCATCCCTGCTGCATTCGCTCAGTACCCGCCCAGACGATTCGAATTCATCCACGGAACGGTAGAGACATGGGATCCAGACCAAAACTCTGTCCTCGTGAAGCAGAACAGCGGCAGTGAAAGAAAGATTGAATACCGCACCATCGTGGTTGCTACCGGTAGTACCTACGCGCAAGGCATGCCTTGGAAGCTTGTTGGGTCGTCTGAGGACACAAGGACGGCGCTAGCGCACTTGCGGGATAAAATCGAAAAGGCGTCGTCAATCGTCGTCGGCGGCGGAGGACCTACTGGAGTTGAAGTTGCAGGGGAACTGGCCTATGAATATGCTAGGGCTGGAAGAAAGAAAGTTTTGCTGGTCATGAGCGATGCTTTGCCGTTGCCACCACGGGTGATGGATGCAACGCGACAAGCGGCTAGGAGAGAGTTGGAAAAGCTCGGCGTGAACATAATTGCAAATGCTAAAGTCGCTGAGGTTGATTCTGGGGCAGGTAACGCTAGGCGTTTGGCTATAAATAAGAGCGATGGGTCGCAGACCACTTTGGAAGCTGACTTGTTCCTACCCACTTGGGGCGTCGAGTACAACACCGCTTTCGCACCATCATCTATGTTGGAAGAAGATGGACGTCTCAAGGTTACGGAGCAACTGCGGGCACCGGGTTACCAGAATGCATTCTTGGTCGGAGATGCAGCTAGTCTCGACTCTTATGCGGCCAGTGTAAGGGAAGCACAAGTTCGATTCTTGGTGGCTGCGATTGGAAACCACCTTGCCGCGGAGACCATCCCGCAGTACAAGCAAGATGGGAGAACCGTTATGACTGTGACAGTTGGGCGCGATCGTGGAGTCGGACAGATCAAAAGCTGGAACGCGTGGAGCTTTTTCATCTGGTTTTTCAAGGGCCGTCACATGTGCACAAACATCGCTGGCGACTATGCTGCTGGGAAGACACTTATCCTCGGAAAAATCTGATTTCAAATACGTCATGAGTCAGATCCAGCTGCTTTAATTGATCGTAGAAAATATTAATTTGCTTTCACTCCTTTATTTTGAGATCGACTCGATTTGTTGATAGATGTGCTCATCTTATATCGATGGAGGCAATTGGGCAAATGGAGCGAAACGCATCTAACGAAATAATCAGAGGAAAATGATGGTGCTTGATATATGCATATTAAATTCGGTTAATTACACTCTGCCGGTCTAAATGTCATCAATTACAAGGCGGCTTGACAAACTTTAACCAAATCCACAGGTATAACTACTCCCCCTCCATCTGCAACCTCGAGAATCTTCTTTCATCTACCAGCGCTCTTCAGAATTTGTACGTCACCCGTATGTCTATCCTCGATAATTGTCATCAGGCATTGTCTTGGACGTCTCTGAGTCTCTTAGAACGCCTTAACGGTCTTTGTTCGTCGTCCGAAAGTACTGTCTCACTTTCTTGTTCGTCCATAAATTCCTCCAAAACTCCGCCAGCGAGTGTCACTGCCTCCCTTTTCCGTTTGGGTTTTGGTCGTATAGCCAATGGCTGCGTATGACCAAGTGCGATGGAACCCTGCTGGGGACGTTCTGGATATGGTGTCCAATCAGGGTTTCTTGCATCTCGTTTCGTACGAATCGGAAGTGATTTTCCATGTCCTGCAGCTCTCGCAGTAATATCTGTCTCGCTCCGGTCGGATTGATGTGCGGCTGAAGACGTTCTGTTTCGCTCATTCGCTGTTCGGTCAAACTTTCGTGGTGATCTTGGCCCTCAATTCTCAGTTTTCGTACTTCTTCTAGATGGTCTTCAATCTCCATTTCAAGGCGCTCCACTATCTGTTCGCACTCTTGGATCCGCAGATCCCGTACTTTTGTTTCCGTCTCGAACGAAAATGAGATTTTCTTGGCTACAGGAAAAATGGCTCCCCGGGATATACCAACTGGGAAAGGAGACGGCGAAATTGAGTATTGATGTGCACAAACCAGCACCCGTGACATTGTGGGTCGCTGTGGTAGTTCGACCTCATGGGGCAGGGTGATTCTATGCTTGAAGAAGTAGTATGCCGCTAAAGCTGATAGTGTTTGGCCGCTCCGGCTACCAATACATTTGAATTCTGGACGCAAGTTTTCCCTCGCAGCCTGGCTGATACTATACGTGAGAACCTTGGTGGACAGCAAAGGATGCTCGAAGACATTGACGACCCTGAGAATTGGAAAGGGAACTCGGGGAAAATCACCCACTAAGAGTCCGCACAGTCGCCAATGCGGATCAGACTCTCGGTCCTGACCAAATTTTATCATGAAAATTTTCTCGTCCGCCTTGCTCAGTATGCTTTCATGCGCTCTTATAGCAGCTGTGAGCAAGTCTGGTGCTTGCACCTCTGTGAAATCAGCACGATCCCACGGTAAATTGTGGATAAGCGTCTTTTCCTCTTGGGTGTAGGAGATGAGAAGGCGTTCTGCTAGATTTTTCGCATTCGCCGCAATCACCACAGACTCTCCAGAATCCGACATCTTGGTTAATGGTAAGGTGATCAAAAGTGAGTTGCGAAAACCAGAAGAGAAGTATAAAAGCATTCGGAAGCTGCCTGGGATTTTCGATTGACTGCATCACATGGTTCCATGAAAAGAATGGCTAACAATGGGAGGAGCTACGCAAGCAAGCAAGTCAAGCAATATGATAAAAGACTGGTGATCCACGCTTTCAGGATAGCAAACGCAATGAAAACAACAATCATGTATGTGCGACTAGAGGTACAACAAGAAAAAGAAGAGGATGGAAGGAAGACGAAAGAAAATTTTCGTGCGCTTGTTTGCGTGTATTTCCCGCACGACAAGTCTGGACGTAGGATACAGTGTCGGCCATGCTACTCTCCTCCGAGTGACTGACTCTGTCGACATTTAAGCCGTTAGTATTGCTATCTTGCCACACTATATATGAAAGTGAGTCTTCCGCAATCTACGCACAAGCTTCAACTGGAGCATTCCAGAAATAGACTGTGAATGCGAAAATGTTGCACCTTTCATGACGCATTCATATCCACTCCAGATGAATGGAGCACGAATAGAAGTTGAGTCAGCCTCTACGGAACTTTGCATGCGTTCCGTGGCAGGAAACACAACAGTCAATAAAAGGCAGGGTGTACAGTAAATCGTCATATATTCGTGCATCAGCTCCCGCTAATGTGTATTTATCGTTTGAGTGTGGTCCTCACGCCAGGCCCCACCGCCCCTTCTCCGTTGATAAATCCCATCGCCGTGTTTCCTCCCAATCCGGCGGAAGTATCGAGAAAACAACCCTGAGGACAGTGCCGTCCAACTCCTGATCGCGATGCTGTTGGTGATTATGAATGCGCTCGCTCAAAGTGCCATACAAGTTTTGACCAACCGGGAAACAAGTATCGTCGTTTACTAACTTCAAAAGCGGATGACCGCGGGGTCTCTCCCTCTTGCACCGTTGCCACTCTTTCGCGTACAACTCTCTCCAACGTCGCCCGTATTCCTGGCCGCGCGGTCTGTAGGCGCCCTTGCCTTTGGCATCATCAGGAAGCAGCTTTTCCATCAATTCTCGACACGCCTTGAGGGATTCGTCAAGTCGGTGGACTTCGAGCTCATCCTGAAGTGATGTGGCCATGCGCTGCATCTCTGCCATACGGTCATGCAGTATTTGAGGAAGATTTCGTTGGAGATCTTCGAAAATGGCTTCCAGCTTTGTGGAAGAGGTTTGCAGGCCAATCATCAGACAGAGGCTCTTGACTCTATCGCAGTGCTTGGTCCATCCCGAACGGCTCTTAGTCTCTTTGTAGATGTCCTTGTAGTCCTTGTAGAGAGTTGGCCTTTTCAGCAAACTCTTCTCATCTATGCGAGAATCGAAATCTCCACCAAGATCTTCCAGGGCCAGGCGGGCTGAGTCCCGGTCTGTGGCTTTACTGTAGCGTGCGCGAAACGTGTGACGCAGCAGGAATCGGAACCAAGAGCGAGAAACCAATACCAAATCGTCCACCATGGTTTGGGGTGAGTTTTCGAAGGCGGCTTTACACCGAGCCAAACTTTGGGGTTCAGGGTCCCCATCCTCGTCATCATCCTCATCTTCTTCATCATCCTCCCCGGATTCGGACTGGACGAGCTCTACAACCCATGCTTTCTCCTCCCTAAGCGTTGTGAAAGACTGATTTTCCCGATAAGCGCGTGTCATATGTGGCAGTATGCGGTCTATCAAGTCATCGCGAGCACCCGAGATCCAAAAGTCGAGACGCGGACAAGGCTTATCAGGCACGTGTTCGGCGTTGGCCGGCCGCTGTTTCGATGCAGACCGACGAGATGAGAAAAGAGATAGAGACACCATCCTTAGACGCGATGTAGACCGGCAGGCAAATGTGGAATCGATGTCACAATGCCAAAATCTTATTCAGCAGCGCTGTTTTGTTGAGAACACGACAGCGTGCATGGCGTGCATAAGATTACTCAGTGGCAGGCCTGGATAATAGAAAGAGAGCGCAACGATTCGTAGAGAAAGAGAAGTAGAGTCATCTGACAACTTCAGCCTCACACAAGCTGAAGATTATTACTGCCCAAGGGTGATTGGGAAGTGAAACAGCGTCGTAAAGCACAATATGGAAAGCGCGCGCTTGCGAAAGAAAAACTAAAAATAAAACGGAAAAGCCAGCAGGAAAGAAAGGCGCTGTAGCGGGCCGGTACGAGAGATTTTGTCGCTACGGTCGAGTGCAGAATGAAGATCACCGCCTGGCTCTAGTAGGCGTGGCGGCAAGGAATGAAGCGTCAGCCTAACAGGCCGGGTGCCGGCAAAACATTCAGCCGCAAACGCCAAGCCACTATGGCACGTGACAGCTACCAGATTATCCACCTCTACTTAGGTGTAAAAATGTATGCATCAATTGATTGGCAGCTGATCTGGATTTAAGTGTATATCTTGAGATGCCACCTAGTTAGAATTGTCATTTTTGTTGTCATCTACAGAAGCTATCGGTTGCACCTTGGCCCGGTGCCGAAAGCAAATCTCCTTGTATGAATCTTTTCGTCCTCTCCTGCTTTTTGTAACTACCACATGAGCCTTTCAAGTTTCGAAAGCACTGTAACTTGAAATCAAAGAAAGAGAATTCCTACTAAAGCTAAAGGAGAATCATAAGATCGCAGTCTGCCCATCTAAATGGAACGATACAAAGAACACCACGTCCACTCCCGATAAGGAAACCCTTGCGAAGCTGTTTGGATACTTTTAGAACAATGAGTCGAATACCATGGTCACGATTCTCTAAGCGTATATTTCTTATGGGACTCTAGCGTCAGTGTGAGGGACGCATCAACGGAACTCTGATCGCGCAACGAGTCGGCCTTCTCCGAGGGCGTGCGGCTTGGATGCAAGATGCGCACGAACTCAACGAGAAGGTGCGGTGTGTACAATGCAGGGCTTTTGGCAGCTTTAGAATGTGGAACAAGTACAATTCATATCCGAAATGCTTGTGATAGAGTGCGATATCTAACATGTTCCACGAGAGTCTTCTTAAGCGATAACTAGACTACGATTACTTCTTACCCCCAGCCATTACATTAGAATCTCATCGTATACCTCTTTGACTCGGGTAGATAATGGAGACGCGCATGGGAATTAAGCAGAATGCCTCGCACAGGCGTGCCTGAGCAGCTTCTAGAGAAGCTTTACCCAGAGACCGGGCAACGAAGCAACAGTCTTCGAGAAGAGATGTAAGGGATTGATCACCGACTTCTTAGATAAGCTTTCCCTGGCATTCACGTTTGAAATCAACATGGAGTGGTATGAACGCCCGAGTGGACACATTGCTGCCAGTCCGCAACGTTGGAACTGGCCAGATGACATCTCAACGGGTCGGAGAATGTCAATGAATGTGAATGCCAGGCATCAGAAATGTTCTTCAGATGGCTGTGTTCATGTGCTGCAATATACAAACCGGATATAATGGTGAACGTCATTATCGCTGGCTATTTGACGTCCTTGGACATCCGGATCTTTCCTAGCATTGTAGATCTCACAAAGCTCTAGCCAAACGCGGCGGCGCAGTTAGCGCTTACTTACCTTCTTCGGAGCAAAGTACATTATAACGCGATCTGTAGCGTAGCGGGGGTTTCGATCTATGGACCTTACGTGGGGCATCTGCCGCTATTAGGCGATCTGCCGCTCCCTACACTTGGCTGGTGGCCTAAACCGATGTTCTTAGGACATAACGCCCCGGGCGCCAACCACAGTGATTCGCCCCCGACCTCCGGTGGACGACTGCCAATGATGAGGATCAATGATTGAAGGATAGTGGGGGCCACATTCAGTCTGCGGTCGACGATTAAGCACAATATGAAATTATCACAATTCAGCAGATGGTTAAAATCAACCCAGTGAATTTTTCGAATGCTACAATGGTGTTCAAGATTACATCTATCTGCGCCTGATAATGGTCTTGTCTGGGGCGAAGCCATCGTGAAACATTCAACGAAGGACTCGTTATCATTTTGCGACCATGCTTTCGGTTGTCTTCAATTCCTGCACGGATCAATTTAAATAGACTCATTCGGATCTAAGAGAGTAACCAAAAAAGAACTGAATCTCGAAAGAAAGTAAAAAGTAAGGTAGAAGAGATGTTACTAGCCTTAGTTTAGCCATCGCCCTGTGCGGCGCACTTTACCTCTTCTACCGATGATTTCTGTGACAGTATGATCACGTGATGTCAGAGGATTACCCAGCAGGTCATATCCGTTATGTAGCTAGTCCATCCTACCTAGCTAGAGATCTAACTATACATCACATGAATCATATGCACATGCACTGAGCTCTAGAGCACACCGTCCACCTGTAATAGTTTCGGCTAAGAGAAAGGCGCTTGATATATTTATGCAAGGGCTTTCATCGCTTTCGCGATAAGAACATCCACTAAAAGAAAGATTTGGAATGAAAATTTTGAGTGTTGATAATATCGAGGGCGGCGCTGGTGTGAAAGTGATTGCTCATGATGCTCCCGCCATTTTTTAAGTCTGTGTTGCCTCCCACGATCTGGATGGGATTATACACAGTGACTACGGTGTCGCCATGGCTGGACGTCGATTTTATATCCAGTGGAACCGGTCCTGTGCTAATTGCTTCCGACTTTGTCAGTCAGCGTTATCAACCCATAAGAATGTCAAATCGCTAATATTCGCTTCTCGGCTTCGAAACCATCATTTTCAAACACGGAACAGATATACTGCCCTTATAAGGTAACTACAGGCGATGTATGTATAGCTCGGGGAGTATACTGACAGCGCACTACTCACAAGAGCATGCAGATGTAATGGACCTAATCGTGTAAGTTCTGAAGCGCATGTTCGGAACCGAGGATAATTAGTCGTAGCTGAACTCTATATTGGGCTCATAAAGTTGAGAAGATTCACATATGCAATGTTTGATGACTGCATAGAGTGTCCAACTGCTCTAGGGGTCTTCTAGAGCTGACTCTAATCCACGGGTAAAGTGTGTATTATGAGAGACATAGACGCTGAATCTTATCTTACTAGCGCCTATAATCACATGGCTGCAATGCTCGAGTCTCTATGCTTTGACGGTCTGAATGTGGGACGCAATAGTCGTTTGGGTGTACATATGTATATGGTTCTCATGCACGCGTGGTGGCGTTTACATACGATGCACGGGTGAAGGAGTAAGATGGTAACAACGTTGACACTCCAGAATGAGCATAATTGACTTTGGGGGAGTTCTATGCGGTGGACATTTGGGGTTCAAGTTATATCACAGGTCTGTAGGGGTAGACGACAATGGTCACGTGGTATGCTAGCAGCCAAGCTTTGCCCAAGATATCTCGGATGAAGAACTTTCCCCATTGTTGGCGCCGACAAGCTAACAACACGTGAACCTCAGAATACAAAGTATACATGATTCCCCCGCCATGAACACGCAAAGTATTGCCGTCGTTGAATGTCGGACTTTTGCAGTCATGGTCACACGGCGGGGCTGCGGAGGCTGACGTTCGGAGGCGGGCCGATCCACAATGGCGCACGTTATTCGTGCTGACAGGCGGCGCGGCCCGTGGGTAGTAAGCTAAGAGTAAGCAAACGTGCGAAAGTTGAGTGATCGGTCAAGGCGGTAAGCTGGACGCATCGTGGCGGTAAGTCCATCGACTCCTACTGGACAATTGATGCCTACATGCTGACACTGAAGGATTGCAGCGACATAATAGCCGAGGCCGCGGCTGTAGCGGTTCGGCCAGTTACCCATCGTCATGTCTTGGCTTGGTGTACGACACCAGACCCTTTTCTCTATGTGTGCCGTGTGTACATGTATCATGAGTCGTGGGCCTCGCGTGGTCATGTCCCCACCTTGGCACTAAACATGGGTCATAGTTATCTCAAGCAGAAACCCCTCACACTGATCATCATCCAACAGTGGTCTGTTCGAAAGTCGGGCCATTCTGCTTGCTGATCGCTGTTCTCTCTCTCTGGACTCGGCTTAGTCTAGACTACTGCACTACAACTGGACAATCCGCTCGGACAACAAATCTGCACGAAATTTCCATGCCAACCTGTTATGGGCCTACAAGCCTACGGCGTAGCTTTTCAACCACTCAATCGACACTCTATGGTACACGTTGTAGCTACTGACGAAGCCCGATAACAGGGCCGATGTATACCGTTTACTCGTATCCTCTCCAGCTTCTCCAAGAAGAGACTTAGTGAAGATAGTTTGACTGCAACAGGATGCGATTCGCCGACCTTCGGGCGCGCTTAAGCGTCTATACCTCCTCCCTTGTTCATACAAGATAAGAAAGGATTGCTAACTTCCAGGATTTGGATCCACATAAAAACGGGACTACCTACGGCCGTTCCCTCCCAGGTTGCGACAAATTCCTTCAATTAGACCCCTCACACCGCAAGAAAAAAAGTGCTGAAGTTCCGGTCATTTGTAGAACCTGACATTGCTTCCAGCACTCAATTCTGGTAGTGTTTGCTGTTAGTACTCAGAGCGCGTATCTCCTGTTCTTCAATATACCTAGAACCTCTTGACTAGAAACCTGGGCGCATGATGAAGTCTCAACAGTTTCAGGAGCCGGAGCCCATTGCCATCGTCGGCATAGGTAAGCTTTCTTGCCTTATCCCCCATCTCTAGTAAGACATGCAGATGAACTAATCACTCCTCAGGATGTCGCATGCCGGGTGGTGTCCGAGATGTTCCTGGACTCTGGGAATTCCTCAGGGATCAAAAGGACGTTTGGATGGAGTTTGATGAGCCGCGCTTCTCCGCCAAAGGGTTCTACCACCCCAATAACGACCGCCCAGGGACCGCAGTGGCCAGTCACGGGTTCCTCCTGGATGAAGACCCACTGCTTTTCGACCCCGCATTCTTTGGCATCACAGACACTGAAGTGGAAACTTTAGACGCCGCACAGCGTAAGCTTTTAGAATGCACATACGAAGCTTTCGAGAATGCGGGAGACACGTGGGAAAGCGTTTCTGGCTCACGCACTGGTGTTTTCGTCGGCGACATCTGTTTCGACAACTATCTCACTCAGACTCGTGATTGGGACTACAGCGGCAAGTACTCCGCGACAGGTTCATTTCCAAACATGCTGGCCAATCGTCTGCACTATATCTTCAATCTCAAGGGACCGAGTTTGCTCATCAACAGCGCATGTACGTCGGCCATGTACGCCCTTCACTTGGCCATCACATCAATGCGCAACGGAGACTGCGATTCCGCTATCGTAGCTGGTTCCAACTGGATCATGGACCCAAACTGTCACATCGCAATGGGCAAACTAGGTGCTCTGTCTGCCACGTCCAGAAGCCACACATTTGATGCCTCGGCAGATGGCTATGCTCGTGGCGAGGGCTTTGCAGCTCTCTACCTGAAGACACCTGCTGCCGCAATGCGAGATGCCTCCCCTATTCGCGGTATGATCATGGGATCGGCTGTCAATGCCAATGGCCGTACAAAGGGCATCACAAACCCAAGTGGTCCAGCTCAAGAGATTGTGATTCGTGAAGCGTAAGTGACACTCGAACAACCCGCTACATCACGTGATTACTGAATTGATACAGATACAAAAATGCCGGTCTCGACCCTTCAGAAACTACCCTGTTGGAGTGCCACGGAACGGGCACACGGGTCGGCGATCCCATCGAAGTCCATGCGGCCGGCAATGTGTTCGGCCCTTCTCGACCTGATTCGTATGAAGATCGTCTCATTGTGGGGTCTGTCAAAACGAACATGGGTCATTTAGAGGGCGCATGTGCACTTCCCGGTATTCTCAAAGTGGTTGCCGCGCTCGAAGCAGGCGAAATCCCGCCCACGCTTGGCTACAAAACTGCCAATCCCCGCATCGACTTTGACGGCGCCAAAGCTAGGGTCAATACTGATGTTGAACCCTGGCCGAAGAACAAACCCAAGCGAGCCAGTGTCACATCTGCCGGTTTTGGTGGCACAAACGGACACTGCATCATCGACCACGTGCACAATGTCTTGCCGCGCTATGTCAAGCCTGGTATCATTGAGGTCGCCGTCGAGGAACTCAAAGGAACCAATAGAGTGAGCAATGGAGCCAACGGTCAGGTGACGAACGGCACCAATGGGCACTCCAATAACGGCACCAATGGTACAAACGGTCATTCTACCAACGGCACAAATGGCAATTCTCAAATCGCCAATGGTAATGGGACCAATGGCAAAAACCACGCTCAACATTCCCCTCTCCTGTCTGCGCCGCCCATGTCCAGGACTGCCACTGCAGGAACACAGAAACATGTCGTCCTTCCTTTCTCCGCGCACAACCAAGGCTCAGTCAAAGCGAACATGCAAGCTTTAGCTCCAGTCATAGGGCGTCACTCACTAGCTGATGTTGCGTACACACTCGCTGCTAAGCGCTCCCGCTTCATTCAACGAGCGTACTCCATTGTCAACAAAGACAACATAGCAGAGGCAGTGAGCTTGGCTGAAACACCAAAGATCTTTTCTTCACCACAGCCCCTTCGCATTGGCTTTGCGTTCACAGGCCAAGGTGCTCAATGGCACGCCATGGGTGCTGAGCTCTTCGAGTATGCTGTTTTCCGGGACACGATTGCGTACTTGGATGAGATTCTTACCATGCTTCCCAACCCCGTCGAGTGGACTATTGTGGATGTTCTCACTGGAAAATGCGACAAGGATCTCATCCAAGTTCCTGCGGTTTCGCAAACCCTCTGCACCGCGCTTCAGATTGGTCTCGTCGACCTTCTGGCGTCCTGGTCTGTGAGGCCTTCGGGTGTCGTGGGACATTCTTCCGGAGAAATGGCAGCTGCATATGCGGCAGGACGCGTTACCGCCGCTGAGGCAATCACTGCAGCATACTATCGCGGATACATGGTCTCTTTCAACAAAAAGAAAGGTGCCATGTTGGCAGCTGGCATTGGTCCTGACAAGGGCTTGGACTACATTCGGGAGGCAGGCTTCGAAGAGAAGGTTCGCGTCGCTGCTATCAACTCTCCGGACAGTGTCACCTTGTCGGGAGATGCCGAAGCGGTTGAGCAGTTAGCTGAGACACTGACTCAACAAGGCGTCTTCAACAGGCTGCTAAAGACTGGAGGTCTTGCCTATCACTCACACCACATGCTTCCTTTGGGCCACGACTACACTGATGCAGTAGAGAATGGAAAAGCCAGTCTCGACAAGCATGGCATCTCTCGTCAAGGACAAAAGTATGAGCCCGTTCCCTGGTTCTCTTCTGTCACACCTGGGAAGGAGATGACGCCACCCGGACAGGAGATGCCCACGGCGTACTGGAGATCAAACTTGGAATCTCCAGTCCGCTTTACCGAAGCACTGTCAAACCTCCTGAACGCGAAGGAGTTGGGAATCGGTGCTGTGATCGAGATTGGTCCTCACCCTGCGCTCAAGAGTCCAGTGGGACAGATCGTGAAATCTCTAGGCAAGAGTGTCCCTCACGTCGCATCGATCAAGAGGGGTGAAGACGGCCAGAAGTCAATGGCAGAGCTTGCAGGTATGCTTTTCGCTCTCAACGCCGAGGTCGATATGGTTGCTGTCAACGCAGTCGATGAGCATGATGGTGTTGTGCATGGTAGCACAGCTGTTGATCTACCGCCCTACCAGTACACTTATGGGCCAATCAAGTACCATGAGACGCGGGCAAGCAAGGAGTACCGTCTACGCAAGATTCCTCGTCATGACTTGCTCGGTGCCAAAATCCCAGGAACGACCAGGCTACGCCCGCAATGGCGCAATGTGCTCACACTCAAAGATCTGCCTTGGCTGGACGACCACAGAGTCCCTCCCCATGTTCTTCACCCCGGTGCAGCACATATCGTCATGGCTATGCTAGCCGTCGAGCATGCGTACAATGAGCTTCCTGGAGCTCTTCCCGTCACTGGCATTGCGTTGCGTAATGTGTCGATCAAGAAGACTCTAGTCGTTCCCGAGGATGATCATGGTATCGAGATTGTTCTCAGCATGGAGCTCGAAGATGGAGCCACCGCCAAATCGCCGGGATGGGCCACGTTCTCCATTTCATCAGTCGTCCGAGACACGGAGCAGTGGACTGAGCACTGTTCCGGTGTCGCCAAAGTGGAAGTTTCCACTTTCCAAGAGGTATCTCCCATCGACACGACCATGGATGGCAGAGCTGTCGACGCAGAGACCTGGTACAAGCGCTTCGCTGAGATGGGTCTTCAGTTCGGTCCCTCGTTCCAGGGATACTCTGAAATTCGCGCTGACCCGATCAAGAACGTGGCATCTGCGAAACTGGCGTTGAACACAACCAAAGGCATGTTTCCCGGGGGAGAATCAGCGTACCCGATTCACCCTGCTTCACTTGATCTGGTTATTCGTCTTGGTCTTATGGCCTGCAATGGCGGTCAGGCTGAGACTGGAAGCGTGCAACTGCCCATTCACTTGGATCAACTACGTTTCAAGCTCGGCGCCATGCCAAATCGAGATTGGGCTACTGGTCTCGCGAAGGGAGAGCTACGCGGTCTTCGAGGAGCCTATGCTCAGCTTCAGATGCTGGGCGAGAGCGGCGATGTCATTCTTGATATCGACAACATGCGCTTCATTGATCTCGCCAATGAGCAATCATCCTCGTCCGACTCGAACCATTCAGCCAAAGCTTACTCCAGTCCGTTCAACCGTCTAGTATGGAGGCCTGATATCCGTACACTCAGCAAGACACAGCTTACCGCCCTTCTCGATACTCCTCGAGGAGCTGCCGGATCTTTCTCTCAGCTCTCCAAGGTCTTCGATCTCCTGGGCCATGCTAACCCAGATCTCCGTGTCCTTCAAGTGAATACCAGTCGTGATTCAGGAGCTACGGAAGCGATCCTGAAGACCCTTGTTGGTTCGAACGGCATTAAGCGTTACCGTGATTATCATATCACCGACCTCTCAAAGGATCTTATCAAGCCTCCAGGATCTGAATTCCGCGACGTCAAGACTTCAGTACTCGATCTTACCAAAGACCCTCTCGAGCAAGGATTGAAGCCTGTTTACGATGTGGTATTGTCGGTGAACGCTGTTCACGACTCCCCAAGCTTGGAGGAAGCCCTCAAGAACTGCGCAAAGCTTCTGAAACCGGACGGAAAGCTTGTATTACTTGAGCATACCGGCATGAATGTGGATGCGACATTGACTAAAGCGGGATTTCAGTCAGATGTCAGCGTTCAGGTCAAAGACGGAGGCCTCAACCTCATATTGTCCACCCGCTCTGACACCAAGCCCCAGATCAACGACAAGAAAACCGAGATTCATCTTCTCCATGGCAGAAAAGGCTCACCAACTCTTCTCAGCGACCTTGCAAAAGATTTTGAACGTCGTGGTCTCGCGACAAAGACTGTTCCTTTCGACAATGCCCGAAGCCTCCCGCCCAACTCGCGTGTGGTAGCGTTCCTAGACGAAGAAAACCTTCTGCTCAACGCTGATCAAGACCGGATTGGGCTGTTCCAACACCTTGCAGCATCCACTGCTAGCATGGTTTGGCTCACTTCATCTGGAATCGTGAAGGGTCGCAATCCTGATGCGGCTTTTGTCTCTGGTCTGCTTCGTACGTTGGGCTCCGAGAATCCCGCGGGTCAGTTTGTGTCAATTGATATCGACGCGGACAATTTCCAACTTGGCGCCACAGATGTTACCGAGTTTATACGCTCTGTAGTCGATCAGGAACTGGCTCTGAACGCTGAAGATGGAGATGGTTCAGTCAACCGCGAGTACTCATGGCAAGACGGCTCTCTGTGGGTCAGCCGTATTGTACCAGACGGCGACCTTCAGGGTTATGCGGAGGCCACAACGGCACCAGAAGACAGCGAACTTGACCAAGTTCCTTTGAGCACCCAGGGTGCAGTCAAAGCAGCTTTCGGTACACCCGGTATCCTTAGCTCTCTGTACTTCAAGCCATACCTCGAACTTATGCAGCCTCTGCCCAAAAATTGGATTGAAGTCAAGGTTCTTGCCGTTGGTCTCAACTGGAAAGATCTAGGACTCTGCACTGGCCGGTTTGACCAGAACAATCTGTCAAACGAATACTGCGGTGTGGTGACTAAGCGCGGTTCAAGCGTCAGCCATCTCAATATTGGCGATCGCGTTTACGGTATGGGCAAAGGTCACTTCGGAAACTACACTCGCGTTCCAGCTGTGCTCGCACAGAAACTTCAGCCAGATGTCGATCCTATCCAAGCCGCCACCATTCCTCTGGTGTACATGACTGCTGTGTACGCTTTTGAACACGTCACTCGTCTGAGAAAGAACCAGAAAGTTCTCATTCAATCCGCTTCTGGTGGCCTCGGTCTTGCTGCCATCCAGCTGGCGCGTTCCAAGGGGGCTGAGATTTACGTCACCGCTGGTACTGCTGATAAGGTCAGTTTCTTGAACGAGCAGATGAACATTCCCGCCAGCCATATCTTCTCGTCCCGCGACATCACTGATGTGAAACGCATGGTTGACGCTACGCGAAACGGTGGCTTTGATGTCATCCTGAGCAACTCGCAGGGTGAAATGCTCTACGAATCCATCAAGGCATTGGCGCCTTTGGGTCACTTGATTGACGTTGGTCGACTAGATGTGACAAGCTCAAAGAACATTGCCCTCGAATTGTTCCAGAAAAGCGCAAGTTTCACCTCTTTCGACCTCGGCTTGGTCCTTGAGCGGGATGTGGAGTTTGGCGGCGAACTTATGCGCTCGGTACACGAACACTTCACTGCTGCGCGCATCGGTCCCGTGACTCCCAACACAACTTTCGATATCTCACAGCTCGATCAAGCGCTTCTTCGCTTCTCAAAGGGAACTCACATCGGGAAGATGGTTGTATCGTACATGGATCCGAACTCGATGATCAAGAAGCAGAAGTCAGTCGCCCCTGCCACATTCGACCCAGAGGCTCGTTACGTACTTGTCGGCGGATTGAGTGGTCTCGGACGATCTATTGTGCGATTCATGAGCGATCGTGGAGCACGTCACCTAGCTGTTTGGTCGAGACGCGGCGCAAACAACCTGAGCACCGAATCCAAAGCTCTTATCGAAGAACTGGCTGCGAAAGGCGTGACTGTTCAAGCCATCACTTGCGACGTCAGCAAGCGAGATCAAGTCCTGCGAGCCATGGAACATGCCAGTGCTGACCGTACGGTACGCGGAGTGCTCAACTTTGCTGTCTCCTACCAAGACATCTCGTTTGACAAGATGACAGCAGAAAAGTTCCACGAAGGTATGGCGGCCAAGGTCCTAGGAACCCGTTATCTACACGAAGCCACAGCGTCTTTGCCCTTAGACTTCTTCTCCATGGTGTCCTCCTTCGGTACTGTCTACGCTTTCCCCACGCAGAGTACCTACCTCGCAGCCAACAACTTCCTGGACTACTTCGCCCGCTACCGCCGTGGATTGGGTCTTCCCGTCTCCACCGTGTCTCTCGGCTTCATCAGCGATCTCGGTGCACTGACCCAAGATGCCGTGACCGTCAACCTCTTCACCCGCACCAAAGGTCAAACCGTGACCGGAAGTCAAGTTCTTCGCATGCTTGAACCAGCCTTCGTGAACCCCACCGCCCAATCCAGCACTGCATCTTGGACCGGTTTCTCCGAAGATCCCCTCTCAGCCGCGAATATCGTCACCGGTATCGACCCCTCTGTTCTCGCAGCTATGCGCCGCGAAGAAGCAAAAGCAACAAAGGGCAACGCATCTACCGCTTCCGCACCCCGCTGGTACCACGACGCTCGCGTGTCTATCATGCTGCGCGCCGTCGACGACGCGTACCGTCACGCCTCCGACTCCTCGGACTCCTCTTCCGCGTCCGATGACAACGCAGCCGATACCTCGCCCACCGCACAACTCCGCCGCCAGTTCGCCTCCCACATCAAGAAGACCAAGGAAAGTGCCGAATCGGAGGACAAGACCGCTTACAAGGACTCTGTGTCCTTCGTTACCGACGCGATCCGCAAAACTGTCGCGGGGATGCTGTTCATCGACCCTTCTGCGGTGAATGTTGAGGGCACGGTGGTGGACCATGGCATTGATAGTTTGCTGGCTGCGGAGTTCAGAAACTGGCTCCATGGCGCGTTTGGCAAGAATGTTAGTATGTTGGATTTGATGGATGCTAGGACTAAGATTGATGTTCTTGCGAGGGGGATTGTTGATGATGCTGTTTAGGGGAGTGTTCGCATGTATGTTTGATGGCGACTTGGATATAACCATGCGATCACGATGCAAGAAACTTTCTTTCTCGTCTTTCGTTGAAGGAAGATTATAATGGTTTTCTTCTGTGCTGGGAGATAGACGTATTAAGCGTAATGATGATTCATCCCATTTCCATGCGGCACAAACACTGGGTATTGAGAAATCACACGATAAATTTGCCTTTGAGCTATAGGCACGAGAGATAGACGTATATTCTGATGATCGTTCTTTATGTTGATTCAGCGTGCGAACTATTGTCAGATCAGAGACACATTATCAGGCGGTTGTTCTTCTTGGTGCCTCCATTATTATCTCAGTTCAGATTGCGAAAAAAGGATATTCAGTTGAGTGGTTTATGTAGCGGCCAATTCTCCAGCCCCCACAGTTGCAGAGGGCTGATGGAAGTCACGTGATATGGTTCTCGATTATGTGACGTCTCCGACCCCGAACTTCCAGATGTCGGTAATCGCTACTTACAACCAATGGTGATTCTTGACCCCGGTAACCCTTTTCCAATGGAATATGCCTTGCGGAACAAAATCATGGAGTGTCTCAGCCTGATGCCCCGCTTTGCTTCGCTAACCGATCTCGAAATTCCTCGTATTGGGGTTGGCCAATCACGATGAACATGCTCAGCCGCAATCACAGTGCATATATTGTGCCAAGCTGATTATCTCAGCGGTCAGAGTATGCCCTGCCTCGTCCGATTTCTTCTCTTTGGTTTCGCCTTCATGCCTCTTATCCAGTCATCTCTTCCTGTCGAGGTGATGATAGAAGCCAAGTTCTATGCTTGAGGGCACCATGGATGTCTCTGGTACAGTTGTTGCATCTTCACCACGCACTTTGGTCATCGAGGAAGGAAGGGATTATGTTGTCGAGCGCCGCGATGTCATACCACTGGATGCCATCAAAAGACTAGGTGATGGACACAGCGGATACGTCGAACAAGTCAAGGATACATCAACAGGTACCATTTACGCCCGGAAAACGATACGTATCTATCACAGCGGACAAGACCACAGAGCAAAGCAACTAAAAGTATTTAAAAACGAAGTCAACATCCTCCGTATCCTTGCGCAAAACCATCACTTCGTACGCGTCGTCACTACTTTCGTCGAAAAACGCCAACTCTCATTGGTCATTGAACCGGTGGCAGATGAAGGTGATCTGAACGCCTTTCTGAATGCCATCCGTGATGAACAGGAAGACAATGACACGCGGGATGTCGAGCCTGTCAAGTTCAAAATCTTACAGAAAGCTTTTGGGTGTTTAGCGAGTGGCCTAGCCTTCATGCATTGTTTTAGAGTCCGCCACAAAGACATTAAACCCCAGAATATACTGGTACATCGTGGCCAAGTACTGTATACAGATTTTGGCTACTCCCACGACTCGAACGACATCGGTCGCAGTACGACTGCGGGCAGGCCTGATTTCTGGACGGAACGCTTCTCGGCTCCGGAAGTGCTGGCACACGATGATCGCAATTCCAAATCAGATGTGTTTTCTCTAGGCTGTGTCTATATCGAAATATTATCTGTTTTGGATCCCAAATTCGAGATCACCCGAGAATTCTGCTTTGGCAGGGATCTAGTACGTCTGCGTGCCCTTTTAGAAGCAGGACGAGCCCAAGGAATCGATGCACTACAAGAAGACACAGATGTACTGTTAAGTGCATGTATCTCAATGACAGACGAAGATCCGAAGGGCAGATTGAACGCTTCCAAGGTCGCTGAGAGCCTCAAGAGTTGCAATAACCTCTTTTGCGATCAATGCTTCTTGCCTCCCACCGTACAAGCGTTGGGAAAAGTCGAAGCAGAACCGAAAACATTATCCGGGAATTTGGAGCCATCGCTGTCAGAAAGTTCAGACACCACTAAAAGTACGAAGACATCACTAACACCTATTCCCCCGTCGGAAGATGAAGTTGCTCAACACGGGATGATGAAGGTTCGTTCTGAGCAAAGGAAGGAGCAATCACCCACCGATGTGTCTCCCCCTGCCCTAGCTTCCAAATCCCTGGCTATTAGGCCGAGCCCTTCTGTCACACACCAGAAAGAAGAGCCTGAGCTTGCGGCGTTGAGTAAAACGCCTTCAGAGCCAGATACATATGCAGGATCAGAAGACGAACCAGAAACTGACCCTGAAGAGGGATCAGAAGAGAAATCGGCAGCAAAGAGAAGAGAATCCAGGCAAGAAGGGCGAAATTCTACAGGTAAGAGACTTGGGGGTTGTATTGAACTATACGTCAATGACTAACTAACGACACCATCAGCCAACCCAAGGCACCCGCCACTCAATAACCCGAAATCCAACAGTTCGTATCCCGCGCAATACCGAAGGATATCACCAATTCAATCCCTTTACGAACCTTATTACCAACAGAATTTCAATCCATATCAATCAAGTTCATACTCACATATACTTCAGCCGCCAAGCAATCCCTATTTGTCCTATCCATTGCCACAGATCTCACCCCAGCCGTCCCCGTTAGGTCACCCTTCCTCAGCTTACTCGGGGCGACCGATTCATCCAGGTTTCAAAACAAATTCCAGTTCGCAAAACACGCAGTCTTCGACTTCACCTGCTGTATCGGGATATGATACCGACAAAAGCTTTGAGGGCCCACAAGATTCCCGCGACAGATATTACTACCGAGCTCCGACTGACTCTTACCCTAAACCTCACCGTATGTGATATAGCCTATAATTTCATCTGATCATGTATTGATGACCCCAGGCGCCCCGGCTGCTTCTGTTCCATATAACTATGAAAAGCCATTTCCCGTCTCTGATTCACTCTCGTCTGATGATAAACATCGAATGGAAGCAGCCTGGAATCAGGCGCAGATGCCGGAACTTCGTGAGTATTACTCTTCATGCAGTATCCCCAATTAAAGAATCTGACAAGTCACCGACAGTGAATCCGACAGTAAGAGAAAAGCTTCCTGACCTGATCGAGGGTACACCTGATAGAGGGTGGTATGAGACATTAGATACAAGTATTGCTATCCAGTCTGTTCGGGATTGTAACGATATTGATTTATCTGTGGCAGGTTATCGCATGCGCACAGGGCCAGAAGCAAGACAATTCTTCAGGATAGGCAGAGTAAGTCTTACCTCAAGAAGTATCAAATATGTCATCTAAAGATATTTCAAGGTATTTTCGATGTTATATGGCGAGGCTACGAGCGAAACAGAGGCCAGGAGCGGGAGCGATAACGATGCAGTAACCCTGGCCAGGTTCGGGCAACGTCTTTACTCACAGATACGACGCTTCGTGGTCGTCTCAGTCCGTCACGGCTATGTCAATACTTGTGCCATGTCCACGTATTCCCAACGGGGAGTACTAAAACCGGGATGCAACCCATCTGAGCACACTGTTATATATTCCCAGGGGAAACAGCCAACATACATTGAGGGAGAATTCCAAGCGGGGATGATAAAGGAGCCAATTGAATTCATACCCGCTGATTCATCTGTGGTGTTTAACCCCTTTACTCGACTTCGGTTAGGCAAGACCTACCCCATCGAGTGGAACGTCAAGGTGAAAGACATAGGTGCGGTGCATCCAGAACATCTGTCGAAGCTTCTTATGTATTGGAGAATAGAAACGGTTGACGATAGTGAAGAGGACTGAGAGCGATGACGGATGGAAAACATCAAATCAATACTCATTCCAACTGATCATAAATCGAAACACGACATTCCGTCTTCTCAACCTCCTTTCACGTTCCAGTATAACACCGCCCCTCACTTTCCCGCTCCACCCCTTTCATTTCTACCCCCTCAAACAAACTCCCCAATAAACCCCATAATCTCCCCATAAAACACCCTAGCCCCCCTCGCGAAATTAACCCCATGCCCCGCCCCAGGATGAATATACGTCTTCCTCACCCTCGCGTTCCCAAACGTGCTATTCTGCGTCCCATAATCAAACCTCTCCTGGCAATGCCCCCCGCACGCAAGCATATCCCACTCGCCCGTCGTGATCATCACACTGCCATTATACGATACCGGCGCGTTGCTGACGCGGCCGGACGATAGCATCTCGAGGAGCGAGGTTGGCTGCGTGATGGACTGCGCGTACTCGATTGTCGGGATGTCGAAGGGCTCGTGGAAGAAGGATCCGGCGTGCGCGTAGATATCGCCCATGGATACGTATGCGGAGTCTCTGTCGTAGGGTGGGTCGACGCTGGATGCTAGAAGCGTGTTTTGGTATGTTGGGTTTAGGCCGCGGAATTTGTTGGCTACGTCTGTGGAATTGGGGAGGGATGCGCCTGTGAGGACCAGACCTGGATTTTTTTCAAAACGTTAGCTTTGGCTATTAAGGAACGATGGGGTTGGAGAAGGGGATGGATGCGCACCTTCGGCTATTTCCGGGTACTTTGTTACTGCGCCAAAGGAGAAGATGGAACCCAGCGAATGTCCAACCAAAACAATTTTCTTCGCTGCTTTCCCAGTCGCGTATTTCCCCTTGCGCAAGCCTTGCGCAATCTTCGCGAGAAGCTCGATGTGGTTCCCACTCTGCACATCGTATCCGGAGACGCTGAGAATATCAGTTAGCTGCATGAACGCACATTGCCCGGCGAGGACGACGAGTAAACTCACATTTGCGACTTCCCAGTACCCAGACGATCATAATAGAACACCGAATACCCGCACTCCAGAGCGAATTGCACAAAATTATACTCATCGGGTCTGAACGATGAAGCCCAGTACCGTCGATCATACCCGCCTCCATGGGTAGCAAGAAGCACCGTGTGATGCTTATCCCCATTCTTCACCACCGGCTCGCAGAACGTGCCCGAAAGCTCGTAGCTGTCCGTCGCATTCTCGAATCCCGAGAACGGAACGACATGCGAGTCCAGTGCACCGAGACTGGTGCGTAGAGCCGCGATATCGAAATTGTTCTGCGGTTTCGTCAAGTTCCAGATTCCTTTGCTCCAGGTTACGGTTTCGGTGATGGTGTAGTCTGTACAGAGGCCGTTCTTTGGGTGTATGTATGTGTCGTTGGGGGAGGAGGCTGCGGCGTTGACGATGGGACATACGAGTCCGACGAGGAATGCAAGACGAGGGGAAATCATTGTGGTGGTGCTGAGTTGACTGAATAGAGCTGTGATTCAGATGGGAGGAAAGATATATTCATTCTGGTACCCTTTTTATAGATGAATAGATGTATGCCACCTAACTGCGTCGTTCATTGCACGCCAGTGGCAGTGCCAGTCCCCCAAACTCGCATCGCATCTAGCTACGATATCGGAACCGAACACACACGCCCCATTGGATCGTCGCAATTCGGTTTTCGCATGTCGTTTGGGAAGACGTTAAAACTCGTGGGAAGTAAGCGTGGCTTCGTTGATATATACCTAGGTACTCTAGTGTACCCAAGTAGCCTTGGAGCGCGTTTCGCACGTAAGCGCGAGGTTCGCACATCACATCATTATGGAAAGGTAGTCATCACACTAAAAGTCTAGCTCGTTATTGGGAAGCTGCGACATGATTGAAGTGATATTCTGCGATTGCAAGAAGATGGTCTATTGATATCTAGCAGGGTGACTGTGATTCCAACGTTCATTGACTCCTCCGAAATACATACACACAAAGGTATGTACCTAGTGGACTCCACGTACTCGGCCCGCGGCCAATGCAATGTACCAGGACCAATTAACAAACCGTGCGGCACTCGTAGTGTATAAGTAACAGGGTGATACTATCACTATCTCTCTATGTTAATGAACTCGTCTGTTTCGCTTGAACTTGAGATACAGGTTTACTGTATCTCGAGTTCGAGCGAAACAGACGAGTTCATTAATCCAAAGACTTAGTAATAGTATCAACATCAATTGATGTTACTTACCCACTATTGGTAGCGAACGGCGTAACGAATTGTCTCGGATCGAAGAGAAAAGATGAAGACAGACGGAGTATATGAGTGGAAGAATGTTGGCTGCCTTCAAATGTGTGAGATCTCTGCTCTTTAATAGCAGAGGGCGACGAGCGTACCATGGTTCCTCAACCTCAACATATCTCAAATCCGTACATCTCCACTGGATTGTTGGGACGTCGTATTATGTACGTCACTACGCCAAATGCGCACGTGCAGTCAATGACTTTTAGATGGCGGGGTACGAGTGTGGGCCACGTGACCTGTATACGTCCGCACGTGATGCACGTGATTGATGCATGCAGAGCTCCAGAACACAATCGAACGGTCGTCCGTCTCATGTCTGACACTGGCGCCCACGTCGCCTTGCTCAACCAAACACAAGGCAAACACTCCAAACGACATGTTTCCGCGCGGTAGCAGGTTGTGCGAGGAATGGAAGCTTCGGAGACGACGATAGCGTGGTTGGCGCTGCAGTGGATGGAATTTTCTGCGACTAGGTGCAGATTGCGACACACGCGATGACCCCGGCAGTAGCCGCGCACATGCAAAAGCACAACCATCAAAGCTCGTTGTTCTGCATATGCTCGCGCTTGTTACAGCAGATGGGATCGGTGCCGATTGGTCGCGGTGAGGGAGTGTCCCTGTTCTCTTCACGCTCACCAAGGAGGTCGACGCGAAGAAACATGGCTAGCTGCTAACGCTCGTGCATAGGCTGGCATTGCAGCGAAATACTCGACACAAGGCCAGCGATTGCGACAATGCGGTGAGAAGGTGTGGGGATATCTTCATGCGCTCATGTTGGGTCTCCCAGTCCACAGCACACCGTCAGGATGATGAAATGGATCGTCTTCTCATCGTCGTCGTTCCGAATTTCGCTGGTGTTCTCCTACCATCAACGTGTGATAAGGGCAGAAAACTCGATCGCTGCCACCCATATTCCATACCAGAAGGGACAATTTAGCCAGCGGCTATTCCCAATGCTCACAGTAGGGCTGACCCTCCAAAAATAGGGGGGCAAATTTGCCAAACTTAGCAGGAAGAAAAAAAAAGAGCGGAGAGAAAAGCTGGAGGGAAAAGCTGAAGTGACAGCGGGAAACGCCCGGGCGGCGGCGGTGGAACAGTCGGAGAGACTAGGCGTGGGGCGAGTGGAACTCACACATCCCCTAAGTCGCCCCGATGGAGCAGGAGAACGCGCATCTTCTTTGGACCCCCCCCATTTTCCGCTTTTCCCATTTTTCCCAGTCGCTTTCGTCGGCTTTCGCTGCCATTCCGACGTCCCTTTTCACGTCGCACAGACTCGTGAGCCGCACGTGTTTCGGTATACCTCAACGGTCGAATCGGAGATATGTCGGGTGTTTTGAAGAGACGCCATTGGCCCCCGTAGACTTATCAGATTGGCGCAAAGGCTTGGCATGATCTTCTGCGCATAACCCTCAAGCGAAGATCTGACACTGTCACTGCACCGGGTCTCCGGGATGCACGACGGGAGCCTCAATATCGAAGCCCAGACGCATCTCTCAACGCTTGGCGACCGTGTTACCGCTTCTGTCCCAGGAATCAAGCTCCAGAAACCCCAGAACTGCTCTAGCTGCGGGTAATGTTCTATGTACAAGTCAACCCTTCACAAGCGACGGTGTATATGCAGCCGACGCTTATCCGCCATGGATCTAGTTTTATTGCACCCCGACAAACAATAATCACAGCGACGCCCACGAGACCTTCCCCAGGGGCATAAAGCGGTAGTAGCGTCAGTCTTCTGACAGCTTCCAATTTTTGCCTCGTCCGCCAGCGGAATTTGAGGCGCAATGGGCGGTGAATGAGACGGGCATGGCCAGGACCTGTTTAGGCATACCTATGCGAGGGCAAGGACTCGCTGCTGCATCTCCATGAGTAGCAGCACCCCCAAGTCACGATCCAGGGCAAACGCCTACTGCACCCACGTGGGGTAGCGTAGCGAGCACAGAGAAAGGATTTTCACAATTTGCATGATGTGATGCACGCCAATCCGTATCCAGATTGGCGAATGTGGTTCGCCGCACTTCCGACTTCGAACCAAGATAACACGCGCAGTTGTGCGTGGCGAATATGCAGCGCGCAACGGCGCTACGGCCAAGACTGGCACAAAACACGTCGGATTTGATATCATTGTGCGCGGGTTTGTGGATTGCACAGATAAGGCGAGCGTCAAGTTCCCCAGTTTTATGCCCACAGGGTCCGCCCTAGATCCACGAGTGGGTCTCCGCCGACTCAGAGCCGCACCCCCTTTTGCACCACCCCACGTTCAGACGGGTCCTCAGGTTTATCGGCTTACGACTCTGGGTTTTGAGTATGTCTGGACCGTCAAGATTGCAAACACGGAGGCTCTTGGGGGGCAAATCCTAATCCAAATTTTCTGCCTCGAGGACGTGCGCTATCCACAAAGCTCCCGCTCAAAAGGCAGAGCTAGCGACCTCTTGTTCCCATCAACAATTTCTTCACTCAAACCTTTTTCGCCGTCTTTCTCTCCGTTCTCCACATAGCGGTTTTTTTTCTTGCTCGCCCACATCATGCCTCCTCAGATCCCCAAAAATCTTTTGCGGGCGGCCCGCGCACAGGCAGTCTTCAACAGAACAAGACCCAGCTACCGTCCTGCTGTCAGACTTCAAAGTTCAGCAGCCGTCCACCCTACTCCCATTGTTAAGAACTCCACTGCTGTCCACCAAACCACCATCGAGGACTACCCCATCTACCAATACCCTTCCAAAGAGTTCCCCCCTCGCCGATCCGAGAAGCCTACCCCTCGACAAGCAGTCGCCATGCCTCACGCCGTCGAGCCTTCCCCTCTCCCATTGAACACCCAGAACCTGTCCCAGCTTCAGAACGTCACAGTTCCCACGTATCAACGCAAGAATGTCAAGCAGGGCATCGTCCACGTCGGCGTCGGTGGTTTCCACCGAGCTCACCTCGCCTACTATGTCGATACTCTCCTCGAACAGTTCAAGTTGAAGGACTGGTCGATCTGCGGTGTAGACTTGCTTCCCTTCGCCGCTCCCATGAGAGATGCATTGGGCAAGCAGGACAATCTCTACACCCTCATCGAGTGCGGAACCGAGGCCAGCTCCGCTCGCGTTGTTGGCAGTATCACAGACTACCTCTTTGCGCCGGATAGCAGCGAGGCCGTCATTGCCAAAATGGCCAGCCCAGACACCCACATTGTCTCCATGACCGTCACCGAGAGCGGCTACTACGTCAACGAGAACACCCACGAGCTCATGGAAGACCACCCAGACATCGCCCACGATCTTGCTGGTGGACAGCCTCCCCGCACTGTCTTTGGCTACCTTTACAACGCCATGGCTCGACGCTACGAAGCTGGTCTTCGTCCCTTCACCGTCATGTCTTGCGACAACATGCAGAAGAACGGCGACATCAGCCGCAACATGCTCATCGCCTACGCCCGCCGCCAGAACCCCGAAATCGCCGACTGGATCGCCCAAAACGGCGCTTTCCCCAACAGCATGGTCGACCGCATCACCCCCCGCACCAACGACATCGACAAGACCGACCTCGCCGCCAACTTCGGTGTCGTCGATGAGTGGCCTGTCGTCACCGAGACCTTCAACCAGTGGGTTCTCGAAGACAACTTCTCCGACGGCCGCCCCCCCTTCGAGAAGGCCGGCGTCCAAGTCGTGCCCAACGTCCACAAAGTCGAAGAGTACGAACTCATCAAGCTCCGTCTCCTCAACGCCTCCCACTCCGCCATGGGCTACGCAGGCTCCCTCGCCGGCTTCACCTACATCCACGAAGTCATCGGCAACCCCATCTACCGCCAGTACGTCTACAACATGATGCAGGAGGAAGTCAAGCCCCTTCTCCCCGCCATCCCCGGCGTCAGCGTCGACGACTACTGCAACACCCTCCTCAACCGCTTCTCCAACCCCACCCTCAAAGACGAGCTCCCGCGCATTTGCCTCGGCGGATCTGGCAAGATCCCGCAGTTCATCATGCCCAGCATCGCGGAGCAGATCGTCGCCGGCGGCCCGCTCCGTCGCCTCACTCTCTGCGCCGCCGCTTGGTTCCGCTACAACAGGGGCATCAACGATGCCGGCGTCGAGTTCCACCTCGACGACCCCATGGCCAAGGAGCTCCAGCCCATGGCCCGCGACAGCCCCATCAGCCTGCTCGAGGTCAAGAGCCTGTTCGGCGATGACCTCCGCGACGACGAGCGCTTCGTCACCGAGCTCAAGGCTGCGCTGCACAGCTTAGAGACTGACGGCGCTATGAAGAGCATTGAGAAGTACGCTTGAGCGTACTGTTGAGGACATCTTTTTTTGGATACTATTTTGCAAAAAAGTTGTTGTTGTGCACGAAGATACCCCCCCTACATTTTACCAGATAGACTTTGTACATGGTCTCCTTTTTTTTTGGACTTTCGTTTGTCATCTATAGAACATCTTTGTACCTTTGTTTCGTCCTCTGGCATTTGTTTTTGTTTTTTTGCTCTTGTTTAGCGATTGCTCGCCTACCCAACAGTTGTATGGCCAACTAGATCTCTTGCTGCGTTTTCGTTGGTCACTTTATCTAACAAAAAAGTTCAATTAATACAAAAGAATTACTACTTCAACATTATCTGCTCATGCCTTGACTGTGTCTCTTACTTCCGCACACCAATTAAACTCACATCGTTCGATGTGGTGGTGGCATGCAACATCCCACGCCATCTAATATTACCTCCGCAATCACAAACTCCTCTCCCAATAAATCAACAACAATCTCTAAATTTCCTATCAGTCTATACAAAATCCAATCCCAGCGTCCCTAAGCGTAATAGTAATCCATCGCATTTCCATTGCAGCACAAACCCTTAGTGTTAAAAAACACAAGTAAATGCCTTTAAGCTCTAAGCAGGACACCTAATTTCCAACCCCCAACACCACACATCAATCCCCACAAACCCGAACCCCAAGCCCAACCTATCACATAACAAGCAATAAAAAAACCTTGCAGATACGCACTCCCGCCCGCACCGCCACACTACCCACACAGCTATCAAGCTTTTCTGCAAGGGTCCGTGTGCGTGTGCGTGTGCGTGCCTCGGCTGCCGCCCCCCCAACTAAGTAAGCGAGCTGACTGCTTATTAACTAACGTATCGCAAACGACTATATAGTCAGTTCTGCAATCCTTATTATTCAATCAAGGCATTTACCACTCCAATCTAGGTATACATTGTGTCGTGGAGTCAAATTTAATAAGATCTATTTCTGGGGTTTTTTTTTGGGGGGGAGGGGAAGGAGGTGGGAAGGTTTGTAAGATAGCTGTGGAGTTTTGTTCGCTGTGTTGTTGTTGTTGTTGTTGTTGTTGTTGTTGTTGTTGTTGTTGTTGTGCTTTTTACATAGCCTCGCGTTCTTCGCTAGGAAGATGGATTGGAGTGGGATGGAATGATTTTGTGGGGTTTTGGGGGAGTGCTGCGAATGGGTTCGTGCCCGCGATCGCCTCACCCCAAATACTGAACACCTTCCGTTTGTTCCTGGCCTGTCAGATGACGCGTATCATATGCAGTCCATCTTTGTATTCCTCGCATGGGAGTTGGCCCTCGGTCTCGCTGCGAGCCTTGATTCTTTCCTTGACTACTTCGCCCCATCCCCAAACAAGTCCGATGCGTCGATAGATTCCTTTTTCGACATCATCCACCTTCAATACAAAGGCCAGAATCACCCCACCATCATGTTGATCCTCCATCGCCGGCATGCAGAACAAAGCTTGATTTGCATTCTCCTCTTCGAAATTATCGTGGAAATAATCGAGTCTGATGTAAGGTTGTATATATTCCGTCGAAGAGACCGTTGGTAACCGTACACTGGCTTCAACTCCGTTAACGACCATCTCCCATTGAGATGCCCACCTTGGTCTTCGGGTTGAGTACGACTCGGGGCGATTTAGTATCAATTGTTTCAATACCCCTCGCAATCGCAGCCAGCCGCCGTGAATCAGATTCGTACTATCATCTGTTGAGTAATCGAGGTGCAGGTCGACTACCTCGAATAGCATGTTGATGGAGATGGCATCTACCTTTCCAGGGGTAATCTCACTATCGACCGCTGCCCACGACCAGCTTGGAGCACGATACACATTGGTCCGTGGTTCCGCGGGGATTCTTATGCACCAGACCAGTTCCCGCTCTAGATGCCGACGCCACATGCCTGCAACATAGTCGTCGCGCAGGATGTCCCTCATCACCTTCGCAACAGCTGACAAAGCAATGAGCTTATCACCACGGAACGTCAAATTACTGGCAGTGTAGGCGCGTGAAATGTTGGACCAGGCAACATATGCTGCAATGCTTTCGTCGGAATCGTTTTTCATGATTTGGTGGGTCGGCAATGTATCTTTGAGTCTTGTGAACTCGGAAAAAATTGTTCGAGGCAGACCATTTGGGTAGATCTCGGCAGCGTCCATTTCCCGGCACTCCCATAGAATCTGTCTCTCTCCGAAGTACAGCACGCGGGTAGACAAGTATCGCTCTTGAAGGACCCACCCGCGAGTGTTGATCAGAGCCCGCGAGACCTCCTTTTCCCAAAACCTCTGATCAGAGACGAAATACGATCTTTCTTCCCCGTCTACAATAAAGTTTTCCGCTCGAGGGTGATGGGCTTCGGGATTGCGCCAGTGGAAGAGAGGATGGTTACCATCCGGCGCGTTGGCAGCGGAGATGGTGCAGAATGACTTGGAATATATCTCTCCCATCACCTTGGCCTCCCTTAGCCAGTCTGCTCGTTCGTCTCCTTCCTGGATGATACAGAGAGAATCGATCCATATGTATCTAACGTCCAATTTACGGGCAACATATACGGCGTCCCGATATAGCAAGGGAAGTTGAGAAAGAGAAATGCCCTGAAGCAGTTGGGCGTAATTGTCAGTTGTCAGTTTCAAACAGTCGGCAGCCCCCCAGCAGTGGCTCAGCGTTATATAAGAGCCATTCAGTGAAGCCGCTTGGGTCTCAATCAATTGGCATGATTCTGGGAATTTGAGAGGACCAGTATCAAGAAGTCGCGTTGGATACCAACCGTGGCCTGCTGAGAGTGTCCCGCACCGCTGATGTTTTATTGTACATTCTTCAATCCACTTTCTCGCAAGAGACAAAGTCTCAGCAGACTTCGTGCTCCCGGAAAGTTTGAATTTGTTTCCTGTTGCTTCTAGATGGGGGACTCTGTTAGTCAAATCTAAGTTATGTAAGCGATAGGTTTACCAGATTACTTGCGCGGGGAAATTGTTGATTTGCATACCACTAAGAGGGCGGAGCGAGAAACATGTGCTCCAGAACTCAGATGGGCTCTTCAGGTCCACCTGCAGATTGAAAGAGAAACTGACTTGGTCGCATCCCAAAGGAACGTCCGGGCCATCTGCTTCGAAGCGTGCCACGGTTAAAACGTCGTCTATAGACGGGGAGCGAACGTCATCAGCGAGAGACGAAGCAATGCATTGTTGATCGTAGGTCAGAGACGCCCAAAGACGATTACAGATGTAGCATCCTTGGTTGACAGAGCGCTTGAAAGTATGGCACATGCGGTGGTGCACCCACCCATGGCGATTGGTGTTGATGTTTCTGCACGCCTCACAAATCATTGCGATGCCGAGCTACGAAGAGGTATCTTGCCGCGCATTACCGCGAACCAGCATTTGAAAACCGACTCAGCTGATCTGTGAGTCTTTGTGTCGCGATCTGCTCTATCTGATGAGGCAGAGTCGTGAGGGTGGCGGTGCGGGACAGGGAGGTCGTGAAGTCCGGCGTCGCCCAGCCGCTAGTCCCCATGAGGCAGTGGTTCGGGAGACAACACAACATGAAACCTGTGTTGACCAGTGTCTACTCTAACTAGTATGACTTATATCCATAGTTGACGAAAGATTCGGAATTGGTTGCGAGCATCGCATTTGAACGCGGCGCGAACACGAACAAGACAGCATATCGAATCTACATAATATATGATCAAACGCGAACGATGTCTTGCATGAGTTTTGGCGCAAACTGCAGTACTGTTGTGTCTTGTAGTGCCTCAATCTCCTAATTGCTGTGACCTTGAATTCAATAAAAGTACGTTTAAGTTTTTTTTAATTGGAAGTTACAGTGGTTCCTACACTAAAAAAGGATAATAAAAAAGGTTAAACAAAAAGTAGACGGGCACAAAAAGTAGACGGGCACAAAAAGGGTACGTTTAATAAATGCATACTTCGTTTGCTCATCTGACAGGTGGTTGAACGAGAAAATCAACGCCCCCCCGAGCGTTTTTCCTTTCTGCTGATGAGCTCTCTTCCTGTAAATTGCGAGATAAGACTCACTGAGACCCACATAGGCCATTTTTCGGACTAGTTCTCAGGCGTGTCGTTGGATGCCTGCACTGGTGGGCCGCTACGATCGCTACGGAGCAGCAAGCATGTTTTATGGGACGAAGTGGCATCCATGCCCGCTACTTACGTCCGTGATGCCTATTTTCTCGACAAATGGTGGAAAATGCGATGGTCACATCATAGACTAAGCACGTGCAAACACCTATTGATAGGATCACATGTAAAAATACTATGTTGGGCCAGATCTCATCAATTGCCATGTACCTTTGTAGTTACCGGAGGAAAAAAGATGTTACGAGATCCGAACGCGATGTTGAGAGTAATTCAGACCAGCTCACGAATTTTCAGTGCTTTGACACAAGAGAATGAGGACTGCGACCAGATCAACAAGCTCCAGGTTTGTTTTAATTCGTTTCTAGATTCGCAGCCCCAAATGCTATACTGAGTCTCAAAACTGTTCCGATAAGCTACGTGGTTAGACGTCAGAAATTCTCCGAATCAATAGAGTTGGCGCAACTTGTGTGCTTGTTTGCAGTTCGCGTTTCGCACACCACGGTGGTATTTTTGTAGTTTGACGCCGCAACCGCGCAGAATGTAGATTACCAATGAGCGATTCCCCTGAGAAATCGAATGGAACCATTCTTTGCGAGAACTTCGTGAGACTTAGGAAATGTCTAGATTTTGAATACGAGTTGAGAGGGGAATTGATGGAGCCGCTGCGGACAGAGATGGCTGAGTCGGACCCCGTATGCCTAGAAATGGAATATGTGTGATCTGACAGTAGTTAAATCTGTCTTTCCAGCGCTAGAATTAGCATTCAGCTTCGCCAACTGAATTTCAATGAGAGTAACACTCTCCACTTTCTCATTGGCAGTGCCTGCAAATTTCTTAGCGTCCCAATAAAAACGTCAGCACTAGGTCTAAATGATCTGTCCAGACTGGTGTCATTGGCTGTATCCGGTGAAAAGTCAGAATAGAGGACTTGTTCAGTCAGCTTACTACTACGCATAATTAAGAGTAATAATGATTCATAGCATTTCCATGCGGCACAAACACTGGGTATTGAAGACACGATAATCTGCCTTTGAGGTCCAAGCAGGACACATGTTCCGTGGTTATCACGTAACGTCAGCTTACTACAGAAATGGCGTCGTGGAGGACGAAAAATCGATTACGGTCTGCGTTATATGAGATTGGAAAATAATAAAGCTCGTTCCATAGCCGGATGAGCTGGAGTTAATGTAGTCTATTACCTAGCACTTTCATAACAGTTAGAACAACTTGATTTTACACATTCATTAGACACAATAGCTCTGTCTTAGTACTTGTTTGGATTATTGCATCTCTGCGCGGCACGAAATTTAGTTCCCTCATTGGGTTCATAACACTAGAAGTCAAGACTACACAATGATCGGTCCGCGCAACCCTAAACTGGGCAAGTTCGTGAGCACGCTCTGGAAACCGCTCGCAGCTCGCCGCTACGCGAGAGCGGGACTATTTCCCCTTGATTCCATTACTGGGACCAAGGTTTGTGATCAAATCAATCAACGAGTTCTGTCAGGTGAAACCTGCTACATTGTTGGCCTAGGAATATCTGGACATAACGCTGGCGCCTCACTAGTTCAGGTCTCGCTCTCTGATGGTATTCGACTACTTTCGAATGATGAGGAAGAGCGGTTTGTAGGTATCAAACATTACCAGCATTACCCAGAGCAGGCGATCGGCGAACTGTCTCGACGTCTCAAGTTACGAGGAGTTCGCCTCGATCAGGTGGCAGCCTGGGCGACCAGCTGGAACTATAGCGCTTCAGAAGTCGCTGTGGCGCGAATTTTTGCAGAAGAGTTCCCCACTAGTGTGGTTTCCCTTAAACCGGAGACGTGGACGATGTGGAATCCTTTTGAACGATGCGCAGAAGCCCGGAGGGTCCCCGCCAGGCTCCGTGACCAACTTGGTCTGGATGCCGCTACACCGATAATCATGCCTAACCATCATATGAACCATGCCTCATTTGCCTATGCTGCTTCTCCGTTTGCAAAGAGTGAGCGGCCGGTTGTCATCACAGTTCTGGATGGGGCTGGAGATCGTGGCGCCATCTCACTCTTTCGAGGAGAAAACGGGAGTATCAGTGAGATTTTCTGCAACGAGGCCCTCACTGAGTCACTCGGCTTATTCTACTCCTTAGTGAGCTCGACTCACGGCGGCTGGACACCACTCAGCAGCGAAGGACGTTATATGGGCGCGGTCGCTTGGGGGGATCAAAACCGGCTTACGAACCCTTATTACCGTCGAATGAGAGAGATATTTCATTTCAGCCCTTCGGGAAGAGTTTATCTGAATCGCGGACTAGCGAACTGGCCGAGTATGGGTGAACTTCGACCGTACACGTCTGCGTTCGAGGCCATCATCGGCAAACCCATTCCCAAAGACAAAATGTGGAATCCCGATGCTGTCCTAAATGTTGATTCTATAAAACATTCGGAGATCACGCGCGATCGTGTTGATCTTGCCGCTGCTACACAGCTTGTGTTTGAAGACTGTGTCTTTCATATCGTCGACTACCTGATCCGAAGTACCGGCAGTGATCAGCTTATAATGGCGGGCGGGACTGCTCTTAATGGCCTGGCGAACATGAGGCTACTTGAACAGTTTGATCGCGAATGGTATAAACGCAATCTCGACCAAGATACAACACTGAAGCTATGGGTTCCTCCCACACCCAGTGACTCCGGTGTGTCAATAGGAGCCGCATACAGCCTTGCCTTGCGATCGAAGGTTCCCTGTGGTCCTAGTCTGAAACACGCGGCTTGGTGTGGCATCCCTGCTCAAACTGAAACCATCCAGACCGCTTTGGAAAAAGATCCCGAGATCGAGTTCCATCGACTCGGTAATTTGAAGAATGATCTCGAGCGGCGGGCTGTCGCCGACCTGATGGCATTCATTGTCGCCCAAGATGGCGTTCTAGGCTTATATCAGGGAGCAGCCGAGACCGGTCCCCGCGCTCTTGGGCAGCGCTCCATTCTCGCCAACCCATGCAACCCTGAAACAAGGAAAGTCTTGAACGAACGAGTCAAGTTTCGTGAAACTATCCGTCCTTTAGCGCCTATGGTTACAAGGGAGCAGGCAGATATGTTTTTCGAACTCGCGGAAGGCGCTGCGGCTGACGACTACAACGCTTATTACTACATGGTTTTGATGGCCAAAGCCCGGCCTTTGGCATTCCAAAAAATTCCATCTGTAGTGCACGAAGATGGCACAAGTCGCATTCAAATTGTCAAGCCAGAAACCAATCCGTTAGTTCACGATTATCTGCAATCTATGGGCAAACGGCTCGGAGCTGAGGTCTCCGTCAATACGTCCCTCAATGTTGGCGGGCCAATTTGTCAGACACCCACTCAGGCACTGGGTGTTTTGAGAAGGGCGAAGGGTATGACGGGTCTTGTATTTGTGAGCGATGAAGGCGAGATTTTTCTAGCTTGGAATACCGTCGGGACGAAATTTAGGGACAATGGTGAAAAGTTGAAGCATTGGGTGGCTAGACATAATGGGTAGCAGATTTACACCCGATGCACGTTCTTTGATTTGGTTACTTATTCATATCCGGTCCGATAGATCGCGCCTGAATTCTTGAGATGCTGGAAATTAAGTGATGGAAATAACGGTTCTTGCACTATCCGGTACAAACAACTTGAATACATATTCAGAATACACACCACAAGATTCCTGAGCAGAAGACATGTTTAATTAATCGCGAAACTGGCAGGAACAGGACGGTAGAGCAGACAAAAGATCAGATTAAGCCCCACAAATTTCGAACGTTCCGTCCCCTGCTACCCATATCCTCAGCGCTGCGAAATCGAATCTCATGAAGACGTAGCATCTTTTCCGCAACATCTCGCCCATTCGAGAGATCTACTAAGTGCCATTGACCATTTCTCAAGATTTTAAGAGTCCCCCACAGAGTGAGGAAGCAGATGGGCTAGTAGAACGATCAGCTGCAAAACATCGAAGAGTCTGGGTAGGAGGTCAATACTAACAGCAAGATAAGCCGATAGGAATGGTTGCACGTGAAAACCGTTCCACAAGCTACTCCCGTTCGCGACAACCAATAAAAACAAGCACGCGGATAGCGAGATGTACGCCGTGAAAGGCTGTCCATGCCCTCTATACGGAAAATCGTCTGGGAGGTTATTGGTGCCCCGATTCCAGCGACGAACAAGCGGTACTTCTCGCAGGGCGATCTTGTTGCTGCGAATGCAGTGATAGAATCGAATGTAAGCCCAACACTCGCATGCCCAGACTACGATCACACCAACCGTGCCCATCTCGCTTAGGACATCGAGAAGAGTCCCAATGTCCTTCGATGGCCCACTTTCATTTTCATTTGAGAGATAGAGAAAAGGAATCCATGCAAAGATGCATGACGCGATCAAGGCTCGCATAGGTACCTTGCGATTGTTCGTCTTGCCCAACGTCGCAAGAAATCGTGTATACCATGGCTGCCCACTGCCGCCATCCAATGTTCTGGTCAAGCTAAATAGCGTCCTCGAAGCGACGTACAGATTTGTGTTTGCACACGTAAGTGCGGTAAACATGAGGAAGACGTTCAGGGTGCCGGCGAGCCCATCTATCCCCGAGTCCCTTGCGATGAGAACAAACGCGGAGAATGTGGGGCCAGGCGCTCGCCAACTGACGCGCGGAAGATCCGGGTTATCCCACTTGATGTTAAGTGTGACAAGAACACCAGCGATTACGTACAGTAGTGCAGCGACGAATGGTATGAATACGACAGAAGATTTCACTGTCTTCCCAATAGCGCTAGGATTTTTTGGGGTTCTTTCCGGTGGGACCCGAGCCTCCAAAGCGGAGGCAGCAGTGATCTCGACACCGACATATGCAAATGCAGCAATGGAAAGGCTCATAAAGAAAGCCTGCGTCCAGCTCTTAGACGCGTCTGCGTCGTGGACGATGACGTTTTCAGGGTATAGCGAGATATCTCTCTTGGGGGCTGGGCCGGCTGGCTGTGGCCTAAAACCGCGCTGGTTGATGACAATGTTGAATACAATGATGACCAAGAGAAAGGCAAGTTTGAGAAATCCGCTAACAACTTCAAAGAGCCCATAAGTCTACAAAAGTGGTTAGTTAAAGACTGTACATGGGATCTCAATGAATGCTGACCTCAATACCGAAGGCATTTAATATAAGGATGAATAGGGGAATGAGAAAGAACAAAATTCCTCCCTGTATTCCTTTAGGGGTGTCCCAATACTCTGCTTCGCCTGCGGTGGCGGCGATGAGGGCCGCGAACGAAATGGCGTACGTGAACCAATACGCAACTCCAACAGCAATCCCTAGTTCGACGTCTACAAACTCAGACACATAGGTGCTCAATGAGCCAGAGATGGGCCATATACAAAGCATCTCCGCAATGCACTGCATGACACCCCAGGCAAGACATCCCACAAGGGAGAATGAGAGAAGGACTGCAGCTGGCCCGCCAAGTCTGAGGATCATGCCGCCTCGTACGTAGAGCCCAACACCAAGGACACCATTGATTGCGATCATGAAGATATGTATGCCTTTGAGGCGTCGACTGATCAATTTCGTTAGTTATCATGGAACACTATCATGCAAGGGGAAGGCATACTTTACAGCCCGATCTCTATCTCTTTCGATCATGAGCCTATCTGCTGGAGCTTCATCATCGACTGTCTCTTCAACACCGTTTCCGTCACCATCGTTACCGAGAGATAGCAGTTCGATTCTGTTTGTAGTCGAAGCTAGTCCTGGATTTCGACTCGGCGCACGTAGACTCTCATCATCCTGTGCTCGAGAAACTGAACGCTCGGAGCCCTGCCTCGTGCTCTGTATGTCCCCAACATTTGCGAATGGTGTGGATGACTCGTGCATCACCGATGGAGACATTGTTTTGTCCGCTTTTTCTACGGAAACGAGCGAAGTCCTCTCCCTGGGTTGCGGTGATGGCGGTGTGCGCTCTTGCGATGTTGAGGAAGCCTCCCCTCTCCACCAGTCTGGGATCCAACCTGGCTCCAGCATAGAGCTACCCTTTTCTTTCGCCATGGATAAAAGATAATGGACTTTAAGCAGAAGGTCCGGGGACGACCAGTATGACGTTGCGGGTCTGCAGTCCACGTAGTGGAAATATGATGTACGCAGGCTGTGGTTGCCCCGATCTTGCGCGCCACCGCCGCGGTCAAGGTCTCTGATAAGAAAAACACGATTCTGCAACCCCCAAATGGGCGCTTAGAAGTTCCGCCTGGTTGGCGTAGCATCACGTCGCACAGAAAATCAGAACCGTGGCGCAGCCAATATGCAATACGAGATCGCACATCCAGCATCGTATTGGGAAGGCAGAATTCTAGTACATTTAGAGATAACGGCGGGAATCCTCCTCAAGTCTGATTATTTGCGCTTCTGAATCTCGTACATTACATAGCATAGCATTCTCACCGGTTATGACGTTTCGAAACGCCTTGAGAAAGGTAGAATCTACACCGCTCCTTACTGGGTGCTAACACTGTAATGGCTAACGTGAACCGAAGTTTTCCTTTCAAAAGAGTGCAAAGCAGGAGGAAACACGACTTATCACACAGAATGTGCGGACAAGATACCTTTCCGATCGCAAACTGGACGAGCTCATGGAAGATCTGTTTGGGCGGGGCAACTTCAGATTCCGAGTGCGTCATATTCAGCCTAATCTGCGGAAAACTGTATTGATAGCGAAGCAGATGCGGAATGACCAATGGATTTTCGAGGTACCACGTGAGCTGACGGAGGTGAGTCTTTTTACCCTATCCACTTCTTGATGTATTGTATATTGACAACGTGAAGGAGGAACTGAAGTACGATTGTTCTTCTTCGTGATTTTCTGGGAAGAAGAGACTGACACTGAATGCACAGACGCGCAAAAAAGGAAGAACGGAAGCCCGCATCCGCAAACAGGCATCAGGCTGAGCAAGGCATTGGTGGAACGGTGGCGCAAGGCCCTTCAGAGGGGATTCGAGAACGATCAACACAGCCTTAGCGGGGTTGGTTTTCAGCTCCATGCGCAGCCCCAAGCATGATCGTATAACATATGTACATCCATGGATATCTCTCAGAGCTTCAACCGAACTCTTTTTAATAGTATCCTGCTACTCAGCGCTCGCATTTCCGCACCCGTAATTTTCATTTTGCTTATCGTGACGTCCCTCACACCTAGGGAGCACAAAACATCGTGATCCCGCGATCCAATCCGTCCAATATGCAATCAGCATCCGGGAAGGCATTAGCTAAGAACTCAGACTTATACTGGGCGCGCGTAGATGCATCAACGTCTTGCTTTGAAGATGAGTCTGCGTGCTCGAACCCTATAGAAATTCTCGACGTGCCAATACAGCAACCCCATTTTACAGCTCAGGATCACCAGCAGGCTGAAGCGCCGCGGCGGCTTTCAGCCTTGAGTGCTCTGCGGGGACATCTTGGCGACCCGACAAAGTGGGCCTGGAAGTATCGATTAATGTCAGTTCCTCCTCGCAGATCGAGATGAAGGGATCTAACTGAGGCCTATAGATCGATTTGTCAAAGGAACTCTTGGTCAAAACTGCATATATCCAAGCAAATGCTGAGGAGGGTAGTAGAACACCATCGAGTGGATCCTGCGTTCCTGGAGGTTCCTCTCTCTTTTTTCGACCGCTCAACAGATGAAGAGCTATCTTATACCGTGCCATGGACGTTGCAAGAAGATGTAGACAGTTTCGAAGTTTTCTACACATTTCGTCACGCTGAATACAAGGGTCATCCTAATGAGCCTTATGTCATTCGCCAAACTGGCGTTTACCAGAAATACAACATGAAGGAGAAGTCTTCATTGTGGATTCTTATAAATCCAGTCCCGGAATCGGCGGCCCATCGTCGGATAGTTGACGCATTTCTCCATCACCAGGAAGAAATGGATCAGAACCCATTATGGCTTCATTACGTTATACAAGCTTCATATTTCCCCCGTTGGCGAGAATATCTGGCCATTTACGAGAAAGCCTTGCTTCCACTAGCCGACACAACAGCAGCAGCGTTCATTGCCGAGCCATTACGGGTCAATCATGGGACTCTCAGCAGATTGCGCTCACTGGAAAGTCGCTTCATGCCAACGTCGGCGATCTTACAGAGCTTCTCAGACATCTTATCGGAACTTGGTGCACTCGCAGAGAGGCTCACGTTACGCGATCTGATGGAGGAGAATGGAAATAGACTCTTCGTTACCGCCATCAGCAACTATCGCAAGCAAGCATTAAATTTCATCCGCACGGCCCAGTTTCTTCAACAACGTAGCAACACCACCGCGATTCTCGTTTCAGACACTGTCGCGTTTAAGAACCAAGAAGTATCCCAAGAGCAGAATAGAAACATGCTCCTTCTCACCCGTTCGGCAGTTTTCCTTACTGTCCTTACTCTTTTCTACCTTCCGTGGACATTCATGAGCGGGTTGTTTGGAATGAACTTTTTTATGATGGATCAGGATACGTACAGATTTGTGACTTCACCAAAATTGTGGATCTATTTTGTCTCGGCTGTAACACTTACTCTCTGTACCATGATTTTGTACTATGTAGTGGCTGGGTTTCCGCAGCTGAACACAGGACGGCCCCGTCTAGCTGGCAACAAGGCGGACATGGGAAACAATGGCTTGAAACGCGGTCTTACTGATCTAGAGAAGAGTGTTCAAGATGGCAAAAAGTGGTCTTAGACGCAAACGATTTGTTAATTAGAACTCAGTGGAACTTCTAGAATACGAATCATGCGACCACTCATATCTGCAACCAAAGCTCGAGGATCAGCCTCTGCATCCGGAGGATAATACAATGCCGCAACGAATTTGCTCTGATGAGTCATGCCCGGTAGTTTGGTCCCTCTAGCTATGGTGAATTCATCTCCAAGTGGACATGGCGGAAAACTGAGCAGCTGAAGATCATTTTTTGCCTCGTTTGTACCAAAGCAATAGATCATTTCATCGTCAAGACTGGAGAGTACCTTCAGAAGCCGATGACCTTTGGCCTTGCTCTGCGTGATAGTAGTGGCATCTCCCCATGCTTTTCTCGTCAGCACCCTTTTCTCCTGGGAGAGTACTGTAAAGATGTTATTTGAGGTGTGCGGCGTGAAAGACGTGTATAGGCCCTGGAGAAGATCGTCCCGTCCCTGATTCTTAGTCAATAAAAGGTGGCAAAAGGGAGATTTGTTCAGACCTACATCGTGCGCAATTTCGGTCCTTCTTCGCGCTTTCCATGCGCCCTTCTCCAAGTACCACGCCCGTATCGTCATGACATATTCCACAACAGGATTATTTCTTTTAGGTTTGACGACAGCATAGATAGTGTTGGAAGGGGAAAAGCTTAGTTCGCGTATATCTTCTGCTGGTGCGACAGTTGACAAAGGTTTAGTATAGCGGGAGAGGCCACCGCCTGTAGAGGCGCTTGAGTTGGAAGAGGATGATGCAACAGACGATGCTCTGCATTGCTTCAGCATGATAATGTCAATACGAACGTGGATACCCCCACAACACGGAACGCTTACCTATCCTCGCTCAGAAGCCTGAGCTGATCCATCTGGAGTATGTAAATCAAACCATGCGCGCGGTCGGCTTCCTGCAGAAGGAAGGCAGCATAATTTCCATCTGGTGATAGAGCCAATCTCAAGATCGGAGGCTTGTCGAGCACAATGTGCGCAACTGCTCGCAGCCCAGTGGTATGCGATGCAACGTCGGATATATAGTATACATAAACCTTCATTCGTCAGTACGCGATTGATTGGAACCAGGAATAAAGGAGTGTCACCTCGAATTGGTTGCTGTCTGTCGCCGCCACAATGTGTTGTGCGCTCACGCCGATATTATCGGTCCAACGTTGTCCTTTCTTGTCCAGATTGATGCTACCAAATTTGATCAGGTTGTCGAATTCTTTCGTGCGGCAGACATGCTCGAGTGAATAGGCTGTAAGAGCAGTATCGGTGACGCATACGAGGGGTTGTGCGTTGGGTCCGAAATGGCTTGACCGCACGGTGTCGGGTAGCCCGATCTCCCAATTCCGGGACTGGAACTCGGGATTAGGTCGAATACGCATTGCAAAGATAGAAGATCGAATTAATCTGTCGCGCAAGCGTGGAGGCTTCTCCGGAACGAATCCTGTATCCAAGCTATCATAAGACTTGTATGAAGAGACCAACTTGTTCTTGACTTCTACAGCTGTTGTATGCCTGCGCTTGTATGGATCGATGATCAGAACCTTATCATGAAGAAAGGCGATCATATCCTTGAAGATGGTCCCTTCTTGTTCGTTCCTGCGCCATGTTTGGGATCGCAGCTCTTTCAACCATTTTTCAACTTCATCACTTAGTTTGATATCGCTGATGTGGCGGGAGGGTCGTGTTTCGGGTACTGTAAAGAATGCGTCGATCCGCTGCGAAGCCCTCATCCCTTCAAATTCGTTCACGGCGGAAATTCCACCGTACAAGAAAGTGAAAATGACGATAATAACACAGCCTAATGACCAGATGTCACTCTCGGCAAGAATTGGATGCTTGTCGATACGAGTTTCTGGAGCCAGGTAGGTTCCTGTTCGATAAGAGCCAACGCTTGAGTCGGTATACGACTGGTCGCCATTGCCAGCAGCTCTCCGCCTAAATAAATTATTGAAGTCCAGAATGTTGTCCGTGTTGAATGTCCAACCGCGCCGCGGCGCAATCATGTCATGTGTAGGTCGACGCGTTGCCTTCACACGAGACATGTTGAAATCTGATAGCTTCCATTCTTCCACACCAGTCTTCGGGTCTTTAAAGACCAGTATGTTCTTTGGTTTGAGGTCCATGTGGAAACACGATAGGGTTTCGAAGGTATCCGAAACTAGTTCATCGTGAAGATAAGCGACTGCACCGGCAATGCCGGCGGCGCAGTGAATAAAATCGGCTTTTTGTTTCCATTCGGTCGGCGCTGCCGTACGCTCCATGTATAGTTCTAAATCACTGTATGCCAGGGGCATGAACAGTGAATATATTGGCCCAATTTGGAGGCTACCCAAGTTCTCCACGATGTTGCTGTTCTGTTTAACGTTTCGCACAATCTCTCGGAGCACGTCTCGTTCCTTGTCGTAGGGATTATCTTCAAGATCCAAGACAAAGTCTTTTCGAGCGAGCGTTTTGCGCTCGGTATTTGACATCTGCTCTTTGCCATCGTAGAAATGATGCCGAGCTATCACCACTCGGTAGACTTTGCCGTAGGCTCCACTCCCGATTTCCTCACTCTCCAGATACGGGACTCGACGGTGCACTTTGCATGTAACCTCCTCCTTGTTCCGAAGCACCACCGCGCAGAAGTATTCTTGGTTGTTGCAGAACTGGTCGGCGGCAACACGATCATCCCCGAAAAGCTCTCGTGCCGATGCAGGCTGCAAAGGCAGCTCGGATAGATCGAGCCCGCCGGTGCCTACGACAGGCCATGTGGATGCAGCGATCAATATGTCGAGGACGCGGACCCATGCTTCTATCCTGCACTGAGAATAGACAAGCACGGCGAGGATTGTGTGCAGCTTTCGTTCTTTGACAGCTCGAACTAAGGTGACCCTAGCTCGCCCATGCGGGGCGACGAAACTAAAGAGACCCTCTAGTTTATCTGGTTGTAGGACCTTCTCAGCCGTGTCTACAGGAAAAAAGCGTTTATCGGGCTCGGTGTCCAGCTTGACATTGGAGAGGAGGTTGTGGTAGATGGCATCACGGAGCGCTTCGAAGGAGGTATAGTAGGCAGAACCCGGCCGGTTCATCATCGCTCATGCCGGTGACTGTTCATGCGTGGGCCCTAGTGGTCGATCCAGTGGGTATAGACTGGTTCAGTAAGAGGTAGCGCATCGCAGGTATCTATCTCACATTCTTACAGCTCGGGTGGAAAAGAGGTTTTGATGGGAAGGCAGAAGGCTGGAGAACCAGAGGGGTGAGGCTATGTGCGCCGGTCGCCGGGCTGGGGGTTTGACGCATCTTATCACCCGCCCAGAACGCCAATGAACTCAGACAGCGCGTCTTTATCGGTTCGAGTCCAAACAGCCCAGAGTAATGATATTCTTCATCGTTGCAAGTTAGCCAAGCCGGTTTTCGACAGGTAAGAAGTAGTCAGTACCCAGTAAAACAGGCGATCAGGAAAGTGAATGGTTGAGTCCGCGCGCATCTATGCGCGCCCAGTGGCAAGAAAGCATGCAGTGATCTCAGATATACATTTGTAAGCGAACGAGAACAAGGATATCAGGGTGGTCACAGGGTGTGAGGCAGATAGCCGAAAAACATAGTGTTTGCGCTGCGCCCCAACACCGTTACGCCTCCTCGCATCGTCGAAAGGAAACAGTTTATCTCTGAAAACAATTCTGTGCCTACAGCGACGGGAGCCTCTCCACGAAAAACCGCTCCTGCACCACCCATATCATGTCCCGGGCAAGGCCAACCAGCAGTAGCAAAGCTTCAGGATATGACCTCTCACACGCCAAGCTGGCCCGCTGAGGCTGGCCAGTTGCTGTCAGTCTCATTTTAATGGAACACTGCACTAATAATATTTTGAGACAGTGTCCAACTCACCCGGGAAGACTTGCAGATTGCGCCAATAACAGTGGGAGCGTCTGCGGCTGGAGGCGGGATGCAAAGATCCGACAGTGTACGCAGTGGGGCTGACATCGTATCGATTTCAACTGAAAAGAGCAATGAGAGCGAAAGATGCGCGTGAAATATTAGAGGTAGGTAGTGTGGCTTGAACACAAAAACTTTGATATATCAACATACTCATTGATCGATGATCAAGAAATAGCGAATTATGGCGCCCCAGAGGTTGCATCGATAAAGTCAATACCAAAGAAGAATCTATTCCGTAGCGGTAGGAGTCTCGATATCTCCGTCAAGAGCATGGTTACATTGTATCATCTCGTATCCCCTCACAGCGGTGACAGCCATTGATGCTTGGCCCATACTCTGCGAAAAAGTCCTAACTTTTGGCAACGACCTTGTCCTGAACAGTGGCAGCACTCTCTTCATCGTCGGAAACCGGCATTGTGGCAGCATGGCCTTTCTGTCTTCTTTCGTCGCGCTTATACAGGTACTGTCCTACCATGAAAAAGAACCAGGTGAAGAACACAAAGGCAATATTGACTGAGTAGCCTTTTCTCCATTTCGGCCCTAACAGAGTAAGTATGGTAGGGTAGGTGTAAAGAAGTGTAGTGCGAATTACCTTCGATGGCCGGAAAAACAGCGACCGGATAGAAGGAGTAGATCGCCCAACCCGACGTCAACTAGGAGTCGTTAAAGACGATCTCCACAAATTTGGATGTGAACTTACCATTGCGCCCACGGTAATCGCACGAGCTTCCGCATCGTCTCGCATCGCCATATTAATAAATGGCATGAGGATGGGCGTGATGGCCGCAGAAACTCCAAGTATGTAGAAGGATGCGACTAATAAAGTGTTAGAACTCAGTGACAGCCAAAGTTAGAGATTGACCTACAGTGTAGCGTCTTTGGAATTGCCCAAATAAGAAGGCAAATGTTTGCAAACAGATAGATGATCTGCACGATGGAAAATATCGTCCACAATGGATAGATCATGCAGAGTGAAGTCGCTAGTAGCGCCGCAATTACAGAAACACCCTGAGCTCCAGTCGGTATCTCGTTGATCTGGGGGATCGAGTAGCCTCCGACGTACTTGAGCCACATTGCCATCTGTCCGTGTGGGTAAGAGGATGACAAGAAACTGCAGGGGTTAGCTTTGGCCAATATCGCAGTAACAATCGGCGCTCACAATGTATAAGCGAGAACGCCTATGTAGAATTCCCATCTTGTCACCGTCCGCTTGACGATATTCCAACTAAGTTTTGCACTTGGTTCAACGCCGACGTCAAGCATCCGTTTCTGTGCTAACTCATGTTCCGGAATAGTCAGCCACCATGGCTTTTTGCTCGATGGGAGACCTGGGAAAATGAGATATCCAGCAAAGGCGATCGGAAGCGAAATGACACCATCGATAATAAAGAGCCACCGCCAGCCTTCCATTCCAGCGACCCCATTCAAATTTCTGTAAGCCGCTGCTTGTAGATACCCTCCAAACCTATACGATGGTTAGAACTATCTTCGAGTATGATTCGCCAAAGTCAGACCGGCGCAAAATAGACATACATGACAGCAATATTGTTGCTCACGAACCATACACCCGTTCTCTTGAACACTTCGTCTGGCCGATACCAGCTGCAAAGCACATATGTTGTACCACTTGCTACAGGAGTTTCCAGCAGTCCTAAGAGAAATCGCATCCCGTAAATGTCGTTCGCACTGCGCATTCGACTCTGACAAAACGTGACTATGGACCACAGTACCTCCATGGTTGGGAGATACCATCTGGCGAGACCTGGCCTAGAAAGTATGAGAAGCGAGGGAATTTGGAAGACGAGATAGCCGCAGTTATAGAAGGTGCTGAAAAATGAGTACTCGTTGCCGTTGAGCTCTAGATCCTCCTTCATGCCGCTGAAGTAAGCGTTATTGATGTTACTGGAATCTAGCCATTTTAAGAAGACTACCATAGTCAGTGTTTCTGGTTCAGACTATTCAAGTTACGCATATACTTGCACATGAATGAGCAGAATGTTAATAGGCAACCGTCCATCTTGCGTAATAGCTTGCGCTCTTCTGCAGGGTAGTGGGACGGATACCACTCCCAAAGGTACATCCAAGCTTTCCATGGGGAGCGTTTCGGAGCGCCTGCTGGTGCTATGACATTGTTGTTGACGGGTTCGACGCCAGCCGTCTCATCTCGTGGTCCGGTTGCTGCCATTTTCGCGCGAAACAACAATACCGTTCGCGATTTCTTACAATTGTTGAATGTGGACGGTGGGTGCGAGCACGACCATTATTGCGGGGCTAACGTTCCGGCCACTATATGTAGGTCGCACAATTGCTCGATAATAGGATATGTGATATAGGTACCAAGATGTCGCTTAGGCGTCGACTTCGGCGTAACGTTATGGTAGGATTACCGAAAGACTAACCTGGGACAATTCTCCACGAACAGAACCCCGCAGGGAACCCATCCAACGGGATTCTCCGTTAGTAGTGATCGACGTCGAGGCGGGGGAGTTGCATGCCGGCTAATTCCATGAAGAACCGAGGCTTGTGGAGAAAGTGTCAGGCCATACCCAGTTTACACCACAGGTTGACAGGAAAGTGAGCAGTCCAAGCTGTAGGATGTGCATTATAGAGACATCGCGAGAAATAGGTGCGTACGTTCTCTCCTGTGCTGTGCTACAACTAACTGCTGTCCAGCGCCGCTATTAGTTTGTTCAAACTATTCTCCAATGTGACCGGATCCCGTAACCCATCCCAAGTGTAATTTAGCAAGCCCCAAAACTCCTCCAAACCTTGAATTGTTGATGGTACGCGACCTGGTCTGGTCTGGAGATAGAAACTACCTGAAAGTTCCCAGTGCATCCACCCAACCTGGTAGTCGCGCACCATCTCGATCAAGCAAGTATTGTACGTCGTTTGGTTCCAATACGTTCCATTTTGAATAAATCCCCATTCCGAGATTACCATTGGAAACGTGTACTTCGTCGCTGGATCAGAGGCATTGACTGCCTGGAACCCTTGCTTGTACCAATCGGCTTTGAAGACAGAGCAAGACTTCTGCGTTGCTTCGAAGTCATATTTATGAATCTCGAGTACAATCTTTTCCGCCCACGCAAACTCGGACGGAACAAATAAAGCGGTTTTGTTGGCCGTTGCAGTACCAGCCGTACCATTTAGAGATTTTCCCAGGGGGATAGGGTCAATGTATGTGTCGTATGATAGACCGGAGAAGACGATCAAAGCGTCCGGTGCGGCATCGTGAACTGCGTCTGCCGCTGCTGTCATATGCACGTACCAGGTGTACCAATCGACCGGCTCGGATGCGTTGGATGCACGAAGCTCATTGCGCAGGCCCACGGACGCGAAGGTAGGCCAGTTATCTTTTGCCTGGATAGATCAGCGTCTGCTTGTTGTATAATGCATTCGAAACTTACGTGACCTGAGATGAAACTCCATCCACGAATCCATTTTTCCACGTCAAAAAACCTCTCGCCAAACCACCCGTTGCCATCATTATCCGCGCAACACCAGAACGCTTTCGATACATGGTTATCAAGATGGATGATGATATTTCGGTTCGCCAGTTCCTGCGCCACTGCATCCCAAACCTCTAGCCGTGTTGTCTCTTTGGTGAACTCAGGATTGTTGTCTAGGATTTGTCCAAGCACCACTGTCCCGTTTTCTGCACCAAGCGCATTCAATACTGATTTCTCCAATGTTTGGTTTGGGCTATTACTGTAGACGTCATCGATCATCTCGGTGGCGTAGGTAAGTCGAACGGAGTTCAGCCCCAATTCCGGAATCCAGGCTACAATAGACGCTATCGAGGCATGCTGAAGACCTTCGGGGATCATAATTTCTTGATGACCTGGCCAATTAGTGGCTTTGAAATGGAATATATCCCCATTGCTGTCAAGTATGTCACGGCCCTTTGTCGAGAAGGGCAAAATGGGAGTGCGACGGTTGGGTGGGGGCGAAGCTAGCGCGTGCGCAAACGGAGAGAAAAGTAAGATCTCGAAGAGGTGCTTGAGCGACATTGTCAATAGTCACTATAGCAAAACAGGGCAAGAATCATTGACGCAATCACAGAATGGTAGTGTAGCGACCTGGAAAGGTGGTTGTTGACATCGTGAATTCCGAATATTCTGTGTACGAAGCTTCCAGCGAATATAACAGCCGTCTCTCGGTACAATGCAGAAACTGACCATTGATCATCTACTGGCAGCGATCGCATTCATGATTGGGCCAGGTAGAGTATGGAGCAAGGGCGTTGTCTCCATTGACCTACTTTATGCCCGATCGCATCCATTACTCCACCAATAAAAGGGTGGAACCATAAGCAGCTCTTGGTAACGGTCCAAGGGCTCGTATTGGTATAGCGAAATGCTTGGGGGCGGGGGATCGCCGGTCGGACATTTAACCATAGTACACGCTCGCCGCTAATTCACCCGAAGGCAGCGTCACTCAAGCTCCATTGGCCGTGCTGGATGGAGCGTGGCGGGGTAATCAAGCTTCTGGACTTGTTTCGACGTCTTTACAGGATAGTCATTTGAACCACTTTCATATAGTGATTGAGAGGGGCGAAAAAGATCGAAAATGAGCCACGAAGATGACTCCGCGAACCAAGTCCGAGGCCACAACTTGGAGGCCATATTTGCGCCAAACGTAGTGGCCAAAATTCTTCAAGTTGCGCAAAGAAGCCTGCAGGAAGACGCGCCGCTAGAGTCCTACCCGCACACCGTTCCTCAGACTGGCCCAGATGCGGGACGCTACGAGCATCGTGAGGCCGACTTCTGGACCTGTGGGTTCTTCCCAGGTAGCATATATGCAGTTCTGGAGAGGACCGTGAGATTTCCTGGGGCTATCGACATTGCAGGCCCCCTTCAACCCCTTGGAGATGAGCTTTTGAAGTTGGGTCGCCACTGGAATGTCGCGATCAACCAGATGAGCGGAAGGACAGATACACATGATATGGGATTCATTGTGCAGCCTGCGCTCCAGAAAGATTATGAATTGACTGGCAACAAAGAGAGCTTGGGAAGCGTAAAGAAGGCGGCTTATGCTCTGGCAACTAGGTATGACCCAACTGTTAAGGCAATCAGGAGTTGGGATGTCGCTATCAACGACCGATATTCGATCACAGACATGAAGGAGAATTTCCTTGTCATCATTGACAGCATGTGCAGTAAGTACATTGCATAGAACACAGTACGGAAATGATTTGATACTCATGAAATGCAGATCTTGACCTTCTTTACTTTGTCGGCCACACTTTCCATGACGAATCTCTTATATCCATTGCCACCCGACATGCGAAATCCATCATTCATGAGATCCTACGCCCGGATTTCTCCTCGTATCACCTCGTGAATTTCGATCCCACGACCGGTAAACCGAAAGCGAAGATGACGAACCAAGGCCACGCAGACGAGTCGACATGGTCGCGAGGCCAGGCGTGGTCAATAATGGGGTTTGCACAGACATATACATGGACGAAAGATCTAGTGTATTTGGAAACAGCCATTGGTTGTGCGAGGTACTTGATGGGGAGATTAGAGGAAAGCACAAGCAGGTGGCATCACCCTTTCGTACCAGCCTGGGACTTTGATGCGCCGGACCAGGACGAGAAAGAACCATTGAGGGATGTGAGCGCTGGCGTGATCGCAGCGAACGGCCTCCTGATCATCCACCAGGCGCTACAATCACTACCTGCAACTGCTGCTAAGAATCTGTCACAAGGAAAGGATTTTCTCGATGATGCGTTGAATATAGTCAGAGATACATTGGATTTGGCGGTGGATGGTGACCATGCTCAGCTGGGGTTCCAGAGTGATAAGGGAACATGGCACATCACCAAGGAGTCGGGATTTGATGCTATACTACGGCATTCAACGGCGAACAACAATGAGCATGCCCACAAGCCATACAGCGACCATGGACTAGTTTATGCGGATTATTACTTGCTGGAATTTGGAAACAAACTACTTCGGATGGGACTCTTGTGAACCAGGCTATTTGATCACGTCTATGGTAGTTTCGAATCCAATCAAATGAGAGTTGAAACCACAGACGTGCACCTAGTCATCGTATCATACGGACATACGATAGTTGAATATAGGCGATTTTTTTACGGAACGATGAACTTGGTAGCTGTAGTATTAAAAATGTGATATCGGAAACGACTGTACCGACATATATTGCATGGTGGGGCACGTCAACCAAACCCCGCAGACCAAGAGCTACACGTCCAACGTACGCATACATGTATCACGACGACTGAAAACTCCCTGCTAAACTAATAATCTGTACACAACTACTCAATCTTTGTTCGCAAAGGACTGTAAAGCCTTTGTATCAATTACGTGCTTTACATTCTGCCCCCACTATGCCACCACTCAAAGGCTTCTCCGACAACTCGTTCAAGACCCACGACGACTTCAAAGATGCATGTGTTTCGCTTCTTCGCGCCCTGAAACAGTACCAATCTCCTGGCGGTGCCCGGATCAGACTGCCTTTAGTGACTGGGACTCACTTCGACGATATTGCAGCCCAGCTTGAAGGGTACGCACGTCCGTTGTGGGCGATAGGCACCCTCATCCATGGGGACTGTCTCACTGCAGAAGACACTGAAGAGCTAGTCGAACCGTATGTCAGGGGACTGGCGAACGGCACAGATCCCTTCCACGAAGAGTATTGGGGAGAGGTAGTCGTTCGAGACCAGCGAATGGTAGAGATGGAAATCATATCCTTTGCGCTGCTCGCTGCGCCCGATTCATTCTATCACTCGCAAGCCGCATCGACGCAGGAGAATATAAAAAAGTGGCTTTACGCTTGCAATGGAAAGGATTTCCCCGTGACAAATTGGTTGTGGTTTCGCGTAATGACGAATCTCGCACTAGTCAAAGTTTGCGGTGTGCCTTATACCGAAGTCGAACAGTTCATGCAAGCCGACCTCGAAGAGATGGATCAATTCGATATCGGTGAGGGATGGAGTGCCGATGGAACGTGGGTGGAGGAGAGACGGCAAGCGGATTACTATTCCGGCAGCTTCGCCATACAATTTTCGCAATTACTGTATGTGAAGTTCGCGGCCGATCTAGACAGACCGAGATGCGAGAAGTTCAAAGAGAGTGCACGGGCATTTGCTACTTCATTCTGGAAGTACTTCGATCAGAACGGTATGTGCCCAACAGTGATATTATAAGAGAACACACAAGGCGCCAGACTGACCACACCAAGGCGCGGCCATACCTTTCGGTCGTAGTTTGACATATCGCTTTGCGTTCGCAGGATTCTGGGCCGCAGCAGCTTTTACCCAAGTCGAACTTCCACCACCATTGAATGACTGGGGCGTCATCAAGGGCCTTCTCCTACGACACTTCAGGTGGTGGTCGAAGAAAGAAGACATATTCAACATCGATAGCACACTGACCATTGGCTTTCTATACCCAAACATGTACATGAGCGAGGACTACAATTCACCTCAGTCGCCATACTGGGCCATGAAGTCATTCGTTGCGCTGGCTCTGTCCAAATCTCATCCGTTCTGGAATGCAAAGGAAAGACCTCTGCCAGACGTTGGGAAAGATGTTGCGACTGTGATCAAGCCGCCCATGCAAATTGTCTGCCACACGGGAAACCATCATTATCTTCTATCTTCTGGTCAATTTTGTCCTTGGCCGTTGAAAGCCACCGAAGCGAAGTATGGAAAGTTTGCTTACTCGTCACATTTCGGCTTCAGCGTACCGACTGGACCGATTCTGATGCAGACAGCCCCGGATAGCACACTTGCCTTGAGCAAAGACGAAGGAGACACCTGGCGGGTATCCTGGAGACCGAAAAGATACCAGATTCGGACAGCAGCTTTCATGAGAGAAGGAGAAGCTGTAGAAGAAATTCCAGTACTTTGGAGTAGTTGGAAGCCTTGGAAAGACGTTGCCGTGGAGGTGGAGACATCAATCATCGCACCATGTAAGAGGTGGCCAGATTGGTACATCACAACACATACCATCAGAAATGAGGGCGACCGAGCTGTGCATATCGATGGTGTTCAGGGCGGATTCTCGACCCAAGGAAGGTGTAGTGAGCGGGGTGGGGTTCTGCCGGCCTTCTCCACGGATGACTTTTCAGTCAAAGCGGACTCGGAATACCAGGAGGGTACTATTGAGGAGGGTACAGGATGCTTGATCCTATCAGATGCGGGTGCGAGTGGCATAAGGCATTTAGACTCAGATGAATCAACCGTCAGCGAAGTGGAAGCGAGTGCATTGAAGCCAGATGCGAACACCAATCTGGTATGGCAAAGATCGCTGATTCCGACTGTGAACTTCAAATTGAATTCGTTTCGCAAAGGCTCTGAGACGATGTTAGCCAATGCCGTATTCGCAATGGCTCGAAGACAGGGCATGGAATCTAGGTATAGCAGTGTAGACACAAGGGAGAAGTGGACAGATGTGCCTATATTAAGACACGGCAGCGAAAATAGTGACGAGAAGGAGTATATATTTATCTAGATAGACAGGCTTATGTAGCCCAAGTTCACACTCTATTCACTGATAATTATACAAGCTCTACGCCAATAGTTTGTACCTGGCCTTGCGCCCACGCCTCGTAATGGATCGTGCCCACTGCCACCCTTTCCGCCACACCACTCTTGATCCAACGGACCAGCATCACATTCAGTAAGCACCACTCTCGCTGTGTGAAATAAGCCTCGTCAAAAGTAGTCACGGACTGGATCCTAGCCCGTCGGGCCCGTGAAAGGGCGATGAAGTCGTGGCTCGACATCGCTGCCCCAGCCTGCTGCGCCTTCCACGCATTACTTACAAGTATTAGTCCAGCCTTCCGGTGGTTGTCGTCCAGAATCCAATGGTGGTTGGAATCGGGCATCCAGTCGGACTCTACGAGGTCGGCCGCTTCATCGGAAAGACGAAAGGAGGCACGTTGCGTCACTGTCCACAGGCTGAACGGCGATGAAGGTCTAGGGGGCATATTGGAAGCGAATTTTCGCTTGGATAAGTTGTGATTATCATGATTCACATACTTATCATCTTCAACGTGATACCAGTCCACCAAATTGCCAGTTTGGTAAGGATGCAACCAGTAGGGACTGTCGGCTGTACCTTCAGAGCCAGCCCACGAAAAATAAGGGAAACCCTCTCGTTTATCAGCATCGCCGCCAGATGCCTGCCACAAAAGCGCATGATCGAGCCATTTCAGAGGCAGACCGTAGTAAAACTTTATGCCCATGGACTGAGTAAGCACTTTCTCAATGCCATGAAACGCATTGAGAATATCTGATCCATACGACAGTTCTCGACGCAGATAAGAAGCGACAAAGATATCGTATGCGCGTATTGCCGTCCTCGCATCCTCGTATTGGTCGCGGTGAAGAAATATGTCACCCAAATCTGCGTCGTATTCATTTTGCCCCCTCTTCCTTGGCCGCGAATTAGTTTCTTGGGTTCCAGAGAGTAGTGTTATGGTGTACAAATGCCGTTCGATCGAGGCCTTCCCCGCACGTATCCTCGGCTCGAATACCACACGCGCACTGGAAATATAGTTGGTGGCTCGTGAAGTATAGCAAGCGGGAGGAAAGATGAAGCTCTTGGTATGTCCAGCCCCGTGTGACCCATCTGGTATCATAGAGGGCGTCTTCGAGGCAAGGACTAGGTACAGCAAGCACAACACTTTGGACTTGGAACGTAAGATCAGGCCGAAGTGAGGATGACTGTGATGATTTGTAGCCTGGCAGACCCAGGTCTAGCGAAGCGTTATCAATATGATTTGGAGCAGCGACAATAGTGAGTAAAGCACAGCCATACACCAGGTCCATCTGGCCAATCTGCTCCGTCTTTTGCTCGTAATCATCCTGGGTGATACAAAGAGCGTCAACCCAAATAAAACGCTGACCCAGATCTTGGACGGCATAGCAAGCATCGTCGATGGTCTTACCCAGGCCGTTTGACAAAGTCACAGCACCCTCTTGGCTAAAATCGATGCCACTGGCCTTGGTGTTGGTAAGCCCAGGCTTCCTGGGCCAACAGTAACTGAGAGCAACGTACTCCGTTTGTGCAGGAAGTGAAACGAGACATCTCTTCTTCACGTCGATGACGCGCAGTCTCTTAGGTCTTTTAATTCCTCTGCTGCGACCTGATTCACCAGTGTGACCACACAGCTCGCCATGATCTTCTAAGCACTCATCCACCCAACGACGAGCGAGTTCCATATCCGACAGTAGGGAAATTTTTCTGCCCAAGCCCTCCAGTCGGGCTGGACCGTCTAAATTTACCATCTCTACCAGCTGAAGGTCCCCAGCACGTCTTCGCCGGCTAAAAATGTTGGGCTCGTCTCCGATATTGGTGGACACGGCCAGTCGCAGGTTTGGATGCGACATGTCCAGCGCTTTTAGCACATGGTAGCTCCATAACGCGACATTCGTACTGTGGCCTCGTGCCCGAAGCGATCTTAGCACATTGTTGCAGTCGGTTCGAGACCACGCCTGTTGAGCTTGGAACGAGGCTGCGACGGCTGCGCATAGCTGACAAGTTGACTTGCGGGCGATTATCTGCTCTAACGGTCCCAATGGTATAGCCTGATCGTGCTCGCGCGCGGTGGTGAGGAGTGAGGGAACAGATATGCTCTCGCAAGTGGAACAAAGCTGCGGGGTAGTTCTCATCTTGAGATGCGTCTGGGTGTGTGAACCCTCTGAATAAATTAATTACAGAGGCTTGTTTTTCATAAAATTCTCATAGTTAAGAGTTGAAATCACTGTGTGATGTGGCGGCTCGATGGTTGATTAGTTGTATGTTTCGTGTTGTGTTCTGTCAGACTCCATACAGAGGGCGCATGGTTTTACCTCGGTAGGGGTCACCCGACCTTCATCCAGCTCATCTTTGGAGGAACTAACCTTCGTACCCACTAAGCTATATGATGAAATGAACATAGACGTGAGGCATTGGTAAGAGTGAGACCAAGAGTAAAATTGAAGAAGATAAATAGCAAAGTTTGTGGCAAGAACAATAGCGAGCCCCAACTGTAGAAAGGCGCCAGGGCCTATTCGCAAATCTTCATCCGACTGTCTAGGTAGTGTCAGGTAGACGATCCCCAATAGATTCAGGCTTATCAACTGTGTTTCGACTGTCACTGTCGCCTTGCCATTCAGAGAAGTCGAGGTCCATAGTCGCCAGATGCGACTCAAGCTGCAGCCTCCCCTTGTCATCTCGATAGATTGTTGAACCTTCCATGTGAGCGAACGTAAACAACAAACCGTCGCTCATCTTTTGCCACTTGGTGCGCTGGCTGTTCTCATTGCTGTTGCTTTGACCAGCCCTTTCTCGTATCTCCATGATCATCCTTTGCCTCTCAGCCTCAACCCTTCGCTTTCGCGACCTTTCTTCTTGACTCGACCACAGAGAACGAAAGGAGACAAGACAAGCGATCACAAAGGCTATTGAGTAACTTTTTAGCGCACAAGTCCCAGATCTATGGCGATAGTCTTGGTTAGGAGGGGGAGCCTTACAAACAACGTACTCAATGTACCACCAGAAAAGCATCCAAGACGAATCCATGACCTCCCGGTCGACTTTCGTAACAGATTTGAAGTCTCCACCGAAGATGGTGCCACGAACGACGGTCACAGCGATGGTAAAACCGACGAGCAGAAATATGCTTGAAAGCATGAGCTTCTGACGCCAGTCCAATCCCGTGTTCCAGATAATCATGATGGGGAAGGCGATGACTGATATTGTGAAGATGTTAGAGGCAAAAATATAGCAATGTTCGAGTTGGGGGAAGAGTACTTACGGACAAGGTCGGAGAATATGTCAATAACAACACTTGCAATATAGTGTGTGTAGATGTTTTGGACGCTGGCCGCTGTTGCACATTTCACTGTGAGCTGTTGCACACTGCCCAACAAGCAGTTGTACGGTATCAGGCCAATACTCGCCACGCCACAGCTAATCACTAGCACAAGCGCAGTCCGCCAAATTATCAAGTATGACTGGATCTGGTTGCCCAAACGGTAGAACAGCAGCATGAAATTGAACTTGATGGCCCACAACCCAACAATATCCAAGAATAAGCTGAGAAAATTGGCTCTCAGGCCTCTTGGTATGCTGTTCAGGAAGTCAGGTGTAGGAGCTACCTCCCCATTCTGTACGCGGAGGATATCGTAGATGTCGCCCAGGTAGGTCTGCAGAACAGACGCACTGGCTATCAGCACTGCCATGGCCCCCAACATCAGAAAGTCCTCGACGTAGAGACGGCGGAAACAGAAGAATCTGATCCAGAACCGGAGGATGCAGACGGCGGCGCAAAGGCCGACTCCAAACCAGATGACGACCTAATCAAACCTCTATTAGCAAAGGAAATCATGAGGCCAGAGCTGTCTCTGTCGCAGTTGTTCAAGATATAGTGCACACCGAGTGACTCACATGGAAGGCATGCTGTGATATAAGCTGCTTGCCCGTTGGGTAAAAACCAGCAGCGGTTACCATTGCAGCGATGGGATAGCTGAGTGCCCTACGCAGATTGAAAGATCGGAAGTCTCAAACAAAGCAAGCTCTACGCAGAAGTTGATAACAAGCAGCTATGGGTTGATTTTTGAAGCCCGTTTGCGTGCGTACAGATTGTGATGGGGAAAGAGAATGGCGTTAGATGGCAGCCATTAAAATATACCCGTGGCCAAGAATGCAAGGTAAGCTGCCATAAAACGTTTGCCTTCTTACACAAGACCCCATACGAAGTTGTGCAAATATTGGGGCGTATGCGCCGCTATTTGAACCCCGGAAGCTGACATGCAGTCGCGGCCAATGCCGGCATGTATGTCAGAAACATGCATGCAGCAGGCAATCCAATAAAACCGTGCAGATTGATCCTCATGACACCCGAAAGGTCATATAATATGCTCCAATAATGGCCTTGCCTGATCAATTTCCTGCAGCTGTTTTCCTTGGGGCTAAGAATCGTTTCTGTGTAATGGGGGGTTTCACGTCGGGCTTAGTAGACAAGAGCAACCACCACACGCTCGCAAGCCAATGTCTGGATTCGATGAATTCAAACTGCGATTGGAATTTCGGTCTCCGAAATTATAACAAGAGGGCAGGGCTATCTAGAAAATACTATGAAACAAGAATCAACCTCCACGCTGGGGCCTGGTGTAGCATCTGCGCCCCCACCAAGAGGCTGAGTTGATGTATCTTTGACTGTAGTGAGCAGAGGTTGATGAAAGAGAACGACGCAATATTATATTTAAGACGATTTCGTCTCCAACCGCACTGTCTCCTAGTGTTTTTTATTTCTAGACATTAAATTGAACAATCATGCTCTCTCAACTAGTCAGCTTCAAGGTCACGAGGCCAAGTCTCTGGCCATTTTTTCTGACTTCCGCCTGTTTGTACTATACGTGTGCCTTTTTACTCGTATTTTTCATCTTTCATCAGTACAAATCGTGGAAGAGACTTGCCCATATACCAGGGCCAAAAGCCGCCCACTTCTCCATCTTATGGCTCCTGAACCATGGATGGAACGGGAATCTCTTTCCTTGCATGACTGCAGCGGGGAAGAAGTTCGGTATGTTACCGCGTAGCCTCGTGGCAATGACTCTGTTAACATTGGCGTTTCTCCAGGATCTCTTGTTCGAATCGGGCCTAATCTGCTTCTGTGTTCTGATCCAGATGAGCTTCGACGATTATCGGGAACACGATCTCCATACACCAAGGGGCCTGCCTACGATGCTGGGAGAGTGACGGACACTGAGCCGCATGTCGCCTCTCAGAGAGATCCAGCTAAACACAAGAGACTAAGGGCCAAAATGGGTCCTGCGGTGAGTACATACTGAAATGCAAATAAAACCAGCAGTATAGTAATAAGAATAGTATTCAATGGATGTGCAACCGACGATCGATCAGAACGTCGCAACATTGGTCGATCTGATAGACAGAAAGTACGCTGCAGAACCCATGTTGACTAGGTGTACAAGAGCAAACCCAGAGCACGCACTGCCCGCAAAGACGATGGATTTCGGGCAGAAAATGGACTTTTACTCCATTGATACCCTCTGCGATTTTGCTTTTGGTGAGAATGTGGGATTGCTCAAGAGCGATAGCGATGTCGGCGACTTGACGCGGTTCAGTGATAATTCGATTCGTAAGGTAACAATGGGCGGACTGATTCCCTGGGTTTCCAATATGCGCTTCAAATGGCCATTCAAGTATGTGATGCCGCAGGAAAAAAGCATAGCTGGATTTGAATACCTGTTGCGGTAAGCTTCCTTGTCTAGTATTTCCGGGGAGATGGATCTGACTGACAGACAACCAAAGATTTGCCACGGATGTAGTGGACAGGAGAATGAATCACGATGCTAAACCCAAGAATGATATGATGCAGGGTTTTTTCAAGGCCGGGATGACAAGGAATCAGCTTATGCAGCAGGTCTATATCCACATGTAAGGACTAAACCCTAATGCGCCATAAACATGATTCTGTTCTGATCGATCTCTACCTGAAGGATTTGCTGACATTACCCCACAGGATCGCTGGCACAGACACAACATCGAAATGGGCACGAATGACAATGCTCTGTCTTCTGACCTGCCCCCCAGCCTACATAGCCCTGCAGCGGGAAATTGATGCCGGCTTCTCATCCGGGCAACTGAGCTCCCCAGTCGCAACAGATGCCGAGCTTCGTAGGCTCGGCTACCTCGATGCCGTGCTTTGCGAGGCACTGCGCAAATTCCCACCATCGGTCTCACCGTCGAAACTGTCGCCGTCCGTCGTTGACACGGTGTGCGGAACGCCAGTCCCTGGCGGCACGCAGATTGGCGCAAATATCCCCGGTGTCATGTTGTCGGAGTCAGTCTTTGGTGCCGATGCCGAATGCTTCCGGCCCGAGCGGTGGCTCGAGGCTGCTCAGGAGCCGGACGGGCAATCCCTTGGGCGCATGAAGTCCACTCTTGATCTTGTTTTCGGAGCAGGGAAATTTCATTGTGTGGGGACGACGATTGCGTTCATGGAGGTGCGCAAGTTGTTTGCTGAGGTGAGTGCATTGATTGGGCTACGGCTTTCGAAGGGGCGCATGTGCCGTCGGTGAACCTTTGCTAACGAACTGGGATTCAGTTGATGCGAAGATTTGACTTTTCGGTCGTGAAGAACGAACAACCGCTTCGTGTCGAATCATTTGCTATTATGGTGGTGCATGATTTCCAAGTACGAGTAACTCGCCGCGTAATGGAAAGCAAGTAGAGATACCGTCCTTTGATATAAACAATGATCATCACATTTCATAGATATCTTGACTTTTTGGTCTTTTTGAACCTTGAGAATCACTATCAATAAGATCTGGCACGACACCAGTTAAGAAAAACAATACAAAAATGCACAGTGATTCGCCCACATGCCGGGATCCGAGTGAGCACACATAGCACGTGTTTTCCAGTCTTCGATGGTGATTGGAAATGACGAAAGAACAGCGGAGGATCCATAGTGTCTTGAGACGAACCTCCAAGAATAGTTATTGGCACGAACGTTGTGTATTCCCGAGCTGACCGGACATGGTCCTCAGCAGATGCCAGGGGTTCAATTGATAGGTTTACTACATGTAGGTGAGAATCACGTGCCCTCGGCTAAACCCCGGGGCTTTCCTCGGTCCAATCCATGGATGATAGTTGTTGAGAGCGGTCATCCAGGTGGGCATCATCTTGTCGAATGAAGATTGAACCAGAACGGTTGCCGAAAAGAAGGCAGAAAACTTCAATATCAACCCTGGACGCATTGCATGCCATCCGCATTCCGTTGCCTGCAGCTGAGGTGAAAAACGCCTCGCATGCCATGTGGGGCGAGAGAACACAATCGCCCCCCACCCTCATCCCGTCCCAACCATCGACGCCGCACCGCATGTTTGAGACAGAGGCACCGACACGGCGCAATGTGACGACGACGAAAGCAATATCGGAACCTTCAGCTCCTTTCCCGAACCGCATCACAGCCGTGTTTGCCTTGTTCGGGTTACACAACAGGCGCCCCCCCACTCGTGCATATCAACCCAAGCCGGGGGCGCACACAATCTTTCTTTCCACCCCATCACCTTTCCACCTCTCATAACCACCTCTCATAACCTGGTCTCCTCCCCCACGAGACGCAGCATGGCCAGCACCATCTCTCCCTGGACTGTCGTCGCCGGTTTATTCGCCATCGTTGCATTCGCCTTCGCCATGCCTGAAATTCGCGAGATGTTCCGTGTGACCCTGTTCGGATCGCGCAACAACAGAGGTGTCGCCTTCGATCGCGCACGAGACATTCCCTCCCTGGCAGACAAAGTCATCCTCATCACGGGCGCCGCGGGCGATCTGGGAAGAGAGACGGCTACCGAGCTTGTGAAATATGGGCGACCGGCCCGTGTATACATCGCGGATTTGCCATGTGAAGAGAAGGTCAAGCAGGCGCTCAATAAACGGATTCTTGAGGCGGCGTATGGGGCCGAAAGCGATGGTGGTGACGAGAGCCCCAAAACCGAGATACGCTATCTCGAGCTCGACCTTACGTCCTTTGACAGTGTGCGGGGGTGCGCAGCCGAATTTGTAGCCCAAGAGGCGCGGCTTGATGTCCTGGTGCTTAACGCGGGCATCATACGAGTTGCGACTGGAACGACGAAGGAAGGCTACGAAATGCACTTTGGCCTCAACTATCTTGGACACGCTTTGCTTGCAAAGCTGCTGGTTCCAACCATGCAGAGATCTGTTCATCAACACCCCGGTCTGGACGCGCGCATTGTGGTCGTTTCAAGCGAAGGGTACGCCATGGCACCTAAACAAGGCATTGAATTTGACAAGCTGAAGACAGATGGCGCTCATTTGGTACAGTACCTCTTCATTGCTCCACAAGTATGATGTATGTTCTAATCCACAAATTACAGGCATACGCGCAGCGCTACGGGCAAAGCAAACTCGCCCTCATTTACCTGGCCCGACAATTGGCGCAGCGCAACCCAATGCTTAAAACGGCCTCAGTTCATCCGGGACGCATTCTTACAGGCATGGCGACCAGCTTGCAGAAGGAAAGTCTTCTGGTGCGTGTAACGAAGCCTCTCGCGCCCCTCGTCTGCGTTTCCGTATCAGTCGGTATCGCAAATCATCTGTGGGCTGCTACTAGTCCGGAAGTCGTGAGTGGGACGTACTACGAGCCAGTTGGAGTTCCAGGGAAGGAGACCGCTATTGCTCAAGATGATGCTCTGTCAGAGAAACTGTGGGAATGGGCCGAACGTCAATTCGAGGGTGTTAAGGCGCTGTAAGAGAACAAATTGCTCATTCTCGTTGTCTCGTACATCCTTTGGCGAAGCCCCGCAAAGGAATCGTATATGGAAATTTGGGAACCCTGCTACGGATGGCAAGGCTTGTCTTGGAACCAGTCTGGCTCAAATATGTATTATGGCATTAAAATTACCCATCATGGGCTGCAGTTCTTGCTTTCAATCAGGTCTTTTCTGCAAGAGTGTGGCTTCCTCAATTGCCTCCTGCAGGTCGTTGATTTACCTAGACTTGACTTTATTCATGTGTCTGCCTCGCATCTACAAAACAAGCTGCATCCTCAAGTGACCCCTTGTCCCCTGCTGATCTATCTTAGTCATTTCTACAATTGCTTGCCGTAGCTCATTCAATACCACAATCTTCTACTTTCATCATGTCTGCCGGGTCTAACAGCCGACGCCAAGTACATATGCTTTTTCATTGGTCATATGGAATCAAACAATAGTTTCCTGGGACGCTCATGCAACTATAAGCCCCGATGCTGTCTCACTCCCCATGCAGCGGTTAAATTGACCGTGGTGCGGACAAGGTATGATCCTTGTACACTGCGCGAGACGAGGCGCCCATTGCAGATAACAAATATGACCGATCTAATCTACCCGTAGCCGTTTCGCCTTATGCGCGGGCATCACAACAACCTCCCATCCAAAAATAGGATCAGAATCCGTTGATAGTCTGCGCTGTAACATTATTCGTAGATGATGGTGGATGGCGGACCGGGTTATGAAATGGGGGCCGCTCGAATGAAGTATGCAACTTTGCCTCCTACACATGGTAGGTCAGCCACGCCATTAGCACAAATATACTCTATAAAGACTGATTTGTTGTGATGAAGGGTGGAACGCCGTATTGGCTTTGGTCGTGCCCCTCTATCTCGTTCATTGACAATCTCATTATTCTTATCTTTACATCTTCATTGCCAACGCCGATCACTGCAAAATCCATCCAACATGGAGTTCAAACAGGTTGATTTTCCTATGACCTTTTATTTTGGTGGTCTTTTCTTGGCTTTGATTGTCAGCATTTGTGTAAAACATAAGAGACGGTCCATGTGTTCCCGTGAGACGATTACTACCAAACCTGCCACCATACCGTCATCTGTGTCGGTGCATATGATGCCGAACGCAATCTCAATGCTACTGAATCCTAGAAAGTTCATGCTGAGGGCTGAGTCAGTTTCCTACACTACATAGATAAGAACGACGCTAATGATGATAGCTATAGATATTACTCTAATACCTTCATACCGATCCGCGTACGTCTACTGGTGAAGGATATATACATCATAAGGGGTGTCGAAAACATGAAAAAACTTTGGAGAGAGTCAGCCCACTCGAGCTCAACTGAGCTTCATGGATCTTTCCATAGCAAAGTACTTGGTATGCCGAAGGCTGCATCTGCGCTATACAAAAAAGACAACTCCGGGTGTACCTCAAAGCCGCACGCAAATAGCAACATTCAACCGAACAACCGCATTGACTATATCACACACCAAGTGTTGAAAGAATTCTTACAGAGACCTACATGTCATCAATTGGCGACCAAATTCGCCGTCTCGATGAGAGAGCAATTCTTGAGCTTGGATATCAAAGACGACTGGGTTCAGATGCCAGACCTGCTTCATTTCTTCGAATCTGAGCTGCTCACAGCAAATCTAAAGGTCACATACGGATCAAAGCTTCTTGAACTGCAGAGTGGGTTCTGCGATGACTTCTGGCAGTTCAGTCACCACATGTGCGGCTTCGCGCGACCATTTTCGCGATGGACTATGGGATTTGCGCATGCCTCGAGACGCCGAGTCTTGGACACGATCAAGACCTGGCAAAGAAGCATCATCGACGGGGAAGATGCGAATGAAGCGACCGATATCTCTGAGCCATATTGGAGTAACACCGACATTCGAAAGTGGTATTCGCGATTCACTTCCATGGATGGGTTCAACGACGATGCTGTAGCATCGCTTTACCTGGGAATCATATGGGTGTAAGCGGTTCCCAATCCACGTGGCATCGATTCACTCATGTTGAAGGGAGAAATACTGATTCTGTCCCAGGTCCAACTACAACTTCATACTTGCGATATACTGGATGGTGCTTGAGGTTTTCCGAGACCAGGATCTCCTTGAGAGGATCCGAGACTCACTGCAAGACGAAGCTATGGAATCACAAACCTTTCCCGAAGAAAAGTTCCCGCTGTTACATTCTGCGCTGGCGGAAACGCTGCGCTTACATACTGAAGCCTATATCATTCGCCGTTTCATACACAAATCGGTGACCTTTGGTGGCAAGTGGGTTGTCCCTGCCAACGAGACGTGTTTTGCATCCACTCATCCTGCGCACCAAGACGAGTCCGTCTGGAACACTTACGGTGGCGCACACCCGCTCGACAGTTTCTGGGCTGAGCGATTTCTGGTATTTCCAACAGACAATCTCAGCGGGCCGTTAAACCCTGCGTACAAAGAGCGAGTCAAGGTCTCGAACAATACAGACCATGGGTCTGCAGCTCCGCCCTCAGGCCGATTCTCTCTCGAAGGACTCAGTGCGTCCTGGATTCCTTTTGGCGGGGGTCCACGGGCTTGTATTGGTCGCCATATCGCGAAGCAGCAAATACTTTCATGCTTCGTATTTCTTGTGCGCAATTTCATCATCGAGGTGGGGAGCATTGACGTTAATGTTGATGAGCGCAACTACGGTCTTGGAATGCAGCTGCCAGATAGGAAAACATCATTCAAAATCTGTAGAAGGCTCTAGAATCACGTAAAATTTAATATCACAGTAGGAGTCTGGCGGTGGGCTCCTGCTCTCGACGGATAGCCTCTGCACAATATTCCTAAAGCATTTGATATAACGTCTCTCGCGGTGTCAGATAATGACGTGGCAACGTCTCTGCCACGGCTACCTCCCCATCACAGGAGCGCCGGCGAAGCGAAGCAAACACGCTGGCGCAGACCGCAATTTCCATTGGCACTGTACCTACGTGCCACAAAATCATCGAGCACTAATGGTGATCATTTGAGTATGTTGAAAGGCGCGCATGCGGCGCAGCCATAAGCTTCCCGAAGAAGAGATCTGTTACAACAGCAAGGAAAGAGAGGATGGTCTTCCTATTGCTGCTTCTGAGTGGACTTGCTAATAACGCTTTCACAGTATAGACGCTCTGAAACGGTGGTGATATTATTGATTACGTACACATGTAGCTATTCTGATCGCATGGGTCCGTGCTCGTCACGTGCCATGCTCTCACAGTCACACGGCACACGGCAAGGCTCACGCCTGGACCCCCGCCATAGGAATTCTCACCAACCAGACTCATTCACCATCTCAGCGACCTCCTCTCACCAGGAAAGGAAACGAAAAAATCTAATATCGAATACTTCAAAACGACTCAGCTGTGACTCCTGCCAGCCAGACCCCTAATGTCCGAGGAAAACAAGGAGGTCGCTAAACGGCAATCCATCGTCGCTCCTGAGCTCGATGCCTCATTTCAAAACCCAAGCGCAGAGTCGCAACAATGGCCGCTGTGGCGGAAAATCGTCTCAGTCGCCGTAGTCTCCTATGCCGACTGTTTAACTTTCCTCGTTTCCATGATGATGGCGCCAAGCGTCCCGCAAGTGCTGAAAACATTTCGTCCAGACGGCAGTCACAAGTTTCTTGGCTCCTTCTCTGTCACATTCTATATCTTGGGTTTCGTGGTGGGTCCGTTGCTCTTCGGGCCGTTGACAGATTTGTAAGAACGTCGTCCGCTAGCACATTGTTACTATTACGCACTCTAATTGCTGATCCAAAAGTCTACTCCAGGATGGGTCGCATAACAATACTACGGTTTACAGCAGCCCTTTATACAGTATTCACCATAGCCTGTGCCTTGAGCACCAGCCTCTCAATGCTTATCGTCTTCCGGTTCTTTGCAGGTTGCTTTGGCGGTGCTCCAATGGCAATAGGAGGCGGCGTCGTTTCAGATCTCTACGCTCCTGGGAAAAGGACACGGCCCATGGCGTGGTATTCGGTGGGAACAATGATGAGCCCCACCCTAGGTCCAGTCCTAGGAGGGTTGATTACTGGAGGCCTTGATTGGCGATGGGTGTTTTGGATTGCGACCATACTCGTGAGTGGCAACGTAGTCAACCCAACACCCGTGAGCTGACGGTGATTGAGGCTGGACTCTGTGTCATTCTCTTATTCTTTCTTTTGGAAGAGACCCACCAAGCAACACTCACCCGAAGAGCAGTGAGCCGGACCACCGATAGCTCTCAAGGCATGAACGTGAAGCCATCGCTTTTCGACACGTCCTCGACGAATTGGAAAGCAATGAACGTTCCTAGCCTGCTTCGTCGATCCATCATACTCCCCGCAAAGATCGCCCGCCATTCCCATGCACTTGTGATATTAGTTTTCATCGGCATATTCAATGGACTCGTGAATATGATCCTATCATCCTTGGGTTCTGTCTTTCAGTTTCAATACGGATTCCCTCCCACCACTGCGGGCCTAGCATACCTTGGGCTGGGCATTGGGGGCGTGTGTGGTCTAGCAACAACACCTCGTGAGTTCACGCCGACGAAACAGTTTGCCTATAAAAGCACTGTTCTGATTGCTGTTTGCAAAGATATTTCGGATTTCTTTAGCAAGCGACGGCCTCATCAAGATGGCTCAAAACGTCCGCAACATGCGCTTCCAATGATGATTATAGGGGGCCCTATGTCATCGATCGGGCTGTGGTGGTACGGCTGGTCTACACAGGCAAAGGTACATTGGATGGTACCCATTATCGGCCTAGCCATTTTTAGTTACGGATACATAAGCATAAGAGTAAGCCTCCTACAAGAAACTTTGTCGCTCATCTAGCTTACCATATCCCCGTAGTTGTCTACCCAAATATACCTTGTCGAAGCAGTACCGAATTTCACTGCCTCGGCACTTGCAGCCCACACAATATTTAGCTCGGTTAGGGTTAGGGTTAGGGTTAGGGTTAGGGTTAGGGTTAGGGTTAGGGTTAGGGTTAGGGTTAGGGTTAGGGTTAGGGTTAGGGTTAGGGTTAGGGTTAGGGTTAGGGTTAGGGTTAGGGTTAGGGTTAGGGTTAGGGG